CGCGTTTCGATCTGTCACTGCTAGGTAAAGCGAAATAGGAAGAGATTGTGCACTTATCAAGAAGGACGAGCTGTTATCAGAAGAGAGATGGCCGGTAAACAAATCGACGAAAAAGGAGGTGCTTTTATATGCAAACGGTCAGGGGGAGGAAGCATAACAAAATAGAATTCCACGACGGTGAGCAAGCGTCTCTAAACACTTGCTGAAAAGAACTGACCGTCAGCCAAACGTCACTTTGTAGCTTTTGTGAGCATGCGAACGTGCATGTTCTAGGATGGCAACCAAATGTTTGAAACATCAGGAATCGTCTTTTCCTTCTCTTTTTCGAAAAGTGTGCCAGAAATGTGTTCTAATTTTTGTACACCGCGAAAAGTATATCAAAAAAAATTGTAAAACAACTCGGGATTGGGAAAGAAAGGGACGTAAGTAATGAATGTGCAGGTCCCGGCAGTCGGGAGCGGTAAATAACGATGAAGACGAAGATAGCGTCAGTGATATTTTTGTTTTGACAATTGGCAACGGAATTTGGTTGAATGAAATGATTGGAGGGAATTTTAATTCAAGTCTCAACCGACCCGCCGTCGTCGTCAGTCGTCACCTCTCGGTGCCTATCACTCTTCGAATGATTAATGACCGACAGACTCAGGAGGCACGGAAAATAGATCGGATGACGTTAGATCGGACTGAATGCACTACGGAATCACGATTTACACAAAAACTGGAAGCGACGAGCGGAGAAGTTCGGAGCGATCGGAGCGATAAGAGATGCCATCGGATGCATCCCGATCGACGCATTTCGAGGAAGTCACCGCTTCTTCGGCCCACGCCTTTGTTTTGCCATTTCAGTCATACAGCCTTTTTGATTTCCAACGAACTGAGGGGCGCGTGTGTGAAGGGGAGAGAATGCAGACAGTGGAACAGGTTCCGAAAAGACAAGAAGTTATCAAGTGTTCCACGGCGGACGGACGGACGGCCCAGAACAGATTGTTCGTTTCGATGGCTGTTTATTGGATTCACACGTACGCTTGTCAATGGCGTTCGTGGAGGTCGAATGGCGGGAGAGCATTAGAAAATGAGAGAATAATCGGTTGAGAACGAATCGGTTGAATATTCTGGAGGCCACTGGTTTGCCATTTGAACATTTGATATCGCGGAAAACATGACAGTGAGGGCGAGGAACATTCAGAACAAGTTTGAAGGGAAAATTGAAAATAGAAACAGGTGAGAAGAAAAAAAAATGTGCGATGATCTGAATAAATCTCGAAAATGTGTAATGCGCCTTTAAATTCGTTATGAATACGGTTGGTGAAAAAGAGGACGCCTGAGAAAAGAAGTTTGAACTCCTCCAGTGAAATGTTTCCTTTTTCCCAGGCATTCAGGCGCTACAACGAAGTAGAACTCGCAGTTGTATTTTAACGTTGCGAGTTCCAAATCGTAACAGTTCCATTCCGTGCGAGGTCTACTTCGTAGCGCCGGAATTCATGGCCGTCGACTCGGATGCCCTCTGGATAACCCTCGATTAGCCGATCCGATTGCAATTATAATGACATTTGTCCATTGTGTGTTCGGTTTGTCGTCGACGACGATTCCAATATTTGTATTCCTGTCGTTCTGCTTTTATTTCAATCTCGACTCTGTCATTGGAAAGTGTGCAGAGCAGCACGATGGATTCGTGCCGTTTCTGGAGACAATTGAAATCTTTTCTCCTTTTTTCCTTCCCCAAATGCTTTCTCCCCCTTTCTCTCGTTGAGCCGCCCTTTATCGAACTTTGTTTTTTGCTCCGTTTTATTGCCGCGTCCAATGTCTCGGAAAAACCGTAAAAACCGCAGATTTTGCTGTCCAAAGTCGGCCGAAATTTGCGTGAAAAACGGGGGTGTGCACAGCTCAATGAGTGTAACCGTACCCCTAAAACTACGGTATTTTTTGAAAATTTGTTAATTTCTTGAGGTTATTTGAAAATATTCAAATTTTTTGAGCAAATTTTCAAAAAATACCGTAGTTTTAGGGGTACGGTTACACTCATTGAGCTGTGCGCACCCCCGTTTTTCACGCAAATTTCGGCCGACTTTGGACAGAAAAATCTGCGGTTTTTACGGTTTTTCCGAGACATTGGACGCGGCATATCTCACGCAACCCCCTACACGCATTCCAGGTGTTGTTCGGTGGTTGCACAACATTTCGAGACATTGTTTGCACAGAATTATTCAATCCACGTCATATCACAATTAGATCCCAATGCGGAGTATTCCAATTAGGAACGAGTGGTCCCAGAGAATCCCCCGTCGCTTCCATTCCACTTCCGTCCATCCGTTCATGTTTTTCGCCCCAAAGTGTCAAGTGCGTAATGAGCCAAATCGTCCGCCCTTCCTTCTGCTCTCTTCCCAATTATGGTCCGTTTTCTCTGTCCATATGTGCGTGAATGAGCACTTTGCTTGCTCAACCTCTTCGTCTTCCTCTTCCCCTTCTTCTTCTTCTTCTTCTTGTTCAATAATTCATCGAGCACGGGTATTTATGATTGACACCAAACAGCTGCACTCTCTGCCTTTCCTTTCTCCGCGCACATCTCCCCTGGGTACTTCATTCTGGATGCTCAGCGCCAAACGATGCTGTGCACAGAAAAAACAGCCATCAGATTGATTTTATGGTGGAATGCTTTTAGGAAGCGGCAAACAAAAAAACCTATTGAATTGCTGAGGAGAATAAAGCGAGCAAATGGAATAGGAGAAGAAGGAGAACGAAGAGATCCACTGGAATTAGTTTGCCGGTTTCGAGAGGGTAAGACTGTATACATTGCCACTACAGTAATCCAACTTCTGCTCCGAACTCTCTTAAATACTTCGAACCTTCTCATTATCCGTCAAATGAAATGCTGCTTCGCGCGCTCCCCCGTATGAATATTCAAAGCCTTCGTTGTCGTGCTCTCCGGATACATCTCACTGCTCGAATTCATGTCCAATTGCTCATTACTCCTCAACAATTTTTTGCCCGTTTCTTTTTTTCCTGCTGCGCTTCCCCCGTCTTTTCTGCGTTCTCCGCTTTCTTCACACTCCCTCCCCTTGCTCCTTTCATCCTCTTCGTTCTTTTTTTGCTCCAAATCTCTCCTCCCTTATCATCCACCCATCCCATTCTTCCCTTTTTCCACTCGGATTGCCACGTCCTACCATCCACTCTTCTGTCCGACATAATTCGATTTCGTTCTCATCTCAACACGTAACAAAGTGGCCAAAATTTAATAATTTCACTCCCGAAGCGGCTCTCTTTTCGGCTTCCGAAACTTTCGGGCTCTTTTCGTACACATTCTTGACGAGTTTTGTTCACTTTTCCGTCGTTCAGACGCGCGAAAGAATCATGAATTATTCGTTGGCGGCAGCTAATTAGCCGAACCGACGATTCCAAAACAACGAGTCCGGAATGTGTACGTTTCAGATTACATTCCACTGGAATCATCCGCCCAAATTGGTTTTCTTTCCCTTTTCCTATCCCCAGACAAATTGATATTGAAAGATCGGCGGAAAAGATTGAAATAGCCACCACACGCCAGCGAGGAAGAGATCGGATTTCATTGGAGGAAGAAGAAAAAAAAATACATTTTTGATTGTTTCGCCCCGATTTCATCGCTCTCTCGATTAGCCCTTCGACGCGAAAAACTACGAACGGATGCTCTATTTTTCTCTTTTCCCCTGGCGATTTGTTTCCGCCTCACCCACTTTTTGGTGTGTTTGTTTTGTTGGAAACGCCCAAAGCATTTCGGAAAAAAATTGTATTAGAGCAGGTGAATAAGATTTTTCGAGTTTATACGTTCCTTGAAACTGTTTACACTCCCCGTGCCTCGAGCAGTAACGCTCAGAACTTGTCTGGCGTGCAATCAAAACTATCTTATCACTGTTTTCTACTTTTGTTCTTTATTCTCCCTACTTTCTGGCATGTTCACATTCCTTACTTCAGTCAAAAGTGAAGGAATTCTCGCGCAGGGACTTCTCCTTGCATTAGCATCTTTCTTTCCCACACCATTAGCATACTTGTACTATTCTTTTTGCTTTTGCTCAGCTTCCCTGCGGGCTCTGGTCACTGCCGATTTCATGCTGCCGAAACAGTACTTGACATAATCCGCGTGAGCAAAAGGGAAGGGCACCTCGCTGCTCATTGTTCTACAACAACAATAATAACAGAAGCTTTTTGCAATCTATACACACACAGAGACAGACAGAAACATACCCGCGCGGGCGGAAAAGAGGGCAGAGAGAAGCGTAGAGTGCACCAGATGCACACAAAGAAGAAGAAGCAGACGGGAGGCACGGGTGGGTGGGGCGGTCAGCAGAAGAAGAAGAAGAAAAGGGTGTGTTCTTCGCCAAGAGTGACCTCGAAGACGCACCCGTGGGCAGCAGACAACTTGTGGTCCCGGGGGCTCTTTATCACTTGTTCTTTTGCACACACAAAACACTCTGATCCTTTACGTAGCAAATGTCATTGCTCTTTCATTTCACTTTGAGATTCTTAGACCATTGTCTATGACGGCTCTCGACTCATTTTGACAGGCAGGTGGGTGTTCATCGTCTTCTCAATTGAAACGTTCCCAATTGACGTGGCAGATGTGCTCGTGTTCTGTTCGATTCTACAAAACGACTGTGTTTTCATGAACCCCTAAATCAACTCGCCCTTTCTCATGTCTTTTCATCCTCTTTCATCTTAATCCGTTCGGCTTCTCATCCGGTGCTCTTCCGAAACGGAATCGTTCCCCAAAGCGAGCACCGCCCGTAATTGCATCCAATTGTTATTGTTTTGCCGCCATTGAGACCTTCGATGATGAATTACGAATTGCTTTTTATCCCGCCCCTCCGAATCGTTTCCCTGTTTACTCAACTGTTTCGTTTTGATGGCTCTACTTCTCTCGCTCCCGTTATAATTACAATAAGATGAAAAAAGTGTTATTTGTTCTGCTCTTCTCCTCACAATTTCCTTCATTTTCAGAGCTCTTCTTCACTTATGCCCTCCGGATTCGAATGAGCCGACGTGGCCTCGTCCTTTTGCTCTTCTGCTCCATAGTTGCAGTCACCCGAAGTGAGTTCTAACGAGCAGAGTTTAATTTCATTTCCATCAAGAACGGAACCACCCGATTCTGCGCGACTTTTGACACCACTCGGACTCGTTTATAATGGAAATTTAAATGAGAAGCATTGGGGGGATTAGGACAGGGTTTGACAGGGAACCGGGTAATGGTGGCCGGGATAAGACAAAGCCATAACTCAAACATTTTTCTGGTGAGCAAAGGATGAACGGCAGGTGTCATTGGACACTAAATCGTCGTCAGCCAAATGAATAATGAGCGAAGAAAACCATCTGTCGGCTTTAATGTTCTTCGTCCAAACGATGACCGCTTGTGTATACATTCGGAGGTGGCACTGCAGAAGTGAAGGGCCGGAAATTCGGAAACGAATTCAAGTGTACTCATTTGAGCGTGTCGGCCGACGAATGAACGAACATGGAAAACTGCAATTTGTGAGGGGCTCAAGTGGACTCAGAAATTGTTTTACGATCAGAAATTCACTTTGTCAGCGAGTAATCATTTGATCCTCTTCAAATGACACCCTCTACCGTAGTCCGCTTTCTCTTTTTGTACCCGCCTCCATAATTTGATTATGCAATGTGTCGTGCTCTCCCAAAACATAACCGGGGGGCCACTCTCCATTCCCTTTCTCGTAAATAACCCCGTGCTAGCCAGGATTAGCACCGCCCGAGTCAGATGGCTCAACTCGTCACACCGAGTTAATCCCGTTTGGCACGGACCTTTAACACATGTCCGTGTGCCGAACAAGAAGATCAGAAACGAAGGAATGAATTGCAGGCTCAGCCGAATGCAGCGATGTCTCGTTCTCGTCGGCCGCTTCCAAACTGGACGGTTTGAAGAGAGTGACAAGGCTGTCGGTCAGCGGACACATTTCTGCCTACCACGTCAAGGTGTCCATCTCGGATGACGACTTCCAATTGGTTCGGCTCTCGAATGGAAATCCGCTGGTGAGGAAGCCGCCCGGTCCCCCCAGGGAAACCATGTTATCTAACCGGAAAAGACACCGCCGCCACATGGAAATGTCCCATTTTGGCGACGAATAAGATGGATGTGCGAAGAAAAACGATGTTGTTGCAGGTCCTCTATTCCACGTTATCGAACACGCCATCGTGGACGCATGTGGACTTCCTGGCGTCGGAAGTGAGAATACTGCCGGCTTTCGAGCAGGCGACGGAGGATGTGCGGGGACCGCTCCTGATATTGACAGTCTGCGATTACGGTAGACAACTTATCATTACGGAGATGTTATAAATCCGTTTCAGACACTCAGATCACGGCTTTCGATGACTCTTCATACACCGTTGAGGCACATCATGCCGGTCTCGTTTCAATGTACGAGAATGATTTGTGCGTTGTGTTCCGTACCTACCGATCCGGGGTCTTCTTCTTCTCCATGGCCGATCAGGGAGACGTCCTTATTGCTCAAATAATTCACGGAACAATCCACGTCATATTTGACTTTGGATCACTGACACCGTCCAAGATCAGTGCTGGAAAAGCACTTGACGACGGCCGGTGGCATGAGGTTAGGCTCATTTTCATATCACAAACTTCATTTGCAACTTCAGATGCGATGGCTGCATCAGTTCGACTCGGTGCAACTTTCCATCGACGGCGTGCTCCTCAATCAAACCGCTCCCACTGGTCTCTATAGAAAATTGGACCTGCACAGCGTGGTAAGTGCACTTTCCGCTTCCTGCTCTTGACTTTCTCCTCGCAATTGTTGAGTGAAATCTGAGAAGCGTTCCGGTGTAATTACCCCTTGGGTGGAGGGGAGACCTCCCGCTGTTGTTCTGTTGATTTGCGGATTATCGCCAAGACTTGTAGGTACATATTGGAGGACGGCCTGCCGATGACTTCTCGCAGGGGATTGAGACAACGTTTACCGGTGAGTGCATGGGAGAGTGACGATCAGTCGGAGGGAAACCGGTGATATTGCAGGTTGCATCGCCCGCCTCCAGTTGAACAATGCGGATCTTCTCCAGCTTGCTCCGAGTGAAGTTCACAGTCAGTGTCAGATGCCGAAACCTCCGTCTTTCACCCTTCACAACGCTTCACGAGCCGTCCTTCCGTTCACATTCCTTCCGTTCTCGTTCGAATTCCGAATAGTTCCTGTCAACGGCCCTCTGGTAACTCTGTTGGATGCAGAGAACGGAACACTTGTGGATGTGGTGGTCGACGACGATATGAAACTGCACCTTGTCAGCAACATTACCAAGTTCCGGCAGGCCGCAAATCCAGGTATTTGTCCTCTTAACTGCCATCCATCTCAAAGATATCGTCAACATTTCAGCAATTGACGTGGCGAATGGAGCATGGCACAGTTTCTCTCTGAGAATTCGGGGAGTCCGGATGGAAATTGATGTGGATGGGTACACGGTTCTATGGTTAGAAGGGCACGAAGTCAGGAGGATCTCACAGAGACTCTCCAACTTTATCATTTCCGCCAGTGGGTGTTACCGAAGTGCTACGATAGACCTGACAAGTGTCCGGGTTGATGGAAATGTGACAAGGGGAGAATGCACGTTCGTTGAGAAGTGTCTTCCGAATCCATGTGAGAACGGAGGCGGCTGCATTCAATCAGCTCTAGATGACTACGTTTGCAACTGCCGCGAAGGGTACAAAGGAAAGAACTGTCATACGAGTGAGTCCCGCAAGCAACTTCCAGCATTTTTCTAATTGTGTTTTTCCAGCCGATCTTCCTCATTCTTGTGAAGAATGGGTCTTCACGAAAGGAAATAAGCAGAAGGCAGTGAAAGGACGAAAAGTGCTCATAGACATTGACGGAGGAGGGGAAATGCAACCGATCAATGTGACGTGCAAGATGGAGCGGGACGAGATGGGCGTAGACGGAGTAAGCACCATTCTGGAGCATGACCTCGGCCGGCCGATGATTGTGACTGGGGACAACAAACCGGGAGCCGTGCGACACTCTCTGATCTACGGAATCAGTACAGAACAGATGGACCGACTGGTCGAAGGATTCGAGACGTGCAGCCAGTTCATGAGGTACACGTGTCGAGGAGGCGTCCGACTGATGACTCAGGGGGACGAGAGAAGTCCTTCTTCGTGGTATTCGACGAGAAGTGACAAGCACGGACTGCAGTGGGGCGAGGCCCCTCCGTACTCGCGGATGTGTTCGTGTGCCATCAACGGAAGTTGTCTACACAATCGAATGTGCAACTGTGACAGTGGAGAAGACGCGACCGACGAGGGCGTGAATCCGTACTCGCAGCTGCTCCCCGTCACGGGATTGTTCCTGGGCGGAACCACCAAGTCGTCGTCCATCGAGGTAGAGATCGGACCGTTGAAGTGCAGAAACAGAGCGACGTTCGATTCGGTGACATTCTCGGATCGGAATGCGAAACTGAGTGGGACTCAGACCTTCTCCCAGAGAACTTTCGATGTCTCCATGCACGTCAAGTTCTCTCACTCGCAGATGTCCATTCTCTCGTGGCATTCCACAGACGACCTGCATTGGTTTCATTTGTACGTGAACGACGGAAAGATCGTCGGAGAGGTTGTGAACGGCGGAGAGAGTCAGCAGATTGTCTCCGAACACAGATATGATGACGGAAAGTGAGTGTCCCTCCCACTGTTCTCTTCATTTTGCCTCATATTTTCTTTTTTCCAGCTTCCATTCGATATACTGGGAAGTAGGTTCGACGGGAATGTCCTTGAAAGTGGACGGCATCCGTAAATCCATCAAAGCATCCTTTGTCCTTCCGACTGTTTACACGTGGATCGTCGGATCTCGTACCGAAAAAGGATCTACCGGATTCGCGGGAGTTATCCGAAATGTTTACCTTTGTGGGGTGGAGTTGGCTCTCGGACAGTTCGCGAGGAAGGAAACCGAGAAAGGTAAGAAACTTGATAGCTTGTTCAACCCGAGACCACCATCCGTGTTCAGGCATTTCGATCGGAGACGACGGGTACTGCCGACCGGATTTGTGTCAGAATGGAGGGCAGTGCATTGACAAGTACGACGGGTACGTGTGCGACTGCAGCATGACTCCGTTCGGCGGGAACGACTGCACGAAGGAGTACGGGATGATGGTCCCTTCCGGCTCGACCATTCAGATCCCCTGGCAGAATCCAGCCCATCAGTCAATGTGCCATCGGATCGCCATTCAAACTGTCTCCAGAAACACCTCAATTCTCAGATCTAAAGCTCTTTTTGCTGATTCCACGTTCAATTTGACTGTTGACAATAGCGGTAATCATCTGAATATCACTTTCTTTCACATAAACTTCTTTAGGAAATCTTCAAATGATGGCCTACGACGGTTTCTTCTTCCACTACACACGGCACTCACGGAATCACAATTTGAGCGATGACGTCATGCACGACATCTCATTCTGTGCTTCGAAACATCATTTCAACGTGACAGTCGATGGAATGCAGGTCATTACCATCGAGGGAAATTGGACGTTCTTCGAGAGTTTCAACGTCTGGCACTTCCTCGACGAAAGTACGCGCGGCTGACATGTTTCATGTCTAAATTATTTGCTTTTTAGACTTCGAAGGATGTGTGTCTCGGATACAAACTGGCTCGGCTTTTCCGCTGAAGAATCCAAAGACAGCCAGGTTGAACTACTCGGGGAAGATTCGATTCGGAACATGTCCAGTGGAGGCGGTGTAAGTGTCTTTCTCGTTTCTTTTGGGTGAAGAAGAAAGAAACCTTCCTCTAATTTTTGTGTTTCAGATCTCGACAGCAGCTCTACGACTTCAACCCATCACCAGGTGTGAGCACGACAACAGCTCTCGCATCCACGGAAGATATAAAAATATTCTCTGTGTCACAGAATAGACAAGCTCTCGTGTCAAAAGCTAGTGAGTGAAATGAAAGGGATAAAGAGTGACAGACAAGATTTTCAGTTATTGGAGGCGGTATTCTGGCACTTTCCCTCTTCATACTGTGTATGAGTTCTCTGATCTGTTACATGAGGTCTCGGCCGGAAGGAGTCTACAAAACCAACGAGACAGGTACGTCCTGGTCCTTCCAATTCCCTTATCGAACTTCTTTTTCAGGAGAGAACTGTTCTCCGAGCCGGAGCGAAGAACCTCTCGTGCACAACATCAACAACAACACCCAAATGTACGCATCCAACAAGGAGTATTTCTGCTGAAATTCCTTCGAAACTTGCCTGATTTCCACGGGTTTTCCACCTCACTTTTTGCTATTTCTCTTCAGTTTTAAGCGTCTTTCTTCTTTTCAACGGGTTCTCGCTAAAATATGCTATAAATTTCATTAAAATCTCATAAATTATAAAGTAAACAAGAGTAGAATGAGCTATGAGAGAAGAGAGAGAGCAATAATTACAAACAAAAGTCATGATGACGTGTGAGCGATTCCAGTAGCACTGGCTCGATTACTTTCCAGAGTTGAACACTGGGTTTCCGTCTTGGTAGCTGCTGGGCACACGGATTGGAGCACGGATAGCCATTCCTGGAAAGAAGAATTCAGAAAGAAGGTTCAGTCGACAACTGACCGTCTCTGTAGATGGTGTCTGGGATGGCGACATTTCCTCCGCCGTTGTTTCTGTTGTTTCCGATGAAGATTGGGCGTTGTCCGAAGAAGTGATGACGACGGCGTGGGTGGAAGAATCGTGGGAATCCGCACGAGTTTCCGGAGCACGGTGGCTGGGCGTACACGAATCGAGGTCCGCACGGTGGGGAAAAGCAGCCGGAGTTAGAGTAGGACGGGATGCGGATCACTTTGACTGGCACCGAGTTAGACGAGATTGGCGCAGTTCGGATGGTCACTGGGGATTGGGTCGTGGTCTGAAAGGGGGACCGTTCAGAGAGTACTGTAGTTCGCGAGGGTACCGTAAGAGTCGAGGCATCATAAGCTGGCACAATGTTGGCCGATCCGGCGACGGCTCCGTTGCAGTTTCCGGTGGAGCACGGCGACTGCTGGACGGTCTGTTGTCCGCAGTTTCCGGTGGAGCATGGGGAAGCTTGTTGAACCTGCTGGACGGATCCGCAGTTTCCAGACGAGCATGGGCTCAAAGTGGCCGCAGATTGGCAGTTACCGGTGGAGCACGGAGATTGTTGCGTCTTGAAAGAAAAGAAATTATGAATGCAGAGTGGGATGGATGAGCTTACCTGTTGGTTCTGATCGGCTTGAAACACAATGCGAAGTTTGAGGGGTCCCGAGTTCGGGTCAAGGTTGATCTGCTGCGATTGCTGCTGAGTTGTGTCATAGGCGTAGGTCGACTGAGCAACAGCAACTGCGAGCAGGGAAGCCAGAAGGACGAGATGACGGGTCATGCTTCTAGAAAGACGACAATGGAAATGGGAAAGAGAGCAAAGTGGAAAGGAGATGAAGAGAGAATGGAAGAAGTGTACCTGTCATTCTGAACAGGGCTCTCTTTTATAGGACGGCACACGGGATGATGCCACGTCGAGTAACGTGCGTGCCCGCCTTCTCGCTCCATGTTTGTTTCTCCCTCCCCCTCTCACCTTCCGCGCGGATTTGCTCGCGGCGCCGGCGCGGAAGACGAGGCAAGCAAACTGCGGAAGAAGGGAGAGAAAGAGAATGAGACAGGGCACAGCGGCTACGAAGTACGTCGGAAGGGCAATCCGTTCATTTTCGGAACAGATCGGGTTGTGAACTCTCGAGTGGCGACGGAGCTCGTGGATTTGAAAGCCGCCGAAAAAAGGAGAAAGAGCCACATTCCGCGATGATTACGGTATGAAAGTTGAGTTATTGAAGGCAGTAATCGCTCTGTGCTGCCATTCTGTAATATCTGACGTGAACATCGCTGTTTCTAGTCATCCTAAAGTTTCAGAAGCCAAACATTACAGCATTGCTCAAAAAGCTTGCCAGTCGTACCGGAGAACCTAAACGGGAAGATCAGCGTCATAACGCAACTGGTCTACCTTTGCTCTCCCTCTCTGTTCCATTTCTGACAACCTTTTCTCTTGTCTTGTTCCATATTCTCAAACTTCTGTTTTCCCTTCTTCCTCCTTCAGTAACCCGATAAGTTGTTTTCTTCTGAACTCTTGATTGTCTGCTCTTTTGGCCTCTAACACATTTCCGCCGTTCTTTTTGTCCTGTCCAGTTTCTCGTTGCTACCGAGTAAACTAATTGTTCCAATGAAATTGGGCACAAGTTGACTTTTGGTCTCAAAGTAAACATTTCGGATGAGAAGGATGAGCTCACACACGTAGTACTCCGGTCGTCAAAAAAGTGTGTCTGCAGGAAGAGAGACAGAGCACACTCACTTTCAAACATGCACACACACACACACACACACACAAAACAGGACGGGTCAGTCGGCGGCGGCGGCGCTACAGGAGGACGGCATTAGGCGGCGGCTTCACGGAAACAAGACGACGAGCCAGTATTTTGGAGTGATTTCGCGAAATCAATGTTGAAAGTTGAGGTTGATGTGTCATCAAACGGGAGGAGAAGGTGACATCAGCGACGCGAAAGTTTGACTGGTTCCGTGGGAGCTTCTTCGGGTACTGTAGTTGAAATTTTGAGAGTACACATTAGTCATCTTATTTCAAATTGCACTTGCTTGCTACTTGAAGGGCTCATGTACTTTTGTCGGAAGCGGTTGGTCTCGAAGCGACTCCAAGAGTTTCAACGACTGTGCTGCCGAAGAATTCATTCCAGGACTGCACAGAGGGCGAAATTCTCATCGGACTCCAACTTTGCACTTGTACTGATCTAGGGCCGGAAAGCCCGGGCTTTACGCAAAAAACTATAACAGTATATGTCGATACCAGACAATCCGATTGATGTGAACCTCAGATCAAAGATATTTCAATCCAAGTAGCAGAAGCCTTCAAAGTTTGGGTCCGATCGGAAACTGCAACTGGGTCAAAAGACCAGGCATGTCCTCGAAAAGCCCGAGCCGGCTATTTTCACAGCCCCGACTTCGTTCCACTTGTCTAGGAGTTCTGGAGACCTCAGCCTCTCCAACGTTAAGTCTGGAAGAGAGTTGAATTCCCAAGTAACCGGAAAAGTGCTCCGTTGTCTGCTCCCAGACACTCCGTCAACTTCTCCGTCATTTCCGTGTGATCATACATTCCATTCTCATTTCATCAGTCGTTTTTTCATTCGTTTTCCGTGACTCAAGTACCCGATTAGGAGGGTGCCGCATGAAAAGTGACCGAAACACGTTTTCGATGAGTTTTATCAATGCGTTTTCTCTTTTTTTTCTCCCATATCATGCTCTATCCGGCAAACATCGGCACAATCGGAGCCTTGCTCAATGAACCGCCCGACAAACGGACGGGCAATGTGTTTTGATGTGTTCCGAACAACAGAATCCGCGTGGGAAATCTCTTCGGAAGTTGAAAGAATAGGCTGAGAAGACTACAGTTCGCACGTGTTTTGAGAGCAAAGAACACGAATGATAAGACCGGAAACAGAGCGGATTCACACCAATTGTTGCAACAAATGAGTGCGGTCCCCCGGGCAAATATTGAAAGAGATGGGAGGAAAGCATGACGCACTTTTGAAAACTTTTCGGCCTTCGCCCGATGGAAGAAAACTCGGAAAAGAGCAATTCCACTTTTTGAAGTGGGAATCGTCCGACAGCTGGAAGGACTTGAAATTGCTTTATGATGTCAACTTTATTCAGCAACTTTCTTTGAAAATGAAAAGGAACATTCAGAAGACGAGGAAGTGTTGTGAACAGAAAAAAGAGTGAGAATTCAGTAAACGTCAATCAAAGAGCTCCGTGGTAGCTTCTACCTTCCTCCTCATGACACATGTTGTTCTTCAATGCTCTGTTTTGGAAATTAGTTACCGACTCTCCAGTACTCTGAAAGAGAGACAGATTGAAACAGTATGACTGTCGGTAAGGCTTGCCTGTTGGAGCTGGCGCGTCTGTATTTTTCGCAGTTGCAGGAGTGCTCTCTCGAGTTCGGTCATCTGCCAATTTGGAGACTTCCGCGCACACAGTTCGTCGATTCGTTCGTTCAATTCACGAGCCATTTCTAGATCATTCGGCTCCTTCCAGTGCGAATTAGACCATTCTTGGTTCCAGTTTGATCTGCAATTAAATATCATTGTTTGTCTTTCGTCCGCTGGTGCTTACTGGTTCTGAGGTGGTGATGGTGGTGATGGCAGAAAATAGGGCTGTCCTTGATTCCAGTTCCTCATCCTGAAAAGTTTAATTTGAGGCATGAAGTCTTTCAATGTTCCGCATACCCATTTTGCAGCTGAGGCGACTGTGACCGCGTTTCTGTTCCGCTGTCGATGCTGTGTTCTTCCGGGAAAAGGTTGTTATCACTGAAACCGATAAAACAGTAAAGCAGCGTGCTGGAACTATTCACTCACTTCAAGTTGTTTTGTATGGGTATGTCATTCGAAGAAGAATTTTTGAATTGCCGATTATAATAGTCCGAATTATTTCGGGGCTCTATGGGAAGACGTTTCTCTTCGAGCAGAGTGTCTCCATCCCTGAAGGTCATTCCTTTTCGAGAGCTGAAATTGCATCCGGTTATTATCATTTACACTCACGATGCACTCACTTCCTTTTACAGTTCTTCTCATTTTGTCGTTTTGTATCAGTGTTGTTCCGATGGTTGTGTGGTCTGTTTCCATTCGTTGGAGAACGGTTGTATTTGCTGAAGAAGGAAGGTTGGGAATACGAGTTAATATTATCATAAACTCACTTTTGTTGTTGCTCTTGAATGGTTAGTTCCGCAAAGTCCTTGGAGAGTTCGAAATGTTGTTGCTTGCTGCCAACGGAAAGAAATATTCTATCCTCGAACTGGCTCAAGCACTCGATCCAAAGCTGAACTCCTGTGAACGGCTTTGCCACGTACTTGCCTGAAATTGCAAAAGAACTATTAGACAGCAAAAGATCAGTATCCAACTAACCAAAAAAGTTGCCAACGTCTGCAATTAAGTGAACAAACTGTGAGGTGAAGATGGTCGTCATCTGCGGTGAAACTTGCATTGTGCAAGGGACCAGGATCTGAGAAAGGGTATAAGTGATCTTGGTGTTTTCCAACAGCCACTCACTTGGAACACATTCCCGTTTCTTTGAACAGGATACCTGTTCAGTGGCGATCTCTCGATCGGCTGATCCAGTTGAATGTGTGCGGTGCGGACGTCGACGGTGAAGTCGAGCCAAGTGCCGACGTGCTCCCCGTCCGAACGCACTCCTCCACTGAACCGCATTGGTTACTCACTGATGAGAGGCAGTCTGACACTTACTTTTCCTTCTTTCGGGGGAGCAAAAAGTCCATTTTGTAGCCGGGCACAAAGATTCGGAACGACGAATCGTTTCTGGTCTTTGCGTAGACGAAGCCGCTCACGATGCGGTAGATCTCATTGCTCTGAAATAGAAAGGAATAGTGAGTTAGCTGGTTGTTTCCGAGCTCACATTCAGTTCGACGAGCTCCTCAATGATTCCGTCCTTCAGCAGAACTTCACGGCCGATGAGCAGCTGATCGCTCAGATTTATTCTCTGCTTAGAGTCCACCAATTCCTGTAAAGCACAAACGATTAAAAATCAAAAAAGACGATCGACTCACATCGGACTGCTCAGTTTTGAAGACACGCATTCCATTCACCGTGAATGAATGGACTCCGAGAATTCGGTCCTTGGCAAAGTTGTTCGATTGCATTGTTGGGCAGAGGAAGTTAGAGGCCTACAAGTTCGAGAATGTTGAAAAGGACGACGAAAAGAGAAATGTGAGGTGGCGGGGAGGGAGAAGGAGAACACTGAATGCATTGAAAGAGAGAACGGAATGGATGGAGAGGAATGAAAGATGGAAAGCGACACGCTGGAATCGGCCGTTTACAGTATCTCTTGCACGCGAAGGAGAGACGCTTTCCGAGAAGCATTGCGTGCCCGTTTCGACCAAAGAGAATATCAGAAAAGTATCCTATCACTTTACTTTTTTTTTAGGTACAATAGACTATATTACGGAAATTATGTGAGGTCCGGTGTCAGAAAAGTGACTGAACTCTCTCAAGACGCAACAATTGAGAAGACTGCAAACAGTTCGGGTCTTTTGCAAACAATTGGAACTAAGGTAACGCAGAACGAGCAAATGGTTTCTTATTTTCCTCGAACACAGCAAGCCGTTAAAGAGAGAGAGAGAGAGAAAGAGAGAGAGAGAGAGAGAAACGGGGACCCCGCAACGACCATTCGTCACTGGCATATGACTGCTAATGTATGGAAAGCGGCGATAATTTCAAAACGAATTCGCAGTTTTCACTTACAATCGCCCACAGAGCCGATCTGAACCGAAGGTGGACACACTTTTAGGAACTGTAGTGGGCTGAGGTCAACAAAGTTTGGTGCCCATGGCCCATGGGTCAGGTTCGAATCTTTGCATTCATGTAGGCTTTGATTCTCTTCAAAAACGTACCGACTTCAGTGAATGGGAAAAAATGAATACGGAAACGTACGATCCATTTTGAGCTCAAAAATGACACTATCACATATTCATGAACGAATTAATTTGTGATAACGAGTCTCTTGATATCAAACTACACTGTTTTCTGATAATCGAATTGGCACAAGACAAAGAAGCGGTCACTCAATTGAGCGGCTGCAGCGCATGTGCACGCTACACCCGAAAAAAGCGGAATACGAATGAGGGGTGTCATGTGACGGAGAGAGAGAGAGAGGGAATTGCAAGGAATGGAGTCGGCGAAAGCACTCCCGCGAGAAAAAAAGCCTCCAGTGGTACAGCGTGCGTCATTCTGCGCTCAAAAAATGAAGGCCGAGTGAAAGAGGGAGAACGAATGGCGTTTCGCTCGATAATGCTCGCGAATGCAGAACCTAAAAGAAGAAAAAAATGATGCGAGTGCCTACATCGTCGTCAGTCATACTCAATAGCTTATCCGAAAGAAGATTAGTTAGCACGGAGAAAAGAGGAGAGAATGGGTATCTTGTGACGAAGGAGGAATACGATATTTGAAAAGGAGCGGCAAATGATAGATATTATGGGTCCACGTCTACATTCGGTCATGCACGACGGAATGAGTATGGTTCAATCAATAATAAAAGAAGGGGACCCTCGTTGGTGAATACAATTATTCTTTGAAATGACCGCCATTTCATGTTTTCTTTATTTTTCGTTGATGAAAAGTTAGGCGAAAAAAAAAAATGTAGTTAGGCGAAAAACCGCAGAAATTTGTAACATTGGTGATTTAACTTTTTTGGAACTTGTTGGCAGAAGGCAATGGAACAAAAGGTAAACAAGTATATAATATGCGCAAACATAGCGTCATAAAGGAAGCAGCCGTTCTTCTTCTCTTTCCAACGCCGCAATCGATACATTCACAAATGTGACCACGACAGCTGGGAGAAGCTAATTTGGCGGCCGTGAAAGCGAGCACTCACGGGTCATGTGTGACTGATTATTGTTAATACGACAGAAACGGAAGGAAACGATTGATGTGAAAATGAGGAAACGGGCAGAGCGAAGAATGGAAATTTTGGTTGTGAACGTATGAAGGACTCATGCAACTTCGATCGACATGTGAATTGGAAGATACTATCTGAAAAAATGATGTGCAAACAAAGGTCAGAAAGAGAGAGAAAGAGCAGACGAGAGGTGTTCAAGGCACGGGTGATACATCTCTTTTGTTGTAATATTGTTGTAATATCCTCACGCGGCCTCATTCCGAACGATTGAATGTGTACAAAACAGAACGCTCGAACACTGAGTGATGTCGGTCGTGGTTCGAGAGTGATTTAGAGTTCTTTTGGAACAAGACCTACAAAAGCTCTGAAGGAAAGGATTTCGATTATTACTAGGCGCAAAAACATAAATTATCTTCACGTGAGAAAGAAAAGTATGTGGAAATATGATTTCAGATATCTGCAGATGATTTTTTCTCGAGTATCAGAGGTCGACAGCGAAATTGAAGAACACTTGGAATTCTTTCCTTCAGATCTTTCGAGCCATGTAGGTTCTTGTTCCGAAAGACTATGGAATGGATTGTTATCAGTTAGCAACTCCACTCCAAATGAAGGAATTCCCCTCAAATTCAGAGTAGAGTATTCAGAAGGTTGTAGTGTGTTCGTCCGTTCGAGTCGCCACACGCCGAGTCATGTGATCTTCGATTTTTGAGTGCGGAGAGTCCAGAGAGCGAAACAAAGAAATGCAATTCTGAAAAAAATGCCGACGGTCGAGCTGTTTTTACAAGTTCATAGTCAGGATCTTTGCGCATCTTTAATTTGTGGCTGAATAAAGAATGTTTCACTTAAATTCGGTGTTTTTCCAGATCACAGTCTTCCCATTTTTTTCAATATTTCAGACGGCTGAATTCTATATTTAGAAAATTGTACTTTTTTGTTTTGGAAGAAGAAAAAAACATTGCGCTGGCGAAGATTATTTTTCACTCGAGTTTTTGTGTCGGCCGCTCCCATGGCCTAGAATTTTCCTCAAAACAAATCCGCGGCCCTCGGCTTATCAATCGAACTTTCTCGGATTTTTCTAGCTCTTTGTGTTCAATTTCAAGCTAAATTATCAATCTTAAAGAATGGAATCGTCGTCCAGTGGTCCTTCGATTCTGGAAGACAACCAGAAGCCGTGTGTCGTAACATTCGTGACGCAGAACGACAGATTGAACGAACCGCCGCCACAGCCGAGAGTCCGAAAAGTGACAACGGTCATCAATACGCTCGCAGTCGTCATTCGAGACACGCCAACAGAGCTCGGAGTTTGGGTAATGACTGCGTGCGTTCACAAGAGCATTCCGAAGACACATCCTCATCTTTTCGTGGTAAACGCATCCTTCCAAAGGAGAAAAAACTATTCGCATTTTTAGGATTTTCGTTTGGGAACATGGATGATTGTGGGAATTTACCCGGACGGAACAGTCGCTTCTTTCTCGCCATGGCCTTTAGTTTTGAACGCATATCAAACATTTGTCGGAAACGGCGTCGTATCCGTCGCCAAATCAACACTTGACCTGAAATACGAAACGGTGAACATTTGAACGTTCTGTAAAGACATCTCCACTTTCCATTTCAGACAGTCACACTAGGAGAATACTTGAAAAATCACGGAACTGTCAATCCGAACGACTACAGCGTATATGATGTAGGAATCGCATCGAAAGCACCGAAATGTAACCGAATACTCTTTTAGCAAGGAAAGTGTGTCGATTACTGGTTGATACCGGGATTTGGGCGCGTTCTGGCACACTGCAGTTTTCAAGTGAATCACCAGACAATACGAGAACGAAACCAGCATAGAAATATTTGGCTGTCCTGGTAATCGAAATGATCTGATCAGCCCGATCTTCTATGAGTTACAGGTGCGGCGAGGGAACTCAACAATGCTGTTGGGCCATGCACTCTATAGACAACGAGCAGCCCGAAATGTTCTCAGAGCAAGACCTGAGAGATTGCCTGGAATTTATCCGAAACAGAGAAATCGCAGTGAGTCGGGAGTTCTAGACGGTGCTCAAATGCATTTCCAGACAGACTATCCACCTGCGACTAGTCGCGTGGTCGCTCGGCACTTCGGCCTCATCACCGAAATCTGCGAATCCAAGAAGATTCTGTTCTGCTGGTCCCCGAAGGCCTCAATAGAGTCTGACCACACTGTATGGATTCCGCAACCTCCGAAGCAGAGAGAGATCGAAAGTCCGCCGCTGGTGCCACTCATTGGACAGTGGCTTCAGTTCGATCTTCAATCGAAAGATGTCGAAAAGTACATGACAAGCAAGTTCGGAAGCAAGTTGCTCATTCAAGAATATCTGCCAATAACGAGTCCCGCTGGAGTCGGTGTGACTCATACGAACAATGTTGTCAGAGTGAGCACGCAGTCCTCCTTCTTCCGCGTATATTTTCAAACTTCCAGGTCGTGCTCTCTTGCATTCTTGTCAAAGGAACAGACCATCCGTTACTCTTCGAACTACCCTACTACGGAATTGTAATTGCTCAAAAGAACACTCTCGTTTCGGGGGCTCATATGCAGCTAGTGCTCGAAAAGATGTCAACCCAGATTGTGAAGATCAGTGGAGTGTGCTGGAAAGTTATTTCCTCGATTGCTGTCAATCCGAAAGATGTAAAGGTGGAGAAGATGCAGGAGTTGCTCGTGCACTATATACCTCTCCGAGACTCCATGGAGACATCCGTTTTAGTCCAAGGGGAAATTAAAAGTGAGGATCGAGTCTTCCGTAACTTGTGATGATCATTTTTCACAGCGCAAACACTGACTTCCCTGAAGCATTCCGCTCAGAATTCTTCGACCTCCTCTAATATGACAACAGCTCGCACTGGCCCTTTAGTCACAACTCTCAAGTATCAGCAGCCCCATCATCAATATTTCCAAGAGGCTCGCGAGTATTTCCACCCCAGGACTATCCGAATGTCCGCTAACGATGTCCTACCGATGTACGATCGGCCCTGGCAGGCCAAAAGAAAGCTGCAGCAGGAGTTCAGCGGTGCGACACTGGTATGTGATGACAGTTATTTGCTCGTTTCTCCTCTGCCGAATGTTTCACTCCTAGTGCACGATTATTAATGACAGAAATACTAATAAATGTACATAAATCAACGTAAATCTCGTTTAACTCGGCCTTTCGTGTGCTTTGCCTGCTGCATGCTGCTCAATCTTCCGAACCTTGTTGCTGCAGGAAGCTCACGCGCTCGTCGAGAAAACGCACTCACAAAAGCTGTCGGGCATACTGTGGATCTTCGAAAATGCCGCCAGTCGTACGATGTCCGCATGTTCACCCAGCAATCTCAAACAACTGTTTCAGTATTCTTTTATCACAGCGAAGACGTCTCCTTGAACATCGGCGAATACTACTCCGTGAAGCTCGTCCAAGTCATTGACCCGCAGTCGAAGAACGGCTTCAGATGGACGTGGATGAGTGGCACGCGGAAACCGGCGCCTTTTCAACACCACGTTGATAGAGGATGTTTGATAGTGAGTTCTGAAGTTCAATCGAGATAAATCAATAACTACCTTCAGATTCAAGAAACGCTCAACTTCATTGGCGTGGACAAGCACAAGCGGGTGACCTTCCGTGGGATGTACTTCCCTAACGTTCTTGATGTTCATTCGGTGATTCAAAATCCAGCAGTGAGACCGGAATGTCATGATTGTAATTTTCAATGGTAAAATTTCAGTGCAACCTTCTCTACCACGTAACGATCACTCGAATGAAGGTTCATTGTTTGCCATATAACGAGAACGGAGTGAGATTCTCACTTCTTTCCTAATTTTTACTCCAATCCTCTCGTTTTTAGTCGTTCCACTGGGTAGTTTCTAGCACCCTTTTCCTCCAAGCGGCCCCGCTACAACAGAAGCACAGACATCATCAACACTTGTACCAGGCTTATCCGTCCCGCCCGTTGACACTCCAATCTGTGGCGACTCTTGCAGGTGACTCATGTAATACATAGTGTTTTGAGAAGAAGCAAGACAGACGTTGCAAGGCCACTCAAAGTCCATGCTTTCCTCTTCTCTTCCGCTCTTCGTCACCAGACGCTTGGTGGTGATTTACGACGACGAATAAATCACTTGCAGACGCAGCTCGGTCGTCTTCCGAACGTTCTTCGACTAGTTCTCCGCTACAAAAGCACATTGTGCTGAATGAATAACAACCAAATCGCAGTCACATTGTTACTCATTTTTTATGTTTTCTTCCTCTTCGTTTTAATAGTCTGATGTTCTCTAACCATTTTGTAGTTTTAGCATCTCCCGGTAGTTTTCGTTCTTGGTGCCATATCCATTCTTTGAAGACGTGTTTATCTTTGCGGGTTCTCCAATTCACGGTTCAAATTTCCTTTCTTTTCCCGGTATTACGTAAATTTACCTGTCTGCCCGCTTATTCTGATAAATTTTGAGAGTTGCTCTCTTATTTCTCGTCATTTTATTTTATCCATTTTTCGTTACAACTAACATTATTGGAGGCCAAGAGCAACCAAACATTTCTGTTAGACCATGGGAACTTGGCGGCGCAGCAGTCTTGATTCTGTCTTATTTTAATTTCTCTGCGTTTCTCATACGCAAGCACTTGTTCTTATACTTTTATTTCAGGGATTTCAACCTTCAATCGACCATAAATACCGCTAAGAAGCGAACTAACGATGGATGGAATCGCTGCTCAGCGAAACGCGAACGGAACGATTTCGGTTGTTTCGTTAGTTTCCAAAAAAATGAAAACAGGAAATCAAAGAGTTTCACAGGCCTTCCGACGAAATCGAATTCGATATTAACGAAGACATAATGCACATTCATGGCATATTTCTCGGAGATTTCCTCAGTTTTGAAATTGAGAACAACCAAGCCGTTCCCCCATTTCATCAGACAAAAGGGATCGATGGAATCCAAGTGAAAGTGGAGAACAATATTGCAGTGGTTGGTTCGAAATGCATTCAGAAAGAAGAATCGCCCGGTTATTCAGATATCCGGATTAGTTGGAACTCTCGTCAACAAACGTGCTCTCTTCTATGATACCACCGAGTTTGGACGAGTCGCCTGCAGAGACAAAGAGCCCGGAGAGGTTGACCAGAGCTACAATATCCTCGTCTCCAGGTAACCACGCTTCTTGAACTGATTTACCACGGATTCACTGCAGGCTGCCGGAAGAACATCGCCGAGGATTGTACTCGAAATGCGTCTGGGGAGGCATTTCGAATGGGATCGTTCAGGAAGAGACGATCGACGAGGAATTCTTGGAGAGAGCGTGCAGTATTGTTCTCGACGGGTTGATAACTGGCAATGAAACAGAGACCGGAGAGAAAGAAAGCGTCGAATTCATTACTGCCAGTGAGGAGGAAAATGAATTGGACGAGGAGAGTGATGTGGAACTAGAAGAAGAGGAGAGCGAAGGAAAGGGACCGGTTGAACAGCCTACCAAACGAGTCATTGGCTTCGTGTGCAAAATCTGGAAAGCGGAAGTCAGAGTGACGTGCAACTTGACGTTTCCGGGATCCGACGGATTCATTAAAGGACCGGAAAGAACGAAGCTGAGAGTCGGCGACTGGGTCGAACTCCGTTTCACTGAATCCGAATTCAACCATTTCTTCCCTCATAAGCCGACTCAAAAAACACCCTTCTTCGAGGTGGACACGTTCAAAAAGATTCCGGCGCCGTCGAATTACTCTATCCATAATGTGAACAATAGTGTGACAGTGACAGTGAAAAAAGTGAGATTGCCTGCAAATCACAGAAAAGGCGGAATTATCGAGGATCGTTACGTGGGAACGATCGCGGATACCCAACAGAAGACAAGAAACGGAGGAGCCGTCGTCAATATCGTCGTTCGTCGAATGCGAGTCTGTCCGGGGGCGGGTGGCAAATTTGCGGCGTGGTGTATTAGTGGTCTGACCGAAAGTGCCGATGGATCATCTTCTCAGGATGACGCAGAATCTTCTTCAGCGGTAAATTGGAACGAATTCACGAATGTTTGTTTGAAAACCGTACCTAGTTTCAGGAAAGTACAACAAGTGGACCGACAACTTCAAAACGGAAGAAATCGACAAAGAAAAAGTTTAGAGGGAAGATGGCGGACGTCAAAAAAACACCTCATTTCGAACCGGCAAATCCGTTCCAGCGCCCGGTGCTTGCTCCTTATCCGACCATGGGACCGTTTCCTTACCATCAAATGTTTCCGCCGGCAGTGGCTCCTGCCCCCCCGAGATTTTTCTTCAACTCTTCACACCCATCGCCCTCTCTCCACAAGCAGTCCAGTTCGAAGCCAGTTATCCACGGACAGGGTTACAATTCGGTTCACGGGCATGGATTCAAGGCTGTGGAAACGCCGAAGAATTTGGTGGTGATGCGAGCGGTCGTGACTTCAGTTAAGAAAAACGCGGCATTTTTGTGGCTACTGGAAAAGCACTCGTAGGAAAACTCCCATTCTCCTGAGACCTTTTGAGACATTCCCTTCTGTTTCAGTCAATCAGTCTTCTTCCTCACTCCGGAAATCATTCTCGAACCCGGTCACTTCTTTGAGGGTCAATTCTCTCGTGATGAATCGAAAAAGAGTGGCGAGGGACCGAAATGGCAGTGCCAAAAGTACCTGAGAGCCATGCGCGAACTCATTCCAGGTAGTATTACGAATGGAACCCTCGAGTTCCGAATTACTGTGAATACTGTTAAACATGAGTGCAGCTTCATGAAGCCGGAGACGTACCACGAGTATATCGGTCCGATCGTTAGTAATATCTGTTAGCCCGTCGAGCAACTAATTTGTAAAACTTCAGATCGATCTTTATCAAAAACTGCCACAAGACTGTTCCAAAGGAATTAAAATTACAATTAAATTATCTCGAATCGACGAGTACGGTCAGTGGAGATGGATTGTCGCAAAAATTTTTCAATCGGTCTGCTAGCCATCGCTTTGCTATGAAAAAAATTTCAATTCCAGAAACACGCTCAGTTGCTCACGGAGTTCTTTCCGGTCTGGCACACCCCGGGTATCCGTGCCCTTCTCAATGAGAAGTGCGATCATCAGTTCGTGAATCTGAAAGGCCTACTGGACATGGAGCCTGGCGACCAGGTGCGTTCTAGCCAGGTGAAGGCGGGAAGTGCCCCTGCGAATCAAGTTGAGAAGAAAGAGGAAGAAACTGAACAGGGAAAGTTCGCATGGGTCACCTCGATCACCGAGAATTCTGTGAAAGTGATCGTCTTCCCGCGAGTGAAAAAGCAAACTATGCGTGATATGATCAAGGAAATCACTGACAAGAATGTGTATAAGTTGGTCGAAACTCATTTCATGCTTATTCGAATCGATGAAAATCATTTCAGAACCGTCGACCAGATGAATGTTCACAAACTGTACAAAGTTGAAATAGATGAAAATGGAGCCGTGACCGAGATGTCCGACTGCGAACAATCATTTGCAGCTGATAAAGAGGGGCGTATTGAATTCAAGTTTAGCTCGAGTCAAAAGGATTATCGTATTACTCGGAACGTGGCTCTTGTTAACCCGATCGGCGCCCCTGCGTGGATCGGTAAACTGATGTTTGCCTATCCTGGGAAACCGATTCCGAAAAAGGAAATCGTCTGGAAGGTTCCATTCCATTTTCTGAACGATGAAGATTTTCTCGGCAACCGCGATGAAGTGACTGAGAATGGCGTCTGCTTCGTGAATACGGATCCACCAAAGAGTAAGATGCGGAGCCATTTCCATTCAACACACTGCACAATTTCAGAACTCAATGAAAAACTGTTCGATTTGGAGGAGAGCACGCGGACGCAGGACGCCGATCCCTTCGAAAGTTTCCAGAAAAGGCTCGAAGTATTGCCTAAAGAAGAAGCTTACAAAATGTTTAAAAATGTTTGCAAAATCCTCGCCGATGAGGGAGTCACCAAAGCTATGAAGGATGCGGGGGTGGACACTGGAAAACTTTTAACCATCATCAAGGCTAAGCCTGAATAACTGGCAATATTCTAACTGCTTAAAATTGATTGCCCGAATCTTGCATTTCCTTAAAATGAATTTTTTGTGAACCTATTTTAGATTGAAACCTAATTCATGTTATTTCCGACATCGCTGTATCTGTTTCCGTATTTTTACCAACCAATAATTGATTTTTCAGTCGACTCCAAGATTCGACGGATTGCCCAACGCTCTAAAGGGTCTCGTGCAGTTTTTTTGTTATTTTTCTCTTGAATGCTCTTCTATCCGTTCTGGTTTAAAGTAGCACACTCCCCGTCGCATTTGTCTGGGTCTCTCCCTCAGTGTTTGTCTATTTTCTTCTCTGCATTCGTCACAAAAGACGAACAAATGCGTATGAGTTTCATGTGCCTTCCTCGTCTCTTTGACAAAACATTTTTGTTAATCTGGTACATTTCAGGTCTTTAAGCCTCATCCGAGAGGCCAAAAATGGTAAGAACCACGTACGAAAATTTCAAACGACGCAGTTCAGGACGACGAATGGCACGTCGGCTATGTAATGGGTATTCATCGCGGGATCAGCTTCGTAGTTCTGATCCGAGAAGGAATATCGGCGACAATAGAAAATGAGCGGCTTAATAACGGGCGGCCGGGACGAGAAATTCAACTCGGCGACTTTTTAGAAGTCAAATATGTGTAAGAATGACAGCACAGTCTATCACTTATCAATATTGTCGATTCGATTTCAGTGAGAATAAGCATTGTAGCGATAAGGACCGAGCTCGTCATAAAATCGTGCATTTCCGCAAGATCACTCCGCTCGCCGTGACTAGATTTGATCACACACCGCACGGTGTTGACGTAATTGTGAGTTGGAACACGATTTCGAGTCTTCATACATAAATATTTAGATCACTACTTCGGCCTACTTCGAAAGTCTAACACACGATAGGAAGCACAAAATGCTCTTCAACAATACATTTGGTGCGTTTATCGACGTCAAAAACGTTATCAAAACAACCATCCAGCGGGGTGAATGGGTGAACTTTGACTTCAAGGTAAACGATTTAGAAAGGAATTAGAATTAAGTTAATTTTCAGTGTACCGGAAGCAAGAAAAAGCGAAACAGCTCGATATTCGTTCCGGTCAAAGTTAATGAATATCTTCCGAACGCTCCGAAACAATGCAATGAAGAGAGAAGATGTGAAGAGGAGAGAAGATTCGAAGAGGAGAGAAGATTCGATGAGGAGAGAAGATTTGAAGAAGAGAGAAAACGTGAAGAGGAGAAAAGATTCGAAGAGGAGAGAAGAGAAGAATCACGAGAAAACTATCCATATTTTCTAACAATGACTGGCTTTGTGGGAGAAGAATCACATACTATAGGCGGACGATGTGTGTGGACAAAAGACAAAACAAATGACGTCTTATTCCCGGAGCAATTCTAGTTTGTTCATGCCTCTAATCATTCATCTTATCAGATCATTTTCAGCCCACCAGGAATTGAAATTGCTGGAAAATGGATCCGATTCGTTATGAACCCTGTGGAGAATCGTATCGTGGAACCGCCTACTATCATTGCAGAAGAATACATGAGCCGTGTTGAGTGTGGTCTCTCGGAAGTCTGGGCAACATTTGAATACGACGGTTACTACGATCAAGGTGGATTTTGTGTGTTCAGAGATATACCTCGCTATTTTGGATTGATTTCCGACCCGGACCATGTTATTCATCAAACCGAAAACAGTGGACCGTATAGCGGCTGGATTGGCCGTTGTAAAAGTGACATTGCTGACTGCCGGTGGAAAATATCTCCAGAACAAGACGCGCCGCGGTGCAATGGTGGTCACAAGGACTGGGAGGAAGTACCGCGCTCTCCATCTCCAGAAAAACGCTTCTTCGATCTTGAAGGCGAAGAAGGCTGTGAGGTACCCAGTACCTCTGGTCCCAGACCGTCCATGCGCGAAGACGGCGATGACAGGCGGGCCCCTTCTCGCGCGTATCCGAATCAGTTTCAACTGCGAACACCTCTCAAGCTCGAAAAAACCAGAAATTACGATGTGCAGGACACGGACGAGCGATTCCCATCACCTGTTCGCATATGGAATGAAAACGATTCCAAAAACGACGTCGACAGAGGAGATAGTCAACATACAACGACGATTTCTCGATGGCTGCCGAATTTTGAAAACGACGTAGTCCCGGCGAGCAGAAGAGCTATACCGTCCGCTGGTAACTCGGTGTATATCACTTCGGGTGAAACGCCCAATACTTCGCCCGTATTGAATAGAAGGCATGCTGAATACGACTCATACGCCCATGTAAGAATCTATCTTTATTCTCAACAATTGAACATGATTTCAGCGCCTCTTACGTGCCAACGAGATATTGAAGTATTTCGCCAAGAGAGATCCGACAATACCGAACAATATGATATTGGCTAGAGAAGAAGAGTTTTATGAGCTGATGAAGCTTACCAGCCTAGCGAGTTGAATAATTTTCAAAGAGTTTAGTTCCTGAGATTCAATCTTCATTCATCTCAGCTAGTTCGTCCTGCTCTATTGTTCTAATAACCGTAATCCATGTCTTTTGCTGTGCCATTATGACTATTTTCGCATTTCTTGTCACTCGTATTAGTCCCGAATTATCTTAATAATTCATATTATAAACGGTATACCGGTCACTTTTTCTTTAATCAACGTTTTTCCCGTTTTTATCGGATGTTTTACTTTCATTCATTGCCCACCAAGTGGGCTTCATTTCCTTCTTCCTTCTTCATTTCAGTATCATTCTGATTTCAGACAAATACGTACTTGTGGCGCCGGAGACTAGACAGCTCACAGCGCTGCCGTTCGATCTCATAATGGATAGGCCGAAAACAGTTGTAGGATTGGTAACCTTTGACTCCTCTCGAAACGCCTGTTTCCGTGTATGGTCAAAATCAACTGAATTCGATTACATAATTGATTACCGACTCTGGTGTGTCAAGGCATCCACTTTATTAACAAATGATTTTTTTCAGTGATCCAGATATAGACCTCTTTGGAAAATGGGTCCGATTCGATGCAGATGACAATTGCCGCGCAGTCAGTAGACCCACCATCATCGATGATGTTGTGGAAACGAGAATAAAAGGTCATTTACTTGAGGTGCATTCGGTCCCTTTCGCTCATAAACACTTTTCCACTTCCAGGTCAAAACAGATTTTAAATACGACGGTAATGTTGAAAATCAGTTCGAGATGTACCGCAGTGATTACTTCGGACTCATCTGCGATCCTCGTCATGTGATTACTCGAGTTAACAGAGACGGCTTGTACAGCGGCTGGATTGTACGTCACAAAGAAGGATCGCTGCCATCGAGGTGGAGAGTAGCTATGCATCAAATTCCTGAATGTATCGTGGATCAGGTCAGTCACCGCTTATGAAATAGCTGTTCATTGTTGATATTTGAAGCGCGGTGATGGATTGCAATTGGTCACTGGCATTGTACATAGTGAATCCAAAGAAGGAGACAAATTCTTTGCGTGGTCCGAATCATGCCCTCGATCAACGATCGTGTTGTATCGCTCATTGTGGTAAAAAAAGGCAATTTTAATGACCCAAGAAAATGTATCCCTCAATTTAGCCCGTCGAAAGTTTTTGGACGTTGGCTCGAAATGTGGATTGACGACAAAAGGCGCGTTCAGAGACCAATTCAAGTCTTAAACGATAAGTTCAAAACCATCGTCAGAAACGGAGTCGTGGAAGTGCGTAAATGGAAATAATTGCAAGTACAATCAGTTTTCCAGATTCTCGCCGACTTTGATCATATGGGGCGGTCAGACCATGGTGAAATATTCCGTAATAACTACTTCGGCGATATCCGTGACCCATGGGGCATAGTCCAACGAGTGGAGCGAAGAGGAACGTACAGGGGATGGATTACGTACAAGAGACCGGAATCAGTCGAGACGCCGTGGAGAGTTGCCGACGATCAACAAGTAGAATTGGTTAGCGGAAAACAGCTTCAGTCCCTAGTTTTTACATTTTTCAGTTACCGCCGGGTCTTCCGTATCCGCCCGCAGATATGAGAAGTGAAAGAGGATCTCGTCGTCCGTCACCTGTTCGTTCGATGAACGGAGGACGAGACGGGTGGCGGTCTCCGGACAGGGGAGCTCCTCCCGGTTTGGGAAACACATCGAATTACGATCGTTCTCGTGCCGGCTCGTCAGCTCATTCCGTCCGCAGTGGCCGTTCTCGTTCGCCGGAGAACAGAAGTCAAAACGGAAACAGATCATTCCGGGCACCGAGCGAGAATATGACCCGTTCCGCAGACAATTTCAATCGTCGAGACTCGCACACTCCGGACGGATATCCTCGTCACGTGCAGGACGAATCACGATCCGTTTCTCAATTGAGCATGCGTTCCGGCATCTCGGATCTAAGCTACTCTCGCAGTCCAGAAAGATCGAATGCTCAGGGACCACAACAAGGTGGCTCATACAGACCATCGTCAGCGAGTTTCAAAGGCACTGCGGCGGAGTGTCCCGATGATGCGTTCGCTGGTATTGCTCCCTGTGCCATGAGCAACGAGAGAGATCAACGGTCGAATCAAGCACATCTGGACAGAACTCTGACTGAAGATGATATGCAACGACTTTCCTTAAACGAAAAGGTTCGAAATTCGATGTAATCTGTGCATTTCAATAACAAACCTATTTATTTTAGGAGAAGAGGCGTGTTGATCCCCCGTTCAATCCGTACGGTAAATGTGTGAGCCTCATCACAACATCGATTACTCCTGCCGCTTACTCTGCTTCATCTGAAAAAGAGGCCCGAAATAAAGAAGTGACTCCGCGGGAGGCTCAGTCGGTTCCAAAGAAGAAGCACACTATTCTGGCTGCTTCTCATCCGGAAGGTTACCGAAGACCTCAGAGAACACCGGACGAGGTCGAACTTCAGTATTTGAAGGATGTAAGAGAAGTTCTTCGGTCTTTGTTTCCCCTTACTTCCTTCGTCTCATTTCCGAGAGAATCTATAAGTATAACTTTTCCTTTCGTTTCTCTTTCTGTTCCCTCCACACAATGCTTGCTCACTCTTGTCTCATTGATTTAATTTTCAGCGGATGGAACGCGTCCACCAAATCCTGCAGCGGTTCACGAGCGACGAGTCGATCAGTCTCCCCATGCGTCTCGTCAACCTTGAAATGTACGAAGAGCTCCTTCGCATAACAAACCCAAGCGAGTCTGGATTCTTGTTTTAAACACAACAATTTACGCAACTGTTCTCTTCTTCAAAACGTATTTATTACATCAAACCAAATTCCTCCCAATCATTTCCCCGTTTACTTTTCCTTTCTGTCGTCAGTTCTTCTCGTGTTCGCTCTTTTCAATGTAATTGCTCTAATAAAGATTTCTACAGAATATTTGTTTATTTGGCCTGTATCGTTGCTAATTCGGTGAAATATCGCGAAATTCCAATTGTTCACGCTGAGATAATTCCTGTTCCAGATGAAAAACCATCATCTGAAATTGCCGCTCATCATCGGAGTTGCTGGCGGCACTTCTTGTGGAAAGGTAGGTGTTTTTTTTTTAAATTTCGATAACCATGAGCAATCTTTCGATGGAAGCAAGTCATTTCCCATTTCAGACGACAATCGTTGAGAGAATCATCGAGAATCTGGATGCGAATGCTAAACAGAGCGGAAGAGTAAGAACCATTTTCAACTCGCAATCTTTCTGCATTTCTCATTTTCAGCAAATTGAAATCATTCATATTTCGCTTCATTCGTTCTACAGAGAGCTCACCAACGCGGATAAACTGCTGGTGAAAGAGGGAAAGTTCAATTTTGACCATCCAGATCAAATGGACTTTGACCTGCTCGTATCCACGCTCGAGCAGATGATCGCCGGAAAAACTGTTGAAATTTCACAGTACGATATGATCACCAGCTCCATGTAATTCGAGATTTTCATTTCCGTTGTGAACTTATTTCTGTAGGGTCGGCAAGCTTGAGTACGCGCCGGCAAAGGTGATCATAATCGAGGGAATACTTCTTCTGTACGACGAGCGCGTCCGAAAGCTGCTCTCCACGAAATTGTTTGTCGAGAAGAACGCAGAGAGCCGGCTCAGAAATCGGCTCGAGAAGTACATGTCCGAGTACCACCGCTCGCCGATTTCCATCATCCGACAGTACACCGAATTTGTGAAGCCTGCTTTCGAAGAATTCTGCCGACCGACTAAAAAGTTTGCCGACGTTATCATTCCACGTGGAGCCGATAACCACGTGGCCACAGATCTGATCGCCAAGAATCTTCAGGTAAGAGAGCGCGAAACGCAGAGAAAGAGAGAGATCATCGCAGGAGTTGTTACTTTCCACCTCGTGACATTGCATTCCCATGCTGCTGTGTGGTGTGGCGTTTTTATTGAAATACTGTAAGCCCTCTGTGAGTTGATGGGTAGCGTTTTAGTTTTGTGATTGAGTCGCTCATTCCCCTCTTGTCAGTCGGGAATCGCACAGAAACGGTTATTCTGTGCGAGCCTCGAAGAACCATTTGAGAATGGGGAAACACGTTTTTCAGGAGACATTCCGCAAGATCGTAGTGAGCTCCCGAAACGACGACAGTACCGACGAAGAAGAGAAAGAGAACGACTTCGTGAAGCAGGGAAGTTTCCGCCGTCCCGCCTCCCGTCCCCACTAGAATTCCTCCGCGAGCTTCAGCCCTGCCGTCGATGTCGTCTTCCGTTTCACTTTATAATTCCCTCCGCAGTATTTCGCACATTTACCTGTTAGTTACTACCGTTAAGAAGTTTAAGATGTTCACTTTGTCTAACCGTGTTGTACCCCTTCCTTTTCTGTATCCCCCATGACTTTATCGCTTTACCATAATGCTCGTTTTCTCCCAAATAGGCATAATAAAGAGCGATAGATTTTTATGAGAACTTGGGAAAGTATAAATAATCGAGATGAGAAGGATTCTTGGATAACTCGTGCAGATAATTGGATGGAGAGGAAGTTTAAAAGAGATCGGAAATGTCAATTGTCTGTCTTCAGTCGATCATAATCTCGTCGCCGGCTCTCATCGGATGCTCCTTCAGATCGATGCGCTGCTTCATAGCGAACTGGAACTGGCACGATCCCTTGCTCATCAGACGGACCGTTCTGTTCTGATCGATGCTCACCACTTGCTTCACCTGAAATTCAGAACCTCGATTATCTCGTTTTCTTCCGAGATCCGTTTACCTCCTTTTTGCAGTGCGGGTTGTCCAATTGGGCACGGAAAACTTCGGCGATGGCCACGCGGATCGGCATTATGAGAGCGTTGTCGCGGCGTCTGAAAGAGACTCTTAGAAGTTTCCCTCAATTTCCGTCAATTTCGATTCGATCGGAATTGGAACAAAGTGCCCTTAAATTGACGTTTACTTTTACTAGTCAATCTGGTAGGCGGCCGCCCGATCGGGGGACAATACACACAGTCTATTATTATTATATTGAGAGTGAGTGAATTGTCGACCGACCGCAATGACATGACCGGATTAGACACCCACGAAAGGGGCGAATTGTTTGGGGGGACACGAACCTTCTGATCGAAACGACGACGCTTCCGGCGAGTCTCGAGACGACGGTGTAGCTGCCGCGGTAGTTCATCTCCTCGATGATGATGGACGCCTCGGTCATGTAGTGCGGCGGCACGGAGACGTTCGAGTCGACTCCCCACGAGAGCACCTCCGTCTGGCAGTTCTCGTTGAGGTTGTTGAAGTGCATCTCGTGCTTGAATCCCGCTTTCAGCTCGGCGATTTCACCTAAAAACACTTCTCATTCAGTTGTTTTCGGGCAATCCGAGTCATTAGTTCTTTTGGCGCCAAACATTTGTTTTTTGGGCGCAACTTCAAGGTTGTCCTTTCTCTCTGCGATGAAACAAAGGAAATTAATGACTTACACGGCGTTTTGAGTGTCAATTCGGCTTCCGCTCCGATGGTGTATCCTTGTTCACGAGCCACGGAACACAGAGATTCGGTCGTGCGCTCCGTCTTGAACGAATATTCTTGTGGTCTGGAAACATGCTGAATGAAGATTTCGTCTGGAACTACAATAGTTACCGGTTGGTGCTGTTGGTGTAGATGGATTTGAAGAGAGTGTACGGCTTCGATCCGGCCGGTTGGAAGTGGGAATACTGTGGATCCTCATTGACCACGACCAGCGACTTGCGATTCTGAAATCATTAATGATAACGCTTTTTGTTTCATTTGAGCTCTTTGAAATCTTTCCCTCGAGTAGTAGCCCTTCGTGTTAATCGAGTTCTCGCGCGTGCCTTCCGAAAGACAACAACGACGAATTCCCACGAGAGCTTCTCCGCTCTCCTCTTCTTTCCAATGTGCTCATCATCAATAAACGAGCGACGCGATGGGAGAGAAAGAAGGAAAGAAGAGCTCATTTTCCAAATGGGGTGGAAGTAAAGAGAGGGAAAGAGTGATCGTCTGGAGATCTGATTAGATGAGCTTGAAGTGGGTGATAGTGAAATTTCTAATGTCCTATCTTGCTCTTAAGGTCAACAATTCCAATCAGAAGTAGGTTTCGCATCTTCCGACGTCACAGATGCCCTTCCCAGTTCAAGAAGGACCCTTTCCATAAGCCTGTCTTCCAGTCTCTCTCTTTCTTTCCTTCTTCTCTTCTTCCCTTTTTCGTTCCTAATCCCACTTCTAATTTCGCTCTTCCTCTCTTCCTCCCTACGCTTCTAATCGCCTCCGGTGCCGTCGCCGTAATACCGCCTAAAATGTATGTAAATATGTCGCCGTCGTCCCTCCCTTTTCCTTCTCTTTCCCATTTTTCGCTCTCCTATCAATCTCATTCAACCGGGAGGTCATTCCATAATTAGAGGGTTTCTTTTTCATTTCATAGTTACAAACCGACATTGGAATGTGGTCGGAAAGGGAGAGAGAGGGAGAGAGAGAGAGACGGGCTCATTAGCGCGTTTCAAAACGGACTAAACTGGCCGACTCTCTTTCCTTTTTCTTTTGAATTTTGGAAAAGGAAAAGGGATGACGAGGTGGAGAGAGAGAGATGGAGAAGAAGTGAAACGGAGCTGGATCGAGTTACCGGACTCTTATTATTCGCTGACTCGCGCGAGCATTTCGAAGCTCTAGTGGTGACTAACCGACGGGCGGATAAGAGCACGAAACGGTGCTCGTTGGCACTTGATGTCAAATCAGCTCGCAAATACGTCGGCGTCTCTCAGGGATACCTCTCACTCTAACCAATCCATTCACCGGACAACCAACACAAACAACCGAGGGGCGGTTCGCGCACTTTTCGATGGAATCTGTCGGTTTCGTGGCGACACGCGTCATATCATGTAGGGGGATCGGAAGAGAAGAAGAAGAAGAAGAAGAAGAAGAAAAAGAAGATGTGACAGAACGGCGTCAAGGGTCAGATGCCACAATTCGATAGGCGTGGAATGGGAGGAAGTTGAATGGAATTGCGAACACAAAACAGGTGGGTGTGTGCCCAGAACTGTCAGGCGGAACGGAGCGACACGTCATCGAGAGGAGCTCTGATTTCGCAATTTCCGAAGCATTCCACGAAAACCGATGGGGCCAGCCAGCTGGTTTTGATTAAATTTCGACTGGCAGACTAGTGAATTACTCTTTCACCTACTTGACTCTCCCTCTGCCACTTATTATTGTTTCTCATTCAATTCATTCAATTCTCCTGGCAAAACGGTCTTTCCCAATCGGCACGCGCCCATTTTCTCCAACCGTTTCAATAATAAATTGGTGGCGGGCGGTGCGAAGAAACAAAGGGAAACGACGAACTATTCTGAGGCGGTCCCCCACTGTTGGCGGTGCTAAGACGATTTGAGAGATGGCCTTCGGATGCGCTCAAGTGCCCCACCCGACTTACGATCACGAACTCGCAGTCGTCCCTGTCGATGCCGCGGAAGTCGTCGATGCGCGTCTTGCGGAGCGACTGCACATCCTGGAATTGGTGCCACGCGTAGTCCTCGAGGATCTGGTCGACGTCGACGTGATTCATTCTGAAAGCGAATTATGACTATGACAATTGGGGGGGAAATTCGAAAGAGTTGAGAGGAAAAGAGAAGAAGAGTGAAGAATGAAAAACATAAAGTAGGGGAAAATGAAGCCAATCAGTGGGAGAATCCCTCGAGAAAAGTCGATAAATGAGTGAGTCAAAGAACGAGAGAAGGGGAGAGTTCAGAGAGGGAAGGAGCATCGAAATTACACAGATTATCATGTTGATGATAACGGCTGACAGAACACACACCGCGAGGTTTCGAATACGCACACACAAAAGAGGGAAGAGAGGACGGACGTGGATGGCGGGAGTTTGAAAGGGAAACCGGAGGACAATGGGCAGAAAAGAAGAAAAGAGCCGGGCCGTTATTGCATTTTTGAAAGGAAAGGTACGTCTTTCTACAGTGGGACGGCTGCTTGTTTTCGGGCTTTCAGCTTTCCTTATAAAGTCTTCCATTTTCACACAGCATTCCCCAGGTGGAATCCGCAATTTACCACAGATTATAGGATGCGTGGGAAAGTTTTATCGCATGATTCAGCTGATATTTCACTCTTATAAGCACTGACACACGTGACGTCAGTCAATGAGTGAGCCGTTGAGTCTTATGAAATACAGGTTGAGCTACAGTAAGACGGCAAAAGTCACGGATCAATAAACAACGAGTCGACAAGGGAGTGAGTCAGAACTTTCGATTCGGTCTCCTCGGGTCGTCGAGTCGCCTTCCCGCAAAAGTGGGCGGAGTCTCGGTGGAAGAGGGAATGGGCGGAGGGATGTTTGTGAGGGGACGGCGGCCTCCTCTCGCTGCGGGAGATTTCGAGTCGATAACGAGAAGAGAGTGTGCGAGAAGCACACACGCAGACCATAACAACTTTTTTCTTTTCTTTTTCTGACAGTCGGCACTGTCAGAATACCGTCTGACTCATCAAGGAGGTTCCGATTCGGATGCTCGGTGACGTCAAGAAGTGCTTCCAAACACTTCAACAATTGTGACAAACTTGACGACAGAATGGAAGATAGAGCTTTTGCGTTGAATGTAAATGTCCCCATGTAGGCTCGGATTCGGTTTACGAAAGTGTCCTAGAGTTGGGCTGAATAAATGTTATCTTTTTTAGAAAATGTTTTCATCGAATGTGATCAACTGAAGAAATGTACAACAACGTGAGCTCTATTTATGAAAATAATTGTTTCAAACAATTCGTTTTAAAAAGTTATGCAACTTTTCGAATAATTAAATTCTACTTCATGTGGATATGATTATTGTCCATGGCTATTCCCCGCCTTTCCCAAATGCTTCTGACACCTGTTTCCATTTTCCCATATTCATTTTCCTCGGCTTTTCTCGTGCCAATAATTCACTTTTACGTCGCCGATTCCAGGATCATTAGGGGCGAGAGAGCATTCGAGCCCTCGAGAATCAGATGTTTTCGTCGGCGTCTCTCCCACTTTTCTGCTCACTTACACGTAAATTATAACGGAAAACGGAAAAGGGCGATTCAGAGAGACATGCGATAGATCTACTTGGACGGGCGGCACCGACCAAATCCTATTACCTGTTGATTGGGTAGAAGTCAATGAACACGTTTATTACTTGGGTGATTGGACTACATGAGAACGGGAATTATAGGTAACTGAGCGGAAGGGCATTTCATATCAAACAGGGACAATTCAACAAGTAAATAAATTAAAACCACGTCAAAGAAAGACTAGAATCACATGCAATCACTGCTCCTTCTTCTCTTCTTCGGACGTCCGAGTGTCTTCCGACGTGATCGCATCGTCCGTCCTCTCTCCTTCGGTTGTCTCCGTCTCTTCCGTCGTCTCCGGATCTCCTCTTTTTCTCAAATTCGTCACTTCAATCGGGAACCACCCTTTGTTGCGTGGTTCTTCTCCTCTGAATCCGTACGCCCATCCGCTGATTGCACGTGTTGCGATGATGGTCTCTCCGGCCGACACTTTCAGGCACTTTCCGTCGATTATCGGCTGCTTCATCCAGAGTTTACAGCCGTATTTGAAGGAAGATCCGCACTTTCCGTCAAAATCACTTTTTATGGTGACGATTCGAGCTCGGCCGCGCTTCGATTCCTTTTGGATCAACTGCTCGGTCTGAAAATAAAGGGGAGTTTCCGAGTGCTTTTGTCTGAAATTCTACCGTGAAAGTGAACTGAGAGCAACCTTCGATCACCGGCCACCAAGTGCCGTTCCCTTTCGTTCGTCCGTCGAACAGTCCGATGAGCACTTCTCGCATATTACGACGCCATCCGAGATCGTACGGGTACTTCCACTCTCCCAAACTTTGGATCCATGCGGTTTCTTCCTCGTCATCATCTTCATTTGGTTTACGCAAATTTATCGCTTTTCCATCTAGAACGAACAACGGATTGACTAAAAGAAGTTGTCAACCAGCCACTCACGTATGTACTCCTCAATTCCAGTTCGATTCCGAACAACGTAACGGATCTGCGTGAACAGAAGGACGGAAAGTGCGATTGCGACTGCTGCGGCCATTGCAATCGCCATCAGAAGTGCGACAAAAGAGACGGGAGTCAGGAAGATGATCGGCTCAGTTCCATCTCCGTACCGCTGGTACCATCCAGCAAAGAATGCGTGATAAAGAGAGGTGATGTCGATGACGCAGGCATGAATGCATCCGACGATGGAGTAGAAGAGGAACCGGATGAAGTAGTGGTGGTTGCGATGGCCGACACAGTTGTTGATCCAAGCTGAAAACTTTTGAGGAAGGTCCGAAACGGTTTCAGATCAACTGACGACAGTGGTGATCCATCTTCATGCAGCACCTATTACATTTCGAACAGTGATGAGAACGGGGAACTTTGAATCCGTTGCACGGAGCACAGAACTGCAGTTTCTTCTCGTCTGCAAAATTTTTCGGCCTCCATCCACGTGGCACGTATCCGGGGCCGAAGAAGGAGGAGTTGAAAAGATTTCCCATCGTTAAATAGTTCCACGAAAGAAAAACTAGCATGTTGAGAAGGCCGACAAAAGAGTTGACGGGGAGCCATTGGAGGGCGAAGTAGGTGGTCACCGCTCCGATCTGCACGGGAACGTTGGTTTGACGCATTCATCTAGGAACGTGGATTACCATGGTGATAGTGGAGAATGCGAAGATGGTACCGAAGTGCAACAACCGACTGAAGACTGTTTTATCGCCGACTTCTTGCTCTGGAGCCGACCAGACGGGTGCTTCCACAACTCCCCCGTTCATCTGAATTCTCCGCCTCGGAATAAGGTTCTAGTTTGACAGCAATATTTTACATTGAACTTCACAGACCGACAAATAAAAATGGATAAATTCCGTTCATTTATTCAGTGTCCTCATTGCGAAAAGAGAAATCAGAAAACAAGATCATGGAAAACACAGGAAGTCGTTCGTTGATGGTTTGAACGAAAATTATCAGAGGATTCTTGCATAACATATAGGATTATTAATATATTTGTAGAATTTGGATGAGAGAAATCGACAGGGGACAGAATTATAAAGGAAGAAAATCAAGACGATTTCGAGAGGATAATTTATGATTAAAACTTGAGGTGTTTAGGCGTTGCGTTTCGACATGTAGGCCTCGAGCTCGGCATCCAACTCGGCCTCAGTCTTCTTCGGCTTCGCGTCGCGACCTCCACGTCCTTCCTTGCGACCACGACCACCACGTCCGCCGGATCCACCACGGACATCCCCCTCATGAACTCCGTCACGCAAGAAGCCTTCTGGTTCTGTAAATTGAAGACGACTTTATTTGAAGACGACTTTAGTTTTATTCAAACTTACTCGACTTGACGAACTTGCGGCTTCCCGACGCGAATCCACGGGATGATCTTCCCGGAGATGTGCGTCCTCTTCCTCCAAAGTCGACCCTTCCGGCAATGTTGCTCGTATCGATGACAGCGAACTTCATCATCTGAAAAAGGATAGTTGCACACTTGATCACCTGATCTCCAGGGCAGGGATGAAGACGACTGCTCGAATAATCAAGTCTCTAAACCAATCAATCAACGAGTGAAGATGGCGGCGGTCTTGAGAAGCTCCCCGGCTGCGACTCTTCGTCTCTCGGACCAACATCCCCTTTCCATATCACGACACGTGTCAACTATAGTCCGCAGCTTGAGCAAACGAGCGGCCACTCAACAATCACCACAAGAGGGAATTTCATTCTTTCTCCGGAAGGAGTCAGTCAGTCTTGTTGCCTGGACAGGAAGGGAAGGTGCGTTCTGGACGTTTTTGTAATTATCTTGGATTGACGCATCCTTCTGAGAAGCGTCTGAAGCACACGAAATAATAGACAGGTGCCCCAGATGATTGAATTGTCAAGAGGCTTTGTTATCGGCTCGTCGTGTCCCAATTGTGTACCTTTCCGTCGAGAGCGACGCCACCATACTGTTGAACGAGTCTTTCGGCATCACGCTTTGAGAGCGAAATGTCTGCTGTACCGAGGGATTCTCCTGAAAAAAGTCAATGAGGTACTGTATTATATTTTTTTTTCAATTACCATGCTCGTTGAAGTTGACGGCAACAGAGTTGAGTTTATAACTTCCGAAGAGCTCTTCCAAATCGGACGAGATGACAGTCGCGGCGAGATTCGAGATGTTGACTCTGACAACCTTGTTGTCTAAAAAAAGACATTGAAAAATCGATACGTTGTAGCTCATTTACCGTTTCCTCGGGTGATTCCGTGGTTGGCAACGGCGTCCAGATCTTTCCATCCTCCTCCACCTCCTCCCGAGCGACGTGGAATACCAGTTGGTCTTCCGTTGCTGCGTCTGCCTTCTGGACGACTGAACGGCTTCTTCTGAATGCTACTGTTGGTCTTTCTCGTCTTCGAGATGATGTCATCGAGGGACAAGTCGACATTCGTGGATTTCACCATCTTTGAGTTGTTTTGAGTTTTCGAACTGAAATTTGAAAATCGATTGAAAAGAAAAATGTAAGGTTAGAGCAGTATCACGCGGAAAATATTATTGAAAAAAAGAAATAAACGCGGTGGAACACCATGACAACGACGAAGAAATTCGAATGAACGAGCGAATGAGAAAGACGATGCGATCGTGGAGGGGCGACCGCGTACGCGACCGCAACGCAAGCGACGATACTCAAACGGCGCGCGCGCAGTGTGGGAAAACTGACTGCGAAGGAGAACGACTGCTGTGAGAGCGAGACGGTTGATAAGAGGGTGTCATGTGAAAGTACGAAAGAACGGATTGACAGATTAAAAGTGCCTTCATAATTCTAGACTTCCGAAAAGATAAAGTGAGAGATGCAAGACTATCAAAGGGAACAGAAAATTTGAAATAATCAACAGACGGTTCCAGGCCTTCATACTAAAAGGTAGCAAGCATGAATTTTTGTTTCTGAAAATGGAAACGTTTATTTCATTGCTCTTTGAAACTGCGAACCCCAAGCTGGGAAGCGGAAAACGGTATGTACATGTACAAAGAATTTGTCTGCAAACTAGACTACTCTATTTAGCAAAGCTTTTCTTTGAAAATTCTTCATTGTGTCCTGTCGCTCAGTCATTGTGAATCTAGTCTGGAAATTGCCCAAAGATGAGCGGTTGCTCCTGTTCTGCGTCACCATCGTCCTCGTGGTCACGGCAAAACTTCACTCCTTCCCGTTGTATTCCGTAGAAAATTCTGGGATTGCGAGTTTCACTTTGGTACTCCCATCCCAAGTGCTGGCCACAGTATGCACACTGGAGAATTACCCACGCGTATCTGAAAATGAATTACTGAAATACTGATGAGAATGGAATTTGAGAAATACCCTGGAAACCAAGTGAATTCGAAGGATGGACGTGTCATCACTCGAAAGTTTTCAAGCTGCGAGACCAAAGTGATTCTGTGCACAATTCCGTGAGCGTTCACGTGGTTCATTGTAGGATCGGTGATCCGGAGGATGTGCTCACTTCGGAAGACGGGACTCTCACATTCGGAACATACGGCGCCAAGCTTTCTACAGTACTTGGCAGCAGTTGCGATTCGAGTATTAGCGGAGTTCTCCTTCAGAATACTGTACTCGATCTCCATATTTGAGCTCATATTCCGAGCAACGAAATAGCTGAAGAAGGGAAGTCCACGAGAAAGTGCCTGATGAACGGCTCCTCCTCCGACCAATGCTTGCAGTTCGGCAGCACATTTATTCACGTGTTTGTCCGTGATATTTCGAAGAAAGTAGAACGGATATCCGCTCGTCATGGTTGCCATTTTTTGCTTTTCGGATATCGAAAGGCTGTTGGCGTACTTCGGGAGCATCTTCCCTAAAATCGGAGGCAATTCCACTTCGGGCAACTTTTGCACATTCGCTTCTCCAGTGTTTCTGCAAAAAAACAGACATTTGGAATGTTCAAGCTAAAAATTGACACTAACAGATTTAATTCGAGAACTTTACATCGATATACTCCTCGCATTTTGACACTGAGAGCCTGATTGTTCGCTTGATCCAGTGTGCATAGTGTGGCAACGAATGGAACAGTTTGGCACGCGGAGATCCGTTCAGGAAAGATGACAATGAATCCATCGCCACGTGCACTTGCGATTATCCTGTGGAACTTATCAGCTTCATTATGTGGAAATATCAGTGGGAGCTCTTGCTCTACAAATGAATTTCAACGATTCGAGTAGAATAGAAAGTAGAATTGTTTACCTGGGAAGATGACAGCGTTGATGTCGAAGTAGGGGAACAAGTTTGTTCCGTAATCTGCGAGCCTTGCATGATTCTCAAAAAACTCTCGATTGTCATTTTCCTCGAGCGCATAGTCAAAGAGATGCTCTTGGTCAACTTCGACTCCGCCCTCTTCGTCACTGCTAGAATTTCCCTGATCTCTGAATTCATGAATTTCCTCATCGTTCACTTCTTCTTCTTCTCGAACGTCCTCTTCCACTCCATCCATGTCCATTGTGGCGGAAATACCTGTTTTGTGAAGGGACACTGTTTTTGATCCTGCTGCCGTCTCGCTCGAGGCTGCAACGTGATAGAACCGGCACGGAATAGAACTGTTACAATATAGAACTCGCAGTTGTTTTTTAACGTTGCGAGTTTTATATCATAACAGTTCTATTCCGTGCGACTTCTATTACGTTGCAGCCTCTTGCGCTGATCTTAAAGAATACGGTAAAAAATATATCGCGGCCAGACCTATAAACGAATGTTGTAATTACTAGTAAACAAGGTTGTTTTCGAACTTGATTTGCACAAATGTGCACAATATTCACCTGAATTCTGAAAGAAATTCGCGACAAAAACACACGTTTTGCAAAAAAGAAATGCGGCCGTGGCCTAAAATTCTCGATGGCCTGAATAGTTTTCGTGGTTTTTTTTAAACATTGCGCGCACATTGAAATCGAAAAAAAACTTCAATTTCAATTCGTTTTTACGCGCTAAAAAACCTCGCAACGGTTTGTTTTTCAGGTTAATTAGACCGTCTCATTTCATTCACAGAAATTCTGTTGAGCCCTCATGCCGATCAGCTATTTCGTCTCGGCAAAGAAGGCGTCGGTCGTGGTAGAATCGGTTGTCGGAAACTTCACAGGTATCTGTTCCTTATTTGTGGTTATTCATGTTTGTTTAATGGTGGAGGACATGAAAGCGTAAACTTAATCGTTGCTCGCGGAAATCGCATCGAAGTGCAGCTCGTCTCCCCGGAAGGATTGAAGAATGTGTGCGAAATTCCCATTTACGGACAAGTTCTTACTATTGCTCTTGTCAAAGGAAAACGAGATGTAAGTTTACTCAACATTGATTCAAATGGAAACTGTTTCGAATGAATGCCACAATGGTTCCCTTCAGAAGCGTCAATCGCTCGTCGTGCTCACTGAGAAGTGGCACATGGCTGTTCTGGCATATCGAGATGGAAAGGTGGTGACTCGTGCTGCTGGAAGCATCGCAGATGCAACCGGAAGAGTCTGTGACAGTGTTCTGAGCATGACGATTCATCGAAATGGGCTCATTGCCATCCGCGCATTCGAAGGAAGTGTCAAGATGATTCAGTGGGAGTCGGGAACCGATCTGCGTCACTTCAACGTCAGATTTGACTATGCGAATGTTTCAGATTTCAAGTTCGTTGACACTGGAGAAGGTAAGCGAGAACAGTGAATCTGAAGAAGCAATCAGTTTTCAGAAGACACTTATCGCGTCGCTTTCATTTACGACGATGACCATGGAAAGCATTTGCAGTTTTCGGATCTGAATATCCAGGACAGAGAGTTCAGAACCTACTCACGACAAGCAAGCATTGCCGCCGACTCGACGTGCCTCATTCCAGTCCCAGCCCCCATCAGCGGAGTGATCGTACTCGGCTCCAATTCTGTGCTCTACAAATCGTGAGTGCCCATGAATGAACATATTCTTAAATATATTTTTCAGAGATTCGAGAGGAGACAACGACAGCGGAGTGGTTCCGTACACTTGCAGTCTTCTCGAAAACACCACATTCACATGTCATGGACTCGTTGATTCCTCGGGAGAAAGGTTCATTCTTTCCGATACCGAAGGACGTCTTCTCATGCTTCTGCTCGACGTTTCTGAAGGACCGGGTGGTCATTATGCAGTCAAAGAGATGCGAATCGACATGCTCGGAGAGACCTCGATCGCCGAATCGATCAACTACATCGACAACGGAGTCGTTTTTGTCGGATCGCGCTTCGGAGACTCGCAACTTGTCCGTCTTATCCCGGAACCCAACGGACGAGGCACTTACTCGGTTGTTCTGGAGACGTACAGCAATATCGGACCGATTCGAGACATGATCATGGTGGAATCAGATGGACAGCCGCAGTTGGTGACATGTTCCGGCGCCTACAAGGATGGATCGCTCCGTGTAATTCGAAATGGAATTGGAATCGACGAATTGGCCAGCGTTGACTTGGCCGGAGTCACCGGTATTTTCCCGATTCGCATGAATTCTGCGTTCGACAACTACCTGATTGTTTCGCTCCTCGAAGAGACTCACGTTCTTCAAATCAACGGAGAAGAACTCGAAGACGTGGAACTTCTGCAGGTGCAAGCGGATACGTCGACCATTCACGCGGCTTCTCTGTTCGGACCAGACAGTGCGGTCATTCTTCAAGTTACTGAGAAGCAGGTCCGCCTCATGTCCTCGGCAGGCAACTCCAAGTTCTGGGAGCCGTCGAACGGAGAGCCGATTTCGAAAATTTCCGTGAACACAGTGCACGGACAAGTGGTTCTTGCGGCCAGAGACACTGTCTACTACTTGACATGTCACGTGGATCAAGCGGGCGAACTGGAGATACGCTTGGAGGCGGAGAAAGTGTTCGAAGACGAAATCGCTTGCCTCGACATCTCAAACGAGGGAGACGATTTCAACCAGAAGGCGACGTTTCTCGTGCTTGCCCTTTGGAGAACGTACACGATGGAAGTGGTTCAACTGAGCGATCTGAACACTGTCTGCCGAACTGACTTGCCTTCCAAGATCGTTCCCCGTTCAATTGTGGCCACTTGCATCGAAGACGTCCATTATCTGCTGGTTGCTCTTGGTGACGGAGCACTCATTTATTACGTGTTCGACGTGAAAACGGGAACTCACGGAGAAGCGAAAAAGTCGAGTGTGGGCACTCGTCCGCCGAGTCTCCATCGTGTCCGCTCCAAGAACCGTCAGCATCTGTTTGTATGCTCTGATCGTCCTGTCATAATTTTCTCCGCCAGCAAGAAGCTTGTCTTCTCCAACGTCAACGTCAAACTGGTCAATACGGTGTGCTCCCTCAGCTCTAGTGCCTATCGGTGAGGATTGTTCGTGTTACGTTTTCGACCTTTAACTTTTCAGTGACTGCCTCGTTATTTCTGATGGCCAATCGATGGTTTTCGGAACTGTCGACGATATCCAGAAGATCCACGTCCGTTCCATTCCGATGGGAGAGTGTGTGCTCCGTATAGCCTACCAGAAAAGCACCGGAACGTACGGAGTGTGCTCCTCGCGCAATGAGCCACTGAGAAAAACGGAAAGGCAGTTCGCTTCAAAAAGTGCTCTTGCTTTCTCGAGCAGCAGGCCGAAAGGTTCACTCCCAAGCATAAATCAGTGGAAAATTATCCATTGCAGTGGCAGGAACTCGCGCCGACGTCGGGGACAACACATTGAAGACCACCATTTCGAGCTTCATGATCCTTGATCAGAACACCTTCCAAGTACTCCATTCTCACGAGTTCGGAAGTTATGAACTCGCCATGAGGTGAATTTGGAAACAGATAAAGAAATAAACGAAAAACATACAATTTCAGTTGCATTTCGGGTCAGTTTGCCGGAGATACGAACGTATACTACATCGTCGGAACTGGCCTTGTCTATCCGGACGAAACGGAGACGAAGCTCGGCAGAATTATTGTATTCGAAGTTGATGAGATTGACAAAACGAAATTGAGACGTGTGCACGAGATCGTCGTCCGTGGCACTCCGATGGCACTTCGAATTCTCAATGGAAAGCTTGTTGCCGGAATTAACAGCTCCGTTCGTCTCTTCGAATGGACGGGCGACAAAGAGCTCCGTCTGGAGTGCAGCAACTTCACACACATCGGCGTCGTTGACATCAAAGTGATGAATGAAGAGGTGGCGGTGGCCGATGTGATGAGATCGATTTCTCTTCTCTCGTACCGCCAGATGGAAGGAACTTTCGACGAAGTAGCGAAGGATTGGAACAGTCAGTGGATGGGCACTTTGGAGTTCATCACGGCCGAGTCAGTCGTGGGCGGAGAAGCTCATCTGAACATCTTCACTGTCGAAGTGGACAAGACTCGCTCGGTTACCGACGACAACCGATACGTGCTCGAACCGACTGGCTACTATTATCTGGGAGAGTTTGTCAAGTCGATGGTCAGGTCGCCACTCGTGCACATGCCAGAGGACAGCGCCATCCAATACAGTCATCCGATCATGTACGGAACAAGTCAAGGAACGATTGGAATGCTGGTCCAGATCGATGACACCTGGAAGACGTTCCTGATTGCCATTGAGAAGGCGATCGCAGAATCGATAAGAAATTGCATGCATATCGAGCACAACAACTACAGAACATTCATCTTTGAAAAACGATCTGAGCCGGTAAGCATCGAACAAAAACATCTGAAGCTCATTGTTCGTTTCAGCCAACCGGATTCATCGACGGAGACCTTGTTGAATCCATCCTCGACATGGACCGTTCAGCAGCGATCGAAATTCTCAAAAAAGTTTCCGATAAAGGATGGGATTCCAGTGAGTGACTTGTCAAACAAACGCCAGAATTGAATCCGAAATTACAGATCTTCCGAGAGATCCAGTCGAAATGCTGAAGGTGATCGAAGATCTCGCGCGAATGCACTGACGGCGCTGTTCACTTCTCCAGACCGTCATATCTTGCTCTGTATTATGCATCTCCAATCCGGAGTGCTCCGGTGTTTTTTTCCATTTCTTTTTGTTCTTCTACTCGGTTTCTTCTAGCAATTACTCACAGCGTTCACCCCTTTCCACTTCTTAGCTTCGCATATTGCTTCCATTTTGGTTTCAGAAGTAGCTGTGTTTTTCAACCTTCCTTTCTTCTATTGCTCTCCTTTCTCTATCTTTTGTCTATCGAAATAAAACCTAATTTGTGATTCAAATGTTCAATTTGTCCTCCCTTTCCCCTCCTATCTGCCCCTTTCATCCTTTTTCCTAATATCTTTTCTCTCCGCTTCTTCCTCTCCAATGCTCCTTCTCTCTCGGATTGGCGGAAAAAACACGGCACGTGTCTTCACATTTCATCCAATTTCTTCTTTTTCTCTTCGACCGCATCGTTTGTTTTTTGTTCGCGGCGAGACCCAACTTCGTTACCGACGAGGGGGAAACTCCATTGGTCGTTTGTCCGCCTCGATGCTCAGATTGAACACTTCCAATGGCATCCCTTCCTCCTTCTCCATCTGAATAATAACCATTTTGTACAGTTGCCACTGCAATACCTACGTCTCACTCAAAGTCTTCCAATTTCGGCCGTTTCCCGTCTCAATTGATGGCTTTTTTTGGGCGAGTAATGGAGGGAAATAAATGGGATTCGCGAGATGGACAAATGAGAATGAGATACGGGCGGCCGCGATGGAGTACCGAGCAGCCTATCCATTTCGTTTTTTTTTCGAGAAAAATGAGTGAAAAATGAGATGAATTGAGCAAATTTTTGTGCATTTCAAACAAAACCCAAAAAAAACGACCGTTTCTATGTGATTTTGTTCTAGATTCAGTTTGAAGAAATAGGGAAAATACTGTGTCTCCTACTTTAAATTCACTTGAATCGTTTAAAACCCGGTTTGAAACAGCCGATTCTATGCGCTCAGGACTTTTGTGACACTTAGGCTCATCCGATCGGGCCCTAACATTGTCAGTATCAGTCCTGGTAGTCCAGCCTTGAATGTTTCAGCCCGATCCGATTAACTGAGAGTGAATTGATGGGTAGCTGGTCAAATGTTGCAGTACCAACTGCCGCCCACGTCTCCTTCGTCCCCCACTCTGGTCAAATTTTGAACGACTTTCCCATTGTCCGTTCCCCTCAAATCCTTCCGATTTCCTTCTTTTTGGTCCCTTCGCAGCTATTCCTATAAGCTGTTCCTCTCCCTGTTTCATGTTTTTGTCTCTCTTCTTCTCGAAACTGTTGTTGTTATTCATCGTTTTCTTCTTCTTCTTCTTCTTGCCCGTCTGCCCCGTTTTTCTTCTGATGATTTGTTTGAAAGTGTGACTTTTTGTGGGGAGGCCGCCAATGTTCGCGCCCATCCATCAAAAACGTGTCGTCCGGCTCCACTTGAGCCACAAAGTGAAATAGAACATTTTGATGAGGTCATGAGAAACAAACAGAATGGGATGGGGCTCTCTATTCTCTTTTTCTCACGAGCACACACTGAGATGAGCCCAAAAAATGGACTCATTTCTCCATTTCTCCGTCCTTTCCATCCCTTCCTTTTCTCCTTCTTCTCATTTCTTCTGATTGCGACAGCTGTTGTTGCTAAACGGGCACGGGCGCCCCTGATTTCCCCGCCGGCTCCTCCTTCGATTCTGCTCCGTCGTTTCCTTTGTTGACGTCAGAATGTTCGGTGCTCTTCAGTGTCTGATGCACTATTACGACCGACCGAACGAGTCTCTTTTTCCTATCGTTAACTCGCAAAAAACGAGAGATCCTATGGCTTTTCCAGACACATTTTGAGGTGTTTTCACGCATTTTCCAGTGTGTTTTGCTCTCTTCTCTTCCTCGTTTTCGTTATCACCTAAATCTCTTCCAGACTTCTTTCCGATCTCTCGCTGCTCCACTCACATTCCGACTAGAACCCGCCGTCGAAAATGTCGGAAGAGAAGATCGAAGTGAAGGAGACGGATATGGAGGACTCGCAGAGGGACATGGTCATCGGCACCGTCCGTGAAGCACAACGTCTCTACAACATCGACAAGGATGTCGCCGCTTTTGTGAAAGAGGAATTGGATAAGAAGTTCGGAGCCACGTGGCACGTCATCTGCGGAAAGTGCTTCGGAAGTCGAGTCAGCTACGAAATGGGACACTTCATCCTTCTCAAGTGCAACAAGGTGAGCCATCCACAAGGAGGAAAGTTGAGAACATATGATTGTTGCAGGTAAATGTGATGATCTACAAGTGCGGATATTAGATCAAATTCTGAAAACTCCCCTGTATATAAGTAAACAAACAAAGTGTTATTCTATTTTCATGACATTCATTTCATATATTTGGTTTTCTTGCTAATAAATCGCATATAAAAGTACTCGTAAATCAGATATTTGCAGTTGATCAGTGTTTTGAGCAGAACGGCCCATTGTACCCGTCAATCGCAGGATCTGTGCATGTCCAGAACTTCGCAGTCGCATGATAGTTCGTTTTCATGATTGGCGTCTGACTGAAGCCCAGATACTTCAATCCAAGTCCGAGAGCCTGAAGAGATGAAATCGTTGGTCACTTGATTGATTCCTATTTGTCGGTGACCTCTGCCGTCAATGAAGAGAAGAAGAAAAGGAAGTCAGCAGCAACTTCCACGAAGAACTTTCCACCCAAAAGTTACACTCTTCCCGTATCAGAAGATACCGTTTGTTTCGAAGACGTCGCAGTTTACACCTTTTCTGCGCCTCCTAACTTCTCCTCTTTTCTCTTCATTACACTGCACACAATGCCCTGAAAAATCCTGCAAAAACTGTCAAACTGTTACAGTAATGGGGGTGGTATAAAAGGGGGAGCGGTGCCGTTGAGAGGACAGACAGCAATGTCGACGGCTCGTTTCCTCGTCACAGTCGCCGCAGCGGCCTCTTGTTTGGCCGTCGTCGCCTCCATCGTTTCGTTGGTTTATCTGGTCAACGATGTGAACAACTATTACGACGACGTCACCAGAAATATCGAGACCTTCAAGGTGAGACTCTGAAATTCGCCAGAACACTCGAAGAAACTGCTCATTCAGGATGAAGCCAACACCGTGTGGCACCAGATGCTGGCCGTTGTTCCGCAAGGAAACAAGCAGCGACAGGTCTACGAGTCCCTCTTCGGCCGTGTCAAGCGTCAGGCTCCTCAATGCAACTGCGGAGCCAACTCTGCCGCCGCCAACTGCCCAGCTGGACCACCAGGACCACCAGGAGCGCCAGGAGAGGACGGAGATAACGGACTTGTCGGAGAGGACGGAGTCCCAGGAAACGACGGAAACCTCGGAGTTCCACTCTCCGCCAGCGGATGCATTATCTGCCCAGTCGGACCACCAGGACCACCAGGACAGCCAGGAAAGGACGGACAACGAGGATCGGATGGACAGCCAGGACAAGACGCCGTCGGAGGAGGACAGGGACCACCAGGACAACCAGGACCCGCTGGAGACGCCGGACAGTCAGGAAGACCGGGAGAGGACGGACGGCCAGGAGCTCCAGGAGCACCAGGAACCCGCTCTGTTGGAAGACCAGGAGCCGCCGGAACCCCAGGACCACAGGGACCACCAGGAGCCAGAGGAAACGACGGACAGCCAGGAAACGACGGAGCTCCAGGACAGCCGGGACGGCCAGGACCAGACGGAAAGCCAGGAGCCCCAGGAAACGACGGACAGCCAGGATCCCCGGGAGCCGTCGGACAGCCGGGAGGAGACGCCGCCTATTGCCCGTGCCCGTCCCGTTCGTCGGCCATCCGTGCCAAGGCTGCCGTCGTCGTTCGCAACCGCGCCGTCGCCAAGCATCGCTCGGTTTCCCGCAGAAAGGCCGTCGCCGCCAAGAGATCGAAGGCCCGTCGTGTCGTCGCTGCCAAGCACCGTGCTGTTGCCAAGAGACACCGTGCTGTCCACAAGGCATAAACGTGTCAGTTTACATTCGAATAAAAATAGTTCATTTGCATGTGCATTTATCACAAAAAAGTATTACACACAAGATTACACAACCGTCAGATGAGGCGATTTATCACTGCCCTTGATCGAACTGTTTCCGTTATTGCTCATTTTCGCCATTCTCGACCCAAACTGCATCGCTTGCTTCGGAGCGTCGTAAGGGGAGCCGAGCATTTTGACGGCTGCTCTCAGCAGAAGTTTTTCCCCGACGCCACGTGGCAGAGACAGATCCCATTTGGCGTCAACTGGAAGAGAATTCAGCCAGGAAACAACCGAGTCTTCGAGTAACGGAGATCTGAAAAGAGGTGATTGTGTTCGATTTGCGGCAGATTCACTCACAAAATGGTCTTCCCCAACTGTGCAGCCACTCTGGCATCTCGTCCTCCGTTTCTTGATCCTAGTCTTCGCAGCTCATTCTCACACTCCTCAGCCACATTTTCTGGGATTCCTTCTTTCTCGAATCTCGTTCGGTGCCTTGCGTATCCTGCGAGCAACTCGTCTGCTCCCGAGCCCAATAGACACGTCGTGGCCGGTGATTTCACCGATTCCCCGTCATCACTGTCAACTCCGTCGGCTCGAACGGCAAACCAAAGCACGCAAGCCAGAGAGTCATCGAGGACCGAACTGGCAGGATGCGCAGCAGGAGCAACAGCAGAGAGACGATGTGATTCGAGTGTTTTGCTGTCGACATTGACGAGAATGAGCCGGAAATGACGATCAGGATAAGCGACACGGAGAGATTCGAGTGCCTTTTTAGCACGACTTCTGTCCGGAGCTTGCTCAAATTCCTTCTCACTATTTCCAAATGCCACATTCACCAGGTCGATGGCCATTTTTTTGGAGACGCTGGCATGTGTTACGTGAGCGATGAAGGTCGAATCGACACCACCGGATAGACAAACAGCCACGTGGCTTTCTTTATCTGAAATTGGCACACTCTTGTTTAGTCAAACCATCTCTAACTGTTTACAGTTTCTCAGAAGCACCTTTGTCGCTTCAATTGTGTGCTCGAAGAGCTTTTGAGCGTTTGAAGTGTTCGGTTCTCCTCTTGTTTGTCTGCTGACGTTCAGAAGCGATGCCTTTTTGTCAACGAGAACTCGAATTGGATTACGGTCGCAGAAGTACTCATCCATGGTACCCTTTAAAGTTTGACGTTTTTTAGTTTTTCTTGGTCGTGCTTACCTCTGGATACTCTTCCAAATATGAGTAAATTTCGGGCGCTTTCGACTCTAGATCCAGTATCGTAACTTGCCCAAATGGCACTTCAACCCATTTCCCAGTTGTTCCTGGCTTCGTACGACATCCGAATATCATGAGTTCGACATTGAGAACAAGCGATTGTCGCCCGAAAACGTCTCTTCCGATAAACACTTTTCCGAGCTTAGCGTTGAAATAAACTATGCTCCAGGAGCCCTGCTGCTCCAGAATCCGATCGACGATCTGACGGACGGACAGGTCGCTCAGATCGAAAGAATTGAGCTCAGTCGTAGTGCCGGGGCAAAGCAGGAACTCGCCAGTGATTTCTAACGTTTTCCCATCCACTTCTTCGTAGAACTTTCCATTTGTGATTTTCCACCAACGATTGTAGTCAATGCTCATTCTGATGTCAAACGATTGTGAAGAAGTGGCAGGGAATACTCAAATAATCTTAGGTTTCAACTGATTATAGACGACTACAAGACCATTTAAAACGATAGATTTATTACAGTAGACACTATCGCACGGATTCATCATAAATATCAATCAGAAAGAAGTCGGAACTGGAAAATGTGTAAGCGGGAAGTGTAATTTCAGTCGGATCACAGACGAAAAGGGCTCGCTTCCGGAGAAAACAAGTACTCGAAAAAGGGGAACTATACAATAACTGGGGAAGGAAAAGAGGGTAGAGTGGGATGGTAAAGGCAACTGTGTGATCGATAAGCGAGTGATAAATAACCCATATTTGGCTATCTGAAGAGAAAACCATTCTAAAACTTGAAGGAAGTGATACAAACAATAAATAAAAAGTGGCTAAGACTACAATAAAAGTGGATATCATACGGTGGGTTGGGGGATGTTTTGGAGCAGGAACAATGTCTGATACGACTTTATTGTTTTGATTAGCTGTTGCTCGAGCAGAGAATCGGCATGGCAGCACGGCATTACGTCGACTACTGATGGGAACAGGGACACGAGCTGGGAATAGAGTTCAGTCATTCGTGGATCTCTCGCCAGTCGGGCGATGAGCGAATCGACGGCTTGCAGAGCTGATATGATCTCGAGGATTCGAGACCTTGGTAGACGGAGGTCTCCGGCTGCGGACCAGTCTTTGCAGAAGTCAGACATCACCTGAATAGTCATTTATCTTCGGGACAGCGCCTTGTTCACTCACTTGTGTGCACCTCTGAAGCAGACTCGTCACTGCAACATTACCAAGAATTCCTCTGTTTTCGTCGTCATCCGCATCCGATTGTGATCCGTCGGTTGACATGAGAAGAGCATCAAAACAGGCTTTCGCCAGCTCATTCCGTTGAGTGTGCGAGTCTGAAGCTGAACTCGAGGGTTGTTACCGAGTACACCGAACACATGCGATCAGGAAAGTGTCTATAAGGAACACCAACACCTCGGCTAACGTCTGCAACTTTTCAGCAAAACTTCAGAAACTTTGACCTAACTTCTGCTCAAAAGCGGCTAATGTTATGCGTAAAAGTTGCTGAAGTTCTGCGCAAAAGTTGCTATCGCCTTAAAGTTTGCTCAAAAGTGACTAAACTGTTGTTCAAAAGCTGCTGAAGTGTTGTTCAAAAGTTGATGGCGCTGAACGTTAGCTCAGAAGTTCCTGAAGTGTTGTACAAAAAAATGCTAATTCCAAACGTTCCTTCAAAAGTTGCTGAACTTTTGTTCAAAATCTGCTATCACCCCAACGTTTGCTGAGAAGTTGCGGAGGTTTACCGAGACCGGTTATCAGGGTGAGAGTGTTAGAAGAGAAAATGGCACTGTGGGAAGACTTACCGAGGACGTCGGTCGAGTCGATTTGAGAAATGGATCCACGATGGAGGAGGGCGATGAGTCTCTGCACGTCTCCTTGTGGAAGACGGGAAGCGTAGGCGAGCATCTCATTCCGGATTATCTCGATAGCCTGAGACGAGCATTCTTCAAGCCCCTTTTCAACATCCTCGCTTTCTTACCTGGCATTCCATCAACTCATCTCGTTTTCTTTCGTCGGCTGCCAATCTGTTCGATTTACTGGAACCGCAACGGAAAAAACGGATTTTAAATATTGAACCAAGACAGGATACTTACTTGGGAGTGAATAGCCACCTTTCCATCGTGTCGCAAATGGCCGGCCACAGTCCTTTGAACACTTCTGGGTTCTGACGAGCGTACGGAATCGAAGTCTTCAGAACGGACATCAAAGAACTGGCAGCGAGTTTCCAAGTGGTTGCAGATATGCACGTGTACTTCATGTACAACGGCTCTCCGAGGAATTTGATGATATCGATGGCAATCAAAGAATTGGCCACATCCGGATATTGAGCGGTCGAAGTGAAAAACTCGATGGCAATTCTGAGTGAATACTCGGAGAACGGCACGATTGTAGTGAGGGCGTAATCTCTCTAAACATTAAGTAAACTTCCAGATGATGTTGTGGAGTCCGAGACTTACGTAGCTCTTCTGGCCACCAGGCGCCACTTTGTTCGGTGAAATCCGTTGAGTGGCCATGCTGGCGAACTTGAGGAGAAGACGAATTTGATCGGGAATAGCAGGTCGGAGCGAAGTTCCCGAGATTGTGCACTCCACGAAGACAATCTTGACGGCTTCCAGCAGGGCTTCTTGAGTCGGTGTTAGATGAGTTGTCGAGGAAGGGAGTACAAATGGAGCCTGCTCCGACGGAATCGGCACATTCATCATACTCTCCAGCACTGCAGGAAGACTTTCGTACATGAGATCATCCACAATTATGCTCTTGGCGACGCGATCGAACAAATGCGGGAAGATGTGAAGGATCGCAGTGAGATGGGAGGGACCAGGCACATATACTCCGGGAGCCAGTGACGTCAGAGAAGAGGTCGAAGAGTTCATTCTCGGGGTCGACGCAGTTGACTTCGTCTCGGCGTTCGGAGCACTCCCAGAGCTGGCCATTGCAGCGCATCCCTGCCTCGCGAGTCCTCTCGATATTCGGAGCCACACTTTCCATGATTCCACCCACTGTGCTTGCGGCAGTTCCGGCGTCACGACATCAGCGAACGAGTCCGTTCCGTTACTCTTCTCATGACTGTTCACATTGAGTGTCTGAGTGGAAATCTTTCCGAGAAGCACTTCCTGATAGCTTCTGATAGCTGATAAAGACAGCTCTGCGTTTTCGTAGCACGCTGCCCAGTCAAGGTATCCGAGGAAGGCTTCCCAGACTGCTCCAAAGTCATGCAATGCCAGAAGAGACTTCCGTTGCGAGTTGAATATTTTCGAAATGGCCGACAGAGTATGGATGCATGTTTCAGTCCACTGCTTCTGTTCCGTGTCTCGTGAATGGTGCATTATCAACTCTCCGTTCGCTTTCTCTGTCGAAGCGCATCTCGTTTGAGAGCGAACTTTATCGAGCAGTGGGATCATTATCTGCCAGATGACGTTGTGCCAGGCGGCAGCTCGAAGAGCATGTCCGTGAGCAGTGACCGTCTGGAGAAGAGTTTGGCAAGCCGACTTGCGAACGGCGAAACGGGAATCCACGCATGACTCGGAGAGGCAAGTGTAGAGAACCATCCAAACGGCTTCTGAAGCATCGCTTCCGACCGCCTCCATCTTCCGGTATATGAAGTCGGATATAGTCCACTGAAAAGATACAGTTAAGAGAGCTGTGAACATGAGACTAACAAGTAAAGTTAGAGCGGAAAGGGAGATATTCTGATCCGTGTTCTGCTTAGAATATCTCGAAATGGCTTCAACGAGTCCAGAAACACAATTGAACGGAATTGACTGGAGGAAATCGGAGGACACGAGACGGAGACCCAAATATCCTTGGCGGACAAGGGAAAGTTCGCATCTGGAATGAAATGAGTTTGGCCTAATAGTTTTAACAAGCCTCACCCTGTATCATTGTCAATGATCGCCGAAATTATCTGTATCACGTTGGGCCAGGAAGTGGAAAGCAGGAATGATCCGTCGGTTTGCATCAAGGACATCACGCAGTCCAATTGTCGACGACGAACTTGAATGTGAGGAATGGAGCAGAGGGCGAGAAGGGAGGAAATGCACATCTCCTGCTGGCTCTTCGCATCCATCGCCGTCTTCGATTTGACAGCCTGCTTTGCCAATGAAGTGAGTCCGACTGCCGCCCAATCACGCATTGAAACGGAAGTGTGATTGCACACTTTGATGAAATGATTCGCAGTTTTTTGCCAGAAGACGTCCAATCGCGCCAAAGATAGTACACAGACTCTGTAGAGAACGGCAAGCGGGAACAGAGAGCTCTCTCTTGGAATGGCCGCAACTGCGAGACTCTCATCAGACAACCGAATGAGTGCGTCTATAACGGAGAGGAACGAATCGTCTGGAAGGGCGGCAATGGCAGGTGCCAGTTTGTCCATCAAGGAAGAGAGCATTGCTATGTCCGAGAGGGCGGCATTCGTCACGACAGTCGGTCCACTCGCGTGATCGTCTCTTGTTTCTCGTTCGAACTGTCCCACTTGAGTTGGTCGCATCGCGAGAAGCCACGAAAGATGCTCGCACGTCGCCAGACACAAGTACCACAGGTCCTTCAGCTCCTTTATGTGCGTAGTGACGGCAGCGATGAAAGTGCGAGCGGCTTGCAAGTTTTTCGAGGTCAACAATACTTGTTTATTCCATAATTCCGGCGATACGACTGGACACGGACACGGAGGTCCTGTGGCAGTGACTTGAGCTGTGGACGGCCAGGATTCCATGTCAAAAACCTGCTCCGCTACAGGAACATCTCGTTTGCTCTTTGGGCTCGGCGGAGCAATTGCAGCGAACTGAGTAAGATATGAAGGAGAAGGGAGGCTCATTATGGCGAGCACGTAGACACTTCTGTGCAGATCGGCTCCTGCCCCAACGCGGCATCCGGCAGAGATGAGAGTGGATAGGCAGCAGAGCAATTGGTCACTGACCACCTCATCCGTACTGGCAGCAAGGAGACTTCCGATGGCAGCGAGGATGCTCGGTTGGGAGTTGGCATAGGCCACCTTGGCCACTTCTAATTTGGCGTCTCGGCTTCCGATCTCGCTATTTTCATCGGGAAGACTGAGGTTGTCTATGGCTGCGTAGACTGCTTGTGTCATGTCGCAGAGAGCCACACAGCATCGGGAGAGGACGTATCCTTCTGGAACATGTACGGCATCCATCCGATCGAGGGAATCCAGTCTGAAACTCGAAACCTGTTTTCAACAAAATAAAAAATATGGATGGCTTACAAAATGGTCTTTTTAGTGGTTAAATGCTCGACGTACGGCACCCAGAGTCCTTTGCTCAGGAACCCTGGACCTCCGTCCTCTTGACTCCGCTCTAGCTCATTTTCTTGATCTGAAAAGTCGAAACAAGTCAGATTCAACCGATTTTTCTTGAATTACCACTGGAAAAAGTAGTGCTGACAAGACATTGCTGGACGACAGTCGACAGTCCAATGGCCACCTGCTCGAGAACGTGAGTGGAGTTCGGCCGGCAATCGAAAGATTCGGTCATCCATTTGACAAGATCTGTACTCGAGACTATTCGGTGCAAAGCTTCCAGAGCGAGCGGCCTCTGCCATCCTTTCCTGTCTCCGTCGACGAACTTCAGAAGAGTTGATATGAAAATCTCGCATTCCGTATGCTGAAAAGACTGATTCAATGGTATTCCAACGAATACGCTTTCTTACGAGGATATTTTGATAAAACTGCACGATGAGAGTGACAATTCGGACGAGTCGCATTGAAATGGGAAAAGACTGTCTTTCGTGGGATATCGTCGGCGGATAATTGTTGATCGAAGCCGAACTGTTCCGTGCGGAAGGATGCTGCGAGGATATGTGCATAGCTTTGACGTTCGGAGAAAACAGTCGGATGATCAGAGGGCAAACATCGTCCTTCAAAAGTCCTCCGAATTCTGTGTGTCTGATGAAAACGGATGGATAGCCTTTGAGAAGAGATTCCAAAAGTTCAAGTCCAAGTGTTCGTGTCATTTCTTGAATTCCAACTAGCCAGACAGGAGCTTCTCCATTTATCAAAAGACACAAATCCTGAAAAAGAACTATTCTAGCGTGTCATTTTCGTGATCGCTCACTCTGAACAGCATATAGGCGTCGGCTGCACATGGCCTCAGTGTTGGCGGAGCAGCTCGTGGACTCGGTCGTCCTCCGGATGGATTGACGACGGTCAGTTCGGAGGAGAAGATTCCGTCTTCTTGAATAACTCTTTCGAAGACTGTGGAGACGAGCTGACGGACCGCGGCAGAGGCAGCGTTGATCACAATTGGGTCTTTTGCGAAGTGGAGACGAAAGCACATGACGATGCACTGAAAGGAAATTATTTTTGAGTACAAAATTTACACGGAACACGCTTACTTTAGCCAGCGTGTTTCCAGTGACGACAAGTTCTGATGAGACGAGTGGAGGAACTGTTTGGAGCACTCGCAACTCTTCGCATTCGGCCTCCACCAGTGCCCACAATTCATTCGTGACAATTGTGGCGCCATTCTGAACAGACTGGATTGATTTTTGAATCTGAACCTTCATGGATTACTCCGCTAAGAATGCGATGCTGAACAAGTCTTTGAATGCCTTGCAATGCAATCTGAACTAGTCTCGTGTGCCGTGTTTCGCAGGCGAGGACGAGTGGATGGAGGAGTTCTGTGCATGCCGCCCGGAGGTTCGTGATGAGGACCGTGTCGCCGACGGAAGCCGTGCTGATGTTTCTGATTCGGACGACGCCGGATTCCGCCGACTCTTTCACATGATTCTGCTTCTTTTTCGCCTCCTGAGACAGTAACCGGAGGTCACCGAGCAGCGCTTCAACCAGTTTTTTCGAATCGACTGCATTTATTGACATTTCTGAAATGACACGTAGTAATATTTGATAAAGTACTGTTAGAAGTATAAAATAGAAGAGCAACTAACCGAAAAATGTTCAGGTTAATTTGAGAAAATGATTTATTCGTTATTAGTATACTTATTAACATCTAATTTTTAGGAAAAGACAGAAAAGTTTGAGAGATCATTTCAACATGGAAAAGCCACCAGCAGTCGATTAAAACATTCGAGATGACATGGGAAATGGGAAATTTGGAGGAGAATGGCAAGCCGAGTGATTTGACTAAATGTGGACGGAAAGGGAATGAGAGAAGGAGCTATCGATATGGAACAGGAAACTGATGAAAAAGATGGATAGGAAGTATCAGAGTTCGGGAACTGGCACTTGCTTCGAAGCAAGGTACGGAATTATGTTGCCGGGAGCCCACTGGGAAAAGGTGTGCATTGAAGTCTCGTAGAATTGCGCCCCGACTGTTGCCACGGTGCGAGCGAACTCTCCAGAAGAAGCAGGAAACTGCTGCATGAGAACGGCGATGATACAGACAGCTAGACATAAGAATGTCTGCAAGAGCATCATGAGAGTTCCTTCGGTTTTCGGGAACATAGACTGTTCATGCCACGCTGGCAATAATTCCTTATCGGCGGATTCCAGTTGAGAAGAGAACGCGTTCTTATCCTTATTGACCTTTGGGATGAAGTCCTTCCATACGATGCTCAGAAGTTGGAGAGCCCCATCAATACGTTTCCAGTGTTGAATATGAAAGAACGCGTATGCTAATGCTTCAGAATCACCGCGTTTCAAGAAGTGCTCCGGAGGCATTATCATCGCACGCAGTTCGAGAAGATATGGCGGGACGTGTGGGTTGAACTCCATCGCACGGGTCAGCGCTTCTATTGCAGTTTGTTCGGCAGAAGAAAGGCCACGACGGATTGAAGTTTCGGCAGCGCAGCGGAAACTGAAACAATACATTTTGGGAGAAAGCAACAGAAAATGAACGTACTTTTCAGCGACTGCGCGAACTTTCAGAAGAGCAGATGTATAGCTCATCGCAGCTGACCGAGGTTCACGTAGTTCGTAGGAGCAGGGAGCACCGTATCCATCGTAACGCACGAGTAAATTCTGCACGTCTGCGTATGCTTGCACTTCCAAACACGCTTCTATCAGGTTATCTTGGACTGATAAGAGAGGGGAAAGCGATTGGTCTCGCGACAGCTGAAAATGAACAATTGGAGAAAAAGTGAGCAGCGTGGAAGAGAGCTTACATCTCGGAATCCCTTAATTGCTTCGCGAAGTCTGCCTTGTTTACGGGCGCACATCGCCAGCCTTCTTTTGATATACGTTTGGATAGTCAGGTCACGCTCTGAATTTCGTAGTTGAAAACAAGACATACCAGACTCTACTCACTTCTGACCGCGTCCCCGTTTTGTCCGTAGCTGGCGATTTGATGACCGGAATAAGAATTTAGCGTAGCTTCTACAGCACGAAGAGCTCGACGGAGCAAGTTCTCAGCCTGTGTAACTGTTTCCGATTCTTCTTCTGCTAGTAGAACGAGAGCGGATGCACACTCTGGATTGATGGATAACGCCGCCTTCGCCGTCTGGATTCGGTTGTCGCATTCTCGTTCTCGCCATGCTACTTGCATTACTAGAAAAACATGCAACGGGATAAAAAAGTAAAATGAAACTGGCTCACTTTCGCATTCAGATCTGCCTTGATCCTCGTCGCACATGAACAACGATTGATGATCTTGAGCGGAAAGATTCATGTCGTAGTAAGTCAATGGTTCGGATTTCGTTTCTCTCCGAAACCGATTGTACTCAGCAGCTCGGAACAGCGCCATCGGATTCCGCCACACTTTGCACTCTGAAATTAGTCATTCTCCCGTTGAATATATAAAGCTTTATTGATCACATTGTCATGGTGAGACTCAGAGTGTGAGAGATATTAGAGACTTGTTAGAAAAATGGGTTAATTAGTTAGGGAATGAAGCCGACGGCGACAATTCCATTTTCACGACCAAACCTGGAACGGTCTTGGCACTTTCGACACTCTCATCATTGTCGGATCCCTCCTCTTCCCCAGTTTCGATTCCGGCGTTGCTAAAATGATTCATTTTCAAAACAGAACACATTTTCGATGTCTTACTTTTTGAAATACCACCACTCGAAGATGAGGATGATTCCTGAGACGAGACTAGATGTACCAGTCAACGCCACGTAAAACTTCGGTGTCAAATTGTTGAAGTACGAAGTAGCTGAAACTGCACGGGAATTGAAGAACACAGCGTTCAAATAAAAGAACCAACCGCTCTCGAGCGATTCAGAGAGTTTGAGAGGACCTCGTAGAGCGAAGAGTAGAACAGCGACCAGCGCGATCCATAGTAGCCAGAGGAACGTCCATGAGCAAGCCATGACCCTGAAATGCTGAATTTTGCATAATGAGAGGAGCGCAGCGTTCGAACGAAACACAACAACCAATAACGCGAAGGCTCGGAAATTCTGGGGATTTCGGGGACAGCTTTCCATTGTTTCTTCAATCGATTAAGCTGAATCGAATAGTTTTTCGTGAGGGTGAAAACATTTCAGCGTAAAACTGTACATAACGATCACTGACAGCCGGCTGGAGGATAGCTGGTGACGTGCCAAACCGGCAGATGCAGAGAGAGGACGAGAAATCGATTGTGTTCGCGAGCGAGCGTGCGGCCGCGGCCTCCGTCATTTATACAAATGCTGAGGAGCGGTGAACCACGCCGTTTTCTATGCACATTATGATGATTCCCGAGCCATTTGATGCTCTGTTTTTCATTTAAGAAACTGTTGAAATGAGCGTCCACTGTTTTTTATTTTATCGTTCGTTTTTTTAAATCTTGTTCGTATCGAAAGCAAACCTCTTATTCTGATAGAGTTTTGAATTCCGTTCAGTCGATAGAATTCGAGCTTTATTGCATTAAAAGTTAAACATATATCAAATTCTTTTTCAAAAAGTATACAAGAATTTTTAAATTGAAATGTGCGCGAACATATCAAAATAGAAACGTCTAACTTTACGTCTCGTAATATTTATTTCTTCAAAAGTTTTTGATTCCAGATGATTGTGGTGGCACAGCATGTACACGATATACAGCTTAATGCAATGCAGAAGGCGTTCGCGCCGCAAACAATGACAGAATTGGTTTCGAGCATAACAGCTCCGATGACTGACGTTGAAGAGGCACTTTTCAATCAGAGAGGCATGAAGGAGGTTTATCACGCTTCGAAGTCATTAGTAGCATCTTTAATTTCAGGCACCGTTCCGAGATCTGGACAGAAGTGGTCGCGCAGTTTGTCGGAAGAACAAGCTCGGAATCTGTCCTTTCGGAGCCACGTGCCCACTCCGTCACATCGTCGGCGAGAAGGCGGTCGTCTGCAAACATTGGCTGCGAGGTCTCTGCAAGAAAGGAGATCAGTGCGAATTCCTTCACGAATACGATCTCACCAAGATGCCGGAATGCTTCTTCTTCTCAAAATACAGCGCGTGTAGCAACAGAGAATGCCCCTTCCGACACATTGATCCCGAGACGAAGATGAAAGATTGTCCGTGGTATGACAGAGGATTCTGTCGTCACGGACCGTACTGCAAGCATCGTCATCGTCGTCGAGCTGTCTGTCCGAACTTTGTTGCTGGATTCTGCCCACAAGGACCGGAATGTCAGTATGCTCATCCAACGTTCAGTCTTCCGTCCTTCGAGAACATTCCTGCCAGTCACCAAAGACAGCCCTACAGCCAGGGAATCACTTGCCACAACTGCCATGAAAGAGGACACAAAGCGACGATGTGCCCCCATCTTCCGGGCCAGAGCAAGAGCTCGGGTGATCATCAGCATCGTGTCGACTTGTCGCTCATTCCGGATAAGAAGAATCTTTCCGATGTCACTTGCTACAAGGTCAGTTAGTTTTCTTTATAAAATTTCTCATGTTCCATTTGCAGTGCGGAGAAAAAGGTCACTACGCGAATCGATGCCACAAAGGAGCCCTCGCATTCCTGTCGAGTACTGCCCACTTGGCTCATGAACAAAGGGAAAGGGACGAAAAAGAGCAGGGAAGACTTAATAACATGATGCGTCCAATGTAAAGTTAACAAGCCGGTTTTAAATCAAGCTCTACTGTTTCTGTTATCATTTGTCTCAATCGTTCTCATAAATATTTCATTTTTTTTTGCATTTTTCTCCTAAATTAATCTGGTTTTTTTACCAGTCACGTAATTTACATTGTGATGTTCAAATTGACATTGTCTATAGATGACTCCATTCAGATGCCCCGCAAAAGGCCGGCTCCAGAGCCAGTTTTATCTCCTCCAAGAGCACGGATAACAAGAAGATCAACGGCAAGTTCGGCGCCGTCCGCAAAAAGAAAACCTTCTCCGGAACCGGAATCAGATCAAGATTGGGATGAAGACGAAAGAGATGCAGGACCGTCGACGTCGAATTCAACAAAAACAGGAAAAATACAGACACAACGAGCTAAAGGAAACAACGCATCGAAGAAGTCTGTCCCTGTGAAGGAAGAGTCTGAAGATGACGGCGATGAAGAGGTAGAAGCAGAAGGAGGTGCCGAAGATGAAGCAGAAGATGAAGAAGACGGTGAAGAAGAAGTGGATGGGAAAGAAGAACGAGTAGAAGAGGAAGAAGGAGTCGATGGCGAGGAAGAGGAAGAAAACGGAGAGCAAGAAGAGCAGGAGGAAAACGGAGAGCAGGATGAGGAAGAAGAGCAAGAAAACGAAGAAGAGCAAGAAGACGAAGATGAACAAGAAGACGAAGATGAACAAGAAGACGAAGAGGAAGAGGAGGAAGAGGAAGAAGAAGAACAGTACTCAATGCCTGAGCCAGAACCAATGTCTTCCTTGTCGTCTTTAAAAAAAAATGCTAAAACAGCTACAAGAAAGAAAAAGCATTCCTACCGTGCTACCGTGTCACCCTCAGCTTCCCGATCCGTCTCCCCTGCTCTATCCAACGCTTCAAGAGTATCAGGCATAGGAGGAATGAGAGCGAAAGTAGGAACGACTTCAACGAAGGGGACGAAGAGAGAAACCGAACTTATGCTTTCGAAGACGTCCGCAAGGAATCTGCCGAAACGGAAGAAGCCAGTTGAAGAAGAAGGTCCAGAAGAAAGAATGTTGAGAGAAAGGGCAGAACGGAAAGCGAGAAGAATAGAAGAAGCGAGGAATCGGCCGAAATTGACGTACGAGGAGAAACTGGAGAAGTTGAAGAAGAAGAGAGATCGGAAAGAGCGAAGGAAGCTGAGAGAGAAAGAAGCTTCGGTGCGGCACAAGTTCGGCTCGCGGAAAGCGAAACCGCAGGAAAGCAAGTGGAATTTCGGGCCGATATCCTCAATCAACCAGCGACGAAAAGAAGAAATGATGGTTTATTTTCCGAAGGCAGACTTCTCTTCTGAGGATGGACGACCGAAAGTACTGAACAACTTCCGAAGAGCCACTGTCAAGTACGATATGGACGTGTTGAATCCGTTTATTACTTGTGCAATCTGTGATGTAAGTGAAGCCGAATATAACCTTGAAATAAACGATTTTCTTTCAGGGATACGTTGTCGACGCGACTACAATCATCGACTGCATGCACACATTCTGCAAGAGCTGCCTTCTAAATTATTTCGACTCAGAAGGCAACACGTGTCCTACGTGCGGCATTTTGATTCATGGATCCCATCCGACACACTACGTCACCTATGATCGTGCTGTCAACGAACTCGTCAACCAGTTGGTGCCAAAGTTGGAGCAGACGGAATTGGAGACCCGCAAGATGTTCCTCAGAGAATGTCGTGAGGCCCTCGGAATAGACACAGCAGCGGAAGACCGAGAAAGGGCAGAACGGCTCCAAAAGGAACGAATGATTGGAACTAATCGATGCTTTCCACTCGAGAGATCTTGGATTTCGCACCATCGGGACGACAGCCAATTGACTGTAAATCTTCTGCCTGGAACCGCTAACCTGCCCTTAATCAACAGGCCGTTCATTCGTTGTAGTGAGATGGCCACAATGAACACATTGAAAAAGTGAGTTGTTCAAAGACGAGCTTCTCTCATGTAAAAACATGTTTCCAGGTTCATTTCCCTCCAAATCTGGGACGATCAGAGCCGCTACGGCGACATTGACATGTTCTGTGACGGTCAACTCATGGGCAAAGATTTCTCGCTTCGGTTCGTCTGGATGATGAAACGACGTGGACAGCCGAAAGCGGAACCAATCATCATTCGATATCACATGATTCAGAACTGACTCACTTCTACATTTTTCCCCGTCGAGCTTCAAACTTTCACAATTACCCGTTTTCTAGTACGTTGTATCTCTAACACCTTGTTTCAATCTTTCATACTCATAAAGCAAAGCATTTTTCATCCTACTTTCCTTATTCCATTCCCGAAAACGTGAACTTGGAGTCTTCGCGTGATACTATCGTCCTCATTCCCTTCCTATCCTCGGCCCGCAATGGGGTGAGAGGAGGGGAGGTTCTCAATGGAGCGCACTTGCCAAATCCAGCTCATAGCGCCTTTTCGCCCCTCTTTTCTCTCTGTCGACGAGCGGAACGCAGTGAATTTGCAGACGGAATGAGCGTCAAATCGGTGCTCGGCGATCTGCAAATCGTCGTGGAAAAGCACTCGAACGTGCTCCGGAATAACGCTCTTCCCTTCCGATTTCTCATCGTTCTCCGGCTCATTGGTGAGTTCTTTTTTCTCTTTTTTTGTGTAGGTCTCAAAATGAAACTAAATATAAAAAATAAGTTGGCCATCGTGTCTGTTTTCAGGATTCATCCTCTCCTACCTTCACTTCGCACGTGTCCTCCTCTGGCTGCATCCTTATCAAATCGCTTCTATTGAGGTATCCAGAAGAATTTTCCAGCGAAAATTACAATTCCTTCCAGCTCTGGCGCCTCGGAACGGCTGCTTTCTGTGGTCACAACGTGCTCGACGTCATCTGGACGGTCTGGTGTCTGCACATCGGAACCAACCTCGTTCGTCTGAACAACACGAATGAGTCTCTTCTGAAACTGTACGCCATCACGCAAGCCATCACGACTCTCGTGATCGTCGTGCTCGCCTACGTCACCTACATCCTCTTCGATTCGATCAAGTTGTTCTACATCGAACCGCTCGTCGGTATAACTCCCGTCAATGCGGCCGTCATGGTGCTCATGAAACAGGTGAGAACATTTCCCCCGAAAGGAAGTGCAAACGTTCCATTTTTCAGTTCCTTCCCGACACAATTGTACTCGGAACGCCGTTCGGACGTGTCAAATACACGCATCTTCCGTTCTTCGCCATCTGCGTTTCTTTTATTCTCGCTCTCACCAAATTCGCCTACTTTGTAAGCTTATTTTCGAAGCCAGACTCTACACAAAACACAAAATGCTTCCAGGTATCGTTTCTGCAAATCGCTGTCGGAGTCCAAGTCTCGTGGACATACCTTCGATTCTATAAACCGCACGAAACGGATGAGATTTACGGGGACGGCAGTGAGCATTTCACTTGGGCCAGTCTCTTTCCTTCTCGAACCCAGCTCTTTTTCACTCTGATCGGAAAAGTTTGCTTTCGAACTCTGGCCCGATTGGGAGTCTGCAAGCGACAAGTTCGCCACGTGGACCTCAATTCCCTTCAATCCGTCGCCGTCGGCATCAACTTGCCCGCCCTTGAGACCTCCGCCAAAGACTCGGAGAGAAAGAGGTAAACATTAAAAAGAAGTGTTCAGGAAATACAGGTGTGTTGCAGACAAAAGGCGCTGAAAGAGCTGAACGAGAGGCTGAACAAGACGAAAACGGCAGAAGTGGCGAACTACGGTAATTGGGACGAGGACGACGAGCCGCCGACTGCAACTGCCGTCACGTCTTCTCCCGCTTCCAACGTGCATTCTCCGCGAACTGCTGCGGAGACCGAACAGACTTCGATGGCTTAGTGAACAGAATTTCAATGGGTACTTTTTAGCTATAACCTTTTCTCCTCTTTTCTGCAATACGTCCCCCTCACTACGTTTACCGTCCCTCGGATCTCTAGTTTCTGTTCTGTTCTTGTTCTAATAGTATTCTACCGTTTTTACTAACCCTGGGTGTTCTTATTGCCTTCTTTTTTCTTTGTGTGAGTTGCCTTGCTCTGTGATATTTTCTCTAATAAGGAATTGTTTATAAAATAAAGAAACAACAACAAAACAACAGTGAAAAACAAATTTCAACAAAAAGCTTAGGCATTCTAAGCCATCAATCGTCCCTGTTTGGCCGCCTTCTTCTTCGCAATCGCCTTCTTCGCAGATTTCTTCAGAGCACGACGATCGTTTTGTTCGGCTGTTCTGCAAGAAATAAAATTGTCTGGTGACCAACGGAGTGCTAGTTCAATGAGGTTACACGCACACGGAGGGCCCACAGGTTCATATCGCACTACAAGTACTGCAGACGGAACATGTCCGAAAGCAGGTTGCAGTCATGCTTGCAGTGGGCGGGGGTCGAACTGAGAGCGGCCGGCCGTCTAGCAGACCCGCACACACCCAACTGCGCTATTAATGACAGGCGGTAGAGTGGTGCTGTGCGCAACGAAACGCGAGAGGGGCGGCGGAAAACTAGTGAAAGCGAGAAAGAAGGGCGCGCTCTTACCGTTGCTTCTTGGTGGAAAACTTGAAATTGTGCATCTTTCCCGCGATTTCAGCCGACTTCTGGTTCTTCTGTGTACTGGAAGTTCGCTTCTTAGCGGATTGGATCTTCTGAAACCGAGGAAATCATTGATATATTCGCGGAACATTGATTACTGTCAGTTTTCCTTTCTTCATCACTTTAGTAAGACGAAGTTCTCGTTTCCCCATTTTGATGGTCTCCATTCCGAGTGCGAGACTAACAGACGACTCCTCCGTGAAGTTGACGAATGCAAACCCTTTTCCCTGTCCGCTCTCTTTGTCTCTCACAATTCTGACGGCTTCGAGTGGTCCGATTTGTTCAGTGAAGAACGCAATGAGGACATCCTCGGTCACATCGAAAGGCAGATTTCCGACGAACACAGCCAAATCCTTTCCGAAATCTTTTTTCTTTGATCCGACTTTGTCGACGCGGATGACGTGCTCCTCAAGCTTCGTTCCATTGTATTTCAGTGCCTTCTCAACGGACTCTTCCGCTTCGAACTTTACGTAAAAAACGAGCGAATTCTGTTTGTCGTGGAATTTTCCCGTCAAATGAGTCACTCTTTTCGTCAATTTCTCGTTCGTAGGAATGAGATTTCGCATACGAACGGAAGCGATGGCACCAAAATCGGAGAAGATGCGACGGATCGATTTCTCGTTCATCGTCAAAGGCACGTTGCCCACGAACACAGTCTTCGCGTTCTCCGCGGCCGCCGTACGAGCGTTGCTCTTCTGAAGAGCCCGATTCTCTCTCTGCTTCGTTCGGTCCCTCTTCTCTTCTTTCTTCTCCCCTTCCACTTCTTTCACTCCGTCCTCAGTCTTCCTCGATTCTTCTTTTTCTTCGTCGCCCTTCACCACTTCGGCAGTTTTCTTCTTCGGTTCGAACTTTCTTCTCTTTGGCTTCTCAATGACCGAGTCTCCCTTGACGACGTCTTCCTGAATGGTCGATCCGTCCGTGGACTTTCCGAAGAGACTGGAGAGTCCTCCCGCTTGATAAGTCTCCAGCGGAGCAGCGGTTTTCATTTTCTTCGCAATCTTCGGCGCTTTCGGAGCCTCTGCGGATTCCGTCGATTCGACCTTCCTCTTGGTGATTTTCTTCGCCATCTGCAGAAGAAAATCAGACAACTAGAAACAATTGTTACACTTTTAAATAGATTTTCAGGATGGGAATAAACCTATATTTTCAATTATCGAGAATTTTTTTGGACGTAATAATTTATTGTTACTTAGATCATCAAAAAGGAACATGAAATTGAAATTTGAGGATAAAAAGAAAAAGCACAGAGTATCAATAATACGGTTGTTGTTCGTCGTTTCGCTCCATCTTGAAGGCGACCTGCAGGAAGAACTGCTTCGTGTCCTTGTTCCACATTGTCCAGAACTTTTCCGACTTGTCAACTTCTCTGAAAATGCTCGGTTGTTTTCCGTTATTCTCTAGTTGCTCAGTTACCTGGAAGGAATCTTGAATCCGATTGTCTCGTATGGTTCAGCGGCGAACAGAAGGTACTGCCATCTCTTGTCTGGCGGCTGAATCTTCTGCTCGTAGGCCGACATGAAGCGGTGACGTGGCGCGATGCCGTCGGTGATCTCCGGATAATCGATTTGGAAGAGAAGAGCCTGCTGGCCGGTTCCCGGGTCGCGTTCCCTCGTCACTTTGTATCCGGGACGTCCGATTTTCACGAACTTCTTCGTTTCTACAGATGATTTCTGCGGAGCCGGCAGGAACGGCTGCTCCGATTGTTCTTTGGCGGCACGACGGGCGAGATTGGCCTGATGCTTCTTTCCCTGGGTGTGGGCTAGATAGGACCCTTCATTGTTGTGCAAAGTGAGACACAGTTTGCACTCGTACGTTCCGATGTGGTTTCGCATAAAGTACGGATCCTTTTGCAGGTCGATCGTCTCGAGAGCCAACTGACGGAGTCGTTCTCGCCGATCAACGCCGGCATCGGCCGCCGAAGCAACTCCTCCGCTTCCTGTTTTTCCTCCAGCTCGGTTCTGGAAGTCCATCTGAAATAAACAGGTTTTGATTGATACATAAATTATGTAACATAACAGAACAGGAAAGTTAAAAATATTGAAAGCCGTGTAACAAACGGATAAAACAATCAATATTTAATAAGGTATGACAAAATGAAACTTCATTCTCGAATAACGAAAGACGGAAAATAAAAATAAGATGAAATAGGAACACATACGAGATATTGAACGTTGTGTGTTCAGTCATACTGAGCGCACAATGGAAATTATCAGATCTTTGCTGTTTCAGAAAATTTGATGTAAACCGTGAGAAACTTGCGGGGATGAAAAGAGAAATTCATTGGGAGGGGGAGAATGTGAACGAGTATCGCGGTTTCCGCATTTGTTTGAAAGTTTTTGCAGAGATTTCGAGGGGAACTAGTTAAAAAAACAGGGTGATACTGCATGAGGTTACGACGGGTGAAGTTTAATTAATTAGAGGTAGAAAGAAGTTAAAAGTTGAAAAAAAAGCAACACAAAAGGGGGAATCTAGTGTCCGTTGACGAGAGGACCATTTTTCAAAGTCAATATTCCGTTGAGGGGTGGTGCGTTTGGCTCCTCGTTTGCCTGCCATTCACGGACAATTATGGAAAGTTGACCAGGCAGAGCTTCTCGGTCCCATTCATTTCTGCAAAAAAATGATCCTTCAATCGAAAAATCCGGAAATTCACTTACCGGAAACGTTCGATGGTATGCGAAATCACAGAAGACAGCCGTTCCAATTCACTGACCGACCATCCATTCGACTTTTCCACACACAGAGTCTGCAGATCCTCGACGGCTTCTCGCGAGACGGACACTTCTCGTTTCGGCGATTCAATCTGCACTGGAGAGCCGGGCGTTTGCGTGGGCTCCAAAAGGTCACCGGAAGCATCCTTCATCTCGATATCGTGCTTTTCGAGCTCTTCCGATTTTTCCTGAACTGTCATGTCTTCGTAGTCTTCGATGGCCGTCTCCTCTCCAGTTTCTTCTCCGGTTTCCTCCTCTTCTTCTTCTTCTGGCTCCTGCGAACCGTTCTTCTTTGTCTTTTTCAGCTTCTGCTTCTGTTTCTTAGTCAGCTTCTTCTTGCCATCCTGGAGAGCTAGGACACCTTCAGTTGAAGTACACGTGCCCTCTTCGCTCTTGTTGTCATCAACGGCGCCTTCTTTGTCAGTAGAGTTGGTAACAGGAGTCACGCCAAGCTTTTCCAGCATATTCTGATTCTCGGCTTCTCGTTCCGCTTTCCACGATTCGATCTCCTTGGCCAGAGTATTCGTCATGCTCCATGGCTTCCGACGGACGAAACCTTTCGGAATCTCCGAGAGCAACTGTTCAGTGGTTGGAGTGACACCGGCATCCTGCAGCATCCGAGACACTGTTTCAATGCGTTCAACGAACGATTCGTCCAATTCGCAGTCCATCAAATCGTCTATTGCATCACGGAGAGTGTTGGCCATCTGACGGATCGTCTTCCCCTCTTTTGTGTTCGATGGATTGTATTCGAGGGCGTTGTACTGTATCTGACACAGGTCGGCGACGAATTTATCAGCGTGATTGTATTCACACTTATTCAGCTTCTCCATAATGTCTGACAAGCAAATCGGATTCTGAATTATTTCATAATAGTCCTCCGCCTCTTCCGGGTCGACTGGCTCGACGAACTCGGTAAAACGACGGTCACGCATCAGACGAGCTGAAAAAGAAACTGTGCGGAGCAAGGAGGAAGTGGCTCTTACTGAGCCGTTCCTTGAAAAACATTCGCATCTGTCTCTGCAGTGCCGTATACATTTTCAGCAGTTCTCTTGTCTCGTCGTCGTTCAGTTTGCGAGATGGCTTCGATTCTGGAGAGTCGTCATCTGGCGCTGGCATTTCGTAAGCGGTAGCTGAAAACGAAATATATTCTACGGCTGTGCATATTGAATATCGTACCATCGAAGACTTTTGGAGGGGTAAAAATGGGCTCCAAAATGTATTCGAAGTACTTCTTTCGAATCGACAAACGAGCTGGATTCATTCTGAAACTCTTATTGTATTTTAAGGAAAAAATCTTTTCGACTCACGTGATGCAGTTCGCATGTCGGAATACTTCCGTTACATATTCGGGAGCATCCTCGAACGACGAATCAAGAGTCGAGAGGAACAGAATTGGAGTGAATCCGGTCATGGACTCGAGACAAGTGATGAGCATGTGCTGTACCGACACCGGGATCACTTTGATCCATTCGTCGATGGATGGAAGAAGCATGATGCACGGACCGGTAGCAGATGCTCTCATTGCGGCTTGAACTGCGTGCGAGAAGGCTTCCTCCGGTCGCCCGTCGGTCAAAAGACTAGAAACGGAGAGGGAGAAGACAGGAAGATGATCGAGTTTGGCGAGGATGGCTGGTAGCACGTAGGATGTTTGTCCACCGTCGGCAAGTTCGGAAGATCCACAAAGAAGAAGTCTGATGGCTGGGACGGTTGGATTCGGCTCCAATGCCCTGACGACCTGCTCCAATTCACAAGAAGCCGTTGCCATTGCATTCTCCACACATCTGTATCCTTGGGGGACACGAAGACTGATCAAGTTGCTCACAGTGTCTCCGAGCAAAATGAATGTGCGTTCGTCGAGAGGACGTGATGGGATTGTGAGATCTCTTCTGGATGCCGGTGTAATTCTTCTCATCGCGTGTCCAAAGTGTTCTTGTGTCACTTTGATCGTCGCAATATCGAGCTTCAAGCGTTCGGAGCACATGTAGATGTGTGGATAACGAGAGCGCAATCCAATGAGCACGGCCTCAGTACACAGAAACTTCAAATCGGCTCCGCAGTATCCACTCGTCTTCTCAGCAATCGAATTGATTATCTCTGTTTCCGGTTTGTTCTCTTCCCATTTCGAAGTGTGAATGTCCAGAATTTGGCGACGTGCATTCAGATCGGGAAGCGAGAACCGAAGTTCCCTGTCGAATCGTCCAGGTCTTCTCAGGGCTGGATCCAGCGAGTCTAATCGGTTGGTGGCGCCTATCACAACGACTTCTCCACGTCCATCCAAGCCATCCATGAGAGCGAGAAGAGTGCTGACTATGCTCGCGTGAATTTGATCTTGTTTGGAGGATCGAACGGGAGCCAGACCATCGATTTCGTCGAAAAAAATGATAGAGGGGCGCATTGCGTAGGCCTGATCGAAAAGAAGACGGAGCTGTCTTTCTGACTCTCCGACCCATTTACTCAGACAATCAGCTCCTTTTCGCATGAAGAATGCCACTTTGTTGGCTCCACGGCGACATTCGTTGGCCAGAGCTCTTGCGACGAGTGTCTTTCCTGTACCAGGAGGACCATAAAACACGACGCCCTTCGGTGGATTTATGTTAAACTTGGCGAAGACCTCAGGATAAAGCATCGGGAACAGAACCACTTCCTTCAGAGATTGGATATGATGGCCAAGTCCTCCGACCTGATCGAACCCGACTGAACCGTCCACACTCATCGGATCGATATCACTGGCACCCTGTCCGGCGTCGGTCTTTCGCATTCTGTCCATCAGAATGTGCTGGGCAGACTGCAGCTCCTTCTCTGTCATGTTGATCGGCATGAAACGACCACGCTCTCCGCCACGTTCTCCACCGCTTCTGCCGTGCATATGCGGTCTCGACTGCCGTTTATCCGGACGTGGAAGCACCAGATCATCGCTGTCCGAGTCCGAATCACTGCGTCTCCGATGAGAAGAGCTCTTGCGATTCCTGTGATGCCTTTTCGCATTTCCAGTATTCTGACGTCTGACGGCACGCTCGAGACGAGCGTGTCTGTCACGGACTTCGCCTTGATTGAAGTGAACGACCGGCTGACGGCGGCGGAGACTGTACTGACGAGGTGCTGTCGACTCCTCTGAGCTCTCCGCGTTGCTGCTCTCCTCTTCTTCCTTGAAATACCATGGTATGAGTTATATCAGCTTGCTCTCTCTCTCTTTTTACTCACCTCGTCTTTTTCGTCGTGTCCAGCTTCCTCCACCTCCTCTTCCTCTTCTTCTAGACCGATCTTTTCTATCACATCTTCACCGTCAGCTCCTTGATGCTCTGCATTTCCTTCCGTATCCGCATTCGGCTCTGCTGACTCCCCACCGTCTTCTGCGACCGCTGTTTCTTCTTCGTCTGCCGCCTTTTCTTCCAGCTGCTCGTTGCTCCGTCTCGCCGCCTTCCGAGTCTTGCGGACCGGCGATTCTTCTTGCTCTGAAACTTCTGAAACTTCGGATTCTCCCCCGCTTCTCATTCTGCTACCTTCTTGCTCTCCGAACGTTGACGAGCGTCTTCTGGAACTGCGTCGTGTTTCTCTTCTATCTGAACCAGAAATTGCGGCCGGATGCGGTGCTTCAAAATCGTCCTCTTCGTCGTCAGAAACATAAATCCTCTTTCTCTTTGCCGGTGGTATTTTCTGATTTCTCTTAGATTCGTCCATTGCCTGAGTCAACTGCTGCCGATACGTCATCGCATTTGAAGTTCTGAAAAGGTTAATTGAAAAGAGCCCTTTGTGATTTAAGATACCTACCTGCGTGTTCGGTAGCGCCTGTCATCGTCGCTGCTGTTGCGATCGTCATACTCTTCTTCGTAGTACAGAGAGTGATGGATCTTTCTTCCAGAACGCGTGTACCCGTTGTTGCCAACTCCACTATTTCTCTGCAATTTTTTATTGTCCTGGAACGCACAGGTACGTGTACGTACTCTTCTGCTTGGTGGAGAGTACACATCGTCGAACTCATCGCCGCCGCCGAGCTGACTTTCTTGGAGACTCGAATACAGGCGAGAGTGGTCTCGAGCGGATCTCCGCAGGTTCTTACGCGGCGAAAATCCGTCTCTGCGAGACATTACTGCAAAAATAAGGATTTTCGAAATTATGCAAAAATCAATAACTCGATAATGACGTTAAACATCGAAAAAAGCAGTTGTCGAATAAATGGGATAGAGTGAGAAGAGAGCGTATGAAATGCACAAAAGCTGCTCAGCTCTAGATTATGCCTACACACCGAGGAGCTGCGCCAACAGGAAAACAGAGGAAACAGGAAAGGTTTGAAATCAGACGGGTAATCAGGACAACAGACAAAAGCATTGCCCGTCCGATGAGCAAACGGAGGAAATAAAAGGGAAAGTGGTACGAAATCAATTCCGTTTGAAGGGGGAACTGATTTGAATGAATGAGTCAGGTAGGGTAGCGCGAGTGAACGACACGAGACGGCGGGTGTCGGGGCAGAGACGAGACGGAAAAGTGCAGAGGAGAGTGGGCAAGTGCGCTCTGTCGCACAAATGTGCGATTTACACGTGAAACAGGAAAATCAGTGCTTTCTCGATCCCCGTGGGATTCATCCGACTTGAAAAGAAAACCTGGTTATTTAAAATTTGTATAACTTGATTACAGAACATTTACGAGTAGTCTAACATTCATTTTATGCCAAATACCGTTCGAAAAAGAAGCATTTTTGTTAGTGAAAAAAGTGAAACTAGAAAAGTTTGGCTTTAAGATGACTGGAAACTTGCTGAAACTTGTCTTATTGTTTAAATTATCACCGTACCAACTATTCAGAGGTGTGTCTGGTCTCGAAACGAAATTTAAAGATTACTGTCATTTTCTAACATTTTCGTGTCACTCGCTTCACTTGCCATTTTCACTCACGTTTCGCTAACACTGTTTTTAGACATGGGTCCATTCACCATTCTAGTGGCTTCAATCGTGCTTCTCGTTCCGTACTCACAATGCGGGGAATTCGATTTCACTGTGGAGGTGCCCGCCGGCAAGTTCCAGTGCTTCTTCCAACCGGTAGATCTCGCGAAGCACAAGATTCTCGAAGTTGACTATCAAGTAAGAGAGATAAATTCGCTCTCTTCGTTAAAACACGTGATATTCAGGTGATCGATGGTGGTGACTTGAACGTCAATTTTATGATTCTGCACGGTGCCAACATTCTGAAGCAGGACCAGCTGAAGGTCGACGGATCGCATCGGATCGAGTTGAACGAGCCCGGGGACTACCAAGTCTGCTTCGACAACTCCTTCAGTTACCAGTCAAGGAAAGTAGTATTCTTTGAAATATTCCTGTTCGATGCTAACGGAAATCTCGACGAAGCCGATCTTTCTGCAATGGCTCGCACCGATTCGGATCTTTCTGCTAAAATGAACGAGCTCGGAGTTACCATCGACGAATTCCATGTAAGTGTTGCATAATAATTCGAGAAGCAATGAATACCTCTCAGCGACGAGCCAACGGAATCAAGAACAATCTAAACAAGGTGGAGTACCATCAAGCACTTCTCCGAGCTCACGAAGCCCGCGACCGCGCCGTCATGAGTGCTAATTTCGACCGCGTCACCTTCTGGAGCGTTGTTCACACTCTTGTGATGGTCGGCGTCGCCGGAGTCCAAGTATTCATGATCCGGTCGCTTTTCGAGGAGAACTCCAAAATTGGAAATGTTCTTCGGAAAGGAAAATTCGACTAAATTTATACTTTGTTATAGCATGCTCTCACCTTTTCAGTCCCTTTGTTGCTTCCTGTCAATCTCTGATCTAAGTCATGTTTATACTCCGAAGACCATAATAGAAATGTGCATAATGTATTAATTTATGGGTTTGTTTTATCCTTTTTGTTGGGTGTTTTTTATGAATCGAATAAACATCATTTATTGACGAACGTGCTTTTCTCAACGTGAGCATCCCTTTCCGATGATCACGTCGAGGTTGATCATTAATGAATTCAATAAAAACAACATTTCTTCGATGAAAAATGAAACCTCACTCATTAGGAATTCATCTTTTTGTTCTTCTGTTCTCGAGCGGACTCAGCACCAGAACAACTCGATTTTCAATTCAAATTCAGCCAGAAACCGAAGAGTGTTTTCATGAAAATGTGGAAGAGAACGTCAAAGAGGTTCAGGTGGATTTCGAGGTGAATTCAGACTGTGCCGGAGAATTAACATGTTGGATTCAGGATTATGTGAACGACGGAGTGCACTTCACAGTGATGGCGGACGGACGGAAACAGTTCGACAACCGACTAAAGATCGGATATTGGCTGAGTCGCGATCCTTTGTTCCGATCTTATCAATTCTGTATTCGGAATTTTGACCCGACTCCGACGGTATCCGACATTTGTTCACATTCGGAATATTCGGGAAGTTTTAGAAAGTGTTCATCAAAATCTGGCACGTGGATCCATCAGATCTGATTGACGAACAGAAACTGACGGAAATAAACGAGGAAATGGTCAAACAGCTGGGCAAACTGGCCGTTCCGATTCACGAGTTGAGCGTGTGAGTTTTCGATCGATCCCGTTTCGAACACGCGTTTCCAGCGGAGAGTCGACGCGGTCAAATGGAAGCTGGAAAAGGCGAAAAGCACGCAGTTGTACTTCCGACGCCACGAACTGAACGACCTGAAACTAATGCAGAGGAACGACGATGACGTCTCCTTCTGGAGCGTCTTCTCAATTTGCTACACGGCTTCCCTCGGCGCCTCCCAACTTTTTTTGATTCGGACTCTTTTCGAGGAGAACTCCAGAATTGGACGGATTCTGAGAAAAGGCTCTCTACACTGACACTATGACCGTTTTGCGTACATAAATGATTTTATTGGTGTGCTATTCCACGTATTATCCGAAATTCTCTTTTTTTTTAGAATCACTGCATTTAGCGAAGTATGAATGGAATAGGAAATAACAAGTAATTCAGACATCGCAAGTGTTTTTGGGGCTCAACGGCATGTGACAGTCGTGAGTGTATCCGCCCTCTTCAAAAGTGGACGGCGGCGGAACGAGAAGACGGACGTGGCGAGAGGAGTGACGGCTCTGCCCGGACTCGGGGCTCTCGCTATGACTCTGAAAAGAAGAGAAATGGGTTGAGAGGGTTATGGGTTTCGGGAGGGAAACAACCTCGTAAATAGACCAGAATGCACTCAAATCGGACGCCGGATACCAAGTGAGCGCCGAGGAAATGTACGGAAGGAGACAGAGAATGTCCCGGTGGTCCATGGGCGTCGGCAGGAAAGAGAAGATCCATCTCTTGGTCTCCGGTGTGAAATAGTACCAGAAACTGGTGGAAAAGTGGATTGCAGCTATCCAGAGCTGGAAAAGAAGGCGCTTGTTCGGAAGAAACTCAAAGCAAAACTGACCAGATAGTTATTGATGCAATCGATCGGCATCATCGTCGGAATGTCCTTCGTTGCCATCTTGAGCCGGATCGCACAGATGCAACAGAGAACGACGGGCGCAATGACCTCCACGAACAGAGCGACGCCGTCTGTGTAGACCTCGTCGGCGAAGGGGATCACACAGAAAAACGATTCGAACATCACACTGAACACTTCACCGGGCATACGGTTTCCGTGGATTCGCGGTATTAGCTGGAAGAATAAAAAGTGAAAAAGAAGAAAGGAGAAGGGAGAGATTACTGTAGAACTACCAATGACCGGGACGATTATGAAGAGGACCAGCAAAGTGAAAATGATTGTGAACATGATGGTAGTGAACGACTGACGGATACGGCACTTTCTGGACGGATTGATAGACATACTCTGCAACATTCTCATTCATTTTCCTGATCTACACCGACTCTCCATACCGTAACCACATATAATGCCACAATGGCATACGGTAGAAGTGTTCTTCCGACCTGGGCCGTCGCCTGATACGCTCTGCAGGCACTGGGTCCAAAGGTCCAGTGACGAACGAGTGTTTCCACGATCATCCACGGAGTTCCGAGCGAAACGAACGCGTTTATGATGAAGAAGAAGGCGAGAAACTGCTGAACATGGGTCACATCTCGAAGACGACGGGTGTACAGTTGGAGGACAAGCTGGGAGACATTTCCGCAGAGAATGGAGGTCAGACAGACGAGGTGGAGCAGCGAAAGGAAGAGCTCCAGGTCTGAAAACATTCGAGAATGAGCAGACCAGCTCATTCCCTCTTGTCCCCTGTTCTATTCTAAATCTCTTTCTTATGTCACCAAATTATTCTGATCTCTCCCGTTTCCCTGTTCTCCGAGAGTCAGCCCTTTTCCGGTCTGCTACTTCTGAAGGCGACGCCTTCATTCATGAATACTATGAATTACACATTGCTCCCCTTCTACTTCTGTTTTGATCGGCGTGAATGAATGACCAGTTGATTGGACGGGGATTTCTAGAGGAAAGTGAGCAATGGGGAGGGGGAGGATGACGGTCCGAGAATTGAATACTCAGAAAATGAATGCCGGAAGAGGAAGGGAGCGATACTTTGCTCCCCGTGAATAAAATCGAAAGATTGGATCTATTCAGTGCCAATATCTATTCGCGGGAAAATGATGACTGATGAAGCATGTGCTTCGAGGTTATTTTTAGGGCAGAGATCTCGAAATAAAGCGTGAAAACAGACATTGTTGCCGAACATTTTTGAAAAGTTTCGAGCCGATATGGCTTCTGGTTGAATGTCGAATGAAATGGACTTCCGGAATATTAGCCATGACTCAGAGTGATCAGACTAGAAACTCTTGGCCGGTTTCAGAAAATAATGCATTGTGCTTGAAGGTCATTTCTCAAAGGAATAATTCGATTAACGAAGAGGAATTCCACTGTTCCCTTTTTCACCCCAAAAAGAACCCACTTGTTGGTTGCTGAGTCGGCGGCGGTATAGCAATATACGGATAGGGCACGATCGTCGAATTCATCTCCTCCTCGAGCGACGGCATCTTCTGAAAGAGTCCACAAATAAACGGCGCTGCCAGGTCACAGACTAAAGACGAATGAGCGAGCTGATCTAGTGGGTGACCAAGCGAAGATTATTCGGGATCCTCGAGTTGGCGACGCGAAAAGCCGATTTCTCAAGGAATACAAAGAATAACAGAAGACGAGGAAACTGATGAGAACGTGCAAAAACGTACGATAGATGGGCGGGCGGGATGCTGCGAGAGAAAAGATGCAAATGAACCGGATAGGACGGCTCAAAAATGGCGGATGTGGGCTTTTGGGGGAAAGAATTGAGCTGACTGAGGAAGTTTTTCAAGTTGTTTGTAAAAGCGAAAACAAAAGGATACCGTATGACTCGGAGGACCAACCAACCGACTAGTAAGTGGGCTGTTTTCAGAGTGAAAAGTGTCTCAAAACGAAATGAACTTTTTGAGAAACGGCATACACAAGTTATTGAGGGGATCGAAACGGAAGCGGAGAGGATGAATGCGAAGAAGAAAACAGAATGGAAATGGGGGCGGAATTCAGCCGGCGGCACTTTAATTTCAGGGGGGAGGCGAGCAAATGAGTGAACGATGATAATCCGAAAAAGGAGAAGAAGAAGGAGAGTGCGTGGACGTCTTCATTTGCATATGTATTAGAAGTCCTGAATATTAATTTGTTTGCCAACTTTTTCCACCACTTTTTGCACGCATCATGAACGCAGTGACATTCGGACGATGTACTTACTTTCGTGACGATTTCCGGTGCAGAGCACATTCAAACTCTGATGACTTCCGGATAAATGAATCATTTCCAAAAAGGAGAATGCATCTCGCACGGGAATTCGTTTTTTCCACTGTTTAGAACTCATTCTGACTTGAAAATGTCATCGTCGCGGACTGGCACGAAGTCAGAAAGGGACAAAGTGATAATGTTCCTGAACATTCATCCGTGACGGATGGATTCAACCAAACTAAACTCACTTTATCCGTTTATTTGTCCTAAACTTTATAATTTTTGAACCAGGTGATCGTAAGTAATCTCTCCGCCCGCGGATTTCCGAGACAATTCATCCCTTTCAGCGCCGTTGGATTAGCTGGGCTCACCGAAAATTAATGAGCTCAAAACTCGTGTGTGCTCATTCGTAAATAAAACATATCGGATAAGTGAGAGAATCGGAGAGAGCTGAGAAGTTTGACTACAGTTACCCATGGATATCCGGGAAAATGGAAAAGCAACTCGACAGTCCATCTCTCTTTTTCTCGCGGTGCTCTTCAGAAGAGGAGAACGCGGGACAGACGAATGACGCCAAAAAGGGAAAAAGAGGAGGCAGTGGGGCGGAAGGGGAGGAATGAATCCGTGATGTCTCGAAACGGAAGGATGCGAGCGAGCTCATTGAAATTCGCCGACGCATAACAACTAATTGGAGCCGCAAAGACGGCACAGTTTTTGGTTTTTATTTACTTGCATCACCTTGAGCATTCTTCTCGCTGTGAGCCGTCGGAAGAGTTCAGAGAGAGGAACCAATGGAGAAAAAGATGAAGGGAAGAGTCATTCAGGTGATCACAAGATCTGCGGCCCTTGCAAACCTTTCCGCAATTCGCAATAAGGAACCATTTGTTCATGTGGCTGAGCCCCAGGCATTTGAGGTCACACCACCCGTTATTGCTGGCCAAAGAGCAGGGAGAACTGAAGAAAAACGGATGTGTTTATAGTGCAATTCGCTTTTCTTTCTTTCCGAGCCAAAAATGGAGAGATGGAGCCCTTCCGAGTGGGCCAGCCGACAATTATACGGGAGACCTGGACGGGTGGTACTTCTCAGATACGGTTCGCCGAACAGAAATCTGTTCATGTTCGACGAATTAATCAATTTTAAATCGGCTATTCAAAGACGGGAAAACTATGCGAACGAACAATTTGCTCGTTCGTGTTTTCAGTCGTTTTAGAGCTTTGAGCCGACAAATTTGCATTGGCGCCTGTTTTGTTTTGCTTTTGTCTCTTTTGTGTTGAGCCAATTTCAGAAATTGTCGACTGAAAATAAAGCGAATTTGCTCATGAGCTCGTGGGGGGAAGGGGAAAAGAAGGGAGTCGGAAAGGATTGGAAAGTGAGCAAGAAACGAGTGCGTGGGAAACGAAACGGCAGAGTTCGGGAGGGCTTTCGACGGAAACGAATGACTTGGCAACCAAGTGCCCGGCAGAAAAAATACTTCCGAGTTTATGAGACGGATTGAATTACCACCGGGACTCTGGAGGAACAAGGAATAAAAGTGCAATCGAATGATGATAGAAACTTCCGATCGAAATACGGCGAAGGGCGCCCAAAAGTCATGTCGAAACATGCTAATTCAATGGATCACAAACCAAGTCTTGTGCTCTCTCAACTGGAAATTCTCTCATTTTCTATCTTTGCATAGGCTTGCGTGTTTGCCGCAAAAAAGTTTTTCTTTCACCTTCGCAAAAACAAAGCGGTCGTGGGTATCGGATAACGGAAACTGCTGGAATGCCCCTCCGAGAGAGGCCCAAAACCCGTCTCAATCGTGTTTTGCTCCGTTTTTCGGCGTTAGACATCGCCTCTCCCACAAGCTAATCAAGTTTAATCGCCTCGAAAAATGCTCAATGTGAATGGAGCCAAAAATGAAACGAATTGGCAGTGTCTTTGTGTGCGTGGAAAACAAGGCGAGCGTAGGGAAACTGCGGTCAAAGAGCAATGTCTAAGTGGTAAACGGATGAAGATACTCGGGCGGAAATCCCCTGGGTTTACCTGAGGAGTACTGCTTGCAAACACGAATTGTCTTCCTCCAAAGTGATCGAGGAGAGTCCAGCTGCACATTTCAACGAGCGTTTGCTGGGAAACATTAAGGAAGACAGGTGGAGTTTTCAGGTTGAGAGCAGTCAAATCGGAAGAAGGAGACCAGCTGATCCGCCGCCTCCCACGACGTCATAACATGTGGATTCGCTGCACGAACTACTAAAGGAGGAAGAAGAGATACGGTAACAGTTAGAATGGGCTTCTGGAGTTTTTTTTATGAGGAATTCGTGGAAGAAAGATGAAGTGAGCAAAACGTTTCGCTTCTTTGAAGATCACTTTTTCGCGATGAATGAATAATTCAGACGACGTGAGACGGATTAATAATTGAAAGAGTTTGGAAGGTAAACTGCCTCCTTCTTCGTCTTCTTCGAATTGAAAAGCTTCGACGGAGCAAAGAGGCCGAAATAGGATTGTCGTATGCCGCCTTAAACTGATTTGATTCTGCGTCTCAAGTGGAAACATTTTCCATCCATTACACATCAGTTTATTCCAAGAAACAAAAAAATGACGGAAACAATTTAGCAATCGTACTTGGAGGCAACCCGTAAATAAATTTGACTCTATAGTTAGGAAAGGCAAGCGATTTGACATGGAAATTGGAATTTCATCCGGTGAGTTCTCTTCTACCGCCTGCAAAAAAGATGACAAGATACAATTGGAACAGCGAGATCAAAAAGAGAGAAACAGAGAAAGAGAGACGAAAGAAGAAAGAAGTGTACGCAGATCCGGATGTTACCTCGTCTTGTACCACGAATTGACGATGTTTCCTTCTTCGTCGAACCAAGCAATGTATCCGCACGTCGCCTTCCCCCGAAGACCAAACAGCTCCAGATGATCACATCGGTCCCCGCTGATTTCCGATGAGTTTTGAGCCTGGAACAAACAGATAAAGATGGGACAACGTCTATGGAATACCTTCATATTAAAATGATTAATGGAGCAGTCGATGGTTCCACACTTTCCAACGTTATCGTACCGACAGTAGATATTGTGCGCCGTGTTTGCCCCCATCCACCTTCCAGACCACGTGCACTCCAGCGGATCCGATTTACAGCAGAATCTCTTGCTGAAGTAATCTCCCAGAATAGTGGAGCACGGCTTTCCGAAGCTCGGGTCGGGTGAGCAGAAGCCGGAGAGCCACCAAGAAGAGCATCTTCCGTTGTTTGCGCGAATGTAATCGTAATCTGATGGGCACGGAAAGTTGCAGAGGGGCGCGGTTCCGAACCATTCACAGCCGCCCTCCGATAGTCGCGGATGGAAACTCGTCAGTTCGGAGACCGTCTTGGCCGTCATTCCTGAAAAGAAAATAGTGAGTCAGAGCAAAGTGTGGACGGGTTGTTTGAAGTGGACGTGGGCTCGCCGGGGAGAGCCGGAATGTACATGAGTCAGAAAATGCCGCGAATGAGTCAAAAAGGTTGCGATTTGCGTCTCTTACCAATCATTCCGGTAACGAGAGCGGTGGCGATGGGTCCCGTCACGATGCCTCCGTCTCTTTTCGTACGCCTCTTCTCGACAGCTGACCTGCTCATCGACCTGCTTTTCGTCACATTTTGAACCGCGGCCTGCAAATGAAACATCAACTTAACTAAACATTTTCTTTTCCGGTTCAGTGGTCGGAATCTTTTATAATTGGGCAGAAGGGACGGAAAAGTGTATCAAGTTTAGGTGTCTTTATACCGTTTTGTCGACGTCACTTCTTCTCCTTTACAATGTATCTCTTTCTGTACTGTACAATTCAGTTTTATTCTAGTTGGTGGTGTCTTTTTATGATTCGAAGGTGGCAGACAACGTACCAGCCGTTCGTGATAGTGATGCGAGAACTTTTCGGCGGCAATCACAGAGAGACGCTGACGGATCTCCTTCTCATCGACCCAGTTCGACTCTTCAATCGACTTTTCCGAATCTTCACCTGAATTCGAACTGATAACATTCAGAAAACAAAAAAAACTTACCGTAATCAGAAGGCAGATAAGAACTGGCGACTGCAATGAGTAGAAGGAAGAGGAGGAATCGAAAGGAAAGGTTAGATGGACTCATCGCTGGAAGTTATGAGGAGTGATGATGGATGGGCGTGGGAATGAACTGAATGAAAGCGAATGAGACGCAGAGACCGCCAACGGGTTGATCGGAACAAGACAGGAGGCGGGCAAAGGGACAACAGCTGCGAAACGATGAGTCATTGTTTGGAAGCGGGAGAACCTTGTTGGAAACAGAGAATGGCACCGGTTTAAAAGTTAAATATGCTGATGAGGGTTTACATGGGAATGGAGAGAAGAAGAAAAAGTTGTGCATTCGGGGGACTAGACATGAAACTTTAATTAAAGTTAACAAGAAAGGATACTGTAGTGCTCGTTGGGGCACCCTTGCAAAGCCTCATTGCGTCATCCTCGTTTGCAGGCTATTTCTGGAATTCTGAATTTCCGGCCCTACGCCTCCGGATTTCCGGATTTCATTCTCTTCTCGGAAACGTTGTTTCTTCATCTTTTTTGCCTCAATTATATTTCTCAAGGGCACGTTCCACGGCCTCAATTCTTCGCTCAAGGGTATACTCCGTTGGACATGTCAAAAAACAAAAATCAGAGAACACGGCGAAAATAAATGTCAGTGGCCGACGGAAAAGAGCGTTCTAGACCAACAATTCATTTTTTGCGATCGTTCTTTTTTCTCGTCTGCGAACGATTGTTTGTCGAGGATTTCGACAATGACAACAATGCGAAACACTTTTTTGCCTTCTTTTTTTCCGGCTTCAAAAGTGAATAGTGCATAACACTTTTTTGCCTATTTCTCTACGTTCTCTTGTTATTTCGTCACTGATATGACGACTAGAAATTTCCATTTTTCTAGTCAATGGCGCAAGCAGAAGACGTCGAGCCGGAGACCTTTATGGTCATGAAAACCATCGAATGTTCGATTGTTGAAGTCGATGACGTGGATTTGGAGCATTATATTCTCTTCTGGAAGCATGTTTGCAAGTGAGCAAATGTTTAGAATCATTTGAAAATGAGCACCATTCAATTTCAGGGTAATGAGCAAATGGGGCACTATCTTCAGCTTCGTTGTGAAGGATGTTACCGCCAAATTGGAAAAGTTGACAGTGATGAGAATGGACGACCCGGTGGCTTACAGGTGAGGTATTAAGAAAGATTTCGAAACAAGTGAGAATGATTTCAGAACGATTCTGACGATGGCGTCGAAGGAAAGGGAGAACGGAACGATTCGGAACAGAAAACCGAACCGAAGTGGAACCGGTCACGTGATGGTGCTGAACAGGTGAGAAGGACACTGAAATGAACTCAAAGATGAGACCTCTATTTTCAGAGCACTGGAGTTCGTGATCGATATGCTGGACGGCGTGTTCAAGGCGGAGGATCCCGACGCGAAAGTCTATTCTATCGCCCGTTCTTCGTACGACAAACACTTGTCGCAGATCCACTCGTGGCCGGTTCGGACCGCCGTTTTCACCGCGCTTTTCACTCTCCCCAACAGGAAGGATTTCCTGGTCCGTCTGCGCGGAGAGATGCCTGAATCGGAGGACGGGAACTTCCACGAGGTATTCCAGCGGAACGGGATAGACGTCGTCCGTCGGGTGAATCTGCTCATCGAAAACTTCGAGCTCTCCGACTACAATCCCTCCGCTTAGCTTTATTTTCCTTTTTTGTCATTTTGATCTCCTTCCGAATGAAGAGCTTTTTAATTTTTTTGCAAATAAATGTTGTGTCTATCAACCAAACCAGTTCAATTACTGAAAGCACAAGTGAGAGAGGTACTGCACAGCTTTTACTGTGAATAACATTTATTGGATAATTAAGAATAAAATAAGGTCGGTTTTCAAACAAAACGACAACAGGGACAGAAACTCGATAAAATTGAAAGGAGTAAAAAAGATAGAGAAAAAGCGAAAGAAAAAGATTGAACGATTCGAATTGCCGGGGTGGAAATGGATTAACTGCTGTGCATCTTGCAGCACAATCCGATGTTGACGACTCGCATATCGGAGAACGTTTCGCGAGATCGGATAACAGCTTCAGTGCCGTCCACCTGCACCAGTGTGCCACTATGTCCAGCTTCTGATCCGAATATGACACGAGCCTGAAATAAGGAAGCATTGAATAACTCCCATTGTTTAGACAGAAACTCACGTCATCTCCTTGTTGCGGTCTCATCGGAGCCATTTGATCGAATTCAACCTCCACGTTGCACTTGAGGTCTGGAATGTAGGCGTCAACACGTCCTTCGTACACATCCTTAATGATTGCTTCACGGTCGTTGTACCTATCCTCATGTTCCTTGATGGTAACGCAGAGCTGCGGCACGATCCAGACTCCTTGAGCCAAGAAGTGATCAGCTGAAAAACGTTTCAATTCGATCTGTTACACATAGATTTCGAACTTACGAATGCTTTCGACTGTGCCGCCAGCCGAGCTGTACGTGTTCGCATCGTATTGAAGTCCTCCCATAAACGGCGACGGAGCAGCAAAGTCATTATACGTGCCGCTTCCCGGAGTCATTGGAGCAGCGAATCCAGGAGTGTCCACGTGATAAGCTCCAGGAGTTGCTGGATTGAGCATTGCCCCGGGAGTGGCCACAACGTACGATTCATCGGGGTTTTCGTAAGTCGGAGAAGAGGTGTCTCCGGGTTCTTCCTCCGGTTTAGCATCGGCCTCCGGTTCTTCGTAAGTCGGACTGCCGACATCGTAGTTGTATGCTGGGGTGCGGCTCGATCCGAATGCCGGAGTTCTCGGAGCAGAACCGTCGTAGGTTGGCGTCATGGCTGGCTCCGGATTGTAGGCCGGGCTCATCGCTGAAAACAAATTTATTGTAGATAGGTTAGAGATGCGCAGAACTTACGAGTCTCATAGTCATTGTTTCTCTCGTACGCGGGAGTTCTCGAGTTGTCCACATCTCCGTACGACGGCGTCTTTCCAGCGTCATAAGCTGGAGTTCTGGATGGCGCTTCATAGGCAGGAGTTCTGGGCGGCTCGTGCTCGTAAGCAGGAGTTCTGGCGTATGCTGGAGTGCGCGCACCTTCCGTATTTCCGTAAGCCGGAGTCCTTGCGCCTTCGTTTTCATAAGCTGGAGTACGCGCTGACGATGCCGTCGTGGTATGATCGTCGTCGGTGTAGGCGGGAGTCTTGCCTCCTCCGTACGCGGGAGTTCGTCCGCCTTCTCCATATGCTGGCGTTCTGCCTCCATCGTAAGCTGGCGTCATCGAACCGTAGTGCGGAGTACGGTCTCCCGCGCGAGGAGTCATCGCACCGTACATTGGGGTCTGTGCTCCATACATCGGAGTCTTCGAGCCGTACATCGGGGTCTTGGAAGAGTCGCGCATCGGAGTCTTCGACTGGTTATAAAACGAGGAGGATCCGGTGTGTCCAGCGGTAATTCCAGTGTCTCCAACGACCATGACACGAGCACGATCCACCGAAATGGTTCTGCACTGTGTGTGCAACTCGACTCGAACGGTGTCATCGGTGGCATCACGGACGATTCCGAACAGACCTTTCATAGGCCCTTTGATAATGCGAACGTTCTTTCCGATTATAGTCAGGTCGCGTCGAATTCTCTGCTGGTTAGCCGTTCCGAAGTGATTTCCATGTCCGCCTCCTCCGTTTCTCGGTGTCTGACTTCCAGTACTTCCACGACTTGACATGCCGTCGTGCGACCCTGGAGTCATTCCTCCAGAATGTCGTGGAGAAGCCATTGGATTGGGGGATGCCATACGAGCCACTACATTTGTGTTTGCCTTTGATTTGGCTCCTTGCAGAAGCAAATGTTTCGGCCTGCAGACGAGAACTCCTCCGTTCTTTGCTATCTTGCGCGCGTAAAGGAAGACAGTTCCTCGGAATGCGTATAGCACTTCTCCAACTGGATCCTCGTCAGTCTCCCGTTCTTTTGCATTCGGGCCACTGATAACTTTGACCACATCCTTCGCTTCCACAGAGTTGTTCTGACTGTCGAGCACTTTCGCGAACTTGACATCCTTCTTGGAAATGATAGCCTGCGGTTTCATGCGATTGATAACTCCGTGCATGTTGAGAACTTCGAGATGTTCTTTCTCAAGACGGACAATAACTCCGACGGTTCCAGTGTGATCCAATTGGACCAGGTCGTGGTACTGGAACTGTCCGAGAGAATCGACTCCAGTCGTTACATCGGCACATAGTTGCAGATCTCTCACACGCACTTTCAACTCCTCCATTCCAAGATCGGACAGCATGATGGCTGTGGCATCGGCAATACGAACGATCAGACCGGTGTGTCCCTCGTACCGTCCGCTGATCACTTTCGCGTGGTCTCCCTGCTTGAAATACTTTCTCAGTTCGGACGCGTTCAAGGTAATCGGTTCTCTGAGATCTTCTTGGTCCGGCATCATGACCACTTTGGCTCCGTCCACTGACATAACCTTTCCTCGTAAGTTCACCAACTCTCCGGCCTTCACTTCCACTATATCTCCCGGAACAAATGGGTTTTCACTGTCTTTCAGAGATGTTGTTTCCACTGGAAAAGTACAATTTTTTGGGAACGAATCTGAGATTACCTACATTCTCTCTTGAGATCATCGCTTGACTCTTGGAATTTTTCCAGTTCTCCGAGAGTTGGTTTGACGCCGTCAGCTTGAACTGCATTAATAGGGAAGTACTTGTACAGGAAGCCACGACGGAAATGGTTTCCCTCGAACATGACAAAGTCTCCGTCTGTCACAATTTCTCCTCCGACCTCTTTGATAGCGTCCTGATCGAACAGTTTCGGCATCGGACGTCGTTTCAGTTTGTAGTTTTTGTCGGCTTCTGTACGCATGGCTCCTCTTCGTCTTTGATAATCAATTCGAGGTATCAACTTTAGGTTGACACGATTTTGAGCAATATCCACAAGATCGACAACGGCCAGGTCGTCCTTATACATGGTTCTCTTCAGGCGAACGTACGAACCGAGTTTCAATTGCGGAATATCTTTTACAACTTTCAGAACGTCGACCATGTCTTTGATTGGGACCATGGCGATGTTGAACTGATTGAGAGCCGAAAAGCCTTCGATGGCCGACATGACATGCGACTGTTTGAATGCTTCAATGTAAATCATTCCTTTGAGACCTTCCTTCACGACCACTGATTTGATTTGGAATGGCTGCAATTCGGAATGTTTTCTTTATCTCTTAAAATTAGCTTACCTCATTCGTGTGCTCAACAGCAAGACACTTGCGCATCAAATGCATGGCAACCAGCTTTTCCTCGCCCATTCGGCATTTCACTATCCACAAGTTCGGATCTTTTGTCGATGGGAGATGCGAGTTCTTTGAGATGTCGTCCATCGCAGAATCCTCGTCGTCGTACTCTCCATCATTTTTATCGCCCTTATACTTGTTTTCAAAGTACTTCTGAACCTCATCTTCAGACATGTTTTGGAACTTAAACCGATCGCGGTTCCTCTGATTCATTTCCAAGTCCTTCATTGCACGCTCTGCCTCTTCTCGCTCGTTCATAGCATTCATCCGAGGATCGTCTTCATCGTCGTAATCCTGATCGTCATCTTCGTCTTCGTCGTCGACGTCGACGTCCCACGCGATGAAGTCTCTTCCGGACGGTGCTTTCTTCTTCCGCTTCTTATTCTTGGCTTTTTTGTGGGTCACCTCTTCCTCATCATCATCGTCGTCTTCATCATCGTCTTGCTCCGAAGCACTTTTCTAAAAAGGGAATAATTAAAACTGAATTTTGCGTTCATCGATGTACCTCACTGTCCGAAGCAAGTTTCCGTTTTCGTTCCTTTTTTGAGCTTTTGATTTCGACATCAGAGCCGTCGTCGTCACTCATAGTCTAAAATCGACTTTCAATTGTAGCTCTCGTACAAACAACAAACCGTATCTTCTTCTTTGATAGAAATCGCATCGCTTTCGTCAGAGGACATTGCAAACTGCAAATAAATCAATGAAACACCGGAATCCTAATACGGACAATGAAAACGAGGGCAGGAGCAGAGGGATTGAGCGAGCAGTATTATATTGATCAGTTTTGAACTTTTATAAAAACGGCATAGTTTTGCTATTTTTCGAAAATACGGACAATTAGAAGCAAGAAGCAGAAGAAGGGAGCCAAAGTTGAAAAAGGCCTGTTTTCCGTGGCAGCCGCCAAACAAGCGTAAATTCAAATGCTTGGTCCGCAATTGAGTGTGTTTACGTACCACGCCTCCCAATTGACGCGCAAATGTCAAAAAGAGGTCATTTCAAGAAAAATAAAGAAATTACTAGAAGAAAGTACATGATTTTATGCATCAGAAAAATTAAAAGGTAATTGAACTATTTAATCTGAAAGTTTGAGCAGAGTGTAAAATATTTTAGAACGTATGCGGAGGCGTCGACCCGCCAAAAAGTTGCAGTACTAGGGATTACGGTCATTCTCTTCTGGGTGCTAGGCTTATTCGATCGGCTCACAGAGGTATTTGAGTCTTTTCCAAAATTAGACAAGAGTTAGCTTACAGAAAAGCTTCGACGAGTTCAGCTGGCCGAAGGAGGCATATCAGAAAGTGCCGAGCACCAAGTTCACCTACTTTCCAAAGTGCAAATTCGCAGGAAACGATCCAAAACTGTTGATAGTTGTGAAGTCGTCTGCTAGAAATGGACAGGCAAGATCGAAAATGTTCAATTCATAAAAATAGTAGTTTAGATGCGTGAATCAGTAAGGAAAACGTGGGGAAAGTACCAAAAAGCGGATGGAATCGAAGTGATGCCTGTGTTCGTCGTGGGGCACTCGGAGAATTCGGAAGTTCGGAGGCAGGTAGACAAGGAGAAGGAGGAGTTTAAAGACGTTCTCGAAATATCGAGCATAGATTCGTATCGAAATAATACTTTCAAGGTAAGAATTTTCACCTTTGTGCCGCTCAGGTCATCCTTCCAGTTGTTCGCTGCCCTGGACTATGCCTCGAGTCCCCGTGCGTGTACGTCTCCTGACTTTGTTCTTCTAGTTGATGACGACTACATAGTCCACGTTCCCAACTTGCTGAAATTTGCAAAAACGCAACGGAGAAGTGATCCAGTTTATGAGGGATTTGTGTTCCACACGTCACCATTCAGATTAAAAATCCATAAACACAGTGTAAGTATGGCGAATCTCTCGTTTCTCATAAATAATTTCAGATCTCCGTCGACGAGTATCCGTTCTCTCGATATCCTCCGTATGTGTCTGCCGGCGCCGTCTTCCTCACTTCGGAGACAGTTCGACGGTTCCAGAAGACAATGCGGAGTCTGAAGATGTTCCCATTTGATGACGTTTTCACTGGAATTCTCGCCAAGACGCTCTCAGTCCCAGCAACTCATAACGAGAATTTCGTCTTCTGGAGTCGCCACATCACTCGAAATGAATGGGACGAAGGCGTGATTGCTGTGCATGGCTTCGCTCGGAAAGATCTCGAATACGAGTATAACCTAATCTTCGGGTAATAGATTCATTTGTGATTATAAAGATGGAAATTGTTAACAAGTGTCGAAAAAAAGAGATCCTGAATAAAATCCAACAAATAAATAAAGGAACAGTTTAGAGTTTGGCTCTAGCAATGTAATAGTTGACGTCGCTTCCCAGAAGCATCCGTCCCTTTCCATCGTCAACGGCAATCGAAATGGCTCCGACGCGACCTGTCGGGTCATGATAGGACTCGATGATTTGTCCAGTCTCCGTGTTCACTTTGAGCACCAGTCCGTCCGTATCCGCCACGTAATTGGCGATGTAGTTAAGAGCCTGCGGAGAGAGGATCTTTGTAATGAACTCGCGGAGAGACGGGTTCTGCTCGAGGATCCGGTCTTCTTCGGAACGATGGGATGGAATCGGAACAAGGAGGTGTCCGTTCTTGGTGAGACGGATGTTGTCCGGGTATCCGGGAAGGTTCTCAATGAGAGGAGCCACCTTGACCGGTGCGGTCGAGTAATGATCCTGAGGCACCCAGATCTGCATCACCCGCGTCATCGACATTTCGCTGTAGAATACTCTGTACGGAGAATCTTTCGCGACACCCTTCTCGATGCTCACTTGCACTCCGTTCGGGAAGTACAGTCCGTCCTTCAGCACTCTCAGATTCTTCTTTCGAGGCTCGTAGATCAGAAGGCGTCCATTTGGGCGGTGCTCAAACAAATCCAGGATAAAGTCTCGATCGTCGAATTTTGTGGAAGACTCGGACATTATAATGCGTCCATCGGGGAGGACGTCCAGATCGTTGAGGAATCTGATCGGCGGCGCATTCTCATCGTTCGTCGGCAGCTCCCCGGCTCCCAGGATCTTCACCACCTTCTCGGCTTCCCAGCTGATGGCGAATAGACCCAAGTAGGCGTCGGCGACAATCAACTCCCCGATTTCGCTGATTCTGAAAAGACGCGAATCTTTGAATGTTCTCTGTACCGATGACAAATCTGCATATCTTCTCCGACATCACTCCGATATTCTTATCCAATGCATTATTTATGAAACTAAAAAGATAAGCGATCTTTGCCGTCACTCGCCTCAATCCTAGTGGCCTTCCGCACAGATGCATCGTTTTGTAGGAGCCGTCGCACTCGTTTTCGCCCTGAGCAAGCCGAACCGCTTGGCCGATCTTTTCTTTCCCGTCCTTCATGAGGATCTCCGCAATAATTCCCGTTTTGAAACCGGCGTACATCCTTCTGTTTTTCTCGTCGAGCGCCAGTGACTCGGGGCCATAGACTTGATCTTCCAGAAGAAGTTCCGCATCGGTCAGCCGACTGTTCACTGCGAGAACTCCTTCCAATGGGATCTTATCTCCGAGACTGGAAAACGATGGATTGGAAGAAAATAATTCGGGAAACGTACTCGAAAGCGACAGCCTTGATCGGAGCATTGATTATTCTGTTTGTGAGAAGACCGGCAACGAGGACTGAGGCCAGAGCACTGAAGATTATTTGGAACGGATGCGATCCGATGTATCCAAGGATCGAGTGACTCTTTTTTTGCTGAAATGGGTTGAATTGGATGTTTCGAAATGGAAAGAAATACGTTCTTACTTACTTTCGTCTGTTTTCCAACTTTCGCAGGCAGCGGTACGACTCTTCCTCCGTCGTCGCTCCCACGACGTCTTCGGACGTTCACAGAAGCCTTGGTCATTCTGCAGAACGATTGATTATTGAGTGACGACTGTACCAGAGCGAACAAAAGAGAATGGTAAAAGACGGAATGGTAACAACGTGTTTGCATTGGCGAGACGCAGAGCTTGTAGGGAAGGTCACCTTGGAAGCAAACATTTGAGAAGAACGGACAAGCTGAACGGAGGAAGCCGAAGGACAAACGAGGGACTGAAACGAGCGAACGAGCTGAGCAGGAGGATGTCTGTTATGATGCAAACTGTTTCACACGGCGAACGTTTGTGAACATGCTTGGGCTTGATTTTATCGCTCCGTATAGCAAACCGTACCACTTTAGCACGCGGGTGAGTCGCTACGCAGCAACAAAATACGGGCGGGAAATTCAAACCATATTCACAAATGCTCGCCGTGTTTCAATGAATGTCAAACTGTCTATTTTCGCATTCGGTTTCCGAGCGTGTAATTTATGCTAATTCACAGTACGATTGGCCTTAGTTTCCCACATTTTTCCTCTTTCTTATGGCCTGTTTCTCCTGCTCATCGTCCGCATCGCTTTATTATTATCATGACAATTTTTTGTGTCAAACACGCAAAACCGGCCAACAGCGCGACGGGTCACTGATAGAGATACGGGCCGTGTGGGCGGCGAGGGAGCACGTGACGCGGAGAGACACTAGGCATGCACGAAACGGCAACTTGTACGGGCAGGCATCGGGAGGGAATCGAGTATCAGAATGGCCTCTTTCGTCGGCCGGCCTGTTGTCCCTCGGGTTGAACCGTAATCAGCACACACACACACACACACTCTTCATCCGAAGTAACAAACATATTATTGGCTGCGACGATGGCAAATAGCTGATGGAGAAGATGTCGGAGGAGCAGATCCGCGCCCGCCTACAGTAAGCCCTCTTCGTCCCGTTCGTCCTTCGTTTGTTGCAGTGTGACTTTGAAGAAGTGATAACGAAGATATCATATGACAGAGGAGAGAAAGAAACAGAAACAATCACGGCGACAGTAAACCGGTGATCGTTTCTCTCGCTCTCTGTCTCGCCCGTCATTCCAGAAGGTGATATCCGTCTTCTTCTTCTTCTTCTTCTCGCCAGCTATTCCCCGCCGGACATTCCTCGATAACACGCAAAATGTTGCCATCAACCGGGGCACACAAAACTGATAACAATCGATCAAAACCCAAATAATTGGTGCTAAACGACGGTGCTGCAACACGCCTGGCGTGAGGAGACAGTGACGGCCTCCTAGTACACTTGCCCTTCATCCATCCCTATCAGTCGTATCTCCCCTCTAACAAATATCCCTTTTTCTCTTCTCCTTCTATATTTCCCATCTATTCTCGCTTATCTAGTTTTCATTCAGATGTGTCTGTGCGTGTGTATGTATTGTCTTGATCGATCGGAAACTTGGCATTGTGCCAGAGCAGATTCGTACCACAGATCGAGGGTCGTATCTCGCTCTCTTTCTCTCTCATCTCTCATTTCTCTCTCTCCGCGCATTCCATCTGTGTTCTCCTCGTCTCGCCGCTCTTCATTGCCGTTCCGATGGTCCCTGTGCACCGAACATTCGCGCGCTCGGCCTCTCCCAGACAACCTGCTCTTCTCACGTCTTCTCATTCTTTGTTCGTCGCGTGGCCTGTTTGCCCGTGTCTCCTCGCAACAGCTGATTTTTCCGTAAACTCTTTGTGGCGACTAGAGTCTAGGTCTTCGTTTCAGATGTGATGTGGCACAAGAGTTGCTTTATCACTGTTATGAGTTGCGAATCTATTCGCATGCATACTCCAAAGTGTACTCATTTGGCCTTGAGAAAGAACATTTGTGCTTGCCTCTATTTTATTCGATACTATCAGCGGTACGGTACGATACGATCCTCCTTCCCATCTCAACCTCTACACACTTTCTTATCTTTATGACGTGGCAGCCTCATCTCTTTCCATCTCTGATCATGAGCATTTACAGGTAATCGCGAGCCGCGCGCAGTCCGAGTCGTCTTCGATCGCTCTCGCGCTCTCCCTGGACGGCCCCCGTCTCCAGCGGGCGCCGCCTCACTTCCGCCCCAAGCCTAAAGGTTCCTTTTACATCCCTTCGAACCTACCGCTCTCCTTGGACCCCTCCGTTCGAACCCGCCGTTTGCAGACCCTGAGCATCTCATCAACTGCTGATTCATTGATTGACCGATTTTCTGAACAAATCAAAATGGTGCCAAATGAGGTTTTCCAAAAGCTTCTGTACGATCTGTTCTGCATGTGGCACGGTGTCCAGAGACACTACGATCCACCGATTCCGGACAGTGAGGAGCAACGAATGCAGAAGGTCAGTGTGTATTCTTGCGTCATTTAGGCGGGCGACGTCATCTTGCGTGTCTAGAAACAGTGCGCAAGAGGTGAGACGAGCAAAGAGCACACACCTTGTAGTGTCGTAGCGGGGAGAGTAGGAGACGGAGAGGAGCATAGATCACGCGTAAGGTCACAGAGTGACAGGAGACAATAAATGTGGCATGTGGCCAGGGTAGGGTTACTGTAGGAGGGGTACTGTATGACATCGCAAAGATTATGATAAAGAGCTTAGAGAGATGATAACCATCTTTACTGTCATTCAGGCGATTCTTATAAAATGATCGATTCCAGGTGAAAAATCTAATCTGCAAGCTTCTGACTGAAATTGATGGCCGCGTCAATCGTATCAAGCAGAACAACAATCACCAGCGCGGACAGGATTTCTACGAGGAATGGACGATGCTCACGTGGAATGTGCTGTGCATTACGAGCCGCCTTCAGAACAGTCTGTCCCAAGTGCTCGTTTCCAACGAGGACAAGATGATCTACTCCCGGCTGAACCAAGCCCTCGTCGAGCTTGTCAACTACTCGAGAGACTTCCTTCCGTTCCCTTCGAGCAATGAAATGGATCCGGAGTACGTGATGCTGAGGGACAAGATGAACCAGACGATGATGAGTTTGCACGGACTCTACCGCCAGATGAACTCGACCATGTACCAGACTCCAAACGATGTGGAGCACTTCCGTCTGCATCTGCAGACATTCGGAGACGACATTCTCGTGCCGTGTCTGGAGCAGTACAAGACGTTCTGCAACAAGAACTGCATGGCTCTCTGGCAGCACGTCCGTTCGGTCCAGATCGAGAGGATGAGGGATCAGGTCAAGGGACACGACTCTTCCATCGAAAACCTCGTCACCTTCTACTCCAACATGACCTACGTGCTGGCAGTTCTCGGTGCTCGTCTCCAGGGATTCCGTTACGATCTGACAGTCAACAAGAAGTTGTTCAACTTCGATCCTGTTATCCACATGTCTGAGGCCGTATTCGCTGCTCTTGAACTGCTTATGTCCAACTGTGTTCTGGCGACGGAGCCGTCCACCAGTGCTATTTTGGTCACCAACAATCTTTTTGCGTAAGTCTTATCTATGATCGTTTCCCATTTTTATGGCCGAACTTTCAGAATGAATTGCGGAGCTCTGGCACGTGGTGTGGTGTTCAAAGACTTTGAAATTCAAGTAGTCTCTGAAGAGACGGCAGAGCACATCCAATCGGAAATGTCCCGCCAGAGACTCCTCCAACATCCTGCTCCGATTGGGGGCGTTCCTTCTGCTGCTCTTCTCGCAATGAAACCGACGACCGGAACGAAGCGGAGCAACGCGGCGAGCAATGCGGATTCGGCCAACAACACAGCTCACAAGAAGAGCGATGTGAACAGCAAAGAGAGTGTGATCATCTACCCGGTCTACAACAGCAAGAACCGTTACTGGGCTGCCACATACCCTCATCTTCTGTGCACAACAAGACAGAAAGGTAGACAGTCAATTCACAATTCGTACCAGGATCTGTCTCCAGCCGGAGTCAACTCTACTTCGAACAACGACAAGCAAGGGAGCGGAAAACGGCCGATCTTCTACTTCCACATCAAAGCAACAATGTTCTCTCCTTCGGGAAGATTCGCCACTGCTCACACTCTCTCCCTTCCGTTCACCATCGCGACCAGGAGGAATCAGGACTGTCAGGTGCAGAGAATGATGTCTTCTTACACTGCAACCATCTTCTGGCTCTACGGATACAACAGTCAAGACGGTCTTCTTCTCCAGTGGATTGACGGAGGAATGCACTGGGACCATTTCAAGCATCTGTTCAAGCAGCACTTCAAAGTGAACGCAGATGTGCAGAGGAGTCTGATCGACAACGATTTCGAACTTCTCAAATACAAACTGCAATGTCCTGACTGTTGTTCGGGCCAGGACGGTGCGAGAGTGAACGGAGTACAGCGTAAGTTTCAGAGTGAACCTGTGCTAATCAGAATTGACATTTCTTTCAGAGATCGTCACATTCAAGAATGTTCTCTGCCCTCACCTCCGTTATGAATGCAACAGCACGAATGTCCGTTTCTCTGTGTGGCGTGGAATGCTGGAACTTCTCCAAATATTCCATGACACCCGGAACAATGTTCGCAAATTGTGGGAAATGGGATTCCTGATGGGATTCCTCGAGTTCGAAGAGGTGGACAGTCTGTTGGAGAAGCACAAGTCTGCGCTTATCATGCGTCTTTCGTTTGTCACTGGAGGTGAGTAAAGAGGCCGAAATGTCACGGAAATTGCCGTCTTTTCGGGGGAGAAACGCGGTCGTCCGATGACCGACAGGGCGTCGGAATTCGTGACGATCATCACGATTACAAAGTTCAGGTTCTCAGACAAAGTGATCTGATTGCAGGAACCATTTGTTTCACCGTCAAATCACTCGCTCACACTTTGGACCCTCGTGCGACTCGCCCGATCCACTTGGAGCCTCTGGACCTGAAAAGACTCCAGCAGAAATGTCTGAAAGATTATCTGAGAGACATTGCGGACGCGGAAAAGGTGAAGTATATTCTGACGGCCAACCAGGAAGTGCTGAGAATTGATGAGATGCTCGAGACGATCAAAGAGCTCGGAGTGAAGCCGGAGAGTCCATCGGAGAGCAGGGACATCTCGAGTAACATCACGCACATGGGCGACATCGACACCATGCAGCACATCAAGTTCACTGCGATGCGGATTGCGGTGGTCACTTGCAAAGTGAAGCCTCCGTCGGCTGATCAGGAAGAAAACGATGCAAAGTGAGTTGCTTCCGCCCTTCACCAAATTACTCCATATTTCCAGAGGTCTCAGTCGTCTGACAGCCACATTCGGAACGCGAGATGACGAATTCCTCCGCGAGCTCGTGCAGCTTGCAAACTCGTACGGAAAGAGCAAGCAAGAGCTCATGGAGACGCTCGACTACGTCCACGACCCGTTTCAGCCAGGCCCGATCCGAAAGGCTTCCTCCATCTATGAGGGACCGCACACCCTGCCGCTGGCTCCCGCCCCCATCACGCGCCAATCCATCAACATGGCGCCCACTTTGATCTCGCCCCCTCCGGCCAAGGTACGTGCTCCCTCCGCGCGCACGTCCTCTTCTTACCGAACCTCGCCATTTGAGTTGGTCCGCACCGAGTTCGAGCTGCAGCCGTCGAACGCGATGATGCGAGTGAGCTGCTCGCCGCCGAAGGTACCTCCTTTGGTGCACTCCTTGTTCCCGTCGATCCATGCTTCCCAACTGACCGACGCATTTCAGCCCCCATCCCAGTTGCCGTCGCCCAATCAGACGACCCTCCCCCACATGTACAACGGCGTGCCCATGATCTACGAACAGCAGCCTCGTTTCGAGTTCTGATCCTGTCACACTCAATCTCACTTCTCTAATCTATTTGATTAAATCTCCGCGGGTCTTCTCGAACCTTCCAGAACCACATACTCTTTTCTTTTCGCTAACGTGTATATTCCAAGGCCTAGAATGTCCATTCATATTGCATACCTGAATTTTTGCTCAATAAATGTGCTCACTTTTACGCCACAACTTTATTACGGAAAAAGAGAAAACATGTTCGAAAGGAACTTATAAAGAACACAAAATATTGAAACGAAATAGGATCTCAAACAATTGAGAAACACTGAAAGAGAAACGATTCCAGGGGGAATGATCCGAGGATCTAACGACTAAAAGGACAGAAGGAAGTTGGAAGTTGGGCGGTTGATGGTTGATGATTTACATTAGAACAGAGCAGCGAGACACTTCTCAAGGTCCGAGCCCTCCTTCTTGACAACGTCGACAACGACGTTGTAGTCGAATCCCATCTCGAGAAGATGATCAAAAGTCTGAAAGGACTATGATTATTAATTGCACCGAATCAGACTCTCACCTTCTCGAAGGCATTGTTGCACACCGGAGCAGTAGGGACCGCGGCTGGCTGCGCTGGTTCCGCCTGCTCGACTTCTTCCTCCATCTCCATCGTTTCGAGGCTGTCAGTGTTGTCCTCCACGAGAACCGGGGACGGAGTCTCCACCACCGCGTTGGCATCCCAAGAGTCGAGGCTCTCGTCAAAATCGGAAGAGATGTTCTCAAACGAAGAGTGAATGGAAACAGTGCACTCGTCGTTTTCAGTAGTCGCTGGAACCACCTCGGATAGCTGGCGAGGAATTGGCGAAAAAACAAGAAGTTCTTCGAGTGTACGACAAGTTGGATTCATAGTACTGAGAGCCGGAAGGACTGAATTCATCGGTGAGACTCGAGTCGTCTCAACAAATGGAGCCGTTGAATCCGTTGAAGTGGTTGAAACAGTTGGAGCGGTTGAAGCAAACGGCACCACTGGTGGAGTGGCTGGAGCAGCCGGAGCGTCAGCCAGAGCAAACGTCGGAGTGTTCAGAATGGCTCTCATGAGTGCGTCAAGAGATTCATTATCAGTGATTTTGGGAACGGCTCCGAAGCTTCCAAAGTTTCCGAAGTGGTCGAATGGCGGAAGACCAGTCTCTGGCTGCACGCGAGCCTGCTGAGCCTTCTTTTCCGCCTCGTTCACGTTCAACTTTTCGAGCTTTCTCTGCAACTCGGCGGTGCTCGCATCGGCCCTCTTCTTGGCCTCCTCTCTGGCGAACGCAGCCATAACGAGGCTCGACGAGAACTTCTCGGCAGTCTTTTTGAACGCCCGCTTCTTGGTCTTCTTCTGTTTCAGGTCGACGTTCCAACCGTTCTCCGGAAGCAGCGGCTTCGTTATCTTCTCCATCGGTTCCTCGTCTTTCTTATCAGTCTCCACCTTCTTCTCCGGTTCCGGAACAACCGGACCGAAGCAAGCCTCCTCGCAGTGGCGCTTCAACACTTCCATCTTTTCGCCGACCTTTGCCATGCCAGCCTCGACCTTCGATCTCTCGAAGATCTTCTTCTCCATTCCGGTCTGAGCTCCATCGGCCAAATCCAAGAAACTCTTGCTCAACGCCTGGAACGTGTCCTTCAGAATAGTGGCACTGTTGTTGAAAACAGCGCGGTTCTCTTCGCGAGGGTCCTCTGAAAAGATATAATTATTATTATGGTTCTTCTGAAAAGTGACTCACTCGGCGCATCAGAGTCAGTAGCCTTCGGTTCGGTCGGAATCATAAGGGGAATATCAATCTCGATGGTGTGGGTGCGCATGTACTTGGGGAAGACGCCGTCCGGGGCATTGCCGGTGATGTACTGCGGAATGGAAGTCTTGCGAGGGCACACGAGACGGACCATCGCGTGCTCATAATGCAGCGACTTCTTCTCGCACGCCTCGCATAAATCGAAATCCGGGCACTGGAGACACTTGTAGCGGTGTCCAATGATGTCCCCGAGGCAGGCATCACAAGTCGCCGAGTGCTTGACTGGCTTGAATCGCTTCGTCTGCGTTTGCTCTTCAGCAGTCTCTTCTCCCTTCTTCTGAAGTTCCGCCACAATTTTCTCCAGGACCGCCACACGACCAAAGTCTTTCTGCAGCTTGGCAACACTCTTCAGAGTCTGCTCCTGGTTCTGTTCGATGCGCTTCAGAACGGTGCTGCTCTTCGACTCGCGATCCTTGCCCTTCTTGGTCGAGTAAGATGTGTTCTGCTCGAGACGGACGAACAGCTGCGGAGTACGCGAGAAAGTGGTGATTCTGATCTTCGTCATCACCTGTTCGGAACTGGTGAACTCATAGATCGGACCGTTGACGTCTCCTGAAAACGATCACTGCAATAGGATCAATTAGGGGAAATCCTACCGTAGTATAGACGATAATCGGCCGACGGGAACAACTCGCGCGCCTTCTCGGCGATCTGGTCGAGTGCGCAGTCACTCTTCAAAATCATCAGAACGGACTGAGGATTGTGGCTCGTGTAGAAGGTAACACGGACCTGCATTTGATGCGGAGCGGATAAAGAGGACATCTGCAAGGAGAGAAAATGAGCAAGGATATTGCGAAAGCGGAGGGAAGTCAGAAGAGAAAAGAGAGAAACAGCAGCTTATTGACATACTACTCTCAGTCGACATGTTACGAAATACGATAATTTCGCAATTGAAACGAGGAAGAATCAGAAAACGGTGTGAATATGGTGTTGGGAAATACTGAAAATGAAGAGAAAGTGGGAGAAAGTTCGAGTTGTTTACCACTACGAGACACGAAAACACTAAAGATCTCAAAGTCCAAGGTGATTCTGCTGGTGCCACGTCAGACTACAGTAATAGCAATCCGAGCGGAAGCACAGTGGTGTGAAGACTCCGCTCGGCTGCTTGGCCCGTCATGTTGCTTTGGACTGAACGAGAACGAGTGCGGCGGGGGCCGTCGGCCTCTGCGCGTCCCTGCCTTCCGCACTGCCTCCTCAACATAAACACATGACCGCCGCCTCGGAATATCGATCGGGACAATGTTATTTGTGAGAGAAACGCGCAGACGCAGAGACCGCCGAGTTGGAACGAACGGAGAAGACGAGCAGACGGACGAGAGTGAGGGCGGACGACGACTGGATGGAATGTTCGGGAAAGGAGAGCGAGAGAGGAACGAGAGAACATCTGGGATGATCACTTGGAACACAATGACGGACTGCAAAAAATAGACGATCATCTGAGACTGCAACCCATTGATAAGGTATCGAATGAGTGTGTCAACAGGACTGTACAGCTGACTCGTTTATATAAACGGGCAAAGCGGGGAGAGGAACTGACGTCATCGTTGTTCAGGGAAGCAAACGTTGTGAAATAAATATGCACTATGCAGGGAAATGGTTTCAGGTTCTGGGAGGAAACTACCGTAACTCATGTGGTATAAGCGGACACACTATTGTTCTATAACTTCGTGCTGCGTTCAGTTAATCGAAGTTTTTTCTCTTATTCTGACGATGATTTCAGTCGTTTCGAGTCGAAGTTGGAATTAGTAGTATTTTTTTGAAAATATTTTTGATTTTTCAAATTTGGAAACGAAAGGAATCGAATACAGGATTTACGCCCGTTTTCAGAAACTAGCGAGACGTTCAAACTGGCCTTTTTCAGAAGCGTGGTAGAATTCTGCATTGCGACATCGTCCTCATGCTGTGAAACTCGCGTGATCAGTGCAAGAATGTGGAATTGGATCTTGATGAAACTCTCCGTCGCTTTCGATCTGATCCTTGGTACTTTACTTATCATCAGGCACGAACTTATATTTCACCTCATCCGAATACATTTTCAGAGTCTCTTCGATCTTTTGAACCTCTTTCAGGATCTGCACCTTCTTGACCCAGAACTCCTGACTTTTGGGGAGCTTGTCGTTAAGCAAAAGATCACGATCCAACGCCTTCTTGAACTGAATGAGAGACATGGTCGCCAGACTCTGCCGGCCCTGAAATTACAGTTCTCAATGGCAGCGTCTTCTGCTTTTTTCCTTCCGATACCTGATTTTTTGTAACATAGTGGTCGTTCAACATACACCAGCAACGCAATGCCTTTTATGCCAATTCCAACAATGGGCTCACTTTTCTATTTTCCCGAAGCAACTTGGGGAACCGTTCGGAAGACGGATTGAACGGAACGAGCACACGGAATTCGTCGCGGTTCTTAAGTCTTTCGGAGTTCTTCCTCTCGCTCTGTCCTCTGACCGTTCCTCCACTTGACGATGACGACGAATGAGCTCGCGAGACCATCGTCGTTCTTTCAATGGGATTCTGCAGAAGATAAATGCGAAAAGAGCGGAGTGTAGAAGGAGAAAGAGGCGGGGCTTGCACGGACGGTCCAATCACAACAAATCGAAAAAGCAAAAGCCCTCGGTAATGCGGTATGACGAGTAAATTTTACGATGGGGATGTAACATTTGTTTTCGAAGAGGGAAGTGAGAGAGGAAGAAAATTATCTTTTGCAATCAAAGTCGCGGTGATATTGTCTGGAGACTAATAAGCGGAAAAGCGGACTACTAAGCGGAAATGCTCGTCTCGCTTTTTTCTGAAATGAACTCGACTTCGCGCACAATTGGTCTCTGACTCATTCCTTAACAAGTGTCTGCGATTCTCTTGTAGGTACTCTTTTGCTCTTGAGAGGAATCGGATGACATCATTTTGGAAATATCCGATTTGAACCCAATGAATTGCTCTTTTAGACCTCAGTGACAGATTGATTAGATCATTGTTGGTCTGGTTCTGAAGTACCATGTCTAAAAATTTTCGTCTTTATAAATTTTGATTGTGGAAATATGCATTTATATAGATAGAAAACAATTAACAAAGAGAGCCTACTAGGAGCATCTAGAAAACAATAGGAACTTTCAGTGAATCTCGTCTCTGAATGACCGCCGCGACTTGTCCTTGTACGTGTAGTCGGGCTCTTCCTCCCACAATCCCAAGTTGCGCTCCCGGTTGATTTCGTCCTGGAAAGAAACAATTAGGAATCGAGTAGAAGTATGTTCGGGACAAATACTTGTTTGTTGTAATTGTGCTGCATCATCAAGTACTTGATTCTCTTTCTCAACTCATGCCATCTCTTCGGCGAGTTCTGCTTCAGCTTCGCATCATACAGATTGCGGTAATGGATGAGTTTGATGAGCTCGTTGGCTCTGTGCTGGCCGGGGAATCCGCGGAGCCATGTGGGCGTGTGGTACTGTAGTTGTGCCGGATGCACGGAACCGTCCCCAAGTAGGTCGATGTAGTCGTTTTGGCCGAATCGGGCGGCTTCGTCACTCCATTGATCGCGAACTTTGTAAGCGGGACGGGCAACTGGCACTTTACAGTCCGGGATGCGAGGCAGCGGGTCGACTCCTTGCTGGTGATAGCGGAAAGAGTAGCCTGAACGGGAATTTCCATAGATAAATCCTTATCGAGAATTCGAGAACGGGCTTACCAGCGTCACTGTACTTTGCAGATGACTTCTCGCGATCGTCGACAATTCGTGGCACGGAGCTCCGATCGTGGAAGGCTCGAATGGAAGTTGTCCGGACGATAGCCGAGAATCGAGAAAGGCTCGTCGAAGCCATATTCTGAAAAATCGGGGACTTTGCGAGAAAAGAGTAGACGAGAAGAGAATAAACGACTGTTTGTAAACAAATAAATTTTAAACCTATCATTTAGAAACTGGGAAAAGATTTGATCTACTAATTCGGATGGGCGCGTTTTTTCGATCGTCGTTTTTGTAAGATCCAGTAAAATCTGTTGAGAGTGACATAAAGCTGACTTTCTTCTCTTTACCGTTTGCTCGCACTCGCTTCTTCGATAATCTGTGTTTTTTCAGAAGGCAGCACTCTAAAAATGGCTCCGAACATTCAAATTACGAATAACAATGAAAACTGCCTCGTGAAAATCAAATCGGACATGATGATGAAGACCGAAGAAGAGGATCTGACCAATGAACAGATTGAGCAGCTGATAGGTACACCGAAGAAGAAACCGATAGAAACAATGAACATTCCGGTTGAAGAGGGGATGAGCCAATTGGATCTCAGCGACGGGTCCGATTCAAAATCGACGTCAACAATGTGTGGCGGTAATCAGCCAGGCGACAGAGTCCGACAAAATGCAATTTTCGTCAGTCGAACGTTCAATGCCACCTCCTAATTAATGAACTTCAGATGTACAACTTCTTCTGCAGAAGAAAAAGCCGAGCTAGAGCTACAGAGTATTTCGCAAAAATTGAGGCAGCAAAAATGCGCAGGATGATTGATATCGTCTCAGAGGTATTTATCTATTCTGAGCAGCTAGCAATTACGGTTTTCAGGTTCGTGAGCTTGCAAGAGAGTATTGTGCAATTCCAGTTGAGCATCTCCGAAAAGACGTCCTAGAAGAAAGGGAAAGAATCAGGAAACGGGCGCTCAAATGGACTCTGTACTGCTACGACGACGGCGAACGGCTAGTTGACAGGCGAGCTTATAAATATTTAAAATCAATCTGAGCCTCAACTTCTATCTTTCAGCATCGTTCCGCCATACGCAATTCGATTGCGAACCTCTAACCCGACACGGATTCATATCCAACTAAACCCAATGAAACGAACTAAATCTTCCAAAATAATAATTAATTAATTAATAGCCGCCTGACTTTTAATGTATTTTACTCAATTTTTCGAACGCTATTTTCCTTTTAAAGTGAATAAAAATTGGCGGATTCTACTCGAACCAGAGATTAACGACAAAAAGAGAAGAAAAACGTTTTCGGCGGAAAGTTTGCGACCGAAAGTTCCGGCAGCGAAAACGGCGCGCAAGTGCACAAGTTCGAAGTGAAAAATTAAAAAAAAATCACTGTCGGATTTATAAAATTGAGATTTTTTCGGCGCAGAAATCAGTGAAAGCGTTCGGACAAAAAAGGACGTTCTAGACGCTGAAAAGATTGCTTCAGAAATGAGGCGGCCGCGCAATTCAACCGTAAAAGTTAGGTCAGCGAGAGAGAGAGAGAGTTCCAACGCGGAAACCTCGTGCACTTCCGTCACTTCGCTCGCGTTTTGTTTGTGAACTGTTACATAATTGCGATTGAAAGAACTTTCACAATACTAAACTTCCCTTCTCCACCGTGCTTTTCCCTTTTGAAGTCAGTTTGTGATTCTAAGCCTGTTTTTTAACAGCTCGAAAGATCAGAATCACTTCAGCAAGTCTGGTCGCCCTATGCAACATGCAGTTTTTGAGATTAACCTCGTCGGATTATGTCAATCCCTTCAATCGATTATACGAGAGCGAAGCGCACTTTCCATGCGTGCATTTGCTTCCACGTCTCCATAGCAAATGTAAACAAACGGAGCGCTCGCGCTCTTCGCAAGACGTCCGTCTCGTCGTCTTCGTGCACTTTTCCTCCGTTTCGCACCTCAGCTGTTCTCTTGTTCGCTTCCGGTTTGTCCTCCGTTATATTGCCTTCTCATCAAAGAGTAACTGACCTCATTCGGTTCACTCTCTTACACACACATTTCTGTCTGTCCATCGTCTCCCGCCTAATTGCTGCTATTTTACGACGGTCTCGGGATCCTCATTATTCTTTAAACGAAGTATCGATTCTAGTTAATTTTCCAGCCAAACCCGCATGAAACTGCGACTTTCCGTCGTGTTTCTAATCTTCGCGGTTGCGACGCTCGCAGAAGATAAACCGCCAGTGGATGTGAATCCGGAAGACGTCGATGATGTGAAGCCGCCCATCGAGGAGGAGAAGGTAGAGTCGCCAGAGAGAGTGACTCCCATTTTACTCACTCTCGTGAGCTCCACTGCCAATGCTACGGCGATTCCAGCCGCTCTCTCAGCTACCTCCAATGCCACTAACGTCGTGAGTGAAAGTTTCATTTATGGTAGAAATGAACAGTACTTTTTCCAGGAGGTGCAAAAAACGGACCAAGAAAAGAAAGATGAGCTTCTGACTGGAAAGGAAGAGAGCGTGCCAGTCAAAACAGAAGCTGCGCAGGAAGCAACGACAGTTGCTGTGGAAACACAACCACCTCTTGCCCCGAAAGCAGATGAAGCGAAAGAAGAAGAAAAAGAGAATGCGGCTCCCGAATTTGAAGCGAAACAAGAAGTAGAGGGAGGAAAAGGAGAAGAGGATCCGGATGCGAATGTAGATAAGCCGGCAGCAGTGGATCCTCCGAAGGACGAGGCCGATGGTGCTGCGAAAGAAGACAGGGAAACGCCGGCAGTTGGAGCAGAAGGATTGCACGAAGCAGTGGAGGAAGCACGCGGAAATCCAGCTCCTGGAGTACCCGTTGCCGACAAGAAGAAGGATTCTGCAGACGAAGAGCAGACACTGGAAGCTGCTCCCGTCGCGAGGCCGCATAGACTCGATACTTCAGTCAGTCCTGCTCGTCTGATAATAGTGTCTCGAAGTTTTTGTTTCAGAAAGAATTCGAGTCGCAATTTCAACGAATCCAAGGATCCGAAGAGGAGAGCACCGGCTTCATGTCTTTCTTTTTCGTCGCTTCTTTCCTGATCATTGCTATATATCTTCTACAGCACAATAAGAAGAGAATCCTCGGTGAGTGACGTGGATCCCATTCCACTTCGTGATGTTTCGTGCGAATTTATGCGCTTATCAAATATTCCCGTTGAATAGACAAGATCAAACAATGCGTTTTCACTGTCAATCTTTATTGCATGTCTGCTTTATGACGGCAAAGTTAGCCTACCAAATTACCCTTTCCTATTTGACACCTGTTAAAAAACCCATTTTTCCAGGATTAATGTTTGAAGGCCGTTCCGGGAGAGGTGGATCTCGTCGCAGCGGAGGCAACGTACGATATCGTCGTCTAAGCCAGAACGAATCCGGAAACTGAGCATTCATTCTTATTTTTTCGCTTCCTGTCTACTGGTGTATAGTCCCTTGATGATCACCCTTATATTCGTGTGCATTCAAAGCATCTTCAGCAGATTTCCCATCCTAATAGCTTTATTGGTCCCCCCTTTCGTCTGCCTTCACTCTGTTCACTTTTGTTTGATTGTTTTATTCTTACGGTTCGCCACTTCTTTGTGCCTTTCTTTTCCATGTATCTTGTAATAGACATTATCCATCTAGACGCCCGCTTTTTTCTCTTCAGATCTCTAATAGAATCTTCGGAGGGTTCATCGTCTTCAGGTTGCGTGTAGATTGATCTAGTCGCAGTTTGTGATTTGGCAGAAGAAAAAGCATTGCAGACAAATGGTCAGTCATTCAGGTTTCATTTCGCACCATCGAAATTCCATGTGCGTTTCATTTTCATCGCCGGCGACGACCTGCCGCCTATTTATCAGTGACTATTTGGACTTTTCCATCAAACTGGATACAAAACACAGATCATGAGTCCAACGACGACAAAGACTACTATAGTCGGAGAAAGAAATGAAGACATGTTTGATGTGTGTGTACTGGCAGGCGATAACACAGAATACAGTCGATTTGGAAGATGATGGCACTTGAAGAATTCCAGAGTTTCCAGAAGTATACATCAGATTGGTCATTTCAACGCTTCGATACAAATAATGGAACTGTTCGACTTCTGATTGACCCCCTCCTACATTTATTTTTTCTGTACGAGAGAATGGCAACTGTCTGTCTGCTATCAAGCGTCCGAAGTCCTTCACAAAAGTGAATCCGAATCTTCGACTTGCGCAATCATTCAACTCGTTTTTTCAGTTGTTCGGCCGGACGGACAAATGAAGAAAAGGACAGAGAATTGGAAGACGAGACCATGGGAACACGCATCATTCGGACGAGAAATTAGAAACCGAATGATAATGGTATTGAGATGGAATTCTAGGATGGGAAGGATGGAATACTGATAATGGAATGGGATTCAACCGTCTCTTTCCTCTTCAAGAAGGCAATCCACATACAAACATCTTTCGAATTCGTCTTCTTTTCGGGTGAACCATAGTCCGTTCAGTTCACACTTCATCAAAGCCGTTCAGCTTTTTCACTCAAAAATCCCTCCTTTCATCGTTCCGAAGACTGTCAGAAGTCATAATTCACTGAAGATCTATTCCGAACTTCTCTCAGATCGGCAACATTTTCTACAGTAGCTGATCCAGAACAAGGTCCTATCTACTTTGAGAATATCACTGTGAACTTCGGAACTTAAAGTGACAAATGTTTGTTTTACGGAAAACTCGGTGAAGGATTACCTTTCGTACTCTGAAATGACCTGAAGGTTTTCGAATGTCAAACTGCAAAACGCGAATGAAACTTCCTTTTTGTTAAATTCCACCCGATTCTACCCCTCTTCTGTCCGTTCCGGAATGTTTCCTTTCGCTGCCAATGAACTCCCCCTTCCGTCTTTGTCCTTTTTCTTTCCGAACCATCGCCTTTTCTATTCTCCCCGCCGCTTCTCCGCTGCCATTCCCCCGTCCTTCCGCTTCTGCCATTGCCGCCTACCGTATCCTTCTCGCCCGCCCGTCCTCTGTCTCTTTTCTTATTGATAAGCCGGGGCTTTGCCAAAAGGTCAAGTCGTTTTCCGGTTGTTACCCATACCGCCCATAAATTTTCTCAATTTTTCTTTTCCCTCCGATTTGCCTCCCAAATTAATGTTGACATGAAAAAAGTGTGTGACTCCGCCCACTTTGCACCGAGCTAGATAACTAGGTATAAAAGCTGAGACTTTGTTCCAAACTCCATTCATTTCTGTCTTACGTGATCATTTCATTCTGTTACTTTCAATTTCAGGGTCGAAACCTAATTGGAAACATGAACTGGATTACTGTAGCTACCGTACTCATTGCCGTGAACTTTGGCCTTTGTGGAAATTCGATTGATCCGCACTTTATGAAATGGATGAAGAAGAATCTGAAACCGGAAGAGGTGAAGAAGGTTGTGAGGGACGAGCTCACCACGGGAAGTTTCGGAGGAGGCCGCATCGGACACTCCACGTAAGTCTGCTTTCCTCCAACTCTCCAATTGAGCGATTGTCTTTAGTGACCGCCCAGTCGTCTTTGTGCACGGTCTGAACAATGAAGCCGGAAGTCTCTGGAAGATCGCCCGCGACATGGCGGCTGCTGGGTTTTCAGTGAAGAATATGTTCGCCACGTCATGGGGAAGAGGAGTGGAGTCGGCGAACTTGAACGTGAAAATGAGTTGTGATCATGTTCTTCATGTAAGAATCACTTGAACACGTGCAATCTTTTTCCTTTTTCCTTCCAGATTCGCCGTTTCATCCAGATCGTTCTGTGGTATACCGGAGCCGATCAGATCGACGTCATCGGATACTCGATGGGAGCTCCACTCGCCAGAAAAGCGATCCTCGGAGGAAAGTGCGTTGATAACCAAAAGGTGGACATGGGACCGCCGCTAACTGCCAAGATCCACACGTTCATTTCCGTGGCCGGAGCCAATCAAGGATCGCAGCTGTGTTTCCTTCCGTTCTTCGACATCTGCAACATGGACACCGGGCTTAACTGCGTCTCAAAGTTTCTGAAGGATATCAACTCGCACCAAAAGTTCGAATCCACGTACAAGAGCTTCAATTTGGCTTCGACCGGGGACTTCGTCGTCGGATATACGGCTTGCGGAAAGAAGGCGTCAGAGTTCTCAGGAGCACACGAATGGAAACTTAAGGGAATGGATCACGAACAGACTGAATTCGATACTGCGGCGATTCAATTGAAAATGTTGAGAGAAACCACACCTGGTACATCGAGAAGGTGAGTGGAACCGAATCGAAAGTAAGGTAGCACGATAATACTGTTTCAGAAGATCTCCAGCGAAGAAAAATTCATTCAGTGAGGTCAAGAGATACTTGAAATCACCGAGAAGTGCACCAGCTAAGAGAAGATGAGCATTGCTCGCGAACCAAAACGACATTGACAGCTTTAACAGACCTCAAGAGATAGTCGCTAGTGATTCTGTGTAAATAATTTCCATCAAACAAAATAAATTATTTCAAAGAAAATAAGTAAATAAAAGTCAACAAATTAACAAGAAATAAAGAGAGATAAAAAGGAAACGATGCAACTATTACACAACTAATCTCGGCTGTGGAGTGACCGTTCGGACGACGAAATACGATTTGAATGCGACGATTCGGAAGAGGGCTTTCCTGCAATATCAGTTCCAGAACATCTTCTTCTTCTTCTTCTTCTTCTGAAGTTCATACCGGTATTCAGAAATGAACAGAAACGTGACGATCGGAGAAACGACGGACTGCAGGGCGGACGTAAGTCCCATCAAATTCTCAGTGAACGTGGTTTTCGTCTTGTCAAAGTGGCCGATGAGCGCGTAAAGTGTGACTGAAAGGACGGAGAAGGCGGGCACGGCCGTCTGTCCGATCAGAACCTGAAAAGCAGTTGAACGAACTGAAAACGAAACGATTTTCTTACTCTCACGAGCGAAAAATGCGCTTTTGTCATCTGCTCAGCAGTTCGGAACTGTGAAAGAACGTTTTGAATGAGGTACCAACTGATGAAAGAGACGGCCATGACAATCCACGAGATGGAGATGTGCATGAAGTTGAGAGCTGGAAAACTGAATCTCAATGCGGAGAAGCAGACAAATATCATACTTTTTGCTGAAAATGTCTTCATGTGATTGCTTCCGTAGTATACACAACTCGAGTTCAAAATTGCCGGGTCGATTTGCAACGCGTGGAAGTTGACAGAATCCATCGGCTCCAGCGAAATGATATATACCCAGTTCTGAGCACTCGCATAAGAGCATTTCGGAAAAAAACTTTAGTTACCGAATAAAACCAGTAGATGAGGCCGAATACCAGACAGAAAATGTTGAGAATCCCTTTGTCGAAACTGTCATTCGACAGATAAACGACACGGATTCGATAGAAGAAGCAGAGGAGAAGAATTAGATGACTGAGCAGAAAACCGTCAGTTTGCATGCTATGCCCTGAAGGTATTTCATGAGATTTAACTTCGAGCGTTCATACAATAGAAACAGAATTTGGCAGTCGCTTCTCCGGAGAAAAATAACGTGCAAGGGCCTCTTGAGATGACGAAAAACGAATCAATCGATGGAAATATTCTGAAATCTGGAAATGAGCAAGAAGCGAATGACGGGAACGACCTGTTGGAAGCCATGATTGTGGTGGATGAGGTGAAAATGTCAACGATTGTTCGGAACAAGATCAACGTTCTGCGGGAAGAGAAAGAATAGAGACATTTGGAGAGGTTTCCAACTTACGAGTAAGCATTCAGAGTGACCGGAGTGTTTCTGAGAATGCAAACGAGAAGAAGCGAGTTGAGAACGATGCCGACTAGACCGCAGAGAATATTGAAACAGACAGCCAGTAGATTGGAAAGCGCAGTCAGCGGATCCATATTTGGAGTGGGGGAGACTGGAAGCCTGCTCTCTCCCGTCGAAACAACCTATTCACAGACCAAATGGCGGCACATTCTCGCTTATAATTACCGAGGAAACGACATCAAAAGAGCATTTTTGACATCGAAAATTGTTTAACGACGCGTTTTATCTTTAACAAAATTGCTGCTTTACATAAAAAAAAGTTTGGGTTGGTCGGAAGTCTCTGCTCCTTGCTCACTCGACACTCGGATCCATCAGCTCGGCACCCGCTTCCGCCTTCATATCCTGACGCCCGTTGTACTGAAACAATCCGTTTCTCCAGAAGATTCCCATTGCCAAATGAAAACTAACGAGTCTGCGCAGGAAACTCCACGAAACGCCGCGTCTCGGATGCCAAGTTCTCAGTTTGCGGACTACGCGGAACGTCTTCTTCTGCTCGCGGAACGGCTTCTCGGCCTTGGTGAACGCGTGGGTCATATCGAGCCAATGCTTTTCCTCGGGAGTCAATTCACAACCGGTGAAGTCCTCTCCGCAATCGGAGATCAACGAAACAAGACCAAAGTTGGTGGCGGAGGAGTGGAGAGAGCTCTCCGAAGAGGCTGTAGTCGTGCTCAGAGAGTAGGAGCTGCCCGAGTACGGCAGGGTGTCCGAGGATACGGCTCGGGAAGGTTGCTCATTCTGCAGAGGGCACCATCTGAGAAGGACCGAAGGGAGGAAGACTTACTTGAGGAGACCTTTGCATTTTCTATCGATTCGGATCCGATTGATTCTTCCACAATCGAAAAATGATGAGAAAATTTGAAGAAATGCACCAGTGACGAGAGGTCACGTTGTGGAAAGGCACGGGGTTTCGGAATGTGTATATCTGTGGCATTCACACCGGAAGATTTCTGAGCATTCTAGAGAAAAAGGGGAGAACATAATTGTAGGCTCTGAATCAAATCCCACTTTGCACAAAATTTTGTTTAGCAGTTTTGATCATTGAAAAGTTGTGTGTATGAAAATGAATCACGAAGCGTTTTCTTGTGAACTTGAAGTGATTGTAATGTTATGCACAGCTGGCAATATTGAGACTCTGAACCATTTCAGAAAGGCCATTCTGTAATATCATAAAACTTATCATAAAAGTAACAAAAAAACGATTAACAATAATTTTTAAAAAGCAACAAAAAAACGATTAACAATAATTTTTAAAAAGCAACAAAAGCGCGATTTAATAAGTCATCCACTCATCCCCGTTTTCCAGGTGTACAAGGACGGGGTCTACTCGACTTCGAAGAACACCATGGTCTACAAGTCCAAGTGCAGTCACGTTGTGATCTATTTCTTCCGTGCTCGCAAAGAATTCACCTGTCACATTTGCCTATTCATGAAACCCTCCCCATTCCTAACTTTTTGCAGCTGTGAAACGTTGACGAAGAAGAACGATCCATTCCAGTACGCGAGGACGGCTTCGAACAGAATTGATTCGTGAAAGCGGCAGAACTGACATAAACTCTAACTAATTCTCGTTATTCATATTTTTCATCCGTTTTTTATTAATGTTAACATATGTTTACATAAATTTGTCTCGTAATCTCCCTTGAAAGTACGTCCTTTTCAAACCGTAAACCCTCCATCCATTCATTCGCCGTTTTCCTGCTCTTCCATTTTTCGTTTAAGCTTTTAGGAGGAGGGTTATTTATAACAATACTTACTTTTTTATCTGTATTCTGCTGTCAGAAGGCTTCTAAATCGAACTCCCAAAAAGTGTTGTCGATATACGTCACCGCTGTTTGATTCAATCCCGAATACTGATCGTCTTGCTACTCGATAAATTCACCACGAGCGTCCGAGGAGAAGTGTACCGTCCAAAATTTTTGCTCTTTTGAATGGAGCAATTAAGAATGAGTATTGAAAGACAGATGGAAACAGCCAATCAGGTAAATCGTTTCTAATCTTGCTAGCTAATTCGCGTTTCTAACCCGACCTAGTTAGATTGCTAATTTATTGCGATTAGATTGCCAATTCTTCTAACTAGACTGATATATTTTCTAATTACATTGACAAAGCAAAATTTTCTTAATTAAATTGCAAAAACTGATTAGATTCAAAATGTATCTAATTAGATTAACCATTCCGTCAAATCTAGCTAGGTTTAGTTTAGATTCCATTTTTATCTAGCTAGATTTCTCCTAACTTACGAAACCTCCTAACTAGATTACAAACGATTTGCCTGAGAAGGAACTCAAGGTGGAAAAGTACAGGATCACTCAACGGAAAGTTATGAGCGATCACTAGTTCCAGAAGCTGTTCGGAACGTCTTCAGAAGTGTGCTCCTTCCTACCGACACCTGTCACGATTGTCCTCTGACCCCATCTCTCAGTTTCGCGCAATCAATCTCAATTCCATCACCTCCTGGATCTGTTGTCTCTGCTTCTCTCCGCCCTTCGTCTCTCTCATCAAAGTCCATTGGCATCCATCGTCCGTTGGCAGGAGGTGGCTCACAAAGAAGCGGACCATCCCCATCCCTCATTATTTTGCCGTCGGATCGCCGCTCTTCCCCTCTCCGACTCTTCTCCTCCCGCACTCTCCTCCCCGATGCCGTTCGTCGGGCGCCGCCCCCTCGACTCGTCCGCATCTCTCCCCCTCCGCACACTATTTCACGCCTGGTGTGGGCTCCCGAGCCGAGCTGCTGATGCTCCCGCGCCGTCGCCTCCTCTTTCATGTGTGCGTTTATCCACACACTATATCTTCTGCCTGCTCTCCGCGCCGTCGTCTTTGTTTGTGGCATTTCGATCATACTATTGCTCTCTCTTTTTACTATTTTATTATCTCTTGTTATCATTTCTTTAGCTCATCTCCAGAAGTTACTATTCCAGGAAAAAGAAGGCGCGCTTTTGTGAATTTACAACCCTTCGCCAGCTTCTTCTTCCATTTTATCTGCCAGATGTCAGCTCCTTTTTCACTTTTAGTCCTTTGCCCCGTTGGAAATGGCGTGGCATTGCCTCCAGATGTACCTTCCAATTAGCCTTTCTCACTTTGTTTTTGCTCCGGAGACAATTACATCATTTTGCCCGTGCTCCGCTCAAATTTCATGCCTCGGCAGAGGGTCCCATCCACTCATCCACTTACACCGTTATGATTTTTTCAACAGAGCATCGAAAGAATCCTTCGTACACTCGGTCCCGCCCATTTCAGAAGGGCTTTGAGACATTCCTACCGTATGACTCAACCTTTTTCTCTGATTCTCTTCACTTGCTCTCTCGGATTGTCATGTGAGAATGGATTGAGTTACTGTTTTTCACAAACTTCTTTCTTGCACAAAAACAATATTTCTTTTTAGTGTCCACTGCTTATTCTCATGTTCTTTGACTGTGCATCTCTTTTCCGTTCCTTTTTTTCACTTTGGAAGCTCTTGGAACAACTGAACAGTTGGAAAATGAGAAGCTTTCTCAAGTGTCCCTTTCTTTTTCAACAAGATTTCGTTCGAACAAAGAACGTTTTCCTATAGAGTTATGGCCAATTTTAGAGAAATCTCATATTCTGCAAACCTCCATTCCTTTCTGACTCACTCAGTTTCTTCCCATTCCTCTCGATCTCCTGATTTCAGAAAACGATCGGTTTAGATCGGCTGCAAAGTTATCCAACTGCGGAGTGTATGCGCCGTCCGAGCATCCATACGATCCTCCCGTTGTGCATCTAGATCCGTGCGCCGACCCATCCCGTTGCGACCATGGTTGGCGCACCGCGCTTCACCCAGAAACCGTCGATTCAGCAGACGCCAACTGTGAGTGTTTCTCCCTTGCTTTCAGTTATTTTTGCTTCGTTTTCACACGTGCTCCTCTTGTATACATACCACCTCTGCTGTTCCGGTCTCTCTCTCTCTCTCTCTCTCTCTCTCACGCTCTCGCTTTCCGTGTCCCTTCGGAGCCCATGCCCTGCCACATGGCTCATGGCAAATGATGGCGGGATCCCGCTGTTTCTGCGTCTCCGATCGCCCAGAGTCCTAGTGTATTGTGGGGGCGATGCCCGAAAGCCAACTGGCCGCCGGCTCCACGAGTTGCCGCGCTATTTCTCGCCGCATCTCTTGATGCGCGCCGTGTGCTCCTCGTCGCTTTACGGCCTTCACGGGCTCAAGACAGCAGCTCCGAGGCCGCAGCTCGCGGAGCCCTGGAAAGCAGCATCGGTAGCAGAAAAAAATAAGTGAGGAGCAGGCAGGAGCAGCGGGCGGCGAACCTGACCGCAAAACACTTGGATTCCAGAGGGGTTTGAGACAAGAACGGAACATCCGAGAGAGAGAGAGAGAGAGAGAGACCGTAAATATTGACTGTTTGTGGTTTCTTGAGGTGTTTGATGGAGAAACATTGGTTCTGGAAAGCCCTTACGAGAACCATTTCCCAAAAACTTTCGAAAGGGAACAGCAACTTTTTGATATTCTTTCATTTCTTGAATTGATAAAGATCAATACACAACTCGAAAACGGATAGAAAAACAAAAAGAAGGTGCAGGAGAACCACGTGCTACTGAAAGAAATTTTGAAATTCGATCCATTCAAATACACAAACACCCTCTTGAAGTGAGTGGAAAAAATGATACCCTGGAACAAAGGAAACGATTGAAACTACTGTACGGAGGCTATAATCTAAAGAACGTTTGCTTCTTTTTAATCGTTCGATCCGATCAGTGTCGCCCTCCGCCGACTGATTGCGGGGGATCCTTGTTTTCGTGTTTTCGTGTGACGTCATCAAAGGGGAGAGGGAGTGTGTAAACAACGAAACATTGAACTTCTGGAAGGGAATAGATTGATTGCAGGGTGATCTGCTGATGGAATGTCATCTCGAGGCGGACCCACAGCCGACGATCGCGTGGCAGCACTCGGGGAACCTTCTGGAACCGTCCGGAAGAGTCGTTCAGACATTGACTCCGTTGGGCGGAAGCCTTTATAAGGCCACGCTAGTCATCAAGGTGAGAAAGATTGGGGAAAAGACGGAAAATGGGGAATGTTGGGCAATGAGGTTTCGGATGACAGGGCAGGTGCCAACGAGAGAATAAGAAAACACGCAAGTTGCGAAGTTTAGCTGACGAGCGAAGATATCGAAGAACTGCGATGAAAAAGAATCGCAGAATGAAAGTGTTATTTCAGGAGCCGAATGCAGGAGATGGAGGTGCGTACAAATGCACAGCCAAGAATCAGTTGGGCGAATCGAATGCGAACATCAATCTGAACTTTGCTGGCGCCGGAGGAGATGAGGCGAAGTCCCGCGGTCCGTCTTTCGTCGGAAAGCCTCGAATTATTCCGAAAGACGGCGGAGCATTGATTGTGATGGAGTGCAAAGTAAAAAGTGCTTCGACTCCAGTTGCAAAGTGAGTGATTTGTCTGGAATCGGATGGAGAAGACGTTGTGTTTCAGATGGATGAAGGACGGAGTTCCGCTGAGCATGGGAGGACTCTACCATGCCATTTTCAGTGATCTCGGAGATCAAACATACCTGTGTCAGTTGGAAATTAGAGTAAGTAGAGTAAGTGTTGGAGAACTTTTCTAGAATTCGAGTTTGAAGGGCCCGTCATCATCGGACGCCGGCCAATATCGATGTAATATTAGAAACGATCAAGGAGAGACGAACGCCAATTTGGCATTGAATTTTGAAGAGCCAGATCCAGCCGAAAAACCAGAGAGAAAAAGATCGACTGCTTCGCCAAGACCGTCGTCCCGCGGTCCTGGAAGCCGTCCGTCTTCACCAAAGAAGTCGATGAAGTCAAGGGAAGGCACGCCGAAGCGCACTTTGAAACCGAGGGAAGGATCTCCGACGAAGAAGTTGAGGTGGGATGTGTCCACAACTATTTCCCTGAGGTTTTCCTTTCAGATCCCGTACTTCTACGCCCGTGAACGAAGAGGCATCGCAATCGGAGTCCCGCCGATCGAGCCGAACCGAAAAGATGGAAGTAGACCAAGTAGCGGCGAAACGAAAACCTGAAGGACTCCCGCCGCCGGGCGGTGACGAGAAGAAGCTTCGAGCGGGCAGTCCCTCCGCGCGAAAGTCTCCTTCCCGCAAGAGTGCGTCGCCAACGCCATCCAGAAAAGGAAGCAGTGCCGGCGGAGCGTCTGCCGGAGTAACTGCCTCCTCTGCTTCCTCCCAACAACAATCCCAGCAGTCTCATCAGCAATCCCAACAGAAATCCCAACAACAGTCCCACGATCCATCTCGTGACAAGTACACGAGGCCGCCGATCGTACTGGAAGCCAGCAGGTCCAAGGTAAGATTCCCTCTCCGATCGGCTTTCGTTCTCTTGCTCTCTGATCGTTCCGCCTACACTTTGGCGTGAAAAAGAGTTCAACGAACGGCCGAATTGGCAGCCCATTCATGCCAGATGTGAACAGAAAACTACGAAGAAACGGAGCAAACGCTTTTGAGATCTCGGTCCGGAAACAAGGGGAATACGAATTGAAAATGCACAAACGAAAGAAAAGAATAACTTGTTACAGACTGGCCGAATCGGTGGATCAGTGGTCCTGGAGGTTCAGTGGCAGTGCCATTCGTCCACTATCATTGAGTGGTACAGGTCAGCAACTTGAGAAATTCTCTTTCCGAGTCGTCAGCCTATCCATACATTTTCAGAGATGGCGCTTTGGTCCGAAATTCTTCCGAGTATTCTCAGTCGTTCAACGGATCCATAGCCACGCTTCAAGTCAACAATTTGACCGAAGACAAGTCTGGTCTCTACAAATGCCACGCAAAGTGCGACTATGGAGAAGGTCAAAGCAGCGCGATGGTAAAGATCGAACAGTCTGGTCAGTCCTTTTTCTCTCCATCTCCGTTTTTGATACCGTAGTAGTCTATGGTCCATAGACCAGCCGAACAAGACGTTTTCCGTTTTCTCGGTACACACTCGTTTCACGTTTTTTTCAGCGGCCGGATGGTGCCCAAACGCTTTTTGAACAATTTTCAGATGTGGAAGAAGAACTGCTCAAGCACAGAAAAAATTTGGAGAATGAATACAAGGAGGAGGAGGAACGGAGAGAATCGCAGACGCTTCAGGCCACCAAGAAGCGGGTTGCGAGAAGAAGTAAATCGAAGAGCAAGAGTCCGGTTAGTTAATTTAAAAGTCGAATTTTCATTCGGAATCCTATTCTGCTGCAGGCCCCACAAGCGAAGAAGAGCGCCACTTCGGAGAGCGAACGTCCCAACGCCTCGGAAGTCGAGCAGAAGAGAAGCACCAGTGTGCGGCCGGATCCAGATGACGTACGGTGGAAAACGGGGGTTATAGTTAACACGTGCTCAACGAGCAAAAACCGTCTGACTCGGCCGCCCAGTTAAACGCACTCGAAACAGTGTTTGACGCGTTTTGTGTGTGTGTAGCTTCGTGTCTTTGGGGAAGGGAAAACATTATGTGGCGTGGCACGCAAGATCGGAAATCAGAATGGAAATTGAGATTTGTTTGGTTGAGAATGGATGGATTGGATTGGATTACTTACATAATGAACTAACAATGTTTGAACCATTTTATGGAAAAGTAAAAAAAAGTTTAAGTTCATATTGGGACTGAAAATCAAACTTGATGTGGCTCTTTTTTCAAAGCATAATTTCATTTCAATTTACGAGAAGTCAGGAAACTTCCGGGCAGCTACCGTTATCTGTTTCGTTCAAAAATAAAAAAGCGATACGCTTTCGGATGAAATTGACGGCTGGTTGTGAGAATGCAGATCAGAAACTGAAAAGAGTCTCTTTGATTCTTGATCAGTTTGGCCTACCTACCGTACTCTCGTCAGTCTGATCTGGTTGAAGCTCTTCGCAGTACAAACGTCGAACAACGTGTAAGTCGGCGCCCTCCGCACGTCGGCCTGCTATTCCGACAAAAGTGACAAACGGTACTCGAAAATGACACAAGTACCTTTGCCAAAGCCTCCTCCTACATCATTTTGAAATGAAGTGTCTGTGTCTCCTCCTCTCGCACACTCTCTCGCTCTCGCTTCGGTATTCGACCGTCACAAAGTGAGCTCAGGAGTTCCCACTTCTCGGAGTTACCCCCCGACCATCCCAGACTTTTTTTTTCGATTTCATTTTCTTCCGATTAGCATAGTCAATGAAAAAGACGTTGGAACTGTTCCAAAGTTTGAATAAGCGAGTCGGGAGAGAGTAAAGATCAGCTAGTCTAGTCGAACTTGAGCATTGTTAGGGCTCTCGAACAACACGACAGTTCAGTTCACACATGATGTAATGTGGTGGCGAACTCGCTTTTTTCTCTTCTCTTTTTTCAACAATCTCGAGTAACTGTCTCACTTTTCCTTATCTCTGAACATTTTCAGGCTAGAACTTTCGAATATAATAGAAAGCATTTTGAATTTCTAGAATAGTTCTTCTGGCCGGCTCGCCGTTCAACAACCCTTCAGAATTGGACGTACAGTCCCTTTCCCCCAATCCAAACTTTCCAATTCTATCGCCCACATTCACCGTCCCCTGTGCGAAAAGGGACGGAATCTGGTGTAAATAGCGGCGTGTCCCTGAATAGTTCTGCCAAGATGAACTACACGCCTGGATCGTACCTCCAGAACTTTCTGAAGAGGTCGGCGAGCAACGACGGCAGCGAGCAGTCCTCCGCAGCGGCACGTCGTCTGCCTCCTCGTCCGCCGTTCGAGACCTCTCACTCGATGGCTTCTTCCTCTTCTCCTCAGAACGCGCCCCGTCGCATGGTGAATCTTCGATCGGTTTCCGACCGTCAAGGGGCCGCCCGTCCCTGCGGAGAATCTCCGAATCCACTGAATATGCGAAGTGCGAACTCATCCGGACCGGATCTGAACAAGATATCGCAGATCCACGCATTCATACTCTCAAAAATGCCGGAGGGCGAAGCGAAAGAAAAGTTTCTGAGAAGTATTCTGGACTTTGACAGTCCGATATCACGAAGGGGAAGTCGGGACGACGTCGGCAGTCACGCACTCAAGACCACGAACAGCAAGTCGTCGATCAACTCCAGCAGCAATGTTAGTTTGAGAGAGGAATTGAACAGTTGCACCACTAATGTTCGTCACTAATATTGTATAGTTTATCTAGTGGCATGAGTCTCCCACGTTTCGAAAGCTTGATTTGTTCAAGCGTTCCCTGCAACTGAAGAAATCCCTTTTCTTTGAATGATTGGAATGGCATCGGGATCAAGAATCTGTTTGTTTTTCACTTTAGCGTTTTAGCACTTTTAATAGTTGCATGTAAGTGCTTCACCTCACAATTGATTCCGTTCGATGAATGAAACCCTTTCTGATATTGTTTGAATGCTGGATTTGAATGCCGTGTTGAACTTTTATTTTGATTCTTTGCATGTTTTCACTTACATACAAATGGTCCGTCTGCTCGAGCCCGTTCCCACTCTCAAAATCCCATTTGTTTCCTTCAAAATGTGTCACGTTACTGCGGTTTCTTCTGGCGGTGCAAATGCGCGCAGCACTCCAAACCATCCCGCCCGCGCACTAAAATCCCTTCCTTTCTTACTTTCTCCCCTTCCGATCCACTTTCGAACGCCGCGCACAAAAAGTTGCGAAATAGCGTTTTTGTACTGGAGGCGCTCGTAGTACTCGGAAGTGAGAGAGTAGGAGAGAGCGGGCGCCAGGGCGGAGTGCACAGAGAAGCAGAAATACCTCGGGGTGTCGTTTTTTGGATATCCCCGCAGGAAGGAGGCGCTGCCCGTGAGGGAGGAAGCTCAAGAATACAACAAACATGGAACGCGTACTCGCTGTGCTGCCACCATCTTTTTAGCCACACATTATTTGAGACCTCTCTTTTCCCCCTTCCTTTTCCACGCATTTCCAGCTTCGTTTCAAGTTGCCACGTCCTAACGTTTGTTAGATTTTTCCTTCCGATCCGCGTAGACAGTTGCCACGTCATTAATAATCACGGACACTCTTTCTTCGCGAGAAGTGCCGTAAACTTGTCAGAAACGTGTCAAACTGATGATATGTGTTTTGGTGTGATATCCGAGAAATCGGGCGAAAACCTGAGAAGACAAAGAGAGAGAGTGCACGAGATTTTGGCGCCAAACTGTTTGGATAGTGAGTGAGTCAATTGAGAAACTCCTACGTTCTTCGGAAAGAATTCACAGAGTGCTTGCTAGGAACACAAATTCGTCTGGATTGTCAGCAACAGGTTGCAATATTTCCATCCGAGCCTACAGTAATTGATTCTGTAGTAGCAATCGAATCTTTAATCAGGGCTCTCTCTGCCGGCAGGCGCCAATCCGCCCTCTATCTTTTTTGCCAACCTCATCTCGGGCCTCATCGGATCCGCAATCTCTTATCACCAAACACAAGCTCTCTCCGACCCGACTCGCGTGCCACTGCGGCGTCGTCTGTTGCCGTGTCGCGGTGTTTGTATCAATTTCCTGGTATCCAACCAAACATTCTGTTTGTTATTTCTATTTCGACAACAAACAAAACAACCACACAAAACGATCGGACTATGCATCGCGCAGCACTTATTTTCTCTGAATTATAGCTCTTTCGTCTACTAGTCTTCATTTTTATTTATTCCGAAACTTTTTGAAATGGATCCTGAACATTCTGATACGGTGAGCGAGTTTTCTTTTTGCCCAAAAAGGGACGCCAAATTGCACATGAAGCCTGTCCAGAGACTAATGCCCAATTACAGTGGGCTCTAGGTGTCGAGCAACTCCTTCGATTCGTGCTCATCATCATCTCAACTTGTTGTTTTTTGCGTTGACTCCTCCAAACGCTTGTGTGCCATTGGGCCGCGACACTGGACGAGCGCGAAAGTGTAAAAATGTTATCATTATCCTCGTTTCTTCTTCCTTTCTCTCTCCTCCCGCTCTCCCGTTTGTGCCTCCGCGTAAAAAGCGACGGAAGTCCGTGTCTCTTGAAGCTCCTCGAGCTCATCAGACGGGGACCTTCGGGAGCACAGAACCAACGGCTGGAGATGGGTCAAAACACAAATGCGAACAACGGAAACTTGTTCGGAACTCTCTGCGAGCGAGACTGAAATCGATTAGATGGGCGCGAGAAGCGGGGGCGGTTTGCGGGAGATCCCGGCCGGAAACAGCTGCCATCCTGAATGAGATTTTGATGAACATGTTGTTTTTGCTAGGTTTTTGAGAAAACATGCAAATGATGAGCATGAATGGAATTCTTGAATTTATACGTGCTCGCGAAAGTGATCAGACTAATGGATCTGTTGGATAAAGATCGAAATTTGAACTGTCAATATTGAAACAATTGGGGCAAAGTCCCTCACTGAGTGTGTTTCTTTTTTGCAAAAAAAAGCAAAATCCTTTCTTCTCCTATCTTTTCCTGCACTGATAAACATCGATAACCAGAAAGTACGTGATAAATAATGGTGCGCGAGGGTTTCTTGTGCGGGCACTTGAGAGAAGTAAAATGGTTGAGGAAGCTCGAGTGATAATGAGACAAAAAACGAAGGAAAGAGAGTGTGTTTGAGGAGAGCGCTTCCCTTCCGCCAATCCACAAATATCACATGAACGCACGAGAGAGTTTGGAAATCCCCCGAACGGCTTTGTGTTTTGCAACGAAAAAAAAAAGAATCAGAAGTAACACGTGCCAACACTCGGAAACTTGATGACCGCACCCAGTTGTGTTTGTTGCAGGAATCTCAGTTGGACGAGATCCCCAGTTCGGGTCTGACGATCCCAGAGGAGCGCCGTCGAGAATTATTGGGTCAGGTCGGAGAAAGTGACGACGAGGTTCGTTTTAAATTTTATTCATGTTCGATTAAGGGTGCATTTGACTGCAATCGTTCTGCCGCACAACACGTGAATTCAGTGCGAAATTGGATAAGTTTAGCATTTCAGCACTGAATTCACGTGGTTTGCGGTAGAACGCGATTGCAGTCAAATGTATCCCTTATAGCAGCGAACATTCAATGGATTGAATACTTTTCAGTTTGTCAGCTTGATCTCCATTTCAGGTATCCGAATCGATATCCGAACTTCCATCATTCGCCGGAGGCAAGCCTCGCCGCAAGACTGATGTATGTTTCTTTTCGTAGCCTCTTATCCCCCGACTCCCTCCACCTACTCATTTCTTCATCTATCTTTCTTTATCTCTCTCCTTCTTCCTACCATTTCTCTCTTCTCTCGTCTTTGTCCGTTTTGTGCTTGTCCAAATGTTTTGATGGCGCGAACAAAACCGAAAAGGAGCCGTGGGCTCTTGCTCACATACAGTTTGCCCCCGCACCATTGAAAAGTGACCCTGAAGAAGTAAGAAGAAGAAGAAGAAGCAAGACACGGAGGGCACTTGTGCAGGGGCGCGGGGGCAAACAGATAGTGAGCCCACATGTGTCAACTAGCTGATCAGCCAATTGATCATTTGCCATCTTGTCCCTCGTCCCTTTCTTGTCCTCTTCCCCCTGTTCCATGCGAGTTTCAGAGTCCTCCGAAGCAGGACGAGATGTTCTCTCGCGACTCCGTTCTTCGCAAAACCACTACATCCACTAGAAATGAATCGAGTACTGTAGAGGTGCGGTGTCTTTTATTTTATGTCTTTTCGTCATGTCCGATGTCCCATTTTAGGAGAAGACACAACTTCGCAAAACTGTCAAAAAGGCCGATGGCGAGCTTGATTTCAAAGCCATGGTCAAATTGAAAAAGGTGAAAAAGGAAGAGGGCTTAGCCGCCGAAAAGGCGGGATTCCCCCTCGACCACGCCGATTCCACGTCATCCGTGTTGTCTCAAGAAACGAGATCGAGACGCGGTTCGAATGCACTCTTCGGAAAAGAAGGCCTCCCCGAGCAGCCGGCGAACCCGTTTGCTCAGCTTAAGAAAGTGAAGGCCGGCGGGAACGGACTGGAAAAGTCCGATTCGACGGCGAGTCTGAAGAAACTCGAGCTGAAAAAGGGAAAGGTCGAAGAGAGCTCGGATGGTGCATTCAAAGTGCAACTGAAGAAGGTGGTTAAGAAAGAAGTGAAGGAGACGACGGTCAGTGTGAAAGAGAAGAATGGCACGACTTCGGGCATCAACACCGAGTTTAAGCTGGAGAAAAGAGAGCGGACCACGTTGCAGAAGTACGAGAAAACGGATGACAACGGGTCCAAAAAGGAGGTAGTCCATGTTCTTTGTGTGTGTGTGTCTCCGTTCGCTCGCTTTCCTCCTATCATTTCCTATCCTCTATGTCTTTCTCCTCTCACTTCCACCCACTTCTACCGTAACCCTTTCTCTCCCTATCCTAACCGTTTTTCTAGGACAAGCCCAAGAAGGTCAGCATTGCGCCCACGCCGACCAGCACGTCCAGCGATGAACCGTCGACGCCACGTGTAAGAATCGGAAAATAAGAGAACGAGTTTGCATGGTTTGAGGTGAATACTTGTAATATTTTTCACTTTCCGCTAATCAGTCCGGTCCCGGAACTTTGCTTCATTCCGTCTTTTCCCGTCCATTCCGAACTCTCTAACTCCATGTTCTAACCGTTCATTTCAGCACCACAAAGAAGTCGAAGAAAAGTCAACGTCTGAGGAGAAAAAAACAAAGGTTCAAGGCCGCCAAGTGGGTCAAAAGAGGAATGGCGCCCAGAAAGCCGAGGAGCCGAAGAACCTTCTATCGCAGATTCAGTTGAAGAAGGTGACGAAGAAGGCGCAGGAGGAGGTCAATGAGATGGAGGGCATCAAGCTGAAAAAAGTGACGACGGTGCCGAAACACGTGGGGGACGACGACAGTCAGTCGGAATCCGAGTCGCGACGTGGCTCCGTCTTCGGAGACATCCGCAGAGGATCGAAAGCTCCGAGAGACTCCGCCGACCACTCGCGCCGAGACTCCATTGTGATTTTTACTTTTTTGTGTGGTTAAGACATTTTTGGCAATGCCTTCAATGTTGCATGACAATCATTTCAGGTTCAGATTTTCAAATTGATGTTTTCAGAGACGCTCAAGTATCGACATGAGACGCGAATCCGTGCAAGAGATCCTGGATAAAGTGATATTTCGAGCAGTGCTCCTGTCCCCAACTGCTGTCTGTTTCAGGTGTCGACACCGCTCGTCCCAAGCGGTGCTTCAGGCAGTGCCCCAAAAATCGTCGAAGTTCCAGAAAACGTCACAGTCGTCGAGAGTGAGTATTTTCAAATGGCGCTACAACGAATGGAACCGTTACGATTTAGAACTCGAAGTTGTATTTTAACGTTGCAAGCTCCAAATCGTAACAGTTTCATTCCGTGCGAGTTCTACTTCGTTGTAGCGTCTTTTCAAATTTGCTGTATTGAAAGCGCATAATTACAGACGAAACTGCCATTTTGACCTGCAAAGTGTTGGGTAGTCCCGCCCCCACTTTCCGCTGGTTCAAAGGCAATCGGGAAGTGATCAGCGGTGGTCGCTTCAAGCACATCACCGACGGAAAAGAACAGACTGTGGCCCTTGCCATGCTCAAGTGCCGATCACAGGTACTCCGAGTCCGTCAGACGAGACCTCAGAAAGTGATTATTTGCAGGATGAAGGTCCCTACACCCTGACGGTCGAGAACGCGCATGGAACAGATTCTGCTGATGTCAAGCTGCTCGTCACTTCGGACAACGGGCTCGATTTCCGAGCCATGCTCAAGCATAGGTCCGTAATCTCCGAGAGCACCTCTCCTTCTTCTCCCCTTCTCTCTCTCTCTCTCTCTATTTCCTTTCCGATTTCCTCTCCTTATCCGTTTATCATTTCCCCCGTTTAGCAATCAACAACGGCAGAACACGAAAAGGTTACCCACCAAACTTCCTGAATACTCTCACATTTCTGACAAGAACGCTTCCCTAACCCTCTCACACAGAACACGTAATCTCGATCTTTCTGCATGCTCTGATCTCCCGTAATTCCACATTCACATGTGCCGCCACAAACCCGCAAATAAACGCTTTTTCCGCTCTTTCTGTTGTGGAAAGAGAAATAATCCAAAAGTTTAAGTTCGGTTTCAGCTGTTTTCAGTTCTTTCATCAACTCATTCCTTGGAATAATAATTTACTTTCAGAGAATCGCAAGCCGGTTTCCAAAAGCCGGAAGGAGAAGTCGGAGGAGATCCGAAGAAACCGATGACCGAGGCCGAACGAAGACAGTCCCTCTTCCCAGGCAAGAAGGTCGAGAAGTGGGATGTGCCGCTTCCCGATAAAACCGTTCAGCAACAGGTAAATTTGAGGAACGAGACTGCCTTTAATAACTTTTTAAGGTTGACAAAATCTGCGAGTGGAAGTGCACCTACTCGCGTCCGAATGCCAAGATCCGTTGGTACAAGGACCGAAAAGAGATCTTCTCCGGAGGACTCAAATACAAGATCGTCATCGAAAAGAACATTTGCACTCTGATTATCAATAATCCAGAAGTCGATGACACCGGAAAGTACACTTGTGAGGCAAACGGAGTTCCAACTAATGCTCAGCTCACTGTGCTTGGTACGTATAGTGATTAGATGAATGAAGCAACAAAATTTCTATTTCCAGAACCGCCAATGAAATATAGTTTCCTGAATCCGTTGCCAAACACGCAAGAGATCTACCGTACCAAACAGGCGGTGCTCACTTGCAAAGTGAACACGCCACGTGCTCCGCTGGTCTGGTACCGCGGAAGCAAAGCGATCGCAGAGGACGATCCGAGGTTTATCATCGAGAAGGACGCCGTCGGTCGCTGCACACTCACCATCAAGGAGGTCGAGGAGGACGATCAGGCCGAATGGACCGCCAGAATCACGCAGGACGTGTTCTCGAAGGTACAAGTGTACGTCGAGGAGCCACGTCACACATTCGTCGTGCCGATGAAGTCCCAGAAGGTCAACGAAGGAGAATTGTCCACTTTGGAGACAGACGTGAACGACAAGGACGCCGACGTCATCTGGTGGCACGACGGAAAGAGAATCGACATTGATGGAGTCAAGTTCAAGGTGGAGGCGCACAACAGAAAGAGGAGGCTCATCATCGACGGAGCCAGAATCGAAGACCACGGAGAGTACAAGTGTACGACGAAGGACGACAGAACGATGGCTCAACTGATTGTCGACGCGAGGAACAAGTTCATCGTCGCACTCAAAGATTCGGAAGTCATTGAGAAGGATGACGTCACTCTCATGTGTCAGACGAAGGATACCAAGACTCCTGGAATCTGGTTCCGCAACGGAAAACAGATTTCGAGTATGCCCGGAGGAAAGTTTGAGACACAATCAAGAAACGGAACACACACCCTCAAAATCGGAAAGATCGAGATGAACGAGGCTGATGTGTACGAAATCGATCAGGCCGGACTCCGCGGATCTTGCACAGTCACCGTGCTCGAGGCCGAGAAGAGACCAGTGCTCAACTGGAAGCCAAAGAAGATTGAAGCGAAGGCTGGAGAACCGTGCGTTGTGAAGGTTCCCTTCCAGATCAAGGGAACTCGCAGAGGAGATCCGAAGGCTCAGATCCTGAAGAACGGAAAGCCAATTGACGAGGAGATGCGCAAACTGGTGGAAGTCATTATCAAGGACGATGTCGCAGAAATTGTCTTTAAGAATCCACAGTTGGCTGATACCGGAAAGTGGGCTCTTGAACTCGGAAACTCTGCCGGAACCGTCCTTGCTCCGTTTGAGCTGTTCGTGAAGGACAAGCCGAAACCACCAAAGGGACCACTCGAGACGAAGAACGTGACTGCCGAGGGTCTTGATCTTGTCTGGGGAACTCCGGAACCAGACGAAGGAGCTCCTGTGAAAGCCTACATTATTGAGATGCAGGAAGGAAGAAGTGGCAATTGGGTGAAGGTCGGAGAGACTAAGGGCACCGACTTCAAGGTGAAAGATCTGAAGGAGCACGGAGAGTACAAGTTCAGAGTGAAAGCCCTGAACGAGTGCGGACTTTCCGATCCACTCACTGGAGAAACGGTCCTAGCCAAGAACCCGTACGGAACTCCAGGCAAACCGAAGAACATGGATGCCATCGACGTGGACAAGGATCACTGCACTTTGGCTTGGGAGCCGCCAGAGGAAGACGGAGGAGCGCCGATCACCGGTTACATCATCGAGAGAAGAGAGAAGTCAGAGAAGGACTGGCACCAGGTCGGACAGACAAAGGGCGATTGCTGCGAGTTGACTGATAAGAAAGTCGTGGAGGACAAAGAATACTTCTACCGAGTGAAGGCAGTCAACAAAGCGGGACCTGGAGACCCGTGCGATCACGGAAAGCCAATTAAGATCAAGGCCAAGAAGGCTGCTCCGGAATTCACTGGAGGAGGCATCAAGGATCTTCGTTTGAAGGTCGGAGAGACCATCAAGTATGAAGTGCCAATCTCCGGAGAGCCACTGCCAGAAGTCACCTGGGTGGTCAATGGAAAGCCGCTGAAACCAGTGGGAAGAGTGAAGGTGGCGACCGAGAGAGGAAAGCACGTCATGAAGATCGAGAACGCCGTGCGTGGAGACTCTGGCAAGTTCACAATCACTTTGAAGAACTCTTCCGGAACTTGTGACTCCACCGCCACCGTCACTGTCGTTGGAAGGCCGACGCCACCGAAGGGACCTCTCGACATCGCCGACGTGTGCACCGACGGAGCAACTCTTTCGTGGAACCCACCAGATGACGACGGAGGAGATCCGCTCACTGGATATGTGGTTGAAGCCCAAGACATGGACAACAAAGGAAAGTACATCGAAGTGGGACGAGTGGATCCAAACACAACGACCCTGAAAGTGGACGGACTGCGCAACAAGGGCAACTACAAGTTCCGCGTGAAGGCAGTCAACAATGAGGGAGAATCGGAGCCGTTGTCCGCCGATCAGTACACGCTCATCAAGGATCCTTGGGACGAGCCAGGAAAGCCGGGACGACCGGAGATCACCGACTTCGACGCCGACAGAATCGACATTGCTTGGGAGCCACCACACAAAGACGGAGGAGCTCCGATCGAAGAGTACATTGTGGAGGTCCGTGATCCGGATACCAAGGAGTGGAAGGAAGTGAAGCGAGTCCCGGATACGAAGGCCTCGATTGGCGGACTGAAGGAGGGCAAGGAGTACCAGTTCAGAGTGAAGGCAGTCAACAAGGCCGGGCCTGGACAGCCTTCCGAGCCTTCGGAGAAGCAACTGGCCAAGCCAAAATTCAGTGAGTTCATGAACAGCAGTAGATTAAGCCAATACGTGAATATTTTCAGTTCCGGCGTGGTTGAAACACGACAACCTGAAGTCGATCACCGTGAAGGCCGGAGCCACTGTCCGATGGGAAGTGAAGATCGGAGGAGAACCGATTCCAGAAGTCAAATGGTTCAAGGGCGACAAGCAGCTGGAGAACAACATCCAACTTACGATCGACACTCGCAAGAACGAGCACACCATTCTGTGCATTCCATCAGCGATGCGTTCCGATGTTGGAGAATATCGTTTGACGGTGAAGAACTCGCACGGAGCCGATGAAGAGAAGGCTAATCTGACCGTCTTGGACAGACCAAGCAAGCCGAACGGACCGCTGGAAGTGTCGGATGTGTTCGAGGATAACCTCAACTTGTCGTGGAAGCCTCCAGATGATGACGGAGGAGAACCGATCGAGTATTACGAAGTTGAGAAGCTGGACACTGCTACCGGAAGATGGGTGCCATGTGCCAAGGTGAAGGACACCAAGGCTCACATTGATGGACTCAAGAAGGGACAGACTTATCAATTCCGTGTGAAAGCCGTCAACAAAGAAGGAGCGTCTGATGCTCTGTCCACCGAAAAAGACACCAAGGCCAAGAATCCGTATGACGAGCCTGGAAAGACCGGAACGCCAGATGTGGTCGATTGGGATGCTGACCGCGTTTCTCTTGAATGGGAGCCGCCGAAGTCGGACGGAGGAGCCCCGATCACTCAATACATCATCGAGAAGAAGGGCAAACACGGAAGAGACTGGCAGGAATGCGGAAAGGTTTCCGGAGATCAGACAAACGCTGAGATTCTGGGACTGAAGGAGGGAGAAGAGTATCAGTTCCGCGTGAAGGCCGTCAACAAAGCAGGACCAGGAGAAGCTTCCGACCCGAGCAGAAAGGTTGTTGCCAAGCCAAGAAATCTGAAGCCATGGATCGATAGGGAAGCCATGAAGACTGTGACGATCAAGGTCGGAAATGATGTGGAATTCGACGTTCCAGTGCGTGGAGAGCCGCCACCAAAGAAGGAATGGTTGTTCAACGAGAAGCCGATCGATGATCAGAAGATCAGAGTGAGTTACAGTCCTAAAGATACCATTCCAAATGCTTCCTTTCAGATCGAAAGCGAGGACTACAAGACTCGTTTCGTGCTCCGTGGTGCAACTCGCAAGCACGCCGGTCTCTACACGCTGACCGCTTCGAATGCTTCCGGAACCGACAAGCATTCCGTTGAAGTAATCGTTCTTGGAAAGCCATCCAGTCCTCTCGGACCTCTGGAAGTTTCGAACGTGTACGAGGATCGTGCTGATCTGGAATGGAAAGTGCCAGAAGATGACGGAGGATCTCCGATTGATCACTACGAAATTGAGAAGATGGACATGGCAACTGGAAGATGGGTTCCATGCGGACGAAGTGACACCACCAAGTGCAACGTCCAGAACCTCCAACCAGGCCACGAGTACAAATTCCGCGTTCGCGCTGTCAACAAGGAAGGAGAGTCCGATCCGCTGACCACCAACACTGCCATCCTCGCTAAGAATCCTTACGAAGTACCAGGAAAGACCGAAAAGCCAGAGTTAGTTGACTGGGACAAGGACCATGTTGATCTGGCCTGGAAGCCGCCAGCGGACGACGGAGGCGCCCCAATTGAAGCCTACGTCATTGAGAAGAAGGACAAGAACGGAAGATGGGAAGAAGCTCTTGTGGTGCCGGGAGATCAGAACACTGCTACGGTCCCCGACTTGAAGGAGGGAGAAGAATATCAGTTCAGAATCTCTGCCCGCAATAAGGCCGGAACTGGTGACCCGTCCGATCCATCCGATCGAGTCATTGCCAAGCCACGCAATTTGGCGCCGCACATTCACCGCGAGGACCTTTCCGACACTGTCATAAAGGTCGGAGCTTCTCTCAAGTTCACAGTTCACATCGACGGAGAACCTGCTCCAGACGTGACATGGTCTTTCAACGGAAAAGGAATCGGAGAGAGCAAGGCTCAGATTGACAACGAGCCGTACATTTCTCGATTCGCTCTTGCTAAAGCTGCTCGCAAACAGAGTGGCAAGTACACGATTACTGCTACCAATGAGAACGGAACTGACAGTGTCACCATCGAGATCAAGGTGAAGAGCAAGCCAATGAAGCCGAAGGGACCGATCGATGTGAGCGACGTTTTTGAGGACAGAGCCACTCTTGACTGGAAGCCGCCAGAGGACGATGGAGGAGAACCGATCGAGTTCTACGAAATCGAGAAGATGAACACGAAGGACGGCATCTGGGTTCCTTGCGGAAGAAGTGGGGACACTCATTTCACCGTCGACACTCTCAACAAGGGAGATCATTACAAGTTCCGTGTGAAGGCAGTCAACAGTGAAGGTGCTTCCGATCCGTTGGAGACTGAAACCGACATTCTGGCCAAGAATCCATTCGACCGTCCGGATAGACCAGGACGTCCAGAGCCAACTGACTGGGACTCTGATCACGTGGATCTTAAATGGGATCCGCCACTTTCCGATGGAGGTGCTCCCCTCGAAGAGTATCAGATTGAGAAGAGGACCAAATACGGAAGGTCAGTTTGAAATTGAAAGTTATTCATTCATGATATTCATTCAGATGGGAACCTGCCATCACTGTTCCGGGAGGACAGACCAAGGCCACAGTGCCAGACCTGACTCCCAACGAGGAATACGAATTCCGTGTGATCGCCGTCAACAAGGGAGGTCCATCTGATCCGTCCGATGCCAGCAAGGCAGTCATTGCCAAACCAAGAAACTGTAAGTTGATACTCCATTCGTTCCTAGTAGTTTAATCTGCTATTTCAGTGAAGCCACATATTGACCGTGATCCCCTCAAGAATCTCACGATCAAAGCTGGTCAGTCGATCTCGTTCGACGTCCCGGTTTCCGGAGAACCAACCCCAACGGTTACCTGGCAATGGCCAGACCACAGAGAAATCAGAAATGGAGGACGTGTCAAGCTGGACAATCCGGAGAACCAATCCAAGTTGGTCATCCGTCAAATGGAACGAGGAGACAGCGGAACGTTCACGATTCGTGCTGTTAATGTGAACGGAGAAGATGAGGCAACTGTCAAGATTAACGTCATTGGTATTTAGACTTTTTTCAATGCTTACCCTTACTAGTATGTTTCAGACAAACCAACTTCTCCGAACGGGCCGTTGGACGTTCTTGATGTGCACGCCGACCACGTCACTCTTGACTGGCGCGCTCCGGATGACGATGGAGGCATTCCAATTGAGAACTACGTCATTGAGAAGTACGACACTGCCAATGGCCGATGGGTGCCAGCCGCAAAGGTCGCTGGAGATCAAACTTCGGCAGTCGTGGACGGGCTCATTGCAGGACACGAATACAAAGTAAACCAGAATTCGTTGCAAACTTCATTAAAAATATCAATTTGCAGTTCCGTGTAGCCGCTGTTAACGCCGAAGGAGAATCCGAGCCTTTGGAGACCTTCGGAACCACTTTGGCCAAGGATCCGTTCGATAAACCGGGCAAGACCAGCGCTCCGGAAGTCACTGACTGGGACAAGGACCACGTGGATTTGGAGTGGAAGCCGCCAGCAAACGATGGCGGAGCTCCAATCGAGGAGTACATCGTTGAGATTAAGGACGAATTCTCTCCATTCTGGAATGAGGTCGCCCATGTGCCAGCTTCACAGACCAACGCGACTGTTGGAAATCTAAAGGAAGGATCCAAGTACGAGTTCAGAATTCGTGCGAAGAACAAGGCCGGATTGGGAGATCCGTCTGATTCTGCTTCAGCCGTTGCCAAAGCCAGAAATGGTAACTTGCAAACATTTCTGTTTTATATACAATGTGCTTTTTTTTCAGTTCCGCCAGTCATCGACCGTAACTCGATCCAAGAGATCAAAGTGAAGGCCGGCCAAGATTTCTCTCTGAACATTCCCGTCAGTGGAGAACCAATTCCGACCATCACGTGGACGTTCGAAGGATCGCCAGTTGAGTCGGATGACCGTGTGCGATTGGCAAACGAAGACGGAAAGACCAAGTTCCACGTGAAGAGAGCACTCCGCTCAGACACTGGAACCTACATCATCAAGGCCGAGAATGTCAACGGAACCGACACTGCCGAAGTGAAAGTCACCGTCCTCGACCATCCATCTAGTCCGCGCGGACCTCTTGATGTCACGAACATTGTGAAGGACGGTTGCGATCTGGCGTGGAAGGAGCCAGAAGACGACGGAGGCGCAGAGATCAGCCACTACGTCGTCGAGAAGCAAGACGCGGCAACCGGCAGATGGACTGCGTGCGGAGAGAGCAAGGACACCAACTTCCACGTGGACGATCTCGTTCAGGGACACGAGTACAAGTTCAGAGTGAAAGCGGTCAATAGACACGGAGACTCCGATCCCTTGGAGGCCCGCGAAGCCATCATTGCCAAGGATCCATTCGACCGCGCCGACAAACCGGGAACTCCGGAAATTGTCGATTGGGATAAGGACCATGCTGATCTTAAGTGGACTCCGCCAGCCGACGATGGAGGTGCCCCGATCGAGGGATACCTCGTCGAGATGAGAACGCCTTCGGGAGATTGGGTGCCCGCTGTCAAGGTTGGAGCTGATCAGTTGACCGCCACGGTCGACGGTCTCAAGCCTGGACAGACTTACCAATTCCGAGTAAAAGCGCTCAACAAGGCAGGAGAATCGACGCCTTCTGATCCGAGCAGAACCATGGTGGCGAAGCCACGTCATCTCGCTCCGAAGATCAACAGAGACATGTTTGTTGCTCAGAGAATCAAGGCCGGACAGACCCTTAACTTCGATGTGAACGTGGAAGGAGAGCCTGCTCCGAAGATCGAATGGTTCCTGAACGGAGCTCCGTTGTCATCTGGAGGAAAGACTCACATCGACAACAACACCGACAATAATACGAAGCTGACGACGAAGGACACCGCCCGTGCCGACAGCGGAAAATACAAGATTGTCGCCACGAACGAGAGTGGAAGGGACGAGCATGAGGTCGATGTGAACATCCTCGACATCCCTGGAGCTCCAGAAGGACCACTTCGTCATAAGGACATCACGAAGGAGAGTGTCGTGCTGAAATGGGACGAGCCATTGGATGACGGAGGATCTCCGATCACCAACTACATTGTGGAGAAGCAAGAGGACGGAGGACGATGGGTGCCGGCCGGAGAGACCTCCGACACGTCCCTCAAAGTGAACAAATTGTCCGAGGGACACGAGTACAAGTTCCGTGTGAAGGCAGTCAACCGGCAAGGAACATCTGCCCCGCTCACTTCCGATCATGCTATCGTTGCCAAGAATCCGTTCGATGAGCCTGATGCTCCGACTGATGTGACTCCAGTCGACTGGGATAAGGATCATGTTGACTTGGAATGGAAGCCGCCAGTGAACGATGGCGGTGCACCGATTGATGCTTACATTGTTGAGAAGAAGGACAAGTTCGGAGACTGGGTCGAGTGTGCTCGTGTCGACGGAAAGACCACGAAGGCCACCGCTGACAACCTCACTCCAGGAGAGACGTATCAGTTCCGAGTGAAGGCTGTTAACAAGGCAGGACCAGGAAAACCATCCGATCCAACTGGAAACGTTGTTGCAAAGCCAAGAAGAATGGCCCCGAAGCTCAACCTTGCTGGACTTCTCGATCTTCGCATCAAGGCCGGAACTCCTATCAAATTGGACATCACTTTCGAAGGAGAGCCAACTCCAGTTGCCACGTGGAAGGCCAACGACACCACGGTCACTGCTGGACCTCGTGCTGACGTCACGAACACTCCGACGTCATCTGCCATTCACATCTTCTCCGCTGTTCGTGGAGACACCGGTGTCTATAAGATCATCGTGGAGAACGAGCACGGAAAAGACACTGCTCAGTGCAATGTGACCGTTCTTGACGTGCCCGGCACTCCAGAAGGACCACTCAAGATCGACGAGATCCATAAGGAAGGATGCACACTCAACTGGAAGCCGCCAGCAGACAACGGAGGATCCGACGTCCTTCACTACGTCGTCGAGAAGATGGACACATCCCGTGGAACCTGGCAGGAGGTCGGAACATTCCCAGACTGTACTGCAAAGGTCAACAAGTTGGTGCCTGGAAAGGAGTACGCCTTCCGTGTGAAGGCCGTCAACTTGCAAGGAGAGTCGAAGCCATTGGAGGCTGAAGAGCCCATCATTGCTAAGAACCAATTCGACGTTCCTGCTCCAGTTGATAAGCCAGAAGTGACCGACTGGGACAAGGACAGAATCGACATCAAATGGAACCCAACTGCCAACAACGGAGGAGCTCCAGTCACCGGATACATTGTGGAGAAGAAGGAGAAGGGCAGTTCCATCTGGACAGAAGCTGGAAAGACGCCCGGTACCACATTCAGTGCTGATAACCTTAAGCCGGGTGTTGAGTACGAGTTCCGTGTTGTTGCCGTCAATGCTGCCGGCCCATCTGATCCATCGGAACCGACTGACCCACAAATAACGAAGGCTCGTTACTTGAAGCCAAAGATCTTGACTCAGATCAGAAAGATCAAGATCAAGGCTGGATTCACTCACAATCTCGAAGTCGATTTCGTCGGAGCCCCAGATCCAACCGCCACCTGGTCTGTCGGAGATGCGGGAGCACCACTTGCTCCAGAGCTCATTGTCGATGCCAAGAACCAGAGCACTTCGATCTTCTTCCCATCCGCCAAGAGAGCTGACAGCGGAAACTACAAGTTGAAGGTGAAGAACGAGCTGGGCGAAGACGAGGGAATCTTCGAGATCATTGTGCAAGACCGCCCGAGTGCTCCCACTGGACCTCTGGAAGTGTCCGATGTGACCAAGGACAGTTGTGTTCTCAACTGGAAACCACCGAAGGACGACGGAGGCGCCGAGATCAGCAACTATGTCGTCGAGAAGAGAGACACCCGCACGAACACGTGGATTCCAGTCTCTGCATTCGTCACTGGAACCTCTATCACCGTCCCGAAGTTGACAGAAGGACACGAGTACGAATTCCGTGTGATGGCTGAGAACACCTTCGGAAGATCCGATTCGCTCAACACGGACGAGGCTGTTCTTGCCAAGGATCCATTCGGAACTCCAGGAAAGCCAGGAAGACCAGAAATTGTGGATACTGACAATGATCACATCGACATCAAATGGGATCCACCAAGAGACAACGGAGGATCTCCAATTGACCACTACGACGTCGAAAGGAAAGACACAAAGACTGGTAGATGGATCAAGGTTAATACTTCTCCAGTCGACGGAACTGCCTTCTCGGACACACGCGTCCAGAAGGGACACACCTACGAATACCGTGTCGTTGCCGTCAACAAGGCCGGACCAGGACAACCTTCCGACCCGTCCGCCGCCGCCACCGCTAAGCCAATGCACGAGGCACCGAAGTTCGATCTGGATCTGGATGGAAAGGAGTTCCGCGTGAAAGCCGGAGAACCACTCGTCATCACCATTCCATACACTGCTTCGCCACAACCAGACATCTCGTGGACGAGAGAAGGAGGCAAGCCGTTGGTCGGAGTGGAAACCACAGACTCTCAGACCAAGTTGGTCATCCCAGCGACGAGGAGAACAGATTCCGGACCAATCAAGATCAAGGCGGTTAACCCGTACGGAGAGGCCGAAGCCAACATCAAGATCACGGTTGTGGATCGTCCGGGGCCACCGGAGAACATCACCTATCCAGCCGTGAGCAGACACACTTGCACACTCAACTGGGATGCGCCGAAGGACGATGGAGGTGCCGAGATTGCCGGATACAGAATCGAGTACCAGGAGGTCGGATCGCAAATCTGGGATAAGGTTCCGGGACTAATTTCCGGAAACAGCTACACTGTTCGTGGATTGGAGCACGGCCAGCAGTACAGATTCAGAATTCGTGCTGAGAACGTCGTCGGGCTGTCCGATCACTGCCAGGGAGCACCAGTTGTCATCAAGGATCCATTCGACCCACCAGGTGCTCCAAGCACTCCAGACATCACTGGCTACGATACCAACCAAGTTTCGCTTGCTTGGAATCCGCCAAGAGAGGACGGAGGATCTCCGATTATCGGATACGTCGTTGAGAGATTCGAGAAGAGAGGAGGAGGCGACTGGGCTCCAGTCAAGATGCCGATGGTCAAGGGAACCGAATGCATTGTGCCAGGACTTCACGAGAATGAGACTTATCAGTTCCGTGTCCGTGCTGTCAATGCTGCCGGACAAGGAGAGCCTAGCAACGGAACCGAGCCAGTTACCTGCCGTCCGTACGTCGAGAAGCCGGGACCTCCAGATGCTCCGAGAGTCGGAAAGATCACAAAGAACTCTGCGGAACTCACTTGGAACAGACCCTTGAGAGACGGTGGCGCTCCCATTGATGGCTACATCATCGAGAAGAAGAAGCTGGGAGACAACGACTGGACGAAATGCAACGATAAGCCAGTGCGCGATACCGCGTTTGAAGTGAAGAACCTCGGAGAGAAGGAGGAGTACGAGTTCCGCGTGATTGCCGTCAACAGTGCCGGAGAAGGAGAACCATCGAAGCCTTCCGATTTAGTGCTCATTGAAGAGCAACCGGGTCGCCCGATCTTCGACATCACTTCGCTCAAGGACATCACTGTTCGTGCTGGAGAAACCATCCAAATCCGCATCCCATACGCTGGTGGAAACCCGAAACCAATCATCGACGTCTTCAATGGGAACTCTCCGATCTTCGAGAACGAAAGAACTGTGGTCGATGTGAATCCGGGAGAGATCGTAATCACCACAACTGGATCGAAGAGAACCGATGCAGGACCGTACAAGATCTCCGCCACCAACAAGTACGGCAAGGACACTTGCAAGCTCAACGTGTTCGTTCTTGATGCTCCTGGCAAACCAACAGGCCCGATCCGTGCCACAGACATCCAGGCAGACGCCATGACCCTTTCGTGGAAACCGCCAAAAGACAATGGAGGAGATGAGATCACCAACTACGTCGTCGAGAAAAGAACTTCGGGAGGAGACTGGGTCACGGTCGGACATCCGGTCGGAACTTCCGTCCGTGTACGCAACTTGGACGCCAACACCCCGTACGAATTCCGTGTTCGTGCTGAGAACCAGTACGGAATCGGAGAGCCACTTGAGACTGACGATGCTATCGTTGCCAAGAATCCGTTCGACACTCCAGGAGCGCCAGGACAACCAGAAGCTCTCGAGACTTCTGAGGAGGCCATCACGCTCCAATGGACTAGACCTACTTCCGATGGAGGAGCTCCAATTCAAGGATACGTCATCGAGAAGAGAGAAGTCGGAACCAGCGAATGGTCAAAGGCCGCATTTGGAAACATCCTTGACACCAAACACCGTGTCACCGGACTTACTCCAAAGAAGACGTACGAGTTCAGAGTGGCCGCGTACAATGCTGCCGGACAAGGAGAGTACAGCGTTAACTCGGTGCCAATCACCGCCGACAGTGCTCCAACCAGACCGAAGATCAACATGGGAATGCTCACCAGAGACATCCTCGCTTACGCCGGAGAACGTGCGAAGATCCTTGTTCCGTTTGCAGCGTCGCCAGCTCCAAAGGTCACTTTCTCTAAAGGAGAGAACAAGATCAGCCCAACTGATCCGAGAGTCAAGGTGGAATACAACGATTTCCTTGCCTCGTTGACCATCGAGAAATCCGAACTGACCGACGGAGGCTTGTACTTTGTTGAGTTGGAGAACAGCCAAGGAAGCGATTCCGCCAGCATTCGCCTGAAGGTCGTCGACAAGCCCGCCCCGCCACAGCACATCAGAGTGGAGGACATTGCTCCGGACTGCTGCACCCTCTACTGGATGCCACCGACTTCTGATGGAGGATCGCCGATCACCAACTACATTGTCGAAAAGTTGGATCTCCGTCATTCGGATGGAAAGTGGGAGAAGGTATCTTCCTTCGTTCGCAATCTGTCCTACACTGTCGGAGGACTCATCAAGGATAACCGCTACCGCTTCCGTGTTCGTGCCGAGACCCAATATGGAGTTTCTGAGCCATGCGAGCTTACCGAAGTCGTTGTTGCCAAGTATCAGTTCGAAGTTCCCCACCAGCCGGAAGCCCCAACTGTCCGCGACGTTGACTCGACGTGGGCCGATCTGGAATGGGAGGCTCCGAGGGACGGAGGATCAAAGATCATTGGATATCAAGTGCAGTACAGAGACACTTCTTCCGGAAGATGGATCAATGCCAAGATGGATCTTGTCGAAGCAACGCATGCCCGTGTCTCAGGACTCCGTCAAAATGGAGAGTTCGAATTCAGAATCATCGCCAAGAACGCCGCCGGATTCTCGAAGCCGTCGCCTCCATCCGAGAGATGCCAACTCAAGTCTCGTTTCGGACCACCCGGACCACCAATTCAAGTGGGAGCCAAGTCAATCGGACGCAATCACTGCACGATCACCTGGGTCGCTCCACTGGAAGACGGAGGATCCAAGATCACCGGATACAACGTGGAAATGCGGGAATACGGTAGCACTCTGTGGGCGACTGTCAGCGATTACAACGTGCGCGAGCCGGAGTTCACTGTTGACAAGCTCAAGGAGTTCAACGATTACGAGTTCCGTGTGGTTGCCATCAACGCCGCCGGAAAGGGAATTCCCTCTCTTCCGTCTGGACCAATCAAGATTCAGGAATCTGGAGGCTCCCGCCCACAGATCGTCGTCAAGCCAGAGGACACTGCTCAGCCGTACAACAGAAGAGCCGTGTTTGTTTGCGAAGCTGTCGGCCGACCAGAACCCACCGCCAGATGGCTCAGAAACGGAAGAGAACTCCCGGAGAGCAGCAGATACCGCTTCGAATCCAGCGACGGAGTCTACAAGTTCACCATCAAGGAAGTGTGGGATATCGACGCCGGAGAGTACACCGTTGAAGTGTTCAACTCTTACGGAAGCGACACCGCCACGGCGAGACTCATCGTGCAGGCGCCACCAGTCATCGAGAAAGACGTTCCGAACACGATTCTTCCGAGCGGCGATCTTGTCCGTTTGAAGATTTACTTCTCCGGAACTGCTCCGTTCCGTCACAGTTTGGTGCTGAACAAGGAGGAGATTGACATGGACCATCCGACGATCCGAACTGTTGAATTCGACGATCACATCCTGATCACCATCACTTCGTTGTCAGTCAGAGAAGCTGGACGATACGAGTACACCGTGTCCAACGATTCGGGAGATGCTACTACCGGATTCTGGCTGAACGTGACCGGACTACCAGAAGCACCGCAAGGCCCTCTTCACATCAGCAACATCGGCCCAAGCACTGCCACTTTGTCTTGGAGGCCACCAGTCACTGACGGAGGATCGAAGATCACCAACTACGTCGTCGAGAAGAGAGATTTGTCGAAGGACGATTGGACTATTGTTTCTTCGAACGTGAAAGACATGAACTACATCGTGACTGGACTGTTCGAGAACCACGAATACGAGTTCAGAGTGTCCGCTCAGAATGAGAACGGACAGGGAGCTCCTCTTGTCAGCGAGCATCCGATTGTTGCCCGTCTTCCGTTCGACCCACCAACCTCTCCAATCAACCTTGAAATCGTTCAAGTCGGAGGCGACTACGTCACTCTTTCGTGGCAACGTCCATCTTCCGACGGAGGAGGTCGTCTGCGTGGATACATCATCGAGAAGCAAGAGGAAGGACACGAAGAATGGTTCAGATGCAATCAAAATCCATCTCCGCCCAACACCTACAACGTTCCTAACCTCATCGATGGACGAAAGTACAGATACCGCGTGTTCGCTGTTAACGATGCCGGATTTTCGGACCCAGCAGAATTGGACCAGACCTTGTTCAAGGCTTCTGGAGCGGGAGAGGCACCAAAGATCGTGACTCCGTTGAAGGAACTGAACGAGGAAGTCGGCAGATCTGTCACCTTCGAATGCACAATCAGCGGATCTCCAAGACCGGAATACAGATGGTTCAAGGGATGCAAGGAGCTCGTCGACACAAGCAAATACACCCTCATCAACAAGGGAGACAAGCAGGTGCTCATCATCAACGACCTCACTTCGGAAGACGCCGACGAGTACACGTGCAGAGCCACCAACTCTTCCGGAACTCGCAGCACCAGAGCCAATCTGCGCATCAAGACCAAGCCACGTGTCTTCATTCCACCGAAGTATCACGGAGGATACGAGGCTCAGAAGAACGAGACGGTCGAGCTGAAGATTCCGTACAAGGCGTACCCGCAGGGAGAATCCAGATGGACGAAGGACGGCGAAAAGATCGAGAACAACAGCAAATACAGCATCACAACTGATGACAAGTTCGCCACTTTGAGAATCTCGAATGCTACCCGCGAAGACTTCGGAGAGTACCGTGTTGTCGTTGAGAATTCGGTTGGATCTGATTCCGGAATCGTGAATGTCACCGTCGCTGATGTGCCAGAGCCACCGAGATTCCCGATCATCGAAAACATCCTCGATGAAGCCATCATCTTGTCTTGGAAGCCACCAGCACTCGACGGAGGATCTCTGGTCACAAGTTACCTCATCGAGAAGAGAGAAGCCAATGGAGGATCGTGGTCGCCGTGTGCCAAGAGCAGATACACCTACACGACCATCGAAGGACTCCGCTCCGGAAAGCAGTACGAGTTCAGAATCACTGCCGAGAACAAGAACGGAGTGTCGAAGCCTTGCGAGCCAACTGCTCCAGTTTTGATTCCAGGAGATGAACGCAAACGCAGACGTGGATACGGAGTGGACGATCAAGGAAAAATCGTGCGTGGAAAGGGACCAGTCTCTTCCAACTACGACAACTACGTATTCGATATCTGGAAGCAGTACTACCCGCAGCCAGTTGAGATCAAGCACGACCACGTTCTCGACCACTACGATATCCACGAAGAGCTCGGAACCGGGGCGTTCGGAGTGGTTCACAGAGTCACCGAGAGAGCCACTGGCAACAACTTCGCCGCCAAATTCGTCATGACTCCTCATGAAGCGGACAAGGAGACCGTCCGGAAGGAAATTCAGACCATGTCAGTGCTCCGACACCCCAAGCTCGTCAACTTGCACGATGCATTCGAAGACGACAATGAAATGGTGATGATCTACGAATTCATGAGCGGAGGAGAACTGTTCGAGAAGGTCGCCGATGAGCACAACAAAATGACAGAGGACGAGGCGGTCGAGTACACGAGACAAGTGTGCAAGGCCCTTTGCCACATGCATGAGATGAACTACGTGCATTTGGATTTGAAGCCAGAAAACATCATGTTCACGACGAAGAGAAGCAATGAGCTGAAGTTGATCGACTTCGGACTGGCCGCCCATCTCGACCCGAAGCAGTCTGTCAAGGTCACCACCGGGACAGCCGAGTTCGCCGCTCCAGAAGTTGCCGAGGGCAATCCAGTCGGTTATTACACCGATATGTGGAGCGTCGGAGTCCTCTCTTACATTCTTCTCTCCGGACTCTCGCCATTCGGCGGAGAGAACGATGACGACACCTTGAGGAATGTGAAGGTAAGTGCGCAGTCGTACAGCAAGAGAAGCAATGACGGATATTTTCAGAGCTGTGACTGGAATATGGACGATTCGGCCTTTTCGAGCATTTCCGATGACGCCAAGGATTTCATCCGCAAGCTTCTTCTTGCAGATCCGAACAGCAGAATGACCATCCATCAGGCATTGGAACATCCTTGGCTTTCATCCGGAAACGTCCCAGGACGTGATTCCCAAATTCCAAGCAGCAGATACACAAAGATCCGCGACTCGATCAAATCGAAGTATGACGCCTGGCCAGAACCACTGCCGCCACTCGGACGAATCTCGAACTATTCGTCGCTCAGAAAGCACAGACCACAAGAATACTCGATCCGTGACGCCTTCTGGGACAGATCTGAAGCCCAGCCACGATTCATCATCAAGCCTTACGGAACCGAAGTTGCCGAGGGACAATCCGCCAACTTCTACTGCCGAGTCATCGCCTCTTCCCCACCAGTTGTTACCTGGCACAAGGAAGACAGAGAATTGAAGCAGAGTGTGAAGTACATGAAGAGGTACAATGGCAACGACTACGGATTGACGATCAACCGCGTGAAGGGAGACGACAAGGGAGAGTACACCGTGCGAGCGAAGAATTCGTACGGAACGAAGGAAGAGATCGTCTTCCTGAACGTCACCCGCCACTCGGAACCACTCAAGTTCGAGCCTTTGGAACCGATGAAGAGAGCTCCGAGCCCACCGAAGGTCGAAGAGTTCAAGGAGAAGAGATCTGCTCCGAAATTCACTTTCCATCTGAGAAACCGTTTGATCCAGAAGAACCACCAATGCAAACTGACCTGCTCTCTCCAAGGAAACCCAAATCCGAAGATCGAATGGATGAAGGACGGATACCCGGTCGACCAGGACCGCGTGCAAGTCTCTTTCCGCAGCGGAGTCTGCTCTTTGGAGATCTTCAACGCACGTGTCGACGACGCCGGAACGTACACAGTCACAGCCACCAACGAACTCGGAACTGATGTGTCCGAGTGCGTGCTGACAGTGCAAACGAAAGGAGGAGAGCCGATTCCAAGGATTTCCTCTTTCCGACCAAGAAGAGCCTACGATACTCTGTCCACTGGAGCCGATGTCGAAAGATCTCACTCGTACGCGGACATGAGAAGAAGATCGCTGATTCGGGACGTGTCACCAGATGTTCGATCGGCCGCCGATGACCTCAAAACGAAGATCACCAACGAATTGCCGTCTTTCACTATTCAGCTTTCCGATGCGGAGACTGAAGTTGGCGGATCTGTCGAGTTCGCCGCAGAGGTCTCCGGACAGCCAGAGCCACTCATCGAATGGCTTTACAACGGAGAAAGAGTCTCCGCCACTGACTACCGACTCCGTTCCTCGTTCGTCGGAGGAAGAGCCACGTTGCGAATCAGCGACGTGAAGAAATCCGACGAAGGACAATATCTGTGCCGTGCATCCAACTCGGCCGGACAAGAACAGACGAGAGCCTCTTTGACAGTGAAAGGAGAGCAACTGGTCAACGGACACATGGAGAAGGAGGAAAACGAGCTTCGTGTGGCCAGACACCTGGCAGGACAGCTCGTGAACTCGGGAGAAGCCGTCACATTCGAGGCAAGAGTTGAAGGAACGCCCGAAGAAGTTTTGTGGATGAGAAATGGGCAAGAGGTGAGTGCAGAGAACATAACTGGAGTAGAAAACGAGAGGAAGTTTCAGCTGACTGACGGAGAGAAGACGAGCATCAGCCAGGACGGAGACACTCTTTCTCTGACGGTCAACTCGGCGGACGCTTCTGACGCGGGACACTATCAACTGGAGGTCCGTTCCAAAGGAACCAACCTCGTCTCCGTGGCTTCTCTCGTCGTCGTCGGAGAAAAGGCCGAGCCGCCAGTCACCAGGCTTCCGGCCTCGGTATCCGCTCCGCTCGGTGGCTCCACTGCGTTCACCGTCGAATTCGAGAACACAGATGGTAGGATATATTGTGGAACCCTCTAAAAGACAATCAATTTCAGGTCTGACAGTGCAATGGTTCCGCGGATCGGAAAAAATTGAAAAGAACGAACGGGTCAAATCGGTCAAGTCCGGAAACACCTTCAAGCTGGACATCAAGGTACCGATTCCCAGCCCCGTCCGATCGCATTTCCTCTTTGTTTCAGAACGTCGAGCAGGACGACGATGGCATTTACGTCGCCAAAGTGGTAAAGGAGAAGAAGGCGATTGCCAAGTACGCGGCGGCGCTTCTCCTCATTTAAGTCGGCCGCTGCTCCTCACGAGCCCATCTATTTGTACCTATTTCCTGTAGTCGTCTTCTAGCCGCCTCTCTTTCTCTATTTCGCCCTTTTCCGTAACGTTTTCTCCTTTCGCCACACTTCTTTCGCCATCCATATTCGTGTTATTTTCCCTGTTTCATGAAAGTAATAATTAACCCGGCCATTTCATGCATTTTCTGCAATTAAGTTTTCTACGCTTTCTTCTGTCTCTACCTTTTTAAACTGTTTTTTTCTGCTGCAAAGACACATCAAAACTCGCCCCGTTTCTTTTGTAATTTCCAAACGTTTTCAGCCGATTCAGACGTGAAAACTCAATGATTCCAGTCACATTTAAATTTTTTTTTCTCCTTTTTTCTTTTCATTTTCCACCGATTTCACAAGAATTGGGACGCTTGTGTCTGAAAGTGGAATCCCCTCCGCCCTTCTTTTCCTTCCTTTTCCGGTTTTTCAGTTTGGGACTCTGAATTTCCGTCATTTCCATTGTTTAGGTATCAATTTTTCAGTTGGAAGGAATGCGCCGAATTCGGGACAAATTCGTGCGCATTTCCGTCCATTTCCGAGTGTTTCTATGATAGCTTTAGTGCTTTAGTTCTCTCCACATATCTCTTTCCATTGTATTCTCTTTGAAATGTGACTGGAATCCTATCCAAAATTCACGTCATTCTTCTGCTGAATTCGTTCCTCTTCCCTAAAAAAAATCTGTAAATCTTTCTTCTAGTCAACCTGAGGTGCTTTTTTTTCTCTATTTTCTCTGGAATTAATTCAAGTGTTGTTCTATCTAAATGTCTTTTTTAATATCTATAAACGAAACCGTATCACGAAACGTATATCGGGCGGTCCAACATAATAGAACTGGGCAGAATAGAACCGCGACATAATAGAACTGCGACATAATAGAACTGGGCAGAATAGAACCGCGACATAATAGAACTGCGACATAATAGAACTGGGCAGAATAGAACTGTTTTTTGTTTTTATCAGACTTGCCAGATTTCGGGCCGGCCATGCGGGCCGGCCCGGGTCGGCAGGCCGGGCCGGGCCGGGCCGGTAAAGTGCCGGCCCGGGCCGGGCCAGGGTCGGTAAAGTGCCGGCCCGGCCCGGCCCGGTCGGCCCGGTTCAAAAGGCGGGAATTCAAATTTTTCGAGGAAATTTTTTTCGTTATTACAAAAAAATTTTTCGAACTAAAAGTTTTAGTGTTTCTTCTTTGTTTTTTTGCTATTATGAATTTTTTTATGAGAAATACATTTGTTTTTTTCAATGTTCGATGCTTGCAAAAAAACCCCTAATTCTACAAAAAAATGGCTTCATGCGATCAATAATTCAAATTTTGAATTCCCGCTTTTTTTGAACCGGGCCGACCGGGCCGGGCCGGGTCGGGCCGGGCCGGGCCGGGCCGGGCCGGGCCGACGGGCCGGGCCGGGCCGGAGTTTTGGAAATTTCGGCCCGGCCCGGCCCGGCCCGGCCCGGCCCGTGGCAACTATGGTTTTTATATGAGCATTTTGTCCGTTCCTTTCAATTAACTTTCGCGAAATTGTTCGTCTCTCGAACAATTAAGCAGAAGACCACAGTTTATACTTAGAAAATTGGTTTCCTTTCGTTTTTGATAGTACAATAAAGTACGTCATCTTCAAACCGTAAACCCTCCATCCATTCTTTCGCCGTTTTCTTGCTCTTTCATTTTTCGTTTAAGCTTTTAGGAGGAGGGTCATACCGGATACGTGGTTCTATTTCTCCTTAAATGTGTTAATCAAAGTTCTTCTTTTCTTCCGTCCCTAACAATGTAACACATTATTTCCGTAGTACGAAACGAATGACTTAAATATTCCTTTATTCTGTATTAAAGCGAAATGGTAAAGTGGATAATGGTACACAAAATAATGTCGAGTATACGAAGGGGAACAGTGACCGCATTTCGGTCATACCTGCGAATGAAAATGTGAAATTTTGAAAAACATGCTGATTGTGAGAAGTGGATACATAAAAAATGGCAATGTCTGTTGGACAGAAAAGGAATGGTAAAAAATATATCGAAATACATGAGGAATAACTACCCCGCGACCGTTCTCAATTGCTCAGGAATGAATGTGAAAATATTAGGCGATCGAAGTTATCAGATCCGTTTTTGGCTCCTTGTCCTCACTGATTCCCTTCAGTTCGTTGAGAATCACGTGAATCTCTCGACCACTTGTTTCAGGAAGGCACATCAAAAGATAGACGATTGCGAGTGAGGATGGGACGGCGAAAAGAAGCACGAAGGAGAACGCGCCGATCATCATGAAGAGAGGAATTGCCGAGAAGTTTGTGACAACAACCAGACAGCTGTGGATCGAATAGACCAGACAGAACATCATGGATCGGTTCGCTTGCGGAGACAGCTCCGGTGGGATCGACCAGATGACGGGACCAACTCCGATTCTAAACAATTAGGATGAGCACTAGGAAGGCAGAATGATCGTGTACCCATAGGCCATGACGAATCCAAAGCACGCTCCCATTGCAACTGTCTGCTGATGCAACTGCTCGGCAATGGCAAAGATACTCAAGAAGAGCACAGTGCACGAGCCGCACGTGAGAAGGAGGATTCTTCGGCGAACTTTGTCGATGATCAGAGTGGAGCAGACCGAGGATGCCGTCAGAACAACCATCATCAGACTAGAAGCCATTTGCGAGGTCTTACTAAAAAGAAAACGTTGAATGTGTGAATAGTTACGAATAAACTCACATATCGACGCCCATGTCGGTGAAGAAGAAAGTGCTGCTCTGAAGAATCGGGTAGAAGGGAAGAGTGAGGACGGCTGCGGCCACAGAGAGCAGCATCGCTTTCCGAAGGTGCGGAGTCGTGACGATGTGCATGACCGAAGTTCCAGTCTCATCCACCTTCTCCTCATTGTTGTTGTTGTTCGCCGTTTCGTCCTTCTGGTGCTGCTCCATCGAATCAACGAGCAGTGCCTGATCGGGAAGCTCTCCTTGGAAAAATTGAAGCGACTTCAAAGCGGCGATCTTATCCTTCTTGACTAGCAACAGGAACTTGGGAGTATCCGGCATCCAAAGAATGAATGCAGTCGAAAGGATTCCAGGGATGACGGGCACGAAGAGAAGCACGGAAAGGGAATGCCCGAGCAGAGACTCGTGGCCAAGAAGCATGCCCAGCAGACACATCGTCGAATATCCGGTCGAATAAAGAGAGGACATCGTTCCACGCAGCGAAGCCGGAGAGATTTCCTAAAAAAAGAGAGCACGTTTAAAAAATGAAGGTTAGATGAGTGTACCTGAAGGTAAAGAATCAGGGCGGCGTCACTGAGTGGAGAGAAAACGGCGGCGATGAGACGGCCAGCGATCAGAACTTCCGAGTAGGGCGTGAAACTGGCGAGCATCTGCATGGCTCCAGCAACCGTCATGAAGGCGATCGAGAGTGCGAATGCCACTTTTCGGCCGTAGGTGTCGCAGAGGAACGGACTGCACATTGCTCCGAGCACTTGGAAGAGATACCAGGCCGAATTGATGCCAGACTTGAGAAGAGAGACTTCCTCATGGTCTAGGGGACGGTATCGTTCGGTGAACGAGTTGTTTAAGTACTCATTGAGCTTATGGACAGCCGTGTTTACGGAGGTGTGCGAGAATCCTGAACAAGTAACAGCTTAAAAGAAAAATCGCATAGAGTGTACCTGATGGGAAGTTGGTCATAGCAGTGAGAAGGGAACAGATAAGGAACAAGCGAACTCCATTCCAAGATAGAAGTGACGGATCGGAAGGCATTCCTGGCAAAGTAGGGTAGAGAAAGGTCGCGGGGTAGTTAGTCGGTGAAGCTGGGGCTCCAGTGGAGGTTTGTGATGGGTCGTCGGCAGATTTTCGTTTGGGCTAAGCCACAAACACTGCCTCTGTAGGAGACTATTCTTCTGCCGTGTGTTTTGGGTTTGTTCCGTTTGAGAGTTGAGCGGGCGAGACAGGAAAGGCTCTGAAAGTGTACAGTTAGTCATGAGTCACCGAGAGAAATGAATAGAAAAGGTGGAAGAAACGAGTACAAATGTCCGGCTGGACTGGTCGGAGTGAACCAAGTAAAGTGACGACAATGGCAGAAGAGACGAGAAGAGTAGGGGTGGTCCGGTGGACAAGGCAAGACAAGACGGTTGGCCCCGCCCACCACGTGGTGGTCTTGGTGACTGCGCGTAGACGAATGCGGAGAATACGCGGAAAGACGCAACGTCGCCTCCAGCACGTACACACTAAACGGGCAAATGTACCCGGGTTGTACCGAAGAAGGGCAAAATTTGATAATTAAAATTATTACGAGAAGATGCGGATACTATGATAGGAACGTGATGATGTGTCTGCGGGGTCGGGAACCTCGCAGACAATGAACAAACGGATAGCCTTATACGGTTCGGCACACAGACAATATTCAAATCCAAGTACGTTCTTATCTAAATACGAGATAAGATAACTTTTAAATAAATATTGAGGACCATACATTATTGACACTCATCATTCTGAAATATGATGCCACATGAATGGTCTGTCGATGAAAAAATAGACAATAGCACGGAAATACCGTCTACGAGCCCGAACGGAGACACTATGCTCATTTGAGTCGTTTATGCTATGAGGCTATGAGAAATGAAGGGCAATGAGAGCCAAAGCTAACATGATCACTTGACGATTTTCAAAAATCAGTTCCCAATAGAAGGAGCTCAACAGGATAATATTTGTTTTACGGTTAGTAAGACCGTCTCGAAATGTTTACCGCACGGGGGAATACCCTTTTCACAGACTTGATCAAAACACTGAATGATGTTATCACAACGACGGCTGATTGTGTACGGGCGGCTACGAAGGACGATGTGTGTAAGAATTCAGAAAATGCGCATTTGCATATTTGATCTTATTGGAATTTTGAATTTTCGATGTTGATTTTTGTGGTTCGTGTCGGCGGGGAAGCCTTTGCGATCGTTGAAGAATTTCTAGCTGGTCTCATTCGACGACATCATAAACTTGAGAAGCAGAAGACAACGGGAACAATTGATTCGGGAACTTTCTCGAATCTTCGATGTCTTATCACTCAAAGGGGGTTCCCCCGTCGTTTACGGGGGCTTTTTTACAGCAAACCTGAATTCTGAAGCGATGTAATTATGATGAGCGTATAAATAATTGAATCTTTGATTCATGAATTGCGATTTGTCACAGAAAAAGACACATCCTGCTAGGAAAAAGGAAAACGGAAACAAAAATCAGCACAGCAGCGTTCGCTAAATCCTTTGAAATTTGGTGGTTAGCGCCGAGTTTATAAGAATCGTTGCGAGACTCAAACGAGAAAGAGTAAAGCGCCTTTAAGAAAACAGTCATCTATAGACGTAAGTGAGTTTGAAGAAAAACATTATTCAGGAACGATTCAGATGGAATTAAAGTTTCTTGTAAAAAAAATTATCTTCCCCAAAAATCGGGACAATTTATGTTCGCGTGCTGCACTACACGTAAATGATCCAAGTAAATCAGCCAAAAACGCGCTTTTCTTAATCAGTTTTTCTATTATAAAAAGTCCGTGAAGCGATGAAACGAATAAAAGGAAAAAAAATCGATCAAATATTTGAACGGTGCCTGCTGAATAATTGGGTCAGTTTCTTCTCCGAACGTTTCCACAAAGCATCCATGCTTTCAGTCCGAATATCTTTTCTCCGTCATCAATCTCTGCGTAGGACTCGGAAACTTCATGTACTTTCCAGCCAAAGTTTACGAATATCGAGGCGGAGCCTATCTTGTTGCCTATGGATTCATGCTCGCAATGATCGGTCTTCCCCTCCTTTATCTCGAACTGATTCTCGGTCAGTTCCATCGCTGTTCTTCGCTGATTTTCATGAGGAGATGTGCCCCAATTCTGCAAGGATTCGGCTGGATGTCGGTCACTTCCGCTTTCCTTCTCCTCTACACCTATCAGTATTCTGTCGCTCGGGCGTTCAAATTCCTCGTCTCACTGTCTCGTTCTCACTCACAAAGTATGCCCTGGACGTCATGTGGCAACGCGTGGAATGATGAGAGTTCGTTTGAGAAGGATTCTGGATACCTATGTTTATGTTTCAGAATGCTATGAATTCTACACCGAAAACTGTCCTGCGCCCAAAATTGCTCACATTCTCTATCAGAAACAGTGTGTGAATGAGTCGAGGCTGATTCCGATCATGGTCGAATCGGCGGAAGAGCAGTATCTTCAGTATGGAAAGACTTTGGAACAAACTAAACTTCAAATTTAACTTCAGGAACGTGGTTCATAAAATCGGACCTGTCCAGTTGTCCTTTTCCAATTTCGACTGGGGAATGTTCTATTCCCTTCTTATACTATGGCTCACAATCGCCTTCGTTCAGAATCGGACACGCTCCAAAGCCACTGTCCTCATCTACGTGAGATCCGTTCCGATTTCCTTAAGTTGCCTTTTCTTCAGATTCCGACTCTCTTCGTCTTCCTCGTCTGCCCTTTCCTTCTGGTAAGGGCTCTCCACTTGGACGGAGCAAGCAGTGGGGTAAATGAGATGTTCACGGTCAAATGGACCGAGTTGCTGCAAAGTAAAGTGTGGCTGGATGCTCTCGCAAATGTGCTCACTTCTCTGAGCCTTGGAATGGGCGCCCACACAATCATCGGATCGTTCGGTCCTCCACGAGCAAACACTTTCAAAGTTCTAGACTTCTCCATATTCGAGAATCCATTCTCTCTTTTCTCAGATTGCCACGATCGCTATGATCGTCGACACCAGCCTGAGTTTGATTGTCACTGCAACTCTCTACTCTATTCTCGGATACATGAAAACGAAAATCGGACGGGAATCCATTTACGAGATCATGTTCATTCCTTCAGGTTCCGGCCACCTTAGTCTGTTCATCTTCATTCTTGCCAGGAAACCTTCTGACCCACTCCACGTTCCCAGTCCTTCTCCGTCAAGTTGCCAACAACGCTTGGATGTGGATTTTCCTCTATTACTCAGTTCTCGTGATCGTTGGATGGAAGACGTGTGCCCGTAAAAACAGTTTTCACAATTCAAACCATTCCTTCTGTTTCAGTGATAATCAAGGTCTTTGTTGCTCTAATAGCTGACGCATTTCGCATTTCCATCAGACGGCACATGTATAATATCATTTTCATGGCCGTCTGCACTTTTCTTTCCGTTTCCGGAGTTATACTTTGCCTGGATGTATGCTGAAATGTATGATCGCACATGCTCATTTTCAACTGCTCAGACTGGCCCTCACTTCATCGAACTGCTTCAGGATCTTCAGAAAGTGCTCTCCGGCGCGTTTATCATTGGCCTACTGATTGCTGTCGTCGATATTTACGGACTGACCACCATCTACGGAGACATTCACATTCTAATGGGTCGTCCGTCTCCGGAGCAGTGGAGCAAAGTGTACACGTGGAGAATGTGGGGATGGAGATGGAAGATGGCTCCCGCGTTCGCACTTCTCCACATATTAACAGCGTTCTTCCCGAAAAGTTCAGAAAAAGGGATCTCTTTCGAAGTAGTGGACACGGTTAACCTTTTCTTTCAATGTCATTTTCCTAATTGCAACTTCCAGGGAATCCCAATTTTCCTCGCTCTTTTCTTTATTGTTGCCCATGTCGGCCCTGCTCTTTTCAAAGGATTATACAAAACAGAAGAGTACATGAAGAAACACGAGAAGCATGTATGAAACGTCCGAAAGGATCAGAGAATTGATGAATCGCGCAATTACAGAAGACGTTCAATTCATCCTATTTCTTTCGCACTCAACGTCATCTTCGTTCGTGGGATCGAATTGAAAAACAGATGAGCGCTGAGAAAAAGGAATGGAATCAGGTGGGGAGGGGTCACATGTCCTCTCAATCTTGATTGGTTCAGAAACATCTTCCCGAGAACGATCCAGAAGATCCGGATGGAATCTGGGTGGAATTCTACAAGTCTTTTCAGGAAAAACATTATCCCCCTGATAAGTCGGAAGGAAAGAAAGATTCAAAGTCGACAGAGAAGAAGAAGGAAAAGTCGAAGAAGAACTCAGCGAAAGAGAACTCGCTCAACTTTGATGTAGGTCATCCACAGGTACAGAAATCTTTATTTGAGCTTTTTGGCAGACATATCACGATTATAAGGAGAAGAGTGAGAAGAAAAGAAAGCGAAGCAGAAGCAGAAGAAGAGGAAATAGTTATTCTGATTAATATAAGTCTTCACGGGATTGTCCCTTGTTTGTTTGTTTGTTTGTTCGTTTATTTCTCCGCCAATCGGATTACTTCCTGTCTCCTCATTTTCTTTGACACTTATTTTTTTTGAGTCCATATTATTTTGCTCAGAATGAGCTGATTAACTCTTGCGCAAGATCTTGATAAACAAGGATATGTGCGGAGAAGTTTAAGAATTTGTGTAAGCTGGAATTCCATGCGTCACACGATAAAAGGGCCGTCCATCCACTGGAGCTTTTCCTCTACATGATGAAATCCGGGTGTGTGCACGTGAAATGCACATGGAAAAGCTCCTTCTTGGTGTGCCTGCGTCTCTGCTCGCATCCATTCTCTCATCCGCCGTCTTTTTCCTTCTTTTTTTCTCACTTCCATTTTGTCTGAACAACCAACTCTTGCAAGAGTTTTAAATGTTCTTTTTATTGCAAAGCCACAGCAATTTTGAATCGAAACATTTTTTTCTCAGTTTTATACATTTTTTTCCAGAGCAAGCAGAGTATGCAAAAACGGGCTGGGAACACACATTGTCCAGCCCAGATTCTTTCAAAGCATTCATTTGAATTTCCGCGGCTCTCACTGTCCGCCCGCGACTTGTCGCCGACCTTTGGAGTGCCGTAATGTCGCCCGGTTTAGCAGAAAGTGGTATTTGCTTGCAGCACGCTTCTATTGCCTTCTCGAGGCTTGTCAGAAACCTCGCCCATAGTTGGATACATAAGAACACTTGGCACGAGAACAAGAGTCGCAAATGTTCAGATTGCTGGAATGGGGGGGATGCAATCTGGACATTTCCGACTTTACCGCGACTGTTAGAGGTTTTTAGGTTGCCCTAAGTGTCTTCATTACTTCTATGGGCTATGATCTTCTAGTTGTGTTTTTTTCTCGGATACTGGGAAGATCAGCATCGCCAACCGAGCGGAGCCACTTGCGTGCGATCCGCCCGCGTCGCCAGACTTCTGATGCATTCTCCAGGCTTCTCAGAAACCTCGCCCATCAGAATCTCTCGACGTTTCCCCCGGATGCTGGAAGAGCAGGATCTCCAGCATCAATTTCACTACATTTTCGAAAACTAAAGGGATTTTCCTGTAAGGAAGCAAAGTAAATGTGATATGGTCCATCCTTTGCGCCCCCCATATCATATGGATTCCAAAAATGTATTCTCGAATCTGTAAAATGGCACTTTTACTTCTTCCTGTGCTTTTAAGCTTTTTTACTTTTATTCTCTTCTGATCTTCAACAAATTCATTGGCAAATTCTGAAAATGCCGCTTTCCGCTAAACCGGGCGACTTTACGACACTCCAAAGGTCGGCGACGAGTCGCCGGCGGCCAGTGAGTTTCGTGAAATCGCAAAAAATTGTTTTCCGCTTGCGCTTCTTCGCACAACGAGAATCTCAGCGCACCGGAGAAACTGTTCATCACATAAACTGAAAAACAAACTTCGTTTTAATTGTTTACACTGTTTCTTTATCGATTTCCCACATAACTGTCTCGTTAGAATCGGTGCACGTGACTTTCTGCCTGAAATACTCTGTTCAAAACCAAGTTCTTCGTTTTCAGTTTTTGCTGCGAACATGACTGTTTTTCATGCTAATTTGAACCTCAATCTGTTTCTTTTTTTCAGAAAATGCCAGTAACCAACCGCAGAATTTCGTTAGGCTCGCCGAAAGACCTTCGCGAGGTCAAATTCTTTGACGAGGAGCCGATTCCGGACGTTCCGCTGAAAGGAGCCCGCGTCAAAGTGTGCTACGCGGGAGTGTGCCTTACCGATCGGGAAGTGTCGAATACCAAGCAGGCGAGAATCACCAATGGAATCAAGGACACTAGTCTGTTCCCAGGTAAATCTTAACTTAAAAGTTGCTCTACTTCCCAAATAAAACATCTTTAGGATATGAAGTGTCTGGAATTGTGGAGTCTTTCGGATCTGAGTGCTCTCCAGGTGACTATGATCTGCACATCGGAGACAAAGTGATTGTGTGGCCCACTGACGAGATGTGCAGCCACGGATACGCCGATTACGTTGCCGTCCCAACTCTCCATTTCCTCGTCAAAATCCCGGAGACCCTTTCGATGCACGTTGCTTCGATTCTGCCAGCCGGAGCCACCTGGGCCCTATCTGCAGTGCTTCAGGCCAGACCAATTGTTGAGGCTTTCTCCCAATCGAAGGGATTCTGCAACATTCTCATCGTCGGAGCCGGAGGACTCGGCCTCTGGCTTCTCAAACTCGCGAAACACTTTTTGGCCGTAAACAACGACAAAAAGATTCGTTTGATGGTTGCAGATGCCAAGGAGGAACGTCTTTCCCTCGCCGAGAGAAACGGAGCTGACTTCGTCGTTCATTGGGACGATTCCGAGTTCGAAGAATACCTCATCATGCGCACCAAGGACGTCGCCCGTACTGGAGTCAACGTTGTTTTCGACTTCGTCACCTCTCCGAGAACCGTCACGCGCTCTCTGAAATGCCTCGCGGAAGGAGGAGTCCTTTTCGTCGGAGGACTCTCCGGACTCGATGTGCAGCTTCCGATCAAGCACGTCGCCAAAAACAGACTTGCTATTATGGGAGTGACCAGGTTAACATTCATTTTAAGGTTGTTTGAATCTTCTATTCTTTACAGAGGAAGTATCGAACAGCTCAAGAACCTTGTCAATCTGATTGCTGGAGGACAAATTGACGCTCCAGACTATAGAGTTTACCCGGTCGATCAGGCATCCGCTGTCCTCAAGCAATTGTCGATGTCTGAAGTGGAAGGTCGTGCTATTCTGGAAGTTTGCGATCCGTCGTCGGCTCTGGAACCTGAGCAAGCTGGAGTTCCAATTCCACAAACCGAACAACACGAATAAATGCTCATTTTCTAGTTAGACCAATGTAATAATGTATTGCTACTTTGCCATTTGACCCGACCCGTCCCCTAACTCATAATGAAAGTGAGAAGTCGTCTCTTTCTCATGCATTTAACCATCCGCTCCTTTCTCCCAATCGGTTATTTTGAGTAGTCTCGCCATCAGAACGTTTCCCACATTCACTGTAACATACACACCTCGTTCTCCAATTAAGTCGTCCCGAAACCAAAAACCAAAACACGAATAATTAGCTAGGTAATATTAGATTGTAACAAATCATGTAAAAGAGCGAATAATGAATTTGGTGCATGTTTGAAACCTGATGAAACTTAACGGTCTGTCGCCAGAACTACTTGAACATTTCTGAAGAAAAGGTCTAAAGTCGTATCGATGTAGTAGTCACTTATGACCGTGGAATCGCTTCCGACGTGTCAGGCGGATATGAAGTACGACGTGCTCGCGAGGGCCGGACTCGCCCGACGCGGAAACCTCCATCTGCCGCATTCCGTCGTCGAAACGCCCGTTTTCATGCCCGTCGGAACTCAGGGAACTATGAAAGTGAGAATTCTTTGACAGTTTCGACCTGAAACAAGCTCCGCTTTCTCACGCATAAACTTTTAGATCTCACTTTTCAGGGAATCGTCCCGGAGCAGTTGGTGTCGATGGACTGTCGGATCCTCCTCTGCAACACGTACCATTTGGGTCATCGGCCTGGTCACGAACGGGTCAAAGCGGCCGGCGGACTGCACAAAATGATGAACTGGAATCGGTCGATCCTGACAGATTCGGGCGGCTTCCAAATGGTTTCACTCAGCAAACTGATGACTGTCGACGAGAACGGCGTGAACTTTGAAAGTCCGCACACTGGAGAAATGATGGCGTTGCCGCCGGAGAAGTCGATCGAAATCCAGCAGGCACTCGGAGCGGACATCATGATGCAACTGGACCACGTCATCCACGTGCTCACCACTGGAGACATTGTCAAAGAGGCGATGCATCGGAGCATCAGATGGCTGGACAGATGCAAAGAAGCGCACACTCGCGACGACCAGGCAATGTTCCCCATTCTGCAAGGAGGACTGAATTTGGAATTGCGGAGAGAATGCGCAGAGGAAATGGCAAGAAGGGCCAAGGTCGGAATCGCGATCGGAGGATTGTCAGGCGGAGAGGAAAAGGATCACTTCTGGAGAGTCGTCGCCGCCTGTTGTGCCGCCCTTCCTCCGCACCTTCCTCGATATGTGATGGGAGTAGGATTCCCCGTGGATCTTGTCATTTGCTCATTGTTAGGAGCAGATATGTTCGATTGTGTCTATCCGACGAGGACTGCAAGATTCGGGACAGCGATGGTACGAAGAGGGGGACTGATGCAGTTGAATCAGAATAGGTACAAAGGGGACTTCCTGCCGATCGACGAGAAATGCGAGTGCAACACTTGCAAGAATTACACGAGAGCATACATTCATTCGATTGTTGGAAAGGTGAGGGAAGGCTCTATCATTTTGTTTCACTGCTGACTTTTCCAGGAAACGGTCGGATGTCATCTGGTCTCTGTGCACAACATCAAGCATCAGCTGGATTTGATGCGAGACGTCCGTCAGGCGATCGAATCGAACTCTGTTGAACAGTTCCTTCGGCAGTTCCTTTCCGACTATTACGGACCGATTCAATCCGAAACACCTTCTAAAAAAGACACAGAGAAGGTGCGGGAGGTCCCGAAATGGGTGAGAGACGCCGTCGATCACATGGGATACCAGCTCGACTTTTAATTTATTCTTGTTGAATCATCTCCATTGTTCTGTTGTGATTTGTTGTTATCATTTCTTTGTTCGTTTTCCATTTATTGGCAAAGAAACGTCATTTCTCATTCCAGGAAACACATTCCGATGCTTGGAATAACTTTGGCATGATGCTTATCTCCAGACGACCACGTGATTCCTCTGACAGACCACCAAAAGTTCAAAAAGGCTTCTGAGGCGTTCCCTAGCGGTTTTCGTGCCAATCTTCGAGTGTAGTTCGTTGATTCTCCTCGACAGTTTGTGTAAACCCATTGAGCAGCAGCCCCGCTCATCTCTCGTTTTGATTGTTTGAACTCTCGTCTCTTCCTCCTCCGCCACGTGTGTGTTTCACTGGTGGTTTGTGTGCGAATCAGCGAGCCGCCGGGGGCTTCTTCTTTTTCTCGCACGGAAGGAACAAACAGAAAGAATGTGCCCTTCGAGACGGAGATTAATTACTGTAGACACACGCATAAAAAGGAGTGCCGGCCTTCAAAATTGTCGTTGAAACACTAAAGCACGGCGTCGTTTTTCCGTCTACAATGGCTGATTACAACGACGATTTTGCAACGTCACAAACACGAAAAACGGCTATTCTTAGGCGAATACTAAGAGAAAATGGGCTATTGAGCTGAAGAAAAGAGGGCTCATGTGACTGATCAACGGAACAAAAGGAAATTCAAAAGGAAAGAGAGATCTGGTTATGGAATCACTTTGTTCCGAAATTGGATTCTCGAATAGTCAATGTTGAATGACTGACGTCTTCTTTTCGTCCAACAATTTTTTTACAGATTAGAAATGCGGTCGAAACTTCTGAAGTTATTAGAAGCTTTTGGGTGAACTTCATTATGTACTGGACCCCTAGTTCATGCTAAATATTACCTTAATTTAACAGAGATCATTCCTTCCTTCCTCTTCCTGTTCCCACTTCCACGTGGTCCCATCCGATCACACAAACACCTCATGATTATTGTTGAGGAATCCCCCAAACACCTCCAGAAGTCAGCCGACCCCTCACCGTCCCTTCCTCCGCCCGGGCCCCCTTTCGTACGTGCAAAAGAAAGAGGCGACGAGTCGCGCCATGTCATCATTTTCCAAAATGTCTGTGCTTCTCACCCACGTGGGTCTCTCGTCCGAAAAGAGATCGGAGGGCGCAGAAAAGCAGAAAGATCAGACCATCAACCATCGCTTTTTTGAGTGTGTCGACGAAACCGACGACGGAAACGGAGAGACAACAACAGACGGACGGTCTCAGAGAGAAAGGAGGACGGGCGGGAAGCAGACGAAGATGACGGAGAAGGTGATGAAGTCTCGTCAGAGAATGACGCTCGGTCGGGTGAAGGACTCGGAAAGGACGGCAAAGGCGAGGAGTCAGAACACCTTTTCAGCAGCAGTTAGGCGAGGGTCTGGAAATTAACTTGGGGAGGCTTGAACCTTCTTTATCTTTCTGATCCCTAGCGGGATATGGAGTTTTCCCCAGTAAGGACAATTGGTTTATCTGATCGAAGATGTACTAAAATGGAGCCGGAAGTTACGAAAACTTGTGAACAGTTAGGGAACAATCGGCCGAAAGACCTTGAAATTGCTTTACCCAGTTCCGTATTGATAGCTGAGGGAAGCCGAGAATTCAGAATATCCGAGCAGTTATTCCTGAAAAGTACCGTTCACACTGCCTGTTTCTCCCCCTCATTCATGCCGAAAACGGGGGAATCCCCCATTTGATTCCGTTATCATTTCTCTCAATTTGTCACTCGAAATCAGATAATTCTCGTTCAAACGATCATCACAAATAATCGCTGCGTTTTCCCCGAGTTACATCAGTTTTACGGCGACGATTTCATTCGAAACTATCAAATGATAACGAGTGGTCAAAAACCAAGAAAATGTTGCAAAACGAAAAGGTGTTTCCCCGGTCGAATTGATAATGAGAAAAGATGAAATCGGCGCAGCACAACAGAAAGAAACCTCTCGAACAATCGGGTGATTTCTTCCTGGACAAGTTTGGCACCATCATCTGAATTCCTGAAAGAAAACTCATCCAAAACAATCCTTTTGAAACCTGTTTTTATTTTTTTTTGCGAATGGTCTCCGTCTCAAAACCAACCCAACAATTAAATGGTGGAGAGAATTTTAAAAAGATGGAAAGGGGGTGCCAATACAATATTAAAACTAAACTATGGTGAGAACGAACCAGGAAGAGGAAAGATCAGAGCTCGACTCTAGTGAATCTAGTTTCAGCAAAGAAAACTATTGAGAAGGCACTAAAGGGGAAACACCAAGCTACTTCTACCCGGCCTGGAGCCATTAATAGGGAGATGGAAAAACAAGAGACATGATGAGATGATGAGGAATTATGTGAAGGTGAATCCGGCGGTTCTGTAGGTGTTGTAGACCTTCTCGATAGAGTTAGCGTAGGCGGCGGTACGGATATCAAGTCCGAGGTTGTATTTGTGAGCAGTGCGGATGATGGCCTCTCCGGATCGCTGCATAGTGTACTCGAGTCCAGAATGGACGATGTCCTTCTCGGAAGCTCCAGCGATCTTGGCGGCGAAAGCGGCGTTTGGCTCGACAGCGGCTTCCTTTCCAAGGGCCTTTGTGAGCGACTCTTGCACCGAGGCTGAAAAGAAATTCGTTAACGATTCATTCTCGTTTCGTATTCTTTTTTCCCGACGCAAAACGTTTACGGGGGAAACCCGCGGTCGAGCGCTCGAAGTGCTGTTCTTCACGTATCTCCCTCAGAAAAAGAAACACAGCGCAATAGTGAAAAGGTAGCGATTTTGCAAGCAAAGTGTATTGTATTCTCCGTCAAACAAAACAACACCAGCAAAACGAAAGATCGCACGTCATCTGCCGGCAAAGTATAATTCGCGCCGCGAAACTTTCTTATCAGCTGGTTTGTCTGATTATTCAGAAGACACTTACCCAAAAGCATCTTGTTGGCCTCCTCGTCGTACTTGAAGGTGAGACGTCCGTACGAGACGTGGTTTAAGTTCTTCAACCACTCGAAGTAGGAAACAGTGACTCCTCCAGAGTTGACATACATGTCTGGGATGATGAGGCAGTCTCCACGAGCAAGAAGGATCTTGTCGGCGGCTGGGGTGGTTGGTCCGTTAGCGGCCTCGGCGATGATCTTAGCCTGAATACGGTGGGCGTTCTCCTTGTGGATCGACTTCTCACAGGCAGCTGGCACGAAGATGTCGCACTTCTCGTACATGAGATCAGTGAATGGATCGAAGTTCTTAGCTCCTGGGAAGTTCTTGATGGTTCCGTTGGCGTCTTTCCAGTCCTCGAGCTCCTTCGGGTGAATACCATCTGGGTTGTAGACGGCGCAGTCATACTCCTGGATTCCGATAATCTTGGATCCAGCACGGTGAAGGTATCTGTGGGTGTGGAGTCCGACGTTACCGAATCCTTGGATGATAGCGGTCTTTCCGGCAAGTCCGGTTGGGAGTCCGACCTTGTTCATGTAGTCGGCGTCGTTGGTGAACACCTCGAGTCCCTTCCAGACTCCACGTCCAGTGGCGGAGACACGTCCGTGAATTCCTCCGCTCACAATTGGCTTTCCGGTAATGCAAGCCGAGGCATCCTATAACCAAAACTATTAGAAAAAAATTGTGGAGGTCTAGTAACGTACTCTGTCCAAATGTCCGATGGTCTGAGCGTAGGTATCTGCGATCCATCCCATCTCACGCTCTCCAGTTCCCATATCTGGGGCTGGCACATCGACTCCGGGGCCGAGGAATCCCTTCTTGGCGAACTCGATAGCGATACGACGGGTGATCTTCTCGATCTCGTAATCAGTGTACTGCTTCGGGTCAATCTTGACTCCTCCCTTGGCTCCTCCGAATGGCACGTCGACAACGGCGCACTTGTAGGTCATGAGGGCGGACAAAGCCTTCACCTCATCCTCGCACACATCGAGCGAGTAACGAATTCCTCCCTTGGTTGGGGTTCTGTGCTCAGAGTGCTGCGAGCGCCAGGCTTCGATGATCTCGAACTCTCCGTTGTCACGGCGAATTGGGAATGTGATGTAAAGGACCTGGAACAGTTAGAATGACAATGAGGACAAACAAGATTGAATCCCACCTTGTTGACCGGCTTGATGGCTCCAAGGATTCCGGTGACGAGGTTCTTCTTGTCCTTTTGGCTCAGAGAGTTGGACTTGAGTTCCTCGGCGAGCTTTGGGGCAATAACGTCTGCTCCCTTGTCGAAGTAAAAGTCAACCATCTTGTAGAAAGATGGGTTGACCTGCTCCTCCATCGGCTTCTGGTCATCGAGAACCTGGGAGTGGGCATCGAGAGTGGCGGCCGAATAGTTTCGGACAGCGACCGAACGGGCGCCTCTGGCGAGCGTGCTCAACATTACCTGAAACGTGTTTTTCTATACAAAGCTGAAAAAAGTAGAAAGGAACATAATTAGGAGAAAACCAGAGTGAGAAGTGAAACTAGAGGTATTTTGTGAATTTTTGATAGTGGCATGGATTGCAAAATTATGAAAAAAACTAAAATTTTGATCGAATAGTGCTCCTAAAATTTGGGATGCGTCCGCGCAAAATGTTAACTCTTAGGCCAGCAAGGAAGAAGCTAGTCCGCCGGCCGCGCCACGATAGAGCACGTTTGCTGTGGCGCCACGTTGCGAGTTTTCAAGCCGCAAACTGTTTCTGTTTACAGCACAGGGCGACCAACGGGCGACTGGCAAACTTGAAGCAACAGATAGCGTTTCAGGGCACAAAGTAAGAGACTGCGGACGGAGAGAAAAACATAGGCGAGCGGGGCAGGAAGCGGGGAGGACGCACCCACGAAGCGCCGCCCACCGAAGAGTAAGGAGTCTTTGAGGCGAAGAGAGGCAGTGTGCGACGAGTGTGTCATTGATCTTCGCTCAAATCGACGAGAGGAAGATTGCATAGCAACGAAACGAAATGAGGCGAGGGAAGTGGCCTGACCAGGAGGCACCGACGTCATCTGAGAACAAGGCCGGCGGCATTGATCGAGGTCGAAAATTGAGAAAACAACGAAGCGGCCTTTATTTGCATCACAAATCTTATTCAGTGAATAACAGTTACATCAGGTGATGTTGCTGTTCCTACTAAAACATAGTTCAATTCAATTCAATTAAAAAAAAATATAGCAAAAGTGATTGCGCCAAAAAAACGTAAAAAGATTTCCGTGCTCCCAATATTATAATTCTCATAATCATTCTTATAATTATTGTATCGTCTTCTGAGTTTTCCATACAAACTACAATGAGCGTCTCTCGAGGTACAAGAGAAATAGTTGAGAAGCATTCCGAACAGGTGAGCACCCGCAACGACTTCCCCCCCACAATTCGGTCGTTCAGGAGGCACCTGATAAAAACCGAGATTGGGGTCGTTTGAACAACGCGGCGGCGTTCTCGCTCTTCCGAGACTTGCACATAAACGAACCGTTGAACAAGAAACACATTAGAAGTGACTATAAAGTTTTTGATTTGAACAACAGAGTGGTGAGAAGAAAAAGGAGAAAAAACAAGAGAATAGGGGAAGTGTTCAGATATTCTATGTGATAAACACGAGTACGTTGAGCATCACGAAAGACGGTCCGTTCTGTCTGAAAGTGATGAACAAGGACAAGAAAGCAGTGGCTAGATTCTTGCGAACCGAGCCGAAAAGATCATACAAACAGACGGGGCTTGCCTCGTTATTCGGATGCTGCTCGGACACCGAAGACAAGATGGAGGTGTTCGACGACGAAGGAGGGCTGATGGCGACTTCCGTGCTCAATCACGACCAATTCCGAGGCACCGAGATTGCGATGAAAGACCCGAGCGGGCAGCTGGTCATCAGAGTCCGCAGCTCGCGTGATCAGAAAGAGAGCTTCTCTGTGGTCGGGAATGATAACCGTTTCCTGGGGGAAATCCGTCAGAAAATCGTTTCTTCTGGAAACTCGACGGATAACTACAAGGGAGTCGCTTGTTGGTGTGAGTGTGTCCTCTTCTCAATAGCGGCCCATTTCGATTTCAGTCTCTCCGGAAGCCTCTCTGGATGTCAAAGTTTTATTCATGGCTGCTGCGTTTCTCATTGAAATTGACTACTTTTCCGAGATGAAAGGGCGTCAAACTCCATTCCACACACCAGAAGCAGACTGTAGAAAACAGGAAAATTAGCAGTTTCAGCCTAAGTGCGTTTCAGATCTCAATCCAATCATCAAGACTCCACCGTATCACGAGAGAGTGAAGAATCCAACGAACAACTCAGTGAGTGCAGAGGATGCGTCGCGTTCGTCTGAAGTATTTTTTCAGAAGAAGATCAAGAATTTGAGCTCTCCTCTAGAATCGAAAAGCAGGACGTCACTGAAATCCCGGAATGAAACATGTCAGTAAACTGGTAAACAAGACATAGCATCAAAATAATTTCAGTGATCATGCCGCAAATCCATCACACGAGACATTTCGATCCCATCGGATCCGACGATTCGTCGTTTGCGAAGAAAGATAAGTATGAGGACTATTACAAGCAGACGGAAACGGTGAAAGAAGAAGTCGAAGTGAACGGAATGACGAGGGAACAGTTCAAGAATGCGGCGAAGAAAGTGGTCGATTACTTGTTGAAACAGGATGAAAATCTTCGAACGGCCAGATGCACTCCGGCTGTGAAACCCGGATATTTGAAGGCGTTGCTGCCGGCGAAGGCCCCGCAGAAGGCAGATGACGTCGATGAAATACTGGAAGACTATCACAAACTGATAGTTCCGGGACTGTCCCACTCGAGCCACCCGAACTTCCACTCGTTTTATCCCGGCGGCAACGCATTCCACTGTCTTCTGGCCGATCTTCTCGGAGGACACATCGGAGACGCCGGATTCTACTGGACTTCCAACCCGGCGCTCACCGAATTGGAAGTAATTATGATGGACTGGATGGGCGAAATGATGGCACTTCCCAAAGAATTCTTGCTGTTTCCGGAGGGAAGTCGTGGAGGAGGATGCATGCAGGTGAGAGAGAGGTAGAGAGAGAGAGAGAGAGAGAGAGAGAGAGAGAGAGAGACCTTACACTCGCAATGATTCCATTCCAACTTCAGAGATCCTGCTCGGACTCCAACTTTCTCGTCCTGGTTGCTGCCCGCACCGACATGATCCGGAGGGTGAAGCAGCACGAGCCACATCTCCGTTCGGCCGACATCCTCGCTCGTCTCGTCGCCTACACCTCTTCACACGTCAGTTTTGCAAATGTTTCAAATAGGGCCAGGCAGATGTACTATCGTACTAGTGTAAAACAAGGGTCCCTTAGAAGAACAAGGTTTTTTTTAAAGGGGACCCTTATTTTTTTCCTGGAGGTCTGAGAGGGACCCTTGTTTTTGTAACAAGGGAACCTTGTAAGTGATTAAAGGAACCAGCCTAAACTAACGACACAGTTCGAGAGAGGGACTTTCAAAACCTATATTCCAGTTTTCAAATGCTGCTTTCGAGACCTTTGAAATGCTGAAATTCCAGTCCGAAGTTTGACATTTCTTAACCACAGATGTCGCACTTTGGTGGCGCGGCGACCCACTCTCACACTCTCGCCATGCGCCACGATTGTCACCGCACGAACTGTGTCCTTAGTCTCGAACTGTGTCGTTAGTTCAGGCTGGTTCCTTTAATCACTTAGCAGGTTCCCTTGTAAGGAGACCATCAAAATACCAGCTGAATGCCAGGAGTACCCGGAATACCGAGCAAGCGAAGCCGCTGCCCCCGAAAATCGTTTTTGAATCGTTCCAGGCGCATTCGTCCATCAAGAAGGCAGCGCAGATAGCGATGGTCAGAATGAGAGTTCTGCCGACTGATGAGAACTTCATTCTTCGCGGAGACACCCTCCATGCGGCAATGGTGGCTGATGTCGAGAGAGGACTCATTCCGTTCTTCGTCGCCGCCACTTTCGGAACTTCCGGACCGTGCTCGTTCGATCACCTGCACGAGTTGGGTCCTGTGTGTCGGGAGAACGGAACATGGCTCCACGTGGACGCTGCTTACGCTGGAACCGCTCTGATTTGTCCGGAGACGAGGGGATTGATGAGAGGAATCGACTGGGCAGACTCATTCTGCACCACTCCGAGCAAACTGATTCTTGCTGTCTGTGACGTTTGCTGTCTTTGGCAAGTTATATATCTGCTTGCAAGTTGACGAAATACTTGTTTCAGGGTGAGAGACCGCTACAAACTGGAACTTGCATCCATTGAAAACCAGCCGGATTTGCCATTCAAGGGAATGCCGACGAGTCAGAGAGTGGGCGCACTCAAGATTTGGTTCATGATCCGTTCGTTCGGAGTCGAGAATCTGCAGAATCAGATCAGACAGCACATAAAGCTGGGTCAGGTGATGACGAAGAAACTGCAGAAAGATCAGAGATTCGAAGTGTGCAACAAGGTTGTGATGGGACTGATCTGCTTCCGAGTCAAGGCGACCAACATGTTCAACAAGGCACTCTTGTATAGATGCAACGAGACGGGAAAGATTAGTTTGGTGAGAAGTGAATGAATACAAGAACAAAAGAAGAACGGGCTTCTTGCAGGCGTCGTGCACTCTCCAAGGCAGATTTTCCATCAGAATGTGCATAAACTCTCCGAGAAGCACCGAAGAAGACCTGGAGAACACGTACAAGTTGATCTGCAGTGAGCACGACACTCTGCAACGTGAGCATTCTCATCAGAGCTCTCAAGTCAAAACATTCGGTTTCAGCATTCCAAGACCGTATCGAACTGATGAACCAAGGGGAGCTCGAGGAATTCCTGCTTGCTCCAGCCAGAGCTTCAGCCGAAGTGTCCCGTCGTCTCCCGATCCCTAACCCGTTGCTCGGCAATGCTTCCCAAGCTCATTTGACTCCAGTTGCCTCCGAAAGCCTTGGTCAGTTTTATCCATCTACCCCCTTCCTTTCGAATGTCTTTTCAGATGCTTCTTCTCGTACATCCACACCTGGCAAGTCCCCGAACACGCCTTCTACTCCATCAAGCCGTCCCTCTTCGATGGAGAACGTTGATCGATCTGATAAATGAGAATCGGTTTATGTTTATTATAAAATCGGTTCTGAATAATGCTTACAAATGCATTACATGCGAAGATGTTGTTAGGAAGTCACCATTTCTGCCCGATCCACGTATCCATCCTGCTAATTATCATCATTCCTTGGTTCATCTCATAATTTTATATCAATGAATGATGACATTGGAAAGTGGGCGGTCTCTCTCTCTCTTCCCCAGGAGCTCAGTACTCCCTCGACTGATCCTGTCCTTTCTATGAATACTGCATTCCCAGTTGTCCCGGACTCGTCCTACCTTCTACATACTTTCAACCTGACGGTGCCGACAGACTCTACTTCTTTCGGTAACTACTACATGAACCATGAGTTCCAGCTTCCGTGGACTTACTACTCGCCACCAGCAGCTGATTACTCCGCCTTTTTCCCAACTCCAACTTCATCTCCATTCACGTCTTCAGCGTCAGACTCTGGCTCTTCTCCTTCTTCAACTATCACTCCGATCTTTGCAGTAACACCCCCCTCTGTCCCAATCGTTATCCCGGAGAAGACAACGGTAAAATCGGTGAGATTCTGCACAAATTGTGGTACTACCGAAACGAAGAAATGGAAAAATGTGAAGACTAAACCGATTTGCTTGTAAGTTTCAAAAATAGTTTCTGAATTTGCATTTCTAATTGTTCGTTTTTTTTCAGAACGTGCTTCGTGTACGAGCGGAAATACAAGAAGTTGCGCCCGTTGGATGCCATCGAGAAGTACAACACGAGGAAAATTCGGAGAGAAATCGAAACTCGCGGTACCAATTTTAACCCTTACTAATCTTCCTTTGGCCTGTTTATATAACTTTCACCCGGTGTATTTCACATTTCTATTCTGATATTTATAAGTGTCAAATAAATTACTAAAACATAAAATATTTGTTCGACGCGAGAGTTTCGCAGAGCTTCTTCTCGAAATATTCGCGCGGAAGAAGTGCGAGGCGAAAAAAGAAGGGAAAGCAGGCAACCTGTCTGCCATGCGCCTTCCGAACCGTCTTCTCCCAGATGCTATCGGTCCGACGCGATCACACATCCAAAAGCCTCTTCCCTTCGTTCGTATCCGAATCGATTGCCTTCGCTTGCAAGCATGTCTCGTCAGAAGAGAGCTCGCAACCGTCTCATCATCCTCTTCATCTTCGGTGCCTGTCTCACTTCCCTCTACATTTTGCTTCTGAAAATCAAACGGATGTACCATTTGACTCAAATGGAAGAGAATTCGAGACACTTTGCCATCATCAATGACATTGTCTTTTACAATTCCACATATTCGTCCACTTCCAAACCCTCATTCATGTTCCTGATAACCAGTCAAATCACAAACTTCTATTTGCCTATGACGTGCAGTTCAAACGACGGCTACTCGGAGACAACTTCCGAAATATCGTACGTCTCCCTTCTGTAAATGTGGTAAACTTGAATGCCATTCAGAATACAACAGATCGGAGACTCTCTCCTGATCGGAACGTGCTCCGTCGTCGATGATCCTCTCTACGTTTCTCTCAAACTCGACGACTTCAATCTCCAGGTGACTGCCTCCTCCCTCTGCTTTCCACACGTTTTCCCTACTTCCAGATTGACATGCCTGATTCTCTAGAGCCTCTTTCGTTGAATGAGATGATTGTGCAAGAGGATCACGTGATTTGCATGTCCCATTTAGTGCTCTACGAAGACGGAACCACAATACTTTCGCTTCTGAAACACTTTAAAAACTCGGCTGCCAAGATAATGATCTACGCAGCAAGCGTAAGGCAAGTTTCTCTTTTCGCCTCCTTCTCTAACTCTCTCCGTTTTCAGTGACAGTTTGTACAAAGCTCTGGAGGAGTATTCTGAGAACATTGAAGTTATTCCTTGGATGTTACCGGAGAGCAAGAAACGAGGAGATTTTGACAAGTTGAAGTTGGATCCGAACTATTCGAAAGCGGGCATGGAGGGCAGTCTGACCCACTGCTTCCTTAAATATGCTCCAGTTGTGCAGAGAGTTACTCTCATCGACCTTGCAACTTTGAAGTTCAATTCGATTCCATTCGGTCCGGACTACACTCTTAAGTCAGATTATCATCAATTTCCATATTTTGAACTATTCATTTTCCAGCAAAGAAGTGACAAAACTGATTGTAGACGAATGGAGAATCAAGAAGTTGATCAACTATCGAGTCACTGTGAATTCTCGTGAGTCGATCGCATTTCAAAATGTTTCCGACTGACAGAAACGCTTCAGAGAATGACGTCGTTCTTCACGAGAAATGTTTCGTTCGTCAAGATGCGCGAGATTGGGAAAAAGAGTGCGGAGATCTTCGGATTCCCGATGCAGACACGGTCAGTCGGGTGCTATAGAGGAGAGAGTGACAGACTAGAATGTGATTAGTTCGAGTGTGAAAGGGTGCAATTCTGATGGGTCTCAAGTGTTCTGTACTTTTCAGCCTTCTCGATCAGTCTACATTCCAAAAGTAATCCAATTCGACAATTTGAGTATTTACGAGGACGCCCTCGGCCGGTAATTCCCTTCCAATCCACTGCCCTTTTCCCCAATTGTGATCAGGTGCACGTCATACAAATCAACGATCGAGGACCGTCAAAAACTGATGAAGTTCGAGTTTGAATTGGAGAACCGCGTTTCTTCGGAAGTGTGTGAAATCGAGCTGATGCGCGACGATTTCAAGTGTCGAGTGGCGATGGATTACAGCAAGAAGATGTTTCGACGGCGGACACGTCTTCTGATTACCCACAAAAGAGCGTTTTTACGGTTTTGGGACGGATGTCATTTGTAGAGAAAAATTTGATCATCGAGTGATTTAAAGTACAGTATCGGAGTGTCTGTAGTTGTTTTTTCGACGTCGTCGTTGCGACGGATTAGCCCTGTTTGCGTTGGAAATAAAAAAAAAATTGAAGAGAACCGGTAAATTCACGATTCTTTTTCCAATTAGTCGCTCTGAACGAGTTCGGTTAAACCGATAATCACTTTTTTCAATCGCGGAAAGAGACCTCCCACGAAGCGGACCGAGTTCCGATTCATTCTGTGTCCATTCGCATCAGTGATAGGCCCTCCTGGCAACAATGACTGGAACTCGCTTCGCTGGTAAGGTTGTGCTTGTCTCTGGATCCTCGAGTGGAATCGGCCAAGCTGCGGCGGCTCTGTTCGCTGGTGAAGGCGCGCAAGTTGTGATATCCGGAAGGGATGCGGAGAAGGTTGAGAAAACGAGACAGCTGTGTATTTCTGCCGGAGCGAGATCGTGGAACATCCATGCCACCGTTGGGGATCTTATGGATGAAGGCTTCCTGAGCATTCTTGTAGATACTGTCATCGAGACGTTCGGAAAGTTGGACATCTTGGTGAGACCTCTCATATTCGTACGTGATTCAACATGATCTTTTCAGATTAACAATGCGGGATCCTTGGAAGTCGACATGACTGGGAAGCAAGGATGGGAAATGTCCGCGGAAGTGATGGAGAAGTCCTTCCGCTCCAACTTCTACCAGTTAGTTGAGGCTGTCCTTCTCATTAAAATGAAATCTTCCAGGGTGTTCCTTCTCACTCAAAAGGCTTTCCCTCATCTCGAGAAAAGCAAGGGAGATATTGTGAATGTGTCCACATTCCTCTCCACTGGACCGCTCGGAGTAATGTCTATGCCCTATTATGCGGTTCCGAAAGCTGCTCTTGACCAAATGAGCAGATCTATGGCTCACGAGTACATGCTGAAAGGAGTCCGTTTGAATACGGTAAAGTAAGTTGAATTGAGGCGTGACAAGTAAAACAATGTTCTTGATTTTGTCCTGGTTTGGTCTCTACTTCGTTCTTCGCTCGGCTCCCAGGGGTCGGTGACGAGAACGCGCGGAAGATGGAAAGTTACGTGCAAAGCAAGCCAGAGTACATTCCATTGGGAAGAGTTGCGACCGCCAACGACGTGGCTCAAACTATTTTGTTCTTAGCCGACAGGTTTAAGGTCGCATATACACAATTTCCAAGAAGTAATCGTTGCAGAAAAGTGTCGGAATGCATCGTTGGCCAAAGCATCATTCTCGACGGCGGTTCCCGTCTGTGCTGCAACATTGACATGTCGGACTACAAAGAGAAGATGAACGACGCTTAATTGGAATCATTTTATTGTTTTTGCTGAGAATGGCACCCGCTTCTTCAAACACATGCTTTTTGCTTTTTCATAACTTTTTCATAAAACGTATTTTGCTTATTTTCCTTCCTCCAAGAAATGATCGAATTCATGATGGGTGTCTGGCCACGGCTCACTGAAATCAGAGCGGAAATGAGCGAACGGGAGAGGAAGCACTCACTTTCTGCCTGCAAATGTAAGATGCCGGATCTTTTCCACATTATGATCGGGTTCTTCGAAAAGTGACGTTATCCATCCAATTGCAATCATTAAAACGAAGCCAACACCAGCGTACGAATACGTGGATATTCTGGAGATGTAGAAAGTGTCCGGGTTACCGTAGTGGGCATCGTAAGGGGGAATCATTCGGATTGTGAAGTTCGAGTTTCCACTGCATCCCTCGATCGAGGTGTTGGTGGGCAGGAACAGGTCGTGGTAGGGATCTTGGATATAGTTGGCAATGCACAGAATGAGACAGATGAGATTGGAGAGGAAGAACGAGATCAGGCAGGATTTGGAACCACTCTTGGGGAAGAAAAGGGCAAGAACGAAAATGGCGACCATCGGACCGGACATGGCTCCCATCACGGAGATACAGATACGGAGACTCCCTCCGAGGAGTTCGGCCAAGAAAGCGAGACCAGTGGAAGTTATTCCGCAGAGCAGAACGATGAGCTGAAAGAAATCATCTATGAAGAATAAATGACAACTTGTGAAGGCACCTTGTTAAGTCTCGTGGCGCCAGTGTCTGTGATCTTCCCATCCAGACTGTTCTTCAGAAAGTCCTCATAAATCGCCGCCGCCATACTGTTCATGCCGCTCGACAAAGTGGAGAGAGTGGCGGACATGATGCAAGAGACGTAGAGTCCGAACAGACCGGGAGTCGGCTCTGTAATGATCGTTTCAGAGTGTTGCCAGATTTTGCAGAGACTCACGAAGAATGTCCCTTGCAAATATGATAGTTATGTGATCGCTTTCTTTGATTTCCCCAGTTTCTAGTGGATTACAATTGAAGAAGTAGGCGAGAGCAATGAATCCGACAAACGCGACAATGGAACAGAGGACTGTGAATGGGACCAGAGTGTAAAGAATGATTCCCTGGGCCTGTTTGAGGGAAGGAAGGCTTGCATATCTCTGGATCGCCAGCTGATTGACTCCGAAAGAAGCGAGCCAGACGATTGTGCCGGAGAAGAGGTTGATCCACAGACTGTTGTACTGGTCTATCCTCCAATCCATTCTCGCAAGTTCACCGATTCTCCCACTTTCCCAAGCAATGTTCAAGACTCTTTCTAGACCTCCAACTCTAGGATGAGTGAGTCCTTTGGCGATGAGAGTGAACACCCCCGTGTACATAATGACTGCTTGCAGCGAATCTGTCCAAACGACAGCCTTCAGACCTCCGAGACACGTGTACAGAGTGGTTGTGCATCCGAAGATCTGAACTTGGAATGTGATGTGTGATGTTGAAAGGGAAAGAAAATACTCACTAAAACCAGCCACCATTTGTTGATTTGAAGAACGGGAGAAAGAGCAACAGACGGAGCATAGAGAACGACGGCCATGTAGACGATGGTGAACAGGAGGAAGAGAAGAGAGAAGAGCCGACGGATCAGAAGCGAGTTGTACCTGAGGGTCACATTGTCGCCGACGATTAAATGAGATCATACCGATGGATGAAGTACTCGTGCAGGCAGGTGCTTTTCATCTTGTGGAAAACGGGCAGGAAAACGAAGCACGTGACGACGGAAGAGGCGACTCCGATCACAAAGTTGAGCCAGATTTGAGCACCCCGCTGGAACATTTCAGCCGGAACTCCGAGCATCAGAATACCGGAAAGGAAAGTGGTGAGGAGGGAGAGAGCGACTGGAAGAGGGGGAAGTTGACGGCCGCCCATCAGGTATTCCTCTTTGGCCGTTCTGTCTCCACGACGGAGGATTATGCGACTTCTGAAAGATGCAAAAGATGAGCGAAGCTTCGGAAACATGACTCACTTGACCGCATGGTACACTCCAGTGCTCAGTGACAACCCAATGCTCAATCCGAAAATGGTATAATCCAGCCAATGGAGAGAAACGTCATGAGAAGACATGACGTCTTCTGAAACCAAGAATTGATGACAGTCAAACGAAGTGAAAGATTTGATGGAACATGCGGTACTGGTTGGGTGATTGATTCGCAGTCTGGCAGGAAACTGTGATCGTTGGTTTGGACTTGGGTTGAAAAATGGAAAAACATTATACAGGGGAAAGTGAATAATAGGAGAACACTCGTTAAAATTGCCATTAGCGTCGAAAACGAATAGGTTTTGTTCCACTCTTTCTCTCCCTCTCGGGTAGGAATAGTCTAGTGAGACTGGCGAAGTGAACGAAATGAAGATAGAGTTCCACGGACTTCGTACCGGGAGAAAAAGAGATAAGAAGGGGGCCTTTGAGATCTTTCTTTCTTCTCGGAGGGCTCCAAACTTTTGAAAGATCGAGAGATCAGAATGTTATTACTCCAATATCGAAAAAAATTGAAAATGATTGCGGGAGGCTTGATATCGGCCATCGGATTGGTGCAATTCATATCACAGTTTGCGTCTCTTCCGATCCGATTCTCTCTCGTTCCGAGCACTCGCTCTGTCGGAGCACATACCTTTCGGCTAGTGTAACAAACCTTGGCTGGCTACCAGCGTGAAGTGGAAATTGACGAGGAAAAGTGGGTGTTTTTTGAAAGCGTATCTGTGCTTCTCTGCGCCGTTTCTCTCCTTCGCTCTTCTTATCATTAAGACCCCCTTTCCATCAAAACATTCAAGCGTAATTAGTTCATTCATTATTAGGTTTGTTCGTTCTTCAATTGTCGTCACACACTGAAGTCGGCTCTTTTCGCGTTGAGATCGCCCGTCGACTGACGTCTTCCCCGGTAGAATGCCGTCTCGGATGACAGTTGTTCGGCACTCCGATGCATCGCCGAGAGGTTCGAGCGGGATCCCTGCAATGACTGTCAGAACGAATCATGTCAGTTTGATACTAATGGGGTTCGGAAGGACGTGTGACGTGGAAAGAGCAGAAGAGCAAAGGTGAACAAAAGACTAACCACTTCTGCCATATAGTCGTCCTGGATGTCGTCCTTACTCGACTGAACCTTCTTTTGACTTGGTGCATTCAGCTCGCTCAATTTTCTATCCAAAAGATCACTGAAGAGCATGTAGAGCGAGTCGATGTTCTCGCCAGATTCCATGAACTGAAACACGGAATGTTTTCGTGTTCCTTCTCTGTTTTACTGACCCTCTTCAACTGCATCTCCTTCGGAGTGACCGTTTGTTGGCTTTTATCCGGAATGATCGGAGCCACTCTCCCTTCACTCTTGATCCTCTCGAGTCTTTTGTTCTGAATCGTACTCTTAACCTTCGCCAACTTGATAGCATCCTCCAAAGTGATCTTCTCGTAAGCACGGACGATCGAGGAGGCGTCGAAACTCTGTCTTCTTTGGTGTCTCATCAGCACCGGTTTGATCACTTTGGCATTGAATCGTTCAAAACTAAAACAATCAAATAGATGGTTTTAATGACCGTTTTTGTCGTACTTCTCAATAAACGTGTAATGTCCCTTCTGTCCCGCAATGTCCTCCACTCCCGACATCATATAGTCCAAGTATTTGTTGTAAACGCTCTCCACCATTGTCGGATCTCTCGCTTCCTTCTTCTTGATTTTCAGAAAATGAACCAGCGGTCGAATTGTGATTCCTTGTAGAAATACGGTAAAGTAAATGACTGCGATAGTAGCGGTTATGAACATTGGTTTAGCAGTTATGGAAGCGGGAATCGAGACGACAAGACCGTAAGCGATGGCCCCGCGAAGCCCCCCGTACGACATGATGAACTGATCAACCATCTCGAACTTTTTGGCACGGAACCGATTCAAAATGTAGCATTGAATGACGATTCCGATAGCACGATAGATGAGGCAGAAGAAGAGAGTCGCGCAGATAAAAAGGAGGTCGAAGTGGTGTTGGGAGGAGATTGTGGAGAGTCCGAGGAACATGAAGATCACCGTCTCGGAGCATTGGGCGAGCATCTTGGTGAAGTATTTGACGGAGTTGGCAGCCGCTTGAGTGATATTTCCCTTTATGTACTGCTTCATGAGCATGCCACAGACGGCGATTCTGAACGATTGGAGTTGGGAGAAAATTGGATCGAACTAACGCGATGATGGAGGAAAGCGAGATCATTTCAGCAGTCAAGTATGCCATATACGGGAGCAGAAAGATGAAGACTGGCGCCAGAATACGGACATCATAAGTGTACCTGCAATGAGATACTGTAGTCGCTTAAAACCTTTCGAACACCTACTTGGTCGTCAAACTTGCCGCAATTGCGAAAATGATGCCGATTGCAGCTCCGCCGAGTGCCACGACGAAGAACGAAAGGCCGCCCGTCGCATAGTCGAGCACGGACAGGTTTTCAGAGCCGATCAGAGCAAAACTCTTGAACATTTGATACAGAACCTGGAAATATAATGTTTCTGAGAGCCGATTCCAAGCAGCAATTACCACAGTCACGCCGTCATTGAAAAGAGCTTCACCGAAGACGTTGATGAACAAAAACTCATTGACATGAATCTCTTCGAAAACTGCAATAACAGCTACTGGATCTACTGCAGAGATGAGCGCGGAGAAGACGAGAATCTCGAAAGTGGTGAAAGGCATTGTGAAGAGATCGTACTGGGCCATAACAAGAAGGGATCCTCCGATTGCGAAAGTGTTCCAGATGGTGCCCACGACAGAAAAGACGAGCACTGAGTCAAAGTTTTCGAATAAAGCTCTGTTTGGCATGAAATAACCTGAAAAGGCACGATTATAGTCGGTAGAGCCAATGGGTCAGTTACCCGCATCGAATATGATTGGAGGAAGAAGGTACAGGAAGAAAGTGTGAGAATCGAGAGTTGCTCCGCTCAACGAGGTCTGATGAAGAACGTATCCGAGCGCTAAACCGACGATAATGAGAAGAGAAGAGTCCGGGAGCCAGTGAGAGAGTGGCTTCATGAGGTTGAATACTGAAAAGAACGAGCATTACGGTAGAAATTGAAATCACAGGAGCTCACTGATTTTGGCTAAAGAGGCAATGAGAAGCCAGACGGTGATGACGTAGACATGATGAACATCATCCCATTTCCAGGTGAACAGCTGAAAATTCAGAGGTAATGAAGAGCTTCGAAACGGGAGATAACGTGAGAGAACCTCGTCAATATCGTACTCATGACCCATTGGAGGGATATATCCGACCGATACTTCGTCTCCAAACGGCTTTATTTATATTTGTGCCCTCCGATCTTTGGTTTCAGTGCGCGGTGAACGCAAAAAGGAGGGAAATGACGAAAAAGCAGAAGCAACCAGGAATGACGCGATGTAAATAGAAAGAATCGGGTGGGAGGAATACTCTGCTTCTGTTGGCTTCTATTGGGGGCATTGTTCGCAAGAAATCAGCGCAGATTTGAAACGAACCGGGTGATGATCGTCGTACATATCATTTGATTAACGCATTTACCGTGCCCTAATCTGAATATTTGAGGCTGTGGGAAATTAGTAGTTAGAACTCTGATAGCGGACTTTTTGATGGGAAGAAGACGTCATTTGGAGGACAGTCACTATAAATCATTCGGGAAAAAGGGAGAAATAAGGAGAGAAGCTGATGTCATCGGGAGGAAAACTCACCCTGAATTCATCTGAACTTGATTCCTTCTCAATCTTATCGGCAGTGGCATAACAGATAAGAATGAAGACGAAAAGTCGGGAAGACATCTTCTGAAAGTGAAACATTCATGAGAGTAAAAAAGTAGAACGAAAAATGGCAAAAGAAGATCGCAAAGTATCGTGAAAGTTCCCGATGATCATCGAGGGAAAAAGTCAGCCTGCTGAATTGATACTCTGATAGGGAAAAAACGACTAGGCGGTCAACATGAACGGGGAACAAACAGGAGAAATAGCATGCCCAAATGTGAGGCATCGCCTGATAAATCCGGTTTTTAATCAACTCGAAACAGTTGAAAAGAAAGAGAAAGTGTCACGAGAAAGATCAAGAGTGGATGGGTTTAACAGAGAGTTATGCAAATGCCTCCTCTTTTCGGGAAAAAATGCATTGAATGAAAGTGAGAAAAGAGGGAATGAATGCGCGCGTGGAGGAGGGCCGTACGGCCGAAAGACACGGGCATTGATAGCTAAATTAGGGAGGTTAGAAAGTACATTTTCGTACGCTTCTCGTAAACAATAAAATGATAGAAAGGAGAGCAATCAGAGAGAACGCCACTAGCGTCCGTCACTGCCTGTTGTTTATGTTTGTGTTTGCCGAACATGTCATATCAAATAAGTTATGTCGAATGTTTCATTCATTATCACTCTAAAGTACTTGGGCGTGCACTTCCACGGCGAGGTTCGCGTCTCCGGCTGGTGCAACCGTCGTCGCCTTCTTCTTGTTCTTGTTCGCCTGCTGCTGTTGCTTCTTGTTCTTTTTGGTAACGCTGGTCTCAACATCTCCCTGCAGTTTGACGTGAGCGACCGGAAGGATTTGGACGGACGCAGTGTCTCCCAACTGAACTGCCGGATCACTCAGGGCGACGTTGACGTCAGCATCCGTGAGGTTGTTTTTCTGAAGTTAATGATGAATCTGCGAATCTTCTGACAAACAAACGTTGAAAAAGTTGGTGAGGATTCCGATCTTTGTGTTCACAGCTCCATTGTTTCCTCCACTCCAGAAAGATCCAGACGAAGAAGAGGAACCCGATGTGCTGCTTCCGTTTCCGCCGAAGAAATCGGTAGCTTTCTGCCACATGTCAGTGATGAAGCTGCCCCCGGAGCACTGAAAAACCAACTACTGCGAATAATTCTGTAATAGTTTGGGAAACCTTGACTTGTTTGAATTGCGGAGGAAGGAGACTGTTGAAGAGAACAATGACAATCTGCAAATGAAATCATTAAAAAATATCATCTGAACAGTTGGCTCACATCTCGAGTATCGTCGTCCAGGGACACAATGTAGTTAACGATTCTGCTGTGCATCTCCTCGACCGTCTGGTTTTTGTCACTTCCGATCGCCTTAAGATTGCTCAGCACATTTGGCAGATTCATCACGATCGCGTTCGCGTGCTCCTCGGCAGCTATCGTCATGTTTTCCGCTCTCTGGTTGTACGCTTCCACGTCGGCAGTCAGGTTGTATTTCACCGCCCACGCGTTGACCTGGTTCTCAAACTCAGCAATTGTCAAGTTCGCGACATTCGGCAGAATTGCATAGAATTCAGTTTGTGCTTCAGTGGAAGCGTTGGTGAGGAACGGAAGGAAGGCGGAGATGATCTCGGAAGCGTTGCCCGAGTACTTGGAGTTTCCGTTTTTCATAGAGTTGCTGGAATGGAGGGATAAGAAAAAGCAGAAAGGAATAGAGCTTACAAGAAATCAACTCCAGACTGAACGACTTCGCCGAACGTGGAGTTGGCAATACTTCTAGAAGTCCGAATGTTATTTCACTTGCTAGAAAGACACACTCACTTTTGGATGGAATCGGTGTTAACACCGCTGCTATTTCCGTTCTTGATGGTGTTACTGTTAATTGACAAAGTTAACACAATGATTCCTTTCTAAACTCACTAGTATTCCACTCCCGTTTGATAGTATCCTCCGAGTGAAGAGTTGGCAAGGGCCCTAAATCGAAAATAAACTTGTTTGCGCGTTCAATTGATGTAACTTACGTCTGCCACTGATCCGTTGTGTTTCCACTCTTCACATTGTTGCTGAAAACTTTTGTTAAACTTTTGATCTCTCAGAAAATTATCGCTCACTAGAGGTCAATTCCTTCTGCGACAGCCTGTCCGAAAGAGGAATTCTGAAGCCCTGAGAGGAAATTTGAGCCTGACGAGTCTGAAGTGCCGGCGGAAACAGAGGCATTCACGGATGCTCCACCACTAAAAACAAGTCTTTGTTGGTTTCAATTTCCAAACATGTTCAACTTACGACAAGTATCCCTGCGCCTTTTCCAAGAAGCTCAACGAGGCGACAGTGCTCACGAGAGCTCCCAAAACGAGAAATTGCCTCATTTTGTTTCACTCGTACAAACACTAGTGAATGGGAATATGTGAAAACGGTTTGCGGGCGGGACGAAATCAATCCGATTGCGGGGCGTTTAATCTGTTGAAACTGAGCCGATAGTCTCACTGCGATCCGTCCAACGTTTTCGTGATTTCTGATGGCGGATTTCGGTCGGTCGGACTCAATTTGTTGTACATTTCGAAAGAGGAAAAGATGGGTGCAAAGCGGGCGACACATTGGTCACGGTACGGCCGGTGAGTAAGTCGATTTGATCTACTGTTGGTCGGAAAGAACGGAAAGAGTAAAATACGAAATTGTAACCACCGATATTGGATTCAAAGATCACGTTGACACGACATCTAAGATCAAGTCCACATTTGCACCTGCAGCAGATGTTTCTGAATGTACCAGTCACACTTTGATCGTCATGACAACCACTCCAAACTTGAAATTACACAACAACCTCCTGAATTTCCCGAGAAAGCAATTGCTCATTATCCTTCCATTTCCCTGGAAATCATGTCAATCTTCTTCCTTCTTCTCTTCGCTCCGGCCGTGTTCACTGCCGTTCAACTGCACAATCACGTCGGATTCATCGCGTTTTCGGAGCCGGTTCCCGCTTTTCTATCGGATATGTCGCTCAAGGCCCAGTACGATTACAAAATGATTCTAGAGAACACTTCAATTCCTATTCGCACTAAGACCACGAATTTCAATGCTTGGGCAAAGACCTACAATGTTACGGTAAATGAAGTGAAGAGGAATATCTTCCAACCATCCGGTTCAGACTCAATTCAACCAGTTCGAAGCTCAGCAGAATGCGACCAGAGTCCAGTTCGAGCAGAATGTCACGCGAGTGATAACTCAGTTGTCTTCCGTCAATGCTCAAATCACCAAGATCTTCGAAAACAGCACTTTGAGCGTGGATGAGCAGCGGGAAACAGTCGAAGAGCTCGCCGAACAGCAGTCATCCCAGGTATATCGATCAGAGATCCGTGACAAAAAGAGTCCGTATGCCTTTAGGAAGTGGCCACTCTCCTTTATCTCCGTCGTCTCTTCAACCCACAGGACCCGCTCTCCTCCAAACGATCGTCCGTCTAATGACTCTTTTCCTTCCGTCTGCCTCTCTCATTCTCCCCTGTTGTTGCTCGCCATAAACACTCTTACTGTGACCCTCCGAGTGCACATTGTCGGGTGTAAAGAGACACATTTTGTCCCCGTTTACTCTTCTCTTTTTTGCCGATTACATTCAGATTATCCAGGTGCAAATCGAGAAATCAGGCGTTTGTTTTCGAGTGAATTCCATTCGAAACCGTTTATTTCCTCGTTGTTAACCCGTCAAAACATGACAGAAAAATAGTAAAATCGAACCGATGACGGTTTGAATGGAGGGGTTTGACGGTCAGTCCGTAATTACCGAGGAGAAGGGCGCACCATTCGACGAACAGATTCGTCATTCGAATCTATGTCTTCGATGAAACAGCCAACATTCTCTTCTCCTCAGTGCTTTTGATTTCTCTTTTTTTTCTACCATACTCTAAACATTGCAAACATTTGATCGTCGGGTCTCTAGACCCATGGATGATCCTTAATCCTCCGTCCTCCAACCGGAACTTCTCTTTCGAAATTCGCCTGTTGTTGCTTCGTTTCCTTCACGCGAAACGACTGGAACTCTACACTTGAAGCAATGCTTTTTGTGTAACGTGTTTTTCTCATCCGCCTCTTCCCTCAAAACTCATAAAAAATGCTGAGTTCCTCCTCTCTCGCTCATTTTCTTTGCCGTCCTCATTTCGTTTCGTTTCCCTTTGAATTCCTTTCTCTTTCAGAATGCTCCTGCGTCTCTCAGTTCTTGTAGTCTGTCTCTTCGCGGTCAGCGTTTCCTCGAAACACAAGAGGGGAAATGATCCGGAGTTCCTCAAGAACGTGACGAACGACCAACGCAGCACATTCTTCCAAATCGCCAATAACCCAGGAATTTCCATCCAGCAGAAGGAAGACAAACTCACGCAGTGGGCAAAGGTGAACAACTTCTCGGTGAGCACACTTTCTTTTCAGTTTTGACAGTGCATATTTAATTTCCAGGAGCAATACGCCGAGTTCGAAAAGAACGTCACCGTACACAAGGCGGAACTGAGCAAGAATGTGACCGCAGTCATCGAGCGTCTCGCCGCCGCTAAAGTCGAAGTCGATAAAATCTTTGCGGACAAGACTATGACCAGGACTCAGCAGAAAGATAAAGTGGAGGAGCTGAAGAAGACGTACCCGCAGGAAGTGGAGACTCTCTTCTACATCGGAGGCCTTTTCGAGCATCACAAAGGAAGAAAGCACGAGAAGCCAAAGAATGGATCGGAAGAAGGAAAGGGAGGAAAAAGAAACAAGCATCATTAGTAATCGAATTTTTTTATTCGCTTGAATCATGAACTTATTCGCATCGGTCTGAAATTTAATAAACTTGTATGTACCCGCTTGTTCTGCCCATTTTTGCGATCTACTCAAGTCTGAACGCTGATTAACATCATGACCAACATCCTGATTTAGGGCTTTTCGAGCGTCCGCCAACTCGTTTCTGTTTCCCATTCGCTCAGGAATTTCCATAGCAAACCAATTTCCTCGAATTACCCGTTCTCTCGCGAACAGTTTGAACGGAAACCCGAGTCGTCCGCCTTCGCCGTCCGAAAATGTTACAAAGTGCGCGTGTTTTGGCGGTTGCCGATCTGCCAACTGCTCAATTACACCTTCATATCTCGGCTCGCACATAACTGGTTTCATTCGATCACTTCCCGACGTGCATAATGTCGAATCAGCTTTCCAATGGTTATTCTGTTAGAGACATTATTCTCAGGTGCCATTCGTTTCATTTTTGAAAATTTCAAAGTTGAGCTGTTCAGGTATGAATCGGAGGAAGAGGAGTTTGTTCGCGAGTTGGAGCAGATGATATCCCATGAGAACGAGAGCGAGATAGTGCCGGAACCCGACGAAGGACCTCCTATACTTTGTGTGTTTCCATACAACTTCCAAAATTAAATTTTACAATTCCAGCTGTTCTGTGCTCATTAGTGGATGAAATCGGCTCACTGCGAAACGAGAACCGTCGTCTCAAGACCCGTCTGGTCCCTCCTCCACGAAGTTCCAAGAATGTCGTGCAAAGAATGTCAGCCATGTTCGAACATCGCGGCTCTTCTTTCTTTCCGAAACTCCGTCGAGCCAACCGTTCTTCCGAATCGATGGAGATCAGAAATGGAGCACGAGAACGGCTCTCGACTCCGCCGAGAAAAGAAAACAATTCAATGACGACTTCAACAGATGTCTCCTACGGAAGAAACAGCAACGGAGCGCCTCCGATTGTGCGGCCAGAACTGAGTGACAGTGAAATTGATGAGCAAATATTCGATGAGGACGACCACAGAAGTAGAGATACGACGAGACGGTGCGACTCTGTGAACGTCAGACATCAGAACGACCATTCCACTTCCGCATGCACTTCGCCCTCTTCCGCTTCTTCTTCGAGAGATCCTTCTGAAACTATGAGTAGGCACAAAAAAGTTTCTATTTAGAATATGAATTCCAGTGACCAGTCGTTCTTCGTTCCTCGATCTTCTCGGATTGCGTCGCCGTTCCACTCACATTCCGCAGCCGACGTACTCCAAAACGACGACGAAGCAAGTGATAAAGAAAAGACGGCGAAAGTGTTCTGGAAATGATTCGGAATCATCTGGAATGTATGCAAATATGGAGGAGCACTGCTCGCGAGTCACCAACAAGCCTCCCCGTCCAGCCAGTTATTACCGAAGAGACGACAGCGAAGACTCGGACTGTTTGAGGCAAATGAGACAGAGGAAGGCCGCTTCCTCGTTGAATGTGAACAATTACGAACGGCCGCACGGTTGGTTATTTTGGAGAGCATCGGGTTCAACAAACGGTTTTCAGAGGGCATGTATCGAGTGAGCAGGGAGACGCACTGGCAGCACGAGAAAGACAATTTGATGGCCGAGATAGAAGAAATGAAGATGAGAAATCAGCGACTCGTGGAGCAGCTGAGAGAGAAGAGCCAGCAGCAGAGCAAGCTACAGTGTCAGCTTCATAAGGTGGAAATGCAAGTGAACACTTTGAGCAGACGGTGTGCTCTTTCGGAAGCTCTCGACAGACTGACTCTCGACGAACGCATGGAGAAAAGCGCAACGAATTGGTTGAAGAAGATTGAAGAGAGACTGCGAATCTTTGAGAATCAAATGCAAAATGCAAAACTTGAAGCCGCGACAGCACATCAGATGGCACTGAATTCAAACTGCCACGAACGTGAAGCTCATCAGAATTGCCTTGAAAAACTGGAGAATCTGCAAAGAGAGCACATGAGGGTGATACATTCGAGCCTGCTGGAAATAGGTGTCGACGAGATAAACATGAAGAGAAGGCTCGAAAACTTGCCAACTTACGAAGCTCTATACGCATTCACCCATTCGGTTGTGCGGAGGTTGAACGAGGCGAGATGGGCGATGATGGAAAAGACGAACGAAGCGAGCAGAGCACAGGCGAGTGTATGCTTCTGACGATGCTGAAATGATTCGAATGGTTTCAGATAGACTTGATCGTATCGCAATCATCGCATTTAGTCAGTTTAGCACAATTGGAACGGCTAAGATTGGCAATGGCGACTCGCGGAAAACGACAGAAAAGACCGTCCTCGTTCCATGGATATGGCGCTTTTGAACGGAATGTGAGTGTCCCGTCTTCGACTTAAACAAAACCACCTCAATGTTCAGATTCGTCAGGACCTCAATTTCTATTTGCCCCTAAAATTACATGGATCTCGGGTGGAAAACTCCAGGCGGACCATAAAGAAGAATACAATGACCGGAAACGACAGAAACATTGAAGAGGAGTTCCTCAAATTATTCTCCTACTCCAAAGGTAAGAATGCAGTTTTGTTTGAAGCGCATGTTCAACTACGTTTCTGTGCAGACTTTTCGATGGAAATGGCCGCAGTGGCGCCAGAAAGGAGAGCGACGAATCGGATTGAAACGATGATAAGAGAGATGAACGGAAATGGAAGACCGTCCGTGAGACGAGGTCCTTCTGGAGTGTCGAATTGCAATCTGACGAGGGATAGAGTGACGAGGGAACTGCCAAGGGACAGAAGGCCGATCAGTTTGGTGGAGACGGAGGAGAGAAGGATTCGGAAGAACGAAGAGACACGGAGAAGCATAAAGTTCATGAAGACCAACAGTATTGATCACGGCCACTTGGCTTACGAACCACCACCGGCGCGGACCGGGATTCCCACTAATGTGCCGTCCTCTCAAGACGTTTCCAGTGTTCACAGCCCTCATAACACCCCCGTTTTCTCTAGAAGGATCATGATTCCAGTGAAAGGAAATGCGTACGACATCGTTCCGGAGGGGACGGCAAGTGCGATCCCTCAGATGGGAAGAATACGGAAGTTGGAGAGGGCTTTCTCGGCGGAAAGCCGCAATACCGTCGATTCTCAGCACGAAAGAGAAGAACGACGGAGAGAGCACGCGGACGGAGTGGAGCGCAGACAGAGCAAAATACAAAGGAGCCAGCCGGTGAGCAGACTGAAGCAGCCCTCGGCACAGTTATCCAGATTTGTAAGTGTTTTCTTCTTCTCCCAATCATTTGGACATTTGCAGAGAACCATGGAGAATGGAGGGGCCAGTCGCGAGCAGCCGCCTCCTTCGATGCTCCGTCCACGGACCCTTGACCCAGCGACTTCCATTCCTCGCATGACATCTCCAGATTCCCGAATTCCTACGCCTTTGACTCGAATCGGAAACGGAGAGAAGCGGGGATGGCTGGAACGATTAAAAGGAATCGGGAAATTGTAGTCGTGTATGGTCTCCATTTTCTCTCCTGATTTGCTTATCAGTCTTATCAAATAAATCATAAGAATTCGGGCAAAGTTTTCCTTCTTCCACCCCTCTTATCTCTGCTTTTTTCGACTTTCCCCTTTGGTTTTGCCACGTATCAGGCACTACGTCCGAGCGGAGAAAACTTTGATGTTCCGGGAGAGAGGGGGGCATTATGATTCCAAATACAGTAACGGCGCGCCTATTTACGTCAGCTACAAGTGAGCAAAAGAAAAACATGTGCACATGGGACGGTCGGGACAAACAAGCAGGAAGATCATTGAACGACAGAGTGCTGGACGGAGAGTGTAGCGGAGCAGGACAACGAAAATCAGCTGACAATCATGAACGATGGAAGAAAAAGGAAATGATCGGCTATCAGGAAGAACTCGTCGAAGCGGGTGATGCGTAGCCTGATCGGGCAATATCAAAAGTTCACGCGCAGAGCATGGAACACTTCATGGGAAGGACACCCAGTAAAGTGAGATAGAGCCGTTTGGAATCATTTTGAAAAAACGTGTTTGGGAACTTGAACTCGAGAAAATAGATGGGCATGTTTTTCTAACACAGTATTTCCGGTTTACGGTATTAGGACGGGCTATTGAGGAAATGAAAAGAGAAAGAAACCTTTGGAAATCGGAGTGAGCAGATGAAGTCACCCCTTCCAAACAGACCGTCGGAGAAATGACCGCTACCAGGTGATTCCATTGGAATTCAATTGTGAAAGTGGGGTCTACTCAGCAGTTCAGGAGCCAGAAATCTTCAGAAAACAAGACACTCGTGATGCAGAGAAGAACGTGATCGCCAAGTGTTTTGGCATTTCGAAGAATAGTCCTCAAGCGAAGGAACCGTCCAAGATTGTGTATTCCTCCTCCTCCCACCCTTCCTGATCTTTCTCTTTCGGCACGCACTCATTCTGCAAGCCCTCCCTCTCCGCTTCTTCCTCTTCCGCACTCTTTCGTCGCCCAGAAAACAACCAACCCACCTACCGGCGTCAGAAATGGTGTGATTGTGAGACGAGAGAAGGAGGTAGGGCAAAGGGTCTTCTGTTCCGTAGTGTAGCAGGGCGTCGTGCTCCGCCCACTACGATCATGACTAGATCTAGACTCTTTTATATAAAAGGACGACTACGACTATTTCATTTTACTCACTTATCATCGCTTCCCTCTCGGCTCTTTTCTCCATTGACCATCTAGAACTTTCCAGACAGAATGACCGTCAAGACCCGTTCGAACATCGCCAAGAAGGTCGAGAAGGAGGATGTCTCGATGGTGCCAGAGAGCCAGTATTTGGCTGTTGATCCAGATGAGATTGCGCAACTTCAGGAGGAGAGCAAAACTGTAAGTCACTTTTCTTCGTTTCGTTTTATACTAAAACAAATCATAGTAAAAGTTGTTTTCTCTCATCTATTCTACTTATGCATCTCAGCTCATCTCATTCCAGATTCCCTACAAGCAGGAGATTGTCTGGCGGAACGTCGCCCTTTTCGTCGCCCTCCACATCGGTGCCGGCATCGGTCTCTGGAACCTTATTTTCGATTGCAAATGGCAGACCGTTATCTTCAGTGAGTTTTCCTCCGCTATCAAGATGTTGATCAGCGACACAGAGTAGTTGAACATTAATGTCGGCGAAAAATTTATGGCGTGATTCTGACCACATTGAACAAAAAAGTGAGGGAGAAAGAGAGAAAAGGAGAGCGCGGAACAAACTGTAGTACATCACAAACGATGTCTGATTCCGGGTTTCTCATTATCAGCACGAGGTGATGAAAGCGCTCGCACAAAACATGATTAATAGCAACAAACGGAAATTTCAGCCTTCCTGCTCTATGTCTTCGGAGGATTCGGAATCACCGCTGGAGCTCACCGTCTCTGGTCCCACAAGTCGTACAAGGCCACCGTCCCAATGAGAGTCTTCCTGATGATCCTCAACAACATTGCTCTTCAGGTATTACAACCGACTACGTCCTGATTGAATAACCCGTGACACTGTTCCAGAATGACGTCATCGAGTGGGCTCGGGACCACCGCTGCCATCACAAGTGGACCGACACTGACGCCGATCCGCACAACACCACCCGTGGATTCTTCTTCGCCCACATGGGATGGCTTCTCGTTCGCAAGCACCCGCAAGTCAAGATCCAGGGAGCGAAGCTAGACCTGTCCGATCTGACCAGTGACCCAGTTCTCGTCTTCCAGAGAAAGTGCGGCATTCGTTCATAGGCACAACGTCTAATTGTTCCACTTTCAGGCACTACTTCCCACTTATCGGCCTTTTCTGCTTTGTCCTTCCAACCGTCATCCCAGTCTACTTCTGGGGAGAGACCGTTTGGAATGCGTGGTACACTGCTGCTCTCTTCCGTTACGCTTTCACCCTCCATGCCACGTGGTGCATCAACAGTGCTGCTCACTAGTCAGTTCTTCCCTTACAATTAATCACAACAACAGTTTCTTACAGTTTCGGATGGAAGCCATACGACCACGCAGTGTCCCCGGTTGAGAACGTCTTCACAACCATCGCCGCCGTCGGAGAAGGAGGTCACAACTTCCACCACACGTTCCCACAGGACTACCGTACCTCCGAGTACTCGCTCAAGTACAACTGGACTCGTGTGCTCATCGACGTCGCCGCTGCCGTTGGCCTCGTTTACGACAGAAAGACAGTTGCCGATGAGATTATTCAGCGCCAGATAACGAACAAGGGAAGCCACGAGCACTACGAAAAATCCATGATGTAAAATTTTTGTTACCTTCTCATTCATTTTTTAAAATTTCGGGTTCACTCACTTTTCCGTATTCCAGCAGTATAAAGCTTTGATATCTCTTTTCTTCTTACGCTGCAAACAGTTCAAACATCCAATTTGTGTCAGCGATTGTTATGTTCTTTTCGGTGGATCTACAAATTTTGTGGAAATGATTATCAAGCTGTCCTTGCAAAAGAGTGAAAACTCTAGAAGATCGAATTTCTTTGAATTGCAGCCAGGAAGGATAAAGGATGAAGACAAGAGAGGAGGCCTCCAATCAACTCGACAGTTTTGTGTCTGATGCTCTCCTAACGCAGTTCGCAGATTTCTACTCCTCTGCTGCGTCAATGATCGCATCCACTCCACTGCCCCCAAATTTTTCAACAGACTTCTTAGGGACGGCGTCGGGAATGAGGACGAGAAGTCGGAGAGACGGAGCATTGGTGCCTTGGAGCAGTCAAGCCGAGGAGCAACGAATCATCGAACTGAACTGTTCCGCGGGAGTTCTCCGTTTTATATCCATTTCATACATAGAATAAAGGTGAATTTTTTTCCGTGTGATGTTTAATTTTATGTCATTTGTGAAATAGGTGCAGTTTATTGTGTTTAATACTGATATAAGTTACACGTCATAAATAGGGAACGGGGTCTTGTGCCATGAATCCACGTCCATCGTCTGGCTTTCCAACCGAACGTATCGGAACGAATTCTGAGGATGCACTTGCGGAAGACCGATTATGAGAGTGCCTGAAACGGTTTGAAAACTAAACAGATTTAGGAATAAGAATTATGATCAGCTGTTAGTAGTTGAGCGTCTGTATTGCTAACAATCGCGATCTACCGCTCTCCACGTGAATTGAGTGCTAATGTGGAAAGGTAGCGGCTGCTGAGAGACATTTCCAGAATTTCGGGGGATAATATCTTTGTTCTACTAGCGCTGATCATTCACTAGTTATCAGCTCCTTCTACTTGTCCTCCCGATAAGCCGCGATTAATTTATTAGCTGTTATCATAATCACCTCCGTCAGATGATTCGCTTACCTGAAGGGTTCTGGCAGCACTTTGGAGGTCGGAGCGTCGACTGAATCAGATGAATTATAATGCAAATGATGGACATTCCCTTCAAGAACACACATTTTCATTCGGAAAAAAAAATGGTTTATTACCCCCACGAGAAGGACGACGACGGGCGCCCATTCCACGATGACTTCCATTGTCGCGCGTCCGAATTCAAACAGTTCCAGCTCAATTTTCGTATGATTTCTTGCTGTAAATCGTTAAAATCAGAGCGGAAAGATTGTGAAAGAGGAAAAGAGAGAGAGAGAGTGGACAGTGGTTCTCTTGTGTCAATTGAGAAGGCGAAAAATGTTTGTTTGTGGTGGACAAATAGGAAAGGAAACCGAACGGGTACCGCCTGGTGGAGACACTTGTGTCGGTTGACCACCACGCAAAAAAACCCCGACGCGATTTTGTACTTTTTGCAGGACACGAGTAAAACGTTTAGCGATATCACGGAAATGGTGGCGACCTAAATGCATTATCAATTTCGAGCGGTTACCCTGAGTCAAAGGGCGGCCACTGCTGTCGAAAAGGAGAAAAAAGGGGAGCTCAGAGAGTTTCATAGTGTGTAGTCGAAAAGGAAATGGAAGGAAACGACGAATTGCAGATGTGCTTTCAAGCGAAAGCAAACTATATTGATGCTCTCTTTCTTTGTTTTCGAAAACAAATTGCTATTGAGCTTTTTGTTTGGGAAATGTTCGAATCGTCTGGTCACTATTGCCGTCGAAATCTGTTAAACATGGGGAACGTTCACATTGAAAACGAGTGCAAACATTTGGAAAGTTTTGAGATTACAAAAAATAGTCTTTGATTGATCTAGGAATCTTTCTGGACTCCAAGACTGCGCCGAACATGAAACTAATGGAATCCCTAAAAGAATGTATTTAGTTTGACCAGAATAGTCGAGTCAATGAGCGGCAGTTTGAAACTCCCCTTGGACGAGACCAATATGGCTTCTCACCCGAATACGTGCTAAAAGACGAGGCCAAAACAACGACTCCAACAGAAACATAAACAAGTCTAGAAGCGTCGACAGACATTCAGAATTCGTATATAATTTCACAAGAAAGGTGCCACGTCATAAGAGTAACTTCAGAGAACGAGATCGCCGTTTTACCTGCATGAATTCTGAAACGACCCTAATTGCTCACGGAAAGATCCAGTTTTTAGGGCTCTCCGACCTCATGTTTTCCGAAAGACACATTTGGGATGCGGAGTGATTCGGCAGCTCTTGGAACTGGCACACGCGGGGATGACGGGTAAACGAGGAGAACGACTCACCGAGCATTCGAGCTGATGAGTAAGCGGTGACGCGAGAATCTGGAAATAATCAGTTCGTCATTCCACAATGATCATTTGAACAATATTACTATCAAAAGCGTCTGAAAAAGAATGGAATTGAAGAGCGAAACAATAATGAATCAGTGAAAGAATGTGTTTGCTGGACGGCTTTGAAACTGTTTTACTCTTCCTGTCGATGGGTATTATCAGTAGCTAAATAACAAGGAGGACGGCGGAAAATAACTACAAAGGCACAAAATATGTGCACCGAAATGGAGCATTGCTGGTGAAAACACGCTTGCAAGCATTCTGTTTGAGAAGACATTTTACGAGTTTTCGTTTTATCAAAGAGAGCCATGCTTCCTGTTATTTTCAAATGTTCAAACTATGAAAGTATGTTAGGAGTATCTTTTATTAGACGATCCCTTTTAAAAACTAGAATGTTACTATGATGTTCGTTGTGGCAGCTTTTCAACAGTTCCCTAGTACGGTAAAAAGTACAGTATTAAACCTTTCGGTATCCTTCCTAGGCATATTCGTCGGAGAAGACAAAGTACAGAAGGAATCAGAAACTGTTCTGTTTCACGTCCCCGCAACACTGTCGCCGTTCACGTGTCGACTGAACAAGTCCCCAAATTGAGAGTCACATTCTCTCCTCTGCGAAAACTTGCATCACAGATTCGCTCCGATTCGTCTTTGCCCCTCTTTTCACAGCTGATCAGTGACAATCGGCGTCTGCTTTCCTTATTTATCGCATCTTGTTTCTTCTTTTCGACCGCGAGGCTCGAACACGAGATCTTCGACATTCTGTTCATGATTTCTCAACGACACCACAATTCATCCAATTGTTTATTTATATTAAAACATTAAAACAGAAAGTAGGAGAGTCAGGTAGAGAAAAAGAGAGAGAAGACGTGATCGATTAATCACTCGCAAGCACAAAAAACGATGAACGCATCGACAGGGTGAAGAAGAAAAAGAAGAAGAGCTAAAGATCAGTGATGCGAGAGATGGCGATCGGAGCGACGATGTTCTGAAGTTCGTCGGGAGGGCAGATTCTGAGATGGGGCATCTGCTCGAAAAACATCTTCATTTGACTATTGATCGACTGAAAACGATTGGGAAGAAAGATTCGAGGAAAAACAAAATAAGAGGAAAGAGGGTAGGCATGCAAAAATATCACTAGAAAAGATAACATGACGACAATTTGGTGGGGGCGCTGAGCAAGAATTGAGCATTGGAAAGAGAGAAAAGGGAATTGAAACCGTAGGAAGAATCACATGGAGTAAATGATTGCGGTGAGATCGGAGAAGAAAACGTTCTGGACGGTGGAGGTCATGTCGGCGTTCTTAAGGAAACACAATACTTTGCGGATCTTTCTGGAGCACTCCTCACCTGGACGTCAGTGTACAGACACATGAGTTCGCCCATACGACCGGCGTAGTTGTCAATCTTCAAGCCGTCGTGATAGAGAACGTGGATATCATTGAATATAGCAGTGCGGACGGAAGTGGCGCGGGCATCCGACTCTTCGTTCACTCGGTGATTCTTCTTGGCCCAAATGTTGAGGGCGAGGAGAGTAATGAACTCAAACTCTTTGATTATGAGTTTGTGCATTGGCTCAAGCACCAACATTCTGGCTGTTTTGAGCAGATTCTCCAAACGCCTGTAATAATTGCGCACTTGAAGAAGAAAAAAAAAGTTTGTTTGGATTACCTTTCGATCACCTGTACGGTCTCTTCATCTTGGCCATCGGTGTTTCCGAGCCAGAATCGAACGTTTTTTGAATCGATGTAAGTGGTTTGAGTGCACATGAGAAGGCTCTCGTACTCGGCTTTCACAGGCATGTTACGGTAAGTCCAATAGCAGGATTCGACCTCCCAAAGTACCGGGTAGAACAGAGCACAAATACGTTTTTGCTCGTCAACTCCGCACGAAGCATACTCGTCGAACGTTTTCAGAAGGAAGTTGTGCAGAAGATCAACTTGTTTCCGATAAATTTGAGACAAGGTTTCTCTGGTGGCCTTGAAGATTGGGATTCCAGTTGAACCGACAACCTTGAAATCTTTTTGCATATGCGGAAGAGAGAGCTCCACTTCCAGGCGTTTCTTGGTGAATTCACTGAAAGTTTGGTATGATTGGGATGGCTGAAGTGATAATTGGAACATACTTGTAGTTGATGAGAACTTTGTTGATGAGAGTTGCTCGAGTTGTATCTTGATTTGGAATGCCACTTGTAGGAATCGGACGGAGAACAGCCAGTGCGTTCTGTGGGGCGATCAAAGCAGACTCGTCCACTTCCTCTGCGTACTTCTCTTCCGAGCCGGTGTCAGACTCGTCCTCTTCCTGCTTCAGCCTCGGAGCCGCATTGTTCTCTTGAGGAGCCTTCACGTGGTCGGGCGAACGACGGCCAACCACAACTGAAACACCGTACTAGACTCTTCGTTTCACATGGTCTTCTCATAATCCCCCTTTCCCTTTTACTATCATTCCCCCCAATTGGTGGGCGCTAAACAGTGGCGTCAAATGCGACCAACAACCAAATCGGCGAGTGGTTTCACGTGCACCTCCCTTCTGTTTCAGTGATCTCTTCACGAACATATACGTTCTACGCGATTGTTCTACGAAGACCATCGAGTCGGCAGACACCACACATCCTCTCGTATCACTCGTCCCCTCCATCTCTCTCTCTCTCTCTCTCTCTCTCTCTCTCTCTCTCTCTCCTTTTCACAGATAGGTCAATCAGGGATCACTCGCCAATAGTTGTTTCAATGGACGCCGATCGTGCTGGATTGTTTCCCTCCGCGCACCGTCGCTGCTAGCACCCCGACGCCGTCAGGCCGGTTCCAGTTTTCACGCGCATTTGGATGGAGGTCGCGGTATCAGTGATGTTAGATGCCGTTTCGAGACAATGCATAATAATGGCGAAAGAGGAGAGGAAAAAGCAAGGCAACTCACGGTCGATTTGAAGACCGACGTGAAGGCATCGCATCCATCGACACTTCTGACACGTTGTCTTACGGGAAATGGCTGTAAATAGACAGCTATTCGAGAGGAGACGATCGGCTGATCGGTTTGTAACTGATCTTCTCCGAATCGGACGCAAGATTACTGTAGTTGTACTCACTGTTCAGGGCACAATTGTCGGTTCCTCTTCTGCAAACGAACGTCTTCTTGACGGAAACACTGCGTCGGAAGAAGGCCGCACATGCACGGCAAATCTGAAAAGAGAACGTTTTTGTAAAATGCTTTCAGATGATTCTATACTCATTTTTGAAACCTAAATAATCACAGAACTGAGATTATTAGCTAATTGAATTCAAGTTTACAATGAGAACCAAACTACAGGACTGGACGGTGAACTTGGTTGACACTTTGTTGTTGACGGATCAAACTGGCACGCTTGTAGTCAACTTCGTCCTTCATCCTTCAGAGAACGTAGTCAGATGATGTTTGAAGTATTTGCGTAATATTATGTGAGTTCGAACGACTTTGCCCCACAAGATCACCCAAAGGCCATTTATTTCTCTCGAGTGCAGAAATCGCACGGGATCTGGTTAGAAGGTTTGAAGAATGCATAGTGTGGATGCAGATGGACACGTCTGATAGCTCGCGGAAAAGATTGGAATCTTTGTCTTTTGTCTGCGAAGCTCAATATTTGATCTAGAACTTCAGAAAATGATCAACAGTAAGTGGAATTTAGAACGGATCCAACTGGAGATCGAAATTTGTGATAGGGCTCCGAAATATAATGAAGTAAGTTGGCGATTGGGGTCAAAGTAGATATTGAACGGCTATTTAGAGCGGAAGAGAGAAATAAACCAAGGGATGAGACGGGGAACACAACATGCAGCTAATCATTTTCACCCAATCATTTTCAGAGCGGCATTCCATTTCCCTATTGTTATTCATGTTTTCGCAGCCTCTTCGTCTGACCGAATCGCTTCTTTACGTGCTAATTTATCTCGGTTGACGATTGTCCCAGAACAAAAAGAGTCACAGATATCTGGACATCAGCATCACTTCGGATGCCTCGTCCCTCGTTGTTTTCCTCATTATTTTCCTCAAAACGACTCACGTCTATTCCGAAATGCTGCGATCCGTCGTACTTTCTCTCGCACACTCTACAATGGATGTCGGAAACGTCGATACCGTACGGACTCGAAGAGGAAGAGGGCATCGAGAGAGGAGACGTCGCGTCGGCAGGGTGTCCGCTAGAAGATTTCAGAGATTGCGACGCGCTGATAACAGGCTCTCCAAAATGTGCTGGATCATTGTATTGGATTCAATGAACCCAACATCGAATGAACGAGCGAATATGGTGAGCAAGAAATGCGATTCTTTCAGATGACTCTGTTTTGAAAGAAAAAGACTCACATCATGACGTTTTGGAGCGAGACGATGGGATCAAATTGAGGGAACGGGCCGCTGATCATCACAGGCGGTGAATTGATTGGGGGGGATTTTGTCGCTGAGCGAGGACAAGAAGTACTGTAATCTTTGGCTTGTAAGGAACAATGACGTCATCACGGGGATTCGAGAACGCCGATCTTTGCATGATTCGGCGAGGAAGTGAGCGGAAAAAGAGAGGAAATCAGCACTTATCACTACAACTTGTGTGGTTTCGATGGTCGCAAAAGGGGATAGGAGGAAGGTGAAAATGGAATCGAATTATGCAAGTTTGTACATGCCCGATTGCAGTCATCGGAACAAGGTCGGATGGGAGGGAGGCGAGGGAAAGGGGGCGGGGCGACCGGGGTGGGTGGGATTATGAAAACGTCACGAGCATGGGAACCAAATACAGACGACTAGTGTCAGATGGAAATTAATGAGCAAAAGGGGGAGGGAGTGAAGTTGAGATCTCAATTCGCGGATCGACCACTGCGCAGTGAACAGTTCTCTGCAGAAAATGTAACGAGGTCTTCGGTCTTGCCACGTCATCTCATTGCAAAACTAAATCATCATTCGGCCGGTGCTTCCACAATTTGACTAGAGAGACGTGTACGAGTTGATTAGGATGTTTTTTCAAACAATAAAAACTAGAACGACTGTAATTCTGAGTAAATGGGTAAATTATTAAGCGGTAAAAAGTGGTAAAAATGTCAGTGTTCCCACGAGGAAGTGATTCAGCAACTGAGAAAAAGTGGAGTTTCAGTCTGAATTGAATTTCCAAGATCTCCGGGGGAGAAGACAAATTAGCTGATGAAGCCTGCGTACTTTCAATGTATGTTTTATCGGTCAACGCATTCTGACCACAACTAAACTATTCTTTGTTCAGCGATTACCAAAAGCAGGGCATTGAATTGAGAGACACAAATCAGAGAAAATGAATGAATAAATATCTTCCGTTACAAACTATGCATCACTCATCAGTGCGTACAAATTCTCACCGAACATGTTCATGCATCCATCTTATCTTCCGCGGGTTTTATCAGTTTTATCAGCAGAGGAACGAAACGAAAAGGGAACATTTCGTTCCCTGGTGTTCGGTCATAATAAGGGAAGCAAAGAAACAAGCACAGACTACAGTATCCGCGTCATTTTTTGTGACTTCTTCTGATTAGAAGACGTTGATTTGCTAGTGGGCTGGAAGGCGTTAACGGTCAAGCAGAAGGATTACGGTAGGTTCGATGAAGCTTCCGATTTATCAAATTGGAATTGATCTATGAACTGGAGAGAAATGATTGCGCGTGAATTCGTTGTTTCGATGGGAGCGGGCGTTTTGATGAGAAGCGTAAGGTTGAGAGTAAAAATAGAACGTCGGGGGTTGCTCGTGAAAACAAAAATTCCTAATGTTCTCTTTTCATAGTAATTAGTACAGTGTAGCAAACCTGCGAATATGCGCCGAAATGCAAATGGAAATGTTTTGGAACAACTCGGATAACTGAAAGTTCAGCAGAAAGGATTTTGAATTACGGTGGCTCGAATATAAACTCTTGAACTCTGTCCCCATGGCTAATGACTCTCGAATGTAAACAGATTCATTTGAGAGCTCACAACAGATGATCAGCGCACTGAAGGGTTAACGAAAAGAGCCAGATAGCTCCGCCCCATGATCACGGAGAGGAAAGACACCACCAGTTTTGTCGATCGGTGTCTCTTCAATGTAAATACGAACGCTAACTCGTTTTTTGATTCGTTCTCTCGCCGTAAACAGAGAATGCTCCTGTGGTCATTCACATGACGCGGACCGTTCCAGAAAACAATACGTCGAGGGAGGACAGTCCGGAGTGCTGGTGGTTGCCAAAACAACGGCTGACGGCTATGGAACGCACTTTCCGAACATTGTTTTCAGCCACAGGTAGGCCAAGCAAATAGGAGGGAAAGTTCAGAGTGAGAAAGGGAAGGTTCAGAACAATAGGAGGGAGGCGCGCGGGGATTACGGTAGAGGGCGGGTGAAGAGACCAATATGTGCGAAGATGAGAAGCATTGATATGATGGGATGAAGAGGAATGAAAGAGGACAAGAAGCACGAGGGAATGTGAGAATCCAGGCATGTTCTGATTTGTGTAGGCAGACTAAACGAGGGCGGAGGCAAACGGTCTGAGAAGATGAAGAAGGGAGGCGCACAGGGATGATCAAGAACATTTCCGCTTTGGGATGGCGGAGGAAAGAGCTCCAACACATCGCCTGGAGCGCCGCCATTTTTGCGAGAATTCTGAAAAAGAAGTAAGAGAGTGATGGGGGGAACGAAATGGCTGTTTCTCATCGGGAACAAGTGCATAATCTGCAGCATTGAAACATTTGGTTCGACTAGACACTTGCAGGTGATAAATGATAACACTCCATTGTAAGATTCATCCGTTTTTTGACGATCATCGACACAACTTATCCGTTTCAAATGCGCATCATGATATCACCGCAGACGGACTAGACTTCCTTATATAGGTGGATTTAAAAGTTTCAGATGACTCACCGGATTAACTGGAAATAAGATTCAAAGTGGAAATGAATGGGTTACTGGGAATCTACGAGGGGAAGTTAACGAGAGAAGAAGGTCGTGTTGGTCAGACGATTGTATTCTCAAGTTGTACGATCTGAACCCCGATTGGACAAAGTTACCCGTGTTCTGATCCCTCTCTCACACGTTCCCGGAAGTGCAAATGAGCAAGATTATTAATCTGAAAGAGTGCGCAGAGCCAATTCTCGTCAGAATCCGTCCACCCACACTCTGCTCTTTGTTCATCAGAAACGAATTAGATTGAGCTAGCCATTCACGGAAACCAAACACTTCCGTCCTTTGGAGAAATGTTCTGGGAATGGGATTCTTGAACCAAAGAGTACATGGATTGTGCTTTTGACCTGTTTCATTCAAGTGGTCAGACTCCGCCTGACCGACTGATCCCTCATTCCGTTGAGGTAATCATTGAACCTACAGCCGATCACAATCCAAAGATTATCAATTCCGTGAAGACAGAGTCACTTGTCGCGAGTTGAATGGAAATGAATGGAAAGGGATCATATAGGCACCTTCTGAAATGAATTAAGCTTCGATCTCCGCGCTTCATTGTGACGGACGTATCCGGACACGCACTACACATATCCAGCACAAAGTTTGTCTCGCAAATATCGGCATTATCGTGTCCCATCGAAAGGTGCTATCGATGCCGCGAATCTTTCACAAAGCAATACAAAAAGTGGTGTTGGTGTGTGAGTGGATAGATGACTGACCCGATCGGATGGACCGTTCCGAACGTAAAAGCTTCGTTTCTCTACCCATTCCTTGTTTAATTGCTCGAGGGTACGCTGATTCTCTGTTCTGAAATGCAATTTTTTTTGAAAAGGTCAAAATGATTTGTGAGGAATATTTGTAAACTCATTTTGGTCAAAAACAGGCGGTGTTCAGAGTAGAATGACTGGGCCACAGAGTTAGCGGTAAACAAGAGTTGAGTGAAAGTTCTCTGAGCACAGCCTTTTGGAAACATGTGCTCCTTGCTCATTTAACGTTAATGCAGCAGCTTATCATCATCATTCGGCTGAAATTCACTTTGATTTTTGGTTCGCAGACGAATTGGCCTTTCCTTATAAACGGAAGAGCCAATGACGTCATCGTCGTGTCAACAGCTATAGTCAGTAGTCATTAATGTTGAAAATAAAGCTACAGTAAGACATGGAGACTGAAATGTCCGACGGAGCGAGAGGAACGAAGCAAATGCTAATGTGAACGATTCGTTGCCGCCGTTCATTCCAACTCATTCCACTTGTATGTACACAACTTTTTTGTCTGGATTGAAAATCTGTACCCGGATCGCACAAGATCGTGTATTCTAATCTTTCGCCTCATTTTTTCATACCTCTCTCTCTATCTTGACAAGATATGCATCTGGGCAGAAGTCGAAACCAGCAGTCGATTGGCGCTCTTCCCGAACCGAGTTGTTTTGCATTCGGCATCCAGGTGAAGAGCAAAGAGCACTTCCGCTGGTTGCGTGAGCCCCGCGAGTGCAAGCATGGCGGAAGGTACATAAACGAGCTGTGGGAGGCGATGTGTCGGAAGAATTGAACTGGAAACAAAAAAAAGCGGTTACACTCCACTGATATTCCACTGATTAAGCTGAGCTAATTGGAAGCACAAAACAGAAGTTAGAGTGTGTTTTATGCTCAATTCATAAACCACAAAATAGGGTTATGGGAACGGTGCTCTGGCCCCGGCTGGCATGGTCACCCTTGACTCGGCCTGGTTATAAGGCTGTAATCCTCTGACACTTCTCTTCAATTTTATTGTACAAGGAAGCAATCTTTCTGGTGGATCATGTTTTCTCTGGAACAACATGCCGATTTGATGAGCTTTTGTGAGCGCCTGCCGCCGTTTTCCTTCCTATCCGACACCTTTTCAGTGTGTGCTGCCGCGACTGCGACTGTCGCTGGCGTCGGTCTTTCCGTTCTTTGTACTACTGGCCAAAGAGAGAACACTCGCGGAAAGAGGGACAAATCGATGAGAAGCCAGAGGGGAAAGAAGAATGCGTCGCAGAGAAGTCTGAGAAAGAAGAAGCCGCAACCGCTCCCGATGAAAGAAGCGGTGAAAGAAAAGAGTCTCAGATCGAAGAAGAAGGATGCTAGTGCCAGGTCCAAGGTTCAGGTGGAATCGAAAAAACAGGAGCCCGAAAAGAGTGTTGTTCCCAAAAAGGTCACTCAGTTATCATACAATTTTATGCAGCGATTTTATTTTTCAGGAGAGCAGCAAGCGTGAGAAGAAGGGAGATCCCATGAAAGAGCTGGGAACGAACGACGAGAAAACCGAAAAGCCGTTGATGCCCTTGTCGCTTCTGCCTCCTCCAATCACTCCCATTTCCCCATCCGCTCTGGAGAAACTTGATCCCACTTCCACTACTCCTCCGGCGGCTCAGACGGCTCCTGCTAATGTTCCAGCTCCAGCTCCTGCCTCACCTACTCCAAAACAGTCCCCAGTTGCCGAGGAGAAGAAGCCGGAAGTTGTGGAGGCGAGCAATGTCGTCGCGGTGGGAGGAGAAGAGAAAGCGCCGGAGAGTGTGATGATCGACAACCACGAGGGAGCGTCTCAGATGAAGGAAGCGAACCGTCTGTACGGAGCATCGGGAGAAGCGGCTGTTGCTGAGTGAGGAAAGGAGCTGATAGGTAGACCATTTGATAATATGCTTCAGGGCCAAGAAACAGGTTGCAATGGAGAAGGAGAACGCGAAGGAACAGCCGAAGGAGGAACCTGCTCCAGGGTGAGAAGAGAACTTCTTTGAAAGCTCACAGTTCACTTGTTTTCAGGGATTCCCAGTACTTGTAGTAGATGGATTTCTTTTAAAGAACCAATTAACTCGTTTGCATTCGAATAATAAAGTTTTGTGTATTTTACCTGAAGGTGGAGCTGCTTAACTCCTTCGAGGACCCGGTGGATGGCACGTTATAGGTTATAACAGAGAGGTTGACAAAAATCGGTTTGCACCGAGTCGGAATGGAACCAGCGTCTTCAGATTAAGCCTCTGATGCACTGAAAATGTCCTCTGAGGAGTTAAGCTCCATACCTTCGAGAATACTGACAATGCACGAAAACCAGGACGTTCAACCTCCTGAATTCTGAAATATTCTACCTGAGCAATTGCATCTTTATTATTATTATCATCAATAAATTGAATGTATATTTAAAGTGAGAACGAGCTCTGAAAAGAAGCTCAAGAATTCCGCTGAGAGACCCGCACTTTTGGCGTTTGGATGGATGAAACGAAGGAAACAAAATATAAAGCTGTCGAGAAGAAAACATTTGAATTTGGCTCTCTAGATGTTGCCGGTCCGCACGTAGTACCTCAATTGATCTTCCGAGTTAACGACGATCAGACGACGTCGGACGACGTGATCTCCTCCGAGAGCAATCCTTTGTTGCTCTTCTGAATTATGAGTTTCACTTTGATCGAAGGATGGTTGACATACCGACAACATTTGTGAAGTTTCTAGTTTTAGATGGGTTTCTCGCAAATGCCGACGGAGATATTCCAATTTGAGAGGCCAGTTCTGGATTGGCTTCCAGAGCCTTCCTGATGTCGTCCAATGAAAGCTCTCTTCTGTATCTGTGCATGTAATTGTTGTCGCATCCTTCCACCTCGTCACACGTATTCTGAAGGGGAAGCGTTTGTGTTGAGCACGGAGTGATGCAGTCTCACCTTTGGACAAGGGGCAAACGGACATATTCTGACGAGGCACGAGTATTGCACCTGCCCAGTTGTCTGGTATCTGAATGCCTCCACTGACACCTTGGCTCCAAACTCTGAGTGCGTCGGGGGACAGACGAGGCCCACTCCGTCGGCCGGACACCCGTCTCTGATGATGAACAGTGGTTCGTGCTCCCATTCGTATTTCGGGTCGATTGGTTCCACTTGGCAGCCGCGGACCGAGACGTACTCTGGCGGAATCGGATAGTGAGGACGGAACGAAAGGGAGATCTTCGTGCCGACGACGACCGCCTCCACTGCCTGTCCGTTGTGGAAAATGTCGAAGATCACAGGAACTTTCGGCTTTCCGGCAATTGTTGAGCTGAAATTAATAACTCAATTTTGCCAGTCAGGCCGGAATAGAACAGTACCCATCGGATGCTGCGGATGTTGAGGTGGTTGCTTGAGACGCCGGAGACCCAACCGGAGAGAGAGCAGGAGAAAGAGTGACGGTCGGAGTGGAAGGGGGACTCGGAGTAGTCGTTGTGGTAGTAGTGGTCGTTGTTGGAGTCGTGGTGGTTGGAGGAAGAGTAGTTGTTGTGGAAGTCGTCGTAGTTGTGACAGGCTTAACAGTAGTCGAGGTGGTGGTTGTTGGTGAAGTTGTCGTGGTCGGAGCAGGAGTCGTTGTTGTAGTCGTGGTGCTGGTAAAAGTAGTGGTCGTGGTTGGAACATCACTGAAAGGAAACGAATTAAACCTCGGAAGAGAACCCCTGAGAATCTCATTTTCATTTCCAACAGAAAGTCACTCAGACAACACAACACTCGGGAAAACAGCCAGTGTTCGGATAAATGATAAATGTTAGAAGGAAACGGAACAACTTGCATTTTGTGGGTACTCGGATGTTTCGTGGTGAAAAGTCTCGCTCGGGCAAAACTCGAATCCTTGGCCACAATAATTGCAACTTTGGGAGTAGCCGACGGAATTGTGGAACGATTAATTGGTCTCCTGGATGTAGTTCTGGGAGTGGTAGTAGTAGTAGACAGGGTAGAAGTAGAAGCAGAAGAAGTGGAAGTAGAAGGGAGGACGGAAGTGGTGGTCGGCTTCGGCGTCGTGGTGGTACTGGATGTGGTTGGTTTCTTGGTTGTCGTTGTTTTGGGGGTAGTCGTTGTCTTCTGGGTCGTGGTTGTCACTCTTGTGGTAGTGGAAACGGTTGTGGTGGTTGGCTTCCTGGTGGTAGTTATCGTGGACACTTGCCTCGTAACTGGCGCTGGTTCTGTGGACGTCAACGGAAGAGAGAACGTGTTCTGAACGGGCCCTTCTTCCTCGTCGCCAACTTTCGAGAGTAACTCAAACAACGCATGCGCGGATGCCTCCATCTCTTTGTTTCTAAACAGAACAAACCAATCAGTCATTCAAACTTATATTTCCTCAATCAAAATTAAAAATAAGTACTCTGAATGTTTACCTGTTGTCCAAATGAGCCATAGATTTCGAGTTCTGAGTGTCTTTTGCTTTTACTCCGCTGATTGGGCAGCGAGCCTGATAGGTCAGATCGTCCGGAGTTATGAAGTAAAGTGGCTCGATACCATCTGTCGAGAGAACCACTTCCAGAACCATCTCGTTGCCCTGTAAACGTTAATTGATGCACAGACATAATACACAGCTTTATACCTTGTATTTGATAGAATCTGAGCAATTCTTGCTGACGGTCTGATACGGGAAGAAGTGATCGAATTCAGTGGATTCCTTTGGTTCCGTTCTGCACGTGAAGAAGTCATAGAGTCCGTAGAGGGCTCCAGTGTACGGCAAACGAGATTTGACACTGACCGAGATTCCGTTCTCATTGCACTCGTGCTTGAAAGTGAAAGACTCGGACACTGAAATAGATACTGTTATCCGTGCGCTCTGTTATTGCAAGTACTAACAATTGTAGCAGTTGTTCTCGTAATAGTCGATGCGATAGTTCGGATTGTTGTTGAGTCGAATGGCTTCCGGACGGGAGATCTGTGAATCCTTGGACATGTGACACCCTCCATCGGTTCTATTGAAAGAAATGGAACGGCATTCAAAAGCAGCCTCGTCCAAACAATCGGAGAGACACTCTTCCAGATTCGCCTTCGTTGTCGTCTTCACCACCGATTTCTGATCGATGTAACGGTCGGAGAGATAAGTGAATGCATACTCTCCCGAGCACTTTCTGGTTGCTGAAGAAGGAATTATGCTTAGTCGACAACTCTAAAAGGATTCTCACATGAAAGACAGTACTTCCAGTAGAAAGTGTATCTATCATCTGCCTCGACGTAGCCGTCAACATTCTGCAGTTGATGCGGTTGGAAGACGTCGCAATGGTGAGAGAATCCATCAGGAGATGCCTGATGGTTCACGGCTGCACACTCCAATTGCTTGCCCGGACTGACGGGATCTTCTCCTAGCGAACATGCCGATTGGCATCCTTTCAACGAGAGCCTCGCCTCTGCGACTGCCTTGAAGTTGAGACGTACTCGAGGCCATCGGACATAGAATGCGTTACATTTTGGGACGAATGCTAGAAACACGTTAATTATGGGCAACGGATTCGATCGGACATCAGACGAAAAAAGATAAACTTACCTTGAGATACTGTAGCGGAGAATGCTATTACCAGAAGGAGGGGAAGCAGTGGATTTCGCATAGGTTCGACTGAAAAACGAGCAGATTGAAGAGAGCGAATCGGATGGAATTACGAAACGAAATGAGGGAGATTATGGATGAGGAGGGGAAAGACTGTTTTTGGGGTCATTTAGAGGGAAAACGAGGCAAAAGCGGAAGAAGAAACGCACGCAGAATTTGAGAGAAAGTGACTGTATAAACAAGTTGGAGAGGAGGAAAACGGGAGAAGATGAGGGGTATTAGTATATTGAGAATACTGTTTTGGGAAGCGAGAAGCTCTGAGGAGAAGCCAAGATTCTTGATCAAATCATCTTCCAATTCCTCAAACGATGAGTGTGTTCGTTGTAGTCGTAAATCGTAAATCCCGCTTCCGAAGCGGTCATCATTCTCTCCGCGCGACCAGATGATGATAAGTGGACTGTGGCTAACCCCATCGCTCTTTACTGCTATGGCATCCAGTTGTCCACAGTGTTGCCGGCCAAAAATGGAAACCGGTGCGCGCCGACCTCATTGCTTTTCACTTTTTGCAAATAAGCCAACGGATCCGAGCGAACGAGTATGGATTGAGTGACGATTAGGAAGGGAGGGGACAAGCAGCCCGTGTTCGGAAGCGCTTTCAGGTGCACTGACCATAAGTGACAAGAAGACTGGAGGATGACCTTCTGCTGGCAGTGTTTGTAAATGGAAGAATAGAAATGAGGAGTGGGAGGGATTGGTCGGTGTCCGAGAAGATTATGTCACAAAACAGGGAACGAAAGAAATGACCAAAAACGATTGGTTTCGTCTAGAGGTCAGACGAAGATTGGGATGGATGCAGGAAGGGCGGAATGGATGAGAAGGGGGTGTGAAACGAGTCGCTGGTTTTATGTTTTGGTCGAGTTTCGACACTTTTAAGGAGATCCGTGTGTTCCATCTTGAGATTGAATTCCCGAGAAAATCAAAGTAAACAGTAAAAGGGAAAGGATTCTGATCGCAAAAGTTTTCTGAAATCTCAGGAAAAGCAAAAGTGATCAAGAAGTTAAACAAGTTCAAAATTCCTACACCGACAGGGAGGCAAGATCGTGACCGCAACATTTTGGACAAGAAAAATGGAATTAGGAGGATGTTTGGAAGCGCTGATCGGCTTTGGAATGATGTGTACTTGATAGCATAACTGGGTCACAATCGCTCTCGAAACCGTTAAAAGGTAAAAGGCAAGAGGACGAAAGAGAAACTCGCTGACTGTCGCCCCGACACGGACAATGATACACTCGGACATGGAAAGAGAGCGGCCGAATGTCGGTAATTGGTTCAGTGTGCTAGAAGGTGAGGAGACAGAGAAAAAGATAGAACAGTGGATAAGCAGGGGCCGCCCGACGGTGCGGGCACGCAACCGATGACGGCCTTGACACGCAACAAAAACTTTCCGGGATGATGCCGTACAAGGAGGCGAAGCGAAAAGACACACGCGCACGATACTGTCGACACGAAAAATGACTGACTCTCTGTTCACTTTTATTCAACACAAATCTACATAGATGTATCACTTTTTTTTATTCTTCTCGTCCGATTCGGAAAATCACATTGACATCGTCTTGATGTATTTTGGCCCAAGATCCTGCCCGATCGAAGTGCTCCTGAAATGTGACAAGGCTCTCGGGGACCATGAAATGTCTTCTTACAATAGTTCCTCAACTTGTGCATCCCTTAACCTCTTTCTTCGGAATGCCAGGAAAATGGAAATGAGGATGGAAGAGAAACTGACGAGGAAGAGCCCGAAAGCAGGAAGGTAGAAGGTCGGCTCGATGCAGATGGCTGCAAGAATTCGGACGATGATCTAGATGACCTGTCGGCGACTCACGTGCGAAAAAGTTCTGCGATCCCGCATAGTTCTTATCTCCTTTAACAAACAGCCGCCGATCCACTCGTATCGAGTTCTCTTCGGAAGTCGACCGTGATTCTCGAGCGTTTGGAAGGGAATTGCATGTCATCTGTGATAGAGATCAGTGTGGAATTCCACGCCTTCCGTTTGACTCACCGTCGGACACTTCTTGTTTTCATCACAAATTGAGATGATGCAGGCGACGTCGATCTGCTCGGATCCGTCGATTCTGAACGCGGAGAGAGAGGATTGCCACCCGGAAGGCGTCAGTTTCATAGGAGACATAATGGCTGGCAGAAGAGCGCATCCGTCAGCAATCAGATTCACCGAAGCAGGAGGACCTTGCCCGCCGACTCGTTGAGCAGTGCAATCGACAATTCTTAGGAGATCGGCCGACACATTCGATTTGACAGTCGCAATCAGCATTTCTCCGACGAAAACACTGTCAACCATCTGTCCGTCTCTTGTTATTTCCAGCGAAATCCTTTCATTCAGTTGGCTCTTCTTAGTGACCATAACAGGCGACGGTCCCCTGAAAGAAATCATATTTCCTTCTTCTTCTCGCCCATCAGAAGCCTACCCGACCACAATCCCCTTGCTCACTCTCGTCTCGTCGTTGGGATTGTACTGGCATGAAACCTGGTAGAACAGATCGTCCTTCGTCGTCACGTCATGCGGTAGAATGCGGTCATTCGACATGATAACAATCGTCGACATTTCATTGTTCTGAAAAGCGAATATTTGTTATTCTTGTTCCAAGATTCGGATCTCTTTTACAAGTTCAACGGCGTTACACCAGGAATTGTGTTTCGGGCGAGGAATGAAAAGTGAGAATGTGGTAGCGTTCTTGACGAAAATGCGGCATTGATCGAAACGTTCGGAAGCATAGACTGCTCCCGTGTACTTCTGAAATGACCCTGTGATGATCATCAATCCGAGTGAAACAAACGGCCATGTCAGCAAGGTCAAATGTTATGTTAATTCCCTGAGGAAGACATTGGGCGGCCACAGAAAGCTTCGTGGGCTCCACGTGTGCGATTCCTGAAGAGATCGGCAACTGCATCGGAGTGGAGTCCTCCAATCCAACAAGCTCCGGATCTATGGGCAACAGAGCTATGCTTTCAGAGCTCTTGCTGTCAGAAACCGGTTTAGTTCCGGCATTAGGAAGGGCATGGGCACGGGATCCTGAAAATAAAGATAAACAACGAAAGTGTGAGAAAAATATCACTTGTGGGATTGTTCACTGTGGTGGTGGTATCCATGAAGTTGTCATTGACATCGAAGATGTTATTCAGGTCTTCCATTGACTCTCCACTCTCCGATTTCGACAATGGTTTCGCTGTTGTGGTGACGACTGATTTCGTCGCTTTGGTAGTTACGGTAGAAGTGGATAGAGTAGTTGATGTGAAAGAAAGAGCACTCGTACTGGCAGCGTACGTATCGAAAGATTCAGAAGGCTTCGTTAGTTTCTTTGTGTCAGATGTGACTTCGGAAGCTTTGAGAGAGGACAGAAGGCATTGATTTGAAACTGTGGAAAATGAAATGAGTTCACAATGAGACGTGGAATTAAGGCAAAGCGACCTAAAAAAAAGAAGGATCACTCAATGATTTCTTGTGCTTTTCATTTACCAGCAGTCCTGAACGTTCTCCACTCCTGTTTTATTCGAGAACTTCTCCGCCAACTGTCTCCCTCTCTCTATCATGCGGTACCGCGTGGCCACTTCCGGAAGAATCGTCGGAGGATGCGGAATGAGTGCGGAAGATAACGTGGCAGCAATATGTGGGCACGCCCTTTCGAAGAAATCAAAGTTCTCGTCGCTAACAATCTGACTGCCAGTTTTGGAAGTGGCGAGAAGGGTGCAGGTTCTTGAGAGCACATTGTAATTGACTGATTTGCACGTTTCAATATCTGTGCACTTTTGAAGGCACTTCTCGGTTGACTGATCTGAAATGACATCCTCAGTATCGTGCAACGTGCTCTCATAAGCTAACTGGGCAGTTCGACAATGAGAGTGGCGCTCGCAAGTCTCGAAGTGATCATTTTCTCAAAAGAGTACGGACGGTTACAAGTGTTCTCGTCACTGCGAGGCACGCAAAATGGTTCGAATATGTCAAGTGTGGAGGACGGAACGGCGACGTCTGAAGTCTCGTCGGAAACGAAACACTCGTTGGAGATGGAATCGAACTGAACGGAGGAAATGACGGAAGCGATCGAGTGGGCGGCGGAGTACCTGGACACTCCGGCAGTAGAATTGACCTGCATTCACGCACGCTTGCATGCAACTCCGGATGCTCTTCACGCCCAATGAGAGGCCGAACGACGGGACGTCTGCTTTGCGAGTTACGAAGAACTCGATCCTTCCTTGTTTGCACCGAGCCGTTGCTGAAAATGAGTTTGGTTTCAAGAGAAATATGAATGAGGAGAGGTCTGCGGTACGGTGGACACAGTTGTTTTCGTAGTAATCCATCCGGACGTCCCTGATCGTCACGGCATCCCTTCGAGTGGAATTGTAGAACGAACAACGTCTGAACCATTTTGGTTTCTATGCTGATTTAAAAGTTCTGTCTCACTTCGCATCATGGTGGAACCCGAATGACATGCATTGAATCCTGACACACTCTTCCATACACTCCACTTCTTCCGTCACGTTGATGATCCTGATGGGAGTCTCATCGATTCTGTACGCTTTCTTCACGTCGAACATGTACGCAGACTCCTCGCATCGCTTAGCCATTTGCAGACACACTTTCTCATAGTAGAAGGTCGGAGCTTCTTCCGTTTTGAGCGACATTGTGGCGTTGCTCTAAAAGCCAAACGAATGAAACATGCGGACGGCTGGGTGTGCATACCTTGTTTCCTGTGGCTGGGAAGAACTCGCAAACTGGGTTTCTCCCGGCACGGAAGTTGAATCCTTCACATGGAAATGGCTCTTCGGAGGAGGGGTCAAAGTTCGAGCGGCAATGAGAGGAGCAAGTGACCATGTCAATCTTGAATTGGAAAAATGAGTAATAAAGTGGAAATGGAGAAATGAAAACCTTTGCCACAAACGCGGGTCCGTCAATGTGTCGTGTGCCGGTGTGTCTGATGAATGTGGGTATGTAGCCATCGAAGCACTCTCCGAAAGGGCTCAGCTCTCCCTCATTCCCCGGATTCGCTTCTGAAACGGAAGAAGAAAAAGAAGAAGAAGGTTCGGTTGGCTGGAATAGGGAGGACTTACGTGCATTTCCAGAGAGCAGAGGAGTAATAAATAAAAGGAGACGGGTGACTTTCATTCGACACACTTTCCTCGTCACTGATGTTGATACAGTGTGCTTCTTCTTCTTCTCCGGCCCTTCTTCTTCTTCTTCTTCTTCTTCCGTCGCCCGTCAAGAACACTTTGACTGACTGTACTTGAGAAGACTGGATAAAGAGGGATCGTTGTCTGTGTATCCCCTTCGGCTGCCCCTCCTTTTTTGCAACATCCCGAAACCGATTCAAGACCGTTTACGAGCGATGCCGTCCGTCCGTCGGTCTTGCTTCAATTGCAGTCAACGGCTATTACGGATGAATGACAGAATGGACGCATTGTACGCTTATGCGCACGTAAAGTATATAAAACTTGATGATTCACAACTTGCCAAGAAGGAGGAGACGCTTATTGCATCGGCAATAACGGAAAAGATGGAATGAAGTGTGTATTACGCAACTTAGAAAGAAAATAATAACAAGAATGAGTTGGATAACAAAAAGAACGGGTAAATGAATATGAATCAATTGTCTTTGTCCTCTGCCTCGATTTTGATGTTCAGTCCACTGGCAAGGCTCTGAATGAGGTTTTCCAGACGGATCTGCTTCTCGTACATCACGTCAATGTTCTCTTGTAATGTTTGCAAACGATTCCGTTGCATCTGGAGGTTGGAGCGAAGTTCGGAAGTGATTTCCTGAACAGAGAGAAGTATGAAAAGCCCTAGAAATGAAGGTTACTGACCGATTCGTACTCGTACTGCATTTCATGCTCCGTTTCACTATTCGTGTTCAGTCCGAACCTCTTCCGGAAGTTTGTCCACCATGTTCCCAGGTTCGATTTGGACATTTTTCCATACGGAAAGTGTGCGTAACGGTTCGTCGCATACTTTTTCATGCTCCGAATGAAGAGATGAATGGAGGCTTCGATCTGCAGAACGAGGTCCACCTGCATCGCGAGTCGCCTCAATTCCGCTTTCTCCTGAACTCCCTTGATGTCGTCGACGGCGAGACCGACGAGAAGATTCATAAGGAGGATGGTCATGATGATGCAGAAGAAGAAGAACAGCAAGTAGGCGACTGTCGCGTGTGCCGATCCGAACATCTTCTCCGTGTGCAGCGTCTCGTCTCCGTGGAATATTCCGGCGAATTCGAACTCGCCGATCATCATTACTGTTGTTTTCAGAGGTGCGAGAAAGATTGTGGAGAACTCTGGCTGAAAATGCAACAATAATTGAGACCTCTGGAGTCTGACACTTACTCGATTCTGTAGAATGACGTAGAAAGATGAAGAGAACGCAATAATGAACAGGACGAAAACCGGGAAGAATCGGAAGAATGTCTTGACAATGTCCACGAACATGACGACGAATATACCGAATCGGGGCATTTTTCTGATCATGAACAGCAAGTTAATCCAGCCAAAAAAGATGCACAGAGCTGCGAGAAGCCATTGCCAATTCTGGCGAACTCCCGAAGTGGCGGTGCAGTCTGTGAAGTCGTAGACGGTCAAAAGAGCAGTGGAGTAGATGAAGCAGTCGATCCAGTTTTCCCAATTTGTTAAATATGCAAACTTTCTTTGGTAGAGTTGGAAGAACTCAATACCGATCTGACAAATAGCCAAGATTTGAACAATCCGTTTCCATATTCCATCGGGTTTCATCGTGTTCTGAAAGTGACAGAAAGACATTGTTGGGGCATGGAAGAAGACTCACGAGCTCCGGACAAGCTTTGTCATCTTCGAAAAAGGTGCTATCATAATACTGGTCGCCTTTGGGGACATTGTACGGAGCTTTGGTGTGACGAACATACTGAGATAGACTGAATATGAACACGATATAGATGAAAAGGGCTGAAAAGAAAATGATCGAATTAAGTGAGAGATGTGATCTTTACCGGAATAGTACATGACTCGGCCTAGCCTGTTCCATTTGTATTTGAGAAGAGCCATTGAGAGAGGATGTCCCAAAAGAGATAGTTTTTCTGCATTGGCCATCAGTTTCAGTGGATGATTTTTGTAGATCTTGTCATAGTTCGAAGCATACGACTGGGCCTCTTTGTGAAGTTTGAAGTCGTCGTCATAAGGAGACTTGTAGCCAACGAGCTGTTCCTCTTCCCCGTCGTCGCTGGTCACCCTCATCATGTACGTATCGTCGATGAATTCGAAATCATAGGCGATGCACTTTGTCAGATCATCCTCTTCTTTGTTTTTGCTGAACTATAACCTTTAACACGTTCCCAATTGTTCACTCACTCCACACATTTATCCATAACCAGCGCAGCCAACTCGGGAAATTTTGATAGAAGTGCTCGGAACGGCGTTTCTCTTTTCATTTCTTTCGGATGCTTGTGCTTATCTAACGGAATAACGTCATTCGGAATCATCAGAGATCTCCATTCGTCCGTCTCCAGGAGCGCCCTCGCCACCTCCTTCTTGCCCTGCTCGCATGCCACATCCAGAGCAGTCCGTCCCTTTTCGTCCCTTCTGTCAACTGTCACCCCAACTTGCAACAAGAATCTTGCAATTGTATCGTATCCATTATTCGCGGCAATATGCAAAACAGTTCTGAAAACGTCCAAATTCTTATTTCTTTCCTCACTTCTCTACACCTTGTATCACTCGGATTCTCAACCTGAGCCCCCTTGGACACCAACTGCTGACACGTCTCCAGCTTCCCGTACTCAACGGCCACTTGCAACGGCGTCTGCTGGAACGAATTCTTCGCCTCTTTATCGGCGCCTTGCTCCAGCAGCACTCGTGTTGTCACGTCATGACCTGAACAGATTAGAATTCGTTCTCCTCCCGCTCTTTTTATTTACTTTCAGAAAGAACCAGTAAAGTACACCGGAAGCTGCTCCGCAACGTTCTAAACGAGGAATCCGTGTCAAGAGAGAAGCCGTGCATTTAAGGAATTTCGCGCACATTCTGGCAATTTCGCCTCTTAATTTTGCCAATATTGCATGATTAAGCGAAAGATTGTTGTTTGCTCACGGCCATCCTCTTCTTGCCCGGTTCCCTCTTTTTCGTCTTCTCATATATGTATATTGTATGCATCTGGCTCTGTGCTCGCGCTCACGCTTCTGTGCCAATTTAATTGGATGCTACTGCAACACGGCCGTGACCGGAGAGGCATTCAGTCCGCCGGCCCCCCTCCCGACCGACCACTTTCTCATTATCTTCGGATTCGAAGAGAAACGGAAAAGGGAAGGGGAGAGGAGAGGAAGGGACGGCTTTCCCCTCTTAATGAATGGGAGGACGGCATCAAATGTACATGCTCATGAATTAGTCATCTTGCGATCCGATGAAAAGGCGACGATTCGCACCAGTGACTGTGACTGTCAAACCGGAAAACCAACCTTATTCAACATGTCTCTTGACACGTGGCATTCACCGCGTGCCTTAGTTGGAATTGTCAAATGTCCACTAAAGTCACTCAGGTGGACGCCAGATGACAACAGAGTGCGGGCGGAAATATCAGTGTCAGATGAAGGCACTCAAGTTAGGAATGCGAATATGAAGCAGAAGAAGACAGTCCTCCAAAATGAGCCACTCGCCAATGAATGTCCATCAAGAGGGGAGATCGAGAAGGGCGGGGCCTCGGGTGTCGCTCTCTCTCCTTCTTCGGAGGCCCTCCCCTTTTGGGGCAGGTGGTTGAGGCAGAAGCGGGGCTGGATTAGACGGCCACGGCCCGGCAGGTGGTTCGTGCCTCTGGGATTACATGCCTCGCGGATCCGAAACGAAGCGTGAGTAGTAGTTGCGAGTGGACGGGTTACTAGTCAAGAGCCGCGGACTGCGAATGAGAAGAAGAAGGCGCGACGGAGAGAAGCGACGCCTTCTCTCCAGACGGCGTGAGCACGGAGAGACCGTGGAATCAGAAGAGACTCGGATCGAGACTCGCAGAAGACAGCGCCGCCCGCTCCTCGAAAATCGATAGGCAGGCGCCAACACACGGCCTTTTGTAGGTGAAGACGTGAGCTACGAGAGAGTAAGAGCCGAAGCAGAAGAGCTGGGAGGCGATGGAATGCGTCGAAGAAGGAGAGCCGCAGAGAAGGCGCTATCAGCGGGCGGCGGTTGCCACGGAGCCGTCGAATGTGTGGAAAGGGATTTGCATGTGATAACAACAATAATTAGCGAGGTGGGGGCCGTGAGAGAAGCTTCTAGACTCCATTACGGCTGGGCAGAGACACCAAAGGGATCGGGCTCACTCGTTATTTCTGTCTAGCGGAGCATAACGGGATTCATCAAAATGAGAAGAGGTGAAAAGCGAGTAGTTCAGATACGAATGAGTCAGCCACCAAAGAACAGAAATCTCGCGTCAATTTGATTCCGCGATAATGCAATTTCCCTCCGTTTAGGCACTCAATCTCACTTGTACCGCCGTAACCGAATTAGTGCCACGTCACAATTATGAATTCAAATAACAACTTGCTCTGCTTCTAGATATCTGCCGCCTTCAAAACACCAATTAGAGAGATTTTGTTTTGAATGAGAGCCGGATAAGGTTGCTCGGTTAGCTCGGAAGCCTATAATTGGGCGCTCTTTTCGGAACGTCTCATTAGAGGATTGCTCGGGACACAACACCTGAACAGATGGTTCCGGAGGTGATCGGCGAGGGGATTAGAAAGAAACGGATGAGACCGGAACAGATTAGGTCACACTAATTGGAGTGCCGAAAGAACAAAACGGGTGCACAGAACGCTTGATCCGAAAATTGAGAACAGATCGGTCAGATCAAATAGTCCTTGATCGACCGGTCCGGTAATTTTTTTTTAATTCTCAGATGGGAGATTACAAGGGGAATAGTCTATGAGGAGAAACCATTTGAAGACGTTCAGACGGAATCGAGATGTATTTGCGAGAGCATATTCAAACAATGAAAGTAGACTTAGGAGGCTTCTGTCGACCATCTGGCGCCTCTACCCCATTCTTGTCACCTCTTTTCTGTCGTTTCCGCCATACGGTTCCGCTTAATCTGCTCAACAGATGGATGATTCGCTTGAAGTTTTCGAAATCTCATTCAGCTCCAATATCATTCATGGCCCGAAAGTATTCGGCGCACGAGTCCGAGTGGTGTCTGCGCCTCTCCAATTAGCGGAATGTCTCTCGGATGTGTGCATAATCACACGATGTTCATTAATTTTTCAGGCTTCCTCGTCTCCTTCATTGGCTCCTTTTCACACGAAATATCGATCCGATGAGGGAGAAGAAGGGAACACGAGAAGGAACGGAACCGGGACGGTCCGCGGTGCCATCTGTCGTGTTTTCACTACCATTCCCATCTGCTCTGCCTATCGAAATCGTCGGAGTCTCTAGCGAAACAACACTGCTTCGTCGCATGCAAATGTCCTTTCTTCGACGGCAATTGGGCTGATCCAATTGGCGCAAAAACGGGTGCACGGTGATGACAGAACATGGGAGAAAGGGAACAAAAGAGTTTAATTGACGCAGTCACAATTAAAAAGTTAAATTTACTGGTTCCGTCTGACAAGCCGAGAAAGGAATGGAAACTCACCCATTTTTGCAGCCAAATGAAGAGCACTGTTACCCATTTCGTCCTTGTTCAGAAGCAGTCTCTTGTCCCACTCCAAAAGCATTCTCACTGCAACCATTTCTGTCTTCTCCAGTTCCATCCTTCTTTCCTGTACCTGCTCCTGTTTGTCCAGAATGAGCTGCTCTGTGCAACGGAGTCTCTTCGTCCTCATTCACCTGAGTTACCACCGCTCCATACTTGTACAATAGCTGTAAGAACTCGATTGTCAGTGGAGAACTCCTGCCGTTCACCTCCATCATCTCCAGGTATCCATTAGAGGCGACCACGTGCATCGGACTGTTCTGATCTCTGTCCGCCATGTTGACCATCGTCGACACTTTCTGATCTTCATTTACATTCCGAAGCGTCTTTCTTGAGGCGTGCGATCTATTCAGATATTCGTTTTCTGCCTTTTCCTCGAACGTCTCTTCCTTCTGTTTCAAATACTCCAGAATGTAACTGACAGACTTCTGGGCATTGTACTTGGCGCCGACGTAGACCGCAGTTCTTTCGTCTTTGTCGGTGACTGTGTAGTCTGCTCCCTTTCCAATCAGGTACTTCACGCAGTCTTCACTGTCCTGCGAGACTGCCAACATCAACGGAGTCATTCCGTAATCGTCCACAGGATCCATGTTGTTTTCGTCCAATAGGTATTCCACAACATTCTTTCTGTTCATTTTGGCTGCCACGTGGAGAGGAAGTGACTTCTCCGAATCCAGCTCGTCCTTCCGGCCTCCAGCTGCCACGAGGGCTTCAATCACTTCTAAATACCCTTTCTCTGCTGCAAAATGGATGAGTTCTTTCTCTCGGACCATCCATTTCTGCGAATTCTTGCTCTCCATCTCCAGAATTTTGAGCAAAGTGAGTGGATGGTTTCCCTCCACCGCCATTCTTAGAGGGGTCTTCCCTTCGTTATTCTCCTTATTCAGTGCCTTTATCGCTTCCACAGGATTGTAATCCATGAGCATTTTCAAGTGATCCGGTTCTCCGCGAAGAGCCACAATGTGGAATACAGTATTCAGGCGCTGATCCCTTTTGGTGACGTCACTGCGTGCTTTTATCAACTCCTGAATAACTGCCAACTGTCCGTGGACGCAAGCGAGAAGAAGCGGAGTCATTTGGTTTATATCCTCTGCATTTACGTCCGCTTTCCTCGTTATCAAGGCCTGGACGGCAGCGATATTGGATTTCATGGCCGCGTAATGAAGCGGAGTCAAGTGGTACTCGTTCTCTGCGTTTATAAATCTGAAAGAAACTGTAGTTTTTGCAAAGACGCAGTGAAATACTCACGCATTTGCATCCACCAACGCATAGATGATCTTGGTGGTATTCGAGTTTACCAGCCGTTCCGTATCCTGCCGATCCATCACTTTTTCCCCGTTCTCATCAGTTATCAAACAGATTTCCGTCATTCCCTGGTGGTATTTGGCAGCCACATGAAGTGGAGTATCCTTTTCGGCGTTCTCGGTCGACGGCAGTGCTCCTCTGGCCAATAACAGTTTGACTGCTTCATAGTTTCCGTATCTGGCCGCATAATGAAGCGGGGTCATTCCATCCATGTCCTGCAGATTCACAGCGTCCGGCCTCTTGCTGAGATTGGACCGAAGCGAATCCATGTTTCCCTCTCGAGCACTCTGATGTATAACTGATCTGAGGTTGTCGATTCCGAGCATCGGATCTGTCTCCGTGAGTCGGAAAATTGATGGACGGCGGACGGCATCTTCTGCAAAAGACAGTGACCCCTAGAGCAGTCATTTTTCGACAAAAGAAAGCTTATCAAATTTAGAAAAAAAGTACGTTTGTGATTAAGAATTATACGTTCCAGTTTTTGAGAAAAAGCTGAAAAGCCGGTTTTGTTTTGGCCAAGTAGAACGGCGATGGCCGCGGAGGCCAGGGACTAGAAACCTCCGCGCGACCCCCAGGAAAAATCACCGTGATATAAAATCATTGACCACTGGCCACTTTCAAACTGTTTCTTCTCACTCACTCTTGGTAATCGTGTCATCCGTCGGAAGTAGACTTTCCAGATCAAGTCTGAAATCGCTTTTGTCTCCGGGACGACTCATTTCGTATTAATCAGATCTAAAAAAGAAAGATCCCTTTTCGGTTCTGATGTGCTTTTCCAGACGGAAACGAATACGAAAATAATCCGGAAAGAAGCTTATAATTCAAATGGTCGTGGTGGCAGATTAGGCAAATCTCTTATTGTGCGCGTTTCGAGCAAATTAGAGCAGGTTGTTGCTCGGCCGTTTCCGTAGTGACAGCCAAGAAGTCGTTCAGGAATAGTGGTGTGTCGAGCTTGTGCGGCAATCGATAAAGCTACGAGAATCTGGACAAACAGCAATGAACGCGGGAAAGTATGCAAATATTTCGTTTCAAAACAGTCGATGACTCACTTCCAAAGTGGGAAAGAGACGGAGACGGAGAAGCAGAGAGTGACCCTCCTCAGGTAGCGAGGGAATTTCGAATCGGTCGGGTGAAAAAGAATAAAAAGGAGGAGAGTAAACAGGAAAAAAGAAGAGCAAACAGGGAAAGCGTGGCACGCCTTGGTGCTTTTGATACGAACTGTGTGGGAAAAGTGAGTTCCGAATTGAAATGGTTTACTTGGATTTGATCGCAGACAGACATAACCTGTTCATGCCGAAAAGGGAAAGGCACTCTTTGGAAGGGAAATGTTATTCACATGAAAGAGAAGGGAATTTATCACAGAATTGTATCGATTGAGCATCATCGTGTTCAACTGCAAGAGACGAGATTCTGAATGATTTCCCGCAACGGCTCCGTCTCCTCCTCTCGCAGAAGTTTGAATTGGTTCGCGAAAAGAACAAATTGTTTGAAGGAGGTGTTCAGATGAGGAAGAGCTTTGATTTCCTTGAAATGGCTGACGTGTGCAAAGTAGACGTGGGCGTAGATTCGGAAGAGTCTCCTCATTATCGTCTGGCACCGTTCCTCGAAGTCCGCCGGAAACTGTTTTCCTATTTCCGAAGGGAACACACTTTCGTCGTCGATGTTTAGTTGGCAAGAAGTGAGCGACAAGTCGATGTACCGGGGCGCACTCGTGTTCAGACTGAAACACTCATTCGGATTGCTTGGGAACGGAATGATCCGAACGTACACGGTCCCGTCGTTCGTCCACGTGTATTGTCTGCCGTGAGCCGTCATCGAAGGACACTTTCCATCCGTGCACTCCGATTCGCACAGCACTCCGAACACCATTCGCACTTGGTTCACCAGATCAATTACTGAAAGTGAAATGATTAATTCACTATTTTTGCAATGGATGGAAATCGCCCTCTGCGGTAAATTCACGTTTTCGGCAAAATTGGAGAAGATCGCGGTCGGGTTTTCACGTGGTATTGCGCTTCTACCAGAGCTAATCGTTTTGTTGCTTTAAATTGCAGGTGAAATGTGACGCGGTGCATTCATAAACGATTTCGAAAGTCTTTCTCGCTGCTACCTTTCTTTCCTTTCAGAATAGTTCTGCCCAGTTTCGAAATGAGGATATTTCGTAATCCAAAAATACATAGTTGAGTGATTCACGTTTGCAATATCCGAAAACGTACTATTGACGGCGAGCCACTCATTCTTATCCTCTCCGGGTGGCAATTTCAGTGCGTCCCGAAGATTTCCACTTCCCAAAGTGGAGACGGCCATCGAATTGTACCACGAAGACCTGGACTCAGCCATCTGAGAACGGTGTTTGTCCCTGTTCGTGTGGAAAGTGCAAAGAGGTAGTACCACAATGTGTATACATAATCAGCGTTCACAAATCGCTCACTTTTTGGACACAGTTTATTGATCATTGATAATGAACAAAGGAGGGAAAATAATATTATAATTAAACAAAATGGAGGACTAAAATTAGGTGGAAGGAGGGCGTAATTGTCCAATCGAATTTGGTGATAACCATCATAAGAGACAAAGAAAACGGAAAAGAAAGGAAGGAGAAGGAAGAGAGCGCGTAAGAATACGGAGGGGACAGGCTGAGAGAGAAGGTTGGGAACGGACGCTTCGCAGCGGATAAGTGGAGAGGATCGCAACTTTTCTCGCACGGGGATGACTGAACAGATTAATTTATCGAGATGAACCGAGTGCTACTATACGTGGAGAGACGAGGAGCATGAGAGAGAGTTGTCAGAAGAAGCTGCCATCGCCGAACTCTTCCCGCCACACTAATTTACATGAAGAACAAAAAGGGGTGGATTCGTCCGTACAATCTGATTTTTTGAGTCTCACGGATTGATCGCCTATATCGAATAGAAAGAGAGAACAAAAAGAGAGCGCACAACAAATATATCGAGCAAGTTCTGGGGAGATGAAGAGTAGATAGATGGGGATGTGGGCAACGAGACAGAAACAACGATATTCTATATATTTGAGAAGAGAACGGAAAAGGGAAGTGAGAGAAAGTATTGAAATTAATGGGGTAAGGGAGATATTGCGGGGACAAGAAAAGTTTTGGATCGAACGGGGCGTTTGTGGGTCCTCTATCTACAGGAAGTAGTCGGGTGTTCTACGGGTCACGTGGGGCTCGCCTCTTCGCGGAGCAGGGTCGAACTGAAGGAACGAGTACTTGAGATCGTCGTCCAGCTCCACCATCGCCGCCTGGTTTCCGCATCGATAACAGTAGTTCGGAGCGGAGAAAACTGTTACAACGTTGCGGTCGTGACTCCAGTTGTATCCCTGAACAATTAAAATTGGGTTCAATAAGGTCGAAGAGTGAATTGGCTTTCTCTTCGAGAGCAGGGACCAACCTCCATGACGAGTTGATGGGCCCGAGAGATGAGCGTGAGTCCGTTTGAATGATTGAACGTTTCCGAAATGTCCTGACCGAATGTGTATCCGGCTCCACGCGGAGAGATTCCCCAGCCTCCTCTGTCGTCTGGGTCGGACCAGAGCAGATCGCACATCGGTCCCTCGTGTGGCACCTAAAACATTATTATTATTATTATTCGGTTTCCAATTCAGGAAATACTCACCTCCTGGATACGATCGAGAGCTCTGATATGATCAAGAGTGTCGATGGACGGCGAGAGTCCTCCGTGCAGACAGAAGATTTGTCCGTCGACGAGAGCGGTGAGTGGGAAGCAGTCGAAGAGATCAGTGAAGTACTTCCAGACGTTCGAGTTTCCGTACTTCCTCAAGCACTCGTCGTAAAACCCGTAGACCTGCAAAATGTGGAATTGAGAATTATAGAGTATGGACTACAAACCTGAGTGATTTGGCGCGACTCGTGATTTCCGCGGAGGAGTGTGACTCGGTCCTTGTAGCGGATCTGAAAAACATGCACAACGTGTAATTATAAGCATTTCTCGCGCGTTTACCTTCAAGCAGACGAGCAGACTGACGGTTTCCACAGAGTAATAGCCTCTGTCGACGTAGTCTCCCATGAACAAGTAGTTAGTGTCCGGACTCTTTCCTCCCATTTTGAACAGCTCCATCAAATCGTGGAACTGACCGTGCACGTCTCCACACACGGTAACTGGGCACCGCACTTCCTGCACATTCGGCTCCTTCTCCAGAATTTCTTTAGCCTAAACACAACTATTTTATGTTTACTCGAATTTTAAAGTTTTACCTTTTCGCACAGGGTCTTCACCTGATTCTCTGAGAGTGGTTTGCACTCATACAACTGCTCGATCCATTGATCAACGTCAACGATCAGTGCTTTATCGAGCGGGTCGGATGGCGCGACCGGAGTAGCCATACTACTGAAAAACTAAAAGATGCTGGTTTTTAGAGGAAAACGGATGAAAATTATAAGAATGCGAAACGAGACGGAAGGAGAGACAAGATGTGAAGTGGGGGCACATAGCAACCGAGCACGAGGTGACGTCGGCAAGCTCACGCCGTCTCCCGATCAATACTTGTCAGCGGATTCCTCGTGCCATACAAATGATAGGATGGAAGCGGGCAGGGATTAAGTGCTCTTATCCGATGGCTTCCATTCTCTAATGAAATCACAATAGGGATGAAGAGGGCAGAGGAAAGACAGGAATCGTAGCCAATGTAAGCATTGTGACCAGTGATAAGAGGAGTACAGTTTTCGACAAAGAAAAACATGGCGTGTCCGAACCGATATACTGTGGGCGAAAAACTTCGACTTCGGATTTCGATATGAAGACTCACACTCGAAACTTCGACGAAAAAGACGCAATCGATAATTCGGTGTTTGCGTTTCGACCCACTCACAAACACCACGAAATTCTCATCCCATTGTGTTTTGATAAGGAAAATATATAATCAGTTAACAGAAAGCATTCCATTAGGTGCTATTTACACTTTCAAATTTCTAATTAGAATTCTCCGGCACGTTCCAGAAAAATGATTGATTGAAATCGAGTCAACGAAAATTTTCCAGAATCGCCCCCCCATCCCATTCAAAATAGAACTGGTTCTCAAACTAAAACTGAAGGGGAGGTCACATTTTTCGAAACTGAACGATTTTTGTACTGTCAGTCAAGATAAGAAGATGAGTCATCGCACATGTTCTGGACGTTATTGATTGGTTAACCGTGTCGAAACGACAGTGTTGTGAGGATGGATGTGAGGCATCGAGAGGCATCAAAATGATAGAGAACGCACGATGATCGAATACGACAAAATTGTTGTTTTGTGCGGGGGGTGACGAGGAGAAAGGAGGACGGCAGAGAAGAAGAGACACGCCAACTGGCTAGTGACGGAGGATCAGACGACAGATAGAGAAGGAGCAGCGGCAAGGCTGCTGCTATAACCGGCCGAGGAACCAATCGCGTCGCGAAACGGATGGACACAGAGATGGAAAAGAAAAGATATAGGCCAGAGAAAAGAGCGACCGCAGCGCAGGGGCTCGCGTCGCGGTTCACTGCGCTCTACTGAACACCCTCCCGAAGAGACCGAGAGAGGACAAGAAAAATCTTCTCTCACCCTGATGTTTTCGTCTCTCCTCATTGACGTTATCGTTGAAGACAGGGTAGGCGACGTGAGCATGTAGAAGGTGTGAAAAGAGAGGATTTCGGGTTGGGGAGTGCGCAGGGACCGATGTGCGCGTTGGGATTGATAAGGGAGTGACATACACGCAACAAAGATGATGATCAATTATACAGAATCGGATAGCTAATGAAACTGAATCGGTGTTGGAAAATAGAAAACTACGAACTATGTTCAGAATTATCACAAAATCGATTGTCCCGCCCTAATCACGAGTCACTAAAGAGCACGAAGCGTAGGCGATAAAAACCAAAGGAGCAAAAATCACACTGAAAGCAGTCAGATGCTTTCTTTTCCGCCGCAGGGTACTCGTCGACTCAAGGAGACGCAAAAAGGAAGTTAGCGGCTCGTTTCAGAGGCGCCAGTGGCACACAGAGTTGATGAAGGCGTAAGCGTGTTACAATAGTCAATTGAAAACGCCTTCTTATCTGCTGATAACTATGAACTCGTCGGAATATTATTTATGAAATTGTGAACGCCATTGAAATGGAAACTCACATTCTTACGAAACTTATACTACTTTTTCGGGCTGAACGTCGATTTTTTGAGAGTGCTTTTTTTAGTGCTTTCATTTCACTGGGTAAAAATAAAAAAACAACGCCAAACAAGACAGCGAACACGCTAATATTTGAAATTAGAAAAAACCGCGAAAAGAAGTATGCGAACTCCGCTGCGGCAGGGTCTCGCAAACGAGCGTGCCAGGGTTGCGCTTTAGGCCACGCCCACTCATTTTTTGTTGCCATTTGACCGTTCTTTGGCTGTTTCGTATGAAATGTGACAAATGATCAGATAAAACGCAATGAGATAAATCGGAGAGTGTCTTGTGATTATCTCAATAAGTTTCCTTGATACCCATTCAGTGTGTTTCTTCAGGTAAAACATGTTCAAAATTCCGATTCGAACTTTTTCGGCCACTAGGACTACTAGAAGCCTTTTAGAACGAGAACTATATCAAGTGAGCCATTTTGAATAAAATAACTAACAATGGGAAAATCATTCTTTGCAGTTTTCAGGAGAACTCTGTAGTCCGGCTCATTCTGAATGACAAAAAAGTGAACACTCTGTCTCTGGCTCTGATCAACGAACTCTACGCAGAACTGAAGGCAATTGATAAAATTGAGAAGGTTATGAACAAACCATGGAAGCTTTTGTCATCTTCTTTTATTCTAGGTCAGATCAGTCGTTCTCGCTCACAATGGAAAGTCGTTCTCTGCAGGCCACGAACTGAAAGAACTGGTACGAGAATTATAGAGAGACTATTCAAACGCAGTGGTATTATAGAAAGCTGAGAATGGAAGCGAGAAACACAGCGAGATCTTCAATACGTGCGGAGACATGATGAACTTCATCCGTAACATGAAAGTACCGGTTATCGCTGAAGTGAACGGAACAGCCGCCGCTGCTGGCCTCCAACTCGTTTCTTCATGTGATATCGTCGTTGCCGGAAGGTCGTCCAAATTCCTGGTTCCAGGGTGAGTTACATCGCATTTACGGGCAAGTGAGCACGATTTGTTGCAGGCAGAAAATCGGATTGTTCTGCTCCACACCCGGAATCGCCCTCGTTCGTGCCGTACCAAAAAAAGTAGCCTTGGATATGCTTCTGACTGCTCAGCCTATCGATTCCGAAGCAGCTCTGCGTTCTGGACTAGTTTCTCGAGTTGTTGAAGACGATCAGGTGAAGTTTGAAGCTCTGAAGGTTGCGGAGCAAATCGGACACTTCAGCCGATCGGTGACGGCTCTTGGAAAAGCATTCTTCTACACACAAGCTGAATTGAGCACTTCTGAGGCTTACAGGTATCTGAAATTCTCATGATATCCGTTTATTAATCCTGTATCTCCAGATATGGCTCCCGTGTAATGGTTGGAAATCTGAAGTTGAAGGATTGTCAGGAAGGAATTTCTGCTTTCATTGAGAAACGTCCTGCCGATTTCGAGCACTCGAACGAAATTGTCGAGGAATTGAAAAAGAACTGAATCCCATATAAATTCCTTTATTGTTCTCCGATTGTATTTACTATTTTCGCACTGTGCCTTTTCCGTTTTCTATCGCGTACGAGTCCTGCCATCCCTCCCGACTGTTTTCTATGTTACCCCTTCAATAAACAGCTAGAGACTGGTCTTGCAACGACGCTCCACCGCACGCGCACTCCCTCTCGGCAGCTAACCGCTAGCTAAGCTGCCAGTCGATCAAGTGACACCGGAATAAAAGCGAAGCACGAGCCGTTCGGATATCATCGATCGCTAGCACGCGCTGATATAATGAGCGCGGAGAATGTCGCGGCGGTGAGTATTGAAAATTCAGAAAGTTGAAAGAAAAACTGGAATTATTTTCCAGACAGCAGATCAAGAAGAAGGTCCTTCTGATCGGTGAGTTATCTGAAATTAAAGAAATTCAATTACATAAATTACTCCAGACGTGCTTCGAACAGTCCGTGCAATCGAAATCAATCGGAAAGTATTTTTCAAGGGTAAGCTTAATTTAATTAGAATTTTCTGTTAATAATTATTGGAAAATTATTACTTAAATTTGCAGAGAGAATCAGTTGTACCCCTCCCGTCGAACACCAGCCAACCACGAGCATCAGAATCAGCAACAGAAGGCCAATTCGGCTCTGGATCTTCCGGCAAACGTGCTCCACGAATACATCCCGCCGAGCCCTCCGCAGAGCACTTCCCGTCATTTCCACTCGTCATCGACTTCAGCTTTGGGCGAAGTGGCCGGTGGGAAATGTCCTTTTTACTCGTAAACAGTACGATTCTTGAAGCTTTATTTGGAGCCCGATTCCCGAGAGAAGAGCACAGCAGTGAGAAATCCGTCAATATTCTACCAGTGAGCCGAAATTTAGCGGAACACGTGTCGAATCTGATTGCCATCGGAAGAAAACCAGGCACTGTTGCGCAGCGAAAGAGTGAGTGGAATGAAAAGATTTGGGAAGAATGAGTACAAAGTCAGAACCGACAAATCTTCCGGAAGAGAATCCGGGAGCACGTCCGGTGCTCGGATGGCAAGCCGATAAGAAGACGTTGCGGGAGAGAATCGCCCATATGTACTGCAACGAGACGCTTGCCGACGTCTTCTTCGTTGTCGGAACGGAAGATTCCAGACAGAGAATTCCTGCTCACAAATTCGTGCTCTCCATTGGCAGCGTCGTTTTCGATGCCATGTTCAATGGAGGACTGACACCGAAAAACACAGGTGAAAGCGGCAGAATATCAGGAAACCAATGCCAATTATTTTGCAGAAGAGGCCCTAGAGATCGAATTGCCCGATGTGGAACCGTCTGCATTCCTAACTCTTCTCAAGTTTCTCTATTCGGACGAAGTGAGCATTGGTCCTGAATCAGTTATGACCACTTTATACACAGGTAGGCAGGACGCCTCGGGTTTAACCACAATTCCCTGAAATTTCAGCAAAGAAGTACGCAGTTCCGGCCATGGAAAAAGCGTGTGTTCAGTTCCTAAAACGGAGTCTCCTCCCAGACAACGCATTCATGATGCTTTCACAGGCGAAGCTCTTCGATGAGCCGGAATTGAAACAACAATGTCTAGAAGTTATCGATAAGAACACTTTGGAAGCGCTGAACGGAGAGGGATTCACGGAAATCGATTTGGACACGTTGTGCGATTTTTTAAAGAGAGATGGACTCCGCATTCGCGAACTATTCCTGTTCCAGGTAAAATCCACATTCAGAATCTTTATTCTAATCTCAAAGTGCAACATTTGGCCGAACCGCCCGCCTTGATGAACTCGCTCATATCGATCGGATGCACTGTGTATCCGTGCTTCTCGAGCAGTTTGTACGTGGTCTCGGAGCCTTGATGCACGACCACATTCTTTCCGATCACCACTGAATTGCACACAAATCGACGCGCATCTTTCTCGGAGACCTGAAAACCACGATTGTCTGAACTTCTAGTCAAAAAGGATACCGGGAGAAGCTCTGTGTAATTCTGGATGTTATTCTGGGAAACACTATCAAACGCGGGCTTGTATGCCATCGCGAGATTCTCCTCTAGGGGACAGAAGCAAGTGTCGACGTGGTAGAAGCGGGGGTCGACGAGACGGGCGGCCACGACGGAGAAGCGATCTTCCGAGCACGTCTTCAGCTTTCTCCGAATATCTCCGCATGCCTGCACATCGGATCTCGGGCCGACTCCGCTCACGAGAACGTTCATTCCTTTTCCACACCAGAGAGCGTCACCGGCTCCTTCGTGAATGATATCCTGATTGAAGAAGGTCTCGTAGCCAAGTTCGTCAAAGAATCTCTTATAGAAGACGTGTTCTCCATATCGTTCGGGATATGCAAAGTGAGAGAGATAAACCTTTTTTCCGCGAAGAATTCCAGCATTCGCACAGAATACGATGTCTGGGTAGTCTCGGGCGTCGTCCGACTCCATCACGACTACTTCTGCCCCGCACCTCTCTATCGTCTTCTTCAATATCTCCCACTGCTTTGTCGCTTTGTAAAAGTCTGCCTGAACCTTCTCATCCATCCACGGGTTTATCGAGTATTCCACCTAAACATCTCGGTTCCATCGCATGAGCCGTTCGAATGCTCACTTTGAAATGTGTTGGTCTGCACATCATAACACGCTTCGCAGCGCCAATCATCGATTTGTTGACGATTTTGTTCATTTTGAAACGTTAGAAATGAAATAAAGCGAATTGCAGGCAGTTATACGATGGGCGACGTTCGAAACGGAACGACGTGGACTCCCGGCGACAAGTGAAAATCGGAAGGCCGTGCTGTCCAGAGCAATCCAGCTGATACGGTTCCCGCTGATGAAAATCGATGAGTTCGCATTGCACGTCGGTGGGTCATCAGCGGAATTCTATTGAAACGCAGTAAGCACTTCAGAACCGAGCCAAATTCTGTCGGATCGTGAGATGAACAAGATCTTCAAGTACCTGGCAGTTTCCGCTCCCGATCGACCCGCCCTCGTCTACTCGGACCGTCCCCGATGCCTGATTTCCAGCACCGAATACGTGGTCTCTCGATTTCAAAGAACGGAAAACCGCTGGGGATTCTGCGGAACATCCGATCGAATTAAGTGAGCATGAATTCAACGCCACTGAGATAAGTGTTAACTTCAGATTCATGGTGGACCGTCGGATATTCGTGGTTGGATTTGGATTGTACGGTGCCATTTCGGGGCCTCACGAGTACAAGACACAGATCAAAATCATCCACTGCGGAACAAACAAGACGCTTGCCGAGCACGATACAAGCTTCGTGTGCGACGGAAACTCGCGGCCGTGCAGAGTGTGCTTCAAGGAACCCGTCGAGATTCTTCCGGGCATCACTTACATTGCAGCCGCCCTTATCAGAGTGAGCGCCGTCAAATACAACTTCGCTTTATCGAACTTTTCAGGGGCCCGACTCGTATTACGGAACAAAAGGTCTCCGTCGCATCAACATGGCGGACAGTGACGTGACGTTCCAATTCACTTACGCCGCCATGAACAACAATGGGACGAGTGTGGAAGACGGACAAATCCCCGAAATAATCTACTACACAGGGGCCGAATAACCCTCCTCTCTTTCAAATGTAAATACTCACACCCCATGTGCATACATTTACGAATATGATTTCAAGATTGTCATGAATTTTATCGCAAATCATTTTGAACCGAATCTACTAGAGAAGTACATTAAACGGAAAAATACTTTGGTCATCAATTACGTTTGTTTTCCATTGGAACGATCAGATTAGCTTTTCGGAGAAGTCGTCGTCGGTGACCTCGTGACGATCGGGCTCCAACGTCACACGAACCGGACTCTTCGGGGAATGAATCTGGAAAACAAAAGGGAGAATAACAGGGAGAAGAGCGGCTGCTTACCTCCGCACGTCCATCGCTTTTCACAGAAATGCGAGTCACCCCGATTACCTCCTCGTCGTTCTCTTTTTCAGACAAATCGGTGGCCGTGGAGACGGAGGAATCGGAAGAAACCGACTCTCCGTCTTGGTCTTTGTGCGAGGCGAAGTTCATGGGATGCATGCGGACGAGGCCGTTCGAGGCGATCGGATGCGCGTCTCCGCTCTCCTCATCGTCCGAATCCTCGTCCGAATCGTCGTCCGCATTCGCATACATTCGAGATTTCAGAGGGGACCGAGGCGGGGGAATCGGAGATCCTTCGGGCTGACCGTAGGCGTTGGCAGGGGAAAGACGAGGCGGCGGGGACAGCGGAAGCGGCGGCGGAACGTCTTCTTCCTTCTCCAGAATTATCTCCTCTTCCTCGTCTTCCGTCGTCCCCTTCAGACTTTCGTCGGAGCTCAGTTCTTTGAATTCGAGCACTCGTCGCTCCTCGGCGTCCGAGTTCCTTTCAGCACGAGCCGTCGTCTTCGATGACATTCCGACCGTGCTTACCTGCTTTCCAGAATCTGACTCTTCTTCTTCTTCTGAAACTATACAACTTGAGAAAGAACACGTTGAACTATGTACCTTCTGAATCAGACATCTCGGACTGCGTGGCTTCGGACATTTTCTCATTGTCGTTCTTGACGAGCGGCGATGGCAAAGTGGTCGACGTCTCCGCCTTGGCTTCACTTCGAATGAACTCGATCACCGACATCTTCCTGTTGTCTCCGTGGCCCTCATCGTCCGAACTCTCGGATCCCGACTGCAGCTCCTTCGAAATTCCGGATCTTCCCTTCAACTTCGGACCCTCGTTCGAGTCGTTCTCGGCCTTTTTCAATGCGTTCCTCAACTCGTTCTCGTCTATTTCCTGAATTACATTCGTCGAAATCGAAACGACGTCCTCTTCGACTACTTCCGTTCTGTCCTCTTCCGTGCTCTTCAGCACACTCTCCATCAAAATGTCATTCATATTCACACTCTCCACGTCACCGTCTTCTTTCGGCTTCTGAGATGTCTGCGGTCGTGCCACGTCATCGTCGACTGACTTCTTGGCTGCAGAAATGACATTGTTGGAAGGAGGAGCGGCAGAGGATTCTGGAGCAGAAGTGACCGCAGCTCCCTGTTGGTAAGTGAGTGAGCCGCCTGAAAACAAGAGAAGAGTTAGCTGGAAACAGAAGAGTGCTTCGCACTTCTGATGAGTTGCACCGGAGGCTCCTTGAGGTCTGAACTGCAGCAACAGCAGATTCTCTGGAAGAGCGAGGGAGAAGAAGAAGCAGTCGGAGGTGGGGCCGAGGAGGGATCAGTCACTCGACTCGTCGACTCTTCGGTGATGGTCATGGATTCTGAAGTGATTCTGGTTCGAACTGTGAAGCGGGGGGTCGCGCGGAAATCGGATTAGCTGACAAGTTGGCAAAGAATGAAAGTGACAAAGTCAAGTGTCGGAAATGAGTCATCCCGTTTGTTTTAGCGGTTCGTCAATGAGTACGCACAGGAGAAAAGATCGAGATGTTTTGGTGACGTGGCAAATGAGAAATGAGCGGCTTTTGGGGGGAGCGGAAACTTCCCACTTCAAAATTAGCAACAATTTATTTTGCTCCAGCCGTACTCATGGGCGCATGTATACACTGCGCTCGTAAATAATGGAGAGCAAATAAAGACGGTCGGGATGCGGATGAGGAAGGAGGCAAAGTGATCGGACAAAGCACTTTCTGCTCAATTTTCACTTTTTATCAACATTTTGAACTGTGCCTACTATTGGAGCAAAAGAGACTGGATTACTGTAGAAAAGTGATAAAGGGGACTAGGAGCAGGGAGCACGGCTCATCCGGTAATCTGGATCATTCGGAGAGTGTTAAGTGTTCTTTGTACTCTCCAAAGAACAGTTGCAGTCGAATATTTGCAGAGTGTGCGAGCCCAAGATATCAGGAGCCAATGGGACGGAAACTGATGAGATCAAGGGGAACATCCTCAGGCCGTTTGGAAAGTTGAAATGTTAACGGACAGTTCACGAACGATTTTTCAAAAGAACAGGGCGAAGTAGGTCAAGAAGCGCACGAGTACACACACTTTTCCATGTTGTTCTTCAGCATCTTCAGCCGCATTTATTGTTTTTTTTTCGAAGTTACCTATTTTCAGACACTTACTGCTTCTCATCGTTTCAGATAATCGGAGAATAAGAAGAGTTGCAGTGGAGTGGGAATGGCATAATGGGAGTAAAAGAGAACTAAAGAAGGAAAGAAGGAGAGAAGGCGGAAAACATGTAACTCGAGAACATGAAATTAAAATTACATATTCGGGAGCAGTCAGGTGGGAGAGAGAGAGAGGGGACGAAACGGAGAGAAGGGCAGAGCGAGGGAACCCGGGCGGGAGCCACTCCACTCGTTCGAATTAAGATTGAGAGAAAAGAGACTGGAAGAGCAAACAGACACTCGAAGAAGGCGGGTGCCATGCCAACTGGTAGGAGCACGCGCCGAGCAGCAAACGAACAATAATCAGGGTGAAATAATATTGACTGTTGGGATTGGGGGACCGAAATATTCGCGAAATTTGGAAAGGAGCGGCAGCGAGGGAGCCGAGAGTTTCGGAAGGAAAAGGGAGAACGAGACAGGAAGGAAAGGCCACAATGGGTGTGATTAGGAGGAAAAGAGATGGAGAAGAAGAAGGACGGAAGAGAGGAAGCAAAGGAAGGTGGTCTCTTTCTGGAACCCGAAGTGATATCACTGCTCGCATCAATAAGAAACTGGAGTATGTCGTTTGGTAATTGAAGTGTTGAAGTTGGAAACGGCAAGCTCTAGTACTAAAGTGTTCGTTCGAAGATCGGACATGAGTCACTCAAGCCGTACAAGTGCCAATTTAAGTCTTCCCTCACACTCCAACGAACTTCTCCCCTTCCTTTCCCTTCCCTTTCTATTCCACTTTATTATCTCGGATCACTGAGCCATGTGAGATGACTTCTGACTCCGTGCCCGACCAGACATCTTTTGTATCTGACTCGTGATTGCTTTCTGTCCTCTGACTGATCCCAATGGTTGTTCGACGTTTTGAGAGAATGGAACACGTTAGTCATCCGGAGATGAGTGATGAAGATGGGAAAAGAAACAGAAGAAAAGAGAATGACAATTTTCTTTTGTTTTTCACAACCAAACATTTGAGTTTCTATGGCGACGTTAACGGAAATCAGGCGGTTGAGAGGTGTTTTCGCGGGAAAGAAATATGCGAAAAAGCGAATAATTGAGTGGCGGAGAAGGTTGGCTGAAAGAGGAAGAAGGGAGTCGCCCGTGGAAATCCGCCGAAATGAAAATGTCTGTTTGTGGAGTGCAGAATTTGGAATCAATTTTCATGGGTCCAACAAAATAATTCGGTAGGTTCAGGGGCGTAAGTATTATATGCATTTTATTCGAAGAGTCTCTCACTAAGAAAAATTCATCTGAAAATCTAACATTGAAGATAAATGCGGAATTAAAAACAAACATTTTTGCGGATTGTGCAGATTTAATTTAACGTGCTCCAAGTCTTGTTCAAATTTAGTTCGAATTAGTTTCGCCATTAGAGCATATCTGAGGCAAATTGGGAAAAAGTATAGCTCCGGAAGCCGCCATATGTGCTCCGATAACAATGAGAGATTTGAATAGGCAGGGGAATTGAATAGAATGCTCTCATTTCGTTTTCGCAATTTTACAGTCAAAGTTCATCGTTTCCCATGTACAGAAGTGAAAACACTCAACAAAACATATTTTTGTTTTTTCCTATTCGCTTTCCATTTCACTTCTTCATGTCCATTTATCAGAAGTGATAGTGCTTCCGGATACGTCTTCTACTTCTTCTTCTGCCTGATCCATATTGATCTTTGCTCCCAATTTCTGGCAAGTCGGCAGCATCAACAAGCATTCCGTCCGAGCCCGTGTTCTTCGTTCCCCGGCAATTTTTTCCGCGGCTTCTCGAGAAGGCTAATCCATTTTTCTCTTCTTCTGCTACGCGCCCCAACATCTTTTCTTACATATCCGATGACGTCAGATCAGAAACGCCTATATTTCAGGAGAAACGACGTGCGTCATCTATCAAAAACATGTTAGAGTACGTAGGCCGAAGTGATATGAATGGAAGACGTAGACATGAAAAAGATAAGAGACGCAGAAATACAATTGTTTTTGTACGAAAACATTGAAAAGGAAAGGAGGACCGTCAGTTGTTTCAGTGTCGGACTGGCGAGCCGACGTGCCTTTTTGACAGAAGGAAATGCGAACTCTCTCGTTTCCAGGGAGACCGAAAACGCCTGCAGAGGTCCCTGTTATCCCGTTATTTTCCGCCGATTTGCTTTGCTTCCGAAAGAGAAACGACGACGTTTCGGCCGTCCGAATTGATTATTGCCTCGCGCCAATCGGATTTCAATTTTGCCCCCAACAAACTTGTCGTTTGGCATTTCTCTTCTTCCTGACACGCTGATAATACTTTGAGTGCTGACGGCACGCACTGATAATGCGCTCTCTCCTCGCGTTGTGTTCTCCGTCTTTCGGCGGTCGCCTCCGACGCCGACGCCGCGCCCTCTCTCGCTCCTCTTCGCCGTCTCTTTTCAAACTGCCGCCGCTCGCGATTAAAGGCGCACACTATTTCTGTCGACGGGATATCTCGCCGCGATGGTCGGCGTCCCCGCGAAATAACACATTCAAATTGGCGGGATTTCTTGTTTTTCTCAAGTAAATTCTAGAATTTCTTCACTTTTCGCCCTATTTCTTGTCATTTTCGTGTTTCTGCTTGCTTTGCGGTCGACTTTTGTACGCTTTTTCGACATTTTGCACACAAGTTTGCATTTCGTCATCGTGTTACGTAATTTTTGTGTCTTCTTGGCCCAAATTCTCGTCTTTCTCCGTTCATATTGGTGAGCCGTGTTCACCGAGCTTCTCGAAAATAAGTTTGCCAAAGCGTTGATTGCCTGGGTGGTTCCGATGACATACCCCCGAAACTTCCACTCGGTTTAGTGTAATGCTCGCTGGATTAGTGCTGTCTGCTCAGTATCACTGCTGTCGTCATCCGTCTCTTGACACTCTGTGTTATCTTATCATCGTCCCCAAAAATCTGAATTTCGCGTAGACAATCCCTTCTGTGAGGAGCGCGTGAGAGAGAGAGAGAGTGTCTGAGTGAGTGTGCGAGCGATGCCCACTTTAGTTGTTGTCATGCGACGGCGGCGACACGCGCTCACCCACTGGCCGGGCACTGCTGGCCATCGATTTTCCTTCACACTTTCAAACGTCGAGCGAGCTGTTTCGAAAGTTCTAGTGCGCTCACACTTCACCTTCGTATTATAGCGCTCCATTTTTTTTTTCAACTTCTTCATAATTCTCTCTGCTCTTGTTAATTCTTGCACTCGAACCTTCCTTGTTGCAGAAGACTTGCCCACCGAAAATGACCGAGACCGTGGATGAGCTGGTGCAGCGCGCGAAACTTGCTGAGCAAGCCGAGAGATACGACGACATGGCTGCCGCCATGAAGAAGGTGACTCATCTCTTCGATGGTGACTATTTCCTCATCACATTTTCAGGTTACCGAGCTGGGACAGGAGTTATCCAACGAGGAGCGCAATCTCCTTTCTGTCGCGTACAAGAACGTTGTCGGAGCTCGTCGTTCGTCGTGGAGAGTCATTTCATCCATCGAGCAAAAGACCGAGGGATCCGAGAAGAAACAGCAGCTCGCCAAGGAGTACCGCATCAAGGTTTGTTCTTGTGTAAATCGTATCGTCTTCCCGACGTGGGAATGATATTTCTCGCTTTGTGAGAAAAATTGAGCTTATATTTTCCGTTTCCGCAAAATTTGGTAATGAGCACATGTCGGTGTGCAATTATGATATTGCGTCACTATTTATTAGAAGTCAGTCGTCTATACGCATGAATTTAGGTCGAGCAAGAGCTCAACGACATTTGCCAAGATGTGCTGACGCTCCTCGATGAGTTCCTCATCGTCAAGGCTGGAGCTGCCGAGTCGAAGGTCTTCTACCTCAAGATGAAGGGAGACTACTACAGATATCTTGCCGAGGTTGCTTCTGAGGATCGTGCTGCTGTTGTCGAAAAGTCGCAGAAGGCTTATCAGGTATAGAGCATCATCAAAACCGCCAGGCCAAAATAAACTTTCAGGAGGCTCTCGATATAGCCAAGGAGAAGATGCAGCCAACGCATCCAATCCGCCTTGGGCTTGCCCTCAACTTCTCGGTCTTCTACTACGAGATTCTGAACACTCCAGAGCATGCTTGCCAGCTTGCCAAGCAGGTAAATCGTCAAGCGGCAGAACTTTGGCAGTTTTAATATTTATCAGGCCTTCGATGATGCGATCGCTGAGCTCGACACCCTCAACGAGGACTCTTACAAGGATTCGACGCTGATCATGCAACTTCTACGTGACAACCTTACTCTCTGGACATCGGATGTTGGAGGTGACGACCAAGAACAGGAAGGAAACCCGGATAACCAATAAGTACGAATACATATTGATATATTGTCATTCTATAAAGACCCGTTTTATTTTCATGTTTATAGTAAACAATTGCACTTACAATTGGGTAATTTCCGGTTTTCAGAATGTTGGCTTCTGCAACAGCATCTCCTCTGCCACTTTCAGTTACCCTTAAACGTCTCCGGTGGGTTGTCTGAACTGACAGCATTCGTTAACTGAAAGTTTTTAAGGCTTATCACCTGCACCAGTACTTCATGCAGCATTTTGTAATGGCAACAGGAAGACGTAGCGACTTGTGTACTCCACCAGATTACCTAAGATCTCTACTGTACTACTGTTACCGTTCTATTATGTTGGTATCATTGCTGAACGCGTCCTGAGTCTTTCACGAAGGGCGCTTTATTTAATGATAATTGTGTACTGTTAACCTCGTATATTTTATGCCCCCTCAAATTCTCCAAACTACAATCTATATTGTAGCGCATCCTTTTCTTGATGATAAATTTTTCTTGAAACTCACAAAACTGATATGAATAATTTATTAAATAATTAATTAATTGAGGTTTCGCAAGGAAGCTGAGGTTTGTTCAGTTCCAGGTCGGCATTCAGTACGAAGTCGGCTGGTTCCGAACGAGCAAAGATGACGTAGACGGCATTAGCGACGGTCAACGTGAAAGCATGGATCAAGAAGTAACTGGTCCACGAGAGTTCGGCTGAAAAATGTCATTTTATTTTTTGAAAGAATCATGAAACTGACCATCTGGACTTCCTGGAAGTACAAGCAATGAGAAAAGAACCGGCTCAAGGAGAGTAGCTAACGATTTGAACAGTTGAATATACCCGATGACAAAATAAGAGAATTGCCTGAAAGCAGAACAAGTTAGTACTGACAAGTTAGACTGTGCATTGCCTTGATATCAAAGCGGCGCCTTTGTAGAATCCTCCGCAATTAAACCCGAAAGAGGCCTGATAGAAAGTGATGCAGATGACGTGCAGATATGGATATTCGCGTGGCAGAAACACGACTATCAGAAGAAAGAAGGCGGGCACTTGCAGTGAGATCGTGTTGAAGAGGCGGAGCTTCATGCGTTCCGAGAGAGATCGGATGCGGTCGGAAGCGAGTCCGGCGAAGATTCGGACGCCGATGAACAGGTATCCCTTCATCGAATTGAGCCACGCGTTCGCCTGAATGTCCATTCCCAAATACTGATAATACTGGGCGCCGTAGACGAGAAAGACGAAACTGGCGAAGATGTCGGCGAATCCGGCGAACCAGACGGCCCAGACAGACTTTTCGGAGAGAACTTCCCGGTACGGCGTCTTCTTGTCCTTCTTCTCCTTTTTCGTTCCGTTCGCAATGTGCTGCAACTCCGATTGAGTCATCAGCCGATGATCTTCCGGTTCATCGCGATAAAACAGAAACCAGACGGCAGTGGAGACAAACAGAAACACCGATAGAATGTAGTAAATGGGCCTCCATCCGATAGTCGACGTCGTCTGAAACAGAAGACATTTTGAAAGATGGCCCGAGGGGGCGGGGCTTACCCATCCGGCCAAGGGCAACTGAATGACTGCTCTGGCGGCTGTGAATCCGCTGAGAGCAGCCAGCGAAATGCCCACTTCGCTTATGGGCGACCACTTCGAAACGACGTATCCGACGACTCCGAAGTCCGCCGAATAAAGGACTCCTTGGAGTATCCGGAAGACGAGCGCCACGTGGTAATGGGTGTCGAGAGCCCACGGCAAGAAGGCGGTGACGACGGCGCACAGCAGACTGGCAATCGTCAGTACGATGCGGGGACCGTACTTCTGCATGAGCGTGTTCTGGGGGTACATTCCGATGAGCGAACCGATAGCCATTGCTGAGATCAGACTCGATTTCTCTTCCAGAGAGTATATGTATATCTGAAAAGGAATGGATGTTTGGCTGGCTGTCTGTATTCTACTCAGCCCCCTTTTTCAGCTGACCAAGGGAAAGCTAAAATTTGGAAATGATTTGGCGCCCCGACTAAAGTACGGCTGCTAATTTCATCCGACCCGAAGAGAAGAACGACTCTTCTTCTGCAAGCGGTCCCGCCAGTTGTCCCCGACCGCCCTTCTCAGATCCGATCCATCATTCTCTTTTTTTGCGGACCCGAAAGTCCCCGTCTTTTGGTCTCATGACGACAGCCGGGGGCGGCCAGGAAAAAAAAACGAATCGGACTCACGTCATCGCGACCCGCTTCTGCAGCGATTGTCGAGTTCTTCTCCATGTAGACCATCGAGAACGAGAAGACGTCGACGCAATTCATGACGCTTCCCAGCTGGAGCCACGTCAGCACGAAGACTAGGCATCGGATGCGGTGCTTCATTGAAAGATTCAGGCGGAATCTGAACGGATTCCGAGGGGATTACGAGTTATTTCCAGGGCAGACGACTCACCTTTTGCACCCCATTTCGAGGTTTCCGAGCAGAATCGGCGAAGCGTTCAGCGCCGAACTGTTCTGTAAAATGGGAGCATTTGAGGCAGTCGGTTCAGATGATATTTCATGTTTCGGAAGCCGAATTGATGATAGTTTTTAAGTCGATTTAAAACCGTCCGTTTGATATAGTCAGATGGAGGAATTAAAAGGGAAACGGGCGAGGAAATAAAACACGGATTGTTCTCGGTTATTGTCTGATTCTTTCAAAAACATTGTTACGGTTGGCGTTTGATTCGCTGATCCTCTGGAGAATTTGTTTACTTGAAGAGCGGGGATCAGAGTACGGAAGAGAGACACATCAAAAAGGCCGCAAACGGAGAGAGAGAGACAGAGGAATGCGACTTATTTAGTATGGAAGTGAGCTCCTTTGTACTTATGCTTCAGATGGACTAAAGGTCGGGCCACCAGGGACTAGAATGAAGTCTAGACAGAGCAGAGGCATTCAGAAGTGATAAGTGGTGCAGAAGTCATTGCTTATTCACTGCTCAGACAGGTATGGCTCAGTTATGTGCTTGCTTACTGCGAATGACAGCTAATGAGAGGGTCTGGAGCACAAACTGCAGTGTTATCGAGCTCGATCTTTCACCTGTTTCGGAAAGAAAGAGACTGAAAACATTGCAAGTTGATACATTCAGAATAAAAGGCGACGGATCGAGGAGAGAAAGGGAAAGTGGGAAGGAGAGAAAGCAGCTTTGCCCCCTCTTCATTTCGATGCCCAATTATCATCGCCTTTTCGTTCGAGACGAGCACAAAAGTCATCGGCTCCGGGGCTCTGCCCCTCTCTCCCGGATGGACCCATCTTCTGCATCTTCGTTTTTTTCTGCGCTAATGTGTAAAGTGCGCTCTATCGAGGCGGCGAGAATGAGCCGTTTGGCCCAATTTTATTACTCGCCATTTTTCATATGAAACTGGCAGGTGGCACACGTCGACTTCTTCTTGCTTCAGTCAGTCGCTGCGATTACTGTACCTCTCGTGCTCTGCTCCTGGTCAGTGGTGCGCAGATCGACGCATCGGGAGCCCCCACTTTGTTTGCAGAACACATCTGTGCAGTTCTTTTCCATTTTGGGAGGAGAATGAGCAAAAAGAGAAGCCGCAAATGCCATCTCATAAAATTCGATGAGCTTTTCGGGTTCACTGCTGTCAGAGAATACTTCCGCTTCTCGGAAACCGGGGAAAGTGAGAGGAGGGACTTCTCAAGTGAGAAAATGAATTCGTGGCCTTGCTTTGGAATATAATTAGTTAAACAGATTAGGCAGGTGAAAATTGAGATTGAGAGTGAAATTTGGTCGCACTTCACTGCAAACTTCGAGCTTCAAAAGATTATGTCCAGAATTCTGCAACCTAGTGCGAACGTGATGAAGGTAACATGAAAACTACCAGACAGTTTCGAAACATGGCAATGCGCGTAAACATGTTGATGGCGAGTGCCACCCCCCGGGAGTAGTCTGCTCACCTGACTGTCCGCGTAAAGGGCGTCGAACTCGTTAGGATTGTCCTTGTCATCGCTGGATCCGCCGACGCCGCCAGCGTCCCGCACTCCGACGCCGACGCTCCGATTGCTGATGCGGCCGCTCATTGTGGCGCCATTTCACATGATACGAACGATTTCTGCTGCCTTTCCTTCTTCCCGTTCGCTCCTTCTTTTGTTGTGTAGTAGTGGGGAGATTCTGAAGTGAAATAAAGACAATCCATGATAATATGATGTTCGATTGAGAGTAAAGATGGATGAGTGGGAGATGAATGAAGGTGAGAGAGATGGATTGGGGCACGAGACGCAGGACGACTGAGAAACAAGTGTCCTATTGTCAGAAGGGCGTGGTCGGTTCGCGGCTTCTTCTCCCCCTCCTCCTCCCCGCAACCCGCAGTTTCGTGGTATTTCGGGGGCGGTTGTCCTTTCGTCTTTGCGCAGAACACCTTCCTTCCTTGCGTCAAATAATAAGTGACCAAGGAGAAGAAAATGAAGGGAAAAACGAAGAAGAAGAAAAAGAAGAACGAGTAGGGACAGGGGGGCTCCGGGAGCATTCATTTGCTCATTCATTCATTCAATTTGTCACGTATACACATGCACACATTAGTATGAATGACGATGCGGATGGAGAGTTTTTTCGCGCAAGCGAGAGCGAGAAAAGAGGAGAAGTAGAAGAAGATGCTTCTGCTGGAATTGCTCCGATGAGCTGCTGCGGGAAACTGGAAACGTGAGGAAGGAAGCCACGTGGCTGACGCGTGAACGGGGAGGAATGAGAAGGAAACTTGCAGCAAGCAAAACAATAGAGGACACAAGTCACACAAACATAGCCTCGTTTGAAGGGAGAAGAACATTTTGGTCCCAAAAGGTACACTGTGATGAGAACGAAACAGGACACCTTCTGAACTGGGATGTGAATGGAGGAATCCGAAACTTTTTTGGGCCGAGGGATGAGCAAAACACGCGGAACAGTTTTTGAAATCAACTTTTTGACAAAAAGCCGTCTACTCGAGTTACCGTAATCATTCCGTTTCCACTTCAAGCAATGAACTGGGTGATATCAAAATGTTTTCATAAACAACCACACACCTCCGCACGTATGTGGACCAGCAGAAATAGCAATTTCCGTTTCAGCGATGATAAATAGGAAACATATTGTTTTGCAGGGATGCGAACAGACGACGAAAATGCAAAGCACAGAAAACGGAACGGGCGGAATGTACTTTCCGGGGGCTAATCGGATCCGCAGAAGAAGCAGATCAAAATGAGAGCGTGGGGGCGCCGGTTTGACGCGAGGAGGGGAAGGGAAAGCGTCTTGCAGAACAGGTGACTAGGGCTTCTTCTCTCTTCGCAGTTGATCCCAAATTGCAGCTGATTTCGACGCCATATGTGCACATACAACACTGTTGCCGGGGGGCCCTTGAAGATCAGCGCGAGCACCACAAATGCGGTTTGTATTTGTTTTAAAATCGGCAGGCGGCCACACACACACACTCTCACCGCTGCTCACCGCCGCCACCCGGTGTGTTCTGAACGCCGTCTGTGTTTTAACCTTTGGGCAGAATCTCAGTCGGATCGGATTTCGGCTTCCTCTTCCCAAAACGGCTTAATGCGAGCATTACGGCCATGTTTTAGAGAGGCTTTCTGAGGATTAGAACACAGACTCAAGCAGATACAGTCGCCATTTCCAATTATTCTGATCATTTGCCTATCCTCCAGACTTTCCCTCGATTTGCATATGACATTTTTCGTATGAATGGAATGAAAGAGAGTCGGCAGTCAGAATATAATCTATCCAAATGTGCCAAACGCGACGCAATCAAATGGAGAGGATCGACTGGTTCAAAAAGTTCAGAGCGACCTATGAAGAGATGCCAATAACAATGAAGGAGCCGACAAATAGAACAAGGAAGCGAGAGAGAGAGAGAGAGCGAGAAAGGACCAAAGGCATGCGAGGGGTCGGGTGTAAAATAGAGCAAAGAATGAAGATGGCGCGAGCGACTCAGCAAAGCAGCAGTTATCATCCGCGCCTACATGCTTCTCGCACTTTCCGTCAAAGATTAGGGGCTCATTGCATCCATTCATAAGGAGGCGTTCTGAGTATGGGATTTGGAGGAGGAAGAAGAAGAAGACGGAATGGAATGGAATGGAGGAGTTGACGACCGACGCAAAAAAGACACGGGCATGGCCGAGATGGCCGAGGGGTTATGGGCCGACAGGGGAGACGCGCGAGGCGCAGGCGTGCAGAGCGCGTAGCTCGACTCGACTATAACATGTCTTGTCTTCTTCTTCTTCTTCTTCTACTCCTTCTTCTTCTTCTTTTTCTACTCCATCTACTTCTTCTTCTTCTTCTCTCTCCGTCCTCGCTCCTGCTACTGGCTTCTTTCTTTCTCGTCTCTGTTTTTTCTCGGCGCGCGCCGCCAGCCATCAGCAGCAGCAGCAGCAGTAGACTGCGGGAGTGCGCGATGAGAAAGTGCGATGCCACGTGGAAACGCAGAAATGACGGAGAAGAAGGAGGAGAAGAAGAAGAAGAAGAAGAAGAAGAACGGAAAGGAAAGAGGGAGGCGAAAATGAAGAGAAGGGGAGGGGGATAAATGTTTTATTTCGATGTCAAGATGAAAAGGAGGTTTGTCGGCTGATCGGCCCTTGGTGATAAGGTTTCTGGATTGATGAATTTGATGCAAAGCGAGAGAAAAACGGATTAGACGGGAGGTCAAAGAATGGCCATTCGGAAATAGTGAGAGAATGTGATAAGCAGGCGGATCCGATCGAAACCCGTCAAGCAGTTGAGGAGGAACACCGCCAATTAGCACCGGAAACTGAGTAACATGATAAACCGGTTGGGAGAGTATCCAGTCAGACAGAAAAAGGCAGAAAATGTTTACGGTAAGGGTGGGGGTACAGTACTTTTGCTCAACAGAACAGAATGAGAATTTCATTCTGATCTGTGCGCGGCTATAAATAAACACACTCACTGGGTGGTACTTATGACTCAAAAACGATGCAACAAACGGGATAATCCCGCCCACTCGATTCTTTGCGAAAAGGTTATTCCAAGGCCAATTCAGCAGCAGAAGAACCACTTCAAGCGGACCGTCCGTCATCTTTTGATCCCTGTTCTCCGGCGGGTGTACTCTGTGCTGAGTGCTGCCTACAAATGGGAGCGAACCCTTTTTCTTCGCAGTTCAAAACAATCTCAGATTCCAGCCCGTCTGTGCTCTCCACCTTCTCTTCATATTTCATTTCCGTGCCGGATATCTTTCCAGTCGCTCCGAGTCAAATTATCGAAAATTGCTCGCCGTTATTTTTGCAGCAGACACTGCGGCGCCGCCTAATCCATCCACGATTACCTTTGTGTTCTGGTGATGAGCCACTTTGAGCACGCGGAAGATCAAGAGAACAACGGCCGCCCAGATCAAACAGCTGGACACGGAAACCAGCGAAGATAAACATTCGGAAGGAACACGTAGTTTTAAGGAGAAGTACATTTAGGTAGTATCACGTGAGGAACGCAAAATGAAATGAAAAAGGGGACTGGAGATTCCGATGGATTCTCAGAAGTATGTTGGTCGGAAATTGCCGAATTGGGTCGGCTGGATACAAGTGGAAGATGTAGCCTTCCGATGTAATAAACCGAAAAAGGTCAATTTTGTGTCTGGTCTACAAAAAACAACTGCGAATCGACAAAAAATCGGATAATTGGAGGTCTGGATAACTGGGGTCGCAGGGGTCGAATGGCAACCGAATCGCGTCCAGTTTCCAGATATTTTCATCCATTTCATATGAAAAATGATCTCACTGCATTCCCAGATGGTACCTTGTCAGTCTTACAGTTGAATCTACAGATTTATTTTCCTGCCGCCCACGCACTCTCTTTTGATTTCTCTAGTTCTTCCGCATCCTTCCAAACACTCCTAATTCGGTTTTCAAGACCTTTTCTGAGTCACAAATCAGTCAAATTGCACTTTCGGCATTATTAAATATGAAATCGAATTCGTGTGAAAAGAGTAAAGACATGAATCATAACTTTCGTTTTTTTGGCACAACAATAAAACCTATCACCGTTTTGGAACATGTCGAAAGTGTCATGAATAGGTTCAGTTAACAATGCAAACATTTCTTGAGACATGCCCTTTTCAGTGCCTATTTGCCATCGTCTTCACGTCATTTCTCATCGAGAATGCACCCATTTCCAAGCGGTTTTATGATCCTCCGAGAGTCGAAGCAGACAGAGTCTTCAGGGGAACAACAGGCTGTTCAAACACATGTGATCTCACCGGAACAATGCCTTTTTGGTTACTGTACTCGCTTGTTTGTTACATTTCCTTTCTCGCAGTCCGCTATAAAAGCACCGCCCGTTTGCTCACGATTTCAATTTCGATTCACTTTGGTTTTCCGTGTTTATTCATTCGAAGGCATTCCGGTTAGAGCCCCAGTTATCATGCTTTTTTTCATGCATTTCAGGTCATCCTTAACTCTTTAATTTGCATATTCCAGTTAGCATTTGAGGGAGAGTGCACGGGAGAAGGAGATACGGAGAGAGTGAAACCCGAAAAAATGGGAATCGAGAACTCTCGATTTCTGTGTCGGTGTGAACCGGATTACGTGCCATGTCAAATATAAGCCGTTGTCGGTCGCCCTCGTCATTCCGTTTTTTTTCAGTCGTGTTCCAAAGTCTGACTCACACTTTCTATGTACTTTGAAAGCAATTGAAGCAGGTTCCAGCTCCATAAATGAATAGAAGAAAGTTCGTAAGTTTGATTCGGAACTGTTGTAGTCCGCAGAAAATCTGCTCCACTGAGTGTGTTCTCGGCTGGAAACTTTCTTAGTGATCGGTCCGAAACCAGTGCTCTTCTCCAGCTCTTCTGCCACACCACTTCACCCACTTTCCCATTCTTTTCCCCTGTTGACATTTTCATATTTTCGCCCTTCTTTTCATCCATTTCCGTCCTGAAAACACTGTACTTTCCGGCTCCTGCAATCCAAACAAACACCTAGAGCCCCGTGCCGCCTCCGTTCGTCGTTTCCATTCGTTTGCGATGTCGTCTTCAGTGTCAGCCGTTCTTTTTCTCACTCTGCTGATTCTCGATATGGCCGGTGCGTGTCACAGCTGTAAGTTCGCAATTTGCCACTGTGTTCCGACCCTTTCGCACTCTTCTCACTCTCAAAACGTTTCTCGGTTCAAGGCATTTGTGAACTTCGGTTGTCATTCAATTACTAACAAATCGGTGAACAAGTAAAAGAACGAAAGCATTCCCTTTGTAGTCCTTCCATATGCTCAGTTCGTCGGAGCTCGCGCCTACCTGTTGCAGCAGAAAATGGAATGCAAAGGCGGAAAAGTCTACGACATTGATAATGTGCAGGTGTGAAACGATATTGTTTCCGTTTTCCGTACGAAATGACTTGGCAGGACATTGAACAATGCAAAGAAGCGTGCCGTCAGTTCGACTGCGATGCCGTCAACCTCTTCCAGTTGGGAGAGTTCGCCTTCAAGTGCGAGATTCTGAGCTACGTGACCAACCTGCAACCGGCCAACGGAGCCGCCTGTTACTACGCTTCAGATGCCCTTCAAGGAGGATACAACGGCGGATTCGGGTACAATGGAGGATACGGAAAGAGAAGAAAGTGAAAGCGCATTCATGATTAACATGTACATTTTATGATACTGTATAATAAAGCATACTTATTGTAATAATCGTTTTATAATCATATACTCCGAAGGTTCACATTGACATCATATTTTGTACAAGTAGGATTTCAAACAATAAAAATAATCGAATCAATTTGGTATGCATATGGCCCGAGATCGTTAGACACAAGAGGAATGAGATGAATAATCAAGGAAACTGGAATGATCAGATTGCAGTCGGTTCTATGGTCGTCGTGGGAACCAAACTGTGGAGGTAGTTTTTGGATTCGTACGGACGCCCACGGATTCTGTTCATGAAGTGGTCGACCGAACAGCGGATCGCTTTGATGCGAAGAGTGTAGATGAACGGATTGGACGCCAATTTCAGCATTACCTGAAGATAAAGGGAAGTTGAGAAAGGGAAGTTTAGATAGGAACTAACCAAGATATTCACAGTTGAGTTGAGGAAGAGACTCATGTAGAGTCCGATGTTCTCCCGGTAGATGAGCATGCATCCATCCGCACAGACCATCACGAAATAGAGCACGCACAGTCCCCAAGACAGGGAGAACGTGGACACGATCAGAAGGGTCGTCCAGACCAATTTCAGTTTCGAGTACACATTCGTCGACCGAGCGCTGTAACTTCTGGTGGCTCTGCAAACATGAGAAGATTATTTAAATTCTAAAATGGGACTCACGGTGTCTTGGTACTGCTGATCTCGAGTCTTCGGTCGCTGCAGTACGTTTCAAACTCCACTTTCGCTTTCAGAAGTTTCACAAGAATGGCTCCGTAAATGACGAGAGTTGAGATGAGCGGAAGCATGAAGATGAGGAAGATGGTTATCCGGAACGGGAATCTGTTGTAGAACTTGAATTGGCAGTACTCGTGCCGCAGTCCGTCGTCCTCATTCGCCACAAACCATCCGAAAACGAATATGAGCGGAACGACCCAGAGACAGAAAACGATGTAACGAAGACGGCGAGTGGTCACCATTATCTGGAGCGTTCTTACTGTTAAGGGGAAATAAATAAACCAAAAATCACAAATACCTTGTATTTCAATGGGTACATAGTGCCGAGGAACTGATTGATTGCCAGGGCGAAGAGGTGCATGTCAGAAGTGAGCATTCCCGATATCCGGAACATTTCCAAAAAGGCGTCCCAGCAGTGCGACGTTTTCCGATATCCAAACACGACTGGGAGGTACGAGTTGACAATAAGACCTGGAAAAATTGCGGAAGTCATTGGGGATGTGGGTCCAGTGCAAATCTCACCACTTATGAGAAGTGTGGCTGCCCACATATCGGCTGCAGCAAGAGAAATGCAGAGCTTGAGGTACGGGGAGACTGGGGAAGAGAGCCACGGAGAGGAGAGAACGATGAGACCGTTTCCGAGGATGGCCATCTGGAATGTTTCTGCTCATAGAACCCTCTTTTCTGTTAATCAATTCAGGCATTTTACTCCATGCTCATCATTATCCCACGCGCGATTTACTCTCTTCAAATTCATCCACACTCCCAATTGTTCACAGTTTATGTACACATTTTCCTCTATCTCCGAATACTCGGAAACAGCTCTGTCAACACACGTCTTCACATCATACGAAGTAAGTAAAAATGAACTAGGACTTGTTTTCGCATCCTGACAGCTTAAATTGCCGGCTATTTCCACCCCGTTTTCTCAGCTGAACCCGTCAGAACTCACCAGAAGAATGATGATCATCAAGGGAATGAGCCACTGATAAATGCTCTTCACCCGCTTCACATAGTCAACGATGGCGTTCGCTGGAGATGCGCTCGTCGTCGTCGTCAGAGTATCGTTGTCGAGGAGCGCGCCGAGCAATATCGGCGCCATTGTCGACGTGAACATGGCGTCTGGAAGAAGGCGTGAAGTGGATTGGAGGAAGAAGCCAAGTAAAGTGAGCAAAGGAAGGAGAGTGGCTGAAGGACTTTCAGAAAGGGAAACTTGTTTTGTATCCTCGGATCCTCCGAGAAGTGAGTCCACGAGATGAAGGGGCAAAGCACACACCCGGCCGCCGTTTCGCAGAATTTGTTGTTTTCGGATTGCAAATTGGATTCTTATTCCGCGTTAGAAATTAGCATTCCAGACCGACTGGTGATGGTGTGGAGATATTACATAAGGGGCATAACTCAGATAATTTGATATCGAGTTGTGAGTGATTGGTTTTTGAGCGCTGCATGAAAAAGAGGCAGTTGAATGGAGTGTGACGAAACGGGCGGAATGAGGAGACGTTTATGAGAGTTGTAGTGGGGAGTCAGTGACACGTCAAACGAGCGCGGGACGACTACAAAAACGACTTCTTCGTTTTGATGCGAGAATTTCAGGTCCACTAGAGACTTCATAAATCTGAGTGGGGCGGCTCGTGGATAGTCGTGTTTACAAAGCGAGTTGTCCGTCGGAAAAAGACGTTTTATTGTAGAGAAGTGAATTATGACGGAACCCTGGCAGAAAATAAACTAAAGCGGAAGTCGCATTTTTATAGCCAAAGGCTCCTGCATAGTTTCTTTGTTCCGAACTTTTCGAGTATTGCTGATTTGAGAACACACCCGGAAGGTGCCCGGACACAAAACGATGAGGTCGGCGTCTCCAATCTCTCGGAAACCTGATACCTACTTCGAAGTTGTAAGCCGAGGAACATCACGTGGCCGCCGGGAAGGCAAAGGCCATGATCCGATTGTCTCGGAAGAGGGAGCGTAAAGTGATAAACGATGGTCAAAACCAGAAAAGGGACGTTGGAGCTTGTCTCAAGAAGGCGCTTCTAATCGCATTTGGATGATATAATTACAGAGCAGATTGGTTCCAGTTTCCGTCTGAACAACACCACGAGCTAGATGATCCGGAATTAAGAAAACACTTCGGAAAGCTGTCTAATCTCTGAAGTGGGTCAATGACAAGGTAATCTTTAAAATTTACGTCACCGGAAGGCGTCTCTCAATCGCCCTGGCTTTCAGAATGCCCGGAAAGGGCGTGTTTTCTTGAATTTTACGGCTAATCGGCTGAGATAGCACGAAAACAAAGTACTGGAAAATGAAATTGGAAATGTAATATGTCATATCAAAAAGTTTGATACGTTTCCTTCGGGCAGCAAGTTTATTTTCCGGAGAAAAGTGAATAGCTGGTAATGACAGCCAGCGATCTGCAGGCCCGAAAAGGGGGCACAACCTCATAAAAATGCAAATTTTAGTAGGTGACAAGAAGAAGAAAAGAAGGGGGCTAATCGGGGATATTCAGAAGGAGACCAACGCTCTCGAAGGACCCGCATGTAGTCGGAATTAATGTGTGTCTCCGAGTAGTGAATAATTTGATGATCTTCTACGGAAACCGACAAGAAAAAGCTCAAAAGCCACTGAGAGCTTCACAAACTTCAGCGAGTTTTATCAAATGGAAATCAAATTCATTTGAAAATGTTCTCGAATTGAAAATGCTGGTCAATCAGGAGTTCTTGTATTCGTACCGCTTTCCCCGGAATACAATTTCAAGTTGGACGCGTGTGAATAATATAATTAAAACGAAAATGGGCGGAGTTTGTCGTCTCCATGGGTAACAAAAAGAAATGGGTACAAAGTATGATCACAAAGATTGGCGCCAAGTGGTCGGACGATAACGAGCAGTGAAGGCGTCGCGGACGAAAAGTTTTCTTTTTGCTGTTCCGAGGTTTCGCCACTGACGGATCGCGTCAAAAAGTTGACGTTTCCCGCCGATTTGACAGCCCTTGACGTGGTAGATTCGGCTTGGAAATCAAGAGAAGAGAAAGGACAATAAAGGCATTTCAGAACTTGATATAATTGGACCTCAAATTAATCACTGAAAACTTTAATGATGTTTCCACCGGAGATCTTTGAGGAAGCGGGGCGCTATGCCAAATACGGACCTTCTTGTATTTGTATGTCTAGGCGGGAACGTACTGAATATTGGGGGGAAAGAAAAACAATAAATGAGAATTTAGAAAACAAAAAAGGGGAATGAATTCTTGATGCGAGAAGGATCTCGTGTAACCGGATTGGTTCTGAGCATTAGCGGCTCCCAAAAAGGCAACGATTATGTAGCTCTTCCCTAGAGTGATATCTGGATAAAACATGCAAAAATAAAAACAGAAATCATGCCATCTTGCCAGTTTGGAGTCGCAACAAGTTTGAACCCATGCTGTCCTCCTCCTCCGCCTCGTCCTTCAGAGCCTGTCCCTCGGAGCCCATCTCTCCTATCTCTCGGGCTCTTTCTTGACATGCTCCGCCTCTTTTCTGCCGCTTCATGTTCCATTGCAAACGTTTCAATCAAAAGAGAACAATGAAAAAGAGAAAGAGGAATGATGAATGAGAAGTGGGAAGAGAGGAATCACTCGGATACCGAAGTTTTTCAGGAACATGCGGAGACCGGGAAACGATTGGAATGAGCGCGTAATTACGAGAGAAACAGTTGTCTTTTATGAGCCATTTGACGGCAGAAAAGTGATTGGAGAAAGGTGGAATTGGATTAGATGATCCTAGTTTTAGTGGTCGGAAATAGATTGGCTGAATAACAAGGATGAACTGGCTCATTGTGATCTTCTCAAGTTGATACGGTATCAAGATACTCTCGTCCAGCTTGCGTCACAGCTTTTCATTTATGCTCTTCCAATTACTTGTTGACCAATGCAAGGTTTGCAAACAAGTGTTGTCCTCGAAACCACGAGTCTCTCGCGCATATTAACCGCCCTTTCATAGCCTATCTCTTTCGATTTTCGCGCCGTTGGAGCATATCCGGGAGGGGTCAAAGAGCCGAAAAATAAGTGATCGGTGTTGTATTTCAGGTTTGAAATGACAACACTTCCGGAAATGCGGACAAAGAATGATTGCAAACGGACACAAAAGGATATTCCGGTGTTCTACTCTAGACGAGAGCCTAGTCGCCATTATTATAGAGAAGCTTGTGAAGCAGAATGAACATATTTTGTGCAGACTTGGAAGAAAAGCTTCGGGTAGGTAATCGAGTCGGCCGAAAGGGATTATGCACATTGCTCAGTCGTCAATGAAATCAACTCAATGAGTAATTCGGAAGGGGGAAGTGGGGGAAGTGCCACGCACAGATTTGCAGTGCAAATGACAACGAAACCCTCCAGACACTTCCACAATTGCCACGTCACCTCTACACTTTTCTCTGTTTTTTTTTCATTCCGAGACGACTCCGCCCTGAAAATTCAATTTCATCTCGAATTATTGAGAGAAAAAACAAAGAGCGCAACTGGAGCTCTACGCTCCTTCTGACTTTCGATAAACGAAAAATAGAACAGTTTCCTTCTTTCACTCAACAATAAAACACTTGTGGAAAAGTAGGGGAAACGCCAAGATGATCGGAGGCTTCCGGTGGTGTCTGAGAGCCGATTGATGAATGCGTTGTACTCTGGTTCAAAAAAGAGAGGAATCGGGAAATAAATAAAAGAAGCGAAATATATATATATGAATGAAGTATTCTGTTAGCATTTTTGCAGAATAATGGATTAATGATGTGACATTTTAGGAGGAAGAGGGAAACAAAAAAGAGTGTGTTGTTGCAAAATTGGTTCGGACCGAGAATTGTGATACAGATGACGTCACAATCGAAGTGGAGTACGTGACTGATCTGAGGCGATTTAGACGGAAAACAATGTGAAAAGCTGAGGGGAAACGGCTGAAGTCTGGATTTTTGATTAGTTGGGAACGTTGCTGTGAAGAAATGGAAGTACTTGAATCGCATATCTGCGGCTACGCTTATGCTAACGACTTCTGCTAAAAGATGAATCGAGTGACCTTCAGACCTTCTTTTCGGACTCTGCACGTCGACGATGAAACAGAGAAGAACTACAAGCCCTCCCTCGTTTCCACTCTTCCAAAGAGAGCTTCTAATGACCGCTCGGCACGGAAACGGACCACCTGCGGCCCCCGTGATGATGATGAAACCGACGGACGAACAAATTGAATTTACGACGCCTTTTTGTACTCTTTCAGCTCCGATTCGCACATGTTTTTTCTGAGAAAAATGCGCCCCGTGGGTGGGTTGATTCGAACGAACGAGTTAATTATTTGGATGACGTCCGGAATTTCGGAGCGACTTTTGAAAACAGTGTGAAAATGAGCAAAAATCAGAGGAGAGAGCACGAAAGAGCGATGGTCACAAGTGGAAATGTTTATAAATGGAAGCTCCCATCACCTGCGGAAATCTGCCATTTCCGAATGCTTTCCGCGTCTTAAACGGATTCCGGAACTGAGTAGTCGTCTTCATCTTGTGATACTTGGCACGTTCATCCCTGAAGTGGCAATCGCAAGCAAGCGTTTCCTTCCCTTACTCGAAAATATTTTACGTCTCTCTTTTGTTTCTCTTTTTGTTTTAGGTGCAGTGAACAGAAAACAGTGCTCTGAAAATCCGGAATATGAGAGAAAAATCATTCCAAAAGTCCTTTTCAGAATCTGACTTTTGAAAGAACTTCTTCCTGTCAATGTTGCTGGCATAGAAAGGGAAAGCCGGAAGCAATTTTGGGAAAGTTCGGAGGCGTGCGTCAGTCAAAAATGAGTTCCCTCGGGTACGAAGATGGATGGGACGATCGGAAAGTGGATATGATGATGACGGAGGAGATATTGAACAAAGAGAACAAAAAGGAATCATTTATGAATTTACCCGAATACAAATGGTAAATACCGGTGATCGGTGTTAACTTGAACAGGGAAGAAATGAGTGGATGACAGTGCGGAGAGCGGTTTGAACCTGACGGAGAAACCCATAATCGGAAGTAATTACAGTTGGAAACATTCGGATTTTATATTTATACAGGCACTGGCTGGATCTTGATGGACGCATCCTGATGACACAGATATTTGATGAGGCAGACGAAGATTGAGGTGAACACCCCCAGAATCATTCTGCAATTGTTTTTTAAATATTAGCGAGAAGGTGTAGCTCACAGTCCGAATGCGGAGCAAGAGGCCATCAGATAGAAGCCGTTGCCGGTTGAGTTCATACTTTTCGCCCATTTTGCAGCCATTGCTTTGATTTGATTCGCTCTTTGCGACAAAGAGCTCTCTGGTGAGTCATATTCTGGAAAACTCAATTTGATTTCAGCATTTATCCCGTTTCGAATACCATTTGCTGACAGAACTTTGACTGGTGTCACTTTTCTGAGCAGCATTGTATCCTCGACCCATAATTCGCACGAGTATTCTCCAGAATCGGAGAACGTCGTCTGGGTCAGTGTGAGGATTTGGTCGTATTTGGAGAATTGAGCTCTGGACTGGAACAGAATCACTTGCTGGTCTCGTTTCCAAATGATCCGTTGCACATCGCGAATCAAATTAACAGAGCAGTCGACCACCAGGGACTCTCCCTCTTTGACGGACTGCGGTTCGGGCTCCGTTTGGAATGTGTTATCTGAATACTTTCTCCTTGAACACGTACTTCTAATGTCACTATCCTGGATGAGCAGTACTTTGGTGGAATCGGCGGTACTAAAAAGAAATCTAAGAAGAAGAAAGTACCGCTCGTCCAGGATAGATCCCTTCTAATCAGCGTACCAAACACGCGAAGCTTTGCGCTGACTTGAATCTGTCCGGCCACATTGGTTGCATGACACGTGTACACCCCCTGATCGCTCACAGTTACATTCATTATGTAAATGTGATCGTCGTTCGGTTTCACATAGAGTCTCCGAGCCTCCACAGCCGGAAAGAGACCCCTGTCGAATGCCCATTTCACTTCTGGACGGGGAGTTCCTCCGGCCGCACACAGGAATTTCGCAGTTTGACCGACAAGAAGAGACATATCAGACGGAGTGAATGCGAATTTAGGAGCCTGGTAAACCTGAAATAGAGAAGGGGAATAGTGAAAACATATGACTCATTACATGTAGTTTAACGTGACTCGAGAAGTCGGAGCCAAACCGATTCCTGGCCACGCACTGATACTCTGAGTTGTCCGTCATTGCCACGTTGTCGAGCACGAGCTCGGCCGCTGCGAGTTCCCGACCGTCAGTCGTTCCGTTCACAACTGCAGTCGAGTTGACACTGATAAACGTGGCCGAGTCCTGAGCGAGAACCCTCGGCTGACCGTTCTCCATAACTCTCCACTCTATGCTCAACGGGCTCTCCCCGTAAACATTGCAAGTGAACCGAGCTCTTTCCCCCAAAAGGGCTTTCACTTCGTCAGGTTGTCTGACGATCTTCGCTCTTGGGGAATCATCAAAGCACGTGAGATTGGCGGTATCAATTGCCACGACGTCTAAATCGGCGAGAGGAAGAGGATAGGAGCACTTGGCCACGATGGACGACTTGTCGAGCTTCAGGCGGTAGATCCAAGAGGCGAGCCACGCGATTTGGCAGTCACAGAGAATTGAGGAGGAGTTCATGACACTGGACAATACCCGACTGATAAAGAAGAATCAAACGAATTGAACTCACAGTTTTTTCAGTTCCAGTGGTTCGAATGCTTCTGGATGGATGGTCGCGATTGGATTATCCGTGAGGTCGAGCTCTTCAAGAGCTGGGAATCGTTCAAACGCTTTTTTGGGTATCACTCGCAGCTGGTTGTTCGTGAATCGAAGTGAACGGAGGAAGGGCATGGAAGTGTTGTAGAGCACGGCTCCGTCCTCCACGCAGACTGCCAAAGTATTCGAAGACAGATCCAGTCTGCAAATCATTCATCTATGTTTTTCTATGATATCAAACACTCACTTGTGCAGATTATCCATTCCAACCAGTGCAAACTTATGAAGACTGTCGATCGAGTTCGCGGAAAGTATGAGTTCTTCGAGCTGCCGAAGAGCACGAAATGAGCCAGATGGAAGGGACTGGATCCTGTTCGAATGAAGAGAAAGCCATTTCAATTTGGGAGTGTGCGTCCAGGAACTGGTGTGAAATGACTGTATTTGGTTGAAGGATAGATCTCTAGAAGGGAATTGATGGTTTTACAAATATAAGAAGAACCGGGAGAACTCACAGCACTTCCAGGCTGGTCAGTCCGAACATCCATCCTTCGGTGACTGACTGAACTCGATTGGTCGACAGGTTCAGACGGCTTAATCCCTCGCACGCGTAGAACATTCCATCGTCCAGCCGGTAGACGTCGTTCTTCGCAAGACTCACATTCTGGAGGGAAGGCAGCTGATTGAATGCAAGGAAACGGACTTCACGGATCAGATTTCGGGTGAGGTCACTGAATGACATTGAAAGAAGCATTGGACACAAGCAGACTCACATTGATTCCAACTTTCGAAGTCTTGAAAAGGAAAACTGCTTTAGAGAAGTAATGTGATTTCTAGCAAGTTTGAGGGAAACTAGCGAGGTGAACGAGGAAAACAAATCGGATCCGATGTCCGTTATCGAGTTGGAAGCGAGGTCTCTGTGACGGAAATGTAAGGGGAATCGAACAGGAAACACCTACAGCTTCTCAATTGAAACTCTTGAATAAGGGCTCGGTTTGGGCAAGTACGAGATGAGATTCCGGGACAAATCGACCGATCGGATGCCCGCCAACCGACTGAACTCATCCGGAGTGACAGTTGAAACCAGGTTGGATCTTCTGAATAAAGAAATTTCGTTGAGATCCGTTCGCTGTCATTCCACTCACAAATCCAACTTTTCGAGGTGATCTAGATGATTGCCGTGTGGAATGCGTGAGAGACGATTTTTGCGTAAATTCCTGCAAAATTCCTTCCTGTTTACTGTGCTCAAACACTTTCTTTTTTTTTGATTGGGGCTTTTAAACTCAGCACTTTTTTGGCAAAAACATTTCCGATCGCGTGAAAGTCACGAGAACTGATAACAGGAAAACTAGGAATTTATGGATTCTTCAACACTTTGAGCGGGAATCAAAGTCATAATCGAAAGCTCACAATACTCGTAGATTGGGCAAGTTTGCGAAAAAGTCCGTGTCGATGTGCCGAATGATGTTGTTCGAGAGATCTCTGAAACGGATCGGATAATTCGGAAGGCGCCGCAGTGGCTGTCTCACAGTGTTTGCAGGAAGTAAAAGCCTCGCAGACGGGTCTTGTCGATCGACTCGATCTCATTGTCTGAGAGCAGAAGAACCCGGGTGTTGTTGGGAATCGAGGAGGGGACGTCCGGAAGATCGAGGGAGGAGCAGTCGACGACGTCGCCGACGCAGTGACACAGTCCGATGCAGACGGTGCCGAACGGAGAGACGAGCGATGTCTCATAGAGAATGAGCACGAATAGGGAGTAGAGGATCATGAGGTCATCGCCAGAAGAGGAGGCAAATCACGGCGACGTCGAAACAGAAGAAAAAGATGGAAAAGTGTCTGTTCTCTCATATGACACAATGGTAAGGGAAGAGAAAGAAACGGTCGACCTTCTTAAGAACGCAAATACAAATTCGACGAGGCAGCAGTGGGAACCGAGAGAAATCTGTCTGTCCGACTGATAATGTCGCGTGAAAGATATCGGAAATGCAAAGAGAGACCGAGACGCGCGAAGAAAAAAGGCCGAAACGACGAAACGAGTGATGATAGTGGGAAAGCGAGGAATTCCGATCGGTTTATCAGACTGTGTGGCTCGAAGTCAGTTAGTATGATGTGAATGATAATGACTATAATCGATAACGGTTCACGCACAGGAGACTTCCAGATGATCGACGTACTCTCTGTATCCTGTCCGCCACGTAGCGGTGCCCTGAAAGAGTTCGCAGTGCAAATGAGAAGGAAGACGATCGCGCGTTCCGGAAATACTGAAAACAATGAGTCAGAGGGAGTGGGCACGGGGCGAGAAGTGAATCATTCTGAAAAAGACTCACACGTATCCATTTGGACACCCGAGGAGAGTCAGTTTCTTGCAAAATTCCTGGTTGTCGAAAGTCACCGATGAAATTATTTGAGGAGATGAAACAGAGAAAGTGCACAACGAACAGCCTGTGATGTTCAGATGATAAACTCTTTTTCAAGAAGTAATACCTCCAGCGAAACATGTGTAGCTGTCAACGGCCATAGTGTGATTCCCTATTGTCGTCTTCAAATATTTTCCATCTGTGCATTCCAATCTCAAACGAGATGCTTCTTCCGCTTCGAAGAAAACGACAGACCCATCGGGAGTGGCTATTCTGCAATTAAATGATTCGGGAACGCGGAAGTGTTGAATGGAAACCTCAAGGACATTCCTCGCGGACAGCCCGGGAACCTCGTATAACATCGTTGAGTGCCAGCGGATCGGAAGACTGACGTGGAGATCCCCAACGGAACGATCGGATTGAATTTAGTCAGCGAGCAGGAACACTCTACAACAGTCCCTCTTCGTTTTCCTGATTTGCCAACTCACTCTTCGCACAAACTACCCTCTCAACTGTCGTTATTTCTGGAGTGCTGTAGTGTGTTCCAGTACAGACCGGCAGGGAATCCAGTCGTCCGAATGAACTTATCATTTCCGAGTTCGGATCGGAACATTGTACTCTTGTGCAGCCGTTGGAAACAGTTGTATAGATGAGTGATCTGCTCGATAATTTATAGAAATGGTTCAGAAACGGATGCCTACCCGGGCGACTGATTGCAAGTGAATCCTGATTTAGGGCACAGACGAGAGTCATATTGGAGTGGATGGCAGGAAGTGCAATCTGAGATGTGATCCTCATTCAGTAAAGATCACTGTTAAAACAAACCATCTTGAACAGGATTCTGGAAGACGACACTTGTCCATTCGACTGGTGACACCATTGTTGTGATCTCCAAAGAACTAGTCAATATCTCGATCGTTTCAGTAGTTTCCGTTTCGGCTATTGTTGTTTCTTCCGTTGCCATTGTTGAGGTTGATATCTCCGCAGTTGTCTCCGTGTCAGAAGGCGTTGGTTCCGTTTCAGTTGATGCGTCCGTAAACGATGTTGAATCCGTGATAACCACTGTAGATGTTTCCATTTCTGTAGTCGTCGGCACGTCAGTCGTCAATTCAAAAGATTCATCTGTTGTCGTTGTCACCTCTGTCCATGAAGCCGTCGTTCCCATCATTGATGTTGTCACAACATGTGCAGTTGTTGTTGGTTGAGTCACTCCTGTGCTTTCTATCAGCTCTGTGGATGTCGTCATTTCAGTTGTCATCGCAGCCGCCGTCGTAGACGATTCCCATTCTGATGCTGTCGTCGTGCTCGCTTCGGAAATCGTTGACAGCAAAACAGTACTTATCTCCGTGGTTGACGTCGTCTGCTCGCTCGTTGTTTCTTGTTCCGGCGCAGTGAATGCAGTTTGTGTCGGCATTTCCGTAGTTCCTTCGGTCTGCGTTGCTTCTGTCGTAGTTAAGGAATCTGTTCCAGTTGTCGTGGTCAATTCAGAAGATGAAGTCGTCGTTGTACTCATCTCCGTCGTTGTGGATTCCATGGGAACTGTTACCGTTGACGTAAGGCTCTCAGTTGTTAGTTCAGTGGTCACCGTGCTCATTTCAGTGGAAGTCACATCTTCTGTAGTAGACGTCATTCCAACTGCCGTAGTTTCCATTTCTTCCGTCGTCGTAGCCATTTCGGATGTGGTTCCTTCCATTGTTGTACTCATCTCCGTCGTTGTCGATTCCATGGGAACTGTTACCGTTGACGTAAGGCTCTCAGTTGTTAGTTCAGTGGTTGCCGTGCTCATTTCAGTGGAAGTCACCTCTTCTGTAGTAGACGTCATTCCAACTGCCGTAGTTTCCATTTCTTCCGTCGTCGTAGCCATTTCGGATGTGGTTCCTTCCATTGTTGTACTCATCTCCGTCGTTGTCGATTCCATGGGAACTGTTACCGTTGACGTAAGGCTCTCAGTTGTTAGTTCAGTGGTTGCCGTGCTCATTTCAGTGGAAGTCACCTCTTCTGTAGTAGACGTCATTCCAACTGCCGTAGTTTCCATTTCTTCCGTCGTCGTAGCCATTTCGGATGTGGTTCCTTCCATTGTTGTGCTCATCTCAGTCGTCGTTGATAATTCTGATTCGGTAGTTGACTCGGGCGTACTAGTCATTTCAGTGGATGTCTCCATTTCCGAAGTTGTCGGTAATTGCGCAGTTGTAGTAGTTGGTTCTTCTGTTGTCGTCGTGGTGGTTGGCTCAGGAGTTGTTGTCGTTGTCGTCGTGGTTGTGGTTGTGGTCGTATAGCATCGGCGACGAGGACAACAGCAACATCTTGAAGAAGATCTCACCCGGCATCCTTTTTGTCGGAAGTCTCGATGACCACGTTGACCTGGACATCCACATCCTCTATCTTGGCATCCACAGCTTCGACGTTCAGAGGAGCAGTCCTGGTGGCAACCAGACGAACAATTGTTTCCACATCTGGGGGAGCAATCGTTTCTGCACCGTTCCTGCTGACATCCGCATTCATCCCGTCCTCTGCATTCACATCCATGCCGCTCTCGCGAGTCCCATTCGGCAGATGAGGATTCTTCGTCACTCTCTTCAGTAGAATGCTTCGTTCTATTCCGATGCTGACGGCATCCGCAATCACAGCAGCAGCACGAACTCCTTCCACTTCCACCTCCCCCACTTCCACCGCTTCCGCCTCCTCCTCCACTTCCATTACCGTAGACGTTTATGTAGTTGTTAATACAGTCCGTTTCAAAAGTATAGGGCCACCCCTGAAAATCACCGGCACGTCTTCTCCAGGTAGTATCATGCCTCCGCACCTTGAAAATCGGATTCAGCATGAAAAGTTACCTCTGGAAAACAATTTTGGGGCCAGTACATTGGGTGCTGAGGCCATGGTGCTGGAAAATCTGAAAAAGTGGCTTCTGCAGGCGTTTCATAAGTATAGGGCCACCCCTGAAAACACTCTGGAAGCCTCTTAAACTGAAAAACATGATCTTGAATGGGGTTCTTTGCACCTTTAGGATGTCCAAAAAGCCTTTTTGAAATCATGTGCAATGACCCAGACGCCACCTAGGGCCACTCTCCCGGGTTTAGCCTAATGTTCTGTGTGAAGCTCGGGAGTGGAGCCGGGGGACTCCGATGATCTCAAATGAGACAAATCTTGGTTGAAACAAGTTTTTCGAGCATTTTCAAGTCGGATTCGTTCAAGCCTCTCGATTCGCTAGCCCCTGATATCAGATTTTTGACCAAAATGAAGCCAGGCCTAACAAGGATCAGACTGGCTTGAGCGTCAAACTCCAGGCTGACTTTGCCCACTTTCAGGACTTCATAAGGAAGGTTTGAAACATGACATGTTTGAGTTTGGTGTCAATCGGATCAGTTTCAACCGAGTTATGAGCTCCCGATTGTTGAAGTGAAGAAAACCAACATTTTTCAGTACATTTCTGTTGATTTTTTTCCCTTCAACAATCGGGAGCTCATAACTCGGTTGAAACTGATCCGATTGACACCAAACTCAAACATGTCATGTTTCAAACTTTCCTTATGAAGTCCTAAAAGTGGGCAAAGTCAGCCTGGAGTTTGACGCTCAAGCCAGTCTGATCCTTGTTAGGCCTGGCTTCATTTTGGTCAAAAATCTGATATCAGGGGCTAGCGAATCGAGAGGCTTGAACGAATCCGACTTGAAAATGCTCGAAAAACTTGTTTCAACCAAGATTTGTCTCATTTGAGATCATCGGAGTCCCCCGGCTCCACTCCCGAGCTCCACACAGAACATTAGGCTAAACCCGGGAGAGTGGCCCTAGGTGGCGTCGGGGTCATTGCACATGATTTCAAAAAGGCTTTTTGGACATCCTAAAGGTGCAAAGAACCCCATTCAAGATCATGTTTATCAGTTTAAGAGGCTTCCAGAGTGTTTTCAGGGGTGGCCCTATACTTATGAAACGCCTGCAGAAGCCACTTTTTCAGATTTTCCAGCACCATGGCCTCAGCACCCAATGTACTGGCCCCAAAATTGTTTTCCTGAGGTAACTTTTCATGCTGAATCCGATTTTCAAGGTGCGGAGGCATGATACTACCTGGGGAAGACGTGCCGGTGATTTTCAGGGGTGGCCCTATACTTTTGAAACGGACTGTATAGTTATTATTACTATTACTATTATTATTCCCGTTTGAGTTCTGATTAGAAGAGGTGAGATTGTTAGTATTGCTGCTGTTATTGCTGCTCGTATTCCCGTTATGATTCCCGTTATCGTTGCTATTCGTATTATTCATGCTCAATACGTTATCGTTTCTATTCGAGTTCGTATTGTTACTAATCAAGCTTGAAGTTCCATTTGAGACCGCGGAAGCCGAAGCGGAAGAGTTTGTCAGTGAAGAAGAGTTGGAGGAAGAACTTCCGCTTCCGGATCCGCTGCCACAGCTAGAACATCCGGAGCCAGTGATGTTATTAGAGTTTGAATTGTTATTAAGGTTAGTATTATTGTTGTAGTTCCAGTTGGTATTATTATTCGAGCTAGGGTTACGGCTGGGGGGAGGAGGAGTCATGATAGTGGTAGTGGAAGGGAGTGTGGTACTAAGTTCCGTGGTGGTTGTGGTTATGGTAGGTCTACTAACGGTTGTGGAGGAAGAAGCAGTTGTGGTCCTTGGTACAGTGACAGAATTGTCAGTAGTTGTTCTGTAAAAGAAGAAGACAATGAGAAGTTAGAGACAAGAACGGAAGAACTCACACGACGGGAATGCCGGCGGGATGTGTAGTCATGCACGGATCGGCAGCCGGCAGGAAAAGGAGCAGGAAAAGCATTCGGAACATGAAGGGAAGACTAGACTGTCTTTCGGACGAAGACAATGTCCGCGGGGAGCCGTAAACTGCGCGCGCACTTTGCCTGTTCGACGCATTCTATCTAATTGCGCGAAAACTGGAACACTTTTTATGAGCGAAAGGGGAAAATGATAGGGACACAACCTTTTTGGGTGCTAAAACACAATGACCACGAATCAATGAGCAACGGAACAGGCGAAATTTTAGGATCAGAAGAGGAAACGGTCAATGAATTCGCAGGGGTGGTTTGGAAGCCACGGGCCGACAAAGAATACGGAGGAGTGGAAATTGTGAAGCTGTAACTTCTCTCAGAAACCTTACATTTACCTCTGACCTGGCTCATTTTTGAAGATCCCAATAAAAATCAGAGGTATCTATGTTCGATTTCTGGAGATATATTGAAAAACCGAAAGTCCTATGTATGAAAAGCCGGGCCGTGAAGGGTTTATAGAAAAACGGGGTACAGAACGCAACCAACAATGCGAACAAATATCACAATGGAATATTGCGCTTGGGCAAGTGTTAGCACACCTTCGAAGCAGCAAAACGGAGCGAATTGGACTATTAGTCCTCGGCTGACCAACTGAGAGCGAAATTTAAAAAAAAAGATTTCTTGTAAAACTGTTCTCTCTTGTTCCCAGTTTCTCTCTCTCGTTTCAGAAATTTCCTTATTTCGCGTGAACTTTGGCCACGCGCACGTTTGTCCTAAATTGATACATTTTATAAAAATCGCAGACTGTGAAAGTGATCTTCCTCCCGTTTGGTTCGTTGTTTTTCGTTTGCTCAGCTGATCGCATTGCTCTTCGAATGTTTCATGTTTTCTTTTAAATAGATAACAATGACGAGCAGCCAAGTCATCATCGTCTCAGTCATTATTTGCCTCACTTTTCTGAATTTCATGCTCTGGAGCAAGACGAACTATGGCTACAATCGTAAGTAAACTATTTTTGTGAATAAATACTCTAGAAAATCTGTTCTAAATTGCAGCGCAGGTTCGTCAAATGTATGACAGTTTATTGTCGAGAAACGAGAGTGAAACGAGCGTCGAGCACACGCTGGCGGCGATTCAGAAACGATTGGACAGCGAAATGCAGCTGCTCCAGACGATTGGCTCGCGGATAGAATCCTTTGACGCTCTTTTCGCAGTGAGTTTAATATCATCGTCGCGCAGTTCATTTAGAGTAATTGTTTCAGAATATGAAAGCGTATTCGATAAAGCAAGTTCCTCTTCGGCAGAGAAGTCTCGGACAAGTGTTCAAGGGTGATCAGTTCGCTCTTCTGTACGGATCGCTCGCTTCAGAAGTGTTTTGCCCGGAAAAAGTGAGAATCGGAACGATCGGAGACGGCGGAAAGTGGACGTGCAATCCGTGGAAAGTGCCCGATCAGTCTGTGTACGTTTTGTTCGTGTCCCTTTCTCCTTTCTTATTTCTATCTCTTCAGTTTGTTCTCTTTGGGTCTCAATAACTACATTGGATTTGAAATGGATTGGCAGCGAATTCTCTCCAATCGCAGTGTTCTCTTCGGTTTCGATGTTGTGAGTCATATTTTGTCTGATTTGTGTCGCTACTAGAATAATTCAGGACGAGCAGAGCGAAGGAACGAAGAAAGTTTACGCTGGGTTGCGTGGAAAGTCCAAAAAGGCAAAGATCGCCCCAGAGACGAACGCCGAGGAAGGCGAGTACACGATTGCTGATCTTGCGAAAGATGCCAATGTGTCCGTTGTCGAGATTCTGAAAATTGACATCGAAGGAGCTGAGAAGACTTGCTTGATTCCGTTCCTCGAGAAGTTCCAAGTGTGTCAGATTTATCTGGAAGTGCACGGCGGCTCAAAAGAGCACGCGAATCTTCTACAGAAGATAGCCCACCTCGAGTACCGACTTTTCTCGTATGAAGTGAACGGATTCGACATGAAAGCTTGCGAATACAGCTTCATCCACGAGTCCTGCCTTGGCAAATACGCAGTCAAACCCATTGCCTATTATCTCGATTTCATGAATCCAACAGATCTCTGATTTTTTTTCTGTTTTTAGACGGTATTATTAGTCACAATAAATACAATTTTATTTGACTTTGAATAACAGAAAAAAGAAAACAAGCACGAAATTAATAATAATCTGTACTACAAGCCTAGAACGACAAATACACTTAGAAGTCTCTCATTTTGAAAAGGTCCCGAATTGGCGTGCGAGAATCCGTCGGCAGCTTTTTGATACCAAAAAGGCCTTTGACTTTCGGATGCCTGAGCAGCTGTGCTTGAGCCATTCCGGTGGTGGACACGACGAGCCAATACATTGGGATACACTGAAACGAAAGAATTTTGATGACTCTCAGAGAAAATGTTACCGCTGGCAGCTGGGCCATGATGGAAACGGCGAACATGGTGAAGAACGCGAGCACTGCGTCGTAAGACTTCTGCTTCCACGTAATCTTGATCACACCCGGATAAATTTTTCGTTGCGACTGGAAACAAATGAAAATATTTCTTTAAAAACTGCAAACAAGTTACATAAAGATTCAAAAAGCCAAAGACTCCGACGGCAACCGGCAAAATGAAATACGGGTCAGGAGAGAGCATGTCGGGAATCCAGAGACCACCAGAAACGGACGGATGGAAGTCCGAATTGATGACGTTTCGCAGAGCGAAAGACGAGAAAATCCAGACGGGCACCGTGCACATCTTCAGATTCTGGATACGGGCGGCTTGCAGTCCGTGCTCGACGAGCATCGCAGGAACTTCTTGTAGCGCTTCCTGCGTCTTTTGCGCAATTTTCGGATCATTCGATTTCACTTCCAGTTTCGTTCCGTCGGCACTTGGACCCAATTGCACACGATATCTCTCGCTCACTCTCTGAAATCCGACTAGTTTATGAGTAAGAGATTATATTCCGAAACCTTGAGAATGCCTTGAGTGAGGAAGTTCTGAGCATGAAGTCTATTCGCGAACAGTTTTTCTGCGTACACATGGAGTGGCGCAGTGCCTAACCTGAGGAGAATAGCGGCCGAAATGAAGGCGCTGGGCCAGGAGAGTCCCAGCCCGTGCAGTCCTTCCATCCCTAGTTGGATTGTCTGCGTTATGTAGCAATCGGTTGCGTACTGGAAAGCGGGGGCGATTCCGGACGGGAGGGCGCTCAGATTACGTCGTTGTTTCACCTAAAACCATCGAATTAATTGCACGAAATATTCGTTTCTTTGCTCACTCTGTCACTAGTCGGAATTAAAAAAGAGGTGGAAGCGGAGCACGTGAGATGTCTGCTCGCACATATTCTGCCCAACATTCTGTCTGAAGTCTCGGGTCTACTGCCAGCTACCTCCCCTTTTCATGCGAAGTAGATATAACTGGAATTTAGCCTTCACATATATATTTTTCTCATAGAGGAATGCAGTCGTTTATTCAGAAAAGGAGAAACATGCATTAGTTTCGGAAGGCGTTTGGATTAAATATCAGTAGGAACATAGACGTAATTGCAATAGCATTCATCACAGAATAAAAAGTAAGGCTGCGACGAAATCACAAAGGTTCAGTTTGTAAGTTTGGAAATCGTGATGAAGTCACAGCCTTCTTTAGGACAAGTGAATTGGTTTAACTTCCTCCGAGACGGTGGCCAGCTCCTCCGAATGCTCGTGTTCCAGAAGACGATGGTTGTTGCCGACCCGATTGACCAGTCGCACCGGTTCCTTGCGAAGGCTGCTGTCTTGCTCCACCGGCTCCACGCGGTTGTGTAAAGAAGCAGATGGCGCCGCCGATAACGAGACCGAACGGTCCCATGAAGAAGAGAAGGACGAGTGCGATCAGCAAGTGAGATGGCTGCACAGTGATGCCGCCAGCGTTGATATCAGTCAAGCCGATTCCTCGAAGACGTCCATTAAGAGATTCGAGAAGTTCATTGACTGCTCCCAATGGATCCGGTCCGGGAGCGACGTTTGAAGACGATGGCCGCTGACCTGCGTTCGCAGCTGAAGAAGTCGCCCCGGTGGAAGAAGAGAGCCTCTTAAAATTGTACTGTTTTAATTATTTAAAAATGTAAATCGAACTTGTCCGGTTCCTGACCAAGCAGCACTTGTCGATGCATATTTTGCGACCATTGACCGTAATCCACTTTCATCAGCCCCTTGGATTGTCGCTTTCTTTTGTCCACCAACGAATGCAATGAAAGTCGGCATGGCGTTGACTTCGAATTTGGCAGCAGTCGCACGGCATTCGTCTACATCAACCTTCAGAAATACGGAACCTTTGTACTGATTTGCAAGATCATTAAAAACCGGTGCGATGTACTGGCAGGGTCCACACCTAAAATACTGCACGTTAAAGATCAAAACGACAGAATAGCAAACCAGGAAGCGGTAAAGTCGACAAACACGGCCTTCCCGTTCGCAGCAGAAAACTTTCTGTTGAAATCGGAATCTTCGTGCACGACCACAACCGACATTGCCTGAAAAAAGCGCGAATGGACAATACTCATATATATACCTTAAAACTGTAGCTATAAATACAATTTAAAAATCTTTTTTTCTATTTTTCGTAGTTTATGCATGTTGGTTATTTTTTAGCCTAACACCAGGCACGGCGAGTTGAAGCGTATGGCTGCAAGTGCGCTCTATTCAACAATAGACTACATATCACCCCTAGCACTGTGCCAGCCACGCAATTGTCGCTTCGCAGCCAATTCAAACGAGCGATTTTTTCGCGAAATTTAACTTTTATTTTTGCACATACGCTTCAGCACGCCGTGGCAGGTCAACCTTAGTGGAAAATTATCAATACAACTGAAAAAAATAAAAATTAGCAGAATATGTGTAAACATCCGACTTTACGCGCAAGTTTATTGCAGAAAAGTGCGCACCGTAACTGCGCTCATTGAAAGTGGTCATTCGTGGCGAGACCTGCCAGTCACTGAGCGCTCCCGAATTTTCCGTATTTAAAATTTTTCGGGGATGTTCTCTCCTTTCGTTCTTATTCTGTTGAAACTTTTCTGCCTCTCAAGTAGTAAATTTCTCTCCCTGTCAGCTTGCTCATTATTTACGAAATAATTGTATTTCCGTTAGTACTTGTAAAATCCTTCATGTTGCGTTTTTTTGCTTTCAAGAAGCTTTCAAATTGTTTTCTTTGCAGTAAAATCATGGCGATGAAGATTCCAAAGTCCGGTTACAACCGGTTCATGAAGGAAGGAGCGCAGGTATATAATTTCAATAGTCTTCATAAATTTGTTTAATTTAGCACTTCAAAGGAACCGACGAGGCTGTTCAGAGAAACATTGAAGCTTGCGTTGAGCTTGCTTCGCAAATTCGTTCCGCGTACGGCCCGAATGGTACGTTCTCCGTATGTAACCAGTTTATAAAAATTCGATTCAGGAATGAACAAGATGGTAATCAACCACATCGAGAAGCTGTTTGTCACAAATGATGCTGCCACCATTCTCAAGGAGCTCGAAATTCAGCACCCAGCTGCCCGAATCATCATTATGGCAACAGAAATGCAAGAGAAGCAGGTAAACAAACATCGAAACGTGCGTGAAAAACCGCAAATTTCTCAGGTCGGTGACAACACCAATACTGTTGTGATTCTCGCTGCCGCTCTTCTGGAACATGCTTCCAACCTCATCAACATGGTTTTGTCGCTTTTTAAAGTCTTCCTTTATTATAAAGCTTCAGGGAATGACGCCGCAGGAGGTTGCCGCTGGATATGAGCAAGCTGCCGAGAAAGCGCTCGAAGTTCTGCCTACGCTGGTCGTCAAGGAGGCCTCCGACTTGAAGAACATCGACGAAGTTCGCCAGTACTTGAGATCCGCTATCACCTCGAAACAGTACGATAACGAGGATGTCATTGCTGAGCTCGTTGCCAAGGCTTGCGTTACGACGTGCCCAGCCAACAGCTTCAACTTCAACGTGGATAACATCAGAATTTGCAAGATCATCGGATCGGGAGTGCACACGTCGAAGGTGATGAATGGAATGGTGTTTAAGAGAGGAGCCGAAGGAGAGATCAAGTCTGCTACCGATGCGAGAATCGCTGTGTACACGTGCCCGTTCGACTTGACCCAAACTGAGACGAAGGGAACTGTTCTCATCGAGAATGCAGACGAACTTGTTAACTTCTCAAAGGGAGAGGAATCCGAGGTTGAAGAGCAAGTGAAGGCCATCGCTGATAATGGTGTCAAGGTGAACTCCTTTAGTACCGTTCAGCTAATCAACGATACATTTTCAGGTTGTCGTTGCTGCTGGAAAGTTCGGAGATCTGTATCTCCACTTCTTGAACAAGTACAAAATTATGGCCGTCCGATTGACTTCCAAGTTTGACCTCCGACGTCTGTGCAGAACTGTGGGAGCCCAGCCACAAGCTAGAATTTGTGCTCCAGCTATTAACCTTCTCGGACACTGTGATTCTGTTGCTGTCACTGAGATCGGAGATGAGAATGTCGTCGTTTTTGATAAGAACAGCGAGACTGGAAAGGTGGCTACGATCATCATCCGCGGATCTTCGCAATCTAGAATTGACGATGTTGAGAGAGCTGTGGATGATGCTGTCAATACATACAAAGCTCTTACCAAGGACGGAAAGCTCCTCGCGGGAGCAGGGGCTGTCGAAATCGAATTGGCTAAGGATATCGAGTCGTACGGAGCTAAGGCACCCGGTCTCGAGCAGTACGCCATCAAGAAATTCGCTCACGCTCTCGAGACTCTTCCAAAGGCAATCGCCGAGAATGCTGGCATGCCAACGACAGAGACTCTGACCAAATTGCACGCCGAACACGTCGCCGGAAAGAAGAACGTCGGAATTGATATTTGGAAGCGAGGTTAGTTACAAAGGGCTAGAATGAATAAGCAATTTACTTTCCTGCAGAAACGATGGACGCCGTCGCGAACAACATCTTCGATTTGTACGCTGGAAAGAGATTAGCTATCAAACTGGCTACTGACGCCGCATCGACGATCCTGAAGGTTGATCAGATTATTATGGCCAAGCAAGCCACCGGAGGACCCAAGCCGCGTGGTCCAAAACCGCAAGACGAGGATGATGAGGGGATGGCTTAAACGATCAAGTCCATAAAACATACCCATCTGCCCTGCCCCATTCTATCCCATACCCATTGTTTCGCTGACTCGCTTTATTGTAACCGTCTGAGAGTGCTCCAGTGTGTTTACGATTCTCGCCCGTTTTCTTCATCAATCCTTATATGATCTTTTACTTTCCACTATTTCAGCTTTTTGTGTTTTTGTTTTCTGAGTGAGGGATGATTCATTATCGGCTGATTTTATTGCACAAGCTTCTCTTTCTTTTTCCACAGAATATTGTTTCAAGTTGTTTGCGCCTTATGAAAGTTTTTGAGTTAATATATGCAGAACGCACATCTCATCTCTAGAAACCGGTTGGGTTCCCCAATTTCTTATTTTGAACTTAAAAAGCAATGACAGCGGAGTAACGGATACATTTCACAGAAAATGACCGAAGTCGATCGATCGCAGGAAGTAGCCGACATCTTCGCCCAGGACACCGACCACAAGGCGCAATTCGAAGCGTAAGTCCACGGAAAATAAGAGAGTAATGTGAATTGTCTTGAATTTTAGCCTTGCAAAGTTGTGCGACAAGTACCTGCCAGAAAATGCGTCTGGAACGGGCAATACGCAGGAAATTATAAAAATAATCGATACAGGTGACTCCAAAGACGGAAAAGAACAGGATTTTGAGTTGCGCGTTTTTTTCAGTGATCGCTCTGGAAACTGGAAGTATGGTGGTTTCCCGGCAATTCGTTTCATTGGTTACCGAACGACTCGACAAGGGAAATTTGGATTCGGAATCAGTTAAAACAATTTCGGAAGGCATTCTCGGCATTATCAAAACGAGAACGATTTCTTATGAGGACCAGGTAGAGAAAAATCATCATTATTCTATTAAAATACGACTTTTCAGGTGTGCATTCTCCGACTGATGCTGGCGGGTCTTTACGAAAAAGAAGGGCGCATCAAGGATGCCGCCCAGGCACTTATCGCAATCAATTCGGACACGAGTCCGAAGTTTAATGGACCGAATGCCGCCCGTGAAGGAACGAAGGCTCAGCTGTGCATCAGAATCACTAAACTTCTTCTTGATTGCAATGAGATCGATGAGGCTGAACAGTATGTAAATCGGACGAGCATTCTGATGGTCGACGTCATCAATCCGGAAATTACCATCGAGCACAAAGCTCTGCAGGCAAGAGTGAGCGACGCGAAGCGGCGATTCGTTGAAGCCGGACAGAGATATTACGAGCTGAGTGCGACAGACGTGCTCCCACAATCCGACCGCATCACTGCCCTTGGAAAGGCGATCGTCTGCGTACTTCTCGCGAAGCCAGGCCCTCAAAGAAGCCGTCTGCTCACAATTATTTTCAAGGATGAACGCGCTCCGACGTGCCCTTCGTCCGAACTGATTGCCAAGATGTATCTGACAAAGGTCATTCACAAGGACGAACTGGCCGAGTTCGAATTGCAGCTTCAGGATCATCAGAAGTTCGACGAGCACGGAGAATCAATTCTAAAGGGAGTCATTCAAGAACACAATATCACTGCAATTAGCCAGTTGTACATTAACATCAATTTCTCAACACTCGGAATGCTTCTTGGAGTGACATCCGACGCGGCAAGTGTTTTCGATTAGTCATGATCGACTGACCCTCAATTTTCAGGCAGAATCGATGGCCGGTGATATGATCTCTTCAGAGAGATTGCATGGATACATCGACCAGACGGACGGAGTGCTCCACTTTGAGGACATCAACCCAATGCGAATGTGGGACAACCAAATCCTGTCGACTCTCGAGCAAGTGAACAAAGTCAGCGATATGATTGTCGCCCGTCATCCGGAATTCGCCAAACATCTCTCGTAGAGCTCATTCGATTGAGCTGTCCACGTCCGGGTTTTATGTAATTGTTCCCCATAACACCAAATTTGTTTTTAATCTACTGTACATCCGATATTTATTTTGTAAACATATAAAAAAGCAACCGTGCTCGTGTTGAATTATTGAAAAGCAGCCAATAATTCTGCAGCAAGTAAAAATGAAGGGTGGTGTATTTCACTTCGGGATCGTTTCGAATGGAAGAGAACACCTACGGTATTACGGTAACCAACAAGACCTTCTGGTTTATCTCTTGCATTACTGTACATTCCCTCGGGAGATTTTCTGGTCGACAGTGACTAAAAGGGAAAGCGCTATGCTGCTTTCATTCAAAAAACACTCGCCTATGGGCTAATGTTAGCCTCGAATGGAAAGTGGAAAACAAGGCTACTGGTTACTTGGAAAGTGAGGGAAAAGCGACAAAAATGACCGGTTCACACACGGATCAACGGATTTGCAAGCGAGAAGAACCTGGTCGAGTCAGGAAGAGGCAGAGAATGCGACAGTTTCGACTATGAAAGGTAAGGGTCACTGTGAATAGCTCATTGATTGGAGCCAATCGTTAACTCTCTTTTTCTCAGAAAATACGTTAATTTCAGTTCGACCCGAACACATCCTTATTAAATTTGTTTCGAAGCGAAAGTGTGATCTGAAAGCGCGAGAGACATTTGCCAATCGACGGCGTTCAGATGATACAATCTGTTGCGAACCAGTCGGTTCCCGTCCACAAGTACTCGAGAAGAACGACTTTCGCCTCGAATCGTCGCTTCTAGCGAATCGCCAAAACAACAGCGAACCAACACACAGAAGATTGCATATATCCGAGAAATACCAGTCCTTACATAACTCGCCCCCCACCGCCATTCGAAAATGAATGGAGAAGAGACATCGAAAACAGTGCGGACGGGAACACTTTCGCCCCGCCGGGAAAGGGAGAATCCGCCGACGACGACGGCTTCTTCTTCTTTTTCTTGTGCCCGCCTCTCTCGTTTCTCTCTCGTTCATTCACTCTCGTGGAACGGCGGCAACGTACGGAAGGACCCAGAAGAAGCGAAAGGACGACATCGCCACGGATGGGCTGCTCTCGGATAACCAATACGGTCGGTTCCGTTTTTGTATTCTATTCTTGAGCCAGGAATTGGGTGTTATTCTGGGTGTACTGTAGACTTCAGGTATTTTCATTTCATTGCAACAGTTCTGAAGCTGGACCAGTGTACACCGTTACAGAGGTTTCCATTATAATTGAAAAGCTGAGAAGGGACCAAATCTTGCTGCCACGTCATACAACTAGAATCCAGATTCTCGAGTGAAACATTCCAAGTCTCTGATAAACAGATAGTGACAAGTAGTCAGATTGGCATGGATAACTCGATTCTTCGTAATAACTGCCTCAGTTCTTTTGATTTGTAAAAGGCTGCTCTTCAAATGAACCCAGTTCGCCTTCAAATTTCAATTTTAAACAAACCCATTGTCCTTGTTCTCTACTTCTACTTCTACTTCTTCTTCTTCTTCTACTCCGCCTTCCTTCTCTTTCTAATCTTTTTGTGTGACTTTCGAGAAGTGTTTACTGCTTCTGTCTTCCCTTCTTTTGATAGTTTCAAGAAACGAGAACGACTGTTGTTATTCGATGGTTTGTTGCTTAATGGTGTTCCGTGCAACACACCATCCAAAAGTGAAACTGGTGGCGCGCACCGAGAGAGAGAGAATCCCTTCGCTTTTCCCGACGACGTCTTCTTCCCTTTCGCCTGCCCAACAGCTCTTTCGTAATCTAATTCTCCGCGCCGGCTCTCGTTGTCTTCCCACGGCACCGGCTAGCACCGAAGAGCACACCGACAACATAAATAAAAAGAAGAAGCAAAATGCAAAAAATAGCCACAGAGAAAAGCGAGAGCAAAAAACCAAGCGGGGCTCGTTCTCTCGGTGCTCCGGCTCTCTGCCGTCTCTTCGCCGACGCCGCTCCTCTCGTTTCCAGCGCCTCCATCCGCAGCGGGCTCTTTCGCGTCTGGCGCTGTCGGGAGTCTTCGCAGAGTGACCGCTCGGATGGGTGGCCGCCACGGCTCCGCGTATCAGTCGGTACCATTCAAATGTTTTTCGCCGCCAGAGAAACGAGAGAAGAGGAAAGCGGCGAGGAGAGATGAAAGTGAAATGGAGGATAGGAAACTGCGAAGCAACATGCAAGAGTTGATATGATGGCTTGCTTATTATCATTACCTTTCGCATTTCCTGTTTCTTCCAGATCCCTAGATTTGGTTCCTGAGCCTAGTGGATACCTGTCGTGATCCTTAGGCTGCCACTTCTAGACTGAGACTACGGTAGCTATCATAACCTTCTCCTAACCTCGTGCAGTTTCTTATCTCTTTGCTTTCCCAGCTGATTGTGTTATCACTCGTCCCTCAACTTTCTGCTCCCGTCTCCCCTATCATCCCCACTTGACCTTCTGCCCGCTCCCGATCTCCGGCCACTGGTGCTCGTCCGTCCCATGGCACCAACTCAGTCACATACACAACATACTCTCTAAACCGCTTTCATTAAGCCGCAGCATTTGTTCCTCTCATCAGTCTGTTTCAACTGCTACCGTAGATCCTTCGGAGTGCGTATTTCTGTTCATGAACTGAGTAAACTACGTGTGGAGTGGCCAAAAGAGGGAACAAAAAACAATTTGTTGGTAGTGTGGTCCTCCCAGAAAACACGTATTCCATTCCACACACAGGCAGTTTTTCCTATACGTGCTTCTCTTTTCGCCCTCTCTCGCTCTCTGGTGCTATGCGTTCTATTTATCTGTGTGTTGGTAGTTGTGTGCGTGTGCCGGTTGGTGCCGGCGCCGGCGCGGAAAGACGTCCGCGGCACAACGCGTCGCGCGGGCGGACTGACGAACAACAACAACAACAAGTTGTAGTAGCAGGGAGGCCGCCCTGGAAGGAGCCAGGGGGAGGAGATCTTCTGGAGCACACGCACATGCCCACGGTGACCTGTGTGCCCTGCGGCTTCGGCCATTCGAGACAACAAGAGAGCAGGGGTGGTACCGCAGGGTGCCGGAGGACCGCGCCTCGAGGTGCCAATGCCGTCTTGGATTTCATCCGCGCCTTTCTAATGTTTCCTTCCGCATTCTTGATTGTCCACTTCTCTCGATTCATCGGATCTCCAGGCGCCAGCAGGTCCAAATCTCCACTTTCACTTTTTCCTTTTCTCGTTCGTTTCACTTCCTTTTCGTGGTCAGTTTTGACGAGTCCCATAAGTGAAAGGCAATTAACCCATTCGGCGACTCTCCCTCTTTTTCTCCTTTGCCCCCGCCTTTTCCCGAATCTCCTTTCGTCCGCGTCGCTCTCGAGAGCAGCATGCGGAAAATGGGCGCCGTCCGGCACGCGGGTGGCTCCAGGTGTGACCTGGCACCGTGCGCCGTCGCCGCTGGCCGAGAGACCGACTGACTCACTGTTTCTATTCTCCCCTTTCACAAGTACAAAATATAATAGCACAATTGTACAGACTGAAAATTGTCCCGACTGGGCAGCGGAGCTCTCTAATTTGCCAGATTCCTACGCGTTTTTTCGTCGCCCGTGCCGGTCACTTGTCCCTCCATCGGACTCTCACGCGTGTCTCTTCTCGTCCCACTGGTCATTTTTTGGCGCACACTCTTCTCTGCGCCTCTATCGCTTATGCTTTTTTGATGGCCGCGTGCCAGTCGACACCAGGCCGGGCGTGGCAAGAGTGCGTGAGACGAAGAGACGCAGAACTTGGTTGCCGCTTCCCAGTCCGCGTCGCGCCCAACTGCCGCTCCGCTCCGCTTCTAGACGCACGGCTCCTTCGAAGGTGGTGGCTGAAACCGTCGTCTAGGAGTGTGTAGACAAAGGGACCTGTTCCTCTGGAACAATAACCTCCTGGTCACTCACTTCTAACCAGTCTTCAATTGCTTCCTCCTTTGTCTTCTTCTCTTGTTCATTCGAACTCATTGTTTCTATTTGTGACCATTTCACTGTTGCTTTTTCCCATTTCTCACTCATTTCCAGACTTCTCGTGTTTCTGTCCTTTACCCTTCATCCCTTTCACAACTAGTCCTAAACCAGATCTTTCCGCTGACCATCATCCGACCTCTCCTCTCCCACATTGCCGGTCAGGTATTATTCGTTTCAAAAATGTTTGTTCTCCCGCTCTCGCATCACTTCGTCGTTATCTCTTCTTTTCCTTTTTCAATTCGAACTGCACCCCATTATTATCGGCTGGTCGCTTGCCGTGCATGTCACTGACTTTCACCGGCAAACACGCGGACGCTGCTCCGTCCGTGCCACTCTCGGCTCCTTCCTCGAGGCGGCAGGCGTGCGGCAAGAGTCACGCGGAAAGATTTTGATGATAAACGGAAGATGACTGCACCAGAGAGTTCAATGAACCAGAGACTGAGTGGGATGGAGAAGAAAGGGCAATGCTAGAGGACTGGGGACAACGGTAGACTTCTGAATTGAGCACGCCGAACTCTGGCTGGTTTTGCTTGTGTTCTTTATTTCGATTATTGCCAATCAGCAACCAGCTCTAGAAGTGATTGCTTTCCTTAAAAATCATTACAAGAACTGCCAAGGTGTACGGTAACCTGACTATCACGTTGCCTTCCTCTGAATATTCCGATTAGGCAGTTTGTGAGCTGAAACTCGTTTTCCATTGTCTAGAAATTGTTAATATTTTTCTCAACACGTCTTCCGGATCTTCTAACATCTTCCGTAATCCTGGTCTTTAACATCCCCAAGACATGATGACGAATCCCGAGTTCGCGCAGAGCAAAACAATTATGCTCTCCGGAGAACGCGCTCGTCATTTCGAAGTAGCTGTGAGGCGGTGCATAATAACGCGGAACGGCGGCAGCGTGAAGACTGCTCGAAATAGCAGTGACGGCACGAGAGAGCGCTGGCGGCCGGGTGCGATGTGCCAGCCGGTGTTTGTTTGTTGTGTGTTCCGGACAACACTGCTGCTGCCTGCGGGCGGCCGACGCCGCGGACCGGCGCAGACGAGCAGAGCGGACGACGCGGCCAGCACCGCGGCTGGTACCAGTAGTCGGGGCGGCGGTGGCGGGGAGGGAAGAGAGAAGGCAGGCGTTTTTGTGCTGCTGCGTGTGGGAGAGTGACCAGTCCGCACGGACGGACGAACACAACAACAACATGATGCAGCATGGCACACGGTGGCATCGCGCCCCGCCGCGGCACGCCATAAACACAAACAAACACGAAATCACACATTCAGGTCTGCCAGCTGACTTGGCGAAACAGAGCATCATCACAGACAGGCACCGACTCAGCTGACCAGGCTGTGGTTCAGTCGAGGGCTCATAGGTCACTACGGTGTTCGAGGTGCAGTCTCGGAACACTAAATATTTCTGATGTGGTGGAACTCTAAACGAGCTGCTCGCTTGTTTGATTCCTGAATCAAGTGGGACTGATACTGACCTTTCTACCTGCTGCAACTCTCTTTCTGTCTGATCTTCTTGATCTAGTCCCTTCGGGTCTCTGATATCTTGAAACACTTGTACCCTAGTGATCACTGGTTATCATCTTTCTTCCACTTCCATCTTCTTTTTTCATTCTTCCTCTTCCACTTTGCACTTCTTGCAGGGATTGTGCTCTTGTTAGCACAATCATCTTCCACAATGACTCTCGATTATATGCAGCCGCATTCTGCTCTGGAAGTCGAAATGAAAGAAGAGGAAGAGGAAGATTATGACGAGGAAGAGTTGATGATCGACGAGGACGAGGATCATTTCGATGAAGACGTCGACTTGGAGAACAGCGACAGTTCTTCCTCACTGGTTGCTGGTTCTCCTCATGGATCTTCCTCCGGCTCCAACAGCAGTCATTCTCCGTCTTTACAAGTGGAGAGTCCTTCCCGGAATAGCAGTGGATCTTCTCCGAGTCAAGGATCTTCCCATCCCGAGAAGAGGCACATCTGCAACGTCTGCGGCAAGGGATTCTCGTACTTTTCAATTCTCGAATCCCACAAAAGGTCACACACGGGGGAGAAACCCTATGATTGTCATTTTTGCGATAAGAAGTTTGCTCAAAAGGCAACACTGCAAGTGCATGAAAGGACGCACACTGGAGAGAGACCGTAAGAGAGGAAGAGGAGTGACAGAGATAAATATGTGAAAGTTGCAGGTACAAGTGCAGGTACTGCGAGAAGACGTTTGCGCAGTATGGAACGAAGACGGTTCACGAGAAGAGCGCCCATCTGGGAATCCGAAACTATAAGTGCCCCAAGTGTGACAAGTCCCTCTCCTCTCCTTCCGCCCTGTACACCCACAAAAAAACGCACGGAGACAAGACTTTCCGGGTGAGTATTTTTTTGAATAAATATTTAAGGTCAGTATTTAAAAGTTGTTTTCAGTGTGAGTTCTGTCCAAAAACGTTTGCTCTCAAAAACTATCTGAAGCTTCATGTGAAGCAAGTGCACGAGCAGAACGAGCGGAAGCATGTCTGCGTGTACTGCAATAAAGGATTCGCGTATGCTGGAAGTCTACAGGTGAGCAAAAACAGAAAAGTTCCCATCAGAACACGATTTTGTGCAGGTTCATGTGAGAACGCACACCGGAGAGCGTCCGTACACTTGTCGTTTCTGTCCGAAGGCTTTTGCCAGTCAGGGAAACCTTCAGTCTCACGAGAGAACGCACACTGGAGAGAGGCCCTATTCATGCCAATACTGTCAGAGAACCTTTATCCAGGTGAGCATACTTACAGATTTTTTCACACAGTCAAGACTTACAGAAGTCCCAACTGACCGCCCACGAATCCACTCATCTGACTCACAAACACGCGCCTGATTCCACCACTGATATTCTGTCGTCAAGCGAGCAAATGGGCAGCTACGAGTGCACATTCTGCCACAAAAGATATCCGTATGCCAGCAGTCTTTGCATACACATGCGGAAGCACACTGGAGAGAAGCCAGCGTATGCCTCGTTTCTCCGTTCTCCCTTGACTTTCTTCATTTTAGTTACTCGTGTGACGGATGTGGAAAGCCGTACAATCAAAAGATCAGTCTCAATATTCATCACAATCAGTGCGAAGCGCACAAGAACAAGCTGAAACTTGAACAGATGCGAATTCAAAGTGCGGAAAGTGTCACTCAGTTCCCGTAAGTTCACCGATCTCTCCATTAAGACGTATCTCGGGTGTTCAGGCACAACTGCGAAGGATGCGGAACGAGCTGTGTGCAACGGATCAGTCTCCAAATACATTTCAATCAGTGCGAGGCTTACAAGAACCTACTTAAGATACGCATATCAGTCCAACAGCCACAACATCAGCAGCCAGTAAACAGTGATTCCGAATCGGACGCCGAAGTCAAGATCTGTCCTCTTCCGAATCCTCCGCTGACTCTTCCGCCGTCTCAACAACAGATTCCTCCTCCAGTCAACATTTATGCACAACAAGGTGGGAAGAGAAAATACACTGTGTTTAATGATCGTTTGATAACATTCAGCGCCGCCCACTTCTCTGGGCTCTATTCTGGGCAACACCTCGTTGGCTTCTCAATCTCTGAACTTCGGATTGCCATCTCTTTCTTCTCAGAATGTGTTCTCTTCATTGACTGCGCATGCACCGTTCACTCCTGCTGAGGTATTCCAGTTTCAGTCCATCTTCTGCATTTCCCAATGTCTCATTTCAGCTGCCATCCACTGAGTTCTGTCCGCTGACTGCCTCGAAACCGCCAGCGATCCAGCCGAACGAGGCCATCTCAGCCTTCCACGCTCCTCAGAGAAAAAGCACTTCTTCGGAAGGCCCCTCTCTTCTCGCCAACGCTCATCTTGGACCTCTGTCCTCGAGCATTCTCTCCACCCAACTGTTGCTCCAGCAACTCCACTCCTCAGACCTCAACTACCTTCTCCAGCAGAACATTCTCTCCTCTCTGGCTGCCGCAGTCAACCTTCCTTCCGCTCCTCCGCAACCATCTATCCCCCAATTTCTGATGCCGCCTGGCGCTATGCCAAACGTGGCCGTTCAACCAATTGTTTAATGTTTTTGCTGTCGCCCTCAAAAATGGATACTCAACTTGATTCTTGTGCTTGTGTGTGTTTATTTGTTTTCTCTCCGCACAAGTGTGCATTTCTCTCCATTACCTCATCCTCCTCTGATGACTTTTCCCTACTCATTCACAGTTTATCTCTTCCCACTGGTTACTCCCATCACCCTTAAAACTAGTATGAATACGGTACCTCCGGGCCGAGAGTAGGTTTCTCGCCCCTCCATTTCCAAAAGTCTTTCTTCAGAATCCCCGAATTCTAGCCCTTCTCGAGCCGGTCCCTCCCCACTAGTTCCTCGGCATCCCTGTATTTCCACCCCTCCAAGCTTCCCCGTTTTCTGCCAAATTGATCTCTATTTATCGCTTCTCCTCTTTCTCCCCCGTTCTTCCCTTGCCCACATACGAATTCCCTCCTCATCTACTCTCTTTGCCACGTCAAATCTGTTTCCGTTACACTTGCTTGCCTATTCCAATCCTCGTCCCCCAGTTCTGGTCAACACGTCTTGCACCTGTGAAACAATATTTTATCCCATTCTTGTGCGGTTCAGAGTCTATTTCGAGCGCCCACTCATTTCGAGCTTCAATATGAGTTCGAAAGAACTATTTATTCCAAAAATCGTGTATTTTGTTACGTAAAGTCTTTGCAAATACTGTGTAAATAAAATGTGTAAAATGCAGAACAATCAAGACAACATGAGAAATGATTACGGTATGAAAATTTGACATAAATCTCGGAAAGTTAGAGTTTTCCGCGTGAGCACTCCCAATTGCCACGCCATCATGTTCAAGCATTTCGTTTCACATGATTATTTTACACTTTTCAATTTCAACGAACATCGAGGAGTGCGGAGTAATCAAAGGAACAAACTCGTCTCTAAATGGTAACAATTTTCTCATGCTCCGACCGTTCCTCGCCACTTTTTCAGTCGACGTTTTCTTGCAAGTCGCTGCTGCTCCTGCTCGTTTTCGTTCCCGGATTTCTGCAATTCCGCAGTAATTTCGATCAGTATTTGCTCGATAAACCGGTCCGAAAGCTTTGAGTGTTTGATAGTTACAGTTCGTTCTTAGATAGTCGTTCCGGCCGCCGAAGGAGATTATCATTATGTGATGATCGAAGCCGACACGATTGCTCAGGGTGGAAGCCGAACTCCGAGCTTCGCAAAGATCGGAGTCATGTCAGTTCCACGTTGCAGAACTCCTCTCAAACCCTCAGTTTCTCGACATTGCAGGCTTCTCGATGGAATGTTCACTTTCAGCGGAGTTGACGAGCGTTGGTTCAACCGACTGACGCAGGCGAACGGCCGGAAATGCCATCCGTTTTACGGAACGAACGTTGTGCACAAATGCGAAGATGAATATTTCTTGCTGAATGCCGACTTTGTGAAGTGATAAATCATTGAGTTCAGTTGCTATCATGTTCATTTCAGCATCAAGAAAGTGATTTTCAAGCGAACTGACAGCATTCTCGATGTCTGCAAGAAGTTCCATCCGAACAGTTCCCTCACCGATAAAAACAACTTCATGATCCGTTTCGGTCGTCGTGCTCTGATGGCTTACAAAAAGGGAAACAACTACAACAAATGCATCGGAACGTACGACATCGAAGACGATCAGTTCTCGTGCATGTGGCCGCAGGAGGACGGCAACCTCAAGGAGCTCCGAATCTCTGGATTCCTGTACAACGAGATCACCGGAAATCCGCACAGAGACGACAATACGGTAAGGGAAAATGTGTGGGATTCAATGAATCACTATCGGCTTCAGGTCGAAGTGTTCTGCAAAGTTATGCACAAATTCGATTGAGCAAAGAAGACGAGCGACAAATAGTCTCAATAAACGTTTTAAAGATTATGTTTTCGTGAACTTTATGAACTTTCATGAACTGTTCCACTTGTCAATAGTGACCTTTAGTGGATCCACCGATTGAGCATCAATTCAGATTCGAGATCTTCTTGGAAGAGTCTTCCAGAATTGCGTTCATCATGCATCCTGCTAAGGCGAGCTCTTCGGTGATTCCTTCGGATCAACCTCCACTCTTTTCCAGACCATCTCCGGACTGGTCTTGTTTTCCGCGTCTATGATTCTCGCGGTTTCTGCCCTCAGCAATGATGATTTTCTTCTGAAGCCAGTCAGAATACATCTGCTTGCCATCATCCCACAACCATCGTTTGCAGCACGTTCTTCCGGCTGCCGAGAAGGCCTATCATGCGGTGTATCATGAGTTGGACAGCAAGAGCACGAACGGCGCGACGAAGCCAGTGTTCGGACAGATCTACGTGGCACTGATCGAGGATCAATTCACGTTCGGCGGTGACATGGACTCGTGGTCGAGTAAGAAGTTCGACAGAGGTGATAGAGGCTGCAAGCCGTTGATGGCCACGAATGTGCATCACATGTGCAATGAAAGCTACTTCCTAGTTCATCAGGATATGGTCAAGTAATTAAAATCAGGTAGAGCAAATGTACGGAATGATGGTTTCAGACTACAAAAAACTGCTTTCGGAGGAACTGGAGCAACGCCCGATCTGGAAACCGTGTGCCGAAAAGAAGGAAGTGGCTTCGGAGCCGGTCCGGATAAGCTCATCTACAGATACAACCACCGCGTCCTGATGACTTATAAGAAGTGAGTCCCTAAAAGTATCCACTAATTGTTCGATGTCAACAGGAATGTCGACGACAACAAGTGCATCGGAACGTACGATTCTCTGACCGACACGTTCACCTGCATGTACAACGATCCGAGCAAACCGGAGGACCACCGCTTCGTTCCTCTCGAAGTTCAGAATTTTTTGTGGAAACAAGACGACGGAACATTTGCTCGTGGAGCTGGAAATGTATGAGAATTGCACAAAATTGAATTATGAATGAGTTTATTTTAGGTGGAGGTCTTCTGCAAGCAAATGCACTACAAAGAATGAATTGGATCAGCGGTGTTTTCGAATAAATTCGATCGTTCAGTTTTCCCAGCTGTCCATGTCCATGTCCATGTTCATGCCCATTTTGTTCATGTTTTTGTCCATCATGCCCATCATTGACATCTTTCTGATGAAGAGAACGGTCGGAACTGCCTGCGGGTATTGGTTCTGAAGAGTCATGATGGCCTGCTTCTTCTGCGCTTCAGTCTGGGAGGTGTTGTTGAGGATGGTCTCCAGTTGGGTTTGGACGGATGAGAGCTGGCCGATGATGCGCGTCGTGTTCTGGCTGGCCTGCTGATTCATCTGCATATACTGCTGGATGAAATCATTGTATTGGGTCTGAAATTGGGATCTTCCGTTGTGTTTTCGGAGAGTTCTTACGGTGAGATTGTTGGTCTGAGCCCATTGCTGAAACTGTTGGCCCTTCTGCTGCATGGTCAGCTGCGAATTTTTAGCGATAGTCATGAACGATTGTTGGACACTTCTCGGCTGGTCTCTCAGGAACATCGGAACATTGGATCCAGTGAAGACGACAGCGACGAGAGCAAGAAGAGCCAGGAAGGAGTACTGCATGTTGGAAGGAGTTGTGGATGTGGGAAGCGTACTCTTTCTTCCTTTTTATATGGTTTGTTGGCATGGAAAAGACAGTGAGAGAGTAAGAAAGAGACAAGGAGAAAACTAACATTTCGGAAGAGATGTCTGTACGGAAAATGAACAGCTTGTTTGCTCCTCAAAGAATGGTTTTCTGACTCATTCGCCTTGAGGGATCAAGTATAGAATGATGATATCAGGAGCCATCTCCTTCCGAACCAGAACGATTTGTTTCTTTGAACAAAGTGATTGACTTTGAGCAATACAGAGGCTTACGTTGGATCAAGAAGATTTGAAAGCTTCTGTAAACGACTTAGGTGCAAATGAAGTACCTGGAATTGAATTTTTCTGCAACTACGCCCCTGAACATGAAGATCAAACCGAAAGCGTTTGGCCTGGAGACTGACTTCCCCCGTTTTCCTTTTTCCTTTCTCCACCTTCGAAGTTCGAACTACATGGAAGAGTTGCGAAGACTGGAAAATCAAAAAACCAGTTGTTCTCGCTGCATTTCGGTTCCACACGCATAACACAGATCTTCTAAACTCCAAATTTTTCGGTTGTAAATTGGAAAAGCTGCCAGTGGGATCATGGTCTCCAACAACAACGGGTGTCTGTTTTCCGTTTGGCTTTTTCAAGATTCACCTGTTTAACTGCCAGTTCATTGAAACCAGGAAAATTCATTTTTTTTAAATTCGGCGATTTCCAAATGAGATTTTCTCATAAATTTTCCACTTGACCATGTTCCGATTGATTAGATTTGAAAGGGTGACAGTTGCGAACATTGATCATTTGGTTTCTAATTTCTAATTGGATTTTCAAAAAGAGCCGCACGCATGCCCCGACATGCTTTGATCACTTCTTCTCCCTCCCACCTCTTCTTCTTCTTCTTTTTCTCATATTGGCTATGGGAAGGTGCGTGTGAGACAGACTGCGTGGCACGTGTTTGGGCAGCCTCCAAATGAGTAACCTCCATCTTCAGAATTTGCGAATGTCTTCTACCACGACCCTCCTTCCGATCCCTACCGAAGATGAGTCTATCGAAACGACTCGAGAAGACGTCCTCCTTGCCGCCGCCATCATTTTCTTCGTATGACTTTCTACATGTTTGATTAAGAACCGTTTGTTTCAGGTCGCATTTATCGGTCTGATCTTCAACTTTCTCGGTATCACAGTAGTTTTCAAGAATCCCATACTGAAAAACTCGTTCGGATCTTTGTGTTTGAGCCATTCCATTGCCAACAGCGGCGTTCTTTTCGTGTTTTTCATCTGGTCTGCTCCCGCTACTTATGTGTAAGTTTGGAAGAATCCAGAAGACGTCGTAACGGAAGGAATCAATTACAGACAGGCTTCGAGTACAGAAGGCATGCTGTCCAAACTGCTGGGACAACTGAACATCCTCTGTTGGGATGCCTGTGTTTATTCTCATCTCGCCATTTCTTTCAACCGATTCTTCTCGATTGCAATTCCAGCGAAGGCTTGTTTTGCTTTGTCTATTCTTTGCTTTCTCATGACTAATTTTTTTCAGGCAAGCTTCATATTTTCGCCGCGAAACACGCATATCATCATCGGAATTGTATGGTTCATCGCATTCTGCCACATTTTCCCGTATTTTTGGTGTAAGTAATGAGGGCGTGCGAACTCGTGTTTTTCTAGTCTGGTTTGCACGTCTACTTGCGAGTGAGTAAGGGAGAGAGCAAACAGTCACACGGAATGATTGCTTGTACTATCGGTGAACTTGTAGTCACACAAAACACAAGTTGTTCCGATGCAAATAACACGTTGAGAGTGATCGGTTGATCGAACGATCATCGACCGTATTGCAGATAGCCAGTGCTACATCACTTACGATCCGATATCATGGACATGGAACTTTGCTCCGACCAGCTGTGGATTCGTAATATCCACTTACACAGACTACTACACTTCCGTCGCCATTTTCATTGCAATGACTACAGTTGACTTCTCCACCCTGGTACCCACTTTCCTATGTTTTCTATTCCATATCTTTTCCTTCTCTCAGACTCTCCTGGTCCTGCATAGGAAGCACAGTCACTTTGCTTCCACGGAAGAATCGGGGAAGCGTCGGAAAGTGGAGATCCGCTTCTTCATGCAGTCGTGTCTGCAAGGAGCGCTCTTCTTCTACGAGATATTCAACTTTTACTACATCAGCACTTTCAACCCCAACCAATGGTTCATCTTTTTCACGACAACCTTCGCCTGGGAGATCTGCCACTGCCTGGATGGGTATTCCTCTCTCTCTCTCTCTCTCCATCTTCTCTCACTCCCGTTTCCCTTTCAGATTCGTCGTCGTCCTCTTCCACTTCCGTCGACGAATCTTCCTCGGAGACGTCAGTCCGGTGAGAGATCCTCTTCCGTTGGCTCCTTGAGACTCTTTTTGTCAGCAAGCTCCCCGATCTGTGACTACATTTCACAAAGCAGCGACCGTTACAAACACGCGGCCGACTAAAATCAGCCTGCTTTGAATGGAGGTTCAGTTTTGTCTGTTCGACTGTTTCTTTTCATTTTCTTGCAGGAAACAGACAAAATTGGACCAACAATCTGAATCCGAATCTGAATCTAAATCCACATGGCAATCGACTGATTTACAGACAAAAGTCCGGCGTTCGGAGCACACTCGGTCCATCATCTCAAGGCACTGACAAGGCCGAGCTCTGTGCAGCGGAGCACGCACAAAAAGACTAATGAGCACCGAGAAAGTGACATTTCGCACGCCTTCTGCTTGCTGGTCGCACGTTTCTCTCAAAAATGAGCTTTACGGAACAATACTCGGAAACGCTTCTCGTCGCAATGCTCAATTTCTTTGTAAGTTTAGATTGATGAAACAATCAAATTGAATTGGTTACAAATTAGATCGGGTTTATCGGAATTCTTCTGAATTGCTTCGCTTTGCTCACAACTCTCAAATCGGCTCACTTCCAAAACGCGTACGGCACTCTGTCTTTCAATCATTCTTCCATAAATCTCGCTATTCTCTTCGTCTACTTCCTGTGGGCGACTCCGATCACTTACGTGTCAGTTGTCTACATCCTCGGGCTTTCCGAACATTTCATTTATTTCCAGACAATCATCTGACGCCAATTCAGAATTCGGAAAGATAATAGGGCAACTCTACGTGTTGTTATGGGTTTCGTTGATCTACTCTCACCTCGTTCTATCGCTCAATCGACTTGTTTCACTCGTGTTTTCCCGCCGGATCCATTCGGTTTTCTCCTACAATCTTTGTATCACAATCATCGTTTTCATCTGGATTGTCGGCTTCTGCCACGTAATCCCCCTTTTCTGGTACGATATCTGCTTCTGGACGTATGACCCTCTCTTTTGGATATGGGATATGAGCACAACAACTTGCGGACAAAAGTACAGATTGTTCGTTATGCAGTACTTTTCCTTCATTGTCATGGGGATCGCTGTGATCACGAACATCATCACAGCGATTTACATCAAAACGAAGTGTCCGTTCTCCAAATTCAATACGGAAATCAAGTTGTTTGTGGAGGTGAGACAAGGTGGGACTAGATTCATTCAGCGTCGTTTTCATCTAGACAATTACGAAAAGTTGTGCATTTCTGTTGATATTGCTCTCGTCCAACGTGCTCGGAAGTTTGTTTCTGGAGAAATGGCAGCGATACGTTTTCTCTTCTCTGGCATGGCAAGTCTATCACCTGTTCGATGGGTATGTCATTCAGGCAGGAGGATATGAGTAATTGAGAATTTCAGACTGGTCGTCGTGTTTCTGCATTTTGAAAGGAAACTGCTCGCCGAGCACCGGGACGCCCATCCGGTTTCGTTCGTCAACGTCGAGAACCATCCTCATCGCGGCCCTCACTCTCATGATCCTTTGCATAATCATTACATCCATCACCTGCATCATCATTCCGAGTTCTCAAAAGTTGATACTATGTAGCATTCAGATAATAAAGTGAATTTAATTTCAACTAACGCCAGTGAACGGCAGATATTACACGTCATCATCTTCCCATTTCTAATTTTCTATCATTTTACTTTTTCACAGGGAACAAACAAGTTTTCAAAATTGATTCAAGCTAATGGCTATGCGGGTTTGTTAGAATGATTCGAAAGAGAGAAATGATTGCTCGCTCAGAATGAGGAAGCTTCCGGAAAAGGGCGGAATCGGGAGAAGGAGCAGAAGACGTTGGACAAGAGGAAATCGCCGAATGCGCGAGAGCAAGAGCAGAAGACGGCCACTTCAAACAGAGGCCACAAGGGACCGAAGGCGTCGCCAGCGAGTCCGGCTCCGAGAGCATCGAATCCATCGACGGATCAGAGGAGCGGAACGAGCGCGAAGGTGAAAAAGGTCGGTGTGACATCTGGAACCCCTCCCGAATATTTCACTTTTAGGCGCAACCAGAGCCAAAGTCCCAAATTTCCGTGTTCGGGCATCCAGTGGCGACAACTCCTAAAGACTTTCAATTCCTCGAAGAGAAAATCTCTAAACTACCGTTTTTTCACGGATTCATCGGACGGGAAGACTTAACCGGACTGCTGAAAAATGTCGGGGACTTCCTGGTCAGGCTGTCTGTTCAGGCGAACAAACACGAGCAGGAGAAGCGGAAAAAGAACATTGCTGACGTGAAAGTGTTGATAAATTTGAGCAGAGAAAAGTATGCGAAGAAGGAGAAGGAGAAAGAGACGAAGATGGCGGCGGTCGGAGACGTCGGGAGGAGGGAGTTTGTGATATCCGTCAATTGCAGTGAGTCCCGATTGTGATGCAGTAGTACATGAGTGCGGGACTTCCAGGGGACAAGGAAAAACCGACAAATGGGAAACCACTGCTCACGCCCATTCGGAACTTGGTTATCAAAAGGGAAGACGGAATGGTGCACGTGGAACCATCGAAAAAGTTCAAAACGATGGTAGAGTTCTTTGCGTACTATCAAAAGAATTCTGGGATCTGCAAAGAGGTTCTCATTCCGTTTGCACCAATACTTTCAGTTTCTCTTTTCTCAGACCGATTTCCAACTTCTGAATGCGATCCCTCTTTCCAACTGGGAATTCCTACACGAAGACGTCGAACTACAAGAGAAGAAGCTCGGAGAAGGAGCATTTGGAGAAGTGCGGGTGGGCAAGATGAAGACGAAAGAGACGAAGAACACCGTGGAAGTGGCCGTGAAGATGCTCCGGAATTCGGACGTCGTCACTCGTGAGCAAGTGGGAGAGCTGCTCCACGAGGCACGAGTTATGAGAATGATGGATCATGTGAATGTGCTCAGCAGTTTTGGAATCGCAGTGCTCCACGAGCCACTCTACCTGATGACCGAACTTTGCGCTCGTGAGTTTGATTCATGGTTCTCACTCGCAAATGGGATGGATTCAGACGGTGCTCTCCGAGAATATCTTCGAGAGAATCAGAAGACAGTGACACTCGCAGACAAACTGAACTTCGTGCTCGGATCGGCGCGTGGAGTGGAGTATCTACACTCTCAAAAGACGATTCACCGGGATCTGGCAGTCAGAAATGTGCTGCTGTCGGAAGACATGATAGTCAGTTCGACTGATGTCCTTTGAATGAAAACTATGTCATTCCAGCCGAAAATCTCTGATTTCGGATTGGCGAAAGTGACGGAACGGTACGAGATGAAAGAGCAATGCAAGATTCCCGTGCGGTACCTGGCTCCAGAGACCCTCGAAATCTTTGTTTTCACTCCTAAAACGGATGTCTTCTCATTTGGATGTGTCATTTGGGAGATCTACGAGAACGGGCAACAACCACACGACGGAAAGAACGCGCAGACAATCAGAAATCAGACGAAGAAAAATCAGTTCCTGAAGTTGACAGCGTCGGCTCCGACAGAACTCCGAAAGATCGTCTCCGAACGTGTGTTCACCGCGGATCCCGAGAATCGATGCTCCATGTCAGCTGTAAGAGACGCGCAAGTTGGACCTGTTTCAATTGTGATTTCAGATTGTGCAATGTGTAGAGAAGATTGAGAAACCGGTGGCTGGACTGATGAAGTAACTAATTCATTCGAACTTTTAATTCACTTTCATTCATTATAAACTCTTTCATCTCTTTGTGATCTTCCTTTTTTATGTGAAAATCAACGAAAACTCCATAGAAAAGCAACAAATCAAGCACACAATAATTATACTTTTTTCGTGCTCCGAATCTCGCTCGCTCTTGAAAAGACAGTAGTTTGTGAGGATTTTCGAAGAAAACTTCGTTTGAAATGAAACATAACCACGACCAATCTGAAGCAATAAATAGATCGAGAGCTGTTGAAAAAGTGATCATACCCATCGAGACAATGGCAGAGTTCCCAGGCAAACGTGGAAGTCATGAAGACGTACCACTGATTGGTATTCAAAGTGACGACGTAGTAGAAATTGAATACTTCGTAGAAGAAGAGCAATCCCTGAAGGCAAGACTGAGCGAAGAATCTGATTTCGACGCGACGTCGTCTTTTCATTTCTTCGCTTGAAGTCATGTTGGATTTGCGGCGGTACAGTACTAGCATCGTCTGAAATCCAGATGATAGCAATAGTGATGCGAAATGAAAGCTCACAAAAGTTGCAAAGTCCAGACTGCTCATAACTACAAAGATGGCAACGCTTGTATAGTAATCCGTAAATGTCGTGATCACATATCCGCACGGCGTGTCTGCGAAAACCCACGTCCAACTGACGGGATCGTATGCCACGTAGCAAGAGTCTCTCCAGAAGTACGGTATCACGTGGCCAATCGCCATGCTCCACACGAAACCGATCAGAAAACACGTGTTTCGGAAGTTGAACAGTTGGGCAACCTGAATACAACTGACGACTGAGATATTTTAGGCGTTTGATTACTTTTGTGGGCATGGAAATCGTGAGGAAACGGTTAAGAGATATGGCCAAATGGGAATAGCAACAGGCATTCCAGAAAAGAATGTTTATCTGTCCTAAAATCTTTCCGAATGTGAGCTCAGTGTACTTGTACTGCCTGAAACGAGAGTCTATCAATTGTACCTGTTAAGAGCCCTTACGTGATAGTTGTTGGGGTGACCCATGAGACGAACACAAACAGTACTCCGAAGTTGGCTATAGTGTGACTGAAACACAGAGTTCCGAACGCATTCTTCAGAATCGGATTTCTGAGAACAACAACAGCGGCTAACACATTGAAAATACAACCGGAGAAAGAAATCTGAAAGTAGTTAATATCCCAACTGAAATCGGCAGGGAACCGGATACCAGGAAGATAATTATTGAGGCATAGATATTGTCCATTTCTGTTATTTCTAGTACAGTATCATTTGAGGACATGGCTTGATTGAAACTGCCGGAAAAATCAAATGAATTACTCTGCGGCGGAGGTTTCCTTGACTGGCCATTGATTCCCACGGACTCGGCGTGTCTGCCGAGAATCCCCCACTTTCTTGTCACATGGATTCTCACACCCGTTGCCACGTCATCACAAGAATTACTCGGAAGAAAACAGATAAATCGAACGAAGCGTTTATTCTGGTACTAATCGAGAAAAATGAAGAAAACCCGAGGAATGTTTAACGTAAGGAATAAAATGCCTGGAAGGGAAGGTCAATGAACGGAAGGTAAGTTGATCATGAAGGGAATCAGTGGTAAACTCGGTGGGCTCGGGTTGGGACGGGAGTGATGGATCTGCGGTGAATACGCGACGGAGCAGCGATCTGACGGGAGAACGGATGCGGAGAAGTGGCCACTTGGAACGGAGTCGGGGCGACTGCTTGTGCCGACGACTGCTTTATATCTGAAAGTTTGATATTGGGAGCACTTGAAAGATCTTTGCTGATAAAGTCATTTCCACTCAGTTCACTCAATTGACATATTAGTATATTGCGTGCGTTTCCCCCTAATCTACATTCTCAGTTTTGTTCTGTTTCCGTTTTTCTTTGAATTCCAAATCCTACTTGAACCAAATCCCAGACTGTAGGCAACATTTCGGTTCAATTATCCTTCCGAAAATCGAACTTTCTGAACCTCTCAGTTCCGATTTCCCGTTACTTTTCCTTTCACTTTTTTTCGCCACTCGGAAGTGACTCTAGTGGATTTTCGGAGTATTTACAAAACAAACCAACTAATACTTACCCGAAGATTCTGTGACCTCTGAACTGGCAGCGACGAGCAGGAGGGAAAAGAGAAGAATCCGAAGGTTTGAGGTGGTCGACGAAGATGGCATCTTTTACTGAAATGATTCTGTTTGGGAGCGTTGCGACGAGTGGAAGAGCATGAAAAATTGATGGCGGCGAGGAGAAAGTAGGGGAGTAACCAGTGGATGGGGGGTCTACCTGCGCGCATTTCCAAATAGTTTACGTAGAAATTGGGCAGCGAAACGGCACTGATGGGGCTCTTGAGAAATGGAAAAAATCACATCAGAAATCGGTTGGGAATCTCGTTTTTTTCCCCAATCGAAAACGGCATTTTCTTGTGCCGACAGGAAGAGAGTATATAAGATCAACATTGAGGCAAACAGAAAAAGAGCCATCACGGCACGAGTATGTACACGAGTACTGGAGGAGCGACACAAAACAGTCCAGAGAATTCGTTCTCATTACTTGTGAAAAGAAGAGCGAAGCTACCGGATTTATGGGAAAGCGGGGGAGGGCACACGAGAGAAGTCAAGCCGCAATTTAAACGAAAACGAGCGATGATTCCCTCAAAACTTTAGCGGGACGAGGAGCGACCGCCACACAGTAATAGGTAGGGGGATCGAACGACGAAAAAGTGGAGGAAAAAGAAGGGGGAAAAGGAAGAGAAGAAGAAGAAGAAGAAGAAGAAGATGAAGATGAAGAACGTGTTATTATTTATACGGAATGTGCTTATTCGTGGCATCCCTTACTGTTCTAGGAAATGGCAATCTTCTTGAAGGCTGAATTCGTAATCGAGTTTGTTCGAAGCAAAGAGCTTAAATATTCTGAACCTAAAACCTAGTTGGAACTGCTCGTTCAATAATTTCTGGTCTTTTTGCATAGACATTCGGGAGCGCAATGAATTTCTGAAGACTCGGAAACAGAACGAGAACATGGCTAAAAATAGGATTTGTTGAAAAACACTCTGGAGGTAGCTGAAAGTATTACATCGGCAGTAAGTGGGGGGGGGGGGCAGGGCAAGAACAAGTGTGTCATTTCATTTCATTTCCGTTTCGCGAAAGGTCACCGAAGAGGATTTTACCCTGTCAGTCATTACTAGAAAATGACACCCGGTCGTTGGGTGGTTGCAACTCGGAGTGCGATAATTGTCCGGTCATACATTGTGGGGGTCTTCAATTGAAATGGGAAAAGAGTGTACCGATGGAAGAGAGGGGACGAAATGAAGGAGGTGGTACCCCGCGTGTACTGGCTGTTTGGACCGTTGTAAAAGAGACGTCTGAAACGGGCGGTATCAAACGAGGAGAATACCACAAAGGGCTATCTGAATTACCGCATATTTCGGAAGGATGGGTGTACTCTATGTACACTGGGTCACTGCTGCAAAGAGAACAATTTGACGTGTTGGTGACAGCGAGTGGCGCAAACAGAACTGTTTGACCACGGAGATATATATTCATTTGGTACGAAAGGCTGGGAATGACGGTTCGGATTACACCGCAGAAGGGGAAAGTGACGAAGATCGGAAGAGCCAGAGATCGGGCGTCGATACGGGTGGGTGTCATCGAACTGTTACAGTTCAAGTGGCGGAAAGAATAACAAGTGAGAGTGTTTTTCTTGCCTCTCACATTGGCAACCAAAAAACAAAAACTCTGGCCAAAGAACAAATGGTTCTAGCCTACTACAATCTCAAGATGCTCTTTTGTCGAAACACGGGCTCGGCTGGTTTTCCGTCTATCACTCATTTTCTACGCTAAACCTGGCGCGTGCGTCGAATGGCAAATCCTCGGTTGATAATCCGAAATCCAAACAAATCGGTGGAACGGGAAAAAGAGAGCAGATGGCATAGATTGAGAAATGTAAATAAATATTGTTACTGAAGGAGAGCAGACGTCTGGTAATCGAACTCGGAGGGAGTGGAAAAGGAGTTTTGACCCTTTCAAAACGGGGAAAAACGGACTCGCACCTTGAACTTTTGCCGCCTGGAAACCCGATGCCATTCGGCAGTCTCTCTGGTTCAGTGACCACGAATGGCCACAAAAAATGGGAAAGAAAAAGTGGAGGGAAAATGAAAATGAAAATTGACATGCGAAGAATGAAGGGATTCGGCCGTGGAGAAGCAGAATGAAATGAAGAAGAAGTCCATAAGCCATGAGGGAGAAAGTGCGAAAACTTTTGGTTTTACTTTCGAAACCCTCACGAGTAATGGGAAATGGCAGGCAGATGAGATCTCAGTGGGGGTGGAATATGCAAAACAGAGGACCGGACTGGTTCCGACTGGAACAAAACTCGCACAAAAAATGAAGGACGTTTGGGTGGCCGCGCGGGACAGTTATGCGCATAACTTATTGGTATTTATTCAAACAAATACAACTTGACCGAATGAATAGAGGGCTTGAGTGCATACTATTTCCCACGTACACCCGTTCCCGTTCAAGTGTGCAACTTCCTGTTTGAAGAGGTTCGTCCGATGAGGAAATGGACGAGCATCCGGTGACATATGGAATACATCTTACACAATTGGATCTTGTTCAGTGAGGCACAACACCTGAGAAAAATGACAAAACTGAAATGACCTGAGAAGTGGCGGAATGTGACTGGAAGGGCGGAGCGTCTTCATCATAAAAAAAAGAGAACCCATTACATGTTATGGGTATGAATGTCGAATGAGACGGCTTTGTGACAGCTTTCGCTCGCACTATGCTTCCGGAAAGGAAAGCACACCGAAAAGGCGGGCGGCTTCTTCTGCCCTCTGCGGCCGCATCCGAATACCGGGCGGTCAAGCGGTGTGCCAAGCCCCTCTCCATTCGGCTGCAATCCGATATTCGTGGAAAGTGTCGGTGGTTTGAATTTCGGGAAAAACAAAAAAGTGGCGACGATCTGAGGAGACCGGAGAAGGGAACTGCCTCACACAGACGCACACATTTCTCACTGCAAATGACATTTTCTTCGCGGGAGTGTCCGTGGATGGATGAGCTGACCATTTATTTTGCGCTATTACACTATCTGACGATGTGATTTCGTGATTTATACATGGGAAACGGTCAGGTTAATTGGATTGATATTAACTGGTTGATTGAAAAGATGACAGTGCACTGTGATGGGCGCTATTAACAGTGACAAAATGGGATTTTCAACTCGATCCGCAAGATTCAGACGCGTGCGAGTGCTACAGGTTAGCCGACAATGTTGCAGGATAAAACAGAAGGGAAGTAACGACGGTGCGGGCAGGAAAAGCACAACCTGGATGCGAAATCCGTCAAATTGAGTTACTCGTCACGCATTTTCCAAGTTCACTAACGAGACTCGTCCCCCCGGAGGCACGAAACTTTTTCGGCGGAAGAGGCACGCGGAAGCCAGAATACTCGATGATTTTTTATTTCATCACGGAGGAAGTGCATCTGCGCGGACAACTGTTCAGAAGCAGTCACATTACACACCGCCTCCGTTCGATCGCTTATCGTTTTGGGCTCCATTGGTTAGTGTCATCGACAAGACCGAAGTTCGACTCCCAACAACGAATTCCTGTTTGCGGCTGAATAATTCCGAATTCGGGTGCCTTGTCGTCACAGACCGCATATCAACAGACTCATTATTTTCCAATCCGCCGAGCAAATCTCTCGGCTGCCGCATTTTTCATCGGTTGCAAACTCGTGAAATTTGAAACAAAATCCCCGGGCAAACAAAGGATACTTTAAAGAACGGCACTCAAGACCGGGCTGCTCCGTTCGGAGCACTTATTTTTAGTAACTTTCTCTCTTTTCCGTTTCCACGTGGCAAAGGAGTGAAAACGGAGGAGAAGTGAGTAGATTGGGTTGACAATCGAACAAATCCGTCTGGTCGTCCTTTGTCTAATCTTCCGAAGTCACCTGTGTTTCCTCGTTTAAGCTGTGAGTCACAAGTTGGCGTGCCCGTCAAAACAATGCTGATTAGCCGCGTGCGATCCTGAATTCTGATACGTTTCCCAGCCATAATCTGGCCAGACAAATCGCGAGCGAATCGGTCTGGAACATGTCTCCAGCAGACATCTCTGCCATCCCTTCTCTTCTTCTTCTTCTTTCCATTCTCATTCTTTCCTAGAATATTCCATTTTGCTGACGATTAACCTTGTTTTTGTCCAGCATTTCTAATTGCAAATTGAATTGAAATTCATTCCTCCCAAAAATGAATTTTTGTCTGTCTGTTGTTTTGGGGCAGTGTCTGCCGATCTTTCGGGGATTCGCGTGCCCATGTGTCATTTCGAGGCGGCTCTTTTGCCGAGAACTTCGAGCCCCGGCTGCCCCCGAAAATTCATTTAATGCTGACCGAAAATGACGAATTTTCGGAGAAATATACTTGAATGCACAAAAGGAAGCAGAATGGCGGGATTTTTGCACGTTTCTCATTTCGAGGTCATCGAAAGGTCAAGATTTAGCAATGAAGGGAAATGGAAAGAGTCTGATGCTCGTGCAAGATACTCTTTTTGTGCTCACACTTCCTCGAAACCTCGAAATGCTGCTCAATGGGCACTTTCGTACCTGCCTCTTTGGATTCCCTTGAAATGCCAACTTCTTCCGTTGATCACATCACTCCTCCCACACTTTCCTTCCCTTCCTCATAACATGATTTGCGGGTTCTCTGTGTGTCCCGTCCATTTTCGTCTCGTAAAAGTAGTCGCATAGTTTATATGCAAATTCCACGGGAGTCTGACTAATTACATGAACGGCAGCAGTGCAGGAATATTAATTTGTTCTGAAGAAGACGCGCTTTTTTCTCTTTCTTTCTCTCGGAGCATTCAGCTCAATTCCCCTTTCTCGCTCAGTTTATACTTTCTCCATCCGATTCAAAAGGCAAAAACACGCCCGAAATGAAAACATTTCATGGCCCTCCCGCATCAAATTAATTGCTCTCATCTCGTGTAATTGCTCGTTTTCTGTCGGTCTGTGCACTTCTGTCCGGTTGACTCACTTCCTTCACTTCTCCGATTCGCCTATTCTTCGTGCTCTTCTCGTTTTCTGCTCAACTCCGTCTTTGCGCCAATCAAAAATCTAAATTCAATAAAAAAAACGTTTCGAAGACCAGACAGGATGGTGAAGGAGAAGGCTGATTCTTCTCTTCATACCTCTCCGAACACGACGTCACCGTCCAAGTAGCGACCATTTCCAGAAGACGTTCTGCTCTCCCATTTTGCATCCTTGATGGATCACTTTGCAAGATCTTTGGGGAAATGACACGTCCATTCAGTCATGCAATTCATGGTTACTGGTCCCTCAGATCCTACTTCCAGTACCCTTGCTCACCTTCACTCTTCCACTGGATGCATTTGGACTCATACAATGGAGGAAATCCTCTTTCTGACCACATTCTCGTTTATTCTCCCTCAAATTCGCTATCATTGTCACGTTTTTTGTGATTGCTCAGAATGATTTCCATGGCTCTCAAATCAGAACAATCCCCTTTTCTAATCAGAATGTGTTTTCGGAGGCGGACGCTTCTTCACTCTCATTTCAGAACAGTTCTGAGTTCTGTGTTCTGAGCTAAAGCGCTGCAATATTATGATCGCTCATGCTGGAATGGTAGAAAACATTTATATGAATGAACCGCCGATCTTCTATTTTGCACAATAACATCATGCTGATTCGAGTTTGAATGCGCGTAGTTTGGAAGCTTTCGCCACGGTGATTTTTCCTGGGGGTCGCGCGGAGGTTTCTAGGAGTTCTAGCCGTTCTGCTTGGCCAAAACCGGCTTTTCGGAGTTTTCTCAAAAACTGGAACGTACAATTCTTAATCACAAACGTACGTTTTTTCTAAATTGTATAAGCTTTTTTTGAAAAAAGAGAACAGCAAAAAGCAACAAGAAACTCGCAAGAATTTCAATAGGTCACTGAAAAAATTGTTTTTTTTTCGAAATATGGCTGTTTCGTGCGTGCTTTTTGTGGCGCTTTGTTAGTTTACGTTAGTCACTATGACAATGAATAAGATGAATCAGTATTTCTCCGACGGCACGCATCTGAAATCTTGGCGCGCAGAAAAAGGCTTGGGAAGCGTGCCAGCAGCAGACAGTCCACGGAACGAGGCCCGAACTTTCTTCCTCTCTCCACTGCGCCCCCAGAAAAAATCATCGTTTTGGATTTATCTGCGAAGCATTCCCAGAACTGCGCTCCCCGTCTACCCACATTATACGTTCTCCCATCCATTTATCTTCTTTCGCTTCTAAAATTACCATAAGAACCTCTGCTCTTCGCTTTTCTCCATCTCTTTCCCGTTTCTCAGACCGTAGACCACCAGGTTCATTTGAAAACCGACCGAGCACAAACATATGCGCGAGGGAATTTCAACATTCCGCCGACGGCTCCTTCTCTCCTAAAAAGAGACACACAATGGGGGTCCAATGGAAGAGATCCGCTCCGTCTCCGATTCCCTTTCTAGAATTTCCCTCAGTTATTCTGGTTACGTGCAGTCTGATCTGCCACTAAATACAGCACTCATAGAAATGGGCTAGAGCAAAATGTTATTCGCGTTCGAATATTGTTCATTTGCTTCGTGCGAGAAGGGAGCAATTAAAATTTATTGCTCTGAAATAGTTGCACCCTAAGAAGCTGAAAGCAGAAAACAAATTACACAAATTGTGAACGGGTGACGTGGCTCTAGTCAGCACATTACATACAAACGCCCTTTTTCCCTTTCAAAGACTGCACAAACTTGCGCTTCTTCTTCCCGCCTATTCTCACTTTTCTATTATCCATTCCCAAAAAAGACAACATTCGGCTCGTTCTTTTCTTGCTTCGGGCGCTTTCAAAAATCGGCCGTCTTTCTGGTCTCCCTTCTTGTGAATTGCATATTGACACAATGTGTTCAGTGAACTGTTGGAGAATATGCTCGTCGTGAAAGAGAATCTCGTACTCCTTGTTGCTCGTTTCCAACACATGATATGAGCCCTCTCTCGATCTCTCAGGGCATTCTCGTGAGACTGTCTCCGTGCCGAAAACAAGAGAAACGTGTTATTTTAGACTGGTAAGATCACGATACAAAAGTGATGCCGGGGCCCCTTTGTAGTGGAGATCAGAAGCGTGGGCTCGTAGGACAATAAACAACGTGTCAGAATATTTTATCTGTCTGAACCCTCAAGCATTCCCAATATCATAACTTTTTCGTAAAATGCCCCCACTTGTGCCTGTTGCACTCGCTGCGAATCTTTCTTTTCCGTCTCCCGAGTGACCCTTTCTTCTTCCGTTTCCACTAATTTTTCGTCATCCAAAAACAGCCAGTCCTTACTTTCTAATTCGATCTTTGCTCTTGCATTACTTGACAACTTTAGACGGCTTCTGAACTTTTTAACTGTTTACTGATGTGGTTTTTGGAGACAGAAAAGCCGGAAATCGGCATTCCATGTAAGCATTCTCATCTGTTTATGACACCAAAGTCAACCAAAACTCATTCATTTTCTACGAAAGCTCAGCTCGATTCTCTCATTGAATCGAGAATATTCTGAACATTTGCAACCCTTTTCCGAGTAGAATTTCATCGATAACAGTACTTTTTCACTCATAATCGGTTGCACTCGGTTCCGGAAGAAGTAGGCGTTTCGAAAGGATAAGACCGTCCTTCCAGACACGCGTTCGTGACGAAGTTCTCTTGAAACCGTCTGGGCTCATCGGAGCGTAGATCCTGAGGCAATCAGGCAGAGAACGCACACTTCTGCTCATCCTTCTGGCCCCTCATTCATTATATCAAACAAAAACTGACGTTTCTCATCGTTCTCGACATTAGAATACAACTGCTGCTCGCATCGTCCCCATTCGGTCAAACGGAGCTTATTAGTAGAAGTCATTGAAGGCATCCGATCACATGATGTTCCTCAACTTTCGCCTTGTCTGTGCCCACGCTCTCTGCATCGCCAAGTTATTATTATTTCGCTCTTCTTTGGGATTTATTTGGTGTTATTGTTGAGCAAAAACTGTCTAGGAGACATGGAAAACAATTGAATGATCACACTCCGATGCTCACAGACTCACGCATGCATGTGTTGTCGATCATTTCCCGAATAACGTTTCCCTGAGACGGAACACATTAAAAAAGAAGTGCTTTCTTGAAGGTATTGATTGTTTTCTTACAGTACTCTCATTCTATCCCCCATAGAAAACAGATTGTTCCAATTTCCAATGTTTTTGTTATTCTGTTTCATTCTGACCCGAGACGTGAATTATTTTTCCATGTATTTCAGGAATGAATCTTCCATTCCGCGAGGCGAACGCCCCGGGATCCCCGTCCGCTTCGCTGAAATCAATCAATCTGAGTGTTGCGGAGAGACAGTGCATATGTGCGAGTTGGGAAAAGTGAGTGAAATGAAGGCGTTCTTCTTGAAACCGCCAATGTTCCAGAGCCTCCACGCAGTCAGACATCGGATGCGAACTCGTCGCACGGCTTCTCAACGACAACAGAACCCGTTTCCGTGCACTTCTCGGTAATTTTCAAGGTGAATAGACAGTAAACAAAGGTTTCTTTTTCAGAATGTAAGTCCGGTAGTTTTTTGGGCAGTGTGAACTACACGACAGACGACGTCAACAATATGAAGAGGGCCCGATCTGTGGCCGATGGAGTCAACTGTTTCTTTAACAAAGTCATTTCGAAGCTGATGGATAAGGACTACATCGCAGAGATCCAGGACCTTTCTCTCCAGCTCGGGGCCATGCACTTCCGGATGAAAGTGTGGTTCCAGGCGGAGAATTGGCTGTGTGTCAAGAATTGTCTACTGGATTCAGTCGTCTCCGCTCTCCTTAAAGACACAAAAGGCACTTACGTGATCTGCGGAGGCCTCAAGAAGGTTCAGACCGTCGAGAAGCACGTCACTCACGCGTGGTTCAAGTTCGTTCAGTTTATCATCCAGAACATGAAGAAAGGATTTCTGGCCGTGAGTGATAAAGATGTCCTCCTCTCTAACTCGCTGCTTTCAGGAAGCACTGAACGCGGACTCGCATGCTCCTCCGAAGACTGAATGTGCCTCTCCGTGCTCCACCGCCAGCAACCACAGCATCTGATCTCAGTTCTCTGCGGGTCCTCCAATCCATCCGTTCCCATCGATCTCTCATTATCATCCGTCTCCTCTGACTCCGTAGTCCTTTCCATTCTGAATTATTGCATTAATTAGTGATTTATGAAAATCAGAAAGTGGTCACAACCAAATCACAAAAGCAATGCATGGAAATGAATTCAGGGCTCTTCATGACGTAATTTTGCTCTTGATCTACCGGACCACGATAGTATTGCGAAATAGTTCCACGCCAAGAGTGACGTCACTTCCCTTGCACCATTGAATATCAGAAGATCAGCGCCAATGCGTGTTCCATTTCCTCTTTTCCTCGGGGGACGCAGACACATGAACAGGCCGAGTCAGCAATGGATGGACGAGAGGGACGAGGGAGGAAAACTGTGTTTTCGCGTCCTTTCGAAATGGTTTCGCAAGACTTCAGTGTCTTTTCACATCTTTTCTGTCTAGGTCCCGCCCATCTCCGGACATATAAAATGGGATTTTTGAGTGAAGAGGTCAGTGTATTGCAATGGCTGCCAATAATACCCCAATCAACTTCAAACTTCATCTTGCTCCAGGCGCAGTTGAGAAGTTCTCTGTCGACTTCGACAAGCGCTCTTTCGACGACTTCGTCGACAATCTCGAGATTAAACTCGGCGAGCTCGGGCTCACTCTGAACGTTGTTTACTGGAAGAACGAGAAGGGAAACCTCATCTCGCTGTCCAGCAACTCAGTCCGTAACTCGGTTCGCAAAATGCTCTCGGCCAACGAGAGCTCGCCCCATGTTTCCATTTTTGCTATTGCTGATTCTTCTGCTGAAAACTCATCGGATTCTTCTTCTGAAGAGTCTGGAGACGAGGAGATCCTTGTCATCGATGCTACTCCTCAATCGCCACGTCGTCGTCGTCACTGCGGTCGCCGTGATCGCTCCAGAAGCCGTGGATTCGACCGTGCCCGCAGCCGTTCTCACTCGAGAGGACATTCTCGTGGAAGAGACGGTCACGGACCGAGAGGTACAAAGGGACTGAAGGAAGGATGCGGAAAGAAGAGACTCTTCCGTCATCTGGCTCAACGTGTGCAGCTTCTGGAGGCCCAGAGTGCCAGACTAGGTCGTCCGTGCTTCGGAAGACGTGCCAGATCGGTATCACCACAGAGAAGAGGACCAGGAGGACTCGAGATTCCACCGTTCGGAAGAAGATTCGGCCCATTCGGAGGACACGGACCTCATGGATTCCACGGACACCATCACCACCACATCGGTCCATTCGGATTCGGCGGAGGACATCATGGATTCAGAGGACACAAAGGACACAATCACGGATTCGGAGGACGTCATCATCCATTCGATCCACGTGCCAGCTTCGGAAGATTCTAACATTTCTAACCTATTGTTTACTTTATTTACCCTTTTGATGCTTTATTGCCCCGTGAAAAATTATTTTAAAATCATTTATTTCAATAAATATTCATTTGTTAAAAATGTGTTCATTTTTTTCATAACTCAAAGTATAATCTACAATATCCCCATGTCTATTCACACAATACAGAGGGATTTTATACTTGTTTCGAATTGTTCAAATACGCGCAAAATATTGTCTCCCAAAGTTGTTCTTTTAGACACTCTATTATCATGATCATCCAAAATTCCTGAAAATTCGGCCACGTTCACGGGATTTTCAACGTTAGCTGCGCGATGATTCATAAAGCAAATTCAAAGAGTTTCAAAGCTAATTCGTATTCCAAACTTTCGTTTCAAAAAAAAAAGATTATAGTTCCAAAGGTTGAAACGTTTCTCGCCTTGAATGAGTCACTGCTTTGATAACATTTGGTTGAGCAAACAAGAGAGGGAGAGACCTCCGGCCATCACATCATCTTTTCGAATTCATTCGAAGCCAACAAACGAAACTTTTCGACAACCTCGTCCAGTATAAAAAGAAGTGGGCCAGGGAGAGAGAGCAGTGCGTTCTCACGACTACCCTCCATTCCCGACATGCAGAAGAAGACCAATTTCTCCCGTATTCCCTTCACTCTCTCTAACCAGTTTGAATCGGATTCTGATTCCAGCACTGATTCTGACTCTGATTCCTCAGATGACGATCGTTCTTCCGTAACGTCGTCTGACTCTTCTTCTACTTCTTCTTCCGATTCTTCTTCTTCTTCTTCCTATTCCGAGAGATATCGCAAATTCACTCGCAGTCCGTGTCGTTGCCGTGAGGACTCGAGAAGTCGTTCCCGTTCCAGAAGCCGTCCCACAAATCGACAACAAGATCAGACTCATCATCAAGAAAAACGACGCGGTCATCACACAAATACTTGCTCCTAATGATTCTGTTTGTTTTAAATGAATAAAGTTTAAAAATTTAAATCAACACACAAAAATGATGAGACATGGCCGAAATTTCACACAGCGGCCGAGACCTGAATCTAGCCGAGCGGGATTTCCATCTTCGGCATCATTCTGTGTTCCATTCAATAATATATTTGTTTCAAAGCTCGGAATGCACTTTATTCGGACTAATAAGTAAAGGAAAGCATCTTCATATCCGATGGGATCACTCTCCAAAGAATCCCGCGAACGTCCTCTTCAGCTGTCCCATCGTGTCGTCTACATACGAAATCGATTCTTTTGAAGCAGCTCTGGGAATTGCAGGCGGCGGAGCAAAGTGTTCTTTGTGGTGAGACTCTATTTTATCGTCCTTCCCGACACGGGGTAAGTGATGGGAAGTCGTTGGCTGAGGAGGGAGACGGCGTGCTCCTGGAGCATGATGTCCGTTGGTCGAAGAGGAGGGCGGAGCCTCCGAGAAAGCTACTCCATTCTCTGCTCCTGGTGACGTGATAATTCGGGGAGCTACAAGAGCTCGGAGCAACATGCTTGCAGCCCTCCTGTCATCTTCTGCGGACTCTCCGAAGTAAGCTGTAAACAATGGAGCTGGAATAGAATGTTAAGCTTATGATACCTATCACATCGTTGACATCATGTACGAACTCCCGGCCTTCTCTCGAAACTAGAACGTCAATGGAGCAGATTTGCATGGGCCCAACGTGGTCGGTGATAGCCTTCAGATACTTTTTATGTCTGAAAATGAGTTGCTCACAAGCAGACGTCAATGAAAAGTGAACCTTTCGCTCGTTGCAATCTGCTCCAAAACACTCGATCCGACATTGCTCTTCCAGTGTTTGCAGATGCCCCTTCTGAGGAATGTCTTGTATTCGTGGCCTACTTTCTGGACATGCAAGTCGTATTTGGCATCAACGAACGGCTGCACTTCCACCTAAAAACGTGCCTATATTCAATTTTCTCCGTTCCACATTACTCACTTCCGTATCACCTTTCGACATGATCTGGAGCATTCCTTCAACGTCGCACAGTTCCTCTTGGCTGTTTACCTTGATCTTTCCGATTCCCTGGAATCCCTCATTCACCGAAACAACCATTGGATACGTGGCAGATTGGTTTTGATGCTGAAATACAAGTCACTGAATGCATAGGCATTAGGCGAGAGACACTCACAAACTTATGAAAATGAGGGTAATGCACAACTGGAAGCATCGGAATGCATGCTCCGTCCGACAATGTGATCTTTTTCAACTGCTTCTTTAGATTGTTCTTGTCCAGGAAAGCAACGGCAGAAGTGTGCGAGTTCAAAAAAGGAATATGAGCAGCAATGAACGCCCTCGTGATGGTCTTCAATTGAGCACATCGGGTAGCACCGGCTCCCAAGAAAACGGCAGACGGAGTGAACGTCCGAACATCTTTTCCTGGCTGATTGAGCTCGACGGTACACGACTTCTCTGTACACATCACATCCAGCTCGTCGATATCTCCTTGTTCCACACGGATGGCAAACTCCGTGTGATTCCGAAAGTACTTGCTCCAATCGACGTGATGGGAATCAATGACAAGAAGCACTTTTGCGTCCTTCATCACCGGTTCTCCGCGGCTTCTGAAGGGAGCAGTAAGAAAGGAAAAGAGAAAGAGTGCCTTGCCTGTCATGGTTGAGGGATCGCTCGACGGCAGCTGCAAGGGATTCTCGCGATTTTGCAGGTGAAGTCGGAGCGCTGGAAAAAGAGCGATTTCATGTTTAAGTTCACGAAACGTCGAATGCAAATGCTTAATTGTAATGATGCGAAATGCAAATGCCTTATTGTAAATTCTCATTTGAATTCGGACCATTTCTCCCACGAATTCTTATTTTTCTCTTTGTGTCCCCGGCTCGGATTGCAAGTGTGTCTCTAGTGCTCTTTTGGGGTGACAAAACAGAAAAATACAAATGAGATTCTCAGTTTAATTGCTTGGGAAGGAAGAGAGGGAGAGCAGAAGAGTGGTTGGAACTCAGAAAAGACTGACCTGATAGTATTGGATACTTTGTTTGCTATCGACTGGAAAGAGAAGGAAGACGGAGGTCCGTTGACCTCTTCCATAGGCTCCCCTTCGTCTTCCGAAAATGAGAATTTGCGTTTGAAGAAATTCATCTGAAAAGTAAGGATATACAAAGAGGATTGAGATGAATATTCGGGAAGAAAGGAGCAAGAATCGAGACGGAAAAAGGCTGAATGTCGAGGAGCAAAAGTCCCCTGGGAAGATGGCAGCTTCAAAAATTGAGGCAATTTGGAAAGGAGGGCAAACGAATAATTAGAAACGGAAACAACAACTGAGAGAGAAAGCCGGGAACTCATTCTTTTTCATTTTCCTTGTCTTTGTTCTCTTCATATTTAAAAGCGTTGAACGTCGTTTTGAGAGCGGCACGGCGATTTTTTCTGGGGGCGCAGTGGAGAGAGGAAGAAATTTCGGCCCTCGTCCCGTAACTGTCGGCTGCTTATTTTGACGGCGGGCGGCACGCTCCCCAAGCCTTTTTTCCGCGCGCCGAAACTTCTGATGCGTGCTGTTCGAAGAATACTGATTCATTTTTCCTAATTTTTCGGGAATGAGTTCATTATGATTGAAACTCGCAAGCAGTAACGAGAAATTCGCAGAAATGTCTAGGGGTCACTGCCAAAACAGCTTTTTTCAAAATATGACTGCTCATGCGTGCTTTTTGTGTCTCTTTGTTAGTTGACATCATAATGAACTCATTCCCAAAAAATCAAGTGAAATTAATCAGTATTCATCCGACGGCACGCATCTGAAGTCTCAGAACAGCCAAGAAGCGCGACGGCGGCGGACTTCATGAAATTTAGAAAAAAAGTACGCGGATGATTAAGAATTGTAAGTACAGTTCAGTTTTTGAGAAAAATATGAAAACGCTGTTTTGGCCTAAAAGAACGGCGATGGCCGCGGGGCCAGGGACTAGAAACCTCCGCGAGACCCTAAAGAGAAATAACCGTGAGCGGGGATTTTCGGAAAATGTCAAATATTAATGAAATGTGGTGTGTGGAGGGGTGAAAAGAAAAAGTGTGCTGCCGGCTACACACATGGAGGGACTAAGGAAGTGGGGGAGGAGACGAGAGGGACGAGACTCAGAAAGCTGAATCAATTCGGAAAAGAAGGGAGGAAAGGGAGAAGAAGGGAGAGGGATGGAACGGACATTCGAGATGTCATGGGACACCCAAAAGTTGTGATCTAATGGAATCGAGAGGAAAGGTGTCGGATCGAGGCGAGCTGACTCGGCGGAAATTGGATTGGAGGAGAACCTCGTATGGGGATGCTGGGAACAACAACAGGGTAGTTGGAATAACATTAAATAGGTGGGAGTTGCTGAGATCACGTCATCAGAAGCTCGGAAGCCATTCATGACACAGTTTCAAGATCGAACATGGAAGTGTAGGCTGTGCAAGTAGGGCTTCTTACGCTCTCCCTTTGCGTACATCCATCTTCGAGGAAACTCATCCATCTTCAGAAATATCCAAAGTTGTCCGTCTCCAAACTCATTTCACTTCTTGCAAGTGCTCCTCGAAAAAATTTTTTTAAACTTCCTTTCTTCTTTCATTCGTTTCCCTTCTCGCTTTGTTTTGAAGGAAACAGAAAACACGCGGACTTGTATTCAAAGTGCTAAGAAAAGAGGAAAGAAACGAATCAAGCGCCAAGAAGAAGGGCGGATAATCGAGTAGGCGTCCGAGGCGAAGAAGAAAAAGAAGACGGGACGGAGAGCGTATAATCCCGTAAAGTCGAAATGTTATACCCTTTCGAAAAGCGCAGCGTCGCATCCAAAATGCACCGAAAACGAGAGAGAACGCAACTTGGAGAGACTCAGAGAAAATGAGGCGAAACGAAATAAACGAAGAAGACCTCGAAAACCCAAATTTACGCCGAGATTAGGTGCCTGAAGCTCTTGTTTCCCCGGTTTTTCTTCAAAAAATAAGAGGCCGGACACAGTGATTGATGTCTCGTTTCTGAGCATTCGTAAGCAAGACCAAGATGCGATGGCTGACCAGAATTGTAGCTTTTATGGGCACAAATTATAGTACAGACAGAAAAAGGTAATAGATTAATAATATCACCCGAACCCGGATTTCGGCGGCGCAGATGGTACGTGGAGTCGGCGGAGGCGAGTTTTAACACGACGCCTACACACGTGTGATGGTGACGTGGCAAGAGACTGGGAAGAGAAGAAAGAGCAGAAAGCACGATGACGTGGTATCTATCGACGAGTTCCGTCCTCGAAGAAGACTCCTCCGTCCAGAGCGCAGTACTTGGGACAGATTCCTGAAAGAGCAGTATGTTTAGTATGAGGACTGACTGCAGAATTGACTGACCTCTCTCTCCCTGTGGTCCTGGGAGTCCTGGCTGGCCTGGTTTTCCTGGGGATCCGGCTGGTCCAACATTTCCTGGTGGTCCCGGTGGCCCTGGAGGTCCCGATTGTCCTGGTTGTCCGTCTCTTCCTGGGGCTCCATCATCTCCTGGAGCTCCGCTGGCTCCGGCATCTCCTGGATTTCCTGGCTCTCCTGGAGTGGATGGAGTTGATTGAGCCGGTCTTCCTGGCTCTCCCTTCTCTCCGTCATTTCCTGGTGCTCCTGGCTCTCCTGGGGCTCCATTTGGTCCGACTGGGCCAGGTGTTCCCGGGGCTCCTGGTCGTCCTGGGTTTCCTGGCCGCCCTGGCTGTCCGCTTGTTCCTGGTGGTCCTTGTGGTCCTGGGGATCCTGGTGGGCATGGATTGCATGGTGGCACGTCTTGCTCCTCGCACACAATCGGAGGTCTTCCTGGAGTTCCTGGTCTTCCTGGTGCTCCTGGCACTCCTGGCTTTCCGTTTCTTCCTGGAAGTCCCGGCCGTCCCGGGTGTCCTGGCTTGCAGCAGCCAGCGCATCCGACGGCTTGACGCTTGTTACGAATGGTGGTCAGGTTTCCGGCGATGGCGGCGGCGATCGGCTTCTTGTGGCTGATTTCAGACATGATATCTCTGGCGGTCGACTGTAATAAACACGATTATGAGGGTGATTACACACCTTGGGCGACGCGCGTGTCAATGTTATGATTGATCTGAGAACCCTGTGGCAAACCGGTATCCTCCGCAAGCGGTCACACTGCTGGAACGTAGGTGAGGCAAAAACGGAGAAGAAGACTCCATAAGAAGAGGGAGAAAGAAGGGGACTCACTTTGCAGAAGGTCATGTCTCTCTTCGTCTGCTGATGGATCGAGTCCACGAAGTTGTACACGATTGGCATAGAGATACATACTGTAAGCTAACTTTTTAAAGGTAAAAAGGGCATACTGTAGCTCTAAGATGTTAACAAAAGTAACATTTGTTGTTTGAACACCGTCTCATTTCAGGAGACGAAGCTTGAATGTTCAAAATTCTACACTAATCTAGGATCGTTCGTGATCTACTGTGTGTTGCCATCTAAGTACAAAATTGGTCCCCACCTGAGAGAATAGCGAGGAATGAAAAGGTGACTGCAGAGTAGGTGACAGCCTTATAGGCTTTCTCTCGTGTGTCCTCCATACCCTGCAAACGGTTTCAGAGATAAAAAGTGACAAATTCAAACTAGAAATGTATTTTAAACAGAGATAAGAAAGGCGGGTGTCGGGTAACGCTGTAGCAAGTTCGTGAGGGAAATGATAATAAAATGGAAAGCTGGAGGACGGATTATATATGAATGGAGGCATGTCAAAAGGCGGGGTTATGTACAAGGTAGCGCGATTTTCAGCGCCCCTGTCGGCGTTTGCACTTGAAAAAGCCGTGCGATCGCTCGTTCGGTCGCTTGCGGCGCTTCTTGGGGCGGGGCTTCGAGAGACCGGATGACGGTTATATATGAAGGTGCGTGGTCGCGGACGCGGAACCGCGCGCCTTGCCTCTCTCTCCGTGTGTTGCGCATATCGTTTTGCGTAAGACGGCAGAGGAAGCAGAAAAGAAACAGCGGAAAGAAGAAGGAGAAGGCGACAGTAACCTCTTGGCACTTTCGAGGGAGCGAAAGCCACACTCTCCCCTTTTTTGCCGCCTTTGGGCTAAAATCGAAAGAACGGGAAAGCGTAACCATGACGTGGTCCGAGGATCACTGTTACATACATTACACAGTGCGCGTAAGAATGCACTTTGTATGAATTGGATGGCTGGCGACCAGGAAGCTGTCTGGGAATCCTACAGGGTATCAATGGACTTTCCCTTTCGGCGGCATATGCACTTAGTTCGATCTTTCTTACAGTACACCTGTGTGGAATCTCCAGAAGCTTCAGAAGATCCTCTACCTTCCCCTGAATTATCTGCTCTCACCTTGATATCCGCTTCGTACCGGCCCGCTCAATCAGCTTGTTATTCATCCGAAAAATAATCGTGTCTCCTCATGAATAAGAGAAATGTATCTGTTTGTAGCTTATTTCCCCATTATTGTTATTTCTTGCTTCACCATTCCCACCAACGCCTCCGGCCGTTACAAGTGGCCGAGTGGAACAGGCTGGTATTAAAATGAAGCGGAACGCAGATGATGATTAGTGATCGAGAATGCGTTTGAATGATCAGAGTGCATTTGTTGACTTCCGCTCTGAACGCATTTCAGTCCACTTCGTTCAACATTTCTGTTAGCAGCCAGCCGGAATGATAAGCGCACTTTGGGCCATAAATCTTTGACGTCAATGCGGATAAAAAGTGAGTAGAGACAGAATTAGGCGTGGATAAGCGTAAGTCGTGTTGCATTGCTGATCTCGTTGTGACGTGGAACAAGCACCTGGAAACACCCACTGATAATGGTGCGTTGTGACGTGGCAGTGTGTGGTAAACTATCACATTCCTCGACGACGAAAGCCCCTGAAGACTCGTCTCTACTGACTTTTCGAGGCATCATCTTGTCACTTTCTCCCCGGATTCTCTACGCCTCTTCATCTCGTACGTTCTCTGCACTCGAGTGCATCAAGTACGTCTTCGTTTTCTTCGAAGTCGCTGTCGTCGATCTCTGATTCGCTGAATCAGCTGCTTGCATTCCCCCTCTTTCTTTCTTTGTTCTTTTTCTTCTTCTGCTTCCCATGAGAAAGAATTTCTTGAACGGCGAGACGAGCGCTTCGTCCTCTTCTCCGTCTTTTTCTCCCTCTTCTTCCAGATAATTGGCAACATAGGTCCTTGGCGACCGCCCCTTTTCACCCGATGGCGTCCTCGTTGTTCTCCGGCAGCAGACGGCGAGAGACGAGGAAGGCGATGGCGGTGGCAAGTAATTGCAATTGGAAACGTTGCAGAGAATCGAGGAGGGACGAAAGAACAAATCGGCCCGGGGTGAAGTAAGAGGACGAGGGGGAAAAAGAGCAGTGGCGAGGGGGGAAGGGGCGGAGTCGGCCCACGACGACGAGCCTTGTGTGCTCCATCTCTTCTTCCTCCGCCTTCGACAGCTCCGAAAGAGCCACTCCTTAGTGTTTTTTCTTCGCCTGCCCGCGTCGGATCATGCCCCTTTTCAAGCGACGGGACGGCAATGCTCCAGCGCCAAACGCTACTATTCGCGACAAGTACGAGTTTCGGGATGTGCTCGGCACTGGCGCCTTTTCCAAGGTAGGTCTCGTTTTTGCTTTGAATTCTTTGAAAATATAAACACCACCGAAAGTACTAATTTGCGAAATCCTTCCGAAAGAAACCTTCTAATTATCCATCATTCTGCTTTATCACTCGGACATGAAAAAGTGTAAACGGCGAGCCAACGGGTTTTTCCCGGAGACGCAGAATATGTCAAAGAGCCATAGCAACACTGGCACACTCGGGGCGGCGGCTCGCCCTCCATTTCCCTCCTTCAGCGCCCCCGACCGCTTCTCCATATATGGATTTTTGTTATCCGCCCGTCTCTCCGGCTCCGCGGCTCTCCCGGTTTCCTTCCGATTCTACACAATCTCTCGTCGCCTGTTTCAGTTCGGAAACCCGACTTTATCCCGCCGTCGGAAGGGGAGAGATAGAAGATGGATGCGAGAACCGGATTAAATGAGCGGCGGCGAAGTGGAGGAAAGCGCGGGGGAAAACACCGGATATTCGATGAGCCATCCGGTCGATCACTAGTACGTTACAATCTGAACACTTGCTCGATCGAAAATTCGACCGACCAGTCTATTTGTGGCGCGGGCGGGCGTGGGAGAGATCGCCAGAAGTTCTCGGTATTCGTCACGAAGCACGTGAGGTTCCCGGAAGAGTCCTACCACGGTGCAAGGACAATTAAGGGATTCCGACCAAAACAAGATTAGCTATTCTGAATAGTGGATGTTCACTTTCCTGGTAATAAAGTAGGACCGACAATATAGTGTGCCGGAGAAACCTGAGAATAAGTGATATTTGATCAAGTTGTCTGTTTTTTTTTCTGACATTTTCTTGTTTTCGTAATCTGCCAACGATTGGCAGGTGATTCAATTGAAATTAAATACTCTCATAATATGGCTGTAAATCTGAAATCTTTCTGTTTTGACTAGAGAACAATTGAAACGTCACACATCTTCTGGCAGAAAGGACAACAATTCTGAATGAGTTTTGGAGTATTCAGTGACGTTGCGCCTTCTTCTGTTTTCTGCTTTTTCCCCCATTTGTGCTCCATTTCCGCTTCATCCTCATGACATCATCATCATCATTTCCCGATAATTCCGTCGTCCATCGGAGCGGCTCACGTGCGGTAAAGAGTCAACACGGCAAGAGTCTATCGGACGGCGGCTACGGCGGATGAAAAATTCACAAAGTTTCGGGGCCAATCTCTGGTGCCTTGTGGTCACAAATCCGTTTCTCCGGTCGGTTAATCGAAAAATCCGGGGCGGCGGACTCGTGTCTCTTCCCCCATGGGACAGACTGCTGATGACCTGCGGTCTATGGGAAATTGGAAAAAAACGGGCTCGTCGGTCGCTCTCGGCTGCATTATTGTTGCATAAGAAATAGCAGAGAGGAGTACGTCACGGGCTGGAAACCACATACATTTATTATATCCCTATTATTAGATCTCTGATCGCAGAGCTCACTTTTGTGACGCTCTGTCGTTATTAGTTAGTCATCCGATTGGATTGAATTCAGACGACGTCGCGTGAAGTCACGAGTTGGAGGCCGAAAACAGAGAGAGAGACAGAGAGCGGAAGAGGGAGAATATTGGGATAATGGGGTTGCGACGGAGGGCAGTGCATGATGGATTGTTGAAGGAAATCGGGCAGGAAGGAGCAAAAGAAAAACACTCGTGTTGGGTTGGAAAAGTGGCATATCTGAGGGGTTTTTGATGTCCGGAAAAGCGGGGGTTCCGACGGAGCACGTGCTTCTGGGACAAGCGATGGCGCCTTCGAAACTAAAGAGTTCAACCGAGAACAGGGAACTTTTTCAACAAACTTGTGTTCAGTGAAGTTTTTAACTCTGTGTGGCTATCAAATATTTGAATGATTCTGTAGTGAGACATCTGGAACGCATGTTATGCAGCGCCTCGAGTATCCCATTATAACACGAACATCTGTCTGGAAATGTGCTCAAGCTCCAGTGCGTCGTGCATTCGTAGAAAAAAAATTGTTTATTCGTGTCCGCCAGACCGCATTATCCAATTGTATCGCTCTCTTTTTCAGAAAGGGATATTGCATATGTGATGTGTGGTTTTCCAAAGATTCATCCAAACAAACACTGAAACATCCGTTCATGCTTCCCCTTTTTCAGGTGTTCTTGGCAGAGTCGAAATGCGAGGCGGGTCACATGTACGCCGTCAAATGCATCGACAAAAAAGCGCTGAAGGGCAAAGAGGAGTCACTGGAGAACGAGATCAAAGTGCTGAGAAAGTGAGTCTCGGAATGAAGTCGTATAGAAAAGAGTGAGAGAGGGAGACCTTCCCGCTTTCATTCTAAAAACGTCGTGCTCCTCGCTCGTCGGCTCCTATTTTTGTCTCCTTGAGCAGTAGGAGGTGACCGACGACAACACAAAGTATCCGCTTTCAAGTCATGCAGCCAGAAAACCTATTCTGATGATGTCATTCCGCCTCTTTTGGCACCGACTTCTTGCCTCATTACGGCCACGTCAAAACAAGAAGTGGAGTGAGTGCGCGACGGGTGCTCTGGAATTAACGGCCTCTCGTTTTATTTCTGTCTTTTGAATGGGTTGAACAACAACTGAAAGCCGATACATTTTGAGAAGCACATGAAATTTATATCGGGTCCAAAGCATACTCTTCTGATCACGGAGTTTGACTTTTATGGGGAGCAAACATGAAATGAAATGAAGAGCCTAAAAGAACGACATTAACTTTTTAGACTCCGTCACCCGAACATTGTGCAATTGTTCGACACATACGATGAAAAACAGTTTGTCTATCTCGTCATGGAACTCGTAACTGGCGGAGAGCTCTTTGATCGAATTGTTGCGAAAGGGTCCTACACAGAACAAGACGCCTCAAATCTTATCAGACAGGTCAGTCAACAACTTCTTTGGCACATTTTGTCAAAAATTCTGGAGACTTCCGTTCTCTGTTTTCCCATGACATTTATAGTGACTCTGAAAAGAGAGGAAAACTCAATTTTCAGGTGCTCGAAGCAGTCGCTTTCATGCATGATAACGGAGTTGTGCACAGGGATCTGAAGCCCGAGAACCTGTTATATTACAATCAAGATGAAGACTCGAAGATCATGATCTCCGACTTTGGACTCTCGAAAACAGAAGACTCTGGCGTGATGGCGACTGCGTGTGGAACCCCCGGATACGTGGCTCCCGAAGTGCTGCAGCAGAAGCCGTACGGCAAGGCGGTCGATGTGTGGTCCATTGGCGTCATCGCCTACATCCTGCTCTGCGGGTCAGACCTCCGCCATTTACAATTCGCTATAAGAAATGCTGATTTCAGTTATCCTCCGTTCTACGATGAGAGCGATGCGAATTTGTTTGCCCAAATAATCAAAGGCGAATACGAATTCGACGCGCCATACTGGGATCAGATCTCAGATTCCGGTAAGTCTAACAAGTCAACAATTCTTTGATTACGTGAAATTATTTTCAGCAAAAGACTTCATCTCGCATCTGATGTGCTGTGATCCGGAACAGAGGTTCACCTGCCAGCACGCTCTGGCACATCCATGGTAATGAGAGAGACCTGACAAACAGGGGTTCCCAACTATTCAATGCTTTCAGGATCAGTGGAAACACCGCCTACACGCATGATATCCACGGAACTGTCGCAGTGCACCTCAAGAAGAGTCTGGCGAAGAGGAACTGGAAAAAGGTGGGTGGAGTGCCGACAGATTCAGGTCACATCCTCGATTGCAGGCGTACAATGCTGCCGCCGCCATTCGTCAGCTCCAGATGCTTCGTCTCTCCTCGAACAGTAATCGTCTGAACAAGCAAGCCCAGCAGCAGCCGCCGCAACCGCCTCCACAACCAACCCCCGTTTTCCACGCCTGACATTCCCTTCTTCCTCCATATTTTTCCGTAGGGGTTTCTTCACCCGTTCTCTAAAATTCCCCCATTTGAATTCTCAGTTTTTCTGTGATGATTCTCCTCTCTAGTCCTCCATTTCGTCCCTCTTTTTATGGCTGTTTGTAAATATCCCCGCTTCACCTCCCGAATCCTCCCTTCCGAAATGAAGACTGCTCCGAGCCTTTCAAACGTATAATCAAAACGATTTTTGAATTTCTTCCCCAGTACTGTTTGTTCCCGTTATTATTGTAAGTATTTGTGATTTGATCTCAAACGAATGAATGATCTATTGTTGGATTACGCCAGCTCCAGAATAATCTAACAGCCGAAAGAGTGCGTTCCATTCAAGTTATTATTATTGTAAAATCACATCAAAATCACTGACCTATGATCGCCAGTCACTTGAAGTTCAAAATAACAAGTGTATGTTACTGAGTTCCGAAATCTCAAAAACTATCATTCAGGGAGGATGCAAACTGTGCAGAGGGCGTGTGCTCCCACCCATTCTCGTGATAAAAGTGTTTGGAAGTGATAAGAGTGCCTTACTTCATGTGTGAGCCCTTATCGATTGGTTTCTTGATCATGGTCTTCTCACGTTCCGAGACAAGAGTACAAACTCATCGTGTTTCTCTCACTCGCGCCCTCTGGCAGCCGAGGGATGTTCCCGTCGGCCACCGCCGCGCATCCAAATATTTGTCAACGTTTCACCTTCTCTTTCTAGGTATTTCCTTCTCTTTCAACCTCGTGCCAAACTATGGAATCTTCGACATCAGAGTTCTCAGTCGACGTACGCCCATTTCCTTCTTGTTTTTGTTTTCAGTCCGTCCTTCATTTCAGTTCATCGGTGTCATTCCAAATGAGAATTATGCGGGCCTCGACGACTTTGGACGCACCGACTTTCTCCGAATTTATGATCGAGCGATGGTGAGTGAGTGCACGAAATAGGACGGAACCGGAGGGAGATTCCAGGGAGACAAAGTGATCAAAATGGTGACAAGTGTGGAAGAAGTCGAGTTTCATTCGCATCTTCTCCAGGTTCTTCACAACAAAATCTCGGTGATCGAGCGGAAAACGGTCAGTTTTCTCGTTTCAAAGGACTTTTTCTTATCAGATAAACGTTTCTCTCGGTTTTGAGTTCAAACAACGCCCTTGTCCGTTTCACCGTTTTATATAGTTACTTTCTGCTGATCCATTTATTCCAATTCTCATTTCGCAATGTTGCCATTTCATCCGGGACATTTTTGACAATTGAAACGTTTTTATGGGCATATGAACTCGTATAGTTTCCATTTCGCCCATCTCCCGAGGTCATTTCCGCCTATTTTAGTGACCTCGAAACTATATTTCCCTGAGCTGAGACCAAATTTCAACTCGTTCCGATCCGTTCCTAAGTATGTTCTCTCCCTTCTTTCTTGCCATAAAAACGGATAATCTCTTGACTACAAACATTTGAAAACAAGAGCGTTTTTGTTTGCAGAAGAACTGCTGTTTTGAAGTATCCATTCCACTCATATTCTCATGTGGGTCCCTTTCGGAAGACGGAATCGTTCTTTTCACCTTCAACATTGCCCCCTATCCAGCCAATCAGAACTATAGAGATCTTCTGGTGTTAGCTCTTCCCAACGAGGTATTCCTCTTAGTTTCAATCACTTCTACTGAATACTAATAATTCAGAAGACAGCTGAAAAACTATCAGAAGAGCTGAATGCGAAGTTCGCTCGTTTCGCCGAACAACAACTGCAGACGGCTTCCCGTGAGTGAATCTCTTGCACGTCTTCGAAATGCATGAAGGGGGAGTACGGGTGGCTCGGATCAAAACAGCCCGTTCGCAAATTGGCCGACGCTCGTAAATCTTGAAAGTGACTATCACGGCAAGCTGTGGCCACTAACAAGCGATGTCTTCCGTCGTCTTGTTCCCGTAGTATCTGTCTCTGCTTCTGTGAGCACTCCACGCGGTACGCACTCCCTCCTCTCTTCTTCCGTCCTTTCCCTCTTTCTTTTCTCGCGACAAAACTTTTCGCCCGTCCTTCCCGCCGCCAGTTTATATTTATCGGTAAAGACATAGATAGGCCAATTAAATACAACCGAGTCCGTTTCTTCTCAATCTCTCACTTCCTCCTACCACTCTTTTTTGGTGAATGGAACATGTAGCAGTATAAAAACAAATGCGAACCATGAATCATTTGCAAGGAAATGTCAGTTCCCTCACTTTCCCTCGTTCTCTCTCCCTCATTGTTCCCCCAAATTCACAGTATCAACCTCCTTCTGATTCCCCTCGCCCGCCTGCAAACATACCTACAACAACAGGTTGTTTTGAATGAAATCGTGGTGACATTTTCAAAATCAATGTTTATATGAAGGGGACGAGAAGAAAGAGAGAGAGAGAGAGAGAGAGAGAGAGAGGGCTAGTTTGCCCCCACTGACTTTCCCTATTTTCATTGTTCTGGGTCCATTGGTGACAATGTGGTGGACCTAGTGGTTCCCTCCATTTCCAGACGACTCTTCTTCGATCTTCCGTTTTACCCTTTAGGCAATCCTTCGGATTGTTCGCCAATGCTTGAAGCGTCTGAATAAGAAAACTCTGCTCTCTTCTCTCATTATTTACCCGCAGGATTTGATTACTCCCAAATATTTTGCAATATAAAATGCGTGGTGTCTCCTTCGCTCCTGCCTTTTTCCCTTTTCAAACACAATTCTCTTTTTTCAGGCCAATCCAAATCGTTGTCTTCTTTGGAAGCGTAAGTGTTCATCTGAATGTTCATTGAGAATCACCGCGCCTGTTCCAGATCCTCGCCGCTCGCCAATCTCGACACTCCACTGACTGAATCCAGTCATCAATCATCTGTTGTCAGCAAAGCGATCAACGAAGTAAGTGTCCCAATCCATGCCGATTCTCCTTCACTACTCCTGTTCCTTTCTCCTTTTCCGTTTATTCGCTCTCAACAATCGAATCTGACATTTAACGCTCGGAATTACTTTCGCAATTCTCTCAATTACAGGTTGAACGGCCAATCACCAGGCCGCAGATGATGACATTGTTTTGAAGGACAGAACAGAAAATAGGAAAGGGGGTGAATTGTTTTGATTTTGTGAGAAAAAAATATCGCTGTTTGTGTTATTTATTTAGTAATACGGTTTTATGCAAACTTGAACAGAGAACGGAAACGGAAAAGTTTATTAGAAGCCTCGTTTCCGTTCTAATTTTGTTTTTTTTTAGTTTTTTAGTCAAAATGTCAGTGTAATGACCAACAACCAAGTAAGGAAATCCGCGTTGTTCCAAGAAAAGGATCTCTCATTCTTCTTGTCTTCCCTTCTCTCCGTCCAAGTAATCCACTTCCGTCTCCATTGTTGTTGCTGCCATTCTTTGCGTTCGCTGATTTTGCAGAGGGCCGCTGGCGGGTGCTCGCAGAAAAGTATGATAAGTGGGCGAGAGCCAGGTCTTAACGAATTCATCATCTCCGGTGTCTTCTCCTCTTACACCACGGTGGCCGCCGCCTTCTCCTTCCCTCCCGCCCTCCTTATTTAGCCCGACGGTCGTCTGTGTCTCTCTGCGTTCTCTCCGCCCTTAATCCCTCTAACTGTCTGCCCACGAATAGAGCCATACAGCCGCGCCCGCCTCTCTTTTCTCGTTTTGTTTACCTCGTTTCTCACCCATTTTCGAACCGACCCAACCGCTTCTTCACTTTCCGTGAACTAATTTAATATTTTGAACTTTCCTGCTCTTGATGCGCGCTTTTTGAGCACCAGAATTTGATGAAAACTTTTGTCTTTATTACTGTACTGTAGAAGTTTCCTCTTGCTCGATAAGTTTTCTAGTTTTCGCTCAAGTTCAAGCGAAAATAGTAAAAAATGCAGAATTATGTATTTTTGGTGTTTGAGCACGTGAAAGACCTCCCTAAGGGAGCAGCAGTGACGATACGAAGTTCAGGAAACCGCATCGCATTAGCGTTGCTCCTCCTGCCCTAGCCGATTATCCATGTAATCCGGCCTCCGTTCTGAGAAACAAGAGCAATGTGCACTTTATTATCCCATTTTTCCGGCTTTGCAAAAACCTAATGCGGAAGTTGAGATCGATGCTCTCCTGTATCATCGCTGTCCAAAGTGAGTCACGTTCCTTGCGAATTTCTCTTTTCCCATTTCCTTTCCGAGTCTGGCTTCGCTTTCACTTACTATTTTCGTTTCCGTGTCTACAACTAATCACCACATCTTTTCCTTCTCGCTCCGTCTGTGTTTCTTCGTCTTGCAACGCATTGTTGCTCCCTTCCACTCCACCGAAAGAATCTCCTAATTTGTGAGAAAAAGCATCGGCTCTCGTGCTCTTTCCTATTGTTTCTCTCGGTGCTAATAAGCTAAATGACGTGTCACAGCCTGACGGGATTAGCGCGTCCACAGCACCTTCAAGAACTTCATTGCATTGGCCCCGCGTGCTTCATCTTTTCTCTCATCATACAAATTCACTTTTCCCTCCTTTTTTTGGCCAAGCAGAGAAGGGAAGGAGAGAGAGAATAACTAACTCTTTTTGTTGCCCCTCGGGCACCGGACCGAATCCAATTTCATTTTTCTTTCGTTTTTCATTCTATTTCTTGGTCTCCTCCTTCCCTCATCTTCGTACTCATTTTCTTACGGATTTCCGCGCGGATTTACTAATCGCACTCCGAAGCGTCATCCTACGAAGGATGAGACGTCGTCTGAAAGAAAGACATGAAGCAGCATCAATTTATTTATTGATCACTATTGCTATGAAGGATGAAGCTCGTGCCTCTCCTTCTTCCTTCTTTCATTCCGGCAATAGAGGAGGGCGTGAAAGACGGAAATTTCGCCTCCCGACTCATTCGCGCGAGAGCGAAAACGAAAACCAAGAGTAGACATCGTGGCCGTCGTCGACACGCAACACTTCTCGTTTTCCTTCTCCTCGTTTCCAGTCAGATTATCATTTTTTGCATACGAAACGAGTTGCTGACCGCCCGCACCCGTTGGCCACTGCTCTGCTCGCTCGCTCAGATCTGCTTGTTTATTTTGGAGAGAAACGCTCTACAGAAATGGCCACAACCACGTCATTTCTCTCGAAATTTTTTTGCTTTCTGCCTAACTGAGACGTCATCTGAGCTCAGTTGGCAACTTCCGAATCGTCAGTAAACAACTTTTTTCTGAAAACTCACTCGCTTCGCAGTTTTCCATTCTCTCCAGCTAATTAGCGCTTTCCCTCATTTCTAAGCTATCTCACTTCTCTTGAAATCCAATGCATTTGTACGACACTCCGCTATTTTGCTCCCTTGGCAACCGAACACTTTGCAGGTGCTGTCATGTCTGCGTCCAGAAGAGGTTCCGCACTTTCGCGAGATCATCCGCAAATACAACACGGGTGAGCAAAACGTTAAAGTTTTTGCTCAGAAACTCGTCGAGCTGCTTGGTCCCAATCGCAAAAAGCGTCTTTCATGTAAGTTTTTTGCCCTTTTTCTCCCTCCAAATTTGCAACTTCCGTCGCCTATTTGCAGATTTGAAGCATGTGTTGAGGGCAGAGGACATGCACCAATTCGACTCAGCGATTATCTGAATGGGTAATTGGATTTAAATTCTTTCGGACCCATAAACCTTTGTCGTTTCAGGGAGGAGCAGCCAGCACATCAAGCGGCTCATCACGGCTTGACGAGCCCCCGTTTTTGACTTTCTTTTTTTTTACTCGACAGATGCTTCAGTTTCCTCTCTTCGTTTAGTTTCCTCTCCTTTTGATTCCTTCTCTTTTTTCGCTTGGCAATGCAAAAAGCAAAGAAATAAAACTTGGAAATATTGCAGGCTAGGACGCGTCTCGCTCATCTGGAGACGGCGCCGTCGTCAACTTCGAGGTCACGACACGCAAGATGAGCTCGGTGAGTCGTCCGTCGAGCGGCAACAGTGCGGCAGGAGCCGGCAGCGGTGGAGGCGGCGGCGGCGGCAGTGGAGGTGGTATCCGTGGATTCTTCTCGAAGCTCCGGAAGCCATCGGACCAACTGATCGGATCGCAACAGGTACGCTCCGACAACATCTTTTGCAAGCCAGCAACAACTGCTCCCCCGTGCTCTCCTGGGGGTCGATCTTGTCCCTCATGTTCTCATCGAAAAACAAGACATTTGTCTTGGGTCACCTCAAACCAATCCGTGTTGTCTTCCGTCATCCATTCTGTTAATGAGCTGTCGCCGGCGCTCTCAAACTATAATGTACAAGCAAGTGCCGAAGATCTACGTGAGTTTCAGCCAATTTCTCGCTCGATTGAACCCGTTGTTGCACGCAGCACAGGGCCACCCGCCTATCAGATGGGAGCGCTAATAGGATTTTCTTTGCTTTTCACTCATTTTTTTATAAGGAAAATAAATGGCGAAGCGAAGCGAGGCGATAACGAGACAGGAACAAAAAGACAGATAGAGGCGTTAGTTCAGTGCTCCGAAGACCCGACCGCCGATGTTTCGGTGTTTTCACTCCTTTTTTATGTTTTTGAAAACGTCGCAAAAAGGCATAAACAGGTTAGGGGCACTCAATACGAACCCCCTATTGAGTTATCGGCCCGACAATGCATTTCTTCTCTCGTCCCTTCCACACTCTTCCTTTTTCGAAGTTTTCTTACTGTCACGCGCTTTCAGTCAACATCTCTTTAAAGTTCTTTTTGGCTGAGTGTAAATGAAATTTTGAAGTGGAGTTCTAACAGAAATCTTTTTTCACTCTCAAAATTTCTCCGGAAGTGTTCGTAAAACGGCAGCTTTTGAACTTATTGTGTCAATAGAATGTCTGTTGAAACTTGGTCCCAGTCATTTCATTCGTCTGTTGATCGCAGTGCTACTATTCTCATTCTGTAAATTAGAAATTGATGTAGATTGGAATTTGACCGCCCTTGATCATTCTTCTTCCAATTCCAGTCGTTCCCCCAATTCGATTCTCTTTCCCTCACCAAATTTACTCTTGAATTCCCCGGAAACGCTTCCGGGTTTCTCTAACCCGCAACCAAGACACGCACAAATGCACACACGTCTGTTTGAATTGTTTTCATCGCCCCACCGCTCTCGCTACGGCAAAACAATTCAATCATTAGAGGCATGCCTAGACACAAAGCTTTCCAGAATGACAAGTGAAGAAAAGTTCTGAACGTGTGTGGGCGGAGCTAAGAGAAGCAAAGAGAAAAAAACAAGCGATTCCTAATGAGGAACGGTAGCCTGGAACGCTGAGACAGATGCCGTCGCCGTGTTTTCTGGCTCCTGGAGAAGACTGCTCAAATTGAAAGTCGGCGTCTCTCAGTCTTACCCATTCTCTCCTTGAAAAGGAATGGCGCCTGGAAATTGGGAAAATTGAACATAACAAGTTGGAACAGATGAACACTGGTCGAGAAGAACCCGTTCGCTCCTATCGAGAGCCCTTTCCTATCTTGATGACCTTCGAAATTCTGCAACTTTTCTCTATATAAACAACCAGAAACGTTCATCAAACCCCATATCAGTGTCTAAATCTTTCCCTCAATTCCTTGCTGTTTTCTGATCGTCTTCAGTGGTCCCCAAACATCAATTTCCTTTTATGAGATGTCGTCGTCCCTTCCATTCCATTCCTGGTTTATGAGAACCGATGATAGTTTTTCTGAGCGTATTCGTCATGCTCATATCAGATTGTTGAGAAAAGCTGTTTTTTTTGTTTTTGTTCTTTTCGAGCCTTTTTTCAGTAGCACCACTAAATCTGATTCCAGCACCTGCCGGTCTCAACAGAATCAGAAGCTGTGATTAGGCTCTTGCTCAGATCATATTACATCCGTTACGACTTGCATGATAGGTCGGAAGCGACGACGTCTCCGACACTAGTCTTTCGACCTTCCTTTGCAGACGCCTGGCCGCGCCTCAACAGTCTCTTTGCTTCGCTTCTCATTACTTCTTCATATCATTGTCACTTATTTCGGCCCCATTTTTGTTGACGATTTCTCGGTGCAACATATCGTTCAGAAGCCCGTCTTCTCAGAATGTGCTGGAAATTTAACCCGCTCAAGGCGTTGCGAGTCGTTGAGGTGAGTACCGTACCGTTTATTTTATGTAGTCATATATATCTCTTTCCCTCTGTCCATTTCTCTCAAACAAAACAACATGTGCATAACATAAAATTACTGTAGTCGACATGTTTTTTTTAGAAGAATGCTGATGCTTTTTCGTAGCCTGTACTTTATTAGTTTTTCATCGATCAAGAGTATCAGCTGGTCACAGAGACAGATTACCCCATCAGAACAACCCGTTTTCTTCTATTTTGACGAAAATTCGTCTTGAACGGTCAATTTGCAATTTCCGCGCAATTTTGAAGTTAGTCCCTAAATCACTAGTCGAATTTCCACTGACGTTTTTCTCTAAAAAGAAGTGCAAGAATGAAGCATGGATTTGTACGTAACATGAACAATGAAACAGGAAGAACTCGTTGATCTCTTTCATTTTTCTTCTTTTTGTTTATCAGCGCATATTTTGAATTCCGAACGACACAGCTACAGTAGCTGTCGGAACATTCATCAACTGTCTAGCCGTTCTGTCAGCTGACTGCACAAAACTCAAAAACTTCAGTCAACCGGATAAAGGCGACTTCAACCTCTTCCTGAAAACATCCTGAAATTCTAGTTGTTATTAATGAGCCGCTATTTCTTCATTTGAAGTGTTTCTCGTTATCCAGTGAAAGAGTAGGGAATCTCCCACATTTGTGCTGTGTTTCGTAAACAGAAGGTTTCATTTCCCTCGAAATTAGCATTTTGTTTGACACGGATGACGAAAAACAACATGAATCAGGCGCTGCATGCGGACCTCTCTCTCGAGATTCCAACGGGTCGTAGATGCGTAATTAGAGAAGTAATCTGGGCATATAATATTCACATAGTTGATGCAGTTCCGCCCCGAAAGGGCATTGATTCGAAAAATGCTCTCGGCTTTTCCCGAGAGAGCGAGAAGTGATTTGCGAGAGAAAATGCTCCGAGTCGGCGAAGATATATCGGACACAAAGAGGTCAAACAACACTCGGCTGTTGCAAGTTTACAGCAGGCGGAATATGTCTGCAGAAGCTCTTCCGTTATAGGTTTTCTCGTGATAGAAGAGGGTAGAGTCCTCGAAGTTGCAGTTGTTGTCACCAGGAAACACATCTGATTAAACGGAACAGTCCGGAAACATGAGTGTTTGTTTTTAAACAGACTCGTGGGAACTGAAGTTGGAATTTGCGAGCGAGTTTATTTTGTGTGTGATGAACAGAAAAACACGATGCGTTAGACACATTTGTGCAAAACAGCCGCTACGTTCCTCTTCCCGATCACAATCGTTTGTCTGCTGTCTCGGGCACAGTCTTCGCTTCCCACCATCATTGACCGATGCCCAGCCCGCGAAAAGCGCGTGATCACAGAAAAAAAACGGTCGCTCCCGCCGTGTCTCCGTTTGCAGCCATTTCTGCGTCTACCTCGCTGATCGCTATTTCGTTTTTTTCCCACTTCCACGTTGGTTTTAGTTCAGATAATGTTTGTGAGTGATGATGAGGACGGCGGCGCCCGCGACGAAAGAGTCCCAGACGCAGACGGTCCAAGAGGACGGGCAAGTGGCGGCGGCAGCATTCTGCAGAAGAGAAGACAAAACAAGAGGCGGCGGCAGAGGACCATTGAATTCTATGCCCCGTGGCTGTCTTCTCTTTTTCTGCTCCTCCTTTTTCTTTTTTTTCTTGCGCTCCGCTTTTCCCCTCTGGCAAAAAGTGTGGGTTGTTGTAGGGTGTGTGTGTGCTCTTCTGACCACTGAGAAGTCGTCATCCTTCTCTGTCTCGACGTCTCTTCCTTTTTCACATCAATTAACTGTGAAGAAGAAGAAAAAGAGAGAAGTGGGCGGAGTCGGGTGTTGCAACACACAGAACTACGCACTCTCGGACGACCCGCGAAAAGCGCGCTCTGTCGTCTTCTTCGCTCAAACCACCTCGTCCATCGGCACTTATTCATCGCATTCCATCCGGTCTGATGTATTCTTCCGGTCGGCATCATCACGATTCGATGTCCGACTCCGCGTCGTTCCTGGTGAGTTCACATCAGTAGCAGAAACGTTTTCCTTCGGCTCTACAGCCTCAACAAGTTTTGTTTTCCCAGCTGCCTTTCCTTGTTTCCTACGTTGAGCCAGTTGCCAGCGGAAGAATTAGGCGCTGCGTCAAGCAGCCCAGAACGAATTCTTATTGGGAACTCGCAAAACAGACGAACACAAACATGTTTTGATCGGTCGTAGTCTTCTCCGGGGCCTAGGCGCATCCACAACTCTTCTCCCATCAGTTACTCACTCCGTCTGTTCATTTATTTCGATTCAATGAAAGAAACAGAATTTCGATTAAGGAAGGAGAGAGAGAATGACTTTCTGGTTTTTGATCGGTCGTTGGGAACGAAAAAGTATGTGGCGTCGACGTCTCAAATCGTCCTGCGCGTCGTCTCTATCGTCGTTATCAACACTATAAAATTTGTGTCCCTCTGCGTCTGCCCTCTGTGTAGTTTAGTGTACCGATCTCTTTTTATCACACAGCAGTTACTTTTCGAACTAAATAAATCGGAGAACAGTTCTCTGATGCAACCCCGTAGGCTATAAGCGATACAGTAAACACGGACACAAACTTGCACCCACAAATGTTTGAAGATAGAAGAAGAATCAGTCCATTCGTATCACAAGAACAAGTATGGGAATTTCAAAGTGTTTTGGCGAATAGATCTTCCCATTCGAATTGCCCCGTCTAGCCATTACAAAGTGAACTTTGATTCGAAAGGGATACTGTAAAGGGAGAATGATCGGCGGGGAATGCAAAGAAAAAGATGGCAAGGACATCACATGATTGAAAAAATGATGAACTCGATCATTTGAGCCAATTACGGGGGGAGCAGGGAACAGCACCCAATTACGTGTTTTTTTGGAAACGATCGAAAATTCCTTTTTTTTTCAGGTACAAGTCGGATCGCGAACATTCGAGGCGCACGAGCTGCAGAAGCTGATTCCGCAGCTGGAAGAGGCGATCTCTCGAAAGGATGCTCAGCTAAGACAGCAGCAATCGATTGTCGAGGGGCACATCAAGCGAATCTCGGAGCTCGAAGGAGAAGTCACCACCCTTCAGGTATGTCATTACAGAAACTCCCACGAAGTATTATTTTACAGAGAGAATGTGACAAGCTGCGTTCAGTCCTCGAGCAGAAAGCCCAATCGGCCGCCAGTCCGGGACAGCCACCATCCCCGTCGCCACGCACGGATCAGCTCGGCAATGATCTGCAACAGAAGGCCGTTCTGCCGGCTGATGGAGCTCAGAGAGCCAAGAAGATTGCCGTTTCCGCGGAGCCGACCAACTTTGAGAACAAGCCCGCCACACTTCAGCACTACAACAAGACAGTCGGGTTTGTAGAATTCACTTCTGCCTGAAAGAAGATCTAATTGATTGCAGAGCGAAGCAGATGATTCGAGATGCCGTACAGAAGAACGATTTCCTGAAGCAGCTGGCGAAGGAGCAAATCATCGAATTGGTGAACTGCATGTACGAAATGAGAGCTCGTGCCGGACAGTGGGTCATCCAGGAAGGAGAGCCCGGAGATCGTCTCTTTGTGGTTGCCGGTGAGTCTGAGGGACACGAATTTCTGAAGCAGGAAAGGGGTCAGAAGTTTTGTAACATCTGTAGCTTGTTCTCTGCTCACACTCCGCTTCGCCCTTTTAGACTTGCAAATGTAGGCTCGCTGCACAAATATTAATATTCTTCTAGAATACAAGGGCTTTGAAGGTTTTATATGCTGTAATGTGTAACTTTCAGAGGGAGAGCTGCAAGTGTCACGCGAAGGAGCTCTCCTTGGAAAAATGAGAGCTGGAACCGTGATGGGAGAGCTCGCCATCTTGTACAACTGCACCAGGTGCGTCCTCTTTTCCATTGTCGCATAGAAAACAGAAATCAGCCGGTGATGGAGTAATTCTTTGGTCTCCGCCACTAAAACTGATGTGTGTAGTGATCAATATCATCATCTTCTTGTGCGGTTTGGGCGGATTGATCATCTGAAAAGAGAAAACATATGGAAAAAGGGAGTGGATAAAAGGGAAATGACGAAAAGTTGATTTATTAAAGTCGTCGAGTTCCCCTTCGGTTTCTTTCCCTTTCATGCGTTTCCAATCTATCAGTTCGCTTTTATCTCACTCGTTGTTCGATTAGTCCTTCCATTTGTTGATAAGAGAACGCGCAATCTTCAAAAACGGAACAAAGGAAATCTAAGCTGCAACCAAAGACATTCCAAGTTTCATTACTTGGTTCGGTGATGTTTTCTGGCCCAAATCAAAACGTCGTCGTCGTTTGGTCTCTCAAGCCCACCCCGGAACTTATTTGTGTAGCTCTCTTCCCGACGTCACGATGCTTGTGATCCCATTAATGAGCCTCCATAAATTGTCTGGTGTCGTGTCTTTCCAGTCCGTCAGGTGGATCCTGTAGAACCAACAAAACACGGAGACCACATGCTGCAGTTGTTCCGTGTTCAAAGATAACCCGGATCATTTGTTTTCGTCCTTCTCCGGATGCGTCATCGTGTCTTCAGTTACCTAGTCTTTGGTACAAATCGGCTGTAATTTTTCGACAGTTCCTCCCCCTAATCTATTTTGACAGGGCCCACGACGAACCAGATTCCTTCGCTTCCCGCTCCTGACCATTTTTGCCGCCATATGTTCGGTAGTCGTCGATTTTGTAGCTTCTTCCTTTAGTTTCCTCGTCGTCTTCATATTTTTCTTCTTTTTTCGTCTCTTTTGGCATATTCGGTTTGAAGGACAATCACATTGGGAGATGTCGGTTTCAGTGGTCATTCAGCCCCTCTCACACTATCACATTAGCCGTCGTATCTTTTGCGGACAAGAAAAAACACGTGAATCGGTGATGGAGATGTTTCTTCTCAACATTCGAAAACCGTTGAAAGTTTCTCGCACAGTAATCGATCCTAATCGATCACTCAACGTTATCAATATTTTACCAAAACCCATGCACTCTTTTGGAAAGTGTACAATGGTGTCAGATATCATTTTGCGGAGACAGGTTGTTTTTTTCCGATAAACTAGTACATCTTTTTTTAATCGACACTAGTCCGAAACCATCGGTGGGAACTTGCTTTCTTCTCCGATCACGGTTTTGCTCGGGTTACACCCGTTCCTCCCTAACACTATCGGTTCAGTTTGTGTATGTTCTTGACTAGAATTGCCACCCAGGGGTAATCGGATTCTAATTTTCATTTTCATTCGTTTATTTATCAATGTAAGAGAAGGAAAGATACAACACGTGAGAGGGGAGGACGAATGGTGGAAAGGACAGTCCCTCACGAGACGTACCTAGGGATTAGGGGAGATAAGGAGGGGTTATAATTCTGGACGTCAAAGATCGAAAAGCTCACGGAAATACTAGCAGAGACCGGTTCCTGAGTAAGTGCAGGCGTTGGCAAACTGTTTGCATAATTACTCTTGTGTCTGAACCAAAATGTTTGCGTGGCACCTGCACATTCTTCTGTTTCTCGATCACCGCTTATTTATATCCGTCTCGCTCCTTTTCGATCTTTCTTCAATTCACTTCTTCTTATTCTTCGTCTTCTTTTTCACTTTCCATCGCCTGAAACTACATACCAGTTGACAGCAGCTGATGCAGGCCGTCAATGAAGCATTTCTCGAATTCGATGAGATCGTCCTTTCCGGTTATCTCGGTTCACAATCTTCCTCTCCATGTCGCTTCTGCCTCTCTTATGGCTGCGTCTCTCGAACTTGTACTGATCCGACTGTTCGAATTCGTCTCTGGCGCCCTTTGCCTTTGTCTCCTCAGTTTTTCTTGCCATTTTTCGAGAATTCAACGACGGCAAACCGAAGGACAGTCAGTCGACGTCCCTCCTTTCTCTCCTTCTCCCCGTGTTTTGATACTTCCCACTCACCTACTTAGCCCACTCATGTCTCCGACTCAAAAAGCACCTAAGCCGGAAAAGAAGCTTTTCTGAAAAGCAATGCGTTCATGAGGACTCGGTGTGTCTCCTACCATTCATCCTACTTGATTATGTTCTTCTTTTAGTGTAATAAGTTACGACACCCCATTTGGCCCAGATGCTTTCCAGATTGATTTGTTCAGCGTCTTAGGTATGTAGGTACGTCTCCCGACAACGAGACGTTCGGAGGTCACTGCAAACGGCTACTGTTGTATTTTTCCATGACACCTAGTTCACTTAGATTAGCCGCCTCCGCATTGTTCTCCTTCTTCTCTGTTTGCTTATGTTTTCTTGTCACGCCGCCTTTCTTTCACTTCAGTCTTTGGTTGAAACTCAATTAAAGTTTGTTCGTCCGTCTCCATTTCCGTGCACATCTTCTCGTGGTCCTCCATTTCCGCATTGTTTTCTTCCATCTCGATCCACGTGGGAACTTCTCTAAAATTCACATAATCATCTGAATTGGCTCTATCTTACATCCACTTTTTGTCTTTTTCCGCAGTTTATTCTTGCTAATTGCTTTCTCCAAGAAGCAACATGTAGATTTCGGAAACGTTCGTATCAAGAGGACCGTGTTGACGTCTGCGTCTGGTCCCCAGCAATTTGTTGTTTGGCCCGTCTCTTTGATGTTCTAATAGCTACTGACATTTTTGAAATTTCTGTTCTTGACATACTTCATTCTGTTCTGCTTCTCCGCATTGTTATCTTTCCTTCACTATCATTTCTGTTCTCCCGTTCCAGTAGCGCTCCTGATGCTCACTTGTTCAACATGTCACATTTCGCCGACGTATCCGAAATTCATCGAAAAACTTCGTCGGCTCATTTGGGGCCAGCCGTCCACGTCATACGAGTTCGATGAGATGGTGCCAGTAGCACTCAAATCACACAGAAAACATGTTGATGACTATTATGTTGAGGAGATTCACTACGATCCAGTCGTGACCAGGAAAAAGAATAAGTTGGTACCTGAAAATTAAACTATGCCATCACCGGCTAATTTCTAAAGTCATCGGAGTGCTGAAATAATCCGACCCGAATATAATAAGATCACATTTTGCAGGACGGCTTCCGTGCAAGCCCTGACCGACGTGCAACTATGGGTACTGGACCGATCGGTGTTCCAGATGATCACGCAACGTCTCGGAATGGAAAGGCATTCGCAGCTGATGAATTTCTTAACAAAAGTGAGTACGGCGATGGTCTGAATCGAGTACATGACTGTTGCGATCAAGACCCTTTTCCCTAATCTGCGCCGCAGCGCCATTCTGTTTATTTTACGACAATTTCGAACCGGGACACGGTGGGTCAATGAAAAGCGTAGAGAGACGGGTGTTCACGTGAACAGATAATGTGTCTTCGACCGAAATCACAGTTGACTTTTTGATTCTCTTATACCAAGAGGAAGTCGGCGTATAAACAAAAGAGCAGCCCGTAAACGGCCTCTAGAGAGCCTTTAGTCTTCAGATAGAAGTCCAATCAAAACATTCATCCCTTTGTAGTTTACTCTAAATGCTCATACAACAGTCATACTCATTGTTTTGATATTGTTGTTCGTCCAGTGGGTACACACCAAAACACGACGCAAACAGGTCTTTTTGTTGATAGGAAAGCCCGCTCAGCACAGGGCACACGCATATCCTCTTGTCCAGAAACGGAGCATTTCCTGCTCCGTGCGCTACACCGATGATCACCCCTTCATCACCATCGAAACTGATTCATTTGTGCTCATTCGTTGTGCGTTGAGCCGTTTCTTTCCTCTTGAGAAGCACAATGAACCTGATGGAGCATCCCTCTTCTCCCCTTTTCGTTTAATTCGATCGGCCAACAATCGAGCTCACTCAGTCGCCGAACCGTCTGTCGTCGGGTCGGCTCAGTTACAGTAAGCAGAGCGTCTCTCCCACTTTTCGCCGATTATTTCCGATCATCTTGACTCATTTCTACTGACTGATGTCTCATCGCTGCTCCTTTCAAAAACCGTCGAACGTCATTGATTCGGAAATGAAAGCGTTTCTCTAGAAGCGCCGTCGCTCAAAAACCAAAATTGAGTGAAAGCCTGATATTGTCGCAAAACGGGTATTCATTTTGAAGCTACTACTATAGAGGGACCAAAAAACAACAAAATCATGAAGCAAATTGTTGTGGTTGGTTTCGCGAAAAGGGTGTGACGCTGTTTCTAAAGTGCTCTTATTGCAGGTATCCATTTTCGAAAACTTGTCCGAGGACAGAATCTCGAAAATGGCCGACGTCATGGACCAGGACTACTACGACGGAGGCCATTACATCATCAGACAAGGGGAAAAGGTGGGTGTGCGGAAGATGATTGGTCTGTTTGCGGAGAGCCATTTGAAAAAGGTGTTCTCTGTTAAATTAGTTCGCTCATTCACAATTCCATGTGACTTTTACATCTTCTTCTCCCGCATTTTACAATATAATTATCCGAGTGCTTCCTTCTTTTCCTCCTTTTTGGTTTCTTTGTTTTCTACTTCACTTCCTCAATGTTTCACTTATCTCGATTCCTTCTACCATTTCTAAGGAAATCTGTCAGACGGTCTAGAAAATGGCTCCGCAAACAGGTCCCAGTCTGATTGCATTTGAACAGATAAATAAGTTCGCAAGAGTTTACAGGGAGACGCCTTCTTTGTCATCAATTCCGGACAAGTCAAAGTGACTCAGCAGATCGAAGGAGAGAAAGAGCCGCGAGAGATTAGGATTCTCAATCAGGTGAGAAATCATCGGACACAACATCACACAAACATCAGTTTTAGGGAGACTTCTTCGGAGAGCGAGCACTTCTCGGAGAGGAGGTCCGAACTGCCAACATCATCGCACAGCCACCAGGAGTCGAAGTGCTCACCCTGGACCGTGAATCTTTCACCAAACTGATAGGAGATCTCGAGACGTTGAAACGCGACTATGGGGATAAGGAACGCCTGGCTCAGGTTATTCGTGAGCCTCCAAGTCCGGTCAAGATGGTCGATGACTTCCGAGAAGAATTCGCGGCGGTCACTTTGAAGAACATCAAAAGACTGGCAACTCTTGGAGTCGGAGGGTTCGGAAGAGTCGAGTTGGTCTGTGTGAATGGAGACAAATCGAAGACGTACGCACTGAAGGCGTTGAAGAAGAAGCACATTGTGGACACGAGGCAACAGGAGCACATATTCGCCGAGAGGAACATCATGATGGAGACGTCGACCGATTGGATCGTCAAGTTGTACAAGACTTTCCGCGATCAGAAGTTCGTCTACATGCTTTTGGAGGTGTGTCTCGGTGGAGAGCTCTGGACGACTTTGAGAGATCGAGGACACTTCGACGACTACACCGCCAGGTTTTACGTGGCTTGCGTGCTGGAAGGACTCGAATACCTGCACAGAAAGAACATTGTGTACAGAGATCTGAAGCCAGAGAATTGTCTTCTCGCCAATACCGGATACCTCAAACTTGTCGACTTTGGATTCGCGAAGAAACTGGCATCAGGCCGAAAAACGTGGACGTTCTGTGGAACTCCGGAGTACGTTTCTCCGGAAATCATTCTCAACAAAGGACACGACCAGGCGGCCGACTACTGGGCGCTCGGAATCTACATTTGCGAGCTGATGCTCGGAAGACCACCATTCCAGGCTAGCGACCCGATGAAGACGTACACTCTGATTCTGAAGGGAGTCGACGCACTCGAGATTCCGAACCGCCGCATTGGAAAGACGGCGACGGCTCTCGTCAAGAAGCTGTGCAGAGACAACCCGGGAGAGCGCCTCGGATCGGGATCCGGAGGAGTTAATGACATCCGCAAACATCGTTGGTTCATGGGATTCGACTGGGAAGGACTGAGAGGAAGGACCCTGAAGCCACCAATTTTGCCGAAGGTAACCGTTTCGGAAAGCCGTCCATTTCTCAACGTATTATGTTCAGGTTTCGAACCCAGCCGATGTGACCAACTTCGACAACTATCCACCAGACAACGATGTGCCTCCAGATGAGTTCTCCGGATGGGACGAGGGATTCTAAGCGACGATTACTGCTCACTTTCCAACATGCTCATTCTTTCCCCCTTTTTCTTTCCTTCTAACTCTCTCTCCTTGTTCTGTGCTTTTCTCTGTTTTCAGAATAATTGTATATATGTAACGGTTAGATCCTGTTGTTTTTTTGTCTGGTTAGTGCCACCGTCTCGCCGTTCTCTTTCTAAACCCACTCCCTATAACTATACCATTCTCTACTTTCAGATTTCAGAATTCCAGTAGATTTTCTTTGTTTTTCCATTGTCTAGTCGAGCATTTTATGACAAGATTAGCACCCTTCGAACCTCTTTTCCCTTTACTTTTTCTTCTGCTCACCCTGCCAAATTCATTCTCTCCCCAATTTCTCTCTCATTTTTTCTTTTCTCCATTCGACGAGATTATTGTGATTTCCCCGGTCGTCGTCCATAATTTTCCAGATTTATGTAATTTAGTTAGTTTTTTTCTGCAGTTCTAACCGTATTCTCCCGTGTGTTCGTTCGAAATCAGCGCCGCTAACTGAACTGAATTGTTGTTTGTTCGAATATTTTCTTCCGGTACCAGTGAAATATGGTATCACTGTGAAGCTTCCAATCTTCTCAGCTTGCTTCGATTCCTTTTTTCATTTCTTTTACACCCTTTTCTTCAAATTTCCTACCTATTTACTATGATTGACTGAATGTATCGAATAATTGACTCAATTGAATAAAAGAAAATTGTTTATTTTGAAAGTGAAATATGAGGTGCATGATGGGGGAAGAGAGAAAGATCAAGAGTGGGCGGACAATAACAGGATTTCACCGGAAGCATGGCACTTTGGGCGGACGGGCGAGTGTCAGTGATAACTGCGGATCAGATCAAAAAAGTTGACGCAGAGATTCTCGAAGCACTTGGGATTGTGGAGATAACAGGCGTGGCCGGCGTCCGGGATCTTCTGCAGCTTCACGTTCGGAAGGTTCTTGAGGTTGGCGGCGGCGGTCGGACCGAGCGAGGTGTCGCGGTCTCCCCAAAGGACGAGGGTGGGCACGATGTAGGCGGAGGGATTGACCACTTCGTGAGTGTTCGACGGGGCTACGGCGACGACACACGACAGCTGAAACGGAGGAATTCAGAAGAGTCCGGAAGAGGCGGACTCACGTGTCGGTTGGAAGTCATCAGCGGAAGTACGTACTGGGAAGCCATCGATGCGCACACGATCATCACTTGCTTCAGGCCGAGAGTTTCTATGAAATCCATCAGGAACGTCGGTTTGGATGTCTGCGAAAGGGCCGATCCTCTTGTTTGTCCGGAGCCCGGCAGGTCGATGGCAATTGCCCGGAATCCGAGAGCCGCGAACGTTCTGGAAGATCTTTGTCAGTGAACAACTGAAGAGAGCATCGGATTGCTCACCGGAGCACGTTGTTCTCTGTCCACGTGGCCGAGGAGAAGCTCTGTCCGTGCAAAAAGATTACGGTAGCTTTGGCATAATGGGCTCCGGGAGGCCGTGCTTCACGGACGAACACAGAATGAGACTGCAAATGAAACTGTGCTATTGAAGTTGTTTTTTACAAGGTGTTTTCATACCCCGAGCTCCACTCGGCTCTCGTCGTACTCGACCAACGGAGCCAGTTTGCGTGCATTCTCGGGGATCGGATGACTCAAATCGGCCCTTTCGAGCAGGCTTCCACTTGATGTGGAGCTGATGGATTGGTGATGGAGCAGTACCATTATGCGGTTGCGAACATGGAAACTGAAATGGGAAATGAGAAAGAGAGGGAGAGAGAGAGAGAGAGTAGAAAGAAAAACAGAACGAACGTAAATCTTTTGTAATCCGTTGTTGGAACAAAAACGAAAACGACTACTTTTCACTTCAATAGGTACGTTTTCTTTGCGAGAATCACTCGAAAATGCACAGAAACGAAGAGGACAATTGTTCAAAAAAGAAGAGGGAGCGGGTGGCAAGTGTGCGATGAAACGGCGGCCGAATGAGTCAGAAAAGGAAAGAAAGGGGGCTTCCGAATCGGCCGACGCCGCCGCCTTTCATATGTATATTCATTCAGTCATTTCCCTTCTCTCTCTCTCTTTCTGTCCGGACAGACGGCCGTCGTTTTACGGTCGTTTTAACAGTTTCTCGAATTGCCGAATTTCATTCGCAATTCGGAAAAGAGAAATGAAATGGAAGAGAGAGTAGAAAGTAGGGCGGAATTTGCAAAGAATATGGAGATTTGTGAATGCAATCTTGGTAGTTTGGTGGTAACCAGAGAAGCGGGTTATGTAATAATAAATCGAGGTAAACAAAACGGGTGACGTGGCAGAGCATAGATTACTGGTTATTCACAGATTATGATGAGACAAAGGAGTATTACACTGTTTGACTCATGCAGTCATGCAACCCTCTAAGTGTCTCCTAATCGTTTTACCGGAAGCCGACCGCGGAGGAGCAACCGGTCGCCCGCGGGAGCTCCTTCCTGCCTTACTCCACTTGACCAATTGATTTGTGTACGCGCAGGGGGAGCGAACTTTCTGAGCCTCTTTTTGAGGAAGAGTTGGCTAGGCAGGAGCACTGGCGACAACTGACCCCGTCCCAATGTTATTTATTGTTTTTATTATGCGTTGACCCAGAGGGTGTCAAGGGGCGCGGATTAAACCGAGATGGGGCTCATGAAGAGGGCTCCTAAGGGCTGTACACTTCAGAAAAGAGGGCGGGGCAAGTGGGAGATGAGAATGACAAGGTGTTTGAATACGGAGTGCACGAGTGCGTAAATGGAATGGGAAGAGAGTTATTGACATTCAAAGGACACAAAAAAGAAAACAGGAATCGAACATCGAAAAGATTTGAAAATTTCTGCGTGATTTCTGAATCTGAATCAAATGTTGTTGCATTTTCGATTGAAAAACAGTACTATTCCTGCTTGCCAAAACATCTTCATCGATTGTGTTTTTATTGGAAAGGAAAATGACGAACACTTTACTAAAAGAGAAGTGGGACGAGAAGAGCACCGAATGAATGGCGACGTAATGAGCAAGAGCGCGACGATTACTGGAAACGGCCAGATGCATCGAACTGCTCGGCGAGCCCATCCATCATCAGAAGGAGGTCCCGACCATATGGCAAGTAGGATAACAACGCTTTCGGTCAAAAAAGACATGGCGACGACGAGGGAAAAGTGGAGGTGGGGAGGAGAGAAAACGTTTCTTTTTCTATTCGAATCAACAATGAACGAGAGAGAATGCGGAAGGAAGAGACGGAGAGAAAGGAAGAGACCGCAGGGAACAAGCTGATAATGTGATAAGAGAAGGCGGCGGTGGACCCCTTTCAGATGCCAATTTCCTGCCAAAAACTGTCAGCAGACGGGCGTTCGGTGGTTCGGATCAAGGCCGTGCTTCCGTGTGCTTTCACACATTGGCAAGGTGGCAAACAGCCGAACGGTCGGCCCGGGAGGTATGTTTCGGCGCCGCGGACTGGCCTGCTAATTTGGGCATTAACGGGGCAGACGGTAATTCGATGAGAGGGAAGGAAAGGGGGTCTCAAGGTTTTTTGGGGGCGCAACGGAATGACGGATGATCTGCAGAGGAAAGAGGAAGAAGAAGAAGACAGCTGACAGCCACGTCAATGCGAATTGAGAAGTAAGAAGAAGTTGAGGGGGAGAGGGAGGGAACGGGGTAATTATGCAAAGGGAAATGGATAACACCTGGCACACAATGGGAGCATTCTGGTCGGAATGAGCTCTGATAATAATGGTCGAAAGTACTGCGAGTTCTCTCTTTTTTCGGAACAATTCGGGAAGGGAAAGCCATCGGTTTCCGGCCGACAAAAAAGACGTTTCAAATGCGAAACGCTTTGTGGAAAAACGACGTTTTTGAAGGACGAGAAGAGGGAAGAGGCATCAAAAGAGGCGAGAATGTTTCGGCCGGAGCACCCGTCCGGCCCTCTCTTTTCTAATAGTATAGTAGTGATGAATAAGGACGGGGATTATGTAAATACGCGGGTAACACGAGCCAAGAACGACGAACGAATTGTTGGATTAAGGCGGCGAGGCTCCCCTGTTTGCATTGGAAGATCCGCATCACTGAATTCGAACAACTCATCAACAGTTCATTAACAAAAACAGGATAATTGACGGGAAGAACTAACGAGCTAGTATTTACAGATCTAAATGAGTTTGTGATTCCATCGCCACTTGCCGGTAACACACTTCGGAGCTCTTAGAAGACCCGTGCACGGGTGTTGACCCTGAACTTCACACATGCACTGAAATTTCGAATTCAAGCACTCCTGCGCGGTTTCGAGTCAAACCTGTCTTTCATTCTTGCTTCCGAAATCAGCAGGATTGAGTTTTGCAATACTCTCGAGGTGTTCTCTTCTCTCCACGAGCTCCGTCTTTCCAAGCGTCTTCGCAAATGCCTGCTCGATCTCTTCACGCTTCAGACCTTCCAAATCGAAGAGCACTTCTCGACCGTCATCTGAAAACTGGGAGGTTTTTGCGATGCATAGGGATGGACTGACTCAAGTAGGCTCGGGCGAACGGAGTGATCACTTTGTCGGCGTGCTTCACCAGCTGCACTTTTGGGTTGTGGTACTGTAGTTGAGCCCAGTGCCAGTAGACAAAGTCGCGAGCTCCCGTCTGCTCCGGAGTTGGATTCTTGTGGAATCCCAACGCGAAGACGTGCACGTTGTCACGGAACTTCACTTTTCCCTGCTGCAAGTAGAAGAATGTCCGCCGAAGCGGCATCGATCCGTGCATGAACGGCATGACTATTAGCTGAAATAGCAAGAAATGAAATTAGAAATTCAGAAATGCAAAAAAAAATTCAAATATTGCAGAGAACGAACTCAAAAATACAGAAGGAAGTGTTAATGAATTCAAATAAATTTATGAGAAAAAAGAAAACCATCAACAGGGAAAGCTAGAAAATATTTTAGGCTAGCAATTTATCAATCTTCTTTGCCCAGATTTCAACGTTATTCGGGTGGGCTTCGGCCAGATTCAAGAGGCTTCTGAAGATGACGTCGGCAACCGAAACTTCCCACTGCGAGCTGAGAGAATCGAAACGAGCTAAGAATTGAGAAGCTTGACGCGTGGCGTATGAAAGATCTCCCGATCCGTGAACAATTTGTTCAGCCTGTTCAATAACCAATGTTAAATAAGTCATTCCATGTTTCGATATCACCTGGTTGAGCCAGAGAGCCTGGTGGCTGGCACTCAGCACCTGCTGAGACTTTCTCGAGAAAAGACCGAGGGCGGCACCAAGAAGTTTCCAGATGGTTTGCAGAGAAGTCGCCGTCGTTTTTGCGAATGCAAGAGTCGTCTTTGATCCTGAAACATACGTTTTAATATTGAATTAGACAATTAGCAAACCTTTCGTAACCTTAATTGTCGTTTTAGCATCATTAGCCTTGTTGCTGACATCTCCCGTGAACGCGACCTGTCTCTTTTCACCCGATTTCGCCAGAATAGCCACCCACTGCTGATCGGCGGCGGTTACAGTCAGAGTCGCCTGTCCGAGGTGCTCCTGCGGATACGAGACAAGGCTGGTTGGAATGTTGACGGTCAGAGACAGTTTGTCCTCCCACGTCTTCCGGTCGTCTTCTACAGTCCATCCGTTAGATTCAACGTTTGGGGTCTTTCCTTTCGGAATTGGTGCCTCCCCAGAGGCCAACTTTTTCACCGCTTCGGCCTTCGCTGCCTTTCTGGCTTCTTTCTTCGCATCCTTGTCTTTTTTTCCGTCTTTTCCGGTCGTGTCGGCACTGGCTGGAGCAACGGCAGCAGGAACAGACTGTTCTTTTTTGGCAGGAGTAGCCTTTTTGTCTTCTCCCGTAACCTTTGCAAGGGATACAAGCAGTTTGTTGAGCGAGTCGGTTTGAGCTTTGAGTGTCTCAATTAGTTCCAGCTGTTTTTGCTCCAAGACCTTTCGGGGGTCTGTTTCCTGCTGAAAATTCACAGTGTGAGATGATAAAAAAGAAAGACAAACTTGGACTTGGCCATTTTGCTGAGCTTGAACTGTGCTTTCGTGGTACGAGGCAACTCTATAAATGACTTCCTTTGGGGTAACGTCAAAATTCGCTGGGAAAGTTGGAGTCAGTTGGTACATCGGCATGTCGGCAAATATTTTACCCTAAAAATATCAATTTTGGAAGAAGAAATTAGAGAAATTCCGGAATTCGTAAACAAAAGCAAAAAATTAGGGATTTTGGCAGAAAATGAGTTCGAACGACGCTCCGACATTCCGCCGTCGCATTGTTTAGCATGTCTCAGCAGACACTTTTATTTTCTTGATTCGTTCAGTTCGAAAGTTCTCATATCCTTTACTTCAATTTTTACCTCCAAATCATCGACTTGCAGGAAGTAAATGAAAATGAGCGAAGCGAAAAAGAAAGCTTCTGCGGAGCTGGCCGCGAAAAACCTCGCTCAGCTTCAAAAAATCGACATAGCCGCCAGCAAGATTCTTGATAAGGTATCGGAAATTTCAATGTTATCAGTGACTGATTGACACTTTCAGATGCCATTTACCACGATATACACCATTGATCCGGCTACGAAAACCTGGAACAACAAGCAAATTGAGGGTACACTTTTTATCTATCAAAGAGCCGATCGCCCATACTTCAGGTTAGTTTCCTAATGAACGATTTATTTTAACTTTTTTAACTTTTCATTTCCAGTTTTCTCATTGCTAATCGCTCCGATCCGTCTGATTTCATCGAGCCATTGACCATGAACCACGTTCTCGAAGAAAATGGGAACTTCATACTGTTCAACAGACCCGAAGTTGCTATCCGTGCACTGTGGTTCCATCACATGGAAGACAAGACGCGTGCGTTTAATCTGCTCAAAAAGCTTGTTGACAAGCTGAAGTCGAGCACGACAGAGCAGGCCAGAGCCGCTGCCGCCGCTGCTGCTAAGGCTTCCGCCCCCGTGGCAGCTTCCGCACCCGCTGTTCCAGCTACTAACGCTGCACCATCTACTAGTTCGAAAAAACTCGATCTGCTGCAAATGATAAAAGTGGCACAGCAGTCTTCCACTCCTGCCCAAGGCTCTTCTGCTGCACCAATCTCCGCTCAGTTGCCGCCGTTCCTCTCCAATTTGATCGCACCCGCCACGGAGAAACCGTCTGACCAGGGAGATCCTCCTGTTAACACTATGCCAGTGCTTCTCCAGAAGCTAATGGTTCAAGAACAATCTCGTTCGTTGCTCAAAGAGCCAGGAACAGCCATGTCCGCTGACGAACTAGAGAAGGATCTCCTTAAGACTGCAAAGCCACGCCTTCTTCAGGACATTGCCAACTCTCCATCGGCCATTTCACTTGCTGCTATTTCGACAAAATCGGTTCATGGGTCGGAAGGAGATGGCGAAGCTGATGTAGCCGATGGAGAAGTTCTAGACCCACTCGAGGCGTCATTTGTCGTTGGGTCTGGAGCCACGACGCCAGTCCTCAACAAACAGCAGGTCAGATTTGTTCACTTTTCCTTTGAACAACGTTTTTTTTTCAGTTCATCTCTGCGATTTCTCATCTGATGCAAACCGACGATGAATTTGTCTCCCAAATCCACCAGGCTTACGTCGACGCTCTCAATCGTCGCCTCAATATTTAATCGTCTTGCCCCCATCTTCCTTCATGTCTCACCGGCCCTTAGCCAACTAATAATCTCGATCTGCCGTCCAATCAGTAAATGTGATAAGTCTTTTTTCCCTAATAGGCTTCTCATTCCGTAATATCTGTTCATAGTGTAACCTGAATGGGTATTCCGTACTTGCTGTCCTCGTCTCATGATTTCCTTAATCTGTCTCTCATCCTCAATTCATGTTGTCTGTATTTTCATCGAATTCCACTTTGTACCATTATTTAGATAAACGAAACAGATCGAAAATGCAAAAACTAAAGAAGAAGAGGTCAATGTTATTCCAGAAGCTTCACATTCTCTATCAATTGCTGCCGCACCGAAATTTTTGGCCGTAATTGGAAGAGTTTCACGTGGAAGAGATGTTCCCTCACTTCGCTCACTTGCTTCTTCACTTTTCTGATCTCCAGGTCCGTTACATTGTTCTAAAAAATAGAATTCCATTGAAAATATCATTATCAAACTCGCCCTGATTGCCCAAAACGGAACTTTTTTCATGCATTCCAGCACCAGAGTCAATTTTATCTGCTGGTTTTCACTCTTTCCCATCTCAACAAAATCCATCAGACTGTCAAATGTTTCGAGTATTTTCTCCGCGGTTTCCTCGATTCGATTGTGAAGTTCCACAATTTCTTTGATTTTTCGCTGGAGAACACACAATCGACTACATTTAGACCGCCGATTTGTAAGTGTACTAACCTCCATCTTTCTTCTCCCTCTAATCACATTTTCACAGTCTTCGTAAGCATCGTTCAGCGCGTAACTCTGAAAATGAACTAGGTAAGTTTAAATGCGATCTCATTTGCGAACCATTCCAGCCAGACTCATAAAGAGGAATTCGACGTACGTCCATTCCTCGATGACGTCGAAGATCGCGTCGATCAATGGCTGGAATTCCTTCTCCCTCGTGTTCATTTCCATCAATTTCCTCAATCTCTCCAGCATCTTCATCCTGTGCTCCTCCGTTTCTTTCCTATTCATCGTCTTCTCCAACTCTGTCTCGTTCAGTTTCTTGTCATTTTCCATCTTCAGACGAGCTCTAACTTTTTCTTCTTCTTCTTGCTCATTCTGTTTTTTAATATTGCGAGGAAATTTACCCATTTGATAAGAGACACAGTTCACAAAGTAATGTTTATTAAACGGGAACGAAACGATTTAGGTCAGCTGAGCGAATGAGTTTTTGAGTTGCAAAGGATGCACAGACAGTCCGTTGATTGTTTCGTTGAACTTTCCGATAGCATCATCCACGTTTTCAGTAGAAGCCGTCCCGCTACTTTTCTGCAATTTTCTATTTCCGAACCCTTCCCTCTCTTTCAAACCCACAATGCTTCTCCTGAGATTCACGAGTTCCTTATCCTCAAATCTTTGATTGACTACAGCGGACAAGGCGTCCTAAAGAGAAATATTATTATTGCCATCGAACGAATCCTCACTGATTGTGCATTATAACTGTCATCAGAAACAAGAGTTTTTATTTTTCCCAAAGAACACTGGACGCTCAGAACGTTCTTATTCAATGCCACTTTCATCTTTACCAGGTTCGCCAAGTCTTCCTAAAACACTTTAAAACTGGCATGTCAAAATATTGCTTTACAACTCGCCAAAATGCCCTCTTTATCGTTTCCCTTGTATTCGTCCAGCTGCGGTCTCACTTGTTCTTCATAGAAATCCTTCAGCTCCGTCCATTTAGTTTGCACTCCCAATACCTGTGTTCCAAACTGAGCCACTTGTTTTTGATTGTTATTGGCCTCATCCATTCCCATCATATTTGTAATATTCCGGCACAATTCACCGTCCTCATCTCTTCTCATCCTCGCACTTTCTCTTACTGCATCTTGAAGGTCTCTCAGATTCGCAGCCCGCAGCTCCTTTTCCTGCTTCTTCTGCTTCTCCCGAATTCTTTCCATTTCCATCTCTTCATTGCTCTTCGTCATCCTCATTTTCCGTTCAAACTCCATCATCTCGTACTGTTTTTCCAGCTCTTTCAGGCTCAATCGGCTCATTTCCTTCCGGTGATTCTCTTCCATTTCTTCTTTCTCTTCTCGGAATCTCCGCTCCGTCTTCCTCATCTCTGCTAATCCATTCAGTTTCAGCTGCATCAACTGCTCTTCCAGATACTTTTCCACATCTTTCAAACTCATTCTGAAAAAAGACTGCGAATAAACGAAGGGAAGTAGGAAAGTATATGAAAAGTGTTATCAAAAAATGAAGATTGGGAGGAGAGAAGTGATCGGAAACGGAGAATAGAAAAGAACTAACAAGAGTTAGCAATGTTTCCGGGTTGATGGTAAACAGAATGAGGAAGAATCTTTTGTAAAAGTACAAGGCACCATTAGACCTGTAAAGTAGGGAAGAATAATTTGAACTCTGGTTACTTTGGAATTCTCACTTTGACATATTTATTGAACTTAGTAACAACTATAAAGTCTATAATATACAATTTAGCTATTGATGATGGAGAAAACGCCTTCGCTGTCGAGCACCTGCATGACGGTCCTCGGCGGAGCCAACCTAACCTCGCGCAGCTTCTGGACCCATTTGCCGACTTCCATCACTTCCTTCTGCAACGCGTTGACATCTCCCAGTATTCCGGTTTTCTGAAAAAAAAAAGTTAATGAAGTCGTGTAAAGAAAAGTGCTTCTCACAGCAACTCTCTCCAGCTGGTCCAATCTTTGCAGTGGATTTCCAATGTGCTGCAGAATCTCCGAAACGTTGCCGCTGGTTACGTATTTCTGCAGATCTGCGTTGGTTTTCAGTTCGGCCACGCGGTCGTTCATCTCCTTCTTCTTCTCCTTCATGTCTCCCAGCGCATTCACAAACACATCCTTCCACTTAAGCCAGTTACTTCCGATCCCGTTCATCACAAGAATCGTTTCGTGCTCTTCCGTCACTAGCAGCCACAGACGGTTCAGTTCGAACAGTTGGAAGTTCAGTTTGCGAACGATTTTCTCTCCGGCCATCGCGTTTGAAGTACTTCTTCTTCCGTTTTCGAATTGGGTTTCGAGTACCTGCAGTTCCTCCTTCTTCTTGCTTATTTCCGCGAGATTTTTCTAAACTAAAACGTACACTAGACGTCTGTATGAGAAACGGTTCAAACCTTTTGCATTTCTCTGATCTCCGACCTCTTCGTGTTCAATGTCTTCTCATGTTCCAATTTGAGAACTTCAACTTCGGCCTTGTCCTTCTCCTTCTGTTTCTCTCTGAAATAGCCATTTCCAGCAACAGTGAATCGTCAAGAACTCACAGATTCTTTCTTGCTTTCGTAAACTCGTTCATCGTCGCTTTAATCGAAGCTTCCAATTCTTTCATCTCTTTCTGATGATCTCTCTCTTCTCTCTGAATGAAGGCTGTGCAAACCGATAATAACAATTCTGAGTCTGAGCTCACCTTCATCAATTCAGAGTTTCGGTTCGCATATTCTTTCAACTCGTTTCTTGCAGACATTTCGAAATTGGTTTTTGGAAGTGAATAGGCAGAAAATGGTCGGTTTCTCTGTCGCTTATCTCCGTTTTCCGTCCCTCTTCTTCTCTTTCATAGTTTCGATGTCAACAGCCTCTTGCTCAGCATTAATTTTGTTTACAAGAACCACGGTGAGAAAAGAGAGAACGCTTGAGGAAAGGAAAACAAAACACATTGTGTTACAGTGGGTTCCGTTTTCCTCTGAGCTGTACGGTTGTCACCGTAATCATCGCAAAAACTGTAGAAAGGAAAGGAAGAACGTATATGGAAAGTGTTATCAAAAAATGAAGATTGAGAGGAGAGAAGTGATTGGAAACGGAGAATAGAAAAGAACTAACAAGAGTTAGCAATGTTTCCGGGTTGATGGTAAACAGAATGAGGAAGAATCTTTCGGAAAAGTATAAAGCACTATTGGACCTGAAAAGTTGGCAGTCCTTTGTTAACTACCGTAAGGCTGTTACAGAAGGAAACCCTAATATCATTCATTCAGGACAATATATCAGTTATCGATATAGAGAGTTTAGAAAATTGCCATTTTTTCTCTAGAGCTGTTTTGCGTTGAAACCATTCAAAGCACAAGCAAAGTTCGGAAGACTTACAATCACTAAGCGCTTTATTAAAATGAATCAGTACCTATTGAGAAAGAAAGACTGAAAGTACTCGTATTGGGAGGGAATGAAACGGAGAATGACTACATTTTGGACTCTTCGATGTCTTTACTGGCTACGGATGATTTGTCATCGAATTCTTCGAGCGGATAGTCCCGAGCGACCATGTAGAGGACGGCGAATATTCCGGAAGTGTAGACGAACAGAATGTACACTCCGATCAGACTGAAATACAATTGATGAGTAAGTGGGAGAAGCATATCTCGCTCACCCAGTCATAATATAGAAGAGCAGAGCATGTTTTTGAGCGATCCCAAGGTACATGAATGAGAAAACGGAGAGAGTGACGATGGCGGCGACAATCTGACGAGTACTCAACGGAACTGCTCGGTGCGCGGCGACTGAAATGAGCTCTTCGAATCTATCGTACCCCTGCCTCGACGTACCGTTCGTTTTCATTCCGTTCGCCTCGACAGAGTACACTTTAGCGGCGGACATAACGGGACTCTCGTGGCTGGTCAGGTGGACGATCTCATTATCCGAGCTGGCAATCCTCCTCCTGCTAACGCGTCAAAATGAATTCTGGATGGCAACGATGAGGGAAACGTCGCCCCGACACGACCGACCGGATTGCCGCGGCTGCGTCTCTTCGTCCCGCGCACTCTCTCGCCGCCCAAACCATTTTATCTGCTTGTATACGTAGCCTCACAAGCGGCTTTTGAGACATCGGATGGGATGGCGGAGTGAGGAGAGAGCACGGGAGAGGAAGAGGCGCAGACAGCTAACAACATCCATTGATTTGATGTCCTTCTATTCCGAAGGACGCACAAAAAACCGACAGAGAATGTGTTAGGAAAGTGGGAAAGTGTGGATGAGAGTGTGATGGAACAGGTCATTGTTGGAGGCAACGGAAAGATCATTAGCAGATCAAGAAGTTGGAGGAGATGAAAAGGATCGGGATGGGAAACTGAAACAATGGCAGGCGGATGGTTATGACTCGCATGGAATGGTGCTGCTGGAGACAATGACTGCCAATTTATCTAAATGTTTCATCCTCTTCGTTTTCAGAAACACGTCCAGAATGAAATACTTTGAAACGTAGATTTCTGGAGAAAAGAGAACTATCTAGAAACTTGCCTTTAATGATGTTTTCAGCAGTCATGAGGAAAGAATTCACTTAATCAGAACTGCTGTTTCAAGTGTTCTAGACAGTTGGAGTCTACAAAATACAAGGAAAGGATTCCATGTTGTTTCATTCTCAAGGAAGAGTATTTGGAAAAAAGAAGAAGAGGTTCAAGAAAGGTATTCGCGGAAGTGTGATCCGCCATGGCAAAAGAGTGTCTGAAGCGGCAAGGGAGGGGAATAATAGCTGCCTCCTTCGCTTTTCTTCGCCCCTTCGCATTGTGGGGAAACGAGTTTCTCGAGCGATTCCCTCTCTCTCTCGCAGCGGTAGAAAAGGCTTTGATCCCGAGTGAATTTCGAGGGAACCGTTCCACTTCTTTGTATAGTTGGCAGAACTGGAAGACGACGAAAGAAGCAAAAGGTAGACGGCGGAAAACCGAAAAAATGGGAAGCAACACAGCCGGCCGATCGCATCACTCTGATATCTCTCTCGGAAAAGACCGGTTCGCTCCTTCCGACCGAATTTTTCGTGTTCGGAAACGAATCCAGACAAGCGCGACCGCAAAGCAAAAAAGGAGAGAAACGGAAAGCGAAACAAACGGAGAGAAGTGACCGATAATCGGTCCGATGGATGACAACATTCTACAAATGGACGACGGATTGGGACATGTACATGCGTAATGAGGGGTCAGCAGCAGCAGGAAGCAGGAAGAAGGATCGAAAGGGGAAAGGACACGTCATCTGTTGACCAGGGAAAGGGCTTACAGAAGTCATGCGTCGGTGGTGGCCTTTTGTGTTTTCTGCGGAATTCAGACGGAAAAAGAAATACTGTACATCAAGTGCTCTCACTTTTCTACTATTGACGTTAACCATCTTCCTCTTCGATGGAATGTTCACAAAATCAAAAACTCTATTGTCAATCTGAACTTTCGAAACCCAAATGAAATGCCGGTTGTGTTCTGGTTAAATGCAATCTCGGATGACTAATAATTCCGTTCGTTTCTGTCCTATTCATCTTCATCTTCATCTTCTTCTTCTTCTTCTCGATTTCAAACTCGATGAGTAATGGTCTATCAGCGGGAGCGATGACGAGACGGTGGGAATGAACGCGCCGCCCGGAAGAGCACTATTTTATCGGAGGGAAGCGAGAACCCTGCAAAATGCCCGACAACAAACAGATCAGTGAGTTTCATTTCGAAAGTCTCACATATTTTCGGACGGTTTCAGAAGATGAATACCTAGGGAATTCTACTGATCTTCTGAGTGATGGATGGTAGAAACATTCGAAAGATGGATTAATTGATTTCCCTGGTAACGATACTTGAATTCTGCTGTAAAATGTAATCTTTCATTCCAGGATTCCTGAAGTTGATTGGTCGAAATGATCTGAAATCCTACCCTGTACATCACAGTGAGACGCATGAAAGGGAAACGAAGAAAAAGAAGGAGAAGGAGCAAAAGAAGGAGGAAGACGTGGAAAAGAGCTCTTCGGACTCGGACTCCAGTCACGATGACAATAAGAAAAAGAGTAAAAAGTCATCATCCGACTCCAGTTGTTCTGATTCTTCCCGCGATGATAAGAAAAAGAAGAAAAAGAATAAAGGATCTTCCTCACAATACTCCACAGAAGGACGCCTCGGAAGCGGCGCTAAAGATATACAAAGAATTCGATGACAAGTAGGACAGACCATCACTGAAGTTGCTGTTAGGAAACATCCGACCATGAGCACAGGAATCACGAAGAGTTTTCCAATGATAATTGCATATAAATGTGTTCCATTCTTGCACCTTTGTTTAATGAACTGTCTAGGCATTTTTACTGTAACATGGAATGCTTCCAAAGTGTTACCCATGGATCCGAGTGGTTATAGGGGCAAAAAATCGACCACCTTTAGTTAAAATTTTTCACCAAGCGAATTTTTGTCTAGTTGGGCCTTTGAATTGTCTTTGGAGCATTGTATTTCATTAGAGCTAGCTCGAGCTCTGAATTAATCATAGTTGCCACGGGCCGGGCCGGGCCGGGCCGGGCCGGGCCAAAATTTCCAAAACTCCGGCCCGGCCCGGCCCGTCGGCCCGGCCCGGCCCGGCCCGGCCCGACCCGGCCCGGCCCGGTCGGCCCGGTTCAAAAAAAGCGGGAATTCAAAAATTTGAATTATTGATCGCATGAAGCCATTTTTTTGTAGAATTCGGGGTTTTTTTGCAAGCATCGAACATTGAAAAAAACAAATGTATTTCTCATAAAAAAATTCATAATAGCAAAAAAACAAAGAAGAAACACTAAAACTTTTGTTCGAAAAATTTTTTTGTAATAACGAAAAAAACATTTCCGCGAAAATTTGAATTCCCGCCTTTTTGAACCGGGCCGACCGGGCCGGGCCGGGCCGGCACTTCACCGACCCGGCCCGGCCCGGGCCGGCACTTTACCGGCCCGGCCCGGCCCGGCCCGGGTCGGCCCGGGCCGGCCCGCATGGCCGGCCCGAAATCTGGCAAGTCTGGAATTAATCCTCTACAATCCGCTTTCAAAAATCTACACGAGGCGAGTGTGCACTTTGTCGTCGGTTGTGGTGTTTAGGCGCCTGCGGCATCGAATTTGACGCCAAAACTACACGTGTTGTGCTAAAACTAGTCAAGTTCAGGCCAGAAACGTGAAAAATTTCTGCAAATTTGTCGATATGATCGAACTTTTTTCGATTTTCACTAAAGGAGGTGTTTGTCTATGGCAGTATCAGGTGAGCTAATCAATTTATGTGCGAAAACACACGATAACAGCCATTTTCAGGAAGGAGACTACAATTTCACAGAAACTATCAATAACGAGCTCATCAAAGGAACTCTTATGCAAGAAAGAGGAAACAATGGACAGAAAAAAGTAGGAAATTATATGCTGAAGTTCCAATTGGATAACGAATACAACGTTATATTCTTGGTGAGCTAAGAACGAAGTGATGAAAACATAGTTCCGGTTTACAGGTGATCTACCAAACAATTGCGAATCTTTCGTATGCTGACAAACTACTTAGTTTGGTTATTGAAAACTTCCGAGAGGATTATTCTAATTCTCTCAGAGATGAGAAGGTGATCATTTTAATCATTTTAATTAATTTAGATAATTGTTTCAGGCTCTCGCAGAACCTCCGTCGACACTCTACAGCGGTTTTGATGACGTCTTCCAAGATGTCCTGTCTGAAGCTGCTCGTAGCGCCAAGGCCTCTGAAAACGTTACCAAGAAGCCAAAGACATTCCAAGAGTCCGCAAAGTCTCAGAAAACTATCGATTCTCTTATTGTGAGCCGTCCTGGTAAACAAAAGAAGGAGGAAAAACCGACAAAAGCCGCCAAGGAGAATGTGCAACCTTCTCAATCCGGAAACGCATCCGACGGTTACGTTTCGACGTCGCCCCCAGGTTCTCCAGATGAAGAAGTTTTGAGACAGCGGGACAAGTTCTTCAAGAAAATGAGTGGAAATACGAAAAAGAAAAATCCGGAAGAGGTATCCTCGCCTCCCAAGCCAAAAGGAAAGCAAGCGCGAGTGTGGGAGCTAAGTGGAAAAGCCAGCGACGTCGCTTCTTTAGATAGATCCAATCCGAAAGAGGTTAGCGGAGTAGTTTAAGGACGGTCACGAGCAAATAATAGTTCAGAATGATGAGAACGCCGTGAACGAAGAAGATAACAGATTTGTTGAAAGCATGCGCGGAAAGTCATTGAAAGGAGAATTGAAAGGAATTAAAGATTCAGACGATGAAGAAGATGACGATGACAATGAGCAAGAGTACGACAACTTTTGAATAACTGTTTGCATAGTTGTTCTTTCAGAGTAGTGAAACAATCGGGCGGATGGTTCAGTATGATCAAGACACTCGTCGGAGAAAAGAAGCTGAATGCTGAGGACTTGACGCCACTGGTTGAGAAGATGCGAGATAATCTCATAAGTAAGTCGAGTGTGTCAGGCCAGTACTAATAACAACTATATTACAGTGAAAAACGTTGCTTCGGAACCAGCAGAGAAGATTTGCCAGTCCGTGGTCAGCAAGCTCGAGGGCAAAGTAGTCAATAATTTTTCGCGAGTAGCACAAGAAGTGAAGACGGCAGTTCGCGAGTCGCTCGTTCAGCTGCTAACTCCGAAGCACCGCGTCGACATTCTCCGTGATGTGGTTGAAGCGAAACGAGATGGCCGTCCTTACGTGATCGTTTTCTGCGGTGTAAACGGAGTAGGAAAGAGTACCAACTTGGCTAAGATCACATTTTGGCTGACGGAAAATAAGCACCGTGTTCTGATTGCCGCCGGTGATACCTTCCGCGCTGGAGCTGTCGAACAACTGCGAACGCACACACGCCATCTCAATGCCTTGCATCCTCAATCCGTACATTTGTATGAGCAAGGATACGGAAAAGATGCGGCTGGACTTGCTGCAGCTGCTATCAACATTGCGACGGAGCGGAATTTCGACGTCGTTCTTGTGGATACGGCAGGAAGAATGCAGGACAATGAGCCACTCATGAGAGAGTTAGCTAAGGTGAGACAGAAAAGTTAAATGTTTGAAACATGCCATCTTGCAGTTGATTAGAGTGAATGAGCCGGATTTGGTTCTGTTCGTAGGAGAGGCCCTCGTCGGAAACGAGGCAGTCGACCAGTTGGTCAAGTTCAATGAAGCCCTCGCCAACCACGCCGCTCCAGGACAGAAGCCTCGGCTCATCGACGGTATCGTGCTCACCAAGTTCGACACAATCGACGACAAAGTCGGAGCAGCTGTTTCGATGACCTACATCACAGGCCAGCCAATCGTTTTCGTCGGCTGCGGACAGACATACGCCGATCTCCGCAACCTGAACGTCGGCGCTGTCGTTCATTCGCTGCTCAATTGAACTGTGCTCATAATATAGTTGTTTTCGTTAATTTAATTCCATATTACCTAACCACGAATATTTTTTCTCTGTCCCATATCGCTAGTACTCGTCGTTCCAATTCGTTGTGCTTCTTCATGTCTTCTGATCCACTCTTCATTTCTTTTCCCAGTTTCTTTCTGTGTTTTCGCCGCAAATTATTTTGCGTGGTATCTTTGTCTGTAAATAAACCGGCGCCGCTTTATCTGCCGAAGGGTGCATTAGGGTTTTTCTAGTAATTCAAGCGATTTCACGACGTTTGAATTTCAGTCACAAAACCACAGTAGCAGCCTGCCGGACAAACGGGCGGGGAGGCCGAAATCAGACCCTTATTTGACCCACATTCAATTTGAAGTCATTCGCGGATAAACGGACGACCGGCGAAGATGAAGTGCGGGTGAAATGCGGACGAACTGGGAAAAATGAGCGCGAGGACGAAAATAGCTACTTTTACGCAAACCTTACGCAGAGTTTGTGCAACCTTAGAAGAGAAGTTGCGTAAGGTTTCCGTAAAAGTGGCGAACTTTTACCGAGGAGGTGCCCTTCTATTAGAGGTTCCCTTCTATTACAGTATTTACGGTAAGTAAGTTCTTTTCAACGCACTGGGCGCTCGCGCGACACACAATATCTCTACAAACTCGAAGAGTTGCGGCGGAAAATTAATGGTACCAACTTTTAGGATCTTTATGTGAACTTTTAGGAACGTCTGGCGTCCTAGTTTTACTCATTTTTTGCAGAAAAACGAAAGGAAGCGGCCGACGAGGTGGAACCGTTGAGAAGTTCGATGATTGTGCTCGAATGACTCTCCCCCCTTATCCACATGATTATCTGTTTTTAAAGCGTCTGTAAAAAAAGATGTAAAATCACTCACGTGAAGGGAGGCATTGCGAGGGCTCAGAGGAGCGTTCCATCGTTCAAAGCAGGGTTTTATCTCTCGATCACTACGGCGACGATGATTGTGCTCTACGTGACCAACCTGAAATTCGGAGTGAGAATAATTTGAGATGTGTCCGCAAGTTCAGTTCTGTTTCTAGTGCGCCTATGTCATGTACAACTTGTCATCCAACTACAACTCGTACACGACAATAGCTCGTCCGTTCCGAAAAGATTTGGAGACTGGCATCGTCCCTTTGGTCTTCTGTTTCATCCATCCGATATTTAGAAGAGAAGACACGAAATTCTTCGGTTTCACTTACAGAAGAAGGAGCGCGGATAGCAGACGGATCATCAAGATATCACCCTCGCCCAATGGATCTTCTTGCTCATTTTCTACGTTTGTTGAATAAAAAGTAAATGACCCGGGTAGGAACGAATGGATACAGTGTTCTCTTGAAAACAGTTTAAAAATAGACAATTTATTGAGCAGAAGTTAACCGAAATTAGAATCAATTCGGTGCCTGATTCCATTGGCTATTCGTCGCTGGAGCAGTCGGCATTGGTTGAATCTCGACGTTTCCGTACTGTACTTGGTAGCCATGATGACGATGTTGGTAATGATGATCCATGTGCCAGTTGTTCTGAAATGGTGCATTTGCACTCACCTGTGACGGAATCACATTCGCTCCTTGAGGATGAGTGACCCATTGATGCGGCTGCTGAAGCGGATACTGCTCGGCATTGCCAATTTGCTCATACCTGGGAACATGCTGTCCTTGAACATGTGCTTCTTGCTGGTTATGAGCAACATTGCGCGTGGATGCACAGTTCTGCAATGGGATATTAGTGCGTACCTGGTGTGGGACCACGTTCTCCACGTTCTCCACTTGGTTGTTCCATTGCTGTTGCTCTGGGCTGTAAAAGAATTCCCGCATAAGTTGGGAATCCTCATTCTGCTCTTGAACGGGCACTTGTTGCCCATGAGGACCATTGTTATCGGATGGGTACTGCTGCAATGGAACATTATCACCCACCTCTTGCGGAACCACCTCCCAGTGTTCCTGCTGCTCCACTGGGTACTCATAGAACACCTGATCATCCGGCACCAGATCATCCTCGTCCACCTGCACCCATTCAACGTTGTCTCCTTCCTGATCCTCGGGCACCAGCTCATCCTCGTCTACCTGCACCCATTCAACGTTGTCTTCTTCCGGATCATTCTGTTCGTATGGGTACATCTGAAACGGAGCGTTAGAACTCACCTCCGACGGAGCCTGCTGCTGTTGTTGCCCCTGAGCCTGTTCACTTTCATCAGCACATACCTTCATCTGCTTTCTCTTCGGCTCTGCAGTCCTCTCCGACGGTCTCTTCTGTGCTCTGCTCGGATTCTCCGCTCTCTTCGCCGCTTTCAACTCTGCCTTCTTCGCTTTAAACTGCTGGCTCTGGAAATGGAATGAATGAATTGATGGAACGGACACTCAAACACTTACATGATTGGAGACGACCACAAATGTGTGTGCCTCGTGGTGTTCCGTATAATGGAGCCCACTCTCCGAGATGAGCACGAAGGTGACTGTGTACTTGCGCTGCGGGTTCACAAATACGTGCAGTTTATTGGTGCAGCCCGGCTTGTTGGTGATGTAGAGCTTTGAGAAGTTCACCGTCTCATCCATCCACTCCATTCCCGTCTTCCAGCCGTCAGGATGCTCCACGATCTGCGCGGCCTGCAGATCAGACTGCTCCAAGTAGCAGTGCTCCACCTTGACCATCCTTGACCATCTCGTTGAATTTGTACCTGTAATTTAGTAGTTACAGCCAAATCTATTGAATGGAGAGTAAACTTACTTGTGCTCGCCGACCTGTTCCACTTTCAACTGCACCTTGTATTTCTGGACCATGTCCAGCTTCTCGAGGCTGTACTGGAGCGTCGGCTGGAGTCGTCGTCCTTCCCCGGCAACTTGCTGCTCGACAGTCTGTCCGTAGGCAGCCCATTCCTCCCCTTGGAACGGAGTGCAGCGTGGGACAGTAACAGAAAACATTTCGATTGTTTTTCTGAAAACATCCAAATGAAAAAGAGAAACTAGAGAGAATGCGACAGGAGTAGTACGGTAGATGATGTGGATAAAGAAGAAAAAGGAAAGGAAGAACAAAGAGTGGTCACCATTCTGCTAGATGGGTAATAGAAGGAATGACGGTGTGACCCCTTCCTCTGCAAGTGGCGCGGTCTGTAATACCCATGGCAAGTGTTTCCCGAGAGCACAGACACGCCCCGAGTATACCTTCACATGGTGCAGGACACCGATTGTAAACGAATGGACACGTGCGTCGCAGATATCTGCACATTTTAAGATGGTCGCAATGGGGTGCCTCTTTTCAACTTGCCGATAAACATGACCGTTTTCCCATATGTTACCGAGAATTGAGGACTGGGTTGGAATGAGAATGAGCTTTTGAGGGTTCTAAAAGAATTGGAAACTGCAAACCGGGAAATACAAATCAACATGAACAGAAGAAGAGCAAAAAAGAAGAGAACAGAAAAGTACAGCAGAGTACATAAATGCTTTAGAACTCCATAAGGACAGTACTATAATCTTTGAAAGGAAGGTACCAGTGATGGGAGAAACATAAGTGTGCCCATTTGATGTTATAGTACAGTAGTCGTCCTACAAATTCAGAAAGACGAGAGGACTCGTGAAATGATCTGCTCCTAATGAATGAAATGGACGGCACCCTATCTCGGAAATGGGAAATTTAATTGCGCGTGATGCCGTACGGTAGGCTGGTCGAACAGGCGCAGGCTCCTAAAATCGCCTGTTCGACCAGCCTACCCTACGGTATTTTCCGCTCTGATTAGTTTTTGTGATTTCGGCCGTGGAAGTGATTTCCAGACCAATATCCAAGAGAATGTGATAATCTAGCTGAATTTCAGCATCAACTTATGTAAGAAAATGGAAATCATAGCCCTCCGGTTGATTTATGGACCCCGTGAATAAGCGGTTATCAAAGTTCAACCATTTCGCAAAACGGAAGAGTTACGGAGCCGGATTTTGTTTGCAAAAATTTTAATTCATTCTCTTCCAGTATCCTTGCAATTGTCTGATATGGAATGTGTAATCCGTCTCCAGCAATGCATGGTCTGCAAGAAATCCGCTCATTCTCGGAGGAATCCATGTCAAAGAGTCAGAGTGAAATTCTAGTTTATTCAGAGAAGAGCGATTTGCATATTCAGTGCAATGTTCAGTTTCCGAACACATTATTTCTGATGTGCTCGCGATAAGTGAAGCATAGTCCAGTTCATTTAGAAAAGTCATTTTCAGCATGGCTTTCCGTATGTTAATTAATCAAACCCAAAATGTTTTTCTAGAGTCGTTCACAGAAATCCTTCTATCATGAACTCGTCCAGTATCAGTCCTATCAACTTTTGTTTCAAAATTATGCGTTGGGATGCAAGTATATTTATTGAGAGAAGATGCACGACGAGAGTTTATTTCTTTCCAGCGAGTCCTCCGATGCCTCCGATCAGTCCACTGATTCCACTGAAGAGTCCTCCGACGTCCGGGGCTCCGGCAGCATCTCCGGATTCGATCGAGGCGACGCAGAAGAGGGCGACGAGCAGAAGGAGCACGAAGAAATTCATTTTCAGAATGATGAAGTCTCGGTCATAGACACTCGTATTTATATGGAACTGGCAGTATCATTTGTCTCACGAAATATTGGAAAACCAATTGACTGTGGGAGTCAGAAATGATAACCCATTGTTCATGAGAAACCGATGATCGCGGAGAAGTCAGTTATTCTGGAAACTTCCAAGTGCCACGGGCCGGCAAAGCATACGGAGGAGTGGAAATTGTGAAGCTGTAACTTCTCTCAGAAACCATACATTTACCTCTGACCTGGCTCATTTTGAAGAACCCAATAAAATTGAACTCTTATCAAAAAATCAGAGGTCCCTATGTTCGATTTCCGGAGATATATTGAAAAACCGAAAGTCCTATGTATGAAAAGCCGGGCCGTGAATGCGTTTACTCAAACTGGTATTACTCTTTTCCATATTCGTACGATTCTGGGAAAATGATTCTCTGCTGTCTGCTTCACAATTATCTAATGATTCCAGTGCCTTCGAAGTGGTCGTCAAATGCACAGTCTTCCTTCCATAAAAGGATCCGTTCAAACAATTGCGAGAAATGTGAAACACATTTCCGTAGGAGTCGGCAGAGCGTTGTGACGGGAAAGACGAGGTAAAGAAGTGGAATGAATAAAGTTTATATTGAAGGGCAGAGTTTTCAATTTTACAAAAAAATACACAGAATTATTCGAAAAGTTGGAATTTTGTACGGAATCCGAAAGCTCAGTTGGCTGGGTACTTCTCGGCCCACTCATCGAAAACGGCGACGGGCTCGTCCTTTCCGCGCTCAGTCACGTCGGCACGGCCATCGTGGAGCAGTTCTCCCTTGTCGTTGATGAGTTTGAACGCCGGAATGGTCGGCACTTCGTACTTCTTCAGGTACTCTCTGCAAAAACGACACAATTAGAAGAAGCGACGGGGAACGTAGGGACTGACTGAATTCTCTCATCTCCGAACGGAATGGCGTAGTAGTCTCCGTTATGTCCGAGGTACTCGAGAAGATCCTCGGCCTCGCGGTCCCTGCTAACGAGCACAATCTCAAGTTCCTTTCCGGCCGCCTTGACGGCTTCGTAGAATCTCTTGACCTTCGGGGTGAATTGACGGCAGGATCCGCACCACATGGCCGAGAAGTAAAGGGCGATCACCTTCTTTCCGTGGAGGACTTCTCCTCCGTCGACGGTCTCTCCTTTCTGGTTGATCAAAGGCTTTCCGGCGAACAATTCAGCCATTTTTTGAGCTGAAAGCGACTGGATCAGAATGTGTATTGACGTTACGGTCGGATGAAAAAATGAACGAGAAAGAGATTGAGGGTGGTCGTGAGGAACAAACAATCGCAGCGAAACGGATGGAAAAGAGACAGAGAGACCGGTTTTGTGGCCGAGAAGAGAATGAATTCGATTTTAAAAGGCGACGAGGGGCGGGTAAAGAATGGGAAGAAATGAGTCAGAATTTTTAATTTTTCATTACAGCCAGGACGGAAACCATATTTCCGTGAAAAGGGCAAGAAGTCTGGTGTTGATCTGTTTGTTTATTTTCATAATTTCATTCGAAAGTCAAACACCCCTTCTAGAACTGCGTTTCGATGATAAGAGAGAAAGAGAAGGTTATATAGTGCGGAGAGAGCAGAGTGTAAACAGAGAGAGATGACGTGTTAGACGATGACAATTCTCTGATGCAATCGAAAAGAGACACATGATCAGGCGCTGGATGTTTTTTGGTAAATTGATTCCAAAAGGTATCGAAGGTTCCCCAAAGAACAGTTTCGGTGCATGGCGATGGATAAATTACTTGGAAAAAGCTGCGGACCACGAAAAACATATAACGCGAAGAACAGTATTGAATTCAGAGACTAGACTAGTATAACGATGCGAATGGAGTCAGATTATTACACAAAATGAAAATGTTACAATGCGGAACTTGACCAAAAAATATTTTTTTCTTTCTTAAACTTCGTGGGAATTGTGTTTGTTAATCGGTGGTTTCGTAGGTTAGCAGAATTAGCTACTTAACTAATGTACACTGAACTTGTGAAAACTTTCAAGACGATGTTGATTTTTGCAAACTTTTTACTGCGAAATCCCCCAATTCGTTCTCGGCCTCGGGACTAGGAAACCGGGCGGAAACCTAGGCCGCATGGATGTGTTGTTTTTTTTCGTTTTCCGTCAGTTTTATTTTCACCAAATTCTTTCGAAACGCGGTAGTTTTTGCAGAAAAAAAAATGGAAGAAGAACGAGAGGAAATTCTAATTGAAGGCGAAGAAATAATTTACGACGTCGATAACATTGGTTTGTGTGCCAACGCTATTCTGATGTTTTTTCGGTTTTTCAGAAGTGCTGAATCATTTTGACATCGGAGAAGAAGGATGTTCAGATCCCGAAGAAGTGGCAGCCGAAGATGTGAGCAATGGAGAGCAACAGCAAAACGTTTATAGGGGTCTCGTTTTCAGATTCAGGTGTGGCAGGACGAGGGCACGAGCGCACCGTTGGCAAAACACAGAAAGAAAGGTGCGCCTAAGATGAAATGTGGAAGAAAACGGGCTGGAGAGTGAGTTTAGGAGGACAGTGAAGTGAAGTTTCCGTCCGGAAAGGTTTCAGAGTAATTCACATTCCGAAAAAACAACCTCCTCGTACCGCCCGTGTCAAGTCCTTCCAGCAATATGATACTTTCGATGACATAGAGCCGGATCTCGAAGACTCTGATCCGGAAATTGTAGATGAAGATGGAGGTATTGTTTTGTATTACATTCTGAGAAGACGTTTCGATTCCTCTCTTTCCAGAGCCGTCTTCATCGAAAACATGGCGTATATTCGTGCGGAAAGACGGATCCGGAATGCACTTCGATTGGCCGATATTCATGGACAAGGCGGTTAATCTCAAAGAAGTCGTCAATTTCATTTCAACAGATGCTTCTCAAGTACGAATGATTTGAGGGCGCTAATCCTAATCTGCTCTTAGATTCCGAAAAACCTTATTTGCACTTCAATTCCACAAGAGTTTACAAACACCGGCACATTCATCGTGCATCTAGAAGAGGGACTTCTGAAAGAGGAGATATGCGATGATGGCCTCGGAACGTGGAATTCTGCGCAGATGCTCGTACGGAAGTACGTGCTCGGAAGCGGGGATATCCATCCGTTGATGACCCAGAAAAACGATCACAATCTGAAAGTAGGGGATATTTTCACTAAAAAAGGTAATCATTGGTCCAGGTTGTCTGTGAGCAGTTTATCCATCCTGGCACTGATTCCCGTGGTGATTTTATCAGAAGAATTTACATTGGTTTGTAGATATCATGTAGCTCGGAATTCCCTAAGAATGTGTTTTCAGGGTTCAACAATGATGAGCACATGATTCCGTACGTAGTCATTTGCTATGAATGGATGGGACAGCCGCACCCGCTCACTGTTTACGAGGATGAAACGGAAAAACAGTTTGAGCAGATGACGTGGAAGGTGAGCAGAGGCGACTGAGAATTATTTGAGAAATAAACATTCATTCAGAAATGCGCAAATGCAGAAGAGCAAGTTCCAATTCTGGCTCGCCATGGCTGCGATTTTAACTTTGCCGCCTCTATTCTCTTGTCGAACGAAAAGTGCACCTCGTAAGTTGACCCGCTGCCAAGGGCATGAATCACACTTGTTTTTTCTTTGCGCGCTTTCCAATCTCACGTCATAGTGCATAAGGATTGACAAGAAAAGTGTTAAATATGTGTCCAATCTTGTCCCCTGCGCCTCGTCTCTCTTCCCCACTCAGTCACATCGATTCATCCGAAGCCGAAACGAAAACCTTCCACATCGTTCCGTCGCGCGCTCATTTCTTTGCTCCCTCCTCTTTCGATATACTCTCTTTTCGTTCTCAAAGGGAGCGAGTCTCGCGTCCTGCGCTCGTTTATTTTTGCCCACTGTTTCGTCGTCTCCGTCTGTTCTTTCTCATCATCAATATTTCGTCACTCGTCCTCGTCCTCCTCTTAAAATCCTTCTGTTTCCATCCTCTCCCACGTCCACCACGTCGTCATTGGCTTCTTCTTCTCCTTCTCCTTATTTTCTACTTCTTTTTGTTTTCAACTAGCTGCCACCACGTCGTCATTTTTCTCGGATAATACCTCTTTTCCATTCTATTTCCGGAAAAGGCCTCTCCCAAAGCCTCTCACAGAAAGTCCTCGAAGTCAGCAAACGAAGAAAGCGTGGGAGCAGCTCCCGAAGCACCTAAACTGGAAGAATTTCTGCTCGAGAAAACACCCACATGCATGCAAATCCCTCGGATTTTTTCAGTAAACAATGTTTTTTCTCTCTTGAGACCAAGCAAGGTGCTAGGAACTTTGAGTGCATTTTGTTGCGAAATCGAAAACCCTCTGGGAAAGGTCAAGTTGTCCCTCAGAACAGTCTTTCGGACACTGAAAAACCAAGCAGACCACATGTTCAATGTGCTCTTCGTCTTCTGGAAATTGAGTGATGGTCTCCAGCTTTCCGCTACAAGTAACCCAATCCTTCATATGACGTCATCTATTTTCAAAAAAAAAACGCATCCACGGAACCCGACTCGTCCTTGTTTTCAGCTCGCTCGTTCCCCTCATCCTCGATTCAAATGGACGGCTGCCGCTCTGACGTGCACTTTGTCCTTCTCCTTTCTTTCTTTCTATCTCTCTTTTTTCCTTCTAGTCAGAATCCGGCTCCATTCCAGACGTACGATCGCTAGCGCCCATAGGGCACGTCCCAGAAAGATGGAAAAGAGAAGGCACGAAAACAAGGTTTTAATAATGAGTAACAGAGGAGAAAATAGCTGGAAAACGAAGAGAGGGCCAATTTTGACACACGCAATCCCTTCTCCTACTTCCTTCCTGTTTCTCTTCTTCTCTGTGCCTTTTTAACATTTTCTCAAAAAAAAAAAAAACTTGTGCGACACAAAAGCGTAAGCTCAACTAGCTCAACCCAATGGTTTCCAACACTCTTCAATGAAGCATTCATTGAAAATCGTACTGTTTTGCTCAGCTCTCTTTGAGCACACAGGCGTGCCCCTCCTCTCGCCAGATCAGGTGATTCACCTGCTCTAGCGCAGCACCCAGCCCTCGCTCGAGATTGCTGATCACTTTTTGTGTGTCGAGTTCCCAGAACTGATTAGGACTAGCGGATATCACGTTTTTTTCACGAAAACGTAAAGTGTTCCCATGTCTGCGACAGGAATTTGAACTTTTAACGATAAGAGAAACTGTCACAGAGTTGCCATTATCGCATTGCCTGATAACCCTAAAATTGCCTCGATGGTCAATTTCTAGTCGACAAATAGTGCAACACATCGAAGAGAATCAAAAACCACGGTCAGTCAAAACAGTGCAAAGCAGTTCGCGTTGTTTTCCTTTTTTTCCCATCTCTTTCAATCTTGCCACATGATTTCTGGAGCAACCTTTCATCACAAACCAATCACCTTGACCACCTTTTCGAAGCACCATCTCGTGAATCGAATATTTTCGTCGCGCTGTCTGGGCTGCCATAACAAAAACGTCTCTTTCACAAAATGGATCAATTTTCCATCTTTTCATCATTTCCGATACCGCTGCCGCCCGTGTTTTGATCGTTTTTCGGATCGGTCGTCCCACAAAAACATGTTGACTTCTCACCGGCGATGATGGGAAATAAGTGTTTTCCCCGTTTCTCATGGGATTTCCCAATGACAGTTTGTGCGAAAGAAGAGAAAGCTCCGACTCATGTTCTTAAAAGTATCTTTCTCTTTTTGCCACTCTCTCTTCAAAAAGTATTTTTTCTGAAATATGATCAGTTTCATGTACTCTGGAGTCGTCGAAACAAAAGCTGCCGTGTGTCTTCAGGTGACGAACCATCAGGTTGCGAAACATTATCTAACTGGTCGCATGGACTTTGCTAGAATTTTCAATAAATTCTTGTCTAGACATTCTTACTCTTCCTGCATCCCATTAAATATCTCATATCCGTCATTTCCGAGAATCTTCGTTCACTGGACATTCTCTCTTTTTTCAGTTATGGAAAATCGGTGCCCCAGTACGTGCTGGAATGCATTTCCTTTGTGCTTGACATCAATGAATGCGGCGGCGACCGTGCCCTCTACCTCGACGGAAACGAATGGCAGCGCCCGTCCGGGTGCAATCGCTTCTTCCGTGTCGTCTACTCCACTCCAGACGACTTATCGACGTGGCGAATAGAACGGACAGAATCAGACCACAATGCCAGCAACAGCGACATTCAGGTGGGAGAACCAGGCTGCTTTTTTTTTCAAAAGTTTTTTCATAGTCGTCACAAAATGACACCTGACACTTCTCTTTTCTTTTCACAACAGCTGATGGATCTGCCGGTCACGGGACGATTTTTTCGCCATCTGGCAGGCATTTCCCGGATTCATCGGCTGTTTATGCTCCTATCCTTTCAGTCGTTCCTCTTCTTTTTCACCCAAACATCTGGCTTCGCCTTGAACTTTACACATTTCACATGTATTTCAGGTGATTTGCCGTCGTTACAACGGCCAAAAGTTCAGCTCGGCATTCGGATTCGTCCGCAAGATTTTCGTGTTGAAAGTGTTGCCCAGTTGTCCGTCGGATGTCGCCGCCCAACTTGTTAACCAGAACCTCGCCGTCGTTTCCTATTCGTATCGAAATGCTCTTCCAATTTACGTAAGCGCCCCACCATTTCTTGTCGTTTTTAACACGATATTGTTTTAAAGATTGAACAACCAGGAGCACTGCCGGAGAGCGAGTTAATCGGAGAAGAAGTGGAAGTGTGAGTGATCCCATTTTGAGACGACGCATTCATTTTGGGATGTTTTTAGAGTCGGCGAAGCCGTGGTTTTTGATGAGGATTTGAGTGCGGAAGTGCGAGAGATGATGGCCAACGTGGAGAGTAAGAAGAAATCAAATGGACAGAGATTAATGGATTTGTTGCAACGAGTACACCGCCTTGATGAGATTTGCAAAAAAGTGGGTCTCCTCCAGTCCCTTTTCCAGAATATCTTTAGCTTTCAGGAAGGATGGCCAGACTCTTCTGAAGTGCAACAGCTGATGCAGTTGGGAGAGCTTTTAGAGAGTTCTCCTTGCCAATAAACTCTTTCTACTTTTCTCCCTTTTGCTTTCTTTTTCTAATTGCGTTATGATCGCTCGTTTATATCTTGAAAACTTTTCCACATTTCGCTCACCAACTCATTTGTTTTCAGGAGTTAGGATATCAATATGACCACACCAAGCCGTAGACGTTTGATGAGAGATTTCAAGAAGCTCCAGGTGAGCATTCCACTCTGACATTTGTAATATACCAGTTTTTGTTCAGGAGGACCCACCAGCAGGAGTGTCTGGAGCTCCGACTGAAGACAACATTCTCACATGGGAGGCGATCATCTTCGGTCCTCAAGAAACTCCGTTCGAAGACGGTACGTTCAAACTGTCGCTCGAGTTCACAGAAGAGTACCCGAACAAGCCGCCGACGGTCAAGTTCATTTCAAAGATGTTCCATCCGAACGTCTACGCAGACGGGTCGATCTGTCTCGACATCCTCCAGAACAGATGGTCACCGACTTACGACGTGGCCGCCATTCTGACGTCGATTCAGTCGTTGCTTGACGAGCCAAACCCCAACTCGCCGGCCAACTCGCTCGCCGCGCAGCTCTATCAGGAGAATAGAAGAGAATACGAGAAGAGAGTGCAGCAAATCGTCGAGCAGGTGAGAAGTTGAACAGGGAGTGCATTAAGGCAGAGGAAGTATCGTTGGTTTTGTGAATAGTCGGGGAAGTGTGTTTTCACAGACAAAAGACACCCATCGCTTCCATTTTTCTTTAAAAAAAAAACAAATAGCCCTCTCAAGAATAATACCGAGAACGAATTTCCAAATACGAAATCCCACAACAATCCGTCTTGTGTACACTTTTCTGTCAGAATCGCTTTTTTAATGAGGTGCACACCGCGTATAGAATACAAAAATTGAAGTTTCACGGGATTGAGAGAAAATCGGTTACCGAATTCAAAAACATGCTCATTAAGAGTTTGCAGTCGTGGCTCAATTTCGGAGAAAACGAAGGCGATGCTGTGCTGAAGGACGAACTCGACGGGGACGCGGAAGAGATTGTCGGAGACGGGAACGCGGACGACGGAATGGACGAAGGAGCTAGCGGATCCAACATCTGAAGCATCTTCATCGAAAAAAGTCTAATTTTTACTGTATTTTGATTTCGTCCCTGTCTCTCTTCCTGTCTGTCCCGTTCAATTTCCCATCCAGGATTCCCGCCTCTAACTTTTCTCCATTTCAAATCGGTAGTTGCTGTATATAAAACCGCCCCCGCGCTCTCTCTCTCTCCCTCGTTTCTCTCTAATTCTGTCTCTCCTTCTCCCATGAAAACCTTTCCCAATACAGTTATTCGTTTTAATTATTGACTGATTTCGCAAAATACTTCTTGAGCTGCACCAAATAAACCGAACAACATCTGTCGAGTCCATTCCGGGCGCCAAAGGGCGGAGCTTCGGAGAAGAAAAAAGAAGAAGAAGAAGAAGAAGCGGGCTACAAATACAAGTGAAGAGGACTATAAAATGGAAGAGAGTCACTCGTGCAAAACACTTTCTTTCCGAGTTCCTTTCTATCTGAAAACGACTTTTCCGAGGTTATTATAGGGGCACCGCACAGAAATGGCGCTCTGTTGAGAAACTCTTTTTGCAGTGCAAATTGAGCGACCTCGGGGCCGAGTTTGAAAAGTTAGGCCACATTTTCAGTGGAAAATTACTTCGCGGCCTAGAAATTCGGCCAGATTGCGAACAGCGCGTCCTTTTTGTCCGGTGCCCCAAAATAATAACTAGGTTTTTAATGAAAGTTCCAGCCCGAATCTCTATTGGAGACTTATTATAATTGAGTGTTTTTACTAAAAGTTCAGGCCCATTTCCGTACAATTCTCAGCAGATGAACTTTCAATCGGACTGAAACAACCGTAATCGAAAATTGTCCGTCCATTCAAATCGATGCATCTCAGCTGTCGTGTGAGATATCAGAAAGTAGCCAACTGACAAAAAGTAGGTAATTTCTTAAGGAGCAATTTATTAGTTGAAAACTTTCTGATACCTCCACCGACCGCCGAGAGATTTCAATTTGAATATACGGTATTTCTGATCTCACTGATATCTGACAATCCTGCTTGAATAATGTCTGGAAACGGAAGAGCCTTCTACGCAGTTGGGCTCCCACAATTATATGAACTTTGTTGAGGGGAGAACCGTGTGACTATCTCTCTTTTCCTTTTTTTACATTTTCTCTCTGTCAGACAATCCTGCAGAGCTTCCGCTTCCCCCGAAGGAGTCCCGATCACAGCTTTTCTGGATGGATATTGTGTGCTTCAGCTTTGTCCGTTTTCAAAAACACGCGGTACATTCTGTCTACTCGTTCCTTTCCGCTTGTTTTCAACCTTTCCCGTTGGGCCCGAAAGGAATCGAACACAAAAAAGAGGCTCTCTCGATGCTACCGCTGCTCGGACTTCAGATGGACTCGAGAAGATGACGTTTCCCACGTGGATTCTGTTTTTGTTTTCTCATGTCGGAGACTCCCGAGTGCTTCCGGTACTTTCGATGGAGCAGCTGGAATGGCATTGAAAAGATCCGAGATCCGCCCGTTCTCCATTCTTTTCGCAAGGCTTTTGGTGCTCGACCACTTCTGATTTTGTTTGTATTTCGGTCTGACGTGGTGGATATCATGACATGATTAAGGTACAAACGAATCCCCCGAGAAGCTGCCCCCTTCTATCAGTTAGAAGAGTTTCAAGTTCTTGCGAGATTTTAATCAAGCTACTCTTCCGTTTCGTTATTCACTTTAAAGTTCATTCGATGACGCGACAACAGTAATCGCTGACCACTGGACATCTTTTTCATCATCTTTTCCTCTCCAAATAGTAGTATTCAATTACCAATTCTTCATTATAATCGACTCTTCCTCCCGTGCAATTAAAGTCCTTCCGTCGGCTCTCGCCCTCAATTATGAGCCGATGAACCGCCTCTTCCATTTCCTGCTTCTTCCTTTTCATTCCTAACGTGACGTTCGTGGCCTGACGTCTTCCCGCCTTCGTATCTTTCGGTACAATTCCATCAATTGGCGATTGGTGCTCCACTCGCATTATCAACAATTTCTGCCTTCAACGCCCTTCTTTCAGACGCCTTTTTTTTGTTTTTTCATGTGCTCCATTGTTTCTTGGTGTGTTTGGTCAGACTCCCCCTCATTTCGTTAAAATGACCACATATAAAAAGGAGGTGTTCGTCTGATTCTCAACTAGTATTCATCAGGTAACCCCCAGTCATCTTCCGACGCAATGAAGGCTTTCCTCTTCATTCTTCTCGCCATTCTCGCACTGTTCGGAGGATCGGAAGGACAACGCCGACTTCAGAGCCGCCAGAACTATTATGATTGGCTCGTGTGAGTTCAATCCCATTCGGTCCGTTCCAAGACTGTTCATTTCATTTCAGTCGTGCTCAACACGGAGCCAAGGAGCCAATTGTCTCCTCGCGCTCCCCGAAACTCGACCGCAACTGCTTTTTCTCCCCGGTGCAGTGCATGTTCGATCCTAGCTCGTCGGACAATTTCAACTCGTTTCGCCGTTAACTTCGTCACCGGTCCTCCCTCCAAAAAAGCAGTTTCTCCCCTGTCGTCCGTTAGCCACAGAATTGCCAACGATCATCTGAGACCGCGTCGTCGATTCGATTCCCCGTTTACGCCATAATTATTGAACTTATGTCTTTTTCGTATTTGTTTGGATCGTCTCATGATCGCACACACACATCAAAAAGAATATATTTATATCATGTTTTTGTCCTGAGACGAATGAACGGATGAATGTTGAACACGTACAGTAACAATCGGAGAATGGATGTTTGTCAGACATGCGAACGGAGTCGGGTCGCTTGCCACGAAGAAAGGAGTCTGCAGTGGCGGCAGAAATAACGGACGAAGGAATAACAGATGCCGACGAGACAGGAGAGCACTACACAGACGATGGCCAGTCTGGAATGATGGGAAAGTGAGGAGAGGTTCTGTGAAACCACTTACAGTAACCAAATCCTTATCTTTGCACAACATTCACTTCTTTCCGGATCCTCACTCGACGGGCAACATTTGTAAAAGAACAACATGGACTCCCGAGGACATCTGCAACAGTCTTTGAAACTTTTGAAAGTGATAGAACAGCTTACAGAACACTGGGACGGAACGGCTCTTCCGGCTTTTTGCAGTAACTGACCGACCCATTGGAACTGGTTTGAAGGCTGTTCAGAATGGCGGCGATGAGGGAGAGAATGAGGAGAAGAGTGAGGACACAGCACACGAGACGCATCGAAGAAGGGAGCACGCAGAGAGTGTCGGGCTCATCGAGTACGTACTGACCAGGTACCACTCGCTTCCCGGTTCGGAGGGACCGTAGCGAAGGGGGCCGCGACCAAACAACCACCGGAGAGTCGGGAGATTCGAGCATTTCTGAATAGGATGCGAGGTTGAGAACTCTCGGGTACAGAAAAGAGATCAAGTGTCACAAAAAAAGGGAGCCGACTGGACTGCCACGTCACGACGGGCTCTCTAGGGGTTTTGGACGCTAATAGAAAGCCAAAAGTCAGGAGAGGGAGAGAAGGCGAAAAAGTAGTACACGTTCAGAAAGCAACCCAATTCTTCAGGGGATTTGCGAGCAAAAGGGGCGAATGAATGGCGTTTTTGGTTGATGGGCAGATGAAAAACGTTTCGAAATTTTTGATGAGTCTTACGACGGACAAAAAGAATACGCAGAAGAGTCGAGGAAAAAGAAAATGGAGAAGTTGAAGAGGAGGGAAACGAGAAGAAGCCGAGAAGAGTCTGTGATTCTTGAGCCAGATGGCGGTGCTGCTTTTACGGCCGCCGAGAGCCGTCGCGTTTTATGGTTTTTGGGTTGAAAAGCGACTTTATTCTGGGAGAGAAACAGACAAAAACAGAGGAGAAAGTATCTAATCAGCCGGAGAGAATTCGTTCGGAAGCGGGGCGGTGGTCGATGTATCGTTCAACTGAAAACAAGTGGAAATGAGGAACGAACTGGGGCAATGTTGAGAACGTTAGGAAAACAGTGAGGATCGAGGTCACTCTGGAAAAGAACCATGCTCTGGAATTCAAAATCTCTCTTCATGCTCATCCTTCATACACAACTGAATGATTCGATCAGTTTTACCTGTATAAACTGTACCTAAAAAAGATTAGAAAGAACTGGAAAGTAAATACTTAATAATTTACACGTTGACTTGTTCAGAATTCTCCAGCTTCAACTGCCGATTACAGTATTCTCTTCCGTTTTGGAAAGTGTTCCGACCGCACCAAGAGGATTACTGTCGACTGAGCAAGCATTTGAAACGCCGCGCAGGCACTTTATTTTCGACTTGATTGAATATTTGACTCCTAAATTAAAATAATCAATTTCAGATCGGGTTATCATTCTCAAATCAACTTCAGAAAATGTCCAAACGCTGGCAAAATCGGTAGAAAAAATCAATTCTGAAAACCTTTTACAATTCTTGTTTTCCTTTTTTCAGTCGTCAAAAGTTCACGGCCGCTTACTTTGAATTAGCTGAATCTATGGAAGTGGAGCCGGAATCACCGAAGAAATTAAGAAATGAAAAGGAAAAAGAAGTGAAAGAGGTGAGAATCCTTAGAAGTGTGCTGCGACAATACGTTTTTTTTCAGGAGAATCGTCAGTTTCAAGGCAAATTCGACTGCGAAATGAACAGAAACAGTTTCAGTCGCTTCTACCGCACGAATTTTCCGGTGAAAGACGAAGATCTGGAGGAGCTTCAGGACATTCAGAGAGAACTGAAAAAGTACGAACACAAAGACGCCGTCGACTTCATGGCCATCTCGTGGAGTTGGATGAACAAAGAGGCTCCATCGGAATCGCTTCCCCGCCACAAGAAGTCTTTCCGAGACATTCCAACATACTCGACTGAACAAGGACACCGTGCATTGTACCGAGTGATTGCCGAGAAAGAAGATGCGTACATTCTGATGGCTTGCCACGTCAACGTTCACGGAGAGCATCGCGGAGATCTTCGATTCGTGGAGGTAAACGATTTTACTGTGGCCAGAGGATTCCATGAAAGCGTCATTGGAAACTTGTTCCTCGGAGATATTGTCTACGTGACCGAACTGGCGAAATCAAACAAACTGAATGTCCCGTTCAATCCACCGAATGTCTCAAGTGTCAATGCGGAAGAGGACTGCTTTTGGACGGTCCGTTCGATGACACTTCTCACGAGGAACCGTTCACAGAGCGTCCAGTTTGCTGTGATGGAGAACGGAAAAGCGGTAGCGAAAGGAGTCGGAGAAGCGCTGAGTGTGGATGTGCGAGGGAACTGTTCGGTGAAGGAGAACCAAGTGTACATCGGAGACATGTTCGTTCCTGTCAAAGTGTCGTGTAACTTCACTGCAAATCACAACCCGAGCATGAATGCGTTGCTGATCTCTGCTGCGTCGAACATTTCTCCATTCCCGCAATCCGCCGGAACCATTTACCAGTTTGTTCCTTCCGACAGACTTACCAGAATGTTCGAGATCGGAACGGATGCATTCAAGAAGCCGACGTCGGAAAGTGCAGATACCCTCGAGTTCTGTGCCCTCATCGGATACTCGGCTGCCAACACGGTCTTCAGTGCTCACGACGACAGTAGACCGTTTCCAATGATAAATCCTTCGCGAAACGGACTACTCGTCAAATTCTCAATTGCGAATCCGGAAAGTCAGCCGACTGAAGGATTCTGGCACAGCAACGGAAGGATTCGAATAAAAGGAGAGAAGAAATCGGTAAATGCGACCATCGAGACGATTCTTTGCGAGAACGGCCATCTCAAAATTGTGGCAAGACTGTCTAGAGATGCTCCAGACGACTTCAATTTTCAATCCGGAGTTCACACTGTGCAGCAGAGAGCTCCGATGGAGGGAACGTTGATTCAGGACGGTTTCTACAAGACAATTGATGCTGACACGAATGGGAAAAAAATCATTAACACGTTGTACGGAGGGCCGCCAATCAAATCTCAGTGCTCGATCTCCAAAAGGCAGTTCTTCTTTCCTAGTGTTCCTCCTATAAATTTGAACGAGTACCAGTGCGAATACGTGAGTCGAATGCTCATAGAATCGCCCATTCTGCTCGGAAATTCGCCGTTTGGATGCGGAAAATCGATGACGATTGTGACTGCTGCTCTCTATCTTTTCGAGGAAAACAAGCGAGATCCTGGGAAGAAGGGACCACAACTTCTGATTACCCAAAGCAATTACGCAAGCGTCAATCTTATTGACATCGCTCTGAAGACCCTAGAACGTGTCAGAGACGTCAAGTTCTTGAGATATGTGTCGGAGAATAACTGGAAGGAATTTCCTGATCAATGCCGCACTGAAATGGATATGCCGAAACTGATGAACGACGTATTCGTGGAGTGGGCCACTGAAACTGGTCCAACTTCCAAGTTTCCAAATCTTCAGAGAAGTGATATGGTCCAAATCGTCCAGTACGTTGTGCACGCTCTCGGAACTCCTTCTTCCCGTCTGAACTCCAAAGCGTTGAGCGTGCTCAGCGATGTCAGAAGAACCAAACGGGTCTTCCCGAGACAACTGATTGGCGTCTTCTTTGCCGTTTACCGTCCGGACATCATCGTTGTCACTGCGAACTCTCTGCGAGGTCTCTCTGCGCTCATTTCTCTCAGTACTGTCAGAACAGTTCAAATCGACGAGGCCAGCCAACTTCCGGAGTACACTTTGCTCGGTTTGCTCACTCTTCTGCCACGTGCCTGTTTCGGACTCATTGGAGATATCCAGCAGTTGCCGCCGTACTGCGAGGAGGAATTAACGGGAAAACTGAAGGATTACGGAGTGGGCAATGCGATGGAACGAGCCGTCAAACAGGAAATGTTTCCGCAAGTGGTGCTCCGATGCGTCTACAGATGTCATCCGGCCACGACTCAGTTGCTCGGCGAGCTGTTCTACAACAATGAGCTCGTTTCGGGAGTGACTGAGGACCAACGAAATGAGTTTGCGACAAACAGACCGCACTTCTGGCCGAATCGAAACTTCCCGATCATGGTTGTCGACAATAAAGCCAAAGGACAAGCAATGGGAACTTCTTTCGCAAATCCGACGGAGAGGATAATTGTACAGCAGATTGTCGAATTCATCACCGACACCGGCAGAAAGAATAAGGTTGTGAAGCCGTCGGATATCGGAGTCATCTCGTACTACAGTGCGCAGACATCCATGCTCACTGAAGTTCTCCGCGAGAAAGGAGTCAAGTGCGGAACAGTCGATTCGTTCCAAGGATCCGAGCGAGAGATCATCATTTTGTGCTGCACGAACGACGACATTCAAGAGTTTATGCAGCTGAAAAACCGTCTGAACGTTGCTTTGTCGAGATCGAAACAAGTGACGATTCTGATTGGAAACGTGGAAATGCTGAAGAAAGTCAAGTACTGGAGCGATGTCGTCGAGAGAGCTCAGCAGAACGGATGTGTTGTGGATACGGTAAGAAGAGGAGGGAAGTACGGGCTCGTATGACAATTATTTTAATTTCAGAGCAAACATCCTTTCAAAGTGGATCCATCGGGACACTCGAAGAAGACGTCGTACAGAAGCGAGAGCGTGAACAAGTTGGCGAATGAGTTCCAGAAAATGGTCACAGTGGTATGAGATGACACCCTTCGATTTGTAATTCATCAATGTTTTCAGAGCACGGCGAGCAAGAAGAAGAGTTGAGAAAAGAAAGGGTCGCCCATTGTTATTTGTTTCATTTTGTAATAAACTTGTTATTGTTGTAGACGTCTGTTGTGTCAGCGATCAATCGCATTCACATGTTTGTCATCCGGAAGATGCGACCAGAAAGCACAGTTCCAGACCGAATTCCAGAAGCTGATGTTCACAGATCTGCATGAGGTACTCTCTTAGTTGTCAAACCGAACATCAAAAACAACTGACTGTGATCATTTGGCGTTCACGTGAATTGATCGTTCATTGAGAGAGCCAGACGATGGAATCCTCCAAAAGGGAAGTACATAAACACGTCCATGCTGAGCACACACTCTCTGCCTTTCCTTCCCTTTCTTCTGACACAGATCTCGATGCTCTCTTTCGCCCATCTTCTCCCGGAAAAAGGCGTGCATCGGCTGTCTAAACAGACAAAACTGGGTGAGTCAGGCGGTGGGAGGGGTCAAAATTCAGCATCAAAACTGGTTGTTTCGCAGTATTTAAACGAGGAGGCAGACAGAATCAGGTATCCATTTTCCCAGAATGGCAAAGTATCTTTTTGTCCTTTTGGCAGTCTCCGCTGCCGTCGCCCAACAGGTAAGACTTGAAGAACTTTCTGAGACACCTCAACTGCAATGTTTTCAGAGCGGCAATAGCTTCGGCGGTCAGCAAGGGAGTTACAGCGGTCAGCAACAAGGAAGTTTTGGAGGAAGTCAGGGAGGATTCGGAGGACACGTGAGTGAATTCTGCAAGCGCTGAGGTTGTGTACCCAAAACACTTTTAGACTGGATCCCCACCGCCATTCGGATTCTCTGGATCCCCACAACAGGGAAACCAGCAGTATGGAAGCCAACAAGGATACCAAGGATCTTACGGAGGAGCTTCTCAGTCTTCGTACGGAAACCAGCAAGGAGGAGTGTTCAGTGGAAGCCAAAGTCAGGGAGGATTCGGAAACCAGGGAGTGACTAGCTCCTACGGATTCGGAAGCCAACAGGGATCGTTCGGAGGACAGGTCCAGCAGCAAGGATCTAACCGTGGAAAACGTCAGGCTCCAGGATCCCCACCAACCGGATCTCCACCAACTGGATCTCCCCCAACTAGACTCCCACCATTCGGAGGACCACAGGGAGGACCTGAAGGACGCCCGACCGGATCCCCACCGACTGGATCCCCACCGACTGGACTCCCACCACACGATGGACCACACGGAGGACAGCAGGGAGGACATGGACCGCAAGGATCTCCACCAACTGGAAGCCCGCCAACTGGATCTCCACCGACCGGGCTCCCACCAAGACAGAAGAGACAAGCCCGAGGATCCCCACCAACAGGATCGCCGCCAACGGGATCGCCACCAACTGGAGTTCCACCATTCGGAGGACGTCACGGAGGACGTCATGGAGGACCACATGGATCCCCACCAACTGGAAGCCCACCAACTGGATCTCCACCGACCGGACTCCCACCAAGAGAGAAGAGACAAGCCCGACGATCCCCACCAACGGGATCGCCGCCAACGGGATCGCCGCCAACCGGAGTTCCACCATTCGGAGGACGTCATGGAGGACCACATGGATCCCCACCAACTGGAAGCCCACCAACTGGATCCCCGCCAACTGGCCGACCACAGAGAGACAAGAGACAAGCCCCAGGATCCCCACCAACCGGATCTCCACCGACTGGATCGCCCCCAACTGGAATCCCACCATTCGGAGGACCACAGGGAGGACCTGAAGGCCGCCCGACCGGATCCCCACCGACTGGATCCCCACCGACTGGAGCCCCACCAAAGGGATTCTTCGAACGTCTTTTCAGCTAAACTCTTTTTTCTTTGCATGATGATAATGTGCTTTTCTTCATTCTCACAATGTCCATCACAACCTTAATAAACGCTTTCCGCGCAAACAAAGCTGCTCACTTCATGCCCGTTGTGAAAGATTGAATTGTTGCGGCACTTGAACTGAATACTGTCGGTGTCCAGAAGAATGCATCCCTTTCTCTTCACAACAATCACCTGAAAGAAATAAAAGAATGCCATCAGAAAGTGGATCGTGCCATGTATTCGCAGTTTGCACTGTATATTCCACTCCTCCCGTAGAGTCTCGGCTGAATGGACGCTTCCGCAATCGGCACCGAGTTGCCCAGTCCGTTCAGTTGGGGGCACTTCGAAGCACGATCCATGGCTAGCCAGACGTTTTTGGAGCAGCCTCAAACACATTAGTTTGATCGGTTAATCTGTCGGCACTCATGCGAACAACCAAAGTTTGTCGGTCAAACAGACAGAAGACTAACTGGATCATTTGGATGTGTGAATGGTAATAGTAGTTAACGTGCGGTAGAGAGGACAAGTTTTGTTGATGTTGTGATAAGTTCAAGTACATTTTTGAAAAAAAAAGGCATGACATTTTTGAGCGAGATTACCGTGATTGTTTGCCTTTGCCGATGACACGCTATTCAAGAAGTCGGAAGAACCTGAAATGGAATCAAATGTCGCCATTGCCACGTGTCAGAAGAAGTGGCTCACGTTTGCACCGTCGCACCCACTGCTGCTCGCCCACAGCCATCAGAACAACCGAAATTAGGAAAAGTAGAGGCACCGAACGCATTTCAAATGATTCCAGGAATATATGTTTGACATAGTTGTTGGCTTCCGGAAAGAAATATAAACTTTTTATTATTTGCTTTTTGAGTTTCGTCGAATATCGTTTTACGACGCCTTCCGATAGAAAGAACAGCGAGAGAGAACCGGATGGAACGGCCGAATGTATGTTATCGCATAATCACTTCCCGCTGTCATTCACTCAATAATGATCCGCTTAGGCATCATTGTGTTCCTAATTATTCCCGTGGAAACTGCTTTTCGATACGGTAATTACTATCTAGTTCGATGTTTCTTCGATGATGTTCTCAGAGAATCGAACGCTGGCTTGTACGGCATCCAACGGCATCGATGAGTGTTTTCTGACCGCTCCAGACACAAAACTTCGGAATCTAGACCTGAATATCAAGTGCAAAAGAGAACCGACGGATGACGGAAAGAAACAGAGACTGGCGTGTCCCATACGGTGTCCGAGGGACTATGAGGTGCATGTCTGTGCCACTGATAATCGTCTTCCATTCGTCCGATCTGAACATGTTCAGGTCCTCAACAAGATTCCGTCTTCCAACCGAAGATGCACCAAATACTTCACTTATGGCAAGTATCCGGGAGTGCAAGAATGGTAAACAGCTGCGCACACTTGTCGTTTTGCAAGTTCCTAATGATGCCAAACATAGAAAAGCGTCAACTGGACGTTCTTTGCAGGCACATTTGGATGCTTGAACCGTGCATTTCCACCATCTCCACACACTGCAGATATCCAGAAGAAGTCGTTGACTTTGTCGTGTAAAATGCTCTTGAAGTTTGATAAACAGTTCGGAACTGCTCATCAAACAGAGAACGCGAACATTCCATTTTCAGATTGTTTATTGTCAAAGTCTAAAAGCGATCAGAATTGTTCATGGGAACGTGAATAGTTTGAGACCGGCATTTTTAATGTTGTAAAATACGGTTTCAAACAAAAGGGACCGGAAAAAATTGGATTAGAAATATTGGAAAAGAAATCACAATAGGAGGTAATAGTAGTTGAAAGCTTTTCCTCGTAAATCGGCAGTCCTTACTGGCTTCCAATTCGAATTTGAATGCGTGTGTTCATTAAAATAAGACGCGAGAAACGGTCAGAACACCGCAACTATGGTCCATTTATTTAACGACACTGTACGGTGCCTCCCGTTGTTTTTCGTGCGAGCCGCCGCTTCTCGGCCTCCGAAGCGCGAAGAAATGCGAGTGGGAATCCACTTGTTGGCAAGTACTCGGACATTGTACGGTCCTTTCGATCACAAGAGCAAACATCTGAGAAACAACACGACTATTCTGGCTGTCCCACTTCCTCGCTCACTTTCTCTTCTACTTCTTCTTCTACTTTCTCTCTACCACCCACTGCGATTACTTACTCCAGACTGAGATCCTGCCCGAACAGCTGCTCGTCTGTTTCTCTGATCCTCACGACAATAGCACATAAACAATCGGCGGACCCATTTCACTCCTCTCTCCGTCACTCATCCTTCCGTTCTCTTTTCTAGAAGACGCAAGGATTTCGTGTTAATAATTGTCCGGTTATTAGAAGAAGAAGAAGAAGAAGAAGAAGAGGACGGGCGACGACAGTCATCGTCAACCTGCGCGGTTCTGCGCCACTGCACTTCCCATCGTCTTCTCCGATTCCAAATTCACAGCTTTTCATTTTGCAAACTCTTCTCGTCTTTTTTGATTTCTTTCCCATCTTCTGTGCTTTCTTTCCCACACAGTTTTTGATTCTTGACATTCCACCGATAACAGTTTCAGCGGTCTTCCTGTCTCACACTGTGCACCTCTCTTTCTCTGATCAATAATACACGTCTGTCCAGTCGTATTGTGCATTTTTTATTATCAGAACGCCTCCTGCTGGCGGGAAATACACGGAAAAAACAATATTCTCGTCCGCTTCAAAATGTTATCCTTTCTGTTCTGATTTTATTTTATGGGAATCGCTTCCAAAGTTATTGTTCTTGTACGAAAACGAAAAAGAAAAAGAGCGAAAAAGGAAGCATATTTCTTTCCGTTTTTATCATCCTTCCGATCGTCCTTTCCGTAATATCATTCCGATCGATTTCCGCACTTTCCAATGATAACAACGTATTCCCAGAATAGTCGTCGTCTGAAATGTATGTGGAATGGGCACGTTCATTCTGTTGTCCTCCTCCCAGATGGTCCGCCGCCACGCGCTTTCGAATCCAACCAAAATATTCATGAAGTGCCGTTGACTCCTTTCCCAGACACCCCTTCCACCCCCATCTTCGATCGTCCCCAATTCACACGTTTCGGCGCTCTGCGTCTCCTCGTCTCGCACACTCTTTCGTTTACTTTTGGAGCAAAGAGTTGTGCGCCACTTGAGACCCTTCTGTTGGCGAGAAAAACGGCATGCGAATCATCATGCTTACTGGTAGACTTGGGCTCCAATTCTAGATCTTTCTGTGTGGGTAGCGTTCACAGAACTTCTCAATATCGAAAACAGATGCCTCATTCTCGGTGCTCACTCTTTCATTCACATGGCCTCTATTCAGAACCCATTTCAAAAGTCTTTCGCTCCCTCCTTTTCTTCTCGTCTCCACTCACTTTTTGCTCGTTTATCCATATGATCAGTGCCGTCTGAACCTCTCACTCCGATTGTTTTCTTCGCTTTTCTTCTAGTCGACACCTCGGTTTCTCTGCTTTTCTTCCTCTCGCACACTGTCTGCGTCCAGTCGCGAATCCCAATGAGTAGCATAGAATTATCGGTTAATCTGCATCGCTCCACCACCCGTTACATACATTTTCGTCGTCATCAACACAACCGATCGCACGTCGAAAATGTACATTTGTTGAGGCAGAGAATGTACACAAGTTACCGCATTCTCAATGTTTGCTTGACTCGTCGTAATCCGAGCGTTTCCAACCTTCAATTCTACTCATTTCAGACAAATGCTCCATTTTTTCATTCTTCTGCTAATGACGGTGAGTGCCACGTGGTCGGATTACTGCGGAGAGCACAAAGTGCCATTCGGAATGGAAGTGCACAAGAACGGAGTGGTTAACATTCTCTGCTCACGGCCCAATTGCCACGAGAAGAAATATGCGGTGAGTACGAATCGAATATAGAATAGCAGCAATCGTTTCGAGTCTTCAGGAATGCCCTGAACGTGCCACTTCTTCATCCTGCTCCACAAACTCTTCGTGGGTGGGCGGAGTCTCTCAGCGTTCCGACGGAGTCTTGCAGCTCATGTGCTGTGAGTACGATCTCCTGCCAACATATTCCACCATCCAGTATCAAAACGTAAGCTTTTCTGCCGATTTCATATCGCAAATGCTTTCCTCTTTCAGCTGACCATCAAGCCGGGAGAGTACTTTGAAGGAGACGAACAAATGGACGGAGACGCGGTGATAGCCTTCGATCTCATCGGAGACATTCGGCAGATTAAGCAGCCTAACGGGTGAGATTCTGAACGCGTCCAAAGTTTGTCTGAACTGAATACTTGCAGAAACTATTCGTACAACCTGCTCGTCTACCGTTACCACTGCGGTAACATTCCAGACACCCCGCCAGCCTGGTACAGGCAAAATCAGTGGCCGTATTGGAAGTGAAACTACCGTGACTTTTCTATTGTTAAATCTCTAGTCCTATTTCTGTATTCATAATCTAATTTATTGTTCAGCGGGTATTGCCGGGTTCATATTTTGTATTTTGTTGCCTTTTCTAGTCGGTCATAAAACTTTGAATTTTTTATGGACCACAGTCTCGTGTGTCCCAAAGTCAATCGCAAATATGACGGTATCAAGTGCGTCATAATTGGAACGAACTCATGGGGAACCTGCAGAAAAAGTAAAAGAAGGAACATCCTGATAATTTTATTTCGTTGTCTGTCGGATGCCACGTGCTTTTCACTTTTCAGGCCTGAACGGGTACATATAGGAGCGGAATTCAGGTGCATTTCGACTCCGAAAACCGCATATTCTCAACGATATGAAAGATTTCGATTACCAAAATGTTGCTGGCTCACTTTTGAAGAAGAACTAGGACAACGTTTTTATTTTGCTGTTTCAGAATTGTAGAGCTAGTTTCACACTCATGATTTTGCATGTCTAATAAAATGCGGTGTACACTGACGTCTGCACATAAATTTCACGCCAGGTCTTTGCTGACGCGTTTTTCGAATGAGGCAAAAATGCGCGCGAGAGTTTGTTCAAACAAAGTCGTGAGTGGTGACACATTTCCAACGAATACTCTCCATTTTTGAGGCTACCCCGAATCAGAACTGTCCCCGATCAGAACCGGTCAAAACAAGACTTCGTGTAACAAGAACCATCTGCCGATCGGTTCTGATTCGGCACAGTTCTGATACGGGGTAGCCTCTCATTCTTGTGGCTCCCCTGTATAATTCATATTATTTTTTGTTCCCCACCACTTCCATTATATTTCAGGCACCGCTACGATGTTTGAGGCCAAGCTCGCCAACGCCGGACTTCTCAAGAAGATCGTCGAATCCATCAAGGTAGAAATACAACTTTTCTTCATTACTACGTTCCTTCTCTACAGGATCTCGTGACGGATGCCCCCTTCGACTGCTCCGAGACGGCCATGAGCCTGCAGGCAATGGATTCCTCCCATGTCGCCCTCGTTTCGCTGAAATTGGAGGTAGACGCTCTTTTCAAGATGTGTTTCTGTATTCCAAACTCTTTCCAGGTTGGCCTCTTCGACACGTACCGATGCGACCGTACCATCAATCTCGGACTTTCCCTGGCCAACATGTCGAAGGCTTTGAAATGCGCCAACAACGATGACACTTGCATGTTGAAGGTACCGAGCAAAGCTATAAACAACCAAAATAAGTGTTCAACTTTCAGTACGAAGAGAACGATGGAGACTCGATTGTTTTTACGTTCGCAGATCCGAAGCGCGATAAGACTCAGGATGTGACTGTCAAAATGATGGATATTGACAGCGAGCACCTTGGAATTCCAGATCAGGACTACGCCGTCGTCTGTGAGATGCCAGCTGGAGAGTTTCAGAAGACTTGCAAGGATCTGTCCACGTTCAGTGATTCGATCAATATCACCGCCACCAAGGCAGGAATCGTGTTCACCGGGAAGGGAGACATCGGAACTTCCGTCGTCACTTACTCGCCGTCCTCCAACAGTGACGATGAGAGCGACACCGTCTCCCTGCAGGTGAATGAGCCGGTCAACGTGAACTTCTCTATCAAGTACATGAACCAATTCACCAAAGCCACGGCACTCTCCGATCGCGTCCGTCTGTCGCTCTGCAACGAAGTTCCGGTCGTCGTCGAGTACCCGATTGAGGAAAATGGATATCTCCGATTCTACCTGGCTCCGAAGATTGATGACGAGGAGAACATGGACTAACGCGAATAATTCACATTTTCACTCCCGATCTCTACCTATTTAACCACTATGCCTTCTCTGTTTGTACCTTCACTTCTACTTGTTTTGTATTTTGACAATTGAACCAATTTCACTTCACTTACTTTGAACGCGTCGACGAAGTTTAGTTATCATCATTCTTATTTAATAAAAAGCTAGCGGAGTCTGTCCGTAACTTTCTCCGTTTTCTCCTTCTCCTTTCTCCGTTTATCCGGTCATTTTCTCATTTCTAAAATGAAACAATTGTGACGGAGAAATTGATAAATGAACACGTGAACCTCCGAACAGTTGTAAGAAAGAAACAAGCGGCATAGCCCCGCGCCCCGCGCTGCGGGCCCCGGTTTCAAAAGTCGATTACAAGAACGAATAAGTCAATATGACAACTCTTGACTTTTAAAGCTATTGACTTTGGAATGAAAACTGCAAAGTTTTCAGCAAAACCCCGATCAGCTGCTCATTTGTTCTCCTGAACTACACTAAAATGACTTGTGAAAAAAAGCGATGATGGAGTGATCGACCGCACCTTCTTCAACAAGCTAATCGTTATGATGACTGAGAACAATTGGAAATCGCAACACATCCGTTTTAAAGTGGACGCCTCCGAATCCAAAAATTTCAGAAAATTCGGAGCGGTCGATGAGGACTATTGGAGTTTGCCGCCCAAAGCTCGACACATCATGGCCTTTCTACAACAATAGAAAACCCTAGGATAGTCATGATAGTAATAGCAATACGGCTTGGCTGTTTTGAAAATACTTGATGGACTATAGAACATTAGGGGAGAGAGAGAGAGAGAGAGAGTAGGGCGGGATGGGGTGGTTGTGGGGAGAAGTTTTCCATCTTTGTTGACCACGATGCCTGAAAGAAGGTTTTTCCGGGGAAGCACGTTGAGTTTGATTAGAACTGACCCCGATCCTCCTATTTATCGCATTTTACGCTTGCGCTTCATTTTCCATGTTCGGAATCATAACTTTCTTTGTTCTCGTGCATCGTTCCGTGATCTTCCGTCTTCACTTCTTTAGAACATTGCTCTTTCCCAGTCTTTGGGAATACCTAGAACAACGTTTTTTCGGGGAAGCATTTGGAGTTCACTCAAACTGTCCCCGTTTTTGCTTCTCTCCTTCATTTCAACTAGTAGTTCCGTTTCTTTCGAGCTCCGATTTTTCTGTCGCTATCGGTCGTTTCTGCAACAAAGGTTTCACGGCGAGTATCTCAAGTTCCAGCCAATACGTTGCTGATCAACGATGCGATCGGATCGAATTAGATGGACGGCTCAACGGAGGCTTGCCCACAAAATTCGCAGGTGCGTAAATCTATTGACTTCCAATAAAACGTATCGAAAAATATGATTTCCAATAAAGTGTCGACAAAGCATTACCATCACAGCTTACCTGTTTTGGTGAAAGATTTCAAATCATAAACTGGCTCATTTTCAGGTTCTCCTGCTCATCCCAAGAAAAGTTGAAGAAGAAGAAGCGGAAAAAGGAAGATTCAGTCGACACTCGTTATTCGAGGATTGCTCGAGGATTGCTCTGACGGAAGCGGCGAGGAAATATGTTAGAAGTGTGTCAAATGAGGAGACGTACGTTCCTTTTACATTTAGCCCCTTCATATTTAGCTTCAATTTCAGAACTGTGCCGACAGTTCCGACGAGACGGACTGCATGGCAACGAGATTCGAGCCGCCTGTGCGACGGAGTCTACGATTCTGGATGAGTCGGATGAGAAAAGCTGCCAAGCGTGCTGGTAAATCACTGAAATTGTTTCACTTTTCTAATTCTTTCCTTATCAAAATACCAACTCAAAGAATGTGCGACCGTTCGAAGCGATGTTCGAATCCTGCCGAGTGCTCTACGTAGTGGCTCTGTCCGAATTCCACGCACACGGGCAATGCGTACTTCTCACGTACTGAAAGTGATCGTGGTAGGAATCAATACTCACTTCGTTGGCTACTGTGAAAAAGGAAATAAACTGCTATGAACCGAATGAAACTTCTCCGTCTTTTTTTTGATTTCTAGAAATTCTTACCGTACTTCCGAGTGTCGTCACAAAAGTATTGCGGAGGACATTGCTACGAGAATCTCATTATTTCGAAGCAAAGGCCTACGCAAAACTCTTGCCACGTCATAATGAGCAATGGAAAGAATGGAAGAGAATGAAAGTGCGAAAAATGGCCGGGAGAGGTGTCTAATATGGGCGATTCGATAACAATGAACATATTAGAGAAAGGGGTTCGACGGGCGGGACACTGTCGAATCGTTTCGTCTGTTTGCCAACTATGTATTACAATGAATGCAATGCGAATCGCACACTTTGCAATTCTTAAATCGCCCCAGAATTGGTCTGTGGAAGGAGGAAAAGGAGGTTGAAGAACAAATAATATCCGAGAATATTTATGAAAGTGTTTGTGTCGACTTTTCCGTGTGTGTACCGACCAATTCTCGCCCTCCTTCTCCTTCTTCTTCATCAAAATCCTTTTACAGCTTGTTATTAAGACGGTTCGAATACACACAATTGGAACGAACGGTTCCTGTTTTATGATGGTTGATGTGTGAAAAGGAACGTTATAGTGCTCTCGTCTCTGGAGTCACGGATCGTTTCGGAATTAAACTTTGTTACACTGGATCTGTCAATCTATGATTTTACTTTACAAAGAACCGTTTACGGTAGAATAAAACAAATGGGAAGACACTTTCAAAATATTCAGAGAATCACTTTGATCACAGACGAAAAAAGCACAACTGCAAGACCACTCTGGATAGGTGTGACCAGCATATTAGAATTGCAGATTTCTAGAAATGTTGCTCTACCGAAATCCAACGTGAAAACTCGGCCACGGCCCCGATCCTGAATTGTAGAAAGCGGTAGAGCGAAACTGCCAGACTTTTGCAGCAGCGATTGCGAAGGTCCATCTTCAAGATCAGAACGATTCCGTCAGAAATAATCTGAAATCGAGAAATAAGGAAATTATGATATGAGAGTCTCCAATTTCAGAATGCGATGGATGTTTCCGCCGACATTCTCCGCCACTCATTGTTATCTACGAGACCACATTCTGTACTCTAGCCTGGGTCTCTTTATCTCTGCCGCCTCTCCGGCACGCACACTCTCTCGGTGGGCCGATTGATTGCTAGAGTGTAGCCTCTCGAGTTTTGTTTCCCGTCGACTTGTTTTGTCGATTTCAATGTAATTTGCAATCGATTGTTTCCAGAGTTCGGCGATGAAGTGTTCCATTTGTGATTCAAATGCCCTTTCTCTCCACTTCGGAGCACCCAGTTGCAAAGTCCTGCGTGAGATCTGAAACGGATTCAGATGACCCTCTTTCCAGGCATGTGCTGCTTTCTTCCGAAGGACGGTTGCATTAGAAATCACTTACGAATGCATAACTGGAAAACAGGACTGCGAGGTTAATTTTGGTAAGGAGTGAACGAAAACATTTTGAAGGTGGAATCAAATCATTTGAGAACGTCGGATGGCTTGCAAAAGGTGCCGATATCAGAAGTGCATTGAGAATAACATGCAGAGATATTGTGAGTGAAAAAGGAAAACGAAAGAAGGAGTGTTTTGATTGCAGTGGTTCAGTCGAAGCGAGGACGACAAGAGGCTGCGAACGAGGTGAGTTCAGACTAGAGTTGGTGCCGAGTCTAGCCAAAGAGAACCGCCCACTTCTCACGAATAGGAAGGGGAGAATCAACAGAAAACGTTCAATTTTCAAAAAGTTTTAATATGCCGAGTATCGTATTCTCCGAAGTTTTGGCTGCTTGGCTGGTATTTGCAATTATTCGAATCCAAACTTTACTCATGTATGTTCCAGGATTCGACGTCACCTCCGAGATCCTCAAGCCCCTTTTCATCTACCCCTTCCACAAGCACAGGCCCAATTCCTTCGATTTCCGACGAGGATGAAGTTCGGAAAATGGTTGAGCACTTTGTGAAAATGGATTCGAATCTGAACAAAAGCCGCCGGATGGCATTCACTGATTCGCGGCTGCTTGACATATTCTCCGGCCTTTGCAAAATGGTGCGCATTCCAAAGGGGTCCACGACACAATGCCAAGTTTACAGCCGTACGAGAAGCACCAACTGCAGCCGTTCGACTTCCGTTCATATCGTGGCTATCAGAAGCAGGAGTACGTAATGATGTTCAACTACGCGAACACTCTGCCCGGCTTCCACGATCTTTCGAATGCCAGCCAGAACTTTCTGTTCCGCATCGCTTGCGGAGTTGACTTTGTGATCAGCAGTTCCTATTACACTTGTACCATCGGAACGGACAGTAATCTTCTGATCAGTCAAGACGGGACATACATCCAAATGATGCCACTTCCACTGCTCGGAGACGAACCCGGCGCTGCTCTGATGTTCACGAAGAACGAAGAACTGGAGAAGTACAAGAATATCATAAAGCCACGTGTCAAGTCATGGGTCGAATTCCTTCCTCTCTACCACTCTCTCGGTCTCACTTTCGAGGAAAACGCCGTTTTCAAAGCACTTTGTTGCTGGCAGACTTCGCATTTTAACATTGAAGAATGTGACAAGGAGACGGTTCGGAAGAATAAATTGCTAATAACTCAATGTCTTCTGAAGATGTGCATTGAGAATTACGGAGAAGAGGAAGGTCCTGTCAGGGCTGGAAACATCACATTGTTCGCATCGTCAATCTGCGTAAGTTCTGGAGGAAAGCAAGACGATGAACTATCTAAATTCAGGCGGAAGTGATGGAACTCGTGAACAGTCTGATCATCATGTCCTTCTTCGAATTCATGACCGGCGACTCGCTCATCAATGAAATCCTCTCCACGAGCAGTCTTTTCTCCTGATTCTCAACTTTTCATAAAAGCTTCTTCCCCCCGTAAATTTCTTTCAAATTCGTTCGGATACCCTTCCAGCTCGTGCTCATTTCCTTTGTTTGTTGACCTGAAAGAGCCCTCTTCATGTACCCGGTGCACAACAAACTCTTCAAGTTGTTTATCCGTTTTCATTTCTGACCGACAACAACAATCGGATTATAAATCTTTCGAGAAGTAACCGAGCCAATTAGCTTCTTCAAACTTTTGTTTGTTTGTCCGTTTCCGTACTGATAGATTTTGGCGGACGAAAAACGATAAACAAAAGTTAGAAATGTACGAGATGATCAGAAAGTCAAAGTGAATTCTAAACCATAAAAACTGATGACGTTTCCGAGAATTACATCCGAAATCCACCGGAAATTGACTTTCGGCATCGAATATCTGCGATCAGAATCCTACAAACATTTGGTCAGAATCAGAATGATGACATGCGAACCAGAGAAAACGTTGTAAAAAAGTTTAAATTTCGTGAGAATATTCAAATTTCTTGGGTAAATTTTCAAAAAATACCGTAGTTTTATGGTATACGGTGACATTCGTTTCAGCTGTGCGCACCCCTTTTTTTTGCTGTAGAATTGCGATGAGCAGATTTCACAGATTTTTTTACTTTGGACACGGCATAAAAATAGATGTCGTTTGACACAGATTGATCTCGGGAGAGAGTCAGAGACTCAGACAGTTCAGCAATTCACCGCTCTCTCGCTCTTCCTGTGTTGACATGTCGAAAAAACGGGGAAAGGGGAGCGGTGTGAGAAGAGTTTCGCGAAACTCCCGCTTTCCCTCATCGATCGCCCTCACTTTTCTTCTCCTTTTTTTGCTCTCTCATCATCTTTTTTATGTTTTCTTCAGTTCGCTCTCTTCTTTTTCTTGCTCTTTTTTTTCTAAAGGCTTCCGAGCAAACATATAATCAACACGACTCAAGAACATTTTCCTTCTTTTCAGTCATAATTTGTCGTCTACATTCTACTTCTCCCCGCACATTTTCATCGGTTTCCAGAGGTGAGTTCAACTACGTTTTGAAGCTTTTTTTTCGGATCGGAAATGAGCAAAACGAAGCATTTTGATGAGGTCTCCTCCATAAGGATTCATTTCTGTCTGCAAAGTACGTCGTTTGTCCGGAAATTGCGTCTCAACTGAGCGAAACAAAAAACGGAATGAGATTATAGAGAGCATAAAAAGAGACGAGCTGAAATGGGGATTAGCAAACAGATTATGCCAATGATTACGTACGGAATAATCTTTTTTGACCTTGTGCTCCTGTCGGAAGTTCAACTGAAGGAAATCCTTCGGAAAGATTTTCAAACCAATACAATATCGTCCAGAAAGAAAGAAGTAGAGAATTCGCGAATATAAACGCTGCCAATCATTGCGCTCTAGCTGTTTTCCTTCCATTCTTCTTTTCCAATTGGGCTCATCCAACTGTCGTTGCTCACGGTCTAGACTTCCCTTTTTCCCGTTTATATCTTTCAATCTTCTCAAAAATTCATTTTTCCTTCATTCTCTGAATCCGCTCCTACCTTTTTGCAATGCTCCCCGGTTCCCTCTGCAATTCCTCCCTCCTATTCGTGTCGTTTTCGATCCGTTCCTCGCGGTCACCACGTGGATGCTATGGTGCCCACGCAACCCAGATTCATTTATTCCGATTGATTGCATTTGGAAGACAAAGAAGAGGAGGGCCGTGGGGTTATCAGAATGAGTCGCCAGATGGCTGCTACTCGCCGGAGCACACACTCATCGCGTGTCCTCCTTTCTCTGCACTCTCTCTGTGGCTCCCGAAGAGGGAGCAGGAGCCGCGGAGCCGGCAGGGAAAGAAGCTCTGGAGCTCGAAAAACACGCAGAAAAAAGAAACATAGCATAGTGCAGACATCGGCGCGCTCAAAAAGGTGATATAGCGGGGCGGAGAGGGCACAGAGATGGGAGCATGCTTGGCGGCGAGCCAACACCACGCCCACCTCTTGGCAAATCGCCCAAAAAGCAGCCAGAGCAGCAGCAACAGCAGCAAAACGAGAAGAAGAAGAAGCAAAAGTAGCGGCGTCCGCGAAAGGCATCAGCATCGGCGACGACGTCCTCAGACCCCGCCCCCTTCCTCATCGTCTTCTCGTGTCTCTGGCTCATTCATTTTCGAATATTAGGTTAGAAGAGCGACTGATTTCGGCTTGAGCCCACAAAGAGCAACGACGTCATCATGGCAGCTTCATGGCTTCAACATCAGGTTAATCAGGTTAGCGAATGGGTAAGAGGGGGAGCGATTCGGAGAAGATACGCTAGCGAGAGGTTCGGTGAACTTTGGTGATATCCTCTTATTAGGTAATAAACAAAATGTGAGCACGTGCGAAAGTGCAAAAAATCACAACATTTCAGGCCATAGAACGGGTATCACAATTGGTAGAAGAACATACAATCTGAAATAAAATAATAATCTTGAATCTGGAGAAGTTTCTCTGCCCATTTCCAATCAAACATTTCGCTCTTCTCTCAAACTCCTTCTGCTGCGCCGCCTGCAACTCTCTGAACTGTCGGTCCAGTACGCTATAACTTTCAGTTTTTCAGTCACCGCAAGCACGAAACACATTGGGTTTTCGCTAAAATTGTTTGTAAACACCTATCTCTTTGCCGTATGTTGGCAGCGCCCGACCAATTCATAAACGATTCGGTCTTTGCAAAGGGAGGCGCCAGGCGCTCTTGCAACTCTTCGGCCGACAGACCCATCGGTCCTCTGGGAACCGAAAAAACCAGCTGATATCTCTAGAACATTCCCGAAATCCTTTTTCCATTCTCTGCTTCTTCTTCTTCTTTGGCTCTTCTCCGTTTTCTTTCTTTCAGTTTCTTTAACCGTTCTCTAGATTCGTCTTGTCGATAAGACAGATTTTTATCTTATCAATGGCCCCTCTCAGAGATAAAAATAAGTTGACTCTGCAAGATTATCTGATTCTTTCTCCGACCACAAATTTACTCCTTCTCCGTCTTTCTTGCTCCTCCCAGCCACACCGCTTCACCTCTTTGACTGATCACAGACCGACGAACTATTCGAGAAGAAGTCGAGTTGGTTTCCAGAACTTTTGTTTCCGAAACAACAACGTTTTCCTTCTATTCTCAATAGCACTTTGTGGGAAAAAACGAGAGCCCAAATCGACCGATTCGTGGGAATTTTCTGTTTCGTTTGCCCGAAAAACAAAGTCGACGCTTGCAAAGAACAATTTTTATTGAGAAAGTGAATTCGGAAGATATACAGTCCCTTCGAGTTATTTGAAATGAAATTTCGACGGGGGAAAAGGTGACAAAATCGAGTGAGTTGGCCTTGAAGAACATCTGCGTTTCTGCCGAAACCGTGGGCCACCCGACCCTTTCTTGTTTTCTTTTTGCCTTCGGAGAGAAGTGCCTCCGCTGCCTTCTGAATCATTGCGTTTGCACTTTCCGCTCTGCAAACGGTGTCCTTTTTCCGCAGCAAAAAGTGCAAATCGTCTCTCTAATCCGCGCACTCTCTCCGCATTCTTTCGTGTTTTTGAGCAATCAGAGAGGGTCCGAGAGCCGGCCCAAAGAGAAGGGGCGTCTTCTTCTTGTTCCTCCTTTTCTTCTGGAAGGTCTTCGTCCTTCTCGTCGCTTCCCAACCATCGTTATCTATCGACCCACCCCGCGCACCGATCCATCATCGGTTTTCAGTGGTCGGCCTTGAATCCGAAACTGTCTTTTCTGCGGGCCGACGTCTTCTCTTCTTTTCCCCGAATGTTATCTTTTCTGTTCATTTCTTTCTTCTGCCACCGTATTCTTCTCCAATTTCAAAGAGGTTGTTTCGAATAAGATTTTATCACAGTTTTTGCCCCGGCATTCTTTCGCATCTAAATTCGAAATGATCTTTGCTATCTCCTTCTTCTCCTTCTCCTTCTTTTCGGCTCCCGTAGTTTGTGCACTACACCTGCATCTTATAGTCAGTCGCGGCGGCCTGAAAACCAAATTAAATAAAGTGAACATGTTTTCTTTCCAAACGTTATCTGGCTTACTCAATTTTTTCTTTCGCAATATCCCTCGTAAATCCAATTTTCTGTCATAATTTTCTATTCCAAAGCACAAAAAACCCAGTTCTCTCTCTGCTGACTTTCCGTGTTCTACTCTTGATAAATCAGCCATCTGAAATGGTGTCTGTTCCCGGTGCAGGTGGAATAACTTCGTCTCGGGCAGCTTTAGGCCCTTGTTATTCAAGCGGATGGTCGTTGGTCCGTTGATAGCAAGTCCATCAAGTGAATCTGATGAGTGCCACGTCACATGCCTTCGCAGATCCCTCCTCAATCACCTGAAATCAGAGAGTGCTCCGGCTGCTCAGCTGTTCAGTGAGCATGTCAGTTCATCTCCTCCTCCTGTTCTTCTTCTGCTTCTTCTTCCCCTTCCGCGATGACCTCAGATGTTTATTCGTCAGTCCGCTTCGTTTCTCATTTGCTGATTACATAAGCCATCCTTTTCTCAGGGAGATCAAAGAATCCTGCATATTAGAAGCCACCACAGAGAAGGGGAAAAAGAAGCGGGACGGAGTGCTCGCGGATGTTGTTTATCAGTTCTTCTTTTTTCACGTCTTGCAGCAGATTAATCTCAGCGCTCGCAAACACCCATTCTGAGTCAAAAAAGGAGGGGAAAAGGGGACGAGGAGCCGAAAGTTTCGGGCTTTAAGCGAATCTAATTAGATGGTGGAAACGAGAAAACCGAGGGGCAAACGATGAAATCTTCGAGGAAATCTAATTGAAATCAAATCCCACTGCCCTGAAACTTTATGAAAACCCTTCCTCCTCTTTGACTGTGTGGAAATGGCAGGAAAGAGTAATATTTGAGATTGCAGTGTGGATAGTACCAACGTGGCGCCCGCCCTCATCTTCTTTCTTTCTTTCGCAGGGCGCGAACTGTTTGCCGAGTGATTAGGAGAAAGAGACCGAGAGAATGGCTACTGTCTGCGATGATACGGGCCGAGAAGGAGGTCTCCCTTCGATTCTTTGTCTTCTTCTTTTCGGTATCGCTAATTATTAGCGCGAAGAAGACGACAATTTCAATCGGACAGACCGCGTCGCTTATCAGAAGAGAAGAGAAACTCGCACGCGCGGTTGCTTACAAACGCCCGTTTACCCGTACCCCAACCACACAAAAACCGCCTCTCTCTCCCTCTCTCTCTCGATTTTCTCGCCTTTTTGTTTTTGTTTAGTCATCGTCGCGAAACTTCCGATTCCCGAAGATGGTCTGTTTTCATTGATGATCTCTGAGACCGCTTGCCACGTGACCATCTTCACTCATTTACATGTTTATTATGACGTGGAAACAACTTTCTTATCTGTCCGATTCGTCATTTTCTCGAAGTTTCGGCCGAAAAGTTTTGATTTTAACGCTGATCTCATAATCAGCAAAAACGTTTTCGAGAGATTGCAGAAAAAGGGGAAAGGAAGTCGGGGGACTGATGAGAAAGGCGGAAAGAACGAGAGGGATCTCGACGGGGGCAGTTGCCGAATGAGTGCGTGGACGTTCGATGATCCGGCAGACGCGAGAGTTCTTTGCTTTGATCCCGCAGTTTGGACAATCCGTTCGCTTAATCGCATTGATCAGCCAAAGTCACTCTGCATGGCAGACAACATGGGAATCTTTGGACAGACCAGATTTCCATTTTAAAACGGTTCTCTTGAACACTCTAGTCTTGTCCATTTTCGGTAAATTTGTATCAACTTTCACGTGTTCTTCGTTTCAAAAATAAATGTGTGGGTGCATCAGATTAGCTAACTCGGTCTCTCCAGTTGAACTAAATTTACTATTTTTAGACTTGTCCCCCTACATAATTATCTAAATGGGCAGCTCCGCTACCTCACTGGCTTGATTATTTTTGCGAGTATTCTCGAACTTTTACAGTTTCAACCTCCTAGGCTCCGCCCCTTTTGGGACCCCGCCCCTCGGATCCACAGCTGACCATTCGAGAGAGAGAGAGACACGGATTCGATAGTCTTCGACTATCTATTTACTCTTGATCCCATGATTTGGTTTGTTCGTCGGTGACATCATAGTCTCTCTCGGTCCGTTCGTGGTCCGTCTCTTTCTTTTTCCATTGGCCCCCGGGTCTTTCTCTTTCTCTCTCTCTCGCGGGTTTGTGTTTCATCGCACACAGAGGCAGTGTCCCCTTCTTCTTCTTCTTCTTCTTCTTTATTTTTTCATCTCCTTCTCGTTTCTCGAGGGCAGTCAGTATTTCGGACGGGCGCGCGCCGGTATTTCCATCCCATCCCGCCGTCTCTTCCCGCCTATCTGCGTCCACTCCCGTCATCTCCGTCTCTTGCACGTCTACAGTGTCTGGCCGCCCGGCGGGGCCCGTGTCGACCTCTTGATATGTCACATTGTGTCTCGCCCTCTGTGAGCGGCCCGAGCGCCCCCGGCGCCTCCCCACCGACCTTTACCATCATTTACTCTCGATCCCCTTTGTCTGCTTCTTTAACTCTCTCTCTCTCTCTCTCTCTCTCTCTCTCTCTCTCTCTCTGATTGCCTTTCTCTGAAATCAATTGTCTCAGATTCCTGATCTTGATCTTCACCCCCCCCAACTTTCCAAACGATTACTGATTCGAACCGTGAATGATTCGAGGACTTAACTCGCCGGGTGGCATCGGATTGCCATCCAATCCGAGGCCGCAACAACAATTCTACGACGATGAGCCGTATCAGGCGAACGCGTCGCAATTCCGATTCAACAAGAATGTAAGGAGGGCTCCAGCTGAAACCCTCCCACAGAGACCGAAATGGTTTCTCTCCCTTTTCTCTCTCTCTCTTTTTGCAACCGAGGGGGCAACATTTCTATGTTGCGATGGCATTCAATAGTTTCAAAATGAACAAAATAACCAATTCGTGATAAGGCCGCAAGAATCGATTGATTGGCCTGTCATGCGCCAGTCCCCACTCAAAAATGTTGATTGTTTTCTATTGTTTGTAGTCTAATCTACTTGGATCTCTTGAACTGCCACGTTTCCACTACCTGAGAACTTTTCCTACACTAGTCTTGATCGGCGGTCTGAATTAATTCACAGCTTGCAGTCAAATCATTATTTTCTGCTTGATAATTGTTTCATAGAAAAAGAGCTAATAATGTCGCCAAATCGCATTAGATTCGAGATTACTGTAGTCGCTCCTAATCTTATTGATATTTTGAGCTTCACCTCATGCCGCTCGTAGCATTCTTATCACAAACAGTTTCGATGCCTTCACCTCCTTCTCCTGCTCTCCTACTCCAATTTTCAATTTCCACCTTTCACTTTCGAATCGAATCGAAATCGAAGCAGAGGGCAATCGGGGCGCCAATTGTTATCAACAGAGGGGCTCTCTTTCACTTCTCCGTCATCTGATAATTTATCAAGTAACTCGGGATCCTTGAGAGGTCCCGGCGGTCACGGAGCGGCAAAGAGAGCCTCACTGAGACAAATGAGTGAAGGGAAGCGAGAAGGAAGGGAGGAAGGAACAAGACACATCGCTCAGAACTTGGCGCCGCCGCTCTTCTGAACAAGAAGATGAACGAGGCGACGCCAGAACAGACATCACTTTTCCAACATTCTCTTCTTTCTTTGACCTCTTTTCTGAAACGAATGTCTGACTCAACTTGTTTTTTGAATGATAAGCAATCTAGGATGAGCTCATAGAATAATTTTTTACATTACTTTCAATGCGCAGTTTTTTTGTTCCAAAAAATAAAAAAACGAAAAGCTCGCAGCTGTTGCTAAAATGGTAGTAAACAATGGCGTTCCTGCCGCCAAAGTCTGCGCTCGATGAGCAATGGTTCTGGGCTTTGAGACACCAATGATCGAAAAAAGTTCCATAGTGAATGCATCTCCGCACAGGACAACATGTTTTGCTTATTTCAGATGGAACAACGTCGCGAGACGGGAAATCTGATCCCGATCGCGCAGAGATCGATGGGCTCCTCGACGCCGTTCGGCTCCGCGCCCGCACAATCCTACTTCGGGAGCAGCGGATCGCTGAGCAGTCCTCGGAAGATGCCGCAGTCCCACAACATGCTCTTCGGAGCAATTCAGCCGGTCAGTTTCTGCTCTTTTCATCTCCATTTCGATGTTGTCCCTTTTGTTTTTGTCTGTTTGTGCATATATCGTCGTCTTTTTCTACTTGTTTTCATGCCCTTCTCCCTATCTCTCACCCATCCATTTCCCCGTTCCGGCGCCACCCCACGAGTCGCTAAAAAATTAGTTGCGATCGGCACGTAGGCACCGTCGACTCTCTAGCCTTCGTCGTCACGTGGCGTTCGGTCTCTTCGTCTGCGCCTCGTGTTTTGACGCTCTCTCGAGCAAGACGCCATCGCCGTCGACGTGTTTTCGATGGTCGAAAGGGGAGAAAAGTGGACGACCAATGTCTGTTTTCCCGCCAAAGCACTATGAACTTTGGAATGACAATTAGGGACTTGAAATGAGACGAAGAGGGACTTTTGAGTGGATGAATAGATTATTGTAGGCGTTACTCTGATTTTTGATGTCGTGGATTCTGAGCACGCTTGAAGAGCACTTTTTTGCAAATTATCTCATTCCAGAAGTGTTCCACTTTTGAACAAGTATGTTGATGTCAGTAATCAAACACCAACAGTGATGATTTAGTCGATTATATTTTGAAAACAGTACTTTGTGAATTACGTCATTGTCGCACAATAACACCCTCCAGACAATTACACCCCCATTCTTCGTCTTTTTTTCGCTCCATCTAGTTCTCAGAGTCAAAGATCACCGCGTGGAATGCACTTTCCGTCTGGGGATACTGTAGTGCCACGCCGTTTATCTTCTTCCTGTTTCGGTAAGTTCTCTTCCCTTCCTGTCACCCTTTCTTCTGATTCATGATCGATGTCTTCTTCTTCTTCTTCCTCCCGCCACGTCACTTTCTCTTCCACATATCTCTTAGAAATCTTCCACCCCATTTTTGTCTTTTTTTTTCGAACGAATCGCGTTTCCGGACACCAGAATAGAGCGCATACAAAAAAAACGTTTGTTTTTGATGACGTGGTGCCCAATTCCTTCCCAGCAAAGTGCATAACTTTCAACCATAAAACCAAATCGGAACGAAAAGATAAGAGAGCGAAGAGACGCGAAGAGTCAGCTGATCCACACAAATGTCTGAAGGGAAAAACGAAGAAATAGAGAAGACAAAGTGTTTGTTTACCTGGCTGGGTGCCAAAAAACCGACTGTCGAGACACTCGACTCTCCGCATTTTCCCCATTATTTCGCTCCCGTTGGCACGGCGCCAGAACGACGCGATCCTGGCGAGAGATTGTGAGAAAACAGGAGAGTGCAGAGAAATGATGAACCACGCGGCGAAGGGGAGGCAAGGAGTTGAAAAGCGGACGAGAAACTGATCATTGGCGGTTTGAAAATGTTGTGAGGGAGGTTGTCATAGAGCAGACTAATCAAACGGAAAGTTGGGCACAAAGATAGAGGTAAACAAAATGAAACGTAAGGGGAAATCAGTAGTGGATTAGTCACCCGCGCAACTGGTAATGGAGGGCTCAGAAAGGGCACATGGCCTATGATGGATTAGTCACGTAAGAGAGCTCTTTGATTCTTTTCTCTTTCTCTCCATTCTGGAGATGAAGGTGCGCCAATTTGAGTCGTATTGAAATGCGCCGTTTCTCCGAAAATATTGTGTTGACACTTCCTGCGCGTGTGCCGTGTGCGTGTTTCTCAAGAAAGATTTCATGTTTCACAAGTTGAGTCCCTTTTGCGTGTGCTGGGCGAACATAAAACCTGAATAAATCACAGATCACTCACATCAGAAGAGTCCCTGTCAATGTATTGTGTCGCCGACTTTCGCTGTCCGATTCGCAACAAAGATCCCCATAAATCTCAGTTTAATGGAGCCATAAAACTCGTACTTTTCACTCTTTTTTCGGTTTCTCTCTCCCAAAAATTTTGGTCGAACTTCACTGCGATCTCTTCTCTCTTTCTATCTCTCCATCGCAGTTTATCATCAAGAAGCACACGTTTCCGTCCAAACAACACTTTTTGCGATGTGAAATCTTTCGAAATTTCGTCGTCTGAAATGTTTTCGTCTCCCTAACTTCCGGCAAGCATCATAATCAACAATAAGCAGTAAACAATGAAAACGATATTTGTGGTGTTTAAGGGAACTGCGATCTTCTTTGCAAGGGGCGCCATATCTCCGTGCTCCCCGCCGCCGCCCGTCTGTGTTTATTTTGGTCTTTGATTCAAATAAACACTCGGAGAGACAGCGGGTTTCTCGTCGAGACGCACACCAACTGGTGCATTGTACCACCGTCGTTTTTATTGACGCAGCCAGTGAAGCGCCCCGACCTCTTCCCCCCTAGAAATGTTGTTGTTTATCCGAAATAAGCAGGCTCCCCCTTCCTCCCGTTCCCTCCAACTATTCGTTTCCACTTTTTCATTCAAAACAACTATGTACCCATCCGACCTTCGGTGCCTTTCCTCGGTCCAAAAAGAGTCGTTCTTGATTTGTACTTGCCCGGCAGCGGCGACCAGTCATCGAGCCTCCGTCCTTTTAGTGCACAGAACACTGCTCTCCAGCACGCATTCTTTCAAAGCGTTTTTTTTTGGATCGTTGATCGGAGGAGAAATAAAAAGACAGACAGAGATCCAGATATGATCTTGTTTGTCACCCTCTTACAGGTTCCCATTACACACTCCGTTCATCGCTTCATCCCCTCATCTAAGCAATAATAAGAGGGCCGTACACAGGGACAGTGACTCTCTCTCTCTCTCTCTTCCTCTTTGCCTTCCTCTATTTGCATATCATAATGAGTTACCGCATCCCGTATAATGGGGTTCGGTTCTACTCTCTATTGTCTAATGTGTTTCGGCTGGAAATGGAGATGCAAATGGATTGCCCACCCCATTCTTTTCCCATTTCACATTGGTAATTCATAAGGCAAGAAGAAAGGGCGGCGGCGCGGAAACGAGCCTCCCATAAATTGTGAGCCCGTCCGTCTGTGGGGGCTCTTGACGGCTGGTCAGATCACTCGACAACGCATGCAATGTTGGCGATAATTGAAGCCGTTAGGCACATGCAACAAGGTTGTCTGTCTGTCTGTCCATTGTTGGCCCAATCATCCCCATCGATGCGTGCGCGCTTTGCGTAGTTTGTCAAAGTGCGATCGAACGAAATGTAATATACAGATCCTCCTCCCCCGTCCTTCTTCTCGTCTTCTCCGCTTTTGTTTGTGTGTTTGTTCATGTGTTTCCGGTAAGCTGACTCGATCTGTTGGTCATTTCCACGTCGATCCCCCCCGTTCCACGTCCCATGTGTAGGTATCAAGTTCGTATCTACAGTAACCCGCGGTCAGCTGTGTATCAGACGAAAAATAGACGAAACAGCGGTGTAATAAACGAAGAAATGTTTCCATAACTCTTTTTCGGAAGAAGAAGACACTCTCATTTTCCTCGCTTTCTCCGCTTTCGCTGCTTCCTCTTCTCCTTTGTTACATCCTTCCTCTTCTTTTTCTTCTCCTTCTCCTTCTTCTTCTTCTGAACCTGTTTCATTTCTATTCCAATGCCATTCGATCACGCAAAGGATCCTGCCACGGCTGGAAGACGTCGCCGACGATGCATCACTGTCTGCGTGTCCACGTCTTCTTGTTCTCCCGGTCTGCCCTTATTGTAAATTGTCTATCCGGCCGGCCCTGTGTCCGAATAGTATATGAGAGCGGCCCTGTGCTTTTTCGTTCCGTACAAACACATAATAAACATTGATTCTTCCGAGGCGCGAAATTGCCGACCGAAGTTTCCTCTCTCTCCAGTCTCGCTCCACATTTCGTTCTCTTTTCACTGCCAAATCGAATTGTTTGTGTGAAACTGAAACCGTTGACTCAGCCGCTCTTCTTTCAATAGTTCGCACTTCTCAAAACATTTCCAATCCATTAGCATTCGGCAAACTAACAAAAGCTTCATTTCTCTACCACCAAAGTTCGAACCGAAATGTAAAGTGTTTTGAAGGTCCAGTTCAAAACTAGCTCTTCGCAAGAAGATTGCATAGAGCAAACGAGCGAGAATCCAGTATATTATAACTGAGAATCGAGTATAAAATGTGCTCCGAAACTGGGTCTGGCAATGAGAAATTCGAGGAGAGCACACAGATTGCTCGAAGCGAGAACACACCGGACAAACAGGCCGTCCGTCCTTCGCAGTCTGCTGCTTATTAGGTCATCGTAGGTCTATCAAATAACAGGCAGAAGTCGGTGGTTAGCCACACTTGTTATCATTTTTCCGTCGTTTTATCAGTCGACTAGAGAACCCTTGAGTCTCGCTTCTTCTTCCACCTCACTCCCATTCCAACTCGCAAAACACTCGACTCGAAGAATAATCCAGAATTCCCTGTATTTGGTCTCTGAACTGCTCTCCGCTTGTCTCTCCAGCTTTTTCTTCTTCCCAGACACGTATTTTTCTTGTATGTGCGTGCCTCTGTCTTGCCTCATTCCTTCTTCTTCTTCTTCTTCTTCTTGCTTCGTCTATTCTCCCTCCTCCTCTCCCTTCTTCATCCATCTTCGTAATTACTGCCTGCCCGCCCCTCCACTTGGTCCTGTTTTCATCTTTCCGTCTTCGCGGCGGCTCTTCGTCACAAAATGAGCCTTAATCAGCCACCATGCACTGGGCATTTCCAGAATTATTCTCTTTCGCTGAAAGTTCCTCTATGCGTTGCCAATCGCCCCGCTCCGACCTTTTGCCTCGTTTCTCTCTCACTTTCCACTCTCCGTCCGGGCCCCGCTGTGTGCGTATGTCGCATTTTTCCTCCCCTCCGAGTGTGTTGCATCTTTGCCAGCAGTCTCCCAGTGGGGTCTCTTCTCGACTGCCACACTGATGTGTCCCGTTGTATTGATTTTCCAGCGGCAAAAATCATAATTTTTCAACTAAAAGGTCAAAAATCTTCTCGTAAAGTCGGAGACTTTTGTTTTCAGTTTTTAGGTCAACAACTACAGACGCTTTTGGCGCCGATGTAGGATGTTTTCTTCCATTTGGCCCATTTTATCACCTCCATTCAAGTACAGTTCCGTGTTCTGCTCGCAAACAAAACAATCACATTTCAAGTACAATGCCAGTTTCGCTCGGCAGTGATATCAAAACCCCTCAACTCTTTATTGTCTATTTCGTTCTTTAGTTTTCCCGTTTCTCTTCTCTCGTCTTATTTCCATCTCTTCAGCCTTCAACAAGACAAAAGTTCACAATTTCGTACCGTTCCAACTGATAGTGTCACTAGAAACCGAACATAATGGACGACGACGTGGAAGAGCTTTCTTCGCAGACGCTCGCTGCCCTGGTCGGCCGTCCGAGCTCTTCAGCTCACCGAATCCGTGCGACGCCTTCTCGTCGCAGACTCATGTCCGCTCCGACCAATCCGCGCTGGTCTCCCTCGGCAGACGAACGCCGCCTGTTTTCTTACGTGTCTTCACTGAGATCCGACAGCAACAGCAGCAGCAAGTCTCCGTCTCCGCCGTCTGCGAAGATGGTGAAGAGATCGGGTGGTCCGTACGGAATCAGAAAGGAAAAGGTGCAATGAGAAACCACATTCTTTCCGTCTGGAAATGCATGTTTCCCTTGTCCGTCTCTGTCCAATTTATGTTGAATTGAAATGTTTGTCTGCGGTTTTCAATGCGTTTTTCTTCCAGCCAAGAGGTTCTCCACCGAGTGACGGAAGTGACAAGATCCACCGATTCGGAGAGAGTCCCACTCCGAACAGCGTCGTCGGAAGTGTGTTCGGAGCAGAGGTTCGTCCTTTTTCTTTTTTTTCAAATTTGCATGTTTCGTTTTCAAAAACTCGACATTTCTTTTTGCCTCCCGCTCATTGGTTGCTTGTTTTTCGTTTTGAAATAGTTCATCTGATTTCAAAATATCAAAGAGAGAGTAATTGATAAAGAGTGCCTAGCACAAAAATAGATAACGTTAAGTCATCAATAGAGCGTTGTTGCACACACTTCCGAAAACGGTTCACCAAACTAACAAATCGCAATGAAACGAACGAAAATGCGGATCATTTCAGCTTGACGACCTTATTATTGATGAGCTAATGGGCATCGAAGAGGAACAACGCAGGACAGCACCCGGAGGCGTTACACGACCGGTTAGTACACAATCGAAGAACCACTAACGCTTGTCCTCCGACACTATTTAACTTTTTCTCGACAAAGAACGGAAAGTTGCGTTCACTTCTCCCGCTTTCTTTCAGATGACAATCGGCGGAGACAAGACCATGTCGATGGCCCGACCGATCCCCGGAGCCAGCAGTCGAGCCGGCTCGGGTCATTCCGGCAGTCCCATCACCATTCCTAACGCGATGTCCAACAGTTTTAGACAGGTGAGAATGGTCGTCTCGTCTATTAATAGACACCATTTTATCATAACTTTGGGTAAAAGGGAGAAATGCGGCAAATGGTGATGACCATGCGACGATACAGATTGAGAAAGAAAGAGAAAGAGATGTACCCGTCGTAACCGGTTTTTCCGTGATCAGATTGTATCATTCGCCCCCATCTCCCACTCTCTTACCCACTATGTCTCTCTTTTCCTTCAGGTTGTTTCAAGTTCGGCGCCGACAAGTTCGATCGACATTGAGAAGATGATTGGAGCGGTGTCGAACGGCGGAGGCAGCGGTGGAGGAAGCAACGGAGATCCGGAGGACTACTACCGTGACCGGAGGAAGAAGGACATCCATAATATGAGTGAGTTTATCTCAAGTCGGTTAGCCTCCTGAGCATAGTTTTCAGTCGAACGTAGAAGGAGATACAACATCAACGACAGAATTAAGGAACTTGGACAGATGCTTCCGAAAACCACTTCTGAGTGAGTTCCGATAATATTCGATGAAAACAAATAGTGTCCATTTTCAGAGACATGAAACTGAACAAAGGAACCATTCTGAAGGCGTCTTGCGACTACATCCGAGTACTCCAGAAGGACCGTGAACAAGCCCTGAAACAGCAACAACAAACCAAATCCCTTGAGAACACTGCACAGAAATACGCCGACCGAGTGAAAGAACTCGAGGAGATGCTCGCCCGACAGGGAGTGCAGGTCCCTCCGTCCCATCTCCCCCCGATTCCGAAGTGCATCGAAAGACCTATCAAGCAAGAAATCGAGGACTCCTCGCCGCCGAACCACACGCCCACCGGATCCTTCGTGGTATGATTCTGACCTTTCGTGTCTATTCTCAACCGTCCCTCGTTTCAGTCGACTTCCGGATTCTTGTCGGAGGTGACGAACAACACGGCGGCCATGCAGATCACCTCGCCGAACGACCGATCCAACAACTTCATGAACAATTCCGCTACGTCGGACAGCTTCTTCTCCGTTGGCTCGGCAAGTCCGCCAGATTACAGTGAGCCAACGTTTGCACGCGGCTTTCTGGAGCCAATTTGTGAATTCTAGGATCGAACAACTGGAAGTTGCAAGGCAACGCTTTCTCTGACTTGATGATGGATGACCTAAACGTAAGCTTCTACCGTCTGCTGTCCTTCCGTTTCCCGCATGTTATCGAGTGGCCGCGGTCACTCTTTCAGGAATGCAGTCTTCCTTATTTATTGTGGAGGTTGATATCAGTGTTTTGTGTTTCTATTTCTATTTCCAAATCTCAAGTTAACTTGAACTCAACCCGATAACCATCTGATTCACACATCGTTTCTCGCATCCTTGTCCCTGTCTGTCACTCAGTGCTTTCTGTTTTCAGCCGATGATCAATGACCCGATGATTTCTTCCGCCGGTGGACCGTCGCCCCACTTCAGCTCCCAAATGTCGCCGGATATCCATTGGGACGCCTCTGGCTTCTCGCCCGACCCAATCAACTCGCAACAGTCGAATTCGGGCCACTATCACATGGACTTCTCCTAAACGACTCGCCCCTTGCCGTTCTCTTGTGTTTTGTACATAAACGCTTTATGCTCGGTTGTCTTGAATATCCTTTTCACTGCTGGGCTCGTGTTCTCATCATCCCCCTCCCCCCCCCCCCTCATAATCATATTTTATCAATCCAATTGTGATCCCTCCTCCATCACCTCGTTTTTTGCCTCCTCTTTCTCTATTTTACTTGCAACAAATTCCAGTCGTCATCCAATTGTATAAAGCGTGCTCTGATAGCTCCCCTCCCCAATGTACATTTTCTCTTTCTTTTTTTTTCGTTCCTCTTCTCGTTTAGGCAACACCAATATTTTTGTTTTCCTTTCCTCCATTTGCTGACGGTTGAAAATTAGTCCAATCCAGGCGACTCAATGTATTTCGTAACTCTCTCGGTCCTCCCACCAAACCTATCTACCGTAATCCGATCTGCCCTCCCTTTTTTCTTCCCTCCCTTCTATCAGCGCGTAACAGAATGAATGTGTGTCGGCGGGTATCACCAACGCGAAAGTGCGAAAAAACAATATTTCTAGGTGGAACTGAACCCTCTAGGATCACCGATTCTCCTTCTTTCTAGGCCCCCTCTTCCACCCACTTCCACTTCACCTCAATTGCTCCCTCCTATTTCGATTCGATTCTTCCCCGTTCACTTTTTTCCTTTTCTCTGTTTTTTTTGGTTCCCCGATCTTCCCAGACACATAGGCGCTTATCAATTTCCCGTAACATCCCAAAGTGTGTCCCATCGAGATTCAGAATTCATTCCGTTCGATCCCCTTAGCGAACTCTGTTTTCGTGTCACACTTGCTGTAATTTATGTACATATGAAAAGACCAATTTTATACCCGAAAAGCGTTTTTCCTCATTGTTTTTCATTTTGTTAATGAAAATAATTTCTGAAGAGATTGTCGTTAAATTAATTGCATTCATTCATTTATTCAGGTTTATAACTGTTTGAGAAGAATAGGCTGAGGTACGGTATTTACACGAATTGAGAAGAGCAATTGGAAGGAGAACAAGGGGGGGGGGGGCGAAATAATTAAGGTTAGAACAATCTGGGAGAAGTTTTCTTCGTCGCAAGAAGAAGCAGAGAAAGACACTATTTGAAGGGGTGAGAATGCCGTGTCAGTGACCCGTAGATTACATATTCAGAACGAGATATACGACGTTGCTACTCATCGTTGTTGTTGTTCGACGGATGGTACATATGCTGCTGGGCCTGTCGCATCCTCTGCTCGTACTTGTGCTGTTCGATGGCTCTGCTCATCGCCCCGCCCATCGAGGTAACTGTAGAAGTGGTGGGACGACGTTCCGAACCTCCTCCGCCGCCGCCGCCCGCTCCTCCGATCACTTCGCGGGACTTTGTCTCGTACACATCGTCGTCTTCGTAATAGTATCCAAACGCTCGAGACGGTTCGCCTGAAAATAAAAATAATTTAGATTGGAGTTCGTCGTAAATGACTTACAAACTGGCGGTGACCCATACAAAATGTTATTGGTATTCGGAGACAAGTCGGCGAAAGTAGGAGACTTCTCGGCAGTGTCCTGCACTTGGTTGAATCGGAACGAAATCATAAAAACAATGATAACGATGATGATGAGAATGACGACGACTCCGCCGATGGCCATGGCAATGAGCGACATGCGCGTGGACTTCGACTGGAATCGCAGTTCGCATCTGTCACCGCTGAAGTGTTCTTTGCAAATGCACTCCACATTTCCGATGTTGTTCTTCTTGCATATTCCGTCGTTGAGGCAGAAGTCGTTGCAAGCGTCCGTACAGTGGGTTCCGTTGCCTCTGTAGCCCGGTTTGCACCTGCATTCATAGCTCGGCACGTCGTTCTCATCGGGCAAGTCAATACAATTTGCGTGCCACGAACAGTTGTACTCTCCTGTCGCACACTGATTTGTCGAGTAGCATTGAGACTCTGCAGTGGCTCCCTGAGCAGCAGTTGTGTGATCGGGAGGACATAGTTTGCAAGTGCTCTCTTGCTCTTCGTTTTGGAAAGTTCCACGTGGACAGAACTGGCAGTTCTTTCTGGAATGTTTCAATTGTATGATCGCCTGAAAGTCTTCGGGAACTCACGTCTCTTTGACCAAGAACTGTCCGGCCTTGCACTTCGGTGTATTACACTGCTCGCGCCTGGTGGAGAGAACCGACTCGGTGGTGGTACCCGGCGGACACGCGACGCACTTTTTGTTTTCGCCTCGGGACCGATAAGTACCCACTTGGCACGGCTGACACACTCCGGACCCCGACAATTGCTCGCCGTCTGCAAAATGAACTTTCGGCTCTCCGATTTGGAGAATGAAGAAAGGGGTTTTGGGAGTGTTCTTGTACGGAAAACATGTTTGCTCAAAATTCAATGCAGGACCATCGGAAGATGTGCTCACCTGGACACTCATCCCTGCACTCATCCTCGCTTGTTGCCGATTCGGACAGAGTTGTTTTGCCTATTCCACATGGAATACATTCGAAAGATCCAGAAGACGGCTGATAGTATCCGTAGCCACATGCAACGCATCCAGAAGTCAGCGGGTCGTACTGGTGTCCGGGAGGACAGTTATCCTTGCACTCTCCTTCGGAAATGGCTCCTTCGCTTGCAGTTATTTGTCCAGTTGCACACTTGAAACACTCGGTACGGGCGGTCAACGGCTGATATTCTCCGGTCGGGCACATTTCGCATTCACCAGTGGCTGCTGAGTGATACGTTCCCGGAGCACATGGCACTGAAACAAATGAGATGTAGAGTAAGTTAAAGATTCAGAAATTACCGCAAAGATCTCTGACGACTACCTGCCCTGCTTGGCAGTTGTACTGCTCCACAATCTTCAGTGAACCAACATCAGGTCTTCCGTTTGGAAGAACTTTTTCAAAGTTGAGAACTCCGGAAAGAATCTCATTGTGCAGGGCATCTCGGATTGACGTCTCCAGTCCTGACGACGGATCAGTCAGAAGTCTTCGTTTCACCGGAATTTCGATTTCAACGCCAAACGCTGACGCAAGAATAGATTCGCGGCGACGACGTCCGTCTGACGGCCTCTTGTTGCCGCATTCCACACGAACTTGTGTGCCGACGCATCCGTTTTGGTCTCTGAAATCATTCTTATTAATATAACTCTTCACGGATTTGTCCCTCAGTTTGTTTGTTTCTTTGTTTACTTCTCTGTTTGTCCGTCCCCACGTTCCTTTCTAAAACGAAAGTAGTTGTGACGGAGAAATTGAGAAATGAACACGTGAACATCCTAACGGTTATAAGAAAGGAACAAGCGGCGTAGCCGCTTGCGAGCGTTAGCTCGGCCCGCGCAGTGGGCCCCGGTTTCAAAAGTTTTGTTGAAATTACTGCTTGAACTTCCGAAAAGAACAACTTACGTCAGACTGCATATTTTCCACTTGGTGTCAATGGCATTGATTGTCTGCTGGACCTTCTGAGTGAATGCTTCCTTCGAAGATTCCGTACAGGCTGGAGAAGCACCGTACACTATGCGGATTATCACAACCTTTGTAGCAGGAACGTGTCTGAAATGAACATTTATTCGATTGCTGGTCAGGTGAAGACTCACTTTGTGCACTGCGGATATCTGAACATAGTGCTCGGATTCTTGTTCGGCTTCCAGTGCCCGTCAGCTGCACACGTGTAGAACACCGCTGGCTGACGAGGGAACTCGAATCCATCGCGGCATTCAATCGAGCACGCTTTGTACTTCAACTGAGGTCCCCAGCTCTCGCAGGATTGCACTCCGTTTACCGGGTCGGATGCGTCTACACAGTTCTCTTTTCCGACTCGAATCTTGAAGTTGCACTGTGCTTGATTGGTGGCGTTGTCGGTGGCGATGTACAGAACATCGTACTCTCCCCACGTGAACATCTGCCCTTGCTTCAAGTTCTTCTCCACTTTTTCGATGTCATTAATTCCCACAAACGCTGGCTCCTGCCACGTAACATTCGTTTCTCTGTCCATCGAAGAGATGACCATGTCAGATGGACAGTCCTCGACGAGAATGGGCTTGGAGGCATGCAGCTGGGACATTGCCTTCTCTTCCGTTCCACACGTCGACTTGTGAGTTCTCTCCACTCTGCCAACAATCTTCGAGTACCCTTCGAATCTCACCAGCAGTCCCTTGTAGATCTCTTCTGATCTCTGACAGTGCTGAACCATCAGAGGGAGTTCTTCTTCAAAGTCAATGACGCGATTCCAGACTCCGACTCTTGCGATGGATCCTACGAACGACGGAAGGGCAGACGATCCGAGAGTGATTCCCGTGCTCACATCCAGTTGTCTTCCGACTGCGTATCCTGTGCTTGAATAAGTTTTCAACGAATTCCAGATAATCGAATAAGATCCAGTATTTGACTGCCAAGTGATCATAAAATGATTCCATCTTCCGTTATTCAAATGCTGAGATAGTGGAATTTCTATCGCAGGAAGGTAATCGAACAATGATATCTTGACCAGATTGGAGCTGATCTTTACGAGTTCCTTGCTCGAATTTCCAAATTCGTGCAAAGAGAAGAATGCGGCATTCTGATGAGGTTTCTCGAACTTAACCCACAATCCAACTGACAGTGCGGATGATTCGACGCGGAAAGGAGCGTAGAGAGAAGCGGACGTCGGCCGGAACGGGTCGAGGAACTGGAGATCGTAGTTCGTATTGATCATCTTGTCGCAGTGAACTCCAGTCAAATTGAATGGACACACGCAAATGTGCTCGTTGATCTGATCCACACAAGTGGCTCCGGATGGGCAGTGAGCACTCGAGCACTCGTCAACGTTCGTCTCGCAAGAATCACCAGTGAATCCGGACACGCATTCGCACTTTTTAGCAGACGGAGAAGTAGGCGATTCGGTACACTTTCCTCCGTTCTTGCACGAAGATTCAGTGCATCCACTGTTCCTGAACTCGCATCCCTTACCAGTGAACTGAAGTGGGCAGGAGCACTCGAGATGGGATCCGAAGTCTCCGCAGACGCCTCCGTTGTGGCATGGCTCTCCGATGCACCGATTAGGAGCCGTTTCGCAGTTCTTTCCGGACACTCCAGGAGGGCAGACACAGAAGTAATCACCCACGAGACTAACACAGAAGCCGTTATTGCGACAAGGTTTCGCCGCACAACTTCCGTTGTCTTGCTCACATTTCGGACCAGTCCATCCTTGCTTGCAGACGCATTTGAATGCACCGCCCATGTCGACGCACTGAGCGTCGTTTAGGCATGGAGAATCTGCACACTGATCAAGTTTCGTATCACAGAGAGCGCCTGTGTATCCTGGTTTACAGACACATTTGAAATCGTTGATCACGTCCTGGCAGGATTCAGTTCCGTTCTTGTCGCATTGATTGTTAGAGCACTCGTCCACATTCATTTCACAGTGAACTCCGTCGAATCCAAGAGCACAGTCGCAATGGTACGTGGATCCCATGTTGGTGCACGTGGCATTGTTGTGACACGGCTGTTTGGAGCAGTGATCGACGAGATGTTGGCAGTGCACTCCTTCGTATCCCTCGGAGCATTCGCATTTGTATCCGTTGATTTCATCGATACACTTGGCGTCGTTGTGGCATGGAGAATCAGCACACTCGTCAATGTTCTGATCGCAGTTCGATCCGCTCCATCCAGGCTCGCACAGACATTGACGGGCAAAGAGTTTGTCGATGCAGAGACCATTAACGCACGGCGAATCGGAGCAGAGATCGTCTGAAAACATAGCTATGACATTGTTTTGGTCGTGGCGGAATGGTTATTTTATGAGAATTGGCTGGGGTAAACAGTACTCACCCTTGATATGGCATCTTTTTCCACTGAATCCGGTGGGGCAGTCGCATTTGTAATCGTTGATAAGATCGACGCAAGTGGCGTTGAGGACGCACGGTGAGTCAGCACAATCATCTGAAAACAATGATTTCGGAGGCATTCAAGAGGGCATTGTACTCTGCCCGAATAGGTTCGTACAGCGCACACCGGTGTGAGACAGCTGCTCGTCTGTTTTTGCTCTTTTCAATTTCTCTACGCCTCATCTTCCACACACACACACACACACACACACCCAAACTATTTCCGACTGATTACATTTCGAAATATAGTGTTCCTAGATTCAACACAAGTTGACATCTTGACAAAAGCATAACTTTTGCCGCAAATCTGCTCACTCTTAACTTCCAACCCAACTTTTGCTGTCCTCTTTTTTATAACGAACTTGTGCAAGAACAGCACTTTCAGATCTTTCAAGTACTAACGAATGATTTGTTTTTCTGTTTCTTCACTTTTCCGATTCATTGACCTGAGGTGGTCGGGAAATGAGGGAACTTGGAGAGAAATAGAGAGACAGATGTCCCTCACTTCGCTTTCTCTCACTTTTTTCGATCGATCTTTTTGTTGTTCAAGTTCAAAAAATTGATGTTTGAAACCAGTCAGTCAAACCAGTCAACTTTGAAACACTTCAGAACCCATAGGCTTTGAAGCTAAACTTCCACCTTAACATTCCTTTCGCTGTCATTCTCAGATCCATTACGATTCCCAATCCATCTGAATGTGCTCTTTTAGAAGAAAAGTCCTCTGTCATCGGCAGAGGCTATCCGACCCGGAGCTGGCGACGAGCACTACTCCAAATTACGCGCCCTCGTCGTCTTCGGGGCAGAGGGGCGGAGACGCGCGACGAAGAGACGACGACTTGCCGAAAGAAGTAGAAGGAGCAAGAGGAGGCTCACTCCTATCGATTCTACGCGCATTGCTAGTCAAAATGTTTTTCTGTTGCTGCTGGCCAATTGGAAAATGTGCAAAGGTAAGTGAAAAGTGCAATGGTAGTCACACATGGGAACTTTCCCACCACTTCTGATCGAGTATAAAAGTCTCCGGATACTCTCTTAGCAACTAAGCGTCAGGCAAAACCCCGTGACTCTCATTCTCTTGTACTCAAACTGAAGTAGTGTCAATTCAAACAACGCCGTGCTCCCTTCCGTTCCCATTTGTGAAATGCTCCAGGTGCTCGCCTTCTTCGACACTCTGATCGTCGCCGTCTTTGCTTACAAATCCTTCGGCATGCTGATGGACACTTTCAATAACTTGTAAGTCGTTTTTTAATCTCCTCGACGTCTTCATCTTTTTCTTCCAGGCATTGGACGACTATTCTGTCGTTCCTATTCTTTACTAGTTTCCTAATCTGCCATATCCTCGGAACCGTGTTCATTGTCCTGGCTCATCAGAAAAAGATTGCCAGATACTGCCTTCCAAGGTACGCGTCCAACTAATACCACCTTTACTAAGACTTCCTAATTCCAGACTTGTGCTCATCTCTGGTCTGACCGTTTGCTCCATTATCGTGCTCATTTTCATGGCCACCTACTTTGCCGGTTCTGCCCAGTCCGTGAACGCCTTCCTCTTCCGCGTATACGAATACTTCTTCGGGGTTCCACTCACTGACTCTGACAAAGTGGAGCTGAAGCACGAGCTCCGCTACTACGGTGTCGCATTTTTCCTTCTCGCCTTCTTGTTTTTCATCTACAAGTGAGCGGCAGGAAATTTACATTTCTCTTCAAAACAGGAACCTTCTTCCAGCGTCTTCGAGCTGTGGCTCACCATCAAATTCAAACAAACTCTCAACGATTTCGAGCCGGTGCCGACTGAGCCGACAGCTCCGCAATTGTCTCACAATCCCGCCTTCGCGGAGCCCCCACTCAAGTCCTATCCGAATATGGCCTAATCTTTTCCGATTCTCTGTGATTCTATCTCTTTCCGTTTCTAGATCTCTGTCAATCTCAAGAGACACTTCAAGTCTATGAAAAATTGCCTTCTTTCCGTTTTCTCGCAAATTCCTCTTCCATTTTTTTCGTCCGCCTCCCCCATTTCCCGCCCGTTTTTTGCTCCCTCTTTCACATAAACAAGACGAGAGGCCTCTTTTTGGGGGTGCTCTTGTGCTCGGCAATGCACACAACTACATGTACACCCATTTTCCTCTATTTTGGGGAGAAAAAGAGGAGTCAAATTGAGTTAGTATTGCGTTTGCGTCGAGGACAACGCGACAGAAGAAAGAGAAGAGACAAAATGAGGACAAGAAGAATTAGATGAGCCATGACACTCCCAGAGATATTTCCAGAATGTATGGCGAGGACTTACCGATGTTGTGAGCGCAAGTGGGACCATCCCATCCGGGAACGCACTGGCACTTGAACCGTCCCAACTTTTCTCCAATACATCTCGCTCCATTCCGACACGGGTTGTTCGTCGAGCAGATATCCGTCACTTCCTCGCACTGCGGCCCAGCAAAGCCAGTCCTGAAATAGAAGATTATGCTCGGATATTCACAGGCTTGCTTGCTCACCTGCACAAACAAGTCGTCGACTTGACTCCCGGCAGATCGTGGCACACTCCTCCGTTCGGGCACGCCACACCGACGCATTCATCCGTTTCGAACTGGCAACGAGCACCAGTGAACATTTTGGGGCACGAGCATTTGTACGTTGTTCCGATCTGTTCACATTTTCCACCGTTGTAGCAAGGCTGCGTGGCACAGACGTCTTCGATGGTCTCGCAACGATCTCCCACGTATCCCGGCTTGCACTGGCATAGAGCACGGTGCATGAAAACGGAGCATTCCGCATTGTTCTCGCACATTTTAGCAGAGCAATCAATAGGGAAACACGAGGCCTCGGCAGCCTCTCCTGGACCTTGGGTGGCGGTGCTGTTGGAGCATTCGATGCAGCTCTGTTGTCCAACTGTAGGCTGATAAAAGTTGACGGGGCAAAGAGAGCAGGGCTCTAGTCCAGAGTTACTGTACGAGCCAGCCTTGCAAGCGAGTCGGCACTCGGTGGCGGATGAAGCTCCCAACTTTGCAGTGTACGCTCCAGAAGGGCACGCTTCGCACTCTTTGAATCCACCGACAGGGGCAGGTCCAGAGAATGTGTGTCGCGGACAGAGTTGGCAAGGAATGAGTCCGGTGGAACTGTGCAGTCCGTAGCCGCAAGTAGCGAGACAGCTTCCCATGGACTGAGATCCTTCATCGAGAGTATAAGTTCCATCAGGGCACGGTTTGCATGCGGTTTGACCGTATTCGTCTTGGAATGATCCACGCGGACACAATGCGCATGTGTTGTTGACGTTAACTGAGCCCGATGGGCATGCCACTGAAAAGAGAGATGAGCAGATGAGCAACCAAGCAAAAAACTTACTGCACTCGGGGAGTTTATCCTTCTGTTCCTGTCTCAGAACTTGTCCAGTCGGGCACGCAAATCCTTGAAGGAAACTGGATCCAGCAGCCGACACTGTCGGACATCCCACGGATTGTGAAGCGATTGAATCGCCCTCCAATTTGAGAAGAGCTTGAATCGGTTGCGTGGCTCCAGGAATTCGTAAGTCAAAGATGGTTCTGAGAGTAAGTCCGCACAAGTCATAGAACACACTCTGTTGGACGGACGGAAGAACTTGGACTGTGTAATTTCCAGTCAACTAAATTATGATTTGTTTGTTTTTAAAGCTTTCAAATTTCGTTTCACCTGTCCATTTTGGTTGCTGAAGTCCAATTTGAGCATACGGACAAACACTTGAACCGACGAAGAGCACCGCTCGCTGAGCACTTTGTCAAGATCGTCAAACGATTTGGCGGCGAGTTTCGCGTAACCCTGAGTAGTGAAAAGTTTGAAATGTTGAGTGAGATATGCGATTACCTCAAGGCAGTGATCAGGAACAGGAGAGGAAATGGGGTAGTTGATGCCGACGTTGACATGGAAACCAGCCGGATCTTGGGCTGAAAAGAGATCAAGATGAGTGAAGTTCAGATCTAGTGTTTTTGAGTTCTTACGAATTGAAACACATGCTGGAGCATTGCTTCTCGGGGACCATCTTCCGTCTTTACACACAAAGTTCTGCGCTGTTTGAGTAGGATCCACGTATCGGTAGCCGTCCGCGCATCCAACGCTGCAGATAACAGCTGCATCCTCGTGGACACAGTTCTTGACGACGTGGTTGGAAGCGGCGAGAGAAGCCGGAGAGCATGCTTCTGCTGAAATGTTAACTTTCAGGGAAGGACAAATATAGGTGTAACTAACGAGCATAAGCCACCTGGAACTTGCAACTATTCCTGTTGCCGTTCTCATCTTCAGCCTTAGCCGTCACTTCCACAAAGTCTCCGACCTTCAAAGTTGCTTCAGATGGAGAGAAGGTGATTTCAGAAATGTTTGAGGTATCATGGAGCACCAAATCAACTGTGGTCATGTCGAACACTACGTGCTTTGTGCTGTTTCCCACTGGAATCGTGTAGGAATCGGGGCACTTCATAACAGGTGGTTGAGTGTCTGGTATTCTGATTCTCAGGGTGCAAACGGCAGTGTTTCCGGCACTGTCGTATGCTGTGTAAGTGATATCCACGTCAGAAGTGATCATTAGACCACTGCGCATTCCGAGGGGTTCCACTTGTGTGTATGCAACCTACAAAAAATGATTCAATATAAATTGACCCTCTTTATTTCCTCACTTTTCCGCTGTTGTCACTGGCCACTGGCTCCACAAACTCCACTGCCTTCAACTGTCCATTTTCGTCGACCTTGGCAAAGATCTCCTCAGTGGGGCAGTTCTCAAACTTGGGAGGTTCCATATCGACGCACTGGGGAACGGATCCATTCCATCCGATGAGCAGATGGTTATCCACTTCATGAGCAACAGAAACCGGGGCAACACAGCCCATCATATCGAATTTCATGCACGGATTACCCTCGTATTCAGTGATACCGAACAGAATGTAGCGAGCGCGGAGAGAGTATTTCAGGTCGAAATGATGCATTGCATTGTGGTTCCCGGCTGGGGACTCGAAATCAACTGGGTACAGCTCGTACTTCTTTGAGAACTGCGTTTTATAGAAGAGTTGGAACTTTGTGACGTGTCCTTTCAGGTGTCCACTTCCTGCAACTCCAGCAACTCGGAGCGTCGTCAGGGTGTATACTCTGAAACCAAGTTCCAAAACCCTTGAGTCATAAGTCAATAGGCTCACCTCTGAAGATCAACACTCAAGAAGATGTACTGTTCCTTGCCTCCGCACCATCCAGAGGATCCCATCCGTGCATTATGTGGTTCATATCCCTGAATCGTAGCGTCCGAATTATCAGAGAACGCTCCGTCTGGCACGAATTCTGAGGTGATTCCAACGTCTTCGGAGAGCACACAGGATGCTCCGAGAGTACACTGAAGGGTGTCCGTCGGGAACGGAACGTATCCAGATCTCTTGCAGGAAAACTTTGCAATTGCTCCTTCTTCCACAGATGTCAGGTCGACATGTCCGTCGTGAGGATATCCTGGGTCCACGCAAACGGGTCCTTCACATCTCAAATCACCAAGATCCCAACTGGCATCTGACGAACATTTAATCGTCTGATCACCAGCAGAAGATCTTCCGACCACAGTATACGGTTGACGGCACGTGAATTCCAGGACAGATCCCATTTTTCTGTCTCCCAGATCACCGATGTAAACTGCTCCTGGCATAGTTGGAGGAGCCGGACACTCGATGTAAGAGCATTCGGGCGTCGGGCCGGAGAGCCAATAATCCCTTCCGTCCTCTTTTGGATCGAAGATGCACTGGCGGTAGGAAGAAAGAGAAGAAGTGCGTCCGGGACGGTCGGGGAGAGTGCAAGAGAGACTAACGTTGCGGCCGAACGAGATGGTCGAATTGTTCGGGCTCACATCAAGACCATCCGCCTTGTTCGAAGTTTCGATTCCTTGACACGTGGCGGCTGAAATCCTTTTCATCAATGAAAACTAGTAACAAACTGTACTTACGCAGGCAGAACGGTTCTGTTCCATTCCAAGTTCCGTCCGCAAGGCACTGGATGTAGTCCGGGCCCATCATTTGATAGCCGAAGTCGCATTGGAATTGCACGACCATTGGGTACTGGAACTGGCTGGCAGTCGACAGTAACTTTCCATTTTCCGGCGAAGATATGTTATCGCATTGCCGTGGCACACAGGTCTTGTTGAAGCGAATGAAATCGTTCTCATTGTTTCCGGTTTCTCCGATCGAAACGTTTCTCCCGGATTGTCCGTTCTCGACGAAAAGATCGTATCCGTTGCGGCAAGCACACTGAAAAGTATAATTGTTTTCTAAATGAATGCGCGGTAATGCACCTTGTACGTTCCCTGTGTATTGATGCAGATATGATCACAGTGACCGTTGTTCTTGAGGCATTCGTTGATGTCTGCGCAGGAGGTCCGCTGGCAGCCGAGAGCTTCCACTTCGACGCACGGAGATCCTTCCATGAGGATCACTTCAATCTCCAGTACTTGCGCCTCAATGGCCATCGGCAACGTGACAATGTTCTCCTCGTCTAATGCGAAAACCGATTCATTGTCAATTATCAGTTTCTTGTTTCTCGTTTTCTCCGATTCGCTGTACTTCACACTTATCTTCGTTATCTTTCCTTTTTGAGTATTCCCGAACCTGTAATCGTATACTGTTTGCGTTTGAACCAACATTTCGTGACACCGAACCTAATCTTTTCCACAATCATCGGAATGGCGAACTTGACGACTGTCGTTTTGTGTTGTTTATCACTCTCCGAAATGCACCAATTGTTTGCAGATTGTACGCTGATTGAACTCGCTTCCACGCACACTAAAAATGCTTTTCCGGGCGAGATGTAGAATTAGAATAACTTACTCAGTTGCGGTTGATAACCGCCGAGGCACTGGCACATGTAGGACCCTGGAAGGTTGACACACTTCGTTCCGAGAGATTGACATTGGCTGATTCCAGAAGAGCACTCGTCCACGTCAATGCACGAGGGAGTGGAGGAAACTGTTTGATTGGCAAGACAGCGGATCTAATAGAAACTGATAAGAATGAGAAGATTGTTAACGGTGATTTTTCCTGGGGGTCGCGCGGAAGTTTCTAGTCCCTGGCCTCCGCCGCCATCGCCGTTCTGCTTGGCCAAAACCGGCTTTTCGGATTTTTCTCAAAAACTGGAAAGTACAATGTACTTTTTTTCTAAATTTTTTAAAGCTTTCTTTGAAAAAAAAGAACAGCAAAAAAAGTTGGTCCCGACCGGTTTACTTCTGGTGCCGAAACATGGCCGAACGGCAGCCGGTCGTCCACGAATGCTTAGATGCAGCGGTCCAGGGACTTAAGATGCGTGCCGCCGGAGAAATACTGATTCATCTTATTCATTGTCACAGTGAATGCGTTCATTGTGATCAACACTAACAAAGAGCAACAAGAAACTCGCAAAAACGTCTATAGGTCACTAAAAAATAGTTTTTTTTTTCGAAAAATGGCTACTCGTGCGTGCTTTTTGTGTCTCTTTGTTAGTTTACATCATAATGAACGCATTCACTATGACAATGAATAAGATAAATCTGTAGCAACACGCATCAGAAGAAAAAGGCCTGGGGAGCGTGCCGCGGCCGGCTAAAACAGCAGCCGACAGTTCACGGGACGAGGGCCGCTTCACCTCTTCAGGTCCGTCGATAGTGAATCCAGAGTTGCAGACAACTCGTGCCACGTCACCGAATAAGAACCGATCGGGAACTTCAATATTGGCATTCGGAACTTTGGGGATATTCGTGCATGCCACCTCTGCAATAGTACACTTTTATTCCCGTTCTCTGCCCCATTCAGAACTCACTAGTACACGTGGGCTGCTTGGACGACCAAGTGCCGTCGGCCTTGCACAGAAGGGACTCGACGCCTTCTCGTCTGTATCCAGAGTGGCATTCGAATCGGAAAACACTTCCGTATCCGGTGCCGTCTCCGAACTCCAGACGCCGATCTCCGTTTGTGATCTGGGTGAGTGGTTGACACGTGGCAGCCTTGCACTGCGGAGGTGCACTCCACTTGCCTCCTTCTCCGCAATAAACCGTTTCCACGTCCTTGCCACTGGCGAAGAAGAATCCTTTGTAGCACGAGTACTTGGCTTGTCCTCCAAAGCTCACATTAGTAGCCGAAGCAGCGAATCCGTTCAAGATTTGCGGAACTGGACCGCAGTAGATAGCTGCAATGAGAAAGAAGTGAATAACAGAAAAAGAAAGTGGGCAATTACGTTGGCACGTGGAAATGATGGAATGTGACCATTTTCCGCCAATCAGGCATTCAATGTTCTTCGAGAGACCCTCTCCAGATGCGAATTCAAAACCAATAGGGCAGGAAACTGTGACTTTTGTATTGACCGAACGGTCCCTCGTGGACAATGTCACCATGGGCATGGAAGCCAACGGAGGACAGTCTGCAATTGAGGAATGTATGGATTACATGTTGTTGTTTTCAAGATACCGATGGAATAAGTGAAATTGAATCCCATTGCAGTTCTGGAAGCACTCGATTTGAACACAACTTGCAGTCGGTTTGCTTGAGAGTCTATCTGCTTTTCCGGTTTTAATTTCGAAGAGAATCCTTCATTCTCGTGCAGAACTTTCCCTTTCACGGAATTCTCGAATACCTTCACAGAGTCATCGTCGGCCAGGTCAAATCGGTTCGGAATCAGACTGAGACTGCGGTCGGTCTTCATGTCTTCGTTCTCGATTGTGTAAATGCATGTGACGTCATTCGGATAGGCAGTTTTCAAGTATCCTGGTGATATTATCTCTCCGTGCGAATCGCTCACTGTAATATCGCAACCACGCTTGTAAGAGATGGAGAAGCCGCGTGAATTCGAGACTGTGCGAGTCATCATGTAGACGTAGACCATGTTGGTGGATGAAGTCATGTACTTCTTTGTGGTCAAGTTGCCAGAAACGCTGGAATGGGTTGGATTGGAAGAATGCAAAACAGAAAGTGTTCACTCACGCTGCGAGAACTGTGGCTGCTGGAGATGGACCGTCGTAGACAATCAGACTGTCGTCTGAGCCCATGGAGAAGTCGTCAAACTGGAAGGATAACGGAAACAGTTTGGTTTAATGATCATAGAAACCCACAATTAGAGAGACAACTTGTCCAGGAATTGTTTCCAACGTCCAAACGCATTCTGCTCCATTAGCGAACGTCTTCGGGTAACCGGGAGAAACAAACGATTGCACATAGGCTTGAGCAGTAAAATGGCCTCCGCAGTTGAATGGAACTGCAATAGTTACACTTCAGATCGCTTCGAACCGAATAACTAACCAGCTCTCCACTTGAGTTGCCATCCTCTAGAATTCGATTGGGCGTCAGTCCGGAATTGAACAATCATCATGTTTGTCGCCGAGGTTATTGTTTGGATAGTGTCCAGTGAGCCGGAAAGGCGTTTTATGACTGCAAATGGCAACATGCTCGAATGAACTCTGGACGAACTCACCGGTTGTGCTGTTCTCAGCTGGTCCTCCGTCAAGAACTGTGAGGATGTCAAAGTCTGGCTCCGTGTCGAAATGCTCAATGGTCAGTTCGATTCTGGAGCTAGCAGGTCCTTCGATCACGTGTCGACAGTTCAAATTCGGATCGTAGACATTCGGGTAATTGGGAGAAGTCAGCTGACCGCTCTCCCCTTTCTCGTAAGTGCGACATGCCGGTTGGAAGGCCGACGGACAGTTCTGCTCGTCGCTTCCGTCGTCGCAATCATTGTGTCCGTTGCACTTTTTGGATTCAGAAATGCAGCTTCCGGAAGAGCAGAAGTACGATTCCTGCACACAAGCAGGCCGTTCGCACACGAACTTTCGCAGCAAATTACACGTTTCCAGTCTCCACTCCAATTCCTTTCTGTCCACTTTTCCAAGAGCACATGATCCATTTATGAAGTTGGGCTGGTCCTGTCTCCAGAATCCAACGTATCTGCTTGTAGGCGTACCGTCCGACCACACGAACAGCTCGTCATCATCGGTCACTTCGACTGTCAGTCCAATCCAATATTCCTTCACTTCCGTCGGTTTTCCGGGTTTCGAAAGAAGAGAAGCGATGAACTGATTTTCTGAGCTCGTTTGGATCTTTGCGAGGGTTGACCCATATCTCTGACAGGTTGTGAGCGCGAACGGCCAACTCTGATAAATGTTCAGTGGGAGATAGCACTTCGTGCCGTGACGGATCCAATCGTCCGGGCACGTCAGTTCCACGTCTGTTAATTTTGCTTCTGGAGGCGGTTTTGAGGCTGTGTAGACAGTCTGAAACACATTTTCTAGTTTGTAAAGGGGTTCGAGGGGGACTGACTGACCTGTGCGAATGAAAGGAAGCAGACGACAGCAGCAACGAGTCGCTTCCGACACCTTCCATCGTTGCTCATCTCGTCGCGATGATGCCGGAATAATTGTGCCCCGTTGTTGCCTTTCTGCAAACCGAACAGATTCCAAAACCACTATTTCGTCGAAAGTAATTTATCTCAAACGGATCTTTGCCTTAATTCAACCCGTATCTCGCATTCAAATCAGCCCCGTTCGAAACTATTTTGAATGGAAACACGATTCGATGGGGGCTTCAAGAATTGGGGGAAAAGCGGAAGTCTCGGAAAGGGCGGAAAGGGTCATTTCGTTTGTTTGTATTATCACTTTTCGACAGCCATCACTTATCGATAATGAATGACGAATGCGGAAAGAAGAGGGATGAGAGCACGCTATTTGGAAAGACGAGTGGATAAAGGATAAGAGATTGGAGCGAAGGGAAAAGATGGAAAAGAAGAGGGGCAGATGATATACAGTAATCAGGTCACTCGGGGATAGCTACAGTAATCCTGGGCTAGGACTACAGTAAATTTGGAATAAAAGAAAAAAGAGGAAAGAACACACGGTTATTATTATGAGTGCTAATTTGCAATTGCCGACGAGACGGTGTGCTTGAGAGCCATTGTATCCGAATGTCGGCACAAAAAAAGAAAGAAAGAACGAGCCCCGAGATTTCGACAATGTTTTCTTTCATGTTCTCCCGCTCTCTCTCCTTCCGAAAAGCAGAAATTCAAAACTCTTGAAGGAGAGGAAGAGAGAGAGAGAAAAAGAGAAAGAGAGAATGGCTAGTGACGGTCACTTATGGTTCATATAAGTTGGGTAAACAGAAGGGAGGAGAGCAGCAGCCGCGGAGCACTGCGGGGGCTTCTGGTTGGAGCCGCTGATTGACCTCCGACATGCTCAAACTCATACACAAATAAGGAAGACTCGGAAGAGGGAAGGCGAAATCTGAGGAGAGAATGGAAACCGTTTTTCAAGAACTTCAAGGGTATTCGGACTTTGGATCTTCTACAGTATACGCACAGATAGGAAAAGTTTGGGTTCAACTGAGAGGTTTAAAGCATTCGAGCATGATAAAGAGGTTAGGCTGATAAAGTTGGGTGATTGGAAAAAAAAGATGCGCTCGCGAGGATGGAAAAGAGCCAGGAAGCTCAGTTCTTATGGGATGAATGAAAAAGAGCTGCAAGATTAGAAGATCAGCGAAACGTCAGACCCTCTCCGGACTGTCTTAATTGTACAATCAGAGTTGCGGTGGTGTAATGTGTTGACATGTCGGGGCGGCCGTGCCCCTCCCGCACTCGCGGAAAGATCTCCGTTGTGATAAGTTTTGGAGGATTTCCGTCGGTGTTGTTCAGCAAATCGAGAGACCGAGACATTCGCCCGGACAAGTAGGTAAATAAGGGAACGATGACCGCAAGCGGTCATTCTTACCCTTCTACGGGGTGGGCCTAACAGTTGAGCTTGCTCAAGAGAAACGGAGAAAGAGCGAGAGGGCGAGAGAAAACTGATTGGTCGGCGAGCTTCGAAACAATGAGGATTAGAAGTTGGAAGGGGACCGATTGCAGTGGTTGCACAACACGAACAGCATGGTTTGGAAGGAATGTTCAACAAGACCTATTCCTGGATGCTCGTAGTTTGCTCCGAACAAAGATCACCTGGGACAATGAATCCCACAGCGAGATGGAAAGTTTGAAGAGCAAAGGTGCATCAGGTTGCGATCTAACCGGCACCAGATCCCCGAACTTTGAAAAACCTTAACTTTTTCGGAGAAAATACTCAGGCATCGCTCAGTAGAACGAAAATCTTCCTACCAGTATAACCATGTAAAAGAAACATTCAGTCAATTTAGACATCCCTGTTGGATTCGAAATAATCAGAATGAGTACCACTAGTGAACTGCTTATCGGTTCCTCTCTTTGTTCGGAACGGTTTTTGATCTTCGCACCATTTTTTCTCTCTAATTCAACGATTCAAACAAAAAGGCCTGAAACAGGAAAGTTGAGAAAACAGAGGTAGAAACGACAATTGGCCCTGAATGAGTGTTCGCACCGAACACCACCGCAATTATGTCAAATATTTCGGTTTACGCAATAATCAACGGTCGCGGAAGGCAAGGCGGACGGATAAGAAGATGGATGCGGAATGGCGGATAATAGTACTACCAGGGATAGATTGGTAGGAACGAAGGAACGGGATCCTTGCCGCGCGCATATCAACTCTCCATTCATCTCCGACGCATAACTCGTTCGTTTCTTATCCTTATCACTTGTGTTTCCGAACGATATTCTTCCGAATCGGGTGGTGGTAAGTGAGGATTAAAAAGGAACGGAATGGGTTTGTGAAGGGGAACGAATCTTTCCAGATCATCAAACTAATGTGGGTGCAAGGATGGGAATAACCAAGGACGGACAAGGCGAATCGAATGAGTTATATTTCGGACCGTTCCCTGATTTCCTCTGTTTTCTCCAAAAACCCACTTCTCTTTTCAGATCCTCTTATGAACATCACTGACCATCCTTTTTTCGTTTTTAATTCAATTAAAATTGATCCCTTGCTGTAATCAAAAGAAGCACGGTTGGCTGCCCACCAGACTTCAAATACGACCTTCTCCGAGAAAACCGTCCGCCTGCCTCGTTTTAATCCTCCATTACAATCGAATTCGCTCTTTTCAAAAGTGGCTAATCGTCGACCAATTGCAGCAGTCCCCCACTCCAATTTGCTACTTATCTCTCTTGTGATCGATGCTCTCCTTCTAAGTTCACTACGATCTAGTACAAAAGAGAAGAGAATTCCTCGGGAAAGACTTCCTCCTTTTTTGTTATCCGTTCGCTTACTGCCAAGTTTTATTGTCATTGTAAATCGAATAAACCCACTTTTTACTTGTTTTCTCTCTCGGAAATACAGTTTTTTTTAACTTTCAAAGATTAATTTATTGGTTTATAGATTTCGAACGCATTTCAGAAGTGACCAACCGTATAAACTGTAATATAAGGACACCCCCAATACAGTCCATAGAGACTTCTATTCCGGTTTTTACGGTATACGGACTGCTCGATCACCTGGATCCTCCTCCTCTTTGTGAACCTGTCAGTCCCGCACAAATCCTCTTTAAATGATCTGAAAAACAAGGTCTTGTTTGGACTGTCTCTGCCTCCTAATCCTCCCTCACACTTTTTGGTTGAATAACTACGAACAAAGTTCATTCTGCGAGTAAATTTTGCCTTGAAACTACCTTTCTCCTCAATCATTTCCTGCCGTCTTCTCATCGTTTCCTCTTCCATCGTCCCTCATAAACACGTCTTCCCGCCACAAAAACAAACGTATTGGCATGGTTCCAACACGATCTCTTCTCGCATTCTCCCCTCTCTTCTTCTCCGTTTCCCTCATCTCTTCACATCACTTTATCTTTTCCAACCTATTTTTGGAAGTTCAGGTATGGTCGAAGCGGCGGTTCTTCAGTACATTCTTGCGTTCGCAATGTTCCTGGTGACTGCAGTCATTGGCATCGTTCCGTTATTTGTGAGTGCACAATGAGCTTAGGGCAACCAAGTTGTTCTGAATTTCAGATTGTTCGAGTAATGAAAAAGAGTCAAAATGAGGACGAACAGGGATATCTTTCTTACCTGACCTGCTTTGCGGGGGGTGTATTCCTCGCCACCTGCTTTTTGGATATCATTCCTCATATCAAGTAAGTAGTTTGTAAAGTTTATTTGCAAGTTTCACGCGTAGAGCACTTTAAGGCATTACTCATCCATTTGTGCCTTAACCAGCCTAATTTTCGACGTTTCTATTGTTATCAGTTAGATTTCGACGTGAACACTTTTTCATTTGACTAAGATTCCATGCAAACCTTTTCAGTGAGGGATACGAAGAGCTTATGGAGACGTACTCCCTCAATTGGCACTTTGCCTATCCCCAATTCGTCACTTGTTGCGGCTTCTTCTTCATCTATTTCATCGAAGAATTCACCACTTTTGTGAGTCGGCCCCTCGGTTTTCCCCTCCGAATTCATCCAATTTCAGGTGTTCGGAAATAGTCAACAACCGCATGGCCATTCGCATTCGGCCAGAAACAAAGTGTCACATTCGGGAGGAAACGATTACACCGGAGGACTGAGTCCCGGAATTTCAAAGGAGAGAAAAGGAAGTGTGAACATTACGAAGTGGGTTAGAGGTGACCCGTTCTGATGGAATGAGCCAGTTTCAGTTTGCGAATGGAAGAAGCGTCCACCTGGGTGGTCTCCGACGAAAAGTCCAACATTCTCAAATCGCTCACATTTGCAGTTGCCATGTCGTTTCACTCGCTTCTCGAGGGATTCGCACTCGGAGTTCAGGACTCCACCCAACGAATTTATGCTCTTTTCTTCTCTCTGCTCCTGCACAAAGGAGTCGAAGCGTTCTCTGTCGGGTTGCAGATTTCGATGGCGAACTCGAACAAAGTGAGGATCCTCTGATGTACCGTCCATCTAAACTGTAGTGTTCTCAGATCAAGACCGTCCTCGTCACCATTCTCATCTACAGTATGATGGCTCCTCTCGGCTCCATCATTGGCTCCGTTCTCCAGAATTCCGAGACCAATATCTACAAGGACTGTGCGATTCTTCTTTTGGAATCCCTCGCCGCAGGAACATTCATCTATGTGACTTTCATCGAAATAATGGCATCTGAAAAGATCAACGACTTCAACCATTTGAAGCAGCTTCTGTGGATCATAATCGGATTTGCATTGGTCACTTTGATGCAGTTGTTCTTCGGCCACGATCACGGAGCAGAAGGACATGCTCACGGAGGAAATGGAACTCATCATCACCATGGACATTGAGAGCTTTACAAGGAATTGTCGGGGAGGAGAATGGCTTATAAATATGATTTCATTTTACTGCTTTTTAATTGCTGTATGCAAATAACATCCGGTACAAAATAGGGAAATACTCATCAATGAATGAACTGTAACAATAGACCTGCGATTTAATTGTGGTAGGAAGGGGAGGGGGTACAAGAAATGAAAAGAAGCGAGTAGTCATGCACAAAGGGACAGTTTACCAACTACATTATTGTTAACACAATAAGTTCCAGTGATGTGTTGCGCCACTCGGAGACACCCGCCCACGAGGAAACGGACAAAGTGGTCTCCGGCGAATGCTCCAACGGCGAAAAGGGTGTCGTCCTGCTGGCTCCGGTAGTCGAGGAAAGAGGGTGGAGAGTCAAAAACTTGAGAGAAGTGGGACTCTCGGCCGATGCACACGGCCACTGTTGAGTAGGGCATTTCGATTGTCTCGTTGGGAGTCGTGATTTCCACGTGGATCTTCGAGATGGCGGTGACGTTGGCATTTAGAATGCGTTGGTAGTGCTTGTGCGTGGAACGGCCGATCATCATGCGGTAGATGTCAGTGTACTCGGAATAGTGGATAGGCGACAGACGAGACAGCATTACGTCTGAAAAGCACAGATTGAAAAAGCGATATATTTTATTCTGATTGCACTCACTTCGAAGCTCTCTGAGATTCCTTCGGATTACGTGCACGACAGGAATGTCTCTCTCCAGACAGTGCCGCACGCAGTCCACTGAAGAGACTCCATCGCCCACAACAATCACCGGAGCAGACGCGGACGTGCTTCTGTAACTGTTTAACTTATGAACACTTCCATCTAAATATTTTTCACTCACGGTCTGCTGTAATTTTCCTCATCGACGACAGTCTTCTTCGTTGCGTCCAGTCTCTCTTTCAGTGTTCGCACGTCGTACACAATGTTTGAAGCGCAGTGTTCCTCGTTGGGTAGCTGAAAAAGACACTCAATGAGAGAACGTTCAGGAGAGGAAAATATTACAAAAGGGTTATAACCTTCTGAAGACTTCTAGCAATATCAAACAGGTATAGCTTACTTCGAGCTTTCTCGGGCTCGTTTTCCCGCTGGCGACCACCACTGTCTTCGATCTGATAACAAACTGTCTTCCGTCTGTGCTCCGGATTCCTTCGGTAATCCAGACGTCATCGATCTTTCTGATTGTAGTCACGACAAAGAACTGGTGGAACTTCTTGCGGATCCTCAGCTTCTCCACGTACTTCTTGAGGTAAGTGGCGATTGCACACGAAGGGAGTCTGCAGAGGAAGAAGATATAGTGAAAAGAAAGAAGCATTTCCCTGTTTACCGCTTGACGAGAGGTCTTCCTCCCAACCACTGCTCCATTGTGAACCCTGGCATATCCATCCAATCACTGAACGATACAGTCAACATCTCCGGATCATATTCGTTCCAACTTCCGCCGATCTTTGTTTCTCCGATCACCATATGCGGTATTTCGCGTGCTCTGTCCAGCTCCCATTGGAGACATCCGGGAGCATCGGAGCCCGTGTCTGCCCCTGGTCGGACTAGCATGTCATAGAGAACTGAGAGGGGACGGCCAGATTGAGAGAGCTCCGTCAGGTTAGTTGACCAGGAGAGATCCTGGAAACGGTTTATTCCGAAGGTGGCCAGTCGAATTTCGCACTTTGTGAGTACTTTTCAAAGACTGGTAGCAAGTTCACATCTCGATCATTGATGCGGAATTATTCCGCGTAGACAATTTTTAGACACACGCACACACAGAGAGAGACGGATATAATCTCTTTTCGTTCGGGAGTACAGGAGACCTTTCTGTTTACCCGATACCGGAAACTTCCCTGACTTTGTTTTTCCTTTTTTGGCTACGCATGTGCTTAGAGAGAGAGAGAGAACTACTTCCGGAGAGTACAGTACCCCTGTTTGGTTTCCCTTTCCTCCCGATTCCATCACGAGTTTCTTCCGAAAACAGTCTCTCTCCGTCCCGTGATATCCTCGTGCCTTCTGCTTCTTTTATGTACCCGATCTTGCCACGTCGGCACTTTCTGACCATTCCGACCACCCGGCACGGTCAAAAAGTCACGCGTGTGTCTCTTCGTCTCACTTCGAAACGACCTTGACCATTGGCCTCACTGATTATCCAGCGTCCCCGCGAAAGCAATGTTGCAAAAGCGCGCACGACTCTGATGGCGGAGAGGCCCAACTCGGCGCGAAGAGCATCAACAACCAGCGACCAAGCCGCTTTCTCTGCGCTCTCCCGTCCAGTAACACTCGCTAGATTCTCGTATTTGTCAGCATTTTCCCAAGGCAGGTTTCTCTCTTTTTGCGTCTTCTCGTGTGTGTCACATTTTCTTGTTTCCATGATGACGTGAGGATCAGTGTCCAAATGGATTACCTGATCTATAAGGGAGAACTCCTGGTTGGCTAGCAGTTTCTCGTGCACAGTCGGATTCTGATGAGGGTGTTTGGCGTCGTAGAACGGATGCATTCCGGAGAGAAAGGCGGAGAGGGCAATCCCGGCCGGTCCATTGCCTGCAAACATTCAGTTGATTGGGATCGAGCCGGCGGAAAACATTGTGCACCGGGCAGTTAATGGGAAGGGAGCGAGCAGTTGGCGAATCAACAATCGAATGACCTCTGTGACGTAATCAGTTCAAAGAACAAAAAATAGGTTTTTTACAATCAGGCCTAAACTTCGCGCGTTTCAGTGTTGTTGAAAGCCGCGAAGTTCGAAAATATTTTTTGAAGTGTCAAGTTTCTCGAGTGTATCAAGTGTCACATCTTCGAAAAGTTCAGACAACACACGCGTTGTCTGCCTGGATTATGATGGATCTACTCAACATTTTCTCGCAGAATTAACTTGCAAAACATCCCGCTCGTTCTTCAGAATATCGCCTACAGTACAGTTCCAGTTCCACTCCCTTCCTTTATTTCTTATCAGCTGACCATTCCTCCCGTTCCCTTCTTTTACTTGTTCAACCGAACCGAACTACAGTAACCCGATCCGCTCGCGCCAATGACGTACCGATTATGAGGACGTGAGTGTCGAATTTCGTGCAACAACCAGTATGCATACGACCACGCTTCTTCTGACGTTTCTGCCTCTTTCCGTGCTGTTTGGGGTGAGCCGCCGCTTTACCGTCGACGAATCGTCTGTAACATTCGTTCTTTGATAATGATCGCACGTACTAAGTGCGGGAATCTCTGCATTATTGGGGTGAAAATGAAAACGATGATAAGGGAAATGATAAGAGCAAACAAAGTGTCGGGAAATGGAGGAGATGACAATAATGACGCTATGTTTTCCTCGAACACTGTACCAGCAGAAAACGATCGATGTAGATACGATCGAAAGAGAGACTTTTGCATACGACAACGTAGTTACACACTTTCTGAGGGAAGCAATCGGGCGGAGGAATGGGTCGTTAAAGTTATCTTGACACTTTGAACTACCAAATACACACTGCACAAAGTGTTACTGTAGTTAAATGGGATACAGCATCTCGTGGAAATTACGGCAACACTATTGAAGGTCACTTTCTCGCATTAGCTTTATCGAAAGAATCGCAAGAGGATGATGATCAACGACAGTAGGTCATTTTTTGTCCGTCTAAATCTCAGCGAAATTTCGAAGTATCTTTTAGGAGAATGCAGAATTCTGTGCTCAAAGCGAAAAATAGATTTCCTCTGCCTCGACGGCTTCCGTTCTCTGATATCCTCTCCTCTTATATTTATACTAGATTTCATCTGCGACCCCGCCCAAAATGATGATAATTCAGTGCCTCATAACTGGGCGCAAAAAAGAAAGAAGCTGCACAACAAAATGTGCGCGACGGCTCGTAGCTAGATGACTTTCATTGAGCAATCTTCTCACGGACACAATTTCGATCACAGCCTGACACAAAATTGTGTGCAGACATGAAAACCAGTTCAAACTTCATTGGAACACACACGTGGCCCGTCCCAGATCACGTCACTGAAACATACTGATATCAGGACGTCCAAACAGTGTAGTGGACGAGATCTCCGACGGCTGTGCAAGAGCAAATAGCGCAGAGGGTAAAAAGTGAATTTAGCAGAGGGGAAGCGGGCGGAGTCTTGACGGACTGATATCAAATTTGGGAAACAGGTAACCGGTGGCACCGTAATCGAATTAGCGAAGGCATCTGCAACCGATTCGCGGAGTCACCAGGTTCAAAACTCGATTTTTAACCATATGAGAAGTCGAAAAGAGGGGGTGGAGTGAGAATCTTCGAGTAGGTCGTGGAACCGAAAAAAAACGGAGCAAATGTGCAGAGCTGCTCTTCTCTGCTCGCCGCTTTTTTAAAAATGTCTCGGCGGCCGGCGGCGGCGGAGAAATGATGAAATAGAGGGAGCAGGAGAGAAACGAGAGCGAGGAGAGCATGGAATGGCAGAGCCGTCGAAGAGACCGTCCCATTTGGGGAGGAACGGCACTCTTTTGTTTCGCTATTCGGTTTTTTGTTGAATTATTTGCGGCCGAATGTGGAAAGGCAACGGTTTTTTTGCAGCGGTTTCACTTTGCGGCTTTAAACTATTTATAAGCGGATAAGGAAAAGAAAAAATAGGGGTTAGGCACTAGGAGAACTCGGAATAATTTTTTAGAGAAATGTGCCAAAATGTGCCAACTTCAGAATGCTCATCTGGAACATTTCCACTTTCCAAGTCTTTTAAACTGGTCTCAAGAGTTTACACAACTCTTTGTGGTTTCTCAAAGATCCGAAAAACGGTGGTCATTGCTCCGAGAGCGTCACGTTTTCCACACTTCACCAAAAGACATGGTTTTGTCTGTTTCCACTCAACTTGTACCCGTCGTAGAAAACTGTGTTTTGTAGTTGGCGCGCGCCCAAAATAAATTAGTTTGTAATTTCAATTTGCTCACTTTTCGTCTCGTAAATAAACGTGCGCGAGTAGAAGAAAAGATTAACAACTTCCTTATCATATTGTTTTCGAAAAGACGCGATTTCTTCTGCGGTTTCCCTGAGTAACGGGAGCAGACGATGGGTTTTCTAGTGAGGGTAACAAAAAAGAAAAACGAAATGAATGAAAGAAAGCAGACAGAGAAGGCGTTGGAAACAGAGATCGCAAAAGAATGAAAGACGGAGAGAAGCGAAAGGAAAACAGCAAGGGTCGAGAATAGATGGGCCTAAAAATGGGTTTCAGAAGGGAGCCATTGCGAGAAAGAACTTATAGAAGAAGTCAAAAAAGTTTAGGAGCTACAAACAACACTTTTTTAAACTTGAACTTTCTTAAAACTGGAAACTGTGTGGGGGAAAACGGCGGAAATTTGGTGCGAGCAAAGTGCCCTTTCCGTTATCACTGACCTTATCACAGTTGAGGAACCGAGTCGATATCTGTTATTGCTCTCAAATATTTCGAGCACAAGTTTCTCGCAACTTGTTTCATTGACAGGAAGAGAAGGACCGGTTTAATGTTCAAGAACTTCATTTTGATAGAACAAGAAATGGATCAATTTGTGAAGGGGAAGTGATAAAAGGACAGAAAAGCGATACCTCATTGTCTCATGAATCACTGAGTGCTCTCCAGAAGTAGGGATTCGCCTGGAAACGACGGGAGAACGAGTTGTACCACGATTGGAAGGCCGTCACCGGAATGTACTCTTGAGACCCTGCAAATGGCTATTTATTCGGGACGAATCAGAAAACACTCACCGCCGGAGGGACTCGGTAGGCGGACTGAGAAGGATTCGGTGTGGTTGATGAGATTGCGTATCATCTTCTCCGCAAACTCCACCAGCGTCGACTACAACACGACAGATGATTTATTATGGAATCGGGAGGAACAAGGACTGACCTGCTGACTGGCTTGCGTTCCTTCCGCAGCTTGCCGTCCCTCTATCACCGAAAGCCTTTCGGCATTAATCCCGATTTGTGCGGAGCCACTCGAGTATACCTGCATCTGCATTTCGAAGACACCGCTGTGGTCCGCGTCCGATTTGTGAAGCTGGAACTCTTTTTAGAGAACAAGTAGTGTCTGAGGACGAAACCTGTGCAACTTTGAAAATGACACTGGGTTTCTGATTACAAATGAAGCCAAGGTAATGCCAGTTTCCGCCGTCAGCCGTTGGCCATCGAATGTACACTGAAATGAGCGTCAATCCGGTAACTTCTTGCTGATTTCAATCTACCCGAGCCTCCAATTCCATCCGGAAACGGTTGTGCGCCCGTCAGGAAGACAACCACGTGATTTATTGAGTCTGCATTCACAATCTCGCAAGTAAACTCGGTATCCGACACTGGAACTACTTCCACCGGCTGAACTTATTTGTATTTGGAGCTCATTTCGTTGGAAAGCCTTACCGTACGGCCAGAAACAATTACTCCGAAGACACCCGCCATCTTCTAGAAATGCAATTTTCTATTAGCCCTACTAATTTAATCCCGGTATGATAAAGGCGCGACTTATGCAACTTGAAAAGCATGTTTTTAACTCTGTATTTATTCTCAACAACAGGAATAAATTAAAAACTTGAAAGTTTGGTAAAATTGATGGTATTAAAAATAGGTTGACAGGAAAGTGTAGAATTTTGATGATGAGATGACAGAGAAGAAGATCGATACAGACAAGGAGGGAAGACTCCAATACGTTGGACTTTGCAGCCACTGGTAACGTCGGAAATTTAAAATTAATAGTTTCGGTTTCCTCCTTGAGCGTGAGCCCATTGCTGAGCACCAGATTGTTGAGCGCCCCATCCTCCTTGTTGCGGTTGCTGCTGCTGTTGTCCTCCCCATCCGCCTTGCTGCTGACCTCCCCAGCCTCCTTGTTGTGGTCCTCCCCAGCCACCTTGCTGAGGTCCACCCCACCCTCCTTGTTGCTGCTGAGGGGCTCCCCAGCCGCTGCCTCCACCTTGTTGTCCCCAGCCTCCGTATTCTGAAACTCAAATTATTTCAGTTGAGATGTCATTCTTTTTTTTATAATTACCTCCTCCGTATCCACCTTGGCCGCCTCCTCCTGGACCACCCCATCCTGGTCCTCCTCCGCGTTGAGCTGGTCCGCCCCATCCGCCACCACCGCCGTTGTATCCTCCGCGCTGTCCATCACGAGTTCTTCCACCGCGAGTTTCACGATCACGATTCATTTGAGCTTTGCTCATCTCGTCCTTGCTCAGTCCTTTTCGAACATCGCAGCGATGCCCACCAACCATATGCGACTTTTGAAGCACACACTGATCAACAGAGTCATGATCGTCAAATGTGACAAAACCGAATCCTCGTGGCTTCGCAGTAACCTTATCGAGAATAATTTCAGATTTAGTAACGGTTCCAAATTTCGAGAAATAGTCGGTAAGCATGTCCTCTGTGTGATCCTCACGAACACCGCTAACGTAGAGACGCTTTGTCGAAACGTTCGACTCGGAACGATTTTTGTCGTCACGTGGAACGGCACGTTTTGGATCAACAGTCTTTCCGTCGATGACATGCGGACGTTGCTTCATGGCTTCGTCGACTTCTGTCTTAGCGGTGAAGGTAACAAATCCGAATCCTCGGGATCTTTTGGTAGTCGGATCTCTCATGACGATTATATCGGTGATACTTCCGAACTGCGAGTAGAACTCGCGCATCATCTCGTCGGTGGTGTTTGACGTAAGTCCTCCGACAAAAATTTTCCGAAGATTCTCCGGCTCGAGCACACTGTCTCCGCCTCCATTCTGAAAAATCGGTATTTAGGCCAGTTGGGTGCGCAACTAGGTGGCCTACACCTATCGAAGCATGGGAACAAACGTAACCTCTGATTTCACTTCCACGTCGGTCATGATCTATTTCTTAGTAGTCGATCGGATGGCTAACAAGTTCTTAGCTTATGATGTATGCTTAGACAGGCTAGTTTCACGTAAACAACCTATCGAGTGCTAATACTCACAATGAATGATGCTGTAGATCACTGAAATAGGTTTTGTATAAAGCTCTCTATTTCCAGTAGATAGATAGTAACGAATTATTTGACGCATGCAACAGTACTATTCGTCAAGGCAATGAGTAGATGGAAATAAACTATTTTAGAGTTTTCAACTGGAATGACGGACGGATTCGAGCTAAATCTATAAGATTGAGTTATTTTATTTAAGAAGAAACGATAAAGCAAAAAGTAACGCGCGGGACAATTGAGAAACGTACCTTTTTAGCAGTAAACGTAGAGCGAATGCTCTCGAATGCGCAAAAAATTGAAGCGTACGCGTCGCTCCGGTCGATAACCGCGACGCGTCTTTTTCGTGCCGAGACCCGCGCGTTTATACTCATGCGCCTTTAACAAAGTCTCGTAAATCCACACAAACTGATGGAAAACCAACTGAAATTCGTCTGAAATGTCCGGAAAAAAGTTAAAGTTCAAATAAAAAATTTAAAACAAATTTATCAAAATGCTTAAAAAGCATAGATTATGACAATCTGTTTCGATAGGGTTTTCAGCCTTCGATGTCGGTACACTCAGAAAAAATCCTAACAAAGAGATGCGCAGAATTGTGATGTGATCATTCATATTTATCAACATAACAGTTAATATTAATACGCAAGGAATATCAATTTAATTTTTGTTATGGAGAATTCACTAGCTGTTGAGACGTCGCTGATATGATCATGTTCAGTCTCTCGAAGTTTGTTTTACTCCATCCCAGTGCCTTTCCACTTCTCAACGTCTAAGCCAAAGCGAAGCATTCGCACGAATCAGAGACGCCCCGAAAAAACTTGAAAAGCAACCTTTTCTGTGACAGAAGCGACCGACGCCGCCAAGGTATGTCAGCGAGAGAGCGTGTACCGCGCGGAAGACGGCGCGGCAAGCCCGTTCGGATCGGATAAGCGAGCAGGGTGGGGCGGCTAGCGGACCGAACAAGCGGTATAAAAGGTCGGAGATGGCCCAGAACACGAATAGGTGTGTGTGTGCTTCGCCATGGACATCGACACCAAAATCAAGGCTTACCGCTTCGTAGCCTACTCGGCTGTCGTCTTCTCGGTTATCGCAGTTCTTTCGGTAAGTTTCCCCTCTGAATGTTCCCTATTTGAATTTGATTCTTCGCAGGTGTGCATCACGCTTCCAATCGTCTACAACTATGTGCACTCCGTCCGTCGTCAGCTGCACAACGAGGCCCTCACCTGCAAGGGAAACATGAAGGATGTCTGGGCTGATGTCCACCACCTCCGCGCCGATGCCGCTTCCAACCGTACCGCCCGTGCCGTCCGTTACGGACGTGATGACCATGTCGCCGGAAACGGACCAAACTTCGATTCGGGATGCGAGGGATGCTGCCAGCCAGGACCACAAGGAGCCCCAGGAGCGCCAGGAAAGCCAGGACGTCCAGGAAAGCCAGGAGCCCCAGGATTCCCAGGAAACCCAGGAAAGGCCCCACAGAAGCCTTGCGAGGAGATCACCCCACCACCATGCAAGCCATGCCCACAGGGACCACCAGGAGCCCCAGGACTTCCAGGAGACCAGGGAGATAAGGGAGAGGCCGGACAGCCAGGACAGCCAGGACAGGACGCCGCTCCAGGCGAGCAGGGACCAAAGGGACCAAACGGAGCACCAGGAAAGCCAGGAGCCCCAGGAGCTCCAGGAGACGAGGGTCTGCCAGCTGTTTGCGAGCCAGTTCAGAAGGGAGAGCCAGGACCAACTGGAGAGCCAGGACCACTCGGACCACCAGGACCATCTGGACAGCCAGGAAACGACGGAACCCCAGGTAAGACTTTCGAGAGGACCTCATCCGATTATTTATTTCTCTCAATTCAGGACAACCTGGGCCAAAGGGACCACCAGGACCAGACGGAAAGCCAGGAGCCGACGGAAACCCAGGACAGCCAGGACCAGTGGGACCACCAGGAACCCCAGGAGAGCGCGGAATCTGCCCGAAATACTGCGCCATCGACGGAGGAATCTTCTTCGAGGACGGAACTCGCCGCTAAGCGGAGCACATATAATTTATTCTTTGTCTTTCATCGCACAAATAAAATATCTGTCATCGGCATTCGTTCGCACGAAAAAGGGAAAGTGAAGAATCGGAGTGGGTAAGGGAAAGTGGGCAGAAAACTGGGTAAGGGACAACTTTACGCAGAAGATGATCCCCGCGGCTGTGGCAAGTGTTTACACGAGAAAGTTACAATATTTCAGGGTTCCCTTCCGTGGTCTTTTCTGTAATTGACCCTTCTAATAACCTTTCTTGAGTGGACGAATTCACCCAACAACTTCAGATGACAGAAGGTCGTGGAAAGCAAACATTGGGCAGAACGTCTTAGTGGGTGCCTAATGCAAGTTTGAAAACTTCTTTTCGTCGTGGACAGTCTTCTCTGGATATTGTTGGATTGCGTAATTCACAGACAAGAGGCACTTTTCGAACTCAGGTCCTTGAAGCGCAAGTGTCTGCTGCCCGATTCGGATGTCTTCAAACTAAATTTTTTGCGTCTTCAATTGCGCGTAAACCGGCCGTCGCAGTGCCATCTAATGCAGCAAAGCAATTATTCCGGGAGGCAGTTCGAAACCGGCCATGTGACAGCAGCGGAGGAGCGAAAGTTGGCCGCGGTGGTAAATCAACGCGTTTCTGATGCAGTTTTATTGGAAAGGGAAAAGGGAATAAGGTTATAATCGATGGGCTCAGCGGCGAGTTCCGTCCTCGAAGAAGACTCCTCCGTCGATAGCGCAGTACTTCGGACAGATTCCTCTCTCTCCTGGGGATCCTGGTGGGCCGGCTGGGCCTGGAGCCCCTGGATTTCCATCGGCTCCCGGTTGTCCGTCTGGTCCGTTCGGTCCCTTTGGTCCTGGCTGTCCTGGTGATCCGTCGGCTCCTGGCTGTCCTGGTGGTCCTGGTGGTCCCTGAGGTCCCGACTCTCCTGGTGGTCCTGGTTCTCCCGGAATGAGGGGTTCGCTTTGAGCAGGCACTCCCGGCTCTCCCGGTGTTCCCGGAGCTCCCGGGGCTCCCGGTGGTCCTGGTGGTCCCTTTGGACCTGGCTCTCCTGGAGCAGCATCCTGTCCTGGAAGTCCTGGTGATCCTGGCTCTCCGGCATCTCCCGGTGGTCCTGGTGGTCCTGGTGGGCCGGGCGGTCCTTGTGGGCATGGCTTGCATGGTGGAGGAGTGATCGGCTCGCATGGCTGTTGTGGCGGACGGCCCGGATTACCTGGGAGTCCTGGAGCGCCCGGCTTTCCGGGTCTTCCTGGCTTTCCTGGAGTTCCCGCTGGTCCTGGAGGTCCTGGGAGACAGCAAGATTCGCAAGAACCAGACTGAGCAGATCCACCGGTAACGGCTGCATCGTTGTAGGCCTGACGGGCGGTTCTGTTGCTGTTCGGGAGAGATTTGAGGGCGTGAACTTCATTCCAGATGTCCTTGGCGGATCCCTGCAAGATAATTCGGATTGGTTGAAATGGAAATGGATATGGAGTACCTTGCAGAAAGTGATCTCGTTGTGCATGGTCCTCTTGACGTGGTGCACGTAATTGTAGACCATCGGAAGAGTCACGCATACCTGAACGTCAGAAATTGGCTGAAGAGCAGCGAGAAAATGGAATGGAACTCACTGAAATGACGGCGACGACCGAGAAGGCGACTGCCGAGTAGGCGACGAAGCGATACGCTTTGATGCGTGTCTCCAGATCCATTGTGTGCGCTGTCGAGTGCGTTCTCCTTCCTCCTATTTATAGTCGTTTCCTGCTTCGCTCCGCCCCCATCCGCCGCCAAAGTTTCGAACGAAACCGCCGTCTTCACCGGCCGAGAAGAGGCAGTTTTTGCCCGCATTTCTCTTCCGAATGTTGTATATTCAATGAGATGAGGCAGGAGAATTGGACAATTTGGACGGAAAGACGGGGTGATTAGAGAGGAGACCGAGCGGCGGATGATACTGAAATAATGGGATTGTACTCGGAGATGAGGACAGGTTCGCTTGTTTGATTATCATAATGGGACAGGTGGGGGAAGACCATGAGAATCAGATTCCGACCATCGAGAAACGGCAACGGTTTCACGTGATCTCTTTGTTAATCCGAATGTTCCATTCAATGAAGCCCGCTCTCCTTCACTCTTTCATCCAACTTCCAAAAACCAGACTGTTTACGAACGATACGAACAACACAATATTTCGTTGTTATTCGGGAGACGAGAAGCCTGGACCTGCGTTTGTAATTTGCATTCGGCATCGAACTGGCTTGCACACAGCGGGAAACGACAGCGAAGAAGGACTGGTACGGGAGCGATGCGTGATCGATTGGACTTTTGAAGGGCGCAATTCTGGGAGGAGGTGACACTTTCGAAAGGTACCAGAATGGAATATGGCGAAGTGAAGGACATGGAGTTAGAGGTTAATTGAACCGTCCGCATGGCTAATCTCCAATTTCGAACTGCCACGTCAATCGATTCCCCAAATGTTCACAGAGTTCGCCGAATTTCAGTTAGTCACCCTCGCCGATTATGCAAATGAGCCCAAAGTGTTGGTTATATAAACTTACAAACACAAGGTACATTCTACCTTCGACGGTCGGTAGGTAGGGTTTGTCTTCCATTGGAAATGTGCTCATTCGGTTCTCGAACGGTATCGTGCGCACTAATGACATCAGCATCTTATCATCCGCTCAGTAATCACCATCCAACCGTCCCTTTTCTCAATTCAGATGCGTCGTCATTTCCAAATGCAATTGCTCCTTTTCTTCGTCGTTCTCTCGTGCTCCGTTCACGGCCTTCTCGGCATCGGACGTCTTCAGTCGGTCGCCGTTAGCGGAAGACTCATTTGTGATGGAAGACCGGCCGCCGGAGTGAAAGTCAAGCTGTACGAGAAAGAGTTTTGTGAGTTTCCCGGTCTACTACACATCGATCATTGCTCCCGTTTCAGTCCTCGATAGAAAAATGGCAGAAGTGTACACGGATATGAACGGAGTGTTCCTGATAACCGGAAGAAAACGGGAAATCTCGACGATTGACCCGAAATTGAATGTGTACCACACTTGCAACTACATGGGACTGTGCTACAAAAAGTTCGGAATCACCATTCCGGACGACTACATCACTTGGGGAAGCGTTCCTGACAGAACGTACGACGTCGGAACGCTCAACTTGGCCAACAAGTACACCGGAACGACCACCGATTGCCTCAACTAAACAATTCCGCTTTTCAACTTCAACTCCGAAAAGCTTGTGTTCAATATTTCTATTCAATTTCTGCAGATGAAATTGTTTTTTCTTCGATAATCTCTCTGATTCTTCGATTTCTTCGATTCTTTGAACTTTTTTAACATGAAATTTTTAAGGAGAAAAATTACGGAGGAAATATGCTTTTTCACACTTGTTTCGAAAATTCTGTTTTTCTCCGGTCGGAGAAAAGGAGCTATTTTTTGCAAAAAAAAAACTCTGATTCGAAATTCCCGCTCAAATGCTTAAAGGCGCATGCCATTATTTGCGGTATGTGTCCCGCCACGAAAGTGCGCACTCTTCGATTAGCACACTCTCTCGCTCTGCAACTCCCCTCCTCTCCGGTCGTTTCGAATTCCGCGGAATTCCGTTCTGTCTGCTTTTTGCGGGGTTATCCGGAGAAAAAGGTACAAAACGGACGAAATTGTGTTTTTCCAGCAAAAAGGGCATAGCAACAATGTAAAAAAAAGCTTCACAATTAACTAAAAAAAGGCTGCCATTATTGATTTAAAACTCTTCGGATAATTGACACATACCTATTGCGCAATCCTTCATTGATTTTGCCTTTTTCGATTGTTTAAGTGAAATAAATGTTTTGATTTGTTTGTTTTTCCAGATTGCCGAGGACAGAGATCACCACAAAGCAGGAAGTAATATAATAAAAGAAGGAACAAGGTAAAGGCTTTGAATGACCAGAACAATCATTACACTACACCGATTTACAGATGGCTCTTGTCGGTGTCGACTTTCAGGCACCACTGCGAATTGTCAACCGCGTGCAGTTTGGAATTCTTGGACCTGAAGAGATTGTACGCTTTTAATCGTTCTTAAGAAGTTTCAACTGTTATTTTTTCAGAAGCGCATGTCAGTGGCCCATGTGGAGTTTCCAGAGATCTATGAAAACGGAAAACCAAAGTTGGGTGGATTGATGGACCCCCGTCAAGGAGTTATCGATCGCCGTGGAAGGTAAACGGGTTTTGTGCGAAGGTCTGTGAAAACGGGTTTTTTCCAGATGCATGACGTGTGCCGGAAATCTTTCCGACTGCCCCGGACATTTTGGTCACTTGGAGTTGGCTAAACCTGTCTTTCATATTGGATTTCTCACGAAAACATTAAAAATACTTCGATGCGTCTGCTTCTACTGTGGACGTCTCCTCATCGACAAATCTAATGCACGGGTTATGGACATCTTGAAAAAAACCGGAGGAAATCCTAGAAAACGTCTCACACTAATCTACGATCTGTGCAAATCAAAATCAGTGTGCGAAGGAGCCAGTGAAAAAGATGACGGACTTCCAGATGATCAAGACGATCCCATGAACGAAGGAAAGAAGGTTCCGGGCGGATGCGGACGCTATCAACCTTCGTACCGTCGTGTCGGAATCGATATTAACGCAGAATGGAAGAAGCACGTCAACGAAGATACTCAGGAGAGAAAGATCGTTCTTACTGCTGAACGAGTTCTGGAGGTCTTCAAGCAGATCACGGACGAAGATATCCTTGTCATTGGAATGGATCCGCAGTTTTCCAGACCGGAATGGATGATCTGCACCGTCCTTCCAGTCCCTCCACTCGCTGTCCGTCCAGCTGTTGTCACTTTCGGATCTGCAAAGAATCAGGATGATTTGACGCACAAGCTCTCGGATATCATCAAAACGAATCAGCAACTGCAGAGGAACGAAGCGAATGGCGCTGCTGCTCACGTGCTTGCTGATGATGTTCGTCTTCTGCAATTCCACGTTGCCACGTTAGTCGACAATTGCATTCCTGGTCTTCCGACAGCTACACAGAAAGGAGGTCGACCCTTGAAGTCGATCAAACAAAGACTGAAAGGAAAAGAAGGAAGAATTCGTGGAAACTTGATGGGAAAACGTGTTGACTTTTCCGCTCGTACCGTCATTACAGCCGATCCGAACTTGCCGATCGACACTGTCGGAGTGCCGAGGACTATTGCGCAGAATTTGACGTTCCCTGAGATAGTCACACCATTCAACGTCGACAAGCTTCAGGAGTTGGTCAATCGTGGAGATACTCAATACCCAGGAGCCAAGTATATCATCCGAGAGAATGGAGCTCGCGTCGATCTTCGCTACCATCCGAGAGCTGCCGACTTGCATTTACAGCCAGGATACCGAGTGGAACGGCACATGAAGGATGGAGATATCATTGTGTTCAACAGACAGCCGACACTCCACAAAATGTCCATGATGGGCCACAGAGTCAAGATTCTTCCATGGTCAACATTCCGAATGAACTTGTCTGTGACATCTCCGTACAATGCTGACTTCGACGGAGACGAAATGAATCTTCATTTGCCACAATCTCTCGAAACCAGGGCTGAAATCGAAGAGATCGCGATGGTGCCGAGGTGAGTGAAGGTCCAGTTTCGCTTGAAAATTTCTCATTCGTTTTCAGACAACTGATCACTCCGCAAGCCAACAAACCTGTGATGGGAATTGTGCAGGATACTCTTTGTGCCGTTCGCATGATGACGAAGCGTGATGTATTCATAGATTGGGCGTTCATGATGGATCTTCTCATGTATTTACCGACTTGGGACGGAAAAGTTCCACAGCCGGCGATTCTGAAGCCGAAACCTCTGTGGACCGGAAAGCAAGTGTTCTCGCTCATTATTCCCGGAAACGTGAATGTACTGAGAACCCACAGTACCCATCCGGACTCTGAAGATGCCGGACAATACAAATGGATTTCCCCAGGAGACACCAAAGTGCTCATTGAGCACGGAGAACTGCTCAGTGGAATCGTGTGCTCGAGGACAGTCGGAAAGTCGGCAGGAAACTTGCTGCACGTCGTCGCACTTGAATTGGGACACGAAATCGCTGCCAACTTTTATTCTCATATCCAGACCGTCATCAATGCGTGGTTACTTCGAGAAGGACACACAATTGGAATCGGAGACACTATTGCCGATCAGGCGACTTACGTCGATATTCAGAGCACGATCAGAAAGGCCAAACAAGATGTCGTCGATGTCATTGAGAAGGCGCACAACGACGACTTGGAGCCGACTCCAGGAAACACCCTCCGTCAAACTTTCGAAAACAAAGTCAACCAGATTCTGAACGACGCTCGTGACAGAACTGGTAGTTCTGCCCAGAAGAGTTTGTCTGAGTTCAACAACTTCAAATCCATGGTCGTGTCGGGATCCAAGGGATCAAAGATCAACATTTCTCAGGTAATTCACCAGTATGAACTAGTAAGAATACAAGTTTTCTGTTTCAGGTCATTGCTTGTGTCGGTCAACAGAACGTCGAAGGAAAGCGTATCCCATTCGGATTCCGTCATCGTACACTTCCTCATTTCATCAAGGACGATTATGGACCGGAGTCAAAAGGATTCGTCGAGAACTCTTATCTCGCTGGTCTAACACCGTCCGAATTCTTCTTCCACGCTATGGGAGGCCGTGAAGGTCTCATCGATACTGCTGTCAAGACTGCCGAGACTGGATACATCCAGCGCCGTTTGATCAAGGCAATGGAGAGTGTGATGGTCAACTACGACGGAACTGTGCGTAACTCTCTGGCTCAAATGGTGCAGCTCAGATACGGAGAAGACGGATTGGACGGAATGTGGGTCGAGAACCAGAACATGCCGACGATGAAGCCGAACAATGCTGTGTTCGAGAGAGATTTCAGAGTAAGCGAAAAGATTGTTTATTTGAAACCTCATTTCATTACTAGATGGACCTCACTGACAACAAGTTCCTCAAAAAGCAATATTCGGAGGACGTTGTTCGTGAAATACAAGAATCAAAAGATGGAATTTCCCTCGTCGAATCCGAATGGTCACAATTGGAAGAAGACCGACGCCTTCTCCGAAAGATTTTCCCACGTGGAGATGCGAAGATCGTTCTCCCGTGCAATCTACAGCGTCTTATCTGGAATGCACAGAAGATATTCAAAGTGGACCTCCGGAAGCCAGTCAATCTGTCTCCACTTCACGTTATCAACGGCGTGCGCGAATTGTCTAAGAAGTTGATCATTGTGTCTGGAAACGATGTGATTTCGAAGCAGGCCCAGTACAATGCGACACTCCTGATGAACATTCTGCTGAGATCCACTCTATGCACGAAGAAGCTGTGCACAACGGCGAAGTTGAACACAGAAGCGTTCGATTGGCTCCTCGGAGAGATTGAAACTCGCTTCCAACAAGCGATCGCGCAGCCCGGAGAAATGGTCGGTGCTCTGGCCGCTCAGTCGCTCGGAGAGCCCGCCACTCAGATGACGCTGAACACTTTCCACTACGCCGGAGTGTCTGCCAAGAACGTAACACTCGGAGTACCGCGTCTGAAGGAGATCATCAACGTGTCGAAACAGTTGAAGACGCCATCGCTGACTGTGTTCCTCACCGGACCCGCTGCCAAAGATCCAGAAAAGGCCAAGGATGTCTTGTGCAAATTGGAGCACACCACTCTGAAGAAGGTGACCTGTAACACGGCTATCTACTATGACCCAGATCCGAAGAACACCGTGATCTCTGAAGATGAGGAATGGGTATCGATCTTCTATGAAATGCCGGATCATGACTTGTCGAGAACGTCACCGTGGTTGTTGCGCATCGAGCTGGATCGCAAGAGGATGGTTGACAAGAAGTTGACTATGGAAATGATTGCTGATCGTATTCATGGAGGATTCGGAAACGACGTGCACACCATTTACACCGATGACAACGCCGAAAAGCTCGTTTTCCGTCTTCGTATAGCCGGAGAAGACAAGGGAGCCGATACCCAAGAAGAGCAGGTCGACAAGATGGAGGACGACGTCTTCTTGCGCTGTATCGAAGCGAATATGCTGTCGGACTTGACTTTACAAGGAATTCCAGCCATTTCCAAGGTGTATATGAATCAGCCGAACACTGACGACAAAAAGAGAATCATCATCACACAGGAGGGAGGATTCAAGGCTGTGGCCGATTGGATTCTGGAAACTGACGGAACTGCTCTACTCAGAGTTCTTTCGGAGAGACAAATTGATCCCGTTCGCACGTACTCCAACGACATCTGTGAAATCTTTGAAGTGCTCGGAATTGAGGCGGTCCGGAAAGCCATTGAACGAGAGATGCACAATGTCATCTCCTTCGACGGTTCCTATGTCAACTACCGTCACTTGGCACTTCTCTGCGATGTGATGACTGCTAAGGGACACTTGATGGCGATCACTCGTCACGGAATCAACAGACAGGAAGTCGGAGCACTCATGCGTTGTTCCTTCGAGGAGACTGTAGATATTCTGATGGAAGCGTCTGTCCACGCTGAAGTGGATCCGGTCAAAGGTAAGCTGGATTTTCAGTAAGAAGCACAAGCAATAATCATTCAGGTGTTTCTGAAAACATCATGCTCGGTCAACTCGCTCGTTGCGGAACTGGATGTTTCGACTTGGTTCTTGATGTGGAGAAATGTAAATACGGAATGGAGATCCCTCAAAATGTGGTGATGGGCGGAGCTTTCTTCGGAAACTTTGCTGGTACTCCGAACGCTCGCGAATTCTCTCCATCTCACTCCCCGTGGAACTCCGGAATCACTCCAGCATACGCTGGAGCTGCCTGGTCTCCTGGCGCAGGTGGTGGTGCTGGATTCTCACCAAGTGCTGGATTCTCACCAGCTGGAAACGGTGAAGGCGGCGCTTCTCCATTCAACGAGGGAGGATGGTCTCCAGCTTCTCCTGGAGATCCGCTTGGAGCTCTTTCCCCACGAACTCCATCATACGGAGGAATGTCTCCGAATGCGTACTCTCCAACTTCTCCGCAATTCTCAATGACATCCCCTCGCTACTCTCCGACCAGTCCCAACTATTCTCCGACTTCTCCAGCTGCAGGACAGTCACCTGTCTCTCCGTCATATTCTCCGACGAGTCCGAGCTACAGTCCGACATCACCCAGCTACTCTCCGACGTCGCCCTCGTATTCGCCATCGTCGCCAAGCTACAGCCCGACTTCTCCGTCGTACTCTCCGACGTCACCGAGTTATTCTCCGACGTCCCCGTCGTATTCGCCGACCTCTCCGTCCTACTCTCCGTCGAGCCCACGTTATTCACCAACATCGCCGACATACAGTCCGACAAGCCCGACGTACTCTCCGACGTCGCCAACATACTCCCCGACGTCTCCAACGTACTCTCCAACAAGTCCGAGCTACGAGGGATACAGCCCATCGAGTCCGAAGTACTCTCCATCGTCACCGACTTACAGTCCGACGAGCCCGAGCTATTCTCCGACTTCGCCGCAATACTCGCCAACGAGTCCGCAATACAGCCCGAGCTCTCCGACCGTGAGTTTATATTCCTTCTTCGTTCCCATCAATATCATTCGTTTCAGTATACACCATCGAGTCCAACATACAATCCAACTTCGCCTCGTGCGTTCCAGTCGCCGCAATACTCTCCCACGTCGCCGACGTACTCTCCGACGTCTCCATCGTATACTCCATCGTCGCCGCAGGTAATTTCTGCAGTTAGAGTTGTATATGTCAATAGTTTTTTTTCAGTATTCTCCAACGAGTCCCACATACACTCCAAGTCCAGCTGGTTACGACAGCCAACAAGGCACGTCGTCGCAGGTAATAGACGATTTCATCGTTCTTGCACCATCCGAATCTGTTTTCAGTACTCGCCGTCGTCTCCGACCTATTCTCCGTCGAGTCCGACCTACTCCCCGACTTCGCCGTCCTACAGTCCAAGCTCGCCGTCTTACGAGCCAAATCAATAGAATTTTACCCGATAACTTATTTTTTGGTGTTTTGTCCCGCTTTGTTATATCCTTTTTCTTCCTTTTTTCTTCGTCTTATCCCTTTTTCATAAACGTACTATCAGTACTTCTTTTACTTCTCTCTCTCTCTCTCCCATTTTCTGTTTTTATTTTGCTAACACAACATCGCGTCCGGAGTTGTGACCCTATCTCATTTCCAGTAGTTTTTCGCCCATTCTCATCGACTGATCCCTATTGACGCACGTGTCCGTCGTCATCCCCTTCCATTCCGGATCGGAACGCTTCGTGTTGATGTGTTATGGTCTTTTTCGAGTCAATAAACTGCATTTCATTAACAGAAGCGGAGGGGACACTATTTCTGAATGACTTTGAAGCGCCCCATGATTGAACGATTACGCAATTGTTTATCATGTATGACGAACGAACTGGTATAATGAAAACACGGATGAGAGGGACGAAAACGAACAGAAAGAATAGGACGGTTTACTCTTCGATGAGATTTGAGATCTCGAGATAATGTCCGGTTTGGGACAACTTCTCAAGTACCTTGTTTTCGCTGAATTCAGATGACGTGGTAGGAGGAGGAGAAAAAGAGGAAGTGGTAACGGAGGGAATATATCACTTGTTATCAAAAGGACGAATGAAGCGGCATGATGGTCAAAACAAAAGGACGAAGGGAGGGATTACGGTAGATCGAGGAGGACCAGATCTCTAAAGTGGCGGACGAGTTTGACGTCTTCTTAATTGCTCGAGTCTTCTGGACAAATTCATAAGATTCACTGCCGTTCAGAAGAAGATGAGTTCCTTCCGTTCGGTCACTTTCGATTCATTTTCCACCGAATTACTCAACATCGAAAAACAATATTTCTTCTGCTTCTTCTACTTCTTTTCCTTCGTCCTTTTCCCCTGTGCAAATTGCATCTCCTTTCGAATCTGGCCATCTTCAGACACTTAACGTCCATCCGAGTGCTAATTGCCACAATCTTTTCGCGCCACCAACTGGTTCCCCTGTCTCGCCGCCTCGCACTCTCTCTTTCTCTCACTCTCCCAATGAGGTTACGGTATAAAAGGAGGCAGAAGTCGACGGACGAACGGCACTTTTCACATCAATCATGGAGGTGCAGGAGATCAAAAATCGGGTGAGTCCCCTTCGGATGGTTCTTTTTTATGCATCCGTTTCTTCTAGATGAAAGCGTATCGTTTCGTGGCCTACTCGGCCGTCGCGTTCTCAGTTGTCGCCGTCATTTCGGTGAGCTAACCTCCAGGGACCATCCACCAAAATGATCCCTCTTTTAGGTGTGTGTCACTCTTCCGATGGTCTACAACTACGTTCACCACGTCAAGAGAACCATGCAGAATGAGATTGTCTATTGCAGAGTGAGTCCACTCACTCTATCGCTAGCCCCTCATTGTCTCCATTTCAGGGCTCTGCAAAGGACATCTGGTCGGAAGTGAGATCCCTAAAGACTGCTCTCGAGCCAATCCACAACAGGACGGCTCGTCAGGCGTACGCCGATGCGGCTGTTCACGGAGGAGGCGCCGGCGGCGGAAACTGCGAAGCTTGCTGTCTTCCAGGCCCAGCCGGACCTGCTGGACAGCCCGGAAACCCTGGAAAGCCAGGAAAACCGGGAGCGCCGGGACTGCCTGGAAACCCGGGAAAACCACCAGTTCAGCCGTGTGAACCGATTACTCCACCACCATGCAAACCATGCCCAGAAGGTCCGGCCGGACCTCCAGGACCTCCAGGACCACCGGGAGATGCTGGAACTAACGGAGCACCAGGAGCACCTGGGCGAGAGGCTCCACCAGGAGAGCCAGGACCGAAGGGGCCACCAGGACCACCGGGAGCTCCAGGAGCACCAGGAGAACCAGGAAGACCAGGAGACGATGCTCCAAGCGAGCCCCTCATCCCAGGAGAGCCAGGACCATCCGGACCGCCAGGGCCCCCAGGACCACCGGGACCAGATGGGCAGCCAGGAAACCCTGGAGGACCAGGAACACCTGGACCGAAGGGACCGCCAGGAAACCCAGGAACTCCTGGAGCCGATGGAAAACCAGGAGCCCCAGGACCCGCTGGACCAGCCGGAGCCAAGGGAGAGAAGGGAATCTGTCCGAAGTACTGCGCCATCGACGGGGGAGTCTTCTTCGAGGACGGAACTCGCCGATAAATTATTATTATTATTTCCTGTTCGATCTTTATGTTTCACTCGGTCTTTCATTACAATACACTATGGCTTTAGGTGTGTACATCACAATAAAACAGTTGTTTTACAGTTTCCACTTTCTTAAAACCTCTTACTTCTACACATTCCCTTTGTTGTGTGCACATCTTCGCCTAGGCGACGCGGATTTCGATCCGTTCTAATGTTCACCTCTTCAGGTCAATCGCCGCGCAGGGTACTCCGCCATACGTTCATTTCGGTTTCTCCGCCTTTTCGGTTCCTCCCATTTGCTCGAATGTACTCTTTCCTATTTAAAATCAAAATGAGAAGACCACTCTGCTTTCCATTTCATTCCATTCGCATTCCCTCTCCTGAATAAGAACTGCTAAGTACGCCAAATAGTTCTGATTCTGCTGTAGTCCTTCTACCATTCAACTCAACATTTCATCACAAACTTTTTCGGAAAATCAATACAGTCACAGTGGATTTGTGCAGAACACCTTTATTTTGCATGGCCGTCACAGCGCGGCCTAAGATTCTCCCGGAGAATTACTCTTTCCGTGCGCACGTCGCCTCATTTTCTTTCGCACTTTAAATTCTCTTTTCTTCACAAACCTCGCACTTCTTCTTAACAAATCTGTAAAAAATTCAATGAAAATCTATTTTTTTTTCAGAAAATGGAACCGTTGGAGGCACTTCAGAAGCACATCAAGAAGCCAGACGAGTATCCGCTCAGGACAGTCACCGTGGTACGTCTTTCCTGCTTCCGAGAGCATCATCGATTGAATACTTGTGTTTTAGGATGGTGTCGATTACTTGGCGTTCGGTGACTTTGCGTACAAGAAGGATACGCTGACAAGCCTGCCCATCTACGGAAAGAGTGAATTTTATTCGCTCGAATCCCTCGTCGTCTTTCTGAAGTACAAACTTGATAACCACGGACATTATGTGAAGGAAGCAGCCGCTGCGAACGTTCGCGCAGTCACTCGTATCGACAGAAAGAATGTGATCGAATCCTTGCAAGGAGACCGTCCAGAGTTGGTCAGTACGATACCATCAGAACCTCCGATCTCTCTGAAAAAACTGCTCGGCAACGAAGAACCAGAAGCAAAGAAGCCGCGTCTTGACAATGAAGCTGAAAAACCAACTGAACCAACACTGCAAGCCAAGAAAGAAGTGGAAGTTCGGGCTCTGAATGACAGTCTCACCGTGGACAGAATCGCTGAAATGAGAAGGAAAAGACAAAGTCACCGTGAAAAGGGAATTGTCACTATTGAGTAAGTTTTGTTTTGAAAAAGAGAAAAGTAAGTGTTTATTTTTTGATTTCAGCGAATCATTGTCAACTCTCACATCATCGTCGCTACCAAAAACGAGAATTCATCGTACCAGAGAGAACGTGATGCTCGGTGTGCGGGATCTGAGCAATGTTCTCGACGTCATCAGTTCGGCCCAACGTCAGTGGGATTTGGATGAGAAGAAGGAGAAAGTGGCGGCTGTGCACGCGTCAAGTCTGTCAAGAGATCAGACTCAGCAGCAGAGATCCGGATATTCCCGATATGCACAAGAAGCTTTCGCGCACGTGAGTTGCATTAGAAATCACAGAACTCGAATGAACAAGTGATTATTTCAGGAGAAAACGAAAGAAATCCAAACCGAAGGATCGTTCATTGGTAGCAATCTTAGCACTCTCAAACAGGGGCACAATGCGGCAACAACACAGAGTAAGACTCCATTTCTTTATTCTGTTAACTGAAGTTCTGTTTTCCAGAAACGCCGGAAACGCCAACTCCAATGAGACCGCCTGTTTCCAAACCAACGCCGTCCCCTCTCACGGTCCAGGGAGGAAAACGAGCGTCTCGCTCCCCGATTATCATTGTGCCGGCAGCGATGAACGCAATGATCAATCTTTATAACGCACGGGATATTCTCCAAAATCTTGGATTCGTTCCAGTAGAAAAGCGGCGCCAAGAAATGAACAAAAAGCCAACGGATCTGGCAATACAGCGTCAGAAGAACGGAACAACATGTAAGTAGTTTGAAAATGTATCAAATCAGCAAAAAATATATAACGTCATTCAGTTAACATTCGCGTCGTCGACAATGCAGAAAAGTTAGCCAATGAAGATTGGGACCGCGTGATTGCCGTATTCGTAATGGGCGTCGCGTGGCAATTCAAAGGCTGGAAATGGAATGGCAATCCTACCGACATCTTCACCCACATTCCCGCATTCTACTTCCATTTCGACAACAACAAGCCGGTGGCCCAAGTGATGCAGTGGAATGTGCACAAAATACCAGTGTCGGCTGCGAAGCGGCACATGGACAAGGCCCGATTCAGTCAAATGTGGGAGACGATCGAGAACTTTGTGCGCAAGAACAAGCCGCAGCTGACGGGACGTCTCGGTCTTTGAGCGATAAACAGATACTCATGGAAACCCATTTTACCGTTTTCATTCAACACGCGTCGTTATTTAATCAATTCTCATTTCAATAAATTCTGTTAACCTCCAGAGATGTGTACAAGTCAAGGTGTTTCCCGTTTGCCACTAACTGCACTTGGGGCCAAAAGGCCAAATTAGTATTCAAATTGGTCTTGACACTTTTCTCTTTCTCGGAATTTATGCGTTTTCGCTTCTTTTCTTTTCTTCTCTCTTTCGTATCGTTTTCATCGTCAGCCACACCCTCATCTTCTCATTCCGGTCATTCTTCAGATCTCTCTCATTTCTAGTTCATTATTCAACAGACACAATTGAAAGAGATAGCGAGAGAGAGAGAGAGAGAGCTAATTAATGGAAACAAGGGGCGAAGGCCTTCGACATCATCAAGTATTTGGACTCGTTGACGGCCGAAGACGTCCTTCTTCGAAGGTCCACTCCGTTAATTCCCATGGCCCGGTGCGGAGAGCAAGCCCTATTGAGCACACACACACGCACGTCTGCGCCCTCCGCCTCTCCCGATCCCTCGACTCGTTCCGAAGAGGGCGGTCCCCTCCTCCTTTCCGTCTTCTTGGCAATAGGCCAACGGCGACGGAAAAGCTGCGCGCACAAGCCGCTCGGTTGCGCCGAGAGCAAGAGCAAGAGCTCTTTTCGGAGGGAGCCACGCGAGTTGCTTTGCTCTCGATGTGCCCGCCCGCCCGTCGTCTGTGCCTACGTTTCATGCTCAAGTCGGTGCCCTCCGTTGACCTCGCCACTGCTTTCATTACCCTTCTCTTTTCTGTCCGACCGTTCCGATCTTTCCGATCCGATCCTATGCATTCAAATCTCTCAAAGACGCGAAGGTTCCCCGTTTGTTCGCGCCAACAAATTACCACAATCGTAAAGTGTTAGCCGGCAGTTTCTTTTGTCTCTTCTTTGTCACAAAAGTGACGTAACTTCTGTACTGTTTTCTGATGTTTCCCACTCTTCGCCGCCGTCCGCTCTGCCAAAGTTTACTTTACGTCGTTTTGCGCAATGTTCCTTTAGTCGCCACTGATCGATTCTGATAAAAACAGTTGCCTTCATTTGTTGGAGCGAGCTTTCACCCGTTCTCAGACACTGCCTACATGTGCATTTCGGTCCGTCTGACCCATTTTAATCCTCGCGTGTACCCACTTCCCATTTGCCGAAAAATGAGAAAACTAGAGAGAAGAAACGCAGAGAATTTTCTATTTTCATTCGCGATTTCCGTCAATCTCTTATTTTCGTTCAACGTTCTTCATCTCGAGTTCCTTCTGGAGCAGAGATCCACGTGGCGTATCAGTTTAGAGACGCATACAGTAGTGATCATACTTCCTTTGCGCTATCTATTTCGCATGACTTATTCATTCGATTCAGTCCCTTCTCCCGTTTCTCCCCCGCCCGTGAAAAGACACCACCCAAATTTTTGATGCGAAAAACAGGAAGATGTGAGACAATGTTGAATGCAAAGAGACGGAGAGAAGCAGAACGGTGTGGATGGCAGACACCTCCCGCTGCTGGAGGGAGGGACCCTCTACTGCCCGTCGGTATTCCCTACGACACTCCGCACATTACTGTCCCCTTTCCGCGCTGTTTATCCGCGCGTAATCGGCTTCCTTTCTCTCTGTGCTCTCTTCCTTTTCGACGGGCTCTTCCGCTTTGTTCGGCTCGTCGTTACCGACTCGTTTGCGCTTTACACGTGTTGTTTTGCATCCCGTTTTGATGGAGTTTTTCATTTTTTCAGAGTCACACTGGAGCGAGGCGGGTGGTACGGTACGGCGACAAACGGCATCGATGCCGATTGGCCGTACGATGCTCACGTGCCAGGACCCTCCAACTACCCGGACCATTCGGCACCTGGTGAGTCTTGATCATTTTTGTTCTAAACTATCGAAAATATATTGATTTCGGCTGACCTTAAGCACCAAGATTCTGCTGGACCAAAGGCATTACAGGTCCAGCTCCATACAGTCGGACTTCAGTAATGAATTCCACTGGTCGAAATCCGATGAGCTTCGTCACTGTTCCGGCCAACACTTCCATCTCATCGGCATCTCGGAGACCACTTCAGAGGTATTGTGCACCAAAAGGAACACACCATCCAATCAGAGCCATTCAGACAGCACCGATCGATGGACGGACTCGGAGTGCTCGACGCCTACAAAGATTCGTTCGAGTACGACGTGGTCCAGCCGACGGGCAAAGCCTATCATCAGCCGTCCTACTTGCCCCTTGAGATCTCCACATCTCAACACCATCCGCATCATCATCATGGTCCCACTCAGCCGCAATTCAATCGCGGAGCATCTCTTGCTCTTTCCAATCCAATCCCCACGCAGAATGCTTTTTGGCAGCATAATAATAGGTGAATAAGAAAAGAGAGAGAGAGAGAGAGAGAGAGAGAGAGAGAGAGAGAGAGAGAAACTAAAGACTGAGAGCGAATTGGCGACCAAATTGTGCGGGTCCGTCAGGGGGCTAATGCAATTTGGGACCACACGACGGAAAAAGGAAACTATGTGCTCTTTCTGGCCGTCTGCTCGATTTCTTCTCACTGATTTTTCGTTTTTCTCCTTTTCTTCACTCCCTCATTGATTTTATCGGATTTAAATGCTGTGCGATTGAGCTACTTTACGGCTTCAGAAGCCAGTGGTTTTGGATGGGAGCACACTTGAAATGCAGTTGTTTTTGGGCGGCGAACGACATGCATATTATACTCCCCGGAGGGAGAAGCCAGAATGACATGCACTCCCTCTCTGCCTCCCCCTCTTTCGCTCCTTTTTCCCTTTTTCGGTGAAATGTGATATCCAGAAGGAAAGAGAGAGAGAGAGAAAATATAACGTTTTGCACAATTCACATATTTCAGCATGGCGACCACATCGGCAGGTAACCAGGAATACGATATGATGCAGCCGGGCATATCAAGAATGGCACCGACGACTGCCGGAGGAATGAACATCGCCAGGGAGTACGAGCAGTTGAAAGTGGAGTACGAAACGATTATGGAGAAGTTGAACCAGACAATGAACAGCATCAAGACATTCTGGAGCCCGGAGCTGAAAGTAAGCATCATTAAGATTGTCTATTACTATTGTGTTGCTTGCAGCGGGAAAGACAGCTCCGTCGCGATGAAGCCACTCGAATAGCTCAATTAGAGAGGATGGTGCACTCAGGAGGAGGAGGTCTTAATGAGTACGGCGTCGGATCAAACGAAGGTAATCATTTCTTTCCCCGAAGAGTCAGCACCCCTTCTATTTCCAGCTCTCCAACTTCGAATGGAACTGCGTGAGCGGGAAGAGCGCATCCGCCAATTGACGACTGCTCTCGAGTCTGGAAGCGGAGGAATGGATTCAAGAGTTCGCGAGCTGGAGGACACGATCATGCGACTGCAGGATCTTCTGACGACCAAGGAGACTCAGGCGATGATGAGCAGTCAAGACCCGAGCGGCCGGCAAGCAATAGAGAATGCACTGAGAAGGATCGACGAGAAGCAGGCGAGGATTGTTGAGTTGGAGGAGGAGCTGATGAGACAGAGGATGGGACGGAGCAATCAGCCGAGGGACTTCACCGACAAGAACTTGTCCGGGCACGAAATGGCAACAATGAGAATGAAAATGGAGAGGAGTGAGGTGGAATTGGCGGAAAGGAAACACGAGCTGATGAACTGTCAAACGAGGATGCAAACTGCCGAGGAGACGGCTAACGAAATGAGATCGCATCTGCAGTTGCTGAAAGATCAGTTGACGAATCGGGAACAACACAACACACTGCTCCAAGGAGACGTGGACGCACTCAGACAAAAGCTGGACAGCAAGAACAAGCAGCTCGAGCAGAAGGAAGAGAGAATCGGAGCACTCGAAAGGGATTTCTCTTCTTCAAAGGCCGACGTTTCCGATAAGACGGAACTGATTCGACAAACCGAAATGAAGACGTCTCAACTGATCGGACGAATTGATGGATTGGAAAACACCGTCCGAGACAAGGAACAAGAACTTGACAGAGCGAAGATCAGGCTGCTAAGCCATCCAGACGTCGTCAAGGAGAAAGAGATGACCGAGAAGATCGAGCAGGGAGAGCGAGAGAGACAGAGACTTCAGGAGCACATCGATCAGCTCAGACGGAACTCGGAAAAAGAACAGATGGAGCAACAGAAGACGTACCAGAACGAGATGACCCAGTTGAAAGCGACGATCGACAATCTGCAAAAGGAGTTGTCCGATAGAGATATTCTTTTGGAATCTCAGAACGAGAAGATCGGAGACATGAACAGAGATCTCGTGGCAGCCAAGAAGAGAATAGAAGATGCGATGGTCGATAAAGGAACGGATGAACTGAGAAAGGATGTGGAGGCAGCTAGGAGCGAAGTGGATAAGCTGCTGAAAATGGTGAACGGACTGGAGAAGGAGAACTCTTCGTTGAAGGCCCAGTGCAAGCAGCTGAGCAGTGAGAAGAGGGACTTCGATAAAGGAGATCCGAGAGGAATGGGCGGAAGTGTTTCTGGAATGAGCACGATCACGAAAAGTGCCAGCGGACAGTCGAACTTGCACAAAAGAATCGAGGAGCTGGAAGAAGCGCTTCGGGAGTCCGTGTCCATTACAGCCGAAAGGGAAGTGCACCTCTCGCAGCAGAAACACCATCTCCAGCAGATGTCTTCCCAGTTGAACGAAGCCAGAAAAGAAGTGAGTCCTCGATGAACAGTTTGTTTCCAAATTAAATTTTCAGATCTCCGATCTCCGTCGGAACAAACAGAATCTATCAGAAACCGGCGATCGGGATCAAATGATTCGAGCGATTGAAGCGGAAAGAAGGCAGCATTTGGAGCAGTTGTTCCGGCTCAAGTGAGTTTTAATATCATTTGTGATCCCAACTCGATTCTTTCCAGACAAGAAGCTCTGCTCGCAGCCATTTCTGAAAAGGACACGCATCTGGCACTGCTCGAAAAGTCTCGTGGACCTCGCGATGAAATAGAGACTATCCGTCGACACAAAGACGCGCTGATGAGGAAGCTTAAGCAGGAGAACGAGAGGTGAGACTACTCACTCATTAATAAAAGAGAGTGTGCTTTTCAGAAGAGTCCTCGTAGCGCATCCCGATCCGGTTATCTCGATGAACGCGATGGCGAGTGTGATCCCGGGTGCCCCTCTTCCTGCTCCGATCATCCCCGGAACCATCGGAATGCCTCTTCCCAACGTCTCCCAACCACCTGTGGACCAAGACGAAGAGGGAATCTGGACGTGAGACCCTCACGTTATTATAGCTCCAATTGTCAAGTTTTACCCTTTTTCCGATGATCCCCTCCCCTTCCCCCCTTTTTTTTCCATATCTCAATCCCATTCTCTTTCCTACCCGCTCACTCACTCACTTTTCATCATGGCACTTCTTTCGACCTGTTTTTGATCTATTGAAATCTCAATCACTCAACTTTTCCTCCGTGAAAACTGTGTTACCGTACTCTTAACTCTTTCTTTCTCCATTCTTTTGGGTCCGTTTTTTTCTTTGATTCAAATTGATAGATATTTATTGACTTTTAAAATCACGCCTTTGCCGTTCCATTTGTGCTCTTTTGAGAATCAGCAAGTTTCAGGAACATCGAGTGGAACTTGCTCCAAAATTCCAGGATAGACATCAGAAAGTTCTGGGAAGAAGGAGTTGCAGTCATTGGCTTGGCAGTGATCGAAGAGGTCGAGTTGAGAGAAGAAGCGGGAGCGAGCAGCTGAAAAAGATTGTGCGGGACTACAAGAATAACAAAAGGATTACATGGGTTCGGCCCTCAATCATCAGAAAAACAATGAACAGTGTCGAAAGAATGAGTAGAACTTTCATGTCGAACGAAACTGACGGACATTGTGAGGAGAGGGGAATTTAAAGGAAGATGTTCACATCTCGATTCTCAGGCGTTATTGGTAATAAACTATTGGAAAAACTGAAAACAGTGAAAGAGTTTGAGCTTCACTTTTTGACCAACGAATATCTTTGGAGAATAGCGTTTCATGGAACTTGTCTGATTGGTTGTGACGCTTAATGCACTACTGCGAAACTAATCAAAACGGCGCCAATAACATTAGGGTGGAATGACACAGAGCTGCCTGCTGAGCCCGCCTTTTTTAAATCAGTTGGCTTCGATAGCATTCCCAACTATGGATTCGGCCTCATCGGACCACTGGCTGCTGAGTAATATGGTAGATGCAGCACCAAATACCATCGGAGTCGTTATTATCATTTTCAATGCGATCGGCCATTTCGGTAACTTCAATCTGATTTACGCGACGTTCAAGAACCACAAGCTGCAGTCGAAACACGGCTGGCTGCTGGTGATTCTCTGCTCCGAGCACTCGATTTGTCTGTGTTTCGAGTTCATCAATGTCTACTTCGCCCTGACAGGCATCCACATACCCCGGAGTACTTGTCTCTTGTACCTTTCCCCGTACATCTGTGTCAGTTTCCTTCAATCTACCACATTTATGTCACTTGCGATAGATGTTCTGCTCTCCTGCACTTTTGCAGTCAAGTATCAGAAGTGGCGCACTTCCCGTTACTTGGTACTCCTCACTGTCACCCCCGTTATACTGCCAGTTGCGTTCCTGATTCTCCTTTGGAGCAGAGCAACGGGTGAGATGATATTTCTGTGCAATCCTCCGTTATCAATGGACGACAAATCCGTTAGCATGTGGGGAGCCTTCGTAACTTCCATAAACATGCTGATTCTCATCGTTTATGGCTACGTCTATTTCCATGCTCGCGACCAATGTGAGCATTTTCAGTTCATCGTATTTTTCACATCCAATCAGTTAAGGTAAGAGGACGAGCGATGCGCGCAACACTGAGAAAGTGATGAGATCGATGACGATTCTGGTTCTGGTCTTCTGTTTTTCGTGGGTCACTTGCATGGGATCAGTCTTTCTCATCGAGTACATCACTTCAAATTCCTTGCTCATTATGCTTATACGAAGTTATGCAGTTAGTTGATTCGGCCCCAGAACATCTTAATCTCTCGTCTGTTTCAGGTCGTTTTCGGCGTGATCTCTTATTCTCAGACGTTTTACGTATACTACGCTCGATCCGAAATATATAGACACGAGTTCAGAAGACAAATTTGTTCCAAAAAAGAGAAAAAAACAACTATGACAGTTATGTCGAAATCTTTTTGATCTGCAATTGTTCGTTTGTCTCATGTCAGAGACTGACTAATATAATAAATTCGTGGTAATGCAGTTTGATTGCAGACATTATTAAATTTTCCAAGAACATGACTAACAGAAAACTATGAAACACATGGCTTCAGAGTGATTGAATTGAAGTGAGAATTGATGTTATTAAAGGAATAGAATGATCACTTTTATGAGAATAGAGTGCAGAGACGCGGAAGTTCCCAGAATGCAGGTGGAAGAATGGACTTTGGACAGTGGGGGATCTGCAAACAACTGCAGAAGCCCTTCGTGTCGTCCAACTTTCCACTCCGCTCCCTCTTCAATTATCAGTGCCTTTTCTTCCCGTCTGAGTCTCTCAACCTTTTTTGGAAGTTTTTGAGCCTGTGAAGCACGACCAATATAGGCTGCATTCGTATTATTATTAAATTCTGAGTCAGCCATGTTCCGCGATTTTCTCGTGGAAACCAAAGTTAGGTGAGTGCTTCTGAATGTGCTGAACACAGAAGAGGATAAAAAGGATTATGTGAGGTGTGGCAAAGGGTTCAACGGTTTAGAAACTTCGGTCTTTGGTCTCGTTCACCTTTTCCCAAACATTTGGTTTATTTGTCTGGTACATTTACGAGGCAGGTTTGAGCGTAGTTGGCGACAGTTTCATTTTCGAGTTTTCGACTTTGCCGTGTCCGTCTATTTTAATGCTTTCATGTGACTGACGGAACTCCTCTCCTCATCATCATACACTTTCTTATCACTCCTTAACAATAAACACCTTTTTTCTACACGGATTTGCCAATAAACCGGACACTCAAAAAGTAATCAAGAGTCCCGGTAACGACACTTTTTCACTAATTTACTGCGACTGATAAGAAGACAGTGTGTGACGAGAAGGAGAGTCTGTCGGTTCGGTGCCTCGTATAAAAGAATAGAGCATTTTCCAGGAGGGAAGCGATTGCAAGCATGCTGAAGAGCACGAAGCTGGCCGACGGACTGCTCGGAACCACTCTCGAATGGACCGATGTGGAGGAGATTGCGAATGATGGATTCGACGGAGAGCTGAGGATCGGAGACAAGAAGACAATTAGACCGCTGGCCGAGGGAGTGGTGAGTGGACGGGCCGATGCTCTTTAATTCCTCTGTTCAGGGACTGCAATCTCTTCTGGGAATGGCTGAAGTGGAATGGGATGTGAAGGGAGACGGCCAGAAGCCGTATCCAAACAAGTTTGCACTGAAGATCGGGTCCCCAGTTGCTCTTCTCCGTGAGTGAGGAAATAGTGGGCACGAATTGGAGTGCTTTTTTTCAGAAGCACTGGAAGCACAAGCCGCCAAACTGCCACCTGAGGTAGCTGCCAATGTCTCTGACGAATTCATCCGATTCTTGCCTCCAGTTCGTTCCTTTTCCCATTCCACATATACCGCTCTTTTCAGTGTCACAACTCGGAGATCTACTTCTACGAATACGTCAGCACTCTTCATCCCCGTCTTCCTGAACTCCCCGAGTTCTACTTTGGTCGTGAAATCGAGCTTCTGAAGGATGGATTCTATTCGAAAGGATGTATTGCCATCGAATTGGTGGAAGGTGTCAAGACTCTTTCCCCGCTGGAAAACTTCTCGGATGCTCAAATGATTCAAGTGCTGGACGCACTCGCAAAACTGCAAACTCACTTCATTGACATGCCGGAAGATCAACGGAGAAAGGCTCCACATCAGGGATTGGCAGGACTCTACTCGACTTTCAAGGACTGGTTTCTCCAATTGAACAACGGACTGATGCTCCAGTTCCCTGACCCGGACCTTCAAAAGTTGGCGGAAGAGTTTGCGGTTTCCCTTCCGGAAATCATTACGGCTGATGAATTGGATCAAGTACCGGCAAAGTTGGGAATGAAAAAGGTTCTGGTGCACGGAGATCTGTGGTCGGCCAACATTATGTGGGAAGGAGATAGACTGGCAAAGCTGATCGATTTCCAGGTAGGAAGGAGAGTCCTGCTCACCCACTTACCGCTCTTCAGATGATTCACTTCGGTCTCGCAGCCACGGACCTTGCGCGAGTGTTCAATACTTGTCTGAGTCCGGAAGACAGACAACAGAACAAGGAGAAGTACCTGGAATCGTACTACAAATCGTTGAAGAAGCACTGTGCAGAAAAGGACAGACCAGTTCCGTTTGAATTTGAACAGGTGAGCGTGTGAACAATGAAGTTTCCAACTTCAATGATCCTTTGATAATTTTTAATGTATAACCAGTTTGAATTTGATGAGAGTGAAAGAAACAACCTGATAACATTCCAAACACTTACAGCTCCGTTCGACCTACGAACTCGCGTATCCACGTGTCTCTGCATACCTTCTTCCCGCTCTCACTGCAATTTTAGAGGTATTTGACCAAGTTCAAGTGTACTAAAGTCCCTGAGCATTTCAGAAAGTACTCCAAATGCCGGATGTGCCAGAGAAGTCGATGATCCTGTCAATGTTCATATCGAAAGTCAAAGGAATCTACTCGGATATCATCAGGACCTACCAGAACAGATCGAAATTTTGAACTCTCCGCCTGAAATAATCCATTTTCCATTTCGGGAAACCTTTAATATCATCATTTTCCTCCCTTCCGTATTATTCAAATCGAACCGATGACTATTGTATAAATAATTGATTCTGTCGACGCCTTCTTCTCCCCGTTCAGTGACTGACAGCGGCATGGAAAAGGACACTTCTCTCGGAATCGTCTGTGCTCTCATTTCGGCAGTCACATTCGGATCCACGTACGTGCCCCTGAAATGGTTCCACAAGGGAGACGGAATCTACTTCCAATGGGTCCAGTCCCTGGGCCAATTACTCGTCGGAGTGGCGGTCGCATTGAGCACGACGCCCACTCCGATCCATCCGATTGCCATGCTCGGAGGAATGTTCTATTCAATCGGTGAGGTTCAGACTAACGGTTAACGAACTGAGAATGCATTCAGGCAACTCTTTGACTGTCTTCATAATGGACGGAATCGGACTGGCCATCGGATACCTTCTCTGGAACACAGTCACTTGTAGTCGTTCGCTTCTCTCATGATCAGTTTATTGTATTTTGTCAGGTGTCGTTGGCTGGGCGGTAACCCGATTTGGCCTTTTCGCAAATCCTCAACAGTCTCCGAAAAGTGATTGGCTCAATATTCTGGGAGTGATCACTGTCTGCGTGGGGTTAGTTAGTTCGCTATCAAGTGGTATTTAGGTGTTTGTTCAGAGGAGCCGTTTACGCCCCGATTAAGCACATTCCGTCGAAAGTGAGACCTGCTCCGTGGAGTTTGGAAGACGACTACAAGTCGGATTCGCTTGTCATCAAGGAAGTCTCACTTACGAGGAGAGTCATGTCAGTGCAGTTGCAGAGTTTTCAAGACAAGAAGGATGAAATGTTTTGCAGATGTCTATTACTCACAATATTCGTTGGATTCCTCTACGGAAACTTCCTCACTCCCATCAATTACATCATCGCCAATGAGGTTCTTCTCAAAATGGTTCGGGTGGGTTGAATGAAGAAAGTGTTTGCAGGAGGGAGCCCTGCCGGACGTGCGTGCCTACATTCTCTCTTATTGTCTCGGCTCTTTTGTCACCTCCACTGTTATCTTCTTCCTCTATTCATGCGTCAAGAAGAACGTTCCCCTCGTGAATGCGGAGCTGTCGATGCCTTCTCTCGTGTCCGGAATCTTGTACGGCATCGCCATCACCACGTTCTTCATGGCAAACCAGCATTTGGATCAGGTTGGTCTGAAATTTGGGCGAAAACTGTCTGTGATTGCAGGTGATTGCCTATCCGATTCTCTCGAAAGCGCCGGGAATCATAGTGAGTCTGTGGGCGATCTTTCTTTTCAAAGAGATCCAAGGCAAGCGGGACATCATCCAGCTGTACATCGGAGTCTTTGTCACCCTTCTCGGAATCGCTCTCATTTCTCTGTCAAAAGTCGAATTTTGATGAATAAACCTTTCTTCCTTCCTTAAATTTGTGCACTGTTTGGCCCTTCGTCCTCGGCCGACATGCTCCGTCCAATTAGAAGTCGTCCGTCCCGGGAGGATGATGCTTCTCTTCCCCCTTTTCCTTTCCTTTTCGTGCCTCATAACATTTACGCATCTTTGTCGCCTCTGTCTGTCATAATAAACATGAGGAGAAAAATAAAAATATGAACAGGGGTGCTGGAAATGCATGTGAGAGCAGAGTTTTTAGAGAAGAAAGGGACGAAAGTGAATGAATAAAAGACCGCAGAGGGAACCTTTTCGTGACTATGTTCAGCGTGGCTCGATTTTGAATTGAATACGCGGAAAAGAAGACGTAATCCGAAAAGAGTGCTAAGTGAGGACAGTCTGGATTGTCGAAGGCACGTTCTCGGGATTATTTCGTATTCTGATGTATGTAAGCATCCAGAAGCTCGTTTGAAAAGGCTTGAACTCTGTCTGCTTGAAACCTGATCCCGATGTTTACTTTGGTCAATACCAGGTCTCGTTCAAAATGACACAATCAGAATGCTTCTTTGTATCCACAAGTCTCAGAATCTTTCATCCATCTGTTACGTCTTCATTCTGGGAATGGGTGATGAGAAAGAGTCTTGCAAAGTCCCCTTTAATACCTTTTGCTTCCCCCCATTTAATTAGAACATCACACACACACACACAATGTCCTTAATTCCGACCAACTACTCGAAGCAAGAAGCGATGCTCTCAAAAGAAGGCTTACGGATGTGTTGGTAACTTCCCCTGCATCCTCCGGAGTTTCTCATAATGCCACGTCATTTCTTTGCTCGGCTCAGCTGCTGACACCCTCATTTCGTATTCATAATATTGATGCTCCAAGAGCCATTAGGATCTCTGGGCTCTCAAGATTCTTGAAACTCCGTCCTTCGTCGGCTACTTCGTCTTGTACTCATCAACAACAAACTACTTGGTCCTCTATAATTGGCTCCTCAACATGTCGCCCTCCGGCTTCTTCTTCTTCTTCTTCTTCGCCTTCTTCTTCTCCTTCTCCCTGTCCTTTCAACCCTACCCTCCCTCACCTATTTCCATCAAAAACGCCCTCCAATTTCTTGTCGAACTCTCACACCTTTCCTCGAATTGTCAGCCCGTTTTTCTGAATATTTCATGAGCATCTCTTCCGCGCATTCTTTCTGCTCATTTCCATTCGACTCTACAAAAGTCTGCTTGCTCGTAGAGAGCACTAGAAATTGTAATGATTACTTTTATTTTTATTTTTCGGGGTTATTGTGAGCGGCACGCGGCACGGCACAAACTCATTTTCCGCCTAGTCGCCTCGCTTTTTTTCTCCAGAATTCTGGCACTGCTGGTGTTTTTTCGACGTGCAGAAAGTGGAACAATGGCGCTTTGTTGCCACGTCATCTGGGGGGATTCATGGAATAGTTTAGAAGAGAAGAACGCATTCTTCTTGCTCTTCTTCTTCTTATTTTCCGCCGACCGCTCCTTTTTCAGAAGCCATAACATCTCGCTGCAACGGGTTCTCTTCCGATCTCATTCAATTTATTATTAGAAGTTAACGAAGTCACTTATATTATCCCATTCCAAATACCGCCCCATTCATATTTTCGGAGCACGTTCTGAACTATATGCACATTGAGCGCTCAATCCTTCGGAACAAATATTGTCTGCTCGTGCAGTCGTTCCCAGTTATCGCTCGTCAGACAAAAAAGAAGCGAGACGTTTTCAGCAAAGGTTGAGACTGTAAACCCTTCCAATACCTTCTACTAGTTACTCCATCGGACCTTTTGATCCTCCGTTCACATGGTCAATTCGTGGAAGTGAAAATGTATGTTTGCGGAATGTGGAATCAATTTCCATGGGTTCAATCCGTTTGTTTTGGCGCTTTTTAGGAGAAATTAATCTGAGAATCAGAAAAGCATTGAAATTGCTAAAAACGAACCACTTCTTGTGCGGAATTCGGAATTCGGATTCCGCGAATCTCTTATGCTCACAAATGTGTTCTTTGCTATCATTCCGTACGAAACCACGTCACCAGAATACAATTTCAATGCTCCAGTACCCACTCGTAATATGTCTTCTTCTTCTTCTCCTTCTTCGTGTTCTTTGAGGGGTTACCCGTGCATTATTGGCCCCTGTTATGATGCCCTATTTCGTGCCTTTGCGAGTGCGCTCTCACTTGCCAAAACAAGTCCCCCTCCTGACCATCCTCTTTCATTTTCAGCTGCAATGTCCGAAGAAGAAGCTCTGCTGCGTGACTGGGCCGCCAGCTCGCAACTGCTGTATTACACGGTCATCTGCGTGGCCGTCGTCACTCTTCCGGCGCTCGTCTTCATGTTGATCATCCTTCGAAAGTACTCGAAATCCAACTATTACTGCTTCCTCTGCTCCATTCTCACCGGCAATTTCGTGCTGCTCGCCACAATTGTCACAAATGTGATATCGGATAGAAATGTGCTAATATTCGCGGGTACGTTTCTATGCATAAGACGAATTCGGAGGCCAGACGACGACGTTTTCAGGCATTCTTCCGGGAGTCGTCGTCTGCAAATTGAGTGCTTTTCTCGTGAACACTTCTTCGTTTTTCGTGCATTGGGCGTGGGTGGCCATGTACGTTCAGGTGACAGAATACACAGAAAACAAGGGGCAAATGGAACGGATTTCAGAGATTTCTGCACGTTTTCTTCCCTTTGCGGGCTCACAGATCCAACGGCAGAAGCAAAGAAACGATCGGAGCGTGAGTGGATCTACAGTCTCATTCTTGAACGGGCACTTGTTTCAGTCTGTGCGCCTTCTCGATCATTTCCCAGCTGTGGACTCCCATTCTGATAACCGAATTGAGTGTGGGCGCGGACGAAGCATCGGGCACCTACTGTGCAGAAGATCCCCGGATATTCGGGCAGACCACTCTCAAATATCTCATCTTTTTCGAGTGTTTCATGACGTTTTTCCTTCCTTTCGTGCTCACCGTCATCGCCGATTTCTCGGTCCTTATCATGCGCAATCCGTGCTCTTCGCCCGATTCGTTCACTTTGATATCCGCCGATGAAATCGTTCATCATGAGCACGAGACAGACGAGAAGAGTCCATTAAAAATAGTGCACAAGTCGAAGATCATGGTAATCATTTTTTAGAAGCAAAATCGTTTGATGGACCCTTTCAGTTCGACATGCGTAGGCGGAACGAGGCGATCCGCCGGTGTCTTCTGCTGGCGACAGTCACTTTGCTTCTGAATCTTCCCAACTATTCACTCCAGTTAATCGACGAATTCTACCATTTCCGCGAGAGTACAGACCTCTCAGTAAGAAGAAAGTTCATTAGAGTGAGCCGGATTCCTTACATACTCTTGCCACTTCATAAGTTTTTAGGCGGATGCAGTGGTCTACATCATTTATCTTCTTCAGTTCCCCACGGTTCCCATCTATATGTATTGTCTTAAAAACGACTTCGACAGAGCGAGATCGTGAGTTTATTAATTGAATACTGCTTCGATTGAATATTGTATGCTTTCAGGAAAACTCGATGTTCTGGGCGAAAGTCGACATCCCATTCGTACGTGTAAACTCATTTGTCTTTCGAATTGAATGAAACGTTTGAAAGTTTTAAAGTCATCGCCACTGTTCAAATCACTCTTCGCATCCTCGGCGTTCCCAGAATTCAACTGAATGCCCCACTGTTTCATTCTCATCCTGTTCTGGCTCCACCCACCCCAATCATATTGTCGTTCTCGCTTTTCGTTTCCTCCTCGTCGTCCATTCCCGGCTTCTTGCTGTTCACGTCCTCCATCCGGATGATCTCATCGTCATCATCGTCTTCGTCGTCATCCGATGCGTCGTCGCCACCCATCACATTTCCGTACACTTTACGGACGGCCGAAGCGGAAGATTTCCGTACACTTTTCGGACGGCCGAAGCGGAAGATTAAATGTGGTTGCAACGATTTGATCATTCTGTCCACCAACGGCAAAAACGTTCAACGGCACCCGGAGTCGACCAGAGAACGGCCCGCAATGCACCGCATTGCCCTGCACCACAGGCAAACCGCCACGGCGAATTGAGAACGAGATGAGGGTGAAAAGCCAAAAAGTCCGAACTTTGGGCCAAATTAGGACCAATGTGAGGGGGCACAACAATCTGAATACAAATGTGAATGAATTGAGGGCGAATTGAGGATGAACAGCGTTACTATATACACAATATAGCTTGAGGACGAAAAGAGGACCAAATTTGGGCCAATAATGATACTATGAAAGAGTAGCTGGTGAAATGCGGATGAAATGCGCATGTGATGGGCTCGTGATCCTTTGGACAATGATGCAGTCAATTTTTTCAGAACCTTTTCTTTTCAGCACTTTTATAGCGTTTCATTTTGTGATTACAGGGTTGATTTTCGGTGATGCCTCGTCGCACGTACAAATACTTCCAGAATAGGAAATGTCAGTGGAGCCATTGAAAACAGTAGTGACATGAATGTTCAGGTGACAATGTTGAAGATAATGGTGAAGAATGTGCTCCCGTAGAAGTGGACGATAACACTCAAGGAACTGTAGATGAGTCAACGTGTGTCTATCAGAATGTGGCAGAGATTAACAAAGTGCTCAAGACGAGGAAAAAGATTGATTACTACGGACTCGTCGAAAATGCGTGCCAGGTTGACGTCGTCGTCGACCCTCAAACTTTCTATCTAACTTCGGCGTTCTCGTTGCTCATGGTTAAGTAAACATTGATTTCCATATTCTTTATTCTCTTTTCAGCTCAAAAAAGGGCGAAACGAGAAGAAAGTTAAGAAAACTTCGGCTCCTGTGACTCAAATCAACACGGCAAAAGGATTCAACTTGGCGCAGGCAAAAGCGGTGGATTCTCCTGTCGCTTTCCCCGGCGGACTAGTCATAAAGGTGACAGATATGATCGCGACTGCTATGTGTGCCAACCAGGGCTGGGCAAATGGCCGGCCATGGCCGGCCATGGCTGGCCAATGAAAAGCCCTGGCCGGGCTAGTTGCAAGCGCGCTCCACTGCAAAAAAGCCCTGGCCGGCCAATGGTACGGTAAGCAATTCGGTTCACTGAGCGGTGTTTGCACACAAAGCATTTTAAATAAAGAAAAAAACGTGTTTTCGAAAGGGTTTTCTTTTTTTTCTAAGTTTTTTCACTTCATGATCAAATATTTTCACAGAAAAATGCTCTATTCGATGAATTCGATTCATAACGTTGTTCCCATACATTTTTTTCTTTCGTTTCGTTCTCATGCATCTCGTTCTCATTAATTCTGTCGTTTTCTTTTATTTTTCTCTTCACTTCTGCTAATTTTCGAAATTTGTCAGCTTTCATTTCATCGAAATTTAATTCACTTACTTTCTTTTCACCTTTTTTCTACTTTCAAGTATGTCTTCTTCTCATTTTAAAATAATTTCTTCGATTTTTTCTTTATTTAAAATGCTTTGTGTGCAAACACCGCTCTGTGAACCGAATTGCTTACCGTACCATTGGCCGGCCAGGGCTTTTTTGCAGTGGAGCGCGCTTGCAACTAGCCCGGCCAAAGCCTTGGCCGACCGCTGGCCAGCCAAGGCCGGCCAATGTTTTGCCCAGCCCTGGTGCCAACTGGACAATGGTCCATGAGACCAAGGCGGTCGCTCAGGTGATCCGAGACATAAGCAAAGTTGTGAGTCATTGTTCACTATTCCGTCTTTGACAACGTTTTTTAGCTTGCCGAGCGAGATCCATATTTCGCTATGTACACCACTCCAACTACCACACCGGGGAAGACACACTACGTGATTCTCGACGAAACCATCTTCAACGTCCTAACTGGTAACAATTTTCTACTCACCGTTTTATCTGCACAAGTTTTTCAGAGTTGGTCGTTGTAGGATTCAGCATGGATTCAGACTTAATGGACAAGACACGTATTCTATCGCAGATCAAGAGCACGGTATATTCATTCCTGTGAGTTTTTACTTCTCATGAAAGTATTAGCACAAAACACATTTTCAGCGAGAAGAGGCGTGCGGAGTTCAACAAAAAACACGGAAAAAATAGTTGTTCCTCATCTGCCAAGGATTTCAAGGACGAGCTCACAAGGTAATTTATTATACTTCTCAGAAGTTGAATGAGTAACCCTACTTTTACAGAAATCCAAATTTTCGCCAAAACCGGATTGAGACTTTCGAGGACGAGAGCCAACTTTTCCACGACGACCGTGACTCTTACGTGCCCAATTTTTATAATATGTGATCTGTTCGAACTTTGGCACGTTTTATCCTATATTTCTGTTAGTTTTTAAAGATAAATAGTAATTGACGTGGAAATGTTTACTGTATGTGAAATATGAGCTAGAATTCCGAAATCCCAAGCGAGCAGGGCCCTGCGGGGTTCTTTGCCCGCTGAGGATGAAACGAGGACCAAATTTGGGCCAACCCATATGAGTCAAAATCAGGCAGTCCTCCAGTTTGTTACCATCTATATGTACCTGTCTTAAAAATAATTTCGACAGAGCGAGATCGTAAGTTCACTTCATTGTTTTGATTGAATATTGTAATATTTCAGGAAAAATTCTGGGCGGTGGTCGACATCCCATTCGTACGTGTAAACTCATTTTCCTTCCGAATTGAATGAAACGTTCAAAATTTTAAAAGTCATCTCCACTGCTCAAATCACTCTTCGCATCCTCGGCGTTCCCAGCATTCAACTGAAAATTCCTCTGTTTCATTCGAATCCTTTTCTGGCTCCACCCACCCCAATCATGTAGTCGTTCTCGCTTCCCCTTTCCTCGTCCTCATCAACCTGCTTCTTGCTGCTCACGTCCTCCATCCGAATGATTTCGTCGTCGTCGTCATCGTCGTCTTCGTCGTCATCCGATGCGTCGTCGCCACCCATCATGTTTCCGTACACTTTACGGACGGCTGAAACGGAAGATTAAATGTGGTTGCAACGATTTGATAACTCACATTGTCTTCTGTCCACCAACGGCGCGTCAATGTCGTCGTCATGTAATCCAATGCTGAAATTGAAGAGAACTACTCAAACGCACATAAGGCTCTTTGCTCACTCATTTTTCTTCTCCTGCTCCAGTCTCATCTTCTCCACTGCCAATCTCATCGCCTTCTCCAGTTCTTCTTGCCTTTGCCTTTCAGATCTCGCCAGGTCATCGTGCACTTTTTTCAGATACGAAAGATTACGGAAGTTCAGGACGTAAATCTGAATTGTTTGGTTTTAACTGTAAACAAGCCTATTGCTCTCTTACCTCATAAAGTTTCTTGAGTCGTTCCTCATATCGTTCATACTCGTCCATGTACTGAGGACGGAAAGACTGCAACTTTGCGTATCTCTTCTGCATCTGCTCGTACTCTCTCTTCTTTTTCTCAATCTTTTCATCCAACTCTGCCTCGTCACTTGCCACGTTGTTCAGTTTATTCTGAAGTTTTCCAGTTCAGTCCTCCCCCTTCTTCTTTCTGTTCCCACCGATAACTGATCTGCTTCTGTTGCTATTCCCTGAATGGCCGCTTGCAATGTCTTCTCGACTTCTCCCAATGGAATGGCTCGCGATGCGGCTCTTTCGTGTTGCTGAGAAATGAACTCTTGCTTCGAAAGAAGCTCGCTGAGCAGTGCTCCAGTCTCCGGAAGTTGGTTGGACAGCTGCCGAGTTATCCGCACTTCTTGCATCTGAAAACAGGCATCGTTGAGCAACTCTCGCAGACTTCAGAATACCCCACCTTTGTGGTCAACTTATTCTTGACTTGTGTCCATTTCGGAGCAATATCAACGTTGGGATCGTCCGCTTTCGCATCATAAAGGATCTTGAGAGCCGGAAGAAGCTCTTGGACGGCGTGCCCGTCTGCCTGATAAAGCTTCTTCGGATTCATTTTGATTCTCGAGTTCTGAAGCATCAAAAGGACGGCGCTCTTGATGAATGCCACTCTGTCTGTTTCACTTTCGATCATTTGAGCATCCAGAGTGGCATCTGGCTCAAATCTGAAAGAGTATCTATCGTATGATTACGGTTTCGTGCGAAAGTACTTTTTGACAATCCATTCGAGTAACTCCGCAACCAGTTTGAAGTTTGGAGTACGGAAGTTCTCGATAGACATCAAGCGAGGATATCGAAGAGTTCGAGTCATCTCACAAAGATCTGAACGTAAGGAGTGGGTTGAAATCTGGGAAAAACGTAATAAGAACCTACTTCTCAGTTCGCGATACGACATAGTTCTGTGTGTGTATGTGCACCCCCTCAAATGTTCAATATTCCCCTCTTCTCACTCCCATTCGTGCTTGGTTACCATGGGAACTTCCAATAACAGCTCCGGACTACGGTCGTCAACGAGAAAAAGATGGAGTGTGCAAACACCGCGACGACAAACCGCAGACATTTGGAGAGGCAAGCTCGGAAGCGCCCGCGACTTTTACTCCGTTTTTGTTTGCGTTTCAAGAAAATTGCATTGATTTTCACAGTTTATTTTTTCTGAAATGAGGCTTATCTTCTGGTCTTATGATCACTTTTCAAATTCTGCAAATAGCGCTGATTTCCAGGTAATTCCCGGTCGAAATGGCTCTGAGAACGTGTGGAAACCTGCTCGTCGCTCGTCTGGTTGGAACCTCCAGCAGGATGGCTTCCAGTGAGTGTTTTGTAATATTTCTATTGAAAAATTTCTTCTTCTTCAGCCATGACCGTCCGTGACGCCCTCAATCAGGCTATGGACGAGGAAATCAAGAGGGACGATCGTGTTTTCCTGCTCGGAGAAGAAGTTGCTCAGTACGATGGAGCGTACAAAGTTTCGAAGGGATTGTGGAAGAAGCACGGAGACAAGCGAGTCATTGATACTCCAATTACTGAAATGGGATTTACGGGTATTTTCTTTCGAATCCAAAGAAAAAAAGACGACGCTTATTTTTCAGGAATCGCTGTTGGTGCCGCTTTTGCTGGTCTCCGTCCGATCTGCGAGTTCATGACGTTCAACTTCTCGATGCAGGCCATTGATCAGATGATCAACTCTGCTGCCAAAACCTATTACATGTCAGCCGGACGGGTCAGTCCCTTTACACTGTTCAAAACTATCTCCAAAAAATCACGTGTCCCTCACGTGAAACATCTCACGCCATACCAATTTTGCAGCAAGCGATATGATAAAAAGCAAACATTCTCGGAATAATTTGATTTCTGATTTTTCCATGCCTTGTTAATAAAGAGAAGAGATCATTTTCAGGTGCCTGTGCCAATTGTGTTCCGTGGACCGAATGGAGCTGCTGCCGGAGTGGCTGCCCAGCACTCTCAGGACTACTCCGCCTGGTTTGCTCATTGCCCCGGACTGAAGGTGGTCTCGCCGTACAGTGCTGAAGACGCCAAGGGACTCTTGAAGGCTTCTATCAGAGATGACAACCCAGGTGAGAACTGAAAAATGGAAAAAGTGACGGAATGTAAGCGAGTAATTCGCAATATCACACTAGAAACTATTCTCTCGCACCAGTCTCCACAACATTACTGAGAAAAAGAGCATATTCTGCAAAGCCGATTTTCGGAACTCCACGCAACTCTGCATACGTAACCAACTTTCCGCTCACATGTTTCCTCTCCTCCCTCCCCCGCAGTTCTAAAGAACATTCTCCGTTTTCAGTCGTCTTCCTCGAGAATGAGATCCTCTACGGACAGTCGTTCCCAGTCTCCGATGAAGTTCTCTCTGACGACTTTGTTGTCCCAATCGGAAAAGCCAAGATCGAGAGAGCCGGAGACCACGTGACAATCGTCTCTTACTCGCGAGGAGTAGAATTCGCCCTGGAAGCCGCCAAGCAACTCGAGGCTCTTGGAGTCAGCGCCGAAGTAATCAACCTCCGTTCGCTGCGCCCGTTCGACTTCGAGTCGATCCGTCAGTCCGTCTTCAAGACGCATCACCTCGTTTCCGTCGAAACAGGATGGCCTTTCGCCGGAATCGGATCCGAAATCGCCGCCCAAGTCATGGAGAGTGACGTGTTTGACCAGCTCGATGCTCCACTTCTCAGGTTTGTTCTTCCCGAGAACTTAAGAAAATGGCCCGAGGTTGTTGTCTCTTGGAATGTTTGCGCAGACCTTTCATTTCCCGACATTACAATGTTCAGATATTTTTGAAATCAAACAAAATTTCAACTAAAACATTATCATGAGGATCGAGCAGAAATGGAAATGAAACTTAAAATAACAAGAGGAACAGCTGAAAAGAAATCTAATTGCAGAGTGACCGGAGTGGACGTGCCGATGCCGTACGCACACACACTGGAACAGGCGGCCCTTCCAACAACGGAGCACGTCGTCAAAGCGGTCAAGAAGAGCCTCAACATTGCATAAGTATTATGTACCACCCACCGCCTTTTCGTTTTCGTCTTGTTCCTCATAGATTATATGAACTCTCTTCTCAAGTTGATCATAATTTCCCCTCTTTTCGCACCCCATTTTTTCATGACCCGATGCCTTTTTATACGATTTTTCTCGGTAGAGCTTATATGCACTGTTCCCCAACTTTTCCCCCGTAGATGCTTAGATTCTCAACCCCCAGTTCCGAACACGTTTTTCTTAGATTCTAGGCGCGGTTTTTGCTGTTTTTCTTTTGTTTAGTGAGTTTTAGTGTGGCAGAACGAGTAATAAAAGGCCATGGAATTGGTTGGTTTCGAGTCGGGCCCCGTCAACTCACGAAAGAGAGCACCGCGGTTCGTTTTATGGGCTTCAAACAAAGGTTCGCCTTTTGGCTTCTTTTCGCGTTAAACGCGTCACCGTCAAAAATGTGTAGGCGCATTTCGCATGCAAATTCGGGACGGAGGCTCCCGATTTCCAGCGCGGCGGTATATTTTGTTTTGACGTGGCACGAATCGCGCTTTGTTCAGCGCCCAAGTGCTCCTGAAGAGGCGGTGCTCTCGGATGAAAGTGCTCAATAATTAGAGATCTCTGGTGTTTTATTCCCGAAAGGTCCGCTCCGAGTAGTCCAGTCTGGATCTAGGTTAACCCATTCGAGATGAGCATCTGTGGGTCAAATCAGATCATGAGCTCCTGCTGATGTGCGAGCATGATTCGTTCCGCATCGACGCATTTCAATCGTCATTTCATTGGAAGAATGTTGCTCAAAGGGATCGGAAGAAGAGAAAGAAAGAGAAGGAATCGCTTCCACTCGACAACATATTCTTCTTTTCTGAATGCTTTTAGTCGTTTCTCGGCTGGAAATCTTCCATTGTTTCCACCTTTCGCTCCGTGTTTTTTCTGCCTCGCCCACTTATTCGATTCCCTGAACCCGAAAAAAAACAGAATTAGCCGTAGAACAGGAAGTTCTTGAAAACTTGCGACTTAGTGAATTCCCGGCCGGTGGGAGAGAAGAGAGAAACAACTAATTTTTAGGCCTGCAGAATATATTTGCCAACTTCCGAATGTGTTATGTTCGTAGTGAAATTCCGGCAAGCCGACCCGTTTTGACGGCATTCGCAATGCGTTCTTTGTCGGCCAGAAACCGCCCGGTTCTGGTCAGTGCAAATGCGCTCCGACGAAGAAGAGTACGGTAGTTTGCCAGACATCGAAAAGCAGTGCTCACGTTCATAGTCCATTTATGTGCTCAATTATATTTAACAGCGGAAATTTCGCTTTAATCGCTTCTCAAAATTAGTTTCCTGCTTCTTCGAATATTCCGAATTCTTTCTGAAAACTGCAGTGATTTTAGGAAGAAATGCACAAATCAATTTGACCGCACATTCTCTACAATCAGTCCTTTTCCCTGAACAATTTCTAAGAACATATAACTCCTCGCAACTCTGTTCGCGACCTAATTAGTCTTTTTTTGAGAACAAAAACAAAAAGCACATTGCTTTGAATTTCCATTATTCACAAGGACACCTCGTTCGTTCTCTCGAATTCGGTCCTCCGACACCAATTCGATGTTAATAAACATTTTGCCGCGTGTCTGCTCTTTAAAATGTCTGGTCTTCGAGCACGTATTTGTGCAGCAAATCGCTGCTTTTTGTGTTCCGCCGCTTTCAGGCCTCCCGAGCCCCGCCCGTTTTATTCGGACGCTAATTCTATTCTGTGTGTGACAAATTGGTCCGAAGAACCGATGTTCTAATTGCACGATCTTGCACTTGATCACGTCATTCCAATCGGATTTGGTTCGAAGAAAAGTGACTTCCTCCGGCTGACTATAGGTTAATGCATTCGGAAGAAAGAACAAAAGATTGGGAGGAAGAAGTTCGAGCGGAACTTCTGATGGCCAGAAGTTCAGCCGTCTGGAAACGTGTAGCTGGTCCCTCCTGTTCCCTGTCTCCCGCTCATTTGTCACTTTTTCATCAGGAGTTAACGAGTAAGTCCTTCCGATTTATCACCGAGCCTTCTCAAGTGCTGCTCGCTTTTAGTTCGTTTTCCTCCTCCACAAAAGTCCTGGATTAGAGGAAGATACTTGAGAGTTGAGAAGTCCCGAACCGCCCGACTTCTATTCATTTTTCGTCGTCCACAATGGCACCAATCAGGAGCTCATTTCACTTAACTTTTGGGCGCTTTTCGGGACGACCACACACGGTTGCAACTCCGCATTTCGGTCCCATTTTCATTCGGACTCACGTATTTTTCGGATCGAAATGCGGCGAGTTCAATCTGGATAAGTGGTGTTGATTCGATTGACCTCACTCTTTTTTGGAAACGAAAATGTGGGTCTAGACGTTCTATCAACTTGGAAGCTTCCCGATTTCAGTTGTCCCTTGTTTTTGTTGGCTCCATCGAAATGTGTTTTGTTCTCTTAAGCCAAAACAGTATTCATGGCCATTTGTTTGGCTTCTCGGGTGGAGGAGTCTAAGTCCTTTTTCCATTCTCCAAGTCCAAAAACTTCATTAAATTTTCACACTTCATACCAAAACAGACATTGTTGCCAAATGAGTCTCCGATCGGATAAGTGCAAGTGAGCCCAGAGTAGGCCCTGTCTTTCTGTAAGGGGACTAAATTCAAACTGCCTCCAAAAAGACCAAAGTATAAACAATCCTCCGTCGTTTTTCCGTGTTTTCCCACTCAAAAAGCCCTTTTTGAAACTCTCTTCACGTCCCTCCGCCGTGCAGGCTAATCCCTGGGAAGAGCCGCGCATTTCCCGGTTAACCTTGGACGGAATATGCCACGTCACTCCAGTTGTTGATTGTCACAGATATTTCGAGTGTTTTTGGTGTTCCCTGCATGATCACATCCTTTCCGTAACTCGACACCTCCCCTTTCTCTTCTTCTTCTCCTTCCTCTTTCTCTCTGACTTTTCCAGAAGTGTTACACTTTTGTCCGTCTTGTCTCAACTTTCCAACACACTTTTTCTGCTTGCTCGCACTTCTCCCGTCCGATCTCCCATTCGGCCAGATTTCCTTTTGTGAGGGTGGACTCTTTCATCAAAGTCGCTCGTCTTCCGGTCGGTCAGACCTTTGACCCCAACAATGTTTTGCGACTCCATCCAATTTCATGGGACCCATTCCTGTTCACATTTCCATCCGAATATACTTCTTGAATGTTACTCGTTCAGATTCCTCCCATTCTTCTTTTTCCTATGCACTTTTCCTTATCACTTATCGTATGTCGCTGACATCAGTGAGAAGATAAACTTCCGGTTCCAACTGGTATAATTTGAAAATTCGTGTTTCTCGAAATCGTTAGTTGGAATGCAGTCGAACTGAAGTGGATCTGCGGGACGTTTGACTCACGAGCCGATCGAATTCCTCGGAAAAGTCCAAAGTTCCCTGCTCTTCAGTCTACGGTACCTCTTCACTTTCGCCCAACCCAGACGAAATTCGCGGAAATCAAAAAACATCTCTCCATCTTCTTCTTCTTCTTCTTCTTCTTCTTCTTGTTTTCTTGCATTTCCCATCCGATGCAACCCAATTCCACCCTCGTCTCTTCTCCGTTTTTTCTCATTTCTCCCACCACCAAACATCGACAACCTAAACACATCCGAACAATGGCCCGAATCATCGACCCTTCGTCTGTTTCGGAATCGTTTTGCACAAATGCCTTCTCTCTGCTTCTTCTTGGCCGTTTTCTCCGCGAAGGCGGTCCGTTTTGTGACTGAGTCAGAGTCAGAACACTCACTTCAAACCCTCCGAAATCTTGTTATAACCGACCGCATTGTCACCAATTCTCTCGCTCTGAAGAAAAGAGACATCGTTGTACTTGCTCCCAGCGCCTCCCTCCGTTCAATTGCCCAATTTATTCACTTCAGGATGTTCTTCCTTCAATTGATATCAGTGCTCATTTCCATGAAAGTGGGCCACGTCCGGTCTAGTCGTCTACCCCATCATTATGTAGATAATCATCCGAAAAGTGAGTTTCTTTCTCATTCTCATTCACATTTGACCCCATTTTCAGCAGAACCTTCACATTTAATCGACACCATTCAGAACAGATACGACAAAAGAGTGCGGCCATTCGCAGAAACGAACCGGCCTGTGATTGTGCACATGACCATTGTGCTGGGTATTTTAACAGAAGTGGTGAGGAATTAATAAGAACCGTCAAGACCCATTTTCGAATACTTTCAGCGGGAAAACCAGCAAGTCGCCTCGTTCGTCATTTCGCATGTGCAGAAATGGCGGGATCCAAAACTGGCATGGGATCCCGCGGACCACTCGGGAATCACTCAAGTGGTGATGCCGAGGAGCCTTGTCTGGGTGCCGAAACTCTTCATCTATAACAGTATGGACACGAAGGACATGCTCACCGACGATCGATACGACGTTCGGGTACAGCACACGGGACACGTGAAGGTTAACAGTCCCCAGTTCGTGAGCACTCTCTGTCGGATCAACATCGATCTGTTCCCTTTCGACACGCAATTCTGTGCCATTGCATTGGCCAGTCCCCTTCTTTCGGTCGAGGAAATGGACGTGAATGCGACACAACCCCCCGTCGACTCGTACTTCTCGGTAAGTGGGAGGAAGCGGGGGATTAGAGAGTGATTCTGAAGAGTCGGATAACTTTTTGAGGCGACGTCACTGTGAGAAAAAGGAATGGAATGGGTGCACTGAGTGCAAGTGGAAAGATTGAAACTTGCAGGGAAACGCCGAATGGCAAGTGATGAACGTGACAGTGCGGCAGATGAAATTCATGGAAGAGGGCGAGTACCGTGCAGAAGTGCACTATATTCTCCATCTGAACCGTCGTCCCACATACTACATCACTGTCATCGTCGTGCCGACCTTCCTGATCTCTGCCCTTTCCATCCTCGGCATTTTCTCTCCCGGATCGAATGACGGGCCAAGGAATGAAAAGGTTTCGCTCGGATTGGGTTCCCTTCTCGCCATGACCGTCCTGCTCGACATCGTCGCCGGAGCAATGCCGAAAAGCGACGCCATTCCGCTGCTCGGCTACTACATCATGCTCGTGATCCTTCTGTGTGCGATCGGAGTCGCCGTGTCGATGGCGATGCTTTCGATGTCTCGCAGTTGCATTCAGACGTCCAAAATGCCTCCTCCGCTCTATTATCGTCTTCTTTTCCTGAACATCTGCAGAGTTGTGAAACAGAATAACGGGATCGGAGCGCCGATGAACGAGAAGCCGACGACGATAACGTGAGTGGAATGACCGAGAAACCAGTCCTCGATTATCTTTTTTCAGTCCTCGATTTCCCGACCTCATCTCAATTTACAATCAACTGATAGAAGTGGCAAGGGCTCAAAGAGCATATCGGGAGAGGATCGAGAAGCAGAAATGGCAGCACAGAGTGAGCATTTCCGAGAGAAGGAGCACTTCCAACTCATTTGCAGGTCGAAGTGGAATGGAATAAAATATTCGCGCGCATCGACTTCTTCTTCCTCTTTCTTTTCGAAATGTTCAATGTTCTCGTGCTGGTGCTCTTCCTCCGCTACGCGTTTCTTCCCGTTCCACCACTTCCGGAGAACTTCTCCATCTGACTCTTCTCTTCTTTTTTCTCAAATCTGTCGGGTTCCCTTCCATTTACAGTGTACTTTTCGGGTTTTTCACTTGTCAATAAACTTTGTTGATATTCTTCTATTTATGTCTTTAAATTTGGGACATCTGAAATAAGTACAAAAAATGAATGGAAAACATCGAGTCTAGAAGAGCATGAGAGCAATATCAGCCGGATGGATTCGAAGTGAATGCACGGCCGGCGAAGAAGAAGTCGAATACTTTGCTGGCGCTGATTGTGAGCACGGGGGAGAAACGGAGAAAGACTGTGAAGGAGAGGACGGGTGACTGACTGCTGAAAGCGAGAAAACGGATAAGATCGGGACGGAACACTTCCGGAACTCACTGGAACTGGCCGTGTATCCTGTGCTTCCCGAATACTTGTTGTCCAGACTGCAAGACGACGTCGATACTGCGAACATTTCGGGAAAGAAGACTATCTGGAAACCGAATGGATTCTACCTTTTATAGAAATGTTTGCCTGTTTGCGTGGGTGCTGCTGAAAAAGACCATGCAACACCAAAATAACATCGCCCCCTATTTACCCAAAACCTTCAGACACATTGTAGAAAAAGAAGTAAGCGTCGATTATTTGAGATTTGACCGCTCCTCCCGCTTCCCTCTGCCGTATTTATCTACGATTTTCTGTTTGTCCATTTATCGTAATCGCAAAGATTGCGAAATTGGCAACCTCTGATGCAATTTACCCTCTGATGACAAATTCGGAGCCAGACTTCTGTGTGTGTACAAACCGGTTCATTTAGAGGAATGGGTTGAGAAAGCTACATAAACTGAATCACAATAAATACAATTTGGGAGGCGGCGTAGTCTATCCACGGGTGGCAATGTAGGCGATCAGGTCGACAACACGGTTCGAGTATCCGTACTCATTGTCATACCACGAGACGAGCTTGACGAAGTGCGGGTTGAGAGAGATGCACGCGCCAGCGTCGAAGATAGAAGAGTGTGGGTCCGAGACAAAGTCGGTCGAGACGACCTGATCCTCAGTGTAGGCCAGAATTCCCTTGAGCTGTCCTTCAGCGGCGGTCTTCACAACCTTTTTGATATCGTCCATCGAAGCTGGCTTCTCAAGACGAACGGTGAGGTCAACGACCGACACATCCGGAGTTGGCACACGGAAAGCCATTCCAGTCAGTTTTCCATTCAATTCCGGGATGACCTTTCCGACGGCTTTAGCGGCTCCAGTTGCAGCAGGGATGATGTTCTGTCCCGCACCGCGTCCATCTCTCCAGAGCTTTCCAGATGGTCCGTCAACAGTCTTCTGGGTGGCAGTCACGGCATGGACAGTTGTCATGAGTCCTTCGATGATTCCTAAAGGAAATCTCGTTTCTAAATTGTGTTTCGAACTGACCGAAGTTGTCATTGATAACTTTAGCCAATGGAGCCAAGCAGTTGGTGGTGCACGAGGCATTCGAGATGACGTGGTCGTTGGTCGCGTCGTACTTTTCGTGATTGACCCCAACAACGTACATCGGAGCATCAGCCGATGGTGCTGAGATGATGACCTTCTTGGCTCCTCCTTGCAAGTGAGCGGAGGCCTTTTCCTTCGTGGTGAATACTCCAGTCGACTCAACGACATAGTCGGCATGGACAGATCCCCACGCAATGGCAGCAGGGTCTCTGCTGTTGAACACCTGAAATTCACGAATGAGACGTCGCTTAAAATGGTTTTTACAACCTTAATCTTGTGGGACGATTTTCCATCCTTTTGGACAATTAGGAAGTCACCATCGAACGAAACGGTCCCCTTGAACTGTCCGTGAGTCGAGTCATACTTGAACAAGTAGACCATGTAGTCGATGGTGATAAAAGGGTCGTTGACGGCAACAACTTGAACGTTGTCCTTCTCAACAGCAGCACGAAGCACAAGACGTCCAATACGTCCGAATCCGTTAATTCCAACGTTAGCCTTCGACATTCTCGATTTCCTGCGGGAAGGTATATTAAGTCTGGAAGCTGAAAGGTGGATAAAACAGAAGTAAAAATCTCCGACAAGCAGACAGGAGTGAAATCAGCAAAAACGAGGAAAAAAAATCGCCAACGGACTATAATTTATTACATGAGAAACACGTGGCGTGATTGAAACAGGTTATTGAGTAATCTTAGAACGGGGATTTTACGGTCAACTAGTCGCGAACAAGCCAACTGAGAGCAGACTTTATTCCTTTCCCAGGGCACGCTCTGCGGCCTCGATCTCAGAAATGCGTTGTTGGTGGCGATCAAGAACCTGCAAAATTAAGGTTTCCTTACTTTTTCAAAATGTATTTTCCCAACCTTCTTGTGGTTCTCAAGTTGGACCTTGTGGTGCTCGACCTCCTGTTCGATGTGCTGGCGAAGTTCTTGCAATTGAGCCTTCTGCTTCTTGTAGAAGTACTCATCTTCGCGAGCAGCCTCCATCTTTCCGAAAGCGCCACCAGCATCGCGGATCGATCCGCCGGTGCCTCCTCCGCGTCCGGCTCCGTCTCCGTGTCCACCAGTCACGGTGCGAACGACAACTTGCGAGAAGCGGGTAGCAGCTCTCGAAACGTTGAGCATCCTGGAATTATTCAGAATACGTTAAAATTCAATACGCCGAGAACTGGTGGAAACGGGAAAAAATAGAACTTATACGTACTTACCAGACAAGAAAAACGTGTGCGAATAAAGTGAAAACTAACAAAAGGGTCGAAGACGGAAAGATCAGCACAGTTAGGATGATGATAAACAAGAGTCATGTGACAAGATGGATTCAGGAGCGTACTATGCACGACTGGATCCAACATTTAGGAATTCAGGAACACATAATCAACAAAACATCCAAATTTTCGCGGTCTTAGACAATTTACCGCCAAGAATTTAGGAAAAGCAAAACTGAAAATGGACAAACACAAACATGCGCGACGCCAATGCGTCTGCAGTTTTGCGTACCGGTGTTTGCGTACATACATCGAACTACACGAGAATTACTCCAACAAGCACACGCAAGTTTAGCGAATTCTGAAAACTCACTTCAGCGCAGAAAGAAAACGCATTTTTTCGAGTTTAGGATTTTTTGTCACCAAGTTCGAAATTGCAATCTTTTTGCCTGTTAGGTATTCTGGCTTCTTTCTGTGCCTCTGAGGCTTGCGCTTTGCGAACCCCTCTCCTCGTCTTCTCTTTCTGGAAAAAATAGCCCGGTGTTCTTTTGTTCAGATCATTCTTTCAGGACGCACTTCCGTCCACGCACTTCCGCGCCATCTTGTAGTTTCATCTCTCGTTTCATTGACTCTCTCGCGTCTCCGTCCTTTCCCTCATTCAAGGCGTCACCACTGTGCGCGAAGACTACGGTAAACATGTGATCGAGAGACGTCGAAAGAGTGGGCAGAAGCCGACTGGGAAGGGTTGAAATAGCTCTCGTCGGCTGTAGACGCAGAGACGCCCTGAAAAGTAGAGCGCAATTTTTGCAGAGACGTAGAAACGAGGGCAAGAGAGGAGAGAGGCGCGTCGCCGAATCGATGGATTGCTTTCTGGTCGCATAGACGGCGGCGGGCGTGCATGTTCAGTGTGTAAATCAGCCGTTTATCGATCGATTTCTTCCTTCTAGTTGGTCGAACACTTTCAGTTTCTTTTGTGTGTTCTTCAGCTTCAATTTAGTGATGGGCAAGCAGTTTGTCGGAACCTGTGGTGATTATATTTCAAAATGGGATAACGAAAGTATATAAAATCTACAGACGGCTACGGAAAGCTGATCGGCTGCAAAAATTGTCATACTTATATCACCTCGTTTCAACATCAGACCAGTCCTCATTTCAATGGTGAGAGTGTGGATAGTTAGCTCGAAACCTTTCAAGTTTAGGGAGCACCGGACCTGCTACGCTGTTCGAACGGGTGTGGAATGTAGAACACGGCAGCTCGGAGCAGCGCAAAATGACCACCGGATGGCACATTGTCCGTGATGTAATGTGCATAATTTGCAAGGTAGAGACCTCAGAATAAAATAAAATAACGAAACGGCTAACAGAGCAAGCTCGGATGGATGTACGAGATGGCGATGGAGCCGGATCAGGTGTACAAAGAAGGGCAAGTAATTCTTGAGAATGCGCTAGTTTGCACAATATCGCAATGCCTCACCGACCCATTGGGAGATAACATGTATGGGCTCATCTACCGATAATTTCATTTGCTTCAATTTCCAGCAAAAGACAGAAAAGCGTCAATCCTATTCCAAATATAGAACAATCGCGCACCCGTTCGCCTTCGGAGAGCTCTCAATCTAGTCGTTCCAACTCGGAAAGCAGTTCTTCCAATTCGGGCAGCAACGTTTGACGCGTCGGCCGCCAATGAAGAAATCTTCCTGTAAATACCCTGTGCACAGTGTTTAAAACTACTTTTCCGTGCCGCGTAGATCATTCATGCTATCTCGCTTTCTGCCTAGATCATAGCTCTCCACATGTAAAAAATCACTGCACATAAGTTCATTTGACTTGTCTGTTCATTCGCCGATTACCTCATTCTCGCCTTCTTTTCCGTGTTTATAGTCACTCCGACCAGTCACAGTTCATTTTTTTGTCCCCGCTTTCCTCATTTCCTCCGACTTTTCTTTCATCAAACCTTTCGTTTCGATTGAACTCCGCATGTACATAACGTTTTCCTTTTTCAATTGGTCAGTTGTAAAATGCAAACACTCTTTGGGAAATTGTTCTGCCGATTGACTTTTCCTGGGTTTCAACCAAATTCCTTATCTCCAACTTTTAACTGATTTTCTGTTTTTGTTCTTATCAATCACCGTTTCAGATGGGTTTAAAATTCTTCGAGAACGTTGGAGGGAACAAGATATTCATTTGCGCCGAATGCTCTGTGTACTTGGCCGACAAATCGTCATGTCAATCGACGGAATTCACAGGTAAGAAATATGACGGTGACGGAAATAACTTGAACGGAATAATTTTCAGGGATAACTGGTCAAGCTTACCTCTTCAAGAACGTCGTGAACGTTTCTTACGGACCGATGGATCTACGAGAAATGAGAACAGGAAATCACTACGTGCGCGATGTCTCCTGCCAGTCATGCGACACAAAACTCGGATGGATGTACGAATTGGCTCCAAAGAATGAAGAGCGGTACAAAGAAGGTTGGTGATCTGCTCCAGAATGGCGTCAAAACCGCTCCAAAGCTTTCAGGATCCGTCATTCTCGAGCGTGTCTACATAATCGAGACGGATGGCATTTCGAAAGAACCGAGTATAATGCTTGCACGTGCTCGACGGCCGTACGACGTTAACAACGTCCGTCTCAGAATTGCCCATCGACAAGAAGTGGACAGATTGCACAACGTCGAAAACGCATTCCGTTTTGACCGCGTACGTGGGCCGCCGGTCATAGCGATATTCGATGAAGAACAAGTTAAAAACGATTTTCTAATGAACGAGAATCAAGTGATAAGGATGCGAGAAGATGTGCGACTGCTGAATGAAGCTATCGCAGCGAGTGCCCGCGGCGACAATGCAGTTTTGTGGGCTCTCGGATTCCGTGCAGACATTGCCCGTCAGTTCAGAGAGTTGAGCGATGTAAGGACAGTAAAGAGTTCATACAAACATGCATTTCTTCAGATGCTGGACGGTGAGCCGTACCGACCTTCAAATGAAGCTGATCACAATCTGGTTCTCCTTTTCGAAAGAATGAATCGCGAACAAGAGCGCGTTCGATTCCATGCTCAGGCTAATGCTGGTGTGATGGACTTCCGTCAGTTCCTCGAGGAACGTGACGTTTTCGCGCAAGTGCAAGCCCAGTTGAATGCGTACGCTGATCGTCATCAGCGACGACTTATGCAAGAAGAACAGCTTCGAATGGAAGAAGCAGAAATTGGAGAAGGAGAGGACGCAGCGATGGATAACGTTCTGGCTCAAATACGAGAAGCGCGGGCGAGGATGGATGCAATGCCACAACAAGAGGAAGAAGAGATAGAGGATGAGATCGACATGCAGATGAATGACGTGGAATTGCGCGTTTTGAACGAGTTACTCAACAGACAAGGACGATAATAATATCTGTATTTCCCCAAAGTTCAATGACATTCAATATCCGCTGTGTAGTCATACTTACAAGTTCACCAATGATTTCCCGATGAATCCAGTTAAATGTATTTATAGCTTCTAGAGCTCCTCACCTCATTCCTAACTTATAAAATCGTTATTATCGTTATTCTTGATTATTTTTGGTTCACAGTTCTTCCGTTACCAACGGTTTTTATATCTTTTATCACCCCTTCTCTATCCTTCTTTGGTCAGTTTCAAATATTATGTTCAGGTTTAACAGTTGAATCAACTCGCATAATGACCATTTTGCCAGTGAAGAAGAAGCGCGAGAAGGATTGTACTCAAAAGGCTCCCTCTGCCAGGTAAACTCAATTAATCGCTATTGCCCCTCGGTGTTTGCAGACTCTAGCCAAAATTTCCAGAAATACGGCTTGAGTTTGCAAACACCGAGGTGGCAAGAACGAGGGAGAAGTACTTATGTGCTTACTCTGAAAGTTTTTCAGCGGAAACGAGATAAGCCGCCCGTCATCAGGCCAGTCAAACAGTGCTTCGAAGCGGAATCGTTATCAGGAAGACGGACCGCCCAGCAAGAGATGTAGGAAGAGCCACAGCTCTAAACATATTCTGATGTCTAACCAGCTTCAGGGGTCATGTCTCCGACCAATCGTCACTCGGCCAGTTCGTCTCCTCGCTACGCGTCCGGATCGGATGAGAAGAAGCCGCATAGGAACTCGCAAGGAAGAGACTATAACTCGGACGACGAGTACGAACAACAAAACAAACATTACGAACAAGTGAGTTACCAACAATTAGCAACTATAATTCAGTGAAAAGAGTTTACAGCAAGCCGCTCAATTGGAAAGTTTATTGAAGACTCGCGGTCTCATCATCAAAGAGATCGTGGGCGACGGGTCGTGCATGTTCCGTGCGATCGCAGAGCAAGTTTACGGGGACCAGGAAATGCACGGACAGATCAGGAAACTGTGCATGGATTACATGGCAAACAACCGAGATCATTTCGAGCAGTTCATGACGGAGAACTTTGAGTCATACGTTGAGAGAAAAAGAGAGGATGGCGTGCAGGGAAATCACATAGAGCTCCAGGCGATCTCTGAAATCTTCGCACGCCCTGTGGAGGTGTATGAATTTACTCTTGGTAAGGAGAGGATGTAAACGTCTGAAAACGAGACAAAATTGCTTTAGAGCCCATAAACGTTTTGAATCCTCGTCCGGAGCCTGATGCCGCCAATGCTCCTGAGGAGGGTGCCGCAGTGCCGCCGATTGTGGGACAGAATCCGCCATTCCGGCTGAGCTATCACAATGGATCTCATTACAATGCTAGTGAGTGATATCATCATTTTGCTCTCGTAATACATTTTCTTTTTTCAGTCCTAGATCCAAACGTTCCCACTATCGGAGTGGGCCTCGGATTGCCCGGAATGGTTCCGGGTTCGGCGGACAAAGATCTGATGAGCAAAGCCATAAAATCGTCGGAGCTGGAACACATCGAGGAGACAATGCTTCAGGACAAGATTGGATTGTCAGACTTTGAAAGGACCGAAGCTGAAATGGAGGATCATATCGCCCGCGAGTCGCTGAAGTCCTATTACCAGGATTTGGAGAAAAAGCATGACAGTAGCTGTGGAGCAGGACCATCTACAAGTGCCGGAAACACTTCCTCGTCTACTGGGTTGTACGAGCAAATGCTGGCTGCTCAGAGCTTGGGTATATGAACTATTCATTTATTTGTCAAAACAGAAAAGTTTTCAAGACGGTACGGCTTTCGATGACGACGACGACGACTCGGCGATGGCTCGGGCGATGCTCGCGAGTCAACTCGACTACGTCGGCAGACAGCCGGAGCAGAGAAGCGGCAACGAAGACGGTCCTAGCAGTAGTGGCAGTGGCCCTTCGAACTAACTCATCCCCCTTTTTCAGTTTCACTTTCGGTGCCTTCTTTCCTTTCACCCATTTCCGCTAATTTTAGCAAGTCTCAGCCTTTGAACTCGCCAATTCTAGTTGTGAATGTTCCTCTGTCCGATTCGCTCAAATAAGAGTTTCTGCCTTTTCCCCAGTCGCCAACGAGCCGTCAGCAAGTGATCCATCGTTTAACAACTACCTTGTATTTATTTACAGCTAACGATTATAACTATCATGTTTCAAATTAAAAGAATGAAAATGGAGCAATGATGCAAAGAAACGATTTTTTTTTGGAATCTGAATCTGAATCAACGATCATAATTATACGAATTGGTAGAGAGAATACATAATAAGTAAAGTGAAGCGAGAGAACGTCACCGTCGATTCAGGTAACTGGAATGATTTCTGGAAACAAGGGTTAGGAAGGGAAGTGCCTAGGGAGTCGTGCAAGGAGAGAGAGAGACGCAGAGAGAGAAAGAAGTTCGAATTCTTCTAAGATACCCTTTCAGAGAAGCAAAAGAACAAAACAGAAAATGAAAAGAGAGGAAGAGGGACAATCACAAACAGAGAAATGACTATAAATCTGGAAGGGACAAAAGAGAAAAAGGACGCTTATTCTCGGACATTAATGACAATCTGCTTCTGTTTCGGATCGTCGAACCGATCCATAGTCTGAACGGACTGAAGCATGACGTATCCGAAGAGCAGACCGCCAATGAGCACGAGAGCCGAAACGATACCCATCCAGGATCCCGGAGAGAATGTGCCTGTGCAGTCCTCCGATTGCAGTGTGAAATGAGCATTCTCCACCCATTTCGATGGGTTTCTGATGTTAAATGTTTGGATTTGAGTGTTGACGAGGGCGATTCCGATCTTGACGGTGTCATCGGAAGACGGGAAGAAGAGCGCCTGAGTCTGTCCGCAAACCAAAGACCATCCTGCGACGGAGCTGATTCCAGAGAACGAAGTGCTCGCCGCGTTCAGAGTTTGTTCGGTGACTGAGGCCGACTTGAATTGGTTCTTTCCAGTGATCTTGGCAGAGTGGAGGGTGGCTCCCGTCAGACCCCAGTATCCTAGCTTATCTCCAGTGATGTTCAAACTGAAAAACAAAAAGGAAAACTGGATAGAAATAAACTCAAAACTAACGTCAAATCGATAGCATCTCCGTTATTAATAGTGAACTGCTCGGTGTTCTGCTGCTTACCGACGACGTCTTGCTGCGGGATCAGTCTCAGACGGAACACGAAGCTTCCGAGGGTTCCGTTCGGGCACTGCGCGTCTCCATCGGCGTACCGATAAGTGAGATTGCTTCCTGGAAGATAGGCAGCAGCGTAGCTGAGAACCTTGTCGTTCTTCTGTTGCACAACAACGGAGACACCCTCAAGGTAGAAGAGGCAAGTGCTGTCAATGGTTGGCTTGATGTTGATTTCAGTCTTGTTGTATGGGGGAAGGACCAGTGGGAAGTCGAGTTCCTTGGCGTTCGGAGTGCCGGTCGACGAGGTTCCGTCGCTGTTCATTTCGTCCGTGGCGACTCTCTTCACACGGTTCTTCTCGTGGGAGACGGCGTCGGTGGAAGTGACGACTCCAATGGAGTTGTCGATCTGCGAGATAAGTTTCTCGGCGAGCTGCTCCATCGAAGTCCATTCTTCGCCGGCAAGAACGTAGACCGAGGATCCAGCTTTGTACTGATCAGCAGAAGTGAGAACTTGTGCAGAAGTAGCCTGAATGGTTTTATATTTTGATAATAAGAGTTTTTCGAGTGGAAGACTCACCTCGACCTGGTTAGCGAAGTACTGCGACTCGTGGAAGTTGCTGCTTCTCACAGACTTGGCCAGATAATCGGTGGTTGGTTCATCAGAATAAGAATTGGCTTTTACAGAGAATTGACCTGAAAGTATGAATTTCACAATTGAAGAAGTAATGAAAGCGTACCAAGGGTGAAATCTGGGTTGACAATGAAGACGATCGGCTCCTCTGGCGTGGCAGATTGAACAAGCTGATCAACTGAAGCTCCTCTGCAAACGAATCAATATTTGGATCAATAGTTAAGCGAGTGATAAACTGATAAGAAACTGAAACTTACGCTATTTCTCTCTGGTTGGAGAAGAGGACGGCGTCGTAGGCGTGGACCGCGACGATCAGTGAAAACGCGGCTATAAGTACCCTCATTCTGAAAATGAGTCTGTTTTGGCTCAAAAACGATCGGGTGATTGTGAAAGAAAGGGCGGAGAGGCAAAAGAATGCAGTGGAAATGGCGGCCGACGAGTGGCCAAAAATCGAACATCGACCGAGAGACCAGAGGGAGTGCGGTGGAGCGTACTTGCGCCAAGAGAGTATTGACTCACGCTCGCTGTTTTGCGGCGAGAGACAGCGAAAAGGGACAGGGAAAAGCGGAGAAAAAGGAATGGGAAGAAAAGATAGAGATGCAGAAGAAGTAGAAAGAATCGAAAGATGCCGTGAAGACCGACACCATTGCGATACCATCAGGAAAAGTGTTGAACTTGACCCCAACGTGAATTAATTAATCTAGGAGCAAGTCAAATGGAAAAATGTGGTTATTGTCGATTTTATCAAGTCTTGAATAGTCGAAGTTAGCAACGAACAAGGAGAAAATGAACGGAGACTGGATAATTCCGATGGCTAATGCAGCCAACGCGTTCTTGTTGATATCGTGCGGAGCAAATGCGTACGTGCTCTGGAATTGTGCAGCCAAAAAGAAAAAGGTATGGGAGGAAGTAAAGAAGTTCTCCGAATAACGGAAATCTTTAGGGGAATCAGGCGGATCTGACGAAGTCTTTGGTTCGACCGGTAAGCCAAGAGATTCCGAAGCACTCGACTTCTGATGAGAAAATGTCTGATTCGACTGCTGAGAGTAAGGAGAAGGACGTTGTGAAGCCGAAGGTAGAGGAGAAGAGAGAGGAGAAGAAAGAAAAGAAGAAGAGCAAAATGTTGGCATTGAAGAAGGAGGAAGAACCGAAAAAGGAGGAGCAAAAAGACGAAAAGAAAAAAGAGGCGAAGAAGGAGGATAAAAAGAACGAGAAGAAGGAGAAGAGCAAAAAGATGAGCAAGGAGAAGGAAGAGAAGAAGAAAGAGAAGTCGGAGAGCAAATCGGACGAAGACGATGAGAAACCGCCAGAGCCAGGCAGTGATCCACGCAAGATCTGGGCATTCAAGGCTGCTAAACTGGTAACATCTTATATTCAAAAACGTTTCAACCGTGTTTTTTTAAAGAAATGCCAGGCTATTTCAAAGCTGCACCAGGACAAGATCAAGGGGTACATGCCGCCCAACTGCACCTACACTGCCTACGACGCCAATCCGGACCTCAACCGCTACCTGGACGTCCGTTGCATTGAGGAGACACGTGTCATTCTGAAAAACCACGACCGCGACTACATCCACGCATCGTGGATGAGAATGCCCGGAAATGACGGCACCGTCTACATCACCACTCAGGGACCGCTTCCCGAGACTCTTGCCGACTTCTGGCACATGGTGTTCCAGGAGAAGATCGCCTACGTGCTGATGCTGTGCACTCTTTTCGAGGGCGGCGTCGAGAAGTGTACCCTCTATTATCCGGAGAAACTGGGAGAAGTGGTCAAGTTCGGAAGGTACGAGATCACTATGACCGAATGCAAGGAAGAGGCCGTCGCAGGGACCATCTGGAACGCTCTCACAGTCGTCGACACGGGAGACTCCGCCTCGGAGCCGCTCATCATGAACCACGTGCAAGTGCCCTGGTGGCCGGATCAGTTGGCTCCGGAAGATGCCCGTCCGATGATCGAACTGTACAAATGGGTGAAGAGTGTGAACCCAAAGGGCACTCCCGTCTGCGTGCATTGCAGTGCCGGCGTCGGAAGAACCGCCACGTTTGTCGGTGAGTGTTGCTTCTGGAGAGCACTGAGAGATCATTTCATTTAAAGGAATCGACTACGCGACTCGTCGTATCATGGAAAATCCGAACATTGAAATGCTGGACATTGTTCGCGAGATGCGGGGCATGCGTTTCCAAGCAGTTCAGTCCCACATGCAGTTCCTGTTCCTCTACGTGGCCCTGCTTGAGTACTTCATCGAGGTGACATTCATTCGGAAACTAATAACAGTCTCTTTTACAGGAAGGAGTTGTCGAGCGCACCGGACGCGTTGAAGAGTTCATGGACCAGTACAAGAAGCACGCACAGAAGAAGCTGGCGAAGAGAGCTATTCAGAATCAGTGAGTACTCCGGATCATAATTAAGATCGGAGACGTTTTCAGGAAGGGAGACAAAGCTGCGGCCGAAGAGAAGGAAAACGAGAAAGTCAAGGCTTGAGGGCGACTTGAAAAGATACGAAAGACATAATAAAATAATGAATTTGGACTCTTTAATGCAACCTAAATTTATTAAAGCATGCATGGAAGATGATCATGTTCTGATAGCTGATTAACTCCGATTGGGCAGTGGTGGCAAGTGATACGGGCCGACCGGTACTTCGTTCACATTCGGGACGACTCTGGACTTTGGGAAAGCGATGATAGAACTGGAACGCCGGCCTCTAATGCTCTTCCGATGTTCCGATGAACCTGTAATTGCTCTGGATGCTTCGGATATTCCATTTGTCTGTAACCTTCTCGAATTTGCACCGACGACCTCGTAACAAACGTCCCTTTGGGCGCATTCGATGCTTCGTTCGTACTCCGAACCCGAACGGAAAGAGGAACACTCCATTTCTTCGGGAGACATCCGATCACTTTCAGAAGTATTATATTCCGAAGTTCTCGATAACGGATCATATAAATGAGGAAGTTGATCATTGTCTGAACGAGGAATGCGAGGGTAAATTCACAATGAAAAAGTGCTCACTTTGCTCAGAGTCATCGAATACAACGGAGTTGAATAGGCTTTGGTGATATTCCACGGATTAGCAAAAAGTAGAATATCAGGGAAAAAAAGAAGAATAATTGAGTTTGTAGTCACCAGTCCCAGGGTGATTTTGGCGTTCCGATGCATTTTCAGCTGCTGTGGGGACAGCTCTCTGAGGGATCCGCCGTGGTTCTGAGAACAATTAGGTGCTCAATATTTACTCAATTGGAACTCACCTTTTTCAAGTACAAAATAATAAGTCCGTAGATGAGGGCAGATGCCAAGTTGGCCATTATTCGGAAGAAGAGCATTACGTGATAGACAATCGGATGCGCGGCTCCGTTCGCAGCAATACAGAGAGCGGCGATCGGATTCTCTTTTTCGACCATCAGAAGAGCATTTATGGAGACCAGGGAGATTGTGACTGAGAGCGGAACTAAAAAAGTGAAATGACGAGGAAATGAACAGGAATGGGAACTCACCAGAAAGCAAGAAGAGTGTGTAAATGTGAGTAGCTCTCATGTACCAGAGAGGAGCCACAGAACAGACGAGGAAGTTGATGGAAGTGGTGAGCGGAAGGAGTCCTAGAAGAGGAGTGGCCAAGTTGTGCAGCCAAAGGGCAGGAATGAAGGCACAGTCGGAAGTGGGGACGGTCAGAGTTACTGTAACGGAATGATAAAATGAAGGAACATGGACAAGTCAGTGACGCACATTTGTTTTCATAGAATAGTCCTAGCCTAAGATTAGCAATTAACATGAAAGCGACTCCGTAGAAGATGTCAGTGAGTGCCTGAGCGGCCACGAGGAGGAACTCCCGCCGTCGTCGGTTGCGGTGATCGGAAAGAATGCACCAGATGAGGGTGATGTTCGTCACACAAATTACTATTCCTGGAGGAGAGACACGTGAATGCGGAGTGACTGAATGCACTAACCTTCAGCTAAATATAGATACATGTTCGCCGCGAACGACATCAAATAGTGGCAGGTTAAAACGGATTCTGTTCTCGGACTGATCGGTGCTCTGAAAATATACGTTAACTTTAAAATAGGCAACAGAGAATTCAAAGAAAGACACTCAAAGTGCACACTCTTTCTTACGAGCTAATTGTACATTTCTTAAAGTTGGCGTCTAATGTCTATGCCATGTCTATGAATGAGATGATTGAGAAGGGAACTACGGAGCTCACGTGCTAGGAAAAGTTCCCACGAATCGAGAATGATCATTCAATCGGTCAATTGGTCAAGTGGTCAGCGTTTCAAATGGATGAAAAACATTTTCGGGAAGTGCCCTCCCCGTTTCCCGTGCTCTCTTCCGCAATTTATCCTATTATTTTTGGTCAAAAGGTAGCCGAGTTGAATAATTTTTCGAAATCAAATTCTGATGATTGGCACGCGAGACGAGGCGGGGTTCGACATGTTTATCGAGCCCTAATCACCACTGACACCGACTTTTTTACGGCGACCTTTGCCCGTGTCTAGATTGGACAGACGCCTTCATAAGTTTAAGGATCGAGGACCACGTGCAAGTGTGGGAATCGGTGCTCGGCAGAGATGATTCACGTGGGAAAGCGGGGCGATCCGCCCGTTTCTACGGAGCTTGCTGCCTTCCACCTGCTTCTGATCGTAGTTTTCTGATTCTCAGGTCCTCGAAAACGGCAGATGAAAAGGTGTTCTACTAACTATTAATGCTAATCGGGAGAAAAACACTCGTATCCAAGTAAGTATTAAATTTTTGACTGTAAACACGATGAAATGTGTTTTGAATATCTGAAATTATATATGGTAAGCACTGTGATCCGTTGCTTTTTCATAAGTTCGACAGGTGAAACGGAGACCTTTGTTGATTCGAAAAGGTGATTGTAGTGGGCAATTTCGGATTGACAAAAAGGCGTCTGGAGTCAAGAGAAAGCGGGATAAACGACTGTAAATAACTATTATTCCGAGAAAACATAACCTTTTCGAGGGGAAAATCTCAAAGACTCGGAGGAAAACAGCCATAAATCAAAGTGGACACGGCCAAAAAAGTAGCGAGCTTTCCAAATTTCATTACCACGTGGGAAGAGGGAAACACGCCGTTTTTAGTTCCGCGCAGTATGTTGATACTGACATGTTTATGGGACAAATTCGGGTGTAGTTGGAACGGAAAACCTTTTCGGTCTCCTGGAAATCTTTTTATATCCATTTTCGTCTGACCTAACTCGATTCAAAGTGTTTGGCTGTTGTAAATAGCTGCTTTATGCCCGGCAAAACAATGAACAGCACGTTCTTGCCTAATCAACTTTTCGGTTAATTCGTTCTGTCGGGCACATTTTGGCTTTTTCCATTGCTTTTCGAAGGCATTTGTAGTCATGCACTTTTGACCTAGTTGCAATTTTACAATGGTCTTCTTAGGCTTGAATTTAACAATCTGGGGTTCACGTTTTAGACCGATCTGATGCAAACGTAAAAGTTCAGAGGTTTCGGACGGAAACGCTGAACAAGACAAAACTGTGAAGCCTAAAAGATGCGGCTGAAGCTGAACGGAAACCATTCGGAGATGCGTTTTGGCTTCCTTCTTCTATTCCTTCTCTCTCTTTTGGCTGTTGCGGTTAGTTGGAACTGAACAATATCTGCAATAATTTCAAGTATTCAGATGAGCGGCAATAATCCTCCGACATTCGAAAGTCTCATTTGAGCAGCCAGCATTCGCTGACTCTGAACGGGCCGCTCGCCGTCGTCATGAGGAAAACAGTGATTCCCCTCGCAAATAGACATTCAAGCATCCGATAGTTGTGTAATTTCATCTGCGATGGGCACTGACTTCGTGAGAATCACTCGCTCGCCGTCAGAACGAATCGCTCCTCTCATCAATCAGTTTCACGCCCTTTTTGTCTCGCCTATCATCCCTGATTTGTTCTGCTGCAAACGGAGAACGTCTGCGCGAGAGACGTGAACTTTGTCCATCGAAAAAGTTTTCTTGTGGAACAGAAAGATGATGGAGATGGCAGGTTCTCACAGATTCGACGAAACACGCAATCGAATCGTTTGTTGCAAACTCTCTTGTCACATTTGTTATCATCGAGGTGTCGGGAGATCACAGAGCGGCGGGAAGACAAATTGGAAACGGCTGCGGAAAAGAAAGTGCGAATCACTCCAGACGCGCTCTTTTGTCGGCAACGAGCGGTTCGTTTGAAAAGCGAGAAGGAGTAAGTTCTTGATTAAATTGAAAGGGTGCCGATTATCACACCTCTCTGTTATTTTGAAATTGGGAAAGATGCAATGATTGTGGGGGAAGAACAGGTTGAATTTCGCACGGATTCACTCGAAACACTTTCTGATAACATAAGAAGCAGTCAGATGACAAACACCAGAAATCCACACGTGACGTCATTCATCTGCTGTTACAACCCTTCCAGAATCGTGTTCCAGCAGTTCCTCTCCATCACTCCGTCGCTTCACCGTCTTCGTTTTCCAATCATCGCCTCCACCTGATCATCATTTGTCACCTAGTCGGTAGTTTCAAAGGAACCGCCTGTCTCTCCACGCTTCCTGCGATCCGTCGACAAGATATGATGATGATGGCCGTTCGTCGCTTCACACATCGCTACCGTATACCAGAATGGATAAAAAACAGAATTTGGGGGCGGCGCCCTTGCGTTTTGAACCCTTTCGACAGACTTTCGACAGCGGGTCACAACGAAACCGTATATCGAACGGAAGAGGGCGGAGTCGAGATCAACAGAGATGACACCGAATGCCTTCTCATTCTCATTTTTTTAACCTTTCGATTCACTTCACCCTCATTTAATCAATTGTTCTCAGAAGAGGCAAATGACAGCCACCCAAATACCGGTGATGTCCAATTCGATCTTTCCGCCCATCAACTTCCTCATCCAGAACTCGGCGTTCTTTTCCAGCATCGCCGCTCAGAAGGCTCTTTCTTCCGTCCATCCTACCGGTGAGTCATCCTGTTTTCTTTCAGTTCCCACGTATTATTATAGGCTCTTCTTTGGCTGCGCTCGAGAAACTATCAAAAGCGTTCCGTCGGCCAGATCTACAAATTGAAAAACTGGCAACGTCTTGTATTGACAAGCATAAAGATATGAAAAGTGAGTTCTAATGATCGTCTGCCTTATTTTATCATTTATCATGCCAGGTTCCAACGTGGTTCCTTCTCGGAATCGCTACGGAAGACCGTACATCTCTGGAAGGCCGCTGCTCACGTGCGACCGACAAAAGATAGTCGAGTGCTACAAGAAAGGAATGAAGAAGATCCACATCGCGAAGCAGTTGGGAATCACGCACAGTTGTGTCAGTAAAGTGCTTAGAAGGTGAGCGAGTGTTTCCGAAAAGTATTCTTGGTTTCTTTGGAAAGTTTATGACCATAAAGAGTGTTTCTAGTCTCAAGAATACTTCTTGTTAGACCTGCTTCGTCATACTTCGGTCCCTGAACTCACTTTTGTCTTATAATCGGTCTGTGCATACATCTGACCAAAAAGAGTTTTTGGCCCAGTTAAGAGGGCCTAGATAGGAAAGCCGTAGGTAATTGAAGAACGTTCTCTGGAGCCCTAATCCCTAGCTTCCCCCAGTGGCTGCTCCTACTACCGTAATCCTTCGCCTACCGTATTCCGTCCATTTATATACTTCGTAACCCCATCGTCGTTATGATCATCGGAATCTTCCGTTCATTCGGGTGCCAGCCGTCCTTCCTTTTACATACTAATCTCACCAAATCACATAAGAGAATGTGATGATTTATGAAAACGGCTTGCCGGATATCTATGGACAAAATCGCCGAATTCACAACCAAAAACGACTGTAGGAGCGTGTAGAATTAATTTCCGATTTCGGAAAGGTGTTTTCCGTTTGGCGCATGTCCAATTGTGAAATATCTTGGCATTGGAATGAACGGGAGATTACTGTAGTACTTCAGGTACGCTGAAACCGGAGAAATCGTGGCGAAAACGTGCAGAACGGCTTCTTGCTCTTGCCCCGGATCGGCCGAAGAGCACGACGTCCGGTACTGCAGGCACTTGCAGGACAACACCATCCGACTCTTCTTTTCCATCGAAAAGTAATTTTGAATTGGTGCTCTTCGATAAACTTTCGATTTTTTCAGCATTCTTCGGAAAGAGTCGACTCGAGTCATCTACTTTTCCAAATCTACACCGGATCTTTGATCTGATAACTAACTTTTCCCGTCTTGAATATTGTTCGGTTCTGTGATTTATTTGCCCCTATATAGTCACTTTGTAACATGTTCTAACCCAACTAACACTAGTTTTGCGTGAATTCTAACTCAACTGTAATTGTAATAAGAACTTGGAGAAGAATGAAAGATTAAGCGTCTCTAAATGGTCTCCGAAAGCTGACAATCCGTTCGCAATCAAAAGTACATCCTGCCCGGATCAAAGTCTATACTTTCTTTTCTCTCCGTCGACCTTCGATCCCCTCCGAATGCAGTCCTCTGCTCCTTTCTCCTGCATGCCCATTAAGCGATAATCCGTTCAAGACCCACATTCCGTCGTCTCCTTTCTCCTCCTCACTTCGTGTTTCCCTCCACTACTTCTTCGCTTTCTACCACTTTTCCTTTCCAGTTGTTCCAAAATTCGGAAACATTTCAAAATTCGCGAGACTTCCACTCTTATCTGTCCGCCGCTTCCCGGTGAATGGGAATGATTATAGTGAGTTTATCAGTCTGAATTCACTCCCGAGATGTTACCTTTTCAGGTGTTTCTACTCATCCTCAGGATGATCCCCTCCACGTTGCCATGTGTTCGGACTTCTTCCGGAGGAACTCCCTCGACAAGTACGTTCAAATTCACTCGGGTAACGGGCAATTGTATTGACGTCTCAATAAATGTACTCGCAATCACTTCATCTCTTTTAAAACTTCATTTCCCACCAAGTGCAACCGTGTCCCTTGAACCGTCGTATCCTAGGTGTCGTTCCGTCCCGCACCTTCCTGTTCAGGTATCACAACCACCCCCGATCCCACAGTCCCCACCACCACAGTCGCATCCACTGGTGAGTCCCGTCTGCACAATCATCTGGAGCATGTCCCTGTCGTCAAACCACTAAGCAATATATTCCCGCTCATGGTTTCCTCCTTTTTCAGCCTGTTGTTCCGCTTTGACACAAACGTTAACTTCTACCAGTTTTCCGGATGGAACTATGACTTTCTCCTACAATAGTGACACGTGTCGGACTACAGCGTCAGCTACTTGCTCGTAAGTGCATCTACGGTCTATCTGGTTCATTGTTGGTTCATTTCCAGAACAACTGACTCCTCTCTGGACTTGAATGCTGCTATTGTCGGAAATTCGGTGAACTATCTGGACTACGCCGCGACCACGGTCACTGTTCCTTTCACTTGTTCCGGAGGCAGTTGGTAGGCCGGCCCACAGTCCTTTTCTTCTCTTATTCTTTCCGTTCTCAGGACGTACACAACTGATGGCTCCACTCTCGTCATCGACACTCTCGAATGCGTTCTCACGAATCCATCCACGTAAACTTATGCTGATTTCCTGATCCTTGTCACCTTTTTTTTCTAAATTTCAATAACTTTACGGGTCGATGAATGCTATTTCGTTCAGTTCAATAAACAATGACACATCAGTTCTTCCTTTGGCGTCTTCACAGATTCCAGACTGAAAGGTTTCCATTCCGTCCGCTCGGTCAAACGTTTTTTGTTGCAAAATAGAGACGACGCTTCTGCGAAACGGAACCCAATTATCGGTGAGAGACGATTGCATTTTCTGCCATCTCAGCGGTTCATTTACATTCGTGTTCGCAACAATCAGTTGAGATGATGATGATGATCGCGTCTGTGATGGAAACCACTCAACGTGGCAAATGAGGAGAAGGGGAAAAGGAGAACGCTCCCGTCACCTTGAAACGAAATGCCATTTACTTTGCATAAAACATCGAATGAGATGTCCTGCTGGGCGGCCATTCAACGGTCCATTGGGCACGGGAACCGAGATAGAGCGCGGCGGAAGGAGAGATGCAGACGTCCGCATTGTATTGGGCTGGCAATCCGCCAAAACCAATATGGCAGTATGGCAGTGGCAGTCGGATGAATCACGAGGATCGGAAAGTTGACAGCAGATCCGTGATGACGTGTCACCGTGAAAACATTTGTTTTCTCGGCTGCAGCAAGAAATCTACTGGTTCGTTCTGCTTACTTGGTAATTCTATTCTTCTTTGTAACCGAAAAGTAGAATAACTGAAACGGAACTGAAAAGGGTTCGTTTGTTGTCCGACACACATTTTTTCGTACAACGAAAAGCGAACTTGTTGCCATCCTCCGTCGACGGACAATACCCTCTCTCCCTCCCTCTCTCTCTCTCTCTCTTCCATCAACGGCAATCCAATCTTTGCCTCCGTCCTTCGACGCCTAACTCGTTTGCCTCGAAACTGATACGGTAGATGAAGACTCCGCCCCTTTCCTCAGAGGTATAAAAGGAGACCGTGAGGCCGGAGAGGAAGAGAACAACGACGTCGTGCTTCATCATGATGAAGCTCATCGTCTCCGGATTCGCCACTCTTTCCGGCTTCGCTATTATTGCTCTGACCGTGTTCGTTCCTCAAATTTACTGGGAAATGAATGAGCTGCAGGAAGAAGTTGTCGGAGTCGTTGAGAGTTTCAAGGTTACTGTCACGTGTTATATTGCATACTGACTGCTGGATTCAGGTCGAAACGGATTCCCTTTGGATTGATCTTATGGACGTCCAAATCAAACATTCTGCCCCATCTCGTCCTCTTGAAAATCCACTACTCAGAAGGGACAAAAGATTCACAAAGCTGCCCGAATGGTGCCAATGCGACTCTGCTCCACAGTGCCCACCAGGACCGCCAGGACCACCAGGAGCACCAGGAGCACCAGGAAGTATGGCGGAATCTTATTAACGTTTTTAACGAAGTTAAGTTTTTCAGCGCCTGGGGACCATGGTCCACGTGGAATGGACAACCCACATTCTCTAGGAAGCACTGCATGCGATACCCAAATCACTGGATGTGTTCAATGCCCGCGGGGACCACCTGGACCTCCAGGAGATATCGGATCGGTCGGAGCACAAGGACCCGACGGAGCCGCAGGAGCACCTGGAAGCCCTTCGCAGACACACGGAAGACCAGGACAACCGGGACCACCGGGAGATGCTGGAGAACCAGGATTGCCAGGACAGGATGGAGAACCGGGAAGGCCAGGAGCCGACGGACAGAGACAGAGAGGACTTCCGGGACCACCAGGACTTCCAGGAGCAACTGGAAAGGCCGGAGCAAACGGAGCACCGGGACAGAAAGGAAAGGACGGAGATGCCGGAAGCGAGGGAATCCCTGGAGTTCCAGGACCACGGGGAGCCCCAGGACAGCCGGGAAGCAGCGGAGTTCCGGGAGGACCGGGTATTCCAGGTGAGAACAACTCATTCAACAACTTTTATGTCTCATACTTTCCGCTTTCAGGTCGCGACGGTCAATACTGCCCGTGCCCTCCTCGTTCGTTCGTTCTGGCGGCCGTCCGTCGTCACCGTTCGCACTGATCGCAACTGTTCGGAAGATCACTCTTTGCCTACTTCGAATAAACATTTCGTCCGTTGACCGTGTTCCTTATCGACACATGCGACAATCCCTAATAATCGTCGGGGATGGAACTCCTCTTTGTTTGCGTTTTACCCCCGGGAGCCGCGTGTTAAGAGTGCGAGAGACCGCACATCGATCGTCTTTTTTCATCCTGCTCCCATTGTTTTGCTACGTTGAAATATGATCCATACACTGAATCTCTCTTGATATCTTTCATGATGCCAACTCTCGAATCATGAGTCTAGTGGGTTTAAGTTTGATTTTTTTGCACGTTGCGAACAAACTGATAACCGAGAGAAAGTATAAGAGATAAAGCAAGTGTTCTGGAGTCGGAGCAGCTCCTCCAGATCCGAATCGCCACAAGCACTTTGTCTCCCTCCCTCTATCATCTCATCCCCTCGTTTCTTCCACTGATAATCAGTAGCGCGCACCGCTTTACTACAAACACGCCTCACACCGATCTGTGCGTCTCTTCGCCCTGCCTTGTTCCCTCGCCGGGGGCTCATTCAAGAGGAGAGGCTCCCCGAGAGCCGAATCGGCATGAAGTGCGAAGCTCGGGAGACGCCGAGGATGTCAGAGTTCGGGCTGCTCACGCCCGCGTACACCGGAGCAAGCCGCCTATATCCGCCCCTTCTCCGCCCGCACCGGCCCGCACCGATGGGGATGATAACTCATTTTGTTTTGTGTTACTTTTTTGTGCTGCCATCCGAATATTGGCTCTACAAATATTTGGATGAGACTTGTGGAGAGGATCAGAGAATAACAGAAAAACCACGTCATAGAGCAGCGACAGAAGAAGTCAGGAACGAGTCGAATCTGCATAGTTTTCGAGCAGATAAGAAGCCGACGCATCTGTCATTCACATTGAATTTCCCAATTTGATTACTCATCACTCTCTTTTCAACATTCCATTCTTTAAATACACAACGCATCGCCCTTTTTTTCTTTTTCTCTGTCCCATTCACTCAAATCTTTTTCGATCCGCATAATCCTCTTCCACTGTGAAACTGTTTTGATTTGTTTGTTTGTTTCGATTATGCAAATTCGATGCATTTCGCATTCAGGTAGTCGGCCGAAAATGGAACGAGTCACCGTCCGAATGGCCCGTTCGGACCGCCGAACTCCGTGGGGATTCGGCGTGACCGAGGCACCAGATGGAGCCGTTCTCATCGTCAATGTGAGTCGTTTTCTGAAGTTGATCAGGGTACTTTTTCTCATTGGAAATCAAACTGTAATGTATGTAGTTCCGGAGTTGTTCGATCCCGTAGTGATTTGCTGACCCCAGAATGCCATTCGGTTCCCCGTAAGAGCTTTCCCAATCACCACAAAACACATGGCAACTGATGATTTACAACCCGTTACTCCAGCTTCCTACCTCTCTCTTCTTCCCCACTTTTTCTTCCGCATCCCTCTCAACGTAACTTGTCTCGGGCATGCCGACACAGCAAAAAACTTATTACAATCCGAGTAAGAGAGCGGCTCGCGGAGCAGTGAGAAATGAGTCGTAAGCTCATTCGAAAGGGGATCTGAACATACACAAACACAAACCATTCGCATTTTGAGGTTGTCGGAGGCAGTCTGGCCGACCGTGCTGGACTTCGGAACGGGGACGTCGTCGACAAGTTGGAAGGTGATCCCAAGAGGGCAAAGAGAGGATGCACAGGCACATTTTCAGATCTGGACAACTTGGACATCAATGCGGTGGACCGTCTGCTGGTGACTGCTCACGACAAGATCGAACTGATCGTCACCAGGTACAGTTATCCGAGGCAGTCTTCGGTCTTCCTTATTAGTTAACCCAATCCTTGAAAGTAGGCCGACTTACTACCAGTTTGGGTCGTCTGCAAACAGGTGTCGGCGTGATCACATCATCCGTTCGCCCCTGATATCCCCATCCTTTCGCTCTTTGTCTCTTCCTCTCTCCGTCTCTCTCGATCCCTCTATCTCTTCGTCTGCTTATTTCCGAATATCCAAATTTCGAAGCGAACGCACAGCCGAACAGATAAGAATCAGGCCAAGCGGCAACATTCTTCCGAATCTCTGCCGGGAAGTCGCGGGCACTGTAGACACAAGATTTATACATATAATTCACAGACCCTCTCGGCTTCTAGATCAATCAGAAATACAGTGCGGAGGCCTCCCCGTACACTGTAAAAGTCCATCGGCATACAGTTTTTGGCCATTGCAGTGAATCACTTTCGGTTTCGTTTCCATTTTTATCCTTTGGCACGTGACGGATTGTGATCTAGATGAATAACCTTTTCAGTATTAGAGTCAAAAATATTCCCAAAAAAACGTTGAACTTCATACCCACTTTTGATTCCGTTACTCATTGTGTCCACACTTCGATTTTCGCTCTTTTCTCTCTCAAAATTTATTCATATTCTCACCCACAAAAGAGAAAAAGATTGCTGCACTCGCTCCACTCGATACTTCCTCTCTTTTCCTTTTCTTTCCTCTTCTTCTCATTCTGCTTTCATTCAGTCTAAACTCAAGTGATGGTGAGAATCACAACGACGCCAAGGCCCGGGTAGGATTATGAGAAGAATACACTTTCAGAACTGATGTTTCAACTTTTCAATTTTTTGTTTCAGGCAATTTTCGGGTGCCCCCGCTCGCATCTGGCGTCCGGAAGTGACTGAGAATTCCGGAAACGACGAGAGACCATACCGCGTGAACTTGCAACATAGCAGCGACGTGAGTGCCAGAATGCGTTCCTCTTCTCATGAGTCATCGTTTCAGACCCGCCCGCCACAAGGATTCAACAGTTCTGCCCTTCCGTTCGACACCGATCAGCGAGTGAAACACATGCAGTACAACTCGCCCCTCGGCATTTATTCCGACAAATCAGCCGCCGAGCAGTACGTGCAGCAGACTCAGGGACTTGTGGAGAACCAAGGGTGAGAATATAACAAGCAATTCATTTGGTTGGACGACTAATTCGGGATAGATGGTCAGACGTTGCGGCGACGTCTGTACTCGCGGAAAGCGGCAGTCAGATTCTCGATGAAGAGGAGTTCTCGCTTCCGACGCGGCATGTATTCAGCCTGTAATAAGGTTTTACATACTAGAAATGATTCCTGAAACGCACAGTATCAAATCCTCCGGACTGTGTGGCATTGGCTGCTACGGAGGCTGCTTCAGAGGTTACTTTGCAGTTCTCGGGAAGAAGCGGCATCACGAGGACCTTGATCTGTTTTCCGTAGACCTTTGCTAAATTCTTCACAGCAGCCTTGTCAGCATCAGAAAGGGACTCAAATTTGGACTTGAGCTGAAATAGGGACATTAGGAGTGATTCGCAGCAAATAACTCACATCAGAAGAGACTTGTTTGGCTGGGAGGAAGAGGTTTCCCTCCTCGAAGTCGCTGATTACTCCAGCCGCCAGCGTCTTGGCGGAATCAGAAGGCAGATTGGTCTGAGCATCGGTCTTCGCTGCAGCAATGATAGCCCAGAACTTCTGGCGGGTGTCTGATCCGAGACTGTCCAGGAACGTGTTCAGTTTAGACAGTTTCACAGTCGCATTGTCAGATCCTTCAAGCTCATTTCGGAGTGTATCGCATTCTCCCCCAAGCTTCAGTTTTGTGTAGTCAGCAAATGTGCCCCCAATGGAAAGTATCAAAATGAGAATCCGGGACATATCTGGGAACGAATCGATTTGAAAGTTTTCCAAAACGGCAAAATGAGGACAAAAAAGAGATTACTTGTGATGAAACCGTTTCGTTTATATAAGTGACCCGGTCTTCGGTTCATCTCCCGCTCTCCGATCCTCTTTAATCTGCCGTTAATCCGTGCCACTATAGTCTCGTTCTTCACGCATCCATCACAAGTCACAAAAATCACTTCCGATTCTTTTCAGAGCCCGTGTGACTGCTCAAAGACAAGACGAGCCCGCATACCTGAGAAGCGAAACTCTTCGCCTTCTGAAGGAACAAGAACGGGGCACAGCTGGAACGACTCTTTCGAATCACCCGAATCCGACTGGGCTTCCTGTCTGCTTCATTTGCACGAGACCCATTCTGTAAGAGAATCCCTTTGATGAGCGAGAGTTATTGTTTGGTTGCAGAGGAGTGATGGCTCGTGCCGCCGGAAAAGACCTTCACGGAGACTGTCTTTCGTGTGCCACTTGCGGAAACTCGCTCAGAAATGTTGGGCATCACTTCATCGAAGGTTGGCTTTGATACGAAGGACGAGTCTGCTAAATCTACTATTATTTCAGATAAGTTCTACTGTGACATCCATGGAACTCAAAGAAAGGCGGGAGGAAGACCTGGCATGGATCCTAACATTTTCGTGTAAGTTTGAATGATAACATGTTTAGGCTATGTACTCATTCCTTTTCAGCAAGTCCTCTCCGACTGCCGCTCAACCAGTCCTTCATCAAGATAGTCCTCGTGCCGCCTATCATCCGCAAGTCAACCAGACCCGCCCGCTTTCCGTTTCCCCTGCCCCGTCCGTCGGAACCAAACAGGTCACTACTCACTATCACACTCCGAAGACTCAGGGAATCTTGAGGTAACATCTCCGTTCTCTATGTTTCGTGCAATCAGAGCTATTCAGCCCTGCTCAAAGAGGAGTTCCGAACGCTGCCTTCGGTGCCGATCTCCAGCGTACCGTCACTTACGGAGGAGGCGTCGGCCCGGGCGGAACACATTACGACCCGAACCGTCTGTCCCCAGCTCCTTCGCAGTTCTCCCAGTCCTCCCGAAGTCAGCCAGTTCCTCCGCCAGTCCCGTCGAATCCGCCGCCGTCGCACGGTAAGTCCTACAGCACCCCGGGGCTTCGCCTGGCTTTTCTCATATCTGTTTCGGCTTTCCGTTCGGGTCTTCGTCCTTTCACACGTCCTTTGTTCTTGTCCATGTCCAATGTCCGTTTCAGAATCTCGTGTTCCCGATTCTGTCCGATCGGCGGTTTCCCCTAGAAGATCCGGCAAGACTCCCAGACAATGGCCTCCGCCGGCAGCTCCTGCTCTCACGAGATACTGGCAAATTGATGCGGCGGATACTTTGAAGAGGGAAAAACCGAACTACGGAGAGGATTTGGCCGCGATGATCAGGGAAATGAGCAATGAGAAAGAACCTGTTGTCATCAGGAAAGAGCCGAAGAAAAATGTGAGGAATGGGAGAAGAGCATCGAATATCAGCAAGGAACAAGTGCAACAAGCATTTGAAGAGCATCGGAAAAGGAGAGAAGAAGAAGAAGAGAGTAGGGTGGAGCAGAAGAAGGAATTGAAGGTAGAAGTGGCTGCAGTGGAGCCGGAACACGTGGAAAGGCCGGTGGAAATGCTACCGCCGGAGATCAGAAACGGCATTCATTGGACGGTTATTCACAGTCCGAGAGGGTCGCCAAGTCCCGCAAAAGTGACTTCTGAAGCTGTCCACGAAAGTAACGAAGTCGTGAAGCCGATTGCCAGCTATGGAACCCCAGTTACCATTTCGAGGACGGCGATTCCGAAACCGTTCAAATTTGAGCCTGACCAGACGGAAGAAAACAAGAAACCGCTGTATTCTTCAGTTGGAATCAAACAGCAACTTGCCTCGGTTTCAGTCTCAATTGAACCATTAAAGACTTCCGAAAGCCCGTCCCCTCAGCCAGTCCAGAGTTATATTGTCCGTAGCAGTGATGCGAACATCACAACTTCCACAAATCTCCAGACGACAGTCACTCGTCAATATACCGAAAACGAGCAACCACACACTTTCCTGCCGACCCCGTGCCATACCACTGACTCTAGCACCTCTCCGATCCCTTCAATTCGATTGCTTAGGAAGCCAGAGCCAGTGAAATCTTTACCCGTTCCTTTTGTGTCTATAACGAACGTGGCAACTTCCCCAATAAAAATCCACGAGCCGAGTGGTCCGTCGCCTCCGGTTCGGAAAGATCCGAAGCACTTCAAGAAAGTTGATTTTTCGAAGAACAGTCCTGTTGTGATTCCGGAATGGAAAGATTCGGCAGACATTGTCGACGAATCGGATATTCTGACGGAAGCTTCCAAGGAAGACGACAGTATTTCCTTCCTGAAAGCAGCCACTTACGACGGTGATGAGTCGGAGATGATAGATAACAAGAGTGATGTGACGAGTACGTTTGATATAGAGGAGGAAGAAGTGGAAATAGTTCCGGCAAGGAAGATTCGGGTAATTGGGAAGGGAGAGGGAGAAGCTGAGAAACAGTGGAGACAAAGAGCCATGGAGTTGCTGGACGACGATGCGCAGACGGAGAGAGATCTGATGATAGTGGCAGCTCTGAACGAACGACTTCAAGGTAGGTCCCACTGAATCTTTTTGCATCTCTTTCATAAGCAATGAATGATAGGCCTTCGCGAAATGGAAGACGATGACCGAATACGTGCCATTGAATGCATCGCCCGTCATCAAAGCGAGCTCGAACAGACGCAGACACAGCTGAGCACCCTCCTCGAGTCCGCTATTGTATATCTCCAAAATCTTCGCCCCGAGCAGTCGGCTATGGAAGCTATACTTGAGACCCCCGAACCTACTCGCGCGGAGCAAAGAGTAAAAGAACTCCGGAAGCAAGTGCTTGAGGAGTTCCAGCACCTTCCGATCCTCGGGGACGGCAGTGATCCTCCAGTTCCTCCGGAGAGAAAGGTCTTCCCGTTCGCGTCCTATCAACCGCCCGTTTCCGTTTCCCCAGTCACCGTCCCCGTCCCTATCCCACCAATTCAAACCCATCCCATTCCACCGCCAGTTGCCGCTGTCACAACTCAAAGGTAACCTTCAGTTCTCTTTCTCTCTCTCTCTCTCTCTTTCTCTGTTTTGTTTCACGTCCCTGTCCTTGTCTTCAGTTTGCATGACGTTCTTGATGAGTTCTACTCACTGCGGAAGCCGACACCCACCACCTTTGTTCGCAAAGTGACCGCCTCCTCAGACGCGGCCGCCGAAGACTCGAGAAACTTCCTGGCATCGCGACTCGGACAAGTGATGATAGATGAGAACAAACGGAGTGCCAGCACGCAACAGGGTGTGTTCTTTTTCATTCAAATAATCCTCTATGTGCTCCGCATTCATTTGCTTTTCCTAATCAGGTTAAACATTTGAGGTGTCATCCAATCATAGGGTTCGAACTTTAAACACAGAAAAACGGCACACAGGTTCTTCGTACACGAAAACCAGCTTCGAGCGAACGACAACCGAGTCTCGACCACATGAAAACCACGCAACGGCTCCGCGAGCAACAGCCCCGTCGGCCGGAGATTTCCGGGGAACCGGGCATCTGACAACGACGACGACAACCCAGCAGAACGGAGGAAGAGTGCCGTACTGCGAGGCTTGCAAGCAGCAGATCCGGTGAGCTTCCCTTAGAACTCTTCGAGCATCCTCCCCTCTTTGCAGTGGAGCATTCGTCCTCGCCACCGGAAAGTCGTGGTGTCCGGAGCACTTCGTCTGCGCCAACTCTTCGTGCCGTCGTCGTCTTCTCGAGTGCGGATTCGTCGAGGAGGACGGACAGAAGTTCTGCGAGTCTTGCTTCGAGCAGCACATTGCTCCGCGCTGTGCCAAGTGCTCGAAACCAATCATTTCGGACTGTCTGAACGCGCTCCAGAAGAAGTGGCATCCGACTTGTTTCACGTGTGCTCACTGCCAGAAGCCGTTCGGAAACAGCGCCTTCTACCTGGAGCAAGGGCTGCCGTACTGCGAGCAGGATTGGAATGCCCTCTTCACCACCAAATGCGTCAGTTGCCGTTACCCGATTGAGGCTGGGGACCGGTGGGTCGAGGCCCTCGGTAACGCTTTCCATTCGAACTGTTTCACGTGCACTGTCAGTTGCTTTCCTTCTCATTCATCTGAAGTTTTCCCATTTTTTCAGCGTTGCAATCACAATCTTGAGGGAGAGAGCTTCTTCGCTAAAAACGGTCAACCGTTCTGCAAACTTCACGCCTAGATCCATTCATTTCTTTCATTTTCAAGCAAAATCGAATATTTTTGAGCCTTCAAAAAAATTATTTTGTCTGTCACTGCAATTTTATTTTTCATTTTCTTCCATCTTTCAAATCAGTTAAATAATACAGTGCGTCCAATAAAGATAAGACCCCCCTATATTATGAAGGCACAGTGGTTGTGACCAAATTTTTGCGCAACTACTTTAGAAAACGTGCACCGGCGGTTTTTCACATGCCAAATCGAACTGCATTCACAGAATTCTCATAACTGTTCTCGTTTTGGCTATACCTTCAAAATATAGGGGGCTTATCATTATTGAACGCACTGTATATGAATGTTAACAGAATAAATCCAACAATGTAATCGAATGGAATAGAAAAGCACGGGAAAATAGAGGAGACCAAGAAAAGAAAAACTACGAGGGATAGAGTATCTTCAGGATGAGAATTGACGGCGAATCAGTGGATTCCGTTCGTCAGAGCGTGTCCGTTTTCATTTGGCATCGGCGACGGAGGAATGCTAAAAGTTTAGACGTCTGAAAATGAAACACACTTCAGTTTTGGAGCTTTCTTGGAAAATGATTCATTTTTATTGGCGAAGATTCTTGCATGTGCATCGAAATTCGTGTTATTTTTCATGCAGTTTATTAATTTGGTCGCTAGGATCTACCGGTATTGGGAATCTTTTTGAAGATAAGAGGAGGGGACAAAATGCAGCAATAAGGGGCACTCTTAAGCAAAAATGAATAGCATCGTGTTGTACATGGGAACGGTTCCAGTCACAAAACAGCCGAAGGCGAATGGAACCAAAGCCAACGGAGCATGCCACTGAATCAGGTCGAGCACTCGATCGAGGTCATCTCTTTCGTTCGGAATCTTCTTGACGGTTTTCTTTTTTCGTTCAGACCTCCGCTTCTCTCGTCTCAATGTCGTCGTTGGCCTGCTCTCGATTCTTGAAGGTGGAGGCGTGTAGACAGCGACTTCTAATTCTCTCAGGGATGGTTCCGGCGTTACAAAGCACTGTGCCGTCGTCGATTCTGAAGGTCTTCGTTTCGGTGTCAACTGCATCGTCTGCTTCGGGGACTGCGGCTGATTCATCGTCGTTCTTCTCAGAATACTCTCTTTTTTCGGTCGACTGTGATTCAGGTTGCTGAGTGCATAGGAATGCAAGTATCGATAGTTCTGCTTGTCTCCATAGCCAACAGGATCTGAATCATCCCCGAAATCGGATACAGTGTTCTCAGTGGCAGATGGAGTCATTGGAAGAAATGAAGGCTCACTGCTCCTTGGTGGAGTCTCGAAGTGATGCTGCTGCACTGACTGCGGCGGCGACGTGGGGGACGTCATCTCCGGAGAGTATTGCGAGGTAGAAGCAACCGAACGGGCCTTTCGAGCCGACGTCATGCTAGAAGAAGCCATTCAGAAGATACTGGCATAAACTCATGCAAGAATCTTCACCAAATAATCATTTCCATATTCAAAACTGTCTCAAAAAGGTTTCCACTCATTCTTACCTTCTGGCTGGCGAGACCGAGCCTCGGGAAGCTCGCGTGTCGAGGAGTCCCATGTATTTGTAAGCACGCGAGAGCAAGTAAGCGCTGAGCGCCGTTGCCGTCAAGCTCTTCAGCAATGTTGGAGTCTTTGCTGGCATGAGAGCTTTGATGAGAACGGCGGCGAGCAGACTTCCGAAGTTGAACAGCGTTGAAGCAAAAACACTGAAAATTGAACGTTAAACAAATTAGGTAGAACATACGCCAACCTGAATTCAACGCGCTCCCAGGGATTAGTACGGTGCAGATGTCTTCTGAAATACACGTAGAATCCGAGTCCCACGTTCGCATTGAACAGAATCGTGTTGCTGACGGCAAGGTCGCCGGTCGGGAACAGACTGAGATGGATTTGATGAATTAGAATCCTTCGAGTTATTAGTAAAAGTACCTTGAGATGATGTTGGGGCTGAACAGATGGACGGTGTAGAGCGTGTGCGAGACGGCTCCGGAAGCGGGCAGATAGTGCGAGAGGAACGAGCGGGAAGTTACCGGTGGGAACCATTTCGACCACTCGATCCCGAAGCTGCTGCGTGGCTGGCCGGCTTGATTGCCTGAAAAAAGCAAAATGAAACCGGAAGTTGATCCCATGGAATCCCCGAGTGCGAAGTATTGCTGTGGTCCGCGAAAAAAAGGCTGCAGCTGGCGGATTCTCCCGCATCACTCGTTTTTCCGTTGACAGCATTCCTCTCGAATCAGAGAACGTTCTGTCCGCATGATTTATGTCAATGCGAAGCTTCGCCCGTGTTTCGGTCCCTCTGCACACCGCGCCAGATCAGCCGATCAAAGTCCGCCGAACATCAATTTTTCGCGCGACGCTTGCGATAACATGTCGCCTCGATTCAAACTTTCTATTCATCATTCCCAATACGTTTCTTTGCCATTTCTTTTCGGTTCCGCAAATTACACTAAAAACGAAGGCGCAGTAACTGACCGGATGATGACGGATAATCGAGAATTCCCATGATTCGATTCGCGGGGGACGGTCGAACAGATAAAGGTTAATGGAGCGAGCGGGAAGGAAGAAGACGACTAATTGAATCAATCAATCCAGCAAACTGGGTGATTCTGAAATAGGAATGGGTGTTGAAATGTATTGTCGTACCGTTGGAATTTGTACAAAAACTAGCAATGCCGATTTGCATAAGAACTCACGTGTCTGACGTCGACTCCGCAGGGAGATGCTCTCGTTCGAAACTGATAGATAGACTGATCGTTCGTTGCTTCTCCCGTGCTCACTCTTTCGGCAGGAGGGCACTCAGAGAAACGATGGAGGCGGTTGCCCTCTGCAAAGACGCAAATAACAGAGTAAGTGACTGATAGAGCAAACAGGACGTAATCAGAAGGGGATAAATGAAGTATCGGAACGAACGCATTTCTAAGCAACAACTCAAACAACATATGTGCTACGCCAAGTACAAGGATCGCAACGAGAAGTGAACCGAGGTGGGAGGATAGAGGGCGAGAAATGAAGATCGATATGACAGTGACTGTGAAGGAGGGCGCGAAAAGATGCGGGCGGGACGAAATCGAGCCCTCGGGAGAGGAGAATCAGAGAAAAAGGGAGGGAAGAAAGAGAGTAACAAAATAACAAATAGCCTCGGGCATCTGCGACGATTCTGAGAGTCAAGGTGACAGGTGATATTTTCGCAGCGATCCGGATGGCATCGAAAAAAGAAGGCGGTCGGATGTGATCCGATTTATTGCGATAAATCTTCCCGCTACTCCCGAACGAAACAGCAAGAGGAAGAAAGTTTGCAACATTTCTTTGCTTATCAAACCAAAAGAATTCTATCAATTTCATCATTGGGGAATAGGATTATGGGAGCATTCTTGAGATGGGAATGAATTGAGAAAGAAAACGTTGATGTGACCGGGTGTGACCCATTTCCAATCGTGCTGGAGAGTAAAAGTACACTGTACTTAATAATCGTGTTGTTTCACAGCTGGGACAGTGCCCTTTTCAGCCTTTGACTTTAAAAACTGTTGAGAAGTTGGAAAAAACCTTTCAATGTTCTGCTAATTTTCGGGGAACCAGTAGACTGACGTTCGTCACACAGACACTAAATCAGTGACCGACGGCGTCTTGATTTCTGCTGTTTGCGTGCTCACGTGGCTGATGTTCCAATCCGAACCTACAGTATCCAATTTGTCTCTTGTCAACAATAATCGCGTTGAGCACATGTTCGACACATAAAACAGAGGGAAAAGACGAGAAAAACGGAAAGATCTCGAGGCGAGTGGGAACAAAGTGAAAGGGGAGCGGGCAAGGGAAACGGATCCTCCCTCGCCAACCACTTACACTTACTCGAGACGACAACTGATTTGTGTGGTTATGACTGCAATTGATCGATCAGTTATGACCACGCTTCGATGCAGAACGAGCGAAATTGGAGTGTTATCAGGAGAAAAGCGTCACCTGAACCTGCATTGCAACAAAAACGACGCTTTCTTCTCTTATCTTCGGTCTTTCCGTGACGCACAAAAGAACGCACAGTGTGAGAGAAAAGAAAGAACGAAAGGGCGTTTGAATTCAATAAAATGGAATGGGCGAAGGGGAATCGGCTACATAAACAAACCGGAGAGCGGGGGAGCGCACTTGCCCACGGCCAGATAAAGCTTCCGGATATCGGACCGGACATTGACATATTCGAAAGCCAAAACGATGGAAGTTTATCATAGCAGAAAATAAAACAGCATGAAACCGGAAGTGTTAAGAGATCACATTTAGAATTTGCCGACGTTAGTGTTTGGGAAGAAGGGCAATTGCTGATAAAGTGAAACCATTCCGATAGAGCTCGCAGCCACGATGGTGTCATAATAAACATCGAAAGAAGAAATTGGATACACGGACTCGTTGCGGATTGATTCCAAACGGAGAGAGCTCGCAATGTCGCCCTCCAGCCAAATTGTGTCTTTCGTGGCACGAGTTCCGACGGCACTGCAATGAAAGCAATTGTGAGTGGCTGTGATAAACAGAACAAAAAAGAAAAACCAACGGAAAAGAGAACTTACATTGGAGCAGAAGAGGAATCGATTCTGACAATGCATCCATCGTTGGAAGAGACAATGAGGCTGTCAACGCATGTTGGGTGGAACATCACTTGAGAAATTCCCCGCTTTGCAACCAAATAGGTGCTTGTGATGTTCGCGGTCCGAATATTTCTCGCATCGATCAAACCGACGATTCCTTCGTCTGTTCCACAGCAAACCAGATTAGGTTGGGCCGGATGAGTGCAGAGGGAGGATACTGAGTCCAGAGCTTTCTTTGATGGCACAAGGGTCTTGATTGGTTCAATAATGGTCGCTGAAAAATGAGAATTTATTCACGAGCTATTGCCATCTCCGTACTTCTTTCGTTGTCTTCTCGCAGATCCCAAGCTGTGACTTGTCCGTTCGAATCTCCAGCCATCACAACGTTCCCTCCAAAAGTTGTGCAAATTGATCTGATTCCTGGCAGCCCCTAAATTGAAGACTTCAGGCTGTGAATGAAATCGAGTGTACTTACGGAGAACACAGTTCGTGACATTCCAGTTTCTACGTCTATCGCTTCCAAACTTCCGTTTGTTGAAGCACTGAAACTATTGAAAGCTCATTCATACTTCTCCACTTTACTGACCTTAGAATTCCCGAACCGTTTCGACAAACAGATCTGCTTGCACAACCGCTATGTACGGACGGAATACGAATCATCTGAAATTGCATTTGTTGCGGAATATTGAAATTCTCTGTAATCACCAAAGCTAAATCGTCCTTGTCTGTGTTGAAAATGGCGAGCGAACCGTCGGCGTATCCAATGCAGACACGATCGTCTGTCATGAGCCTGAAAGAAACTATTAATTCTAGGACACCTCGTTTTCCTGTACACTGCATCATTAGGATCAACGTCGGTGTTCTTGGTGGCAAGAATCTTGAACGGATCGATGCCGTTGTCCCTTTCCCATAGCGCAATGCATCGCTCGCGTCCTTTTCCGAGCAGAAGAATCTGCGAAGCGTCTCCTTTGGTGAACATTACCTGAAAAAAACAGAATGGAAATAATTAACCAGGTTTTAATGTTGTTTTTGTGCTAACCTTTGCTATCTTGACGTCGGCATGCTGCATAACTTCTGGAGAAATAGGCGTGGGAGAGATCATCTCGGTCTTGTTCGGAATCTGCGAGTCATCTGTGTTCGTTGTGATTTTAATCGTCATTTTTCGATTCTAAAATTTTTATTCACTCGGTAAGAAGGCATTCGGAAGCATTCGGAAAAAGGCAGATTAGAAAAATGAAAATAGCAAAGCACACAAGAAAGCAAGGAAAAGTTCGGGCGCTACAACAAAGTAGAACTCGCACGGAATGGACTCGCACGGAATTCCGTGCGAGTTCTACTTCGTTATAGCGCCAAAGTTCGAAACAATTTTGAATTTTTGCTTCTTTGTTAAACTGCGTGCGACGGAATTTCGGAGCGTCGTAACCAAAGGAACTTTCGGACTTATGCAAATTTTAATGAATCGCGGCGTTAATTCAGGATTTCAGAAATGAGAAATTTCTGTGAAAATTGAGCAAGTTATTAGGAATTTAAGGGAACTTTTGCAGCCCTCGCTTAGCTTAACAAAGATTGCAACACATTCAAGCAGGGAACTTTCTTCCCACATATTTATTATAACCCACATATTTATTATAGTTTTATAAGACCTGAGACAATTTTTTAAAAACCCGAGAAATTAATTGTGCTTTCTCCAATTCATCGGTAAAACCTGGGCATCATCGGAACATTCGGCATGAATTGTACTCCCGTATACAATTGAACTTCGGGACGCATTTGAACTCCCGATACCATCTGGCCGCCTAGCATGGCATCATGGGAATCATTTGCATCCGAGCAACTGGAACCCGTACGCCGGGCGGGACGAACTCCGGAGCATTTATGTTCCATGTGATTTCCGACCTGAAAGGAACCGCAAAAGTTTTTAGTTTTTGAAAAAATGCTGGCCTGAGATGGTAGGAATGGAGAGCACTAAGCAAAAAGAGCAATGAATGGCAAGGCGGCGGAGAAACAAAGCGCGGGAGGTGTTATTGACTTTCGAGGAACCTTTCTTCAAGAATTGTGAAAGACATCGGAGGGTGGGATTCTTCTGAAAGATGAATGATCTCATCGTATGTAGCTTCGCAGCGAAATTAATTCAAAAGGCCGTTTTCCACCTATTAATTTTCGCGAACTCATCAATCGTCCGGGCGGTCGTGCCAGCTGATAGATCCAATTGAACGACGCCGCGCCGACTGATCTCCAGGAACAACCAAGTTCCCATTCCACCTCCAACCAGTATTAAAAGCGCGGTTGCTCGGCGATCAAACACTGTCCGTTCGAATACTGACCATAGTACACTTTCTTCGTCAGTCCCACCATTTTTTGCACCAGCTCTTCCCGCAGAGCTCCGCGAGCAAACCGTGTTTGCCGAGCACCAAACAAACCTTCCCCAACCTGCGGCTCCACGTGCTCAAAGCAGAAGCATCAAACGGTGTGTGCTTCTCCTCCACTAATTATATCCCTTCCAATCCAACTGGTTCCTTTTTTTTGTTGCTACAGGTCAAATGTAGCCTATAAATAGACGAAGCACCCATTCAAACTGTCGTCTCTTCTCAGCGATGATGCTCGGCGGAGAATAGTTTGATTCGTCGAAAATGGCGTGTTTCCTGTGAAACGATGTTTGATAGGGAGCTTATTCTCTTGTGAATTCGAGAAAACGAATCATTCTCGTATCAAAATATGTTGACACAATATTCTGTGTTCTCACAGTATCCGCTTCTCTGAAATATTATCATTCTCAACCTTGTCTATTTCTGTTTTGATGACCCACGAGCGTTCGAACTGTTACGCGCATGCAAGCGCGCCCTACCGAACATCGTCGGCGTCTCTTCAATCTCGCACTCTCTAATTTGAATAAATAAACAGCTGGCCTAAAATTTGCGTAGTATCTGGTGCCAAGTACGCAAAATATCTAGAACGGTGTTTGCACAGGGGCGACACGCAGCCAATGGGCGTACGCCGGCGTAAAGGCGGCAAACGAAAATTTTGAATCGGTGCGTAGCGCCCTTCGAAAATAAATTCAAATTTTTATGGCGGGAGTTCTGAATGAACACACGTGATGACCTTCATCTCTGATTTTTGGTCCTTTCCAAAGTCTTCAAAATGGATTACTTCGAATAGTCCCATACATTCCTCACAAAGAAGCACATAATTTCCGGAGCTGTCAGCCATTTTCCATCGCTCATCCTAAAGTATTTCCTATTTTCCACGTCATAGTGTTTTCCCTTCATTCTCTTACACTCTTGTTGTCCGCCCAAAAATGTAAAACTTTGTGCACTCCTAGAGCGACTGAAAAACTAGCCGAAGCAAACAAACACATGTGATGAATGAATACTTCAGAAATTTCGTTTCTTTTTTACGAAACCCCCGTTTCGCCCGTCATTTCCAGTCCGAGTGTACTTCTGTTTCGTAGCTGCTGTTCGCTCTCTCGTCTCGTGAGGAGAAACAGTCACACACACACAGTAGTGATTGGCCAAACTTCTCGACGGCGAGCGCCAACCAATTGGTTTTTGAATTTTGAGAAGAAGATGTGGAAACGTGCTTCGTGCGGCAGCGAAATCGCGGCGTGGTGAAGAGAATGACTGAGAAGAGAAGATAATGGGACGTCGACGGCGCAATCACTCATCTCATTATATCACTTCGCATCTTCTTCGTATCGATTCGGGCGATCCTTTCGTTGCGGTGAAACGCCGAAGACGACGTTGACATTTCGTGGTCTTTCGTAGTTGATCAACGGAAAGATTCATTTCGTTGATAGTGCAGTTATTTCTCTGTTCTATATGATGTGATCGCCGAAGAAGTCCCGTCCACATACTGTTTGTTGTCCAACAAAACAGATCTTGTTTATCTAGACCAGAGTTCTGTTTCTGATATCCGTTGGAGCCAAATCATGTTTTCCCTTTTTTAGGTTACAAATCAGACATTTTTCCTTATTTTCCGTCTTCGTCTTCACCTTTCCACGTCACCCAATTCGTCTGTTTTTTCTATCCTTCTGTCGGCCAGCTAATCGAATTAAAAGTGAAGGGTACTGTCCCCCAGCATTCCGTGTTCTGGCCACAAGTCCCTTCGAATTGGTCACAGTTTGTCTGTGGTCTGACACATGCAAATGCGCCTTTGGCACTCTGCCAAGTGACCTTTCCTTCGGTTCTTCTCTTTTCTGACCCGTTCGACCGATCGTTCCTGCCCAAAATATTTGTCTCCCCCTTCCTCAAATACTCTTTCTTTCCCTTTTCCACTTCCTATTTTGCCTTGTAAGACCTGCTGGATCACTTTATTTATCTAATGATGCTATATGCTTATTGTACAAGTGCCACATTTCTCTTACCTGATGTAAACACTCTGCGCCCTCTCACTATCTCTCGCATTATCATTCTTGATTATGCATCGGAAGACACGTGAACACCATGTGTCTTTCTTTCCACATTGGTCACAGATTTCGGAAAATACTGCGCGAGAAAGGAACTATTTGTCATCATGGACACAACGAAGCCGATGAATGGACACAAAAAGCTGTGTCTCGGTGCTCAGAGAGGCAAAGAAGCACACAAAATACAGCTGTCTGTGAATATTCCAGTGCTGTTGGTCTCTGGGGTGAGCAGCGCGTAATTGCTCTCTCCTCGCTGATTCTTTCCACTTTTTTTCTTCTTTTTCTTGCCGCAAATCACTCGTTTTCTGCTGCCCTTTCCGAAAGGCACACATGCGTGCAACTGTCAATTTCCCATCGAAGTTTCTTGATAGATAACCGGCATGCGCCTTTAAAATCTACCGTAGTATTGCTATTAATAAAAACGTTTTCGTTTTGTTTTCTTTCCAACAAATTCTCTAATCTTCCGGTTTTTCTCAAATTTCACAAGCATGCACTCGTTCGTATTTGACATTTGCGTGAAACTTTACAAAAAAAAGCAGAAATAATCCAAAAGTTTACATTTTGCGCGACCGCCCGCACACAAAAACCGTGCGAGTTCGATCATATGTCCGCATTGAATGCCGGTAGCCCACCCACGTATCATTCATTCTATTCTTCTTCTAGCCTACACTTTATTTGTGCCCACCGTTCTCCGACCAACACAAATACACCACAAACAGCCGGAGAAAGAGGCACAGTCTGGACGCACAGGCGTGGTGGGCGGTTCTTTCTGATAGGGCGGTCAACGTTATAAAATGATCATCTGAAAGTGGTGCCACATGAACTGTTCTTTGCTTGATGCAGCTTCTCTTTTCCTTGCTGATAACCTTCTCGTGACCTCCGCCGTTTCACCAGTGCAAACTCATTCGTTTTCAGCCTTTCAATGGCCGCTTTGGCGATTTCCCAGTGCGTCAGTCACGTGACACGTCCCGCTTCGCCGACAACGTTGCCGTCGAAGCCCGGCGGAAGCCGACAACAGCAGGTACGAACTTGTGTCCGCAACGCGGAAACCCAAGCACTTATTGACTACACGCGGAGAGAGTGTGCGGGAAAAAGATAGTGCAGTATCAGTGGATTTGGTTCCGAGCGCGTTGATGTAAATTCTTAGTCAGCATAAAATAACGGGCGGAAACAGAGTAATCGTACCGTGTGCTCGCTAGCTTCATATGTTATCAGTTCGATAAAGGTTACAGTCTTTGTTTTCAGTACTTCCGATCGGCCCTTATTCTTCGAAAGAGCACCAGATGGCAATGGGAGAAAGAACAGACCGGAATGAGCGATTCGGAACTGAAAAAGTAAGTTTGAGCCTAGTATTCCCATAATTCGACTAATTCATTTCAGATATCTCCAGTCAAAAGGAGTCAATGTACAGGAGCTGTTGGACAATGAAAAGAAGCAGATGAGCGCAGTGCAGGAAATAGTCGGCGAGCTGGGGAAGGCTGGAATCACAACGAAAGTGGTGACTCGCGATCAGCTGCAGCAGCACCTTCCAGAGACGGATCTCGTGATCTCTGCCGGTGGAGACGGAACATTCTTAACGGCCGCTTCGGCTGTCAACGATCAGACTCCAATTGTCGGAATCAACACGGACCCGATCGGATCGGAAGGACATCTCTGCGTTGGCGGCAAGAACCCTCCACGCAATCTCATCGAGCTCCTGGTATCCGGAAAACTGAAATGGGTGCAACGGTCTCGTATCCGTGTGACTGTCAAAGAATCATCGAAGACTTCGATTTTCTCGCTCACGAAAAGAGCGAAGAAAACGGCCATCACGAATCTCGCTTTAAATGAAGTATTCATAGGAGAGGATGAAGCTGCTAAGGTTTCCACCTACAATATCTCAATTGACGATTCGCCGACGGTGAAACAGAAGAGCAGCGGATTGATTGTGGCGACTGGAACTGGCAGTACGAGCTGGTATCTCGGAGTGAATCGCATCGACGAAAATGATGCGACATCGGTAATCGAGGCGCTCCAGTCGTTGGGAATCAATGTGCCCACGAATAGAAACCTCGTCTCAAAGGTCGTGAATGCTGTCAACGAGAAGATTCCCTTCGAGCCAGATCATCCAAGTGAGTAGTTCTCTATTTATTCCCTTTTTAATTATATTGTTTCCAGGCTTCGCATTCTCAATTCGCGAACCAATCTTCAACGCCACGTACAAACGCACCGCTACACGCGGATTCGCCCGCAAGATCAAGCTGGAATCCCGGTGTACGAATGGATACCTCGTACTCGATGGATCCAACAAAATCCCATTTCCCCGAGGCGCCGTCGCCACAATCGAGATCAGCGCCAATGATGCCTTGAAAACGGTCATTGTGTGAATGAGAAGAAGACGTCAACGACGTTGATAACGATAATGGTTGTGTAGATATATAACTTGCACGTGATCAATTTTTTCTGTTAGCATTGAATTCGAGATTCACGGGTATTTTCTACTGTATTATTCCGATTCGTACCCAGAAAACGGACGGTGTGCGATAATAAATTCGTGATCATCATCAGCATTTCACAAAAAATGATTCAATTGGATTTGATTTATTGTTCGATATCTAGTTGTCATGGATTATAAAATAGAAATGGAATTCGGATTCTTGATTTGAACAATGCTTCCGGCGTTTAAAGTTTCGCCGATCTGTTTTTACACTCGTGCGTCTTGAGGTTATTTCCTGTTCTGAAAATAGATACAGTCACTCGAACAAACAAGAAAATGGAATGCAAAAGGTTTATTGGTCTGCTGGGAATGTTTAGTGAGTCTTGTAGACCTGTTCGGAAGTCGCCGGAGCCGCCTCCACAGCCACCGATCTGTTCGGGCACGGGCAGTAAGCGGCGTCTCCTCCTGGCGCGGCGTCCTCTCCCGGCGCTCCTGGCTCTCCGTCGACTCCTGGCACTCCGTGCTGTCCTGGCGCTCCTCCGGCTCCTGGGATTCCGTCGGATCCGTTCTTTCCATTCTTTCCGTTTGGCCCGGCTGGTCCTGGTGGTCCGCGGCGTCCAGAGTTTCCTGGGTGTCCAGCGGGTCCCGGAAGATAAGTGGTTCCCTTGGCTCCTGGTGGTCCACGTGGTCCTCCGCGTCCTGGTTTTCCTGGATTTCCCGCTGGTCCTTGTGGTCCTGGTCCTCCTGGCGCTCCTGGAGCTCCGTTCTTTCCGTCGTTTCCTGGGGCTCCATCGGCTCCTGATTCTCCAGCACATCCGTCTGGTCCTGGTGGTCCTGGTGGTCCAGCTGGGCAGGAGACGCAGGCTCCTCCGAAGCTCTCCTTGATGGCAGAAGTGAATCCTGGCACTCCATCCGGTCCGTCTAGACCGTCTGGTCCGTCTTGTCCTGGCTGTCCGGCTGGTCCACGTGGTCCTGGTGGTCCGGCTGGGCATCCTTGGCTCTTGGCTCCGCAGTTGCACTGGGCATTTCTCTTGTTTCTTCCGAAAAGCATGGCGACAGCAGCACGCGACTGTTCTGGAGCTCCGTTCTTGCGGAGGAGCTCGGCCCAGGCGTCGTCCGCAACGACTCGAGTGGTGCGGGATTCCTCCATGACGTCACGGTAGAGTCCGTTGATGTCGGAAACAATCAAGCACATCGTGGCGAGGGATCCGATGGTGAGGATCGTGGCCGAGGCGCACGCAAGCGTACCGAAGGCGCCCATCTGAAAAACAATACGTATTACTGTAGGAAGCGGAAAACGGTTCGGCCGTTCTGCTTCGCATCGCGTGCCCCTTTTATAGTGATCGACATGCGCTCCTCCCACTTTCGCTGTAAACTTTGTTGAAAAAAAAATCCATCGAATTGTTGTTTGAGAGAAAGGAAGAAGATGTGATAAGAAACGGTAGCAAACAGGTTTGTCGCTCTGGAAACCAAACGGTTTTTGTGAGATACTTGCGAAGAGGAACTGATCGGCGGCCGATTTGTTCGACAGAAGGAGTCATGCGATTGCCGTCTCGCATTCCACTTTTCAAAATTAGAGGAGCTTTGAAAGAGGAGTAGACAACCGGAGAAGTGAAATTATGAATTATTTTTGAACCCGTGACACAAAATAATAACAACTTTTCTACAGAAAACAGTTACAGAGAAGTTTACACGCAAAAAGACGATGGCTGATGGGGCAGGGGTGACTAGATTCACACATTTAAAGATTAAAGAATAAGTTCATTGCTCTGCGAACTCGACGGCGGCCGAAGCGTTCCGGCACATCAGCTGGATCCGTGTCACGAAATCGTCGCGCTTCGCGAGTCCGATGAATTGGACTGGCTTGCGACGGCCTTCCACGTGGATATCAAGGCTTTTCCGTGTTCCCGTTATCAGGGACATTGAGCGCAAAGATTGTGTCTGAAACAGGATAATTAGAAAGTGAACACTGGATGTAGAGAGGTACCTTCCTGACGAGTTTCAAATCATGAAACAGCATCATCAACTGTTCTTTCTCATCACTTTGATTGCGAGGACGGAAGACGAGGGCCGCGTCCGTCAGGTACAGTATTCCCGGAGTGATTCCCATCGGGAAAAGGCGTTCTCTCTCGTTCATTACACAACTTCTGACTGAAATACACACAATAACATCATTCTCTCTCGCTTGTGACCACTTACATGCAATCACATTATCAATGATCGGGTCGGCGCAACTCGACCTGTGTTCGTTCTCGTCTTCTTCGTCTTCTTCAATCGACGAGCTCTTGCTTGTAGTGTGGTTTCTTCCGTAAGAAGTCGTCGGCTCGGAGAAAACACGGTGGTTGCCGAGTTGGTCATTGGTCGGAAGACTTGCAGAGCCATGCAAGTGAGTTGTCGGGTGAGCATCGGCGGAATGAGCCTCCTGATGGTCATTCAGGGACGAATCCAGATGATCACTCTCCAAATGAGAGTTTGAATCGTACTGAAGAGGGTGCGGATGCACGCGGTGGTTGGGTCCGAGCAGAAGATTCACAGCCGCATTCTGGTCCAGATTGAAGTTGCTGCCGAGACGCGACTCGAACTTCTCTCCGCAGTACGCATTCAAGCTTCGAGAACTCGGTGTGTGCTGCAAAAAAAGAGATAATTCGTACTCATTTGCATCGTTTCACTTACACATCTGTCATCCGTTTCCTGATGGACAGTAGCCCTTTCGGCCCGTGCCGATTGTGGTTGGCTCCTTGGAGTGACTGCAGGGGCGGTCGACCGTAATGGAAGGTTACGGTAGAAGTATCCGTAAGTATCAAACCGCTTGCGAAGTCTCGGAAACTTTTGGAAAAGATAAGTGGTGAAGAAGATGCGGATTCCGATTGTGAGGACCGTCCATCCGATGCAAGTGCCCGTGGCGAACAAAATGGACCATGCGAACCAGTAGACGGCGAGGGCAAAGAACACGCGGGTCACACGCACATCCTTCCACAGCAACAGACTTTCTAGCTTCTCCAGAATGTTTGTGGAGAGACGCAACAGCTTTTGAGCCAACTTGGCAATGTCAAAAATCAACTGAGCTCCGCTGATGTCGAATTTGGGAAGAGTGACTGCTTTACGTGGCATAAACATCCATCCAAGATCAATGTTTCGAACAGTCGAAAGATAGTTGATGCCGAGTTGGAAGATGAGGAGCCCGAAGAGAAGAGATGCGAGCCAGCCACGGAACAGAGAATAAACGATGACGAGGACGAGAAGAAGGGTCGAAAGGGGATTCTTCCACATAATGATGTCGTAGAGAGCGGCCAGCACTTCCAAGTACGGATGGACTGCCGAATCTTGAAAAGAACAAGGTGTAAATGGACATCAGGGATCACTTGACTTACAGAATCTCTTGATATCCTTTCTGAGTGCCACGGCCGATAGTTTTTCGTTCTCTTGCCGGGCAGATTGCTCCTCGGGAGATCCCGATTCGAATGCGTTTATGACGTCATCCACGAAGCTCTTTGCTTCTTTCCGAAGCCATTCCCATTTCATGCTTTTTCCATTCTCTGTCAGAACTGTCAACTCATCTGCAAAAGTGCCTATGTGCATGGAATTTGGCTCAGAGCCGACTTACCAAGAGCCGAATCTGCAGATGAGATTGAAGAACTCTCTTCATTTCTCCACTTTAAATGATGATTTTGAAGAATCAACGGACGGGGACTTGATGTGCGAAGCTGCGGGCCTCCGCGGACCATTCTGAAAGGGCAACTATTGTTTCAGTTGAGGAAAACTCGTTTGTTTTGGCAAGCGACACGAGGCGAGGCTGGTTAAGTACCGTAGTGGAGTCGCGAGATAACGAGTTCGCCTCGTGCTCTCAGCATGGCATAACAAGCGAGAATGAGCAGAGAAGGAAATGGGCGGAGGTTGACGTAGATGAAGTTATGGCGTGGCAACGCTTGGATACGAACACAATCTATTTCTATTATGTCTCGAGACAATTGGCCTATGCAATTGACTGACGGAAACAGGGAATTTCTCAGTTTGCAACATAATGACGTTGTCTTGTCGGGTTACGAAATGACGAGAACCGTCCACCAGTGTCTCGCTTCTTACATTTTCACTTTCAGATGGTATCTGACTTCGAAATGGCGTCATATTTGAACTCTGACTTATCGTTTGTGCCACTCAACTTCTCCTGGATGCTCATGGTGCTCACGTTGTTTTGACGAGCTGTGAGGACTACATCCAGAGGGCGAGTGATACACAAATGATTGATAAGGAGTAGATCAAAAAACAGAACAGAGAACGGCTCGTTTTTGGAAGAAAGAAGGAAAACGGAATGCACCGAATATTTACATGCTTCGGCGAGCCTTTCTCGTGCCGCTCATTAGCATTGCCACCAACCACCCGCTTTTCGCTTTCAGACACTCACGATGAACTTGCTTTCTTGGCGATCGCTTCTTGGTCGGGGTCGAGATCGGCGACGACGGAAGCTGAAATGGGAGACATATTTGGAAGGTAATAGTAATCATGGAAGGCTGAAGAAGAAGAAGAAGAAGAAGAAGAAGAAGAAGAGGAAGAGCTAATCTGCGCGTGCGAATATCCGATTAGCCAGTTCGAAGGAAAAGGGAAAGGTGAACTTTTCGGTCAGAAGGTTGGTACTTGAGGCGAGAGACACGAGCAATTCAGTAATTGTATGTTTCAAAGATCTGTCGGAATGGAAATGGCGGGGTAAACAGCGTGAAGGATGTCTGGAACAAGGACGATAATACGCTTTTCAGTGGGAATAAAACAAAGATAAACTACAAATGGCAAGTCGCGAACGTACTGATAACCAGTTAGATCTGATGACCAATCCTCCAGCTTCTTCCTCTTTTTCATATTGGCAGAATGCTATGAAATGCTGAGGGAGCAGTTTTATTCGAAACGCCACTCACATTGAGCGAACGGGGAATAAAAGGATTGTAGGCTCGAATAGACTAGAACAAATTGAAAGAAAGAATGAAAGAATTAGTGGTATGATTCGTCATTCTTCGAAAATTTGTAATCACAATGATTCTAAGCTGATATGAGGACTGGCTGGACGGATTTTCGAAGTGAAAGGAAGGAGACGTCAAGGTCGAAACGAAAGAGGAAAAAATGGAAACACGTGGGCACAAGATTGGATCTGGAAATGAGTACCCACTGAAACTGTATTGTGTAATTCAGAGCCACATTCTTAAAAATTGTATTTTCATATTCACACAAAGAACATGGATTTAGAGAAAAAAACGTTTGTGCCGGGATGAACCTTTGATGGTTCGGACGGATAAAACGAGAAAAAAAGTCGCTCGCGAGAATTGTAGCCTAGAAAAGATATCGGAGTTTGATCGCATTCGGTATGGACGGAATGTTTTCTCTCTCTCTCTCTTTCTCTCTCTCTCTCTCTCTGATCCGTACTTTCTGCTTTGACATGAAATGTGTACTTTCTGTCCGAACTTGAAAGTATGTCGGAAACAGTAATAAATGGAATCGGAATGAGTGGCTATTGATCGGTCGGGTGAGAGGTGAAATGAGGGTTATCTGGTTGGGAGATCGAATAAATCGGATCCGGCGGACGGAACACAAGGGAGCGAAAAAACGGGAGGGCGGAAAGATCGGAGAGCGAAAAACTGGAATCAGGGGGAGACAAAGATGATAAGCTGTTGAATTCTCCAGTGTTTTTTGCAATAGAATCTTATCAAATCGACGGAAAAAAGAAGGATGGATGGCTGAAAGTGGTCGATGGGAAAAAGGAAAACGGACGAGAAGGGCGCGTGTTCAGATGGCAGGTTGAAGAGCACTTCAGGCGGAAAAATGTTTGTGTTGCTGCTTCTCATGACTAACCAGACGGTCAAATGAAGTGGGTTTTGACGGAAACCAGAAGAGAGGAACGTGACGAATACGTAGGAAAAGAAACGAACATCATCATCGGAAAGAACATAATCTCTTAAAGGACACATTTCAGGTGTTCTACGGTTGATTTGAAAGGTATGATACAGTAAAGTTCATGAGAAGTTCATTAGAAATCCCGATCAAAGGTGAAGATCTTTCACACTTCATAAATGACGCATTCGCGAGAGAAAACGGTTCGGAACCGCCGTGATAAGTGTCGGCCGTTTCGGACGAATCACTCGGTCACCCCGCCCGTCTCTCTCTCTCTCTCTCTCGGTTTCTTTCGGAAGGTCATCTTGATTCTGGCAGACAGTGAAAGTGGGTGGTCAGTCTCTCTTCATGCCTCCTTCTTTTTGCAGATTCAAAGTGAAACCGAAACGAAATTAGAAATGTGGGGGGCGAATTCGTCTTTTACACCCACTTCTTCTGACTCTTTTTTGCACCGTGACAGGGAGCGAAAACAAAACAATTCTTAGGTTATAAAAGGGACAGTTATGCCTTAAAAACACAGAACATAAGAATGTTTATGACAATGCGTGGGTGTCACTTTGATTTGATCACACTCTTGAACGGATGCCGAACCGCAATCTCCTTTACAATTACCCGAACGTTTGTAATTCACTTTCACCGAAAAGAAGGCTTCTGCCTCATCTGATGACAGCCAACCAAACATGCTTCACGTACCGATCTCATAATTCTTGCGGAGAGCATCCATGAAATGACCTTCGAAGATGGATGGATTCGTTCCTCTTCTTCCTTTAAGATTCGGCTGCGACGCACGCATCGGAGAGTCGAGCAGAGGGCTCGAGTCCTGGTCTTGCGAGAGGAGATCGAGGGCGTTCAGGTAACCTTCGCTGCTTCTGAAATAAAGAAACTGCGTGACTAAGGGCTGCAGAAGAGTGACCCCGTTTGACCCTGAAATGAGATTCTTGGCGAAGAAGGAATTAGAAATGGCGACGGAGGATGCCACAAACACGGTTCCACGTCACGAAATGAAACTGCTATTCAGGCCTTCTGGGTCCTGCCAATTATATCCGTTTGTCTGAGTTTCACCAAAAATAGGAAAAGCTTGAGAGCCCATTACGTCAGACGTACTCGGAACTCGCATTCAGAAACTCAAAGAAACGCCTAATCCGTAGTAAATCTTCCTTAAATTTTGGCACGTCATCACTCACTCACCTCCGTTGGCTCATGTTCAATTTGGGCACCGACAGATACAAGTCGTTTGTGGACATTTTCTGGAAAACGGAAACATTAAAAGGATTAGTCAAATTGATGATGTACTGGGTGAAAAGGGCGGAAACGGCAGAGTGGAAGCGGCCATTTCGGGGCGAGAAACCATAAAAAGAGAAAGGGAAAACACGAAGAATATGATTCGCGGAGACCGACGAACCAGCTGAAAGTGCTCGTTTTCCGGTGACATCACCCAGCTTCTATGCGATTTTAATCACCGAAAAACGGGCAGATTCAAGTCATGCGAGGAGATTGAGCAATGAAAAAACGGACGGACGGAAGGAACCGAAGGACATTTTTCATGAGAATGGGAAAGTAGAGCGGCTCAGAGGGGACACACAATTCTTCTGTTTTCGTCAGATAACTTCTGCTCTGAAAACGAAGGGAAATGAGAGCAGAAGGGAGGGGAGCTCAAAACACTGCCCAATGTCGCATCATTTCCGAGCATTCGAGGGCAATCCGATCGAGCCCTAATCTGCCGGGAAAGGGCGGAATCGCCTCTCGATGCGAACCCCTTTCTTCCCATTCCGCCTAACTCGTTCCGTCACTTTCTGCCTCTTATCAAGGTCATTCGACTAACCGCCCACGTCGATTTACTTGTTTACAGCGTTTCGTTTTCACAGATTACGGTAGTTTCGAATGGAAATCAGCCAAAAGGAGATGGAGAAGCAATAGTCTGAAAAGGAGGCGGTGACTACCAAATGAAGAAAGGGAAATGCATTTGGAAGAGACGAGAAGAGGACTACTGTCTGGATGTGATTATTGAAATGGACAATAGCAGTTGGGGCGCGCGAGAAACAAAATGATCACAAAATCTGTAAGGGAACAATCCGGTTCTCACTTGTTTTGACAGATAATATCTGAAGGGAACAAGTGACCTCTGAACTGCTTCCAGTTTTGCATTCGAACTTGAACATTTCAGTTGAGCGCTAATATGATTTTTGCCTTCTGAATTCTGTCAGTTTCTGTTAATGTAACGTGTCTACTTCTGTTGAAGCAAGAAAGAATACTTTCAGATTCGCTCTGTTATGATATATTGGACCCAGAAAACATTTTTTCAGTGTATGGAGTGATGTGGGATCGAATAATATGCATTGAAGAGGAAAAGCTTGTGATGGATGTGAACTGGCAGAAGAACTGTGCCGCGATGTACTTATTCGATGATGTCACATGTATATGTACACAATTCAGAAGACGTGATATTTCATATGATCACAGCCCACGCTCCACGACATCAACTGGTAGCGAAACATGTCGGAATACTGATGCTTTTCCGTCCCACTCGATTCCCTTACTCACTTGTTCAAGTTCTTTCAACATCTTCGCGGGAATTTAATTAAATTTCTGGCTTTCTCCGTTTGAACTTTGCGCTAATCGGGACCTCTTTGTCCTTCTTCTCCGACAAATATCATCTCGAGTAACCACGTTGCCAACACTGTTTTCCAGAAAGAAGAAAGTGATATGCCTGGCGAGAGTGCACCACGGCAATTGGATCGAAAACCTCCGTGCCGTTTGCCCATTTCCCTTTATCTGTTCCGTTCTACTATGCTCCGAAGTTTCCATGCATTTCCTGCAGAATCTCTCTAGAAAACTCTTTGATGCTCCCTCTCGTCTCTCCTGATCTGGAACAAATGCGAAGAAGACGAGAGTTGCACGGAGCTCTTTTTCTGCTTCTCACCCAAACGGATTCCTTCGTTATTTTCGGCCGTTGACGTTGACCGCCAAAGTCTCTTTTTTCTGTTTTGATGTGGTCAGCTGGACAATGGTCCCCTTTCCGTTTTTGATTGTTATTGCTCCAATAAACTTGACAAGTCGGTATCAAAAAGCAATTTATCAGAAAAGCGACTATAGTCGGTGAAGTATTGACGCAGACGCCTGACGTTTACTCGATTCTCAGGTCAAGTCACTTTTTTCTGTTTTCCTGCTTCAATCGGTACAATCTTTTGATATTTCTCTGTTTTTTAGCCAATTTGATTGCCCAATTACATTCCCTTTTCTCTAAATAACTCCATCTCACAGAGGCGGCCAAAGAGCAGAAAGTCTCTCGATAAAGAGGAGAAACTCTTGCTTCCTCCTCATTTTCCCTTTTTAATTTCCACATAACTCATTTCCATTCAAAGAAACGGACAAAGTTTCGCTCCGTTTCTAAACGTCATACCCGTAGTTTTCAGGTCTTCTTTTTGAGCACGTTTTCTCCAATATTTCTGTGCGTAAGTAGACATTTCTTTGAAAAACGGTCGATTAGCTTGATTGTCTGAAAGAGCTCAGGAGCGCTCAATGAGCACTTCTGAATGGATTTGATTGAATCAGACAATCGGGATGTTCACAGAGAGGACTGATGTCTGAATGGCGGAAGTTCCCTAAGAAATTCTGAACTGAAAGTTATCAAGTTTTAAAGAAAAACGTTTTCGCGTAACAATCTCCTTGAACACTTCTGGTTTCCAAATTCCTTCCCGTGCACCCAATCTCCGAGTCTAATTGCTTTCGAGCCGAACACGTTCATCACTATTCCGCCGAGATTTCCGCTTTTTCGTCTGGTGAGCAATGCCGTTTGAATAACAGTGATTACCAGTTGGATGCGTCGTCAGTTAGTCACTCACTCGTGATCCAGTTGACCACGACTGTTTTCCTCGGCTTCCATTCTTCTGAACTACAACTGTTTTCCCTACCAGTTATGTGCAAAATAGCCTTGTGCAATACATTTGCTCCCAAAAAACATGGCGATTCCTCGAAAAGTCGTGTTTTCTTCCCGATTTCTTCCTTATTTTCCTACAATATTCGTTTATGAAAACACAGTTTTGCTTCTATAAAAAGGCGTCGTTCGAATTCTCTAATTGCTCCCGTCTGCATTAAGCCACCCCCCCCCCGTTGCTTACGGAATTAAAAAAAAGTAAACCCAATCTAGAGAGGGATCAGTTTAGATTCTTGAGCTCCGACATTTCACTTTTAACCAATAGACGCTTACCTCTTTTGCGCAGATCAGTTTGTGATGCAGTCATCCGGAAATGTGAGAGTTTGAGCAAAAAGAAAGGCCTTTCAGCCACTGCGATCAGTTGGATGCGATCCTAATAAGATCAGTTGTGTTTCTCCGCGGGCCCCGACTTCATAACTAACCCAATTATCGGTTTGTATCGCAACAAAACCTGATTTACTCTCCGTTTTTCTCTACTTCTTGGGTGCTACTGATTAATCGTTTTGCTCTGCGAGTCTCAGTCGTTTTCCCGTTTTCCACCTCCCGTTTCGCCCGTTTTCATCACTTATTTGTTCGCTTCATTCTTGTTTTGGATTGCGTATTGTCACGTTTGCAGACGACTCTTCCTAGCCTGTCATAGTCGACCGAACAAAATGTTTTTCCTGAATGAAGTTGGGGTAAGTGAAAAGGAGAAGGATAGAGTTCAGAGCACGGGAAAAGGGAAGAAAGCCGGAAAGGAAAAGGACACTTTTGACGTTAATTACGTTCATTTGAATCAATTGTTCGTTTAGCAAATGCATCATGATCTGTCACGAATGTAATGCCAATGACTCAAATGATCTCAAAAGTTCCTCGTTCGTGCTCTTTGCAGCTGTCAAATGACTTTCTCTTATTCATTTCTGTTCAATCCGTTTACTTCCCCTCAAGTCGAAACGGAACGAAAAACTTCGGTCTCTGCGGTCGTAATCGGTGCCGGCCGAGTTGAAACATTAGGGCTCATTTCCCCCGAAAAATCTCATTTCTTCGAATGTTGACGTGTGTTGTGTGATCCCCCACCAATACATTATTTTCGGAAACGTCTGAATTCAATTTTCAGAAGCAAAGATGGACCCCGTACGACTACGCAGCGAGCACATTCTGGTGGCTCACCGGATCACTCGCCATCCCGCTCAACCTCATTCTCATTTATTTGATCGTGTTCAAATCGCCCAAAAGCCTTCAACTCTACAGTATTTTTCTGATCAACACAACTCTCGGAGACTTGGTTTTCTCGATTTCATGCACATTGGCTCAGATAAGGTATATCAACAGGAATGAATCCAAAATGGTAATGGAGAATCCTTCAGAATCATCCCCAACAAATGGGCGTTCGCCTATGTTTCCCTTGGTCCCGCTGGCTGGATCGGAGGCTCCCAAGGCGGCTACTGGGCCTACTGCGTCATGCTCCATTCCCTTTTCTACATGTTCCTCTGCTTTCCGATCTCGTTCGGGTTCCGTTACTGGATCCTCATCAGACCGGCGCCGGAGCAAAGATCCTGCATAATAATGTGCTTTTGTCTATGGCTTGTCGCCTTTGCTCAACATGTAAAAACCACTCTGATAGAGCCATTCAAAAATGACCGTTTCCAGATTTGCTTCATTTTTTCCGAGTCTCCGCCAGATGAGATAACCGCGTATCTGAAGGAGAACAAGCCGCTGTACAAGTTGGATCATTTCTTCATTTCGGGCAACCACATGATCAAGTCTCCACTGACCTCTATCACTTTGGCTACAATCGTTCTTCCGATGTTCCCCATTTACTGTATGGTCATCTTCTTCTATAAGAAAGTACACAACTATCTTCTGCACAACAGAACAGTCAGTCCAGTCTTTCATTGGCCTTCTTCGAACGCAATCGTATTTCAGACAATGAGCGAAGGCACCGAGAAAGGCCATCGGAAGTTGATCCAGGTGCTGACGATCCAGGCCTCGGTTCCCATCTTTCTCGTTTTCCCTCCCATCACTCTTTACGGTCTCTATCACCTCCAATTCATAGATGTCACGGTTGCAGAATACCTCGTTTATACCATATTCAGGTGCCCTCCCGAGCCCATTCCATCCACTTATTCCCATCCTTTCAGCGTAATTCCGCTCGTGCAGCCAGTCATCACTATATACTACATAAAGCCGTACAACCACGGATTCCGACGGCTCTTCTGCAGATGGATGGTCCGACCGTTGCCGGCAAAGTCGCTGACAACTATTTACGGGGAAAAGGATACGCGTTACTCTTCCACACGATACGATTAACCTAATTCGTTTCGTTTGTCTTTGTCTTATTAACTATCAATTTTCACTAAAAGAACCTTCTAATTTAATTTAATGTCTTGGCGAAAAAAAGATTGAACAAAAGGAGAAAAGACGGAAGAGCACTGAACTTTTCACAAAGACGAAGTGGGAGATGGGCTCATCCATGCGTTATGATCTTCGACATACGGAATAAGAGCTTCGAGATACATTCCGGTGTTTTCCATCGTCTTTTGTGACGTAGAACGGAACAGACACTACTCCAATTGCTCAGTTACCTTCGTATTTCCAGTCTGCTTGTTTATTGCCGTCACTTTCCGAAACTTTGGGGAATTTCCGAGGTTATTTCCTCGTCAGAAGAAAATATCACGAGTTTACAGTAGCCACACAAAATGAATGAGTCACGAGTAACGTGAAGCTTCAGAGTTTGCGTGGCACATTTCCTTCCTATTTCGGTACGCTTCAGATAATATTTTTCACTTTCACAAATCAGTTTTTGATTTAACTGCGGAGAGTTCAAAGTCGACGAAATGTTTGTGAGTGAATCCGATCGCATTTCAGCCGCAGAGTCCATTCTTTCAGCTCAACAAATCGCAGAGATCGAAGCGTAAGAAGAAGAGCAAAGAACGGAGTGAACGGAAGAAGAAACAGTCGACGGCGGCTGCCAAAAAGGAAAGGAGTCAGAGAAGTCAGCGAATCCGGAAGGCGAGGGCCGAAAGGAAAGAGGAAGCGGAGAAGAACGCGACTGGGACCGTCATGAGAGCGGTGTCTCCAGGAACGTCCGAAGGGACCACCAGCGGAAATGGGACCACTGGAGGACTCCCGGAGCCGACAGACGATAAAACAAGCTTTGAGAAGAAAAAGAAGAAAGAAGAGCCAAAGCAGGAGCCGAAAGCGGAGCCAAAGCCAGAGCCGTGGACAGGGGAGGAAGTGGCGAAGAAGATGGTGGCTAGTGGACTGTTCAGTGAGTGATCCGAACTCGGAAAAGATCTCATCGGATGAATTTCAGACACGGAGATCATCAACGCAACTTTCAAAGAGCTGCCAACAGCGAAACCGCCCGCGGACGAATGTCCTCGGTTCAAGGGTAACCTGGACAAAATACGCGCTCCCGACTACCCGATTCCCGACGAGAAGCTCATCAAACTGACTCACGCGCCCGATACTTTCATCTGCGCCGCCAAAGTCAGTGTTCCCGAATTCAACCGTACGATGATTGTCACCCAAGTGCCCGATGTGAGCCAACCGTCGAACATCGAGGACTTCTGGCGGATGGTGTTCCAGGAAGAGATCGTGTCGGTCGTGATTGCCGTGATGCCGCTCGAGTGCCGCATCACTCTTCAGCAACTTTTCCCCATTTCCAGTGGAACATTCGCCAACCACGGAAAAATGTTTTTGAATAATAAGAAAGTGGAGTCGGCGGTCGCCATGACAGCCTACACTCTGGAATTGCTGCCCGACGGATGCTCGAACTCACTCAGCACGACCGTTTATCACCTGCACAATTGGAGGCAGAAGAGGGGGCTGGAGAACGTCCGCGAGCTCGTCACGACCATGGAAAAAGTTGTGAAGACTAACGAAGTGAGCGCCAATCTACGAATAATGAGGAGGGTGTCTGTTTTGCAGAATACCTTGCTGATGAGTATGAATGGAACGGGAAGAGCCGGTACGATGCTCACAATCTTCACGAGCATGCTGCACATCAATAAGGAGAAGGAAATCAAAGTGAAGGAAATCGTTGAGAAGCTGAGAGCGGAGAGATGCGGACTCGTGGAGAACGCCGAGCAGTTCGGCACGGCGCACAAGGCATTGGCCCTGTGGTTCAAGACGAAATCGACAGACGAAGAGGTTCAGAAGAAGGTGCAGGAGTACGCGCCGTCTCTGCAATGACATTCTGACGAATAAAAGATTCGCGATCCCCCAACTTTGTCTCGCTCCACTGAATTTTCACATTTTAGAGCAAAAGGTCAGCAAAAAACGTTTCCACAACAAATTTTGAGAAAAATTATATGATTTTCAAATAAAATACCTAACGTCATTTGCATTTGGCGTCTCGCCGTTCCTTTCTCTCCTGGGGCCATAACTTTGTTGGACGAATTCCTGAAAAAATCCCTCGCGGCTCTGGGTCTCGCCACGAACAGCATTTACGAGCGAGCTTTAATTAAGGTGTGTGATATTAATCATTTTGATCTTAGAGCATTTTGATTTTAACGATCGATTTTGATCGGAACGTTACGCGGTTTGCTCTTGGCCATTACGTCATGGAGAGGAATTGTGTGATGATTTTGATGATCTCGCTCTAAGAAAAAGACTACAAGTGAGACGTTCATGAGGAGATAAAAGATCGAATAAAACCGTAATAGGCATAAGTTAATGCAGGTTGACAGAAAGCAATCACAGAGAGGTGGTGACACGGCACAGCTCGGCGACGAGGCGGGAGAGTTGCAGTCTTGTGGGCAGTCCCTGGATGATTCTCATGTGACAGAGAGCAATCTCCTGCAAGACAAGTGTTTAAAATTGGAGGAGATCATCCGATATACCCGAATGTATTCCATTCTGAGCTGTTCCGAAACTTTTCTCGGAAATTCTATAGTTTTGACGACTCGGAAAATGGTCGAGACGATGTCTTCGGCAGCGAAACCAAGTTCGTGAAATTCGTGAAGGATCTTGGCAGCCTCGAAGCACTTCTTCTCCATGCAATACATTAGCATCTTGACCATCAGATCCGGATGTGGCTCGTCGCAAACTTTCAGCACGTTCTCTTTGTTCACTAGTTCGCAGGCATTGACTGTCGCCTGAAGATTGTTCAGGGCTTGCCTCATGTCTCCTTGCGCAGTGAACAGAATCGCTTCAAGACCTCCGTCGTCCACATTGACATTTTCCGCTTTGACGACTTCTTTCACTCGCATCATCAGCTCCGGAGCTGTCAGTTTTGTGTAGCGCAGCAGCGCACAACGTGACTGAATAGGTTCTGTAATACATTTTATTTATTTCTTCTACTTCTGATCAAATGCTTGCCGATGATTTTCTCAGATTGATTGCAAGCCAACGCGAATCGAGTCGTCTTCGAGTACAATTCTATGGTACGACGGAGAGCCTGAACAATTGGGATTCTAATTGAGACTGAAGATCAGATACGAACCTGTTGAGCACCGTCAGTCATCGAGTCGGCCTCGTCGAGAATGATAATTTTGTGCCGTCCTTCGGGAAGTGTGACTTTTGTCTGGGCGAATGTCTTGATGCGGTTTCGCACAACGTCGATTCCCCTGTGAACAGAGGTTTTCTGTATTTCACGCCTCTAGTGGAATTACCTTTCATCGGACGCATTCAACTCGAGAACAGCATCCCTCACTTTGTCTCCGAGCAACTCACGGGCGAGAGCCCACATCGACGTCGTTTTCCCGCATCCCGGGGGTCCCTGAAAATTAAAAATTATTAGAGAAATAGCTTAGGTTTCTCACCGAGAGGATAATATTGGGCACATTTCCCTCTTTCGCAATTGTTTTCAATCTGTCAACAATATTTTCGTTTCCGACAATATCCGATAGAATCTGAAATGGAAGAGGTCAGTTGGTTCAAGTGAATTGTTATAAACTAACCGCAGGACGATACTTCTCGACCCACGGAGCCAATGCGTTTTTAGAAGTCGTCGTCATTCTTGAAAATGATGAGTAAATCGAGAATTGGCGCGAGGAACGTTTGAAACGAAATTGTCCGTGTGGAGTACACAAGCGGGGGACTAGGTTTTCGTGTATGCCGGTCATTCAAAAATGCGCGCTTATTCTAATTTAGATTATCTTCATGAAGTCTCCGAAGTCATGCTGGATACTCTCGGTCAATCCGGTCATTATTTGTCGTCCACGACTAGATTCGTCCATTGAAAGCCGAGAATGGGAGATTTATGGATGCTTATCCCGGTAATTTACACGTCAGGCGATGAATTATAGACGCTAATTCAAATCCCGCCGGGCAAATGTTCGCACTCTTCCTTCTCTCTTCAGAAGAATTAGTTATTTCCCCGGCCCCTCTCCCAGCCATAATTATGCGAAAAAGACATGTCGGATTTCGCTAATGTGTACACGAACACGGTAAAGTAACTGGTCGTGTGGCGGTGAAGTGAGAAGAAGTAATTCGTGGGCGTCTGCCATATAAAAGGCAACTCCCTAGCGGCCACTCGAGGAGTCGTCCGTCGTCTTCGATGGATCACGAACTGAAGGTACCGAATACGTTCCCAACTACACTAATCATTCGCCTTTTCCAGGTTAAAGCCTACCGATTCATCGCCTATTCCGCCATTTCATTCAGTTTTGTTTCCATTCTCGCAGTGAGTTCGCCCTCCCCAGTTCTTTTCCCAATTTATCCCTAATCAGGTATGTCTTTCCCTTCCCATGGTCTACTTTTACATCAAAAATGTAAAGTTCTCAATGCAAGGAGAAATTGATTTCTGCCGGGTAACAGTTTCAAACTGCATCAATCTATGAACGTATCTGTTTAGAATTCTGCGAAGGACATTTGGGTCGAAGTGCAGCAATTCAAGCAGTTGCCCCGGAATCGGACTACCCGTCAGGCACCCGGCTACTTGAATCCGGGCGGTTCCCGTTATCAGAACAGTTTCTATGACACGGGACCGTCGGAAGGCGGAGGGCAGTCTTCCGAAGACTGTGATGGCTGCTGCCTTGCGGGAGCACCCGGCCCGCCAGGAGAGTCTGGAAGGCCCGGACGACCAGGAAAGCCCGGAGTTCCCGGTCTCCCCGGCAATCCCGGCAAACCGCCTCAACAGCCGTGCGAACTCGTCACTCCGCCGCCCTGCTCTCCTTGTCCTGCTGGTCCTCCGGGAAAACCGGGGCCACAAGGACCACCAGGAGATATTGGACATCCGGGGAATCCAGGAGAGAGGGGAATAGACGGGGAACCTGGAGAAGCCGGTCCGCCAGGTAAAAAATAGGATGATCTTCTAGTGACCAGTCGTTATTTCAGGGCCACCGGGAGAACCAGGCCTTCCGGGCGCGCAAGGAATACCCGGACAGCCAGGATTCAACGCAGAGCCAGTCAGTTTCTCGCCAGGCGAACCTGGTCCTCCGGGAGAACCAGGTCCACCTGGAGCCCCCGGGGAGCCAGGAGATATCGGAGAAGAAGGACCTCCGGGAATGCCCGGACCAAAAGGACCGCCTGGAGCATCTGGAATTCCTGGAAACGACGGACCGCCGGGAGTTAGAGGACTACCGGGTCCGCCAGGAGCTTCAGGAGAACGCGGAATATGTCCAAAGTAAGAAGAGACATCGTAGTTATAGTATCCTCTATTGTCGTGTTCCAGGTACTGTGCCATAGATGGAGGAGTCTTCTTCGAGGACGGAACACGAAGATAATCCGATCGTTAGCCACTGTCAACTGTATTTATTGTTTTTTTCGTCTTCCTTTCACTGACTAAACGGTGTTCTCTGTTGTGGGTCAATCCTTCTTATTCAACGGGATCATCGTCCGATCTTTTCCCCATCACTCTGCATTTCACTTCATGATCGGTTCTTCTCTTTTTTCGAGTCGATTTCCTTCGTGTCCGCCCGGGTGTAACCGTTATCTCCACTCGCGAATCTTTATCGTTCCACTTGTGTCACCGCTTCGTTAGCTGCCTTCCTCCCTCCTTTTTCTACGTGTCTTTAATTGTCAAATGATAATTGCGTCACCAAAACGAAAAGAGTGGGTATGGAAGAGACGAATTAGTGTTCACGTAGTCTTAAACTAACTGTTGGTATGGAAACTATTATGAATGGTGCACAGCCGGAAGGTCAAACTCAGAAGGCGAGATGATTTCCCAACATGTTCTACAGATTTCTCACAAATGGCAGGGTTAAAAATATTCTGGAAATTCATTCTGATCTTCGGGATGACATGATAATTCTTATTCGCATTCCTGTTTCAGTAGTTCGTTCTGACCTTCTCGGAACTGGTTCGGCGAAATGACAAGGTGTCACTTTCGAACGAATGATTTGTGGGCGGCGCTTCGTCTATAAAAGGACTGTCAATCCTTCCGCTATGATCACTTTCCTCTCCGTTACATCCTCTCCTCTGTCCCTCTACATCTGTACAATCGTTTTCAGAAGAATGTCAGCTCGTGTGGCCGGATACGCGGCCATCGCTTTCTCCGTTTCCTCGCTCTTCCTCGTTTCCACCTTCGTTCCTGCACTGTGGAACAAGATCAATGACATCACCGGGGAGCTCCATTACGATATGAATGAGTTCCGTGATCTGCACAATGAGGTTTGGGCCAACATGAGAGGAGAGACCTTCGGAAACTCTGTTGTTCCGTTCGCCAGAAAGAAGAGACAGACTACCCGTCCAGGAGAATGCGGTACGCTCCTTCTGTCCGTTTCTTTACCTCATCCACTTCTTTTCAGTCTGCAACTCGAACAGCGCTTGCCCACCAGGAGCAGCCGGACCGCCAGGAACGCCAGGATTGGACGGAACTGCTGGACTTGCCGGAGATCCGGGAGCGCCAGGACTTCCAGGAAACTACCCGTCCATCAACATGGATGCTCACCAGCAGTGCCGCATGTGCCCACCAGGACCACCAGGATTCCCAGGACCAGCTGGACCACCAGGAGCTCCAGGAGAGAAAGGAAACGACGGAGCGGCAGGACTGCGTGGACCAGACGGACACCCAGGACATCCAGGAAATCCAGGATATGGAGGAGAACCAGGATCACCAGGAAACAATGGACAGCCGGGAGACAAGGGAAGAGACGGAAGCCACGGATCGAAGGGAGCTCCAGGAGCACAGGGACCACAGGGACCACAAGGACAACCAGGGTTCCCAGGACAGCAAGGGAACGACGGAAACAGCGGAGTGCCAGGAATTCAGGGAACTTCGGGAGGTCCAGGACAAGACGGAGCTCCAGGAGCGCCAGGATTCGACGGACAGCAGGGACCTTCGGGAACCCCTGGAGAGGATGCCAACTACTGCAAGTGCCCTCCAAGAAGCAAGCTTTCTCGTTGATTTGTCCGGTTGTTTCCATAGCAATAAACCTTTTTCTAGAAAGTGTGTACAAATCTGATCCCTTCCTTAACACATTTTCTTGTTGTTGACAGACTCCTTCAGACACTAATTCCCGCCGGCACGCGGGATACGGTAGCCTTCAGTCAAAATGTGTGACGCCTCGCTGATGGCCATGTCAAAAGCATATGCCCGTAGTTGACGCGGCGACATCGTGTCAAAAAGACTGACGGAGGGATCGCACGGCCCTTCAGAAGCCCCCGCCACATTCAGATTCTTTCGTTTATGCTCGTTCTTCCCTTCTCCCTGGTGGCGCAATCACGGAGATCTCGCAACAAGCGGAGCAGAGAGAGGGAGCACACGGAAAACACGAGACGCAGACACAACAGGTGTGCTTTTGGCTGACGGCAAACTGACCTATTGGCGAGGGTGGAGGGGACCTGCGGAAGGAGAAGAAGATAAAGAAGCAGGCGGAGGTGACCAGGAAGCATGAGACATCAGGTGTGTATAGTAGTTGGCGGATGGCAGCCTCTGAAGAAGTGTTGTGTGCATGTGTAGGACCAGCTGATCACAGGAACAAGTGATACGAGAGAGCGAGGGATCGAGCAGACTGGCGGCTGGTCAGAGGTGCATCAATCAGACGGAGATTAGAAAATGATTAGCGGGTGGGAGATTGATCAGATGGGTTGGAGGCGGAACAAAGAGAGAGAAAGAGAGAGAGGGGATCGAGGGAAAACTACTGGGGGTTCGGCAGCTGGGAAGGATTGTCTGGAAGGGATGCAGGATGCTTTGGGATGAGAAGCTGGTCTGTTTCAGATTCTCATAGATCAAGACACTATTCATTCTTGTTCTTTTCGAGTGCTCCGTCATTTCTCTGTTGCCACGCAGCCTCGTCTTCCTTCTCTCGTTTCCCTTCTGATTTATGAATCTTACATTTCGATTCTTTTCCTTCCGTTTTCCCTGCTTCTTCTTTCCTGTTTGAACTCTGCACAGACAGCTGCCACGTCATAGATCATCACTCGAAATTTGTGTCACTTCGATCCCCCTCCTTCAGATTCCATTATTCCAGCGAAGAAAGGGTTCAGTTGTTTTTATCGAACAGAAAAGCGACACATGACAGAGGTGCTCGGGGGGCTCGCCATCAAAACATTCTGGCGGCGGTCATCAGCTATACGGATGTCCGCATGGATCCTTCGCCGTCCGATCAGCTGCAGCCCCTTCTCAACTATTCGTCGTCGTTGCCCTCCCGTGCTGCTCATTACAACACCTTCGGAGTCTCCCGCGGCGGCGGCCTCTCGATGGCATATTCTCACGGACGTAGTGCCCGCGGTCGGTGGCTCGACGAGCAAGAAACGAACATTTTAAAATATTTGAAAGTGAGGGCGCTCCGCTCTTCTTATGCTCCTTCCCGCCGAGATCACCCACTTTTTGCACTCCCGTCGTCGAGCTCATCATATGCGAGAAGGGAGCAATGACCCTGCTGTACTATTCTGTGTTCGTTTCGTTCCGGAGGGGGAGGGAACAAGTCTAGTATTCTTTCTTCTTCTTCTCCTTCTTCTTCTTCTTCGCTCTCTGCCCACCACAAACCCCTTTCTTGATTATCACTTGCTCATGCTAATTTTGTATATTTTCGTGCGTCGTTTTCGCTTTCCCACTACAACAATTGGTGGTTTTTGGCTGTCAAATTGGAGGGTTATCGGAAGAAAAAACGATATGACAAAAAGAGAATAGAACTGCTGATTCACGGAAAAACGCGGAAAGGGGGCTTCAAGACGAAAACACGACGAATTTTGTGGAAAAGAGGGAGGAGTCCATACAGCATCGTGCGTTTCATTTTCTTATTCTTGATGCCGCTGGAAGTTTCCGTCCGGAACACCTTCGATTCGACAAACATCACTTCCTCAATATATACTTTTTTGTTTCGACTGCACCCTGAAGCAGCGAGTGTGCACCTTCAGTTGGCCGCCGTATCTTATCGTTTCGCATTGCTGTTTCATCACCAACTTGGCTTTCAGCTGATCGTACAGTTCTCATATCAGACGGGGTCTTGTTTGTTTTTTGACCGTCACACTTTTGACACTCTTCTATTCATCCTTTCAAAAAGGGCACAATACAATGCACGAGGAGGAATCGAATCGAATCCTGAACTAACCTACAGTACCCTCACTTGTATCTTCTTCACCTTGTTCTGCTTTCCTCTTCTGCGAGCCGAGAAGTCGTGTCTTCGGGGAGTTTGCCGAGGCAGTGAGTCATGGGCGGTCCCGTTCCGTTCCCGCAAACCTCGCTTCCAATTATCATACAGCACTCGCTCTTTTTCCATCCGTTTTGACCCATCCGTCTCTCTTCATTTGCTTTCTTTTTCATTTTAACTGTTCCCAGTTGATTCATTTCGAGCTTCCGTCCGTCATTCATTTTCCCCGTTCCGTTCCATTTCCGTTCCCATGTACACCTCGATATGACTACGGTAGCTGTGATAACAATTCCCATAATTAAGGCCTCACACCTTCTGCCAACCCTTATTTTGCTGCCAAGCCGGGTGTCATGCACAAAAACACGCACAAAAAGAAATTATCAGTTATTCATTTTGTGAAAATCGTCGTCGTTGTCGTGTCGTGGGAGACTCCGAGTCGATTCCAAATTCAACTGCTTTCCGCGTCGCCCCTCGACCGTTTCCCAGAGTGTTGTACGTTTTGCCCTTCAGCTTCTCGACTGTACGAAACGTTTTTTCTGTATTTCTTTTCTTCCTTCTTTATCATTTTAGGCTTTCTCGTATTGTTATTTGTCCTTTTCTCACCTCTTTTTCTCAAAACGGAGTAACTACTGTTGGAATTGAACCAGCGGTGACGTGGAGTCAAAAAATGAATTGAAGATTGTTGCCAGTGGACTTGAAGTGAACGGACTGTGAATTCGTACAGTGCACAAACGAACTGTGGGACAATGGCGAGACGGGGCAAAGGAAAGCGTCTTCTATTCATGGTCATCGAGAAATATTTCCCTTTTTTCGTCCCTCCTTCCCCACCCATTCCTCGAAATCAATTACACTCGCGTGGGACTCGTCCCTCTCGAGCTCTTGAATCTTCCGCCCTGAAAGTGTTGCCCATATTTTATCAAGCACAGACGCACCGCTGTTTGCTTTTTCAACGGCCGGCCATACATGGTTTGTGTGTATGTGCGTGTGCCGGACAATCGCTTCGTTTCAGTGCGTGTTTGCTCTTTACAGTAGTATACCGGCGAATACTAAAAATGACCGCATCGCAATGCGCTTTTGCCCTATTTTCGGATATTTGCTCTGAAGCAACAGCAGAAGGATGTGTTTGAGCATGACGTGGCAACGGACACTGCTGCTGGGTGTGGGAATCCCGTGGAGTCATGCGCCCGTTCGGGAGTCCCTCGAAACAAGCTTCTTGTTGCATTCAACCGGCCATTGTCATCATTCTGTCGCCTCCTCAAGTTCTCCTCGGATTCCCGTGGCGGCTTCATCCTCTTCAGCGTCTCCGTCCCCGTTTTTCATGCAACTAGCCTAGATGACCCCTTGTTCGATTCATATCCCCTCGTTGTTAGCCGCCGTCGTCGTCAGATCGCTCCGATCCGGTTCTGCTTCCATCTGGTGTCTGCGCCCTTCTGATCCGCTCGATTAGCCATCGTTCCGAAAGTAGTCCCCCGGTCGTATTGCGCCGTCGATGGGCGCCCTCCCACCCAAACAATATTGAAACTCGTATCCAGTTGTTGCGTAGTCGTCGGACGACGCAGAAAAGTTCGCGCGGAGGGGAGCGGTTACTAGCAACGCGGACTGTTTCAAACCGCATTGAGGCATAATAATGAAGTCGACTTTGGAGGGCTGAATGGACAGTGCGTGTCATATGACTACGCGTAACGGATTACGGTAGAATTTATGTGTGACTGTCGAGGGTAAAACTCTTTTTTGGAAGGAATGTGTACGATACAGAGAACATTGGAGCATTCCCAAACGATTTTGATCCGAGCCCATACCATCGTAGACGAAGAAAGTTAACCTCCGCTCTGAAAATGAACCCCGCAGAGTTCTTTCCTTTCAATTGCACAATCATGTTATCATCGCACATGAGCACTGTAGCTGCTCAATCCCTTTTTCTCATTCCGTTTTTTTTCCATAAGGATGCCCCTAGACTCTGTATCCTTTGTCCCCGTAAAAGTACCCTCAGCTGGTTACACCGTCTGCCCGCCATCGCCTAATTCGTCGATCTGCGCTTCCCGATGTAGTCGTCGCCCACTTTCGAAAAAAAAACTAGTTGGCCCTGCGAATAAATGTGTCAAGCTGTTTTGATTGTGCAATTTTGGCTGCAGCGCAACCGTCCAGTCCGTCCATCCTGTCCATCCTCTTCAAATTAGCCGCCCGTCGTCCTTTTCTTCTTTTTCTTCGGCTTCATCTTATTGGCGCCCTCCTCGTCACCGTGCTGTCTGCATAATTCGAGCGAGATGGTGTCCGAGTGTCCTCCGCGAAGAGGTGACCAACACCATCGCAACCCCGTCGACGGACGATCCAAACAGGTTCCAGGAGGTCGACCAGTGGCCGGACAACTTGAGAAAGGGGCTTCAGCTTCTGCTGAAGGGCAGTTACGAAATTGAATGGATCGGCTGAGGCGGAGGAGATTCGAATGCGTCATTGAGGTGTGATCCTGCCCTCTAACTAGCTTGATTGATGATTTTTGTGAATCCTAATGACCGGAACATTCGTCAGGGTTGACGGGGGGTGATGACGCGGATAGCTGGTTTTGCAGACAAGATGAGGAGATACCGAAGGGGGGAAAGTTTCAAAGATGGCGGGCTGACCCACGAGGAGAAGAATTAGAAGAAGAAGAATTAGAAGAAGAAGAAGAAAAAGAAGCAGCCGCTTCTAGTGGATCCGGATCACAGGAAGATGCTACAGTACGGACAGTTCATTTTGAGTTCGTCGAGCTGGCACTTCTAAGTTCTCAAAAAAGGTCTCCAATCTTCCTATAATTCGTACCTTTCCTTCTCATTTCTCGTCCTTCCTCCCCAAACCCATTTTTCATTTTCCGCTCGCTCTCCGCATCGACTCCGCAGTCCATCGTTTGTCGCTCTCTGCCGCTCTCGGCATCATCAGTTTGTTTCAAAAACACCTCTTGCGCGAGCGCGAGAAGCCCAAAAAAGCAGCAGCAACCCGGAAACCTTGCGTTGCCATTTCCGCACACTTTCCGCGTCTTCCGCGCCGCGCCGCAACGCGATCCCGTTCCATGCGTTCTTTTTTCGGGTGTCGCCTCGCCGCGCACTCTCCAACAAACATACCAAAAAATGCGCGGGGCTTTCCGCGCTCGCTCCGGCAACCTGCCGCGTCCGGAATAGATCAAGTGCGCCCCCGGGGAGACGACCGCCGCCGCAAAAGCAAACGGTGCCCCGGATATTTTTAGATGAAGCTGAGGAAGGAGGAGGAAGAAGGTGGTCGGTAAGGAAGCGCGAGAAAATGCGCGAGTTTCCCTGTGATCAGCTAGTAGAAACAGGGCCATACTGCCTTCGTTAGGTCGCTCACAGAGTGCTCTTTGTCGACGCCTTCTTCATATTTCCTTTCTTTATAAACCTAATTTCGTCGGTTTGATTGGGAGCCGCCACCGGTCCCTCTGCCTCCGGATCCTTCTTATTGTGCTCTGTGAGCAGAGCTCACTCATACCGGAATAATCGAATTGGTTTCATTGCGGCGCGCCCCTTCACTTCTGCCTCGTCTGATTGTGCAATCGGAAGTGCGGAAGGCGTAAAGAAAGGAAAGAAGGGTTACGGTAGGAGACACTCTTTTGTTCAACTTTGCCACTGTCCCTTCAATGTTTCCAGTTGGATCCTGTAACTAGTACATCATTCCAGTTCACACAGATCCTGCAGTCCCCGAGTGTTCGGCGTCCCTCCGCATCCCAGCGCGCGTTCCCATGCCATCTCGCAATCTCGAAAAAACTCCTCGAAGCGCCTGCGTCTCCTTGATGACCGCGCCAACGACACAGTCTGGCAACGCGGCGTCCGCGCGGAGACGGACTATAGAGACCGCAGACAATGTCCGCGCGGCGGCCGCACGGGAGAACCAGTTTGCGCTGCCGCCGGGGGCAATGGCCGGCAGAGAGTGTGCGGGAGCGAGAGGCCCACGCGCCGACAGTATCTCGGACTGAAGCCATCGGTCAGTGCATACCGAATGGCCCTCGGGGTTATGCTGGCTGCCTTCTTCTTCCTCTTCTCCCGCTGCTTCTCGTCCTCACTTCTCAGGGGGGGTACTACCCGGAAAAAGACCGGTCCTGATATCTACAACTGCACCCCTCGGCTTCCTCTGACTGCCTACACTTCTCGCCTCAGAGGCGGGACGCCCTCCCACCCTGGAACTTGGGAGAGCTGCCGTACTTCTTTTCTTCTTCTTCTTCTCCTTCTCCTTCTTCCTACTTCCCTACTCGCGTACTATTTGTGTGCATTTATATTGTTGTGTTTCGATTTGAATTTCAAGAGACTCAACCCTCGTTATCATCTCTTTCTGCCGGCGACTCACATTGTTCTCGTTTATCAGCAAGTCCCTGAACCAGAATGTTTTGTGGTTGGGGCGAAGGTTATCAGGGTGACGGAGACGAGCGTGCACGATGAGTTCAATTAGCAAACAAAAGAGATAATAATATTCAAATTGACTCTTTCTTCTTCTTCTTCTTTTTCTCTAACTTCTTGAACTTCCAAGAACCATACATCGAAGGAGTCTGGTCGTGTCTATGGTATCCCAACTTGCTCATTTGGTCATATGCTTTCCGCTGATGCAACCTTTGGCGGGTTATTTGAACTTGTTAATTCAAGGCTTGGAGCTATTCCGAAATACCAAACAACAACAGCCTACCACCTTGAGCAATGCATAATTCTCTTGTCTGGTAGAATATTCGTATATATCGCCGACCTTTCTGATGTTTTCAATTCCGGAGAAGTCCTAAGCACTCTGAATTACCTAATGACCCCCTTTCTGATAAACTCTTTTCCTAACTTAAGCCAAATTGGTTTTACTTCGTTTTACTTTACTTCTGCGTGTGCCACGTCATAGTTTGTGTTTTGAAAAAAAGAGACGCCTTCCGTCGTCTATTATCAGTCCCTGAGAATTGGTTTTCCGGTCGTTTGCCACCTACCGTTTCTATTGTCCCCTCTGGTCCTGGTCACTCTCTTTTCCACAATTCTGTTTGAACACCGGACGCTCTCCCTATTTTTGCCGCGCCTGTCGCCCGTTTCGGGGCTTACGGCCGTCGTCCGGCAAACACAAATGTACAGTAATACTGTGTTGCCTCCCAGGAAGGACAGGCTTCTGCCCAACCGAATGTAGTAACGGACGCCCTCTGTTTGCCCATTCGTCCCGAGCATTTTGATATCAACACGCCCCTCTGTTCCCTTCTTCTTCTTCTTCTTCTTCTTCGTTCATCTTTTTGTACTACCCTTTCACACTTGGCTCTTGGCCCCGCCCCTTTCTCGTAAGGCTTCTACCCAATAGTTCCCCATTTCTTTCGGTTCCCTTTGCCATTCTCTCTCGAAATGACCGCTAGCCGCCGCTTCGGGTGGCGGCTTCGGCTAGCCAAGAATCGGCCTCCGATCATCGCAAACCGGTCGTCGTAGCTGCGAGGCCAGCCACCCCGGCCGCTTGCACTCTTGTACCCCGCGCCCCTGGAAGCTTTCTTTCGCTTTGTTTGTGATGCCACGTGGAGCAGATCAAGGGTCAAAAGTGCATGAACCCTTTCCGATGTTTGCTTTTTCCGGTGTCTAGTTCTTTTTTCTTGCTCCGTCCATTTCCTGCCGAGTCTTCGCGTTGCTACCTACTACCGTATTTGCCCCGATGTTTGTTCCGAGTCCTTCTCATCCAGGCTTTTCTTTTCTGTCATTCATTCACAATCCTCTTTTTTTCAACACGTCTCAAGTATTGATCCTAAACTGAGCTTTGAAGTATTAATGCTCTCTCTATAAAAAGATCTCTATGATTAATACTTCGAGATCAAACTATTGCTTACCGTAATCCCATTACCTTCCCTCAGACCTATTCCCATTGATCATTAGGTTCCCACAGAAACACCAAGAAACATTTCGGCTTCATCTTCCTCGTTCTCGGCATCCCGTTCCTCCTCCTCCTCCTCCCTATCTCCCGGCTAACGACAGCATCCTGTCCGCGCCCGTTCTTTCTTTCCCTCGATCTTCTCCTCCGACGTCTCCTTCTTCTTTCTCCCGAAAAGATAACCAGTGGAGTGAAAGCGCGACGGATCCTCTCGTCCGAGAACAATGTCCCGACCGCCTCGATCCGATCATGAGAAGGGAGGGAGAGGGAGTCGTCAATCGGAAAAGCCGCCGGCTCACACTCAAATTTTCATCAGTCACCCCGGGAAATCCTCTGATCCTTGCGCGAGCGACGGCTTACTTGTTGGATTCGCACCGCAATTTGTCACTTATTTCCCGGGGGCGGGGCTCCCAGATCACGGAGCCACGGAGCCCTCATTTCAACACGTTTCCCCTCTTCTCTTCTGTTCTGCCGTACTGTCCACTATCATATGTGTCGTCTCTATCTTTGCGCTCACCTGAAACACGCCAGCCAACAACCTCTGCCTAGTCGGTCGTATTAAAATTTTGCAACATGCTTTCCCAGGCAGTACTTATTAGCATATCAATGCCCTCTGGTCACTCTTTCGGACACTCCCCCTTCTCTGCCGCCCTCCTCGTTCCACACACTCTCTTGTGCCGCCTCCACCTGAAACTGTCCACTCGGCCCGATAACGCTTCCTCCAGGAACTCTCGCCTATTTGTCGCACTGTACTATTATTATGTATACAATGGCCTCCGCACTTTCAGAAAACTCACCCAACTTCGCCATCGAAAATTGTGGTCCTGGCTCACAAACTTGGATAAATATGGTAAGTCGGCGATACTGTAGCCCTACCATACTTTCCATATTGTTTCGTTTTCGATGAATGTCAAATCTAACTGTAGAGTAGTGCGGGCTGTTGGAGGCTCGATCCCGTCAGCTCGGAGCCAGATCATCCTTCGGCTTTCGCGGGGTTAACTCGTGTGGGCAGATTGGCGGTGGCTTCTGCCCGATATTGCCTGTTGAATTTTGCCACTCACGGTAAATTCAACGCTTATCACTCGGACTGCGATAATCTAAGCTTAGCCGCAAAGTGACTTGTTTTCTTCTAGTTTCTCACAGTCAAAAATGAGTATACCGGGGGCAGCTAGACTGCAGGGGGGTAGCAAATCCTTCGACCACGAAACCAGTCATTGCCACCGAAATTGGAGGGAGATAGATGACCACATGCAACCGGTCACTCGGTTTAGTGTTACATGTTGCAGACGATGGGTGATCCTTGCTCCGTCGAGCAACCCCCTCCGCCGCCCGTCGACTTCACCAGATCGCTGATTGCTCCAACTGCCATCAAACAAGAACCGGGCCATGGACTCATACCATCCACTCCTGGTTAGTATCTAACATTTTTGAATTTCTGAACAAATTCTGTTTTTCAGGCACTCCCACAGCTTTTCAACCTCCACAGCAGGCACAAACTGGGATGCCTAACATCCAAGCGAACATCTTCAATCCTGCTCTGATGGCTGCTCAGCTCAATGTTTTCAATAACCCACAATTGATGGCAATGATGCAGGTGTGAAAATTCAAAAAAAGCAAAGTCCCATGCCGGGAATCGAAGCCGGACCGCGTGGGTGAAAACTACGAATCCTAGCCACTATGGGATGGCGGCTCGCAGAGAGTCTGCGTCCGTACGTACGTAAATGGATACACTCTTCCGATCACTATCTGAATGTTTCATCGGCAACTATTTATGTTCCGATGGGGCAGAAAAAGAGTAGTACAATGAAAAAATGATGGACAGGACGTACGATTGGAGACGAGGGTCGCGTGCAATTAACCTCAAAAAAAGAGAAAAGGAAGAAAAGATCTCCGTTTCACTTTTCCACCACCACACTTTTTTATCCCAACACAGGGGGCGGGTGGGTGCGTGTGTCAGTCAGGGATGTCCGGGCCGAAAAACCTTGATGATATGAAAAATGGCCCTCGTTTTTCAAGAAGGTCATCGAGCGAGACGATGACCCGCGCGTGATAACTCCTCTATCAAACCCACTTTTTCCTATTCTTCAACCGACAAATTCAGGCGGCAAGAAGTCCTCTGATGGCTCATCCCGGAGTGGTCCCCCCGCCCATGATGCCCAATATTCTGCAGCAGTTGAACGCTCTCCGAAATGCTCAGGTACGTGCGGAACATCATCTGAAAAGGAGAGAAAGGGCGTCCACGACCTTTCGGTCAAACTGTATAATGCAAACGAAATGTTGACGAAACGATGTGTGTGTGTGTCATGCACCTTTGCCCCTATTCCCGATTATTCCTTCTCTTTTTGATATTTCGAAGAGTGGGCGAAGACTTTGTTAACTTTCTCTTTTCTAATTCTCTTAAGGGATACCGGATAATCTGGAAGTCGTTAAAAATATGGGCATCCGATTTCTGATCGCTTCCCTTTCCGAGATATCGGCTCATCCGGAAGACTTACCGCATTTTGCTGAAATCAACGATATTGAAAATGTTGAAGCGATTCTGGACAGGTTCACAATGGACTGCAGGGTGCTGTATCAGGGTGAAACTGTTTGCAAGTCTGCCCTTTCTTTCGAGACTTTCGCAACATATCGCACGGTGATTTTTTCTGGGAGCGCAGTGGAGAGAGGAAGAAAGTTCGGCCCTCGTCCCGTGAACTGTCGACTGCTTATTTCGCTTTTTTTGGGAATAAGTTCATTGTGATGTAAACTAACAAGACACAAAAAGCACGCACAAGCAGCCATTTTTCCAGCAACCTATAGACATTTTTGCTAATTTTTTGTTGCAATTTGTCAGTTTTGATCATAACGAACGCATTTACTATGACAATGAATAAGATGAATCTGTATTTCTCCGACGGCGCGCATCTAAACTTCCTGGAACGCTGAAACCTCGGCGAGACCCCAAAGAGAAATCACCGTGATATCCGTTTAGGAGTGCATTCTCGCCCTCCCTCGGTATCATTCCTGCGCCTCAAAAGGTCATCTGTCCTGTCCTCTCTTCTTCCCGCATGTTGCCTTTTCTGCCAATCCTCGCAGTCCCTTACACGAAAATATCTTCTCAATTTGGTCTCATCTTTCGTCGTCTAAATTGCAAAATTCGCCATTTTCTTCTTTTCGCGGAATTCACTTTTCACCGAGCGACCTTTCGATGATTGGAATTCAAACGGATCAGACTCTCTGCCGGGGATATCACTTTCAGTTCCAAAGGTCAATCCGATCCTTCTTCTCTCTCTCTCTATCTCTCTCTCTCTTCCTCATCCATTCTATTTGCCGCACTACAAGGACAGGGGCCAGAATCGCGCGGAAGGAGCCACTGGCGACCCCTGAACAGGTTTCCTTGCCGCGTCATCGTCTCCCTCGTCGCATCAGTCCCTCGTCATCAGCCACCGGGTGACCTCTACACTTTGGCAACTCGCCAGATTACTGTCCATTCCCTGTTTCGACTCCTCCGGTCGGCTGACTCCTGCGCGTGCTCCTTGAACTCTCCGTCCTCGTCTCCAGGCGCCTTCAGGACCGCTCTCTTATCAACCGGCCACTCTCGCATTCCCCAACATGTGCAGCCACTTTCCACACACTTTCCACATCGCGCCAGTGTCCTTTCACCTTTCAGTTCCTACGTCATCCGATCGAAGAGCGCCGCTCTCTCATGGATCTTTTCCAGCTATTCATAACTATCTCTTAAGAGTTGGAAAGGTCAGACGGCTTATCATAGTGCGCTTGAGACAATGTTGGCCTTGAACTAACAAACATCAGTAATTCAGGATGTCTGTGAATAGCAGTAAATATCTCGGCGCGTTGACCTCATCGAGAGACAGTTTCTAACAAGTTCTTCTCGAGAGAAAACGTGACCACGTCATTGAAATCGTTCTTCGAAAACCTAATACTTTTGAAATACCTTCAAATGTCACAGACACACTTTTCCACGCCACAACGCATTCCTCGAAACCATTTGCTGAGCATCCAGCGATCCCTTATAATCCCGGTCATTCCACTCGTTTTTCAAATATGGCTCAGCCTTGAAGAGGTCACGGAAGCAGCAAAACAAGTAGTCCGGCAGCGTCTTCCTGCCCGTTAATCTTCTGAATTCGTGAGCCTTTGCTCGAGAGTCAGAGGTTGTTGCCCCGGTGACTTGCTACCCTCACCAGCTCGTGAGAGGAGCCCTTCTCGGTTTCTCCCCGCCCACTTTTCCCCCAGGTCGCCGCCGTTTTCGTGCCGCGCTCTCTTCGCTTTATTATATTTTTGCCCCGGCGTGTCGACGGCTGCTGCCCTCCTCCGGGTGTCCCCCCCCCCCCAATCACCATCCTCATCAACCAAGAGCCTACTTTATCAGTGCTCTCCCACCTCTTCCTCACTCCAAATGCGTGACTCACCTCAGCTGGATCGAGATGTGATGTCGAATCAGGAGATCTACGAATTTCTAATGTATATTGCAAATTACACAAAGGATCTCGAAATGAATCCGTTGAATCTTTCGAAGTCAATGGAATCCAGAGAAGAAGAGGAGCATGTACGTTTTTGTAATGACGTGGCAGAAGGTTGTTATTAATTGTACTCTCTTGTTGAATGTTTGACACCCAAGGCAAACTGCTTCTCCAGCTGATAAGAGCTCTTCGCTGGAGACAGTCATATGCAGTAATGCCCTTGATGACGTGGCAGCAGTCCTTAGTCGAGGGCCTACACGTGTGACACACCTTCCGGTAGACAATCCGTGAGAAAGTGGAGAGAGAGAGAGAGAGAGAGAGAGACAGCACACCTACGTAAAGCTATTCCGAGAGCTCTGCTCTGGAACTGCTCCCGGTCTTATCCGGCCTTGACTCCTGCGCTCCCTTTCGACACTTGACCCCATCCGTCCCGCCGACTTACCGTCTCAGTCGTCTCTCCGCCGAGGCACACTGTCTCAAATGCCAGAGGTCAGCAGCCGCGTCGGTTTGTATGTCATCATCCTCGTGCGCCAACCCATTTCCTCACAGTTCCCTTCTCTCATGCCCCACCGCCTCTCTTGCTCCAATTTTCTGTTTTCGCCGCCACAATCACGTTTTGCTCTCATTAGCCAAGATAATCAGTCGAAAAGCGAGCTCTGTTCCTTTGGGAGCTCAGTGACTAACGAGCTGTGAGGGCGGCCGCTGGCTCCCGTTCGTATTGCTCACGCGCAACAAGAAAGGAGAAATTGTCTTCTGATTAGCACGCCAAAAAAACGAATACGAAAAAGAGTGGGCGTGACGGCCGGGAAAGGGTCTCGTTTTGAGTCTGATTCGTATAGACGAAGGCAACCAAATTGACCTTTTCATAAAAGTGATAAGAAATGCAAACGGGCAATCGCAGTGCACTTCCGATCTCTTTTGCGGGGTACCTCGCTAGTACGAAACTAAATCCGTCGCCAAGATTTGCTGCTCGCATGATTGTTAGACGTCTTCCCTCGGGGAGCCATTCATTCCGATCGCTAAGCCGATCCAAACAAGAACTTCCCGCTTCTTCGCCTCAATCGGAATATTTTTATTCCCGATGAAGTCTAATCTCTTGTGTCACTTGCAAGCGAACGAGAGCACGGTGACCTCCCTCTCTCTCTCTCTCTCTCTCTTTCCTGCTCACTTGTCTCCCAATATCCATAGAAGGCATCATATGAAACGAGGGGCCAGCGGATAATTAGGCAGAGATAGAAAGCGGCATGACAGAATGGGCTCCATATCTTGTGCATTTGACCCCCGCGTTGAGTTTGTTATATAGCACTCAAAAACAGAGAAATGCAATTCATCCGCTCCCATTTTCAGCTGTCGAATGCAAATACCATGGCCAACTTGCAAAGAATCTCCTCGAGTCCGAAAATGGTGAATGGAAGTGAGTATTGCCATCCGATTGCCCCGTCATAATGTCGCGTTCAGGTTCTGATCGGAGCGAAAACTGCGGAGAACTATGTGTCGTGTGCGGGGACAAGGCGTCCGGAAGACACTACGGCGCCGTCTCGTGCGAAGGATGCAAAGGGTTCTTCAAGAGATCCATCCGCAAGCGGGTAATTCAACTAACCTTAACTGACCAATTACGTTCGTTCGCCCTTTTCCATAGATATCTTCCCAGATTGGCTACGTTTGCCGAAGTTCAAAGGACTGTCCAGTCACCAAATTTCATCGTAATCGATGCCAATATTGTCGTCTCCGAAAGTGTCTTTCGATGGGAATGAGAAGTGAATGTGGGTTTGAATTGAACAGTTCAATGAGCAACATTTCGAATTTCCAGCTGTGCAAGCGGAACGTCGTCCGGTGAATGCTTCGAACAATGAAAGTCCGCCGAATCAGAACGGCACTCCGCGAGCAATGACTCCCTTGAATAACGGACTTGTGAATGGACTGCTCACTCTCGTCAAACTGGAGCAGGAGAATCAGAAAGTAGGAATGCTCGAGACGATAATCAAACCGGGAAGTCCGGTCAACAATGGCGAATGCTCTCCGTCCACGGAATTCATGGAAGTGAAGCGGGAGTCGATTGGAGAGGACGAGTCGGGTCTCGACGCGATGACCGTAATCGGACTCGTGCCTTCCGCCTCGCCCACGTCTTCCGGAGTCGGTTCTTCCTCTTCTGTTTCCGATGAGAGCGGTCCCATCTACAACTCGGAGCGGAGCCGTTTCGAAATCTCCGTGCACGTACCCAATCCACCAATCAACCAACAGTTCATTTCGGAGATCACCACTCGGTTACTCTTCCTTTCAGTTCATTTCGTTAAAGATTCGCGAGTAACCATAAGGTGAACTTTCCAATGACACACCCGCCAACTCAATTATTCCTTCCAGAAACTCAACGATTGAAGCTGTCCTCAAGACCAAGTGGTGTGATCTTTACATCCTCGCTCTGATGCAAACGGCCGAAAAGATAAAGCTGAGCACACTTCTTGATAGCCTTTCGACTCAGTTGGCAATCGCGGTCGAGTGCGGTCAACTGAATGCGGACAAGTTCGAGCGAATCACTGAGCAAATGCAGCGTCTGATCCAATTGTCGCACCTGTTCGCCTCGCGCGACATCAATTTGGTCGAGTACGCCTATCTCAAAATGATCTCATTTACTGCCGAAGGTAATTCACTTTCTTCCGTTCCCGTTCTACGCTCTAATTTCTCTGCAGATCTCCCCGTTTACATGTCGACTTCCGAGACTCGCGGCGTGAATTTGCTGGCCTCGCAGGAGCTGTTCGAGTACGTTTCCTCGTCGAAAAACAGCAACCATCATCACTCGAACGAGCACATAAATGTGGATGACTCGACGTCCGAGGACAACGACACGCACGTCACATCGCAGCAGACGAGCACCAATCTTGCCGCCGAGAGGTAATAATTGTGAGGCGAGATGCAGAAAAGCCTGGTGGCGGATTAATTGTGGGGTCTGCTTGGGAAGGAAATTGTAAAGTTCACTCTCTTTCAGCCAACTTCCCTTTTCCAGATACTCACGCCTCCTCCAATTGCTGCCGTGTCTCCGATGGTTCGACCCGCAGACAATCGTCGACATCTTCTTCTCCGGACTCATCGGACCCATGTCCATCGAGACGATCATCCCGTTTGTGCTTCAAATGAACCTGATGAGCTTTTTCGAGAACGGCAACGCATCTTCCGATTCGTTGTCGTCGTCGTCATTGAGTGACATCATGAGCAGCCAGTGATCCTCTCCCAGTATTAGTTTCCTCTCTCTCTCTCTTTCCCCGTCAACGTCACAATTCCCTGTACGAATACCTCTGTCTCCCCGTGTACATACTCTCCGCCCCCGTCTCATCTATCAGTGCTTTCAGCCTTCTTCTTCTTCGTTCCAATCGTTCCTCTCTCTCTCTCTCTCCGTTTCTTTCCTTTAAGTCTGTCCCCGATGGTTTCCCCTATCCTCCCTCCTAATCCTCCGGTTCTTAGACTCAACCTAATAAATTCGTTCTTTCCATTGTCTCAACCAGTCTAATAACTACAGTATCCTTGCCAACTCTCCCCCCGTTCGGCCCTTCCCCCCTCTCCAAATTCTTCTCGTTATCCTAACTGGGCTTTATCCAAAGCTTTATAGGCTTCCCCCTTTTCCCCGAACAGCTCCTCGATTAGGTATTACCCTCCCTTTATATTTATGCATTTTGTTTTAGAATTTTTAACGGCAGCAAGACGGATTAACCGCCGTCTTCGGTCGATAAACTGCTTTAGTTCTATTTATAAATCCCCTCCCCTCCCCACTTGGTTTTGTCGCTAGATTCCCCCTCTTTTACAATGTGAATTGTACTCGTTCTCTTCTTAAAAATCTTTCTGTTCGGTTACTTTTGCTTTCCAATTTATAAATGAGTATTACAAAGACAAGAGAAAGAATGTATTCGAGTGATCACAACACTTCTGACATCATTCAACCTTTTCAGTGACTGGTACGCCCGAAGACAATTCTTTGTCTGATTTATAGCTTCTTCTTCTTCTTCTTCGTCTCTTCGTACAACATCGTCGGATTCCGCCTACTCTTGTGTGTACCTAGCCACCAGCGAAGCAGTAAAGAAGGAACGAACCGATCGTTTGAGAACAAGACGAGTTTGACATGGGAAAACTAGAACGTGCCGCGTATCGTCCTCAGGACTTCATCTCCATCTGCGAGGACTTTTCTGTTTTCCGCTCTCTCCTCTTGCCTCCTCCCTCTTGCAGCCAAAATAGTTTTGAAAAGAGATGTGTATCTGGTCTTCTTCTGTCGCTCCCCGGTTGGCTGGCGTCGTCGTCGTCGAAGTGAGGTCGTTGTGAGGGAAGAGAATCGATCGATTCGTCGATGTTTCGCATATTATCCGGTCGGCCAGAGGGCACCGCTCTGCCTCGTGTCTTCCGGTCTCTCCGATTGTTTGTGCTCCGTCCTTCGGCGGCTCATGCACCTCCCCTTCGGTCCTTTTCTGACTATTGTTCCCATCCGTGTCATCTTCTCTCTCTCTCTCTCTCTCTCTCTCTCTCTCTCTCTCTCTCTCTTTGATTTCCTTTCATTTGCCACAATGACGTCTTCTGATGTTCTCATCCTGTTGTCCTATTCCATGATCCTTCTATTCTTGCCAACTTTATTGTTGGCCACCGGTTTTTTTTTCCAAATATCATATGAGACCTTCTGAAAAACAACATTTGCACGGCACGTTGCCACCTGATCAAGTTCTCCAAATTGTGCCCTTTTCGTTTTATTTATGTTAACCGGAATGATTTGATCGGACTTTCTGATCACAAACTCAGAAGTTTCTCGTTTCCGTTGCATAAGAAATGAGCTGCTGCCCTATTGGGATTACTGATAATAACGAAGGTCAACACAGACGGAAGCCCGCTCGGTTTCGCAGAAAGATCAAGGGTCGACGGGCTCCGTCTGCCCGAACCTGCTCGTGACGTGGCATTCGGGGCTTCTGCATGAACCTGTCCTCAGTTCAAGTGTCCGTCCACTTCCTCCTTCTCCCTCTTTCTTTAGATGAGAATTGTCAGTTAGTTGGCATCGCGCCAAACTGGTCGGTTCACTTCTGATTTGGGTTCAGTCGTATCAGTCGCAAACCATTTCGATCCTTGGCCGTTTCTGCCGTCATTCGTTCGAACCGAACAAACTATCACGTATTCTTCTCTCTCTCTCTGTCTCTATCTCTCTCTCTCTCTCTCTCTCTCTCTCTCTCTCTCTCTCTCTCTCTCTTTTCCGCCGCCTTCCACATTCTGATCCGATGTTTTTGTAGAAGAGGACGAACAATTTTGAATGCGATTCCTGCTTTTCCTCCCATTTCTGTATGCGAGTCTCGTGAGTTGTCCCCCTCGGATCTCCGCATTTCCCTCCCGTTTTCCAGTGTCCGATCGACTGCCTCACCCCGGGCGAGAACTGTGAAATGTGTCAAATTGTGCTCCGAACCGTCTACGGCCATTTCTCTGCCAACGTTCCGTCGCGAAAGAAGCTGGTGAATCAGCTGAAGCACGAGTGCAAACGGCATTTCAATGCGAGTTGACCTCCTTTTCTCTCCGCTTACTCCTCCGTCATTTCAGTATCGTCGCCGGTGTCTAATGGCGGTCAAGGACCAGGGAGACTTCCTTTATCGCGAGATGACCGGCGGAGAATTCAAACCGATCAAACCGTGCTTTATTATGAAAGTGTGTCTTCCCGTTCCCACCAATTTCCCATCGAATCGTTTCAGGAATGCAAACGACTGCAGTCCCCGCTGCCGGAGGACTTCCTGCCGGATAACTCCACTTATCCGCCGATTCTCGATTCGACGCTCCCCGATCCTTTGGAACTTCCGACCATTCCTCCTCCGGATGATCAGTCTTGATAGTCTTTCTCACTTTTTATCTTTTCAAACGCCGTGCCTTCTTTCCCCCATTTTTGTGGCCCCGATGACGTTTATACGGGTTCTATCAGGAACTATGAACTGATTTTTTCCAAATCTCCGAGGAAACCACGTTTATTAAAACAAAAACAGCAAAAGCAAGGACAATACAAAGTGAGAAACGGTCATTCCTTCCATCGATGGGCGCAAGCGTTGTCTGCGCATCGGTAGAAGATGGTCATCGGTTCGTCGGCGGACCTCGTCTGCAGCTGCATGAAGTAGGCTCGTTCGTGCGAGCACAGCGGACACCGTTCTGAAAATGGCACGGATTGCGCACGTTCAATGGAAGGCCGCTGTTTACCGTCGGTCACTTGGGCATTCTCCCAGGCTCCCGGACCGCCGAGCACGTCGTCAATGTCTTTGAGTTTCGGATAGATTCTGCTGCTGACCGTGTGCGTGACGGGGCAGACGTATGGACACGCGGGACACGAGAATCGCATACATTCCTCGCCGTTTTCAATTTGCATCACACATCCGCATTCCGGGCAGAAAGTGAGCATTCTACAACTATTCAAAAATTCTAAATTCAAAACAACACAGGATGAACACACAAAATATTTTCAGGGTCATAACCCGTTTTAACTTCGCAAATATCTTTTCGCGCGGAATATTTATTCAGAGAATTAGGAGGTACATGATTGATTAAAATAAGGTAGGTTTAGACAGAAAATAAATTGATTACGGTTTTTTTTTAATATTGAGGTCAACAAGTGGTGTGGTTGGATTGGAAAAGGCATTTAAAGAGGGGAGTTATCCAGATACTGGAGATGATTGGGATGACCGAACATGAATTATTGATCGACAGTGACGTCAGTTCCGCTCTCGGTCGGGAAGAAGAAGGTGGGTCCTTCGGCGCGCTCGAACTTCACTTCGGTCGACGACTCTCCGTTCGCCGAAGTGCTCGGTCCTTCGGCAAGTTCTTCAGCGATCACCTCCTCCTCGACGTACTCGCCCTCGAATATGAACGACTCTCCTTCAAAGCATAAACAAAAGATTATTAGAGGGATTATGATGCGCTGAGTTACCCTCGAATCTCGGCTGCTTGCCCGATGTTCCTTCGTCCTCTTCGATGTGATGGCGTCTCTTTGAGGTGGATCCGGTATCCACAATATACTCATGATCGGGCGACAGAATTTCGTCTAGATGCTTGCGCATGGATGCGACGACGCTGTGGATGGCAATGTCGTAATCGTCTGGAGTGGTTCCGTCCAGGGTGTTGATCCATTCAGTGAGCATCTCTGCCTGACTCTGAACGTCTCTTCCTTTCGGCTGTCCCAAACGGTTGTCGAGGTACGACGCGATGCGGTTCTCGATTTTGCGTCCGACAATCCGGCATGCCTGTAAAACGTGAGATTGAAATGGAAATGGAATTTCTGATATCTAACCATATGCGCAATTCGACTGGCCTCGGTCTGATCACGAGCTCTGGTTGGCGGCATGCTCACCGGTTCTCCTTGCTCATCGTAGTACACCTCCTCGTACATTTCGTCGTCGTAGAACATTCCGCTCTCCTCGAATTCTCTCTTACGGGCTTGTCTCTTGCGAGCGCTCGCCATCACGTAGCGTCGCATTTCATACGCCTGAACATCTCACTTTGACATGTGTACTTTCCCGTCACTTACTTGTTTTTTGTTGATGATCTCGCGTGGGTCCGTTTCTCCGGTCTCGACGAATCGAGCCACTGTCTGCAGAGGCGAATCGCTTCTGAGCAGTTCCTGGGCGACCGAACGAGTGTCACTGTAGAGCTTCGGCGTTTTGCGCAACTCGATCGGATTGTCGGATAGATAGTTGACGTGATATTGAACGAGAACTGGACTGGCACGCACACCGTCGGAAGTTGTTTCGAGCCAGCACACCTGTAAACCAATCTAGGATTTGTGATTGCATCATTCTCTTGCTCTTTTAGCGAAACCTGGACAAAAACCATACCTTTTTGCAAATACGATTCTCCATGTTCGAATAGTACCAGTTCAGCAGATAGTGAGCCGATTCTATACTGCGACGAGAAGTCTTGACGTGATTTCCGTCTATTTCGACAAAAATCTTCTTCTTCGAACTGGTCGATTTTCCACGGTTCCACAGATAGCTGTCGATGTAGTAGTCCGTGTTTTTCAGTCCAACGCGTGGCTCCACTAGGAAGTTCTGCGGTCCTTTGCGATTCTCGTCTATAGTCAGCGGGAACTCCTTCTGCACTTCACTCTCATCATAACAACGAAAGTAAAGAAAATGGGCGGCTTTGTTCGGAATGCTCAAATCAGACGACTTCAAATTAAGCGTCTCTCCAGTGAAACCGGTGCGATAGTTCTCTCCGCTTTTATCAACGTGGTGATAGGCAACCTTTCTACCATTAGGACGTCCAGTGTATTTCATCGAACTGATTGTCACTTCGTTCGAAACAGGGAAGTCAGAGTTCAGAACGATCGACCCAATTTTTTCGGGTTTCAGCAGCTCCACTTGAATCACATTCTGGCGAGATTCACTTTTCGGAATTGTATCTTCCATTTCCGTGTTCGAAATATCTATTTCTTCGTCCATTGGGGACTGCTCTTTCTCCATACGGCTCAGACGAGAGGTTGTATTGGATTCATGGGAAGAAGCATTCGACGGCATAGACGGGATATTTCTGACCGGAGTGGATGTTTCTCCGACTTTTCTATAATAACTATAACATGAACGTAACACAATTTCAAGCCAAATTACTCACGCCAACTGGGAAGCGAGGTTGTTCGAGGCCGCTTTCGGAGTAGGAATCGACATCGACTGTCCTTTGTCTTCGTCTAACTTCGCTGCCAACAAGCGAGCCGAGGGAGTTCGAACTTTGCGCGTTTCCATTCTGAATGCTGCAACAATGTACTTGCTTAAATAACACATCAGTGAAGAAGAGACAACAAATGCACAATAATTACTCACTGGAAATCAATGAAGTTTGATACATCTCAGGACTTTCGCTCTCTCTCGGATGAATTTCAGAAATGTCAAGCATTTCTTGAGCATTCATGGAATTTTTTGATTCGAAAAACTGAACAAAAACTATCAAATAACGGTAAAAATACGATGTTTCGCGACGTGGCCTAAATTTTCCGAAATGAGAAACTTCGGTCCTAAACCGTACCTTGAAGGCGGGTTACTACTTTTAGGCCGGTCCCACCACGAAAACACAAAAAAAGTACTGTAATTTTTTGCCGATGCTCGGATTTTGAAAAAAATTTCCACTTCTTCGCATTTTTTGAGCGTTTTGACCCGAGATGTTTAAAGTTTTATCGATTTTTCGAGAAGAGCGTTTAATTTTTCATCAAACAAAGAGAACAATTAAGCTGATTCAAATGCTATAGATGCGGAGGGCCGAGGTAAATTCAAAATGGCCGAAGAAACGAAAGAGCGGAGAGACGGCGGTTGGAGGCCGAATCAATTCGATTTCTCTGCCACAATGAGACACCACATGCTAGGCCAGGCGGAGGGGGCAATTGAGTAAACACGCGGCCGCGACCGCGTCTCGCAACGACCGTCCATTGGGGCGCACTTGCATACCCTCCTCCTTTTACTTTCTGTCTCGCCCCGTGACACAGACCAACGTTTCGATTGCAGAAGATGGTGGACTACTGCACGACGAAGCAGATTTCGACATTCGTGCTCGCGCTTATCGGATTCTCCATCCTCGTCTTCTTCATTGAGGAGTATACAGAAGAGAATGAAATGGAAAACGAAATGGAAATGAAGAAGGCATTTTACAGTGAGTTGCGAAACAAATAAGGAAAGTGAGGCTTGTTGCAGAGAGTGAACACGGGACGGATTCGACGAGGAAAGCGACGGAATATCCAATAGAAGAGTGTTGGAAATACGAACCGATTGAAGTTGTTACACAGTGCACTGCGTGTAAGGACTTCGAGATAAAGGCCATAAAAGCAGGTGGGTCCATGACTGAATGACTGACTCGGAGTTTCTCCAAACCATCGACATATTCCATCTCCAAACATTTCCAGCTCACTGCCTAAAAACGGGATACTACGACCGTGTGAACTGCTCCAAATCGTCGACCACTGTGCTCCGTCCGTGTCCGTCTCCGAAAGAAGCCCGACGGAGAGAATTCTATGGATTCTGTCTGTTCAATTCGATCGCACTCGTTGGGAGTTACGTGGCGACGGCTCAACGGAAGGCAATGCTCGACCGGGCGACCTACATGCGCCTTCCCCAGTTCTGATTCGTGCAAACATTCTTTTCTTCTTTTGCTAACCACGGGTATCTGCTAAATAAAACGGTGTTAACTTACTTGATTGGTTTCGAGAAAACGTTCATTTGATAAGAAAACATATGAGGATACTTCGAGAGGGAGGCGAAAACGTTTCTGACACTTGTAAACTGTGCAATGGATTAACGAATAAGTGATGTACAGCATGACGATGACTGTTGGAGAGCAAGTCATTAATAAATACGCATAGTGCAATAAAATAAGTCAATTGAATAGAAAATGGGGGAATGAGCAATAAGTGAAACTGTTGTGGAGGCGGAAATGGGGACGGTTTACTGGTGAAAACGGGGATCGAACAAACGCAATTTTCGAGATTTGGAAAGGAGAGAAGTAGCGATTATATCACATTATCGATTCGAATTAGAGGAGGAGGCTATAAATAGAAGCTAACGGGCGTGGTAGTCAACCCAGAAAACGAACACAATTTGAGAGAACAGATTAAAGCAGAAAGGGGAGGGATGGGCGAATCGATTAGTGGCCATTCAGAATCGGAGCGATTGGAGCAGTAGCCTCTTTCATATCGGGCATGTAGTCGCGAGCCATCAAACAGGCAAACACCGTCAGAACCATCTTCTGTTTCACCTGAAAGAATTACGTGAGTCGAATGGAAGACTCTGCATGACTCACTTCAACAATATCTTCGGGAAGGGCATAGATCTTGGCTCCGATCTTTCTTCCGCAGGTGATCGCGTACTTGGCATTCGACATTTTATCTTCGTTGCTTCCGCCTGTCTTGATCAGACTGTGATCAATCACATTCGGTTTGATGGCGTCGATGAGATCGAGAACGACTCGTCCGTCGGAGATGGCCGAGTCTTGGAACGAACGGATCGATGAAGACTTTCCGGAGGTCGACAGCTTTTGATTGACCCACACGACGATATCCTTGTCGGCCGGAAGGGAATCTCCGCTCTGAGTGCATTGAGCGAGGACGGAAAGAGTGTACGCACGCATGAGCTGCCAAACGAGAGCCAGAATGAGCGTCTTGCATCCGTCGTAAATGTCCTTTCCTTGAATTCCGACTAACGAAAACCTGAGCTGCTTTCCGAGTTCGATTGCGTAATTGCAATTCTGGATCTGATCCATCATTCCACGCAGTTTGTGGAAGGTCCTCACAACTCGCTTCCACGTCACCATTCCCGGTCGAATAATATCGTAGAGCTGCAAATTTTGAGATGATTCGCAAAACATTGTCTGCAAAGGTCAAACCTGGAAGATAACGACTCCGTTCTGAAGATCGGCATAGAGCCAGTTTACGTGTGGATCCACTCCCATCGAGTTCATCCAGTTCCTGTACGTCTTCTCCTCGCGTGTTTCTTCGATGACATCTTCCACTGAAAAACCTCCAAAGGGCGTTAGAATCTCTTTTTTTCAAAGAAACACGTACCGATCTCATCTGCTCCCGGACCAGGAAGGTTCGGATGTTTGTTGAAGAGATTTGCCACGAACGCCAAGTTTAGTTTGTAGTTCCCAGCGGCGACGTCCGTTGGAGTCACAAATTCACGGCAATCGAGCTTCTCGGCCTCGTCGAGCATAGCTCCGGCACGTGGAATGTTTCCCTGGACTCCCAAAGGGGACAGTGTCACACCGCTTCCGACTGGACCAATCTGATGGAGCAAATGGGTGTAGATCTCAGAATCGACAATATCCGAAGTGAAATTGTGAAGTCGTCGTTGAGTTCCAGCTCTCTCCAGATGATAATTGACCCATCGCATAAGGATTTCCTCTGGAGAAAGTCTTCGCAAGTCTTCCAGTGTCTCTCCGTCTCTCAAAAGACGAAAAAGTCCGGGACAATGCTGCAAATCGATCTGATTGAAGAGTCCAATCCGAATGATTTGCCAGAGGAGTCCGAGCACCAGATGAGCAGTTCCTTTGCTCAAATCGATGCTGTCAATGCTTATAATGTTGCATCCGATGGCCTGAGAAGACATCAGAGCCAAAGTCAAGTTCTCAAGTTTCGTGTAAGTGTTCAGGTTCTTTTTGTTGATCGCTCTCTCGTCGATTGTCCCCGGAACGGCCAAATTGATGAGTTTACATATGACGAGACCGTCTTGTACTTTCGAATACAGCTCTCCTCCTTTTGGATTCACCGGCAACAATCGTTTCAAATCCACATCATCTGACAGGTTGCTGTTGATCCAGTTGGAAAAGGCTACTTCTTCTTCGACGCGGATGGTGTGGTGGGCATTCTCCTGCTTAGCACTGTGCACTTGATAGGCTCCGCTGACTTGTCTGAAAACGATCAGTTGGCTGCTGGTCTGGCGCACTCAGACGCTCACTTTGTCTGTTGCTTCCATCGATTTGCCTCCTCATTTCTCTGTGCATCAAGTGATTCGTAGAGCTTCCCGAACTTGTCCGCATCGATTTGTCCCTCGTTTCCAAAGTGTTGGTCAAGCAGTTCGCGCATCTGTAATCAGCAATCCGTTTGTCAGACTCTTTTGCAAACAATATCTTCTTGTCAAGTGGCTGCCTTTGTCGTCACTGATGTCATGCAAGAGCTCTCCCAGACCACAAACTGACCTTATATCCGGGAACGTCAATACCGAGGACCTTAAGCGCCGTCTGCACATCACTCCGAGGAATGAATCCGCTTCCGCTCTCACTGATGGTCGGGAAATTCTCATGCAGGTCTGTCAACTGCTCTCTGGACAACATTCTGTTCTGCGAAGAATTAAAATTGCCAAAATGAAGAAAAGACGAGAAGAAAAAAGATAAGCGAAATGAGAAAAAGCATAGAAAGTGACGGGAGAAAAGGGTGGGAACCGAATGATGATAAGGAAAATATCATCGGAAAGGAAAGTGAAACAGTCTGTTTGGTTTTATCTGCCGGATAGAAGCAAACATATTTTCGAGCAAATGTATCATAAGTGGAAACCGGTGTCAATGTCGGTCAAAGATTATCATCTTGACAACGATAAGAAAGAACACTTGAAAAGAGTAAACCAGAAGTCCTTTCAATTCAGCATCGAACAATGAGTTCAATGAGAACGATGTCCCGAAAAGGAGAAACGAAGGCAACGAAAAACGCGTTTCGTGTTTTTGCGATTATTGGCGACGAGGATCGGGCGCCCTCTCGAACTTTCCCAAATCATTTGAGAAAAGGTCTTCGTTGTCCTGGTCTTCGTCCGGCCCATAGACTAATTACCATGTTCTCTCACCAGGTCGATGGGTCGTCCGGAACGAATCGAACAGCCTCAAAAACACTTGAGAATCGACCGGAGGGAACACCGCGCGGAGGGACGGAGAACACGATCCGGACGAAGAGAAGGAGGAGAAAAAGTGAGCGTGCTCTGAGCCGAATTAACACCTTTTGCACACAACGCCGTTCAAGAGGAAAACCATCTTCCAAGGCAAATGTATGCATAATTTTTTCGAAGAAGAAGAAGGAGGGGAAAGACGGACACAAACAACAAGTTTCACGTCGAAAATGAGTGCTTATCGCCGGTGGAAAGTCGAAATTCAAACAGTTAGAATGGTGGGAATGCGCGACAAGGGTGGGGAGACGCAGACGGCGAAGAATGCCATAAAGGCACCTTGGCGCGCATGTCATCCAGATGGCACGCTGAAAAGGAGAAAGAAGAAGGAGAAGAAGCAAGGTGAGAGAGAAATGAAATAATGATTAGCTTCGGAGAGAAACGGAAGAAATTTCAAATATGGATAAAGACCAGCTGCTGAGACGAATTCGAATTATTGAGTCATTCTCGGGAAGATACGAATGACGGGAAACGATAAACATCGCGGCTTTCCGAAAAGGACAATGAGAAGATGGATTAATTAGCGGGAAGAGGCAAAAGCTTACCCACCAACTTCTGTGAGAATATGAATAAACGGTTCTCGATCGTGGTTGCCCGATTTGAGAATGGGCGCCAGGAATGGTAGATCTAAGAAAGGCAAAGATGGAAAAATGAGCGAGGTTGCGTGGGTGAGGTGACTAACTGTGTTCTAAAATGGTGCTTGCGAAGCAAACATTCCATGAAGAAAGGAGGCATGTTTTATACTCGAATGTCACTAACTACGCTGGGTCGATGACTCATCGGCGCTGTTCTTTCGCCGTTTTCACTATCGCCACCAGTACGGCGACTATGATGATGATGAAACACTCATTTAGAAAATGAAGATAACCGAAAACGGATTGTCAAAACAGCGGAGGTCGAATTGATAATTTCTCAATGATCACAATCGCACGCAGGAAACATCAGAATACTCGTGTTCAACTTTGAAAACATTTGTTGCATTACGAGAGATGTCGTCCTTCAAAATGGTAGTATGTTTACTTTTTGACGACGCGCTCCTTTGAAACCGTACAAGTTTATTTGGTCGAAAAAGTTTGAAAAGTTCCGCCTCGTAAAGTAAGGCATTCCTCAAAAATAAGCCGGTTTGCGTCAGTTAGTCTGAATGGAAGAAGTGATTGTCTGATAAAGAGTGACTAGAAAATTCACTTGCACTTTTCAGAGTCGAGACAATTAGGTTGTCTGTAAATTTTCAAATTGCTTGAAAAGACGTCTCGGTTTACTGTTTGAAAGGACAGTTGAAACTCAGGAAACGAAACTTTAGAAGGGGGAGTAAGATGCCGTCAGTGAGGAACGAGAGGTATGGAGGCTGAGGAACGAAACGGCCAAATCGGGGTGGAAACAGTCGGGCGGAACCAGTTTGCTGCGCACGACACAGAACCATCAACTCATCTCCATCTTTCGCTTTTTGAAAGGAGTTAAGACCGGCCTAATTGGCGACTTATATTCGACTTATCTTTAAAATGGTTTGCATACTGAGCTGCAATTATCTCATATGTGCTTTTCTGCTTAGAATATTCGGCTATCCATACTAGTATTATATTTACGTACCACTCTTTTTTGGCACTGTCCCAATGGCCGGACGAAAGGCAATAACTAAAAACCGGACTAATGAGTGATGAGAGCGAAAGACGAAGGGAGTCTTTGGACAAACACGAAACGAGAAGCGAACTGTAAAAAAGTATTCTTCGTCTTCCTCTTGGTCTTTCTCGCCTTCGTACATCCTATCCAACAACGATAAATAACACAATACCAAAAAAGGCACTTGGGCAAGCGGAGGATGCATTGAAATTGGCAGAAACAGGGCAAACAAAGGCGCGCGGAAGTGTACAGACAGACAGGGAACAGAGAAACATCGAATGAAGCGACAGAACACAATCCGCATTCATGGAAAGATAGTGCAACACTGAAAAACTGAAGTTTCGGAAAGAAAGTAAAAAAAAAAGTGTTACTCTTGAGCGAGTGAAGTGGGTTCTTGTGAAAACTGAGAAGTATATGTATTCGGAAGGAAGAAAAGATCAGATGACACTTGAAGAGAACATCTTCTTGAACCTAATCTATGCTTCTGAGACAACACGAATTATAGTGAGACTACAATGAGACAAGAACGTTGCCAATTTTGTAAAGTAATGAGCACCGATTATAGAGAAACGAGAAGAGTATAACCAGTAGTCGGTCATCAACAACCTACTGGACACACACGACGTATTCAGAGAAAAGGCGTACTCGGCGGAGAAGTGGAAGGACGGCCGGACGGACGGAGAGTAGTCGTCTCGAAAACAATGGAAGAGTGGACGCACACTGAACGACTACGGGGGCTCGTTTTCTAATCGTTTCGACCGAGACTAATTTGCCTCCTCGTCTCGCTTACTCATTTAAAATTCATGGACAAACCGAACGAGAATGGAACTGGAGCGAGCGAAGCAAACCAGGACCCCATCGGTGCGGAAGCCCGCCGGGAGCACAAACAAGAGAAACACAAAAAACGGAAGAGCCATGCACAATTGTGTCCCGCTGCGCAACGTTTCTGACTCACTGCGACCTCCTCCCGAATGCTCGTGCTCGCCAGTGCTCTTTGCCGATGTTTCGCAATCATGTGGTTGACTCATCTAAGAGTCATATCCCAGGAAAAGCTCGTGAGAAGAAGATGAAGCCGATCTTCGTCATCATCGTATAAACAAAAGAGCGCCGACTGTTTTGCTGAACTGAGCCGAAGAGCAAGGGTTCAGAGAGTCGAGTGATTGGGCGGAATCAAACAAAAAAGCGTGCATGATTTGAGAATTTGGTGACAAATCAAACAAAACAGTTAAATTATAATCTGATGCTTTGGCCACCCGCCGTGCGAATGTTTATTTAAATAGCTCGAATCCAAACGAAAAACAAACGAAACGCAAAAAATTGGCAGAAAATTAATTTGAAATTTTAGAGTTCACCGTAACGTCAATATGCACACTTTCTTAATTACAGTAAGCAATTCACAAAATGTGAAAAAGGAACCGAAGTCGAGAAGCTGAGAAGTCGAAAAGAAATGAAATGAGAGAGGAGGGCGACTGGGACTCCGTTTCGGACAGATGTTCCCTCAGTGTGAGAATTGAGTGCAGAATGGGGAATGGATGTTCAAAACTGACCGGACGACGCAGCACACAATTCTGAGAGCGCACAGAGAACATTTGTGAAATTAGAGAGCGAAACGGGATGGACGACGGGTGAAGTGATTCATTGCTCCGAAACGGGTGACAGATGAGATTTAGCAGAAGATTTTACCGAATAATCTCCCTCTCTTTTCGCGGCGGGACCATTTTTGAGGGAAAACGGTGAGAGGCTAAAACAGAAATATAGGATAAGCTGATTTAAAACGACGGAAAAGTGCGAAATGACGCAAATGGAATCAGAATCAGCATAACATTACTGGAGTGTCGCCCTCGGCGCAGTTGTACACCGGAATCCAGTCGACTCTGTTTTCTCGTGCTAAGAACGCCACACTCCCCATTCTGGGCCACCAGATCTCTGCTCAGTTATTTGTTGAACTTCTCTGTCTCGGGTCAAATGCTCATCATTGTTTCCGCGCCTTCCGGTTGTTTCCGCGCGTACTCTCCGCAACCAGCTTCCGCGTGTTCCTCCTTTCCCTTTAATCTCCCGTAATCAGCCATGTCAACATGCTCACGTAACCATCCGCCCTTCCTGAAATCAATCTTTCTCCTTTTCCTTCTTCTTCTCCTTCTTCTTTTTACTTCACCTTTCCACTGTTTTCGATTTCAGAGCCATGAAGTCGCGACGTCGGGACGAGGTCGTGCAGTTCTGCCGGGAGAACACCCTGCTCGTCATGACCATGTTCTCCGTCTTCCTCGGCGTCGTCCTCGGATTCGGGCTCCGTCCCCTGAACCTCTCCCAGGAGACGTTGCAGCTCATCAACTTCCCCGGCGAGATATTTATGCAAGTACTCAAGATGATGATCCTGCCATTGATATTCTCTTCTCTGATATCGGGTAACTCATTGCTCACCGTACTTTCTAATATCTTCTGCATGTTCAGCGCTCGCTCAGATGGACGCGAAGGAATCGGGACAGATGGGCGCATCGACAGTACTCTACTACTTGTCAACTGCAACTCTTGCCACTCTCGTACGTTCCCATCAGTTCCCTGCCTTCAGTTCCGTTTTCATTTTAGCTGGGCATCTTCCTAGTGACCATAATCCATCCGGGAGATCCTTCCATCAAAGGAACCAACGTCTCGGACATGCCTGCAGAGGGGAACGTCTCTCCGCTCGACACCTTCCTCGATCTCGTCCGCAACATGTTCCCCGAAAATATAATCCAGGCGACTTTCGAGAGAATGCAAACGACTTACGTGGCAATCCGCCCGAAAATCGCATCAAAAAACGGTTCAGTTGAGAATATAATAGTGAAAAGAGACATTGCGATGACGAAGGGAATGAACATCCTCGGCATCATCGTCTTCTGCACCGGCTTCGGCATTGTCATCTCTCAGTTGGGAGAGCGCGCCCGGATAGTCGTCGACTTCTTCGTCATCCTGGACGCGGTCATCATGAGATGGGTGGTCACTCTCATGTGGTTCGCCCCGCTCGGAATCACGTGCCTCATCTGCGGAAACCTCCTCGAACTCGACGATCTCTCCGACATCGCCACCGTTCTCGCCCTGTACGTGTTCACCGTCTGTGCTGGACTGATCCTCCACACGATCATCACAGTGCCCCTCTTGTTCTTTTTCATCACTCGAGAGAACCCTCTTCCCATCTTCCGAGGTATGATTCAGGCGATTGTGACTGCATTCGGAACGGCTTCTGGGTAAGCTTGCGGAATGATTCCCATCTGATTTCGTTCATCTCTTTTTCAGAGGAGCCACTCTCCCGATGTCGATGCAATGTCTGGAAGAGCACTGCGGAATCGATCGGCGCATTTCTCGGTTCGTCCTGCCGCTGGGAAGCACCATAAACATGGACGGAAACGCGCTTTACGAAGCGGTTGCCGTCATTTTCATCGCCCAGCTGAACAATGTGCAATTGTCGCTGGCGGAGGTGCTCACCGTGAGCATTACGGCGACTGTGGCCTCCATCGGGCTAGGCTCCGTGCCCGCCGGCCTCGTGTCCATCCTCCTCATTCTGAACACCGTCGGACTGCCCATCCGCGACGTTTCCATGCTTTTCACTGTCGATTGGCTTCTGTAAGACCTTTCGAATCCCTCCCAAACCCAAACTGATCCGTTTTCAGTGACCGTGTCCGAACGGCCGTCAATGTACTCGGGGATGCTTATGCCGCTTCGGTCGTCCAACATCTCCTGCAGGTACGTCCACGCCCTTCCCTTCCCAATACTTTTCCGTTTTTTTGCAGAAGAAATTGGACAAAGCGGACGCCCGTCACGACTACAAATCCGAGATCAAGGGGGAAATCGAACTGCTCAAGTCGGCGGCCACCAGCAGAAGGCCTTCGTTCACTCTGTCCGAGGCCTCCAAAGAGCTGTTCCTGAACCACGCGAACACTGCCGGAAACTCCCAGATCGGGTCTCGCATCGGATCGTGCCGCGCCTCTGCCACCAATTTGCACCTTTCCTGGCGAAGCAACCCACTCGAGCCTCCTTATACTGCGCTGCCCAACGATGAGAACGTGTAGTAGCTAATCTGCCACTCATTTTTTTATCATCTTTGTCTCTCTTCATTCCAAAACAGATAACGGTTATTCTCTCCTCTTTCATGCGAGAACCCATTGATTGTTTTGTACATATCACTTGCCTTCCGAGTTATTCATACAAAATTTAATAATTTATGTTCAGAAAAGAGTACCTGGACGCGAAAAATGGGACATTAAAATACTTGCACTGTAACGGGGAAACTTAGAGAACATAAAAGAAACATGGAAAATTCAATGGTCGCTGCCTCTCTACTACTGTGAATTTGGAACGATTTCTAGAGATGAGAGCAGATCTAGTTGGATGGGTCGAACTCGAGTCCAAGTCCGAACTTGTGGGCGTCCTGGGTGGCGAGGTTGAATTGAGTGGAAAGAGTGAGCTTGAGAGCTGGCGACAGCGAATGGGTGGCAGCGACGGCGACCTGAGACGAGCTGTTGACCTTGGCGCGGACGGCGAGATCGCGGCTTGGCGAGTACTTGGTGGCCAGAGCGTAGTCAGCTCCGTTTCCTCCAACCTAAACAACACATTTTTGATTCGCTCACAAACACTGCATTTTTACCTTCCATCCGAGTTGAGTTCCGATTTCAACGTTGGAAGCGACCTTGTGGTAGAGAGAAGCTCCGAAGTCGCTGGAGTTGACAACGAACGAGTGGAGGGTGTACTGTGGGGTGGAGTGTCCGAAGGCCAGGGAGGTAGAGGCCAGCTTGTTCGATCCGGAATCGAAGGTGGCGGCAGCTCCGATGAGCCATCCGTCGCGGGCGAAAACTCCGGCGGCGTTGATCACTGGAGTGGAGGTGACTCCGACATCAGCGGTGATCTAAAAGCATTTACAACCTCATTGAGAAATTTGGAATCTCAGTCGAAAAACCATTCCGTGCGACAATCACGGTGTTATTAATAAAAGCAAACCCTAGTTGAATCTAGTTTCCAATCAAGTTTGAAACGAGCACTGCCATACTTTTCGCCCGCAATGTGTAGTAGACTACTCACTCTGGCGGTCGGGAGAGTCCAGTCGAGCTTCACTTTTCCGCTTCTCTTCCCGGCGTGTGGGGCGTAGAGCGAGTCGAGGGTGACCTTGACTCCTCGTCCGAACTGCTCGTTGATCTCAACAACAGTTCCGAGTTGGTTCTCACTGTTCCATTTCTCGGTCAAGGTGATTCCTGAAATTGCATCAGTTAGTTAACTTTTCCTCCCTTGCACTATATCATCATGTCTTATTTGAGATCAGCGGCCGCGAGTGACGGCACGTGGCTAGCAGGGAAACACAATTGCATCACCCGACAAGAGGCTGCCCCACGTTTGTTGGGTGAGCGATAAGAATCAAAAACTGATGATCGACTCATGAGTCAAATTCCTTACCGTATTGTGGGACCTTGTACTTGACGTCGAGGTTTCCTCCGAGCTTTCCGGATCCAATGTTGTGGACGGCGGCCGTCTTGAACTCAACCTCCTTGTTATCTCCAGCCTTGGTGGTGGAGTCGACCTTGAGGAATCCAAAGTCTGTAAAAAAATTGAAATTGTCAGGAAAAAATACGATTTAAAACTCACTGTATCCCTTGTTGAAGAGGTCCTTGGCGGACTTTCCAAGATCAGCGAAGGTTGGTGGGGCCATTATCTGAACCCAGAAAATTTACGTAGAGTCATCGAAAAATAAGTTTTAAAAAAAAGAAAAACAAGGTCGTTCGAGTCACATGGAACTGATTTTGAGAGGAAAGGATTCAGATGAGGGTGAGCGCTGGCGAATAGAAAAATGTTTGTGTGGACAACAGGATTTCCGGGGAAAAGAGAAGAGCGGGAGAGAAGAGATAAACCAGCTCCACATCTGCTGCCAACAGAAAAAGGTCCAAGTTGACATTTCAGAATAATTATGCGCTTATCAGATCATTCTGAAGCAGAGAGAAAAAAGGTGCTAAAAGGGACAAGACAGTCGGAGGCGAAGAAAACATCGGCAAGGAAAGAAGAGTGCACGAATCACGCCACAAAACAGCGAGGAAACTGCGTTGTAAGGTTCAAAATGCGAGCAGATCGGCCGCGGCAACCGCCCGTCACGGAGAGACTGCGCCAAATGAAGAGACAGCGACACTGGCGACTGCGACGCGACCGCCCCGCCCATAAAAGCATTCGAGATGCTTTTAGCGGGCTTTCAAAATTGAGCGCTCTTTTCTTCAAACACAAAGAAGCACAGAGTTGTACATCTAGGTTACACAAAATTTGTTTAAAAAAACGATTCACAAAAAATATAAATTTTTCCACGTCATAATTACTCTATTAATTTTGAAGTAAAAAAAAAATACGCATCTGCACATGATTTTAAAAATTTAAGCTGAGAAACCTTACTGTAACGGGTATAGCACAGAAAAATTGGAAACCACGAGAACGGGGGCACAAAAACCGGAAATTGGGAAACGTTTCCGCGTCGACAGATTTGGCACCCTCGGCCTTTTCCATTCGTTTACATTCACCCCACACAATGTATCGCTCCGAGATTTCGAAGCCTCATTTGGAGAATCCGAATCTGATCGACAGAATCATCGTTATTATTCTGCCAAACTATTTCTACGAGTACGAGACTGTTCTACAGCATTTGATCAAGGAAAACTTTGGAATCATCGAGGTGAGTGAAGAGATTCCGGAGAGAAACGGAGGGAATGATGCATCCGTCAGAAAGAGGTGAAACATTTCAAAAAAGAGGAGGTGATCGAGTGGAAGAGTGCCGATCTGGAGTCCCAGGACGTCTGGGGACTTTCCGAGAGGCTCACCGACGGTCCGTGCATGCTCCTGCTCTGTCAGAGAGCCAACGCATTCTTGGAAATGAGGGAATTGGCGAGATATCACAATGCCATTGCACTGAGGTAAATATTCAGTCGTTGAGCTATTTTCGATAAGATATGTGCATCAGAATGAGCTCGAATGACGGACTTTACTTCTCCAAAACTACCGTCGCTGCATATCACGACATTCTTTTCTTCTTTACGAAATGTGAGCAATGAGATCCCAAATAAGTTCCAGAAACGTCTTCCAGATATTGACGAGAAGACCGTTCTCAAACATGCAAAAGATTATCTTTCTGTGGAAGTGTGGCCGAAACTGAGCGAAGGATTGGCTCGTGTGGCCGTAGAGCGCCCAGATAATCCGATTGTCAGTTTCGTCCCTTTTCCAAACGTATATGCATTCCAAGCTTTTTCAGAAATGGCTAGCCGATTATCTTCTAAAAATCCGTCAATAAAAACAGATTCTTTTAGAAAAAAAGTAATGGAAACTGATAAAATATGCAAAGGATTCAATAAAAGAAACTATGCAGAAAGGGCAGTTATTACATGTAATCAGATAACACACTGGACGGAGGGTAAGAAAAGGGCGAAAGAGTAGGACAGCAGCTCTACGTATTAGTACTCGTCTACTATTGCAATTCTGACGAATAGGGAAGCGGAAGGGTCGAGAGTGTGCTGATAGCCGGTGTTCAGCTGAATCTGCGAGAATCCGGTCCTCAGACTCATCACTGGAATCGAGAATTCTCCGACAAAGTCATTCGAAGACGTCGAGTCAAAATCCTGAAAGGGAAAATGAATTACAGGAATATTAGGAACTAGGTTGCCTTGACACAAAAACGGATGATGGCCAGCTCGGGACAGCAGAGTGGGAAGTAGAAGTTGTCCCTCCATTCGGGGTTGAATCCGTTGTCCTTGATTATTTTCGTCTTTGCCTTCGTTTCGTCTTTCGGAATACCAAAGATCTGCACACTAACGTATGGATCGATAATCTCCTTTCCGGGCTCGGACTTCGGAAGATATTGTGCTGAGAAAAGACCGATTCCGAGCGTCATTTTAGGCTTCACCATGGATCTCGGATCGATTCCATCGAGCAAACACTGCGGTTTCAGAACGTATCCGCAGTTTCCATTCACTCGGAACAGTCCCGCATTTAGATCAAGTTCCTCTCCGGCTGTTTGGAAGTTCATAGCGACACTCTGGATTCCGCAGAGCCAAGACACGATCGGATGCATGTTGGAAGAGTCTTGACGCAGTCCTTTCGGGTAGCTTTTCACGAGACGTTCAGAAGAGTAATGGAAGATCGGAACGGCCGCTTCGAAGAGCGTGTACACTTTGTTCTCAGAAAGGGAAGGACTTCCGTCCATTGGATCTGAATAGAAATAAATATTTTCAAAGTGATAATAGAATTCCTTACGTTTGTTCACATCCTGATAGATGTTGCTGCTCAACTTGACAGACGGAAGAGCGATCAGGGCGGAAAGCTCCGGAGCCAACGGATGCGGATGATGATGTTTCTCCTTCTCGGTCGGCGAGTCCTCGTCATCCTGCTCTTCTTCCTCTTCTTCCAAAAGGATCTTCTTTCCTCGAAGAAGGAACTTTCTCTTGAGTTGGTTCGGGGAGGGAAGGGGATGCCTGTGCGAGTCTTTCGGAGGGTGGTACAGACTGTCTCCGAGGATCTCCTTGAACAGCTCAGCCATCACAATTTGCTGCGCGTGTCCAACGTGGTTTTCAAGTGTCAAGATGACCGGATACGGAGATGTTTCGAAGGCAGTTCTCTGGAAAAGAGCGACGGTTGTTTGTTTTGAATGAATGACACACTTTAATTGCTTCCAGGGAATTTCTCAATGTAATTGATTCGATGAATGTTCTCTTGTGAGTAATGACCGGTTCACCGCCATCTCCATCAAACAAGTCCACTGAAAATCCACATATTTTACCGTAAAAAGGGTTGTGACTCACACTCAAGAAGTCTTCCTCCCTTACGCAACGCAGCGATGTATCCTTCAACAGTGGCTTCTCCTTTAACTTGCAATCCAGTCAAATACGTGTTATGTGATGAATTGATGAAATAATGAGTGAGGGGCTGATCCATATCGTGGAAGATGCTCTCGTGCCCTGGTTTGAAGACGTTTCCCCACCGTGACTGCATCAGCCGGCGCATTCCCATCAGTCCCATTAGTTTTTCTTTTTGTTTATCCTGTACCGTTTGCTCGAAGGTGTCAAGTATTTGCTCAGCTTTCTTCAAATCCACGTTTTCGAACTGAAATTGCTCAGTTCTAGAAAAGAAAAAAGATAGAAGCACTCACTCCTTGTTCTTCGGTCAAAAACCGTTGCAAATCCGCGACGGTCAGAGTCTCGACATTGTCAGAACTGGCTTGAGACATCACAAATCGGAGATCCGGACGGTCAGTGAGACGTTCGAAGAAGTTGAGGAATTCCTTCTCGTTTAGTTTGTTATCTCTCGAATCTTCCAGTTCTGCATCCTGAAATCGTCAAGCGTTTTCTTGCTTTGTATGCTTTGGGAGACTAACTCTAAAGATTGCTCTCGCGTATCTTTCACTAATTTGCAAGTTCATTCTTTTCAAAAGATTCCATACTTCATCAAATGAGAGAAGACCTGAAAGTTTGCGTGTTTCGTTTAGTTCCGCATGCCGATTGTACCGTTTTTGTTGGTATCCGCCTGCTGAAACTTGTCGATCAACCAGGCAGTCTCGTTGAAAACGACTCGTTGGTGTTTGGCGACTGATATGAGATGAGTCAGAACCGAAACCCATTTGTCGCGAGTCTGAACTATTGTAAGTCTCACAAAACATCGGAAAATTGTACATACAGTACAAACATCAGCTGGAAAACAGTCACTAACCTCTTCGGAATCGGCAGCAAAATCGACAGATTTGTGGAGAAACTTCGCGTGCGAGAAGATCACCGAGAAGCATCTCGACTCGGGAGCGAGCTCTTGAAATTCGTATTTTTTCGATGCTCTTTGCAGATTATCCGTCTGATATCCGGATCGCACTTCCAGCAACTCCGACAGGGCAACTGATTTCAATGCGTTCGGAACAAAACTCAACCAGTAGCTCGAATAATAGTTCAGGAATCGTTTGCTTTTGATTGTTACCAGGCTCATTTCTTTCACTTTTTGACTGTAATGTTCATATTTTTAATTGATTCAATAAGTTGAACAGTCACAAACTTTTTGATTCTAGCAAGAAGAGATCCTTTTTCCGCCCATTCCAGCTCGACCCTCGTCTTCTCCTCATCAGCCGCCTGAGCCGCAGCCTGTTGTCCGGGCGAAGCGTTCTTGGCCATCTGCCCCTGAAGATGTTCAAAATATCAGTGATAGAAATGCGAGGTTTGATAAGAGGAAGCAGGAGACTAGAAGACAACAAAAAGTAATTTGGGGAGCGGGCGGGTCAATCGGCCGAAGGGAATGCGGGCGTGCCGACTTGAAAAGGGCCTTTTTCTCTGCCGTCTCGCCGTTGTTTACAGTATCGATCGGTCTCCAGTTCAGTTCAATAACAGATCACTCCTTTTTTCATCTGATTCAATGTGAATCTCAATGTTTGTTTTCGGAAAAATTCCCAGAAACCAGTGCCAACGATGCTCCGGAATGTCATCTCTCCTTGTTTATCGTAAATACACACCAAAGGGAGGGAATTTGAAAAATGCAACTTTTGCGTGGAGGAAGAGCAAGACCTGGACATGTGCTCGCCGATTACTCAAAGTTCTAGCTAATTGGTCATACAGGCAGGAGAACGGAAGCAATCCGCCGATTTCCCCACCTACGCGGTGTGCTTTGGTGGCAGCTAAATCACCAACTTCCGCCCATTTTCGGAAGTCATTTTTAGATGGAACTTTGAATGTTTCACTTTTTCTCAAGCACCTTAGTTTATAATGAGCACCTTTGGAGCAACGAAGACGATGAGTTGAAAACAAAACGTGTCGAAGGGGAGAGAGTGTGGCGGAAGCGGAGAGTGCGAGACAACTGCCGCTTCTTCTGCTCCTGCGTCGGGGCCCCGCCCACTTTTCGTGCTCGTTGCTCGAGAAGCTGGCGAAGAAGAAGAAGAAGACCGTCGTTGATTCGGAGAAGCAGAAAAACACAAGTCATCTGAAGCAGAAGAATCTGAAGTCGACGATTCGCGAATGGTCGGCGGCTTCCGCATAGGCATGCACTTCCTGGCCTCAGCGCTCAGGTTTCTTGAACCAAGGTAAGAGTTATGTAAATTATTAGTTAGTTCATTTCCTCTGAAAGTAAGGCATAGTTACCAGCTCAGAAGTGAAATTAAGTAGAGACATCCTAAATCTGGAACCTGCATCCATACTACTATACAAAAATGTTTACTCCTCTAAAGTGTATGCATTGCACTTATTTTGAACGATATCAAAACAATTCTCTAGTACTCGTCTCGCCGAGTGTTCCTGAAATGGAATGACGAGCCGAATCTTTCGTAACATCCTCCTTCTCACTTCATTTTCTCCGGCTTCTTCTTCCATGTGTCAATTCTAAACAAAAGTGTTGCCGAAAGGAAGAGGCAAGACAATTTTGGTCATAAAATAAACGAAAAGGATTTGTTGCAAAGCCGCAACTTGATGGGTCGCTGCTCCCCTCTTCTTCTTCCCTTCGAGACCCTCATTCTTCTCTTTTATTACCTTGTTCTTGTCCCTCTCTCGGTCTCTCACCATTCGATTCGGCCATTATAATCGGTCGGAACAGCTGAGAAAGAGCAGCGACTCTCCGGTTCTTCCCATCGTTTTGTGCTTGATGATAGTGCTCTTTCTCTTCGAAATGTAATCACATGTAATGTGTATATCTGTGTGACGGGTCCCCCACTCTCCGGGCAAAAAAGACAGGTGTTTCTGGGAGAGGCAGAGGGACGCCGCAGATATATTCGACGGCTCGTATCGCCGCGATATTTCATCGCTGATCGACTTGCTCTTTTTGTTATCTTCAAGGAGGAGGAGTAGAGAAAGAGAGCGCGGATATCGCAACGATTGAAAATAAGTGTACTTGGAGGAACATGTGGAACGGGTGAAACGAAAAATTTCGACTTGGCTGTGTACTAATAAATGTGTCAGAGAATGGGCGCCACGAAAAGCATTTTTGATAATGGGTTGCGAATCGAAACGAGAATAGAATGAGTAACCAATCGAATCAGACACCTCGATCTTTGGGGGGCGCACGTCATGATAACTCGATAAGATAGCTTCTAACCGAATTTAGTACGTTCTCTTGTTGTCGCCAAGCCATTCGTTTCAGAGTTGACGATGACTTCGTGGACCGTCTCCACTACCTGTACACCTCCACAATGGTCCTCATGTTTGCTGTGCTGGTGTCGGCGAAGCAGTACGGTGAGTGAACAACATGATGTGTGGGCAAATGATTCCCACACCGGTGAACCCGATACTTGTTTTGTTCGAAAATAGCAACAACTCCTTATTCTTCTTCGATTACGAATACATTTTCGTCGGCACTCATCAATGCCCTTCCCATCTTCTGATTACCTTAGTTTCCTGCCCAATTGGCATCGTTGATTCCTTCTCTCAAATATTTCCTTCTCCTACTTTTTTTACTTTTAGTCGTCAAAAAGTCAAGGTGATGAAGTGAGTGAACGTGATTTATTCATCACTTTTCGGCATGATTTTGCGTGTTGCGGCGGCAAAGAAATTTGAAAAATATAACGAGAAAAGATTGTTCATGCTCTGATGAAGTAGAAGACGTCGTGTGGGTAATCAGGCGGAGAAAGGCGCTGATAAGGACATTGTGAACGTGATGAGAGCAAAAGAGGGTGCAGAAGGGGATTGTTGTGCACCCTCTGGTACACACAAAAACTCTTCTTGCTTTCCCTACCGGCGCTACAACGAAGTAGAACTCGCACGGAATGGAACTGTTACGATTTGGAACTCGCAGTTGCATTTTAACGTTGCGAGTTCCAAATCGTAACTGTTCCATTCCGTGCTTTGTTGTAGCACCTTCTCTCCTCCTCTGCGCACACACTCTCTCGGTGCCGCAAACACCGAACTTTACGGCTTTTTCTCATGCTTGCTTTCCACGACTTTCCACCTCATCGGGGCCGATAACCCTCAATGCTTTTACTTTTTCATACCGAAACTTTTTGAATCTGTCTCATAAATCTCGTCCAACTGCCGTCTACTGAAAAACGACCTTTCTCGCTGATATCTTTCGATCTCGACTTCCGCCCGCTTCTCCTCCTCCTCCATCTCCTCCGCCAATTTCCGTCAACGCCGGGACCAATAATTATTTACTGGGCTTTCCAACTTTCTTTTCTCTAATTCAACACCATCCACAATTGTTTTTTTTCCCAAGTGGCAATTCCAAACAAACTTATTTAATCGGGTGTTTTTGTAGTAGGCCATCCGATAGAATGCTTCGTTCCGGCACAGTTCACGAGAGCGATGGAGCAGTACACGGAGAATTACTGCTGGGTGCAGAACACGTATTGGGTGCCGTTCCAGGTGAGAAACTAAAAGGGACTGCGGTGAGGTAATGGGCTTGCAGGACCTGATTCCGCATCGTCTCGATGACAGGGAACGTCGGCAGATCGGATATTATCAATGGGTTCCGTTCGTGCTCGCAATCGCCGCCCTCACTTTTCATATTCCCTCTTCTGTGTGGAGAATGCTCGCAGGACAGAGTGGTCAGTCTCTATCGCTTCGTCTGTTTTTCACAGTTTCAAGTCTTCCAGGTCTCAACGCGGGACTCGTTCTCCAGTTGGTTTGTGGAGAACAGAACGTGGATCCCATTGTGCGAGACAAGACCGTCGACATCGTTGCGCGGCACATTGACGACGCTCTCATGTATCAGAGAGAGCACGGCGCCCGGAGGAACAGCGTCTACATCTTCGCCGTTGTCAAACTCGGAAAGTTCTATGGAGCATACGTTTCCTCCGTCTACATATTCATCAAAGCGCTTCATCTGTGCAACGTCGTTCTGCAATTCATGCTCCTGAATTCGTTCCTGCAGACTTCAGATTACCCAATGTTCGGAGCCCATGTGCTCTATGATTTATTCATGGGAAGAGAGTGGAGAGATTCGGGAAAGTTCCCTAGAGTGACGCTGTGTGATTTTGAGATCAGAGTTCTTGGAAATGTGCACAGACATACTGTGCAGTGCGTGCTCGTTATCAACATGCTCACCGAGAAGATATTCATCTTCCTCTGGCTCTGGCTCACTGTCCTCGCCATCGTGACTGCGTTAAATCTGATCTTCTGGTTCATCGCCTTGGTATCCAACACTTGTCGGGAGAGCTTTGTCTCGAAGCATCTGGACATTCAGTCCGATCAGATCAGCCGGTTCGTCCATCGTTTTCTTCGCGCCGACGGCGTGTTTCTTCTTCAAATGATTGCTTCGCATTCTGGAAATCTAATGGCAGCGAAAGTGAGTTTCCAATAAGATATTCATATTTGAAACTACCTTTTTTTAGGTAACCGAACAGTTGTGGATGATATTCGTTCGGAGAAGTGGAAAGCCAGTGTGCGACGACAAAATAGAAGGGGGATCGGAGCGGAGCGGGAACGGAAATGACTGGGAATCGGTGGGAGAAGTGTCGGTCGTTGACTGTTGATCATTCCGTTCAATTTCAGCACGACGACGGCAAGACGTCTCTGAAACGCGGCGATTCGTGGCACGAGACTTCGCTTCCTCCGCCGATGCCCAGTGTCCCCACTAGGACACACTACGTCTGAGCCGTTCCTCCGATGATCTTCCTCTTTCGGGTATCCGATCTCTTTCCTAACCTTCCTGATTCTTCCCAACTGTATGCACAAATGAGTCACCTTCCGATAGTATGTCTTTCGTTTTTTCTACTAATAAACATCTTTTATGACTTGGCACAATACGTGGCGCCGCGACGTCATGGAACACTTGAGAAACCACAAGTGTTTTGAGAGTTCAGACATCAGAAAAATAATGTTGCAGACTGTAGAAGAAAGAAAAAGACAATTTTAGCTCAATTCCCGATCGGAACTTGCAATGGGACTAACTGAAAGTGCAGGAGCTAAAAGAGATCGAGTGGATCCTTCCTCCGAGGATAGGCGGATTCCTGGCGACACTCCATTGATCTGCAAAAGTGTTTACAGTCGTCAAGAAGTGCTCGAGATGAACGATCGCAAAGTTCAATTCTATTTACGTTGTCGTCATCTTCAGAATCACACGGAGAGCGGGAGAGATCACACCCGTCTCCTCATCAGAAATCAGTCCGGCCCTACAGAAAAAAAAGCACACATTGCGTGACAGCAAATGATCAGAAAACGTTCATTCGTTGTCAGAAAAGGTTAGTGAAACTGATCTAAAAGTGTCTGAAATTCCAAGCGTGTCGGTTTGCAGCAGTGACCATCATCTGCGCGTTTTCTCTGTTACACTCCCGGCTTCCTCTGCAGTCTCGCCTGTCGTCCCTTCTGATAGTTAGCATAGTAAGCAGATAGTTTTTCGTTGATAACGCAGACGATTATCATAATAGGCGCCATGGTGGCAATGTTTGATGAAGGTCAGCTGGGAACAATGCGCCTGTCAGGCGGTAATCTAACTCGATGGGCGGCGCCGACGAGGTGACCAGCACTTTCGACACATCGTGCCGCCTTCAGAAGAAGAAGAGCGGGTCTTCAGTCTCGATTTCGGTCGAGGAGTCCACTTGAATAGGAATATTCTCACTCCGTATGCAACGATTTTACCTTCTAGCTACGGTGAGTTTGGAGACGTACAGACACCTTCACGACACATTCTCACTTCCACTGCAAGCATTCACACAACTTGAATGAGCACTTTCTGGAGCCGTTCCGATGTCTGTCCTTCCAATTCGATGTGTCCCCGTCATCTCTGATCACGTCAGAAGAAGTGACCAGTCGAGTGTTTCAACCCCCTCGTCAATTTCTTCTGGCACTAGTAGTAGACGCCTACTGAAACCCGCTCTTCTCTCGTCGCTCCTTCCTCAAATGATGAATGATACCTGCTGAAAGCATTCAATCACTGATAATTTGCGTTTCGAAGGGAATCGAGCGAACGAAACGAGTCGTCGTTCCCGCCGTCGTCGTCGTCGTCGTCGCCACTACTGCTGTTTTTGTTGTGTCACTTACACTCGGCGGCCCCACCCTTCACAGCAGGAAGAGGAGGTCCTTTTCCTTCCCATTTTTCCAACATTTTCACTTGACACCTTTCCCGTCTCATCATGCTATGGCTACAGGTATTCCCTCTCACATCCCTCATCTCTTTTCTCTTTTTCCCACCCGTTTCCTTTTCAGGTTGGTGCTCTTGTAGCACTGGCAGTTGTTGTCCATGCGCAGACAACTCCCTTGTTCCCGGTGGCCTGTGAACTCAATGTGCTCATTGTGCTCGACCGATCCGACTCCGTGAAAGGAGGCTTCAATAAGAGTAGAAAGTTTGTGACGGACGTCTCCGAAGAGCTACAAATCGGTCCCGAGAAGCACAGAGTGGCGATGATCGTCTACTCGGGACTCAGCTACCGACGAGAAGTGCTCCCGTGGAACTTTGCCAAAACGAACGAAGAGTTTGTCGCCAAAACGAACGCATTGAGAGCCATTGGAGGAACTACAAACACCAAAAAGGTGAGTGAAGTTCCACATTACAACGTGCTGGATCATCACACATTTACACTTTATTTTGGTCTTGATAGTAGATCGAAATACCCCGTGATTTATGTGTTTTTACGGTCATTCGACCGAAATTCCAAGTCCTAGACAGTCTTTTTTGTTGATTTTTACGGGGTCAAAGGTGATTGTGTTGCCAGGCACTGGAAGTCGGTCTAGAGTTGATGGCCCAAAGAAACGTGTCCATTCCGACGCTTGTGATGGTTGTGACGGACGGAAGATCGGCCGATGATCCGAAGGGACCAGCACAGGCTCTGCAGCAACAGGCAAACACGTGGGTGTTCGCGGCAGCCACTGGAGATCCGGAGAAGGTTGACACGTAAGCAAAAGACACGTGGAGGGGACTGCATCAGATGGCATTGCAGGAGAGAACTGATGGATATCACTGGAAACATCAACCACATTGTGATGCACAGAGGCAGAGTTCTCGCCACGGACATTACGAGAAGGCTCCTGAGGGAGGCACAGGACAAGTGCAGAACAACTACCACCACCACAACGACAACGACTACGACTACCACAACTACCACTACCACTACGGACCCGATTACAGGTGCCCTTAAGTGTCTCTTCTGTTCTGAAACTAACATGTTTCAGGATGCGAACTTGACCTTGTTCTGGTTCTTGACTTCTCCACAACCACAGATCCTGTATATAATTCCTACAAAGATTTGAGTAAACGACTGGTCTCCCAACTGAAAATAGGACCCCATCATACCCAGGTATTTATATACATCTATTCCACTCCCTATCGTTGTTCAGGTCGCTGCTGTCACTTTTGCCACAGTCGGCCGTACTCGAGTCAGATTCAATCTGAAAAAGTATCAGACTCAAGAAGACGTTCTCCGAGGCATCGACAATCTGAAGTCGAAAGGAGGAACCACTGCCATCGGTAGGAAATCGGGAAAAAACTCGTCTTCCAAAATATATTTAGGTGCTGGAATTGAGAAAGCGCTGACCCAGTTGGATGAATCAGAAGGAGCTCGTCCCGGAATCGCTACGAAAGTGATGGTTGTGTTCACGGACGGATGGAGCAACAAGGGACCGGATCCGGAGAAGCGGGCCAAGGACGCGCTGAATGCGGGCTTCGAGATGTACACGGTCGCCTACACGGTACGTGATGGGATGACCTCCAACTAGCCGCTTCCTGTCACTTCCCCATATCAATTTAGGTTTGATTCAAACGTGTTTCGATTGCTATTCAAGCAGTAATAGTAACAGTGTTAGTTTCCCCTCTATCACATGTCATGTTAGCGGAAAGGGAGGCATGTGACCGTTGAGTAGCCGCGTCTCGGCCGGGAGGGGGGGGGGCAGACTGAGAGCGCATTGTGAGTGAGCGAGAGACTCTCTCGTATGTGTATGTACTGAGGAGCGTAAATATTGTCCGGTCCTCTGGTGTAGTGGTTATCACGTCTGCTTCACACGCAGAAGGTCGCCGGTTCGAACCCGGCGAGGACCTAGTTTTGGGCTTTAATTTTATGGTTGAATTTCAGGCGAAGACTCCAGGAGCAGTGACCCTGAACAATGAGACGCTGTCGGCAATCTCCGGTGACTCTGCCCACACATTCACGGACGTGACATTCCAAAGGCTTGTCGACAAAATCAAGCAAAGAAATCTGCCATGTATGCCATAATCATAATCCTTTTAGTTATGTTTTTGTTACTTTGTAAATATGTAACTAACATTGTACACTTTTTCTTCTTCCATCAATGGTTTGAAAGGGGCACACTCTCAACTCAGGATTTCGCATGATACTGTAATCTCTTTCGAAACTCAAATAAATGTGATATTGTCTGCCACGTCATAAAGTGCGTACGTGTGTAGTGTGATCCAGAAAGACGAGCAGTTGACAAGAGAGAACCGGGTCTCTGCGCCGTCTGCGTCTCCCCGCGCCATTCGAACGGTACTGATTGCAGTGTTTCCTTGGTCTCACGATCTCTTCTTGCCATCGATTATTATGAGAACACAGAAGGCGACGACCTTCAGACATTCCAGACACTTTTCCGGTTTGATCTCTCCCCGCGTGGGAGGATACCGAAATAGTAACGATCCTCGGATGCTTCTCCATACCTTCGTCTCCCCGCTCTCCTGTCGCTGCTGCTAATCCGATCCACCCATTCTCTCCCTCTCTCTACTCTTCCTAATCATCTCCTTTTTTCTAAACGTTGTCTGTCCCTCTTTCTCTCTGAACTTTGTACCCTTGCTGTCTGGCGCCAAAAACGTGCCCTTTGGCGCGCATGCGCAATTGCTCAACGCCCCTCCCTCCGTGTCCCACTTTGGGAACGCATATTCTGACTCTTCCGTCTACCAGTCGTCTACCACAAAAAAGCAACATTTCTCCTATAAAGGCAATAATATAAGTGTGGCTAATTGAAAGGGCTCTCATCGTTGTTGTCCCATGTTTTCTAGTTGAACTCTCGGGCCGGTTCGGGGTTAGTCACCGACAAACAGATCACCGACAAATCGAGTCAATTGATCATTCCCCCGGAGAGCGGCAGACTACGGTTTTCATGGCTACGTTTGTTTGGCTTCCCTCGCTCGCTAACGGTCTTTTTTGTTTTGAATTGTACTAGTTTCCCCTCGGACTGTCCTCCGAACATCTGTGCTCTTTTGGTTCCATGAAAGTGGGATTGTTTACACAAGAAGTGTCGCCGATTCTTCACATCATCTCTGGCGATCCAACCTTGGAATGATTGCGTATCGGATGCGCCGACACTTCTTCGTAGTCTACACTGCCATGTCTTTTCCAATTAACACAACGAACTTCTGACCGCTTTCCAATTTACTTCTTGCATTCTGTTCCTCCTCTGTAATTCCAGTTCAGGAACGTATTATTATTGTGTGATTATTGAACTTTTTGAGATGAACGAAAAGAGAGAGAGAGAGAGAGAGAGAAATTGTTGCATTTTTTTACGTTGTCCTCTTCTCGTTCGTCTTCCTCCAGAATGACGTTTATTCTGATCCCCTTTTCCTTTCAGCGAAGCCGGCGTTTCCATCTGAATTCGTTCCCCCCATTCGTTCTCTCGTCTAGAAACGCAATCGCATTCAGTCCTGCTGCCCCCGCTCCTCCCCGCCCTCTACTGCACTTTCCAAGAATCATAAACAACGAAAAAAAAGAACGGATAGAGGAGAAGTGATGGGGAGACGTCTGTTGGCCCGAACCCAATCACAAACAAGTGCCCTTTGCAACAAAAAACGGGGCAAAAGTGCAGGACGGTGTCATTCAGACGGCAGCAACCGAGACTGACAGTTAGTCAGCGCCCCGGTCGCGTCCGTCTGCGTCCTCTCCTCTTCCCCTTCGCCCTTCTTCCTTCGCCACTTTTTCGATATCATTTGTTCGGCCGTCTTTTCCCGTCTCCTTCCTCCTCCCGCAACATCATTCGCGACATCTGTTTTCGATTTCTCACACTTGATGATCACTCTATGATTTCTTCGGTTCAGAAAGTGGAGACGATGGAAGTGGAGAGCAAGCAGAAAGTGCTCGCAATGATGAGGATGAACGGTGCGGGACAGGTGAGTTACGCCGTAAACGGATTCTGCGTCAGTCTGAGTCAGACAGACGCTACAACTCTATTGTAGACTTACAATTTCTGATGTTCTGTTTCGGATTGTGTGTGTAGCAAGAACTATAAATGACACACCTTGAAAATTGAAACAAACAGCTGATAATAGTACATTCGATTGTCAGAACCTTGAACAAACAAATCCGAGACGTTCTCTGATCATTGTTCCAGCTCACCGGCTACTCCTTCGACACCCCGTCAACGTCTTCCAATTCTTACATGAAACCGTCTCCACCGTCCTCTTCTTCTCCTTCTGCGACTGAAAAGAAAGAGTGTGCCGTGTGCAAGAACCCGAATTCGAGTGGATATCACTTCGGATGCATCGCCTGCGCCGCCTGCTCCGCCTTCTTCCGTCGCACCGTCGTCCTTTCCCGCAAGTATTACTGTAGACGTGACCCCATCGGCAATTCGTTGTGTCCATTGGACAGAAGTGAGTTTTCCTCGGGTTACTGTAGCTTCACTTCTCTCGTCCAATCCAATTTCGTGTTTGGCGTTCCGGCAAAGTGCACAATGTACGTGTTGCGATTCCTATTTTCAGTTTCCAATATATTCCCATTCTCTTTTCCACCCTCCTCTCGTTTCCATTCAACATCCAATTTCAATAGAACGCCTACAGTATCCATTCGGTTCTTTCCTATTTTCTCCCGAGACCAGACTGTTGCCAATTTGCCAGACAGAGAATGATAACAAAAAGAGAAAGTGGCTTATCATTTCGCGTGTGCGTACTCGGAATACCATGATCTGTCTGCTCTTTTTCAGGACACCGCTCGAACTGCCGAGCGTGTCGATACGTGCGATGCATCGATATGGGAATGAATCCGAGCAGTGAGCACGCCTTCTCTCACTCAATCTTCACGAAGACAGACTTTTCAGGCGTACAGAATCTGCGCGACTCCATAAAACCACGGTCTCCGGGCGAAATGATCGAGGAGGAAGAGGAGCGGAAGGAGAAAATGGACGACATTCTATTCTCGGCGGCCACTCCTGGCAGCTGGATTTCCAGCACGAGCACAAGTACGGAAACCCTTCCAGTTGCTCCGAAAGGTACCCCTCCGCTTCGTTTCGGTTCTTTCCTTTCGATCCTCTCCCGCCTGTCTCACTTCGTTCCATTCTGTTTGCTTTCCAGAAATCCCCGGCGAAAACTACATTGAAATCCTACTGGCGCTCTACAAAAACTCTGTGGACCGTCGGCGCATGTTCTACAGCAACGGGAGCCTGCGAGAAATGCTCGGGGGCTCTGGCTTAGTAATAATAGTACTAACAGTCGTTCACTTCATCAGCTAGCCTTCCTTTCAGAAGATGAGACCGACGCGGTTCGACGAGCGATACTACAAAGAGAGGATGCGATTCGAGTTGGTGCTCTACGTGGAGATGATGAACACGATGAGCATCTTCCGGCAGATGGATCTCGACACGAAAGAGTGCCTCGTCAGGGGCTGTGCCGTGCATTTGGCCATGCTTGAGAAGTACTTCATTTCCGTGAAATACGATGGATTGAAATCGCAAAAGTATTCGGAGCACCATCTGATTCCCTCCTAGTCCCTCAGTTTCAGACTTATAGCCCCCGATGGCTCATTCACCGACCTCGGGGACCACGGAGCACAGTTCGACGACGACGGATTCGATGAGAAGTTGATGGACAAGGACACTTGTTTGAAACTGCTCTATGACCCTTTGAAAGTTGTACTCAATGACTTTGGCGCGGCTTTGGAGCACTCTAAAATGACAGACGCTGAATTCTGTGCCCTGTTTGCAATCATGTTGTTTAACCCAGGTTTGTGCCCAGGAGGTGTCAATCGAAAGGGCACGTTTCAGCCGCTGATAACCTATCGGAGGCCAGTCGGAATGCGGTCATGATGGCCAGAAACCGAGTGCTCAAGGATTGGTTCGAGTTTTATTCAAAACAGGGAAAAGCGTCAGAAGAGGTGGGGGCGATTCTGAAGTCGGAGAGGAAATGAGAAGAGGTTCAGGCGGGACTGCTGGTCGGGAACACTCTGCTCCTTCTGACGGCTGTCCGGAATGCGTTGGCCACGCACAGAGAGAACTTCCACGTCATCCGAGTGTTCAATGTGATGGAGTACGATAAACTAATCGACGATCTCGCTTTTATTTAGGAAACTGACTAGCGTTCATAATAGTGATAATAAATACATGTGGTAGGCTTTTGCTCTCTACAGTTGTAATCTCATTCCGAAATGTTGTACACGTTGCAATGACGTCACGTTCGCATGGCTTCTCTGTCCATCTCCTTCCTACACGATCTTTCTCGATTCTTCGGAGAAGATGAATAATTGAGCACTCAACAAGATGTGTGTGTGTGTGTGTGTATGCGAATGCTCGGCAGTTTCTTCCAGTCTTTGTCTGCTGCCCCTGCTGGCGTCCAACCAACAAAAACAAAACACGTCCCGAATTGTTGCAGAAAAGCAGTGAAAGTAGCAGAAAAAGAAGAAGAAGAAGAAGAAGAAAATGGAATCGGACCGAAAACATGCCCGACGTGAATGTTGTTGTTTGGAAGGCGAACTCTTCCGTTCGCTTCCCGTTTCCACTTCATATTTCCTTTGTTCGTCACCGCTTTCAGCCCTCCAAAACTATACAATCGGTCCATCCTTTACCTTCATTGCGCTTCTTGCTTCCTCAAAATTCAATTATGCACAAGTGGCTTATGATCCAGTTGTCTTCATGTTGACGAAAACAGAAAGTGCTCTCTCTCTCTCTCTCTCTCTCTCTCTCTCTCTCTCTCTCTCTCTCTCTCTCTCTCTCTCTCTCTCTCTCTCTCTCTGTCTCTCTCTCTCTCTCTGTCTCTCTCTCTCTCTCTCTCTTGTCGGCTCCTCGTGCTGCTCTGTCTCCTGATTCCCGGAGAGCAGCAAAGCGAGCACTTCAGAATGGGAATACGGTAGAAAATGAGGAATGATGAAAGATTTCGGGCATGAATATGCGACCCTCAGTTAGGCCACTTTCACAGCTGGAACGCTGATTTTCGATCACAAACTCCAATCGATCCGTGGTAGTTTGAACAACGTCGACGAACAATGGAGATTCATAAACTTGCTCCGTCCACTTCCAAAACTTCCATTCTGCCAGAATTTCAATGAAATCACGTATAAAAGGACCCTTCAAAGGACAATATTGCCCTTCTGCTCTTTGCTGAATTGCAGGCCGGTCCAGGCTTTTCGAAGGTTTAGAAGTTCAGGCCCCAAAAGCCTTCGAAAAGCCTTTGCCGGCCGTTTACTGTTCCCTAACTTCCTCTCCTTCCGATGTTTATCCTAAAGTTGGTTCAAAATACGAAGAAATCGGGCGAGTTCCTGTGCCTCCTTACTTCGAAGAAGTCTCATTCAGTCTATATATATATTTTTTCCCCTGTCGTCATCCTCCGCGCACGTGATTTCCTTTTTTCCCACCTTCATCTTTAATTCCTAGATGGAAACATCTCTCCACTTTTGCAGCCAAAACTACCGTGACTGACATCAGTTTATTTTCCCCTCCTTTCCACAGATTTACTCATTCATTCCGTGTTCTACGGGCCAAATCTTTCCTTTTTCGGCTTCATTTTTCGACGGGCAACGAGGAAATTAGGCAAATTGGCGGCCTATTCGCATGTGCCGCCACTAAATTATTCATGTCACATGCCCGGGCGGCTCCCTTGCTCTCCAGTTGTTTTCTTTCCTTCTGATGAGAACTTGATCTCGGCCACAAGCAATCACTGGCGATCTGGAAGAAAGAAAAACGGAGACGGAATTCCGGGAAATGCTGGAAACGTGATTGCTTTTTGGAGGTTCTCATTGCAAGCGACTTCCGTTTGGCAAAAGCAAAGCGGAAGCGACGGTTTTTGGCTACTACCTCGGAAACTGCTTCTCAAAAACGGAAACGGGTCGTGACTTCTTGTCCTGAACTTTTGTTTTTGTTACTCGCCGTTTCATCTCTGATCGCCTTCCGAGTAGGTTTGCAGAATTGAGTGAACACTGATGGCGTGTTAAGTGATATAGAATGGCTCGAATGAACTGCTCATTGAGCACGCTCCGACTCATTCCGCGGTTTCCGGTTCCGATTAGCCGCCCGGCAGTTCTCTGATCGAAATCCAATTCGTTTGTGTTCATATTCGGCCCCATATTCATCATACTTCCTGTGCCCATTCATCGGACAAAAACACACCAATAAAAGTGTCTCGGCGGGGCCCTGGAAAGTGCTTTGTTCTCTCTTTTCTCTTTTCCCATTCGCTTTTTGATCCCAACTGGCGGAGCATTCTAATTCTGTGTGCAAAACGGCCGAATTTCAATTCGTTGTAGCCCCGCGGGTCCGTTCTATTTTCGAACCGACCATTAGCATTCCCTAATTGCTCGGACGAGTCGGCCCACATACGAAAATACATAAATTTCGAGAGTCAGAAAAAAAAGAGAAATGTGCAAATCGGAGGAACGGGAGGAGGGAGAGAGAGAGAGAGAATTTTTGCAGAATGATGATGAATAATTAGAAAAAGTGGATCAGAAAGGAAAAGAGAAGAAGAAAAAGAAGTGCACGTCTTCCGGGAGCGCTGTTTATCCCTCCACGTACACTGCAAGCGCACCGTCGCGTGACCGGAGCAGCCGTCAGTGCTCCCAATTGGATAAGCGAGTAACTAGACCGCAGAAGAAGGAGAAGAAGAAGGAGACTGCCAAACATCATCATCATGATGTCAGTGTGATATCTGAAAGAGCTATGATCTTGCCAATTTGTGTCAAAGATGAGAGCACAGAGCAGCCAGCACGGCATTTCAATTGCCGACAACTCTTCTGATCTCTTCTGATATCTGCTGGTCTCTCGCTCCCTTCCCAGAAGCCGCCTGTGATTGTTATTTCCACCTCGTTCCCAAGTTCTCATTCCACTTCCTTCTTCTCCTGCTCCTTCTTCTCCATTCTGTTTTTGTGGTCATCATCCTCATCATCATCCGCCCATCTTTTTCTCCAGATTCGCAATCAAACCGAACAAACAAATCCGACAGAGACTCCTTCGTTTCTCTTCGCCAATTTGCTCAATGTTGTAGGAGACACTATTAATATGCAAATCTGGGCGCTCGCGCGTAATCAGAAACCGAATCAAACGTGTCCCTTTCTCTTTTTCCTTCCAACTGAGCACCAATGTTCAAACAACGTGTTTCTTTCGGCCTTGAATCCGTTCTAGCCCAGGTTTATTGTTTATTCCTATTGTGAGGAATCCGTACTTTTAGCTTCAAAACACAGGCGCTGAAGATCATTTCGAAGGTAGTTCAAGTGTTGACTTCATTCGTTTAGTGCTCTATCTCGGCTCTTCTGGTCGGCGTGCAACTCGAGTAGAACCGAATGATGTTTCAGACTGCCTTTCAGACCGTGAACTTTAACTTTTCCGCCCCAATGTTTGCCCCCCCCCCCCCTCTCGTGTCCTTCTCATATTCGTTTTTGTTTCTTTCGGAAAAGTTTGTTGGTTCGAAATACAATCCCTCCCTTTCCCATCACCATCATCAACATTTCATTCCGTGTTCCCTGGCAACTTATGTCTCTCGTTTTGCAGTTCCATCTTCTCAATTTCCGTACTCACGAGGCGCAGGGGATCATTCTCAAAAGCATCGTGTCAAGTGGATGTATACAACTGCTTCTGCTCTCTGTTCCGTGCTCACATTCCCTTCTGATCAGGAGGCAATCTCACTCGATTCCACTTTGTACTTGCTCATTTAAAGAGGGCGTTTCCTCCGTTCATCAAAGAGAACGATGTGATTTGTTTGGTTGCAATGTCTGGACAAGTCCGCTCATTGCCATTCGGAGCACGCGTCCGCCCTCAACTGACTCACTCCCGGCTCCAATTCAATTTGAATTCGGCCGCCTTTCCATTCCGATCTCAGATACCTTCTTGTCGCCGAAAGAAGAAGAAGAAGAAGAAGGAAAGAGGCGGCCGGAAAAGAAAAAAGACGAATAGTTTGCTGTGAATGTCCATTAAGTGCATCTGCCTCCTGATTTCTTTCCCTTCCGCGTCGTCGGCTCTTCTCTTTTCGACCACAAATTATATCCGTGTTTGGGGTCATTGAGCACATGCTCTTTGCCCAAACTTGTCCATTCTGAGAGCTGTCAATCAGTCACTCACTTAAAACTTGTTCGTCGGAAACCGAAACAAGGTATCGCCGGATAATCCGGTAGTCGCCAAATCTTGCGGCTCGATGACAAATTTCAATTTCGAAAGAGCAAGGATTTGTGGATAAAGCAACTTTTGAAGTCAGTCATCCTCTCGTGAGCTGACGTTTTATGCTGAAACACAGTTTCGGCAAGTGTGCCCATCGGTTGGAATTCCCGATTTTCATTCAAACCCTTGCGTCGTTCATTTCCATCATACCTAATCGCTGTTTGTTTGTTTTTACGTCTAGACCCATTTGCCCTTTCCATCCGAATAGATTCTGGTAAAAGCTTACCATGCAAATGAGCTCAGATTGACGGAGGTCCTCTCCTCCTCAACGTCATTCACCTTTTTCTCGGTCTCAGATGATTCATCGTCTTCACCCCTTTCTTCTTCTTCTTCTTCCCTCATTAGAATATTCCCTCTGAAATTCGACACCTTCCCATTGTGTTTTGTTCCTTTTCGTCTTCATCACGCGAGAGTTCCGAACTCCACGTCACTCTTCCTCGTAAGACCGTCTTCTAAATCGGACCGTGTTTATTCTGGAGATGCATCAGGTGAACAGCGGTGAAAATGTTTGGAGAAGCCGGCGGTTGGTGTCTGATCTCAGCGATTAATTCAATCCAAATGTGAACATACGACCCCGGGATTACCGCATTCCGATTGTGAAATTGTGAAATTGTGCAAGTTTCGTCCCCGACAAATCCATCAGATCAGCTCAAAGGTCGCCGGGCGGATTCTCATGTTATTTCGCTGTTTACCACAAGGATTCCCTTTCCAAACATTCCAATTTTCATTAGTTTTGCGTTTTGCCATTGAATTGTTTACTTAGCAAAGGGTATTCAACGCGTTGACTTTCCCTCCGGTTTCCAGTTTCTCGCAGTTCTTTTCGTTGCCGTCATCCTGCAGATTCCCTCCCCCCGTCAATCACAGCTCTTCCTCATTTGACTACGTCAATGTACTGGCCTACTCGGAGTCGTTTAGTTCGTCCGTCGTATCAGTTCTTAATCCAATCTTATCACTTTCTCAGATGACGTGCCCCCCGCCCGTTCATTTATAAATACTCTCGGCCGCCGTTTCGACGCCTCCTCCTTGTTTTCATGCCCATTCTAATGAACATCTTGTGCTAGGCTCAGTCCGAAATCTGTCCCTTTCCCAGAGACATTTGCATTCGTCCTCCCCGAACCCCCATTCCTTTTTTCCTCTTTCCGCCTACTATTTATAGAGCTCTGCCCGATTTCACCCCCGGGCCCTTCCATTTTTGACGTCAGATTTCCCGTTTTCTCCGATTTTGAGGCGCCCTTTTGTTTGGCCGACCAACCCGCGGCGCACTTCTTTTTTCATACATTTTCGAGTAAAATTTCGAGGTTGTTTAAAATTTTCACAAAACATTTGCGTAGGCTCTTCTCCGCGGAAATACCATAATGCGTGATGCTTCCGCCCCTCCTGTCCAATTCCGTCCTTCTTCCTTGTGTTCCCCCTATTCCCTTCGAGTGCAACTGACGTTTCCCTCATCATCCACCCTCGTTTTCTTTCGCATCATTTCGCCTGATGTCAGTGTTCGACTCGTCCATTTTTTACCCAAAATATCCCGAAAACGTCCATCTATTCTCATTTTTCCTTCTTTTACAAACCGAGAAGAATGAGTAAGAAATGTAAAATGCATTGCAACTTCTCGTTTCCGTCAGCTTCTAAACCCCTTCTCCTCCGTGCTGCCCTCACTTATTTCTGACCTTCTTGGTCTTTCAGAATGCCCCGTCGCAATCCATTATGGCTCCGTCTTCCCGGCTCCTCGTCCCCTTCATCCTCTTCCACAACAGAGGAACTCCGACTCGCCGCCCTTTCTCCGTACCGTAACCCCAACGACGAGGTCTCTTCGATTCCAGATTCCCTTGAGCATTCGCCTGCGAAGACGTCAGACGACGGGTCAGAAATCTCGAGAGCCAAGTGAGTTTGCCCGTGACGCATTCAAATGTTTCACTCTTCTTTTCAGTTTCAGCTCTCCGAGCTCCCCCTCGCGGTCCCCGAACAAGAAGGTCTCTTGGTCCCTTTTCGACCAGGTTTCCCTCTCCGGAGAAGAGTTCCTCCTTCCCCGACGTTTCGAAGCGATCGAACTGATTCCCGGCACGAGCACTCGCTCCAGCTTCACTTCTTGCTCGGCTACAGACCTCATGGAGAGCGAGCATGTGACCATCCGGAAGATTTCTCTGCAGGACCCTCTGACAGCTCGCAAAGAATATCGCAATATCATTCTGTGCCGTCTTCTCCCCCACCCCAATATCCTTCCGATCTCCGAGGCCTATGAAGTGGACTCGATGTTGTACACGGTTTCGGAGCAGATGGACGGGCGGCTCAGCGACATTGTCGAGGAGAGGCTCACTCATTTCGTCGTCGCCAAGATTTCCCATCAGATTCTGGCGGCTGTCGCGATGATGCACCAGAATGGAATTGCTCATGGGGTGAGCGACAGAAGCAAGCACCCCATTCACTTAACGCCTTCTCATTTCCAGGATCTGACTCTCAACACGATTTATGTGAACACTGACGCCGAGCTTCGTCTGTGTTCCTACGGGAAAAGCGACGATTCTTCGGAGTGTCTGGAGGAGAGATTTAAAGGTAATCGCTCGACTCCGGGTTAAACGGAAACGAAAACGCGGCTCTTCTTCCAGATGACCTACTCTCAATTGGTGCCATTGTCTCGCGTTTTCTGATGAACGAAGAGGAAATGTTCAAGTTCTCCAAGTCCAGAAATCACAAGGATATCGATTGGAGAGTGGTGCTCGAGGGAAGCAGCGATTCCGGCCTTCTCGGTATGATCAATTCGACTCTGAATGAATTCGAGCACTTCCTTTTGCAGACTACAACGCGCGGTCCCTGCTCTTCCAGCTCCTTGAAGGCCGTCAGGCCGCTCGTGACCTCCTTCGCCATCCCTATTTCAAATCATTCCGTGCTCCCCAGCACCAAACCGTCGAAAGGAAGCATACTGTTGTTGGGCAGAAGACTTCTGATGAGGTCCTAGGTGAGCTCGAGAATCTTTCTCGATCTGTATCTTATTCATCGTTTTTCAGATAAACTTCGTGAAGAACTGCAGCGATTCAACCCGTTCAACATGTCAGAAATCATACTTTAAACCGTCGGATCCATTCCCATTCCCCGATTTTGATACTAGCAAATCGAGTTTTGATATAAGATCACGTGTCTCTGCGAGAACGATAACTTTGATGAACTTTCAAATTAATATTCATTCACTTTCTACATTATCCATTCGATCATTTTCCGAAACCTCCACGGCAGGACGGGCTCTCTTCCTGCTCCTGACCGTTCCATTTGCTCGTCGGGACCGCGTCGATCCGAAGGGCGTGAACGGTCGTCGCGAGTTCCTCCGCCAAACAATTATTCACCAGACGGTGTCTCTGCAAATTTAATTAAACATTTGACTCATTGTTGATTTGATCAAGAAGTTGGACAAATTATTGTGGGTGGAAATCTATTTATCTTGCTTACCAAGAAAGCTCACAGAAAACGATTCGTACAACTCGGAATACTAACGTGTTTTGATCTCGATGAATTCATATTTTCTGTGGGGCTACCCCAAACCAGAACGCTACCGAATCAGAATAGTGTCACAGCAGGCCGGTCCATAATCAGTACTATTCGTAGTTCAAATTGATTCTGATTTGAGGCAGTTCTGCTTTGGGGTAGCCCCATTTTCTACTACCCAAGGCTGGGCAATTGGCCGGCACCCAAAATTAGCATGAAGCCCGGGCTTTTTAGAAAAAATCGGTCAATGATCCACATATCTCGAGACCCGACGATTTGATCGAGCTGAAACTTGGTCCCAATGGCCCTCAATCCAATTCCAACAATCCTGCAAAGTTTGGGTCCGATCAGATCATTTCAAGTGGTTCAAAAGTCCAATGATCGGCCAACGAAAAGCCCGGCCGGCCAATTGCCCAGCCCTGCTGCTACCTCAATGACTCGAATTCCTTCGAATGCGTCGCTGACAACTTGCACTCGGAAGTGTTTCTCAGCACCTTTTGGCACATTGTGCAGATGACTCTCGCAAACAACTTCAAGATGCTTTGGCTAAAATACAAAGTATCATTTTCGTCTTGCAAGGAGATGTACCTGGAATGTTGCTGACAGCTTCTCTCGGAGAAGACGCGCCACTGGGCCCTCACTAACTGTACTCATTGCTCTGATCATAGAAACTGGAAAGCAACTTGAAAAGTATTTCATAAATGTGCAAGATAAACCAATGGATGTCACAAATAACCATTTCATTCTGGGAACAAGTAACAGACCAAAATAAAATGTTACAAGATTTATCGCTTGCGGTGGAAAACAACGGTGTTCTTTCTCTTCCAGTTCTTGGCCTGGGATCCTCCGCGAGTAGCAGAGAATCGCCATCCCTTTCCGAGTCCACGCGACTTGCGTCCGGCAGAGGTGAGACCTCTCTGCTCGCGGTGCTTGTGCACTGGCTTGGTGATCCATTGGGTGTCTGGGTTTCTGCGGATAACCTTGTGGAACGGATCGATCAGGATGACCTCGTAAAACTTGTAGGTCGAGTCCTCGGCAACCCAGTAAGAGTTGAGAACACGGAGGGAACCGAGACGGCGTCCAGCACGGCCCTGTAAACCAATTAAATTAGTCCATTAACAACATACATATTTTTTTATCTGAAATATTTTCTTGTCGCAATGTCATGAATCCGACACACCACAAGATGTTCGGGGATTACACAATGCTTTTATATAGCCCTCAATGGATTAAGTTAGCACTATTAAAAACAGCCTACTTTGCCCAGACACTGTGGCACAATAACAACTTCAGTAAAATCAGAATACTAACCTCAGCAACAGCCTGCTTGGAGCGAGCGTTCTTGAGCTCGTTGACTCCATGGGTCTTCGGCTTTCCGTAGGTCTGTCCCTTGCACACCGGGCGCTTTCTGTTTCCTCTGCGGACACGGACGCGGTAGACGACGAATCCTGAAATTCTAGTATCCAGTCAAGAACAGAGCAAATGGCAACTGATAATTTTATTTTGAGGATTGTATCATCGACATGAAACTGAAGGGCTCTAATAACTCAACAGGGATTACTCGATAAATTTTCTATAGCCATCAATGGATTAGGTTGCTCAAGCGGGTGCAAGGCACCTTGCCCAGACATTGTGGCGCAGCGCTAACATTTTTAAAGTTAAATTTTTATCAAAAACTGACCTTGCTTGGCACGGTATCCCAGACGGCGAGCCTTCTCCGGTCTAGTTGGACGGGTCACGCGGTGGACAGCAGACAATTGTCTGTAGTGCCACGTACGGATACGGAGCAAGTAGCGAAGAGCATCTGACTGCTTCTTGCGCCAGATTTCTTGCATATACTTGTATGCACCCATTACCTGAATGGCAAGTTAGAAAAATTCGACGATAAGAAATACTAAATTAACCGGAAAAACGATCAAAACGACAGTAAATAACGGAGAATCTTCGAAAACAGGGTTTGCAACCTCTCGAAAATCAATTTTCGACAAAAAATTTGAAAAACGCACCAATCTTTGCAAAAAGCAGCGAAAAAATCCTTTAGGCCAAGCAAAAATCTACTAAATTGAAAATACGCATCTGCACACTTCGCATACACTCCAAACACGCTCCTAAATGCATTTACCGTAGTCTGGCGGCAGCTGGCAGCGGGCCAAGTCACTCTCCCCGTAAATCGACACGAGAGACGTATGATTTCAATTGGAAAAACTTCATTTTTGTTATTTTTTCGTTGTGTTTTTCAATGAATTTTCACTGTAATTGATAAGAAACAATTTCAGACATAATAATGCAAAATACACGCTAAAAATCGATATTATCAAACACTTTTTCACACAACTCGGTTCTCGAAGTTTTTTCATGATTATCTAGTTCCATAGTCAAAACAATCTGAATATGTAAATCAAAAAATACTCAACTTCTAGAAAGTTCGAATTTCGTAACACTTTTCTTCGAATCTCTTGCATCACTCGTACACGTGACTCCACCCCAGTTATCTTTTGTTCGTAGAAACAACTTTCACTGAGTATTTTAGTTATTTTAACTTGATCCATACGCTTCCAGTCAAAATGCTGTCCCGCCTGACTATGACTGTGCCAAAAATGGTGCACCTCACATCCGGAGTCCGTCACTTCTCCAGTACGGCTGTCAAGTCTGCTCGATATGGAGGAAATCATTCTGGATTCGGATCCAGAGTGACTCAAGTAAGTTACTTTTCAGACTGGACACTGAGAATTCAAAAAGGCTTTCAGGGATTCGGAGTTCGCAGCGGGCCGACACTGAAGGAGAGACTTCTTGGTCCAACTACCGGAAAGCGTGAGTTCCAGTACTTGTTTAGGCTAAAGCTACGATTTTAATTTCAGCCTTCGTCTACGGAACCTATGCTCTCGCTGGAGCATCCGTCTTTGGAGTCGCTGCTCTCATGTACTACGGACTCGTCTCGAAGGAGCGAAGCATTCTCCAGCAGAGCGCGTAAGTTCTCTGCTCTGCTCAAAATTCTTAAAATACAAATTTCAGACTCTGGCCAGCCTACGTCCGTGAAAGAATCAGCACAACGTACACATATCTCGCTGGAAGTATCGCTTTAACTGCTGCCAGTGGAGTTGCCGCCTTCAGAACTCCGGCTATCATGAGACTGACTGCTGGAAACGGAATGCTTGTAAGTTCTTTAAATGAAAAACATTAGTAAAGTCAGAAGCCTTTCATTCCGAATAACATGTATTGATAACGGTATTATTCTTTTCAGTCGCTTTTCGGAACGATGGCAGCCATGATTGGCTCCTCCATTCTGTGCCAGAACATAGACTACGACAACACACTCATCAAGCACCTTGCCTGGGCTCTTCATTGTGGTAAACATTTCTTTATTGATCTCACAGTAATACGTTTGTTTCAGGTGTCATTGGAGCCGTGTTCGCTCCTCTGTGCTTCATGGGTGGTCCAGTTCTTACTCGTGCTGCCTGGTACACTGCCGGAATCGTCGGAGGACTTTCCGCCACTGCCATCACTGCTCCTTCTGAAAAGTTCCTAATGTGGTCGGGACCACTCTCCATGGGACTCGGTGTCGTTTTCATGGCCAACATCGGATCCTTCTTCCTTCCACCTGGATCAGCTGCTGGAGCCGGTTTGCCTTTTACTCCTCATCTTGGTACGCTCACACATCCTTCTCAGGTCTTGCTTCCATCGTCGTATATGGAGGATTGATTCTGTTTTCCGCTTTCCTCCTCTATGATACCCAGAAAGTCGTAAAGCGCGCCGAGATGCATCCTCATCCTTCCCAGCAGTTATATGGAATGCAAGTCCGCAGCTACGACCCGATCAACGCGTAAGTTCCTCTATTTACGATAGGAATACTCTGGACTCTCTTCCACCTGTTCGATCTCTCGCTGTCTGGCATACTCTGTGGTATAGCGAAGAGCGGAACCCGGGAGACGTCGGATGCCTGAGTAAACAGGGTTATATAAACGATGGGCGAACAGAGGGGAGTGCCCGGATGAACCACGGCGGTCTGTGGTGCAGACTTCAAATCTGTAGGCGGTTAGCGCCGCAGTGGTTCGACTCCACCTTTCGGGTGTCGTCGTTTTGCCAGTTCAGACTTTGACAGCTCTTAATTTCTTAACTTTTCAGCCAAATGTCGTTGTACATGGATATTGTGAACATCTTCATCCGACTCGTCATGATCATGGGCGGTTCGAGCGGCAACAAGAAAAAGTAGACGAATAACTGAACTACCTCCTTCTTCTTTTGTAAATACTAGATTTACCCACCTTTCTCGATTCTTCTACGGTTAACGGCGATTCAGAACCATTGCGATTAGCGCCATGTAAAATAACTGAATACACATTCAATGTTCCATGGGCGTTTTACGATTTATGTATCAGAAAATGTGTTTTGCGAGAACCGGGCATTTGACGGTCGCGGCTTTTTTGCGGCCTGTGTTTTTGGCCCACTTCCAGTTGTCCGATCGGACTCGAAGAATGTTTGGACATTGCCTGTTGTGTCCGTAGGGACGACTCTTTGAGGAAGCTCGGACTTCTATTTAGAGAGTTTATTAAGAACTGACGAGTATCGCCAAAGTGAACTCTCGATTATGAGAACACTCGGTAACCACGTCAAAAGGTCACGCCATACACAACATCTCTCCCCCTTTAAAGTTCAAAGTTCTTCTTTGGAGACTTCTTCTTCGGCACAGGATCGTCCGGGATTCCTTCCATGAACGCTTGCAACCAGGGTCCATTCATGTTGATCCAATCGAGTCCCAGAATCGAAGCCGTAGCGCCGACATACGCTCTTCCACGATACACGTAGCCTCTCCATTTGAAGTTGCACTCGAACCTTCCCATAATCTTCATCGGCTTCTTGTCGACCGTGAGGATCTTCTCTCTCGCCGCTTTCAGTCGTGGCTTCCCGATCTTCTCCCAGTCGCTGACGCTCAGCATCGTGACATCGGAGCCCGTGTCCACCATCATCTCGATAGGCACGGTCTTGATCTTCACCATCTCTCGAATCTTCACCGATTCCTTACTCGCGTGCACCGATCCCACGACCAAAGCTTGACCGTTCGCTTCTCTCGAGTTCGGGCAGAATCTGGCAAAATGTCCTTTTTCGTTGCACCCGAAACACCTAGCGTTCTTAGCGGAACAACTCCCTCGATTGTGCCTCCAGCCGCACCTGTCACACCTCTTCGAGCGACTTTTCGAGCTGGACTTAGACGTTGTCGCACTTCCGCTGGCAGCCGCTGTCCCCGACTGAACACCATTGTCCCTCGGTTTCGCTCTCACCGCGTTGACCTCGAAGTTGTCGCGGGACCCTGTGACGCCACCGATCGCCTTCGCATCGGCATTGATTGTCAGGAATCTCGTCACTTGCTCTTCCAGTTGCACCAGCGTCGTATCCGGCTTAGTCTCGAGAATTTGTAGAGCTCTGACTCTCACCTCAGTCTCGTCGGTCCTCAGTCCCAGCGTCCACACCAGGCAGCAAATCTGCTCATCCGTCATTTTGCCAAACTGCGACCTCACAAATCCCGTGTACTCACTCAACGTACCTCCGGAATACGACATTCGTAAGAACTCGAAACGTTCTTGGAACACTGACTTCGTGGCTGCGAAACACGTCTTCAGCGCTTTGACGGTTTCGTTCCAAGATAGCTCGTTCACCTTCTTCGGCAGCACACGATTCGCGAACCGGTTGTACTCCATCTCGCCCAGAGCGCCAATGAGAAGTCGTCGTCGGGTCGCCTCGTTCAAATCCGCTCCTTCTTCCGTCAGCATCTCTCCGTACCGATCGTACCAGTGACTGAAGGTGATCCCATTCTCCGGGTCATACTCAAATCTCTTCAGTCGTGCCGTGATCGAGTCTATCTTCTGAGTTCTTCTCTCTTCCACCGACGCTCTTCCTCCGTTGCCAGTCAGCCGTTCGAGCAGCTTATTGAACTGTTCTTCGCTCATCATGATTCTCCGCAGTCAGATCGTTGGTTTCCTGATCGCCAGTTGTTGTGTCCGTAGAGACGACTCTTTGAGGAAGCTCAGACTTCTATTTAGAGAGTTTATTAAGAACTGACGAGTATCGCCAAAGTGAACTCTCGATTATGAGAACACTCGGTAACCACGTCAAAAGGTCACGCCATACACAACATTGCCCTTGGTATGGATCATCTCCAGGAAAATTTTGGGCGTAAGCGGATCATCTCATCTGGTGATAAACTGAAACGCGGCCGCTGCGGCCAGGTTTTTTGAAAAAAGACGGACGCATCGGCCGCGTTTCAATTCATCTCCAAATCAGATTAGTCTACAAAAAGAAAGTGCAATAAATTTATTCCAAATAAATAAATTAAAACATTGTTGTGTCTATTGTTTATGGGTCGGGTAAGCTGGAGCAGCCTCTCCTCCCTTTCCGCTGGTTGGTGGCTCCGCAGCACCAGCAGCGGCTCCTCCCTCATAACCACCTCCTCCAGCTCCTACTGGAGCAGCGGCAGCAGCAGCCGGCTCGGCAGAGGCAGCAGCAGTAGCTCCGGCTGGCTCGGCACCTCCTCCGGCTCCTACCGGAGCAGCGGCAGCAGCAGCAGCTCCGGCTGGCTCGGCACCTCCTCCGGCTCCTACTGGAACAGCGGCAGCAGCATCAGCAGCTCCGGCTCCTACTGGAGCAGCGGCAGCAGCTCCGGCTGGCTCGGCGCCTCCACCGGCTACTTCTGGAGCAGCGGCAGCAGCAGCAGGTTCAGCAGCAGTAGCGGCGGCGGCTCCAGCTGGTTCGGCTCCTCCGCCAGCTCCAAGAGCAGCAGATCTGGGCGGGCATGGGCAGTAGGCAGCGTCAGTGCCTGGCGCTCCGTCGGCTCCTGGCTCTCCGGCGGTTCCATCAGCTCCTGGTCCTCCGTCCTTTCCTGGTGGTCCTGGTGGTCCAGCCGGTCCTTCTGGTCCTGGTCCGCTTCCTGCTCCTGCCTCTCCGTCTGGTCCTGGTGGTCCAGCAGGTCCTTCTGGTCCGGCGGGTCCAGGAGTGTTCGTGGTCTTTGTTCCCGGTGCTCCGGCCTCTCCGTCTGATCCTGGGGTTCCTGGATTTCCATCTGGTCCTGATGGTCCCGGAGGTCCTGGGGGTCCGGCTGGACCCTCGCCACCTCCTTCTCCATCAGCTCCAGCATTTCCAGCTGGCCCGGCTGGTCCATCTGGTCCATCCGGTCCTGGTGGTCCAGGTGGTCCTTCTGGGCACTTGATGCAGGCTCCTCCGGAAGCATCCATGGCCATCTGAGCGACTCCCGGCATTCCGTTTCCTCCGTCTTCTCCCGGAGTTCCAGGCTCTCCTGGAGTTCCGTCCTCTCCCGGAGTTCCTGGTGGTCCTGCTGGGCATCCGGAAGCCTGGGCTCCACAGTCTAAATGATATGATTGAGAGGGTGTGAGAAGAGGGAATACACTCACTGCACTGTCCTCCAGCAGCAGCACCAGGAGCAGCAGCAGGCCCGTCTCCTCCTCCGGCGGCGGCGCCATCTCCTCCGCTGCTGTATCCGGATTGTCTCGCTCTTCTTGCCAGTCCTCTCATTCCCTCGTTCACCATCATCGTTTTCCAGGCGTCGTCGTAATATCCGCGGAACTCACTCAGATCTCCGCTGACTTCATCGTAGAAGTTGTTGATGTCAACGAGCAGCGAAGCGGAAATGAAGATTGCGGCGACGATCGAAACGGCCGTGACCGTCGTGGCCACTCCGAGAACTGTTTGCGACATGAATAAGCTGACGGACAGCAGAAGTTCCTGGCTTTTATAGGCGGCTCGCTATGCTATGATAGCCTGTTATCCCAGTTGGAAAACGTGTTTTCATAGTCCGAATGCGTAACGACTTCCGCAGAAACATACCAGTCATCTGACAAGTTTGCGCGCGCTTATCAGTTGTAATCCGACCATATCTGGTGTTTGTTCAACAAACGATATCAAAAGAAGATTGAAAAGTGATAGAAAGAGATTCATAAATAGACTTGGGAGCGATGAGCAAAAGGTGAGGGGATGATCATGACTTGAAGTAAAAATATCCACCCCCGTCGTTCTTGCCCTCTCCGATCGGAGTTCTCGGAGGGCACGGACAATACTGCGCATCGTCGCCCGGCTGTCCGTCGTCCCCCAATGTCCCCGGGAGTCCGTCTCCTCCTGCCTTCCCAGGATTTCCGGACACACCGATCAGTCCTTGCTCTCCTGGCTCTCCTTCTGCATCCTCTCCGTCTTCTCCATCTGGCCCAGCTGGTCCTGGCGGTCCTGGCGGTCCTACTGGGCCCGGAACATGCATTTCTCTGTGTCCGAGCTCTCCAGGCGGACCATCCTTTCCTTCGCATCCTGGTCGTCCTGTGGGTCCTTGTGGTCCAGCAGGACCTGGTGGTCCCGGAAGTCCTGGAGTCGGTCCCTCTCCGTCCAACCCTGGCAATCCCGGCTGGCCATCGAATCCAGGAGGTCCTGCTGGTCCTGCTGGTCCGGGTGCTCCGGCCGGGCATTTGATGCACTCGCCTCCGGAATAATCCATCGCCACCTGCTTCATAGCATCCATTCCTGGTTTTCCGTCAGTTCCGGCTTCTCCCGGCTCTCCCTTCTCTCCGTCCTCACCCGGAGACCCTGGAGGTCCCGGAGGACATCCGGAAGCCGTCGTTCCACAATCTGCAACAAATTAATCTCTACTGACTTGCTCGCTTTCCCACTCACTGCATCCTTGAGATCCCTGTCCAACAGACTGTCCGCCGTCGAACTCATATCCGGCCTGTATTGCTCCGTTCGGTTTCACCTAATTCCTACTCCCATCTCACCTGTTTTCTACCTCTCGTGACTGCCCGTCTGGCCAGTATTCTCAGCGGTTCTCCTTCCGTCATTTGCATTGTTTTCCAGGCGTCGTCAAAGTGTCCCTGAATATTTTCCCCACTCCGTCTGTCTTTTCAATTGATAACTTACTTTGAAATCATCCAAATCTTCTACTATCGCACCGTGAAACTCATTTATTCCGACAAGAATGGAAGCGGAAAGACAGAGGGCGCCGAAAATGGAGCAGGCGGATGCGAGGACGATAGCCAAAGTGATCCGAATCATTGGGAACACTGGCCAGATCGAAACGCTCTCCTGTTATATACCCATCCGGGAGGGAACCAGAAGTGACCGTAAAGAGGAAGACACGTTCGAAATTGGGGCCTAATTGAGTGTGGGTAACCAACCAGTTTGCGGCTACTTACCTCATCTTAGCCGACTTTATTAGAAGATAGAAGACAAGGAAGCAGATGGAATTTGGCGGAAACGGACAATAATAACTTGTTGTAGTGTCTTTCTCCCTGCACAAATTGGCGTATATTTGCTCGGTTGCACACAGAATCAGGAGCAAAACTCAATCAGCATTGTCGCCGATCATTCACTTATTCGCTTGGAAGAGAAGCGGAAAACAAGTTGGTTCGGTGGAGAGTACTTGCGATTCCGTCATTTCCATCCGAAGGATGACATCACCCTTCCGGCGTGTCAATCATGACCCGTTCATTCATAAATTCATTGTTTTTGTTGTTGCTCATCAACAACTCTTCCACCCTCTCGGCTCGTTTTCCGCTGCCAATTGCAGTCTCTAATCGGATTGGCGCCTTCCGCTCGCTCCTCACAATAATCTCATTTCAGTCAGTTTTGCACTTGCAATCCAATTATCCAGAAGGGCGCCACTACCAGTCACTTCCACTCCTCTCTTCCTTTCTTCTTCAGAGTTTCTTTCTAGTCCGATTTCTAGATCTTCGGCTGATTCATTCGGGATTTCGTTGTGCTTGGTCGAATTTCAATTCGAATTCACTCAAGTGCATCTTAATTTCTATTCCGTTTCGGACGCCCACAAAGTGAAACATGAAAGGGAAATCTTGGCTCATTGAGCCAAGTGAGATCACAAATTACACTAAAACGGTTCTGTAATATTCCATGAATCCAATAGAGAGCGACGACGTCTCATTCATATGCATTCGGCTACAAAAACAGACGCCAAAAGCGCTCCGCCCTGTTCATTTCCATCTGCCCGGGTACGTACTCCTTTCCGTCGTCGTTGCCGGTCCGATCCTCGTGGATGCCGTCTGTGCTCGCTTCCTCGTCGTCACGTACCACTTCAAATGTTTCGTTGTTGCGCGTTTTTCGTACTCATCTGCGTCAATCTGCCTTGTTTTCTCGCGATTCCATTGTTCCGCTCCCCCTCTTTTTCCTCCTTCCTCTTTAAATTGTGCTCGTTTTAGTATTCCTCCCGACGCACCGCCTTCCGCACATCTCTAATTCTACTCAAATCCTTTGTTTTCTCATTCCCATCACTTCGAAATCTCGTTTCAGATGACGTTCTGATCTCCTGAGCCTCCTTCAAAAACTATACACCTCCAGAAACTCCCTCATCCGGTTCGCAATCCGCTTTTCGTCCGATTTGTACTTGGGCGGCAGCCAACCCTCTTCGCTCCGCCCCTTTCTCGGCTTTATATTCGCCGGAGCCACAAACACTCGTCGTCCGTTTTCAGAATGAATTCCTCCGCCGTTCTCTCCGTTCTCCTCCTCTTCCTGCTCGGATGCGTAGCCAGTCAACCGTTGTTCGGGCTCGAGAAACAGCTTCTTTACTCGTTCCAGGATCCAGACGAGGTCAGTTTTCGAGTGAATTCCTTCCGAATCCTCCCCCTTTTTGAGTTCGAGATCATCAACAAACGGTCCCCGCTGCTCAGTCTCGTCGGATCGAACGTCCGTTTCACCGAGCCGTTCCGGAATCGAGTTCTCAACAAAAAGAAGATCCGCTCAGTCGGTAGGAACAATTTGCCCTACTCTTTGAATCGTTTTCCTTTCAGATCCAGAACAACTGCCGCTTCTGTACCAGTAATCAGCATCCGCGTCCTAGTCTCCCACTTAAATTCCTCTTTTCTGAACGTTGCTTCCCTCTAATAAATTTCCATTCTGTTTGAGAATTTATTCGAATGGCAACATGACCAGTACGTACTTCTTAAGCCCTTTATGGAAAGCAGGAAAGGGAATAGGGCAATAAATAATAATAAAACAGAAGATGGGTTAGATTCGTTGGCAAAATGAGTCAATGTTCGGCTATTTACATCTGTACGCTGAGTCCAGTTCGGTTGAGGATTTGTCCCATTACAGTCGATCTCAGTTGTTCCTTCGCGTTCGCGGCACGATTAGCGACGCCACGGAGCCGGAAAGAGGCGTGCAGGAGCACAAGGAACACCGGGAAGAGCAGCCTGAAAAAGACACAACTACGGCATATTCTCAGAATTTCGAATTATGCGTCAAGATGTTCGTTTTCGAATACGAAATCCGTTTTACGAAACCTTCATTACGTTCTGGCACGTCGTCAGAATTCAAGGAAGTCTACATCTAAACAATTACGCTTTCACTGACAAGTTAATCTTTTTGGTCAGAATTCTTGAAAAGATCATTTTTTGAGCATGCGAATTGTGAAACTTGAAGTGACCTTCCATTGAATTGTATCAACTACTGCTAAATTATTCATATTTTTTCTTCCTGGTCCTTTTCGACCTTTTCTAACCTTTGCCTTTACTTTTTCAATGCATTAAATATCAGCTCAAACAGCAAATCTGTTCAGTTAATTCCCATTAAACAGAGTGGGTCTCAGTTGGCTCGAATTCTGACACACTCATCGAACTTTATGGACTCTCTTGCACGCCTTCTATATCCGGCAGTGTTGTAATGTTTCAGTATAAAACAGCAGCGAAACACATCAGTCTGTTGAAAGGATCACTTCAAAATTGAAGTTAAAATCCCTCCCGACACTCACGCGAAAAGAACGACGAGGACCGATTGGAAGACGGAAATGAAGAAGTAGGCGACGAGAATGATGCCTCCGAGGGTCACCAACGGATGGTCTGTTCGCATCTGAACAATCATTTCCAATTTAAAATGTTCACTTGAACGACACTTTTCTTATCATGTACGTGAAATTCTAGAGTGGCACATTCCTTATCAGTCACTTGGACGAATCACGGAGCTGTCAGTTTGAGCTTACCTTCTTTATGTTGGAATCAGTGGAAATAGCCAGGATGAGAGTTGCAACAACAGAGACAATGGCGATGAGTCCGATGAAGACGTCCTGGCTGTAGAAGAATGTTTGCAGAAGGAAGAGAGTGATGGTGGCGGCGAAGTAATTCGTTTGGAAGTAGATCAGGTTGGAGAGGATTCTGTTGTTCCACTTTTTGAAGTCGTTGAATGGCGGTTTCTGAAACTTTTTAGAATTCTTTCCATGCTGACAGATTGGGTTAGTCACCTCATATCGATCGGTTTCGAGGAGAAATTCATGAAAGTTCCTGAAGGGAGGCAGCTCCACTCCCTGCATGATTTGCGTGTGATCCGACGCCATTTCTTCTGAAATCAAAAGTTATTTTGAAGAACTGAAAAGTATTGGAAAGAAGTAAAACGAAATCGCGAATGCTCGGGGGAACATCTGGAGTTGAGTGTAATATTCTAATGGCTTGGGAGTCCTCGAGAAAGAGAACCGAGGCGTGCAGAGGGAGCCCTTCGTGTTGAGTAGTAATAAAGAACTGAGCAGAAGGGTAACACTTATTTCGTGTGAATTGAAGCGATTAGTACAGTTACTATAATTTGTTGACGGAAAAATTGCTTGCAGCACGGATTTCCACCTCGCAATGAGAAAAAGCAATAATTGATCAGGTGCTTAATTCGAAATCATGATGAAACTAGCAAGAACAGGAGAGCGAATGATAAAAATTGGAGCGCCGATAAAAAACTACACGAACTCTCGTAAACCGGGTTGGCGGAGTGCCAATGCGCCTTTAATCGCGGGTCTCACACGGAAGAGACGTTTTTGGGGCGTGGCTTTACGGTGGTTGAAAATAATTCGAACCGAGTCCTATGATTTCAGTCACCTTTCGTCTGATTCACAAATATCAAGACGGAAAGAAGACAATTTCGAAATATTTTGTTTTAGATACTAAGGCCGATTTCTCACTTGAATTTCCGTTTTAAGCGTGTTTTCTGTGGATTTTCAGTGTAGAATAACTAAATTTATCGATTTTCAGGTAAAAAATGGCTGACCACGATCACGATCACGATCATCCCGAGGTGGCTCTTGCGTCTGCTAACTACGAAATGATTCAGGCTCTGCCGCTCAATGTCAAGGAGCGTGTGTGCGCCTTGAAGAAACTTCAGGTCGATAGCATTGTGGTAAGAGTTATTGTTCGATTGAACTTTTTGATTTGTTTTTCTTCAGGTCGAGGCCGAATTCTACAAGCGCGTTCACGAGCTCGAGATTGAGTTTGAGGAGAAGTTCAAGGGAATCTTCGACCAGGTGAGCAGCTCGGAGAAGAGCAACGATCAGTTCGGATTTTCAGAGAAAGAAGATCATTGCCGGCGATATTGAGCCATCCAAGGAGGACACCAAGATGCCTCTTCTCGAGGGACTCGAAAAGGACCAGCTCAACGTGAGTTTTTCACAATTACGCTCTGATATGTAAGAAAAGTTTTTCGAGATATTCCTTTTCATGCTGAGGAAGAATTAATTTAACTTAATTTTTTGCGCGATGCGTACATCACATACGTCATCATTTCAATTTTAGGAGCTCTACAAGTCTACTGAGGCCGATCCAAACGCCAAGGGAATCAAGGACTTCTGGGTCACCGTTCTCAGAACTCACGACTTGGTTGCTGAGTCCATCGAGGAGCACGATCTCCCAATCCTTGCCTATCTGACGGACGTCACCACATCCGCTAGCAAGGACCCAGCTGTAAGTTTCTAAGCTTCCATCATCATAATTTTGTTTTTTTTTCAGGGATTCAAACTCGAGTTCCATTTCTCTCAGAACCCATTCTTCAAGAATTCGGTTCTCACTAAGACCTATCTCATTGGTTTCGAGCCAGACAGTGACTCCCCACTTCAGTTTGACGGACCACACGTTCTCCGCGCTATTGGGTATGATCCATTCGTAAACTTTCTGTAATAAAGTATGCATTTCAGAGATACCATCCAGTGGGAGGACGGCAAGAACGTCACCAAGAAGGCTGTCAAGAAGAAGCAGAAGAAGGGAGCTAACGCCGGAAAGTTCTTGACCAAGACCGTCAAGGCCGATAGCTTCTTCAACTTCTTCGACCCACCAAAGAGCAAGGACGAGAGAAACGAGGATGAGGACGACGAGCAGATGGAGGAGTTTCTGGAGCTCGATTACGAGCTGGGACAGGCTCTTCGCGACACGGTCGTCCCACGCGCTGTTCTCTTCTTCACCGGAGAGCTCCAGGCCGATGACATGTACGATTTCCAAGGAGAGGACGGAGATGTCTCTGACTTCAGCGACGACGAGGCATAAGCATCTAATCGATTCCCCATTTTCACCATCAATATTCACCGTTAATTTGTCAACTTATCATACATTGAAAAAAATTCCCCAACCTTCCACATAATAGGCGGAATCCCGATTGTTGCTGTTTCTTGTTATCGTCGTTTTTTCCTTGTCCTATCCTATTCCGCTTCCAAATCTCAAGAAATGCCTTGAAACGAGTAGTCGTCGCCTAATAGCTATTGTTGTGCAGTGTCATCTGACGTTTGCCGACACAAGTCGACTTCCTACTCAATTTTCGATATTTTCGTGATCGCACCGAGTTGAATAAACCCCTTGTTGCAGAAAATGTTGAAATTGTCACATGAGTTCGAAACGTATATTTCAGTACAGATCTCAAGCAAAAGTTCGTCATTTTAATTTAGAATGGCAGGTGCATATAGTCTCCTAATCAGAGCACAATGTTCCGAGTCTATGAGCGCTTTGAGTCTCGAAAGTGTTGAGACAATTATCGGAAGTGATTTGCGGACGGATGTCAGCACGAGACTCTGTGAACGGATCGCTTTTCTCATTTATCAGGACTCCAGTTTCGGTCTCGTTCCGGTCCGTTTCCCGACTGTTTCTCGTCCATTTCGGTTATTTTCAGATCGAGTCCTCCTCTTCGAAAATCCTTTCCAACATTAACCGCTTATGCAAAACGAGTCTCCGTTCCGGTTTCCCCCTCGGTAATCTTCTTATTTTTGTCCACCGTAATCCATCGAAAGTGCCACGTCGCAGCTCGTTACTATTTCGAAAAGCGAGTCAACAAACACTTGTTTCCGTGCGCCAAAAACATTCGAACGGACACGTATTTGCTCACTGCGGCCTTTCAATTTCGGCTCCCTTTCCCTGTCGGGTTTTGTTTCGAAAAGTTTCGATGAAGAAATGTCTGCGTCTCTCGCCCTCGTTTCAATGCACTTTGTGCAAAAGAAACCAAGTACAAAGCACTTTGTTCCGTTTAATCGGAGGCACTTTGTGAGGGGGCGAAAGAAGACGGGAAGCGACGGGAATTCGCACTTGAGATCTGGAACGCATTTGAGAATTGTCATTTCAGATGGAGAGACGTTTGTTGGTCGATCGGAAGATCCGAACATCCTGAATCACACGAGGGAACGCATTCTGAGTGCCACGTTGATGTCGACCCCAAAAGAAGGTCTTACAGGATTTCAAGAAAGAATTTATTTGAATTTCCCACAGATTTACCGCTCGCTCTGGCATCTTTTGCGCCCGATTATCCGTCAACTGCCACTTTGGCACAGAAACTTCTAAATAACGATGAGCGATTTCTGACAAATCTCCTTATCCTTCTGCCGTTAATCGAGACACTACCGTATAATTATCTCTTCTGTTTTCGTCTCGAAGTATGATTTTTTCAGTGCTGACTCAGTTTTCCATCCAGTGTCCGTCTTTCTCGAAGCAATGGGCTTGATCGGTTATGATTGCGAGGTGCTCATCGATTGGCTCAATTCAGAACTCGCAGCTTCTTCCCTCCTTCTCCGAGTTCTGAAATCAGCATGCAATGACAAAACGAAGGGATTCTGGAGAAATTATGCGCCAAGGTACTAATATTCAAGCAGCAGTTCATCTGAAAATTTTAGTTTCAGGAAAGTAGATCAGAGTGCGACAGTTACCAAATGGAAAGAAGAACTCGTTTCCAGTGGCAGTCCGTCGGTTTCTCTCGAAATAATCGAGATTGTTGGTGACCAGGAGATGGCAAAAACGTTGGAATTAAAAGGAAATGTGATCCGAAAAGTGAAATGCTCGGAGCCGGTGTCTCTACAGAATTCGGGCTCGTTCAGTCGATGGATCGATACGGTCACCGAATTGAAAGGCCGTTTACGGAGGCTCCTTGCTGCTAAGCTTGTTGCCAAAAAGTTCGATGTTCTACTGAAATGGTGCGATACTTTTTGTGCATTATTCGTGAAGAAATGAATCTAACACTATTTTTCGGCATCCCACTTGCGCACACTTCTACTTCTTTTCGCTCTCTTTCCTGTGATGCACGCGCGGTCTAGTGCGGACAGGCGCGCCCGCTGCCGAGAAGACAGGGGTTTGATGCCGGCCGTGTCTCTCTTGCATCTATGTGTACTCACTCGTTGATAATCGGCGAGTGTAGAAGGGAAATGATGCGAAATAGATTGTGAATTCTGCTGCTGTTGGGTGCGAAGGTCGGTGGTTCTCGCCCTGGACAGTGGTATCCCTCATTTTCATTTTTCCTTTCAAATTATGAAAAACTTGTAGAAATTCCAGTCAATGAGTACATTTTTATACAAATTGTTCATTTATTGTCAATAAATACACCAGCATTATAAAATTCAATTGTTCGAGAAGCTCAACGTGAACTTTTTCTTCAATGCGATCAAACTAATCAGCTGTTTGGAGGAGATGACGACCCGTTGGAGGGAAGAGTCGTAGAACGACTGGGTCATGTCGAGAGTAACGGAAGCTCCGTCCAGTTTGAATCCGGAGAAGTTGGGGGCGGACGGATATCCGAGGATCTCAATTGTGTCGAGGGTGGGGGGCTTGACGGCCTGAAAGGAAGGAATGGCTGAAAGGGAGGGAAAGAGGGAATTACAGTAGAACAGGTCTCGCAGTTTCCAGTGAACACTCCTCCGACGACGGAAGAAGAGAACGAGAACTGCCAGTGAATTCTGAAAGAAGGGAATTCGGAAGGATTACGGTAGATGACGGTACCTCGGATGAAGTTCGATGTTATCGTTCGGAATCAGATCGTCTCCTCCGTCATAGTACAGTTCTCCCTGAAAAATCGAACAGTCTCAGAAGGATCAGAGCGTCGGAACTTACGGAGGAAACAACATTGGTCTTGACAGTAATCAGAACTTCGAATGGATTAAGCCTAGAAGCAGTTGTGGTAGTGTTGGCAGCTTGACGTGGCAGAATGAATCCACCTCTCACGAAGACCGGAGTCAGCGAAGAAAGCGGTGCGTTAACGTCGTTGAATCCGGCGTACATCTTCTGACCGTAAGTTTCCGGTTGAAGAGAGTACCAAGTGTCGGATGGGAAGTAAGCGTGGACCGTCGTTTGACCCTGGAACCTTGTGGTTGGAATCTTTCAGAGACTATGGGTAGTGCCTGGTACAAAGCGGGGGCGATCATGAGGGCAGATCCCCAGAGGAACTGTTCACTGATTCCGAGGGACTCCTCGTCCTTCGGGAATTCGAAGAACAGCGGACGGATGACTGTGTGACCGTAGCGAGCGGCATTGTAGTGGAGACTGAAATGGACCGACATAAGTGAGGGCAAGATACGAATCTACGAACCTGTAGAGGAATGGGAGATAGTAGTATCTAAATGTCAATGCGATCTTCGCTGCGTTGGCAACCGAGGGCCAGACTGCGGGGTCCTGATCCGGCATTCCTTCCGAATTGTGATCACTGAAACTCAACGAATAACATCATGATTACGAGCTAGACGGATTACCGAGAGAACGGAGAGAACGCTCCGAACTGATGCCATCGCAGACACAACTCCTCATTTGACTGTCCGTTGAATCCGCAAATGTCGGATCCGACGTACGGAAGACCGAACATGTTGAACTCCATCACTCCGATCACACTCGTCTGCAGATCCTCCCATCTGGCGGTGTTGTCTCCGAGCCAGTGTCCTCCGTATCTGCCGGAAGACGGGAAAGTGCTCCTCGAGATGACTGCCGACCTCTTTCCGGTCACTTGTGGAATGGCTCTGTAGGTGGCTCTCGCCTCGCTCCAGCCGTACAAGTTCTTCGTGTCGTAAAAGTCGCGAGTGCGTCTGGCAGTCTTTCCGAGCATGCACAAAGTCTTCGAGAACAGGTACTCTCCATCCCTCTGGTAGCAAGCCTGTGTCGGGTACGGAGGCACGTCGAGAGAGGAATCCGCCCCGGAGATTGGGCACGAGAGTTTCGCATCGGCGAGTCGTTGTTCGAGGGAGGAGTAGGTTCCCGTATCGAAGTTGGACGGCTCATTCATATCGATCCACATTCCATCGAACGGAAGCTGAAACGAGAGACTTCCGAGAGAGCAAGGAAGGATAACCAACTGACCGTCTTGTGGAATTCCGCGAATTCGGCAGCCCACCAGTCGTTCGTGTTGTTTTTGGTATCCAAGAAGTCGGGGAATGCCGTATTCCTATCCGGCCAGACATTTCCCAACATGATTTTCGTGTTCTTCGCCATCGGATACTGATCCTGAATGCTGTGTGGAACCTGATCATCACGAGCCCATTCGATGAAGGAAGCATCCTGAAATGAGAATGTGAAACTAGAGAGTGAGAGTAATGGGCAACTGACGGCGGTTATTCCCCTCTGGAAGGAGGCGTAGTCCACTTCCACGGCCGGATCGAAGATCACAATCAAATGGAGTCCCTGGTCATGGAGCTGCTGGGTGTAGGCGGGGAATCCGGACCAGTTCTGAATGTAATTTCATTTTAAAACCTTAACTTATTCTATTCCACTCACGTCTCCCTCTGTGAAATCCTCGTAATGGTTCATGTAATCAATGTCAGCATAAGGAACATCCAACGGAATTCCGAGTGCTTGATTCCTGCTGATCACTTTCTTCATGTCGTCCAAACTACCGTATCCCCAACGACACAGCTGGTATCCCAGTGCCCAGTAAGCAGGAAGGAATGGGAATCCGATGTGTTGCAAGTACTGATTGACGACCTCCTCGGGCGTCGGTCCCGGGAAGAATGCCATGTCGATGCGGCCCCCAATAGTACGGTAGAGCAGATGAGGGCCCGGCCCGGTCTCCACTTCCTGGGCGTTCGAGTTGAGAATGAAGACTCCGTGGGCCTTTCCGTCCGATTCAACGCACATGTAGAACGGATGGACTCCGTAGAGGTTCTGAGTTGAGAGGGCGGCTCCGGAGTTCGGTCCGATGTCACGGGCGAACATCGGCCACGTCGTGTACCGATCGAGGTTGTGCTGCAAGATCTCTGATCGTTCCGCTTCCTGGCTTCCGTTTCATCAGTCCCCGAGACGTCTAGACCCCAGAGATGAGTCGGCAATTGTTTCCGTTCAGAATGCGTAACTTAATGCCAAGCGGCGCTTTCTCTTGCTCCAAATCCAGTGTGTTTCTCCGTCTATTTGCGTCGTTTATGTGCTTGCTCTGGCGCGCGTCGCAGGACGCATTACCGCGCGGAAAGCTCTCCGCTACAAACTCGTCCGCCTCCTCCCCCCGCGCGCACTTTTTCTCACCTCGTGTGCGTCGGCGCGCGCACCCGGCCAAAGTTTCAAGCCATTTTTTGCAACTTGATGCGCGATGCGATGCGTTGCGGCGGCGAGCCGGAAACCGCAAAAAATGGGCGGAGTTACGAGCAAAAATCAGCGGAGCCGCTGGCCAAAGGGTTATAAAGACGGGAATTTCCCCCGAATACTCCATCATTTTCATCGCATAGTTAACTCTGTTTGCAGTGATCGAAAATGTTCTCGAAACTGTTCACCACCTCTTGCCTCGTCGCCATTGCCCTTTCGACTGCTCAAGAGCCGGAGGGCCCCTCCAAAGTTTCTTCCACGAAACGCCGTCAGTACGTGGCTCCGGCTCCGGCAGTTCCGGTTGTCGCCCCAGTTGGCCAGTGCCCAGGTAGCCCCGTAACTCTCCCTTTTCCGTCGAATCTATTGGAATCCTTCAGGAGGACCTTCCCTCCCAATTGAGTGCGATCCGAAGCGTCCGTGGCCTCAGTGCCCACCACAATCCTACTGCTACGCCACGAACTCCGTCGACATCGGGCCATACTTCTGTTGCCCAGTCTGGTCCACTTACGGAGCCGCCTGGCGCCCGGCCGCTCCCTTCTACAACTACGTTCCACCAGTCCCAGCCAACTGGCCGGATGTTGCCAAGGTGAGTTACGGTGTCATTTCTACCGTTACCAGTCCATTCTTAATTTTCAGATGACCGCCAACTGGCCAGCCGCCGCCGTCAGTGTTCCAGTAAAGGCCCGCAAGCCAACGAAGGCCGACGAGAGCGAGGAGCAGGCTCCGGACGGAATATCCTCCTCCATCAACTCGTGGGTTCAACGCCAAAAGTTGTAAAAGGAGTGGACTAAGCGTTAATCCTAATGTTGCCATATAATGTGTCTGTAAATATTTGCCTCCCAGCCCCCTTTTCCGTAACTTCCGCTATTTATTTTTGAGCTTTTCGCCGCCTTCTCTTTCTCTCCCTTTCTTGTCCCGATTCAATCGTACATTAATAATAATATGCGTACCCGAATCTTTTTGTGAATGTGATCCCCGAATCCATAGATGTTCTTCGTCGGAAGATACGTGGCAATCTGAATGAACTTGTCAGCGAACTGCATTCCACCTGAACCCATCTTCAAATTAAACAATCTCATCTGAATCCCCCTACCAATGCTAGTGTCCCAAAGGGCGGCCCCAGTGCTTGTTCTAGTCACTTTGAAGCTGAAAATGTCGGAAGATCCGATGGTACCGGAAGAGAACGTCAACGATTCCGTGGAGGTGGACGCCTTCTGGGGGAAGCCGACCGGAGGAACATAACGGTCGTCGTTTCCGATCGTTAGCAGGAGGGTGGCTCCGTTCGACGAGTACTTGACGTTCAGCGGAGAGATGTTGTCTCCGTACGGGTTTTCTGGAAATTTTTGACGTCACTGATGGAAAGAATCAAAGATCGGAATGTGCATTCACAAACACACTCTCGAGGATACACTCTACTCGGCAAAGATCAAAAAGTTTATCGGAACTCACTGGTTTTGGCAGCCAAAACGAACGAGTTTGTTCCGGTGGACTGAACGGTGAACCCGGATTCGGTCGGATAATAACACCACGGAGTGCCGGTCGGAGAGCCACTCTGAAACGGTTTCCTTTTCCCGAATCCCCGTGGAATGATTATCTTACGGGCGCTTCTTCCCAAATGCAACCTCTCGATTGACACGTTTCGGAAGAGGATCCGGGCTCCGGATAACAGTCGACTCTCTTGCTTACATCCACGGACTGTCCGTGAGTTTGGAGCACGAAAAAGAGCAGAAGGGCTCCTTTCAGGCTCATTTCCTAAAATAATTCACTGAGGTTAGAGAGAAGTATGTGAAATGGAAAATGTGACAGGAATGTCGGATGCACGTGTGTTTGACTGATAAGCGGCTGCTACACACCTGCCTTATCAGAATCATCAAGTCCATAAAGTGTTTTGTGGTCGGAGAAGGACATGCCACTCTCTCTGTCAAAGTCTTAGAAAAGAATAGATTCTTCATAAGTAGGTCAGTCATTAAACAGATGACGCAATGTTCCTATTACTGTAACAAAGCAGAGCGAAAAACCAAACTGTAAGGGCATTACATTCACAAAATGACACTAAAACTTGTCTTCGTCCTCATCGTCGTCGCACAAACGACTCGCGAGCATCTCGTCGACGTGGAAGTTCAGCTCGTGCTCCGCCGCGTCCATCATGCTCTTCGTTAGGATCGACATGTTTCGCAGCTGCTCCCGTCGCTCCACATCGTAATCATTCAGACACTCCAACTTCAGCTTCGTCTTCTCTCGATTCCTCTTCGCGATCCGTAGTTGTGCTCTCCGACGGTGAGCACAGTCGGAGCAAATTGATGATTTCTCCACATGGAATCTTAAGAAAACAAGGGTTTATCAGTGTATCGAATGATTCTCTTACGGTGAAAGAAATTTTGATGATTCGTCGTCGGATTCGGATGTCCAGATGTAATCGTCGTGCCGTCCTTCCTGCCGCTTCTCGAGCACTGCCTCCATCTCGCCCTTCTCCCTCAACTCGTCCATCATCCCCGCCCTCCACAGCTCCTTCTTCTCCTCTCTGATCTCGTCCAACGTCCTTCTCTTGACTCCCCTTGTCTTTTGTTCATATTCCTGCTCCACTTGCTCTATCTGTTGACTGGCACCCACCAATTCTTCGATTCCTCTTCTTCCAACGTTCTGCAGCATATTTGAGTACTGTAGAGCCCTCAACTGCTCCGCTCCCCGTTTGTCCCTCTCCACCCTCTGATCTTCCTTTGTTTCCCACTCTTTCTCTTCCTTTTCCTGTTCTTCTTCCTTCTTTTCTCCCACTCTCTCATCCAGCCTACATCGTCGACATTTCGTGTCCGGAGTCGTTCCTTGTTCTGCTTGTTGCAACAATTTCGCTCTTCCCTTCATTGTATTCGTCATTCTCTCCCATGTCTTCCGGAATTCAAGATTTCTCAGCTGGCCCACGAGGTGCGCGACCAGCCATTTCTCCTCGTCTTCTTCCTTGTCCAATTCATCTTTCTCTTTCTCCTTTTTCCTCACGTGAAATATGTGATCCTCTTCTCGCCACACCTTTTCCCGTGTCTTCCGTTTATCTTCTGCCAATTCTTTTCGACTTCTTTTCTTCCGAAAAATCGCCTTCCGTTTCGCCATCGGTGCTCCGTGAGCACAATCGTTGATGTCTCCGTCTAGATCACGTGGACGACGGATGCCTGAAATGAACATTGCAACGGAAGCAATATAGCGTTTCGCTGACCAGTTTGTCGAAGCGGAGTGTACTTCGGAGTCGACGTGGCGGACGGATTGAAGCTTTCGAACAACTGGAAACTGTCTTCTTCGTCGTCTTTCGATTCGTGCCGGAATGCTGACAACGGCTCTTTTATTTGGGGCGGACGACGTGGAGTCCTCCGGATGTTTCCGAAGTCCGTTGGAATTTTCGGATAGATTTTCTTGACTTCAATATTCGAAGAAGACGTCGGGAATGACCTCGGGATGACCGGAGTTTTGATAGGAACAGAAGGATCCCTGCTACGGAATGGGTTCGCTGCTTTCAGCATTTCAATGTCTTTCTCCTGCTGCTTGATTATTGCATCTTTTTCGGCCAATTCTTTCTTATGGTTCTGGATGTTCTTTTGCGTCTGAAACATGGAAAATGTATTGAATTGTGGGAGTGTCACTGAACGAACATCTTTTTGGAAATCTGCTTGTTGCCTCAGACATTTATGCCGTTCGTTTTCCAGTTGATCTCTGAGCATCTTCACTTCTCCGCTTGGAGTAGCCGGTCGGGATTCGAGCGAAGGAGGCGTGATCCTGTTGGCCAGCACGGGCACCCGAACGGGCGGCGTGTGCGTACTGGAAAAAGAGTTCGAACAATGAATATGGACGCCGATGTACCTTCTGAGTACAGAATTGGCACTTCTGTGTCTGGAAAGAGAGTTTGGGGAAGAAGGGGCGCCGCTTGGAGTGTTTGGTTCTGAAAACATGACAGTTTCGAGCATGTCTTCCATTTCCTCGATTACTTTGTGTCGATCCACTGACTCTCACGTTCGTCACTGCCGAATGGACGCCTGCTCCGAATCCGTTCACCGGGAGATTCAGACCTTGCGGTTGAGCAGAAGCGGAAGCCCGCGAAGTGCTCGGAAAAGAGGGAAATGAAGCTTTTTGAGTCATTTGCTGACTGAAAGGGACCGGAACAGTAGATGGTTCTGCAATTCACAAACTTTTACGACTACAAAAACTCTCCGAACTACTTGTCACTGGTTTCTGTGAATTGGGAACTACCCGGGGTTGCGAAGTGGCCGGGGTTTCTGAAAATGGAAATTTTTAGTACTTCGGCCTACAGAACAGACTTACTCTGCTCGTTGGAATTCGTGCTTCCCGACGATCCGCCGGTGCTCTGAGTGCTTGCCGTCGGAGCGAACGTATCGAAGGAATCATCCGAATCGGGATCGGAATCCTGTTGGACCGGCGGAGGAACTACTGGGGCTGCTGCTTGTGACATGAGCGGCCTCGTAAACGGCATAGAACTGAAAAGAATCATTGCTTTTTTTATTTTTATTTTGTTTCAATTTACCACGGCACCGGCCTGTGGAAGCTGTCTTCCTCGTCCATCGGCTCATCTGACATTCTGAAACTTGCCACTATCGTCACACAGGGAAATGAAAAAACGGAACAAAAATAATAAACGGGAACTTTGAACAAAAACCACTTCACACAACATCCAACAAAGAAGACAAAAGCCCCAGGAATCCATAAAAATCTGTAATTTTTATTGGAACACTAGTAAAACATGACAAATAGAAATATTTACAAACAGAAAACGGTTGCCTGAGGGAGACAATAGAGAAGAAAAACGCTTAAAGTCGTAGTGATTTGATGAAAATCAGGACCGCGTAGTCGAAAAAATGATACCGGGAAAGAACGGACAAAATGGGAAAATGCCTAGAAAAACGACCCCGTATTGAAAGAAAATGCAATAAAAAGGATGAAATTATAAGTACAATCGGTCAGTTCATCGCCGACTCTCCAGTCCGCCGTGCCTCACTGGCTCCGGCACCGGCTTTCCGCCCCTCTTGTTTCGATCGATTTCCGCGCGGAAGTACTCGATGGTCTTCAAAAGTCCGTCCTTCATCAGCACCTGCGGTTTCCACGAGATCTGCTCGGCTGCTCTTCGGATGTCCGGCCTCCTCTGCTGCGGATCGTCTTGTTGCGATTCCATGTTCACAATTTCACTCGTCGATCCGGGAACGAGGTCTCGGATGATCGTAGCGAACTGACCAATCGTGTGCTCCTCTGGATTTCCAATGTTTACAGGCAAAGAGTAGTTACTGTTCATCAGCTTTATCAGCCCATCCACCAAATCCGTCACGTACTGGAATGATCGTGTTTGCGTCCCGTTTCCGTATATCTGAAAGAAAACAAAATAGAAAAAGAAAGAAAAGAGAGGCTTACGGTGATTGGTTTATCCTGAAGAGCCTGAATTATGAAATTTGAAACGACGCGGCCGTCGTTCATGTGCATTCTCGGCCCGAAAGTATTGAAGATTCTGGCAATGCGGATTTGCACATTCTCCTGTTTATTGTAGGCGACCATCAATGACTCGGACACTCGCTTTCCTTCGTCGTAACAACTTCTCGGTCCAATAGTGTTCACATGTCCCCAGTACGTTTCCGGCTGTGGATGTACTTCTGGATCTCCATAGACTTCCGAAGTGGATGCCAGCAGCACAGTCGCCTTCACTCTCCTGAAAGCATCTTTTGAATGACGGCATCAACAACAACAACTAACTTGGCCAATCCGAGCATGTTGATAGTTCCCAGTGTATTAGTTTTTATTGTTTTCACTGGATTATACATGTAATGCGGGGGTGACGCAGGGGAAGCCAGATGGTAAATCTGATCAACTTCTACGAAGTACGGATTGACGACGTCATGATGAACCATTTCGAAGTTCGGATGGCCAACCCAATGCTCGATGTTCTTCTTTCTGCCCGTGAAATAGTTGTCCAGAGCAATAACTTCGTGTCCGTCCAGCATCAGTTTGTCAACGAGATGCGATCCGACGAATCCGGCTCCTCCGGTGATAAGAATTCGTTTTCGCGTCTCTTCGTTACGGTACCGAACGGATGGGAATGACTTTCTGGAAAAGTAAATTTATTTCAGTCGGCTGTTTATTTTCGTATGCGAAAAATAAGATAAACAAACACTTACGTAGTCGGCAAGGGAGCCACAACTTCATCCGCGCCGGCGTTTCCGTCTCTGTCTTCTGCATCATCCATCCTCGTTCGCAGCGACGAAAGCTCGTCTTCGAGTACTTTTATCCTTTCCAAAAGTGATGAGACTGCATCATCTTCTGCATTTCTGGCATAAATCAGAGTTCACGTCTCTCTTTCTCGCCTCCTACTCACTTGTTTGACTCGTTTGGCGCTTCTCCCTGCCCCTCTTCGTCCACTCTGTTCATTGGTTGACGACTTTCAACTACGTCGCTCGGAAGTGCCTTGTTTGATGTATTTGTTATCAACACTACAAAATATGAAAACTATTTTTTTTCTAGTCTGTCTCCTAGTTCGAAAAGCCTACCGAAAACGAAAAACAGAGTGAGAAGTGCAGCGCACGCTCCACGAGTAGCCATGGAAAAGGAGTGGTTTCGGACACGTCGGGGGCTCAGCATGCGGGAAGATGGACCAAGGATCGGCACATGCAAAGCGCCTGGAAAAAGGATGAAATGCAGTGGACAGGGAGGGCGGAGAGCATCGGAACAAAGAGAGTAAACACAGAGATAGAGCGGGAAATCATTCTGCGACGACTTGATTATATGCAGGCGCAGATTGAAACACGGGGAAATGGCGATGATCAGGTGACGGTTAGAGAGTCCAGTCTCGCCGGATTCTTGCCGGATTATGACGTTTTCAGCACTGTTTTCACGAGTCGCATTACCAAAACTTTAGTTTTTCGATACTTCGTTTCGTTCGAAGTGCGTCAAAGCGCACACGGGCAGCCAAACTTCACATGGTTGTAACTACGAGAATGGCCTTGCTAGAACGGGTTTGCTGCCTCTTTTGCCTCACCAGTCATCAGTTCTATGCGTCCGCCAATTAGCATACGAGAGATTCGAAAAAGTGATACTATTCTCACGAACAACAAAAAATTAAAAGAAGACAATAAAGGAAACGCATTGTTTACAAATTTAAACGAAATCGAATAATTTTCTGTAAAAATAATTTTTTTGTGTGGGGTATGCAAATGCGCTCCATTGCGCAAAAATTTCTCTGCGTCTCCTTGCTCAGCGTTGTGTCTCGAATGAGAGATTTCTTCGAAGTTGGAAGTGAATGGCTTCTTCTAGGAGACAAAGTTTTCAGGTACTTATGCAGCCTCTTGAACACGTCTTCAGTCCGATAGTTTCCATCGTTAGGAAGAACCGCATTGTGACTGCGTTACGTATTGCCACCTCCCAACGATAAGAGCAGAAAACTCATTGTTTGACATTTTCCCATTACTACTAATGTACACAAAAACAATTGGAATGAAGCAATAAACTCTTTGGAAGATAGATTTCGAATCAGTTTGCACTCTTCCTCTTCCCGTCCGCGCTCTCCGGCCCCGTGGACATCTGGCATTCTCGGTTCCCATGACGACCGACGCAAAAGGGCCGAGTGGCTCCGCTGGACACCTTCGGATAATGCCCCGTTCGGACTCTGCTCAACGCGACGCTTTCCACTATTTCTCCCTATTCCTGGTCATTATCACGTGGCTTTGTGTCTTTCAGGTTCCCACCAACTCCATCCGACACGTTCGAACGTTCCTTCTTTTCTTTTTGCAGGCTGTCATTTTAACAGCTCCAAAGTTTCTAAAACTGGACAAGAAGTAGGAGATGCCACATGAGGACATATTCACAGAGGTTCGGAAGGTTCCTCTTAAAATCTGTGGACTGAATTCTATTCCATTTCAGCCAGTCTTTCGTGTTTTCCGTGCCCCCGGGTGCAGTTGGGCCGCATTTTACATGAAATTGGCCAACGTCTTCCGGTATTTTTTGCCGATTCTATTGATATTTCTGACTGAAGTAAGTTCATTTGCATACATTCCATCTGAATTTTCAACTGTCGCAGGGTCTATGGAAAAAGACGAACACATTCAGAGAGCTGCCGGATCTTTCGTTCGCCGGAGATTTCATAGTTTACGCCTACGGTACCTTTCTTTTGTATTTGAAGATTCACGGAGAGTGATTCCCTTCAGGACGGGACAGGTCGGTCGTTTCCTCTTCTTTCGCCGTTTTGAATGCGGCCGCTTCTTCGGATCAGCGCTCGACTTCTCAGATTCTGCATCATTTCAGTCCTTCTGAAGACGAAGACGTCTGTTCATTTTCATACTTGAATTATTCATTACTATGTCAATTTCAGATCAAAAGCCTCGATATTCAATTCCAAATGAGCACTCAGAATCTCTCGATTGACACTGTCATCTATGCATTCGTTCTCAGAATGCGACTGGATTATCATTCGATTGTGGACGTGAGTATTCGATTGAAAGGCTGTTCTGAAACTGAAAGAGATCAATTTCAGACAGAAATTCTACTCTCCGATACTCTGCACCTCCATTCGCCCACTTCTCAAATTCAGACGACCGCCCGTCTGTGCGTGGACCAATCGGTTCCGTTCGGAAAGAGAGAAACGTTCCGGATAATCGACAGAAGACGTCAGGACGTCGAGCACTTTCAGATGCATTCCGTCCTCCGCAGAGTCACTCTCTCTCCGCTGGCTCTTGAACTGAAACGGTGAGTCGTCGTCTTCCCTCCTCCATTCATCTGAATCCCTTCCAGAAAGTCCTCCGTCTTCCTCGCTGCTCCCTCTCCTCCTCCCACACTCTCTCTTCGCATTTCCTTGTCCTTTTCCGAAATGGAATTCATCTACAAAACGGGCTTCTGGGAGCTTCTCAAATGGTTCTGGATCCAGTATTTCGCCGCATTCATAATTGTAAATCATCTGTTCACTTCGCTCACTTCTTACCTCTTCCGTAATCGTGTATTCTATGTTAATGATGTTATCCGCTCAAAATGAAACTTTGATATTAAAGTACTATTACCAGGCATAAATTGTACACAAAGAGGAGCAATTAGGTTACGTATCACATAAGAAAAATGAGATCACCGATTGGACACAGGAAGAAAAGTGTTTCGAAGAAAAGACCGGAAGTTCACTGAACAGGAAGAAGGCACCAAAAAATGTGAAGACACTAGCGAGCCGAAGCCGATTTGACTAATTACATGAACTGATTAGGTGCGAGGTCCCGATCCGACTGGCTCTAAGCCGAGCTGCTCCAATTCATAATCAAGATCCATCGAACTGCGGTCCATCTGAAATAAATTTGGTCATTGAAAGTAAGACTGACTACAATACTCACTTCATCTTCATCTAGAAGATCCTCGTCGTCGAGCACATCCTGCGCAGTCAACGATATGTACTCTCCGCCTCCAGAAGTGATTCCTGATGTCAATGGGGTACTTGAGTTGTCCAGAATCTCTTTCAATCTGAAATAATTGTTCCCATTGCTGGCTTCTCGATTTCTCAATTACCTCCTCGACTTTTGGAGCATTCTGATTGCATGATACAAGAGAACTCCAATGACAACGACGAAAAGTAGACTCGTCGCGTGCTGGAGATTCTCGAAAGCCGATTCCAAAGCGAAAAGGCATGCGATGGCACGACCCACGATCCAGGCGACAAGAAAATACGCTAGTTGGACAGTGGAACGGACATGAAGAAAGATCTGGAAATGGAGAATGACAGGAGAGAAATTGGGTAGGGAATGTATACCTCAACGACTAAGAAAAGAGAAATCCAGAGAGCGTAGAGACCACAAACTGAGACGATGGTTCCGAACTGTGACCCGAAGAGCAGGAGAATGATTTCTCCGAGAACTGTGACCGCGAACGAAAGGATCACACACTCGAGACTGCCGACACGATTGCCGCTGGAAAAGCAATAGTTGCTGAAAGTTCCACGAAAGAACAGCTTACGCGAAGAGCATCAGAATCGAAGTGAGTACGACGAGCACACAAACGAGCATGTGCTCCGAATCGGTCGGCGACGACGCCGAATGGAAGTGTTTTACCTCTGGAATGCGCATTTCTGATGGCTGAACTCTTTTGAAGGACTCTTACGTTGTACGAATCCGATAATCGTTTGAATAGCAGCGATGATTATGCGAAGACGCATTCCGAGCCCGACGACAGAGTCGGATTCCAGTTTTTTCACTTTTGAGTCGGGCTTAAGACCGCATGGAAGACAGCAGAGCATGTAGGAAAGTGAGTAGACGACCACGCAGAAAATGACGAACGTTTTCACAAAAGAGGATGTCGTTTCTTCAGCCGAAGCAACATTTCCCGTGAGAAATAGAGAGGCGGTGGGACAGTTAGCAGATAAAGCAGGCGATTCGATTGGCGCGGAAGGGCTGAGAAGTAAGAGAATGAATGAAAGACGCCTATTTTTAAGGACTCACGATTTCGAATCCTCTTTGCTATCTCTTGTTTTCACATCTACAGTAACTGTTCCAGTTGTCGTTGGAGGCAGTGTTGTAGTCGTCGTCGTAGTAGTTGTTGTTGTGGATGTCGTTGTAGAAAGAGTAGTCGTAAACGTAGTTGTGGTGGTGGAAGTGCTCGACGAGGTGCTTTCCAGAACTTCAGTGCCGTTGCCAGACGATCCGTCGACCACAGGCACTTCCTCGCCTTTCTTTTTTTCTTCAACTTCCTTCTCTTTTTCCGCATTCATTTCGGTTTTGGTTTTTGACTTCTGCACAGTCCCTGTGGCAACTTCTGGCTTCTTGATAGAGGCATCATCCGTCACATTCACCGTCGCCTGCGTCGAATTGTCAACCACTGCAGCTGAAATGACAAAATAAACGTTTGAATTATTCTGATCACTTACAGAACGGCAGAAGAGTTTTTGATTTGACCTCTTCGACCACAGCTCTTTTCAGCCTTTCCAATACGGTCTCTTGTAGTGATCTTGTCACAATACTCATGTCGGCCAAACTGCTCGTTGCATCTGTGAATGCTGTCGTTTTGACAGTCATCGCCAGAAGACCGCCGGTAGAGAATAGGAAAAGCAGAACGAGCAGCTTCCGAGGCTGTCTCCTCCATAAAGCGAACCAAATGAGTAGTCCGCCATACAGTGTCGCTCCCACGAAAAATCCCCGAACGGCGAAGAGGATTGCGAAGTTGAAGGCGAGAAACAAGTTGACGAGCAAAGTGAGGAGTACGGAGAGCAGGAAGAGCATGAGGTTCGACCTGGCAGCCGTCAGTTTGGCTGAATTACTGAGAGTTTAGTTCTCTGTTAAGATATTCCTGGTCTTACCAGAATAGGCCCCACAGAGCATTCCAATGCATATCCACAGACATGCGAAGACTTCGTGCGACACGGAGCATTTGGAAATGCTTGTGGATGTGCTCACGAGACCCTGTAGAAGACTTCCGGAGATAAAATATCGATATGAAGGCTTTTACCGCTGTCAGGAATAATAGTGAAAGGACGATGAATCGAACTGTTTGGTTGTCGGTTTTCCCTCGGACCAGAGACGCGTTTTGCCTTTTCGTGGAGGACAGTAAATTGTTCTTCAAGAATTTCAATACATTCGGGGCGAGTAAGAATCAAAAATTACCCTGTCAAAGACCATATCTTCGTCATCGTCGTCATCCGAGTCAGATACGGATGCCGTCAGTTTCACATCCACGAACTTTTTTGCTTCAGCCTGTGTTGTTTCTCTTTTAGGACTCCGTTCGTGCGAATCGAGGACTATAATGCACTTTGTGTAATTTTGTTCATTTATTTCAACTCACTTCCAAGCTGTGATAGAATATGAGAATCGTCATGAAAACTCATGATTTTAGCAGATTTTCCGTGATGCTCTCCAGTCTGAACCCGTTTCTGAAAGTGTGCCCAATTTTCAGATGTTCCACATTCTTTCCGGTTGCTTCACAGCCATTAGTTGGCAGAAAAAAAAGTAAAATCGTACAGCTGAACGAGTGCGACCGTAACCCGTCTGTCGTTGTGAGACCCGTCCGTTTCTCTGCGTCTCATCGTGCGGCCTCCCTCTCGCACTGCGCTGCGGTCAGACGCGCGGTCTCACAAACGCAGATCTCGTGATTTTCGAAACGCATTGCGATGTGTTGCTCTCCCGTATGTTCCTAATTGAGCCGAGAGAGTTAATTTCGAGGAGAATCGATACTCATTTTCTATTTCTTTTTGCACAAACTTATAACAATTTTAGGTGAATTTGCAAAGAATGATTGGGAGAAAAGATCCGATGGGCGAAAGCTTTCGAGATTATTGGAAAAAGGCCTGACGAAGCCACAGTGTGCAAAAATCCGAAATATTTGCAGAAGATCGAAATTGAAATTCTAAATTTTTAAATCCTGAAGGAGGTAAAAGTTTTGCTTGCTAAATGCATTGGCGATGGTTGGATGTTTCCCGCGCTGTAATCTCGTGTAGAATCCACAAATTCTGCAGGTTTAGTTCAGTTCCAGTTCCGCGTCGGTAGCTTGCTGAGAAGCACTCAAGGCCCACAACTTGTTTTGCGATTCGCCGTGGCCCGCGACCGAATTTTGGATCGATAGCTTTGTGTGAGAGTGGGCGAAAAGAGGAGAGTTCGCAATGACGATTAGTCGCGTTGTTTGCGCTGTAGAGAAGACGGGTCTCTCGTGGCCGTGTGTCGGGCTGCGATAGTCACTTGAGTGAGTTGGCGGCAGCAGTATAGCGCGCTTGCTGTACATTCTTTCTGTGGTTTTCAACACTCCTTTTTCTACAAAACGGTTCCATAATTTGAATAAGGAAGAACGAAACACGATGGTAACATAATTTGGAATGACAAAAATGTGAAAAGGGGGACATTCTACAATATCCGGATGACGCAAGAAATAAGTTATCATTCATAGCCTAGGTTTGTCATTTTCAAGAAATTCAAAAACTGATGCCGCGTATCTTCTTGTGTTTATTAATCCCAATCACTCAAATGTTTTCGTCTTTATTTGCGCAACTCCAACCATCCCAAACGTTCGGCAACGAGGCGATTCCATGCCTTCAGGACAGAAATTTCAAAACGAAAAGTGCGGATCGTCCCAAAACTCTGCTCAAAATTTTGCGACATGGGCGGAGCTTTATGCATTCGATGACCAATGAGCGCGCTCGGATACCGTAGGCCAATTTTTCTGCAGCGCGCGCTTATTTCGAAATGTTTCGCACAGCGCGCAAAAATGTGGTTTGTTGAAAGTGCTCATGTAATTTCGTATTAGAAAATTCAAACAATCTTCTTTGCAAATTCATCCGGCAGAATTATTGCTTATTTTTGGTGAGAAGGAACGAAACGGAAGCCAGGAAAACGGCGATTGGGAAGAAGTGGAAACGTGTTGGGTTGGTAAATGTACGCGTGGAAAGTATGATGTGGATATGCACAAACTACGGACCTCTTCTGATATACTTCGTTACTCTCCCATTTCGTTCTTACTCTTTTCCGTTCTGTGTCACTTGTTTCACGTCAGAGTGACATTCATATCCAGTCATTAGTTGTTTCGCTCTTTTGTCCGATAAGCTCCACTGAGACGGAAGCGGCAAACCCATCAATCGAGATTCATATTTTTAGGAAGAAATGGACATCCCACAGAAAGAGAATCAAGAAGACTTCGAAGATGGAGAACTTCCGGAAGACGGAGAGATCTGTGACGACGAAGACGACGGTGAGCATCGGTCCGGCTGGAATTCCCTCCAGACGCCAGCACTTTCAGTAGCCAAACCAGCGCCGTCGAAACCGATGGATCAGCCAGCACCAGCGCCAGAACATCAGAAGCAGCAGCCAGCGGCAGGAGTGAACGGACCGGCGGGGAGAGATTCGAAAGAAAAGGGAGACAGGAATAGACGGTTCGAGCGCAACAGCCCGCCGAAGAGGGACCCGGATCCGTTCGGACCTCACAGCGATGCGCCGGAAGGCAATGGTGAATTGAACAGAAACGGGGACAAGGCGGATTACGGTAGACTATTTTCAGACTATTTCGGAGCCAATGGAGGCGACAAGGATTACCGCGGAGTGGGTGGACCTGCTGGGGCAGAAGAAGAGCCGTTCAGTGATACGGATTACCGAGTGAACAGAAGAAGACGTCATTCTCCGCTCAACGACGATGGAGACTACGACGGACGCTCGAAAAGATCGTTCTTCGGACGTGGAGCATTCCGCGGAGGAGCTGGAGGAGGATTCAGGAACGGACCAAAGCCACGGTTTCAGACGGAACATCAGATATGCAAGTTCTTCCGAGAGGGCTACTGCAGAGACGGCGACAATTGCTCGTATTCCCATCAGGCAGAAGACTCACTCCGACGGCCCGTTCTTTGCAATTTCTACGCCAACAGCTACTGCAAAAAGGTTCGTTCTCGTTCCGTTCGGTTCCGTTTAACCAGATTAATGTCTTCAGGGTCTTCAATGTCTTATGCTCCACGGAGAATTCCCGTGCAAGGACTTCCACAAAGGGCACTGCAATCATGATCAGTGTCGCTTCTCGCACGTCCCGCTCACCGAGTACACTCGTCCGATAGTGGATAAGCTGTTGGCGATCGATGAGGAGCGTCAGTCTCATCAGCCGGCCACGTACCGACAGAATCCGGTGGCGAACGCTGCCGCAGCTGCTGCTGCCGCCAACGTGTCGAGACGAAGAGTTCTTCTTCCTGGTGGTAAGCGTGATTTCTTAAGGAGCACTTCCCAAATCAGTGATAGTTCCAGGCCCGAATGGCAATCAATCGTCTCCCCCACACGCTCCAGTCATACATGCTCCAGTCCCTCAACCAGCGCACCACTCCGGAGGACAATTGCCTCCACCGGCTGTAGTTGTGCCCATTAGGAATAGCCTTCCTCCGATGTACCCACCTGTCGGATCTGCAGGATATTTCAATACGGGACCACGACCGGAGCAAGTGCAGGGACTTCCACCACCACGGACCATCGAGCCGCCTCGTCTGAGCACTCACGCACCCATTCCACACCAGCAGCCGATGCGTCCGATGCATCCGCACGGACATCAGATGCCACATCACCATCTTCAGCAGCCGGGACTTCCACCGCCGCAGCAAGTGATACCTGAGCGAAGAGCTCCGTCGCCACCTACATTCAATCTGGAGGTTTGTGAAAGAAATAAGGCAGAACAAGGTTCTTAATTCAATTAATTCCAGGCGATGCTGAATAAACTGGCGAATGGAGACAAGACGTCAGACAGACAGAAAGATAGTTCGAAGCTGGTCGATGATTCTCCAGCATCTCCTCCGCCTTTCCCGATGTTACGCAATCAAGGTTCGAGAGTCACCATGATTCCCCAGGACACTCCTGTCACGTGGGCGTTGATCCGTGTTCCGAAGCGCCTTCCGTATTCCAACGTGGAGAACGTCGACAAGATACCAGCCAACGATCCACGAAAAGCGAGGGCCATCGCGAAGCAGTTCGACGCCTTCTCCTCATTCCTCGGCTCCGGTGGCAGCGGTGTCTCGGATCCTCGTCTGCGTGCTCAGAGGGAGAAAGCCGTGGAGTCGGTGCGGCCGCAGAATACGATGCCTTTCTCGTCTTGGATGCCGCAGATATCGTAAATGAAACTCCCTATGTTTAGTCAATGATTTTGTCGTGTCACATAAATCGGTTTGGTATCCTATTGCCTCCCGTCATTCTGAAACTATGCTCTCCCCTCATAATACTGGTACCCACGTTCTCTTTTTTGCTCTGAACTCGTAGGTCTTTGGCATTTTCTTTCTCCCCCCCCCCCCAAACTTCAAAAAGAAGCTGTATACGCTGATGCTCATTTTTCAATTGAATGTGTGTAAAATAAACGCCAATCTGCTATGAATTTATTTATTGTGCCGCAAGTGTTCAGTTTATTTCAGAATCTTTCCTAATTCCCTACGTTGACGGTGCATATTTGCTAAAATAAATGAATGTGTATTTTCCCTGTTTATCGTTTGTTTTCCATGTAAACAGCCGGAACAATCGACGACACTCTTCAAAACAGGTGGAATGCCCGTTTTCCGCACGAGAATACGGCCTTTTCCGCAATTTACTCTGCGGCTCTTCGTCCCGTGTTGTCTCTCGCCCGCACGCCCGCTCAAACTATAGTGGAGCGCGGAACCCGCGAGATGTCGGCTGCGCATTTTGCATAGGTTGCCGCCCTCACTCATCGTACTTTAGTCTTCAGTACGGGTCAAATTCTGATCTGCAACTGAAAATGATGAGTTCGGGCGATGAATCGTTGTGATTAAATCGCACGGCGAGGTGGGACCGCAATACCTGCCTGGCAGCCCGATTCTGAACCAGTTGTTTTTGTGAAGACTTCCAAGTGAGAGAAGTTGGATAAATAAAGAGAAAGGAAAAAGGCAATCATCGGTTCTTATTTATCGTCAATCCGAATATTCAAAACTTTCAGCCAAGAACACCTTGTTTATTGGTGCCGTCATGTCCACGAAGAACTTTCCGCTTCGCCTCATACATAACATGTTCCGGAGGTGCCAGGCAAACACAATTTTGTGTCCCTTTCTGCGCCGAAAACGAAAACGACGACTGGTTTCTTGCTCTGCAAAGTCTAATTGATCTCAACCTACCGTATTCCAAACTCTCCGGAACTCGTTGATTGTGCTCATTTGCTTCTTTCCTTTGGCGTAATTGAAAGGGCTCGAAATGACCTCGTTTTCTGGACTCGAAGGAATCGTTTGCAAGAATTGGTCGTGATTCTTTTCCTTTCTGCCCATATAATTTCTTGTTTTCGTCGATGAAACCCCATTTATCTGGGCACGCCGGAAAAGTTTCCATTTTCCGTTTGTGCCGTGACATTTCCCCGAATTCAATTTTCAGAGCTTTCTTGGCATGTGATAATGCAATTGGAGCGTTGTTTATCCGAACAATATTTCGTTTTTCTCTTACTTTCATATCAAAAGCCAACAATGGTAATTCTCTGAACTCTGAACTCAATTTGTATAGCAATTTGTAGCAACGGAAGGAAAGAAACATTGCCACGGATTAGTCTGAAAGTATTTCCGACATTCTCTAAGCTCCGGCAACACGTCAAACGGATTGAGAACGTTTATATTCAAAGGAATCTGCCAACTCGCAAGAACCATTCAGTTCACAGGATATCGGAAGCTAAGGCGATTTGCCCGCAGTTTGGGCCGTTTCATCTGAAAATCTTTTGCATTTCCTTCGAAATCTTGAAATCTCCTTTAAAAGTTCGTCAACTAATTCAATCGAAACTGCTCCTCTTTTGATCTTTTTCGCTCCCTCTCCTCCTCGTTTTTCTTCGTTTTGCACTCTTGTAATGACTTGTCGAAACTGCTCTCTCTCTCTTTCTTTCGTCGTTTTCGAATGTAAAAAGCAAGTGAGCCTGCCGTTGTTGAGCTCTTACCGCACTTGTTCCCAATGTCTAATCCTTCGCCGAATGAATACACCTCGATATTCGCAGCTTTGTTCTCACAAACCTTGCCGTCAAGGAGTAGAAGACGTCTGGTGTGGTGCTGTGTTTTGAGCATGAATTCAATGGAATTCAATTTGATCGCGGAAGTCATAAAAGAGAATCCGCCGGGCTCCGGCGGAAGATTCATGAAGAATTATCCGTTGTGAACGTGTTTTTTTCCGGGAAACTCTGCAGACATTCCTTTTTCATAAAAAGTTTATACTCGGAAGTGCGGCACAAGTTTCGTGTGCATTCAGTGACGCGGAACTGGACTGATAGGTCCTCTCTCTCATCCCGTTTCTCTCGAATCCATCGGCCAGTTAAGTCCTCTCTCTGATTAAGTTATAGCCGGTAAATCAATCATCCGTCCGTCGGTTTCCGCCCGTGACCAATCACTTATTATATCATATATGATAGCTGCCACTCATTCATGCAAATTCATAGTTAGCCTGCCGTTGAGCAGTAGAGAAAAAGTGGGCTCAGATGGAGATTATACACACATATTTATAAGACGAGTTTAAAATTCTATTCACAAATGGATTTTCTCACTCTCGTTTTCCTCCGTTCGCAGTTTTCGGGTAACGAACCCACTTTAGACTCTGTCCCAGACCTCATCGGAAAAAAATTGTTTTGCAAAAAAAGAGACGGTCCTCATTCCTCTCATTTCTTTTGAATACCTGAAAAACAACAGTGGGAATGTGTGCGCCCGAGTGTATTCCGTCAGGTTTGCAGCCGTCTCGAGTGTCTTCTGCTCCTTCTTCTTCTTCTTTCTTTCTCGTTTTCATTAAAGTGAACGGAATGGCAGTGGGTCCGCAGGCACGGAATAATCAGGAAAGCCAACGGATGACACCCACTGTTTTGCTCCTCTGCTCACTTCGAAATGATCTCATCAGTCACGTGATTTCGAGCGTTTCCAAATCTCGAATTCAATTATTTCCACCACCGACGTTCGCCTGCCACTCTTCGCCGTTCGTTGATAATTCAAGCTCTCATTCATTTCCTGAAATACTGGGGTTCTCATGAATCATTTGTGAGCGAATGAATATTCATTTCAGTCAAAACTCCTAACAAATCCCATTCTTGAGGAACCAACAACCAAACTTACCCGTCGCAACAAAAACATTCCATTCTAATAGAAGAGTTCTTGTGAAACTCTCAATTTCCGGTACTTCATCTTCTTCCGTTTCCGATTCGGAAGTAGAAGTGCGCAATGCTTCCGGAAATCAAGAATCCGATAAGGATGTCATTGACTACAAGCCAGGACTGGGCAATTGGAAATAGGCACTTCGAAGCCCAGACTTTTGACCGAATAGGACTCAAACTTTGCAGCCTTTTCCGATTCTGACCCACTTATCTCTGGGCCAGAAAATCCGATCGGTCTGAAACTTGAACCCTGGGCCGGCCTTTTGCCCATCCTTGCACAAACATTCATTTTGATATTTTCCCATCCATTTCTCTCTTCATCCATTTGTAATAACCATCCAAATGAGAGTGTTCGCTCTGCTCCCCCATTCATCGGCTCTTCCTTCTTCTTCTTCTTCTTCTTCTTCTTCTTCTTCAACCTCCCCCTCCGTTTTTTGGTCCATCATCACTCAAATATCAACATTATCCGCTTATTCCTGAACTCATTTCAACCAGAAACGCAATTTCGTCAATATGAGCTGAAAAGGGGCGGAGCCTAATGTAATCCGGCGGTTCCAAAGTCCGTCTCTCGCGTCCTGCTTCTGAATCATTCACGAAGGTTTCGGGTTCTGTCGGTCTCTATTTTTCTCCTTTCCCTTTTCAAATTTGACTAATCAAACGGCGATCTTCTGCTCGTTTCCCGGAATCCTCTCCGCTATTTCCGATTGTGTTTTTTTTTCAATTAACGCCTTTGCAGAAGAAGATGAATGACTCGGAGCACGTGAAATTATGGATGTTCATCTCGAGGTGCCAGTTCTGGATCATCCTCTGCACAGTGCTCATTTCGCTCTTGCTCGTCGCCCGAGCCTTTTTCAATCTGCTAAAACGGAAACGCTCCAATTACTTTGTGTTCCTGACGAGTATCATTGTCGCAAACGTCATCACACTCCTCATTATTCTCTTTGACATCTTCAATTTCTCGTTCAAAGGTCAGCCCGTCCCCCGGGAGTCCTTCCCTCTCATTTCGTTTCCACGTTTTCAGGCACTCTCGTGTGCAAACTGGAGCTGTTCTTCTCGAACACTGCCGCCTGTTTCATCAATTGGATATGGCTCTGTCTGTTCACTCAGCGCTTCTTCATCCTTTTTTACCCAATGAAACGCTCTTCGCGAGGCTTCTTCGGATTTATGCGATCCGCGAAGAAACTGATATTTGCGACCGCCTGTTTCGCCCTTTTGACGCAGGTGCGCATTATCCGGATGGAGACGAATGATCATCGGCTTACTAGTACAAAGTTTTTGCAGAGTTGGTCTCTCATATTCATAGAAGAAGTCACGATGCTCACGGAGGATGATCAGTTGATTGGGGTCTGCGAGAGGGACGTCGACATCATGAGGTTGATCTCTGAAATGATGAATAACAGGAACCAATCAGAGACATTTCAGCGACTTTGGCTACCGAATTCTGGCAATCGGAGAGGCATTCATCACTTACGCATTCCCGTTTTTACTTACAATTGTAATGGACATTGCGGTCCTTTATCAGTCAGCCAACTCGAGGTTCCCGCCCTTTTCGGGACTTTCTCACGCTCTTTTCTTTTCTTTTCAGTTTCGTGGTAATGACGGCCGAAAGCATACGCACAGAGCACAGTACCCTGCTGAAAGTGAACGAAACCGTCAAAATCCAGTCGTCTCAGTCCATCAAACAATCGAATCGTCGTCGGCATCAGGCAGTCAGACGGTGTCTGATGATGGCCACGATTCAAGTGTCCCTCAACGCTCCCTACTACACCCTCCAACTGTGCGACGAGATCTTCAGCCTCCGTACTTCCACAAACATCTATCTGTACCTCGACGCCATCTTGTACTTCATCTACCTCACTCAGTTCTCCATGATCTTCTTCTACACCAATCTATTGGTTTCCCCAAGAGGAAAGAGCAGTCGGTACGTTCTTTTCACTTTATATACGTTGAATAATTTCCGATTTCAGTCAGCCGAACAAGATGCCGCTGAGCTACACGAACAGTCTCCGAAGTGAACTCACTACTATCTGAAACCTCGCCGCCTGTGATCTCTTTCAACAATTATCACAAATTCATTGCATTTCCATGTGATACACATTTTATTTTGAAAAGTAATAAATATTTGATCTTGGAAAGTAATATATAATCGTTATCGAAAGAAGGAGTATCGTCGTCATTTTGCAGCATTGTTCATCGGTTCATGAGAGTGAGGACCTGGTCGAGCGCCGTCACCGTCTCCAGAATGTTGTCGGCGTTGAAGCAGAGTGGCGGCTTGATCTTCAGAATGTTCGTGTACGGTCCGTCGGCGTTCAGGAGGATTCCGAAGCTCTTTCGGAGAGCGAGAATCGTGGCGAGAGCCAGTTGTTGATCGGGCTCGCGGCTCTCTCGGTCCTTCACCAGATCGATTCCCCAGAAGAGACCGACTCCTCTGGAAATGGAAAACGTATGAGCTGTCTCTGAGTTCTTCTGAATACCTGATATCTCCAATGCACTCGTGTTTCGTCTGCAGCTCTCTGAGTGCCACCTCGAGTTTCTCTCCCATTTCCTGGCTGTGCTCCAGAAGATTCTCCTCTTTCACCACTTTCATCACCGAGATAACGGCAGCACAAGCCACTGGGTTTCCTCCGTACTTAACAAGAAATGATCGTACTCAAAACTTCTGGGAAGACGCTTACCGTGTTGAAGTATCCGACTTCTCCTCCGAGAGCATCAGCAATCTCCTTTCTGGTAGCCACTGCAGACACCGGGAATCCGTTTCCCATCGGTTTTCCCATCGTCACAATGTCCGGAATGAATCCGTCGTCGTACAACTGATGGGCCCAGTACTTTCTTCCGATGCGTCCGAACCCAGTCTGCACCTCGTCGATGACCATCAGTCCTCCGTGTTTCCTCACGTGGCTCGCCACATCCTTGAAGTAATCCTTCGGCGGAATGACCTGACCTCCGCAGGATTGGAGCGCTTCTGCGAAGTAGGCAGCGACTCCCCGTTCGCGAGATTCCACGTCATCCAGAATGGCTTTCACGTCATCCGAATACTGCTTTCCGGCCGCGTACAGCTTCTCCTCGTCGGTCAAATCCGTCTCGGTAAGCCTGTGTTTTCCACGGAAGACGTCCGGGCACGGGGCCACGTGCACCCATTCCGGCTGAGAGACCGTTGATCCGTGGTCGAATTTGTAGGGGGACAGCTCCATTGTGGTGGTGACATGTCCATGGTACGCACTGAAATATCATTTTGTTCCATGCGAGATGGCATCGGAGATCACTCACTGTTCGATGACAATGGCGTCCTTGTGCTTGGTGTAGTCCCTGGCGAGACGGAGTGCGAGGTCGTTCGCTTCCGATCTGAAATCAACACTTTTGAAGGCTGTATTTTATTTCACATTTTGCAACAAAACCCGCAATTTAATTCCTTATCTTATCTTATCAATAGTAACCGTATCTTTCTGAAGTCTATCGCTTACCCAGAATTGCAGAAGAGCACCGTGTCGAGACCTGGCAACGTGGCGAGAATCTGCTCGGCGCAGTCCGTCAACTGAGTCGAGACGAATCTCACGTTGCAGGTGGAGGTCGCCAGTTGCTTAGAAATGGCATCCACAACTTTCGGATGGCAATGGCCAACTGGAAGAATTGGGTGAGCGGGTCTCCCGACCTAAAGGGAGAGGATACCATGTTGGACGTTGCTGATACAGTCCAGGAACTTGTTGCCTTTCTCGTCGTAGAGATATTGCATGGAAGCACGGGAGACCATGAACGGATCATCCGAGTAGAATATTTGGCATTTGGAGCTGGAAGAGGTCGTTTAGTTCAATTGATAAGACGTCGGAATGTGAGCGATAAGGGTGGACGTTCCATTCGGACCAAATCTTCCCAATAACTCTGAAGAACACTCACCCGATGGTGTCCTTCCTCTTCTTGAGAATCTCTTCTTTGCTGCGGACATCCTTCGTGGCGGCAGCAGCCGGAGTTGAAGAGGTAAAGAAGCCCAGGGCGTTGACCAAGGTAGACATAGTCTGTCTGAAAGTCACGTTATTAGACCGGCAAACGGTGAGAGGAAGAAATAAAAAACGACGTCGACGGCCCGAAGCCGAGATGCCGATTGTATGATCGAGAACTGTTATCAGGAATTGATAAACGAATGGAGTGGGCGGAGAGTACCACCTCCTTCCCGCAATTTTGCGACGACGAAAAATGATCGGATCAAGAAATGATCGACGAGAGGCGAGGGGGACAAAGTAAGCGAGAGGCTCCTCAGAAAGGTGGACGGTCTGTCCGAGACAAGCTGAGAGAAGACGTCGAACAGAGGGAACCAGACAGAAAAGGAAAGATAATAGTCAGCTGTACTTATGGGGGAAAGATTAGATAGACAAGAGAAATGAGTGAGAAAAAGAAAATAAAGGGGAGAGGAGGGAAAGGTGTGTAAAGTTTGACCCCGGTTGATCTCATCAAATAAACATTTCGGGAAGGAGGCAGGAAGCAGGAGAAAAAGTTGTTTACTATTCAACTATTCACCGAAAAGGTTAGGAACTGAAGGGTTATAAAGTGTGAAAGAAGGGAAATCTAGAGGATCAAGAATCAAAATGTCACAGCTTCCTTCCTTATCAGCTCGCTCTAGAATCCACTTCCTTGTTCTCCCGGGATGCTTCCTCATCTTCCTCTTCCCCTTCCTCTCTAATCTTCTGATTTCTCGCTCTCTACCAGTTTGTCCGTAGTCCCTCAGAAAAGCGGCATAGTTTGATTTCATGTTTCGTTGAAATGACGATAGCGAGTCACTCGGTCAATGGTCACCCTTGTGCCAGAGACGCATTGTCGCTGATTGAGACGACGAAACGTGACAATCGGCGCGGTCAAAGTTTGACTGTCGAAAGAGAGGGGAAGAAGGAGCTCGTGTTTGCTCTCCGAGGAGCAATCTTGCTCTTGCCACGTCATCACAATGCTTTAATTAGAATCAAGATGATAAGAAGTGTAACTGATTGATATGCTTTGTTTTAATCAGTTTGAAGGTGAATTGCTCGAATACCTCCTCAAAGGTGTGAAGTCTCGTGAAAACAGAATATGTTAGACGTGTTCCTAATTGTCCAGAAGAAAAAGAGATCTTCGAAACGATTTCATTCAAGTCTGATGAACACAGTCAAAGTTTGGCGCAAAGTTTAGTTTCTGCTCAGAAATGGAAAAGAAACTTCAGTTGTTTCGCTCGATATTTGCGGCTGCACGGACAAGCGAAACAAGTCTTTTACCAAACTTTGAGACGTTTTGTTTGAAAACTTTGAAGTTTCTTGACTTTTCAGAGAATTATTTGTTTCGTTAGTCTTTAGGATACTAGTGAATTCCCACAGGTCAAGCCAGTTTGATGAAAAGAAAACTGCAGACATCTTTTCAATCTGTCATCTAAAATCATAATTTGTGTTCAAAAATGATCAAATCCAGTTGTGCGCGTCGGTTACACTGTATCTCCGTCGGTTTCTAGTCGAAGACACCCGCTGTCCGGGACACCCAAACCAGCTGTGCGACACCATTCCATCTGGGTAAACACCTCTGCCATCTCGTTATCTGCGTTCTTTGCCGGTGTCCACGACAACTCGGCCGCCGGAACGTCAAAATATCGGGAGATGTCATTGAAAAGGGCGCCTTATCGTCGGGCCGAGCATTCATAGTGATGGGATGAACAAAGAACAGAATCTACAAACGATCACTAGAGTGTATGTACGTACAGAAGATTTACAGAAGGGAAAAGGGTGGATTAGGTCCGTTTCCCGAAGATTCTCTTGTGCTTCGGGGGCAGATGATTCTCGAGTAAAACTCCTTTGGTTTCTGGGAGGAAGATCGACAGAACGATGAGGTCATAGAGTTGGCAGGAGAAGAGGACGGCGTACGGGATCCATTCTGCGTAGTCACTCTGAAAATGAAGTCTTTGTATTGTGATGGACGGAGAGGACGAGTACCAGGTAGAACAGCTGAGGGGAGAACATGCTTCCGATCCTGCTCACAGTGGAAACAGCCGAGACTGCCAAGTTCCGGACTGCAGTCGGGTACAACTCGTTGACCATCATGTACTTGGCGATGAACAGTTGGGAGCACATTCCGACGGCGACCACTGTTCCGACTGCCAACGCCTGCCCCTCATATCCGAAGAACAGATAAATCGCCATGAATGCAAGGGCCAAAAGCGTGAAAACCATCGAGATCTGGTTGATCATCTTTCTTCCGAACCACGGGAGCTTGTAATCTGCTATGCACACCAGAATGTTGATGATCCATCTGGACGCCTGAATGACAGAAAGTTCCACTTGAAGTATGTACGTCTTCTGTCTTCTTCACTGACCCCCATGATTGCCAAATTCCAGTAAAGCGAACCGGACAGTTTCTCCATATTGTACATGAGAGAGTAGACGATAAAAGTGGTGCACGTGCTGTAATAACGACCTTTCAGACGGTCTCTTTTTCCGCTGATTACTCACATTCCCGTGATGAAAGTGAGCGTCTGCGCCATCATTTTCCAAGTGCAGAATAAGTGAATAAAAGTGTATTTCTTTGTTTTCTTCGAACTTCTCGCTAGCTTTTCAGACTCTATGTGCAGAACTTCGTCGAGATCTTTTTCAAATGATTCGTCGTAGAGACGATCAGTCTTGCGTATTTTGATCAGAGCTTTTCGAGCTTGCTCCAGTTTTCCCTTCTGAATCAACCAACGCGGAGACTCTTCCAACAAGAGAACGGCTACGAAAGTGGCAATGGAAGCAGCCGCGGTGACGACGGAAAGGGTTCTCCAGTCATGACAGAGGTAGGCGACGAACGGGAACAGAATGAGGTTCGGGGACCAGGTGATGGAGTTCTGAACACTTCAATTGTCTCCATAGTATCTCGATTCTTGGATACCTGAATCCACATTCTGTCCTTTCTTGGAATATTCTCAACCATAAACACCATTTGTACTCTAAACGATTACTGGAAATTGGATAAGTTCGTCAGGCACTCACACAGTGACTCCTCCCGTGAAAACGCCCGCCAAAGTGCGCCAAACCATGAAATAGAACAGATCGGGCGAATAGGCAGAGATCCAATTGAAAATGGCATTTCCCATCGCCGAGACCAAAAGAGCCTTCCGTCTTCCGAAGTTGTCAGAGACTTGTCCGAACACGGCCGCTCCAACCAGTATTCCGAATGTTTGCACTGTGATTGTGTTCTTCACTTTTTTCGCGTCTTCACAAATGTAATTGAACTGAAAGTAGACTGGTTTTGGGTTCCTCTCAGATAGGGCATTACCTCCACTTGTACCGACTTGAACTGATACCGTAACTCGGGAATGCATTGGTTGGATTGGTTTCGGAATGCCGCCAACTCGTGACATCCGTTGAGAGGAGTGCCTCCACAACCGACGACGTTCGGGTTTGCCCCTAAAATGCTAATCTCTAAACTATGAACTTCAATTTCTTTCCAAGGTCACCGCAATAATTTGACAACAAAGAAACTATTCTTGATCGGAATTGAAATTGTTGAATTGCAGTCAGTCTTTATCTTGATACTGAAAGCTCTCTCGATAACTGGTTGACACCAGTAAACACAAGATGGAAAAAGACGGATAGGGGATATGGCCTGAGTACCGTGTGATTCACGTGAAAGTACTAATACTGATTGACAAGGGAGGGTCTTACAACACTGAGACCCTTGTTTTCGGTGTAAGTTACGACCGTGAACCTTTTGGATTTGAAATGAGATGTTCTTCGCTTAGAAATAATCTTTTCGGGACTTTTATAAACTGAACGACGGCGTCTACAGGTATCATCTATGTTCTCAAAATTTCAAAAAGTGTTCAACTTCAATATAATGTTGTTCATAACTAACTGTCTTACCTGCGAACACCATAATTTTGCTGCTGGCTGTCGCAGTGAACGCCGTGAGCTCAGCCATAACCAGCACTAGCATACAGTACCATCTGAGGGTGATGAAGTCATCCAAATTGATCGGTTTCTTCTCTTCCACCTTCGAAACTTCGACCACCTTCTGCTCCTCAGAATTGATGAATTTCTCTTCTTCCGAACTGGAAGAAGACGTCGACGAAGAGGTCGACATCTCTGAAATGCGGCGGCGAGGGAAGGGCGCTCAGAACGAGTGGACTGTCTCTTTCTTTCGTCCCATTTTCCAAAAAAGGCGAAATATTGAGAGACCGAGGGGACGAGGAGCGAGGGTATCAAAGTCGACGTCGTCGCCCCACTCCCATCATCACTCCAACTTCTTTCTTTGATTTATTCGATATGTTGTACTGATGGAGTAGAACAGCAGCAGCACAGATCAGACGAAGAAGACGTGGACACACACGTGCTTGCAAATTCGAAAAGGACCTTGGCGGCGATTCAATGAAAACGCGGGGCGTCGGGCTGATTTATTGATGGGTAACAGACAAATTTAAAGCTTTCCGTTTAGGACCGTTTGCCGAATATCCTTTTGTGCTTCGGAGGCAAGTGGTTCTCGAGATGAACGCCCTTTGTCTCCGGAATGAACACGCAGAAGATGATGAGATCGAGGAGTTGGAATGCGAACAGAACTGCGTAAGGAATCCACTCAGCAATGTCACTCTTAAGAGGGAGATGATGAAAAGGGAGTGGGTACGAAGGGTTACCAGGTAGAACAGCTGAGGGGAGAACATGCTTCCGATTCTGCTCATTGTGGAAACAGCAGACACGGCCAGGTTTCGGACTGCAGTTGGGTACAACTCGTTGACCATCAAATACTTGGCGATGAACAGTTGGGAGCACATGGCCACCGCCACGGAAGTTCCGACGGCGAGCACGTCTCCGCCGTTTCCTGTGTACATGTATGCAGCCATCACTGCCAAACTGGCGAGAGTGAACACCATGGATATCTGGTTGATGAGTTTCCGGCCGAACCACGGGAGCTTGTAGTCGGCGATGCTCACGGCAATGTTCACGACCCATCGGGAAGCCTGCAAACATGAGTCAGAGTTGCCAGAGTCAGGATCATTTAAGTTAGTCAAATTCTGAAGTCACTTTGCGTCATTTTCATAAGTCAAACAACTATGTCGGGTGTAACATGATCACAACATTTTGCGCCCTCGTCACGATTCCTTTCCATCTCATTCTAATCCCTTTTCTTTTTTTTCACTCACCCCGATAATCGCACTGTTCCAGTAGAGTGACCCCGACAACTTTTCCATATTGTACATGAGAGCGTAGACGATAAACGTGGTGCAAATACTGAAATCACAATAACAGGATTAGAATAAAGTCAAGAGTGACTGACATTCCGACAATGAATGTGACTGTTCGCGCCAACATCTTCCAGGTACAGAACAAATGAATGAACGTGTACTTCTTTGCTTTCTTCGAGCTCCGAGCATGCTTCTCAGCTTCTATCCTCAGAACGTCATCCAGTTCATCTTCGAACTCTGCGGTGTACAAACGATCGATCTTTCGGATTTTGACGAGAAGTGCTCTCGCTTCTTCCATTCTTCCTTTCTGAACCAGCCACCGAGGAGACTCTTCAAGAACTCTGAAACGGTTTTGGGTAGATGCAACAATGATCGTAAACATACATAAGTGCGAGGAAGGAAAGGACGGAAGCTGCCGCGATGACGACGGAAAGAGTTCTCCAGTCGTGAGCGAGGTACGCGATGTACGGAAACAGGATGAGGTTGGGCGACCAGGTGATGGAATTCTGGAGTTAATTCTGTGAACAGGAAACACATGAATGGATACCTGGATCCACATTCGATGATTTCTTGGAATGTTCTCAACCATGTACACCATTTGAACTCTGAAGAATAATTCTTTTTAGGGTGGCATGCAACGCTTGACGTACACAGTGATTCCTCCGGCAAAGACTCCGGCGACGGTACGCCAGACCATAAAGTAGAACAGATCGGGAGAGTACGAGGAGATAAAGTTGAAGATAGCATTTCCCAAACAGGATATCAGCAGAGCCTGCAGATAAGGATTGTTGAATGATTTCTCAGGATAATGCCTACTTTTCTTCGTCCAAAGTTATCCGAAACTTGTCCGAAGATGGCAGCTCCGACGAGCACTCCGAACGTTTGTATCGTGATTGTGTTCTTCACTTTTTTTGCGTCATCACAGATGTAATTGAACTAAAAATAGCTATTCGACTTGATTTGATTTCTGCGAGAAAATATCCTACCTCCACTTGGACGGATTCAAATTGGTATTCCAAAGCAGGCGTGCATCCGGAATGGTTCTTCAGTGAATTGTATTCGTGGCAACCGTTGATCACTTCGTTTCCGCATCCAATCACATTCGGATTGGCACCTGAACACTCGAAATGAGAATGATAGTGAGGAAACGAGAGAAACCTGCGAAAACCATCATTGTGACACTTGCGAGAGCAGTGAACGCAGTCACTTCGGCCATTATGAGCACGAGCATGCAGTACCAACGGAGCTCGACGAGGTCGTCCAAACTGGAGTACTTGGAGTTCGGAACGGCTGCTTCGATGGCCTTCTGTTCCTCCACATCCGCAATGAAATTGTCGTCCTCTTCTGATGACAATGACGATGATGACATTGTGATTATCTGAAGAGAAACGAAGGTACACGAGGACTTGAGTATAAATAAGACCAAATGTGCGGTCTCCGACTTATGAAAAGAAAACAAGACCGAAATTAAGTGACTATTTGGGGGAGGCGCCACAAAGAAGGGAGGGCGCTGGCCAAGATGCCAAAACGACTTAGCCACAATGTTCGTGAACCTGACAACACTTCCGGTTCTTCTCTCATCGTTCTGCATCTCCGCCTCTCTAGGTCACTGAAGGTGTCATCGAGAGACGATCGCTGTCGTCACACCTTATCATTCAAAACATTCATGACGATCGGATATATAAAACACCGCTGTGATTTTTTCAAAAATAATTAACTGAATATTCACGTGGCACTGTTCGAGCATGTCAATTGAAGGTGGAAACGATGAAATGTGTTTTATTCCTCTGTCCTATTCATCAGGTAAGCAAAGGAAAACTGAAAGAAATGGAAGTGGGCGCTCAGAATGCTATTGCGACGTTCGTTGTTTGTGCTCGACATCTGCGTCCTCCTTTCCATCGTCGTTTTCCTTGCGTTCATGCCAGCTGAAAGGTAAGAATGATTAGATATGGTAGCAGATAACTGATCAGGGTCTGCACAAAACAGGATGTCCCGGACAAGTGTGCACTTTTCAGGTGCGTCCATTTCGAAGCGAACGAGAACGCTCCGAACTCAGCGGCCTCGTGCAATATCCATCCAGTTCATCATCCGGATTTCAATTTCAACAAAACTGCCCATCCGACGGATCACCGTCATCTCGTTACGGTCTGTCACCGTCTCCGGTGGTCGCATTACAAGTTCTGGGACAATATGTGTTCGTCTCGGTCCAAACTTTATTTTTTCATTTTTCCATTTTCAGACTTTATCCTTCTGCCGGCGATCACTTGCATCGTCCTGATCGTGTACACAATTGGAGAACTTTGCGAGTTTGACCTTTTTGTAGGACAGGTTTGTATCTGTCTCCGGTCCCCTCCTATCATATTTCCTCCCTTTTCCGGTCCAAAGCACGTTTCTGGTCGTCTTCTCCATTGTCGCCGTCTTATACACAGTTGGAGGTAGCAAAGCTATGACACTGATTTGATTGGACGGCTGATATATTTCAGTTATCAGTTACGAGAAGAATCGCGCCGAGAACAATTGGCCATTCCTCCAACATGTGCATCTTCTCGGAGCCGAGCACTCGTCGATCAACGTGACCGTGCCCACCACGTGGCAGTACAGCATCGCCTTGTGCATCCTCTCGGCTCTCTTCAAAATTGGAAGAATTCTCATCCAGCACTTCTTTGGAGACGTGAGAGAATAGCAGTGAATTAATTGCAAAGAGATAACTTTCAGAAGAAGTTCTTCTTGGACGACGACGATCAACACGAACAGAAGAAGAAGAAGAAGAACGGTTCGGAAGAGGATCCCGTCCCCAACGGCTCCGGGCAGCTCAACGAATCGAGATATTCGAGAATCGAAACGGATTGAAAATCCCCTTCTTGTGAATAAACAGTTTTCGATTTTTCGCTGCGAACTCAGTTCTAGCCCACACGTTAATCACACCAAATTCTTCAATTCCGTCACACTTTCGTCCTCGTTTTTATCATCAAAAAGTGATTATTTCCTGCCAGTCCATCTATCTTCAGTTCAACTTTCGATAAGAAAAGCGCCCTTGTCGAATTTTTGATTTATGCTTTCGCCGGCAAAAGTTCCGTCGGTTTCTGCAAATGAAGGACACCCTCATTTGCCCACAAATCGACTCGTCTCGATCTTCTCACCCCATCTCACCATTCAATTTCTTCTTCTTCTTTCCATCAGTTCACCGTTTTCCACTTACAATTTCTAATTAATTCTCTGATCATAAATCTTGATGATGATAAGGGAGGAATTGGGAGAACCACGTTGTTTCGACGTGTGTCTAGTTGAATCGGTTATCGCTCGTTTCCAATGTCAAACTAGAAACTAGACACTGAGTTGGGGGAGAGAACGGTCAATCTATTTTGAAACATTTTTCTCTGATTGACATGAAAACTCCCTATTCACTTCCTGGTCTCCTTTTCGTGCATTCTGAGTGTTTCGTGTCTTTTCCATGTGCCCCAGATGACCGATTTCATCGCAAAGTCCAGAGTTCTCGCCTGTATCGATATCCTGTCCGATCCGTGCTCGAAAACACGTGATGTTCGTGGTCATCACCCCTCTGGGCTCACGCCGTCAGTTGTCGCTCTGCGTCGCTCTGCGTCGCTCGGATCTCCTCACACTCTCGTACACAACAAAACAACCGAATGTCTTTTCTTTCATTATCCCTCCGAAACGTCTGGTCCGACCAGGCACCGACGGGTCATTGCTCTCGGAGCCGCACAATGCACAACACTCCGTCGTGCTACAGACCATTCTAGAATATGCGAGCGTCAGATGACGTGGCACAACCGCTGGCCAACTGTTGTCTCTGTAACTGCTCGCCAGAAAGATCTGGGCCATAAATTGTATTTTTTGCGTGTATCTCTTGCTGTCCGCCTTTATTACACTGTTCCGAACCGCCCGTCCTTGCCCCGAGAGACCTCGGCTCATTCACATTCTTCTTCTTCTCCCTCGATTTTCGGTTATTCTCCGATTTACTTTCCTATTTCCAGAATGAAAAACCTCATCCTCGGACTCGTTTTTCTTTGTGGAGTGGCTGTTGCCCACAAGCAGAAGATGATGGAATCGAACAGAGTGATGGTCGAAGACGTCGGAAGCAACTCGTGCGACGAGTGCAAGCTGGTCATCGAGAAGATCGCCGAGGCCGCCAAGGACCCGAAGAAGCTCGAGGAGCTGAAGATTGTGCTCGGCATGCTGTGCAGAGAGACCTCCTACGCCGACGAGTGCCGTCTTTTCGTCTCGCAGCTCGACAAGTTCATCGACAAGCTCCAGCCATACCTTGTTAGTTATCAACCTTTTCGAATAAGCGAGCAGTAAGGAATGTTTCAGAAGGACCCGCAAGCCGTCTGTGCCCGTCTCCACATCTGCGGAAACAAGAGAATCGACACTTTCCGCCGTCTTCTTCTCGATTTCGCCAAGCGCGCCGAGAAGGTTACTTCCGGAGCCGTGAGTTCTTTCTTTCCCCACCCTTCTCAACTGATCCGTTCCCAGCCAGCCATCGTCTGTGACGAATGCGAGTTTGTCGTGAAGGAGTTGAAGACTGCCGTCGAGAACAAGAAGATGCAGACCGATGTTCGTGATTTCCTCCGCGAGAATGTGTGCAAGAACCTCGGACAGTACAGAGGATTCGTGAGTTCCTTCCCTCAGTTGTCAGCTGAAACTCTTTGTTTCAGTGCGATTTGGTTGTTGACGAGTACCTCCCGCAGTTCATCCAAGAGGTTGATGCCATCCTCGAGAACCCACACCAGGTAACGACTTCTGATGGTTTTACACAACGAATCCCACCATTCAGGTCTGCGTCGATGTCCACGCTTGCGAGGCCGCCGGAAACTACAAGGCTCGCAAATATGTGGGTCTTCCAGGATGGTTCCAGCGAAACTTCCTCTAAAAGTTTCCCTTTTATGTATGCTTATTTTCCCTATCATTCTGTAAACTTTTCCTTTGTCACTGATGAAAGTAAATCCGCATATTACCTATTGTACGTGACGTTTTCCCTTTGCTTCTTTCACAGAATCAACCTGGAACATAAGAAAATATTCAGACGTACTCTACCGAGGAAAACAAGAAAACCGAAGATGAAGTTGAGAAGTTCTGGAACGGAATGACGATGAAGAACAAGAAGGGACAGGTGACCTTTTTTTCAAAGTTCCGTTTGCTTTCGCGCATTTTGAGTGGATTCAACACAGCTGGGGATACCACCTGGCACTTTATTCATCTAATTTTACATCTGTTACGACACGTTCATCAATTAAAAAAGGAAACATTCAAAGATATGTAATGTAGACGTTCGGAATCTGGACCGTGGTGGTTGGGATGACGGTGATCTGTGGAGCCGGCAGTTCGTGGCGGGAGATGTAGGCCGACACTCCCCCTTCCTCCATCCTGACCGGACGACGGTACGAATCCTTGTTCGATTGGCGTTCGCCGTCGAAGATGTGCGGGAAAAGATCCTTCGCTTCGGAAACATCCTCTTGGTCGAGGAAAGCGAGGAGACGAGCGATGTACTCGGCGGCTTCTCTGATAATGAGATGGATAAGAGAAGGGATGATTGAGCGCAAGGGGTACCTGAGTATTTGAACGCGGGAGAGTCGCATCTTGAAGTTCGAGGGCGGCAGAAGACCCAGCAGGACATCGAACATACCGTTCATCTCGGAAACGCGCCTTCTCTCGCGACTGTAAACAGTTTCATCAGATGACAAATGAATTATAAAGAAAAACGGAGCTTACTAGTTGGCGCGAACTCGCTTTTCTCCTTCCAGATGAGTCGGCATTATAAAGTAGCGAGTGATGAGCGAGTGAGGCAGATGCAGCACCGTTTTTGGCGCACAAAAAGGGAGACGATCAGCTCGACGGCGCCACCTGCCACGCACATGGCACTTACCCGTCTGACCGGGGCGTCAGTAAATAGAAGATAAAAAAGGGTTGTAGGTCCTTGCAATGTCCTGCTTCGAGTGCAAACTTGTCGTCGATTCGATGCAAGAGGACATGATCGGAAACCGAGTATGAGTACAGGGGAATGGGGGAAAAAGTAGAAAATATAATTGCAGAAGAAGCTGTCGGATGACGTGAGAGACTTTGCGTGCTACAAGATTGTCACCGCCAACATGACCGCTTCCTGCATCGACTTCCTCGATCTGTACCTGCCGACTGTCATCCAGATGACCATCGAGCAAGTGACTCCGTTGGGAGTGTGTCAGGCCAACAAGTGCTGTACATCAAGTGCTGGTGAGACATTTCTGCTGTTCCGACAGAAATCAGACGTTCCTTTTTTCAGCTAAGCCACTCAGAGGCTTCTCTTATCAAGAGATCCAAGCCGAAAAGTGCCCGACTATGGGTTCTCTGGAGTCTTATGTGGAGTCCAATCTGATTGGAAGCCCGATGGAAAAGTATTTCGAGAATTCTCTGATGGATATGTTCTGCTCTCGCTCCCTCTCCTTCTTCAAACCAACTGTAAGCTGAAAAGTATATAAAACCAATGCTTCATTTCCATTTCAGTGCCAACAAATCATGTCTTCTGTCGCCCCGAAGTTGGTCAGTTTGACTGCCGTTCTGGCCAAACAGAACAAATTCAGCCAGGCTGTAAGTTTTCGGTTATTCCTGCGAACATACTAAATCCCTCCGTTTTCAGCTCCTCTGCTAACCACTTCTGAAATCCGGAACTAACTAATCCTGTTCTTAAACGTGATAAATTATTGGTCATATGTAGTTTCTGAAGATGACAAACAACCGAATCGGCGAATTCTTCGATCAAAAACCGTGCTAAATTCTAGTGTGTTTAGGTTGGAAAGCATCACCATAAATTAGCTGATAAATGATTGAGAGGAGCACACTCCGCCACATCGGAGCTCCGATAACGCACACGTGTTTCGCGGTAAGACGACCAATCAGTCCTCAGTAAGACGACCAATCAGTCCTTCGAGTCGCCACTTCCACACTTCAAGTTATCATCCTAATTTCAATTTACTTTTCCAGCAATGAAGCCCGTTCTTTTCTTCGTCGTCCTTGCTGCTTTGGCTCTCGGAAGCCAAGCTGCTCCGTCCGCTTGCGATTCTTGCCAGTCGGTTAGTGGTCCCATTCACGTCCTTCTCATTTACTGTACACTTTAGATGGTGCAAAACTTCATCGACGCTTCCAAGGATCAATTTAAGATGGCTCAGCTGAAGGTCTCCCTTTCGATGCTCTGCGCCGGAACTTCCCACCAATCCGACTGCCACAAGACTCTTGACAAACTCGACTTCATCGCTTACAAGCTGGCTCCGTACCTGGTAGTCCTTACCAGTTGGTCTGTTTCATCTGAAGTATGAGTTCAGGCCGACACTGCTGCCGTTTGCTCCAAACTCCAAATGTGCGGCGAGTCGAAGTTCTCTCCGCTCTCTCGTCTTGCCATGCTTTTCCTGAAGAAGTCGCAGAGCGTCGTCGCCAATGATAACATCATGGTATTTGTGATTGATAACTGCCTCGGTTTGTGATCACATGACTTCCAGAAACAACAAGTTTGCGAGGAGTGCCAGGCATCGACCAACCAACTCAGCCAACTTTTCAGCGATGAGTTCACTTCCTACGCTGTGAGTGATTCTAGTAAACTGTAATTCAAATGAGGCTTTCAGGTCAAATCGAGCATCCAACGTCTTGTCTGCCGCAGTGCCGGAAAGGCTAACAAGGCCTGCAACATCGTCATGGCGTCGGTGATTCCAGATCTGATGACTGAGATGAGCGAGATCTTCGCCGAAAAGGAAATGCTCTGTGGAAACATGGGATTCTGCTCTGCTGCGATGACACCCATTCACCAACGTGAAGTTCCGCAACAATCTCTCTCTGATCTCTGGAAGTCTATGGGAATGGTAAAGACTAGCAACGGAGAAGAGCTCATGTCGTGCTTCGAGTGCACGCTCTCCGTTGACACCCTTCTCGAAGAGTTCATCAATAAGAGAGTGAGTTTGAGCACCAGAAACAAAAGGAAAAGGGCCAATTACAGCAAGCGACAGCCGATGACATTCAAGCGATGGTCTGCAGCAAGGTCGTCGGAAACTGGACTGATGGATGCAACGACTTCGTGCACATGTACATGTCGACCGTTCTGTACTTGACCTACAACCAATTCGACGGAAGAGCCATCTGTACCGCCATGCACTCGTGCGAAAAGAAGAGCGGTACAAAGTAGAAAAGTTCAAAGAGAACACATTCATTAATTCAGCTCTTCTGGAGATGTCTCAACCTGAAAAAGCGAAGATTGGCTGCGAGAATTGCGCTGCTGTCGAAAAGTTCATTGCCATGAACAACGGAGAGCTCCACGCTCACGCGGTCAACGCTTTCTCCGCAAACGTCTGCCAGAAGCTGCCGTCCTCGCTCGGATATGCGGTATTCCCGTCTCCAACCTCATTCACTATCATCCGATTCCTTTTCAGTGCGAGCGCACGGCCTCCCGTCTCTCCGGCAAGATGTTCTCGCGTGTCGCCCAACTCGCCAGCAGCGGAGTGATGTGCTCGCAGGTTTGTCCAAATATTTGAGAGCCATCATCTTTTTAGAATGACGGTCGGAAGCCGACATCAATGTTCATCTTACAGGTCTGCTAGAGATCAGATCAACGCGAGAATGCATACTGTTGTTGTACCCATCATCATAAAGATTTTGAATCCGCGTTATGAGTCAGGGACATAAAAAGGTACAGGGGGGAAAACCAGACAGAGGCACAAGAACAAGACCGGGCAGAAACATGCGTGTTTGTGGGGGCGGGCAGAAACATCAGAGCATCAGCATCACCAGATCTGTGATAATTGGATCGTATGAGTAATCCTTCGCAGAAATTGACGCTGATCTCAAGCAGTTGACATGAGCTACAGAACATAAACAAGTGGGAAGGTGAAAGGTACACTTCGGAGTTTCTGTTGACTCCTGACTTTTGAGAAAGGGCACTTTGATGAAAAGAACGGTCGTAGATCGAAGGCCGAATATGAGACAAGATACAAAGTTCACGACGTTTCTAGAAGTTTCCTCTTTTCGGACTTCCTCGTACTCGCAGATCTCTTCCACGAAATGTACAGGCTTAACTGTTGTTCCCTTCTGTTGTACAGTATACACGGAACAAATTGACACGTCAAAAACGGCTCTCAATGTTTGTGCACAAGCCTTTCGAAGCCAAAAGGGTCAATGCTAATACCAGCCAAACAAATCGGCTGACCATCCATCCAGAGACGCTCGGGAAAGTGAGTCACTGTCCGTTTGCGCCGCCACTTACCCGCTCTCTCTACTCTAGTAATACTCTTTACTCAGTTAGAGAAACATCAGCGACAGACTAATCGGAAGGCGGCGCCCCCTATATAAACCCTCCGGTTGGATCCGAAACGGAACATCCCTCATAGCAATGAGCTTCTCTTCTTCTATTCTCATCTTTGCAACTGTTCTCGCTGCTTCCGTCTTGGCTGGTCCGAGAGGCGGATTCGGCGGACGGGGACATCATGGCCCGCCACCACCCCCATTCCTCCGAAACGTTACCGAGGATGGAAGACGCGCCTTTTTCGACATCTTAAGGAACGAGAATCTGACTCTTTCCCAGATCGAATCCCAGACTGCCACGTGGGCTCAGACCTACGGAGTCTCGGTGGGTGCCCATCTTCTTCTCTTTTCTCTGGAAACCATTTTCATTTCAGGATGAGTACACCGCTTTCGAAGCCAACATGACTGCCCACCGCGATGAAGTGAAGCAGAACGTAACTGAGGTCATCAGCCAGCTCTCCGCTGCCCAATCCGCCCTCGAGTCTGTCATGGACAACAAGAACCAGACCCGCCAGCAGCTGAAGGAGGCCATTGACAACCTGAAGCAGCAGTACCCAGAGGAGCTCCCAGTTCTCTTCTTCATCAGCGGACAGTTCAGACGCGGTCCAGGAGGACCAGGAGGACCAGGAGGACCAGGAGGACCGGGAGGACCAGGAGGCCGCGGAGGACCAGGAGGACCAGGAGGACCAGAAGGACCAGGAGGACCAGAAGGACCAGGAGGACCAGAAGGACCAGGAGGACGTCATGGAGGCCCGGGAGGACGTCGTGGAGGAGATTCCGGAGAAGGACCAATGATGGGAGGCGGAAGACGAGGAGGACCGAGCGATAGCATGTACGAGTCGGCCGACAACAGCGATTTCTAAACTAAATCAGTGAATTTAAACTCCTTGCCTTGTATCTGTGATATATTTCCGTCCACAATTGCATTCTCTACCTGTGCGCATAATAAACGTTCTTGTTTGAATTCAAAGAGAAACTACAACGAATTCCCATGTGATTCAGAGCAGGGAAAGACTAAACAATGGGAAACAAACAAAAAACAGGCGAGTGTAGTTTTGATCGTTTGTAACTGATGTGTTAGAGAACGAATGACGTACCGCTGTCGCAAGTGCAGTGAGGATCAGAACATGAAAAGGATCGGATTATCGAGGATGTGAAAGTTTGGAACGAACGGATTGTAGGGAGAATGCCTCTTCTGCCTAATTTATTATAAAAGCACTGCTCTAAGCTTTAAACAAGTTCTAGGAATGTGCACTTCTAGAATCGCACAAGAGTTCAGATGAATCGTTTCCAAATGCAAGTTTTTTCGGTGTCAAAACTGTTGTAACATAACGCATTCTGAGAATGCGATGGGAAGTGACTTTCGAGAATTCGCATTAAATGGAAATTGTCATTCCGGTAAGAATTGTTTCTGTGAAAGACAGGCATTTGGCTCTCCTGGACCTTTTGATACTGAAGCTCGTCATCGCACAACAAATCGTTTTGTTTCAGTGCTCAATAACTTTTTTCCCAATTATTATGGGCCGAACTGTTCGATGGTGTTCGGAGAAGCCCCCAAACATCGGCATCACATCGTTCCCATATTCAATGCTTCTTCTCTTCTCTCCGCTCTCTTCCCGTTCTCTCCTGATCAACACCAGAACACAGTTCGTATATAAGAATACGGGAGGGCATCAGAAAGCATCCATTCAAGCTCCTCCGCTTCTTCTCTACCTCACCATCTTTCTTTCAGATGACATTCAACCTCATCTTCTCAGTTCTCGCGGTTTCCGTCGTTGTCTTGGCTCGTCCAGACGGTCAAAAAGGACCAGGAGGACCAGGAGGACCAGGAGGACATGGTGGACCACAGGGAGGACCACCGGGAGGACGTCACGGAGGACCGGGAGGACCACCACCACTACCGTTCCTCGCCAACGTGTCTGCCGCGGGACAGAAGGAATTCGAGGACGTGTTCAGAAACGAAAATCTGACTCTCTCTGAGATCGACACTCAGGTTGCCGCCCTTGCTGAGAAATACGGAGTCTCTGTAAGTTCCCTGTCTTCCCGATTTCACCCGACTCGTTTCATTCAGGACATCTACAAGGAGTTCCAAGCCAACGTGACCGCCCATCTCGCCGAGGTTAAGAAGAACCAGACCGCCGTGATCAGCAACCTTTCTTCGGTCGCTTCCCAGCTCGAGGCCATTTTCTCCAACAAGGCCCAGACCCGCCAGGCTCAGCACGAGGCAGTTGAGGCTCTTCGCAATTCGAGCAGAGGTGAGGTCGACGCTGTTCAGTTCATCCGTGCTCAGTTCGAGAGAGGACCGGGAGGACCAGGAGGATCAGGAGGACGTGGGGGACCGCAAGGAGGGCCACATGGAGGACAGAGAGGAGGACCGCAAGGAGGACCGCAAGGAGGACCACCGTCGTCTGGTTTCTCGGAGGACCAGTAAACTAAGATTCTGAATACATTCCAATAAATGATTCCACAATTTATTCTGTTTCATTATGCAGTTCTGCAAACTGGCGCCGCGTTTTTAAAAGATATTCAGAAGACTTCTGATATATCTGGCAAGTATATAATCTTCAATATCAGTCTAACGCTGTGACCGGATGCAGTCTTCAAAGCGGCAGTGTGGTTTACCGGAATTCTTCGGTGGGACGGTTATGGAAACAAGATTGTAATCCTGTTGGGAGCTGATTGCTCGTCCTGAAGCTCACTGCATTGCATCTGAAGAACTTTCAGGTAATTCGGCGGTAAGAGAATCCTTCATGTTTCTTGAAAGTCTCAGAATTGATATGCAGTATTCGGACGGTCTTTCTGAACTCTCGAGATCTTAGAACGCGAAATGAGAAACGATCAAACTTCGTTGAGTTGGAATGGATCATTCGGAATACCGTCGCAATAAACTTGCAAGCGATCATAAAGTTTTTCTAACGAGCAACTATAAAAGCTTTGCCCGAAACGCACGAACGCTCGAAGCATACAATGTCGTTTTACTCTACCTTTTTCCTCGTTCTCGTCGGTTGTTCTTCGTTGGCACTGTGCCAGACTGAAGTTAAAAAGGGCGGACATCCCGGCCATTTCATCATGGGGCCCACTTATTTGGCTAACCTGACAAAGGAGGAAAAGGATGTGTACTTCGGGATCTATCGTGACAAGAATCTGACCATCAAGCAGCAGGAGGAGAAGAGACTCGCATTCGCTCACGATCACGGCTTCGAGGTGAAAGGACGGAGAGTCGAATGGGATAGAAATTGGATAAATTGATTACAGTCAGTGCTGAAGGAAGAGCTGAAGAGGAAAGAGGATAGTCAGGCAGTGATCATTAAGGAACGTCCGGCAGTCCTCAAGTACATCCAAGAAGCGAACGAGGCCCTTGCCAAGGTGTACCAAAACAAGGACCAGACGGTAGGTCAGCAGCAGAAGGCCGTCGAAGCTCTGAAAGAGAAGTATCCTCATGTGAGTGTGCAGTCAGATATGGCAGATTGGAAAGAGATTGTTCCAGGCGGTGCCGGCTCTCTTCTATCTCTCTCGACTCATCACCGGAAAGGGAATTCATCAGCCACAAGAGGCAAGCAATAGTAAATAAATGCGTCCGACATTGTTGAAATGAAACAGTTTATGGGATGTTCAAACACAAAGAACATGCTATTCGCATACATAATTCAGTCTCTTCTCGAAGTGCATCCTCCTTTTTCAACAGATTTGAAATCCGTCTCATATTTTTTCTTTCGACTCTTCAATTTGCGTCTCTGATTGTTTGATCTCTCTGTACTTTGTGGTCTTTTCTCTTTTTTAGTTCCCATTTCGCTCGTCGCTCAACATTGTTTCTCCGTCCCACAACTGATTTTGAGCAGAAATGCAATCGGCCAGGACCGCCGAGGAGTGGTCACGATCGGAGAGATTCTGAACAAACTGCGCGAATAATTCTGGAGACTAAGACCTGAAGAACAGGTTGGGGAAGGAGATATCATTGATGTTTCCAGTCTGTAAACGCGTCTGGAACTGCTGCCGAAGCCTTTTCTCAACCAAATACTTCTGTAGAAACGAGGTTACGAGACGGTCTCTGACATCTAACTCAACACTCGGAAAGACTCCACAACTGGCCGTTCGATCCTTGTCTGTGACGATGGAACCGATCGCGTCAACCTGGTTTTCAAACGTTTCCCATAGCCGAAAACACTTGTGACTGGTCGAATTGTATTCCATCAATCACGAAACCTGATTCAATTATCAATCACGTTTCGTTTCCAGTCGGCGAATCGTACTTTCTGGCTGTCTTCCCTCTCCACCCCTTTCCGCTCAATGTTTGTCTTTTTGAAACACGAGAAAACGTGGGCCATACAAAAAGAGAGTGGAAAAGGGGATCATTTATCTCTCCCTCTTTGTGTTTTTCGTTCTTCCGACCGACTTCTATTTTGTGTCGTTACCAGCCTCCGGCCGTCGATTCCACCCTCACATCCAGCCCATTATTATGATTACCGACGGAAGTGCACGTGTTCCGGTGAGACGCAGACTTTTCCTGAAAGTGACACGTTGATCGGAAAGAGCATTGAGATCTCTGCTCCTACTTTTTCTTTCTTTCTCGTCTTCTCTCCCTCGTTTTTGAATAGTTAACTATGCAGAGAACAAGATTAGGAGCAGCCTTCCCCTCGCTCGGCTCTTCTTCTTTTTCCCATTCACAAATGCACAATCTACCCTCCGCCAACGAGAAGTACTACTTCGAGATACTTAAAAGTGCCCAGAAGACAGAAATGCTCCACTTTTTGATGGATGGCTTCCGGGTCGATGAGTCACTGAACAGAGTGAGTTGATTGCACGTCGTTTTGAAAACATGTGTTTGAGTTGTCAGGCCTCCAAAATCACTTGCGAAGAGATTGAAAAGTGTTTGAACGGAGCATTGGACAGAGCCTTGAAAGCAGAATGCTCAATTCTCGCGAGATCTCAGGGTGAGCTGACAGGAACCAAGTTGTGTTGAAGCCTTTCCAAGTTTTGCAGAGAGCCACGAAATAGTCGGATGCATGCTGAGTTCCGTGTGGCGAAGAGATGAATCATTGAGCACGCCGGAGGGAGAAGACAAAGACTTTGAGTTCCGTTCGGTTCGAAAGGAAGTGGCCATGGTGGGCGAAATTCTGAACGAACTGCACGAGAGCTTCTGGAGTCTCCGGCCGGATCACGATGTCGTTCTGCATTTGTGAGAGGGAAATGTGCATACTGTCAAAGAACAGCTTTGTTTCAGTGAGATCTCATCAGTGAGCAAGAAGCACAGGAGACAAGGACTCGCATCAAAATTTATGAATTGGACAGAAAGCAAAGAACTGCTAAAAGTAGGAGAATTACTTTTTCGGTCGGCACAGGATAACTGGAATTTCAGAGTCTCGAAGCGACTGGCATTGTGACGGAAGCTTCTTCTCTGGCAAATCAAGTACTGCTATCAAAACGGAATTATAAGGTACAGAATACTCATAGATATGTATGCAGAGTCTAATACAATTTCAGACCATTGCTACAACATTTCTAGATACAAAAGTAGATTCGGAAACTGGAAATCCTGTGCTGACATGTGATGACGGGACGGACAGAGTCTGCTTGATGTTCAAGGAAATCTGATTATCTGTTCTTCTTTGTACATAAAATGTTTTTCGTACTACACAGTAATACTACTTTCCCAATTGGCTCATTAGTGAACCGAGCCCGTTCTTTGTGTTGCCTTGCCATTTCAGAACTTGGAATTGATCGATGCGGATGTGTCTCTTTTTATTATTCTTGGTTTACGACGACAGCAAGAAGTGAGCACTCCTGGAAATTTCAACGTACGGAGTTGTTGCAACTGTCTCACCGATGAGAGCACTTCTGTAGTTCTTGATGATTAACATAGTGGGCATAGGATCTATTGCGGGAAACAGAGCAATAGCAATCGCTACAGTGCCGCTGAGCATTCCGATATCCATGTCGAGAATTGCAGAAACGTAGAGGAAGAAGACGGGAATATGCATCAGAATGACAGGAATGAGGGTCTGCGTGACCAGAGCGTAGAACAATTGCAGTTGGAAAATGCGACTGCGGGCTGAAGATTTGGAAGAACGGTCCATGAGTTTGTTGATTTCAGCGTAGCATTTGTAGCCGAAGTACCCAACAGTCGATAGTGACATGACCTGAAAGAATGAGAAATTGAACAAAAGAATGAAGAGTTACCTACAAGAATCACAGAAGTCAATGCAATACCCAAAAAGGAATCCACATCAATTATATATCCGAGTTTATCGTCTGCTTGATAGAAATACGGACCCAGGTATTCCATGTCATCAATTTCCAGGTCATAGGTTTCTAACATATTGTTCCTAACGTATTTGCTCTTTGCGACAGTGACTCCACAAAGAAAGTAGCACGCGAATCCCCATGCACTTCCGCTCAAAACTGGAATTAGCATCCAGAAAACAATCGATTTCGATTGAAAAGTACGCAGTAACTTCTTGCGAGCAGCGACGAGGTATCGGTAGATGAAATGGACGGCAAATATAGCCATGGATGCTCCGAAAGAGCCGCAGTAAACAGCTTGAAATCAATTGAAACTGATTGGAAGGGAAATGCTTCTTACATATCAAAACCTTCACAATTTCCCTACCGAATAATGCAGTTTTCGTGTTAGCCATGACAAGAAAAGCTGATCCGAATGAATGAAATATCTAATATGAAACATCAAGTTTTTGCTGAAATTTGAAACGTACCGGTGACGTGATCACATCAATTACAGAATACGCGATCTCAAAGATTGAAATGTAGATCATCAAATTCTTGTAGGCTCCGATCTGTTTGGGCGATTTCAGTACAATGAGAACGAGGAGAATGCCGTTCAATAGTACCGAAACAAAGCAGGAAACACGCTGAACACGGTTTTGGACCTTCTCCCACTCGGCACCAAGCATTACTGCCGAGAATGAAGCGCCAGGAGTAAGTAGGCAACACGTGTTTCCATGGCATCGCATATTCTCGGAGGACCCATTATTTTTCAGAGCTGATAATGTCATTAATTCTCTCATTCCCGTGAAAGTTTCACGAAGCATCCATCGTCTATGCCGTCGAAGGATGCGAAACGCCAGTCAGCCGGCTCCGCCTCGTCCACCGGCTCCGGACCGTCCACGGATTCAGAAATGAACATACGGAAGATCATCGAATCGAGGCATTCAAAGATGCACTCGAGAACACCGTCACCAAAGCTTTGAGCTTTTCCCTTGTTGCTTTCAAGATTGGAGTCTATCGAACAAAAAATCGCTGACCTGGAAGTGGAACTGGCAGTGCAAAGAACCAGGATGGAAGGACTCGAGGGAGAGCTGAGAGCGAACCCGGCCCCGATCCTGTCGTCGCCAAATGATTTTGAATCGAAGGAAAGGAAAAGATCCCTCGTGGCGCTCAACATCCCGGAGGCCAATTCGCGATTTGAACACGAAAACAACTACCGTGATCTTGAAAAGGTTAGCCAACTCTTCAGACACATGGACGCAGGATCTCTCAACCGGTGGAAATCTATTGTATGGGACGGAAACGCGACGACGGGAAGCCACGACTCGTCAAAATCGTCATGCCTTGTTCCGCCAGTCAGAAGGATACTCTCCGCAGAGCCCACCGCCTCCGCTCGTTCGACACCGGAAATCTGCCGCCAGTGTTGTTCCGCCCTTCGTTGTCGAAAGAGGAACGCGAGAAATTCCGTGAGGACCGCAAACTACGCCATAAAGTCAATGCCGGAATTGCACATGAAAATTGGAACAACAACATGCACGTCGACGAGCACACTTTGGAACAGCAAAAAAAGTAAATGATCATTGCCCCTCTCGCATATTTTCCCCTAATTTATTTGTAAATATTCTATCAGGCAACATAAGGTCAGCCATAGCGAATGGGTTAGAATTAGGCGCAATTCTGAACAGCCAAACTTACGATATAGTGTGCCTACAAGAATCATGGCTGAAAAGCGAAACGCAAAACTCCGTAGTTTTAAATGGTAACAGCAAATACAAATTGTATCGATGTGATCGTAGCTCAGAAGTGAGAGGAGGAGGTGTGGTGACGCTCATCAAAACCGATCTTTTCAGTGAAGAAGTAGCATCCGATTCCAAAAAAGGCGCCTACGAATTCCTAGTGATCGACCTGGATGTAAATGTTTCACCACTGCGAATAATTAATCTATACCGGCCACCCTCTTGCTCTTATCAAAATACACTGATCCTCCCCGGAATCCAAAGTCAGCAACCCGATTAGGTCGCCTGTTCACCGATTTTTGTGACACAAATAGCCTCCATCAGTCAGTCCAACAACCTACCCGTAAAAATAAGCTTCTCGATATTGTTCTCTCTAATTTCCAATTGCAAAAAGTCAGGAACACATGCCCAATAGGGAGTTCAGACCACGAGAAAATAGAGATGTCCTTCGATATTCTGAGAAAATCCGCCGAACAATCCATCGCAATGCATGACTACAAAAATATCGATTGGGTGAATTGCGTAAAATATCTAGACAATATCAATTGGTCCGTAATTATGTCACCAGAGAAATCCGTAGATAACATATTTTCCGAATTCATAGACCACATGCAGACAGTTTTCAACGCCTCGGTGCCAAATAAAACGATAAACCGAAGCATAGGGTGCCTTCCGAGTTACCTAGAATCATTTCGAAAGTCAGTTGAATGGCAAATTTATGATAAAGCCGATAAAAAAAGAAGAGAAGAAGACTATTTTAATTACGTGCTATTATAGGGGCACCGCACAGAAATGGCGCTCTGTTGAGAAACTCTTTTTGCAGTGCAAATTGAGCGACCTCGGGGCCGAGTTTGAAAAGTTAAGCCACGTTTTCAGTGGAAAATTACTTCGCGGTCTAGAAATTCGGCCAGATTGCTAACAGCGCGGCCTTTCTGTCCGGTGCCCCTATAATAGTTGCCAAGAAATTCCGCAACAAACTGCAAAAGTTTAGACGCAATACAGAACTACTAATATTAAAAAACAATGGACACAGTAGGTTCTCATCCATAGCCAAAAACCTACTGAAACCCAGAAATCATGTGATCCCAGGATTAAGTACTACTTCCGGTAACACAGCTGTATCAGATCTTACAAAAGCCGAGCTTAGTAGCAGACCATTTCGAAATGCAGCACATTAACAAATCTTCGAACTCCTTTTCTCTGCCAGACAACTACAAATCTTCTCAACCCATCCCATGGGTAAGAGACGACGAGTTGCTGGAAATTATTCTGAAAGGCAAAAACTCGTGTTCTATATCCTCGGACACAATTCCATTCAAGTTCATAAAACTGATCGCTCATTTCGTTGCAAGCCCACTGGCCCAAATACTCAATCTGTCGATGATGAGAGGAGATGTGCCTAGTAGTTTCAGAGACTCTATCCTCGTCCCCTTAGGCAAAATGCCCAACCCAAAACTGCCAAGTCATTTTAGATCAATCAGTTAAACGTTGCAACTGTGCCGAATCTACGAGAGATGTCTCCTATTCAAACTACTCCCTCATCTAGATGAGGTGGAAATTTGGAACAAAGAACAGCATGGCTTTAGGCCCAAAAAATCGTCGATGACTTGTATGCTCGAAGCAACAAATGAGTGGACCCAGGCGATAGACAAAGGGCTACACGTAGATTTAGTCTAACTAGACTACGCAAAAGCTTTTGACCGCATTCCGCACGGCATATGCCGCATACTATTACAAAAACTGATAGACCTAAACCTAAATGCCCATCTAATAACATGGATCAGCCAATTTCTAGAGTCTCGTCTCGCCCTTTTTCGGTTCTGTCTCTGACGAGACTGGACGATACCGAGACAGAACCGAGAAAGGGCGAGACGAGACTGGACGATACCGAGACAGAACCGAGAAAGGGCGAGACGAGACTGGACGATACCGAGACAGAACCGAGAAAGGGCGAGACGAGACTGGACGATACCGAGACAGAACCGAGAAAGGGCGAGACCGAGATGATAATGGAACGAGACGAGACCGAGACGAGAAAAAACCGAGACGACACAAGGGCGAGACACCGAGATTTTTCAAAAATTTCTCGCCGAGACGACACATTACTATACACGTTAATAGGCAAGTCAGATGACAGCAAATTCTTACAATCGGGTATTGATTCGATCCTCCACTGGTCCACTCAAGGCAAATTAGCTCTGAATGAGGACAAAACGGTATGCCTGACAATCGGTAACACACCACGCATTCTAGAATACAACATCACTGGTAACCCCATCAGAAGGGGGAAAATAACACGAGATCTTGGCTTCTTAGTCTCTGCTAAGCTTGACTTCAGCAAACACTGGCAAACTAGCATAAACAAAGCAAAATACATGATGTCTCAAATTTTCAACTAGTACAACACTAAGAATAGCAGGCTTATGACGCTTTTGTACAAGACATTTCGTCCGCCCGATAGTTGAATACGGGACACCAGTCACAAGTCCAATGACACAACGCGATATCAAAGCTATAGAATCAGTTCAAAACGCATTCACTAGGCGTCTCTATAGTAGACAAAAAGGCCGATATTTGAGGCCAGATGATAAATAGTATAAATGCATATTGTCAAAGAACAGCTTTGTTTCAGTGAGATCTCATCAGTGAGCAAGAAGCACAGGAGACAAGGACTCGCATCAAAATTTATGAATTGGACAGAAAGCAAAGAACTGCTAAAAGTAGGAGAATTACTTTTTCGGTAGGCACAGGATAACTGGAATTTCAGAGTCTCGAAGCTACTGGCATTGTGACGGAAGCTTCTTCTCTGGCAAACCAAGTACTGCTATCGAAACAAGGAAATCTGATTATCTGTTCTTCTCTGTACATAAAATGTTTTTCGTACTACACAATAATACTATTTTCCCAATTGGCTCATTAGTAAACCGAGCCCGTTCTTTGTGTTGCCTTGCCATTTCAGAACTTGGAATTTATCGATGCGGATGTGTCTCTTTTTGTTATTCTTGGTTTACGACGACAGCAAGAAGTGAGCACTCCTGTAAATTTAAGCGTACGGAGTTGTTGCAACTGTCTCACCGATGAGTGCACTTCTGTAGTTCTTGATGATTAACATAGTGGGCATAGGATCTATTGCGGGAAACAGAGCAATAGCAATCGTAACAGTGCCGCTGAGCATTCCTATATCCATGTCGAGAACTGTGAAAACGAAGAGGAAGAAGACGGGAATATGCATAAGAATGACAGGAATGAGGGTCTGCGTGACCAGAGCGTAGAACAATTGCAGTTGGAAAATGCGACTGCGGGCTGACGATTTGGAAGAACGGTCCATGAGTTTGTTGATTTCAGCATAGCATTTGTAGCCGAAGTACCCAACAGTCGATAGTGACATGACCTGAAAGAATGAGAAATTGAACAAAAGAATGAAGAGATACCTACAAGGATCGCTGAAGTCAATGCAATAACCAAACATGAATCCACATCAATTATATATCCGAGTTTATCGTCTGCTTGATAGAAATACGGCCCCACGTATTCCATGTCATCAATTTCCAGGTCATAAGTTTCCAAGACATTGTTCCTAACGTATTTGCTCTTTGCGACAGTGACTCCACAAAGAAAGTAGCACGCGAATCCCCATGCACTTCCGCTCAAAACTGGAATTAGCATCCAGAAAACAATCGATTTCGATTGAAAAGTACGCAGTAACTTCTTGCGAGCAGCGACGAGGTATCGGTAGATGAAATGGACGGCAAATATAGCCATGGATGCTCCGAAAGAGCCGCAGTAAACAGCTTGAAATCAATTAAAACTGATTGGAAGGGAAATGCTTCTTACATATCAAAACCTTCACAATTTCCCTGCCGAATAACGCAGTTTTCGTGTTAGCCATAACAAGAAAAACTGATCCATACGAATGAAATATCTAATATGAAACATCACGTTTTTGCTGGAATTTGAAACGTACCGGTGACGTGATCACATCAATTACAGAATACGCGATCTCAAAGATTGAAATGTAGATCATCAAATTCTTGTAGGCTCCGATCTGTTTGGGCGATTTCAGTACAATGAGAACGAGGAGAATGCCGTTCAATAGTACCGAAACAAAGCAGGAAACACGCTGAACACGGTTTTGGACCTTCTCCCACTCGGCACCAAGCATTACTGCCGAGAATGAAGCGCCAGGAGTAAGTAGGCAACACGTGTTTCCATGGCATCGCATATTCTCGGAGGACCCATTATTTTTCAGAGCTGATAAGGTCATTAATTCTCTATATACTAATATCCGTATCAAATTGAGTCGTGACGTAGGACGAAGCTAAATAAAATCATGAAAGTTTCATTTGAGGACGTCCGCATTTAGTAGCCTCCCACGATCCAGTCCATCATTAGGGAATCCAACAAGTAAGTACATCTCCAGAAAACGGTCGAATTCAGGAATTCATGTCTAGTTGAAGTCTCACTACAAAACCTTTTCCTGAACTCATCTGGCCAAGTTTCGACAATGGTATCACGAGCTGATAATGGAAATTGCGAGAGGAAAAATGAAAATAGTGATATTTGCTGAGATGACAAATGATAACTGTGATAACTTGAGTTTTTTACGGACAGTTTAGTTACAAACCCGACGATATCGGTTTCGCCCGATTCAGCCTTTCTGAACTTGCATTCATCTTCCCTCGCAGTTTCATTTTCACGGAGACGCAGGCGTGAGAGTGGAGTGTTGTACCGAAAATTGACGCTCGCTTTATCGTAAATTCACATACTTTGAAGTCGTTCTCGAATTCTGAAATAAAGCATACTTTCCCCATTTATTCATCTCTTACAGCGGCAACCATGACTGCGGACGTCGACGAGAGTCAGCTCGTTTTCATCGGAGGAGGCAATATGGCTTCGGCCCTCATCAGAGGATGCGAAAACAGAAGTGGGCAAATATTAGGAGGCCTTCTGATGTTGATTGTTATGATTTTGTAGAGTTCGCGTCGAAGAGCAGAATAGCGGTCAGTGTGCAATCGCAGAAATCAGCGGACAAGTGGAAGAAACTGGGATACGAGCACGTGTTCACAGACACCCTCGCGATGCTCGACAAGTTCCCGACGGCTATTTACATTATCTGTGTGAAGCCTCAAGTTTTCGAAGAAGTCGTCTCCAGTTGGCCAGTCAATTCCAGGCCTAAGTTTATCATTTCGGTCATGGCCGGAGTCCCTCTCAATCTGCTCGGCGCTAAAGTTACCATAAACGTTTGTGTCTTTTGAAAATGAGAAAACCGTTCAGCTTCCATTCGTTTCTGGAAACACGACAATCGTCCGTCTGATGCCAAATGTGGCAAGTTCAATCGGAGCAGGAGCATCGACATTGTGCTACGAGAAGAATGAGAGCATCGAGAATCAGGAGTGCTATATCCGACACGCGCGCCGATTCGCAGAATGCGTTGGAAGTGTGGAGATCATTCCGGAAAGATGCTTCAATCCGGCGATGGCTATAGGAGGAAGCAGCCCCGCGTGGACGTTCATGTACATCGAGTCCCTGGCCGACGGAGCAGTTGCTCAGGGATTGGGAAGAGCCGAAGCGAAACGATTGGCCGCCCAGGCAGTGATGGGGGCCGCCAAGATGCTGCTGGACGCAGAATCCGGGTTTGATATCGAGACGCAGCACTTCGGACTGCTCAAGGACAAGGTGTGCTCGCCTGGCGGAACGACGATAGAAGGAGTGAGGGCCCTCGAGAAGAACGGCTTCCGATCTGCCGTCATTGAGGCCGTCGTCGCTACGTCGAAGAAAGCGGACGATATGGCCAAAGCGCTTTCAAAATAGGAAAATAGGCAATTATTCCGAACAATCTGTTGAATATTACTCCTTGTTAATTTATAAAATTCTAGATTTTACAACAAGATCAAAGAAAAAACAGAAAAACTAAACTGAACAGAAAAAAAAACTTATGCAAATATTCTAAGTGAATGAATCGAATGAGAAAAGTAAGTGTTGTTTGATTAATTAGAGCTAAACTCGTGAGCCCTTTTCCAATCCGAGCAACTTTTCGGCGAGGCCCACGTAGTAGACGGTCTGAGCGATTCCGAAGAGTGGCGCCATCACCATCATTCTGCAAATGGCTCCTTTGAAAAGAGCACCGATTCCCTCGTCGGCCAGAATACGGTAGAATGCGTGACAGAAGCCTTTGTAGTTCGATCCTCCCGCCTGAATCCTCGTTTTGACGACGTCCAATGGAGTGACTGCGAACGAAGCGGTTGCTCCGGCCGTCAATCCGGACACGAAACTAGCCCAGAACACAGCATCTCCTAAAATATATACAAATTCATTTTGAAATCTTTTTGAAATTGCTTTACCGGAATCGTCCTTTTTTCTCGGACCTAACCCGTCCAAATAGGCGAAGAGTGGGAAGTAAAGAGCCGAAAAGGACACATCTCTAGCCATCGTCGGCCCGAGTCCTTTGTACAACGCAGTGATTCCTCCGTCCTTCGTCAGCAGATTCCAGATCAAACGAGTCGCTTTCACCTTGTCTTTCGACTGCTGCATGCGGATTTTCAGCAGTTCCATCGGCGTCGTGATCGCAACTTGGCAGAATCCGGCTGCTGCTCCGGCGAGCATTCCACGTGGCGTCGAAAGTCTTTCCGCTTGATCCTTCATCAAAGCGTGACGGAAAAAGTCATTCGCCACCAGCTTGATCGCTTTTTCAGGGGTGATCAGAAAGACATTGACGGATGCTCCCTGAGAATAATTAGTTCAGAACTGCTCGGGAATCCTTTCGTCACCTGGTACATTCCTCTGATTTGATTTAGTCTACCAGGGGCACCGGCGTTCCACGATTTACTGAAGCAGTCGACGATTCCGTTGTAAGTGGTTGATCCCTTCTGATTCTGAAGTCGCGTCTTCACGAGATCCATCGGGAAAACGCAAGAGACTCCGACGATTCCGGAGATTCCTCCGTTGAGCACTTTCGGTATATACCGGATCGGCTGCTCGTTTCTCTCCTCGGCCAGCAGTTCCAACTCATCCACATCCATTCTGAACTACTTATTACCTTTATCTGATAAGTGTTGACAATTGGAATGTAGGTTGGCATTCGAACCGGAAGGGATTTGCGGTACACAGAAGAATATAACACTTGACACGCTTATTTAGGAGGATCACGAGACATGCAAGGAAGTTAGTAAGAGTAATTATTTCTCAAATTATGTAGTTTCTTTCATTTTCTGCTATCAGGGAGCTCAATTAGACTGAGTTGAACACGAATCCAAGCGGAGGTTTTTCGATTGGGGTCGATGAGGAATGATGGGTTGCGTAGACTCCGAACATGTGTTGCCCGAGAGTCATGTCGTCGATCTCGTTTGCGCGCACGTCTTCCGCCGGCTAGAAACTCAATCAGCTGATCAATGATACTAATAACTGACCTCCTCTCCTTCTTCGACGTCTCCTGATGACGATTTTCTCAGATTGTTTAATGGAATGTCCTCAAAATTGTCTTCTTGAACTGGCAAGAGCAATTTCTTCGACGGTTTTTCTCCGCTTCCCGTCTTGAATGGCTTCAAAATCACTTTTCCTCGACTGACTCTGAATCTCGGGATCGCACGAGATAATGTGTATTTGATGACGAAGAGCATGCTGGCGGCGATAACAAGAAGGAAGAAGACAGCAGTGATGGTGAGTACTGGGAGACTGGATGCTTTACGTGTCGTTTTGATGGAAACATACTGATCTTTTTAGTAGTTGCTCCAGTTTCACTGCTTTTTGTTGGGAAAATTATGGAATTCTTGGATGCCATCACCAAAAGAGTTGACAAAATGGCGAGCAGAGTGATATACAGTGTGTAGCATATCCAGTTTCGTGCGAAGAATTCTTTCAGAGAGGCCGGCTCGAGAGCATAATACAATACACTGCACTCCAGACACGAGGATTTTTCACTCAGAAGAGACGACAAACAGCCAAAGTGCATCACTTTTCTGGAAAATAACAAGTTGGTTTGAAAGAGAAAAACCATCCAACCCGCAGAAGCACGGCTTGATTTTTTTGCCCAATGTTTTCTTATTGTTCTGTGTATCGTTTTCGTAGTTCTTATCGTCACACACTGAACAGGTCATTCCTTCTTCTGAACCTCCGCCGGATAAACTGGCGATCTTTCCGAAATGATGCAACTTTGCTGTTCGGGGGATTGTGCTCCCCTGACCACAACTGCTGCATTTCGCCTCTCCAAATTTGACTCTATTTCTAGAAGCGCACCGAGAATGGACGAACATTCTGAAAGCCGAACGGCTTAATGGTTATGTAAAATATTTCAGAAAATCTCACAGCTGGCAATTGCAAGGCTTGACGAAATCGACATTGTTCACGGCGCCATGGATGCTCTTGTAACAGATGTGACAGTGAATTGCGGCAGATGGCGTCTGGATTTCCTAGAAAAAAGAACAAATGGGGAGTTGAACTGGCAGTCGAACCTCTTTTGATGCTCGCTTTTCGCGATGGCTCTCGTCGTGATGTATGACTGACAGACCTTCGGGAAAGTATTCTTCCACATTCATTATTGTCCGAAACTGTCGGAGAATAGTATTTTCTGTTCGAAATCTAGTAGTAATTAGTGAAAACGTTGAATTTCTGCTCAATTTTATATCTTGAAAAGCCTCAGGTCTCGAAACGAAGTGAACGTGAGAGTATTGCGCCTTTAATAATACCGTATTCCACTGCACTCAATTTTTGCCGAGAATCGGTCGAATAATCTGTTTTTGGAATCGTTTAGAAATTATTGCAAAATTCGGTTTGTCATTTCAGAAAATAATGGGGAATTCACTGTCAATTGAGTCGGAAAGGTTCAACAAAGCCCTTGAAATCGATCTTCCACGAGATTTCGGCCGATACGACGACGAGGGCTTTCCTTTCACTAAAGTGAGACAGAGAACTGCTCAAAAATTGAATATCTAATACAATTCAGAATGCTCGAAAAGCATTGAATAAGATCCGGCAGATGATGGAAAAATCACAGCCCATGGAGTTGTGGTACGGTCAGCTGGTGCGAATGAACGATCACATGGAAGAGTGAGGAATTCCATGAAAGTGAAAAAATAATATTTCTTTCAGTAAGCGTGTGGATTCGATGAGAGAGCCGGATGTGCAACACGCAACAAGGCTGCAGAGAAAACTGAGAGCTTCCCCGAGAAGCTACGTCATGAAAAGAAGGTAAGTAGGTACCAATATTTCGATGATAACCACCGGTTTCAGTGTTTCTGCTCCCGAACGTTTGGCGAGTCTCAGCCGAAGGAAATATGTGGAAAAGTTGGACTTGCAGCTGTCGAGAAGCAAGTCCGTTGTGGAAATCGAACTGGCCAATTGGTTCGGTGAGAATCGCATTCGAAATAATTATTCAATAATGACCCATTCAGGAGTGAACGTGGATGATCTTGTTCATAAAATTTATCTCAAGTATCTGGCTGTGGATCCACTTCTAGAAGATTTTGAAGATCCAGACGACGAAGAATACGAAGAGAACATGGAGAATGACGGTGGCTGCCAATGTCATCAGCACCGCAAAGTGGACGAACTGAACAGAATGGGAGAGAAGCTCATTGAGGACACTATGATGCAAGTGATCGAGTTCCGCAGACTATTTGAGGACGAAGCGATGAATAGTCCCCGAAAATCGGAAAGAGAGGCTCACGCGGAAAAGATCACAGAAAGCGTGAGATGTCTGATACAACACACTGCCGTAAATGTAAGCGAATCGACAAAATTCAAAAAAATTAGAACAGCGTGCCTTACAGTTTGCCGCAATGATAAACGCGAACGATGAGCCTGAGGTTATCGATAATCTGCCGACAACATCCAAAAGCTGGGCAAAACTGCAAGCGATGAAGGAAAAGATTCTGCCGTACAGCGGACGTAAATCGAATCGCGCATTCTTCGACGAAGTTTATCAAGACTTTCTGAATCATACTGACCGATGCGACTGCGAGTTCATGAAAGATGGACGGGGCGAAGAGAACGCATCCATTCTGGTGAGCATCTGGATACTTCAAAAGTAAACATTTACTTTCAGGAAGTTGCAATGCACGCACATCACCGTTTGCAGGCCGTCGACAAAGTAAAAGATCAGTTTCTAGAACTTATCCGCGAGTCTCCAGTTGAATTGAATAATTGCCCGATCGAGATGCAGATCATATATCAGTGTATGGCGAAGAACCTTCTTCAAGGAGAAGTATTGGAAAAAGCGATACATCTGAAGGAGGATCATTCGCGAGAGAGCAAAGAGCCACTCGGAATGCTCATGGGGAAGATTGCTGCCACTTTTCCAACAAAAAATGAAGTGATTGACAAATGAGACTTTAAAGAAGTTCCCAGTCAAATTCCAAACAGCCTTGAAAGAAGCTTCCCACAACGGATCGGTGAGAAAATTAGTTTTACGACAGTCAATAGCTGTCAACAGTCAGCCGCTGGATACGAACAAGAAATAGCTGTCTCAATATTATATTGGTACCATCTTTTTAATAATTTGTTTCTAATAAAATTATGATTGTTTTCTTTATTTCTTTTTACTTTTCAAACTTCGGTTCCTCCCGTAGCGATCTCTGTTAATATGCGTTTCGCTTAATTTACAACGCGCAAGGATCTTTTTGATTGACAGCCTAAAGAACGAGGAAGTAGATTCCGGCCCTGATCAAGAAGAGAATGATAAGGAGAGATCGGTAACGGCAGCCGGGAGATCATGTGATGACGTGGAAATGACATTCTTTAATCTCACCATACATTTGTGAGAAGTCTGCCATTGAGTACCTACCAAGTTGATACTATCTACTTACCATAAATACATAGTGATTGTTTTGCATAGAGACGTTTGAGTGCCCGCCAATGTTATTGTTTACCATGTTTGTCTCTGTTTGTTTGTGGTTTGCTCGTCGCTCTTCCACCGGCTAATTCGCTCTTTTCAGATGCCCAATTCCATTCTCCGCTGCCCGTCCGATCTGTCCGTGAGTTCGGGTTAGTTTGTTTTTCGATTCCTGCAAACCTTCTCCAAATTGACACCTGTTCAACAAGGAAGTGCATGCCCCCTCAATTCTGTCAGCAGTTCACCAAATAAAAAAGGAAAGGAGAGGGGCGTCCTGTGCCCATAACTGATAACACGTACCAGAGCAATAACTGTTCTTAATCTGCATCGCTTACTGATGCACTTTCCCTCAGGACTGCGACGAATTCGTCAAAAGTCATCAAATGATTCGAATCGCCTGTGTTTTGGAGCCTCTTTCCGCTGATACGAGACCAAATTGTTGTGTCTGTAAGGGCGACGTCAAAACACAGTCGTCCTCGCTTTTGACACGCTCCAGTCTAGTTCTTTTAGTCATCGGAAGACCGATAGTACATGCCCCCCCATTTCTTTCCGATTAATGATAGTGAGTGGGCGCGGCATAAACAGGTGGTAAAGCCCCGATATCTCCCTCTTCGAAGAGTACAGCATCGTGGCGCCAGAATTCCCACAAACTGTTGATTTCTCGGCGTTTTGACTATGAAAACAGTCCGTTGTGATCAGTATATAAGTGCCATCTTCAGATACTCATGAAATTAGGATCTGCGAAAGTCGAGCAAAGTCCAAACGGGTTTGCGCTGGACGATCCGAGCGTTGACCTCTGTCTTCTGCTGAATTCAAATAGTTCAATGTAAGTAAGAGTGTTTCAGTCCTCAGAATAACCTATCCATTATAGGAATCGGCTAGAGCCGCCCGGAATTCTCGACTTCTTGTACGAAGTACTCCGAGACGCTGCCTTCCAGAAACTCCAAGATCTCTACGAGCGTTTGTTTTTCACGGAGCTGACAGCTGCGGAAATCGTCCGACGGTATGCTGGCAACTGGAGACCTCCGATGCTTCCCGGATTCCTTGAAGATTACCTGACCAGAGTTCCGGAAGTTCCTTTAGCACGAATGCTCACTTTCCTGGACCCCGATAGTCTTATGAAGTTGCAGTGTTCCTGTCAGTTATGGGCGGTAATCGTCGTGTGAGTTTCAGTTTACTTTTCAGTTTTCACTTCATCATGTTCCCTTCTTTCAGGAATGAACGGCTCAGGTTCCGACCTCGTTTTCTTCCATTGGGCAGTGTCCGATTGCTTCTGAACGGATCTGTCGAAGTGACACGTCGAAGATCTAGGTCCGCATTCGCACCCAACTCCAATTTGCATTTAAAGTTTGTCGCTTTTCAGCATTAAGGTCAATCATGATCAATTCTCGAAAAGTCTGCAAGATGTCACCTTCGACAAACTGTTGATATACGATGAAGGAACAGTCGAGGCCGTCCTGTACCACATTCCGGAACTCAGATGCCGTCACCTGGAGTTACGCATTCCGGGAAAGGCCGAAAATGAAGAGTTAGTTATTCTATTTTTTCCGTCTTGAAAGTGCGTTGTTGTAGTGAACTGCTGACTATTTGTGAGCAAATGATCGTGAATAGTTGGATACGAAAGGTGACAATCATCGTTAGAAGCGACGACTGTGCTGCCCTCCGATTCCGATTGATGAGCATTGTGCAGAGAGGGCATTACATCGATCTAGATGCATCGATCATCAGCGTTCTTCCCCCGTAATTCGTACCATTCTCGTATATAATTTCAACGCTCCCTGATTATATTCTCTCTAAATGTGCCGGTTTCTTGTATTATTGAACATTACCGCAATGATAAATCACATCCGATCGAAAAGGGTTCGAAAAGCCAGACAGAAACGATGCGGATCACTGAACTTTGTTTATATGGATAATTTATCATTGGCAGTGAGAGAAGAGAAAGTTTTAGAATCTCCCTTATCTTATGTAAAAGATAGCAAGTTGCCATCAAACAGAGAAAAATGTTTGTCAAGGGAGATAAGATTTAAGAACTTATTCAAAAGAGTTGTCATAAAAGCGAATGGAAGTACACATTGTCCACAGAATGATATAAAATCGGGGCACTTCCGGACATGGAAACTTCCGGAATGGCTCTAAAAATGTGGAAGATCACAACTACCGTTCTCTTCTTTTCTCTTGTTTTCCAGGATGTGAACTCTTCTCTCGTGGATGCTCTCGAGTGTAAGTGAACAATTCCTCCATTCAGTTAGAGCTCATTCGTTCAGATGCCAACGCTGGAAGATCCTCAGTTCTCAAGGACTTCACTGGAATCAAATTGAGCAGCACTCCGACAGAAGACGTGCTCAGTTGGCTGAAAGAGGCATTCGGGAGTCTTCCGTGGAATGTTCAGTACAATCTGAACGAAATTTCCGTCTACTTCAAAGTGCGAACACTTTAGAAATTGAAGTTTTATCTTAGTTTCAGGCGTTCATTTCCAGTCTGAAGACAAACGAATCGTCCACGACAACGGCTCCGACTTCCCCAGTCACTTCTCCTTCAACTTCTCAGACCACCAAATCTTCTAGTTCTACCACTCCGTTCCCCACGAGTGCTAAAAAAGCATCAAAGACGAACAAGGGTACGAAGAGTCTAAAAACTACCAAAATTCCCCGTTCCGCTCGTTTCCTCTGAGCTCTGTCTCACTTTTCTTTCTTTGTTTTTCCAATTGTCAATAAAAATTATTCATAGTTTGAAGAGGATCCCATAAAATTGCAACATTACCCGGTTAAACAAAGAGAATCGCACTCGATTCGTCTCTTTTCACTTTTTCAGCAAACAGAGCCCGGTAATAAAGGAGAAGTAAGAAGAGAGAGTCATCCGTTTGTCTTTCCGAGACCATAAAAAGGACCTGACTCCGAACATTCTCGTTTTTGTCCATTTTCTCATTTTGTAACGTCATCCAAAGATTCTCTTTTCAGAATGATCCGATTCTTCCTGTTGCTGATGGCGTCAAGTCGCGTGACTGGACTGCTGTATGAATTGAACAGTACAGAAACAACGTTTCAATCCATTCCTGACGACCGATATTACGCTGTTGTCTATAATGACACTGAAGACGATTTTAAATTAATCGAGCTAAAAGCCCGTGCACCAGACAGAGATGCTGTCATTCCTTGGTAGGCTGTTCTGGATCTAATTAGAAACCACCTCTACATTTAGGGACTACCCTACAAAAGATAAGATTGAAAGTCAGGATCTGGCAGACTATGATGAGTTCAAGGTGTCTGAAACGGATATTGGTACCACCGGTGCAGCGGCGAAGTTGACTGGCAAACTTTACTTTCCCGAGAAGGGTTAGTTGAGTTCACCAAACGTACTAAATACAGTAGCGGCCACTGAAATATCCCCTTTTGGTTTTTCCGCTATAACTTTTTTTAGAGAAGAGCAACCGGGCCAAAATTTTTTATGCGTATTACAGGCATATATAATGTACTTTCTGCAAAGTGTCTCCACTGTGCTGCGAAAGAAATATTTTCTCTAAAATGTTTTTCAATTTTCACGATTTTGCTCGTATTTTCAATTTTTTTTTGGAAGCTACAACGCCAATATTTTCCAGAGTCTTCAATATTTTTTGATTTAGATAATGACAAAAACTAAAGGAAAAGTAGATTTGACCCCTAACCAGCAATTTGCAATTGCCAGGAGCAGGCGAGCAGGGACGAACTCACAGGCAACTCGCTGAGCAGTTCAATGTCGATCGTTCCACAGTTGGAAAATTTTTGAAGCGCTGGAGAGCTCAAAATGAGCAGCCAGTGAAGAGAAGACACTCAAGGGCTCCCGTTACGAACCATCTAACGGATAGAAACATCGTACGCGCATCGTGAAGCAACCCTAGACTGAGTGCCACCGAAATCCTCGATCAGGTTTCCCACCGTGGATCACCCGTGGCAAGCGTCAGAACGATCCGACGTCGCCTAAATGATGCTGGACTCTTTGGCAGAAGACCTGTGAAGAAACCATCCATCTCTGACCGCAATAGAGCAGCTCGTGTGGCCTGGGCGCGAGCTCATCTCAACTGGACTCAAAGTCAGTGGGAACGAGTTTTGTGGAGTGATGAGAGCAAGTTCATGTTGTTCGGTTCGGATGGAATTTCTTACGTGAGGCGACCAGTAGGGACCAGATTCGACCCAAAATATCAAACTCCCACCGTAAAACATGATGGCGGCAACGTGATGGTATGGTCCTGCTTCAGCAGTCATGGGGTCAGACCACTACACCGCATCCGAGGTAACATGGATCGCTTTGTTTACGAACAGATCTTGCAAAATGTGATGCTCCCGTTCGCTCGTGCCTCCCCGAGGGTTCGTTATTTGTTTCAGCAAGATAACGACCCAAAACACACCTCCAACCACATAAAAATGAGTTAAATGCCTCAAACGATCAGTACCTTTTTTTGAAGAATTGGTTCGCCACCAACCGTGCGACTGTAATGGAGTGGCCCAGCAAGAGCCCCGACCTCAAACCCATCGAAAACTTGTGGGAAGAGCTTGAGAGACGCGTTTCCGGTATCCGTACAACGAGAAATTCTCTCAGTTGGAGACTGCGTGGGCTCAGATTCCACAGTCTGTTTTGACCAACCTGATCCAGTCGATGCCAAGAAGATGTCAAGCTGTTATCGATTCTCGAGGGTTTGCAACTAAGTATTGATCAATTTTATACTGTTTCTATTGCTTATTGTCTCATTTACAAGTCGTTTCCCGAGTGAAATCGCAATAAACCGGTTTTTGTTGAAAATCGAAAAATCGAATTTTTGGAATTTTTCAAAGAACATTTTTTTTATCGATAAGAGCTAAACTGGATCATTTTTCTGGCTCATTTTGCAACATTTTCACAGTTGACCTCAAGTTCCTAGCTCTTCTCTAAAAAAAGTTATAGCGGAAAAACCAAAAGGGGATATTTCAGTGGCCGCTACTGTATTATGAATTGAAGAATGTGAAAGCACTGCGGTGTTCCAATCAAAGAGTGCGCCGTATAACGTGGACGTATCTGACGACTATATTGTTATTTTCTCAAAGACTGCAGCCGGATCAACACTTGGAAAGTTTTCCACATCATCGGTTAGTGCTGATGAAGAAATAATTGTGTCAAATAAAAGGAGTTGAAAATATGCTGACAAAGGATCAAAACTAAATACTTTCTGCTTTCAGGATACGTCATTCACTGTGTACTCTGGACTTCCGGGAGAAGACGGGCATTCCTTGTATGTTTACGAGTAAGATTATTTATTAATGTATTACGTTCAAACATTTTGTGAAGTTTAGTTCGAAACTAAACGTAGATGAAATGTACATCCCCGAGGATCATTTTTATGTTTCACGAAACGGCGATCTCAATTTCGAAGTGACGGACGGTGGAGGTAGGATTTTCCCGTGCTCGGCACGAGAAAGATAACTTGTTTTAGAGAGTCCCAACGAGAAAACATTCACCTCAAATGGATTTGTAATGTCCACCCACTACCCACAGGATCCAGATGTGAAGAGTCTGAGCGTAAAGCTAAAACCGAATACAGCGGACCGTCCGATCACATTTCAGGCACGCGTGCACAATAAGATATTTGAAAACTTTCTAATGTTCAGGTGACAGCTGCGCCGGAGGAAACAACTGGGGCCGAAAAGGAAATGATTGCGGAGGAGTCGGATTCGGAAGGAGTGACTGTCAGTGTCGGAGACCAGTTTAAAATGTAAATTGAGAGAGTATGGGTGAATATAACCTGATAATACGTTTCAGCTTGATCAAACGAGGATCCTCAGCCCAAACCGGTACTATTCTTCCGGCTAACACGGACCATTTCCAAATCAGTGCGAAAATTGGATATGTTGTGCAATTCGATATTGGCGGTAAATATACTTCATTTTCTCACTTTAAATCTGTTCTTACACAGATCCCGTCAACCCTGCTACAAACGCTCCAACGACACCGACAGCGCCGACAACAGCTCCCACAGTTACCACCGCGCACCCAACGTGTCCGCAATGCAACTGTTTCTCGACTTCCACAGAGCCATCCACCACCACTCAATCTGCGAGCGTTTCAAGTGTGGCCTCCGTGTTCACAATGATCTTTGCTTATAACTTATTCTAATCAAGCCAATGTCTTATTTCTGTATGAATCATTCATTAAGATATGCTTTTGACAACCTGAAAGGTCCGAGTCACAGAGTCTTCCCTCGCCGATATCTTTGACAAACACAACAATTTAAGGATGTCGGAGCGAATGGAAGGATTGAAGAGGATGTAGACGTACGGAGGAAGACCTGAAAACACGGATCAGTCCACAAAGGTTCCGGTGAACTCACTGTGGTTGCCAATCCATGCAAAGTGACAGACATAGTTGAGGACATCGGGCATCGAGAAGTATTGGATGTAGACGTAGAGAAAGCATCCGATGAAGTGGCAAGTGCACACAATCAGACATTGGTAGGTGACCTGGAAGCAAGCCCGTTCTCGTGTCCTTCCCAGCCCAACTCACTCTTTTCACCAAAGCAGACGTCTGCTTTATTTGGCTCTTCCAGCTTTCTATTATAAGATACGAACAGATTATAATATAACAGGTTCCGATGAAAAACATGACGAAGAAGTTGTTGAAAACGTATGCTTGCACTGTATAATATTCGGCAGGAAAGTTCTTTGTCACTTCGCTCATTGGATTCAGAAGGAAAGCGGAGACGGACGGTTGAAAGAAGGTTGGTTTGGTGAAGAAAGTGAAGTAGATAAAATAGAAAACAGGCAGGAAAAGGAGGCATTTGAAGTATGAGGAACGGAAGAGAAATGCACATTGGGACGGAGCAATGAGTTCACAGACTCTGTTGAATGCCAGCAAAAGCACGTACATACAGCTCATGTGCCAGAGGCCTGAATACACGAATCCATTGATGTTCTGGGTACGGAACAAACCAAAGCAAATGCAGCCAGTCACGAATGTGAAGTTGATTGCGTAGCACGGATGAAGGCCATAGATCGAGTAGAATCCAGCGAGGTCCGCGCAAAAGATCAGACAGAGAACGTCGGGAATACCGAGGAAGAACATGATTTTGTAGCATGGATGAGTGAAGAGACTGGGTGAACGGAATATTGTGTAGAGGGCCAGGACGTAGATGATCTGAGAGATCACTCCGATGCTCATGTAGATTGCTCCGACAATGGGCTTAGACTCGGTGAAAGGAGAGGTTCCAGTGCAATTGTAGTAATAAGGACTGAAAACGGCGGAATTCATTTGTGTGACGAGGTTCAGTAAATGAACAGACAAACAATAAGTGTCGTTCACAAAAACATGTGGGAGGCAATAAAGTTACCCGTTCGGATAATATTACTTCACCTGCTTGCCTTTTTTGTGCTTTTATTAGGAAAAGAAGAAAAGAACTAACCTGACCATCTGTCCTCGAGTGGCGAATTCATAGAACATGATTGCTGAAGAACGATCACTCTTTTTCCCTTTTATTCGTCTGGAATGAGACTACAAAAGAAAGACACGTGTAATTAGAGAAGAGACTGGCGATTAGGTGCGGAGACAGACCCCTACGCAACCATTCCACTAACAAGTTCTGCGAAAATTGAAGAAAAGAATTGCTCGGTCGGTGGTTTCGCTGATTTCGCTTTCCGTTCGAAACTGAGCACAAGCAAAATTTTGGGAGAAATTAGAAAAACGAGTCACGCATGTTTTGAATTAAAAATGCAAAAAAAAGCTGATTGGTAAGCCCAGGAAAATTCTCAGATCCTGAAGATTACTAATGCTTTTCTGTGCTCAAATGCAAAGTTATGATGCTCAAAAGTTCATTCGGAATAACCAAAGTCTTCTTCTACTTCTTCTTTCCCCATCCGAGTGGAGTAGGTGGCCGATTGACAGTGTGCTGGGGGAAGAGCGATGGGATGAAATTGAAGAGATTGGGCTCCGCGGCCGGCTGCGCTTGCTGGAAGAGCGACGGATCGACGTTCCAGGTCGGAATGAATTGCTGAAAAGAATACAATTCGACTGGTGAAAGAACGAAGCCAGATTACCGCGGTGGCCGTGAAAACGGCGAGAAGAGCGACGAAACAGGAGAGGAAGAAGCGCATTGTCGATGTGATTCAATGGAGTTTCGGAAGAGAGAGAGAGCTCCTTTTAAAGGAGCATTTATGAGATCCCTCCGATTATTTTATTGTTCATAAGCATTGAAACTTGTTCGAATTTAATGAGCAATAAAACGGAATGGCCATCGTGCAAATAGAAGATTTTTGATCAGAACTTTGCCTACCGTAATACCACTTTCTGTGGTTCTTCTCGTCGTTTCCTCTCAATGAGTCAAAGGCCAGACATCGATGTTTGACTATAAAATTTCTTATCATCATATTGTACTTCTCATCGTTTTCATTCGTTTTCGTACTGACCCACTATGATACATCGTCTTCTATTCTTGGTAGTTTCTCTAGTTTTCTCGACTGTTTCATCAGAAAGAATACACATTTTCGTCGACATTAACTACAATATAACAGTGTCCAAAGGATATCGCATTTATTTTCTTTCAAATGGAACTGAAAGTGACTTGAGAGCCTGTTCTGTGAGAGCAGAAAAGAGTCAAATTGATACAAAGCAGGTTGCGTGCACGCCACAGCCATTTCAACATCCGTTTTCAGTGCATTCGCGTACACAGTTCTCCAGGCCGACGGTTCTGTGAATCCTCTTCTGATCACGGCGGACGACGACGTTTTGAAAATCGCGAAGCCAGAAGGAAACGCAGCTCAAATCAATCTGTACTTTAACAAAATCAACACGCCAAACTTGAACGTATTTCCAATATTCGAGACAAGTTCAGTTCAATTCAAGAGCGGACTAAATGTGTTTTTCGCTATCGACAAGCCGTCCAACAAGATTCTGACTGTCAAAAATCTGAATCTAGTTCGAGAAAACACGAATCTTTCTGCTTACACAGGAGTTCCCGGAGACGCGAATACGTATCTGTTCTTCGACAGTTCCGTGTATCCAAAGTGAGACTCAGGCGGTGTATTTCATTCGATTTCAATTCCCTCAGAACCAAACATTACCGTCAACTGGACATTCCTCTCTATGACTTCTTCTTTGACCAAATCGATTCTGGAGTCACTTATGAAGTTTCATTCTCTGCTGGTTCGTTGTCTATCCTAAATAATTTCTGATTTTTCTATCACAATCAGAAAGCACAAATCTGGAAGAGTCTGGCCTCATAATGACCGAATCGTTTCCGCTCAGCCAGTACGCAGGAGACATTCTTCGAAAAGTGAAATCCAATGGAGGAGGGTATACCTCATTGCAAATTCAGGTTTTCAAATGAAGAACAAAGATGTATGCGAAAAACTTCAATTTCAGACATATTTTTACGGAGCGATTTCTTACAACACTGATCTGATAGTGTACTTTGAGAACGGACTGAAACAGAGCGCCTCGTGAGTGATCAACACTATCCTCTGAACAATTTTTCGTGTTTCTCAGGTTTTCATCGGGAAGCGGAGGGCGGTTCAATGCGGAAGGATTCATAACTTATCTTGAGATAAACTTCGGAGGAGCCTACGCATTTCAGTATTACTTGAATGAGAGTTCCACAATTCCAACATCGACGACTGCGACATACTTGGAGACAACGACAAATTCATCGAACTTCACTAATCTTTATTTGTTATTGATTGTTCTCTTTCTTGTTTTCACGAAATAAACGCTATTAGAGTATTCAGGTTACTGTAGCTCTTTTATTCAGGAACACAGAACGGAAAAAATACGTATGAATATGCTTAGAAATGTCTTTGCTAAACTACTGGCAACTGTGATAATTCCTGTGGAGACGGAACAAAAAAGTTTCGTGGGTAAACATCGAGTTCTTTGTTTCGTACTTCCTTTGTTTTCCCAACAATCCATCTCATGATTTCAATTGAACATACAGTTTCTTCTTTCCACTTTCCCTTTCATTGGGCATTTTATTGAAACTACTCTAGATTGATTATCAGATTTATTAATGCGGACACAACCCGTTTTGAAAGAACAGACGTCAAAACAAACAATTAGACTAGGAAGAGTGCGACAATCAAAAGGGAAGCGACGATCTGCGGGATGCTCGACGCCTTTGTGGTCGTTTCGATGGGCGCCGGAGTGGTCAAAGAAGTGTCTCGGAGCATGTATTGGATGGCATACGGTCCCTCGGACTCCACGACGACTCTGTTCACCGGACTGATGGAAGTGATGTTGGCGGAGGACGTGGAGAGCATCGGGAAGTTGACCGACGGGAGGGCCGAGTAGAAGAGGGTCACATTTCCAGAATACGTCTCGGTTTTGTTCATTCTCGGCTGAAAGATGGGGGCTTTTGAGGGGAAAAAGGAATGAATCTAACCACAAAAACGAGATCAATGTCGGCGTTATCCGGGTTCACGAGAGCGTAGTCGTTGGTTCCGAAGCTTGCAGATGGGAAATCGTCAGTCATGAGGAGACCGGAAGATCCGATCTGCAGTCCGTTTCTGGCTGCGTACTTGATCTCGTACTTGACATTGTCTCCATTCGAAGTGAAATGGAACACGGACAATGGAAGCTCAATCTGATCGTAGTTGGTCACTCTGAAACAAAATAATTCTTCTTTTCAAGACATTTCAAAAAGAGGTACCCCTCGATGGATGCACTGTCAAAGAACTGAACAGAAGCGGAATCTTCTGGAATGCCCGTGAATCCTGCGAATGCAACTTTGCTGCCAACAACGACGTTCTGTGCGACGGGGATCTTTCCAGCCGGAGTGTCCATTCGGAAGAAGACATTGGTTCCCGGCTGGAAACTGACAGAACTGTTCTCATTCAGTGGGAAAACACGGAGATCCGAAGTGGCATTGCTGGTGTAGAGATATCCGGAAAGCGTAGAAGATCCAGAGAAGACAACACTCAGATAATCATTGTCATTGGAGGAGACGAGGGGAGTCAGGGATCCATCGGCGGCAGGGACGGACAGAGTGAACCCACTGAAAAGAGATCGGTTCTTGCAGGCAAAGTGAGAAGGGAATGACTTACTTAGAATTCTGTCCAGCTACGGTGGTGGAAAGTGTGAGATTCTGTAGAGCTTCTTGAGGACTGTCCGAGATCACGAAGATCTTTGAGTTCTTCGTCACTTTGTACAGAGTCTCAAACTGTCCGAATGAGCTCAAATGCACATAGACCGAGTTGGCAAACGGAACAAGAGCCAGGAGAGCGAAGAGAAGCATTGGGGATGGGAGTGAGGACGGGATGTCTGAAGAGGCACGGCATGTATGCATATTTATACAATCAAATTGATAAGGGAAACTTTAAGAGATAACGCGGCAACCACCCACAAAAAAGTGAGTCACACAGGTTATGGGGTTCGGAAACGCGGACGAGCGTCGGGTAAGAAAGAGAGGCCGCGCGACCGCAAATGGCCGTCCGGACACTCGCCTATTTGCATTTTCTCTTTTGTGTCGACGAAGTGAGTCAGGACGCACCTGGCGCCGGTCCGAACTGTGCAGGTGTGAACGACCACAACCGCCGCGGTCTTTGGGAAATGAAAAATGGGTGGACAGTGGAGAGGAAACAACGGGGACCATTTATTATGAGAGTAAAGAATAGAACAAGTAAATGAGAAATGAAGAGAAGAACAGAGAAGAAGAGGAGGAAACGCAGAGACCGTCTTCATTTTTATGACGTCCACAGGCGGAACCAGGTGGTCCTCGGATGATTTCTCGTCGAGACCACTTATTACTGAAGAGCAAACAATGATTTAATCTCCTTAACTGTGAGTTTTTACCCCGGTCCAATGTGACAGTACATTGGATTGAAGCAGTCGACGGAAACGCATCCGATCCTTCTCCGAGACGGCCACAACAGCTCGAACCATCTCAGATCGTAGTCGTTGGTTCCATTTAGAACGTTATCGAACTCCGACGTGTCAGAGAGCCTTTTGAAGTCATTTGGGAACCAGATTCGTTCTCGAAAGTCCTTTCCATGTTTCACTTTCACATTACAGTTGGCTCTCTTTGTTGCAGAAATGACCAAGTCGGAATCCCATTCCTGAAGATGATCAACTTCACAACTCTTACTAAACAAGTGATACCAGTTTGTACATGTTCCCAATCCACTTTTCGCTCGCCAACTTCCGTCGAGCTCCGTTTATGACTTCCAACAGTTCGGCAGTATTTAATTTAAGAATTTTCGCTGGCTCAAATTCCGGACCCTCATTGTTTTGATTCTCCTCGTTGGTCAGAAAAGACAAAAACAAGTAAACTGAATCTTGTTTTCAGTCTTATGAAAACGTTTTCATTCTCACCGAAACAAAGGAAAAAGCAGGCGTTTCGACAACGTCTCATTCACACGGAAAATACGAAAGTTTGGGGAGAAATCTGGCCTGACCAATCTTTAGGGTAACCCGGCTAAAGGGTCAGGTACGCTAATTTTATTTTGACAGGAAGGAATTGGAAAAGTTGAACTCAAGGGTTACAGTAGTGTTGTCTTCGGTCCATGTAGATGGCTGAGCGGAACAGTTAGGCTCGTTCCACTGAAAGTCCCCCAAGTTCCTGAGAAACACTCGCATGCTCAGTTAGTGTTACTCTGTACATTTCACATGAGTCATCTGTCGGTATTTGGAGGAACTCGCTAGCGCAGCTGTGAAGGACAAATATAGTGAAGGAAAATGTGTGCAGCCGTTGGAATTTCACAAAAATTACTTCCCTCCGGCCCGCTAGCCAATTTGAACTGTTCCTGCGGGAGGAAGTTGTTCTCCAACGCAATGCAAATGTCTCATATTGTCCGTTCTTTTGTTTCCCGTTTCCGTCGCGTGGCCACCTCCTCAATTGTCCCATCAGCCGTGTCAATTATGGTCCTCTACGGTCGATTCGCATGCTGCCACTTCACACTTTTTTCTCTTTTCTCCCATTCCTCTCGAGTCTGTCACCAGATGACCATCCTTATCAAATGTTCGCATCTTTCCCCCTTTCCGAACACACTACTTCTCACATTTCGAGGTCACTTCTTCCCGTAAACATTGCATAATTGAATAGTCAACGACGGATCCGTCTTCATTCAAAACTACGTTTTCTCTGTTGATACCGGATATCTTTCCTTTTTTTTCTAATTTGTATCGTGTTTCATTCTGAAAGTAGATATTTCTTCTGCACCTTCTGAGGAGGCACGTCGCCTGCATGTTCGTCTTTCCTTATTACTCCAAGTGCCCACTACTTGCTCATTCCGTGACGGCTCCTTGTCATTCTCAGGCAATTCCATAATGTACCTCCTTCTTCTGTCCCCCTCCCCTTCCCTTTCTCAACCAATTTCCCTCTTAAATCGAATCCGAAAAAGTGCTTCTAACACTCGGAATTCCTTGACACGATGAGACGCAGACACTGAGCGTGGCCCTTCTAATGTGGCTCCGCGCGGGCTCATTCGGCTCCGGACACCACCAGTAGTTTTGGTGTGTTTGTAGTCGGAGAAGTAGGGAAAGAAGACGTCCGCGGACATCCTCTCCGTAGTTTCTTCTGGCCAATTGAGCACGTTTCCGTTAGCGGCCGCGCCCTTCTCCGTTCAAACACTCAATTCTTCTTCGTGTTGTGTTCACCTAATCCGATCCGAATCGGTGTCGGTGACTCTTATTCTGTTGACTCTTCGGACTTGTCCAGCCTTCTCTCTTTTTTTCCTTCCTGTCTTTTTCATTGATTCCCATGAGGAACGAGCTCTCGGAAGACAAAAACGCGCGAGGGAGAAAACGAGTGAATTATGGCGGAAAACGAATTCGCTTCCCCGTCGCTTTCTTTTTCTCCGTGCTTGAGCCCGTCCGGATTAGGAGGACACTCGTCTTTCTTTTCGAGGTCAAAATGAGTTTTTGCCGGGTGAGAGAGTGGCATGACCTCATAGCACAGCACACATGTTTATATTTCAGATGTGCACACTCCCGAAAATAGTGTGAGAGGCTTTTTCTTTTCATATGACGTGCTCATTCTGACATTATCATTTCTGATCCACAAATCTTCAGCCCGCGCTTTCATGAATAATTCATTCGTCACTTTTCCTAAGAAGTAAACGGAGTACTCGCTGCATCCACTCAACTAGTACCCGCCCATTACTTTTACGATCTGGAAACGCAGGTTGTTGACGTGGCGTCGTCCCTTTCTGCCTCAAACCTTATTTTCATGAATTTCTAATCTTCCTTTGTCTCCTCCTCGCCTCCTTCATTTTCCGTTGAAGGGGTCTTGAGTACGCGCCTCCAAGTTCGAATTGTTAATTACTTTTTGCCGTTTTCCGTCCTCCACTTCCATACTCTTCCCTAATCAGCTCCATTCTGCTTCTCTGCGTCTCTTCACCTTCGCCACTCTCTCCTCAGTTAAAATATCCTGCTTGCTAATCCCGTGTGTTAGGCCCCAGGTGCCGGCAGCCAGCTTCTGCATAAATTAGTCGGCGATAAGAAGCCGTGTCGAGAGATCGAGACAGACCGAGAGACGCAGACACATCCTTTCTGGCGCTCGAACAGCCGTCATTACTCGTTCTTTCTTCTGGTTTTGTGTCGTCTGGCGCCCCGTTCTTTCCAAGTGAAACGAGTGAATTCGCTGTCTTTAGTGACTTTCGAAATGACGTGGTACCGAGAGGATTAGAGAATAAGTAGGAGACAGATGGAGAGGTGGCCATGATCAGGTTAGCCAGATTAGAGGGGACGCATTCCAACCTGTTATTGTTGCATTTCCGCCGAATAATCTCACTTCGATTCCGATGAAAGGAAGAAGACCTCTCGGCATTGGAATGGGGCTCCCCCAATGAGTCACCCGGTCAGCTGCTCCCCGCCCGCTTCCCACACCCTACTGATAACACCGTGTCCTCCGGAAACTATCGCCCGTCTCCATTCTCTTTTGTGTCTATCCTGGAACTATCGCTTCTCTTTTCCCAACTTCACATAAATTCGATATTTGCCTTCCTCTTCCCGTGGCTCGCCCCATATGGAAAAGGGAATCAATGTTTGCTCCATTCATCAAAATTGTATTTTTATTGCTTCCTCCTCTCTTTACATCTGCAACATTCTCAGTTTCTCATTCCAACGCCTACAGTCTCCCTGTCAAATAGAGTCTCGTCGCTCCGTTTCCACTTCAAACATCTGTGAACTCAACAGAGCGTATAGGACAAAGAAAAAGAAAAAAAAAACGAATTATTCATCCTTTCCCTTTTCTTTCGCCTTTCGAAATTTATCATTTGTTGCAACGACTGCGTCTCTTCCACTCATACACTCAATTTCAGTGATGGCCGACGTTGCCTCTCCGGTGGTCGACGAGAAGCCGTGCTTCGGAGCGAACCCGCAGATATTCAAGTTGGGATTGGGAAAACAGCACATTCTGGCACACGACATCGGCCAGGGATCACAGTGCCGGAACGGACCGACCTGCCGATGCAATGGACTCGACCTGCACTTCTGGAGGAAAATGTGCAAGAACTGTGGGTGTCGGATGGATGAGCACGACGTCGTTCTGCCGAATGAATTCGATCACGCACAGATTGTCATTGGCCGGTTATTTGGAGCAAGAGAGCACTTCGAGAAAGTGCTCACGAAGCCAGGAATGTACAAACCATCAGATCAGAGTGACTCGAAAGAGAGCAATATGATGTCGAGGAGATCTCAGCCGACAGCCGTCTACAACTACAATATGGCGTCCAGTGACTCCGAATCAGAACGTGGTGGATCAAAAAAAGTGAGCTCGAAGTCACAAGACGTTGAGAAAGTTTTATTTCAGGAAAATGTGCAGTATGCGTGGGCTCCACTGCCGGACAAAGATCTGGTTTCCCGGTACATGAAGTGTCTTCCAGAAGATGAACGGCCACTTGTCGGCTCAAAAGGAGAGCAGAACAGAAAGTCGAGGTTGCAGTTCCAAGTGGGCTTGTGCGTAATTTTCAGTGTAAATTCGATATTTTCAGTTGCCACTCTACGATTGCAACGTGGAAGATGCGCGATTCGTGGAGGAGAAGGATGTGAAAACTCTGCAGAACTTTGTCGAAAACGTCCGAAACAACGTAATTGGAGTGGGAAGAGTAGTGGAGATCGGAAGAGATTCTGACAGTGGAGGAGAGAATGAGGACGACTTCGAGAAGTCGATGACGGCCGCGTTGAAGGGGCTGAAACTGGGCGAAACTGTAAGGAGACCACGGAAACCGAGACTGATTACGTACTTCCAGGAATGCAAAGACTGCAGCGAGGCGATGAAAACTGGGGAGATCGGAGTGCAATGCAAGCACCACATGACTGCAGACCACTACCATCCGAACTGTTTCCGATGCGACACGTGTCGGCAGCTGCTCGTCGATAACATTTATTTCTTCTACAAGAACAAGTACTACTGTGGCCGTCACTACGCCGATCAGCTCTATCCGAGATGTGCTGGATGTGACGAGGTATCATTTACTCTTCCATCTTCTTCTCCTAACTGAACTTGTTCAGCTCATTTTCGCGAACGAGTACACATTCGCCGAGGAGAAATCGTGGCATTTCGATCACTTTGCCTGTTTCAAATGCGACTTCAAACTGGGCGGATCTCGGTACATGACGAGAGATGAGAATCCGTTCTGTCTCGAATGTTACCTGAAACATTTCGCTAAGGTGAGAAGCCATGACTACCGTAACCCTAGTTCCCTGTTCATTTCAGACATGCGACACGTGTCAGCACAAAATAGGTCCTGACGAGAAGCGATTAAATTACAACGAGACGCACTGGCATGCGGAGGAACGGTGCTTCCAGTGCATTCAGTGCAAAATGAACCTGATAGGGAAGAAGTTCATGTTGAAGAACCACAAGTTGCTGTGCTCTTCACAATGCAAAGCCAACTACAACTCGGCGCATCCGGAGGATCAGTTGTGACCCTCTCCCTCTGTTCTCCCGTGACGTTTCTACTCAACTCATGTCATTCCCATCACCTTCTCCGATAGCTTTCGCGCTTCTTTAGTTTGATTTCTCCTCGTGTATATTTATTTCTCAGTGCGGGACTCTTCTTTTTTGCGCTTCTTTCGACATTTTCAGACGCGTTGCGACACCTTTTCAAGCTTGCTTGAACAAAAATGAACAGTTTATTAGAATCACTTTTCATACACAAATCACATTTGCCTGCAGTCCGATCGTCCTCCGCCGCCTCCGTAGTCTCTTTCCTCTTCGAAACTGTCGTCCTCGTCGTGATCATCCGAATATTCACTGCTTTCCGATCCTTCGAGAAGCCGGCTCAACATCGCCGCACGTGCCCATTCGCCGTACTCGTTCAGTGCGAGCAATCCGAAAATCGTGTCACTGGCCACATCGTTGACGAGCACTTCTTCCTAAGAAAAGGAAACGTTCAAAGATTCGAAGATGTTCTGCTCACCAGAAGCTTTCGAAAGTGGAACTTCTCCGCCAGCTTGATGCTCCGATCGATGCCTTCATTGCTTGCCATTCTCTCGTTTATCAACAGTTCCTCACTCTTTTTCAACACAGTTTCCATTTCCCATTTCTGCGCCAAATTTAACACGTTTTCTACTGAAACAACTGGAATTTACAGGCCGATTCCTTGCACGAACGAACTGTCACTGCTCGAATGTGGCTTTCTGAAACTGCACGGCGGATGAAGAAAGTTCAAAAGTTCCGTCATTGCAGGGAACAAATCCAGGGAAATCACGATCTCATGCTCCTCCGATTCATCCGCATCGAATTGTGCTTTCAATACTGGAGAGTGGATGGCGAGAATCTTTAATGGAAATGAGTGTGGAAAAAGGGCCAAAATAAGTGTACCCCGGAGTTTCCATACATCTGAATGGAGTTCTGCTCGTCACGAATGAGCACATTGAGCCACTTGCTCTTCTTTCCGAAATCCAGGAAAGACGTACTCGGAACTGAGAAGGCCGCCTTCCGAGTGATTTTCAGTTCGACTTGGTTGTATTTACGTCCTTCTTCGACCCATTTCATGTTCAGAATGGTCAGTTTATCCGAGAATCGCACTTCCTGCTCGACCTTCTCCGTTTTGCGGCCGTCTCCACGGAACTCCGCTTCCACGTGGGCCACGAACTCCCACGCACACAGACTGTCTTCGTTGCATTTCAATTGGAATTCGCCTTTGGCAGTGTTCAAGACAGTCCAATGACCAATCCTGAAAGTACGAGTTTCACTGTGGAATGAGAATGATTTCGGACGGACCACGCGAGTCCGTGCATCTCTTTCATCCGAATCGTAACTTTTTGTCCGATTGCAGAGTCCTCCGGCAGCTGAAGAGTTTGGGATATCGTCGGCGTTTTCCACAGATCCGTACTCATTTCGAAGTCTGAGAATTGCATTGTTTCCCAACTGAAACATTTTAAAACAAACCAAAAAAAAACAGTTGCTTTTAATTAGTGAGAGAAACAGAAATACTCAAGGAAAAAGAGTTTAGTGTACTATGGAGAGTGCCACGTGTCACGTGATATTCCGGAGTTCACGAGTTAATGGAGTTATTCAGGCTGTGAAAAAAATCCAATTCAGCGATGTAAAGAAAGGAAAACAAACAAACGCTGAATGGCCCCATAACTGATTACTTTCATTTCTTTTTTGACACATATTTGACGCACTTTTGATTCCAGGCATTCTGAAAGATTGTGAGATTCCCGTATATCCATCAACATTCCTTTCCGTTTTCTCTTTCGTTTCTCCCAAATTCCGCCCCCGCTTTCTTATCAGAATCTGATCGGAACCTTCACAAATCAAAGCATCAATCGCCAATTTCAGAAGACAACAAATTCGTATTTAAATACGGTCATTTGAAATGCAAAAAAGTGTGAAGAGATTGCCGAAATTGGGTTAAGAATGTCGATGCGGTGGCCCTCCACTTCCCCGTCCGCCTCCTTCATTCATCTCATTTGCATCCGTCCCTTCCGTACTGTCCGTCTCTTTTTTCCTTTTGATTCATGACTCATTTGACTGCACAAGACACCCCCAAACAAACAAACAATACTCTGTTTTCTCTGTTCAGTCGCCACCCCATTCTTCCTTCTTTCTTCCCTCCTGTCCCCAACTTTTTTTTGTTCCTGCGCTCGATCGTGTCGGAGGAGAGAATCAAAGTTCCGCGTCTTTTCTCCAATTTTCAGATTAAGTTTCCTCCCGATTTTTCTGTAGTTCTCGAATCGTTTGAGTCACCTCCGTCCCCGCCCTCGCAGCTGTTTCCCAAAAGTGCGGGAATTCACTGATAAGTGAGCGAGCGAACCTTGCATAAAAGCGCTTTCTCTGTTGACTTTTCCGTCTTTTCCCATTCTTATTCGTTCCATTCCAGACTTTCACAATCATGCCAAACTGCCCAAACTGTGCCAAACCCGTTTATTTCGGTAAGAAGAAGTTCTCACTAACTTGCAAGTTGTAATGAGATGTTATTTGCAGCGGAAAGAGTGTCTTCGCTCGGAAAAGACTGGCATCGTCCGTGTCTAAAGTGTGAGAACAAGGCGTGCGGGAAGACGTTGAGTGCAGGAAGTCATTCTGAGGTATGGAGGGAATGCGAAACTGATAACGGACTGGGTTTCACAACAATGATATTATCATTACTTTCTTTTCAGCACGAGGGAAAACCGTACTGCAATCGGTGCTATGGAGCTCTTTTCGGACCAAAAGGATACGGTCACGGAGGCACCGAATCGCACACTTTTCTGCACGGATCCACCGGTCGATGAGCACTTCACTCACTTCCCAAGCCCCATTTCCCACCGAGACCTACTATTTTGTGATTGATAAACATTCAAAATAAAACATGTTCACTGAAGGGAACGCATCAAAAGTTTCAAGAAGTAAAGGAAACAATGAAATGTGAAGAGGAGAGATGGACTAGGAGTGGGAGGGGAGCAGCAGAATTCAAAGAACAGAATATATCGGACACCCGATAGTTTCTCCTTTCGATATTTACAAAAAAATGAAAGAATTCAAATTACAATTAGCAAAAAGACAAGGGAAAAGGGAAAAAGAAGAGAATTGGCAAAAGAGTCTAATAAATATTCGGATCATCGTACCAATGACGACGTTGATCACTCAGACCAGGCGTGTAAGAATAGCGATTGAGGGCGGTGGTGGCATCACGAGAAGACGATCCTGAAGAAGAATGACTTCTGAGGGAGCAGATCGGAAGGAACTTACCCGGGTACTTTCTGTACTGTGCAACGTACGGTTCCCTCGTCACTGATGTTGGGTTGGATGACGTGTAAGCTCTGAAACAGTGTGATGAGTGACTGTGGTGGATTGTGCACATCTACCTCGAAGAGTTGTAGTAGTCCGAGTGTCCGGTGGCCGGGGAATCGTTCTTCCGGAACAGAGACTTGATCCTGTCGATCGGAGAACTCGGTCTCTTGAAGTCTCTGCTGCTCGGCGAATCGTCGTATCCGTTCGTGATCAGTTTCCCGTCGGCTCCCATCCGGACTTCACTCGTTTTCCGTCGGTTGAACGAGAGCAACGATCTTTTCTTTTTCGGATTGTCCAGAGCAGCCGACGTCGAGTCGATGTTTCGAGTGTGCGGCCCGACAGATGTAACCTGGAAGAAGGGGAAAACGAGATTAGGCCGAAGGACGAGAAAGAATACAAAGTATTAGGAATGTTTGTGTACTGTTACTGTGAGTAGAAGACAACGGATTGCAATGGGAGAGGTACATCACACAGTGGTAATGGATGCGGAGAGAGAGAGAGAGAGGGAGTCAAAGAGAGTCACACTGAACTGTTAGACAAACAGTTCTCCGCTAGAGTCTTCTGATTAGAATTTAATTGCACAGCTTCTCCCCAACACCATCCCCTTGTAGACACTCACCCGAAGCTGTCTTCCATAAAATGAGGTATCCTAACAAAAAATTATTGTGAAAAAGAATAAGAGTAAGAGGAAAAGTTCCCAGATTCTCTCCAAAGATTCCCGCTCACCTGTCTTTGCGGCGATACACTTTTCTCGAGGGACAGATGACGACGGAGACGTTCGAATACCTGTAGAACGGAACGCATGCTTAGAAGTTGAGAGATTCATGCGAAACAAAAGGGAAATATCGGGGGAAGTGGGGAATTTCAGAGTGAGAAGAGAAAAGAGAACGAAGGGAAGGGGACCGAGATCACTTACCGATCGGACTCCGCTGCTCGGTTCGTAGGAAGACGTCTCGCCACGTGGCTCGATGTCAGCACTCTGAAAATGAAGAACAAGATCTCACAATCCCTTCGTTTCCAATACCTGCTTGTTCTTCAGAATGCTCCTCGGTTGTCCGTCTTTTTCGAACGTCACATTGGATCTTCCGTTCGAACTGTCGTGGTAGTTCACATACGAGTAATCAGCAGCTCCATGAGTGTCTGGGGTTGTCAGTCTCGTGAGAAGGTTGGTTCCATACTCGTAATCGATCTTGTTTCTGTCCATAGACCTCGATCTGTGGTAGTTCCTGCGGTCCGCATCAGTCATTGCGGAAGCGACTCGACGGGCGGTCGGACGGAAACGGTTGGCCATGCTGGAGGCCTGATTGTCTGCCAGAGCAGATGAGATCGAGTAGTGATCATTGCTTGGCGTGGCTGAAAGCAAAACGGTGAGACCGAGAAAACCACTGAAGAACTCACTGGATCTTCCATCGTATCTTCCGTACGCCGTCGAAGTGTAACTCTCTTCCGGCCGTCTCAGTCCAGTGACTGGTCTGTCACTGGCTGATGTGTAGTATGACGAAGGGCGGTAGGAACTGGCACCGGTACTTCTGTAATCACATCACAATTAACACATTCACTTGATTAGAACTGACGGGGTTGGATGATATGTATTCCTTTCAGCATCCCGTTCCGCTCGTGTTTTGTAGACTTCGAATTTGCGTTCGTTGGCCCAAGAGTTCAGAGTTGGTTGCTGAAAAGTTATAGATTTGTGAAACTAATAGTCAGGAAAACAGAAAAAGATAGAAAAGGTGACAACCACAATCACAACGGAATGATACCTATATTCTGGTGAGTGGGAGACCTCGGAATAGCTTTAAACAATAACTAGGTCTTCTCGTATTCCTTTAATTGTTCAGTAAACGTACCTCTTGTTCAAATTTACGAGTATAACTCGGGCTGGCATTGGACGTAGTTATGTAGCTTCTGTCGTAAGACGGCCTGAAAAATCAATGCTCAAATTCTTCTGGAATCTTTATTTTCAGATGTTTAGTGACCTATAAATGTATCTCATTTCTCCGACAGGAAGTCTGGGAATAGAAGAAAGGAATGAAAAAGACGGGATTTTCTTTGCGTTCGCTGGACTTTTGTGTCCTCTCCGCCCGGGAGCCACTGACGGACTGCTCTTGTTTTCTCCGTTCAAATCGGATTATGTTCGTGTGATGTTTTGGTTGTGAACAAACGATGCACCGCGCATTTCATCCGATAGTCCCGCTCGTTCATCAATCACTCAAAATGATACGGGCGGGCCAGAATGAAGGAAAAAGCGATGAGTGAAAGTGATTGGGAGATAACGATGGGATAATAAAGAAAAATGCATTCACCTGCTGGCATCGTGCGGGTCGTAAGACTGCGACTTTCCACGATCGTCCCGGGAAACGGCAGCCGTCTGAAAATGATGAGAAATGTTACAGTAATCCGAGTACTTGCGGAAAAGCACACTACGCCGGCTCTTGCTCAAGCTTTTACAGTTTCAGCCAAAAAAAGAGAAAGATTATAGCCAGAAAGTAGTTATGCTTTTAACTAAAAATGAGGCAATTTCTTATTCTCATAATAAAAACTCAATATTTTGTTCAAGTCAATAGTATTCACACCAAGAACATACCCAATCCTGATTGTGAATAAGCATGAATAAGTAAGTATTTCGCAGCGTTTGAAACTAAATGCCACGGGGCGGCAGTTTCTCCCTCCAAAGTACTGGCGCCCTCCCCCGGTTTCCTCGCTTTCGCCCCACAGCTAGCTGCCTGTTCGCGCCGTCGATAGGCGTGTTCTTCGGCCCGTTTGCCATAGAATGCCTCCCTTTTTCTCTGTTTCCTCACACGCCGCCGCGATTGTTCGTTCGAACCACTTCATTTCGACTAATTAGATGGCATCTCTGGCTGCCGCTTCACACAACGTTTACTCACGTATCGGCTGGTCGGCGACATCGGACGGTACTCGCTCTCCCGATGGGTACGGTAACTGTCGTCGTGATAGCGGGGACGGACGTAGCCGAGAACGGACGCTGCGCCGGATGCAGACGTGTGGTGGGAGTAGAACGGATCCGTTGAGACGGGCGAGAAGGCACGCTCTGGAAAGGTGTCAATGAATCGAGGGAACACACGGATACGGAGCACGAACCTTCATAAGGATCTACCGATGGCCGTTCCAGAGCTCTGAAAATGAAAATTATTGTCTTAAAATAGAGAAAGTGGGTGAGAGCTCGACTCAAGCTTTTAGGACCAAAAATATCAACCAAAGCATCCATTCATAACTGAATTAGAAACTGAGAATGACACCTCGAATCACCTCGATTCACAGAAAACAAAACCAAACCGTAGCGCCTCTTCCGTAGTTCCGATCGTCCGATTCCGTTGTCTTCTTTCTCGATTTTTGCGTCGAATGTAGGCGGAAGCACTCTCCCACGTGTCCTTCGTATCGGAATCAGACGGAAGAGTCGATGGAGCGGCCCCTTTCGTAACTCTGGAATGAACCAAAAAGGCTAAATGGGTTAGGAGCAGCCACATCCACGAGATGAATAATCCAAACAATCACAAACACAACCACTGAACCAAGAATAAGTGATACGGAAAACTGACGCGTTTATCCGGCGGTATAAATCCGATGCCATATAGGCGGACGGACGGAATAGGAGGTTGGTTTGCGAAGTTCTGGAGAACAGAGAGCGGAGTGAAATGGAAGGAACATAAAGAGGGACAGGGCGACACTCTTCCGTTCGTATCCAAGGGAATCTACGTGGCACTTACCTTCTCTCCGGGTTGATTTCACTCTCTTTCAGCTGCTCTTTCAACTGAGATTCCAGCTTGTTCTCCTCCTTTTTCTCCATCGGTTTCATTCTCAACTCGGCAACCGTAACCAGATACTTAGCAGATGTTCCTGCTACCGGAACTTTCTCTGAAAATGGTTGGCAGTTGGATGCGAACTTAATTCCCACTGAAAGTAGGCCAGTTGGTTAGGAACTAATCCAATAAACACAAACAGACAACAGAAAGAAAATAGGATGTGAAGAAAGTTATGAAAAACAGAAACACACACCTGGTGTCGCCTGAATAACCGTCGACGTCTTTGGTGAAGTCACTTGATATTGCGCATTCTTCTGATTGGGAGAAACGACGGCGGGACGGGCGCTTGTTGTGTGAATCACTGGCACCACAGCTGATAAGAGAAAGCACAGAGTTAGGGGTCAGCGAGAAGGAGAAGCCGTGAGCTTAGAGTGAAAAGAGCAAAACTGTTGGGGAACTCACCTCCGTCATCTCTTCTCACGGATGCAATTATTGGCCTCTTTGGCTTGAAGTTCTCAAAGTCGGATCCCTCGCCCGAGTCAGTCTCCTCGACCTCCTCCTCGTCCTCTTCCTCTTCTTCTTCCTCATCGTCCACTTCTTCTCCATCTGATTTGACGACGATCGGAGGAGGAGTGCGGGGCGGAACACTTCCCACGTAACTAAAATGCAGTGTTTCTTTTGCACTGGTGAGAGACGATAGACTCACGAGTTTCGAGGTTTCTCTCCTTCCTTCGGCTGCTTCAACAAATCCGCCTTCACCTTCTCCATCCTCAATTTCCTTCTCAGCTCCACATCAATTGTACGCGTGTCGAGTTTGTTATTCGGGTACGTTTGAAGGATTTCCTTTGCCTGAATGAACACCCGTTAGTTCTAAATCTACTGGAGTCTCAATAAACGATACAGTGCAGAAACTAGAAGAAAAGGAAAACATGCTTTGTCAAACAGGAAAGGCGAGAGCTCTGCAGAAGGTTGCGGACCGCCGAAGAACTTGCGTTGCTGCGTGGGCGACTCGCATTCCGTCGACACTCCACGACCATAGTTATTGATGAGAGTGTGCTAAAGAACGAGAACGATGTGGTAGTTAAGAGTAGAAGTGGAAGGAGAGCGGGCAAAAAAGAGAATAGGCATTCAGAAGATGTTGATGAAAGGAATCTGCATTACCTGGTATTTTCCTTTGCTTTGTCTTTTGATGAGCCCTCTGTCAAAGGCGTCCAAGAACTGCGGGGAACTGGAAGGATCAGGGGGAGGATTCGCTTCCAGACTTTCGACAATCGCCGCTCGTTTCGCTTCTTCAGGAGCTTTCTTGTCGACTTCATCGGCCAGTTCTTCCATCTCGGCGTCACTGTAATCGTCCAATTCGTCGCTTTCTTCGTCTTCTGCCGTAGTCGTACTCTCTTGATTCTCTACAACCAGCTTCGGAGTCTTTGGTGTCGTTGGCACCGGGGTCTTCTTGTGTTCCTCCTCCTCACTGCTGTCATCTTCGAACGAGGTGTCCTGCACGGTCACTTCAGTCGCAGTGCTGGCAACCGACTCCTGCATGCGATCATGCTCAGCCTCCTCATCGGGATCGAAGCCGACCTGAAATAGAAAGGGATGAGGGCATGTCTATGCACGTTCTAAGGGTTTTCTGTCCGTTCTATTTCATGCACACCTCTACAGAATGCCACGGTCTCTCCTTCATCTTGCGCGGCGGCGATGGAACTGCGGGAATCTCCTCCGGCAACGGTTCTTCTTTCTCTTTTTTCTTTCGAGTCAGAGTGTTTTGGCGGGAGAACGTCTGTAAAGTGTTAGGAAATCATAACAGTTATCAGTCGTCCAAGTGCTCGGGAATGAGGGAATGTGGGATGATGCTGCACTAACTGGACCTTCATCAACTTTAGTACCTGTCTTTCCTGCTCAATCACTCGGCTTGCCTGCTTCTGAACTGGCTCCGGCTGTGCGGCGATTATGCTCTCCAAAAGTTCCTAAAAAATATTTTATTTGATTATTTCCATCTCTACAGACTGACCTTGACCATCGGTCTCGTGTCATACAACGGATGCGCCTTGATTCTGGCGATAATGTTCAAGTTGACGGGTCCCTTTTCCATCTGCTCGAGCACTTGGTTCATGAGCATATTGAGCGAATCCGTCTCAATTCTATACGCGCTCGCCGTCAGATGCGGTCTTGTTCTCGGTCTCGCCGGCTCCGCGGGTTCTGCCACTGGCTTCTCCATGACCGGAACGAATGACGGTGCCCGGGAGTCCGCTGGTTTCGAGGATCTGCAATGAGTTTGTTCGTTTGTGGAGCTCGTGTACGCCGTCTCCAGGTAACCGGCCGCCCGTCTCCCCAGTCTCTGTTTCCCCAAGCTAATCCGTATAGCTGCGCTCGCCCGGCTGCAACAGCCATTTTTTGCGTTGTCCGTGCCCGTCCGATTTGTTACTTTCGGCCAGTGCGAAACCGTAAAAGAGATCAAAGTGTATCGGGTGGGAAGGGTTATTAACAGTAATCTGACGACAGCGGCCATTTTGTTGGGAATGCGCCTCTTTTGTGATTTTTTCATTTATTTATTTATTCTATTCTACAAGACTTTTGAACCCTAACGCTCGGAAGCGGCTTCGCCGCTTGTTTGTTTATCACAACCGTTCGAAAGTACATGTGTTCATTTCTTTTTTCGAAATTTCTCAATTGTTTTTGTTTTAAAAATGAACGTGGGACGGACAAACGGCGAAAAAATTTTTATTAATAAAATAAATACTCTCGAAAGCTTTGCATTTTAATACCGTCGTCCGCTTTGATTTTTCACGCTAAAATGCAATTTGTACAAATTTGTCTGAATTTCTGGCAACGAAATATCGCATTAATCTAGGTTGTGCCGAAAGCTTATAAAACTAAAATGTGATGATATATCATATATCATATTGATAGATGTTAAATGCAATCATAGAGAGTTTTCCTATATCACGAGTGAAATAAAAACAGAAAACCTTGGCTTTCTGTTTTTGAGCGAATTCGGCGATAAGCTTCTTCTAGCGTCCCTATCTATGACTTTCCGCTTACTAAATCTATATGTCAGACGTCAGCAGCTAACGCAATCCCTTCTTTCCTCTTTCCATTTTCACCTGCTCTTCCCTAGAAACTTCAGCGTCAAAACTCACCCTCTGGCAGTCTTCGGGTCTTCTGGCTGTTGCTCCGGCGACTTCTGCTTCTTTTCCTCTTTCTGTTTGACGACTTCAGCACGTGCCGACGCAGCGGCCTGAAAGAAAATCTGATTTGTCGGATGATGCTTTTGGTACCAAAAGTGAACCGGTCGGAACCTACTTTTTCTTATGATTAAGAATTAAACGGTCAAATTTTGAGAAAAATCTGAAAAACCTGTTTTGGCCTAGTGGGCGCGGGGCCAGGGGAGAAACCTCCGGACCCCAAAAAGAAATCACCGTGACACTCACAAAGCAAACTCCTAATTAGAGGCGCTCGAAGTTCGTTCTTTTCTCGACTATTGTTCAGTTTTCCCAGCCCAATGCACACAAGAATGTTCTCTCATGTGATTCTCATCATCTCTATTTCTCTTTTTCTCGATTGTCATCTCATCCCTCGAATTCTAACTAAGATAATCAGGTGAAACAGTTGATTCTCTTGAAACCAGTGACATAAATCTGTCCTCAAGTCCCACGCCCTCCCTCTCTGAACTCCAATATATTCTTCCCAATTCAGCGCGATCCTTCGCCCGTATAATCGGCCTACGTGTTCGCTGACCCTTGTAGACATGAGGTCAAACTCCCAACCAATCGCTCCGCTTCTGATCCTTTTATTGCTGCTGATCTCGATCGGACTGGCCGAGGTAAACAAACGACCGAGTCCACCCCGCAAGCTCAGATGATCAGCTTCAAAATTGCAGATGACGTGCGCCGAACAATGCGCCGACAGCTACTTGGATACGATGCGTCAGCACCCGGAATTCACGTCAATTCAGTTGAAGACGACGTCTCTCAAGTGCATTCAGGACTGTCACGATGCAGCCAAAAAGTGAAATGATCATATTCGCTTTCTCGTTTTGTTTCTCATCTGGCTCATACCGGTTACTGCCAATTTATGCACCGATTCCTCTAATAAAACCTCCTCACCTCCTTTTCTTTCTTATTCTGTCCCAATCTGTTCTCAATCTGCTTGAGTCTCTCCAGCGGATCGTTCGGATCCACTGTCTTCGGCTTCTCCTCCTTGATTCCTCTCAATGACTTCTCCGCCATTTTCATCTCCTCCGGCTGCTCCTTCATCACTCTTCCGGTCAGTTCATCCGTCTTTCTTGCCTTCGGAGGCTTCACTGGCGAGTTGTCATTGAATTCTTCCGCCTCTTTCCTTCTTCTTCGGAAATCTTCGATCTTTCGTCTTGTCTCTGAGGAAAGATGTCCGAACTCCATGAAGACGTCCTGCTCATCAGCCAAGTCCTGCACGATCATCGTCTCTTCTCTTTCCGTCAACGGAGTGTGATCCACGATCTGATTCTCCGGCAGCTCCTGAATGACTGGCATGTTCTCTTCCAGATTGAGCCACCAATGGGAGGCGATGTCGAAGATAGTTGCTCTCCTTTCCGGATTCACTCGCAACATGTTTCTGATGAGCATCGAAGCGGTCGAAGGAGTCTCCGGCTCGAAGTAAGCACCTCTTTTGATCTGCCGGACCATCCGATTGAAGTCGCGTCCGTCGAAAGGCATGCTGCCGTACACGAGGGTGTACAGCAGGATTCCCAGGGACCAGCAATCCACTTCTGGACCTTTGTACGGTGTTCCGTTGATGATTTCAGGTGACGCATACAGAGGACTTCCACAGAAAGTTGTGAGCAGATTCTGAAATAAGTAAACTTTTGAGCATTTCAAATAAATCCACTCACTTTGTCGGCAAAGTAGTTTGAAAGACCAAAGTCGGCAATTTTAGCATTGTTGTTCTGATCAAGAAGAATATTCTCCAGTTTCAGATCTCTGTGTGCGACTCGATGTTTGTGGCAATAAAGGACGGCGGAAGTGATCTGTCGGAAGATGCGACGGGCTTCTGCTTCCGGCAGGGAGCCGCATCGGGAGACGTAGTCGTAGAGCTCTCCTCCGCTCGAGTACTCCATTACCAAAATGATCTTGTCTTTGTTTTCAAATACTGAAATATTCAAACTCTTGAGTGTAGTGACCGATTTCAACTGCTAACCTTCATAGATCTGAATAATATTCGGATGATTCAATGCACTCATAATTCTGATTTCTCTCCGAATTCGAACGAGGTCCGCTTTGCTCTCAATTGCGCTCTTTTTGATCAATTTGACAGCCACCTAAAACTTGCTCAATGTCATTCATGGTTCCGGTTCCCATCACATCCGAAGAGGAATCCCCCAGAGATGTGAAATCGACGACAATAAAATGCGGATTGACGTCTTTGAGAATATGCGAAGTGTTGGAAAAGCAAAAGAAAACGAACCTCTCGATCGAATTTGTGATCGTAGGCCAACGACACTTTTCCGTAGGTTCCTGACCCGAGCTTTTTGGTGATCTCGAACCGATGCTTTTCCTTTTTGGTCGGACTGCCCGGTTCCGGTCCCGACATCGGATGGGTACCTGTAAACACAAAATAATTGGAACGGCAATGAAAATAAAGGTGTTTCAGTTGCCTGGAGGTACCATTTGCGTATTTCGAGCACGTCGGCTCATGAGTCACCACACAGTGGTTATTGTTGCAATCGTCAATCTGACGGTCCGTGGGGTCTTGCAAAGAAATCGCCCTCCGCACGCATTTGACCAGTTTGCTGGCATTGCAGAGCAACGAGGTCAACGGCATCCGAGGAACACTGGGCAAGTGAGAAATGGATCCGAGACTAGAACGAGTGAGAAAGAGTCCAACGATAAACGGCACAAGTTTATAGTGTTTGGAACGGAAAGAAAGAGAGAATCGAAAGAGAGAAAACTGGCATGATATGGTTATAAAATGTCCTGCCATATGGTTAAGACATGATCGTTTTCGAGAGGCACTTTACGACTGGCAAAAGTTTCAAAAATATCTTCTTTATGTATAATTGTATTCGAATTCTTGATGTATGAGTTGCATCAGGAATTTCAAAGAATGAGAAAGATGACTGTAGTTTGAATTTAGCAACAAGAATGGAAATCATGTCGTCCTGGAGGATGACGTCTTCTGTGCCCAACTCTTGACTCATAAACTTTTTCGGGTGCCCTCCGTTTTCCGGCCGCCTCTTCTTTTCCCCTCTTCTTCCGCTTTTTGCGGGTGTCAGTTTGTCCAAAAAGAAACTTTTTTGCGAGCGTCTCTCTTCATTTTTGGCAGTGAGAAGAGCAACAAGTTGACAATAAAACGGGCGGCTCTCAGAACCCGCTTCTCCAGGGAGTTCCTAGTCAAAAAAAGAAGTGGGTTGAGGGGGGCGAGCAACGGAAAAGACATCAGCAGGATCGAGATATATGAGCAAATTAGAGCGCCAGTGGGGTCGCCAGCTGGCCACGAAAGGACCTTTTTGTTTTCATTCGCAAAGGGCCTTGCCACGATTTGTCTTGTTTTTGTTCGGAAACAACATATTACTAATTCTGCATTTTTGACTAGAAGTGTGTGTCAACGGGCCAACAAACCAATTGTGAATGAACAGAACAAGTGGATTGTCCCGGCCGAATAGTCCCGATTCTCGAATCCTTCTCTACCATTTTCTCCGCTTCGATCTCTACTCTTTCCTGCGTACTCTTCGCCAACAATGATCGGGAGTGGAAACCACCGGACACGAACAACTGTTTCCCCCGCTCACGCCCATTGATTCATCGGACTTGCCCCTTCGCCCAGTGCCTCGTAAGCCTATCGGCCCTTCAGTTTTTGAGCCAAGTGTTTCTGCTCGTGTTACACTCCCGTCCCACGGGTCCCCTCCCCACACTCACCGGGTCCGTAACTGTTCGTCGCTCCGCCGCCATTCGAGCCAAACGGCCGTATGTTGGATTGGCTGATACGCGCCAGACGGCCCGATCGAGAGCCCGATGTTCCGACGGGCATGCGTCCTCCTGCAAGTAGAAACATGAAAAGTAGTAGTGGGAGCGGGCGGGAGAAGAATGAAAAGAAGCGGGGTTCCGGTCACTCTGCACAGAATTGTACAACTTTTGTATAAACATGGAACAGTCGGGCTGATGCATTCATATTTACAGGGACTCGCACACTTTATGGACAGGACGGAACGAAATATAAAATGGGAAACGAGAACTCGCTTCGTCGGATGATGTCATCAGTCATCTGATCGGAGCGGCAGGAACAACAAGTTTGAGGTGGAAATCGATATCGGAAGGGGATGGGAGCCCGGGAAGAAAGGGAGCTTCCCACGATCCGAGAGTGAAAGAGAGAGGGTGGATGGGTGAGAGGAAGCAGAGAAGAGGGCAATGGGTCAGGCACCGATGAACAAGTCGGGTCCCGTGTTATTTCGAAACGCACTGATGACGGAAAGACTTATCATGTAGCAGGTGCCACGTTATTCCCACAGAAAATCATTTCACAAACAAACAATTCGTTGAATTATAATGTTCAAAACCGGAGAACATAAGTCACTCTTCTTTGAAACGAAGAACTGAGTTTCTAACTAATCTAGAACTCAGAGACATATTATCTCTTCAGACAGTAACTGATCTCCCGCCTCGATCATCTTTACCAGGCGAAAAGCGAACGGAGGGAACAGAGAACAGACAAAAGAGGGCTCATGCTCTTTTCGGAGGAGCAGAGATCGAGATCTGAATCAGAGGGGAACCGGCCTGCCCCTCTAGGTTAAGGCGGGGGCTCGGGAGCTCACTATCTCGCGTGAAACTTTTCCCCTCTTCGTTCCGTCGGCAAACACTTTCCCTTGGCTGCTCTGCCACCACGCACTTGTATCAAGTATCCAGGCGTACAGAAATGAAAAAGAACAAAAATGAAATTAAGATTTGCGTGTGAGGAACGTCTGCTGAGGGATGGAACAATAGCTCGATGGAGAAACGGAAGGGCCAATGAATCATAATGGGCTTCGCGGGAAGGAAGACATGCGTCAATGGGAGGCAACGCACGAAACTTCAAAGATGACGGGTGTAAAAGTGTGGAAATGTTTTGAAAGATGTTTTCTGGAGAGTGTAGGTAGTCAAAGTAGTCTCACTTTCAGAAAGGACTGAAACGACGCTTCAGAAGATCAAAGGATCGGGAACTGTGAGAGCAAACTCCACCGGGCTCTGAGCTTTGCGATGTGTTTTGTTTTGACCTAAACCTAAGTGCGTCCAACTCTTGTGCTAACTGTAAGCTACCCCCTAAAGCTATAACTGAAAGGCGAAACTTATGAAACCAATGTTCAGAGACAGAAATAGCGGCCTGGAAGGAAGAGGATCGGGGGGAGCCGCGAAAAAACCGTGTAGGCTATCATCTCGTAACTGATCAAACCTCTCTCCGTCTCTTTCTCCCCCTCCCGCTTCTCCGGCTGCAAATGTTTCGTCCGTTGTTATTAGCAAAGGCGCAAAAAGAAAGAAACGAGAGTGGGTTCTTCTATACTTCTTCATCTTCATCTTCTTCTTCTTCTTCTTCGTCTTTTTCTTCTTCTTTCTCTTTGTCGAGGTTCCCTCCTGAACAGCGCAGGTGACACCCCCGAGTCAGGAAGAGGGAGTACGGCAATCAGAAAGACGCCGACAACTGAAGAGATTCGCCCCTAACACATATGAAATCTCGAGAGAGGGAGACGCGGGAGCCGCTTTGTAAAACGCTGTTGTACAGCAGCAACGGAGATATGAGACGGATGGGGACCAATGAATCCGATAAAAAGATGGGTGATAAAGCGATAGCCGGTCCGAAAATATTAACAAGCAGGGGACAACTGGGAGCAAGCGAATTAATGCGGAAAGACAACAAAAGAGCTTGTCTCAGGCATTCTTTGTTCTTGTTTACAATAATGACGTGGCAGCAGGAAGAGCGGCTCACCTGATGGGTCGATGGTCACACTGAACCGTTTGACAGAAGACGTCGGCTTCACTTCTTGGTTGGTCACCTGACAGCAGATTGGTTGAAATGAACTGGAAACGTGCGGCACTCACCTCCCATTTGATTCTCACGTCACTGCCACTTAATCGTGCTTCTTTGCAAGATTTGTTATCTAGTGATCTGAAAACGGAGAGTGAGTTTCCGGATTTGGAAATTCATATAGTTCTAAGAGCTTACCTGCTATTGTCGTTTTCGCAATCGGCCGCCTTTTCCATTGACTCTCTTCTGGACACGGTGGAATCTATTATCTTGTGGCTCGAAGAGGTTCCATTCCCATATCTTTTCATCAATGAATCAATGGTGGGCGACATTTCGCGATGAGTTCTAGCTAGTAATTCTTGTGCTCGTGAGTCTGAAATTCTCGTTTCGTGCCCATGCTTCATATAGAACTTTTCACTTTCTCTACTCTTCCTGCCGTCATCTACATTTTCCTTCGACTTGTTCAGATACTTGTTCATCAGTGCGTCGATGCCCGCGTCCCGTCCGTTGCTCGACGGAGGGATCACTGAAACGTCTTCTTCGTCTTCCCACCCACAAAACCTTTTCTCTCACTGTACGCATTCGTCCTCCGCTCACTGATCCGATGTCTCAACCTTTCCGCCCTGCTTCTCTGTTGTTGCTTCGGATCGGCCGGAGGTCTGCTCGCCGTCGTTCCGTTGTTTCCGTTGATGACGTGCGGAACTGCGTATTCGTGCGGCGGCGGGCTTCCTATGAGGGAAGTCGCCTGAGAACGGAGCCGGTCGATCTGAGACGTGGCGTCCGGTCGGGTCCAGCCGACGGACGAAGAGAGCAGGGCGGGTGAAGTGATCGCCCGGCCATACGCCCCGTACCGTTTCTTCGAGGACATGCCTGAAGAAGAAAAAAGTAAGAGGAGCAACAACAGCTGATTCACGAAAAAGGATTGAGCACAAATAAACAAGAGTAACATGTTACCTATTTCAGCATTCAGTTAGAACAGGTCAGAGCCAAGAAAGGGTCTTAGGAACGTGTACAAGTCACAAGTGATTCTAACTGATTGGAGATTTCAAAGAAGAGCTTTGAGATCACGCGTGATCCAAGTTGATCTTCAGGCAAATCGATAATAAAAAGAAGAAGCCGGGAATTCGTTCGGGCGATGAAACATCGACGGATGGCAGCTCGAAGTGCACACCCAGCACATCTGGTGCTGGTCGCCATCATCGTTTCCTCTCCGCCGCCTCCGTCGCTCCTCTCTTTATTGTTCTTTTGCAGGTGTTGTCGTCGTCGTCCCTGGGAAGTTGATCCGAAAAAGAGAATTCGAAACGAACGGAAGCGACGGAAGAAGCCAACAAAAAACAATGGAAAAGAAGGAAGAACAGGGCAGTGCGTACGGTGTAAGGTGTGGTGCGACGGAAAGGCGAAGGATTTTGGAGAGCTTGAGCAAACTTTTTGCGTCTCCGGGCTCTTGCGGGCTGTGACTCCTGCGCAAAACCTCCGCCTAGGCACGGGCTAATCAATGTAAGGATGACTTGTTTTTGTGTTTGAAGAGCAGCGGAACACCGAGAGAGTTTGTTCGGAGGATGACCCCTCTACGGTAGATGGATAGCACTGTGAAATTGAATCGGCAAGAGCCGTCATTCCCGTTTCCACCAATCATCCCTCGGTAACTGGTAGTCGGCGATATATGCCACTAGAGTCAATCATGTCCATCCGCTCACAGCTGTATGTATCCCTCTTTCCTGTTTGACTTTCGAGATTCAGGTATTTTCTCCTCTCGTTTTTCATCGCGCGATCCGTCTGTTTATCAAGTCGTGTGCTCTGTTCCTCTATAAACACACGGCTCCCGGGTCATACAAATCTTTCTTGATCCACCCGGCGCTCCCTTTCAGATCATCCTTTCAGCCTACATCTTACCGATCCAAGCACACTCATTTCAAAACGCAAAGGGCTGCCGAGCTCGTCCCGAAATGCCATCGGTGCTCCGCTCGGCGCCCCGCTTTTTATTCAATGTGTAAAGCCCGGGAACATGTGTGGGAAGAGAGTTTATTCAAAAAAAGGTTCAAATTGAAGTAAAATGCAGTAGGGGGAGTAAATGCAAGCAACGGGGAAGAAACTGTCGTCACCGGGAGTGAGATGATAAGTTTGGAGATGAGCGGATCCGAAGAACACTGTTATTCCTTGTAGTAGAAGCTGACGGACCGCTCGTTTCCAATCGGAACTCCTGCTTCTCCAGTTATGTTGCCAGTCATAGAGTACCAGGATCCGAAGGGATTCGGAGAACCGTGACGGTCTAAATGGACGGGGCCTTCCTCAGGTGGATCATCTGAACGAGAGAATGATAGGGACTTGAATGAATAAGAAGAAGAACTTACTGGCGCTCTGCCATTTCCGTTCAGTGTTGTGCGAATACCTGTTGAAAAGAGAATAGACGTTGGATTGGAATGTAGACAGAATCAAGAGATGCCAGAGGGGTTGGAAGATAATGACAATGATCCAGTAGGAGACTCGGACGATGTGATCCTTGATGCTGATCAGTTCATGTCCCTCTGGAGTGCGAGCGATCAGCAGGAGAGGTACGTGAATGGAGATTCCGGACAGAAAGCATCGCATGAAAATGGTGGCGAAAAGCTGAAAGACTTCAATTTGAAACTAGTTTTCCGATGGGAGCCCTCACTTGTTTGGTCGTTCCAGTTTGCTCCGACCAGTTGTAGCTCCATTTGTGCCTCGACTGACGGATGCAATAAAGCACGATAATGAGGGAAAGCGCTCCGATGCACACAATCGGACCCCATTGCATCGTTAAAATGTGATGCAGGTAGTACTCTTCTCCGACGGTCTCATCGAACCGACATTGACTCATAACTCGGATGGTAGTGTTAAAACGGGACTGCAATGAACGGATGAAATGAAGGATTACTGTAAGAGTGTTTACCTCGAGAGGAAATATTATTCCCTGGATTGAGAGACCGGCGGAGGCGAAGAATAGCACAATAAACAACTTCCAGTTCAGGAAATAGGGGAATATTTTTCCGTAGGCTACGGGTAGAAGAATCTGGATCAATCGGTCGAAAGCGAAAGCGGACAAGAGGAGCAGATGGAGATAGTCAGTGATTAGGAAAATGGGGACATTCACTGCTCGTGTGAGACAGTCGATGGGTGTCATTGTCTGGAATCGGTCATTTGTGTGAATAACTTGTTCCGGCGACTACTCACATCCACTGTACTTCCGTAAATTGTTACGATGACTCCGTAGAAACCGTCAATCAAAGTGCCGATTCCCGAAAGCAGATCTGTACAGTTCGACAATGTTACAATTTTTATTTTTATTTTAAACTTACCGGAAATAGCGAAGAATAAACAGAATATCAAAGAGTCGGTTGTGTTTTTCCTCATCACGAGAATGACGAATGCTGTAGATGCGACCATTGCGAATCCGATCACGGGAAGAATTTCGTACAATAGATCTTCCAACATCTTCTGAAATTTAATTGAAATAACGATTTGGAACAGAGCCACATTATAGTTTTTGTTGTATCAATATGTTATTTATGAAATTTAAGATGAAAATTAACCAATACCATGTAGGTCTATGACCTTCAGATTTTGGGAACGTTCCCTGAGACCAGTGCAAGCCTTCCGCTGAAGTACCATGCCGGGAAATCTGGAGACAGCTCACTTATTCTATCGGAGAGCGACTCGGAACGTTTCGGGTGGCTGGAGCAAGCAATATAATAGAGTGCAGGAGGGGACGGACCGGCGGGACGTTTTCAACTTATCGCGGGATTTGGCACGGGCTCATCGGAGGATTTATGTGCACTCGGATTACGGATTTCCGCTGTTTTTGGCAAGGAAACGGCGGATAGAGGTGTATCACGAACGGAGGGTTTTATTTGATTTGATTTGGGGAGTAGGTGAGCATTAAGAGCTGATTCCTTTCATAGGGATTTTTGGGTGAGGGTGGAGTAAGAAGAGGAAGAATCGGTAGGAACACGGAAATGTGGATTGCTCATGAGAGCGGTCTTTGTTAAAATTTCAGATTTCTGCTACAGATCTCTTACCGCCATTCCAGTTGTGCGAATCATTGCGACATGGACGTCTCTATTCTTCTTCAGACTTTCATAATACTTGAATTCTTCGTCTGTTAGCATATTGTGCCGCGAATTCCTTCTCTGATTATCTTTTATATCCGTGGCCGATGGTTCCACCACTCCCCCGCCTTATCCAAGCTGTTTTCCCGCAAATCCGCTATCCTCTACGGCTCAGATCTTTTTGAAAAATGAAGATTTATATAAAAACCAATCTGATCAAGTGCGGTTTTAGGAAGAATTAAGCTGACAAATTGAGATGGAGACTGTATGAATTTATCAAAAAGCAAGGAAACAGAACAAAATGAATACGGTGTTACAGATAGCCACTTGACGAAGTTCGCTTCACGACGAGCTCTTCTTGCTCTCCGTTCTAGAACTTTCCCTTCGAAACGGACCAGACACCACGCGTTCGATGACCGTTCCGTTTGGGGAAAGAAGCTCTTCCTCTCGGTAATACTCTTCAATTGTCGTCACTTTCACTTCAGAAGACTTTGGTTTAGATGAAGTCGACTGAAGTGCCGGAGAAACGGAGCGTTGGGTTGACTCCACTGACTGGTCCGATTTCTGAATGAAAATCTGATTTTCGTGGCCTCCGAGTGGATACTTACCGTTAGAATTGGAGAAGTTACTGCTGCAATTGCAGTCCTTGTGGACGATTCTCTCGCAGAGGATTTCTGATAACTTTTTTTGCTTTGAGACATTTGAGACCCACCGGTCTCTTTTTGAATGAGCAGACCATTGAGGTGTTCGTGCAATGTATACGGAGGCAGGAAGAAAAGAAGAAATAAAGAAATTTTCCAGACGTAGTAGCACGGAATGCACTCTAGAGTTCTGTCAAACAAGGTGAGTCCTCCATAGATGGGAAAGTAGAAAACGAATGAGTCGTCGGATGGCTTCTCGTCGGGATAAACGAAAACGAGCAACAACGGAACTCCGACAAGCAGCAGATTGGCAAAAAAATGTGCCTGGAAAACAGGAAGTCGCCTGAAGAAAGGGTCCGATGAATGTGTACCTGATCGCTGAAAGTGAGAATGAGAAAAGAGACGGCGCAAAAAATGGTGGCGATCGAATCCGGCTGCATTCCGGACACTTCTGCCACGTGGCCCAAGTGGCGAGCCGTGAAGTGCTTCTTGTCGTGGATCCGTTCTTGGAGCCAATCGAGGCTCATCGCGTAGGAAATGTGTGATGTCACGGGTCGCTTTGAAACTTGTATACTCGGCCGGGTTCCCACGTTCCGATAGTTTTTCTTCTGTACTACCGTGTTTTTGATGCTTGAACAACTTTGAATTTGAGTTTTTTATGAATACAAATATTATTAAACAATGTCATATGTAATCATAACTGATAAAACAAGAGAAGCACCACGAATTGTTGTTGAACATCAATCAAAAATATTCTGAGGGGGGGGGGTTGAGAGTTAGTTCGAGAGAGGAAAGTGGATAGGGCTTGCAGATACTGCGTAGGTGTGACTTATAAATGGAGAGAGAGAGAGAGAGAGATGAAGGTGCTGAAAGAGAAAGGGGAAGAGACTTGAAATTCGGAGGAACGATTCCAAGTGAAATCGAGAGAAAAGGCCACTTTTGATGAGACTAGAGAATTGGAGAACTGGGAAGGTGCAGGCCGAGTTACCGATCGAACTCTGTGAGTCACCAGACATCTAGGAGAAACGGGAAATTGAGCATTTGATGGGAGCAGTTTTGGTGGGGTAGAAGGGAAGCAACCAGTACACAGACAAAGGGGATCGGGATCTACAGGGGGAGGGAGGGGTCGAATGGGGATGTGAGGGGGTCTAAACTCGTACGAAATGAATGAGGTGGTTTGGGAAAACGGATGGGAGAAATAGAAAGAAGGATGGAGAATACAGGGGCACCTATTCAATTCAATTTGTCTAACTCGTAATCGGTACGATATAATCTGGGAAAGTAGAAGTGGGGAGCTCTTTCGGGCGGAGGTCTTCTTCAGAGTGTTGTAACGAGGAGTAGGTCTTCTTGGGATCCTCCGCGCGAATCTCGTTGATTGCCGGAACTGTCTGCGTGACGGAGCAGCGCACTCCGCGAGTTCTCGTTGATGTCTCGGATGTCGTGCATTCCTACGTGCTGCATGAGAGGAGCCAGTGAGTTGGCGGCCACGTCAATCTCCTGATCGCCCAGCGAATAGACCTCCTCGAGCTCTCGGCGAGCAGCGCCAACGACACGGGCGTCAGTATACCTGAATGAATGCGAATGTTTCCCAGTACTGTAGAAGTGCGAGAACCTCTTTCAAGGTTGGTTAGTATAGATAGAAGGGGAACGAGGAGGAGGATGAAGAGGAACTTGAACGGAATGAGCCTCCCGAGACACACACCCGTTTCTGGTTAGCAGTCAGCCACTTTTCTGGTTAAAAAATCGGTTTCGTTGTTGAACATTGACATTAGTGGAAAGAGGGGTAAATCAGGGGAAGTGATTGTTGAGAAGGGCAAAGCCATGCGGAAAAGAAAAAGTGGAAACTGACTAACTAGAACGAATACCAAGTACTGGGAATCGGCAGCACTCCCAGCAAAGACTCCCAAAAAGAAACGAAAGGAAGGAAAATGGGGTAAGAAGAGGGAAGAGAGATCACCGTCCGACCAACCAATCCATGCACAATCTCACGCTTCCACTCGCTCACCTTCCAAGTCCGAGAGACTGTCCGATCAGCCGATCGGCAGGTCGCGAATCTTCGGCAGGTCGGAGGACAGGCCGTGAGGAAAAGGGCAGTCTGACTTGACAGCCCTCGCCCACTGGCCTGTACGTACCCTCGTAGGCCTCGGAGGACATTCCGGCAAGAGCCAGAGCTGCCCCTCGAGCCACTAACATAGGCTCACGGATGGGCGGAAGCGTCCGTCGTTCTGATCGGTTAGACCGACCTCCGCTTCTTATCCATTCTTCTTCATCATCTGGATCTACTGGTAAACTGAAACGTTTTATGTTAGCCTTCAAACCTTTAAACTATCTTCTTACTTTCTGTTGGCGATGACCATTCGTCCGTGGGACTGATCGTATCCTGGCCGGTCGCCGGTGTCCCGGTACCTGGGGCCGTCGTCCGTCTCATCTTGGATATGATTTGCGTACGGCGGCAGGGCGGGCAATCGGCGCACCGATCCGTTGACTGGCGGCAGGTTGATTGACTGATTGATGGGCGCAGAACGTTGCATTTGGGATGGAACTGGGGAGCCTTCGGCGCCGGCGAGAGAGTGCGTGGGCGAGAAGGAGCGGGGTTCTGGAACAGAAACGGGCGATTGTGTTCGAACAGCCGCATTCATAAACTCACGGAAAGGCAAAAGAGTGGATCCCCGTTCGATTCGTTCGTGTTCTGTCGGAGATCGAGCACCAGACAGGCGATGAACCAAGTTGTTGAAAAGGGAGTGCGGTCTCTGGAAAGTCGGGGTTGAGCGAGCGAAAACGGGAGAAGAATGGACTTCTTTTTCTGAAGCACTCATGAATGAATGCGACATCGCTTCAAGCATCCGTCGAGCAAGAGAAAAGAAGGGCAAAGACTCACTTCGCGCGAGCCAATCTCCGGCTTTTTCACTCTCTTCTGAAGAAAGAAGGATCCTTCCGGGAGGATCTCTTGCAAAATAATGAAGAGGAGAATGAAGAACGAAAGGAAGAGGGGAGAGACCTAATTAGTTTACGAGCGGATTGGTATTTTGTCAAACTGGAGAAGAGCCATTCGCATTAATCAAAGGACCGTAATCTCATTTATTCGTCTGCTTGTTTTGGCGAGCTCACAACAGACTGAACATTTCCGGCTTTGCATAAAGAAGATAGAAGAAAAAGAATAAGATGACTCTTTTCATCTTTTTTTTTTTCATAAAGGGGACAATGTCAACATCTTGAAATTGATGAAATTCGCAACAAGACGAAGACAGTGGCATCATTTCCTGATTCACTCTTCCCGGAATAGTCGCCTCCGTATTTAGTTGATTCAGAAGCTGTTTCCACAACAACTTGCTTTCTCAGTGGGAGTTAAATTGAAAACGGACTCGGACAGAAGCGGAACAGGAAGTGCACGCCAGCAGTCGCAAATTCCCGCTCCAAATTAGCCCCCAATACAGCTCGCAGTTCCCGCATAACTCACTCTGTGCTGTGGCTCCGGCTCGTCAAAGTTGAAATCTGTTTCGAGGTTTCCAGAGATTGCTCTTTTCAGTTCGGGTCCAATTTCGTGCAATGTGCGGAGTCCGGCCTGGAAGTGAAAGGAATTAATGAAAGAAGAAGTGGGAGAAGAAAAAGAAGGAGGATGAGGAAGCTCCCTGAACAAAAGACGGGAGAATGGGCGGAGCATCCTACGGCTCATTCACTATTCATGAATGAAGTCGGACGCACCGACGCCGTCTTTTCCACGCCCGAATTTCGGAGGAGCATGAAGGCGAAGAGTACCCGCCAAAAAAGGGATTTCGCGGCGAAACTTAATTAAGTTTGAAGGAGATTCTCAAAAAAACGAAAACCGCAAAGTACGAAAAGGCCGCAGAAATTGGAGAAGAAGAAGCATCAAATGAGTGCTTCCATTCCAATTTCCGACGAAAGAGAGGGAGAGGGGAGTTGAAGGATGTTGCAGACCTCTTCTTCTCTTGCTCCTTCTCCTTCGTCTTCTCATTTTTCCCGTTTCCCTCCCTATATCACATTTCTTCCAGCCCTCACCTGAAGAGCCATTGCTTGAGGCGTTTGCGTCGGGACAACACCCTTCGCTTCCAGCTCTTTCCGTTTCTTGAAGCGCCGGAAGTAATCCTGGATGAGAAAGGTGGCGTAGAACTTTCCGACGGTCACATCATCTTCTTCTGCAAACATAAATGTGCGGATGGGATTGCTGATTTGGATTATGCTAAAATAATGCAAAACTCTCGCCCCCACGCAGGTTTGAACCGACCACTAAGCTTTCCGCTCTTTTATCAACAAAAAAACACGTACTGCCAGCTGGTGGGACCACCTCGTCCAGAAGGTCTTTGTGCGTTCTCTTCCAAATTCTTTTTATTGCCGATCTCAACTGCTCGTTTGCCTCGTCGATGTTTCCTTCTGCAAAAAACACCAGAAATACGAACGGAGCTCTACTTTTCTAATCCCATTTTTTCTCATTAGCCAGGATTACTCCTAATCTTTCTTAACCCTGCCGGGTCTCCAGACGTTTCGTTTCGTTTCGTCGATTGAAAAATGAAAACAAACCTGTGTAGATCTTGAGATTCGTACGAACGAGAGCAAAAAGAGTGGCATTGAAGCAGACGGTTCCGTCCGAATTCAGGGGCATGTTCATGGATACCAGTCGTTTGCAGGCCAACCGATGCGGGCACAGCTTTCCGAATCCGAGCGGAGGTGATATCTTTCGGAGAAGTGTGACCACGTCGAGATGTTTGATCCTTCCTTTCGCATCCGGATCGTATTCGGACCATAATCTCACGAATTCTTCCAGATGGTGCGGTCCCAGAATTGACCAATCTCTCGTCAGGTAGTCGAAATTATCCATGATGACAGCGACGAACAGATTGATGACGAGGAAGGAGCAGAGCATAAAGAAGGAGATGAAGTACGGGTACGCAAAGTTGTTTCCGCATCGTGACTCGTTGAATCCGCCCTTGCTGTAGTCGTCGGACATCGGATCACAACGCACGTCTTCTCTGTCCGAGCACGAGAGCATGATGTCTTGCCACGCTTCTCCTGTCGCTGATCTGAAGATATTTCATGTTTGGTAAGGAGATCAGATCATTGTGTAGTTTAACTGAACCAATGTGCGCTAATTCTAGGGAGAACAGTCTACGTGAACTCACAATCACGTGTTGTTGTGAAGTCTCTCTTACTCTAGATAGATAATGAATAGAAAGTTGAACGTGAAACCGACCTGAAGAGCACCAGAATGGCAGCCGGGAACGAATGGAAGTTGTTGTTCCTGTGTATTGACGTGGAGTCGTCCAGTGCCACTTTTCCGAAGAATTGCATTCCGATTACAGCGTAGATGAAGAAGAGCAGAACGATGAGAAGGGCGACGTACGGGAGTGCTTGGAACGATTTCATGAAGGTCCACAGCAGAGTTCGGATTCCTTCTCCTCGAGACAGCAGCTTCACAAGACGCATCACACGGAAGAGACGGAAGAAGTTGATGGAGATGAGATTGGTCCCTCCTGGATTCAGTTTTCCGTAAGTGATATCGATGAATGAACCGACGACGACCAAAAGATCGAAGACGTTCCAACGATCGGAAATGTAGTTCTTCGGGTTCAATGCAACTATTTTGAGAATTGCTTCGAATGCGAAAACTCCAGTAAATATCAAGTTGAAAACGTCGAGAAAATCTTCGAATCCTCTTGAACTGGGGTAATGTTTGCAAGCCAGTGACACCGTATTCATGACGATAATCAAGAAGATGACGTATTCGAAAGCCCTCGAAGTGACAAACCACCACACTCTGTATTGCAGTCTGTTTGTCGGGATGTATCTTCTGTGCGGCTTGGCCTTCAGTGCGAACTCGATGCACTTTCTCTGATTCTTGTCCAATTCACAGTTTTCGTACTCTCGCTCTCCTTCGTTTTGGAATGTGACGATAACGAAACCGACGAAGATGTTCATCATGAAGAAGGCGATGACGATGATGAAGGCGATGAAGAAAAGGGCGACGGCCTGTCGGGAGTTGTGCACCGGTCCCTTGTCCTCCTCGTTCGAGTCAATCGCCACGTACAGAAGCTGTGGCCATCCTTCGAAAGTTGAGACGACGAACAGAGAAACCATGGCATCTCCGACGTTGTCAAAGTTGAAGTCGTTGTTCGACCAGACTCTCTTCTTTGACACTGGCTTCGTCGGATCTCCATCTTCGTAGTGGATGTATTCCCCTCGACATTCTGCCTCTGTCATCTTCGAAAGATCGTTACAAAGGAAGAATGTTCCCTTGAACAGCTGCACTCCGATAATGGCGAACATGAATTGGAGCATGAATGTGACCAACATGATGTTTCCGATGGTCTTCACAGCCACGATCACACATTGCACCACGTGCTTCAGTCCTTTTGCTCTGTTGATGGCACGAAGCGGACGGAGCACACGGAGCACACGAAGAATCTTCACGACGGACATCGCGTCGGTTCGGAGGACGAAGGAGGTCAGTGAGACTGCGACGACAAGGATATCGAGCAGATTGAAGGCGTTTCGACAGAAGGATCCTTTGTGGAAGACCAATCCGAAGACGATTACTTTCAAAGTGATTTCCACTGTGAAAACGGACGTGAAGAAGTAGTCAAAGTAGTTGAGAACCATGTTTCTCGTAGAGTTTGCTTGTAGCGGATCTTCAGCAGCAAGCATTGCAGATGACACGAGAATACAGAAGAGGACTGCATTGGTGAAGTAGGAATGGTTGACAACTTTGTTGCAGAACACACTGAAATGATATCATTAGGGTGGGGAGCTTTGCAAAAATGTTACCGAAAAGAGTTGGTGTGGCTGAGAATGAAAAGAGAGGATGCCTTCGGGATGGGTTTGACCGTACTCCCCGCCGGCACCTCGCTCATCCTCCTCGGCCTCGCAGTCACCACTTCCTCGTCTCCTTCCGGCTCTTCTCCGTCTGGCTCTTCGATATCTCCGTCTTCGCCTTCGAATTCCTCCTCTTCTCCTTCCATTTCCTGCTGTTCTTCCTCCTTCTCTGCGTTTGTCAGACTGTCCGCATCGGCCAAATTGTCGACGGCGATAGCCAAGAACACATTGAGCAAGATGTAGTTACCGCAGATGAACAGCACGATGTAGTAGATGCAGACGATGACTCCGAGGGTTCCGACTCCTCCGAACGACTCGATTCCGTGGTACATAACTGTGTTCCAGTCCTCACCGGTCAGAATTTGAAATACGGTCAGGAGTGCCTGCACGAACGTGTCAAAGTTGGCTCTTGGTTTCGGCTGCTGCGGATTGAAATTGAACTTTCCACCGAACACTTGCATTCCGAGCAAGGCAAAGATGACAATGAACAGGAAAAGCAGGAGCAGCAGGGAGATGATGGAACGAAGAGAATTCAAGAGGGAAGAGACCAGATTGCGGAGCGAAGTCCAGTATTTGGTCACCTTGAAGATTCTCAGAAGACGTGCGGAACGCAACACGGACACTCCGAGCGGTTTCATCAGATCGAAGTAGACGAGGACGAACTCGAGAATGGAGCTGATGACGACAAAACAGTCGAATCGGTTGAACTGCGATGTTGTGTACGTGGTGAAGCCAAGCGAGTACATCTTCAGAAGCATTTCCATTGAGAAAAGGATCACAAAGAACAGATTAGCCATAGCTGAAAGTGGAGCAATTTAGAATGTTCAGAATAAATCAAGACTTACTTTGGAAGTGGTCGAGCCACTCGGACTGTCCATAATGTTCGGATGTGAGCACGAGAGTGTTGAGCAACACGAGCAAAATGACCAGCCAGTAGAATGTCTGACTCTTGACCAATCGTCTGCATGCCCTCCGACATCTCCTGTTCAGCTTCTCCAGTCTCTTCATCCTGGCTGCCCATTTGCTCGGCCTCACGTCTTCCACTCTTTCTTCGCCTTCTTCGTCCGCTTCTTCTCCGACTACCGCTTGTTGTGCTGGCTCCGCTTCTTGCTCATCTTCGTTCACCGGCTCGATATCTTCCGCCTGCGTTATCCAATCCAGATACCCTTTCAGATCTTCTTCCAGTTGCTGCTTTTCTCGAAACTTTTGAAATAGTCCTCTTGCTCTTGCCTTCTCTCTTTCCTTTGAGAACTCTCCAGACAACACACCCAACACAAGATTGAGCACGAAAAAAGAGCCGAGGATGACAAGAGTGACGAAGTATATCCAGGGCCACTCCCTGCCAACTGCGTCGTTCACCCAGTACATCACATCGGTCCATCCTTCGAGTGAAACGCATTGGAACACTGTGAGCATAGCGAGTCCGAAGTTGTCAAAATTTGTGATTCCGTTGTTGGGACCAGGCCACGAGGTGTTGCTCGAGCACTCCCATCGGACGCCCATGTTTGTCAGAGAGTCCGACGGGCGACACTTGAACGCTGTTCCGTCGTTTCCGCAAGGCGTCGGATCTTTCTGTGCCAACTGCCCCGTCGCCGGATCTATACACGTGGCATGAAGTTTTCCGCAGAACAGTTCCAAGCCAATGATCGCATAGATCAGAATGACGAAGAGAACAAGCAATGCGATGTGGAGCAAAGGAATCATTGCTCTGAGGATGGCATTGAGCACGACTTGTAAACTGGGAACTCCGGAGACGAGACGGAGCGGTCGGAGCACACGAAATGCTCGCAACGCTTTCACGTCGAACCCCTGGATCGACATTTTCGATAGAATTGTACTCACGAGTCTGAAAAGGAAATGAGTCTAGAAACGATAAATGGATCAACAACTCACCCTATGACAACAATGATAAAATCGAGGATATTCCATGCGTTTCGTAGATATGCACTAGGATGAAATAGAAATCCAAAAGCAACTATTTTGAGCACACATTCTATCGTGAATACAACAATAAACACGTATTCAATTGTTTCCTGAAATTATTATCCGTTGTCTCTTCAACCAAAAGAATTAGGAGGGAAAAACTCACGAGTAATGTATTTTTATAGTCCGAATCTTGGGCAGGATACGGTTGGTAGATGGCTAGAGCGATACAGTTGGCACATATCATAAACAATATTAAAAACTCAAATGGTCTGTAAAAAGACGATGAAATGACGTTAAAGGGAACAAACTCACTTCCATTCAACAATACTGATGCACAGTTTTCGGATCGGATTACTCAGGGAGAGGCAGAGAAGTGACCGTTCGGATCGCTCGACGACGTTCGTTTGTCGAAGAGGTTTCCGTTGTGCGGGCCGTTTTTTCGTGGCATCGTGTGATGAGGACGCTGCCACCGCGGCCTGCAATCAACAGATATGATATCATCGTCGTTTTTTTCAATTCAACTTCAAAGCAATTACGGACACTCTATTACCACGTCATCAAGCATTCTTCATAAGTTTTTTCTCGTGAGCCCCCTTCTCACTCGCTTATTCTTTTTGGCTTCTCTTGCCCCGAAAAGGATGCGAAATCGGTCAGTGGCCGGTTTCGAATTTCAGTTTCTTCCCAGTCGGTGTGGCTCTCTCAAGGCGGCGGAGGAAGGCGCTCTTCTTCCTCCCAAAACCCATGAATACGATCATTTGTCAATTTGCATAAGAGCTTTTTCGGCTTCTTTCTACTCCAGCGCCTCCCTTCTTCATCATAATACACGAGCTTCCTCCCCTTATATCATCCGCCTTCTCCTTTGTTTTTTGTTCGCTTTGCCATTCTTTTGTAGTTGCTCTCGGTGCAAGAAAAGGGGAGGAGCCGAAGAAAAATGTTGTAAGGGGTGAGGGAAAAGAAAAAGAAGAAGAAAAGGAAGAAGGAGAAGACGAAGGACTATTCAACTCCATAATCATATCCACATTGTGTCCAACTTGTGCTGGCGGATTGTCTTTTTTGACGGAGAAAGAAAAATTGTCGAAGCAACAATCAACGTGCGGAAGATGGAAGGGTTGGGACGATTGAATAATGACGGCGTTTTGAAGTTCATGTGAAGTTGAAGGGGAAATTGAAGAGTGCAGATTGCCGCTTCTGTGACGGATGTGTTTTTACCCATTAATCATTTCCATGTATTACGAGAGTATTTCATTGTCAATCGTTTGGGCGCGTTCATCATAATCATACCGTAAAAATTAGCTTCCATTCAAAACTATATATCTCAACTGCCTGTAGAGATATCAAAAAGTGATCAACTGAGAAAATGTACACAATATGTTAGGCAACTTTTTGATATCTCCATCGGCAGCATATATATGTCGTCTTAAATGAATTGTGCTGGGGTGCCCTTCTATTACAGTTTTTACGGTTTTTCCATTTGCTCTGCTTGCATAACATGGTAGTGGATTCTAAGAACTCTCCATGAGACTTCTGCCCTCAATCCCTAAACTCTCCAGATTCCACCCTCAACTTTCTATGGATCCCTGCGTCTTCGCCACCCGCACATTACACTCGATGATACACACTCTCACGTACCGGCTGCCTGCGTTCAATCAGAATCCCGACGACGAGAGATTGCTCAGATCGGAGAGAGCCCACGACGACGGAGCGCCGCATAACAACTCTTTCTCTCCGCGCCGCGCTCTCGACACCACCAAACTTTTCAATAGAGAGAAAGAAAGAGATGGATGGGAATGAGTAACTTTGACTCTGACCGATTGATTTCCTATCACTTACCTGAAATCTCAACCACAGAAGTGGACCTAGCCCGTCAAAGTATCCATAGATATCGGCGTAGAGCTCACGGATTTCGTAGGCCAGGGAAGGCATTGCCGAATGATACTATCGGGCTCGGAAGGCTCTTTTTATGGGCATGGATCATGACTGCCGCACAGGAAATTGGGACCCGGGGACGGGTAAGAACCGGGATTGATGGGCAAGCGCGAGATTGGAAATATAGGGGCCGGAACCCGTCGATGGATTTATGGTTTTTATATAGAAATGTATTCTGGGACGGACAAAGACACGATGGATGGACGCCCCATTTAGATTCAGATCAGATGGAGCCGAAGGTGGGGGAACAAGGGGCCTGCCCTTATTTCTTGGAGAACTGTTTTGTGCCGATAGTTTTTCATGGTTTTTGGCCTGTTTGATATTCTCGATAACTTCCGTTTGTTTTTGTGAAATTTCGTGAAAGAAGAACTGACCTGCAACGTCTGCTGCCAAAGGTCGGATCTCTCCTGCTCGTCGGCCGCCGCCTGCTCCTCGTCCTCCCCCGATGACATCATACTCGCTAACACTGCAAATTTCATCAGTCATCACTCGTCTTCATCACTTGTGCACAATCGTTCTGACTGTCCCCTTTGCCTTCTCTTTTCACTGCGCGAGAACTCAAAAACAAAAGCAAAGAGTGCATTTGTGGAGTGGCACGGCCACTTGAGCCGAACCACCATCACAGAGCGAATCACTGATGGAATCAGGAAGATCTCTTGCAGAACTGGTCGCTCTGTTTTTTCAGAAAAAAATATTACCTGACATGATGGACACCGGTTAACGCTCGTCATGCGAGCCTTTCACGGTCGAGCAGTGTCGGCGCACTCCTCCTTTTGCTCACTATCTCTCTTCCTTCTTCGTGCACCACAGTGCGTTCTCGTTCTTCTGGAAATCCGAGATGAAAACGACTTCTCTTTTCCTTTTCTCTTCAGGCTTCTGCCCATTTTTCCTTCATTTTCCACCCTCACATCGCCACGGGGGAGAAGCGGGGGAGGCACGAAAAAACGAGAAGAAAGAGCGATGAAAAAGGAGAGGAAAGGGAAAAGAGCAATGTCCTTTGGAAAAGGAAACGAGAGGGAGAGCAGAAGCTGAAGAAAGAAGGGCTGACGATCAAAGTTTCGTTTTTTTTTCAAAGAAAAATCGCACATATTCTGACGAAAGCGTGACGGGCAAAAAGAACAAGAAATGGAAACGACATGGATATGATAAGGAGGAATGACGTGGAAATTGGAGACGTCTCGTAGAATGAGGGATCAGAATCAGAGCATAAAAGAAAAAAATGGAGGGTTAACATTAAAAATCGAGAGGATTATCAAAAGAAGTGGAGAGGCACAGATTAAAAACTTTAATGGAAACTTTTCGAAGACAGCTTCTCCCAAATTTCTTGAGTATATCTATTTGACAATATTCGAATTTCTTGGATAAATTTTCAAAAAATACCATTGTTTTACGGTATAGGGTCACATTCGTTCAGCTGTGCGCATCCCGTTTTTCAAGGAAATTTCGGCAAAATCAGCGGAATTTCCTGTTTTTTTTAAACTTTGGATCACGAAAATCGAGGGCGGCTCTCACTAATTCTCTTAAACCTGGTTGACACGCGAAAGGGTCTCTCCAGACACGGAAACGAAAGAAAAAGAAGGGTGGAAACGTTGGAATTTCGGTGTCGTTGTGTGGTGCTAAACCCGCTATTTTTCACTGCGCTCCGTCGGTGGCGTTATCTGGACGGCCGTTCATCACCTCGCCGAACCGCCCATATTTACGCGCAGAATTGCAGTTTGCGACGTCTTCCAACACCACCCGGATATGCACAAAAACTAGAGTTTTGTGCGTTTTCGTCGCCAAAATTCTGACGCGTCGAGCAAAAATGATGGGTGAGAAGAAAAGGGGGAAGAGCAACCGAAAGGGAGGAGATTAGTTGTTCGGACAGAGAGTTTTGTTCAATTTTCGCCTTTTTGGCAGCGAATGATTATACTGGAATAATTTAGAAAAGGAAAAGGAAGCTGCTCTCACACACACACATGTTGTCGGTTATTAGTGCAAACACGCGGGAGCCTCTGACTGCTTCTCCTCCCCCTCCTTCTTCTCTTTCTAATTCTAATTCTTCGACGATGTCGCCAAAGATGAAGAATTCGAGAGGAAGACCGACAGAAGAAGAAGAAGAAAAAGAGGGAAAAGACGAAAATTTGGAAAAGCCGGGCTGTGGCGACCAGTGGGGAGAATTTTAAAATAGGACAGCCGAGCACACGATTCCGGGCCTCACAATTTCATATCAATTGGGACGAAAGTTGACGCATTCTAACACTCAATTAGCGATTGCCAATTAAAGAAAAAGGGCAGTGATTGAGAGAAATCAAAATAAGAAAGCAAACGAGATGGATCAAGTGCAAATGGGCGGTATCCGGGCGTCCCTAGCAAGTCGACTAATAAAAAAAGGGGAGCGGGGGTGGATTGAAGAGGGGGCCGTTCGTCCGTCACACCATCACTCCACCAATCCGTCCCATCCGCCAAAACACGACGACGACGACGACGTCGATGGGGGAGCCAGCAGCACCCATTTCTTCGCCTCCTCCTCTTCTCACAAAGATGTATAAAGCACTCGGTCTGTGGCTGTCTGCCGTCTCGTCCGGGCGTCGCCGCCGCCGCCGCTGCCGCCGGAGCTCCGATGCCCGTGGCTTGACGCAGCAGAGGCAGGAAGCTCAGCAGATCGATACTGAGATGCGGCTCTCGGAGCCACTCTCTCCGTCTCTTTCTCTTTAGTTCGAGACTCGCGCCGGGAAAAGCTCACCAAGTGTGTCAGTGGAAGAATGAGTGTGAGAGAGTGAGTGTGAGTGAGACATGTGTGCTTTCTCGCCACAAGAGCTCTCCGAGAGCGGAACGCGATGGATGGCTCTCGGAGCGAGAAGCGCAGGTTGGGAGACACCTCTCTTTTTCAAATGGCTTCTATTAGATTATGCGAATATATTCTAAATATTGCTCCTTTCTCTACGGGCCGGCTTTCCTGGTGTCATCCCTCCGTCTCTCACTCAACTGAAAACAATTGACCCAAAGAAGAATGAGCGGTTTGCCTTTGACCCTTTTCTCATTTTGCCTGACTCGATTCCCTCATATTCATTTGTTTGTACTTTATGGATTCTATTCATGCTCACCAAATGTACGGTTTTCTGTCTCGTTCTGACCACGAAGCTGTCGAAGCGTATCATTAGAAAAGCAACTTTCAATGGAACTTGAGACTGAACTAGAATGTACATAGCGGGTACGGTATCTGTTGGCATTCCATTCATCACTTCTCAATCCTCATCGAGAGATTCTAATTCAGGAGGATACGGTATTGTGAGGTCACCTTTCTTGAGATGATGTTGTGCGGAAATAAGGACGAAAATGTAGAGCTATTCTGGCTATCAGATGAAACCCTTTTCACAAGTTTACTGTAGGATTATTGCAAAAGTACTTGTAGGTAATTAAATGAAAATATAAGTGTCTGCTCATGATTTCATAAGAATAAACTTTCGATTAGTCAGTAGAAGAAGGAGAAGAAGGAGAAGAATTCTAGGAATTTGATCTGTTGAGATACTCTCCGTAAAGCTCATGAATCTCTATGAAAACTGGCCTACTTTTGGTCAAAGTATCGGGAAAGAAAGCACTTGAAACAAAGAACACGTGGAAGAATCAGAAGTGAAGCCCCAGAAAGCGGAATAGAGAAGAGGCATGCGGGCGGCTCGGACGGATATCAATGGTTTCAACTATAGTCGTTTTGCGAGTTTTGCTCTCTTTCCGCACCTGCGTCTCGATGCCTCTCGCTCCCAAAAAATGTGGACGGACTCTGCGGAGCCGCGGACCGCCGAGCCAAGATATGCTCAGCATTCCGTCTGTTTGGACGAACGATGGAATGAAGTTGCGGAAGAAGAAGAAGAAGAAGTAGGAGGAGGAGGAGGAGAAGAAGAGGGGTGGTGATGAAGACTTCCGAGGCTAATGAGATCAATTGAGAGAAAGAAGGTCCACACGGGAACAAAGTCGACTGGAAGGGACAAAAGGGCAAAGAAAGCGGGAAAATGTCTACTACCTACAATCCAAACACTCGGACACCAAAGCGCACGAAAACCTGGGAAATACCTTTGCTTTGCAGAAATACTGTAGAACAAAAAAGTTATCGGGAATTGAGGGGATGGAAAGATAAGTGGTGGCAGTCGAGCAACTTTCAGATCGGATCGATTGAATGAGAGGGAAAGAGGGAACGGAACAGTCAACTGTGAATTTCTGGTAGATCCACGAATCAGGAAATCCTGGACAACTGCAACGTTCAGTGCTGGTATCGAGACTCGTATTGGGTTAGGGTTCGATCGGGATAATACAATTAGTAGGCTTCGAGTTGGTCCTGCTAGATCTTCGATCTGCTGATAAATAGAGCTTATGGAAAATCTACGAAATCCAGAACAACCGGGAGGAAAAGGACGAAAAGAGAGAGAGAGAGAGAGAGAGAATAAAAGAAGGGAAAGAGAAGGAGCAGCTGAAAATAGAAGGTGTCGGCGAGCACATAAAATAGCAAGGTGTCTCTGCACTCGGATACATAATAATCATAGGACGAAGGCACTGGAAGGTCGAGCGAATACGAAACGAAAACGAAATGAAATGGAGCATCGTCGTTGCCCATTGAAAAGGAGGAGGGGAGGGGCTTCTGAGGCTGCTCTACGACTTCAGATCGTTCCAACGAATGGGACGATGACGATGCGAGTGCTAATGGAACAAGGTCATAAATGGGAGCGAATCGAAGGGTTACGGTAGCTGTACGAATTCAGAGTGGCAGAGCATTATCATTGTGCCAAAGTGTTTGCGTGGGATTGAACGTACTCTGATCTTTCGCGCAACGATCGGAGGTCGAGACGTTGACCACACAGAGGGATTCCACGAAACCGTTTTGATGATCAGCACCAGATATCAAAAAGAAGTGAGTCAGAAAAGACACTCAAAGTTACTTGCTCTGTTTCACTGTAAGTTGTTGATTCATTTGGATCTCGCTTCCAGTTTCTACATGTTCCCAACTGCCACGTGGCAATCACGTGAGTGTTCTTCTTCGGAAACACTCAAAAATCGGATTCCAGACGGAACAAAACAGAATGACAAAAGTGCCCGGGCGGAAGGATCAAAAAGGAAATGGCAGGCAGAAAAGAGCGGGAAGGCCCTGTTGAAAGTGTGCGAAATCGTACGGTTATGCGCGGATCCGCCGACGATTCAGTCAGTCGAATCATCTCTCCTGTTTTGAGAGCTCGGTAAATACTGCACCCGTGCGAAATAGTGCACGGCGCGAGACACAAATCTGTGCAACATCCTCGCCGACCCCCACCGCTCTCCATATTGTAGAGGCGGCGAGGCTTTACTCCGAGTTGAGCCGAACTGCGTGACATGGCATCATGAAATGTTCGAAAAAACAATGATGTACCTACTAGTATTTTTATTGCCTAATTTTGGGGGTCGATAAAACAATGAGAAGGGAGAGGTGGTCTCAAAAGTCGGCCAATTATTCTCTGAAAACAAATGACACGACAAACGAGAGGCCGAAGTGAAACGGTTTGTTGGAGTAGAAAGGGGAGTGGGAGAAGCTGTTAAAGCAAAAATTCAAAGAATCGGTATAGGTTCAGTCGGGAGTGATCATTAAATGCAGGACAAACTGTTTGTGGAAAGGTTGATAAAAATAACAAAGGAATGAGAGAAAGAGAAGAAAGGTGGATATAACGGGGGCTCCTTCCGAGAGAAAAAAGCTCCAAACGCTCGAGGGGTTCGGTTCTGGAAGAAAAAGAGACAGAGGTTAATAAAATATGAAATGAGGTAACAAAACAAAAAGAGGGAGTGGAAGAGAAAATCAAAACTGCGCTGATCCTCGAATAACAAAAAGAGAAAACAATAGAAAGGTTGGGGGCAAATAAGGGAGTGAGGGAGCGGGGAGAAGGGAAGCAATGTCCTACCTCGGTTCAGACGAAAATTGACCGGTAGTAGAAGAAAGTTGGCTAGTTGGCTAAGGTTAGTGTACCCTAGCTTTTTAAACGTATAACAAAACAATTTTCTCGGATTGAAAAATATAAATCTACCGGTTGAGAACAACGCGGGAGGGGATCTCGAAATCTAGTGCCAACGAATCAATTACGCATTTCAGAACTATGCCAAAAAGTTATGACGAAAAAATAAGAAAAAGATGTCGAGAAAATGTGGTTAGAAGAAGAACCGAAGAACGGAATCCTCGTTCGGAGCTGCAGTGCCGATCAGTGTTAGGGAAAGGAGGGCCATGGTTCCGGCGGAGAGCAGTCCTGCAAAAAAGACGATGAGCCGGTGTAAGGTGAACGACAACCCGCAATTTGTGTTCGTGTTGTCTGAGACAATTGAAAAAACACATAAAGAACTAGAATGAGATAGGATAATTGGTGAAAGGAAAATTGGAGCCCAATATTTCTACGTTTTTCTTTAGTCACCTCTGATTTTTCAGAAACCGTCTCCTACTTTCTAATTACGTCTTCACAGTGAGTTCTTCTTCCGTTTCCCATACTACAGCCCTGAATTAGATCTCAACAACCGACCACCAGAGACGACTCAAATTTCATATATATTTTTCGAACCCCTCCTACTCAAAGTGCACTCTAAAACGAAGTCAAGTGATCATTACCTCGAGCACTGAAAGCTGAACTCTTGAAGGACTTACCGGCAACTGGAAGAGTGACGATCCAGGAGAGCGAGATGTTGCGGAACACTCCCCAGTGAACTTCGTGTCTCGACTGAATGAGGCCGACGGCGACGACCGATCCGACCTGTGAAATATCCGATGATGGAACTGAGAATTAAAAAATTCTCTCACTTTGCACTGTGTAGATGAGATAGGAAGTCCCATTTTGGAGGCGACGAGAACAGTGACGGCGGCTCCGAATTCGACTGAGAAACCGGAAGCAGGAGTGATCTTCGTTAAATTCTCTCCGACGGTGTAGATAACACGATGTCCGAGAACCCAGAGTCCAACGCACATACCAAACGATCCATAGAGCAACAGTTGCCATGGAGTACTGTCATTACCATCATCACTTGGATTGGCGTACAGCCAGAGAGAGACGAGTGGAGCGATAGCATTGCTGACGTCGTTACCACCGTGTGCGAATCCTCCGAAACAGGCAGTCATCACTTGAAGGAGTGAGAAGAGTCGAGAAGCCTGTGGATCTTCCGGTTTGCAAGAGCGAAAGAAAGAAGCGAGCGAGGTCGACGGACGGATGGTATTCTTCGGATTGGTGAACGACGAACTTGATTCTCCGTTCGAAGGACACGTGCTCACAACGATCGTTGGCTGATTGAGAAGAGAGGTTTCTGAAAACATTCCGATAGGGAAATTCCTGATGCCGCGTCCAATGTCTCGGAAAAACCGTAAAAACCGCAGATTTTTCTGTCCAAAGTCGGCCGAAATTTGCGTGAAAAACGGAGGTGCGCACAGCTCAATGAGTGTAACCGTACCCCTAAAACTACGGTATTTTTTGAAAATTTGCGCAAAAAATTTGAATATTTTCAAATAACCTCAAGAAATTAACAAATTTTCAAAAAATACCGTAGTTTTAGAGGTACGGTTACACTCATTGAGCTGTGCACACCCCCGTTTTTCACGCAAATTTCGGCCGACTTTGGACAGCAAAATCTGCGGTTTTTACGGTTTTTCCGAGACATTGGACGCGGCATGAAAAGATGGTCACGTACTCTGCTGCTCATCGTGGCTTTTCATTTCGATCGCCTTTCCGTTTCCTTCTTCCATGTCCACATCTTTGTGGTTGTTATTGTGCTTCTCATGTCCGTGCCGCTGCTGCTTTCCGGTTATTTCGAGAATTTCTTTGCCTGAAAAGACACTTTCAGTACTATTTCAAACCAGTTTCCTAAAACTTGACCACCTGAAAAGGGCAAACAAAAAGTAAACTAAATACTAAGCGGGTATGATAAGGCCACTGATAGGGTGCGGTGCCTTATCGACAATGGCTAACCTCATCCTCGAAGTCTTAAACATACTCAAGATGTGGTTTTTGAGATACGGAGCCAGGAAGAAAGCGAACACGAGGGCGACACAGAGGCCGATCGATCCTGATATGAGGAGACATTCAGTGAGAGTGAGTCCATCGAATTTGAGGACTGAAAAAAGAACATAATATGAAAAACGAGAGTAGATAACTAACACGAAGGTCCCTTGTAAACGATGGCGAACACATTGAATGCGAAGCAGAGGAAATAGAGGACAGGGAGAACTCGAATTCCACTGTGGAGAGGCTCTTTCTGTAGATAGTTGTATTGTAAAATCAGAGCAGATCCTGCAACTTACGCGTCTCAGAACCAAGTGATCCAATGCCAGGTAGATTATGAGTGAAGTGATTCCGGAAAGAAGCGGAGAGATGATCCACGAAGCGACTGTAAATAAGCAAATGCTCTCTTCGAACTATAGATATTTCTCTCACAAATGCGGTAAATCTTTGTCCAGATGATGACCGATGGGCCACTCGCAATAAGACCGAATCCGATGGTTGCGCCGACGATGGAGTGAGTCGTTGAGACGGGCAGCTTGAAAGCAGTCGCCAGCAACATCCACGCACCGCATCCAGTAAGAATGGCGATTTGTCCCAACATTATCACTTGCTCGTTCGACTTCTGAATTGCCCCAGTCACATTCGATGGCGATAGAGCTTCGATGTCGATGACGCCCTTGCGCATAGTGTCCGTCACTTGATGGCCTGCAAAACATTTCAATTTCGTCTTTGAACATACTACAGTCACGTGCTGCTTCTACTCTACGCTTACCGAGAAGACACGCGCCGAGGGTTTCGAAGATGCTCGCCAAGATGTACGCTTGATGGAGGGTCAACACCTAAAAAAATTAACTTTGAGAGCGCTCCGTATTCCGACTGTTACCTTGCTTCCAACGGAGGTTCCGAATGAGTTGGCCGTGTCATTTGCACCGATGGCGAACGCCAAGACGAATGCAATGAAGCCACCAATAATAAGGAGAACAACGGGAGGTAGCATGATGAAATCTGTTCTGAAAATTAAAATTTCAATTTCAGACGATCAAAAGTGTGTGGGAGGGAGGGCGGCGGCAAAGAAACAAAAAGAACTGGTATCAGCTTCTCGCCGCCAGCTGACGCTCTCCGATAACAGTCCGCATTAGGCGCTATAAATAAACAAGGTTATCTAATTGCTCCGCTCATTTCTGCCGCCCTCGTGATCAATTCCGTCATTTATTTTAATTTTTTCCATTCTTTCCGGCCTGCTGACGTAACTGCAACTCAGAAGCGAAAATTGAACTTTATTTCCCGAGCACAAATTTCTTGTGCTTCTTGGCAAAAACCGATTAATCGTAGTCCATTGGTCTAATTCGGTATGCCAATAAAAACGAATCCTAATTCAAACAATGGTTGGTTTCGTTTGGTTGGTCAACTCAATAAATCGGGAAGATATGAACGTGCCAGGAAGATATATACACGAGGAAGGCACGCGAAAGAGCAAACGAGACGAGGAAAGGGGAAAAAAAGATTCCAGTACGATTACCTCGTTTTTATGGCACCCAAAACTCCTACTGTTAGGAACAGCTCGAATACAAGCTCAAAAGACTGAATACCCAAAACCACTGTAATCCTAATGGTCTGAATGGAAGCTGTGACCTACCAGAAGAGAACTGTGGAATCCGGAATGGAGTACAAAAGTGAGTTGGCTCGAGTTGGGATGTGGAGTTGCGGTGGCTCTGCAGGGCCCTTCGCCTGTGGTTTAGGCGAGAAGGTGACAAGACGTAAGAAGACTCGCCGCGCACTTCACTATCCGTGAAAATAATTACCCCTGCAATATAACAGTTTAAGAATAGTAAAGAAGAAATCGGAATAAGTGAAGAGAGTTCAAGGAATTACATCTTTTATCAGACTTCTGTCGGCGACAAAGTCCCAGACGTCCGCTCTCGCCTACATTGGCTGATATATGGTCGCCGGCGTCAAGTGATAAGATTCACACACAAAAATATATATATGAAAAGAATGAAAAACTACGAAAGAATGTGGAAGAGACAACGGTCTTGCACGATGCTGACTGGTTGTTCTTTAGCGTTGTGACGTGCGTCTAAAAGGTCATTTTGTTGTCTAACATATCTCTTCAAATATCCTCATTCTCAGACAGCTACCACGAGAATAATAGATGGAAAGGAAGAACATAGAAATAAGGACTTCGAGAAGGAACTCGATGTTTCTTCTGGGAGAAATCCCCACGCTAAATTCGTTGTTTAAAAAGTCTTGCAGATCTGCCGAACGATGCTTGCTAAAGTGTATAGCTTCGGAACGTATTGCGCGCGGATATCAGAAACGATATATTTCAACTCTTTTTTTATCGAGATAACTCAATAACAACACGGAAGACGAAAGTAAGGGAACATGGCCGACATTTCCACCAAACACATGTTATTAGTCAGTCAAAAAAGCACCAATGGAGAGAAAAGCCTACCCGCCGATGCAACTTTTTCAAAAAGTGTTCTTTGTTTGCTCGTTGTGCACAGATTTATTAACAGCCGTCGAAAGGTTGGCCGGGTGAGAGATGCGCAATGCGAGGGTAAGACGGAAAGAGCAAATTTGACAACGAGGTTGAGATTCGGCACTTGCAGCCCAAAAACGCCTTCAAATGGACGAGTGGCAGAAAAAGCACAAGATTTTGGGAGTCTAGAGACGTTGCCTGAGGATGTGGATAATCCGAAGTGGGAAAAGACGAAGAGAAATTTAGCGGTTTAGGAAACCTTTTCGAATTTGATCAAGTGGCAAATTGCATTCGAAAATTGAAGTGTAGGGATCAGAGTGCTGCTCTTTCGATCGATCCTGAGGCGATTGTGCATGGGAAGGGGAGACTCGGCCGTACTCTGACGGGATGGGTGTAAACGGCCTCACGACGGGTGCTTCCTTCGCTCCCCCATCAATTGGGGGAGGTATAAGACGCAGATCGACGAGCTAACTCTGACCTATTGGCGAAGTTCAGGATATGATAGGGAGGGGAGAAATGAGAGACAAAGAAGAAGAGCTATCAATTTGAGACAGAAAACGAAAGAGATATCGCAGAATCTTCTTTCATGTTAACCTTCACCATCTAGACATTTTGAAAATTAGCAGACTGCCAAGCAGACAGCAATGTTATGATTCAAAATAGGGAGTGACCTTGAATGCGTGAGTCGGAACATTCAAGGTCACGAGCGGTCTCGGCCCGTTCCCCAATGGCGCACGCTCTTTCGCAATCACCCACCGCGCGGGCACAAAGAGCGGTCCACTGCTCTCGTGACGTCACGAGATGAGGAACTCACCAGTTATGAAATATATATCCTTTCTCACAGCAGAACAGACACTTCTCTCTTCAAAGAGCTCTTTCCTTCTTTCTCTATTTTCAATTTTTTCGCACCGACATAATGAAATGGAGTCCTTTTTCCTCAGAGCAAGATCAAAAACCGAATAGACTCCTAAGGGGATGGCGCGAAAAAGAATAGAAAACTTCGAGAATAAAATCTGTTTTCGAGTTTTTTCTTTCCGTTTTCAATGGCGAAAACATTTTTTAAAAAACAGAGTTCTACGTTTTGTTGGACAGCAATTGTCGACAATAAACTTTTAGAAAGGACTGGCAGAGCAATGCATCCCACTAAAAATAAGATAAAATCAGAGATTTCGTTTTCTAGGCAAGTGCGCATGGGAATTCTAATTGCAAGTAGAAAAACATTTGGTAACTATTCGAATTCAAAAATGCCGCCAAAGGCGTGAACTTTGTTTGAATGCCCTTTTGTGCCGGCACAAAAAAGTGCTAAAGGGAGTTCGAATGACCGCAATGAGACCCAAAATGATGCAATTGGCAGAGGTAAAAGTGCACGTCGGAGTGGTCGGCGGGCACCCGCCCGACTACGGTAATATTTCTCCTCGCCGCACTCTCTTTGTTCTCTAAATGTGACACTTTTAAAATAAACGCACATGAACGGGTCGATAGGGAATGGGGAGAAAACAAGAAGGGACTGGATGGTGTACATACACCGGACAACGATAAAACATCTCGGTTTTCCACTTATTTTTAGACAGATTTCCGGCAATTCTTAGGCTGAAAGCGACGAAAACACACCCTCGCAATTCATGAATTCTTCATTTCTAATAGAACTCGGCCAGACCCAGACATTACCCGCATTTCAGTTCTTCGATTTCCCAGGAGAGTTCCAGAAGATTCGAGAATCTGTCCAGAATGCGCGTGTTGACGGGTTCGTTATGCTCCGCATTCTCCGACATAACAAAAAGCAAAGAAGAAATAAAAGTAGCAATTTACGTGCGAATGAGAAAGAAAGGGGAAGAGAAAGGATGCAAAAAATGATACGGAACAGCTGGTTGAACGTCACAAAGCTACTCAGCGAGCTCCGTCAGTGAAGAGAAACAACGAGAAAAGGATACTCGGAGAAGAAAGCGCCGGGATAAAAAAGGCGTCCAAGGACACATTGTGCGCGCGCTTCTGTCGGGGAAAAGTGGGACTTGTCAAGGAAAAAGCATTGAGAGGAAATTGAGAATGCGAATCGATGTAAAAAAGATTCAAACGAAAAACTGTGCGTGCTGTTCTATGGGCAAAAATCGCAGCAGAGCCCAAGCAAAAGCGGTGGTCTTCCCCTGACTCAGCGAATGAGAGAGTGCGCGGAAAAGAGAGGGGAGAAGCTGGCATGAAGCCAAGTGCGAGGGGAAAAACGGGGAGCGAGGGAGCTAGAGGGGCGCAAGAAGCAGCGGTCGGAAGACTGAGAGTCCAGACGGGTGGCAACGAAATGGAGCTGCAACGAGGATCCGAAGAATTCACTCGGAATAGGGGGCATATGGAGGGAGCCACAATAGAAAATTATCCGAAGAACGGTCACGTTTGCATCATCTGCAACTTCTCTGAGAAGGGTTCTAGTACTTCAAACGGAAAACAATAATTTAACGACTAAACTATATAAACAGAGCAACATTGAGCAAAAACAGATACTTAAAATCATTGACATAAACAGAAAAAATGGGAACTGATTTTGAATTTGTTAAATTTTTTCTGAATTTTATCTTTACTTTTGCGTGGGTTACTGTGGCTGCAAACACCGCGCGGGAATTTACATGAAAAGTGCGCTATAATTCACGACACTTCAGAAACAGTCTGTGGAATTTCAAGCAACAAAACAAAATTGTTGGAGAAAATTATTTATCCACTAATCGTTTGCAACTTTCGATAATTTTCGAAGCACGCTCATAACCATTTTTCTCATAAATAAAGAGATAATCTGTCGTGCCCTCGATGCAGCCGTGGGTTTCGTGGATTGCTCATTTCCTGTTCATTCCAGGAGTTCGCCCGTCGCCGCCGTCATGTCCCTTCTCAACTGCTACGGTCTTCCGGAGGCGCTTCAACGCGGTGACGCGCCCAATAAACAAAGGTTGGTTCTCGCGATTATTCACGACCAATTTGGCATTCTGAATGAATAGTCACCGAACGTCCAGTCGCCCATTAATTCTGGCGCTCTCGTCGCCGTTCCAACAACTTTTCGTTCTTTTCTGAGCCTTTCTTCCGAAAGATGACACCGGTTGTCAGTCAGATGTCGACGCTCGTAAAGTCTTGTCAACTGTTCTTTTTGTACTCCAAGTTGCAATTCCCATTGAAAAATAGTATCTCTCGCCTGACGAGAAGCCTTCAAAAATTCCTCTTGTTCGTTAATTTACGCCTACGATTTTGATGGACATTTCACAATCCGCTGCAAATTTCTGGAATGTTCGAGCTTTGATCGTCGAAAAGTTCCGGAAGATTGCGAAAAAATGACGAATCTTTGGGCTCTCTTGTGAGTGATGAGATGCGATGCTTCGGACCGAAGGCCATTTCTATTTCAGTTCCAAAGGGACGAACCGCAAAAGCCCCGAGAATCAAAGAATTGATACTCCAGCTTTCGATTTTTCGAGAAAACGTATTTGCTTCTTACTTTTCCTTGAATAAAACAGAACAAGTTTTAGAAAGGCGGAAGAGATACATTTGATGTATGCCTAATTACCTATGATTCTCCGTCACTCACACCTGCTTCCGGTCACATTCAACATGTCCTGCTGCAGAAGTTCCTTATGGCATTTCCCATGAGAAGAAGCGCTTGAGTAACATCTCGAAGTATAATTTCCCCGTCAGTTTGTATGAATGACTCAGTCCGAACTGTCTGAGTCACTTTCGTCCTGCAAAAGTATGCACAGTTGCGGCGAACGGTTCGAACGTTTCGCACCTCTTCCGATACGACCATATCAAAGGTTTAGAACTAAATACCTGCCATATAAAAAACATCTCAAAATCCCCCGATCATTGTCCCTTGATGCTCCCAACGGGCCATCTGCCCCCTGTTTCCGCAGGCTCTTCTCGTGTGCTCATTATCAAATCCGCCGCAATCCATGCCCTCATCTCCCCTCGAATAATCGCCCCTTCTGCGTCTCTTCCTCCCTCCGTACTCTCTTCGTCCTCATCCATCTCCACTGCTACCTATTTCACTCTGCGTCTCTGCTCTTCCTTCAATGTCTCATTCTCGCCTCGTCCCCAACGCATGATGTTCATTGTGTGTCTCTCGTTTTGTCGGGGTCCAACTGCGTGTGTCGCGCCACAGCCTATCTATCAAAATTCGCTAATTCGCAGCCAAATCCAAGCCGATCGGATCTAGAAGCCCAGGTAAAACTGAAATCTTTGTAAGAAATCTCCGAAATTTCTGTGAATCGTAAATCCGTCACCGGCCTTGTTGTCCGGGAACCGGGGCACAGTTCGAGGGCGATGCCCCCAGGAATTGTCGATTTCACAATTCTTTCGCACCAAAATTCAACGGACCGTCTATTCCGATGACTATTTTCGTATCTTCCAAAATGCTCCGATTCTTTCGGAGAAAAAAGTCAGTTGAACACGCTCTTCCCCTCCCAATTCCCCCTCCCCATCTTCTTCACCACTAACTTTATGGCTCATTAAAGCTGCCATCGTTGCAGATCGGAAATTTTGCCATCGACTCCCCGGAAGTGTTCTCCGCCTGCGGGCGCCGCCGTTACAGCCGGAGGAGTATCCGGAGCAGGGGACGAGAAGCGAAGGGACTCACAGACTCCGCTCTTCGCAGTCATGGCCAGCTTTCTCGACTTTCTTCAGGTCAACAAGCACAAAGTGAGAATTCAGCCGTAAAATCTGACAATTTCCGTGCTTTTTTTCCTTTTTCAGACGTTCCGTCCGAAAAAGAAGTTCCCCCAGGGCACTCTCCGCTACAGTCTGCATAAGCAAGCGGAAGCCACGTTGCACTCGGGAGTCGACCTTCGTCAGGCTGTCAAAATGCCACTCAATGAGAACTTTGATGATTGGCTCGCCGTTCACAGTGAGAATTCACCCTGTATCCTTCTTTTCATCATGATTTCTTTTACAGCGGTCGACTTCTTCAATCGCATCAATCTGATGTACGGCACCATTTCGGATGTGTGCACTCGGGAATCTTGTCCGACGATGTGCGGCGGCTCCCGATACGAATACCTGTGGCAGGATGGCCTCGATTACAAAAAGCCAACGAGACTTCCCGCTCCGCAGTACATGCAGGTCTGTTTTCGGCTGTTTTTGTTTGAGTAATTCGATACTGAAGCGGGAGTGTCTCCGCTTGTTTGCACCCTTCCCAAACAGATAGTAAATGGATACGACGGTCGTTATTTCAGCTGCTAATGGATTGGATTGAGACTCGCATTAACGATGAGAACATCTTCCCGTCCAGCACGAGTGAGACACCCTTCAGAAGAGTTTGATCCTAAAATGTTTGATTTTCAGCCGTATCTTTTCCAAAGGACTTCCGTCAGATTTGCAAAAAGATCCTGACTCGTCTCTTCCGCGTGTTCGTTCACGTTTACATACATCATTTCGATCGGATTCGTGAGCTGGGTGCCGAGCCGCACGCAAACACCCTCTACAAGCACTTTTACTTCTTCGTCACCGAGTACGGAATGGTTTCCGCCAAAGAACTGGAAGCGTTGGTGAGTCGCAATATGCTTAAAACAAAACCAATTTGTGTGCTCCTTGCAGAAGGATATGACCGAACGCCTTCTGGAGCCATCGAATCGTCGTGGCCCAATTCCGTCAGCAAATGCGTTCCGTCCGTGATCCGTTTCTAATCGTATCCATTTTCGTTTTATTATCTCTGGAATCCCCGTTTATCTCGGTTGTGAACCACCATTTCGTCTTTTTCCATGTAATTTTAGGTACAACTTCATTGAGCCCGTCATCTGTATTCCCTCACTTCTTTGCGTCTTCCACTCATTCATGTATCGCATGTAAATCGTAATCAAAGAAACCTTCGTCTCTCTTTTACTTGCCCCAAAATCTTTTGTATTTCTTTTAAGTTTCTCTTGTCCCCCGCCAAAGTATTATGAAACCCCCTTCTTCATTTTTTTTCGGATAAAATGTATTTTTAGTGAACGTCAATCATTCAAAGGCACCGAGGATAGCATTTGATGTATTCGACGGGCGAGATCCACTTCTGAACGGAGAAACCATTTGGAAACAAGACGGGAAAGAGGGAGATGGAGTGGGCGGGGCATCTCTCGGATGCACTTGAGGAGGAACCAGAACGTGGGCGTCCAGTCCTTTTCGTTTTGATTCGGATTCTGGAGCACTGCGAGCACTTCTTCTTTGTGGGTCAATTGATGGAAGGTTGAGTGAAAGAAAAGATCCAAAAGACGGAAAATATCTCGGAAGTCTTCTTTCTGAACGAAAACTTTGAAGAACATCGGAATACGAGATAGTAGCTGACCTCGAAATACCGATTGATTGTGGATATAGTCAGTCCCTTTTTCACTTGGTCCATGTACCAGCAATGCGTTTTCTCGTGGCCCCCATCGTTCAATTGAGCGTCCAGCAGTTGCTCATCGAACGATTTGTTGGCGGGCAACGGATCGGCGCATCGGACGGTCATCCGGAAGTCGTTCTCGATGTCGAAACCGACGAAAGAGTACATTTTGAGAAGGCAACTCCGCATTGCCACGTACACTACCTGCAATGAGAGAACAGAGTATTTACATATCAGAGAAAATCGCGAGACTTTGGGAATCTTGCCGTAAAGTCGGGACTCTGGTTTGCTGATAAACTTCTGATTGTAGGCGACGTACTGGGATATCGTGATGAGTTTGTTTTTCGGAATAATCATTCCGCCACAGTTCCTTATCAACAACTGAAATACTATCATTGGTGCGAAGCAAACGAACGCTCCGCCCACTCTGAACTCGTGCAATGTTTCCACTTGCTCTTTGCTCTGCACCGCCTTCGTCCTTCTTTTCCTGACGTTCTCGACCGCCTGACTCGGCGACATTCCCAATGCGAACATCATCCACGCGGCAATCACCATGCCCGTTCTTCCGTGTCCCGCGTGGCAATGCACTGCTATCTTGCCGTGCGACAGGGCGAAGTCGACCACTTTGACAATGTCCAAGAGTCGGTGGGAAGTGCATGCTTGGAAATCGGGCAGAGGGAAGTTGTAGTGGTAGACTGGAAGCGAAAAGCAAGGATTGTAGCTGGGCGGGGAAGAACACTCACTTCCGTTCTTCATCAGATTCTCCGGATCATAACTGAATCCGCTGGCCAGATTTCCGTTTCCACAGAACGAATGCTCTCCGCTTTCCTGGAGATTAACCACCGATTGTATTCGGTTTCTGAATGGGACAATCCGTTTCTAACATGTTCTAATCCGATATCGCTCACTCTTTGAATTTCTCCACAATGCCCAATTTGTCGAAATGATCCTCTTGGAGACGAGACATCGCCAGAATATCATCGGTTATCCACGTGGAGTACAGACCGTCAATTGCCTGGATTTCAGTTTGACCAGGGTTTACAACGCAGAATCTGCATCTGGGACCACTGCAATACAGACGACACTTCTGATCTCCAGGGGTCAGACTGAGAATTCCTGTGCGGAGAGTGGAATACGTGGCGGATGCTGTAACGTTAACATTGAAATTAGCGGAGAGATTTCAGGTAACTCACCTTTTTCTTCAGCTTCAAGGCGGTGCTCATCATTAGCCGAAAACCAGAGTCTCGGCATTCCAGGGGCTTTTTCAATCCAACGAGCACCTGCTTCTGCCTCGTCTCATTCTGTGCGCATGGGAAAAACGAGAAGAAGAAGAAGAAGAAGAAGAAGAAAAGTGAGAGGGAGGAGCATGTTAGTGTGCATGAGCATGTCACCAAAAATGAAGAGAGTCTCTATGGTAACGCTCGAGAAAAGAGGCGCCGCCGGGCGAGGGGAGACTAGTTTTTCGCCGCCAACCACATCCGGTGAACATCCACACGACATCCGGTGAATTACTTTAACATGGATAAGAAGAGGACGCGGGCAGAGACTAACTTCAATCTGAGCGCACCTTGAAGCAGCCTCTAACCATTTGGAATTTTGAGAAGGTTCAGAATTAAGAAGATCATTGTTTAGTTATTTCGGTGATAGGGTCTCCGTACTCTCTGCTGATTGAAATATTAATTTTGCGTCAAAGCTGGCACAACTAGACATTCGCCGAGCTGTTTTCCGACTTACACCCTAGAAGTTTATTGATTTGTCATTTGATAACTTCATTTCAATCGTCTTCTTCGAAAACAACAGGCCTATGCTCTAACTTTCTGAATCATTGGCATCACTTCCGGCTCTCTTTCTTCCGCGTCCACATGCACTTCGTCCAGGTTGACGTTCTTTGTTTCTTGCTGAATGCGAATGACATGCTCCGTGCCGAAGCTTGTTCAACTTACCAAAAAGAAGAAAGAAACGAGCAGATTGATGAATCCCAGCGCAATGACGGTAACGTAGACGGCGGGCGGCCACCAAGTGTTCGCATAAGTGAGGAATGGAGCGAGGATGCTTCCAACTCTCGCCATGAGAGAGCAGGATCCGGTGGCACTGGCCCTCGTGGAAGTCTCCATGGATTCGATGGCACACAGATAACACGCATCCCACGTGTACTCGATGAATGCCGTTCCGAGTAGGTAAATGAAAAGGAAGCCGACGCCCTGACCAGGTATTTAGGGGTAGTGAAACACTTCGGAGACACTCACATGATAGTCATTGAGAAGGAAAACGGTGAGAAGTACGAAACAGATGATTGTTCCTACTTGCGATCCCTGATGCAGAGTTCTCCTTTTAAAGTTTTTGAACTGTGTGTCAACAAATAGAAGTAGCATTTTAGAGAAAACCAGAAGAATTCCAAACAGAACTTGATTCAAATAAAGGTCCCCAGCCAGTGTATTCGAATTGAGATCATTGGCGAATCCGCAAATTGAAACAATAAACCACATGATCCACAGAATGAATAGCTTCTTGAAAAGCCCTTTCGTTTTGAGCGTTTCCGTAAAAGTTTTGGGCCGAACGGTCGTATGCTCTACGGGCTCGTAAGGGACTCCGGCGATCCGAGCCATGTGGACCTCGCTTAGAACCATTCGAGCTTTCAAACCCTATAAAGTTCTGTAGGAACGTACTTTGATCTAGAATCACCTTATTGTGCAACCATGTCGGTGATTCCGGAATGATGAAGATGATGAGGAACAGAGCTGGAATTAAACAAAGAGCACTGACGAACGAGGCGAGTCTCCATTCGCGAGTGAAGTAGCAGATGGCAGTGAGGAAAACACGGGTCCATCCCCAATTGAAGAAACCGCGGAGGACCATTCTTTGCTGAGGAAGGATCACTTCCATGATCCAGGCACAGATCACAACGAGCATTCCCCCGATGGAGAGACCCACGAAGAACCTGGAACCTTCCTATTCTTTCTGAAATATTCAGCTGGATGTACCTCAATATAAACAGAATGTGTCTGTTTGGTGACATTCCGCTCGCGAATGTTGAGCAGATTGCCAAAGACATTCCCAGTATTCCAATAGGTTTCCTTCCGAATCTATCCGAAAGAGATCCAAAGAGAAAAGTACCGATGAGCACTCCGAGGTATTGCATTTGGGAAAAGAAGGATTGGTAGTAGACGGAGGATCCACAGACCCAGTCGAATCTGTGAAATCATTCAAACTTTCCGTGAAATTGCAATCAGAACTCACTCCATGGCGGCCGAATTGAATATCGGATCAACGAAAGTCAAGTTTCCTTTCGGACACAACCGGTACACATCGCAGTTCTTCGTCGGCTCCGCGTTGCCGCACTTCCATTTCGGAACGTTGTTCGAATATATGCCGAATATGTTCTGTCCGGCAAAAAAGTTGACGAATTGCCATGTGAAGAAGGCGCAAAGGTGGAATCGGTTGATCTGATACCACATTCCGATGCCGAATGGGCCCGCGAAGTAACCGACAGCAGACTGCTGACTGTCACTTTGTGTTTCTCATTTTCCAATGATTACTTTGTATCTCTTTCTTGCAAAGTTCAAAGAACCAATAGGATGATAATTGAAAGAAAAACACAAAACTGTTGTCATTTATTGCTTCTAGAAACAAACCTCGTAATAAATTAACGAACTCAATTAAAATTTTAAGGACTGTGAATTACGGAATTACAAATCAGAGGATGACTTGTGCATTGGCATGTAATCGTTTTTCTGAACATCCTCCAAATGGGCGGCCTGTTTGGTAAGCTCCGGGTAGTCGGTGAGAATAGGAATTTTGAGGGTGGCGAGCATCCAGTGCATTTCGGCCATATCGTTGACAGTCCAGACGGCCACACGCATTCCACGTCTTTTTTGATCCATTACGAAGGTTCTGATAAGAATAAACATGTATTTCGTGACTTTAGACAAATCAATGCTTACTGTGAGATGTCCAAGTTGTTGGTGAGCAGAAGATCTGCTCCAAGGTACCACGGAGTGACTGTTTTGAGCAGCCACACATGCAGCACATCGATAGCCTCGAAAAGCCACTGTTTGGGTCCAGAGTACCTCGGACGGATGTTCTCGATATCATGATAAGACCAGAACTTGAGGCGCCACGTCAACCCGGTCAGAATCTTTTGATCGCCCTTCTTGATACGGTAGACGACCCACGGGAAGAAACTGCACACGATGGCCTTGTCGTAGAGATTGTACCTGGAGAAAAGGGTGGCGATTTGATCGACAAGCTCGTTGTCAGAATCCTTGACGTCGAAGAGCATCCGGGTGTTGTTCTCGACCGCCCATCTCACAACGTCTTCCATGTCAGGAACGCGCTCACGGGCAACACTGGCCAAGCGACTATGATCTCTGAAACATGAAAAATGTAAAAGCCAATAGAGGAATCATCATACCCAGGAGCGGTTCGGATGAAGTTGGCGGAAATGTTGCATCTGTCGAGCTCAGCACGAGTTTTCTCTCTAATCGGCCCTCGCATGTCTGTCGTTCTGTCCAAATCGTCGTCGTGCATGAGAACTGCTTTTCCGTCCATCGTCAATGCCACGTCAAACTCAATGAGATCCGCTCCGTCCGCTTTCGCTTGTGCGAATCCTGCCATACTGTTCTCGGGGAAACTCTTCGGAGCTCCGCGATGACCTCCGATTTTGAATCCGGCGAAGAAAGTGTCCACCTATTAGAAATGAGATTTGAAAGTAAAAGTAAAAGCAAATATGTAGTTACATTTGTTGTCGAGGTTTTTTCGTTCTTGGTTGTATAGGCAAAAATGAAAAGCGTGAGCGGGATGAGAACGAGGCCGGGCGGATAGATGACGTAGATGGCGGCGATGACGGCGATCGAGACGCCAAGGATCTTCGGGGCCGACTCTTCCAGACTAAATCCGGCCATTCTCCGCCGGAGTTTACCTGAAATTAGATAAGGGACAGTTAGCAATTCACTCAGAAAATGAAAAAGAAAATGGCAAAGGCAGGCGAGAAATCAGGAATGATGTAAAGCTGAAACAAACATAGGCATAAATCTGTGACCGAAATGACGAGTTTCTTATCATTGAACAAGGAAAATGTGCGATAACTCTCAAAATTGGCGACAAAAACGATGAAATAGCGAAGACATTTGGAAATTGAAACTGGCAGGCAGCGAGAGAGTGTGCACGAGGGAGAGACACAGAAGTGCAGGGAAAGGCAGGAAGAGGAGGTCAGAGAACGGACAGAAAATGGGGCCTCGCAGGCCTACAGAATACACAGTTTGTTTTGAAGAATGGAAGGATAGCAAAAGTACAAACGAACGGGATGAAAACGGCTGGAACGGGATCACAGCCTTCTGCGGCAGTCAATTTCAAATTTAAAGGCGCATGCGGTACACTGCTGACGCATTCCTCGTTTTTTGTACAGTAAAATGTTTGCATGGATCGCAAAATACGGAAAAGAGTAAATTCAAGAAACTGATCGCCATTTAGCATAGAGAAAAATTATGTCTATCGAATGAACCCAAAGTCCCGCTCACGCTTTTCAATTCGCCTATACAACCAAGCACTAAAAACCTCGATAACAAATGTAACTCTTTCATTACTTTTACTTTTACTTTCAAAACTCATTTTTAATAGGTGGACACATTCTTCGCCGGAATCGAAGGTTATCGTGGAGCTCCGAAGAGTTTCCCCGAGAACAGTATGGCCGGATTCGCACAAGCAGAAGCGATGTGCTGCATGTGTGGCTGCTCAAAACGGTGACTACGTGGTACCTTGAAGCAGATCTTCTGCTCACCAACAACATGGACATCTCACAGTGAGCATTGATTTGTCTAAAGTCACGAAATACATGTTTATTCTTATCAGAACCCTCGTCATGGATCAAAAAAGACGTGGAATGCGTGTGGCCGTCTGGACTGTCAACGATATGGCCGAACTGCTGAGCTCGACAGATGTAACATTTCCGCCAACTTCATCCGAACTGCTCCTGGGTAAGGTGGTGCCTCTATTGGTTTTTACATTTTCCATGTTTTAGTAATAGTAAATAATTTCGGCGTTCGAAAAAGCAACATTTTTGGCAGTCCAACATAGAACTGGGCAGAATAGAACTGCGCAGAATAGAACCGCGACACAATAGAACCGCGACATAATAGAACTGTTTTTGTGTATTCATATGAGCATTTTGTCCGTTCCTTTCAATTAACTTTCGCAAAATTGTTCGTCTCTGGAACAATTAAGCAGAAGACCACAGTTTATACCTTGAAAATTGGTTTCCTTTCGTTTTTGATAGTAAAATATAATGATTTTCTGTGGGTTTTCATTACCGTAGAGAAGAGGGATCACGACGGAAGTGAAATTAATGAATGAAATAAAGCGATCACGAGATTCAAAATTATCTTTTTCTACGAAACAATTATTCTACAGAAAGGTTTAAAAGGCGCTCCAAACAGTTATATTGGGGCCGGTTCTATTGTGTCGCGATTCTATTCTGCGCAGTTCTATTATGTCGCGGTTCTATTCTGCCTAGTTCTATTATGTTGGACCGCCAAATTTTCCGTGGCGCCTCGCTTCCCCCGGGAGCCAGTCTGGAGGACAACACATCTATTTTTTGCTCTCACTTGCGATCCAAAACACGACTGCTCCGAGAAAGCACGCATACGTGCCAAGTGTCCTTCATCCTCATCAATATTCACCTAATTGATATGAAACTTTTCCCCGGACATCAAGATTATTCATTAGGTGTCATTAGGTCAATTTCATATTTCATGTCTTCTTTTTCTCTCAACGTGGTCCCAATGACACTCCGCTTACTTTCTGTCAGTTGTTCGGGCTAGATCCGTGGATCCGGGCGTGATAAGTGGCACTTGTTTTTCGCAGGTCGATTCTTTGTCCTATGTTCCATTCCAGGCATTCACCGTAAACAATTTCTGATTTTTTAGCAGACATTCGACGTTTTTCTCCCCAAAAACAGAGCCATAACTTTTTATTTGAATCTTTCGGCTACTTGAGAATGCGTGACGATTCCAAGAAGAAAACTCGTCCATGTATTTACCCACCCGAAAACTCTAATAAAGCGTCTCTGGCCCTTCCTCATTTCAGTCTATGACCGGGACCAAAAAGAAGAAGGAAGTACGCAATCTTTCTTTACAAACCACTAAATATGTACAACAATTATATTAAACATATCTCTCCTTTTATTCGATTATCGTTCTGAATGTCTAATTCCACAACTGGCTCGGGTATTGCGCATATCTAAATGCTAATTCGTCGACGAAACACTCTTCGTACTGATGACGTGGAACCAGGGCAGGGCAATTGGCCGGAAGCCGGGGCTTTTTGAAAAAATCGGCCAATGATCCACATATCTCGAGACCCGACGATCCGATAGGGCTGAAACTTGGTCCCAATGGCCCTCAATCCAAGTCCAACAATCGTGCAAAGCTTGGGTTCGATCTGAACATTACAAGCGGTTCAAAAGTCCAGGTTAAGAGTCGGCCAACGAAAAGCCCGTGCCGGCCAATTGCCCAGCCCTGCGTGGAACCTTATTTGAGTCCAAACGTCATTCGCAATCTGAATCTGAAAAGCCTCGATCAATTTGCATTTGTCTCTTCCTCTTCGAATACACTTTTTTGGTTGGGATCTGATCGGACTACGAGAGCAAATCGAATTGAGCTCTGGCGGCGGAGAGTATCCTTCCGTTCGCATCTCCTCGAAATAGAAGACGAGATACGAATGCGCGGAAAGAGTGATCATTTGGCGACACGGGCGGTTTGATGGACAGGAGGAGGGAGGTGCATTTCTCCCCCTACTACCACCAAAACAATACTTCTGAGAGCATATTGGAAGCGTGCGACGAAACTCCGATTCTGATTCGATGATCTCCGATGGTGTATTAATTGCTTTATTGAGTTTTAGGACTGACTGACTAATACAACTGTACTTGTAATTTCGTTAAAACCGAGCATCGCACTTTTCGCCTTTTTGAATGTCGTTTGATCACATTGCTTTTATTCTACGAAATCTAATCATGGTTTCTGACCACATTGCCGAGAATCAAACCACAAAAGTGAGCGATTCTCTTTTTCAATAAAACATTTTGTATTTCACTTTCACCTGCGCCATTCTCAGGTGAGCACAAGTCGAGTACTTGGCTGTCCCCACGAGCTCTTCTTTTCAATTTCCCATTATAAAGCTCCTGTTTACCCGCCACAATTATGATTGTTTGAATTCATCATCATCCGGCTTTTCCCATTCCAATATCGAAGAGTGTATTCCTTGGCCGTTCGTCTTTGTTCAACGGCACTTCCTCATCCGCCTTGTTTCAAGTGCCTCTTCTTCTCCATTTTCCCATTTTTCTTCGTCTTCTCATTTCCATATCAGTTCCGTTTTCATTCCTCTTCCCACTCTCTTATGCTGCAACATACTGACCTCTGTTTGTGAATAATTAACGGCCGCCGACCAGAAATATGCAGACAGAGACTCGAAACTTGGCATTCATTCCCGCGTGATTCCAAGTACTCACACTCTCTCGGATTCATTCACATCCTGAGCATTAATCCTATAGTTAAGTTATCAACTTTAAATGATGTGTTGATCATTTCGTGATCCCCTCTTGCATGGCTTCTATATCCAGCCTATGATGTTTCCGATTGATGGATGTTCCTCCGTCGCATCATCTTTTCTGTCATTTCCTGAAACATCGCTACGTGTTCGTTGTTTTGCTTTTCTCCCGTTTTCAGCTGTCTCAATCATGTGGAAGGTTAGTTACAAATGCATTCATTCCTCACTGTTTGTTACTCGTTCACACTTTCAGTTGGCCGATTTTCAGACGAGTAGGTGGTGATGTGGGGGGGAAACCGGAAAACACTCTGAAATTCCGACCACTTGCAAACGTTTTCTAAGAACAATGTGCTAAAGTTACTCGCTTGACGTCCGTAGGTCCGTCCAGCTTCGGGTAACTTCTCTTCACTATCGGTACTTCCTAGCATCCCTGCTCTTCTGTTTGGTACGAAGTTGTTCCAGTTTTCCTTCAGATCTCCTCGGTTGCACTCTTTTGAGATTTTTTCCATCTGGCTGTATTACTTCTGGTCTAATGGTCAGCCCAAGGTTTTCTGAAAGCCCCATTTCTCAAACGTTTGGTCGTTCATAGTAGTTGTTTGGAATGTCTCGCTCAAATTACTCGTTTCAGATTCGTTGAAAACAAATATAAATTTCAACACAAACTCTTTCTGTTCCGTGTATACTTGAGGTTCCGAACGTGCCGTGTACTACTGGCCAGAGGGGTTCCCGATTGGATTTCCTCCCCTACTACAGACATTTGTTTGTTTTCTCGCTTCATTTGGTCGGTTTCCCATCTCTCGAACCGAGATAGTTTTTGAATAACCAGTTGAAACTCTGACAGTTGTGTGGCGCCTCCATTCTAGTTCCTGATGCCTAATTAGGTTTAGTCGCTCTCAAGTGGAAAGAAAGGAAATCAAGACACTTTTCACTTGGGTGCGTCAATGATTGGATGAAGAGAGGATCGACACGTGATTCGCAAGAGCTCTTCTAGATTTCTCAACTGATTTTAGCACTTTGCGGAAGTACGCACGCCTCTCAAACATTAGAAACATCCTCAGAAGTGGCATACTGTGTATTGAAAGTCACCATCCTCCAGAATCTGATTCCTTCGTTAGCTGGAGCCAGCTGACTATGAGTAGCGAGTAAATTTTTGTTTTCTGAACACTGACCTTCCAGAAAACGGCTGAAAGTTTCCTAGAATATTTCATTTCTCTGCCTTCACAACCTTCCTGTTCTTCAACCTTCCGGCGTTTCCACTCAGAAAATAATTTTCAAATATTTATGCAAAACTCTTTTATTGTTTTCCAAAAGTTTTCTAAACGAACATAATTCTCCGTCTGTACTTTTCTCTTCTTCAAACTTCTCCCAATCGTAATCCTGAAGTGAACGTAATTTTTTTTTCAAAAGAAACCTCATTTTTTATAAAACGGATTATCCTTATTCAATTGAGATATAATACTATGGCGTGCCAATCAGGTCAAATCCCTTTTGTCTCCTTTCATGACCCGAATCTCGTTATCTCCAGAACTCTGATCCTGAAATCCGATGCTGCCGGAACGTGCTCAACTTAAAGTTCTTCCAAGCACATGACGTCTCAAGAAGGTGCTTCCTCTTGCGCTTGGCAACAATGAAGAGTTCCCCCTCTTCTTCTCCTTCTTCCCTCCCTCCCAAGTCCCGCCCTAATTCGTTTATGCTCTCTCGGACAATTCGTTATTGTCCTGTTGCAAACGTGAGCCAGAAATCAGTCGGCACTTTGTCATCTTCAGAGTCTCGACTACCCGTTCCTCCGTCTCTTCCACCCTCATTTTTATTATGTATGTTTTTTCTCGCCACTCTTCTCTTACCGAGTGAACGCGGAAATGAAAACACTTAGGACCAATTGGTCCGTGTTATTTTTTTGCTGACACGGCGATTCTGCAGTCAATCAGACCGACGGATGATTGATTTCATGTTTGTCGAGTTCAATTCGTCAAACATTTTCGTTTTTTGTTTTCTGAGATTGAGATCCGGGGCGGAAGACCTGGGCTCTAAATAAATATATAAATATGAACAAACCCTTGCGTTTTTGGTTTTTGAGCTCATGCTCTATAAGAATTGAATATTGGAACCTCATTTCACGAGGACCCTCTTTATTAATCTCCCAAAAGCAGTCTTGAATGCCACGTTCAACCCATTCCTGAAGTCTGTTTCTCTGCTCTTCCAATATCGTTCTGTTATCGTTTTCATCCAAACCCGTCTTGTTTTTGTACAGAAATCTTCTTATCACCGATGACTATTCCTCTCTAATCAGCTTCCCCAGTTTCGCGTATAAAATGATCCCGTGAAGCTCGTTGCTCATTCCTCCCCAAAAAAACGGAGAAGTGTCCGTGCCGCCCTTCTCGTCACCTTCTTCTCCTTTTCCGAGTAATTGGCCTCATTTGTAGTGTTGAGAATGTTTCGCCGACTTCGTGTCTTGCACTGATCCTCAAATAGATAACGACGTGCTCCGTTTCCGCGTTTCCTTTTTTTCTTCCACGCCCGTTCATCACTCTTCGCCTCTTTTCGAAAGGCATGTTTTTGTGCTTAGAACGGAAACTCACAAAATGGATCAAATTACCCGTTGATTTTTCAGGTTTTTCAAAAAGCTGCTTTTCAGTGTCAAAAGACTGAAAACTAGAGAAAGAGATCTCATATTCCACGCTTCACTTTCTCAATTCTCATTTATTCATTTTGGCTAGACAGTTGTCTGAGCATTCCGATGAGCCCCACTTCCCAATTAGACGTGGTTTTGTCCTACTTCCGTTTGAATGTCGTCACCTCCGTCACTCCATTCAACCCTTCGGCCAACTTTTCTTTTCATTTTTCATCCTTCTCAATATAACATGTTTTTGTTTTGGTTTTTACGCCGGAAGAGGAACGGCCTTCTGGTCCCGTTTAATTTATCCTGAAATCTGATATTGCGAAGAGCCGAAGAGCCACTGACGGGAAAACAGAAAATGTGGGAGGGAAAAGTTGGCAGGCAGGCAGGCAAGATTGATAGTTTCCTTCCGAATGAAACAAATAACTTTTCTTCGTTTTGTTCGAAAACCTTTTGCCGAACACAGTGATCCGCTGGTGCAGATGCATAGAGAACGAGGAGGGCACATTCAATTAAAGTAACTGAAACATTCGAAATGTATGCGATGCCTGACGGCGAGCACTTCTCCTTTTGCGAAAAAGGCTCCCTCGTGTTTAGTTTGTTCCATTCGACAGCAATCACAAATCCGAATGAGGAAGTCAAGTCATTCGAGACTCCGTTTCCTTCCAGAATGTTTGCAGGTGCATCAGATGTCTGCTTCCGGTGCAAGCATCGCCTCACCGATAACACTTCTTCTTCCCTTCCTCAATCTTTTTCTAATCCTAACTAACTCCATTTTGCACGCGTCTTCCCCTTTCCCCTCGCCTTCTTCTCCCCTTTCAAACCCTTTCAAACCTTTTGTCAAAGGATCTATTGACCTGTCAATTGAAGCAATTCCGAACTTTTCACTTTTTCTCTCGAACTTTGTGCTCCGGACGCTTTCTCTCACGTGCGCTTGAAACATCTAAAGGCAAAAATTTCAGTTTTATGAATGGATTCCCACAACATCAGTCTCGTGGAAGAAGAGCCGTACGACGAATGCGCGTACTCGCCACCGATCTTTCTCCAATGGAAGATGGTGTTCGTCGGAGTGATCGGCCTGATCGTCGCTCTCATCAGCATTTTCCACAATTCGCTTCTCTTCTACACATTCAGCACGTCGACGGTTCTTCGCAAACGGAATCTGACCTATCTGATGTGGATCTCCGGATGCGACGTCTTCATCTCCCTCTGTTACATTGCAATTATGTGTGTTCAGGTGTGTTGTCTTCGCTTGCAGTTCAACTTTCCTTTCAGGTCTACACCGACTACTTCGAGTCTTTCCCCCTGCTCGTTCTCTGGCATCAGTATCTCCGTGCCGCATTCACAGTCTCTCATATCACCCTCTCCGCTGCCTCTTTTCTCCTCATGGCGGCCACAATCGAAAGATATCTGCAAAGCACTGCCGATAACAGAACTCTCAAGCTGTTCCAAATCCTGGCAACTCATCGCGCTTATGTTGTTTTCTGTTGTTTCTTAGGAAGTCTTATCTTTCGTGGAACGGTGTTTTTCGAGATCAAGGTATCTTCGAAGATCTTCAAGGTTCTGGAAGAGTTGAAGTGTTCAGGTTGTCCACCAGCCTAACTGCACCGGATTCTCTTCGATGGGTCTCGCAGTAGTTCCGATGTTCGGCGAGAGCATGGACGTCGTCTGGAGATTCTTTATTAGGAAGATTGTTACAGTATTCTTGCCGTTTGCTGGTAAACCGTTTTCTATTTTCCAAATTGATCCGTTCTTTTTTTCCAGTACTCGCTTATTTCAATGCGGCCATCGTAATGAATGTCCGAAGAACTGATCGGGACCAGACCGTCAAAGCACTCGTGCTCTTCATCACCGTCGGAACAAGGTATGCACTGCTGTTGTCTTTGGGCTTTGAACTTCCCGAACTACCCGTTTTCGAGTTCAATTCCTTCCCTCTAGTCATCCTTTCCCATTTTCAGCCCTCTCGGAAACGTACGAAGGTAATTTTGAGTCATTTCCCGTCCCAGCCTCTCGCTCTTCCCACCCTTTCTCTCAGTTTTTCTTCCTTCCGTCGCCTTCCCCCTTTCTCCATTTTTTGGTTAATTATCTATGAATATAGCATGAAAATGAGGAGCATGATAGATCGGAGACTTGAGGAATGACGAGAATGCAAAGTGTTTAGGATGGATGCGAAGGAGAGTTTCCAGAAAATGTTCAAGTAAATCCGTGTGTATCAATCACTTCACAAAAAGACGCACAAATGAATATGTAGATTATGATTCTGATTACAAAAAAGAAACACACAAGGAACCCTCACTTTTCTTTTCAGTCTAGAGCAAGGTTTCAAATGAAACGTTCACTTCACTGTCTGTGCTAGTTATTCACCTGTCCGAATCGGGAAATAAATGAAAACATTTACAGAGGCGAAGTGACAAGACTGAGATCCCGGTTGAGGGCGGTCACCCGGATGCTCGTTATGGTCGTCACTGGTTACCTTCTCGCGAACATCCTCGACATCATCATTGCCTTTTGGGAGGTCAGTGGACAATTCTGAAGTCTAAACGGAGATCTAGTAGACTGAAATGTTCTTTTCAGACGATTAGCATGCAAAGTCTGCAAGAACTGCCTTCCCTGTACACCGTTCTCTCCGATATTTCCTCCTTCCTTCCTATTGCCGCATGTGCTCTCCGTCTCCCCATTTACACAATAAACGACAGACAAATCAGAGTGGAGGTATTAATTCTCATTGTTGTTCGCACTTATTTACTTATGTTTGCAGGTCCGTCGAAAGTTCTGCGACCTGATCACCCGTTGCTGCACTTGCTGTCCGTGCGTGCTTTGTGATGGGCATCAGCGCAAGAAACTGTACGATCCTCAGTTGGAAGCTGAGCGACTGTGGCCCAAGAATCAGTCGGCTCCAAAACTGGAAGTGAGTGTTCTCAAGTTAGCTTTACAGTAAAAGTTAGTGTGAAGAATAGAATAGTTCATTCATTTTTTCAAATCAGATTGAACAAGAAATGACGCAATTGTGGACGAAGTCTGCGGAAAGACTTGGCTGAGAGAGGTTCGAATAGAGTGCAGTTCCCTTCACTAGAAGCACCTTCGAGGGTGCTCGTTTTGCTAACATTCTCACATTATTCATTAGTTTCAGTTCAGTTCAATTTCAATCAGAAAAGAGTGCTTTAGAGGCAGAAGTATATTTAGATTCTCTCGCTAACATTAGTCAGAGTTCTGTTTGCTAAACTGTTTTCCCTTCTTTTTCTTCTTTCGAAAGCCTCTTCCAGATTCGCAACTACGGTCTGCAGTCACTGATAATGGCGAGAGCCTCCCTTTCGACGAAGGAAATTTACGACATTCAGCAGTTCCGGGAGAGTTACAACGTCTGAAACAAGTGAAAGACTAGGAATGAAATGATTTAATTTCAATGCCAAATCGGGTTTCTCATTGCTTATCTTGCTTTCGAATAAACTGCTTATCGTAACATTGAAAGTTTGAATTAATAGATTTTAGTTACATTTCCGATTACAGAGAGATGGCACGGAAGAAAGGGAAACCTTGGAAAGATTTCCGCCAATTACTGCATGATGTTCTTGTCGCCTGAAGACCACACAAACTTGTTAATCGCCATAAATCCGAACGAGTGATACAAAGAACAAAGTAGTGCGAAGGCGAAGAATGAAGCGGACGATGACGGCCGGCAAATAAGGCAAACCATTGATAATAGAAAACCAGTCGGCGGCGATTGATACACTTTACGAGTTCTATTAGGCAATATCCTCCTGAACGAACGACGACTGACGCGCAATCGTTCTGATGTGTTCTGGAAAGAAAAGGTGAGACGGTGAGTGTGTTTGGTTAGCCGAAGCGGTAATTAGAAGGAGAGGGAAAGATAGATCAAGAGGCTTTCGATTACTTCGAGAGTGGGGGAAACGCCCGGGACGATTTCTGCTGCTGGACACGCGGATTTCACGGCTGAAAAGAGACGTTCGAGTGAACGATTCCATAGATGATGCGACCAAACATTGCAGTTTAACAAGTCGGAAAGGTGATGATGATGCCACGTCGAAACCGAAGCGTTTCAGGAACCGGTGCCGCCTACGGAAGGGACGAAACGGAACATGTCTTTAGTTTTTAGAGTTCCCAATACGGTTTCATTTTTCATTCATTTTCGGACTTCGTTGTTTCCTGTCTCTTTCTCTTCTTGTCAAAAACGACTTATCGTTCGGAATTCCCTCTGTGAAACCATTCTTCCAAAAAGACTATCCCCTTCATTACAATATCGGCGCATCAGATCAGCAAACTAGTACACACAGCTTCTTCCTCCCTCTTCGTCTTCTTCGTCTTCTTCCACGGCTTCTTCCCTCCGCTTCGGCTTCTCCCCCACCAACAGCAGCAGAAGCCGCGCCTCCCCGCCCTCTCCTCCTCTGACGGTCATTGCCTATCGCCCTCCGACGCGTCACCACCTAATTGGCCACACAAGCATCACGAAGCCGATCCAAAGGTGTTCCCCGTTTTATGAGCTGAAATTATTCGAGCTGAAATGCACGTCGTGCTTCTCGCGCTGACGGTCGTCCATGTGACGGCCCGTCAGTACTTCCAGCAGCCAGCCGAGTACGTTTCTCTTTCTTTTCTTCTCCTTACTTTTTATTACCGCAATGACCACAATTCCCTTCCTCTTCTTCTTCGTGCCATTCGAATCCCAGTCTTTTCCTCATTTCTTTACTTTTCGATTCTGGAGATGTGTTACTTCTGTAGTTCCTCTAGAATCCCGAACCAGTTGTCTGCGAATCGCTTAGTTTACACCCTAATCATTCTCGAGTAATCAGTACGAGACGCTAACCGATTAGTGGACACGATCGACAAACTTTTGCCCGTGACATGGCATACGCGAACAGTTTTGGCGCCGATCCGAAGAAGATTGCTGCCTGATCGGATATAGCGGTTTCGCCATTGAAAACTGGTAATTAGCCAAAACAACTCTCACTTTGTCATCGCGTTTAGCCTTTTCTACCCGATAAGTCCTTCAAAGTCAGTGTGAGAATTAATGAAATTTTACGCTATGCCGGTCCGACCAGCTCTTATAATTTCTCTCTTTTTTTCGATCTGCCCCGCTTGCCGATGAGAGCATTCCAAAATTGATCGAAAGGTTGGGCATTCGATCCGCTCAGTGGTCAAGATTTTACAAGTTAGCATTGCGATTAGGAAGTGGAAGTGCTTTTCGTCCTTAACTTTGGAAGGCAATAAAAACAAGTTATCCAGCAGCTTCTCGTTCTCTCAATGTCTGCGTGGACCTGTGAGGAAACATTCATCTGAAAGGCAGCAGTAGTAGTAATCTATCGGCGGAACAGAAACATGTATGCTTTTAGAAGAAGCCATCTTCCAGATGGACACACGCGCACCATAAACAATCACGAAGAATACTAATAATGACCTTTTTACTGCTGGAAGCCGTCCGCAAAACGGACAAAGTAGCCGTTGAGGGAAAAAAGGATGTAGCACGTATTGTCTCGAACGGGATCGGCCCGGCGATCATGCGGCAAAGTATAAATTAGAAATGCAAAAAGGTTTTGACGAATAATTAGTGGATTCTACATGTAAACGACAGAAGAAGGGGATAACGGAATTGGTGGGAAGTGGGGATATGGAAATTTATAAGTAGAGTCCTAAACGAAGAAAAGTTTCAGAATTCGAGTGGCACCTGCTGAACTGCCTTCAAACACAGTGAGTTCTTTGGGAAACTGAGAGAATAAAAAGTGGAGTTCAGGCACATGGAGTCTGGAAACCACAAAGATCCGCCTGGCTCAATGACTCGCCTCCACTGGAACGGAATCGGAGAGTTGGAAGAAGAGACTTCTCGGACCTAGGCAAGTCTTTTCCATTTTTTGAACTTTTATTCTCTCAGTTCTTCAATTTATTTTCTTACCGCACTCATCAATTTCCGTTTCCCTCTGCGTAACCCCCCGATTAACTCAGTTCTCGTGCTGGGAGCCTCTTCCGTTAACCGTGCCCATCACATTTCGACCACTTTCGGAGAGCCAGTCACAGTCATCACTGCGAAACCTCCGAAGGCACCCGATGTCTGGATGGTCAATGATCTCTTGAACGGATTGGATGGTGAGGACTAACCAACATTTAAGAGTGTGACTGACCATAACCATTGACCGATATCATATCAACTTTTATTTTTTCATTGGTCACTTTCAGAGCCAGCTGCCGAGTCTTCGATCGAAATGAAAGTTCAGTCCGAAGAGCTCCTGTCTTCGTCTGAACATATTGGAGGAGAATCCAAGAGAACAGTAAAACATGTGAGTTGAAATATAATATTTCTGAATCAAAGTGGTACTCTTTTCAGATAGATGAACTGGAACCGAGCGGGTATAACGGCGGAAATGAAGGTGAGTAACTATTTATGTCAATCTCTTCGTTAACCCGATGTTTCATGTTTTCTCAGCATGTCCTTTATTAACTGAAACTTCAGGCAATAATCTAGAAGCATGGCAGTCGGTTAGTGCATCCAGCCACGGAGGAGTCTTTCCCGAAGGATACGATGGTATTGTCCTCTTCTTGCTGCCATTCTTCTAATCTTTTCTAACTTTAACCTTAACCAGGACTTTCTGCTATGCCGAGAACACTAATCAACGAAATGGTCTCTTCCTCGGGAGCTCCATCTGCTCCTTCGCCTCCTCCTCCTCCACGACCTTATCCTCGATTCCCTCCTCCGCCTTCACGGAGACATGCCATTGATATGAGACCTCCCGGGTTCGCGCCTTCCGATATGTCAGATCAGTCGCCGTTGAGTGGAGACTTTGGAGGAGAGGAATTTGTGGAAAGATCTGGAAGAGATTCTGAAGATTCTGGTGACACCACGACGATAACGACGCCCGCCGCGACTACAACTGAAGAAGAAACAACAAGAACAACAACAACAACGGAGAGAACGACGACCGAAATTACTACTGAGAGTACAACAGAAGAAACAACGACGACGACAATCACAAAAGAGATTGAGACGACTACAACCACAGAAGAGGCCACGGAAGAGTCTTCAGCCGTGTTGGGGCAAGAGATTGAGCAAGAAGAGGTGGCGGCAGTGTTCACGATGAAGACTCCAGTCGCACCGCCAACTTTTGAGAATTCTGTGACCGCTCTGTTCGAACAACGTATGATTAAACCAAAATAGTATAAGTTAGAAGTAATAGTAATCACAATAATCTCTGCGTGAACCTACTCATTGTCTTTCAACCGAAATTTGAACTGACTGCACGTTTTGGCTTTTGCTCTCACTACTCATCGAGTGAATTCACTAGGAATATTAAAAAACGTTTTCATTTTCAGTTTCATTCCAACCTTAACCAGATTATTTCAGAAGAACCGGACGACGACGACTTCGAAGATCCGGCGATTATTAGGAAAAGCACACCGCCTAATGGTGAGTGCTTCGTCGTTTTATTCGGTCCTTTTTTCTGAATTTGAATTTTTTGCTCCCTTCTCTCATTTTGATCAGTTTTCCAGCCGGGGTGTTTAGGTTCAATGGTGGGGCATGGTGCACGTGAATCGTTGATTTCAGGTGGAGGTGCGAAACGAGCTGCTTCATATGCGGCTCCGCAGACAGTTGACAACCAAGCCGAAGAGTCGCGCAACACAAAGCTGAACTGTGTTCCGTGTGCTCCAGGGCAAGTAGCAGTTCCTCCGAAGGAAGAGATTCTTCCTCCGATCGCTCCTCTTCCTTCAGTTGGCGGACCTTATCAACCTCCGCCAATCGCACCGCTCGGACCAGGTGAACCCAGCGAACCCACATTTGTGGACATTCACGAGACGGATACACCAGCTTCTCCTGCTCCAGCACCTCCTGTCGCTCCTTCTTCTTCTTCTTCAGTTCCTTCTCCTGCTTCTCCTTCACCTCCTTCTCAAACCCCGATCACTATCGCACTGCCTGCACCTAGCCGACCTATTGCACCATCAGGATCTTCCCTGGCTTACCGTCCTCCACCGCCAAAGCCTGCGCCATCCGGACCGTCTCTGCCTGAAGAGCCAGTTGCGCCTAAGCAACCATCAGGTCCATCGGAGACTGATCAAGGAGCATATGGACATGTTCCTGGACCAGAATTATCTGTTCCTGAAGCGCCGACTCCTGCTCCTCCACTTGCCCCAGCTCCTTCTGCTCCAACTTTGATTGAAGTGTCGCCTGCCAAGCCTTCTACAGCGCCAGAGCCCACACAAGTTGCGCCAGGAGGACACAAACCGGAACCTCAAGAGCCTGCACCCATCCAACCAAGTTCCCCAGGTTCTCCGGCACCAGTCCCACAACCGTCTTTGCCAGCACCGGCGTATGGGCCAGCTCCTGCACAACCGGAACCAGTCGGACATACCCCGGGAGTGATATCCCCTCCTCTGCCACCGCTTCCCCAGTCAGTTGGACCATTTGAAGTGCCTCAACCCGCGGCTGCTCCTTCACCCTCAGAACCTGCACCAGCTCCTCCGCAACCTCTTTCATCTACATACGGTCCTACTATAGGCCCTGAGCCAGCTTCAGGAGGTTCTGAGGCTCCTCCTGAAATCCCCGTTATGATTGCACTTCCACCGCCACAAGGACCGAGTGTTCCAGCTGGCGGAGAGAAGTATAACGGAGGGGAAGACGTCAGTCAAGAGGAGGTGAATCCTTCGGACCGTCGTCCCGAACTGAGCTCGTTTTCCGCTGAAAACTCAATTGAAAATATTTCGAAATCAAAGACGCCAACAGGTACCCTCATCATTCACTCACTTTCACGTTTTCTTACAGCTTCTCCTGCTTTTGTTGCTTCTAACCTGCCCTCTTCAGTTCCGAGTAGCATCGTCGGTCTCATGCCGTCATCTGTCCTTCCATTGCACTACTTATCTGAGAAGCAAAGCGGCAATTCTCCTGGAGATAATGCTTCTAACCAATTGTCTACCGTAATTCCAACTGTGAAATCCGAAACTCCCAAGAAAGCAACGACTACTGGCAAGATGCCATCTTCTGTCATTCCGTCCGAATTCATGTCGAAAGGAGAAGGAGAAAAAGAAATGAATGAAAGCAACCAACCAGAAGGACCAACTCCTCCTTCTCAGCTCAGCTCGAGCAGTTCTCAGGAACCAAACGTATACGGACCACCATCCGTCGTTCCTCCGTACGTAACAATCCCAACAACAGCTCCAACAGGTGTAACGAGTCGTATTCCTTCCCCTTCTCCTCCAGCGCCTCTATCCATTTCAACAACTTTGGCTCCGTCCCCTCAGCCCCCTGCTCCATTCATTTCACGAAACGGAAAGGAAGAAGCAAGTCTACCAGCTGCCTCGTTGAACAAAAAGTCCCCACAACCAGTACCCGCAATGGAAAACTCCGGAGAAGTGATTTCAGTCGAGGAGCCCTCGGCGGAGGCCTTCTCGCTTCCCGCTTCACCTCCGTCTTCTCCCGTTTCTGTCATCTCACCATCTTCTCTTCCACCATCTCCGCATCCAGTCGAAACTGTTCCATCTACGCGGACCTCGCCAACTTCACCACCGATCTCAACGCCGTCCGAGAACGGCTTCATGAGCGCCATTCCACCATCAGAGTTCCCCAACTCTGGTCCTTCTGACCGTCCATCTTTCGGTTCTGGTTCTCAGATGCCGACCACTACTGATAATAGCACTCCGATGAAGCCAATTCCAGAAGATTATGACGTTGATGAAACGCTTCTAAAAGTAACTGGTTCGTCTTCTTCTCCCACTGCGCAATCTGTGATCACTTCAACCTCCTCGTCTTCCACAATAACAACAACAAGAACAGAACTTGAAGGAGAAGAAGCTGAGGCTGCATCCCCCAAACCTAAAGTTTTGACGAAACGACCATACATCGAAATGGAAGCGTCACGAGTTCCAGAACCAGCAAAGAAGACGATGACGGCAGCTATTCCGTCATTCACTCTTCACACTCTCTCGCCGGGTTTTAACCGTTATTCGGAGACAGACAGTTTAGCCCCAGTGTCTTCGTTTCCAGCAATAGTAAAAGATGGATCTGCATCGGCTGAATATCAGACTTCTCACGAGTATGTTGACTCGGAAGAAGAGGAGACAACCCCGCCAATCGCACCGCCAACTGTGGTTCTTTCTGTTGGAGCCCCGCCAAGTCCGCGGAAACCGATTCCTGAGCCTAATATCACATCGCCACCCTCTGCAACTCCACCAACTCCACGGACTGTTCAGCCTGTATCCTATCCGACAGCTCCCTCTGTTATAATTCCCGCTGTTCCCATTGGAATCCTCGTGACTGCCGGAACTGCACCGTCCGTGAATATGCCTCAAACATCCTTCGCTACGTCGCAGGCCTCTATGGAAGTTGATGACTCCTCGGAAAATTACGACGAAGAAGATACCCATACACCTTCAGAAGAGATTACTCCAATTGCCACAAAGAGCTTCTGGACGCCAGATATGCTTTCGAAATACATTGCGATGCAGTCAAGATCGCCTCCTAACGCTGCTTCTGGCCCTGTGCCCCCAGTAACCCTTCCAACTGCTTCTGCTTCTCCGGCTCAGAAACTGCCGACAGCTCCACCGGCTGCCATTCCACCATGGGCGGCCTCCGCGGAAGAATCAGTGCTTTCACCGAGCTACGTCCGTCCTGCTTCAGTTCCTTCAGTTAGACCAGCACCGCCTGCTAACCCTTCCTCAGTTCGCCAGATGATTGAAGTGACCGCATCCTCACACTTTACAGTCGAACAGTCAAATACAATAACGCAAGCACCGGTTGCACCAAGCGAAAATGTTCCCTTGTCTCCTCAGTCTACTGCACCAGACATCACTGCTCCCACGTCTTCTTCGGCACCTTCCGCGCCAAGTGTGACAACTATCGTCTCTTCCGAAGCACCTTCTGCACCAAGTGGGACAACTAGCACGTCTTCTGAAGCACCTTCTGTTATTGATGTGATTGTTCCTGAGACACCAGCACCTGTTATTTCGAGCACTTCATCTTCCTCTAGTAACTATTGTATCTGTTTGTTGTGTCGTAAAACGCTTTTCTAGGAGAACATGGAATCGAAGAAGGACCGTACGAGCCATTGAACCCATCGGAGCCGGCAGAAGCGGGAAGTGTCGAGGGTGAGTCAGCCACTTCTTCCATTTTGTTCTTTGTCTTCTCGCACGGCTCAGTTCTCTCTCTTGCACATTCGGAAAAAAAGTTGAACTTTTCCAGAATATGAGAGTACTGTTGATACCGTTATCGAGAAGTCAGGTTAGTAGGTCACTTTTGTTACACACGTTTAGTTTTGAAAAAGAAAGAAAAGTCACGTGTTTTGTTTCAGCAACTCCTGGACCAGCAGCACCACCACAGACTGCTCCATCTCCTGCTCCTGGTCCGATTGAGCACAACTACGGAATCCCTGCACCAGCGCCGGCTTATGGACCAGCTTCGGCTCCGGAACCACAACCGTCAGAGCCAGTACCCGTTGCAACTGCCGCCCCACAACCAGTCCAGCACACTTACGGAGCACAAGGTCCCGATATCGCTCTGATTCCGACGGCGGCGCCCTACATTCCACCGGCTACACAGGCGCCCGTTCCTGCCAGCAACCCAGGTAAAGCAATTTAGGGTTACCAAAAAGTCAGCGGAATTTCAGAACCCATTCCTCCAAACCCCTCACAAGGAATCGCAGTTGCTCCTCAACCAGTCGCGACTGCCATCGAAACGGCAGAGCGCATTGATGCGAAACCATCATATCCGGGACAGTCATCGTACAGTAATCTCGAAGAAGATCATGAAGATGGCAACGTGGCAGAGCTCCCGTCCCCCGAACCAACTCCAACTTTAGCTCCATCTGTTCCTGGAGAATCGAGCTATGGGTAACCAAGGACCGGAGATCGGCCCAAATAGAACATTATCGTTCAGAAACTTGGAAGAAGATCATGAAGGCAACCGTCCAGTTGAAGGTCCCCAGTCGGTACCTGGTCCTGCACCTTCGGTACCTGGTCCTGCACCTTCGGTCCCCACTTCTGGCGGCTCCAGCTACAGTAACCTTGAAGAAGATAACGAACCAGCGACAGGAACTTCCGGTGGATCCAGCTACAGGTACTCTTTACTTATTTTTCGATCTGATATTTACGAGTTTCTGCTATTACTTCTTGAATTCAGTGACAATTCTGCTGATATAGACATTGGAAAAGGGTAAGAAGCATGGTAGAAACCTAAGGATTAGATAGAGAAAATTATAAAAGTTATCCGCCAATTTGCATCCTTTTCTCACACTTTTAGAGGAGATCACGGATCATCGAACTCTGAAACTGAAACGGAAAAGCACGGGTAACGTTTGAAAGTGAAGAGATTGTATCTTGTACTTGTTTAATATGTTAGAAAAAGTGACGAAGAGGATGAGTATGAGAACGAAACTCAGCACACAGAGGATGAATCTGAGGACTCTGGGGAGTCGATTAGGTGAGAGGGAGCGGGCGAACTGAGTTGATAACCATGTGAAGTGAGGGAAAACCAAGTGAGGTGACGAGCAAACAACCTGTGTCCTCTGTTCCTGTGATCTCTCGTTTTTTCATTAACGTTTGGTCAATTCCTGGTGACGTGATTCAGTTTTCTGATATGCAAAAGTTTTTTACAGTAACATCGATAAAGAGCAAATCCCAGAAGTTGTGGTTCCAACGAGAACGGGAGGGAGCAACTACATGTTTGTTTAAATGAAAAGTACATTTGATCCTTGGAATTTTTTTCAGAAACGTCGAGAATACAGCTCCACAACCGAAAACGTACCAACGTCCGCAGCCCATCCGAGTGCAGGTCAACCCGGCCACTGTGCCTTACCGCCCACGTCCATCCCCTGCTCCGAGGATCCAACAACCACGACCTTTCGTTCCCCAACCACAGCCCCAACCTTACATTCAGAGACCTGCGGTTTGCTTTATCCCATTTACAATTCGAATCCGTTTCTTTCCAGCTCGCCCTCCCATACCAACCTCAGTACCCTCCGCCAATTCCGTACCAACCTCGTCCGGCTCCTTTCGTTCCCTTCCAGTCACTTCCACAAAGACCGCCTCCATCTGGATGCTGTGGAGGACAATTGTTCAGTCAGCAGGGAGGTCTCTGCATGCCGATCAGCTTCAACCCTTGTCAACAGCGACAGAGCAATTGCGGAGGCGGATGCGGAGGATGCGGGGGCGGCGGCGGAAGGTCGTGTGGAGGAGGATGCGGCGGAGGAGGAGGAGGAGGATTAGGAAGCTGTGGAGGTGGATGTGGAAGCTCTTGCGGAGGAGGCGGAGGGGGTGGATGTGGAAGCTCTTGCGGAGGAGGATGCAGTCCTTCGTGCTGCCAGCCACAGACTTCTGCGTGCTGCAATCAGATGGTCTCCTCTTGCTGTCAGCCACAACAGATGCCGTGCTGCAACCAACAGGTCCAAACATGCTGTCCTCCGCCCGTGCAGCAGTCCTGCTGCTGTCCTCAGCCTAGCTCCATTTGCAGAAACAAACGGTGTTGCTCAATTTGTCTTCAACATTTGAAATTGTAATTTTCAGTTCCCTCGGATACGCAATGGGAATTTGCCAACGACGAAGGAGAGCTTGAATTGCATCATAGGAAGTCGTTTATAATCGTGTTTTCTTTATTTATTTGTGTGTTGTATCCCGTCAGCCGGACTATGTTTTCCTTAAATTATAATGCTCTGAAGGAGGACCGTCAATTGTTCAGGGACATCGGTTCTCATTCTTCGCTTCTCTCAATCACTTTCTCTTTTTTGATATCGAGTGTCAATAAATACTCAAACTATGAACTCTTGGAAACCGAACCACGGGATTACTGAACCACTAAAAGGGTAGCTTTTTCTGTTACTTTTTAGAATTCGCCAGAACTTCAAATGAATCAGCAGCCGGAGTCGAGAAGAGAACGCGCCGGACGGAACAAGAGGGGAACTCTCCCAAGTCCAAGAAGAACTCCGATTGCCATCCCAAACCAAATAGCACAAATGCCTGTCCTGATGACCGTAAGCTTCTTGTCCCGATCCTCCTCTCAAATCCATTCTCAGGGCTTCGCGACTCTTGTCCCACATACTGTTCTCGACGCAATCGCAATGACGAGCAGCCTGATTGTGGTTCAGTGCGTGGAGCCGTTGGAGATGTTCACAGGCATCGAGACGGCCAATCGATACGTGATCCATGACATGTTTCTAAGACCTTTGCTCTATTGCAACGAGAATTCCGGATTCTTAGCTCGTCAGTGCTTCGGCAATGGACGTGGATTCGTGATGGAAATAAGGGACGTCTACGGCGCTCCGTTGATGAATGTTCAGAGGGACAACACGTGCTGCTCGTGCTCCGATTCCGTGGTCGCCCGCTTCAATGGTCATCAGATCGGAATGATTCAGAAGGAGTGTTGTGACGGAACCGTGAGTCGTTCTTAATGCATTTCTATTTCATTCCGTACTTTTCAGTTCAAACTCTACGCTGCCGGATGCCCTCAGCCATTGCTCATTTCCAGTCCGTTGTGCTGTGAAATGCAATGCGGAGGCACTCAAATATTCCCGGTTATGGCCCAAAACGGAGCGAAAGTCGGAGAGATCGTCCGTCTTTTCCCTGGATTTCTTCAAGAATTTCTCACCGACGCCGACACTTTTCTCGTCCATTGTGAGCTAATTCTATTGTCTTCCGTTCTTAAATCTTTGTTTTCAGTCCCCATTAACATGCCGCCCATTTTGAAACTCGTTCTCATCTCTGCCGTTTTCCTCATTGTAAGGCTTAATTTGCTTCAAACTCAACAGCAAGCATTTGCAGGATTTCACATATTTCGAGACAGACGATTAATGAAAAGAATGAACTCGAATTTCTGTTGTGGTATAAATAAACTATTTGTCAATCGTGCCAAAACACACCGTGTATTTTGTCTAGACTCGATCTTAGATCTTCAAATTTTCCGCGTCGGCGCGAGATGTTATCAAAAATAAGATAAAAGCTTTTCAGAAATTGTGACCACTCTAGGAATCTATTGCAGAGCTGTAATTAGAGATGTTAAGAGATATCGAGTTGAATCCGTTCGTCAGCAACTAGTACGTAACGTCCATCATTTTGTGGCAATGTGAATTGACAGCTTCCCTGTTCGCGTAATGCCACCCTTCTCATATCGAGAGGCGGAACCTACGGAAGGCGCCTTCCTGCTTACAGAAGGTTGTCCGTCCTCCGAGTGCCGATGGCCTCTCTGTTTTTCTACCGTTTGATTCGGGATCAATCAACCAAACTTGAGATGAACATGGAGTACGAGCATTTACTGAAAGAAGAAGACTTCGAAGATCATACTGATCCTATTGTGAAACCATACAGAAAGTACTCATTTCGAATTGAGCGAGTTGAAAAAGGTGAGATTTTACTTACTCTGTAGTTCACATTTCTTTTTTTCAGCATTCCCTCAATATCTTTTACTTTTCCTTGTGCTCATGGTCGTAATCTTCTTAACAGGACAGTATAGGATATCAATGCAGAAGTTGACGTCACGGGAATGCAGTGACGTATTGGCAGACTGTGACGGCATTCCGTTCAATGAAACTATTGTTCCACCGTACTTCGACTACCTCCAAGACTTCACTGTAAAGCAGTGCATCTCAATTGAAACTCTGTCTCATTTTCAGATTGCCCGTCAGTACAGTCTCTCCCTCTGTCTGATTCCCAAAGTCATGTCCACAATTGCAACTGGCACATTCTGTTATCTGGACGATCCGGCTGCTTTCGCCGCAGCCAATCGAACAATCGCCACCGAGCATTACAAACGACGGTTGAACATTAAAAGCGAATATTCAAAACCGAAAATGGGAGATTTTTTTACAGATTCTGTGCAGAAAATGAGATGAAATCGTTCGGGATGGTGAGACATGCGCTGAAGGAGAACGTATCGAACATAATCGTGGTTCGGGACCCGTTCGATAGATTCATTTCCGGGTTCACCGAGAAATGCGTGAGGTCAGTGAGCTCCCTTTCTCTTTGGGTTAACACCAGATCGTCATCAGATCGGTTGACAAGGACTTCTGTCACGGATGCGGGACGGACATCCGATGTTTCCTCCGGAAAGAATACCGTCGTCTTATGAGAATGACCATGCTGTTTCCGGTGTATTCCCTGGCCGACACTCACTTCGCTCCTCAGACTTGGTATGTCGTTTGGAATTTATGTGTGTCTCTCGCGTGCTTTGAACATCACGCTTGTTGCGTCAACGTCGCAGAAGTAGATCTCCGATTAGGATCTGTAGAGAAAAAGGAAAGAAAAGTCTTCGAAGAAGCGATTCAAAATGGGAAAAGACAGGCGAAAATCAGCAAGATGTAGTCCGATGTAGAGAGAATCAAACGATTCGCAATAGATCGGAATAGTTCCCTGTCTAATCGGATTGCTTCAGGTTTTGTGACATGAAGAACACTTTGCAAGACTCGACCCTCATTAAATACTCCAATAGTGGAGACGAACGGACAAGAATGATCGACGATTTCTCTAGAGTATTCCAGAAGAATGGAGTGCCAGAGGAAGAAATCGAGGAAGTGAGAAAAGAGTTAGGAAGTGAGTAGTATCATCTGGATAAAACAAAAAGAAAGATTATTCAGAAGGAAAGTCACATCATTCAACTGCCGGATCGGAGCTGAGGATGAAGTACGAGAAGCTGTTGCGAGAGGACGTGGCAATCCGGAGAGCAATATTACGAATGTACTATTATGACTTTGTTATTCTTGGATACCGTATGTGATGATTTAATAACTACAGAGATCTCATTTTCGTTAATTTAAACTGATTGATAAAGGTCTTCCGAAGCGTGAAGTTAACGTTGTTATAACTCTCTAATTAAATTGCAAAACTATAGTATGTAACCGAAAAGCTCAAAAAACCAATTCCGTTTTAGCACGTGCCCCTCCATTCACAGAACATATTGTCACAATCCGTTCTATGCGTGGCTACATTTTGTTCTCTATCTTTAATCGTAGACTGTTTGTCTAAGCCAAGTGTCCCATTGTGAAAGCAGGTGAAAAAACAGTCTACTTTAATGGCGATCTTCAATAGTTGTTATCGAGCACAGAATGCGTCCAAAAACCTCGTTTTTCTGGGGATTCCTTTGTATATTTGGAGCCGTCTGCTTATTCGCTTTGAGCTACTCTACTTATTACAAAAGCGTAGGGATGAGCCTAAATTTAGTGATGCAGAACTCTGCGATTTTAGAACTCTTCTGTTCACCCAAATATTGGAATCATTGTGGTTCTTACAAATAGAACTGACCCGAAAGATTACGAAGTGGGAATCAGTAAGAGCACTTTACAGATGAGAGACGCAGAAGGCTTATTTCAGAGAGTGTCGAATGCTATGCACGCGCTCAGAACTACTCATTTCTCCTAGTTGATGACTCGGATTATGATTGCCCGCAGCGAGATGTACGTTTCAGTGTCCGTCTCATTTCCTCACTTGTTCATTTCCAGAAGTTTTTCCGTCGTCACTGCGTTGTCGCAAAGATTCTGCCCCGCTTCGACGCTGTACTTTTTATAGATGCAGATCATGGAGTTGTGAATCCGAAACGGTTCTTCAACCAGATCATAGTCAAGATCATTCGGCGTTTTCAGAAGGATCGAAGAGTTTATGGATCCTCAGTTTGATTTGATTTTCTACGATCGATTCTTTGATTGGGAAGTTATGGCGGGTTCGTATATTGCAAGGAACACGGCCTTTTCGATTCAATTCCTAACTGGTAAGAGAGAAATCTCTTCTGACGCTTCCATCTTTTTCAGAATTTGCTGATTTCGAAGAGAAACTGCCCAAAGGAGCCCACGGATCCGATAACGGAGCAATTCACGTGAGCGCACAGTCTTTTGGTTTTGTGAATCTGTTGATTTCAGATATTCCTTGCCGATAAAATATTTCCGGGATCGATTTCGGTGGACGTCTGCAGAGAAGTGTACTACAAGGCAGTGAATACACATGATGTGGGTGCATACGTGGCATGCATTCGAGGGGTTTTTGGATCTCGAACCGACTTTGGCAACATCCGAATAATGAAAAAAGGATATGGATGGTCGAGAGATGATTGGCTTACCAGTGGACTGTGGAGTCCCACAAGAGACTTTATGTTGCACGGGTGGAAGAGTTCGCATCTGAAAGAGCCACCAATCGGAGTTCTCGAGTGAGTTGGTGAAGAATGGCAATGAATAGTTCTGAAGACAATCTCAGACCGATTCCAATGAATTATAATGAATGGTACAACCCTCTCGCGGGACCAATTGTGATCGGAAGATGCTTCCCAGGGTGAGCCTCTGAGATTGAGCAGAGACACTTCACGTGAACTTTTCCAGAAACACTACGTGGTCCTACAATCCTCGTTTGCTCGGCGACAAACGAAAAATAGAGGAGAGCTTGGCAGAAACCGCGAGACAAGTAGAAAGAGAGAAGGCGAAGTCAATGGGAAGACTGATGAACATTCTGGAGAAAGAGTGAATCCCCGCCATCTACGTTCCCTTCCAATTCTTGCCAATCTTTCCAAATCGCACCATAAATCATTTGAGAAAGTGCTCACCGGCCACTGATACGGCGCGAGTTTTGTTAATCTGCGGCGAATGAAATATCGGGTCGGCGGCCGGCGGATGATACCTCGTTTTTTGTGCCTCACACCTTCGCGGCGGCAGCAACAACCGTCTCGTTCTCGTCCGCAAACACTTAATTGTGCTCAATTATTTCGGGTGGTGCCTCCTCTTTTCTCGTTTTTCCCGGAGAGTTGAGGGAGCACACACAAAACACGCCGGCCGTCCTCCGACTGACCGCCGCCCCGACACCACTTTTTTATCCGATCCCCTCCTTCTTCGAAATGTCATTTTATATCCGCGAACTCGCCGCCGGAAAGTGTCTCGAAATTTCGAACACTTTCCGCCGCCGCCGCCGAATTCGGCATCTTTTCGATCCTTGTGACCTTTTCTTGTCTATGTGAATCTTCTCTATTCGTTTCAACTATATCCACGAAACTTCTGAACGAATGTTCTTTGTTCTTTTCCAAAATGACCACTGTTACCGTAAATGCCACGTGAATGATAATTGGTGTCGCTTTCTCATTTCGTCCCATTACTGTAATAAAACGTTTCCCCTGAAATGCGAATCTTCTAAGCAGACATTTGTTTCCTTTCGCTTGCAAATTCGTGAACACATTTCTGTTTTTTGGCCGTTTCTGTGTACTCTCTTCCTCAAGTACGTGCATCGGATTACAAAGATTTCGGTAAACTGTTCAAAGTCTCAAATCTAGTGGAATTGATGCTATTGACCCCGTAAACTGCAATTCATGCAGAAAAAAGTGTTGGTCGGGACGAATCGGAGAGGGTGACAGAGAAGAAGGGGCGGGGGATACTGTAGGCGGTGTTCGGTGTTCTGATCAGTGATTAATTAGATGGGACTAGTTGAGAGCATGAACACTTTTTGATATCTGAAAAAAAGTTGTATTGCACCCCACGCGTGTCATTCTCATGGATTATTACAACCTGTCTGGAGTGAAACAGATCCCGATCTTCCCGTTATTCTACGAATCTTCCGCTCTTTTTGCTCGAGTGCCCCTGCAACTTGTCATCTTTTCTGCCGTCCTCCAGTCCGTGCATCCGGTCCGTCCGTCGCATAATTCGTCGGCGGAGCCACCCTCTTAAGATGACCTCCGTTGATGAGTTGCCGCCGCGCCGCCATCCGCGAGAGCGCCTCTTTAGACTCTCAAGTTTTTGATCATGTTTTCCGCGCGTGTTTACATTAATCCGCGTCTCTTTCGCCGCCTCTGAGACCGACCCACATACATTTCGCCGTTTTTTCGACAGAACATCATGTCTGGTACTGTTACGGGCGGCACCGTCGCTCCCTTAGCAGCCGTTCCCAAAGAAAATGGCTCGAAGAGCAAGAGGAGACGCTATTTCGCCAACGGAAGGAGTCGGACGATCGAACTGTCGACGTTGGCGGAGATTGATGAGGAAGAGTTTGCCAAAGCTGGTGAGTCCGATTGAAATGCAATGATTCTGTGAACTGACACTTTTCAGAAGGCGCTTCTTCGCAACCGGAAGGTGCTGAAAGAGTGCTGAAAACGCAAGATGATATGTGCATTGGCACCACGGGCGGTACTTACAAGTCCCTGAAAAGAGGGTCCGTGAAGGCACAGGCGCTGAAACTGAGCGAGAGACTTGCACAAAAAGGTTTGTTCCGTCTCCCATGACACCAACGAAACAAGAACGTTTCAGTGGCTTCTGAAAATGCAGCAAAAGAAAGAGAAGAGAAAAGTGAGATGGAGAAGCAGAGCTGCTCGAAACCGGTCGTTGTGGATGTGAAACTGAGGCGGAATCTGACAGAAGTGCGGAGAAATTTTGAGGTATGCATCATCATTGCCCGAAGTAGCGTGGCAAACTGCAAGACCACCAAGTGTTTATGGGCCGCCCATCCCCTCTAATAGTACATAAGTGGATGTGATAAAAGGCAATGAGGTGTGCATTCGGGTTCAGTGTTGTTTGCTTCGTCCTTCCTCACGCCACTGTCTCCCTCCGCCGATGACAGTTCCCATTGTTGGTCTAAGCTCCCGCTCTTCTTCAGTCCTCCCTATTGATTGTCGTTTTTGCCGCTGATATGGCATCCACTTATTCGTATGCTGAATTCAACAAAATATTCAACGAAACTGTTCCTAAACCCGAGAATTTACCAGTTGTGGTAAGGGGCTGCCTATCTTCCGACTAATTTTTTCCTCAAAGACAGTTTTGTTGAGTTTATAGACCACAACCGACTTCACAACTCCTCAGGATTGGCCACAACAACAGCATGAGTACCAACAGAACATTCATATGCAAAGGTAATCATTTCAGGAAGTTAATCTTACTTGTGAGTTGGTTGCAGACATCCCATTTCTCGATCCGCATCGTTTGTCACCCCTGCGCCCATGATCGTCTACGGAATGCCTCCACAGCCCGGAGAGCGCATGTCAATGATCGACAGTCGGTGTGACAGTAGGATCGGAGAGTACGCGATGCCCCTCTACTACATGCCTGCTCCGCCACCTCCACAGCCCGTTTTTCTTCCGTACGCTGCTTCCAAGATGGGAATGAGTCACTTCGATCAGCCGAGTATGGTGATGATTCCTGGCCATCCGGCCCTTCAGTATCCGGAAATGCGACGGAAAATGAAATCGTCGGGCAGTGACCATCGCCGAAAGAGTTGGTGTTCGAGGATTTGCTGTGCTGGATTTGCTCAGTTGCTCTGGACCATCGTGTGCATAATCTCATTCGGAATCATTGCTTCATTAATTCTGGCTTTGTGTTACATGTAGTCAATCTTGTTCACTGTTGGTTTTTGTAAATACTTTTGAACAACAACAACAAAAAATCAAACATTCCGGCGAGACAATAAATATACTTATTCATTTATCAAATGCGCTTGTTAAAGAGAAGAATGACGATGAGTTGGCACAGAAGGAAGAAGAGTTCGATGAACGAAACAATCGAAACGCCGATGAGTATACTGAGGATTCCACCGAGATACGACATGAACTTGGTGAGCTAAAGTGATCCGATTGGTCTTTTCATTCAAATGTTGACTCACATCCATTGTCGGCGCTTCTTGATATATCATGTAGTCAAGCTTCGGAAGGGCGATCCGCAGAGCAACAGAGTCAAAGTACTTTTCGTAGCATGCCGTCTTGTTAGCGTTTTTTTGCTCACATTCTGTTATCTGAAAGTCGTCTTATACCTGAGACCTTATCTAGAATGACAGACCTGTGCTACGTAGGGAGCTCTCGTCAGTTTTGAAGTATAAACCGTTTGAGAACAGGGAAGAGGGCAACTGCATTGCGGCCACGTGGAAGGATCGCCTTTCGAGTCGACTAGGTCATCTATGCAGGTTTCTAAAGGAAACATTTTGTTCCGTGAGAAAATAAAAGGAAAAAACTTTGAGAAATGTTGCACGAAACGGCATCGGACGGCATCGGGTATCTCGGATCCATGCATTCGCAAGTCTCCTCGACCACGTCTTGATAGCAAGATCGGAGACATCCCTAGCAACAAAATGAATGTATATATGCTCAATTCATAGTAACTTACATCCGTCGTGTAATCTCCTTCATAATAATAGGATCCGACTTCACTGATCGAGTTTACACATTTGCCGTACTTTCCTCCAAGGCGATAGTAATCCTTCTGAAATCATGAAGAACTAATAAGAGAACAATTACCTTGTTTCTCAATACTCTGTCAATTGCAATTCTAGATTCATAGTGAGGAGCAGTGTTGATTCTGACGGATTCTGAAGTCACGACTTCTTTCTTTGTCGACGTGAACACCATGACCGCGGCAGTTTCCGTCCACGGCAGGTACTCGTCCTGCTTCACATTCATTTGCATTTCCAATCCTCCCTGATATCCCGGCGCTCTTGCTGTGTATATAAATGAAGAGTTCATATGATTGAATGTGAAACAGTTTCCGAGCACTTTATCATTCCATTGCACAAAGTTCGAACTGAAAAGAAGATCAGTGTAGTGTTGACCACGAGAGCTCACTTCAAATCTATCAATTGCTGCTCGTACGCCACCCAGAGAAACATGTCGGCCGCCGTCCACGAGAGACTGGTTCTTTCTTCCAGACTGTATCCGCCAATCAGAAAAGGAATGATGTCACGCACGAGAGTGGGATCGTTTGTAAGTTCAGTTGCCATCTCAAACATTACCCATTTGAATGAACTATTCTGGGAGCGTACCTCATCTAACTGATCTGCGGGAATGTCACCATATGTCGCATTCAGAATCTCATATATTATTTTATCTACAATACACATTCCCGACAACGTTTAGGCTTCAGTCTTACTGAATAGACACGAGCTGCCAAACATATCCTCACTGCAAACGCAGTAATAACTTCCATTTGTATTGACACACGTGGCACCCGAATCTTTCGTCTTGCACAGAGTCGAATCTTCGGCGCATTCGTCGACATCTGAACCTTCTTGTGCAGAAACGAATAAGATTGAATTAGTCACCTGTGGTGCAGTTGATGCCTGTCCACTGATCAGGACAAGTACAGTTATAACTGTTCGGTGGGCCGATTATGTCTTCACATTCTCCATCGTTCTGGCACGGCGCCTCGTCACAGTACAACCTTTCTGTAAACTATTATAAGTGAGCACATACAAAAAACTTTACCCTCTTCACAGAGTGTTCCTTTCCAATCAGAAGTACACTGACAAGTGAAAGTACTGTCGAGCAGGTCGTAGTCCGGAATGCACGTTCCTCCATTTTCACATTTGTTTATGTAACATGGGTTGAAAGCTGAAATGTTGAATAGATTGCTGGCGAGTGCCTGAGAAACGCACTTTCACAAGTAGTGTTCATGTACAGATTCAGACAGGCGCAAGTGAACGATCCGTTTCCCAAGTCGGTGCAAGTTCCTCCGTAAAGGCAAGGTTTCGACGCACAAGGATCACCGACTGTAACATCAATGTCGATTTTAAAACTCGCGTTAGCAGTTACCACAAGCAACCGTTTGGTTCGTGCTGGTACACAGACAATAATAACCGATCTGATCATCAGTCACTCCGCATGTTCCTACTCCACAATCAACCGAATCGCAGGGAGTGAGAGTGGCATCCGATTGGCAGGAAGAGCCCGTTTTCAAGGGGTTACAGAGACAAGAATAAGCAGTCGCAGAAGTCTGAATGCACTTTCCATCTCCAGCGGCGTCCCCACAAGGTCCAGAAGTGCAGAGGTCATTCAGAGAGTACACGGAAGCCGCCCCGGAGCTCATAGAGGCATAGGCGCACGTGTTGAGGAGAGCAGCCAGAAGGGCGGCAACTGACAGAGACACTTTGAAAATTTGAGGAAAGAAGGAAACTCACGCAGTCCGGTATTCGGCGTGTCCGTCAGTGTATTGGATGTGGAGAACAGACACTCTCCTTCGGTTCCACTCATAGCTGCAATCACAATTGGAAGTGACATAGGGGGTGATTCTCACTCGAATAATCATAAGTTGAAGTTGGGTTAGCCTTCCGATAGGCAACTAATGCATCGATGCAGTCTGTTCCCGTGGTGATCGTACTCGAGTAAACGTAATAATCAGAGAAGGAAGCCGAAGAGTCATCGAAGCAGCCGACGTAGGTGGTCTGAATGCTTCTCGCCGTCTGGCACGTGGCTCCATAATACTCGAAAGGACATTGACAGTACGGAGTTGTTTCGCTGAAAATCAGAGTGCAGGTGCCGCCGTTGGAGCAGTAGCCAGAGCACGGATCTCCAGAATCTGAACGATTGAAATTGAAATGGTCTAGCTTTGTGTGTACATTGGCATTGTTCGCCGTAGTATCCAGAAGAACAGGCGCACGTGTAGGTGGTCCCGGAAGATGAGCATACTCCGTTCTGCAAGCACGGCTGAGGGGAACAAGGATCACTCATCACTGCAATCTTGTTTGCTTGCCTCTTCTCTCGCCTCACTTGCCACACTCACGCATGGTGCAATCAGTTCCCGTGTACCCGGCAGCACATGTACATGTTGGAATGTCGTCGACCATATTGCATTGCTGATTAGCAATTGTGCATGGGCTCGGCGAGCAACTTGTTGGGCCCTCGCAAGTTGTGTCGGAAGTCTGAGTGGATTCATCGGAGCAAGTGCATCCGGAGCACGTGGTGGCAGAAGTACGGTTCGCCGGATAGCAATAGCCATGGGCTCCACAATCGTACGGAGTGTCCGTCTGCGAATGATTGGGACAATTCACATTTTAGATGAGGTTGTTTACCTGTGATGAAGTAAATGGAAAATACAAAAAAAGGAGAAAAAAGAACATTTTGTTCTCGGAGTGAAACTCATTTACTATTGACCGCATTGAAAACAATGGGAAATCCGAGAAAGGTCAGGTTACAACATTTATAATTTATGGGGAAAGCATTAAAGTTTACAAACATATTATTTTTGTACATGAGATCGATTTTCATTCGATTATTCCTCTTTCACCGATACTGAACTTCGTGTTGATGAGTCCGACGAAGAAGAGTTCTGGAAGAATCGATTGAATTAAGACCCAAGACGTGCATTCTCACTCTGTTCTCTTCAAATCGTTTTCTATGAAGTACGCTGGCTGCATAGAGCATTGACGCGATTTTGTCTCTGTGGCTGTCTTGCTGAAAATGACGCATAGATCTTTGTTTGCCTTCTCCCTTCACTCACTTCTTCCTGATCCGAGTGGCCCTGGGATCCGTGGCCGTGTCCATGACCGTGTCCTCCGTGAGAGCTCGTGTGTATCCTCGGTTCTCCAAGTTGGAAATATCCCATATTGAGGTATCTCTGCAGAAATTCCAGATAGCATCCGGAGACGGTGAAAGCAAAGAGGTAGTCTGCAGGGAAGAGAGTCTGAGTGAAGATCATGCAGATGAGTGTTGTGCTCGAGAATCTGAATAAAATGAAAGGGCGTCAAATGACCGCGAGAGCTCGTGACATACTGGAACGTTTCGTCAGTCAACTGGTACTTGATCAGTGAAGTCTCAAAGAAAGTGACGCCGAAGTGGATCCAAGCGAGCAGAAGGCCTCCGAAGCAGGCCAGCGGCAGGAACCGTTTCGTCGCTTTGCAGTCTTCATCCGAAAGAGCCAGAAGACGTCGGACGGCGAAGTATTGCAGCCATTGGGTTAGCTGAACTTGCATGGTTTCCCCTCTATTCATCATTTCCCATTCCTCACTTGAAGCATCACAAGATTCGCATTTTGAATGATTGCATCCGAAAGAATGATGAATCCGTCGACCCTCTGATATTCAATTTCGATGGATTGCAAGATCTACAACGAATTCCAGTTTAAAGTTCGGAGCAAAAGACCGACGTTATCAAACGAATCACGTAGCCATTAAAGTCCGGGTATACACCCATTTACAAAGATCGAATTGTCAACAGAATCCAAAAAATCACACCTATAAACCCGCAGGCACAAAAAAGATAACGGAGAGGTCTGTCCATCAAAAACGTTTGAGGTGTTTGGCACTCACTAGCTTAATGAGAAGAACGAAACAACATCCGAACAGAATGGTGATGTCCCCTCGAGCATGCGCTTTGTGGTGGGCATCCAGCCGTTCGTTGGGCACTGTCAAGGAGAACGCGTACAACTGAAAAGAGGTATTGTCCGAGCAAAGTACACGGAAGGCCGTTCATAGCATAGTGGAGTGCGGAAGTCGGGAGACGTCGGCTGCTCGAAAAGCTAACATTTATAAGCGCCGTGCAATCCAGCTTCCTCCGTCCGGTCCGGATCGGCAGGGCTGCCCAAGTGTGTGTGTGTGTGTGTTTTCTTTCGGGACTTCGGTTCCAACCCCTCTTATGGCCCTGCGATCACTTTGACCGTACATTTTTGCACTTACAGCGGCGAAAAAGAAAACTTGCAGAATGTTGGCGGCCAAATTAATGTAATCGTTGGTCATATAATGCTCCTCGACCAGGTGATCGAAATCTAAATAATCTCGATCATTGCTTCCCGTTTTGGGGTAATTACCTATAGTGTAGTAAAAATAGAAAAGCCATTTGAGAGTGGACAGTACCATGACGAGTGGGGTGATAAGAAGGAAGAAAGCGACGAGCACTTTGCTGATATGTAATTGCTTATTTTCGAGTGCGGGATGTTCCACGTAGACTCGCGAGACGTCCTTCATGAACTCACGGAGCATTCCACGAACTCCTTCTTTCCTCTGAACCTCTTCAAATGACCAGAAAATCAAGAATCAAAAACATACTTTCATCCGTTTTTCTATGTTTTCTGCACGTTCTTCAGCTCCTCCACAAGCCAACCAATGAGTTACCAGAAGAATGGGGAAGAATTCAGAAGCACACGAAATGATCGAGGAGGACAAGAGTCCCTTGTTGATGTAATACCACATCTTCTGAGTTCCGTGCAGTTCTGTGGCGGGACTGCACTCGTAATGCCTCTTGATCACGGGACACCAGTAGCCTTCCAACTCTTTTCGTTGGCACAATTCCTGCAGAAACGAGAGAAGAATGATTTCAGAAAAGGGTTTTGAATACTTGATGGCTGAGGTATCCTTTGTAAATGACTACTTTCATCCAAACGACAGTGAAAGTGATGTTTATGAAAAGCCTTCCGACTTTATCCAAATTCGAACTGATCGCTCCGTAATATCGTCGATGAAGGATGTAAACGAGAGATAAACCGGAGAACGAAGCCATCAGAATATCGTAGATGGATTCAATGTACAGTTCGGATGGATAAAGAGCGTCGACGAGTTTGTCGCAGCTCTGAAAGGCGTAGTCGAACACGATGAAGTAGAGATAGCCGAGCATGATGCCGAGAGTCAGAGCGACCGCTCCGATGAGTGCGGGGTCCGGGATCACGTGCGGTTCGTCGAGTTTCGGAAGTTTCCGCGTTCGGAATAGGAATTCGATCTGAATGACTCCGCAACAAAGCATAAGAATAGCGACGATCTGATTGAGGGCTGATTCAGGTTACGGTAGATTACTTGCAGACATACCAGATGATAAATTCTAAGATAGTAGATGGTGTCTTCTCGACTAAGAAGCACATAGAAATTCATGAAAACGCACAGAATGAATATCACATAGAGGGTTATGGTACAGAAGTAATGAATCTGAAACGAAATGACGTGGCGACTTCTGGCAACAGTAACCTACATGTTTGCCCCATTTCTGAACTTGCATGGTATTTTTCGGGTTCAAATATCGGTAACGAAAAAGCCGGAATTCGGTAGGTGAGTATAAAAATGGAAAGAATGATAATGGATGGCTGCCGCTGCTGGCACAGTCTCCGAGTAATTATGGGCCGCACTATCGGTGGAGACATTAAATTTTTTATAGGTTTTCTCTTACTGTGGTTGCATGATGATGATGTCTCCAAACGAGCAACCCCTCTCGCATTTTTTGATCTTGTCTTTTACGAGAGAGGAGAAGCACATCAGGAACTGGGTCATCATGACACCTGCAACAGAAAAACTGTGACTTTTCACGCCTTTCGAAGGGTGTGAAGTTATGGTCGACATCAGGCGCACTTTGAGTCACACAATACAAACAAATAGCTGGGGGGAGCGAGGCATTACCTTAGTTTAGTGCTTTTCAAAACATTATGACGACACTTATTGTATCTTGTAGTTTTTCTTATAGTACTAAAAGTCAGAAGACTTTTCATGAAAAAATGTATGTTTAGGTAATCTATGAACTCCACAGGAATCATGAACTTCAGATGAACACGTCTTACTAAAGCTACACTTTCAAGAACTGTTTCAGTCTGCAGATGACGTCACCCATCGAATGATTCATCCATTACGCCGATCTTGTTTCAAGTGTTACAATATCTCGCTGATCTCCCCGTCTCCTCGCATCGATCGATATTTCTTCCCTGAATGGATGAACCTGCGCTTCTCCCTCCGACCCGCTTTCTCCACTTCCTAATGTAGGCCAATCTTCATAGAGACAGCCAAGTTTGCGCAGAGAAGCCGGACGACGGCAAAATATGTTACCAATTCGAACTCTCCTTCTTCAGTTTTGTTTATTACTTCAACTGGCTGATATTGTCTACTGCCAACTGTTTACTCCGTGTGTTGGTAATTGGGAAAACTTGTTTGGAAATGTGTTCGTGATCATATTGCAGGTAAATCCGCTCTCGGAGAAGTGTGCGATGTGAACAACGACTGCGATAATAAAGGTTCCATTTGTCTGCGAGGGAAGTGCAGGTAACAACAGTTCTGATAAGTAACGTTTCAAAGTATCAGTTCAGATGCCATCCACATTACTTAGAAACTCACGATGAGAAAGGACGTCATCTGAAATGCGCACCGCGTTAGTTTCACATTTTACCCATTCTTTTGAACAACTTGAAGTATTTCAGTACCTGCAAAAGTGGGAGCTCAGTGCTCGACTAAGTGCCGTGAGCCATTGTTCTGCCGAAACGGAGAATGCCAGTGCGTTCAGAGAGGAACGACGCGGATATCGAACGGAGAATGCGTGACGACATCTCGAGTCGGAGATCGGTGCTCTCGGCATTACGATTGCACTTCTCCGTTTTCTGCATGCTTGAACTCGCAATGTGTCTGCATTTCCGGCACAATCCAGCAGGTGGATGAGTTCCTTCGAAACCATTATTCCTAACCCATTTCTCTCAGGGTACTCGCTGCGTGGCTGCTGCCAACTGTCCCCTCGGCGGTCTTCCGGGACAGAGCTGTGTCCGTCGGACTGAGCCTTCGCTCGCCTTCAATCTCCCACCGGATCAGGACAATTGCCCATCCGGCCAGATATGTGTGACTGCAGCTGACAGTCAAGTCGGTTAGTATTTCTTCATCCAAATTGTCATCTCAAAGAGCTTTTTTCAGGTCACTGTTGCCCAGTTGTGTGCCCACTCGCAAGCCACGTAGATGTGAAGTACTCCTGTGATCCAGACGCAGCCACGGCTCTCAAGTGCCCATCGGACTCTCATTTCTGTCATTTACTCTCTGGTTTGTGTATAGTTGAAGGAAATGATTATATCAAATACTTTCTGCAGACGGAAGTTTCTCGCAAGCCGTCTGCTGTCGTCGCCCGTGCAACGCGATGGCTCCAAACGCTCTGTACGCGAACAATCAGTGTATTCCACGTGGACAGCTCAATTCGGTATGCACTTCGAATGCTCAGTGCGGAGGAGGAGAGGGAATGGAATGCGTGAAAGGACAGTGCCAATGCCAACAGAACTTCCATCCGGCGGTTGACGCACTCACTCATCCGTTGAAGAATCCGTCTCAGACGTGCTCGCGAGACTGTGAGAGTGAAAATCTGTCAAGAGACACCAGCTGTATGAAGGTACACAACCACTTTTTTTTTTCGAATAACTCTACCGTTTCAGAGTGTTCCCCTTGGCTCGCTTTGTTTCATTCAGAAGCAATGCCCCCAGAACTCCGGCTGCTGGAGAGGTCGCTGCATGTGCCGATGTGGATTCGGAGCGAAGAACGGAAAGTGCGTGGCTCTTCCGCCTCCTCCAACCACCACTGCTGCTCCAGAACGTTGGTTATTCTTAATGAATTCTGAATTAATCTCATGCTTTTCAGCCAATATAATCCCGGGAGTTCCACTCAATCCAGGAAACGACCTTTTCAAGCTTTTCGGTCAATTCTTAGGCGGTGCAAACGGCGGAGGAGGTCTCAATTTCGGATAACCTTTTAGAAATCTCATTGTTTTTCTTTTTCATACTACGAGGTATTTGTTTTTGTATAAAGGTTTCGAATCGTTTGTCAACAACTTCCAAATGAAGAATTCTTCTCTCTTCTCCGCCAGTCCGCAAATGTTTTTCGATTCCGTTTCTGCTAGTCTCCTCTCCGTTTTATCTGTGTCCTGTGTCCAAACTTCCTGCTAACCGCCAAACCATTTCGGCGATCAACTGACTCTCGAATGAAGAGACATTCCGGGCGAGTTGGAAGCGCAGAGAAACAAGATGTTTTGATTGGACGAAGACGGCAAGGCCGTTCGGGAAAAACGTAACGGAAAATGAAGCAACCGGTTCGGTCAGGAGACGCAGAATTCAGTTTTCGGTCAGGTAAAGAGAAGAGGCACGTCCTTCGGTACGCCCCGATTTCGGCATATAAAAAGAGTGTTGAGGTCAGTCCTTCAGTCGACAGCGATGTCTGCTTCAATCACGTTTGCCACTGGGGCGGCGGTGCTCTCCGGAGTGACCGTTCTCGCCTGCATCTTCGTTTCGTTCCAAGTCCTCAATGACGTCAACTCGTTGTACGATGATATCATGACTGATATGGACGCATTCAAGGTAAGCAGATAGATGCGAATAACAATAACAAGCTAGTATAATCTCCAGGTGAAATCCAATGTCGCATGGGAGGCTCTGAATGAGGTCATCGCGCCAAAGTCTGCTGAGAATCCATTCTTGTTCGCTCGTCAAAAGAGAGGATACGCTCAGTACGGAGGAGGTGCCGTCGGAGGAGGATACGGAGGAAATGGGGGCGGATACGGAAGTGGAGCCGGAGTTGGAGGTGGATACGGAGGAGGACACGGATTCGGCGGAGGAGTCGGAGGAGTCGGAGGAGGTTATGGTGGCGGAGCTGCCGCTGGCGGATGCCAGTGCTCTCCAAACTCAAACACGTGCCCACCAGGACCACGTGGACCACCAGGACAGGTCGGACTTGACGGACTTCCAGGAGCACCAGGACAGCCAGGAGCTGCAGGAGGAAGCGGAGCATCTGCTCCTTCCGAATCGGGACCAGGAGGATGCAAGGTGTGCCCAGCCGGACCACCAGGACCACCAGGACCAGCTGGACAAGCTGGTAGACCAGGAAACGATGGACAGCCAGGAGCCCCATCTTTCGGAGGAGGTGTCGGCGCACCAGGAGCCCCAGGAGCACCAGGAGACAACGGAGAACCAGGACAGGCAGGAGCTCCAGGAGCCCCTGGAGCCCCAGGAAAGAATGCTCAGGGAGGATCCCCGATCCCAGGACCACCAGGACCACCAGGACCACAAGGACCACCAGGAAACAACGGAGCTCCAGGAGGAGGATACGGAGTCGGCCCACCAGGACCACCAGGACCATCTGGACGTCCAGGAGCCCCAGGACAAGCTGGACCAGACGGACAGCCAGGAGCACCAGGAAACGATGGACAGCCAGGAACCGACGCCGCTTACTGCCCATGCCCAGGACGTGCCGGTGCCAGCCACCCACCAGCTGGAGCCGGAGGATACGGAGCTGCCGCTGCCGCCAACCACGTTTCCGGATATTCCCGTCGCAAGGTCGCTCGTTCCCGTGCCGTTCTTGCCAAGAAGCGTGTGGCTGTCCACCGTCAGGTCCTTGCCAACCGTCATGTTCAAGCCTAAATTCTTTGAAACCAATAAACAGTTATCAACCAGATTCCCAAATAATATAGTTCATTGTGACAAATAAGAGTGAAAGTATCAATGTGATCGCTTATTCGGTGTACTTTGTAGCTGGCCAGTTCGCCGAAATGTACTCTTTCAGCTCCGGCAAGTTGCGCATTCGCAAGTAATACTCGCGGATCTGCGGCAAGTCGTCGTAGATTCCCTCCTCAGCCTTCAATTAGATTACTTGTTTACCCTAGGGAACGCGGTTTATTGTCACCTCGTCGAGCGACTGAAGGATCCCGAGGATGTAGACGTCGCACCAATGGATGGACTTTCCGACGAAGTAGTCGCCCTTACTCTTCTTCAGAAGATCTTGCATGATCTCTAGTTTTGGCCCGATTGTCTTTTTGTAGTTTTCCATTAACACTTCCTGCAAGTTGTTCGTTCACTTCCCATCGTGGTCTTGTTTGTCACGAACCTTGATTTTCTCGTCCGCATACTTGGCCATGGCGGCCATGTTGAACAGATCGGCGAATCCGTCAGCCATCATGTCCACCTTGGCGGAATCCGTCTTTGTGGCTCCACCGAACCATCTCTCCGGCTGAATGGACTTGGCCAAGTAGCGGCAGATGGAGACCGTCTGCGCGAGAGTCGTCTTGCCTCCGTCGATCTCCAGGAAAGGGATCTGCTTCATTGGAGCCTCTGAATCGGTCCGTACTGTGTCTGCGTTTCTCTTGTTCACTCACTGTCTTTCATGGCTCCGGTGAAGTCGGCCATCTCCATGCGATAATCCTCAAAGTCCACTCCGAGGAAACTGAATAGGTCACTCAAAATGGATAAACGCGTTAGTGAACCTACTGGAAGACGAGTCTAATTGGCTCCGCACGTCCGCGCGCATTGACGTAGTAGAGTTTGTATCTGTGCTTTTGTTCGTGCGACATTTCGATGACGATGAGAAGAAAACGAGCTGGAAAGGGGAAAATAGACAACAAGCTAAAATCAGAAACACGTTTTTTGAGCGGCGTAGCAGAAAAGAGCGCTGCGGATGAAAGATAAATGAGAAAAGGGAGGAGATTTATCGAGATGCATTTGGCGGCAGCCAGAGGGATGACAAGCATATGAAAATTAGGGCAAAAGGAGTGAGCAAGCACCAAACACCGAGAGTCGTTGAGCCAAAGTGAAGAACAGACTACGAGCAATAGTTTTTTCCGGTGTCTGCGTCCGTTTCGGCTGTTTGGTTCCTTGCGAAATGCACGAAAAAGTGTAGGAAACGAATGTGAAACACACGTTTCCCCTCTCAAAAAGTCGATGGCAGCAGGCTGTGAGCTGCGTGTCCGGCCGAACCTAGTATAGCGCGCAGAAAACAAAAGGAGACGGCTCTCAAAAGTGGCGTCGTCGTCGTCGTCGTGGCAATGAAGGCGGAGCAGAGCCCGCGGAGCCCGTCGCGGTGAGCACGAGGGTGCCCAGTTGGCGGAGCACGACGATGACGATTGACGAGTGGCGAGGGACTGGCGCGACTTGGACTTTGATCGGGTACGTTTATTATTCATCGAGTAATAATGAAAGAGAGACGGAAATGTAATGAAAAACGGATTAGAAAGTCGAGCAGGAGGGAAGAATAGAGGGAGTTAGAACACGGTTCCGGAGCTGGTCCCTTGCGTGCGAGTCGTCAGTTTTGCGTCCGGGCCGACGACGCTGAGGATCGGGCGGCTGATGGCGGTGGTCCGGTTGGTTCCGATGCGGGCTTTGTCACGGATGACACGTGGCACGATGAGGTCGATGACTCCACGACGGACAGTTCTGTTCATGGTGATGTAGACGATGCAAACCGATCCTGAAATAACTTTGGTTTCTTAGTACCTCCTTCCGTTTCTGTGATTTGTGTAAACTAATTCGAAATTGGATTCGTGCGCGACTGCAAATCAAAAATGATGACAAATTCAAGCAGAATGAGAACATGAATAAGTGTAGTGTGTTCCCAAGCAACACGTCTGTTTTCTTGCTCACCGTGAGCACACTGCCACGCAAGTTGGCCGATGAGAACGACGGTTGGGGGCGAATAAAAGAACTGCATGTAGACGTAAATGTAGGCGGCGACGGCATTGAACGAGCAGATGAGGACCGATTGGAAGAAGATCTGAGGAAGAAGGAAGATGGAAAAGGAGGCAAGATTCATACCTGAGTTTGAGTTTTGGATAAAGATTCCGAACGAAAATGACGGCTTTTAGCAAAGAGAAGGACACAGAGATAACCGTAAATGACGGTGGTGGCTCCCGAAACGATGCAATTGTTGGCAGTGTGGGCGATATTTATGTAGTCACCCGCCTAAAGCATTTGAATGCACGGATTTGCTCGGGTGGTTTCACTGAACCTCATGGCCTGGGATAAACGGATTGAAGAACCAGCTCATGTAGTTGGAGTTGAAGAGAATCGGTTTTGTGAAAAAGACCGAATAGATTGTATAAATGACAGGGAGAGCCATTGTGAAGTACATCTTACGACCGATAAAAATGGCGCGGATTCTCAAGTGCTGATTGACATCGCAGCACCGATTGATACCGAGAAGAATGCAAGTTGCACAAGAGCCCATCCAACAACCTGTCATCCAAATTAAACATCCAGAGAAGAATAAGGCGCATACCACAGCCAAGAGAGCCCAAGAAGAAGATGAAAGTGGGGTACGAGCAGAACGTGGCGCCAACGATTCCGAGATATCCTGTCACGATCGAGTTGGTCACGACGCAGCAGATGTCGAGAACTCCCAAACAAACCATGATTTTGTAGCAGGAGGACTTCATCAAATCACTTCTCAATATCACATACAGACACGGCATGTAGATGACCTGAATGTTCCATTAAAAGAGCCGAGTGCCACAGAGCTCACCATGAGAGTGATTCCAACCGTAAGGAAGTAAGCGCCGATGTACGGTCGGGGAGTTCCCAGTTCGAAGCCATTCACTCCGGTACAGTTGTAGAAGTGAGGATGGATGCGGAATCCATTTCGGAAGACGTAGTTGAGGCTCTGCTCAAAATCGCTCGTCAGAAGATCCATTAGGAGCGTGACGGTTGCTCGGCGAGTCCTCCCTTTTAAAGAGATGGTAATCCGCTTCGTAGTACTCGCCTACCGTAATCCAGTTCTCTGTTTTTCCACTATTTTTTCACGCAATCCTGTGCTTCTTCTAAATTCCATTCATCCGTAATCTCGTAGTAGTGATCGGATTAGACTTTCGCGTAGTATGACTAGAAATTGAATGGGCATCTTACAAAAACGGATCAAGTTGATTCATTAATGAGCATTGAACAAGAACGAAATCCGAAGATTTCACAAGCACAGTCATCGCAATAACAATTGAAAGATCATTTATCCGAGTTCAAAAGCAAGAGCTAGAAAAGCGATCCGTTGCTGTTAGTCGTAGCTATCTTCAGCACTTCCGTTCCTACCAGACTCAGGACCGGCCGGGTGGTCGTCACTGTCGTGCTCACTCCACGAAGCTTCTGTGGGACCATCAGTTTGATGACTCTCCGACGAACCGACTTGTTGAACGTGATATACACGACGCACACCGAGGCTGTAATCTTACATCCGTGTACGTTGAATGTTAAATCTTGAGCACGTACCATGTGCCCACTGCCACGCAACCTGGCCAATCAGAATGACTGCGGGTGGAGAGTAGAAGAATTGCATGTAGACGTAAATGTAGGCAGCCACGGCGTTGCAAGAGCAGATCAGCACGGACTGGATGAAGATCTGAAAGACTTGGATCATAAGAATCTTCTTGAAGTTAAGATCCTACCTGTTTCTGAGTTTTCGAAATGGCTTCTGATTGTGCGTGTCGACCCTTCCAATAAATTAGGACGGTGAGGTATCCGTAGAAACAAGTGGCACATATGGAAACGCAGCAGTTGTTGATTGCGTGGGGCAAGTTTACATAAAGTTCACTCTGAAGAAAAGGAGAGAGAGAGAGATGTTGAATTCAACAATATTGCTTACGTCAAGGCCCAGAAATGGATTGAAGAACCAGCTCATGTACTTTGAATTGAACAGTAGCGGTTTGGTGAAGAAAACGGCGTACACAGTGTAGAAAATAGGGACGAGCATGGTGAAATAGACATTCCGGCCAATGAAAATGTTTCGAAATGGGAGATTGTGGTTGATGTCACTGCAGCGATTGATGGCGAGAAGAATGCACGCAGAGCAAGATCCCATCCAGCACCCGCAACCGATTGCTCCCGAAAAGAAAATGAATCTGGGGTACGAGCAGAACGTGGCTCCGACGAATCCGAGGAATCCGGTGATCACCGAGTTGACGGTCAGGCAGGAAATGTCCATTAGACCCAGATAGAGCATTATTTTATAGCATGAAGATTTCATAAGATCACTTCTGGCGATGGCAAAAAGGCAAGGCAGGTAGACAGTCAGAACAAGAACCCCGACAACCATAAAGAAGACTCCGAGGTACGGTCTCTTTTCTCCAATGGCATATGGATCTTCTATTAAAGAACAGTCATAGTAGAGTGGATGGGGTTGGAAGCCGTTTCGCAAGTAGAAATTGAGGCTGGTATCGAGATCGTTCGACATGAATTTCTCGATTTTTCCCATCTTTCAAAGCAATATGAAAATGATAGTATAAAGAGAGGAAGCGCTCGAAAAAAGGATTTTATATATCGCCTTCGAAATATTTTCTATTCTGGATTACCATTGTTCAGTGAGTACGTCAATCGAAAACAAGTTGAATGAAAAGATTTACGTTCCGACGTGAAAGCCAAGATTAAAGTGATGATATCGGATACCTTGTCGAGAGTTCCAGCTACCATCATATTGAAGCCGTCGACTGGCGGACGGAGAGAATCTGAAAAAATGGAGGGCGGAGAAGTATTCTCCGTTCTGTCCAACTAACCGCCTTTCCTTCGAGCACGCGTCTTGGTATCCGCGGCGCCTTTGCGCAGAAGAGCGAAATGTTCGTCGATACGCTGAAAATTTGCGCTTTGTATTGCGAAGACAGCAGATAGTTATTCGTTTTTACGAATTCAAGCAGGAACAGAGACTATAGTCAAGAAAAAAAGAGAGAACGACTTGAAAACTAGTGAAAAATGTAAAAAAAAATGGTAGCAATTGTGTTGTTGGCAAAAACGGCGGAAAAAAAAAACTCGGATGACCAAATTGGAAAAAAAGGCTAAGCTAAAAATAATAAAAAACAGGAAAAATGGTACGTCACTAGCAAAAATCGAATCGGAAACGTTGAAAACCGAAAACGCTAACCACTCGGCCAGTGTCAATTGACAAACTGTTCGATTATGCAAATGAGGCCTGCAATAAGCAATTGGATGTTCATTGTGAGTCACAACTTCAATTTAACAATTTGTTGTGTGCAGCTGACTTCTGTGTCAACAAGCGTGGCACGGAATAGGAGCAGCAATGTGAAAGTGTGTCACTCTCACTACTTGGTGCATTTTCATGGTAACCTTTTCTGTATCGGATGCAACATCCTAGTTGAACTCATACTTCTCCGGATCTGTTCAAAGATCTCGCGGCAAAACATGTCATTTCCAGCGTTTCTCGCAAATCGCCTTCTCCTCCCCCTCCGTTTTTTTCAGCTGCCTTTCGCAGTTGGCTCCACTTCTCCGTGTTCATCAATGAATATAATGCGGGCGGAATATATCGAATTCAGCGAATTCAGCCGAGTGTGAACTCATCGCTATCTCTCCCTCCCTTTCTCCGGCATATCTCGTTTTTTCAGCAAGATCTCATCCACGTGGCGCCACTTTCAGACATTGCGAGCAACTGCACAATAAACACAATTCGACGCCGTCTCCTCCACTTTTCTTCTTTCCTTTCGCCTTTTCATAATCGTAAATCTAGTTTTGCTCACTCCGTCCATTGTACCTTGTTCCTCTTTTTTCTCTTCTGTTTTCCGAGCCCCCACCACGCTATCGGTCCTTCCTCAAACAGGAAACAATTTGGACGCCTCTCCCCACCCCCAATCAAATTGTTTCTTGTCTCCTGAACTTTGTTTTCTTCTTCTTCTTCTTTCTGTTTCTGCAAAATCAACTCTTCCAGCCAGATCCATTCATCGTTTTCATCGAATGTTTCGTGCTGGAGAAATCCCTGCGCTCATTGGCGATTCCGTCGCTCAAATTGTCATTCATCGGGCAGCAATTTGCGTAATCTCAAGAGAAAAATTTCAATATTCATAGAGAGCATAGATATTATAGGGGCACCGGACAGAAAGGGCGCGCTGTTCGCAATCTGTCCGAATTTCTAGGCCGCGAAGTAATTTTCCACTGAAAACGTGGCCTAACTTTTCAAAATCGACCGAGGTCGCTCAATTTGCACTGCAAAAAGAGTTTCTCAACAGAGCGCCATTTCTGTGCAGTGCCCCTATAATAGCAATGAACTTCCACGTTGAATTGTGTGCCGTATTCATTTCTAATGCGCTTTTGAGATTGCGTTCCCAGTCTTAATCACGATTTGTACGTCAGTTGAGATTCGCTCAACTCGATCCTATTTCTCAAACGATTTTCAACAAGAAACCCACTTCCAGTCTCTTTTGCTATCACATACTTTAATGTTAAGTGACACGAAGACAACTGTGCCGTCACATCCTTCAGGTATCACTCCGACTAAGCTGCCACCTTCTTCCTTCACTCATAGATCTTTTACTGAAACTTCTCCTGAATACTCTTTCTAATGAGCTCACTTTCCACTCACTTCACCGCCCATTATTATTATAAGAACTCTGAATCCTTCTGAAACGGAGCTGTCACATGCCGTCTGCGCCAACTGCTCCGTCGTCCGATTCCTCCCTTTTCTACGTCTTTGCCAACCGTTGACCTTCCCGTTTTGTGCTCCTAATTCCGCCATTCCAAATCCATCGTGCGAGTCTCTTCTTCCGCATTTTCTTATTTCTTCATTCCTTTTACCAGAATGTGCTTTTTTGATTATTCATATCTCTCGATGATGCCAACGACTTCTTTTTCCGTGTGCTTCGTATTTGAGATGTGTTGTAGATGAGAAGTCATTCTGGACCCATTTATTGTATTCTCACACAATTGGGTAGTTTCTGATTCAATCACGGAAACATTGAATCGTGTGAGAAATCAATAAATGGGTCCAGAATGACTACTCATCTACAACACATATTCATATCTCGTGCGATGCCCTTTTCAGACCATCCTCCTCAGACGAACACAATTTTCGTTTATCTCCCTTATAAGCCGATCATGATCTGGCCATCAAAAACCAAACATGACACAGTCGTGCGTCGTGCAGAGCTCGAACAAATTGAGCACATATCCGTGTGGCTCTCAATCTAATTTCCCTTTTCTCTGTGTTTTGTTTCCAGCTTTCTCTTCACAACAATATTGAATCAAAGTACGAGAGCCTGACCCTCTCCGTCTTTCCCTCCTCATAATTTCGTTCTGTAATCCAATCGATTAGCGGCCTCCCGGCTCGGCGAGTGGTGTGTGAACATGCGAAATCCAAAACCTCAAACATGCCTTCATCTTGTCATCATATCAGTCAATCATTCACACACGTTTTTCATTTCCCGTCGGCCGGAACCCGTCGAGAGTGTCTAGACGCAGACGCTTACAATGTGAAGAGTGCTCCCGAATTATTACGTTAGCACTTGGCCGGGCCTCGAACTCATTCATCATTTTATAGGATGCTCTCTTCGACTGGAAGGAGCTTCACTCCTCTCGACGGATCAAATGGGACCAGTTCGCGAAGAAATCCCTTCGTTCAGGTCACTCCCACTGGTACCTCATCCCTCTCTTCTTTCCCCAATTCGTCTCTGCTTTCAGATTCCACGACCAACTCGCCGGACCGTCCATCACTCAACTCCACGCCTATTTCTTCTCGTGTTCGGGGCGAGAAGCTCGTCAACTACATGGAGCGCTCGCCGCCCTCTTCTTCGGTGGCAATCGTACCGGGGTAAGCAGATTAGTCCGAGTGCTCTTTGCGCCATTTCACCGCTCATTGCTGCCTTCTTCTCCCTTACTCGTCATCATCGAAATTAAAAGAGTCGCCGAAGGGCATCACGACTACTCTTCATTTTTTGTGCCCTCGCAAGTCATGCATCTCTCTCTCTTTTTCTCTCTCTCTCTCTCTCTCTCTCTCTCTCTCTCTCTCTCTATCAATGACCAGTTATGTTGCCCGAAAAGCTTCGAAGGATGAGCTCTTTCGCTGATTAACTTTACAAAATGGAACTTTTCTTCCGAAGATCAAATTAGTGTTCCCAGTTGTCTCACTGGTTTATTTTGACGTAGAGTTAGAATAATTCCCTCTGACCGACACAGTCATGACGACTTTCTGAAGGAATCCAGGAGAGTTACTCTCTCACCTGGTGGATTAGATATCCGGCCCGATATTATGTTAGCCATTTGTATTCGGTGTTTTGTTCTCCTTCAGACAGCAAAAATCAGCTAACTAACAGAAAATGATAACCTAGTTTGTTTCATTGGTCTGTTCGGCTACAAATGGATAATCTTCCAAGTGATTCTTTTCTCCCGTTTTCTATGACGTGGCAGTGTGTTCTACGTCCGAAAAACCTCGTTCCGAGACACGGAACTGCCCAGGAAGTGAGCTCGAAGACCACCACAAAAAGAGTCGTTCTAATCCATTTTCTCATCAATACACTGGCTCCTAGGTAACGGCGACCACAATCTTTTGTATTCACACTCTGACAATTGAATTCGCATTGCCTGTCAGCCGCACCACCTTTTCCTTCTTCTTCTCCTTCTCCTTCTTCTTTTTCGCACTAATTTAATATTTCGCGAGTTTTTTGTGCTCGGCTGCCACGCCAACCGACTTCAATAATCCCAAGCTCTCGCGCGGATTAGCGAAGTCCATCGCCTATCAGCCGACCGGATATCAACGCTCTCCCATTCTTTGCAATGTCTCATCTGGGGCCATGCGTCGCAATTTCCGGCTGACGGTGCTGCTGGAGGTTTCAAAGCGAAACAAATCTAAATATTGAGCTCATCGCTCTATTTTTGCTCCAAGTGTGACTGACTTTCTGATTCGCTTCGAAAGGGTGATAGCTCCCCCGTGCCCCCCCCCCACCCAATTCTCTTCTCGATTATACATGTTCCGATCCAACTTACCTCTTCATTCTCTCTTCCTATCTTTTAACTTTTTTGTGCTCCTCTACCAACTGTCGCCCCACTCATCTCGTTACTCAGTGCCAGAGACCGCGTGAAACCGAGCTACGCAGAGCCGAATAACACGTCTTTGTCTCTCGGGCTCTGATACTCTCTCGTATATCTAATTTATTGTCAATGAATTATGAGTCGGGGCGAGTTGTGAATTGGCTTGAGAAGCACACGCAAAAAAGTCGGTAGGATGGAGAGAAGGAGAGGAAATCGAATGGACTGGTAGGAATACGGTAGCCCAAACTGAATAAGTGCAATTGTTAACAAAATGCAACTTCAAGAAAAAACACACTATTTAAGTAAGGAAAGCGAAAGAATATGCACAACTTTTCAATTAGAAGACTTTCTGTGCCATTTCGGGAGAAGCTCTACACTAGAAGCCTGCGACTTGTTCCAATCTCCCATCAATGGGGATCACGTCATCTCAGCGATCCTTTTGTTCTCGAACTCATTCCTGTTTTCCGAGTATTTTATACCACCTGCAGGTCGTTTTTCTTCGGAAGTGACACGAAAACATCTCATATTCAATGTCAGCACGGGAATTTTTCCAGTGACCTACAGACATTTTTGAGAGTTTCTTGTTGCTCTTTGTTTGCTTTGATCATAATGAACGCATTCACTATGACAATGAATAAGATGAATCAGTATTTCTCCGGCGGCGCGCATCTAAAGTTCCTGGAACGCTGCATCTGAGTCTTCGTGGACGACCGGCTGCCGTTCGGCCATGTTTTGGTACCAAAGTGAACCGAACTTTTTTGCAATTTAAAAAAAAGCTCATTTAATTTAGAAGAAAAGTGCGCGGATGATTAAGAATTGTACGGTCCAGTTTTTGAGAAAAATCTGAAAAAACTGTTTTGGCCTAGTAGCCGCGGGACCAGGGACTAGAAACCTCCGCGAGACCCCAAAGAGAAATCACTGTGGCCAGGTAGGCAGACGTGTGTGTGTGTGTGTGTGAATCCCGATGAAATGCGCATTCCTGCCGTCCCTCCCGATCACTTCTCCCCTTTTCTCTTTTATCTCTCCTCGCCCGTTCGTCACAATCCGTTGCTCCACCGATTCATCTTAATTCTGTTCGTCTGCGCCCTCTTCTATCGCCGTGCTCTTTTTCTCCATGCTGCCTTCCAGCAAAACGGTTAGTCGAGTGATCGAGCTGGGCGGGGCGACGCCGTACAGGCGCGGCACAGCCCCCGGACCCGCTTCATCCGTGCAGCAGCAACAGAAGCTGGTGTCCGCCAAGTCGAGTGCATCGCTCGTCTCCCGGGCCTCTACCAACTCGTCGTCCACCGCCAACCGGAACATGATACAGTGAGTTATTTCGAAAGGCTTTCACCTAGATTACTTCTTCACCGTTTATGGCACCCTTGGGCTCGCTAAAATCGGAAAGAGTCCTTTCTTTTCACTTCTTCACTTTTCCCTCCCGGATCTTGTCCGTCAGAACGGACGACAACCCGCTATTATAGATGTCAAAACTGAAAGCTCTCAATTATTGTTTCGTTCGAGCCGGCCAAAGTAAAAAGTGAAAAGGCCATCCGGTTTCGAAGAAAAAATCCGGAATTTCCTCCGCCTTCTTTAACATTCTGGTCATATCCGGAAAGAAATGTGACGTTCTGACTACAAGAATGAGTGTATTTCCGATGGGTCGGGGGCTCAAAGCTCAGAACGGCACAAGTTTCGATGTCATCTTGACCACACGTACTCTCGGAATCTTCGTTGTCATTCTCTTGTTGCTTGTCACCTTCTCATGTTTCGCATGCACCTTCTTCTTCCCCTCCCTTCCACTTTCTGTCCTTCTTTCTCGCCATTCGTCCTTCCGTTCCCATTCCGGCTCTTTTTCCCCGAAAAAGTCGTACTCCGTCGTTCCATCCAACAAACAAGATACTCCATCAAAATCAAAAAATATATTTACTTGAACGAAGCGCTTCTCCGTCCAATTAATTGAGAACGGTGGCCCATTCCGAAAAGAAAATGGGCTCAAAACATGATGAATTATAAATGAGCTATTTGGAAATGGGAAACGGGTGCTGACGTGGCAGGGCACGAGACGGCTCCGTCGTTATTCAAATGAGTTGGGTCGTCTTCCAATGAACTTTCCTCCTCGGAATACTTTGTTTATTCCATTTTCGCTCGTTTCTCTTCTCAAAGACCTTATAAACATTGTCGGCTTTCCCGATCAATTCCCAAATTGCTTCTCCGGAATTAGTCTTTTATTATTTACTGAGAACAGAAAAATTAGGGACAAATAAAAGGGAAGATTAATTTTCGAAAGAAGAATGAGGATCATAGGCAATAACTGGGACTGTGAATACGGAAAAAAATGAGTGAATTTATGTTCGAATCGGACAAGAATTGAGGTATCACAGCGTTGGGAAACAAAGAAACAACCCTTGCTCTCCGTTGCTTGGCACTAAAGTGTGCCGGTGCCGGCCAATGTCATCCCCAACAAATGCTCCGGCCCGCATGAATCTCACGTTCTCCGATCTACGCGACTATCCTCCTCTTCTCCCTCTATTTTTAACCCCACTGACAACTGTGTCGTGCTTCGGCGGCCGAGGTCGAAAATCCGGTTTGGACCAAAGCACACGGAGCCCCCGTCGCGGCGTCCGATGGCTACGTGAGGTGCACTTTATTGTAAGGAAACCAGGAAGAGAAGATGGGCGACGAGCAGCCGCTTTTTGAAGATCACACGGCGGAGCGGAGACCGAAAGATAGGGTTTATGGGATTCGGAGTATCAATGGAACGACTAAGAAGAGGCGACTGATCAGAAATCGCTATCAGGAAAATGATCATTCTGGAGTGGGAAGACTGTGGGATTCGCAACCGAGACCATACTGAACTTTCTTCATCTTGTTCTTCTCCTTGTTCTCGTAACCTTACATCTAGTTCGAACGGACAAATCGGTTCACTTCAGTCTCTTTTCAATGTTCTAACCTCGACTAACTTTCTCAATCCTTCCAATTTGGAGTGCTCCACACTTTGCGGATAATTAGCTTGTTTTACGATCGTAATGTCCATTACCCGCACCCACAGACTGAGCCCCCTCAAATGGCTTTTACCGTACTCTCTCAAATGCTTTCCGATTACTCTTGGTAATCATGCGATTCCACGAGGCCGCCCTGAGGAGAGCAGTCGACAGAATGAGTCGTAACTTTTATATCCTTTCTTCCTATCCGTCCCATGCTTGCTTGAGCACGGGCGCCACTCCGGCTCCTCTGTCTCGACTCCGCCCATTTACTCTCTTACTGTCATCGCCGCACCGCCATCGCCCACTCGACTCATTCTCTCTTGTGGCGTCTTGGTCCCAGACTCATCACTCCACTAACCTTTGTGTTCGGTCCTTTTTTGTGTCTTTGTCTTCTTTCCCCTTTGATCTGCGTTGTTAGGAGTAAGCAGAAGCAGTCTCTCTCTCTCTAGATACTCGGTCCTGTATGGCACTACTGATTGCACCAACGGTAGCCGCGTAAGTTCATCACATCCTGGGGACGACCGCACTTTCTCTTCAGCATGTCATTCGTTGCACTTTCAGGCAAATCGCATCCGGGAGCACTTCGATGGCTGCCGTGTCGGGATGCGAACGGGAAAACTCGGTCGATAACCAACCGGACCGGGCTAGTATCGATGATCGGTCTAGCAACAAGTGAGTAGCGAACTCTCCCGGGTCTAGCACACAAATGCACTCATTCCCACTTCTCCGGCTTCTTCGGAAGACACACGCGTCCTAAGAAAAGTGCAGCTATGTCTGTCGGCCCTACAGAATGTTTAAGACGATGAGAATAATGGGTGATTTTCAGGATGTTCGACGAAGATGTGGAGAGCAGAATGATTCCGTTGGAGCGTCCCAGTCACAAAGGAAGCATCAGGGACAACACTCCGGACTCGATCCTTAGGCTGAACATCGGAGGAAGCAGTTATCGGATCCGCACTCGCTCCATCATCAAATTCGGTCCCAAAACACTTCTTGGTGCGAACTGAATTCCTCATGGTTCTGACTCGAATTATTGCGTTCAGGTCGTTTCTGCCGCATGAACCACGAGCACCGTCGCCAGTGGGCCGACTGGTACTTCGAGGACCAAGACGAGTATTTCTTCGAAAGAGTTCCCAGGTAAGAAGAGCTGTGAATGTGTCTGGAAGCTGTAGTTTGGTGTCATCCGTCTTGTTCCGTCAGTTGTCTTACATGACCGGCAGCTGTTGTCCATGAGCGGCATCCCATTAATCAGAGAAGAGAGCAACGAGCGACACAGAAAACACGACTGCAATCGAACCGATTTCAGATACTTTGACCCAATTTACGACTTCTATGCCACCGGAAAACTTCATGTGCCCAAGGATCTCTGCTTCGACAAATTCATGGCCGAACTCCGTTTCTGGGCAGTTTCAAAGTCTCGAATGGATGAATGCTGCTCTCCGTTCACACAGTACTGCGTCACAATGGGAGGAGATCCCAAGTACACGGTAGGCACTTGTTATACAGAACAAAAAACATAGGAATGAGAACAAAACACACAATTATAACTTTTAGGATGAGGCTGTTGAGCTGCAGAAGGTAAACCTTGAAACTTTTCGAAATTTTTTTGCATTTAAAATTGACTACCAGCAAGCAGACGCTAACTTATTTTAAGCTTTCATACCTTACCAGCAACCCATTCATAACCAACCAACCCCCAACTCTATCAGCCTTTTCCCACACGAACTTTTGGTTTTCAGGAGAAAGATCACTTCATAGGAGTCCGTTGCGCGAATATCCGTCGGCGGCTCTGGCTGATTCTGGAGGGACATTCTCAGAGCAAGTGGTGGAAGGTTAGTACTCCGAGAGGTTGCCCTCTGATCCGAATGTTGCAGGCGTTCGAAGTCATCTCCACTGCGTTCGTCGTTCTCTCGATTTCCGCACTCATTCTCGGCTCGATTCCCGAGTTCCAAGTCCCTCAGAAAAGCGAAGACGGCCAGTTGGTCTACGCAACTGCCACGTATCCAACATATCCGAATGGGGGCGGAATGACCGTCGAAAGCCGCACAGTCGTCAGAGAAGGATCCGATAATTCGGTAGGTTTGAGGGAAAAACTCGTTAATATTGATTGCCTTCGATGATCAGAGAGGTTTGAATTCAGATGTAATGTTTTCAGACTATCATTGAAGATCCTACTCCGAGAAAGAACGTAAAGGTAGTAGCAAATCTGTGTCGGATTCTTTGGAAACTATGTCATTTAATCACTAACATTTTCCTACTTCTTCTCTGTGATAAACTGCTCAACGGCAGTTTGAACTCGAGTTGCTCAAACTGAAAGTTACCATTTTTCAGGTGGAAATGACCGAACACCCGGTGTTCACTTGGGTTGAAAACGTCTGTGTCGTCTACTTTTCCATTGAATACGCTCTTCGTTTTATCGTCTCTCCCAGAAAGGTGAAAAAAGTACTCTCTCATCTTCATTCATCTTCATCTTTTTCAGTTGGCGTTCGCCCGCCAGATCCTCAACGTCATTGATCTCCTTTCGATTGCTCCGTTCTATTTCGAACTCCTCCTCTGGATCTGCGGAATCAGTGGGGAAAACGTGCGAAAAGTCCGATGGGCGTTCCTGACTGTTCGTCTTCTTCGTGTCCTTCGTGTCATCAGAATTGCCAAACTCGGAAGATTCTCCCCTGGTAACTGAGAATTGGGGTGAACGTTCGCATTTCGAATGTTCAGGTCTCGCCAACTTCGCCTTGACTATCCGCAAATCGAAGAAGCAGATGCAGATGGTCGGAATCGTCATGATGACCGTGGTTATCTTCTTCTCGACCCTCATCTATTTCCTCGAGCGCGACGAGCCGGGGACCAAGTTCAGCAGTATTCCAGCGACCTTCTGGTGGTACGAACAATCACTTTTTTCTTCCCTTCTCAATGCTCTTTTGCAGGTGTGTCGTCACAATGGCCACAGTCGGATACGGTGACCTTGTGCCGGTGACAGTTGCCGGAAAGCTCGTGGGCAGTGGAGCCATCGTCTGTGGAGTCATGGTCCTCGCACTTCCCATCACTATCATGGTATACTCGGAAATCTTCGTACTACTTTTCCACCCCGTTCCGTGTTTCAGGTCAACAATTTCATGCAAGTTGTAAAGCTTCGCGAGGAGCAGATTGTCAAGAAGTATGCTCAGCAGCACGGCGACCAAGTCTAGCTTCCCCTCTAGATTGTTTCCCTTCACCCATTGCGTACCCGTTCTCTCCCAAATACTATCGATTTCGCTTGAATGTCCTGCCGCCCGGTTTTCTACTATGTACCTAACCTCCTTTCCCTTTGCCCTCATCTCGTCTAGCATTTGAGCATTGTTCTAGCCCGTTTCTCCCGACGTTCCTTACATATATATATATATATACAATTTACCCCCAAAAGCAATCAAGATTTGCACTCATTCTATTTTTCGCTGATAGAAATCAACCAGATAATAAAGGCTATTTGTCAATCGGAATTGGTTCTCGGGTTGGCAGAAAAAAGGGAAGAAAGAAAGAAGAGGGGAAGAGAGAAACGGAAGACGAATGGCCGACTTTCCAAGGCTACCCACCACGTTCTTGGCTTCACTCTTCATTTCTTGGCAAGTACATCCTCATCCTCATTAGCCTTGCATTCCCTTCGTGCTACAAGCCAAATGAAGCCGGGAAGTGTCCATGTGCCGGACCGATATTATCCCCTCAAGAGTTCCTAATAAGATTCCCTTCGCCCCAATTCATGTTCTAATTAGATATGAACCCAACGCCAATAATCAAGTACACCGGACGTCGTCACTCCCCTCTCTTCTCTCAGTGCCTTCAAATCGAATAAGTCGTGTGCATGGGATAACACAAAGGTCCGTGAATCTTGCTGCCAAAGGGCAACCATCCATTCTCTTTTTTGAATAGAACCCAAATTGCCGAGAAGAGAAGGAGAAGCTAGCGGTGTCGATGGCTGACCTACAAAAGGAGTCAGTCTCGAGACGCAATTAGAGTACAGTACGCGAGAGGACTGTCTCGTTCGGCCGCTCTCGTCCGCTTATTGTTCCCGCACTTCTATTATATTTCTCTCACGCTTCTTCATCCTCTTCCTTCTGACCGAAACTGCATTGTTTTCCGGTTTTTGACGCCTTGGCTGCCGGTCAAAATTCCAAAGTTTCCAAACTTCGCCCCTCATTGGTCTTCTTCCTACTGTGGGCTGTTTCCCACCATTCTTCTGAAAGCTGGAACATTCCTCATTTCATGAGTGTTCCACTCGTAAACCTATTCTTCTGCTGAACCTGCCCTATTACTTCTCATTATTTCCCTCAAGATGACGCCACCTCGCATATTATTCCTTAAAGATATTCGACACTTTTCCCCCGTTCCTAATTACCTACCTTTCCCTCTTCTCTCTTTTAATACTGGTTCTTTGCGCACTTTTCTTCACCCTTTGATAAGTTCGAACGCAACTCGAATTCCAATTGACTTTCCAACGTTTTGCAACTTTTTCTCGCCCCAACCCACCCGAATTCCCGCAGAGATTGCCCTTCATTCCCTCCGGTTACGCGGAGCCTCCGCCTGTCTCCGTCTCTCCGATTTGCTCACTCTCTCGCTCTCCGCGCGGAGCCTAATGCTCACTTTTTCCGTGAAGCATGCTCACGCAATCTCCCACATGGACACTTTTCTTTTGAGCAATAAGCCGAAAAACCAACTGTTTCAGCTCGGCACCGCCCGGTTCTTTGCGTGTTCGCCCCCGCTGATTAAGTGCTGAGGGCGGTCATTTCCGCGTGGCTCTTGGAGCCCGTGAATGCCTCGAAACCTCGGGTTCCGTTCAACTTCTCGCCGCCAACTTCGCACATTCATTCATATGCAGTCAAACGCTCTTTTGTGAACTCTTTAGTACGAAACTGCCCATAGTGTTTGGTTACTTTGAAATGTCGCAGATCTCCACCACAACCTGACATCATACATATTTTCCGAGTTTTCTTGATATTAAATCGTTCCTTATTCTCACCAATTACACCGTATTAGATAGTTGGCTGATGTCATTGCGATTAGCAGCGATTGGCCGGTCTAAGTACCACATCGCCCTCTCAGAAAAGTAAGTACACTGTGCTGCTGCCATGTGCCACTTCACGCCCAATCCACTCTTTTTTCCGCACCGGCTTCCGCGCGGGAACTTTTGCCTCATTACACAGTTTTCGAGAAGGTCAAGTAACTGATTGACTCGCATTCTCGACTTTTTTTTCTGCGCGGAAACCAGACAGAACCACACATGTTTTTCATTTCCGAGTAGTAAGTACTCTTCTCGAAAGTGTTGGAGGAAGGTGCTTAAGTTGGTTGACGGGAGTATTATGAGCGAACTACTTGTCCTCGTTGACTTATTGCTTCCGTGGATTACGATTTCCTTGGCGACGACGCCTTCTTCTTCTTCTTCTTCTTCCGTCCTTTTCGGCTCTCTTTGCCTCTTGAGAAAGTGTTAAGAGTGTCCTCTCAATAATTTATTTGATTTGCTCTTTTTCAATCCGAGATGGATAACAGCCTATCATCCCTATTTCCGCTTCTTTCCGATAGTCTTTCTTTGTCCGAGTTGCCCACCCTCTTCTATTGCCTTTCCTCTGAACTTTTGCCCATTCTCCCTCGTGAGTCATTCACTTCCAAACCTGAAAATTCCATGCAATTCAAAGTCAAACAATTCGGTTTTCGGCCTTCTGTGCCCATAATGCCCCCCATATTCTGTTTGTACACATTTCCGCACTCTGCGTTTCTTCAATCAACGTGTTCCATTTTGGGTGCAATGGTGAGCTCTCCGCCACCTTTGCGTATGCATTTTAATCCGGGCTTCTCCAGGACACGCACACATCCACCCGAATGGCCCCTTTCCATTCATTTTCAATTCTAGGCTAATGATTTCAGTACGGAAATCTCCGTTTCTGCAGTCGACCTGAATGTTGTTATGATGAAAGTGAACATCGAAATGGCCGGCTTAGCGACGGATCAACCCTGCAACTTTGTCGCCATTCGCCCCCTTTTTAGTCGTGTTCAAGGTTTCGTTTCGGTGTAAAAGAAAAGCAAAAAAAAAGAATAAGAAGAAAAAGGGTTTTGCGGCCACCCAATCCAATCAAATAATCTCAAATGTTTCTTTCGGTTTCTCCTTCCAAAATGCAATCAAATCCTAATCCTCCCCTCTTTTTTGCTTTCATAACTCTCGGAGCCGCCCCCTCATCGTTTCGTTTTCCCCTCCCGCAGCCCGTTTCTTTCCGTTGTCTCCCATTCTTTCACATCGCCTAGGTTACAGCCACGAGGCTCTCACTTTGCACACTTCTCGCTCTAAAAGCGTACTTCCTGTTTTCGCCAACATTCTATAATTAGACGAATTGCTCTCCCACTAATCTTCAATGGTTTCAGGTGAGATGAAAAGTAGCGTCGAATGATTTCACTGGCGAAAATCTCTCGACTTTTCTTTTTCGTGGTGAGTTGTATTATTAATACAATGTCAGTCGAAGAGAAATGAACCGTTTTGTAGCTCCCTCTGCTGAGTGGAGCAGCCGGACAATTCGACGCAGATGTACGATGGTCCTGCACCGATGAAATCGTGTCCGTGTTTGTCCGCACACCCAGAGCATTCGAAGGACTCGTGCAGACGAAAGGAGCAGAGTCCGAGAATTGCAGAGTTCAAGGATTCGGGACGAACGTGGCCGTGCTGAAGTTGAATTTGAAGTCGGAAGAGTGCGGAGTGAAGTATGACGCGGCATCTAGAACTCATTCGGTGACTGTCGATGTTCACTCTCATCCGGTTCTCATTGTCGAAGGAGACAAATCAGTGAACATCACGTGCCGGGAAGTTGGGAATGGAACACAGACGATGAGCCTAAGGAATTCTCATGCCTCTTCTGATTATCAACTTCGTGTTCTGTCGAGTCGTCTTCCAATTGAAACCGTCCGATATTCCCAACCGTACACCCTTCAGGTAGTTGTCTTCAGGAATACCTCAAAACCTGAATCTTGTCTTTTCAGATCCGTTCCCTTGTGAACCAACAGTCTTCATCATTCTTTGTCGGACAATGCAACGCTCAACCAGTCGGCGGAAATGTGAGTGTCCAACTGACAGATCCGGTCGGATGTGCTCTTTTCAAATCAATCATGGGGAACTTTGCGAGGAGAGAATCGGTCGAAGAGGCTGAAATTCCGTCAATGTTCCGGTTTCCCAATGCGCAACAGCTCAAGATATCGTGTGTTGTGACGGAATGCGACGGAAACTGTGAAACGCGCTCTTGCGATACCGACTCTTCTGCTTCGTCGCTTCTGGAGAAAACGACTGCAAGTGTGGAATCGGACGAGCAACAGACAGTCTGGATCGTAGTGAATCTGGAAGAAGCCGTGGCAGCACTCCCCGAATTGTCTGACAGTGCTGACGACGAAGTAATTGTGCACCACGTGGCAAGAGACGCAGAAACTCCGCCGCCCACTTTGATTGTTCAGAAGAACCGAGATGAATACTACGAGAACGAGTGCATTTCGGAAGCAGAGTTCAAACTAATGTATTACCTTTGTATCTTCCTAGCAAGTAAGTGAAAAACATATTTTAAGAGAGACCGTATCCTATGAACTTTCATTTCAGTCTGTTCGATTGTTGGCTTCACAATGAACATTGTACTCGCAATAATATTAAAGAGGAGATCGGCGAAGAAATCGAAGAAACAACTGCCTGTGGAACAGTTGCAAATACCCAAATCTTCTGTCGTCCAACCCGATTTCTGGATAATTGAGAACGCGAAAGGTGGGGAATTTCAATGTTTTTTTAACAAACATTTTATTTCAGAAGCACCGGAAATGAATTATTTTGAACAACGGCGGGATTCGCTGTCTTCTTATGCATCTGTAAGTAGTCTAAACATTAAAGTAACAACTATTCACTTCTGCAGAAGCCGAACCGTCGTATTATTCCTGTAACTTCCGAGTACGGAGTTGCTGCCTCTCGCAGTTCTGCAGCGTCCTCTTCGGATGACAGAAGTAGCAACGAGATTTACAGGTTTTTAGGGAACTCTTCATAGGAACCAATGTTTCTTTCAGACGACCCAATCAGATAGTGATGGCTCGTCCGGAGGCTCGTCACAGTAGTTCGACGTTCATGACGCACTCGACGACGATGGAGACGGACATCGACAGTCAAGCATCCAATCAGGCCACATCCTATCACTAAACAATGTTATACCGGTACAATTGTTTTGTTTTCGATCTGATTCCAGTAACTTTATAAATATTTTGTTTGAATGTCGTGCCTAAATAATAAATTCGTTTCCCGAAGTATACGTGCGCACCACAAAAGTTGATTTGTTTCCATGGAGATCCGCAGCGCGCCGCGTGAGACTGGCAGCACGCAAACTGATTAGCAGTTCACGTTATACTTTGTTGTTAGCTTATTGTTGGTCTTCCCTCACACTCATTTCCTCTTTTATACTTACAGATGAACAGGCCTCTTGACAATATTCAGCACAGACCAGACAGATTTGATGCGACAACGGAGAGCAGGGCGGCATTCACAAACAACAATGTGCAAAGGACGCATCCAATTAGACCACGCGATCAGATGGACTGGCCGAGTGGGAATGAAGATCGGAGAACAATTACAAAAACAACATACCAAGGCGGAGTGGGCGAGCGCTATCAAGCTACGAGGCCCAAGGACGGAATAGATAAACCGAGTGATCCAATGGACTCGAGCACCATCAATCGGACGACGTATCAAGGCGGAGTGGGCGAACGCTATCAAGCTACGAGGCCCAAGGATGGAATAGATAAACCGAGTGATCCAATGGACTCGAGCACCATCAATCGGACGACGTATCAAGGCGGAGTGGGCGAGCGCTATCAAGCTACGAGGCCCAAGGATGGAATAGATAAACCGAGTGATCCAATGGACTCGAGCACCATCAATCGGACGACGTATCAAGGCGGAGTGGGCGAGCGCTATCAAGCTACGAGGCCCAAGGATGGAATAGATAAACCGAGTGATCCAATGGACTCGAGCACCATCAATCGGACGACGTATCAAGGCGGAGTGGGCGAGCGCTATCAAGCTACGAGGCCCAAGGATGGAATAGATAAACCGAGTGATCCAATGGACTCGAGCACCATCAATCGGACGACGTATCAAGGCGGAGTGGGCGAGCGCTATCAAGCTACGAGGCCCAAGGACGGAATAGATAAACCGAGTGATCCAATGGACTCGAGCACCATCAATCGGACGACGTATCAAGGCGGAGTGGGCGAGCGCTATCAAGCTACGAGGCCCAAGGACGGAATAGATAAACCGAGTGATCCAATGGACTCGAGCACCATCAATCGGACGACGTATCAAGGCGGAGTGGGCGAGCGCTATCAAGCTACGAGGCCCAAGGACGGAATAGATAAACCGAGTGATCCAATGGACTCGAGCACCATCAATCGGACGACGTATCAAGGCGGAGTGGGCGAGCGCTATCAAGCTACGAGGCCCAAGGACGGAATAGATAAACCGAGTGATCCAATGGACTCGAGCACCATCAATCGGACGACGTATCAAGGCGGAGTGGGCGAGCGCTATCAAGCTACGAGGCCCAAGGACGGAATAGATAAACCGAGTGATCCAATGGACTCGAGCACCATCAATCGGACGACGTATCAAGGCGGAGTGGGCGAGCGCTATCAAGCTACGAGGCCCAAGGACGGAATAGATAAACCGAGTGATCCAATGGACTCGAGCACCATCAATCGGACGACGTATCAAGGCGGAGTGGGCGAGCGCTATCAAGCTACGAGGCCCAAGGACGGAATAGATAAACCGAGTGATCCAATGGACTCGAGCACCATCAATCGGACGACGTATCAAGGCGGAGTGGGCGAGCGCTATCAAGCTACGAGGCCCAAGGACGGAATAGATAAACCGAGTGATCCAATGGACTCGAGCACCATCAATCGGACGACGTATCAAGGCGGAGTGGGCGAGCGCTATCAAGCTACGAGGCCCAAGGATGGAATAGATAAACCGAGTGATCCAATGGACTCGAGCACCATCAATCGGACGACGTATCAAGGCGGAGTGGGCGAGCGCTATCAAGCTACGAGGCCCAAGGACGGAATAGATAAACCGAGTGATCCAATGGACTCGAGCACCATCAATCGGACGACGTATCAAGGCGGAGTGGGCGAGCGCTATCAAGCTACGAGGCCCAAGGATGGAATAGATAAACCGAGTGATCCAATGGACTCGAGCACCATCAATCGGACGACGTATCAAGGCGGAGTGGGCGAGCGCTATCAAGCTACGAGGCCCAAGGATGGAATAGATAAACCGAGTGATCCAATGGACTCGAGCACCATCAATCGGACGACGTATCAAGGCGGAGTGGGCGAGCGCTATCAAGCTACGAGGCCCAAGGACGGAATAGATAAACCGAGTGATCCAATGGACTCGAGCACCATCAATCGGACGACGTATCAAGGCGGAGTGGGCGAGCGCTATCAAGCTACGAGGCCCAAGGACGGAATAGATAAAACCGAGTGATCCAATGGACTCGAGCACCATCAATCGGACGACGTATCAAGGCGGAGTGGGCGAGCGCTATCAAGCTACGAGGCCCAAGGACGGAATAGATAAACCGAGTGATCCAATGGACTCGAGCACCATCAATCGGACGACGTATCAAGGCGGAGTGGGCGAGCGCTATCAAGCTACGAGGCCCAAGGATGGAATAGATAAACCGAGTGATCCAATGGACTCGAGCACCATCAATCGGACGACGTATCAAGGCGGAGTGGGCGAGCGCTATCAAGCTACGAGGCCCAAGGATGGAATAGATAAACCGAGTGATCCAATGGACTCGAGCACCATCAATCGGACGACGTATCAAGGCGGAGTGGGCGAGCGCTATCAAGCTACGAGGCCCAAGGACGGAATAGATAAACCGAGTGATCCAATGGACTCGAGCACCATCAATCGGACGACGTATCAAGGCGGAGTGGGCGAGCGCTATCAAGCTACGAGGCCCAAGGATGGAATAGATAAACCGAGTGATCCAATGGACTCGAGCACCATCAATCGGACGACGTATCAAGGCGGAGTGGGCGAGCGCTATCAAGCTACGAGGCCCAAGGACGGAATAGATAAAACCGAGTGATCCAATGGACTCGAGCACCATCAATCGGACGACGTATCAAGGCGGAGTGGGCGAGCGCTATCAAGCTACGAGGCCCAAGGATGGAATAGATAAACCGAGTGATCCAATGGACTCGAGCACCATCAATCGGACGACGTATCAAGGCGGAGTGGGCGAGCGCTATCAAGCTACGAGGCCCAAGGACGGAATAGATAAACCGAGTGATCCAATGGACTCGAGCACCATCAATCGGACGACGTATCAAGGCGGAGTGGGCGAGCGCTATCAAGCTACGAGGCCCAAGGATGGAATAGATAAAACCGAGTGATCCAATGGACTCGAGCACCATCAATCGGACGACGTATCAAGGCGGAGTGGGCGAGCGCTATCAAGCTACGAGGCCCAAGGATGGAATAGATAAACCGAGTGATCCAATGGACTCGAGCACCATCAATCGGACGACGTATCAAGGCGGAGTGGGCGAGCGCTATCAAGCTACGAGGCCCAAGGACGGAATAGATAAACCGAGTGATCCAATGGACTCGAGCACCATCAATCGGACGACGTATCAAGGCGGAGTGGGCGAGCGCTATCAAGCTACGAGGCCCAAGGACGGAATAGATAAACCGAGTGATCCAATGGACTCGAGCACCATCAATCGGACGACGTATCAAGGCGGAGTGGGCGAGCGCTATCAAGCTACGAGGCCCAAGGATGGAATAGATAAACCGAGTGATCCAATGGACTCGAGCACCATCAATCGGACGACGTATCAAGGCGGAGTGGGCGAGCGCTATCAAGCTACGAGGCCCAAGGACGGAATAGATAAACCGAGTGATCCAATGGACTCGAGCACCATCAATCGGACGACGTATCAAGGCGGAGTGGGCGAGCGCTATCAAGCTACGAGGCCCAAGGACGGAATAGATAAACCGAGTGATCCAATGGACTCGAGCACCATCAATCGGACGACGTATCAAGGCGGAGTGGGCGAGCGCTATCAAGCTACGAGGCCCAAGGACGGAATAGATAAACCGAGTGATCCAATGGACTCGAGCACCATCAATCGGACGACGTATCAAGGCGGAGTGGGCGAGCGCTATCAAGCTACGAGGCCCAAGGATGGAATAGATAAAACCGAGTGATCCAATGGACTCGAGCACCATCAATCGGACGACGTATCAAGGCGGAGTGGGCGAGCGCTATCAAGCTACGAGGCCCAAGGATGGAATAGATAAACCGAGTGATCCAATGGACTCGAGCACCATCAATCGGACGACGTATCAAGGCGGAGTGGGCGAGCGCTATCAAGCTACGAGGCCCAAGGACGGAATAGATAAACCGAGTGATCCAATGGACTCGAGCACCATCAATCGGACGACGTATCAAGGCGGAGTGGGCGAGCGCTATCAAGCTACGAGGCCCAAGGACGGAATAGATAAACCGAGTGATCCAATGGACTCGAGCACCATCAATCGGACGACGTATCAAGGCGGAGTGGGCGAGCGCTATCAAGCTACGAGGCCCAAGGACGGAATAGATAAAACCGAGTGATCCAATGGACTCGAGCACCATCAATCGGACGACGTATCAAGGCGGAGTGGGCGAGCGCTATCAAGCTACGAGGCCCAAGGATGGAATAGATAAACCGAGTGATCCAATGGACTCGAGCACCATCAATCGGACGACGTATCAAGGCGGAGTGGGCGAGCGCTATCAAGCTACGAGGCCCAAGGACGGAATAGATAAACCGAGTGATCCAATGGACTCGAGCACCATCAATCGGACGACGTATCAAGGCGGAGTGGGCGAGCGCTATCAAGCTACGAGGCCCAAGGACGGAATAGATAAACCGAGTGATCCAATGGACTCGAGCACCATCAATCGGACGACGTATCAAGGCGGAGTGGGCGAGCGCTATCAAGCTACGAGGCCCAAGGACGGAATAGATAAACCGAGTGATCCAATGGACTCGAGCACCATCAATCGGACGACGTATCAAGGCGGAGTGGGCGAGCGCTATCAAGCTACGAGGCCCAAGGACGGAATAGATAAACCGAGTGATCCAATGGACTCGAGCACCATCAATCGGACGACGTATCAAGGCGGAGTGGGCGAGCGCTATCAAGCTACGAGGCCCAAGGATGGAATAGATAAACCGAGTGATCCAATGGACTCGAGCACCATCAATCGGACGACGTATCAAGGCGGAGTGGGCGAGCGCTATCAAGCTACGAGGCCCAAGGATGGAATAGATAAACCGAGTGATCCAATGGACTCGAGCACCATCAATCGGACGACGTATCAAGGCGGAGTGGGCGAGCGCTATCAAGCTACGAGGCCCAAGGACGGAATAGATAAACCGAGTGATCCAATGGACTCGAGCACCATCAATCGGACGACGTATCAAGGCGGAGTGGGCGAGCGCTATCAAGCTACGAGGCCCAAGGACGGAATAGATAAACCGAGTGATCCAATGGACTCGAGCACCATCAATCGGACGACGTATCAAGGCGGCTTTGGTGAACGTGCTGATATTGTCAAGTATGGCAACCAAATAGACTTCGGATCAGGGAAAGTGACAGCTCAATCTGTATCGCGGTCGGTTTTCTTTTCATTTTTAAACTGAAAATCGTATACTTTTCAGATTGACCTACACCCAATTTCCCATCGAACGAATGTCTCTGTCTGTTCCAGTGGAAAAATGGATCGGCGGACTTTCCTATCCAACTGAATATGTCACTGAACAACGAAGTTCTTTCCGACCAAAGCCCGCTAATTCTGACTCATTGGTGAGAATTGTTTCATCAAAAAAGAGAACGCCAAATCACGTTTATCTGTATTAGGCAATTACTTTTATTGTTCAAGTCTTTTTTAAACAGTATTAGAGAAGAGTTCAATAAATTCGATTTATTTTACCTTTGATGCAGAAAAGTTTAACTGAAATACATAAATGCACGGGAAGGGTAAGAAAGCGAAGAAGAGACCCGAAGTGAAAATGAATACTGAAAGTACCGGTCACATGGTATCATGTTTGCTCGGCCGTCTCTTGAGGTTTGGGAGATCCTGACCGGTAATACTGGACATTATGATCGGGCGGTCGGTTGATTTCCCGATAGAAGCGCCATTGCTGATAGTAACAGTACATTATGAGAAGGCAGGAGAACATTAGAAACATTTGGATTGCTCCTAAAATGACAGTCAGAAGACAAGTGACATCATCGACAAAGCAGTGTTTGACACTGGTCCACGTGCTCGCCGCGTGCTTCACAACCATCACATCTCCGTCGTGGAACTCTCCGTTCTCATTGAACTCGTAGTTCGACTCTTGTGGAGTCTTGGAGAATTCGGCTGGTTTCGGGGGATTCAACAGGGTTAGCTTATGTCCGGTCACTTTGTACACGTCGCTAGTCAGGTGCAATTGTCTCGGTTCACCAGCAATCGATCTACGAACCATTCGATGACGTGGCAAATCGAGGGATAATGTAGTTGATTTGACGTTGAACTCCTCTTCTGGTATGATCATATCCTGATTGCATTTGGGCATACATCCCAAAGTGCACGTTTCCACCATTGCGTGGTAGACAACTTCTGTCTGAAAAAGAAACGTATAATATTTGGTTAGGAGAGAGCGAGAACAATAACCTGTCTGCGGAATCCGGAAAAGCTGATCTTTAGTTTGACATAGTTATCCGTCTTGCGGATCTCCTTGACAATGTCCCGTCTGAGAACGCACCTGAAGAAAAAAGAAGCGGTAGGTCAGCCGCAATTACCGTCCGACGACTCACCCGTCTTCGTCAATGATCCGAAGCACTCGACCAGTGATCACGTCTCTCGCCACTAAGTTGGTCACTGTGAAATCTTCAGCCGAGTCTTTAACGGTCAACATTATCCATCCGAAATCTCCGATGTGCACAGCTTCTGCTTCGGTAGAGTCTAGGCCCAATACTTTGAGAGAGAATTTGGGGTTCGGAGAAGCAGAAGAAGACGTGGAAGTGACGATGACGTCATCGGACATCACCTGATCCGTTCGGTTATTCTCACGAACATTCATCCGGACAGAAAGGGACTGTTCTTCAGATGGCATGCTTTTGTGCATTCTGCAGTTCACCTGAAGCACCTTGTCTCTTATCGTAACCAGACTCGTGCTTCCTTCTTTCACATGAACCATTCCTCTGAACGATGAATCTCTCGCCTTCTAAAATGTTTGAAATAGTTGAGAGCTTGACTGAAATCTCTCACCGTTGAATCAAGCCCACACTTGTTGAAGTCGAACTTCGAGGAGAAGTCGTAATTCCCTCCGTAATCCTCCTCACACATAACTTTCTTCAATTTCTTGGTCATCATCTTCCCACTGGAAACAATTTCACTACGTTTTCATAATCAATTTCAGAAACTCACACAAACATTCGCATTGAGTTTGCTTTGATTTCGAGACTGTCCTCTCGACATCTCAGGGAAACTGAAACGTTTTTTATGACACTGATGTTATGTATAACAAAGCACTCACAATTAACACAGTCGTCTAAATCTCCATGGAATAGATTTGATTTCATGTTCTCCAAGGGACTTCTTCCCAACATTCTGACTGAGGACCACATGAGATGGCATTCAAGAGTGGAGTTGTCGAAAGTGTACGATCTGATAGTGGAAGGCATCTGTAGGATGAATAGGATCTCTTGAAAAGTTACCTGCATGGATCTGAAACGCGCGTCCTGACGAGGCACATCTGCTCGCATTCGTCCGTGCTCGTCACTTTCTTAACTAGCTGATCACTGACTTTCTGTAGTCCGCCGCCGTTAACTCGCATAAACGTGCAACTGGAAGCAGTCATCGTGTCTGAATTAAATGAAATTGATAAGTACGATACGGCGGACGCCTACAGTCAATGCAGTTGTTCTCGTACAAATTGACCGAGTTACTCTGCTTGAAGTACAACCGAGGATTGTACACCGAGTTGAGAGAAACTCTCGACAGTTGGCAGAGAGATGTGTCATGGTTATGAAAGGCAGCACGGCAAGAAGAACTGAAACAAGACCCTCGATCCTTTGATTTCAATGTTTTCTCACTCATTCTGGCATTGTGACAAGCATTGTTCCACGGGAATCGAGAACGTTTTGATGATGAATGACGAGTTCAACAGCGATTTCCCACTGAATTTCTCGAAAGCGAAACTTCTTTTCAGGCATTTGTCTGCAATAAAAACGTCGAAATTCGTTCGTTGACCCGTCAATTACTCACTTTCCAAACACGTTTTCGTTCCGATGGTCTCCGATCCGGGCGTCGTTATGACGAACGATTTGGGATTTGCCTCCGAGAAAAGTTGGCAATTGAAAGTGTTCTCGGCTGCTGAGAAAGTGAAATGCGTGCAGTTTTGTACCTGAAAACAACGAATTATGAATATTGAGAGTGAAAAGAAGATCAAACCGATGAACAGAATCTTGTGCACTGAGAAAGGCTATCGACGGGCTTCTGAAGGATACGGTTGTCCGCGGAGTTGATGGAGCGGGAAGTCTCAATGATGTAGCTGACTTCACATGGAAAAAGGGAAGGAATCCATGAAAAGAGGAGAAAAAGTGCTGCACTTTTCATGGCATTACCTGAAAGTTCATGATATTTTCTTGAGATTCAAATGAAGTTGTCGAGACGTGAACCGGAAATCAGAGATAGTTTAAAGTTGCGTCCATTCGGAAAGGTTAATTAATGGACACTGGGCGGCACCCGGGGGTTTTAAACGTTTTAAACGAACGCCCGACAACTTGTGTTATGGGACAGCATGAGTTATGGGCGAGAAGCGGATAACGGATGGGAAGGCAGAGGATCCAGAGGGAAACCAGCTGAGAAATCCGTGTTGGACAGACTGTCAGATCACTTGTTCGCTTTTTGCATTGTCGGACTATTTGGCTACCGAACAGTAGACATATATCGTTTTGGCGGTAAGCAAACAAGCCGACCACTGAATGACCAGCCATGAGAAATAATAGTGGTCGCCGGGTGGAGACGCAAACATACGTACGGAGACGTCGAAATCAAAAGGGCAGAATGGAAAGTGACGGTTACAGGAAGTAGGTGAAAGTTGTTTCTCTATGCTTCTTCATGCATTTGGGTCAATTTCCAGCTGTGCGAAAGAGGATTTCCGTCTTTCAGGAACCTCGATTCTCGGGAGAACAAATGAAGACGCAATAGGGAAAATGGAAGTTATACTTAAGGATGAAATGATAATGGGGACTAAAGTGAAAATGCAGGCACATCTCAATCGAGATCGCATTAGTCGAGAATGAAAAAAATCCGTCCTCGTGGAAAGTCTGCGTCTCTCCGATCTTCAGGCTTCTCTCTACGATATATTGGCGGATTTATGAAACAATAAAGACGCGCAAGAAAAAACATCGTAATGGGGGAGAAGTGGCGAAAGTTTCGAGAGGCTGACTGACTGGGTGGGTCGGACGGACGACGGAAGAAAGTGACAAAGTGAAGACGGAAGAGATCAACTCGTCCAACCGGATGGGTTCCGGACGGCGGATCCGCCTGATTGCAAAAGTTAGAGAACAGGGTTAATGGGGTTGAAATCAAACGGAAATTATGAATAAACAAAGGAAAGAGAGGGAAAGAGAGTTGTTGTCCCAAGTATTACTATACACACAACAATTATCGGGTCGCCGGCGGACGGCTCCGTCCGTTAATTGATCCCTTCCCCGGACTGGCACGGTCGAAACAAGGTTGTCGACAGGATGACAAACCAATTGACAGTTCCGAAAGGGCTCTAATGGGAAGCTGGCGGGACTCTCTGTGAGAGAGCAGCTGCCGAAGACGTTTCACTCCCAATTTCACTTTCGTTTGAGAAAGTGAAGGGGACAGCTGGACGAATCTTCTTGGAAAATCCCTCGGAAAATAGGTCACAAAAGAAGCTTTTCGGATGAAACAAAACATACAATCCACAGATAGGTGCATTTCAGAAAGAAGTAGCCGAAAGGGGGAGTCTACGATGCGGTGCGCTGCCGGAACAAGAAAGCGGTGACCTTTCGAGCAAACAGCCGAACACAGTGCCTTGATTAGAGGGTGTGATCGCTTCTTCGCTGTTTGCTCGCTGATATTCGATAGTATTGTGCAAACAGAGCCCGGAAAGGCAGCCGTTCTAATCAAGTGCGCTTCCCCGAGGGCACCGCCACTTACGCAATTGTTTTCTGCCGGAGACCGACCCTTGACAGGACGGAAGGAAGTGATGCGCCGGCCGAAAAGGGCACAAATGTGCGAATGACTCAGGCTGTCAACTTCCCGCATTCGACGGTGATGTGTTTATGATAGACACCGAGCCCGTCCGATTTGTAGCTCCGCCAGATGGGTTTTATGACTACGCTTGCTTCTTGAATTACCGGCATTGCTTTGACTTTTCGGAGGAAGAGAGCACAATATGCACATGTTCTAGTGAGAATGACTCGGAGAGAAATGAGAACGGGAAGAAGGCAACAACAAAATAACAACAATAGTTTGTGGGAGCGCCGTCGAAAACAAGAACACAAAGGAAAACAAAGGGAGTTTCAGATTACTTCTCACCTGATAGTAAGCCATATCTTTATGAAACTCATCGAATATGTTTTCTCCGTCAAATGAGAATTCGACCTCCCGCGCCATTCCGAAAGGGAACCCTAAAAGAGAGGAATTTCCCGCGTGGCAAACAGTATTCCCATTCCCATCCGTTTGTTCGTTTCTCCGCTCATTTCAGTTCCATTTCCCATCAGAACACACGAACTCACGTATTTTTCTGACTGAAGAGAAGAGTTTGTCAGTCAAATAGCAGCTAGCCTAGTGAATATATCATGGATTCGATCGTCGTTCACCTCATTCTCGTCGTCTCTACTCTCACCCTTTTTGTGAGTTTTCCTGATGTAATGAGGGAAACTGAAACATTTCAGACATATTCTGTCGTCGGATGTGGTGGCAAAAAGAAGCCGAAGGAGCATGCTGGAGAGCCGGCGAGTAATAAGACTCCGAGTGTTTCGGCGAATCCGCCTCCTCCACCTCCGCCGCCTGCTCCCGCTGATCAACCGGAATTGAAGAAGGACGAAGTGAAGGAGAAATCAGTTGTGCAGCTGGAAAAGGTGAGATCTGAGTTTGGTGGAGTGGATCAGCATAAATGGATTCAGAAGGCGAGTGAGAACAAGGATGGAGCTGAGAAAGAGAAAACGAAGAGTAAGAATGACAAGACGAAAACGAAGGACAGTAAGAAGGAAAATGAGAAGAAGGAGGAGGAGAAGAAGGAAAAGACAAAGGAAGAAAAGAAGAAAGAAGAAGAAGCTGCTGCTGCTGGTGCTCCGCCGGCTCGAAATGCGGATGATAAAGTACGGTTGTCTTCTGTCCTCTCTTTGATTTAATCCTTTTCCTTAACAGCAAGGGGTGATAACTGATCCGATTGTGACGCCAGAGACGGACGAATTCCCAACGATTGAGGAGGAAAAGAAAGAGAAAGACGAGAAGAAGAGCAAGAAAGAAGACGAAGGAAAGGAGAATATCAAGAAGCCGAGCAAGACAAATCTCGCCTGAAACTTCTAATAAACTTCCTACTTCATGTTCTAGAAATAATCTGAAATATTCTGCCAGAAAACAATTCGAGCAACTTCATTTCAAGTTATCACACACAGCGCATCAGTCTATCCTTCCTTATTCATCCTGCTCCCGCACGAACCGCGTGAATCTGTTCAGAGTGCTCTCCGACATGTGAGGATCGATGCTTCTGAAATGAATCGGAATGGTCCTCTCCGTCACCAACTACAGTATACCTGAAGGCAGAGAGAAGACGTTGTCGGAAGAAGTTCGCCTCGTGGCCGCGGGAGATTTGATGCTCGGGGAGCTGCGCTTCGACTCCTGTAAGAGCACTTGACCGTGGGATTCTCGAACAGTACATAAACCGGGCTTGGATTCCACCTCTCTGCCGACTATTTTCGATTGAAAGGACCTTTTACTCATTCATCGAAGAATGTCAAATATTTTTGTATCGGATCGAAAGATTGAGCTGTCCGCCAAATGTTTTCGTGTCAGGTCGACGAACGGACATAAAAGTCAACATCCTACTGTACCCACTACTATAAAACTCAATCTTGCTCATGGATTCCCCAAGATTCCTAAAAGTTTCTGGCTTTCATTCGAAGCAACCATGTCACGAAATTCGGTGAGTTCCCTTGTCTCGGTTTCTATTTTTGAATCACTTACCGTCCACAGTCCATGCGGTGGCGACGGCGAATAGCACGCAAATGAGAAAGAGCAGTCGGACGAGCATTGCGGAGAGAGACCTGGAAGTCGTGCTAACTATACAAAAGGGGAGAGCGAGTGAAAACAATAATCAAGGCGGCGACCCCGGTTTACGTCAATAACGTCAGTGCTAATTGATTGTCGAGGGACTTCTTGTCACACCTTCCCTGTTATTCTCCACCCGCACGCCCAAACCACTGAGGAGTCCGAGAAGCTCATCGTGGTTGCCTATTCCGAGAACTTTTCTTTTTGCCCGTGCTACTCGAAACTTGTGGTCTGGGCGGTAGGGCAGAGTCAGCATTATTTGAAATCGGGTGACGATTGATCAGACCAATGTCCAAGAGGAAAGAGCACAGGAATATGCGAGAGCACACAGACACAGCCTCTTGAACAAATCGCGATGCGTCGAGCGAGCAAAAAGGCGGACAAAAAACATTTGGGTCTTAGAAATTGATACACTTCTTTGTGCATCCGTCGTTTTCAATCAAGCTTATCCTCTTTTGTCATGTTTTTCCATGTCCGCCTTTCTTTTGACGCATTCCAATTTCAGAGAGTCATTATGTCGGTGATTCGTACGCGTACTCTGCAGGAGGTGTTCGAAGAGTCCAAGATGGTCATTTCGCAACTGACCGAGGAGGAAATTCACGAGTTCAAGGAAGCTTTCTTGCTTTTTGACAAGGTTTCCCATCACAGACTGATCGAATACTTCTCACTCTTCGTTTGCAGGACGGAAACGGCACGATTTCCATCAAAGAACTGGGAGTTGCAATGAGAGCTCTCGGCCAGAATCCGACCGAACAGGTGAGTGAGAGAACGGAAAGTGGGAGAGGAAATGTGGAGGAATTCAGCAAATGATGGAAATCATTCACGACGTGGATTTGGATGGAAACGGACAAGTCGAGTTTCCAGAGTTCTGTGTCATGATGAAGAGGTGAGAGAGGGCTTGCGGTGGATGGAGGGGTGGGCGGGGCGGGGCACACTGCCTACTAGGCAACAGAGTGAGAAGTCTGAAGAGGCGCCCGGGGACCGGCGACAAACGTCATCGGGCTACGATGAGTTCACTTATAAAGGCGGCTGACGTAGAACTCGAAATTTCTAACGCACGAATCGAATTTCTTTTCTTTTCGGTCGAGAGAAAAGGGGGCCTTCATAAACACTTGCGTGCATCTTTCCGAGTGTTTTGCACGGAAGTGACACTTCGACAAGTCTTCCGTGTACTCTCCTCATGAATGTTGCAAAAGGTAACGTCACCTGAGATTGAATCGGACAACTCGACATTATTAGAATAAATTATACAAAAATAGTGGGAAAGTTTAGGCTATTTTGAATGTGAGCAAGAGAAATATCGGCCTAAGGTCATTCAAAGCTCAGATGGGAAAACTGAGAGTTTTGCTTCAAAGGACTATGAATTTAAGATTAGTCTGCGGGCAGGACCACACTTGAGACTTGCGAGCCAGTAAACAAAATATCATTAGTGCATTTGGGTTGCAGTGAGAGCCTTTGACTGACTGATTTCTTCCAGAATAATGAAGGAAACGGACTCTGAGATGATCCGCGAAGCATTCAAAATTTTCGACCGCGACGGAAACGGAGTCATTACAGCCAACGAGTTCAAGTTGTTCATGGTACTTGTCACTGCCAGACGACTAAACATCTTCTGTCCGTTTCAGAGCAACATGGGCATGTGCTTCGACGAGGCAGAAGTGGAGGAGATGATGAACGAGGTGGACTGCGATGGTAATTATATTGTCCGGCTCGTCTGGAGAGCTCTCAAGTGAAATTACAGGAAACGGAGAAATCGACTACGAGGAATTCGTCAAGATTTTCAGCTAAATCACTTTATTTCACAGGCAAAACGGGGCGGATCGTTTTTATCTGACGCCGGATAAAAGTTTTCCGTTTTGCCGTAAAATGCATCAATCGGTCGAGAAGTAAATAAGTATAAGTTGTACATATAAATCTAATAAATGTGTTGATTGAGAAGGATATGAGCGTGATATAATCGCTTTTTGGAACCATGAAACACTCTGCAAAACTTCGCGTGCCACGTCACGAACCAAAACATGAAAGCAAGGGGGAAAACAAAGAAGTAGCAATGCACATTCTGTTTCGAAGTCACGCGAGCAGCCTTTCCTTTCTGACCACCGCCGACCCGTTTTTTGATTTGTATTATGTCTGACGTTAATGTTCGCTGAGACAATCAGTCGAGAGCCAAATTGGTGGGTTCCCAGAAAACGGCTAAAAGTAACCGACTATTTCTGGACAGGTTCATTGTTCAGACACGTTATCAGAAATGAGGAGTGCATCGATCTTCACGAGTGATCCCGAAACTTTGAGGCCTAATCCTGTGGTGATTGTCCCCTGAAAACGAGTACTATTCACTCGGTTGTAACGGCTATTTCGGTTCTTCCATCATTGCCTTTTCAATGAAAACTTTCCACAAAGGCATAATATAACTAATCCAATGTGTCACTTTACATCAAATCACACGCCTTTCACCCCAATAACTTCTCGCACATGAAAAGAGAGACCAGTTCGGCTTGGGGGAGGAGACGACGAAGAGAAAGAACGTCGCGGAGGACGGTTCGCCACGTCATATTATCAGTTGGCAATGGATAACAACAAAGTGCGGCCCGACCGGAGAGTCTCAATTATCTGTCCATTCATCTTTTATTAGCATACCTGATTTATGTCCGCTGCCGCCGTGGCCACAGTCTTCCGCTTCTCCCCTCGTCCGCCTTCCCGCCGATTCTTGCGTCTTTTCAATTTTCGCCTTCTGTATCGAATGACACTTCTGCGCAGAATTTGAATATTATTCGCATTTGTATATGAATATGACTAACTTCCGCATGGTACTCATTCTCTCCCATTTCGGATTGGATTACAACCCGTTGCTCTTTCCACAATCCCATCCTCCTTCCCTGCCAATGAGTATCCTGAATGCTACTGATTCTTCTGAATCTCATCATGTGTATCGTATCATCCAATCTAATGTGATGACGTCTAAAATCCATCCAGGGAACGCGTGACTGTATTCACTGTCATTCTCATTTTCCGAATATTTTCACCGGCCACAATGATCAGTCGTTTCGATACCCATCAAAATTCAGTTATGCAAATGCATGCACCTAGCATAACAGGCGCCGGAGAGGCTTACGATGCCGTGGTGTTATTTTGACTCATTCGCGGATAATATCAAAGTACACTGCCATAATTATTGATGTCATTCACAATAACGTGTATTCCACACCTCCCGCACATTATCTGCCCACATTCTGCCCTTGTTAATTGTCCAGATGTCTGGTCGTTTTCCTCCGAACTCTGTCTCAATCTACTCTCCTCGGTGACAAAAAGTGAACAGCTTTTGCCCATCCCTCTCCAGATCCTATCGCTCCTCCATCCCGCCCGTCCGCTATTACTCCTCCTGCATCGATAACGATCTGCCATCCGACGTGCCCCGTACGAGCCCTCCGACGGACCTTTCTGCCTGAGTAAACAAGCGCGTTCAGCAGTAACCTGCTCGGGACCGCGCAAACAAACAAAACAACTGCGGAGGTCCGAGAGAGGACGATGTTGCTGCCCGCACGGAGGGCTCATTCGCACTCCTATCCTCCGTTGCCAAATGCTCCGCGCACTCGTCTGCGTCTCGCCGAATTATCGATTCTCTCCCGATGCCATCGTCTCTTCTGCAAGCGCGCTCCTCTGTCCACCAAGAAATCATCATCATCTGCGACGTCTTCTTCGTCGTCGTTATCCGAAACGGCTCTGTGCATTTTCACTTTCCTCACTATCTTATCATCTCGACCGAATCCCCATTTCATGTCGGCTGCTTTCTTTGAGCACGCCAATTGCTCCCACCAATTCACTTTTTGCCCCGACCGCTCATTCGTCTTGCTCTTCTGCCCGCTGTCCGTCGACCGACTGCCCATCAATCCATCGCATTTTATCAATTTTTAAGTAGCCTCCTCCTCTTCTCCTCTTTTTCCTCTTTTTCTCGTTTCGCGTCGTTTCCTGCCGTCGCCATTTGAGTAATGTCCAAGGCCAACCGACGAGACAGTCTGTCGATCGGCCGGCAAAAAGAGCTGATTGTTTGGATTGAAACGGCGGCGCGTCTCTGTTTCGAATCAAAATAAACATACTCCCATGCCGTTTTTTGTCTGTCTCAATTTGAATCTGAATCTGTAACGTCACTGCCCAACCGCACTCTTTTTATTTTTTGCCCTGTTCCACACACTGTTCCACCCCAATCGCCCCGTTCGCACAGTGACAATTAAAGGCTGAACACTGTCATAAATAGTTGTCCTCTTTTTTCCATTTTCTTCTTTTCCGTTTCCACTTACAATGCTTGCATCGAAACTTGCAGAATCCAGTTGCATTTGTTTGCTCATCGACTCTTGTACGTTCCGGGATAGAGTGCATGATCCTCGGAGAACCCGGTCATGCACCTGTTCTGAGAGACCAGTTTCCCTTTCCTGATTACTATACGCTTATGACCCCTCGCTCCGATTGCTACCATTCCCTTCTCTCCTCTCCTTTTTCTTTCTCTCTCCAAATCTTCTAGCACCTAATTGCCCATTTCGGACTCTGATGGCTCGGAACGGAAGGGGATGTGTCCGATGACGAACGCTTGAGTGGCTCTTCTATAGTAGTCGTGCGGGCTCCTAATTATTCCCGACAAAGTGCGTACTACTCGCAGTCCATCCAACACGCATTTCCACCTCGTTTCTTTTGTGTCCGTCCGACATGTCGCGATTCTCGGTGAAAGATGGCCTCGTAAAACCAAATTGCCACGTCATAAAAAGTACCTCTATTTTCCAACATTCCATCATCCCTCCGTTTACCTCGTTTACTGAAAACAAGAGTGAGAGTTAGTCAACTGCCGGCGCCACGTCACTTTTGTGTACTTTCAGTGGAATGCTCAGTTCTTTCTCGCTTTGCCACGTCACGCGGCCCAGATAATTTGGGACGGCGCTCGTCAATCTTGACGGACGAGTTCCCGACAACATCTGATTGCACATTTCCGCTTCCGTCTCAAACTGTTTCTCGTTTTCTCGGAATTGTATAATTTTGCAGTGCTCCGCAAAACTCACCCATGCTCGTTTTCACTGATGTCTTTATGACATTCTCTGCCATCCCTTCATTTTGCACACTATTTTTAACAGTCAGTTTATGAGGTGAAGCACGCAGTCTGCCCCTCTTCCTCTTGCCGACTCTCTCATTTTCCCATTCATATGATATTATCTGTGCGTCTCGAAGTGTAACTGTTTTGCTCTTTCTCGTTTCTTTCGGCTCCTCCCCGCCTGTCTATCATTCGCGGTTCCTCTTATCGTGTCATTCCTCTCACATTTCAGCCATGACCTGACACATTGAAGAACACGAGAAGTGTTTCCGCTTTCTGGTCTCTCAATCCGCTCGCCCCATGGGATCAGCCTCCCCCAGGCCTCCTCTCGACGTTTTTACCCTTTTTCGCGGGTATTTCACTCAATCATTCTTGTTAAGAACCTGATTATTTTTTGGTTTTAATTAGGCGGCAGTGTCTCTGATTTTCGGACAACAGACAACACGCTTCTTCCTGTTTTTTCCCCATTGTTATGCAACCCGCTCTTCTCTCGACCATCAATAATCAATTGATTAAGTGTCCTTCTGGCTGACCGACTCGAAAAACATTTCTTATTCTTAAGAATTCTTGTCCTTCTCCTCAAATTGACCTCTTCTCTTCATCTTCTTCTTCCTCGTTTACTCCATTTTTTTTTCGTCGTCGCCTTGCTTTTAGAAATATCAAATTTCCTCGACACTTGCAAGTGCCTCACAAGTTTTCGTCTTCAATTCCATCTTTTTTCTGTGTTTTCTGCCATCCATTTCGATTTCTCAACCGTTTTATCACTGACTCGGAACGCCCTGTTTTCTGGTGACTAATCGATGACATGCCCATTTTTTGTGTTGCTTGGTCGCCAGTCTATCTATTTCCAGTCGTTTCCCTCCATTATCATCGTTTCTCCATAATCGGCCTATACGAATGACTTTTCCGAGAAAAGCCGAAACGCATTCCAATTCTTTCAGACATGCGAGAATCTAAAGAATGGCGTGGCACCACGTCGACGAGTCGGGTGTTCGTGCAAAAAGGATATCAACTGTCCGATGAGCTGGCTCTCCGGAAAGTTCAAGTGCTCGAGAGGAGGTATGGAGGAACGCATTTGGCTCACAGAGCAGCAACGATGATCCAGAGGGCGTGGAGAGAATATTGCCTGCTCAAACAGTGGATGGTCATCCGACACAAACATGACACGTGAGTTTCTTCATTGAATTGATGAATCTGGAAAGTACGAGACAAAATTCCAAAGTTGTTGGTGAAGTTGATAAATTACTAAACTAGGATCCTGAGAGTAGGGTAATCTCAACACCTCTTTTTTGTCCTGTGAAGTGTTGTTTTCGAAATTTCGGAATGTACAGGGTAACAGAGACAGTAAACGTTAACTGAAAACGAAACCAGTCGGCAACAACCTCTTCCCATTAAATCTTCCAGTATCACAAGACAAACCTCATTTCCTGTTCGATAGAAAACCTTCGGCCAACATATGTTTCCGGAAGATTATCTCATCAGCAAACGCACTTTTTTGCGTGTGTTCATGTTCCACCCGAACCCCTACTCAAACACATTTCGATGGAATCTGTTTCGAAAGGGAAACGGGGCGCCCATAACTTAATACCTGCTTTGCTTTGTGTGTTATCGTCTCTCAATCGAATGTTCTTCAAACAATCGTCGTTTTTGCTTTCAGAATACCAGACCTCGATGCGAGATGCGGAGTGTCAAACAGTCAGCGCAACGAGCTATCACTAACCAGGTTAGTTCGAACTTCTGTTTGTTTTGTTTCGTCGCCTTCCCAGCGACCCGGCACCGTCGGACACTTGTGTGATTCAGAGTGACTCAAAGTCTCAGAAATGTCGGGTCTTTTGAGGAAACAGGAGGCAGGAGACCCTTAGAAGCGCCTTTTATCGCCCAGTCTACGTCGTTTCTCATAAAAATGTAGCGGTCTCGCGCGAGAATACGGTTCATTTTTATGACGATTCTTTTGCGCATCCCGTGCTTTTCCCATCCTGAATCGTCTTCATTGTCTTTTCTTCCGAGGAGAGTTTCTTTTTCTCAAGATAAATTTCTGTAAACACTGTCAAACAGTACCCCATTTCTGATTTTTTTTTGCGTTTCTCACTCTCCCTCGCTCTTTCTCTTTTGTCAGCAAAATTGAGGCACTTTAGTGTGCTCATTTTCGGGTGAATTTCTGGCAATTTCGCTCGTTTTCTTTTTCATACCTCATGCCCCACCGCGGGTCGGTGAAACGATCTCTTCCGGTCGAGACACTGGCCGCTTTGGGATTCAAGCAGTCTTTTCTTTGGCACACAACTCGAATTTATACGATTTGTACGAAACGTGTCAAAATAGAGGGCGGCGGCAAGAAAGCATTGGCCGCCCGGAGCAGATAATTTTGGTGGCGAAGCTGTCAAGAACCGAAAATAAACATTTTGCCGTCTCAGTGCAATCTTCGCGCTTCTTGTTCGCCCCATTTGCCCTTCTCGAACACTGTCTTTCCGATTTTCAGCGCTGTTTATGCTAGTAACAGATTACGCGGTAACTAAATTTGTTTGTCAGAAGAAAAAGTTATTCAAAATTGCAAGCGTGACTCTCTTGAATAAATTCCGTTCACCACTTTCAAAATTTTGAAATTCTAATTTTCCTTATTCAAGAATTAGTCAATGATGCAAATGCGCTCTATTGTTAGTAACAAAAAATCTGCAAAAAAAGTTGCACAGCATTTTTGAAAATATCCGAGCAACAATGATCTTAGTTCTGATATTCTCCATTCTGATCATAATCGTGTTCTCTGTTATAAAGTAAGTTATTCTACAGATTTATTTTTCAAAAATAAGGTTTCTTCTGAATAATCTCCATTCACGAGCATTCTCTATTTCCGTCTCTAATGTCGTCATTTCTTTCAGCCGGTACGCCACAAGCCTCAGTGCCCAACTACGGATAGACCGTGTCGCCCGCGCGAACACTGTCGATCGGAGCCCTCCATCACCTGCTCCGCCCGTTTTGGCCAATTTACAAAACTCAAATATGATTGGTGAGTCGTATTCCAAAACGCGTTTCCCAGAGCTAATTGCAAAATCTGAAGTGACCGCAGTTTAAAATAAAAGAGCCGTCTTGGCGGCCGTCTCATGACTCTCTAAATTATTTTCTCACAAATTTCTCACTCCGAATTGGCTGGCGGCCATCCGTTTCTCTGGCACCTCGTGCCGACCCGACAGCCTCGAAAATGTTGCCGTCTCTTTTTCTCCCAGCATAAAACCGATCGCCTGCCTCATTATTTGTTTATAAATGATACAAACGAGCGGGGCGCCAACACAAAAGCGAACGCGCCGACCCAAATAGATAAACAGATATGCTCCGCGCCGCCGACGCGGCTCAAACACCAACTCGTTCGCCCCCGGTTACTGCTCCGAGTTCCACTCACTTTCGCCCTTTTGTTGTCTGTCGAAAACCTGACTTTGATGACAGTTTTCTCTGTTTTTCTAACTGGGTTCGAAAATATTGGTCTGAACTGATTTCTGGTTCTCGCTTATCCGCCGGGCGCAGTTTCATTTGTCACAAGACATTTCACTCGAGACTTCAAAGTTCAATGACACCGCGGAGAGAATAATTGGCTTGTCAGGTGCGGTGCCAATCAGAAACTGTCCTTCTCTTTCTTCCAAAACTATATGCAATTTTATTTCGAAAGAATTCAGCGACGTATGTTTATTCTTGAAATATGGGCTTAGAATATTCGCTTCACAACTTTTAACGCTTTGGTTTACGAATCTAGAACAATCTTTCGGATTTAAGCCTTTTTGTGTTCTCTGAGTTGAAATCATTCCAATCATCTGATAATATATATCTCTCCGTTTCCACTTTTCTTCCGCCAGGTTCCTAAGATAAGATTTACACTCATTGTTTATTGTTGTCATAAAACAATCAATTTGTCGCACCCCGCGCAGCGTACTCGTGCTCAAAAAGTCTTTTCAAATAGTTGGTCTCCTGAAAACTGCAAAGAAACTTTCAAATTCCTTCCGCATGTCCGTCCTTGTTGTAAGCGCACGCCCGCCTAATTATTCATTCAGCTGACTATACTTTGAAGCGGCGCGTGAACGAACGACGCGTCGATGCAAATGCAGTATGAAATAGTGCCTGTTTGCAGATAGTCTAATGTCACCCCGTTTGGGAAACCGCCGATTCGTCGCCACCGCCCGATGCGCTCCCACAGCCGGCGAGCTCTCCGCCACCGAAGTGTGGCTTCCTCGGCCCTCTCTGGTCAACCACAACCCGGCACATTCGAACTCTTTACCCCGACTCGACAAGCAGAGAGTCCATGATCGCAGCGAGTCGAATAACGGAAGGAAGCAGTCAGAAGTGAAGCCGGTACGGACAATGACGGACCAAGAGAGGAAACGACAATATCGCATTGCCCTCAACTTCTTCAATAAGTACGAAATCAGCGTTTTTGGCGGTTTGCAATGTTTTAATATTTCAGAAAACCAGAGCGGGGCGTGCAATTGCTGACTGCGTGGGGATTCGTCAAGAACGCTCCAGATTCACTCGCCAGTCTTCTTTTTGGACGGCGAGGACTGAGCAAGGCCATGATCGGAGAGTACATCGGCACTCTTCACTCGCATCATCACAGTCTCGTTTTAAAGTACGGATCCATCTTTTTAAAAAAACCTCTCAAATGTTAATAAAACATCTCAAATGTTAAAATAAAATAAAAAATAAAACATCTCAAATGTTTTATTTTCAGATATTTCACCGGGATGATTGATATCAGAGGGCTCGAAGTGGATGTGGCTCTCCGCAAAGCAATGCAGTTCTTTATTCTTCCAAAAGAGGCCGAGAAGATCGACAAAATCATCCAGGCCTTCGCTCTGCACTACGCCAAGTCGAATCCCAAAAGGACGTCGAACTTCCGCGGTGGCTGGGATACTGTACACCTCCTCTCTTTCGCAATCATAATGCTCAACACAGACCTGCACTCGCCGAATGTGAAACAACGGATGACGCAGAACGATTTCGTTCGCAATTTGAGAGGACAGGACAAAGTGGCAGGCGAAAGAGACGGCGAAGACATTGATCGAAAGACGCTGGAAGGAATATACGATCGTATAAAAAAGGACGAACTGAGACCAGGAGACGACCATGTGGCACAAGTCCAACGAGTGGACAGAGCAATTGTGGGCAAGGACAAACCGGTGAGCTCGATTCGTGTCAGTATGAAAACAAATAACAATGATTCCAGAGATTAGCAGAGACTCCCCGTCGATTGGTCTGCTACTGTCGTCTACAACAAGTGACTGATCCCACTAAAAGACAGTCCTCGTCTGCGCGCGAACGGGACGTCTTCCTGTTCAATGATATGATCGTCGTCGCGAAAGGAGTGCGTCGTGGATCCACGTCAATGACCGGATGCACGTACACTCTGAAGCAGTGGACTCTTCTTCTCGGAGCACACGTTACAGAGTTTCAGAGAGGACAATACGAGTTTGGACTGACGATTTCATGTCCAAACAAGGAAAAGATTCATTTCAACGCACGCAACTTCGACGATCGATGCCATTTTGTGGCAGACGTGACAGAGTCGATAAGAGAAGCGACGGAGATGGAGCAAGTCCGGTTAGAAATGGAAATGGAGCAGCACACGACAGCGACGATCCGATCGGACAATCAGAGAGACAGCGGCCTTCCCGATATGGATGATTCTATGAAACTTTCGGTAAGAATTGCATTCCTTTCCCTAACGAATGTCTTCTTTTCAGAATGGCAGCAACAGCAGCGCCGGTTCTTCGTCTTCGTCCTCTGGCGTCAACGGCCTCTCATTCCGCCGTCTCTCCTTCAATTCGCTCGACAGCGGCGTCGTCGAAGAGCATCTGGAAGCGTGCTGAAAATCCGTGAAAGCTGCTCAACCGATTGTATTCTCCGCTCAATTAAATCCCAGTTACCAGTACTAGTCATAGGTTTCGATATCCAATCAGGCATAATCCGTATCTGAACGCATTATTTTCATGTGAATATGTTTGTGCGTAAAACAAGCGCGCTCCCCTGCACCCCTTTTCTATGTCGAATAGGCGTGAATTCCGTGTTCTTCCTGTACTTTTCCCACTTTCCCCCATTGAGAACTTCACTTCTTGCACGAGGTATTTCTTTTTTGCCCCCATCAGATTTCTTGTGTATTACTCACGACCAATCGCACTTCTGAAGTATTGCTCATGACTCACTTTGTCTTTTCTTTGCCTCGTATCGCTAGAGCTTTTTCCATTTTATAGTATTTATGCTGAAATTCACTTTGACCTGACACTATGTTCGAAACGAGAATACTGGTCGGCTATTATTCTTGTTAACTTGCCCAACTTTGATTTTTTCATGAATGATTTAGTTAAACTCTTCTACAAAGACAGCTGGGTTGGCTCCATATGCAAATTACGTTCGAATCGTGTGAATCTCGGTGAAAAAACACAAATTGGTTCCAGATGTCTGAGAAGCAGCAGCAGATGCAAGATTTTCTGAACAGAAAACGAAAAATGGATTTGGAAGTCGCAAAGGTTGGAGAATTTGACGTAATGAGAAATTTATGAAAATGTAGTTCAGAATTCGTCAACGTCTTCTGAAAAGGAACCGAAAGAAGTAGAAGCGAGGACAGAAAAAGACGCAGAGAAAAAGAAAAAAGAGAGCGAACAGTTCGAAAGAGCGAAGAAAGCCCTGCTGTTCGAAGCCGGAAGGGCCAAGGACCGAGCTGGAGAGATGGGACCGCAGGGATATGTGAAGCCGAAGAGTCTGGCGACGAACAAACAATTCCTCCGAAGAACTATCGAATCGACTCTTCCGCGTCGAAAAGGCAAAGAAACTAAGGATCCTAAATGATTTCATTTCTCCGATAAAACAAGCATGTACACTTTATTAAACACAGTTTTACATAGGATTCCGAAAAAATGCGTGCAAATTTAGAACTTCTCGTCGTAGCGGATCTTCTCGGCCTGTGGGTGCTCGGTGACGTACTTCACCGTGTAGGTTCCGGTCTGTCCTGGCGCCAACTGCACAGTGTAGTCGAGGATCTTCTCGGGAGTGATCTCGGCTCCGACCTTCGGCTCGGCACTGGCCTCAGCGACCTCGGTGGCCTTTGGAGCCTCGAGGCGAACCTGAAAACGAAGTTTTCGAATTGGAAGGGGAAATTATTGCGCATACCGTGATTCGGGAGTCGGTGGATCTTGGAATTTGCTCGCGAATGGTGAGAAGAACGGTGTTCGGGCGGAGGTTTGAGACGAAGGTCGTCTTCTCGGTCACAACTGCGTTGATCTTCTCCACAGTTCCGCTCTGCTGATTATAGTTCTTAACTGGCTTGTAATCGATGCGAATGGCTGGGTCCACTCCCAACGAGACTTCGAACTTTTGAGAAATTACGGCATCGTCAAAGTCGACTTTGTTGATAAAGGCTCCGTCGAGGAAAACGGAAGCTTGTCCGGCAACGAGCGGGAAGTCTGAGGTGTTTACAGAGGTGGCAATAAGGTACGCAACGGCGTTCTTCGATGGGACGGTCACATTGGCGAGCTTAGTCGGAATGGTGAACTCTCCGATGCTCACTTTGTACTCTTCAGTCCGGTCGTCGACAGTGGCTGGACGGCCGATGCTGAATTCCGAAGAAATGTTGCTCGATCTGACGACAGCGGAAGCTTGTTTGAGGCATTTTCCGAAAAGTCGTGGTGCAGAATCGTAAACCATCTCGCTGCAAGCGTAAGCCCGAGCTTCGGGTTCGGGAACAACAATGGAGGCATCGAGGGCTCCGAGCTTCGGAAGTTGCTTCGCACCGTGAGCTGGCTTGGCAGTCGACAGAACGAGTGGTACGTTCTTCCAGTCCTCCCCGCTGAACTGACGGACCTTTCCGAAGTAGGTGATCTGCAACTCAGCTCCACTGGCTTCAGTTGTGACACGGACATCGTAGAATGGGAACCAGGAGACATTGTTGACCTGGTAGGAGACGGTCAGCTGAACGGATTCGCCTTCCTCCGATTCGACGACGATGCTGGCGTATTGAGCCGAGTTTCTCCATCTGTATCCGGTGTTATCGTAGTCCTGGCTTGCACGGGTGAACTCTTCCTCGGCTCTGCGATACTCCTGGTCGAGGCGACGGATTTCCGCACGGAGTGTGACCGTCTTCTCCTGATGGTACGCGTGCAGAGCGTTGAGGCTCTCGATGGTTCGGCCGTCGAAGTGGAAGCTTCCGTCCTTTCCGTGCTTGGCCACTTCGGTGATCAGGTTATCCAATCCCTCGATTCTCTTGTTCACCGCCGTTCTGCTGTCATTGATTTGATCTTTGGCTCTTTCTTTCTCCTCGAAAGTCGCCTTGATGGCAAGCACACGATCCGGAATCACAAAGTCAGCGCCCTCCTGGCTCTTCACGGCCACGTCGTGGATGATGGCCGAGCCATTTCCAGAAACACGGATCGAATCTTGTACCAAGTCGAACGGAAGGTTCTGAAAAGATCATTTTGTTACGATGAATCCAAAGATCAGAAAACCGGTTCCTAACAACAAACACTGACCGTCTTTTCAAACTTTGACAAGGAAGAACAAACATTCATATTTAGAGTGTCTATTTACAGAGCAATGAAAAGTAACGATTTGAATATTAAAAAAGGAAAAGGTAAACAACATACCTGGATCTTGACCTCATTGTATCCGGCCGCCAGGTCCAACTCGAACGTTCTCTTCAGTTCGGCGATGTTCGACTCGGCGTTGTAAACGAGAGCCTGCACGATGGCGACATCGGAAAGGTTGAGTTTGTGGGTTTCGGCGAAGGTAGTCATCTTCTGGAAGTAGGAAAACGTTTGAAAGGGCACACAAATCGCTATGGCGACTTTCGGGACAAACAACCGCACTCGCTCTCACACAAATTCTGGCCTTTTGGCCTCTCTTTTATACGAGTTTGGGAGCGACGGCAGAGACGGCGAAACGGAAAAGAGAAGGAGAGATGCGAGAAAAAAAGGTGGAAGTGCCGCGTTCGAAGGACGAGAAACACACGAGTGTGCAGTTTCGAAACCGAGGAAAGATCAATGTTTTGGAGTTTTTCAAGGAGTTTTTTCAAATGGGTTTCAGATTCACACTCGGTAAAAATCTTGTTCGATTCGAAGCAGGAAAAAAGAAGAAACAGTTTTTTTCCTGTTTTGAATTGGGTTTTTTCCTAATTGAATAGGCCTAACATTTATTTTTCGCGATACGAATGTGTCGAGGAAAGTGCGTGTGATCGCTTGAAATCGTGGCTACCGCAGCTTTCAATTATTTTTAAATCATCATGCAGTTCATACTACATTCATTCTGAAAACTTTCCGTCTCAAAACTTCCGGGTTATCGAACGTTTTCGAAAAAGAACATCTCCGTAGAGTCATCAAGAAGATACATTTGTCGGCAAATCTTTGTTGTTTTCACAGAAAAAAACTAGCGAAAATGGGACAGAAATTGAGAGAAAAGAACAGAAGAGTCGGTCTTTATCTACTTCCGCGTTCTCTCATCTCTTTTGAAATAAATTGCAATGATTCATGTGTGAAAGAATATTTCGAAACGTGACTCAGAAACACAAACAAAACAATAAAAAAAGATAGAAGAGAGCAAATGGAAGAAAGAATGGAGAGAGTGAGGGAAACGAGACGGAAGAGAAATGAGAAAGTGGTTGGGCGTCGTTCTAAATGTGTTTCAGAGCATGAAGGGCACACAAACGGCCGGGCGCTCCTGTAACACCTCCTCCCGGATGAGCACCGCTTCCGCACAGATAAAGGGAATCAATCGGCGTCGAGTAATTGCTCCATTTGCTGATCGGACGGGAGAGATACAGTTGATCTAGGCTCATGGATCCGTGGAAGATGTTCTGAAATACATAAACTTATTCATGTTTCCTCGTGACTCAACAAACTCCTCCGGTGATTCCAAACGTATTCTGAATGTCCGGCGGGGTCAAGATATCATATCCGATGACGCTCGAAGAGAAGTTGGGCGCATAAGCATCGATCTCCGAAAAGACGTGTCTCGCGTACTCTGCTTTCTTTTCTTCCGTCCATTCTCCGTCCACTGGCGAGAACGGAGTATATTGGGTGAAAAGGAGGACGACATGGCCGTCTGCACCGTCCACAATCGTTCTGTCCACTGAGGATGGAATCGTCATTTCAATTACTGGCCTGCAAATATCATTTGGAATCGGATCAGCATACAAGTGTCACCTGCGACTGTATCTTCCGTTCTTGAAATCAATGACGGCGTCATGAACAACTTGCATGTTCTCGCAGTTCATATGGATAGTCGTTTGATGATGAGGCATTGGTTCCGATCCTTGATTTGGTTTGGCCAAGAAGTTCGGAAGTTCTTTCACAGCCACTGGAAAATAATCAAAGAGATGGAACTATCAAAGTAGCAAAATACCATTAATCTTTGTGACCGGAGAGGTGTAATCAATTTGGTTGATCGCCCGATGAAAGTCGGAAGGAAGGGAATCCTTGTGCACGAGTTGATTGAAAGTGACATGCGGAGTCGCATTCGACAATACGATCTTTGCGTGGAGCTCCTTTCCGTCGGCCAACCTCACTCCCTTGGCGACATTCCCATCCAGAAGCACTTCCTGCACTTCCTGCTCTGTGTGAATCTCTGCTCCGTGGCTCTTTGCGCATTCCGCAATTGCCTCGGACACCGCTCCCATTCCACCGTACACGTATCCCCAAGCTCCTTTGTGCTCATCAAGTCCTCCGATGACGTGGTGGAGTAGAACGTAGCTGAAAGAACCGAGTGAGTGAAACAGTGAAGAACGGGAAGTTTCACCCGGTTCCAGGATCCATAGGACTTGCAGCCAATCCAATGACTCCGTCAGTTCCGAGAGTTGCCTTCAGAACATCGCTTTCGAACCACTTGTTCATGATCTTAGATATCGGAGCAGTCATTAGCTCGTAGAAATCGACCGCATTCCTGAGTCCCAGTGGCTGGACAGTTTTGAAGAGAAGATACAGATGAGGGAGCAGCTTATGAATCGGTCTTTGGAGATCAATTGGCTCATAGTCCATCAACGGTTCGAATGCGTGCACTACTTCGGAGATAAAGTGCTCGTACTTCGGATAGTTCTCCGCGTCTCTCTGTGAGAACTGTGCGATCTCCCTCTGATTTTCAGCCATATCCATTCCAAGCAACAGACTTTTATTGCTGTCTCGTATCGGAGTGAACGAATTCGGGTTACGGATGTGATAGCGGAGACCGTACTTCTTCAGATTCAGCTCCTGCATCACGACTGGCCGCAAGAGACTGAGCAAGTAGGAGGCCCGTGAGAACCGGAATCCCGGCACCATTTCTTCGGTGACAGCGGCTCCTCCAAGCACATGACGACGTTCCAGAACACACACTTTCTTGCCTGCTTTCGCAAGATACGCAGCCTGAATTCACTTTCATTTCGGGTGAATGTGGACGAAAACTAACCGCGGTGAGGCCATTGTGACCTCCTCCAATGACAATCGCATCGTACGACTGTTTACTGAAAAACCGACGACTTGTTTGAAAGTACATGACGAATTCTGAAGAAGCTGAGAGTGGAACGAATGAAAAAAACTTTGCAGAAAAGACGGAAAATCGAAACAAGCAACCTTTGCCCGAATTTGTGTGTCTCTAACTGTCTTTGTTATCTTTGTGACCATACGAAAAAAGTGTTTATCGCAGAAAAAATAGACGATAAGATAGATGAGAATGACGAGATTTGTCTATGGTCAACGCAGGAAAAACAGAGACAATCCAAGTAGGATCAGACCGCAGACGGCTGCAAATGAGAGATTTTGATGGAAAATAAAGAATGTAAGTACCCAATGAGGAAATCAAAATCATCGAAAACCACTGTTCTTTGTCGGCCGTTCTCTCCCTGAATCAGAACTGGATTTTCGGAACGGAAACGCACATTCCTACTCTTTCTTTTTCGTCTGCAACACAATATCGACGACAATTTCGAGGCGTGCCGGGTTTTGATAACTGATAACGGCGACGATCGTTGGGTTTTTAGATAGCTGCTCTTCGGTGAGTCGCACTATCACGTCTTGTCCGTTTGGGTGTTGAAACTGGAAAGAAAAGTACGAAGGAAACGGGTGGAAGTGAGCACAGAGCGACTGACAATGCGTTTCGGCTGATGTGCACAGTCCCTGACGTGCTCCAGCGATTCCACTTTCTCTCCGTTGAAAGTGAAGTTCGCTTGGATCATGTTGCCGTCTCCGACGGACAGATCTATCTGAAGGCGGTACAGTTTCTCTGGTTCCAGACTGAGAATGTTGTAGGCGTCGCGGAGTACGAATATCGACGCATTCTCGCAAACATCTCTCTCCTCCACCAGCGCCACTTCCTTCTCTGGTAAAATCTGAAATATTGGCTTCCTTTCTATCTTACCAGATCAAATTCCTCTCACATTCGAACTTCCATAAAGACACTTTGTCAGCTCCCAGCAGTCCGTCTTCTGTGCATTGTTTTGACAGTCTTCGGTTTGAAAAACGGATAAAGTTTCGGTCGGAATACTCAATTTCTTCGCTAGAGAAATTCTAGAATTGTCCAGATCAGTCTTGATATTATCAATTTCCAACGCATCCGATAGTTTAACTTCATCAACTTTACTGAACAAATCCTCCAAAGTATCGTCTCCAGTGGCTCCTTTTCTGCGAACCATCAAAGTTCCACGCCGATTTCGTACTGATTTCACCACTTTGCTAAACATTTTAATTCGATAAAGAGATTCCGAACAGTGATGTCACCAGTTATCACTAGTTGCGAACTGTTTGCAGACTGCCGGAGGACAGCAGCACGCAGAGCAACAGCTCCAATTTTCCCATTTTATGAAGAGCTCCGTGTTCGGGAAACTTCTGTCGACACTTTCTTCGAGCCCTTTTGGAACCGAATTGAACTCCCGAAACTTTAAATAATCTGGAAAAGAGATGTCATTTTTACTTTTAAAGTCACCTGTCACCTACTGTATTGTGCACCGGAAACAAAAGAAACTGTCAACAAAAATATCGAACACACGTACATTCTGTCTTTTGATTATGTTCGGAAACGAGAAATGAGTTCCGGAACAATCGTCGAGGACGCAGTTCACGGCCACCCTACACCACAATGGTCCCTTTTCAAAAGTTTGAGACATTTACTTGAAATCCCTCGAAACCCGTAAAAGTTTGATGTGTTGTCAATTCCAGGAAGCATCGGATGTGCGTGTATAGAGGTTATTTAGTATGAGCGCCGCCAAGCAGCGGCTCCTTCTTTCCGCTGTCTTCTTCTTCTTCTTCTTCTTCTTCTCCGACGAGCCGTCTCCTTTTCGGTAACAATTGACGATGCAGATAGAGTGTTCGATTCGAAGAGGTCCCTCTCTGCGCCCTCTCACTTGCCCACATTCTCTCGTTCACCCGACATTCTACGGTATTCCCTTGTGATAGCTCGTTAACAAGCTGCCATACACAAAAAGAGACATCAAGGATGTGCGGGAAGAAGGCACGCCAAACGAGTCGCGATTCAAACCGCCCCGCGTTTCCGGACAAGGAGGCGGTTCCGGTGCACGAATCAAAAGATACAGTAGTCCGACACTCAAGGAGCCGGGTAGAATTGCAAATCAGACTCGCATTGTTCGGAGTTCGGTGAGCACGCGATTCAAGTTCCGTTCGTCGAATTCGTCGGAGGGTGGGCCCGTTGGAGTCTTCCCGGTGTCATTTCATTCATTTCGTAGAAAGAGTTCAAGGATTCAAGGATTACCGTAGAACTGCCATACCTGTGATCTAATTAAGGTGTCACGAAAGGAAGGATCCCTTTTCTAGAATGTTTCTGAATGCTTTCACTGTTTTGTCAGGTTGGTCTCTGCGCAGGAAAGAAGCGGCTCGATGAAAAAGCGGTCCCTGATGAAATATGGGGAGATGGATGGTGTAGGTTGTCGCTGCTCGCTCCGTGTTGCCATTTCGGAAGGTTTCCCCGTGAGGCCTCGAGGTGAAGCGCTTTTGACAAGTCGGCGGCGTTTTGCGCTTCGGAATTGTTTTGCCTGCGAAGTGTTTGATTGGCAGCCATCGCGTCTGAAGCGGTGAGTCGGTGGAGAGCGTGGCTCTAGGGAATCTGCCGGCGGATTTATCAATCACTTTGTGGAAGAGCGAGTGCGGAGGAGTTGAGTGGAGTTGGAAGAACTTCGGTTAGAAGTTCGAGTGCGTCAGAGGATGGAGGTGAATTCAGATGGATCCCCCGTGGTGCTGAGTGGATACGACGTCGAGCGGCGGTTCCTTCAAAGGACCTACTCATTCATAAGCGTATGATGATCGTGTCTGCGGTAGCGTCCCCCGGGGAGTCCGGTGCCGGAATTGTCCGCTCTTTCGAAACGATCATCCATGATTCGCGATTTATAGCCCACGGCTGCCTACGTTTCTTTTCCGACACCTTGGGGAGCAATTCCAAAATGCACCGGCAAACCACATTTGTTCCAATTTATGGCTCTATTTTGACAGCTCTTCCTCCTCTTCTGCCCATTTTCTCCCCGCAAAAGAAACAAACCACTCGGTAATCGGATCAATCAATGTAACAGATGTAAGATAGACAGGTCAAGCAAGTGCTCGAGAAGACATAAACAGTGGCAGAATGTGTTGCGAGGTATCGGGTTACCTGGGGGTGAACGGACGCATGAGGTCACCCCTTCTTTCCTATAGATATCCTCCGGAGGACTTTTCGAAGAAGCAACACATTCGTATGCATGGCAAATATGCAAATTCGAACATGGATATACATCTGTCCTGATATTGTTGTTGCGTGTAAGCTACAAGAAGACAAGGATGAGAACGCTTTGTCTGTGATAGATTGATGCATATCGGTAAACGCATTAATAAATTATCTGAACAAGGCGATGTGCATGGTGCACACGTGCGATATATCAATTCGAGAATGCTTCCATTTGAAACTGGAAAATTTAGAAAAATTTGGAATTCTCTGAACAAACCTCAAAACCGGAAAGAGCTGGAAAAAAGAAAAAGGTCCCCGTTGGAAGTCATCCTCCAAACAAAATGGCATTTATGAAGTTCTCCTAGCAACTCGCGGATCTCCATGGATCCACGAGCTTTCGCGCCGTGGCTTCTCCATTCTTCTCATTCAATTTCCGAATCAAAATGTCGACGGACTCCTCCGACTCTACCGTTTGTATTATCAACAGTACACTTCCGAAGTACCAGGTTCCCCGCATTGATTCCTTTCCACAATGAAATCTGTGCGTCCTTCCAGCCTAACATCTTCTTGTGCTCATCCAGCTCCTCGTGCTGCACTCATCGTGGCGTCATCGCTTGCTGCGAGAACGATGTCTCGTTCAGCCAAGTGTAAGTCCCTCGTGTTCACCACCAAATAATAAACTCTTTGAATGTGAGAAGCGCTGAATGAATTGAGTAATTGTGCATCTCTCGGCATATTGCCGCTAATCCACTTATGTGTCTCAGATTGCAATTAGATTCTCCCTCTTCTTTTCCCTTCCAACCTTTCTTCTCCATATCGTATTTCCGCTCTCTTCTCCTTTCGAGGAGGACCACATCTGTACATTTGTTTATCATTAGGTAACATAAACACGTCGACAGATTGTCTCCTCCTTTTCCGTGTCTAATGACGGCCAATCATAGATTGCAGTCTGAAGCAGTCCCTGCCGTTTCTCATTCTCTGGCTCGTCATCTTCGGAATCGCTTGCCTGGTGCACCTCTTTTTCGAAGACGACGAGACTGGAAAACCAATCAACAAGGAGAAGCCGTTGAACGGACATCTTGAGTGAGGAGGAGTCGGTGGTTCAGAAGACGTTGATTATTTCAGACTTCTCCTTCCAATCGCGAACGACTACACAGTGGAGGACCCAGTTTTCGGAAAGCTGTACGAGGACCAAACGCCCAAACTGGCCACCATTCCCAAGAAGAGACGATGAAAAGACAACTCGTGCTCCCTTCCGCCGGTCCCTTCCTCGTCTCCTTCTTCTTCTCATTTCCCCCTTCTTGTTCATGCCTTTCCGATTCGGTCACGCATAAAAATGTTGCCACAAGGTCTCGACTGTTTGCCGACAGATACTCAGAAGACAGTAATCCCTTTTGCACCTGTCCCCTTTTCGGCATCGCCTTTTTGCGGGAAGAGGATGCGCGCACAATATTGCATGGAGAGCTTTCACGGGCGGCCAGATGTCTGTCAGAAGAACCCTCGACTGATGAGATTAGCAGATGATTAAAGGCGTCTTCGGCGGCGGCGACATTCGACCCCCGCTTGCCACTTTCAAGAGCCCTCTTTGGCTCTTGACTGTTCTCTCACCACCTTTTCTTCCCGCCATCAATCTTCCAGATCTTCCTTTGTCTTCCGTCGTGCCCGCGAAAAATGTATGCAGGATTCTCTTAAATATTCATGGAATTGTCTCCGCACGCGGCGCACCTTTGAACATTTTGCCCCCTGACAGTACGTCACGGATGTCTTCCCGATTGACCCGTCGTCGCCTCCGGCAGCAGAAGGCACTGACTCTTTCTTCTTTTCACTCTCTACAGTCTCAATTACGCAACAATGTTCCCTGGCACCTGTAGAGATTAGCCGCCCGTGTTGCAGCCAAGGACGTGTTGTAGAATAAAAGTCAAGAGCCTCGGACGGATTAGGCGGCAGATGCCTTTGTGGACCGAGAATAGGTGACAGATGGGGCGAGTACTTACAAAAAGTTCAAGGCTTACCGGGTCCACGATAAACAAGTTGAAGAGTGAACGGAGTGATTCCACGGGTAAAGTGTATGGAAAGTGCTCAACTGCTAGCAGTCAGCTTTTCGTTTGATTTTCTTTTCGCTGGGGTCAGAATTGATTCTCTATACGTCTCTATACCTTCCAGTCTTTCCAGATGAGAGTTATCCAAGTTCCTCACAAATCATTTTTGAAGTCTCCAGTCCCGGCTCTCATTCTCTTTTGTTCCTTTCTCTTAATTGAACGGAAAGGCGCAGACGGTGGAGATGCGCGCAATAAAGGTGTTTAGAGGCAATAAACTAGTGGTCCTGGCCCCGCAGGCGGCATCTGGCGCGAGATGAGCACACCGTGTCTCTTTGTCGTCGAACCAGATGTTGCGGAGAATAAGATGTTGCGAAAACGTGCGCCAGAAGGTCATACACCTCGCAGACGTACCTCGAAACACATTTCGCACACCGGCACCCCTTCAATTCCCCACGCTTCATTCCAATTCATCCGAACTCATTCAGGGGTTACTGTACGAGAGGTCCCGGTGAGCGAAGTGTCTCATTCATGCGGTTACGTCAGAGAAATTGATCGGTATTCGGGGTGTTAGGTTCCCAGGTATGGAAGGCATACGATTGATATACGAATGGGACCGTTGTGCAACGGCAACAGACGGAGCTCTGGTGGTAAACCCCTTCCTGAGAGTGGAAGAAAACACGTTATCGTGACCCGCAAACTGGAGTAATACGATTGAGCATCATCATAGTCGTCGTCAAAATTTGATCTCCGCCAATTTGCACCTTCCCTCAGAAATCCCGCGGGAGCGCCTAACGAGACGGCAAAGGTCGTCGTGGGTTCCACCAAAATCTGATACGAGAGGAGCATCCCCTCAGCAAAGCATCATCATTAGGAGCCATGTGACGCTTAATTTCGACCGGAGTGGAGGCCACCACTGAATTTCGTGACGAGGCAATTTGTTCATCACGCCACATTATGTACGGCTGCGATGTAGATAGGATAAAGATAGCAAGATTTTCGTTAATTGCGCTCCATAAAGCTCTATGAGCCCTATCTTGGCGAGGTTGCCGTGCTTCTTGCTCTGCGGGAATTAGCATCACAATCGACGGCAGAATGTTGCGAGAGTCGAGGATCAAAGGGAAGAGGCGCTCTCCTTCTCCCCCCGTTTGCAGCAGCACCTCTTCACCGCCAGATGACTTGGCGCACGTCTGTCCAGCTGGCTGGATCATTGTTTGATTGATTTGTAGTTCGAGAGGCCCAAGAGATGGAGATAAGCGGGCAATGGACGGGCCACCGGCTGTCGAAGAGGTGTTATCGAAAACAAGCAGGCACCTACAGTACACATGTGCAAAAAAGCAAAGGGGGAGCGGGACGAGCGAGGGGACCGCTAAGTGACGTGGAAACTGCCCTGTCGGTAGTCGCATATGCACGACTTGTGCCCCCAAAAACCGATAATTTCATAAAAGTATTAGTCAACTCTCCGGCAACCTCGCGTATTTGAAAGGTCTGTTCCGATCTCGTATTCGCATGGGAGTGCTCTTTTTCATGGTCTCCTGGAACTGTTTCGTAACAATTGCGAAACAGAGGACCTACCAGAGCCCCGCAACTTTCTTCTCTTCCCAAAAGTCGTTTCCCGTTTCCGCACTCTCTCATTCTACAATTCATAGTGTTATGAATTTAGAGAAGCGTGCTCGTCTTCAGCGAGTCTCACCTAGGCTTACCGCGAGCAGCGACGGGCGCCAATCAAACGACCGCTGCTCCCCCACTGCGACTCGTTCCCTTCCTCTCGCCTTCTCCAATACTAATCTCCGCTGGACTGCCAGTGTCTGTGTCGAATGATTCTTGACAAATTCCAGGGTGTCTTCGTTGTCGTCCTGCTCAAAATTGCATCTTGTCCCTCCTCCTTCACCACACCGCGCCCCGAATCGGTGGTGTGAGCTGCCGAAATTTGTTCTAGCTCTCGCAAGCACGCGCCTCTTATCGCTTCCGTTCTGTGGCTTTTCCCCTTTCTTCCAAAGGTGCTCATCTGAATTGGCAATTCAGAAGCCACTGTGCGATGTTGACAGAAGCGAGAACGAAGAGAAGAGAATGAGGGGACGAGGGACCTAGGCACGCACACATTCTGATTGCATTTCATGACACGTTACACCTTAGACAGCCTCTATCAAATCGCATTTTGTGGCCACAGAAGACACTGCCCTTTATCGCATTATGGATGCTCCCTTTCCCCGCACACCCTTACTAGGCGCCTGAGACAGAAGCGAAGACGCAGCTACTTTGGCCACCCTGCCAGCAGAAGACCCTTCTTCTTTCCGTCTTCTATTGTTTATTCGCATTCTGTCAAGGTATTAGCGATTGTATAAACGATGAGGCGGAGGAGGCAAGGCTCTTCGCTTCCTCCTCACCGGCATCTTTAATAAACAATCTTGAGAATTTCAAGACGGAGGACCACAATAAGAGAATGGCGTCACGCCTTGTGCAATCCTTTTATCGTGGCCCCGCCTAATCTTCTAATTAGTTTTACATCAAGTGCACGTACAGTCCTTGTCCTTGTCCAACTACTTCTCCTTCTTGCCACCTGCCCTAGCACCACTTGTGCCGAGCACTTGTCCCAAGTGAGACATGCAGGCTTCTGTTCGGAAGTCCCTTTTCTGAATGGAAGTGTCTGAAAGAGAAGATGATGATGATTGGAAATCCCTAAGAAGAGGTGGGCACGGCTGGCCCGCCTATCGAATTTCAGTTTCGAGAGATGCGTCCTTTCATCTTCTTCTTCTCCTCCAGTTTTGTCTCCTCCAACACCATCATCGTGGAAAATTTCACCTAATTTCCGGTGGCCACTATCTCTGTGCCACACTCTTTTCTTGAGCTCCGTGGAATCTTCTTCCCTAAGTAGGTAAGGCGATACATTGTAACAGACGGTTGGCATTATGACGACGAGGTGGCGGGCTGGCAGCAGCAGGTCTCGATGAGCCACTAATTGTCGAGAGTACCTCGCAGAATAATTGTATGACAAGTGTGACTTAGTATCGCGCTGCCAATTAGCCACTGAACCCCAGGTGACAGTTTTCCCTAATTAATCCAATTGTCGGGTCGATGAGCCGTGCCCGGAAGAGCCGGTTCCCTTCTTGCGGAACGAAGCCTCGTCGTCTTCATCTTTTCGTCAGCCGATTTTTATGTGTACCGACAGCTGCATCATCGTCATCTTTATCTCACGTTTTGATTCGAAATGACAAAACTGCCGAACAGGTGCCACCGCAAAAAGCTGTTGATTCGTCGCCGCATCGCGCCCTTCTCCCCAGTTCAAATAAATGGGACGAGTCAGGTGCAGTTGGGCAAAAGCCACGTCATTGGGAGCCGTGCAAAGTCGGGAGGTCCTCTCTTCTGTCAAAGATAGGGAGAAGGGAGCCGCCGGGCGGCTCATAAGAGGAAATGAGTTCCATTACGTATGTACATAGACGGTGAAACCACATTCCCATTCAAAACGTCGTAAATTTTTGGCTGTGCCCCTTCTTTCCCGTCGAAATGTGGGGTACCGAAAGTGAAGAAGGCGAAGGAGGCGGGGAAGTGACGGCAGCGGCTCGTGCTGCTCACAAATTGCGATGTCCCTTCTGAATCGAGGACTCGCTCGTTAGTGTGATGCACCAATAATTTGATCTACCTGTGGCCACTCGCGGCTCGCTCCCTTCTCATCCAATTACGTTCCCCTTTCCAACCATCAGGTCCGTGCCAGACTCTTCTCGGCTCATTGCACCACCCTCTCGACGCTTTCTCTCCTTCTTCTTCTCTCAAAGTATCACATTTGGAATTCATGCCAATACTGACGACGCACCGGTGATGATGTTGTTCTCCGGCTATCCGTCGTCGTATGGTAGTCAGCAGGAGACTCTTCTTCTTCTTCTCCTCCTTCTCCTTCGTGCTCCTCCCCTCTGCCCACATAATGCATTCATTTTGAAACGTCCCGCTGGTCCTTTCGCTTCTTTCGTGCCTTCAAAACCACCTCATGGAAGATCCAGCGACATACGAGTTGCATTTTAATCTGCCCCATCCTCATCTTGCCTTTTTGTCTTCCTCACTCCACGTTAGCACGGCGCCCCACAACACGCTTCCCGAGAACTTTCTCCTGTCGTTCACCTCCCGACTTTCTCGTATCAATGCGCAGTCCGTTAATAGGTAATTGGTATGGGAACCGAGGGACAAGTTCCAATCAATCATATTAACACTTTCTTTCATCAAGGTGCTTTCCTTTTCCTTCGTGTCTCTTCACTGTGTGCAGTTTCCGTTTACCCACTTTTGCTGCCCTTTCTCAAAATATTACAACCTTCAAAATCGACTCTAATTGATCTGACTCACTCTCGAAAGTTAAAGCAACTGATGAGCACATGGCGTGGTACAGTACATCGGACTCGCCATCTGCGAAATCATCTGAAAAAGTTGTGCAGGTGTCGCCGGTCTGTTCAACATTCGGATGTACTCTTTCTTCATTCTTCACTAGCTTTGCAACGTTAGAGACGTCAGGATTCCGGCTAGCAGCAGAAATATCTGATTAGGTAGGAAGCGCGTCGGTTTGGTTAGCCAAAAGCGAAACCGTTGACTTTCTAACGTCCACCACCCAGTTGTTTCGCGAGAGAGAAAGAGTTTGGGAGACTGGGAGACGGAGAGAAAGTCCGATGGAAACTAACAAGTTTCTCAAACTCTCGAATAGTTTTGTCTTTCACGGAAATGCGCAACCGTATCTTTATATCTAGCCGCCCAAAGCGCGCTGCTTTCTCTAGCTTCGAACGTCTCTTCAATTAGCACACACTCTGGGGCACGGATCGAAAACAGTTCATTTCCAAATCCTGTCTTTCAGGTTTACTTGCTATGGAGATTACTATACGGTAGGCGTACAGATAAACGTGTATGTCTTGGAAGCAGCGCATAACTAGCAAAAACGACGACGACGTGTCCCGGCCTCGAGAGCGCCTGCAATGGCGATCCGTTCGTGAGAGACACCGTCATACATATTACTTTCACTGGTCTAATTACTCGTTATCACTTCGATCCCACCCATATCACCCAACACGCACATCTCACTCTTTTATCTATATTTCCGCGGTGTGTTCACTGTCGCCCGCCGGTCTTTTTCATGAATAGGCAGGACCTCCACAACTTGTTTTTGCTGCTCTCATCGTGAGAGAAAGAATATGATGAGCGGTAGAATTGGAAATGTCGTCGTGTGCTCCTGCTCCTTTGCGCTTATCCGTTTTGTACACCTCCTCTTTCCTCGAGACCCGCCGAAAACACCTAAATAATTAAATGCGACGACGCCGACATTAAATTTAATAAGTGTGTGTTCTGAAATTGAGAACAGATGTGTCGGTAGTTGGTGAGCAGAAGCACATGGCGGAAGCACTCTCAACCTAGGCATCCGTGACGTGGCAAAAAGAGCAGTTGTCTCAAAACTCCTCCCTCGCTTCCTGAACGAAGCTCCTCCCCCGTGGCTCGAGTATCTCATCACGTCCCAAAAGGGACGGGGGTGGGCGGAGACCTGCCCGCGGAAGAATGGGATGCCAGAAGGCGCATCTGTCGCCTGTTCCTAACCTCTTCTCATTCTCCTCCCAACTACAGTAGCTCTAGTAGGTAGCGTCTAGCTTCCGATCAGTGGGCGGGGCTACACGATCGACGTGTGGCAGGTGTAGTTGGGAGAGGAGCCCACACACAAACGCACAGATGAGCCATCCGCCGCCTCCTCCGGGGTTCATGTGCGCTTCCCCGTCTCTTCTCTTGTTATGCGGGTGCGAGCCTGCACACATTCCCGAAGACTCACGTCGTCTGGTGTGCTCACGGACCCTGCGGCAAGACGCGCGCACCGCTCCTAGGTGTGCATCTTCTTCATTTGGCACCTTTCGCGCCGCCGCACGTTTTCCCTTCCCTTCTTCTCTGTCGCCCATTATTGGGATGCTCCTCGCCTCCGCGCCTGTCTCTTTTCTCTTCTCTTTCGGAGCCCTCTCTTCGCAGTAAAACTTCCATATCTAGCCAACTCATCAAGGTGCTGCCTCAGCTCTTCAGCTCCCCTCTCCCCTTTGTTCATTTTTTCCGAGTGCTTCTTATGTACTCATTCATTAAATTATTCGTCCATCCTCTCTGCTGAAGGGTTCCTCTTTCCTTTTTTTATTCGAACCTTTTTATTTCTCTTCCAAATTTGCTAATTTTCTTTATCGTTTTCAGGTGAGATGGTTGACATCGCAGAAGCCCCGTCCACCCCAACTGCCAGCCTTTCTGTGCCTTCGGACGAGGCTCTCCGCAAATTCAAGTGTCCGGAGTGCACGAAAGCGTTCAAATTCAAGCACCATCTAAAGGAACACATCCGGATTCACTCGGGCGAGAAGCCATTCGAGGTAAGCAGATACCTCCGGGCGCCCGGCCGCTTCCCGTAGTCACCTGTTGCTCTCCCATTCAACCAATTTATCATTGTCGGACATGACGGCCTGACATACCTGTGCTCTAATGTTTTCGCGATGCCCACCCTAATGATGATATGTGCGAAGGAAACTCTTCAGGCGACCGACTCCCTTGTTCCCATTTTCTCAGTGTCCCTCTCCGAAAAATTGGCTCGTTGTGTGTGTGTGTGTGCGTCGTCCAAAATTAGAAGGTTAGGTGAAGCAGGAGAGCGCCTCAAAAAGTATAGATGCCCGCCAGGCATTCATTAATTCCTTTTCTCCGCCGGCTCCCCACTTTGCGAATGCTCCTTCTAAGGTGTGCTTCTGCCTTGTAGCTCTCGTATTGGTCGCCGCGGCTCACCTGAGCCCGCCCCCTCCGGCTCACCTGCAGAGCGCCCTCCCCTTTGCTCTCATTGGCTGCCGATGAGCCCTCTTTAGGCAACTGAGAGAGCACCTTTGGGTGCAATAAACAAACCTTGGCGCGTTGGCATCGCCAGTACGTGATCCACTACCACGAGATTTATCGGTCCCAGTGGAAAGCAGTCCCTTCAGCCCGCCCGGCGGCTCCCTTTGATAAATTGTCCTTTTTGCAGTGCCAACAGTGCCACAAGCGATTCTCGCATTCTGGATCGTACTCATCTCATATGAGCAGTAAGAAATGTGTGCAGCAGGCATCTCCGTCCATGGTCACTCCTTTCAATCCGTACCAACTCATGATGTATAGGAACATTATGATGCAGCTGCAAACGCCCCAAGTCTCTTTTCTGCCAGCAATCAATACGAACAATGTGGAGAACGCCTACATGAGCATGCTTCAAGCGAGTCTCCTCCAGAATTTGGAAAACGGATCCCCAACTGCCACGTCACCGGCATCTCTAATCTCATCTGTTCAAGAGCCAACGACCACTACCAGTTCTCCACCGTCCCCCGAACCAAAGATTGAAGTGGTGGACGAGCCGGAAATGAAAATGGAAGACATCCAGAACTCTGTCCCGGAAGAATCAATCACTCCTGCCGTGTCTGTCTCTCTGTCCCCAGTGCCCGAAGATAAAAATGGAAATGAATCTGTGAATGGCGGATCCAGCGACGGAAAAACTTCCCCGGATTGGAGACCGTTGAGATCGAGAAGTTTTCTGAATGATTCTCAGGTACATTGAAATTTTTTGATACTTCATTGGCATTGTTTTCTGTTCAGGTTGCCGTTCTCCAGAACCACTTCAAGAGGAATCCGTTCCCTTCGAAGTACGAACTGTCAGCAGTGGCCGAGCAGATCGGAGTCAACAAGAGAGTTGTGCAGGTAAGAACTCAACCTGATTAAATCCTTTCGGCCAACGGAATGTTGGTTTCCCACAAGGTGGGAGAGTGCGGTGAACACATGTGCATCAAGTAGCTCATCAAATTCCTGTGTACATACACCCAATATTCTCACTTTTGCTTAGTCGTCGTCCAGAAGAAATATGTTCGTTGTCACTGCGCCTCTGTCCGTACCGCACTCTCTCCACCAGGACGCAGGTGCCCCATCATCATTGTGCGCCCGCGCCTCTACCCTATTGGCTGCCTCGTTATTTTACCGCAACCCGTGTGCCTGCTCCAAGGGGAATCTTTTGCAGGTCTGGTTCCAGAATACGCGGGCAAAGGAGCGACGGAGCAACCGATTGCCGAGCATGCCACGTGGCGCGGCCGGCTTGGCTCCGAGCTCCCCAACGGTTTGGCAGACTCCGGCTCAATTGATGGCCGCGTGGGCACAACAATGCTTGCAAAACGGAAACAACTTGAACGGCTCGCAGGTGAGAGACAGTTGGTCTAATTGGGATCCTTGAAAAGAACAGTGTGCCATGTTTTCGCGCATTTGGTGCGTGGACGCCAATTGGATTATCCGGAAGACGGGGGTTATTAGGTTCATCAATGGGTCGAATGGCAGGTAGTTAGGACGGGCGAGCAACTTGCCAAATTAGGAGTCTCTCCTCGGAAGGCCAATTAATTCAAACATGCTGTTTTCGTTGTCTCTCTTGACACATCCGTCCGAACCCAGGTGATTCATAAATCATTTCGGCTGCCTAGTGTGCCTTCCAAATATCAATTCATCAATTTCGCGTCCGGCCCTGCACGTCTCATCCGCGTTCAGCTGGTTGTAAATGAGGAGCTGCCCACAGGAAATGCCTCATCAAATTTGCCTAATTCGACACCTGCTCTCTCCCCAATTTTATGAATATTTATGGTACCGTTCGCTCGAAAAACTGGTCAATATCTTGTCTTCCGGCTTCTTCTCCTTCGGCTCAGTTTCAGTTCATTCTTAGGACCTTTTTGCACGTGGAAACGTGAGAAGCACATATGATACTTCTCTGCGAAGATGATCCAATTAGGGTGGCACCTAAATACGTGGAAGGGGAGAGGCAGATATTGTCGAATATGAATAGAATAGGAGCATCTGTCGACGCTCATAAAAGACAAGGAGGCGAGGAAGGGGAGGAGGAGGAGAAGGAGGACTCGCCTATAATAGGATGATACTAAACGAGAATGGCTTGTTGCCACCTGAGCACCCTCAAGATGTTGCTGCGGATAGCATCTGAGACGGAAACGGGGCGAAAGGGCGAGGGCTCCACTGAAGTTCACCTTATTTCCAATTTAAAAGTGTCCTCTTCTTGTCTCCTGCTCGCCTGACACGCATACATATAGACGGCGGCGGCGCGGCGGAGGATGGGACGAAAGAGGGTGGCTCGTTCAATTTCCCCTTTTGTCTTGCATAATTTGTGTCATTCAATTTACCTTCTCCTTTCCTGACCAGACCCTTTCGCTCTCATTCTCACACGCGCTCTCACAGGAAAGAGAGATGGGGAAAGCGGGTGTGAGAGAGAGAGAGAGAGAGAGAGAGATAGAGATAGAGGGGGACGACACGAGCCGGGACCCATCAATGGAAATGAAATGAATTCGAGTGTTTTTGGTGTGGCGGCTGAGGCGGCCGTAGTAAGGAGAGGAGCACCTGCTAATGAGCTTCTTTGTCCTCTCCTTGCCTTCTTTTCCTTCTTCTTCTTCTTCGTCTTCTTCGTCAAAATAGCGCAGAAGACGAGGTGAGGGGCCGAAAGGAAAGAAGAAGAAAAAGTCAGCAAAAGGGAGATGCTAGCGTGGAGAAAGACATATGGACCACTCTGCGAATCAATCAGTTTGCAGGACGAGACGACGATCGCTTCCACGACAGTACGCAACGAGAATACGTTAGCAGATGAGGTGATGGATCACGACGGACTGAAGCAAGAGGGAAAGGAGACACCACTCGACCTTACTCTGGCCAACGACGATACGGAACCGGAATGGAGTCCCGAGAAACTCATCGGCTTTTTGGATCAGACCGGAGGAGTTATCCAAGAACTTTTGAGACAAGCCGGCAACGGATTCGTCTCAAATCAGGAGGATGAAGAGGAGAAGCCGGTTGTGAAAAGTGAGGAGAGTCCTGTCTCCAGCTCGTCTTCCTCGATCTGGCCTTCGTTTATCGGACAGTATCCGAACATTCTGGACACGGCAAGCTTGTCCGCATTGGAAAAAGCTCTAGATGTGAGTTTCGAACAAACAAATCAGACATTCATTTTCCGCATTTCAGCAGCAGAAGTCATCTGAAGACGACGCCTCCTCCTTGTGCTCCAACGAATCGAAACTCCTCAAGTTCCCGACGACGCCGTTGAAGGAGGAAGAAGGTCTCTTCTCGTGTGATCAGTGCGACAAGGTTTTCGGGAAGCAAAGTTCGCTGGCTCGTCACAAATACGAGCATTCTGGTTAGTCGTCGGGTCACCGAAATTAGAGGGTATTAGAGGGGGAAGACACCATGTTTGGATACATGGCGACGTGATGCAATCGTATTAATTGAATTAGGATCCCTAATCTAATTGAGAGCACACCGGACAGCTGTATGTGTGCATGAGATCTCGCTTTTTGAAAGGACAAACACAAATGATGAGCTTACGGGCGAGAGGAAGTTCATGCTGAGAACGATATTGTTGCAGGTCAGCGTCCGTACAAATGCGACATCTGCGAGAAGGCTTTCAAGCACAAGCACCATCTGACGGAGCACAAACGACTTCATTCCGGAGAGAAGCCGTTCCAATGCGACAAGTGTCTCAAGCGATTCTCCCATTCCGGCAGCTACAGTCAGCACATGAACCACCGATACTCGTACTGCAAGCCGTACCGGGAGCAGCCGGGAGCCTCCCCTTCAGAAGTACTCGCCGGGAGCGTGACTGTCAGCCCTTCTTCTTCCAACACCCCACCTCCTTCCTAATTCGATCTCTCTTTTTCCATTTTTCTTTTTCTTTTCCTGGCTGTGCCAGTATCTTGCCTTGCCGTTCCACTTGCAGCTTTTGGTGCTCCTTTGATATGTACAGTGTTTCCCCTGGGTCTTCTGACTGCTTATCCCCTCTCCCGCCCCCTTCCCCCTCCCTTTTATAGTCATGATGTCCGTGATATGTCCCCTTGAAATCGCTTCGCTTTTAGTAATCGTTGTGGCCGGTGCCGTGCTTTCTTCGCTTTCCCATACCTTCCCTCATACCCGTCTTACTCATTTCTGTGAAGTGATCAACACTTTCTGCGACTAGTCAAAAACAAATGGTGCAATTTCATTCGGAACGCTAACTTTTTCTCTCTTCCCACCTGGCCATGTGTTTTCTTGGGACCAACTAACTTTCGTGTAAAAGACAACACACGTTCTTTCTTTTCTCCATTTCCTAGAAGTTTGGCTAATAATAATAATAAACAGTTCCACTAATTATCCAAAGGTTTCCAAGGAACATTCTTTACACAAATTTGCAATTCGAATTGGGGGTGTGAAAATGTGAAAACAGATCGGTCGAAAAGACGAGAAGGAGTTCTGAGCGATGAGCATATGGCACGGTGATTGATAGTCGGCTCGGCCCTATATGGCGAGAAGAGAAAGACACACATTTCACGGTTCATTGGAGCACGTTTTGTCCCCGCGATGCAGGCAGATACCCGGCTTTTTACGAGGGAAAATAACCTCATAGGCGAGTCTTCTCCTCGGGTCCCGAATCCACAACCGTCCATGTCAGAATTTGACAAACATGAGTCACCTCTCCTGAATTCGTTTTGGTTATATATCGGGCAGTTATGTCCATTTCTCACTGTCAATTGTGGCCAGGAATTTGGTGTGATTTGTGACGAATTTGACAATGAAGTAGACCACTGAACGAGGGGTATCGTAGGCCGATAATTCAAAAAAGGCACCCACCAACACCAGCGAAGAACATGGAGAATCCGATGATGGATGAGAGAGGATCCTGTTGAATGGGGATGATCAAAAGGGCAACCATTATGATAATGTTCAATATTGGCCAGAAGATACTGTATTTGACTGGGTCAGCTGCAATCGGGAGGTCTCTCCATTTGATGATGATCAGAACGGCCAATGCAATTATCGTTGTCATCATTCCCGTCACGGTCAGGTAGTTCACCAGCTGGTCAGTGTCTCCCAGAAATGCAAAGATTATGGAGGTCAGAGTCTGGAATGATTTGAAATTGATATCCATCAAAATTCAAATTCGTTTAAGTACGTGGAAGAAGACTGACACTCGCGGACTGTCGTTGTCAACATGGATCAAACTGAAGCAGGTGGGCATCATTTTGCGACGTGACCCGGCGACCATGTACCTGAATTAGGTCACAAGTCAAATCAATTCGAATATCATCGGGTTGAGGGACCTGCTCCAACTGAATACGTCGCCGTTGAGAGTGCCAATGAGCAAGAACCCGACGACTGCGGGCACGGCGAAAGCTGGCCCGTTTCCCACGGTTCTTTGGATGAATGTCTGCGAGAGAGCATGTTATGGAGAGCTCCTTCCTCCGTATTCTCACCGTCGCGACTGCCGAAGAATCGATGATTTCCTGAGGTGTTAGAATGGCGAAATAGGAGACGTTGACGAGCACATAAATCACCGCCGAGATTATGAGTCCGCCCAGGCTCGCCAGTGGAAGAGTTCTGCAAATGCAAAAGCGTTCAACGAAAATTGCTTTCGCCCACTTCCGAAAGTTCACAATCTCAATCTCTTCTGAGCCGTAATTGAGAGTGGTGAATCCTCCGAACGCCCAGTTTCCTTGATAAATGGCCAGAACGATCGCTCCCGCATTGTAATCACTTCCTTTCATAATCTGAGAACTACTATAGTGTGACGTGGCACCGCGGAAAATGATGAAAAATAATCCGATGGCAATTATGATGAGAGTGGCAAAGATCTTGGAGCACATTGAAATTATTTGCACTCTTGAGGCAAACTTCTTCAATGAAAACATGTTGGTCAGCGTGAGAAATACTGATAAGAAAATTGCATTTCCGACTGCTTACGCAATTGTCAAACTCACAAAGTAACCCGAAGCCGAATAGTTTTGCAGCATTATCAGCTTGAGAATCTGAGAAGCAGATTATCGGTTCGAGGGCCTGTACCAAGTACTTTCCAAAAGTTAGATATAGTACGGCAGCAGAGGAGGAGCTCTGAATGAGCAAAGAAAGCCAAAGCAGGGAGAAGGCGACAGGAGTCCATCCCATGTAGTCAATGTAGGCGAGATCGGCTCCTGATTCGGGGATGCTCGTGCCCAGTTCAATGTAATTCTGAAGTAAAAATAAAAAAGTGAATGTAGGCGGCAACTGTTTACAATGGCAGTTATCATGTTGAGGAGGGCGCAGAGTACCCAAATGATCAAGGAGAGACCGACCGATCCTGCATGTTCCACTATTCCCTGAAATTCGAGCATGAGAAGAGCTGACTTTTCGTGAACATTTATAATTGCTCCGGTGTAAACTTGACAAACTTTAGGTGCAATGAAGATGCCACTTCCTATAATTGAGCCAACTATATAAGCGGTTGCTCCAATGAGCCCCAACTTGTTGTCTTCTTTTTTGGGCATCTTGTGAATCTAAAACATCAAAGTTTGGAGGTCACGTGAATTGAATGGAATCGAATGGAATGGAATGAAATCAACTGAAGATCGCAATCAAGTTCAACTTTACTCTAGGACGAGAAAAAGAAAACAATTAGAACAATATGAAAGTGATGTGGACTTTGATGGTCAGAATATGTTGTATTGCCATGAATGGCTACACTCGACTGCTCTCCGCTCCTTATCAAATGGCTACTCTCTTCTTCTCCCTCCATTTCCCTTCCGTATCACACAGTGATCAATCCAAACTCCACTCGGTTAGCCGTCAATTCGTCTGTGTCTTCAATCCCCCGAAATGACGACACCTAGTAGCCGTTTCTCGAAGACGAAGGCGTCACATCTTCCTCTTCTTCTTCTTCTTCTCCTCCTTCCATCGACAGTTTTCTAAGGTTAGTGGTGGCGTGACGCACAAAAGTTCGAGTCTAGGCTACACCTGCCGCCGCCGCTGCTTCTTTGTCTCATCCAGAGACGGCCGGCATCCCCCGCACAGTCGGCTTTCTCGGCGCCTCCTCACGATCCGCGATGCCCTCCGCGTCGTCTTTATCTGCAGCGGGAATCGTCGTTTCCCTCCGTCCGTCCATCGCTTTCCTCCTTCCTCTCCTATTATATTCGAGGTGCGTCCCGCATTCCATCGTTTGCATCCCGAAGCCTTCTTCTCCTTCTTCTACCGCTTCTGCTGCTGTTGCTGCTGCCATACCCTTCCTTCCGAAATGCCGCTTTCCATTTGCGCCCTGGTAAGTCAACCGCCTCCCTGTCATCGTCAAAGTTTACAGCCGCTTGACCTACTTTTCACTTTCCATCCGCTGCCCCTTCTGTTGTGTGTCCATTCAGAAGCGGCCACCGCAACCTTGTGAATTTCCTGAAATAGGCTGAAACCGAATCGTTACACACCTTCTGTTCTGTCCCTTCTATCTGTCATCTCCCCCATTCGCACTCGAAACGAGTTTCCCCTTCGCGGCCACAAAAAAGCTTAAACTGTCCAGCCCCCCAACCGAAAGGTCTTTTGTTGCCTTTCCGTGTCCTTCCCGTCTGTAGTTCTGTTTCTTCATCAAATGATTTTTGAAATCTGTTTGTGCCCTCCGGAGGTCCGGTTCTCTTTGCCCTTCGGCGCCTCTTCCCCGACTGTTTTCTTCTCTTTCTCGCACATCCTCTAACCGATTCCGATCGATAAACACTTGGAATTATGGCTGAGCGAACAGTCGAGTTCTCCGATGAGTTGTTGTACTTTCACGAGTTCGATGCCATTGTAAGTTCTCTGTCTCTTTCTGCCTCTCTCTCCCCGTGCCCCCCAATATTCCTGAATCTTGCCTCCGACAATAGAAGAAAGAAAATCATTTGATTCGCTGTAAATATTATTGAGTCTTCTCCATTTAATCTCTGATTTTTCCAGCGCAACCTCAGCATGGGTCTCTTGCGTCCATCGTTCGAGGAACCAACGGCCAGATTGATGCCCGGTCCCGTGGTTGGTGCTCAAGATTCAAACTGAAATTGAACTTTGACGTTACAGACATCAGAAGAAGAGGAAGAGTTCTCGTCTTCGGAGCGAAGACGTTACAAGGCCTACACGGTGATGCAGAAAGCCGGATTCCAGCACACCGAGTAAGTTCCCATCCCAATCCGCTCAATTCCCATGTGGTTCGGTCAGATATGCACAAATAATGGTTCATTTGTGTCGAGCTGAAATCTTCCTGTCCCTCATCTTCCTGGCTCATGGCACAACGTGTCCCGGATATCCGAATGAGGCGGAATACCAATCCACATGCCACATGAACACAGTCTCCGCCATTGTGAGCCTTCTCACTGGAGCCATGGGCCTTGGCGCCGTCCACAGATACAGATGGAGGACGATGCTCATTCTGTGGCTCGTCTTCTGCATTATGTCGTCCGTCGGCAGTCTTCTGGCCGTCATCACAACCGGTATCAACTGAAAAGTATTTCAAATTTAGATGTAATATTCTAGGCATTTGGCTGGATCACTACTCAAAGATGAAAGTGAGAACGGGCCTCGGAAACGGGCTCTCCGGCTTCATGCTGCTCGCTTCGGTGGCCCTCGGCGTCTGCTTCATCCTCACCGCCGTCATGATCTGCCACTACTGGAATTCCCATTCAACTGGTTATCAGCCCGTGCAAAAGATCGCTGTACGTGTCTCATTTCTTCTCTAGCCTCCGATATTGTTTTGATTTGTTTTCAGAAGCGGGCTCGGTCTGTGCGGCGCCGACTGAGCAGAGCAAAGAGCTGCGACAAGAAGGACGCGAGGCCGCCCACAAACATTCCACAGGACAAGGGATACCACATCGTGTGACACGCTACCATATCATCTCTTCTCCTGTTTTGTTGTTCTCTCTCACGGGTCAACTTCTTTTTTCTCATGAAACATTGTTTTTAAACTTTATTTAAATTGCTTTTATGTTCGACGTATCTCTGAAGAATCTGGGTCGTCCTGCTGTCCTGACTGATTGGTTCGAACTTGTGATTCTAAAAGAAGAACAGTCAAAAAAGGAACAAACACAAAGCACACCTATAGTTGTGGCCGTCTCTTCCCAGGCATCGTACGATTTCGCAAATATTTGCTACGTCATCGATTCCGCTGTGATGACGTCCCTGAATTGGTCAAGATAGGCGAACAGGCACCACCTGAGAAGGAGTTTACCTGATGCTGCAGATCATATATCTTCAAAAGTTGAGCCATTCCTTTTGCAAACTGGTTAGTGTGCTCTGCGTACGCTTTTTTCACATTTATCCATTGAGTGAAGTATCTGTAATGAGTGTATCAAAAATAATGTCGCTGTGGGAAAAAATCGTACTCTGGAATTGGAATATTCTTGAATTTTGCTTCGTTCGGAAGTGCCACTGCTAAATCCCAATCACCGCACGAGACAAAAGCAAAGTTGTCTGCCTGTAGGCGAGAATCTTCTTTCAGCCAATCGTCAAATTCCGCCAGAACTTCTGGCAGTGTCGGCTTGTCGTCCACCATTTCCTTAATTATCTGATGTGAGTTAAATCTTACAGTTTTCAAATTTACCTGAATGATTCCGGTCAGAGAAGTACAGAAAGAAGTGATCCTCGAAGACTCTATGGGCCGTACATACTGATGAAATCGGCGGACTTCCTTCCAATCTGTCGTCGAAAGCTGAACCACGGGAAACTCGATTATTTCTTGGACAGGAAGAAGTGGTCCTTTTGAGTTCTCTTGGCACGTGGCTTCAAAATCAAGAACGAGTACAAAGTCGAACTGCTGACGTGTTTCTTGGCCTGAAGTTGACCGAATTGGTTTCAATCCGAACTCTTTTCTAACCTTTTCGTTTAGCAGCAAAACTCGGATATTTCGGCGCCATCTTTACTTCCCTGCTTCTTACCAGTTTGGTACTTTCGACGAATGGACTTGTCTTGCTTGCAAATCGTATCTGGAAAAGAATTTATACAGGTTTTTAGAACGAAGTAGGATAATTACCTACATTGGTCAAGATAGGTCGTATATTTCTGACGAAAATGTTGATGGTGATCATGGATGAGCAGTTGTAACTTGTGAGCAAGTGCTTTATTTGTTCTTTAATGAATCATTTTGAAAATTTGATTGAATTTAGCAGAAAAACTAAATTTTGGATGAAGAATTCAGTTGAATAGAAATTGTCCACGAGGAGTAGACGGGGCCGCGGCTGAGTAGAAAACTAGTCCGCGAGAAGTGTGGATCTACGGCGGAACAAACGTTTTGCTAACTATTTTTCAGTTGCAAAAAGGTCGCTGCTTCGCTCGTTTTCTGGAAGGTCCACAAATGTTTATTTTCTTCTTCTTCATCACTGCCATTGTGCTTTTCGGAGTTTTGCTGGCTACAGCGTTTCTGGCGTTTCTTGTTCGTCACTCGAATCATTCGGCAAAAATCCGACCGAAAAAGAAAAATGTAAGTTTTTTTAAAAAGGTTTTTTAAAAATATTAATTCAGTATTCTTGCTCAGGCTTCGCTTTGTGCCGTTCTCGGCTCGGGTGGGCATACAACCGAAATGTTGGAACTCGTTAAACATTTTGGCGATGAGTTCAACGAGAGAACCTACATCATTGCCGATACCGACACAATTAGTGAAGATAAAGTGAGTGTTCTTTGAAACATTTTGATCATATTCTTCTTCAAGGCCACCGCACACGAAAAGTCTCGAAACAATGAAAGATTTGCTATCGAAAAGATACCGCGATCTCGGGAGGTCGGACAATCGTATTATTCCTCAATTTTCTCAACGCTGAACTCATTTGTCTTCTCTGTAAAACTTTTGTATCGTATCAGGTTGGTTCAGTCTTTTTCCGAATATACATGGGACTACTTTCAGGCCTGATCTTGTCCTCCTCAATGGCCCTGGAACGTGTATTCCTGTCGCTTTCGCGGCCGCTTTCTTCGACATGATCCGTCTAGCTGACACTGTTCTCATCTACGAAGAGTCCATCTGCCGCGTCAAGAAGCTTTCCTTATCCGGAGCAATTCTTTACTACACAGGAATGGTCGACTGCCTCATTGTCCAATGGCCCGGTCTCAAAATGACATATCCTCGTTCTACTTATATCAATGATCTAATCATTCCTAACTAAAATTGCATGTCTTCTTTCTTTATAAATTCCATGTCTTGTCTTTTTCTACATTCTTTACCTGTTTAAACCACCCGTTGACCTAGTCGCTTCCACGGAATCTGAATTGTATCTCCCGATTATTTCTGCTTTAGAATACGTCTTTCTTGTCTGTCCTGTCCCATTTTCTTTTTTCCAACTAGTGAATCCATTCCCTCAAGCTCTTCGTCTGCTTTGTTTTTCCTCTCAAAAAACCAATCAGCAAAGCGGAAACGAGCCTGATATCCTCCTGCGAAACAATCGTATAATCCAATTGAGTCGGAGCGACGGCTCTCCGCCGGAATCACGGCTAGCGGAAAGCGAAAGAAGCATAACAATATCTGGTAGCAGGCCGGTTGCTAGGCGCCTCCCCCGCCCATTCCTTCGCAGTTGTTTCGTCCTCTCGCCTCTCCAGCAGCCGTCTTCTCGTTTATATTTTCGTTGCTCCGCGACATCGTCGTCTTTTAGTTTGTCGTTTTCGTTATACTCTGTCTTCTGATTCCTAGACGCCTACCGTATGGCCGAGAGTGTCCGAGTGTGTGTGCGATGTCGCCCCTTCAATCAAAGGGAGAAGGATTTGAACACGCAAGTGAGTACAATTCGGGCAGCGGATTAGTAGAGCTCTTTTTATTAGTTCGTGTTACTTCCAGTAGAGTGCCAGCGAGCGTTTGGAGTTTGGTGTTTGTATTTGGCAGGTGTTTCCTGAGATGACGTTACCTTTTCTCAATAGATCTTTCTGTGTGGGCTCCGACATGCTCCCGTTCACTTTTCGAGGAAAAGAGTAAAGTGGACGGAGGGTGGACATATGCCAAACATTCGAACTTTTTCACAAGCACACGAAGAGCACGCTTGATTGAGCCCATTTTGTGTTTTGTTTCACTGTGTTATTTCCCTGATGAGTATCCGTTTACTTCTCAATCAAACGAACGAAGCAAACATGTTTTTGTACTCGCTCTCATTCTCCTGCGATTATACAGTTTGTTAATAATTTCCGTCCGCGAATTCTGTGAAAATAACTACCCCGGGAGAGTGGGAATCAGTCTGAGAGTGACGTCGTCTCCAGGCGTTCAAAGGCAACTAAGGGCTTCTCCATGACGGCAAGAGGCCGGAAATCTGAGTGATGAAATGGAGGGGAGGGAATAATTCATGATGAAGACTGGTTTTGTTTGCAGCTATGCGTGGGGATGACTCCCAATGTCGGACAGGTGAGCCTTCTTTCCGGAGATGGAGCCAACAAGGACTTCACGTTCGACGGCGCTTACTTCATGGATTCGACCGGAGAACAGATCTACAACGACATTGTGTTCCCGCTTGTTGAGGTTGTTGACGTCGTGCAGGTGATAGAGGCAAAGTCTCGGATTGCAGAACGTGATTGAGGGGTACAATGGAACGGTGTTCGCGTACGGACAGACGGGATCCGGGAAGACGTTCTCGATGCAAGGAGTGGAGAGCATTGCGGCGCAGAGAGGCGTCATTCCCAGGGCGTTCGATCACATTTTCACGGCGACGGCCACTACGGAAAATGTGAAGTTTCTCGTGCATTGCAGTTATCTAGAGGTTATCCCACGTTCCACGTGCTTTTCATTCGGGTGCACTTCAGATTTACAACGAGGAAGTGCGAGACTTGTTAGGAACGGATAGCAAACAGAAGCTAGAGATAAAAGAGCACGCGGACCGGGGAGTCTACGTGGCAGGGCTCTCGATGCACGTGTGTCATGATGTTCCCGCCTGCAAGGAACTGATGACCCGGGGTTTTAACAACCGACACGTGGGAGCCACTTTAATGAATAAGGTCGGTTGCTGCAAAAAAAGAGGAGAAGATGAATGTTCTTCAGGATTCGTCTCGGAGTCACTCAATCTTCACGGTCTACGTGGAAGGAATGACCGAGTCCGGCTCTATTCGGATGGGAAAACTGAACTTGGTCGACTTGGCAGGAAGTGAAAGACAGAGCAAGACGGGAGCGACCGGGGACCGACTGAAGGAAGCGACCAAGATCAATTTGTCTCTTTCGGCGCTCGGAAATGTGATTTCAGCGTTGGTGGACGGAAAGTCAAAGCATATTCCGTACAGAGACAGCAAACTGACAAGGCTACTGCAGGATTCGCTCGGAGGAAACACGAAGACCATCATGATTGCATGCGTCTCCCCGTCCAGTGATAACTACGACGAGACGCTCTCCACTCTCAGATATGCCAACCGTGCCAAGAACATCAAGAACAAGCCGAAGATCAACGAGGATCCCAAGGACGCACTTCTCAGAGAATATCAGGAAGAGATTGAACGACTGAAATCAATGGTTCAGCCGGGAGTTCCAGCGGCTCAGGCAGCATTCTCAGTGGACGACGAAAGAAAAAAATTGAGAGCAGAGTTCGAAGAAGCGATGAACGATTTGAGGAATGAGTACGAGAGGGAACAATCGAGTAAGGCAGAGCTTCAAAAGGATTTAGAGGCTCTGAAAGTCGAGTACGAGAGGGCGAATGCGAATTTGGACAATCTGAATCCGGAGGAGGCGGCCAAGAAGATTCAGCAACTGCAGGATCAGTTCATCGGAGGAGAAGAGGCAGGGAACACTCAGTTGAAGCAGAAACGGATGAAGCAGTTGATGGAGGCGGAGACGAAGACGCAGAAGTTGGCAGGTGAGTAATAAGGAAACAGTAAGAGGAAAAGGAAATAGAACTCAAATGGTTTCAGCTGCATTGAACGTTCACAAGGATGATCCACTCCTTCAAGTCTACAGTACAACGCAAGAGAAGTTGGACGCGGTGACGTCACAACTGGAGAAAGAAATAAAAAAAGTAAATGGGTTCGATGGCATCATAGCTTCAACGTGTAAAATTACAGTCGAAGGGATACGAGAGGGAGATAGAAGACCTTCATGGGGAGTTTGAACTGGACCGTCTTGATTACCTGGACACCATTCGAAAGCAAGATCAACAGCTGAAACTTTTGATGCAAGTGATGGACAAGATACAGCCGATCATAAAGAAAGACACGAACTACAGCAACATGGACAGAATAAAGAAGGAGGCGGTTTGGAATGAAGACGAAAGTCGGTGGATTCTTCCGGATCTGACGATGAACAGAACAATACTCCCGATAGCCACGAATGGTAAGAAAAGAAGGAAGAAAACGGGAAATCCAACTACTCCTTTTTCAGGATTCATGCACGAGCCGGTCAAGCAGGAGAGCTCACTTCTGCGAGCAACATACGATGACAAGTTGAGGGAGAGACTGGCCAAAAGCGAATCGGAGAATCTGGCGAACAGCTATTTCAAGCCGGTCAAACAGATCAACGTTCTCAACAAGTACAAAAACGATCAAAAACGTAATGATTCCAATTGGAACGCATTTTTCAAACGTCTTTTTCCAGCCACCAAATCGTTCTTCCCATCGAAAACGCCGACGTTCGACGGTCTCATGAACGGCATCGTCTACACTGATGCTCTTTTCGAAAGAGCACAATCTGCGAAGAGACCGGCTCGACTGGCTGCTCTCCATCCGAAATAATTCATTCGTTCATTCGTTTTTAGTTTTTGTTTATTTCCGGGTACTTCCGTGTCAAAATCACCACACAAATTGGATATCACAATTACATTCAATTAAAGCTAATGAAACGGCAATGAAAGTGAATTTGAACCTACTCGGATTTCTCTTTGTTTGCAGAGAAACCAAGCTTCACTAGGGCCTGCCTGATGAGATGAAGAATGAAAAGAACGGAAGAGAGAATTAGGAAGAAGAAGAGGAGAACAATGTCCAGGTTGAAGTACTTGAGAAGCGAGAAGTTCTTTCCGGCTGATGTCCACCGTGGCATTTGTCCGAATCTTCCGGCCAACTCTACCGTATCGATGATCTTCTGACGAGGGGAAACCCTTTCAGTTGCCAGGATTCGGGCGAGAAGATCCGCCGACTTCTTGTATTCGGGGTTCTCGAGCACATCCTTCAACGTGGCAATCAGTTTCTTCGAGTTGCTCAGCTCCATCTTGTCGTAGATCACAGCCATTCCATGTCTCTTCGCAATTTGCGCATTTCTCATTTGATCTCCGAAGATTGGGACAACGATGAGCGGCACTGCCTTCTGCGCACTCTCCATCAAACTGCCCATTCCTCCGTGAGTCCAGAACATTGTGACCCGCTTGTCAGCTGCAAATTGACGGTTAGGAAGTTATCAGAAGCGATACGGCCTCACCCAAAAGGTCATTTTGAGGCATCCACTTGACGATGTGCACATTTGTGAGGTGTTTAGTCAGATGGGACTCGGTGTCATCGTACTTCCAGATAAATGTCACGTCGGGGAATCTGAAGCCAATCTTTTAAACTGGAAACAAAAAGAGGTCGCACGCTGCAAATGTGGTCACAATGGATTTCTTGACGGCTTCCGGCATAGTCGTCGGAGATGCAATTGATCCGAATGAAACGAGCACATTCTTCTTTCTTTCGCTCAAAATGACATCCCAATCTTTGTCGAGTGAATTCGTTTTGGAAACCGAGATGCCGGCAATCTCGATCACATTCTGCGGCAGCGGCTTCGGGAAGTCAAAGATCGGATCGGAATTCACAAAGAACCACGTGATATCTCTCACGAGATCCTGAAAATGACTCAAGTTTCTCACGAAGATCAGCACCTCTTACCCAAATCCTCGGCGCTTTGCCTTTCCCATAATGTTCGTCCAACGCTTTCTGCGCGAAACCTTGAATTTTATTCTGGAACTCGTACGACCAGTACGTCATGTAAAGATTGTTGAGACGGGAGAGCAGGGATCCACTGTCATCTGTGAACGTCTGCGAACTGGGCACGAAAGAGGGGAGGATCGGAGCTCCGGTGGCCATGAGAGTTCCTTCGAATACACTAGTCGTGTGGGCTCCAATAACGTTTTTCAGGCCAATAACCTCGAAGAATGCAAGCCCCGAGAAGTCAAAGAGCTCCGTGATTCCAATGTCGAACTTCTCTTCTTTCATTTGGCGAACGAGGTCTTCATTGTTGATCATATCTTCAACAGAGACGTCTTTCAGAGTTATCGAGGCTGCACTAACTTTTAGTGTTGAGATATGAAACCTGGCCGATGAGATCGGTCGACCACATGATTCCCTGCTTCGAATTGGCCGAATGCGTCCACAGATTCGCCACTGCTCCCGTCTTCATCGACGCTTCCATCAGATTAACCACTTCCTCGCCTGAAACTTATCCGTTTTTCTTCGTTCTGGAATGTGCTCAACTCACTCGGCGGCACCAGAACGACCTTGGCAAGATTACTTCCATTGCTGGGAACCGGTGCGTCGACGGGCATCAGAAAGGTCTGCAATCGGCCACGCTAATCCTCTCTCGCCCGCTAATTGTGCCCTCTCTTACCACGTCGTGTCCATTTTCCACCAGAATGTCCGCCAGTTTGCCCATCGTTTTCATGTGACTGTAGCCGAACTTTGGCACACAAACCAGAATCTTGAAGCATGTTGACGTGGCAGCGAAGAGGAGAAGGAGAAGGACTCGCATTACCTGAAGAGTTGAGTTGAAGTGAAAAGAGAAGGAAAGAGGAAGCGGAGAAGAAGGGAAGTACAGGAGAATGCGGAGAAGATAACAGCTGATGGATGACACGCTACGAACAATGAACAACAAATTGGTGAATACTGGAGAATGATGACAAAAAGTGGAAGGTGTTGTGAGAAAAAGAATAATAAGAGAATGGAGACCGAGTTGTTTCAATGATATCATGCTTGAGAAGTAATTGAGAGACCGCAACCTCAAAGTTAGAAATAAAGTAACTGGGAGACCAACTGATTAAAAGGTTTTTGAATGATTGAAGGACGTTCTGCACCCTTCCAATCATCACAGAATTGTCCTTTATGCCCAGGTGTGCGACCAATCTGTCTCGCCTGAAAGAGAGAGAGAACAGGGTCGAGAGACGCAGACAATCCCTACAACCTACAATTCGCACTGTTTGCGCCGAGATACAAGTTGGTAAACTGAACAAGAAACAAAGAAAAAAGTGGTAGACTTCATTTTAGCGGTAGAGTTGACTGGCAACAAGGGCAAAAATGAGAATGAATGCACTGAATTTGACGAAAATTCGGACGACTTCAATGATCTGGTGATGTTGATCGTTCTCGACCACTCGCATGTGGAAAGTGCCCAGCAGAACGTTGTTGGATGAGTAGCAACTGGAATTTGGAACCAACTTCGAGGGACTGGGAATATAGTAGACTCACAAGTATTCATCGTCTTCTTCCAATGTAAATTGACGGAACACTAGGTTCGTTTCCTCGTCGAAATACGCGCGATCGGGGTAAATCTGCTCGATGTTCGTGTGCTGAATCGGTCCGTGTTTTAGACTGTACCAGTGGACGCCAGCATTCAAATCGATTAGTTTCTGACATGAAAGCACTTGAGGATCGTTCTCGAGCACCAGCTGAAATGCTCACTTTTTGACAGACGTCAAAAGAGGAGTACTCACATGAACTCGTCGGACAACTGGAGGCAGCAGACGTGGCAATATATTTCCGAACACGAATTCTCCGCCGGGCAAGTAATCGAGAGTTCGGATGTCTCCCAAATCTTGCGAAGAGTTCACGATTCGACCGAGCTCCTCGTTCGATGTACACTGTTCGAAGCACGGACGAGTCTCCAGAATCACCTTGTCATTCCCCATTTCCTTCAATTGCTTCCTCAATTTCAATGGGACGAGGGACGAGGAACAGGAAATCTTGTCGTACAGATTCATGTACCGATACTCTTTCATTTGGGAGGCGAAATTGACAGATGGCTGGAACCGAGCCATGAGAAACATTGAGAAAGTAAAGGAGAACCTGTAGATAACACTTGATGTGCCTCGTTTGTTCTCCCCGATCCGAAGAGCAGTAGCTGCATTTACTCCATTCGCTTGCTTTCACTTCGAATTTCAGTCTCTCCTTCTCGAACTTTCCGCTTTTCAGAGAAGTTGCGGGAAGTTTATCCACTCCGATCGAACCGTTCATCTAAAATTCTCTTCAATCACAGACTGGACAACATCCTTCTCACCGCCAAAATCTTTTTCGAATTGGACACTTCCAGGAAGTACATGTTGGAGATGACGTTCCTTCCGTGTCTGTTCATGCATCGGTAGTGTCCCGTACTGTTCGCGTCCACACTTTTCAGCACCAGCTCGTAACGATCTCCCAATTTGAAGTCGGCTTCATCTCTGGAAGTAAATCTCCGAATACGGTCGGAGATGGATTCAGAAGAGGAGAAGTGCATGCTCGACAAAGGCACGAACATCCTCCCCATCTTGGCGAACTCCCAATCAAACTTCCACCGATTCTTATCAGGCATCGAGAAGGAGGATCTCATGAACTTCTACGGAGAAAAATGTTATCCCATTCCTGATTCTTGATACAAAACCTCTTTGAAAAAGTCGACAATTGAGTGCATTGAACGTCCAACAGTTCCGGCCGACGGCTTGTATGTCGAGTCGATTTCGACTCCGTCTTCCGGGGAAACACTGCAACTTCGAATCTGTTCTATACTTTACCTCCGTACTGTTACCACGTGAAACAGGGAAGAATGACATCAGCTCCCCGGACGGCATGAACTACCTTCAAACATGTTCTCACGGAACGCGAATCCTTGAAACGGTCTCACTTTTATTCTCTGTTCCTCTCCGATTTCTCTTTCAGTTCTTTCCAAACACTCCCGATATTGCTCGAATTCCTCCGACATCTCCGCATTTTTCTGAAATGTGAACTGATATTAGTATCTTCCAAACCGAAATTCAAAAACCGTTAATGCCGGGCAACAGAGCAAAGATATTTGAACGATTAAACCGAAAGCACGCATGTTTTCTGAATCAAAAATGAAAAAGAAAAGAAGACACGAACAAGTGTCTCACGGGTAATTCGAACGAGATCCTTCATATTGTTCCCTTTATATTTTTCAGTCTGTTCTTTTTGAAGAGTGTCTTAGATTATGCATGACAGACATAAAAATGGAAATGAGCGGACAGCAGCACCGAGAAAGTTATGGCGCCTCCGCATGACATGAAAACTTTCTGTTGTAACTGTATGGTTTTTATGATAGTGGCCTCTAGTTCTCTTCTTTTTCTCCGGCTCTCTTCTCCGTCACCGCACAATCAGTTTTCACACGTTTTTGTCATTCATGCATCTGTGATGAGACGTTCTTCTTCTCGTTCAGGACAAAAGTGCAACAATGACAGTTTCGTACAACTCGGATGTCTCTTCCGTCTCTTCCACTAACTTCCTCCGACTTTTGCTCCGTTGGAAAGGTAAGTCAACGGCATTTTGAGGCTTCAAAGATCTTGCGAAATAAAGGATCGATCTGGAAAAGTGTCTCCTCCGAGCTCATGATGTGGTGCTCGTGCTACTTCGTCATCGCCGTCCTCTACCATTACTTCCTGTTCCCTCACAACCGATACGAGTGAGTTTCTCTCCGTATTATCTGATTCATCGAACGATTTGAGAGCATTCAATGACGTCGCCTATTACTGCGGAAAGGAACTGCACAACTACATCCCGCTCACTTTTATGCTCGCCTTCTTCGTCTCCATCATCGTGGAAAGGTGGAGGACTACTTTCAGCAATATGGGATGGATTGAGAAGTGATCAAAACACAGAAAAGATTTATTCATTCCTCTTTTGTTTATAGCTGTGCTCTCACGGTGAATGCAATCATCGTGTCGAAGTGCGACGAGGCAAGACTGATCAGAAGAAGCATCATCCGGTACCTGGTGCTCGCGCAGATAATGACATTCCGTGACATCTCCATCCGCGTTCGCCGCCGTTTTCCTAACATTGACTCGATTATGAAAGCGGGATTTCTCACGGAAGAGGAAGAGGAGAAGCTGGAGAACGTGGATCTCGCCTACAACAAGTACTGGGTCCCTGTTAACTGGGCCATCTCGCTCGCCAACAAAGCCAACTCCCAGGGATACGTGCTCAGCGCGCCCGGAATGATTCATTTGATTCAGGTGAGCACATTCCTCTGGACGTGGGCACAACACAGTTTTGCAGGAGATAAAAGCATTTCGTAGCGGTCTTGCGACTATTTGTAACTTCGATTGGGTGCCGATTCCGATTGCCTACCCTCAGGTGACGAAAGGAATGCGCTGTAAATGCGAAAATGTTTATTTAGGTGGTTTTCTTCGCCGTCAGAATCTATTTTATCTTCTGCCTCATCACAAGACAGTACATCAGAGTGCCCGTGAGATCAAAGTGAAGAAAGCTTCCGGAACGTCAGGGAATGTTTCAGAACAAGGACTTCGAATCGGTTCAACTGTTCATCAGACCGTTCATAACCATCATTGAATTCATTTGCATCGTAGGCTGGATGAAAGTTGCAGAAGCGCTCCTAAATCCACTCGGAGAAGATGACGATGACTTTGAGAGCAACTTTCTCATCGACAAGAACATTTTCGTAGGAAAAAGGATGATCTACACAATATCACGACACGTTTCAGACTGGAATGAGAATTGTGGATCAGGGAGACGACGTACCTTCCCTCTTTGATGATCATTTCTCCGATCCTGGTGCAGTTCCGGTGTATTCGGCCGACAGCCAGAAGTATCATCCAAATGGAGCACTTGTGGGCTCTGTTTCTAATGTGACGTCAGTGACCCAATACTTCAACTATTTCGCAATCTATTTCAATTCAGACTTGCTCAATTTGACGAGAACATCACAATGGTTCCGGTGGCACCTAGAATGTCGGTTGGAGATATTACGAGTAAGGAAAACTGAATGGGAGAAGAAAGCGGAATAGAATTTTAGGTCATGAGCACGTACGTCCGTCCATCAGGAGACGATACAAATCTGGATCCTCTCAGAACGTTTCGAGAGCAGGAAGTGTTCGCGATCCTAAGATGTGAGCTGTCAATTATGAAGGTGGACTATTTTAGTTTTCAGGCAAAGACAGTCGTCCATAGGCGAAAGCAACGATGGATACGAATTGGATTATGAGTCGAATGTGAGTCAGAATGAGTATTGGAGTTCTGAGTCTCTTTCAGATTGATGATTTGGGTACCACCTCTCCATCCAAACAAGGAAAGTTTTTCACGAATTTGACGAAAGTTGATGAGAATGAAGAGGAAATTCCGGTGAGCATCCCCTCTCTTCTTCTTCATACCTCGTTCCTTCAGCCAAAGGCAAAAACTTCTGTGGTGTCGAGAGTATAGTCATCGATCATAAAGTGCTTCCCGGGATCCTCGTTGTTTTATATCGCAATCAATCAACATATAATAAAGAGAATGACTTTGTTACAAATCACCGCCGGTGTTTTATGCGTCTCCCTTCTGAAACTCGCCTCCCATTGTACTCACGAGCCCTCAGCGACACGTCGTTCCTAGTGATTGATCACTGACAACCGACCGCAGTGCACTTCAAACGGTGCCGACGTCGTCGTCCGTTGCCCGCCACCAAATGTCTTCATTTCGCATTCGCGCAAAACCATACCCTCTTATTAGGAGGCACCAGCGGCTGATATGATCCCCGGTCTCTTGAGATGCGCGAGGTCAATTAGGAGGAGAGCCGCTGCTGTTCCACCTTTTTTCCTCTTTCCGACACCGCTTCATTTCAGAATTATTCATGGGATGACCTCCAGAAATGATTGATTTGCATACAATTTTCGAAATTGACACAATAATTCGAGGCAAGCAACAACATGTGTCAATTCGATTTTTGACATGAAATTGCATCTCAAATAGGTAGGTCACTGCTGGATGAGGTTTCAATCAAATTTTGAATGTGAAAATTAAATTGCCACGTCATCGTGTCCAGACAAACCGGTCCAACAGGAGGCAGTGCACTTTTCGGAAGTCCCCTGCTTCACCCACTCGTTTCTTCTTTGCGAATTGTCCTTCGCGGCGACGGAGATGCGCGCGAAACGGTCCACTTTTGTGATTTATTGTGGTAAAGTGTTTACACAATACGTACATTCATTTGATTTATTCAAATTACGAATGAAGTAGAGAAGGAAGAAGATATTTACAAGAATCACAGACGGAAACTAAACTTAGCTCACACTAAATACCGGCAGACAAGTGAGAAATGAGGGGCGAGAACAATAGAAGCAGGAATTTTTGAGCAGGGATAAGAAATGGAAAGGGGGAGGGAAAGGAGGTAAACACTGGGAACCCGTTAACCGGAGAAGTTGATGATGGGATGGAGAGGTACCCGAAAGCAGAAGGAGAGGAAACTCTGACGGGCGTTATGCAAATCGAAGTAGGAGAAGTACGGGTAGCAACATCAGGTATTGTATCCTTTCAGATGAAGAATAGAGAGACTCGACTGAAAAATAAATGATTAATTTCTTCTTTTTCACACATCAACTCACCATCTCCAATTTCATGAATCTCAAAGTCGACGACTTCGGCGGGCACCTGTTCGTACTCGTCTTTCTTGTCCCCTTGATAGAGCGTCACTCGCTCTCCTCTCGTTATTTCTGGCCACGTGTTTTCCATCGGCATCACTTTCTCATAAAACTGCTCCCAGAGCTTCTCAGATGAGCTGTCAGTTACTTCTGCGATTTGTGGCGGGCTTGCAGTGGTGGTAGTTGTCTTTTTGTGGTGATGACGGTGATGATGACTGCCGCTCCCAATATCTCCATTCTTGTCCGTGATGTGAATGACCATTTTCAGATTGTGGCTGGCGCAGAGACCGCCTTGCTCATTGTATAGTCCTTTTCGGGACCCGGTGGATGTAGCTGAAAATGGAAGGTTGGAAACTTGTTTCAAATGACTCGACCACTTACAGATGAAATAATAAGTGACTCCTGGTCTGTAATCCAATCCAGATGGGTTAGGACTCATCAAACGGAATGCGACTTTGAGCTTCTCCTGCTGATAGGGTTGCGTGCATCTTCCCAATTCCTTGGCATTGGAATGCCTTTCACAATTCTCATATTCGGCTTCCGACACTCTGTAGATGATTGACTGCTCCGTCAGTTCATCAGAATTCTCCTCGAAGAACGGACACACGATGTCGAGGGTGTCCCCGATGGCTACATATCGTTCCACTCTGCAAATAATTCATTTATTCCGATTCATTCCGATCGCGCCTTGTTTCCCGCACAAAGAGTAAGCCGCCTCAATGCCCATTGTGCCGTGTCCGGGCAACACCAGTAATACCTTTTTCGAAAAGTGTCGGCGCGCGCAAAAAGTTTCGCGTTCGTCCGACTGGTAGGCCACGGAACAGGCAGGTAGGTAAGATTTATGTAGCGTGAGGGGTTATGAGTTTTTCGAAAGGAACCAGACATTTTTTAGTGTTTGGCACGGGCGTCGGAAGTGTTTTCGTGTCGGGGGACGCCGCCCGTTCAAACAGTAATCAGTGTCCGGATGCTTCCGCCCCATCAGGCAGCCAGATGACTGTTACGTAACCCAGAGTCTCATCCCAGCTAAGCACGCATCTATGCGTTCCCAATCCGAAACAGTTTAAGTAATAGAGCTTCCTAATTGTGTTCAATGTGATGAGCATGTGGTGGCGGGGCTTCCTTCCTTCCTGCTCCGAACAGCCCTTCCAACATTTTGGTCAATCTCTGGAGATTAGGACCAATGAGAGGGCTAGGGACCCTATTGAACGGCACACTTCAAAGACACCTGCCTTTTGCGGCGCATGTTAATTAGCCCGTTTTGTCGATAGACTCGACCGTTTTAGTGGCCGTTCAATGTGGTTGCCAATTTACATATGGAATTCTTCACTACTTATCCTTCCGCCGACGTCTTCCGACCTACTTCTACACGTACTTCCGGTGCATTATATCAACCCGACGCACCCTCTCTCCGTCGTTTTCAAACACGGTAAACACCTGCGGAGGTTCAAGGAAGACACCCGAGAATATGAAGAAAGACAGTGTGGTCAGCAGCTGCCGTTTCGCTTATGTAACTGAGCTCCCGGGGTCTCGACGGTCAGCTGCCCTTGCTGCTTTAGTTAATCGACGCCCGATTTGTCGTGATGAGACGGCTCTCGAGACCGTAACCGATCGGTTTCGACTTGTCGACACAAGCGGGCAAACACAACGGGAACGAAAACAGCTTGGAGCTCTGGGAGCGGCTCGAGTGGCTGGCAGCCCACTAGTTACTGTTGTCGTGTTTGCACACAGAGCGGACATCTCGAACCAATTATCAAAACCACTTTGCACATCAAGTGGGGGCCAATGAGTGAATGTTGTCGGAGCCAATTTGGAAACACTAATCAGCTGGCAATTGTTGTGTCGGAATGAATGAGCTACCGCGCAAAGGGAAAGACGGAAAAGGTGCAAAGTGCATTCGGTTAGCACCATTTGGCAAGGATTAGCATTCGCTTTGTTTGTCGGCCGTTACAGTCATGTTGCACAATCGGCCAGTTTATAGGAGGTAGGGTTACCCTTTGCCAACATTCGTAACGTTGTTGCATGCATTCTCTTCGGAGGCATTCACAGAAGTTGATGAAAGTGAATATGAAAGCGTTCAATTTCCATTTGGCACAAGTTCAAATAAACTTTTCTTTCCCTTCCGTTGCATGTATAAATTCATTGCGGGCGGCTCTAATTTCACCCCGTTTTGCCCTTCTCTGCTAATTGTCCGTTTAGTCCCCCTCTAAAAGGTCGAAGGACACCTTCTACAACCTGTTGTCGAAGCACATAAATTCGAGGGGAGAGAGAAAGGGGGAGGAGGAAGCTTGTCGATAACGCTCATAAATCAGTCGTGTACTACAAGGTGCCCATTACAACGGACGGAGGTCCCGCTAGCTCTACACACAACATGTCATCATCATCATGGTCACTGAGGACAAGTTGCTTTGGTCCCGACGGAGGCTTCGCATATGGTTCGAGATGAATATCAGATTGACGTGTTTATGGAACTGAGGGTCAGACGGGCTCTCTTGTTCAAGAACATCTGCTGATTTGGAACGCAGAATATATTAGGAGGGATTTGGAGAGGAAAGAAGGAGCTCAGCAAACAGGAGAAGAGAGGAACATGTGGAACATCACGTGGCAAAACGTGGCACTTTGAGATTTATGAAGACAAAACTCCAGAGAGGTGGCAATAAAACGGGACGAATTGGCACTCGGAGTCTGCCACACTGGCATGCTCCCCCAGAACTCTCGGCAGTCCTCTTTCAAGTTGGATGCCATAAACGAGACTGGCGGTGTCTTGTTTCGGTACAAGACAAGCCATAAAAAGGTATGGTTCATATCCGATTGTAAAATGTTATTAAAGAAACACGGCGAGGCAGGGAAAGGTTTCTTTCTCTCAAGGTCTCCTAATCCCAAAAAGTGTTCCTCTGGCCCCGGTTGGCCCATCTGTCCCCCAGATTATTTCTTGATACTCTCTATGTGCCGACCAGTCTATCTACTGGAGACTCCCCAATATTTGTTCAGTGTCCGGCCATAATTAGTAACATCGTTTGGTTTCGGCTTACCATGCGACGGCTTCCTCTTTATGGTCCCCACAGGAGCTCCCGAGCACAGAGAGAAAGAGGTAAATATGTGTGGAGTGGACATGACGGCGGCTTTTTTGATGAGAACGGATAAAGAGAGCAAGAGACTTACAGTGGATTTGTTGAATTCCAGTAGATTTGAGGGAGACGTTTTGCATTGGAAGCGGAGAAAAAGAGGAAGAATGGCAGGAAACTGACGAGAATTGTGGTGGGATCTGCATGCATTCTGACTGAAAACACGTGCGGATTATGACGTTGGAGAAGATATTCAACAAGAGAAAAAAGGTAAAAGTTGATCAAGAATGATCAGAACGGAACATGGGATTGAGAATATTTGAGTGAAGAGGAATGTTGAAAGGTCAGGAGAGGTCGACCCTTCAGAATGTGTGAAGAGGTCTGAAGGGCCGAAATGAATCGAATGCTAATCAGCAGGTGACGTGGCAACCAGAGTTGAGCGGAAATGGAATTTCGAAATCCGGAAGACGGCAGACGGCAGACGGAAGAAAATTTTTTTTACGGAAAACGGAAAACGGAAGACGGAAGAAAATTTTTCTCACGGAAGACGGCAGACGGAAGACGGAAGAAAACTTTTTTCGCGGAAGACGGCAGACGGAAGACGGAACAAAAAAATCGTCAATGCAGAACCTTTTTTTCCGGTTTTTTTAAAAATAAATAACTAAAGCAACAAAAATCTTGGATCTGGGTCACTGCCCGTGGAAATTCGTGTTCTTCGGGGCTAGTAAATGGCTTCTGAAAAGCTATTACTTTTTTACGGTAAGAAGAAAAAATTCCGGAAGACGGCAGACGGCAGACGGAAAAAAAAATTTTTTACGGAAGACGGCAGACGGAAGACGGAAGAAAACTTTTTTCCCGGAAGACGGCAGACGGAAGACGGAACAAAAAAATCCACGGAAGACGGAAGACGGAAGACGGCAGACGGAATTCCGCTCAACTCTGGTGGCAACTAAGAAAATAATTATGTGATCGAATTTCTAAATTAGTTGAGCAGTGAAAGTATCAAATCAAAATCGAGAGGTTGTCAGTGCGACACGAACAAGTGGCCTCCTCCTCGCCTCTTCCGACCGGCGGGCCCGTGTGCCGAAGCCCCGCCCCCCGACTGCCCTTCCCGCATCGGATCCGCCCGCAGCAGGCGACGGATTTGCAAATTAATAAGGTACTGTCTTGAGTGAAGAGCTCTTGCTTAGGCACTTGGCTCTCCGGTTATTGGAATACATAATGAAATGGAATGACGTGGCAATAAGGCGGTAGAAGAGCAGGCAGGTTTGTAAAGTGATAAATCAAGCGGTGGTGTGGTCGGAACAAAATAATGGGCTTTGTGCGGACGGTGATTCATTTCGGACCCCGGGATGCAAATTGTACATTGCGACGGACAGCTTCGGGACGACGATGACAAACTGAAACAAAGGAAAAGCCTGGGGAAAAGAGAGAAATCTGCGGGGCGAAAACCTTGGAGTAGTGTTCGAGGCGGCACGGAATTATGACTAACCGACGCGAATGGCGGGGGACTGTTTGAATAAGATAAGCCGGACGACTGAAATGTAAAATAGAGACATTGTGAAATGTGTTTTGGAAAAGTTGAAAAACGGTGCACATCGTAGTAGCTCTCTTATTGTAATGAATAGAACTGAGTAGAAATACTTGCTCACACCCCCAATGTCGGGTGGTTTTTTTCCACAAAAAGAACAATGGGCGAGTTACTGCACCTGTTCATGGGAACGCACTTTTTCACGCACATTGGAAAGTTGTCGTAATATGTGTACTCGCCGTGTGTACTCTCGCAAAGGCGGCAAAATCCGGGACTCCTAATTAAAAAGAGTACAAAGTTGTTGGCATGAGATATGAGCCAACATGTGTATTATGAAAAAGAAATGGATCCCCCTCTCCAGTACTCGCGCCGACATCCTTTCATATTTTGAGATTATATGAAAATGAGAGGGGAAACGGATAAAACCGCAGGGGACCGCATCTCTCTGAATGAGCAGCAAATTGCCGTGTTCTCGGAGGAGTCCGTCTCTCGACCTGCAGCCAACGAGCACAAAAAATTGCCGTTTCTGCTCGATAAAACCGCATCGAATACATATCAGAACCAAATGTTTTTAGGGTGTGCTGGGGGTCGGAGAGGCGCCCGACTCATAAAACGATTGAGAAAAACGAAGAAGAAGAAGAAGAAGAGGAGGAGGAAGAAGAAGGGAGCAATGGAATGGACGGAGCGTGATTGCAGAGTGAAACATGGACTGTTTGGACACGGATTAGGCGAGAAGGCGAACATCAGGCGGCCGTTTATCATAACAACTAATCAGCTGGCAACAACGTTTTCGCGCATGAGAGAGCCACATTCCGGCACGAAAATAATAGTGTCTACAAATGAGCTAATGAGCTAATGTAATTAAGTTGGAGACTACTGGAAGAGATACGAAATAAGAGCACACACTTATTGTGCACCTGCTGCGGGCGATGCCACGTCACAAATAGGTGCAAACATGCAGGTGTTTATGGGCGCTCTATCTTGATAAGGAAGCCTTTCACCCATCTAATTTCCGGATTTCCTTCCGCGAGCGGCCACCTGTCTCAACTGCACCGGCCAATTTGTATTTCGACCACCTGTTAACAATTATCAAAAACTGGGAGGCCGAGACCGTAATCCGATCCTCTTCTCGCTTCCTTTCGCGGCCACCTACAGCCTTTTGACGCGATAATTGACACGTGTTGTGTATTCGTTTCGAAACCGAAATGATAAATGGGCCAACAACATGGCGACGGGACACTTTTATGGGCGGATAGTCTCGAACGGAAATGACGCCTTTGAGGAGGGAGCACCTGCGGGGACAGATGAGGTCGGACCTGATCCATTAACATCAAGGCAGCTCCTCTCTTTATCACAGGTAATCGATCTCGTGTTCGTGTGACGCAACTACATCTCGGAACCTTTCATCCCTAACTTTTATTGATCAATTATGTAGACTCGGTCGGTTTTTAATATGAGAACAGAGGAATGTATTGAAGAACGAAAAGGGACGAAGACATTAGGTGGCAATGCGAGGGCCATTAGCTTGAAAAATGGCCTTTTGGCGTTTCAATAAAGAAGAGAAATGGGATGACACGAGGCCTTCTGAAAAAGGAGAGAAAGTGAGTGATTGGCCGAGGGAAAAGAGATGGAACGTCGGGGAAATCCACCTGCCGGCGGGAGCTATACAACTTCCAGAAACTTGGGAAATGACCCGAATAATTTTATTTTATCGCGTATTTTTAGGTTTTATGAAAAGCACGCAGGTAGGTGGTTTTAACGGAGAGTTTATGAGGCCGCAATGAGGAAGACATATCGTACCGTTCTGCACAATGTAATATAATCAAAAGAGAACAGAAGAATAGCGTCTCCATCTATTCATTTACAACTTGAACGGATGACTCAAAAACGAAAAGGATAATAAGGGCACACGGGGCACAATCAATGTTTGCTGAATATCAGTTGCCCGGAGAGCAGAAAGGGAAGGAGCAGTTGAGCAAAAGAGGATTATTATCATCTTCATGAGAAGAGACGCGGACGAAGCCACGGCAGCGAGCGGCACCGGATTAATCAGCTGAGTTGTCATTGACAACGACGTGCTCCCCCCAGATTTGTCAACTTTTGAGGGTCGAGGGGACTCTAATCGCGAGAGAAGCGAAATGGGGCTAATGGAAGGAAAAAACGATTGGATGGGAAATAAAAAAAGAAAAGAGAAGGGAGAGGGTTGGATTACTGTGGGAAAAGAGAGAATGGAGTATTGTGTGGGCACACAAATGTTGCTCACTGAGAAACAATGAAAGGGTGCCCTGTACAGGTCGATGCGTCACCCGGAGACAGGGCGCCAACGCAAAAGAAACGGGTGGATGGACCGTGACGGACGAGGGCGAAACCCGGACACGGGCACACAGAAGCAATAAAAAAGTGGGAGAAGGTGGTCAGCCGCCCCTTTTCCTCGCCTTTTTTTATTGTTCCAAATTATTGGTGGCGCGGAAGAATCGAATTTCTCGTGCATACTAAAATGTGCAAATAGGCACTTCTGGAAATCGGACGGACTGACGGGCGGTTGGAAAGACGAGAGAACTGGTCAGACTGACTGTTTTGGACAGAGAGAGAGAGAGAGAATATTGAATGAAGAGGACGGAGCAGAGGTGCTTCGGTGTGGGAAACGGGCCGTGCAACTTTGAATGAGCACTGTTTGAGAGGAGAAAGTGTCAGAACGCATTTATTCGGTAACCACCGCCAGAAACATCTGTTTTTCACCTATGCCGGAGAGGAGAACCAAAACAAAACGAAATTCCAAAAGAAATCAAGGCTTTACGGGATTAGAAACGGAAAACTAGAAGATGTCAATATTCCGGAAACAGTGGCAGAAAACCGCTGTGCGACCTCTTCTGCGACATTGTTTATTTAGCATCTGTGACGAATGTTTATCCTCGGGTGGCAAATAATCGAGTAGCCACTGAGGCCTAATGACTTCTCCAGTGCAGTTTGGCGCATACGCAACCGCTCACCCATATCATATTTCCTCTAATTACTCGAGAATGTCTCGTTTTTTTGTGTATTGCGCGAGAAAAGAGAAAAGGGAAAGAATGACTTTGAATGGATTGAGAAGTATAACGGGAGTAGGTGAAGCCAGAAGCCGGAAAAAGAGAGGAAATCCAGTTCGATTAATTTCGGATGATTTACAGCTTTCGGAGGCACTCTCGCCCTCTCTTGAGACGCCCGTAATTCATGGCAGAAGACGTCGAGAAGGGCATCCAGGGAGCACCCAATTAATGCCCTTTTTCTCACTTCTCGGATTACCGCTGTAAGAATAGGAAAGGGAATAATTGGTGCAGCACGTGTGCAACAGGTAATCATCATCTCAGAAGGGAAGTGGATGCAAGTCTGAGATGTTTGCAGAAAAAGGGTATCCGATTGCGATGTGTTTGTTTAGTCAGTTTAGAATTGAATACAAAAGGGCAATAAAACTTTTGTAGCGTAACAATTTTTGTGTGGCGAGCTAAAAAGGAAAGAAGAAGAAGAAGAAGGGTGAGAAAGGGAACGGAATGAGGGAAAGAAGAAGAAGAAGAAGAGAGAGAAAGTGTTATCAAAGAAGGGAAGACGCCGTCGCTTTGCAAGTTTTCCCCGACTAGGCGGCCTAAAGAGGGATAAATCACGCAGGTGTGTAATTTGGTTTCGCTTGACAAACGACTGTCGAACACAAAAAAGAGGGTAAGATTGAGATGAAGGGGCTTTCAGATGAATTGAGACGAAGATGAAGGTCCGAGATGGCTTCCTGAATCTGCAAAGTTGCTACCGTATACCATTCAGAGACTTTTGGAAAATTTGCTCTTTAATCGTCAGAGAACAAACAGAAACCAATCATCAGGCACCGATGAACACTGATCGGATTGATTTTCAGATTGTGTGCTGTCCATTCGCACATCCCGTACATTTCGAAACGTCCGTCTCTCCTATCCGATGCCTTCTGCATATTCCCTTTCGGTTAGTTAGTTATTTTTCTCTTCGAAAGTTCGCACGAGGATATCGCATTTCGCGCTCTCTTTGAAGCTCTCCGCGCAGAGATCAACGGCACCACACAATCCAAACATGATTCATAACTCTGCAAAAGGCCGGAAGTCTCGGGATGTGTGGATCATTGCTGTTTCTGATCAGTGCCAAGCTGCCCATCTCTGCTTCTCCTACCCATCTCCTGCTCTTTTTCATTTTTTGCTCCGCCCGATCCGATTGATATATCCGCGCGAGGGAGAGAGAGAGAGAGAGAGAGAGTTCTGAGTGCAAACAGACCGTCGGCGCGAACGAAACAAAGTGTCAGCCTCCCTAATAATTCGACCATTTTCTTCTTGTTTTTATCCGAAAACAAATATGTGTTGTGTGAAGGTGTGACCATTCCGAATGCCGTAATACATAGTTATCAGAATTGGTTGGAAACGAGAAGAGAAATGGCAAACATGGGAAGAAAAATCGAAAGTGACAAGTGGGCAGTAGCCTGGAGGGACACTTCTGATTGGCCCTCCGAAGGTATTCGGTTTCATACCCCAGACTCTCACCCCTCACTCATTTTTTATTTTCATTCATATTTTCTATTCGTTTGCTACCTAGAAATATCTTGGCAACCTCAGCCGAGGATCTCTGTTCGTTTGAACTACAAACATGACTTCTGCAAGAGCCCTGCCAACTACAATTCGAGCTTCAAAGATCCTTTCCAAACACTTTCCATACCTCTGTCCCTCTTCAAAAAAAGGCTTGTTCTCTTTGTCTTGAACCGCAAACTCTCCACTGTTTATTCAATGAACTTCTTCCAGCAGAAGGTATTTGATCAAAGTCCTCTCCTCCCTCCTTTTGCTCCAACATTACTTTCGTTCGTTCTGTTTTTGGAAGTGCAAACAGGGAATGTCAGAGGTATCGTAGCCTCTCCGGTTGAAACATAAAAACAAAGTCCCGCTCGTCTATTGTTTGCTTCTTCGCGCATTTCGTCCGTACTTTGGCTCGCGGTGAGCACACACGTTGCTCTCCGTCCGTTCTATCGAGTTTCCACTCCGCGCCGCGTGTTCCAGATTTTTGATGATTCGATTCGCGCCAATAGAAGCCCCACTCATCCTATTCTTTGAAGATTGTTTGATTGAGCACCGGAAGATCATTTTTCATTAGATTCGCTTGCAAGACGGTTTTTTGTGTGAGCAGACATCTCGTTTGACACCTCCCCTAGCCCGCCTCAGCAATTGGCACCCCCGTCTAATCAAGAGAAGAAGAAGCACTCTTTTGAATGAATGAATGACAGCTCGGCGGTCCCCCACGCGATTTTCGTTTTCCGGTCGTCAAACGGATGATCTATAGTCGACTTGCCTGTTTTGCAATTATTATGAGTCTCATTTGAAATTGGAGTTTTGAAAGAAAAAAACAGAATTAGTTGATGTTGAATTGTTGAACTGATCAACATCGACTGATAATGGAAAAGAAGTTGAGCTTTTGAAAGATCAGAAACATTTTCTTTTTCCGTTTTCAGATTCATCATAAAAGTGTGTCTGGTTTGCTAACCAGCAAGATTTGTTCAAAAGTTAATCTCTGAATTCCTATTCGTCACCCATAATCAGATTTCGTTTTGTTCTTTATAAATTTCTCTTCTATTCTGTGTTTATGTAGGCCTAAGAATAAACATGTGCAGGTGGTATTTCTGATTTTCGGTCGTCGGCAGCTTCCTCTGAATTCCTCCGATTCCAATTGAATCGTACAGATAGTGGCGAGCAAACTACTCGCCAAATTTAGATCAAAATGTGCATGGTCTTCATTGCGTTTGCACACTTCCAATTCTTCTGACTGTCGTGTGCTCCGCCGCCTAAAAATACTCGCAGCTCACCAATGTTCAGCCCGTACACACACGTAGTTTGCCGTTATTGCGTCGGCACTGCCTGATAAGTATTGCTACCGAAAATTCCGATAATTGTTTCGCGCCTTCTCTGCGTTTCTTCATAGTTTCTAACAAAAGTTCGGAAACAGTAATCGAGTAACCCGCTAAACAGCGTCAGAATAACGAGTTCCCGATGGATGGCGGCCTGCGTCTCCCGGGGTGCGGGGGTGTTTGGGGGAGGGGAGAGGAGAGAGTTAAACCCGCTCTCCTCCTGGCCATATTCGCATCCAGACCTAATTATATTCTCTCGCCCTCTCCTGATATGATATTATTCTAACGCTGATAATGTTTGATTTCTAAAAATGAGTGAAGAGGTGAGAATAGTAATGGTCGCACACGTTCTCTAATCGAAGTTCTCGACGAACACTTGACTTCAATTGAATACTTCCAAGGTCTTCAATAATTTCCTCTCCTTTTTTCCCCTGGTCAACTACTATTTCCTACTATTCCTGAAAGAGCAAAACATCCGTTACTATTAGACATTTCCGGATTCTCGTCAAAGTTGTCGTTATTTTCAGAAGACGCCTTCCGTCGTGGATGCTTCAGAGGAACCGTCCCCTCTGCTGATTGATTCGAACAGTAAGTTGTTATCATTCTTATTTTTATTAGTTTGCGGTCTGAAAACTGGTATTCCTCCGCCAGAACGAGTGTTTTTTTGTGCCGAACACAAGTCCCAGAGCTCTTTGAGTCCGTTTTGTCTCGTTTTGTATTCGTATTCGGATTGGCTCCCTTCATGTGTTGATGGTTGGTCTGTCAGAAGAAGATTATAGTAGAATCGAGAGAGAATTCAGTTCGACGCAACCACACGGGCTGACCAACCTCCCCGCAATTGAGTATAATGTTTCGATTCTGATCGATTCGTTCCGCACTTCATTCGCTTCTGTTCTCTTTTTTCACTCCGTCTCGATTGTCCAAATGTACGAGAACTTTGAGCGGTTTGCTGTAGAAGTGCATGACTGAAAAGAAGGCAAACGGACGAGAAAGGGGAGTGGTCGCCGTCCGTTTAAACGTCACAGAGTAGAGAAGAAGTGTGAGAGCTTATCAGTTGTGAGTGACTCTTTTTGCGACTGAGAGTCGAACTTGACCCGATTGGGACTGCCGACTGATCGAGAAGTCTGCTCTTCTTCAGATCCCGAAACAACTTTTGTTATCACGGACTCTGGCGGTAAACACACCCCGCCCACACACTTCCTTATCTAGGTCTCATGATATGAAATAAGGTTTTCTGACGAGAAACAAAATTGCTTTTCAGTCAAAGCCTCATTCAGAAATGCTGAAGAAATACAGAAGTAAGTGTGTCCACCTGTAACTCTATAGAGGTCCTTTAGTCCAATCCAATTCACGTTCGCTTTTCCTCTTTTGAATGTAAATTGTGAAATGTATCAGTTCTGTGGTCTCCACAAAAAGCGAATGCCTAACATGGGAACAACTGTCAACCCACTCAATTATGCTTTCTGTTTTCGTTTTGTCCCGGATGTCATGGTATAGCCATTATGAAGTCAAAAGGCCGTCGCCTGCTGAAATTGATATTATTCGTTCGCTTTTCTGCATGTGAGGGCGACAAAACAATATTCGCGTTAATTGAAATTCGAAATTTCCACGTGAATCATTCTCAACCAGTACATTTTCCACAAAACGACTGATACGCACAATAGGTTTTTTTAGTTTTCATACCTTTCGTTTTATCAGGTACAAAAAAAGCGTAAGTCGTATTTTCTCAGTTAGAAGACTTGTGAAACGATTAAATTGGTGAAGTGTAACTCTGGTTCAGAGTTTTTCTTCCGACTTTACTTTTTTGTCTGATTAGATTACTTATTATGCAAATCACCAGATTCCGCCTATTTCTGATCACTGAGCCCGGGTCCAAATTTTCTCAAATTAGCCAAAGACGGACGTCATCGGGCACTTATCAGCTGCTCCGAAGGTTCGTTTCTCTTATCAGTCGCCTCTTTCGTGCGTTGATCTGCGACAAAGGAGTGCCCCACCCAGTCTGTACATCTGCGAAAAGTAGCAATTCTACTCGTTTACGCTTCCTTCTCGTCTTTTTCTCCGTTTCTTCGTCGTCTGATTGTTTTTTTGCGTCCAGGCAACTCGCCAGAGCTCCGTGCCTGAATTATGCATTTTTCCGCTTATTGTTGCTGCGCTTTGATGTATGACGCCGTCTTCTAAACATCTGGACCAAAAAGAAAGGGAAAAAGCGCGAAATGAGCAAAAACGAGGTTCGGAATTCAAATTGTGCGTGTTTCAGTGTTCGGAGGCACGCTGGAGTCGCAAGCACTGCAGAAGGGGTGCGAGGAGGACATCGAGAAGCACTGCAGAAGGTGTTTGGGTACGCTTCCGTCGCTTTCAAAGAACCCATTTCAATGCGGTCCACTTTTCAGGCAAGCCCACTATGCGGTCACTGCATAAGCTACGGAAATACGGGTTCTACGTACTCTTCTTCATGCTCATTTTCGTTATGGTTTTCCAGTTTTCTGCAGATTTGTAAGTTGTTCAAAGTCGGTTCTCGTGAGATTTTCGACGAAAAGCCAAGACATTTCTCTTTGTTTTTAATGGCTCTCTACTTCTTCTTCGACATTTTCGTTCTTTTTGCAGACGTCAGCCGACATCTCCAGTGTTCAAAATGAGCGAAACGAACAACAGCCAGCAGATGATCATAGTGATAACTCCAACTTATAAAAGAATCACCCGAATCGCTGACATGCTTCGGTACGGTTTTTCTTCTCAATACATTCCTTACCTCACTAAGCAAATATTTTCAGCATGGCAAACACTCTGTCGCATGTGAAAGACTTGCATTGGATAGTCATCGAGGACGGCAACTCGACAGTTCCGGCAGTGAGGGCTCTTCTCGAAAGGGCCAACCTTCCGTTCACCTACATGGCCCACAAGACGGCAGTCGGCTACCCGAGAAGAGGGTGGTATCAACGGACGATGGCGCTGAAGTTCGTCCGATCGAATACTTCTGAAATTCTCGGATCAGATCATAACAGCGGCGTCGTCTACTTCGGGGACGACGACAATTCCTATGACATCCGTCTGTTCACGGAATACATAAGAAATGTGAAGACACTCGGAATCTGGGCTGTCGGTAAGTACGCCGTTCCTTAGTACTGTTTTTCAGCAATCTTTCTCTTTTCAGGTCTCGTCGGAGGAACGGTAGTGGAAGCACCGAGAGTAAAGAATGGGAAAGTGACGGAATTCGACGTAAAATGGAATCCGAAGCGGCGATTCGCAGTCGACATGGCCGGATTCGCTGTCAATCTCCGCGTCGTGCTCAATTCGGACGCCGTCTTCGGAACTTCGTGCAAGCGAGGCGGCGGTGCTCCGGAGACGTGTCTTCTTGAGGATATGGGATTGGAGAGAGAAGACATCGAGCCGTTCGGATACGAAAAAGCGGTAAGTCCGTCTGAAAAACTCAACGACTCTATGATATCTTTTATCCAGAAAGATCGTGATATTCTGGTGTGGCACACTAAGACCAACACGCCGAACCTTGTGCAGAACAAGAAGAACACAACGGCTCCTCCGCCAGACACTTATGGATACTTCGTCGAGCTCTGATTGATCTCCTTCCTTCCCCTTCCCCCCCCCCTTTTTCCGTGTACTTCTTCGGGTGTCCTCGTGTAATTCTAGAAGTTTCCAATCTTTTCTCGGGTCTCCTCTTGGTTGTTTTTCCATTCATTGCCTGTGTTTCATAAACACATTTTCTGTGCGTGTGCTGTAACCGGACAGATCAACGGAAATCGAAAGCAGTGTGACATGCGGGATTACAAAACAAAGCTGAATAAAAAACTCGTTTGCACGGTGAAAAAGAGAAGCATATGGGGAGAGAGTATAAAAGAGTACACGGACTGGTAGCACACTTTTCCCCAGTCAGAATGTGTTCAGTCTTCTTGTTTAGTGAGTTTTTCATTATTGTATCAAAATGATTTTACTTGTTTCAGTTGCGTTGTTCCCTGCTTCTTATGCTCAATACGGTCTGTTCAGTGGATACGGAAGTGGGCTCGGAGGCGGCTACGGAAGTGGCTACGGAGGTGGATTCGGTGGCGGATATGGAGGCGGTTTCGGAGGCGGAATGCCCTTCCTTCCAGATCCATTCATGGGCCCTCAATTGTACGGGTGAGAATTTCCTTCTAGTTCATTGCTTGGGAATATGTTAATGGCGTATCAGAAGCGACAGCAACCAGAAGGACTGTCGAGGACTGCCTTCCATGAGAGCCAGGAGTACTTGCAGATACGGTAACCCGATGATGGGCGGTCTCGGAGGCTCTGCGGGAATGCTCGGCGGATGTACCGATTTAAGTCCACAGTGTTCTGTCTGGGCAAGTACAGGTGACACTTCGCATCAATCTCACAATCTTTGTTACCTTTTCCCTCAACTTTTTAGGCCAATGCGCCACCAATCCGATGATGATGCGTCAGACGTGCGCCCTGTCTTGCGGAACATGTCAGTACTTTCTTCCCTTTATTCCTTTCTTCACAGCCTTCTCGATTTCAGGCGCAACCGGTCTCGGCGGTGGCTCAACCTCCTCTTTTTATAATAATCCGTTTGGTGGTCTCGGAATGCCGTCGACTGGTCTAGGCCAGTACCCGTTGTCGCAGTTTATCGGTCGTTCTATTTATGAAACTGGTAGGGATCGGAAGGTTCAAATGGGAAAGGATCGAGATCTTTTTCAGGGATTCTCCGTCAGCCAACTCCCCACTTGTCAAAGGATGTCTACCGTCCGGTATCGAAAAGTGCATATCTGCCGGATAGGCGGTAGAAACCATCAACAAACACTTTAAGCATTCCACATATTATTTGATCTCTTTGAATATTTATAAATATCGTTTTCTTTTCATAACAAACTCGTTCAATTTGCCGCGTAGTAGTCCGTATCGGAAGTTCTGAGAAGGTTGCACACGGATTCCCGGTTCATCAGAGCGACCAGATAGGCGACGATCGCGAGGAGGGAAGCGAGGAACGCGTAGAATCGGAAGCTGCTCTCCTTTCTCTCGCTACCCGCATTCTTCACTTCGTCCAGAGCTTTTGCGAGTTCCATCGAATCCACTTGTCCCTGAAAACCATCTCGATTCCATTTAATTTCTGGAATCACCTCTCTCATTCGTGAAGAATCCGACGCGATAAACTGGATGTAATTGAAAGCAGAATTCAGAAATATTTGAAATGTTTTCATTAATTCTCTTAAATTTACAAGTTTATTTGCAACGTTGGCGGGAGAAAAGGGCGGGTCGGAACGGATAAAAAGGTGGTTATTAAATACAAATGGAAAGAAAGCTCGTGAAGAAAAGGTAAATAACAGCTTCATGCAAAAAGATACGGAGGAAAGAGAAGGGGAAGAAGAAGAAGAAGGAAGCCGTAGTCAAATCAATCCATTCCGGTCATGGAAGGATATGCTATACAGATAAGGAGTTATAGGGACGGGCGGAATTACACGTTTCAATGTCCGATGCCTCAGTGGAAGGAAGAAGAACAATAGGCAAATTACAGTCTACAAAAGCATTAATTGGGGGAGAGAGAGAGGGAGAGCCTAGAAATCTGAGCAGCATAAAACTGAATTAGTGATGAGTCCGGACGAGTTACACAACACAGGAGGCAGGAGAGTTGGCGGAGGAGAGCAGCGGTTTAGTCGTACTCGATCTCGCTCGAGTCCATCTCGTTCGCATGACGTCTGAAAAAGCGGCTGCTTCTCATCAGAAGATTTTGCTGACATCCACGTTCTCTGGAAATCTATCGGAAACGTGCAAAACTGCGCGATTTCGACCAACAGAAACTACGAGTCCCCCCTCCTCTAGGTGGTAAAAGTTACCTTTGCTGAGAATCGAGACGACTGATAGTCACGTTGATTCCTAGGTTTCCGTTTTCTGAAAAGGAACAATAGAAATTGTTAGTGGGCGAGCGAGAACTTACCGGCAAACAATTGAGCTTGGGTAGTATCGAAAGCAAGGCAGTCCGACTGCTGGATGGCGAACGCGACTCCTTCGTGGATGGATCTCGGAGTGGCTTCCCAGGACATTCTCCTTCGGTTCGCAGACAACTCCAGTCTGTACACAAAGTTATCGGCCTCCTTCTTCGACCCGATCAGTTGGACGACGGCATAGAACATTTGAGTGCTCTGTGCCGGATCATACTTTTCTTGCTTCTCTAAAAATGCCAACATTAGTTCGATTTCTTTTTTAGTGAAACATACCAAGAACAAGCATGAAGTTATAATCGAAGCAGCTCTGCATCATAACCCAATCGACGGCCCCCGGAAGGTTGATATCGGTGGCCAGGAAAACAATGTCTTCTCCCTGGAGAGTCGTGATGCTTTTGTGGACCTTCTTCAAGTGGTCCATCACATCAGACAGAGCTCCCTGCCATTTGCAGCTGGCTCCGGGGCACGGGCACGAGTACGGGCGGTACTCGCAGAGCTCTTCGTGCTCAATTTTGTCAATGTGATGGAAGTTGAGCGGGCATCCAGAATTGGAGAACTTGCAGGGAAAACGGACTGTGTTGGCAATCTTCTCAAGTCCCAAGTTACGGACGGAAGCTGCACAAGTGAAAATTTATTTTGAGAAGAGAACAAGGAAAACGTACGAGTTGGTCCACGGCAAGTCGGACAGCACTGAAGCTTTGGGCGGCAGTTGGAGCAGACGAGATGGCCGGAAGGACATTGCATGTAGGGCGGGAGCATGTACTCGAGACACACTGGGCATTCGAAGACCGACAGGATCTCGGCACTGCTGTCGTCCGCTCCGGGGCCCACAATCGGAATGTGCGGGGCCACACTCTGCATCACTTGGACCGGAGAGTGACTGATTGTGACTGAATCGTTAGGTTGTGGATAGAATGCGAAACCCATTGAAGAACTCACTTCCTGGCGAGCTTCCCTGCACTCGAGCGAATGTTTTTCCTTGTTGAACTGTTCCAGACGATGCAGAAGCAGACGGACTCATGGCCGGCGGTGGAGACAATCTTGGAACAATCGGAATCTGGCACTGGTTGATTCCGGGCGGAACAGTTGCGCCGTTCCCTGAAAAAAAGAAGGTTGACTGAGAAAGAGGGAGATCTAGAGTACTTGTGGCGAGCCAATGCTTAATCCAGGCAATCAGGTCAATGATATTCTCAACAAGAGCAATACAGTAGCCGGCAATGTCGTGCTCACCGCAGTCACTCCACATTTTAGTGTGGAGAGGAAGTACTAGAGTAAAGATGCGACGAGTGAGCGTCAATGTTTTATAATCATCTCATCTTCATGAAGCTCGGCCAAAATATAATCGTAAAATATGCGTGCTGCGGCGGCGACGAGTCATAAACTTTACGATACATATGTCGATTATATGGTGCTTTGAGCAAATCGCTTCCTATTCTACGCCACGAAGAACGCGATGACGGACGCCGTCGACGGACAGCGCCACCTAATTGATGTCGTGTTGTCCTCCGAGAGGTGTACGAAAAGCCTAACTACAGGGGAACACGCACTTGTTAATGACGCACTCATTGTGAATTGAATAATTGTCCCAACTGAGGTGCCAAGGAAGTCAGTTTAATGACTGCGCTTTCTTTCCGAATAAAGTGAAGTAATAACTGTGACACTGCCCTCGCCTTCGCTTCTGATAACAACTCACCAATCGAATTCTGATTGTTGACCATCTCGTCGGTGTTATTGTTTGAGTGACGAGACCCGCGATCACCTTCGTCGTCGTCGAAGATGAGCTGGGTACGACGGAGAGTTTCGATGACTTCTTGATAGTCGCCTCCGTTCCGATTAGTCATCACCGAAGGCGACTGCGACTGATGGTTCCCCTGATGCCGCCTTCTGCCCCCCTCTGTGCTCATGCGATCTGAAACAATGGCAGTGTGTCAACGATGATAGAAAAATTGTAAAGGAAGGAAAGGAAAGAGTGGAACATGACAGAAAGTTGACGATTTGGTGAGGGAAGAATCGGTCGCTGAACGCATCCATCTTGCCACTTCAGTTGGTTTTTCGAGACGTTGTCAGTCAGTCAGCAGTCCGACCCGACACATCATTACACTGATAAAATATACCACTTGGCGGGGGGCGTTCTCCTTTTTCTTTGTCTTCTTTTCTTTTCATTCGGGGACTCGCGGATGAACGCCTTGTGTGACACGACACGCTTTTAAATAAGATAAATGTAATCTAGTGAGGGAATGAAAGACGGAGCCGCTTAAGAGAAAGGGGAGCCCTCCCCAACTATACGAAACCGCGGATGAATGAATTGCGGAGGCAAGTGTTGCTTTTTTGAAATTCGCATAATTTGCATACACGAAAAGTGAAAGAAAAGAGGAAATATGAAATAAACGCGTTTGAGGAGAGGGACAGAGGCAGCAAAGTGCCGTCTCTGTCTCTCTCCCTCAACGAATGACTGGGTTTGTCTAGGGAAATAGTGGGCGACAGTGGGAGACGATCATGAGTGAGCGGAGAGAGAGAGAGCGACGGGCCAGGAGACACAGAGACATTCTCCCAGCTGACATGGCGACCGATGAAGAATCAAATCGATCGACTGAAGACATGCGTCCGAGAGACGAACAGGAAAGAGAATGAAACGGAGAGCGGTGGGGGGAGGCACTGGTTGGAGTACCTGCTGATAGGGCAGTCCAGTGTGACAAGATGTACTTTTAATCATGTGAGAACTGAAATAAAGAGAAGAAGGAAAAGGGAGAAGGTGGGTCAGCTCCATGGCACACATGATTAGAGCCAATTACAGGACCGATGGGATCAAATGTTAGAGGTCGGTGGCAAAAGGAAGGGACGTCCAAACAGAAAGTACGGGGTTTCCGCGCTTAGAAAAGTTATGGGTTCTGGGGAGACCGGTTCTGTGCGAGGGAAGAACAATGTGTGTACGCCTCTGTATGTTTTGTCTTCAATTATTTCCGATTAAAATGTGTACAAAAAGGAACATTGTGACGATGAGTCACGTTTTGTGCATGGGCACAATATTTGTGTGGTCTGAGCTTATTGAAAATGTGTGTAGACACAGATGAGGAAGAGTGCATACATATATAAAGAAAGTCTTCCGTTCAAGATGCTTGCGCCAACCAAAAATCTGACGTGAACCTGACACGCGGCACTGGCGGTTTCTTCTTGTTGCGCCGCACCAGAAAGCGGCAAACGCGCGACGGTCGGGACGAGACGCGCGGTGCAGTTACGCGCTCGTTTGCACAGCACTCTCTCTCGGTCTCCGCTTCTCGTTCGTTCTATTGGATATTCGGATTGGACGGAGCAGGAGGGTGCGTTTAACAATGAAAACGAAGACGAGTTTCCGGATAGGGCTCTATCGATTAGTGGCGTGTGCCGGAGGTGTAAGTGATTGAGAGACTGTGAGCGAGAGACTCAGTTGATAAGTTGAATAACACTGACGGCAGTAGGGCGTGCGATGCTTCTTTTCATATAAATTGAGCTTCGGACTTTTGAAAAAAAAAACACGCGTCAGAACAAAACAGAAGCAGTTGTTCTTGTGATTTTGTCGTGATGAAAGAGATAGAGAGCGCAGGGATTCGCAAGGGCCATCGGAGCCGTCATTCTGAGCGACCGCACATTCGTCCTCATGATTCGCTTCTGCTTGTTTATTCCGGTCGTCATGGCGCTCGTTTCCTGCGTAGGTTTCCTCTTTCTGTTTTCCCCTCACTGACCTCATAGTTTCTCGCTCACTAATTACGTACTATGTCGACAAACAGAAGAATATTGTTGTAGGTTATGAGTGCGACGACCTCCTTTACCAGCGAAGAACAAGAGGGATTCGCGAAGCCCGTCAAAAATGGAAGGATGTGGGTCACTAGGGAGAGACTCTCATGAACTTTGTTTGCAGATTCGAGAATCCGAAATCCTTCACAAATTTCCATGGACTCCCTGGAATCCAGTCGGCTTTCAGATATCAGTTCAAGGAAAAAGACAACGAGAATGTGCCGAGTGACACAGAAGTGCTGGACAAAGAGATTCCTGTCCATAACATCACGGCCGCCGACTTCAAGAGCGACAGGAATCTGTTTGCCGCGTGGCTCGGCCATGCTACTGTACTCGTGGATCTGGAAGGAGTCAAGTTCGTCACGGACCCAGTGTGGGCCAAAAGGGCTTCGTTCATGAGATTCGTCGGTCCGAAGAGATACAGACCGCCGCCGATGGAACTGGACGACTTGCCGAAGCTCGACTTTGCCGTCGTTTCTCACGATCATTATGATCACTTGGATGCAGAAGCTGTCAAGGCAATTACAGAGTGAGTGAAGGAACGTGGATGGAGAATCAACGTATGCGTGCATTTCAGTTTGAATCAGAATATCAAATGGTTCGTGCCAATGGGAATGAAAAGTTGGATGAAAAGTAATGGGATCGGAGAAGACGATCCGACGCAAGTAACCGAAATGAGTTGGGGCGATAGCACAGAGTTCGAGAAGGACGGAAAGAAGTTCACAATCTGGTGCCTGCCTGCTCAGCACTGGGGAATGCGCGGTCCGTTTGACAGGAACACGCGTCTCTGGTCCGGATGGGCGGTGATCGGTCCGTCCAGAAGGTTCTACTACTCCGGCGATACAGGGAACTGCGACAACGAATTCAAAAAGTTCGGAGAGAAACTCGGACCGTTCGACTTGGCCGCCATCCCAATCGGAGCCTACGAACCCAGGTTCTTCATGAAATCTCAGCACATTAACCCAGAAGAAGCGGTGGGTGTGCACGAACTGATTCGAGCCAGAAACAGCATTGGAATTCATTGGGGTACTTATCACATGGGATCTTACGAGGTTGATGAGAGCAATTTACTACTGCTTTATAATCTTTTCTTTTCAGTATTATCTCGAGCCCCGCAATAAGCTTCGCGAAATAATGGAATCGCGAGAGGATTTGAAACACACAAACTTCACGACGATCGAGATGGGAAAGATTTGGGAGGTTCCGATGGAATGATCTCACTTTTATTGAATTGTTGAAAACTGGAACCTTCTTCACAAAATTATTTTATTCAATTATTAATGTTCATGCTCAATAGGCTCGACTTTTGGCCGTTTCGCTCCGGGTTCTCCGAACTCTTCCTTTGCTTGCCGTCTTTTCAGCAACTTCTCATAGTAAGACTCTTTTGGAACTTCTTTCATTTTCGCCTCCTTCTTTTCTGCTTCTTCTATCATGTCTCTGGTCGGAGGACACATCACATCCGCACGCAGTTCCTCCAGCACTTTCTCTTCTTCTTCTTCCTTGTCATCTTGTGCATTCTGTTCGTTCTTCTCAAATCTTTGCACGAGGCTATCCACGTCTTCCTGCAATACTCGAGACTAATTCGCTTCTTCAACTGGGCCGTACCTCTTTATCAATTGCCCCGTCGGGAGAATGAATTCCGATTCCAGTGAGCACTTTCGGTGGATTCACATTCCGCCTCACTGACAATTCCACTCCCTTTTCCATAATTGACTGATTTAGCAGGTCGATGTACCTGGTCAATCTCCTACTGTTGAAGTCTCCTCCGACCAATTTCGCGGCGAGGCCCTTAGTCATTTCGTAACGAATCTCTTTCGCGTCCAAAACCACGCTTCTACAATCCTCACGGTTTCTGAATTTGAGCTCGAGGAAGTCGTCGATGATCAGCTCAATCCAGTCTTCGATGATGATTTTCTGCGCGACAAGAAGAGCGTAAATGGCCGGAACCGGCATGACATTGCAAATATAGGGCTTTGTGGTTTCGAGAAGAAGGCCGAAGAATGGGATCTGATGCAGTTTGGAGAAGCCTTCCGAGTTCTGCCGGGGATCAATACTTTCCGGGTGATATTGAGCAATCGAAGAGTTTGGATGGATCTGAGTGAATGGCTTGAGTCGAGTGTGAACGAACATCTCCTGGCCGTACTGAAATTGGGCTCGTTTAATAGGTATTTTGAGTTGAGCGCCGGCAGCACCTATGGCTCGTTTGTATTTTAGTTTTTTGGCAGACTTACGCTGTACTTGTTAACTGGATCAAGAATTGCAAAGTTCGGATAGAGCCCGGCGGCGATGATTACCCGAATTACTTCTGCGGTTCTTCTCGAGAGCTTGTGTGTCTTCCGGATGTTCTCGACGTCTCTCTGTTTGTGACTCAACAGGAATTCGACAGTTTTGACGTCTGCTTTCAACGGATCCTTCTCCGCTTCCAAGTCTTCTTCCTCCTTTTCCATCAGAATTGTGTCGAAATGCTTGTTTGCGTTTAACACCTTCTGTCGTCGGTCGTTGTTCCTTTGAGATCTTTTCAAATCGAACAACTTCCTCTTCTCTCCCTGATCAATACGCCGTTGCCTCGAGTCATCCGCTCCCGTTTCTGCAGCCGACGCCCTCTCCACCAGTCCCGCATCTTCCAGAATTTGTCTGTATTGAGAACGTAGTTTACTGATTTCGTACAGTCTGTGCTCGTCAATTCCGTTTTCCATTGTCCACCTTCGGGCAGTTCCTTCGAATGCCTTCTGGAGCACCCACTCTCGGAACACAGCAATCAGGGTGAACGGATCGCCCATCGGACTTGTCAGCGATGCACGTCGTTCCACAATTTCCAGCTCGCGATACGATCGATTTGTGAATGGGGATTGGACGGAAAGTCCTGCGGCAACAGTCAGCATCACTTCGAGTTCATCGACAACGCATCCGTACACGAGCATTTTCGCAATTGGGACGTCCACTGGCAGCTTCGAGATCATGTTTCCGAGAGAAGTCAACGTCAGAATATCGCGATCGGATCTGAGCACTCGCTGGAATTTCAGCATTTCCAAGCCTTCATTGAGAACCTCCCCTGATGGTTTTTCGATAAAAGGGAACGTACGTGGATCAACTGAAACAGTAAGGATTGCCTAGTTCTCATTACCGAATGCGGAAACTCACGTCCCAAATTCAGGCTGATCATTTTCAGAGCCATCTCCTGGAGGGAAACTCTATTGATTTCGGATTGCGTGAAATCTTCCATTTTCTCGAACTGCTCGTGCGAATACAGTCGGTAGCAGATTCCCGGTCCAGTTCGTCCGGCTCTTCCTTTTCGTTGATTCGCTGACGCTTTGCTCACCCAGAACTCCGTCAGTTTCTGTGTTCCTGTTCCCGGCTCGTGCTTGATCAAATTCACTTTTCCGCTGTCAATCACAAACCGAATTCCATCGATAGTCACGGATGTTTCGGCCACATTTGTCGAGAGAATGCACTTGCGGACGCCGTTGGGAGCCTGATCGAACACTTTGTCCTGTTCTTCGACCGAAAGAGTGCTGTGCAGCATCAGAATGATCCATCCTTTCGTGTGCTCTGCGTAGTTCTTCAGATGTTCTGCCACCATCGAAATCTCGGCAACTCCATTTAGAAAAATTAGAGCATCGCCTCTTTGAGTGCTCGGAAACTGTTGATCGATCAATTCCAGAATTTTGAGATACGGCTCCGGGTCGATCTTGTGTGTTTTCTTCTCAGACTGTTCCACAAACTGCTTAATGGGATGCCACTTGATATCAATTGGGAAGAGACGACCGGGCACTTGGACTACGGGAGCACCTTCGAAGTAGCCCTTGAAGAGTTCGAGGTTGATTGTGGCAGACATGAGAATCAACTTAAGATCTTCTCTTTTCGAACACAAATCTCGGAGAAGTCCGATCAGAAGATCTGATGTCAGATGTCTTTCGTGCACCTCGTCCAGAATAATCACATTGTACTGTTCCAGAAGCGAATCTTTTTCCATCTGCCGAAGGAGAAGGCCTTCCGTCAGGAACAGCAGTTTTGTTCTTTTTGATTTCGTCGTTTCAAATCTGAAAAGAATACTTCAATTATTCTGAAATTATGAAATAGTGTAAACCTGATTTGGAAAGCGACTTCACTTGCGTACTGGTTCAGTGTTTCGTAGGCCACACGACGGGCCAGAGCCGTGCAGGCGATCCTTCTTGGCTGCGTGCAAGCGACTCCAGTGTATCCGGCCTTCAGGAGGTACTGCGGCACTTGAGTGGACTTTCCGCATCCCGTGTCTCCCGCCACAATCAGGACCTGATTCTGAAACTTGTTGTTGGCTGATATTACTCGTCGCAATTCACAAACCGTCTTCAGCAACTCTACAATTTCTGTGGCTCTTTCAGCAATCGGTAGCTCTTTTTGTAGCTTTCGCAGCTTTAAAAGTTTTGTAAATTTTTGATGCTGGTTGAACTGAAGTGAAACGTAATAGGCATACTCGAAATGTCGAAAGAGCCACGGAGGAATGTGATTCAGTTGTGTCGGAACTATTCCCAAGTTCTCTGACTTGAATCGCAACTTGTTCAGTCCTCCTGCATCTTGTGGGATTCCCAAGTCGTCGTATTTCACTCTTTTCAAGTCGAAACTATCATTCGTCGCTCCTTTTCGTTCACTAGAAACCATTCGTTTGAATGCGATTCAAATAAATACTCATTACCGGAAAAATCGATTGAAATAACTTTGAATCGACTTCTTTTTTGTCTCTATTAACTCTTGTGCAGCCGTCTTTTCTTTTTGTGAGCTTCCTGAAATGAATTGATTTTTGAGTACTTTTTCATTCTTCTTACCGTCTCGGCTTGTTCCGGGTTCATCGGGAAAAAAGTTTCTGAAGAGGGCTCCGCGATTTTTTTCGTATTCTTCCTGACTTAAAGTGTACATTTCAAGACGACAGAAACATTGCACTCTTCGTTTTTTTTGTTATTTTCGAGCGCGGCCGTGCCCACAACTAGGCCACGGCCTCGACCACCATAAACTCAAGGCGCATCGTATTTTTGTTTTGATCGCGTCTCGCAACGAAATGCATTCAGCTTCTGACTTTGTTTTTTTTCTTTTTTGGAACGTAATTCGACATGCTCTTTTCTTCTGGTTATTGCTTCGAGTCAAACCGTGACTTGCGAATTCCGATGTAGAGAAATCCGGATATCTTCGCTAAGTCAGATATTATCCAAAAGAGTCGGCAAATTTTTCGCTATGTCTTCTGAAACGACTTGTTGCTTTCGATAGTTTCTTTTCCGCTCTCCCTCGCGGCCCGAACGTCTCGTGGTTTTGACGCTCAAACCAACCGACAAACTATTGATTTTGAATGGACGCATGTCTTTCGCTGGCTTCTCCTCATACTCAGCCATTCCGTAACGGCAGCCAGAATCTCTTTTCTTTTCTATTTTTTTTTCAGATGGAAGTCAGCGAACGCGAAGACCAAACTAGCGAAGCTGATGAAGATGACGTTGAGTGCTGCGTATGTTTTTGGAAAAATAAACGATGTACATCAGACAGCAGTTACAGATGGTCTCCAAGAAGATTGCAAGCGTGACACTCGAGTCAGACTCAAATCCTGAAACACCGAAGACTGCCGAAGAGCGTACTGTTCGTAGAAAGAAGCGAACCAAGAGGAAGGGACAGCAGATGGATGTGGATCCGACCCCGAAGGCCAAGTCTGATAGCAAGTACATGGATTGCGACGGATTCGAATCGCACATTTCATCGAGCGACGAGTCATATTCGGAAGATAACAAAGGAAGGGAGGCAGACGATGAGCAGAGCGACTGGGTCGGATACTCTCCTCCGAGAGGCGTTTTCGAGTCTCCATTCGACAGACGCTATCACGTCAGAAGATCTCAGCCTGCCGGTCATCAGTCGTCCAGCTTGCAGAAGAAAATTGAAAGGCGAGGCAATGTCTTCAATAAAAAAAAAACTATCCTGTTCTCAGATTTGCTCGAGAAGGAGGTCGTGGCGAGTTGGTACTCGAGACGCGTTTCCGTGATGGAGCGGCCAACTCTCTTCTGCAAAGATATCTGTACAAATACCATTTGGAAGTGGTCCGTCGTCAACGCGGAACAATAACTCTCCGCAAAAAGTTCGAGGCACCGTCCACTTCGAGCACTCGCTAAAATCATGTACATCTGAATAACTCTCCTGTCATTCTGTATATTCCCTCTAACGATCTTCCTGGCGAAGCAAGTAAGAAATCGAAGATATAAGCTTTAGTACGCGGAACATAACCTATTCTACTAATATTTTACTCAATGCATTATAACATAGTTGCCACGGGCCGGGCCGAAATTTCCAAAACTCCGGCCCGGCCCGACCCGGCCCGGCCCGGTCGGCCCGGTTCAAAAAGCGGGAATTCAAAATTTGAATTATTGATCGCATGAAGCCATTTTTTGTAGAATTAAGGGTTTTTTGCAAGCGTATTTCTCATGTATTTCTCATAAAAAATGCATACACTAAAACTTTAGTTCGAAAATTTTTTTTGTAATAACGAAAAAAAAAATTTCCGCGAAAATTTGAATTCTCGCCTTTTGAACCGGGCCGACCGGGCCGGGCCGGGCCGGCACTTCACCGACCCGGCCCGAAATCTGGCAAGTCTGCATTATAATGAAACTTTGGATCTGTATTTACCGATTATTAAATAAATTATTTGAATCGTTTCCAATGTTTGATTCCTTCCTGTAGTTAGTCTTGCTTCTATTGCTCTATCTGTCTATGCATTGAATTTCAGATCAAAAAAAAATTTTCAGCTCTTTTTATGGGAAAGAACAAGGCAGGAAATCAAGTGGAATCCGATTTTGCTCGTCTGGGAGTCAGAATGTAAGTGATACTGTTTGCACAGTCAATAACACGTAGCTTTGCAGCGAGCTGTCTGATAAGCGTCAGTTCCCAATCGATCAATTCGAACTCTTCGTGCACGAAGCGATTCGCGAAATATTCGGAACCTGCGGACCCATTGTCAAGGTAAGAGCAGCGAAACAAATAAAAGCACTGAGCAAACAGCTTATTCTGCTGCTCACGCGTTTGTAGTTTCTGTTGTACTCCAAATATCTTTCTAATAACCGCCTAAAACGTGACCTTTGTTTACAGGTTTCCGAGTACGACACTAGTCTCCGTCGTGGATCAATCGTCGCCCCGGGTAACGAAATCCAGCAAGTTTGGGCTGCGCTCTCCGCCAAAGGCCAGTTCCAAGGACAACGAATTGCCGCTCATCTCCATACTGTTAGTTGAGCATCCATTTTCTCCTAACTTTGTGATTTTCAGTTAACGGAAACTTCTGCCACCAACCTCTTCTAAAATGTCGCTCATTTTGCTGGTGCTCATACCCGTCGCTATATTCGTTCTGTTCCTCATAACCATGCTGACCCTCCATTTTTCGATGCCTTCTCGACGCGACTTTCACTTCTTCAGAAAGCACGCAGTTGTAACTGGAGGATCGAAGGGGATCGGATTCCAACTGGCCATCGGCCTCATTGAAAAGGGATGCAATGTTACTATTGTCGCCAGAAGTATTAACGATCTCAAAGTATTTTGCACAAAACGGATAAAGTATTCAAATATTTCGCATTTCAGAAAGCATGTGATGACCTCCAACTTTTTGCCGATCAACGTGGACAGAATCAGAAAGTGCAGTGGAAATCTATCGATATGACTATCGAGTACGAAGTTATCAAAACTGCTTTCGATGAAATCGCCAAAGAACTCGGTCCCATCGAGATTCTCATCAACAACGCGGGTCACAGTGTGCAGGCTTCTTTCACCGATCTTCCAATCGCTGACTTCGAGAAACAGATGAAGGTCAACTATCTGAGTGCCGTTTATGCCACAAGAGCCGTCGTGGATGAAATGAAAGCGCTGAAGAGCGGTCACATTTCCTTTGTCTCTTCGGCAGCCGGCCAGTTCGGCATTTACGGATATACCGCCTACTCACCGACAAAGTTTGCACTCCGCGGATTTGCTGATGTTCTCCACCAGGAACTCCTTCCCTTCAAGATCAGCGTGGCAGTTCTCTATCCCCCAAACACGGACACCGAAGGATTCCAGGTTCAATATTTGTCTTTTTTCTAGATTAGAACTTCTGTCCTTTCAGGTTGAATTGGAGACTATGCCGGAAGAGACGAGGCTGATTGGCGCTTCGGCAGGTCTGTTCCCACCGAAAGAAGTTGCTGAGGCTCATCTAAAAGACATTGCCGACGGGAATTACTCGACGACGATCGGAATGGACGGATGGTTCCTCGGAGTAGCCACTGCCGGTGCCTGTCCGGAGAAGTCCCTGTTCCGTGCTCTTGCTCAAACTGCCTTAGCTGGCCTGTTCCGCGCCGTCACTCTCGTCTACCTCGGATACTTCAACGGAATTGTCAAGAGATGTTACAGAAAGCGTTTGGCAGAGAAAGAAGAGCAAAGAGATAACGAGAATCAAAGAGATAACGAGAATCAAAGAAGAGACGAGTAAATCAAAATAACCATTTCATTTTTGTGTTTTTCTAATCATTGTTAAAACTTGTTGTTTTTCACATTATGACTATCATGAAGTGACCTCGTTAGGAATTTAAATACCCGAAATAAAAACTGAAACAAAAGTGAGATCTATACAATGGCGATGGCTGAGTGTCTTTTCATGAACGCCCGAGGCAGGAAGGCGGCTCTGTCGTCGTCGGAAGCCTGATTATTGGCGGAGACCCACATGAGGGCCATCCAAGGATTATCCAGTTTCTCTTGGGTCCGTCGCCGTTCCGACAACTGTTTGACTTCCTGCAAATTCTTCAATTCCATTGGACACCGTCCACAAACAAGCTCACTTTCTTCTCCTGATCTCCGCACAGCATTATTCTGAACTGAGTCCGGATCTCAGAATTACTGAATATGTGCGCGGGACATCTGATCGCATTGCCGACGACGGTCAAAAGCGCGGCGGAATCAGTGGCCAGACGGTTGAGATCTGGATGCTGCACGTGGAGGTAATCTGGAAAGGAACGGAGTGAAAATTATTTATTTACGTTTTATTTTTTAACGTGGAGAAGAGAGAGAGAGAGGAGAATGGATGAGGGGGAGATGAGGGGCATAAATGGGGAATCTTCAGCTACTTGCCCGCGCAAAAGGAAAGAGATGATCATTTCACAGATGCCTGTGCCAGATTCATCTTAGATAACACTCTGTGAGTAAAAAAGTTGTGTCTTAGCTTAGATTTTGGAGTCTTCCATCGGTAAACGTGACTCCGTCTAGTCCGTGTAGTGTTTAAGCGTAGGAAAAAGTCATCTGGATTGATGTCGACTTTGTTAGATAACAATTTGATTAAAAACTTCTTATCTAAATGTGATCAGCGAGTTTCAAGTGATTCGAGGTTAAATTGACGGCGACGTTCACTGGCGTTTATGTGACCGTCAAGGGTTTATGCCAATTGTCAAAAAATGTCCTGTACCCATGACCGTCAAGGGTTTATGCCAATTTTCAAAAAACGGAAAGCACCTGGATTGAAGTACTCTGTGATTATGAGAATCAGACTGAGCAGGTTGGAGATGAGGTAGGCGGAGATGATGACGATGAGCGTGCGGGTCGCACTCCGAAGGTTCTTCCTCCTGATCTTAGACAGATCGTGGCCGAGCGTCAGTTCGGCGATCAGACTGCGCAGCTGCTGAACATTCTGTTTGCGAAGCATCCGAACGATTCCGCCGTTCAAGAAGATGAGCGTGAAAAAGGGGAGGAAGATGGCGAGCGAGTGAAGCCATCCCATGTGACCCAGTTCGCCCCTCTGGATCTTCACCGCCCATCTTCTGAATCCGAAACAGTTTTCACGTGTCACGACGACCGCTTCTTCCGACATGTACTTGATGAAGACGGCCGCGCAGACGAGACAAAAGAGCACGAACCAACGGGTTCGACACTCGAATCCGACGAATGTCCAGTGCTTCGTCATGCAATATCTGGAAGGGCAAAGAGTGAATGAAAATGATCTTGTGGACCTTGGTTATACCGTTCGATGCTGGCCATGATCAATGAGAAGACGGATGAAATCTTGACGATTTGGGCAAAAAGATACACGTGTCTCACGTATCTCAGCCATATTTGGTAGACGACTCCTTCTCCGTAGTACACCGAACTCACTTCCAATGGCTGAAAGTAATGTTCATTTTCCCTTGTTCTCGCCGAGTGTGAGGTCCCCTTTCAGAAGCACGTGTTTCATTTTTTCGGGTCCCGAATCAGAGACTGGCTGTCGGTGGTGGTGCACGCGGGATTAGCGATGATCCCGAACGAAATGATGGACGCCGCCGCCGCTGCTTGACACGCCATCACCAAAAAAGGACACAGAAATTGGGGAGGGAGACTTCTGCGGAAGGGGAAACTCTCCGACTGATTGGCATTCGGAAACACTTTGTCTGTGGCGTGGAGCCGTCCACGGAGATACACTTTTCTGGCTGGATCAAAGGTGCGAAAGGATACAGGAACGTCCCTTTTCCTTCCGGATCGAAGACTCAATCTGCGTCCGGAAGGTCCCCGTCCAGCGGCAGATGTCGCAAACGGAAGCCGCCCATTTCGTGACCAGCCAACCACTTCTTCCTTTTGTTTCTCCCTCCCCGCTCGCTAACGACGCCGATCCGGGCTTCAATGCGTTTTAAATCCATCCCTCAAGACATCTTTTGATCATTTTTCTCACCCACTAATCGTCTTTTTGTGCTCTAGGGGACCAGAAATGGGGGAAGGGGAGCCCGCATACGGAAATTAGAGAAGGACCGAACATCAACTTACGAGCAGAAGGAGGAAGGTGGCGTCGACGAGGGTGTCGAAAAGAGCGACGAATCCGAGGAAGAAGAACGGAGAGTTCCTGAAAACGGTGCATAAATAAGAGAAGGAAGTCGACGTCATCTAGATGGAATAGAATCAGAATAGACCGTGGGAATAATCATGTCTATTTGCGGTCGCAATTGAACTCTTGAAACCATCAACAGGAATGGATCCTTCAGAAGAAGATCAGCGGGACTACCGTAATCCCAGCCCCTTCGGAAACGTCACAGCGGAATGTCAATCTCACACCTCGCCCCGTTGTAACTTTATGATTCACGTGCCTTCAAAGATACCCCCGCTCTTTCTTTCTTCTCATATCTCTTCCACACACTTTTATCATGTTCCTAGTTGCAAATCATTCTTAGTCCCTGGCCGTCAGTTCATAGTATCAGTCTATTTGTCACTGAGACTAACGCCCGTGAACCCGGCTCTTTTGCAAACGTTTTCGTTTTCCTCCTCTCCGACCTTTCCCTTCCAATCAGCAAAATTGAAGCGAGGCGGATGACCAGTGGCCCCGGGCAGGTGCCCCACGACTATCGCAAGAGAGCAGGAGAAAGAGCACTCACCGATATATTGTTCGGGTTAAAAAAAGAGTTGCAAGGAAGCCGTTGGCAATCACTCCAAACACTGCGATGACTGTGCCGAACACTCCGTTGATGTAGAATCTGAAGTGAAGATAAGAATAGGGGGAAAATCAAGGATCAAGGGTTAGGACTTACCGCTCTTCGATCAATCTTTGCTCTGGAGAAGTCAAACAACTTATCGGCTCTTCCATTTCCATATTCTGCAAAGACGGGAAACTTCTGGAAGTGAACGAGCGATGGACGGGAGAAAGAGAGCAACAGAGCATGAACCCGACGAGCACTTTTAGACCCCGCCCCCTTCAGAATACGAAGGCACGACATGATGGATGATGAAAACAACACGAAAGGAAGAGTAGAACGAAAGAAAAAATGCACACGGATTACGGTAGCAGCTATCATCAATCATGTCGGAGGGTTAAAAAAACAAGTAATTGGGTTGAGAGTTTTATAATATTCGGACCTTGTTTCTCTGTTTTCTTTCTGCTTCTTCCACCTGTTTATGCATAATCCACCCTCACTCCCCCACTGACCAATGATCTCGTGGCCAGAAAGGGACAAAAAGAGGAAAGGTGTGTCGTCATCCTCCACTTCCATGCTAATAACTGAGGATCTGAGAATCCCGAGGGTCCGAGATAAGAACGAAAAGGATTGGAAGAAGAAGTTGAGAGAGAGAGAGAGAGAGAGAGAGAGAGAGAGAGACTCTCTTTCTTTATAATCGGTAAAAGCGGGCGGCGAAGGGCTCTTTTCTCGTTCGTTCCTTGCCGAAATGAAGATGGAAAGAAATGTTTATGGTGTGTTGTGAAGGGGGGCCGAAGTGGGTGATTATGAGGGAAACCGCGAAAGAACCACACAGAAATTGGGCGTGCAAAGCGGGGTGTCACGGCGACTAATGGAAGTGTATAGCCGACGGAATGAACACATTTTATGACGTGGCTCGTGGTGCAAATGGATCGAATGATTTGTGAATTTCGGCGGAGAAGCTCGCCATTCTTCCAAAAAACAAGGTCATAAATAATATGGGAGGAGGGAGTGTTCTCCGAGACGGCGAGATCGCCAAGGTTAAGGAGGCAATTGCTCTTTACACCGGCGCCGCGGACTTTTCCAGTTTGATATGCACAACGCATGTGGGAAGGACGCATTCCGAATGAACAGGAGCCCGTAAGAAGGGAAGAAGGGGCTTGTCAATGGGATGATGGAGTGTTGAGTGGGAAAAAATGGGTGGAAGAAGAAGAAGAAGAAGGAGAAGAGAGAAGGAAGTGTTCTGGACATAGAGAGAGAGAGAGAAAGGGGGAGAGAGAGAGAGAAAGAGAGAGAGAGAGAGATCAAAGTACGTAAAGCCTTCTAGTCGATTGTGAATATATCTTCGAAGGTCTCCCCTCGATTTGGAGTGTACTTTCCTTCTGCTCCATGTCTGTGATTTTTGGTACTTGGAATCAGGTGAAAAACTGAGAAATGTACGCGACGGTTCACTGAGTTTATATCTTTTTTCTTTCTGCTCCAAGTAACTGATATGTAATCTGTACAGCCGCGAGAGCCTTCTGACCGATGAAGCGGTCCCCGCGGATGGGAACTTTCAAAAAGCGAGCAGAGTGGATCTTTGGAACGAGGGGGAGAGAATCAAAAACGAAAACACGTTTGTTTCTTTTGAGACCAGGCGACAATGAAAAATCAAATTGGCGTTCCGAAAACAGGTAAAATATTCATGCATATTTGCGACGATTTCCTCGTATTTGTACTCTTTTGGTCGACTGAAAACCCATCGGAACAAGTACGGAAGCGAGGCTGCAGACAGAGAGCGGTTCCAGCCAGCGGAAAGAACAAGCAGCTGACATTTTATACACTTCTCTGCTTTATATTGGGGGCGGGGTAAGGAACAGAGAAAAACGGACTCTTTCTTGTTTTTATGTCACAAAAACACAAATGAGGTGAGAACGGAACGAATTTGTTGCAAAAGCCGGAAGAAATGGAAAATAAACAGAGGAGACGCGTTGATGAGTCATTTTGAGTCCTTCAGGCAATCTAAATGAAGTCGTTCTCGGCCAGAAACGACCAATTATCAAACATCAACGAGGGTTTGTAAGTCAAGAAACTAGTTTGCTATTCAATTGAATTGAGCTAATCGGCCAAAGGATTTTATTCGGCTGATTATGAAAAGGTTGGTTACGCTCTTGATGTCATTGCTGATAATATGGTTATTCCTGTTCTGGAAGCGTCAAGCCCAGAAATAGATTCCACTCGGAATGCCTTCAGAGATATAATTCGGACGAAGCACTCTTCGAGGTTCTACTCATCTCGTGATCAGAAGGGGAATGTCTGAGGACAATTGAATGCAAATAATCCGTCCAAATCCCTTTTCTCTTGGTTTCTTTCCAATCCATCTCAATTGAGCGAAGGTGGGCTCCAGAAAAACAAGAAAAACAGAGGAAAGACAGAGTAGACGCTAACTCGTTTAGTTTCAGACCTCCAGACGTCTCGACAACGCAATTATTATGAAGGAATTGTAGCAAGAAAACGGACAGAGAGTCGAGCTGAGCACTTGAAAAGAGAGCCCATGCGAGGGTGGCCAGAAGACGCGCCGCCCCTTTTCCGGGAGTCGTTTCATATCAAAAAGCTGTATGTGCCCGAACGGAGCAGGCAAGGACTTTCTACTTTCTGAAAGGGACAGAGGGCAGCCCTGCGGCAGAAAACTCATATTTTAGCAGCTGACTTCGTATTTGTGTGAAAAGAAAACAAGAAGAAAAGCTGCAGTTATTCAGTGGGGAGTAAATCGGAATGATTGAGGCGTGGTTCTGTGGAAAGCGTTGAAATATTTATTGTCGAAATAATTTGAACTTGTCCGTTGAGCGAGCAGCCTTCCACGCGACTTTCAGTGCCAAAACATGTCGAAAACAAGAAAAAATTTAGGCGGGGATTCCATCATTGCTGGAAAAGTCGGGGAGCGACCCGGAAACACGAACGAAAGGGGAGTTTGCTATTCAAATTGAACCCGAAAACAAGAGCCGGCTCCGTGTGTGGAAAGAGAAGAAGAAGAAGGCGACCGCCAGGGTCATAAAGTTAACGAGCCTCGCTGGAATGTAAATTCACTCGACTTCTTGGATTTTCCTAAATGTAAACAGGTCGGAAGTCGGACCAAAACATCAGAAAGTGACGCGGTGAAGCAGGATGAAAAGAAGAAGGAAAATAAGAAGAAGAAGTGGGAGTTGGGGGAGGAACTAGATGGATGCGAAACTAACACGGAAAGGCCGAGTTCATGAATCATTTGAGCGTGAACAGCTCTTCTCCGTTTTCCTTATCTACTTCATTAGCCACCTTTTCAATGAGAATACAAGGGATTTCTCATGAAATGTATCATTTGGATTGACCCCAGTGTAGCCACTCCAGACAATGAAAGCACATCGGAAGTTGGCCTGACAGTTCCATCTGAAATTGCCACCCTTCAGCAAGATGAGATGACGTGACAATTGCCCACGCAAAGGAGGATAAACACGGAAGGGCCGCTCGGAAAAAGCCGAAGATTCCCGACTGTTGTGCTCTGAACTTCTCACGCCTGATTGAATTTCAGGAGTCTCCCTGCACACGTTCGTCAAGTGCTCCTTTTGACGTTTCCCGAAATATGTGCACATATCCGTCACCAACTTTACCGGAAAAACCGACGGAGCACCAAAGTCCAGTGGCCACGTTCAAGTATGATATCAATTGGAGGAGTTATCATCCTGCGAAGAGAGCGACGTGCTCCAATGGTGATAAGAGACGTGCATTGTCGACATGAAAAACCGAGAGCTCCTCGTCGCTATTCTCGTTTCTCTTTTGGGAGTCGAAGCGGTTAAGCAGAAGGCGTTGGTCCACGTGAGCATCCGAATCTGAGAGTTATAAACGCTCTTGCGGCTTCAGAATCACGAAAAGGCCGTCGTCGTCTCTCAGGATGACTTCATCGGCTGCCCCCTGAACAATGATTTCTATTATAACGGCACTATAAACTCACCTCTTTATCCTTACAACTATCCTCCGAATGATAAGTGTTACTATTACATTTCTGCCGAACCAGGAAAGGTTCTCAAGTAGGTTCCACCCACTACGCTCACTTTGAATGAGCACTTTCTAGGATCACCTTTTCTCACTTTGATTTGGAATCTTGCTGCGACTATGTAACTATTTACGATGGACCGACGATTGCTTATAAAAAGCTCGTCCAGTAAGCAATCTATTTTGTTTGTTTATTCAGTTTTTCTTTTCTCAGAATCGGAGGGCCCGGATCGAATGTGACCACCGCGGGCACCTACTACACAACCACTCGCAACGCCGTTATGACATTTGAATCGAATCCGACAATTCAGAAATCAGGATTCTCGATGCAATACGAGTCTGTGAACAGTGAGTCACTTTGATAACGAATCACATGTGTGCCAAATTCCCGTTTATAGCCGTCTCTCCATGCAATCGGGACATTTTCCTTATTGTGAATGGGCTCTCCAACGTCGGAACTCAAGCCAACTTCAGGAATGAAATCAACTACATTGCCAACCAGCTGACTCCCACGTGGAACGTCGGACTCTCGCAAGTTCGCGTTATGCTCAATCTTCAGGTAACAGAATACGATGCCTACATTGATTTGTGTGCTCAATTCGTAAAGAAACGGCAGACTGATAACAGTGCAGAAAACCGATGCTCTGTCCTTTCAGGTCGACATTGACTATGCAGTCGTTTGGTCAGCTGATGACGTGTCGACGAACGCCGACTTGACCAAGGAAGTGTTACACATGCTCGAGTACGTGCCAGATGTGACTGCGAACAACAACACGGACCTGGAGTGCCTGTTCCGTTACGCATTCGATGCTCTAGATGACAGCAAAGAGTTCGATGAGCGATACGGAATCGAGCAGGTTGTGATCGTGTTTGTGGCCGCCAATCCCGTGTGAGTTCTCCAGAGAAAAAACAGCAAAAAACACAGGTTATTTGGTGGATAGAGGGAAGAGGCTAAGAGGGTATCAGCTATATTCAAAAACAGAATCACGTCATCAAATATATGAACGATCCAGAATGTGTTTGTTTTTCAGTACTGACCAAGACTTCAACGAATCTCTCGAGTTCGCGCACAAAATGAGGACCGATCAAGATGCAAAAGTGATTGTTGTCGGAATGGGAGCCGGACTCGATCAGAGCAGACTCGCCCGTCTCGCCTACGCACAGGGATACGCCTTCTTCTCCGCCAGCTATGACGGCCTTTCCTCTCTGACTTCGCAGATTAACAATGCCATTTGTTCGGGACTCAGTGCCCAGTGTGGTCCGTAATAAATATCAACTTTATCTTATAAAAACGAGACATCATCATCTACATTCATCTAATGAGATATCGCTCGATCAGAAATGATTCAGTAGACGTGTCCATCCTCATCCACATGCTTTTCCATCGCAGACTTGACGAGAGACACGCGATGCGGACCCACGCGGAGGTTATACTTGGCCCCCAGCTGAAACGGTCTTTGAGGCGATGTCTGAACATTGGAATCACCTTCTCGAAAGCAGTCACTTCGTCGGTTCTTCGGATGAAAGCAAAGTTAATGACAAAGGTGAGCAGGAAGACGATTAGGGCAAAGGCAGCGCCAACGAACAACGGAGCCGCGTAGTCAAGGATCTCGAACTGCTGCTTCGGCATTCTGGAGAGAACGAATGAATGGTAGGGTGAAAGTGGCGACAAATCAATGCTCAGATGTGCCAAAAATGAAGTGTTACCATAGAGACGAAAAGAAAAAGAGACGCCGACCACCGGATATCCGGCTCTCGGTTCAGGAGTTTTAGGCAAGAGATTCAGAGGAAGGAAGGAACTATTGATAGGAAACGGAGAAAAGGAAAGACGACACTTCACAGAATGGACACAAAAAGTTATTTTGAATGGCAAAAAAAGTTCATTTTCTAAGAAGAGTCTGGTGAAGTTGCACGCAAGAATGGCTGCGAAAAGGATTAGCACAAGTGGTTGAAAAGTAGAAAAATCTCGAGTTGCCCGTTAATCCGCAGCATATTTTCTCTGAAAAGCTGAAAGAACAATGCGCGAGCCGATAGGGCAGAGTCGTACTAGTCGGCAGGAAAAGGGAAAGGTAACGCTTTGTTTGAAACACACTTTTTCGTCGTCGAATTCTGCCGGTCGAGTAGGTCGCTCTCAACTCTGTGTGCTCCGTGAGCTCTCAGTTTACAAACCGCGAATTTGTGAGATTGGCGCTCTGAAAAAGGAGAACCGGAGTGGGGGTTTTACTTTTCACATTGATGAGTGATGTTCTTGTATTCTTTCAATTTCCGTCGCATTCCATCTTTTTCTTACGGTATTCTGCCAATTTCCGTTCCCTTTCTTCCCCCATTCTCTTCTTCTCATTCCGTTCGTTCATCTGTTTCTTCCGTCCTTCTCCGAACGAATGGAGTCCGTCGGATCGCATCAACGTCAAAGTTCTCGTAAGTCTGAGACAAGAGATCTTTCCCCCAACTGAGTCAATTTCACTTGTGTCACCTGTAGTGCACGTTCCAATTCTCAGAAGACTAATCGAAAGTGATTGCTGTGTTTCCCTTTTCTGGAAGCCCTTAGCTCAGTCTCGAAGCCTCTCGAAACGTGCCTTTTCGGATGCTCAACAAGTGACGATATTAAAAGGCCAATTAAAAGTCGTCGAGCACTCGCGGCAAGCAGAAGCCTCCATTTTTGGAGAGCGGCGGATTTCATGAGAAGACACGCAAATTGGAAGGGAGCACGGCGTCGAGAGAAGAGAGGCCGACGCACTCGTCGCGTACGCCAATTACCCGGACACGACGACGACTCCACCTTCTTCTTGATCCGCTAGATCTGCTCATTCGATTTGCGGAGAGAAGTGCGCTTTCCTCCGCGTCCATCAAATCAAGACTCCGCTTTTTGGTCATTCACAATTCTTTCTTCCATTCACTCTCCCGTTTCCTACTACCTTTGAATTCGCATTTCGCATTGCTCCTGTCTCAAATGGCGTAATTAGCGATAGTTAGCCGAGCTTCTATTTTTTCTTTTGCAAAACAGGCAACGATACGTGCTCACTCACCTTTCCCCTGACAAACAACGGGCTCCGTATTCTTGACAACCAGCCAACTTTAGAAGAAAAACAAACGTGGCAGTTTTGTGAGAGCGAGAGGGTCAGACGTGTTCTCCGTCTGGAATGAGCGGAAAACACTGCGAACTCTGTCTAATTCCGATATTTTTCTCCGATCCAACCTGTCATTTATTTAAGATTCTCATCATTTCGGATTCCCAGAACTCATGAATAAGGCACTGCATGTGTCGGGGATGGTCTCGCAAACCGACGGAAAGGCAATTAGCACTACCGCCGGCCGACGCACCCCCTCTTTCTCTAAAATTGAGCCAATTCGAGACGGGTCACACCACCACCATTGCCCATTTCGTCCGCACTTTCAACCCGACCAGCATCTCCTTCTTCTTCTTCTTCTTCTTTCCCTTCTTCCTCTTCTTTTTCTCATTTTTCTTCGTTTTCCACCCTCTTTTTGGACGCATCATCCAGTCGTGCTGCTGCCGCATGTGAGCCTGTGATGTCTGTGTGTGTGTGTGTGTGTGTGCTCACTTTAATAAGCTCATCAAACATTCTTCTTTACTACTCTGCCGTCGTCGTCGGTGACTACTGCTACCCGTGCCTTTTCATTTTCATCTTTCCATATTTTTGTCCGTGCTCGTCGCCATTGACAGGCCTCCCGGAGAACCCGCCAGTGTGAGAAAAATGGTGGGGCTGTGTGGCGGCTCCCCCTCCTCCCTTCACAAAAAACTTGCACATTTTTCGGGGGTTGGCGGGGGCGACTTTATTTCGACAACGGCAGAAATTTGTTTGCGTCGCTTCTGCTCCTCCCAAATATAAAAGGAGGAAGAAAAAGAAAACGCGGCGGCAGAAGCGTTCAAAATAGATTTTTTGATAAGTCGGTGCAGGATGCACGCTCGACGATCATCCTTTCTTTGCTGCCTTCATATTCAATTTTGGCCCTTTCTTTCCCTCTGATTGTGGTCTATTCAGAAAGAGCTTCAGCCTCGAGAAAAGCGATTTCTGCTTTGACAAACAGAAAAGAGAAACGGAAGAAGGCGAGCGAATGAATGGAAAGTGCATCGGGCCGGGCCGCCAAAGAGCAGATGAAAGGGACCGAAATGATAACGATTTGGAGACAGGTGTTCCTGTTCTGGAGGCACGAAACAAACTCTCTGATCCGGCGGATCTTTTTAATGTCCTGGCCACTCGGGTATTCATGCATAAAGCCGTGCCACTCGCCCAAAGATTCACTATAGTCGACCGGGCAACTTGAAAAATAGGTGGTTGTATTGTTTTCTTTCTCCTCCGCCACCTCCTCCTACCATTCTTGAGATCGGAAGTAATCTAATTTCTGATCATGCTCTAATTTCTGACGTATTCAGTTTTGCTTCCGCTCTCTCTCTCTCTTTCTCTCTCTCTCTCACTCTCTATTTGCAGAAGCGACCACAAGATCGGCTCGTTTCGGTGTTTCATGGAGTCGTCCTCCCCATTTGAATTCATCCCATTGCCTTTCGATTGTTCATTCTCCCTCTTTCTAATGGTCGCTTCACATCTTCTTTGTTGGCTTTCCTAAACGAATTTTCTCGTCATTTCCGAAACATTTGGAATCATAATTAACTTTTCAACTTCCGGAAATCGTCATGAATTATTTTCTTTTGACGTGGAATTCGGGGGAATTCTTTTCATTTTGTTCCATCTCCCCAGAGTCCTTTCCTCAATTCAAATCGTTGTTTTCGCGCAAACAACCCAATCTCGGAATGCCCTCAATCAATGTTGCCGAGGCAAGCCTGGGATGTGTCTGATTAATCCCCGGAGACGGACATCATCGTCACCGCTCCGACCCACCCTCACAAAAGCGTTTTCTCTTCTGCTCCAAATGAGAAGCAGAAGAAGAAGAAAGAGGAGGTGTGCACTTCGACACGTTGAGAGCCTTCCGTCAAGAAGCAGAAGCCACCGAGAGGCTCTTCGCAGCGGCATCCTATTGATTAGGAGACAAGAAGAAGTGGTCAGCGTACACAAAGCGGCAGAGAGGGAAAGTTGAGCCGCGGCCTTCTCCTCTTCTGAAGCGACGACGGCGATGGTCGGAGCACGTTGCAAGCGGGGGCCAGACGCAGACAGCGAGCGGCTCGAAGCGACAGCATCGGCTCGCGACGCGTCCTAATCCGATGGCTCTCGCCTAAAGGTGAGGGGGCGGAATGAGAGAAGCGGCGCGCGGCAGAGCAGCAAAGAAAGTGAGATATCCGCCATTACTCTCACACTACCCTCGTTGCCTCGCTGCTCGTCGGCTCTCGATCTCTGTCCATCTGCGTGGCGCTATCTCGCTGTTTGTCTCGCTTGCTCGCCTATTCGCGCATTTTCAGCCGCGACGAGCTGTGCGTCAAGGAGCGAAGAGGAGAGGGAAGAAGAGGAGAGGGCGCTTACAAATTTTGGTGTGGCCACTCACTTGCCTTCCTCTAGAACTACAAACGATTTGTGGCCGACTGACCACAAATTAGACGTCCGGATGGACTTTGCTTCTCCGATCCTTGACTTTTTCTCCGTCTTGTACTTTCTGTGTTGTCTACTACAACCCGTTTGAACATGGTAAATACACAAAGCCTCGCTTCCACTTGTAACCAACTCCTTCCCCTTTTCACCGTTTCTATTGCTTCTCTTTCCTCTTTCAATAACTGTGTGACCTCTGCACCAATTTCATTCTGTTCCAGTTCAAATGGGTCACTGCACGAGTAAAGATCAGAAGGAAGGCAAGCGCCTGAACCGTCGGATCGATGAGCAAATCAAGAAGGATCAATCGATGAGCCTGAGGATCATCAAGCTGCTACTATTAGGTAGGTACACATGAAGTTGTGGGTGGAGCAGAACAAGAAGAAGAAGGAGAAGGAGAAGAGCAGCAGCAGCAGCTCTTCTTCCTCTTCGATCGCGAAATTCGAGCCGCGTGGACACTTTAGCCAGGGGCGGTGCGAAAACAGATCCGCGGAGCACAACGGAGCAAAGGTGTGTCAAGGGGAACAGGTGATTCCGATGACAGGGTGGAATTCACTGCCTAATTAGATTTTAGCTATCACCTGACTTTCTAAATCACGGAATGATAGGGATAGTCTGTCGAGCAAAGCATGAAGTTCAGAACTTAACACTTCTGATTGAGGCTATTTGTTTGAGAGTCCAACTAATTTGACTAATAAACGAATAGAATAGAAAGTTGATGCACGGGTTTCACAGAAAAGCTGATTCATTTTCTAATATGTTTTCATTTTTGCTAATCCCTTCAGATCCTTTTTGAAAAGATCAGCGCTCGTGTAGCAAGTGTTCTTTGGAAATTTGAATGTTAAAAAACGGCAACAATTTGATAAGCACTCTAATTATAATTATCAAATAGGTACCGTACCCCTTCTCCGTCACTTTTCTTCTTCGGCTCCGGTTCCCCCACCGCCACCAGCCACATGTATCATTTTACAAAATCTGCGGCGCGCGAGCTACTAATTGGACGCTGGTGCTGATGTGAGCTAATAAAACTTTCGGCGGCGTGACGTCAAAATGCGGAATAATTGTGAAAGAGAAAGCTAGAGTGTATTGGGATGGCGTTAAAGTGACGAGATGTATGCTGTTTTTTGAAATGGCAAATGATTACAGGAGCCGGAGAAAGTGGAAAAAGTACAATTCTGAAACAGATGAGGATACTGCACAAGGACGGATTCTCACAACAAGATCTGGAGATGATCCGGCCGGTCGTGTACTCCAACTGCATCCACAGTATGCTTTCAATCCTAAGAGCCATGTTCCATTTGCAAATCGAATACGGCGAAAACGATCGAGTGGTGAGTACGGAATATTGGTGACTGATTTCTGCGAGCGAAACGATTTCAGCGAGATTCTCAACTGGTCTTCGCCACCGTTCATGCGAACAAAGAGGAGCTGACGGAAGAACTCGCGGCGGCGATGCAGAGGTTATGGCATGATCCGGGCGTGCGCGAGTGCTATCGACGGAGCAATGAATACCAGATCGACGACTCCGCCAAATAGTATGTTAACCGTTTCTTTCACTCTCCAACCAGAATCTATTTCAGTTTCCTTGACAATCTTCCACGGCTGTCTTCTCCCAATTATGTTCCGAGCGAACAAGATCTCCTGCGAACGAGAATCAAAACGACAGGAATCACAGAAGTTCTGTTCGAACTGAAAGGTCTCACGTTCCGAGTGATCGACGTCGGAGGACAGAGATCCGAACGGAAAAAGTGGATTCACTGTTTCGACAACGTCAATGCCATCATTTTCATTTCGTCGCTCTCTGAATACGACCAAACATTGCGGGAGGACAATTGCACGGTGAGCTGCCCAATTTTTCTTTGTTTCGTTCATATGCTGCTTCAGAATCGAATGCAAGAGTCTCTGAAACTGTTTGATTCGATCTGCAACAGTCCGTGGTTCGCAGACATTCATTTCATTCTTTTCCTCAATAAAAAGGTACCGTAATCGAGAACCATCTCTTTTAAACCGATGTCTTCCGTGCAGGATTTGTTCGCCGAGAAGATTGTGCGATCGCCTCTGACGGTCTGTTTCCCAGAATACAAAGGACAGCAGAACCAGACGGAGTGCATCAACTACATTCAATGGAAGTTCGAGCAGCTCAACCGGTCAGTGCTCAGCGGGCTCTCCTCGTTCGCAACTCTCACTTTCAGATCTTCTCAACGTGAAATCTACTGTCATCACACATGTGCCACTGATACGAATAACGTCCAATTTGTGCTCGACGCCTGTCTCGATATGATAATTGCCAAGAATCTCAAGTCAATGGGCCTGTGCTAGCCGTCTCTTCCTTCCGTTCTTTCCTATCGCTAGTCCCGCCCACGCACTCTCTCTCTCCCTCTCTCTTGTCTTTTTGAATTGCCTGCTAGTCGCCACAGTCTCTTCTTATCCTCCCCCATAATTCACCTCCCCGGGTACTTCATTCCACTCTCTCTCTCTCTCTCTCTCTCTCTCTCTCTCTCTTCAATTTCTCTTTTCTTCCCTCTATCTTTTATCACTTGTCTTTCTTTCTCTTTCCCTCTGTCTCCTCTAGCTAATCCCGTTTGAACTCCTGTCAAAAGTTGTCCAACTATTTTGATCTCTGTCTTCCGCCGCCGTTGTTTGATCTCTCAGACAAGTGTTGTAAACTATCAACAATCACACATTTTATTATGGAATGAAACTGAGTTATCTGCACACAACCTTACAGCACAATAATCAGATTTTCGAGATTTTTTTGGATTATGCGAGTGGTTTCAAATCGTCAAAGTTTTCCAAACTTCTCACAAGTTCCACGTTTCGCCACTTCGATATCTTTGGCAATCGCTTCTTTCAGTTCATCTAAAATTGAAATGAGAATTGAAAAAACGTGAAGTCGCTTACCAAGCGAAGAAAAGCTTTTCATTTCGCGGATGAACCCAAGAATGACTCCGTTTAATCGCCGTCCGTAGAAATCTCCGCCGGAATAGTCGATCAAATGCACTTCCATCGTCTTTTTTTCGTTTTGATATTGTGGATTCCATCCGATGCTCATCGCCATACTGTACGTCTTTCCGTCTAACGTCGCCGTTCCAAAGTAGACGCCGACTGCGAGCTTCTCCGGAAGGCCGTTCACAACCGTGTCGTCCATGTTGGCAGTCGGACATCCGAGCTCTTTTCCGCCTCTTCCGAAGCCACGAACAACTTCGCCCTCGAATTTATACGGCAGAACTTGCATCTAAATATTTCAGGTCAGCGAAAGCGAACCATGGCAAAAATAAGAAAGCATAGAGGAGAAAAACCTTTCCATTTAAGAAGTGTGCAAGTTCAAATGCATTATATTTATTCCAATTATCACCAATCAATTATTTATCACCGGCTGACACGAGATCTTTGAAATACTGTTCGATTTTTGTTTTTTGAGTTTGGCTGAATGATGTGAAGGTTCTCTGATCTTCAATGGCGGCGTTCAGGAACTTAAAGGCCGTCCTGTCCGCTTCCTGCTTCGTGATTCCAGAATGTGCGATCAGATCTGGCAGCCTATCGATTACTTTCACGACTAATCGGTAGTCTGCAGTATGGACGTCGTTTCTGGAACAGAAAATTCATAAATAAAGTGGTCTAGGGCTAACGTACTCTTTTTTGAGGCATCTGATCAGGTATCCTTCCACTTCCGGCCAAAACTCGTTCAGCACTTTTCCGTGAACAAATGTTCCAGACTTTTCGGCCATTTCGATGATCAGCTCGTATGCGGACGTCAAAGAGGTTGGCTCCTTCTCCTTCACGATCGTCATTATTCCGTACCAATTCTGATGGATCATCGGCAAAAGCGCGTCGTCGTAGTACTGCACAAGTACGAGGCATTCTCTCAAAATCGCCAGCGTAGTCAATCTGACTGGCAAATGGGGCGACGTGAGCATGTGCTTCGTGCGGAGAAGAATCTTTTCTGTGAGAATGTGCTGCGGAGTTGGCATGTACTTCTGGTCTTCCGAGTCTTCTGGAGGTACAATCGGCTGGTGGTCAGCGTACTGTTTGTTGAGAGCGAGCATAAAAGTGCGAATAGCTTGAAGAAGCGATATTGTGTACTTCTGAAATAGTGAAACGGGTTATGAAGGACGCTTTCTACCAAACTGTCTTACCTGTTCATTGCTATCCAACGCGTACAGCATTTTCTCCACAATTATTCGGCATTGCTCGAATTGATCGTCAATTTCCGCGTATCGCAAGTACGCATTCAACAGCAGAGGAGCCAAGTGATAGTCTTCGGAAGAGGCGCACGCGAGGGAGACCGTGTTAAGGATGTAACTACTGTACACTCGAAGCATTTCGTGCACGTTGATCATAACTTCTTTTTCATTCTGAAATTATAAAACTTCAATAAAATTTCTGAAGTGGCGCTCCGCTCACATCAGCCAATACCATCAAAGCAAACTGAGCGGATTCCGCGACGACCCAAGTTCTGGAGTTGGTTTGGTTCAAGATGGTGCACAGACTGTTGATAGTAATCTGAAATGCTCTTTTTCAGTCGTTATCTTTTCAATAATGTTTACATGAGATCTGTTGGCTGCTCCACCGACAAACTTCATGCACAGAGCGACATTTGTGCAGCTGAGACATTCGATGCACGTGCTCCAATCATTGTCAAAGTCCTGTCCGTATGGATTTTCATCTTCTTTCAGATAGTAGACGCATGCTCTGTTCGTATCGTGAACGAGGTACTCGGCAAGCATCAGAATGATCGGTTCGTCTGCCGACGACTCGTTCCGCTCCATTGCTGACAGCATGTAAGCAAGAAGCAGATGGTAGGTGGCTCTTCTGCTTGCCGTCTCCTCCTTCATTAGGTTGTGAACCATGTGGATAACCTAAATCTTGCATTCTCTAATGTTCCGTTTGTGTATTTGTACCTCAAACTTTCCGAGATTCACCAACACTTTACAAACGTGTCGGACAGATTGGTGGCTTTGATTGTACAGAAGTTTGAACTTTCGAAGTTCCTTCTCAATCGTCTCGGAGACGCCTTCGCTCGTGATCTGCAGTAGTTTCTTATCGATCACCACGCAGTCGGCAATGCATCGGAGCAATTGTTCTATCGTGTCCGATTCAGTTGCGCACATCAATGTGACGGCTTCTCCCAGTCCGCTCAACACTGCCGAAAGCACGTTGAGTGCCCTCTCTCCGTGCCCGTTTCTCGTTTGTACTGGCATCCGTCGGCTGATCGTCTCTAGCTCTCTGTAGAAGTACCTCTCGATGACATTTTGATCTTTGATAAGTGTCAGAGAAGAGATTGCCAGCTCTTGGAAGCTAAAAATGGTTTGTAATAAAAATCGAAAACGGTGGCAGCCATACCATTCGTACTCATCGTACCGCAAGTTAGTATACATACTGAGAACACATCCGTGAAGTGTATTTCCGAAGACTTGACTACATTCTCCTTGTACCTGACACAGCATCTCGCACGCCGCCCTCTTCACGTTGTTCACTCGATGGATCATGTAACTGCCCAGCAAATCACGAATGTAGTCGTTGATGACTGCGACCGCCTCTTTCTCCCATTCTGCAGTGCGGCTATCGAAAAGCGAGTGCATTTCTGCGGGAAATGTGGACAAATCCAGCTTGCTCCTGTCGAACTTCACCGCTTTGTCACCAAAAACCAAGACGATCGCATCGCGAAACAACTGAAATTGTTGAAGTTTGTGTGGGAAAGATGTTGAGTTCAGCGTACCGCAATGGTGTTTTCGAGCAGATCTGCGTTGACTGTGGATCCCTTGGTCACTCTGAGAAGTCCTCCGAGAATTCCCGATATGAGAATGCTGATCACGGGCGCAGAATCTGGCGGGCACTGGCGCACGATCCGTGAAAGAACCTCAAGCGCCAGTTTGCGAAGTGCCACGTCACGATCAACATTCTTGATGATTTCCAGAGTGATTGTGATGACTCGTCCAGCGGACAAAATGTGACGGTACGAGAAAAAGTCTGGAAACTGCTTGTTTGTACATCGAAGTCTATAAGAAGGGGGCAAACCGTCTCTAACTTTGAAAGAACGACTCATCACGTCGAATATCTTGATGAGGAGAGTGAGGTGTTGTGTGGCTCCGGGAGTGTCATTCGGAATGCTATCGAGATATTGATGGAAGAGAGGGCGCACGCTCATCCACGTGAAGGAGGGCAACTGAAATAGAGCAGAAAAGTAGCAGGTTATAATCCGACCACCGGTGTTACTTTGTCATAACTGTTGAGCATATCGAGGGCCTGGTGATAAACTGGAATCAGAGCCAGTCTGCTCTCTGGCGAGCAGCTCGGAAGAACGACTTTTGCAGCAATGATGGTTGCGCCGCCTGTCGACTGCTGTTCCGGAAACGACGCCTCCATTTCAATCTCTAAAAGGAAGCGAGTGAGTTGGGAACTGCCGGAAAATCGATAGGAAAACTTCGCATTCCTCAGGAGTTCTCTTTTTATAAAGCCAGGTTTATTCACTGTTTTTTAAATATAAAAACGGACCCTCGATAGAGTTGAACATTTCCTCGGCCAGGTCGGTAATGTCCCTCCGCTCCTTCAAGAAACGGAGCACCAGAGACATGTAATCCGTCGCCGCTTTGAATAATACTCCGCTTTCCATCTGAAATTACTCTCTTGCAGAGGCTTCTTCGTTGTTTCTAAAGTACTAAAATGTTGAAACGGACAATATTCACTCTGTAGGTTAGGCGAATAGTTTGCAATTTTTTATTAATATTCAGTAACAATTTGAACATGAAAAAGTGAGAGAGGGATTGACAAGTTGATTTTTACAGGGTTTATTGAAATTGGAGAAAAGGAGTAGTGAATGGCATAAAACTGAATTCATGACATAGATCAGCAAAACCCGTTAGTGTGATCGATTGCAAAGAAGAGCAGTTTAGGAAAATGTACGGTATTTAAAGTTTAGCGTCATCTATTCGAAAAGTGACAGAACAAAGATCTACGGGAATTCCCTTCGAGTCCGAACTTGAAAGAGTGCCGCACTGACGCATGAATATTGTTCGGCCAAATTCTCAATGGGGCACACTTGCAACCACTGAGACGGCAGGCATTGCGTCGATTCCAATTAGGACTCAATTGAGATCAGTTGGACTGCTGATTCACTGGGATATTCCGAGCGATTATGGTCGGTCAGTTAACGGGGCATTGTGAATATACAAAGAAGCGGGAACTTACATTCTATTGGCTTGGCAAAATATAAATCCATTATTAAAGCATGTACCTGTTAGTAGCAACAAAGTCAAACAATTCGAATGTGTGGGTGAGAGAACTTTGGAAAAATTGATGAGTGCCCGTTAAAATCGACCAATGGGACCGCTCAGAAGTGTTGTAGGGATCGTGCGGACGACGCTCCGAGAGTACGTTCCGTACGATTGGAAGGTTTGCTCCGGAATGAGCTCGGCGTAGTCTGTCGGACGTGTCGGCTGTCCCACCGCCCATTTCAAAATTTCTGCGCCTTTCGCAGTGATCGGAGCTGTCTGAAAACATTTAAAAAAATTAGATTTCAGCATATATTATCAGTACCTCGTGGTAAGCAACCAAATCAAAAAGTTGATCGTGAACAACTTGATTTGTTCCAAGAAACTGATATCCTTCCGGAATTTTTTCCACTAAGAAATGTTTGAAGCTTCCATCGCGGGCAGCGTAAGAGACTGTATAACTGAAAAAGAAAAGCAGACGTTTCCAGATGGTTCTCCGGCATTTCTCACCCCCAGATGCGCTCGGATACTCTGACCAGAAAGGATCCGGTTGGCTTGTTCGAGAGAAGAACTTCCGATTGTTCCCTCGAGATAATGCCGTGAAACCAGGGCGCTGGTCCCCTCGTTTTCGGATCCAATCCTGTGCCACGTGGATATTCATCTCGTTGGAACCATTCTATGATCGCTGCTCGAGACTTTGGTTTGGGTGGTCGCGGTAGATTTTTGCTGAAAAGAAAAATAAATGCATAACGGCGAGATCACCACTCACATTGCTTCTCTCAAACTGCCCGCTTTGTGATCCTTCAGCGCAGGCAGAATACTCGTGCTCGTCCGTATCATCTGCTGATGTTTCTCCCGCGCCTTCTGTGCCAGTTCCCGTTGTGCGTGCTCTGCTTCTCGAGCTTTTCGTTCTGCAAAACACAAAAACAGGGAATTGTGAGCGGGGAACGGAACTTACCCTGTTCCTCCCAGAGGTTTTTCTCTCGGTCTTCCATGAGTTCCGCTTCTCTTCTAAGTCTTTCTCGTTCTTCCAAAAGACTTTGAAAAATCTCCGATTCTCGTTTCTGCATTTCTTCCACCCGATCATTGTCATTCGTCTTCACAGCTCTCATTCGGACACCTAAACAACTTGCCAATATCAGAATCATTCTTGACGGATATCTTACCATTCATCATGTACGAATCCGTGTCCCACGGATGCGTGGATCCATTCGTAGTGGGCTCTTGTTGTGTGGAAGCGGAGAAATCAATTGGTGGGAAGTTCGGAGTTGAATAGTATCCAGTATTTGGCTTCGGAAGCAACGGCGGCTTCTCTCCGCGAACCAGCTGGGCCTTCTGTGGCTGTGGCGTCGAGTAACTGGAGACTGTGGTCGTAGTGACGATGTTCGGCTGAGGCTGCTGTGGATTTGCTCTCGAGGGAGGTTGGAAAAGGAGAAGAGGCGGATTTGTGGGCGCAACACTCTGATACAGGTTGTCATAGTTTTCGTGTGCCTGACTTCCTGCACCGACTTGTAATCGTTCCAATTGAGCCATCAGGGCGTCCTCGTCCGAGTCAGAAGCTCCTGCTCTCAGCTCACGCATAGCGAGTGCGTGCGCTTTTTCGCGGCTCTCTTCTTCGAGAATCTCATCGATGGTTTTATCCTAAACACGAATTATTCAAGTACAAGAACTTCGAAACCTTATCTCTACCTGTTCATGGTCGCCCATCACCCAGACCCAGACTTCTCCGTCTGTTCCTGTCAACCATCGCAACGATTTCTTTTTGGACGGTCGATATGGGGGCCGTGTCCTTTCGTATTCCGTCTCGGCCGCTTCCCATTTCCTCACTTGCTCTGTTCGCATTTGACAGAACAACAATTGCTTCTGATCATCGTCCAACGCCGCCAGCAACTCTTCGTCCACATGCCCTGTGCTGAGTATCTCACTGAGTATACTCATTCTGCGATGACAAAGACACCGCCTGAAATTGAGGTATTGATAAGGAGATAAGAAAAGTGAAGGCGAGAAAAAAACAAGAAGAACGAAGAAACAGACGGATGATAATCGTATTCTAACCAGCCTAGTTTAACGTCAATTAGAATCTGAGACGACCTTTTGACGGTCGAATTGATGACAAAGGGTCGCATGGTTTCTGAAATACAAGAAAGTACGAAAAGAAAAATGTGAGAGGAGAGACTACACAGGCATCGCGTTTCCACTACGTGGATGAGTCATATCCGCAAATATAAGAGAACTAAATTCCAAATTTGGGCGTCTATTCCTTCTTGTCTGATCATAAATTCTTTCGTGCGATCTTATGCGAAATACGAACATCATGGCGCTTGAGAAAAAATACTTTGACAAAACTGCCGGAGGAGTCATAAACGTTTGGAAAAAGTTCTCGACTTTCCGGTTGAAGCAAGTGAAACGAATACGAAGACCGAAGTTCACAAAAGAGATTGAACTGGAAGTGTTACTTCAGACACGGAAACTGAACAGAGACGAACAAGAAGAAAGTGGAGCAAGAGGGGGATGCCGGCGGGCGCAGTGTTTCTTTCGGGTAGAAGCAACTCGACGAAGGAGGGGACAAAAAATGTTTTGTGCAACAAAAAGAATGAGCAGGAGGGGGCCAATGTGGAGCACGTTGATGGGGTCAGCTGTTGTTATTTGGACGCATATCAGAGGGGACTGGGTGCCGAAGCGAGTGGCCACCACGGGGAACCGCGACGTTTGAGTCGGCTGAGTACAACTACGCTACGTATTCCGGATGAGAACAATGCAATTTATGCATGGCTAGCTGAAGGGCCGGATTAAATAATATAGATGGTTGGAAAGCAGAAGACGACTGCGACAAAACCTTGAAACTTGATACGTGGCAATGAAGACGGCGGCGGGAGCAGAAGTGGGCAAAGGCCGAGAAGAAGAAGAAGAAGAAGAAAGAGGTAGGACCATGGACACTTCGAGGGCAAAGGAAACGAAAAAAAAGTCGAGGAACACGAAGGAAAACACCTGCCAAACTTCAATGGGGTCACTATTAATTGGCCTTTTCGAAGGTTGATGTGGCGGTGGCGGCGGATGAAAGGACAGATGGCGATTACTGATTTTACGGAGAGGATCGAATGAAGGTATTTTTTGAGATAGAAAGGAACGAAATTAGAATCAAACTGGGGAGAAGAGTGAAACGTATTGGTGGGGCAAACGGCGAGAAGCACGCAAAACACATCATACTCGTCATCTTGGCGGGATCCACGTGACAGATGTAAGAGTCAGGACGAGCCCGCTTCGCATTCGGGAAATTACACATCTATCAACTTCTGGTAGCATAGCGTATGCAATATCTTATCGAGTCTGCGTCTCCTTCCGAAGAACTTGGGAACGTCCTTCACGAACTGGCGTCATGCGGGAAGTGAATGAACCCAGACAGCTGTGGAATGACAACAATGGACGGACCAAGTGAGTGAAAAGCAATGGGCTCCGTTTGGCAACATTCCAAAAAGGGAGGAGGGACAACAGAGAGACGAAGCAGCGGATAGCCGCCGCCACGGATAATTTCAATTGGTTCTGCCAATCTGGCACTCCGACGAGTCGACCAAAAATGGCATTTGTTTCACCCGGCATACGCTTTCCGTTTTTCTACGCATGCAGGCGCGCACAAACATTTGGAGACGCTTATCAACCGAAAAAACTCGTGAGAGCACTGTGTCTACAAAATGTTGCCATTTTTGAAATGGGCACATAAAATTGGACGAGCAAGAGGGGAATAGTCGGCGATTTTTGAAAAAAAAATGCATTGTTCCGCCCGAAATTGAATCGCTTTCGTTGCGCATAACGCGATTATCAACAATCAGACAAACTGCAAACAAGCGGGAGGCACCTGAACGAATTGCAAAGACAACCAGTTAGTGAATGAACTGAGTGCTTCGAAGCCGGGAAGCGGAATGAGTACGAAAGAGAAAACGTATTCTGGATTCCTTTTAGGGAAACAATGATTCTGTCGGACGGTGCATCAGAATATACATCACTTTTTGGGAAGGAAAAGGAAACGTCAACGCCTTCTGTATAAGAAAGAAACCTATAGAATAACGGCGCCGTCACTTATCAACGTGAAGAATCTTCGAAAGGAAAGGCAAGAACTGCAACATTAAACAGTTCTGGTTTACACCGTCCTCCTCCTTCTCCTCTTCTCTCCTCTTCGCTATCACATGTCAAGACGCCTTCTGGAATCGATTGTGACTCCAGGAAATGAGGAACGAGAATACAGGCGAAAAAGTGGTGATACAGCCGAGAAAAGGGTGCGGTAGTAGTGCGTGCGTGGGAGGGAAAAAGGCAGTCGTCCCCGCAACGAGTGTACAATAACTCGGTGCGAGAGACTGTACGAATCGGAGGCACGCAGACGCACCTGCCCTACACTCAGACGACGGTCTTGCGCGCGTGCGCACCATGTGCCGTGCCACTGAATAAGGTAATCTGACGGACGGGTGTGCCGGACGCACCACTCGATTTGGTATTCACGGGAACCTGCCGCATTTCCTCACGATGCTTCACGCCAGATTACGGCCGATTCGAACATATGCCATCTGGTCTTTTTCGTTGCAATTTTTCTGCGAAGTCGAAAATGACAAAATTAGAAAGTAAAAACTGTCGAAAAGTATTTGAAAAGTGACGGAGTCGATTCGGCGTGGGAGTGTCAAAGGAAAAATGTTACGATGCATCGCGATGAAATGAAATTGGAAGAGTGGAGAACTGAGTGTTTGACCTACCTAGTAGCTAAATAGACCTACTTAACATTTTTATTTGAAAAACTGGTCAAAACCGGGGAAATTGGCGGAATCGATGAGGGTTTTGAACAGAGCGAGTCGAAAACTGCCTCGATTCGGATGAACACTTTCCGTGTTTACTTTCTCTGCCGTCTCTTCGAATCAAATGCTCTCTCGCCCGCCCACAAATGCCTATTATTCCGATTTGTTTTTTAAGCCTTTCCGCCTGTAACCAATCGGAAACTACAAAAATATGTCGGAAGCCGGAACATAACGGCGAAAAGAAGGCGAGGAGCGAAGAGAATATGCGGGAGAAACGGCGGGCTTTGTGAGCAAATCGTCGGGATGCTCGGACGAGAGGGCACGAGGAACGAGGAGACGCAGACGGTCTGATAAGTGATTGCGCCTGATGGACTCGCGGAGCACACTTGTCATGAAACACTTGTTCAGCCGTCCGAAGGCCAGTTGGGGAGTGGACACACGGAGAATGACCGATGATCGATAGCTTGACTATTCTGGGACCTCAAATAGACCCAATTCCAGAAAAAAACAATAGCGATTGATTAAACAATTTTAATTAGGAGCAAGAGAATGAATAAGAGGAAAATGTGGAAAAAAACGAATGACGAACACAGAAAACGAGCAAAATTATAGATCCTTCGGGTCTAAATTCCCATGTTTCTTCCTTCGAGTGACACTTTCACAATGCGATTGGCTTTCGACTTCTTCGTTCTTTCCTGGAAATCACGAAATGTCGATTCGTAACGAGTAGTTCCTGTTGCCTTTTTCTCCTGGAATAAAATTATCAAACTCGTCTGCATCTCATGAAGAAACTCACGCCACCGAACTTTCCGTGCACCTTCCATTCCGGTCTGACGACGTAGTCCTTAGTGGATGGCTTCGGAACACGAGCTCGATTGATGTATCCCTTGTCTCCGGGCTTCAGTTCTCCCGACTTAGTCGGATCCAGCCATTCCGACTCCTTGATCCTCGGCTTTTTCTGGTCACCGCTTAGCTCCTCATCGTCATCTTGACTACTGAAAAAAAAGTTGCACATAATTGTCACTCAATTTTGGTTACTTCAAAATATGACGTCTCTTCTCCGGAACTCTGGCATAATCTCTTTCCTTCCGCTCATCTCGACTTATTGTACTGTAATCAGCGTCCAAATGATAAATGGGTCTCGCCCACTCTCCAATCAATTTGTTGGCGATTGCCTTATTCTCTTTTGTTTCATTCGGATGCTTATAAAGCATCATGACGGCCTTTCCGAGACCAGATTGCTTCAAAGTACTTCTGTCCAGCTTCCAAAAGCGTGGATTGTGAAGCAGTTTGAGTATGGTTATGCGAATGTCGAGAGCAGGAAGACACTTGTCCGGCAACGGAGCCAGCCACTCGGACAGCGCGCTCATAAACCCGTTCTCAATCAGAGCGTCTACGATACCAGCTCTGAGCAGCATCGCTTTCACTTCTGGAAGCATCTTGATCTTCTGGAAGGCCGGCTTCCTTTCGACATTAGCATTACGGTCCGACTTGGCAGCCGCCTTCATGCGTTCTGTGAGTCTCACCACCAGACCATCGTCGTCATTGATAATATCGATCCCGCCATCTTTCCCACGCCGAGTCTTTCTCTTCCTCTCAGCTTTTTTCTCGGCCAACATCTTATCAAAGTCCCATTCGAAAGTGCGGCTATGTCTGTCTCTCGGACCGTCGTCATCATCACTGTCGCTTCTCGCTCTGGTTTCTTGTTTATCTTCTTCTCCCTGATGACCGACAACCAACTCATCCAGATCCTCTGTGTTTGTCTTTTTGGGAGCATCATCGTCATCGTCACTGTCGCTGCCAAACAACTGTTTTCCCGTAGGTTCCTTCTTCTCAACATCTTCGTCATCGGAATCATCGTCAAAAGTAAATTTCTTCCTTAATAAACGGATGAGCGTAAGTAAACTCAAGTATTAACTAACTTTTTCTTTGTTTCCACATCGCTCGCATCAGAATCGATAAGAGCTCGTTTATCAGAAGTTCCTTCGCCGTCTGATTCATCACTCTCTATAGCGACTTTGGTAGTAGATCTGACCGGCGACGGAGATTTGGACTGTACTGGACTGGCAGGTGCGGGCTCAGCATCCTCATCCTTGTAAATGTCCGCGCTGTCCCCCGTCGGTGATTCTGGAGCATTTCTACCGTTAGAGTGTGGCGATGAATGATGACTGTAGCTCGGAGAGACTGGATCTTCTGGTGATAACGGTCGAAATTCTTCGCCGTCCTCCGACATATTGATCGAAACTGGTGGTTTCTGAAGAAAACATGTGATAACAAGTAAACGGACTATTACGGAAATGTGAATGTGTAACGATTCTAACAGAAAAAACATTTGAAGAAAAAGATCACGCGACTGCGAAAATTGTAAAAGAAACAAAGAATGATGAGATTTTTTGCGGCGGACTGAATTCTTTTTTCGAAAACGGGTCGATTTGAACAGCTGGCTAAAGAGAGCGCGCCGTCATGGTGGAGTGTCGTTGTTGGCGGCAATTCAAATAATATTGACTCTTCTCACTCGAACAACTCAAAGTTCGTAATTTCGCAGTAATTAATTCACAGCGAACTCAATTGTATTATAATCAAGAAAGCACAACAATTAAAAAAATGCTTTTAAAATAATGTGGGTTCGTCTGCATCAAGTGTCCCGTAATTCGGTGCTAATGAAGGTCCCAAGTCTGTTAGAAGACGGATTTCTAGTGGATCAATCTGAAAAACAACTAATATTCTGTCGGAAAATACAATTCGAGCACCTTGTAGTGGAACTTTGTTTCCGGCAACAACCTCCACAAAATCATTGAGAACAACGAGCTGAAATGGGAGAATTACTCAAAATAGGAAAGACAGAACTCACGTGGGAATGATGAATATCAAGTAGCTCCATCCGCCAATTGACTTGCTCAAAGGATAATAGAAAAGTGTTGTTGTGATTGTGCACATCCAGTTGACGGCCACGGCAGACCCTAAATCACACTCGCTTCCGATCAATCCATTCTTTCTCTTCAACGCACCCAAACTAGCACTGGCTGCTTCCGGAGGGACCAACTCTGCCGGCAGGAAGTAAGCAACGGGCCCCACTCCCAGATTGTAGCCGATTCCGTAGAGGAAAAAGGCTGCTGCGAATCCCCAGGATGCCCAACCGGAACCGTCTTGTGAAATGAGAGTGAAGACGAGAAGGAACGAGTTGGCAGCAATGCAGAAGAGGAGAGTCTTGAGCAGAAGAGGACGACGGCCTCTCGTCTCGACCCATCGGAGAGCAGGAATCGTGAGCAAGATGGAGATGATGGAACCGAGAGCAGGGAGGAAGGGAACGAGCGAATCCATGAAAGAGACAGCTTCGAACATTCTGGAAAGGGTTTGAGTTGTCTATAGAAGATGGGCAAATGCGTACTCTGTTGAGTAAGAGATCGAGACCATGCTTCCCGAGAATATCTGAGTGGCACTGACAATCATTCCGAGGAGCATTCCTCTTCGTATCGAAGGATTCATGAAGGCCGAACAAATGGAGAGCTGCTCAGGCATCTCTGGCACCATATCCCAGTACTCTTTGATGATTTCATCTTCATCACTGTCGTCAATGTCATAATAGAACCTGAATTCATCTGGAACTTCTCCTGGACACTTCCACGCTCACAACCTACTTGATGCTCTGAATGGCTTCCGTATATCTTCCCATTTGAAGCAGATTGTTTGGAGTGTCTGGGATCCAAAAGGAAGCAGCCAGAATTGTAGCTCCAAAAAAGGCAGGGAGAACAACCAGAATGGGCCAAGTGGTTTCACTTCCGAACATGAACGGAAGAGAGAAAATGGCGCCCAGGGAGGATCCGAAACAGACGGCGATGTGCAGAAAACAGCTCATTGATCCTTTTATGTTCTTCGGAATCACTTGTTGTAGGTACAACGGAGCGAATGCGCACGCGAGGCCAGTGTAGACGCCTGCAAAGGAAATTGTGGTTTCAAGACATCGAGGCGAGACTTGCCTGTCAAGATCCTTCCGAGAATAAAGGCAATTGGGAAAGAGATCCAATAGGATACAAACATGAGCAATGAACCTGCAAATACAAATGCGCTCTTCGCAGTGTCGGTGACGATTGAAACCTGCAATCAGAATGACGTTGTTTAGACGCATGAGCACGTGCTTGGCTCCATATTTCGACATTGGACCCACTAGAAAACAGCCAATCAGGGCGCCGACTCCCTGCGAAGAGACCGTCAGAGACCTGCAAACGGACAGGAGATTCAGAAGAACAGAAGACCACTCACCATACCAAACTCTCCTGATTTGGGGACAAGTGGATTCCGAATATATTCTCAAAGTTGTCAAAAATGAAGGCTTGAATCACTTTTTCAGGAACATTCAGCAGAACAATATGATATCCGACCGGAAGGATGGAGAAAAGGACGGTGAGCAGACAGATGAACACCACTTTCCCTTGATCCTCGATCACATTTCGGATCATGAAACTGTTGGGGCCAAAAATTGCATTCGGAACGATTGCTGCCGTCTGAACATTGTCTATTCCGAGTCAAAGATGAACGAGTTTACCTGCTTCATCGAAAAATCAGATGAAAATCGTCGGAGAAACTGGCGGCACGGCAATCGATACCGGCAGAATAATGTTTTTATCTTATCACCGCAGTGTTCCTTGTGACTTGTGCACTTGTAGTTTCGAGTTTCCCCCGGCTGCTCACTGATCTTCTTCTTCCGTGAAAGCTGCCAATTAGTGGGTCGGATGACCGAGAAGTCATCGGAATTGTGAAGAAGCTTTCCACTTGTAATGATTGTTTTCACTCTTTCTTCGTGGGCGTATGCGAGAAGAAAGTTGGGAATGGAATACTAATCGACCAGGGAGAACCAATATTTCAGATCCTCCTGTTGTCTCCGTGCGGTTCTACGATCGGAAGCCCGTTCCAGCTTTCGAACCATTTGATTTCTGCTGTTCCCGGAAGATATTCGGCTCGGTTGTTCATCACAAAACTTCCCTCAAACATCTTCTCCGAAAGGGTAAACAGGAAGAAAAGAGACTTAGTGATAAGCCTCTGATCTCTTTTTCTTTTCCAAACAAGAATGACGAGTTGATTTCGTTTTCCGAGAAAACTCTTTAGCCTACCGTAGGTTCATTTGGATCACCCGCAACCTTCGCGTGACATTTCATTCAAACTCACGCTCGTAATGATACCATTGTAATCCACTAGGCTCCTCTTCTCCCACTCATCAATTATGCCACTATTTGTGCGTCCGCTCGTTTTCCTCTGCCTTTTCTTCTTTCCAAATGCACACATGTCTTCGTCCGAGATTCTGCAGAGCGCCAACTTTCTTCCCTTCCGCCTTCGTCTCCGTTTTCGCATTTCCAGGCGGACTCTCCAAGAGAACCTCTGTACTATTCTAACGACCCCATCCGCTCTTCTGCACACAATTGTCGTTTTCCCCTCCGCAATGTTGTGAGACTCCTCGACATCCTAGCCCTCCCGATTTGATGATTTGTTCCATCCGAACATCCACCACCGATGAAGTCGACCGGCCTTTGCGAGTGCATGTTGCCGCAATTAGCATCCGAAAACGGGACGAAGCATGCGAGTATCCAATTAGTGGCGGATGTGTCGACTTGAATATGATCCTCCGCCCTTTCATCCCATTACCCATAGCCTTTTTCTGCGGATTTCGTCAGTTGTAAGTAGTATTTATAGTCGAGTAGAGGCTTATGGAAATTAGGTGGGTTGGCGAGTGACGCCATGTCTGTTTTGCACACCATCTATTTAGGTTCTGGTGAACAAGACCTCGACGGGCCCATTTTAGTGATCATTTCTTTCTGATCCCTGGTTTGTGCCGGAAAGAGCATGCAACAATTCCCTGGAAGACGTCAGACGGCTCTTCTAGAACAAGTGAACTTTCCCAGTTGAGAGAGCAGCCTTCTGAATGTCAGCCGAGTGCTGACTCACAATCATCGAAGGTATGATTATCTCCAAGGTGACTACGAATTCGACACTCTAACTTGTATGATTGTTATTGTGTCGCTCACCCTCTCCTCTCCCACTCACTATTTTGCGGCCTCAATTCTGACATCATCTGATGTTTCCCAGATTTCGTTTTCTTCTGGAAAGGTCGATCGCCGCCTTCTTCCGTGTCTCCGCCCCTTTCCGCTTCAATGAATTTCAAAGAAAATTGGGAATCTCATCCGAATTCAGAAATCGAGCCATTCTCCGCTTCCCCCTTTTCTGATCATCGCTTCCCCACTCTTCTGTTTGTTTTCCATTACGCATACCTGTCCTTCTCTCCACGTGGCCCTCAATTCCACGTGATCTCGTCCATATCTGGACGTGCAGTTCCCTCCGCATCACGTCTTCTTCCACTTCCACCGTTCTCTGTGCTCCTGAGCTCATTCACAATAGATGCTCTTCCTCCGGATGGCTCTTCCAACCAACCCGTGCCGGCCTCATAAACATTTCTCACAACTCACGTCGGCTCTCTCCTAATTACCCCCCTTTTACGCAGCTTTCATTTAAAACTTTCCCCAGAATCGTCGAATCTTCCACTTTTTATTGGAGGAAGCGCTCGTTCTCATCATTTTCCTGTTATCCGCCCCTGTTTACTGCTCTCAGAATCGAATCGTACATCTCGACACCTAAAATTATAAACTGAGTTCTCGGTGTTTTCCGGTGCTTCTTCCGCCTGAAACGGCCATCTGAATAGGAGAATGATTCCATCTCGTGAGTCTAAGTGGCCGAATCAGTGATCTAACATTACGTTTTTCGTGTTTGTTGTCCTTCAACGCTCCATACAAAGTTGTTTTTTGCGTGAAAATATTTCCCACCTGCTGCCAACCGAGCCAATCGAATTAGTTCTCCGCACATCAGCTCAGAATGCCCTTTTCCTGAGAGCGCCGTTTGATTTCTGACAAATCCGATGTATTGTAGGCAGGTACAAACTGTAAGGCTACGTTCTCCGACTGTGAGTCAGGTGTCTGGAATCCCTCACAGATCATATGCTCAGAGTTGCTCTCCTGATTGTGCCCTTCTTCCTCTCCCGCTCCCTCTCTCTCTCTCTCACTCTCTTTCCTCTCACCGCGAGTCTCCTTTCGATGCCCTTTTAGTTGCTCTCTGTTTCTTTTCCCCCACGAGATTCCGTTCGTCGGCACCGAAATCACATCGCCACCCTCCGCGGCTCCGCCCACTTCGCCGCCATTCCGAATACGTTGCTCACTCGTTCACTCGCTTCTCCCTCTCATTATTTCGTTGCATCTTATATTAATGTCTAATTTCTGATCCAACACCTCGCATTATCCGTGTTGTTTACACGGCTCTTGTCTCTGATCCTCTCTGGAAAATAATTGGAAAATTGCAACGAATGAGGCTTGGGTGATTCTCCGGAAAAGGAACGCATACGCTGTGCCCTCTCCGTCCCACTCTGACGTCGTTTTCTCAGGAGACGATATAGTCCGACGTCATGCCGCACGGTGTCTGCCACCCCCTCATAACTATAATTCTCCCCCAAGTGTCGCCGGGTAATCGGAGCCACATTCTAATGAATCACACCGTAATCGGAGCTCTTCTCTCCGCTCGCTCTTCTTCTTCTCATTCCTACAACTCAATGCCATCTCTATAATAATTTCAGTCATTTTGCGCTCAACAACGGGCCACTCGTACGACAGCACAATGTGCTTGTTTCGTCAGCTTTACAGGTGAGTTGCGGAGTCGTGCGATCCGTTTCCTCATCAGAATCCTCTTTTCAGCCCCACCACTGTTGTTGCACTTTTTGCTCTCCTTATCTTGGTTCCAACGCCATCAGACGCGAGCATTCGGCTCTGCGGATCACGCCTCACGACCACCCTTCTGGCCGTCTGCCGGAACCAGCTTTGCGATGGAATGAGAGCTTTCAAACGTGAGTCCGTGGGTGGAGGAGACATGAAACTTTAATGATGGAGTGCGTTTAAAACATGCGATTCGGACTAATCATGCCCTTTCTCTGTCTCTGGTTTTTGTGCGATAATTGATGATTTCTGGCAATGACGCGCGAGAAGGTTAGTCTAGGAAATTCGAGAAATTGTCATGTTGTGAGTGCCAACTCATCACGAGCACAATCCCAGTCTATGACGTCTTCTGATCCTTGAACTATTCCAGGCTCTTCCCCTTCCTACGACTCCACGTGGCTCCCTTCTACACGGGATCTTTTTCACATCCATCACCAGCAAAAACGCGGCGGGATAGCGACAGAGTGCTGCGAGAAGCGGTGTTCGTTCGCCTACCTCAAGTCATTCTGTTGCGTCGACGAGGACGACGCCATCTGATAAATACACTTGCTCGGAATCTACTCTTGTTCACTGAACGGGTCTCGTGCGCTGCATTCGTAGACTGCGCGGAGACCTCAGATCAGGTTCCATCGTCGGCAGCTCACCAGACCCCCATTGTCTTCCCCTCTTTCCTGTCACTCCCTTCCATTCTTCATCTGCGTTCAATGACAATACAAAGTGATAATAGTGAAATTGAATCCGTTTTTCCTCTTTTTCTGGTCTCTATTAGTTCGCCACGATGTCCCTTCCCATCTGTTTTAGCCTGATCTCGTTCCCAGTCGTCTGATGCATCAAATAAACGATTATTTGGAATTCATAGCAATTTGGTCTTTGAGACTCTCGCCACTTGTACTGACACTTGAACTTTCAGACTTCTTTTCGCCGCCCCCGTGTTTCAGCAGTCTCCCGAAACAGGCTCTCTTGAGCAAACAACTGAAAAGAGGTGATAAGGGTCTCATTTGATAACGCCACTTCTCTTCCCATCTCAACCGACGTACTACCTGCGTCAGAGAGAGAGAGAGAGAGAGAGAGAGAGAGAGAGAGTAGCCGCCGATCATGAACCTTGACTTTTCTTCGGGCAGACGCAAGACCATTAAGTTTCGTACGAGAAACTTTTCGATCGAAGACGAAAGGTATTGGGTGAGTGAGTGGGATGAAAGGCATCGTAGGCTCTGCCGATTCTAGATCCAGCCGTCGAGATGCACTTCCGTAGACATGTCATCGCGGGAAATCATCAACAAACTGAACGAAATGGAACAGGAAGTACACCTCACTTTCGTCTGGTCCTTTTTAAAGTGTAATTTTAGGAAAAGCTCTTCATCACTTATGACGTCATCGAACGGAATCCAAAGTTCGCCACTGTCGGCGGTTCGATATTCGAATTCATCAACAACTCGATGCGACCTATTCTCAAATGTCATTTATCGCAATTGAAAGACACAAACATGCTGCACTTAATCTCATCCGCCTTCTTCAAGAGGTACCTCATCCCCGGCTCCCGTTAATATGTAGGCAACAAAAGTGTAGCTCAGGAGCGACCTCCACGAAATCTGGGCCAAGTGCGAGTACCCTATGTATGCCGGATTGCTTGTGGTTTGTCATTGAATTTGATTTGCAAATGGAGAATGAGAAGTGGGAAGCCTTTCGTTCAGGTCTACGTCAGTAACAAGATGAGAAAGCTGTTTTTGGAGCAGCACGAGCCAGTCATCGCGGAGGCTTTTGAAAAAATTCAGGAGTGAGTCAACAAGCACGGTGATTTTTTCTGGAGGCACAGTGGAGAGAGGAAGAAAATTCGGCTCTAGTCCCGTGAACTGACGGCCGGCGGCGCGCTCCCCAAGCCTTTTTCCGCGCGCCAAAACTTCTGATGCGTGCTGTTCGAAGAATACTGACTTATTTTTCCTAATTTTTTGGAGATAGTGGCCGCGGGGCGAGGGACTAGAAACCTCCGCGAGACCCCAAACAGAAATCACCGTGACAAAAGCTTTCGACACCGGTCACAAGATTAATTTGTGATCATCTTCTCAGCACGTTCGACGACGAATGTACTGCGCTACTGGATCAGTGCTTTCACAGCAGTGAAAGGGACACTCGGTCGGTGCTGGACACGAATTATCATCTGTTCATTCATACTGATGGATGTCCGGCCGCCGACGAAGATATGGAGGTGATGGCGTTGGCAGCGGCGGCGAAGGCAAAGGTGCATTGGGAGAGAGGAGAAGCGCCAGAGATTGTTAATTGCAGAACTTCCTGTCGCATCCTGCTTGCCAGCGAGAAATTGACTTCCGATGGCAGCCGGGATTCAAATTAGGACAAGTGAGTGTTTAAGAATAGATGTTTGTAAAGTAGACGATAAGGGGATCTTCGGAGGGAATCCTAACAATCGGTTTCAGATGGCGTTCTGTCTGTTTTTCTTTTTCCCGCCTCTTTTTTTCCTTCGCGGACGACAAAGAATGAAGAAGAGGGAAATCAAAACGATGATGCTCAAGATGGATCGGTCTGGTCATATGACGTCAATCACTTACAGGTCCTTTGATCCTCACTAACTTTCTTAATTCTCCTCAATTTCCAGTAACTTTCTCATCCGCGTCTACAATTTCTACACATCCCCTAATGCGAAATACGTCATTCATACCGTATTCCGTTTGATTTACGTGTCATTCTATGCGTATGTACTGATGACGATGACCCGCAAAACAATGGTAATGAACGAATTGGACGAGTTCCTGGACGAGATGGCAATCATCGTTTGGCAGTGTGCCTATCTGACCGAAATGGCGGTGCTAGTCTATCAAAACGTATCTGGAAGATCCGGAAAACATGGGCAAACATCTAAAGTTTAGGGTTTCTACTGTTGGGCGCAAAGGAACACGGCCGATCTCTACAGGAACTTCCTGGTCGCCTCCACGTTGATTGCCTGGTCCCTGGCAGTCATCGCACCTCCGTCGTGGCCAATTCGTGCTTTTGCAATCATTTCAGCCGACTTATTCTTCTACTTCTCGTTCGTTTTCGCAACTCTCCGACTCATGAAAATCGCCAACGTTGATGCCTTTTTTGGCTCGATTGTACTGATGATCAAGAAGATGGTACGGTTTGAAACGGCGATTTGGATGGATGGAAAGGGTGTTCAGATTCCGATCATGGTCAAATTCATGTTTGTCTTCATGGTCTTCTGGTTCACTTACGCCGTCTGCCACATCAGTTTGGCCGGTCATCTCAAGAGCACTCCGAACATAACCGACGTCGTGTGGCCGTGGCTGATCTTCAGCAGCGGCGCATTTGAAATATTCGGAGAAGCTGACGAAGAAGATAAATTAGGTTGAAAACGCGGAAACATCAGTCAAATAATCATTTTCCAATTGATAGGAACCGTCAGTAAGTGCTCTTCGGCGCCTCTGAACTGGGACGTCATCACCGATTCTTCCGTACAGTGCTGGTTCAAGGTAGGCCCGCAATTTCTTGATATTCTTCAATTCAATTTCACGAAATCCTCCAGACGAGCATGATTCCCGTCTTCCTCTTCTGCTACATGTTGGTCTCCAGTGTTCTTCTCGTCAATCTGGTCACCGCTCTCTTATCGTTCGTTTGTTTATTGGGCGCCGGAAGCCCCGAAAAAGAAGTTGATAAACGTTTAAATTTCTAGGAAGAAATACGAGGACATTGACAAAGTTTCGCATATTTACTGGAAATATAAACTGTACAGTCGACTAATTGAGTGAGTCGGGGACTGAAGAACCAAAGAGAAAAGTAAAGTCCGTTAAGGTACGAAGAGAAATTGTGGATTCCCGCTCCGTTGTCACTTGTTTTCTACATTCTCAAGACGTTCTTCTACTTCCTTTCCAAAGTTCCAATTATTGGAATACTTCCTCGTTACTTTATGAAAGTTTTGAGTTACTTTGAAGGAAAGAATTACGCGAAGGAACGAAGAAAAAACAGAAAATACGAGGCTGTTGTGAACGGACTCATCACGGACGAAAACCGATGGAATGGGCCGACGGAAGACGATAAAAAAGCGGTGCAATTAGTGAAAGAACAGATGCTCGTTATGGTAAACTCAGAAAAAGAATGGAGAAAAGATAAGGAATACTGGATTTTCAGGAAGCGGATCAAAAAAGGAAACGGTACGAGACGGACCTGATCAGGCGCAGATTCGAGGAGATCATGGGCGAGATAGAGAACACGAACCGGTTCCGGAGAATACGATCTCAGACCTTTTCCACGTGACCGTTACGTGAAATAAACTATCATTTATTGTGACGTTTCAAATTCAGCGGGTTGATATAGAAATTTCAGTTTCAAATTTGACCTTTTATTGAGAAATGCTCTTTCGTTTCGGATTATTTCTTCTATTTCTCTATGGCTTCCAGAGTCAGAAAACAAGCAAAGCAAGTGCCGAAAATGGGTTTGCACCGACAAGCATGAGTATTTTTTAAGGTGCAGCTCACAGTGTTCCGCAAGGATTACACGGACCTTGACAGACTGGTGCTCATGATGAGAATCGGAAGGCCGCCTCCGAACCATTCGCACCGTGTTGTTGAATATCAACTAGATGTGAGGGCGGTTCGAGGATCCATTCCAGTGTCTTTTCTCTAGGATATTATCTGCGACAAGTCGAAAATATTTCAATTTTCAATCAGAGGCCAAATGTTCAAGTGTCCAGTTGTTGCCGATCCCGCAGAACGTCTTTTCAACATAACACATGGCTTCTCGTGTCCCACATTCTGTCAAGTGTGCACAAAAGCATTCATTTGCACCAGATCTTCTCTATCGGGTATTATGATCTTTGTTTTTTCAACATGTTCTTTTCATTTTCAGGCATTATTTACACTCCGGATGGCCGGAAAAAAGATGACATTTCCGTTCAATATGGATTTTTGGATCAGCCAGTCGAACGACCCATCAATTGGATCGTGTTCACCGTTTACGTTATCGTATTTGCAGTCCTCTTAAATGCGATGGCTTACATGTTTTCCGATCAATAAACTGTTTATTTATTGCATTCAAAGAAAACATTGCAAAGCTGAGAACTCAGTCACTGGAAACGGTCACTGGATGAGTCCCCGGATATTAAATAAACCTGTGTCAGCCCGAGCAGAGAACAAAGGAAACTTAGATTCTGAAATTGCCGGGACACACGTCGAGGCCTTTCGAGTAGAAGTTGGACCCGGTTTCCATTGACTCTTCGATCAGATTCTTCCAGCAGTTCATTCCGTCGACGCCGCCGAACTTCTTGAAGCTCTTGTCGACCCATTCGTCGTTCAAATAAGTACTACGATAGAAATCTCCGGGGTCGTTGGCGAGGGTGACAATAGTCAGCCGGTGCTTGATCGCCGACGCTTTAGCTCTGCAAATGAACTGTGGAAGAGGGGTTACCAGGCGGACTTACTTCTTCTGATAGGCTTTGTAGAGAGAAACCAGGAAATTGAGCGACGTCGATGGACCCACATTATAGCCTTTTGCGTCGAGAATTCGCATGGAAGCGACGGTTGCAATGTCCGGCATTTTCATGGCCTCGTGGATCACATTCCTAGTCAGACTGGTCGTTTCTCCGTACAAAACTGGCTCAATATCGTATCCGTATCCGATTCCAGCAATGCCCGGAGGAGTCCAAATGCCGGCTCCCGACTGGTTTGTGAACTTGTTTCCGATGACGTAATCATAAAAGAGCGAGAATTGAGAGTCCGAGAGCACTACTTTCGTGGGCGCTCCGTATCTGGCAATGTACCGCCCGACGGACGAGATGGTACCCCCGGTTCCCGCCGAATGGACAAAGTAGTCGGGAATCTTGACGACTTGATCTTTGTCCTTTTTCAGTTGCACAATGATCTCGTGATAAACATTAGTCGACTCAAAGTAGAAATCCCCGCTTTCGTGGAATTCCTCGGCTTTCTCGGCATTTCCGAACTGATTCATGTAGAATCCGTTTTGTTTCTTTGCAAATTCCTTGGCTTTCGCATTTCTCAGAGCAACGGGGACCTGAAAGGGAGTTAGTCACTTTGTTGCTCAAAGAGATTTTCCTTGAACCTTAATGATTTTCCCTCCGAAACTCTCAATCTGTTTCACTTTCTCCGCCTCCAGATTGTCTGCGACGACGGCAAAGTACGGAACGTCGACGAGTGTGCACATGTACGCTTCCGCCGAGCCCGTGTTTCCCGACGTCGAATCGTAGACGGCGGAAGTCTTCGAAGTGACTTTTCCTGGAAACGCGACTCTTGCACGACGTCAATGCTCACTGCTCACCTTCAGTGATGGCCCAGAGGAGAAGAGCCCACGCGAATCTATGCTTCAGCGTCCTTGTGGCAGTCGCCGTTTCGTTTTTGAAGAAGATGTCGGCATTCGGGAATCCTTTCGGACTGTACTTTGTTATCGGAGTGTGTCCCATCTTCCGCCGCTCGTTCCATAGTTTTCGGATGGCTTCCAGTCTCCATTTGGTTTCCTCTGAACAAAAAATAAGAATTGGGCGGATAAATGCAGAAGTTACCATCAGGAGCAGTGTCCTCGTTCGGTATTCTGTCCGGTTTGATCTTGGTGATGTCTTCCGCGAGAATGGCAATCACCAAGAAGAGGAATGGCAGAAGTAGTTTCATATTCTGGAAGTTATGACTGATAAGTGATAAGAAAATCATTTATAGATGAATCTGCCACGCCTCCATCTACAGTAGGACAAGCTCTCCGGGAAAAGAGACAGGCCACGCCTATCCGAGCGGAAGCGGCCAAAAGGGTACCGGATGGAGCACTTCCGGATCAAAATGTCAAGTTTGGAAAAATAAAAAAAAGGTGATGGGATATCGCGGATGTCAGACAAAGATCCGAATGAAGAAAGAAGTAGGAACGGTTGAGATAACGGAGGATTCTGAAGGTTGCGAAAACGATGTTATCAGGCAAACTGTGTAAATGAAAAAGGATAGGGGGAAAGTGTAGATGGGAATCTTGTGAAAATTGTGAAGGCTACAGGAACGGGCCGACGCCAAAACGTGAATTCAGCCAACAGAATCAGAAACTAACTACAATAATGACGGAGAACTTTAAACAAACGAGACAACAACTTCACAGCATTGACTCACTCTGCAGGAATTCTCCAGATTCCATCCGTCTCCCTCCACGTCTTTTGTTTCCTTATTCCCATTTTGGATCTGCTCAGTGATGTCTGAAAGTGTCTATATCAATACACGCGTGTCTCAAATAAGAACCGGAAATGCGCACGGATCAAACATTTACGATGCTCCGATTGATTTACTACCGCGCGTCCTCTTCATCGCATCATCGTGTTAGTGATATCACGAAGCAAACGGCTCTTCCTCCCGATTAGGAGTGCCCTAATCAACTTCAACACTTTGCAGGAGCGCGTAGGTCAAATGATATCACTCTAGGTACCACTTCCCTGTCTGCGAGCTTCAGATCGGATGCATTTTCACGTGATGTGTGCAGATTCTGGTACAAAGCTGATGAGAAAGTCGGTAGCTGATCTTGCCGCAGACACAATGCTATAGAGACCTACAACTTTCTACTTTCTCGAGCCTTATATCTTCCGACCAGATTGAGTTGAGCCACTCAGTGAAGAAACTCCATTCCTGATATTCATGCAAAAGTATAGTTAGAGCGGATCTGCCTTTTGTAAAGACCCACTTGTTTCCAATTGTTTCCTATTGTAGAAAATGAACTGAACATCAAAGTGAAACGTTGCCCTTTCCCGCATTAGCCGCCACGTTTTCCTAATTTGCCTAATTTAATCTCAAGTTTTTTGCTCATCGCCGGAATCGGAAATTAAATAAAGAGGCAAAGCGTTTCTAATACGGTAGATTGAGCGACTTGACATCACTTTGTTTCGCAAATACATTCATTTTCATAATCCGTTAAAAATTATGACGAGAGGGCGACAGAGAGGAGAATGGACGAAAATTGGGAAAAGACGGCAAGATTAATGTATTTGTGAATAGAGAAGAATCAGAACGGGTTTAAGCCAATCAAGAAGACAATTCGGAGAGTGAGACTGTGAGAGGTTGATCTTATCAGGTAATCGAAACTCATGCGTCTGCGGGAAGAGGAGTGGATCGGACGCAAACGGGAGGAAGCGTTGGGGATTCCTCACAGATCGTCTTTCCCCTTATATAGACACTCTTATCTCGTTGACCTGGCAACTGGATCGTGCCTAATGACACGTACATTTGCATATGTACCGTTTGCTTCATGGAGACCCATTCGGACAATGATGCCATTGGATCTGTGGTGTTCACGGAGGAATAGGGTGCACGTAGCCATTCTAGGTCTCCCTGTGATTGTTCGTTTCTTTCTCTGGAACTTTATTAACAAGACAAATAAAATTGTATTTATTGAAGGATTACAAACATCAGTATCTATTCTCAATTCCACTGCTTCATCAGCATATCCTGGTAGTTGTCCCATCCCTCAGGGCCCACTGATTTGAGCTGAAACGGAGAGCGAACTCTTTCTGTTGACTTCGTGTTGAGACCTACCGTAACCAGTGATTTGATCTTTGATGTTCGATCATTGAACGAGTTGCGAGCAGACATTATACAGAGCAATGGCATTGCGGCACAATAGAGAGGAGGAGTCTGTAATGAGATTAATCAGAACCCGAGTGGAAGCTGCTCAGTTGCTCACATAACATAACTCTGTAACTGCCTGCCAAATAGCACTTCGAGGGCCGGTTAAAAAGATGCGCAGGCTGTACATTGAGCATCCGTACGAGAGGAAAATGGCTAATTGAGCAGAGGAAAGCCACCAGAGAAGCCGCGCAGACACCATGTTCTCGTTCAATTGAAAGCGAGACGAAAGGATGAAATGGTCACGACTTCTGACGCTGGAACGTGGCATTGAATGAGAGTTTTTGTGAAGACAGTCGCTTACGCGTTGATTTTCCTCCGATTATGTCTGTACAGTCCGATTGAGTGCATCAGAGTGATGAAGTTCATGACGGTGACAACGATGAACAAGTAGTTGACTCTGGCCACGCTGTGGGGAGAAGTCGACATGGCACTCATTTGCGGATAGGTGAATTCGTCATCATAATACATATACACGCAAGTGAAAGCGGGCAGCAGGATCTGAAGGATTGACCTAGGTGAACTCAAATTCAGAAATCACAACTCACTGCGACCACTGTGAGAACCACTCCAATCATTTTTGTGGTTTTCTCATAACAAACAAAAAGGCAGGTAGCAAGAGTCCTCTCGATTACCATCAAAATTTGAGAGAACTCCATGCACAACATTGAAAATATGAGGGGAATATTGAAGGAAGCGAACAGGATCGGAGGAAGGACCACATCACAAGGATCGGTGGCGATGAGGGCGAGCACCAGGTGATGCGTCTGAAGACAATTCCGAAAGTGTCGGAGGGCAGAGAACTCTGCTCACCTGAGAGATCCCTAAGACAGCAGCTTGCAAAAAGCAGGAGAAGAATTGGTAGAAAAACAGAATCTGCAAATTGAGGGGTTGGAATATACGCGACGCTACAAACACCTTGATGTTGAAGTGAAAAACGAGACGATTATTGTAGTTGGTGAAGAAGAAAACGACGGAGAGCATCGAGAACACCGAAAGAACAATGTGATAGACTTTGACTATTCGGAACGAAGGATCAAAAGCACCTTGAAACATCTGAGAAGAAGGCGATAATCGGAAGGGAAGGGTGCTGCGGAACTTACAGTGTTGCAGTATTCATCGGTGAGTTCGACTGCGTAGTCATACATGTTTCCATGAAGAATGACTGATTCTGAAATGCAATTCAATTACGCTTTTCCCACTTGAGAAAGTGTGTGCGTGATGAGTGAAATGCTCAAAGTGCATTCTAAATTGAGCATCATCCGAAAGAGTCCGGGTCATGAAACTATAAGACTACACAAGTATGATTGGAAGTGACTCAGTGGGTCGTCAAGCCACGACTGCAAGTGCACCTGTCTCTTCCCTCCGACTCTCACTTTTTTAGTCGTGGCGGCGCTCGTGGGAACCGCTGTTTTCCAGTGCCTCGAGGGCAGAGCCAAATGACGGACGGCCGAACAAAGAGGATTGTGGAGAGGACGTTTGCCGTCACGACATCAGATTCCGACAGAATTAACATCTTATTATGCGCCTCTGAAGACGGACGCGCCGGACGCCGAATAGATTAGCCCCTTTTCGAGTATCGTTCTGACGTACACTGAACCACAATAACGAAGCTAGTTTCAGATAAAAAGACTGACGAGCAGGAAAAAAGTACCGGTGAAGTCTGAGGAAAAAGGGAAGAAATGAATGAAGAATGAAGAAGACATCACAAAGCAGTTATAATTGTGGGGGATGGGCGAGCAAACCACTCATTTGTTCCAGTGTAATTCATCAAAACGACAATAGGTTTTCACGTCTCATGGGACCATGTGTAGCCGGAAACTCTGGAGAAGTTGAGTGTGATTAGGTTATTGAATTTGTTCTCTCCTACTCATTTCTCTGACAAATCAAAGGCGCCCAGATTATAGAAAGTTGTAGCGGAAAACGGAATTGAATAGGAAAAATAACTACAAACGTTCTGGGTTGGCACCAAATCTGATTGCCACGAGATGGCCGGAAATCACCCTTATGAAACGAGCTTTTCATTAACACATATTACAAAAGGCCTTCTTCTTTCTCTTCTTTTTCTTGGCCAAAGCAAACAATAAAACAGGAAAAGAGAGCAGGATAAATTGGTTTTTGAGGCCAACGAATGACTTTTCCGGAGACGGGATTGTGGGAATCGACGGCCAATTATTTATGATTGTGCCCGGATCAGACTGGAAGGAAAGCGAAAAGTTGAAAAAGAAAAAACGGAAAAATGGAGCTCAGTCTTCGTCCTCTTCCTCTTCGAAATTCCCGCAGAACGCGTTGAAGTCGGTGGTGTCCATTTCTTCTGGAAAAGAGAAAAAGATTCAAGGGAGGCACGGCCGGCGCCATTTGCCGCTGATTTATGACGTGGCAACTCAAACTTTTCTTGCGCTTGCTTCTCTTTTTCTACGCCACTCGCGTGTTCTGCTCATGTCCGTCCGACTCATTCGTCGCCCAAAGTGTAGGGTAACTGGATCGAGACGCAAGAACTAATCTAATTGGGAGTGCAGGTCTTGGCACGGGCGAACTACAAAGAGCACTGACCATTTCGGAAGTGGATTGGCGGCGGAATGAGCCCTCGTTGCTCGTAGTGCCGCAGGTAGTTGCACAGATGCTTCAGCCGCCGTTCCTTGCTTCTTCTGTTCTGGAACCACACTTGGATCACCCGCATGCTGAGCCCGGTCTCCAGTGCCAACTTGGCCCTCGCGTGCTTCGATGGCTTCGGTGTATTTGCGAACATTTCATTGAGTACGTCCAACTGCAAAAGCATGTTTCTCTTCTTTTTTTCCGGATTAACCATTACTCCACCTGGTTCTGCTTAATTGTAGTCCTCGGTCCGCGCCGTTTTAACATCCGCGAATCGTCATCGCAGAAATCGGAAAAGCTGTAATGTTCGAAGTTGTATCCGTACGCATCCACTTCCTGAAAAACAAATTTGATTTGCAAACGCGTTGCTTCTGCTTCTGCAAATACCTTTTTGACTTGGAAAACCGGAAAAGAATCGTCGATCGGATAGGGAGCGAGTGCAGACTCGGAAGAGCACGAGAGCATTTCGGAACTGCCAGCTCCGCAGCCACTCTCTTCCATCGGAGGGTAATGGCTCATGCAGGAGACTGTCATCATGGAGTCGTCCACGAGAATCTGCTCTCCTGGAGACAGATGACGTCTGCAGAGAGCACAACAGTGACAGTCCACGTGGAACACCAAACCAGCCTGAGCAGAAGATCCTACTGAAAGCAGGAAGAGAACAGAAAGCTCACCCGAAGTTTGTAGACCATGTCAGTTGGAGAGACTCCTTTCTTGCAGCCGGCACATCGGTGAACACTGTGATCTCTGGAATTAAAGTCGATCCAAGACATTGAAGATTTTTGACGGATGCGTACTTGTAATAGTGCTGGCTGCAGTAGATTCTTCCGTTCTTCCAGAAGCATTTCTCCGCCAACTGCACTTCGCAAACGGAGCACTTTACACAATTCTCGTGGTATGAGCGGTTGTCCATCTGAGAAATATGGGCTATTTTTGAAGAAAATGAGTGGGCGACAGGGCAGCAAGTGCGTGAAACACGGAAGCGATGGGACAAAAGCAAATCGACGAGGTTTCTGACTCACTCGGAAAATGAACCGATCATAAATCTGCTCATTGCAGCAGTTACATTTGGTCTAGAAAACGCAGCATTTCCCGACGTTCCCTAATGGCAACTGACCTGACTGTCATGATCCACTCCGATCGAGTCAATTACCATGCTAATGGCGCTCAGGGGCTTTGATTCGAGCAGCTCCATCGTCGGTTCGGTTCGAAAATGCGACAAGTGCGGCAAAATGTGCTTTGCACAGTAACAAATCACCCTTCGAGAGCCAGATGCCAAGAAGGCGTGGCATGCCAATCCGAAGGGTGCCACTCTGATCGATTATTAATGCCCAAGTGCGCCAAAACTGGAGACACTGACGATAATAGTTGCATTTCGGATGAGGGGCGAGAGGCCCAAGTTGGCCGGGAACGGGCGGGCCGTCGGAGGATCGATCACCTGTCGGTCAGCTTGTTTTGGAGCCGATCCATTATGAACAATGCATTTTGAATGAGCTTGTTTTTGCGGCCACAAGTTTCGGAAATTAACAAAAACTTGGAGGGAAGTTTGAATGTTGCTCAAAACTGTGCTCCCTACGTCCATTTAGAGTCCAATTAAATCATTTTTGTAATCATTTCACGAGAGAATCAAAGAGCATGTTTGTTTGATCTGCTCCGAGTTGTTAAAAATGTAAACATTTAATTATGTTCAATTGATAAAAAGTGTGTTGCAATTCGATTGACGCATAGTTTACAGTTCGGAAAGAATCGTATTCTGAACTTCTTCGAAGCACGGTTGCTCCCTGACTCACTCGTGTTTCTGCACGTTTCGTTATCAATAAGAGTGATGTTATACAAACTACCGTAATCCGGCTGATAAGTCAAAAAATGACCTCATTCTCATTTTGGGAATCAGTCTGTGATCAGAAAACAAGTCAGAGTGCATCGACGTTTCTCATGAATGTGTCCGTCATAAAAGTTTTGTTTGAAAACGAGCGCATCGAATGTTAGTCTTATCACTGGTCCATGGTTTTGTTTTGTGACTTTTACTACCCAAAACGAAGAACAAAAAAGGGGAATAAAAAGACAAGATGATGGAGTGGAAACGAGACGAATCGAGAGGCAATTTGTTCCGGAGGCCTGCGCATCTCGTATTCAGATTGACGACCTTATCCCCGCAGTACCTATGTCATTGTGTGACAGTTGACATGCACCAGCAGCTCCCCCTGCATACATTATTGCACAACAGCTGCTGAACATTAGGCGAGTACACAATGTCACCCTCTTTCGAGACGCTGTGTTATCAGCCCGAGGCGGCACCACGCTAAAAAAAAGTGGCAATTTGCGGTGTACATTGATACGGACCTGTGTGAAAAGATATAAAAATAAGTGTCCGGGTGGAAATTCATTCACACTCTCACAATCATGCGACAGTTCCTTCTCCTTCTCACCTTCTCGCTTCCCTTCCTTATTTGGAATTGTGATGGTTCCGTGGAAAGCAAGAAAGTACTCGTGTTCCTCCCGATCACTGGACATTCTCATTTGAAATTCATGGGCACCGTGGCCAACATCCTGCAGGACGAAGGATACAATGTGGTTTGGATGACGTCAGCGAGCACACTTTCAGACTCATTTCCAGACTCTTCTTCTTCCTCTAATAGATTACACTCTGAGAGACACAATCCCGATCGTCCGAAAAATCAAGCACAAAATATTTGTCGATATTGACCCGAGGTAAGTATCTGAAAATGGCCCCCGTCATTTGAAACATAGGGTTCTTCAAACGATTAACAATTTGGGTGGGAAAGAAAGTCGTCAGCAGACGTGGTCAATGAGATCCGGAATCAACGGATTCGAACCCATAAGCCACCTCCTATCCGATTTGTACTCGTATACTTGCGATAGTGAGCAAAGAACAGCATCACTAACATACAAACCTACAACTGTTCAGATCTATTTCACAGCCCGCAACTTCTCGAGAGACTCAAAGATGAGCAGTTCGAAATCGGCCTCTCCGAACCATTCTTTGTCTGTGGATTCGCCATTTTCGACCACATCGGAATGGAGAAAATGATGTCGATCGACTCGCATATCGGAGTGGAAGGAGCGAAAATGGCCCACGGAGACGCAATGACGTCCAGTTTTCTGCCGGCCGCTTTCTCGGAAGGATCCGATCAGATGACGTTTATGGAGAGAGTCGGAAATTTGTACGAGACTTGGTTGAACAGAAAGTTTGCGTTGTTGATTTACGATAAAGAGATGCGAGGGATGAAGGGGATTTACGAGAAACGGAAGACATGGCAGGAGATAATGCAGCTGAATGCGTACATGTTCACGAACAACAACCCTCTGCTCGACTTCCCGTATCCCCGGACGTCCAAGTTCATCGAAGTTGGAGGAATCGCAGCGGACGAGAAGAAGAGCGACGAGGTTTTGCCGAAGGCAAGACTGTTTAGATGACGTGTTCTCTAAAACTTATTCCAGGTTTACGACGATATGCTGAATCTTCGCAGTCGTAACGTACTGATTTCATTTGGCTCCAATGCGAAATCAATCTTTCTGCCACAAGAAATGAAGTCACAACTACCCCATAATTTCATCAGAGTACCGTATTTGTTGCAGGAATTCTCTTATCAGTGCTCTCGGGCAAATGGCGGATACGACCTTCATTTGGAAGTACGAGGATACGAGTGTGGACATTGTGCGGCAGTTCAACTCGTCCATCAAGAACGTCGTGATCGTCGAATGGATGCCGCAACAGGCTCTTCTCGCAGACTCCAGGCTTGACTTGTTCGTGACGCACGGCGGATTGGCGAGCACAAACGAGGTGGCATTCAGTGGCAAACCGGCTGTTATGATCCCAGTGTTCGGAGATCAAACGAGGAATGCGAGGATGTTGGAGAGGCACGGGACGGCGGTCCTTCTTCGGAAGGAAGAGCTCATGTCCTCTGATTCCATCAGGATGACAGTCGAAACTGTTTTAAGTGACGGAAACTACGCTCGACGAGCGAAAGACCTTGCGAAACTTCTCAATAATCAGCCGGAATCGCCGCGAGAGGTCTTCGTCAAGTATTTCAACTTTGTAGCCAGGTTCCTATTTCAGACGGAATTCACGTGAAACACTTTCATTTCCAGATTCGGCAAGCCCCGCGGAATCGACTCGAAGGCTGCTAGTCTGAGCCCGATCGCCTACTATTACCTCGATCTCGTGCTTCTTTCTCTCGTGCTCGCCGCCCTTCTGATCTCTCTGATTACCGGAACTTGTCTCTCTTTTGTCGTGACCCGAAAACAGAAACATGACTGAAATAAAAGTGTTTTCGCCTTCACGTGACAATTTGAAAGTATGTTAGCAATGTTCGGGCACGGACACGGGCACTCCCCCGCAAAGACACTTCTGGAGAGAGCACGGGCAGAAACCATACAGAGAGGAAGACAATGAACTTGCACACAACAAGTTACGTCACAGTTTCCATTACCAATTCAGACGCAAGACACACTGACTTGTGAGGAGTACACAAAGTTCGCTCATTGAGCCCTAACTCTCTTGTAGTGTCCATTTTGTATGTGTCAGGCCACAATGAACTTGAATTCGTGGCTATTTCCACTGATAACCATTCTAATTTCTTCCTCGTGCTCTACCGTACCGGAATCGTGCACTCAAACCACCTCTCCGTTGCTCCGCCCAAAACGGAATAGCCCTCCCTCCGTTCCGTATCCGAAACCTCACCGTCTTATCAGTGACGTTACCTTTGAATCATCAACAAACCGGCGGCGCCCTATAAATTCACTATGTCCACTGATAACCGCCATCGCACTGCACAATGCGCACTATTCTTTTGCACCTGCTAATCGCCATTACATGTCTGAAGACGGCAGCTACTGGTCTGGAGAGGCCCAAGAAGGTGCTGGTCTTTCTGCCTATCAGCGGACATTCCCATCTCAAGTTCATGGGAACTATTTCTAGTATTCTGCAGGACGAAGGATACAATGTGGTAAGCTCTTCTGTTTTTCTACTAAAGTGTATGTTTTCGATTCAGACCCTCCTCATGCCCCTTCTTGATTTTGGACTCCGGGACACAACCCCACTCGTTAGAAAGATCAAAAACAGAATTGTGGTGGATCCGAGTGAGGAACTCACTGAAGCCGTGCAAGACTTCCAAAATGGAGGAGGTCGTGAGAGCACGTGGACGATGAACTCGGGAATTCTCGGCTTCCTGAGAGTGGGAACAAAGGTTGCCAACATTGCTAAGACATCTTGCAAAAGTAAGCGATTGACTTTTCGCTCACTAGTCAGATATGTAACTAAAACATTTTCAGACGTTTTCCAGAACAAACAACTCGTTGATTATCTGAGAGATCAGCATTTTGACGTGGCAGTCGCTGAGCCCCTGTTCTCCTGCGGCTTCGCTCTTTTCGACCATCTCGGGATCGAAACTACAGTATCCACCGACTCGCATCTCGGTCTCGAAGTTTCAAAGATTGCTCACGGAGCATCCATCACAACAAGTTACTTGCCAGCCGTCTTCTCCAGTGGATCCGAGAGAATGGGGCTTCTCGGAAGAGTCAAGAACTATGTCGAATCTTACTTCAACTACCATTTCAATAGTAAAATCTACGAGAACGAGCTGGAGGCAATCAAAGAGTTGTATCCAAACGGAAAAGATTGGAGGGAACTTCTGAGAAAGAATGCCTACATGTTTGTGAACAGCAATCCGCAGATGGACATTCCGAGCCCCCGCACTTCCAAGTTCGTCGACATCGGAGGAATCTCTTCGGGACCTCTGAAACAAGAGCGTCTTCCCTCGGAATACGATCAAATGCTTTCCCTCCGCAAGAACAATGTGCTGATCTCGTTCGGAACGAATGCCAAGTCAATCTACATGTCCGACGAGATGAAGTGAGTTTAATTCGTCCAAAAATGAGCACCCTATTAGTAATTAACCACAGTCTGATAACAAGACAATGGCATGCCGCCTATAACTCTGCAAACATACCATAAAATGATGTCAATTTAAGACTAGAGTTATTTCAGGGAGGCACTTGTTCAAACTTTCGAAAGTATGCCCGACACCACTTTCATCTGGAAGTACGAAAACACAACCGTCGACATTGTGAAGAAGTACAACAGACGGATCAACAACGTGATGCTCACTGAGTGGATGCCTCAGACGGCTCTTCTGGCCGACCCCCGATTGAGTCTTTTCGTTACTCACGGAGGACTGGGCAGCACCAACGAAGTGGCGTTCAGTGGAAAACCATCAGTCATGGTGCCAGTGTTTGGGGACCAGACAAGAAATGCAAGGATGTTAGAGAGACATGGAGTGGCTCTTCTCTTGACGAAACACGAATTGAGCGACATGAAAAAGGTCAGAGTCACAATACGGAAGATGCTCCGGGACAAGAGCTACTCGATGAAGGCGGAAAGACTTGCTCAGATGCTCAGGAACCAGCCGGAATCGCCGAGAGACATCTTCACCAAGTACTTCAACTTTGTCGCCAGATTCGGCAAACCGCATGGTCTGGATTCTGCAGCTGCCGAGATGAGTTTCATCGAATTCTACTACCTCGACTTCTTCTTCCTTCTCTCACTCCTCTCCGTCTCCTTCTATGTTCTCAGCTCAAAACTTTGGAAAGCTTCTCCAAGCGTGTCCAGTCTTCTATCGATCAAGTTCAAGTTCGACTGAATCGCTGTCCTTCCGATCATATCTTTCTCACTATTTGCTTTAATCATACGGGTACTTTTCATTGACATAATAAACCGTTTTTCTGTGTTTCGACCAGAACATTGAACCCATCGCATCGCTACGTAGAAACGGATTAACGGACCGATTTCAGAGGAATCGGGGCAGGCCCTCCGTTAGATTATTCGTCGTTTCCATCCCAAACTAGCCCAGTCTGGCGGGCGAAATAACGGAAAGAGACTATTCGGATGAGGGGAATCTCGAGATTGCTCTTCCATTTCATTGTTTTCCTCCAAATCATGTGCTGTGTTTATTTTGCTACAAATTTAGTAAGTACTTTTTTCTCAACTGGAAATACTCCATACTCTGCACTCTCTCATCTCCAGATTCGTCGAAAACCAATGTCGACCTCCGTAGCAATTCAGTTCGATCGAACGTCGGGGAAAGTGGAGGGGGAGTTCATTCGGTTTGAAGCACAAAAGTACGGTCCCGATTTCTGCGTAGCCTACAACGTGACAATGGCGAACGGCAGCTTCCGTGACGATGGATTGGAGCCAGTTTCGCTCGTCATTCATGCCACGTCACACTTTTTGCGAGAAATTGAGGGACAGGTTCGTTCATTGACTCAAAATGGATGATCGCCGAGAAAAGTAGGGGGGCAGGTGAGAGAAAGAAAAGGGCAGCGAACTTTGAAAATTGTAAGAGTTCCCGGTTGGGTTAGTGAAAGTAACTCATTTCAGTGCTCTTCCAGAAACTGGAACGGCCCCATTTCAGTGGCTCTCTTCGTTGATCGCTTCTCCACTGAAGCAGTCGAGTATCTCCATGAAGTGCACAGATGTTCTTCGAAAGTCAATCAGAAGGTTCATCAATCAACAAAATACTCAGGTTTCGTTTGTTTCAGTTGAGTCTCCATGTTGTCTATCGGATGTCTTCGTTTCAAAGAGTTTGTGATCCCATTTTGATAAAACTGTCGAATCGGAGATGCTCAACATTCAATGCAACTATCAGTAAGATCTCATCATTACCCCCGACTTTTAATTCTCTCAGGATCTCGAGAACGCAGTCGTGTCATTCCCCCGTTCCAAATTTATCCGATTAATGTGATGAGGAACGTGGCAAGGAAAGGAGCTCTCTCCTCTATTCACATGACTGCCGACGTGGAAATGGTGTTCAGCGAGGGGTTCGCAGTCAAAATGAAAGCGCTGGCCAATAAGTACATTAACGGAAAAGATAAGAATCTTTTGGTGATACGGTAGGAACGGAAGGAGTAATCGGCTCAATTCAGAATGATTGCAGGAGGTTCGAAGTTGACAACAAAGCGCACGTTCCAATAGATCACAATGAGCTATTTCTGATGATAAAGGCATTCCGGTATGAGTAGGAAAAACAAACATTCTCTTCATTCCACAACCACAGAGCGTTCGAATTCCATCATAAGTACTTTCCTGCCGGACACACAATCGAATCACTCTGGCAATGGTTCCGGATGAGCAAAAATGCGACAGACGCGTACGCATGGCCGATCGAGTACAAGTTAGTCAGCATTCGGTCCCTTTCCCACATGTAAAAGTGAAAGTGAACTTCAGAAGTAGTTCGTGGGAAGCTCAGCTGATTCTTCATAAGAAGGATCCGTACAATCCCGAGTACTTCCCCACCAGAATCAGAGATCAACAGAGTCTTGTGTACGAACTCTGTCGGGCCAACTACACTTTCCATCTGGCATCGCATGTTTTCAACGTGCACAGAGGGGTCAAAACAAGCGAAACCAACTTGTCTTCGGCAGTTTTGACTCATCAGAAACGACTGAGAACCAGGTGAATCGGCGGGTGACTGAGCGTCGGAAAACGACATAATTTCAGAGCATACAAAAGGTTCATGCACTATATCAACAGTACGTATCCGGACACCTTGGACCAATGCGGAAAGTTCGTCATGTGAAATTGATCTCTGCTTTGTTCGTCTTTTTCAGTGCGGGTTTACAGCCGCATTCACTTTTTGTGTCTGTTCTCATAGGTTCTCGAATTTTGTCTGTAAAACTAGAAAACCTGATAGTTGTTTTAACATGAATTGATTTATTGTGCCTCAAATCAATTGTTGCCAAAGTGCAATATACAATCAGATGTTTCAGTGGGGGGAAGCGCAAACCGGGGGACGATAAATAGATAAATTGGGGAGTGAGATGCGATGTGGACGGGGGTTTGTGTGGGCGGACGACTCGTGAATTCAACGGCGACGCGTGATCTCGTTGACAATTTCGGCGATCTTCTCCTGCTCGTTCTGTAATCTCCACACTGTTTTCCGTTTTCCAAATTGTCTCTCAAACCTCGGCCGGCTCCTCAGCGGCTGGAGAAAGAGCAAAGTTGACGACGAGAGCGCTGTCTCGGACCTTGTTCTCGATGGTCACGTTCTTGGCGGCAATGTCGTATCCTTCGGCGGCGACGATGATTTCGTACTTTCCGGCGGGCAGAACACGGAAGTAGTCTCCTTCGGACCAAGTGGTGACCGGGTGCTTGATTGGGACAGACTCGGTTCCATTGCGGATCCAGATGACAGCGCGTTTGATCGGCTCACCAGTGATGGCGTCGACGACTGATCCTTTGACTCCACTGTGCGCCTTCCAGACGTACTCGAAGATTGACTTCTTGTTGTCCTCCCAGAATTGCGGCAAAAGAGATCCCTCGGGCATCTGCAAATGTCACTTTCTAATCCCCGCCTATCCATGAAATGTCACCTTTTCACAGCTGAGCTCCAAAGTAATCTCCATGGCATTTGTGGCCAAGTAGTTGAAGTCCTGCATTCCTCCGGCGACCGAGTACCACTTGGCTCCGTTGGTGATTCCTCCCTGACGGGCGAACGCGTCCTGGCTGCTTCCGTCGCACGGAGCATGGTCGTTCTTCGACATGTGGGCGTGGTTGTCGGCGTAAGACTTGGCGAGCCAACGGAAAGTTCCGTCATCCGGGGAAGCCGAGTAATCAGCCTTCTGGGAAGTCTCATCGACGGCGGCGTCGAACGGATAGTTGGCGACCAGGTCTCCCTCATGGAAGTTGGCAGAGAGAACGAACGGAAGGGAAAGAGTCCACTGGCCGACGGCGATGGTCTCTGGCTGGCGGTCGACGTTGTCCTCGAACAGAGAAAGCAGGTGATCGTACTTCGGAACTCCAATCTTCTGGAGTTCGTAGAAGATGCTGTCGAGGTCCGGGAAGTCTCTGTTCAGATCGACTCCGTTCACATTCGAACGGCCAGTCAACCATTGTCTCTTGGCCGGCTCGGTAGTCAGAGCGAGTTCGAATCCGTCAGGGTTCATCGAAGGGAGGATGTGAATGGAAGTGGAGTTGAGAAGTTGGATGACTTCCTGGAAAAAACGTATATTTACCAAGATGAATGTACTCCATTTTCTGTACCTTATCATTGTTGATGGCTCCATCACAGAGATTCTCAGCGAAACGGAGAAGAAGTTCTCTTCCTATCGGCTCGTTTCCGTGCATATTTCCGATGAGTTTCACTTCCGGCTTCGTTGGAATGTGCTCTCCTGGAGTGGTAGAGAAGTGGATTACAAGGAGAGAACGGCCCTCGACCGATTGACCGATTTCATAGAGAGTCGAGATCTGAAAACACACGATTATTTTGCTCCAGAGCACAAACATTTATATTGTGCCGATCTTTTCGGAAAGCATGACATTATTCAGCGCGCGCCAAGGACTAGAGTGCCACGTCATCCGCTCGTTACACATCCATGAGCACTCCAACTTGAGAGAGCAGAGAAACAGAATCGAGCAGAAGGAAAGAGATGTTCGTCATTCGGGGAAGCGACCAAAGTACACGAAGGAGGGGAGAGCAGAAGTGTCATCTCTAGCACAAAATGAGAAAGGGGGAATTCTTTGGGTTGAGAATTAGTAATTGGAATTAAAGATGAGTCATCCGAGCGACTCTCTCTCTCTCCCATCTGCGCCCCTCTCCCCAATTCTCTCTTTCTCCCTATTAACATGTTTTTTATCGAAATTTCTGCACTCTCAATAACGAATGATGACAGGTGCTTTGGCAACGAACAGAAATAGAAAGGCTCCGAGACGGAGTGAGGGCAACACGGAACTGACAAAAAAGAGAGAAAAACATCGCGTCACGCAACCTTACCTCGGGGCATTTCTCGTTGATTTCGGTCAGCTTGGCCTCCAATTGTTGCTGGTTGTGATAGTGAGCCCATTTGGCGTCGTCTTTGCGTGCCGATCCGCCGAATCCGAGGAACGCGTGGGTGGTCGCGATGACGGCCGAAAGGACCGCCACCAGAAGCACCGACCGCGTCGCGTGCAGCATGTTAGAATGAGAGCGGCTCGGAGGGAAGAAGCCGTGGGCTCTCTCTCTCTCCGACTCTGCTCGACACGTGAGCACGCCTCCGATCGATATGGAGCTGGCCGTGGATGGGAGAAAAAAGGGAGGAAAAGTGTGCGCGGGCGACGAGAAACGGCTTTCAGATGACGTCGATTCAAGTGAAGAGGGCTCGTTTTCTGCGTCTCTCGCGTCTGGAAAATAGAGTAAATGAAAATGGAAAGCAGAAAAGAAGGGGCGATGAAGAAGAAGAAGCGGAAGGAGGGGACGGGCGGGCGGAGCAGAGCTTATGCTAATTTTCTTGGCGCCTGAAAACAATCGGCGGGGACCGAATGACGTGGCATGCATTCAGAAAGAGCAATCGATCGTTGGTTCTTTCCGGCCGCGAAATGCCTGGTTTCGGATTCATTTCGTGTCGAATCATTCATTATTCATTCCTATTTTGCCTGAAGCGAAAGAAGTTCGGCATAAGGAATGAAAATGAGTGTGGTCGAGATGGATTTCAGCAGAAATTAGAAGTTTGAATCTTGAGTGAAGGACCTGGGAAAGAACGCATCTTGCGTCACAAGGATCACAATTCCAAAATGACGTTTCTGTTATGTTTTCTTGATTGACAGTTTTCCGTTAATTCATTTATCTGTCTCGCATGAAACAATAGAGATGGGAAAGTCAGAGAGAAAGAGAAATAGAGCATACATGTGTGTGAGTGTGAGAATCGATTCAGGAATTGCATAAAAGAGCGTGCTCGTCGAGTTTGTAGCCTGGAATATTTTATCAATTCGTACTGATAACGAATGTTGCGGGTCACCTTTGTTTTGGGCGCAAGGGTAGTGCACAAATGTATTTTTTTTGTTCTGCACGGGAATCGAGGCACCGTTCTTTCGGCAGACCGCACACGTCTGAGACCAGAAGATGTCCAGTTGAGGCTCTAGATTTGTGAGCTGACTTCCGTGAAGGTGCACATTCGGAGCCCACAATGCACATGAGCCATGGAACCACACCTCTATTTTAACGGGTTTCTTCGCACTCTGCAACTCCTTTCGATTGTCTTCCTGATGATATCACTGATCAACCTACTGGTTTCTTAGTCAGGAAAGTGGGCCAGTGCTTGACGGGATTGTGGGTTGCGTAGTACGGTCCGAACAATTCCCTTTTCATTCCATCAATGTGACACAGCGCACAGGAGTAAGCGGACTCGACGGCATCTGATTGCTCCTCCCACTAACGAAATAAATATTTTGAATGAAAAGTGAAAGGAGATGAGTCATCCTGTACCTGGAACAATTTGTTCATGTGATAATCGAGTGTCCGGCTGACGGTCTGTTCGTGATTCCCCGAATTCTTTATCGTCGCTCTACCATTTCTGACCTGGATAATCATAAATCAACTAAGTTATTGAAAAACTTTCTATCCAACCTCAAACATGGGAGTTTCGTCTTTTTTCCGTCCACTTTTCGGCTGGAACTTTTGATTTATCATATTTGCGAATATTTTGTTTTCGGTATCTGAAAGATGGATAAAATTTTAATTATTTTAAGATTCACTCACATTCATCATCTTCCACCTTCTTCTTCTGAGCCTTCCTCCTTTTCCTCGGCGGTGGTTTAGCCTTCACTTCAGGCGATGCTTCATTCTTTACGATTTCCATTGATTATCTGAAAAATGCTTAACTAAAGAGACGATTATAATTTTACTAGATTATAATTTTACTTCCCATTTTTCTATTGCGTTGTACTTAGCGCCATTTTGGCAAACCGTTTTTTGTTCATGGCCTAGAATACGACAGGTGGAAGACTCGGTCGCGCCGTGTGTACTTCACGTGGGCAAAAAGTCAGTCGTTTCAAATCCAATTTCCGCTGAGTCAGCAAAAGGTTTTCGTTATTTTTGAATAGAAACCATGTTTGTTCCTTTTTCTGTTGAAAAGATTTATTCATTCGATCATAATAACCGAAAAATTTGCAGACAAATGCGTTCATAATGGCTACAACGGGTCTACGTTACGCGATCGGTAAGATTTCCAACAATTCTTGAACTTTCTATCATTATTTCCAGCCCAATATAATTTTGACGATCCCCTAGCAACAAGCGAGAGCTTACAGCAGTTGGAACTGTTTATCGGCGATCGCATATGCGTTTACGGACAGCATGGAGACTGGGGCTACGGAAGAAAATTTGATGAAAAAAACGGAAAATGCGGGATTTTTCCACTTTCATTTGTTCAATTTGTGCAAAAATCGATGTTCGTTTCGACGAGTGATGGATATCTCGTTGTCGACGAAATCTCGCGAATTGTGAACGAGTGGTGGACCAAAATGAAAGACTTGATGCTGACGAGCACGAAAATCGCATCGTTCGAAGACTTGATGGAGTCTTTCAATGAACTGCTTGTCATCAAACGGAAAATAGAAAGCGGTGATTAAAAAACAGTCCTTTGAATATGAACATGTTGAGGTTTCAGGCGGGATTCCAATCGAAGAGCTCAGTAAACTCCGAATGAGGGTCTCCAAACTCGTGGATAGAGGGAACACGTTACTTGGACTGGATGTGGTCATCCGCGATGACGAAGGCGTTCCTCTCGACGTCGAATCTCTTTCTCTTCTCCGAACTTACGAAGCACACATTTCATCGCAACGCAGAATCGGAAATCAGCTGGTAAGGGCTTGAAATTACAGTAACTGAATACATTTTCATTCTACAGAGAGAAAAACAAGAAAGCGTGGCGATGAACGGCAGCTTTTCTCTCCTTCTGTCAATTAAATCGGTCGAACTGCACAGTAAACATTCGTGTGAAATCAGCATTGCTCTCTACGATTTGGAGAAAAAAATGTTCACGACGTAAGAGGCCGATTGCTGCAGTCAGAAGAATCTAATTATCATTCAGGGACTGCTACACGTTTTTGTGGAATAGTGGCAGTGGGAAGCACGCTGATCTGAACCTCAAGGCGTTATTCACGGATTTTGCAAAGGAGGACATCAGAAGAAAATATCTGATGGTAACTCGAGTTGTCAACGTGGCCCCCATTGAGTCGTCGAATGCGACGATGCGAAAGCACGGGCACGAGCAGAATGTTCCACTAAATTTTTATTGCCGACAATGTAAGCGTTGGAAATTATTGGAAAAAAAATAAACTGATTACTTTACAGCCTACGCATCGGATATCATGGAAATGTCCGGAATCTTCCAAGCAGGCGTCACGCACGAAGCGAAAGAACGGGTTATCTTCCTGAATCGTGATCCAGAGCTGCCACTTTCTCTGAAGGCATATCATGCAACGAATAGAATCCCGAAAAATCTGGGAAATGATATGGAAACGAAGCTGTTGATAAGCACCCAACTTGTGCAGGGAAACGTAGCGCAGATCAAAGCGAGACACCCGCATTTGTTCAGCAGAAGCCCGGCGGCGATTCTGAGAAGGGCGGACAGGACTGCGGTGTCGATTGAAGACTCGCGCAACGAGATGTACATCACACTGATGCACGCGGAGCTGACTGGAAAGTCTTCGGACCGCAACATCGAAGCACGTCTTCATGTGGTCGAGTCGAACGGAATCGTCATGACGAATGTGTTCGAAACTGTCTCCGTGACTGGCCCTCAGCTGAGCACAGTCTACAAAAGCATCGTTGTCTACCACACTGACAAACCGTTGTGGACGGAGCCCATCAAAATCGTCCTTCCGGCTAGTGCTTCCCACGACGTCTACTTGCGCATTCTATTCTATTCGAAAAAATCGTACGACAAACCGAAGCCGGAAAAAGGCCCGTTTGCCATTGCTCACGTGCAACTCATCCGCAGTGCCGGGCTCATTTGTGACGGAGAACACGACCTCGCTGTGTACAAAATAGACAATCCAGGATCTCGGTTCGAGGATGAGAACACCGCGTACATGGGTTTGCCAGCAACACGCAGAACTTTGAAAGAGTCGATAGGAAGTTCGAAACCACATGCTCCGGGATTTAGTTTGAGCGACAAAAGTCTCGTGCTCATTTCCACGCATTCCTGCTCTTCAATGCTCACTCAGAATGAACACCTTCTGAATGTTCTTAGATGGAGAATGAACTGTGTTAACCTGACTCCTTCTCTGATTGCTTTGGCTCAGCCGATTGGCGACACTGAGAACGAGATGATTCGCTTTATTCCACACTTATTGGATGCTCTGTTCGAAATATGGCACGACCGGGAAACTTCCGAGAAGATAGTATTCGATGTGATTGTCGCCGTACTCAGATTGTGCGGTAGGAATCTCATCTAGGAAAATTTATCATATTCCAACTGATTTCAGAAGAACAACGACATCCACAAGCAGCCAAAATCTTTGAATCCTACCTCAAACGATTCTCTTTCACTTCAGCAGCACTGTTCGCATATCCCTGCCACCTTTTCGTAAAATCTCTTTTACAGAAAGATTCTGAAATGTCTCAACCAATACGTCGTCTCGGATTCAGACGATTCGAACGAAAAGGCAAGAAACGCATTCAAAGTGATGGGTCCGTTGTTCAAAGTGGTCGTCGTTTCGAAAAAATGTGGGATAAAGTAGGCCTCCAGATTAGACTGATTCGCCTTACGATTTCCTTCAGATTCGAAGAATTCGAAGAGTTTGAGAAGACTTATAAGCAGTATTTGCGAGAATTCATGAGGTCACTCGTCATGCTCATGTCAGAAAAGAAGATCAAAATGACTGTGCAGAACACTGCTCTCAAAAGTATTCCGACCATCATCGATCTACTTTATGAGAGCGATTCCTGTTCCTCTGAGAATTTGTGGTGTGTTACTCACGAAGAAATCATTCCTAACCGATTATCTTTCAGTGGATTCATTGTTGATCTGATGAACAACTTCGGCAGTAACATTGTGACTCGTGAGCGTCTCGGATTCATCGCCCAAGTCGTCGAGACCAAGTTCTTCTCGGTGTGCACACTCCCTATTTCTCCCTCCCAATCTCTGATTTGCAGCTGCCAGTTTGCCGTGACCAACTTCTTTCCCCTTGTCTCCGAATTGCTCTCGACATCATTCAGCTCGACAACGCTGCGACCGAAAAGGGAGAATTCGCGGACAGAGCGGCCGAATGCGCCAGCATCATCGCCGCCATTCTCGAGCGCCTTTTCGCCGACGCAGTACGCCTCCACTTTATTTGCATTATCCTTCTGTTGACCGTTTTCAGAAAAGCAACGGCGGAGAGAGTGGGGAACGAGAGCTAACTGCATTCATACTGATGGTCTATCGACCTTTAGTTCAAGCGATGATCCGAGTGATTCACGACGACAAGCACACTGACGACGACGCCCGCGGACATTTCTTTTCGGTCATTCTGGCTCTTTTGGACAAAATGTCGGCACAGATGTTCAGTGAATATGTAGAAGAGCGACCTTTCGACACTGACAAACGAGACTTTCTGATGGAAATGGTGCAAATGATCAGGGACCTGTTGAATAGAAACGCATTTCCGTCGACATGGAAAGATATGGTCATGCTGCAGAACAAGTGAGTCAATACTTCCGATCCATTCCACTTTTCTCTCCTTTTCACAATGCAAACATCGCTCTTTTCTCTCCTTCGCTGCCCGTCCGCTTTATCTGCCTCACTAAATTGAAAATGAAAACAAATTGAATTCCAGAGTGATCCACAAGGCGCTCCGGTTCGTCATGTCGGCCGTGCAAACGTTCTTCTCGAACGACAAGTTCTGCTCAGAGGTAAAAGAGTGAAAATTGCAAAGTAACACAACACTTATGCAGATGTGGCGAGAATACATGGTTACTGTGGTCTCATTTGTGACACAAGAAGGATTGAATTCGAAGCACGAATGGATGAAGCAAGAGGATGAGGACATGAGAATTCAGCTGAGGAAGGCGGCTGCCAAAGATCTCCGCAGTATGTGGTTCCGATTGAGTCGTAAGTAAATCCATCTATTTGAAAAATCTATTGTTTCACTCTAGCGTCTCAAAAACTGCTGTACATTCCGAGCATGGTCGGTTCGTTCCTCAAGGTGTCGCTCGTGGATGACGACGAAACGAGAGAAGCCACGATTCCTATATTCTTCGACATGATGCAGACAGAGTACAACACGAGTGCCAGTAGGTCATTCAAAGAGGTAATTCCGTTCATTTCCATCTCTCTATGCCATCCGGTCTCTTGCAGTTCGCTTCGGAGCTTGTTTCCCAATTGGACACCCTTGTCGATCAGAACAGCGCCACGAAAGGATTCAAAGATCATTTCCGTCAATTGTCGATCACTCTTTGTCAGTCGGATAAAGAATTGATGGCTAATGGCGGAGAGGAACTGATAGAACGGATCGATCACCTACTGACGGCGCTCATTGAGTATCACGAAGTGGCCTCGAAGAGCACAGTCGAGTGTGCAGACAGTCTTATGAGCAGAACTGTGCAGTTGATGGTAGGCTCTGTTTCCCAATAGTCTTCGAATTGCCGAACGTTTGCAGAGATACTACGATCAGTACAACCACGAAGAATTGTACGTCAAATATATCTACAAACTTTATGATCTGCACACCTCTTATGGAAACGAGATAGAAGCCGCGAAAACACTACTTCGGCATGCCACAATGCTCACGGTAAGTACACAGACATATTGTGCGATTGCAAAGTATCTCCTTCATAGTTCGACGACGACGCTCTTCCGTCCTGGCTGATTTCCCGACTGCTCAACAGACATTGTTCGACACAGCGGCAGCTGAAAGAGGACCTGATGCAAGAAGCCGGAAATCTGTTCACGAAAGGAGAAGATTGGGAAGACGCTCTGCTTGTATTCAATCAGCTGATTCCTGTCTATCAAACTATTATCATCGATTATCATAAACTCTCAGAACTGCTGGTCAGTTCAGAAGCTCTCACTTCAAACTTCCAAAAACGAATATTCAGCAAAAAATAGCCAAGTTGTACACATTAATCGACCGAACGGAACGTGCCTTCTTCTATTATTACCTCGTCGCTTTCTATGGACAAGGATTCCCTTCTTATCTCAACGGACACAAGTAACGCTGTTTCCCCTATATTCTCATCATAACTCCAATTACAGATTTGTTTTCCACAGTGACAAATTAGAAATGCACGGCGACTTCATGCAACGAATCATGAAGATGTACGACAATCCGGAGAAGATCATGACGACAGAGGCGTGTCCGCATCTAGTTGAGTCTCCCGGTCGATACATCCAAGTGTTCAACATCGAACCGATCAGCACTGGATGCAACTTTGAAGAAAATCCAACAGTAAACCCGGCAATCAAAAAGTATTATAGACACTACAACGTAAGTAAATTCATCTGCATTTATTCTACAAGCCCACGTTCCAGATTCAAACATTCGAATATTCGAAGATTGAAGATCGAAAAGAAACAAAGTGGACGAGTATCGACCCTTCCTCAGAATTCATGAGAAACTGGCTTGTTCGGAGACGAATCGGCACGGCCGACAGTCTGCCGACGGATCTCCGATTCACGGAAGTCGTCAGTGTTTCCGATCCGATCTACGTGAGCCCACTGCAAAATGCGGTCGAGCAGATGAAAAAAAAGAACAGAGAACTGAACGAGCTCGCCACAAATGTCGTTTACAATCCGAACTTTGACTTGAAGCTATTGAGTCGTGACATTATCGGCGTTGTAAATGCAGCTGTTATGGGCGGAGTCAAGAACTACGAGGTGTTTTTCACGGAAGCTTGTCGCAACATTTGCGAATGTGGAGAGCAGTCGATCATCATGGAACTGAGCTCGTTGATTATCGAGCAAGTAGAAATCCTCGAGTACTGTTGCTATGTGCATGCGAGCAGATGTGGGGAAGGAGAAGGACGGGCAATCAACGACATGCTCGCCAACTCATTCGACAGTCATCGGAAGTACGTGGAAGAGAATTTCGGAAAGACGAGATCCCGTCTTCCTCCGAACGCATCGATCCGTCTTTCAACTGTAAATGAAACTGATGGTTCGATCGGAGATATCAGCGGGATGACCACTCTGAAATCTACAAAAGCTCTTGCTCTCGGCAGTGCTGTTGCCAACTTGCTCTCTTCGAATAAAAGAACAAGTGGATCGAATACTCCCGTCGCCATATCGTGAGCTTTATAGATATCAATTTCCCTCAGACTTTCCCTTGTTTCCAGAAACCGTCCGGCTCCATCGTTTGACAATCTTTCTTCCGTGCTCCGTTCCTCGTTTGCCGTCTCGAAACTCACTTCCCATCCCAAACCCTCTCCACTTTCTCCGTCTGCTCGTTTTGGCTCCACAAGCGTTAGCAGCTTCGAAGGAATACGCATGCGTACTCATCATCCCCACCAGACATCTACAGTATCCCTTCATCATAACTCCGTCGCCCCGCCCCTTCCGCCGCGACCCGATCAAGACCCGAATCGGACGCTGAAACGAAAAACCTAATATCTACTTGTAATACTAATAATTGTATTGCACGGAAAATAACTCGAATTCGGTTATAATTTTGCATTTCAACTCATAATTCTTCATCCCGCTGGTTTTATATGTGCACCAACTAGTCACTTAATGCTTCACTTTTGAAATTCTTGTGAATATGGAAATTGTATTTTCAGGGTTTCATTTTCCACATAAAGTCATCTCCAAAAATGTTTCAGTTTAGAATATAAGAAAAAAAAGGTCAATTCAATATATATATATTTGTGGGGGGATGGAAGAAGAAGGAGGGAAGAAGGAGCTGAAGGAAACAAGAAAAACGAATTAAATAATAATCTTACGATGAAAGTATATATTTATGTATATCCTCGAGAGAAAGTGTGTGTCGGGGCTGGGAATACGAGTCAGAAGGGACAAAAAATGAAAACGGAAAAGAGCGGGAAGGCTTCACAATGTGACGGGGACGGATAAGAATAGCGGTGATTTGGAAATGAAATGGCAAAAAAGAACGTATGTGAATTGGGTGGGAAAAGGGGAAAAAATGGTCGGCGACGAAAGAACATGACTTGTGAGTAAAGGATCTAGAAGATTGTGTGCACAAAAGACAGAAAGGAGGGAAGAGGAGGGAGGGCGACTAGGAAACACGCAACGAGACTGAGAACGGATCCAATCACAAATCGATAATTTATAGAGGAACGAGTGGGTGGAAGACTGACTTTGTGGTGTGCTGATTCAGACGGAAACGAGAGGGAAAAGGGGAATATTCACGAGGGAAAAGACCGGGTGAATAGGGGAAAGAGAGAGGAAATTAAATGGGGGAGAAGTGTATACAATTCTACAAAACTATGGATTCCACAAAACGAGAGCAATTGATAGCTATGTGTGAATGGATAAAGAAAGAAGAAGATGAAGGAGAAGAAGAAGAAGATGGCAAAGGAATTAGAGAGAAAGAGAGAGAGAGAGAGAGACAAATTTGCATCTAGCTGAATGACGAACGACGAACAAGCAGAAGCGATTCGATCGCGAACGCACTGACGGCTCTTAAATCCGCGCGACAGGGTGATATGAGAACGGAAGAGCGCCGAATGGGCGGTGCAATCGGACGGACTATGAAGAGTGGCTGGACGGTCCGTTCTGCGGCGGTGGCGGCTGCGGAGTCGTCTGTCGCGACGGCACCGGCGACTGGCTCGGCGACTGAGCCGGCGGAGTCGCCATCGTCGGCGGCATCCGTTCATTGATCTTATCGAGACGTCGCGCCTCTTCGAACGACTGGATCTGGTGGCCCGGTTCCACGCCGGACAAGGCTGCAACTATACATTTTCAGTCGAGAGGCAATGTTCAGGTTGATGGAAATCCATGTAGAGCGACTATGCCTAAGGCTTGACTATTTCCATACATAAATGGGTGGCGTACTTTCAAACTACTTTTCGCCACAAGTTAAAATAATTATTCCGAAACCCCTTCAGAAACTTTTGCAGCTCTATACAATGGAAAATAACTAATTTTTAAAGTATACTTAAAATGGGTTAATGTTGAGGTGAGATATTACTAAATGCATCAGACCTTTCTCCATCTTACAAGCTTCGAGCCCTGTCCGTCCTTCCGAAAGAGCGCCTTGAGGCAGTTTTCCGCCCGGATTCAGGCCTTTCAACTGCAGCACCGACTCGCTTTCATGTCTGTCAAAACGTGGATTTCTCGTACTTATTCCGAAAATGCACTGGATGTCAGTGAGTGAGTATGCATATCTATTAGGGTAATCCACACTTTGACGGACAGACGGATCGGACTCAAAAGAGGGACCTTTTCTGCGACTGACGGACAAACAAACCTTCTCTGACTCCACGCACTCCGCCCTGCAAAGTGCCCATCGGAAGTGCTCCAGTCGGGGTGAGTCCCTTCAGTGCGAGCACACTCTCGCTCTCCTCGCTGAAAACAGAGCCACATGTAAACATGAATATGTTATTGTTCTCGGCACAATTAGTACAAAGAAGGGAGCGCATGCTTCCGTTCGAAATTGGGACTCACCGAAGAACTGAGAAGGCTCTGGCCATCTTTCCGATCGCACGGATCTTGTGTCGGATGACCTCCTTCCTGGCGGACGGCACTCCTCCTGAAATTATTTTTAGGATCGGTAAAGTGTTCTCGGAAAGAAGAGACCATTCACTGGCAACCACCAATCAATAGATCCCAAAAGAGTGTCAAAAAAGCCATTTGCAAGTCAATGTTCGAGTACTAAAAGGTGAAAAAATCTAATAGTGTCGGGGCGCGATCTAGAAAGTATCAACCTCCACCAAAAGGATTTCCGTCTGCGGTTCGGGGAGAAACCAAGTGAAAGATCTCTGCAGCTAGATATCACAAAATTTCTTTCCATTTTCGGACTGATTAACACAGGAAAAGCATCATTTCCAATCAAACGAACGGGAAGGGAAAATCGACATGTATTGCATGCAAACACAAGCGGAAACAGCTGGAAAAAAACAGGAAAAAAGCAGTTAGATATGATCATTTTGCAGCCAAGACCGAACCAAAACCAAAAAAATAAAACAGTCGTTTAGATTGAAGCAAAACTTAAGTAAAAGCGCCAAGAAAAGCGTCCGTCACCATCAGTGAAACCCCCGAAATCTAAGTGGGTCGAGACTGGATTGGAAATGAAAAACCGAACTAAGTTCATCAATAAACATACGTCACCAGTGGTGGGTTTCATGTCTTTCATCCACTTACCATCGGCTCCTTAAAAAGATGTTCATTAGAGAATGAGAAAGAGAGAGAGAGAGAGAGAGAGAGAGAGAATGAAATGAGTGAGAGAGAGACACTTTCAGAAATTTTTCATGTCAAAAGGCCCTAAAGTAAGGCGCGTGCGGTTAAGAAAACGGACGGCTCAACACTTGGAAAAAGGACAAGAAATGAATTTGTCTTTCGATTGAGGGAAGGACTAAAGTCTGCAGCAACACTGGGGAACGAAGACAATCGGGGTGTTTCGGCTCTCTGTCTCAAGGTCATACATGCGTTTTTCGTTTTTTTTTCTCTCGAACTTTCTGATGACAATGAAGCCGTTGAGAACCAAAATTAAAACGGCATCTCACACACGCACACGCCTACGTCGTTTCAGTCCGTCAGCACACTTTCATGCCACCCGCTGCGCACCCACTTTGCCTCATTTCCTTCCTCTTCGTCTTCTTCTTCTCCTTTCTCGTCGGTATTTATGCCCAAAAGTTACACAACAATCAGAGTATATATTGAAAAGAGAGAAAGAGAGAGAAAGAGAAAGAGAAAGAGAGAGAGAGAGAGAGAGAGAGAGAGAGAGAGAGAGAGAGAGAGGCGCAAGTGAAAGAGAGTAGGAGAAAGAGAGAGAGAACGGTAACGGACACACAACACCGACTCGCAGAATCGTCATTTCTCTCTTCGTCTCCGGGTTCGCAGCAGGAAACAAGGGTTCTTCAGTCAATATATATATATCAAATAGATCGAGCAAAAAACACATGTATTCTCTTGAATTCCTATGGAGCCGGGCACAAGACAAAATCATTGAAAGTACACAAAGAAGACAGTAGAAGATAGATTTGGTGAGGGGGCAGATCGCGCTTTTCCGGATCCGCCCACGTCTAACGCAGCACAGAGCCCCGAACCAAGTGGATCCCGAACACACTTACCTTCGAAAGTGTCGTCGCACTCGGCCATCAGCTCGTCGTCCGAGCAGATATTCAAAATGTGCACGAGCATTTCGGTCACTGAAAGTGGAGAGTTCGAAGAGTCATTCCCGATCGCGTCCACGGATTCTTACCCTTCTCTCCCACGAATGGCAGAGACCACGTGAAGACGTCCATGAAGTTGGGCAGCCAGTACGGATGCGGGCTGCAGTTGAACTGTCTGATGTTCATCACGTTATTCTCGTACTTCAGGATAGCAGCTGAAAATGGAAACGCTCGTTTCAATCCCCTCAATCCCTTTCCGCCTCCGCACCTTTGTTGTTGTATACATCCAAATAATTCGGAGCGCTAAAGATGGTGATAAGCGACGGGAAGCCCGTGGCTTGAGATTTGCGGTACATGCGGTATCTGGAAAATAAGACGGGCAGATTAGGAAGATATGAATGAGGGGGCTCCTACCCGGCATCCTGCGCTTCGTGAGCTCGAATGATCGAAAGCAGGTTGTTGTGTTGCAGAAAGTCGCAGCACGCAGCATAGCTATAGAAGTAAGAGCATCCTCTAACCGAATTGTGACTAAATTGCTCCGAATTCCTTTCGTTTCCAAAGTCCTCCAGTGGATCCGACCACAGAAGGTCGCACATCGGACCGAATGCCGGTGGCTCCTTGAATCTGTCGAGCTGAAAAAGTCTCATGTTCAGATAATTTTCTTGTGAATATTTAATCTCACCCTCTTGATGTCCTCCAAAGTGTGGATTTCGGGGGAAAGTCCTCCGTGGACACACAAGAACTGCTGGTTCATGAGAGCAGCGAGCGGCAGGGCGTCAAATGACTCCATGCAGACGTCGTAGACTCTCTCGGAGTACTTGATCTTGCACTCCTGCTTGAATGTGAAATACTCGGTCAAATGCCGACATTCGTGGTTTCCTCGCAACAGAAAAAGTGTGCTCGGATAGCAGATCTTGAGCGCCCACAAGTAGAGAACGCATTCAATGGAGAAGTACCCTCTGTCGACATAGTCACCCAGGAAGAGATACTTGGTGGTGGCAGGAGATCCACCAACTTCGAACAATTTCATGAGATCGTAGAATTGACCGTGGATGTCTCCGCAGACTGTAACCGGCGCCTCAATGTCGAGCATCGTCTTCTCGTTGCGGAAGAGGCCCGTGCATTCCTGGATGACTCGGATCGCCGCTTCCTCTTCTATCCTCCCCTCCTGAAATTCAGTACAGTACCATATAAAGGATATGTTTCGAAAATTTGTCATGAGTCAAAATGTTTTTTTTTATATCAATAAGACGTCAAACATTTCGTAATCTTTATGAATTCTGAAAAGACATACCTTGATGAAATGATCGCGAAGCACTTCATGTCTCGGTTTTCCTGTCCGCCGATCATAAACCTGATCGACTGAGAGTCGTTCCGAAACGGGAAATTGCACGGCTGAAATCAATTCGTTCGGATCCCTTCGCAACCCTTTCCAATGGCCCTCTCTTCATTCTCGTTTTCCTTTTCTCGCTCTCACATGCTCATCTCATCGCCCGCCGAATTACTATGGGAACCCTCTCAAGCGTTTCGGGATTAATTTTCGATTTCAAGCTACAGCAGTCACTCACTCCTCGTTATTCCATGCACATACACTCACGCGCGCTCCCTTTTTCACCCTCACTCGCACGACGCCAACGACGACGCCGAGGACGACGACGACGCCGGGACGAGCGAGAGGGAGAAGAAGGCAGTGTGCTCATGAGCCTGTGAGCCGGCGGCGCGCGTGAGTCAGTCAGTGAGTGAGCGAAACGAGCACGGCGTGGAGCGACGACGCGGCGTGAGAGAGCGGAAAAGAGCGAGGCCGACGGGCTGCGGCGACGGCAGGCAGCACAAAAAATGCTCTTTGTGAAGCGTATAATTTCTGGCTGCTGCTGCTGTTGTATGCGAGGAGCAACACCCTAATTTGTGGGGGAAGAACGAAATTGCGTGTATGCAGGAGGGAACAGATGGGCGACGAAGAACCATTACTCACTTTTGACGAATCGTTCCGTGAACTGCTTCAGATCTCTTTCACGTTCCCGGTTGTTGTTCGAGCCAGAGTCGGAGGCTGCAAAAAATAAGGTTGTGGGGCGGCAAATCCTTTCATGCATTCCAGATGAGCTCCTGTACACCTTCTTCCCCTCCAACGCGCGCCGGCTGGACGAGTGCTCAATCGTTTCTCGACGAGCACATCAGACGCACAACAACACTACAAATTCGATTTGTGTGTGTCGCCGTCCCTTCGTCGCCGGCGCTCGGCTAGTCATTCTTTTCGAACCCATCACAGTACGTACACTCACATTTGGCATTCGAGTTCTGTCCTGCCGAAGTCGAGGCCATTGTGTGTGACTAGATGCCAACAGATACCTTTTCTACCGCTTTAGATGACAGAGTAGCGACTTCACCTGCAATCGAAACGATTATAACACCTGGAAAGGAAAGAAACGAGAAAAGAAAGAAACTGAAAGAGGTGCCTTATGACTTTATGATCAAAGCCTCGAGAGCTCAAGTATGGAAAAGGCGGAAAGAGGCGAAAAACACACCGTTTTTAGAACGATACTAGTGGCCTGTGTTGGTTGTGAACCCGTAGGAAAGCGGGATGAATGCGGGACGGCAAGGGGAGAACGATGCGGCGAGATACGCGGAACGAAGGAAAAGGTCGAAGCAGCAGTGGGACGACTTGGTTTGGCTCACGCTGCCCTCCTCCGACGGCTACTGTTCCACGTCTTCACGCCGACACGACGATCTCACAAGCCTGCCTTTAATTATCTTATTGGGAGGGGGTGCAGCCAAGGTAGACGAAGAGATGGGAACACGGAAATACAAATGATTAAAAAAAAAACAAAGGAAACATCATATTTTATGGAGAGACAAGACATCGACCGAAACGGCCAGAGAAAAACCAGTTTGTGCATGAATGTAAAGCGACAACAATGGGCGGGGTCGTTGGAGGAACGTCGACTGGAATCCACGTCGTGTAGGGGAGAAGCTCAGACGGTGGATAGACAGAATATTATTGATTTGATCGGTGAAACAGGCGCATGACTGGAGAAAATATCAAAAGTAATGGGCGGTGTGTTATCGATAAAAAGTTATTCGGGGTGTGCATCGATAACACAACGGGCAAGGGTACTGAGACAAGAAGAAACTGGGCAAACACGTGTAGAAGTGGCGAGACGGAGGAAGAGAAGCAGCCTGTTATCATCAGAGGGACCCGTCCGCTCCAAATCTCTCATGCATACAAATTTGTTTGGTACCATGTAAAACGTCAATTCGGGGACGCCATCGCCCTCTCCGGATAGCCCGGGTCAGTCGGTGGGGTGGGGGAGGAGGGCGAGAGAGGGAAAGAAACAGAGATCCGCGGTCAGCAAAAAATTGAGGCGAAATGGGTCAGCGTCTCTCGAAAACCTCACAATATTTCGTGTTCGCCGAGCTCTAGGCCTAGTGCGCGCTGTGCTTGCTCGCTCACTAGCTCGTCGCTCGGCGGCTCGTCGGTGCACACACGCACGCACGAAGGCGGCGGAGGTGCTCCGGTCCGAGAGACGGAGATAGGCTTTGCTGGAAGAGAATGACGTGGCTTCTGTGGAGTCCTTCTTCTTCTCCTTCTTCTTTTTTCTCTTTTCCTTTTTCTTCTCGGGGGAGCAAATGAGAACAAGAGTCGGACTTTGGAGGTGGGATCAGTGTAGACAGCTTAGCCCGAGTCGCCGTTGCTTTCTGCTCGATCGACGACACCAAAAAGAAGCTGCCGCTGCTATCGGTGTCTGCCGCGGCTGTTGGATGGGACCCGGAGAGAGAGAGATAGGGAATGTCCGAAATAGCGTGCTCCAAGAGAGGGGGCAGCGGCCACTCCGCGAATCGCCGGCTTTCTCTTTCTCTCTTTCCTTCTCTACGGCTTTCCGCCCCGGAGACACTGAGAGACAGCAGTGGTATGGCTGGCCGGGGCTCGCCTCCCCTACCAACCGATACCGAGGGAAAGAAAGGAGAAGCGAGAGAGACAAGAGGAGAGAGAGAGGGAGCACGAAACGAGCAGAGCAGCTCGCAATCGATTTGGGGCAGGCAAGAATAAGAAGAAGAAGAAGGAAGGAGGGAGGAAGAAGAAGAAGAAGGCGACGGAGAAAAAGACGGCAGCCTCCTCACGCAACGCGGAGGACAACACAGACGTACACTGGCCAATGAATATATACACTGCATCCTGATAAAAATATCAAAGATTTCCCTCTCGGCCAAGGAAGAGATTGGATGTGATATGAGCGGTGGCTTTGTAGCAGATGCAATAAAAAACTAAATGAGGAAGTGTGCCAGAACTTAACCCCAGGGGCGTTTATCACTATTTACATTTTCATTCGAAATTCATGAATTCCATTTCATTGTTGTTAACATGTCACGTGGAGACGCAATCAGTGAAAGTCAGCGAACAAACAAACATGTCTTCAGCAAGCAACTTTGGCGAAGACACGGGGAAGAAGAAACGAGAGAAGAAGATACATGTTGTGTGCATCTAATAGGAATAGGTCAAGAGAAGCGGAGGTAAATCACTAAGTGCAGTCTGATGAGCCGAAGAGCGGGTCCGTCCATTGACGGGATCTTCTCTCGGTGTCACTCGGAGGGCTTGAGCCCATTCAAAGACTCATCTCTCTTTCCGTCGTCTCCCTAGATGGCTATACCCTTTAGAAAATAATTAAATGTGAAAAGAGGGTTGGGAGAGAGTGTGGATTTCTGAGAGAAGCTCGACAAGCCGTCGAACAAAAAAGTCGTTTGCTTGTGTGTGAGAGTGTGTGTATGTGTGTGTGTGTGTGTGTGTGCGTTGCCCCCTTTCATTTCGTTTCGGATCCAAGGATGGCGAGGAGAAGGAGGGGGGTTTCCGATGATAAGAAGAATAAGGAGTAGAAAGTGGCAGAGATCGAGATGAGAGTAGGAAGCCGTGAACCGGGGGTCGCCGCCGCGCGAGAGCCCTCTCGGCTGCCACGAATCAGGGGCTTTCAGGTGGCAACCGCGACGCCGACACGCATCGCGAATGATAATGTGATAAATGGCGGACACACGGACTAATCCGATTATGCGTAGTTGGGGGTGCGAGTGGTAGCACAGGAGACATCGCTCGAATCGGGGGAGGCCGCCGAGCAATCAAAACAAACAATTGGATTATGTCTTTTGGTGATCAATGTTATTGTTTCCCTTCTTCTTCCTCTCAATTTTAACTCGTTTTTTTTTGGAGAAAGTTGGAAAAGTAACGACATAAGAGAAAGGGACAGAGCGAACATTTCAACGACGAAACGGCAGAATGAATCGCGCGCGCACTGTCTCCCCAATAACTAATGCTAAATTGAGCGCCGCGTTGAAACAGAGTGTCGTTGAAAACAAAAGCATTTCTGAAATTTCTGGAATTTTTCCGAAAAAATACATCCGAAAATGATGAAAATGAAGTGAAACAGAGAATTTGAGAATAGTTAATGACAGCTGTGATCTTAAATTAGCGTTTTGCCCACGAGAAAACGCACATTTTTGCACTTTTCTGTGAATGTCAGTCCTAAACCTCAAAAACGTGAATTTCTCACTCATTTTTGCTTTTTATGGGACGTCTTTGTGCTCAAAATGATCGCCTCTGTCCGCTGAACAATCATAAGGCAACTGTTTTATGATTATGACAACCGTTTTCTCAAAATTTCCGAAAGTTCTTTTTTTCAAGCCAAATTTTGAAATCGAAATAACTTTTCGAATTTTCACTTTTACACGATAACTCTGTGATCATTTTGTAGCTAACGGTCATATGAACAAACGAGAGGCAAACGTTTTGAAGAAAAACTGTGCATAATCTCAAATAATCGGGAAAACAGCGTTTTCAATTGAAAACCCCTATCCCGTAAATCGACACTGAGAGCCATACGCAAAAAAGCGTGCGAAAATGCTTTTTTCGCCGAAGGGGAGACATTAATCGGTCGGAAATATGATAAACAGTACGCGATCGAAGAAGACGCACCCGCCGGGAATGCCGTCGACGCAGACGGCGAGAGAAGAGAGCGCGGTAAAGATCGAGCGGGTGTAATAAAGATGCAAATGTGTTGTAAGTGTGCCGAGTAAGAAGACACGTTGCGGAGAGAAACGGGTGTGCAGCAACTACTGTAGGCAGTGTCACGTCATTGTTGAAAAGGATTTGAATGGGCGGAATGAGTCAGTCAGACGAAACACATGAAACAATAGAATAATGAAAAAAAGAAGACGTGCCGGTTCGGAACTCTGCGCGCGAATATTACAGAAGTGAATTTCCAGGAAGAGAGGAAAAATGGAAAACGGAAATATATGGAGCAGGGAAATGAAGCCAGCAGAGGCGAGAGTGCTCCACAAGCCGACAGCGCCCCGGAGAATACTAAATTAACTTTGGACACCTCATGCTCCACATCATGCGCATAGTCCTCGTCGAAATTGGAGAAAAAGGAGGAGAAGAAGCAGCCGCAGCGAGAGAAGGACTCTGAAGATTGTGTGCTGAGCTCGCACATAAGGACCCGCTTTGAAAAATCCAGACAGACACCTGTAGGGCGAGGATTTTGAACATTCAAATGGAGAAAAAGGTTTTCGAATGTGTACAACTTGAAGGTTGTTTGTACTTGACGAGAGGATTTGCTGACGTTGCGCTGGCAGAATGAATAACGTCGGATTAGGGGCTTTCATCGTATCGCAGCAAATGCGCCGGACTAGAAGGACTTTCTCAGACGGTTCTGCCGCCGGTGCGACAATCTATCACTGGTGGGGCTAATTGAAAATGCAAGAAGAAGGAGAGAGAGAGAGAGAGAGAGAGAGTACATGTGCTGAAACCTAATCGTGCCACCAATACCTTGAGCACGTTTACGAGCTCTTCGCCCCATTGCGGGCTTTCTGCTTCAACCGCTTTCATGACCAAAAGCCTCTTAGAAGAGCGAGAAAGAGCTGGCAAGGGAATGGAAAGCTCGGATTTGAGAGCCGGAGCCATGTCCAGGTGATAAGCCGTGTGCATGGGATGGCGTGGTTATTTATATGCATACTCACATACATTTTATGTGAAAGAGTGTAGCTACGTGGTGCAATAGGGAAAACTCTCTCTCTCTCTCTCTCTTTCTCTCTTTCTCTCTTTCTCTCTCTTTCTCTCTCTCTCTCTTCACCTTCAATAGCTTGGCCTCACATTTATAATTCGTGAAACGGGAGGGACGGAAGCACGACGAAACATCAACGAGAGACGAGAAGCACGGCTACTTTTCATAATGATACGAAAGAGCACAGATTGCAATATGGATAATTGCAAATGAAGGATGTTGTAATACTGCCCTAGAAGTTATTCCAGATATTCCAAAGTGAAAAAAGATCATTCATTTCTGCGGCCGTCTCTTTCAAATAATTTTCCACAAGCGACAACTTTTGTGAAACTTGGAAAAGTGCACGGATTGTTCCAAAAATAACGTGAGAGCACAAAAGGTAATCAGGAAGGTGCGGTTCTCTCCTCCTCCGTCACTGATAAAGGGTAACCGGTTGTGACCACGAGTGGCTAACCTTCGTGTCAATGCAAATTCGTCCGTCTATGACGTCAACACAATAAATTCTGTCGTCTATCGCTCCCATTTCCCGCCCTCTGCTCAGTTTCTTTCGTCTCTCAGAGCAATCAAGAGCCAGAAAATTGGCGACGAAAAGGCGGACGAAAGGAAAGAAAAACGAGGAGAAAGCGAAAAAGTTTTGTTGGGGAGTAGAAGAAGAAGAAGAAGACGACGACGACGACGACGAAGACCGACGGACGGACGGCACAAAATGAGATGCCGGCGCCCCGAGTTCATGAATTTTAAACAGCTTTTCAACTATTGCCGCAAACGGGAACCGAGCGGCCCAGGGACTTCGTCTGTTGTTTTCCGAGCCGGCTCTCCCGCTCATAATTCATACGCTTCGTGGAGGCTCCATGCGCCCGCAACAGGGTCTATAATTGAGAATTTTTGGTCGTGTTGCGTACGCACAGACGAATGGTACCCCGGGGAATTGTGGGAGGAAGAGTAGGAAAGGAAAGAGGAGGGGTACAACTCAACTGAAACAACCACTGATCTCTCTGCTCCGAAATGAGTGTTTGAGCGTTGTTGGAAGGGAGCAGTTCAGAATCAGCCTGCGACTGACTGATTATCATTTGATTCTCTGATAATGGTAAGCACAGACACGATCAGAAATGACGGAACAACGTGGTCGTTTCAGGCAACAGGCAATTGAATTGCTCACTCTCAGTCTCTCGAATCAGTAAAATATGGAACGAATTAAGCGGGTGTGTTGAGAAGCGTGTGGAGTATATGTTACACTTTTCGTCCGGTTTCTGCCATTGCTTCGCTTGTCGTCCGACTTCGAGATCAGTCATCGATGAAAAATCCGAGCGAGACGCAGACAAGCCGTCTTGTTTTCCTGGACTTGGCCGGCTCTTTCTCTCTCTCCCGACTCCCTTCCATTCTTTTCTCTTTTCCTTCCCTCCGCCGACGTGTCGACGTCTACCGTAGGCGTCGAAATCGTCGACTATCGGAGCGGAAAAACGGAGGAGATGGCACGCGAGAAGAGAGGAAAATCATATGGCACAGAAGGAAATTGCAGTCTTCCAGAAGACATCTGCTCGTCGGATTGCGATAAATCGTCGGCGTCGAGCACCAGATGCCAGAACGGAAGAGTCATGGGAAGGGATGGATCGGAAGGGAGCGGGGGTGACTGGGAAGGTGTCCGATTGCCGGAAACCCGAGGGAAAAGTTCTCAATGGCTGATCAGAGAGGTCAGTGACCTCAAGACGAGGTGGGGGAACGTGGTGCCACTCGGGTAACTTTATATGAGTCCCCCGTAGTAACGCTTCGCAATTTCCTCCTTCCCCTTGTTTTTTCCCTTTCATAATTACACTAAAACTACCATAAAATTCTGATTCTTTGCGTCTGCATATTCCATTTAATACCCATAAAATATTTTATTACTTCATCTTCCAGTTATTATATTTTCTCTGGTTCTGATTGAATCAAAGGAGCCACAAAGGAAGGGAAGAGCGGAAAGACACGTTCACATTTCGTTCGGTTTCCACCACTGACGAGCTCGACGTCGCATTCTTCGCGTTCTTTCTGCAACAAACGAAAGCGATAAATAGGGAGTGGGGGAAACTTACGGAATGGAATGGATGTGTCCGTCGGAGACGCGGATCGGCACCGAAACAACATCCCGGACCACTTTCCCGTTCGCGTCGACGAAGTTTGTTTTCAGAACTGGACGCACTTTCAGGTTCACTTTCTCGTCGCCAACGCTCGAAAACTTCTGAAAAAGAATGATAACAAGGAAGTTTAAATTTCAATCTTGCCTTTCTGATGTCTTCTGAAGAAAGGGAAGTTGTGGTCGAAGTTACTGTCTCCCCCTGATCTTCGGTCGAGGCAGTGATCGGTTGAGTGATCACTGGTTTGGCTGAGGGCTTTGCAAACTTCTTGTTCTTTGTTAGAATGAGCGGCTGGTTGAAAATATTGGTCTTTTCGGATGGAATTGGTTGAGCCTACATACAATTAGTCAAAGATGAACAATTTTTGAATAACTTACATGTGAATTCATGGCTGCCATCATTCTCGATCTGAGCTGAAGATTCGGAGGTGGCTCCACACCGGCCGACTCTTCATTCCCGTCGTTTCCCACCTGTTTGGCTCGCTTCAGATTTATTCCTTCTGGCGGAGGAAGCGAATGAATGGAAACAAAGAAAAGGGAAAGGAGAAGAAGTCGCATCCTCGTAACGCAATGGGAAATGATCTGCCAGCTGAAGAGTCGTCGTTTAAACCAGTCCGATCCCGACGGGAAAGGCGGGTACGAGGGGCAGGATCCATGTCTATCCAGGGAAGGAGAAGGGCGGTTATGTCACTGCCGAACCTGGAAATGTTGCATAAAACGATCAGAAACCATTGAGGGTGTCTTCCTGATTGAGTTCATCCTCAGAGCCATCCTATCTGCCTTCCCTTTCTCCGATCTCTTTTTCATATTCTTCTTCTTCTTCTTCGTCTTCCCAAAGCCTTGCCAGATTAGCCGGATTTAACCTCGCAATCACTGCTTCTTTCGCTTTCTCTTCGCGGCTTATGGCTTGTTCTTGTCCCGAACGACGTCTCATAAACTGGTCTCTGCGCACCCATTTCTTTCTGTTTTTGACGTTGTTCCGACGACGATGTTATTGTGGCGAGAAGCGAAGGGAAAGATCATGTTGCGACGACGGCAGCGACAATCGGAACCGAGCGTAGGAGGTGCCGAATATGTTTTTGTTTGCCTCACACCATCCGATTGTGCCTTTTGTTTTCAAAATAACGCATTTTCGTCGCATTGTGCATCGTTTGTTCGATGACGTTCACAAAATTCTGATACCGGAAAAACGACAGAAGGTCTCGAAGAATGACGTAGAGGAAATGAACTCGTAAATCAAAAAAAGTGCTGCAGAAGGTGCTTTCTGATTGATGGACCCTGCCCGGAAAAGGGTCTTTCAGAGAATTCAGTCATTCTTCACGAATGTCACAGTTCATTCTAGCTGCTTTCACCCAAAATGTTATGGACGATCTTTGCACTGAATTCGAGCGGAACAAATAAAAATTTTCAATGAATGACACTATTTTTAGGCGAAAATGACGGCAATAAAGTACCATTTCCAACGTACTATTAGAGACACTGCTAAAAGTTGAAAACGTTCAGAAATTCTGCTCGTTTTAACTTCAACTGCTCACAAACTTTGAAGACCGAATTCACTGATGATTCGTGACGTGACAGAGGTAGTATGACTCCGGAGAGCTCACTTTTTTCGGATCCGAAACACTTTCGCACCTCTCTACCGTATCCACCGATGTTGTTGTCTGGAAGCCCTTCGGAGATGCTCTCAAGTTGGTTTCCCACGATCTCGTGGCCTTTCAGTTCGGAATCAGTGCCAGCTTCTCTCTCTCTCTCTCTCTCTTTTTTTTTCTTCTATTTCTTCTTCCATTCCAGCCAAACGCTGTCACCCTCACACACGAGACATTTCTTCTGCGACTCTCCGTCCGGAGCACTATTCCATAGCCCACTCCTCTAATTTCTCCATTCTTTTTGTCAACCATTTTTCTAGTTGTTACGAAGCTCAAAAACGCCCTCCCATCCCCTCATCCCTTGCCCAGTCACCAGAAATTGTTTGGTGCGCGCAAAATAGCGTAGCGAGCAAAAGAGAAGTCATGTCTCTTTCTCCTCTTTCTAGTTGCCATTTTACTTTTTATTCAATTCACTTATTCGTCGCTTTTAGCCTTCTCACACCGGTCACTCTCTGCCTCTCCATAATTAGTCCGTCCTTTGTGCTCCGCCGTCTTTTCTTGCTCAACGGCTTCGTCTTGTTCTGCTCATGCGTCATTTCGTTATTGTGCCCGGTAGGGCTTTTTCTGTTGACGCAAATCAGTCTCCAATTCACTGATTATTCATCCAACGATCACATTCATCTCTGAATTGTTTGGTGATTCAGATGACGTCCACCAATCAGAAGACTGCTTTCGAGTCAAGAGATCGTGGTCTTCTGACTACAAAGCGCGCATGTTTTGATGATTCACGAGTCCTCATACAATCCTGGCTTTAATCCGAACTATCTTGGAGTGTGAACTAATAACAGATTAAGGCGGGAACCAAATCAGCTCCCTTGACAACCGAATCAACGCTTCCGAAACAAACGAGTTATCCGGGTGTCTGTTTCTCTCTCTTTCTTTCGCGGCAACATTGCTTTCGTCTCGAGGCAGACTGACTGCAGAAACGGATTGTCCGTTTCCGGAGAACCCCATCACTTTCACTTCCGATCACTCTTTGTCCGATTCGAGTTGACATCCAATTTCCGCCCTTCTCCACCTTTCCTTTTTCGCCAAGTGCACGTCGGAATCTAATCGGCTCCTCCCCCTTTCCCGTCTAATCTGTGTACCGCCCGTCTCTTCGTGAGCACCGACTAATTCATAATTCATCACCATTTCGCAGTTTTCAGCTCCATCATCATTGCTCATTCCATTTTTTCGCTCTGAATCGCCAAAGAGCGGCGTGAAATGTGGCACAAAGTAGTGGAAAAAGCGAAGAGAAAAAAGATTCTTTAGGGAATTTGCAGGCCACTTTTGGGACGGCCCACCTCGAAACGAGCGTCGATTTCTAGACGCTGCCTCTTTCTTAACTTTTTATTGCTCTCTCCTTATCCGTCCCGATTTCCCCGCCTCAGTTTTTGTCATTTCGAGGAAAGGATGAAGCCGCTCCGGTCGGGGGAGCTTCTAGCGAAAACAAGTGGCGAAAAAGTAATCCAATTGATGCCAGAACCGTTTTACGGCCTGTGAAGGGCGCCACCTCGATTCAATTTGTGGTTTTTCGAACCGTTGCCCGCAGATATCTTTTCGGGAAAGAGAGGATCGCGGCCAGAAGGGTTCCGGCACTTCCGTCCGCCTCGCTCTTCACATGAAACTTTGAAGTGCTCTCCGATGCGTTGCCACAGTATTGAATGGGTGTTTTCGTGTCAAAGAGCAATTGAAAGAGTTCGAGACAAGTTGTCTCGCCGTCCTTATTTACCGTACTTCAGACACCAATAAGCAAGTCGAAGTCGACTTTTCTCTAATGAAAAAGAAGTTCCCAGCATCGGTTACTCTCTCTCTCTCTCTCTCTCTCTCTCTCTCTCTCCCCCTTTTTTGCGCTTTAATCGAATCTTCGTTCTGTTCGTTTCCTCGCTCGTCTTCCGAATTCATTTGTACTCTCGGCGATGGGTTGCCCGAAGAAGCAGTGATACTAAATTAAATATAGAAGATTTTGTATGCATGGAGGCCTCTGGTTGCTCTCCTCCGAGCACACTCGCACACACGTATACACGAGGCCTCTGTCTCTCATCACCGCCACCACCGCATGTATTTACATGTGCATATTCAGCGCCGAGCCCCCCGTCGCTCACAAATTTCAGCTGGTATATCATGTTCTCCTAGAGAACCTTCTTCTCTTTCTTCTCATTTCCTCCGGCACACTTCTTCTGTTCTTTCTATTAGTTCTCGCGGAAACAGAAGAAGCCCTTGCCGGATGATAACATCATATTATGGTCAGTTCGGAAAATCCGTCCACCAAAAGGGCTTCTTCTTTGAGCCGCTAACAAAACAGAATCGAAGTTGATCTTCCGTCAGCTTTTCCCCTTTTATTACTTGCCATTGTCCGCTCTCACTTCCTTTGTCTGATTTCCGTTTTCGGCCCTTTTTACTCGTATTTCACACCCCACCAATTCGCGAACTTCCCCGTTTCCCCCCTCTTCTTCTTCTGCTTCTCCCATTTCCCGCCATCTCGCCTTGCACCACTCTAAATGGTGGGAAATTAACTGCCGCATAAACATTTTTCCATTTTGAAAAAAAGAAAAGAAAGAGCTGTGTCATTTTTCATAAACATTTGCAGATTCGTCGATTAGGAGGGCGAGAGAGATGAGATAACCACCGCGCACACTGGATTTCCTCCTCAAGGTACATTCTTTCTTCCGTTTTCAGAAATAAACGAACACTTTCAGAAGTTGCGGTTCGGCCGTTCGAAGGCGGCTCGACAGAAACGCATCGACGAGAGCTTCAATGTTTTCGCAAAACGCAATCTCAACACGTTCGTTTTCGTTTTTTGTTTTTCCTAAAAATGAACACCAAAAATGTATGCGAAAAGTGCGCCCACTATACGAGGGATTGTACTTTTTTCGAAAGAGATGGAAATCACTGTTTGGGAATGTTCTGGAATTGTTCAGAATTCAGTGGAACAATTTTATCCAAAACAAAACCAAAAGTGCTTTTCTCTGGAATATTGAGAGCTCAGCGCGAAAATACAAAGAAAACTGAGGGAAAGTGAGTGCACAATGACAAAAATATACTTTTTTGAATTTTTTATAGTTTTTTCTATAAAAGGTTCGTTCGGAGAAAATGAAATTTGCGCTCAACCGTATTCCAGAGCCAATTTCGTGAAGTTTAGGGCTTCAATTTTGAACGGACAAGCTTATTATTCAGATTCTGAATCTGAAGTTGCCTAAGTTTCGGGATGATCCAATTCAATCCCTCGAACACTTTTTGATCATAAATCGGTTTATTTCTCTTCAATTCCATAGCATCCATTCCCTTCCTCCTTCCCTTTTCTTTTCCGGATTTCATAATTCCACGAAATCTCGGCTGGAACTCTTGAGTCCTTAATAATTGGGTTTGTTGTGTTCCTGCCACGTCACATCCTTCGTGCGTCAAGGATGTCTTCGTTTGAGCACGGCTACGAACCGAGCGAGCTCAACTCCAAATTGTTGATGGAGCCAAGGACACGGATGTGTGCATCAACGCCCTTCTCTTCTGTTTATATCGTCTGATGGCGGAGCAGGAGCAGCTCTTCCAGAAGAAAGAGCTCCGCGTGGCTCCTCCGACAATGAAATGCAAATCACGATTCGTCGACCTCCCGTGTCTTGGCCCTTCCGCACTATTTCGGCTCGCCATTCAGGTCGCGCGTCCGCGCAGAAAAGATGATAATCTCGGAGGCGGTGTGTGACGTAAAATCCGAATCGAGAAGAGTTTCTTCTTCGATCTCTTACTGTACTCTCTCTCTCGCTTTCTTTGAAAGCGTTCCAGTCTGGGGATTGAGAAGGGTCTACGAGTGGCTCGCCTCCTCTCAATTACTAATTGCATTTTCGACAGCAGTGAGAGAAAAAAGAAGAGGAGCAGGTGAAATTGAAACTTTTTGCCAGGAGCCGCCTGCCTTTTTCGTTGTTTTCCGGACCCCTCCCACTCTTTTTCTTCCTCCTCTTTTTAGTCTTGAATTCGAAACGCAAGGAATTCCTAGGCAACTTGAGAGCTCATTTGACACCTCCATTGTCTTTGACTCCAAGTTTTTCTCTTTTCCAGCTTGATCGGAGTTCTGCAATTGGCAAGATCTCAGTGTCTTCTGTCCAATTGGTCATCCAGCAGAGAAGGGGTAATCTTTTTTTGCTCTCGGATCTTCCCACTCAGAAAGCCCACTCAAACCTTTCTGCAACTAAATCCATTCATCCTAAACGAGAAAATTCGGGACTTTACACATTCTGTTCATTGATTTCTCGCCTCTAATCTCTTCTGATTCCTATTCCGTCTCGTTTGAAAGCGATAATGATACTCCGTACTTTCCGTGAACTCAAAAATAAAAGTGTCAGCAGTTGTATCCAATTTGGCGTCATTTTCCGCCCTCCCGACCATCCGCCTCATGTCTTCTTGTCCTCAATTTTCCTTTTGCTCCTCTGCACTCAGTAAGTAGCATCTTCTGCGTCGTCACCCATATCCTATTGTCGGCGTCTCTCACAATCGCGCACTCCCTCAAGCCACGCGCCAAACTTGTTTCGTATGAATAGAAAACGGCTGCGTATTGCCCCCCCGCCGTCCTCGCATTTCTTCTTCATTACTCCCGCGGACCGACTCAACTGAAACTCATGCTCCAAAAGAGGACTCCTTCATCTGGTGCTCCGAGCTCGTAGAGCTCTCTTCTGGAGTTTTGCCCATGGGCGAGATTTTGCTAATTTCGAATCGCATACGGCCAAACACTGCTCCGCGGGATGCAAAAGCTTCGACAACGCCTTCTTCTTCTCCTTCTTCAACTTCTTATTTATTCATTATTTTCCGACAATTGGTTGTGGTCGATTGAAGAGACAAGAAGATTCTGCCTTTACCTATTATTATAGCGTTATTTATCGCGTCGTTCTTCTTCATTCCAGACGAGCGCACTTATCTCTTATTCTGAGACACTAACTGCATTTCAAAATTCCTTCAAAAGACTCGAAACCTCCCAAAATTTCTTTTCTACGGAAAATCATGAATCGAATAGGACCTCGAAGACGAGGATTTCGTTCGAGGTGAGTTGTTGGCTGGCCGCTTGGCACAAATCTGTCGGCAATACAACCCCCGGGCAAATCGTGGCCTAATGGATAAGGATCCCCGCCTGGGTCAAAACTTTTGCCACTCAAAACCGACACTTAAACATTGTTTTTCAGACAGAACGGCAACAATCAGCAAAAGGAAATAGTGGAACCCGTAATGGCCAGCGGTGTTTGCGTTCATTCGGTGCTTCCGTTCAAATCCGCCAATGCGGCAGACTGCCGTGAGTTGTCTCCCCCGCTCTCTTTTGTTTTGAAAAATGAGCCCCGACCGAGAGAGGGGCGCCGTACCGAGTCGGTTTGCGTTTGTTTCCGCCAGATTCCTCTTCTTCTTCTTCTTCTTATTGTATGCATGCGTTGGGCGGAGCACCGGCCGGAGCCGCTCAAACCAAAACCAATCTTCTTTTCCTTTTTTCTTTCTCCTCCTCTCCGTATTCTTCATCATCTCGAGCCCATAAAACATTCGTCAACATTCGTATATTATAAGGTGTACTCCATCCATTTCGGGTGATATTACTGTAGGTATACGAGCAGTTCTCTGGAAAAAAGTAAATGAAGTGGAACGGTTGCATAGCTCTCCTTTCGAGAACTTCTAGTCGGGTGGACTTTCTCGGAAACAGAATCCTTTTGGTTTCCCACATTCATTCCGGACCCGTTCTTGCCTCCGTTGATCTACATTCCGAACCCTTCGCCGACTTCATCCGGCTCTTCCACTTCCTTGTCCTCGAAAGCGTGTCAAATTGTGACAGCCGCTAGTGTTTCGCCTAAAACACAAAGAGCTCATAAGGGATTCAGGAGCCAATTAGTGCGAGTATCCAGTCACGAGTACTTTCGTCGCGCGCCTGGTTCCCGTGACAAATTGCGTTTGTGAATTCGTGAGCGGCTACCGTATCCCTCCTTCATCCGTCAGCGTCAGCAGCGGCCGGACCCTCATCTTCTCGTCACGTTTCCAGTTGGCCAGACCTTCTCCTGAAGACGTCGACGTATGTCACTCCACCTCATCATTATCTACCTTACCAATCGTTCTTGACGGCTCCTCGAGAGCCCATAAAACTTATCCGTTTCTTCTTCTTCCTCTTCATCTTCTTCTTCTCCTTCTCCTTCTTGTTATTCTTTCGCTCCCCTTCATTTCCCAGTTGGTGTTCTCAGTGCTTCTCCCCTTCCCCACACACTCCCTTTTCTTCTTGTGCCCACTTTCCACTTCCACTGATTCTTGATCATCACCGCCGAAACGAAACGTCGACGGGATTAACGAGAGGACAATAAGCCCATTTGGCCCCATCGTTCTCCTAGCCTTTTTGTTTTCCCGCCATGAATTCCAAGGCAAAACCCCCCGAAAGTCTTGCTTTTCCACCTTCTTTCGTTTGAAATCTGGAACAGACTGAAACGATGAATTATTTTTAGATTTGGGGCAATTGGGGCTCGTGCATGCACGCTAACTAACTAACCAGCCACATGTTCCACTTTCCAGATGTCATCTATTTTTCTTTGAGCTTCTTTTTGACATTTCTTCGGAAACTAATGGAATTGAGCGAAAGAGAGAGAGAGAGAGTGCGGGAGGAACGAGAGACGCCGAGCTATCATCAATCCGTCTCTGTTTCGCAGGTTTATTGGCACCCCGTGCTCTCCTGGCCCATTCTTCATTTCTTTTCCGAACTGTCCTCCCTCGGGAGCCTTCCTGCACTCGGGGAATTAATTCGGCAAGGTTCTTCCCAACCACCAACTGCCCCTTTTTTCTCCTATTTTTCTGTGACGTCGACATTTCATCAAACGTATGTCTTTCTGTGTGTTCTAATCCCCCTTTCCGTTTGGTTTTGTAACAGACACCACAAAAACAACTCAAGTGTGCCGGCTCTTAGGCATCTCATCGCCCCTCTCGGCGGCTCTCCGTTGCTATTGTCGAGTTTTAAATCACAGCCTCCTGCGACAATCAATTTGAAACGGAAGCGCGTTTCAAGTGCTTGCGCATTTCTAGATACCGCGAGGTCTGAAAGAAAAAAAGTGTCCCGCATGCGCCTTTAAATTTGAAATTGACTGCCGCAGGAGGCCGTGAAATGGATTTCATTATTGTTCAGTTGCTAAACGAGAGATGTACCGCCAAGGAACCAACCAATCCGCGTGCTCCGACGCCGACGAATTCACCCAAGAGGAGCTTCAGGAGTTTGCTCAGGCATTCAAGCTCTTCGATAAGGACGGCAACAATACGATGAACATCAAGGAGTTGGGCGAAGCAATGCGCATGCTCGGGCTCAATCCGACCGAGGAGGAGCTTCTCAATATGGTCAATGAGTACGATGTGGACGGAAACGGAAAGATCGACTTCGGAGAGTTCTGCAAAATGATGAAAGAAATGAACAAGGAGACCGATCAGGAACTGATTCGTCTCGCATTTAAGTGAGTTTGTCCTTTCCAGAGTCCTTACTTCATGAAAATTCTAACCATTTTTGGAGTGAGAGAGAGAGAGAGAGAAAAATAATCGGATGAGACAACGTGTGAACTATTTGACACAACGCTTCAGGGTATTCGACAAAGACGGCAACGGGTACATCACCGCGCAAGAGTTCAAGCATTTCATGACCACAATGGGCGAGAGATTCAGCGAGGAGGAGGTAGATGAGATCATCCGAGAAGTCGACAAAGACGGCGATGAGCAGGTAAGCGGAACGAGCACACCTCCTTCACTCCCTGTCCTCTTTCAGATTGATCTCAATGAGTTCGTCAACATGGTGGCTCCGATCGTTTCGGAAACCAACAAGACGGATCCGTTTGCCGAGCCGGCCGCCTCGGCCAACCCGACAACCAAATGAAAAGTGCCCTCCGAATAACATATAAATACTGCCTTATTCCCACTTTCTGTACATACTTCTACTACCCATTTATCCCTCGTCACAGCACATTCCTATCCTGTTTATCGCTAGTTGACCACCCGGTAGAACCGTCGAATATGTCTCTCCGGACCAGACGTCCCCCCCATTCCCGAACCCAACACAAATAAGTCTGATCTCTGTTTCACTAATCAGCGAATATATTTATGTTTTACAATAAAAACTGGATAAAAATAGTAGAGAAGTATGGAAGCTTATAACGCACTCTTTTGTAGTAAAAAGTCTAGAAATTCTGGTTGAGGGCCACTACTATCCATGGAATAACCATCGTCTACCCAAAGCTCTTCCCAATTTTTTCCAAAATCACTACTTGGGGCTGCGTTCCAAATAAAAGAACAAGGTCGTTTGTTAACAAGCGGATTTCGATCGCATGGGAACACTCCCTGGAAATAGTGTCTCGTAATCCTGCATTTGCTCAGAAAGTTTTCAAGTAAGCGGTTTCCAGCGGGAACATTGCACCGTAAGAATCACGGAGAAGCGGGGAATTGGGATATTCAATAAGTGACAGGATAAATAACAGTGAAATCCCGCCCACTCGGCCGTGCTTTGATGTACTGTCACTATATAAACCAAGTACAATGTTCATTATGTCATTCTCGTAACTCTCAACCATCTCTCTCTCTCTCTCCTCCTTGCATAGCAATAACGTCGGATCAGTCGAGAAGTCAACTCTCTCTCTCTCTCTCTCTCTCTCTCTCTCTCTCTCTCTTTCAGTTCCTCTGATCCGACGTTATTGCTATGCAAGAAGTCAATCTCTCAACGCGTGAAATACTATAAAATGGTGGAGTTTTACAAAAAGGGTGGCCGCGTAGAGATGTTGGCGCGACAAACGTACACAATTGTTTTTACGTGGAAATAGAGATGTCGGCGCGACAAACGTACACAATTTTATTGCAAAAATAGGCAAACAAAAAACTCAATCAAAGGATAGTCTCAACAGATCGCAGTATAAGATGACTGCTCTACTGAATACAACACCTTGACCAAGAGACCAAGTCGTATGCAAGTGATTTAGCGCCCCGACATTGAACCAGAGTGATCTGGCGTTGGCAGGCGCCGCAGAGTTCACTACGACGCCAAGGCCATACATAGGGCATAAGCTCTCGTGTTGCCACGAGATAGAGATGCCTCCCGACACCGGGAAGCAAAGAATTTTCGCCTTGACAAGGCGAGATTCTAACTTAGAGGCGTTCAGTTATAATCTCTCAAATGGTAGCTTCGGACCAGTGGCCTGTCGACCAAGTCCATGAACCAAATGTTTGAACCCGCTGTTCCTCTCGTACTAAGCAGGATTACTTTCGCAATAACAAGTCAACAGTAGGGTAAAACTAACCTGTCTCACGACGGTCTAAACTCAGCTCACGTTCCCTATTAGTGGGTGAACAATCCAACGCTTGGCGAATTCTGCTTCGCAATGATAGGAAGAGCCGACATCGAAGGATCAAAAAGCAACGTCGCTATGGACGCTTGGCTGCCACAAGCCAGTTATCCCTGTGGTAACTTTTCTGACACCTCTTACCAGAAACAATCTGGATTAAAAGGATCGATAGGCCACGCTTTCGCGGTCTGTACTCGTACTGAAAGTCTAGATCAAGCAAGCTTTTGCCCTTTTGCTCTACGAGAGGTTTCCGTCCTCTCTGAGCTCGCCTTAGGACACCTACGTTACGATTTGATAGATGTACCGCCCCAGTCAAACTCCCCGCTTGACACTGTCTTCGAGGAGAGTCACGGTGCCATAAAATGGCGCCGCTTAATGCTTCGAAAAAAGGCCTGACGGCCAATCCTCTTTCAACCGAATAAGTAAAGAGTCGATGAAAGTGGTGGTATTTCACTGGCGACCGAGGTCTCCCACCTATGCTACACCTCTCATGACTCTTCACAATGTCAAACTAGAGTCAAGCTCAACAGGGTCTTCTTTCCCCGCTATTTTTGCCAAGCCCGTTCCCTTGGCTGTGGTTTCGCTAGACAGTAGTTAGGGACAGTAGGAATCTCGTTAATCCATTCATGCGCGTCACTAATTAAATGACGAGGCATTTGGCTACCTTAAGAGAGTCATAGTTACTCCCGCCGTTTACCCGCGCTTACTCGAATTACTACGATTTAACATTCAGAGCACTGGGCAGAAATCAGTGACAGTCAACGTCCGCAAGGACCATCTGTCACCTCTGTTTTAATTAGACAGTCGGATTCCCTGAGTCCGTACCGGTTCCAGTACGGTTGTTTAGATGAGCGATCAGGACACTAAGACCGAGGTCAAAGCACACACCAGAAGGCGTCCACAAGCAAACACTGTCACTAGTCCGCCATCAGCCCGAAAGCATCAAACAGACAGAACAGCGCCGGACAAGCATCAACCAACTGGCCAACCGTTCCAACCACTGGAGCCAATCCTTTTCCCGAAGTTACGGATCTAGTTTGCCGACTTCCCTTACCTACAAGTACAACGTTCATTATGTCATTCTCGTAACTCTCAACCATCTCTCTCTCTCTCTCTCTCTCTCTCTCCTCCTCCTCTTCTGATCCTACATGATTGCTATGCAAGAAGTCAATCTCTCAACCACCTCTCTCTTCCCAAATAGATGGTACGTACTATCACTGTTTATTTATCTCTCTTCTTTCTCTAATCCGACGTTATTGCTATGCAAGAAGTCAACTCTCTCCCGCCTGGTGGCCGCCTAAAATATTAAAAAATGGTGGAGATTTTTAAAAAAATGGTGGCCTGTTTGACCAATTTCAGTCCTCAATTGCTTTCGCGAGTTGCGAAAGGTCCGCCTGCATGTTCGACGAAATTTAAAAGTTCTGAAAGCTCCTTGAAATGAACCTGAAACTACAATACTGACCCGGACCCGAAATTGTGTGCGCTCATTTTAATGCCGACTTTAAATGCCGACTTCCGCGAGTTGCGAAAGAGTGCGTTTTAAGCTTCCATACTTCTCTGATAGTTGTCTGGGGAAGAGTGTGAACATTGAAAAATAAAGTGGTTATCTGGATCCATGGACTGTCGGAGTTCTCTCCTCCGCATCTCCCTCTTGCTTCCCCTCCTTCTCACTTCGGTTGACACCAAATCGGCGCCAAAAAACAGACGAAGTCGATCAAACGAATTTATTGCTGTCATTTCAGAGCGTCGTGGATTTGAATGGAGGTTCGCATCATCGCATCAACTGCCCTGAATCGGAGGAAAACTCAAAAAATCCCAACAAAAAACCACGATCCGATTTATCCAAACTACAGAATTTGCCGCCGGAGAAATGTGTAGTTCACATTCAAATAATTTCCTATTTTCGCAACAAAAAAAACGACTGAAAATATTCAGGAAACTTTCTGCAGTTTTTCACTTTTCCTGTTTCTATTCTCTTACCGACTACAGATTTCTCCGTCGGGATTTTCTGTAATAAACTATTTATGCTTTTTCTAAACGCAATTTGTTCCGTTTCTCCTCGATGCTTAAGATTTCCCGTTCAGAAGAAACGATTGGCAAGTAGGTCATCCACGTGTGTTTCAAAAGGAAGTTGTTGAGCCATGAAGGCAGGGCGTATCCATTCCGATCGACGCTCACTTCTTCGTCGTCTTCTCCATCTGCCACGAAGCCACGTTGCTTCCTCGTGGCCCCACCGGCCAAGTTATCCAGAACAAACGCGATCAAGCCGCCGATGAGCATTCTGATGGTCAAAAGTGTTCCAAACACGTCGTCCACCACTTGATTGCCTGCAAAGAGTATCAAATAGAATGAGTCAGTCGTGTCCGATTGCGCACCTGTCTTCAACGGTGACTTTTCAAAGTGGCTTGGTATCGTAATTCCCATGATGATTGCTATTCCGATGATCGTTAGATTCCGAGAGAGACGCAAGTCGACCGTCTGAATAGATACTTCCTGGTTCTCTCAGTACCTGTTTATCAGAAACACACTTGTAAGTTAGACAGGGAAACTCCGTTGATAAGGCACACTCCCATGGCCAAAAGACCACCAATGATGGGCTCGGGAATCATTGCGAGGAAGGCGGCAAACTTTGAAATGACACCCGCGCCGATGAGAAACACTCCGGCCATCTGCATCGTAATCCGACTCGTGACCTGGAAAATAGAAAATAGAAAACAGAAACCGATCATTTTGTTTCGATTGAATGTGTGATCATTAAAAGTGTGTATTTCGGTTTCAAATTGTCTTATCACTTAGACGCATTATAGTTCAGATGTCAATCACTCTCCTCACGTATGCCTCGGAAATTCCATATGCTTACGATCGTATAGTTCCTCAATCATTTCCGATCAGAATATCATTTCACACCTACCTTCGTCACCGACATAATCGCAATGTTCTCTGCATAAGTGGTCACTCCTGTGCCGACTCCCCACAATGCGGCCAGAATGCAACCGATCCCTTCGACGACAAATGCTCTGTTCGTGTTCGACGGCGGCGGGCGACTTTGTTTCGAGATCTTTGCACATAAATCTGACAAAAACAGTGTTGCTTTTGATGAGGATCTCCTGTAAAACGAACTGTAATCGCCGATACTTTCGATCATTGCGGCCAAACAAGAGGCCATAAACCCGCAAACGAGGGCTAGACTGAACTTCGGAGGGCCGAAGAACAGAGGCGTCGGCACTTGAACCCACGGCGTCCGATCGAATACCATCACACTCGCATTCTGATCGGTTCGAGCGGCGCCTCCGGACGGTTCCGCGTTTGTGACGGTGAGAACGAAACAGATGAACCAGGCGATGCCGAGACCGAGAAGATACTGTAGAAGAGGATGAAAACGGGGGAAACGGAAAGGAAAATGATACCGGGAAATGACTGAAAATTTTGTGACGACTGAACCGGAACTTTTTCTGCGAAAATGAAAACACGGGAATGGGAACCTCGTGATGTTCGAGAAAGACAACGAAAACGACGAGGATGATGAATTCTCTGGAACATTTCAAGAGTGTGCCAACTCAATTACACTTTTTGCAAAACCAACACAATAGAGATCCAGTGCATTGCCATTTTCTGCTCAATATCTGGAACCGTTCCGATCGTCAAGAGACTCATTATCGGCACAATTGTGATCGGCCCGATGTACTGAGAAACGGCGCCGACGAGGCCGGTGAACCCGAGAAAGGGCATGATGAGGACAGCCACGACACAGCTCCCGGCGATCTGAGGCTTGCGTTAACTTTATATTTTCTCGCCAACTCTACCATCTGCATCTTCTCTTCCCAGTTGTTGACATTCGTGTTGGCGTCACACGGGAACGCCGTCTGGAAGGTGTGTAAGGCTGGCAGAAAAGCGAACGAGGGACCGTGAAGAATAGAAAGACTGCAAAACGGAACAGTGGACGGACTGCCGAGGGAGCAAGACGCTTACCGCATTCCGAACGTCGTTTGGAGGATCGTAGCAATACCCGAGGTGACAAAAGTGGCAGAGATCAGTTGGACTCTGAACAGGGAGGACTGAAAACGAGAGAGGATTCTTGACGGACCATACCGTATTTCGATGGCTTTGTCCCCAGCGCATAGCATGTCAGATACCAGATAAGGGACCACGAGCAGACCAGAAAGACAGACCATCATCTGCTGAAGTCCGAAGAGCACGGTCGAGGTCGGGCTGGGGACCTCATTCACGTGGAAGTGCAGGCCGCTCATCGTCAGCCGCTTCAGTTGGAATGACTGGCTGCAACTCGCCAACCGCTCATTTAATCGTTTTGTTTTCTAGATAAAAGTGCGCTAACAGAGACCAACAAACATGTGACTTCTATTATATGGAACTATGCAATACTTCGCATCTTTTTTTGTGTCCCGCCCCTTTCCCTTTTCTCTCTCAGTTGTGTTTGTTTATGCATTAGACTAGATGGGTGATATTAGAGAAGTAGAGAACCGGTGATCGATGGTGTAAGGGAATTGCGATCTCTGATGGGGTAATGTTGTCGGATTCCGAACACTGTTTAGAAACATCGAAGGGAATCGATTTGTTCCACCTTTCCTCGAGTTTCCATTGTTTGTTTGAAAGAGCGACAAAACTTTTATAATTGTTTTCCTACTAGGTATTAACGCACTTTTTTATTATCATTATTATTTTTTCACTGATTATTTAAAAGGTCCTTATCGCTTTGTCAGTGAGAAAACGTAGTTTGAACTTTCGAAACAAGCGAATCGTGTCTGCACAATTTACCGAAATTTGAATTCGAAATGTAACTACAGTAAATCATAAAGGCGCATGATGAACTTTTTCAGCAGGTCTCGGAACGAACAAAACAGAATAACAAAAAATTTGTTCTAAACTGGCTTCTTCCTCGTGTTTTTGTTTTGAAAGTTATAACTCTTCAATGTTTTTCAATTTTTCTAATATTCGAATATAATATATATTCACTTCTGTCGGAACTTCTGTTCGACATGTTGTTCCACTCGCGCTGACGCATATCTTCAGCAAATCGCATTTTTCAGCTGAAGTCATGGGTGAAACTTACATTCAGGTCAACATTTACGAAAACTCTTTACAAACTCTTTCGGAGAAAACCAATGATTTAACCGAAATTCTGGTAAAAGAGACCGAAATGCGTATTTCTCATTAAAAAATAAATTTCAGAAGACACATGGATTCACCAGATTTTCGATTGGAGAGGTGCGCACCGCGAAAAACTATCCAGAAGTCGGACAAGAAGTTAAAGAAACGACGATAGAGTTGGATGTCTCAGTTGTGAAGAACGGGAAGCAACAGCTGCCCCGCTCTTCCACTCCGATTTCCACCGATTTCAACCTTCCGTTGCTTCCTTCTTTCGGAATTTCTCGAATTAGCACATGTGGAATGGACGGAATTCAAAAGAGAATTCCTTGGAGGGGTGTCGATAGGTGGGTGAAAGTTCATAATTTCATTTTAATATTTGTTTTCAGAAGAAATCGTCTCAAACGTCGCACAACAGAAATTCCGCCGAAAGAAGAAAAACTACGAAGAGAAAAATCGGCTCCAGCGAACCTGCTCGCGGAAGGTGAACCTGAAAAGACATCTCAGACTGACGAGGTTGGTTTCTAAAGAAAACAACAAAATGTAGTTTGTTCAGAACTCGTCTATCAATTCGGGAGCTCAGGAAGAAGATCATTACACGACACCGATGACAACAAGTGAAGTTACTGATCTTGTAGGGAATCAAGTTGGAATAAAAAGAGAATGCTGGGATTACGGCCCGAACGGCATTATCAGGAACCTGGACGGTTTTCCGTCTCTTCTCGCAGAGAACAGAATTACGGAAGGGACTCCGAGCTCCGACTCCGGTTCTCTGCAGAACGCCACTCGCCTTCTTGAGCAGTTCGAGTCCGTCATCGAAACGATTGATCCGATGCGAAAGTATCCATCGATCCATGACCTGTTCGCACCCATCGCTGGTCTTTCTCAGTTCGCGACTGTAGCGATGGACCGTAGAGAAACGAGCTCTTACCGTCCTCAAATTTTTGAAGGAACCCGCAATTTCAAGCAAGAATGTAAGAGCAAACATGTATATAATAATGATTTTGCGTGTACTTTCAGTTGCTCGAATAGATACGCCAAGATTTGAAGCGGCTAACGATGAGAACAGAGAGGAAGCAGTGGAAGAGTACGGAACTGAGGAACGCGCTTACGGAGACGACGAATCGGAGGAACAGGTGGAGGAACGCGTAGGGAAGCCGGCTGAGGAGCTGGTAACAATCAAATGCGAATTCCGGGGCTGCATGAAATCGTTTAAATGGAAGAAAAAGTTCGGAAAGCTTCAACTTCTGGATCATGCCCTTCTGCACGGAACTAAAAAAATGATTCACTGTCGGAGCTGCGGATGCACAACGATGACAACTCGTCAGATGAAGAACCACATGACGCAGGCCCACCCGGGACAGCGATTCAGTGGATACGGAATGAAAGAGTGAGACCCTCCGAGCGTCCCGTGTATTGCAACGTCCCGTGTATTGCAGTCTGAACATTCCGGAAACTCTTTCAAACAATATCTGGAGATTGTGTTTTTCAAGTTTGGAAACTTTACATTTCAAAAGATAATTGCTGGTTTCAGAGCATTTGGAGACTATTGGAATTCCGAGGACCACAAAGAGAGCATGCAGAAGGAAGCGGGAAAAGCCGGGAAGGCCACCAGCAAGTGCGCTTTGAGTGAAACGGAACCGTTGTATCCCTAAATTATATTTGTATTGTTCGTATTAACTCTGTTCCATTAAATCTGTTTTATTAACATTCTTGCGCAGTGCTATTTCTGTTTCTTGTCAAACTCCCTTACCTTTTTAATTATTTTCCAAACGGATTCCAGCATTGTTTCCAGTTTCGAAGATGGAAGATTCGTGCACGAGCTACGTTCAAATCAACATTTACGGGAAAAAATTGGAGCAACTGAAGCGGAAGGGATTCGACATGACCGCGTACCTCGTGAGTATTGCGTTTTGTCCTCATGCACGAAAATTGCTCCACAGGCTAAATTCGGTTGTGACAAATTCTGGATGGGCGATATCTCATTATGCGAATCGTCGACGAACAGAACTTCCGACAATATCAGCAATGGAAAAGAAAACTCTGCTATTATAGACGCAACAACTGTTCTGAGCGTCTCCGTTTCGGACGTTAGAGTGAGTCCTGACGTTGCGAACCCAGATAACAATGTTCTCACAGTTCCCGAGAACTTCCACTCCTATTCACTCGGACAACTATCCCAGCCTCGAGCAGATTCCTGTTTCCAATATCAAACGGGTGGAATCCACAGAACTGACTCAATACGCAACGGTTGATCAAAGTGAGAATACATCGAGAGCAAGCGGCACCGTTCGGAGATCACTTCAAACGACGGAAAGAAAACTGGGAACTGTAACCGACGAACCGACTCTCGGAGAATCACTGAATATGCGAACGGAAACAGAGTAAGTGGAATAGACTAGTGAGGAAAGGTTGGATGAATTCAGGTATCAGCCACCTACGATTCGCTCCAAAAGCAGGAACATCATTCCAAAAGAGGAAGTTGATAACATAGCGCAACCTGCTCCGCCTCCGAGCCAGATGAATCCACCGTTCACGGAGAATCTGACGTCAGGCAATGCGCTCACGCCGGTAGAGAAAAAGTCTTTTCACACCACCGCTTTTAGAAACTATATCAAATTCTTCGACAGAAAAAGTAATTTAGAGAGAGCTCTACTCATTGATCCCATTTCCATCCACTTCGGGTCGAAAAAACTCGGAACGAGTGCTGTTTGACATGGAGCCAATGCATCTGCGGCAGTTTTCACAGCACGATTACCCTGCGAACCAAGAATTTAACACGAGTTTCCGCACGTACTACTCTCAAAATTTGAGCGCCGAGAGCTACGAAGAAATTGCGGATGAACGTGTTCCCAGTTCACGTTTTCATATTTCAATATTTCTTTTCAGCAATACATCTCGGCGACACGGATGTAATTGACTACAGAAATTCAAAAGAGCACAGTTATGTATCGGTAGATTACGGAAATGTTGCGGAAAAGGGTGATGAAACGGAAGAAGAAGTTATCCGTCCGATGGATGTCTCGGCGGAAAATAATGCTCCAGTCGCGAAAAGCCAGAAGAGCAAAGGATATGTCATTCAATGTTTCTTCAAGGTAAATTAGATGTATTTGAAGTTGAAAAATGTATAATTGAAGAACTGTGGAAAATCGTTTTCGTGGAAGGCGAAGTACGGAAGGGTTCGGCTGATCGACCATGCACTCACGCACCTTCCCGGCCAGGAAATGAAGTGCAGTGCTTGCAAGTTCACATGTCAAACTATTCGAAACATGCGGTACCATAATAAACGTAAACATCGTGGAGAAAACGTTGACGGAATCAGAATCAGAAAGTTGGCCAAAACAGCCCCAGAGCTCAACTAAAAGCATCTTTTCAGAGTGATAAACTCCTCGCAAACTAAGGAAGCTCTGGCAAAAGTTTGGGACATATGCTACAAAAGTTAGAGGATTTCATGAAATACGGAGTCATTTTTGCATTTCAGAGAACGGCGAAATCCTGGGAAACACCGGTCCTGGCTCAAGCGCCGTAAAACGAAGTGCCAGCAGAAGAAAGAGAGGACGGAAAGCAGGGAACAAGTAGTTGAACGATAATAATTATGTTTCTACCCTTTTGCTTATGTTAATATTAACATGTGTTTTGTTACTTCATTTCTGCTCATTTACTTTCATTCGATTGGTCGCAAATCATTCGAAATTAATACTTTTACAAAAGTTAACGCTTCCTCTTTTACATTCCAGATGACGGGAAGCTGGAAGAAATACATCCAAGTCAACATCTATGGCCGAACTCTGAAAGAGTTGCAGCAAGAAGGAATCGCTCTGAAATCCGTGCTGGTAAACCATTTTTCTCATTTTTCTTACTAGTAGCTCCATTCAGACCAATATTGGATGTTCGAAAGTCTGGATAGTGGAGGGTTCGATGTACAATGAAGAACCTGCCGTCTTCCGTGAGCCCGATCCTTTTCTGAGCATGACAGTTGCCAATGTGAACGTTCCTCGCTTTTCGACGCCCATCTACTCGCAGATTGATCAACGCTGCAAGTTCAGTTTCAATGCGACCGAAAATATTTCGACAATCGCTTCGGACGACGAAGAAATGAGCGAAGAGAGGGAAAAAGAACACTCGAGTGTCCAGAAGAGCCAGGATTCGGTCAGCATTTCGGTGGACGAAAATGATGAAGTGAAAGCGTTGCTCGATGAGCTTATTAAGCGTGTCGACGTTGGAATGCGAGAGAAGAAGGACGTGAAAAGAGTAGTTCATTGCCATTCGAGTGCACTGCCACCGAAGAAGAGCCAAAAAGCTCATAAGCGACGTCGAAGTGCTCCCGAAGTCAAATTCACAGTAAAATCGGAAGAGAAGTCTTCATATCAGCCAAAATCACGAGCAGCGTAGAAAACCGAATTGAAATAGATTGAGAGATTAATAATTTTTTCAGTTTGAAGAGAAGCTGTTCCGAGCTCGATTTTCACGATACAAAGTCGGTTTCCGACAAAAATGCAACCGTTCATCCTCTTTTACGAGAACTCGAAAAGAATGAACCACTTGTGAATCGAACAGTGAGCATGACTTCTGATTTTAAGAACTCTCAATTTCAGAGTACTCAAAAAGTTTATGTCGATCTGGAATCTGCAATGCCTGAAGGACACAAAAATAATTCCGAGTTCGATGCCACGTGGAAGGATCCTGCTGCTCATTCCGGCGACATTTCGTTTGATCAGTGGGAGGGTCCGGAAGAGGACGTCTTCCATTCTTTCAAAGACCAGTGCGACGGAGAGGACGACGAAACTGCGCAGATTGAATTGGACGAGACAATGGAAATGCACACACCGCCGCCGCCGAACGTCATGCACGCCAAATCGATTCTGAAGAGTGCCATTAACCGAGAGGAAGTGTCAAAGACAAAGACGCCAAAAACTGTTTCATTCAAAATTAGAAGAACGACCACGAAACTGATTAGCATGAGCCAGATGCACACAATCAAGTGCCGTTTTCAGGTTAAAATTATATTTTGATAATCTGTTTATTCCTAATATTCAGGGTTGCGGTCGGCAGATTTCGTGGAAGCCTAAATACGGAAAACTCCGCCTAATTGATCACGTTCTGTCGCATTCGGAAGCGAAACATTTGTGCTGCAACCTGTGCGACTTTACGTGCATTACTTCCCGACAAATGAGATATCACTTCGAGAAGAAGCACAGTGATGCGAAAATGGAGGGATTCGGAATGTTGAAGTAAGATTGTAACATTGTTCTAACTCCGCTTATTCCTTCCGATCTCATTGAAGGTTATTCAGTTTGCCAATTGACAAAATGGACCTAAAAATGGTTTGGGATATCTGTTACGAAGGTGCGCTGGAACTGGGAAAAGAGGGTTGAAATGAGAATGTTCAGGGCAATTGGAAGTGGTCGGGCCGGTGAGTACAACTAGATATGTGCGAAGAGCCAAGAAAACGAAGAAGAATGCGACCGGAACAGAGGCTGAAAAAAAGGACGAAGATGACGTCGGAAGTGAAGACGGTCCTGAACCGGGAGAAGAACCCGTTCATCCAGTTGTATTCTAGTACGTTTTCTGCTCAAAGTAACGAAGCAATCACTTTAATCCCCTTCTGAAAACTTCCCTTTCCGTTTGATCAATTTACAATTTATGCGCAGTTTCCGCAGAATCTGCTGAGCAACTACGTCATCAACCTCACCCATCGCATCATGTTCAATTATCATCTTGTTCCATTCAATACCGTTTTTGTTTTTGTTGTTTAATAAACCTGTTATAATAAGTATTAATCCTTTATAGTGGTTGCTCGATGAGAACAAATATTTATCAAGTGCCAACTGATTACGCATCAATTGTGTTGCTTCTCACTGGCGCCAAAACGAGTGGGATCCACAGTTTTTGACAGATGAGTTCGCAAGAGTTCATCTTCCGACTTCCCAGTTTAACTTCGAAAAGCTTCCAGACTGTTGTACTGAAATTTTCTTCGTAAATAAACTACTGTGCTCGAATTTTCTTGATCGTTCGTTTGCAGTAATTGAGCAAATAATCGAGAGAAACGGCAGAAAATATTGTCAGTTCGCACCCTGAGCTCTTTCTTTCGTTTGTCTTCCATTTCCATCCATTCGCTCTTTTTTGCCTGCGATCATTCCAGAAATGAAACGACAAAACACGATCGAACTGGCGAATATCGGAGAGAACGGAGACTCGATCGACGACCTCCGGGTCTGTGTTTCTGAGCCTTTCCGCCGCAATCCGTCGCTTTCAGCAGATTCTGAATCACGCGGAAACGACGTCGTTCGCGAGTCAAGCATCCACTCCCACCAAGATGTTTCCGACGCGATTCGAGAGGTTCTCGAGTCAGATGACTTGTCCGATTATTGCCGAGGAATCTGTAGGGCCGTCCGGTGAGTCATTTGCACCACACTTCGAGATATATTCTATTATCATCCGAGGATGATCCAGAGAAGGTTCGGAGCACATTGAACAAGCTTTAAGGGCAGAATACTGTCTCACTTACTCAAAAAGTTGTGAGCAGATCGAAGTGTGAGCGAAGATGGCATAGTTCAGAGAACATCCGTGTTGCATTTTTCATTTCGGCACACGATATGTACATGATATTTATTGTGTTGTTGACCGTGGAACAGGTTCTTTGCCGGCCGCCCTTCCTCCGATCTTTCGGCTCCTGCCAAAGGATGCTCTGCCAGACTGCTCCGCCCGTACCTGTCTGCCACGTCATCCTACTCGTGTACTTGAGAATGGACTGGAGAGAGAGAGAGAGAAAGGGAAAAGGGGAAAGTAATGGACCCCTTTTGTTCGTTTTGTGCTTTTACTCGTGCAATAACAGGAACCGTCCGTCCGTTGACCTTTCGCGTTTATTCAAACAATGACCGTTCGGACAGTGGAAGCCGCGCCCTCCCGTGGTAATTCCCAATTCACGGCTTGCCGATGAATTCGCAGCATGAGTCCTATTTTTTGAGCCGCCCACGAGTTCGAACCGGAGCAACCCGTTCCGACGGCTGCTCCGCGAGCACACTGTCAAATAGCGCCCGTTTTTGCTCTTCGTTTTACCGGTTCATATGCCATTCCCTTTTTTATGATCTTTCTTTTGACGGTGATCTTACAGTGATTCAGTTTCACTGTTCTTCTGATACAGGACCTACAGTAAAATTTTTGTTCTTGACTTTGACAACAATCCTAGAACAACTTTGGCACTCCCTTTTCCTACTTGTTATTTTCTTTTTCAGGAGCCGAACCGGACCGTCCATTAGGTCGGTGCCTTTCTGAAATCCAACCTGCTGCCCGACCACCACCCCATCCACGCCGTTTCTCCCTTTTCAGACGACCTTCATCCCAGCAAATCCATCAGGAAAAGAGGTCAGCATCCTGCGAGTTCACGACCGCGTGGCTCAAAACTTCCAACTTTGAGTGAGTTGCCATCAGAATCTCACTTCATTCTGAAGATTCTATTGCAGTCTGCGAGAAGGGACGGATCCAGACCAAGAAGGTCCGGAAGGAATGGGCATCCCGACGGTAGGTTCAAGTGCCTTCCGATTCCATGCGTTTCATTTCCAGCAGGACGACTCACTGGACCAAGTTCGTTTTACCGGAGGCATCGAACGACCGACACAGGTGAGATGGACATGTTTGGACGGAAAAAAACCGAATGTTTGCTCAGCTAACGCGAATCAATTCGGACTTCTCGATCGGCGAGAACGATAGCGAGAACGGCTCGACGACGGAGGCAGAAGACAAGACGCCCGAGTCGGCGGAGATGACGTGGATGCGGGACAAGAAGGCGAAGTGAGTCCAACGAAACAAACAGGTCTGAAGCACTGAAATAAAGGGGGAGACTAGCAGTTGTCTAAATACCTTAATTGATGGTATTTGGAAGGAGTGAAGAACATGCGAAAATGGTTTCTGTTCGAATCCTTCTGCTACTTTGATCATCCCCACTCGCGTTCTTTTCTTCTGCTTTTCGTCGTATTTACCAAATGCCACACCTCGATCTATTCTCATTCGAAACTAGACGCAATCCAGTGAAAGCTTCCTCCGGCGGGCCCGTTCGTCCTCTCCGCTCACTGCTTCAGTCGATCATGATGCGGCTGTTGTCGGTCGACGAGAACTCGGGCCCCAGTGCCAGGTGCTTCTGCCCTTCCCCTTCGCATTCCGATCCTCATTGAGCCTGTTTCAGGACTTCGTTGCTCACCGCTTGCACTGTTTTTTACGCTCTTTTCCTCACAATCTTCTCGTTGGTCCTCGAATTGGCACATCTTCTCAATGACGAAGAAGCCAGGAAACTTAACAAGAAGGATATTGTGAGTACATTCGCAATCGCTTTTAGGGCAATGGACGGGGCTTCAGATATTTGGGCTGTACATGTATGGCGGATCGCTGGTGTTCTTCTTCTACATGTACATTGTTCTCCTTCTCAATCCCAGGTGGTATTCAACAATGCAATACTTGGGAGTAAGTGGACGCAACTTCAACTGCTCTCCAATCAAAGAGCAATTCCAGAAGCTGTTCGGAGTGTGCCTGCCTCGACCGAAAGTGAGTCCATCCTCCGATTCTCTAAGCTCTGCGGCGGCTACCGTCCGAAAGGTGACCCACAGCAGTCCCTCAGCCGGCAGTCTCTTCCTTCGCCTCGGTTCTGTCGTGTTCGGAGTGACTGGAGTCGTCTACTACGCATTCCTCGTGTTCCTCTGCGAACTGGACACTAACTGCTCAGCGCTGTCCACGTCCCTTGATATCTGTGCCATCTTCTTCATTTTCATCCAAATGCATTTCATCTTCTGCAACTGGAAACTTTCGATCACTGGTTCACACATGGTCGCACGAATCGGCACGATGCATCTGGTGGCAGCCAATCTGTGGACGTGGATTAGATACGTTCTGATGGAAGAAGGCGTCATGGAGAAAGAGATACGGTAGGAGACGATTCAGTATGAAAAGTGCTATCTCTCTTTCAGGGAGGTGTTCAAGCATCGGCCATTTCCTCATTCTCCGCCCGGAAACAGTTCAATGGATTCTTCCGAAACGTCCGGAGAACTATTCGGAGACACTTCGAAGGAGGTTGAGCACGGAAAGAAAGCAATTGAAGGGAGTTGTCAGGCAGTCGAATGCTTTCTAGGTATACTTAGCAGTCTTGTGTTCCATTCAACGCGGTCTTCCAGGCAGTCTTTCCGAGATAATGTTCACTTCGATCGTCGAGTACTCTCTCATTGCGGCTGCTGTGATGTACATTGTCTGGAGGAATATAGGTACTTGTACATTTATATTGGCACTTGCCATTCCAAGAATTAAGGACGGCAAGATCACGGATCGACGTACGTGAAACGGAAACATCAAATCCGTGTCGACTGCTCGAAGACCACGACGGGACTGTTTCTGGGTCTCGCCTTCCTGGCGGTCACTTTCACTTCAATGGTAGTTTACTACGGATTCACAATGATGCACAAGTCCCAAAATGCTGCCTTCGTGTATGCATTCACTGACATGTTCCAGGTATTCCTCAAAAAAAAATGCAAGTCGTATCCTCTTGTTTCAGTACGTGCTGTCGACAATCGGAGTGCTCACGGCAATCTATCAAATGAGGGCGTTGAAGTATTTCAACAAGAAGACTCAGCTTCAGAATTCCGACCAAGAACTCCTCGACCAGATACTTTTATCGATTGGTCTCGTAGGAGAACTCATTTATTCCGTTGCTGGACTCGTTGGTCTAACTGGCGAAAAACAGTGGACCAACTTCTCCTTCATCCTTCTTTTCGTCCACATTTTCAGATTGATACAGGTAAACGAGAAGCTGGTGAAGTTGAAAATTCCGTTTTTTGTTCAGGTCGGCACTCAAACATTCCTGCTGCACGTGGCAAGAAGTGTGCGGATGGGGTGCGAGGATCGGGAAGCGCAGCCGGGAAAACAAGCGATCACGTTCCTTCTCACTGCCAATCTCGCAATTTTCTTCATGAATTTGTTTGAAAGTGAAAAGGCTGGCGTTTCTGAAATTATTATAGGTTCGTGTGTTTCTCGCCAACTCGAAATCACTCTGTCTTTTCAGAATATTACGGGAAACGGTCGTGGGTGTTCCTCGTCCGCAGCTTTTCGCCTCTCACGATATTCTACCGCTTCCACAGTTCCGTCTGTTTTGCCGAGATTTGGAAGAACGTCTACGCCGCGAAGACACATCCAGTCCACATTTCTGCCACGTCAACAGTCACCCCAATCAATGTCTGATGTCACAGTTTTCTTGTATATTTATATCTAATTTACGGGTTATTCTACGAACATTTTAAAGACGTTTTGAGGGCACAAAAATTGTGAATTTGTTCATTTCTATGTTTCATTTCACACTTATCTTTCGATAATGGCGAAAGATACGATAGCATCAGAAGATCAAAAAAAGGTTTTCGTCTGTGAATTCAAGCAATGGAGAAATAAATTGTATTCAGGTCCGAGGTTTCGCGAACAAGATAATAGCTAAACTAATATTCCGATGGAAGCACAAAAACTCGATGGAGCTGTTCTGTGCCGCGGAGCTGGCTGAGCTCTGCATGCGAGCTCGTGAGCTCATTTGGTCGGAGCCGATCTGTCTCCAAGTGACGGCGCCGATCTGTGTGATGGGCGATCTGCACGGACAGTTCGACGACCTTCTGGGCATGTTCGATCTTAACGGATGGCCGCTGACAGAAACGGAATTCCGGTGGTTTTATGTCAGTTCGACTTGGAAGTCAATCAAGAGATTTCATTTATTCAGGAGAAGGTTCGGAATGCCGATAAGCAGGAGAAGAAGTCCGCTCAGCAGTCCACAATGAAATCCACGATGGCCGATCCGACTGCGCCGCCTCCTCCCACTCCGAGAGCTGGAGCCGGTTCTGACGTTGAAATGGAAGAAGACCTCGGATTTAAGAGATATCTGTTCCTGGGAGATTACATCGACCGGGGACCCTATTCCATAGAAGTGGTCGTTCTTCTTTGTGCCCTCAAATTGGCATATCCCGACAGAATTTTCATGCTCAGAGGAAATCACGAATCCAGATCAGTCAACTGCCATTACGGCTTCTATAAAGAGGTCACATATCGGTCGGAATACTTGTTGTCATCGTAGTTTTTCATCAGTTGTTTTTCAGTTACGACGTGCAGCTGTACGAGTTCTTTCAGAATCTGTTCAATGTTCTTCCGTTCTGTGCAGTCATTGAGAATGCGATCATTTGCATGCACGGAGGAATCAGTAGTCATTTGACCAGTCTCTCTCAGTTCGCCGCTTTCAAACGGCCGCTCGAAGTGGCCGACGTCGGAGTTCTTGCCGATCTGACATGGGCGGATCCTGATCCGGTATCCTTCCCCGTCCTACTCTTCATTAATCACTTTTCAGAGTGTCGTCGAATACAAACCGTCGCCTCGTGGAGCTTCTTCTGTTTTTGGACCCCTTGCCCTTCGTAAATTTCTCAAGAAACTCAACCTCCGAATGGTGATCCGTGCGCATCAAGTGGTTGAAGACGGCTACGAGTTCTTCGACGATCGGCGTCTCGTGACGATCTTTTCGGCTCCCAACTACTGCGGGCAAAATGACAACACGGCAGGCATCATATCAATTGACAAGACTCTGGTAAGAAGCCCACGGCCCGGCTTTTCATACATAGGACTTTCGGTTTTTTTCAATATATCTCCAGAAATCGAACATAGGGACCTCTGATTTTTTGATAAGAGTTCAATTTTACTGGGTTCTTCAAAATGAGCCAGGTCAGAGGTAAATGTAAGGTTTCTGAGAGAAGTTACAGCTTCACAATTTCCACTCCTCCGTATGCTTTGCCGACCCGTGAAGCCCTTCATTTTTCCATGATAATCGTTTGCGTTCAGCACATCTCGATTACTGTGTATCGGCCGGATAAGAGAGATAAAACTGGATTTGACAAGGAAAGGAAACAAAGGGAAACGGCGGGGCAGAAGACATCTTGAACTGAAGCTTTTTGATTCTTATTAATAAAAGTCCCTTACACGTCCCGCCCGTGCCGGTTTAATATAGTTGAAAATATACACCCTAATTTTTCTGGGAAAAGGCTGATTTTTTATTTTTTTTTACCTCTTCCTTTTACCTACTGCGGCAAACAAAGCAGCACACACTGGCGCACCTATGCGTAAGCTCCAAATAGTCTATCGCAAAACATCGGCCATTGCGCGCGTTTCTCGGCCATCGATTCAGTTGATTGCAACAAGAAATGAGTTGCGAAGCGGTGCCGAGCACAAGCAACGGGGGAGCACAATGCCAGGAATGCGGACGGATTCTCAAATCGGAGGAGCATCTGAGGAGGCACGAGAAAACACACGACGAGACGAGCAGGTTCGTATTTCCTCAGATCTTCCCATTTTCAAAATAATCTTCAGGAACCAAGAATGCTCAAATTGCGATAAGAAGTTTCATAGCGCAGAATTGCTCCGAAAACATCAAATTGTGCACAATATACCGAAGTAGGTGACGTTCTGAACAAGAAACTCTTAAGAATCGGAATCCAGAAAATCGATAGAATGCGAAAAGTGCGGGAAGAAATACAGTTCGAAGACGGCTCTCTCGAAGCACGTGCGGGCCCACGACTCCAACAAACGGTTTGTCCGATTGTTTATGACATTTTACGTACTTTATCATCAGGTTCGCATGCCCAGTTTGTCTTGCTTCATTCGACCTTAGCGATCCGTTCAAGGTACTTTCAGTCTTTCTATTCATGTGCTTATGTGTTCCACTTTCTCTCATTCGCAGATTCACTTGCGGAAACACGATAACCTGAAGCCGTTCATCTGCAGTTACTGCTTCAAACACTTTCAATCTAGATCTGTATGTCGGAGACACGTTCAGCTAATGCACGAGAACCAGAAAAGAACGGGTGATGCAGAATAAGTTTATGAGTAAAATAAATACAGAGTACATTGTGCATTACACTCCAAACAGCAATTAAAGTTTACTTGAGACTTCCGTGGAAGAGAGTTTCGAACAGTTCGACTAATCGTCGCATTTCCTTGCTGAAAAAAAAAACAAAGATTTCTGAACAATTCAGCAGGGGCACTTACATTTGCCCCGCCAATTTTTGCACATTTCCCATCGACTGATTGACTTCCTCTACCTTTGCAAGCATCTGAAAATATTCGAATATAGTCGGGACTACTGATTTCACGATTCCTACAGCGTAAGTCGACTTGACGTTGGAATCAGCTGCATCACACGCTTTCTCGACTCCGGCGTTGTAGCACTGGAGCGACTCGAGTGTCAGATCGGACATTCCGTGCAGAGACCCTCTGTAACAATTCCCTTATTCCAGAATGTAGTCTTCCAGTTTTCACCTCATATCCCTGAGCATTGTGTCCATGTTGCTCACGATCTCTTTCGTATGCGTTTCCAGGTCGACGAGAATCATCGGATCTGGCAGTCCTGGAGTGCTGACGGTTTTCTTCGGACTATTCGAGATACGAGCGCTTTCCCGGATGCGTTCTTCGAGATCTTCAACCACGAACGACGTTTGCTTGACTGGCGGAGCAGGCTGTGAAGTGGTCGGAGTGTCCGGGCTTTCCGAAGAAGACATTGCACTGCAAGGGCTACAAAATCAATGAATATTCTAATTAGGTGAAAAGTATGATGAGCATCGATAGAAACGGGCTGTGAAATCAGAAGAAATTCGTTAAAAATGATATAAATTTATTTTCAGGATAACCGTATGAAACAGCGGAAAGGTCTTAAGGAGGCAGTAAAGAGAAATGCTTGAAACCCGAAGAAAGAAGAAATAAAGGCACGCAAGGGAAGGAAAGGTACTGTTAGTGCATCAGATTCATGATCTCATCGCCGAAATCTTTCCGTGGCGGAGACCTCCTCGCCGCTTCGTATCCACTATTATGCCATTGCGACGTAGAAAGAGTATTTGCTGCATTCGGGACTGTGACAAAGCAGCGGTGCTGTCCTGCAGCCTCCTCGGGGCCGTTCAATGCGGGCGGGATTCCGAGAGCGTACATGGAATAGTAGACGTCGAGAAATCCGCTTCGCACACAGCCGTCTATGTTTACGTTTGTGCACAGACTCCATATTTTCTCCGCGACTTCTGCTGAATTGCATACCAACTTGTTTCCGAATTTTGTGCTGTAAAGAGAGTTATATGGTTTGAATTTAATTGAATAAACTAACTTTTCTGTATGTTTGAACGGAGGAGTTTGAGCGAACAACTTGGGAATGAGAATGCGGATCGAGGGATCCTCGTCACTTTCAGCCAACTCTAGAAGTCTCATCAAATCTGCCCGCTGTGTCTCTGCTGCGTGGATGTCGTTTGCAACCCGATCGACCAACAGGGTAACTGCGCAACGTCTCATTTGAACGCACGCATTCCGGTGGGCGAACGTCCACAGAAGATTCGAGTCGAGTGGAAGATAACCGCATTTTTGCATCTGGTACAGTCCGCTGAGCGCGGCGATTCCGACAATTCGACCGTAGCTGGGATTGACGGTGTCCATGTTGAGTGCGTATGTGAATTCTTTGATGAGAATGCGGTATTCTGTGCTGAGGTTCTCGGGCAGATCGACTCGGAACGGAAGGCTTTCGTTCGGATGGATGCAAGCCACCAGAGAGTTGTAAAGTGCGGCGCGGTAGAAGTCGTCCGAATAACGATTCGTCGAGTTGTCGTTGAATTTGATAAGATCCAGAAGGAAGGGAAGCACTTCGTCGTGGCATCCTCCGCCCTGTTTGCAACAACGCGATATTGCCTGTGGAAGGGCCTGCATCACGAAATATTGCTGAAGATTATGAGCAGTGACCACGAAGTTATTCGATCTCGGAATGTTCGTCGCAGCTTTTGAACCAAAGTTTTCCCTGCAAATCACGAAATTAAAATACGAAGTAACAGAATCGGATTTTACCGGAACATGTTGATCAGAACTGGAGTGCCGATTATAATCGCTTCCGATTTTCTATTCAGAACAGACGAGAGAACGAATGCAGCACGACATCGGATTCTGTAGAAAAAGCGCTCGTTGGCGACGGCGTCCACTATGACACTCCGGCTGAGGGCCGACGGTAGCGACTGGATCCGTTCGAGTGCTTCCATCTGAGCAATGACGTCTCTTTCGTATTTGAGCATGTATTCCCAGTGGAACATCGGCTGGCTGATGGAAATCTCTCTTATCAGCAGGTAATCGTGATCTATCCTGAGCCACAAGATCGGTGACTCCGCATCCATGTTAGTCAGATCAATTTCAATTTCCTCGCCTGTCAAAATGGGTACTTTCTTCTTCTTCTGTTTTCGTCCTTTCGAATGACACGATATCTCTGCGTGCGAGACCAGCCCGTCGATTTGGATTGTGTGCGAAAAGGCGCCGTCCACTTCCTGCACAATAACCGAAAGAGGTCCTGTGTAGGGCATCCGTCCGTTTCCGTTGCTCACTTCTTGCTTCACTTCGATCTCCACAATGTTCCTCTTCCGGTTGAAATCAAACTTGAGAGCGAAGGCGGCGTGCCCGCCCGACCGTACCCACTGATCCAAAAACGAGGGGATCTCCCGTCCGGTCACAGAGCAAACCGTCCGAAAGAAGAGATCTGTGCTCGTGAGAAGATGTCTCCACGCGGGCGGACTGTATTTCTTCTCGCTCATGTCCAGGGCTACTGTGAGCACTCTGTGCAGCACCCGCATGAACGGCTCGAGTCCGATCCTCTTCTGCAGCATCCGCATCATTAGAAATCCCTTCTTCAACATCGCTTCTACGTAAAGGGGGGATGCGGTGTATTCGTGCCTCGAATCCACGTGTAATGCAAGTCTCGCATCACCCGTCTGATCTGGCGACAGAATGATCTTTCCCCATTGATGCTCGAAGTCACAAACGTCGTCCATTGCCCTCTTCAGTTGCCATCTTGCTTCCGCAGTTCCCAGTTTCGTTTCCACGTATAAACTCGTCAGGAAGCGCGCAATCGATCGCACAATCCACCAGTGCCACCAATGAGCCGGCGAGATGAGGCATCCAAAGAACTGTTGAGCTATGGCGAAGATCAGCTTCTGTCGCACTTCCTGCACAACGTCGATGATTTTTTTGTGGTACAGCAGTGAAGTGGGCACTATCAGAAGGGAGCTGTACACTTGGATCTCGTCCGGGCTTTGATCCACAAATACCACTTTTAGTGTTGGAAACGGAAAGCGGCACGAGAGTTTCTCTTCGAGGAATTCCACCATTTTGTCCAGGTACATAGTTGTATGCTTTACAAATGGTTCCAAGTCAGGCAGCGAAAATGTGTATATCTGTAAAAGAGGTCTTTCGAGTTTGAGCTTATTCGATCAATTCGTACCGTCGGCGACTCTGGATGTGGTTCCAAGTTGAACTTTCCGATTGTCCAACCCATATTGCATGCGCTCGTAGGTACTTGTTGCACGAAAGTGTACATGATCTGTCCGTCGCTTCTTTCCGTTTTGTGTGCTAGTTCTCCACTTGCGATCGGAACAAGTTCTGGGTCGAGCACAAAATTAAGCTCCCAAATTGTGAGCTGATCCGGTTCGTCAAGGCATGGAGCCCATTCTCTGGTTCCCGAAATGTACGGAGAGTGATACGTGTACAAGTGGACGTCGTCTCTCCTGTCGCCAGTGAAATCGACAAACTTCACACCCTGAAATACACTTTTCAGCTGCAAAAACTAACGGAATAAAGCTTACTCTCTCGGGGCTCTCTACGATTGCATCGATTCGTACTTGCACGCACTTCCTCGTTTGTTTCAACCGTTTTCTGATATCTTTTGGGACTGATATGCGTAGATTATAGTCGCCGTCCCTTAACTTTTCACTAATTTTCGGCTCCAGATTCGAAATGCTCTTTTCCGGTCTCGAGTTAACTACATCCTGAAAATTGACTTTCTTTTACCGGTTCTCAACTTTCCAACCTACTCCAATAGAATCTTTTCGAACGTAAGCACACTCAATTCCATCTACTGTAACCGCCATTCCTGATACTCCGGACGCCTGATTCGGCAGCAAAAGATGCCGTCCGATGTGCAGATCAATGTGATGAATCGATCGTTCGAGGGGCATCAGAACGATTTCCGTTTTGACTTGAAACCGCCGATCTTTCAGGGATACATTGGAAATCTCTACCTGAAGACAATGAATGCGTTGGAAATCAGAGAAGGTTAGGAGCAAACCTTTTGCTGCAGAAAACGGTACGGAGCCTTATCCTTGACTCCTTGCACACAGAACACTTCAGGACCGGCTACGCTCGGAGACTGAGGGGCTGCTGCTGCTGCTGGGTCGGGCTGTCGGGGCCTCGGAGGATAGGGCTTCGCGAACCCGTTTACTCGTTCACCGTATTCCGTGCCCTCCATATGTGATCTGAGAAGTAAGGGTTGAATGAGGTTATGGCAGGATAGAGAATATGGGAATGAACGAAATGGCACGGACCGCAAACCGATGGTATTATAAATTCGTGTAGAAACAGACGAAAAATTTATTAGCAACAAACGAGAAAACAATGAAACTGTGAAAATAGCTAGTACGAGCTGGCCTTATGTTTCGGGATGAACGTGAAGCCTTCAGGAGTCGGACCGAGAAGTCTCTTCGAGATTTCAATCCAATCTTCAGCCCGCTGACTGGACAAAAGAGTCTCCAGCTCGTTGCGACCACGGTATTTCGGTGGGCGATCGTTTATTCTCTGCGGGAGTCTCTCTAGAAGTCCCACGGGAATATATCTGCATTGGAAGGAGAGGAACTCGAGCAGGAATCTTCGCGTGCGCTCCACACCTGCGTCGTCCGACCCCCAGTGGTCGAGACCGTAGTCGGTGAATCTGAAAGGTGAAGAAAGCGGAGGTGAAAAGGCGGGGTCGCACGAACACCGTTCGGGCAAAAAAAAAATCAAACACTCACTTTTTGAGCAAGTCAAATCGCTCATTCGCACTAATGTCCCATGTTCTTCTCTCGTCTATTTCAGTGAATATCCATGGCTTAATCAGCGCTCCTCTTCCAATCATAATTCCATTTATTGAATTTTTTTCCAGTCTCCCGTAATAGTCTTCCCAGCTCAGAACATCCCCGCACACCCACAAGGGAACTGGTTTTGTGGCCTCGTACACTGGCTCAGTGAACTCCCAATTCGCCAATTTTGTGTATCTTTGCTCTTTGCTTCGCGGATGAAACGTGATCAAATCAGGCGTGTGCCACGGGTTCTTGCGCATCAGTTCAACAGTTTCGTGTGCCTTTAAAATGCCTTCCTTCTGGCCTGTTCTGATTTTCACAGTCATTGGACAGCCCCCCAGAACGTTCTTCGTAGCCGCGAGCACTTCGTACATCTTGGGAGGTCTGCTCGCGAGAGCACACCCTCCCCCTTTCTGATTGACCACATCAATGGGGCACCCCATATTGATGTCCACGAAATCGACGTCAAAGTTTTCAACGACGATCTGAGCCGCTTTGGCCATCGTGTCCGCGAACCCTCCGGCCAATTGCACTCCGAAGATCTTTTCGGAAGGATGTCTTTTCAAAAGACTGTATTCAGAAGCAGCTCCCGAGAGAATGCTCGTGGCGACGGCCATTTCCCCGCAAGTGATGTCCGCTCCGTAGTCGACACAAATCCGACGGAACGGAAGATTTCCGACAGTCGTGAGCGGTGCCAGGTATTTCTTTCCGTCCAACGTCTTCATGTCCAACTTCCGTTTCTCCTGCCACATCGCTCCGATCGTCTCGTTCTTGATTCCTTCCAGTGCCTTTTCAGTCTTTTCGAAGTCGTAAGTGTGCTTTCGGAGGGCAACTTGGATCTTCATCGAATGACTGTTCCCCGTCTGTTCGTACGGCTTTTCCGGCGTCTAAACTTGAACTTTCGGCAAGTAAAATATGCGAAATGGAGTACCTTTTCTGCTTGTTTTCCATTTCCATCCACATGGGCACTTCCGAATCGGCAAGCATAACTGAACGGGCACGTACCGCGAGCATCGTACAAGGGGCATTTGTCAGCAATGTCCTCTGGTTTCCTCTCGAGAAACGCAGAAATATCGTGCTCACAATTGCATTTTTCTCCGAATCTGAAGAACATTTCTCAGCTAAGACTTCTGTTTTTGACATTTGACTAACTTGCAAGCGACCGGCTGGATCACCGACGGGCACAGACGGACAGCAGCCGCGCGGATTCTTGTCTCCGCATGCTTCATGTCCTTTCTGAAAAGGCGTTTTGGCGAAATGCCCATTATTGGTTTAACCTTCTGGTCTTGTTCATTCCTCTTCTTTCTCTTTTTGGCAGTGCTTGAACATCTTCCGGCAACTCGCGCTCTTCTTTCTGAGAACATTCAAGCTTTTTTTTAATGATTGTCAAGAAAAGCAACTCACCGGAAGGATGAACTCTTCCTTAATCGGAGCCACATTCAAATCGCGAGAATCTTGGCCCAGTTGTTCGGTGTCAGCCATTCTCTTCCACCTGTCTTCCGCTTTTCTATGATTTAGGGAATTTCAATTGATATATCCGAGGTGGAAAAGACCTTGATAAAACGAAAGAATTTGACAACTGTGATTTTTATTCAGTGATTCAATCATTTTTATCATTATCAGTCAGGTTTTGTTCCACGTCAAACCGCTCCTTCAGCTTTTTGCCATACCCGGTTTTGGTCATGTAATTTCGTTCTTTACAACATTTCCCGCATTGCTCTGTGATGGAACTTTTCTGCTTTACTGTTAGCTTTGATTTTGAAAACTGAAACGGCACAGTTTCGTTTTGGTTCGTAAGAGAAAAACTCACATTTCCAACAAGAACTTCTCTACAATTTTTGCAGAACTGTTGCTTCTCCTCTCTCTCCAAATGGACCATTTCTGTGTCCATTACTTGTCGACATAGTTTTGAGATGTGTCGACTTGTTTTCGAGAACCCATCGTTAATTTCAGTGCCTGAGAACTTTAAATTAAATCAATATATTATTCAAAAAAGCAATTAACTCACCCAATTGAGACAAAAAGACAGCACAACGGTGTAAGTGAACCGCCCGGGCATATCCTAATTTGTTTTTTACATTTTTCTGTCCTCCTGCTTTCTGATTTTGTCCATTTTTCTTCCGTCCCATTATTGGAAGCTAAATAAATCTTGTAAATTGAGAAACCCGCCGTCGCTTTCGAACGATATTTTCTCTGCGTCTCCACCCAGCGCACATTCTCTCGATTGTGCGGTGGAGCGCGCTTGCCTCATTCAGTTGAGACACTCAGAATTTTCAAGTTTTCGCAGGTTGTCGTCAAAATTCTCAGCAATAAAATAGTTTCTAATGAGTTGAAGTCTGAAGTACGTTTCTTGGATTTTATTTTCAACACGATCTAATACGTTCTCTGTAATTATATAAAATTCTCTTTTTCATTTTTCCAGTAATTTACTATTTAATACTCAATCAAAAATTTATTTTCAGGGTTTATCAAAAATGGAAATAGACACCAACACAGAGAATTTTGGTAATTACATCGTCGCTGAAAAAAGGTAACTTTTGTTGTAATCGAAACTGAAATTAATAACGGGAATTTAGGCTTGTGAAATTGAAAGATGGCTTTTCGAAAAACGAAAAAGAAAAGAACGATTTGATAAAAAAAATAGCAGAGAGATGCGTTCCGAAAAAGTATGCCGAAGTACTGAAACGAGGTAATTTGAGTTTTAGAATAAATTTCTACTGTAATTTTTTTCTCAGAAGGAACACAGGACAGTTCACAGACGGAAGATTTCTCAAAGTCAAAGCGGATATGTTTGGAAACTCGGTATGCGGCGGAGATTAACGTGTCAGAGCCCCAGCCCACGCCGTCCCTCAACGAAGCAATTCGAATACTTGCGAATGATTCGGAATTGGTGAACATCGGCAGCCAATTGACACAAGACGGTGAGTTTTGCTTCCATTCAAGTACAATTTAATTGATTAATTCACAATTCAGGTGCCAATCTCATTGGCGGATGTACACGGTTAATACTCCGCACGATAATCCAGAGCGCAAAAAAGACGGCAAATAGAGAGAATAGGAAGCGGTTAACGCCTTCAGATGTAGATATTGCCACTGCTATCGTCAAAGTAGACTACGATTTGACGTGCCCACTCCTCAGGCCGACACCTTCCACTGATCGAATGTTCTGGGGAAGGAAAATGACAAAACCCAAGAAGACCATCGGTAAATTTTTGAGAAAAAAAGAACACATCGGAAAGCTTGTTCCAGATGCAAATTCAAAAGAAATTGTGTCCCATGAACGCTTCCACGAGGGCATTACATTGCGCGATCACTGGCTGGTGGTGGAGGGAGTGCAGCCATGTGTGCCCGAGAATACGATCCCCGCCGAAGTGCGACGGAAGTTTCAAGAGCAACAACACGAGCATCAACGACTGTACGGATTCGGACAACCCGGGATGAAGAGGGACACACTGCCGGAAAAACGACTATCAACGCAAACATTCTCAATTGTAAGTTCATGCGCAAAATGGGTGGAATCGTATAGACAGAGTTGCAGGAACATCAAGTGTTGTATTCGGAAATGACAAAGAAGTTGGCATGTGGAAGTGCTTTGGAGAGACAAAAAGTGCTGGAATGCATCGAAACAGACCCTGGCCTGCAGTTCCTCGTCGGACGGTTCGTGATTCTGATCGCTGAAGGTGTCCGGCTACACATTGGAACCCGCAATATCCGAGGACTGGCCAATCTACTAAAGCTGACTTGGAGCCTCATGAAGAACAGAAATATCCGGCTCGATAAATACGTAAGACAGTTCATAATTATCTAATTTTCATTCGAAATCCTTTCCAGTTGTACGTGCTCATCCCTTCTCTGATCTCGTGCGTAGTTAGCAAAAACATGGTTCCGTTGGTCGACACATCGAAACTTTCCACGTTGGCAGCAAAAGCAACCGTACAAGCGAGTCAATCGGAAATCCAGAATGAAGACAAAGAAAGGATCATCCGGGACTTGGAAACGGAGTTCCGATTACGAGAGACCGCTGGAAGATTACTTGTCGAGTTGTCAGAGTGAGTGTTTGGAGTTGTGAGCTAAATTATAACCAGTTTCTTTTTCAGACAATACCAGTCACAAAATGTAAACGTGCGAATAATCCAAACTCTTCGAAAAGTTCTGAGCGGAATTCACGACCCAGTGGCCATTTACGGAGTTCTCTGCACTTTCTTCGCCTACGGAATTCTTGTGAGTTGCCCGGGAAGCGTTCTCGAACTGACATCTTCTTCTTGCAGACAGTTCAAACCGTTGTCCTGCCCAAATTGCACGACATTTTCTGTTCCCTGCAGAACTCTCGCGTCGAAATGTTTCCGGCCAAAACGACGATGACGAAGATGAGGAAAATCATTGTGGAGACGAATGCGATGCGAATGGAAGTCGTTCAGAATCGGACTATCGAACTGATTATGGTAAGCTTTCATCAGAAACATACTGATATTAATTGTGTCCTTGCAGAAAATCATCTACGAGAACGAGATCTACAACGAGCGAAAAGTGGTTGACAGAGATGAATACATGACTTCGTATTCAGAATTTGGAGCTCTTTTTTATGAGTAAGAACGTTTGTTTTGTATTGTTTCATTGTTTCCGTTTTTCAGTTATGCTCTGATTTCGAGAATGGTGCACGAGAACACCGGACACCTGAAAGTGACGAGACCTTCGCTCCTTCAGAATCGAAAAGAGTTCTTCAGTGAGTTGGAGAAAATGAAGAAGCCGAAGAAAACTACCACTGCTCCATCCTATCACAACAACAGTCAATTGATGAACGACGAATCGATGCTCGACAACATTCTCGACGATTCGGATCGTCCGTGGACGAAAGCGGCTTCGCAAGTCGAAGAATCAGATCCCTCCCCTCTGAAATACGATAAAGCGACGTTCTTCCGGAAGCCGAAGTTATTTTTGGTGCAGAAGATGAAACATCCGGAGAAAGGCTGGTCAGCCTCGCACATCCGACCGATTGAATACGGATTCATGCCGACAATGCCTTCTGCGAGAATCAGCCGGCGGACGGTCGATATCAGAGAGACGATGGTCAGGGAAAGTGCGATCGGACAGTCCTTTTACGCGTCGAGGGCTTCTGAGCTGCTCAAAACTAAAGAAGAAGCCGTCGAACTTTTTAAAAAATTTGTGAAACGGCCGGATGATCGATCGGGAGCAATCATTTACGGACGGAATCTGCTGATGTCGCGCAAAGGAAAAGATTCGCTTTCGAATGAAATCGCCAAAGCGGCACTACAACTTTCGAATGTTCGTCTCAAAGACGCAGTTGTTTACGACGCCTCGGTGATCCACAAAGACGAAATGAGCCGTGGAAAGTTCCTGGCCAGACCGCAGACTCTGATTGGCTCCTAAAAATCCCTTTTATATTTGCCTTGCTTTCTCTTTTTTGTGATCTTTTCCGTTTACCTATTGATCTCTTCTAATTTCCTGCCATTTACGCTCATTTTTTCATTGTTCCGTGCCTTTTTGAATATCATTATCCTTTTTTTTTCTTATTAATCCGATGTAATAAAAATTATCTACCTTGATGAATGACTGTTCCACCTTATTTGTTCGTGTTGAGCTGGGCACTTCGGCCTTATCTTTTCCCTTCTCGAACTCCTCTGAAAACTCTGTTTAGGGTAAAATGGAAGATCTGAAAGGTAAAAAGTGCATCGGATGCCAGAAGGCGGCCAAACTTCGGTGTCCGACGTGCATCAAGATGTCGCTCCCGGACGCGTTCTTCTGCGATCAAGTTATTCGAACACAAACTTCCTTCACAATCATTTCCTTTCAGACGTGCTTCAAAGCGTTCTGGCCAATCCATAAAATCTCGCATACCAGCGCCGACGGACCGTACAATCCATGGCCGTGCTACTCTGTATTTTTCACTTCTTTGAATGTTCCCATTTTTCCACTTTTCAGTTTACTGGTCCACTCCGTCCCGCCCGTGTTTCCGAACGTAGAACTGTTCCGGAACACATTTTGCGTCCGGATTACGCCCTTCATCCGCAAGGGGTCTCTCTGGAGGAAAGACAGTCGAAGAGCGAGAGAATCATAAAAGTGCTCGACGAAGAAGAGAAGGAGGGCTTGAAAGTGGCGTGCAAGCTGGGAAGAGAGTGTCTGAACGAGGCCGCCCGTGCCTGTGAGCCCGGTATTACCACCGACGAGCTGGATCGTGTGGTGCACGAGGCTGCAATTGAAAGAGACTGTTACCCGAGCCCTCTCGGATATTACAAGTTTCCAAAAAGTTGCTGCACTTCCGTGAACGAAGTCATCTGCCACGGCATCCCAGATTTGCGGAAGTTGGAGAACGGAGACCTCTGCAACGGTTGGTACCACTTCGAACGTTTCTTTTCTAACCGATAACGCATTTTCAGTGGACGTGACTGTGTATCATCGTGGATTCCACGGAGATCTGAACGAAACGTTCCTCGTGGGCAATAAGGTCGACGAAGAATCCCGAAAACTGGTGCAAGTGACTTATGAATGTCTTCAGCAGGCTATCGCCATCGGTAAATAATCCAATTGTTCCGCCCAAATATCCTCACGAATTCAGTCAAACCCGGCGTCAAGTTCCGCGAAATCGGCAACGTAATCCAGAAGCATGCGAATGCGAACGGGTTCTCAGTCGTCAAGGGATATTGTGGTCACGGAATCCATCGTCTCTTCCACACTGCTCCCAATGTGCCACATTATGCCAGTCAGCCAGCACTTTTCCCTTAATTTCCTATTTGATCACTATATTATTGCAGAGAACAACGCGACGGGAATAATGAAAGCAGGCAACTCGTTCACCATTGAACCGATGATCAACGCGGGCGCTTATCACGACGACAAATGGCCTGATGACTGGACTGCTGTGACGGTTTGATACCCTCCTGCCGGGTAGATAATCAAAGTGGTATTGCAGAGAGACGGAAAACGTTCTGCTCAATTCGAACAGACTCTTCTGGTGACGGACACCGGTTGCGAGATTCTGACGGCCAGAGAGGGCGGACGTCCGTGGTTCATGGATCAGATCGAACAAAAGTATTGAACCTCCCATAATTGCTACAAATGTTTTGAGAAGTTTCGCCGTAATGAAGACAAGTTGTCCTTTCGAACAAAACACGGTAATTATGCACAACTGGGACGTGAAGTAGTTGCAAATGAGAGTCCTTCACGTAACCACTGATTTCTAATTCATGAGCCTCTGCTTTCATGATGAAAAGAGAGCGCAGAAGGCGTGGAGCAGCAGAGAGGAGTCGAATGGGTCCAGGTGAGGGAAAAGCAACATTTCCCATTTTTGAACACTCATCGTTCAGTTCCGTTCTTTTCCGATTTTGGCTCCCCACAACTTGGCACCATAATAGCGCATTCTACTCCAGAAGTTGGTCGTTCAGTGGTCAAAACTTTTTTTTGGAAGCCCGCATTCGCAGGAGGCCATTGTTCTCCGTCTTCCTCGTCACCCTTCTTTCTATTCGTCACCGACCCGACCGACCTAGCCATTCGACGCTCATTCGTATCGAGTTGGGCGAGTGCATCACATAGTTCTCCCACACATAAAAAGGTACGGTATAGTGCCATCATTTGCACTCTGTCGCCCTCCATGGCGATTCGCTCATTTTAATGGGTCGCTCTCCCCTTTTTGAAGCATTGTTCAGTCGTCCGCACAGCGGCTCGACATAATAGAAATCGTCGTCAATGAAGTGCAACACTTGCTCGATTGCCACTTGGACAGCTTCCTTCGAATTCCGATTCTTCGTACTGGCGGTCCCCTTTCGCTCCGTCTTTCTTCCCTCTTCTATCATTATCCCCCATCACAAAACCCAATATTTTTTCCGGCGACTCTGTGTTTTTATCGCTTCTTTTCATCTTGGCACTATGCCAACAATGCAACATTTTCTCGTTTTGTTTCTTTTTTCCCGAACACTTCTTTTTCTCATCGAAACGTTGTCCTTGAAACGAACGGACAGGTGCAATCTCTCTCGCTCTTTCACACAACTTTTCCGTTTTTTTCTGTCCGAAATCGTACTCGCTTTCCTCATCTCATCTCGCTAATCGAGTCGGATTGCAAACGAAACCCCCTCATACGAAGCCCATAAATCCGTCATGTTTCGGCCGTTTCTCTTTTGATTCAGGAAGATTCTTTTTCTATAAATGTGGATGAAAAGGGAAATGGCACTCGGATTACCCGCAAGAAGGGGAGACGGGCTCCATGAGCTGGGTGCTAATCAAAAGAAAACATTTGGACGGACGGGGCAGCAGGTGAGCACTCGCCGTGCCTAATCTTCTTATAATTACTGTAATAGTAGCATATTGTTTTCTCGTCGAGCACATGCCCACCCAATCCGGCTGATGTGTGCTTTCGATGGGGGTTCTGTTAATCCGTGAGGACTCGATATCAAATGATTCGGAAAGATTAGACCCAATCTGAGCTTGCCACGTGGCACTACTCATAAACTCTGAATCAAAATAGAACCCATATTTTGCTGTTTACTAATTCCATGGAATGGGACTGGACTTCCGTCCCTCGAGCATTCGAAAGTATTCTTCGTTCGCCCCAAATCGGATGTCCTTTTCGCGAATTCCAATTAATCGCATTTAGTACAAAACATGTACGAATCGTAGACAAATATGTCAAAACGCGTATTCCAAAATAAACAGTATCCGCCGCTCCTCACTTTTGACTAAACCAATGTTAATTGAATAAAGGCAAGAACAGGGGAGGATCCTTGCGGGCCGCCCTCCGAGAAGGACAGTCTCGGATTTCAAATGCGATGATTTCGCGCTTCTCTCCGTACGTACATTTGCGGCTTCAGCCTCCTTCATCTTCTCTTCTTCTTCTTCTTTCTCTTTCTTTCCAATCCGAATTCGAACCGATAATTATAAAGAGTAACAGCTGGCAGTTGTCTTCTCCTGACATAAAGACCGTCATGCATTTTCAATGGCCCTCTCTCATTTTTTGCTTCGCCGCCAACAGGCACATTTTTGTGATTTAGTATTTATGTCGGAATATATCATCTGTCCCTTTTTCTTCTTTCTCTGAAAAACGAGGTCGCTGACAATAAAAAATGCAGTACGTACTCGTCGTGCATCGTCCCATCATTGTTCACGGCCCATCTCTCTCCGCACCTGCCAGCCAGTTCACTCCATTGTCATTTTCACTCCAAAATATGTAGAAGAAGAGGAGGAAGAACAAGAAGTTTCTCATTCTTCGCACATAAGGGCGCAGCTCTCTCCAGCACTTAAAAATTCATCTCGGCTCTGGGCGCCACACATATTTCATTGTGTCCAGAGCCTCCCTCCGATGTTTATTGACGGCGCCTCAGTTCCCAGGATCCCCCGGGGAACTGTGGCCCACCGGCCATTCCTTGACAAATCGGTGCGCTTGGATGGGCTAAAGTTTCAACGTTTCCTTCTTTTTTGGGGAGAAGGTCGTGAATTTATGACGTCGAAAGCGGAAACAAAAGAACATCCATCCGGTGCGCGTTCTCCCGTTTTTTTCTGTTTTCTGATGAACAGACATCTGGAATTGACATAATAGTCAAAAGTGCCACGTGGTTCTCACTCATTAAAGTTCAACATGATTTCTGAGATGCTCGTAGTAGTTACAGTAGTCCATTTCCTCGTCATTACAATAGGATGCACAGTTGTTTTTGAAAGTGTTCATAGATCGAAATTCCACGTGTAATCAGTATCAAAGCAAACATCCTATACAATTAGACCGATTCCCCTATTATAATCGGCGGCATCGTTGAAAGCATCGGAAGTGATTGTTTGCACACTTTTTTAGTCGGTCCTCACGGCCGCCATCACCACCACAACCTTTTCGAATTCATCTCTTCTCCTTTCTCGTCTTCCTAATTGACCGTGACAAATTCCGCGTCTGCTGCCGCCCCCGCGGAGACCCTTCCGCCCGTTTGATACAGACAGCTGATCGTGCGGTCACTTTACCGGACTAGCCGATTCCATTACATCTAATAATTCGGCGGCCGATCCGCTAATGTGTACAATTCGGACGAGTAGCGGTATTAATTACAGGTTGGCCTCGCCTTTCTGCCAGAAACTTCCGAGAACTCTTTGGGCACCGCTTCATTGCTCCCGTCCTCCCTAATACGATGTGACTGTTTCAACAATCCGCCATTCATTCCATTATACTCGCTCCCTTTTTTGTTGCCCGCTCCCCCCATCTCCTGCATCCTAAACCCCTTCCTAATCTCTCCAAATAACGGATTACTGTAACTGGTTCTCCCGCACCTAATGTTGCCAAATGTTACATGTCATGCGTCTCGCACTAATGACCAGTGCATATGTTCCGGCGGCTTAGACCGCTCTATCACTTCGCCCCCGGAGCTCACTTAAGTGCTCGAGCATCTGGTCTGTTCGAAAAAACACACTAATCTTGCGGGGCGGTCAGTTGGACGTCCGGGCGGTCCGTTCGCTCCCGGCTGTTCCATTTCCGATCGAATTTCTCATAATTCGTCAAAACGGACGCCTTCCGGCCGAGTCCTCCACATGTCGGTTGCACAACATACGGGGGAAGAGTATCCGAGCAGCGGCGGCGCCTCCGAGAGCTGTTTTCCAATTGTTTGTTTCCGTTTTTGATTGGTTTTGCATTCGGTTTGGACAACACAAGAAAGGAACGACGGCAAGATTGTAGTCGAGTGTCATGAGAAGCTCGGTGACGGACGGATCATTACTGCCGTAAACAAGACGCGCTGCTCCCCTTTTTAAAACTTCAACAATGCAAGAAGTTATTCCCTCTCTTTCTCTCAAAGACTCTGAAACCAGTCGTAATCGCGTGTTCATCTCGTAATCCGCATCCAAATCCAAAGATTCGAGTACGATCCCATTCCAGTCGCATCCGGCTCTTTCATTAATCCCGCACAGTCAAGCTGTTCGCTGCCAAAACAAGGTCAAAAGGGGCGTGGCTTCCTCACGGAAACCTCGGCTTCTCCTTCGTCTCCTTCTGCTCCTGCCCACACATAACATGCGCACATTAGGCAAGGGTCCGTCGGCGCGACCCCTATAAGTATCCATTCGAATGTGTTGTCTCCTTTTTTATATGCATCTCGTGCACTACTCATATCTGCCCAACTTTCGCCTCCGCTCTGACATTCTCACCTGCTCGCACCCCGTCAATTCTAAAAAACATTTCTGGCCGCCATCATTCGATTCCAACAAATCTCTCTTCTAAATCCGTCTCCCGATGTTTTTGTTTGTCCCCATTCATCATAATCTTGAATACTCAATTTATTACCTTGCTGTCAACAACTTCTGACGTGGCACTTTCAGAATCGTCGGCTCTCAATGCTCACAGAATGCTGCCAAGTCTTTCGCCCGTAGTTCTTCTTCTTCCACTCCTTCTTTGCTTAATCCAATCTGTGTGGTCATCAGAAGGTAAGCAAAAACGAGGATGTGTCTTTCCTTTCAAACGGAGAAATGTGGCAGTCGCGGCGGCCGAGAATCGAATTGAATTACCCTTTTTTCGGTCAGGTGTCCGTCCCAGGAGACGTACGCATTCCATAAAAATCTTCTGGGGGCTCTTTCTCCTGCCTTGAAGCTTCATCAGATGCTCGGAATAATTCATGAGGAGGAAACGGGCACACTGACTGCAAACCGCCCCGCTAATAGTTTGTTGATTCGTATACAAGGTGTGAATTCTTTCGCATTCTCCTCACTCTCGGATACGTGGCATTGTCTTGGACCGGAGAGGTGCCGTACTCGCCAAAAGCCTCCTCACTTCAAGTTTCGACAGCAAAACCCGATTTGTGTCTGCGTCGAGACGTCTGACACGCTCCCTCGTGGAAAGAGTACATTATTCTATTGTGTGGGAGCAACACACTTGCGCCGCCTTTATCATTCGAGAGCAAAAAATAAAAGGGAGAAGGGAACAGAGGAACGAAAAGTTTGCAGATGGGGTCCCTGTCGAAACGGTCCACGCACCAATGTTCGAAGGTTTGGCATGATTGTCTCGAGTCCGTTTTCCGTAGTTGCCTCCCTTTTTTCCTCAAATATCACTCCTTCCCCTTAGCAGTTAGTCGAACTGATTCATTCGAAATTCCATTTATACTGCACGCCGGGCTCCAGAGTATTGAGATTTTAAAAAGACGATTTTAGATGTATTCGATGTACGAATTCACGAAGGAGCCGACAAAGGAAGTCGGCTAACAATGAGCCAAGAGCTCCAAAAAGCCACGGAGCCACTCGGACACTGTTTTGGGCAACTGGAGACCGACGTCGAATGGATAGAATGGAGGTCGAGCAGAAGTGCCTTCTACACTTCCAGTCAAATGCCTCTTTCTGCTACCAAAAACTCGAATAACCTCGTTGGAACTCTCCACTTGTAAGTAGCACATGATCAGTAAATAATCAATACTTTAATTTTCAGATTGTGTGCTGCCAATCGGATGCATACTTTTCCGTTCCGAGTGCATATCACTCACCGTAATCACCATCCCCCGTCGTTTTCAAAACCATTCTTCAATTTCCACATTCCAATGACCATTCCGATTGGATCTGTGATTGGCAAACTGGATGTCAAAGACCAAGATCCTGTCATTTACAATTCGGAACGAAGGATTTCATTCACAAAAGACGAGCAACTCGTTGAAATAACACAAGACGGAACACTCAAACTAAAATCAGATTTGAGCACTTTGGTGCCGTACACTCCGCAGAGAATGCAAGTTTTGGCCATCGACTACGGCAGTCCGCAGCTCTTTTCGATTGTCAATCTCACTTTGATACCAGTGACTGTGTCAATGGTGAGGGAGTTGCACGTGAATGTAGTCACGGAAGAGTATCAAATATTTGAATGGGAACATCCGGAACACGGAAAAGTGGACAAGTATCGGCTGAGTATCCGCAAGGACGATCAGATTGTTTACGAAGAGGAGATTGAAGCAGCCAAGACCCTGGCATTGACTAAGGTGGGTAGGGTAGAATCATTGGTGGCCCTCAATGGAAATACTTTCAGATTGCCTTATCCAACACAATGAATGTGAGTTTTCAAGTGACTGCAATCGACGAAAACGGGGAGACGTCGAGTGAATGGACGCAGATCGGACCAATTGATAGAGGTATTCCCTGGTCCCCTTTCCATCTTATTCCACATCTTTTTCTTCCAGATGTCATTTGTAAAGGCGAATGTTCTCGTGGCGGAACTCCACTCTGCTACGTCGGCGCGTTCAACCGCGTCGAACAATTCGTCGATGCTCGTGGAGCCCACTGCCTCTGCTTCCCTGGTTTCATGGGAGTCTCGTGCGAAACGATCGGTATGACGAATGCGTTACGCAACATTTCATTCGAGACCTGCCAAGGCACATCTGTGCTTCCGGACAGCCTCAAACAGACGCCGCCGCCGCTTGCTCTTTCGCTCGCTCGCTTGATTTGGCCAATCATAATTCTGCCGCACAGGAAATCGCGTTCGCTTAGCCGGGAAGGGGCGAGCCCTCTTCCTCCCTTTCACGATTAAATACTTAATTATTATTTATGTGTCTTATATCGAAATGATTCACATTTAGATCGATGTGCTCCAGAAAGAACAGTCGATGTATGGGGAGGGGTCGATTGGACGGAAGTGAACACGAACATTTCCCTTTTGGTGCCATGTGAGAGGAAAGAACGAAAAGGGCTAATGATATATGTCTTTGCAGGTCCGTATAACGTTGTCATGGAAAACAAGTTCCTCGAGAGACGATGTTCCTGGAATACTGAGGCCGGAAGAGCAATATGGGAGAAGCCACAGGACCGGAATTCATGCCAGACACAGACTTCCGTTCTCGCGCACCTGGGACTCATCGGCACTTACTCGGCGAAAGCGGCCACGGTTTCAGCCATAAATACAGTCACAAGGTTGGAAATGAGGTGTTTTTCGATGCTAAGTGTCCACCATTTCCAGATTTGTCCGAGATCTTCTGACCTATCCCTCGTTCTCTAAGGATATGTCGAGACACGCCCATTTTGATCAGAAGATTGCCGAGATGACGGCGCTTGTGCTCGATGCGGTAGTGCAAGCCAATTTAGATCGCATCCCGGGCAACACGACACTGCTCAGAGCGGAAACGTGGCGGATCATTGAATCTTTAGCTCGAAGCCTTCCGATTCCCTACTCGCTTTCGTCTCCGGACAATGGAATCCATATGAAATCAATTGAATGGGTGAAAAGTGGGGAGCCAAACGACAATCTGATCGGAAAGAAATGTCGAATCCAGCTGCCAACGACTGACGAAAACCACGTGATTCGGGTGGTGTGTGCTTCAAATGCCACATTATTCGAATTGCTCGAACCGAAAAGTCCAGTTCTTTCTGTGAAACCAGACGGCCTGGAACCGTTCGGATCCACGAGAATGTCGATTTACATCAAGTACCCGGATACTCATGACAACTACACGTGCGTCTATTACGACGAAGAAGAGAGGGCGTGGTCGACGAAGGGAATCAGAAGAATCGAGCACAGCTATCACGGATACGTGAAGTGCGAAACTAACCATTTCGGAGTGTTCGCTCTTCTGCCGGATCGTCTCTTCTATAACTCCGAATCGTTCTGGAAGGATTTGGCCTCGCACATGCCGACGGTCACTTCTTTTGTCACTCTCATTTGCACAGTCCTCCTCTTGTTCATGGCTGCAGTTCAAAAGTAAGTCCTTCTATCAACCCTTATCCTAATTCCGTGTACTCAGGAATCAACCGATCGACTGTGCCTTCCTCTTCTACCTCTTCTTCGTGTTCATGATCCACTTGGCCCATCTCCTTCTGTTCCTGGCCCCTCAGGTCGGAGAGCCATTCGCCTTCTCCACTCTTCTTCATTTCGTTCTCCAATTCTGCGTCATTGCATCTTCTGGTCTGCTGTGCTTAGGTAAGTCAATCTGATGATTAACAGAAATATTCATTTTCATCTTTCGCAGTTCTCTACTCCATTCATACTACAATCATCAGTTACAACGTGACCAAAGAAGAGGAATTACAAGGATGCTTCTCCAAACCTTTCCACGTCTTCGGAATGGGAATCTGTAAGCAATCAGTCAAAATCTCTGTTGCTGTCACTGATCACAACTTTTCAGTGTCTCCATCCATTTTCACCTTTTCTACCTACTATTTACTAGACGGTCGTGACCTAGATATCGGTAGAATATTCGAGCGAACCGACTGGCTTTTCATCTCCAATTACCTTCTTCCAACTGCCGTTCTCTTCTCCATCTCGACAGTTTACGCAGTTTGGAATGTATACATTGCCAGTGGAACAAAGTAAGCAAAAAGAGTTTAAACGATCACTGAAATAACTTTTTGCAGGAATAACCGACGCTGCTCATCCGATCGACTGCTGTCCCTAGGACCAGCAATCAGTGCATCAGTAACTTCCCTCTTCATGGTTTTCTTCTTCTGCTCTGCTCTTCTGCTCTTCTTCTTCCGAGAGCACTCTCCGATGGCCATATTCTTTTTTTGTCTCTTCCAGTTCTTCCACGTCATCACCGCTTTCTTCTTTGCTTCGTATCTATTCAGGTGATGAGCATCTTCCTCTTCTCCAGTCAATCCCCTTTTTTTTAGACTGCGCTTCCTCCTACAGCGTGGATTTGATAGCAACGATTCTACAGACTCACTTGAGCGGAAAAGAGACATTTCCCGCGCGCTTCTGGAGCATGTGGAAACAAAGAGTGACATCGCTTCTGATCGCGTGGTCGTCGACGGAGGATTCACCGAAGCCGGATTCGCTCCGGCCGCTCACTTTCAGTACTCTCCGTCAGATTACATCCCCCCTGGTTCCCTGACGCACATTGATAACAACAATCGGTATTTGGCTCTGCACCACAATATATTCGAGAGAGCTCCAATGGTTAGCATCGTCTAGTTCTCCCCCTTTTCTCTTTCTTTCCCTCCATTTCATCTCTTCTTCAGCACCGGTAAGGCATTTTCTGGGTATCCCATTTTCCCATCGAGACCCATTCATTTGTCAATTCCTTTTCCCTTTCCTGATCTCGAATGAATTATTAGTTGCACAACAGCCTTTGCAGTCAACAACGTGTTGATAACACACTGCCGATTTTGCTGAACTTTCGATCGGTTTCCCGTCTCTTCTCCTGATAACCGTTTGTTTGCCCACTGGTTCCCTCCGTTGTTTTCGTGCCTAGTACGGGAGTAATTTGAATGGAAAAAGCACGTGAAATTGATCGGGAGAGGGCATGAAACTGGCATGTTTAGGAAATAAGAGTACGGTACGCTAGGACCGAAGGGGACTATGAAAACAGGCTGGAATCGGTGTATCAACAAGGTGTTCACAATTTGCGACACAGTACACTAAGAAAGTATGGCGTCTTCTGCTATTATTGACAGTTACACACGATTCTTCAATTCATCATGTTTTTCTCCTCCAGAAAGTTTTAACCCTTTAGATGATCTTCGACTGCTTTGCAAGTATCTGGTGTTTCATCCCATCCTCCCCCAAAAGCTCTCCTCGTTATCCCAGCTGTGTCTCGAGATTCCATCGTTTCTCTTCAATCTCTGAGCTGATTTTCCGTGTACAAACAAGTCAGTTGTTCTTGTTTTGGTTGCTGCTGCTTCTGCTTCTCCTGCCTTTTTGTTGATTAATCAACTACAGGGACAGCAAAAAGATCTTTGTCTTCTCGATTCTAAGATCATCGCGACTGGACTATGACAGTTCTTCTATCGTCGTTTTCTTTTCGCTATCAATGCACCAAAAACCAATGATCGTAGCGTGTTTAAGGAAGAAAACAACACGCTGGTCGGTCAGTGATGGAGGTTACCAACTCGTCCCCGAGACCGTGCTTCTTGTTGTGTTTTGGGATTGTGTGGCGGGTGCAATACGACCCCAAGTGCGATGGTTAAAAATAACGAAAAAAGAGAGCGAAAAGTTGAAACAGACAGGTGGCGTTGAGGAGCTCCAGGAGACAGCTGACAAAAGAGGTCTCGCTGAAGGATTCGGTGACATGATGAATGAAGAATCAAAGGAATCTCGGAAACCTTCGGGTTCAGAAGTTCAACATGTCAAAATCTCGTCGAAAGAATCCTTCGTAGACGTGGCTGATAGTGACGCCACGTAAAAAGTTCATCGTGATGACGAAATGGGTTGAGAAGTCAAATGATTTCGCAAAGAAAGAATTTGATATGAATATGAACCTTGTCCCGCAAACTATTTTCAGCAGCATAATGACGAATGTTTTGAGACCCGGTGCCAAGATCTTTACAGAAAACGACAGCAATGCGAAGCATCCGCTTCTCTTTTTTCTTCCTCCATGCCAACCATCTCCAGTTGAAATCTCTAGGAAACTAGCACCGCCCGATCCTCTTCTCCTCAAAACCTGTGACATTTACCGCTCTTTCTAACTCTTTGGCAAACAGAACATGTTTTTAGCTCTCTCTGCAAGTATCTTGTGCACTTGCACAAAATGGCTGAGTGCTCGTTGCTCTCGCGAGAATCTTTGAAGAAACGTCCACTCGGTCCGGGCGGCACGGGCCGGACTGACAGTTGTTCCATCTATCACCCCATCTTGCCCGGTGCAATGTTGGGGACACTCGGGCCGTCGGAGCCCCTAACAGAATGTTGCTCTCATTCAATTATGGCTTCTTTTTCGGGGATGTAGCGGGCACGCGCCCTTTTCCTTTTTCTCTATCTCTTTCACTTTTTTCCTTTCTTTCAACGTTCCCTTTCTTACTACAGATATGTATGGGCAATAAAACGGTTTTTGAGAGTCTAATTTACAACGCAAATATCACGTCAACCTCCCATGTCAGTTCAAACCTTCAGTCTATTCCTCCGGAGAACTGTGGCCAAGTGCTGACCATGCTCGATAAACTCACCAACTGATAACTTTGCCCACTCACTCTTGACCATTCTCACCCGATTTTTAAACTTCCTTCCGTCGTTTTCCTCCCGTATGCACTCGGCATCAATGTGTGATCTGAGTGAGCGGGAGGGGAATCTCCCATCAGAGTTTCACGTGAAACACGCCAGCCATCAAACAGAGTCCAGGACTTTTCTTAAGGCCCGCCTTGCGAATAGAAGCGCTGTTTGTCCCGCTCTCTTTGTTCAACTTTCTGATACCGAAATACTCGATTCGCCAGCTGATCTTCATTTCCAAATGCATTTCTCTCTTCCAAAAAACGGTTTCTCTCGTTCTTTTTTGCCCGCTGGGGAACTCCATGCGTGCTGCCGATCGACTACAGTCAGCAGACATCGCGGGTGTCAAAAATAAGAACACAAGTCGTTCTCCTCACTCTCTTTCTCTTCCCTTCATGTTAAAATGGCGTGAATAACATCGTCATTGATACGGAGACGAATGGACAAGCGAGGCGAGGGACTGTTCGTAGTGGAGAGACGCCGAACCTGCTGGCGTCTCCTCTCATGGCGTGGTCCTTCTGGCGCCATCTGCAAACAGTTCGGACAATGTTTTGATAGTGACTGCTACCAGTGTCTCTCTGATCGAGCGCCCGCACTGACCCGTCTTTTCATCTTTCCGCTCGTTTTCAGTTTCTGTCGTCGGCGTCGAGTATCGTATCCGAGAGAGAGAGAGAGAGAGAGAGAGAGAGAGAGAGAGAGAGGTTTCACGTGAAACAAGTGATAGTTTTTTGAAGTCAACGCATAACGCAAAGGCTTCCCCCGCTACAGTACCCTCAAAAGTTGAAAGAGATACGGATGCAATCTGATCATTTTCTGAACCTATTTTCGACGTTTGGTCAGTTACAAAGAAGAACGGGTTTTCCCCTTTTGTGACATCACCTGAGAGCATTATGATGAGTCGTTGAAGGGAAACATGGGCAGATTAAGTGAGTTGTTCCAGATCTTTGGCATCTTTTAACTTCTGCAAGTGCTCAGTTACTCACCAGATGTCTGTTGCTCTTGCAACTCCAGCGTGGAAAGCTGTCAGTAATCTCTCCGAGCTTTGTTCAGTTGAGTTCATTATTCCTCCCTAGTCGACTTGTCTTCCGATCTCCGTCAGCCTTCTCAATCAACATGATCATCATCATCATATTCATCATCTTCCAATGTTTTGATCATAATCCGAAAATCTCCTCCTCCCCGACGTCTTTCTCCTCCCAATCAGACCACTCCGTTTGTTTGATGACATCTTATCCCGTCCTCACATCACTATCACAGACTGATTTAATTGCAAATTCAATTAGCCTCCTTCTTTTCTTTTGTCGGCATGTCAAACCTATCCAACCGTTTAAACCGCAATGTTTTTTTTTGCGCGTCGCATTAAAAAACAACTTGGCGCTGACCGTCCTGCCCTCTCTTCTTCGGTTGCCTCCCATCCCATTCTTCACATGATCCGGCACGGCATTAAAGCATGTCAGGTAGCTGGAAGCCCCCCGTGGGCGCCCACCCTTCGTTGTACTTTCACATGAGCGACACGTGCAACTCGGCGATAGCGTGGGGACTACCGTACCGCATCTGATGCAATCTATTGGCACCACCAACAGCCCCGGGTCAGTCGTATCAACATCAGCTGTTCCTGGGTGTCAGTTTGTACTTTCAGCTGTGTCTATTTCATTAAATACTTCGCTTTGTATCAGTGAAAACTGAACTTTCAGATCAAATTAGATCTTCTAAAGTTGACGCTCTTTCTCTTGCCGTAATGAAATGCGAGAAACTGATAATCACAACCTACAACCTACACTAAAACGACAATCGTTTCAGTATATAAGTCTGCCGTAAAAGACACTCTATTCTTGATGCATTCGATCGTCTCCTCTTCCCGATCCTTATCTTTTTGTCCCTCTTCTTCACTTATCCGCCATATATCCTTTATTCCAACCCCAAAGTATACCAGCATCTCTAATTCGTTCCAATTTTTTACGGCCTTCTAGCGGACCATGGGCATTCTGCGATGACGTGTTCCTATCGCAGTTGTATCGATGACCCGGCAGACTGCTCGCTGCGCACTCCGTCTGACCCACCAGTACCCCCAACGTTTACTCCGCATTCCTGCCAAGTCAGCAAACCTTTAATGTCTCACATTTAATCGCAGACGCACGTATCCTCTTGCAAATAACTCCATTCGGAGGGAAGCACGTATACCAAATTTCCGGCCTTGAACACGAGGAGCTATAACTCTTCCCATTCTCGGCATCCAACGAGATATCCTAATGCCTTCTCTTCAAATGATACGGGCGGTTCATTGCGGGCGTACCGTATAATTTATCCCTGATCATTGCAACCACTTTTCAAAGATCTTTTGGGTGCACACCGTCTCCTCGGCCCGCCCCCATCCAGTCCACCTATCCATAGCAGACGTGTCCGTTTGTGATCTACCGACCGTCTTCTCGCGTGGCGCGCTCTCTCCTCCCGCAATCTTTAATCGTGAGGGACGTCCGTCCAGCATGCTTGCAATTAAACAAAAACAATCTTTTCGGGTGCAGAACATGCACCGCCCTCTTTTCATTTAGTCTCTCCACACACACCTCCAGTATTATCACTGTTTGTCAGTCAGGAGAGAAGAACAGAGAGAACCGCCCGCCGTCTCCGCGCGGCTACTGTAGGTGTCATCGACACGGTCCTCCCCGTCTTCTTCTTCTTGCTTCTTTCCGTCGTGTCATCTTTTATAATACAAGTGTCTTCATCTCGTCGTCTTTTCTTCCTCCACTCTATCAATCAATCCTTCTTCAAATCATATCTTTTTCAGCTTTTCACATCTCCAAATGCTCAGTTTCGAGCCGTCGCACGCCGCCAATGCACGTAACATGAAACTGCTCTTGGAGCCCCTCTACGGGCCGAAACCCTACTTTGACGACTCCTGCTGCTCCGAGCCCAACTCTCCGGATTCGGGATTCTCCTCCGACGACAGCATCGCATCGGACGTTTCATTCACGGAGAGATTGTAAGTGAATCACAAGTTGTTTACCCAAAAAAAGAAAAGAAACCATCTGATTCTCTTCGTTTCCTCTCTCGCTCACGTTGACTATCCCCTCTTTGTTCCAATTTGTGATATCAATTGCCGACGGGTACATACAACAATTCGGCATCTGTTTTCGTTTGCCACTTTCAAAGATAAACAAGGGCGGCCGCCTCCAGTGACGTGAGAGAGTTGGCGACAGGCGGTTTCTCTGGAAGCGCAATCAGAAGTATCAAAAGACCTCGATACGTGAGACATGCAAAAAGTTGCCGTCGGTATCCCTTGGCCCGTCTCGGTCTCTCCGTGCCGCCGCGCCTCTAAAGTTTATCATCAGAGTACGTTCACTTTTCGCGAATCTTCACAGTCACGTGGTCTGGCGTACCACAATTATAAAAGAGCTCCAGCTAGGTGGTCATGGCTGACCGATGAAGTCCAGAACTCTAGTCCCGTTCTATAAGCCCACCAATAATCTTCCTCTATGGGAACATAGTGAGAGAGATGAGGAAGACGATGAGCTTCCCGGACTAAGACGGTCCTCTATCTCTTCCCTACCGTAATCATGAACCATTTTTCAGCAATCGCGCCAAGACTCTCCCGTCCGCCCTCCGCCGCAGTCGATCGAAACAGAGTGTGAAGCGTGTTCGATTCGCCGACTCGCTGGGACTCGATCTTGAGAACCTGCAGTACTTTGTGAAAGAGGATCTGAGCCAGCAGCAGATCATCCGCTTCTCTTCTCCACCAACTTCATCGTTCTCTTCCCCGCCATTAATTCCGAAGACACGCATCAATCAGCCGGCTCCACGGCTTGTCCTCCACAACTTTCCCTATCGTTCCGAGCACGAATACAACGAGAAGACGCGGGAAACGCGCGTTTGCGTCACTGCTCTGCGTGTCTCCGGAAGCAGCATCGTCGGCCAGGTCAACTTGCTCAACGTTGCATTCAACAAAGAAGTAGTGGTACGGTACACCGTCGACGGCTGGGATTCTCAGGATGAAGTCGTTGCCAGCTACAGTCACCGCATGTTCGCCACCGAAGACATTGATGCGTTCAACTTTACAATTGCCATCCCAATCAAAGTCACGGTAAGGTTTTCAGCTGGATGCTCCAGTTTTATTTTAATGATTTCAGGAAGGCAAATGCGAGTTCTGTGTGCAGTACCGAGTGGCCGGAGACGAGTACTGGGACAACAACAGCGGCTCGAACTACGTGGTGACCGTGTCGATGAGCGGAGCAGGAGCCTCCTCCCTGCTGCCCCGCTACGGAACGATGCCAGTCGAGAGCAGCCGCCGTGTGTCCGGAGTCCTTCCTCCAGTGCCTTCTTCGCGAGGATCCGCCCGTCGTCAGCAGCGTCGTTGGGGGCGGTCTGTGGATGAATCGGACGAGGAGAAGGAGCTGGCGTACGCGCCGAGCCGAAAAGCCTTCCAATGATAAACTTCCCATATTGCACTGTTATTTTCTAATCTAATTCGTTTCTTGTAACACCATCTTTCCATGACTTGCCACACGTGACAGGTACCGACTGTCTTTTGAACTTCTCCTAATTCTCGCCCGCCTACCGGTGTGTCCATCCGTTGTTTTCATCTTGTGATTCGGGTAGTTTCTCATCCTGTAGTGCCACATATTTTACGGGTTATTCAATTTCTATGTACGCTGCGATTATTATTTAACTCACGTTTTATTCGCATTTCTCTCTCATTTTGCTCCCCAGCCAGATCAGTCTCTAATAGCTCCCATTGATTGCCCGTTTTGCCCCTCCTGTCGGATACTATTGTCCTGTTCAATGTTGCCCCGCATGTAGGATAAAACTTTTTGGCAAAATTGTCGTTGAAATTTTATTGCAAATAAAGTAATACGGCAGAAAAGATAAACGTTTTCCACCCACCCGAAATGGGTGCTCGTAAAAATGACTATTTGGAGGGTTATGAACAGAAGTTTTTGCTATGGGAAACTAGACGTTTCGAGAATTTAACGTGAACTTTGGCTTCCACGTCATAAGTAATTTTCATCTCCAGACAGTCTTAGTTTGCACGTGCTCACTTAGTTTGAAGGCACTGGAGAAAACTGTACTTCCAAATGTCTTTAAAGGACTAAGATTGCCAATACTTTTCGAGGCAATAAGTAACGGACAAACATGAGAACCAAACAAAGATCGCGTCCTGAAATCGAAGAGCATCCTAGCAATGGTTGCCTGGAAACCCTAGCTATGGCTCGCTCAGCTTCTTTTTAGAGTCTTCCCCTTCGCGAACATGGCTTACGTGCATCCGTCCTATCTCCAAAACGGTCCTGTATTCACTCAACAACCGTACCCCCAACAACAGCAGCCAATTATCGTGTCAGTCTGTCCGCCGAGCTCTCTCATTTCTCGTAATGTTTTCTGCGTTCAGTTACCAGCAACAGCCGCAACAACAACGTCGCCAGGATTCCTGCTGCTGCGAGTGCTGTGCGTGTTGTCAGTGCTGTCTCATGTGCTGTGCGTGCAGCTACTTGCTCACTTGCTGGGCCGAACTCTGCTGCTCAGTTTTCGATTGAAATTTAAGTAGATAAACGTTTTTCTTACATTCATTACGATCAATACTTGACCAAAACAGAAAAGAAACGAGCACAGGAAGAGTGACGCTCTAAACGGGAATGTCTAAACGGGGGTGAAAAGGGTAGAACTGGGACGAACAAAGCACTACTGCGTCAGGGAACTAGCACTCGGGAAACGAAGGTGAAATCGGGTATAAAAAGGGAGCGATGCATAGAAATGAACGGGGGAGGGGGAGGATTGGCCAGAGAAGTGGTGAGACGAGAGTGAAGAGATAGTTTGGTACGGTACATTGGAAAAAAAAGTGAAACAGGAGATAGATTATGAGCAGCAGACACGGGTGCGAATCGAAAGATGTCCGCTAAGGCTGAGTGAACTGCGCATCGAAGATCGCCTTCAGAACTTGCAGTTTTGCGACTTCTTTGGTGCGAGCATCCAACTTGCTCAGCTTGATCGACACCATCCGAGCAAAAATCTCGTCTTCCTCTTCTTCACGAGATGCTCCCCACTGCGGAAGACCCGGGAAGAAGTTGAGTCCGAGGCTGGCTGCGGCTGCTGCGGCGGCGTTTCGAGATGCTCTGAAATTAGAACAGTCTACAAATTTTTGATATACGTTCTCGTTTTTGTCGCTTGTTCAACGAGACGAGACGCAGACGCATTTCTAACTATTTTCACTCAATGTTTGCTTGTTTGTTTGCCGTCTTTCCCACGAGGTCGGAACAGTTCGACAGCCCCGAAAAGGAAAGAGTCGAGGCTGACTTACGCTGGAGTCAATCCTTCTGTCAAGGAAACTCTGCTTTTTTTAACGGGAGGAGCACCGTTGCTGGAAGACGCCGCCGATGGAGAAGGCGTCACAGCCATTGGGATCGGAAGAGGCGGTGGTGTCACTACGGCAGTCCCTTCGGATCCTTCTGGTGCATTCGCGTTCTTCGAACTGGAAGCACTGGAAGCTGTCGAGACAGAACTGGATTCAGCATCGGCGGAAGCAGAAGACGTCGACGAGTTGTTCTCTTGAGTTCTGATGAGCTCGTTTTCAATGAAAGACATGGCCGCCTCCATAGGAGACACGTGCCCTGCTCCACTCGTTTCTTGTTTCGACGGCGGCTCGGACGGATTCGAGTCTGTTTCGTCAGTACTGAAATGCTTTCATTTGGCTCGAAATTGATTGCCATAAACTCACTGTCGGTCTTTCAGATGGGCCTGGATGAACTTCAGTGGTCTCTGAAATACCCAGCTTGATGGTTTCTTCGACACTCTTTCCTTCTTTTCCTCCTTTTTGTATCTGTCTCTCAGAGTCTTCCACCGTGTTTTTACATGTTCAGCTGGAATATTGTTTTCAGAACTGCAACGAGAATCTCAATTCTTACGTGTTGTCTCGAGATTCTCGGATATTTCATTCCATGCAGAGTTACGCCACGAGAGAAGATTGTATCCTTCGTCGGACTGATCGTACAGAAATGGGCGGGACTTGACTTCTGCGATGAGTCTGATGTTGAACACGGGCGTCTCTTCGATTTTCATATTCTTGCTGCTCGCCAGCAGGAAGTTTATCTGAATGCTTAGCATGATTTAATACGGCTAGACAGTTGGAGCAAGTTTCGCGGCAGATTCTAGGTTCAAAATTATAGAGTCAGTACCGTATCCCGCAAAGTTCCCTGCCGTACCTCCTTGATCGGATCTGACTCCATACAGTCGTCGGGTGACGAGATGGTAGGTTTAATGTCTTCTGTATCTTCTGATTGCTCCGACATTCTGAAAATTGGAAGGATGAAAATTAGTGGTAGGCTGAAAGAATGAGCAGAAAGAAGAGGAGGCAGACGAGTGAAGAAGCAAGTGTAAGGAGGGAAGGCACACCTGTCATGTGTCTGGAGACGGGAATGCTAAATGATAACTGATAAGTCTTCTGAGGGCCGGGTTCACTCAAAAAAGGCCTGCGTCTGCGTGAAGAAGAGCGGGCCAGAAGGGGACGGGTAGGTAGCGCATCGGGTGTGGGAAAAAATAGAAAATGGCATCGATGTGTTGGTAGTATGTGTGCGGCTGGGAGGCGGCAAGTAACAAAATATACACAGACACACAGCAAGCACACAGGGGCCGAGGGGCGAAACGAGTAACGTGTGCGGAGGAGGGCGGCGGCGGCGAGGGCGCGACGCGTCAAAAGCAGTGGGGCGCCGAGCGGAGGCGCAGGCGACGAGTGCGAAGAGAGAGCGCTCGCGCGACGGAGACACGCCGCCTTGGGGCCGTGTGCAGCAGCACGCTCGACGGACGGGGAGCGGGCGACCCGCCGACGACAATCCGCCTCCCCTCGCTGCCGTCGTCTCCGTGGCTCGGGCCCCCGATTCTGCGTCTCCATGCTGTCCCTCTCGCCCTTTAACCTTTGCCATCTCTCTCTGTCTCGCCACGCCATCGTCCATCCGTCTCTTCTCCCGCGCGGTCTTTCGCTGTGTGTCCCGTGCGCGACGCCCGCTTGCGCAACGAATTGTTGTGTATACGTACTGTTGAAACGCTTTTTTTGTGCGCCGACGGAGCGCGATTCTCCTCCTCTTAACCGGGGCAAACTAAACAAGTTGAAGTAAGATGGAATCGACTAATCCGCGGGGTCTGAGGTTAGGACGAGAAGAGGTGAAAGGACTTTCAGAGGGTATTCCTTCCGCGCCAAGGTCGTCGGGACAAGAGGCGTCGAGGCCACATTCTAACAAAGACTGGGCATTGCATTACCTACATTGCGGACAACTAGAAAAATGAAGACAGCAGTCGAAATAGGTGGTTGAAAAAGAAGAAAGGACACAGCGATTGCATGCGGAAGAAACGCTGTCACGCGGAGAGAAGAAAGGAGACTCGGGAGAGGCCTCTGGTGTCTCGTCTGTCATGATACTGCGTTGATGTGGGCACGCAAACTGCTGAGTAACCTCTTCTTCGCGACTGGAGCGAACACAACGAAGACGACGGCCGAATGAGCGGCCGAACTCCGAATTATCAGCCCATCTTCCTCCGTCTATGCGTGGCCTCCGAACTTTACTCGTTGCGCGAAAAAAACGCGAGTGCGGTTAAATTTGTCTACTCAACGCGCATCGCTCCGACGGACAAGTTTTTTGCGCATCGATGGCAGTGTCACATACTAACTGAAATGTGGGATTGTACATGGAAAGTTTATTGAGACAGAAGTGAATGAGGGACCCGTGAAGGACGTGGAAAACTTCGGAATTATCGGAATCTGGGAAGACGAATTGGGCACGGAATGACGCAGCAAAGCAGCGGACTATCACAGCACACCTGAAAAGACAATGATTTGAAGAACAATGAAAGAGAAGCATGAGATACTTCTCCTATAAGACATCCGCAGCAGAGAGCAAAGAGAGAAGTGAGCCAGCAGGAGTCGTCGGTCCGTTGTTGCTGCGGAGCCGGCTGTTGCACATATCTGAAATCACAGATCTGATTGCGAATCGGAAGATCGCTCCAGGAGCAAACAAGGAAAGGGGGGGGGGGCTGGCGCGGCGATCGAGTAACTCGCAAATAGAAGCCGCGGAAAATGAACGCTGTACAAACAAGACAGAGGTAAATGTGGTTTGTAGCTCGGGTCGGGGGTTCACACGGGCGGTTTTGTCATTCTTTCTTGAGTCTTGTTCAGCGAGACTTTTAATAAGCGCTACTTGCAAACAATTGGAATACGCACAGGGTCACTGTAGTTTTTAAAGGAACCTCTTCCTTTCTGTCTCTCTTCTATTTTTCCTTTCAATTGCGAATCGGTGAGGAATTCTGAAAGCGATACGAAAAGAAAGAAAAACAACATATTTTGACAGCGGCGGCGCTGTTCCTGTACACAGGCAAATGAATTAGTTGGCCGGCGGGGAGCGAGAATGCGAACTTACATTACTTGCGGTTGGTTAGGATTATAGTAGCCTTGCGGATAGGGTCCTTGAGGGGGATACGGATTCTGGTGCTGAGGGACGAATCCAGCCTGGGAACACATTCGAATTAATAATGAATGACGAGAAAAGCACCTACATTGCCATAAGGTTGCGGTTGAGAAGTGTACGGCGGTGGAGCTCCAGACATCTTCGTGCTAGAAGAAAAAGAAAAAATGCAGTTGGGCACACTGAGGGTGCTGGTAAAAGAGGGAAGAAATATGTAACAGAAAACTAGGTGAATAAACAAAGGTGAGAGTGGGAAACGAAGAAACTCAGACGGACGAGTGCGCAGTGTTTTGACTGTAGGCAAGAGAGAGAAAAGAGAGAAAGGGCGAGAACGGGAGGCTATTATGAAATAGTGAAGGGCCAGGTGGGTCCGTCAGCTGATGATGGAGGAGCCGGCTGAAGGGACCAAAGAGTGCCCAGAAGAAATGAAAAAGAAGAGGGAAGAATGAGAAGAAAGGGAAATTGTGTTGGGCTAATTCGAATCAAGAATTGAAGAGAACAGAAACAACCGGGATACTTTTTAGAATGGACAATTTTTGATGTCTGACTGACAAAAAGAGAGAGAATGGACGGGGGGCGGAAGGCGAAGGACATTTAAATGGGAGGGTTTGGCTATGAGAACCGAGATGAGTCAGCGAAGATAGACGAATGGATGGCACGCCCGATGTTCTTCAAATGACCATTCTAGTAATTGAGATGAGATTTCAGATTCGTGTTCGCAGTTTGAGTACTGATCTTCGATCTCACCGTATCCCTCGGACGCTCTCCTCATTCAGCCCTAATCCCTTTCTCATCCTGGTTCATTTCTATTCTCGTATTCTCAACTAACTACAAATCCGCTTTTCCGTCCGTAGCGAATAGTAACGAAGCACATAAAACGGGATGTTCTTTTCGAAACGGCGGCTCGACGACAACCTCCGATTCGAGCTCTTCTCATTGAAGAATGAATAATAAAGGGGAATAGAACGCGCGAAACGAGCACTTCTATGGAAACGTCTCCGTTTTGCAACAGGCCGCCAGAAGTCATCTGCAAAAAGACAAGATGTTCGTCTTCTTCCCCTCCTTCTTCTTTTTCTTCTTTTCCAGGCAGCCGAGCGGATAATCCATCCCCAAATCGACGCCCGATTCGTCGTTTTGCCGTCATCCATTTCCAGAGATTTTGAAAGAAATCCGAGACTTGCTCGCTCTTCCAAATTCACTTAACGCCACGAGAAACGCGGCGCATCATTTTTCAATTCCGGTTGTTCGGGATCGGCTTCATCGAAAACACAACGAATTCTTCTACAATTTGAGCCGATGAGCCATGTGATAGCCATATTTTTCTGAAATGAGTTGACGAAAAAGAGGGAGGGAGACGGAGGGAAGTCAGAAGAGACTTTCTGATCATTTCCATCCATTCCAATAAACGTGGGACTTTCTCGTGAACGCACAAAAATAACTGTCCCCATGCTACTATTACTTTTCCAAAAGAGTCAGTCCGAATTCTCGTTTCCATCTCCACTTTCGCTGCTCAATTGCCCCGGTCGTACTTCTCCAAATCCGCGGCTCTCTTCTCCTATAATTCTTCAAATTCCATGGTGTCAGTCCTCGCCTTCCTTCCCTCGTTTTTCCTCCCAATTTAGCCGTCAATCTTGGCGCCACACGGTGTGGAGTCCCTCTGTCAGCGGCTCCTCCTCCTCTTCCTTCGCCTCCTTTTCGTCTCCGGTTGGTGTGATTCTCAAATTCGAGCCGGCTCACTTCTAACTCCTAATTACAGGCTGTGGAGCCGAGGCGCTGCTTTTCGTCTCACGGCTCCAACCAATTATTAGCGGCACGAATCTCGTCTTTCCGTTTCTTTTCGAAGGAAAAGAGAGAGACTGCCGGCCTCCCGATTGTAGCCTTCGGTGGTGTGTATTCGCGAGTAAGTGTGCGAAAATTCTAGTCGCGAGTACGTTTTTCGCATATTTTGCCTCGATATCAGCCAACCGGCTCATGATTTATTCCTCCGTCGTATCACGGATTTCCGAAGAAAAAGAGCACGTTCTTCCAGACAGAATGCTAGTCATCGCGAGGAAATCTGCCTGAATTGCAAATGATTGCAACTCGCATTCCCTTGCCCAGAATGCACGTTCTTTAACGAGATCAAACGCGGAGATTTTGGAGAACTTTTCCGGAACACAGCCCTCTTTTCTCCCCTTTTATCCCGTTCTAAATCTCATCAAATTCGAAATTCAGTCAAATGGTGTGCATCTCTATCTCTCATGCTCTTTTCGTTTTCAAAACGAGAAAAGGAAGAATCGTTTGATTTATAGCGGACACCAATCATTTTTGCACCACATCCCTTCCAATCCTCTCTCTCTCTCTCCCTCTCTCACTCGTTTTCGTAGTCGTCATGACAAAATGGATCCGTGTCCTACGGTACCTCGGCCACGCCTTCATCAGAAGACAGAAGCAGAAGCAGTGGCAGAAGCGGCCGAAAAAGTGACGCGAGCTGAGCAGATTCGTTTCGCGTTTGGCAAGTTTGGTGGTGTGGAGCCGAAGAAGAGAAAGAATTCGGCGGATCGAAACGGTCCCCGGGGACCAGTACATTTATACACCCGCGGAAGAGCCGGCTCATCCTTCCTATCAGTCCTTTCCCTTTCGCCCCGACAGACTTCTGAAGGCATTTTCAACCGATTTTCACTGACTGAATTCTCGGTACTCTCCTTTTCTTCGTCAGCATTTTTCTTTTTTGTCCACACTTAAAAATTCTCTCTCGCAACTTAGGAATTCGTCGAAAAGGGAGGTGGTGGGAGCGGACTCTCCGTCAAGTCGTGCTCTCTCCGACTGGAAGCCGTCGATGGCATCCTCAAATCTCGCGACGACACCAAAATAGTGCGTGCGACTGACGAGACGGCGACGCTAACTCAGTTTCCGCGAACAATCGCAATCAGTGCGTTGAAGACGACAGAAGCGAAAGGGGAAAGAGGAGAAGAAGAAGAATTCGGACAGAATTCCTCCTCACACGTTTCCTTTTCGATTCTTTTTTATTCTCCATCGCCGCACAGATGACGTGCTCGGCGAAGCAGCTGGATACCGTGGGAACTCGCATCGATCTCATATTTCTTTCGTTTCTATTGAATTCCTTAGAATCTGTTGATGATGGGAAGCCGGAGAAGAAAAAGAGGCGGTTGTGGCTCATCGACCAATTCAGCAGGTTCTTCCCAATTCTATTCCCAACTTGTCTCGCTCCGCAATTGAGCCAATGCCCGAATAGAGCCCTAATTGGCTCCATCACCGTTTCGCATCTTCATATCCTCTCCAAATCCTTCTCCGATCGTATTTTCGCCTTCAACTTTCTCTCCTTCGACTCTTCCATCCAGTGCCAATCAATCATGCGCATTTTGTATTTGGACCAAGGCGATCCTCAAAAATAACAATAGAGAGTCACCAGTAGACAAATGAATAGAAACCCGGGGGCCGTCCTCTCAAATACACATGTCATCCGCTCGCTTTTGCCTTTTTGTACCGATTACTTCTCATTCATTCACGTACATGGTTGCAGGTAATTCTGGAATGTTCTCTGTTGATCTACAGTAAGACCGACAATATCCACTAACAAGGTAAGTCATCTCGAGATTCGTATACCTATCACGACAAGACCATCAAGAAGTTTCTATTTCTCTCTCTATCTCTCTCTCTCTCTCTCTCTCCCTTTCTCACTTTTTTCTCCACTTTTTCTCGTTGTTTCCCCGCCACTAGCACCGCGAAAATCATGGAAAAGATGTGAAAGGGGCGTGGTCTCAGGCCCGTCGTTCTCTTTCTCTGCGTCTCTCTCCCACGGGTCCCCGAAGACGGGCTCACCGAGCCACGTCACTCTTGATTCTAGACTGCGCCCGGCTCCCTCTACAGTTCTAACGTGCAAACTTACAGGTAGGGAGAGAGACGCAGACTCGCGATGGGCTTCAACGTGCCCCTCATCAACCGCGACTCGGATCTGCTCAAGCAGGAGGCCAAGAAGTGGCTTGAGCAGCAAGACAACCAGAAGAAATGCGTTCTCGTGATAGTCTCGATCGCTCTCCTCCTCGACAACATGCTCTACATGGTGATCGTGCCGATTATCCCCAAGTACCTCAGAGATATCCACAACTATCAAGTGTCGTTCGAAGGATATCACAATGAAACGCATCGACTGGCCAACGGAACCTACTTGGTGAGGGAAGTGGGCGGACGGATAGAGTACCTGGACGAAGAACTTGAACTCGGATGGTTGTTCGCCTCGAAGGCGCTTCTCCAGATCTTCGTTAACCCGTTCTCCGGATACATAATCGACCGTGTCGGCTACGAAATCCCAATGATCCTCGGATTGTGCACCATGTTCTTCTCCACAGCCATCTTTGCTCTCGGGAAGAGCTACGGAGTGTTGCTGTTCGCCAGATCCCTACAGGTGAGTATGGGACTGAAAAACACGGGTTGCCACGTCATAAAATCTAGTTCTCAGTAGCAGAAGGTTATCTGAAAGGTGTTAGCATAGACGTAAATTCTGCTTTCCTAACTTTCCTCCCTCCTGCTCTTTTTCCTTTTCCTTTCCTAACCACTTCCAAAATGAAGACGAACAATTCAATTTGGTTGCATCTCTCCACCGCCTTTTCTTCGCAATTCCCTCGAAGTGAGAGCCCTCCGATCCTCCCGGTGGTTGTATATTTCGACTTGGAATCGCGCAAAAAAGCAGGAAAACGAATAGGAGGAGCCGCGGGAAAGGAAGGAAGGATTTCTGAAATGATCTGCGTCTCTCTGTCCCGCACGCACTATCCTGGCCCCAGTACACGCCATCTTCGTGCTAATTAACTTCGGGCAACAAGCAGAAGCTCTGCCAAGAGGAAGAGCCTCGGCGACGACGACAAAACACAGAAAATAGATGGTCCCGGGTGATAAGTGCCCGACTCGGCCCCGTTTTCGTGTCCCTGGGGTCATAGGAGGGTGCTCGCGCCGACAAATTGGCAAGACTTTTGGGCTTTTGAGCTGTACTGGAACAGAAAAGAAACTCATGACGTGGAAATAATGTTGACTGTTCAGGGATTCGGTTCGGCCTTTGCTGACACCTCTGGACTCGCCATGATTGCTGACCGTTTCACTGAGGAGAATGAGAGATCGGCTGCTCTCGGAATCGCCCTCGCCTTCATCTCGTTCGGATGTCTCGTTGCCCCTCCGTTCGGATCCGTCCTCTACTCAATCGCTGGAAAACCGGTCCCATTCCTTATTCTTTCGTTCGTCTGTCTCGCTGATGCTATCGCCGTTTTCATGGTTATCAATCCACACCGTAGAGGAACCGACGCACAAGGAGAAAAAGTGCAAGGTACTCCATCATCACCGTATTCCATCCTCACCATTCATTCTTCCAGGAACCCCAATGTGGCGTCTGTTTATGGATCCGTTTATCGCTTGCTGCTCCGGAGCTCTCATTATGGCCAACGTCTCGTTGGCTTTCCTCGAGCCGACCATCACCACGTGGATGTCCGAAGTGATGCCAGAGACCCCCGGATGGCTCGTCGGAGTCATCTGGCTTCCGCCCTTCTTCCCACACGTGCTTGGAGTTTATTGCACTGTCAAACTGCTGAAGAAGTTCCCCGGACAGACGTGGTCCATCGCAATGGTCGGACTCGCAATGGAAGGAATCGCGTGCTTTGCCATTCCGTACACCTCCTCCGTCATGCAACTCGTCATCCCTCTCTCGTTCGTCTGCTTCGGAATCGCCCTCATCGACACGTCCCTCCTCCCCATGCTCGGTCATCTCGTCGACACTCGCCACGTGTCCGTCTACGGATCTGTCTACGCCATCGCCGATATCTCCTATTCTCTCGCCTACGCCTTCGGACCAATCATCGCCGGATGGATCGTGACCAACTGGGGATTCACCGCTCTCAACATCATCATCTTCGTCACGAACGTCTGCTACGCGCCTGTTCTCATTCTCCTCCGCAAAGTTCATTCCTACGACTCCCTAGGAGGTGCTCCGGGAGCTGCTCAGAACGGAGAAATGACCCAATTGAATAACACACCCGGATATGGACAAGTCGGAAAGACGAACGACACTCAGACGACGGCCTTCAATGATTCCTACCAGGGCTGGGAGGATCAACAGTCGTACCAGAACCAAGCGACGGTCCCGAATCACGCGGTCACATTCCAAGATGCTAGACCGCAAGCAGAGTTTCCTGCCGGATACGATCCCTTGAACCCGCAGTGGTAGCCACCATTTTAACCCTTCCAAACTACGCCAAACCACAAAGAAATGGCCAAATGACTAGCCTAGATCGCTTGATTTTTTCGTCCATTACTCCCGCAATTGATCTCGCAATATATAGACTATGAAAACAGTATTTATTTATGATTTATGAAAATGAAAATAAAAATACCGAGAGAAGAGCGAAAATAAACTTCTTGGTGGTTTTTGTCAAAAATATTATGCACAAATCAGTAATTTCAGATGGATGCAAAAGAGGCCGATGGGTGGTATGATGTGAGTTTTCAATGAAGTTGATTCCCTGAACTGAGCATCCTTTTCTGCAAAATGAGTCGTGCAAAGAGTCCATCATTTCGAGTGACTTCCCGTTTCCTCAGTTCTTTCCTTTTCTTAGCATCCCCTGGGTATAAACCTCTCGATTTAATTAGAATTGGCACGCATCTTTGGGCGCCAGATTTCACAAGCACAAAAAATATAGTATCTGGTCGAGCATCTCTTTCTTCTTCTTCTTCGCTTCCGTCCCTCTCCATTAACAGCGCTGCTCCTCATTTCGAAGACGTCGCCGAAACCGCCGCCGGAAAACTAATTAGTTTGAAACATTTCTGTTTTTGTCAGCCGTCCCCTTATTCTTGTCGCCCCCAATGAGACTCATTCTCTCCTTACTTTCCAAACAATTTAAAGTCAATCGGGTTGTGTTTCGCACCCTGAAAACTGTAAAGGTACAAGTGAACTTAGAATTGATATGGAGCGCGTATTTTGCAGACTGCTCTTCCAAAACCCCCAGTCCCATCTCTTGAATCTACATTAGACAGGTATTGAACTGTATGCCGGCAACTTATCCCGTCTCATTTCCCATTAAGATATCTCGAGTATGCGGCAGTCGTGGCAGTCGGTCAGAAGGCATCTCTGGCGGCGACGCACGATGCCGCCCGAAACTTCGTCCGTCAAGCTACTCCACTCCAAGAACAGCTTCTTGAAATATCTGAAAAATCGCTCAACTGGGTACATTCCCGTCTTTCCTTCTATTCTAATGCCTTCCGTTCAGGCGACCAAGTTCTGGCTTCCGGAGATGTACATGAGAGTTCGCATGCCAACTCCGGTCAACTCGAACCCGGGATATATCTTTCCGAAGGTGAAGTTCGAATCGAAAGAAGATCATCTCAAGTACACTGCTCTGCTCACTCGCGGACTGCTGCAGTACAAGAATCTGATTGACACGTTTGTGATAGCGCTATTCCTTCAACTATCCTTTTCTTCAGAAAGCAAATCTCTCGCGAAAAAGGGACGGGAGCCCAGAAACTGCAAATGTGCATGGAGCAGTACGACCGCGTACTTAGCTCCTATCGGGAGCCGGGTGTTGGCGAGGACACTCAAATCCGCAAGCAGAAGACGCACGAGGGAAATGAGCACGTGCTCGTAATGTGCCGCAACCAGACATTCGTGCTGCACACTCGGATCAACGGAGGCCTCCTTCCGTTTGCCGACTTGGAACATCAGCTGAAGAAGATTGAGGAGATTTCGTTGATCAATCAAAACGTTTGTGAAATTTTGCAAATGTCAAGTTGCAACTGAACATTTCAGAACGCGACTAAGATCGGTGCTTGTGGAGTTGGTCCGCGTGATGAAGCAGCCATTTTCTGGCAGGAAATGCTGACTGTCGAGCAGAACTCGAAGTCGTACGAATGGGTGAAGTCCGCGCTGTTCGTAGTGTGTCTAGACATGGAAGATCCAGTAGATTATGGGGCAAACGGTAGCAGATTACCTATAATCATCAGATGGAAACTTTGTATTCAGATACAGCGAACGTAGCTGAGAAGGAAAAAGAGTTCATTCTGCGTGGATATCACACACTAACCGGACACGGATCTCAAGTGTTCGGACTCAATCGTTGGTACGATGCGACTATTCAACTGGTGGTTTCCTCCAGTGGAGTCAACGGACTCTGCATCGAACACTCTACGGCGGAAGGCATTGTGATAATTAACATGGCTGAGAGTGCAATCAGATTTGCTCAGCAATACTTCAAGAGCAAAATGGTAAGTATTCTGGGCTTTATCAATCTCATGTTGCGCTGTTTAACTAGGTGTGGAATGACGTTCGAAATGTTCATCCGAAGTCTTTGACGTGGCATTTTAGTGAGAATGCGAGAAAGCTATTAACGAAGCAAACTGCGACATTCGATGAGCTCGCTAATGAACTCGAGTTAGAGGTGCTCATTTTCGATGAGTTTGGAAAGGATTCCATCAAAAAGTGGAATGTGAGCCCAGACGGATTCATCCAACTCATCCTGCAATTGGCCCATTACAAGTGAGTTCCAACTCACTTTCATCCATGAACTGAATGATTCAGAACGCATGGTCATCTCGTGTCAACTTACGAGTCCGCATCCGTCCGTCGGTTCGGGTGCGGCAGAGTTGATAACATCAGAGCGAACACGCAGGAGGCACTCGAATGGGTGACTGCAATGACAAGCAAAACGACGAGCAGAGAGAAGAAGCTGGAGTTGTTCAAGGCGGCGGTGCAAAAGCAAGTGAAGGTCACTTTGGAGGTATACAAAACTGACATCGCACACATGGATGCACGTTCGTTTTTCAGAATATCAGTGGATACGGTATCGACAACCATCTGTGTGCTCTATTCTGTCTTGCTCGCGAGAGAGAAGAAGTGACCGGCGAGGAGATACCCTCTCTGTTCATGGATCCGCTTTGGTCCGAAGTCATGAGATTCCCGTTGTCGACAAGCCAAGTGACCACTTCCCTCGACATTCCCGACTGCTACCTGACCTATGGAGCCGTGGTCCGTGACGGTTACGGATGTCCGTACAACATCCAGCCGCGACGAATTCTGTTCGCTCCGACTGCTTTCAAGAACGACCGACGCACCGATTTGCAGCATTTCAAGAAGAGTCTATCTGCGGCGTTGAGAGATGTGAAACAGCTTTTGAGCAACTGAACGAATACAATTAAACAATGATTTATAATGCACTGTAATTTATTTGGCAATAACGAACAATAGGAAAGCATCTAGATGATATTTATGTCAGTGTTAACCAACAATATTCTATGAGAACCTATTGGCGCATGCGAATTTTTAATAAAATGTATTTGGAAGTGTGAAGTTCCGTCTTGTCGATTTCCCGATCTTTTCTCCGCCACGTCATTCATTATTGTCTGTTTCTGCCCACCTAATGCGCCGCCCATTTCTGTCTCCAAATGTGCTGCGTTATGCTTTTCTCGGCACGTTACGTCAGCCAGAAACGTCTTTTAGAGCACCTTCAATCAGCTTATCGTTTCGTTTGATAAATGCGCCCTACTCATTCATTTCCCGCCTATTCTTCTTCTTCTTCTCCTCCAATCGGCCTCTCGCTCTCTGATTTATGTGGCCTCTTCCTTTTTTCCATTAGCTTTGTTCTGAATGATAACAGATGATGAGGGGGAGGAGGTGTTACGAAAGTGCTGAACTCGGCAGAAAGTGACCGGCACGCGGACACTCGGCCTTCTTATCAGTGACCATTCCGCTTCAGTCTCTCGAATTCTCTCAAACTGACTTTGACCCATTCTCAGTTTTCAGAATAGAAATGTGCTTGCTTCACAACGTCCGCCCCAAAAGAGATCCGTGCTCAGCCGCCAACAACAATGAGGTATGTGAGCAGCTGAAGAAGAACATGTCCGTGCTCTTTCGATCCTTTCCTATTCTATTATTATCCTAGTGAATAGTTCTAGTCACATGACTCAGACGCCTATCATCATTTCCTTCTATTCAGATCACCGTCGAGCACACGGCAATCAAATGGACCGTCTCATTCCAACTAAAAATGATCATCGGACAGGCAACGCTCACATGCAGATGTCTAACCGATGCGAAAAAGCTGGTGAGTGGGAGAAAGAGTCCGTGCATTATCGTGTCACGTGCTGACTGAAACCGCTTATCACCTTTCTTTGTTCCATCATAAGCTGATAAGTAGTTGTACAGAAAAGGAATTGAAGTGAAGTTTAGATAAGTGGAGATGAGAAAAAATCAAAAAAGTCTAGAGGGGGAATCGACCTGAAAGAGCAACGGGAAAGTGCAGCAAGCGATAAGAGTCTTCTTGTCAGGTGCTCGATGTTCGTGATCTGTCCATCCGATCGGTGTCCATCAATGGAATCGACTGCGACTTCAGAATCGCCCCGAACGTGTACACTTTCTTTGGATCCAAAATGTCCGTCTACCTACCTCCTCAACTCCAAAAGGCCGGAAACATTCTGTAAGACTTGTTCCGTTGAACGGATTCCAGAATCAACATAATTTCAGGCAAGTCACTGTTGCTTATGGAACTTCTCCGGATGCGACTGCCCTTCAATGGATGAAGAAAGAACAGACCGCGGACAAAAGGGTATTCTGAATAATCCGAGTGCTTCTTGCTCTCATTCGAAAGTGTTCAGATGCCGTACCTCTTCTCTCAATGCCAGGCCATTCACGCTCGTTCGATCGTTCCCTGCATGGATACCCCCTCCGTAAAAAGCACTTATGAGGCAGAAGTGACCGTGCCGACCGGAATGACATGTCTCATGTCGGCCATCGGACAGGGATCCAAAGGCGACGACGAGGTGACGACGTTCTTTTACAAGCAGCCAGTGGCCATCCCCAGTTACCTGATCGCCATTGTCGTCGGATGCCTCGAAAAGAGGGACATAAGTGACCGATGCGCCGTGTGGGCTGAGCCGTCCGTAGTGGATAAGGCGCATTGGGAATTCGCTGAAACCGAGGATATTCTTGCTTCCGCCGAGGAAATTGCGGGAAAGTACATTTGGGGAAGATACGACATGGTGTGTCTGCCGCCTTCGTTCCCCTTCGGAGGCATGGAGAACCCGTGTCTGACCTTCCTGACGCCCACTCTGATCGCTGGAGATCGGTCACTGGTCAGTGTGATTGCACATGAGATTGCACATAGCTGGTCAGGCAACTTGGTAACAAATTCCAGTTGGGAGCACTTCTGGTGATATCGTTCTCACTCTCTTTCTATGATAGAATGTCGTTTAGGCTAAACGAAGGCTTCACAATGTTCATCGAGAGAAAGATCTGCGGTCGACTGGTTTCAGAGGACTACCGGCAGTTCATGGCGTTCAACGGCTGGACCAACTCGCTCATTCCTGCTGTAAGTGCTTCTTTTTCTCTCTCTCTCTTTCTCTCTCTCTCTCTCTCTTCACTCACAAATCACCCCACCCAATTGTGCATTTTGAACCCGATGACTGAAGATGCGAATGTGCAACAGATAAGCGGCTTATCACACATTCCCTTCTCCGAAAAGTGACGGTTGCAAAGTTCGAATTTTGCAGGTCTATGAACAATTCACTCCGACTCATCAGTTCACAAAATTGATCCAAGATCACACGAATGTCGACCCGGATGTCGCGTTTTCTTGTGTTCCGTACGAGAAGGGATCTGCTCTGCTCTTTTATCTTGAGCAGAAACTCGGCGGAAGTGAAGTGTTCGAAGCGTACCTCAAAGATTACCTCACGACTTTTGCTCATCAAGCAATTGACAGTTGGCAGTGGAAAGATCACTTGTACAGATACTTTGCCGATCAGAAAGAGGTGCTCGACTCGGTCAACTTCGACCTCTGGTTCAACGGCGTCGGAATGCCGCCCGAGAAGCCAAACTACGGACAGTCAATGGTGGAGGCGTGCGAAACGCTTCTGAACAAGTGGTTGAACGCAGATGAGAAGACTGTGAACGATATCACCGGAGAGGACTACTTTGCGATGCAACCACTGCAGCAGATCGAGTTGCTCTCCCAGTTGTGGCAGCACAATCCGCCCATCGAGCACTACAAACTGGAAGCACTCAACAAACTGTACAGACTGAACGAGTCGCAAAACTCGGAACTCCTTCTCAAGTAAGTAGAACTTCCTTTCCGTCAGAAACCATCTGTGCCGTTCAGCTGGCTCCGTCTGTGCATAAAATCAAAGTGGGAAGCCTGCATTCCGAAGGCGTTGGACTTTGTGAACTCGCAGGGACGTCTCAAGTTCTGCAGACCTATTTACAGGTGTGACACTCAAAATGCTCATTCTCTAGTGTGTTTCCCATTTCAGAGATCTGGCTCAATGGCCAGTTGCGAACAAAAGAGCGCGGGACGTTTATCTGAAGGGTCGTGGTCAGATGCATCCGATCACGGCGGAGATGATCGCCAAGGAACTGCACATCCGCCATTCCACCCACACCGTCTGCTTCTAACCCTTTCTGTCCTCCCTCTTGTTGTGTAACTCTATGTACATTCGTTTCCCCTTCCTTTTTAACTTTTCGTTTTCTTGTAGGTCTTTCTTCCCCTTCTATTCAAATACAATAAAATCACCCACTCCAAAGAACCACTAGAGCACTTCAGAAGGCAATTTCATCTTCGGTTTCGCGTCCGTTTAATGTTTCCCCGTCAACCCATTTCACGAGAAGTTGAACCGATCAACCGAGAAGACGTGAAACGGCGACGGGTGTGTACCTCGGACACGTTATCTTTCAAAGACCAACTGGCCGATGACGACGCCGGCTGCTGAACTATCAGCCATTCTTCTCTGAACTTTATCATTCAGGTTTTCTTCTTTCTTCTCACGAGTCTATTCTGTGACTGAAATAGCAGGGGTCGAGAGGAAGAATAGAGAAACGATGTGTACACAAACGTGGAAGGATCACAAGATCAATTAGAGATACGGTAAGTATATGAGCATCTGATGCAAGGGTCACCACTTCGACGGACTACTTGTTCTTTACATTGACACGCAACTAATTGATTCGGATGTCATGGATGTGACTGCAAATAAAAATCGGAAACTGAAAGAACAGCAGCACGAAATCGTACATTTGAGATTGTGCAGAAATAAAAAATCAAATATATCAGGAAGGGAACAGGATCCACAATCCGGGGATATCAAAGAACGGGCGGGACGATGTCTCCGATTGGACGCCCGCCCACTTGTTTACAGTAACTCCCCTCAAAAAGACGTGACTTTTCATTCATCACAGCACCTCTTCTGACCGAATATAAATTGGCCCTTTTCAGATCTGTTGGAAACAATATGAGACTTTCGATTCAGTTTATTCTTGTACTTCTATTGTTCACCGCCGGTTCGTTACAGCTTTTATTCCCTAATGCATGTCTATTTATTCCCTTGCAGAAGCCGCTTGTCTGACGATGCTCGGACTGACTCGTGGTTCTCGGGGCAGCACGGAGGAAAAAATGTATTTTCCGGCAGAAGACAATCTCCCTCCACCGCTGAGCGGTCCAGAGCCGGAATTGGACAAAACATACGTGAGACGCATCGGATCGGTTGCCGGACGCGAAGTTGGTTACTATCTGGCCGATCAGAAACCAAGTTGTTTCACATTTTCAGATAATTCCACGCGCTTGGGAAGAGAATGAAGAAGATCGTAAACGGATTCGCTTGGATGCCGACGGAATGCCAGTGAGACCGCAGCCGGTTGTGAGCAGAATGCTGGGAAGACCTGGAGGACTCTAGGAAACTCGGATCGCATTCTGAATTCATTTGATCTCAGTTTTGTATTGTCGGGTGACAAACAAATTATTTCGTATTGACTAGCTCCTGTGAGAAATAAAGCCTGCTTATCATCAGAAAATCGTGGTTCCATTCAACGTGAAGATTCTTGATTGCTCCAGAAGATTCGAGAACTTTCTCTCTGTACAGTAATAACAGTTGTACACGGAATATTCCAGAATTCGGACAGATTTTGTATATAAAACGAACCACATTCCTCACGTCTATCAAAAATGGTAATAATGCGCTCAACAAGAATCCACTCGAATAGAATACAACTAGCATTCCCTTTCCCGCGGAATTCCGTTCATGAACGCGTTCCATACTGCGAGACACCGCACTGCGGCCGCGCGGAGTGTGAGCGTCGCGGGCACTTTCAAACGCGCGGTCAGCAAGTGCGCTCCATCGGTCACTCGCGTTGCGCCGCGAAACAAATTCATTCGAACTTTCTCGGCAATTCATTTGCAAAAATGAACTGCTCTCGCGCACCGATGAAGCGAAAGAGCATTGCTTCTCTCAAAGACGGAAAGGTAAATTTACCTTATCTTTATTTGTTTTTAACGATTTCATTGGAATATGTCCTGTTCAGAGGGTTAAATCGATCTCACACGAGGGTACCCCAGTCGTTGAGGAAATCTCGACTTCAGACGCCGTGATCGATAATGTAAGTAATCTCTTCGCCATCTGATAGAAGAATGAATTGCAGCTTCATGAGATCATCAGCAACGTCATCCAAATGAAGGATCTGCCCGAAGCGGCGGTCATAGAGCTGAAAGGCTTCGACGTTTCGGCGACGTCGATGGAAGAATACAAACAGAAACGAGAGCAAATTCGTCAAATGGTCGGCGACTCTGACTTCTTCGACAGAAAAACTGAACTCAATCTCGGAGTCGTAAGTCTAACCGAAATCAATGTCATTCTATTACAATCAAATTTATTAGGCTTCTCTGGCCGGTGCTCAATTGGAAGTCGACAAGAAAGTAACGACCAGACGTATGAGCCGAAAACTGCACGACGAATGTGGAATCAAAGAGAATGACATCCTGTACAAAGGACTCGATTACCACGGAACTGAATCGCGTGTCAGCAGAGAGCTCAGAGAGTGAGAACTCCGCTTTCTTTGTTCTTTTTCAACAAACTTTCAGTTCCCGTCAGGCATCGATCATCGAGTCTTGCGTCGACTTTCAGAAGCAGATTCAGTGGAAAATGGGACTGATCGATCACGTGAAAGCCGCTTCAGATGCCGGCAAAACGTATCCTATGTCTGATGGACCAAGTGTTCGAACTCGCGGAGGACAAGATAAACTGAGAGAAGAGATGAAAAAGAAGCAGAAGGAGCTGGAGAAAACTAGAAAGAACCGAAATAATGGCGAAGAAGACCCGTTCCAGACGCCGCAGAAGAAGATCGAATTCAATGCGCTGGATGAGAGAAGAGTAAGTGTTTCGCAAATTGTTTTAATAATCGTTATCACCTTCGTTTCCAGATTATTGAGAATTACCAGCTGGAAGTGGCGTCTGAAGTTCGCACTCACCGCCCGGACGTCCGCCGCGGAATCGCCCCGGTTCCCTTCGACATCAACATCCTCGATGAAGAAGAGGACGATTGAGCCGCCGATGACCGTTTTCAACCTTTCCTTCACCGCAGATCTATTGTCATCCGAAACGGAACTGTCCATTCCGGTATTGTTAATAAGATTTCGTTCGGGTCTCCGAAATTTAGTAGCAGGCACTTTGTGAATAAAGTCGATATTTTCCAATTCAAATTTATCGTAACGATATTATCAACGTGAAAGCTGTGAGGTGTCATGTCATTGACGTGCGGTCGTTCATCGGGCGGAACAGTATTTCCGAGTGAAATGTCCGAGCACGAGGGTAAATCTCTTGAAAAATCGTCATCGAATCGAACGGTTCCGTCTGCTCTCTCAAATGCTAAATCAGTTCGGAAGACCGAGAACGTGGCCAACATGCAAGTGCCCTCAACGAACCTTTTTCTCCGCAACTCCCTCTTTTTCAGAGTCCCATTCAATGCTTGCCTTTTCACCGTTCTGACCGTCTCCGGATCCCTGCAGCTGACCGCTCTCTTCCCGAACTTTGGCTCTTTCCTCTCTCTTCTCATCTCCTTTTTCACTTACGAGGTCGGTTACTCGCCACGTGCTTCGGCTCGAATTGCTCTTTCCAGTGGTTCAACTTGCACTTCCCGTCGATGACCAGGTCCCGTCGCGCATGTTTCGACATTGCGAACGTGCTGGAGACGTACCAGCCGAGAGCCCGAACCCATGGGCATCTCTTCGTGGTCCGTATCTTGGCAGTCTTTTTATCTTCCAGTTTTTTCCCATCTTTCAGCCGGATCCGCCTACACCGTGCGTAAAGATTGCCGAAGAGGGAAATGAGCACGATATGCCGAAGGAGAAGAATTCGTTTACTAACGCCAGGGACTCTGTAATCATCCGACCAGTTTCTCCCTTCATTCTTATTGTTTCAGCACTACGAGAACATGTACCAGAAGGCGATTCAGATGGCGAAAGAGATGGATCAGATGGAGAAAGTGGCGGCGAGTCCGAACATGGATGGGGCACAGAACGCCGAACTGAAACCGGCGAATCCGGAGAAGGATAGGAAGGAGAGCGAGGAAAAGAGCAAGAAGGCGAAGGCGAAGTACGATGCCGACATGGCGAAACCGTTCAGTTGCTGAAATTATTCTGAATGAACGCATTAATTGAGCAGATTCCGGAAGTGACCACAGGTCAAACAGAAAAGAGAAAGTGTTCGGCCCAATTATGAGTTGAATCCACGATCCGCGCCATAATTATCTCACCCTCTGACCCTGCCTCCTCCCCTTCCGCTTCTTTGCATACTCCCATTCTCGATGCGTTCCCTTCTTTTTCTGCTTCTTCAATTCCTCCTCAGCCATGGCCTCAATGTGCTCTTTTATGTGCCAACTCTTTCGCACAGTCACATTTCTTTCAACACGAAACTGGCGGAAGTGCTTGCGTCAGCCGGCCATTCGGTTACCGTAATTCTGGCCCAAGTGGACGATACTCTCTTCGTCGACAACGCCACCGATTATTCGATTCTTCGGAAGAGGGTCGGAGTGCCACGTGGCCATCTTCGACAGGTTTTGTGGAGTAATCCGGGTCCCTACGAGGACAGTTCTCCTCTGAATCCGCTCATTTTCTATAAGCTTCTGAAAGTATCGCGAACATTTGTGACTGCGTGTGAAAGTAAGAACGGAATCGGTGGAATCGAAAAGCTTCTCTTCTTTTCTCTCTCTTTTAGATATCGCATCGGACGAAATGTTTCTGGACAGTCTGAGAGAGCAGAATTTCGACGTCGGATTGGTCGAGCAGTATGACTCGTGCGGGTATTCCTTTCCGGGACCACAGTCCTCTGAAGTCTATCGGTTCGATTCAGGTTCGGAGTGTTCAAAGCGATCGGGATAGAAAGTACGGTATGGCTGTCCGCCACGGCCATTTACAGACCGCAAGCGGAGGCATTGGGAATTCGCTTGCCGTACAGTTATGTCCCGGGTATGAGGAATCGGAGGAGTTTTAGTCTGATATGGAGCGTGTCATTTTACAGAACTGTTCGCGCACTTCAGCGACAAGATGACGTTCCTCCAGAAAGTGACCAACTGTCTCATCGGCCACGTCACTTCGTTCGTTTTTGAAGTGTTCGCTCAAGCACGCCAATCTAGAATATTCAGATTCCATCAAGGTTTCATGCTTTTCAGTCCTTTTTGAATGAACGAGTTCAGATCTGGCGTCAGTGTCCAAAGAGTCATCTTCCATTCTCATAAACTCCATTCCTTTCTTCGATTACAGTATGCCGCTCAGCCACCAATTCTCGAACATCGGAGGGATTACTGTAGACAAAAAAGGCCAGAAGCTTGATCTGGTAACGTTGGAAACGGAATTCTCCCGGTGATTCTCAGATATTTCAGTACTGGCAATCGATCGCTGACGACGCCAAGAACGGATTCGTGCTCGTGAGCTTCGGCGGCATCGCGAGGACCGTCGACATGAGCAGCTCCATGCAGCGCATCTTCTTCGACAGCTTCTCTCGCTTTCCGCAAATCACGTTCATCGTCAAGTACGAATCGTCGAACGCGACCGTTTCGATGCCCGACAACGTGATTCTCACTCCGTGGATTCCCCAATTGCCGCTGATGGCCCACAAGAACTACAAAACGATCATTACGCACGGAGGATGGAGCAGCATTCTGGAGACGACGATGCACTCGAAGCCGATGATTCTGATGCCGTTGTTCGCCGACCACGCCAAAAATTCGAAGGTTGCCGAGTCGAAAGGAGTCGCTGTTCTGCTCGACAAAATGAGATTGAGCCAGCGGAGAGTTGTGCACGCAATCAACACGATACTGACTAACGAGAGGTCGGAATGGGAAAAGAGCAAAAATAAGTTATGAAAAGTCCTTCCAGATACACTCGGAACTGTGAAAAGTACTCGAGAATGTTCTCGGATACGCCCATTTCACACGAGAAGTTGATCGAATGGAGGATTAGACAAGCAGCGAAACCGTCGAGAAAAGCATTTGCCAAGCATATGAAACCGAAGGAACCCGACTTTTTATTTGTAAATCTAGCTTTTGTTTCTATTCCGATTCTGTTCGCATTCAAAAAACGAGGCTGCCTGTATTGAATAAATTAGTTGAAAAACAGCTCAGACATTGTGCAATCATCCATCTTCTGGCGGGAGGCGTGACGTTGGGTCCCGCCTTCTCAGGCGACGTCACCTTCCAACCGCCTCGGCCAGCGCACAAATCTTCGATCATTGCCATCATTGAACTAGAGACCGCACGCGCGACACTCCCCCACTCAACCACTGAGCCACCCGGTCGCGGTCGCCCGGTCTCACAAAGAACGTACATATGACCACGACAGCAGTTATTTGGCGTTGCGCTTTTCTGTCTATATTACAATGTGAAACTTTCATTTGGTTATAGTATTTAAGAACCGGCGAAATCCGAATTAGAAGCAATGATTGTCAAAGAGAATCTCTGTTCGACACCGACTTTTGGAAAGGAAATTATGGAACAAGAAAAATTGCAAAAGGAAAACCTCCTAATCACGCGTTTTGAATGGAGTGTATACGAAATCGGATGAGCAGAATTGAATATAAAACGACGGCGATTCATTCGCAGTTTCGGAAGTGTTCGCACAATTGGGAGAATTCTTCGGCATCAACAATCTCGGACAGCTCGAATTGGAAGTTCATGTCGCACGAATCGGATCGCACAAGAATGTGGGGCAGGTTATTTTTGCGGTACTGTAAAGAAAAAAGCATTGAAAATATTTAGAAAAGTATGTACCTCGTAGTAAATGATATCATCGACTGAGGTAGATCTAGAGAGGGTGGCGCCTTCAGATTCCGAGTCCGAAGAGGAAGCAGCGGAAGAGCTGTCTGATGGATCGTGGTGGTGTACTTCACGGACCAGTTTCAGAGTTTCCAGATCGAACGAATATTCTGCTCCGGGAAAAATGGTTTGGTTTCCAGATATCTGAATAAATTAAGGCATTGCCTAAAGAAATAAGAGTGGACCGTACCGCAAGACATTTATCGTCTTCGAGGAAGGTCGTGATATCCAGAAGTCTCGGCTTCTTTATGCTGTCGAGCACGTCGACCGAGTCCGTGGAGTCGTCGTCCTCTTCTTCTTTATGCTCCTGAATCTTCTCAAAGTTCTTCCTCGAATCGTTCTTTTCAAATCTCGGTTTCTTCGTGTTCGGCTCTCCAATTCGTTTCGTTTGCTCGTCATCCTCGTCTTTACTTTTCCGTTTCAGACACATATCCATGAATTCTTCGTTTGACACCAACTGTCTTTTTCTTCGCGACGCCTTCACTTTCGGCGAGCTTTTCGCGATCATTTCGTCATAAGAATTAATCATTTCCGAGAAGGATCCGCCCAAGCTAAAGCAAATGTCCCTGATGATGTCGTCGCAGTTTCCGAGCAGTTCAATATCTGGTTTGTAGTGTGGAAGCGACTCTCTGTTGATCAAAATTTGAGGAACATCTTCTCTGACGCACAGAGGGATCATGGAGACTGGCCGAACTTTAAGGGAGGATCCGATCACAACCACGAGGTCTACTTTCGGCTTGTCTTTGGCAACGTTTTTGTGAAAGTCTTGTCCGAGATCTTCTCCGAAGAACACAATGTTCGGCTTGATGACTCCTCGACAGTGTTTGCAGTGAGCCACTCGTTGTTCGAGAACTTCCTCTCGAATCTCGTTGCCGTCGTATTTGTGACCACATTGCGTGCATGTGCACTTCGAAAAGGATCCATGGCATTCGACGACTCGTTTGATGCCCGTCTGATGCTCGAGAGTGTCGATGTTCTGAGTGTAGTTGCGCAGAAGACGTCCGGCGCTTTCCAACTCTTTGATGAATCGATGAGAGACCGAAGGGACGAATTGACCAGGGAAGATTTCCTGAAGAGAAATTAGATGTGATCAGTCAGATAATAAATGTGATTACGCGAGCAAAGTTGTAGAAGGGAGCTGGATTCGATCGGAAATATCGAATATCGAACATCGCTGTCGGATCAGGAAGATCCGGGAACTCGCTGCGCAATCGGGCGTAGATTCCTGAAACAATCATTGAAAAGAGGGAAATCCTTCAGTTGCTCCTAACCGTCTTTGCTTCGAAAGTCCGGAATGCCACAGGAGACGGACACTCCGGCTCCAGTAAGCACCAGAATGTTCTTCTTCGTGCGGAACAGCTCGACGGCGTCTCCCAATGTGTTGTAGCTGGGCAGTTTATCTCTCTTCGGTGGACGATCTAGAAGTTCACCCAGAATGGCCAAATGCTGAAAAAAAAGTTTGAAATAGCAGACGACGTTCGGAACTAACTGTTCTTTCGGGCAAATGTGAGATGTTGGTAATGTTGAAATCTGGGTAAAGGCTTTGGATTATCTGAATTGGGGATGATCCAGAATCGAGCATGTTCTGCGCAGTTCGGAGTTTTTCAACCATTTCGTCCTGAAACTAGGATGAAATGTTTAATCTCTGAACGAGAAACAAACGCTTGTCTGCCAAGTATCTGAGTGGACGCTCGCCGTGCTCTCGGAACGCGTCCTTGCCGTTCCAGCTGATCCGGCCGATCCGGCTTCCGCTTCATCCGATTCAACCGGTCCTGCTTCCATTTGGAATTCTGACGACTGCGTGATATGCATTGAACTGATTTCCGGACTCGATTCGCGGTCATCCCGCTGCAAAAGTAGCACTACGAACAGATGAGTACATCGAAATTTATATAATTAAATTTTTAAGTTTTTAATTAACTAGTGCAGATGGCTTATGACTACTAGAAAACATACCACTTCAATGGTGGGCATTGTCACTTCCAATTCGAGATGTTCTTCGTGTTCCGACATTTTCAAAACGGTGACCTCCGTCGACCTGAAGAGTAAATGCGAAAATCAATTCAAATGCGCATGAATCGCGCCATGCCGAGGTATCAAACGCGTCAACAAACACTGCTTGGCTTCGGCAATATGAAGTGCTCACTCGCCGCTGCCGACTACTCAGACAACGGTTTGCGATGTATCGGCGGTTCAAATGCGATGCATCGACGATGCAATGGCGATGTCGAGCCTACGGGCGAAGTGTCGTTTCGCGCACTGTTTAGCCCCCGTTATTCGCACTAAATTTTGAGGCGTTTCGCTCACAAGAGCAGAAAAGGGTTAGAAATTCTCCGATTAATCGCGATTGGGAATGAAAAGAAAAAGAGTTTAGTTTTTGCAGATCAAATGAAATTATTTCAAAATGGAAAGAATTATCACGAAATCACTGTTTCCATCAGAAGTTCACAGACGGTCTCATTAAAACATGCAATTCCCTTCCCTCTCATTCCGCTCTTCCGAACTGTTTCTCCTGCTCTCAGACACTTTCAGGCTCTCTCTCTTAGGTCATTTTTATTCCATTTTGGCAGAAAGGGACACTCGAGAGTCAGGCAGACTTCTTATGCTGTCCGCCCACTCACCCGCGTTCGCCGCGTTCTTCTCGCAGTCGACGGCGGGCACCTCTCCTCTTCCGCTCTTTTGAGCTTTCTCTTCTGCTCTCAGACACTTACAGACTGTCATACAAGTAATTTTCATTGTCATTTACAGCAGCACGGCCCGGCTTTTCATACATAGGACTTTCGGTTTTTTCAATATATCTCCAGAAATCGAACATAGGGACCTCTGATTTTTTGATAAGAGTATATTTTTACTGGGTTCTTCAAAATGAGCCAGGTCAGAGGTAAATGTAAGGTTTCTGAGAGAAGTTACAGCTTCACAATTTCCACTCCTCCGTATGCTTTGCCGGCCCGTGCAGCAGTGAAAAGTTCACGGTCATTTAGAGCAGTGAAAAGTTCACGGTCATTTACAAAGTTCACGGTAAATGACCGCGCGCGCGGTCATTAACAACAGTAAGATGCTATTCGCATTCTATCCGCTATTTCCAGACGGGCCATGCATTTATCGTTAGGAACTCTTCATGTTATATGTTCCACTTCAACCTTTTATAGAATGCTCTGTTGAATCATCGGATCATATCTTGAAGACAAAGAAAAGTGCGGAGAAGGAAAGCATTTCAAAATTGGTAATACAACTTCGATTTTCTGGGTGAATGCAGACAAATTAGAGAAAACTGAATTACTCGATTTCAGCGTACGGAGCCCATTTCCATATTCGACCTTATGGGAATTCCCTCTCGAATTTGTAAACTATCTAGTCACTTTCACTCCTTCTTGTATTTTTATGCTTTTTTTACTTTTGTTCTTTTCTTATCTTCAACAAATTCTTTGGCGAATTCTGAAAATGCTGTTTTCTGCTAAACCGGGCGACAGCACGCCACTCCAAAGGTCTCCGACTGGTCAGCAGCGGCGAGTGAGTGGCACCCGAGAATGAGCGATACTGCGTTTATTATGGGAGAGTCAGGGATCTAGGCTATCAAGCCATGGCTTACTGACCAAAAGTTGGGAAAAAATTTTTTTTCAAGTAACTGACCAAAACAAATTGTTGTCGCCATGATATTTTTTCTTTCTTTTTAAAGGTGTATAATCTGCTTATTTCGTATAAAACTTTTTGCGGAATGCTACCTCTAATTTAGTGACGTCAAAGGTTTCATCGTACAAGTGGGACCGTCTCTTGGGGTGATGAATTCACTCACAGCATCAAGTGGAATGAATACATAGATCATGTTTTGGCAATCATTTTGATATTATAACTTGCCAAGTTTTGTCGATTCGTCAGTGAACTACACTCACTGAAGTACTATTGGCAGTGCATAAACGTTTGCAGCCGTGTCAGGGCAGCCGTGATATGTACCTCATCAGCAGCAAGTGCGCTGGTTAGAGCAATCCAAGAGGATCATTTTTATACCATAACGGTAATTTTTTGGAACGACCAGTTGCAACTGGTAGATTTAGTCAGGAAGTCTAGCTCAGCGGAGAATAGATGAAATCATTTAAGTAAGGGTATCAAAATGATCCTCTAGGATTGTTCTACACAGCGCACTTGCTGCTGGGCATGTATATGTCATGGCTACGGTGCTAGACTTGCTGCTTTTCGTAGTAAAATGCGAACGAATTGATGTAAAGTCAGAAAGTCCAGATAAGCGAAAAATAGTGAAAAATGGGCAAGTTATGGTATAAAAATGATCCTCTTGGATTGCTCTATCCAGCTGCTAGAATATTTTCAACATCCAGAGTGCTGCTCGCGGAGCCAAAGTTGGAAAATCAACTTTTTCAGTGTTTTCAGAAACATCCAGAATTGTGCGCGCTAAAGATTTTTTGGGTCGATGAACACGTTCCCAAAAAAGCAAGTGAAATTAATCAGTATTCATCCGACGGCACGCATCTGAACTCAGATAATTTTCAGCAAGGGTGGGGCACGCGAGCGGCAAGTGGACAGCAAGTTGCTACGGTAGCATAGGATGAGCATGTCAGCAGGGAAAAGTGGGATGGGAAGGAAGCAAGGTTTTTGAGCGGCATAGAAGCAGCCACGGTAGCAGGGTTCAGCGCGTAGCATGCACGGAATCGGCACCCTTACAGCATTTTGCCGCAGAAAACGGCATGCATGCCGCTTCCAGTCGGCACCCATGAAGACTCTTGCGGCCGCGCTTCGGACGAATACAATCAGTATTTCACTTGCTTTTTTGGAAACGAGTTCATTATAATGTAAACTAACTAGGGTTGGCTGCGGGGCGCCCCTCGCCCCTGACCAGTTTTTCCAAAATCGAGCAGAAATTTTTTTTTTTGAAAAATTTTCTCAACGCACGTCGATAGTAAATAAACTCATTAATCTACTAAATTTTTTTTCAGAATTTTAATTACACCTTAAAGGGCCGGGGGCGAACGAGAGCATGTGGGGCGCGGGGGCGCCCCGTTGCTAACCCTAAAACTAACAAAATGACACAAAAAGCACGCAAGAAACAGCCATATTTCAAAAAAAGCTAAATTACTAAATGCTAGGTCAAAATTCATTAAAAAAGACTCTGCTGAGAGAGGCACTTGCTGACCAATCGGACCGCGCTCACTGACCAGCAGGTGCTTCAGACCATGGGACTTACTGACCACGGACCCCTCCTGGGAGTTGGTCCTAGATCTATGTGGGAGAGTCATAGGATGTGTTGCTAAAATGAGATCCTAACTGGATAAAACAACGAATTTGTCCGTAGCGAATAAAGATGAGGAAAATAACAAGAATACAGAAGAACAAGGCACTAAATAGGCGAATGACTAGGCTATTATTTCCTGTGAATCCGTACAATTCATTGTTTCAGGCTTCTCGCTTCTAGCATTTTCCGTCCTTCGTGATTTTTGACAAGTGCGTCCATTCGCCGCCACCAGTCCACAATTTTTTCTTCCAAAATGACCTCTTTGAATGCAGAGCAACCGTAGAAAGAGTTCATGGCTCCGTAGAGAGACTGAAATGAAGAAGGCATTGAGTGAACGCGATTGTTCAACCGACCAAGTCTGCGAGATTGGGCTGATCTCCTCCCAGGAATTTTCTGTTCGGTCCGATTGCTGCCATCCAGTCTCGACACGCTTTTCTCAGCTCTTCTCGTTCGTCAGATATATTGTGCCTAAATACAACTTTTAAATTGGATATCAATAAATTTCAGACGATCTCACTTTTTCTTCAAGGTTTTGGAAAGGAGGAACATAGCTGCTGCACCAACGTAAACGGCCAGAACTCTTTCCCAGGCTGGGAATGTGCGGTGCCAGTCTCCGACTTGCTCAAACCAACGGAAAGTTTCCAATGATTCGTTCCAGCTACGATAAACATTTGGAGAAATGAGGTGGATGAACCAGTTATCCACCCATTCACGCCATTCTCTCTCTTCTCGAGCAGCTGCCATATTTCCTTCAGCATCCACTTTACCCTTCATGATGAAAAACTTGTTCGGATAATTCACCATCTGCAATAATTTCGATTGTAGCTTTTAGACGATTCACAGACGCACAGGTTTTCCCTTCTCGTTTGTCGAATCAACTCCTGGATACATCTGGATGACTTGCTCCAGAGATTGATCTGGTCTCTCTATAAAGGTGGCCAGCTGTGAGATGATCAAAGAAGATTCGGTTAATGTTTTCTCTCCGCTTCTAATGATAGGCACCTAGAAATACTAGAGTAAAAGAGCAAGTATAACAAAACGCTTACTTTTTTGTATTCATTGCTGAATTTTATCTGAGAACGAGTGACCGGGTTCACCTCGACCACTTCGTACGAAAAGCCATAATAATCCAAAAAAGCTCGTACCTGAAATAGGCAGAAAATATTTGTTGAGTCATGTTAGCTCACCTTACAACAGAAAGGACATGTTTCGTATTGATATAACCGTAGTTTCAAGTTTGATCTGTCTAAATGGTTTATAACCTGAACAACAATTTGATTTTTTTAAACATATGATTTTTTGACTCACTTTTCTGCTGAGTAAAACGTCATTCTGGGCTTGATCCGGACGCTGAATTTGAATGGGGCACATTCGTGGCTTCGCCGCTGGAATTTCGTCAAGCTTCGATCCTCCCCACGAGAATCCTGCTAAAGATGCTATTTGAACTGTTCTGACTCCCAGAAAACGCATCTAAAACAAAATTTAGATTGAAATAGTCGTGTATAAGAACGGGCGGAAAATTGAAAACAGATTTGGTAAATTTCCCGTGAAAATGACGCAAAGGTAGGTTAAAATATAGAATTCACGCGTAAGCGAGTAATTCGATAGGTGAGAAAACTGAAAATCATGTCAAAATTCTGATAAAATTTCAGTTTTATGCTCTAAAACCGGCGGCAAGTCATAAAAAAGCTCACAGAATTGAAATACGGGACATCGTGGCGAGACCCTTCCGCATAAATGCGTGCGCCTTTAAAGTGAGAACTTATTTCGGTTCCCATTTTCTCAAATTTTCAGATAATGGCGCAAAAAATGAAAACAAAACAAATTGGAAATTTGGTTATCAGAGGTTTATATCGATTTTACAATCTTAGTTTCAGTTATCTGTACAAAATCAGGAAAAACGATTAACTGTTGACATTCCTCATTTTCTTTTTCGCTCCTGATTTTAATGCAGATGACTCGGTCCTAAATAAGCTGTTAAAACATAAATGAAATTAGTTCTTTCTCCTCCTAGTTTTCAGAAACCAATTCGTCACTTTGCAGTTTTGTAGTTTTATCTCTTCTCGTGTAATTCAGTGCGACTGACACTCCTGCACATTCTTCTAATAATCGGCTCCCTCTATGATTGCTGTCTACCCGTGGTCAAAACAACCGCGTATTTAGTTCCTCTGAATTTCGCAATGTTTGCGCCTCGAGAGTGTTACATCAGATTTCATCGTGTTCGCTCACTTAAAACTGATTCCATGTCTCATTTAGAATCATTCCCGTTTTCAGGGAAAAAATGAGCGGGCTTTCAACCGTTCCCGATAACATCAATTTTGCGAAAGAAGAGGAGAAAGTAACTCAAAAATGGAAAGATGAGAAGACTTTCCTGCGTTCTGTCGAGTAAGTCCGCATCCAAAGTGCCATATTCAAATTCTTTATTACAGACTTTCGAAGGATAGACCGCATTTCACTTTCTACGACGGCCCGCCCTTCGCCACAGGCCTTCCTCACTACGGCCACATGCTCACAAGCACCATCAAAGACGTCGTCGGAAGATGGGCTCACCAGAATGGACACTACGTAGAAAGAAGGTTCGGATGGGACACCCACGGTCTTCCGGTCGAGTACGAAATTGACAAGTCTCTCGGAATCAGTGGTCCCCAAGATGTGCTCAAGATGGGCATTGCCAACTACAACAACGAGTGCCGGAAGATTGTCATGAGATATTCTGGAGTAAGGAAGTGACGAAACATTTGTAATTTTACCGATTTTTTGCAGGAATGGGAAAAGACGATGGGACGTCTCGGTCGATGGGTCGACTTCGACCATGACTACAAGACCCTTTATCCGTGGTTCATGGAGTCTGTGTGGTGGGCATTCAGCGAGCTGCACAAGAAGGGACTCGTCTACAAGGGAGTCAAAGTGATGCCCTTCTCGACCGCCTGTTCTACGCCACTTTCCAACTTTGAAGCCGGCCAGAACTACAAGGACGTCGTCGATCCAGCTGTCTTCGTCGGATTCAGACTTCTCGATATTCCGAATCGCCAGCTCGTCGCCTGGACAACTACTCCATGGACTCTTCCGTCCAATCTAGCTCTTGTCGTTCATCCTGAAATGCAATACGTTGTTGCCAAGGACAAGACGACTGGAACTGAATACGTTGTGCTCGAGGAACGCCTCGGAGAACTGAAAAACGAGAACCTGGAAGTTACTGAGAAACTGACAGGAAAGCAGTTGGAAGGACTCAAGTACGAGCCTCTGTTCCCGTATTTCGCGTACATGCGCGAAGAGAGAAATGCTTTCCGTGTTCTCAACGACATATTCGTCACTTCTGATTCTGGTACTGGAATTGTTCATCAGGCGCCATATTTCGGAGAGGTTCTCAGCCATTCTGAACGGTCTTCTCATAATGCGTATCTTTTCAGATTGATTTCCAAGTGTGCGTGAACAACGGAATAATTGTCAAGGATCAGAAGATGATCTGTCCAGTCGACGAGAACGGAAAATATACGGCCGAAGTGAAAGAGTACGAAGGCATCTACGTGAAAGACGCTGACAAGCAGATCATCAAGAAACTGAAAGAAATGGGAAATCTCGTGAGACAAGCGGAATGCAAGCACTCTTACCCATTCTGCTGGCGCTCGGACACTCCTCTCCTCTACAAAGCCGTTCCATCCTGGTTTATCCGCGTCGAGAATCTCGTTCCACGTCTTCTCGCTAATAACGATGAGACCTATTGGGTTCCATCATTCGTGAAAGACAAGAGATTCGCCAATTGGCTCAGAGATGCTCGTGATTGGGCCGTCTCCAGAAACAGATTCTGGGGAACGCCTATCAATTTGTGGGTGAGCGACGACGGAGAAGAAGTCGTTTGTGTGGGAAGCATTGCCGAGCTGGAAGAGCTTTCCGGACAGAAAATCACTGACCTCCACAGAGAAAGGTATTATATGATTTCAGAAACTAATCAATGTTCTGGTTTTTTCTAGCGTCGATGACATCACTATTCCATCCCGCTCAGGCCGCGGAGTTCTCAAGCGAGTCCCCGAAGTGTTCGATTGTTGGTTCGAGTCCGGATCAATGCCGTATGCTCAAAATCACTATCCATTCGAGAACCGCAAGGTTTTCGAGGATAACTTCCCGGCTGATTTCATCGCCGAAGGAATTGATCAGACCCGTGGATGGTTCTACACCCTGCTCGTTCTATCCACTGCGCTTTTCAACAAACCGCCGTTCAAGGTCAGTTTTATCTTTACCAACTATTCCTACGCATTATTCCCTAGAATCTCATTTGCAACGGACTAGTTCTTGCGTCGGATGGAGCCAAAATGTCGAAAAGAAAGAAGAACTACCCAGATCCGATGGAGATCGTCAACAAGTACGGAGCTGATGCTCTCCGTCTCTATCTCATCAACTCTCCGGTTGTCAGAGGAGAAAATTTGAGATTCAGGTATTCCCAATCACTTTTCGAACAAGTTATATAATTTTGTGCTCAGAGAGGAGGGAGTCAGAGACCTCCTGAAGGACGTGTTCCTCCCGTGGTTCAACGCCTACAGATTCTTCGTCCAGAACGTCCAACTTTACGAGCATGTGAGTATTTAAAAAAAACTCGCACATTGATTCTGATAGCTTACAGGAAACTGGAAATGCTTTCGACATGAACAAGCACGTAGCCAGCGAGAATGTGATGGACAGATGGATCGAATCTTTCACGAACAGTCTCGTCGCTTTCGTCCGAAAAGAAATGGACGCCTACAGACTGTACGCTGTAGTTGGGCCTCTCACCAAGTTCTTCGACACTCTCACTAACATCTACATCCGTCTGAACAGAAAGCGAGTGAAGGGAGACAGTGGACTCCATGAGCAACATCACGCCCTTGCTGCTCTCGGACGAGTACTCATCCTCATTGTACGCCTGATGGCTCCGTTCACGCCGTTCTTCTGCGAGCACATCTGGGCCAATCTGAAGAAGGTAATCGGTGCTTCTGAGGAGTCTGTGCACTTTCTGATGCTCCCGAAACCGGATGAGAGCCTTATTGACGAGTCCGTTGAGAGAAGAGTGGAGGCTATGAGGAACGTCATTGATCTCGTTCGCTTGGTCAGAGATCGGGAAGGAATTGCAGTGAAGTACCCACTAAAGGAGATGATTGTCATCAACAGAGACAACCAGTTCCTTGAGGACGTGAAGAGTCTCGAGCCGTACGTTCTTCTGGAGCTCAATGTGCGCAAACTGACTGTCTCGCAAGACAAGCACAAGTACGGAATCACTCTGAAGGTAAGCGTTTACGGTTTTTGCTATGTTAAACTTATTTTGTTCAGGCCGAGCCAAACTTCAAACTTCTCGGTGCTCGTCTGAAGGGAGAACAAAAGAAAGTTGCCGATTATCTGAAGAACAAGATCACCGAGACGGAATTGGAACAGTTCCTTCTGGAAGGAAAGTTGACCGTTTTGGGTCATGAGCTCTCTTCGGAAGAGGTTGCTGTGAGCTACGCAAACGGAAGTGACCAGGGACACGGATATAAGACTCATTCCGATGCGAAAACCATTGTGATGATCGACACTACGGAGGATGAATCCTTGGTCGAAGAAGGTCTTTGCAGAGAAGGTAATAGGATAGGCATGTCATCAGGAATAACTTTATTTGCAGTGACAAACCGTGTGCAGAGACTTCGCAAACAAGCTAAGCTCGTCTCCACCGACTCCGCCCAAGTGTATCTTGTCGTTCATCCACCTGGTTCCCAACTCGCTCAAGTTGTTGCCGCGAAGATCAAAGACATCGAATCGGCGACAGGAACCCCGATTAAGTTTGGATTCCCGCCGGCGGAAGGAAAAGCACCAGCTGCTACGAATAAGAGTGCAGTCAAGGAATCCGAAGTGGAAGTAAGTGGATTTAACGTTGACTTCCCAGTCTAGGCAAACTATTTCAGCTGTGGCTCTTCGCTGAGGGAGATAACTTCGACGGAATCACTGTTGTCGATGGAACCAAGAAAGTCCGAGTGCATGTGAAAACGGCGAATGCGAAGCTAAACGGATATTCTGGACTTCTCTATTACGTAAGAACGGGTTGAGATGGACATTCGAAACAAGGAACCATTGCAGATCCGCTCGTCACTCGATCTCTGGAATGGAAAGATCGCTTTGAAGAACGCTGATGGCACGGCAGTTCACCCGACCGTGGAAGTGGTCAGTCTGGCCGGACAGACCCTCCATCTCGTCAGATAATAGCTTTTCAATTCAATTTGTTTTTCTCTAATTTATCCCTATCCGGCTCGCATGTTGCTTTTAAGCTTTATCGAACCGAAGTTGTCCTTCTATTGTTTGTTACTACAATTTGTTTGTCTCCCACAAAAATAATGAATATACAAGACTTGAGATCATGAACTTCCTAACGCTATTGAAAATTAAGGCGAAGCAGATTCTGACCGACGGCTTCTGCTCTGACTTCGAGCCTGCGTTTATTAAAGTAAGTTCCTCTTAGAACTTCCAGAATTGTCTTAACTGATGATGTATTTTGACGAAGTATGAGAAATTTCTCAGAAGCTCGCCAAGTCTCCTAATATCCAATGATTTTTTGAAGGTCCTACCAGTGATGGTCAAGCGCATCACGTTTTTGAAGCTCAGGCACGTAAGGATATTCGAAGACGATAGTTGGGCCGAAATAGAAGGAAGAAGAACAGGGAATGAAGTCCCAACTACGACTCGCTTTATGGGGAGGGAACAGCTCTAGAAGATTGGGATAATACACACAGGTTCAATTGTTTTTTCATTCTTGTCGTCTTCATGGAGCGGATAGGGTTCTCAGGTTTTCACCTCGAAAGTTTACAGTTGCCCGCTTATAAAAAGGGGTAGTGGGTCCAGTACAAGAAAACACAAGAAACAACGCGAAAGATTATCAAACAAAGGTTTATTGCTTGAGGAGCAACGAAAGAAACGAAGCAACCAAGAAAAGTACAGAAAGAACACCAAAAAGAGTGTCTCTCACAAGCAAACGTACAAGAGCTTTTTCTAACCTAAACCAGAACTCAAAACTCAGTCTTAAAAATGCCACGCAGCTCAAAGTTCACGCGTGTCCCATAGAGCGTCTTTGCACCCGTTTGTGCGACTTCCTGGAAAGGGTTTGAGGGAACTGCCTTTGGCAACTTTACCAAATCTTCCGAGCTCAACCGTCTTCTTCATCAATATCTTCGGTTTTTGATTCACGTTGTCCCGACCGTTGAAATGTAATAACGTTTAAAAGAAAACGTGAAGTGTTGGGAATGAAACAAAACGACAGAGGCAAAGTCAGAATTCCTGCTACCAAGTGCTACTAACATGCTCATGAGACTGAAAGAATGATACGAATCAGGTTTACTTTGGAAATCAGCTCGCATGTTTGCACGGTCTCAGTTTGGTCGGATCGGCATCGCTGACAATCTGATGCTCGGTGCGCTCCTCCTTCACCTTGATCTTCTTCTTCTGCGCCTGTTGCTTCAACGGCTGTGCTGTGTATCCGTTCATCGTTTTCTTGAACTCCTCCACCGCTTTATCAGCTATCTGCACAACGTCTTCTGCCACATCGATGTGATCTCTGACTATGTCCCGAATGGGTGCTTCGATGAGCAGAGTGAACTGTCCGGAAGAAGCAATGCTGCTCGCGATGCAGTAACGGAGCATACTCTTCGAGCAGATCGGCTGAGAGTTACACTCACGGATGACGTCACCGGCCTTCAGATGAACGGCCGCCAGACTGTTCGGAGTGACGTGCTCCACCTGAAAGCAAAGGATTTCAAAGTGGAGGAGAATTGGGAGAGACCTCGAGACGATCTCGGTTGTTGTACATTACGAACAGTCCCAGGTCGATACTTTGCAATTCTGGAGTCGGATGAACCCGAATCAGCACCTGAACGGACTGATTAAAGACCGAAGAGGGTAGGAACGAACAAAGTAGAGGTTGACGGGATTCGGAGTAATCCGTTCCGTTTCTCTGTCGATCTGGATCTTCTCGACGGTCGTTCGCAAATGGAAGCACCACGAATACATGTTGCGACGGATTTGCAGGTGCACACTCTGAATCCGCCCCATGTCGTTCGAACTTTCTTGGCACTCACCTCGGCTTTCTCTTTCAGTTTCGCATGCAATTCATCTCCGTTCGTGACCGTTTTATCATCGACGCCGACAATCGAATCGCCGAGGAACGCTTTCCCGAAGAGCGAAGATTCCGGAAGAACGTGGGTGATCTGAACGAGCAACTCCGGAAGAGCCGACGAGGAATCCGTACCCGACAGTCCTGCTTGAACACCCTCACTCCAATCGGTTTTTTGATTTTATAAAGGTCCACAAACTCCTTCGGCATCATCTGCTCAATGTTGAAATCTTTATCGAGTGCCAGCTGAATCTGTCTGTCTAATGAACGTGTTCCCTTTCTGTGCTTACTCACATTCGTACTTTCTTTCTTTCCATTCGACATTGTTTTCAAAGTTTGGTCTTTTAAATGAAGAAATGATTTACTTACTTACGTAATTTTCCTATAACAACACTCGTCCGAAATCAATTTTGCCACGTTTTTTTTTAAATTTTCTGCAGAGAATCCTATTGATAATACTGTTTACACGCGTCAAGTCCCGAAATAAAACGAAATACATTTTTGAATGCATATCACATTTATTTTGCTTCCTTACAGCAAAATCCCTTTATTTTTCGAAAATGTAGTGAAATTGATGCTGGAGATGCTGCTCTCCGAGCATCCGAAGCTGTCATAGTGGAATTCTGATGGGCGAGGTTTCTGCGAAGATTCGAGAAGACAATAGAAGCGTGCTGCAAGCAACAGGAGCGCGTAGAAGGCAGGGAGGGGACGGCGACGCGGGCTGATAGAACGCAAGTGGCTCCGCTCGGTTAGAGGGCCAGCTGTTCGCACGTCCGAAGGTGGCGTCGTGAGATTCTGATAGGGAGGATGATAGGTTCGCTTGGAAAAGGAGTTTTGAGACACGACTTCTCCAGGTGTCTCAAAATCACTCGCCTATCAGAATCTCACGACGTCACCCCCGGATGCTCCTTAATGCCTTCTACGCGCTCCTGCTGCTTGCAGCACGCTTCTATTGCCTTCTCCGGGCTTTTCTGAATCGTCACCCGTCAGAATCTCACGACGTCTCCCCCGGATGCTGGAATCATCTCTACCATCAATTTCACTACATTTTCGAAAACTAAAGGGATTTTGCTGTAAGGAAACAAAATAAATGTGATATGGATTCTGAAAATTTATTCTCGAATTTGAAAAATAGTCGTTTTTACTTCTTTTTGTGTTTTTAAGCTTTTTTACTTTTGTTCTCTTTTGATCTTCAATGAATTCTTTGGCGAATTCTGAAAGTGCCGCTTTCTGCTAAACCGGGCGACATTACGACACTCCAAAGGTCGGCGACGAGTCGCCGGAGGCCAGTGAGTTTTGCCTTGAGCGGTTGTCCAAATTTTTGGTTTTTTCAGCATTGAAAAAACAAAAAAGAACAACATATTCAAAAAACCAAAGTTAAATCTATTTCTGTCCATTTATGAACGTGATACGGCCCTTTAGTCCTCCGGTTGCATGCTAAATAGTTATTCGAAACTTTGCTTTTTCGCTTCAATCTTCTCACTTCATCATGAATTCATTTCGTTTTTTCATCTGTACCACATCACCCAAAAATAGATCGTCTGAATTTGATGTGCATGTAAACACTAGAATGTAAATATTTTTGTCGTTGAAAGAAAACATTTGCAAGAATGGAATGTACTTAGAGGGCACGACGGAGGAAATCATAAAAATCTCGTTGTAATTTGTTTCCTTATCGTTATGCCCAAGTCTGTCATAAGCCACGTAGTTGTACGAATCGATATTCGGCCATCGGCGACGCTATCATTCGAAGATCCGTCTCCGCGCGACGTTTTCTTTTCTTGTCCGGGTTGCCATGCCGTTTCATTGGTAAAAAGGAGACGGCCGACAGGCATTCGGTCGGTCACGCGCCTTCTTCTCAGAAAGAATGTCCTCCACTTTCAGACAGCGTCATCAAAGTTTCTCTCCGATTAGCCGAACCAACCAAGAAAGAACTGGATCAAAATTATAGGGTGTTCCTCGTCTTTCTCTAGTTCTGGCTGTCAGTTGTCGCATAAAATACTAGTGAGAAAGTGACATCCTTAGTTGAACGAATATCGATCTGCCTTCTGCTTTTCCTTATAATCTGCTTCTCACTGTCTGTCGCAAGCTTGGACTTCTTTTCTTTCGTTTCTCTGCTAGACAAAAATGTGATGATGGATACTTTACAGGAATCTTTCTTCAATTCGTGCTAACTGAGCGTCTTTTCCTTCCCTCCAAGAATGAGTGCTTCGGATATTGATTTGTCCGAAAAGGTACTAAGATAACCTAAAATAACTTTTCCGCATTCAAGTAACTTGCAGCTCTTAGCTTCTTTCTGCGGCCATGATGTGCAAAGTTCTCCTCCAAGATCTCGCTCAATTTCTGCTGTAAGCGCGCGTCTTTTTCAATCTTTTATGTTCTTTCACTTTCAGAAGCGATCCGCGCACGAATTGAGCGATATTGCGAACCTCGTTATGTTCGAGCATCTCATCCCCTTCGAACTGAACCTCGATGAGGCGGACGACGACAAACGAAACCGCGTTTTCACCATGTATTATCATTTTGGTGCCAAGGTGAGTGCCTTGTGCATCCGGTATTTATGAATATTTGTCTTTTAGCTCTACGATTGTCTTCATACTATAGCCATAGAAATGGAGAGCGAATCGGACGGTTTTTCGACTAAAGCGATCGCATCCGTGCTCAAAATGCTCAAGTTCGAGCATTTCCTTTCGTCGGAATGCCGATTCCCTCCTGTCGACGACCTACTCGACATAATCGAGGTTTGTCTCAAATTCATAATTTTCTATCCAATTTCTATTATCTTCTCTTTTTTAGAATCGGAAGCTGGAAGATATCAACGTGCTCGCGAACATTTCGGAGATCTTTAAAAAGAATAAAAACGGCGGAACGTTCGTTTCCTTTGATGCCTCCGATCCCAAGAAAGTTCCTCTATCTCTGGCCGCCGATGCGATGACTGCCGTCGCCTCCATGGCCTATAGGTTCGTTTCTTCCCGATATAATTTTAAACGCCTTTTTTCCAGTTATCTTGCGACCATAGTTTCGGATATAATGATGACGAACGCCAATCCCGACAACCTCGACTACGATCTGCAAATGCTCGAAGACGAGGAAATGTCTGAAAACGACGAGAATGACGGTAGCGGCAAAGCTGCCTCTCGTAAACTGGTGAAGAAAGAGCGGATAAGCCATTTTCGTAACCTGACTGCAATCGAGCCGATTTCTCTCCAACAGAACGCCCTCCTTCTACTTGCCACTCGCCTCGGAGTGAGTTATTTTCTCTTCTCAATAAGAACTAATCAGTTTCTGTTCAGATCGATTCATTTCTCGAACTCTCAAACGAGATCGGGAAACTGGATTTCGAAGGTTCACGACTCACCCAAGTAACCCCTCTGATGGAAGCAGCCGCCAGTGTGAATGAGTCGATAGTCCGCCGACTCCTTGAGCTGGGCGCCGATCCGAATGTGCTGTCGGTCACCAACTGCAACACCGCCCTTATTTACGCCTCCTCGATGTGCGGAACGGAAGTGGTTCATGACTTGCTCACGTTCGAAGGATCCTTCGAACTCGATGTTTACGCTGTGAACAACTTCTATCACGATGCGATGATGGAAGCTGCGCTTGTGAACGGAATCGACACGATAAAAGAGTTTCTTGCCAACGGATACAGACCAAAGTTTCTTCACCTGAAAGAAGACTTGAGGGTAGTTTCCATTGCTTTCAGGCGTTTTATTCATCCTCCTAGTTCTTGCAGCAAGAATCCGCACTCACGTTGGCCGCCTATAGAGGACACATACAAGTGGTCTCCTCCGTAATGGAATACCACGAAAAGAATCCACCGAAAGACGACGAGGAAGTAAAGGAATTGACCCTCGAAAAGTATTCGGCGTTAATGGAAGCTGCGATGGACGGACACCTTGAAGTGTGCCGGCTGATGATCTCCAAGGGAACTCCCACTGATCTGAGCAATCCGTACTGCTTCGAGAGTCCGTTGACACTCGCCTGTTCCGGAGGATATCCTGATGTCGTAGAACTACTTCTGAAGGCAGGATCCAGAATAGAAGAGGCGAACGACGAGAAAAACACTCCACTGATGGAAGCGTGCAGAGAAGGACACGTGGATGTCGTCAAGATGCTTCTCGCCTGGCACGCCGACGTGAACGCTATCAATTCGGAAGTGGGAGACACTCCGATCTCTCTAGCTGCCAGCGGAGGATTCATCGAGATACTCAAGATGTTAATCGACAAGGGAGCCGATTTGACTGCCGGAGCGACATCGCCTATCGTTGAAGCTGCGCAGGAAGGAAAACTGGAATGCGTCCAGTTCATACTCGCTCACTGCAAAACGATCCCACAAGATCAACTAAGTCGAGCTCTCGTGGCGGCCGCCGATCACGGTTCTCTGCCGATTGTTGAGGAATTGGTGCGGTCGGGAGCCGATCTGAACTTTGAGCACGACGATCGGACCGCGCTGATGAAGGCGGCAAAGGGAGATCACTTTGACGTGGTTCAGCACCTCGTGAACAAAGGCGCCTCAATCAATTTTAAGTCGTCGAAGAACGACGCGACGGCCCTTTCTCTCGCTTGCAGCGAAGGAAACACGGACACCGCACAGTTTCTGATAAGAAATGGGGCTGATCCTATGCTGAAAATGGACGATGGAGTGAACTGTTTCATGGAAGTGGCCAGACATGGCAGCTGTGATCTCATGAACATGCTCGTGGAGTTCACGAAAGGAAATTTGCCGTTAGACAAAGAGCCGCCGAAGCTAGGAATCACAAAGACAAAAACGAACAAATTCAAGAAAAGAAGGGGAACGCCTTTGGTGAGTGAATTTGCCGGAACATCTATGATTTCATCCGTTCGCAGAATAAATTGCAGGCATCGGACATGATGATGATGCTGAACGGAATGTATCCGAAGAAGAAGAACTGCAAACACGCCAACATGCACGACATGCCCTATTCTACTCATGAAGTTGACATGCTCACTCATTTACTCAAATTACAACAGTGAGTTCTCTCTGTTTCGTTTCACTTTAAAGATAATTTCATTTCCAGGCAAATGGTTGCCTACGAATCTCCGAAAGACGAAGTCGGATCAAAGGAAGTGAAGGAAGCGATGCGAGCACTCGAGTCGGTGTACGGAGTGAACGGCGAAGGCAGGGTCAACTTCCCGCCTCCGCCAAACCGATACGAAATGGACAAGTTGTACAATGGAGAACTTGTTCCGAGCATTAAACTGTGGGCAGAGTTGGTCGCCCACGGATGGCTGGAAATGGAGAGAATGGTCGGGAAGCCGATTGAGCTCTCTTCTTTCCTCCATTGCAACGAAGGCCACATGATGAACGCGGCGGCCGCTGTTTCGGCTGCTGCTGCCGCTGCCACCGGATTGGACAGCCAGACGTACCTTGCATCCATATTTGCCAGGGTTAGATTAGATTCTTCTGAAATGGCAACACTTCAAGTTTTCAGATGAACAACGGCGAGGAGATGCCACGAGTTCCAGCCACGGTCGGCTCACTGAATGCGGCCAGCGCTGCGATGGCAGGTATCAATTTCCATTCGGACGATGCGATGCGACTGTTTGGAGGAACAACATTTGCCACCAGATGTACATATATATTCAAAAGGTTTACTAGTTTGTGCAAAAAAAATACATTTCAGTAATTCACGACAATAGAAAGCTGTGTAATCATCAGCAGTACGCAGCAGTCCATCACATTCAGGAATCTGCTTTCCGTGCCGCCCTTCTCAAAATGAGTTCCAATCATAGAGAGCGGAAGGGCGCCGCGATTAGCATCCGAGACATGAGAGCCAATTTTCCCATCGAAGATCCTAGGCCGAAGCTGGTCCCGAAGAATCCTGCGCCGCCTGTTCCGAAGAGTACTACCAGTATCACCGTGGCCAAATCTCCAGCAGCGACGGCTTCATTGGAAGTGACAACTGAGCAGCCGGCGATTTCCGCGGAAGAAATTGCTGACAAAGTTAGGCTCCTTGAAAAAGAAAGAGAAGAGTTGCGTGTTCAGAAGGGAGTGAAGGCGTCGAAGACGTATCCTGGTATCATTAAACTGGCCGGAGAAATGGAGCAGTTGTGGAGGTCGAAACCAACACAAGCGAATCACGACATGGCCGTTTTGACTGCGTATATTGCAAGCACTCTACCTGAATACGACTTCGGAGACTCCAAGATTGAATGTACGAATGTAGTGGGGGGCAAGACGGAAAAAGCTCTTCCGCGAGGGGCACCGCACGGACGGAGGAGGCCTCCTTCAGCCTATCGATTCCTTAGCTGCCAAACGAACGCGGAAGCGGCCATCACGTGTCCGGCCTGGTGTAAACATGCGGCTGTCTGCGTCTCGTGTGCTTTCGTGTCGGCGAATTTAGGTCTTAGAACCAATATTTTCGAGTCAATTATCTGAAATTAGAGCAAATGGACTATGCAAGTAGATCAATGCCAGAAAAGGCGCGAAACAAAAACCTTTTTTGTGCTAGGCGGCTCATTCTGGCTAGTAGCATTTCAACGTTATCTTGCGTTTTCGTTCAGTTTGATTCGCATCTCGCCGGCCGACGCGCCTGTACTGTGAAAAAGCGCCGCTGCCGACGGGGGACTAGAAACCACATGCCGTGGCCTAGCTTTCTCGGCTCTCTGTTTTTCTCCGTCTTTCGGCCCACAAGTCGCTTATTTTACCTAATTTATCATTTTTCTGAGTTATTCTACTGAGAAAGCATTGATCGCGTTGATGAGAGAAGAGTGAAAGAATTTTTTGAGCCAAACTCCGTTCGATTGCCTTCGCGGAAGAGCTAAATACTGAAAGAAAAACAAAAAAATTTCAGTCGGCGTTTTCTGAATTCGCAGTACTTCTTAGATAATTTATTTTCAGTTCAATTTTGGACTGAAACCAAAATCGCAGTTATTGATTATTCGAGAATATCAAACTTTTGCTCTAATTCGACGCATTCTTTTTTAGCTGGCGACCGTGTACTCAAGAAGATCTTCGCGGGGAAACCGGAGAAGGAACAGCAAGCAATTTTGGCGCAAGCTAAAGACACAGTTGAGAACTATACTGGCAGCCAACTCCTAAAACGCTCTCTCGAATCTTGTATGATTTTCTTCTTTCCTTTTCTCTATCTCTTAACCGTCGTCAGCTTTCATTGTTTAATTTTCAAAATTTTCAGTGACCGATAAACGGTTGAAGGACGAATATCTGAAACTCTTCCGAGATTCGGCGGAGTGTGCGTTCTATGACCAGTGTATCAGGGAAAAGAACCAACAAATAAAGGCCGTTGAGCAGAAAGCCAGCGGAAAAACAGCAGTCAACACAAGTTTAGGGGCACAGGTATTCAAAAAAAATAAAAATGTTTTTTAGACATTTTATAATTTTTTCAGGTGAAGGCCGTAGCAAAAGCACAAATGGCAAAATCAGTAGCTTCACAGCAGAGTCAGCAAGGACAGCTCAGACGTACACATTCCGAAGGTGATGGCGCCGAAAGGGCCAAAACCCGCTCAAATGCCATCGACAAAGCGACCGAAACGACGTTGGAGACTCCTTTGACGATTGCATGTGCAAACGGACACAAGGAGATTGTCGAGCTGTTGCTTAAAGAAGGAGCTAATATAGAACATCGAGACAAGAAAGGCTTCTCTCCACTCATAATTGCGGCCACTGCCGGACACGCTCCAGTTGTCGAGGTTCTTCTCAAAAATCACGCGGCGATTGAGGCACAGTCCGACAGAACCAAGGACACTGCCCTTTCGCTCGCCTGTTCAGGTGGCAGGAAGGATGTTGTAGAGCTGCTGCTTTCTCATGGAGCTAATAAGGAACATCGCAATGTCAGCGACTACACGCCACTCTCATTGGCCTCTTCCGGAGGGTATATTGATATTGTTAACATGCTGTTGACTGCCGGATCCGAAATAAACTCGAGAACGGGGAGCAAACTGGGTATATCTCCGCTTATGTTGGCTGCGATGAACGGACATCGTGACGCAACGAAAGTGCTGCTCGAGAAGGGCAGCGACATTAATGCTCAGATAGAGACCAATAGGTAAAAACAGAATGAATACCAGGTATAAAACAGCTTTGCTTATTTCAGAAACACGGCGCTCACATTAGCCACATTCCAAGGTCGTACTGAAGTTGTTAAGCTGCTCCTCACGTTCAACGCTAATGTTGAGCACCGATCGAAAACTGGGCTCACTCCATTAATGGAATGTGCCAGTGGCGGGTACGCGGATGTCGGAACTCTTCTGATTGAAGCAGGCGCTGACACTAACGCAGCTCCTGTTACTTCTTCAAAAGATACAGCTCTGACAATCGCCGCTGACAAGGGTCACGAGAAGTTCGTTCGGATGCTGCTCGATAACGACGCTCCTGTCGATCTTCGCAATAAAAAAGTGAGTTTGAAGCAAAACGTATCAATTTTAACATCATTCCTGCTTCAGGGCTGTTCTGCATTGTGGTTGGCGTGTAATGGCGGTCACATTTCCACTGTGAAAACTTTGATTGAGAAAGGAGCCGATCCGGACACTTTCGACAATCGGAAGATTTCACCGATGATGGCTGCATTCCGAAAAGGATATGTGGACATTGTCAAGTACATGGTGGGACATGCGAAGCAGTTCCCCAACGAGCAAGATCTGGCGCGGGCTCAACAGACAGCGGAAAGTGAAGAGATACGCAAAAAGTGTGGGGAATGCATCATAATCATTCGAGATGCGAAAAAGGCGCAAGCTGCATCGGCCGAAGAGGCTGCTGAGGCATTGCTTAAAATCGTTGAAGAGGAGGTTTGTGGACATGTCTTCTACTTTTGAAATCTGTTTCATTTTTCCAGAAAGTCAAGGACCAGGCAAAGAAAGCCAAACTGCAGGAAAAAAAGAAAAAGAAGAAAGAGGCGAAACGGAGCAAGCTGGAGTCTTCGAAGCCCGACGAAACGGAATTCGAAGCGGATCTTGAGCCGGAGCCTGAACCAGAACCCGAGCCGGAGCCAGAACCTGAACCGGAACCGGAACCTGAACCAGTTGTCGTTGAAGAGCCGAAGGAACCTCCGAAGCCACGACGAAACCGCAGGAAAACCAATCCGAACGGAGTGCCAAAAGAGAAGGTTGTGAAAGAAGTAAAGGCGGAGCCAGTAGAAGAAGAACCGTCTGAAATGCCGTACGAACCCATCGTCGTGACTATTCCACCACCAGCTCAAGTGCACGCACCGATGGTTTCCCCGGGATCGTTCTCTGAATCGGAGGAATGGTGTAAAGCTGGAAAAGAAGGAAAGAAGGCCAGACCATCTAAGAAATTGGGCTCACAGGCGGGACCTTCCAGTATAGCATCGAGCCAAGCGAAGGAGTCTTCTACGACTTCGAGTGTCACTTCCGACCATGGATACGTGTTCGACATCGACACGGTGAGTGGATCAGTTGTTCAAGCCTCGATATAATTTTTTTATTTGTAGAAGCAGAAGAAGTTGTGGACGATGACGATCAACGGAGTGCTTATGTCTCGAGTGATCGGTCGTGCTGGTTCGAACATTAATGCAGTCCGTGAAGCAACTGGAGCGATTATTGAGATTGAGAAGCAGGGAATCCGGAAAGAGCAGGATAGAGAAGTGGTGGTGCGAGGAACTCCAGATTCCGTCAAGCACGCCGTTGCTATAATTCAATTGCTTCTTGCCGATCCCGATATTCTGATCACCGATGCAGTTCGGACAGTTCTCCGTGGGAACTCGTCTGTCGCCTCTTCGGTCTCTTCTGAAGGAACATCGAAAAGTGCTGTCGACGCATCTCAAACATCCATCCCTCCTTCCCTGTCTAACCATAACATTGCGCGTCAGTCTTCTTCTCCGGCGCCTTCACATCATCAGAGCCAAAGATCTGCCAAAAATCAGCAAAAAGAACAGGGAGGTGGAAATGTGTGGCATCAACGAATGGCCGCCCGGCAGGAGAAAGTCGAGCCCGTTCCATCGCCAGTCGTACAGCCGAGGGTCCAAACACACCCTCAGGTTGTTCAGCGCACTCCGTTGCCACCATCGCCAGCGATGCACCAACTTCCTAAAGAACACGCCCATGCTCACCCAACACAGCTGCCACAGACTCCTATTATGGAATCAATGAGGCCAGTTTTACCACCAGCCTCAATTCCTACGCCGACAGTATACGGTACGTTACTCCATTAAAATTTTTTATCACAATAATCTTTCAGCTTCTCCCCAACCTCCCATTGTGGATCGTGTCATAGCTCCACCTGTCAGGCATCAACCCGTGGCGGCAATTGTTCAGCCAGTACAACACAGCAGAATAGAACCTGTGGTGCAGAAACGTCTAACGGAAGCTATCCAGCGCCTCCCGGATCCAATTGGACATCAACCACGTCTTCCTGAACCGATAGGACATCCCGCCCGTCTTCCTGACCCGATAGGACCACCAGCTCGCCATCCTGATCCAATCGGTCAACCGTCGCGTCTGCAAGATGCGATAGGTCAAGCATTGCGCATCGCTGACCCATTTAGCCAGTCATCACGTCATCCTGATCCGATTTCTCGCCCATTACCAGGAACCCAACCATCCAATTCGGCTTTACAGTCGCAGCCTTCCGTGTTTTCTAGAGCACCGGGTACTCGGCCGAATCCTGAGTTTTCTAGGGCCGTCGGTGCCCCGCCCAGCAGCACTAATCCCATTCGTAACGAGTTGTTCGATGAGCCTGCTGTAGCTTTTGGGCAGTTCAAGCCTACCGCCTCAGCACCGAATCAGATGCCTTCCACTTCAAACTTGGTGTCTTCGAACGATGGCAGAAATGGAACCGTCGACAACTTTGATATCTCCAAGTACAGAATGTTCGACGAAGGAAAAGACATATGGGGAAAGCCGGAGACAGAGGAGCCGTCGGTTTGGGGAGGTCTGTTCACGCAGTTCTTGCAGCCTCGAGACACCCCGACGCTGAGCACGCAGAACTCGACTCTGAACAGCACAACGAACAACAATGATACGACTTCGGTGAGTTTGTGAACTACGCTGCTAAGCCGAAAGTTGAATTTCAGAGTGACTGGGGCAACGGAGACTTTATGGGACATCTGCTCGCTCCGAATGCTTCTAATACTTCTTCAAGTTCGGCACAGAACGCGACGACCAATTCGACTTCCGCTCAGCAGGCTAACTCTTCAGCTCTCAGTTCTGGATTGTCGGCGTTGGAGCAAAAGGGCTGGATTCCGGCTCCGTATGCGCAGTCCGCCCGTGATCCGAACAGAAGCCAGCCGCCGTTGTTCGCCAGATCGCCGACTAACTCGGCGACCAACGTTGTTCCGTCTAGTCTGCAGCAGCAACAACAACAGCTGATTCAGCAGCACCACCAACAGCAGCAGGCTCTGCAGCAGCAACAACAGAGACTGCAACAGCAATTCCAGCAACAATATCAGCAGCAATCGCAGTCGAGTCTCAATGATGTGCACTCTATGAATCCGAAATACGCCATGCTCCAACAGCAACAACATCTTTACAATCAGATGCAGTCGCTGAATTCAGATCAGCACGGATCGAATATTTACAGCCAGGTGAGAGAGGCACTTGTCTCCATGAACGCGCCCTCATCGTCACTGCAACTTCAGCTAGCTGCTCAACTGTTAACCCACCAGGAAAGCGCAACTTCTGGTCCGTCTTCGCATGCGGGTCAACCGGGTAATCAGCTCTCCAACAGCTATTATCCGTCGCCTTCGTACACCGACAACAGTGTCCTCGGACAGCTTGATATCGCTCAGAGAGGAATAAAGCAGTTTGATGGGTTCAATGTGAGTCACGTATTCAAAAGAAAAATCATAAGACTGTTATTGCAGAATGATCCTCCTCCAGCCAGCAGCATGATGGCTGCTCTTCTCGAGCAGCAGAAAAAGACGGCCTCTGCGCAAACCATGCAGTCTGGATATATGGTAAATTCGACTTTGAACGTTTTTCTTATATATTGTATGTTCCAGCATGGAACCAATCAGCCCCAGCCGTTTGGATCTTCGAGCAGCAGTCTGCCGACTCAGTCCCGCTTGCCAATGATGCCACGTCAGCAGCCGCCTCCGTTTGTTCCCGCCCCACAGGCTCCTCCAGGCTTTGCTTCTCTCAGCGGACCTTCATCGTCGAGCGTTCAAGGAACCAGTCAGCAGCGTCAAATCTCACAGATATACCCGTACAGCCAAACTCAGCAACAGCAGATGCCATTCAATCAGATGTCTCAGTAAGAGACCCCGACTTTATCTATTTTCTTAATTAGCCTCATGCAGATTGGATTGGAGCCGTCAACTCGGTCAGCAGCCGCCATCCCAACAGCAGCAGCCGCCGAACCCACAGCAACCGCCACAGTCGTCCAATAAGTGGGGCGCCAACTGGTAGAATCCCTCTTCCTCGTCTAGTTATCGCCATTGCTCCCCGACCCATTTTCCCCTGTATTAATTCGGTGCCCCTATCCCCCACATCCATTCTGCCGTGAGTCATTCCTCCCCAAATTGCTTTTCCCCGGTAGTTTTGGATAAAGTGTTTTTTGTTATTATGTTTGATTTCCTCTTCTTTATCCGGGTTCCGACTACAATCTTTCTTTTCCATTGACTTTCGGTTCCTTGTCGCCCTCCTCTCTCCTCATTTTCCGATCTTTTCTTTACAAATTTGTCTTCAAATCGTGAACAGTCTTGACACGGACTCCCATTCCTTTTCATTATCTTACTGGGTTTCCTATCTGAATTAGGTTAGTTTCACATCTTCATTGTTTCTTTCACGCATCATTTGTCCAATCACATATTTGTATCTGAAACGGATTCCTTTATGATTCGCTCTCCGACTCTGTCTCTCTTTCTTTCTCTCTCTCTCTCTCTCTCTCTCTGGAAAGTGGCAAATGTTTCATGTGAAAAATGTGTGTATCCTTTTTTTCACTTTCAATGTTTTACTCGTTGAATATGAGGCTTTCTCGGGCGCTATTTTCTATTTATAGTTACTACATCGATTTATGTTGAGCCATAAATAGTAATACCCCCATATTCTGTTTGAAGCTTCTTCCACGGTCAAAGATCCTATACTTGCGAAAATTAGAACTGTCGAAATGGAAATTCGACGTTCAGAAGCATGTTGCACACGAAAATGATGACGAGATTGGGCAGAAATGTATTACAAGCAGGTGTGACGGACCGGCCTGCAACAGTAATCCATGTTTTCAGCCCGTTCCATGTACATCCAAGTGCAAGAGACTCCGAATCCATTGTCTCTCAAATTCTTGCCAGGTTCATTTATCCCGATATTCTCCTGGATTCTCTCCTTTTTCAGGACAACAACTTCTTCCCGATGCCTCGAAAACGTACGATTTCAGCTCGGCAGCCACTGCGAAACAGAGCCCTCTCGCCGTGTTCGTACTCATTTTTCGTTCTATTCATACTTGCAAAATCTCAGCCCGGCCCGGAAATTCAAAAAAAATGTTTCTTAGAAATGTCAAGTATTCTATGTATGTCAAACAGCTCCAATCAATATTACTTTAAAATATGAACTTCCAATAGTGAGTTTAGGCTAGTTGTAGCCATTTCCTCATTTTTCTATGTCCCGCTGAGCGGGCCGGGCCAGAATGCTTCTGTTAGTAATTCCCATGTACTTTTTCAGTAAACTTCTGCGCGTGGACGGAGTGAAACGTGTCTTTTTCGGAGAGGACTTTGTGACAGTGACGAAGGCCGACGAGGCTGTCGATTGGGCACTCTTGCGCCCCGAAATCTTCTCGACGATTGCCGATCATTTGCAGACCGGAAAGCCGGTGATCAACGAGCAGACGGGAGCGGTCGGAGAGGAAGTGGAAGACGACGAAGTGGTGATGATGATCAAGGAGATTCTGGAGACACGCATCCGGCCGATGGTGCAGGAGGACGGCGGAGACATCACGTACGTGGCATTCGAGGACGGAGTGGTCAAGCTGAAGATGCAGGGATCGTGCACCGGATGCCCCAGTTCCGGAGTGACTTTGAAGAACGGAATCGAGAATATGCTCACATTCTACGTGCCGGAAGTGAAAGAAGTGATCGAAGTTAAGGACGAATCGGACGATCTTGTCGAAAACGAATTGAAGAAGTTCGAACAGTCCAGAGGAATCAAAGACTGATTCTATTTGTTTTAGAACGGTAGATACTTGCTAGAACTGATGAGTCACTTTTGTTGTGATAATAAAAAATAAAAGGTAATTAATATCTCTCCAGAATGACATATTCACTCGTAATCTTCTTCGTGGCGGATCTTGACTGCACAAACGTCTTCGAAATAGGCGCTGACCACTTCGTTTGTTGCTAACAACCGGGCCGAAACCTTCTCTCTCCGCTTGTCCTTGTCTACCATAACTGCAACTTGTCCGCTTCTCTTGCCGGCCACTATCATGAGTTTCTCTCCGATGTCGCGAGGAATCACAGTTTCTAACCACTTTTGGCGAATATCTGAAAGCAAAGAATTATGATTAGGGAAACAATAAATGATGTTTACTGTAGTGGGTGTGTCCCATTTCGTCTTCTATCGTGATGTCCTTTATTCCGGCGACGTCGACTATCCGAACCTTTTGCCGATACAACGATCCTCTTTTGAAGTCTTCGTCAATGAATCGGACGAGCAAATCCGTGCGAGCCCACAGCTTTTCTTCTCGAGGACACTCGTTCGTGCTCCCGTTCTTCGACGACGACGACGAGGGGACTGCGAGGGCGGACGTGGACGGCTTCTCCGTCTCGTGGACCTTCCGCTCGCTTTCGATTCGCTCCTTCTCTTTGTCATATGCGGCTTTATCTGAAGGCTTGTGGTTTTGAAGAGTTAGAAAGTTAATGAACAACTTACTGAGACACTTGGAATCTTTTTCGTACTCTTTCGCACTGACGGCCACAGCAACAATCTGGCTCACTTTGATCGACTTCCCTCCGATCGCTGTCCGAATGAAGAGGGAGTTCGAGTCGTCGTCCCTGGCTTCCACTTTTCCGTAAACTCCTTTGTTCCGTCCGTCAATCACTTTGATTAGGCTGCCTTTCTTGACCTCTTCCACTTTTTCCTCTTTATAATTTCCGCTCTTTTTTTTATTATCAGCCGGGGCCTTCGGGGTCGCACCAAGTCCGAGTCCCGGAGGTCGTCGTTCGAGAAGTCGGAGCGGCACTTTCTGTGGGTTCTTTCCGATTCCGTCCCCGTCCTTCCAATCACATCCTCGAAGGATTGCCAGTCCGAAGTTCTCTATGGAGACTGCGCTGTAATCAGCGTCTTCCGCATCCGGACGGTTCTCCTCCACCACAATCTTCTCCCCGTCGTTTCTATCCGCTCCGTCTGCACCTCCGTATCCAGAGGGCATTACAAGTGCCAATTTCGCTTTCTCTTCTTCTGTCAGAGTGCCAGCTTTCTCTTTTTCAAGCAGTTTCTGAGTTCTCCAGTCGTGTTCCACTACCATCGGAATCACAACGGCCTGCTTCGGTTTATCTACATCTCCTCTGAAAACAAAATTTAATATTTCTTGCGAACACATCTTAATTTTTGACATACTGAACGTCGCCTCCTTCGAAATGGGTCAACTTTCGTTTCTGAGCAGCTCGTTCCACTTTTTCTTTCTCTCGCTCTTCATCACTATCGACTTCCACTGAAAATAAGTACAAAAATTAATATCAATATATGATGATCATCATTCTTATTTAATGAAATCTTACGGGGTCTGTCCGTTTCTTTCTTTCTTTTTTTCTTCGTTTGTCCGGCAACTTTTTCATTTCTAATGCGGAAAAAGTTGTAACGGAGAAATTAAGAAACGGACACGTAAATTTTAAAACGGTTCTGAGAAGCAAAAAAGCGGCAAAGCCGCTGCCGAGCTTCAGCTCGGATCGCGCAGCAGGCCCATGCTCAAATTCTTGCCTGATAGAAAAATTAAAACGTACCATCAATTACTACAGCCGCTGCAGGTGCTTGAACTTTTGTTTCCTCTCGCTTTTTCACCCCGAACGAGATTTTCGGCAAAGTCGGCAAGGCCTCAGTATGTTCCACCATTTTTGACTAAAGAAAACGGAAGCAATGAGAAATTAGCCAATGGATAGGGAAAGAAAAACTATGCGTATTTCGAAAAGAAAAAGACGGCCAGACAGAGAGGTAATAGTGAGAGACGCGGCGTATTTCGAAACACGCCGTCTGCGCACGCAGTGAGTATATTGACTCTCGCTGACGCGAAGTACGCCATGGTTTCTAAGTAGATTTGAGATTAGAAAAGATAAAAACACAGCACGTAAATATAAGGAAAGTTGAAAAACAAAACAGATAACGGTAAAATTGGAGAATATTATCTTTGAATTTATTCTGAAAAATGCAATTTTTTTGGAAAATACGGAAATTGAAAAGATAATTATGGAATTCAGCTGAAAACTGAACGAAAGTTGCAGTGAAAACGGAATTGAACTTCTAATGGCACACGAGAAGAGCGGTGAGAAGCAGAACGTTTCGATTGGAGAAATAATTGAAAATCGAAACGAACAGTGAACATTTATTCTGTTCTTTATTTTTCCCGTATTTCGTCTCTAAAAACGCTGTAATCTTAAAGGCGCATAATTACGTTTAATAGATGGTCTCGCAACGAATAACATTTTGCTGTAGAATTGAGTCTCGTGGACAACCCTACATTTCTAGGTTTTCGAAAACAAGTTCTCCTACTTCGAAACAATTATTTTTCAATTTGTACCATGGTGAAAGTCTTGGACGTATACCCAGATCGCATCGACCAAACAGCAGTTGACTCGTCTTCTGTCCCGTCTCAGTATGGCTACTTCTCTGATAGTGAAAGGCGCTCGAAAAAGATTTTCAGGCGTGCCACGAGACGAAGCAATGGTCCTTGTTTCGTGGTTGATCAGTACACGAACCAGCTTGTCAAGTTCGAGACGGTTGCTAAGAGGACCTGCCGGCGTGTTCGTCGCGCAACCATATCAATAGAAACTTTTTTTGTGTTTCAGATTGATTACTCTCCGCTTCGCCAGACGGGAAAAAAGAAGAAAGCACAGCCGAAACGAAGATCTGCCAAACAACCGAAAAAAGCGCAGTCTCCGAAAACTGTGAAGAATTCGTCAGCACGTAAGAATGAACCGAGAGCTCCTCGTAAAGGACCACGAGGATCTGCTCCACGCGCAGACACAATTCCTGTCACTTTGAATGTTAAAGTATTGTTCAAAAAAAATTTCTCCGTTACTAATAACGTTTTCAGAGAGTCTCTCCCGATTCGGTATCGTCTGGGCACACAATTCCGTCCAAACGAGTGAGACGGCCGTATCTGGAGAGAATTTCAAGCATGTCAAGTTCTTCTTCGTCGACGACTCGATCGGAGGCACGACAGTCTCCTGTTCCTTCGGTTGCCGATACGGAAAGTACCTACTCGCCTGAGAATCAGCTAGATTTATCAAAGTGCGAATCGTTATCAGGGAGGTTTTCGGAATCTGTTGAGATAATCGAACTGATAGAGAAAAAGGACACCGACGACATGTTCATCCCAGTTTATGTGGGAGGAAGAATAGCTCTTGTGAGTACTTCAAACGGTGACTCTCCTTTTATCCGAACGTTTCAGGAGTACGAGAATTTTGATTTCTCTTCAATTCTGGCGTGGATGGAAGACCTACATTTTTTCAAAAAGCACGAAAGATCGCATCTGATTCCTCTTCTCAAACTGGCAGATCGCGAAGTGACGGCCGCACTCACCAAAGGAACAATCGAGGAATTCTATTTGAATGAGGTGAAAAACGCATAAAAATAACCAAACGACTATGCAATATAGTTCCTTCCGGCCATCACAAATATGGAAAAGTTTAAAAAAGAACCTGCTCTTTTCATCGATGTCAATGCTGGAAAATACGAAACGTTCGTTCTTGATGGACTGAGAATCGATATTCCTCTCCCGTCAAGGCCGGAAATCTTCCCTGCTCAAATCGAGAAAAGAATGAGAGCGTAGGTAATTATGGAAGTGCTTTAATCAGTGAAACTATTCAGCAAATTAATTGAAACGGCAGCGGCAGAGATGCTCAGAGATGAGGAAAAACGTTTGAAGGAAGAAAGAGAAGCACTCCGTCCGTTTGCCGGATTTCAACAGGTATTGTGTTCAATTAATTTTCTGATTGAATTGCTCTCATTGTTCAACAGCAGTTCGCTCAGCTACACATGCCTCAGAATCCCCTTTTCAACATGTTTGAAATGCCGTTCGCCACACAATTTGCCGAACTCCACGCGAATGCGCATCCTCCGTTGTTAAATCCTCAACTTGTTCAAATGTTGCTCCAACACCAGAACCGGATGCAACAATTCCTGAATCTTTTCCTACAAAACGGTGATCAGCAACTCTGGTTTTAACTTTCTCAGTTATTAACTCGACTCTCCTTGTTTTTCCCCATGCTTGTTCCATTTAGAGCATGCACCAAACATGTAAATGTTCAGAAGAAAAATCAAAATTTCATAAATAATAGAATGTTTATTCTCTACGCGTCATAAATCTACCATTTGATACGATGCTTGTGCTCCTCTTTCACACACAATCTCTTCACTATTTCGTAACCAGCGATGACCATTCCAGAGTAGATCGAGTTGGTGATGAGTCTGAAACTGGACGGATTGGCTCAGCAGAAAAACGAGCATGATAACCTTGGAGTGAGTCCTTTCGTGAAAATGGCGGTCCTCTCGTCACGCCACAACGTCGTCAAGGTCTTCGGATAACTGCTGCGGTGCATTTGAAGGCGGACACGGAACAGTTCCATAGGATTGGTGAACACGGTCGCCACGGATCCTCCGATCATTGCCGCCACAGCCTGGTCGATCAGGAAACTACGCTTAGTTGCAGGAGAGACCTGGAACTCATTAAGACGGACTGTCGGAGATCGGTCGAATCACCTCTTGAAAACGGTCGAGCAGCCAGTAGTAACTGGGCCAGAAGACGAGCATTTGGGGGACGTAGACGGACACGGAAGCCCAGAAGCCACGGTAGAAACCGAGGAATCCGTCAGTGCGGTAGAGGGCCTTCAGCACGCTTGGACCCAGTCTCTTCCCGTTCTTCACAGACTCCCTGAATAAAACACCATCGGATGGCTGCCATAACTCTCCACTCACGTCACTCTCTCGATGACGGCCTTGTCGTGGCCAGCAGTCAGTTTGTCCTTGTTCTTGTAGATCATCATGTACTGAGAAATAATATCCGTCGGCACGAAGATCGATTGCGTCGCGAGACTCGCCCATCCTCCAGCTATCGCGGCGGCTCCTCCGACCGACTGGAACCCTCGCTCGTGCAGCACCGAACGCACCTTTTCGAAAATTGTCGAATAGATGAAAGAACAGCCAATCTGCGGGACGGTGATCCAGAATCCCCTGTACAGTCCTCGGAATCCCTCGTGTCTCCAGATGTCCCGATAGGCATGCAAAGTGCTACGGTAGACGGTGTTCTGTTTTTGAAGCTGCAATTGACTGCGGAGCACGGCAAGAGGATAAAGGCCGGTGCGGATGGTCCATGTACTGAAAAGGGCGGCCGGATAGAACAGCTTCAGGTTCATGTCGTCCCATCCGACGACGGTCAACGGATCGGCCGGTCTGCCGGGGACCGCGTAGCAATCGCGCGGAGCCGGCGGGAGCATTTGGCTCATTTCGAAGCTGAACGACATTCCGAGCAGTGAGAAACACTCGCGAAGTGTCGACGATTGACTAGTAGTTGAAGCGGATTGCTTTGAAAATTGAAAATAAATATAGATTTGTTGAAGAAACGTTCGATTTTTTTACGTGGGTGGAAGTGTGACTCTATGACTTTACGTGAGTCCGTCCGTGGGTTCAAAGTAACAGAGTTACCGTAGCCCCGAACGATCCCAGCTGATTCATGAAATCATTCAAATGTCTCTTATCATTATTTTCGCAGAAACTCTTATCAGCTACAAATAAACGAAGGTTGACGCGCACAGACGAATCTGGCATTCGTGCTCCAGAATATTTTTCACTTCCCTTTCAGTCACAATATTTGCGAGAGACGAATAAACCATAATCTCACTACAAAACCGCTTACGAAAGATAATTCAGTTAGGCGGGTCGAGGCGCCATGAGACTTTGCTCCTTTTTGAACAAATCAATTGCCCAAAATTGTCAATTCGTTGAGTCAGCACTTCTCCCAATCTCTCTCCCATTTCGTTTATAAACCACTGAAGCAGCTGCATCTCTCCTTGTCACCTGCTGTAACCATCACAACCAAGACTCTACTTCCCTCTGCCTCTCCTTCTTCTTCTTCGTCCTCGTCGTCCTTTTCGTCTTCTGATCCAACCTGTTCAGTTGTTGTCCGCCCGTCCCTTGCGATTCCATCTCCCCCACTTTCGCCCCGCATTTCGCGCATTTTCGTTTTTTTTTTCGTCCTCTCCGACGGGCCGCCAACGCGAGTGATAGAGACGAGATGAAGAGAGTTTCGGAGAGGTCGAGAGGCACTTTGCAACCTTTTAGTCGGATGTCCCTTTGGTTGTGCGGCGCCCAAAAAAGAAGAGTTGCCCGCCCGTCGTTGAACGATTAGCCGAAGAGTTTCGCCGCTTGCTTCGTGTCTTTGCCAACGACATTTTCGTAAAATTGTTGCGCAACACCTTTTTGAGCTCGGCTTCGAATTCTCGAGAATCGAAAATGAGTTTCCAAGGTTATCATTACCTCCTTTTCCCGGAAACTCGCACTTTCGATGAACTTTCTGAATCGAAACTAGTTTATGAGTCCGCAGACGAAAAGCGCGGCCACATGTTCACACTACAATCCCATAATTGAACCTCGAATGATGTCAAGTTCGACGTCATCACTCCCACAAACCAGTCCTTCAATTTCTGTTTCAAATGAAAGAAATCTCTTTTCCTTTCCTTTTGACCACTGAAACTTGTTATCATTCTCTTCTTCACATCTTCTCCACCGGCATAGGACAGAAAAACCGACCTACTCAGACGGAAAGGGAAATTTTGAAAATTGAAGAGGTGAAGCGAAATGGGTGGAACTGTAGAATCATTATCGAATCTGCTGGCGTGGGTTCAACTGATTAGTCCCCTGTCTATTATCTAGAATGAGCAACCCAGGTCAGTATGGAGGCTTTATTTCCGTCCTGCCACGATTTGCGAAAAACACTCGGTCACAAGTAGACGTTTTGTACTCCGATCGGAGGCCAGTTTACATGCCAACTTCTTATCGATCTGCCTGCTTCTCCGGCCGTTCCCTACTATTTCCTACCCGATTAGCCGAACCTTTATCGCTGGTTTTTGTTAATTCGCGTGCCCGGTTTCCCTTTTGGCCTAGGAATTCATCTTCCTTTGCCAAGTACTCAAATGGGGCGTCACTCGACATTTTGTGTGCGAATTCGGTTGAAATTTGAGAATGTCAGGGTCGTCGTCGTCGTCCCTCATCGCTTTTTCGATTCTGTGGCGTCACACAACTAGAATTTAATAATAATACTTGGGAAGCGGTGCCAAAGAATTCCATTCGATCTGATTGCAGATTTCAATATAGACAGGAGCACTCGACCGTCGGAATCGAGGGGACAACATCCGGCAGGCGACACGTTCATCTTTCCAAAAGGTACGCCCCTTCTACAAATTGCCCTTTCTGAAGGCTTTGCCCGCGCAACACCTCTTGAGTCTCTGTATTGCTCTGTTTTGTTTTGGCGTGAAGCTTTTCCTCTCGTTTCGCTTTCATAACTGCCTTCGTTATATACGAGAGAAGGCTCTTCGTGGCTGCTCATCCGTCGTCGCCGTCTTCTCACTTGCCGTCATCTACTGGACAGCACATCTTGTTGGCAGACTCACTCACGAGCGTGCCTGCCGTCAACTAATTAACATTTTGCTCACATATATGAGAAGAGGACTGGGAAGAAAAGAGGTAAAACTCGAGTCGCTTATAGAAGCATAAGTAACCAAATTAGGCGAGCAAGTTGATATGTGAACAAGAGAGAGGGATAGAGAGAGAGAGAGAGAGATAAAGACGGGCGGCACGAAGGAGTCACTAATTAGTCTCGTTGGAAAGGTTACGCTAGGAAGTGAAAAACAGGGGTCGCCAAGGAAAAACAACACTTTCCCGAGGGAAGACCGCCGAAAATAAGGGATGCAATGGAAGCCAAACTTCCATGACGTGGCAAGAGTTCCGCCCCCGCAACTACGTGCGAAACACCAAATGATCGAGCCGGGAAGTGGCTCGTAATCCATCGATCGCCGCCGTTCGCTCGCCCCCTCCCGCCGTCCGCAATGTTCTCAGGAAAAAAAAGGCGTCTACGCTATTTCGACACCATATGAAATGTGCCGAATCTGCGCCTTTCAAAAGGCGCCAATGCTGAATTGGTGGTCATTTGGCGCCGAGCTGTGCCGGTGGTGCCGAAAAAGCGCTAGCGCCTTTTTTTCTTGAGTTCCCGCGCCTCGATCACCTTTCCCTCTTCTCCGTTCTATTCGCCCCTCTCTCTCTCTCAGTCTCTCCGACCTCCGTGTGTTTGTGTGTGCGTCTGTTTGTTTTTGCTGGTGATTCGAGAGAAATTGTGGCGCGTCGTCTCGGGCCCGCCGTTGCAGAGGCAGTCTTCTCGTCGCCCTCGCGGCCCCACGGAATGTATTGTTAACATGTCACATTTTCGTCTGCTTTTGCCATTTCATCCCTCTACTCACTAAATCATTTGATAGCTTTCCCCTCTTTTCTTCTATAATTAGCACATAGCCCCGACTCCTCTTCTTGTTATCTCGATTGACGTCAAAGCCGTCGCTCGTCTGAGCAAGGCACTGCCATGTTTTCGCTGTTTCCATGGAGTTTTGGCAGTTTTCTCCGACTGCTATTCAACCATTTTGTACGACGAAAAATTCTTGTAGTGCTTTCTCAAAAAAGCTGTGATCATGATCACCGCCTTCGCCGCCGACGCAGCTTGTATGTAAACAAATGTTGTCACGGTGAATTGGCACTGTTCTCATGGATTTCCGATTAAAAATGTGATGGTGATGTCATCCCAAAACATGCTTTTATTGAATATCGTATTGCCGATGACACATCGTATAGATCATGGCTCAAAAAATTCAATGATCGATGTTACTTTATACATTCGTAATGTTTTTTTATTACGAAAGTTAATCTTTTTTCGAACGATATAAAAGGTCCTGCAGGACGTAGAGGAGCACCTTCTCAACTCGGGTCGAGCTCTTTCTGCCGCACCTTCCGCTCTCCAGATTAACTAAGAGAGCAGGTGTAAAACATGTGGCTAATATCCGACCGAGTCATGCGGCAGGCAGTAGTTTAATTACGTCCCCATCTCCGTCAGTACGCCGTAATAATGGTAATTGGTTGTAGAGCCCTCTCTCGCTCTCATTCGCCCGTTACTGCTCGTTTCCGAAACTTCCTCTCACTTCCTTTCGTCTTCCGTACTGACCACTTCTTCCTTCTTCGTCGCCATCTCACCATGTTTTGTCCATTTATCCGCGCCTCGTGTTTTGTTTTCTCTGCGCCCTCCCTCCACTTACTCTTGCTCCCCGACTGCTCTGCTATTCGTTCATTAACACTGTGCTGGCAGCCAGTAGCCACTGCACACGCTCGCTCGCTCACGGAAGACCCTCTCTTTCTCTCTCTCGCTTCTTCGCCCGCTCGCCGCCCTTGCTGTCGTTTCCGCGGGCTCCAGGCCGGGTCCGTTATCGATTTCAGTGCCTGCACTCTCGGTGTTTGAAGCCGTCCTCGTCGGTCGTCATCGGCCTTCTTTTGTGCAAAAAGGCACGGCCCGCTGATTGATGGAACAACATAGAATTGATGAGCTCAGGAAATACAGCAGTCCGATATACTGGTGATGTATCGGAGAAGCACTCCAGACTTGATGGGCACTACCGGATATGGGGAAAATGGCTCGGAGAATGAGGAAGGAGTGATGAATTAGTGGGGCGAGAGGACCCTCCTCCTCAGACGACGTCACAAGTGTTTCTGAAAGGGGCCTCTTTGCATCCCTCTTCCTTTCCATTTCTTCTTGAGACGGCTTCGTGTTTGCATCACTCAAAACGTGCGATAAGGCGTTATGATCGGCTTCCAACTTCGTATCAAGCGAATACAAAGTGCGGCTTTGCCTCACTTTTAATCCTGATGGCGGATTTACTCCCACGTCCACGTCGCCAAGACATTGGAGTGTATCTAGTTGATTATTCAGATTAGATTGTATTTAGGCGAGTGGGCATCCAGTTGGCAGTAATCCCCTTTCTAGCCTAGTGTCATATTCAGTTGTGACTCGTGAGTCACCGTTCGTGTCATGCAAAGTGATTGCGTGCTGGCTGTTGATGACATTCGAATGATGAGAGACGTCGTTTCATTTGGAGCCACCTATTCTTCTAGAATATTAAATTGAGCCACGAAGAATGAGCAAGCGGAAGGAGAGCAACACATACTCATTCATTCAGTATTCCCTTTGTCTCTGATAAAATGATCCCTGCTGATACAGCTTCTTCTTCTGCTCTCTACGGTAGGTCTTTCGTATTACCATGTCACACTGCACACCATCCGCTTCCTTTCCGTGTCTGAAAGAACAAGTAGCAAATCTGCACTTGAACCCGTTTGGCGGCGAAGTCGGAGGACAGCAGTGAGCGTCGCGGTCTGCGTCTCCCCACTCGCCTTATCAATCATCAGCCTGGCTAAAACCCCATCATTTATCACTAGCCGCCATCTCTGCGATGTTCTCTGCCCGACTCGAGTCTCCCCGCTATCTCCGCTCTTCCAGCTCTCGACGCGCCCCGAATTTCATTCATTCATATATTATAATATCACTCTCGACACTCTGTCCTCTCTCTTCACTCTGCTCCATCCCACTCCACCTCTACACTCTGTCCGTCGCGATGTCTGCTCCCTCTCGAGTTCGGCGTGCTCCTCGGACGCCTTCTCAGCCTGCCTCTCCAGCTTTTCCTCTGAAGCTCGACGCTATTTTCATCGCATTTTTATCCCGGCAGCGGCAATGGCGGCAGCGTGTGTATGTGTGAGGCCCATGCACACCATGCAGAGCCACCAGCACCAGCCTTCCGACACAATTCATCCGATGCTGCCTTCTTATTCTTGAATGCGCAAAAAAAGAAAGGAAAGAGGAAGAGAGGGACGGACGGACCTAATCAATCAAACCGCACGGACTGACGCGGCCCCGCTCGGAGAATGAGCACTTTCTTGATGCGCCCCGTTTACTTTCGACTTTTGGTCTTTTCCATTCCTATTTCTTGTTTTCCTCAATACCCTTTGTCACGTTACAGCGAACCGCTATAAACATGTCTGATGTCATGATGAAAGTGATTACAAGTTGATTTACGAGACTCTGAATCGTGCAGATCCCTCGCGTCCACCTCCCTCCCCATCCTCCCTGTCGCGTCTGTTCGACAGTAGGAATAACAACAAAAGCGACGGCTCCTCCTCTCCCTCCTTTTCCTATTTTGTATCGTCCTCGTTCCCGCCCCTTTTCCGTGCTTCTACTTTTGAGACGCGCTCCTTTTTTGTCGCCTTTCTTTCGTCCGCATCCTTCGCATGTAAATGAACTCATGCATACAATATCACCGGACTGACACAGCCTCCGTCAAGCCTGTCTCTCGTGCCCAATCGTAGCGTTGCCTTATTTTGACCAAGTGTTCAATAATTTTCACCTTCTTCTTTCTTGCAGTTGGCCCAAAAAACCACATACCGCGTTCAGAAATTTCGAAGCGCAAGTGGGCATCCGAGGAATGTTATATAGGTGAGTCGACACTCTCTTTTGTAGCCCCCTCCCCCTTCTCATAGCTTCGATTCTCTCACCCCATACAAAACAATCGTGGCATTCTGTTCGATGCATCCCAGCTATACACTTTTCTCGACTGTTATTTCCTGCTCAGGTGAAAAACGACCACGGTCTCAAATCCATCCTAATCATCTCAACAACCTCCAAGAAGGACAAGCGGCCCAGCACCAACAACGTGCTCCTCTACCACCACTCCCACCTCCGACTGCTGTGAACGCAGCGGAACAGCACTATCTGCAAGTGGCCATGATGAACGCGTGCACAAAGTTCAGTGACAATTACGATGTGAAGGAAGAGCTCGGAAAGTGAGTTCTACTGCTATTTACACCTATTTGTTACGGGTTGGCTGGCGAGGGAAATGAGAGCCCATCTGCATTCTGTTTTGGCACTAGTCTGTTTTCCGTTTTCAGCCATTGCTGACTCCTTTATCTTCTAATTAATCTCTCGCGAGACTCGTTTCCGTTCTTGCTCTCTCTGCCTCTCTGTGTCCGCTTTACATGCGATTAGAAGACGGCAGAGCGGATGGGCAAAGCATCTGGTTTCCTAGGAAACAAAACAACTTTCAGCTCGAGCAAACTTATTTTCAGAGGTGCCTTTTCGGTGGTTCGACGATGCGTCCATAAGACCACAGGGCTCGAGTTCGCTGCCAAAATAATTAACACAAAGAAATTGTCTGCCAGGGACTTCCAAAAGCTCGAGAGAGAGGCCAGAATATGCAGAAAGCTCCAGCACCCGAATATTGGTGAGTCTATACAGATTAACCCAGACCAAACTCTTTTTCATACAGTGCGGTTACACGACAGCATCCAGGAAGAGTCGTTCCACTATCTGGTTTTTGATCTGTAAGTTCCTTCTGCCAGTCGTGCACCATCATAACTATTGTTGTGTTCAGCGTTACCGGTGGAGAACTGTTCGAAGACATTGTGGCCCGCGAGTTCTACTCTGAAGCAGACGCTAGGTACGCTCCCTCATCCCCTTAATCTCCTTTCTTTCTGACGGCTTTTTCTCTTTCTAGTTGCTGCATTTCTCAAATCTTAGACGGTGTAAACTACTGTCATCAGCGCGGAATCGTGCATAGAGACATGAAGGTCTGAGAAGGTGTTGACTGACGTGCTTTCTGCATTACTCTTGGTCTAACGTTTTCTTTGGAGATTATCCCTCTAACAATCTTGTCGTTGTCCGTTTTCGATTGCCGTTCTTTCAGTCACTGCATTCAACAAATTCTCGAGTCGATTGCTTATTGCCACGCTAACGGTATTGTTCACCGAGACTTGAAGGTTTGTTCTGGAGTTCCTGACTCGTGTTGTTCACTGCAACTCACTATTTCTCGAGTTAATAAACTGTTCGTTTTCAGCCCGAAAATCTCCTTCTCGCCTCGAAAGCAAAGGGGGCCGCGGTGAAATTGGCAGATTTCGGGCTGGCTATCGAAGTGAACGACAGCGAGGCGTGGCACGGCTTTGCGGGAACTCCGGGCTACTTGTCGCCAGAAGTCCTCAAGAAGGACCCGTACTCGAAGCCCGTTGACATCTGGGCTTGCGGAGTCATCTTGTACATTCTTCTCGTCGGATATCCGCCATTCTGGGATGAGGACCAGCACCGCCTCTATGCCCAGATCAAAGCTGGAGCCTATGACGTGAGACAATCTTTCCATTTCACTCTCTCATCCGTCACATTATTTCAGTATCCGAGTCCGGAATGGGACACAGTCACTCCAGAGGCCAAGAGCCTTATCGACAGCATGCTGACTGTCAATCCGAAGAAGCGTATCACAGCCGATCAGGCCCTCAAGGTCCCATGGATCTGCGTAAGTCAATCGCGCCGTCTTCACTCTGAGATCCGTTGCATTTCAGAACCGCGAACGTGTTGCATCGGCGATCCACAGACAGGATACTGTCGACTGCTTGAAGAAGTTCAATGCTCGGAGAAAGCTGAAGGTACGTCCGCTTCAGCCGCTTTCCAGTCGGTCTCCGCTCACAACTCTTTTTTTTTCTTGTCACCTAAATCTTGCCGAGTCGGCGATCGTCTCAATCTGAATCGATCGTCGGCTGGGAATCATCCTTCGATAGTTGCGCGAACGAATATTTCGGTTATTCCTAATCATCTGAAACCCTCTTTTTGATTTAATTTTTTGAATTAGTTAGAGAAATTTGCATGCTGGTCGAAACATTATCGGACAGTAATCGATACTTACTCAATCTCATATCTTATTCATATTATTATCATTAGTAGCTGAGTTTGATAATGTGTCGTGGTTTTTTTGAGAGTGCGAGCATAACTTTGGTTCCCTGCGCGCTTAAAAATATTTCAGGATGACTGTAGCCAGAATGAGCGTGATTGAGTCTGAAAAAAGTGAAAAAGTGGAACAATCGGCGCCGCGCGTGCATGCCCGTTCCGTGTCGTTCGTTGTCTTGTTCTCATGCTCTGATCGGCCCCTCTCCTTCTTCTTCTTCTTCTTCTTACTCTTCTTCTCTGCACCTCCACGTGTCGTTTGCTCTTTCTCTCTGTCCTTTTCTATTCTTGTGAATGTTGTAGAGTGAAACTGTCCAAGAAACCCAGCAGAATGCTTCCATGTTTCCATTTTTCATCCATCCTGCCAATTCATCTTTCTATCTTTCTCTCTACTCGTTTTTTCTGCATATTAGGCGGCAATATCGGCGGTCAAGATGGTTACCAGAATGTCGGGGGTGCTCCGTACCTCCGACTCGACAGGATCAGTTGCGTCAAACGGATCGACGACGCACGACGCATCCCAAGTGGCCGGCACATCGTCACAACCGACCAGTCCCGCCGCCGAGGTATACCCCGATCCCCCCGTTCCCAGAGCCCCGTGTTTCCTGCTCCCCAAGTTGCCCTCCCTTTCACCCTCTTGTTTGGAGTGAGCCACACACCTCTCACATTCCGTTTTCTGACAATAATCCAAGCAGGAGCCCCCCGTGTCAATGACCCTTTGTCATTTTCTCGTCCGGCTCCCCGCAATCACTTTTAACAACAGTTTGCGTCCCTAACTTTAACCTCCTTTACCAACCAACCAGTCACCACAACCAGCACCGTTTCGTTTCCTGCGGTTCCATAGCTGACATGTGTGTTAGACATTTGCTAACCAGTAGCGTTTTGAAGTGGCAAAGACTCGCTTTTTTATGACGAAAACATACGTGGACATTGCGAAAGAAAGAGAGATGTCCTGAATTTTACCGAATTTTTTTCTCTCAACTTTTAGAGAATGGATTTCCCGCTCGGAGTTTGTTTTTCGGTTCTTGAGTTGATCGGTTAGAAATCCTAATGCATGTGTCTCTGCGGACCGTCCAATCTTCCAGTTTCTGTCTTCTCAGATCTGATTCCCGTTTCCTCCCAATCACTGCATGCCTCCGTCTGTCCATAGTGTGCCGTGTTCGTTGTCCGTGACTCCATGGCGCTTGCGAATATCTCTACGTGGAGACGCGAACTTCAGATCATTCTCAGTTGACCCCGTCTAAGTCTCCGAACAACTCGAAATGCCCCATCCTCTTCTTTTACTTTTCATTCTATCATTTATTTGTTTCAACCAATTCTTTCCCTCATATTCAACCAACAGCTCTATCCCTCAGTTTCTTTTCTTTTCCGTCTTTTCATCAACAACTGCAAGAAGACCGAGATTCAAAAAATAAGAGAAAAATTCGGTAAAATTCCGGAGTTCTCCGTGTTCCAGTGTTCCTAACCGCGCTTTTTCATACTCTTATCGATACATAACACGCTGAATCGCAGCCCTCTACATCACAAAAGATCAATAGAGTCTCACAGAATTCATCCGCTTTTCATTTATTTTTTCTTTTTTGGGAGGCACTTCACACTTGTCGGGATGCAACAACAACCAGAACCGTTCCACCCGAAAATAATACGTTTTCCGTTTTCAGGGCGCCATCCTCACCACAATGATCGCCACGCGCAACCTCTCGAGTAAGTTCCGAGCGGGCCATGCATTCCTCTGAGGCACCAGAACAGTTCAGTAGGTTCAAGTTATGACGTGGCACGAGAGGGGAAAAAGAGCGAGGGTTGTAGATGAAGGAAAACTCGAAAGATTTTCACAAGTGTCTCATATTTTATTTACGTGTTCCTGAACTCGTGCGGATTTCCATAAAAAAATTAGAGTGACGGTTCCGCTAATGCGGATCTTTTCTTCCATCCCCGAATGACACGGAAGGCCCAATGCTTTGAGTGCTCTTGCTCTTCAGAGCTCTCTCACCTGGCAGATTTGATAGTCATTTGTCATAACGAGATTAGTAGAGAAGTCTATGAATCGGAGGACTTATCTAATCCTTCGAACCAATTGGCTTCTTCTTCTTCTTCTTATTCTCCTTCTCCTTCTTTTCCTTCTTCATCCGTTTCCTCTCGATCTCGCAAATACTCATCTCCTGGCAGAGCTCTCGAGATCCATTGGCGCTGCTGCGAGAGCCGTCGGCACAGAGGCCACAAATCTTTACACAAACCGGCGCCGTATCATCAAGCGAAGAAATCAACACGAGTGAGACTCGAATTTATTGATTGGCCAGCCGATGGACAGTGGATAGTCTTCAGTCTCGTTTCTGCCCTATTCCCTTTTATGGGCCAAGTATTTGCACACCTTTCGTATTCATCTTCGTCTTCCCTTCGTTCGCGCTGCCGCCCTTCGTAAGATGAGCAGTACCTATGAGCCGCATGGATCGAGTACTACGAAGAAAATTGCGAATGCGATAGCCGAGCTGGTCAGCCGACGAGCCTCGCCGTCCATCCGCAGAAAGACCGAGGCGGATGTGATCAATGCGACTCGCGGCAGAAAGGTGTCGGCTCCGGGCAACTTGCAACATGCTCTCGTGCCCGTCATCGACGTGGTCGTGGCCACTGGAGCAATTGCCAGTGTTTCAAATGAGAACATTGCGTCGGTTACGAACAAAGATTCAGGTGGGTTTGAGAGTGAGTCATAGACTGCACCTTTCGTAGTTTTCCGAATTGTCAGGGCTTCTCTTATCTAAACGTGATTGAATTGGTCTGTTTGTTGGCATAAAAAAAAAGAATACGGTGATTCATGTCATGTAGAATCAACAAAAGATCGGCCAAACTTGGGGCTAGTCAAGTAGCTATTTAGAAATGCATGGATTCAAACCTCTGTCTCGTTTTCTATTTATGTGAGATCGAATGTCTGTCTGCGTTTCAGAGCACGTGCAGCCACAGTTGCCATGAGCACATTTTATAAAAGTGTTCGGAAGAGAAGACGGCCGCTTCTGCCTCTTCTATCCGGTTACCTTGGTGACTGGCGCCGCGGTTTCTTCCAGTCGGCGTCTCTTCGTCTGCTCCACTGACTGCTCATTATTATTCGCTGTGGGCTCACTCTGCTCGCGGCTGCCACACCTTTTCTCATACATAGTCGACGGTGCTGTGTACATGATACTCGGGCCGCTCTCGGCGTCTCCCCGCCCGTTAAGGCGATGAACGACCACGGCAACCGCGACGCTTAGCCGCGACGCATTGTCACACTTCGCGGGCAGCCGCGACTGCCTTATCTTATCAGTACAAGGCCGATTCATTCATGTTTTTTGACTGAACACCTCCGTCGTTCTCGGTCTGCCTCTCTATCTGCAATCAACATGGACGGTCTGTTGGCGCGTCTCAAACTGGGCAGCAAACGAAAGAAGAAGGCGACAGTGAAGAAAGGCAGGCCGGAAAGCTCCCGGCAGAAAGACATTGGCTCTCTTTGCTCGGATCTTGCCGGCTCTTCTTCTACGGTATCCGCGGTTTCCTCTCCCGTAGAACCCAACGTCCTACTCACTAAAATACAACAAGTGGAGGATACTAAACTCGAGAAGAAGCCGGAGGACGGTGAGTGTAGGTGGGTGGGGAAAGGGATACGTCGGTCGTTCAACAGAAACTCTTGAACGAACGTGAACTTTTGCGAAGATCGCCAGTAATAGATGGCGGAAATCGAGGCTGCGAGCAAATATTTTCATGGCTCGGTTGCCTTCCTTCTTCGCGAGCGGCACGTGCTCTCTGTGGGATCCCATCGGGAGGTGCTCTTACACACCCGCACACTCGGCCAGAGAAAACAAATACACACGTTGATTCCGTTGCTCGGATGCCTTGGCCAAGGTCCGATGTTCGTATCCGCCGTGCTTGAATCGGTTGTCAACTTGGCCGTCTTCTCCCTCGCTGTTTTTCTGTGCGCAATCTTCTGGACTTCTTCTCCCAGGGTGGCCGCTTCCGATGATAAAGAAACTGGTGTGTCGGGTGGAAGGAGCTCCTCCGTCGTGTCTCCCAACGGGATAAAAACATTAGGATGTCTAAATCTGCGACAGAGACGCCGTCGCGTGTATCTGATTACATTTCGGCGTCGTCGGTCGACAGCCTCGCCCTTTTCGATTCTTCTCCAAAACCATTGGGCGTCAAAATAAACCGAAAAACACGTTGTTCCGATTAGCGATCGATCAGGGAAAAGAGAGAAATTTATGTGTGATGTTTCATGTTGGCTATGTTTGCCTTTGATTTTTTCGATTTGTGTAAAATCGAAACGAATCCAACTGTATTATTGCCAAAATAGACAATTGACACTTGATGAACTTCCTGCGCTTTAGCGGAAAGTGTGAGTCGGGACGGGTAGTGAGCACAGTTCTGGTGCCTTAGAGGAAGTAGACGTCGTCGTAACGCTGTTCGTATATGTCTATTGATATTTTTGAAGATTTAGGCCGCAATCTACTCAACAAGAAGGAGCAAGGACCTCCTTCGACCATCAAGGAATCATCGGAATCCTCGCAGACCATCGACGACAACGACTCGGAAAAAGGTAACGAGTGACTCACATCTTTGTGTTTTATTAATCGTTTCTCTTTACTTCATTTATTTTTCTCTCTTTCTGTACCCATAAATAGCAATCACACGTAATTTATAGTCAGCTCTCCGAGCAGCCATAATCCAATCAATGTTTTACATTCTAAGTTTTCTAAACTGATTCATTTTTCTTTCTCTCTCGGACCCAATATAATTTCATTTTGAGTTTAGCTAGTTAGACCCTCTTCAGTGGGGCTCGAACAATCCGGAGAGAATCAGCCGGCACGCACCTCCCGCATCCTCTCACCTGCTCCCCTGTCTGTGTCCTCCCGATGTCCTTGTCCCTGCTTTGAATGTCTCTCTTTGTCTATATCTCTTATTTCCGTACTCTCTCTCTCTCTCTCTCTCTCTCTCTCTCTCTCTCTCTCTCTTTCTCTCTCTTTCTCTCTCACTCAATCAATCAAATAACCAGAACTTCCTAATAAATGTTTATGTGTGCGTGCGATCCGAGATGTTGCCATCACTGAAAATTACAAAAAAAGACAGTGCATCTATGAAGAATTGAATGAAAACAACCAAAGACAGATGAGAACACAAACTTGCAGGGAGCTTGCTTTGCTCTTTCTCTCGTTTCTCTCCTTTCACCCACTTTTCTCCTCTATACTTCTCATCTGTCTTCTTTACGGATGCACTGTTTCTTTTGTGGCACCACAAACTCCCCCTCTGATCGTATCGCACACGTACCCGCTTCGGCAGGGACCGAGCGTTTTGTGGCAGGTCGCGGAGCATGGTCCAACATGACTTCTGTGAGCTTTTCGGTATATTTCCAGGCGTCAGCCGCATGATTGCATGTGTTCCTACGTTTCTGATTATTTCCGAAAAGTGAACGAAGAAGGTCTGTCGGTCGGCGCTCCGAGTGTTGCCCAGAACTCTCGTCTCTTCTCTTTCCAACTATCTTTCTTTCTCTTACTCTCTTTCGCTGGTGCTCAGGTGGCGGACAGCTGAAACACGAGAACACGGTGGTCCGAGCCGACGGAGCTGCCGGAATTGTCTCCTCGTCGAACTCGTCCACAGCCAGCAAATCATCGTCGACCAATCTGTCAGGTAGGGCCCTCATCCTCCTCGGTATGCTAACTAACCCGGACCGTCGTGACTTGAGTGGCATGCTCGCAACCGTAACTCCCACATGCTCTGCAGCACCGCTTTCACCTTTTCACCCATCGACTCTCCTTTTTCGGATTGAAACTTGATTTCGGTTCTCCAGTTTTGATGAATCTCTAAAGAAAGAGCATCGATGGCTGAGAGCGAAAGTCTTTCCTTGATACTTGCTATCTTTTCTCGGATCTAGAGAAGACGAAGAATGCTTTCCCACGTCTTCGCTCCATCTGAGTCTCTTGCGGGACGTGCTCTGCGTCTCTCGGCCCATGAAGACTTATCGATATTCCGAGGTAGACTTGCAAGAGGGAAAGCAGCAGTCGGCCGCCCGCAGTGCTCATTTCGCTGCGGTTCTTCTCTTCGCCGCCCGTTCTTCTTTTCTTTCTTTCCATTGACTACTACTCCTAGTTATTACCATCCTCCTCCCCCCTGTTCTCCATTTTTCTCCACATGGTTGTTGGAGCCGTTCCGAGATGAGTAGTGGTAAGGAGACGAAAATGTTTCTCGGCATGGATGATATATATGAACCACACACGCACCCCTGTTTTTCGGAATGAGAGTGTGGTGACGTGACGGACCATTCCGAGTTATCTCCGTTCTCTGTTTTCAGCGCAAAAGCAGGAAATCGTGCGGGTCACTCAGACACTTTTAGATGCCATCTCATGCAAGGATTTCGACACTTACACGTGAGTCATTCGTCTTGTTAGATGCAATAATTAATTCGTTTATTGACCGTTAAAAGAAGGGAAGACCAGAAGGCAATATGGCTGTAAGATGAATAGGAAAGAAAGGGAACCAACCCCACAAGAGGAGGGCGCCCTTGGTAGCGGGTAGAGAATAGTGCGACATTACTAGTCGAGTTAATATTTGACAATAGAATCATCTACGAGTGATTGAAATTGAGAGGGGGATAGGAAGGAATTACAATTTTTGATTATAGCATTCCAAAGGGGGACAGTGTTACTGAAGAAATTAAGAGAGTGGGGGAGGCATAAGTGAGTAACATGGGGCGTCGCTGTGAGGAGGCAAAACGTAAGAATTGAGTTAATACATATTTTTGAAATTCAGGAAACTATGCGACTCCTCGATGACATGCTTTGAGCCGGAAGCACTCGGAAACCTCATCGAGGGAATCGAATTCCACCGTTTTTACTTTGATGGTAGGTCTTCGCATCTTAACTAATCTTCTATTGGATTCCGACTGATTCAATTATAATCCCTGCTTCGTTTGCAGGCAATCGAAAGAACCAAGTTCACACGACGATGCTCAATCCGAATGTGCACATAATCGGAGAAGACGCGGCCTGCATCGCCTATGTCAAGTTGACACAATTCCTCGACAGGTCAGTTGATCCTTGTTTTGAGAAAACAAAAGAAGAAGAAGAAGACTAAGGGCGAGTGTAGCAGTAGCAAACAAACACATTTGTAACATGATAGGGCCTTCGAGAGTTCGCCTGACAAGGATTACTTAGCATGGGCGCGTACGTGACGAGAAAGAGAAAGAAAAAGAGGTAGCGAGGGATCATTGAACCAGTCGTAGTTGATGAATTTCTGAATGATAGGTAGAATCGGCGATGAGAGTGAGAAATGAGCTGCGGAGAATGCTAATAAATATTTGACGAGGGTGAATGTTTTCAGAAACGGAGAGGCTCACACCCGACAGTCGCAGGAGTCGCGCGTGTGGTCGAAGAAGCAGGGCCGCTGGCTGTGCATCCACGTGCACCGATCCACCCAACCGTCGGGCAACACGACCGTCTCGGAGTTCTAGACCACCCCACCCATCTAGGCATGATTTTCTTGAGCCATTTCAATTCAGTTTTGATGACCAAAAAACAATTCCTAGCATTATCAACACTCGTACTCGTCCCGTCCTTATCTCTCTCTCTCTCTCTCTCTCTCTCTCTCTCTCTCTCACATCCGCTTCCTCTTCCATCTTTATCAGACATCCCCGTATATTCTCTCTCCTCTTCCAAATTGGGTGACTTCTTCTCTCTCTCTCCCTGACTCAGAAATATAATTCAAATACAAATGTGTTCCGATAATATAACAACCGCTTGATTTCACCGTTCTTCCCGCTCTTTCCTCTCGTTTTCAGCGAACAAATCCGTCTAGCATTTTCTCCTGTCCTCCTCCATTTTTCTCTTAATTTATTGTCAAAAACCCCGCGAAATCCCTCAATTGTTTAGTCGTTTTGTTCACTTCCAAACCGTTAGTCTATTCCCCTCCCCTCACCAAATTCATCCGTTTTCCCCTCGTTAAGGCGCACACAACTCCACACATTCTGCAGATATTGGACAAAAAAAACCGCCCATTCTTCCTTCTCCTTCTCCAAAAATTCAATTTCTGAACGTAAAAAGAAATATTTTTCCTCCGTGTTTGTGTACAGATATGGATGAAATAAAATAATTATTTGTGGACGCTACACATTGAATACAGAAAATTGGAAATGTTTTTGCAACATATAAGACGTACTGTATATGTACTCTGAATACATAGACGAAACATTATGCGTGACTCATTTGGAAAGACGGACGGCGCCGGGAATGTAGCCATCTGGAATGTGGCCGATCACTCGGATGACGTGCAATCTCTGAAATTTAGTCTGATTAAAACACGAATAGTGTTGATGCTCGGTTACCAGTTCGTTGGGCAGGTTCTCAAGCGGATAATTCCCTTTGGTTTCTTGTCGCAACAAGTACAGAAATCTGTATCCGACGGTGAACGACTGCGGAATCACTGGAAATCTCTGGTAGATCTTGTGGAACAGTATGATGTAGGTGTAGATTTGCTGGAGGAACGCCTGCAACACAAACGCGAATAGCTACAATTCGCATCAGATTCCCTACCAATGCGTCAACGTCCAAGTTTTCGCTTTTTAATTGGGAAGTGATCATTGCGCTGTTCACTGGTCGGCCTTCGTCCGCTTTCGGAACGTATCCAAACGGAATCTTGAACATTTGGTACAGACTGTGCTCGATTATGGTTGGCAACCGCTCGAGCATTTCATTTCTGTACCCGATGGTACTGCTCAGCAAACGAAGCGATTGGTAGCTCTGAAGGATATAGATGGGAAGTGAAAGTGGAAACGGTAGGTACCTTCTCGAAAGTCCATGGGAAATTCGGCAGTCGATTGTGAACTATAATATAGTTCTTGATGAAAGTAATAGTTTCGAAACGAAGATCCTCCGTCTTCATGTCGATTTGTCGTTTATAGTGCTCGATGTGATCGGGAGGAAGTATTCCAGCCATCGCGAAGCAGATCAGGTCAGCTGCAACACAACTATAACGCTGAAAAGGAACACAAATAAAAGGGGGAATGTGACAGAGCAACATTGGTTTTGTGTTGTATTGAATAGCAATTCATGTGTGAACAATTGGGGGTGGTCACTGATGAATAGTCATGAGTCCGTCATCAGGCGATGACTGTTCACTTTACAGTTCTTTTGTGCTGCTCGACAACAATTCGTGCGAACAAAAAACAGAAGAAGGAAAAGGAGAAAAAGAAGAGAATGACTAGGAGAACACATTGGTAACGAATAGTGTGCCTGATTAGGCAATTGTTCCCTGGTGTGAACCTTTCGAATCCGCATCAATACTCTGCTAATTTCAGACGGGCGGATGAGCTCAATGAGCGCAAGACGAGTATCTTTTAGTCCGTCTTGAGCTCTTTTTGGATAATCCCATTGTATCCATCCTTCTCCTCCTCCTCCGGCCGAAGGTCATACGAAACACAACATATTATTGTCTATCTACATAAATATCGCTTTTTTCGGTGGATGGATGCTCTCTGATCGACTGCGGTTCCACGTGATTCTCGAACCCCTCTTTATGCGTTAATTATTCGTTTCTTCCGTATAAAACGGCCCGCTCACCACGCAATTCCAACATTGCAAAATGATTCTGCACCGTACTTTCATCGCTTTCGTCCTCATTCTAGCCTTGGCCTTTTCTGCTTCGGGCAGAAAAATCTATCCACGTGGCGGCAAAGTAAGAAAGATTGGAAGCAGTGTAAGAGAAAAAAGAGTTTCAGCCCTGTAGATCTCAATTTTCAGTGGTATCCGTTGAAGAAGTGAGACAGGAAGATGCCCGATGAACGACAAATCCCTTCCGACGAATGAACCTACGAATTCTGATAAATCTGTTGAATACATTTTAATTTTGTGTTTTCTTCCATATCCAGGTTATTAGAAGAATTCACAAAAGATTTCTGACATGGACGTGATCTCCTCGGACAAAACGGAAACTCGTGAAAACTGTGCTCTCGCACGTCTGTGCGTTCATTTCTCGTCAATTCTAGCATCCAAGAAGTGACTACGACAAGCTTCGGTCTGTCTTCAAAAACATTCTGGAATGTGACGTCGAACCTTCTACAGCTTATGTTGTCCCATCGAGGATTGAACATGATCACTCGGCAATCCAGAATCATCCACTCGTCCATCAGAAATGGAACACTTCTCGCTCGCAACTCCGTATCGAAATGATCTTCTTCCGTCACATCTCGATTGTTTCAGATTCCGATCGCCGTCCAGGACCGCGGATTCTTTTTTGAAAAAAGAAGACAGTCGAGATGTGATCTGAAGAATCAGTCGATTGTTCAGGAAGACGGAGCAAGGAAGGCTGCCTGGATAGGGGATGGACCTTTGCAGCACGGATGGTTTGACGGATGTTTGACTACCTACGCTGCGGTATAAAGCAGGGCGAGATCTTTTAGGGAATCCAGTTACAGGTCCGTCGTGGTCCTCTCGTCGGAGGAAAAGAAATGCTCGGAAAGAGAGTGATGGAGGATGGGAAACTCGTTTGGAAATGGATCACTTACGAACAGGCCTTCGAAATCAGCGACCACGTGTCGCAGGCCATCCGAAAACTCGGAATTACTACTGGAGAAGAAGCCAGAATTGGCATTTACTCGAAGAATCGTCCGGAAGTACAGTAAAGAGAGTGATGAAATGAAACGCAATCAATTTCAGTGGGTGCTCGCGGACATGGCGGTGCACAACTTCAGTAATGTGACCGTTCCTATGTATGATACCATCTCGAACGATGACATGCATTATATCACCAATCTCTGCGAACTTCCACTCATGTTCGTTGACCTCGAGGAGAAAACGAAACGTAAGTTCATTGGGCTCTTTTTTGATCAACAGTATTCTATTCAGAGCTCATCCGGGACAAATCTTACTTGCCCTCTCTCAAATATATCGTGCAGTTCGACAAAGTCTCAAAAGACACTCATCAGATGGCTCGGGAGAACGACTTCCAGCTGTGGAGCTTTGACGATTTCGTCGGGATGGGCAGGAAGGAGAAGCATCGCCCGCACAGTCCGCCCACTCCGGAGACCCTAGCCACCATCTCTTTCACGTCCGGAACGACCGGAAGGCCGAAAGGAGTTCTTCTGACTCATGCGAACCTTTGCGCCGCCACCATCTCTTCTGATGAATTCGATCAGAATCCGGAAGGCCGCGACGGATATCTATCGTATCTTCCGTTAGCTCACATCTACGAACGTCTCTGCACACTCGCCAATTTCTCCATTGGATCGTACGATGCTAGTTTTCTCCTAGTCAGAAATTGTTCTTTTAGAAAAATTGGCTTTTTCCGCGGGGATCCGACACTTCTCATCGATGATATCCAAGCACTGGCACCTCGCTCCATTGCCACTGTGCCACGCGTCATCGACAAAATACACAAGGGAGTGATGAAGCAGGTACAGGACAAACCGCTAAAGAAGATGATTCTGAAGGCTGCCATCGCCTACAAACTCTACCATTACAGAATGACGTGAGTTCGGAACGAGTATTTGTTTCCTGAATACAATCGTGTTACAGAGGAAAAGCCACTCGGGACACGTGGGTCGACAAGTACATTCTCCATAAAATCCAAATGATTCTCGGCCCAAACGTCAAACAGATCATCATCGGCGCCGCCAAATCAGATGATTCATCGGTCAGATTCGTTCGTGGCGCTTTTGGTGTTGAAGTCCTTGAGGGATACGGCCAGACGGAAACATCAGGTCCTACGGCAATCCAATTGGTTGGGGACACTCGCATCGGATGCGTCGGTCCTCCGATGGCTTGCTGCCTCATCAAACTAGTGGATGTTCCGGAATTGGGATACCACGTCGACAAGAATGGAGGGGAAATCCTGGTGAAAGGCCACAACGTCACTTCCGGATACTTCAAGAACCCGGAAGCGACCGCCAGTTCGTTCACTGATGACGGATACTTGAAGACTGGAGACATCGGCAGATTCACTCCCGAAGGATCTTTGCAGATAATTGATCGTCGCAAAAACGTGTTCAAGCTCCCACAAGGAAAATTCGTGGCTCCAGATCTCACCGAATCGCTCTACACCTCCTCGAGATTCGTTCAGCAGATTTACGTGCACGGAGATCTCACGAAGCCGTGGATGGTGGCTATTGTTGTGCCGGATCCCGAGGTAACTGTTTTTTAGTGTATTCGTCTTCACTCAGGTAATTTTCGGCAAGTTGCCGCAAGAATCTGAATCGGTTCACTTGCCGCTCGCGCGCCCCACCCTTGCCGAAAATTACCTGAGCAGTACATTACAGTATCTTGCCACGTACGCTGAACGCAAGCACAATATCACGGGGAAGAGTTACGAGGAGCTGTGCAACATGGAGGTGCTCGCCAAAGACACTCTCCGTCACTTCGTTCAGTTGACCGAAGGCCATCAGAGACCGAGATACGAAGGAGTCCGTTGACACTTTTCGACTTCTTTTCCACGAGTTTCCCATTCATTCAGGTGTATGCAGTGCACCTTACTCCGATCGCTTTCTCGGCGCAGAACGACTTGACGACTCCAACTCTGAAGAACAAAAGGAACAACATCGCCAAGTTCTTCAAATCGGAAATCGAAGCGATGTATGCGAAGGTCGAGAGCAGCGAATTCTCTAAAATCAGTGAATAAATTGTGTCTAGTCGCTTTTTTTTATTTGGAAGTGATGTCTGTTTGGCTCAGCGCCAACTATGCCTCTTTTGCCTGCAAACATTGCTCGTTCGGTTCAATGTTGTCTTCGACCAAATTAGTTTCGGTTGGCCTCTTTTGCGGCGGCTCCGCGCGGAAGAAGACAAACACTGTACGTGCTCAAGCTGCTGATAGGATAACGGGAAGGGGAACACAAAAATGTGCTTATGGGAAGATTACACATTCACGTGTAAACAGAGCAAATGAGGAATGACCGATCAACAAAAACATTCCAGAAGTGTACTGTAGAGCTTCCGGTATCTGAATGTACTTTTACAACTGTTCTGAAAGCTTTTCAACGAGCAAACCTGAATGAATTTTAGCTGTCCAGCAACGAACGGTCTAGTAGAAACGTTCGAATAGACTTTTAAGAACCAACGCGTCCCTCTCAATCCCCACCTCGAATGTTCACAATGAAAAGTTCTACAATATCCCCCGAAACAAAAGGGACTCTACGAGAACTGTACAATGAGACTCCGCTTCCGTCTTGTCCCTTCTCCTCTCAGTCTACTGCTTATGCATCCGCAGGTAGAAGCTGCAGCAGCGGACGAAGCCGAGTCTAAAGTGCAAATAGAGTGGGAGGAGTGCAGTCAGTTTGCCTACTACTACTGGAACACACACGCTGACCACCCAACCCATCTGACCACTGTTTGACCTGAGCGCTCTGCGTCTCCGGCGATTTTACGGTGTGCGGCTCAAGAGAGAACGGCGACGTTCCCCGCGTATTTGCTTCCAAAAGGTTCGGCCGAGAGCTCTCCGGCCGACGACGGGCTCTCGCCTCTATTTTGCCTCAAGTTGTTGCCTGTTGCACTGTCTATTACGATTCCCGAACTTGTGTTTTTCCTTTCCTTTACTATATTTGTACCTCTTCCCGCACTTTTGCAACGGTTAAACACCATTTTCAGCTTATAGAGAAATTCTATGAACTATGAAACTTTTCTTCTTACTTTAATTCATTTCATGTCAGATTTTTCTCCTATCCGGGTGTTCTCAATTTTGGCATAGTCAGTGTCACATGTTTGTTCGAACCCAAATCAAACAGGTTTCATCTCCTGTTCAGGGCTCGCGGAGCACAAAGCTGCGAGAGTGTGAAACGCACTTTTTAGGTCATTGGATCCATTCATGTTTCCCTTCTCAAACCTTTTTATAATCGCTCTCCTCATTTTTACCTTCATTTTTCAGTGAATGCGAAGGTGGCATCATCTCGCGGCGGTGGTGCTGCTGCTCGCCACGTGGCCGCCAGGCACGCACAATCAGCTAACCAACCAGAACATCGGAGGAACTGCCCAGAACCCGACAATCAACCAGGTTTCCCCTGGTCAGATCTTCACTGGAACAGGCAACAACCCCTATTATGGAGGTGAGAGAGAGCAGATGTCGCAACCTGACACCGTCCGTTTTGTTTATTCACTCCGTTCCGAATGTTTCAGTCAATCTCGTTCCCTTTGGTCCGGAAGCCGGCGATTTGATGGTGAATCCGTCGATGCTGACTGCCGGAATGACCATCGATTTGTACATGTTCTTCCCCTACTACGGAGGGCTTTACAATTACACAACTGTAAGTATCATCCTCATCTGAAACTAGTCAATATTTATTCAATTTCAGATCTCAGTCAATGGATACCTTGGTTTTGCCACAGTGCTCGATCAGGGGCCAACCATTAACGTGGGTCCTGAGACGACTGATTGGCCACGTCAGGAAGATCCGGCTATGATTGCTCCGTATTTGTGCAAGCAACAGGTTCCCCAGCAAGGTAACCCGGCTCGCCGAGCTGGAGTCTACTATCGTCTCTTGCTCCGTCAGTCTCTGTTTGGAAGAGAAAGTAACTCTAACCTCAACTTGGGAGGAACTCTCCAGCAGAACACTTTCTTCGGCCAAACAGCCAGCCAGGCATGTCCTGGAACAGCCGACAGTTACGTGAGATGCGATTCGAACAGTGACTACTTCCTCGATCAAATGATGATCTGGGTCCAAGAAGGAGTGGCCGGAGGAGCTATGTTCCGTGCGGACGCCGCCGTCGTTGTCACGTGGTACAATACCGCTTCCGCCATTTCCGGACGTTCGGATATCGATGCTGGACAAACTGGTACTTATCAGGTCATTTGGCTGACTGACTCCACTGCCCGTCTCTCTTATGTCATCATCAACTACGACCGTCTTGGTTTCGATGCTCAGGACTTCCGTGGAAACTCCAGATCCGGAAGATGTCGTGCCGTTTTCAACGGAGGAAATCACACGGGAACAGTGGAAGTCGATCCAACGCAACCGTACAAGAACACTCCGAAGGTTCTTGCCCAGAGATCGGGAGTCCCTCACATGGTCAGAGGACGGTACATGTTCCGCGTGGACGACGTCGTTCGCCCGGCTGGATGCTCGAACAAAACCGGAGGAACATGTGAGTCAACTTGCTCCTATTGCTCCTATTGATATGAAAGTATTCTTTGTTCAGACCCGATTATGATCTACCCGAACATCGTGAACATGTTGGGAGACATGACTGTCGACGTGAACGCGTGCTGCTTGGACCGTTCTCAGACCTACATCATGATGATTGAGGAAAGAGAAGTGGCCACTTGCCAAGTGATCAACCCAGCAATCGCCCGATGCAGTCTGCCGAGAATCTACGATTGGGGAACCAAGACGGTCTACTTCCAGCCAGAATCCAGAGGAGCAAACGATGAAAAGGCATTCGTGGGCTACATTTATTTTGGTAATCAACAGTTTTGACGTGCTGTGAATGAGTTCGAGTTGTTTCAGTGCCTCCCACGTTAGACCCAATGAGGTTAGACATCGGTAACATCTATGAATGGTACAAGAATCCAATGACCAATTACGTGAGTTTCAAGTATTTCTACCATTTCTACAGTCATTTTACAGTTGATGCCGATATCTTGGTACCCTCGAAACTTTACAAACCCGGACATTCTGACTAATGGAAACAACATGGGAGTTCGAATCTCGGACGATTCCATGTACGGAGTGCAACTTGGTCTTTACATCATCGGATATCGTGAGTTCAAGGATGACGAGATCAAGAAGTTCCGACCGGAATACCGTACTCTCGCTCGTATCACCACCTACAGTAATCAGAACAACGCCAACTACCGCTGGATACCGCAGGAGGAAGTGATCAATACCAACCAGGTGCAGCAATGGTATTTGACGGATTGGGAACGAATGCACACTCTCTACACTTATCGTGTCGGATTCTTCAAACTGGCGCCGATCAATCCAAACGATCAGAACGGAACTCACCTTCTTCCGGGACTTGTCTCCGCACCCATTTCGTTGCATTGGCTGTGGACTCCGGAGAACCAGCAGTTCGCCACTTTGACCCTCAACCAGCAGGACAGAGATCAGAGAGTCGAGTTCGTGAAGGAGAAGTCGAGGGAAATGTGCCACGACTGGTACGACGAGGACGGCGCTCTTTGGAACTTCATCCGAGACACGGAAACGAACACTTCCTGTCCGTGCATTGAGACACAGGCTCTTCTTGATTTGGGTCGATTCATGCCTCATCCCAGATGTTCTCAGGTAATCTATAATACTCAAATGCATACTGTACTTATCACTTTTTAGATGTTCCGTGATATCACTTGCACAACAGTCATCGGATCAAAGAATTGTTACATGTCCTCCTCAAACATTTACGCAAGTTACGCTGGAGACGGAAACACTTTCAACAACAGGGATACCAAGTACGTGTTCTCATCATAGAGACATCATTGAGCTGTCTCTTTCAGTCGTTTCATGACCCATTATGGTCAAGTGTGCTGCTACGATGAGTCCGGATACTTGATGCAAACTCCTTATCAGCCTGTCATAAAAACGCAAAGGGAGTATTTCTATAATCCTGGATATCCTTTACGCGCCTACGAGTTCGGAACGGCGCCATATATGGGACAGTTTGAGGTGAGTGATTTCCAAACAATTGGCGAGAAACGGAGAGTTTCAGTATGATGAGACTAAGCATTATTTACCTGTAAGTTTAGGGTTTTTCGGAACAAAATCAGAATCACAACACATTCTCACGTATGATCACTTTCAAAATGAATGAAAACACTGAATAGGTTCTAGCATGGATTCGTCACATTTATTCTCAAAAACATTGTTTTCACAGTGCCTATTCGCTTCCAGGTACCTGGTTTATCGGTGTTCCACAACGACTACATGCCCTACTTCCTCTGCTGCAAATTCGCGGACTTCCGATGCCAGATGTTCTATTGGAGACGACCGTCGTCAGCGTGTCAACAATATCAGCCTCCTGCCATCGGTAAGAAGCTTGTTCGCCGACAATCTAAAAATTACCAAGTGAATTTCAGGTCATGCACAAGGTACTGGAGTGTTCCAAACAATCGACAATGACAAGTTCATCTTCAACGAGCCAGGAGTCTTTAATTTCCTTTATATTCCGCAGTCAGTTCGCACTCCGGAAGTGAGAATTCAGACAAGATTGGAGAGATATCCGAACAGGAAGGTCGATTTCGGACTGCTCGGACGGTACATTTCACAATACGAGCTCGTGCAACCGACCAATGCGACTGTTATCACTGGAATCGCAATGGAAGCCACCGGAACGGAGAGAGTCATTGTGATGACGAGAAAGGATACGCGCAGATTCCGTTATCGAACCAACATCATCGTCGGAAACATTCTGAGATACTTCGACACAATCCGTCTGCAGCGCTTCCGAGGAGTTCTCATCTACGTGAACAACGTGGAGCGAGGTCAGCCGGAGATCTACGTCGTGCTGGAAGAAGCACAGATCGGAGTGAAAGTCACTGAAAGTTATGCGCTCGACATTGACCGTCTGCCGAATTATCAGGAAAGTATGGGAATCCTCGACATTCAGATCTCCGTGTCTCCTCAATACGGAGTCCGTCCGGACGGAGACAAGACCCAGGAGATGCAGTACCGACAGCTCTACAACTTGCCACGTGTCAGTGGATTGATCAGACCCTATCCAGACCAGACAAGTGGATCTCTGAACGAAGGACTCACCTTGAATGATGTGAACTCGGATGCCTACAGACAACAGATCATCAACAACTGTAAGGGATATAATTTCATTCAGAAGTTCAGAATTCCTTTCAGACCTTGTTTTGGGAACCGGAGAGCCAGGATCTCAACAGAACACGGCAGGAACTCTGAACCAGAATATGCCACAAGACAACATGTTCACCACTTCGAAGGACGAGGACAAGCAGTTCGATGTGTTCCCAGAGGCCAGTATGCGGTCAGAGCCCGTCTACAAAACTGCTCCGGTATTCGACACGTAAGTGCATCATTCAGGATACAAACAACACGTTTCTCTTTCAGTGGAACCTACCGATTCGTGCCACAAACGGGAGCTATGATCCTCCAGTTGCTGAACACTTGCAGAGACTTACAGAACAACCCGAACAGTACGTTTTCATCATCACACATTCTTTGATAACCTCTCTCTTTTTAGCCGATCTGCAACCTTATCAGAGCATTGCCACTCTCAGTTACGGACTCCAATGTCCTGATGATCCGGGATCAGTGCTGACGGAATGCGGAGACAGTGTCGCGTGTCTCTATGATTACGCCCTTCTCAACTCAAAGATCTTGGGACAAGAGGAGCAGGACGCGTGGAATATGTTCACTACTGACAGAGCGATGGCCATCAGACAATGTAACTGTGAACGAAAAGCATAAAAACACTAAATGTTTCTGTTTCAGACAATAGTTGCGGAGCTATCAACATTGAGTACCCGGAGTACATGATGAAGACACCGGCTCTCGCTCCAGGATATCTGCAGGGAGACGTCGCTCGTTTCGAATGCTATCAATCCCATTGGGTGAAAGGAGATCATGAGTACAAGTGTACGTTCCATCGAAAACCGCCCCGACCAGAATGAACGCTATTTCAGGTGGTATCGTTGTCGACTACAACCGTCCGAATGAGTATCGTTTCGAATGGAACAAAGGAAATCAGCCGTGGTGCCGTTCGAGAATCAAGGAAAATTATTTCAAGTGGTTGGCCGTCGTCTTCGGACTCGTCGGAATCATCCTCGTCATCTTGCTCATCTTCCTCGTTTTCTGGTGCATCAAGCAGAAGAAGCGACAAGAGAGCAGGAATTACGGAGGTACCGCTGCCTACAGCAACAACGCCTTCCAGAATCAGACGTACCAAACGAAGCCACCACGGACACTCTCAGTCGGAGACCTCTCGAATGCTCCACGTACCGTAACAATGCCCCCGCCACGTGGCACAACAGCAACGCCAGCCACGATGGAGCCGAGAGGATTCTCACCCGCTCCGTCGGACATCCGTGGTTCGCAGGCCGGCATGCTCGGACTGAACACGAGTGTCTAGATAGTCCTATTTCCCTTCTTTTCTTTTGTATATCCAGTCCTCCCCATCCCGTTTGCTCATCATTTTTCTTGTTTCGTTCTCCTTTTCTCCTAATGACCACTCGCTCGGCTAGTCCGTAAACAGACTAGGGAATGTGCATGCTTGCGGAATTCGGACGAAAAGACAAGGAGCACGCATGTCCATTCCCCTGTCTCCATTTACTTAACTTTGGTTGCTTTACATGTCTATTCCGTTTTTTGCAGGCCATTTAGGTGCTCTCTTTGAAGAAGGACGCATTGATGTTCTTCGTGATAGTAGGTGTTATACACGCGCACATTTGATACTCTTCTCATTGACCATTGTGATACTTATTTATTTTTCTCATCTCTTTCTCTTTCCAAAAATAAACTTATTTTCATTTCATTCACTGAAATCAGCCACGTGTCGGTGGACATCTGGAATCCACGAGACTCTTTTCTTCTTGTGACATCTAATATTGTTTACCTTCGAATGATGTCATCTGCGTATCTTCTGTATCATTCTCTCCGAAAAACAAGTTCAACCTATAAAAGTACTTTGGAATGCGGAATCAGGTGTTCTTCTTTCAATAACAACTAAACTCGTATTTTCAGTCGGTTGGCCACTTTTTGGCGGGTGGTGTGGCTTCCGTTGTCGCCGTTTCCATCGGAGACTCATGTGGAACTCCATGATGAATCCGTGGTGGTACCGACGATAAACTCCATCTTTCACCGCCGTTAACTTATTCTGCTACAGTATCCTCCGCCTCCTCTCTTTTTGAGAACCAATAAATTTTATCTATTTTTATATTTCCTCAATGCTCATAAAATAAACTCCAACGTGATGAATATGCAAATGAGGTCAGTATAAAAGGCGCCTGAGCCTCCCCTCTGTACAGTATCCGAAATGCACTCAGTCGTCCTCTCCCTGCTCTTTGCTGCTTCCGTAGTCTCAGTGTCCCCAACTCTGCCCGCCGAGTTGCTCCAGGAGCAGCTTTCCGAACTGGAGCACATCATTGGCACTGGACAGAGCCGCAATTTCGTGGGAATCTTCGGAGCAGTACCTTCTCCGCAGGCCGTCAAAGAAGCGAAAGAACTGATCCGAAAGCTGAACGGAAACAAGTACAAAGTGGAAGAAGCCCGTTTGGCCTTAGAACAAATCGTTGGAAATGTGAGCGTCTACAATGGAGAAAAGTTCGGACACAGCTGCGTTGTTACTATCGAGAAGGTCAGTTTTATTCAGCGCACCTATTCCTCAAAGATGTTTTTAGAGCTCAATTAGTCCAACGGGATACAAATTCATCGATATCGTTCCTCTTGACGGCAAGAAGAGACCATTTTGGGGACTCGTCTTCGAAATCGGCGCGCTTGCTGTTGCTCTCATCACTACCTACGCGAGCCACGCTGCCTGACCTAAATCTGATAATGAATAAATACTGTTGAAGCTTATCAATATGTACTTTGTTAAAAGTTGTAACTTATAACTATCCACTTTTATTTTGCGTGACACTCCCGTACCCTTGGCACTGAGGGCATTCCGAAGTCCACCTGGACCGAACGACCGTTCGAGAATCAATACTTGAGAACCTTCTCACTCGAACTAACCACTCTCTACTAACCAATCAAGATGATGACCGCTCCCCGCAAAGAAATACACGAAGACCTTCTCGTCGCCAAGCGGCTGAACAAGGTCAGATCTTCCTTTCAGTGAATTCACAACGTCTTCTCTTTTTCAGTACATCTCTCTCCCGGACACTCGCCGCTGGGAAGTGCACGATGAGGACACGCTGCACCGCGGCCGTGTGCTCTCTCTGATTCGCGCAAAACGCACTTTCCTTCCCGACGACCTTTCCTCGCTCAAAATGAGGACGGCGGCGGTGACAAGGAAAGGATTCCTGATGATCTACGAGAAATACGACGAGGGACTCGTCATCGATCTCCGCGCCGCCACCCACGTTCTCACCGAGTGCGACAAGTACAAGTCGAAGAAGGTGAAGTATGTGAGTGAATGTGTTGTTGAATCCACGTGGAAACAACAGTTCTGTTTCAGTCCCGCAGTCACATCAAGATCCGTTTGCCACATGGAAACGTGCATCTTTTTGTGCGCGACGAAGACGTTTACAAATGGACGTCTGCCATTCTGAAAGCGCACGTTCCGATGCGTCATCCGATTTTCCGCGTTCCCGCTGCCAGGAGAGTCGTCATTGCGCAGCCGACGGCTCAGTTGGCGACTGCCATCGAGGACGTGCGTGCTTCAGAGACGCCTTCTTCCCCGACGACTTCGTCCAACAGTGGTCTGATCACGGAGAGACCGTCTCAATCAGAAGAATCTCAGATGTACGAATTTGTATCCCTTCATTCATCACTTGTTTTATTTCCAGCCCATCGGTTCGTCGCGGTCCCATTTCGGTGCGTTCTCTTCGGCGCAAACTGGAAATGGATGTGCCGCCAGTGAAAAACATCGTCATTCCGGAGAAGAAGAAGCCGGCGGAGAAGATGTTCATTTCATCGCTGTTCGTTTTCCACGAGGGAGTCCCCGCTCAGGAGGAGGTGGAGGAGGAAGCTGCCGGCGGATCGGAAGGATCAACTAACTCGAACGGAAAGAGGAAGGAATGGTGGCTGCGTTCACTTCGATGCTAGAATAAAATGTGTGTATTCATGCCTTGTTCATACAATATGATCCAATATTCAAATTTATCAAAAGTCAAAAGTACAGAGAAATAGAGACGAAAGTAATGCAATCGCTGCTGCAGACATGGAAATAGACAAAATATAAATAGCATTAGAGACATGGGACCAGCCATTATTCCCAAAATGAGTAAAACTTGATTGGTGCGAAACACGTATATAGAAACTGTAAACTGAGTTGGAGACAACTATCTAAAGTGGTTATGAAGAATGGGCAGTAGGAACTGAACAGGGTCAGCCACACAGTTGAATGAGAAGCGGATTAAGGGCGTTTGCACACTCCTTCTTGTAGGATCTCTGCTGTTTGAAAGTACGGACGAAATCGTCGAACAGTTGGCGATTGAGACTGGGAATCCATTTGAAGGCGTCATGTGCTCCGCGAACGAAAGAAGCCAGTTGATTGTTGAACTAAAAATGATAAATGTTATTATGGAGGCATCTAGAAAGAGCACGAACATCGGCACTGTCGCTCGCCCGAGGACTGCTCATCTTGTTGATGATCGCCTGCAAGTATTGCTCGCAGCATCTCTCGAACAGTTCTCCCGTCACTTGTTGGTATCCATGAGTTATAAACAGACCCGTTATCTGCCCAGGCATCGAAAACTTCACATTTGGATAACGGATGTTCGACGCAGGTTGGGCGTGCATCGGCATCAGATTCTGAGCCATTAGTGGCACTGGACCACTTAGTCCTCGAGTCGTCGGCTGCCTATTCTGGTTGTATATCGGGAAGGGAAAAAGCCTTAAACTGATAAATCTATTTGCAACTTCGAAAAAAATTCAATTACTGGATACTTTCGGTCGCATACTGGTGGAGAACGTATGGCGAGAGCACAGAACGGGCGGCGTTTGTGAAGAAGTTGAGGAGATACTGGTTTCCCAGCTGTTTAGCAATGGTGTACAGACAATGCAGGTCATCGTGATACGGTGGGTTCTGAAACTTTCAATTATGAAAAGATTTGGAGTGTGATTGACTAACAGGTCCGAACTTCAGATACATCTGTCTCTCCTCCCCTGGCGACGTGGCCATGCAGTCCATCGCTCGCATTCCATAGTGATATGCATTTGAAAGCGCGTTCGTAGGAGAAGGTCTCGGAAGATTTTGATGGCCAGAACCAGGCATCTGACCCGCTTGGTGCTCCGCCAGACCCGCCTCTCCCGGTGCGCCTCCTAGCTGGGGAGCTGAGTGACTCTGATGCATGCGAGAGACATCATTCCTGTAACTGGACGAGGCATTGGCAGGGGACGCATCATGGTGTTCGTACGCTTGCGGATAGAGAAGGGCGGCCTGTGGAAGTGGGTTCGCAGCTTGTGCCTGTCCCTGCTGCGGATTGTAATACGGATTGCGTTGCTGTGGCTGTTGTGGTTGCTGTTGCTGCTGCTGTTGTTGTTGCTGTTGTTGCATCATCTGGACAACGTTCTGAAAACTGATTTATACAGAACAACAGGGAATGTGAATCCTTACCGCGTACGGATTTACAACCATTCCTGCGGGCGGCTGATTCCGTGCATCTTCTTCGCAGCTCATTTCGTACCAGTATTGCATCGCTGTGAAAAGAGTACGAGCTCTGCCGATTTGACGGAATTGTGGAGTGTCCATCGCAAGGAGGCCGGCAACCAGAGTTTCCTTTCCGTCCATCTTGCACTTCCTCAGCGCATTGATCACTTCGTCATCAGTGAGAGCATGGGCGAATCGAAGAACGGACAACGCGAGTTTGGCGGCCTCTTTTTTCATTGTCGGTTCTGATGAAGGAGTGGCCTTATCCGCAATAACAGCAATTTCGTTCGGAGTGAAATGAGCCATCCAGATTTCTCGAATCATCTCGATCGCCTGTGGTCCGACTTCGTGAATTTGACTGGTTATCCAGCTGGCAATGCTACTGTAGGTCCTAGTATTCCAGGAGGGAGAGATACGGTTACTCATTCCAAGCGAATACATTCCGATGGCGATTGAGCAGAGATGAAGTCTCCGGTTGATGCCGCCCGCAATGGGGTTACCCCACATTATTGCACTCTGTTGGCCTCCCGCTTCGAATAGAATTTTTCGCGAAAGTTCTTGCATGTGGAATACATCCGCGTCAGTGACGACGTATCGAGAATCCCCCGTCATTACCAACCGTTTTCTAAAAATGCAAAATTTAAAACTTTCTTTAGAGTGTATCTTTAGATTCTCACCTCGGCCTCCGTACAAAAAACGATCCATTGTGATTTCTACGCTGAGAACTGAGTGTTGCTCTGTTGTCCTTGGTGAATCCAGTCATATAGGCCTGATTCGGTTCAGTCGAATCGCAAGATTGACTTGTCGATGCAGCCGTCGAGCTCGAAGTTTCGCTGGAGGATGAACTCTGCATTCCCTCGTCAGACTCCCGCCCACGGTTTCTGAAAAGATCTTCGGATGAGAGAAGGTATGACACAACATGACTCACACAGCGGCAGGCTGGAACAATGCGTCTGCAAGATTCATTCTCTGCATTTCCGCTTCAATCTGGGCTTCAATTTGTGCTTCGTAGTCGGCCCCCAAGTCCACTTTCTCGCTTTCTGCCTCTGCTTGCTCGTCTTTGTACGGGAATACAGGCCGTTGACCTGGTTTGAACCGTCTTTTGTACTCAGGCGATCTCTCGAGGAAATAAGCGGCATTTGAGAGGTGATGTCTGCAAAAAAAACAATAATGGAAGACCCAGTCAGAAAGACTCACTGGTACATCCGATGAAGCTTAGGATCCAGGATCTGATCAATGACCAATGAGCATTTCTCCAGCGAATCCTTATATCGGACGAGCAGCATAGACGTTAGCTCACTTTTTTCTCGACGGATTGTTTCCCAATGAATTTTGTATTTATCAGAAATTGTAGGACGGCAACCTAGCAAATTGAGACCCAGATGGAGAGCGAGATCGGCGTCTTGTGGCCGGAGAAGTCTACGGTTCTGCTGGAGGATCGGAGACGCCGTATTCGCCGGAGCATTCTGTGCGCCGCGAGCACTTGCGTTCGATTCTGTCCAGTAGAGGGCCAGGAAGAGGAACTTTGTGAATGCGACCGGGGGAACCTCTCCATTGCTGCCCGCTTCTGTTTTGACCATTTCCTGTGCTCTTGACCGTATTTTCCCCATTTGTACTTCACTCATCGGAACGGTTTGCCAGAGCTGGTCCAGAATGGCGACGAATTCAGTTTCCTGAACAAATCAGTTTGAATAAAACGTTGAAGTGTTAAAAACTTACTAAATACGCCAAGTACACTTGCTGAAAATTGGTGAACAATGGGTACTTTGCAACTGTCAGAGTTCGCATTGAAACATCGAACACAGTTCGTTGCAAATGGGGACTGTCTTTGAGAACTTTCGTCACGTACAGGATCCTCTCGATTGTCAGAATGAACCGATTAGACCTGTTCACTAGCTCATCCCGGTCCGCCCCTGAGACTTCAGATTCAGCAGACGACGATGACGAGCATGCTTTCGAAGTGCTCGGTGTGCTCTCCAACTTTTCCGAACTCCTTAGATCGTTGCTCTGTTCTAATAGGCTATCGATCAGATATTCAATCACTTTGAGTGCGTATTCGACCGCTTCTGCACGGTATCCATGTGTTCCGTACGCTTCCACTCGCAAAAACCTCGACTCCATCGCGTCAAGAGGCGTGAATGCCGCCGCGAGCACTTCATTCACCTCCAGGTCTACCGCGTCGAGCTTCCTTTTTCGTGGAACTTCCACGGTTTGCGGGGCCTTCTGCACATCACTCTCTTGCCCGGATTCCGTGCTGTCGTTCATTCCCATATGATCATTGTTTTCGTCCGGAAGAACCCTCCAAATACCATCCATCCCACGGTACTCGTCCATGGGCGGATGTCGGCGGCCTCCGAATCTACGACCTTCTTCTTCACCTCTCCGCAACATCTTCTTCTTCTTCTTCTTTTTCTTCAGAAGTTTCTCTTTCGCGGGAGGAACCATTTTGTAGCTGTTGGTCAGGTTTGGCTGAAAAGAAAAATATGAATTAGAATTGACGAGACTACAATATTTACCGAAACATAGAACACCGCATCGGTTCTGACGCCGAAGCGTATATCCTGTTCGTTGAGATAATGACACATTTGAATGGCCGGATAGAATCCGGGGAAGCAGTTCAGGGTGAACTTCATATTCTGTGCCGACAGCGGATATCGAATGTCCACATTGGTCAGAGTCTCGAGTATCTCCGCCGTCTGATGGTTACTGAGAACCGTGGCTTCTGCCTTCTGATTCACTTCGTTTGCCAACGGTGGCGACATGCTTATCATGTTCTTGAGTCGATTTACAGCAGTTCGATGATAGTCCTGAAGGTAAGTGGCCAGCTGTGCTCGATAGAATTTGCCAGCTCGAGGGTTGATCGCAACGAGCTTCCACAGAGTGACGACCTCATCGCAGAGCTGAGCACAATTGAGTTGCGAGAGAATGTGCTGAGTGTTCGGAGTTTTGAAGCAATCATTTAAATGCCAGTGACCGGATTGCACCAACTTCGTGATGTACCACCACAGAAGCACTTGATTATTGGCCAGACATTCGTCGGTAACTGTGCGCAGAAGAGCCACCGCATTCTCGTCACTCCGCGCGAACATTTCGCGGATCATCTGCAGCAGATTCCACATTCCTTCGGGTTCTCTGCACCGGAACAGCTTCATGTACGCTCCCCATTCGGTGTTTGCGGGATGGTGAGTAGAGGAGAGATAGGCAATATCAGCATGAACCACAGGTGTCGGAATGCAGTACCGGCATAGAAGTCTGCGGATTTTGTTCTCGATTTCCGGGAAGTCGTAGCGAGATACTGGATCATGCCCTCCGTCAGTAGGGTCCGGAGCTCCGTGCAAGTTATTGATCATCGATTTGGGATCTTTGATCTGGTCGATGAGCTTTTGGAAGCCAGGAATGCACTTGCGAGGGATCTCATTGATGTGCCATTGGACGAGCCTGCGCAGGTCATAGTCACTCATCGAATTGATGGCATCTGCTATCGTTTCACTGAAATGAAGAATGTCACTTGTCGATGGGTCGAACTGATGTCTTACTTGAACTTAATCTGACTTCTTTGGAAAATTCGATAGATGCAGAGAGCGACCACGTGCTTGCACCAGCTGGATCGACTCGAGCACTCGCATGTGCACTCCACGATCCGGCACCGGTCCACTTTGACAGTCACGTGGTAACTATCATGCTCACTGAGCGGCGCTTCTGATGAAATACCGCCGACGTCTCCACTGAGCAGAAATCCCGTTTGCGATACTTCTCGCACGCCTCCCCATTCGTAGAGCGTCTTTCCGAACTCATATTGCTCCGACGAGCCGTTCGCGAGAGTACTGAAAACGTTCTAATAAGTGTCTTCAAGCAGAAATGCCTGCAGTTTTCAACCTGTACATGCGGATTTCATCGGTAGATTGGGGAAAACAGTGGACGATGAACGAGAGGAAGATCTTTTCAGGAATGGTTGTTGCTGGAGGCGGAGCAGCCATTTGAGCAGCTCGCGTCGTGCAGATGTGGGCGTACATCTCTTCCAACTGCTGGAACGACCATTTCTCCGCGCAGATTCTGGCGGACAATTCCGAGAGAGTCAGAAGAGTTCCGGACGGATTGTCCCCCCGAGTCATCATAGGATGCTGGCTCAGCGGATTACTCGGATCTCCCGGAACCACAGTTCTTGTTGACGCCGATGAGAAGCGGCCCGACACATTGTGATACTGGTAGACGACGCAAGAGAGGCCTAAACAAACGGCATTACAACAAAACGACACAGGAAAGCAAACCTGGCTGAATGGCGTCGCAATTCGATTGACAGTCTGTCCATCCGCGCCAGTTCTGCTGGTTTCCGTCCATTGAACCGTCATAAGAAACCGAATCCTCTTCGAATCGTTCCGAATCCTACAAAAAAGAACGCGATTAGCTTTGTTATAAACCGACGACGAACTTCAAACGAAACGTCATCTCGACCACCGTTCCACGGATTGTTGCCGTTCGGCTGCATCGGCTGCATTTCTGCAGCGATTTTAACGGAACTTTGTCACAGAGGAACGACGGTTTTTGGAATGAAGAGCCTGAAAAAAACCATTTTGCTGAGGGCATTAATAAAAAGAATCTGAAGATTTGGAGAGAAACGTTTGAGTTTTCGCAAAAGGCAGCTGTTGCTTCTGAAAGCTAAACCGAATGCATAGTTTCTGTTGGCTATCTGTTCATGTTTGGGAAGAAAAGACGTATTACAAATTAGGGAATTAGTAATTCGAAGGTTTCGAAAATAATAAGGAAATTTAGGACTCGTTGTAAGTAATGTAAATCGACTGGAAATGCATCGCATTATTGTCTTACAAGACTAAAACGCGGCTAACGTTCAGATCAGTCTTGGGAAATTGTAGATCAAATGACTGGAACTGCCTCTGCCCAATTGCCAGACTTCCCATTACACTTCTACAGCCGATACCCATAAATTGAGTCCTATAGAATAATTCTAGATTCATTAACATTGAATGATTTAAGGAAATAAAATCAGTTGAACACTGAGAAGGACAGTAGGAAAGACGAAAGCAGATCAAGCTGCAGTGTTGAACAATTTTGGTGCGGTATTTATTTAGTAAAGTCCGTTTTAAATTTTAAACATTTCTCGTTAACGTTAACTTCAGAAAATTTGGTTTCCGTCACCAATTGAGCTCGACAAGTTTTGTGTCTAGATGAATCATTCCACATTTTCAAGCAGTGGACGGCAGTGACTAATAATTTTCATTGCGGTACTTATTCAAGAATTCACTAAAGACCTAGTTGAAAAATGTATTCGACTGATTTACAGGAAATAGGTGAAAGATAATCGAGAAACCAGTATGATCGGAAACAAAAAGAACTGCGAGAGAAGGTCAAGATCGCACGGAATGAAGTGATAAGGACTGCTGTCGTTTCGGGACGGGCCCAGTCGTGGTTCCGACAACACGCACGCCGCGGAGTAGACACTCGGTGTCCTCCTCTTCCTCGTCGCGTCGGCCGACCCTGCCCGCTGAGTCTCTGCGTCTCGCACATTGCCGCGATATTCCGCGCCCACACGGCCCGTTCCTATCGGTGCCTTTCACGCTGGTGGACGAGACGGCAGGGTTTGCGCTGCAGCCAACGGCCGAGTGTGTTGACCCCTCGCTGCAAGCGCGCTCTATTGAGAACGACCCGAGCGACGTCCGAATGGCGCCAGATTGAAAATTGTTCCGCAGTTTGTCTCCGCCTTTCAAGATTTCGGTTTTTCCGTCGTTCATTGGATTTTTCAACTTCTTTTTTTTCAACGTAAATACTTTACAAATGTGAAAATGTGCCAAACTTTATTTCTTCGAATTTCGTCATAATTCAAGAGCAAACAACAAATTTGTCTCGAATTTATTGCGCGTTCAACTTTTTACGAATAAAGAACTAAAATAATGCGTGCTTGGCTCGAACATGTCTATCTAAAAGATGTTCTCTGAACGGGAAAAACGAAAACAACTAGAAAGGGGTTGTTTATGTCAGCGCAGTTGTGGCTCGGGGAGCACGTGCCACGAGTGCTCTTCCACTACTGTTTTCGTTCCCGCTTTCTACTACTCTCAGCTCAGAAATCACTATTATTTAATTTTCTATCGATTGGTTCTAATAAAAAGAACAACGATGGTGGGTGTTAGGCTTCACTGGAAATGGAGATGAGAAAAGTCCGCGGAATAACAACGGAATAATTCAGAAGGGTATTGCTGTTGCGGAAAAATTAATTATCTCGATATTTCTTTGTGCATTGCGTTGACCTCGGAAAACGAAAAGTTCTTACAGTCTGAATCATGTCGGCGCAAGCGAGCCGTACAAAAAAATCAGATCAAGACCAGCGAGCGGCTGATCAAGCACTGCTTAATGTAACGTATTTGCATATTCCAAAATCTTCGAAAGGTATTTTAGGCTGCAATCCAAGACAATGATATGGAACAAGACGAAAACTTCACTGTTATTGATAAACTCGAGGTGAGGCTCACGATGAACGATAAAACAAGTGTTTCTTGTTTCAGTCGACTGGGATCAGTTCGGGAGATATCGCCAAGCTGAAGGAAGCTGGATACTACACTTACGAATCACTGGCTTTCACTACAAGACGTGAATTGCGAAATGTGAAGGGAATTAGCGATCAGAAAGCCGAAAAAATTATGGTGAGTGGGGGAAAAAAGATGGAAGGAGGCGTAACAGCTGCAAGGTCGAACTGTCGGAAGAAAAGAGCAGCTGGGGCATGCGAACCGAAAGACACACATATTTACTATTAGAATATAAATGACAGTCACTTCAAAATTGAAATCGTTCAGAAAGAAGCGATGAAATATGTTCAAATGGGATTCACCACTGGAGCCGAGGTGCATGTCAAACGAAGTCAGCTGGTGCAGATCAGGACTGGATCAGCTGCCCTTGACCGACTTTTGGGTGGCGGCATCGAGACGGGAAGTATCACTGAGGCGAGTAGGGCAAAACGATCAAAACTCATGACTGAATGATTGCAGGTGTACGGAGAGTATAGAACAGGAAAGACGCAGCTGTGCCACAGTCTGGCGGTCCTGTGCCAGCTGCCGATTGATATGGGCGGCGGCGAAGGAAAGTGCATGTACATTGACACAAATGCCACGTTCCGTCCAGAGCGGATAATTGCCATCGCCCAGAGGTTCGTATGGGTCCAAGATTACCGTCAATGTAGTTGTTCCCTCGTTCAGATACAACATGGACAGTGCTCACGTTCTGGAAAACATCGCTGTCGCTCGTGCATACAACTCTGAACATTTGATGGCTCTCATTATTCGAGCGGGTAAGGGAGTTACTGATAAAAGTGACTGATAAAAGTGACCGATAGTGACCGGTGAAACCGGTGAATAGACAGCGCGCACGTCACGATAGAGCGTTGGAATAAATGAATTAATTAGAGAAAGAAGATCGAACACAGATTTCCATTTTCCAGGAGCGATGATGTCGGAGAGCCGCTACGCTGTCGTCATCGTCGATTGTGCCACTGCTCATTTCCGAAACGAATACACTGGAAGAGGAGATCTGGCAGAGAGACAGACCAAACTTTCCGCGTTCCTGAAATGCCTCGCAAAATTGGCTGACGAGTACGGTGTTGCTGTCATTATCACTAATCAAGTTGTCGCTCAAGTCGACGGGGGCGCCGGAATGTTCCAGGCGGACGCCAAGAAACCGATCGGAGGACACATCATAGCTCACATGTCCACGACCAGGTTATCAGTGAATTCGAGACAACTCGTTGATTATACTGGTTTACAGATTGTATTTGCGGAAGGGCAAAGGGGAGAACCGCGTGGCGAAGATGGTGCAATCTCCGAACCTTCCGGAAGCCGAGGCGACCTACTCGATCACGAACCACGGAATTGAGGACGCGCGTGAGGACTAGCACTGCTTTGCACTTCTCTTCGTTGTCTCGCCGATATATCATTCGCGGATTTATCATTTCTATTTGGGTCGTGTTCAATGCTTCCGTTCTTCTTCTCTGAACTGTTTCTCCGATGTTTCCCATTTTTACCTGTATTTATAACGTGTTTTATGCCTCCCTTATTCAAATTATTATAAACCGCATAGTTGTTAGATACTAATGCTGATACGCCAGATGGTAACGCTCATCGCTCCACTGACATACTTTTCTTTGTCTAATTTTCGTATCTTTTCACGTTTTGTAGGTTCGTTCGGCCGGACATAATTGGAGAACAATGGACGTGGAAACTGTGAAAAATGAGGTTTGTGATCGGGGAGAATGTCCGTGCTCATGGTCTAATAGTATTCATTCAAATAGAGCGACAGCTGCTTTACTCGCTCCTGTCTGTTACATTCCCTCCCACCCCGAGGTACTCCGCTATTTGATCTAGATACATAAGTCAGAAGTCTTTTTCGTGTCTCCACCCAAATACAAAGGCTCTGCCGTGTACGAACCATTGCTTTCTCCGTTCCTTTCGGACGCCCCTTTCCAATGGCAGCGATGAGAGAAGGGCGGTCTCCGAAGCGACCGGTTCCACCCGCTGATTCCGCGCGGAAGGCCAGCCTTCTGCGGCGGTCCACTGCCGCTTCTCCCTCGCCGCTCTCCCTCTCCTAGAATCCATACCAGTGATAATTGATAAACGACGCAGTGAAGCTGGATGATTTGCCGCTTGTCGTTCATCACAACATTGTTGGCAAGACATACGACCCGCCGTCTTCGCTTTTTTCGATCCAACACCTTTCACACTGTTCCACTGATACGCGATTTTGCAGATGACCTGTTGTTCGTCGAATTCGTCTCTCTCGGACTTCACGACACTGCCGAGATGCCCCAATCGTGTGGGGTCCATAACAGTCATTCTCGGGCCTATGTTTAGCGGCAAAACGTCGGTCGTTTCGCAGGAAACATCAGTCTAGTTTCCTCTTTTAGCACCGAGCTACTCCGTCTCCATGACCGTCAGATAATTGCAAAACGAACGTGTGTTCTTGTAAAGTATGCCGGAGACACTCGATACGACGCCGATCTTGTAGCCACTCACAGCAAGTGAGCAACCCAGTTTGCCTTCAAAATACAAAACTAGTTTCAGAATGACGGGGCAGGGACGCACAGTGAAGGCTCATCGTTTGGCTGAGGTTCACTCGCAGATCTTCAGTGACGATGTGCAGGTCGTTTCTATCGATGAAGGACAGTTTGTGAGCAGACTGCTGAATGCGAAAAGACATAAAAAAGTTGGTTTCAGTTCGATGACCTGGCGGATACGTGTGAAGAGCTGGCTCAACGCGGAAAGGTCGTTTGCGTGGCCGCATTGAACGGCACATTCGAGCGAAAGGTTCGGCTCCTGACACGCTCGAGAAAGAATCGCCACGATGTTTCAGCCGTTCCCGCAAATCTCACTGCTCCTACCGTACGCTAACGAAATCAAACAAGTGACCGCCGTTTGTGTCGAGTGCGGAGCTCAAGCAAACTTCTCTTTCCGAAGCACTCTCGATAAGAAAGTCGAGGTGATCGGAGGATCGGACACTTACACCGCCCTCTGCAGAGAGTGCTACGTCCAGAAAAGCGAAGAAAAGGACGCTGAGGAGAAGCTCAGCACGTTCTGTGACAAGGTGATTTTAAGTTTTGTTCTGTTCCCATAAAAACGCTTTTTTTGCAGAACGAGAACGTCATATCGGGATTAGTCCTCGCTTCGAAAGAAACGCGCTCCGATGGATCAGTCTCTCCGCCGCGGAAGAAGATCGGATTGAGCAAGTCGATGGCTATCGAAGCACCCGTTCGAGTCTAATTTATTATACTTTTTTCTCTTGTAGTTTTCACACCTGAATCAATTGCTCACTTTGTTTCACTTTTCACTTCTAACTTCATTTATGGCAACCATTACTTTCCAGTTTTGCACTCTAATTCCATTCTTGATTACATCATTTAACTCAGAGTATTTATTCGGAATAAATGCACAGTTATAAGTTCTAGGCAAAATCTTGGGCGTCCGGGAGTTGGCTGACTTGACGCACAGTCTTGTTTTCGTCGGCCGGCTCCAACGGCGTTTCGACTCCCGGATGCTTCGGCCGCTCGTTCTCCGGTGGCGGCTGAAATTCCAACTTGAAAATAGAATTAGGGGCTAATCCAGACTGACCTGCCATTCCGCCTCGGCAGGAGACGGTTGAGTATCTGGAGCAGCAGAAGCAGCAGACGGGGCATTCTTCGGCGACTCGGCTTTTTGCTCTTCTTTCGGAGGCTTCTGCTCTTCCGGAGGACTCGCCGCTTTCTGGAAGAACAGAAGTGTTCGATAAAATAAGGAGATGGGGGCACCTTCGTACTGCCTTCCTGTTGCTCATCTATCTTTTGCGAACCATTCTTCGCAGCCGCCTTCTCCGATTTTTTTGATTTTTTCGACTTGTTTGACTTTCTGGACTTTTTCGAACCCTCTTTTTTGTCTTCCTCCTGCGACGGTTTGACCGGCTCCTCCTTCTTCGATACCTTCGAAATCTTCGACATTTTCGACTTTGTCTTTCTCTTCGACTTGTCTTTCGAGACGACCGAGTTCTTCGGCTTACCTAAAAATGGCACTTTTGCTCCGTTCCTTTCATCTCTCCGACGAACCCTTCTTACTTTTGCCGCATTGGGCGATTAACGGAGACAGAAGAAAGGCTAGAAACATGCCAAACAGTGCGAACTTCTCTGAACAACAACACTCTCTTTGCGCTGAGATTCATCTGAATTTCTGCTTCACGTTTTTCACGTGAATTCTCTCTCCGTCGCAAGATGGTTTCTGAAGTCAAGGCGACACAAACCGACAATATCAGATTCTGCAGTCTCAATTTCAAGTTTTGAGTGGCAGATTTGGTCAGAGATCGGACACAAGAAAACATTTTGATTCCGAAATTCGATAATTCGAAGACGCCGAACGATCCGGTTCCCCACGCAAGATGCCTTTGTCTATTTTCCGATCAGAATACGTTTTTCGCTCACCGTCGGATAACCATTCGTACATCGAGCGAACCATCGGCAATCAGTTTTTGAGATGTAGAAATGAAACGAGAAAACGATAAAGACATTACAAATTGTTTATTCGGAGATCACGGTGGAAATGAAGCAGAGTTGCTCATTTGCCGTACATCATTCCCATGTAGGGGTTCATCATGCCGCCCATCATGCGTCGTCTCCAGCCTCCGCCGTAGCCCATACCGCCACCGTATCCCATGCCGCCCATTCCGCCCATGCCTCCGTACGGACTCATGCCTCCTCCGTATGGTCCCATTCCGCCCATTCCCATGCCTCCCATGCCGCCGTAGCCCCCTGAAATAAGAAGAGATTGAGCAGTTGAAAGTGGAGAGTTTCAGACTTACACTGAGCATCGACAAGTGCGAGAATGGCGACGAGAATAAGAAGAAGACACCGCATTTCGATTGATCTGATCCGGTTAAATTGGGTTAAATGAATCGGGAACTGATTCCTTTTATATCGATATAATTTTGTTATCAATCAGATAACCAATCAACTGAGTAACCTGAAAAATGGTCAGTGAACGAGAGAAAGAGTGTGCTAGAAGCGGAGACGGAGAGAAGTTCGTCACAGGGTTACACTGCGTTCGTCAAAAAGCGAAAAGGTGCTGATGTTAGGGCGGTCGAGAACCGAGATGGACCATAGATTCAAAACATTCCGTTCTTCGTCCTTCATTTTACTCTTTGCCTTCTTCTTCTTCTTCTTCTTTAAAAGATGAGATATCACTGGTCTTATCTACACTCCAGACCTAAGAACACATTAGTAGAAGTGAGTGCCACGTGGTATTCTACTAGTAAAACTCTACCGATCTGCACCAATCTTTGAGCGAATAGCCTGACTTAGGCTGGTCGAACAGGCGCCTTAAAAGCAGGCGCCTGTTTTTTTCAGGCGCCTGTCCGACCAGCCTAGCCTGACTACAGTTGTCAGCTGATAAAAGAAACTCTCGTTTTTAATGAGCAATTTGTTAACTGATAACTTTTTTGATATCTCAATCGGCAGCTGAGTTATACTGTTTTGGATGAACTGAAGTGGGATGCCCTTCTATTACAGTTTATAGTGAAGATTGTGAGTTTACTTTGACCTCACTGAAGTTCCCCCTGAAGACGGTCAGTAGATACTTCTTTGATCATTTCTTCTCTCGTGTTTATCTACTTCTATAGGCGCACACGTGTCATTCGAACCCGTTTCCCAAAGGTTGCAATTACAAACGGAGGATCGGTTCCGAAAGATTCGAATGCGAGATAACTTGCGAATAATTCGTTGTCAAAAGCATAAAACCATAGAAATATGAATGAATTCATCATCTCTCAGAACACCGTGGGCGTCGCAAATACAAATTCTTGGTTGCAAACAAAGAAATAAGAGAAGGAGCCAGCGGGCGGTATCAAAAACAACACAAATGAACGGAAGAACCGCGAAAAACAAATTTTTCACACGAAAGCATTGAGGTCAGCAGAGTCGAAGGGACCACCCAGGCCGCCTGCCTGGAAACTCTTGTACTTTCCATTAATATTCGATTTTAATTGGATTGAAATAGCGTAAGTTGGAAAATAAGCAGGAGACACATTGTAGTGATGGAATATTTGAGCATTCGTGGTCGGAGCATTAGCCATACATGTACGGATTCATCATCTGAGCCCACATGAGACGGCGTTGAAAGCGGCGACATCGGATTCCGCACCAACCGTACCCGCCGTATCCACCGTACCCATAGTTGTTGTATCCTCCGTAATTGTATCCGTAACTCGGATAATATGAATACGAGTAGCTGGGGTAGTAACTACCGTATCCACCGTACCCTCCATACCCTCCATACGGACTGTAGTATCCCCCTGCAAACGTCCAATTTCCAATCATTTAGCTATATTTCCACTCACATTGGGCCATAGAATCGTGAACGCAAAAGCATGCAAAAATGAGAAGAAGAGTGAGAAACGTGCGCATTGTCGAGGTGTCCGAAGGGAAACTCGTGTGGTCAGGTCAGTGGAAACCTATCCAATTTATATGTGTACAAACCAGTCAGCAGTCCGTCTAAACCCTTCCCGACCCGACTATTCACGTTTCGCCGAAGGAATGACATCAACTTAATACAATTACCATTTTTCTTTCTCGTGATTCTTTGACCCTCTCAAACGTGCAAATCGGGAATATTTACAAAATGTGGAAAAAGACCGAAAATAGCGGGAAAAAGGAGAAGTGGTTTTTAGGCGGAAATGACGGAATGAAACGTGGTGTCTGGAGAGCCACTTTCGGAGCACATGGGGCTCTCAGAGCAAGTACAAATGTTTCTTTTTCAGGAGGTCCAACCATTTTATAATCGGGTTTTCTCTGGTCAGATTGTCACAAAGAGGAGCAGAATGAATCATCGGAACGATCCACGTCCACAGAATCGAAAGTGAAGAGAGCCATCCGAACTCTGTCGTACGAGATCAGATCAACGTCGTATCCTCCAATACCTTGTCCAGAAGACGTTCTCAAGTTGATACCCAGGAGTTTGGTTGTCGAGAACTTTCTATAATCATGACATGATAACTGGTAAACAGATCATTCGACACCCACGTGACACTACAGTCTCCGTTGTTGTTAGGGTACAGGAATCCGTTGAGATTGTTGCCGCAACTTCCGAACCACCAACCTCTGAAAACCGAAGTGTAAAGAGGATAAGTAATTTATAGTTTCTGACCCATAGCCGATTGATTGGTTGTCATCGTCGTCATAGTATTCAAACTGGTCACATTCCGTTCTGAGAAACAATTCTTACAGTCTACTAATTTCAAATATTTCATTCACTAACTTTCCTTTCGGCAAACTATAAGTGGAAGACGTCGAAAACGGGGCACCAATGTCTTTTGCTGCAAGGTAAAAATGTCACATAAACTACAATAGTTGAAGGTTAAACCAGAGGATGCGTAGTCCAGTCCAATACCCGGAACGTCGGCCGTCGCGGTCAGCGTGTATTGGTTAGCACTGCTGCCGACCTGAACGAAACGAACAATGAAGTAAAAGAAGAGCTGGAGAGTAATGTCACCTGGAAACTGTGATAGATTTGCTTGGCCACCAGTTTGGAACCACAGCAAAGATCGATCTGGAGCGCGTAGCTCTTTCCATTGTTGCTCAGCGAGTTCATGTTGTCCAGTCCGAGCCAGAAGTTATTTCCGATTCCCGGCTCTCCGAACCAATGGGAGTAATTGAGAGATGGAATATCGAAACTGATATTCGTTCCGAGTGATCCACGACTTTGAATGACTGTGTATGCCCCGGAACTCTTTTGATCGCAGTACACAGCAACAGGAGTGCTTCCGTCCGGATAAATGGTCTGAACTCCGGAGTTCTTCTCTTCGACTTCATCACAATCCGAAGGCAGCTTCGGAACTGAATGAAAAAGAGAGATCTAATTGAGGAGAGTGAGAAACCAACTGGTTGTGGGAGGTTCTGTTGGTCCAGCAGATGGAGTGGTTCCAGTGAAAAGAGTGGTTGTTGTGAGGCTCGGAGCGGGAATGTTAGTGGCCCATGCAATAGATATCCTTCAAGATGCCCGGTATACCGTTATTGAAGACAAACAGATAACTGACGTAGTAGGAAGTGTTCCCGGCCGGACGCTCGTGTATGCGTAAATCCCTTGGCTCTCAGTGGAGTCCACTCGGAAATTGTACTCATCGATGACGTTTCCGTCGACCGTTGTCAGTTTGAAGCTCACATTGAATCCCTAAGTACTTATCAGGTTAGGAACTGAAAAACAGCAGCATGTTACTCACGGTGAACTCAATTACTTCTTGTGCTTTCACATCTTTCACAATCAAATTCAAGTTCGAAATCTTTGCCTCACCGTGCGAGTTCAATTCGGAATTGCTGAACACATTAACGAGATCGGAGCCCCTACAAGAGTCACTATCAGGGAAATAGTCACTATTACGAAACTCACGAGGCGACCCCTCCCGTCAAATAAGTGTTACATCCGAATCCGACAAACCCGAACAAACTGCAAGTGCTTCCATCCAAAAGAGTCCCTGCCGGATTGTCAATTTCGCGGATTAAAACTTGAAAATAATTGGTGTTCGCGGATACCTGAATTCTGAAGTGTGCAAGCCCAATACGTGCCAAATGCATACCAAGCTGAGAGTTGTTAGAAGAGCGAGAAGAAGACGAGTCATGTTAAGAATATTGCACTCAATTTGCAAAGACCGCAAAAGGGCCTCGTTTACGAGGCAGTTAAAGCCACACCTCTGAGTGCCACGTAAGTCATAATTGTCGAGTGAACTCAGTTTTCCGAATGTTTATTTTGGCATTAACGCCCTTCTTTGACCGTATCATAAGTATAGAACAAAGTGAACGATGACGATAAGTTAATGACAGAATGAGTCGTCGTTCTGATTCACGATGGCAGAATCGAAGGTGAAAAGAGCCATGCGGACTCTGTCATAGGACACCAAATCCACGTCATATCCATCAGGATTGGTTCCAGCTGAGGTTCTCAGGTTTACTCCGAGCATTTTGGTACTGACGAATGTCCTGAAAATATAGAAAGTGGAAAATCTAGTACATACGGAAAGTACTGACGTGGCAGGAACGGCACAGTTTCCTCCGTTGTTGGGATAAAGGAATCCGTTCAGATTGTTACCGCAACTTCCGAACCACCAGCCACTGAAAGAGTCGGTTCAATTGCAGACAGAAGCAAGATCAACCTCACCCATATCCAACTGCTTGCATGTTGCTATTATCGTCGAAATAATCAAATTGATCACATTCTGGTCTAAAGAATGTTTTTATTGAATCTAAAGAAACAACTGATAAATTGACTCACTTTCCCTTAGGTAGAGTGTACGTGGTATGGGTTGAGAAAACAGCTCCAATGTCAGAGACTGAACGACAATTGTCTTATTTCTAAGAATGATGTACTTGCCTGTAGATGTGTATGCCAGTCCTACTCCGGGCAAATCTGCCGTAGCGCTCAACTTGTAGTTGCTGGTGGCATCACCAACCTACAAAAAGAACCTTTACGAGAACTATCAAAGCATTAAGAACATACAGAGAAACTGTGATAGAAGTACTTCTTGACGAGCTTGCTGGCGCAGCAAAGATCGATTTGCAATGCGTAACTTTTTCCGGTCTTGCTCAATGCATTCATGTTGTCCAGTCCGAGCCAGAAGTTGTTTCCGATTCCCGGCTCTCCGAACCAGTCAGTATAATTGGCTAATGGAAGATCAAAACTGATGTTGGTTCCCTTCGTTCCGCGACTGAAAAGAAGCTTCGATTTCCTCATTAAAAAAATACGGATGAAACCTTTGAATGACTGTGTATGATCCATAGCTCGCCTGATCGCAATAAACGGTAACTGGATTGGTTCCATCTGGGTAAATTATCTGAGGACCGGATGTCTTGTTGGCGACCTCATCACAATCCACCGGAAGTCGTGGAGCTGAAATAAGTAACTCAGATTACGGGATAAGACTAACTAGTAACTAGTAGTGGGAGGTTCAGTCGGTCCTTGACTTGGGGTGGATCCAGTGAACGGAATGCCACTGGTCGTCGGCTCCGGAGTGCTCGAGGTACTTGGCGGAGCAATGTTTGTGGCCCAGGCGATTGAAATTCTGAACGGTTAAATTGTGGGAAGATATCGGAAAACGAAAAGGATACGTGGTGGGAAGTGTATTCGCGCGGAGACTGGTGTACGTGTAGACGCCCTGACTGAGAGTGGAATCAACGTGCAGAGTGTAGTCATCGATGATGTTTTGGAACTGATCGTCAGAAGCGAGCTCAATGTGCAAATCAAAACCCTGAGAAGATTGAATTGGCAGAGCCGCTCAAAAGAGTTTACTGTGAAAGCGTCGACGGCGTCCGGGTTCGCGTCAGCCACGACGATGTTCAAATTGGAGACACGAGTTTCTCCGTGACTGTTTATCGGAGTATTTGAGTTGAGAGTGTCCGAGTTTGACACATTAACGCCTCCTCTGAAACATGCAAAATCATTGATTTTAAACTCTGAAAGGTGTGTCATACGCGCTGACCGCTGCTCTGATGTACGTGGTGCATCCGATTCCGAGATAGTTGAACTCACTGCACGCATTTCCGTTTGCGAGGCTTCCCGAGGGATTGTCGATTTCTCTCAGTAGTACTTTGAAGTAGTTTCCATCCGCCAAAGTCTGCAATTTTCTTCCGTCGCTCTAGCTACCGCTTGCTCTAGAAGGTCGTTAAAAACCAATCAAATAGTCGGTTTTGGGCGATCGATTGATTCTCGCGTCACTACCGAAATGAGATAGAATTCGGCGGAAGGAATCCATCAAACTTCAGAGGAAGCAATTAGGTTTTCAAACAAATCGTAATGTTTTGCAATGCGGGCTTTTAGATATTCATGTTTTATTGTCCAATTCAAACTTACCGATGAAAGTAAACTTAACAGTAAGAGAGAGGCCTTCCACATTTTGAATTGGAAGAATGACCCTGCAAAACATACACATGCTAATTTTATCGTGTCTTTAGGAACCAAAAATGTATAAAATTTAGGTATAGAATAGGGAGAGGTCGATAAAAAGTGATGAATGATACGATAGGAAGCTGGAGAGCAGTTTGAGTTGCGTAATAAAAAGTTATGGGTGCCCGCCCACTTGATAACGCCCAAAAATTGATGGTTGCTACAAAAGACCCGGGCATTTTCTGTCAGTGTTTATATTGCATTAGCACATTTAGTCCGATTATTTCATTTGAGTTGAGATGGGTGGAGACGTGCTAGTTCCTCGCCGCCAATGATTCTATTTTCAGGAATTCCAGGAATTGATCGCAAAATGATTTCGAAAACGATCATCAGAATTCCGAAGATCATCTCTTTTTGTGGCGTTGATGCGGTCTTCTGGCGCTTGAGATGGCTACTTGATCTAGATGTGTTAGATCGGATGTTGCAACTTCCCTTCACCTCGATTTCGTTCAAATCTAGGCCTGACCAGCTTTCAGTTTTTTCGAATTGTTCCCAGATTGTTTGCGGATTGTAAACATTGCGGAGACGCATAAATCGAAGGATCATACGAATTGGAAAACGAGATAAATGTGTGGCCTAATGAGAATTCACTCATTTCAAAACGTTTCGTTCGTCTTCCCAATTTCAGTTGATTCTGATCCGGAAGCCTTCAATGTTTTCACGGGGTCATAAACCACAAAAATCGCCGAACTGAATTCTCGAACTCCTCAAGACGGTCGTGATGATGAAAAGTGAAACCGTGAACAGCAGTCGTCAGTTAAGTAGCTGGCGAAAGTCATTGACTTGGTTTCGGAAACCAGCATTTATACACAAACAATATGTCCAATTTTCGCTCATCGTTTTCTCCAGCCGGCCAATTGTAAAAGGAAGACACGAGCGAGGAGCGGGCGGCGGTTGTTTCAATGCCTGCCCGGGAGAGGAAGAAGAAGCAGTCCGTCTGTGACAACTTCCCGAAAAACGACGCGTCTTCGTGCGTTTCCACTTTTTTCGTAGTCAATGGACTGCAGCTTCGTTGGTTCCCTCGTCGCCAAACTGTTTTCTGATGTTTCCCAAGTCAGTTGAATCAAACGTTCCCACCTTGTTCTCCTCGTACTTTGATCTTCCCAAATGAGGTGCTTTCGTTTCCCACTCAAATCTGTTTGCTTCATCCTGTATTCTCATATCATCTGTCGGAAACGACTGTCCTTCCGTCCGAGTCTCATATCAATCGGCGGTTCGTTCGAATCACTGTTTTCTCAGTGGTCTTGGGGGCAACCAATTAGCCTGAATCTCCGTCCGTTCGGTGGCCGAACAAACAATAAAAGAGTAATTAGATGTTTCTCGCAAAAAACGGAACAATCGAAATTAGAATTTCGTCCTCCTCCCCCTGTCTCGATGACCCGTGCCCCCGCCTCCTCTGATCTATTCCAGGCTTCCGGAGACTTCGCAAAGATGTCGTCCCTTCCGCTCGTTCCCTTTTTTCCGTGCCCGTCCAGACCAGACTCGAATCCTGTCAATTATAACCAATGGACCCGTATTCTTCCTCCAACCACTATTTTTTTCTTTCAGATGATCGTCCACCTCATCCTTCTTCTGCTCATGGGCGAATTGTTCGAATCGGTGTCTTCCAATCCTCACTCTGTTCTTGAACGCTACGAAGAGAGACTCAATTCGGCAATGTCCAAACGGACGGGGACTCCGAGGACTGTCAAAAGGTACGTGCTTCGAGTCGTCTGCAGTTCCACCTCATCCACAATAATCTGCAACATTCTGACCTCCGTTCCTCATAATCCCTAATCCCTTCTTGTCTGCTGCCCGTAATTGCTCCCCGTCTTGCAGATACAAGTGTGTCGAAGAATACGTCACTTATGATCAGAATGGCCACACAGTCACTTCTTATCAAGGAAGTCGGTTCACAACTACGATGGAACCACCGGTATATTGAACATTCCCAATTGTTTCCCACTTAAAGCACCTACTCAGGTATATCGGACATCCGGGGACCGGGAAATCCGTCGAAAGCCTGCGAAAAAAGTGACGATTGCCATAAATCGTGATCCAATGGAAACGACGACTCCGATGGCGACGTCCACAGAGAGAGGCTCGACGACAACGTTGAAGCCGTTCGACGAGATGAACGACGAGGAAGCGGATAGGATCATCGAGGAGATGTACCTGAAAAAGAAAGTATGACGTCACCAGAGAAAGGGAAACTTAGCACTTTCTCCGCGGTCATTTCTCTGCCTATTTTGGTTTTTCCGACCTTGCCTTCTCCGTATGAGTCACGTCCGCTTTTCACAGTTCGCCTCGTTCGAACCCATAATATGAGGCCAGCTGGTCGCTAGAGGGTTCATGATGATTACCGTAAAAAGAGCGATTTAGGAGAGTCACGCAACTGAATCACCGGAAGAAGTACCTGAAATGACCGCTGAGGTCATCCAGCCCAAGCCTCCATCACCTCCATCTCCGCGCATTTACGCGACTGATTCGACATCTTCAACTTCTGTCTCTAATTCAGGGGAGTACAGTCCGATCAAGAAGAATAAGATGTAAGCTATAAAAATGAGAAGACATCGAAAAAACAAGTGTTTTAGTGAACCGGATGACAGTGAAGAAGAAGACTATCCAAACTCGATGTACCACAGGGGTTCCCGGAAGAGACCCTACGAGGACATCGCCAACTACGATGATTACGACGATCTGCCACTCTACCGTCCTTTGAGAAGAGGTTCAGTTGTCATTCTCGCCACAAAATCCTCATTGACTTCCTTCAGAGTATCATATGCGTCGTCGCCGACCCCTTCTCTTCTCCGATGACTTTTCCGATGACACGGATTTCGATCAACGGTTAGGAAACACTCCACGCAGACAGACGACTAGGGACCTTTCCCCGTTGCGGTCCATGAAAAGGCTCCGTCACCACGCACGGTATCCCCCGCAGTTCCGACCGCTGCCTCCGCCGATGCCTTCTCCGATCTCTCTGCCCGTCTCTGCCTCCAGCAACATGCTCCAGCGTCCGATGGCTTTGCCGGGAGTACCTCCAATGAGAGTACCCGCTCCTCCTGCTCCGCAGCCCATGCCGCTGCCTCCGATGCCTCCTGGAATCATGCCTCCTCCGTCTTCCCTGCTTCCTCCACAGCCTCTTCAGCCAATTCAGCAGCAAAGTTCGATGAGTGTGCCTTCCAGCGGACAAGAAGTGCTCAAAATGAAGCCAATTTTGCAAGCTAACCCTCAGGAAATGCAGGTGGCGAACGAAGAAAGTTGTGCGAAAATCACGAGATTGGCAAAAACGTTCAGCATAAAAGACGTATCCAAATGGGCGAGAAGTAACTGTCCATTGCTCCAGGTCAGCAATATTCGAGTGCGTTTCCGATTATGAATCTTTCTTGCAGCTGTACGTTCCGACGGCAAGCTGCGAACTCATCTTCCATTTTATCGATTCTTGCAAGAACAAGAAGTTCTTCTGATCCTCTCAATTCATTTCCATGTTCTCTATGCTCTACTCTGTGCTCATCATGCGTTTTCAGACATTTCACACCCATACGGGATCACTCGCATATTCAATTAATAACTTTATTCTCGGTTGAAACATTCCAAGAAACAATTTAATGAAACGACTTAACTTTTTGGTTTTGGTTCACGAAAGGACAATTTGGGAAGATGGGGAAAAAAGGAAAAAAAAGAGGAAAGTAAAAGAGTGACAAGATGGAAACGAACATGCAATCTGAGAATAGAAACTCGCGAGATCCGAGGAACGACGCCTTTAACTTGATGATTCAGACATAGTCTCGCTCGTCCGTGAGACTAAGCGAGCGGGAGTTGATATCCAGAGAATTGTAGTTCATGTTGATCAGCTCCTGAAAAATAACTCATCAATAAAGGAAATCAGTGGGAAACTAACTCCATCGAGGGAATCGTAGGCCTCGGACACGTGGAGTTCAAGCCAAGAGGCACACTCGTAAGCGGCCCTTCCACCGTAATTCGTTCCGAATCCTTTGATGAAAGAAATGCGAGTGGAACAGAAACTCTGAACAATTCCAACAGTGTGAGTGAAGCAAATCACATAACTCACGTATAAAAGCCTGTAAGCCTCCTTGTAAGCCAGTCCACGCGCATGCTCCTTCATCTGGTTGAAATTTCTCAGGTTGAACAGTTTCACAGTGGCTTGCTCTTCCGCAACCCAGATTCCGTTCGCATCTTTTTCTCCTTTGTCGTTGCGCAGGCGCAAAACCGTCTCAATGGGCACGCCATTCAAGTAGTTATGGTAAGGGCACTGCACAAAAGTGGTTTGGTTGGAGAGCACGTTCAGCATGATGGTTCCGTCGCGATAAGTGAGCTTGATGCCCGATCCGATCAGGTTACGGACCTGTCCAGATTTGGCGGCTTTCGAAGGCGGCTGAGCGGACAGTGACAGTCTGTGCTCATCGCTGTTTCCAGTGGCTCCGTCGATTGTGAACGTGTTCTGTCTCGCGTCGAACTGATTGCCAATCTATAAGAATCGTTGTGGTAGCGCATTCTGGAAGATCACTCACTCTCTGTTTGAATTCATAGTAGTGCACCTTGCACCAGGGGTTATTCCCACTTGGAATACGAATATTTGGTCTGAGGGTGACGTCATCCGATGGCCAAACATGGACCACGGCAGGTTCCGGAGACACTCTCTCGTTCAGATTCAGCGGTCCGAGATCAATAAAGTCGGAGGTGTGGGCGGCAGAGTACGGAGGAGTTCGACGGCCGAAGCTGTAAAAAAGAGGCTAGCCATGGGTGAACAGACATGAAACGATAATAAAATGAGAGTAAAACTGACCGAGAGAAGAAGGAAGTCCTCGATTGCGATTCAGTCGGACGTCCCGGGGTGTATTTCTGGGTTTGGGTTTGCGTTGCCATCGAAGGATTCATGCGAACACTCGAGTTCGAGGGAGGAGAGACGTTGACGGCGGCCCGGTCGAAGCGGATATCGTAGGGCATCGGCGCATCGGCCAGCCAGTCGTCGACCATCTTTTGGTTCACCGAGAGTGTTTGCACTGAAACAGAGGAGTGGTTTCTTTTCAGAACAATCGAATGATTCACCTGGGTACATAAAAGGGTCCGGTGCACAATATGCCGTCGGGTGGATATAACTGCAAACGTGTGGGTGAAAATTATTTTTGGAAGTGAAAAAAAGGAAATAGGGAAGAAGACGAAGCTGACTGTGGAAGGATAATTATAGGGGAAAGAATGGCGATTTACATGAAGGGATCAAGGACAGGTGCGACGAGCAAAGAAGGTTGTTGAGGAGAGACGGAGAGAGAGAGAGAGAGAGAGAGAGAGAGCTCAGAAGCAACTTGTTTTCCTCTCTGACATAATACGAAAACACATTTCTTCCATTTTGGGTTTCGATTAAAACCAAACTGAGGCAGGTGTTGTTCTTAGAATTTCTCCCATTGATTCATCATTCTGAGAATACGATGACGTGTTGAATGCTCCGAGGATCGGATTAGTAACATTACATACACGTGTGGGCGATGAAGAATAAGTGTATCCGGGTGCAAATGACCGTAGATAACAATCTGAACTGCACTGTTACGTCAATGACAGATGTTCTCCCTGACACTCGAACAGTACATTCGACTTCAAAAGGATCTCGGGTCGAGAACTGTCACTGTACTAATGCCCCGCCTCTTTCTCCCGTTGTTCTTCCATTACACGCGTAAGTTTTGGCATAGAAATGCCAGGTCAAAAATCGATGAGTCTTGACTAGAAAGTGTAGGACTCCACACAAACTTAAAGTGACGCAGGAGGAAAAGAGAGAAATAGGATGGGCAAAAAAGAGGAGAAGGAGGACGATGTCGAGAGATAGAGAAAAGGCAGAGCGAGCGGGGTGTGTGTGTGTGTTTTCGGTCACAACTGTGGAAAATGGAAGTGAGCGCGAGGAAGAGTGTGTGTTTGTGTGAGCGGAAAAGGCCGAAGCACACACACACACACACACATGCATACGGAGCACACGTGGGCATCCGCGCACGCGCACAACAAGTAGTGAAGCAGAGATCCACACGGCACTGGACACGGAAGAGAAGAGAAGAGCGGGACGAAAAGGGAAACCACACCGATTGGATCTCCTCCCATTCACAATAACACACGAACAACCGTGTGAACAATAACACGCGGCAAAGAGACGCCGAATTCCATTTTATATAGAATTTACCACTTCTCCCGGGGTTAAGTTGGTCAAATACCTGTTAAGGTACGGAAGGCGGACGAGAGGAATGAGACGAGCGGACGGAAGAGCGTGGGGACGACTGGGCTCAAATATTTGCGGATTGAAAGAGTGCGGTAGAGAAGAACTGTACAGGTCGGGAGGTTCAAGAGAGGGGATGAGGAGATGACTGATATGCGACACGAACAGGCCAACAACAACATCGCACGTCTTGATACGTTCCGAAAACAATAAGGTCACCAGAGGTTTGTTTTCCAGAGTGCGTCGAGGTTAAAAACAGAATCATTCCCTCATATATCATCGGCAAGCGAACAAACATCGCTTGTCCTCAATCGGAACTAATGACCTGAAAGTAGGCGAAAACAGATGGTCGGAGGAGGCTCTGGAGAAAGAGAAATGTGCTTTGATTTGTGTGTAATCCGAGTTATTTATCGGATCCGCCTTGCGCGCACAGAGCACTGGTTGTAAACCGGATCAAAAGATGAAAGAGAAGAGGATGTGATGATTGAACAGATGGAAACGAGGAAGAAAGAGAGAAAGAGAGAGGGGAGAAAGAGAGAGAGGAACGATAACAGACGTGGAAAGGGAGAAGTGATGATAAGGGAATCAGCTGAGGGATGGGTTCATGCTACGACTCGTCGGAGCGGGGAAGCAACTGAAACTGCGGGGGTTTACGAGTGTCACACAACACAAATTTCCTTTTCCCTCCCTTGTTGCGGTAACCTCCCAATTCCATATTTTGGTTCTAACTCTGACGTGAGAAATCAGAAATGAAACGATGGATCATATTCAGAGAATCTGAGCTTTCGTACAAATTGTGAAGCAAACGATTTGAGAAGACAATCTGAAGAACATGATCAGAACAGAGGATTATGGACAGATGTTGACGACTCACATTCTCGGATTGAGCGAGTCAAACAGTAATTCGAGCCAAAGAAAAGAGGAAAAATGTTTGGAAGAGTGAATTTGTGCTCAGTATAAACTCACGGGAAATTGGATCCGTCGGTTTGTGGTGGCTGTCCGTTCGGCCAGGAGAATGACTCGTCTTCGGCCGCCATTACGTCACTTCTTCCCCCGTTTTGCGTCACAAAAGCTTCTGCAAAATTGTTCGAATTACGAGTTGTTCGGAAAGGGGGAAACACGTCCAGACGGTGGTAAACAGTTTAAAGAAAGGTGTGGGAATCTGAAAGAGTTTTGAATGGGAAGAAGAAGAGGAATAAGCAAATGTGTATGATGTATGATGGTCGAGAAAAGAGAGGAAACGGAAAGGAGACCTATAACTCCATGGAGATGTTTATGGGAAGAGACACTGAGATCTGAATGAATGAGACTCCGGACTGCGGCATGACTCGTACCTCAATCAGAAAAGTATAAATGCGCCACAGAGTGATCAGACAGAGTGTGATAAAGTACACGGCTAATGAGGATCGCGGTGGGATTCGAGGCCATAGTTAGAGAGCAGCTCGAGATTACTCATTTGAAACTATGAAGTTTAGTTGCTAGTCGACCCGACTTTATACCGACTGAGAAAGATTTATAGATTACTTCACGGCCATTCGAGAATCGGCCAGTTTATGACCGATTAGTACCACATCGTAATTCACTTTAAAAGGTTCCGCAATTGCGAAGCTCAAGGAACCTGTTTCAACTTTTATTACCCCCAAAGTTTACTACTTTTTTTTTTACAACCCTCCTTTACAACCGTTTTCGTTCTCATCGTTTGGCAGGAGATTCCTGATCACTTCGTCCCTTTTACGAGGAATTCGGCGCCTCGGGCGTCACGATACCGATAAAGCCTTCTTCCGTTTCTGCGTATTCAGCCGACACACTTCGCCTCTTTTCTCGTCTTTCGATTCGACGGTCATAAAAACGGACACTCATCAAGTAGCAATTTTTCAGTGTCTCGTCAGCCTCATCCGCTACCAGTGCTATTTACCGGTCCAAAAGTTAATGGAAAAGTCCCGGGGGGCGCTCGCCACTTTCAATTCGATAATCGCCTCATTTATTATAATTGAGAGGCAATGGCTGTTGCGGTTCAATTATTACGTGCGCTCGTTGGAATTTATGATGAGTGGCCGCCGCCGGCGCATGGGCTCAACCTCAAAATTCGACGAATACATGAAGGCGTCTGGCCCCAAATACTCTCGAGTTCCTTCCGGTGATTTGGGGGTGTGAGGCCAGCTGGAAACGGGCTCCGTCGAGCACTTCTGATGAAATTTTTATGCACGTTTAGAGCCGTTGTTTGGACACATTTATTGCGTTCTGTGACGCAACATTTCAATTGGTTTCCATCAAAATGAATTGTTTAAGTGAATAGGAAAACGTTTAGCAAGATCATTTTTGTAAGAGCTCTAAATATATTGAACTCGCTGCATTCATAATAACCCCTCTACTATCTAACTTTTGGCAAGTCACAAACACTTCCAGCCGGCTAGTTCCCCCCACTTTCGCTTCCTTCTCTTCCAGTCGTTTTCATATTCTTCTGCTTGGATCCACACGCTCACTTACATTCATACCCTAAAAAACGGGTCGACCTTCGTGCCTTTCCCCCTTTCTCCGCAAAAAATTGTTGGAGGATAATAAACTTTGTCCGGTCGCTACTGGCGCACACGTCTTGCCTATAATTTGCATGATTGCTATACCATATTTCACCTGGGGGGAAGGCGCTCCCGGCCCGAAATAGCACGCTTCTGGAGGGAACGACTACCTGCCGAGCGGGGCGCCCATATGTCTCCCATTACGAAAAGAGGGACAGTGGAGGGAATGGAGGGGAAGGCATATCAAATTAGGGGTCGAAGGTGCACGGGAATGGCTCCGTCGCCAAATGCCCTTCGCTTTTCGAAATGCACGTCTGAATTTGTCGTTTTGCGGTCGACCCGACCTGTTCTTTCTTTCTTTCTTCCCACAATTAGCTCCACTTTCCAGAGGTACATCGCCCTCCACTTTCCCTCAATCATCATCATTCCCCTGTTATTTTTACGTTCTTTTTTGCTTCAAAACTTTACGCCGCGGCAGCTGTAATTCGTCGTTACTGTAACCCATTGTTCGAGTCTGTGAATGATGGTATTCTGGTAACGTATTCGCTTCTCATCCTCAACGTTTTGGGCAGGCCGAAGAAATATTCGAAACGCTCTATAAAAGAGAAATATGGCGAGCGGAGACTGGAGTGAACGATGGGATTTTAAATCGGAGAGGCGGACATCCCAGCTCTGGTCTGATCTTTTTTTCATTTTTCTGTCCGTGTAGCAAACATCTTCTTTGAAATGGTCAAAAATCCCGACCCGAAGGAAGAGCGGACCGGTCCGAGTGCCAATTACCGTTCGAAACCTGCGCCCCTCTTCGTCAGGCAGCTTCGCGGTTCTCTCATCAATCATAATTTGTTCTGTCCGACATGACTTTCGATTCTCGCCTCTCACTGACTCACACTCATTCGCACACAAAAACTTGACATTCGAGGATCCGTGTATTTCCATAATCGGATAATGGTGACAGTGTGAGTGACCCGGACAACTCGACCATTTAACCCTTCGGATCGGCACCTCCAGCGTCGTTTTACTTGTCCTCCCGTTTTCCTTATTTACTCTTTCCATTTTTTGACATTTCATTCGAATCTCCCGCTCTCCCGCAGTGCGCCGCCGCCAAGTGACAGCTCAAAAGAGGCAGGTGGCCGAAATGCGAAAAGGACTGTGAGTGTGATAACAAATGGACGCCTTTCAAGGACGGTTTCTTCGGGAACTTTGAATATCTCCTTCCTCTTCATTACTCCCTCTCTTGACCCACTGGGCTTCCAATTCTTGCGCCTCATGAAACTGAGAAGACCGTAAACAGACAGTTTGTTGACATGCGAGTGTTACCGATTACACGCTCGGATCGGTTTCTGCGCACAAATTAGCCTATCTCGGTGGTGCAATCAATCCGGCCACCTATCCCGACCGTTCACCTCATCTCGACCTCTAGTACATATCTTCTAGACAAATAACAGTAGCGAGATATGGGGTCGCGTTTGCTTAAGATTGAGTGACTCTCGGACGGAGGACACGGTTATCAGATGAGTTGACACAGAAAAGAGAGATACTGTTGCGAACGGACAGCTACTTTTGACTAATGTCTTCTGACAGACTGAAGGAATACGTGGGTTTGAATATGGTGCATATGCGATCAGGCGCAAAGTGCAATGGCTCCCACTGCTGATCCCAAAGTACAATTGTGAATGCACGGCGTCTAACGGGACGCGTTTGTTACAGCGTGAAAGCAAGCCTACTAGTTAGAATTCAACTGAGTCAGTTCAATCGGACAGCTCACTTCTGGAATGTCACGCCTTCCCACCGACAGTCGTCCCTCCTTCTCCCCCTCCCTCATTACCTTCCTCCGCCCCGATCGCGCATTCCCTCGTCTCGATCTTGCGGGTTGTCGTATTGCGCAACCCGAACCCTATCATAACTCTCTCCTTCGCTCTCACCCAAAAAAGGAGGCGAACGGAACGTGCGGCCATATCATTTACTCTCCGTCCGTTATCACCTTCCATCCACACATCCTCTTCCTTCTTTGTTTTTCTCCTACTCCTCCGCACTCCACGGATTTCGCTTCAGTCTTCTTCCGAGAACTGACCTTCATTTTCTCCCTCCCGATACCACTTATGCGTTTTCAAACTTTCGCACTTTTCCTCTATTCAGCAGAACCGCACCTTCGGAAGGAGGTGAATAGTTATGCGTGTTTCCCACTTGACATCTTCAAGATCATCACAACCAAATGGCATCTTGATTTGATTGTTTTCTGTGCATGAGTTCGTCACTCGCCACTCGCCTCTTCTAATTGATAATTAGGTGTTTGTGTGTGGACACACATCTGGTACAAGCTCATCTGGTGCTCCGTCAACGCGGTCAATCTAATCATTCCCCGGTTGCGTCCGCCCCAACTTGTCATTCCGGCCCCTTCTGTTTTCTGTTTTCGGTGGCCCAAGGTGCGAAAGACAATTAAACGGGGACAATAGATGGACAAGTCTAATTATTGTTATACACCCCCGTGTTCCTCTTGTTTGAGAGTGGCAGTAGCAGTAGTAGCAGCGATTTGGACATAGCTGGAGTGTTCGTGTAATTATAATCATCGTCGTGCCTTCCTTTTCTCACTTCTGGAAGCTGCTTAGTTTCCCCCCTCGTTTCGTACATCCTGTGCTGAAGAAGCCGTCAGTTCTGGCTCATTAGTCGGACGTCTTGTGTCCGAAAGGGTCACGCAATCTCAGTCCATTCATCCCCTCCTTCTCCGCCAACTCGACGGCATTCCTCCCGACAACTGATTCGTTTGCCGCCTCTCTTCATTCGGCCCGTCCGCTTTCCTTCTGAATTATGTACACCCTGATCCACTTATCCGTTTCCCTCGTTTCCATGTTTTGACATTTCGCCCTTCCGTCCCCAAAACTTTCGGAACCCGCGAGCCGTCTTCTCATTCTCCGGACAACCAGTTAATTGGCTCTATCATCTTATGTTTTCCGGACATGAGAAGCAAAGTTTCTCTCGGCGCACATTTGTCAAACCACGCGTGTTTCATCTTGTATTACATGCTCTCATAGATTCCCCACATCCATGTCAATCAATTTTCCTGTCAATTGATTGTCTTTGTGGCAAATTACATAGAACGAGAGCCCAGGAGAGAGATTGATTGCGACGAGCTTCACTTTATGATTATAGGCCCAAGCGAGCAAACTTTGTTGTTCTTTCTTGTCCCCCTATCCTTCCCCCTGTCAAGATCTTTTCCTTTCGCAAAAGGGTACCCGGTATTCTGTTCGGAACAAAGCGCTCGTATTCATTTCGTCACAAGAACCAGAAGCAGCACCTTCTTCTCATCGCCATCAATCTTCTCCTCACTTGGGTTTTCTCGTAGGACTGCCACCCGCAAAACCGTCGGTTTGTTCGCAATGATTCGATTACGGTAATCGGTTAGTATGAGATGTGAACCAAAGCTTTTCCTCGACTGGGTGCCGAAAGAAGAATCATTTTAATTGGATACGGATTTCGATTGACAGCACCCGTCATCCGGCTTCGCTGCCATTGTTTGGCGAACACAGAGCAAGTATCCATTCTTGTTCCCGGGTTGCGCGCGCGCGGGAAAACGCATATTCCCATGGCGTCGGCTTGAATTTCACCGTATCCATGAGAAGCCAAGTGGCTCAGTCATCCTCCTTTTTATTCATCTCATTCGCTTCCTTTGTGCGAACCTACAAGTGTTCTTGTCTTTTCGTGCACCTTCCAGTGTACAAGTACATGCGGCAAATCGAATTCTCCAATCTCTTCCGCTCATCAGAAGAGCCCATTGAAGTGTGCATATGTCTTCGCCGTTTCACACTCTTTCCCGACAACGACGCTTTTCCTTTTTTGTCGGGCTCACACGTACATCTTCTCGCGGCTCCGACCACTTTTCGATTAACCTTTCCGACGGCTACATCCCCTCCAATTCCCTCTAGATCTCTTCCTCGTTTTATTTTCTCAGCCTGACCCCAAAAACAAAAACCTCCCGCGTAGACACTTTTTTTTTGAGGCGGGTAACGCGATTTGCATTCTGTACCACCGGATCTAGCAAGTTTCGTGCTCTTTAGCTTGTTTGGCATGCGCATGCGCATCATGGCCAAACGATCATCCAATTTCATTTGACCACACATACACACACACACGCTGCTCCCCGCAGGCTTCCCCCAAGTTTCCATTACACATTTTTTATACACACAAACTGCGTCGTATGCTCTTCTCCATTCCATCCGGCCCCTCGCTCATTCTTGTCCCAATTAGCTCGTACACTGAAGGAGAGACCGCCTCGAGTCACACAGCCATTCGATTCATTTCGTGTCTTGCTCAAGTGTGTCAATGTGTTGGATGCACCTGTCTAGGATCACAAGAAGCCGCTGGGGACGGTCGGTCGGTTACGCCATATTGAGAATGGGAGAAAATGAGAAAGAACGGGGGTGGCAGATGCAGAAATGTCCCCATAATTGGTCAGATTTTGTTGAGAGACGGCTAATGAAGCTATGAGGATTAGAAGCGGAGAGACTGTGCCGATGAATATCTTTTAATTAAAAAATAGAGCTGCCAGGTAGGATAGGTGGGTGAGGCAGACATTCAAATAATGAGCTTGTTGTCAAGCCTATTATTTGATATTTTTTTCACATTTCTCCATCTTTTTTCTTCTGAGCAATCTCGCGCATCTCCGCAGATTGGTACTGTACATACAAAGAGATCTCGATGTTGTGCGCGTCCTGTTGCCAGCTTCCTTCCGTGAGCACTGGCTGCCTATACAAAGGCAAGCGAGCCGGCAGGTCAAGTACCGTCCGGCTCTTCAAAATGTAATATAATGTTCGTGTGTCGGAGGTCCCCGCCCGTTATGCTCCTTGCCTGCTCTACCCCCATCCGCCACTGATTTTCATTTCCATTTTTATAGGCACTAACCTCGTCGAAAGTGTCTTCATTTCTCCAAAGTCCAAGTCTCTTTCGAGTATTTCAAACAATCACAAACGACCTTCTTTTTCGTCGTCCTCTCCCCGCCACCGAATTTTCGTTCGTCCGCTTCTCTTTTCTTCGTTTTGTCAGTGATAAGCACGCCAATTAGGATGACCCCCGCACGGCCACGGCGACGACGAAAACCAAACTGCGCGGCGCCCACCGCACAACGCATCTTTATGTGATTATTCACACCTTTTCGTCGATGTCTTTCGCTCAATGTGGTCACACTTTTTATTGTGTTCTTTCCCGTCAATATGATCGCTTTTCTCTTTGTGTACCACGTAAATTTATTTCAGAACCGGTCAGCCTGCTCCTGATGGTGTAGTGATGCAAATAGAGACATTCCTCTTGCTCTCCCTGCTTCCTCTACTCGCTCGGGCCCGCAAGATCCCAGATATCAACTGGATATCATCGAATCCGATGTGAGTGGCCGTTCCTTCTCTCTCTCTCTCTCTCTCTCTCTCTCTCTCTGTCTTTCTTTTTCTCGCGGATAACTAATAATATCTTTCTAACAACCCTTTTTGCTCGCCGCCTTTCTCTGCGTTTCTCCCGTTCGGAGACCTCTTTCGCCAAGGTTATGATTAGATCGGAACACGAGTATGTTTCATACTGTTGGATAAATTGACTGTTCCCGTTCCTCCCGAAAACAGATATACTCCATTCTAAGGTGGAACTTGGAGAGATCGAGGGGATCGGAGAGACGCAGAGAGGGTAATTCATCATTACCGCAAACGGGAGAACGGGCCAGAAGACTGATGATGCGGGACTGTTTTTCTTTGTATTGCGTACCATGAGAACCGAGGGATTCTTTCAGATTCGACGTTTCAAACACCGATCATGTGATATCTGTGCACATTGGAGACCGCGTTTCCATCAAATGTCCCAAGTCAGATGCGAACGGGAAGTATGAATACTCGTACATTTACATGGTTTCTGACGAAGAATACGATCACTGTTTCCTTGCAAAACCACGGCTTGTCGGTGCATGCGACAATCAGACTATCAATGTAAGAAATCATTCATCTGAGATCATTCCCCACTTTTCTTTTCCAGGCTTCCATAAATATCGTGTTTCGAACGTTCACCCCTACGCCTGGCGGTTTCGAATTCCAACCTGGGCACAGCTATTTCCTTATCAGTGGGAGACTATAATCTGTGATGTTTTAATAGTTGCGGTTTCAGGCACATCAGACGGCACACTGGAAGGCATTGATAGGAAAAAAGACGGATTGTGCAGCACGAAACAAATGAAGATCAAGTTTGAGGTAGAGCCCGATAGGAGGGGGGTGGAGAGTCCGAAGTTTGCCGCGCGCACCTTCAAAAAGGATCGGGAAGGAGAGCAATCGACTCCAGTTATGTACGTTGTGCACGATGGAAGTGATATTGATGATGGTATGTGCTAAAGGACAATGATACTTTTTGTTGATCCATTACCATTTCAAACAGCATTAAGACACGATTGTTTGCAGACGATGGCGGCTCGAACGCGTGCTCGTATCTCATCTCGATCGTCGTTCTCTTTGCAACCAGATACCTCCTCTAGAAACAATTCTCCTTCCGTTTCCCCCGAATTCTTTCCAAACCGCTCACACTGTCACTCACGGGTTTCTCTTCTCAACTGTTCTTCGTCCACTCCCCCTCTCCTCCTTCTCTGTAATTGTATTTTCCCATCGTCCATCTGTCCAGTGATCCATTCTAGATTCTTCCTTACTTTGCCGCTTTCTGTGATTGATTGAAAACACGCAGACATAAAGAGATGCAAACTTCACAAACTAAACAAGACTTTGAAGAGTTTCAGCGTTGAAATGGTTCGAAAGTGGACGCGGAGGTTATTGGAATGGAACTAATTAGTGTGACTTGGCGTGCGGGGCCAATGGACAGGTTTTATTTATCAGTCGCCCCCACACACTTCTCTCATTTCGTCTCTCTCCAATTCGTCCGTTTATCTCTACGTTTCTCTGTGAATTCCATCCAATCTTTGACCTGAAAATGGATGAAAAATGACTCGACTTTTAGGTTTCTTATTGATTCTTTTAGTGTACGCAAACGGGAATGAACATGGTTAGTGACAATGTGAAAGTCTTGTCTTCCAAGTGAACTTTCAGATAACTCAACATCTTTCATTGGCTCGCCGCCCATAACTTCAAGTATCTTCGACTGGGTTCCCTTCAAACTCTCTCGCTTGCAACAATCTGTAAGAGTCCCCATCTTCTCCCTCCCTTTAAATTTGTTATTTTTCAGGAACCTCTTATCAGTCTTAAAGTGAGAGCAGTGAATCGAGTCGTTTTCACAAAGAAAGACTCTCTCCTGCAAGAGATTGAAGATGTGAGCGAATACAAAAAAAAACAGGAGAAGCAGTTCGAGCAGAGCTCACTCTCATCGGATTCCGAAGACGTCAGTGTCGATGAGCCGGATAAAATATACCAGAAAGGAGAAGAACGGAAAATATTCGTGATGCCGAAACAAGGAGATACTGTGACAAAGATCGGCGGAGACGCGGAGAAATCGGAAGTGTTGGCAGAGGAGAGCGAGACGGAGAATTCGGCAGACGATGACTTTCAAATAATGTATGACGACGAGAAGAAAGAGTATGTACTGAAGAAGCCAGTGAAAATGAATGAGAAGGGAATAATTGACTCGTGGAACGACGGGAATTCCAAAGAAAGCGCCGATGAAACGAAACGTATTCTGGAAGGAGAGGAGGAGGAAACGAGAGCGATTCTGGGTGAGAAAGAGAAGGAGAAGAACATTACAGAAGTACATTTGACAGAAGAAAATGTTGATTTACAAGGTTTGACCCGAAAGTGTCTCGTGTCCAACTCAAACTTTCTTTGTTTTCAGATCTCCAGTTCAAATCGCACTCTTTCCGACAGGGAAAAAGTAAAATCCGTACGTATGACTTGGCATGGATGGACCCGATGTTCTTGGAAAAAGAGGAATTCTCAGTACGACTCACTCCTAAACAAAGATCAGAATGGCGAGATAAATTGACGAACAAAAGCCTTTTGGAAGAGCGAAGTGCGAACGAGCACAGGGATTACGGTAGCAGTTACATTCTGCCGGTGCTCAAAAGTGTGGACTACGACAATACGAGTGTTCCGCTTGCTTTCAATGGTCTGAAAAAGTTGCGATTTGTTCTGAGCAAAACCAAAAGTGTTTAGATATTCCTGTGAACGTGGCTGCTGCTTTCAACTTTCTGTACTTGGCAAACTTCGACAGTGAAATGATGGAATTCTCGATGGACGTTGAGATGGAATTCTCGTGGATTGATATCAGGTCTCAATTGAAAGTATAATTTTGTCGAATCCGGATTTCAGACTGGTTAATAACTACACGAAACCAATCAGAATCCGCGAAAAAGGTATAATCGAACAAATTTGGCGCCCCGATCCGTACATTGTCAACTCGAAACATTCATACTTCCATTACGTTTCGTTTCCAAATATTCGAATGAGAATCACGCCCGAAGGTCTAGTGACGTACACAGTTCGGTCAGTTAATAATACTATAGATTCTGCGTCCACACTGTATTTCAGTGTCTCGTCGGTCTGCTCATGTTTTATGTCATTCTGTTTGTACCCGCACGATAGACAGGAATGTGATGTGAGAATCAGTTCAAGTGAGTATAGATTTGGAGTTATCACGGGAATTGGAGTTTCAGTCGCCTACTCGAATCAGTACGTAAAGTTCCATTGGCATTCCAATCCGATCCGTTTCCAATCGAAAATAACACTGCCAGAGCTGCACATAACGAAAATAAAGACGGGGGAATGTTACAGCGGAGGGAAACTAGGTGAGATTCCATTCCAACCGAGCATTCTCAATAAAATGAAATTTCAGTAGAGGCCTCTTGCCTCCGAATAGTGTTATCACTTGAAAGGGACAGTGCTCGATTCGTCATCGAGAAGTATGTGCCTTCGACGCTGGCAATGATGTTTGCGTGGGTGGCACCGTACGTTCCGTACAATTATGAAGACGTCAGAATCATCACTCCGATTACGGTAGCTCAATCGTTTGCGCATCGAAAGTTCTCCATGTTCTAGGTCCTTCTAACTCTCGTTCAAATGGAGAAGGGAGACAAAGAGATCCGGACGTCCTACCTCACCTCGATCGACGTCTGGTTCGCCGCAATGAAGTCATTCACGGTGCTCTCGTTGCTCGAATCGCTGGCGGTGTTGGCACTGATCAAGAGGAGTCGGGCGATGACAAAGAATGCGGAGAGGGCGGCGAATGAGTTCGAGAGGTGCACATTTGAGGCGGAGGCGTATCGACTGAATCGACTGTATCACCGAGTGGACTCCATTTGCCGATTCTCTTCTCCCGTCGTTTTTATTGCCTTTTTTGTTTATTACGTACTTTTTATTGCGCAGGGAAACGAGAATTGTGTAGAGATATGAATGTTAACAACTTGAATGCAGTAGGAAGTGCCGGGGGCAGGCAGGCCTAACCAGCCCCGGCCTCCTGTCCGAAGGTCTATGGACCTTAGCCAAGAAGACACGGATCGAGTGGAACAGGTTTATTCAGGATCGGACAATCAGGGAACCGCCAAGTCGGCGGGGCATGGGGGATTATACAGTGGCGGCTGGAATGTGGAGCTGTCCGGAAGTGACGCGGTGAGATCGGAGATCGAGCAGAGGCGGCTGGAATGTCGGCGCGGGGATCACGTGAAGCGGCGGGATCGTGGGCGAGCCGGATGTCGGAGGTGCTCTGGAATGTGGTCGGTTTGCAGTGGGTGAGACTAGTGGATGGTGTGAGCTTCCGGGGAAGGATCGGTGGGTTAGGAGGGGGAGGGACGAGCCCTCACGTTTGAAAAGTGGGCCCTGGCGTATGGTCCGGTTGCCTGTGGTTACGGGACACCTTGGTCCCTTACAATGCATAGGAGCAGTTGGCCACAGTATGCGTGGCAATATTGAGCCGAGAGAAAAAGATCGGTCAGTTTACACATGGACAGTGTGCAGCGGAGAGCAATCCGTCTTCAGAGGCGTTCAATGGTTATCTTTGAATAGAATGATAGAATAGACTACTCTGAATAGTGTAAAACTGATTGTGCAAAGTGCGTTTCAATCTACTTTCAGATACTAAAAGAACGAAAACAGGCTGTTGTTGCTCCCCTGAATGCAATACGTCGAAAGAACGACGGAAAAACCGTCATCTCTGATCCTTTTTTGTTTGTCCAAAGTTTCAATTGGGTGCCAATCTGAACGACCGACAGTCTCCTCTTAGTTGCCGCTCATTCTCTATTTCACTTTCATCGAAATATCAGGAAGGTGTGTTACCTGAATGTTTGCTTACATTATGCCTATTTCGACTCTGAAAAGGATTGTATCATCCTGTTTTGAAGCAGCTTCTCCTTCTTCCCTCTCTCAAACGGACCTTTTTGAAGCCTTTGAAACAATGCACCTTTCCTGTTAATAATTCATTCAAAATCTGGGCTGTTGTCAGAAAATTTACTGACAATAGTATTCATTTTTGATTTTCACGATTCAAACATCTTCCAGTATTACTTGTTGCAGACTAAAGCTGCAGTTTGGATTTGAAACAAAAAAAGCTTTTATGCAAGAATCTATTATTAGCATTGTTTTTCTTTAAGATTACGTGGCTTCTCAAATGAAAAGGGATGATCTGCAAGGTCTTCGAGGGCTCGCCATCATCGCCGTTCTGGCCTTTCACTTCTTTCCAAAAGAGTTTCCGAATGGATACATTGGAGTTGACATGTCTGTTCGCTCCTTTTTTCTGCAAATCAATAGTAGTTGCAGGTTTTTCGTACTTTCCGGTTTCCTGATGACCATGATTTTTGGCTCCAAACCAATCACGTCTGATTCCATTTCCCAATTTTACTACAGAAGAGCCAAGCGGATTTTGCCTCTCTATCTATTGATCGTGTTGATTGGGAAGTGATCCTCTATGATTGGTTCCAAAGAATCTCTTTCAGGATGCGTTGCTGTTTACCTGCTCTTTCCGAGCACATTCGTACCGATGAACATGGATTCGGCGTGGAACTCGATCTTTTTGTACCACAACATGGCAGAACACTCTGACAACAACATGTACTTCAAAATGGTGGGCATATATTGTGAATGACTTGAGTTCTTCGTTTTCAGCTTAATCAAGCCGAGGACATCTTCACTCACACGTGGTCCCTCTGCGTCGAAATGCAGTTCTACATCCTTGCGCCCCTCATTTTCTTCCTCCTTTCCTTTTGTTCGACCGGCCTTCTGCTCACATTCTTCCACGTGGTGATCATTTTCACTTCGCTCGGAAACCATCTTCTCTCGACTCAGCAAGTCGCTTTTAACAGGTGAGAATACTCCTCAACGGGCTCAACAACCTCATTCCTTTTCAGTGTCTTCTGCCGTGTTTGGCAGTTTCTCATCGGATCCGCCGTATTTTTCCTTTCAAATGAACTGCTTGAGTTGGATACTCGAGTGCGACAGAAATCAGAATTACTTCTTGAAGAGAAATCGGACGAACTGTCAGACGATGAAGAAGAGGAAGAAGAGGGAATGTTCTCGAAGCCACGTCAGAATCTGAGTCGTCCTCCGTTCTACATTCTTCTCTGCTCTTCGCTTTCTGTGTTGATTCTGATGTCATTCAGTCCTTGGATCATTCCGGCTTCCATTCTCAGAATGGTAGCTTTATATTTGATACTTTCCAAGAATGAAAATCCTCTCAGACGTGCACTTTTCTTGCCGGATTCGTCATTTTAACTGGAACTTTATGCAAGGTTAATCCATTGGGAAACAGGCAAGTAAATCAAACTAAAAAGAGTGAATGATCAAACTGTTTTCGTAATTTCAGATTAATCGTTTATATCGGAGACATATCGTACAGTCTGTACCTCGCTCACTGGCCACTCTATGTATACGTCAAACATTATTATGAAAATCAAGTGGCAGGTTGTTCTCCGATCCGCAACCAAAAAGACAATCCGATTTGCAGTCTATCTGTTCGCCATCGCAGTTTCCATCACAATTGCGGTGATTCTCTCGGAAACTTTCGAAAAATGGTATCTGAAACTGGGAAAGCAAGGTACCACGGTTATGATTGGAGCCTTCTATCTGCTGATTGTTTCGCTTGTTCTCAACAAGAACGAAGTCACGAGCATGATCGAAAAAGTGAAATACGGACATGAAGAGGGTCTCGTGTCGCAGGTGCACAACTCGTTTGAGAATGTCACTTTGGGTAAGCTTATTGGGAAAATAAGAAACATTTGAATTAATTTATTTATTTTTCAGAACAAGCAATAATACTGAACAAGAAATGGGCGAGAGAGGAGTACAAGAACCTGGTGATTCCGAATTGCTACCCGAATATCTCGGAGCACGGACTGTGCGAGTTCGATAAATCTGAGCTGGCGGGGAAGATGAACGTGTTCCTCGTGGGCAACAGTCTCACTCCCAATCTCGGCCCGTTCGTCTTCAGAACATTCAAGAAGCATGCGAAGAGCATGTACAAGTACAGTCACTCCTGTAAGTTGGACGCGCGATTCTCATTAGATCCATTCTTCTGCTTAGATTGTGAAGTTCTGGCCGTTGCCAATGAGAACAAGTGTAGAAAAGCCCACGATAAATACGAAGAAGAAGTTTTCAAGAAGGGTCCCGATGTTCTGTTCATCCTTGATAGGTTTGTAGTAGGTAAGGAAACGAATGGAAATGGGAAGGAACGTTTTCAGACCAGACAAACTGACGAGGAAGTTGAGCGGACCAGTTGAGAAAGATAAAATATTCAAAGAAGCGCTGGCAGTCCTTCGAATGTACGAGGACAATGTAAAGAAGAAGATTTATATATTGGAATCGTACACTCCTCCGAAGAATCTTCCTCTCTCCAAATTCGGGCAGATGTTGGAAAACGGAAAGAATGTGACACAGGTTCGAAAAGAAAGTTATGTCCGACAAAAACGCCAGCCTTTCAGAGTCTATTCCACGTGGACTTTTCCTACCTGAATGCGCTTCGTCGACAAGAAGAACTCGTCAAAAAGTGAGTGTTGCCGAGTAAAGTTCATGAAAGTTTTCGAGGTTTCCAGATGCTCAAAGTGTGAGCTGATTCGAATTTCAGACGTTCTGTTCGACGGAAATCAGACAAAAAGCTATGATGAGAAAACAAAACTGGGATATTATTACGACGGATTGCACATAACTCCATTTGCACAGAATCTCATTCTCCCTCTCTTCCAAAACATTTCAGACTCTTTCCACTGATTTCAATTGTCTTACACTTTCTGCCGGGTTGTGTCACTCTGTTGTTTCTGCATTTTCACTTTGGTTTTCTTATTCGGGTATAATAAACTGTTCACTTTATTTCATATGTACATTGGAGTCATAACAGGAGTGGCCACCATCGGAGCAGCTACCATCGGGGCAGCAACCATCGGAGCCATCGGAACCATCGGAGCCATCGGAACCATTGGAGCCATTGGAACCATCGGAGCCATCGGAGCCATCGGAGCAACGACAGGAGCAGCCACAACTGGAGCAGCAGCGACTACAGGCGCTGCAGCAACGACGGGAGGAGCGGCAGCTACGACCGGAGCCACTGGAGCAGCGGCAACCGCTGGAGCAGCAGCAACGACGGGAGGAGCGGCAGCTACGACCGGAGCCACTGGAGCAGCAGCCACGGCAGGAGCAGCAGCCACAGCAGGAGCAGCAGCCACGGCAGGAGCAGCAGCCACGGCAGGAGCAGCAGCCACGGGAGGAGCAGCAGCAGGAGCTCCCTGTACGACCTTTGCTCCAGCGACATCCGGCTTCGACCCGGGAGCCGTCACAACTGGACCGCCCGGTTTTTTGGCACCTGCCTGCAAACTAGAGATTGAATGAACAACTGATCCACAAACCGCCGATTGCTTTTTCTTGTTCCCACAGCACATATCGAACCCCATCTTGCAGTTATAACAGAATTGTGTTCATAGAAATGAAAAGGACCAGTGCTGATAATGCGGGAAAAAGGGAACACGTTCACACGGGCTCGTGCTCGTTACTGAAGAGACAGGTCGAGCGGAAGTGAGGTTAAAGCGGCTCAGAATACCTCTTAAAATCTGTTCAGAATATACTCTGATTGAGTTTTTTGTTTTCTGTCATTTATGCAAAAAAAATTGTGTACGTTTCAGACGGCTGCGCCCAAGACAAGTGGCGCGCGCGGCACGAAACTTGGGGCGACAGGGGAGCGCCAAGCGTCAAGCTTAGACGGCATTTTTAGAATATTGGCATCGACTCATGACGGTCACGGATACAAGGCATTTTTTGAAAATTAGCATGTTTCAGTTTATTAAATCAGTTTATTTCATACAATTCAATAGTATCTGGGTCCGTACGGAGAAGCGTATGGGGATGCGTACGGAGCCGCGACCATCGGAGCAGCGACTACCGGAGCGGCCACCACTGGAGCCGCCACGACGGGAGCGGCGAGCACTGGAGAGGCGACGATCGGAGCCGCTACCATCGGAGCCGCTACCATCGGAGCAGCGACCATCGGAGCAGCGACGACGGCGGGAGCATACGGGGATACCATCGGAGCAGCGGCAACCATCGGAGTGGCGACGGGAACGACTGCCGGAGCCATCACTTGCTCAAATATATCTGTTTGGCCTGAAGAGAAGGACGGGAGCTTACCGGAGGTCTGTAGTACATGGTCAGTGGGATTAGTTGGAGGATCGAGAAAGAAGTTGGTGAGAGGGAATAGCTGAGATTCGCGTGGGAGGACAGGAAGGGAAAAGTGATAAGATAAGAGAGGTCACGATGAGTTCACGAACAGATTGCGAGTTTGCTCTCGTCGTAGTATTAACAAAACTAGTTTTGAGGACTTTATATGTTCATTACCAAACAAACAAATTCAGAAGATCACCAGTAAAAACCAAAATCATATCCGTCGTAACCGTATCCGTCGTAACCATAACCTCCGTAGTATCCGCAGTAGTAGGGATCGAAGACGCACGAGTCGTAATAATACGGAAACGGACTCATGATGACGGGCGGAGGACCGACCACGACCGGAGGTGGAGCCACGACCGGAGCAGGAGGGTAGTATTGGGATTGGTATGCAGGACGACGTGGCGGGGGAGCAGAAGACGGAGCACGACGTGGCGGAGCAGCAGCAGGTGGCTGAGCAGGACGGGAACGATCGATTGTCGCTCTGGGCGGAGACTGGAAAGATAATTCATTTTAGGGTGGGACGGAAAAGACGGAAACCTTCTGAGACTGCTCTTGGAAAGTGACCTTCTGATCTTTAGATTTTTTCGGTGCCGGAAGGTCTTCATCACGTGCCGCACGTTCTTCAACTCTCTTCGGAGAGTCATCTTGCTGTACGTCATTCGAATCTTTGCTCTGCTTCTTTTCTCTGACGGGCGGCGGAGCTTCAGGAGCTTCAGCAATTTCTTCGATCCTCTTTGGCTGTCTCTTGTTTCCCGCCACCGATTGCTCGTACGACGGAGGCGGTCCAGACGGATAGTTGCGTGGCTGAAAATGTGCCGTCTAGAGGAACGAAAGCGGGCTCACATACTGTAGGTTGTCTGCGTTTTGACGATGAAGGAGTATTTCTTCTGGAAGCTTTCGACTGGCAACATCCCATTTTGAAACGACACTAAAGTAGTTTTCAGAGCAAGAAAACGAAATGAATGTTTATCGTTTTCAACTTTGCGTGTCCTTTTCGGAAGGTCTGTAAGATTCTGTAAAGTCACCAAGAACAAAATAAACATGATTTCGAACAAATTCATTGCTCTTCTGTTATTTTGGCTCTACATTGACTAGCTACTTCCGCCTAAACTTTCGCATTGCACAGATTTGTCCGATTGGAACGCAGGACTGTAGATGTCTTTTGGGAACGACGTCACGTTTCGGACGTCCTCTACAGTCGGAGTGATGTACATTTGCACCGGCATCTGAGCGTTTATGAAGTGGTACGAAATCATCGAGAACGCGCAAGTGTACTCGAACATTCCGTCCACCAGTGGAACTGTAATATGTTTTTCTTTGCCACCTTTCACACTCTTTTGTGTTTACCGTATGCGTGGCACGTTTTGCGGTTGAAAAATTGAAGCCAATTCAAAACGACTTGCGGGAAGCACGCAGAGAAAGCGATGAAACACGTCGTTTTTATGTAGAATCTCGGTTTTTGAATCTGAGAATTCGGCTATTCCTTTGTGAGACACAATAATTTTTGAAACTGACAAACACAAATCTTCCATCAAAAGCGTCGTGCGTCAGGTCGATGAACATCTCGAGAAAAGTGAATATTCCAACAAAGAGATATGCATAAGGATGGAAAAAAGAAACTGAAAAAAGAAGAGAATCGAAATCGAAAAGAAGATGACTCACTGCCGTCGATGTCGAATTCGGAGTGAAGAGCTGTTATCCAGAAGAGCGAGAGAGACTGGAGAAACGAGAAAAACGGAGAGCCGGAGAGCACGAATTGCACGAAACGAGGAAGTGGAATTCTCGTGCTGGTGAGCACATCTGCTGTACGAATTAGTGCCAAAGTCTGAGCATATTCTCCTTGTTCTTCTCACTTTTTGAATCAAATTTACCATTCGGAAACTCATGCACTCCATCACCAGAAACCGTAGCCCCGAAGAGAAATAGGGATCTAGCTCAATAGTCCTTGTGATTGATTTGACCTGAAACTGACAGAATTAACGGATAACCCGTTCGGAGAGCTACCAGTATTCCTTCCGGCATCGTCACTTCCGCTCGTTTCGCAACCCAGTCACAGCTCACATCGCCCTCAGTCTGAAGTTTGACACTTTCAAACTGCATTTCATAACTTGGCTGCACACTTTACAGTAGGACAATTCTGTCGTTCCGTACTCAATTCTCGAATAATTATTCTTCCGATACATGTTGTTCTTCTCTCGAAACTTTACAATCCTACAAAACTCTAGAGCTTTCAGAGTTGAAACTGAAGCTCACTCACTTTCTCATTTCACTTTTGTACTGCTCCTTGTTGATAAACGTTCGCATTACAGGTTCCCAAGTTGTATTCAAATCACAATTGTCCTGAAATTATCGCAAATCATTGAAATTAGATGAATTGAGACGAACCCACGGAATGATTGGTTCCGAGTACGAACTGAATTGTGTCATGAGAACAATGATAATGATGAATACACTCCAGAATCCAAAGAAAATGAAACTGTGTTCCGGCAGTTTGAAATGATAATGGCACAGTTCGATTTCTTCTTCGATGTCTAACTTGGTCATTCTAAAATGGTAACGAGTACGATAGTTTGCATAAGTCTTTTAGAGTGATCAAGGTAACAAATGGATCAGTTGCAGAGGAACTAGTTACGGCTACAGATAACTGCGGAGTGAGTTGATAACGTGATAAAGATAAAGCAGAACAGCGGCAGAGTGACGCGGATGCGATAAATGAGACATAAAAGCGACTAATGTTCGGAAAGGGGCAACCAGTTAGATATCTGACCACTCCAATCTTTCTGTACAATGGAATTGACGCCCTCTTTTGTTTCTTGCTATTCCTGGCGGTTAGCAGCAAATGTTTCCAGCCTGACACGTGTATCCGGTGGCGCAGAGACCGTTGAAGCAAGAGCCGAACGGAGCACGTCCAGAAGCACACGTGGCACAGCAGTAGCCGTTGGAAGCGCAAGAATATCCAGTGGGACAGCCCTAAAAGTGGTAATGGTCTATTTAAAATGGAATTATGAACGAACATTCGAGCACAGTCCAGCAGTCCGTCCGTACTGGCATTCACAGCAGTAATTGGAAGACGTGCACGTGAACTGTCCGCAGACTTGGCCAGTCGAACAGGCTGAAATGGCAGGGAGACCTCCGCAGGATCCCGAGTACTCGTTGCCGGTTGTCGTGCAGCAGATCGCATTTATACAGGTCTGACCTGCGGCACAGTCAACCGAAGTTGTGCAACGCACTTGAGTTCTCTGTCCGTTGTAGCAATAAGCTGTGAGAAAAAGTGGATTAATGAAGATGTCGGCATATTCGTACCGAGATTCGATACAGATCGAGTAGTAGTGGAAGTGGCGAGGAATGGGGGTCTAGTGGTGAAAACGGGCACTGTGCAGCAGCAGTTATTCAGACAGACGGTCGATTGACTCGAGTACGGAGTGCACTGAAAGATGGACGTAGAAATTAATGTTCATTCTGTCGATAATACTTGGTAGTTGAAATAGCATCCCACTCCAATTTTCTGTCCTCCATTAGCACAAGCATTCGGGTTTCTGGTGGTGACTTGACTCCAAAATGTGCATGCTGAAAAGAGAGATTAAGAGAAGAGTTGATTTGAACGCCTACGGTAAAGGGAAAGGTATTGATTTGTTGGCGGACCGCACACGTAGTATTGTCGTTTCTGGCGAACAGCCACTTCAGAAGAAGACGACGAAGAAGCGAGTATTGCGACAAGGAAAGGAAGGAACATTCCAGCGACGTGTGGCATTGTGACTGCTCGCGACGAAATCCGAAAAAGTGTGCGGAAAAAAGTTGAATGTATGTGACTGTTTGCACAGCCGTTTCAAAAGCATGAACACGTTGCCTTTGTTCGCGTGCCCTCGCAAATGACGTTATCACGGGAAATGTGGAAGAGGGAGGAGGGAGCGAGTCCATTTCGAAAGTAGACGGGAACTTCTTTTCGATATGGTTTCGAGCGCTGCATCCCGAGGTGATTCGCAGGAGAGAAAATCGTTTCTTGATAAGCCTAGTGAGTGACTCGGTGATGGCGGAGAGAAGTGCAAATCCGGTGGATTCAGGCTCCTCGAAAAAGACGAAGAGTGCTGCTGATGCATCGGAAAAGAGTAGCAAATCGGAAAAGTCGGGGAAGAGTGCGGGTGAGAAATCGGCGAAGAGCGCGGTAAGCACGACGAAGTCGGCGAAAAGTGTGAAAAGCACGGACAACTCTGCCAAATCGGTCAAATCGGTCAAATCGGTCAAATCAGAAACACGAACAAGAACTGAGAAGACGTTGAAGAGTCAGAGAACGATGACTTCGAGCCAAAGTGTCGGAAGACGTGGTCCAAAGATGAGTGACGGCACCGAGTTCGACACGGGGCCTTACGGTTACAGTACGTGCATTCCTCCGTCCCTCTTCCTGCCTCCAATTCCCTTTTTCAGTTTTTTCCTTCATCTACCTTTTCGTCCTCTGGGGTCTCGCGATTATCGCCGCCATTGGCCTCGTTTACTTCAACTACGCTCGTCTGGATCCACAGTATCCTTCCTACTTTGGCGACGGATCTTTTCTCGGAAAAGTTCCGAGTGAGCCGCCCCTTTCCGGTTGACCTTTTTTCAATTTCTCGCTTCAGAGGCCACATTTGACCCGAACCCACGCAGATTCCAAGAGGAAGGACCCAAAAATTTGATGGAATGGAATATTTATGACTTCAGGACATATGTCAACCTTTTGATCCGCTACAAGCACGTGCTGAAAAGTGGGTTACGAAAGTGTTTTGCATTATTGAACCGGGCGAGCGTATTCAGACTATTCGGCGAAGAAGGGCAACAAAAATGTGGAAAAGAAGCGAATGTGCAAAGAAAAGAATCTGACCAGAACGGAGGCGTGCGCGTTCGACAGATTCGAAGGCTTCGGAGATTGTATCCTTTCCGAGTGAGACTTTACTAAAAGACAGGGAATTAATCTAGAGTTGCAGAGAAAATTTGGAGCATGGGTTCGGATTTAGCAAGGGACAGCCGTGCATTATGTTGAAGCTGAACAAGATCGTCGGATGGTACCCAGACTTGAAGAACAAAACGAATTGCAACTCGACAAATCTCTGTTGCGGACCTGGAATTCAGTTTAAATGCGAATCCAATGTGATCCTTCTTCTTACTTTTTCAACCTACTCTTGCCATAACATTCCAGGACGACGTGCAGTTCGAGTACTTGCCGAAGGACGGAATTCCCTCCTGCTACTTCCCCTTCTCCAATCAAAAGGGCTACGAACAGCCGTATCAGATGGTGAAAGTTGCCAACCTGACGTTCAACAAAGAGGTTATCTTTTGATTCGCAATACATGCTTAATGGTTTCCTTTCAGACGACCATCGAGTGCTACCCAACCGACCGTTCACTTCGCGATATCACCGATGGGAAGCGAAACGAGGCGAGGTTCCACATTCTGATGAAGCACGAATCGCCCGGAAACATCGACGAGTAGAGAGAAAGAGAGTGGAACAGAAAGTGATCTCACAAATAAATAGTTTATTTCAAGTTTCGCAACCAAATAAATCATGCTCTCAGAGCAAGTTACGACAGAGTTCGAAGCTGCGGAGGGCGAGCATGCAGTCGACTCTTGAGGCACGGCTGTGCACGACGGGCGGTCTGGAACAGGATTCACAAGATGGGGAAGAAGAGGGCGGGAAGGACTGACCGTCGGTCGAGCATCCGGAACACACTTCTCTGGAACTCGGGAATCACTTCGTCGACTCGCTTGTCAACGGACTCTGAAGAAGGGCCTTTTCGGTTGAATTCCAGTTGATTGGCTCACCGTATGACGCTGACACGCACAAAAAGATGGCGAGCAAAAGAAGGGGGATCATGGCAAATGAAGCCATTGTGAGAATGTGTGTGTGCTGCTTATTTTTTGTTACCTGGAAGTATATAATTGTGTTTGGCTTTGTGACTGGGATGATGTCAATGGAAGAATACGAGTGAGAGAGCAGAAAGAGGCGGAGCCAAAAGTGGGAAAATCGGAGAGGGAGATGTCGATCAAGATTTGCACGTCTCTGAAATCATTTATGAGAATCAAAAGCCAGAAATCGGAACTTTGAAATTGAATTCGGAGAGCTGAGACATAACACGACGAAAGCGAATAAAAAGATTGTTGCTGAATAAAGGTCTGAAAAGACAGAAAACGAAACGATGTTTGCGTTTAGTTTCTTTTTGAAGGGACCGAGAAAACGGGTCGAGAGTCCTGTTTACTTGAACTTGTCCCGTTGTCTCGGCACCAGGAATACGAAATTAGATGACAAAGAAGCGGGACGGAGCCAAATGAGATGGGTATATGCATCCGGAACCACGGGCCGGTGACACGTCATACAAACAAAAACTCGAACGCCCGGGCTGGGAATTTCAGAATTTCAGAATGTCGAGAGTAATGGCAGCCGTTCACGCAAACTTCCGGCTTCTAGAGAGAACCAGACTTGATGCTGATCAAAGAGGAAGAGGAAGAAGAAGAATAAGGAGTGCGCCCGGTTCCTTGAGCCAAACTTGTCATTTCCAGACTCTTGTTCGTCGGGGGAGATGCGTGGGTTTACGAGAATTCACTGAGAATGGGAGGCTTAAAGGCGGACTCAATTTTGAAATGAAAAACAGTTGAATGCTTTGAAATATGTTGACGATCAAAATCCCCTCTTGCGAAAATTCTAATTTTTTTCTATTTCATTCAAGTTGGTAGTTCGAAATGTAGTTCTCGATGAGTTCTAAACAGATGGGTGTACGATTTAGATTATCAGTTTCTAGTTAGGAACCGTGGAGTATGGCTTGACGGCTTCTTACACTTTACGTGAATTGCAAATGAAACTATTTCTCATCGAGGTCTACAATTTGCGCTGCCAACTTGAATGAAAATGTTGACGCAGCGGCCGAAGGAAGTTATTCTACGGCCCGGTGACAACTATAAGGAAGACGAATTACAACAAAAAGAAGATTATTCCTCATCGGATTCGACCTCCTTCTTTTCTTTCTTCTGCGGCTCCTCTTCTTCCGCCTCTTCTATCTTCATATTCTTAACAGCATTTGTGTTATCTTGCTCCTCGAATTGTTTTTTTCTTGCTACCGGCCGGAGCATCAGCGGCAGCGTCGTTCGTATGTCTCGCTCTTCAATTCGTCCTTGTCGTTTCTCTGCTTCTCGGATGGCGTTCCGACTCAGTTTGGAGGACGTTCTCAAGGAAAGCAAGGCACTTCATTCCGAATGCATTGTCAATGGTTTCGGCGGACAGAGCGTTGACGCCGTCAATGCGGGCAACCACCGAGCATTTGGTAGCAAGCATGCGAGCCATCTGAATAGTTCATTTTGTGAAAATTGAAATTACTAAACGTTATCTTTACCTTTCCCTTGATCTTTGGCGGGGCTTCTGTGATAAGCTGAGCACGATAAATCAATCCATACTTCGGTGTATTCCGCTTGGTCATGAGAGCACGGAAAAGTGCCTTTTCGGCTGCAAGGATCTGAAGCGTCGAAGCTGGAGCCTTGGCCAGCGCGACGAGGCGAGGGATCCAGCGTGAGAGATCAAATGAGCGCCGACGAGCTCTCCGAGGAGAACTGTGAGATTCGAAGCGAGGGCAGTAATACGGATTTTGAGGTAGTCGAAAAGTGGAGCGCTAAAAATGAATTATATTCACCACATTAATCACTTTCGAAACATACCGATATTGTGAGAGTTTGATAATCTACTCACAGAAACCCTTGATGTACATGAGATCGATTTCCGAGACATCAGTTCCCATTGAGATCTCAGCATCCTCCTTGACCTTCTCTTCCAGATCTTCCGGAAGAATAGTAGACAAGTCGGCGTTGATTGCGTTTTGACGTATTCCAATCGTCTTCACAATCTAAAACAAATTTTGTTTCGATTGTATTATCTCAGCACCAGCGTTACCTTGGCATACGCTCCATGATCCTGGACAATCTTTCCGAGTTCTGGGAAATGCCATCCGTACCACTTTCGGATGCACATGACGTAGTTGTTGAGCTCCTTGTCGAGGGCATCAAGAAGAGAAACGGCCTGCGAAATAATAAACGTTCATAAAACCAATACTTTTGGATTGCCGCGTTTTGTGGGGACTAGACACCTCCGCAACACATTCTTGAACAACCATATCAACAATCTTTTCCGGGTTTTACTTGACGTTGCGAGCGAGTGAGCAACAGCCAACTTCATGACATTTGTTTCCTCATCAACTCATCAATATGCGCACGAACTCCGCTCATCAACTCGTTGATAGAGATATCATGGACGCAGTTGAGGGGAAGTTTCCCCTGAACGTAATTTTGTGAACAAAAGTAAATTATTATTACAGGCACAAACCTCGATCAAGTTTCCGAGCTTGGCGTCTCCGACGGCCAGTTTTCCGGTCTCATCAACGCTAGACTTGATGAGCTTCTTCAGACTGAGTTTTCCTTCCGTGATTTGGGGAGCGGCTTCGACAGCTCCGGCAGTGGTTTTGAACTGTTTGAAAGACACCAGCTGCAGACTGAAACAGAAATAAGATATAGGTGAAGAGAAATTATCATCATCATTCTTATTAATAAAAGTTGATGTCTTGTACAACTTGCTTTCAACTTGCTTTCCAACTTGCTCTTCTTGAGCCTTCTCGGCGGTGTTGAATTGCAAAACGGCGAAATGCTCGTCGATACGCTGAAAATTTGCGCTTTGTATTGCGAAGACAGCAGATAATGTTTGAATTCCTGTTTGAATTCGTTTTTACGAATTCAAACAGGAACAGAGACTATAGTCAATAAAAGAAGAAAGAACGACTTGAAAACGAGTGAAAAACGCAAAAAAATTGATAGCAACTGTGTTGCTGGCAAACATGGCGGAAAAAAACTCGGATGGATTAGGTTTCCACTTAGGCCGCGGCCATTTCTGTCAAAATCCATTTCGAGGCGCTTGCTTCTCATCCAACAGCAAAAATTAGAATTTTCACAAGAGGGAATTTTGATCATCAACAATGTTGACTCAACATATTTCAAAGAATTCAACGATTTTTCCTTTCAAAATTCAGTCCGGCTTTAAGCACTTCCAAATCCGCCCTAAGACAATGCTACTCACTTGAAGGCTCATCGACTATTCTCGGACACGATGACGTCATTCTTCGTGGTACTCGTTCCGTTCTAACCAGATTTTCTCAAATCTCTCAAATGTTTCGTCATCATCGTCAGCGAATCAAAGAATTGGCACACAGTAAGCACATAAGTGTGTACTTCAAGCTTATCCTCCGCCGTCACTTCACGGCACTAACCGGACCGGCCGCCCGACGTTCTTCTCCCGCAACACCACCATTACAAAAGTCGTAATCCGTTGCCGTAACTGGCCGGTACTACCTAGATCCACATAATCCGCCTTCAGAAAAAAAACGACGACGAGTCGCTGAATCGGTGAAGCTTGCGGAGACATCCATTCTCTTTGGAACCATGTTCATCGCTGTTCCGATCATTCTACTCGCCCACACGGTTTTCGTAAGTCCCTTTTCCAATTTGAATTCAGATGGTTTTGTTCTGTTTTAGGCAAAGAGTGAAGCTGGGAAGGTGGACAAGGAAAAGCCTGAGATTTCTGAGCAAATTGATCCGTCGATCTACATTCGACAGGGATTCATGAATGGAATGGGAGGGTTCGGGCAGAGCATGGGAATGGGTCAGAATGCGATGAATGCCGGTAAGTGTGAGAAGATGAAATCAGAACTCGTGGGATCGGACATCTACATCAGAAAACATAGGCTACACTCCTAGAAGTGATATCATGAGTCTCAGAGTTGTGTGGAAATGAATAATCTGATAATGAAGGGGTATTCAGAAGAGCTTAGGCTAGAAGATTAATGATGCAACCGGATACTTTCAGTGAATTTTGCCTTCACATGCAAGTGCACATCGAAGAGCACCAATCCGTTGGCGGCGGCTCCGATTGATGCGAACGCGCTGGCTCAGCAGCAAATTGTCCAGTTGCAGGTGAGGAATAAATGTTGGAGTCATCGAGATGGACATTTGTTTGGGTCTATAGATATTCTTTCGGAACGCTGGAGTTTCTACCTAATCCGCGGCAAAAATAGACTGACATCAGATGAAAAAGGAGAAGGAAAAGTTTACGAGCTCTCATAACAATAGAGCCCTTCGCGCCCGCAATTGAATAAAGAGCAGCCGGAGAAAAAGGAGAAGAAGCAAGCAGAAGTTCATTTTCTAAATGGAATTTTTAGTGTCCCCGCTTTGCCGCCGAGAATAGAATCAGAAAGGGTGGATATAGGTACGTGTCGGCGCCCGCCGTCACTTCTTCTTCTTCTTCCTCTTCTGTTTTCCCTTTTGAGGCGTTGAATCGGAAACATTTATGAATAACGACGGGACAAAACACACAATGGGCTCCGGTTGACGAGAACAAAAACAAAACAGACGACGTGGCACTCACACACACACACACACACAAATTATTGAAACAAAGAAAGGGGCCCAAGAGATCGTAGAACTTGCAGGAACAAGTGCGCAGACAGCAGGAAATCATCAACCGACAGTCGGCCACCAAGAACGGATTCGAGAACTTCAGTGAGTGAATGCGCGTTCTCATGTCTCCCAGAATGAAGTGAAATAAGCCGAACAAAACGTTGAATTCTCTCTCTCTCTCTTTCTCTCTCTCTCTCTCTCTTTCTTTCTCTCTCTCTCTCTCTCTCTCTCTCTTTCTCTTTCTCTCTCTCTCTTTGTCAATCAAACTTAATGCGCCGTTACATCGCCTCAAATCTGAATGACAACATCTCGATTCCTCCCATTTCCTCATCAATTTTCCAGCTCAACTCATCGCCCTCGCCAATTCTATGGACTGCTCGTGCTCTTCGGACAACTCCGGAATGGGAGCCTCCGTGGGGATGGGTGCTCTCTACGGAGGGCAGGGCGGAATGGGCGGTTCCGCTGGATTCCCGCCGATCACTCTTGGCGGAGGCGCAAATGGATTCGGATTTCCGGCGCAGAGGGGAGTTCCCATCACTACCTTCGGCGGAACTCAGCACATGATTGAAATGCCTTATGCAACTGCTCGATGATGGATAAAAATACAATTGAGAAATTATAATTTATATGCACAAATGAAGTTTTGCCCTACTTAGAATGTGTTCTGACACTATTTCTCAGAGTTTTGTTGACAAGAGTCACAGTTTATAAAAACGTGATCTATATGACGTTACTTACTTATTCACACTACAACTTTCCACGCTCAAAAAATTAATCTGACGTCTGTTTGCCTCGATGCGCGGTTTGCCTGTCTCTCCGGCGACACGCTTTCTCATCTTTTCCGTACTCTCCTTCCTGGCACTCGTCCACGTGTTCCGTCAAAAAGTTGCGCTTCCAGTAAACATCTTTCGATTCAACTATATTTTCTTTCACTAAAATTTTCATTTCAGCTCCTTGGTGAACCTGATTCAATGTACATGGCATGGAACAGATGCATGTTCGATGAGATGTCTCAATTGTCGACTCTATCCGAAGATGCATTTTGGACAGGACTGGAGAAGCCTATGCAAAAATGCGAAGTCCTGATGAGCCGATTGACAATGATACCGTTCAATAACAAAGATGAGACCAAGTACTCCGTTCTTCCACTCAAATCACACACTGTCAGCACAATTGTTAGCCTCGGAGTCGGGCAAGATGTGAATGCGGAGCTGCTGCTTCGACAAGTAACGATTGGCCGGCTCTACCGTGAATCAACAATACTCTTGCAGCGTCTCTACTCTGCTCAGTTCTTCGGCGCCGATCCGATTGTCGAAGGCAACGACGCGCTGTACTCTGCTTTCGGAACATTCTTCCCGTTCGCAGTTGGAAACTCTTCAAGAATGAGCAATGCATCCGTCCTTCTCAATGGATCGTACGTGGATAAACCGGTGATTCATGTGGAATTTGTGTACTTCTTGAAGAAACTCGTGAACAGAACGGTAGGATAATGAATTGAATGCGTTGAATAACACTTTGTTGTTTTCCAGTATTTCGACAACATTTGGATGGACGCGGAGAACGCAGAATACGAGTTATTCGAGTATTTCTATGTCGGAGGAGAGCTGGACAGGGCTGGAATAACAGTGTGTCAGTTCAATATGGAGGTGAGATTCGGAAGAAATTTGTAAAAGACAAAGAACGATTCATTTCCAGGTGCATTCGCCAGACGGGCAAAAGAAGAAACAGTTTAGAGAGTTTATGACAAGGATATTTTCCGATGAGAAGTACGCCTTCTTCCGACCTGTCCGTGCAAGTCATTTCCGACTTTATTTTGTGAATTTCAAGGATCCCAAATGTACGAACGCGTACATTGGTTATTGAAAACGTTTTTTTGTAATAAATCATTTGACAGTTGCATTTGAGATCAGTTCTTTTCCAATAAACGGTTGCACAAATATAGTCTATTTCTACGATCTCTTGAATTTCGGAAGCGCACGGCCAGCAAACAACACAGTTTTGCAGGTTACACAAGCTGCTCAAACAGGCAGAGATTGCTCCGCCCCCTTCTCTTCCGTTAAACTCCTTCTCGAAACGTCTTCATGTTCAGATGAAGTCTCAGTTGAAAGTAGGTTGGCCGAGTGAATTGATGAAGGAGAGGGCACTCCCTCGCATGCTTTCAATTAACTTCCATGGAAAAATCGGGACAATAACCGCGTTTTTCTATAAAAAGAGACGAATTTATTTGACAAAAATTGATTTTCCGATATTTGAGGGCACTGGGAGGGGTGACCGCGGTGCCCCTTTCCCACTGGCGCAGTGGGAAGCGGTCCCTTCTCGCTCACATTGCCAACCGTTTTCAGTTGCAAGCAGTCCTCCACTGTACTTCATCCGACCCGTACAGCAGAAAGAAAATGAGGTGAGTCCGTTTCAATTTCTTTTTTTCGAGGCACCTTTTATTGCATGCAAGGCGACCAAAAGTGTAGAAAGGGGCGTGGCCTAATCTGAGTCGCGTTTTCTGAAAATTGCCGCAATTCCAGCACTTTTCCGATATTTTTGTGTTTGATATCGACGAAAGAAGACATTGAAGAGAAAAAAAAAGAAATTTTCGTGAGAACGCCGCGTTTGAGACGTTTTTGGCATATTTCGCAATACGCCCTCCGCGGCCAATCGCCGCCGCAATTTCGGAATTTTCATACCGGCCGATCTGGATAACTTTGAGACGAAGTGAGTGTCGGAAGTGATTAAGCACGTTGATACAAGTATTTTAAGCGTTCAAACGGCAAAAAGTATCGCGAATGACTGAAATTCGCGCATTTTCAGCACAAAACTTAAAATCGATTCAATTGATTCATTTTTGGATGAAACCTGCTCGTTTAAGCTCAAAAAGTGCGCGATGATTAGTTTAACAAAGTTATGCAATTACATCGTCGAATTAGTAAAAAATTTGGGTATTTTTTGACGAAAAACATGAAAAATGGGGTTAATTTTCGAACCGTGCACGCTAGGCCACGCCCCTTTCTACGTTTTTGGTCGCCGTGATTGCAGAGAAAGTGTACGTATTTTAACCTCCGTACTTTCGCTCTCCCGAACTTTTCATGTTTTGTGCCGTAAACTTTCTAGATTAGCTATGTGTGATACATGTTTAATGGATGTACTGTAGTACCATAGTACATCCATTAAACATGCCCTATTTGAAATTTTTGCGGTCTCGCATCCTCCACCTTTGTGATTGTCACCTAAATGAGCGTGGCGGCGGTGAAGCACGGTTGAGGAGTGGCCGAGTGGGCGGGATTTCACTGTCACTATATAAACCGAGTACAACGGTAATTATGTCCATCTAGTAACTTTTTTTGCTTGAGTGTCTCTTTCTTGATCTCTTCGACATTATTGCAATGCAAGAAGTCGGTCACTCAACCACCTTTCCCTTGCTCTGACGTTATTGCTATGCAAGAAGTCAAACTCTTTATCAAATCTCTCTCTCTCTCTTCCTCTTTCCGACATTATTGTGTTACCTTCATGTTACCGATTTTTTTTCCGAGGCACCTTTTATTGCAGAAAAAGTGTGCGTATTTTAACCTCCGTCCTCCCGAACCCGAACTTTTCGTGTTTTGTGTTTTGTAAATTTCCGATTGGTTGATCTCTTGATTCTATTCAGATATAATAGAGTTTCAAACAATGTTGCCTTTAGGGAAATAGGAAATATTCGTTCACTTTTTCACACCGATTATGATCGTCTCTCAAGCATCTCTGCATACGAATGAGAGTCTCTTTCGGTTCTTCGAACTAGGCGGGCGTCCATGGCAATGTCTGATTCTTTGCTCTTTTTCTCCGAACGAGTCACATTCAAATGCTCGGCAACGCATCCGAGAGTACTTCCGCCCACAGCAATCGCACGAGTTTGCACGCCAAGAGTCTAGCGGATGTTTTATGAAGCAAGCCATTTTGATAAGGACCGCGAGTTAATAATAATTTACACTTCAATGTTCGTTTGGCAAACTCCGCAACCATCTGTTCTGAACTTCCAAACTTCTGCTATTTCGTTTACTTTAGAATGATCTATAATGTCGACTAATTTCTACCAAGTTTTAATCATTGAATAAGCTCACCCAACTAATCTGCATACGTTTGATCCGCTCAGGAAGCCACAAAGAGTTTTAAAATGTAAATGTGTAGGGAAATACAACAGTGGCTTGTTTTCATTGCAAACGCTTCGTTTTTTCAACGCTCTCCCCGTTCCTTCCTAACTAAACTATTGTTTCCAGAGTTCCTACTCAAACAATGCGTCGGAGCAATGCGACCGTCATCCTGGGCATCTCCTGCGTGCTCCTTCTTCTCTACATTGCCGTGTCCAAAACTTCACCACCGCAGTTAAATTTCGGTAATTCCGTAGTCAACAAGGTGTGGGGCAACTTCAGCACGTGGCACGGATGCCTCAAACAGAACATTTCGATCTACGAGGATGATCCGAAAGGAGTAATACGCGCTGGAATTGAGTACCCAGACGATTGTTTCATTTCAGTTGTGGTCCAACCTTTGGCGAGGAATCAAACTGTGCGAGGTGCTCGATGAGGTGAACGGACTTCAAATCGGTGACTTTGCTAATTCTGATGAGACGAAGAGGCATATCGTCCCGAAAATGGTATTCACCCGCTCAATGGGAACTAATAATACTCACGTTTCAGGAACTTCCAAGTGTGGTCATCACTCTGGGAATCGGGCACGACACAGCCGCAGAAACCAAGTTGATCAAGGTACTGGCGAGGACGGAACTGTTTCGTTTATTTGCGACCTTTTCAGAAACTGCCTCAAGGCTCCGAGTTTTATGGAGCGGACCCGATGCACGAAGTCAACGAGGACCTGTACACTAAGATTCCAGGAAAGTATTTCCCATTTGCAGTCGGCTCGGAAGCTGGACTCGCGGAGGCCAGTGTACTCATCAACAGTAATCAATTCACATGTTATTATGAACGAATCAATCGTTTTCTCAGCATCCTACACAACCCGAACGGTCGTAAACGTGGACATTATCTACTTCCTCAAAAATATGGTGAAAAGAACTGTGAGCGAGAAAAGCAGAACGCGCTGAAATGAGAAATATTTACAGCACATTGACGACATCTGGATAGACGGCGAGGGAGCGGAGTACGGAATCTTCGATCATTTCCTCAGAGGAGGAAAGTTTGATCAGAATGGAATCACTTTCTGCCAGTTCAACATTGAGGTTACTTTCCAGACAGAACGCTTTTCATGCATAGAAATTCGATTAAGATTCACGAGCCAGATGAGCTTCAGAAGAAATTGTTTCACGATTTCCTTTTCGGCCTTGTGAAAGATAAGCGATACGCGATCTTCAAGTTGTTTGCAAGAACGAAACCATTTCGAGAACACATAAGTTTCAGACCAGTCCAAGGGCGTCACATGCGGCTTTATATGCTCAATTTCGACAACGAAGAATGCGTTAACAAGTATATTCTCTAGGTTTTCCCTTATGGGTTTCGCGATCTCAACACGCATTTTGTTCATCGGGGTCTTCTTCTTCTTCTTCTTCTTCTGTTGTATGTTCATCTTCCTTCGCTTTCAATAAAACATTATACTGATAAGACGGCATTCCTTTGTTGACAGAGATGCTCTCGACGAACTTATTGATTGTTTCTGGTTTGTTTCCCGCTAAACCCCTCTTCATTCTCCTGCCCTTTCAGTTCTGATTCCTCTCGCAGTCTCCGTTCCGACTGCTTCCATTTCTGCACACGTTCTTGACATCTCCGGCGGGTCTCCAGCTGGTGGCGTCCAAATTCTCGCGTATATTCAACAGAATGATGCGTGGAACAAGATAGGCAGCCAGTGAGTCCGTGGAATGTTTTCCAGACGGCGGAATTCTCTGCTCAGATTCACCCAGGACAACGGCCGAGTCGATTGGGTTTCCCCGGACTTTGCCCTCATTCCCGGAACTTACCGACTTGTGTACTTGACGAAACCGTACTATTCTGCCAAGGGAATCGAGACGTTCTACCCGTACGTGGAAGTCGTTTTCGAGATCCGCGACGCCACTCAGCACTACCACGTGCCGCTGACTCTCAGTCCGTGGGGATACTCCACCTACCGCGGATCATAACTTGGTACTCATTCGCTAGATTCTCTATTTTCCATTCATCTCATAATAAACCATCCGCGAAAAGAAAAGCTATACAAGTTATGTGACATTATGAATCCAACCGACTGCAAGACGTCATAAACTTTTTGCCGGGGCGGAATCCTCTTCGCAGATCCAGTATCCAGTAGGACGAGTATAAAAGGCACGCATCTCCCACGGGTCCGCGTGTGCTGCAATGCGTCGTCTTCTGCCGTTGCCGCTCCTTCTTCCGCTGCTCGTTCCATTGGCACTCTGCCAAATCACTCCGGTGCCAAAGATGGATATTACTCCTATTCCCATTGACAAAACTGACCCGAACGTCAAAGGTACGAGCTGTGAATTGCAGTCTCTTTTTGATTGAAACTTCAGAGTTCCAAAGAATCGATTCGAACAAAGACGGACAACTGACTTTCACCGAATTCCTGTTATCTGACCGCCCGTTTCTAGAGCATCAGTCGAGAAGATTCCATGGTTTCGATGGGAATGGTCAGTACAATAACACGCAGTTTCACATTCCCTAGTCATTCGTTCTCAAAATGGTCATAAAATGAATGAACTCTGTCAGGTGACGGCGTCGTGACGAAGAAGGAATTCGAAGACTATTTCAAGAAATTGGAGAAGCATAAGAGAAGAAGTGACATGTTCTTCAGCAAATTCGTCGGTTTTCCTGTTCCTAATCCGTTTCTAATGACTCTGTTTTTCAGAATCGTGATCGCCGTGACCCTTTTCAGGCGTCGTTCTTCGATTCGTTCCCGAAGAGTCCGGAGGAGTCTCGCGAACTCTCCGGACCCATGCACAACCCGTCCATGGTCCTTCTCTGAATTCCTTTTTGTCGATTTCCCTTGCAGATAAACCCATGTGATCCTCGTCCTTCTTTACCAGTTCATCTGTGTTGACCCGTAATAAAGTCTCTAATATTTTTGGAAAGTGACCCGTGGTGATCGTAGATCATTTGACGCCATCTTCATTCAGCAAACGAAGCCAACGAATCACAAATACCAGCGGTCGTCTACTCTTCGCATCAATATTTCTCCCGTTGCGGGTTGATGTGCCTCAACCCGAAGAAGTCGTCTCCATTGTCTTCTCCTCTTCCCCTTTTTCTATCGCCATCCATCTGCTATCATCTCCTGCTCGTGACGTCACCGTTTCGGGGATGCGAATCTTTGAATCGCGCGAAAAATAAAAAAGAACATCTTTATTTATGAAATAAACGAAGCGAGGCCGGAACCGCCGATTGTAAATCATATGGTCTGGCTGGTCGCCACGTCGCCGTGATTCGATTATCCGAGTTTACGACACCAGTTCTCCGAAATTACTCTTTCTATGGACTGACAGCATTCCAGACGTTTTCCGTACGATTCTGACCTTTTCACCGAATTGTACCTTTTGTGGAAGTTCTAGTTTTTGAACCGTTGTGACCTTCTGACACTTTCATGTGACCCACAACCGCTGAACAATAATTTCAGAATAGCCGTCGTCTAGTGTTTGTTCCGATCCGCTTTCCGTCCTTTCCGAAGCCTCCAGCACCTGTCTTTTTCCGTACTGACAGGTCGTTATATCCTCGTCAAAGTGTCTTTGTGCGTCCGCTGCCACCGGTCATCTCCTTCCGATTTCCTCACGGCCAAATGTTTTTCTTTGTCGCGTTTACCGCTTCTCGCACTGCATCACCAATTGTTTACAAGTCGTCTGATGACCGATTCGTTTCAGTACGCATTTACATTCGACCGTCGATGTGCCGAACGAAATCGTTTGGCGCCGCGTCGTGTTTTTTCAAGTGGTTCGAGCCTGGGCGGATGACAGCTGAATTCAAACGGACGAGGTTGCAGAAGGGCTCGCAATCAGAGGGATCAAAAGAACGCGTCGCTGATCTATCCTCCCTCGACACTTTAATATCCCTCATCGTGCGATCAACTTCTTCTCTTTAGTCTCCATCTTCCTCCGCTTTTATCCGACTTCCGACGACGACCATCACACACTCCAATCATAATCTTGCGTCCAAGAAATGCAAGTCTGTCTAGCCCCTACCACAGTTGAACTTGTCGCCCCCTCCCGACCGTAGCTAGAGATCAGTGCGTGTAGCCTGCATCTTATTCAGATGACGTTCCCATTGTCTTCGATGAAACGGTTTGACTCCGTCATCACAACGTCATCATCAAATTCTCAATTTCTTCTCCGTTTCCCTTTTTGTAGCGAACGGAATTTGAGAGAGTGGTAATCCCATGGTTGTCTGTAGTGTCTAGATGGTAAGCAGGGACCCGCAAAAACTTGAAATCTGGAGAAGAGGGGAGGTACACAAAGCACATTTCCAATTGCCAGTAAGCCCTTCAACTAATTTGTTGTTTTACTTTATTAGGTCAGAAGAATTCAAAAAATGTCTGCAGTCTATTTCAGGTGGACAGTGTAACTAACTCAGAAGTGACAGCAGTCACTGTGTTGTTCGCAAAAAAGTCTGGTTAGTTGACTAAGCACACAATCTCCAAAAATGATTGAGATCAGGTTTGATCAGGCAAATTTCGAAGAATGAATCATTCCGGGCGTTAAGAGCTGTCAGATCGGAAACCGACGCCCCCATCCGTATCCTCTTCAGTTTCCGGTTCCCCCGCCATCAGAATCCCATTCGCGAACGCATCCACCGTCATCTCACGGTCCATATAGATTCAAATACGGCCCCACCGCCACTTCTAGCCTATACAGTTTCTTCTTCTTCTTCTTCTTCTTCTTTTTCTTCTTCTCTCAATCGGTCAGTTCTCCTGCGAGACCGTCGGTTACGTCATCCGTTGGCGCCCTTCCTCCGCCCGTCGAGGAGTCTCCGCCCCCGCAGAAAAAGGCGGACGGGCGGGGCGCCTTCTGCTGCAGCCTGCCTTTTCCTGTAGACAGTCCCTGTCCCGCTGCACCTCGCCGGTTCGCCGAATTGCCGAGTTATCGCAAACTCGGCGCTCTCATCTCTGTTCCGATTCTCCTATTTACATCTTCTCAGACGTTTTTCTTTGCATTTTCTCGGCCTCATGGTCAAGAATTGTGAATTTTGAACAGCACTTTGGGTCACCTGATAAACGTTTAACAAAAGTAGTTTTTGAGAATTTTAGAACCAATTCTGAAGTGGGCGGTATAAATAAGCGACACGTCATCCACGCTGCATTTCCAAGTATTCCCCTCATTACACATGCCGTTCTTTGGCCTCATTGGAGAAGAACACCCATTGAGAGGGAGGAGATACCCGATCAAAACCTGCCCATTTTCCCCCCATCCAACCTCATTCTGATCAAGTGTTAAATTGCTCATCATGAGAGGCGTAACACGGGTATCACTGCTTCCATTTTGCACGAATATGTTAAACATCCACACCAATTCTGTTGCCATCCACTTCCATGTTTCACTTTTTATCGTTTTATCGGTCGACTGGTTCCAGGATCCTGTCGCCTTCTGCTATTACTTTCAACTAATTAATTAGTATCCTTCTTCTTGTTCTTCCAGAAACTTCCTTTTCTCCGTCCACCGCCTCCTCACACCGACAATTGCATCCCCATCTTCCTGACGTCTACTCCTTTTGCCGTCGTTGCTTCGGAACAATGACCGACCCAAGCTCGTTGGCTCTGGAGCCTCCGGCCTTCGTCCGTCTTCTCAATCACTTCTTCCGCAAGTGCGGTTATTTCGTGGCCGACAATGACAAGACAGTCCTCATCGTGAGTATCTCGCTTCCGGTTTCTCTCTTCTTCCGGAGAGCGCTTCTCCAAGGACAAACCACTCTCTCCGTTTTTCTCGATCTCACTTTCGTTTAGAAGGGCATTAAATGCGTTTTCCCTCTGACAAGCCCTTCCTCGTTTTTTTCATGTATTTATATGTTTTTCATCGGTTTTTTCTCGCCCGCTAACGACATTGACAGCATGCCGCAAAAATGAATAGAGGGAGGCGGAGGAGTGATTGGATGAATGCGCAGCCGATAGATAATGGGGTCTTCCGCCCGTCCACACTGCAAAACGGTACGGCTTCTGAAACCGAAAAGTCATCAAAAGCCCTCCGCGTCTAACTACAAACCACAACAGCCGCGCGATGAGAAACAGTTGAAATCAAGTGATAGTTCAGTCAGACACTCTCTTTCGTAGATTAATATTATGTGAATAACCTGTTCACTCGGAATGGCTTAAACGTACGCTGGACATGCAGAAGAGGCGCCAAAAAATGATTAATGAGGGGTAGCATTTCGAAGGGAAACTGTATAGGATCTCCGGGATCACAGATACGCACAGTGACGTATCTATTACGGATCGCCGATTTTAATGGCTTTCTGATTTGCTACTCGTGGTACTTGGGTGAAATGAACAGGCGCAACCAGCGAGATAAGTGACCATTCAGGGGATGTAAATGAACGAATCCGACTGAAGATCACTTCAAATTCGACAGCAAACCGTTCCTTTTCTTAGAAAGCTAAAGTTGAGAGTTTAAAAACCATTACTTCTGGTCTGACCTTCTGCCCTCTTGACCTCTTAATTTGCGAGGAGGCATATCTCTGCTTATTAGTTCGATATCAGTGGCGAAAATGGTATCATCAAACTCATCTCGGCGAGATCTATGAGAATATGTATGAATAACTTTCAAATTCCGAACTTTTCTGACAAGGCTCCTGGGAACAATGGGCCTTTCCATCGTCTGTCGGCCAGTGGTCGTCGATGAGTCGTTGTAAACGGTAACGCCCACTTTCTGTCGAGCCACATACCAGTGAGAGAGTGACGCACTTCGAGGCCCTGTCCAACGTTTTCTTGCTTTGCAGGTGACCTTACTCTTCACCGTCTTCTGTTCATCGAAAATATGTTTCACGAAACAGGAGGACGACATCAAGACAGGTATTTTGTTGCATTTTGAGTCTCCCGTCTCTCGCCCCTCCGTTGTCTTTTTCTGCGCCGAGACTGCGGTGGCTATATGCTTAATGACGGTGATATGACAAATAGAATGCCAAATATAAGACGACGTCGTCCCGGGTCATGAGGTCACAGTCTAGATAAGGAGGGTTGTGAAGTGACGAAGGAGACATGAGTCAGAAGAAAACAGAAAAATAAGGGGATGGTTGCAGGATACACACCTTATGGAGCACGATCCCTTAAGGAAATCGACGTCTTTTCTGAATTCTTTGCTTCTTCCGGAGATCCGATTGCGGTCTTTTTGTTCGCAACGGCAAAGGACAACTCCTCCATGGCAGAATACAATGCAATGAAGGAAATGATCGACATTCTGGACATCGTCGGAGGTAACCTGACTCACAAAGGAGAGTCCTTCTACACAATGTGCACCGACTTTTGCCACATCAACGAACCAGTCCGACAATATTATGTGAGTGCATTTGAGTCTCTCTACAATATTCGTCCGTACCATTTCAGAATGGACTTGTCATGCAACAGCAGAACCTTTCCGACGTGAGCTCCAGATTCCAACTGAACTTCCCGATGATGCAGGTTCTTGGCAAAGAACTCGATCTCAGTCCCAACTTTTTCGGTGTTCGAACTGATGTAGACGGAAAAGTGGAGTACGTGAAGATAGTGATGCTCCAGGTCAGAGCTAACATTCCGAAGAATTGGAAGAAGGAAGACGCGGCCGAGTACGAACGAATGATCTCACAATACTTCCACTTGTGAGTAGCATCGAGCCAAGTAAGATTTCTAACTTTTGTCTTGTAGTCAGTACAACTCCACGTATGTCACTCCACTCGCCATGAGTCTCACGTACACTGGAGATGAAGTCGTCCGAACGGGTCTCACCATCTTCCCGTTCATCGGCGTCGGATTCGCCATCATGACCGTTTTCTCTGTGATCACCATCTACTACAGCAGCTCGCGACTCGATCAATGGACCATCCACAAAGTGTCTGAAGCCGTCCTCGGATGTGTCTGTCCCCTTCTTGCCACGTCATCAGCACTCGGAGCTCTTTTCTGGTTCGGCTTCAGATTCGGAACTATCCTCTGTGTCACGCCTTTCTTGATATTGGCTATTGGTAAGTGACACCTTCTGACTTTTGTCTTCAAATTTCCTTTCAGGTGTCGACGACGCCTACCTCCAAATTCACGCGTGTATGCGTCTGACAAGAGAAGACAGCGGAATGACCAAGAGAGAAAAGTAATCGAGGCCGAATTGGACCAAACCAATATACTTTTCATATTCAGAATTGCTCGAATGCTCGTGGAGGTCGGCCCCTCAATCGCCATCACTTCCATGACGAATCTGCTCGCTTTCCTCGTCGGAATCTACACCCCAACTCCCGAAATCTCTTTGTTCTGTGCTGGAAATGCGGTCGCCATCCTGTTCGATTTCGTCTATCAAATCACAATGTACACTGCGATTCTATCGATTTGCGAGAATTTGGAAATGCGGAAGAACGCAACGAAACGAAAAGATTCAGGACTGAGCTTCAAAAACGAACACTTCACAGTGATGCTGGACAGCTACTGCGACTGGGTCGCCAACGCCTACACTCATTTGCTGGTGCTCTTCTGCTTCCTTGTCTACTTGTTCGTCTCGATCCGTGGAGCCCTCAACATCAACATCATTCTTTCTCCGGACAAGTTGGTCATCGGCGATTCTCCCCTTCTGCAGGTCAACTATCTGCGTGACCAGTTCGTCCTTCCCAATTATACCACAGTCAACATTTTTGTACAAAATGTGAGAAAAGATACCGGTTTAGGGGGGTTTAATTGCATTTCCGTTTTTGCAGCCTGGCAATCTGACAGTGCAGACAAATTTGGATTACATGAACTCGCTCATGGAAAGTTTCGAATCGTATCCGGAATGTCTCGGAAAGAAGTTCAGCCATTACTTTGTGCGAGATTATGAATCATTCCGGGAAGCGTCGATTGAAGAACTAGAAATGATGGAGGACGAGGAAGAAGGGCATTCGAACAGGACGGCACTCGAACCATTCTCAAAGAAGGCGATGGCAGACTTCCTTGCGTGGCCTGAATTCCAACATTGGAATGGATTCGTCAAGTTCGACAAGAACGGAATGCTTTCCAGATTCTGGGCAACTGTCTCTTATCATGGGGAAGGCCTCGGAGACTTCCAAGTGAGAAGGAGGATGTTGAACAGATGGAGGGCCACTGCCGACCAGTTCGCTCCCCTCAACGTCTCCATCTTCGATGACTATGCTCCGTTTGTGGATACTCTCGAGACCATCCTTCCGGCAACCATTTCCACGTCAATATGCACTCTCATTTGCATGATGATCGTCTGCTTCTTGTTCATGTATAACGTCTTCACAGTTTTTGTTGCGACCTTGGCCATCACTTCTATTTGCATTGGTGAGATTGAAATTCCTTTTATTATACTGAAACCAGACATTTAACAGGTGTATTCGGGTTTCTTTCGCTCTGGGGAATAGATCTGGATCCTATTTCGATGGCTTGTACTATCATGAGCATTGGATTCTCTGTCGATTTCCCGGCTCACATCACTTTCCATTACTTCAGAGAAGGACTTCATGATCCTCAATCAACACCAGCCAAGAGAGTAGCTAGGTAGAAGAGTAAACGGGATTCCATCGGAAGGAACAAAGTTAATTTCAGGTCACTAGAAGCCATTGGATTCCCTCTGCTCCAGTGTGGAATATCAACGATCCTCTTCGTGCTATGTCTTCTGTTCGTGCCCACTTACATGGGAGAAGTGTTCGTGAAGACGATGATTCTCGTGGTGACGCTCGGACTCATCCACGGACTTTTCATCGTTCCGGCCTTCCTGTGCGCCTTCACAGCCATCCACCACGCGTGCTGCTCCTCATCCAAAGTTGCACATTCCCAGGTGACAGCCAACCGTCTCCCTTCCATTCAATTCCCCCCTTTTCAGTCGTTCTCCTCGCTGGCCAAGCTCTTCTCGTGGAGGATTTCCCCATCGACAAGCGACAATAAAATCTCAGCCTAGCAAGTTTGCGATCCGTTTCAATTTCACTTCGCACGGGTCCAATCGACGTTAATCCAGTTGTTTTCTTCCGTTTCCTTCCCGATCTCTCTTCCTCCGTCCGTCTGTTTTTCCCACAAGTTTTCCAGTGTTTACTTTGACAAATACGAGTCATTTTCCAGTTTTCCCTCTGCGAATAAATATCATGTCATGTGAATTGCACATCATACCGCGAAATATTATCTCTTTTTGGGAAAAGTGGAATCAGAATTGAGTCGAGTCATAGATTATGCAAATCAGGAACAGGGGCACATATAAACTGGTAATCGGGTCAGTACGCAACTGAATTCTGAACTCACACTTTTCCAATTCGTGCTAGCATGAAAGTTTCCGAGTTCAACAACGGAACGTCCTACAATGGCATTCTCCCCACTCGTCCTGATATGAGCGAGGATAAAGTTCTGATTAGGTGAGCAAAGGTCCGTTTGGACATGAAGGAGACTAACAGCGGCTCAGAAAATACAAGATGTACTCGATCCTCTTCTTCATCCTTTTCGTCCTTTTCCTCATCACAACCATTATCGTGTCCGTCATTCTCGGCATCAACATCAAGGCGGAGCACAGAATGGAAGACGATCTGGAAGAGTGCATAAAGCTCCGTGACACCTTTCTTTTCAAATCCAATGATCCGCCGCTGTTTCCTAAATGATTTCATATGTACAAATGTTTGAGCGTGCTACGTGTAATTGCATTTTATTGTTTTCAAGTCCAATTCAACAAATATTGATATTCTATCCATGTTTTTGTTAATATGAAGTTGTTTGTCCCTCACGCCGAGATATCTGAAATTATTCCGGTTCGTCAGACTCATTCCCCATCGAACTCACATTGTTGACAATAGTCTCCGTAGTATCCATTGGGACAGTCGCACAGTCCGTAAGCAGAGACTCCTCCGTTCTGACACACTCTCATCTGACACAAGTTTCCGATGTGATTCATATCGCATAGACAGAATCCGTAGTTGTCAGCAGTCGCACCGTTTTGGCAGTCTGTAAACTGCAGAAATGAACAACAATCAAACTGTGGTCGGATTACCAGAACTGTTTGCATTTTTGTTGAAGAAGAAAGTGCGTTGGAAGTTGTTATTATTCGAGTCTTTTCCACGCACGATGAACTTCATGTAGCTCGTAGACCAGGAGATGAGCGGAGTGACGAACTGACTGGCACACCCGATCGGGTCTCTTGGCAGGACTGTCGAGTTCTGGAAACCGGAGCTGAAGGACCAAGGAGCCTCTGGATCAGTGTCCGACGTCTCGACAGAAATGATCGAAGATCCGTAGTTGTTGGAGTCAGAGTTATAACTGTCCATGATTCGGAAGGTGATGTACGAGGAGGCATTGCTTCCCGCTCCGACTCTTGGTGTTCCACTTGCGAAATCGTCTCCTTGGTCGTTTGTGAAGCGGGGAATCACTTGAAGTGGTGAATTGACACGGGCTTGGAGGTAGCATGAACCAGTTCCCTTCACATTCACATTCCAGACTCCTCCTTTGTGGTTGACGGTGCCTGAAATGTCTTGAAAAATGTTAGTGTCTCTTTCTCATTTCTTACTGATAGTTCTGATCAATGTGTTTGTGTCGGTGAACGTGGAGGAGTTTGTCAAAACAACATTGCTCGCTGAAAATAAACATAATTTTCGACGAGATGCGAACCTATGCTCACAGTTTTCGTCAGTGACAGAAACCGAAATTCCAGAGCCTCCAGTTGCTACCAGAGTAAGAGTTGTGGCCAAGTTTCCAACTGGGAACTGGAAGTTCACACCAGCAGAGCAGTCCTTTGCCGCATCGTCCAGAACCAACTGATTTTCATTGACTGTTGGAACCAACGCTGTGAGGATCTGAAGATTCGGATAAGAAAGTTCTCATTAGATGGGTAAAAATACCTGAGGCGTGAGGAGAGAGTTGACTGTCAGGATTCTTCCGTTCGACTGTCTCGCGACGGCAGACATGTAATAGTTCAAGTTGGACGGGATCAGATTGCTAGCGTCTGCGGCGAGCCACACAATGTTGACCTATAATAATGGAATGATCAAGATGAGACTCAAAATCCCGAAACCTGAACACCAAATCGTTGCTTGACAGCCGCCAGGTTGCTCGCTGAGTCGGTGGAAGTGAAAACATAGACGATTCCAGGAAGATCAACGAGCGTCGAGTACGCAGTGTTGATTGCTTCTAGCGATTTCACCTTAGATGGAGTGTTGATTCCGATGGTTATTCCCTTTTGGAATGCAGCCAAAAATATGTCCTTGTGGGTGGAAGAGACGACGGTGCGAATGGTGGAATCGTCGTAAGTGATGAGAGTGTACTGCTTCGGCATCTGGATGTCATCGGTCGATTCCACGAATGCCTGGATGTTCTTCTGAAGGTAAGAGTTCGGCAGAACCATGTTCTTCGTGTTGATTTCGACGACGAACACAATTTGCTGGAAGTTGTACTCTCTCGGGTCGTGAGTTTCGACAAAGTTCCAGTCGTTGCACTTGGTGTACTGGCAGACGTCTCCGTCGTGTTTCGCATCACAGAGACACTTGAAGTCGTGGACAGTTCCTCCGTTCTGACAAGTCGGGTACTCGCAGTGCAGACTTCCGTATCCGTTTACACATTGGCACACCCCTCCCAACATGATTCCTCCGTTGATGCATCCGACGAGATCACTGCAGAAGGCTCGCTGCGTTCTCATGATCGTCACTTCATTCGTGGTGATCGTCGTCTCCAATGTAAACGTATCTCCAGCGGTTTCGCACGTGAATTGGTCATTCATAATGTACTCGTACTTGCATCCAGAGGTTCGTTTCACGAATTGAGAGTGGAAGGCAACGTTGTTGTTGTTATCGTAGCTGATCACTTCGATTGTTGGATCGGACTGCAGAGTAGAAGAGAGGTGGATTACTGGCTGTTGGTGGGTCGCATAGGTGAGATCCTTTGAGTACCGGTCGACGGATGGATCGGGAGAGAATCCGAGATACGAGGAGAACTGACTGCGCTCGGTGACTCGGATGAAGCACTGCGCCTTCGTGTCTGCAGTGACCGTCAGTTTGTACTTCAACGAGGAAGTCGTGCCGAGTTTGATCTGGTAACTGGCAAAAAAAGGCACTGAGTGGGAGTCCGCAACGAGAGACTGCGGGGTTCCAGTGGAGGAATCGACCACTTGAGCACTGAAGTTCTGGATGGTTGCTGAAATATGAACAATTGGAATGAAGTTTTTCGAAAGGATACGACTGACGAGAATAAACGACAACGTAGGCATCATTGCTCGAACTTGAAAGGTAGAAGTCGCGAGTGGTGAAGAGGGAGCAGTCGGGAACGCTGTAGTAAGCAACGATCTCGGTGTGATGATGAGTGCTACCGTATGAAGCGATGAACTGGAAATGATAAAAGGAATGGGAAGAATGAGGAAGAGCATGAATACATTGAAGACTGGGTCTCCGCTGGTTGTGTAAGGTTGGCAGAAGTTGATGAAGTTTCCTCCAGTTTGTTTTGCGAGAATCTCATAGATTTCGTATTTACCGGCGTCGGGGCAGAGATCTGTGGAACCATACGGCGGAATCATTACTACAGAGATCTCAATTTGACGCTCGACTGCGGATTGTCTGGAAAAATGGAAATAATACAGAGACAGAGACGGGAAGAACATACACAATATCAGTGAAGTTCATTGTGTTCTGAATAACTTGAGATTCCGAATCGGCGAATAAGAAGATGGACGATTTGTCGTAATCCATTGATTTCAGAGTAGTTTCCAATGCGAAGAGTCCAGGTTGAGCACCAGTTGGCGAATATCTGAAACCAAGAACATAGGCATTAAAACAATAGGTAGTTACGAATAGCCGATTCCGTCGTCTGTGGTGGCATTCAGGAATGCGGATGCTGAACTGAATTTGGTCGAAAAGATGACCGGGGAAGGTGCTCCTTGGACCATTGAGGTCTTGTACGTCGTCAGAATGTAATCTTCAAAATCAGTGGACTGGCCTTGATAGAGCATCGCTCGGAGACCGTCATTCAGTCTGATGAGGGCTTGGTTTGCGGACAGAGAGTTTTGAACGACAATCGCAAACGAACGGTTGTAAGACTCAAACGTATCTTGCGAGGTCGAGCTGCATGTCACTGAAACTTTACTTATTAGAGGATACCCATTCATTTTTGACAACTTACAGATCTCGCAGAAGCTTCCCGAGACGCCAAACGGACAAATGCAGTTTCCGTGACCTCCTCCGTTTGGGAATCGATCGACGCTTCCTCCGTTCTGACAGATTGGCACTTCGCAGTGTAGACCGTTCCAGTTGGCAGCGCATTGACAACTTGAGGTTCCAGCACGAGTTCCGTTGTTCAGGCAGGACCATGGCGCAGCCGTGTGGCTATCTGAAAAAGGAAGAAAAGTGAAAGACGGAGAGCTGTATAATACCTGGTGTGAAGCAATATCCTGGAACAACACGGTAGCTCTTCCCGCTGGAAGTTGTGACCTCAACGTTATGAACGAACGGACCAGGAGTGCAGGAGGTGACGGCATCAAGCTGGAACGGGAAAATGCAAGAAGATGCTTTGGCCTGAGAAGCGGCAGCAGCGAGAATGATTGAAGAGTCAAATGAGCTCAATCGGGAAACGGACAATGCAGTTGTGGAAGCCACGGAAGAGTAGAGAGATGGTCGTTGGTTGAATCCGTTGAAGGTGTGAGCGTAGTTGTTGTCAACGGTGTCGTCTTCAGAATAGGAGATGAGGACGTCACTCTGAGACTTGAACCAGACACGGGTGTTATGCAGAGGAACATTGTCGCCAGTGATGGTGATGGAGTCGCTGACTGATTGTTGAATTACATACAGCTGAAAGACAGAAAATGAAAAGTGAAGTTCACAGGATAACTCTGACCGCAAATCTCTGTCCAGATGAAGTTGGAACCAGTGTTTGTCCGTTCTTGTTTTGCACATTTGGAACTGGAAATAAACAAACTAAAAGAAGAGGAAAATGCACCCGAAACTCACCCGAAACGCCATTTTCAGTACTCAACAAAATGTAAGAGTTCTCCGTCGGGTTATCAGACAGAATCGGAATAGTTTTGATCAAGTTGTTATAGTATTGAACGTAGGTGTTTTGTCCGCCGATTGTGTAGAACAACAGATGAGAAACAACCTAAAGTCAATGAGAACTTGAATGAAACAGTCTTTTTTGAACCTCTTTGAGCTCAGTTTTGTCGACGACAAGAAGATCTCCGTGAACAGCAGTCACAACGCGGCGAAGGACATCAAAGTAGTTTCCAGAAGCGACAAGTGGAGTCGCGGACCATTGGGAAAGGACGAGGACGATCTGAAGGGGAGGAGGTTTGTTCAGACCTCTGAGGGTTCACTCACCTTGTTCCTCCATGAAAGTGTTTGTTGAATGACCAGACTTTCATTTGTGTTGCTGAGTTTGGTGGAAGGAGTCGGATCAAGAGTGTTCTCAGAGTCTGCGAACACGTAGACAGTCGACTTGGCACGCATCGAAGTGAATCTGAACGTTATTTTGGCATTTCCTTTTGAGAACGAACTTACGTGGACTGAGCACTGACGATAGCATCGAGATGGGGCTGATCGTCAGTGGAAGGAGCAATGGTCACTCCGTGGAGGTAGTCGAGGAGTCCCTGAGAGTTATCGAAAGAATTCGTCTCCATGAAATAAACGGATTCTGAAATAATTGAGATTCTCATAAACCTTCTCTCTGTTTTCTTTTACTGGAGTATCTATAAACTGTGACAATGTAGCTGGAAACAGCGATTCCGAGGTTGGTGTAGTCGTTGATCAGGGTGGGAACGTTCTCGATAACAGCGTTCAGATCGTAAGCCATCGAAGTTCGTGTGTTGATAACGAGAATAAACGATTGAGAGGAGAAGTCGACGACCGAGTCGATCTGAGTCACACACTTCCCTGAACAAAACTATGAAAACTCATATTTGAACTCCGGGGCTTACTGGCTTCGCAGTGCGCCGAATACAATCCGGGCGGACATGAGCATCTGCCACTCTCTCCGATTCCATTGTTGCGGCAACTGAACTCATACAATATTTGTATTTCTCTTTCTGAAATTCCTTACGAAACAAGTTCACAGTTGGCCCCAGAATAGTACGGAGAGCACGAACACGTGGCGTTTGGGAGAAGGATTCCTCCGTGCAAACAGTGGTCAACATCGTCTCTCTCGACGCGGAATCTCTTGCCCACATTCCCCTGCACTTCAAATTCTGCAACCGATATTTGTGCTCTTTGCTGCTCATTCTGACGCAACTACTGGTGCGCCTTCAAAAATGCAATATTTTACAACTAGAATGTCGATAAGATTGGCGGTGCTACCGGCGAAGAAAGTCGGAAAGAGCGCAGTCAGTTCAATCATACCATTCTTTCGCAAGAAGTATATTTGCACGTCGTCAGTGGCAGCAATTCGATCGATAATATCCTGGCGGGACACGGTTGGAGAGGCCACAAGACTGAGCCGAGCATGGAAAACAGCCGTGTCAAGGCCGTGAATCTTGTAGTCGTGCACCAAGAAATCTTCGAAATCAGGGCCAATAATCTCGGACATCTAAACAGTATAAAAGAGTTACTGGGAGGGACCAGGTCCACTTACCCTCTCGGACACTTTTTCCAGCTTTTCGGTGAACGAAACTTCGTCATAGTACTGCGGATTGATGTCGTACGAGTTGATCAAATCGATGTTTCCACGGATCTCATACTGCTCACCCACAACTGAAAAGGCTCACTTGCCAATCGGAGGTTCCGTCGGGAGTTTACCTGCTTGTAGGAGTGGCAGTAGCAAGCAGAGGGCCTTCATCGAAGGCGCCATCTCAGTCTCGTCTCTGTCGGCCGAACTGAAAGCAAACCGATGGCAAGCGCTTATCGGAAACTCGCAGTTTTATGAGCCTGTACTCGCCCACTGTTATCAATTCGCATCAAACAAAATTAGAATTTTATTGGTTAACAGGGTCCAAATTAGAATAGCCAAGGATCAAAAAACAGTGATATTCAATTGTTTATCGGTTGCGATCCGTTCTTTTTGCGCCCGAGCAGTCCCTTACTGTTGCACAACGATTCGGTGCAGCATCTGGTGGTCACATCGTTGTTCGTTTCCGCTTTACCACTCTGGAATCAAAAACCAGAGAATCAACGAACCTTTTCGGAATTGTTTTGGGAGATTAACACGCTTGGCCGATTAGAAGTGTTAGAAACGGCTTAGTTTTTTGCTCGCCGGAAACATTTATGATTTCACTGAACCCCTCGTTTACTTGAAACCTTCTCGTTCAGATGCCTTAACTCTAGTCTGATTCGTCCGTGGGATCTCGCTTCAAAGATCGCAGAAATTGCCATCTGCTGCTGACTCCAGTGCACTATTTTTGAGAGCAGAGACTGAACTCTAAAGCTCAGTGAGCCAAAATATGGTTTGTGCGTGAGAATCTCTCTGTCACTTTTCTGTTTTCTTCATCTCTCTTCCTCTGATTAATTCGTTTTGGCTGCCAGGAAAGTGCAGCGAGCACAGTCACGTTTCGATCAGATATCAGTTCGGATTGCAAAGAGTCAGATCTGAACGAGCTCCTTCATTACCCCGGGAACCACGGTGATGCCTACGTAATGTGTGCAAAGCCGAAGATCGCCATGGCGTCAAGCTTTAATATTTTCTTTTTTGGAAGCCATATTCTAATGTCACATTTGTCCACGTGAACCGCCCGTGTAAAGTACCTCACAGATGGTCAGAATTCGGCGGCTCGTGGCCAATCTCTGGCAATTCGCCGTCACTTCATCGTATTCGGTATTGTAGGATTCAATGCAGAACTGCATTCCGGGATCGCAACTTTCCTCCACAAACTGCTCGGAAAGCTTGTCTTTAACGTATCCGCGGCTACCTGCCAATTGATTAAGTTATCGTCTCCAATTAGTTGGCTTCTAGTTGTGTGCCCGTTTTCTTATCAGACCCGTAATTTATCGGGAGACACACGTGGAACATACTAACCTGCATAGCATTTGAGTGCCGACGCAAAAGAAGCGAAGAAACAAAAGGCAAAGAGAAGAAGGGAGAGCCGTTGATTCATAATCGAAGGGAACAGGCGGAAGGCCAAATGTGCACAGACGGGAAGCAGATTCCTCTTTTGTTTACATTCAAAACTATCTCATTTCACATTGTTTCGCTGGAAAAATCGGAGACGCAGACGCGAAAAAGGGCGTCCGGGCGAAATTGAATTATGATTTATTGATAGCGGTTCTGCTGCAGTTCCGGCGGCGATTGGAGTGTATTGTTGTGAAACAAAGACGTCACCATTGCGTGACTTTTGACTTGAATGTGGCAGAATCGAACGACACGGGCGCGGTTTTTTACTGAAATCGAATGGGTTGGGAACAATGGGGAGGAAAGATGATAGCGATGACTTATCAGAAAGTATTTTGAAGAATGATCAGGGTCACAAGGGGAGATGAAAAACAGAAAAGGAAGAGGTTCCCTGTTCGAAAAGTTCAACAACGTGTTCTTTGGTAGGATCGTTTTGCACAAATTGTTCAATGATACGGTAGAATGAACTTTGCGATTATGATTCCGATGGACATCGTTCACTCATTAACACATTTGCACTAAATGTGGGTCACGCATGAGTTCCCAGACTGGTTCGAGATCTGATGCCCTTCCTGTTGTGGCTCTTCTGCAGTCTGACGGGGAATCAATGTTCTCTAGTACGTACTCCTCTTAATTGTTTTCCCAATTTTTCTTGCCAGATGCTCAAATTGTATCCCTCGACTGGATATCAAATAATCAACATTTCACTCTTTGCTCAAATTCAGCTTCCGATTGAGATTGGCCGATTGGTTCCAACGTCATTATCTTCGAGACCCCTTCCAGTTTTAGAAATCCCGCGAAGGATTGGATTATGTCCTCCGGAATCACTTGTTGGTGCCAATTATGTCCGGCTGGAGTAAGCGAGTAATTTCTGTGTCCAGTGATATCACTGGACAATCACAGATGGTTACCGAGGGGCACCGGATGATACCGGATGATATCACCTTTCACTTAACATGAAATCATCTGTGAAGACATCCCCGAAGCGGCCTTGCCATCGCGGTGTTGACACATAGTTATTTGGGCATCGAAGTTTACGTCGAGATGCTAATTATGCATCAATGTTTGTGGCGTTGGACTTCTTCTCTTACTCTAAAACCTGAAATAACTGGGCACAAAGAACCATCCGAATCGATTTGATCCGATTGAAACGAAGGACTGTTGCTGAAAACCGAAGAGTGTAACATAATGAGAAGCTAGAATTCGGGCGGTAGTAAGCGGTTGTTGTGGGGCCTCGGAACGTAATCATCAGTTGTTTTTTCGAGACCAACTGCAGCAGCAACAGCTATCCCCCTTTAGCAAATGAATGGATGCTCACTTCCCGGTCAGAAAACCTTCAGATATTACTCATACATTTTTCAGTCAACTGACCTCCACGACTGCGGAAACTACCAAAGTTCCTTCTTACTTCCACCCTCACTTGTGTGTTTTTTTTCTCAATAATCTGGTTATTGGTTTGTTCGCGAACTTCCTGCCTTTTACGACTCTTGACCCGAACCAACTCAACCATAAAATGTTTCATCGTAACTCTTTTTCTTCTGTTGCTTTTCATCGTTGGCGTCTCAGTTTACATGGCTTCCTGGCGAGACGAGGAGGGGGGGGGGGAGTAATTGGAGATGTCGACGACACGTTTATATGTAGCCGTAGGAAGTGACCCAAGCGGAAGAACAGATACGATGGCACGCCGAGGAAAGATTGCATTCAGGAAAGTACAGTGAAATTGGAACGTGGCAGTGGTTCAGTGCTCCGGAAACGGCGTGTCCACGTCTATTTGCATCATGCTCGAGATAAATCTGCGGGGGATGTGCCTGGCGATTTGCAACGCGGAAGCGGACCCACAAGGACAATTATCTGCAGTGCAACCCACACACACACACACAACATTTTCAGATTCATTTCTGGTGCTTGTCATCAGGAATGACCTTTTGGGGGATTGGGTCTCCTGCTGCGCGACGGAAGTGGAGGCGAAACAATTGGAAGATGTGGTCCCTGACCGCTGCCAGTTCGATGATATGCGCCCACGTAGAGCCGTAATAGGCGAAAAGAAGAAGAAGAAGGACAAAGCAATAGGATTAGGCGGAAAGGTCAGAATGGACGGGCCTATCACATCATTTCCCCGTGCTTACAATATTAGGTTTCACTTTGATGGAAAAGGACGGAGCAATGGGCTGAGATTCGGAAAACAAAAGAACAACGTTCTTGACTCTTGATACCGGGTAACTCAACGAAAAGGTGTTCATTATTTTGATACAAAACCCGACGTGTGATTCAAATACGTCAGTTGGCAACAACAGAACGCGTTGGTTCCGATTACACCATCCATTCTCTTGGCTTGACGCCAAACGTCCAAAAAGAAACAAGAGTCTCGGAAGGGTCATCCGGGACGAAACGTCATTTTTACTGCCATTTTGCACCTCTTCCCACCTCAGATCGAATTTCATTTGGGTCAGGCAATGGGGCACCACAGAACATGGGATCTTATTGATCTGAAACTCATTGGCCTCTTTCGCAGGTTGCTCGCCTGGCACGACCTTCTCGGATTTCGGTGATTGAACTTTAATTTAAAAAGTGATACCATCCAAATTACCAGCGCACATCATTTTTTTTCAGATTTTGTTGTTCTTTGTACTTGTTGTCCGTCTAAGCTCCTCCTACCGTACGCCTTCGTGTTGCCTGGAGCTCGGAGCATAAAGAGCGCGGCTGTTAGCCCCGCCCACTGCGATCGGGGCGGCTCCTCCTCAGACGGAGACGTGAACTTTCGATTCCTTCATCGCATTCAGCTTTCAGTCGCGTTCAGTGTTGCTCCAACTGAGATGTTCCACGTTCTCTTTCTCTATTTCTGCGTTGAAACTGTCGCCACTCAGATCTTTTCTGAGACCATCGGCAAAGTGATCATCAAGCAGAATGCTTGCTCAGTCATGCCGAGCCGCATCTGGAAAAGGTAAGTGAGCGATCATCCGCTGCCATTTTCACCGCTCCTGACCCGAAAAGACGACGAAAAGACGGGGTATTTGAGGGGATAATGGCTTGGCGTCAAACAATTGCCTATTTCTGAGCCGCCGGCCTGAATCAGCAACACGTTCGAATCCATTCATACTTAATCTAGACCAAATCCAAGCGAGTTTTTTGTGAAAACAAATCCACGTCACTTGAATAGTGATGGTGTTGATCTCTTTTGTGTTTCGGGTCAAAATGACCAAGATCCGTTTGGGGGGCAAAAAGAGAGATCATCAAAAATTCAGCCAAAGAATGGAAGGTGTGACGTCTCCTGACTATGAAAGCGAGAACATTCATAACCCCGCGCTCTTCTGGAATAGAGCCAAGAATATCCAAGATCATTCTGTGCACGTGTATATTTCGGTTTTCAGATTCAACCAGCATGGTCCGAAACCTCTTGGCGAATACCCGCCGGAGACCCTCAAATTCCTGATGACCTGGGTCCACTCGGCACATGGTGTCGAGAGCCAGCTCGAGAATATGCTGCTCAAGTGGGAAGAGCAATCGGTGGGTGACGTCAAGTCAAATACACCCTCTCATTGTTCTTTCCGTTTTTAGATTTGTTTCAAAAACGCAACAACGATGTCGCTCAAGAAAGTGGCGCACGGAGGGGAATTTTCGCGCGAGATGCAGACGTTCTCGTACCTCGAAGTGCCAGAATTCTGGGCCGCTCGAGATGAGGATGATCTGAATACCTGGAGGGTAAGCACGTCGACAATTTAAAACTTTTTCAAGCAGACTCATTTCAGAATCTGAACGTTGACGAATGCACCAGCACGGACGAAGTAACGTATAGATGTCCAGAGAGTGCTTTCAAAGATTCCTGCACGCAAAAGGATCTCGATAAGTGTTCGGAACGGATTGAAATGGACAGCTCCGAGCACCTCGTGAGTTTTTCACTCGCTCATCCTCTGGAACATTTCCAACCCGATAATCTCCCCCCATTCAATCCGATTGGTTGCAGTTCACATTCACCCGCCGTCTCGCGAACTCCCATCTGATCGCAACTCGTGTTCGCAGAGGGAGCGTAATCCGAAACGGCAACATTTTCGACATTAAACCAGTGGAATTGCCGGAAAGGATATTCAAAATCACTCTGGCAGCAACAGATATGATGTCGATAGGCGGCGTTCTTCTCAAAAACTGACAATACCGACTCGCTCTTGTTAATTGTTCCTTTTTAGTTCCGAATGCCCCCTTTTCAGTGACTCTCCTTCACACTTCCATTTATTTTTCGATTAAACTCATTCCGGGTATGCTGTTCTGACTGTGAGTTGATGTGTACCTTTTCATGTATTGTCCCCCTCGTTACCTCATTTCGTTGCTGTCAAAGTAGTATAGCCCCTTTGTTTCGATAGTTTCACTCTGCATCCCCATCCCTTTTCTCTGTCCGTTTTCTGCCCATAAAAGTAAATTTATTCATAATGGGACTGTTGTTCGAATGCATCACTCGTTTCCCCTCACAGAGCAGTGATTCATCCGATCAGACATGTTCTGTCGAGTTCTCGTTCTCTGCTTAGTCGTCTTTAATCTATGTGCGGCCTACCTGAAACTAGATTACAATGATCAGGCCGAGCAGATTTACACTTGCGAAATCGACGTGAGTCAAAACGAATCACGTGGGTGATTTCAAAACAGAATCACGGGATGTGTTACTCAAACTCATCTATTGCGAGGATAAAACTCTCAAAAGCGGATATATTTTTTAAAGACTAGAATCTTAAAAAACCAATCATTTTTGTCAGGGCCTTGTGGATCAGAATGTGCACCAACTGCACGGAACTCTTGTAAATTGCCAATCGCCTCCGATGGAATGCTCCATTGACAGCGACGAATATCTCGTGAAGTCTCGCACAAATGTCGAGTGTCGCGTACCTTCCAACGGCCTGTTTTACCACGACGATGTTCGTTTCTTGAAAACTAGGTTACTATAGGTTCTCAGACGGCTCGAGTTTCCGACTTCTCAATCGAATTATGAATACTATGAGTAGGTCATAAATAGATCAGGTCACAGCTAACTCGATTACGAAAAGCATGATATCAGAGTGCGGCCGCTTAAGACTTGATAGTTCCGCGGGGATCAAAAAGAAGAGGGACTCAACACTCTATCAATTCAGAAAGCGTGCTCATTCCGTTTCTACTACCGTCGCAGCTACTGCTTCTACGTCAGCAGATGCTACAGCCTGACCATGTCGTGCCAATCCGTCGCCACGCCCACCGTCCTCTTCTACATTCGTTCGTTTGCCATGCTGTGTTCGCTCTCATTACCATCTCTTGTTTTCAGTACTTTTCTGTGTCGCCCTTGTCGTCATCCTCTTCTTCTCGCTCATCATCTACTGCATCTACGAATGCTGCTGGAGAACCACCGACTTGAACATTCCGAAACAGTACGCTGTCCACGTGGCAATCCACCCGATTCTCCCACTTTTCAGAGACAAGAAGATCGAACGCGTGCTCCGTCGAAGTCAGAAACTAAGGGAAAAACAGACGGCGTACGCTCCAGTTCATTGCGAAACCGCGTTCTAATCACATTGGTTATAATAATTATTTAGTTCATTCAAATGTGAGCTCAGAAAATGGTTTTGGGAAAAGATAATTTCGAATTCAAAATAAAGAATGTAGCGGGAAACAAAGTAAATGAAACTGTCCACAATATGAGATAGAAGCCCCGGAATTTCTGTGGAAATGGCCGATGAAGGAAGAAGAGATGAAGAGGAGATGCGTTGAACTCAGAGAATATCGTCAAAGTCGGTCTGTAATTATTTGTGTAGAATAAGGGTTGCGCGGTCGATTTTTAGAGGAAGGTAGGGTCTGAATAAGCAAAGATTACGGTGAAGCTCACGCAGAAAAACAACGACTGAAAGGGACCCTACCTCAGCCGAAGAAGCATTCGATTCCTTGTGTTGGATGGCTGGCAACGAGTACTTTCTCGAATCGTCGATGCTCATTTGATGCATGCGGTGGGCAATGTCCGCCGTCGTTCCGGCCTGTGAACATGAGCATTCATACTTGAAAACGCACCTTGATCTCACCTTGATTTTCTTCATCACATCGCGCAACAAATACCGCCAGAGAATGATGACGTGGTCAACGTCTTTGTCATTCATTCTCTTCGAAAATGCGTGGCGAAGGCAGTATATGGAGCACTCGAGAAACACGGACCAGTAGTAAGATCTGGAGAACTAGGATCGGAATGCGCAAAGATCAGACGTCTGCCCACCTGAACTTTCCGTTCACTTCCAACTTTCCGTGTCTCCGTCCCAGATTGTCGAGGATAACATCGAGAGAAGAGAGGTGGTCGAGTGCTTTGACTGCTCCTTCGATCACCTGAAACTTCTTCATCACTATTGTTTTTTTCCGGAAACGGAACCAAACCTGCATGAAGCGCATTGCTTGAAATGCAAATTCATTGTTTTTTCTGTCTGGCTTCGATCCGACAAATTTGAGTTTGGGGAAAAGACGGCGGGCTTCCGGACACTGCAAGAGGTCACAGATGATTAGTTGATTCTCTTGATCTCTCAAAGGCCCGCTGCAGTTTTCATTCTCAGAAAAGGAAATTGAGGCGCGAGGGAAATGAAAGGAAATTGGAAGACGGACTCTTGTTTCAATTCTCCTCCAAGGGTAATCAGAAGGGTAATGTTGACGGAAAACGGCGTCACGGGGCCTCTCACCGACCTGGTTGAAGATCATCTCGTAGATGTCGCACGCGATGTGGTTCTTCTTCGCTTCGACCAGATTCCACGAGTGCTCCAGATCGTTCTTCTCCTCCTGAGTGAAGCAGTACCAGGATATCGCCGCAGGTGCCATGTCCTCGATCTCCTGTAATCCGACTCAATTGCACCCGGACACTTTTGTTCTTGTTTCTCGTTTCCATTCGCGGTCTCCGTGACTCATGCAACATTTTTCTGGAGGAAAAACTCGAAAAAGATTGAAAATCATCGCAGGATTCCCACGCCTCTCCACCCGAATATCTTCTCCGCGTGCCTTGTTTACCTTTGACTTTTTTGCGCCGCAGGGCACAATGCAAGTGCGGTTGCAAAAAGAGCAAAATGGGAGAGAGACCGAGAATGGAAACGAGATAATTGGAAGCATGTTCGTCACAATTCGGCGAGGAAAAATGGGACAGAAAGGAAAACGGAAAGGGACTAAGCAGGAAGGCTCTTCGGCAGAAAGAGTAAGAACATTTCACAAAGAGTACAATACCACAAATCCCTTTTTTCTTCCTAAACGCTTCAAACTGATATCTAGACCAAAAAAGACGCACATTAAAACGTACCGTAATGACGAGTTTGACACCAAGCGGATCACACATTTTGAGAGACTCTACTGGAAATCTCTTGTTTCAGAAACGGATCAGTGGCAGTCGAGATCGAACAGAAATGTTTCTTTTTGTGTGCGTGCCGCTCTCCGCTCAGAAAAGGCGTCGAATGAGGGGAGGAGCTCAGGGATGCGCAGGAGAGAAGGGTGGTCGTAAAACGAGCCGTGCTCCCTCGTTTCTCGCCGGTTCCGTGTCCCACTCTGTGCCCATTCTATCCTTCATTCACGGATCCCGTGATCATTTCAATTAGATTCATCAATGAGTTCTGCCCGCAATTCCTTTTGCGAATTTGTCAAATCGGTCGTAAAATGAGAAGTTAGGGGTTAAGGAGGGCTTGATCGAATTTACGTTTTTGCACAATGCGATCAAAGAGAAAAAAGGGTATGTAAACATTCGACACGGAAAAGGGACCTCAACTTTTGTGACGAGGTCTGCTCTTCGCACTCATCAGAAAAGATATGAAGAGAGTTTGACGTCAGATTGGGGCGGAGTCCCTCTAAGCAGCTTACATAAAAAGGGCAATCAGGAAGGCGTTGACGAGAAACGGAAGCGTCGGAGGACCATATCAAAGGTGGGAGGGAACAATGACTCAAATGGAATGAACGAGACCGAAAACAGAAAATATGGGCCGAAGAGATTACTGGAAATGCCTCCCTCTCTCCTTCTCTCAATTTTTTCGAGATTAAACCTATTCGATGCAAATAGTTGTGTGAAACGGAAGAAAGGAACCAAAGAGAGCCAGAAAGCCCAGTTATTCTTTCTCTTCTTCCTACTTCCGCCGATCTTGGCGTAAAAGTGCTAAGCTCGGCGTATAATTGAATGGCTGACTGAGCGAGTCTTGTCTTCCTCTCCTTCTCCCGTAAATTGTGGTAATCAGGAAAAGAGTGAAGAAGACGCGGACGCCTCGCTTCCCTTTTCGGATTCATGACTAAAAAAGACCCGAGAGGAGGGTTCTTGTACAACAAAGTTCTGGTAAAAGTGAGCTAAATGAGTGAAGCTTGAAATACGAAGCGGGGAGGGTCCGAGACCACCGACCACTTGGGCGATCAGAGCATCAGCCCGTTAACCAAAAATATCCAAAGAAACAGTCGGGGACACTTCCAAGAAAAACGGAAGTTTAGAAAAAGAAACTCGCATGAATGGAAAGTTGGTGCTCGTTCCGGATCATCAATTCAAAGCCGACACCGCCTATCTCTTCCGTTTTCCATTGCTCGTTCATCAAACCAAAACACGGAGGAAAGGCGTCTTCCGACATCACAGTACGTGCAATCCGCCAAAGAACGTCTGGACTGGGGAAGAGAGTCCCCCGGAAAACACTTGTCGTCGGGACACAAATGATGATTAGGACGGGGGAATATGGCCAAGACGTTGATAACTTTGTCCCCGGCTCTCTGCAGGCGACTTTCTAAAGTGAAGTGTTGCTCGTGACGTCCTATTCCTTCTGGAGTCTAATGCAAGTGAACTCTCTGTCAACTTAAACAAATGAATGCGTGGCGACGTTTAAAAGTTTCGAGTTTCTCTCACTGATCATTGGCAGTTCGCACTCTGGTGACGCACAGTCGGTGGCTTCTGCCCTCCCACTATTCCGACTGGTCACACTCGCTTCTGCATCACCGTGCACACCATCTCTTCGTCCGAAATAACATCCCCCCCCCCCTTACGCGTGTATGATATTGCAAATAAACGGGAAGAAGTCGAAAAGTTTCCGATTTGCATTTTCATTTTCATACTCTCGGCATGAAACCACTACGCGAAAAGTCATGACATTCGAGCCGCCAATGGAAATCGGAGACGTAACTAGTTTCTGTGTACTTTCGAGACTATTTTGCGCCGGCTCGCAAAGAATTTGGCAACACTAAATGACGAGACTTTGCACCAAGGGACTCGCGGAATTATTCACACACTTTTCAAATTCAAAAGTTTGCAAAACTTTGAGATGAAATTCAGAAATATTAATGGGAAATTGACAATCTTTGAACCTCTGAGTGTCCAAAAAATGTGATGTTGTTGCGATGAAATTTTGTATCTATTCATTTGTCTGTCTTAATCCTTTTCTGCCTGCCGCGGCCCCTTCTTTTCTTCGCTTCGTGGCGCACAAACGCATCGGAAAAGAAGGCGAATCGACGCAAAACGCTGCTCATGGCGATGACATTTCATTAGCACCGAGCTGACGTGGCAACTGGGGGTACCACTTCCATCAAAATGAGTTCAACGGAGCGAACGAACGGGAAAACGACTGCGACATTCTGGTATTTTTGCTAAGATCCGGTGGGAGACTGGGCCACGTCATCCGTGGGATCCGAATTGAAACCGCAAAGAACTAGACGCGTTTGCAAACCGACGGAAATTGAAAGTGTAATGGAAGGCACAGATTAACTTTTGGGGCGAGAAGGGCTGTCCCTTCTTCTTCTTCTTCTTCTTATTCTTCTCATCTCCTTCTTCTTCTTCTTCTTTACCCAAAAAGTTCATCGGAAATGGAAAAGAGCGCTTTCTGGACCTTTTTTGCTTCTTTCTTTGTTCACTATTCATCAAACTAGGAACGAGAAGAGAATCTCATTTTTGCTCCGTTTTGACACGGTATTTGCAGGATTGCACGCAAAATGTGTTTACAAATAGCCGTCATTGTACTCGAAAACGAGAGCTATTATGTGTTTAGGAAGCGAGTATCTCAAAGATGAGTAAAAATGGACGGACGGAGGAAAAGCCAGCAGATTGGGTTCGGAAATCGAATTTGGAACGTGCAATGTTGCACATTTTAGATAGGGTCGATGGACGAGCAAACCGACTTCTCCAGATTTTTTCGAGGCTTAGAAGTTTGTCATGTCACGTGGGACAGAAAAGGGTCCCAAGCCGACTGAACACATGCTTCAGCGATCATGAAATGGAAAAAAGGAGTTGAGTGTGAAGTAAATACTTGAGAACCGAACAGAACACCGCGATAGAGAAGCTCACAATATTCAGGAAGTGAAGTTTTCACTCCCGTTGCTTAGCGATTCCCAAAAAAAGAACACCAATTGGGCGGTTGGTCTACAATTACGTCATTGGGTACACATGCGGCCATTAGGAGACGTGAAACGTTTCCGTAATCCGAACTTCTTCGTCATAGAAGACACCGATTTGTTTGCCGAGAATAGACAACGACTCATCGCTGTCGGAAAAGAAGAACGAGCACTCGGAATGAGCGGTTCTTCTCGCCGAAAAGCCGACGATTCCCTAAGCCCCGCCCCCTCCAGACTACCGTAGAACTTGAATGTTCAGAGTTCAGGACGAAGAAAGGTTTCAGAAAGTGGGCCATTGAAATTAATGAAAACTTGTTACGATGGCCATCAGCCGAACGAAGAGAAACTGGAAGGCGTCGGCCGGGAAAAGTCTCCGGACTGCTTCCTGTTTTCGAGTTGCATATCACGTGTGTCGGAGTGTAGTATGTTTGTAATTACATCAAAACATTTATTTATACGCACAACTAGAAACACGAAATGTCCGTCGGCCCTCACAATTTTGACTCGCCCGACCTGGATTACTTATTCATAAACGGCGCCGTTTGGTTGGTTAAAATCTTTTTCTCCGCTCATTAACACATTTCGAAAGAAGCGGAAGTGTTGCCAGGCCAACGACAGCTCTGATTATGTCGAGCAACACTCGAATTTGTTGAAAATTGTATAGTTGTGTGACTCGAGAGCATTCTGATCTTTCGCCTCAAACACGCGACTAGGATAACATCTTGGTTCTCTGGTTTAACCGAATTCCGTCATGATGTGCATCTCGGCCCACTCATTCAGTGAGATCACATTGACGGAAAAATGGAAAGGAACGCGGTTCGTGACCTGTTTAATCTGCAGTTCGACCGGTTCAGCATAATGAATGCAAAGTACGGGAGGTAGTTTAACTACATTCGGATGAAAAGTGTCCACAAAACGTTCACCAACCTTCGATTGTTTCCTCTCGTCCGTCGGTGCACTATGCGACCGAACAACGGCAATCCAATTCCGATACAGCTTGACTCGTTTCTCTTGGCTTTCGACTGAAACTTCAATTCCAAAAATGAAGGCACATGGGTATGAGGTCTTTGACTTTTGTGTAAGAATAGTCGAAAATACTCTCGGTTGGCTGAATTTATCAGTCGAAGCGTCAGGCTTGCTCGGTGAGCTCCGTGATCTTTCGACTGGGCGTGGGAATGATCAGATTCAGCGAATCGTGTCATGCGCCGAAACAAAGTGACGAGATTAGGGATTTTCGGAATGAAAGAATGGTGGGAACTTGTAGTCAACGTGTCCTTCATTTCTGGGTATTCGCTCTTTCTGTTGTCTCGCGACAGTCCGAGGTGACTTTGTGATGTGTGAAGCCTTTTCGTTCGGACCCAATTACACGTCTGCTTCTGGGACTTCTTTGTCTACGCCGAATCGTTGTTTGAACTCAAGATTGAAGAAAGGTTTTGATGGGCCCATCAAAGGTTTTACGGCTCTTTGGCAGCGAGCGGCGGTAGCGAGACGAAAATTGAAATTGGAATTGGGCCGAGGCAGTTTGCAAAAACGGAAATTACGGTGGCGCTTCTTTGCAGCCCGACAGCGCTTAGTCATGATTAAATCGAAATGTCTGGCAGATGAAAATAACATTGTCTCAAGAAACAGAAGGGAAAATTGAAATGAAAGATAAGGGGAACAAGGAGTGCTCTCACGAGACAGCACCGTCTTCGAGCAGATCATCAGGTGTATGCCGCCATTTCATTCCTCTTCTCACGGTCCCAATCACCAGTATCCTTCCGAATGAGACATGGCTACAAATGAGGCATCCGCACTGCACTGAATGACACCTGGGTTGATTACGTTGTTCAGATTTCCAATGAACTCCCCGCGAACATCCCCCTCTCTCTCTTTCTCTTTCTTTCTTTTCTCGAATCCAATCTCTCTTTCTCGCTTCCGCTTGTTCGAATTCTTCTCTTCTCTCTATCATCCTCCCGGTTTTTATCATTTCAATACCAATGTTCTCATAACCATCCTTTTTCAGTTTTCAGTTCATTATCACAAATCAAATCCGTCATCACCGCCTCCTCCTCCTCCTTTTCCCCGTCTACCCATTCCTTTTCGATCGCATTTCAATGAACTTCTGTGGCTTCGTGACGAGATTCATCCCTGTCCGATGGCTGGTCTACGGTAATTTCTTTTCCTGATCCTTCCTTTCTTCCCATCAAAATCTGCTCGTTTTCAGGATTGAGTACTACACTTATCACTCTTCTCTATGCTCTTCGTCTCGCATTCCACACGACTATCATTTGCCAACTGAAAAATGAGACCGGTTCGTGTATCTTCTTCCCTCGTCAGGCTGACAGTTCGGCGTGAAATTATCACAGGCGCGGGTCAAGACTGATAACAGAATGGGCATTCTTTGATATATATTCGATTCAAAAGCGAGTACTTCGTTACCTACGCATTCATTGCAGATTCATTTCTACACGATGAAGATCTCCGACAGTACTCATTCCAATCAGTTGGGTTCGGATTGGCACTCGGATTGGTTCCACTGCACTTTCTCAATTCACTGGGAACAAGGTATCGAGTAGAAGGTGCTATTACACGAAATGAAAAATGTGATGTTACAGGTATGTCACTACAATCTATGGAGTAATGGGTATCATATCGGCTATTCTCTACCCGACCTCTTATCAACTCGGCTTCTATCCATCTTTCGCCGTCCGACTACTCCAAGGTGCTCCACTCGCCATCCTCCTCTGGCTCATCGCAAAAGTCGCATCGGAATGGACCCCTCAGTCCGAGAAGGCTCTTGCAATTGCCATTCTCACTTCCGTTTATCAAGTTGCTCCATTCGTTGCTCAAACGACGGCTGCCGAAATGTGTCATTACTTCCGATGGGAATACACGTATTACGTGTTGGCTGCCCTCTGCTCTGTTTGTCTCCTTTTTTTCAATTATACGTATTCCGAGAAGCCAGAGGACAACAAGTGGGCAATGAAAAAAAAAGAGAAAATAACAATTTTGCAATTTTCAGGCTGGCAACAGCGGAGGAGATTGCTTTGATAACGGAAGGAAAAGGGAAAGGATCCGAACAAATATCCACCGAAGTTCCCTATTCTCAACTTCTGCTGGATCCAACCGTTTGGGCTACGTGGCTTGCTAATTTCGCCTTCTTCTCCTCTTTGTTAGTGTTCCTGCAGTACGGATCACTTTATATCAACCAGGTTAACAGTGACCGTCAATTTCCCCCAATTATCCTCCCTTTCCAGGTGCTTGGATTCTCCGTCCGAATAACTGGTTACTCCGGTGGATTCTCTCATGTGTTCTGTTTGTTTGCAAAAATCATTTTCGGAAAAGTTATGGATTCGAGCAAAATAGACATGACGACGCGGTTGAGAACGGCGTGGGCGGCCGTTGAAGTGCCTTCTCTCGCTCTCCTTTTAACACTGCTCTTCGTGAGTTTCATTCCAAAAAAGTTGTTGACCAACAGATTTAATTGCAGGTTCGAGACGTTTACATTCAGTTAATCTGCATTGTACTCTTTATCACAATCCACGGAGTTGCAATCGTTATCATCGTGAAGACACAAACCTTCGTGAGTTTCCGTATCCCTCCCCTCGAATTCCTTGAGAATTATTCAGCGCTCAGCAGAACACAACCACATTCTGGCAAACGGGAACACTTTTTGCGTTGTCATCTGTCTCTTCCTCCAGCCTCTAGTTATAAAACTTCTAGTTCAGTCGAACACTTTCGATGAGGTCAGTAGGAAATCAGGTTTTGTTAGCCCGCATCAATCTGTTTCAGTGGTCCCGCGTGTTCGGTCTTCACGCCCTTATCATTCTCGTGTCCGTCGTTCTCTTCATTTGCAAAGTTGATGCAACTGCCGCAAAGTGGACGGGCATTCAGAAGGTTTCCGACAAGCCGTAATAGTTAATCGAATTAGTACGAACGGGTGATCGATTGCAAATGTGTTCCTAGTATTGTTTGTTCACCGAAACTACAAATTCATCACTTCTCAAATGAAACTACAATCCAACCAATTCTTAAAAAGCGAATCGAAATTTCTCTGATAACCGTTTCAACATGATCAATTCGACGGAGAATGCTAGTTGACATGTACATTAACTGTAGCCTAGAGACATTTAACGACAACATGTTTGGTTTCAAAAAGCGTCTGATGGAAAGATAAATACTTCAATTCGGCACGTGATCATACTGATTGGGTGTTCTGAGATCACGAGAGCAGACATACTTCCGAGGTGTTTGCTCGCTTAGAACATTCGCAGTTCGAAGAGAAAATGATCAAGTAGCTGATGATTGTTCACAAGGCACAACTCAGGTAATTTTCGGCAAGGGTGGGGCGCGCGAGCGGCAAATGAGTAGCAAGGGTTCCAAGCACAGAATCGGCACCCTTACAGCAATTTGCCGCTTCCAGTCGGCACCCTTACAGCAATTTGCCGCTTCCAGTCGGCACCCATACCGATTCTTGCGGCAACTTGCCGAAAATTACCTGAGAACTGTTGACAATAAAACAAAACAATGAAAAATAAGTGATGATACTTTGAAACTACAGTGAGCTCTAGTCTGGTGCCTTCCACATTCCAGACAACGGGCCACATTATCTCGAAAGAGGTCCCATTCAAGCAGTGTCCGCACACAATTTCATAGACTCCCTTACACTCGGAATATCAGATGACCACCTCCATAAAACACTCTTAACGATTTCTCGTTTCTCTCCGCTTTGTACAACTTCTAGTCTATTTGCTCTTATCACCGATCAGAAGTGATAAAAGAACACAGGGCCGCCTACTTTTTGTGCATTTCACAATTCACTCGTCTTTATTTTTCCCTTCTCAATGGCTCAAAAGAAGAGTCTTCTGATTGTCGGCGCTGGCGCCTCGGGCCTTCCGTCTCTTAGACATGCCCTGCTCTACGGAGTCGATGTGACCTGCTTGGAAGCGACCGATCAGGTCGGAGGACTTTGGAAGTACAAGCCGCAAGAAACAGAGTGTGAGTTTGAAAAGGTACACTTTTAAAGGGTGGTCTTCCGGTTGTAGTATCGTCTGTGATGAAGACTACCGTGATCAACACCTCGAAGGAAATGACTGCGTATTCGGATTTCCCTCCAGAACCCACAATGGCCAATTTCATGCACAACACCGAAATGCATAGATATCTCGAAAGCTATGCAAACCATTTCGGTCTTCTGAAGCACGTGAAATTCAATCACAAGGTGAACTCCATCGACAGAAACGAGGACTACGAAAAGACCGGAAAGTGGAAGGTCAACTACACCGACGAGTGAGCACTTCCGGGGTACTTTGAGCAACAACCTCTTCTTTTTTTCAGCCAAGGAGCCACTTACGATGCCACCTTCGACGGTGTTCTCTTGTGTTCCGGTCATCACACCATCCCGCATTGGCCTCAGAAGTTCGAGGGACAAGACGATTTCAAGGGTCGTATTATTCATTCTCATAGTTACAAGGTGAGCCGCCGGTCATTTTATGGCCATCATCACTCACTTATCAGTTACGCGGGACATCAATAGTGTCGCCGACTATACATTGATACGGTTTCCTCTTGTCCATCGAATCACAATACTTCAGGATCATCGGGGCTACGAGGACAAAGTGGTTGTTGTCGTGGGAATCGGAAATTCAGGAGGCGACGTGGCAGTCGAGCTGTCTCGCATTGCAAAACAAGTGTATCTGGTCACTCGCCGTGGAACATGGATCTTCAATCGCATCTTCGACTACGGAAAACCAATTGATATTGTGATGAACAGGAAAGTGTTCTCCGACATCAGAGGAGTCGTCCCCGAGTGGCTGTCGAACACAGTGGTCGAGGCCAAGTTAAACATGCGATTCGACCACCAAACGTACGGATTGAAGCCGAGCCACAGAGTGTTCGGAGCCCACCCGACTGTCAACGACGAACTTCCTAATAGAATCGCGTGCGGAACTGTCAGAATAAAGCCGAACATCGTCAAGTTCTCCGAAAACGGAATGATGTTCGCAGATGGAACCAAATTAGACCATGTGGATGAGGTTGTGATGTCGACCGGATTCTCGTTTGAGTTCAATCTAGTCGAAAAGGGAAATCTCATCAAAGTTGACGAAAACCAAGTGTCTCTGTACCAGTACATGCTCCCAGTCGAACTCGGAAACCACAACTCTTTGGCCATCATCGGACTCGTCCAGCCGTTCGGATCGATCATGCCGCTGTCTGAAATGCAATCGAGAGTATTCTTGGAGCAGTTCACAGGAAAAAACGTCGTCCCGAGCAAGGAACGCATGGAGGACAACGTGCTTCAAAAGCAAGAGGAAATGTCCAGAAGATATGTGACAAGTCGGAGACACACTATTCAGGTGGATTACGTGGACTACATCGAAGAGCTCGCCAAGCTCATCGGCTGCACTGTCGATATGAAAGCTCTTTGGAAACAGGATCCATGGCTCGCCGCCAAGGTTCGTTTCTGTGCTATTTCAGCTAATCACGGGCCCTTTTGACAGGTGTACTTCGGCCCGAGAGTTCCGTACATTTACCGTTTGAACGGTCCTCACAAGTGGGACAAGGCCAGAGAAGCAATTATGACCGTCGACGAGAGAATCCTCATGGTGGACATAGTTTAGGAAATTAAACAACTGGCATTGGTTTCAGGCGACAAATGACAATTCCCTGGTGGAACCCGACTATTCCCTTCTCTACACGGTCGGAGCCGTCCTCGCCCTACTGATTGCCCTTTACATCATATTCTGAAACATTTATCAATAAAAGTAGTATAAGAATACCGTATTTCGCTAGGGTAAAAGAGAGAGAGAGAGAGGGAGAATAGAGACAAATATTTAGAATAAGTGACTCGATGAACGGTATCTTGTAGAGAATGTCTTCGACTCGATTGTCGTTCACCTCGAATGCCACAAAGAATGCCACAAAATGCCACAATCCACAATAAAACTTGCATACAGGTAACACTTGCATGCAGGTGTGTGCGTGCGCGTGTGCTTATGCGTGTGCGTGTGTGTGGAATCTAGAATTTTCTCATTCTTATCATCATGGACCGCTACCAGTACCCGCACCCTCCTGCGTGCACCGATTCTATGGACACTGTTGATATACCACTGACTGATTTATTCGAAGCGAATAACTACCCGCTTTCTCAAGTGAACCCTCACGCCAACACGGAATTTATGTGTTTCGTATCGTCAGAGCAAGTTGTCACTATGTGGGACATGTGCTTGGGAGGCACCATTATTCCAAACGGACTATCAATGTTGGATTCTGCACGAACCCGGAAAGTGATTTATTTGGGAAAGACTATCTCGCTGGACTTGTATTATTTGCTGCGCTTTGATATTCGCCTCGAGTACCCAAATTCCCCACTCTTGCGAACTTTGACCATTGGAGCCGTATTATAGCGGCACCGCACAGAAATGGCGCTCTGTTGAGAAACTCTTTTTGCAGTGCAAAGTGAGCGACCTCGGGGCAGAGTTTGAAAAGTTAGGCCACGTTTTCAGTGGAAAATTACTTCGCGGCGTAGAAATTCTGCTAGATTGCGAACAGCGCGCCCTTTCTATCCGGTGCCCCTATAATATTTTTCGGTGCATTGTTTTTCTCTGCGTCTCCATTTTTTAAATGAGTTTCCGTAGTGATCAAGAATGTATCCAGCAGTGTTGAGCGGAATTCCGTCTGCCGTCTTCCGTCTTCCGGATTTCAAAATTCCATTTCCGCTCAACTCTGGTATCCAGGCCGAGATGTCTGCGTCTCTTGTCTATAATTCGTCTGTTCGTCTGCGTCTCTCGGTTTTACACAGTGTTTCGTCGTGTCGGGAGCGGGGGCACTGTCTGACTGTCTGCGTCTCTCGTATTGCGTACAATATTTTACAGACTTGCAACGGGCCGGGCCGGGCCGGGCCGGGCCAAAATTGGAAATTTTCCGGCCCGCGGCCCGGCCCGGTCGGCCCGGGAGGATGCACCTAAAAATTCAAAGCGAACTAGAACTTCGAAACGAACATAATTTTATAGACTTAAAAAGGCAATGTTATAGCATAAAAACCTGTCAAAAAATAGAAATTGCTGTTTAAAGTCGCAAAATTTTCACAAAAATTACGAAAATTTTCTCAAGAGTGGGCGGAGCCGGGCCGACCGGGCCGGGCCGGGCCGACGATTTGCTGGCCCGGCCCGGGATTTGGCAAGTCTGATATTTTACCCTATCAATCGATTCCGCCCAGTACATTACACTCTTCTCGCGAATTTATTTGCTATCGAAGAGAGGCAGACACATTTCCAGTGGCTCGCCCATGAAGATCGATACTTTTTCCGTTTTGGCTCTGCCTCCAGAAATCATTATTCATGTGTTGAGAAATGTGAGTGAAAAGAAAGGAAGCACGAATCCACGTCATTTCATTTCAGTACAAGTACGAGACATTGATCGATGTTTCTATAACATGCAAGGCTCTGAATCAGCTAATCGAGAAAAACAGGAATCATCTTGCTTCAAAAGACATTTATCACATTGACTTGGTAATCAGAATTATTCACAATGCAGGGTTAAAAGAAATTCAGGAAAGAAGACGTGTCCGGGCATGGCGCACATTCTCGTGGTGCGATCGAATTCCGTTCCGCTCGTTCGAATACATTTCCAAGTTTTTTTGTAATGTGAACGTGAAGGTGTTTACTGTGGTAAACAGAATAATTAAGTTGATCACCAGAATGTTACACTTCTCAGAACAAACTGGACGAAGAGATTTGCGCCTTCCTCACCGAAAAGGCCAAGAATCAGATGCTCCGGTTCGAGCAACTGAGACTGTTCCATTCGGTAACGATGCTCTTTAGTTCCGTCCGTCGAAGGTTTCTCGTTTCAGTTCTCGGCTTCCCACGAATCCATTTGCGCCCTTCTCATGGCAGCCAAATGTGAAACTGTCAACTTCGAAGCGGTTGAAAGTCGTTTGACGCCGTCCGATTTGAGATTGGAAGGATACCAGTCGGTAGTGAATTTCCATGATTTCTCTCAGGAAGTTATATGAATTCCAGCTTCAATCGCTCTGTTTCGAAATGGACGATAGCATCGGAGAAGAGTTCTTCTCTTCTGTTCTGGAAGTTTCGAAAGCGAGCAAGTTTATTTTTCATGCGTGCGACAAGATTCCCCAATCGTTCATTAAAACCATGTTTGAGGTGTGTTAATCCCGAGAAATGAATAATCCCAATTGTCTTCAGAAGTGGCTCGACGGCTCTCGATCCCTCGATTCTGTTCGGATCACCACCAATCAGAACTTCTCATTCGACGAAATCACTCAAGGACTGAGCATTCAGCAACGAGACAACTCAACTTGGAAAATGAAGAATGTGAAGGGCGAAGAAGGTGGCATCTCGCCTTCTCTTTCCTATCTTATCTTCTGATTCCAGCCACTATCACCATGCGACGCAACAACTTCCATTTCTTTGTGGCATTCGAGGTGAACGACAATCGAGTCGAAGACATTCTCTACAAGATACCGTTCATCGAGTGATTTCTTCTAAATATTTGTCTCTATTACGACTAATAAATGTACTGTATCTTTCCCCCAAGTAGTCCGTGTCTGTTGCTCGATGACGTCTATAAATTGCACAATTCGCCAGACGACCCGCTGTGTTCGAGCCGTATCAATGACCCCGTTCTGCGTCTCTGCGTGCTCCGTACTCTCTGTCCGAGTCGGTTGTAATGGTGACCCCGCCTGTCGGTCCGGCTCGTTTTTGAGAAACAGAAGGAGAAGAGGACGAGCGCAGATATCACCAATCGGACTGCTCTCTCCGATGAATCACCCCACTTCTCTTGCAATCTTCTGCAAATCCATCCAAATGCCAGTTGTCTTTGATATCCTGCCAGCATTTCTGATAGCTCTTTCTTGTTCTCGAAGTTCATCATCATCTTGTCTTTATCTTTTTCAAAATAAACTACGAAGTTCGTCCTTTTGTGAATCTGATCGTCGTTCGCATTTCTGTTCTCCGTCCTACAGAATCTCGATGTGAGTTCATTCATTTCCAAAAGGACAACGCTTTCCTCCTCAGTTCTTTTCTTGACAGCTGCTCGAAACCAGACTGTAATTCCTCCGATCCGTGTGTGCTCCGCACCAGGCGCCGCCCGTCTCTCTTGGCCTTTCTCTAATAAATCGCGTTGCACTCGTTGATTCATCAAACGCACATCTGGCGATACGGGGCACAACTGTCCCATATGCCTTCCCCTGCTCAGTCCCCAACTCTTTCTCTTTTCAATTCATTCCACTCTTGCCTTGACCTCTTCCTTATATTTGTTCTTTTTCAGACATGAGCATCTACGACTCGTCCCCTTGGATGAGGACGGCTCTACTTGGAGTATTGTTAGTATCATGCACTTACTCGCAAGTACTCACGCCTTCGCAAATCACAATTTCCCACCGAAAGCCCATTACTGCCACGTCAACATGCGGAGAGATCCAAGGACAATCCGTGAATGAAATTTATTGTTCTCTGACAGGTATTTGAGAGGAGTCATTTGTCTGTTAAGTGAATGCTCGTTCAGGATCTTCCCAATACACACCACTGAACTCTTATTCGTACCAAGAAGATGAACAGCAGAAAGCCTGGTCCCAGGACAACGCGATCGTTCGCGGAGGCCACGGATGTGGTTACTGTAACTCTGGAAACGAGAATGCGCATCCTGCGTCGAACATGGTCGACGGAAACAACAGTTGGTGGATGTCGCCGCCTCTCTCGCGCGGTCTCACACACAATCAGGTCAACATCACGATCGACTTGGAGCAGGAATTCCATGTGGCGTACGTGTGGATCCAGATGGCAAACAGTCCCCGTCCGGGAAGCTGGGTGCTCGAAAGATCGACAGATCACGGAAAGACCTACAAGCCATGGTTCAACTTCGCCGAGAATGCAGCTGAATGCATGCGAAAGTTCGGAGAAGAGTCTCTTTCTCCGATTTCCGAAGATGATTCCGTCACTTGCCGTACCGACATGTCCAATCTTCAGCCTCTTGAGAATGCCGAAATGGTCATCAAAATCCTTGAACATCGTCCGAGCTCACTTCAATTCGCAACGTCCGAAGCGCTGCAAAACTTCACGAGAGCCACGAATATCCGTCTCCGTCTCTTGGGAACCAGAACTCTTCAGGGACATCTGATGGACATGAACGAGTGGAAAGACCCGACTGTCACCAGAAGAGTTAGTTTGTCCTCCATTAAAAGTGTTTTTATAATTTGTTCTTTCAGTACTTCTACGCCATCAAGGAAATCATGATTGGAGGAAGATGTGTGTGCAACGGGCACGCTGTAACTTGCGACATCTTGGAGCCACAAAGACCCAAGTCTTTGCTCTGTCGGTGCGAGCACAACACTTGCGGAGACATGTGCGAGAGATGCTGCCCCGGATTCGTTCAGAAGCAATGGCAACCTGCCACTGCCCACAAAAATTTCACTTGCGAAGGTACGAAACATCCGACTAATATATTGAGAAATTGATAATTTTCAGCGTGTAACTGCTTCGGACGATCGAACGAGTGCTACTACGACGAGGAAGTCGACGTCAAGAAGCTTTCGATGGACTCTCGGGGCAACTACGAAGGAGGAGGTGTCTGTGTGAACTGCCGAGACAACACGGAAGGAGTCAACTGCAACAAGTGTTCCTACGGATATTTCCGCCCGGAGGGAGTTAGCTGGGAAGAGCAACAGCCCTGCAAAGCATGCGACTGCAACCCGGACAAGCACACCGGAGCATGCGCCGAGGGAACCGGAACGTGCGAGTGCCAAGCTCGTTTCGTGGGAGCGAACTGTGATCAGTGCGCATCTGGATACTACGATCCCCCAGAGTGCAAACCGTGCGAGTGCCACGTCAACGGAACCATCGGAAATGTGTGTCTCCCGGAAGGAGGACAATGCCCATGCAAACCAGGATTCGGAGGAACCTTCTGCGAGACTTGCGATGCAGGATTCACAAATGTCACCGCCGGATGTGTTGAATGTGTTTGTGACCCGACCGGATCGGAGCATTCCAACTGTTCGGCCGCCACTGGACAGTGTGAATGCAAACCCGCCTACGCTGGTCTCTCCTGTGATAAATGCCAAGTTGGATACTTTGGGGAGAGCTGCACATGTAAGTTTAGAAGGATCTGTCAAATAGGTGAATGGAAATACACATTTCAGTCTGTAACTGCGACCCAATGGGAACCGAAGGAGGTGTCTGTGATCAGACAACTGGCCAGTGTCTCTGCAAAGAAGGATTCGCCGGTGACAAGTGTGACCGCTGCGATATTGCTTACTACGGATACCCGAACTGCAAGCAATGCTCCTGCGATGGAGCTGGAACCACTTCTCCAGAATGTGAGCCAACATCTGGTCAGTGCCCTTGCGGCGGAAACTTCACAGGAAGAACTTGCGACAAGTGCGCTGCTGGCTTCTACAACTACCCGGACTGTCGCGCCTGTGAGTGCTTGCTCGCCGGAGCCAAGGGACAGACTTGCGACAGCCTCGGACAGTGCTACTGCAAAGGAAACTTCGAGGGAGAACGATGCGATCGTTGTAAGCCGAACTTCTACAACTTTCCAGTCTGCGAAGAGTGCAACTGCAATCCATCCGGAGTCACCAGAGACTTCCAAGGATGCGATAAAGTGTCGCCGGGAGAGCTCTGTTCCTGCAGGAAGCACGTTAGCGGAAGAATTTGTGATCAGTGCAAACCGACTTTCTGGGATCTCCAATATCATCACGAAGACGGATGCAGAAACTGCGAATGTAACACGAACGGAACAATTTCGGGGCTGAACACTTGTGACCTGAAAACCGGACAATGTATTTGCAAGAAGAACGCGGACGGAAGACGATGTGACCAGTGCTCCGAAGGATTTTACAAACTCAACAGTTACAATCAACTTGGTTGCGAACCGTGCCACTGTGACATCGGAGGAGCTCTGCGAGCCGAATGTGACATCCAGTCCGGACAGTGCAAGTGTCGTCCGAGAGTCACTGGACTCAGATGTGATCGCCCCATTGAGAACCACTACTTCCCGACTCTGTGGCACAACCAGTACGAGGCAGAAGATGCGCATACCGAGGACCAAAGGCCAGTCCGTTTCGCAATGGATCCTGCACAGTTCTCGAATTTCTCGTGGCGCGGATATGCGGTCTTTTCCCCGATTCAGGAGAAGATCTTTATTGATGTTGACATCGCGAAGGCTTCGGTTTACCGTCTTCTCTTCCGTTACCGTAATCCGACAAGCGTTCCCATCACTGCCACTGTTTCGGTTGCTCCTCGATTCACCCACACGCACGACGTGGAGCAGTCCGCTAAGGCCACCTTCCCAGTTGGACCTGATCCAGCGATGAAAGAGATTACCGTCGACGGAAAACCGTTCGTGCTCAATCCAGGAAAGTGGTCCCTGGCCATCGCAACAAAACAACGTCTCTTCCTGGATTACGTCGTTATCATTCCGGCCGAATACTACGAAGGACAAGCCCTCCGCCAGCGTGCCCCTCAGCCTTGTCTATCCCACAGCACCAAGAACACCACCTGTGTCGACCTGATCTATCCGCCACTTCCTTCGACCGGAAGACTTTTTGTGGACATGGACAAGGTTCCGTTCAACTACGTGAACGAGGACGGCTCGACCACTCCCCTTGAACATGTCCCAGTTGAGATCCTGCCTTCAGAGATCACCGGACCGGCTGCGTTTGTCCGTGCTGACAACAACAGTCGTGTCGTGGAAGCGAAGGTTGACGTTCCAGAGTCTGGAGAGTATGTCGTCGTTCTGGAATATCACAATCGAGAGGAGACGGACGGAAACGTCGGTGTCGGAGTGAGCCAGAACGGCAAGGAGGTCCTCAACGGAAAGATCGTTATCCATCACTGTCCTTACGCGTAAGTTCTTTTTTTGCAATCCGTTCTTCATCACATATTTTCAGCACATTCTGTCGTGAACTGGTTTCCTCGGCTGGAACTATTCCGAACATTCCTCTTGAGAAGGGAGAGACTGTGATCCGTCTCAATGTCCTGCCCAATCACGAGTTTGGTCTTGCTGCTGTTCATCTCATCAAGAAGGCTGACTTCAGTTCTGAATATCTTCAACAGGTAATTGTTTGAAAAAAAAGGACCTTCTCTCAATCATGTTCAGGTGCCCGTCTGCATTCGGAAGGACGGAAGATGTGTTCCCCAGAGCTACCCGCCAGCAGCCGATTCGGTTGTGACCGAGGCTGAAAGCGGTTCGAACATGGAGAAGTCGATTCTCGGAGACAAACTGCCATTCCCGGTCTCCAACTCTAAGGAAATGCGCGTCGTTCCTCTCGATGATGCCCAGGCACACTCTTTTTTCCTATTTGTTTCTAACCTGCTCACATTCAGGCGACGATCGAGATCTCTGGCGTCGTGCCGACCCGTGGCCACTACATGTTCCTCGTTCACTACTTCAATCCGGACAACACGCCGATCAACGTCGACGTTCTTTTGCAGAACGAACACTACTTCCAGGGTGACTCGTGCAACTCCTACGCATGTTGTTTGTTTTTCTTCTTGCACTTTCCCCCTCTCTCCTCTATCATTTTGACAACTTTTTGGGATTCATCAATTTTCTTGAAAATTCACCATCACCGCACTCACATGTCCTTCTCCTTAATGCACCCGCACCCGCACCGCACCATTTTCAGATTCCAAGTACTCGCCACGCTTCTTTTTCAATGGTTCGTTGCAATAATCATTCTGTCATTCTGTTGTTTTCAGTTGTGTCCGTCCTGTGTCTGACTACTTTGCACTAACCTTTTCATTGTTCATTTCTGCAACGTTTTAATTTCAGCCTCTGTCCCTCTTGCCTTCTGTCCATCGATCAGTGGATGCCGTGCTTTGATCAGAGATAAGGAGAGACCGGAAGTTATTCAATTCTTCATGGATGACAAGTACACCGCCACTTTCTTCCACAACGCCACTCAGAAGGGACCGATTTACATTGACTCGATCACTGCCGTTCCGTACAATTCATACAACAGCAAACTCATGGAACCGCTAGCCCTTGATCTTTCGAACGAATTCTTAAAGGAGTGCTCGGAGGAGAACTTGAGAAACCATCCGGAAACCGTCAGTGACTTCTGCAAACAGAAGATCTTCTCGCTGACCACCGACTTCAATGCTGCCGCTCTTTCCTGTGACTGCGTTGCTCAGGGTTCCGAATCCTTCCAATGCGAAGAGTACGGCGGACAGTGCAAATGCAAACCGAATGTGATCGGAAGAAGATGCGAAAGATGCGCGCCTGGATACTACAACTTCCCCGAGTGCATTAGTAAAAAACATTGCTCTGCTTTCTTCTCAATCTTAATTATTTCCAGAATGTCAATGCAACATGGGACAACAGTGCGATGAGCGAACTGGCCAATGCTTCTGTCCACCGCACGTTGAGGGACAGACTTGCGACAAGTGTGTCAGCAACGCATTCGGATACGATCCACTGATTGGATGCCAGAAGTGTGGATGCCACCCGCAAGGATCAGAAGGAGGAAATCTCCTCTGTGATCCAGAGAGCGGACAATGTCTGTGCAGAGAATCGATGGGTGGAAGACAGTGCGATCGCTGTCTCGCTGGATTCTATGGATTCCCTCACTGCTATGGATGCTCCTGCAACAGAGCTGGAACTACTGACGAGATCTGCGACGCCACCAACGCGCAGTGCAAGTGCAAAGAGAACGTTTATGGAACTCGTTGCGAAGCCTGCAAGGCTGGCACTTTCGATCTTTCCGCCGAGAACCCGTTGGGTTGTGTGAACTGTTACTGCTTCGGAGTCACCGACAGCTGCAGATCGAGCATGTTCCCAGTCAATACGGTAAGCGCATGAATTTCTTTTCACTCATTCATTTTCTTTTTACAGCTGTCTGTTGATATGTCGTCTTTCGCCACCACTGACGTCAATGGAAAGGTCGAAAGCAAAGATGACACTGTCGTCTACTCGTCCTCCGAATCTTCACCAAACGCCGTTTACTTTGTTGTTCCGATCACCCGCAACACTGATTACACCACGAGCTACGGACTGAAACTCACTTTCAAGGTGTCCGTTGTGCCCCCGGAGAGTAGAAAGATCAATGCGGACGCCGATGTCAGACTAATCGGAGCCAACATGACCATCGAGTACTACGCCGAAGAGCAGCCGTCCAATCCGGAGGAGCAGTTCACTGTCAGATGCAAACTGGTCCCTGAGAACTTCTTGACTGTCGAAGGAAAGACGGTGACTAGAGAGGAGCTCATGAAAGTGCTCCATTCTCTGCAAAACATCACCCTGAAGGCATCCTACTTTGACAAGCCAACTACCAGCACTCTCCACGAATTCGGATTGGAAGTGTCTCAACCGAACGGACCTGAATCTGTCATCAAGGCTTCTTCCGTCGAGCAGTGTCAGTGCCCTGCTCCTTACACCGGACCTTCCTGCCAACTCTGTGCCTCTGGATACCACCGTGTTCAGTCTGGAAGCTTCCTCGGAGCTTGCGTTCCGTGCGAGTGCAATGGCCACTCTGCCACGTGCGATCCGAACACTGGAATCTGTACTGATTGCGAGCACAACACGCACGGAGAGCACTGTGAATTCTGCGATGAAGGACACTATGGAAATGCCACCAACGGATCTCCGTACGATTGTATGGCTTGTGCCTGTCCGTTCGCCCCGTCCAACAACTTTGCCAAGTCATGCGATGTTTCTGAGGAAGGTCAGCTTCTCCAGTGTAACTGCAAGCCAGGATACACAGGAGACAGATGCGATCGCTGTGCTGCCGGATACTTCGGACAGCCGCAACAGGTCGGAGGATCCTGCGAGCCTTGCCAGTGCAACGGCAACAACAACCTCACGGACTCCCGTTCCTGCCATCCAGTCAGCGGCGACTGCTACCTTTGCGAGCAGCACACGGACGGAAGACACTGTGAATGGTGTGCTCAGTGGTTCTATGGAGACGCTCTCACTGCCAAGAACTGTTCTTCTTGTGAATGCAATCAGTGTGGATCTTCTTACTGCGACAACCGCAGCGGAGGATGCGAGTGCAAGACGAATGTGGAAGGAGACTCCTGCGACAGATGCAAACCGGATCACTGGGGATTCTCGAAGTGCCAGGGATGTCAAGCTTGCCACTGTGGAACAGCCGCATTCAGCACTCAGTGTAATGTGGAGAGCGGACAATGTACATGCAGACCAGGAGCCGTTGGAATGCGTTGTGAGCACTGTGAGCACGGATACTGGAACTACGGAGAGCACGGATGCGACAAGTGCGACTGTGAAGCGGATCTCTCGATGGGAACTGTTTGCGATGTGAGAACCGGACAGTGCCATTGCCAGGAGGGAGCCACCGGATCCAGATGTGACCAGTGTCTGCCGTCGTACCTCAGAATCCCAACGTATGGATGCAGAAGATGCGATGAATGCGTTCATCACCTGATCGGAGACGTTGACAAGTTGGAAGTTGAGATTGATGTTCTCGGAACAGCCATTACCAACATCTCGTCGGCAACGATCGTCGGAGCCAGACTCGCCAGAAACAAGAAGGAGTTCAACGACATCAGCGAAATCACAAAAATGCTCAACGACGAGGAGAACTCGTTCGGAAACGTGTTCGGAGATGCTTCTGACATTCTCGTGAATGCCACTCAGATTTTCCAGAAACTCAACCGAACCAAGAACCACTCTCTAACATCCGCCGGCATTGCCAAGAACTTGACTGTCAACGGAACCGAATTCATGCTAGAAATCATGAAGAAGGCTCACAAAGCGAAAATGAGCGTCCGGAATCTGGCTGAGATTGCACTTGCAATCGGATCTTCATCGAAGGCCGTCAATGTGGATCCCAGACTTCTCAAGGAGGCCGAGGAAACTTTGATGACTCTGGAAGCAACTTCTGCTGATCCTTTCCCGGAGAAGGCAAAGTCCGTGCCTGCGAAGCTGAAGGAAATCCAGCAGCAGATCAATGATGAGAGCTCTAAACTGGATGAGCAGACGAAGAAACTTGAATCGGAGAAGAAGAAGGCCGAAGACATGGCTACTTACCTGAACAGTGCCCAACAACTACTGAAGGAGTCCAAGTCCAAGTCGGACAAGGCGAACAATGTGAGTTTGGGACGAGGGATGTTCATTAAACCATTCGAGTTTTTTTTCAGTTGGCAAAGATGCTCCAGCTCACCAAAGTCCAGAGTCTTGTCGCCGCCATCAACGATGATTTGGAGCGCGCAAATGCTGTGAAGGGAGAATTCCAGAAGGTCAACGTCGCCATCGGAAACATCACCGAGAGTTTGAAGGATACGAGAGAGGATCTTTCTCACGCTCTTACCAGTCTGAATGAGAGCAGAAATGACGTGGCAGAAGCCGTGGAAGCAGCCAGAAAGAGAGTGAGAAGAGACGAAAAGCCGGTCAACCTGCAAGAGATCAATGAGAAGGCTCACAAGCTGCATATTCAAGCTACCACTCTCAGACAGAAGTTCGACAGTTCAAAAGACAATTCCGATCAGGCAGTGGAGGCGGCCAACGCGTACACTAACTTGACGGAAACGCTCAAGAGTGCGAAGGATAAGATCGAGAAAGCCTACGAATTGGTTCAGGAAGAAGCAAAGTACGCGGATGAGATTCAAGCGGCGACTTCCAAACAATTGGGAACTGAGTCCAAGCAGAAAATTGCGGAGATTGAGAAGAGTGTGACTAATGACATCAGAGAAGTGGAGAAGATGAAGAGACAATTGGATCAACTGGCCGAGTTCGCTGACAAGCTGAGAAAGAGAAAAGACGTCTTCAAGGCTGGACTTCCACAATATAACAAGGAAACTCTGGACCAAGTGGACGAGAAGATCAAGCAAGTCGAGAGTTTAAAGGCCGAAATCGACGGAGTCGTCGAGGAAACGAGATCGAAAATTGCCGAGATTGCCGGAAAGGCTGAAGAGATCACCGAAAAGGCGAACAGTGCGATGGAGGGAATCCGATTGGCCCGCAGGAACTCTGTGCAGCTGAAGCAGTTGGCTCCGGTTGTTGCCAGCAAAATCGAAGAACTGAAGAAGTTGTCAGTCGCGAGAAGCGGAAAGGTCGACTCGATCAGCGAAAGGGTCTCGCAAATCAAGGAGATGATTGCTGTTGCTCGTGACGCCGCCAACAGAATCAAACTGGGAGCCCACTTCGAAAGAGGATCTTCTCTTGACCTCAACATCCCGCAAAGAGTGTCTCGTTCTGCCGCCCACGCCGACATTTCGTTCTACTTCCGCACCGAACAAGAGCACGGAATCCCATTGTTCTTCGGAAACGAAGAGACGGCAGTCGGTAGTCGTGCTGTGCCAACTGCCGATTACGTGGCAGCTGAGATCGAATACGGTCGTCCGAAGGTGACTGTCAACCTCGGAGACGCTCCAGTTGTCGTCAAGTTGGAAACTCCAGTCAATGACGGATTGTGGAGAAGATTTACCATCGAGCGAATCGGAAAGACCGTCAATGTCACCCTTTCGAAGCCGAACAGCGTCGAGAGCGCCGAAACGAAGAGCTCGGTGGCCGGAGGAAACAAGAGCGTGCTCAACCTCAACCAGCAGATTTCGAAACTCTTTGTCGGAGGAGTCCCAGCCACTGCTAGAGTGAGATTATTCCGATGTCATAATTATGTTAACCTTGTGCTTTTTTCCAGATCACCAAGGATCTTCACAACCGTGAATTCGTTGGAGACATCGAACAATTGAAACTCCATGGAGAGCCAATCGGATTGTGGAACGCCCGAGAAAAGGGTAATGCGAATGTGAACGGAGCACAGAAGAAACCGAAACTTACTGACAACGCGGATGAACTCTGTGAGTTTCGAATGTAATTTATGTTGTTTTACTGTTTGATTTCAGCAATTTCCCTCGACGGAGAAGGATACACATCCTACAAACCAAGTCACTGGAACCCACGAAAGGCCACGAAAATCTCGCTCTCCTTCCTCACTTTTTCGCCTCATGGACTTCTATTCTTCGTTGGAAAAGACGTAGGAATACATTTGAAATGCGCTGAATACTCTCAATTCTTTCAGCGTGACTTCATGGCACTGGAATTGTCCGATGGAGGTGTCAAGTTGTCTGTCGATCTGGGATCGGGAGTCGGGCAATGGACTACTGAATCCTCCAATTACAACGATGGAAAATGGCACACTGTCGCGATCGTTCGCGAAGAGGTTTGTTTGTTTCAGCACTTTTATGATTTCAAGTTGAAATTTTCAGAAGCACGTGAAGATCATAATCGACGGAGAATCAGAAGTTCTGGAAGGAGACGTCCCAGGAAAGGATTCAGAAATGTCCGTCACCGAATTCCTGTACATTGGAGGAACTCCGTCCGGACTGAGCGTCAGAACAACCATCGTTCCTCTCCGCGGATGCATCAAATCAGTGAAACTCGGATCGGACGAAGTTGATTTGGAAGGAAGCCACGCGTCGAAGGGCGTCAGAAGTGGCTGCCCGATCAACACAGTTCGCACCGTCTCGTTCCTCTCCGACAGAACCACTGCCTCGTTTTACAACGTGACCAGTCTCTCCGGAGATGTTTCGGTTACTTTCAAGTTCAAGACAAAGACAATCCGTCAACCATCCAGCCTTTTCACTGTCAATGACGATGAAGACTCGGTCCTCGGTGTGACAATCAATGAAGAAGGAATTCTGACAGCTTCCAGCGGCGAGGACGCGGCCACTCTCGAGTTGGCTGCTTCTCCTGATGAGAAATGGCATTACGTGTCCATCCGGAAGACCAACCACGTCATCCGAATCGACGCTGACGACTCATTCTCGAACGAAGTTGCCAGAAAGCACGCTGACGATTCCAACCCAGACGCTAGTTTCCTTTCTGCTTTCTTCGGAAAGTCTGGGGATAAGAACTCTTTCGTTGGATGTATTGGTGACGTCACTCTGAATGGAAAGCTTCTCGACTTTGCCAAGGCTGAGATCAAGGAAATCGCCCTCAACGGATGCTCATTGAGCGACGACGAGAACGTGCAGACTACAACTGCAGCGCCGAAAACAACGCCCACGACTGTTGCTCCAGACGATGATACTGATGTCGCCGTCTTACCAGTTGACGATGAAGACGAGAAGACCACCACGACTACAGAAGAGCCGACGGATGCGCCAGCAGAGGTAACCAACGTTCCACTTGAGACGGTTGTTGAAGGGGTAGATGACGTCGATATGATTGAAGTTAATCAAATGCCTTTCAAGATGAAAGACTCGCCCATTTATGCTCCTACAACCAAAAGGGAGTCCCCGGATCCATCTGAAACCCCAGACCACTTTGAATCGGTTTCAGTGGCTACAGTAAGACTTAATGACTGATCTCTGTCCTCAGTTTTCATCTGTTTCGCCTTCTCTTTTCACCTTTTTCAGTTGCTTGTAATCCCTACAAACTAAACCAACCTATCCTTCCTCAGTTCTTTTCCACTAATACTATGTCTGTGAATTCTAAAATGTTATTTTTCAGGTGAGGCCAGATGGTCACTGTATTCTCTCCGACGACCCACTCGTTCAATTCGACGGAGCTGAAGGTTTCAACTTCGGAACGCAGCAGCACAGCAGAATTGAGTACGATGTCCTTCCTGAGGCTATCGATAAGAGGTATGATCATTGTATAAACCTTAATCTAAAAAGTATCTCTTTCAGTGGAGAGTTCACCTTCAAGATCAGACCAACAGCTGCCTCTGGTATCGTCTTCATTGCCACCAACAAGCGGACGGATCATATCGCGGTGATGCTTGAGAACGGACGTGTTGTGTTCACTTATGACACGGGATCTGGACAAGTTATCATCAAGTCGGACAAGTCGATCATCGACGGACGTTGGCATTCGATCAAGGTTTCTCGTCGCGGAAAGTCTGCTCATTTGATTGTTGATGACGATTCATACGAGTCGGAAGGAGCCGCCAATCAAAACGAAGATCTCATCGAAACCCAACCGCCGTTCTTCGTCGGAGGAGTACCATTCGAGTTGGCCGGATTCACGAGAACACTTCTGCCAGGAGTTCGTTCTCAGTTCAGTGGATGCATCAAGGACTTCCGTTTGAACGGAAAGAGTCTGGACAACGGAAAAGAACACGGAACGGAACAATGCTCTCAGTTCAGCGAAGAGGGAATGTACTTTGGAAAGAACGGAGGATACGCGATCGTGCAGAAGGAATACGAAGTCGGAGCATCGTTCGGAGTGGAGCTCGAGATCAGACCAAGAATGAAGGACGGAGTCTTGTTCTCCGTCGGAGTCCTCGAGTACATCACCGTGGAGTACGTGAACGGATCTATCAAAACGACAGTGGACAGCGGAAGCGGAGGAGAGAGTCTTTTCCATCATCCGGCCACTGAGAACGAGTTCTGTGATGGACAATGGCAGCATATCAAAGTCAGTTTGAGAATAGAAAAGGACGTGTACTAATCATTGCCTGTTTCAGATTTCCAAGAAGAAGAAGCTTCTGACGGTCACCGTTAACGGAAAGCCAAACATCAAAATTCTGAAGAAGGCCAGTTCGGACATCGTGACGAAAGATCCACTCTACTTTGGAGGAGTTCCAGAGGGAGTCACCAACAAGGGACTCACCACCCAGAAGCCGTTCATTGGATGCGTTCGCTTCCTCAGTTTCGGACTCAAGAAGGATCGCAAGATTCGTCGCAAGAAGCAAGTCGACATGGAAAGATTTGATATCTTCGGTGATGTACATCGCAACGGATGCCCAGCTATTTAAGATAACCACCGCTTCCACTTTAACTGATTTATTTGCTTTAATTTCTCTCAAACGGTATCATAAAGAATGTTTAATCGGAAAGTTTAGATATTGGGACAGGAAAGAATGATAAAAGATTGGGAATGAGAGAGATCGAGAGATGATTTAGTCGGATTCGTTGGCTGGTGAACGGTTTTTCTTGGCCGAGCTGATGCGCGACGACGGCGGAGCTCCGCTCATTCGGCCGTTTGGTGGGCGCTTCACCACCGGACGCTTCTTCTCTTCCTCCGAATCGCTGTCGCTCAGAGCCTTCTCCACGTCGTCGTCCTTTCCGGAATACTTCTTGGACGGAGCAGCCTTGCGTTGGCTGGTTTGTCTAAAGAGATTAATAAGTTCTGAACATTCTTGCATTCAATTACCTAGTTGGCTGAGCCTTCGCAGTCTTTCCCTTCTTAGCCGCAGACTTGGCCTTCTTGGCTCTCTTGGCCTTTCCGTAATCCTCGTCATCCTCGTAGCTTCTCTTGCCACGAGCTCCCTTCCCTTTCTTCATCTCCAGCTCCTCGTCGTCATCCGCCTCGTACTCCTCGGTCTCTCCCTCTTCCTCTTCGTCGTTCTCAGAATCGGCCGGCTCCTGCTTCTTCAGAGTGGCCTTTCGCGTCGGCCGTCCAGTGCGAGCGACCGGCTCCGTCTTTTTTGGAGAGCTCTCGTCTTGATCACTCTCCCTGGAAAAAAAGAACGGATGATGTGAATAGATGCGATGGGTGTCTTACTCATGCTTAGCTTCAGTGGAATCGTCGATCTCGCTCGGTTTGTCGGTCTTCTTCGACTTCGGCATGGCTGAAAAGTGAAAGTGAGAAAGTGTTGACAGAAAGGTGCGAAGAAAGAAGGAAAACGTGCTAAGTTCATATACAACGCAACTTTCTGAATTCTAGGCCACATCCGAATTCGCAAATTGATAATTTGATGTCGCCATGGCTCCGTTCATTCCCACAACTGTGAAGTTCATTCGGATCATTGTACAATCAGAAGACTTTTGGTCAGAATGTCTCATCGAATTAATTGCCGTTTGCAACAAACAGCACGTGATCAGCGACAAACAAAAACCACGTGTGTTCGAGAGAAGAAAGATATTGCGAGTGGAAAAATTGGGGGTTCTGCGAGTGATGCAGTTGGAAACATTAGCCTATCCGCGTCGAAAAAGTGTGCCGTCTCAAAAATCGATACGCAAGCCGTCGGTGCATTCATCTCTGACACACTGTGAGAATGAATATGAAGGAGAGTGTACGGACACGAGGAGAGTGTGTGTTCAGTCGTACACATGCAAAAGAAGAGGCAAGTACGAAATGAAAGTTGGTAGTGATCGGGTGAAGGAGCGAGAGGAGCCAGTTGCCATGGTTGCATCACGCTCTGTAACCCGCAATTATGGAATCAGATGGTGATAGAGCTGAAGGGTGTAGTCACACCGGGAGAGAATGGGCAAAAGAGCAGGCAATAACAGGGGAGCGCGGGAGAGAGATGAGTTTGGAAGGACGGAATGAGCACGGAGGGAGCAGACCGACAGACAAAGAGATCCTAATTTGGCGTCGCCTACTTTGAGATGCGAGCAAGCAACGCGCCAGAAGACAGAGTACAAAATGAATGGCTCACAAATGCGGATTCGAATGTAGACGACGTAACCCGAGAGTATAAAGCCACCGTTGATGTTTTGAAGAAGAGACGAAGAATTGAAGGATTCATCTGAAAGAATTATGTTTTCAAAAGATAATGCACTATGATAGGGCACAGTGCACAAAGTTACCAGCAAGGGCCCTGTTACCATGCAACATAATACAAACAGCTTACTTTTGAAATTTTGAGATGGCGTCCCGTAGCCATTTCGTAGGTATATTACGCCCAGAACGATTAGACTACGGCATAACGCATGGACAGCCAATCTTTATCAGCGGACGATCATCTCCATAATCATTGGAATCTGAGCAGAGAGCAGTTGTCAGCCACGTTCCACCCGTAGTCTCTGTTCTAGTTTGCACCTCGAGACTGTCGGAGGGCGGAAGATGTTTGCAAACTGTTCAATGGTCGTACCCGATTGTACCGAGAAATTCCGAATGCTCTAGAGCGACCAAATAAATGCGCCACACGTGTTCAGCTACTGATAACCCGACCATTGAACAATTCGCGACGGCCTGCGTCTCTGTAGTTTCATGGGTCATGGCGATCGACCATGTGGTGGTATAAGTGAGCATTGAACAGTTGAGAGGCCCGCCCCGACGAGTACAAAAGCGCATTCTGGAACGGTCAGCCCAAGACTCAAACTTCTGAGACTGACCAACATGAGTGCGAAGAAAAGAGTTGCCGTTATTGGTGCTGGAGCTTCTGGATTGCCATCTATCCGGTAAGTATATCTAAATTCGCTCAAAAAGTACAGTCCTCATTTTCAGTCATGGATTGCTCTATGGTGCGGATGTTACTTGCTTCGAAGCTTCTGATGATGTGGGAGGGCTTTGGAGATACAAGTCCCATGAAACGAACGGTAATATAAGTTTTATTTTATATAAAATGCATTTATTCCCTGCTCCAACTCTTGACCACTTCAGAATCGTCGGTTATGAAAACGACAGTGATCAACACCTCGAAGGAAATGACGGCGTATTCGGATTTCCCCCCGCAGGGTGGCCTCGCCAACTTCATGCATAACACGGAAATGCTCAATTATTTTAAGTCATACGCTGAGCATCACGGGCTCATGAAGCATATCAAGCTCCGTCACCGCGTGCTCAATGTGGAGAGATCGAAGAATTACGAGAACGATGGAACCTGGAAGGTCACCTACCAGACTCCGGAAGGAAAGACTTTGGAGGAGGTGTTCGACGGAGTTCTCGTGTGCTCCGGCCATCACGCCATTCCTCACTGGCCCACTCCGTTCCCCGGACAGAACGAATTCAAGGGGAGAATCCTTCATTCGCACAGCTACAAGGATCACAACGGATACGAAGACAAGGTGGTTGTGGTTGTCGGAGTCGGAAACAGCGGAATCGACGTGGCAGTCGAATTGTCTCGCATTGCCAAACAAGTCTATTTGGTGACTAGAAGAGGAACTTGGCTCATTCCAAAGTTGGAGACTCGTGGATTGCCGTTCGACGTCATCATGAACACGTAAGTCATTCTTTTTGCTCTTCTCAAAAACCTCGTTTTTCCAGACGCTTCTTTTCTCTGTACAAACTGTTCCCTCAATTCATGTTGAACACTCTAGTCGAGTACCGTATCAACCAGCGAATCGATCATGACTTGTACGGCCTGAAACCAGCCCACCGTGTCTTCTCTGCTCATCCTTCGCTCAATGATGAACTTCCGAACCGAATTGCCAACGGAACTGTCAGAATCAAGCCGAACATCAAGAAGTTCGACCGTCACGCCATTCATTTCGACGACGGAACGATTATTTCACACGTGGATGAAGTCGTCATGTCGACCGGTTACTCGTTCGAGTTCGATCTGATCGAGCACGGAAAACTGGTGCCAGTGAGCGAGAATGAGGTTAACCTCTTCAAGTACATGTTCCCAGTGGCCACTTCGGATCACAACTCGCTGTGCATCATCGGGCTTATTCAGGTATTTTTGAAAAACATTTCCAGTGGAAAATCATCATCTGTTCCAGCCGTTTGGATCCATCATGCCTGTCTCCGAGCAACAAGCTCGTGTGTTCTTCGCAAATCTCTTCTCGGGAAACAACATCATTCCCCGCAAAACTCAGATGACTGCTGACGTCGAGAACAAGAAAGAAGCAATGGCGAAGCAGTTCGTCAAGTCCAGAAGACATACCATCCAAGTGGACTACATCCCGTACATGGACGAGCTCGCCGAACTCATCGGCTGCCAGGTGCCCATCTTCCGCTCTCTGCTCACCGATCCCCTGCTCGGTCTTCGTCTTTTCTTCGGCCCGAACGCCGGTTACTGCTACCGTCTCACCGGCCCACACACGTGGCAGGGTGCCAGAAAGGCCATCATGACCATCGATCAGCGCGTCCGACAGGCGACCACCACCAAGCCAGAACCGACCAACTACACCATCCCGCTGCTGATCTCCACTCTCATTCTGTTCGCAATCATTTACTTTTCCTTGTAAACATCATGTTCTGTGTAAATAATAAAGAATTCATTAGTTGCATTCCATTCATAAATTTTGTTCAGAGTACGGTGAATTGATACGGACGATCTGCCGGAGTCTTGTACGTCATTGCAAACAGACGACCGTTGTGGACGGAAACGTCGAGAGTTATGTCATCTTTCTCGAAATACCAGTGCTCATTCTGCGTGTCGTCTTCCAAATGAATCTCCCATTGCTTCACTTCTCGTTCTCCATTCAGCCATTCCTGAAAGCTATGTGATTTCGATTTCCATGAGCTTCTAGTCATTTTAAACCTTGGCAAACTTCTTCAGATCCTCCGAGTTCGCGTGGTTCTGTCCTTCGATGTAAACTTCGGGACCTTTCAATTGGATAAGCTTGTCACTCGACAGACCGTTTTTGTACTCTTTCGTTTGGCGGACAATCAGGCGATTCGTCTGAGATGTGTCTTGCTTTCAAGTGTTACGCCAGTTAGAACTTACATTGATCAGAGCGTCAAACTCAAAGTTTTCCTGATTGAGGAGGGCTCTTCCGCCCACTTCCAGCTGGTATTCGTCCCTTCCCATTTCGTTTCTGAATCCGTCCGGAATGGTGAAAGCGGCACTCGGATGCTCCACAATCCACTTGATATTCTTCGGTTTCTGTGTGGTTGTTCTAATTATAGACGAGAATTTCCGCTTCATCTGACTGCAGAGATTCTCCTGAAAAGTGACGAAATTTCTTTCGTGTGCCTACTGAAAACTGACAAAAATTAGAGTGTCAACTGGATATCTGTTCAGAATGTATTCAAATTGCTGTCCAAGATGTCTTGTGATCGATGCAGACTCGTATCTCCTGACGGACGGTTCGCCTGAAAACGGACTCAGATTTGAGATAACAAAATAACAGGCTTACTTTCAAAGAACGGCTTGATTATCTTGTATATTTCCTCCTCTCTCAAGTTGACGGTCTTGTTCATATAAATGAAGCTCTCCCATTCTTTGGCTCCACCGTCGAGAGACACCCGGAATCTTCCGTATTCTACTGGTTTCTGAAAGCATAACCTCATCACAAGGGAGTATCAAACGCATCTCAAACCCTAAAATACTGAATCTGAATAAAGTTGGTGGCAAAAACTAGTGGAAGAAGAAGGTATGTGAGAAGAATCATGGCTCAAAATTATACATGAAATGCTCGGGAGAAAAGACTCCCGGTCGAGAAGCTTGATGTTCTCGGCGTCTCCGACTTTCGCCCGCTTCATCGTTCAGTTCATTTTCCGGAGAGAACAATTGTCGGGAGAAAAGAGTGCAGGGCGGCTCAGCACATGTTCCAGGCGTCTATACACATGCGGCAATCGATCACGGAATCAAGAAGCATCGATGACTTTTGACTCTTGTCCCAACGGATTCCAAGATGTACATACTCAGTGTCAAATGACTCATTCATTCCCTTTTCCGCACCTGATGACTGCCCTTTCCGGCTCACAAGCTTAGCTATACACTACGAGCACTACACGCCGGCTGTGTCCAAGAGTTCATTGCATGTCTCTCACGATCACGCTTCTGAAACAAAAATTGTGGGCTTCCATTCTGTGATTTGTGTCGGTTGCTAATATCTAATTTCGTCCATGGCAACCGGCGCCGTATAAAAGAACGGGCGGAGTGGAGGGGAATTCAGTCGCCTCGAGTATCTCGGCTGCTATCCAACCATGTGTAAGTTGCCTCCCTTCGCAGCCGCTCAACCTTCCCTTTTCCAGCCAAGCAAGAGTTCCAACAGCTCCACGATGAGATGAAGGCTCTGAAGAATTCGGGCAAACACGAGGAGTTCGCGAAGAAGTACGCCGCCAAGGGAGCTACTTTCCTCAGCCATCTCCACGAGCCGGTCGACGCCGAAGGAGCTGCCAAGCTGGCCCAATCGGACAAGATGGCCGCGCTCATGAAGACGGACGTCGACGTGAAGATCGACGAAGTCACCCAGATCGGAGACGTCGTCATCGAACGCTGCACTCTGACCGCCAAGTTTCCGGCTGGCGACAAGACCGGATGGAGCCTCTCCGTCTGGGTCAAGGAGGGAGGAGCCTGGAAGATCCGCAACAGCTGCACCACCTTCAAGACGCAGCTCCCACAATAATCATCGACTTTTGTCTGTGATGCTTTATTTCTCTCTTCTGTGAAATAAACCTGTTAACAAAAAACGAAAACAGTTGTTGTTGTAAATGTTTGATTTTGAAGAATCTGGTGAAGGAGTCTGAAAAGAGAGTGGTTGGCATCTGAAAACAACTGAAATCTAATTAACATGAGGCCGGTTGCAGCTGAAAATATTACATTACCGATATTCGCATGCTCCTTGGAAACGAGCATAGGAGAGCACATGAGAAAGTGTGATTTATGAGAGCGCCCCATAAACGTTGGGCCAAAGAGAGCAGGTATACGAACGACGGAAAAGCTTGAGAGCACAAGGCACAGCTGACGAAGTTGCTCATTGCTCGGTCTGGAACGGTCACAAAGTACACCTCAAAAGGTTTAATACCAATGATTCACTTCTCTGCAAACACCACTCGGTATTTGAGAAGAACATATCAGACAACAGTTTGATATCTTACTGTGGTTTGTGAACTTCGGGTTGTAAAAAGGAAGGAGCTGGATGGGTACATTAGTTGCCAAACCAAATCATCATGTGTAAGTGAATCATTATTATACATTCAAATATATTCATTTGCAGCCAAAGAAGAATTCCAGAAACTTCACGAGGAGATGCACGCACTCAAGAACTCCGGGAACGCAGCGGAGTTTACGAGCAAATACATCTCTGCGGACGCCGTCTTCATCAGTCCGCTCCTCATTGATTCACAGTTTCCTATTGAATAAATTGTGTTAGTATCTTCTCATTTTTTTGCGAAGGAGATTATTTTTGAAAAACTACTTTTTATTATATGCAATCAAGGAAAGTCGGGAAACGGACTCATATCGACCTTGAAATCGTCGGCCGCCGTCTTGATAACGCCCCACTGGTTGGTCAGATCTTTGATGAAGCGGTAGTGGCAAGTGCTGAAAACTAGGGATTGATACAGAGTCAATAACATTGAAACCCTCACTCTCCAGGTGTGCAGAGCGTCGTGAGGACCACTTCCAGATCGACTTCCTTCCGATCCGAAGTGCAGTCGTGCGAAATGACAGCCTTAGGTTGGTATCCAGACGACAGAATCTGATCTCCGTTCATTGCTCCGTTCTGAGAGAAACTGAACTTTCCCATTCTCGGCTGCAGACTTTGAGTTTGAGTAATATGCTCGTCTCGACTCCTGAAAACAGAAGTCAAAACGAGAACAAATATGAAATCGAACCAACGATCGACTTCGTCCCAGTAGATGACCATGTTGTACACGTCTCTATCCGAAAAGTGGCAGAACACTGTGACGTCGAACTCGAAGTGGTCCCATTTGGCTGTTACCGCCGCGGACAAAATGACAAAGATTAGAAGTGAGCGGAGCATTCGACAATGATCCAGGAGAGTGAAGGATCAGTTACAAGCTAATCCACGTTTAACAAAACCAGAACAGGTTTGGGCCACGTCAGAAAATGCCCCTAAGTAGTTCATGTAAAGATCATCTCATTAGAAACAATCAAATAAATATATGAAATCTTTTATGTCGTCAAGTAATAATCACTGCTCAAATTTATGGGAAATCGGGGAACGGAGTCATTTCGTGCTTCAAGGCGTTCGCTTCCGCTTCATAGATACCCCAGTCATTGGTCAAATCACGAATGATGCGGTAGTGGCAAGTGCTGTAAACTGAAGACATTGGGAGGCGCCGAACTGTCTCAATAAACTGACGTTCCGATTTCACAAAGAGTCGTGATAGTCAGTCGAAGTTTGACTTCTTTCCTGTCCGACGTACAGTCGTGAATGATATAGGCTCTCGGCGAGTAGCCAGACGAAAACACCTCGTCTCCGTCCATCGCTCCGTTCATCGAGAAACTGAACTTTCCGATCCTCGGATTGAGAATCATCGGCTGCGTCAACTGTTCCTCCCCCGCGAAAAAGTCGGCTTCGTACCATTCGATCAGCATTTTGTAGTTTTCTCTGTCGGGAAGGTTGCAGAACACGGTGATGTCGAACTCGAAGTGATCCCAGGCGGAAATTCCAATTAGCAGAAGCACGAAGAGCAGAAGAGCACGGATCATTTCGCAGTAGTCGAAACTGGGAGTGAAGTCGAGAGAGAAGGAAAAGAAAGGAAAAGTTGTTCAGGGGACAGCCATATCAGGTTATTGTATCATTACACGTAGTAAAATGTATGAATTGTATTGTTTTCCGGCTAATTATGACTAGTTTACTGCGGTTCCAACATCAATGCAAAAGATCACAATTGTTCTACGAATTTCTTGTAAACTTGAGCGATCGTCTCAAGGTTTTCGTCGTCGACGTTCCAGTTGAGCACCATTCGAATACGTTTCGCGTCGAAAGTCATCGCCAGAACGTCGTGTTTTTGGAAGAAATCGTTCAGCTGGAAATGAAACTTTGGAAATGATACCGCAAGGAGTTATAGAACCTGCTGCACAGTGATTCCGTTCTCGCAGTGCACCAGAACCATGTTGGTGATGTCGTTTTCTTTTGCGTACACTTTCTGAAAATTTCTGAACATATTCGCAAGGTTGTTGATTTCAAACCGTTTTGAGGGCGTCTGGAGTCGCGTCGTTGAGCAATTTCGCCAGTTTCTTAGCTCTCAGATGGTCTGCCCGGATGGTACACTCGGCGTGATCAAGTGCCACATGGGCGGCAGCAGCCAGCACTCCGCTCTGTCTCCATCCTCCGCCCAACGCTTTCCGGCTGTGTCTCGCACGATCGATAAAGTCCTTTGGTCCGACGACAATGGATCCGACTGGGGCGCCGAGTCCTTTCGAGAAGCACATTTGCACAGTATCAGCGAACGAGGAAATGTGCTTGACGGACGTATTCGAGGCGATCGCAGCGTTGTAGATTCTAGCTCCGTCCATGTGCACCTTCAGACCACGACGCTCGGCTAGTTGCTTCACAGATCTGAAACAAAACCATCGTACATACTTCGACAACGTAATTCTCACCTCATCCATTCGATCGGAAGAGCCTTTCCGCCCGAGTAGTTGTGGGTATTCTCAATGCAGATAAGCTTCGAGACGGGCATGTGACAGTCCTAAAATTATTATGTTTTCTGAGAAACTGCAAAAGGAGAGAGCCACCGCCTCTCTCCCTTTCTTACTTTGTCCACTCGAGATTCTCTCTCACTTCACCCTCAACCTTAACCCGAAACATTTCTAAATCTTACAGGTATACTCGTCACTTCCTCGTCACAACTCTCATCTCTCACTTCAACGTAACCCCCCTTAACACGGATCGCCTGCTCAATATCCTCCAAATCCATCGTTCCATCTGGCTTCACTTCCAGAGTCGTCGCCGAAATTCCTGAAAACTTAACGTTGAGGATCGACGGGAGCATAGGTTGCTCACCGGCAATCTGGGCATAATTGCCCTGTTCCCAGCGGTGGATGTGGTTGTACCGTCCGACGATGATCTCTTCGCCGCGTTGGCAGTGAGCCATGACCGCCAGAAGATTTCCCATTGTTCCACTCACAACGAACAGACCGGCTTCCTTTCCGAATAGCTCCGCACATCTCTGCTCGAGTCTCGTCGTCGTCACGTCTTCTCCGTAAACATCATCGCCGACAATCGCTTCCGCCATGGCTCTGCGCATTTCATCGGACGGAATCGTGACCGTATCCGATCGCAAGTCGATGCTTTTGTGAGTTTTGTTAGATTTCTGAGTGTACGCCGATGGCTGGAATACGCATTGTTGAAACGATTTGGAAAGCGGCGATTACCGTATCGAGTAGGTCAGTAGAGGCCGAAACGAGAGTCATTTTAGTGGAGAAACGATGGAATGAATCTGGAAAGGGAAGTAGTTTGGTGAGAAAGGAAAAGAGTGGCAAGTTTCGATGACATTGAGGTGGCTAACTTTTGATCTCACTTCGCACGCAAAAACTGGCCAGTTTTAATACACTGAAGTGTCTTGCAGATGTCATCAGACGGCCGAAATCAGACAATCTCTCTGCGTATCGGGGAAATTGCCGACTGCGGGCGGGAGCATGATAACAGCGATCAAACATTGGCCAGTTTCACCTACCATTTCCTAGAGCTAAAACCCGTCGAGTGAGGAGAGAATGCATCTGGAAAGGGCGAGATTTCAAGTGGAGGAATGGTCTGAACATTACCGGTATTAGGACGACTTTCTCGAGAAACTATCTAGAAATGAAACCATTGAACTCTTGGTTAAACTTTTTATTCACAGACTGTACAAATTTAAACAAATTGGTAAAACTGATAGAGCAAGCAGTGTACAGCGTGGCGCGAGGTGACGAGAGGGCGACGTAGCAGATTAGGGACCTGGCAAATGAAATGCGATTTAATTGAACTCATTCACATGTTTACCAGAACAGGAGAAGTCATCGAAAATACCGAGCTGACGGCATTTCTGCTTGAGATTGCTGATGACCTGCTCGTTCGAAACGAGCATTCTGGTGCTCTCCTGCTGATCCTGAAGCTGGTTTTTTTTATACAAAGAGGTCCCACAAAACGGTAGCAAAAGAACACACCTCATGCAAGGTTGTGACTATTTGGTCCTTGTTGCTCGATTCTTCCTTCGCCTTTTTCAGATCTTCGCGAGCAGCTTCCAGTTCCTTTCGCAACTTCACAATCTTAAACTTATATTTGCAAGTATCAAACATAAAAGTATATGCAAACCTCTTCTTCAAGTCTGACCGAATAATCGGTTTTATCGGCCAACTGACGAGCAATCAAAGAGGCCGGAGGGTCGAATGCGCGGCCTCCTCTCGCTTCGTTCAACTGCGCTTCAGCCATCGCACGGTAATCGGACTCCTCGAGACGACGGGCCAGTTCCAGGTCAATCTGCTCTCTCAGTTTCGAGTTCTCCTCCAGAAGTCTATCGACGGCCGTCTTCGAGTCACTGTACGATACAATGCTATTCTTCTCAGAACTCTGTTTCCACAGTTCAGCCACCTGCTGACTCTGAGCCAACTGCACTTTGAGCTGCTCGATCGCCGAGTCTTTCTCGGTAATGACTCTTTCTGCACTAGCGACCGACTCCTTCACTTTGAGCTCGATCTCGTTTTTCAAGTTTTTGATCTTCTCATTCAACTTGAGTTTCTCTGATGCAGACTGAACCAATCAAATTTAAACGAAATTATAAAGGTAAAACTCACATCATTCTCCAAATCAGATTTTTCTTTCAAGAGTGTCAAGGCTTCCAGCTTACAGATTTCCTTGTTGATGGCGTCGTTCTGCTCCAGTTCGGCAATTTTCGATGCTTGTGCGTTCAATTGAGTTTTCAGTTCTCCGACTAACAGAAGGGAAGTTCTGAGAGCCGCCTCTGTCGATTCAACATCTGCCACGTTGACCAATGACGCTGAAGCTGTGAAAAACTAGAGTAAAACAAACCTAATGTAAAAACGTGGCTTACCAGAGCACATGGTTTCGGTGACGATGGACATATTCTGAAGAGTGGGTTCTCCACGAGTGAGTGGATTGATAAGAGATGCGAGCGGAGTGGACATTGGCGTGTTCTCTTTCAGAGTCTCGGTCAGAAGCGGAGACTCGATGAGAGTTGCCAACGGCGTTGCCACTTTCTCGATCAAAGATTCCGGGGCTTTCAATCCGTCCGGAGACAAAGAGCGAGCAGATGGAAGACTGGCAATCTGGATGGATACCGGCTCTATCTTGATGCTTTGTTGGATGCTCCAGCATTGATCCTCTCGGTCTTCTGTTTCAGCTGAAAGTGGCGAGATTGCGAAATTGCGAAATAATGATGCAAATTGATACTTTGAAAAAAGGTGGGATTAATCGATTGAATAAATTATTGGAAAGTTAAAATTGAACAGAAATTCGTGCGTTCGAATGCAAATTCGAAACTTAAAACATAAGCTCACCGTCTTCCGTATCGATAATTTCGAATTCCTCATTGGAGAGCGAGTCCATCGGATCATTCATCTTTACTGAAAAAAAGAAATGTGAGTGATATTACGAATGAATCGGTGAAAGAAGTGAGCGAAAATAAAGAGAGTCGTATGGCGGGAATGCAAACACCAAGCAGATCAACTGGTTACTGCTAGCAATCTGCCTTATTTCGAAACATTCTGGGTCGAGAGTGTAAAATCGACCGAAAGACGACCGAATCATGTGTGTTTGCCAGCGAGTGAGTCAGCGGCAAATCGGAGACGCAGACGAGCAAGTTTATCGGCAAAACAGCTGATTCTGCGGGCAGCGTTGACCACGAAGGTCCTCAAAGTCAGCAGGAATTCGAAGTGAAGGCCGTCCAATTCGCTTGTTGCAATTGAAAAAATGCAAATCTATATTTGTTGTTTTTCCGATACAAGCTACAGAAAACACCGAAAGAATCTAGTTAACTGCAATACTTGTCGAGTGGATGGGGCAGATTGTTTTTGAAGGAGAGGGCACGTGCGAGAGAGACAGATGCGTCCCGCAACGGACCTCGTGTACGCAGGCGGTCAGAAGACAGAACGACACTCCACGTTGACACTTCCAGTCGCATTCACAAGGCCTTTCGGAAGAAATTTCATGAAAATTACTCATTCTGAAGTTGAAAAAGTCCATTCAAGCTTGATTAATTGACACCAAACTTCCGCCGTCATCCCAAAACAGAACCATACACTCACTATCTACAACACTTGAAAATATTTGTTCAATTGTGATCATCAATGTGTTTCAGCATATCTACAATCCTCACATTTTATACAGTGACAGTGAGTGAAATCGTTGAAATCGATCTTGAGATCGAAAAAGTGATAGAGACATGATCACAATGGGGATGATGTATTGTACTCGAGAACTCGATGACAGGGAAATGAGTGATGATATATAGAATCAGTTCATCGTCTGGTTGTTTACCGATCGTCTTCTCCTTCCGCAGCCGCCACCGTACCCACCGTATCCCCCACTGTAACTGCCGCATCCTCCACATCTCGGCACGTATTGCTGCACCATACAGGGCTGGAAGAGATCGGAATACAGATGCTATTAGGGAATTGCACTTACTTGATACATAGTTACAGGAGGAGGACAAGAGCAAGGCGGTGGTGGTGGAGGGCATGGGACAGGCATCGGACAGGGAGGAGGTGGAGGAGGAAGACAGACTGGAGGAGGTGGTGGGGCACAGGAGCAGCCGGAATTGCAGCCTCCGCAGCCAGAGTTACAGCATCCACCGCCGCCGCCGCCTCCTGAAATATCATTTGGATTTTGAAAGGGCAGACGAACTCACCGAAGCCAAAGAGGAAAGAGTCGACGAGCAGAGGGAGAAGGAAGATCAGAAGCATATTCGGAGAATGAGAGGAAGTCGTGCTGGAGAGTAGTAAATACAGGAAAGAAGGGGGTTTAAGTAGAAGCCGAGCGGATTAGTCGAACGTCTCGGATCCGGCCGTGCCGATTTCTGCTACAATTGCAATCGAGCGCCTCCAATTTGCTTCCACTTTTGTTCGTTGGATTTCGTTAATCGTTTTGCAAATTTGGGCGGCCGCTAGGAGAGATCAAGAAGCAAGGAACCAAAGAAGTACAGGAGAGCCAACGCAGGGAGCGAATCATTCGTTAGTCTTCACCTCCGCCCGGATTATTTCATTTCGAACGAGATCGTACTCAATGTCAAACGAACTTCTCACCATTGATCTGCAAAAAAAACTGAATTATTTGGCAAAGAGACTTTGATTGGATTACTTCTTCTTTTCGATCTTCTCAATCTGCCGCTGCATATTGAAATCGCAAATGTAGACAAAAGCGCGCCAGACGACGGAAAGCATATAGATTTCGAAACAAATCATAAACAGCTAAAAAAAGGATGAATTATGAGAAGTTCACCTTGAGAACGGATTATTTATTGTTGTACTGACCAAAACTACGTTATGGAGAATCGGAAGGATTTCGACAGTGTCTTTTGAGTTGGCAGTGTCCAGGAAATCAACGAACAAATGCAGGATGAGGACGAAAATGAATAGAACGCAAACTGTGAAATAGGGAATCAAAAAGATGTAGCTGCAAGTATTCCGAATTGGAATATCTCAAAATTTCATTTCAGTATTACCGCTTCAGACGGACTCCGGCTACTAAAAGGACGTTTGTGATACAAACTGTGAGGAATACGAATGTGGCTGCTGTAAAAGAAGACACTCTTCCACTTGCATTCCAAGTGTTCACTCACAGAATGCTCCTAGAAGAGATTCAGTGTCCATTACTTGAAGGAGAAGGAAGGCGAACACGAGAATTGTCTTGATGACGGTGAGAATGACGAGCACATTTCGTATGTGCATTGAGCCGAAGAAGGCTCTGTACCGAATACTATTCTCCTGAAAATGACGTTTCATAAAAGAGTAGCTCACCGAAACAAACATCAAATTGGGCCGGATCCTCGCTTTTCTGATCAAACATACAGCAACAACAGTACGTTTTGAGATATGTACTCGGCGTAAGCGGGTCCAGTTTTTGCAGAGGTTCATAGTCGGACGAAGTGGACATTATCTGGAAAAAAGAGTGAAATGGACGGCAAAGAAATGGTCACGAGAACTAAGATTTCACCCATTTGCACGCGTTTTTTGATGACCAAAAGTAGGGGGGCAAGTCACCAAGAAACGGTGGTTTCGTGTTAATTTGATGTAATTTGATAAAAATAGGTTTGAAAAGGAAGGAGAAATGGCAGCAACTGACTGCTTCAAGGTGGGCAGCGTACTCGAAAACAACAGACAAATAATCAATCTTCATTTGGACATAATCAGGCGAGAACTGGGAGAGACTCGGACTGCTTGGCGCGAGATAAACCATGTGAACAAGAAAAGGAGGATTACTGAATTCAGATCGGTGACACCAACAAGAGAAGTGTAGGAGACAGACAAAAAACGAAATTGGGCAAAAAGTGGTGGATGATCAGTACTGTGATGATAAGGAGGAATGGGGGAGGATACGCGAGAATCACGAAGCAAGCGATCAAAAATCGGAAAAGAAGAACGAAGGAGGCGATCATTGGGACACAGGGAGGGGTCTGAAGCGAATGAGGACGTGTGGTTCGCAAGAAGATCGGACTGAATCGACTGCACCGCGAGGACACCGACTGACTGGTTCTCTTACCCGCCTATTTTGAGACAAATCCAACCCAACTTTAAATTTTATGGTATTTTTATTGTTCTGTTTCCGTCTTCTGACCGAAAGGTCAATGACTGAATCGTATTAACGAAAAGGGTGGGTTACTGTAGTTTCAGTGGAATGTTGTCAGCTGAGAGAGATGGGTAAACAGGAAGGATTCACGGACGAACTGTCCTATTTTATGAAACTTGGAGACTGCGCACCTGAATGACCGACAAGCTTATCAAGTCAAAGATCACGAGGACAAAGTGCTTCAGTCAGTCGGTTCCTTCGTTCACAGCCGACTTCACTTGCGCACTTCCTCCCCGTTCATCCCTCCGTTTCTCCCAATGACTCCGTCTCGTCGTTCCCTTCCTTTTCATCCTCATCATCTTCTGATTGTCAGAAACGCGTCTCTTCGTCGTGACAGTTGCGACGAGCCTCGTCCAGGAATCCTGAAATAATTAATCTCCTTTTTCCATATTAAAATCAGCTGAGCGACTACGACTACAACTCTAACGCACGGATGTCTATAAATTAGTGATGGATGCGCGCGTGAATTCTCGGAGTGAGATAAATAGATTTCCGGAATCCTGAGAAACAAGTTAATAAACTGGCCTTTTTTCATCTCTCGAATCACGGAGCCCATGAATTTCTCCCATCCAATTATGACGACGGTGCTCGAATTGGACGGAAAGAGAGAGGGAACACTCTTCAAATCGACCGAACTGCTCTCAGAATTGCTTCCGTCCTGGGTGACAATCTCCACAGTCACCTTCTTGAATGTCAACCAATTATCGGCTCCAAAGTTCACTCCTCTGAACCTCACAGCTCAAGCCTTTCCAGTACTCCATGTTCTCACCTATAAAAGTGAATCTGTCCAATTCTGTAGGCCATCTGATGGATATTTCCGATCGGACAGAAGCCGAGAGAAGAGACTGCCGTGTCGAGAAAGTTCTGGATCCGATGTGATTGCAGCTGGAACTCTCTGCAGCTGTACACATCGTCCTTCTTCTCGTCTACATGAATCCCAAAGTAATCCTTGAATTGCGGTTTCCGTTCGATAAGCGCCCGCAGTATATGCTTTCCAATCTCTCGTTCTTTGGCTCTGAAATCGCTCAAGTTGGCCTTTCTCGTGATTGGGATGTCTGCGATGTTATGAGTGGGCAACGATGTTATCCACAACTAACCTCTTCCAGGCATCTCTGACTGCTTGCATCTCATCGTTTGTCAATTCGTACATGGTCCTCTCTGAATTCCGGGCGAAACAGTTCAGCTTCATCTGACTAGGGAATGGCCTGCACTTACCTTGGGCTTTTGGAATGGGACCTATATGATTCGAAAGAGAATTTCACGGAGAATCCGAATCTGCTCTCCATTTTTGCTAAAGAGCACTGGCTGGCGAGAAAATCGCATCTGAAATTCCAGTGCTAAATTCATTTTTTAACATGTAATCTGCAGTTTGGTGCAGAGGGTGTGGGCGCCCGAGCGACTGTTGTTGTCACACGCCCAGTTTCAGTGCTTCCGCAGCAGCTGGATGGTCGAATGGTTAGTGAGTTAGAGTTGTGAGTGGTAGGTATGGGGTTCGTGTCCGCGCTATGGAAAAAGTTTTTTTGGCAATCTTTTGCTCTTTTTTTTCGAACAATTTCTGGATATCACTTTTGCATTTTTTCGTCATTATTTTTTTAACGAGTCGTAACTACTGACCCTTCAAAGTCCCGAAAAATGAATCTCATCGCTCTGACCCCAGTACTCACTTTTTTCTGCCTGTTTCTGCCTCATTTTCTAGCAAGTTCATCTTCGGCGACCTGTATCTCAAGAACCACGCGTCCGTTGCAGAAGTGGTCAACTAGTAAGTTAACGCAAATTATCTCGTGAATAACTTTGTAGTTGATCGTCTATTTTTAAAAAAATTAGTTTTCGAGTTATCGTCGCTCTGACCCCAGCGCTAACTTTTTTCTTGTCGCTCTAGGAAAACAGTTCATAACTCGAAAACTAATTTTTTTAAAAATAGACGATCAACTACAAAGTTATTCACGAGATAATTTGCGTTAACTTACTAGTTGACCACTTCTGCAACGGACGCGTGGTTCTTGAGATACAGGTCGCCGAAGATGAACTTGCTAGAAAATGAGGCAGAAACAGGCAGAAAAAAGTGAGTACTGGGGTCAGAGCGATGAGATTCATTTTTCGGGACTTTGAAGGGTCAGTAGTTACGACTCGTTAAAAAAATAATGACGAAAAAATGCAAAAGTGATATCCAGAAATTGTTCGAAAAAAAAGAGCAAAAGATTGCCAAAAACTTTTCCATAGCGCGGACACGAACCCCATACCTACCACTCACAACTCTAACTCACTAACCATTCGACCATCCAGCTGCTGCGGAAGCACTGAAACTGGGCGAGTGACAACAACAGTCGCTCGGGCGCCCACACCCTCTGCACCAAACTGCAGATTACATGTTAAAAAATGAATTTAGCACTGGAATTTCAGATGCGATTTTCTCGCCAGCCAGTGCTCTTTAGCAAAAATGGAGAGCAGATTCGGATTCTCCGTGAAATTCTCTTTCGAATCATATAGGTCCCATTCCAAAAGCCCAAGGTAAGTGCAGGCCATTCCCTAGTGAGAATAGAAGAATAGCTCTTGCGAGTCGTCAGAATGATGAAATGAACAAGAGGACACGTCTGGAAAGGGGCGGAGTCGGCCCGGGAAGCCATTAGTGGAAGCCTAATGCGGTGATTAGCGAGAGGATGTTCGCAACTTGAGCAGGCGAAAGAGCGAAATGCACGTTTGCAGCAGAAAAGAATGAAATCATCGAGGAAGACAGAGGTTTAATAGGGCAATTGGAATGCAATTAAGGAGAGGTTCTTGGAGGTTCAGCGAGTTCGACATCAAAAGAGCACTTACAGGCAAGAAGCGACGGCGGAAATTATGAAGGATTTTCAGGAGACGAGGCATCGAATAGATCCGAACACTTTTATCGGATGAGGCAAGCAACGAAAAGTTCTTTGTTGTTTTGTTTTGACGACAAGCTTCCGTGATCGTTCCAAGATTAGAAGAAGCCTTGCAGTTGCGTGTGATTCGGATGAAAGTAGCGGAACAAAATGCTGCTGAGCTCGAAATTGTCACGTCGCGAGCAGCACAGCTCTTATGAATTCCGTACTGGATTAATGCGAGAAATCGGCGAAAGATGAGTGCAGAACGAGATGGAATGGCGGTGCAAGACTCGCGTAATCGCATCGGATGCGTGCTAGCAAACCGTGTGCTGGGAGGGTGAACGACACTTTCCGCTCTGTCTAAAGAAACTGAATGGAGAATGAGAGTGCGAACGATGAGCCAGAATCATGCACATCATTTCTGGAAGGAGCACCTGAATTGAATGAAGATACAGTCGGAGCTGAACGTTGGTTCCCAGAATAGGTTTTTTCACGAATTCTCAGAAATACAAATTTTTTACAGAATTTCACACAGCTTCAGAAATACACACTCATAATTTCTCGTCCAATAGAGTGCACTTGCATACCCGTCCATAGCAATCGGAAATCGAGCAGAAATTGTTTGTGTATTATCGCGGTATTCCTCTGCAATCGCGCTCTGTTCGCAGTCTGGCCGAATTTCTAAGCCGCGAAGTAATTTTCCACTGAAAGGCTCGCGGAGCAGAACCGAATTCGGAAAATCATTTTATTTGAGCGATTGAGGGTTCTCTGGTTCGTTAAATAAGAATGATCTTGATCATGCTGGGTAACCAAAAAATACGTGGACCCTTAGCTGCATGCACGAACGCCTGTTGTGGAATCGTGCATGAATTACCAGTTCGCACCACGCGGAGGTGATCCAACAAGCGAACCAAATTTTTCCATTAGACAAATCACCGGATGAAATGTCTAACTGCGTGGTGCGAACAGGTAATGCATGCAAATGCCTAACTTAAATTTGGGGCCGTCGCCTAGAAAAGTCCTCCGCCGATGCTGCCCCCAGGATTTTCTCGATTCTCGGAGTTCTCAGAGAATATGAATTAGCAACCAGAAGAAGACGGATCGATTGTAAAGCGGTTAGAAAGCTTTGTATACAGATAATACTTCTCCGCCGAACATGTTCAGAGCAAGTGTGTTATTTTCACAGAAATGGCATCACAGACAAACACCTATGTATATTCAGTATACGTGTTAGTTTTTGACAGAACAATTGTTTTTCTCTCCGACAAACAGTTACAGAATCTTCTTCACTTCGCCGCCGCCGTCACCACACAGCGGAAAGATGAGGAAATTGGGGATTTTGTTCTCAATCGTTATTATTCGGAGCCATCTTTTCTATTATCTCCCGGACAGGGCCAGAAACTAGGAAAGAGACTGTGATAACACATTGTTGTATTATAGGGGCACCGGACAGAAAGGGCGCGCTGTTCGCAATCTGGCCGAATTCTGGCCGCGAAGTAATTTTCCACTGAAAATGTGGCCTAACTTTTCAAACTCGGCCCCGAGGTCGCTCAATTTGCAATGCAAAAAGAGTTTCTCAACAGAGCGCCATTTCTGTGCGGTGCCCCTATAATAAGTCATTGAAGCTTTTGATTGCATTGAAAGACGTCTTCAATTAGACTATTAACATGACCATTCGTGTGGATCCCCACGTTTCTCAAGCAGCCAAATACTTTCTTAGTTTTGTGTGACGTAAAAAAAGTGGCTTAAATTAATAATAAACGGAGTAAACTACAACGAATGTTTCAAGAATAAGCAGAAGTTAGCGTCACCATCAATCAACGTGTCGTGTAATTTGATTGTGTTTTCAGGTAGAAGGTTGTCCAGTGAGCTCATTGCTCTCAAAGGCTCGTCGTTCCGCTCTTTTCCCAACTGTACGAGTGTCTGTTGCGCGAATTTCTCGTCTTCTGGACACTTTGCCTCTTCCGTCCGCCACCGCCCGGGTGTGACCGTCCTTCGGTCTCTCCTCGCCCGCCTGTCTCCTCCTGACATCATTGTTATATTAGTACGTCTGCGTCTCCAGTCCTCCCCCATTATCTCCTTTGAATGTCGCCTTCCTTTTGAGGGAAACCTCTCTCAGGTGTGTGCTGGTCTCCTTTCTAAACATGCATAAGTAAGACGTGTGGTCTTTCTTCATAATATATGACTGATTTGGTTTGTGTACTTCTGCTTATTCAGGAATATCCAGCTGCTATTTCTCCGCTCTCATAAGTCTCCATGACAACTTCTGTGCTCGCAAACTAAGCCTTCTCTTCCCCTTTTCCATGACTCACTTCAAAAATTCCGACGGCTGATGAGACAAATGTAGGAGTAAAACTGTCTCTTTTCCCCTCTCTCTCTCTGTTTCTCTGTTTCTCTCTTTTTGTTTGGTCTCTTCCATGTCTATTCTTGTGTTTTATTTGTTTTGTAGCAACAAAAAGCTGCCAGTGAGCTCGTTTGTGCACTCGGAAAGGTTACTGAAATGCCACTGAAACAAGAGAACTCCCCCTTCCAAACATCGTTTTAAGACCGCCCTTGACTCTGGTTCTCATGTACAAACACAACTTTTTCAATTTCTTTCACTTGAGTTTTCGTCTGTTTGTTATTTTGGTTGCCGAGCAGAAAAACGAAAAAGAAACGAGAAAAAATTAGAAAAGAAACGTTGGTCATCCGACGAGCATCAATTATTCTTCTGCCCTTTCTTTTGCCTCTTTTTTTTGCATTTCATAGTTTTAGCTTGTTTCGTGTGCGTCATAGTACCAGAATCCGCCCACAGTGATCATAAATTAACCCGAGTACCGGTCTCTCTATCTCTCTCTCTCTCTCTCTCTCTCTCTCTCTCTCTCTCTCTCTCTCTCTTTCTCTCCGTTCATTCCAATTCGTTTCCGATTCGATTCCGATTCGATTCGATTTGATTTCAACCCCAAATTCTATCCCTCTTTGACCGTTTTCCCTCCTATAGGTTCAATTATTTCAAATGCATCCATCCGTCCTCTTTTTTTCGAAAAACCGTTTACAACCAACATTGCAGGCATCTCAAACATGAGTTATGCCTCCAATTTCACATGTAAAAGTGGCATTCTGATTCCCGCTTTGGACGTCACCCCACGCAATGCGATCCTGTACTTGGCCGCCCTTCTGTACTGTTTCCTCGGTGAGTCACTCCCTTCTCTCTCCTTCTCCGTATTTTCTGTTTTCTGTTCAGGCATCGCCATCGCAGCTGACATTTTCATGTGTGCAATCGAGCAGATCACGAGTGCGACGAGGAAAGTGAAAAAGCAGAAAGATAGTGGTCGATTGGTGGCTAAGGAAGACGAGGTCGACGAGCAGTTCGATTATGTCCGCATCTGGAATCCGACCGTCGCCAATCTCACCCTCATGGCCCTCGGTTCCTCTGCTCCGGAGATTCTGCTCTCGATCATCGAAATCGTTGGAAACGGCTTTAAAGCAGGCGATTTAGGGCCTGGCACGATCGTCGGATCGGCTGCTTTCAACCTTTTCTGCATCTCTGCCATCTGCGTGCTGGCTGTTGGCTCACAAACGAAACGAATCGAACTGTACAGAGTGTTCGTCGTGACCGCATTCTTCGGCACTTTTGCCTACATTTGGGTCTTCCTTGTTCTAATTGTGATCACTCCGAATGTGGTGGACGTCTGGGAAGCACTTCTCACGCTTCTCTTTTTCGTCGTCCTCGTCGGTGTTTCCTACTCGGTCGATGCCGAAGTTTGGAAGAAAAAGAGGTCAGATCTGCAGGAAGAGCTCGAAATGGCCCACGAAGAAGGCGAGAAAGACGAGAAGCCAGAGAGATTGAACGATGAAATCAAGAAGTGGGCGAGCACTTTGAGCCTTCAAAACGAAGATAATGCCGTCGTCGTTGACTCCACTCCGTCCGTTGATACTGTCAGAAAATGGACGAGGACGATTTCACAGACTTATCCTTCGCTTTCGGAGGAAGATCAGGCAAAGCTGTTGGCGTATCGAGTATCCAGAACTATGGTGAGTACGAATTTGGCATCATCTCGATTATTTTTATTTTCAGTCTCATGACCGCCTCTACTACCGTATCCGAGCAATCCGACAACTTTCTTCGTCGTGGCGAAGAAGCGAAGAAGAGGAGATGCAAAAGATTGATAGCCAGGACAGTACCGACTCCGGAGCAAGAAGTTGGCTCTGTCTTTCCAGTTTTCATTCCACACCGATTTCATTTCAGAAAAGACGTTCGTGGAGTTCTCAGCCCGAGTTTACCGAGTCGATCCCTCGGATGAAACAGTGTCCGTCAAGGTAATTCAGACTTTGCCTGCATCACAACAATTGGCTGCTCACATGAAATCATAATCTGTTTGTGCTGCTGAGATTAGCGAATTTCGACGAAAAAACGTGGTGTTAAACATGGCAAATTATGGGATTAGGTCCACAGAGATTAGGGCGACGGATGGATGGGATGAGAGTTGAAAGACTGATGCTTGCAGATTGTGCGGAAAGGAAACATGGACTCTCGGTTCACCGTCAGCTATGCGACTGTGAACGGACTCGCGAAGAAGGACCTGAACTTTCTGTTCAAATCGGAGACACTCCAGTTCAATCCGGGAGAGTTGCACAAAACGGTAAAAGAACAAATAAAGGAGAGGATTAAGCGATCATCCCTTTCAGATTTCTATTCAATTGATATCTGCCAGCAACTGGAGACCGAATGATGTTTTCTATGTTCATCTGAAACTTCAAGAGGAGGAGGATGATGCGAAAATAAGACTGGGCTCGTGCAATGTGGCCAGAGTCAAAATGCCAGATGAGTCCGGAATGATGTTGGGAGGGTCTGTGGTCGAGTTTGTGAAACCAAACTACGTGAGTGCCTGGAACGGCCGAGATGGCAAAAATGAAAAAGTAATTGCAGGTTGTGAAAGAGAATGCCGGAAATGCCAGGTCTTATGTGACGAGAAGAGGCGGTAAACTGAAAGAACACCTGAGAGTGCACTACGAAACAGAAGACGTCACTGCGAGACAAGGAGAAGATTACACGGCAGTGAAGGACGGAGTGGTCACGTTCGAGGGACAAGAGTACGAGAAGTACATCGATGTGCAGATCATCGATGACAAGGAGGACGAAAAGGACGAGGCGTTCATTATCGAACTGACCAAGGTGGACGAGCCGGACGTGGCGATTGGAACGAGAAGAAAGGCAACCGTGACAATCATTTCGGATGATAACGTTCTCAAGAATATTACAAATGTGCACAAACTGATGTCCCACTACATGCGTCAATTGAGACCGGGCAAGGCCACGTGGAAGGAGCAGATCTTGAATGCGGTATCCGTGAATGCGGGAGATCTAGCCAATGCGACCGTCTCCGACTGTGTCCTCCATGCTCTCGCTTTCCCATGGAAGTTCGCATTCGCCTTCCTCCCACCACCAAGCATCCTCTATGGTTACCCATGCTTTTTGGTCGCTCTCGTAGCCATTGGACTCGTGACAGCCGTCGTTGGAGACGTCGCCTCGATCTTTGGATGTATGGTTGGACTCAAAGACGCCGTGACTGCCATCACTCTCGTTGCTCTCGGAACCTCTCTTCCGGATACTTTTGCTTCCAAAATTGCCGCCGAAAGTGTATGATCATTCCCCTTTTGGACCTCTTCATAATCTTCGTTACAGGATGACTCTGCCGACAACGCAGTCGGAAATGTGACCGGCTCGAATTCTGTGAACGTCTTCCTCGGACTCGGTCTTCCCTGGGTCATCGCCTCTCTCTACTGGGCCTCAAAGGGGGAGTCGTTCCGTGTGGACGCGGGAGACCTCGGGTTCAGGTGAGTGACCACATAGCCGCCTACATACATCTCAATTTCCTGTTAGTTGATGGAGTATGACGACTATGTGAAAACTGATATCTGTGTGACATCCGCACGTGCTTACAGCGTGACCGTCTTCATGATCTGCTCCGTCTTCTTCCTCATCGTGCTCGTTCTCCGAAGGAAGCTGTCTCTCTTTGGAAAAGGAGAACTGGGCGGTCCATTCGGGCCCAAGGTTCTATCCGGAGTGTTCTTCGTCTGCCTCTGGATTGCTTACGTAGCGTTGTCCATCTGGAAAATGTACAAAAGTACTAACTAGTCTTGCAAAAAATTTATTTAAACTGTTCCTGCCTCTTGAAAATATCAATTCAGTTCTATTTCGACCTCACTGTGATTGCATAATAATAACTCGCTCTTTCAAATAAATCCATTTCCAACTAAATCCCTTCCCGTGTTCAGTAACTTCTGTTCTCCTGAAGATTATCGATGCTTACAGTTCACCTGTGATGATGTAGTTAGGCAACTACTACGCGTCCGACGATTTCCACCTGCATGTTGGCATTCAAGGAAATAGAAGTAAATGCAAAGCGCACTCCCCTGATCTATGGAGGATGGTTCGACCTCTCAATACTAAAAATTTGCGATTGGCATGGAAGAAATTTGAAGAATTTGAAACATTATTATCTCTGCGCAGCTTAATCTTGCGCACCGCTTGTCCAGAGAGTACTGTCTGTGGCGGAGACGCCGATCTGACAGACGGAAATGACGGGAGGCCAGAGGTATGCAAATGAAGAGGGGAACAGGGCGATCGGAGGCGAGAACGTTGCGCAGCCGCACCCGTCGAGAGAGAGAGAGAGACCATTTTTCGCGTTTTTCACATATTTCGAGCCGATCAAAGAGCGCGCATTCCAGTGGGGAACGAAGTACAGAAGGAGATCCGCTGAAGCCCCGGAATTCCTTTTCTGCGATGAATAAATGAATTTTAGTTTTAATTAACGGATAGTGCTGGCGGGAGACGTCATAGGTCACGGAGGTTACGTTTTGGAATTGAAGTTCCCAATCAGAAGCGGAAGCGGCTCTTTCTGATCTTTCATAATCCCCGACAAGCTGTCTGCTAAATGCATCATCTGAAGGTATTCCCGATCGGACAATCCATTTCAACCGAAAACAATTATTTCGACCCCTGTAGGCGTTCCACAAAACCGCCTTCTCATCCCATTCAAGTCTCTATTACAGATGGTTCCGAATGGCCCCTCCTCGGTGAATACAGTCTTTCGGCCGACCAGTCTTCTGCGCGTTTTCAGCCAGTTCGATGATCCCCCAATACCTTGTTACACCCTCTCTGTACGTGCGTCGCTGCCATGTGATACAGAGGTTATCTCTCTCTCTCTCTCTCTCTCTTCCTCTCCCCCATTCTAATTATTTCCTGTTTCGACGACGACGCTCGGCGGGATTCTCCTCTTCCCGAACATGAGTCATTCCGAGAAAGCGTCAGGAATGCGCCACACGAGTACTATGGGCTCCAGAGACTGAATACTTTTATCCGTCTGCCTTCTAATTTCCTGAATTCATGAGTTGAGCTAAAAACGGAAAGAAACAGGAGCAAGAAGGGGGGAAGGACGTGTTGTTGTTGCAGGGAATCAGGAGACACACTGCATCGAGAGCTTCAAATGGCGTGAAATTGAACATAACTGGAAACATGCCTCCCTCGGAAAGAGCAGGAAGAAACGGGCCGAATGACCCCCGCAATGACCTTTGCCCGCCGGGAATGATGCTCCGAATGCTTCCGGTCAGAAGACTCGTCCACTTCCAGGTTCCGTGCTAAATAGGACTTCTATTTCCGAAAGGGTCATCCATACTTTCTGTTTCTTGACACTTTCAAAACGTCACTTTGTGAGGAATACAAATTGAAATGAAAAGTTTGCGCTCAACTGAGTTGTCACCTGAATCTTAGAATGTTGACGTTGTGACTTGGGAATGTGCACAGATGAAATCCATTGAGTTGAGTCTATGATCTGGGTCATGAAGGACCAAAATGATATCATCATTTGTGGATGTTTTTTTTGTGACGGCAACGAAGTAGAAGAATTGACCTTTCGTCGAATGAAATTATGGGTTCGCGAAAGAAGTAAACTTTTATAATTGTATCTGTGGAAGCCCTCTGGTCTCGTCTCTTGATAGACTTTCACGCTTCACAAGTGACATCAAGGACGGAAATAGAGAGCGAGAAAAAGGGCTCGGTGTGCATTTCGCATAATTGGTTCTGTTTCCAAATAAGGAAAGAGAAACTGCCTGCTTCTTCTGTAAGTTCCAGGTTTGCAGTGAGATTCCAGCTGGGCCGACTGCCTATTTCTGGACTGAAAGCATGACCAAATGAATCACATTATCCGGAGTAGTTTGCAGTCTTTGAGCCTTTTTGCAGCAGATTCCACCTGACGCTCCTCCCGTTTTTCGCTTTTTTCTTGGTCTTCCGTCACTTCTACGAGGTATGTGGCGACTGGCGTCGGTTCATTGCGGCTAGGAAATCACATTTTGGAACAATCGAACGAGGAAAACAAACGCTTCCACGAATTACTCGATCTTTTTTGACTTCACTATCACGGCCCGCCGATCGTCTTGTTTCTCGATCAAGCTCGCCGCGATGTTTTTGTTTGCAGCGAAGGAAAAGAAGGAAAAGTGCGAAAGGGCTTACCCTAAAGAGGAGGTCTATGAAGGAAATGACGTCGTTGAGAACTGGAAAAATGAGGTGACAAACAGAGGCGGTACACTTTGTGATAGGTAGGCGTGACGTGGCCAGACGTGATCCAGAATTCCGCCGACGGTCACGAGTGGAAGCAGGTGATAACTGTATCTGCTGTGCAACTGCAGTAATAGACTTGCCGAGTACGTCACGACCGCTGGTTCCGAAAGTCGCGTGTCGCTCTGATCACCCGTGGAAACGACGACTGCCCACGTCTCGACACATTGCAGTTTACTCGAAGAGCATCTTCGTTTCCATGCTCACTTCACGGTCACCTCCTAAGCGCCGCCCACTTTCCCAGGGTTAAGCAAGCTGTCGCGCGTCCAAAAAATTAGTCTGTCTGCGTCTCGTTAGTCTCTTTTCGGCGACCAAGTGGGAGGAGCCACCCGAATATAAATACCGCCCCTGGCGTGCCCTTTCACCATCAAACACTTCTTCGCGCCTTCCACTTTTCCTCGCCTTCTCGGTTTCACCCCCATTCCATCATGTTCCTCGGAGCCGCACACCGTTCCGTCCTGCTCTCGCTCTTCGTTCTCGCACTTACCGTATCCCACTCCTCGTGTCGGCTAGTTATGGACGAATCCACCTCGAAAGCGGACGACGTCGAGTCTCCTTCGTGTGCAGTATTGGCAGACGAACCAGTCGGAGAAGTGATGGAGAGGATATGTGACATGTGCCATGAGCTGAGTTCCCACTCCCGTCCGAACATGAGGCTCGAATGCAGGTAATCCTCAGACCCCCCCCCCCTGACGGTCCCTCACCTCTGTTCATTTGCAGAGCCAATTGCTTTTCGACGGACGCCTTCCGGGAATGTCTGAAACTGTTCACTCCGCGTCGTCACACGCGGCACCTCCGCTCCAAGTACTGAGCGGTTTCTGTGCCTGCTGTTTCCACAAGTGCTCTTCGAAACGGTTTCTCAGATGTCCTTTGCATCTCTATCAGTCCCTTCTCACTCTCCCGGGTCTCCCTTTTCCGTTCCATGCCATACCGTATTCTTCTCAGGATCCTTGCTCACTCACTACCTCTTCTGTCGCTTTCCCGCTGCGCCCATCCGGTGGATTTTCTTCGCATTCCCACCCAGTTCGTTCGTTCTCAAACCCTCCCAAACTTTGCCATCAATTTGTCTCTCTCTCTCTCGTTCGGCTAGAATAGAATCCATAGAATTCCGAATTTTCTTGTTGCTCCAAACCGGTCACCGCCCCCCTCATTTGTGATACACGTGATGATTTCGTTGCTTGAATTGTCTCTCACTCCAGATCTCTCAGTCTCGTTATGAATGAATTTTGAGCCAATTACTCGAGACAAACAATATATGATCGGAATGACTGATGACTTTGCAGAAATATGCGAAAACAAAAACAATGGCGAAACGAGGCGTTCCATCTGAAGGCGTCGGCGACCATCTCGTGAAGATCGGAAGACCATTTTTTCTCAATTCGTATCAGATTTTAGAAGCTGATGAATTTTTTTCAGACAAGGGGAAAACACTTCCGTCTAACATGAGTTTTGGACCGAAATGTGCGTATCCAAATGCAGATTGTTGACCAATTCAATGCGGGATCGTTTGTGGAATGATAATGAGTTGAGCGACGAATCGTCCTCCGATCACTCTGTTTCTGCCCCCTTGTTCACTCTTCCTACCCCTTCCTCCACGTCTTCTCCGTTCGGGGACCCTTTCCCAATTATGAGCTGTTTTTGTGAACGGGCACATAAGAAATCAGTCGAGAGCAAAATGGAACGACGAAAACAGGCTACAATGTGGGCAAACTATGTTCTCATTGTCTCAAAAAGAGACGAGGGAAGTAAAAGTTCATTGTTTTGGATGGGTAATTTCAGAGAATCCGTTCCGAAAACAGAGCGGTCTGTCTAAACCGAATCAGTGCATCAAGTGTCACTTTCTGCAAAACAATCCCGGTTGCATGTCCTCTGAGCAGGCGGACCCATCCAGCGGAGCCTACCTATTTGCGTCTTCGAATGACGTCACGAAGAACTCATTCTGGAAGCATTGAGTGGGAGATGATTAGCGCATCCAGCACGGTGGTCATCACCATTCCAAAGAAAAAAAAACGGAAATAGAAAAAGGGGAATTATCCGGTCGAATGGACGAGCAGGAGCAGAATTCGAACGAATGGGGAAGGATGCGTAAATGTCGTGAAAGGAGACCAAAGATTTGTGGATGACTTTAGAAGGCACCTGCTCCCACCCACACCTTTCTCTGCAAATCTGATCTGCCAACTCAATTGGCGTCACTTCGAAATGTAAATGAGAGATCAGTTGTTTATTGTTTCAGAGCGTAAATACAAGAGACCGAAAATCGTCAGTTTGCATGTTCCAGGTAGATTCGTAGCTCCAGGTTGAGCGATCTGCAATAACGGGGAAACTAGAAATAGAAAATACTTCTGATTTTACAATTAACACGAAATGTTTTCTTGCTAAACTGAGAACGAAAAGCCAGGTGGTTTGATTGCAAAACTGTCACTCGTTTCATGAGAAGAGAAAGCGTCTTCATGATATCATGTGGGTAGAGCAGGTGAAAAAAGCTCAGTTCAGTGAGCAACTATCAAATAAGTCAGTAATGTTTCACCCTTTTCCTCCGCCCTGACTGCTCGAGCATCAGCTGCCCTTTTTTTACAATAGAAAATCCATACCCGGCTATTTTGAGAGCACTTTCCAGGGAAATCAGGCACTTGATCTTCGGAATATCAAGGTTGCTTCGATTGGTGACCGAAACGAGGCCCATTGAATCGAGAGAAGCAATCTGCAAAAGGAGGAATGAACTATTCGTCATTCTTTTATGATTCTGATTCAAAATAACACCTCCAGAAAGCATTCCGTAGAAAATAGAGAGCAAACTGCAGAATTGAATTAACAAGAGCCGATGAATGACGACATTAAAAAACAAGTTGGTATACTGACCACATTTTTTATATCGAAGCCTCGGACGGATTCCTCGTTGCGCATGAGTAGAGTTTCGTAGATACAGGCGATTCTCTGAAGTTCTGCGGCTTTTGGGCCCATCTCCTTCGTCAATCGGTTCTCTTCCGCCCGCAACTCTTTAATTTCCGATCGCTTATCTTTTCCGTGATTCTAAAATAGTCACACTTTTCCAAAATCCAAGACAACACATTTTTGTTCGCATTGAGCTAGAATCAACTTAGACTGTGGTGCACTTATGGAACATCGTGACGACGAATAACAAAAAATCGGATATAAATCCGTTTTAAAAAAGCGGAGATCAGACAACTTACTTTTACAAAGTAACGACTATCCGACTGAGCGGCATTGTTGCTGGCGCAGTATGCAGCAATCAGAAGATATCTGGAGACAAGTACATTGTTTTTCAGGACATTTACGATATAAAAACCTCATGGCGAGTGGCATCGACTGGAAATTGTGCTCATTTTCGGTTGATTTCAATTCAGCGAAGACGTTGCCCAGTTTCTCTCCAGACGCTTTGTTCAGACAATCCTTGGCAAGAGTAGTGTCGAACTTTTCACTGCCGCCGTTGTTTTCATACATTCTCCAAGCTTCTGATATCTGTAAAACAAATCTGGAACTGTTGGCGTTATTTTGTACAAATATTTCTCACGATGGAAAGCAGAGTGTTCGGAGATTTACAAATCATGAAGAGCGTGTTGACAGCAATTGTGAGGAATTGAGGACTGATCGACGGATTAGCGTGCGAAATGAGAGATATTGTGCTTTCTGAAACAGATTTCAATCAAAGGATAATGATTAGAAACGAATCAAACCGAGATTTGGTGTTGGCACATGAAATTCGATGAACGAAAGATGGCTGAGGTGGGTTTGATACTGGCTTATGCACGACGGCGCACATGTTACGAACCGGACTGTCAAATCTTCGATCTGAAAAATAATGTTTATGAAATTGACGCGAGATGTTTTAAGAACTACCGCTTTGTGACAATCTAGAAAGCATTGTAGTGAAGCAGGCGGATAGTTCACGATGGCCTGCGCGTTGTCTAGAAAAATCAGAATCTTTTTGTTCCTCGTGTCTTTCCTGCAAAATCTTTCGCATTTCAATTTTCTAGAGAACACTGATACCATGAAACATGATCAAAAACGTTATTGAAGAAGTTTTCGGCCCGATCTCCTTTCATTTTGAATCCGAGCTCGGTGGCCAGTGCCTCAAGCAAGAGTTTGAGCGAACCGTCGGCATACAAAAAATCACCGAGTGCACAGACCTGTGTAAGTAATGCGGAATAATTGGGAAGATAAACAATTACCCAGTCATCACCAGAATTTCGTAAAATCTGGCGGACGGTCTCACTTCTGCCGCTGCCATCTTCTCCAAACACATGTACGTGGGAAATTACCCGAGAGTTGTTGAACAGCAATGCTCTCAGTTGCTCTACTTTGTTTTCTTGCATTTTTCTGTAAAAACAGCTTGATTTTCGAACTAAGATTTACATTTTGCTTGGCGCTTTAACGTATTAGAACTTGAACGGAATAGAACTTTTACGAAATAGAACTCCCAACGCTAAAAACATCAGTCTAGGAGTTCTATTTCGTAACAGTTCTATTCCGATCAAGTTCTAATCCGTTGTAGCGCCGAAAAAATTAGTTTTTGAATATCGCGGCAAGTTCAACAGAGCGCGTTTTCTCAAATCGCAGACGATTTATTTTCGGTTAAAAAAGGCGTAACGAAACTTCGGAGCATCGGAAAACTGCGCGAGTTTAAAAATAAATTGTTCGCTGCGATGTTTTTGATCTCTAAAAACATTCAAGACATTTTCAGCCGCTAAATTTCAGAGGCAAACCGGGAGAATTTGAAAAAAACTGTCATTCTGCTCGGTCTCCTCATTGCTAAAGACTTTCCCTTCCTATTTCCATTTCTATCGCTAATTCGTGTCCCAACCTTGCTTTGCGAACAGAGTCGTCTATTTGGCGGCCGAACAGACGCGTACGCCACCCTGGGTGGGGGACAAGCCATCTCTTCGCAGTGTGTAAAATCGATACGCCAAACTGGTGGCAGTGTAATTGCGCTCTGTTGTACTATTCACCACGCGGAATATTCGAATTTGGCGTGCACCATTTTTGCCCCCATAAACTTTACTTCCACAGTGTACCGGTTTTGCTCAATTTTAAAAGTTATTGAAAAACTGCATGTTCGAATACGTGAACTGTAGATAAGATCTTGTTGCATAGCTTTCCGAAGTAATCTCGGTATTTCTCGGATCAACTTACTCACCTCAACTAACCAAGGTGCCTTTCCTTCATTTCTCACTATTCATCCGCACCTACGATGCCGTTTAATCTTTCCAACGAACTAAATCTTGCAGCCGATAGACTCGACAAGATGCTAAGAGCCAACAACAGAAGAGCCTCAAACAATGTAGATAAAGACGCGTTGAAGGTAAGAAGAAGTAGTGTCCGGGATTGAACTGTTTTGTTTCCAGATAGGGCAAAAGCCGAACGGTCCTTTGAAGCCAATAAATGCCCAGCAAGGAAGAAAGGACGCCGTCGTCCCGAAGCCTGCGGTCCCAAACAGCCAGCCATCCACGGAGCCCAGTCAGCTGAGGACGAAAAGAGCGAACCTTCAGGACAACGAGTTGAAGTGCCTCGAAATGGCCGAGGACATCTACAAGTACCTGGTGCACCACGAAAAGAAGTACGTGCTCCTGGATACGTTCTTGAACGGCGGCGAGCCGACGAGCAAAATGCGGCGGATTCTTGTGGACTGGCTCGTCCAGGTGCACGTCCGTTTTCACCTTCTCCCGGAGACGTTGCATCTCACGGTCTTCATTCTCGACCAGATGCTCGCCAAGAAATGTGTCTCGAAGGGAGATCTCCAGCTCCTCGGAATCTCTGCAATGTTCGTGGCGTCAAAGTATGAAGAGGTCTTCTTACCGGACATCTACGACTACGAGTTCATAACCGAGAACACGTACTCGAAGAAGCAGATCTTGGCCATGGAGCAGACCATTTTGAACACTCTTCAGTAAGTCGGATTGTATCGCTACCTTTATATACCCCGTTTTTCCAGATTCGATCTGTCCTGCCCCTCGTCCCTCGTTTTTTCGCGCTGCATTTCGAGAGTGCTCTCCGAAGACGAATCCATCCAGGTCGACCAAGAGACATTCTACTACGCGTACAACATCAGCAAGTGCGTCGGAGAGCTCGCCCTTCTCGACTCGATTATGTCGTCGGTGCCAAGATCGCACATAGCCATCGCGTCCATGATCATCGCCCTCAATGTGCACCCGGTGGAAGGTATTGAGCCGAACCGCGCGGAAGCCACCATCATGTCAGTGATCGTTTCGTTCTTGCTGACCTACAACTGATCCTTTTCAGCACCCAACTGGGAGCCACCAAGAACGAGATCAGCGAGGCCGTCTGTCTTCTCGCCAACGTCGCCAGCCGGAACTTCAAGCAGGCCAAGCTCGGCGCCATCAAGGTTCGGAAAAGCTCTCCACCTTCCCAGTGATGTCTTTTTTTTCAGAGCAAGTACCAGTCGTCCAAGCTCGGTCAAGTCTCGAATCTTTTGACGGATGAGGTCATCGAGAAAATCGAGAAACTCGGAGAGTGAACCAGAACTGACCAAACCAATAAACTGATCCTTCATGGTCGTGAATGTCTTTCGTTGTCAATTTCCTTCCTTCAAGCTCACATACCTTTCCAAGTTGTCAAGTCCCTTACCTATGTTTTACCTGATTCCAGTCGCTCCCTCTGCGCTGGTCTCAATCGAATTGATTGTACATTGGGGAAATGCTGTTTGGGGCGACTTGTCGACCACTCCATTTCACTCAGCTCTTCTGAAATTCTCTAATTATAACTTTTCGCTCCCTTTTTTGTAACGATCTCATCTAATTATTCGACCAATCTGTATTACCCCTATCGTCTTCACTTTGCATTTTCTTCACGGAAAGCAGAACGGACTCAAAATATGTTCTCTGATTAAAATCTGTGTGCTATTAAAAATTGTGGAATGGAAAGAGTATAAATACCGCTTTGTACCCGACTTGACGTCGTTTTTAGTATTATTGTCCAACCGATGAAAGTCTGCGAACCGGTCCGCATTCAAAAATATGCCGCCTCATTTAACCTTGAATTTTAGCCGCCGAACAGGGGTCAAGTGCTAATCAGCCGAATGACGCATTCATTTGTTACAGCACGGGCGGTCACTTGGCAAATTTCGAGAATTGTGTAACAATGAAGCTGTCTGCGTCTCCTCGCAGCCGAAGGATCTCGTCCCTTTCTGACGACTACAAAAGTGACCATCGGAAACGAGAATTCTCATATTTTCCATCGAGATGGTTCAGTTCTCGGCCCTCTTTCTGCTTACACTGACTGCCACGTCATCTGCATTCCTTCTCGAAGGTCTCGGACTGGGAGGTCTCGGAGGAGGTCAGCGACAGTGCTGTTGTCCACCTCCACCGCCGCCGCCGCCTTGTGGAGGAGGCGGATACGAGGCTCCGCCACCTCCGCCACCGCCGTACGCAACCGGACCATCATACGCGGGATCGTACGGACCTCCGCCGTACAGATCGAGAGCCAAGAAGTCGGTGGATATGAAGGCGTCGAGCGAGGATCTGTTCTGCAACAGCGTGCAAGTTAGAGACATCATCAAAAAGGTCAGTTGATTCTTGCAGGCTATACGATTCTAACTCAGCATTTTCAGGCAATGACCGACGACGAAAAGGCGTCGAGAGAAGCGATCACGAGCCTTCTGAAGGCGCAACTCGAGCGGGAGTACGTGGTCATTTGCTCGAAGCAACACTTCGATTACCTCGCCTCCACCGACTCCGAGTTTTGCTCCGTCACCAACGAAGTCGGCCTCACTTGCTCTTCCTTCGTATTCTAATCTCATTCCCACTCTTTCTCCGTACCCCCCAGATCCTCAGGACACATCTCATTCTGTAAATAAGAAGTTGATGAAGAACAAAAAGAAAACTTGCAATATTCATATGCACCATAAAAACAATGGGTGAATGGAAGACGGACTCCTCTCAAGAAGGATACTAAAGTAATTGTTGTTCTGGCAAACTTGAGCGCGGAAAGCAGTGGTTTTCGAGTAGTCTACGGCCGCCCCAGATCCGTCCTTCGCCAGAACCAGAAGAGTGATGGACTCTCCGAAAAATCTTCATTCATTTATCTTGCACTCGTTTCGTTTTTCGACATCTCGACTAAATTTCTAATTTATTTTGCGCGCCTCCTCCTTTCTCTTTTCTCCGCTCGTTTTGCCTTCTTTTTGTCGAACACTGAGTGACTCAAGTGCACCCTCGAACCGCTGGGACCATCTCATGTGTGTACAAACAGACTTCCGGGCACCGGAATGTGCCACTCATCCCCTGTCCGTCGCTTCTGTCAAGCCTGTTTGCACAGTATCACCCCCTCAGTTGGGCGTTCTTTGTCCGACCGACACCTCATTTTCTTTGTTATTATTCCTAGGTCCGTTCTCTATCTGTCTAGAGTGTCATTACATCTATACACAAGTTATTTTTCTTCTTCTCAATCCACGAAGTTTCCGGCTGCCTAGTCGAAAGATCCCTTCCGCCCACGTTCCCACGTGGCTCCAGACTCCGCCCATTCTCTCCGCCGTCCCGCCCGATTTTTGCAATCCTTTTCTGAATTCTCACACGTTTTTCCTCTCCTCGTCTCCTCCGTCTTCTGTTTTGCCAATTTTCACTCTGATTTTGTTGCCATCTTCCTCATTTTTAGTGTCCCGAACACCGCCGGGGAATTGACGAGGCGGGGAAAAGTAAAGGGTCAAGTGACGACTCACCAAATGATCCGTCGAGGGACTTGTTCTACCCCGTCGACGCCACGCAAGTTTATGAATTCGACAGCTTCTTTTTGAGCCAAGGGACCTCGACTTTCCCTTTTTTGAGACACTTCAATTGTTTCAAACAACTTTCCGCTTCTTTCAAATCCTTTTTCTGTTAAGAAGCGGGAATGTGACAATTGAAACATCCGGAGAATACTTTGTTGGAGACGCACAGAATCTTTCTGCTCTCTCGAAAGAGTCAATCTGTGAAAGTGCTCCAAAACTTTTGCTCACCTAATTATAGTCCCTTTCGAAAAGGTAGCAATTACCGCCGTCTTCCAGTCCATTCAACTTTTCCCTCTCGTCCGTTTTCTTCCTTTTCCCCCAACTTTTCTTCTATTCCATCCGAGTGTGCATAAATCGAATGACTACTAGACTAATATAACTAACTATGAAAATTCCACAAAGCCACTCAGCAGCGAATAAGAAGGCACGACACAAAAAAGACGGAAGGCGCGACACGCTTCAACAGAGAAACTGAGCGTCGTTGAATTTTATAATAACTTTTTCTGCTTTCTTGACTCGGCCTTCCGGACACAAAAGGTTGATCCTCCCGCAGCTCAAAGTTTCAGAAAAGAGTCAGCACTGGCGGCCAGCACGAATTATACGTACATTTTGAATGAGCCCTTCAATTTTCGCTTCGAACCCGAAAACAAGTTATGTTTTGGCATCGGAATACGCTTCTGATTGGCCGTTTTGTCCTCCATTTCAAAGGAGATAATCTTCACGCCCTCGTGGATTCGTACCTGCTCATAGGCCTTCTCGATTTTATTTCTGTACGTTTTACTTGGAAATGACCATAAATCTTTCAAGTTTGGCTGCTCACGAAGCCAGTTATTTTGTGGGAGCACTCGCCAATAAAACGCAGAAAGCTCATAATTCAAATCATCTCAAAAGAGAAGGGAAAATAGACCGCCTTTCCTTCGCTTCTCTCTTTTTTGGGCGTGCCGAGCAGATGAAGGAGAGGCCGGGTGCCGGATTCCCCCCGCCCAATCTCCAGACCGTCCGACACTGACTCCGCCCCTTTTCGGTGTTCCCATTCCTTCCACCAGTTTCCACTTTTTCGATGAATGGAGACAGAGAATGAAATTCTTAGAGCGTGAGCTGCTTTCGTATCAGATTTTCCGTCGACGATTCCCCTCTCTCAAAAATAGACGCATATGAATGAGTGCTCTCCTCTTTTCAAATCCACCTTTTACGTTCCGGAAGAATCCCAGGAATTTCCTATTGCTGCAGCTATTTCGGACTTTTATGTTGTGTGCTCTTTGTGCCACGTCTCTCCTCCGCACTTCTTCTGGCTCCTCCAATTATATTCGGCGCTCTCTCCCACTCCTTTGAGTCAATTGTAAAGCGTTTTGGGGGTGTCTCCGTCGTTTCCGGTCCATCCATTCAAACGCACCAAATCACACCTTCCCTGGCCACAAAAACATCGCTCAATCTCTGTCATTTGCACGCCCAAGTACAAATTTCTGCCGGCCGACTCGTCTCGCACTCAGATGAAGCTTATTACTACTTTTTCTCCATCGCCGACTTCTTCTTATGCTTCTGAAAGTCACCGTTTTGTTTACTTCAGCTATTTCAGATGACGTGGTCTCTTTTGCTTTTTGGGCTTCTTTCCGTAGTCATCGGAGTGGACGCCGTCGCCAAATTCGAAGTGACGTCCGTCTCCGACAGCTCGCTGGTCATCAAAATGATCGAAGCAACCAACGTGACCAACTTTGATATCACTGTTCAAATATTCGATCTCTCCAAACAACAACTCTTCCGAAGGACTCAATTGGACCACGTCACCAATGATCAGGTGAGCCCCACTTTCCACTTTTGTATCCGAACCCGTCGTGAGAGCCTTCCGTCTATTTTCTGGTTCTGACGTCTGCATCGGTCCGCTAATCTGTCTGTTTCTGTGCCATTTACATGTTTGGCGTGTCAATTGGTGTCATTGGACCTTTTCCCCGTCTCCTCCGACCGTTCCTCACTAATCTCTTCTCAAAACATATGTCCTTTTTGTCCGTTTTGTTGTCAAGTACCAATTGACACGTGTCTTCTGCCCCTCTCGTTTCTTGATATCGCCCGCCCATCGATTGTACTCCAAGAGGGGCCCATAAAAGAGTGTATCCGTCAAATAAAAAGACGGCGGCGCGTAGTACGTAGGCACGCGCATAAAACGAAACTAGGTGGCTTTTGCCTGCCGCTGCTGATGATGATGATCATGACAAGAGAAAAAGAGGCCGTGGGGAGCCCTTTTTTGATGCCAATTGTAGTTTTTATTGCTCGGCGGAAAGAGCAAGTGCCAAAGCTCGGGGCCTTCCCATGGATCGAATCAAATGGAGAGAGGGACAAAAGCGTAATGGGAGAAGATACACAATTAACGAAATGGGGTGCACGCAGAAAGGGACAATCGAGTAAAACAAATATGTTGGTGGGAAACTGCATGAACATTTGTCGGAATGACATATCGGAAAGCACAATTTGGCGGACAATCAACACAGAAACGGGCAATGACAGCTTACTCGATTGTCCCGATGTCCCGAAACATTCCGAGAAGGGTACTAACTTTTCCGTTTTCCAGTTGCTCTCGTTCGATGGATTGAAACCTGACACGTGGTTTGCAGTACGAATTGAGTATAGACTCAACTTTGCCGATGAAACCACCGACAACTCATTGAGAATGACTAAGCAGGTAGGAAAACGATACTAGCAGACGGACACGGTATTTTGCAGGAAATGGTCGTCAAAACGAAGAAGACGAGTCGGGATGATCCGAAGAAAATAGAGCAAATGGTGGCGTTCATCGACGATTTATTCGTCACCAAGGACAACATCTACATCGGCGTTGGATCTGTGTTCAAGGAGATCAAGAAGGTCCGTTTCTTTCCGTTTCCATTCAGACCGCGGGAGCATTTGCATAAATGATGCTTCTGGCAGAAGAAGAGGGTCCGCATATTCATAATTAAACTTCACGAGAGTTCTTTACTCGCTTCCGCCCTCTCCGCAATTTTCACACGTTATTACGCTTATTATACGGATTGGTGCCGACGTAATACGGCCGAATGGCGGGTGGGAGAACGATGAAAAGAGTCACGGAAAACAAATATTCGGAAATATTCAGAAGAAGGGAATTTACGATTTCAGATTTCGACAGTCATTGTTCCGGAACTCCGATGTTCGAAAGGCGTTCTCAGTCCGGTTTCCCAGCAAGTCATCCAGCACGCTTCATTCCATTTTGACTTGTCAAAACTACCAAAAGAAGACAGAAAGTGCAGTACGGTAAGAATGAACCGGAAGCGAACCGTACAAACGAAAATAGAGACAATTCAGATATGTGTGTTCCCGTACCTTCGGATCCTTACCGATAACGCAGTCACAGAAACATTCAGGGCGAGAGAGTGGTGCGGAAGTGCGGAGGAAGCCCGACATCTGCTCACGAGCCCTTCCACGGCTCCATTCATACTCCTCTCCGTGTCATTTGTTGCCACGTTTCTCAGATTCTACCTCTAGACTTGCCTCTGTTCGCTGCACTATTCCACGTGTTAATTTGACCACTCCCCTTTGCTCTCTTGTCATTTTTACGGGTATTCTCTTTAAATAAATGCTTTATTCAAAATGACTGGCAATTAAATTTAGACTACATTCAACTTTTTTCCTACTGTCGCGAATGCTTCGATGAGCTGGTCAATGTGTTGTTTGGAATGAGCAGCCGAAATTTGCACTCTAATTCTGGCTTTTCCTTTCGGAACGACAGGATACGAGAATCCGATAACATATATTCCCTGCTTCAGAAGTTCGTCAGCCATCGTGGCGGCTAATTTGGCATCTCCCAGGAGTACAGGACAAATGGGGTGAGTGGGATCGTTTCCGAGAATTATGAATCCATTGGCAGCCATGCTTTTACGGAAGTGCGAAACATTTGTTTGCAGGGAGCCGATGAACGACGAATCGTTCATAAGCAGGTCGAATACCTAATACAAAGTGGCTTTGTTTGACTAGGAACACACGGAAACGGGATACCTTGATGCTGCTTCCCACGATGCTCGGGGCCAGAGAGTTTGAGAACAAGTACGGCCGCGAGCGCTGTCTCAAAAGATCAATGAGGGGTTTCGGACCAGTTGTGTACCCTCCCATCGATCCTCCGAGCGCCTTTCCCAGAGTTGAGTTGATGACGTGGGGACGGCCTCCGACGGCTTCGGCAGTTCCTCGCCCGGTCTTTCCGAAGAATCCGGTGGCGTGACACTCGTCAATGAAAAGGAGAGCGTTGTACCTGAAATGATACTATCAAGGGAAATACAACAAGAGTGAAAATACTTGTCAGCCAAGTTTGAAATGTCTGCCAGTGGTGCCACGTCGCCGTCCATTGAGAAGACACCGTCAGTCACGATCAGACGGTACCGCGAGTCTGAAAAGATAGTTTGAAATAGGCGTATTGACACAACACACTACCCTTTGCTTCATGAAGTTTGGCTTCCAAATCGGACAGATCAAGATGCTTGTAGCGCAGTCGTTTCGCCTTGCTCAATCGGATTCCGTCGATGATTGACGCGTGGTTCAACTCGTCCGAAATGATTGAATCTTGCTCCCCTGAACCACTCCAATTCCTTGTTTACTCGGAAGTTGTTCTGACCTGTCATCACTTCGAAAACTCCTCCGTTCGCATCGAAGCAGGCCGCGTACAGGATGGCGTCCTCGGTTCCGTGGAATTTGGCAATCTTCCGCTCCAACTCCTTGTGAATATCCTGAGTTCCACAGATGAATCGAACAGAAGAGAGCCCCGCTCCATGAGTTTCCAGAGCTTTCTGGCCAGCAGCAATGACCTTAACTTTTGAGAAATGAATAATATATATGAGCATAACAGCAGCGAATACCTCTGGATGACTGCTCAGGCCCAAATAGTTGTTCGCACAGAAGTTGATGACGGGTTTGTCTGCTCCAGCCACCTAAAATATCCGTTTTCCATTCAGAACATTTCCATTCAGAATTGAATCACTCGCCTTGACTAGAACTCCCTGTTTTCCCTCGATGACACGCTCGTTCTTGAATGTGCCGGCTGCTTTGATTCCGGCCAATTCATTCCTTAAATGATGTTCAAAGTAATTGGAGGCCGTCGAGAAACAACGTCGCATGGTCGATGGTTTCGGCGCGAATGACTGCGCGGAAGGGAAATGTTGCAGGCGAGGGCTGACGATATCAAATCAGAGACGAAAGAGAGATAGTCACGTTGTTGCGAACGAGATGATGACCTCGAAATTCGGAGATTGAACCTTCAAGTTGAGCAGTCTTGATTTCCAGCCTCATTCTTCCCGATTCCTTCTCAGTTACGCCACATTGTCAAATAAAACAATTATAGATTGCGTAGGAAATAATTTGATTGTCATCATGTTGAAATTCCACGTACTCATCAGGAATCATCTTCCAGAATCTTCCTCCTTTCACCCGCTGCAAACACTTTCTGAACGATATGTGACAATCGACTTTGGAGTTTGCCGCCTTCAATCAGAATATGCAACATTTGAGGGAGCTTGCCCTTCTTATCGCCACTACAAAATATCATTCGCCGCTTTACCTAATTTGATTGATAAACTGATATCGAGTGAGTTTTGGACCGACCTGGAGGAATCATGAGATGCACGATGTTTTTGTGGCTGTCTGGGTCTCTGATCGACTGAAAAACACACTCTATTCATATTTTGCATGAAGTCGAAACGCGTGGGAAAACACGTATGGTACGGACGGTCGCATGACTCGCTCCGACGGCTCGAACATATCAGTCTGCTCACGTAGACCCGAGTCGCCGCCTACTTTTTCTTCTGCTCCCACTGATAACAGACTATCGTCTCGGGAGGACTGACTGAGTTGGAGTCCTCAATTTTTGTTGATTAGTATGCGAAAACTTCTGATTCTCTCCGTTCTTCCTGCTTTCGCCCATTGCCTCAACGTGCTGTTCTATGTCTCTGCAATCGCTCATTCGCATATTCCATTCCACAACACAGCGATCAATGTGATGTTGGAAAGGGGACATACTGTGGTAAACGGAGAACTGTTTTAAGATGGAGCAAAAGTACGTTTTCAGGACTTGGTGATCGCTCAATACAATGAAATGGTAAAGATCATAATTCCGAAAGGGGTCCGCAGAAAATACTCGTTCGGATACGACGATCCGAACTACTGGGACAAGAATGCGATGCATTTGTTCAATATCTTCGAGAAGAAGCCGACTCCCTTTGCGGAGTTTCTGAAATTTGACGAATCGGCTTTGGATTTGTGTGAAAGTGGGCTCTCTCTCTCCCTCGAACGAGGTCCCAAATAAGAATAATTTCAGCAGCCGTGAAGGATTCGAGTCTTCTGGAATACATAAAAGAAGGTCATTATGACATCGGAATCAGCAGTGACTACGATCCGTGTGCCAATGTGATCATGCATGCAGCCGGGGTTCCAGCGAAAGCAAGTGAGTATTTTCAGTCGCAACGTATTCCGAGAAAGTTCGCAGGTTTGATTCCGACTCCGATGTTCCAGCCACAAGTGGTCAGTGCCGGAATTCCATCTCCCGCCAGTCTTTACGGAAGTGAGCCTTTTCCTTCTCTCCTTTAAACTCATACCATTCTTCCAGCGGTTCTCCATCCCAAACCAGACGATTCCCTTTTCTATCGCGCGTTCGATCTCATCAGACACACTTATAACATCTACTTTGTTACCCCCAGACATATGCAAAAATATGTAATCATCAGAATTACGGGCCGTTTCCCAATGTAATAGTTCAGAACCGTCTTGTACAAAAGGCATTCGGACCCACTTTCCCGGATGTGAGCGAAATACAGAGAAACGTGGATATCATACTGACGAACAGCAATGAAATCATCGAGAAACCCCGTCCGATTTCACACAAAATCAAATATATCGGAGGAATGGGAAAGAAGAAATCGAAGCCAGTGAGCAAGGAACTGGACAGTCTGCTCGCCTCCGCACCCAGAGGAGTCGTCCTTTTTTCATTCGGAACTCAGGTGCCAACGAAGAAAGTTCCGGTCGAGCTGCGTCGAAACTTTGCCAACGCTTTCAAGCATTTCCCCGATTACCTTTTCCTCTGGAAGTACGACAACCTGACTGATGACTCAGAATTGTTCGCAGACATTCCCAATATCCATAGACTGGAATGGTTGCCTCAAACCGATTTGCTAGGTAAGCTAGTTATACTGGAAAGTAGAAAACAGAAGGCATTTCAGGAGATCACAGAGTGAAAGCATTCATAAGTCACATGGGACTGAACTCGTTCCTCGAGACGGCCGCAGCCGGAGTTCCTGTTCTCGCCATCCCACTGTTCATTGACCAACAACACAATGCTTACAATGGTACCTTGTTCGTCTTTTCTGTCTTCCCACGCATTATTCTTTCAGCTGCCGCTCGTGAAATGGGAGTCATCGTGGACAGAGACCGTTTGACTGTGGACAACCTCGTCGCGGCTCTCACAGAACTTCTGTCCAACTCGAAATACGGTCAAAACGCTCAGATTATCTCGCAAATGATGGTGCAGAAGCCGGAGCAGGCGGAGCAGTTATTCTACGAATGGATCGAGTTCGCTGCCAACAATCCGGGACTGCACAAAGTGTTCAACCTTCCTGGCGCCGAACTCACTCCGTTCTGGTACTACTGCATCGACGTGCTCTGCATCTTCGCTCTCGTCGCTCTTCTCGTCACTCTCCTTCTCTGGAAAATAGTTTCTTCCGTTATTAAACGGATTGCGATACGAACGAAAGCGAAGGCGGAGTAGCCAAGTTCACTGTTTCCGATCACTGATTTCCGGGTACTTTGCGAATATATATATATGAATCTTTGTTTCTACTCGATCAATGTTCTAAATAATCTCCCGTTTACACCCTAAATCTCATTCACTCTTGCCAGTTAATCGCACCCAATTTGAAAGTGGCACCTACCACGGATTACTGTCAACCATCGAGAAATCATGATCTTTTTTCTGATTTTTGTTGTCTTCCTTTGCACGAGCACAATTTTTGCACAAGAAGAGGTGAATTGAGCGTGGAGCTATTCAGGAAAAGAGGGGAATTGCAGGCAATCAACGCGTACGAGTCCATCAAAAGACTGAAAGAATGCATTGAAATCGTCGAGGTGATTTGATCTCTTTTCGTGTTTGACATGTTGTTTCAGAGACCCGAAACAAGAACGGCTTGCAGAGGAAAGGATGGAATCGAGAAGGACGAGTGCATCGAAAAGTTCACGCAGGTTTCCGATCTGTCTGCGATTAGCCAATCCCATTCCGTTTCAGAAGATGATGCCAATTCTGAATGCGTGCATCGAAAGGAGTCGGAAAGCGATTCGACACTCAAACAGAGACGAATTGTGAGCGCAAAACCGGATTTTGCACATAGATTATTTTCATATTTTCATCTGTTTTCCTTCAATGATGAGACCCATTATTCTGCTTGTTTTTCTCTTTATTGGAATGGTTTTCTCGTCGGAATATGTGAGGAATTTTCAATAAACATTCGAATGAAAATTGTTTTACAGCAAGAGCCAAGTCTGAAAACGATTGAAAAATGTCACAATGAAGTCAAAGTGAGAGGAAGAGAGAAAATAGATAGTGATTTTTGAAGTGGCGCCCGTTTGTTTGTTTTTCAGATTACGGAAAAGTGTACGTGTCACAAGAAGGATCTCTTTTGTAATCGAACATTCGCAGTGGTAAATAGCACTGCGTGAACGGAAATCGCCTTTTTTGCCTTTCAGAATCATTGGAATACTATTTTCAAATGTATTTCGACCGTACAAAAGTCTGTGAAGAAAGTGGCGGAGAAGTGAACGTTTGATGTGCCCGCCCATTCGAATAACATAAGCGATTCCTTTCTCTCACATTTCGGTTCTGTTTTTGCAGTGTGTGCGGAATCGCTTTGATAAGAAAAAGTGGCACGATTCTCGTATCACTTTTCTTTCATGGCATGTTCGGATTTGTGGCGTGAATAATGATATTAAATGAAGCATTCGCATTCGTTCTTTTTTCCTCTCGTGTCCACCGTAATTTTGAAGGCGCAGGCCCTGAAGTTTCCAAGAACTGGCGCCGGCGACCGAAAAATCCGGCGGCCGCGCTCCCGTGTACTTCTCGTGGAGTCACATAAATTCCGTTATTTTTCCGTCAAAAACAGATTTTTCATTGCCCGGCCTACCCAATTTCGCAACTTTTTCTCGGAATAATGCGTGCCCACAGCCTGCCCTCCTCCTTTCTGGCCCGGAATTGTCAGCATAGTCATCAGAAACCTTTTCACAAACGTTTGTTTGTGTCCCAAAAGTAACAAGAGCGAGGAGGAGTAATTCAATGCCAAATGCCACAAACTCTGTTCCCTCAAGTTTCCCGCACACACTACATTGTTTTTTCATTTGCTGTTTCTACAAAACGCGGTCGTCGTAGTTTCTGTGGTCTCCAAAGTTTTGTTCGATAACCTTTTTCTATTTCAATGAAATAGTCCAGTTTTTCTGTACTCAGTTCGCTGTTTCTGAATTAGTTCTGCTCGATAACATCGCAAATAGACGCCATCTAGGTCAAGGTCCGTTTTTCTGGACAAATCTTTCTCGGACTCCTCCATTTGCCCTTTTCCGCATTGCTAATTCTTTTCCTCTTTGCACTTACCTCAACTATAAAACCAGTTCGACTAATAGATAACTGTAGCCAATTATAATAATAACAATTTTGATGAGGGCCTATGAAAAAAGTGAGCGCTCGTAGACAGACGGCCAATATAAATAAGTGTGTCCAACAGACTAGGCCACAAAATGATGACATTGATTGTTTGTCGAAAAAAAAGGGCGCCTTTCGGAATGAAAGACGACTCACGCTTTTCTCACCTGCCGCTGCTGGCCGATTTGCCGATCTATGTCGTCGGAGACTGTTTCACTTGTCTGCGATATTTTCTTCGATCAGGTATCCAAACAGTTGGGACGCGGGCGAACGAAACCACGAGACGTGGGAAAATGCTGCATACCATGAACTAGGAAACGTAAATAGTCCCTACTCCATGCAACACTTCCTTTGGTACCACGAGACAAGACCACCCCCGTCCCAAGCCGTTTGGATACCTTTTCTTCGATTACCTATTCTTTGAAAGTTTCCGTTGATTATCCTTTTGCATTTTCACCATCTCAGATCATTCGGTTCGAATTTCAGAAGAAAAATGGCCGAAGCTGATATTGCCGTCATCGGTCTGGCCGTCATGGGTCAAAATCTGATCCTCAACATGAACGACCACGGGTTCACCGTCTGTGCTTTCAATCGAACCACAAAACTCGTCGATGACTTCCTCGCCAACGAGGCGAAAGGGACAAAGATCATCGGAGCCCATTCGATCGAGGAAATGTGCAAAAAGCTGAAGAGACCACGCCGTGTCATGATGCTCATTAAAGCTGGAACTCCGGTCGACATGATGATCGACGCGATCGTCCCGCATCTCGAAGAGGGAGACATCATCATCGACGGAGGAAACTCCGAGTACACCGACTCGAATGTAAGTTAATTCGAAACATAATCGCCTTGCTTGTGTATGTTACTAAATCAAGAAACCTTCCTATTTCCCTTTTAAAATATCAAAAATTTTATTTCCAGAGACGTGCCGAGCAATTGGCTGGCAAGGGAATTCTGTTCGTTGGATGCGGAGTGTCCGGCGGAGAAGAAGGTGCGACCCACTTCATTCATATGCAAATTTATAATCACAAAGAAAACGGGAAAACTAATAGGATCGGGGGAACCGGGGATTAGTGATTGTCCACGGAGTTGCTTGGCACTGAGCCGTTTTCAGTTGAGTTCTGCTGATTGGCCAGCATCTTGAGGCGATAATAGTCCGGAACAGGCTTGTTGATCATTGTGAGCCTGAAATAGTGGTTTTAAACGGTTAGAATACGTCGAGTGACAAACCAGAAAGTAGCGAAGACCGGCTTGTGATCTGATGGACCAGCTCCACGGAGAGAACCGTATTCAATGTTCTGAAGCCATTCTGTGTTACGGACCCAATAGAGCACTCTGTCCTGAAAGAAGTTTGTGTGCAAATGCCATCTTTAGTTCTTGTGTTCACTGTAAAAGACGGAATACGCTTCGGAACGTAATTGTCCGTGTCTGGTTCAAATTTGTGAGTTGGAGGAAAACGAATTGGCGCCTCGCTGAAGTCGATGAAAGCTGTCTGTCTCCGTTTGTGAGTCGCCAGCTCTTCCGTCTCCAGAATTTCATCGTATTTTTGGGCGGAAACTGTTCCTGGATGACTCCAATCGGTATCGTTCTCCACTGTCACGCGGAAGTTCAGGTCACCGATCCAGAGAATCAACTGGAACACGAATGAATCGTAAAGAGTTCCGGTGCTCGGAAGTGCTTACGTCAGACGCGAAAATCTCGTCGTTCTCGTGAGCATGAAACTTGGCTAGTGAGGGGAAACGAAGCGTGCGCACAATTTTCGCGTAGTCTTGGATACGTTGTTGAGGTGTCGCGTCTACAAACATGCTATCTCAGAGAAAAAATGCCATGCCCTCCAAGACGCAGCTCGGTCCCCTTCCCACTACATTCTTCCGTTTGCTTGTCACTTTCAATAAGGGAAACTAACGCGACAAATGGCATCCGATGAGCACAATAAATCTTTGGTACAAACGTAGACAGACTGCAATTGCCCCTTTGGTTCTGACGGGCTTCGCCATGGCTCCGGATGCTATGAACGAGACTTGTGGCTCTACAAAATGAACAATGATGATTGAAAAAAAAGCAATGCTCACGGATTGCGAAACGCAGATGCTTCTGACTAATAAAGACAATGACCATCTGACTCCATGCCCGATGGGACAGATAAAGACGATGCCCACTTATTACCGGCTCCAGAATTCTAAGAGCTTCTTCGTGGAATGTTCTGTAATTAGATAAACCTCGAGTTCACCATTTTCGATTTGAACTGACGTGGCAGTTGACGGAATTTCCTGAAAAGAAATGAAGAAGATGTCACTCTCCAGATCATTGCTCTTCTCGTTTATTTTCTGTGCCAGGTGATTTAGAATTTTGACACCCTTTTCATTGACATTCCACGTTAGTGCACAAATCTTCAGTTTTCGGTCGCCCATCCGCTCAATCTCTTCGTAGCTGACGATCGGAACATTACCGAATCCTTTTACCGCCGGGCTAAATGGAAGCATGAAATACTCGTAAAAAAGCGGATCAATGGCACACTTACGCAGTGTTTTGCGAGTCGATGCAGTACGTCCAATTTCCGTCGCTGATCTCGTTGACTGAAATGAAAAGAGGAAAATGAGGTGAACAATGGGATTAAGTGGAGCGAGGATTAGAGGCTTACATGCGCTATTGCGCCACGTGGCAGGCTGAGAAGAGGAACGAATCCAGACTGGGTGGGCTCCAGTTTGCGACGCTTCCTGATTGGATTCAGTTGAAGCTTGAGGACGGATCGGTGCGACAGCTCCGTGAGATCCTGAAGATGCAGATGAAGCGTTGGCGTCTGGAAAAAGGATTTGGTCCGCAAAATATGCATGAGGTTATGATATGGGCCCAACTGGTAAATTCCATCTGCTTACCCATTTGGCAACGTTTGGAATGCAGTCTTCCAATAGCTTCTGTATTGCAATCTGTTATTTTCTCGAAGCGTGAACAAAGCCGAAGTAGACTGAACAGAAATGAAAACAACAGAATGGCGCCGAGTGAGAACGGAGAGGCCGGCGGAAACTGTCTCTGCGCCCTCTCTGATGACGGACGTTTCGAAATGACGCGAACTGCCGTGGCTTTTGGGTCGTTCGCGCGTTCTTTTTGGTGATATGGAAGTGTAATGGGCGACCGACGCTTCGAATGTTATGCAGATTCGGCGAGCAGAAAGAAATGAGGCAAGTGCACGGAAGTGGAGAGACGAGAGAAGCAGAGAGAAGGGCGTGAGGGTAACTGAGAGAGAGAGAGTGAAAGGGACCACCGAATTGAAAAGGCATGTCTTTGTTGCTAGGTTTCGAATGTCAAAACGATTTTCAAAGAACCTTCTCATGCCTAAAGAAAATATCATCAAGTCAGAAGAATCGTGTTTATAAAGTGCTTTGAAAATTACTAAAAATATCTTGGTCTCTAGGCTGCTGTATTCAATATACAAGTTGCATTATGCATTTTGCTTTCTGCGTGAACAGATTCCAGAATGAAACTCTACATTCTAGAGTCTGGAATGAAAAAGGCATGCTGCGCCTGACAGCCAAAATTGAATAGAAAAGTGTGTATGCGTATTTGTGAAGGTGGTGTGTGATTATTCCAAGCCAAGCGTTACCTTGGCGCACGAAATGGAGCAATTAATTGGAAAGGAAGGGAAGAACATTATGGCGAGGCTGGTTGGGAGGGAAATACATGAATTAGTAAACATTGGGAATGCGATCATAAATTTGGTCACATGGCTTCTCTTAGAGCACGACACATTCAAGCACTTACCGAAAGTGTAACTGCGGAGAAGCAGTCGACGCATCATTCTCTTCTGGAAAGAGTAGTCCGGCCTCGTTCGTGAAAAGAATCGTATCCAAAAGGTGTCACAGAGAAAAAGCGCCACGGCCTCCTTCTCTCGTTCTCCTTCCGGCTCTTCGTTTATTGGCAGAGACGTCGGAATGCGCCCGGACTTTATTGTGTTCGTTGTGAATCTCGAGGGAAAGACATCTGGAGGAGAAAATAGAAAATTCGGAAGTGTGGAATGAGAAAAAAGGGCACAGAAATTAGAGGGGACTGAAACATTCTCGCGGGAGGAAATGAGTCGCTTTGAAAAGGAATGACGGGAAAATGGCGGGAGGAAGCACTTACCGGATTAGGAAGAATCGGCTATTCTCAAGAGAACGAGTTGCCGACGTTTAGGAATTCAGATTTTCTTTTCGCCAAACTAAAAAAAAAACAAGAACTTGAATTGCGTGATAAAAAAGCTCGTTTGTTTTCTCGAAAATGCACTGGAGCGTTTCGCGCAATAATGATAGCTTCTCACGAGGACTCCACTGGGCGAGTCAATTCCCCCATCCGACTGCTCGCTGATACGCATGTTGATTAGAAAAGGCGAAGCGTTAGAGAGGGAGGCACGGCGGCCTCCTCAGGGCTCTCTGTCACTGCCCGTTTTCTCGGAAACCCATATAATTAACGGAAAACTATAAAGCCGGTTAGCAAGACAATCAGATACAATTTGATGAGTAGGGCGGCAAAATACAAAACAGAACACATTACCTGAGGTTTTTAATCGAAGTGTTTTACAGGAGCCCGTTATGGACCTTCGTTGATGCCAGGTGGTAACCCGGCCGCATGGCCTCATATCAAAGACATCTTCCAAAAGATTGCTGCCAAGGCCGACGGAGAGCCGTGCTGTGAATGGGTCGGAAACGCCGGATCCGGTCATTTCGTCAAAATGGTTCACAATGGAATCGAGTACGGAGACATGCAACTGATTGCTGAAGCTTATGATCTTTTGCACAAAGCCGTCGGACTTAATCACGAACAGATGGCCGAAGTGTTGGAAGATTGGAACAAAGGAGAACTCGAATCGTTCCTCATCGAAATCACTGCCAATATTCTGAAGTTTCGCGACGAGAAGGGAGAATCAATTGTGCCGAAAATCAAGGATGCTGCTGGACAGGTGAGATATTAGCAAGTCGAAATTTGTTTTAGAATATCTAATTTTCAGAAAGGAACTGGAAAGTGGACGTGTTTTGCCGCCCTCGAATACGGACTTCCTGTCACACTCATCGGTAAGTACAGAATCGGAAGCGCGTAGAACGTGGGATAAAGACAATGTGCAAACCAATCTATTATGACCATAGGTGTTTTGAGTTGAGAGCCGGCATTTCGTGACAGGCGAGTGAGAGGGGCCTCGTTCGGAACAAAAATTTGGCAGCCGTAAGGCAAACAGCCTATTACAGTCGCGGAAAAGTCGGAAATGTCCAGATTGCTGACCCTTAAGGACACTCCTGCGACGTGAAAATGTTTGCAGGAGAAGCTGTCTTCGCAAGATGTCTCTCGGCGCTGAAGGACGAACGCGTGCGTGCTGCCAAGCAGCTCCGTCGCCCGCACGCCTCGGCTGAATCCATCATCCAGGACAAGAGAGAGTTCATCAAGAAGATCAGCAAGGCACTATACGCTTCTAAGATTGTCAGCTACGCCCAGGGATTCATGCTGCTCGCCGAGGCGTCGAAGGTCTTCAAATGGAACCTCAACTTCGGTGCCATTGCTCTCATGTGGAGAGGAGGATGCATCATCCGCTCGAGGTCAGTTTTCTCCTTTACTTCTTTTGTTTTAGTCGTGTTTTCAGATTCCTTGGAGATATCAAGCGCGCATTCGACAACAACAAGGAGCTGTCGAACCTACTTCTCGACGAATTCTTCACCAAGGCCATAAATGAAGCTGAGGTGGGTTTCTTTCAGATTCTTCTGAAACTACAATCCCTTATAGGAATCGTGGCGCGTCGTCGTCTCCTCTGCCACTCTACTGGCCATCTCCGTCCCGGCATTCTCGTCGGCGCTCAGTTTCTACGACGGATATACCAGCGAGGTGAGTGTCCTCTGATTGTATGCTAAAACGCAGTGACGATGGGCACTATCAGGTGCCCTTTTTGCACTCAAACGTGTCGTCTCACGATGTAATAATCAGTGCGAACCGCCGTCAACACGTGAAATTCACTTCTGACCGCGCTTACGTTCTATGATCAGTTCTGTCCTGTCCCACGCGGATACGCACAATTTGACGAATTTGGCCAAGATTGGCCAGGCGCAAAAATGGCCTCCGGACTGGTCAATAAATCAGAGAATGTCGCATTTCAGGTTCTTCCGGCTAACCTGATCCAAGCTCAACGCGACTACTTCGGAGCTCACACCTACGAACTGCTGGCACAGCCGGGCACCTGGGTGCACACCAACTGGACCGGACACGGAGGACGTGTCACTTCCAACACCTACAACGCCTAGACTAATAACCGACTTTGCGTTATATTAACGTTTTATCTCTTCGTTCTTCCCCCATTTTCAAGCCCCTCGTCCAATTTTTTAACTTCTGTGATCGATTAGTGTTTGTTTCTTTTTTGCATTATTTCATTGTCATTCGTGTGAAATAATAAAGTGTTTTATGGCTTGTTTTGCCTCCACAGGGGTTATCAAGGCGTAGGCGGGTGGCTCATTTGTTACGTAACAACGTTTTCCCTCAAAACAAGGATTAACCAATGGAAAGGTGTAGTCTCCGGAGAATCAAAGTTAAAAGGACAAATGAATCACCGGAAATGATAGAATAAGTTCAGAAATTGGAGATGTTAGGACTGTGGTTTCCAGAGCGATACGACATCTGATTTCTTCTTTTCTTCTTTCGAATGCGCACATTTCTGCCCGTAAAACTATAGTTTCCTCCCTCTATTTTCAGTTTATTTGTCTGCGACTTTATCAGTCTTCCATGTTTTTTCCAGCTGCTCAAATTGCTTTCGTACAGTTTCATCTTTTCATTTTTCTTAAAACTTTATTTATGAGACCCGTTGGCAGATTATGCCCATTCAAAAGGGAATGGAACAGTCGAATGTCGGAAAGTGATTGCACAATCAAAAGTACAAAACGTCAGAGTGAGAACTGGCACCTCAAGGGAAGGCGAGTCGAAACGAAAAAAGGAATAATAACATGAAAAAAGAGGATAAGAGAAGAGGAAAACGTCCCTGAAATGGGACAGTCAATGAGATGGGAAATCGGAGAGATAAAGCTTCGAAAAGAGAGATTCAGAGAGGCGATGGAGGGGTTAATCGGAAAGATCCGGGGAGCTGATCGTCCTGCGAAGGGCGGTCTCCCGTGCTTCCGTCGCGTGCCGCAGGGAGTTGCGCATCTTCCGCTCCCAGTCGGCGTCCTTGACCGCCTCGAGCACAGGCACCGCCGCCACCGCCGTCTTCTTTGTCTCGTCGAGTGTCTCGACAGTCTTCTCGCTCGACGAATCGTCCTCTCCGATCTTGTGTGAATAGGCGAACTGGTCCTTCGTCGGCAGCTGGTAGATGACGTTTTCGAGCTCTTCGGCCACCGTCGACACGTTCATCTTGATCTTCTGGGACCATCTCTGTGCGCGGTTCATCTTCTTCTCGTCGCATTCGCCAAGCTCGGCCACGATTTCTGCAACAAAAGCACATTGTTATCTTTTTTGATTAAGGAGTCTGTCTTCTTCGTTATTATGACCATAAAAACAGGATTATGTGTTTTCCCATCACTAGTTGCGCTCTTATCAAACAGGGGACACCCCTTGGGTTTCTGATCAAGTACCTTTGGTCTCTTCGATTCTTTCGTTGCGGATCCACATCCAGAGCCGGATGATCGGAGCACGTTGTCCCGGTTTTCGTGGGAGGATGATGAAGAGGAGGAGTTGAATGAAGGCGAGGAGGGATCCGACTCCGTTAGGGAAGATCAGATAGAAGTCGTTCTTGAGAAGTCCGTAGAGGAACCATTCGGAAGAGACGAGAAAGTTGGCAATGCAAAGCGGAAGTGGAAGGGTGGAAGTGGCCCAACGGCGGATGACGACGCGGATGCCTCCGAGAGGCGCGGCAAAGTCGGCGATGTTGAGGGTGAGGCACACGATTCCGAGCGGATGGAAGATTTTCATTCCGAAGAAGTGCACTCCGAGCACGAGGGTCGAGCAGATGGCGATCACTCCGAGCACTTTCAGGGAGATCCACAACTTCTTCTTGGTCATGAACCAGTAGAAGATCGTGTAGGTCGTGTAGAGAATGACCTGGCATCCTGTCACCCATTTGACTGTTCCGTCGTTCTTGAGCCATCCGTAAGTCATCCAGCAGCATCCTCCGACTATTCCCATGAGAAATGGAGCACCAGAGATCTCATTGGTATCTTTTCGCTTCCAAATCTGTCGGCAAATCGGACTGAAATAGAGAAACGTTTGGGAAAAGTTAGAGAGACTCGAAAACTTACATTCCACAGAAGAAGAGGCCTACTGTAGTGAAGAAGGCTAGAACAGAGAGCAAGTTGAGGAAGGAGAAGCCCTGCGTGAATATCTCGAACATTTTGTTGCGAGAGTCTGTGTGACTGGCACTAATAGAGTGGGAGAGTTGACTGGCCCCAACGGTCGACTCGCCGTCACTTTTGTATCAACGCGGTCTCTTCGCCCCGCCCATCAAGGCATTCGGCGGAGGAGTAGGAGGGGCGTGGGGCACAACAGTATACAGAAGGCCAGTGTCCCGGGTGGAAATGACGCCAATTTAGGCGAATTGTCGAGTGGACTCGCCGAGCCGTCTGAGCCAACACTGAGCCGTGAGTCATTTGGAGGATGACTGGCTCCCGAAGATTTGAGCCAATTGGATGCGGAGAAAAACTACAACGACCAGTCATTGACAGGTCATTCCACACCCGGACCCTATCGGAATACGAGCCGATTTCTCTGAAAAAATACGAAATTCGCTGAAGTACAGTACTTCGTGGCCTTTCTAGTGTAAACATCTTTCATTTGTTTTACTGATATCATCGTCATCACTATTACACTCTGTTCTACCGTAGTAACGATACCTCGTAATGTCTCTTCTCCTTTCTGGAAAAAACGATCACGGGACGACGGAGACTTTTGAAGCTTTGATCACAAACAACCGAATCTACGTGATTGATATCTACTGAATTCCGTCGTGTTCGTGATGTAGTTGATAGGCAATCCGTTGATAACTGATCCCCATGAAGATATACTACGCAATCGACACGATCAATGCCGAATAAAAACGGTTTTGATCCGAGAGTCCTAATTTTACTTTTTTCTCGCAACATTTCCTTGTTGAAGACTGCTGCCTGAACAAGGAACAACCCAGAGAAACAAAAAGGACCAGACCAATGAGTACGTAATCAAAACATGACGGTTGTTATTTGCCGATGCTCATTGCTCTCGTCCATCCCCGCTGATAAGGCCTGTTGCGTCAGAAGAACATCGTCTGGGATCACACTCCAATGAAGCTAACAAGACTGTCGTCGCTTGCCCCGCACGAGATGGACGAATCCTGCCCGCACGACGTCACTTATTCTCTATTTCTTCTACGAAAATGATAACGGCGGCCAAAAAGAGAGAGAGAGAGAGAGAGAGAGAGACTGCACGTGGACCAGCCATGTGAACCTTCGATGAAAGTACTGATCACATGTGAAATCGGGGGACGAATATTTATGGCATTTCTCTCTTCGTGAACGGAAAGAGGACGGACTGGTCCAAGGTTCAATCAGACTAGACGCACCGATCCGGCCAAGGACCAGACGTGTCCACATTCTTATAACCTGATTTCAATATCTATAATAAAACTTTCTTTGATTAGCTACCTTTTGTTAACTTGTGATTCTTCATGCCTTGAATATGACACGTTTTAGTTACTTCAAACGTTTTATCTCTTTCGAAGAAATGAGATCAAAGAATCTCGAGTTTATTCACCACAAAACTTCTGCTTAAAATCAGACTGATTGGTTGGCTATTCGAACTGGAACTCGTCATGTGTCTAGAGAACGTTTGCAGCTTTCCTTCTTCACGGCATCATCATCATCGCTTTCCTTTGTGTCCGTCGCTGTGAAACCGTCGTCTGAATCCGTCATGCTTGACTGTCCGAATGAAGAAAACAACACAAGAACGGTCGGTCCGGGCATCGAAAATGTCCACAATGTGATGACGTTCTCTCAAATTCAGGTGTGCCCTGTCATTCCTCACCCAATTATCTTGGAATTCTTTCCGATCCGCGCCCTCTCTCTGCAACTTACCATTCATCAAAGGAAATCATTTTCGACGGCGCTTCTCCTGTACCGCCTTACACAGTATCTCAATCAACTTCTCGAGGTGTATTGGACTTTGGTAGAAGCCGACGGTCCACGTGAACCCTTCAGATTCACGCGGTCTCGTGATTCGGCTGCAGACAGAATACGACGGTCACCAATAGTGTCTTTCTCGTTTTGCAGTTTTTTTGTTTCTTGTACATAGATCCGAATGTGCATCTATTTTCGAGACAATTGCCTGAATCCAGTAATTGGGCGCCATTTGAGAGGTCTCTCGCATCTTCAAATGTCACATTGCCCTTCTTTGTTTCTTCTTTCCTTCTTTTGGGTTACTGTGCCTTGGCACACGGCCAACAACACGTTTGAGCACACACGTCAAAGGGACGAACAACGAGACGTACACGATGTGTTATCAGTTTTCTTCTTGTGGGTGCGCAATGTCCCCATTGTTGGGGTCAAAGTGATAACGGGCAGAGAAAAGTCGATGTTGAGTGCGTAATGGCAAGTCACGGACTTGATGGGAACTATAAATAATAACGGACTCAAGGTGAGATGACGTCGGGCAGAAGAGAATGAAGATGGAGAAGAAGATGGAGAAGGAGAAGAAGAAGAAGAAGAAGAAGAAGAAGAAGAAGAAGAAGCGAACGACTCCCGCGACGGGTGGAAAAGAGAAGGATACGGCTGTGATAAACAACTTCAAGGCGACCGTGATCACTCTGTTTTGTGGGAAAGATGGGGACCGTGGCCTGTGACCAACTGCAGAGATGCGCGAGAACTGTTTATTACCCACAAGAATCAATCATCAGAAGAAATTAAGTTGCAAATTGTGCAAACTTGGGAGAATAAGAGGAACTTGTTTGAACTACAACCGGATGATATCAATGTCTTCTGCACCTGTGCTTGCTCACTACATCCGACCGCTGAATGATCGGAATGAACGGAGCGAAAGCATCTAGTCCGTCGTTTCTCCCCAAACTTTCCATTTCGACGTCAACCGAGTACACGCATTGCATCTGTCTCACAAACTTCTCCACATCCATCAGTCCCTCTCCGTTCTCATCGATTTCAGAAATGCCCATTTCGTCTGCCAGTCCCTTTTCGATGATTCCCGATGAATGTCGGAGCTTCACGAACTTCTTCTGCGAGAATATGCCGTCGTTCGAAGGCCGTTTCCCTTCCTGCACTCCTGTGACCGTGAATCCGCTTCCGTGCTTTTCGTTGTTGAAATGCCTGTTGTCATTCAGTTTGCACACGATCAAACACTTCTTGCTGCTCCAATGCGCCAATTTCTCGTACATTCCGTGTGGAGAGAACGGAAGGCTTCCCCCGTTTTCATTGTCAATGCACTCGACTTCTTTGCCTGTCAAATGCCGTAACGCGTACAATGGCAATCCAGTGTTAATTTGATCATATCCGCCACAAAACCTCAAAAACGACTTTCTACTGTAGTGTTCTTTCATGGGCCAACCTACTTTGCATAAGCTTTCTCGAGAAGTGGAAACCAGAATGCGTCTCCAACACAATCAGAAAACAAAAGGGTTCCGGTTTCCAGAGTGGGCAGGAGGTCATCTATCGTAACTGTCGTCTTCGCGCCATTCTCGAAAAAGTTAAACAAAAATTTTCCTGAAAGTGCTATCTATATTTTCCATTATTGAATAAAGCGTTCAAAAAAAAAATTGTCAGTTACAGATTCTACTCACCAGTGTACTCATTTCCAAACGTTTGCCTGGGAACCACTTGAGAGAACTTGTCAACGTTATTCGTGAGACCGGCCACGGTCATCAGGAAGAACGCCGACCGATTCCCTCGGATCTCCTTCCTCCGTTCGATGTGCTGCTCGGAAGTGATGAGGGAATCGTCGCATCCGAAGAACTTGGGTGTTCGCACGATGGCATTGGGACGACGCCAGACGATTTTGCACGAAGAAAGGGATGATACAGAGTGTCTGGGGAATTCAGGGTCTTCATAAAGAGGCATTGGAAAAAGGGGGAGACTGATAAGGAATGGAGTTAAGCGAGGGAGTTATCAGCTCGAAAATCAAGAGGTTTACCGGAAGATAAACTTGGACACCTTTGATAATTCAGCAGTTTCCATCTTACTTCTTTCTTGAAACGTACTTGAATGGGAAGAAATGAAGAATAGTGGCGTTTGGCCGGCACGGGAGCAGCAAAAACGGAAAAGTGCGGCAATTGTGGCAGGGATGCGGCATGGGTGTAGCAAAATCCAGATGTAACCACGAGCTGATAACTGGATTTTGTGTAAAAGTAACCGAGAGGGTATAATGATATTACACGAAAAAAATGTTTGTCACTTTTTTAACGCGTCGAACGGGAGGGGAAGCGAAATGAAGCGGGGGTTCAGCACGTAAGAAGCAAGGAAGCGGCACCTTGCCCTCTCGTTTGCAGCAATTTGCTGCAATAAACGGCACTTTGCCGAAAACTACCTGGGGAGGGTAACTCAATCTGGCCTCGATGGTCTCTTGGCGGGAAGTGCAAACTGCAGCCATATGTTCGGATAAAATAAACTAAACAATCTTTCAGTTTCTTCGTCAGTTTTTCAGTTTACCACTTTGTCAACTCTTTTCATTTTCCTCCGTTCTTCAAAATATTTGCGTTGGTCATTGGCGACGGATCCGCATGTGCTGCCTCGTTTTTCGACTGTTTGAGGAGGACAGTCCGGACGAAGGAACCCTAATCAAATAAACACTTTCTCGGGCGGCGCCAGGCAGCAATTTGACACTTCCCCAGAAGATCGGAAACACGTGGCTGTCTGAGCATTTCTGTTTGTATTACCGTACTCTTATCAACAGATCTTTTCTGTCTAGCTTTCCAGAACTTGCTCCTTATAAATCAAATATTCATGCAAACAAAGTTCTCACGAAGAACTCTCGGAATATTTCATTTTCGTCAAAAACTTTAATTTAACCGGGAGAATCTCATTCGGTTCGGTGACAATAGGGCCTTTTGTGAGTGCACACGTTAGGAATGCGAAACAGTTTGGTCGTCGTGTCCAAATTGGCCGCAATTATTCGTCCATTGTCCCCTCGTTTCAGTCGTCCTTCTAAACCCTTCTTCGAGATATTACCATTCGTGTGTTTGTGTCTCTATACATTTGCTGCTTTCTTCGTTCTGTTTTTCACTTGTGTTTTTCACATGTTTATCTGATTTGTTCCGGTGTCTCTTTTTCAGATAGCGAGACAAAACTAACTGACTCATTTTTCATGTTCGAAACAGGATTCTGATTGGATTCTTTCATCAGTTTACTGCTAAAAATGACCTCGAAAATCTCCAGTTCTCCCTCCGTCACTGTGCCATTTTTCACATAAATATTAGTTCTTCTCATGCATATTCATAGTCTTTCCCCTCTTTTTTCTCATTTCAACCCACAGTACAGTTCAAATGGTCTGTTTCTCACCACTTTCCTCCAGGACATCGTTTCCCATTGTAAATACACACTGAGCTGTTCGTCGAACGTTTTTCTAGGTCAATGGGGTCTGAAACAGGTTCACGGGGTGTTTGACTGCTGAAAAGATACTTTCTGTGATACCCTACGTGCACTGGAAGAAAGTTCGACGTCTCAAAAGTATGTGCTTCAATATAAATCTGCTCCATCCGGATGCTGCTCGAGTCAGTTCCAACCCAACCCAACTGACCTCATTCACTTTCTCCCGTTCCTCTTCACTGTATCATTTCGAAGCTTCTGCCTCTTCCGATTCTCGCCGTAATCACACTTTCCATCTCTGCGTCCCTCCCTCTCCCACACTATTTCTCCCATTCTCTCCGCTTCCAAACAGGTTTGAGTCGCTCGTTCAGAACCTTGTTGAAAACCATATGTACTACTATGTTTCGTGTGTAACCAACCACAAAAAATCGTCGTCGCTTGTTTTGCCCCCTCGATGCCTCAAGTAATTCCCTTCTCGTAGACTTTATGGGTGTCCCTCACCGACCCGATGACCCTCGTCCCGGCTCTCCCGCCGACCATCAGCCGACAGTAAGAATCCCAGATCTTCGGAAAAAGATTAAGTACTGCTGATTACTTGCAGACATGGACGGAAATGGCAAAGAAGTGGCCGAAACAGACGTTTCTGATTATCGGAAATGAACTTTGCGAACGATTCAGCTTCTATGGAATGCGAGGTTTTTCTCTTATTCTGCATAATGATATTTAATCTCTTTTTCAGCCGTGCTCACATTGTATTTATTCAACATTCTCGGCTTCAACTCCTCTTCCAGTACCGTTCTCTTCCACGCATTCACAGTCGTTTGTTACTCTTCTCCACTTCTTGGCTCCATTCTCGCGGACGGATACATCGGAAAGTTTTGGTACGCTCCAGCTGGAAGCTACTTATGTGAATATTGAACATTTCCAGGACGATATTCTTCATTTCGATAGTCTATGCGTGTGGCCAGATCCTGCTGGCATTCTCGTCCATCGCTCCCAGCGAGAGCGCCCACCATCCGTACTTTACTTTCCATGTTTCATTCTTCTCCGCACGTCATCCGTTTCAGATATCTTGATCTGTTCGGACTTCTCATAATCGGTCTCGGAACGGGCGGTATAAAACCATGTGTTTCCGCGTTCGGAGGCGATCAGTTCCCTGCTCACTACACGCGAATGATCTCCATTTTCTTTTCCATGTTCTACTTTTCCATCAATGCCGGCTCGCTGATCTCCATGTACCTGACGCCCAAAATGAGATGTTTGTCGTCCCGCTTGGAAACGTGATCACTCGTGAATTTCAGCTTTATCGTGTTTCGGAAACGATTCTTGCTACCCTCTGGCGTTCGGAATTCCCGCTTTTTTGATGATTGTCGCAACATGTAATTGATAGAAAAGAGTGTAGGATGAACCTAATTATTCTTCAGTGGTCTTCATGGCCGGAAGTTATTGGTATAAGAAGGTTCCCCCGAAAGAGAATGTCATCTTCCGAGTGGTCGGCACAATTGTGGTACGGCCCCGTGTGCCAGCCCTCACAGTCCCAGACTCATTTGATTCAGCGTGCTCTTCGCAACAAGTCCTCTTCCCGTTCACCTCGTGCCCACTGGCTCGACCACAGTTTGGATGGACACAACTGTGCACTTTCCCCAGAATGCACTCAACTTCACGGGAACTGTGCTCAGAAGAAGTTTGTGGAGGATGTGAAGCGGCTGTTCCGTGTCGTCGTCATGTTCCTCCCTGTGCCAATGTTCTGGGCTCTCTATGATCAACAGGGATCCACGTGGGTTCTGCAGGCGGTCGGAATGAATGCTAGGATCTGGAATGATTTTGAGCTTCTTCCCGACCAAATGGGTGTCATCAATGCCCTTCTCATTCTGGTCTTCATCCCCATTTTCCAATCTGGAATCTACCCGGCCATTGAGAAGTGCGGATTTAAACTGACGTGAGCAATTCCATAATTTCCTCCTGCCACGTCATGATATCTTGTAGAATGCTGCGTAAAATGGCCGCCGGCGGAATGCTCACAGCGCTGTCTTTCTTCATTTGCGGAGTTGTGCAGCTGTTCGTTAATGTGACTTACTTTTGAATGAAATGGCTGAAATACATGTTTGTTTCAGGCGTCTCTCCCCTATATTCCCATGCAAAATGAGGCTCACCTGACGATAGTTAACACTCTTCCAACTTGTGATTTCAAGGTTCAAGTGGATTCCGGAGAACCATTCGACCTGTTTAGAAAAATGGTGAGTATGTCATAGCTTCCTCTTCTCATAGATGATTCAGGGACTGAACTCTGCATCGGAAGTTAACAAGCCTATGAGCTTCCAAGGATCAACTCAATTCCAACCGAACATCACGTTTTCCAAGTGAGCCTCATGTTTCCTTTGTCTTTTCACTGTCTCCCCTTCGGCGAAAAAAAATTGTCGCGCGCTTTTTTGCGTGCGGCTCTCAGTGTCGATTTACGGGATACGATAAAGAAGATAAAAGAACTTTCGGAAATTTTGAGAAAGGTTGTCATAATCATAAAACAGTTGACTCAAGATTGTTCAGAAGACAGAGGCGGTCATTTTGAGCACAGAGACGTCCCATAAAAAGCAAAAACGACTGAGAAATTCAAGTTTTTGAGGTTCAGGACTGAGATTCACAGAAAAGTGCAAAAATGTGCGTTTTCTCGTGGGCAAAACGCTAATTTAAGGTCACAGCTGTCATTAACTTTTCTGAAATTCTCTGTTTCACCTCATTTTCATCATTTTCGGATGAATTTTTTCGGAAAAAATCCAGAAATTTCAGACCTGCTTTTGTTTTCAACGACACTCTGTTTTAACGCGCGGCGCTCAATTTAGCATTAGCTATTGGGGAGACAGTGCTTTTCCATAAATCCATTCAAGCGAGTCTCCGAACTGTCCGAAATTCACTGCGAATCCTTCTCTCACCGCCGGAGTCTCCTACATTTTGACGCTTTCTCCGAATGGTTGGACGTACAATCCGCTCAAATTGGAAAAACCATCGAAAGGAAAAGGAGAGTTCGGAATCGGGTAACTCTCTGTTCATTTCCATCCCTTTAGATCTCTGTCTTTCAGGTTGAACTTTCTGATTCCATGCGAAAGTATTCCATCAGCAGTCACGTGGAAAGAGTGCAATGCAACTGGAGGATACAATGGGGTCATTGGACTGTGCCGAGTCGGTCCCAATGTGGACGTCGAACATCCGTGCGATCCGAGAGCAGAAGGGTAGACTCAAAAATCAACAATAACTCTGTTTAACTCGCCTTTCCAGACAATTCTATCAACTGACTGCCCCACAACGTCTGAAAGTCCGTGATTATTCCACTGGAAACAGCGAGGATTACGGTGCCAGCTATGCTCCGATCGACCTGAGTCCTGGCAGTTATCGGCTCTATTACATCGAGTACACCGTCCCGTACTCGAAGACATCGAAACCGAGTGCCAGTCAGACGGTAGGAAAAACAAATTCTTAGAGGAAACGTTTAAATTATCACGTTTTTTCAGAACTTCTATGCCCTGAACCTACCGGCAGTACAGCAAGAGAACATGGGCGGAGTCTACATGATGACCGTTTCAACCAAATCAAAACTTGACACGGTTAGATTGAGGAAAGACAGCTCAATTAGCAGCAAACGTATTCAGGAGATATTGGGAACGACCGAAGCGGTCATCCCGCACAACCACATCAGCATACTGTGGCAGATACCGCAGTACGCAGTGATCACGGCCGGGGAGGTCATGTTCAGCATCACTGGGCTCGAGTTCGCCTATTCCGAAGCCGCTCCGCAACTGAAATCTGTCGTGCAGGCCCTCTGGTTGTTCACCACCGCCGCCGGCGATCTCATCGTCGTCGTCATCATGACTCTCAATCTGTTTTCGGACGTGGTAGGTTGAGTACGAACTTCCAAGCACCTGATTTCCCTTTTTCCGGCGGTGCAAATGTTCGTGTTTGGTGTCATAATGGTAATTGTGATTATCATCTTCATTCTGCTCGCCGTTTTCTACTACGAATATGCCGAATATTCGAACGAAGGAGACGGTCTCACTGAGAAAATGACGCTGGACGACGACGAGCAAACTCGCATTTGATAAGTGCCTTTTCTAATTAATTCTAATAAGTTATTAGCTAAAAATGTACATAAAGAGTTTCCATTTTGAAGTTGTTGAGTGGGCGTCAGTTTGGTCATGGTCTAGTCTGAAACCCCGCATTAAATATGGTGATCTTAAACGTTTCGAGAGATGACGCAACCGAACAAAAGAGGAGCATCGCCCACTTTGACAGTTAAATACTTAGTCACACATACATACATACATACATTTCTGTTTGCATTTTCACTTTGACCGTCCTCGTTTTCCTTCCGTATTGGGTGCTCACCACCTTGTCCTTTCCCGGTCCATTTTCGTAAAAGTGTCGAACTGATAAGCAGGTGATGCTCCTCAGCACCAGAAATATTCGTTTGCTTGCTTTTCATTCTCGCATGCCTCGTCAGAAATGAACTGCTCGGAGCGGCCGTATCAGCAACGATAATCCCTGATTGTCACACTTTGACGACCGGTTTTTTAGACTTCCCATTGGTCGAAAAGAATAGTACAGAAGGAGTGATTCCATTTCACACATGTTTTCGAAGCGGATTTCCAAATGACGCCAATGTTTTTTTAGACACCTCCCAGTACATATAGTCACGAAAATGAACGCGAGAGCTGATTCCAGTCGGCCTCTGATCTTAGTATCGTGTTCAGTTTTATTTAACCCGATAATATCTGTTTTGACGATCCACTCGTACTTTGGCAGTTCCGAAGATCATGCAGTGCTACAATTGACCTGCGTTTCAGTTTCTCCCTCTTGATCCGAATACATTGCCTGGATGGAATGCCTCCATTATCTGCCGTCAGATCATCCGATTCCAGATGCCAATCGTCGGCTTTTCCCTCCGATTCTCTCATATTTCTCTCCCCTCATTTGGATAGTAAACACCGTCGAAATGAATCGATAAGCGGTTGTTTCACCTCATTCTCCTCTTTGATAACTCTTTCGACTACAGTTTTACATTCTGTTTTGAGAGCTCCCTAACACATTGAACCGTGACGTTTTGCTTATCACACGACTTTTCCCCTCCAAAGGCACGCTAAAGGAACCGTATCTGCGGGAACCTTTGGTTCCAACCAAGAACCAAGTTGGTGATAACTCCTCCATTCCATTTCGTTTCGGTGCTATCCGCTGGTTCTTCTCGGAATGGCTCCGACTCCCGATGACTAAATGTTTGACACTCGAGAAGCTTCCCGATTAAAAAGGAGTGTCCCACCCCTCCTGTCCGCATTCAGTCGCACGCTGCGGATCTCGCCACTCACGGCTCACCACAGGCATCGCTGGCCGGCCGTTTGTTTCGAGACCCGCCACAGACCGATAATATATATGCCGTTGTACTCGAACAACAGTCAATTCTTGTCAATGAATACCTCTGAAAGTGTACAATACGAGAACTCATTCGGTTTCCGTCGTCTCTCGTCTCTAGCGTCTCGTTTCCTCTCACTCGACAATATCAATAATCGGCACCGAAACATACTTATTATGCTCAACGCCAGTCTCTTATCATCACAAACTATTCCTCAAGGTTTCGGTTTTCTTGACTACTACTCAAACTTCATTTGAATGCCCACAGAGTTTCCGATGGATTGGAGTCAATTGAAACGGAACTGTAATAGGTCAAAAACGGTGTCACTACAAACCAGATTGTTCATTTTACGAATAGAAACACTCTGAATTAGGTGTCTACATGTGTCAACGTTTTTTCGAGATTCCCTCTCCCGCGTACATCCGGTTTTCCGACTGTCCAATCCAATTTTATCCAATTTTTCGACGATCCGTGAATCAAAAAGTTTGATATTTTGCCCGCTGCGCTCGCATGGTTATGGCCGTTTTATAGACGTATAAACTGAAACCATTCGGTATTCTTATTCTTCGAAAAGATACCGCACTTTTTTCTTTCGGAATGTCATTGAAGATCACAATTATCAGAACGAGCATTCTCGTTCTCTGTTTCTCTTCTTTTCTAGTCTTTTGACGTGGCACCACCTACACACGACCCATATATTTATCACGAAAGAAGTGATAAGTGATAAAAGTGACGTTAGGATCATTTGATGGTTCAATGATCTTCTCCCTCTTTTCTTTTTTCTCAGTGTGCAACATCAGTAGCAGCTTCTACCGTAACCCGAATGCCTACAGTGATCATGAACCCTCTGCCATTCTTCTCAATGTCGCCCGCCATTCTCTTTGTTTTCACACCGTCTCTCTATCCGAAACCGATCTCTTTTCTCTTCTCTGTTTTGTTCTTCCCCTTTTTCTCGTCGAAATGACATCAGAATCAAGATCTGACTCGCCCTCCCGCAGCCTTTTTTTTTGCTCGCGGCAGGCCGGTTCGGCCCGTCGCATGATATAAAACCAACAGAGTTGTACTCGAGAATCACCCGTTGCAGAGCATGGCGGAAGGATTTTTGGCTCTGCAGGGATGCCTCGCCGTCATCATGTTCCTGGTTACTCTGACCGCCGGATGCGCTCCTTTAGTAGTAAGTAAAGATGAACTGTGAAAGAAGATTGAGAAGTTTGATAGGTTCAAGGTCAAAACTGACCTAGGCGAATATTTATTATTCATTTGGACAAACTATGATTTCAGCTACTAACGATCATGAAGAAAAAAGGAAAAGATCAGACGAAAAGTGGCTGGCTCTCTTATCTTTCGTGCTTCTCTGGAGGAGTCTTCATGGCCACCTGCTTCTTGGATATTATGCCACACATTGGGTATTTTTTTCTTTTTTTTTTTAATGCAAATCCATGAAAAGCGTTTATTTCTAGTGAGAACTACGCCGAACTAATTGAAAAGTACAATCAGGAATACCCTGTTCCCTTGAGTCAAGTGTTCATTTGCTGCGGATTCTTCCTCGTCTACTTCATCGAAGAATTCACAGCCAAGGTAAGACTCGCAACCGGATTTTCAATGAGATAATGCTCGCAGGTCTTCGGATCGTCTGGACACGGTCACTCCCACGGAGCCCCTCCGCCGTTGACGGTCAATCCGAAGAAAGAGAACATTACGAGGTTCGCCCCTTTCCGCCTTTTTCCCTCTCCTCCAACGTCCCTTTCAATCACTAATTCTCGGTTCTTTCTATGCTTTTCTTGTCCTGTCCTCTTCCTTTACTAATTTGCACGGTCTCTTCGCATGGTGTGCCATTCTTCAGACAACAGCTGCTCGAAGACGGCTCCGCGCCCCAATCGGCTCCTGTGGACAGTCGGCTCATCAACCGACACAGGTTTGAAGGGCGATCTCACTTCTATGCACGTCTCTACTAACTTTATGTCGACTAACTGATCAATGGGGTGTTTGTGTGCTTTGTGCAACTCATGCATTCTTTTCAGTTTGGTCGTGGAGGAAACTTCTCCGTGGGTAGTGTCCGATGAGAAGAGCAACCTTCTGAAATCGCTTACATTCGCAGTCGCCATGTCGTTCCATTCTCTGCTGGAAGGATTCGCCCTCGGAGTGCAAGAGACTCACACTGGCATCTACGCGCTCTTCTTTTCTCTCCTCCTTCACAAGTCCATTGAGGCATTTTCCGTAGGACTCCAGATCTCAAAGACTAACAGTGAGAAGGTGAGAAACTTCAATTTCTGTTCCCAAAAGTTTTATTTTCAGTACAAGATAGTTGTGTTCACAATACTCATCTATTCACTGATGACTCCGATCGGCTCGGTGCTCGGAACGTTGTTGCAGTCTTCTAGCTCTGCTTCATTCCTGAAAGATTTCTCGATCGTTTTCCTAGAGTGCTTGGCAGCCGGAACGTTCATCTACGTCACGTTTCTTGAAGTTCTTGCCGCCGAAAAGGAAAACAGCTTCAACAGTCTCAAACAATTGGGTGCCATTCTCGCCGGATTCCTCGTCATTCTCCTCCTTCAAATCTTCTTCGGAGGCCACGACGGTCACACTCACACTCATCCGGAGCCTTCTCCGCTACTCACTTCTAGTGCTCCTCTTTTCTAAACCCAAGTGAGAGACCAAGTGAGAGAATTTGTGAAAAATGGTGTTCAAAACGAGGTCGCCCTTGTAGTCGGCAAAGCTTTATGTCAAGTAATCAACTCCTTGTGACCATGTCACACCCTTTGTTTGGCATTTTATGTGTATATTGATTCCAGTGACTCAAAATGTGATTCTACATTTCTTCGTGATATTTATACCTCCCCTAATTTCAGTTCTCTAGAATAAATGAAAGAAATACATTATCCTAAAACACGACAGACAAGACAGCAAACTTCGGACCTTGTGTAAGTGCGATCAAGCGGCTCCTCCTCGGGTGGACAGCTGATCCGCCGGATACGCGATAAATATTACACAGTTAGGCGGTGGACAGAGCGCAGTGCCGATCCTTCTTCCCACCTATGAGTCGTCCATCCTTTTCAAGTTCGCCTTTGTCGGGCCGCCCTTTATGTCCCTTGATTGGTGGTGCTCTCCCGGAGCCGACACGCACATTACCTTTCAACAGTTTGTTTTTGAGACGCCCAAAGTGACTGTTACCCATCCTCCGTTCCCATTATTCCCTCTTTTTCCGTTCTGTTCCCTGCTCTCCCTGCTCTTCTTTCTGCTACTCACAACGGCTCGATGCTCCTCGAACGATGGCGCGCGTGCACAAAAAATCGTGGTGGACAGTGCATGTTGAGTGAAATAGTAGGTGTATTCGAGACGCCGACAATGCACTTTCGCAAGATATTTGCTCGGTTTTATTGCTTGCGCGTGCGACCGAAAAATAGCACGGGCGGCCCGGAGGAATTGATCGCGATGCTCATTTGGAGTCAGACTTTACTTCCGAATCTGTTGTGAGCCATTGTAAATGAGATAATTTAAAATGCAATGCCTTATCAGAGAGGTTATCGTTAGTTCCGAAATTTATTCTATTTTGGGCGCGAGGACTCGATGCAATAGTCGATGGGCTCGGGGGCTCACCTTCCAGAACAAACACAGTGTTTCGCTCTTTCGTCCCGGTGGCTCTCGCTGACCACCGTCATCCCCGATTTCTCTTTTTCACTCCTCCAATCCCTCCGTTTTCTCTTTTTTCTCCCTCTCTCGTAACAATTACGACGAGATAATGGGCAGAATTACCATCTGCGCCACCGTGGACGCCGCCGCCACGTCGCCTGCTTTGCCAGATGTTCGCCGTAATGTCATCTGTTTCAAGACGTTGCCGTCCGCTTTTCCATTTTTCATTTCTCGGGCTTCCATTTTTATGAGTTCATGGGTCACCCAGAATCGACGAGAACCATGTGGGAGATCATTAGTTTTGACGCCTGATCATTTTTCAAAAGACACTCTTTCAACTTGGAAAATTTACGGAATAAATAATCTGCGAAGATGTATGAGTCGGCAGTCCATCTTCGTGCTCTTCCAGTGCTTCTGCCCCTCTCCCAACCCAGTCGGTTCGCTTTCTCCCTCATAAAACCCATTGTTCGCTCTCTTTCTACTTCTCTATAATTCCATCAAATCGCGTGTCAATCTCATGCCTCCCCCCCCCCTTCCTCAACGTAATTTGAACACGCTCTGATTCTGGCGGGTACTGCCCAAGAGGGCATCGTGCCAAAATGACTGCCATAAATTATCGAGCCCCTTCGAGCGCCGCGCATCTTCTCTTGGCGCCGACGTCTTTTATTGTTTTTGAGGGCTTCAAACGACATTCCTCACGTCTTTTTAACTCATTTCGACGGATTGGCTCTTTCCGGTTCGAGGTCAATTAATTCTCAGCGCCCCGTAACTCTGGAAACTTTGAAACATCCAATTGGAAATCTTCCGGATTTTGCGTGGTATCTTGGCTAACTTTTCATTTCCATACCCCTTGTTTGCCTGCATAGCCCATCAGTTTTGTGTGTGTTTGTACATTTGACCGTGGTGTTTCGCGGTTGCACACTAGTTTTTGCACACTTCTCAGCCCTATAATCCCAACACAAAAAGCTCGTTTTTTCCTTTTCGTCTGCTTCGTGAACTGTGCTCTATGAGCACCTGGAGATGGTTTCCTCAAGTTGAGAGCGTGACGATTTTAACGAACAATTTTGGAATCCTCAAATGTCATTCGGAAACATTAGCGTCATGTTTGCAACTAAAAGAATGCCAAATGTTCCTGCTTCGTTGCGTCTTCGAGTTTTTGATGACCCTAATTGGAAAGAGAACGTCATTAGACCACGCGAACATCAAAGAGACACGTGGCTGCGGATGTTCCTCTCAGCAGGCTAGCAGATTCTTCGAACTTCCCTCTCGAAGTCAAAAGATCTTCACTTCCATCTTCTTGTGGTTTGTGATTGTTCGAAATCGGTAGGTCTGGTCGTCGTCGTCGTCGTCGTTCGGACAATGGTGCCTTCGTCCCGGGAAGCAGTAGAAGAGGTGCCCTTCCCGAGCGCCGAGACGCAGACGCCGATTGCAAACCCGTTGTTCCTCCCGCGGTGGCCATGCAATCGCAGAGAAGAAGCGATCTTCGGAGACGCCGACGCGACAATAAGCAAGCTTTTCGTCGATTCGCGCACTTTTCCTTCCCCACATTTTTGCTTGGTTTTCGAATCGCCATCGGCCACTCGACGCCTTCTTCTTCACGGACAACGATCGATCGATCAATTTTTTCTCGATTCGCCGTGTCCCCCGTCGTCGACTTCTCTTTCCTAGACTTCTCAATCGAAATCCGAGATGGATTGTCTTTGTTCTTGCAGTGACTGTCTGGGTCGCACACTCAGGAATACAATCAGCTGACCAGTTGGGTTTCATAAATAGAGCTGATTCGGAAGCCGCCTCCACTCGGTTTGATAACACTTTCAGACTGATAACTGCCATCTGTCATTTGGACTCTCGATCGTGCAAAGTTCCTGCAAGAAGAGCCCATCCCACTCAGACCGGGGGGCTCAATTTCCTCTTCGCATTCTTCGCGCTTCTCTTAAACGAACCTTCGTTGCGGCCCACTCAATTCTCTCACTCCTTTCCCTTTCTCTTCTGGTTCTCCTTACCTCAGTGTGAGTCACTGATCAAATAATAAGCGAATCGATTGGTGTTTCGCTCCCCTCGTTTGCAATTTCAGTCCCTCCAGTTGATACAGTTTTTGTGTCCGCCTTCCGATTCCGTCGCTCGTCTCCGTTTCCCTGGGTCTCTTCGTCTCCGGCGACGTCAACGAGATACGTTCTGCAGATAACGCGCTCACAAGCAATTTATTAGCTTTCTCATATTTTTGACTTCTTTCCCCGCTTTCGTATCTCCTGCCATCACCTTCGTCTCCCCTCCAATCTGCTATTATTCGAATCCGCACGTTTTTCATTTCTCCCAATCGCCCGTCCCATTTCAACTCGCTACCGTAATCCTTCCCCACAGTATCGATTGTCCGTCTGTGATCCTTGATGAAACATCGAAGCACTTGTGTTGACCGACCATTTCCGCTTTTCCGTGAATGTTTATTTGTGTTTCCTTCCAATTTTTTGTTCCTCATAGACTTCTGGAAGAAGTGGTGAGTTCAACCACAGATGTCGAAGCCTTGAGCAAATAAAAGAGTGCGAGTCGTTCAGGTAGAGGGCATCCCAAAGGTCATTCCCTCCCGATAGTGCTTCTCAAAGTGCAATTTGGCTCCTCCCGACCCTCCCCTGCTCCCTCGACTCGTCCGTTCCTTCATCCCGACATATGCAAATGACCCGAGGGTTCTCCTCCATCTCTGTCCCTCTCGCCACTTCTTCTCCTTCTTCTTCTTCTTGCCATCCCAGCTCGCCGAGCTCAGAAACCGAAGGCATTTGGTCGCAATCAATTCTCGCCCCTCCCCGCGCCTCCCCCATCCGCACACTCTCTGCTCCGCCTTGTTTATGTGTATTTATTTTTACGTGTGTTCCGGTTGGCTCCGCGGGGCTCCGCGCACCTGCCGCCGCGTCACTGCCGCTCCTCACGTGTTTTCCGGACACGCGGCGCCTTCCGCAACCCAATACGCGAGCTGAATAGCCAACCTTTCTGTCGTTTTTATGCATTCTCCCCTTCACCAACCTATGCGATCGCCTCCTGTTCAACAGTCATTTTTGTGAAACATTTCATAACGTCGTTCGTGCTTCTCATCTTCCACTTCTTCTCGAATTTTCTGAACACATCAAAACTTTTTACACTCTATCGTCCACTAAAACTTTATCGCACAATGAATCACAATCAATCGGTTTATTGTCACTTTCTCTCTTTCGATTCCTCATTTCTCTTTCCCAATGCATTTTTCCAGGCTCCCTCCGATCAGCCTAAATGGCTGACCCTACCTTTGCGGAGCACGTCGCCAATACGAACAGCCGATTAGCTTCCATTAAAGCTGTGAGTTTCGGGGAGGAGCCCGTTTATGGTAATCATGCAAACGGATAGTATAACGGTTACTTCTTAATGTTTTCTATAAAGTGCTTACACTTTACATTGTTATTCTGCCTTATGAAAATCATCTGTAATCAAGTTTTAGCTATTCCGCCAATTGAGTGTTCTTTGATTCTTGATAATATTATGCAATCTTTGTACAGAGTCCCCCATTCCCACGCTTTCTATTCCCTTCTCAACGTCTTCCTTCTTTTCAGAGTCTCATAGACGCCCTCACTTTTCCGGAAGCATGCGCCGAACTGACCAAATGGTGCTCGGACCAAAGAGCATTCACGGCTCATTTCGAAGAGAATCTCATGCTCGCTCTGCAGGTTAAACCTTGATTGATCCTCAATTTCTAATTATCAGGCTCTGCAGGTGGCTATGGAGAACGGCACGAAGGAGAATTACGATTTTAACCTGACGCACGGCTTAGTGACCGCCTGCTTTTCGCATCGGAAACACCTTTCGAAGCCATCTGCCAGTAAGTGATTCGCCTTCATTCTTACTGAATTCTCTGTTCCCGTTCGGTCCGTTCTCTCTCATTCCCTTCGTTTCTGCACTTTTTCACTTTCTCACCTCTCAAACCATATCAGTTTTTTTCGGAAATCAAATTTTCACTTCGTGGTTGTGATGATAATTGAGCACAATTCCAGTGAACTTGTGGTTCGCCGAAATTTCATTTGTCTGACTCGGACCCAAAGAATAATTGCATTCCGTCCAGTAGCATTGTTCAAAAACTAATCTAAAATGCATCGCATTGCCATTTTCTCGCACACATAAACTTTTAAAAGGGCACATGCTCGTCCTCTCTAATAGTTCAAAAACCTTGCCTTTCTAATCTTCTCTCGAAGTATTATTACTACGATATAGTTGTTTATTTCATAATATAACGCATCATCCTATTTTATTTTCAGCCAGAATCGGTCGTTGGTACGAACAAATGCGTCGTCTGAAAAAGAACGGAGGGAAGAGGAAACGGGCTCCTCCGAAGCCGAAAGAGCCCCCAATCACAGCTGCAGCACCCACGGTTCCTCCCGTGAACGGATCGCTTCCCCCGCTGACGTCACCGTGCCCTCCTCCTCCTCCTCCTCCTTCTTCTTCGAACGGACAGTCCGCCGAGAACAACAACTTCATGATCTCTCCTTCTTCCGACGGGTGAGTCCCTCTCTTTCATTCATCTTCGATCGTCGGTCTGCTTCCATCCAGCACACTCACACTCACACATACACACCGATATAACGACAAAAAACACGCACGCATAGGCATAGGCGCTCGCCCGCTCACTCGGAGACACTCACCAAAACGCATTTTGCCTTTTTTGATGATTGAATCCAAACTATACGAAACACATCAAATCGGAAACACAAAAAGTTACCGTGGACAGGCGCTAAGAAACAATCTTACTGTAGTTGTTGGGCGAGAAGCTTGGATTATGACGTGACGTGTTTTCGCGTGCTTACGTGAAGGGGTATTCTTATGACGTGGAACATAGTCCACACTTTGACATCCCTTTCGAATATCGTTGAAGATGGAGCCTTCTAGCCTACCCTAAGCTTTTGCCAATGTTATCATTCGGGGCAGAAATAATAGTCACTTTGTATCTTCTATATCTTTTTTCTCTCCACCAATCTCCACGCTCTTCTCTCCGTTTCTTCCACCCAAATTCTGGCAGAGACACCAGCTTTCGCTCACACACACTCATAAGATTTTTCGAAAAAGCTCAAGCACACACACGCTCACGCCACTCTCCATCTCCTCTCAGCCGCCATCGTTCCACCCATTTTTGGATGGAACAAGTGAGAGCTCAACACCGTTGTTAGGAGCACAAGAAGAAAAAGAAAAAGAAGAAGGGATGGAGGCACCACAAGACGTCGTGCTCCTTCTTCTTCTTCTTCTTCTTCTTCTTCTTCTCGTGCATGTGCGCATTCGTGAGTCGAGATAGCGGGGCAAAAGGGAGGAGGAGGCCGCCGAGCCGGGGCGCGACAGCGAATTTTTGCGGCTCCGCTTCATCAATTAGACCACAGCACACACACACAGAAACAGAGGGATTCTGGTGGTCCTCCATCCGAAACATCCCAACCTTCCATTCACACTTTCTGACTTACACACTCCTGCAATAATACGGTAGGTTCAAGTTCTTCTACCGTAACCCTTTTCCCATCTAGAAATGTAGGTGGTGCAGAAATTTGATCGCTCATGAAAGACGTTGCTTTTCCTCTGTGTTTGCCGGCCGAACATTAACTAGATACCGAATGGCGAGCACCGGAAGTTGAAGTTTTCAGTCACGGGATAAATATTCAGCTGGCTACAAAAAACGTTTATTATGGTTTGCAAGACTGCAGGACTCGTCTGCTAAAAACGATTGCTCGCCCTCCCGAGGACTTGTTTTTAGAGTAAAACTGATCGGAAGTGCAAGTGATCTACTCAGAGAGCACGAGCAAACAGTAAAACACGGACTAAAAGTGTCGAGGACCTAGTATGATACCTCACACATCTAGAGATATTGGTGGTGTTTAAAGCGTTCGAACATTCCTGCGTGGCCGTCTAATCCGGGCGATAATTTCTATGCGTATGCAGGTGGTGCGCCCCTTCCTCAATTGGTTTATAACATCGTCGTGAGATGACTCGTGTACCGTAACATGTTCCGAACCGCCGTCAGCCTATCTCTGCCGTGAGAGAAAATGGTGCCCTGCAATTCGGTTCAAGGCTATTTGATCAACGTAACTAATTCACTTTCCCTTATTTGGAAAACTATTTTCAGTAACCATTTTCACAAGTAACCAGGTTGGCTGGAATAGTTTTAGTTCTTTGCGCGAAACGTAAGGAACGTCAGAGAGCGTCAGATACCTATATCTGGTTCGTGGCCAATCTGACTCGACCAGTCGGCCAGCCACCTTCATCTCAACTCTAGGCATGCATGCCAACAGCCACTTTCGATTGACACATATCCAGTCAGTCGGCCGGCCATTCGCCTCCACTTTCCGCCGTCTATTCCTAACGGTCGCCGCGAGCCGAGGTGTTATCATCCTCCTCCGACCCCACTGTTTGCATGCGTTTACTAGACACATTATCATGCCTTCTCCAGTGAGCCAGCCCTCTTTCTCTCGCTGGTCTCTACTGTCTGTACCCTTGTTGCGAGGTGCGCCGTCTTCCATCGCACGTCTCATAGTCAGCGAGGTGCGAAAGTGTGCGCAAAAGAGTGAGACGCAGATCGCGTACTGTCAAGCGACTCTGAACGCGCGGCCGATCGGCGGCCAACAGACCTATCGTCCGAGGAGGGCACAGCCAAGCTCGGTCGCCGCAACACCCGGTTTCTCAGTCTCCGCGCGCAATACACTCTTTAGTCCTCCTCGGTTGGGTCGTCCGTCCGTCCGGCCTGTCCTCCCTGCATTCCTCCTTCTCCTATTCCTCATCATTCTCCTATTCCTCATCATTCTCCTCTTCGAAGCCTTGTACATATTATGAGCGCATTTCACACCAATCAATTCTATAGGTTTGCCAATAAAATCAATTAGTTATCCAGTAGATCACTATTTCTCGACATACTACATTCGTACGTCTGTTTTTTATTTTGCCCCGACCGCCGCCGTCAAATCATCTGCCCCGCGTGCTCCTTGCTTCCTCTGCCACCAGTCTTTTGTTTATGTGCTCTTCCTGAAGAGTGGCGGCGGCGCAGCGAGATGTGCTCATCGACTCCGGAGGCTCCACCAAATATGGCAAATAAAGGTCCCCAGCAGCAGTTACTCTCGTAGCTTCCTTTTGACACACAATCCTTTTGATTGATAATTTGTTGACCTTTTCTTGTGAGCTCAAGTCGTGTACCTCCGTGCCTCGTGCGCCAAATAGGAAGAGAACGTGCACCAGAATCGCCCTTTCTCTGATGTCTTTCCGTCCTTTTGGCAGGTAGTTTCATGCCACTCTGCCACGCTCTCTCTAAACCTCTTCGTCTCTCACACTCTTTCTCACGGCTGCTGCCATGCCATTGTTCTTTTTGAACAAAAACTTTCAAAGTTGTCTATGATGATTCTGCCCGCTTCTGAAATTTTTGTAGACCGGCATCCGCTCGCTTTTCTTTGTCAGGTGTTTTTCTCACCTTTCATTCATTTCGAATCAATAGATAAACAGTCTGAAAGAGACTGTGTAGATCAAATAAATCTACGGGCAAATCCACAGTGTTCTTTTATGCCGCGTCTAAAGGTAAAAATACCCGGAGATCACGCGGATTTTGCTGGGATTTCTTTGAACTTTTGACGCTTTTTTTTACTTTTGACGCGGCATTACCTTCTTCATGCCTTCTCCATTCCGAACAAACGAACGAGTGAAATGTTTGTGCTGGTGTTTTTGGCCGTCGTCATCGTCGTCGCCGTAGAGTGTGTTCGTCGGCTTCCGCGTCCTCTCCCTCTGCCTCCTCCTCCCGTTTTACTTGTTTTTTTTTCTTTCTGGGTGGCAGGCAACCTGGCGACGGCCCCTCCGTCCATTCGACGTTGCCGTCGTTCGTCCGCCCGCTGAAAATGAAGAACCGAGACAGAGACGTGAGCGACGAAGTGACGTCACTTCTGACGGATGCCGTTAAGGCTCGAGACTCGGAATGGAATGACTCGGGCTGCCTAGATGTAGATGTCATTTGAGAGTGGAGAGACAAGACAAATCCGAAAGCCATCTCATAGTGGTCTCCTGACTTACCCGTTGGATTGATTGGCGTCTTTGCGTCAGAAGAAGAAACCTTTCCTGTTGGCACTAGACGTTTCCGTGGGCGGCGCCAAGATGAACAAGTTCTCCATTCTAGATCGCCTCCAAGAATGGCGTGCACCTTACTCCAGATCTTTTCCAACTAGAGGTCAGAAACAGGTTACTGGACGAACTGAAACTATATTGGTTCCCGTGTCTTCGCCAGTTGTCTCCTTATGACCAACCAAATTTTGTGTCACTTCTCTTCTTCTTGACTCCGCCCCCGGTTTTCGATAACTCCTTCTCGGCACACACAACGCATAGACACGCACGCATACACCCATCCACACATACACACACACAATATTCGAGTTTGACTCGGATTCAATACTATTTCATCTCTTAACAGTTCGCCTCTCGCTAATCACTTTCCTTCTCTCCTACCACTTATTCTTCTTACCCTTCTTATCAACAAAACTGTCTCTCAAAAATTATTTTTTTTTTCTGCGTCTGGACGCGGTTGTGCCCCACTACGCAAGAAACCCATCGGCGCCCTTCATATTTTATAGCTTTTCGGGCATCGGTGGCTGTGTCTGTTTCGGCCGACACATAACAATCATACCATATCGATCACAGTGCATTCGATTCCCAAAAGACATTCTCTATCGGAGTGTGTCTCTTATCCGTTCTCTTCTCAACTATTTCTGATGGTGGGCTTTGAGGTTTAAAAAGTTGATTCGCTGATTCTCTCACGCCTTTCACCTAGACCTAGTTCCCACGAAAGTTTGGAACTCCTCGGATGTTTTCTCTGTTCGCCGCCACATGACCGCTCTATCCAACGGTATCACGAGATGCGCAGCCGGCTTTCGAGCATATTCCTCTCTTCTCCCAACTCTTGCACTTTGCTTCTTGGGGCACACTCGCATACGTCTTCCTTGTTTTCTTTGCCAGTACCACCAGCATCCCATCCTCTCGCTCTCTCTCTCTCCCGCTCTCTTCCTTTCCGTAGAAGAAGAAGAAGACGACAACAGCGGAGGCACGACGCCACCCTCTGTCTCCTCCGCACGTATGTCGTCGGTCCTGTGTGCGTGTTAGGGTGAGTGGGGAGAGCGTGCGAGCGTCCGTGAGTGTATTTCTTTTTGTGTTGTGTGCGAGTTAGTGAGCGGACAGCGAGCGCGCGCGAACCGTCTGGGGTCTCTGTGGGACGAGAGAGTGCGTCCTCCTCCTCCTCTTCCTCCCAGCAACCTTCGCCTCGATAGCCCTCCTCTCATCATCACCGTCTTCGTCGTCGCCTTCTTTCGCCTTCCCGGGCCACTATCACTGAGCGTGTCTGCCTGCGCAGTGCTCTCGTTGTGAGGCCAGAAGAGACACCGGCACACGTGCCGGCGCTGTGTTTTTTGGGATCAAAGGGGGAAACGAGAAAAGTGCAAAGGGGCAGAGTCAGGACAAGGACGTGGGGATGGATATGGAAGAAAAGGGGGTCAGTTGAGTATACACACACACACATCAAAACGAGATCTGCATACATTCAAATTACTGTAGTGCACCTTCCAATATCACCTTATTCATTACCTGCTCACCTTTATACCTTCTTAATGTATTAATTTTTTGAAACTCCTTACCGAACATCTATTTTCAGATCAATGTGGCCACAAGGTGGCCCAATGGGTGCACCGGGTTCCTCCGCGCACATGCCCCCCGGTGCCCAGTTCCCTGGCCCTATGAATCCCGGAATGCATTCCTATCCGGGACAGATGCCTCTGCCATACGGTCAAATGGAGGGAAACCACGCCATGTACGATCAGCGGATGATGGCCGCGAGAGCCGGCGGGCGGCCCAACATGATGCCCGATTACCCGCAAATGCCAATGGGACAGCATCCGTTAGTTTTTATTTTTCATTACATCAAGTATAACGTAGAACTGATAGAAGAAGAAAAAAATAAAGGAAAGAATAGGGAGGTAACAACTTCAGCTTCTAACCCTATAAGAAAAAAGAAATACGGACCTTATTTCACATGATCAATTTCGTGTAGTCACAAGTTTAGCGTAATTGATTTTTAAAAAAATTTTTTCAGCGGAAATCAAATGATGCGAATGCATGTTCAATACCCTGGACAACCTGGACAACATCAAATGCCAGCTCATCATCAGATGCAATACGGACAAATGGTAAGTAGCCAGAGAATGAGAGCGACTCAATTACGGTACATTTTCAGATGAGAGCACCACCGGTTTCGGTGTACGGACAAATGAATCAGCCGCAGCCGTACCCAGTGACGGCTCATCCGAATCCAGCGCCCGCTCCGTTTGTAGCTCAAGACGTCAGAGTTATGTACGAGACAACATACGCGTACAAAGTGGAGAGAGAGCTGTTCGAGGAGTGCGCGATTCCACCGGGAAACACCGGAGTGGAAGCAGAAGTCACTCACGAGGCATTCCAATTGCTCGAATCGTGAGTTTCAATTAAACTTATTTTGATGTGAAGTTTCAATTTCAGAGAGGGTTATGATGTGATTCTGTCGGTGTGGCGCGGAACCAAGGGAACGCACGACGTCGCCTTCAGTGTGTACGTCAACGAACATCTAGTGCTCAATCACACCTCCGACAACAAGGCTGTCTCCTTGAAACAGTTCCTTCGAAGCGGGAAGAATATTATACAGTTTGGATACAACAGTCACGATCAAGTGAGTACATGCCCATCTCAATCATTCAAACGAATTTCGATTTTCAGTCGCACAGAGTTGCCTGTGAATTCGTGACAAGAAAGAGCATGCTCGATCTGCGGAAGATGTTGTTCCACAGGCCGGACATTCCGATGATCATGGGCCAACAGAGATATCAACGTAAGACACTTTATTTTTTGATAACATATAACCGCCTCAATCACTTGCAGTTCAAGTACAAGCTTCCAAGAAAACGAACGGGATGCTGGTCATCCCGCTCAATTGCTCACTCACAAAGAAGAGAATGTTCACTCCAGTCAGACACAATGATTGCAAAAGAGCGCTCTTCGACATGGGACAGATGATCAGTCAGAACAAGGACAAGACTCGTTACTTCTGTTCTCATTGTCATAACTACTTCAAGTTCGAGGACATGGTCGTCGACTACTGTGCCTTCCAAGTCATCACCCAATTGCCGCCAGGAATCTCCGACTTTATCATCGACAGACACGGCCAGATCCGGCCCGGAGAGCACGAAAAAGAGGAGACGGTGAAGCCAAAAAGAGGCAAAAAGCGGGCTGAGAGGAACGACGACACCACGATAAAGCGGATAAAGTCGGAAACAATGGTCCGGCAGGATCCGGGAATGTTCCCAGATGTGCATGCACGGTCGGTCCAATTCAGTCCGATGCCGACGCCCGGAAGTGTGCCGCCCGACTGGACCCGCCTCCAGAGTCCTTCGTTCAGCATGCAAAGTCCGAACAAGATCCAGCTGGGACCGGCCACTCCAGCCACTCCAGGAATGGTCTTCCAGAATCCGGCATCTGCTGGGTCCATGCTGAACATGTCATCTCCGAGGCAAACGACGTTGATGTCTGCAGCACATCAACTGCCAATGGCCGCCCCCGTGGACTCAGCAGCGACCGCCCGTTCGGGATCCGCCCCGTACACTCCCGAATCCGTGAAGATCGATCGATGGGAAGCAGTGTTCCACATTCCAAACAGTGAGCTGTTTGTCGCAGGAAAGGAGTGCATAATGGATTGCGAAAGGCTCGTTGCTCACTATATGTACGAAACGAAGAGTGTGACCTTCGAGAACATTGAAACTTCTTCGATGGTGAGCTTGTATCCCTAAGCCTTCCGGTTTGCCAATGATCCCTATTTGCAGGAAGAGGCGCCAAACCATTCGCAGCCGGAGAACTCTCAGTCCATGATGGCTCCCGGGAGCAGCTCCTCGAGTAGCTCAACATTCACTCCTCCGTTCGACGACATCCACCTCGGCAACCGGCGATCCCACTGATTCCTCAAACGTCCCCCCCATTCCGTTATTCCTGTTATCCCGGATGATTCTCTTCTCCCGATTCTTGTCCGTGTTCTCTGATTCTCCCCTCATAGCGTTCCCTTCCACTTCATATCTTCTGCTTTTCTCAGCCATCTCTCTCGCTAGCATGTCCCGTCCTATTGCTAGTATCTCTTGTCATTTCAGAATGTGATGTAGTTCTTTTCCTTCTTTCCCTCCCATAGAAATACACCACCACTCCCGATTACTTTATTCAAGATTGCAATCCAAGGCTGAGCCTTCCCGAAACTTCCATTGTTCTTGTTGACCATAGTGCTCCGAGTGAGAGCCCCGCCTCCGTTATCGATCAATAGAATCATCTCACACGTCGTCCCAGTTTCCGAGTAGGGTAGAATAAATGCATACAAAAAGGCATTGCCCATCCATTCTCTTGATCCCCGTCTAATTTCATTCACCAATAAATTCCCGACTTTAGTCTGGCTGGGCCAGACTATATATGTATATTATGAAGCTCTTTTTCTATTGTTTCTCAATTATGACACCCTTTTTCCTATTGCTATTTTCCCCCATCCACGATCTTGTCCCGTTTTCTTCCACTCTTTTTATCCACTGACAAATACACTGAAAATAAAAGAACATATGTATGAAGAAGGATATTATTACTCATTTCGGACCTGTCTATGAAAGTAAGTGAATCGGCGGTTTGAGATCATGAAAGATTCAGAAGGAATGAACAAGAAGGATCGGATCACAGTGACACGGTGTAATCATAGCCAACTCCGTCGTTGCTGCTCACCGGAAGGCTGTAGTACTCGCTGAGATACTCATTTCCGTTGGCGTCGTGCATCTGAAAAGGATTACGGTAGATATTCTCGGACTAACCAGATTACGTACCGACACGAAGACGGGAATGAAACCCTGCTCCATCGAGGATGCTTCCATCGACGATTTCCGCTTTCTCGACTTCCTCTGCTCTGGGGAACACGCGGGAAGAAGCACCCCGGTTGCTCGAAATCTAAAGAAGAAGAAGAAGTACTTCAGACATGTAGTACATCGTACATAAACTCCAAACTAGCAAGACCATTTTGACCTTCATGTTGTGAAGTTTGGTGTGGAGGGATTGTAAATGAATGGCCGTACTCTATTCTTCTACGATTTCTGATACTCTACGTTGAGTAAAACACAACACGGTGGAATAGATTGTAGTTCATTTAGCTGTGACATACCTACTGATGATTTTGCTAACGCATCCATGAGAAATGCAGAGCGACTTCGAGATGGCGTTGACCTGCAAGAAGATCCGCTGGCACGCCTCCCCCTTCCCTCCGCGCTCACCTTCATTCCACTGTTGTGCAACTGGATGATCCGAGTTCTCTCTTCCATCGATAACGGCCGACCGGGACAGTACGGTCGGCCGTACAAATTAGTGCCTGACTCGATTGGAATCAAAGAAAACAGCAAGAGAGCCTACCTTTCTTTCTGCTTTTCCGTCCATCCGAAGAGGAAGTGTTCGAAATGGAGGGCAACGAAGGAGACGACGTTTTGGAGCCGGATTCATAATGAGCAGGGGAGGATTCATTTGGTTGGGATTCATAGGAAGTGGGAACTTCGATTCCCTGAAAACAGAAGGATCGGTGAATGGATGCTCGATGCAGATACCGTAAAAACTGTAATAGAAGAGCACTCCTATTCATTCAAGGCAATGTATTTCAGCTGTCAGTAGAGATTTCGAAAAGTTGTCTACTGGGAGACGAACCACATCGTCTCGGTTCCCTTCTGTTACAGTTTTTACGGTAACTCACGTTGAGCCAGTTATTGAAGTCTCTCTGGAGAGTGTCAGGAGTGGAGAGATCGATTACAGAAGAAGCGCATTGCTCGTGGTCACAGCAGTGAACATCAATCATTCTGTAAGAGGAAATGAACGAAATCTCGAAGCAACATGGAGTGAGTGAGGGAACGAAACAAAGTGCGCCGGCTGTGCTGTTCTGAACGACATCGAAAGTTGTTTTGATTGGAGAGAAGATGTGTTCGGAGAGTAAAAGGAACAAGAAGACAGGAGGTATTAGTAGATATCTAGATGTGTTTGTACACCTCGCCTTCCCCAATGTTGCTTCTTGTTTTTCAGATCCCTTGAATAAAAAAAGCGAAAGCGGTCGACTGTAACTGGAATTGAAGCTGTGGCAAAAGAAAACGACGATGATGGGGAAAGTGAAATTGGAATAAGAATAACAGCGAGAAGCACGGTTTCAGACGCCCCGATCGAAAGCGAAACGACGAGAAAAGATACATTTGGGTCGGTCGGTCGGCCGAATAAAAAACGGCTGGCCGTACATTTGATAACGTGTGTGTTTCTCTGAAAAGAAGGCGTAGAATGGGAAGAATGGCGGGAGGCCGATAAGAATTGAGAGTAATTGTAAAGTTCACTGCCGTTTTTAGTAGCCGAAAGAGCGTCTAATTGCGCGGATGAAAGTGAACGGCACGAGGTGAACTGACGAAGAGAAACTGCTGATATCTGAGGAAGAAGAACACTTTATCAAAAGAAAACTCGGGGGACCGGTCGTCAACAAAAGAGATAACATTTTGAGCAGAACCACGTGGAATCATCCGAACTTGGGCGCCTTTTCGAGCATTCGCGACTTCTCCTCGTCCTCCTCGATCACAATCGGAAGAACTTCCGCCGATGTTTTGTGCTGTTCCTCGGCCACCACTGAAAGGAACGATGTTCGCACGTCATCAAAGCAAGCTTTCTCACTTGTCGATCCCAACTTTCCAGTTGAAGTTTTCCTCTTCGCAGGTGCAGTCATTTCCAGAGTGGACAGATTGATCTGAATTTGCCTTTCGAGCTCGAAGGAACCTTTCCATTCCTCTACTCACCTCACTCGGCGCCTGTGACTCATAGTTATAGTGAAGGGTGGCTTGCGAAGCCGAACTTTGGAACATATTGTTTCGGTTTCTGAATCCGATTATTTCTGGATTGAAAACGAAAGAGTCTCTCACTGTTTCCTGGCCACTTTTCCCCTCAACTGATCAAACATCATGCTTCGTTTGCGGGAAGCGAGGCTGGCGCGGCTGCCGAACTGCCGTCCGATCGAGATGACCGAGAACGTCTTCCTCGGAATCAGATGGTTTGTCGACTCGAAATCATACAGATCCACGTCATCCATGTGCGGCATCATCATCACCTCCTCTTCGGTTTTCACACTGAAACATTGAAATTGTTCGGAGAGGAGGACGTCGAACTCACTCATAATTGGCAGCTGAGCCAACTTGTGGGTTCTTCGGAATCATTGCCGTGTCCACAGAGTACAGAGGCTCGACGTCTGGAAAACGGGAAAACATAATGAAAATAATGGGGGGAAAGCGTACCGGAGCACCAGAACATGTCCTTCTCAAGTGCTGGAATCTGATTGTAGCAGTCGTCAACGATCGTGAGGCCGACTGCCAAGTTTCTGTCCAGAAGGAAGTTGCACTCGAAGTCGTCGTCGTCTTCTCCGAGCGGATTGATCATGCTCTCCGCCACTTTCATCCAGCCGACCACGAAAATGAATTGAAGAACCGACATCACGAACGGAACCGTGGGATACAACTGAACGAACTCATCGGTATTCTCTTTAGTTCTTCTCAACTCACGATGCTCGGCTGCTCCGGTGGCTTTCCGTCAAGAAGTACGGATTGACGAGCGATGAGTGCCATGAAGAAGTAGGAACGAACAGCCAGGAATACGACCTGAGAAGGGGGGACCGTATGGAGAGGAAGTGACTCATTGGGAGTATGTACCTGCGGGTATGCCAATGGAATCGGAACCCAATCATAGTTGCTCAAAAGAGCCAACCCTTTCCTGAATTCTATAATGCTTTTTCCGATCTCATTCATCAACAGATCGGCCGCAATCTTCCCCTCGGTTCTCGCCTCGACGAGCAGTCCTGTGCTCCATTGAATCGGAACGAAGTACTTTGAATACTTGCACGCCACGCTGTACAGGGCATCCTTTTCGTGCTCTAGCATGAATCCTCAACCGAACAAAATCTAAAAGTGTTAGAGCACGTTTACGGTACCTGCGGAAACGATCGACTCGAGGGTTGGAAACCGGCGACGAACTTGAAGGGAAATGTCACGGAAAACGAGCACCTGAGTGAGCACCATGTACCGGATCACATTCCGACGGAGCATTCGCGTGCGGTCGTCCGTTCCTCTGATGTAGTTGGCGACAGTGATGGCAGTGCTGAAAAGGGAACGTTGGGAATGGGAGCGAGGGAAAGGGGAAGGGAGAGGCACTTGTCGACCCATCCGAGGTTGGCGAAAATGTCATTCCAGCGGCGGACGATGATCGTGACGAAGAATCCGAGCATGAAAGTGAGCGGAATGAACTCCATCGTCTGATCGAACAGAGCGGCAAAGTTATCCCATATCCTTGCAAAAAGATGATATTCATGAAAGTGAGTGGGGAATTCGTATTTACTTTCGCGTGTTCTCACCGATGATCAAATTGCTTCGGTAGATTGATGAGATGAAAACGAACGCAAAAACGAATATGAACAGTTCCTGAATACGTGATTACAAAGTTCAGAAACTACGAGGACTCACTTTGAGAAGATACTTCCAGATAGAGCCCTTCCAGCGTAATTGCAAGCGAAGAAATGAGATGATCGAGGCGGAGGAGACGTCCAAGTTATAGGAGACAGTCATGTCTCTGAGCGGGCGAATGTACGAGCTGATTTGTGTATGAATGGGTGCGAGAAGCCTAAAGGTTGTTGAGGGAATCGATGAATGAGCGAGGAAATGTTTTTGTACGGAGCGAATGGATGGCTCTGCGTCTCTCCGCTAACCATTCCAAACGGACGAATCGGTCTGCACAAAGTAATGGAAAAACAATAAATGCGGGAGGGAGAATGGGAAGAGGAAATGTGCAATCGAAGGGAGCAATCGATTACGGTAGAGAGCGAATTAATTTGATTGTGACAAAGATCGGAAGGCGGCGCGGGAAGAAGCATTTCGCGCGGTCTGATGGCGCCGTCGTCAACAGATTAGCAACAGTTCGCAGTGCAAACAGCCGAGGTGAGACAAACAAAAAGAACGCCCCGTTATTTTTGAATTATTTCTCTCCGAAAGTAAAAACATTGTTGTGGTATGATCGGTTTCACTTTTCATTCTCCGTTTTTTTAAACAAAAGCAAGTTGTTCTAAGAAGGAATTCTAATCACGGGTCATGGATTAACAAAGAATTTAATTGGGGAAGGAGTGGAGTACGGGTGCTTGCATATGCCGATATATGAATTGAATAATGATTGAGTTAAGAGACACACTTGGTGTAATGGGAAAATACAACTATGTGGTGATACCTAATTAAAAAATAACAGAGAAGGGCGAACAGTAATTAAACACAAAAGAAAATATTTAAAGAACGAGATCATGTTTCTCGAGCATATAACTTGTGAAGAGTTGAATTGTCATAACTTGAATGTGATGAGCTCGCAAGTCGCGGTGCACTTCGTCGCTTGGCTTTATAGCTAAACGGTATTCTTAGTTGGAAGATTCAATATTAAACTTACTTTGTGAGATATAAATTGCTTCCTTCGCTCCTTGTTTCGTGTTCACCTGCTGCATACATGCAGCTAATTTCTGAAAACAGTTTATGGTTAATGCTCGGCCGATTCTATGGTTACGTTCGAGTCCCGGTGGTCATCACACGAATGCCTGCCAAGAACGACGACAAGTTTAGTATCCATGTAGTTACGGAAAGTGTGGTAGAACGGACTCATCGCCCTGTTCTTATTATCGATCAACTGATCATAAACATAATCATGGACGTAAATTCGGAAGTGAATTCCCGAGCCCACGTCAATTCGCACTTTTGATGTATTTGACAACTGCTCGATGAAGCGATTCAATTGACACGGATTCAGTGTGTCTTTGAAGTCACAATCAAAGAAGATGCTATAGCAGTTTTCTGCAGAATCGACAGGTAGCACTGAAAAAGCTGCATTACAAAAGCATTTCTCAAAAAAGATAACCCACTTTCATTCAGATAATCAGTGTGTCTGGATTCGTTTTGCACACGATGGGGCTGGTTGCCAGTAAAGTGATTGTATCCTCTGGGGGCGCCTCTTCCTCTGCCGTATGCTGGCTGCCGATAGACCGGGCCATTGTGTGGTTGATTGATAGCCTGAAGGTAGTTTGAACTAGAGCAAGAGCATAGAATATTGTAAATCATTAATCATTCGAAACATTCCTTATGGGGTTATTCAGGCTGCGAAAAAAATGATTTTTTTTTTCGTTTTTTTTTTCGTTTTTTTACGTCAAAAAATCCAATTCAGCTCCGCAATAAAACGAAAAAAAAAACGGAAAACAAACACACGCCGAATAGCCTCATTACGCGGAAGTATGGATTCTCGTGGTTCGTAATTCCTGGAGGAGTCGCCGGTACGTTCGCTCTGATCTGAGCCATCGATGCACTTTTCTCCGATTTCTCCGGCTCTTCGTCGCTGTTAATCTCTCCGTCTTCTTTGTCCTTCTCCGTTTTTCGTGGTTTTTCAAAAAGAGCGGAATCCCAAGACTTTTTCGCAAGTTGATCCGCTTTCCCTGTTCCCACAGAATCATGATCGCGTGGATTTTTTGTGTGGGGCGTCGTGGAATTACCCGACTTCATGGAAGTACTGGTACCTTCACCATGATATGTAGAATATCCTTCTTTCTGGAAAAAGTAGCTATTGAATATACAAAACCAAAAAGAAACTGACAGATTCTGTCGGCATCATCACGCAAGTCTGTTGATTCATGAACGTCTTCGGTTGATACGTTGATTCGTCCGGCTCAGCGGGCTCCTCGTCTTCTGCCGGCACCTTCGACCGTTTGCTCTCAACATTCGGCTCTGATGAGTTGCTCTCACTGCTCGTGCGTTTGGCGGCGTTTCCAGTCGTATCCAGTTCACATTTTTCGACCAATTTACCACTTTTCATTCGAAAACCGGAGAGTGTCGGGAAAATGAAACCTCCTTCCAAGAGCGGTGAAGACACAGACGGTCCAACAACTTGGAATTGCTGATACGCTGGAGAGTGCATCTAAATTGACAGGATGAGTTCAATGGGAAGAATATTTCACATTCGGGGCCTTTAAAAATAAACGCGCTCTGTTCAAACTGTGATCTTTGGGTAATGCCAAACAAAAACAGAGGAAGGTATTCCAGAATTCAAATCAAGAACAGTGGAGGGTTTTTTCAACAGAGCGCTTCTACTTCGAAATGCCCCGATAGTAGTGACCTGAACCGTCGTGTGCACTTTCTGCTCTATTTGTTTTGCGTTTGCACGCAGTCTCCCATGCATCTCGTCACTCAGCTTTTTCAGTCCTTCAACCTCTGCTGACGGAGTCTTTGGCAGGGGAATGTTGTCGAATCGGTCATCGACGTCTTTAGGGAAGTGGCTATTCGAGCGAGGCAATGAGCTCAGGTTTCTAAACAGAACGATATGACGATGTGAAGTTCAACTTCAGCCTATTTACCTGTAGTCCTTATCTTTGGAACCTCTCACCGAGCTCTCGGCACTTTTCTCATCGTCTTCGTCTTCTTCTTCCCCGAAAACATTCACACGCTGATTCACGTGGACTTGTTTCGGCTTTTCAATTGAGAACGCGACTCCAGAAGAAGCTCGTAAATCCGTATCCTGAGACGAGGAGGCCGGTTTACTTCCGGCGAGTAAAGCTATAATCTCCTTAGTTTCTGGATTCAGGCTCTTGATAGTTTCTCTGAAAAATATAAATTTTAAGTAAGTAGTTCACATTCCGATGAATTACGATGCTGTAGAAGAAGTGGACGCGGAAGACGTAGATGGCGTGGCTTCTAGTGGTTTGACCTGAGAGAAAGCCATTTTGAGGATCTCGTTCTCCTCTTCGGGGTGATGTGATTCTTGATCATCTTTATTTTCGTTCATTTCATCGTCGTCTTCGTGAATTTCGTCCAAAGACAAGTCCATCGGGGCCTCCCCTATGTCTCCAGATGCGTTCTGTTCCCTGGATTCTTTTTGGACGACAGGCGGTTGAGCTAGAATCGGAAACTGCGGTGGTGGCACCAGAGATGGCGACGGCGGGCGAAGGTTGGATGGCATCGTAGGCGGTGGGCGTAGCGGATCAAAGTCATGAGGAACAGGTGGTCTGTGTCTGGGATCTATCGGAGGTCCCGAGTGGGCCATTGAGAACGGAGGAGGCATTCCGTGCAGTGCGAATGCAACGGGAGGCACTTGTTTCAATGAAGCGGTGTTCGTAAATGAGAGCGAGAGCGCTTGAGCTGGATTTTGTTGGAAACGCGGAGGCTCCCGACGTCTCGGATCAGTCGGTATCTCCGCACCAGATGAAGCCAGGGGAGCTCTCGGAACTCCTTGATCTTTATTCGTTCTGAAGTCTCTGGGCTGTTCTTTGAATTGCGGGCGTCCTGAGAGTCGCGGATCTCTTGAGCCGGCCGGTCCTGATCCAATTCTATTGTTACCTGGAGGGGAAACCATAGTTCTCTGTCCTGCGTGCCCTTCCAACTCCATCAGTCTTCCTGATCCTTGTGGTCCTCTGGAATTTCCTTGAGCAGACGATAAGAAGTGACTGTTTTGTTTCGCCTGTTCTCCTGGTCCCATCTGCCCTTTTCGTCCTGCAGGCCCTTCTATTCCTGGTCCCTTTGACATTTCGGCCACTGCCTGTGTTCCTGGAGCTCTTTGGTTCGAAGGATACATCGGAGATCTTGGAGGACCCGAACCTCCTGGTCCCCCTCTCGCAAACTCCTGGCTGGTTCGGCTGCCATTCGAATGCTTACCCATTTGTCTGTTGAGCGGACCTGGTGGTGGAACAAAAGTGGCCAAATCCGGTGGATTCTTTTGCAGCCTACTCTGCTGATTTTGAGCCATCGCGTCTGCGAACAAGTTGTCGCGCCCTTCTTTTTCTTCGATATCTTCAGCTGTTGGTGGCTTTTCGATCTGCTGCACAACTGGCGGTGGTGCAACAATCGGCGGCTGAACTGATTGGTCATGTTCAGAGAAATGCCGAATCTGAAACTACTCGTTCTTTTCACAATTATAAGAAGCACTCACATCGACAATATTCTCACGGAACTTCACTCTCAAATCCCTTGGCGCCTGTCCAGCAGTCCGTAAAATTCCTGTAAATAATCTGTTCAAATGACAGAACGCAAAGGGAGAAGCGTGCAGGGAACTTCAAAAACCAATTAGCAATTCGGTGAAAGATCGGATGCGAAAACCTCATGCTACATCTGTGAAAGCGGTGATATGTTAGGATAGTAATTGGAGGGACACCCAAGACACCTTTCTTTTGAACACGGTTGACAAGTGGGACATGCGGCACTATCACAGAAACTGAATTCTTTTTTGATAACTCGCCGTTTTCGTCCTCGATGTAATGCCTGAAACGTATTAATTTGTAGAGACAATCTTCAAACAAGCAATACTTGAATGATGTCAGCGGGCCTGTCTGTTTCAGCCTAGTATCAACATTAATTGCCGTCTTCTTCTCGTTTTTGACAAACATGACCAGATGAAGGGCATCTGAAAAAATTCAATAAATCAAAGCGATCGGAAGAGTGAATAACCAGGAATGTAAGGAAGGCCGAACTCGGAGGCGACGCGTCCGGATGGCAAGAAGAACAGCGTCGTGTTGTCTTCTGACCATTTCATGAACTGAACATTACAAATTAGAAATGCTCATTTGCCACGTAGTGCTTAACATACTCGGCATGTTTCGTTCAGAAGTTTGCTGACGGTTTCGTTGCATTGAAGCCGTAGAAGATAGTAGCTGACCATTCCGGTCACCTGAAAACACTTGGTAAAACTTCGTCTTCACAATTATCCAACTTCGCCCGGATTTATTCGATGCTCGTTCGAATTGAGCAGATTTCCAGTATGCGCATTTTTTTGGATGCTTTTCAATACTGGGTGGTTGTCGATTTCTTTGATCGAATAAACTTCTGGATCAATGTGTCTGTCGAACCTGTAAACCATCTTGAAACACTGATATTCGGAAAAGAATAAGCGTGCTTCAACTAGTCAGATACTTACAGTAATCCAGAGGAATGGCTGTTCGGATGAAGCGACTGAAGAATTGCCGACTTCTTGTTTCCTTTCACAAAGAACAGAAACGGTTTCTCCAGCGTGATCGGGGCGAATACCTTCCTGAAGAAGTGGGAACCTTTCGATACCAGTTTTGAATAGTTACATTTCCTTCGTCGGATTTCCCTGTGCTTCGAATGTGATGAGGGCATGTGGCAGAAGCATTGTCAGATTCTCCTGGATGACATATCCATTCGCGGAGTGCTCGTAGTGGTAGACTGCTCCCGCACGACGGACCTGCAACTAACGGGCTGCTATGTTTATCAATCCGGAAACGTACGTAAATCGGTCGAATCTCGCCCGACTTTCTCGGAACATTTTTAGGAATATGACAGTTGTTTTCCTTATTTGGATGGGCTGTTCCGGCACCGAGCGACACTTCGAAAGCTTTTCCTCGTACGGTTCGGAACATCATGATTGTGATCGGAATATTCTTGAGAATTATTGGAACGGGATGCGCAACTGCTGGAGTGTTGTACATGACGACGCCCTTGCTCGGATCGCCGATGTCCCCGAACAAATCTGTTTTCACGCTGAGTCCATTCGCCGAAATCGATCTGATTTCGTCGTCTTCGTACACAGCACGATATCCATAAAATTCCTCGTTCGGTTGGACCCTCTTTTTATAAGCCAGGAACTGAAAGCAAAAAAGTGTGAAAACAGTAGATGCTCAAAACACGGACCTTCTGTTCCATCTTGGGATTTTCGATCAACTCGATTTTCGTTGCCTTCATACAATTCCACTTGGGTCTCTGCTCCGGGTCGTTGAGGAAAAGCTTTGAAATTATTTCTTCTGTTTCCTTTTGCGTAGCCAACCTCTTCTTGAAGCCATCTGAAAGAATAGCACTCTCATTTCTGCAGAACAAATCCAAAAATTACTCAGAACTTGATAAATGTGAAAACATATTTGGTCAATCTCAATCGAAGGAGGTATCAGAACAAGAAATGAAAAAACAATTTTGACATTGTAGAAATCACTGTTTTTTGATCCGTATTAATTGCTCACTTTTTCTACCAGTCATTCGGCATGCTCAACTCGACAAAAAACATAATACGGTAGGTTACTGTAGTAAACAGACGAATGTTTTCAACGTGTTCGTTCGTGAGTTTCCAATGACTGCTAATATCGGCTACTGATGGAAATGACTGGCAATAGAAACAAATTTTGACTGGAGCTGTAGAACAAAATTGGGAAAACCGGGAAAATTCTATCGAAATGTAAAATTCGTCCTCTCGGGCTAATTACGGATCAGTCACGGTAAATTTCTGCAAAGTAAGATAATTTTCAGTTTTCTGTCGTGATACGTCCTCCCGGTAACATCTCGGTAAAACTCAAGTATCGGTAATACTGAGTGGAATCTACTGTAGGTTACCGCCGGCTTGGTTCTCCCCGCCTACGAAGCGAGGTCATCTCACGGAGACGCAAAGGCAGCCGTTCTTTACCAACAAATGTGTGAGGTGAATGTGAAGAAGTATCAAGTTTCAATTATGTTTCGTGTCCTTCATTCCACCTCGATGATACTCAACACCGACAGCATGCGGATGTTTCAGCTTAATTTCGAAAAATGCCTTTCTTTAACAAACCTGAAATTATTGGAGAGGGCTGCGGCACCTCTACCCTCGCTTTTTTCGGAATCGTGAACCGTGACAATGGTTCCGTCATACCTGCAACGCAGGGAGCATTAGGTTAGTAGCGGGAACAAAAAAAAGAGAAATGAGAAGCGAATGTAAATTATCGATTTTCTGGACCGGATGATCGACTTGAGACATCCGCCGAAAAAGACGATCCTGCAAAAATTCAAAATCATTGAGGAGATTGAAGCCATAATGTGTTTTGTGTTTGCCGATGTGCGAGCCCGAATGCAAAGGTGTACGCGATCTGACAACGATCGGTTGCGTCGTAAGCTGAGCTCTATCGATCGCCGTGTTTCGGAGGAGCAAACGTGACGAATTCGATCAATTGGAACGCGCGATAAAGCTAAGGTTAAGACTGGTCCGCTCCTTTTCAGATTTTTTTTGGCGCGTGCGACCACGTGTCCGCAGTCTGCCGACAATTCTAGCGCAAGTGAACCAAGTTGCAGACCGTAGTCCTCCTTTCTCCGAAATTTGAACTGACCTTTTTCGAACATTTTCCGTTCCTTTCTCAAACAAAAACAATTTGAGGAATGAAACACACTCTATTTTAGTCATATTATCAGTTTTATTTTTTACTTCCAAGGCTGACTTTTGTTCGAAACAAACTTGATTCTATTCCGTCTGCTTTGTCTCCGTTTCTCCTGTGTGAGAGAAAAAAGGTGAATATTTATTGCGCGATGTGTTAGTTACCAAATTAATTGCTGTGAATTCCCCAATTGAAATTATTCACAAATTATCAGCAATTTTCTGGTAGTATAATGTTCACACGTTTAATTGTTTCAGCGTCTCTGAGCTACCTGAAAATTCCAATTTGCCGCGGAGTGTTAAAGAATTACCTTTTGCAACTTATGCTCTTTCCGTTCTCTCCACAATACAGGGGATATGCAAAGTGCCGAGCATACGACCTGAGAGCATTTGCTGTGTTGCAATGATAAAGCGATGACCTCACCAAAATCATGAAGCCATAGAAAATAGCATTCCAACCTAGCCAGACGTGTACTAACGGAATCAGCCACTGGCCGATGGCTGATCCGATACTTCCTGTTCCGTCAATGATACCACTGACTGTGGACAGAGCCTCTGCGTTTCCTTGCAACGCTTCGGATTTGCCAAGATCGGAAGTTATGCAACCGGCGATCATGTTTAATGGCCCTCCAATGAAAATCCCGACAATCAGCAGAATGGTCGCATTCCAACTGTATGACTCCGGAGAATCTGGCAAATAGCGGCTGTGTATATAATCTAAGTCTTTGACATACGGCAATAGGCAAGAAGTGTAACTGTAGAGAAAAGCAACATGATGAAAACGAGTGTAGTCCTAGATTTCATCCGATCCTTAACTGAATTCTCTGTTACACTGGTGTCAAGATTGCCTCACGGAAAGAGCTCCAGCGGCAATAGACGCGATGATTCCTCCTACATCGTACCAAATGGCAAGTGCATCGGCGAATGCCTCTGGCCAGTGAAGTCCGCTGAAATCATTCAAGGTTAAAAAATATTTCACCAGAAAGCCTACTTGTGTAAATAAAATGGTAGCCAAAAAAAGAATCCATCGTTTACAAGTTTGAGACAAGAATAGGAAATGGAGAACTAAATGAGTATATCTTAAAAAATTATTTTTTTGAACGAACCGCTATCACTCCGGGTAGTAGCCAAGCACGGAAGAATCCCAGCGGTGGCGGTCTTTCTCTTTCCTCACTTGGCGCTTCTTTCGTGATCCGTCCAACATTCAGTTCTTCCACTTCCCATGGCGCCGATGGCAAATGGAAATAGGTTAGGATACTGTAGCCGAATTGTGCAATGCAGATGATGAAGAATGGATATTGATAGCCAAAACTAACCGTCTGGCTGGCAATCAACGAGGCTAGAATATTTCCGACACATGAATTTGTTGACCACGCTCCAATCACGGTTCCTCTGGCTGTTTTTCCGAACCAACTTCCCATGATACATATGATTAACGGCCATCCAACCGACTGGAAACAGCCGTTTGAAATCCAGAAAATAGCATAAAAAGGGATCGAATAGAAGTGGAGAACTTCCGTAACATATCCGAAAATGAAAACGCTGATTGCAGATAGAGCCATTCCAAAGCTCAAAATCTTTCGTGGGTTATAATTATCACCTAGCGCTCCGCATATGTAAAGTCCCTAACAGAAAACGTACTTTTAGTGTATTTTTTCGAAACGCTTACTGTTGCATAAGTTATCATGAATCCTGTGTCCAATGCTCCCAAAAACTCCGTCGCAGTTTGCTTGGAAGCGAAAAGAGGGCCATTTGGAGTCGACGAATTGTCTGTCCAAATAGTGATCAGAGAAGGTTTAACTGTTGATAAGGTTTTTCGATTTGCGTGTAAGAGAACGTACCTAGGATGAAATCAGAATCTGTATTAGTTCGCTGAGCTTACCCGATAAATGTGTGCAAGAATACCCGTACATGGTACCGCGTCCATTTCTGACCAGTTATACGAGTTATAAGGCTTTCGCGTGGCACAGCGCTAGAATTTTCATCCGACATATCACGGCAGATGAACTTCAAAGAGGAATGTAGACAAAAATGTCGAGAACCGGTCTCTCAAATTAAATATCAAATTTACCGAAAAGTGACACAAGAGAAGACGATCTCTCAAAAGAGATGCGGAAATTCGGAAAAAAGAGTACTTTTTGTGTGATCAATTTCGATACGTTTATTGGAATGCAATAGAAAAAGATATGGCCTTTCAATATGTACAAAAATGGTATTTGCAATAACAACATGAACAGAACAAGAACCGACAGCGCACAACCCAAAAAAACGCCCATTTGTTCACACCTTGTGCCCGGCGATTTCACGTCCCCTCTAGTAAAATTACACATTGACACTAGTAGGTCTCCTTCTTATCTCCTGAATATCATTAGATGAACTTTCGTCGGTGTCGCTGTCTTCCTGCAATAGTGAAAATACCTCATCCGAACGGTGAGCGGTGCGTCTAGCTTTCTGTTCTTTCCAAAGAACGGGAACTAGGCATACAGCCGTACAAATTATCTGAAATCCGACGTATTATTTAAGTAGTCGTGGTTTTTTCCACCATAACAATGAAACCGTAGAAAACTGCATCCCATCCAAACCAGAGTTGAATTGACGGTATGAACCATTGCCCGATCGCGGCGCCGATGCTTCCGGTTCCGTCTATTATCCCTGTCACAGTAGAAAGAGCTTCCGCATTCCCGCGCAATTGATCGCACTTCCCAAGATCAGCCGTGATCGAACTAGATATCATATTGGCTGGACCTCCAATGAAGAAACCAGCTATCATCAGTAAGAAAGCATTCCAATTATAGGATTCGGGAGAATCTGGAAAATCCGCATGCTCAATACTTTTTTAACATTTTGACTTACGAGCATAAATGTACAATGAGAACGTAGATATTATAAGCATTGTGAATACGACCGGAGTACGAGATCTCATGTGATCCGAACAAGCTCCAGCAATCACAGCTGCCACAATTCCTCCGACATCATACCACGTGGACAGCGCATCGGCATAGGACTCTGGCCAGTGGAGACCGGAATGGAGGTAGAAGGGTAACCAGAAAAAGAAACCATAGTTGACAAGTTTGAGACAAGCATAGGCTAAGGAATACTGCAAAACAACTGTTAATCGTTTCGGATTCGTGTCAAACTGACTGCAATGACTCCGGGAAGTAGCCAAGCTCGGAAGAATCCGATAGGCGGTGGTCTTTCCGTCGTTTCGTCGTTTTCTAATTCTTCGTTCATCTGCTCAGGTGGAACTTCATTGTTAACTTCCCACGGGGCCGATGGAAGTTGGAAAAAGACGAGGAAGCTGTAGACGAACAGTAGAGTGCAGACAATTAAGAACGAATACTGAAATAAGCTATCTTCCACACATTTTTACGTTAGTGTTTACCTGATATCCTAGAAATAGAGTGTGGCTTGTAATGAGGGTTCCGATGATATTTCCTACGCTTGCACAAGAAGACCAAGCTCCCATGACTGCACCGCGAGCATTATGACCGAACCAGTTTCCCATGATGGAAACTTCCACCGGCCATCCAACCGACTGAATGAACCCATTTGAGATCCAGAGAAACGCGTATAAGGTTGGTGAGTAAAAGTGGAAAGTCTCGGTGAGATATCCAAATGAGAGAACGACAATTGATGACGTCATCATTCCAGCAGCCAGCAGACGTCGTGGGTTGTAGTTATCTCCGAGAATTCCGCAAATGTACAGCCCCTGAAGACTTTTCCATAGGAATCCACGTTAAGGTCCACCTACAATGGCATAGGCGATCATGAATCCAGTGTCGAGCCCTCCGAGAAACTCTGCGGCCGCCTGCTTAGTCGGAAACAAAGCACCTTCGGGAGTGGAAGTATTCGACATCCACGTGTTAATCAGAGACGGTTTTACAGTCGACAGAGTTTTTCTGGTTGCATGAAGCATTGCATAACTATAAATATTTTGTTTTTCCTCGAGACGTGGCAAATGAGTCACCTCATGAATGTGTGAATGAACACGAACACGTGATGTCTACTCCACTTCTGCCCGGTCAGCCTCGTCCACAGACTGTCCGCTCCCGTAATCACATCGCTTCGAAATTGGATTCTCGGCATATGATCACCCTTAAATGATTGGAGACTATTATTTTTTAAGAATCAAGGAAGACTTGTGAATAGTTAGAGAAGTAGATAGAATCTAGTGACATGCGATACGAAACGGGTGGTATATATTGGAAATCAATTATGTAAATGCATATGTGAAAATACTGCAAAGTGCAAACCATACATTTTTTATGGGGTGACCTCGTTTCAAGAATCAAAGTTCGCTAACTTCAGTATTTTCTAACAATAAGTAGAAATTCTGAAACCGTAAGTTGCACATTACCACTATGTCGAAAGCATATATTTTCTCATCTTGGTCGCCACTCAACCCTCGTGAGAAAAACCGGGACGGCTATGCAAGTGTGGACCACCGCACTGTTTCCGCTTGCTTCCTTTCGAACGCTCCTCTTTACATTCTATTCCTTGTTTCGAAATCCTGAACAATCTCGCTTTTTTTTGTTCTATTCAAACTGTTCAACAATAATTTTCCAATTTTCAGAATCGTCAAATGCCGACCGATCTGAGCGCCGAACAACGGAAAACGCTTGAAGAGGAAGTCAAAATCCTCGGAGATGAGATTCGGAAACTGAAAGCCGATAAGGCAGAAGATGTTCTCGTAAGTTTATTCAGTTCTTACTTTGTCTAAAAGTTACGAATAAAATGTACACGCTCTGTCTTCATTTCCTCCTCAAAAAAAGCGTTTGCAATCCGCAGTCACTTTCTCAATTGTAATTGTTTTTCTCAATTACATTTTCGGATGATTTCAGTAAAATGATTCGCACAATAGCAAATAGATTGGCATTTTCATCAGTTTTACTGACGGAACAGACTGTGAAACCGCGGATTGCATATGCTCAAAGAGCAGGAAGAAGGGTGCGGGAGCCAGTGAAAATGTAGCAAACGTGAGCTGTTTCAGATCCAAGAGCGACTGAAGAAAATGAAAGAGAAGAAGGCTGCTCTCGGAATAGATGAGAAGCCGGGCAAGTTCGTGCTCAAGACGCCGAAAGGAACCCGCGACTACGGACCGGCTCAAATGGCGGTCCGCGAGTCTGTGCTCCGAACTGTCACCGATTCATTCAAGAAGCACGGAGCAGAGACTATTGACACGCCCGTCTTCGAGCTCCGTGACGTGCTCATGGGAAAATACGGAGAGGAAGGAGGCAAGCTCGTTTACGACTTGCAAGATCAGGGCGGAGAGCTTCTCTCGATGCGCTACGACCTGACAGTCCCATTTGCCCGCTACTTGGCCATGAACAAAGTGACCAACATCAAGAGATATCACATTGCGAAGGTCTACCGACGGGACCAACCCGTGATGACTCGGGGACGTTATCGTGAATTCTATCAGTGTGATTTCGACATTGCCGGGCAGTACGACCTGATGCTTCCGGAAGCCGAGTGCTTAAAAATTGTTGACGAGGTTCTGGGAGGTATCGATATCGGAGAGTTTTACATTAACGTATGGATCGTTTCTCAATATATTCTGCTGAATTATTGTGTTTCAGTTGAACCACCGTTTGATTCTCGAGGGAATGTTCTCTGTGTCGGGAATCCCAGCCAAGGCCTTCAAAACAATTTGTTCGTCGGTTGACAAGCTTGACAAGACGCCATGGGAAGAAGTCGAAGATGAAATGATCAAAGAAAAGGGGCTGAACAAAGAGCAGACCACCAAATTGGGAGAGTTCGTGAGATTCAGAGGTGCGTTCTTTGCAGGTTTAATTTCTCCTATCATTCACACATCTCAGAGCTTAACGGCACGCTGAGCAACTTGGAATTGCTCGAAAAAATGGGACAACTACCTGATCTCGGTCAAAATGACAAGTTCAAGCAGGGAGCTGAAGAACTCAAAGTGCTCATCGAGTACTGCGACATCTACGGAGTTCAGTCGGTCCGATACGAGCCAGCTCTCGCCAGAGGACTCGATTATTATACTGGAGCCATCTATGAAGCTGTTGCTCCAAGTATGCGAAGTTTATCTTGATTTTGTTCATATTAACTTTTTTCAGAAGCCTTGGAAGGAACCGAAGTTGAAAAGAGCGAGGAAGCCGCTGGTCAACCGGTCGGAGTGGGATCTGTGGCTGCCGGAGGTCGGTACGATGGACTTGTCGGAATGTTCGCTGCCAAAACCAAAGTCCCTTGCGTCGGCGTTTCTTTTGGAATTGAACGTCTGTTCGCCATCAAGGAAGCTCGCCAGAAGGCTGCTGATCAGGCCCTCCGAACTTCTGAGACTGAAGTCTTCGTGGCTTCGGCACAGAAAAATCTGCTAAAGGAGCGTATGAAGCTGGTGAATACACTCTGGTCTGCAGGAATCAAGGTTAAAAATAGGCCTATTTCAAAGTTAATTGCTCGTTTTCAGACTGAAATGGCGTACAAGGCGAATCCGAAGGCGTTAACACAGTTCCAATACGCCGAAGAGCGACGAATTCCTCTCGTGATAATCATTGGAGAACGCGAGTTACAGGAGGGAATTGTCAAGCTGCGTAATGTGGTGACCAGAGAAGAGATGGTGAGTGGTTGCAGACAAGGAAGAAAATCGATAGAATCTCACGTCGTCGTCGTTGTTCTCTTGCTCATCTTGTCTTTTCAGGACGTCTCACTCGATTCGCTGGTCACAGTCATTCGGCAAACACTCGCTGCTCCGTAGATGTATTTTTCTTATTGATTATTTTATTGTTGGTCCTATTTTTCTGTTTTCCACTCCTCTGCCCAGCTTTTTTTTTCTCCCCAGGTCATCCAACTATAATTGATATCTTGGTGCAAGCAGTTTTTGTTTTTATTCATTTTCTTTCTAATTTACAATCCAGTTGATTTATTTTGCCTGTTTTTTTATAAACTCAATTCATCGCTATTGCCCCTCGGTGTTTGCAGACGCAAGCCAGAATTTCCTGAAATTAGGCTTGAGTCTGCAAACACCGAGGGGGCAAGAGCGGTGAATTGAGTATAAAATTGTAATTGTTTCGTCATTTTTTCACGCAATTGCAGAGGTTTCTGTACCTTTTCTATTTCTCACTTCTAAAACTTTGGACCATTTGCACAGAATCGATTTCAGAGTTTGTCAGCATGTCGATGTCAAAGTCTTCATACTCGCAATACAACCGAAAAAACTGGGAGGATTCGGATTTCCCGATTCTCTGTGAGACATGTCTGGGAAACAATCCGTACATGAGAATGGTTAGTTTGTCATGCGCTTATTTCCATAAACGAGATGATTCAGATGAAAGACAAATACGGAAGAGAGTGCAAGATCTGTGAGCGCCCGTTCACCACCTTCAGATGGCAGCCAGGAAAGGGAGCCAGATACAAGAACACCGAGCTGTGCCAGACGTGCGCCAAAGTGAAGAACGTCTGCCAGACGTGCATGTTCGATCTTGAGTACGGTCTGCCCGTGCAAGTCCGAGACCACGAACTGCAAATCGCCGATAACATTCCGAAGCAAGGAGCCAATCGGGACTTCTTCCTGCAGAACGTTGAGAGGTTTGCTACCTTTTCATATCCGATCATAATCATTTATTTATTCAATTGCAGAACTCTCGGGCAGGGCGATGGAACTCAACCGATCGCCCAAATTGCCAATAACATGGACCAGGCGGCTCACGATCGTCTGCGAAGAATGGCTCGCAGCCAGCCGTACTACAAGCGTAATGCTCCGCATATCTGCTCGTTCTTCGTGAAAGGAGAGTGCAAAAGAGGAGAAGAGTGCCCATATCGGCACGAGAAACCGACGGATCCAGATGATCCGCTTTCCCGTCAAAACATTCGTGACCGTTACTACGGAACGAATGATCCAGTGGCCGAGAAGATTCTGAATCGGGCTGCCGCCGCACCTACTCTTTCTCCCCCGGCTGACACAACCATCACTACATTGTATATTGGAAATCTGGGACCAGCGGGAGAGCAACAAGTAACTGAAAAGGACTTGAACGACTACTTCTATCAGTTCGGAGACATCCGCTGTCTTCGTGTGCTCATCGAGAAAGGATGTGCATTTATTGAGTTCACCACTCGCGAATCAGCAGAACGAGCCGCTGAGAGATCGTTCAACAAAACGTTCATCAAGGGAAGAAGACTGACAATCCGTTGGGGAGAACCGCAGGCGAAGAGAGCAGCCGACAACTCGAACTTTGTCACTCCAGTTCCCTCCGTTCCCAATTGTAAGTTGAACTTTCGATCACACAGAAATTCCGAGGAAACTGCGTACAAACTTTGCACATTATTGCATGAATTCGAAGTGAATAATCCGATGATCCGGGTGTGAATGGCTTTTGAAGGCCAATAGGAAGGTAAAAAAAATGTTTGGCCAAGAATAGAGTTTCTCTTTTCCGGTCCTCTTGGCAGGTGTCGTATTTCGACATCCGATTCTCCTAAACAATCTCCTTTTATTCCTCCAAGCATTTTCATTTTCAGTGCCCATTCCCGACGGACTTGCCCCTTCGACGTCTTCACAGCAGAGATTCGCCGGTGCGATTCCTCGTCCACCGATACCTCCCACATTTTCTGCTCCGAGTCGTCTCGTCGTACCGAACGTCCGTCCCGTCAAAGCCGGAGGTAACCTGCCATTCCTGATAGAGTCAATTGAAACTTGGAATTCAGAGTCGAGCTCCTCTTCGTCATCGTCGATCTACTATCCAAGTCAAGATCCGACCCGTCTTGGAGCCAAGGGAGACGTCATCGAATGAAATCTCTATGTTATTCAATTCAATTCTTATCCCTCTCCTCTCTTCTGTCCTCCTTCTAAATATATGTTAATCTCGTGTTTCCATGGTTTCCCACCTATTATTTAGTGGTCTCATGCAATCTTTTCACTCTTCTCTCAGTAAACAATTTGGTCGGATTTCCTTTTCGGGTTGCTTCTCATTCGATTGGTTTGATCCATTGCTTTTTATTTCTTTGCACTTCTGCACCCGGATTTTGATTATCCCATTTAGATGGCTCTTCTCAATATTCAAGCAGTTTCGGCGCAGATGGACGCCAATTTCAATGCGAAAATATTGAACTTTCGGATGGTTGACGAAGGAAAATATACAGTCAGTGTTAGATTTTTACATTTTAATTAATTAATTAATTCGTTTATTCATCGCCAAAAACCGGTAAAAGAAGGGAACACCAGAAGGAAATATGGATGTAATATGAATAGGAAAGGAAGGAACCAACCCCGCAAGAGGAGGGTGCCCTTAGTAGCGGGTACAGAATAGTGCGACATTACTAGTGGAGTTAATATTTGACAATAGAATCATCTACGAGTGATTGAAATTGAGTGGGGGATAGGGACATTTGTGAACAACATTGTGAATCTGAATGTACCTTTCAGGTGTACCGTATTCAATTGACTGTGGACACGTATACGTGGACAATCGAGAGGAGATACAGTGACTTCGACGCCTACGACGTCCAAAGATTCACGGATCGGAAGAAGTCATTCTTACCGCCGAAAAAGCGGCTTGGTAACAAGGACCTCGAGTTCATAGAAGAACGGCGGATGGAACTGGAGAAGTACGTTCGGGCTCTGCTCGAGTTGGAAGTCTGGTACCAGAAGCAGAAGAATGTGCATTCCCTGCCGCTTCTGTCCGCGAAATTCTTCGATTTCCATCAATACGTAAGTCGTATTTTCTTCTCAGCACTGAATAATTTTTATTGAGACCAAAATCAAATGTTTCACATAAAATAGTGAGTGAGTGGCAGTAAGAGACTGGGGAACGTATGTACAATTAGCTGAATCTGAGGTAAGCGGGTGGGAAGTGGCTGAATGATAGAGAATCACTGATCCTCCTCCTGGTTGTGAATGGCGGCGGAGAGTTCGTTGCGACTGAGGGCTGCACGGCGTTTCATTCGCCAGTACTGGAGACGAGTCCACAGCTCGCGAAGGGCAATGTAGATCATGGCGATGTTCTTGACGGCGAACAGAGACGGGTCGAACTTCTTTCCGTGCTGTTGAACTTCGAGGATGATGTAGAGGTAGATGCGGAGTCCGAGGAACGGTCCATTAACGACCAGCACGTAGAGGAAGGCCCAGAACTTCTCGCTGACGAGCAGGAAACGAGGAACCTTGGCATAGCGAAGTTTAGCCAGAGCAAACGCCGGCATGAAGAAGTTGACGCAAGCGACAATCAGAATAGTCAGCTCGAGCCATAGTTCCAGGTTCCACTTGTCCTTCTAAAAGATTAGGGTTAATAAATGAAAACTGAAAAAAGAGCTAATACCGATGCTTGCCAAAGGAGGTCCAAGAAGTAGATGTTGTCAATGAGATCCAGGCAAATGGCGGCAACAAGATAGGAGATGTAAATTTGGCGAACAGACACCAGGGGGGTGTAGTGGTGGGATTCGAAGATGAACAGGAAGATGAGAACAGAGAGCGAGAGGCCCGCTTTGAACAGAAAGTCGTCGAACAGTTTATCGTTGTTGTCAAGTGGCGTTGCCGGAATGTCTTCGTAGAAAAGACGGAAGCACGTGGCAACTTTTGAGATCAGAATGAGCGAATAGGCAGCCCATGCGAAGCAGGCGTACTTAACTCGGCTATCTGCAAATTATCAAGTTGAATTGTCATTGTTAGGATCGTTAACTCACCAACAGAACACACTTCCTCCATCTGAACATTGTTGTACTTGATGGCCAGTATTCCGAGAACTCCAATCAGAATTAGAACTACCGAATCGGGACCTATCCAGGCGGCCCAAACATTTTCTCCAGTCACATTCAAGTAGTACCAATCCAGAAGCCCGAACTGCAGCGCCACCAAAGCGAGACTGATTATGAGGGCGAAGGAATCGAGAAAGGCACGCACGCAGCGGCCAGGGAGAACAGCCATGACGTGGTACTTGGTCGGTGGTTGGTAGATTAACGCGGCCGACTGCTCTGGTGGAACTTTAATTGGGAACTCTTCTGCTCCCTCGTAATACTCGAAATGAGCTATCCGCTCTTCTCCGTTCTCCTCGATCGAATCTTCAATTATATGTCGGGGGTCTCTGCCGGATTCAAGCCGGGTATTCTCTGGAATAAGGCACGATTGCGATGGTGGATGTTGTGGGAACCAAGGGTTCTGGTAAGGATCGTCTGTCGGCTGAGGAGACTCGATATGATGATAGCGAATCGAGGAGTCCACCTCGGGAAATAGCAAATGTGCCATCGAGTTTAGTCATATGGGCGCAAGAGGGAAAGGGAGAAGGACGGGAATATGGAGTTCTCGGAGGAAAGAGCGGCGCCGGCACTGTTTGTTTTGCACGGATGCGACTACCGATGGGCATTCAAACTGTTTTCGAGAAAAAAGAAATAGAGAGGTTGGCGACCGAAAAGGAAGAAACCGAGAGGAGAACGAGCTGGTTTAAGCGGATTACTGGAGGCGCGGATCGGGTTTCGGATCTAACAGGACGGCATTTCGGTTGTGAAGGACAAAGGGTCACAAACGGAACGGAAACAACCCACACATAGATAGTTGAAGAGAAAGGATTAACTTAGAAAAAAGGCTGTGAAGTGAAGTGTGCCTCTTGTGTCTTGTCAAGTTTGAGTGGAACCTGCGTTCTTTGGGCATCGAATTTCAGCCATCCAAAAGAAGATGCGAACAATTCTCTTAGTATCGAACCATGTGTTTCGGGCCCACAAAAGAAATGGTTTTTGTGAACACGAGTTGTCGAAAAAGAATTCTCTGAGAAAGCTGCAGCTGGTGGAGCGGGAAGAGATAGATACTGTGAGACGGTCGGTGTTTGCCGGCCACTGTGCGCTCCTCCGTTGTCAACAAGTGCAAAGTGCATGAACACGACGAAACGAGGAGACGAAATGCTGTCTCTTCATACTGTGAGGAGTCGCTTCCCCAAAATCAATAGGCAATCGTGTCGCGGTCCCCTTTATGATTGGCTGTCGAGGCATACTTCTTCCGTGGTTGGCGGGTAGAAGAGGACGCCGCCGTCAAATAATTGAACATAATTGATGGCGGGTGCGAGAAAACGTACCCTCAACACAAGAACCACGACGAACCTTGATGACGACGGTCCCCGTAATGGACAGGTGTCCCCGCGGACCCGCGCGGGCGGCCTATGCTTAATTCACGAGATGCTGATCCGGCTCGCCGTAGCTGTTGTTGGGACCATAAGTTGGTTAATTATGTGCTATTGTGCCATACGTGGTTAGAATGGAAACACTCCGAAGGCTAGTATTATGGAAATGTGACGCCCTCCCCCATGATTGCTCCTGGAGCAGGGAAGAACCTGACAATGCACCACATTGTTTATGGCTCTCCCAGTTGCTTGCTCTTCTTCTTTCCGAAAGTCATTTAAGAAGATGTTAAAAAGACATTCTTTAGTCAAAAAGAAATGATGAGCAGAAAGCTCCCCGGACTCGTAAAATTTCGCGTGGGGTCGCATCCGACCGAGCATGGTTCATTGGCCACTGCCGTTCAGAAATTGATGCGCCAGTCGTGTTCAGTCGTCCGTCGAAAGGACCCGTCTGTTCGCATATTTGTTTGCATTACTATATTATATACTGTTGTCAACCAACCCGAATTGGTGCACATAATCATGATGATGGTGGTGGTGGGGACGACGCGTTTGTTCAAACACATGGTCATCAGAATTTGAAGGGTCCGAGAGGAGCACTCGAAGCGAGGCCAAAAAATCGGAGGCAAAGGGAGCGGAAGAGAGAGTGGATGGACAGAAGAAACTCTTTTTAAACGGAAAGAATGATAAGTTGTTGTGCGCAGCCAACGGGAAAAAGACGAGAAGAAGGGAAGAAATTTCAGTGTGACTCTGGTAGAAGACTAGTAATAGAAGAAAGACGAGTAATCGCGAATTAATTTGAGAAAGAGTCAGAAGAGTGGGTCATGTAACTCAGTACTGTTGACATTTCGGATTTCGCACAGATGCTGTCTGATTATTCATTCATCCCGCGCACAAACAAACTACCGTCCAAACTGATGGGAAAGAGAAACTATCTCACCTGGAATCTCCATGTACAAGCGAAATAATCAGCACATAAAGCCGAACGTCTGAGGGTTCGGGAAGGCTCCGGAAGTCGTGTCTTCTCTAGGCAGCCGCTCTAATTTGGCAGGCAGCCAACGACGAAGCGGGATTAGGCAGTGTGGGGGAGAATGCAGAGTCGGGTGAATGCGACAGACGGAGAGGTCAGTAGCCACGCCCCTCGCGCAGAGGAAAAGGCCAACGGAGTGATGTTCTGTCGGGGGAAGGACGAAGAAGAGAATAATGGAAAGAGAAGTGTTGCGCGAGCAAAGAGCCGAACACAACTTATTGTTGCTCCTCAAAACTCAACGACGCTTTTGATTTATAGTATTGTGATCATTGAAAAGAAAGCATGTTGATGGGAAGAGGAACAGAAAACAACGCTCAACTAAAAATAGCTAAAAGAAAAAAGCTCGAAGAAAACAGAGAAGGAGAACGGCTCTCGTTAATCCACGCCAAGCGAACTAGAGTGTGCCCGTGGCTCGCCATTTGCCATAAACAATCAGCAGGTCGAGCCCTCTACTATCCTCGATCCTTCTTTCCGTCTGTCTTCTCGTTCAATTACGGCCTTTCGTGGTCGGTTTGTCGCGTTCGCGCGTATTATGCTCGGTGTGTGTGTGTGTGCTATTATACGGACCAACCACACATCTGCCCGGCTCAGACCCTCATCCTTGACGGGGGCGAGCGCACACCTTTGATTACCGGCCAGTCGGAAGGATACATTTATCCGAACGAGACAAACAGTGTGCAGGGACACTGTACGCAACAAAAGTGTCGAGTTTCACCGGCCTCTAGAACTCATCACGCGACACCGCGGCGGCATTGGCAATACGAAGTGGAAGGAAAATGAATTGAACAAAGAGGAAATGAAATGTCTAATTCGACGGCCCATGGAAACTGAAGCCAGTGGGGAAGCAGGGACCAGAAAAGTCCTTGTCGCGGCTTCCCTGTTTTATTCATTGGAATCATTGTGCGCAAAGGTCCGATTGCCTCCGCCAGACAATGGAATCCGGAGCGCGTGGTCAGTGAATGGAGAATCGAAGCGGCAGAAGTAATCTGGAGTCTTCTCCCTTCTCCTGCTCCGACCGGACAAAAGAGAGTTTAGACGCCCTCCTATCCTCATCCTTTTAGGAAAACCTAATTTATTCGCAATGTTTTCGGTTTTTTCGCTTCGGCGACAACTAGTTTTTCGTCTCGTTGTCGTACCTAATACTCCTTCGACATGAGCAGAACAGAGGCCGTGCCTGCCTGTCTGCTCGGAGCTCATTTTTCTCCGCTTCTACTTTTGTCAGACATCTAAATAACGGAGAGCCGGAGCCACTCGCAACAACAACAAAAAGATGAAGCGAACCTTGTTGTGGAGTGTCTCCTTTCTTGTGCGGGAAGATGTATTTGTTGCGCCAAAAATGCTCATTTATTGGCTTTCTCCCATGGGTAAAAGAAATAGGCGGTCAGTTGAAAAGAAGAAAAATAAAGAGTAAAGGAGAGGGAAACACATCTTGATGCATCAAAAATGCTTGATGAAGAGTAGTGCGTTCGGGGGGAGGACACATATGGTTCCCGAGAAGTGGGCGAACATATAGAAAGGTCTAATGAATGTTTCGAGTGGTACCCGCAGGTTCCTTCTTTGCAGGAAATCCACTCGATCGTCGACGATTTGTCATTGAGACTCGGAAATCTGGGAGACGGTTGGCTTGAGAGCAGCCAGACCTCGCCCAAGTACTTCGAGTTCACTCCCATAGAATTGCACGCAATCACCGAACGACTTCGACTTCCTGAGCCAACTGCACCAGGTCAGAGCTCAGAGCTTCCAGTTCTCAATTTCATTGTTTTCAGATGTGAATATGGTGGCTGACATTGGGAATACTATTGACTTTCTCCACAGAGTGAGAGCATTGAAGATCCGGGGACAGAAAGGTTCCGCAGAGACTGGATCGGTTCTTAATGACAAATTTAAGGTTTCAGGGTACGTTGGCACTTCAAATATTGTCTGGAATTCGCTGGATATGAGCCTCCACTTTTGCAAGGGACTCAAAGCTCTTTGGGTACAATAACACTTTCGTTTACAGCTTTGATGGCTCACGTATTCTAATTCAGATCGCTGACAGCGATGTGTGCCGTATCAACGGAATCAAAAGTATCCGAGAGACACTTCGTCGAATGGTCATTCATTATTCAATGAAAAAGATTAAGGATTTGCTTCTGGACGAAGAAGATTTGGAAAATGGTTTGCTCATCGAGGAAATGGATCCGTGGAAGTGTCTGGAAGAGGTGGACCTTTCATTCAATGAAATTAAATCTTTCGACGAGAGCATGGTATCCTTTTCTGAAACTTCATAGATTTTATTGACTTTTTGGTTTCAGAGACTCCTCCCGGAAGTGCGTATTTTGAATGTCTGTTACAACTCGATCACCGATATCGGAACCAATCTCGCCTTTCTCTCTTCCCTCACAGAACTCGACCTTTCCAATAACAGCATCACTAAGATCGAAGCGTAAGAGTTTCATAAAGACGCTTAGTGAAATGGGCATAAATTATGAATGTTGTAGGTGGAACGAGAAGCTTGGCAACGTCAAGAAGCTCATACTAAGCGAGAACGCTATAGAGGATTTGAGCGGTCTCGGGAAACTGTATTCTCTCGAGTATCTGGACGTGAAGGGAAACAACATACAGACTTTGGACGCGGTGCACGGAATCGGAAAGTTGCCGTGTCTCGAGATTGTCCTGCTCCGAGATAATCCAGTACGGAAGATCGTCGAGTACCGCACGAAGGTTCTTGAACTGTTCGGCGAACGATGCAGCGAGGTGAGGATCAATCCATTCCACGTTATTCAATATTCATTCAGGTGAAACTTGATGGAAGAAGACCGGAACATCGTGAGTTGGACACGGTGCGTGTCCGAATGGCACTCCGCAAGGCGAAAGAAGAAAAAGAGGAAAGGGAGCGGAAAAGGAAAGAGCGCATCGAAGAGAGAATCAGGTGAGGGACCGCCTGAGCTTTTCCCCTCGACATATTTCATTTGCAGATACATTTCCGGAGAAGATATCAGTCCAAATGTCACCGGCTCATTCTGATGTTACGAATTCAAAATATTGTATTCAATTTTAAAAGAGTCTTTATTGCATAATTTTTATTACCTGTTCATTCTAGTCTTTCTCATTTACCTATTCTAGTGAACTTCTCGTGATTACGCATATCGGTGCCCTTCTTCAAATACTTATGCTTTTGGTCATTTTTATGTATTTAAGTGCTTTTCCCTTTAGCTTTTCTTTTTTCATTGGGATAGAATGGTTGTGGACAATAATGCGGTGAATGAATTTTGAATGCATAATAAACATGAGCTTACTCTTCTTCGTATAATCTTGTTTTTTTCGATGTCATCCGAATTCTATGCAAAATACATAACAGAGAAGGGTTTATAAGGATGCGTGAGTCAGTAATGATAGTATCCGATATTGTAGAGATTGTCGAGCAGCGAATTCCTCTTCAGAATAGGAGCGTTCGTGTTTCCGTACCTGCGACTGTTGCCGAGAAGTCCGTTCAACTCCTCGTTTCGGGCCATCATCACGTCCTGGAAACGTCGTTTTGCACGGATTTCCGCTAGTAAACTCACCACAAATCGTTGAGAGTCAACGAACGAAACGGAGAGAATGAGCAGGACGAAGAGCAGAAACAGGAGCGGTTTGCGGGAAACTTGCATTGTGATCGTGACCTGCAGAATGGAATAATGAGAACGAAAAGAACGGATAATCCGAGAGGGGCTCAACGAGAATTAGGAATGCATTTCGACGAATCCCCGTTACACAATACGTTAGTCAGTTATCCTAGCGGCTTTGGAAGAGTAGGAAAGTGTGGAGGGAAGGCTGAAACTGGGAAAAAATGACGGGAGATCAAGAGTTTGTGGGCGGAGATTGGCTCGCTTAAATAGTGGAAAAATGGGCGGAGTCAGAAGGCGGGCTTATAAAACAGAGTCGAAGTACCTCGAAAACGACGAAACAAAAGAGGGTGCCAATGTATTTTTCATTGTTGTTGTAGGATGAAAACGACAAAAAACGATTGCAAAGTGTGCGGAACTCGGAAAGCAAGCGAAACCGAGGAGGAAGAGGGAGAGCCGGGTACACTGCCACGTCAACCCTTTGCTCGAATCTTGTTATTGGCATATCCACTTATTGTAGTCGTCGGAAGGATTTGCGGAAGAAAAAAAAGTTCAGGTGATGAGGGAAACAACAATTCAACTGTCCTCTTCTGGTCTTTGGAATGGGAGAAAGACAGCTGAATTGGAATGTACGCAAAACATTTGAGATTTCTGACGTATCGTCGTGTGGGTGTTATGCCAGAAAGTATGAACGTATATGGAATATATTGGAAATGCATTTATTCATCGATTATTTCATTAGAAATCCGTGTAGATGGGCACAGGTTGAGTCTCTCTCGGTTGGATCCTATTGCAGGTGAACGGCACTGACAGTCTCTTTTTCTTTATGATCTTGCTCATTTCGGCAGCCAGCTCCATCATGTTATCAGATGTCACGGACCAAAATTCGCAGGATTCTTTGTCGGTTCTACAGACGAACGAAACTTCCCTCTCTTTGCAAACCACCATTTCGAACGACTGGAGAGTCTTGTGAGCAATCACTTTTTTGGTTTTCCTGTCGAGAATGACGAGTGTGGTGTCTTTGAGGAAGATTCGGACTGACGATGTATGCTTGAATGACGGCGACCATTCGAGAGAACCCGCGTACGTGGATGCTGAAATAAAGACGAATTTGATCAGGATGTCTGCTTTTCTTTTTCTCTACCTTTAGATTCAATATTGGCTCTGAGAAACTCGACGAGTCTCCATTTGTCCGAGAGATTTGTCATCTTGAAACGGAGCACGTCTTCCACGAGCACAAGGGTGCACTTCGAGTCTTTGGCATCTGAAATATTAATGGATTACAGCCGGGCCCTGAGAAAAGATGGTGTCTTACTGAACAACTGGGTGATGAAGCTGTGCGAGAGTCGGAAATACTCGTACGAGGTGTAATCTGCATTCTTGACGACGTACAGAATCCATTCTTGTTTTCCACGCTCATCGGATCGTCGGAGAACCTCGAGAGCACGGCGTTCGTACTGAAAATGCATTGAATATTAACGGGTTCAAGAAGAGAACCGGGAGAATTACCTTTTTGCCAACTTTCAGGTTTACTTCGAATCGGATTCGTTCATTATGAATGGAAATGTCTTCGACCGCCTGAAAGTAAGAACATTTACAGAGAACAAGAGGTAAATGACTTACTGCACGAGAAATGTGAGCCTTAGTGGAACGAGAACTCGCATAGAATTGACGGAGAGCACCGAACATTTCTAACGACGAATGAGACTGTCTATGGATGAATGAAGGAATGATCCACCGGACCGTAATCTTCTTGGCTCCGCCCTCTACTGGATCTCTGCCAACTCACTTGCGTACAAATGGTTTACAACCTCCAATCGGTTGAAGAAGATCCCGAAGAGCTCACAGTATACGAGTATACTTCTTTGGATACTCATTAATATTCGCGGTATACCGGATACACTTTTCATTTTCCGTCCATTTGTCCATAAATATACTGCCAAATGAGTCAGCCGTGAATATAAAGAGCACCCACTTGTATAGCGGGTGGGAACTTGTACAATATTCGCAACCGGGGGAAAATTATGGAAAACAAAGCGAGTCAACAACGATCCAGACGACCTGGTGTCTGTTGAAATTGGAAAACATAACAGCATGAATATTTCATTTTTCTCGTTTAATTACATTTTATTATCCGGATTGACGGGACCGTTGGGTTCTTTTTCAGACTTCATCGAACTGGTTCCGAGTGGAAAGGGTTGGGTTTCTGTCAGGATGTTCAGAAGTTGATTGTTCACTGTTTCTCGCTCGCTTTCGCTCTTTTGCACAAAGGCACATCAGTCGGCCATCAAGCTCAAAAATGGCCATTGACGCTAGGGTGTGGATACGGTAGACAGCCATCCGCCGATCAGGACGGACTCGGTGAGCTCAAGATTGATTCGTGCAATCTTGGGCACACCGATGAGCGGCTTCGTCAGGATGGCTTTGTCTTTCCCTCCTTTTTTTGTACAACTCGCAAATCTAACTTTAAAATAGATACATTCAAATTCGAACTTGGTTAACGATGAAGATGAAATTAAATACTGGCATAGATTAACGAGTCAAATCAACAAGAAACATACCGATTTACAGACGAATATAGTTGTCAACGTGCCGTAGAACAAACTTCCTTCAGAGTCAACCTTTTCATTCCAGTAGGGAGTTCGAAATCGAGGTCTCTATGAGTTCTATACAGATGGGCGTACGACTTAGATTATCAGTTTCTAGTTAGGAGCCGTGGAGTACGGCTTGACGGTTTCTTACACGTTACGTGAATTGCAAATGAAACTATTTCTCATCGAGGTCTACCTTCCGGGAGAGCTCGCCAAGCACGCCGTTTCTGAAGGAACCAAGGTCGTCACCAAGTACACGTCCAGCAATGAAGCTCCCCGAGCTACAAGCTGGCCCACCGAACCCAACGACCCTCTTTAGGGCCACAAATGTCAAATCCACTGAATTTCTGTTAATAAACTTGGTTTGCATCAATATTTTCTCCTTATTCTAGACCTTTCAAGACCTTTCAGCTCATTCTTCATTGCATCCCTTTTGTTCTTCTTTGTTCGCGCGTGGTGCTGGGGAATGCTGGGGAATGTGACTACAACCGAAAAAGATTTATCGGACAGTGACGGCTGAAGGTTATCCGCCATATTTTAATTCTTTCGGTGAGTTTTGTCCATGAATGTACCGATGGTCAGGATGATATAAGGATTTGTGAATTCGTCTACCCGTGCTAGGGATTCGATAACATGTTCTAGAAGTATAATGGTTATTCGTGATGTACTTTTATTTTGAGACTCAAACGCAGGTGGGACACTAATACTATTTTTTCTTCTTATCGGCACCGAAAACGTCTCCTCCGACTGCAGCCAACGTTTGGTAATTCGGATCCATCGTCGCCGCCTTCTGGTTCTAAAATTAGCTATTCTTTCAATATTCGGAATGCAGGTCAACTCACTTTGTTGGCTGGCTGACTGGGCTTCTTGGCATCTCCTCCTCCCGCCTTCTTATCCGCTCCGAACACATCTCCCCCGACCGCCGCCAGAGTCTGATAATTCGGATCCATCGTGGCCGCTTTCTGTCCCTTGTTAGCTGGTTGCACTGGCTTCTTCCCGTCGGCAGCCGGAGCAGCAGCGGCTGGAGCGGCGCCTCCTCCTTCCTTCTTCTCGAACACATTGTTGTTGAGTCCTGCCAGAGTCTGATAATTCGGATCGTGAGTGGCAGCCTTCGCATTCTGGTCTTTCGGCACGGCTGGTCCACCTGCAGCACCGGCGGCAGCAGGAGCCGGACCTTCCTTCTTCTCGAACACATTATTGTTCAGTCCAGCCAATGTCTGATAGTTCGGATCGTGAGTCGCTGCCATTCCGGGTTTTCCGGCTGCAGGCGCAGCAGCAGCAGCAGCAGCAGCTCCTCCGCCACCGCCATCTTTTTTGTCGAAGCAGTCGTTTCCAAGTCCGGCCAGTGTTTGGTAGTTCGGATCATGGGTACCTGATTGATTTCATTCGCAACCGAAAATCTAATTCATTTTCTCACCAGCCATGGTAGGTTTTCCTCCAGCCGCTGGAGCAGCAGCTGCAGCAGCAGGAGCAGCAGCAGGAGCAGGCGCTCCAGCAGCTTTGTCCGCCCCGAAATTATTCTCAATGCCGGCCATGGTCTGGTAGTTCGGGTCGTTGGTCCCAGCCACCGCAGGAGCGGGCTTCGCTCCATTCTCTTTTTTCTCAGTTCTCTCCGTTGCGTCTCCATCTCGTTCCGTTGCTTGCCTCTTGCTGCTGTTAGAGTCATCATCGACAGGTTTGTTCTTTTTCTGGAAGAAAGTTCTCGATTCCCTGCTGCCTTTCCGTCCGTTCACTCACTCCTCCGCATGCGAGAGTCAGGAACAGCGACAGGCTCCCGGTGACTAAAGTCAAGACGATTCCGATGATATCTTGAATGTCCATTGCCGATAGTCGCAAATTTGCAGTTGACCTTCTCGTCGTGTTCGAAATGCGTGCTTCCCGAGTGCTCCTGAAGAGCCGTCAGCTATTTCGAACACAAATGCAAGCTTACAGTTCCGCAGAAAACTGAGTCGTACCGTGGATGATATTGGGAATGGAGTAAAACCATCGAAAAACATAAGAGCTTTTATAAAAGAGTTCAGATTGCGTGAAAGATAAGATGAAAACACGCGAGAATTCACTGTTAATGGGAGGACAGGTAGTTTTGAAGAACAAGCTTCTTGATGAGAAAGATTTTTCATTCTGAAACATAATTGATAAAGTATAATAAAAAAATTTATTGAAAGTACATGAGAATAAATGGATTTGTGTGGTATTTGTGGCCCTAAAGAGGGCCGTTGGGTTCGGTGGACCAGCTTGTAGCTCGGGGGGCTTATTGGCTGGAGGTGTACTTGGTGACGGCCGTGGTTCCTTCAGAAACGGCGTGCTTGGCGAGCTCTCCCGGAAGAATGGGAGTCGGAATTTTCAAAAAAAAAAACGGTAGTTTTATGTTATACGGGGACATTCGTTCAGCTGTGCGCACCCCGTTTTTCAAGCAAATCTCTGCCGACTTTGGATAGCGAAAACACTACAAATTCAGCAGATTTTGGTGACTTTGACGCGGCACTAGGGATACTGACAGGCAGTCAAAATCAACCCATCAATGCGGCTGTCGTTTTGGGTTTGTTTGTCCCGGAAAGTTGTTCTGTAACCAGTGAACTGCTCAAACAGTTTCCCTCTTTATGTGAGCATACTGGAGAGCAGAACTCTGTGAATATTTAAAAAAAAATAGTCAAAGTTCAATTCGGTCTGTCTTCTTCTGCTCTTGACGGTTCGAGTGTGGAAAGGAGGAAGAAAGTGAATCGAGTCCATCCCGTTCTCTTCTCTTGACTGCCCGCTCTCTGCCTTCTTATATGGTCTTTCCGAAGAAATCCAGCGTTGAGAAGCCAGTGAAGCAATAGCTGGTTTGACGGCGACCCGGTGGGGGCGTCTCCAGTCTAACACTGATTCCGAGACCCGGGGATTGAGAACTTGAGTGAAAAAAGAAGTTTCAGAAAGAAAGTTGAGAAATGAGTCTAGACTCAGATGCTGCTCCGAAAGGGATTAATCAGAATCTCGAAAGAGCGGCATCAAGGTTGTTCTGACTCCGAGAACACTTGAATCTTCCGTTGGGAAAAATCACATTTCCACAATACCAAAGAACATCGCGGTAGCGTGTTATCTCCGCCTATCTTTGATAACGGAGCGAGTGGTCAGTGGAAGACTGCCCTCTGGTCACCCAATTTATCGATTCTTTCGCTTTTTTCTCTTCAATCTACAGAAATGGTACAAAGAGTAGTTGTTACGAAGTTGCTCGGTTCCACGAGACCGCTCGTATTCGGAATGATTCATGTACCCGCACTTCCTGGGTTCGTTTCTTCCAATTCCACAGAATCATACAATAACCAACGTTTAGAACTCCTTCAAACACTCTTCCGATCTCCGCAATACTGAAGAAAGTGCGAAAAGAAGCGGACACGTACTTCAAGAACGGAGTCGACGGAGTCATTGTGGAAAACATGCACGACGTACCGTATGTGAAGCCCCCGGCCGGTCCAGAAGTCGTGAGTGCGATGGCATTGGCATCTGATCAATTGGTAAAATCGAGAGATACCCATCATCCGGGAGCTCTCACAGGAATACAGATTCTGGCGGCCGCGAATCGAGAAGCGCTCGCAGTTGCTCACACGACGGGTCTCGATTTCGTCAGGGCCGAAGGATTCGTTTATTCGCACGTGTCCGACGAAGGATGGATCGATGGATGTGCCGGAGGATTGCTTCGATATCGATCTGCTCTGAGAGCGGACAACGTGGCAGTGTTAACGGATATCAAAAAGAAGCACAGTGCGCACGCGGTGACCGCCGACGTTTCGATTCAGGAAATGGCGAAGGATGCCAAGTTCAATTGTGCGGACGGAGTGATTGTGACTGGAAGTGCGACGGGAAGCGCTGCCAGTCCGGATGAACTGAACCAAGTGCTCAGCGTTCAGGAGTTTCCCGTTCTGATTGGAAGTGGAGTGAGTGCGAAGAACGCGAGAAACTACGTCAAAGCTCACGGATTCATAGTCGGATCGGAATTCAAAGTCGGAGGAGACTGGAAGAATGACTTGGATTCAGGAAGGATTGCCAAGTTTATGAGACATGTGAACTCTCTGAAACGCTGAATATTTATATGAGAAAATAAAGTTTATTATCCGTAATAATGTTAAAGTAGATGAATTTGATATGAGAAGTTGGGAATCAGACGGTGGTGACGGAGACGACTCCGTGGATTCCGTCGGGCCGAGTTCGACTGGAAAGCACCTCCCGCGTCGTCACGAACTCGTCCATCACCATCGAATCCTTCTGACGAGCCAGTTTCTGCTGTGACATCTGATAGATTACCTGAAGTTCAAGACTCGTCATGTCGCATTAGTCAACCGATAATACCTGCTCAGATGGATGTGCTTTTTCAATCATCTTCTGTTGCAACCTCATCAATTTCTTCGTCTTTTCCCTTTCGAGAATCTTCTTTCTTTCTTCCTTCGTGTGAAATCTTCCAAGCTGAAAGTGTAATCGTTTCATCTTTTCTCTCTTTTCCGAACTTTCTTACTTTCAACTCGCTCATCGCATCATCATCCGTCGAAATTGGCGCTCTTTCTCTGTACAACTGAGCTTCCCTCTTCTTCAGAATTTGACTTCGAATCGGCCGTTTCACAATGTACCGAGAACCATCGCATCTTCTTTTCACTTTCCACTTGTAATGCACTGTCGTGTCACCCAAATCAGTCTTCGCAGCCATCTTCTCTTCGTCCACCACTTCTTCGATTTCCTCCCCTTGCGTGTCCACTTGGTACATCTTCGCCGATTTGCTCTTCAATGATCGGAAGTACTGAGGAACTGGAATCCTGAACGAACTCTTCTTCTTTTCTTCTTTCAGAACAATCGAGTAGGACGGAATTCGGAATCTTTTCGCGTATTCTTCTGCCTCCTTCTCCTTCTTTTCTCTCTCTTCCTCGTTATTCTTCATTTTGCTCGTCGATTGAAAGTTCCTCGAAATCGACAACTTTCTTAGACTGCTTCCCTTGAGAGCCCCAAATACTGCAGACGGTGCTCGAATGACGGATCTTTGTGTGGCGGAGGAAACTACGGACGCAATGTCCTCGGGTACAGTCAGTTCTTGATGTGTCCGATGGAATGGACGGTTCTGATGTTCAGGGGATTCATGAGGAAGGAGCACGATGGTGGGAGGTCGGGAAGGAGGCAGATTCTGGGGAACAGGGCGGCGTTGTACTGCTGGGCTCGGCAGCTTGACTGTCCGACGGAGGACCCGAGGCGACTGCTGGGACTGCACCATTTGACTGTTGCTGAAAAGTTGAAATGTTTTGTAAAAGTTGGAACGGGCGGTACCTCGTGGTTGGAAGGAAAATGCCGTCCGGAGTGACTGAAACACTTCTGCAGGATTCTCCGCCCGTGTTGTACGCGGAGGAAGTATCTGCAGCACCGTTCGGCCAGCCAGAACAGCTCTGGAAGCGAAAAGTAGTTTCACTAATAACAGAAGAAGGCTTTCATTATGGACTTATTTTTTCAACAAGCCGTAACTTTTACTGATTCTCAGATATAAATCTGATGGAACGCCGTGATAAACAACAGAAATGCGAGGCAACTCGGAGAGATTGTTTACCTGCGAAAGCGTTTGTTCCACGATGAGATGTTTATTGAGAAGGCGGTCACATTCGACTCGGAGCGAAGCCATTTCTCTGTGTAGAAGGGCCAACTTCTCGTCAATGTCCGGAGAAGGGAACGAGGCCATTTCTGGAACGAAGTGGAAATGAGGGAACACGAGAAGCGAGGAGGAGATGGATGGAATCGGGCATCGGGACGACAGGCCACCTGCCCCCGAATGCACTTTCTTGGCACGAAACACCATAAATTAACGGAATGAGCTCATAAAAAGAGCAAACTGACACGAGAGAGGCACGCACGGAAACAAAAAACGTTTGACCGATATAAAATATGAACGAAGCGAAGGAGAGATATTTAGGTGGGAGAGCGACGCGAGGAAGGGCCCGTCAACCCTGACAACTCGGCACCGATTGTTAAACAGAGCGGACGGGAGGGAGCCGCCGGCACGTCGTAAATCTCGAATTGCAACACTTGCGTCACTTCAATTCGCAATTAATTTTACGTTTTCGTCAATTTCTGGCCGAACACTTGCCGTTCTGATCTATCAAAATGTGAGGAGAAGTCTGGGAGGAGATGAGAAAAGGGAGAAGAGAAATGGAGACAAAGAGAGACTGACATGACCTTGTTGGTTCTTTTTTCACACTTTACCTGACAACTGACACATTTGATATCAAAACTTATCATTTTCGAGGAGAGAGAGTGTGTGTGCTGTGAATCAGATTAATCGCTTTTTTTGAAATTTCTCGAAATTCCCAAAAACAAAAACCAAAGATGAAAACAAGAAAGTGAGAAAAGTACACGAATTCTGAGTGTATATTCCGTCGGCAAACTCAAAATTCAGAAATGCTCGCCAAGCAATCAAGTATGAGAAGAGGATAATTGAATTGGTTTCCGATGCGACAACGTCGTCATTCTGATTGCGGAAAAGCGTACGCAAAAAGAAAAAACGACGACGAAGACGACGAAATGGGTATTACGAAGCGAACCAGAAACACATGTGCGACGGCGCCAGAAGAAGCGAAGAAAGATGAGAAGGAATCTGAGCAGGAAACCCTTGAGGGACTAGAGAATGCTAATGTGCGATGATGGTGCGCGAGCCGCCTTGTGCTCATCAATCATTTGTTCAGTTGACTCGGAAAGACTTTTGTTACGGAACTAAGAAAAAAGGCACGACGGCAACGATTATAGGACAGCATAAGAAGTTTTGCGGCGGCGAGCACAACGCGCACTTTCGCACACCGGAAAAGTGAGAACGCGATGACGGACGGCGCAATTTGGATATGCTAATTGGGGCGGAGTATTCATGGAAATTAGAGAAATTATGGAGAAACTAGTGACTTGATGAAGTGTACCATCCTTCCTGTCTATCTATGGGCAAAAGCCCCAGGCATTTTGAAGTATTTTTGATGTCTGAAATTTTTGCCTAGTCATATATTCCGATTGGACCAAAACTCTGCAGGTTTCTTGGATCTGGATTAAAGTATCTTGCGTATAATCAGAATACCAAAGTTTTACATACCGAAAGCTTTCCATTCACAAATCTTCATACGAGATAATCCTAGCAGGCTGAAATTCGGATTCAAGATACTTGCAACCCCCTCTCTCTAAGAAGCTTGCAACCTTTGGGTCCAATCGGATTGTTCAGCTGAGTCAGAAGTTCAGGCAAAGTTCAGTTCTCAAAAAACTGAGGCCGGTCATCATATGTGTATCAGAGTTGATCGGAAGAACTCAACTGAATAATAATAATAATAACTTTTCATGAAAATATTTTCTAAAGAAGATAAACAGTCTTCCGTGTTCTTCCGTTGAGTTCTTCCGCTCAACTCTGATGTGTATCCTTATTGCAATGCTTATTTCTTTCCAATTCGCCTTCCGGTCACTTTCAGTGCTGCCAAACTGTGCTCTCGCGCCGGAAAATCACATGAATCGGTTTACGAACTTGTCACCTGCCGCTTAATGTTAATGTTTATGCTCTTATCAGGCATTGGTTGAGTGGGCGAACAAGATCAAAGGAATCAAAAAGATCAAATGACAGAATAGTTCCTTCTACGTCTTCAGAGCCCGAACACACCCGGAATGCCTCATTCCGTCTGCCACAGTGTCCTTCCGCTCTCCCTTCCGATGCCATCTTCACAACAACTCCGTGGGTGTTCCTGCCGTCACCAAATTCCTCTTTTCGTCCTTATCAGTAGACAACGGCGGCCCACACTTGACCCACTTCCGATAAGCGTAATCAACAGAACAAGGCTTGGCTCAAAATGACGAAAACTCCCCCGCTAAGCCGGAAAACGATAACGTGACATGACAAACAAAGATAGTATAAAAGGCAATGCTGGAAGGCTCGAACACCAAGTCAGTATCCTTTCTTCTTCTTCTTCTTTATCTTCTTTTCTTCTAAATACTCTATGCCCAATCGGTCTTTTTCAGAATGAAACTGAGAGTCATTGCGCTTCTTGCACTGGTCGGAGCCACTTTTGCGGCTCCACAAGGTCTCTTTGGCCATCACCATCATCATCATCACGGCCACAAAACAAAGGCACCACGAACCACTCGTGGACCAACTACTCTTGCTCCGAATCCGAAGACCGCAGCCCCTTCGCTGGCGCCGATCTCTGAGAAGCCAATCCCATCGGAGAGCCCCGCTCCTTCCGATGCTCCCTCTGAACAGCCATCTTCCGTGGGTACAGAGAGCTCTTCGTCTGCAGCGAGCATCTCATCCGAGTCTCCTGTGGAACCGTCTGCTTCCTCAGCTGCCCCGTCGTCTCTTGCTCCGAAATCATCGAAATCTCCATCCTCCTCCGCAGCGCCGCCATCAAATTCCCCTGCGCCCAACAATGGCAGTTCTTCTGCACCGAATGTAATTACTGAAGAACCATCATCTGCTGCTCCTTCTGGACGACCTAGCTCGCCGGAGCCTTCTAATGAGCCACAACCTTCTGAATCTCCGAGCCCATCTGATGAGCCACAGCCATCTGGACCTCCCAGCTCACCGAAGCCTTCTGATGAGCCCCAACCTTCTGGATCTCCGAACCCTGCAGAGCCTTCTCATGAGCCACAACCATCCGGACCGCCATCTCCAGCTCCATCCGATGAGCCACAGCCTTCTGAATCTCCGAGCCCATCTGATGAGCCACAGCCATCTGCACCGCCATCTCCAGCTCCATCCGATGAGCCACAGCCTTCTGAATCTCCGAGCCCATCCGATGAGCCACAACCATCAGGACCTCCCTCTCCAATTCCATCCGAGCGCCCGGGCCCGCCAGGACCTCCTGTACCCACCCGTCTTCCGGTCCCGCCAGGCACAACCCGTCGTCCTGGACCCCCAGGCCCACCAACTCGTCGTCCTGGACCCCCAGGCCCACAAACTCGTCGTCCTGGACCCCCAGGCCCATCAACTCGTCGTCCTGGACCTCCCCATCATCATGGACATAGACAGAAGTGAAATGATTCCCAATTATTGCTTTAATTGTAAAAAGAAGAGTTGTAAAAAGTGTCAAAATGTATACAAGTGAAAATGTAATAAAACCTCGAGTGAGAGAGAATCATTCTTCAACTTGTTTTCGAGGGGACAAGTAGGATTCTGGAGAACTCCAATAAAATGAAAGGGTTCGTTGCTCGAAAACACATTGAAGCAATCTGCTTCCGATCACGTTCGACAATCGCTCTGAACTTGAGAGCAGCAGAGAAAAGGGAAATCTCCGGAAGGAATGGCTAATGAAAAATTCACGAGTGATGAGAAAGCGAAGTGAAAAACAGAGATTGGCTTCTCAGATTCTCGTCGGAAATCAAACGAGGCATAAAAATCGGGGGCATGTGTCGTAAAGTTTGGGGAGCACAAATGAATGAGCTTGTTCGGTTTCTGTGCGTCTCTCCGTCTGCAGCGTTATCTCGTCGGGCCAATTGTCGCCACGTTCGACACAGAAAAGAAAAAGAAACATCGGAGTGACGTGACGGAAAAGTTTACAAAGTGTTTGGCGAGAATGAATTCATTTTCTACTATTTCACTTGGTTGGAACGACGAACATTTTCCCAAATGGATGCTTTTGTAAGGGAAACTGGAGGGGACCCTGCTGGAAAAGGTTGCAGGCGGCAAAAAGACTCGAGACGATTTTCAATGGAAAGAAGATCCCGCCGATGGATATCATCGACTTTGTCGACGTGACTTTGATGATGAATAAGGAAGAGGGAGTGAGTGACACGTGGCACTCGCGGAAGATCAGAAAGGGTTTCAGCTCGGACTCGAAATCAAGAATCTGATGGTCGTGAGCATGTCATTCACTAGTCCATGCCTTGTGAGGAAGCCACTGAAGTGGAGGCGTTAATGAACACATTTTTACTTCAGGGTCAAGTGAAAGTGGGCGACGTTTTGCTTCATTTGAACGGCAATCAAATTCAGGCTCAGGATAAGATGTCAAAGTACCGAGTGGCATCCAATTCTTTTTCCATTATCAGTTCTCTTTTTCAGATTAATCCAATCACAATTCATGGGTCAGCCGGTCGCGAAGGTTCTGGAAATGTGTACTTTTATTTAGATATCGGGCTCTTGTTTTCAGGTGACTTTCAAAATGATGCGCTTCAAAAGACACATCGCCCGTCCTGCGACGTTTCCGCCTCTCGTGAGGCACGAAGGATTCAATAATGAGACTCATGTCCTGTACAATCTGAAAGGATTCTTCCATCTGGGTCTTGACGTCAAAGAAATCGAGGGAAAGGTCAGTCACATTCCATTCTGGCATCTTCAGTTTTCCATGTCTGCAGCTGGTCGTTTGCGACATCGTTGAAAATTCGTTGTCCGACATCACATTCAGTCTGGGAGAAGCGATTCTTGACGTGGACGGAGAGAAGACTGCCACGTGTGTCGCCGTTCGTTGGCAGCCGTACTTATCAAAGACTTTTTCGAGCATTACAGTTCAACGAGAGAGTCAAAAAATCATTGGAAATTCGGAACTTCTGTTTGGTCACTGTCGAAATGCCCTCCACTGATCCGCTCAAAAATCTGCTGAGAAACAAAATCTCGACTGCTCAGAAAGACGGACCGCGCATCAACAGAATACCGGCGGACGTGAAGGGATTCGCAGCAGAAGGCATTGCGATCTTTAGAAAACACTGCAATGATCCTCTGAAGCCGGTTTGGATGGGAGACAGATTGAAGTGAAAATGAGTCCATCGACAGGCCGTTAACACTGAAACATTTCAGAGTTTCGAAGGAGTGCCCAAAGGATCCGACGCATCTGAAAATGGACGAAAAAGTGAAAGAAACGGACGTTCCGAGTGGATGGAATTCGTGTCTCTTCGTCCGAGTCAGTCCTATATATCCCCTTTTCGATTCTGTGCTTTTCTTTCAGCTGCCACCACTGAAAACCCTCGAGACGGAGACCTTGCCGCAGTGAATCATCCTCCCTAAAAACACTTTTGCATAAATATTGACATGAAAATAAAGGTGATCGATGAGCATCTGCAATAAACTCTTTTTTGTTTTGGTTGATCGGTATTGATTCAAAAAAAAGAAAATGACGGTACTCGTTTAAGTCGAACCGAAGTGAGGCTGATCATGTGAAATAGGAACCGCCTACAGTAAGATAATGACCGTCCTGCTTCCCACTCTGACATCAGCTCGGGGTTTTCCGCGCTCTTATCACTGAAAACAGACAAACACTCACAACTCAAATCTGAATCGGCGACCATTGATAAGACGGAAATGTTGTAGAACTTTGAGTCTGTGGTGGGTGTATCCTGAAAAAATGGACTCTTGTCAGATGATTTGATGACGTTAAAGGGTGCTATAAATACGGAGGTTGAACACTGAGAAACCATCCACTTCCACTTCTCCAGTCTCTTTCTTTACTAACAGTGCACTCTTACAGAATGAATCAAAAAGTACTTGCAGTACTTTGCTTGGTTCTCGCAGTCGGCGCAGTTCCTCCATCGGATCTTCCGGATCCGTCTGGTCCACCGCCAGGTCCTCCAGGACCGCCACGTCCTTCTGGACCTCCTCCATCGGGCCCACCACCTTCTGGAGCTCCTCCAGGCCCACCAGGACCACCAGGACCGTCTGGACCACCACCATCTGCTCCTCCTTCTTTCTTCGAATGGGTCTTCGGAAGAGCTCATCCTTCGGGACCACCACCATCGGGAGCTCCACCAGGTCCCCCAGGACCGTCCGGACCTCCACCATCGGGACCGCCACCATCTGATCTTCCATCTGGATCGAAGCTGAGAGTCGGTAGACCACATCCTTCTGGACCACCGCCATCGGGATCACCACCGTCCGGAGCTCCACCAGGCCCCCCAGGACCACCAGGACCATCGGGACCGCCACCGTCTGATCTTCCGTCTGGATCAAAGCTGAGAGCCGGTAGACCACATCCTTCTGGACCACCGCCATCGGGACCACCACCGTCCGGAGCTCCACCAGGTCCCCCAGGACCACCAGGACCATCGGGACCGCCACCGTCTGATCTTCCGTCTGGATCAAAGCTGAGAGCCGGTAGACCACATCCTTCTGGACCACCGCCATCGGGACCACCACCGTCCGGAGCTCCACCAGGCCCCCCAGGACCACCAGGACCATCGGGACCGCCACCGTCTGATCTTCCATCTGAGTTCAAGCTGAGATCCGGTCGCCCACGTCCTTCTGGACCTCCACCATCGGGACCACCACCATCCGGAGCACCACCAGGCCCACCAGGACCACCAGGACCAGAGCCATCTGGCCCTCCACCATCCGGAGCACCACCAGGCCCACCAGGACCACCAGGACCAGAGCCATCTGGCCCTCCACCATCCGGAGCACCACCAGGCCCACCAGGACCACCAGGACCATCGGGACCACCACCATCCGAATCGTCTGACTTGTAATTGCACAGCCACTAATTTATGTATCAATGTACTGTATGATTGAGCCATCTCGCTCTTGTACTATGTATATTCTGTAATGAAGCATTCTAGCATTCACTGTGAAAGTGTTAATTTTCAAGAGCAGTGCAGATCCTATTTGAAGAGAAATTCAAGTTTAATCGGAACCAGACGATGGTTCTTAAGAAGGATGTGGTCATTTCGGAAAAGTCTTCAATTACAGGAAGTCGTCGCTCCTTTCCATTGCCTTCCAGAAACATCAATCATCTCTTTTTGACTTCACCCAGTCGATAGCCCCTCGAATAAACTCTTGAAACGACATTTGATACCTGTCTCTTGTTCGGTCGTTTCCTCTTCTTCTCCGGTCCCTTCCGAATTGCTCTTCCGAGCCAGTGTGCCTTCGTTTCTAATCGAATCAAACCGAACCAAAACCTACTTTTCCTTCTCGATGGGGACGGGCGGCGCTGTGCTCCCAGGGGAATCGTCAACAAACAATTCGCGATTCATTAGGATTTTTGTGTGTCGAATGAATGAAACACAAAACTTCTGTGCTTCTTCTTCTTCTGCTGCTTCTTTTTCTTCTTCTTCTTCTCCTTCGTTGTCTTCGTCGGAGCAGATCCTCGTTTGGGCAGAGAAGCTCCGCCCACTGGGCCATTTTCACCCTCGTTGATTTCGGACCAAAACATCCGCGACGCACCGAAAATTGGCACAAGCTCGCCGAATCGTGTTAGCCCCACCGGCGTTACCCCCAAAGACTCCTATTCTACGCACCAACACGTTTAATTGTTCGTGAGCGTTGATCCTTCGTTCACGCAAGGCTCACTTATCCTCTTGAACCTTTGACTCATCCGTCCGAATCGTTTCGTCACGTCATAACGAAGCCACTCAGATGTTAGTTTCCCTCTTCTTTCTCTCGTTTTCTTCTCGTCGATTCCAACTTCTTCTCCTTTTTCTTCTTCTGCTTCACAACCTCATCTTTCTTTTTTTTATTCTTCGCTGTCGGTTATTGTTGACAAATTGTGTCATCGTCGTCGTCGTCACGCCTCTTCCAGAGTCTCCTTGGCATATTTGTGACGACCGGATAACTGGATTTTGGCATATATTGTGCGCCGAAGTTTTCACTTAAAGACACGTTTGCCCGCTGAAGTCTAAAGGCAGGAAATGGAATCGAACACACGTCATAAGAAGGAAACCAGCTGAATTCACACATTTCCGGCGAGGGGGAATCAGAACGGAAATCAAGGAAATTCTTGGGATGAAACGTTCATTCAATGTCAGAAATGCTCCAAGTGCTCCGTACATTTTCGAGTCCGTCGTGCCATTCCAATCATTCTTTTGTTCTTCTTCCCATGACACATTCTCCTCTTCTGTCTAATTCCGCGGAACACAAATGATACGACGATTCGTCAAAAGGTGTACATGTCAAAAGTGTCTCAAAGATCACAAAGTGTCCCGTTGGGGCTTCTCGCTCCGTCCTTTTCCGCCCTAAATGCCACCAGCGTTTTAGTTGGAAACAATGAAAAGTTTGCAGTCTTTCGTCGTCTTCCTCCTTTTCCATTCAAATGACTTTCTCACATTTTCATCAAGTTTGACAGGTCACCGTCGGGTTATGGGAGCCAGATTATGGAAATCGGGTGGCGGAAGAAAAGCAGCGAAGAGCCGGAAAACGAAGTTGGACCTTCATTCTCCAAAACCCATTCCTTTCCTCCTTTTTCGATTTGAGAATCGCACAGATTCTATTTCACTTTGAGAACTTTGAGAGCCTTTGTGAGTGAGATGAACAGGAAGAATCCGTACTTTAGAATATCTCCAAGATATTATTCCAACATGAATTCTTTCTCTCACTCCCGTCCTCATCAAAGCACAACTAATTTCGGTCGCCTTTCAAAACGAACAGTTGTCACTTGCATCCCTCTTCTGTAATCTGTTTACCACCCATCATTTCCGTTCCGAAGGCGCTTCTTTTCGTCACTTTTCGTTTCTTTTTTTGAAAAGTTTCCGATCCAACCGTCTCTTTCGAATCTCGACGAGTGCCCGTGCTAATTGGTTCAATATAGTTTGCGGATGGGAGGCGGCGGCGGCGACCCTTTTCACACTTTCTTTCACTCTTTTTTTGACTGATCTGGGCTCTGTGAGCTCGCCGCCGCCGCGGTTGCCCTTAATTCATAGGAAACAACGTGTCCGTCGACGGAGCCTCCAGGGGCAGCCACTAATGCATTTCGTCATTTCATTGGGTTATCTCCTCCTCCTCCTCCTCCTCCTCATCCTTCTCCAAAAAGAACTCAAGAAGAGCTTCCAAGCTTCTTCGTCGTCGTCTTTTCTTTTTTCTAATTTGCTCCACTCTTTCAACTTTTTTTCAGTCGCAAACCACTCAATGTTCAATTGAAGTTGGGCATCATGAACTCATCTTCCATCATGGAAGCCCTTACCACTTCAATATACGACGATTCCACGGCGTCGGAAGTGTTTGAGCCGGTTCCGTTGCTCAGGCATTCCTACCAATTGACCGTTCTCTACACTGTCGCCTACGGAGCCGTCTTCTTCACCGGAGTCCTCGGAAACACATTTGTCGTGTTGGCTGTGTGGGCTCACAAAACTCTCAACATAACCACGGACTACCTGATTCTCTCGCTGGCTCTGGCGGATTTGTTCATCCTCTGGATTTGCTTGCCGACCACTCTGATCAACAGCATTTTCACGGGTCAGTCCTTCTCGATCGCCCCTTCATTCAGATCCGATTCTTCCAGAATGGCTCTGGGGTCAGTTCTTCTGTCGGCTGTCCACGTGGGCGAACGCATCCACTTCCTTCGCATCCGTCTACACGTTGGTCGCCGTGACGGCCGACAGATACCTGGCCATTTGCCACACGCTCAAGTACAACACAAGCTGGGATCGTGAGTACACGAAGTATGTCATCTTCACGATTTGGTTTGTTGCTGCAATATTCGGAATTCCCAACTGGTACAATTATGCTCTGGTAACATGGTGTGCATGGAATTAAAGTGAACGGAGAAGAGTTGCAGATCGTTTGGCATGAAGGTAACTACGGCTACCGATTATGTACTTCCCAGACCGACCAAAAGTTATACTTTCTATGCGTCAATCTTTTGCTCGCGTTCATCATTCCATTCGGATTGATATCCGGTCTGTACACTAAGATATTCATCACCGTTTCCACGCACAGAAGCCTTGCGGTTGACGCGAGAGTGAGCGATGAACCTCTGAATCACTCCCACTCTCATCTGATTCAGGCTCGGGAAGACAGAGTCAAACTGCGGGTGGCCACTATGATGCTCACCGTCATCATTGTGTTCGCATGTTGTTGGCTGCCTCTCTATTGCATCTTCACCTACTTTTTCTTTTTCGCCGACCAACGATCCGACCTATTCATGATCACTTCCATGGTATTCCCGTATCGTCCCTTTTTAAAGAGTCCTTTAATTTTCAGTTGATTCGTCCCATTTTCCAATGGATGTCCCTGCTGTCAAGCTCTTTGAATCCGATCATTTACATCGCTTATAGTCACAAGTATCGACGGGCGTTCAAGACGATTCTTCTGATGCCGTGCAAGTCGAGGTACTTTCAGTCCGTCCGTCTTCATTTTCTAGTTTTCGGTGCTCAGATACGAGAGAGTTCGGAGCACTATTCTCCGCCGTCATTCGCAAATCAGCCGTGGGGGAAAGTCAACTGCTACCATCTCAATGTCTAACTTCGGCACTGAAATATCAAATCTAGGAGGAGCATCGACTATGCTCATCGCACAAGACTGCAAACAAACGGAAGGCTCCACTTCCGAATGCTGATTCCCTTTCGAGCCCATTCTTTTTCGATACGGTTTCTTTCCACGTGTCGTTCCGCCCCTTCTATCGCTTTTAAATAAGAATTCAACCAACTATGTTTTTATTCATTTCACGAGAGATTATGATGCTTCTTGAATTCGCGAATAAAAGTTTGATAATATTTGGCCGAGTGTTTCATTGTTCTTGTCTTCTCCGACGACTCAAAATCGACGCGGCACATTCCGAATTTGACAGCGAACCCGTCGTCCCACTCGAAGTTGTCCATGAGGGTCCAAACGGTGTATCCGATCACGTTGCACCCCTCTTCCAGAGCTGAAATGAACGTTTCCGTGTCAGTTTGAGTGCAGCTTACCTTTCGCAACGGCTTCCAAATGTCCGGAGATGTATTTTATTCTGTGTTTGTCCTCTAGAACGTCTTCTCCGTCGCCTTCTCCTATCTTGTCCATGCATCCGTTTTCAGTGATAAACACCGGAATATTGTTATATTTTTGTTTGAGGTACTTTAGAAGCGCCAGAAGCCCATCGGGGGCATAACGAACCCAAGTTTCGCCGCAAATTCTGCAATTGTTTTGTTTTCGGGGGCCAGAGATTTGCGGGAAGGCGGTGCCTACTTGTCCCAATGTCCCTCGACGAATCCGTACGAAGCATCCCGTTCGCACTGAGACGAAGGCGTTTCTCCGTCAGCCAAAGCACGAACCAAGTGACTCAGATAATAGTTTATTCCGATGAAGTCAGCACTTCCTGAGAATCAATGAAAGTTCAGAAGTTCTACGGAAAATGGAGGGCAACCTCGAATCAGCGTCTTTTCTTCCTCGGTAAACTTTGGCAAGAAAGAAAGTCTTGCTCGCATTGACGCAGGAAAATCCCCAGATTCCGTCAGAATTGGTTCAATTGTATAATTGAAGAGCCAATCGAGAGCTCGGTCTCTGGCCTGAAAGAGTTGAATGAAGGCAATCAGAGCGGGACGGAAGAGACCTCCTGATCGGCCGGCGAATCAGAACCGGCCAGACAGAACCGGCCCCCGTTTACGATCCCCACGAGTCCATTCTGCGTTTCTTTGTAGTTTTTCTCGTAGTTTCGGTAAATTTTCGCATGCGTCAGAAGCATATTAGCGGCAGCTCTGAAGAGAAGTTCAGAAGAAAAGGAAAATAGTGTAGCTCACAGGTAGGGTACTTGCTCCAGGTTCTCGAGGGCTGGACGGTCCGGACACAGCCATTGTTCGCCTTGGATCTTGGCGACGGAAGTCCACGCTTGCATGTTGATCTCATTGAAAGTGATCCACGTTTTGACCAAATCCCCGAACTTCTGGAAACAAAGATCGGAAAAAGCGGCGAAGTGATCGCAGTTTTCCTTGTTCAGCCACGAAGTTCCGTTGTCGTAAATGGCGAGAGGCATATCGAAATGGAACAGTGTGACCTGCAAATTGGCAGTCATAAAGAGAAGAAAAAACAAGAATGTTTACTCACAATTGGCTCAATTCCATTGTTTCGGAGCAGAAGACACAGATCACGATAATACTGAACACCGTCGTCGTTTATCTGCGAAAGAGTTCCGTCCGGCAGGATTCGGGACCACGAGATTGAAAAACGATAACTGGTGACACCGATTTTGGCGAGAAGAGCGACGTCTTCTTTGTATTTCAGACGTCCATCGCACGACAACTTTGGATCGGAATTATCATGAATACGACCGTTTTCCGCACGGATTGCGTCCCAAGTGCTGATGCCACGACCTGTTTGAAATCGAAAAGAAATCAATGACAGAGGGGAACGTACCGTCCAAATTCGGGGATCCTTCGATCTGGTAAGCCGCCGTCGCAGTCGCCAACTGGAAGTTTTTCGGAAATTTCGTCGGCAATGACATTTCAGAGCGAATGACTAAATCGACAGAAAACAGACTGATAAGAGAATGGAATTGGGCAGGCGCGATTACGGAAAAGAGGGGTTATGCAAATGGAAAGGTTGTTTGTTTGTGGCGAACATCGGTTGGACTAAATTATTTATATACATGTACGCAAATACCGGAAAAGAGGAACAGTCAATGAATTAGGTGAAAAGAGAGGGAATCAAAGACGTTTTAGCTGTTGAGAGCACTGAATCAGACACACCGGATCCTTCTGAATGTCGGCGAGCGAGTTATCACGTAGCAGGCGGGAGCAGTCGTCCACAGTTATCGAGTGGCATTCGGGGCCTTCTGTTGTGCACGTGCAAGTCACGCACGGTGTGATTCTCTTCGTCTTTCCCAGACTGACAACACGTTCGTCCACAAGGCAGTAGTCCCTATCAACCCATTTGTTCAGATCGACTTCTGGCAGTTCGGAGCAAGACATGGGAGAATTGCTGGAAGATTTCAAGTGCGTCAGAAGACTTTCTTGAACTCACGTCAAATCATCAGGCATCAAGAACACATTCGGTTGAATGTTGGCTGCGTACTCGCTGTTATCGCACATGATTCTTGCCATGCTGGCTTTCCGAATCTCCACAAGTTGATCGGGAGTGAACCTTAAATTCGCGTCGTTCGTTTCGTAGTAGAACCGGTCACACTTCTTGAGTCTCTGCATCTGTTCTCCAATGAGACAGGCGAGCGTTGGTCCAACCAGTGATCCTGCAAAGAAGAGGATGCGGATAAGCTTCAAGAAGTTCAGTGGTTACCCCTGGTCGGAGATTCGCTCATGAGTCCTGGGAACAGATCGATGTCGTCCACGTGGCGGTAGGCTGTCTCCAATGCAGTCACGGCATCCGAACTCATCGCATCACGAAGATCCGAGAATGTCGAAGCTTTCCGAAGACCACAGTATTTCCTGTATGCATTGTACCCCTGCACTCCGTGGTCCCTTGCTCGTTGAATGTTTACTGCAGGAAGGTCCAGACCAGTGAGCGGACCGCCCGGTTTGGCGAACAAATGATTGCGGACGGCGGTGGTGATGTGCCGGTCGAAGGCCATGCTGCTCACTCCGATCAGTCCCATCAGAATGGATTCCATATGCCCCGAATTCTTGTCATACACGGGGGACGGATTCGAGAAGGTTTCCGTCAAGTTCACATGATTCGTCATGTTCTTGAAGTCATCATTCATTCGCGCGAAAACGCCGCGGATCAGAGAGTGACCGAATCGGAACGCCGACGTGGACATCTCCTGTGAAATGGTCGCATCGCACTGATCGTCGTACGCCTCGTAGTAGCCACTTCCTTGTGGCATCAGTCCCCATTTCTCCATGTTCTGGCATCCAAGAACGACCGGGAGCCACTCTTTGTAAATTATGTGTTGCAGTTGTGCAATGTTGATTCTTCGAGCTTCCTGAAATTTCGTTTTGGATGGTTACAGATCGGTGAAAACTCACTTGGAACAGTTTTTCGTCGTTCCAGAAGTTGTTAGCTTGCTTCAGATACCTCGCAATTCGGTTATGTTCTCTGAGGAAGATGTTATGAATGGCAGTGAGCCCCGGCTGTTCATTGCTCCGTTCGTCTCCCGCCACGAAGCACCGCCTCTGGGGGTTATGTAGGATTGACCGGCAGTCTCGCTCTTGATTTCCTTGCGGTAATGCTTCTTTGTTGAATCTGTAAACGCCCTACTTTCTGTTTTTTTAACTGTCCATTCAGGTTTACCCGAGGTCGGTGAAATTCAGTTTTCCGTCGCTGAACAGTCTAAGTTTGTTGGCTTCACACTGCGTGGATCCGTAGATGGTGGATGCGTCGAGGAAGGAAGTCAGTTGATTCAGCTGGTTACGGTAGCCGAGAGACACTTGGGCCAGGAGACTTCTCGCGAACGGCATGCACCTCGGTCTTCCGTCACTGTGTCTGGATGGGAAGAACGGATCGTCTGCGTCGATCTTTATGGGGAAGCAGTGGATGGAGAGTGTCTGCGCAGAATCACACGACGAACAGTTCAGGATGGTGTTTTTGGGACCACGTGCAATAGGCGAATGCATCATATCATGGTCGAGAATCTGTCCGAATTGCATCAGCATGTGAGTGAACTTGACGTGGAACTTGGGCGCATCGGTGTGAACGAGATTGGAAATCTTTCGAGCGGAAGGAAGTTCCCCTCCGAGAACGGATCGGGTGCGAGGAGTGTCGAATCCGTCGTCATAGGCTGGATCCAGAAGCCGTCGCATTTGAGTGAACGCGTTTCCGAACTTGGGGTTCTTCAGGTTATTGCACCATCCGGAGTATGTGCGGTACTTAGAAGTGTGATCGCACGGAAGCGGTTCTGGAAGGCACTGCTCTTTCGGAAGAGGGTTACGGCCTGCAAAATTACATTTGCGAACGAGTTTAACTATTAAGATTAAGATTACCCAAAAACGGTGTGAAATTTCCAATTATTTTTCCAACTTCGATTTGAGGAAGAATCTTCTGAAGGGTCTCAACATCCAGATCGGGAAGTCTTTCGTCCTTATTCAGTCCGTTTCCAGTGATCAGAATGTTCGTGGCTTCTCTGAGAACTGAAGCAGTTCTGGCAATGTCAACGGATTCCTTCTTGGGAGCCATGAGCAGAGCGTGAGAGAGAAGAGCGGAAGGGGAAGAGTCGGCCACTTGGGCACTGATCCTCCGGCCCTCCCCTTCCTCGTACCTCTGCCACTGCTTCAGTCCTAATCGGATCGCCTTCTCGACTGTTTCCTTAGTGATCGGAAGAGTTGTCAGCTTTTCGTCATCTTCGAATGCCTTCGGGTCAAACGGTTGAATGATTCCTGTTGAATTGCAGCTCAATGGACAGTTTCTGAAATTGAGCATGAGCAGTGCACTTCAGTTTTATCGACATACCCGTAGTCATCGGGGAGAGAGAATGCGTGGTGTTGCACGTGGGTTACGGTATCCGAGTTGTCGCAGATCACTCTCGCCATCGTGGTCTTCCGAATCTCATCAATTTGCTCGACAGTGAAGGCAGACGGAGACACGAAGTTCTCATACCAGAAACGATCTCCTCTCTTGGTTTGAGCCATCTGATGAGCAAAAAGACACGCGAACGTTGGGCCGAGAAGTGATCCTTTGGCTGGTTGTTCGGAAAGTCCTCCGACAAATACATCGATGTCTTCGGGGGATTCGTAAAGACGTTCGAAGTCAGAAACGTTCACGGACGGTTTGAACTGAAATAAAGTGGTGATAAAGTGGTTATATTGGGGAGGAATACAGTGGTTTGAAGAGAAGAGAATGAGCGGAAGTCCTCGAGTTTGCAGAACCTTCTCCACTGAAGGTAGCTCGGCAGTCCGTGATCTCTTCCCATTTGAATGACCATTGCAATGATATCAATGGAATCCGCTTCGTCTTCTGAAATTAACGTCTTTTTTTCAGTTCCAATAGGAATTTATTACTCTTCTGGAATGCCGTACGGAGCTGAGGAGAGATGTGCAGTCCTGGCTTCTCGATGGCAGTGTTCAGGAGGAACTTCAGGATACCGTCAATTCTTCCTTTCTCGTAAATCAAGGACGGATCATTGAAGTGCTAAGTGTAACCTTTTCGGACTCTCGCGATAGACGGAATGTTACCTTCAAAAGTGATTCACTCTGAGTTCCGAACCGTCTCTCATCCACATTGAATTTGCTCGGAAGGAGGGTGAGGAAGAACTGTCCGACGGCCGCGGCGAACACATTCGAAGCAGAAGCATCGACATTCTGAACTGAAGAATGAGTCGAAAAGAGATCCTTGGAATCAGACCAGATCGTATCCAGAGTCGTACCCATTGCTCCGCAGCTTCACTCCCATTACTCTCAGCTGCTCTTTTCCAACCAGAACTGGTATGATTTCACTGAAATTACAGAACTTCGAAGAAACTTTATAACAAGCTTACTTGAAAGTAACGTGTTGGAATTGAGCAATAACAATTCGTCTGGTCTCCTCAAACAGCTTCTGATCATCCCAATGGGTATTCACAGAGCTCAGTTTCTCGGCAATCAGATTGTGCTGACGCATCCAAACTGTGTAGATTGCTCCAGAAGTTGGAAGAAAGTTTATCCTAAAGTGTCCGTGCAGCTAGAGAATACGGATGTCAGTTACCTATTGCTTCCCGCCAAAAGACACGGTTTTCCCGAGCTAGATTTACAAATCGAAGAGTCTTGAGACGCCGGAGGGATCCTCATTTGATTATTGAAACCGCCAACCGAGCGGAGCGCCAGTTTTCCGTCTTTGAACAGTCTCATTTTGTTCGCGAACCCGTCGGTGCTCCCATAGATCTGACTCAGATCCAAGTAGGACGTGGCCATGTTCGCTTGTTGTCTTTGGCCGAAAGAACACTTTGGATTCGGAACTGGAAGGGAGCGAGAATACGGAAGACACTTGACATTCTCTGAAACGGTGACACTCGGATTGGAAATACACCGTCTCTTCATACTGGACTGTAGGGAATCGTCTGCTGGAACGGGGATCTCGAAGCACTCCGGATGCGAGTGATTTCCTTTGCAACAAGGAAGTGGCATTGCCTTATCATGTCCGTAGAAGTCTCCTGAAATCGATAATAACCAAAGTTTTGTGATCATTCAACCCAATACGTGACGAAGCTTCTAGCAGTCCGTCATTATCACTGTCACCTGCCATTCTGTCATGACTTTCCGCGTGTACTTCTGGCAGTGTGAAGTGAACGGGATACCGTTTCGGAGAGACAGTCTTACGCGCGAAGAGACCCAGATGCTGCGCAGCGACGGCATCTGCGCGGACGGCGTAGCGGAACGGAGGACAGTATAAAAGGGGGCGAGGAGAAGAGGGCTTCGACTGCTTATTCTTGCCAAATTGGTGTGTATGTAAGTGCCTCCTTCTTCCCTCACCTCCTCATTCCTTTTGATTTCAGAGAAATGAAGGACGAAAAGGAGAAGAGATCGCTGCGACCGGTGGCGTTTGTTGCCGTCGTTTTCTCGACTGTAGCCATCACTTCGTGCCTTATCACCTTCCCTCTTATTCTTCATTATATTCAAACCCTCGAGTCGCAAGTCCAGGTCGACCTCGAGTTCTGTCAAGCCAGAGCCAGAGATATGTGGAAGGAGATGCTGGACATTGAGACCGGCGGAAAGAAGGACTCCGCCAAGTTGGCGAACATCGTCCTCAACCACAGAAGACTCGAGAAACGGTAATATTCTAGTTCTCTTCAATTTTTCACTTTTTCTCTTTCAGTGACACTCTCCAAGACTTCTGGGCCCGCCGTCTCCACGACCAGGAACTTCGTGACCAGCCGGTCGGATACGATAACCCATCCATCGGAGTCGAGTCGTTCAACACTGAGGGCGGCGGCTGCTGCACTTGTCACCGTGGACCACCGGGAGCAGCTGGTGACTCCGGACGTGACGGAGCCGATGGAGTTGATGGGACCCCAGGAGAGATCGGACCCCCAGGACCACCAGCTCCACCAGGCCCAGACCCACACAGTCTGTTCCCACCACAATGCCCATGCGAGGCCCCACCAGGAGAGCCAGGACCGCAAGGACAGCCAGGACCAGACGGTCCACCTGGAGCCCCAGGAAACCCAGGAGAGGACGGAAAGCCAGGAGACCAGGGACCACGAGGACCACCAGGAATTCCAGGAGCTCCAGGACAGCCAGGACGTCCAGGACCACCAGGAGAGCCAGGAACCTACAAGACGGAGATTGGACCAGCCGGAAGAGCCGGAGCTCCAGGACGTCCAGGACCACCAGGACAGCCAGGACCAGCCGGGCCACCAGGAGAGAACGGAAAGGGAGGAAACCAGGGACCTGCCGGTCTTCCAGGACCACCAGGACAACCGGGACAGAACGGAGCCCCAGGAGAGGTCGGACAGCCGGGAGACAATGGAGCTCCGGGAAGCTGCGATCACTGCCCACCAGCTCGTCTGGCCCCAGGATATTAGAACTCGGAATAAAGTATTTTTTAATGCAATTGATCACTTACGTTTGAATATTCGGTTGCTCGGCGCGTGAACTAGGTCATCGTAGAGGAAAGAAAGGAACGGAGCGATGAGAAGGGAGCACGTGGCATGGCCGGACGGAGCAGGGGTGAACAGGGAGGAGAGGGCTCGAGAAGAAGGCAGTGGCAGCCCGGATTGGCTGGCACGCGGGGCGGAGACACCTGGAAATCAGGGGTTCTGCCGCGAGATTCTCCAGTTTTCACTCACCGTCCGCATAATCAGCCGGAAGGAATCTTTTGAGTCTCTCGTACGCAGCCCCGTTCAGAGGATTCTTCACGTTGTTACAGTGTCCTGTGTACGATCTGAGTGCTCACTTTCTTCGTATTGCCTTCCGAGTCCGCAGCCTACCTGTACTTTCCGATTTCGCACTCTTCGATCTGATTCACCGGACAAATCTCCTTCATTTTGGTGCCTTCGGTCGGTAGGAAGTGCACATTTCCTTTCACATTTTTCGGTGATTTACTGAAAAGAAGAAAGCGATGAAAGGAGACGAAGGGGAATGCAAACTCTGAAATCTTCTGAGCGGCGACACTCGATGAGATGGCCGCGAACGAGAGATACTTTGCATACTGGTCCGCGTAGGTGTACTGTAGCCACGCGAGTTCCGACTGCTTGAAAGTGTCTGCAAGTCTTTCTTCTCATCATTCATTTATCTGATTTCCCCACCATCGAACTTGTCGCTCATTTCTCTTTCCGTTTCGTTGAAAAGTTGTTCGGTGAGCTGGACGGCTTCGGACGCGGCTTCTGCCACAATCTCTTGTTTCATCGACTTCTTCAGCTCATTCCTCACTTTTTCGGACGGTTCCGTTTCTAACTCCTCCGGAAACTCGAATCTCCCATCTTTTTTGAATTCTTTGTTTGGCGAGTCTGCAATTCGACGGCGGATATGAGATCGGATCAGCGTCTTGCGTCATTATTATTTCTTGATTAAATCTCGTTTCGAGCGAGAAAGCAGTGTACGTTTAAATATGAAAGATCGAAGGGTGCCTGCCGAAATCACGTATCACAGAGAAACGTTTTTTTCAGAATGACAAGTTCAGCAGAAGTCTTGCGATCGCGCTCTACCGCTTTCCGCGGAATGTTCGAAATTCGCACCGCCCCAAAAGTGAAAAATAGAAAAGAGAACTCACGTATTAAAGTCGAAAAAGCCCTTCTTTGTGTGCACGGAACGAAGCTCGGTCCGCACGGGAACGAGCTCGCCGAGCAAATGGCGACGAGGGTGAACAGCCAAACAAACGCTCTTTTTCGCATTTCCCGCTTCTTTTTAGGATCGTTTCGAAAAAGAAGTGGGCTTCTGGTGGACTTCGCGCTTATAACAATTATAATAAAGATGATGTTTCGAGATTGGGACCGGTCTTGTTGAATTGTCGCCCCTCACTTCGTTTTTCGTGTCTGTGGATTACGTCATCCGTGCTTTATTCGGCGCGAAACAATAAAAATCACAGTTGTGATAGGAGAGAATGCAATACTTTCGGATAAATTGAAGAAAAAAGAAAATATATTACATGAGAATCATTCCAAATTCGACTAGATTAAATATACATTCTCGGTGGCCAATTGTTCGAGTTTTCTCGAGAGAATCGAAGAAAAGTCTTGAAGCTGAGCGACTGCGAAAGCGATGAATTCGTCGTTCCGATCTCTCCGAACCGCCCATTTCGAGATAAAACTGAAAGATCGATGATATCATGCAATAACACTACATGGTTCCACTTACTACGACTGAATTCTGCTCATCAACTGAAGCAGACCGTAAATGGTTTCCGTTCGGTTTATAGCCGACAGCAGCAGTCTGATAACTTCCTTCGTCTGAATCCAGGGCATATGAGTCGAGCTCATCCGCTTCGGATCGCCCAGATGTTTGCCAAGGACGATTTCGAGGAGTCTGCTCAGGCATCCCAACACTTCCTGCAATTATCTGTTTTCCTGAATACTTTTTTAAAATTTACCTTGATATTCCGTAGCTGAGCAATCTCATAAATTTTACTAAAATCTACAACGAATCGCAGCATCAGCACGTGTGTCTCCGGCGGTCTCGGCTGAAATTCTGTTTTGATTTTTTCTTTCGTTTTCCCTCACTCTGGCTGCATTCATCGTCTTTCTCAGAGCGATTTCGGCATTCAGAAAGAACGCGTGGAATGTCGACTGTCGGAGAGCTTTTCGCTCGTGCAACATGCTGAAACCATCGTGCAATTGCTTTGACAATCCGAAGCACCTACACAAGCCAATTACAAGTGATACGATTCATTTCCTTCCATGATTCAGTCAAGGTGGATCCTGTTCTCGATTTGGCACTGGCAACTTGTCCGAATGCGTACAAAGTCGATGTCAAGGCCTGAGAAGTTTTGAAAACATGTAATCTGACTTCAAATTTCGCTCACTTTTTCAATATCTTTTCTGAATTTCCTCGTTTCTCTTGCTTTCACCAAGGTTTCCCTCTTTTTCTTTTCATTTCGTCGCTCTTCCACTTCCGAACTCTCTTGCGCTAAAACTGGTTGGGATCTTTCCACACGTCTTTTGAACAAAAGTCGAGAAGAGATTTGTCTTAAGTCAGGGAACGGTTCTTCGTAGAGCGATTCCGACTCGGGGACGGCCATCGCTTGCTCGGGCGTTTCCATCGCCGGTCCTATCATCGTCATCACTTTGGGTCCTTCTGATTCCTGAACTGCCGTCATCTGAGTGGGCATTTCTGGGTCCTCATCGACCGTCCTTTCGCATTCACTCGGAGCCTTCTCCACTTTGAATAAAATGGTATGCTTCGCCTCTTTCGGCGTTTCGAATTCCAACGCGAAGGAGAGCGAGGCAGATATAATGAGAGACTCATCGTAAAGTGGACAACCCGCCATCTGATTGGATAGTATTTTCGGGAGAAAAGGGATTGAAAAAGGTAGGTACAGAACTATAACATAATACCGAGAACTGAAAAAAAAATGGATTCTGACTTATTTATTAGGACAAAAACAATAAGAAACAGAGTAAATTTTAACAACAAAGCAACAGACTAACGAATATCACAGTCGAAACGAACAACTCTCACAAAAGTCAGAACATTCCCTTCAGACTCTTGTAGGTTTTCGCCTTTCTCGACGGCGTCTGTCTTCTCTCCAACGCGACAGGCTTTCTCGAAGCTGAAAAAGAAGAGTTGTGGTCCGGTGGCTGGTCACTCACCAGATGGCGTTTCTGTCGTTTCCTGGCAATGAGACGAAGTCCTGCAAGCACGTTAATGAATGGTAACCTGATATGGTTTCAATATAACAAATCTCATAAATTATTTCTTTGTGGCTACTCACGGGGTGCACAAGAACACGACTTTACTCTTTTTCCCGATGTCACAAGAGGTAATTCTGCCCGTATCTTTTCTTAAAAAGACTTAAATTCAGAAATGCAGCTGTGGCCATCAGACCGATCAAACTGGTCGAACTCCGCACATTGCGAGAAATATGTACAGAACGAAACCGCCTCCTGACAACGAAATGTTCATGTGAGCTCGTATATTTTGGTTGAACTGGATTCTTTTCCAGATCGCCGATAACAATAGCATCGGCGAACACCACTAATTACGACCCAGCAATGAAAATTGCGAAATTCCACTGTAACTGTAAATATCTTTGGCTTCGAGAGCTTCATGGTCTATCCGCTTTTATGATGTCTAACTCGCTGATGGAGAAGGTTTTCTGGGCGGGGGTCATAATGGCGTGTGCTGGTTGGTCGGTTAACAATACAACCCAGATTCTGAAGCAGTACGGGGAGCAGGCGACGACGACACTGTTGACTATTCTACCCGTGAGAACGACTTAAAATCCAATCGAAAGATCACGCTTCAGACCAAGCAACTCAAGTTCCCTACAATGGTTTTTTGTCCTCGGAATCCTGATTTTATAAACTATTACAACGTTTTGGAAGGTTAAATTGCTGATCTAACTTTGATTACATTTATGCACAGATATGTACAACCACCTCGGTTACTTGGAAAACAGTACCAATTTCCATATTTTGCAATATGCCATGACTGGATTCGGATTCGATAATGCAGAAGCGGACTTATTTAACGAAACTTACAGGTTTTTATGCAAATATGTCACTTTTAAGCTCTTCTGTCTAGATCCACAATTCATTCGTACTACTTGAGATGGCGCGGAGATCGTACACAATACGAACTGTTCGATTTCATGTACAATGAAAATGGATTCACTTGCAATGACATGTTCCAGACATGTTACGGTGGCAGTGTCACATATAATTGTTGTCATATATTTCGACCGACTTATGCGATGCTTCGTGGAAGGTTTTAAACACACAAAAGTATTTTCGAATACTAGAATACTCAGGTGCTTCCGTCTCATCGACAACTATTACCAAAACGACACTGACGAAGTATCCAAAGTCTCTATATTTTTCAATAACATGACTAGTCCTATTTTGAACAGCGGCGTTCTAGTAAGCAAACGTCTATTACCCTAAATGAACATCATTTTAGCCGCAACTAGTTTTGTACAATGGCGATTCGAGTGAAGAAGTCGGAATGTACCCGAGATATTACTTGAATAGCAACGATTGGAATCGAATTCGATACTACCAGAAGTCAATGATTCTTCTTCCGAAAAGTGACGACAGATGTTCCACTGCGCCAATATATCAAGGAAAGTTCACATGTTTTGTTTACAAATGGCTCATGCAACTGGTGGATCAGTACAATTGTACAGTTCCATACTACAAGTACATGGTAGGCTCACCAAGAGAATACATTCTAAAGATAAAGTATATCTAGTTGCCGTATCTCAAGGATGTGCCTATTTGTGAACCAGACATAATTGTCAATAACTTTGCGAACATCAGTCTGACTCCATCTACAATCGGATACAAGTGCACTCCCGCATGTTCTCGCATAGAAAATACAGTTCAGCTGACAACTAGTATCGATTACGATCCTGATCCGTCTTACATGTTCCGAATCGAAGCAAGTTTCACTTTTTTGGAATACGAACAGTACAAGGAGATCAGAACGACGAGCACAGCCGGATTCATCTCGGAACTCGGAGGACAAGCTGGCCTTTTCGTTGGCAGCTCTGTTATGAGCTTCGTTCAGCTTTTCAATTCTATTTTCATCCAAATTTACAAATTGTAAGTGAAAACTCGAGTATGAACCTCTTAAAATGCTTGCAGACTTCGCAACTATTGTAATAAGAAAGGGATCAGAGTACGTCTCGGATTGTACAAGACTAACCAAACGGAACCGGCTGATAAACATTACGAAAGGGACGCGGCACTGACTGACGAACCACCGTATCCGTTGGACACTATTCTTGAAGTCGAAGAACCGAACGTGATGGATGCGGACGGAATGCTTCTGGAAGGGGATCCGGTTTCAGAAATGGAAGCAGTCGAACTGGACACGTGGAGTTCTCTCTCTTCCTTATCAGAATCTTCCGTCTACTTGCAAACCCCTTCATTCTCGTCGTCTGAACCTCATTCTACTATTTCGGAGGTCCCAGAAAACGTAAAACTGGCCAAATTGGTTTGGCTTCGGTCAAAGGACGGAGACACAAACTCACGATGGCTGGTCGGATCTGAAAACAAGGAATCTTCTAGCGAATAAATGCACTCGGAACTTACTTCATAGTAGCATTTTCAAGCTTAGACCGAGGTAAAACTTTCTGAAAACAGTTTCGCTAACTTCTTGATAATGTATTTCTTGATAACCTGATTTTTAAGGGAAACCGTTTGGTTCTTGACTGGCTCTTTGAAAACAGATCTGCCCGGAGTCTTCTTTTGTCTCTGAAACAATGACTGACTGGTGTTCTTATCTTTGCATGTCAACTCACACTCTCATCCAAGAACTTGTTTCCCTTGAACACCCAATTCTCGACTTCCGCATTCTTTTCGTTCTGTCCGGCGTCGAAGTCTCCAGATATGGTCGTGTTGAAGACGACGGTCGTGTCGTTGAACGAAGTGAAGAACATGGGATAATTGCGAGGCGGGAATTCCAAGGAACTCTGCTCCTCCTCGTTTTTCGCATTTTCGTTTTCTTCGAATGATGGGTTTGTGTGATTCAGAATGCTCACATTCTCAAATGAGTCATTAATTTTGTTGCTGAGAATAGGGCTTTCGGCGCGTGGAGATTCCGAATTGAAGAATCTGAAAAATAAGTACAAGACGAAAGGACCTGTGTCAATCGTACCGGAGAGTATCATTCAGATTTATAAGGGATAATCCGTCATTCGTTTTGTTCATCACTTCTGTTTCTTTCCGTTCAAAACTGTTCCTGGTCTTATTTTCAGCACTAGGTCGTTTCACAGTCTTCTTGAGTTTCGGAGTTCCGCTCTCCATCGTCGTCGAAGAACGTCTTTTGGCGACTTTGAGGAATGTGGAGAGATTCACAATTTTGGGAAGTTCATCGGAAGCTTCCGCAAACGGCTGAAATTAATAATGCGATTATAAATACGAGAACTGAGTGACTCACTGTTGAATGTGGAGTTCGGAACAAAGAGATCGGTGTCGAAGGCATCGATTCTTGAATTTCCAGCTGAAACATTTATGGGTGTTTTCGAAATTTCTTCTGTAAAGCACTCACATTCGGAATGCACTCTTCCACAGTTCGGTCAATTTGCTCTTCTTCGTCGAAGGGCGCGGTCCCCAGAATCCACCACGGAAGAGGTAACATTGTCTCTGAAAAAAAATGTTTTCACGTGGCACTTGAATAAATAAATAAAAAGGTGAATGAGAATAGAGGCTACTGGAAGTTATTTTGCAAATTTTTGCTCGTTTAATAACCAAGAACGGCTTTCGGATAGCGAGTCATGGAAGCGAAGGCCGTCGATGTGAAGCGCCAAAAACCGAAAGCTCGCAGTGGAGATCAAAAACGTTTGCAGAGAGAATTTGTGAAATTGAGCAGGAAACGAAGTTTAGAGAAGAGAAAGGCGTCAAAAACGAGAGGAAAGCACGGGGCGAATCGGAAGGGACACCGTGGATCGAAGTCGCGTTCGAAAGGGAAAAATAAGGGTTTCTTGTGCTGTCGGAAGAAGCAGAAGCACTCGAAGAAGAGAAAGTCTCGCACGACGAAAAAGCAGCCACGGACGAAGCTCGTGAAGCCGTTGCCACCGGTGCCGAATGAGGTAATAGAGACAAAATAGCGGAAAAACCAAGGTCGCGTTGCCAAAAGAGCGGAAACGAACATTCGCTTTAAATTTCAAATCCTGACTTTTTTATGGACTGATTGGGATATTTTTGTAACAGTAAATTGTGAGACTATTCACTTGAAGTGTTCAAAATAGATATATATTGCAATTTAGTGTCCTAAAATAAGAGATGTTCGTTTCCGCTCTTTCGGCATCCGCTCTTTTGGCATCGCGATTTCTGGTTTTTCCGCTATTTTGTCACCCTCTCAGGTAACACAGTAACCCGCGTTCGCCACGAGACCAGTGCTGCAAATTGACCGTGCGCCTTTGAAATTTGTTATTTTTTAGCAACTCGGGGAGATCGTACTCGTCAAAAACATTGACAAAGCGAAAACACCAGTGAAAGGTTTCCAAAAAGCAGACAAACACAAAAACAGTTGTATTATTTTTAAGCAGTGGACAAAAAAGAACCTCAGTCTCCAGATAGAGATGCACTGAAACCACCGAAAGCCGAATCGGTGGTAAAAGAGAACGTCTCAAAGGAGAAGGCCGAAACGGATAACGAAGAAAAAGAAAAAGGGAAGCCGAACAATTCCAAAGAGGGTAAAATCGAACAGAACAGCAGCATACAATCATGGGTGATTTCAGTGGTTGAAAATGAAAAAGAGGATAAGGAAAAGGCAAAAGCCGAGCAGAAAGAGAAAAAGAAGGAGACAAAAGAGGTGAAGGAAGTGAAGGAAACGAAAGAAGGAAAGGACGGAAAGGAAGAGGGTGGTACTGTGAAAGCGGGCACGATCTGAGAGGGAATGAGTGATTTCAGAAGAAACGAAGGAGAAGCAGGAGGAGAAGAAGGACAAGTGGCTGAAACTCGCGAAGAGGTTCATCGAGGAAGATGCAAACATTGCGGCCGTCAGTTTCAGATCGGTTCTTTTCTCGGGACAACTCTCTTTCAGAACGACTTCGAGCAAGTAGCCGGCTACGTTCCTCCGCACGTGTCCAAGCGTCACTTCGTGCTCAACATGGAACAGAACCGCTTCGCCGACGTCGTCTGCCTCGATCACTCGCGTGTTTCTCTGAACGACAGCACGTACATCCACGCGAGTTGGGTCGATCTGAGCAGTCAGAAGAAGGCGATTCTCACGCAACTTCCCCTCCCTCATACGGCTGCCGACTTCTGGCAGATGATCATCGAGCAACGAGTCAAGTGCGTTCTGCTCACTCTGACTGAACAGGAGTGCGATAAGCTGGGGGGAAACTTTGTCTTCCCACAGAATCAGTAAGTCTCTGTCCGAAGATATTGAGCACTTTCACTTTTTAGAGACTTTCTGAACTTTGAAGAGCGCTCGATCCGAGTGGGAGAGTTCAAGCAGGTCGAGATCTCGCGAGGATGGAACATGAGAGTTCTGAGCATCACCAACGGCGACTACAAATCGTGAGTTGCTCTCTGAAATGTTCTCGGCAGCCGTCCCCCTACTTCAGGTTCCTCCACGTGCACCACTATAAGCTCTGGGCTCACAATTCGACTCCTCCGAACGTGAAACAGCTGTGGCAACTGCAGTCTTGCCTCCGCAAGTACAGTAATCCGCCAGTCTACATGAGTCTTTCCGGATGTGGACGCGCCGGAACTTTCGCACTTTTCGAGTCGGCCCATATTTCCCTTCACAGCGACACTCCCTCTTTCGATATGATCAAATGCCTTGAGAACGTACGATTTCCCTTCTGCAGTATTCGCAAGACCATTCCTTTTTCAGGTGCGCAATGGACGCATGCACTCTGTCCAGAACATCAACCAGTTCTCGTTCGTGTACACTCTGATTGCAGAGCATATCCTCGGCAATGTAGGTCTTCCGTCTATAGTCCAATTCGCTCAGCTAACAATGATTCAGGGATTCTGCAAACTAGCGAAGGGCGGTGCGGAAGACGCGACGGACGACAGCATCGAGACGATCCTCCGCCAGCTCACGATTCACTGAGCGACTACTTGCAATGATTCGAACTAATTTGAGTTCGAATAAAGGGAATTGTCTGCGATGAGCGGAGCCACTTTCAAATTTGATCGGAGCCAATCAGTCGGTCCACCCCCTGCCTCCCCACTTCTCACTTTCATTCGATATGTTCTCGTGGACTACTCCCCGTATTCTCTGCTCCGTAATTATGGGGAAAGCAACTCGAAAACGTGCGATTCCGCAAGTAAACCAGGCCTTTTTTCGGCAGCAGATGCTCCGCACCTGGCACCCTATTCGCCCGGATTTCCATTCGAATCCAACTCATTCGTCCTATTATGACGACCGGCTCGTCGCCGTCTTTTGATTGTTATTCGATGATGTTCGACGAATAATATTGCCGAACCATTGAAAACAGTCAAAAAATGGAGGCTTGATGCGAAGATTTATTCTTTGTGATTATTATAGGTTTACAGAAAGAGTTCGTTAATCCAAAGACCGTTCAAACCATTTCCTGCAGTTCGATAAAAGAAAGTTCGGCCACGTTTCTCGCGGATGCGGGGGCGTTCCGTGGCATGTCCGCGTGTCGGACCGAGTTGAAACTGATCGACCGTCCCGAGGTAATGTTCCTGACGACCTCGCCCAAAGTCGGCTCGTGCTTCCGTGCTTGGATCGTGTCGTGCGTGGCAATCACGAACTGCTCCACAATTTCATCGCGCGACGACGGGTCCTGTAAGCACTTGTCTCTCTTTCCGACCACCCCCGCTTAATCCTCCGAAGCCCCTGGCTCAGTTTATTTGAACCCGATTTTTTCTCAGATGAAAAATCCAAAAGATAGCTCGATAGACGGAAAACGTGACTAAGAATATTCTCGAAACGGATTATTTCTGATACCTACCTGCGTCTTCTTTTTCCACGTGTCGATAGTCTTCGACCATTCGCACGGCTTGAGTCGCTCGCACGCATTCTCGATCCGATTCTTCTCCTGAAAACGTGCGATTATGAAAGAGCAACGCCTCAATTACGCCCGATCGGAATGCGAAAGTGCAGCGCTTTCAGTCTATTTTCAGGCGGCGATTACGTCGGCGGCGGATGACCGCAAACCAAAATAACTGGTGATTGTTGTTTAGTTTTCGAGAGAAGATTCGAGAACCAGCAGGACTCGGTGTTTACGGGATTTCAAAGGAAATTGAATGGGGATCAGCGAGGGATCATATTCTAGGTAAGGTCCGTTTCGCGACTCACATGCACGGATAACTGCTTTCTCGCCCGATGCGAATTTCCGGAGACGAGCCACGAGTAGTCGGGTCGACGCTCCGCTTTCCGCTCTTCCTCCGCCTTCAGCTCCTTCTCCGTCTCGAACCGAACGACCGCCATTTCGATTTCCCCGATGACCAAGTCGAAAAGAAGGTAGTTCTCTCCGTATCCGATGTTTTTCCGATCGTCGCGCGCACTCTGCGTCTCCGACGGCGCGTCGAAGCTTCTCGTCGAATTGTCGGGGAAAAGCCAACGAAGCATGCTCTGGAAGTGTACGAATGAGCGCGAAAAACCTCAGAACCGGGGGAAAGCGGCGGGAGAGAACAACCGAATCAAAGCGGATTATCCGATTTTGAATCATCGTTTTCCTCGGCTTTATACGCGCGAAGTGGCATAACACGCGTTGCCATAGAAATGATGAGTAGGGAACTCAAAGTGGGCGGAGTCGCCGCATGAGCTCGCTCACTCGTGCGAGGGGGGATTGAAAAAAACATTTATTCAGCTTTCGGAAAACTTATCAAAGTAGACACGAGCGATTCGTGGCGGTTTTAACATTTGAATGAATACTGAGAGAAAGCGACAGGAGTTCAAAACGCATAAAAAGCGGTGATGAGTCAGAAGGAAGCTAGGCTGTGGGTTGGGCGTAAAGGGGAAGAATTATGAAGATTTTTCAGGTTATCTGGTTCGATAATCTGGGAACGTTTTTGTCTTCTCATAACCGAAAAAAGGACAGATTCATAATCAGACAGAATAAAATAGGGAGGAGAGGAGTGATTACAGAAATAATAGGCGGTAGGACGGCGTCGATTATATTAATACCAGATTATTGTAGGACGGGGAAAAGATGAAGCTTGAGTATCTTGCAACTTGATAAACATTTGAAAAATGACAGAAAGTGTATCAGTTACGGCTCGAAGCGAGCTCTCTTCTGTGGCGGAGCTGAATTTTGATAGTGGAATCCTGGGTTTGGTGGAACTGGCTGCGGCGGGAAACTGCGGCCGACGGGCATCTTCTGCTGATCCTGAAGCCATCTGACCTGGGTTGCTGGTCCATACCCCTGAAACAAATAGTAAAATGTAAAAATGTCCGAGTATTAAAACGAGAACAAACTTTTTCGTTTCTGGCGGCGATTCTGAAGATTATGGCCGGTTTGTTGGACTGATCCACGTAGGCAGTGACCAGATTCGCCTGCGGAACCTGGCATTCGGCCTGTGGTCCGCAATACACTCTCATAAAAGCGAGTTGATTGTCAGTGGTGTTGGTCGCTTGATTCTTGACGGCCAAATAGACGCTGTACTCGACAATCTTTCCGGAAACACTAGCGTTTCCTGGCGGCTCCCATGTGAGCTGAGCACCGTCCAATGACTTTGTAATCCGAATGGAGGAAGGAGCACTTGGGAAGCCGGGAACGCATGTCTGAAAAGACGGAGTGCATCTCGAATGGCGAGCAGAGTGACTAACCCTTTCACTCACCTTGTATGAGGATGTCTCACTCCAAGCGCCTTTTCCCAAGCCATTCAAGGCGGCCACACGGAACCGATAGGTCTGTCCATTAATGAGAGGGACCTTGTCTTCAGCAGTGTAGCACTTATCATTAATGCATTTATTGGCCTGTTGATTGACCAGATCGTGCAGTTGCTTTTCAAGACGCTGCTGACGGTCATTGAAGTAGTGTGTGACGATGATTGACGTCTGATCGATGATTCCGACGTCGAACCACGGAAGAATGTCGTCCTCGGGTTCCGGTCTCTTTGGTGGTTCTTCTGGCTTTTTGGGCTTCTCGTCGACAGTTGATTCTTGAGTTGCAGACCCTTCAATCTTCTCGGCGGATTCAGAATCAGTTGGTTGGCTGTCTCCGGATGCCTTTGGCGACGACGCGTTGGTCTCGTTCTTCTCTGAATCTTCGAAAAGATCTTGAGGCAGTCCTCCTTCATCTGCCGTTGGCTTCGATGGCGCCGGGGCAGTGTAGGTGGTTCCCTGAGTAGATATGACAGATCCGGTCTTCGGATCTCCTTCGCCCTCCTTCTGAAGCGGGGTTGGTGCAGGTGGCTTCCGTGGAGTGATCGGTCCGCGCATTTTAGCTGCTTCCTTCGTCGGGGTCATCGCATCTCTTGCATCACCAAATCCGATTTGCAGAAAGTATGATTGAGCTCCTTCGACTGGCTTCCAATTAAGATCGAGCGAGTGGAATCCTGCGCGAGCGAGTTGAACCCTTCCTGCCTGAGCTGGCTTCACGGTATCGAGAAGCCACATGTCACGGCAGCACACTTGATTACTCCAAGCCTTTCGATAGCCGTCTCTTCCCGACCAGATGTACATACGACCTCCGACTGCAGCAGCACAGTGACCAGATCGTCCACGTGGAATATCCTCTTCTTCATACGAGTAGAGATTGAGTGGAATCCACCGATTCTCAGCGACATCATAGCAGCCCAAACTGCTTGTGCACTTCCATTCCTTCTCGTTTAGATTCTCGGTATCGATCTGTTCGGTAAGTGGGATCCATCCTCCGTAGACGTACATCTTTTCTCCTATTAACACCGACGAGTGAAGAGATCTCGGCACTGGAGGAATTCCAGCCCGTGGATCCTCAAACTTGATCTCCGTCCATGTCATATTGCTCAGATCAAGATAAAACAAATCTCCGAGTCGCGAACTGTTCATTCCGGCGTAAACGACCATTCGGCGGACGGTGTCAGTCTCGTAAAGAACAGCAGTGTGCGACTCGCGAGGGCACGGGGGCTCTCCGTGCACCTCTGGCATCTCCCAGACCAAATTGGACGACGAAGCTGCCAGACTGATGGTATACAAGTCATTCAGGTAACGCGGAGCGTTTCTTCTGGTATCGTTGAGCGTGTTGCAAAGTCCACCGAACAAATATGCAATCTGGAAACGAGAAAATTGCGATGCTGAACTTCCACGCCAAATTTGATCTCACCTGTGATTTCTCAGAAGCAACGAAACTGTGTCCGAGGCGAGCACATGGGAATTCAGTACCGCCCATCACTCTGGGGTTCAACTTGCGCCATTCCCAGCGTGTAGCATTGAGCTCATACAGATCATTCGTGTACTTCCCGTATTCGACCATTCCTCCGAACATATAAATCTTGACGCCGATGGACGTTGCTCCGAATGCAGCACATGGCGGAGGTGGTTGTCCGTGAATCTGGGGAGCTACCCACTCGTTTTTCACTGAAAATGGGCATAAGGAATCAATAAGAACAAGTAACGTACCTGTATTGAATACATGCAACTCGTCTATCATTCCTTCGTTTCCACCGCCAAAAACCACAATCAAGTCCTTTATGGTGAGCGCTTTGTGTCCATGTCTCGGTCTGAAAAGCACGGTTACAGGAATTAATTTAGAAAGTGCGAACCTTGGAGTCGGTCCTTTCTGAGGATTCACTGTACGCCACCGAACTAGCTTCTTTTCGGTCTCTTCATGTTGAACATGCTAAAATCGATAATGACAGAGTATTAATAAAAAGGGGCCACTTACATCTGGCGGAGAATATTCGGTTCCACCCGGTGGGTGGTGTTCACTCATTTTACCTGAAAAAATATTTTAAACTCGAATTTACAGGTGGAAGCAGTCGAAAATGACAAGAAAATCGTTATGCGGGTCCCAAATCTGAACAAGCGCTTCGAGACGACGGTTGGCTGTGTGCCAGGTCCTATAGAGCGCATTTGCATCAGACCATTTTCGAATTTCGCTTGAATTCTTTTTTGACATTTTTGGAGACAACTCGCAATTGAAACTCAGAGAAAACATTCTTCAGAGAACACAATGAGGAAAGAAATTGATGTTACTGCTGAAAATTTAACAAAATTAGCTCCAGCCAAGGTAACACAACTAAATAAATAAAATGTTGCCAACGGTTTCTATATTTTGCAGACACCGGTCGAAACCACGCAAAGAGTGAACAGCCTGTCGTTCAGCTCGAAAGGAGAGCACATGATAATGTCGACGGACGATGATTCCATGTTTCTGTACGATATGCACACCGGTCAGAAGTCCCGCAGCGTGAACAGCAAGAAGTACGGATGCTCTCACGTCAGATTCGCCTCCGATGGTATATGCGCTCTACACGGATCTACCAAAGTTGACAGTGAGAATATTATTTTCATTGAAAAATTAATAGACTCTATTCAGACACCATCAGGTATCTTTCACTGACCGACAACAAATACCTGCGTTACTTTCAAGGACACGACGGATTGTAAGATCATTTTGCCCCTGAAAGCATTAGAAAAATGATTATATTCAGAGTGACCGGAATCAACGTCTCACCGATGGATGACATGTTTCTTTCGGTCGCCGAAGACAAAACTATTCGATTATGGGATCTGAAGACGCACAACTGCATCGGTCTCATGAATCTAGCCGCCACGCCGATAGCCACATTTGATCCGGAAGGACTTCTTTTCGCTGCTGGACTAGACAACAATACAGTTAAACTGTACGATTTGCGCTCTTTCGACAAGGGACCTTTCTCGAGTTTCCCTGTTGCAAACGAAACTGACTTGGAGTGGACTGCGATGCGATTCTCTCCGTGTGGAAAGTACATTCTCATATGCACCAACGGAAATCAACTTTTGTACGTTTGGCTCAAAGATCTTGAAATCATGAAGCGCTGTTTTCAGCCTTCTGGACGCATTCTCGGGAGTTATTAGACACGCGCTTTCCGAGCATCAGAACATTCAGAAACTTCCTCTGTTGGCCTCGTTCACCCCCGATTCGTCGCACATCATGGTCGGAAGTTCGGACGGCAACATATACTTTTACGACGTCGAGACGGGCCGAGTCGCCCACACCAGTTCGGTCCCCGGAGGAGATGTCCTGCACATCACCGAGTTCAGTCCGGTTCACTTCGCTGCGGCAACTACCGGAAAACAATTAGTTTGTTCATTTCTATCTGACAAAAGTATTAATAAACTTATTTCAGACTCTTTGGTGCGCAAACGACGAATTGAAGAACTCTGGGTAAATTTATTCGCTTGATCTCTCGATATTCATCTTTATCGGGATCCTGATATTTGGAAAAACGCCCTTTTATGGTCTCACTTTGCAATTTTATTTCGTGAAATGGAATCCTAAATAAATATTAACTTGCTTCAATTCTTGTCTTCTGGTTATCTGTGTGTTGTCACATAATTACTATTTTCATAACGGTTTCATCGAAACTCGTTCATTCATAATTTACAGATAAAAGATGTACGAAGAGGTAAGTTGCGCAGTCGAGTACATGCCATTTGAACGCCATTTCAGGAACAACTAATAGCCATGAAGGCGGAGACCTTCCAGGCACTAACGCCGACTAAAGTAACGTCTTCTTTTCAGAATTAAAAAGAAAGTAAATGACATTTTAGAGATTCGAAGACACCGCAGAAAAGATAACAGATGTGTCGTATTCAGAAGACGGAAAAGGGCTAATTGTGTCTGCAAATGATGTCATTCTCGTTTACGATTTGAACGACGGGACAAAAACAAAAAGTGTAGGTGTTTGGAAAATCGAACGAGATCCTGCAACCGTGTGGGACACATTCCAGATCGAATGCATGAAGTACGGAGTGGACGTGCTCGAGTACTCCGACTTCGACGCTTGCATTCACAGTTCCAACAAGCACAACCACGACGTCAGGCTGCTGAGTCTCACGAAAAAGAGTTATGTGCGGTACTTCCCGGGACACACGAAACGCGTCAATTGCATCACAATGCATCCACGCGACGGATCCACGTTCATGACTAGTTCACACGATCAGACGCTTCGATTGTGGGACAAGAGAACCTTTGAAAACATTGTGCGCACTTTCATCCCCTGTATATTTGATGTGACAGTGAATTTCAGGGCTTCATGAACATTCTCAACGTTCCCCTCGTGGCCTATGACCCGGAAGGGCTTCTGTTCGCAGTGGCCACTCGCAGTGAATCCATTAAGCTGTTCGACGTGCGCTCCTTCGACCTGGGCCCGTTCAAAACGTTCCGAGTGATGAAAAACGACGACGACGAATGGACGAACATCGAGTTCAGCCCGTGCGGCAAGTTCATTCTCGTGTCCACAATGGGCGGAGGAGTCAAGTGGATCGATTCGTTCCTCGGAAAAGTCGTCCATAACTTCTCGAGTCATAAAAACCCAAATGTAAGTTTCTGAGCCTACAACCCGCTGAAAATCGTTCGTCTTTTCCAGAATGTCCCTCTCCGAGCAACTGTCTCCACAGATTCGCAGTTCGTGATGGTCGGCAGTGCGGATCGCTTCGTGTACGTCTACTCGACAGACTCCGGAGAGATCACGTGCAAACTGAGGACACCGTTTCCCACGCCCGCACACATCGTGGCCTTTAATCAGAAGCAGTTCCTCCTGACGTCCATCAGCAGAGAACTCATTCTGTGGGCTCCCCGCGAAGATTACGTGTGAACCGATCATCCTAAAACTGCCTATTCTGATCTCTTGTGCATATGAAAATAATTTCTGATACTCATCATAAAATATTCGTCTTAAGGGGCAACATGCACAATAAAGTCAAACAACAGATCAGAAATGAGATTCAACAGGAGAACTTCTCCTTGATGTCTGTGGCCTCGGCGTCGGACAAATAATCGCAGAGGATGCGGATTCTCTCGCGTTCCTCTTCGTTCATCATCAGGATGGTGATGTCGAAGCGATGGATGTTAGTCATCATGAGGAGACGCTCGTAAAGATTTTCGATCTCGAAGCCGGCTTGCAGATATTTGGCGAGCGAATCGAAAGTGAGTGCGAAGTCGGAGTGATCGAAAACGTCGTTGAACAGGTGGTACGAGGTGACCGGGATTTGCTGCAAAGTCAATGAGGTCAAGCTGTGAATAGAGTAATGATTACCAAGAAATACTCTGCGAGAAGTGTGGGATCCTTGCTCAGAAATGCGATTGTTGCCGAGAACTCTTGGTAGTTGCTCGGGGGATCAGGAAGCCTGTCCACTTGCGGTCTCGGCCGTCGCTCCTTCACAATTTCCTTCGGAGTCTCAGTTGGGAAGAGGGACTTGTCGAACGAAATGGCAACTTCTTTGAGCGGTTCGGTCGACTGCATGCACTCGGTCCTTTGGACCGGGCACACGCTTACCGACTGCGCGTTTTTCTTTCCAATCAATTCGTCGCGTTTCGTTTGATTGTTCGCATTGTTCTCGATCTCGACGCACTTCTCCATGTCTTTAAGCGCCAATTCAAAGAGTCCCATCTTCCGGAAGGCTTGCGCGCGCCGATAAAAGGTTTTGGAAGTCAGCTCTCGGCTCGGATCAAGTTTGAGGGCTTCCGTGCAGTCCATTTGAGCCAGAACCCACATACTTTGATTCAGTTCAGTCTGAGCTCTGTTACTGAATACGACAGGATCCGCATAGAGTTCCAGGCTGTCTGTGTACTCGCGAATAGCCGTGGAGTAGAGTCGCTTCTTGAATGCTTCATTGCCTTTTTCTTTCAGACGTTTCGCTTTCTCTCTGACGTCAGTCATCTGAATAAAACCATAAAATAGAAACAAGCATGAAAGAGAGATATTTTTAAAAGGAAGTAACTATCAAGAGTTTAAGGATTCGACTCAAGCAATATAATTTATGTGCCACCCGCATATGTGTAAGTTTTTAAATTGAACAGAATCACAGAACGGTGAGAAGGTAATATAAAATCTTTAAATTAGTACATCGGTTATAAATAATAAAGATGATTAAAGCGATCCGTTTATATTTGGAAGTTTCGGATGGATCGGAAATCGGCTCGTAGTTTGACGAAGTCATGGATCAATTGTCGATCAACGTTTTCGAGGAGCGGAGAATGGGCGGCGTCGTTGAGATTATCGGGCAGAACGGCGAGAAGATTCGTGAGAGCTTGAAGACTTTCCCACTGAGCAAGGGCCTGCTGAACCCGCCACTTGGACACGAGCGTTCGTAATTCCCCGACGTCACAAAGAAGAAGGACGGCTCCTGTGGAGTTGTACGTGAATTGTTGGATGTGGTTGAGCATGAACTTGAACAGACGCGTCGCCAGATCGGATTGCAATGCTTCCAGATTCTCTCCGTCACATCCCAGTTCCATTGTAGCCACTTGGCTTGCGAGGAACCGCGAAGCCGCTTGACATTGCGGGGACACCTGAATGTCGACCTGCGACTCGGGCCGGAAGTCCGTCTTCTTCTGTTCACTGAACAAGAACCGCACGTATCCAACGATGCTGTTCATCTGACGTTCCAGTCCGAGACTCATTTTGGACTCGAGCGAACGCAGCGACTGCTGCCATTTCTTTGCCAACGACGGCTCCACTATTGTTTCTCTGAACATAGGTTTACGTAATTTCTCAATTTTCGCAATTTCTTACTTTATTATTGGGAAAATCGGATCTTCGAACTGCTTCATCATGAGAAGCACAATGCTTGTGCACTTGGCGACGATCGAAAAGAAATAGGCGGGAGGCTCGGTTTTCGACTCAGCCAGAGAGATTCCGGCGAGTCCGATTTCTACGGCGTAGTCCAAGTGCTCTCCGTACAGATACTTGAGAAGGACGTCGACGACATTCTCCACGTGACGGGGCAATTCTTCCTTGTCGCACAACTAAAGCTCCCATTATCTATTGATGCGATAGCTCTACACCGTTACCTGAACAGCACGATTGAACGCATTTTTGGTCTCCTGGAGGATGGAAATCGCGACGTCCTCGGCCAGGAACGTCTCCCCTCCGTACGTCTCCACGTTCATGAGTCTCGCAGTGACGTCTCTCTTCAACTCGTGCAATCCTCCTCCTATCTGTTTTTTGACGTGCTTCTTTGATTCATAGAATTTCGCCAACAGATGCGAGCATTGTTCATTCAAATAAGACAGTTCCTCGTGTCTGTAGGTCGAGATGTACCGTTGGAAAATGGAATCGGTGAGTGTCGAAAGGAACGCGCTGTCCGGACTGATGTGCAGCTTCTCGAGCTCTTTGCACATTTTGAGAGTGCTCGAGTAGAGAGACGCCAGATCGCGCAGGTAGTGCTCGTGGTCTTCGGTGTCCTTGCACTCGCGGAGACGTGCGTTAATGGTCTCTTTCATTCGGCCAGTGAACAAATTCAGCACAAGTTTCTGCATGACCGTGTGAGGGGACGGGAAAATGGCCGAGATGCGAGGCTGTTGAGTACGGCACAATTGGAGACAATCAGCCAGAATCTCGCCGCCATCGCCACGTGGATGGATCGACTGGCAGAGGTACTCGACGTATCGGTCCACGCATCCCGAGTATCCTTTAAATTCACTCAGGATCTTCGCCACTTCCGCCATCTTTTTCTCGTCTCTCTGCGACCGGACAAACTCCTCGATGAGCAGATCCTCGACCACTTTATACCGCTGCGCGATTCTCGCCTTAACCGTCGCAAACTTCTCTTTATTGAGTTCCTGAGATATCGAATAGAGTTTGTGCACGAGATCGGCCGACTCGAGCAGTTTATCCGGGTCGGTGAAAATCAGTGAATTGAGCGGCTGATCGGAGAGGAAGACGTCGAAGTGCTGCATGAGTTGGTAGGCGTCGTGGGCACGGGAGCGTGGTTGATCGACAGATTCCAGCTGATCTCCCAGATGAACCACTTTCGTCGACACGTTTTGCATCGTCGTGTCCAACTGCTTCATCTTATCGATCGCTTCCGAGTTCTTCTCGTGGAGTCTTTGCAATTTCTGCACGTAATCCTTCTTCTCTTCGTTCATCTGCTTCTCGAGCAAATCGATCTTGCTCTGAAAGTTTAGTATGTCGATATCTTCGGATATCCGAACCTGAAACTGGTCGCAAAGCATCTGCAAACTGCCGATTTCCTCCTCAAACATTGACTTCAGGGACACGGGATCGTTGATTGTCTGGGCCCTTCCGGTCATTCTCCATGCCAACTTCTCCACCAAATCGATGGCGTCGAACGGTTCCTGCTCGAGATCCTGGACGTACGTCACGTACTGCCCTCCGCTCATCTGAAGTTTCCTTAATTCTGTGTCCGAAGTTTCGCTTTCTATATTCAGGTACTTCATGGTCGTAATGAACCATTAAAATTCACTTGTCTTCTTATCATTCGAATTTTTTAATGCATCATAAAGCACGATTGTGTCAATATTGTTGAGCAAAAATAACTGAAAGTGAGAGAAAATAAAAGCATGCGAAGAAGGCGACTTGGTGGGTGAAATATGGCATCGGATTCAATGGTTGGCTAGGATACAGGGTACAGCAAGATTATGCAATATACAGAAAATCATTAGGATAGTTACTCAGTTTCTATTTACATCAGTTCTATTCTACTGTATCGTTTTCTCTTTCTTCTTCTTCTCGTCCTCGTCGTCGCCGAAGAAAAGCAACGGGAACATTCCGATGAGACATCCGATGGTCAGTCCGGCCGCCCGTGCTGCGTTTGTCGTGAATCTTGCCTGAATTGTTCACATTGCATTACAGCTTCCAGTTAGCTTTGTTCACTTTTCCACTCTCTAACTGTTCGGATGTGAGAACGGGATGCTTGATTCCGACGCGTTGCACGGCCACTTCCACATAATGAGCCAGTCCGACGCCAGCAATGTCCGATATGAGGTTGCCGAGAGCAGCGGCCGCCATCGTCGAGATTGCCAGAACGGTTCCGAGTTGTTGATCAATGTACTCGCCAGCGAGGATCATGATCATATTGTCAAGGACTCCGAATCCAATGAAAGGTATCGAGTTGACAAGGAAAACTCCCTTGACTTGCTCCGGAGTCAGCTCTTCCACTTTCCCTTTCTCCTTTTTCGATAGACAGTTGTTCAGCGCAGCTTGGAGCATGTGCTGCTCGGTTACTGTCAGTCGACTCGCGATCTCCATCGCATCGTCGGGTGTCTCAATGATCAGCTTATCCAGGTGCTTGAAGGCGGCCGTTGTCGAGCATCGAGAATGCGCGAGGCCACCGTTCAGAAGCACCCGAGTGCCCGCTCTCCCGATTGTGACGAATGCCATCCGAGCCGGCGAGCTGATCATTTCTCCCAATGCCTTACGGCAACCTGCAACTTCTATTTATAACGTTTCAAATCAAAAACATCAAAGATATAACGAACGGAGAAGAAAACCGCTGCAAAAAATGAAAGTGAGAAGAAACAACAACAGATAACAAATTTATAAAAACCCATTTTGTACAATAACCGAAAAGTGAGAAAAAACAAAGAACAGGTCTACTGCGGGTGTCCTCCCCGCCCTCTTCTGCCCCTTCCACGACCTCGTCCACGCCAGTTTTGATCCATGTCTTTCGAAGTGTGCTGTTCGAGAACCTATAAATTGACAACATTATACGATTCCTCGGTGACTGTTAAACCTGCTCTTCGTGCGTTTTCGGTCGCTCGAAAGTGCCCGTGTTTCTTGGTCGATTGTTTGGAGGTTGTCTGTCTGAAAACACGAGGGAATGCGAGACAGGGGAGATAGTGAAATACCATAGCTCTGCTGACGGAATGTTTCCTTTTTAATTCCGACCATCTCGTCGGTCCGTCCTCCTCTGTCTTTCGGAGCGTCGCCAACTGAGAGAGGATGTGGTTTACTCTTTGTTCGATTCCTTAAACAAACAGAAAACTTAAGTTCAGTTCCTTCCACTCAGTTACCTTCTTTCCATCGCAGATGCCTTCTGGATGTAAAGAAGAGATGAGCTCGCGGAAAGAAGATGTGCCACGCCACTGTTCGCACGCACCTTTCCGATTTCTTCGACACGGGCTGCTAAAATGGACTGGATGTCAGCTTTGTGTGCCTTCAAACGATCGTTCCACAGGAAAGATTCCACGGTCACTTTGAGACGGCTGTTCAGAAGAAGGAGACGATTGCAGAAATCTCGAGAGAACGCTTCGCATTGCTTCTCAATTTCGGGCAGTGTTTTTCCGTCGAGACTGGCCTTGAATAGAGGATTTCTGTGACTTTGTGGTACTCGGCCGTCTGCTTTTTGTCTCAATGATTCTAATAATTTCCATTCGTTCGAAACTCCAGCTTGTTTCAGCACATTAAGAGTTTTCAATGCGGAATCGATGACGGGAGTCAATTCGAGATCACGTCTTTCGGAAATCTTGAATGAATAGCTTATTATAAATTGAGTTTGTTTGAAACTCACAATCTCTCCGGATTCAATCTTTCGGAGTGTCACCAGACGAGCAGCCTTCAATTCCGAATCAAGAAACTTCGAAAGAAGATTTTTGGCAGCCGGAGAGTCGATACGAGAAGTGATCTCTCCGCAGGTCAATTCTTCGTGCGGACATTCTGAAATCGGTATAATATTTTTCAAATATCTTTCTAAATCGATACCAAGTTCGAGAAGAAATGCACTGAGATCATAAAGAAATTCAATGAGATTCTGTTCGTTTGGCTGCCTTACACACTCTTCAATTTCATACAAATCACGGATTTCTGCACACTGCTTGGCTATTTCGATGGCAAACTCGGAGGTTATTCCATCTGACATTCTGAAAGCATTCAGTAATCAAACGGAAGACATCGAGAGAAAGCAGAGATCGGGAGCTGCGGTAAACAACCGAAAAGTTTACACTTTGAGTTAGTGGCCACTGCGATTGATTGGGGAGAAAACTGGAGATTCTGGTGACATCTTACGAAGCGCTCCGTTTGCGATCAATAATGTATGCGTTTCTATGTAAGCTTTTGAAAATATAAAACGGAAAAACGCTTAGTTGCCATTGGTGTCATCGTTTTTCAAAACCAAATCTTTGTCTTTGAAACTGCACGTTTGTCCAAGAGGAGTACACGGCCGACCAATGTTCTGCGCGAACGGACGGCCTCGAATACAAAATAAAAAAACGGGCGGTCCAACATAATAGAACTGGGCAGAATAGAACCGCGACACAATAGAACCGGCCACAATATAACTGATTGAAGCGCCTTTTAAACCTTTCTGTAGAATAATTGTTTCGTAGAAAAAGATAATTTCTAAATCTCGTGATCGATTTATTGCATTTATTAATTTCACTTCCGTCGTGATCCTTCTCTATGGTAACGAAAACCCACAGAAAATAATTTTATTGTACTATCAAAAACGAAAGGAAACCAATTTTCTAGGTATAAACTGTGGTCTTCTGCTTCATTGTTCGAGAGACGAAACATTTTGCAAAAGTTAATTGAAAGGAACGGACAAAATGCTCATATAAATACACAAAAACAGGTCCATTATGTCGCGGTTCTATTATGTCGCGGTTCTATTGTGTTGCGGTTCAATTCTGCGCAGTTCTATTATGTCGCAGTTCTTTTATGTCGCGGTTCTATTCTGCCCAGTTCTATTATGTTGGACCGCCAAAAAACGAAAACGGAGGTTTTGAATAAATACTTGAAAATCATCATTGGAAAAAAGACTGTATAACCGGAAAATAAATATCACACATGAGAATCTCGACAAATACTTAATTGAGAACTTTGGAACGAATACATTCATTCATCATGAAAATGTGGAAAAATGGCAAGTGGAAAAACCCTCAGAAAGTCATTCCAACTTCACAGAAATTAGGTAAATGAAATCAGATAATTACAGATATGAACAGTGAGCTAGTAGATTGTCAATTACAAGAATGTTAATGTTTTATCATGAATTTCCACAGATCTTCCACGTGATTCGCGAATCCGATTGAAAAGACGATGGCGGAAAGGGCAGGGAGGACCATCGCGGGTGTCGTTTTGTTCCTGAGAATGTTGGTATGAAGGATTTCAAGAGATCCATAGACGTACCTCCAAATGGAAGAGAAGACGGTGACAACGAGAGAAGCGAAAACGGCGGTGAAAGTTATAGCAAAGAGATTCGTATCGTACATGGAACTGTACTTGAGAACGACATTTAGAAAAATGCCAGGAACCATGATGTCGAGTGCCGCCAAACTCTGCTTGTTTCCATTCAGATCACGAGGGACCAGAATCATGAGAGGAGCCCGATTCTCTTTTGTTACCGTACCTAAAATATGAAATCAATGATGAGAAGACGAGGGAAAACGAACTGAGAAGGTCGACGACGTAGAAGAAGAACAGATCGAAAAGAGACATTCCGACGAGGAGAATGATGGCGGTCTGGTAGCTGACTGCTTGAATTCTGGAGCAGACGACGTAGATGGAGGCGAACGCGAGAATATCATTCGAGATCCAGTTGCCAGAGAATTCGTGGTAGACTCCAAAAGCCAGTGAGACGAGCAACGACGCGTACATCATTGATTCTTCGTGATAATAGAAGTAGAAAGCTACAATTGTTATGTTAGTTTGAGGTGGAAGGAAGAGAGTAGCTTACATAGATTCTGGCTGAACGTCTCCAGAAGGATGATGTGAATGCACGCGACGGAAGCCCAGATCGGTACGTGGATAGCGAACAGTTCGGCGATGATGTCAAGAAGACTGAAAGGGAATTCGTGAAATGCAGGACGTTTAAACAGCTCACTCAAGCTGGATGTAGACCCTCGGACCGCCTTCTGTGCTCGGAAGGAGACTCAGAGCACTCAGGGAATACGAAAACAGATCAATCTGCAAAAAGGAGTCAACTCATTCATTTGGTGTGCAAGAAGTCTTCCTCACATCGCCCAATTTTTTGTAGATGTCGCACTTGTCGGCGGTCGCATTGCGCTCGTCCCCGCACGTCCAAACGATTTGGCCCTTGTCGGGAGATCCGCTGAGCGACGACTTTCGGCTGGACCGCTGGCTGGCTGAAATCCAGTTGGTCGATCCCCTATTCGTCGCCAGAAGATCTTGTTTTGTCTTCGAATTGGTACGGCTCCGTTCCACTGGAGTGCTCGGCGCGGATTCTGAAAAAGAGGAGTTCAAATTACAATCGAAGGCTGCAAGAAAGGGATACCTGAAGGAATGATGTACTTGTTTTCACCCTCAGCATTCTCCACAATGAATCGGGATTTCGTCAGTTTTCTTGGGGGCAGCGCCTCGTCCTCATCACTCTCTTCCGCAATCTTCGGAGCAATAAGATCCTCCTCTTCCATTCGTTTCCGGTGACTTCGCACGGTGTTCTCGATGTCGGCCTCCTCAATATCAGACAACAACCCTGAATTGAGCGTTGTCTATTTCTCTATTTTGTTCTGCTCTCACTCCTGATTCTCTGCTGCTGTTCCGCCTGTTCATCCCCCAAAGAAACGGAAGCTCTTCGACTGATTTCACGGGAAACTTTCCTCGAATTGAAAGAGGACGACGCCTGAAATGGACAGAAAAAGTGATCGATCAATTAAGAGACGCCCTAGTGAACTGGTTGGTTATCTTCCGTCCGATTATCAGACGGCGAAGGCCGTTTGTCACGTTCGACACATTTTGTGATTTATCATCGACGAGAGAACCGCGTGGTAAACGCTTTGGGAAAAAGACAAGAAAAACGGATACGGCTCACTATCAAAAAAGAATAAGGAGATTCTTCCCACTCACCTTGAGCTCTTTTTCAGCTTCTTTCGCCATCTGTCGATCTCTTTCGATGTCGGCACTACGTTTGGTACCCAAGTAGACGAAATAGAGAACAATGGAGAGAATGAACGGAAGAAGTATTGCGGGAACTTTGTCCATGAACAGAACTGTCGTCGAGTCGAGCTTCAAATTCAAAAAATGCCTACCGGTCAAAAAACTAGGGATAAAATGACAAACCTCGAAAAAATAGACGGTTGAAGCTCTGCGACATGAATGATAGAGGACAACCCAAGAGAGAATGAGGATGCTCGTCGAGGCGGCCACCTTTGCCACGTCGTCGCGCATCGTTTTCTGAGCACCCTTGGTTTTACTCATTTCGCTTGTTTTGACGAGTCTCGTGCTACTCGCGAGACGATACGTCAACAAGAGTGCGAGACGGAGGAAAAGAGAGAAAAGGGAAGGACCGTACTATATAAAGACCTGTTTCCCTCTGCCGTGAGACAGGAAACGTGCGCCAGTGAGGCGAATGCAAAAGAAAGAGAAGGGAAAATCAATCTCCTCTCGGCCAGCGACCATCATTTTTAAAGAGCACCACAAACACGTGGTGTGCTCTGCAGAAGTTGTTTACGCAGGGCTAGTTCAAAAGAATGTCGAGCTGAGAAATGTCCGATTAGTAAGTAAGTTTTCCTTGGATGTCCTTACTTTTTTTCGACAACGTACAAAACGAATAATTCCAGCAACTGTTTATCAAATGGTGAAGGGTTCACATAGGAAAAGGGGGAGGGGAGAGAGACAGAGATTAAATTGACACCACATGATAAAACTTTGTAAACAAAACAACGAACGAAATATTATTATTATGGTGAACACCTTCTTATCAGTGATTCGAGATTCTTTAGGGGAATTAGCTTTCACGTTGCGGAATAGTGGTAATATTGAGTTGAGATGTCTTCTGTCATTTAGTTTCGTGGAGAAGCAGAACGGCTTCGGGAGCGGCTCTTAGAGCGGGATCTGCTCTTAGAGCGAGAACGGTCGCGTTCTTGAGGAGAACGAGATCTGAAAATCAACTTGGTAATAGTGAAAGTGACATATGAGTGAATTACCTCGAGCGAGAACGATCTCTCTCACGGCTGCGCTCACGGCTACGATCACGACTACGGTCGCGGCTTCTGTCGCGGCTTCGGTCCCGGCTGCGATCACGTCCACGCTCACGAGAACGAGAACGGGAGCGTCCACGGTCCCCGCGATACGGCGATCTGAATAAGGAGCATTTAAAGCGGCAATAAATTTTATGTCGGTTGCAGCTGCATCGTAGTTCGGCATAAAACAGCAAACAAAAAGTTCACCCAAAACCTTCTTACTGAATGCGAAGGGCCGGCCGACGGAGTCATGAAGAGACGAGGTTGTCGGATGCTCGGTTCAGGTACTACTGCGGCGAAGTTTTACTGATCAAAAACGTCAGAGACAAGTCGCTGGCGAAGATTTTGGGAGAAGAAAGAGGCGCGTAGTGGTGCGGAAGAGAAGAATGTGTCGTGAAGACAGGAGATGAAGAGGAGTGGAAGAGAGTGAAGTTTGGGATGGCAGATGGGGACGCGGACGGGCGGAGTCCGCTAAAATTGAAAATTTGGTCCTCGGCTTCTATGACTAGAGTTGGAATTGGAAAGAAATCGCAATAGAAAAAGAATAGTGACTGCGAATTCATTGGTGAAAATATTATCGAAAGCGGATAACATTTTGGTTCAACTGACCTGTCTCTTCCACGGCCACCACCGCCGCCGCCGCCACCTCCGAAGCCACCGCCACCGCGGCCTCCTCCATTGCGACGTTGTCCGTGAGAAAGTTCAACACGGGCGCGAACTCCGCAAATTCTCCTGAAATAAAATTTGTGACCGTTTTAATTTATCTCAATTCACTCACGATCCGTCGAGAGCGCGAACGGCATCTTCAGCGTCACGTCCATCGTCGTACTCGACGAATGCGAAACCTGGTGGACGACGGGCAACCCAGACTTTGCGAATTCTTCCGAAGCGATCGAAGATCTCTTCGAGCTGCAATAAACGTATAATACAAACGCCAAACATCTTTAATTTACCTCTTGCGATGTGGCATCGCTAGGCAAGCCGCCAACGTACACCTTGGCGTCCATCCTGAAAATGTTGCTTTTATACAGGCAAGAGAAACCGATTAAAACAATTGAGAACGAAAAAATGTGGATTTTACAACGTTTAAATGTACACAGAATCCAAAAAAACGTCTCTGAACAGATTGCGAAAAACGCGGCAAAACAATTCGATTTTGCGCAACGCGGCAGAGACGCGTCGCGGTCGATACGGTAACACTCGTTCGAACTGTGTCCTTTTCGTGCCAAGATATTCCGCATTCAAATCTTATTTTTCCGCTCGAATCGTGCTGGTTGTTGAAATTTCTAAGAATTTTGGACCTTTCGACAAAAATTGAAATTAATAATTGAAAAGAAAAAATCAGAAAAATTGGAATTCTGAAAAAGTTATTTCGTGTTGTCCTGATAACAGCGAGAACCAGTATTTTCTGAACAACTGTAGGATCAGTGTGCAAGAAACAAAGAGAAGAGAAAACCCGTTGAATTTTTATTGAATGCTAAAAGAAAACAGTTATTTGCTCAAGCACAAGAAACAGAGACAAGCGGTGAGTCCTGCCAAACAGCACATATCTCCTCCTCCGCCGTGACCTTCGTGGTGATGGTGATGGTGATGCGGATGACAGTCATCAACTCTGAAAAAGAGAATAATGGTGGTTCTGGGTGATATCATGCTCACATGACTGTTTGCGGTTGCTGATAATACACTGCATATGCTGGCTGCACCCCTTGTCCAATAGGAACTCCAGGCTGAACTGTGTACACCGCTCCAGGAGGCGGAGGTGGATACGGATTGTAAGCCTGTTGGAAAGATTAATAGCATGAAACTTCCTAGATCAGAGAACTCACTTGATTGTAAGGCGGTGGCGGTGCGCTCATTGTGAACAACTGAAAGAGGTGATAAGGGAAAAAGATCGGCGAGGAAGTTTATAAAATACTTTCCCATATTTGCTCGTCGCTGATTCACCTCCGAGTGACGAAAGTCTGTCTTTCCATTTAATCGGTTCGACAGGGAACGAATCACTTATTTATTAGTCACAAGTATGAAAATCATCATTTACACAGTAAAGAGGTCCGGTTTGGTGTCTATTCTCAGAGAACGGTACTTTTTGTAGGTGGAGTCAGGCTGAAGCTGTCGAATGAAAATGGCAAGAAACACGAAAATGAGGATGACAATGAGGGAGAAAGTGTTGGAAACCTGCTGGCTCGAACGGAAAACGTCTTCCTCTGCCAAAAGATCATGGTCGAATTTGAGATCTCTGGCGTGGTAGAGCATTGCTCCGAGAGCCCATTGCATCTCTTCGCCGGCTATTTTCAGGACACTCTGCAACATAATAAATGAAAAAAGGTTTCCGTAGATTAAGTCGTTCACCTGGAATAAATTCTGCTTCTTGTCCACATTGAATCCCTCGTGCAACACGGATGCCACCCACGCAGCCTTGAAACAGTTCGTCTCAAGTCTTTCAAATTCGGCGTTTGGGAACTCGTTCTTTTTGAATCCTTCTTGAATATCATCCCATTCTTTCTTGCAGAACATTCGCACTTCCTCTGCGAACTTTTCGAAATCGTAGTCTCCTCCGGCGCCGAAGTTGTTGGTCGTGTACCAATATTCCGAGAATCCGTACAATTGCACGTTCGAGAGGTTGACCGAGGGAGCTGGTACGTGGCGGAGGAAGCACATTTCTTCCGAGCACACTGGCTTGTTTTTGTCGCCGATCAGAGAAGAAACCTGGGCAAGACACGTGTCCCATTGACCGGATCCCTGAACGAATTGGGTGGATGAAATAGAGAAGCGTCAGAATTTACATTTAGAGCCCTGGCTCCGATCTGCCTGCTGAGTCCTCTTGGTGAGCACGAATCTTCGGATTCTCCCCGTTCAATCAGCGACTTTTCGTATCTTTTGAGCCCTTCGTTGGCTCCGTAACCGAGGAATGTTGTCGAGTATATTTTGTATTTGAAGTCATTGTTGTATTCAACCGGTCCCAAGTTTATCTGAATCATGTACGATCCTTCTTCTTTGTCCGTTTGTGTTAATATTTACCTCAAACACATTTTCACTGTTGAAGTCTTCTTCCTTCGGCATTTCGAATGCGATCTGCACACTCGCACCTCCCATATCAATCATTCCCACTTTCGCGTCGTTCTCCTTTTCGAAACGTCCCAAAATGTAATTAACTGCAATCCAACTGTAAATGCCCTCCCAGGCGCCGTCGATGATCCGAATGTTCGAGTCTTTCACTCGCAGTGACGTCACTCCCTTCAAACCGTTTCTCAAATGTTCAACAATCGCCGTTTTTTGTCTGAAATTAAGATATTTCCCGGTTATTTTGATTTTACTTACGTTTCTGGAAGCAGTCTCATTCCAGCCGTTGCAAAAATCAAAAGATCTGTTTCTGCTATTTTATCGGCCGGAATGTGCTCCTCGGCGAACTTGAGCAGAGGGGAAATGTACTCTGAAATGGCAGATTCTGTTTGAGAATGACCGATTTCTCTACCCACCGATAACTTTTTCCGGTTTTTCTCCGAACGTGCTCAGGCCGGGAGAGATCTTCTTGACGACGGGCTCTTCCGAATGGATCATCGTGTCAATGTCAGTCAGTCCGACCGTTCTTTGTCGTAATGTGTACACGAAAATGCGAGTTCCGCTCGATCCCGCATCACAAATTACTCCGTACTTCACATCTGCAATTATTATCGGTTCTTAGCAATTGGTCCTCGATGACTCACAATTTGCTCCTTGCGATACGCTTCTCGTCGATCTCGGATTCTCGTCGGAACTTCCGATTGTAAACGGAGCAACTGTGAATATGATGAGCAGGAAGGAGCAAGTGAGCAGGAAACCGTACACGTTGAGACTGCGCATCGGCCACCTGCAAACGAAGTCTGAATGAAGCTTCGATCCGCTGCCGCCAATGACTGGATTTTTATCTCGAATCGCCATCGCGAGGCGGCTTACGGCGGGCGAAACACGCAGGAATACTGTTGTGACGTCTTCTCTGTACACTGCTCTACCTAAAGCAACTTGAACACGCATTATAAATTGGTCAAGCGATTTATAAATTGAGATATAATGAAGGAAAATGTAAGACGTGGGATTAGATAAATGGTACAAGACTTAGAAAAAAGTGTCGATGTATGGCATAGGTTCGTCGTGTTTTCCCGGACGGCGCAGTTTCGCATTCAGACTCGGTTCTTTCATAGTTTTGATGTTCATCTTGGCAGAACGTTGGCGACGGACCTTAACCTTGGGGAGATGAGCAAAAAGAGAAAGGAATGAAGGCTTACAGTATCTGTAAGTTCGGATTCATCTTGACGTGCAATTCGAGCAGGAGTTGATGGCTTCTTAAACTTCTCAACTGAAGCACCTCGGTTTTTAGAGGCAGATTGCGGGGCTGTTCGTTTCGGGGCGATTCCAGGCGTTGCAGAGGGGACGATCAACATAGGCACACGCTTTGAGCTGACACCAGAAGAACTAGCATCTCCGGAATACATATCGTTAACTGCACACGCTGAACTTTGAATGTAATACGGAAAGACAATATAAACTTACGATTGAAGCTCTGGAATAGCTCACTCCTCCGCCCTCTCGTCGCATCACTTCTTTTCCGGGGCGTCCCGTTCTCCAGGTTTTGGGCGGATGATAAGTGTGAAGACGTCGTTTCGACAGGATCATCGTTCTCCATATCGTCTACCATGCTTTCTTCAATTCTTCGAATGGGAGATTCTTCTACTGAAACTCAAAACTCAAACGTTGATATCACCCTGAGCCCTCTAACCTCTATCCAAGTTTATTTCCGGTTTAGGCGGACGCCGATTGTTCAGATTGCTTGGTTTCGTTTCAATATCCTTGAACAGTCCGTTCATTTCCAGTCCGGTTTGTTGCAGAAACTGCACGAGCTTCTGATTGAGAACTGCCGCATGAGCCAACCGATTTTGAACTCTTTGTTCCACAATCATTTCGATCTTTTGGTCGTCCGTCACATCGACAAGCTCTTGATTTCTAAACTCGTCATTCTATTTTTGAAAAATGACTTGAGTGTTTTCTAAATACCGTTGTCGCAGTGCCACATTTTCGTCGCGGAGTTTCTCTATCATTTTTGTACACTGAGCAAGTTGTTGCTAAAATTCGCCATATAAAAACATCAACGAAAAGCTCCACCTACTTTATACATGAGATTTTTCCTGACTAACGATTCATTGGTGCTTTTGTAGTTGACTGGTAGTTCTGAATGCGATAAACTGCGGTTTTGAGCACAAAAAAGAGCGTACCTTCTTTTGACGTCCTTTTCTTTGATTGTGGGACTGCTCCAAATACCGACTGGGCGGTTTTTGAGTCCATTTATCAATTTTTGATTGAATAGGAACTGGGCGAGTGATGGCAAGCGAGCAGATAATTAACGATTCAAAGGATCGCCGTTTTGCCACTCGATTAGTGTTTGCGGGCTGTGCGCGCAATCTGACGCCAAAAATTGGTGGACCATTTAATGAACGGGTTCTCGTTTTTTTTTATCAATTCGCGATCGAATTGATATAAGTTCTGAATTACGAAAAGTTTTGTATTTGTAAATTTTCAGGTATGGAGAGACAAACAAGACAATCTGCACGGCAGAAGAATGCTGCAAGCAAAGCAGCGGAAAGCCTCGTTGAGAAGGCCACAACAGCGCCGAGCAAGACGACGACGAGCAAATCGGCTGCCGGCAAGACTGCTCAGAATAAGACTGCTTCAAGCAAGGCATCTCAGAAGAAGCCGGCCGCAAGCAAGGCAAGCAAAACAGCCGTGAGTAAGGTTGCTCCGAGCAAAGCTGCTCCGAAGAAAGCTGCCCCTCCAGTCAAGGCTGCTCCGGCAAAGGCATCCACCAGCAAAGGAAACAACAACAAGCAGAGCAAACCGTCAACGAGCAAAACATCGGCAAGCAAGGCTTCTACCAGCAAGACTGCAAGCAAAAATGTCCCGAGCACTTCGACTTCGAGCGGGAACAACACAGAGCCGAGACATTCAACGAACTCCGACTCGAGCACTCAGGCCCCACTCGCAGATCAGCCCCAAGGATATGTCAGCAATTGGGATCGTCATTCTCTTAACGATAGGAGACAGTTTTTCGAACGAACCACCATTCAACGGATCAATGAGATGCAGGTATTCAGAAGAGAGCACGTCACTCTGCAAACTTCCACTCCCGCTCCGGATATCTCTCTACCCGCAAAGAAAACGGGCAAGAAGAACTAACAAGCTCTTTCTGATGTTATAAACTTAATAAATATTTATTAAATTATTCAAAATATGTATTTCCGTTTTGAATTTCTTGAGTTCACTTCACTTTGAACGTTATTCTTCTTTCTTTCGACATTCGCAATTTTCGTGTCGATGTCTCGTAATGAAGCGGTCATTTTCGAGACGGTGCTTTTGTCGCTCTGATTCCTTCGAATGCCTTCCTTCAATTTTTTATGTTTCGCTCTCAACGATTTCAATTCCAGGTCGAGGTCTAAATCTTTGACTCCCAGAGACTTTGAAGAGCAATCCGCCAATTCTTGTTTTTCTTTTCGCACATCTGCCAACGATCTCTCTCTTTTCCCCTGGAAATACTTTTATTGGAGGATTGAATTCCAAAATTCATGAAGGAACCTCGAGTTTTCTGTTGATAAAAGCAAAAATGTCCATCTCCGATTCGTCTGACGTCACTAATTTCTTGATTCGTTTCGGCTTCGGTTGTTCTTTCCCATCGATAACTTTTCTTTTTCTATTCATCACTTCATCCAACGACGCATCTGAAAGTTGAAACTGTCTTCAGTTTGTTCTTTTTCCCTTGACCCACTTTTGGAGCACACTCTCGCCTGTATGGCGTGGACAATTCCGTCGCTCTTCTTCCCGAGTCCTTCTCCCACTTTGTATCCCATTTTCATCATTAACTTCATTCCGACGCCTCCGCCGTTCCATTGTCCCGTTTCTCCGACTGACACTCTTCCCAGCGTCTCTCCTTTCAGTTCATCCCACGATTCGTCTTTCTTCTCCTCTTCTTCTTCCTCACCGATCGGCACCAAATCTTTCCGTTTCGCCGACACTTCCGTCCCGTTTTTCAGCAGTTTCACAGCCACGTTCTGTCCGTCAACGGCACTTATTCTTCCCATTTCCCACAATTCCGACGCTCTTTTCGTCAGCACTAATCCATCTTTTTCAATCGATGAATAGTTCGGCTCTTCATAGTCCCGTATTCTGTTCAATTCCACTGAATATCCGTGACTAAATCGGCAGTCGGAACCGAATCGACACGTGGAAGAGAGGAAGTGCGAGCAGGCTTTCATTGCGAAGCACGTCGGATGGGAAAAGAGCACGCGCACCCGGATCGAGCTCTCGATTTCCATGATGATGGCGGTGTGCAGGGAGAGGGAGCGGTCCGAATCGAATGGGGCAAGACAGCGGGAACCGAGCAGTTCGTCTGCAAAGAACCGTTGAGATGGCCAATGCTCACGGAGCACTGACCGGTCGAATCCCCTTTTTCTTCTTCTCCATCCTCCGTCTCTTCTTCTTGCTCCTGGAGCAGCTGGAGCAGTTCCTCTAGATCCGCTTTCGTCTGCTCTAGTTCCAGTCGGTTCGCTTCGTCCGTCTCTTCTATTATCATTTTCTCAATCTGATTTATTTGCTCTCTCGTGTTCTCGAGCTCACTCATTGTTCTGAAACTTCATTTCGTTGCCCATGTTCGCAAATTTTCAAATATTCAATGACTCTACTCTGCTACAGTTCAGAAAGTTCCGAATAAAGGTACTGTGATGGATTTATTACTAGATACACCGCTAGAAGGCCCTAGAAGTGAAACTAACAGAGAAAGTGTCATAGTGTGTATTATGAGAACTCACAACCATTTCAGCAGGGGTAGAAGAGCGAGACGACGGGGAACGGAAAGATAATGGGGTGCTATTGTACAAACTGTGAACGACATGTTAAAGCATAAGGACAGGGTTGGAGTCGGAAAAGGAGAGAGAGAGAGAGAGGGATGTATTAGGAATGACTAGGCAAAGAGCTGTCGGAATTCCATTGAGATGCGCATGGAATGAACGATTCGAGAGAATGGGTGGGGAATCTACAGTAATCCGCTTTTAGCGAGCTCCGATTGTAGGAGATTGAAGACATTCAGTTGATCCTGTGGATCCAGGGTCAGTATCTGAGTGATGAGCTTGGATGCATCTGGCACTCGGATGAAGCTGTGGATGTAGACCATGACGAAGGTTCCCATCAGAAGTTGACAGTCGAACCGATCCATTAGACCTCCGTGTCCCGGGATTACATCTCCGAAATCCTGCAGTTTGACAAGTGAGAAATAATGTGAGCTCCCAACAAACCTTGATTTTGAATGCACGTTTGAATCCACTGGCAAAGAAGCCACCGAACGGACCAAGAATGGAAGCGAACAGACTGAGAGCAATGCTGTGGAAAATGAAGGGGAACAACTGAATGGTTGGCTCCTTTCTTAGTATCTTGAACACGAAAGAGAACGGCCGCGGAACCGGGTAATCCTGAAGTTGGAATGCCAGCGGGATGGTGCAGTTGGAGCTGTCGGTTTGGTAGTGTTGAACTGGGCAGACGAAGAACGGACGGTTGTAGAGAGCCAGGGAGAGCTGAGGAAAAAAGCGATTGAGGCATAATAATGCGAAGACACGCTCACCAAGATTCCAAAGACGACAGTGGAAAAAGCGCCTCCAATGAAACCTTCCCATGTCTTTTTCGGCGACAACTTGATCAACGGAGTCTTTCCCCAGAAGAATCCGAACATATACGACATGACGTCACAGCAGATTATCATGGCGACTGGCGCGAGGAACCAGATCAGTCCTTGGAAGATGTTCTGGATGATGAAGAACGACTGGCTCACAATGAGCAGCAGGGTCAGGTGGGTCCATGCAAACTGCAAAGAAGTTTTGAAGTTTCGGTTAAAATGATTGGAATAGGCGATACCAGAGAGAATTGGCGCATGTAGTACCCCTTCCGGAGGGAAAGAACGAAGGAAACGAAGCCGATGCAGTAGAGGGCGAACGAGACGAGCCGATGATAAGCGACGAGGAAATGAAGAAAATTCTAAAAAGAGAACCAGTATGTCACCAGTGATTCCGATAGTTTTTACGTCTTTCTTGAGCACTATTCCCCAGTAGTCAATTAAACTTTCGCCGAAGAAAAAGTAGTTGCTGGTGATCAAGAAGTACCAGGAGAGAGCACGGAACCATGGGAAGTCGTAAAGACGATAAACGGCAAGTCCAATGGAGATTATCTCTTGGAAACATTTGAATTGGATCAGGAAGACCTGAAAGGAATGTTTATATTCGTGCGAAATCGAACAGATTGATTCTTATAAACATCGCGCTGAGACTAACCAGGAACATGAGCCACGTGGCTCCGCGATTGACGATGAACGTAAAAGTGGAGATCATGAGTATTGTGAACAGTCCACGAACAACCCAGTTTCTCCATTTCGGCGGCAGCCTTTCGAGCCATGAATCTGCCAACTGTCCGAGACTTCCTTTGTCCTGCGGGATGGCGTTGCGCATTAATCGCTCCATTCTGAAGATTAAACACTTGTGATCCTCAAAGATATGCGTATGGTTCAATTCTAGACAGCACAACATATCTTTCACTTACTCATCCTCCTTCTTTTTCGATCCAGCATCACTATAAGGTAAACTTGTTTCGTAACTTTCCCCACGTAAACCCGTTTGTGTGCTCTCTTTCGCCTGCTAAATACCAACCTGTCTTCGTCTTGAAGCACTGCATCCATGTCGCTTTCATCGCTCGTCGGTCGGACATCGTCTTTTCCCGGAGCTCTCAGATGTTCCGAATCTGGAGAGTCCGGCACTCGACGTTGTCGGACATTTTCAGCCGACAGTTCATCAGACATCTGCAACAAGGGAGAATGTTGGGAAAAGAGCTTTTTGGGGTGAATCAGTGACAAAAAGAGTCTCGTGGCAGGCGGAAACCATGGAGGAGTTGAGGCCCCCGGCCAGTCACACGAGAGAGAGTAAACAAGAGAACGTGGCATTTGAGGAGGGTGCAGAGAAAAACAGGAGAAGGGAGTGGCGTCGCGCGAGAGGCGCAGACACGCACAACCGCTTCATTGGATCGTGCGCGCATGAGACAAAACTCTTCTTGTTAAATAGAATGTATAATACACGTTGACCTATTATTTTGTTACGAAATAGATGGATAAACTAATATAAAATAGAAAAAACAATTATATTTTGAGAAATAAATGTTTATTCTCGAAAGGAAAGAGAAATCATCGGTACTCGCGAGGAGCGCTCTCTTTGTCGGCTGGGTAAACACATAAAAACAAGCGATTGTATGTCTTGACCTTGCCGGAAAACTCTTGCAGCGAAAAAAAGCGTAGAAGACAAGATGGATAGAAACAGCTGTCCGGAAATGAAATGAGCCGACGAGGTGCTCAAAGACCCTTCGAACTCTATTGGTTTTGTGAGATGGAAAGATAGAAAGAAATCATAAACTGGTCGGTACTGCGGCCAAAAAGTGATGTCTTCGTGTCTCGCGCATATACATGTATTTACACAATGATTTGCAAATGAGATCGGAGCCGCCGGCGCAGTGATGGGGAGCTCGGAAATGGTTGCCAATGGGAGCAGCGCACGCGAAGGCTCCGAGAGCTGGAAGCGGCGGGCAGAAGGCGACTAATGAAAAAATTGATGTAGGGAAAGAAAGAGGCGAGGCGAAATGTAGGACGCTTGACTGCTCACGGGCAATTAACGAAATGCCATTTGGCAGATTCTGGCGAGGGATTCTCCACTGGATGGCTGAGGGAAAGTACCTTCTGAGAGCACAAGAATCCAGAGAGTGCTCAGGGAGAAGTACGAGTTCACGAACTTCAGAACTCATAACAATGTCAAGTTCAGTTATCACTTATCAAGAAGTACATGTACCCTCTAGTTCCGGGTGCTATCATTGATACCACAAAAAGGTTGTTCCAAGGAGCATCCAAGCAGCAGAGAAGTCTCCAGACTCGTATGACATTAATTGTGTCAGTTGACAAATGAACGACCATGAATCCGCGTGCGCGTGCGAATCTCGCCGAGTCAGTCTCCGTCTCTGTTTCCCTTCGCACCTTCCAAATGTTCCAGAATCGATTTCCAACTGCTGCTGCTCTGTGGCTCCTTCCTCCTGCGGCTCTGCCCGTCGTCTGCGTCTTGCCCAGCTTCACCCAGACCCTTTTCTCAGATGTCTCTTCCTTCCGCGCACTCTCTTCGCTTCGTCTGTCAATAGTTCGTATCCCGTCCCGCATTTTCCCTTGTCTAATGTCCATTTCGCCTGCAAGGCCCTCTGCCTCTTCAGTCCAGTCACTTTACATAACCCTTTTGCCGCCGAGTACTTTTTTCCCCGTTTCACATATTTCCCAACTTGTAGACGTTGCCAAAATGGCAAGAATTCACGATCGAGATCGCGACAGAGAAAGGGAGCGAAAGAAGAGACGGAGGAGGGACAGCGGCGATGATTACGAAGAGGAAGGAGGCATATCAGGTGGGAGATCGGGAAATAATTGGATTAATAGTAGCTGACCCTGATTACTGTATATTTCCACGAATCATTGTTTCAGAGACCTGGAAAGTTGTTCCATGAGATTGAAACTGACTTGAAATTGGCATTTCAGGATGGAAACTCGGGCTCGTAATCGGAGTAATCGTCGTCTGTTTCGCAATGCTCTACCCGACCCTCTTCCATCCGATGCTCATGGGATTCCTGGGACGGAGCCCTCAGCCGGCTGCTTCAATGGGCCAGCAACGTCCTCCAATCCATCCTGCAATGGGCGGCGGCGGTTCGCGTCATCCGGGCGGTGGCCATCCGTCTCGTCCGGACGTGCATCCAGCAATGAGAATGGCCCAAGCACAGGCGGAGGGCCAATCGGGCGGTTCGAAGGGAATGTTCACTTGGATGTTGCCAATCTACACGATTGGAGTTGTTATGTTCCTGCTGTACACTCTATTCAAATCAAAAGGAAAGAAAACGAAGAGAAAGAAGAGGAGCAACTACTTAGATTCGGAGGAGGAGGACGAATGCGACGAGGATGATTCGGAAGCCGAGACAAAGTTCGGCGGGAAGTTCGGAAAGAAGAAGCTGCAAGGACTGCAGCAGAGACTTCGACAGACCGAAGAAGCGATGTCCAAGATCCTGGAGCAGTTAGAATCAGTGCAAGCAGGAGCACAGCCTGTGGATTTGGATGCTGCTGAGCAGGTGAGTGACGGACGTCACGGACAATCTGAAACTTCGGATTTCAGATGGCTGACCAGTTGGAAGAAGATGTATCCGCAAAAGAGGCGGTTGGTCTGAACGAGACGAATGAGCAGTACATCAAGGATTTGGAGACGGCTCTCAAAGAGTTCCAGTCACTGTCGAAGGCGTATGATAAAGAGAAAATGAGGAAGCTGAAGAGGGACGAGAGTTCAAGCGAAGAGGAAGAGGAAGAAGAAGCAAGTTCGGATCTGTCGGAAATAGAAGAGGAGAAGGAGATTACGAAGAAACCGACAAAACAGAAGAAGAACGTGAAGAGCCGCCAGAAGAGCACATCGGAAGAGGAAGATGAGAAGGAGAAGGAGAAGGAGAAAGAAGACGAGGATGCGGAGGAAGAGGGCATCGACATTGATTCCGAGATCCGCGAGCAAGAGGAGAAGGATCACAAGGGTAAGACGGTCAGAAGACGTCGTGCTCAGAAGACTTGACTCGCAATACATTAATCTAATTTGTTCTCCTCCAATCCATTTTTCTTCCCTCCCCACACGGCTCATTCTCCCCTTATTTGCCATTCATTGCATCCACGTCTTCTTCTTCTCCGTCTGTCGAATCTCTGCATTTCCCCCTCATTTCGGACTCATTCTCTGCTTCATTCTGATTCGTTTATTATAAATAATTCACCACAAAATGTGTCAATTCTCTCGAAAGCCTTCTTTTTGCCTGTTCGCTCCTATTCCGCAATAAATGCATTGAAATGTACAGAACCAGAGGAGAAAAGCGTTTATTCCAAATGTAAATACAAAAATTGGGGGGTTGGTCAGGGGGCGGGAGTGCGCTAAAAATCTGTAATGAAAAGGGACCCGACACGGAGGAATTACATGGCGATGAGGTAGACGAACACGAGAACGAAGAGCGAGGAAACGAACGAGGTGGCCGAGGAGACCGGGGTCTCGGTCGACGTGGCCGGCACCTCGGAAGTCGTCTCCGGGGTCGATGGCTGCTCCTCGACTGCGGTCTCGACGGTCGCCGCCTCGACTGGCTTCTCGTCGGCCTGGGGATCCAGGGAAAGAACTGCCGTCTCGGTGGTCTCCTCTTCGGCATTTGGCTCTTCGGAGCTCACTGGAGCATCAGAAGAAGAGGACGACTCGACTGGGGACTCTCCGGAGGCCTCGATGTTGTGCTCGTGGTGTTCATGATGCTCTTGTCCGGAAGATTCCTCTTCGAACTCGGCTGGAGTGTCATCTCCTGGGCCCAACTCGGCAGTCGTTCCATCTGAAACACCATAAATCGGTCCATAATGTTACACCGAGATGAGGGATCGGAAAGGGCATGCACGGTACCTTTGTGGAACTCACCGATGGCTTCTGTCTGTGGTTCCGGTGCTCTTTTGAGTCGGAGGCTCGGGTTGGCGAGCACGGAAACGGCGAGGAGAGCGAGAAGAATCAGTGACTTGGTGGAGCTCATTCTAAAGAATGAATGGGGTAAAAGTTGGCGAACACAGAAAAAGAATAAAAAAAGAGAGTGAGAAAATGAGATTATGTGATCCACATGTGAGAAAGAAATTATTATTTCGAGAGACAAAAAGTGTTTTGTTGTGCACTCGCACCAGCAGGATCCTCGGCTGGAAATAAGGCTTCTTGGCGGTGGGAGACGCTCGAAATGTCGCGCACTGTACGGTGCTGACTGTTTTTGTCAATATCAGTGGCCGCTAACAGAGGAACCGCCCACCGACTGAACTACACAGCAGCAAAATTACAATTTGCATACACAGTTGCTGCTTTGTTAGCCAATTTCACAGTCGACACTGATTAGCAATGGGAATTGTCCGCCCACACGGACTTTGCATCGCCGTAACGGAGGAATTGTGCAACTGAGACGGGAAGACGGTTACTGTGTTAGTACTGTACTTCGAAGCTTTTATATAGGAAGAAATTGGTCTGTGATGTTCGTGTTGAAAGAATTGAGAAGGACCCGTTGGTCAGTGGAACCAAGTTGGGCTGAAAAGGGAAAATGGGGGCCGCTTTTAAATGTTGCCAACCAAGGTGACGCTTGTTGTTCTCGGAATTCTCGTTCCTGCACAAATTGGTACTAAAACAGGTCGTCTTTCGTTTCTTCGAGGGGTCGGGCCCTCCTTTTCGTTAAACTATTCACCCCTTTCGCCCCCGTTTACACTCGTTTTCGACACGTTATGACATGCCGAGGTTTCGATGCAATCTAACAACGAAAAGCCGAAATATAGATGAGGGTAAAATTGAGAAGGAGAAGAAGAAGAAGAAAAAGGGCGAAAAGGTTAAGAATGAGAAAAAGACCCACCCGGAGAACGTGTTTATACGGTCGAGACAGTGCACTTCCGAATCTTACTAATCGGAAATGACATTAGGAAAAGTTCGAAAATCAGAAAGAGTGGAGGCGAGAAAGAAAGATCAATGGTATCAGGAGAAGTGCATCGTGTTAATGTGAACCGACTGGAAGACGTCCGTATAGTTAGTCTCGAATGAGATAGAAAAAGGAGCGAAACGGGGTCTGAACCCGGAACTGACACTGGGGATATGGTAGAGAACAACCGGTTCCGATCAAGGTTGCTCTTCGAATGTTTGCGACGACGACGGCATATTTCGGAGAAGAAACAACCAGTGACTGATGCCGATGTCGGATATTCGGAAGGAAAAGAAGAAGAAGAAGAAGAAGGGTTTATGGCAGTACGATCTCTCTATGCTTTGATCAATGGTTCGTGTAGGCGTGAAATGGGAGAAGAAAGTTGGGAAGGTATGTAAATGTACTGAAGGCCGCCTTTTTTTTTTTACCCAAACTTTGCAAGCCTGTTGGACTTGAATTAAAGTATCTTCTATCTTGTATCAACTTTCAGACCGATGCAATCACCTGGTCCGCAGTGGCCGAGAAAGGCCCCAAATTTCGCAAGAGCTCGGTCTTTTCTATCCAGTATAACTCCGGACCACATAACCGAGTCTGAAACATAGACCCGAGATACTTTAACGCAAGTGTAAGAATCCTGCAAAGTTTGGGTCAGATTGAAATCTTGCAACTGGGTCAAAATTTCAGCGCTGGGAAAACTATAAATGCCGGGGCGGGCTTGTGCCCAGCCCTGTGAGAAGGGGAATGGTTCGGAAGAATCGGTGCGTAGAGGGCGTGCGAGTTTTTTGCACTGGATCATCCCTCGGACACCGATCATCAGTCACCTAATCAAATTAGGCCACACTTGTCACAGGAAAAGATCGGGAGGAATTCACTTGATTCGGTGGCGCGCGCGTGTTTTCCTGAAACCCTATACCCGGGTCTGATTGCCGGTAGGGCACGGGAAAAGGAATAACAAAAACAGAAGGAGGCTCCCGAAAGTTGGCAGATTGCCATGGGTGTTACAGCGAGAGGGCGGGCCTCCACCCAGATACGATCTTGCTGTCATCATTCGGCAGAAGACTTAGCAAAGAGGAGGAGGAGGAAGTTCTGAAGGCAGAAAACAATGGGAGTGTGACAGAAACGATAGGAGGGAAGCGTTTATTCAAATGAAGAAAGAAGGAAAAGAGGACGAAGAAGTAGAAGTCTTTGGTACTCTGAAAAGGGGACTTAGTAGGAATCACAGTCAGAAAGGAAAGTAAGATGTCTAGAAGGGCTATGGGCGGAGGTGGAGCGAGTCAGTTGACGTTCGCCAAGTTGTTGATGAGAGTCTCGTAGATTTGGACGCCTGCAGTCATTTCAGGTTAGAGTAAGGCTATGTCAGTCAGTCAACCTCTCAGGAAAGTCTTCTCATTGAGGAACTCGTTGTGATCGTGCAGAAGGGACGGCGTGTTGATGATTGGAGAGAAACCGATCGCACGGATTCCTTGCTGACAACAAAAATAAAATGACGCTAACCAAACGAAGATATTCAATTACCGCTCTGACGAAACGGGAATCGGTGGCGCCGATGAAGATTTCCTTTTTGTACGTGCATCCCCTGAAATGAAATGAAATGAATGACATGCTCTTTTACGTGAGAATAGGGGAACTCACTCTTTTTGAAGGCCGTCGTCGATGGCAGCCCAGAACGGATCTTCTCTCGTGTGCGGGGAAATCAGTTTGAAGTCGGAAAACTGCAAATGATCCTTTTTTATTCGCAGTGGGAAGAACCTACCTTTCGATGCGTTTTTTAAAGCTAAAGACCCATTATAACCCAAAAAAAAACAAGGAAACATGAACGGAAAGTAGAGCGAGAGAAACCTATTCCACGTAGGTCTATCACGATCACGTCCGTGGACACTTACTGTCTTGAAATCGACGGTCGATTTGTCAGCCGGATTAGTCGACTGAAAATGACGTTGGACAAGAAGCGGTTAGGTGAAGTAAGCGTGTGAGAAGACAGAAAAGTGCGAGAGGAGGCGCGGATTACCTGCATGAACTCGTAGGTAACTCCCTCGCCGGCGTTCTTTGCCCATATGTCGACGCGAGCCCGTACTTCGTCCAAGTCCTGAAGAGGAGTCACTCGAACGTCGATGTCTGGAATATCGGGTTAAATCGGAGCAGATTCAAGCTCAGAACTGACAAGCTTCGAATTTTTCCGGGACAACGTTCACTTGCACTCCTCCGTTGATAATAGTTACATTCGACGTGGTCACGTCTCCGATCGTCAGTTCCGGGTTGGCGGCCAGCAGCGCCTTTTGCTCGTTGCGGAACTCATCGACACTAGCGATCAGCTTTTGCTAAAAGAACATACACTCTGTGATGGAACGCAACACTCGTTCTCACCAGCTTCTCGACAGCTGTCTTTTCAATGAACTTGGATCCGTGACCAGGGTTTCCGGGAAGAGTGACCTTGATCCACCAAGGGATTCTCTCCGCGTAGAACACTTTGTACACGTTATCTTCGGCTGCGATTCCTTCGTCGAGGGCGAACTCGATGTTAAGCTTCTTGAACTCTTCGGTTGCAGAGAATCCTCGCATTCCGTTGACGTGCCCGATCTCCTCATCTGGTCCCCACACAATGTGGATCGTTCTTGTCCACTGTTTGATTCCTTTTGCAAACCAATTACGAATGGCCTCCATGTACTGCACTCCGACGCACTTCATGTCTTGTGCTCCTCGCGCGTAAATGTTTCCCTGTTCGTCTTTGTAAGCAGAGTAAGGATCATGATCCCAGTGCTCACGGAAAGTCGGAACAACATCTGTGTGCGAGTAGAGCATCACCGAGGAGAGTTCCGGACGGGATCCTGGGATCGTCATTATGACGAAGAAAGTACCCGGAGCAGTCTGGAATGGGTTTTTTGGAGTAATATTTCAAATTCCTGCAGTTACTTCTATGGCCCTTCTCGCAATTCCCAATTCATCAGCATACTTGAAAAGAAAGTCGCGGCAGGCCACTGATAAGAAATCGTTTTTCGAGTGTTGATCAAAATGGTGATGAAAGATCATCAGACTCACCGTAATCCGGTTTCGGTTGCTCTGTGTTAACTCTTAGATATTCCCGGAAACGGGTCACTCCAATGTCCTCGGCCATCTTGCGTCTGAAAAACACAAAAGTTGAAACTGAAATGGAAGAGTAGCAGGCAGGTGATAATGAGAAAGAAATAGGTTGTCGCAATCGACACAGCAAACATCAAGAAAAGCGATTGGAGAATAAAAACAGAGTGTTGAGGACGGAGACGGGTGAACGAAGGGGATGCGCCTGTTATCATGTGTTGTTGTCTCCATTGCGATGATCGCGGCTTCATTTTGAACTGATTTGGTCACTTTCCGTCTAGAGGATGGCGTATTTATACAGACAACGAGGCCACGCCCCAAGCAATGTACTCAAAACGAACGGAAATCATTCGAATTTGTAACTTTCGCAAATATTTAAGCGACAACCGTAACCGTAACACTTTTAAAGGCGCGTCGCATCTTTTCAGTACACTTTTTGCGCAACTCTTTTGAAATAAACCAATCAGGAGAGAATTCTTTAACATGTTTTCTCATTAAAATGCGTTATTAGCAAAGCAATACAAACGGAGACATTTCCGTCCTGTTTTATTTGCTCTCAACTCGCCCTTTTTTTCGCTTCCACGACTTGGCAGGCGGCATTGCAAGCGCGCTCCGCCGAACCGCCCAATTTGCCGCTTCAGCTGACACTAGTGTCTTTCTCATCTCGTTTATCAGGATTTCACAATTTCAACGTTCGTTTCCAGAAAACCGATGGCGGATCTCGAATTCTCAGCCGATAATGCGACTCCGGTGGTTCCGCTCACGTCCATGTGCATTGTCGCCGATAAAAATAAGTCGCCTCGCGGTTTTGTACCGGTAAATTTTCTATTTTTGTTTAAAAGCGATCAATTCGTTCAGATTGTGAAATGCCAAGACGACCAAAGCGATGCGGACCTCTGGAGAGACGGTTTCTTCACAATCAACCGACAAGTGCGCTATATTTGCACGAGCTCCGAGATTCCCGATTCGAATATCAAAGTATGATTCACAGTATGTCAAAGCGTTTATTTAGCAATCGATTAATTGCAGACTGCCGTACAAGTCGTTACCAATATCATAATAGTACGCGAGTCTGACCCCATTCCGCACGGTTATGTGGCTATTGATTACACCGCTGACAGCAGTAAGTGGTTTTCACACCATTTCGATACTGAGCAACCTATTCAGGAGAAAAATCACTGCGCAAAAAGTACGTCTGCATTCGAACAGAGCCACGAGATCGCGTCGTTGATGCCATCAGTGAAATAATAATTCTGGGAAAGACGAAAAAGATTCCGAGAGATTATACTTCTGCGGGGTAAGTAATTCTTTTGAAAATGTAAAGTTAGTTTCTATTTCAGAGAAATCGACTCCCTTCTTGTCTGCTATAAAGTGGTGCCGATTCCACAAACATATGGTATTCAAACCAGTAACAGGTAAATAAAAATGTGATAATGCAAGACATCAAGGGCTGTTTCAGCGCATCAATGCTGGATAACAACATGTCCATGGGCGGGCTCTACCCCGGCTTGCCTCCTCTTTCGAGCTCTACACCGTCTAGTCTGGATGTCACTGGAGCATCCCATTCGTCTGCGTTCACCATGAAGGTCCGTTTACTTTTTCCCAAAACTCCCAAAAACTTTTATTTGCTTAGAACGTCGGTGTCCCTCGTGTGAAGGCGATAGATGGTATCGACTTCAAAGTTAATCCCAGTTTTGTTCAAAATGATACCAGCTCTTCTTCCCAGCTTCCGGATCTCTCCCAATTCGTAAATTTGGAACATCGACAACTGGACGAAAAGTACAACTACAGTTTTGCCACAGAACGAGCTGTTCTTTCCTGATTCTCTTTCCACTCGCTTACTTGATTATCTATTCTCTCGAATTATAATTATTTGTATTCGGCCCGGCCCGCAGCTGTATGTGTGTATAAAAATGTGTACTTATTATTGCCTCTAAACCAATATGATTCATCTGGCGGAAAATAGACTACTAGAAGGAAACAAGCAAAAAGAATATATCACAAATACGACAGAACCCGAGAAAGAGAAAAGAAGCGAACATTAAAATTTACAATTCGCTCTTCTGAAGGATCGAGTACCGCTTGTCGGAAGGTTTGAGCTCTTTGAAGACGGACGGCGGGGGCGTCGTGTCGATCGGACGGGCCGACGGCGCCTGAGCCTCGTGGTCGTCTGTGATCCCGCGGGCGGCCTTTGCCTTCGCAAGATCAATCATTCGTTGGTCGAGGTTCTCGTGGAAATCTTTGTGCAGTTTACCGGAATGCAAGTCCATCACGAACTGCAAAAACACCCTTGATAACACGTTATTTTCATTAATCGTACCTCTCTGAGCTTCCCTGGCACGTTCATTTGAGTCATATCGGGGAACAGATACATGTGTTGGAAGGAGTCGATGGCCAGCACCGGAAGGTCCTCCTTCGTCTTCCCGAGATGCTGAAATCCACTCACTACAACCCTGCTCGCCTCATAATCGACATACCTTCAACGGATGAGCGAACTTGTGTCCATCGGCCAGGAGGGGATTGATCGCGGATCGCTGATCGTACAGCTCTCTGGCAACAGCCTCTCCGAACACCTTATCCGTCGATTTATTGTCCGGATCGCGGAAATAAATGAGGAACGGCATGCCCTCTTCCGTCAGCTCCTCCACATTTTCGAACGTGACCTCCCGGACGAGCGGAATGCACTTGTCGGTGACCCACTGCTTCACAAACTCGTAATCGTTAAAGTTTCCGGTGAACTTGGTCTCTTCGTTCGAATCGGGATCGAAGAATGAGATTCTGTTCTCCGTGGTTTGAGTTCCGAAATTGTCAGTTGGCACCCAGAATGAGCAATCCTCACGGAGAATTGAGGCGACTTTCTGGAAGATTGGCAGGAGATTGGAAAGTGAAAGTGGAGGAATACCTTGAGATGAGCGAACTCGGGTCCGTCTTTCTTGAGCCGCGCGACCACGTTTCTCTTCGATTTGTCCATCTCCTGGCTCAGCTGATCTTCGGATGAGAACTCGTTCATGGCAGTCGACAACTGGTACTTCACGAAGTTGGTCAAGGCTTCTACAGAACGGGTAGATCTGAATTCCTTCTCTCATTCTCGCTTGCCCTCTCTCATTGTTTCTCACCTGTATTCTTTGGCAATGAGCTCTCCGTTAACGAACACTTTCATCGTCGGATATTTATTGACGAAGTATTTGTCGCCGATGTCGGCCTACAACCCACTGTTATTTCCCTAGATACTGATGGAAATCGGGTGAAATACCTGTTTCTGACTGTCAACAATTGCCCAGATGGCCGAAGCTTGTGGATTCTCCTGATGGAACACACGGGCGGATTCTTCGAAGATCGGCTTCAGACGGCGCGAAAACGGACACCAATCGGCACAGAAGGCGACAAAAACCACCTATAATTACCGGGTTTTAGAGAAGGGGAAGAGGATCCTACCTGAGCACTTCCGAGCACATGATCATGATTCGCCATCGAAAGCTCGACCGCTTCCTTGTAGCCCTGTGCGGCCACGGTCGAAAGGAGACAAGCGGCGAGGAACGAGAGCCCGCTTGCCAGGTTCATTATCTGGAAAGACCCGTCAAAAGTGAAAAATGAAGGGTTAGGGAAAGCTTGAAAAAGAGTAAGAGGCAGCGAGGGAAACTATCAAGTTTGTTGACAAAAGTAGCCCACTGCGCGAGTAGTTCTTCTTGTTTGCGTTCGATTCGTCCGTCGAATCGATTCATAATTGAGTGCTTCGGATGAAGAACAAGAAGAAGGAGGAGGAGGGGGAGAAGAAGAAGAAGAAGCTGGTTGTGGACAGACGGGAAGGGATGAACGCGAGATGCTGCTGACCCAAATTGAAGAGATACGGCGACAAAAAAGTTGAAAACACGGTCCTGACTTTCGCTAACACATTTGCGATCCCATCCTTTATCACTACTGTCGCTGAACGGGAAACTCGTGGAAAGAGAGAGACGAACAGGGCGAATTATTATGCATTCATCGAGATTTTATGGCTCTGTGCAAACAGAATCGAATCGAAAATGGTATTGTTTTGCGATGGAAAGCGGGAGTTCCACGTGTTTTGACGGAGGGCGCGGAGATGCCCGGACGGGACGGAAGGTCAGTCGGAAGAAGGAAAAGAAGGGACAAGTGGTCGGCTGCGAAGTACGGTAAATCGATCGGAGAGACTGAGGCACGCAGAGGAGTACGCGTACTGTCCGTTGCAGGCGACCAGATTAGTCGGCCCGATATATTTAGGTTGCGAGGAAGGAGAAGGATGGATGACATCAGACGAGGAGCGGATTGGGATAAGACTCAGTCGAGGATGGAATTGATCTGGGAAACGATGAAAGGGTCCAGAAAAGAAACACTTTGGAAGGACGAAACAGTGAACGATTGAAGAGGAGAGAAATGACCAATGACGGATCGGAAAGGCGAAACCGGTTCAAAACAAGGTACCGGCCAAGTGTGGGGGGAACCTTCGAGGGAAAGTGGCAAACAACCAATTAAAGATCTCCTGGAAATAGACTGAAAAGAAACATCTGAACGGAGAAGGTTGGTAGTGAATTATCTCCGGCATGGGTCGAAGATGGCGAGCACTGTAAATCTGCTATCTGGAACAGCCATTTGTGAAGAATCCAAGTTGTAGTACGAAAATCCAGTCCGATGTATGTCCTTTTCTACTACGTGCGAAGTCCAGATGCATTCCCAACTATTTTTTCCGTCACACTCATAATCAGAAGGTGTGAATCCTGTCACTTTCTAATCAGTCCGTTCCTGCTCCATCCGGGGGTTGCTGGGCGCCAATTTGCGGCGGTTTATCGTCGTCCGAAAGACGTTGCGCAAATATTTGGAGGTTCCTCTCCCCTGCTTCCTCTGGGACGGCGGTCGCATCGTTTGACAGCGCCGCCACGGAAAGAGCACTGATAATCGAGAGACGCAGACAGTTTCATATGGAAAAGTGGTGATGGAGGTGGAAAGAGAGAGAGAGAGAGGGAAGTGACACCGAAACGAATATTCAGTTTCGACTCGGAATTCAGTTTGGAGAAACATCCTACTACTCCCATTTTCATTCATTCCGTCTTCAATCTCGAGGAGACCTCCTCTTCTAGAACCCCTTCTCATGCCTTTTTTCTGTTATCGTGGCCGAAAGGAAAATTAAAAACAAGCCATGAAGGTGCATCTCCAGGGAGTCGTCGTGCTCTTCCATTCATGTTATTCCATTCACAGAATGGCCGATGAGCTCCCACCTGACCTGCTCTTTTCGCAACCACACTGAGCCAAATTAGAGCTCCGCTGGCCGGGTTGCCATGCCAGTCGTCGGTTGCCGCGGCGACGATCCGTGGCCGCCCATTCCACCCGCCAACAGACCCTCACTCTATTAACCACCACCACTACGATTCGCCTCGGTTATTCTCTGAATTAATAGTCTCATCTATGACGCTTCTGACAGAATGATGGCAAGTAAAATACTGGAGGCGGGCTCTTCTGAAAGCAGTCAGACGAATAATAGAAGAAATGAGAAGAAGTGGTGACGTGCATTGTGCCGAAAACAAGTAGAGGGTGGTGATTATGAATTAGACATCATCCGCGAACTCTTAGCAAATCCGTAAGCTTTCTGCTTCTTAATCCCGGAACGCAACGCCAGAGAGATTAGACTCAGTCAGAATGTATGCGATCCATAGATCCCATCTTACTGAAAACCTTGAGAATTGTTTCTCGAAACGAGTTTCCCTTTTTCGGCGGCTCCCTCATTAATTTGGCGTCGTGCACATCCTTCGAGTGCCCGTTTCTCGCCTTCTTTTTCCCCGTTTCTTCTTGCTTTTCTCCTAATTTTCGCGCCATTTTGTCACCTTCTTATACATATTCAAATGAGAAAAAGTCGTCTCTGGGAAAAGTGAGAAGCTCTGGGAATCGATCGATTCCGTCTCCGTCTTCTGCCGCGTTTCTTGCCTCGATTCCCTTATCAGTGACGTGTCACCGCACGCACAAACACGGCCATCACATGCACACTTTCGCCCTCTTTTCTCTCCACGCACACATTAGAATATGAATCGAATCGGGCCGAGCGGCCGATAAAAGAAGAAGCCCCGCCCCCGGTTGCCTCTCCGACGGTGCTGCTGCTGCTGCCGCGTTGTCCCGTGCTTCGTTGGCCCCCCGAACTGTACACGTCGATTAAACGATTATTCGCGAGGTGGTGGCGACCGGCGCCCCATTCTTCTTCTTCTTCTTTTCTTCCCCCATCCCAGGCACTCCTCGGAACCACTGGGTTTATGTGTGTACTGGACGGCCAGAGCATTGATCTAGCACCATATAAATTCAGTATTTCCGGTACGGAGAGCCACATTAACTCGCGCTTCGCGACGAGCGTCAAGAGGTTCCACTTCACTAATTGGATTCACGCATTCTGTTCATTTGAGCAAAAATGTCTTACACGCTTGATCACAATGAATAACTGAAAAGAGAAATCAAATTATACTTGGAGGAGGCTGGGAGCCTGTTGCGTGTCACGTGCCGGCTCCATTTCAGCTCAGGAAATGGAGGCTTTGGTTGGTTGAGAGCGGAAAGAGATAGGGGAGGAGAAAAAGGACACGCTTGCTCAGAGTGTATAGTATTTGGGTAGAATTCTAAAAGAAGGAATTGCGGGAATGCAGATCAGAGACAGAAAAGAGCCAGATGGTAGCGGATCGGATCGAACGTCTCCAATTACTAACCAGCACATGGGTGAATCCATTAGCCGTATAAGGACACGAAAAAGGTGCCGTTCCTAATGGAGAAGTGCAATTATGTGTTCACAGAAAGGCCTGTTAGTTTTCATGTCACTTTATCCTGCTTGTCATTGTAACCTGAAGTTTTTTTTAAAGCTTCCCTCCCCTTTGCGTCCTTCTAATACTCGTATACCCGTGCAAAAAGTGTGTGCCGCCCATGAGCATGTGCACTTTTCTCCTCCTACCAGACCTCTGCGCCCTAAGGAAATCGACTAATGGATGTGGCAGGCGGCTCTCGTGGGCCGCCTGCTTTTTTTTGTGGGCGGGGCCGACCGGATGCTGGGGTTTCTTCGTCTCGAAGACGGCCCGATAATCCCCGCCTGCTGACATGCTGATAACGGATTGTTGACGCGAGAGAGGAGAGATCGGAGACGCAGGCGGGCGACAGAAAGACACTGCGAAAAGTTCCTCGGCCACCTATTTTACAAGCACCTCTGTGCCGTTAAATAATATGTATTGCAGACGCGGAGGCCCTCTTCGATGTGCACGATGGTAATAGCCGATATTTCTGATCGCACAACGAGCCACGAGCATCGTATTCTTGTTTTTCTGCAGGAAATGCATAATCGAATCTAGGATGAGCTCCAATTACTCGCCATATGAAGACGACCGCATTCATCGGAGACACGGACTGCCTTCTGCCTTCAGCCATTCGTTCCTTCGTCTTCTTTCTCCACGAAGCCAAGTTTCCCCCACGGCCCATCCCATACATAACCTGATCCCTCATTAATTGAATATTAGAGATAATTGGGACAAATTCTTCTCTGAATATGTCCGTCCCCAACACCATTTCTTCATATTTTTCATGCAATAAGTATTCACTTAATGAATGCCTTATCAGTGTCTCTCCGAAAGGCCCGCCCCTTTCTCACCCGTCGATTAGGAGGTCGTGGGAGAGTTGCGCTCGAAACGGAAAGGGCACAAGAGGGACACCACACGGGCATCCCTTTCAGACTCTCCTCTTATTTCTCTTGGACGTTGTGGTCCGTGGGCTCCGACGGCTTTTTGCGCCGCCTGCTGCGTCGTCTCCGATGCAGTCGCAGGCGCGGCACACCCTCCCATCCCCCCACTCGACGTTCAGAAACAACGGGGCAAACACGGAGGACGAAGAGTGCGAGAGAGTGTGCCACTTGAGGAGTGCACCCGACACAGAACGCGACAGTGGGCGGGGCGTGCGAGACTCCGCCCATCGTGGTTTGGAGAGAATTGATCGAGGCCGAGACGGGGGGCACGCTGTTGGGAGAGAACACACACAGACACACACACACACCCGGCCCGTTTGCATGTTTTGGGCTATTTTCAGAAGTGGACGAGGCCGGAATCCCCGGTTGTTCCAGCCCTGAATCGAAAAGGGGCGGAGCTTCCCGTTGATAGCCCGCTCGCCCATTCCGCACTTTTCCGATTGAAACTCTCATTTCTGTTTCACCATTTGGCTTTTGTGGCAATTGTTTTTCTTGATTCGAGGGCCCGAGAGTGTAATCTAGAATTGTTCTTTTCGTTGACAAAATAACCGGATTATTTGTTTGATTTCTAATGATTCCCAGTGCATAATCATTGTCCTTAGGTCTCAAAATCGGCCATATTACTCTCAGGTTCACATTCTTTACTTACTTTTTCATTTCTAAAGACCCATTCAGAAGAGAGCATTGAATATTGTTCTTTTCAAGATCTAGAAACGGCCCCGTTTGTTCTCTTCCTTCCAAACACTCTCTTATTGTCATTTGCCGCGGGAAGATCGGCATTATTCGAATAAATACGGTATTGCAGAGCGATGACTCGGGTAAATGCGGGCCACGAGAACTCGTATATGAGTTCCCTGCTCGATTCAAAAGGACAGGTGAGCAATGCGAAGACTGAAGTGAAATATGGCAAAGGAAAATAAAGTTGCAGCCACCGCCACAGTTCGATGACACGTCCCGCGGTGTGCTCATTGCTCTCATCAGAGACAGACCGACCATCTGGAATTCGAGTGCAAAACTGGTCAAAGATGACGTCATCGCTTCATTCCAGCAGTGCTCCGCTATACTGTCAAATATGGATTCAAGTTATACCTGTGAGTTTACATATTTACTGAAACACTGCCTGAAGATTAGTCTAGTTTACAATTGCACATATTTCAGTGTGGGTGATAATTGAGAAATGGTGCTGGGTTGTGGAGAGCTACGTCAGATGTCATTACTTGAATCCGCCAGTGGAATGGAGGTACAACAACACGCTGGACTTCCTGAAACCGTTCAAGGCGCCCAACTATCCGTACATGGGGTGAGTCACCAGAACAATGAGCAATCTTGAAGTGAGCACCTTTCAGATGTCTTTCCAAACAGAGACGTGACCAGCTGACGAAGATGTACGGAGACCTAGAGACCATAAAAGTGATGGAGCTGACCGAGAACTTGGAACTTCCAGTCGGCATCTTCCGGGATGAGATGGCTCAATTCGCGGGCGAAGAGATAATCAAATCGGAAATAGACCTGATGTCGAGGACGGTCGGACAGGTGGTCAATGCGAAGCGGAGAGGAAGGCCCACAAAGAATGTGAGTGAACGAACTTGAGCGGATCAATCGCAATTTTTTTCGTTTCAGAGATCACCGACAGACCAATTCACAAATCTAACGCCGCATTCCGCACAATTCCAGAAGCTGCTCGATGCCAATCTTCCACCGTCAGAGCTCGGACAAGCCGACGAGTTTGGATTCACTCTGGGAATGTACAACTTCCTCGTCGACATTATTCACGAAAAACCAGCAATCTGGAATTCTGAACATCAACAAGAGGATGATGAGCAAACAGAAGAGCAGTTGTTCGAGAAGGTCGCTAAGGAACTGACTGTAAAGTTCAAAGGATTGGTGGATGATTCACAGTTGGATAAGATGACGGGTCCGTTTATAAAGACGGTTTGGAACAGTATGCAGGAAAAGTACCGAGATGAGGAGAGCGTGATTTCACTGCCGAAATGGAGAAAAGTGAGTACCCTTTTAAATTTGAAAGTATCAAGCATACCGTGAGTTGGTGTCTTCTTCTCATACCCGTTTCCCCATGAATCTGTTGTTGAACTCCAATTTCACGGCTCGGGCCAATTCGCCTAATTTTCGGTGCAACGGCACGGACCGACAGCTGTGAGCCAGCTGTTGGCCTTCGCAGCGTGGCGCCATCGTCTGTCTTTTTTTGCCGCATCGGAATCTCTGCTGCAGAAGCCGGGCGGTACGGTTGTGGGAGGAAAAGGGGGGATTGGGAGAGAGTCCGAACAAACGGAGAATTATTTTGAGAGGAAAATAGTCCGAAATAGGCCAAGTGAACGTGCGGGTGAACGGGAAGAGGTCGATTGTCGCGACGAAGGCATGACCCGAATGCGGGTGGGTCGAATGAGGTCACACCTCGACGGAAACGGGGACGCCGGTCTAGTTATACTTTATGGCCAGAAGGCCGCGTCCACCGCACTCGTTCCCTCGACAGTCATTATTGCGTTCCGCTTGCCGTCAAAGGTGCTGACCCACTGAATTTCGTTTGGCCCATCTAAATATACTGTCAGTTTTTATCAAATCTACTCTTTTTTACAGACTCTCCACATTCTGTCTCACAAGTTGATGCCACCGTTCGCTCTAGAGAACGTCTTCATTAAAAGCGAAGGTGAGTCCATCCATCCCGCTCTCTTCGTCTCTGTCCCCCGGCTCTTCAACCCGTCAGTTTCCATTCACTTGGTCCTCTTTCTGCTCCGGTCGGCCGACCCATGTTTGTTGTCATCTTCTCCTCCGACTCGGCCTGCTTCTTCGTGGGAATCGTCGTGGGAAGCGAAGCGTCGGTCGGCACTGCACGCGCTCGCAGTGAAAGAGCTCGTCTCGGATGGGACGTTGTGTCCTCCCAGTTCTCTCCTCCCATCGCTTCCCCCGCTCTCCTGAGCTTGTAGGATTCGCACAACATTTAGCATGAGAAACTGACAATGACTACTTTCTGCACGAGGAGATCGTGCTCATGTCAGCTGTTTATACATTTCCTCGTGAACATACGTTCCACGAAAAGACTCATCAATTCATTTCGAGACCCTGTCTTCTCCCGAATGCGTTTTCGTCAATTTTACTACGAAAAGCGACCAGGTGCTACATTAGTGCCTTAAAAGAGTGTCACCTCCGTCCGTCCGTCCATCCATCCATCCATCCTCTTGTCTCTTCCTGCTCCTCCGTTTGCCCCATCGTTGCTGTCGTCGTCGTCCGCATTTCGATTTTCCCACCACATTGTGCCTGGATTCTCCGCGAGCAGCCAGCTCTCTCAGCCCACCGTTCCCACAATATTGAGTCCTCCCTGGGCAGTCTCATCGTCGAAAGAGGGAGCACACCCTCCTGCCCCCTCCCCACGCACCAACACCATTCGTCCCCCCGCTCTTTCTTTTTTGAATCAGAAGAGCGGGGCGTTCCCAGCAGCGCGATCCTCCAACAACAAAAAGTCGTGGGATCGTATAGTCGAGACACATTTTATTCCTTCGTCTATTCAATTCCACTTTCAGTCCACGGAACTGCCTGAAGCCGCAATTTCTTTTGTAGGCTCTCGAAAGTTTTCCGAACATTCAAGTCTCCCATTTCATTTCTAAAATGATCGAGAATCACCGCAGGCAGATGCCGTGGCTTTTTCAGTCCAGATACAGTTCCCTTTATGGCATGCAAAACGTATCGTGGGAACAGTTCCTTTCGCACACTGGCCATAAAACGGCCGAAAGTATCATTCTCTGTGATCTTTCCGCTGTGCTCCGACATGACGAACCCTCTGAATGAGTTTCCGTTTGATAATCACCGCCGCCGCGCACCTTGCTCGTTAATGGCTAATAAATCGGCGACTGCTCCCTCCCATTCTGGTCCCGTACTGCCCTCCCGCCCCCTTGCCTCTCCACTCACTACCTCCCGACTTCCCTTCGCAATGAACGTTGCCCAGTATCAAACATTCCTCAACTACATGCTGAATACTTGGAGTGTCTCCCCTCAACTTATTCAATCCATGCTTCTAGACCCTTCCACATCTGCTGGACTCACATCTGGAGGCAACGTGGCTTCTTCTTCTCCAACCGGATCGTCCCAAAGTGAGGACTCGAGAATGGCGACCTCTTCTCCAGCCACAAATACCCAGTTCACTCCGATGCCGGGAATGAGCAACGGCTCAAAATCCATCCAAACAGTTCTCGACAATCTGGTGGCCAGGAGTCTGAAGGAGGGATCTGCGGAGTATAGTGAATTGAAGCACATTCTGGAGCAGAAGTGAGTCGGCGAAAGGACCGAAAAGAGATTCTAAATGAACTTTGCAGAAAGACAGACAATGATAATGGCCCAGCTGCGAAAAGATTGAAGCAGAACGGATCGCCGCCAAGGACAATTCTTTACAACGACGGTAGAAAAGTTCCACAAGCTGTAAGTGACAGTATAAAGAGAGCTAGGGAAATAAACGGAGGTTTTCAGCCGATCTCGACGTGGGTTCCACCGAGGGAAGATCTGACATCGAAAGTGAAGGAAGAGCCGAGCATCCAAACGCCGAAAAAGGCACAGGCAACGGCGGTTATCAAAAGTGGAATTCCGTTGGAGAAGCAGCTGAAGAAGGTGAGCATTGAGAGTGAATTGAAAGAAAACATTGAAAGTGTTTGCAGTTGCAGCAACAGAACGCCGCCACGTTGATTCCGGTGACTTCGGCGTCCCTCCAGTCTCGCACGAACCTGCTCGGATTGACTCCGATGGTGCTCCCGCAGTCGGCTATTCAACAGGCTTTGCTCAAGAAGATGGACACGTCATCGCCGATGGCGTCGATTTCGTTGAGTTCGCAGCCGACGCAAGTTTTGATGAACGGCGGAATGAACGGCAATTCGGATGACTGCAAGTGGAACTTCTTGGGTGAGTAACGGAAAGCACGGCTTCTGATGGCAACGACGTCTGATTTCAGGGAAGCTCGTGACGACTGTGGCCCGTGAGGTGGAGTCGCGGGACCAATTGGCCGCATGCGAACTGTTCCGAGATCTCCAGCAAGTGCTCTATCAGTACCAGATTAAATCTTTGCAACCAAAAGAATCCAACTCTCAGTTGAAACCCGGATCTCTCTAATCTCTTACCATCTCTACCCCAACTCGAATACGTGTACTCCGCCCGTTCCTTCCATACAATTTTCTCTGATCATTTGGCCTTTTGATCCATTTTTCCACCACATTTTGTGCATTTTTCCGTTTGATAGGTCACAAGTCATTTGTCCATTTTGATGCGTTTCGGTTCGACATAAAACTAGCATCATCATCATCATTTCTAGTGTCCGCTGGAGCAACTCTCTAAAAAGTGGAGCCAATTCCCAGAATTCCAGCCAATTTCCAAGAGGATTTCAATTTCACTCGACCATTCGGTCGTTGTGATTTCACTCAGAATCGTCGTGGTCGCACCGTGTGTCCACCAGGTTTCGGACGTGAATGATACGGTCATAAAAGAAGGAATCTGAACGGATTCCCCGCCGTCGTCATGAGAATAATCACGCTGAAAGCCCTCTTCTGCTTTCCCATTCTTCCTTCCAATCGCTACTTTCATTCTTTGAACTGTGGTATGTCATTCCAACCAAATGGACTTTCAGGAGAAAACAGCTTTAATGCGACAAGGGAGAGGATTACGTTCAATGCATTTCGATTACGGTATTTTGAAACAGATTCGCACTGATTAGCTTCCAAGGGTCTAGCTTTGAGCTGCTCTCCGAACAGAATGAACACCGAAGAACACTGATGAATTCCTTTCCTAATTGCCTTCATTACTCGACATTCTTTTAACTGACCTACAGGTATTCTCAACAAGAAATCCCTCACACAAACCCGTCCAGCCCAACTTTGTTCTTTCTTTCTGTCTCGTTCCCAAATAAACTGCTAAAGCTCTTTCCGGTGAGAACCCGAAACGTCGACATCATCTCGGATCCGGCCGAGTGCTCCTTCCCCATCGTTCTTCCTCCATTTCATCTCCGTGACGACTTCTGAATCCGCGGCCAGACGAGCTCGGAATCTCCCGGACGACGGTGGGCGCCGCCTTCGTATAGTGCCTGCCGCGCGACCCGTTTCGATTGTTCGGCCTCCAAGTCGATTAGCATTTAAATGAGTTTGGCGTCTCCCTCAAGTTGATCTGATTATGATATAAATGTTCGCCCGCTTGTCCGTTGTGTGTATTACAGTCTCTCTTTCCGTTTGGTGACCTTTCGTTTGAAGACTTCGCTCCGTGCATGCCGCTTCTTCTTCTTCTTCTTCTTTGCCACCTTCCCCGCCTTTATTACACTTAGCTTGTGCAACATTTTGGCAGGTGACTCACACAATCCCATCCCTGCTCATTTCTCTTTTTCTCGCTCCCATTACATATGACGTGGCATCGGAGGGAACGATGTCAGTTGGCGGGCCCCCAACTCGTTTTCCTCCTGCAACAAACTCACGGATTAGATTTAGTGTCGCTGGATGACATGACATTTCAGGATTGGCTCGATGGACTTTGTTCTATTGTCTGTTATCTGTTTTTCAAACGCAAAGCCAATTGATAAAATGATCTTCTCTTTTATTCGGACGCCTAGACAAATCTGATCATGAGGAGTCGACGTGTTTTTATAATGAAACAAGCCAGAGAATTGTGGAAATGTTCGCTAAAAAAGGGTGAGTTTGGGCCAGCTGCAGTGTCGCTCGTACCGTCAGGTGTCCCTACATTTTCCTTTTTCGTATCAGCTGTCACAGCAGTACCATTTCATTCCGAGTGTGAGTCACAAATGAATGCTCTGCTCTCCCTTCTTCTTCTTCTTTTTACACTTTCCCATTCCATTCATTTTTTCTGCAAATTGCACGCGGAGATAGTGCACGTCCGGAATCTAAACAAACGCGGAATTTGTTTATGCGTCGGAGCCCACCTCCCTCCCCTTCTCGGTCTGCTTCCAAATGGTTTATGGCCGGACCCGCGGGCCTTCTTCCCTCGTTTATGACTCTTGTTCTTTCTTTCTTCACACCAATCTATCCGCCCGCCCGCCCGCACTGTGTAATCAGCAAAAGGGTGGACAATGCGCCAATGAAATGCGAAGAAGAAGAAGAAGAAGAAGTCGTCGTCGTTGCTGTCAAACCTAGTTTACTTTGTTTCCTTGCCAACTTGCTAACACTCGTTCTTTTGGTCACTGTTATCACGACTCAGAAGTTGGGAGGATTCCCGGAATGTTATTCAAGGAAGTCGGTGTTCCCAAGAGACACTTTATCCGATAACTCGGATTATTATTGTATCACTCCACACACCCACATCCGATGTGTCATTTCATCATTGATGCTCGTCGAGCCACGGCGGCTAATCACATCTACAATTAGCCACCCCACTTGCCTCCCGGATGCTCCCGTTCCTCTCACATTTCCGTTTGTTTATCTTTTATCAACTTTCCCTCTTTTTCCACCTCACCACACCGTTTTTATGAGGCGCGCGCTTCGCATCATCCTCGTCCGACGACCAGATTCCGTTGATGCCAGTTTGTTTTTGTGTGTTTGTGTGAAATTCCGAAGCCAACCGTTCGCCCTCTTGCTTTTTCGCGCGTGACGTGGCACGCTGACTAGTGAGTCATATGGTAGCAATGGCAAATGACCGAATGATCTGCTTGCCATCCATTCCGTGGTTGTCTAATTGCCTAATTGAATCATGTCAAGGAATAGGACAAAGTAGGCGGCAGCAGCGGCCGCAGTTTTTTGGCGGACAGATCATATCCATATGCCGTACGTGTCATGTACTGGCCCCATCCCATTCATCACTTTTGGCTCCTCGACACGGGTGATCGAAAGAGACAGATGGAATGGAAAGGGAGCTGCGTGCAGCTGCATCGGAATGTCGTACAGACGATAAGTGCCCGCCCACTGTGCAAAAGTGAGTCATTCGGTTGAGAAGCGAGAAAGAAAGGGTCAGTGTGACCGACGACGGCAAGTTGTACGACGAACTGTCGAGGGGCAAGGGCAAACCTCACACCGTTTGATAGCCGTTTTTTGGCGTGTGGATGATTACACCATTAGACGGCAACCACGAACCTTCTTTCTGTTTTAACTTCTTTTGTTTACCAGTGTGTGTCGAGGAAGTGTTCCCCAGTAGGACACTTTTTTGGGGAAAAAACTGACGATTAGGGATTATATGGTTTATTTTACGGACGAATCCTTGTTCTAGTTGTACCCCCGGCTGCTCTGCGAGCTCGTAACTCGTTTTTATCACCCCCTCCACAGATGTATCTTTTTCTTTTTGTTGCGAGCTTGAAAGGACTCGGAATGAAGGGAATGAACACGTGCGAACCGAGAGAAGGTTCTTTTTTGAAGGGCAGATCTCCTCCGCTCCCCTTCTGAATCTTTTCTCTTCTTTGTCTTCCCCCTTCTCGACAAGCGTGAACCCCCTTTCCAACGAACCGATAGATCATCTGCGCGCGCGAAAAGGAAAAGGTGAAAAGGTTGTGATAAAGAGGAATGGGGAAGTTCCGAATGGAGACAACAGGAATTCGGCTTCCCATCGGGTCACCAGGTTCCTCCAATCCTTGGCCTCACAAATAAAAATCGGTTTTTTTCCTAAAGATTCCAAATTTAGATATACTTTCTCTTTTAGTTTACCGTCCCAAGTCAGTTGTTCTTTCGCTCAGTGGCATTCGGTGGCGGTTCAAATATTTCACATGACCCGTTTCTCTTCACATGACGTCCTTTCCCCCAGCCGATCTGTTATTATCATCTCTTAGTTTACTTTTGATCATCGGGTTCTCAGAACCACTTTCGCTCAGATTTCCGGCTCATTTCTCAAATTATTTTGGAAAATGGAGTGATGTGCGCAGAGGAAGCGCCGAATTACTTCATCATGATTCGGAGGATGATGTGGTTTCGACTCGGATTACTGTAGTTCCTCTCTTCTTCGGGACTCTTTCATAGACCGACTATGCTCTCGTTTCCATGTCACCGTCCAACTGTTCCTCATCCCATTTCCAATTTCCCATTCGTTTTCCGCAATCGGCAACATCCCCCCCTCTCCCGCACGGATTCCATTTCTTTTCTGTTTCCGTAACTTGGTCATGTAATGAGCACAAAAAGCGTCGCGTCCTTGACATATTCGGACTGTTATGCAACTTGGCGCCGTTCCCTTCCGCGAATGCGTCTCGCTCTTTCCCATTGCACAGCTCATTTGAGTCGAACAATACGGCCACCTACCCAAAAGAAGGTCGTCAAACGAACGACTATTTTGAACTGGGCTGAACTTTTGAAAACTTTCTCTCTCTCTCTCTCTCTCTCTCTCTCTCTCTCTCCCCCTTTCTTTTTTCTTTCGCTTCCTGTCGCTTTTTGTTTTTGTTTAGCTCATTCTTCCAATGTGACATATGCCTTTAGCGGGTCGACTCGTCCTCCGCGCGCTAAAGTCATTTAATTGGAGTGGGTCGGCGATGATCAATGAGCATAATTCTGTTCCCCGAGCACATCATCTGCAACGCAGAAACACTTCCTGCTGACCTCTTCTACCTGCCTTCTCTGCTCTCCGGAGAGAATATTCTTTGCACCCGAAACGTCGTCGACTCTTTCCGAGAACCGCCGCCCTCTTCATTCCCAACCTCGTGCCCACTCTCCTCATTTCCCGGTCGAATCACCAATGCCGTCCGGACGAAATGGTGTGTGTTTGCGGAACGAACATTGTCAAATATTGGCACAGAAGACGTCGGCGACGACGAAAACGACTTCTCATTAGAGTGCTATTTTTGAGAAAGGCTATCACAAGTGCTCTTCTTGTTTCTGAACATTCGAAAACAAAGGTGTTTACCGGATAACGTGAATTGGAACGCATCCAGACTCAAGCGGGAGCACGCGAAACACAAAATGTCTGCATTTTGCGCGCATGACGCAGCTACGAGAAAAGATACAACAAAAAGAGCAAAGACTGACGGAAATGTTTCAGAAGTTCCGATCGCACGTAACTTTTTATCCGTCGGAAGTCTTTTTTTGCCAGTCGGTGAGAATCCTTACTCACGTCATTCTCACCTGATAACTTCTGGCACGGGACAAACTGTGGCTCCCGATCTAATCATAGGTGATCGTAGTGCGCACTCTGGAAAGCCCATTTCTTCGCTCCTCGCATTCGACACTTTCGCATGTTTGTTCTTTTTTTCTCCGAGATTCTTTCTCCGGAAATATAACATTAGTTGGTAGTGAAACTGGGTTATCTCGTTCCACGTCATCCGAGGATTCGGATCAAATTGTGTCATGAGAAGGGGCGGAGTCGGCAGAATGCTCCGCCCGTTTGCAGCTTCTTTCCGCTGGACATTCTTAATTCCTGTTTTATGATGAAGAAAGAGGCGGAGTAGGACATCGGGAGCCGTCCCACGCATCACTCTTTTATGGCTTTCGACCGGCTTCTGCAATAACATGTCAGAATTGTTCATTTTCCTGAATCATCCGAGTCTGCTGAATCTTTGATTCGCACATTTTGACACATGAAGTCACTTGTATCCTGATAACTTGTTTATCCGTTTCCGATCCACTTACACCCGGTGAGTAGAATTTCCAAGAATTGAGTCAGAAGTAGAATCCTCCTGCGCAGACACATTCTGATTCACAATCATTCCGACCCACCTCTCTCACTTTCCAAATTCCACTTTTCAGGTGTTTTCTTTCCAAAACAATTAGGAGAGAACGTTCCGTTTATGAGCGTTTCCCTTCGAAAAGGTCACTTTGCTTTGCGGTGTCCAATTAGCGGTACAAGCAATCATTGCCACGTCATCCGTGTCTTCTACGAAGTGCTGTTTGGCTTGCTTCCAGGTCCCGACCCCCTTCGAGATGATGTAATGCAAAAGCGGCAGAGAGACCACCCAAGACCAGCAAGAATTTGTGATATCCTCGCCGCCTTTCTGCCTCTTCATTTTCGATTCTCATGACCTTACTCCTTCTTCTTCTTCTCCTCCTTCGAACGTTTCTTTTCTAATTACACGCCTTTTCCTCCTTTTCCTCCTCCCAATTATTCCGGAATCCGAGTGTCAAAACGATCATTCGAGACCGTTTGCAGCCATCAATCGACCATGCAACTCACCGTCCTCCTCTTCGTTTTCGTGCTCTGCTTGGCCACCGTCTTCGCCGTTCCGATCGCCGATGGTAAGTCTGATCTGCTCGAATCCTTCAGTGCTCTAACATCCCATTTTCAGCTACTCGTGACCATCGTGAGGTCGGAGCCGCCTCGGAAAAGCGGCAAACAAAGTCTCGCTCCGGCTACATCCGCTTCGGAAAACGGCGAGTCGATCCTAACGCGGAGCTTCTGTACCTCGACCAGCTGCTCCTCTGAATCCACGTGATCATCGCCGTCTCTTTCTCTGCGTCTCTCTAGTCCCTCCACACTCTCTCTCTCTCTCTCTCTCTCTCTCTCTCTCTCTCTCTCTTTTCATCTTTCGTCTACAGTGACCTATTCCATCCAACCATCTTTGTCCGAGTCGTCAAGTCTCCGCGAAATATTCGCTTCATATGTCTAACGAAGATTTGATCTCGAAGCTCTCGCCCATCCCCACACACACATACACACAACCATCGCTTCTTTTCGTCTTCTTCTCATCCGCCCCCGCTTTTATTTGATTGTCGCATTCCAGTATGTTGATGTGGAAATACAGCGAATAAAACGATTTGTTGTTTCCTTTACAGCACGAAAGAGAGTACGGTATCATTTTCAGGACGCAAACAGCAACACGTCGCAGCCCAAAAGATTGAAAACATGGCGAGATCGTAGTCTCCCGAAGCCAATTTAATAAACGGCCGACGGAGAACTCTCAGAAAGAGTATATTCTGTTTCCAGTATTTTCATTCTGTATTTCCGCGTACCTTCCTTGTTTTCCCTCTGACCCAAATCATGGAAAAATGGCTTTTAGAGTGGTCCCAGTTTTGACGAGCCCAATCATCACTATCCAATCAAACTCGTGTTAAACACGAGCACGCGTCTAGACATTGCACCCAATTGGATTATCTTGTTCCCTTTTCCATATTACCAGATCAGCTATGCACACCAAGATGTAGAGTTCGACTCAATATTTACAAATCCAATCTTTCGAAATCCCAAAAAAAAAGCAATTCTGTCACTTGTGACCAAAAGTCAAAGAACAGTTTAATCCTTCTACTAGGAACGATGGCCATGTCCTTTTTCCCGTTTCCATATAATGAGCTCGTTCACAGATGACCTGTTCCGTCTGTTATCTTTTCTGAATTTTCCATTTTCTCTCCACTTCCACCACTTTTTTGAACCAGTTGATCATCCGCTTCCCTTTCCCACGTTGAACATATTTCCCGACCTTTTTTGCAAGAAATACCACGTCAACCACTTTTTGCTCCTACACAAAGACTCGCTTTCAAAATGTTCATAATATAAACCTCGTGTTAATCCCGGGAAGTGGTGAACTCGATTAGCCTCGCCAACACATGCTACATGCGTTTATTAATTCGTTTTGCTCGCCAGCTCCCCACAACATTTCCCTTTAAGTTTTCCAGGTATTCGGACTGGAACCGATTGATGAATGCGTCGACTTCGACGACCTTGTCTAATGGATTCGTGCTCGATTTTGTGGGAGTTGGTAACGAAATACCGAGAAAATCACACGTACATTGAGGATTTTGCAGGTGAAATTGAGTTTCCAGAGTACAATAGTGCGGAGTATTGGGGCAGAGAAGTGCCCTTCGCCGCCTTCATTTCCATATATTGCTCGTTTTTCATAGTCCTTCAGATTCTCGTCATGCGGGTCATGATAACTGATAAAGATTTGAAGAAACTGCCCGCTTTTCAGGTACCCCCTGTGAAGTGTTCTTACTATTCTGAAACTTCAGATAATGTTCATGATTTCACTCTTCGATACAATACAATTGTTTGTCCATTTAACTGCCGTTTTCTATATTCTCAACTCGAAACCTCACTTTGATCTCCCAGATTTTGTAATATTGTCCCTCACATTATCACAAATCAAATTTGAAATTTCACAGATTATTGGAGCGGGAATGAATGCTTCATGGGTTTCTATGCTTATTCTGAGCATTCTTCTCAATGTAAACCGCCTCATTTCCATCGTCTTTCACTTCCAATCCAGCAGAATATTCGGTTCTCTGAACATGAAAGTGAGTTCAAACCCTCTGTGCAATCTGCCCATTCACAGTTTTCATTCCAGATCTATTTCCTCTTTATAATTCTAATCTGGAGCATTGTCTTCTTTTTGAATGCGTTCGGTCTCAGCCGAATGGTCTATCTGCTGCCTGCGTACACGTGGCATTATGCCGTGAGTCGAACGAAGTCGAACCGTTTCGTGTGCAACGAGAGCCGATTCCCACCTGAAAACGTTCTCTTTCCAGGCATCCAACTCACTTTCGGCTGTTCTGAGAACCGTCAGTGCGGACATCTCTCTCGTCGACGTTCTTTTCTCACTCGTGGCTCATCTGTCCATCTTCAGCTATATTTACTTGGTAGCCCATCTCACAAACCCTCAACCATTTCCATTTCTCATTTAGAAAGCTGCCCTTCTATCCAGAAAAGAGTTCATTCTGACCGTCCAAGTGCTGTGCGTTTCCATCTTTCACATCCTCGGCTATGTCACGTGGGAGTACCTTCCGATCCCCTGGGAACTGCCGATCGGAGTGTTCCTCGGTCATTTCGTCTGGATGCTCTGGAACTCGATCAATCCTATGCTGTACTTTCTCATCAACCCGTACGTCTCCTTCTATTTCTCTTCCCAATACTCATTCTGGAATCATTCAGACGCATCCGCAATCTCGTGCTCGCCTCGATCGGAAAGCAAGTGGAAGTGAGTGGACGGACCCTGTTCGTGCCTTCCCACGTGTCAACAGTCCGTCAATCTGGGGCAAAGGTGTAGTCGACAAGTGGTTAGAGTACAGACACGCAAATAGACGTCGTTAAACAGCATTCGCATCGTTATCAATTGGCTGTCACTCCGTCTGTTTTGTTGCAAACAGAAAACATTCTGCCGTTTCCTTCTGTTATCATTTCAATTGCGAGCATCCATGTTCACTCGTCTATCGCTTTTTTTCAATGAAAAATTCTCCGATTTCACAGTGTGCATTTCAATTTTCAAAGTTCGGGACAGCCGGGGAAACACTCGCTTAAGAATACATACGCGGGAGCTTCCTGTGATTATGTCCCCTACCTTTCTCACTTTTTTTTGTTCTCGTTGTGCTTTGCCCCACCCCCTCATATATTCCGTTCAAAATGTTGGAAATTGAGTTCTACAAGAGCATCGATCTGATCGCGTACATCGAGGAATTGTTCGATATGTCTCATGGAAAGTCACTCGGTCAGTCTGGGCTCTTTTCTTTGCGAAACAAGTCTCGGATCTTCTCCTGTTTTCAGCCATCATCTCCGTGTCCGACAAGACCGGCCTCATTCCGCTGGTCGAGGGTCTCCGGGCCGCCGGACTCGGCTTGATTGCTTCTGGAGGAACAGCGAAAGCCATCCGAGATCATGGAGTCGAAGTGCAAGACGTGGCAGATGTGACAAAGTTCCCGGAAATGCTCGGAGGAAGAGTGAAGACGCTGCATCCAGCCGTGCACGGAGGCATTCTGGCGAGAGACACGGAAAGTGATCGACACGATTTGGAGGTGAGCAAGAAGTACCGGGAAGGAAAGAAAGAATCTTTGCACTCGGGACACTCTCTACTTAGGTTAATCGAATTGAGAACCGAAATGGGACGAGAAGAGCTGCCGGAGGGCGACAAAAAGTTGGCCCTTCGGCAGATGAGGGCTTATCCGAAGGCGATGGAGGGGAAGAAGAAGAAGGAGATTAACACACAACTTTCTCGCCATTTTTCCATTTCGTTGCCTTTGTTTCTCCCCAAGTCCAGCCCAAAATGAACACCCGTGACGAGTCTATTTACAAGTAGTGATTGGGCCCACTGGTTTCTTTTGCACGTACGGATAATAACAACACGGGGGATCCGGGTGGCGATTCGATTACCACCTCGTCTTTTCACTCACAATTCAATTTGGACCTCCTTCCAGAAACACGGCATTTCCTTCGTTTCGGTCGTCGTCTGCAACTTGTACCCGTTCAAAAAGACCGTCCAATCGGCCGACTGCTCACTCGAAGACGCCGTCGAGAACATTGACATCGGTGAGTTGTGTTTGTGTTCAACGAGTCGGAAAATTGGATTTTCGTGCTGTGTTTTCTGTCGCCATCCTTTCTTGATTTAATGCACTTGACTTGTTCTGCTCCCTCTGACTTATTCTTCTTCTGCTTTGCCCATCAAACAACAAGCAGAAGGAAACGGTCGCGCCGATGAGTCGCATGTTGTTTTTGTCGTCACTCCGCCAATATTAATTCAATCCCCGGGGGTCTAATCGTTTTACGAAAAGCAAGAAAGAAAAAAGGAAACAAATGGAAAGTGACCCGAGGAACTCTGATACTCGAAATGACTCCGGAGACATTCATGACCTACTCGGAACCTTTTCAGCTAGAAGATGTACTCTGAGTTCAACTCAAGCAAAGAATGCTATTCTCTGATGCCATGAAGTCTTTCCATTCTTCATCTCCACTCATCCATTTTTCCATTCATTCCAACCTTTAACCTTCTTTCGTTTGCTCGCTCTCTTCCTGATTAGAAGACCTTCCTCTCCCCGCCCATTTCCTTGTTTGCCCCCGATCCAATTGTCCAGATTTGTTGTTGTGTCACCGTAATATTCGCAGTCGCCAAAATGTTTTCACACCCGAATATGTGTCCTCCGGGACCTCCGTTCCCGCCGCTATAAAAGTGTTTGACGATTTCAGGCGGAGTCACTCTTCTGCGCGCCGCCGCCAAGAACCACGAACGAGTCAGCGTGATCTGCGATCCGGCCGACTACGCCCAGATCCTTTCGGAGGTTCGTGTGTTAACCCAGAAACAGAATGAAATGTTTTGACATATTCGGCATGTTCGACGGCCTCGGGGAGCCATTTATTCTAGCCTTTTTGGGTCTCTCCAGAGGACGAGACACTTTATAAATGAGCCCGAACAGACTGAACGAAAAGAAGACGTCATAACTTTTTACGCACACTCGAGTTTTTCACTTTTCTCGAACAAGTCGGCTCCTCAGAGAATACTAACTACTTTTTCGGTCCTCATGACTCTTTCAAACGTTTCAGTTGAAATCCGGAGGAACCAGCCGCCAACGCCGCCAACTTCTCGCCTTGAAGGTAGGCCTCTCCGCTCACTTTTCAGAGGGGATGTCACTCAAAAACGTTTTTCGTCTTTTCCCTTTCTTTCGAAAAGCGAAATTTCTCTCTCAGCGCGATGAGTAAAGAATGATGGGGACACGACCCAGAAGCGGTCATAAAATGGTGCAGCGGACTGATTTTATAGACGGAGGGGCGACGGGAGAGGACGCAACAACTCCGTCGCTGACGCCTTCTCCCTTTTCCACTCAACACAACCTTTTTGTTTTCCAGTGAAACGTTTGATAAGTGATCTGTGCAATAGGGCATCTCTACTACGGTACTCTCGAGTTGACTGCTCAATTTTGAGCACATCCTATTCAATGACAACTTGAAAATTGTATTTTTATACTGTTTGCAATTGGAATATCAGTCCGTTCAAATCCATTGTAATCAATCATTGGACTTCGGTTGCCGATCATGGATCAGCCCCTTCGACGTCACCCAACACCTCCATAAGTCGTGTTCAATCCATCAATTATTCTCAAAGTTCAGGCCTCTCCCTCCTCGTTTTCCACTCTTTTCACTCAGTTCACACATTCCGTGTTTTTGTTTTTTATCGTCGGCTTCCGCACGAAATTCGGAATGCGTCGTCGCAAATGAATTTATTAAAACTTCGAGCCACTCGCCGCTTTCTCTCCAAATTCCTTCACTTGAAACAAACAAAAACGAATCCTCCTTCTTCTTCTCACATTCGCAAAGAAACAAAGAGAGTGAGTGCGGCGAATGGGCGGAAATAACGAAAAACTCGGAGAGGTTTATCAATCTCACCGTTTTTTGTCTCGTTCTTCAGACTCTTCTGGGAGACGTAATTCTTCAGCACCCGCCCACGCCACGTCAACTTTTTGCCCAATTCCATATGCATACTTTCCCACCCTTGCGACCTTTTTGAACATTCTTTGCTTCCCATCCTCTCGAACTTTGTACAAATGGTTTGTTCGCAGTTTGACGTGGCACACTTGTCAATTGCTGTCAAATAAGGACCAGAGAAGACGAGTGAAAGTGGCCATCTGACGCCGCCGTTTGACACGTCTTCTTCCGATTAATTCCAAGTGCTCGTTGCTCTTTCCCTCGCCTTCCCGTCCTATGTGTCCATCAATTTCCGCTTTTGTTCGTCGCTGATCTGCGAGTCTCCGAAGACGCCTGCTTCCTCAATTCAATTTGCCAACCTGACGACATCGGTCACTGTCTCCTCGTTCGTTTGTCTTCCAAAACAACTCTTCGATACGATTATTTCGTCAAATCCGTGAACTTTGCTTCCCGCGCGTCTGCTCGTCAGACTGAATCACAGGGAGCAACGAACAACTCCACCAATGCATTCTGTTTTTGTTCGGGCCCGGTGCCTTGCTTCCCCTTCTAATCCCCCAAACTCATCAACTCTTTGTGCCCGGACCGCCCGAATTCCTTGCTCTTCTCGCCTCGGTTGCTCATAAACGAAGATCGGCGGCTCTTTCTGTCCGCCAATTGAGGCCGTCTCGTGCAACCGATTCCTCCTCTTCTTTTTCTTCTTTGTGCCCGTTTACATATCTTTTTTCCTTTCTCTTCTGCCATTTGAAGAAAAAAGCAATTTGGGCAATCAGGTACACAAAGTTCTCGTGTCCGTCGACGCCCCATGGGAATGAACAATCTAATTGTTCGCCAAAAATGCGAAACACTATGACAAAAAAGAAGGAGAAGCCGATCACGTGCTTGTTCTTCGAAAGTACTCTGCTTTGATCCCAGTTCACAGAGATTCCATTCGTTCCGACTCTTGACCTCCCGCGCCTTTGCATCTGTTTCCCACCTTTTGGCCTCCTTCCGCGGCTATCCGGTTGCTCTTTGTTCCCAATGCAAACTTATCCATATTTGCAGTCTCCAGACCGAAAGATGCTCTCTTCTGGCCGTCTGAATGGTTATTTGTAGTCTCTCCGGTTCCTCGCTCGTTTTTCATCCGTCTTTTTGTCGCCGGTCGCCGACTTCACACTGTGCGCTTCGTTGAACGAAACGGATATCCGATTTGAATTCCCGCGCCCGCAAGAGTAATTCGTCCGTGGAGAATTTCGTTCAGGATTTCGTTCACGGACCATTCATTTCGACTTCCCGGAACTTTCCAGTCAGACTCTGCACTTTCAGTTCTCCCGAATCTGTTCGAATTCTCCCTCTTTTATTCAACTTTTCGCATCTCACTCAGCCCCACTACAGTCCCAAAATGTCTCGGATATCATCGATGGCCTATAAATGGAAGCAGCCGCCCACAATCAGCGATGATTCGCGGCATCGCTCCCAGAGCAACTCGCGTCTTTTCGACAGAATTTACGGACGGATGCACAGAGGAAATAAGGTTTCTGGGTGACATCCTGCTCTTCCCCTTAACTGAAAAACAAAGAGAGAGAGAGGGGGGAGGAGAGAGAGAGAGAGAGAGAGAGAGAGAGAGAGAGAGAGTAGTCTGATCGTAGCAACTCTTTCTTCCCTTTCAGGCGTTCGAACACACAACGTCGTACGACGAGTCAATCAGCGGATTCATGCGCCGTCGTTTCGCTGGCAACGGCGAACGGGCGCTGCCCCTCAGATACGGTAGGTCGGATGCATTCCGATGTGTGAACCTTTTGATGGACATTTGTCACACAAAAAACGGATTGGGTGTCAAGTAGCAGGCGTATTGAGAGGGATTCCCCCGGGAACTGGCCGCCTTTCGACCCAACGCCTCTATTGTCTTTGCGTAGATATTTAGATGACGTGGTTACTCCGAAACGTTCATTCCTTCGCTTATTTGAATATTTCAGGCACAAACCCTCATCAGAAGGATGACGCCGAATTGTACATAGTCGAGGACGAAATGCCAATCAAAGGTTTGTTCCGTCTCCGTTTGTTCATTCATTTTTGTTCCCGTTTTTCTTGCTCACAAAAGTATATAGCCATCAAAAATGTATGTGATGATGGCAGTTGCTGGTCGCTTCAGCCCCGGCTCTTTCTTGTTGTTACTCATCCCGAATCCGCCCATTTAATCTTCACAAAACTTACATGTCTGATGAAAGGTATAAAATATGAATGCGAACACTTCCTCATTTCATCCGAGTCACATTTCCATTTCAGTGCTCAACGGATCGCCGGGATACATTAACATATTGGACGGTCTCAACGGATGGCAACTCGTCAAGGAGCTCTCCGATGCGACGAAAATGCCTGCTGCCGCTTCATTCAAACATGTCTCTCCTGCAGGTAATCCATTGACATCCTCCAGTTATTATTGTCCGTTCTTCACAGGCGCTGCCATCGGATTGCCTCTGAACGAAACGGAAGCCGCCTGCTGCATGGTCTCCGATCTTCCGATCGACAGCAAAAAACCGTCTCTGGCTGCTGCTTACGCCCGTGCCAGAGGTCAGTTTCCCCCGGATTCCTGCAGAATGCACAGTGTGCCCAACTTTCCCTTCCGTTTTCTCTCACTCTGTTCCATGTTTTTCACTCTCTCACTAACCCTTTTTCCTCTTCTCTCTCAGCACCGTTTTCTCTATCCGTTCAGAACAGGATTGGGTCATCTGTGACCGTCTTCAACGATTCGCACCGGCCGTCGGTATGCTCACTTCCTCGGAAGTGGCTTGACTTGATCTGTGCACCGCTTCTGTGTTTGTGATCGAAAGAGAGGAAAGAAGGAGATCTTGTCGCCGACTCCTTGATTGTGTTCTCGTGCTTTTTCGTCACATTTTGTATCAATTGTTGTCGGTTCTAAATGAGCTGTTCTTCAGGAGCGGATCGTATGTCATCGTTCGGTGATTTCATTGCGCTCTCCGAGAAATGTGATGAACTTACGGCTAAAATAATCAACAGGTGAGCAAGGATTACGCTATCCGCTATTGTTCTGTTTTCAGAGAAGTATCCGACGGAGTGGTGGCCCCCGACTACGAGCCGGCAGCCCTTTCCCTTCTTGCCAAGAAGAAGAACGGCAATTACTGTGTTCTAAAAGTTTGCCCACTAATTGGTCCCGCCCCTTCATTACTTCTCATTTAGATCAACCCTAATTATCTGCCATCCGAGACCGAAGAGCGTACCGTATTCGGTTTGAGACTCCGTCAGAAACGGAACAACGCCGTCATCAATGCGGACACGTTCACCAACGTCGTCGGCGGTGTGAACAACGTAAGACGCACTTTGCAATTCCCCGAAACTCTTGAAAATTTCAGCTGAACAAGCAAGCAGTCGATGATCTGATCGTTGCTACGATCGCTCTCAAGTACGCTCAGTCGAACAGTGTCTGTTTTGCCCATCGAGGACAGGTAATCCTGGCGGCTCTTCTGAATTCTCATCTGAATATTTGAAGGTGATTGGCATGGGAGCGGGTCAACAGTCTCGGATTCACTGCACTCGACTGGCCGGCGACAAGGCAATGAACTGGTAAACTTCTTCATTTGTTAGAGAGCGAAAAAGGAAACGAAAGGAAATTATGGGCAAGTGAACGGGCGGAAATTCATCAGAGATGGCGGACAAAAATCGGTTTGGAGCACTCGGCGCCGCACGAGTCGCGCACTCTTTTCCAGTATCCGATGGTATTTCTGTCCCTGCAGCCGTTGGCTCCGCCGTCGTGAATACGTGCGAATGTCTCGCAGTCAGATTTTCCGTAGCACTTGACACGGAATTTGCTGGCGAGCGTCTGAAAAGGTCGGCTATTGTGAGTTCTCGTCCGAGAGCGCCTATTGTTCTCCCGCCGCGAATGACGTCACACAGACACTTCGAAGTGGTCAAACTCTCGAAAAGTGGCCCACTTTCGTCTAAAAAAACGCAGAATTCGTACAGTTATGTCTATGAATAGCGGCCATAAAAGTGGCGAGAGAGAGAATTTATCAGTGATCGGTCGCTTGTTTGGACAACCCTCCCGGCGCTCGTTTCTCCAGAAAAAGTACACATTTGATCAACGATCTTCTAGTCAAGTCCAAAAGAAAAAGGAAGTGAGACAGACCCGGATGCAAGAGGCAGAGCACTGATAGTCCTGAGCACAGTTCATCCAGGCTTCGTCTTCGGTCTCCTCGTCCTTTTTGCCCGGTTGGTAGCATTGCTGCGAGAATGAAAAGTTGGGGACGTGAGGGAGAAAAGGGAACGGATCACCTGGAACTGGTAGATGTTCAATCGGAAGTATCCGCAGCCAATACGACTGAACTGATCGACCGAGCAGCCGAGAGGGACACATCCGGAATCGGCCTCGCACATCGCGAGAAGGCACGCATGATCGCCTTCCACTGGAAGCAGAAATGACAGTAGGGCAGATCAAAGAGTGCAGGGACAAAGAAAGACTACAAGTTCATTCCAGTAGGCATAATTGGGCAGGAAGCAAAGGGATTCGTACCTTTATCGAACATGAGCAACTGAAGCGCACTGCCCACAAGGAGCGAGATCAATGTGATGGCAAGCAGCATGATGAGCAATTCACGGCGGCCTCATCTGTGGCTGAAAGTAAAACACCCGTACCCCAGGGACGGCTTTCAATCCTTTCGCATACCGTATCGAACGCGGGCGTTAGGAAGGGAAGGATGTCGGGGCAGTGAAGAGAGACTGCTGGTCGGCGGGTCCTCTTCTTATGCTTTCCGCGCTCGGAAGACTCTTCGGTTGGGCAGCAGTTCGCCACGCCCCTTTTGTTTGACCACTCGATCGGTGACGTCTGTAGCTCCAACACTGAAGCCTGGAAAAGGACGAGAATGGGCGAGACGACGGGGCCACCGACGATTTGATTAATGAGCGGATTTACTGGATTTAAAAATGGCTACAAACGGAGCACGTCATTCGACGGAATTGGGAGAGCAAATGTAGTCAACGCAAGGGTTATCCATTTGATGCCGAAACGGTAATTGGTAGTTTTGGAGGATTAACTGATGATGACGCCATCTATGAAGATCCAACAAAAAGAAAAAGAACATTGGTTCTGGGTACAAAAAAAGCGAAATTGGCCACAAAGGCAGCAACCGTCGGTGTCTATTTCGGAAGACCGAATGATTGATGAATTCTTCCCTCCCGGCCGACGTCTTCCGGTCCTTCTCGACTGATAACACACATTGACCGATCGATTCGTCACTTGAAAAAGGACTGAAAAGGCAACACGTTCTTATCAAATACACTTTCGCTTTGACAGGTGGCTCCGTCAACACCCGACAGTGCTCGCGCTGCCGTGGAAGAATGCCATCAAGCGATCCGAGAAGTCGAATGCGATCGACCTTCTGTGCAGCGGAGTGCTCGGATCGGAGGTCGGTGATCTTCCTCTTTCTCAAAGATGAAAGAGATTCATTTCAGATTTCAATTGACCAATGGCAGCAATACTTCAATGAGCCGGTGGAGCCACTTGCGGAGGTACGTGCTGCCTGGGGGCATAAACCTCGTGGTCCCTCCGAAAAGTGTATAATCTGGGGCATTATTCTCTTCGATGACGTAAAGTAAACGAAAGAGAGCGGGTATTAGTTTTGAGAATTTGTTGTGATACTCGCCAAAAGACTCGACATCACCGAAACGAAAGGGGAAACTTGCAGGAAGAACGGAAGCAGTGGCTCAGTCAGCAGTCCGGGGTCGTCATGAGTTCCGACGCGTTCCTACCGTTCCGCGATAATGTGGACTGCGCAAAACAGGTTAGAAAAAAGGCTGATTGCGACCTCGCTCCAACGATAATAATTTCAGTTTGGAGTCTCATTCGTCGCTCATCCGGGCGGTTCGGTTCGCGACGAGGAGATCAAGGAGGCGTGCGATGAGCACGGAATCACTCTCATCCACACTGGAGTCCGCCTTTTCCATCATTAGAATTTCCCGGCGATAATGTTTCATTTTCTAGATTTTCCCCCCAGTAACTCAAGCCCTGTAAATGTACATTCCTTCTTGGGTTGTCACTTTTTTTTACATTTATGCGAATAAATAAGTCAAAAACATTCACACGAGCGATTTCACCAGTTCTTTCTAGCGAGATTTCACAATTATGTCTGTCCAGTCGGAAGCCAATTTTCCTGTTCTCCAGTCCTCGAGGGTAAGACTCTTTCGTTCGATTGTCTCCCGAAGTGAACCGAGAAGACTGGCTGCAATGAGATGATTAAAGACCGAACACTTCTCCTGAATTACCTCCGAGCCATGCAATGAACAGGGGTGAGTTTTTCAAGTCGGCGAACCGATAAAATTTTACTTCTTCCGCAAGCTTCGTTTGATTTTTCTCATCGATTAACGCGATTTCTTGCTTAAAATGTAAGTGAATGCGGTTAGGGTGATAAGACATACCTCTAATCGTTTCAGAAGTCCAGGGATAGTGGCAACTCCGCCGACCAAAAGAGTATTCGGGAAGAGTTTCTTGCGGAGGTCAATGGGACACTAAAAGAACGAGTTAGCAACGGAATCCTCTCGTATAATCTCACTTTTGAGACAAGTTTATAGAGCAGTTTCGGAAGGCTCACATCGAATGAATCCGGATTTAGTTGCTCATCGAAGAAGATTTCAATACTAGTTTCACTGTAAAATTTCACACCTTCAAACATTTTCTTATTTTCAGGCTATTCTTACAATATAACCGGTGGCACAACGATGCATTTCTTCTCGACATGAACGAGCGATTCTTTGGAAATCGGTTCTATCTTCGGTTTCTCTCCTTGTGCGTTCTCCCATTCTTTCCACTTCTCTGACCTTTCTTTGTCAGTGCAAATCAATGAAATACTGATCGTTTCGACCAAGTTCATATTCTGCAATACTTTGACTACTCTGTTTAACGTTTTTCCTGAATGGCTTACATCAATATCCGTCCAGTCCTCATCAGAAATAGCTCTCCTTTCTGAATTTGGCTCTTCAACTTGTCCGTACTTCTTCAGCAGCTCGCGGACTCTTCGTTCAAGCTGTTTACCACAGATCGAACGTGCCGATTCGAACTCATTCAGCATTGTCACTCCTTCGATTATCTGCATGAAAGGGAATAAGTTTATGAAGGAAATTGAAGTTTTACAGGCATAGCCAAGCATTCAGAGTGTGCGATATCCACGACAAGGGCGTTTTGAGTATTGAATGGGAACGTGGCGCAGACGTGCGAAGGCATGAACATGAGTGACTTGCAGCGAAGCTTCTCGACAACCACCTTGGATATGGCGTTCCGGAGTTCAACAGACATGAACAGACTTTCAACTACGATAACCGGGCGGTCTGCAGGAGCCAGCACTCTGGAAAATTTGGGAATGAAAAACAATCTTTGTGGAATAAGTTTACTTTAAAAATATTTTTCTCAAAAACTTGAGAAGCAGGTCCTCGTAGTATTCTACCGGCTTCGACACAGTTTTCATGTTGTTCAAGGCCAGAATCTCGTCCGCAGTCACCAATTGACCGTTCTCATCCAAAAACTCTGTCCGAATAACATGTCGAGGATTGTGTTCTCCCGCACATCCGATTCTGAGTAATTCAAACATGAATACGGCTGATGGAAAGGTCTACTCACTTCGTCAGTTTGGATCCAATGTCCACTACTACTGCGCTCTTTCCGTTATCAATTGAACTGATTGCTTGTGAGAGAGCAGTAGAAGAAAGGGAAAGAATAGAAGACGTCGAGACTCCCGACGAACTTCTCCGAGCCGCCTTCAACGACTCCAACTTTTCTTGAGCACTCGACGCCAGTTTGTGCCCTGTAAGAATCAAAATGCCTTGTTTAAAAGAATTGTATTAGACAATCGGAATTATTCTGTTGAAATTTTCCTCAGCTAGAGTTTGTGAACGCCCGGCGGACACCCGCCGGTTTTTGAAGCATTGTACTTGTTTAGCAGAAAGTGGCATTTGTTGGATTTTGACAGATTTCAATAAAAATCAAGGGATAATTAATGTGAAACAGCCAGAGAACGTAAAAATAAGTAAAAGAAATACAAGATTACTTTTTCAAAATTCCTATAAAATTTATTCGGCTTCTTCACAATCTTCTGTTTGAAAATAGCGTGGAACTGTCACCGGAGCTCCGGATACCTTGATTTTTGCTGAAATCTTTGTCAAAATTCAGCAAATGCCACTTTCTGCTAAACAAGGTGCAATACGATGCTTCCAAAACCGGCGGGTGTCCACCGGGCCTCCACAAACGCTAGGTGAGTCTTCTGAGCAACTAGGGTGCTCGTTGTTGCAAAATGTGTGCAAACACCGTGGACGGTCGCCTGCGTACGCCGATGTACCACATTTCACGCGCACTTCGGAGGTGACGTCACCAGTCGTTTTCTTATCGTTTTCTCAACGCCCGCCAGTTCAAATAACACTGGGTGGTGTCTGGCGGCGGTCTTCGAGTTGTTTATGATAGCATGCCGTCCCTCGTTCCCCTTATTTTGCAGGTTCAACAAGTTGCCGACCGGAGCGCCCGCCAACATTGATATTCGGTTCAGAATCATCGATTTTCCGGAACTTGGAGAATTCACAGCTGCTTGATCACGCATTCATATTGCATATTTCTTTCACTCTATTCAGTCACAGCATGATTCATGTGATTATTCCTATTCATCTTGGTTTTCTATTAGGTTTCAGTGAGTAATAATTGTCACTTCTCAAGCGGAAACTGGCTGATAAATGGAAGAATTCGTACAGGTAACGATGGCCGACTGACTGGCCGCACACAATGTTTGTTTTGTTTTCTGTTGTCACTCACTGACAAAGCTCTAATACTGTTTCACGAACAAATACGAACACGAAGCAGCGTCTCGCACAATCAGTTGACAAAAGGAGCCCTTCCCGGATTACTGTAGCTGCATGATATCACTATTACACGTGTTCGCTTTATATCTTCTCATCAACTGAGTCTCCTTTACACTGTCATTTTGAACTTTGTGCTTAGCCGTGGAACTCTCTCAAAAGAGTACTGCATATGATAGTGGTCGGGGGCACAAGTGTCATCACTTGGAGCTGAGCCAACAGAGCTGCTCTCGACATGTGAGAGCCGTCGCGAGACGAGCATATATCTGCGACGACAACAGCGTCTGCGTCTCGCGGCTCGCGCGTTCTCTCGGCAATCACTGTGAAATAGCACGAAAGTTACACACTTGAATCTGCGACGACGGCGGTCGCGGGCTCCGTTTATCCACGTTCCATGTCGCTCCTTCTTTTCTCTTCTGCTTCTTGTTTTTTCGCCGCACCGAATCATTGAATTTGCCTTCTTTCGTCCTGCTGCCACTTCCTCTTAATTCCCTCCAAACTCAGATTTTGCGGAAGCCGCCGTCAGTCTCCACGAATGTCGAACACACTGGAAATTGGCCATTTCGATCCCACGTTTCAGTCAACTTCGAAGGTAAACTCACCCTCCAAACTATGATGCCTGATTTTTGAATATTCTAGAAACTGGTACTTCCTGCCCAACGGAAACAACACGCAGACTACGATAATCTGAACGATGAGCCCGGAGTGAACGACTTCTCGAGCGATGAGCTCATGAAATTGCTCGCATTTATGGAAGGGGAAGTGCAGGCGAGAGAAGACGTCATCGAGCATCTGAAAAAGGAAAGGACGAAGCTTCTGTTGGCAGAAGCAAAGTACGGAAAACTGAATATGAACGAGCCGTTCGCTGCTCTCAGAAGGGATTCCGCGATCACGGGAGAAACGATCGACGAGGAGAAGATCGTGAAAATGTACGAATCACAAGTGGATCAGCTCGATAAAATGATGTCAGTTCAGAAGAAGTCACAGAGAAACGCAGCGGTGGTGAGTTTGTCTTGATCCGAACTTTTGAAAACCACATAGTATTATTGTTTCAGTTGTTGGTTGCCCTCGAAAAAAAACAGTACAAACTGGTGAAAAGACTGGAGGCGGACAGAGATGCGAAGATTAAGTGAGTGGAATCCGAATCGGATGTGGTGGATAACAGATTGGATTTCAGATATGCAAAGCAGGGAGATGATCTGGTGGCTCACTTGGAAAAAGAGAGAAATCAACTGCAACAACAGATAGAATTCCATGTTGAAGAGAAGAGAAAAGCGGAGATAGCAAAGGACAAAATGGAGATGTCGCTGGGAAATGAGAAGAAGAGGCACGAGTCGATTGTTCTGTATCTGATTCAGGAGAGGAAGCAGATGCTGCTGAAGATGCACGAATTGAGAGTGAAGACCGAACAGCTCCTCATTCAGCAACAACCGGATTCCAACAAACGTAAGTGTCTCGCTTATTCTACATATTTCAACGTTTCGTTCATATCAGCGGGTCCTTCGAATGCCGTCAGTGACCGGGAACTGATTGAAGACTTGAAAAAGGAGCTGACTTTCTTGCGTTCTGAACGCGAATCTTTGATGAAGACGCAAAAGATGATGAAGACTGAGAACATGAGTTTGCGGGAGACTGTCCGAGGACAGGAGGCCGATCTGCAAATGCTCCGGCGGAATCTGACACTGGCCGGAGCCAAGATGTCCATTGACAAACCGGGAATAGTGGCGAGTTCCCGTTCTCGTCCCGTCCCACTCAATTTGTATTCTTTCAGCTGCCTCAACTGCCTCCAGACGGCGGATCGCTGATAATGGCGAACAAAGGAGCGAAGCCGGCGACCACATCTCGCCAACCGCCCGTTCTCCCTCCGCCGGCCGCCCGTCTCCCCAATTCCAGCACGTTCCCCACTGAGAAGAGCCGTCTTCCGAGAGCCCCTCCTCCGGTCACTTCTACCGTCCCCCGGATGTCCATCGGACCCATTCCCCCTTCTGCCAACGCGTCAGTTGATTCCTCCCACTTCTCCCTCTCATTTCACCCTTTTTCAGTCCGCGAACAATGAGCTCTCCCGTCAAAAAGACGCCCGTGATGGGAGTTTCGTCCACGACGGCCCGTCGTCCCCAGTCCGCCACCACCGTGCCGACGACTTCTGTGATCACCAACACCGCCGCCATGATGCCTCTGACTCCGGAGCTGGAGCAGTTAGAAGCGGCGATTCAGTCGATGAACGGTCAGTTTCCGCCCCAGTTCTCTGGCTTTCCGTTCCTTCTGCACCGCCTGTTTCCTTTCGTTGTGCTTCTTTTCGTAGTGTTGTCATTCTTCAGTCGTCTCGAACAGTCCGCCCGCTTACACGTCCGCCATGGCCAAACGGAGCTCCAGTCTTCCGCGAGAGCCCAACAACAATCCGTCGTCCCCGGCCCGCCGCGGAACCATGAACGGAGGAATGTATACGTCGACGACGGGCGTCGTCACCACTCGAATCGGCACGTTTCCATTTGATTTGCGTCCTTCTTTTCTTTATTTATTTTTTCCTTCCTGAACTCGCTCATAAATTATAATGTCCATTATTTTCAGCCGGACCGTCTACGAGCACTGCGAGCGAACGGAAAATGTCCGGAACGGTCAAAAGGAACGGGATTCTGGCGAAGGCGTTCGGATCATCCAAATAGTAGAAACGGAATCGATTATTAGTTGTTACTTTTACCCCCAATTAAACCCTTTTTCATTTCCATCTTCCTCATTATTTCATGGGTATCTGAATTCTCTTCCACTTGATGTTTTGCTCAATTCTCTTCCAGTTTCACACAAATGTCTAGCATATTACTTATAAGGAACTAATAAACTGTCTCATCAAGTTCTGTTTATTAAAAATAATCAAGTCGACGTAACAAATCAGTTGAAAGGGGAAAGGCGGGGGAAAAAAACTAGACACAAATAAGGCGAATAGTCAGCTGAATTATTGAGAACATTCGACTTCAGAGCACAGCAGAGAGGGAGAAAACGTGGGGACGAAAAGACGATTTGAACCCGTCTGTGATACATTTTTCCAAATGTGTTTAGAAATTGACGGAAATTACATCGAAAGAAAAGGCGCGGATGGGAGGAGAGAAAATGGTTTGAGAGGTGCAAAAGGAGGGCAACTGAGACGTTGAGATGAGTGACCGAAGGAGGAAAGTCTAACGGGAAGAAGCACGACGAGAACTAGACTCGGATCAGATGTAGGTCGGAGTGATGATAGTGGAGAGAGAACTGTCGAGCAGGCGACGGGCGGCGTACGCTTCCTTGAAGATTGACGAGTCCGAGTACTGAATAGGACGAGATGAAACCTCGTTTTTATCGCATAGATTTTACCTTGGTGACGCCACGATTTCTGGTGTTGAGAAGGATGTTGAGATCAGTCTGCCAACTCGGTTCCCCGAGTTCGTCCATTTCAATCCGCGGGCACCAACTCTCATGATTATGAATCGGATCGAACTTGTTTCCACTTCTGAACACTTTATCCTATATTTAAACTAACAAATGACCCACCTAATAGCCAACTCCCTAGCACAATGGTCGCATCCCAAGATAAGAGTTCCTCTTCTCGGCTTGGAAACTTGCCAGCCGAGAGCCGACAAGAATACGAGTTCCGGTGCTATTCCTTCCATTTTCGGCAAATTCACATCAGATGGAATGTCCTGAAGCAACTAAAATACATGTAGCTGTCAACGAAACGTCAATCTAACCGCCTTCAAGTCTCCAGCATCGATTGCGTTTGTGTAAGACAGTCTGCTCTTGATTCCATCCAAAATTTCCTTCGACGTCGGATCGACGATTCGGAATGGCGGAGCACCGCTTCTCAGCTTGCAAGTCGACCTGTGAGCAGTTACCATCTTTTCGTGAACATCTCTGAAAACAGTCAGTCATCAGCGGATAACGAGCGCCGAGCTCACTCGAGGCAAGTGTTGTAGACGTTGAAGGAAACTTTGCAAATGTTGGGAAGACCAGTGCTCAGGTACTGATCGCACTCGACACACTTCACGGAATCCTTCTTGACGCAAGCCCATCCGAAGTCCGCCAGGTCGCGGGGCGAGACCGCGCATCCGTACCAAATGGGAGCCTGTAAATGTTAATTTGTTAATTGACAAAAAGACATACAGACATAAACCACTTGTGTTTTATCTATAAGAAATACGTTTTCCGAAACAATCGGAGTTATGAGAAAATTTCTGAATGGAATTTTCCATCGATTGTAATGAATAGGTAACATTTGCGTTAATTAATCAATAATTATGAAACTAAAATTTAGAAGTTGTTTTAACTGGGAATATTTTTGAATACACGTCATACTGATACAAAGCAGTTATAACTTATAAGGGATTTCCTTGTGATATAACTTACCTTGTAAGTTTTAATGATTTTCTTGTACGAGTCGATATCACGAATTTTTTGAGCCTGGCTTTTCTTGGATCTGCAATCACTTTCAGGTGTTCCACTGAACAGCAAAATTGACAAACCGTTTCTGAGGACTCGTGGACGACTGTCCGCAGTTGAGAATTTCATTGATTGACTCGTTCGCCTTCCGTTTCAACAACGCATGGCGCTCTTTCATCGATTCCAACTCCATTCTTCGGAAAGTCGTTCTTCACCTGAAAATCAATTAATTTTTCCGGAATGGGCCAACGATTCCAAGAAACGACGGTGAGCAACGACGGGTCAATCGAAAGTTTTCCTCGTGGTACCGTAGCAGAAGAGACGCCGAGTTAAAGGCGCACGCATTATATCGCTCGACGGGTCTCGCCGCGGCCTCCTCTTTTCGCATGTCTTCCACTCCGACCCCTCTTGCCTGCCTATCGCGCAGCCCATCAATAATTCTTTGTCAGCTCCATTCGCCGTCAAGTGTTGATAGATTCTGATAACTTTGGTGTCATTGGAAAGCCACTATTCAGGGCTATCGAACGGTGTGAGGATGAAAGCGCCAATGTGAGAAACGGCTGAGAAAAAGCGGCGGAAGTGAGACACTCTCCATCACGTGACTTCGCCCATCTGAAATTTTTTTGCTGAAGACGGAAGAGAGAACCGAACCAAAGCAGTTTTTGACGGTCGCATGATAGTGACCGACTTCTTCTTTCCTTTCAGCTAACTTTCCAGTTGATTTCATGTTGATAAACTTCGAATCAGTTGATATTTTGACTAGTTTCAAAAATACCAATAGGTTCTCAAAACAAGTTTCAGATTGGGGAAACAATCACGCGGATTCTATTTAGATCAAATCGGAAACAAGTTGTTACTGATTTATTGATTTTCATGACTCATCAATGACAGCAGCTAACCGGTTAAAGTTACCGCAGGGAGTACCGGGAACACAACACTGAATAAAGTTATGCTTATCTTTTAAGGAAAAGGTGAACATTCGAAAGAGCCCTACGATTTATTAACATCTTATCAGTGTAACTAAATCTGCGGCGCAAGCGAGATGTGAGAGCGGCTTCATCCGGCAGTCCCCTCCACCCCATTGATTTCCGATTTCAATCTGCATTCGTTCGCGATAGCTCCCCTTTCTTAGTTTCTTAGTTTCATCTGCTAATTCTCTTTGACTATTCTCGTTTTCGTTTCGTCTTCTCTTCTCTTACTTCTTTTCTGCCTCACCGCCCGTGGAGCGTGTTCTCTGTTCTCTCACGATTTATCGATCGACCAATTGCCCAAGCTGCACTTTGCTTCTCCTCCCTCTCCAGTCTCCCCGATACGCTCATTTTTCAGTGTTCCACTCTCAAGTTCTCCCTACTTTCTTCTCGCCCAAGAAATGTCGACTAGCAGCGACGAAACGTCCGATAAGGAAGTAAGGTTTTCGAGAATTTTCCTCCGGACAAATTTATTTTCCAGTGCCCTTTGTGCATGGAAACCTTGGAACTCGATGATATCAACTTTTACCCGTGCAAATGCGAGTACCAAGTATGTGCTTCCCTGAAAATTTTCAAAAAATTCGGCGATTTTTTCAGATCTGCCGTTTTTGCTGGCATCGTATACGGACCGACGAGAACGGGCTCTGTCCTGCCTGTCGTCAGCCCTATCCTGAAGACCCAGTCAATTTCAAAGTTCGTCAGAAAATTGAAGTGGAATTTACAATTACAATCGATTTCAGCCTATGACTAGTGACGATGTGCGAAAGCACAAAGACGAAAAGAGGATGAAAAAGCAGGCGGAAAAAATGAAAATCTCGGATGCTCGGCAGTACTTGTGCAACTACCGCGTTCTCCAGAAAAATCTCGTCTACGTTGTGGGGATCCCTCCTCGAGTAGCGGATGCGGAAGTGCTCAAGAAGCACGAGTATTTCGGTCGGTACGGAAAAATCCAGAAGATCGTGACGAGTGCCACGGCGAGCAACCCGGTGCAAACTCTTCCGCCCAGCCACACGGCATACGTGACCTATAAAAGGGTCGACGACGCGTTGCGAGCGATACAGGTCAGCTGTTGAGAAGGCAAATGTCGATTGCATTTGTGTTTGTTGCAGGGTGTTCATAACTCGGTTCTGGACGGGCGGCAAGTGAAGGCGTCCCTGGGGACGACCAAATATTGTTCTTCGTTCTTGAACAGTCGGAAATGCTTCAAACCGGTTCGGCAGTTCGCATTGTCCGACGTTATGGCGCAATTCTTTCTTTGCAGGAATGCATGTACTTGCACGAGATTGCGGAACCAGAGATAAGCTTCACGAAGGACGATATGCACGTTGGCAAGCACACGGAATACGAGAAACGATTGATTGATTCTATGAACAGCCGGCCACCGCCGCCACAGTCGACTCTTGCATCTCAATTGGATAAAATATTGGTGCCCACGTACTGAGAAACTGTTTGTGAGCACGGAAATAAAAATAGAACTTTCAGATCAAATTCTGCACAAAACAGACGGCCTGCAACGGAAATCAAAGATTCAGATGGCTCGAATGCAGTTACAGGCGCTGGGCGAACAGGTAAGAATGAGGAGAACGGGTGACGACGATTTTACAAAATATTGAAAAGTTACAGGCTCAGTGCCACAGATTCCTGCAGAAGAGCCGTATGATGATGCGGACTCGACGAACACATCCGATGTAGGCGTCGAATCAGAAGAACGAGAAGCCAATGTTGCCCAATTTCAGTCGATCGATGATCCAACTCCGTCAAATCCTGCGGACGAGACAGTGAGCAGCAAGAGGAGTAACGCGACAGCCAGAGAACGACAGTGGTCAGAACGCGATGAAATTTCAGTTGCACCAAGTAACACGCCTCCGACAGACCCAGAAGGCAACGATAACGAATTCGACGAAGAGGCAAATAGGTTCGAGATCGGGCGCCACTTCAATTGCAGCAATTGGAGACACAGCGAACAATCGACATCAGATAATGTTTACTTTCCAGGAATGATGTCAATGACCTCATGTCAAAACTGGATGTGGATGATGACCGGCTGGACCGGAACTCTTATTCAGAAAACGATTATCTGCACTCTGGAATTCCTGCCCCCGCAAAGCACCAAGAAGCACCTGCTCCTTTGATGCAATGGGAGGCACTTCTCGGACTGACGACACACCAGCCTGCCGCGCCGCCCACAGTCGAGCCCTCAACACTGTTCTCCTCATTCAAACTGGATTCTTTCACATCGCCACTGTTCGGCGCACAGTCTTCTACTCAAAACTCGTTCAGAAGGGACCCCTCACCTCCTCCAGGTCTGGGCCGGTTCAATTCAGACGATGATCTTGGTTTCGATCCGTTCACCGAGTCGTCGAAGGGATTGTCTGCATTGCTCCAAGAGGAGCAGGAACAAATCCCGCCACAAAATTCAGGACACACTATGGATGTGTTGAAACAGTGAGTGGAACAGTTTGAGAAGCTGATGGTAACCGTTCTCAGTTCTAGGTTGTTCGGTCAAGTTCCGGATCAGCGGTTGCCTGCCCAACAGCATCAGCACATTCAACAACAACAGCAACAACAAGCGCACCATCATCCACTGCAACAGCATCAAGAGCAACATCACTCATTCCTGCATCAGCTACACGCACAACAACATGTTCAGCATCAGCAGCAGCAGCAACAACAACAGCATCAACAACAACAGCATCAACAACAACAGCATCAACAACAACAGTATGCAGCCGACATGAGCAGGCAGGACTTCATGTTCAACCGTATAATGCAGAGACCGTACGAATCGTCGCCCGGGTACTCGCATCAGTACAGCAACGTAAATAACTGTTTTGGGTTTGCACGTGTATTCGTCTTTCTTCAGATACAACATCAGTCCTCCCAGTCGCAGCAACAACAGCAACCGCAGCAGTCGTCACAGTCATCCTCTCTTCTGCATGACCTGTTCAATAGACAGCAACAAGCTCAACAGCAGCAAGCACAAGTGCAAGCCCAACAACAGCAACAACAACAGCAGATGTTCTCGAACATGAACTACCAACAGCAAATGTACAATGAGATGATGTTCCCACGAGTTCCTTTCGGAATGGCGCCACCACCAGGTCTTGGAGCGCCGTCTGCCAACAGATCCTCTTCGATGCCACCGCCACCTCCACACTTGGCACAGTCTTCTATGCAGCAGCAAACACAACAACAGGCACATCATCATCAGCAGCAGCAGAGTATGGGATTGTTTGGAATGGGACATGGATTGTTACATCAACAGCAGTCGCAGCCGCAATCTGCACAAGACGCGTTCAAAGCATTGTTGCCGACCGTGAATGTGCGCTTTATGGATGACACCTCGATGGCTCTTTGGTCGCACGAGAACAGTCTGCGATCGGGCACCGTCGTACCTCCACCTCCCGGTTTCTCCTCGGTGATGAATCGTTAAAGTTTCCAACCCGTTTAGTTAACACATTTATTCAAGAATAAGAACTGTTTCTGATGTGTATCCCTCGGTTGCGGTTGATGCGAGATTTCAAGTAGCACTTATCAGATATTCTCATCACCCACAACTCCATTGTCATAATAATATTCTTCATATGTTATTGTCTCCTCATATAATCATTTTGTCCGTTTACGACATGTATCATGCGTATCCATTGGGCCAGCCCTTCGCCTCGAATCATTTATTCGTGTTTGTTGCTCCTCCCATAGAATGCACTGATTTATTCGTCCCAGGACTCTTAAATTCTATTTCCTCATGTTGGATTCTTTTGCGGCGCTCCCTCCGTTTACAGCGAACGGCCGTGCAGTGAACAGACTGCAAAGCCTTCCATCTGACTCGCGGACACATCGGGGCCCGCTCCAATTGCACTTTCTTTGCTTTTTCTATCTTTTCCATGGGATTTACACATTAGAAGCGGGACGATTCTCTTTCCTTCCTCTATTTATAGCTCCTTTTATTTTTCCTGGTCATTCCTTTTCTCTACTTTTCTCGTCTCGTCCCGTTCTTTTTCTTCTTCTCAGTCGTTCGTCACAATTGTTTCGGCCGCATTCGCATAACATCAGTTGCTGCGTGCCACGATACATTCGATTGTGACGGACACGTTTTTTTCCCTCTCTCTCCTCTTCCTTTCCCGTCCTCAATTTTCGTGAAATTTTCAGTAGTTTCGTCTATTTCGTGCTCTCACACATCCCGATTCTTCAGTTCTCCTCGTTGAGAACAGGATGACGGAGCTTTCGTACTTTTCCTAATAGCATCGCGCTCCATATTTTTCTTTTCGGATTGTGGTTGGATTTGCTTTTTTGTGTGAGATGATGGAATAAAACAATATTTGGTGGATTTCAGTTATGAGTAAAGTGCGCGATTATAAGGTTAACATCACTTACTTTTACGGATAACTAGGGACGGCTTCTGATTGATGCATTTGAAGATGGTCGAAGATTTTGAAATAGACTCTTTTATGGAAAAAGTTGTGGAAAAACATCCAGAATTAGCTGGAAGCAAGGAAGGAAACAGTGGAATGAAAGACTTCGAAATAGACGAATACGAGAAGAATCTGACGGAAATGTGGCCGGAACTTGCCGAGAAGATCTGCACATTCGACGAGGAAACGGTCCAAGAAGAGAAGGAGAAGAGCGTCAGCAAAAAGTGCGAGAGAAAGGGAATCGGAGAGAAAATACGGCGAATTATTGCAGGCAACAGGCGAGAGATCGAATGACACGGCTGGAAGCGATGATGACGGAAGGACGGTCCCTCTACGAAAAGACCGAGACGTTCCACGTGGCGATGCTCCAAACGGACGGCCCGATGGCGTTGATCGCGGACGCGGTGAAACGGAAGAATCGGGTGGAAGTGCGGACGAGGAGTGCTGTGCGCATCGATCGCATTTTCGACGGAATTCCAACCTCTTTCGACGAGCACTTCAATCTGATGATGTGTGACGTCACGGAAACAGTTCTTCACGGACGGTACCGTTCTCTGTTCTGATTTTCTTTCCCATAGTTCACTTCAGAAAATCACACAGGGAAGTGGGCGCTCGGAGGTGCTTGCAAAGCCTTCTTCCGGAATTCCTTCGATGGAAAGAAGGAGGAGAGTGGCCGATGCCGATCGGATCGAACCGACTTCTGGAGCACCGTTTCCACAGATCATGCTTTGTGAAAGGAGATTCTGTCGTTTTAATAAAACGTTTGAAATGACATCATCCATATTTTACCAGTTTCATTCTTAACCATAAAAACAGTGTCAAACTATGAATTGAGCAGGGGCTATAAATCATCGCGACTTTCCATGCATTTTCAGAAGACTCTGAAAGATGGATAAGTCGGAGGGGCATCTAGAAGTGAATATACGAATGAATTTGAAAGGAAAGAATGAAAGCGAGAAAACAATGAAAAAACAAAGTAGAGAAAACCCGGAAATAGGTGTCAACGTCACGTGTATTCTACTGCTGAAGGGGCACTTGATGGTGGGAGAGAAAGAAAGAAATTTAGAGATACTAAGAAAGGAATAAGATTAACAACAAAAGTGAGTCAATAAATGATTGGTAGAAAAGAGGCAGAAAATAACAAGAAACAATTCATATACAAATTTGAATGGCCTCAAAAAGTGACAGCGAAGAATGACGGAGAAATCACTGGGAGGAGAATCAATGGGCGCCCTGATTCCGAAGGGAAGTGTAGAGACTCATGACCTAAAAGGACTGCTTGAGACACAAAACATTTGAAAACTCTCACCTGTTTGTCAAGATTCTTGCCCTTCAAATTGTTCAGAGCAGACAAAAGCTGATCGGAAAATCCATTGGGAACGAGTTCTCGGAGTGCTCGAGAAAACCCATCTGGATCAGCTTGGTGAAGACTTGCGAGGGTGGAGCACACTTCGTGCACCACAAGGGTGCTTCCGGCATCTGACGGGGTGATGTGGGAAAGTGAGGGGATCTCGAGGGCGACACGAAGAGTCCGTGCGGACCATTCCGGGATGATCGGGGAGATCTTGGCAAGGCTTGAGAGGGCCACCTTCTGGGCGGTCTGATCGGAGGACAGGGCCAGATGGGCGGCTGCTTCGAGAACGTGGTTGAGCAGTCCGGGAGTGGAGTTGAGGGCGGGAACACAGTCGCTCGCGATCACCGTGAACAACAACTGCACAAATGCTCTTTGGACGTAGAGAAGAGCATGCTGACCGTCATCTGAAAGTACATTCTTTTTTCGAAATGCCCCACTAAGACTAACACACCTTTAGCTGCCAAATTGTTATCTTGCTCTTGCACTGACGTTCTCGCCGCAATCGCCAGCACATTTCCTAGATCCACTCCACTCGTCAGCATCAACTTCTTGTGTTTTGCGACGGTTTGGTGACAGAAGATGAGCAAATGATGCATGGAATCAAGGTCGGTGGAGACTAGGGCCAATTTGTCGAAAATGACACTCATGTACGGCATGAGCTCCTCTTCCATGCAAACGACGAGACGGTGAGCAAACTGCCGGGTCGATTCTAGCAGGAATGCATTTTCGGGTGACAGCGTTTCGAAGAACAACTTGATCAGTTTCAAGTAAATTTCCACGCAGTTGCACGCCTTCATCGATTGAGAATTGTTAAATGCCTTCGACATCCGACTGCAGTATCCAATTATGCTGGCCATAAACTGTAGGATCGCCTGGATGGTCTCTTCATCCGTTTTCCTTGCTCTGGCCGCATTCAGTTCAGCCAGTCCGTTTTCAAACTTCATTGCCAAGGTCGAGACCAATTCTCCAACGTATTGTGACTTCATTTCTGATGTCAAATTTCCAAAGACAATCAGCGTGGCGGTTGCTTCGAAGATATATCCTTGATCATCTGGAGAGAGCAGTTGATTGGCATCCGATTGCGGGGAAACTGCGAGCATTGGAGCGAGGCGAGTAATCACTTCCGAAACGAGCGGCCCGAGGACTGTTTTGTGCGATTTCACGAATCGACAGAAAAGGTAGACTATGCGGGTTCGAACGGCGGCCGACGGATTCGAGATTCCACGGTGATCAAGGAAAGCGGCGGCGATGTGTGGGATGACGGCCGGAGAGGGCGGCAGAGAGAGGAGACGCTCGTAGCGACACGCCAGTTCGAAGTAAAGAACGTTTATCGGTGGGCACCTCTCATCTAGAACCAGCCCCTCGAGAATGGCAATTGGAAGACGGGCAGCTCTTTGCGAAATTCCTTCCCGTGGAGTTTGAAGCATGTTACTCTTAAAAAAAAGAATGATGAGAGGAAGTCGTGGGAACCAGTATCCTACCGGAATGATCTCGTGAAGGTGGAACACAATGTGCAGGAGCGCTTCTACTCTGTTCACTGGAATCGATGATCCTCTGGCAGTGACTTCCGCCGCCCACGGTTCAATTGCATTGATGATTGCTTCCGGACGTTTCAATCCGATGACGTTTAGCATTGAACGGAGATCTCTACGTGTTTCCTGGAACTCCACCTCCTCTTCTCCGTCTCCTCCGACAGTCATATCGTCATTCATCACGTATCGTAGAAGTCCTGCTCTGATGACTTTCTCGATGAAAACTGTGTCCTGAAAACATCTATTTCAAAATCCTCAAATTGACAATCACCCACATTCGGATAGAATTTGATTAGGAACGAAGAGTATGCTCGGATGAAGTCGATGCAAAGACAGCTCGAATCTGGATCCTCATTGCTGAGCACAACGAGTGCGGGCTCGGCGAGTCCAGCCAGCTCTCGCACGCAGCATTCCTGCTCCTTCTCCAGTATCGAACTGGCGCACAACCTGCAAATTTCAAGTTTCAGGTGTCTTCACGCCAATCTTCGGCTTAAGTCGTCGCAACCGGTCACTCCGCTTCTTCCCCTCCTCCTCCTCGCGATCTGCGATGCGTGACTCACCTCTTCGCTTGCCATTCGCCGCCCTTTCCTCTTATTCCCCTCATCTCACCAACATACCAGTTCCGAAGATTCCTTTATTTCACACTCGATTTCATTGTTTTCTAGATTTCATTTTCTACGTTGTTCAGAATGATTCCACTGACTATTATTTCCTTTCTTCTGTTATTGGAGACTGTAAACGGGCAAAGTGCAGAATGGTTATGTGAATCCCTCATTTGCGATCCCCCGAAAAAATGTCTCATAGTTGATCAGGTATGCTTTTAAGAATTGGTCATCATAAAGGCGAGTCAATATTTGTGTTTTAAACGCTTTCATGAATTTACACAGCTGCATTCCTAGATCGCTCTGTGTCGGATCAGACGGAAGCTAATCCTACGGAATCCGTAAACGTTCATGTTTTTCTTTTCTTACAGGTAGCCCAATGTCTCGTCGAAACAACATCTTCTCCCTCACCGTTCGGAACAATCAACGGTGGACATCCTCTTTTCCCGAGCCCACAGACTGGAACTGCTCCGAACACACCCACTTTCTCCGTTCCTGTGGCTCCGACATCTCCTCCAACAACCGTCGCTCCTGCGACAACTCCGCCATCTCCTTTTGCTCCGTTTTTGAGTCTGTTCGGAATGGGCACCCCGGGAGCTGCTGCTCCTTCTCTTCTCCCTCCATTCACTCTTCCGACTCTCCCAACAACCGCGCCGCCAACTACCCCTCCTTCAGTGGATATCTGCTCTCTTCCGCCAATCACTGGATCATGTAGCCGAGCAAGAATCATGTGGTACATTTTTAGTTCTTATTCTTGAGTCTCATTTTCTTTTCTACAGGTATTATGACACAGACTCTCGGAGATGTGAGCGCTTCAGTTGGAGCGGCTGTGGAAACGAAAACCGGTTCGCGAGTAAAATGCAGTGCGAACAGACATGTTCTCAGAATTCACTTTTCAAACGTAATTTCTAAAATCTCCTATAGCCGAGCCTATTTCTGTACATAAAGAAGTTTTTGCAATAAAACCAACTTACTTATTTTGAACATCCAGAAGTACGAGTCCAAGAGTGTTTACCAGAGATCCGACACGTGTCACCTCCTCGTCGTCATTGGTCTGGGAATACAGTGATAAGCTGAGTTATCAATGAAAATGAACCGAATACTTACATCATTGATGGTCAACAATCTGTTGTTTCGCAGAACCGTCATTATGGTCAACGTCAATCCGGCCTTCTTTTCTGCTGGCATTCCTTTCTCTAGAAGAGCCCGCACAGCCGATGTCGCAGACTAGAATCAGATTTAAAAAAATATAAGTTAATTTAGTTCATAATTACCTCGGAAGTAGCGGTATTCTGGAACTTGGAGATTATAAGCGGCATGACATAATCATTTGCAACGAGATCCAATTCAATCCAGTCGACATACGAAGCGATGTTATCAAGGACAAGACATTGAATCGCATTGTCATCCGGAAGGGCATTCTGAATTTGCTTAGTTTGGGAAAATTCAGTAAATAATTATCTCACCGCAATAGAAAGCCAGCTCTTTGCAATTTCATTTATACAAATTTCCCTCATCGCATCTTTGATCTTCATATTTCTGTCACTTTCCTGCAAAACAAAAGCCTCGGGATAAAACACAATAGATGGCGTTCTCGTACATTTTTAGATCTTTGTATATCTCTATTGACTACTTCTGTATCAATTGCCAACAGCACTTTCAAATAGAAAAATGCCACTTTGCGATCGTTCATGTTGCCGGAGAAGAAACTGAAACTTTTTGGGGTTTGCTGAAAGAAATATTCAGTTTGTCCCAAATCTTACAGATCATTGAAAAAGCTCGCCCATCTTTCAGGAAAGTCTGCTGCAAAAACGAGGGAAAATATATGTGCCATCTTGTTAGTAAGGAAGACCGGCTGTTCTCCCGTTTGATTGCTCTAAAAGTCAATTTCAACTTTAAAATCCGTGTAAATCAATTATTACCTTAGCGTAGTGAAGAAGAAAGTTTCTAACAACCGAAACGTCATCTGTATTGGAAGAATGATACCGTTTCGTGAGAAAGTCCTCGACAACCTGGAGCAGTAGAAATTGCTCTTCCGCGGTCCTGCTGGAAAATGATTCACTGGCCATTTCATTAATAACTTACGGTTTCTGAGGTCCGACAAACGATTGAACTGATTTTTTCCACCCTGACTCGTCCTTTTTCAGCGATTCCAACACTCGATAGATCTTCAAACAATTTATTCAAACTTTTACACTTAGCGTCAAAATACACACCTCTTCTTGCTTTGTTGGATCAGTGATAGCCATACCAGCATCTCCATTGGTTCCAAACATCTCCTTTCCTCCGTTTCTCTGGTTATTTCATCGAGTCCTTTCAAATTTCACGATATCCTCGTTGATCGCTTGAAACTGACCTGTAATTATCGATTTTTCGTTATCTGTTTCCTATTTTCCTGTTTTTTTTCGTAGCAAGTGACACCGATATCGAATAATCGAAAAAAGGCGTGAAACGACAGATCGTACTAATTAATCTAGTATTTCCACACGGCCGCTGGCTTGTTTCCAACTGCACGGGTCTCGCCACGATCGGCCGTAAAATTGCATGCGCCTTTAAACTGCACTCCATTTTCATTTTGCTTTCATGCAAAATTAACCGTTTTTTCACGTGATTTCGATAATTTTCAGGTAAAAATGGCGAAAAGTTTGAGATCAAAATTCAAGAGAAAGGTCAGAGCAATTGCCAGAACCAAAAAAGAGCCCAAGACTGCTGCTCTCCTTCAGAAAGCAATCGAGAAGCGTGACGAATATGAGAAGGTCGAAGCCGGTAATTTAATAAATTGATTGCAAAAATACCAGTTTCGTTTTCAGAAAAAGCAAAAGAAACTGAAACTGCTGAAACACAGGACAAGGTTAATACAAAAATTTTACGAAGTAAAACGTCAATTTTTTCCAGATGGAAGTGGCGTTGGATTCCAACATTAACACGAAAACTCTGAGAAAGCCGGATGGATCGTTCCCACCGTGGCTCTCTGGAACGTAAGTTATCTTCAATTACAAAAACATCCGATCGGCCTGTTTTCAAAATCTCGTTGAATTACATTCCAATTTTGTCTAGTTCTCTCGAGAGACGTGAACCACATGTTAATAAACGATTTTCTAATCACAACAATTTTTAGACAAAAGAAGAAGGCGGCCAAGAAGAGCAAAGCTATCAAGAAAGCCAAGAACAAGACGGCCAAGAACTTCCGATGATCGCGAAGACTGTACATGTTCATTTTAAAATTGTTTTTCCATTGTTATTGTTACTTCATCTTTTTTTCGATAAAGAGTTGACAACTCACCTGGCAGCAAAACACAAGCTGGTTCTTATATCATTCCCGTAGTCAAACGGCCCGTTTGCAAGAGTGAGCATTATTGCTCGAACAAGAGTAGTAAAACTGGTTAACTCCCAGTTGTTTCACTATTCACGGACAGGTATCCAAAGAGTTGGGACGCGGGCGAAGGGAACCACGAGACGGGGGGGAGATGCTGCACTGGGTACCACGAGCCAGAAACAATGAATGGCATCTATTCCGTGTAACACTTCCTTTGGTACCACGAGACGGGACCACCTGGCCCCTAGCCGTTTGGATGCCTGATTCACAGAAACTTGTCGGTTGTACAAAAAATTGTAGTCATTCATTTCCAAACTGTTAAAACAAGGTGCAGTCATAATTAAATTACAATCGTACACAGTAAACAATTTTATTTTAACAAATGGAAACAGTTCCACAAATTAATTGCGAGCAAGGAATTCGTGGTGGCGCTGGTACGGCGACTTCTCGAGAGCCTCCTCCTTCCAAAGATCTGGGGTGAGGTAGGAGTAGGTTCTCTGAAGGGCGGCGTAGGTGGCCTTGGCGAAGTTTCCAAGAGTAGCGGTTTGTCCCTTGGCGGCGGTGTAGCAGTCCTCAATTCCAGCCATTTGAAGAAGCTTCTTCGGGACTGGGGCAGAGACGATTCCGGTACCACGGGGAGCTGGGATAAGCCTGACCATGACGGAGGCGCATTTTCCGGTGACCTTGCAGGGGACGGTGTGGGGGAGTCCGATCTTATTTCCCCAATATCCTCTGCGGACTGGGACGACGGCGAGCTTGGCAGCAACGATGGCTCCACGGATGGCAGTGGCGACTTCCTTAGAGCACTTCACTCCGAGTCCGACGTGTCCGCTGTGGTCTCCGATGGCGACGAAGGCCTTGAAGCGGGTACGTTGTCCGGCACTGGAAAAAATCAAATTTTAAAAAAGTCAACAATGAACAGAAAACGTACGTGGTTTGCTTCTGGACTGGAGAGATCTTGAGGACCTCGTCCTTGAGGTTGGCGCAGAGAGCATCGATTATCTCGAACTCCTTGATTGGGAGGGAGTTGAGGTAGATCTCTTCGAGGGTGGTGATCTTCTTCTCCTTGACGAGTCTTCCGAGCTTGGTGACTGGAGTCCACTCGGATTCCTTTTCTCCTCCGCGTCCGGCTCTTCAAAAATATTGTTTTAATGATAATTTAACGGAACCAAATACCTTCCTCCGCGTCCGCCACGTCCTCCGCGGCCTCCGCGTCCACCACGTCCGGCTGGACGGTCACCAGTCGGGCGAGCTCCTCCGCGGCCACCACCGCGTCCTCCGAATCCAGATTGAAAGCCTCCTCTATCGGCCATTTTGTAGTGTGTACCTCAAGCTGCAAAATTACGAAGAGTAGGGAGGTAAAACGAATTTCGTTGACAAAAAAGGATAAAAACGTTAAGCAGCGGCTTCAAAATTTCTCAATTTTAAATATTTAATTTGTTTTCGAAAAAAAACTTCAAAACGGCCCTAAAAAGCTTTAAAAATCCAAAATTTTAGGCGAGAAAATGGAAAACTGCATCCAGCTGCGAGGCAGAAAAGCGACGTCGCGGCGAGACCCGCGGGGAGAGAAAGTGCGTGCGCCTTTAAACCATCATATAATTCCGTTGCTTTGTGCGATCAAAATAATACTTTCTTGCGAGATTGAATAAGGAAAAAAAAAATTAATATTGTTAAACATTTATATCAAAAGCAAAACATAATGTCCGTTTATTTTCCGTTTTGATAATAGTTCTGATACAGTTTTCCGTAGTTATAAAAGTTGGTCTTCTCTTTCGTAAAAATTGGCTGATTCAAAGGCATTCCGATTTCATCGTCGACTGTCCACGGCTTCGAATAAACCAATCCCATGCTCACGACTGCTGAATTCGGTTGACTGTCACCGATAACTGTGTCATTCTCGAAGAATTCGCTCTTCAATGGTGGAAATTGCTGAAATCAACTGGTAGACATAGTTGATGCGCCCACGGAAAAAATAGAATACCGTTGTGGCTGCATACCAACTCTTGAAAACATTATTCTTTTGCTTTCTCTGTGTAAAAGTTCTCAGATACATATTGTAGGCGGCATTCTGAAGTTGAAGAAACTGAAGATGCTCGTTGTAAGTGAGCCCATCCAAGGGAAGAGATTCGATGAAGATGAGAAGAATGACGAGAATTGTTCTCATAGTAATCAATAAGGAATGTGATAGGTCGTCACAAATAAAACAAAAGAGAACAGTGTAAAAGATGTGGTGGCGAGAAGTGTAATCTTGACACTAAATCTGATTATCAATGGAAAAAGGTTACAGAGACGATTTTTTTCCGACTTCAAAACGTCCCCTCCCACTCGAAATAATCGGCTGAAAATGAGTAATCCACGCATTCCATTAGTCGAAATTAACAGCCGGAAAACAGTGCTGAGCTGGAGGGGCTTATCGGCTGACTGGGCTACAGTAGTCGGGAGACTGATCCCGGATGAGCCGGACAGTCGGCAGGAGTCTCCCTCTGATACGCCTTCATTCGTCGCATTTTCATCCACACGCATCCGCTGAAATCAGTCAGACTTTCCCTTTGCAACGGCTCCCGTTCTGTCATGAGAGGGCCTTTATTCCCTTTTCTTTTTCTTCTCTTTTCCGCATCGACTTGTCAGGAAACTGAACGGATCCTGGCGAATAACGGAACCGAGGACAACGAATTTATCTCGAAAGGATCGTCTCCGAACCCGAATCCTCTGCTGCTCTCCAATTCGTCCGCCGGTTTGTACGACTCGAAAGGAAGAATCCGTATTACTCTCGGCCACATCGGAGCCATCGGTGCTCTTCGAAACGACGTAAAGATCTTGGAAGCGTCTCACAAATCTCTTCTGGCTGAGGGAATCCTTGACGATGATCTGGATGTAGAGTGCGTTTGGTCCGGGAACGTTCTAGGCTAACTTTCTTTGTTCAGAATCATATCACAAACTGGATGTGGAGAGTCGTACGAAGGAGTCGCCGTGGCCGCAGACATGTACCATCTTCAGAAGGTGAAAGCATTCATCGGACCCTACTGTAATGCTGAAATGGACGCCGTCGCTCGGATGGCTGCTTTCTGGAACATTCCAATCATCGGATACATGGCCGCTTCGAATGCTCTGGCCGATAAGAACGCGTACCCGACACTGGCGAGAATCTCGGTAAGTCGTGTAGATGAGAGTGTAGGGCAGATGATGATATCGATTCCAGATGAGAACGACGAACTCAATTGCCGAAGCTACGTGTGCAATGCTCCGTCATTACGGCTGGAACAAAGTGGCAATCGTGACGAACACGGGCGTCTCTGCCTATGACAGAGTGCTTTCGTTTGAAGAAGTCTTCCATCAGAGAGGGGTTACTGTTGTCAAAAAGATCATGTTCGATGAGTTCGCAGATCAGAAGGCAATGATTGCCTCGGGACTTCTGAATGACATCAAGAATTCTGCAAGAAGTGAGCCACTTCAAGCGAGGAAATTACTCGTTTCCCATTTCAGTTGTCGTTTGTCTCTTCTCGAACACGAGAGAAACGTCCCGCGAGTTTCTGACCGCCGCGAATCTTCAGGGAATGAGTGTGAACGAGTACGGATACGTGTTTCCGTGGCTGCAGGACGGAGGAAAGGACGTGGCTCCGTGGACGGGCTCCGATGGATCCATGCTTCAGAAGGTCAAGGACCAGTACGCGAATGCAATCATTGTAAGCTATGGTAACTATGAGAAGCAGTAGAGAGACTCATTTCTAGATTGACGACGTGAACAGTTTCGACAATTCAATCATTGGGCCATTTGTCGAGAGAATCAAAGACGTCGGACTGACGGAAGCAGATGTCGATATTGTGAGTCTGCACTTGAACAGCCTTCTCATTCCCTCCGCGTTCAGGCCAATATCTATGGATATCTCTATTTGTTTGACGCTTTGAAACTGTACGCACTTGCCGCCCGCAAATTGTTGAACGAGACGGGAAAGCCCGAGAACCTTCTGAACGGACGGCTGTTGTGGCAGAACATGAGACGCATGAAGTTCGTCGGAATGGTCGGCTCTTCCGGAATCGCTTCCGGACAGGTCTTGATGGACGATCGGGCGGAAAGAGCGCCGCTTTACAGAGGATTCTTCGTGTCGCCCAACTCGGATCAGGTGCTGCCGATGGTCCACATGGAGCCGACGATGTTGGATAACTGCGACGGAATTGCCAACAAATCAGGATGCTATGAAATAGTCGTGACTGATATTATGCGCGACTTTTGGCCGTCGATAGACAGGAAGATGCCGAAAGTAACGGATAAAAAGAATGTGCCGGACTGGCTAAGCTGCGAAGATTTCAGGATGAGCCCGACTGTGGATATCGCAACGAAAGATGCGACTACACGCTGATTATCATCGGAGCCGCGCTTATCCTTCTTTTCATCGTCGCCGCCGTTTCAGTCTTCTTTGTGCAAAAGATCTTGTTCGTTGAAATGGACCGAGAAGTGAAATTAAGGAGAATTTCAGGGAGAAACGGGCTTTGGACAAACTGCCGTTCCGTATTTACCGGGATGATTTGCAGTTCATTGACGAGGAACAACTGAAGAGTATGCTGTCATTGGGAAGTACACGAACGAAGATGAGCAACATGAACTACGGTTCGAGAAACCATGCGATTGTGGGAACGAACACGCACGCGATCTACCACAAGTACGTGCAGAGACGACCGATTCTGTTCAACAGAGCAGACAAAACACTCCTTCAATTGGTGGGCAAAAAGAGAGGAACAAACGAGGGAACAGGGGACATTTTCAGATGAAAGCGGCTGTTCATGACAACATCAATCCGTTCTTGGGAATGGTTTGGAACGAAAGGGAGGAGATGTTGCTCGTTTGGAAGTTCTGCTCTCGTGGAACCCTTCAGGACATCATCTACAATGACAATATCCAGTTGGACACGAAGTTCCACGGAGCGTTCATCAGAGACATTCTTGCCGGACTCGAGTATCTGCACGCCTCTCAGATCGGGTACCACGGATCCCTCACTCCCTGGTCGTGTCTCATCGACCGCAACTGGATGGTCAAACTGACTGATTACGGTATTGCTGATCCGTTGGAGCGCTGGGAGAAACAGCAGGCAATCTCTCGCGACGCGCTGACGGGAGAGGATGACAAGTCGCAGGCGACGCAGAGCACGAGCATCCTGTACGAAGCACCGGAAATGCTGAAGAACAGAGACAAGAACAAGACGAGAAGAGTGGATCAGGACTGGATGCGGCAAACTCAGGCGAGAAGACAGCTCGGAGACGTGTACGCCTTTGGACTCGTCATGTTCGAAATCATCTTCCGCGCATTGCCATTCCCGGAAGGAACCAACCACATGGAGCTGGTCGAGTGGCTCCGGGACGGATCGAAGGTTGTGAAGCCGACGATTGGCCAGAACAAAGTGCTCAACATGGATCTGACCGCGCTCATCCAGGATTGCTGGAACACGACGCCCGAGATGAGACCATCGCTGCGCAGAATCAAGTTGAACGTGGAAACCTATTTGAACATGTCCGTATTCCAGAAACGTCGGCTTAAAACTAGAGAAACTATTACAGAAAGGGATCTTTGGTCGACCAAATGACTCGGATGATGGAGCAATACGCGAACAATTTGGAGAAGTTGGTGGCGGAAAGAACTGGAATGTTGGAAGAAGCCAACCAGCGAGCGGACCGACTGCTGAGCCAGCTGCTCCCCGCCTACGTGGCAAACGAACTGAAGCTCGGCAGACCTGTTCCTCCGAAGACGTTCTCCACTTCCACTGTTCTTTTCAGGTCGGGTTTCATCACACTATTCAGCGTCTATTCATGCATTCCTTTCAGCGATATTGTTGGTTTCACTGAAATGTGCCAACACGCTTCTCCAGTAGAAGTTGTGGCTGTCCTCAATGGAATATTTGATGGGTTCGATCAGTTCATTGCAAGAAAGGACGCCTACAAAGTGGAAACAATCGGAGACGCCTACATGGTTGTGTCGGGAGTTCCTGAAGAGAATGGGCACCGTCACATCAACGAGATCGCCAGCATTGCATTGGATGTCCACAAGGTTTCCATGAACTATCCCTGTTCGTTCGTCAGTCATTCCATTTCAGTTCCTTTCCGAGTTCGTCGTCCCTCACAAAAAAGACGCGAAGGTGCAGTGCCGTCTCGGATTCCACACTGGCCCAGTCGCCGCCGCCGTCGTCGGCCTCAATGCGCCCCGCTACTGTCTTTTTGGAGACACTGTCAACATGGCCTCCCGGATGGAAAGCAACGGAGAACCGGGCAAAACACAGATCTCAGAGGCCGCTAAGCTTCTTTTGCTCAAGGAGTATCCGGATTACATCTGTGAGCAGAGAGGAGAGATTCCGATTAAAGGAAAGGGGCTGTGCATGACATACTGGCTGCTCGGGACCAAGTCCGAAGGATCTGGCCAGAGCGCCGCTTACTTGGCTCCGGCGATGAAGTCGGCCGGGACCGGATTCACCGGAATGCTCGGAAACGCGGCGAACGACTACTCGCTGAACCTGAGAAACCCCACCGGACTACAAAGATAATCATTCCGAATATGTTTAGCGCTCTGATAGCTGCCTTGCATTTACCTTCTCCCGATTTGATTCCAATAAACGATATTCCATGTACGCAAAGAAATGTCTCTGTTGAGTCGCTCTCTATCTCTCTCTTTCTACCCGTCTTTCCTCTCCGTGAGCACTGGGCTCGCCCGGTCTCCATGACGACACGCGCACGCCAGGAAAGGGCTCAATCGAACACGCTCTCCCCATCTTTTATTCCACCATGGACGGCGACCGTACTCCAGAAGAGCAAATTGAGATTGCGGAACTCGGACAAAACTCTGGCCTCGATGAGAATGTCGAGCTCTCGCAAGTGTTTTCGTACTCTCTCGAGCAGAGAATCATGGAGGGATGCGTCATTTCGGCAGTTCTTGAGCCAAATGGACAGGAGACCGTCGTCGCCGTTTCGGTCACCAATAAAATTATTATCAAAGGTTTGTTAACATTAATGTTATGATATTCTCAAAGGAGATTTCAGATCAAGAAACGGCGCTGAACATAACCGAAACGATTCGATGCATTGCGGCGGCTCCGTTTGGAGAGGGATACGATTGTATCATAATAGGAACGGACGCGAGTGTCATCTGTTATGATGTGCACAACAATCTGACCGTATTCCGGAACGACGTTCCCGACGGAGTCAATTGTTTCACTGTTTGTACTTTCACTTGTCTGTCTGCCAACTCATTTCTCCATTTCAGTACGGGAAACTGGGTGAATCGGAAGAAGCCATCTACTGCGGAGGCAACTGTTGCATCTGGGGATTCGATAGAACCGGAGCGAACACGTATTGGACGGTGACCGGGGATCAGGTGACGACGATGTGTTTGAGTGACTACGATGCGGACGGTGAGACCGAACTCATCATCGGATCACCGGATTACGAGATCCGAGTGTTCAAGAACGATCTGATGAGGGCGGAGTTGATGGAAACGGACGAGATCACGAGCCTCGCCCACGTCGCCAGCGGCTGCTTTGCTTATTCTCTCAACAACGGAACGATCGGAACGTACGTGTTGAAAGAGAGGCAATGGAGGATCAAGTCAAAGTCGAACGTCTCGAAAATATTCAACTTCGAAGAGCAGGGCCTGATGGTTGTCGTCTGGAAACAGGGCAAAGTCGATCTGCGGTTCGCGCACAACGGAGAAGTGCTCTCGAGGGATTCTGTCTCGGCCAACGTGGCATCTGCGACTGTGAACAGAAAAGGAGAGGACTCTGTGATTACTGTAGTGTGCGTGGATGGAAGAGTGAAAGGGTTCAAAGTGCAGAAAGCGCAGAACGGAGCAATCGACAAGACTCAGCAGTTGATCAGAGAGTTCGGGCAGAAAAAGCACAATCTGATGATGGAACTGTCGAATTACGAGCAGGAAGAACAACTGACCGAAGCGGAGAAGGACCGGGATTTCCGTATTCCGGCCGACACGGAAGTCAACGTTCTGTTCGTGGTGAATAGTGAACTGCAACTGCTGAGTCTGAGGGTCGAGGCCACCCACAACATCCCCATCAGAGGGGTGCTCATCTTTGCAGAAGGACTCTTCGAAGGAGAGTCATACATTTGGTAGGGAGGGATGAAAGAAAGAGCAAGAATCAAGGTTCAGTTCAGGATCCCTCCGAATGAGCACCAGTCACGGAGCAGCATAGACATTCCATTGGTGATCGACAAGGATTCGACGAATGATCTACACACAAAAGTGTTTTTGGGTCACGTCGACTCGTGAGCTTCTCTTCCAGTAATTCCAGTTCTAAATGACCAGATTGTGTGATTCAGAAACAAACTGATGGTGATGGAGAACACACGGATCCTGCCCCGTTTCTGTCGGTTCACTCTGATCAAAGAACAATACGCACAACACTTTTTCATGCCCACATCCTACATTCAATTCGAGATTAGCAGCAAGGTCACAAAAGTATGTCTCCAGAAGCAAACTCTCATCGTCCGAATGAAAATGAGATTTCAGTTGTCCGACTGGGTGCTCGAGAGCTTCACGATCGATGCTCCGTTGGCCGAAGAGTTCGACACGCGGGAGGGAGATTTCCAGTTCATGGGTCTGAGGCCGAAGCACGACAAGTCCCTGATGTTCAGGATCAGTCAGTCGGACCGGATGATGCGCATCTTCCACGACAACATCGAAACGATGGGCGCTATTGTTCAGAGCTTTGCGAGCTTTTTCCAGATACAGAACATGGAATGCATTGCTCACTTTGCGGACGTCTTCAAGGAGGCGGAAGAGATTCTGGAGGAGATAGACCCGATGACGGAAGTGAGAGACAGACTTACGGCCGAGCTGCAGGAGAGACAGGCCGCCGTCAAGGAGATCATCATCCGTGCAGAAGACGCGATCGCCATCGACAACATGTTAGTCCCCTCTCTCTCTCTCTCTTTTTCTTTCTTTTTCTTTCTCGTTCATTTACTCTTTTTAGACCAGAAGCCCGCAAATTCTACATCCGTCTGAAAGCGAACGATTCGGCGGCACGGCAAGCAGCTCAACTAAGGTGTGCGCGCCCTTTTACGGAACATTTCCAGAAAAAATAGCCCGTTTGCAGATGGAATAACCAGGAAAGATGTGTCAAATCTCTGCGACGTCTCAATAAAATCATAGAGAACTGCTCACGGCTCCGTGGTATACTCCCCACTATTCTATTGGAGCAAACAATGTGAATTTCAGTTGGAGAACCCGGAAGGCAGATCGTGGTCTCGTGTCGATCGGCGATTGCGGACGACAACAAACAGATAATCACGAAGGTTCTGCAGTTCGGAGCATCGAAATGAGAAAAGGAAGCATGAATATGAGCATGAATACAGTTGATATTTACCCATAAGACAATAAAGATCAGTGGAAAGAATTAGAATATTTGACAGCAGTCGGCCAGCAGCTCGGTGCATTCCGTCTCGGCTTCTCCGTTCTGGATGCGTTCCGTCGTTGTTTGGAACTTCTTCCGTTTCCGGTCCGACAGATACTTGCCGAGTCCCTGCAATGGACTGTTTCCTTCAGAATCCCTAAGTTCTCTGCACTCACTTTGTACAACTTCATCGTGCCGACGACGTTGGCCATCCGGCCGCCCATCGTGATCATAACCATGAGGACGGCACTCGGCTCCGCCAGTATTTCGTCTTCTCCTTCCGAGCCATCCGTAGAATTGACTCGGATGCCTGCGTCTCGGAACTTCTGCTCCACGGCCGCCTTGATCACATCTTTATCCAACTGCGCCTTAATGAGCAACAGTGCCGCTCCGAGCACATTCAGAATTATTCCGTACGCGATCAGTTCGTGCCAGCCTGCGCAATCATGATATAGATCGCTTTCAAAAGTACTCCAAACTCACTTGCTTTCCTTCTGTTGTGCTTGAATACTGTCCACTTCTCTTTCCAGGTCGATGGCTGATTACCACGTCGGCAACGTTTTTGATTCCGGGCCATTTTGGCATACAACCTGGAGAATACGAATCGATTGGGGGGAAGAAGCGGCTAAACTGATAAAAGGAAAGAAAAACTGCTGAAAAAGTTGTTGGGACTGCTCAGAAAAGGCGGATTATTGCGCCGTTGTCAGATGAGCTCCGGATTAGAGCATGACAAAAGAGCATGGGCAAAGGGGAGACGGAGAGAGAGCTGAGCTGTTTGTCACTATACGTTTACCATTTGATCACTTTCTGCGAAGCAATGGTCACATTCCGCTCTCTTTAGTCGTTTGATCCGACAGAGTCTAGAACCGAGGCGGTACTCGATGATTCTAGTCTCAATTCAGAAGAAACTCTACATAAATTCACGTCAAAATGCAATCTTTCGAAGCGGAAACGATTTATTTATTAGAAGGGATGTGGACGCCATAGATAAAAGAACAAATAATAAAAATCTTCAAGAACAGAGAGTCTCGTAATCAGTAGTAGGTGACAATGTGGCGGACGGGCACACGGATGCGGCTGTTGCGAATCGAATGCGGAATGACGCGAGGAGCATTTGCGGACGTCTTAAACCTGAAAAGGTTAGGTTAGTGGAAGGAAAGAGTGAACTGATCCATTCCCTGGTTAGTACTGGTCTGAGGGCTTACCTGTCCGGTAGTCTGTCCCTTGTGGAATGTGTGCGACTCGACTCCTCCGTGACCGTATCCGCGCGGCCCGAACATGGCTCCGTAGCACCGGTTGCAGTAGGGCTTCCCGTCTCTCTCCGAGTGGCTTCCGGCGGCCAGTGTCTTCTTGCACGCCTCGTTCTCGCATCGAAGGCACGGACGGTGCCAGTCGTATCCGATCGACGTCACTCGCTCGGCTGAAATTCTGGGAACGTTATAAGTCTTTCTCATGGTCGGAATATCTCACCGAAGTAGACTGGCTTCTGGCAACGTGGGCAATTTGGCATTTCGTTTGATCGTTTTCTGAAAGAACGAAGTAGGAAGGGCGGGAGAGAGAGAGAGAGGAGAAGAAAAAGAGCAGACAAAAAGAGTTGCCCCGAAAAGGGATACGATGAACGGATAGAGCTTTGAGCCGTTGCGTCGGTCCCATGACTTGTTTACGAAAAAAGATAAAGCCACGTCACAGAATGGGGAATCCACGGGGACTCGCAGAAAGGTCACGTGTTCACAAACAGTGCCCTTGTGAGGTAGGTGTGCCGCAGGAGACACCTGCCAGAAAGGACTGACAGTTGGCACAAATACAAAAAGGGGGAAACGGACGGATCGAGAGACACAGAGAGTCCAATTTCACACTGTGAATAGGTCTGAAAACGGCGAATAGATATTAAACCGAGCGAAAATAGAGAAATGTAGAGGCGATTATTATTTTTTGAGTCATTCAACGCACAAATTTCCATATGTATTTTGGCAAGTGAAAACTGGAAGAGAAATGGCATAGACTGTAAAATTGAAAATGATTCAAGCAGCGGATTGTGACCCGGATCGGAAGGGCCGGGGCACATCTGTCCGTCCGTTTACAACTTTTTACCACGGCCGCGCGGCTGGCGAACAGGTGCAATTTGCACTTGCGACATGTCCGTAAAGAAGGAGGATGAAGAGGTTTGTTTGAGGAAGAACAAACCAGACATCTTCAAGAAAAAGACACGCCCGGATACATTTCATTCGTTTTGAATATCAAAGTGACCTTGTCTTGAGAGTGATCTAATTGAGTGTCCATTCACTTCAAAACAACTGACTGGTTTTCCCTTTTCATCGAAAAGTCAGATAGAGAAGAGAGAAGGATGCGAATAAACAAATAAGTAGAGTAGAACGTATTGTCGCCGGGAAAGGAAACGGACGGGATTAAAAGTCGCAACTGGTTCGCGATGAAGCTCGATTCTCTCCTTCAGTGCCACCACCACATGACTCGCGCCTTCGGGGCCCGCGCGCGCGACCTTTCAAAATGGGAAGAGGAGACTCTGGTCGTCTGCACCCTCCGCCATTTGGCGGCAAACAGTGTTGCATTTGAAAGTTGGCAACATGCCAAGGCCGCTGTTCAATCGAACCGGAATGAGTAACACTTTATTCACAGAAATATGTTTGAACGGGATGGAGAGACGGGAGACCAGTAAAATATGTTGTTTTCCGCGGGAATAGACGAGGAATAAAAAGTGAAATGATAGGAAGATTAGAGACGAGCAATCAGTTCGGCACGGTTTGGCGAATCCGAGAAGAGCGCTTTGACAAGACCGATAACTTCGTTTCGCGTCAGATGCTCAGCCATCGGGCCTTTGGCGTTGAACCAACGATGTTCGATATCCTGAAATTTGATTATCAGAATGAGAAAGACCGGATGCTTTTGTTCACCTGCATTCTATTTCCAAGCACGAACACGACTTCGTTGAGTCGGAAGTATTCCCGAGCGCAGAAGTCAGTGACTCTCGACTGCTCCTTGTAGGTGACAATGTTGGAAACTGCTTCCAGCAATCTTTTGAACACATCAGCCATCACATTCGCATCATTCTCGCGGAAATCTGACGTGCTGACGACGTGGCGAACGAGTGAATCGAGTAGGAACGAAATGAGAGAACCGACCACTTTGCAGTAGACCACCTCGGTCAAAACTTCGCGTAGGTTGTTGGCAATGAGACGGATGTGAAGCAGACACGCTGCCAAGCATTTGATTAGTTTTGGCTCTTCCTTCGGCACGATCACATCGGCAGAATTTGTCATTTCATCAGGCGAAGAGAAGGTCCTTCTCGTCGTTTTATAGTTGACTGGAAGATGCTCGAAAATGCTGTGGTCCTCCAGATAAGCAGTCATCTCGCGCCTGCATCTTGTCAACGTCTTCTCCATGCAATCTGCTGCCACACTACGGAGTCTGATCACCGAATCGAGGAGCAACGGTTCCATCAACGTCTTCTGAGTATCTCCTTTCGCTTCGAACGACATCGTCATAATGCAGTGAGAAATGTAATAGCAGTTATTGTAGAAAACGGCGGCCATCGTTGGAATCGAACTGAACAGCTCTGCATGTTTTCTCGGCGACAGAATCACGTAGAGACGGACGATGTTCTCGGCGTTGAGCGCCAATCGCGCACGAGCTTTTTCGTCTTCCGTGGAGAACACTGCTTTCATATTATCCCGCAGAAGATTGACGAAATTAAATGCGGACTCACTGCAAAGAAGACAATTTTGAACGGAAAATGGGATAATCTTACCTAACAAGACATTTTTGCAATGCAAAATACGAAGGAAACTGCGATTCACCGTCACGACTCCACAGACGGGCCATGTCGTTCCCGTACAGTTTACGGACGTCTTCAGTGTGCGCAAACGCCTCTCCGAGCATGTCAATGTTCTGTTCAGCATTGTCTTCGACGCCCACGCTCGTCAGTTTTTCATACGTGTCACAGATGAATTTGTTAGCTTTCGAAAGAATGGCAAAACAGCGACGGTCGACGAAGATTGTGTCAGTGTCGAGGGAGAATAGCAATTTGGCGGATTGCGAGAAGAATCCGAGATCTTTCATTTTGACGACGAACAGTTCCCCTCGCTCGATGAGATGCAGAAACAATTGCTGATCTTCATCGGCGGTCTCACAGACGGGCGCCGCGTTTGCAATCACATCCTTCAGAATCATCGTGATAAGCGGCGCTTCAATTGTGTGTCCAATCATCGACGTCAAACTTTTTCCGGTCGCATCCAAAAGTTCATTCTTCGCCAAAACTTCCGAAAGTTTTGAGAAAAAAAGTTCCATAGATCTGAAAATACCACCATTATTTCGAAGAACTGGCGGGATCTCCTACTCGAGAACTTTTTCCACATTCATTGGCTTGTCCTTCTTGCCACGTGGCTTCTGACTCATCACGAATCTCGTTTGATCTGGAGTCGGCATGTCGATCAAGAAGACATCAACACCGTCGCGACTCGAAACGATGGCCTCGCAGAAAACGTCAAGAATGATCGTTTTCCAGGCCTCCAAGCGTTCCGGCAGTTGTCCGATCATATTCATCGCTGTGAGCGTCTCATTGAGACTTTTCTGCTCAGCGGCTGTCTCCACTTTTTGAACGACGAAGGATATGTTTGAATGGTCCCTTCCTTTCTTTTTCGACACCTTCGGAACATTCATGGCTCGCTCGTAATCGGTAGACAGCTGATAACGACAGTTGAAACTGAGGGAAGAGTACTCGGCGGAAAAGTGCTTCAACGGAACACTCATGTCGAATCCCTCGCATTGAATGTCTTTCAGAAGCGTGTTTGTGTCCTGAATGCGATCTTTGCAAGTGTTGATAGCAGTGCCCCAGTCCATTCGATTCGTCGTCTTGCTTCTCATGATCACCAACTGCTCTTCTACGTATTTCATCTGAAACTGTTGATTGAGTCTTTTGAATTCTTTTGTACACTCACAGACTGAATAAAATCTACGAGTTTCTCGCAAGAATCTGCCTGCGCTTTGATATCTGTCAACATCTCAGGATTCTCTTTCTCCGTTTCTTCTATCAGTTTCATCAAATCGCGACTTGAAATGTCGGAGAGCTCTTCCAGATTCTCGAGGCGATCGAAAATCAGTTTTGCCGTCGCATTCACATTCAGGGCAACTTTCATGTTCCCGTACTTGTCGACGATGTCAGCAGAAATCGACGTCAGACCATCTTTCAATTTCTTTTCCAAGTCTCGATAAGAGCCTTCCGATGCTTGCATTTGTAATTAGTAAGCCTAAAATTAAGCAAATGCTCAGATTTCAAAACATCATTCGAGGAAAACAACGGACAGACAATTTCGAATTCGCGGATAATTTCAAACCGAAAAACTACGACAAACCGATCGTACAAACGCCCCGTTTAGCACATGTATCATTGGTGAGCTGGAACAGCGAAAGGCAATTAGAAAGTCCCAGTAAACAAGAATTTAGATTATGGAAGAAAAACACATGGCGATTAGAGGCGCTACAACGAAGTAGAACTCGCACGGAATAGAACTGTTACGATTTGGAACTCGCAGTTATATTTTAACGTTGCGAGTTCCAAATCGTAACAGTTCCATTCCGTGCGAGTTCTACTTTGTTGTAGCGCCCGATTAGAAAAAGAAAAAACTCGTGTTTAAAACAGCTTTTACTGGAACAATTTAACTTGTTTCAGGTTCGATCCACGCGCGCTAAACTGAATTCGCTACTGTCGTCAACCGTGTTTGCGTACTTGATGCATGCGGACTGCGAGAGACTGTGGTATTTGGAGAGGCGCAGACTATATCGAGGTTTTTCGCTCAAAAAACCTGCTTCCGTTTTTACTTAAAAAAATGGTTTTGAAATTAAATCAATACGGTATTTCCAGGCAATGGAGCGTCCTCCTTTCAATTTCAACACAGCGTCCAGCACGAGCGGTTCGAAGCAGCCCGGTAATTCGTCATCATTCGAAAAGAAAAGGAATATTTTGAATTTTAGCACCAGGCGCGTTCGGATCCGCTCTTCCGAAGCAGACGTTCGGAGCCTCACTCTTTGGGAAGCCATCACTGCTCGCAGCTGCAGCGAAGAAGGAATCAGAGAAGCCTGCTGAAAAGAATGAGCCCGGGCCGAGCAGTTCTCTGGCGAGTCGTCTCACAATTCCTTCAAGAGGAAAAGAATTTTCATTCAAAGGAAAAGGAGATATATCTGACTCAAGTAACTAATTCATATTTTGACACTTCGAGCACTCTTTTTTCAGATTTCCCACAAGAAAATCAATTCAAAAAGTCAGCATTTGCCAAATTTCCAAAGAGAAAACTGAGAGAAGGAGCTCCAGAAGGCATGACAATTCTCGATCTGTATTCGATTTAATGCTCTTTTTTGCAGAAAACGGACCCAAAACACAAAGGAATCCTTTTGACTCGAAGCCCATTCGTCCAGGTCTTCAAGCGCCTATATTCTCTGTGATAGGGAAAAAGGAGCCAGAAGCGAAAAGTCTGTTCGGAAAACCAATTAGTGATCAGGAAGGCGTTGACGAAGTCTGCACTTTCCAGCAATTTTCAGCTTAATTGAAATCCGATTCAGACTGACTATGCAGTGAAAACCGACTTACCGGTGTCTATGTTCGGAATTCCCTTGTCTACGTCGTCTTCATCCCTCAAAAGCATCGGATCCATGCCCTCGTTTCCACCAGCACCTGCTCTCAAAGCTTTTGGTAAGTAAATTGACCTTAGGGTTGTTTAGTTGAGCCAACATTTTAGGAGATAAATTATGGAAGCCTTCAAAGCCGAAGAGGGAATCTCCAGGACCAGAAAGTCGTCTTCCAAAGCCGTCAGGATCAGATGAATCAAAATTAATTCAAAAACTAGCCAGTCTGACCGGACAAGTGTGCCCAGGTGACTACGAGAAGTACGTTCTTCTGGACGAAAGGGACAAAATACTGTGTCAGTTACGAGAGGTGAGGGGCATTCTCAGTTGTCTTGTAACGAAAATCTTTCAGATCGACAGTGCACTGATTCGAAGACTCGAAAGATGTCAAGAAATGTGTACGGAGAAGGAACGTTATCAACGGATAGTTCAGAAGGGAGTCTCCCCGTTCGAATGCGACGAGTCTGAGATGGTTTCCCACGAGATGATGGTCAAACAGTACGCGAGATCGGCTGCAGATCAAGAGAGACCTCTTCCACACGAGCTCCGATCTGAAAAGATTATGAATTACACAATGTGCTATCTCCTTCACAATGTAAATTTCGTATGGTCTGTTAATCAATTTAATTTATTTAGATTCTCGACGAATTCCCGGATAGTGTGGAGAAGCGAACGGCCTGGTACATGTTCCTGTGGAGCCGTACTCGGGCTCTCCGAAAGGAAGTCACTCAGCTGTCAATGTCGGACACTATGGCTCTGAATCTCGTGGAACGTTGTACTCGACTGCATATTCTTTTCGGTTACGTTCTTTGCGATCTCGAAACCGAACACTTCGACGCGGCCATGAACAACGAGACACTGGGAAAGTGCCTTCAAACTCTTCGACACTTTTATGAAGACTTCTCGAAAAGAGGAATTCCGTGCGAGAACGAGCCGGAATTCCGTTCGTACGACGTTATGCTTCACATGAACGACACAAATGTGCTCTCCCAAGTGCTCTCCTACCGGAGCGAGGTCCGTCAGTCTCAGCCAGTCCGACTCGCTCTCCAGCTAGCGGCCTCCTTCCGAGACAAGAACTTCTGTCGTTTCTTCCGGTTGTTAAAGAAAGAGGCAACGTTCCTGCAGTGCTGCGTGTCCCATAAACTGTTCGCCGTGACCAGAAGCAACGCCATTTTGATTATGACGAACGCATACAACAGGTCCATGTTCCCACTGGAAAAACTGAGAGATACTCTCGCATTCGACTCCATCGATGATCTCATCGTCATGTTAAATCTGTACGGACTGCACACGGAGTCAGGAAGTGACCAAGTGATGCTGAACAAGGACTTCCTCTCACTCAATGAGATCTCTCCTCTCCAGCCTTATCAATGGATTAACGATAAGAACACCGGAAAAATGAGTCAGGTGGTTTATGGAGGCGACCTTTACCAATTTTTCGCCTCTCAATGTGATGTCTCCAACTCATTCAATTATCGGAACGAGTACGCACACGATAAAGTGCTGGAAGCAGTGCTCGACGGATCGAATATTCCCCTGCTGACCGAGCCGGCAACATTCTCATTCACACAATCGGCCGGATCTCTGTCAATGCAGGCTTCGATTGAGCAGAAACGGAAGATGGAAGCGGAAAGAATCAAAGTGGGTTAGAATCACATTCACATGCACTTTGTCGAGTAATTTCAGAGGCAAGAAGAGACGAAGAAAGAGCAGCTGATACAAAAACTGATGGACGGCGTTGTTGACAGTGTCTTTCTGGGAATTGCAGAAGAAGAGACGATGAAATGGAAAATGGTACGAAAGAAGATGAAAGCAATGGAAGACGCCAGGCGAATGAGAGAAGAGGCGGAGAGGAAGATGCTGGAAAAAGAGAGAAAGAGGAAGGATCAGGAAGAAGAATTGGCGAGGAAGTTGGCGAAGAAGATCGAAAAAGAGGCAGCCGAATGGCGATTAGAGAGAATTGTACAGCAACAAATCGACGTTGAGAGGGCGAAAAGAGAAAAGGTTTTGGCTGAGAAGTTGACGGAGAAGTTCTGGAAAGAAATGCTGAAAACTGTCGATCACCACGTGCTGAGCATCTGCGAGGAGCTGGTCGATGAGAAGGAGACAGTAATGGAAGGATTGGAAACTTTCCGAGGTCGGATGTCGAATCAATGGCTGCGGCAGTTCTGGGATCGGTGGAGAGAATGGGTGCAGATAAAGAAGGAGGCAAAGAGACGGAGGCTAGAAATGGTGCAGAAGTGCATTCCGAGATGGGAGTCCGAAGGTGAGAAGGCCTCCGGGAGACAAAGGCTCATAATGAAATGTTGCAGAAGTCGGTCAGGATCTCGTGAGGAGGTACGTGATGACTGCGGACTCTCGGATAAAGTCTATTCTAAATCATCCGGCTGATTCCATACAATTGACAGTCTTCAAAAGAAACCGATTGGATAGGATTGCACAGAGAACTATCGGCCAATGGAGAAGGTTCACGAAAGAGAGAAAGCGAAGAAAACGATTGGCAGTGGAGCAACAACGAAGGGAAAACGAATTCTTCAGACGATTCGAGCACAGTGAGAAGATCGAGACACGGTTTAAGTTCGAAGAGCCGGAGGATTGGATGAGGGCGAAACGGACGAAAAAAAAAGGTTCCAGCGAGAGGAGACCGTTGAAAGGTAGGCGAAAGAATAAGGGGATCGAGTCTGAATTGGTGTAGTTCCAGAAAGTCAGAGCTTTTCCTCGTTCCTTACGGAAAACTCGCTGATAGTCGCACGAAAGCAACTGGAAGACTGGGAGCCGGATATAGAGATTCCGAGCGAACTGAAGGAGAAACTGAAAAGGAAAAGGGAATCCTTCGAGAAGATTTGTCAGAATCACTCGCTGAAAAAGAAAAAGGACGGCGAAGAACTTAGTAGTCGTGAGTTGAAAATCACCATTTGAAATGAGAGCCATCGGCGATTTCAGAAGCCAAAACGAACACTGAGCACCTAGACAAAGTAAGTGGAGCGGCGGATGAACTGCTGGATGAGACCGTCCGGTACACTGCGGATCTCGATCGGATGATGGACGAGCTGAAAGCGAGACGAGTCAACGACTTGTGAACTGTCTCCTTCCGATCACAAAACTCTGTATTATAATATTCTTGCTTCTTTTTTAAATACTTATTTCAACCCGATTTCATCGTTTACTTTACGTCATTGCTCAGCGAAATACATGTTCTTTTTACTGGTCACGATGGGCGGGTCGAACAGAAGCAAGTGTCAATATTTTGACGGCGGCTCGGCATCGAGTTTCAATTGAAAGAGGGCATGTTTGGCAACAAACTCCACGGTATAAAAAGACACGTGGAAGATGGGAAAAAGAGAAACATGCGCAGGATTCTGGTACTTTTTCTGTTCGCTTCGGCCGTCAGCGCAGTCAGTTTTTGTGCGAGAATTCCCAAAATGTGTCGTTTGTTCTTCAGTTCTGGCCGTTTTCAAGTGGCGAGACGACTACGGTCAAACCTCGTTCCAATGTGACGTCATCTTCGAACCACACGGATTCAGACGTCGTTCCGATCACTCACATCCAGCGGACTACGGTAGGGATACTGTAGTCTCGAGTGAAATTATTGCAGTTTCAGCCGCGGAACACAAGAACAACTGGAAGGACTGGAAGGACGACGACGACTTCTGCGACCATTAATTCCACTTATTTTGAAGATATTTGACTGAATCCCAATAAATTTACATCTCCCAAACCAAAAATTTCATTGAATTTAATTCAAAGGGCTCTAATTATTGGGTTCATTCGGATCGGCGCTCTTGGAAGCCAACGACGAGATGAGCGACGTGGCGAGGGACGTGGACGGAGTGAGAAGCGCCGGAAAAGGGACTCCGATCGGCGCCGTCGGCACTTCCTTGCACATCTGACGGATCGACGTCGTCAGTTGCTTCTTCCACTTCGTTCTGCAATGCGTTTTCCGATGAGCCCCCGCGAAATCAATAAAACGGTGCCTGCAGCCAGCAGCCGCCCGCCGCGGACGCCAAACTTTTTTTCTGTTTTGCAACAACTAAACTTTTTTTTTGAATTTGTGAATTTTGATTTTGGGAAAGAAGAAAATAACATATGAATTTTACGAGAATGAGCACAATTTGTGAATCATAAAGGAAATGACTCAGCTTCTTCTTCTCGCAAATTCTAAGGCCACGTCACGTTAAACTGAGCAAAGAAATCATTTGAAAGCAAGTCACTCCCTCTCTCTCTCTCTCTCTCTCTCTCCCGCGTACATTTTCCATTTGAACCCCTTAAAACGCACCTTCTGTTCTGAAACCATGTTTTTATCTGAGTCTCGGTGAGATTCAACGACTGCGACAACTGGATTCTCTTGTTCACACTCAGATACTTGTCGCTCTGAAACTCTGTCTCCAATCGGTCCAACTGTCTGGCCGAGTAGGCCTGTCTCGGCTTCCGCTCGCTCACCGACTTGCGGCTCCGTTTGTAGTCGTGCTTTCTCGCTGAAATCAACCGCGCACATGATAATAGCCGTGCCCGCAGTGCGTGCGCTCACCCGAAACGCCCAGCAACATTTGCAACTCGACGAGCGTCGGAGTTCGCAGATCGTTGGCGATGGCGTACATCGCCAGTTGGCTGCTCGCCAAGTTCGTCCATCCGCCACCGCCCACGCTGCTCTTCTCGTTATCATCTCCATCGTTCTCCTCTTGCTCTTCGTCCTCACCTTCCGTATCCTCGCACTCCACACTCGGGAACTTCGTCTCCAGAAGCGTTTCAATGTTGAAAGCCATGTTAATAGTAGTAGTGGCAAAAGCTGGTGGCCGATTAGAAAAGGAGCGGTTTGAGTGACTCGCATTTGATTTATATTAGGAACCCGTGGGAAAGTTATGCGACAGGTGATCTCTGCGTCTCTCCGTCCGAGCACGCTCTCTCACGCTTGTAATCATTCTATGACAAACACTGAAATTTGAGTATTCATGGAAGGTAATTGAGATTATTAATGGAATTGAAATTAGATTCTTTTGAGAAAATCTGAAGGCGCCACTCCTCAGAAGAGGCACACGATTGGTCGGCCGTATTTTCGTTACAGTATCCCTCAAAATAATTAATTGTGAAGTGAGCATTCAGAATAATACAACTTTTTTCCACGCCTTGTTATTGTGTGGTAATTACAAATTTTGTGATTTCAGCACACAAATGCTGGCGCCGAATTCGTATCGAGGACGTGGAAACCGCGGAGGGAGAGGCGGGTATCGAGGTGGTCGCGGAGGATCCGAAGACGGAGACTTTCGCGGAGAAGGACGAGGTGGATACCGAGGAGGAGGACGCGGAAGTGACGGCTGGAATCGTGGACGATACGAAGGCGAGACGTCTTCGAGAGGAAACGGAAACAGAGGAAGAAGAGACGATCGAGGAGGCTCACGAAACGACAACAGAGATAATGCGGGAGGTTACCGAGAACAATACGGAGGCGAACAGTCCTCCAGAGGGTACACCGGCTATGGAGGAAGAGGGAGCCGAGAGGACCGAAGAGGATACCGCGGTGAACGGACTGATCGGGGAGAATTTCATCGAAACAGAGACGACTTCCATGCACATTCGGAAAGCGGCGATGCACGCCGAAGTGGCGAACGGGACGGATACAGAGGAGAGAGCGAAGGTCGGGGCGGAAACCGTGGTGGAAGAGGAGGGTCTCGTGGCGGAGCAAGAGATGGATACAGACGATCCGAATGCCACTATCATCCGGTCGGCGATTTCGCTGGAAAAGGAACAGGGTTGCTTACGACGAATGATAGAGAAGAAGGTATATGTGTTTCCCGCTAAAGGTTATTTATGATTTTTTTAAACTTTTTCAATTTGTTTGCTTCCACAACATATAAACCTGTAAAACAGGCGTGGTGCGCGCTCTCTCCCTTATTGAACTACTGTAGCGGGCAATGCGTGCAAAGTTTCGTCGCGGTGAATTGCTCACTTTGCGGGAATTTCCGAAATCCTAAAATTTAGTTCTTGTTTCTCGACGTTTCCGGGCTGCGCGAGCCTCGATTTTTCTCCGGTTTTTGTCAAAAAATGTTATTTTCATCAGTAAAATTTAATCGCCACAAAATGTTTAAAAAAAAACAATTTCTGTGCTAGTTTTTAATCTTCGGTTTCCCGATAACGTCATCATTTTTTCTTTCAGATAACTCTGGCAATATGAACCAACAACAGAATCCACGTCTCGCTATCAATATCTTCGGGCTCCAGCTCTCGAAGCGCACCATCTTCCGTCATGTCGTTCAGATCAAATTGTTTGATCAGAAGACCAAGAAAGATTACATTCTCACGACCATGAGCGCAAGGTAGTTTTTCATGTCCCCAACTTTGATGAACAGGTGCTGTGACTTCAGGGGTCGTGGAAGTCGTGCAAGCAAACAAAGTGACAATTTCATTCTGCTGGGTCAATTGTTAGACAAATGGAATGAGAAGAGGACCGGAAGCCCGGAACGGCTAATTTTCGCTTACGACGGAGCCCAGTCACTATTCGCCCTCGAAGGAATCTGCCATGTAAGAAAAGAAATGCAGTTTTCAATTTATGTTTTCATTTAGAGTATCGAGATTCCAAAAGAAGAGGCTTTGCAAATTCCGGGCATTTCCGACTTTCTGAAAGATTCGATCAACTTTTTGGATGGTTGTATTCAAATCTCTTGTGATCCAGATCAAGAGAAGGCGTCGTTCAATCAAACCGAGCTCAACGAGTGGAGTGACCCGAGGTTCTACGCGTACTTGGATATTGTGACGTCGCAAAGTGCCATCCGAAGTGGAAAGTACTTGTCCCAATCGAAAGGATTGTATGTGAACACCAAGTACATGGAGAAGCTTCGCGTTGGTTGGGCCGTTGCTGCAAAAGGAATTCACAAAGGATGCCGAGTGGTTGGAACAACCGCCCCATTGCCAATTTTGGAATTGGATCGTAACGATACAATAATACCAGCTTAATATACTTTTCCTACTTTCAGCACAATCCACGCAATACTATGCTCCGATTCCTCTCAGCGACATGCTACAGCTCGCGTTTCCTCGGGATTTTCCCCATAACCGAATTATTACTCCAAATCAACGTCTTCAAAGAGCTGTTAAATTGCTTATGAAAGGTCTAATAAGTTGAGAGATTTTCAAGTAATTTTTCATTTTAGAATTGAAGTGCAACCCGTATTACGAGGATCTCGCCAATTGGGCAACTAATACCATCATCATCACGGACATCGACTACAATGCCCCAAGGGACACTGAGTACAGGGAGAAATACCCGAATCTCAAGTAAGTTAGCGACTTTTTACACTGACATTGCGTTATTCTTCAGATATCCACTGTTACCGGCGGCTATATGCGGAATAGGTCCGCGCAAGCGCATGATGCCGCTAGAGTATCTCAAAGTCCTTCCTTTCCAGTCGATTGATCGTCGTGTACTAGAAGAGTTTGAGCTAACAGTTCGTTTTCAAAACGTTTTTCATATCAAAAATAATATTTATAGCCGCGCGCCAATGCCCCGGAGGAACGCTGGAAAACTCTTCAAAATCACTACGAAGAATTTGGCTTCAATGACGAAGTGATGACTGCCTTCGGAGTGACGATCTGTAATGATCCCTTCTCGAACATCAGCTACATCGATGGTGAGAGAGTTGCAAAGCCAAATATCGCTTATGCCGACCCCGTTCACGTTGACGACGAAAAGGTAAAAAAAAGAGCTTTTAGAAGACAAAGAAAACGCTCTTTCAGCGAGACTGGAAAGCTCAGGATAAAAAGTTTTCAACCCCGGCGAAGATCGATCGTTTGGTGTTAGTGCTTGCTGCCGGTTATTCGCGTAACTTCGATGCCGAGAAGAAGGCTGTGGAATTTGTGGCTCGTGCGTTCATGCAGAGATGCAAAGACAAAGGAATGCAGATTGTCGATTTTGATTTCAAATACCATGAAGGAGAACGAGACTGCGAGACATTCTTGACTAGCATCTTCAAAGACCTTTACACACACCCCAAGTACAATTCGCCTTCCTTCATGCCGTTTGTTCTTTTCGTATCCGATGACATCCCCAACATTCATGGTTGTTTTTCTTGAACCCTTCGGTTCTCATTAACAAATTGCAGAATGTCTCAAGTTCGAGGAAAGAATTGTTGACATCCCAACCCAACACGTTCTCCTGAAAAACATCCGTAAAATTCGTGACAATATGGAGAAGAAATCTCAGGGTGGCAGAAGAGCTTATGATTTGACTCTGGACAACATTGTCATGAAGGCCAACGTCAAGTGCGGAGGGTTGAACTACATCGCAATTCCAAAAGAGTGAGTTCTGTCTACTCCGTTCATACTTGAAAAAGTTGATTTCAGTATTGCTTGCTGGGAGTCGGTTTCGACCTTCGTAATGGGAATGGACGTAGCTCATCCGGATCGAGTGGCGGTTAGAGAGGGTAGTCCGTCAACTGTTGGAGTAAGTAAAAACATGTTTCAGTTGTGTATATTTATTTTAATCTAAGCTTTCGTGCAACTCCGCGGAAAGTCCGTATCAATTCATCGGGGACTTCCACTATACGGAACCAAGACGAGAGGCCATTCAAGATCAAATTTTGAGACACTTCACCGCTCAGAATGTTCGTAGCTTTGCCGAACTTCGTGGATTCCCAAAAAAGATCATAATTTTCCGCGACGGAGTGTCATTCGGAGAAGAATCTGAAGCTTTGAGAGAGGTTCAGGTCATTGAAAGCACCATCATCGAAGCTGCGCGAGACCAGGGAGTTTTCGATTATGCTCCAAAGGTTTTGGCGGTCGTCGTGAAGAAGCGTCATCACACTCGTTTCTATGGAAAAGGAGGGTACCAAGGAAGCCAGCCAACTGTTCGTGGAGATAGCTATGTATTTAATTCAATTCACTATTTTAGAACCCGTTGCCGGACACTTCTGTCGGTGGAGAAATCGCCGAGTATGGTAAACGACAGATCTTCATTCAAGCTTTCCGCCCGGTTCAAGGGACTGCCAAGGTCCCTTCGTTCCTCATCATTCGTGACGATGAGAATGTTTCCGATGATCACATCTCGAAACTTGTGTGTGCCGTCTGCAGCCTCCATCAGGTACGGATGATGATTTATCAGAAGTTATTTTCAAATAATTATTTCAGTTGGTGAACAGCCCAACTTCTATCCCTACCCCAGTGTACGTCGCTCACGAGTTCGCCAAAAGAGGAACTAGCATGTTGAAAGCCTACAAGTATGATTGATTCAGACAAAATAAACTCATTTATCTTTTTCCAGATATAAAAGGGGCGATCTTATTGACGACTGGTTCACCTTGACAAATGCACTCTCGTATAGCACACTCGACCGACTCTCCAGGATGAGAGTAGTCTAGGCCTAGCCAACCATCGCCCTTTCTTATCGTGTTATATCCCTGTATCTCGTTTCAAAAGGTATAGAATAACTAAACATAATAAAGCTCAAAAGCTATTTGTTATCCCAATCGTACGCTTAATCACCAAATTTTTTTTGCCTGAGCCTTCCCCCACTTTTCTGCTCTTCTCTTCTCGCTACTGCGTTAAGCCCCGCCCATTCGCCCGTTTGTTTTTGAATATAGCGAAGCGTAGCTAGTATTCTTTTCGAATACCACGCAACTTGCATCTCTCCGTTATATTCCAAGTTACCATCTCTTTTTCCCTCTGTGTATAATGTTGAATTGTACTTTCCCGGTATGCTCGTGGGAAGATCTATTTTCGTACGAGCAAGTGGAACGCATTTCTTATTTATACCTCGTTCCATTGGTTAGTTTGTTTCCAAAGTATGAACGTGACGTGTCAAATATGTTTTTTTTTAATTTGTTGTCTGGACCGTACTGCATAAATATAAGACGTCCCAAATGATTGCATTTTCACACTTTGCGGATCACGAGAATCTTATAACTAACCCACTCATAATGAGGGAATATGAGGTTTTTTCGGCGTGGGGCGAGAATCTTTTGATTATTAGCCAACTTGAGAAGATACCTCATCATTCTGTTTGTGCTTATGAAAGAGTAACTCTGTTTCTCTCTGATCACTTCACGTGATCGAAAATGAATGTAGTGCAGCCTCAATTAGCCATTTGGAACTGGGGGTTTTGTGTTTTCGCTGTCAAATTTTATCAGCGTTCTTGGACGGGAATTCAGCAGAAACTGACGTTTTGCCATCCATAAAATAACCTATGAAAGTCCGTTCAGCCGATTGCTTCATGTCCTGCGGGATTTCTTTGTCGCCCATTCTAATCATATTCTGAATACAGAATTATTGTTGCCAAACGGAGGATTCCACGTGGCAGACCAGCCGACGCCCTCAATATGCGTTTTGGTGATAATTAGTGAGGGATATTTCGAAAACAGCCGAATGACAAAGAAACAGAAAAAGAAGAAGAAGAAGAGGGAAAAGTATGAGGTGCCCACGGACTCGCATGAATATATTTGCGTCGCGGACAAAACGAGGACTCTTCTTGCTCATAATGAGCTTCCGCGGATCCTTCGGGACGGGCAACGAGGGACGGTTTCTGCCCGAATGGCTCATTTGAACGAGAAGAGCCTAATGAGTTCGAACCTCTTTAACAGGGACTTCATCTTCTCCTTCTTCGTATTCTGTTTTCGTACTTTCTTCCCAATTCCGATGCCTTCTTTCTTTATAACGTTCAAACAATAATAAGCTTCATTTATCTGCCGAAGCCAATGCGAACAAATATTCTTTCGCGGCTTCTTTCCCCGAATTCTCACGCATTGTGCAACGGAGCATCTCGTGCTCATTGCGCATTTCTCCAATTAGTCCGTTCTTCTCATCTGATTATCACCACATCTTTGACGACATTTTTTGCATTTTTATGCGCCCAAAAGAAGAGATGGATGTACTCAGAAGTGAGGTGTTCGGGCGGCGGAAAAGGAAAGGAAAACACTTGAAAAGGCGAGGGACGCTCCCCGCCGACGACGTCTTTTCCCATTTCAAAATAGAACCTCGAGAAATTGGGCATGCATATTTTGGTCTTTGTTCCCCTCCGAAGTCTCATCGGAATCATCCTGATGACCTATTTGTAAGCGATTAGAAGAGAATGAGAGAGAAAGAGAAAGAGAGAGAGAGAGAGAGAGAGAGAGAGAGAGAGAGAGCTGAAAGAGAAATGACTGAATACTTGAGCATGTTCCGGAAGTTCTCGAAAACAAAAATGCGTATTTATGAAGGACCAGGTCCGATCACTGTGGAAACTGTGGTCCCAAGCGGTCGCTCTGCAAACGTTTCCCTTTCGCGTCATTTCGTTTTAATGAACACTCGCTCCTCGTGCTCTGATTCTCGTGGTTACTCACTCATTAGTGCTTGAAAAGAGTCGCCATTGACGTCATCGCCGACGCGGGGGGAAAGTCTCGAAGGATTCGGAAGAAAAGAAACGGTGTCCTCCGTTTGGATGCACTAGAAAGCGCACAAAAACAAGAATAGATGAACAGACAGACGGAAATTGAATTGAAAATGAAATGAAATGAGAAAAGCATGGTCCTTTGTGTGTGTGTTTGCATGGTCCCTCCGAGCCCGAACATACCCAACTGCTGCAGGTGTGCATCCCCGGAATCGTTGCCGCCGTCCTCTCCGCCATCGTCTTCTTCCGGCTTCGTCACAGCTCGCTCGAGGTTCGTTTGCTCTCTCTCTCTCTCTCTCTCTCTCTCTCTCTCTCTCTCTCTCTTTCCGTTTTCGAATGAGACACGGGCCTTCCGGGTGTCTGAGTGACGAGTCCTTCCGTGAATTTAAATGAAAATGAGCTCGGAATGGGGCAATGGAAGAGCGGATGACACGATCATGGCCCGACGGACTCGAACGATGAGTTCAGGGACGAAAAGAGACGACGGAGCAGGGAGCAGTTGAGCCAGAGAACCAGAGAACCAGAAAATGATCATGCACGGGGAAGACATTTAGAAGTAGAGAAGTTTGAATTATCACTTGACAACGCTTACTCTCTCTCTCTTCCCAGATACCTCTTTTCGTCTCTCAAAACATTGAACTTTAGCCAAAAAGGATCAGAGAAAGGATCACAAAACAAATGCCCTAAGGCATCGTGAGAATTCATCATCAGGATCTGGATCATTCAGGTGCTTCTCTGCGGACTCTCCCTCTTCGATGTCGTCCTCCTTACTTCCTCCATCATGATCTACCCCTCAATGCACCAGTGTTCGAGAATCCACGAACCGTCCGAACGGGTATTGTTCATTGACCAATCCGTCTTAACGTCTTCTTTCTCATTTCCAGCACAACAGTTTCGTTTGTCATTTCTTCTGGCGCGTCACGGTCTTAATCTTTCCATTGTCTCTGATCGCTCAAGCGGGCTCCGTCTGGACGTACGTGGCCGTCACCGTCGATCGATTTATCGCCGTCTGTTTCCCGCTCAAAAAGAGAGTGTGGTTCACGAGATCCAACTCAACGACAGTTCTCATTTGCATCACTTTCGTAAGGTACTCCTCCTGAGCTCCCCTCAAAATGGATAAAAAACGAGAGAAGAGACCATCGTTCTTTTCTGAAATGTTAATGTCTTTTCGAGTTGACATACACTCTTCACAAGATTTATATTTTGGCAGGAGCATCCAAACATCCAAAAACAATTTGGAAATGTCGAGGATCTTTCAGCACTCTCTTCAAATTGCCCTCGTTCTTCGAAGTGCAATTGGATCAGAACGGAGAAGTCGGGCCGACGGAATTGCGGAAGAATGAGTTCTACATCGAGTTCTATCTCTTCTACCTCTACGTGGCACTCATCCAACTCATTCCCTGGACCCTAATCATCTTCCTCAACGCAATCATCATTCACAAAGTGAGAATTGCCTATCGGGCGCAGGAAGGAATGGTTCACAAAAGTGCGAAACCGAAGACGAAACGAGAAGATGCGGAGAGGAAGTGAGTGGAGAGAAAAAGAGTTCGGAAGTGAGAGAATGGGTTCAGAGTGACGGTGATGGCGACGGTGATGACGGGCATATTCATAATCTGCAACATCCCTCCGGGCATCAACTATCTCGTCGATAAGTACAGCAAGTCGCCGGTCTACAGACAGCGCATTCCGCTCTCGAACCTGCTCGTCTGCGTCAACAGGCACGTCCTCTCTTTCTGCCGGTCTCCACCATCTTCCGCTTCTTTCAGCGCTTCCAATATGATGATTTACTGTGTCTTCAACAGCCGATTCCGTCGGGCCGCCCTCAAATTGCTCGGATGTCCGTCGCTTGCTCCGACGAGAGCTGGAAGTGTTGTGACCCGATTGACGAGGGATGAGACCGCCGGAATGGTAATTCATCCCTCATCTGACCCTTTAATCGGTTTCAATTTCAGTTGCGTTTCCGAGTAACGACTCTAGAGAATTTGCACGCGCGGAGTCCGGAAACGGCCTGTTAGGCACAATGATCGGCCACTCAACAACCGGGTCTCTTGTGATTGTATGTATATCTGACTACTTATATAAATATGTGATTAGCCATTGGGGAGACAGTGGCCTTCTCTCTTCTCCTGTTTATTCCTTTTTCTACCAGCTTCGCCGTGCTCATTTTTTCTTCGTTCTATTTTGTGTAATGATGAAAATGTGTCTTCTGAGGCTTACATCATCAAGAAAAGGTACGATTGTCCAAATAGGAAACAACACGACACCGATTTCTGACATTGTATGCGCAGAGAAGGAAAACTCATTGGGAACACCGCCAGGATCCAGGACCACTTCGTAAGTTTTAGTTGGCTCAGAATTGTCGATAGGGTTTACCAGATAGTTACGGGACCTACGGTACAAAAACTTACGTCTTCGTTTTTATGATTGTGCGTTTATTATAGTTCTTTCAGGTAGCCGCTCCTCACCAACGAGAACTCGAAGCCGTCGTTGATGCTAGTCGCGCGATGGATCTGGATTCGGAGAGACTGCGGAGACGGCACCCAAATTTCCGGTCGAGCAGGAGCAGCAGCTCAATGACCAGACGGATTTACCCGAGGAAACGGGTCGTAACTCAGTCACGGAGGCGGACACGCAAGAGGAGATGTTGGAGCAGCCAAGATCGGTCGAAGAACAGGATGGCCACACCGAACATTCGCGAACGCACAAAAATTAAGACCAAAAAGATAACTCATAACATCTAAACTTCGTTTATTTCCTTGTTAGCCTTTACGCCTTCAACCTCCTCCGATCGGTACTGAAACTAATAAAACGATTATCGTGGCAGGTATCCGTTTCTTGGAGCAGCTCGCACTGCCTTGTTTTGATGTTGATCTGTCCGCGCCGATCCACTGCACTGACCGTTTTTGTTTGGGTAAACAGAACGGCACAAAAAATGATAATCGGCGAGCAAACAGCATGGCCGAGGAGCAAAAAATGGATGCGCAATTCATGGATTGTCACGAACCGCCCGGCGATGGTCAATCAGGTCAATTTAACGAAAAAACGGCATGTCAATATGAGAGTGTATTGTACTTTGAACAAGAAAACGGGAGAAAACACGACGGTCTATTATGGAATGTTTATTAAAGAGATTGCAATCATAAGTTACTAATGCTTTCCTCCGTGATGTCCTCCTCTGAAGTGTGGACGGTTTCTCCACAGATCGAACAGCTCCTCCTTGGCCTTCTCGCTCAAATCTCCGAGAATCTCGAACTTCTGCTTGTTCAGAGCCTCGATCTTCTCGTGCGCAGACTTCGCCTCCGCCGACAGCTTCGACTCCTTCTCCTTGTACTCCTTGTCCTCCTTCTCCTTCTTCTCCTTGAACTCCTGGAACTTTTTCAGGTTATCTCCGCTCAGTTCCTTCGTGGCCAAAGCGTCAATCTTCTCCGGCTTCTCGCTCCATGGAATGGTCTTGTTCTTGAAAATAGCGTCGAACTTGGCGAGAGTCTCCTTAGGAAGTCCCTTGAGGAACGGAAGTGGTGGTCTCTTGTGAAGGTTCTTCTTGGCATCCTTCGGGAGGGCGTCGATGACTTCGCGAGTCAGTCCCTGCTCCTCGTAGCACTTGTCTCCCTCCTTGTAGTCTTTCCAGATATCATTGATCTTTTCCTGGGCGTCAGCTGGAAGACTGTCCAAGAACGGCGGGGTTCCGCACGGAGGGGTTCTCTGAAAATGAGCACAAATGAATGGGAAACTCGAGGAAACCCCAACTGACCTTGACTGGTTTCGCCTCAACGGCGACCGTAGCAAGCAGTGCAACTGCGATGAATACCTTCGGAAGCATTGCTGATCTGATTCCGAAGACACAAAAATCACCGTCTTTATACCCGACCTACCTACCGTCTTGGGCCAATGTGCGAATGAGACGCCGACGGAAAAGAACAACAAGATGATGGATTCATTTGGAACAGATCTTTTGATTTGGCCCCTTCGGTCCAACACAAGCATTCAATGGGCGGGAATGAGGTCACAAAAGACGACGCCAACTGGAAATTACTCGGAAGAGACTTGGAAATGCGCAGTGGGAATCAAGAGTATTGTCATCGCGTAAAATTCCCAATAAAACTTTCCTTTGTTCCGTATGCTCGTTATTCTGTTTTGTGAATACTGCAAGTGTAAACTATCCACGAGGATTCTCAATTTAGAGTTCATGTTTGCCTTTTGTGCTTATTTTCCGGCACATGACGGACACTACATTCGAGTAAAATCTTTGAGACTTTGCGTCTCGGTTGGTCAAGATCTTCTCTTTTTTTATCTGATGTGAAACTGAAGTGTTACAAAGTGACCCTCTTCTTCTTCTTCTTCTTCTTCTTCTCGTTTCTTTCGTTTCTTTCGTTTCCTTCGTCGAATCACATCCGTCGCTTCGGCCGATGACATCATTGTTAGCCGTTCAAAGCCAAAACGCCAAAAAGATCCTTATATCCGCCGTTCACAAGTGCGTTCTTCAGAAAACAGATCGAAAATGGACGGATGGGCGGGATGTCGTCCTTCAAAAAACAACAACAACCCGCAGGAGATCAGCATCACAAAATCGGGCAGGCGGGGCGAAAGAGTGTGCGGGAGGGGAGCACTGTTTGGCGAAGGGTTCGGTTTCGAGCGAGACGCTCGTATAAAAGGGCACCGTTTCGTGGAAAAGGACATCGAATCCAACGATGCTTTCTAGAATCGCAGCCGCTTTCCTTCTTCTCGCCGTCGTCGCTGAAGCCAAACCGTGCTTCGGAGGCAGATGTGGAGGAAGAGTAAGAGTCCCTTCCAGTCCTTTCCCTTCTCATTCTCTCTCTCTCTTCTTTTCAGCCACCACCACCATGTGGACTCCCACCATTCCTTGAGGACCTTCCAGCTGATGCTCAAGCCAAGATCACCGAGATCTGGAAGGACTACAAGGAGGGAGACAAGTGCTACGAGGAGCAGGGACTCACTCGTGAGATCATTGATTCTCTCCCGAAGGAGGCTCGCAAGAGCATCCACAAGAGACCACCACTTCCGTTCCTCAAGGGACTTCCGAAGGAGACTCTCGCCAAGTTCGACGCCATCTTCAAGGACAAATCGATCCCATTCAACAAGAAGCCAGAGAAGGTCGACGCTCTCGCCCTCGAGGTGCTGACCGGAGACAACCTGAAGAAGTTCCAGGAGTTCAAGGAGAAGAAGGAGAAGGAGGACCAGGAGTACAAGGAGAAGGTAAGCCTCCGCAGAGATCCCTCTCAAACTATTTCCCAATGTTTCAGGAGGCCAAGCTTTCCCCAGCTGCCAAGGAAGCCAACGAGAAGCTCGATGCCCTCGGAAAGCAGAAGTTCGAAATCCTTGAGAGCCTCGACGAGGACGTCAAGGACGAGCTTTTCGATCTCTGGAAGAGCCGCCCACACGGACCACCAAGACATCATCACTAAACGGACCGAGCTGACAATGTGACAGACTGTTTCTGTACATACCCACCGAAAAAGAATTCTATCGATACATGCCCATAACTATTCCTGATAATACTGAACATATTCTTTTCCCTAATAAAGATTTCTATCCGAACCTTTTTCTGGAAGACGTCTTCAACCTTCAACCCCTCAATTTGCTTTTCAAGTCAGTGTGACAAGAAGAAACATAATAACGGGATGAGTCTTTTGGGACGATTCCTGCTGCCAACTTCTTCTCCCCTTCTCAAATGCACGAATAAATGCATTTGTGCGGAGGGGATCGATGTGCTTTAGAGCGAGAGACGCAGGCGCACGCAGACATCTGCTCCGGAGCAAGAGAAAGAGCAAAAGCACGTCGACTCTGTCTTCCTCTTTCCTCCTCTCAACTATTATGCCGTTCTGTTCATACAAATATTCGGCGCTGGCGCAGAACGATCCGGAGGCGCTCGGAGAAGAAGAAGAGGCGGGAGCTTTTAAGATGGCAAATCTCGAAGGATATTCTGGAATCGATTTCGGAGATCCGAGCCAGAGCGTTATGGAATACGGAATGCCGGAGGGTTCGTTCGACTCTGCATTCACCTACGCGCCATATAATGACCTTGATAAAATGGGTTACGTTGGTCCCAAACGGTAGTTTTCTCTGTTTTTTCTTTTCGAGTGTATTCACAAACTCTTCTCAGACACGGACTGGTTCTTGGGAGTAGATACGGCAACTTCACATACACAAGAGATTACGGAACGGATTCGGAAGAAAACGTGAGTGAACAGCTCTTCCGTCTCGAACATCTCAGACTTCTGTTGTAGTTGAAGCCTCTGAACACAGTCGAACTGATGATTTACGGTCTCTCAATGCTGTTCGTCCTGATGACGATGCCATTATCTCTTCTTTTCGCGCTGAAGGTAACTTAATTGAAGACCGGTTCTGTTCTACGAATAAGATCGAGATTAGAGAACCGAATCACTGTTTCGTCATCCAATTCAATCGTTTCAGTTCGTCTCCACCAGCGAGAAGTTGGTGGTTCTGCGGCTCGGACGGGCTCAGAAGACGAGAGGTCCGGGCATTGCTCTCGTGGTCCCGTGCATCGATACCACTCATAAAGTGACCACTTCCATCACAGCATTCAATGTGCCGCCCCTCCAGGCAAGAATCTAGAAGAGGAAGAAGAAGAATGAAAAATGCATTACAGGTTATCACAACGGACCGAGGCCTTGTCGAACTGGGAGCGACCGTGTTCCTCCAGATTCGGGATCCGATCGCTGCGGTTTGTGGAGTCCAGGACAGAAATTCGTCGGTGCGGACACTGGCGAACACGATGCTCTACCGATACATCAGCAAGAAGCGTCTATGCGACGTGACCAACTCGCAGGATCGGAGAATTATGGCGGCGGACTTCAAAGACGAACTCGGAGCATTCACTTGCCAGTTCGGAGTCGAGATAAAAGATGTGGAAATATCGGAAGTGAAAATAGTGAAGGAAGGGGAGAACATGGGTTTGTCTGCACTGAATACGGTCGCGAAATCGGATGCTGGACAACAGTTGTGGCAAGTAATTGGACCTGCATTCGAAGACTTTGCGAAGGAGTGTGCGTCAGAAGAGAAGGCGAAGAAAGAGAACGAAACGCTGGTGGACCTGTCAGATGGACCCTCCACTTCGACACCGTCTTGCTCGAGTTCTCCCTCAGTTGACGTCGATCATTTGATTACCGTGGCGAACCTCGCGATTGATGAACACCTTGTTCGTCTCATCGGCCGCGTTTTCCAAATAAACTGCAAAGACGTCGAACCACTATGCATTGATTTGAAGCATGGAGCAGGAAGTGCCTACAAAGGAACCGCTCTGAACCCGGACGTCGTGTTCGAATCGTCGTACGATGTATTCGTGAAGATAGTCACCAAGGCGGTGTCGCCCGTCACTGCATACATGAACGGATCTCTCAAGGTCCGAGGAAGCATCCAGGATGCCATGCAGCTGAAACATCTTGTCGAACGAATGGCCGATTGGCTTTAGAAATGTTCATCTTGTCTCAATCAATTTTTGACCTCTATAAATGCATTTTTTATTGAAGTTTAGTTGTTTTTGGGCAAATGGGTATCTCCAGATTGTTCTCCTCTCGAAAATACGCGGAACAAGCTTTTTCATGACGAGAAAACGTGCGTATCGAGCGCCGTCATCGCCGAAAATGGAGGCTTGTTTAAAGGGAGGCTGTGTTTGCGGAGCGGCGGGTCTCGCCACGAACGACTAATCGAAATTACACGTGTGTTGCTGGCTGGACGACATCCAGCAAATAGACGTTGCTTTTGCCGATTCCAACCGTTTTTCCTCGTTTTTTGATAGTTTTCAGTGAGTTTAGCAGATTCTTCATGAAATGGACTGCATAATGATGCCATTTTGGCTCTAAACGCTATAAAATTGAGAGAGAATGAGTGTATTTCATGGAGCAGGGCTGTCACATGTGCTCGTGTTTTCTAGATTTTGCGAAACTATTTCATCCCCGTTTAATAAATTGAAATCTACACAGCGCCTTCACTTGTAAACGTTAAATTTCAGGTGTTGAATCAGCTCCAGTATGGGTTTAACTATTTCCTCGCTCTTCAATCGCCTTTTCGGCAAGAAGCAGGTAAGCCTTTTTTCAGATGGTTCCTATGTAATATTCGAATGATTCAGGTTCGTATCCTCATGGTCGGACTTGACGCTGCCGGAAAAACGACCATACTTTATAAGCTCAAGCTTGGAGAGATCGTCACCACAATCCCAACTATCGGTGAGTACTTTTTTGTGTTGTGACGGATGAAAATAATTTACACTCACTATTGAAACATCGGTTTGATTGAACGTTGTTGAATTAGGCAAACATGAACTATTTAGGATTCAATGTCGAAACTGTCGAATACAAGAACATCTCGTTCACCGTCTGGGATGTCGGAGGTCAGGACAAGATTCGTCCATTGTGGAGGCATTACTTCCAGAACACCCAAGGGCTCATCTTTGTCGTAAGTTATTAACTGTTCCACAGAATGTAAAAAAACAAATCTCAGGTTGATTCTAACGACAAGGAACGTATAGAAGAATCTCGCGAAGAACTGCACAAGATGCTTAACGAGGATGAGCTTCGCGACGCTACTCTTCTCGTTTTCGCCAACAAACAAGATCTTCCTAATGCTATGACTGCCGCCGAACTGACCGATAAGCTTGGACTTCACAATCTTCGTTCAAGACAGGTGAGTGGGACGCGGGAATTGTTTATCTCGTTCCGTTTATCTAACCAACGGATCGAAACGTAAAGAATAGAGACAGAGAATTGGGAATAGATCAAATTGAAGATAGTTAAATAGGAGAGTGGCGGTTTCAATCAAGTGGAAACTAATTTTTGAAAAAAATAATCATTTTTTCAGTGGTACATCCAGGCCACCTGCGCTACCCAAGGACACGGACTTTACGAAGGACTCGACTGGCTCTCCAACCAACTCTCCAAGACCTAATTTTTCCCTCCCTTTGTCCAAATTCTCCTTCCCCAAAATGTGTAAATCCTTCCCCATTAAAAAAATTCCAACCGCAATCCCCACAATCCACGCAGCCGTTTTAAAATACTCTTTTTGTTAAATAGAATTTGATTAATGGCACTGGGAGCTTCGCTTGTCCTTGTGTTATTGGTACCCGTCTGTTTCCTCTGTACCCCAACTTCAATCGGCCCGGGCTTCGTCCTAATTTATGTGATACATGGCCGTCTTATGGTCACTCTTCGAAACCACCACGGTGAACTCTTCGAAACCACCACGGTGAACTAGTCGGAGATTATTCGATGGCTGGCCCACCATATTAAAAACCGTTTAAATTATTTGAGGGTGTTGATGAATAATATTTTTCTGATCAAAAATTGTACTAAATGAGAATGTGGTGGATGTTTATTTTATTTATCGAAAAAAAAGTAATAAATTTCGGAAAAGGAAATATAGTGGACAAGCACGCGCGTGGTAAAGCTGGAATGGCAGAGAATGCAGAAAAAAGAATAGAAGCAAATTAGGCGGACATTGTAGAGCAATTGAAAGGGTCACCAGAGTGGCTTGCTCGACAGAATGTGAGCCTTTCTTTGTTTTGCCTGATTAGCTCTGTTGCTGAGAGCTCCTTGCGAAGTCATATCAGCGTCGACGGGAGACGACATGGCGTTTCCCTTGCTCTGATGTCCACTGACGGCGTGCTGAAGCCAACGGGTATCGGTCATTCCGGTTCCAAGGCGACGGGGGGTCTGGGGACGGCGCCAGCCCTCTGGAGGCTGTTTCTCTGAAAGAACCTGATGTTTCTGGGCGCGCGCGAAAAGGAAATACCGAATCCGTTCTCGGCCGCCAACGATTGGAAGAGCTCGTCGAAAACGACGAAGTTGGTGTTCTGCCAGACGGGTTTAGTGAGTCCGTACTTCTGGGACATGAAGCCGAGCAGAGTGACGGACGGATTGTCGAGTGCCAGTTGGTATGGCTCCGCGTGTTCCTGCGCGAACATGTAGTCTAGAATATGCTTTCCGACTCCCTGACGTTGCGCAGAGAAGTGCACGTAAAAGTCGAGAAGACACAGAATCTGAAAGGAGCTGAAATGGGAGGGGAGAAGCCGAATGGAAGCCCGACCTCTCCTTCGTAAGTTTGCATTTGCGAATCGTAGAGGAACAGCTTCTTGCGTCCGACTTTGGCGAATCCGAGCAGTTTGGAGACCTTCTCTTCCCTGAACACGAAGAAGAATGGAAATGGAACGGGACGGAGGAACGGACTCATCGTATTTCCAGGAAAGATAAAAAGTAGAATCGGAGTTGATGAGCTTCTCGCAAGTGGTGAGAGGAGTGCGCAACTGGAGGCAGTGGGCGGACAGTTTGGCCAAGTTGTCGATGGCCTCGTACACGACGGGATCTCTGAATTCTTGTTTTTCGACTGTTCCGGTGGTACACTGGTACAAAGTGGGATTGATTGAAAAGAAGTGAGTGTGGAACAGGTTGTCGCGACAAAAATCAAAGGGCTTAAAGTTGACTACGACTGTGCGTGATTTGTGGTGATATGATAACGGGTTAGCGGGTTGACACGACATACGAACTCACTGCAATTGCTTGATGCGCATCGGGTCCAGCCGTACGAGCTGGGGACCCAGAATCGGTCGGAGGTCGGCGTCGACTTCCATGCTCGGCTCGCAACTGACCGACTCGCGGAGCTCTTCCCTTCCGGCTCCTCCGCCCATCCCCATTTCCATGCATTTTTGCCAACCCCCACTACCACTTCTTTCTACAGTAGCATGCTATGAATTCGGAATGAGAGGAGTCTTCATTGCTGAAACATTCGATATGAGAGTGCTTCCTCTTTTTTTTCGGCTCAACGACCAGCTGACAATGGAATGCCCGGTGAAAAGGGGATCGGAGATCGAAACGGTTGAGGTTTTCACACAAAACGGGATGCATGCTTCCCACCCAAATGGGCCGAAGGACACTGTAAACTGCTGCGGCTGCATCTCATCGAATCGTCATTCGTCAAGCCGCCGCCGTCACTTTTACACTTTGACTGATAAGCGATGCGCCTACGCATTCGGTTAGGCTTCTGTTTTTGCAATTTCTGTCGCCTTTCAGAAGCGAATCGATCCTTCTGAAACCACAATCCCCTTGTAATACTCTTAATCCTTTCGTTAACTTCAGAGACATGAAGGGGAACGAGCAAGAGCTGGAGCGACTGGCCCGTCGTATGCGGCAATTGGCCGTCTTCTCCTCTTCCGTCGCCGTTTTCACCGCCGTTCTTTCCGTCTTTGCTCTCCCTCTTCTCATTTCTTCCACCCTCCAAGCAGTCGTAAGTCCTCCTTCCGTTCTCCGATCTCCGTTCCCCATTCTGTAGACATCCGTGGATGAGCAGCTGGGACGGTGCACCGCCGACGCATTCAAAATGTACAAGGCTCTCGATGAAATCGGAATACAGCTGATTCAAGCGAACAATCAAACGTCTTCTTCTTCTTCTTCTACTTCTCAAAGATCGAAACGAGGAGGTGGATACGCGTCATCTTCCTCGTATAACTCAGTTGGAAATCCGTCTGCGAACGGACAATATTACTTTTATCCGGAGGTCTGAGACTCGTGACGACGCGAGACGAACGTGTGGTATTTCAGGTGATAGAAGCGATCCGCGCAAGACGGCCGACCCTCTACTCCCTGCAGCAGGACTATTTCGGAGGTGGAGCTGGCTGCCAGGCTTCACAAGGATATGCCACTCGGCCCACCTTTGTTGGACGTCCGTTCTCTCTTTCTTTCTTTGACTCACTAATCATTCAATTCTAGCTCAAACAGGAGCCGTTCTTCGAGAAAACCAATCTGGATTCAGCGGCGGCGGCGGATGCGTCATTCGGTACGGTCCTCCCGGCCCGCCAGGATACCCTGGAGAGGCTGGAAGAGACGGAACTGACGGGCAGCCGGGATCGAACGGAAAGCAAGGAAGGGACGGAATCGCAGACGTCGACAGGGAACCATGCCAAGTGTGTGCCCCAGCCCAGCCAGGATATCCAGGACCGCCTGGACCGAAAGGAATGCCTGGAGAGCAAGGACCGCCCGGATTGGACGGAGAGACAGTGGACGGAGAGGACGGAACACCGGGTCTTCCAGGACCGCCGGGACCACCAGGATCGCCTGGATTGGCAGGAAAAGTGGGAGATCACGGCCAGTACGACGACGAGGAGATTACTGGACCACCGGGACTTCCGGGAGTGAAGGGAGCACAGGGAGGCGTCGGATCGAGAGGAACTGAGGGAAATCCGGGACCGAAAGGGCCGCCCGGACAGCAAGGAAATCCCGGAGCGTAAGGGAAACAATAGACAGGCAGATGAAACCGTAAGCATGATTTCAGACCGGGAGTGCCGGGTCGTCCAGGGCTGCAGGGCCGTTCGGGTGCTCCGGGAGCCCCGGGAGCACCTGCTTCGTGCGATCACTGTGCTCCGCCCGTCTTGGAGCCGGGATACCAGGTGGACGTCAAAAAGACGATCAAGCGTTCTTCTCCATGATTCAGTTATTCTCGATCTCCAATATTTTCCCTCAATGTCTGTATATAAAGAATAATATCAAGCCTTCAAAACGCTGAATTAAAATAATAACTTTATCTGCATTTTGCTGTCAAAATTTGAAAAATGTCAGGTGAAAAAAATACACGAGATACTAAGTGACAACAATGAAAACTCATCACAAAACCCGTTGTGAAAAGGCCAGAAAGAATAAAATGGGAAGGGTGGACAAGTTCGATATTCACATCGAGACACCGGTATTCGGGAAGTGAGAGAATGGTACAAATTGAAAATTGAAAAGGGAAAAGGCAAGAAATGAAACGAGGACATTGAGACAGAAAGGAAAGGAGGACACGAAACTAATTACAACTAGAAGGAACAAGAGTAATTTTGCTGAGAAAAACGACTAGACGAAGCTGGAGAATCCCGTGGTGAGACTCGGAGTGGCCGGAATGTTCGCCCACGGACCCTCGCTCGTGCTTTCCGTTGTCGAAGATCGACCAGCGGCACTGCTCGGCTGACCAGTCAGAATCGGCGCTGAAATGCAGTCATTACGAAAAGAGCGGAGAAACTGGGGAAACTAACCTCTGACCATATCAGTATCTCTGACTTTTCGCCACGTATCTCTGTACTGGTCAGTCGAACCGTAATGCCTCGCAATGTCCTCTGGTCCGTCGGTCCGATCGCCTCGGATCACGGTATCATCGACACTTTCCACGTCTTCTTCTTCGTCGAACGAATCGTACGCTTCTGGTGCTTGTTGAGGGCTCTCCGGATTCTGTTGCTGTGATCCGGCAGATGAAGACGGAATGTGTCCAACGTACTCAACTCGTCCGTATTCCGATCTTGTTCCATACAGATCGGATCTCGTCGGCATGTACTCATTTCGTTCGCCATCAGATCCTCTGACGGATGAAGTGACATAGGCAGTGTTCTGACTTCGAATGTCCCTTCCCACGAGAGCACTCAATTTCTGCATTGCCTCGACGCTTGAATGAGGTGGGCCAGAGTTCGGAAGGGGCGGAATTACATCTGTCGCGAGTCCGTACATGTTCATCACTCCAGCACTGTTGCGTCCGTCGCCAAGCACACTTCCGTAGGTTGGTGGTTCGCGGGAATGATCAGAAAGCCAGGACTGTGTGGTACCCGGACGGGTGGGAAGCTCCCGACTACGTGTCATGTTCGCGGCTGAAGTTCCCTTCAGTTGAAATGATGCGAAGTTCCCGTCGGCCAGTTGGAGACTGTCGATCGACCGGGACCGCTTCTCCCGTCGGTACTTGGCAGAACTTCCGGTGACACAGAGGATGGCAACGATGATGACGATGAGAACGAATGCACCCATTGCAACGAGAGCCATGAACCACCATGTCGTGTAGAACGGATCATCAGGAATCGACTCGGGAACGAACAGCTGCTCCGTTTCAGGGCTAGCCAGTCCAACACCTGCAATAAATGGTTGGCCATGAATCTGAAAGAGTTAGAATGATACCTTTGACATTCCTGGTGAATACTCTGAAGACGTAGAAGCTAGATGGCTGTAGTTCCCTGTACGAGACATGCTCCTTCTCGCTTCTTCCGTCTGTCGGCCGCAATGTGATCCACTCTCCTATCGGATGTGTCGGCCGACTCGAGGAAGATGCCGCGGCGGTCTGAGCATCACTCTTCACTCCTTTGATCTCTTCTCTTCGGGGCCGTTGGGATACGTATCCGTTCTCAGTTTCCTCTGCCACTGCCACTCTCTTCGCTTGAATGAGATGTCCGACAATTTCATCCGAATTTGCCACATCGTTCCACGTCAACGTAACCGAACTTTGTCCAGAAGTGATTTGTGGTTTCGTCGGAGGCGCTGGTCCGTCTCTGCTCGGGCCAATTGTCACATTAGCTGACCTCGGCTCTCCCTTTCCAGCGGCGGTTTCCGCCCAGATACTGAAGTAGTAGGTAACTCCTTCGGCCAGTCCGTGAGCATCAAAGTAGTTCCGGCTAGTCCGCTGCTGATCTTCGTTCTTGAACTCTTCCTGCATACGGTATCCTTTGTAATTTACAATGTATCCAGTCACGATTCCATTAGGTTGTGCCGGTTCATCCCACGACACTTTGGCCGAATCCATGAGAACATCACTGAATCGGAGCACTCCGACTGGTCCTGGCTTGTCTTCAAGCGTCTTCTGCCGAACTTGAGACATCTTTCCTTCGCCAGCACGATTGTACGGGGAAATGGAGATCTGGTACTCGGTGAACTTGCGGAGATCGTTGAGAATACACTCGTTCGTATCCACGATCATCACTTCTTCCTCGCTGCTGACGGCCGAGAGAACTGAAGCGACCGGCACATAACGAACCTTGAAGGATGTGATCGTTTCGCTGTCTTCTTTCTGCCACGCATCCCACTTGGCTCTGATCGAAGAGGACGACAGAGGTTCGGTCATGATGTTAGTCACGTTTCGCTTCGGAATCGAATAGCCCACGTAGGCAAAGACTGGAGCAGAAAACGGACCTTCTCCTTCGGAATTGAAAAGCCGCATACGTAGAATGTAATGGCGGAAACTGTCAAGCTTGGCTAGCACCTTCTCTTCGGTGTCTCCATGGTCTGCACTGATCGCAATCTCCTCCATTTGCCAGGTTTCATTGGATGGATATTCGCGGTAATGGATACGGTATCCGATGACGTCACTGTTCCACGTTGATTTATGAGGAACAGTCCATTCTAGAAGAACGCTGTTCTTTTCGTACGGAGTTGCTTTCAGAGCAATTGGTTGCGCCAGTGGAGCAGCCGGAAGAGTTCGCATCCATTCGGATTCTGGAGACCACGACGACTCGAGGAAGTCGCCAATAAAGCGGATACGGAATCGGAACATTGAATTGGGAGACAGATGCTTGATGACAGCACGACGTTTCGAATAATCGAACTTCTTCTCCAACGTCTGCCACTCGTCCTCGTTCGTCTTCTGATAGGATACTTGCACAGCTCGGACTGGACTTTCGGCATCATCGGTCAGTTTTCTCGGAAGAGACTCATCCCATCGGATAGCTATTTCCGTTGCCAAGTGTTGTGATTGCGGATCTCGGACAGGCGACGGTGCATTCCTAACTGGCAGCCGCAACGATGACGTCATCACTTCGGCAACTGCTTCTTCGCTTTCTCCTTTGCTGTTTCTCGCTTTTATGGCAAACGTGTATTCGGTGTTCGGATTCAAACTCATTGCAGCGAACATGAGCAGATTTCCGAGGAGCGGCGCATCAATGGCCATCGTTCGGGGTTCGTGCGACTTCCAGTACGAAATAATGTAGTTCTGCAAAGAAAATTGAATTAAAGCAACAGATCTGAAACATTCTCTCACCGTGATTTTTCCGTTTGGCGATCCTGGAGGGAGCCATTTCATTCGAATCTCCTGTTCACTTATGAAAGAGCACTGGAAAGATTCGGGCGGAGCAGGAACATCTTCCAACGTTTCAAAAGTAACAGGTGCCGAGTTCTCCGGTCCATGTCCAACAATTGTATAGGCTGACACGTAGACGTGGTAGCTGGTGAAAGGACGGAGATTCGTGATCTTCGTCATCAATGTCGCCTGTCCTGGGACGTCTGCTTCGCGAGTCTCATCGGCCACCAATGACTCCCTTTCTGGCACCACTCGTACTTTATATCCGATGACGTCGCCGTTTGTCGACAACTCGGCCACTGGATCCCACTTTATGATGACTGCTTTCGAGCCTTCAGCGGTAGCGATGATGCTTCTTGGTGATCCAGAAGGAACACTTTCATAGGTTCTAGCCTTGACAGCATCAGTCGGCAGACTTCTTCCGAATCCATTCTCCGAGAAAACGTTCACTTCGTACGTAGTGAACGGACGGAGATCTGTGATTGTGTGCTCGCTCGATCGCAGGGCAGGTGTCCTCACTTCTCTCTGAAAGGAAACAGTCATAAGAGAAAGCTGAACTTCTTTTCGCTTACCCAGTTCTCTTCGTCAAGTTCCCTGTACACAATCAGATATCCTTTTGGTTGTCCATTCCAATGCGTTGCGAGAAGAGGAGTCCAAGAGACGGAAATCGATGTGGCGGATACGGGCTCTGCGAACAATCTGTGGCTCGGCGTCTCAGGATTCGTTTGGAGTGTTTCAAATGGACGTGACGCTTCCGACGGAGCACCTCTTCCTTTCACGTTCTCTGCAATCAACCGCAGCTGATATTGAGTAAACGGTCGGAGTCCTGTGACGACCACACTGCGAGCCTTCGGAGCACTGACGTTGAACAGATGAGAGAAGACACTCGAATCGGCCATTTTTCCTTCGACAATCCATTGTCGGATGGCGGTGTGTCCGTCGAATCCAGGAGTGAAATGCAGCTGTACGGAAGTAGCACTGATGTCACCGATCGAGAGCATCGACGGCCTTCCTGGCAGTTCCGGTGGCACTCCACTCTCGAACTTTGTCTCTTCGACTGGTCCGTCCCCTTTCTTCGTCGACGCCATCACATCAACTCCATAGCGCGTTGACGGTTGGAGTCCGTCGATTGTGAAATTGTTCGTCGATCCGTCCACTTCGTGCTTAGTCTTCACATCGGGAGAACTTGCCGCCCAATGGCGGATAGTGTACTTTGTGACGACTCCATTCTCTTTCAGAGGTGCGTTCCACGCGATGACTGCTCCGTTGTACATCACCTCCGCAATGCTCAAACCATCAACAGCTTCCGGAGTATCTTCTTCAGTCACGACCTTCAGCATATTACTCTTCGGACCGTCGCCAGGTGTTGTGAAGCATAAAACAGTAACATTGTAGTGTCCGAACTTCTCGAGCTCATCGATCTCAGTGCTCAGTTGTCTTCTATCTGGATCAAGGACAACTTGTTTGAAAAGCTCTCCCTTATCAGGCTCTCCTTTCCAGAATTGCACTTTGTATCCCAAATTGACACCCGGGATTCTCTGTTGCTCTGGGGCTGTGAAATCGACGGCGACCGCGGTTGAGTTCAAAACCTTCACACGAACATTTTTTGGAGCTTGTGTTGGCTCTGAAAAAGTATGAGACAGATTGATGAGATTAAGAGAGAAAAGACTCACTTCCTTCGGCAGTCGTCACTTCGATGCTCTCACTGAACACTCCGAGCCCTCTTTTGTTGTACGCAGCCACCTGGACCTCGTATTCCCGCCATGTGATCAGCTCGTCGACCAGTGTGTTTCGCGCATCTTTGGTTGTCAGATTCTTTTCATTCCACGAGAGAGAACTGTATCCGGCGAGTCTATACCGTACCACGTATCCGAGAACGTCTCCGCTGTCCTGTTCTTCTTTCGGCTGCTGCCACTGCACCATCACACTGTGCGGAGATCTCGCAGATGCGGCCACGTTTCTTGGTGCAGCCGACGGCGGCTGTTGTGGCATTGTGACACTAGACGATGGAAGGGAAGCCTTTCCGGGACCGTGCTTATTCGAGGCGACGACACGGAATTCGGCAGTGGAAGACGGTCGAAGATCCTCGATGTCCGCCCAGCAACACGGTTTTCCTTCCTCTTTCGGAATATTGTCGATGACCGTGCTCCAATCACTCCACAATCCCGTCGGCCCCATAGTGCGAATCTCAATCGCGTGCTTGATAATCGGTTCGTTTCCGTCGAATCCCTCATTCCATCGCACTCGTACTTTGGCCGGCATAGTTTCGTTGTGAAGTTCTGCACGCACTCGTTCTGGCATCGCTGGTTTTTCTGAAATTTATTCGTTTATCAATCGGTCTTCAGTCTGCTAATTCTCACCAATAATCTGCAACATGGCTGTGGCGCTCTCCTCTCGTCCATCTACAGTAACTCGGCACTTGTATTCTCCCGTGTTGTCTGGTCCAACTTGGCGTATAATAAGACTTCCTTTTCTGTTTCTCGAAATTCGCAACCCGGAGTTCCCGTTCACTGGGAGCAGCACCTCGTTTAGATACCACTCGACAGACGCTCTTCTCGTGTATTCCTTTGCCACTTCGCAGGAGAATTCGACGTTCGTTCCGATAAGACTCTTCTGGTCGGCGGGTCCGTACTCGATCAGCGAATCCCCGTTCACTTGCAAATTGGCCGTTGCTTTTATATCACTTCCACTGATTTCACACGTGTATTCACCTTCGTCCGACTTCCGCACGTCGTGAATTGTGAGTCCCTCACTGTTAACGTCGTATTTCACACTGTCCGTCTGAATTTCATGTCTATTCAGAAGCCAGATAATTCGTGGCGGAGGGCTCCCAGTTGCTGCGCATTCCAGTGTGACCATGTCGGTCCCGGAGGAGATTGTCACGTCCTTCGGAGTTTTCGTCAGCCGTTGGGAGGAGTCGATATCCGACGTGAACGGGAACAATTGCTCTTGGCTCTTGGAGTTGTCGAAGAATTTCAACTTGCGCGGCGGGGGTGTCTCCGCGCTGATCTCTTCTTCCAAACTTCGTCCATCCTCCGACATTCCCAACAGAACCGTCTCGTTCGCCTGCCCTTCTTTCAACCAGATACTCTTCAGATCGGCGCCCGCTTCGTTGCTCGCTTCGCATTGGTACAGTCCAAAGTCATCTTGCCTGATCCTGTCGATGGTCAATTTACCACGCGGAGTGTTCATCTGTAATTACCGGGATATAACGAACACATATACTCTATTTATCGCTATTGCCCCTCAGTGTTTGCAGACTCAAGCCAAAATTTCCTGAAATTAGGCTTGAGTCTGCAAACCCCGAGGGGCAATAGCGATAAATTGAGTTTACGTTGATAACTGATTACGGTAGTCATCCCCCCCCCCCCTTCCTGTCATTACTTTACAATTGAAGAGGTCATTTTGAATTCAGTCGTAGTGGGCCCCAATCTGGTGTTGCCCACTCTTTCTTCCCTGCATAATTATAACATATGGTCTCATCAAGTGCTTGTTTGTCCCTGCCTCTTTTGCTTCTCCATTCAACTTTTCCTCCCCAACCAAACAACAAAAATCGTCATCGATTTCTTCGTACAATAATCTCGGTCTGACCTTGTCCCGTGAATTCCGGAAACTGGCTTCGAGTACGTAATCCAGCACAATTAGTACGGCAAAGACGACGAAAAGTGGGAAAACGATGACGATGGATGAAGGATGGTGCGGAGAAAAGTAGATAATTGGATGGGCGAGAACAAGAAAAACCTCAGTCCAAATACTATTTCGACTACAACTTGGCACCACGCTGCCACGTCACACGCCCTGCTGATCGCTACTAATCCGTCCCTCTTAACATATGTATAACCTACTCCAATATTACGCAATTCAGACCACTACGAAGAGCGCATTAAAAAAATTCTCAAGTGGTCACTACTCAGTGGGCATTCTCTCATAATCCTCTTACTACTCACCAGCAGTCCGTTCTTGTACCACTTGATATCCGACGGACTCTTCCTCTTCACAGCACATTTCAGACTGACATTAGCTCCGACTGTCCTCAGCACTTCCTCCGGCAGATCTTTTAGAACTGGGCGGCTCACGAACGTCAGATAAAGCGCCTTTTGATCCGAAGTTCTTCCCATCGCTGCTTCCACTCGACACTCTAATTTGTGCTCTCCGCGGGTGAATCCAGACGGGTTCGAGATAATAAGCCGTCGTCCGTTCAAACTTGTTGTCATGCCGACTTCTGATCCACTGACTTGTTGATTATTGAGATGCCAACGAATTTTGACGTCGTCTTTGCTGCCGAACGAGGTGACACAGTCGAAGACTTCGTCGTGCGGAAGTGTGGATTCAACGATGGTTCGGTCGGTCGGAAAGAAGATTATCGACAGGGAATTTTGTAGAGAAGGACTGAAATGATTATTTTTATTGGAACGTGATGTCTAGATTCTCAAACTGACCTCAGTCCATTATCTTTGACTGTGTATTCTTTCGATACGATTTCTCGCAAATCATCACTGCTGGCCAGCAGTTTGTACGTTCCAAAGTCCTCTCTTCGCACCCCCGTCACCACGAAGTCTCCATCGGCGGTCACAAAGTGCGTGGCGTCCGGAGTGACCTACAACATTTCGAGTAAACAGAGATTCTCAAGTGCTCGTTGAGCAAGGTTTTTGTATAAAACTTGACGACAATCTGTTCGAACAAACAGCCGAGCACCAGCACGCTTTACCTGATTCGAGTCATCTTTGAACCAAGAATAGGAGACGTCGAGATTCCGAGAAGCGAGGAGAGAAGGCCTTCGGAGCACAAAGTGTCTGCCGATCCCCGTGGTGACCTCGTATTGCACAGACTCGTCCTTCGCGTCGAAGTCGTCCAGATCTGCAAAGTGCCAACATGTGGACTCTCTGATTGTAAATTGTCACTCGAACAGCTACTCTGGCGACCACCTGCGATGCAACCCTCCCTGTTTCTTTCCGCCGCGCGTTTTCTCCCTTCTGTCCGCCAACCGGCCGTTTGCGCATTCTCAACAGTTTGCTCAATTCGAACATGAGAAGCTGATTATATGGGGGGGAAAAGTGAGCCGGGCGATCCATCGCACTGCGCGCGCGCGCAAAACAAATTGCTCGGCGGTCTCTCCCGCACTGCCGCGCGCCGATCCATTCAAACCGCCATAAACACTTTTTGGAGCACACACACACACACTGCCGAAGGGGAACTCATCATCAAGGAGGTGTGTAGAGCATACTCGCAAAAGTGGAGCCGCGCGGTACAAAGGAGAACATAATGACAGCGGCGAAGATCTATTGGCGCCTCGTAAAGCGGGGGAACACATCTGTTCTTCGGACGGACGTCGTAAATTATGAGAAGCGCGCATTACTCGATGACAGGATCGTAATGTGCCCAGCATCTTGTGTTGTTAGTCTAGCCATTTGAACCGCAGCCACGTAGATTACTGCGCCGATCTTTTAGCTTCTCCCTCCTAGTCGCCCTCTTTTTTTGCAGCCAATACGCTCTTTATTATATGTATTCGTGTTGATCGAGCAAATATATATTTGAGGTGTTTGGGAAACATATACAGCCGTCGCCGACCCGACTTGCCGGTCACTCCTCGTACTTCGAAACCCGACACCTCTAAATTTGGACATTTTCCGGCGCCCCCTGTGTCTTGGTTTTTGCAGCAACAATGCAGTGTGCAAACATGCGTCAGCTATCCGCTACTAATCAGTTGTACTTGTGAAATCAAAACAAGCGAAAGGGCAACGTTCCCTTTGAGAGGGAAAGCAGTACTAATCGAGCGGCGAATCAGGTCAAATGACTCAGACTTGTGACAAGCGAGAGAGACGGAAATCGAAATTGAATCGACGGAATTAATGAAAAAAAAAACGCTTACATTTGGACTTAACCATAGACGACGGCGAAAGTGCAGCGCCGACAGTGTTCCGCGCCACGCATCGATACTTGTTGGCGTCATTCGCTCGTGAAGCAGTCACTTCGGCAAACCGTGTGCTGGAAACCTTCTCGCCTCCAGCGTCTCCGATTCGCCATTCGTACTGCTCTGCCAGATCGGCATCTTCGCATTTCAGTCGAATTATTTCACCTAGAGAAAAGAAAGATTCGTAAATTTCGATCGTTGCAACAAAGAACTCACCTTCCACGGCTACTTTCTGTTCGGTTACCACTCCATTTGGGAAGATAGGCGGTTTGCCGAGCACAAGTTGTGTGTCCGCCACGGAGCACAGGGCCACAGTGGCGAACAGGAACAGTAAGACGTGGCTCATCGTTCCTCCATGTGTGACTCGCCGCGTACCGATTATCGCCTCTTTCTTTATTTCGGTTGACGACACGGTGATCTGAAAGCGGTTGGGATTAGTGAGGATCGGAGAACAGACGAATTCAGGAATCCAGGAGACGACGGATGGCGAACCAAGTACTATATAATCAAGAATAAATCGAAGAAGAGACCAAATTGGCGCCTTTTCACACTTCTGCACTAGTGGAGAAGAAGAAACACACACAAAAGTTGGCTTGCGACAATTCCACTTCTGCTGTCACTTTTTTGGACACCATCGGCCCCCTCTTATATATGTATAATATCCTGCCTTCTGTGCCTATTTGAGATTGCATATGAGGCGTTGGTCAATGGGAAAAAAGTGTGAAATGATACGGAAGAAGGAATAGAGATTTAGGCAGAGAAAGCGAGACAGTCTATTGAGGTAACCTATTCTTTTGTGATGTAAAAGACCTCCGGAAGATGATGTGGTAGTGATGGCCGGTAGTAGTAGTACACACAAGATACTACATGTGATAAGCGAAAGGAGGAGGAGGTGACTAACAACACAGACGGACGGAGGGAAAGGCGCCGACGGATGGACGGACGGACACCCACGAGGAGTGGGAAGTGGGCGGGGCGACGCGGTTGGAGAAGACGCTTCGAAGGCAGACCATGTGGCAGCATCACGGTGGAGTGGCACGGATCATGGGCAGGAAATTAATGTATTCTAATGGGGCTCTAATGAGGGTTACCTCCAGAAGAGTCAGATTCTGAGGTTTGAAAGAGGAGGAGAGAGGAAAGAATGAGAAAGAGAGAGAGAGAGAGAGAAAGACAATAGTGTTGAAATGCACACCGGCGCCCCGATAACACCGTCTTTGTTTACCATTTGGAGGTTGAGGCGGTCGAAGCAAAGGAAAAGGAAACGAAGAAAAAGAAGAAGAAGACTGATATGTGAGTGAGTGCATTTGGAGGGACTGCGAACTGGTTGGGTGGTCTGCTGTCTGGTTGCACAACCGGATAAACACAAGGTTCAATCTTACACAATATCTTAGGGATGAGTCATTAGACGTCCAGAAACAGGTGTATGAAAAGTAGCAAAGAGAGAAGCAGGAAGAAGGAACCGATGACCCAGAACCGATGGGTTGACGGTAATCGATCGAAGAAAATTAATGAAATGAATTCGTACGTTAGGACGTGGAAACGAAAACAATTTACTAAAGCATGCAGCATGCTACGGAACTGAACTGTCAATGAGTCAATAACATAGTGACTAATATGCGCGAATGAGAATGAATGGCACTCCCGAACGTTCATTCCCATCTCAGGTGTCGGAATGCCACGGAGAAGGCGAATTGACCTCAGTCAAGTGCCGCGTCGAATCAAAGCGGGATCAAGTAGGGGGGGCGGAAAGACGGTACAGATCAAAGAGTGTGCGGTAATGGAAATTGCGTTGCTCTTTCTTTCCGCATTTGCGTAATGTTGCTGGTTGTTTAGAATGCCCTTTTCAAAGGTTGGTTGAAGCCGGACAACTAATAGCTCGTCATGGCAACATTCGGGCCGAATGTCAAGTACGAAAATCGTAGAAAAGGGCACAAAATATGAAAGTACTGGGACATAACGCAGCAAACGATCATCAAGGGAATTGGTGGAAAAGCTGAGGGCGATGACGAGCGGACGAAGACGGCGACAATCATCGGACACTTCACACGCCTCTCAAGGAGTTCACTCGTTTTTGAGCAAGACAATTTTAGAACTATATGTATAAGAACAAGGATGTGAATGGGCACATTATAAAAAATTGTACACTTTACAAAGAATAATAATGGAAAAACATTGAGTGAAGAAGAGGGGAGAGTGGGAGAAAGACAAGGTTGAAACGAGGAGAACACTGGCCGTTCATTATTCTCGTCTCTCCGTTTTTCCCTCCGTCGTTCCTACTATTTCTTTGACAAAAGTACGTCGTTTCCCGCTCGCAGCTGTGCTTGCTTGCTCGATGAAAAATTTGAATAACCCAGGCACGAAGATTTTTGGCATTTCTTCGCATAAATATGGCGATTGAATGCGGGGGTGAAGCTAAAGCAAAAGACGAGGGGAAGCGGACGTCTTCTCGGAAAAGTAAGTCACCGCGGGTCGCGGGATAGCCAGATCATTATCTACATAAGAAAAACTAGCGGGCGCCCGGCGCGGCTAGTTACCAACTACTGAATCTGATGAAGCGACGGAGATTCGAAGAAACTTTTCGGAGCGAGGATTAGCCAACAAGATGGACGCGATGCTTCTCGTTCATGACTTTCATTCTCTTTTCACTATTATGAATTGGTAGAAAGTATCTATCGAGACTAATCCTCGTCGAGGGGAAACAGAAGACGAAGACAGTCTAAAGTCTAAGCAACTGTAGACATGCCAATTGAAGCGGCGAGACTTCAAAAGCTAAGGTGGGAGTGGATGAACGTCCGAAATGGGAACAGAACACGAGGGATTCTTTGCTTCTTTTTTGAATGGGTTAGCAAATTGGATGAGGTTTCGAACAAGCGCCGTGACGAGTGACCAGACAGAAGAACGCAGGAATAGGAAGGGATGAGAGGAACGAAGATTAAAAGAAGGAACTAGTAGAGAACGCGCGAAAACCATAATATCTGAGAGGGAAGGGGACTCTCTGAGGACGGGAAGCTCAACTAGATACTCTCCGGTGCTCCTCCCGCAGGTAGCGGGATACCGAGAGATACGCGCGGATACGTCTGACCGTGGAGACGCAGAAAGTGGTACAGAAGAGTGTGCGCGAAGAGCCGGCTGGAGAGCAAATATGGTCAAAACCATATATGACAGTGGGTGGACGAAGAGGCTAACAACATTGGTAAATGGACGCGGACAGACGCTGAGGTAGCGGATGACCGGTGGACGGAGGGACAACAGACAGGTTACCTGTCGTTGTTGTGTGCGATACACGCGGCAGAAGAGGAGAACCCCCGACAGACGGACGGCACCGCACTGTCCGCAGCACTAAATCCCGCCGGATCGCTTTCAAAAATGCAGGCACCCGTTCTCACCTGCCCCATTTTCGCAATAACTATAAATCCTATCGCTAATGGATTTTGACCTCGAATCGGCCTTGTAGAACGCTTCTAACGGAAAGAAAGTTCGTCGTCGTTTCGATCACTATTTACGGCGAGAACGGAAGAAAAAGGTCTGACTAGAACGAAAAGAAAATTTGATGGGCCGATAATGTGTTTCGAGGTGAAGCCCTGAAGAGGACGGATTTCGTATACGACGAGAGCGTCTTGTCAATTTGGGAAATGAGCAAAAGGACGGGAAGAGGACGATGAAGTTGTTGTACTGAGAGACGTCTTTCTGCGGAAATTCACTTGAACATTTGTGAAAGAAGAACTCGAGAGAATCAAAAGCTATTCACAAAAAGAGTTCCAGAAGAAATATCAGAAAATGGGTTGGCGACAACAACTAGTCATAACGTTAGAGATGCAGGAATAAACAAGCTTAAATTCTGTAGAATTCAATTTTTCTTTATACACTGCAGTCAGTGCACTGAATCATAGAAAAGAAAAGTTTTGTTGGATAGAATTTCGAAATTAATCGATACGGAGTTAATTAGGAAGGTAACCTCGCGCTAACTAGGTAGATAAACCAATAATCCGAAAGGAAGAAAGAAAGACGAAAATTCGACACGGCGGTGAGACCCTGGCGGCCCACCATCCTCCGACCGTCCGTCATTACGATCAAGGCCATCTGAAGGAGAAGGAAAGGTGACGGCGAACGAGTGCCGTCGCTCTTCGCCATTATTGGGCCGGTATGTGGGATCGGAGAGGATGGCGTGCACACCGACAATCAGGTGTTCGCTTTCCTTTTGTCGACCTGATTACGATCTCGTTCGAGAGCGAATTCCGCTTCTGTGTTTTTTCGAATTAGGGCGAAAGTTCATCGGAATAAAGGAATAACAATAATACCGGGCAAGGGATGACGGAGCGGATTGTCGTCGGACGCAGTAATTGTTATTGTATGTTGCGTCAGTAGAGGAAACAAATTGGCGTGCGCACCGATAAGTAGACGGGTCAGACGGAGTTTTGCGCTCTTCCTCCTCCGTTCCTTTAATTGAGCGTTGCAAGAAAGATTCGAAAGGAAAATTAAAAGGAGAAACGGATTGAAATGGAAAAGTTAGAGGGGACGAGAACCACAAAACAAATTCGATAATTACCGAAACTTTCGCCCCACAAATACATGTGATGAAGTGAGACGGTGATGGATTCGTGTCGGATGTGCGGTAATAACTTAATTAGTTCACTTGGAAGATTCTAGACATGCTATTCAGACGGTTTGCGCAACCTGGAGGACTTTCTTTTCCGATGGCAGAGAACTGGCTGAGAATTCATAAACAATGGAACGAAATAGTGATATTTAGGGAGTGACAGGCGTCAATTTTTCGAAAGTGTGATTGTCTGATGGAAGAGCGGGATAATTCGAATTCGCGCGCAAATGAATCAGTCAAATTGAGCGCGACCGTAGCGCAGTTATTAATAGTGTGAGAAAAAAGTATGTGGTTGAACGACATAAACAACAGCGAGTAATCCTCACAACGTAAACAATCAAGAAGCGACTTTATTGCTAAAAAGAAATGATCGGTTGAAAGTGGGAAGAAAACAAACAAACCGTGAGAAGATTGAAACAGGCGTATTTGACACGTTGACCCGATTAGATAGACGGTGGGAGCACCGTAAAGACAACAACTGAAATTAAATATTAGGGAAACTTATTATAGGCCAATTAAATCCATTATGTTAACGAGAAGCTACTTATTATCACTAAATTGACAATCAAAAGTTGAGTAGATTCTTCATGCCCTTCAAGATACTTTTCAGGCCTTTCGTGTTCGGTGATCCGTGGTGAAGGGCCTCACAAAACTTGGCCGACACATCTCGATAAGTGTCCGGCGCTACGTCGCTGACTGCTCGAAGGCGAATCGTTACTTCCGAACCTGAGATTGCGATTGTGAAGGAAATGGTAAAAACTGAGACTAACTGAATGAAGCGACTTGTCGATCGAAAGTCGGCTTATGTTCGACGTTGAACGGATCTCTCGGCTTCAGTCGCAGCACTTTTTCGAGTCTTTGCTGAACTTTGGCCACTCTCCGTCCGCCTTCCTCCTTCTGCAGGCTCGTCAGCATCGAAACCATTAGAAAGACTGAAAATTTATAACTATGCAAATTTATTATTTTGAAAATGGTACCGTATGGATCCTGAGGTCTCCGAATCGATTTCAGATTCGCGTATTGATGAGATTCGAGCTCAAATTCATCTCGGATTTCCTTTTCACGACACTCGATGCAGCACGCTCTCGACTTTGGAGTTCTTTCCGTTTCTTCTGACTCTTCTTCGCCACCACTGTCTTCTCCGATCACTTTATTCATCATACTTGTTCCTTCCGCTTCCTCTGCGCTGGATTCTTCCCGTTTCGGACGGTACGGTTTGGCGCCATTAATGATTGTTGTGATTGAAGAGACGCTGCTGGAGGAGGAGTATCCGGAGGAGGAGCTCTTGCTCGCCAGACTCCATTTCTTCGTTGCTGAAGATGACGTCATACTGTTTCTTTTCGGATATCTGCAAAATGATACGATGAGATAGGCAGTTCGGTAGGCCACGACTCACCGATATTCGATCGGAAGTCTGCTGCCGAAGTCCCTTCTCAAATGACGGTGCTTCTGGGACTCATCCCGTCTTCTCGGAGTCGTGCTGATCGCTGAGGTGGTCGCAATCTCTGCGTACGTGTTCTCTATTTCAGCGTAAGTCTGGTCCATGACTGAAAACGACACGGTAATTGTGGAAGAGCGACACTAATTGGGTAAGAAGTCATGACGAGGGCAGAGAGGGTGTCATAGATAGACGTCTAATTGGTATGAGATGGTAGTAGGGTGAAATGCGAGACGAGTTCACCATCGGTTTGACCTATCAAACACTGCTGATATACAATGAACACAGAGAAGAAAAACTGCGAACGTTGTTCAACTTTATTTTCGAATTTTCAGCAAAATGAGTGAAATGCTCACCGGAAACGATCTAGAAGTTGAGAGAAACAGGTTTTAGTTCAAAAACAGAAAATATATAGCTTCAAAATAAGATAACACAAGATAATGGAGTTGATGATCATAAGGCTACTATCAGAATAGCTTGAAAAAATTAGTAAGGTATCAACGTTCCATCAATAATGGAATACGGCCAACCACTGCGCCGAGATCATTGCGCAAACCAATGGGCCCATTCGGACAGCCGATGGGCGAGTGGTTTTCTGGCCCCGCCTCCTCTATGAGCGCAGAAATAGAGGAGGCAGAGACGAGGAATGTCAGAAGTATGAAGAAAATTAAGTAATTTGGGACGAGTATAGATTACTGATAGAGAAACTAACTTATATCAGTTGAATATTCATAGTAAAACGAGGGTATGAAAATAGATTATTCGAATATGACCTGCGCAAAGTACTAGGTCTGGGTACCAATGAACGCAAGTTTGTCACACCTGCGACCAATGAGTTTGGGGGAATGAATGGCGTAATGGATATGTGCAGGTGTGAACTCATTCCGTGAAATGACCTGGATACATTCGCGTAAACCTGACCTGGGCGGAGATGTGGCAGTTTTGAAGAGATCTTTGAGTGTTACGGTGAAAACCTGGTGTCTAGAACACTCAACTGAGAACGGATGTTGGACAATTCGAGACAAGCCTGTCACCTCTGGTCCCCCTAGACCGACTAGAAGGGGAGCTTGAGACGAATTTATGAAATACTGACGCAGACACAGTAAACGGTATGTACTCGTTACATTTAAGATGAGAGAGTTTGCTCTACCACCCACTTTGGTCGACTGCCTTTGATCGTTCGGTTTTCCGGAGATTTTTAGCTCGTGCACACGACCAATTACACCGGATTACGGTCGCAATCCCAATTCGCACCCTTTCTTTGCCTTCTTGGGAACCGTCAGATAACGCCTCGACTGTAGCCACTTCCCAAGTTTGGTCAACAAGAGTGCCGCCCAGCGTATTTGCGAGCGGATTGGCTGACTTTGCCTGGATTGGCACGTAAATATAAACAAACGCTTCCTGCTTAGGGCGCGGCGCGCGGCGGCATATAAAATCGGTAGGAAATGCTACATTTCGGACTGATTTCCGAGTTTCGCTCTTATTTGTCCGTTTCGACAACATGCTCAACACAGTGCTTATCATGCTTCTCGTGCCGACGGCAGGTTTTGGTGCCAGATACAGTAAGACTGGCTGTGGTGCGGAGAAACGTTGGAGTAATTCTGAGAACTTTAGATTCTCATCTTGTCAAAGGTTGGTCTAATTCTGATTGTGTTCGCCCTTGGCAACAAGCTCAGATGAGTAAGCCGACACTCAGAATCCCGTCTAGAGCAATTGAATGCCATCCAGAAGATCACGTAAGTACAAAGAAGGAAGGAGAAAACGAATGAAAAAGACGTTCAGAATTGTCCTGCCGGAAGGAATCCAGTATGCCAGTACTCCATGCGCAGTCAGAAATACGTGTGCTGCGAAGACAAAAGGGATGCCGACATTCCGAGTGAGTCGGCCGTCGGATGTGCGATATCTCTTGACACATAACCGCCCTCCACGTGTCAAAGAGATCTACCGCCCTTTCCGGTTCCGCCTAGTCACTCTTCCCATTGCAGCGTGCCCCAAATACTACGAAACACTTCTGCTGCCATGCGGGAGTTCCGTTGACTCTCAGTGTCCACGTGGATATCGTTGCCTCGGCAGTCTCGGTGACGATTCCATAAAACTATGTTGCAAGCCGAACAGAACGCTCGAGTACAGAGAGCCAGAGCACAGTGGGTTGAACTGAAGTGGCGGTGTTGCTGACAGACGGTTTTCAGCGTTCCGCGAGAATCGAGTAGTGCCTCGTCTTCTTCCCGTCGCGCCTGCTCACGAATTGATTGTGGGACTCTTTAGACGGATAATTTTATAAGACATCGAAAATTGCAGGCAACTTTCAACGATGAACAAATCTCTATGGGACAGTTATTCGACGCTTCCGTGCTTGAGAGACTTGCGGATCCGCCAGTAATGACCGCGGGAGTAGAACTTCAGGACGAGAAGCTCTATACGATCATACTCGCCGGTTCGTTTCACGTTTTCATATAATTCAAAAACGATCATCTACAGATGCCACATCGAAGTCGGTCACTTGGCTCGTCGCAAACATCGCCGCTTTTGACGGACAGCTTGAAATTCACAGAAGAACAAAATCGGCTGTCTCTTATCAGCCACCAGACTCAACTGACAAGCCAGTTGGTAAATACGCGCGTTTTCTCATTTCAAAAACCGCTATTTCAAATGCTTTCAGGAATGCATGTCATGATTTTAGCTCTTTTTGAGCAGAATGACACGTGGTCGCAAAAGGATTTGGCTACGATCGGATTGGACGAGTTTTCGTTTGGAGAATGGCTGGATGAGTACGCGCATATTCTCCCGAACAGACCTCTGGCAGCGACATTTTACGGATATTCTACGAGAAAAGACGACAGAAAGAGAATTTAAAATCATTTTTGACAAAAAAGTTCAAATTATTTATTGCCAAATCCCATTATCACTCAGAACATAAAGTTGATCAAACCCGTTTTCAAAAACACGCCGGAAAAAAGTTTCATATGATTTACGATAAACAGCGCGCCGCGCCGTTATTTCGGAACATCGTAATTCACTCTTGTCTTTACTGTTCCCGAATATTTATTCAAACTTCAAAAGCAGGGATGCTCCGTGTTTTTCGACGTCTTCCAGTTCAAAGATGTCTTTGCACTGTTCCGCCGAAAAATCCCAACATTCACCGTACAAAAGATCAGCGAGATGTGACGTAAGAGACTGTTATCCAAAAAAAATAACGTAATTGAGCAGTTGTTTGAAGAAATATGGATTTGCTCGAGGAGCGAATTCGTCAAAACACTGTCAAGAACCGTGAAATCGAAGTCGAAGGTCAAAAAATACAATGGGCGTACAGATCCGAGGTGAACAGCATCTTCTATATCACTTTCAATCGCAGCTCATTCTTTCAGCTTGTCGGTCGCCATGGTCTAGACAAGAATCATCGGAACACGTGGATCGCCTATCTCGTAATCATCTTTGTCGGATTCGGTGCCTTCGTAGCTGTCAAATCGCAAGTTGTGATGGGGCGGCGACAAGAAATGGACGCCCGTGAAGCACTGCGAAAGGAATTGCAGTTGAGCGGCGACGCCCGGAAAAAGATTGCAATTGTCAATTGATTCTGTTTTTATTTGTTCGAATTGCGGGTGATCATATAAATAGATAGATTCGTAGATCACAAATAAAATGTCTTATTTTCATTTTCTGCTTGCGCAGTTCATAGGTCCTAGGCCTATTCTATCTCTTCATTCTTTGAAGATGGGTGTTTGAGTTTGAATGTTTCAGGATGATGAATATTGGTGATAATGTGCAAATCGCGGGTTGTTCTACGAAAAGACGTCTTCTGGAAACGTCCAGTGGCTGTCAGTCGTTTGATACTCTTATCGGCGGCGCTCTCATCAATTCGAGTATTGTTCTCATCGGTACGTCCGTCTTTTTCGCGTCTTCTTACGATTCAGTATCTTCAGATGAATACCGGACACGCTGTTATGCTTCTTATCTGACTCGCTCATTCCTTGCGGATGGCATCCATCACGGACATCGCTGCTTCATTGCCGATCCTGCGAACGACCCGGAAGAAACCATTCTGAAGAAGATTCCAGTGAGAAAACATGAAGGGTACGTGACATCAGCCTGACGAAAAGTTCGAACCGTTTTAAATCTTAGAGAAACTGTCGCGGAGCAGAAGAACGATCCGACGACAGAAAGCGGAATGAAAATCGCGTGGAGATACGAGAATACGAAGAAAGTTTCTTCGTCGCTAGGACCAGCAAGTGACGAGAATGCGTACAATTTCGCAAAGTTCGTGGAAAGTCCGAATGTAGAGGTGTACAAGGAAGAAAAGATCTCATTGAACGGACTGTACAAACGACTCTGTGATATTGTGAGGGAGGAAGAAGCGCATACGAAGACCAGTGGAAGGGGCGGTCCGAAAAAAAATCTTCTGCGAGTCGTCATTCAGAATATCGATCTGGAGATGTGGGAAGACTTCGACTCTCTCGGAAAGTTCCTTTGTTGTCTTCGATCTCTAGCGCGCGCCAGCTACATGGTCGTTTATTTAGTCGCCAACTCGTACAGAGTCGCTAAGCCAACGTGGCGCCTTCTGGAGACGACGGCCGACGCGCACGTGCAACTGATGCCATTCAACGACGAGGAAAAGAAGCTGTTCCGGCATCTGGGCAGTGCGCATGGCTACTTCCATCTGAAGAGTCTTCCACGTCTCATGTCCGTCGGAACTCACACTCCACCTATTCTCGACCTAATTTTCGAAGGAAGCTCCCGAAAAGGGCTCCAAATTCGCGTGATGCACCTGCCGCCTGCTTTCAATGAACCAGTTCCTGGACAGCAGAATACTCCCACTTGCCAAAACATTGATTTCTGATATTGAATAAATAATTGAATGACTAGTCGGTTTATTTCGATTTATGCTGCAAGCGGTAAAGCGGAAGTTGAATAGAGCGCTGATAAATTATGAAAAAGAAATGGATATACACGAATTCAGGGAAACCTATTCAGATCAGAGCCACTTTTATGTGAGCGGTGAGAATGCGATCGATTCCCGACTCTTCCGGTTTCAGAACCTTTTCGCTGGTTGCCAGAAGACTGAACGACCCATCCTGCTTGTAAGTGATGACGAGATCCAGAATCGGAGTACTGACAGTGGATTCAGAAGGAAGGACGTCCAATCGAAGGCCGACTCGGTTGTGCCGACGGAACACGATCACTTCACTGAAAGCATTGAACTATTAGAAATGGACTTTAATCGTTGGATATACCTTTGCTCGGCTGGAACTCCCGGAACAGCAGAGGCGTCCGCGTCTTTCGAAGAAGGCAACAGAAGCTCAATGGGCCCATTTGTGCACTGAATGATCCCTTCTCCTGATTGTGGGGTAATGGTCATTGTCAGCGGGGAAAGCGACAAATTGGTGAGGGAAAGGAGGACATGGGAAGTTTCTCCGGCTTTTAATTCGTCCATTGGGCGGGACATTCGGATGTCGGGTACGAATTCACGGCCGAATGACTGAAATGAGAAGGGAATAGGGAGGGAACAAATTGGAGTTACTCACAGATATCTTGAATTTGTATGTGGAAACTCCGAAGTCTCTTTTCACGAGCGTTCTCTCGCATTCGTCGCATCGTGTGAGCGTCCGTCCTTGCAGAGAGACTTTGACTGGAAAAAGTGATTCCGAAGCATTCGTTAGCGGCTGCATTATGAATTGGTCTAGAGTTCGAAGAAGATCAGATCGGTCCTGCAGCTCTTCCTCCAGAGTTGGAGCCTCGATCGGAGCATGAGGATCCAGAGGCTTCAGCTCGGGAGCCATCATTTTCCGTCTCTTCTCTACCATCTGCTGCATTCCGTACTTGTCTTTCAAATGCAAGGCTGACCACGTCCTACTCGATTTCGCCTTTTTCAGATCTTTGGGAGCGTTCTCCACCATTTCCAGTTGTTTCATATAATTAGTAACTTCGTTCAGTTCCGTCGTCAATGAATTCTCTTTTCTGCAATGAAAAATGATAAAATCAGTCCGCGGAATGACAACATACACTGGCCACTGTCGGACGTTTTCCCGGTCTTCTTGGTCTGCATCACGAGTTGACCAACGGCAATTTTGACAGACCAAATAGTACTTTTCATTTTCAGAGCGAGCACTCAAAACATTCGCTGAAGCGTGTCAACTTTCAATATGCACCATCGTTCAAAAATAAGCCTACCACAATTCGGGCAGTCATTGCAATTTGTGCAGCGATGCTTCTTGAGACGGGCTTCCGGAGCACTGGACACCTCCAGACATCGAGGACAGAAAATCATGTCAATCTCCTTGCAGCTGCAGTCATCGCACCTAAAACTTTCTGTTCTGACAGTAAAAACTGAATACTAATCTCACTTAATCTTGAAGCAATGCCTACAGAAAAAGAGATCCGGGAGAGTTCGCCACTTGCCGCAACTGCATTCGTAGGTGACTTTCGAGTACTGTAGTAACGCACTCATTTCTGCAATAACAAACGGGAAATCAAATCTTGGGCACACGTTTTGAAAACTAAGAAGATAGAGTAAAATGCTTTCGCAATGTTTCCCGAGAATAGTAGCCTAAAAAACCATATTTCCGAACAGTGCAAGTACTTTAAATTGATATTTATAAGAAGTACGTTAATCAAAAATGCTTCTGCGTTTGTTAATTTCAGCTCAAAAATGAGTTTTTCTGAGAATTAAGTTAAAAATAGAGGTCCCGTAGTAACCAAACACCACACTTTACGAGCAACGGCCGAACAAACACTGACGGGGACTAGAAAAAACCACTCTCGGACTCCTCTCGGACAAACGGAAAAAACATGAAATCGAATGAAATTGTCTTTAAAAAAGTAATTACAAAGTTGAGCTGGTGCATTTTTCGCTCTATTTCGCCTTCATTTTTAACTCAATATTCTTCAGCGTTTTGTTCCTGATCAACTGAGAAAGCGCTTAGCGAAAGTTGTAAATTGTTCATCAGTTAACTATAGTTCTTAGGCAACGTTTTTCAAAAATTGATTATCTAGGAAGGCTCTTAATAAAATAATCGTTGCACAGGATTTCTCGTAGTCTTCAGAAGCCCGTTCAATTCGCGCCTTCTTTCGATATGAATATAGAATGCCAACTGTCCAAGTGTACACTTAATCCAGTAAGCAATCAAGTGTTCAGTACAATAAAAAAAACAGAACGCAAATTCTTTATAGAAAAGTCTGAAAAGCGAAGGAGTAACAGCAGAAATGAAGGGAAACGTCCAACCGGGGGACCATAGGCTTCTACACTAGAACGGACTATTCAGCTGACGGATAGATTTCTGTTTTTGACTAAGCGACACCTGGAATTGATAGAAGAAACAGAGAAGTTTGACCAAAGCAAACAGGGGAAAGTTGCAAGTATAATGATGAATGACAATGGAAATGAGTGCTTCGAGCATGTGGGAAAGGACTGTCATTTGGATGCGAATGAGAAGAAATGGGAAGGGACCGAGAGAAAGAGAGAGAGAGAGAGAGAGAGAGAGAGAGGGAGAGAAAGAGAGAGAGGGAGACAATAACTTATGTATAAAGTATGTATAAGAATATGTACAAAAAGAGGAGAGAAAGGGCAAGAATGTTAAAATCTCTGTACGGAGGGACAGTCTAATTGATCAGTTGCAGGAGGTCATCACAGTTTAATTCGGACAGACTCATGTCGTTCTGGAACGCGTCGTCGTTGTCGTCCAACATCGGAAATGGCGAAGAGGACAGCTGAAACTATAGAAAGTTATTAGAGGAACCGAGGGAGGGACAGCTCACCATGGGCGGCGAGTAGCCGGCGTTGAGCAGGGAACTGCACGAGTTCGAGTGCGGAAGGTACGGTCCCGTTTGGGCGAACTCGTCGTTCGTCTGCGTCGCCGCGTCGGTCTTCTTGACGCTAAACCTGCGGTCCATCATGGGAGGAGAGATGCTCTGCAAACAGTTTTTGCATGCTTATCTTCTCGGTTCGGAGGAGCAGTTTTAATGGGTTTAAAGTTAATTGATAAGGGAAAAGTGCGCACCTCTAGGCTAATTTCGGCCGGATTCTCAAAGAGCGGAGGACTGATACTGCTGCTGATGAGCTGATCATCGAAAGTTCGGTCGCCGAACATCTCCGCCAGAAGATTGTCTCCGCTCGCTCTTCCTCCGAGCGCCTGACAGAAGTGCATATTCTCGGACATCAAGCCGGAAAGAGTCTGAAGAAATTGAGTGGCTGAGAAGAGTGGGATGAGTTGGATACCGTGATAGTTGGGAGAAGAAGGAGCAGGTTTCCGAACCGGCTGCTGGCCGAGTATATCGGATGGAGCTCCTTGACAATCTGGAACAGCATGTCTTGCACTTTGTCCCTCAGCTCCGAAATGGCGTGTCGCGCGTGATCGGAAAGTCCCTTCGAGTTTGGATTCAGAATAATAATGGCCTTCAGTGGCACGATCTCCTCTTCCTTCAAATTCAGTTTCCGCAGTGGAGCCACCAATTCATTCAAAGTGCGGTCAATGAGGAAGTTGGAGAGATGGCTGAAACTATTCATTCAAACTTAAACACCCCCAACGGGAACTCACTTGGTCTCGTTGAACTCTGGCGGAAGACGTCTCGGCACGTAGGAATGACTGCATAAACACAGAATATCCGGGTTCTTCGTGTTCTGAGCAGTCCGGGCGGAGAAGTTGAAGATGGTGAGCGGGGAGTAACAGCTCTTCACGAGTGCCACTTTGTCCTCCGTGTCGACGGCATCTGCGATCTCGGTCAGCGAATCGACCCAGTCGACGGCCGCGATGGCTCTTCTGTGGGCGATCACTCCGAGCTCCTCAGTGCGTGCCATCCGGAACGGTTCGTATCCAATCTCCATCCGCCGGCCGTCCATCGCTGGCTTCGACTCGAACATTTCACGCAGCGAGATACTCTTCGGGTCCTTTGCCGTGTTCTGGGCGCTCATATTGTTGTCTCCTTTCACCACTTTGTCCTCGATGCTCATCAGCTGCATTAGAAGAATTCGCGTCTCGACCGGTAGCTTTCTGGACCAATCGTCCCCTTGTAACCTCATCTGAAAACGATAATGAGTTTGTGCACTTCTTCGGCTGAAAATACCATATGATTGAGAAGTTCCTCGTCGATTTGCTTCTTCTTTATCCTCGGAACCTTCTGTTTCCCCGTCTGATCTCTGTCTGGCCTCACTGCTTTCGGGTCCATTCCAGCCTCAATGCACCGTTGGAATCGACAATACCGGCAGCTGTTTCGATGAACTGAAAGCGGAACATGAGTCTCGAGTTGAAAGTTGAAAGTTGAAAGTTGAAAGTTCAATCTCACATTTGTCGACGATGCAATTATTTCCAAATCGGCACGCATACCGATACTTTCCAGTCAACGTCCTTCGGAAGAATCCTTTGCATCCGTAGCACGCGAGTACCTGAATTTCCTCTCTACATCTCCGTCCTACTCTCCCCGCCTACTCACTCCGTAATGCAACTTGGCAATTCCGTCTCCACACACCGCGCACACCGAATCGCCGTTCGACGGTCCGCCCGATGGTCCGCCCGACTGTTTGTTGTCGGCAGTTCGGATGACGTATGACGTGGCAGGCCCGTTCGAAGACGTTGCACTCAGTTTCAGATCACGCATCATCGGAACTCTGCAAAAAACACTTCTGGTGAATGGAATGTCCTTGAAAAAATGATCTGTTGATCTTCTATCGATGATTTCTGCGTTAATGGACACAAAGCGGGTTTCCTTTTCTTGCATTTTTCAGGTGATACGCAAAAGAGTGGTATTACGGTCCGATTTTCGAAGACTTTCAAATTCGTGTCCGTGATAAGTTAATGGGCGGAAATTTCGAAAATCAGAAGTTCAAAGAGCATTTCTTGGAGATGTGCAACTCATCGAAACAGGGCTACAAGTGCACAATGATCAGTTCGAAAAGATAGTGGCCAAAGAGCCGAAAAGGACTCGTAAAAAGATCAGAAACTGTCGAATGTTGCCGAGAAGCGGTTCAAAGTACGAGAAAAAGCGGCTGGAGAATGCGTCATCGGCCACGTGGAAATCAAATTGCATTGGCTGGGGGAATACCCGATACCCGTATTCGTCTGAGACGATAATATTACAAAACGGTGACATTGAAACACAGAAAAAGGAGGAGGAGAAGGCGATTTACTGATAACACGCTCGCAGACTGATGGCGGACAAGAAGGAGAGGAAGGGAGGGAGGAAGGGACTGGCGATCGATGCAGGAAGGGGAATGGATGCGCACTGGTTCGTGTCCAAAATCTCGACCGAACAAGGCAGGTAAACAGGCGCGAAAGGTAATCGACGGACAGACATTCTTTGCACACGCCGATTTCCGCGTCGTTTATCCTCCGAATTCATAGACGCACTCTGCGATTTATTACCATTTCCGTGTAATCGATTCTCCCGACGTGCCAATCGGTTTCTAGGTCATCCATTCAAGTGATAAAGAGACAGAAGGACGGATGATGTCAGTGTTTGGGCGACGGTGAATAAGGCTAATTGATTGTGTTATTCGATCGGAATACCGCCCGCCGAAGTAAGTCTAGAAGTGATCGTCGGCTTCAGGCAGTTTCAAAGTGATCGGACAAGAAACGTCTCTAGTTGTCCGATCGGATCTCTTCCCGGTTTCTCTCAATGTCAATTGAATCTGTTTGTTTCTCGAATGTTTTCTCTCAGATACCCCTGCTATCAATGATTTCCTCCAAGTTCCCTGCCTCTGATCGACCGATCAATGCCCTTGAACCTAAACCGTTTCCATTCGTAGCGGCTGCCTCCCCAACAAGCAAGTCACAAAGATCATTTGTTTCTCAATCAAATGCGATCAATCTCCGTGCGCGGCCACGTTCACAGGCCACTCGGACCACGTGCTTCGCCTCGTCCCCTTCACAGATCGCCCAGAAGTTGCGACGACGTCATCTGATGGCCGGTAGTCGTGTGCCACGGCGGCCGCGTTGACGCGCTTATGTAGAGTGTGCGTGCGAGAGATCGGCAGGCAAATGCCATTGATAAAATTGCAAACTATCACAAAAGGGTTGTGTTGCGTGGCGAGAAGATAACAAGAAGAGACTCGCCACGAAGAAAGAGAGAGAGAGTTGGAAATGCAAACAGAACACGTATGAAGCCGGCGGCTGCCCACAAAAGCACCAGTCTGGTCAATGATTCTCAGAGCAGACGAGCCGAAGAGATCTGATCGAGAAACGGTCTGCCACGTCAGAAGGCCAGCGACTGAATGTCGTCAAAAAGCGGCGGACTTGATTGTTTCGCCGGAATTTCATCTACTTCGAATCAATCAAATTGGCTACATTCTCTTCGACTTCCTTAGCGATAACTAAGCGAACTAAAGAGCTTACGGCAACTAGAGTGTTCATAAGCGGCTCACCTTTCGACCTTAACGACCCGAGTGCCCGGCCGGATGGCGTACGTCGGCTCCTCCTCGAGGTAATCGTCTCCCCAGTACTCCCAATCATCCATTTCGACCTCCGTCTTGACCGTCGCTGTCGCCGTTCTCGCAGTCGGCGCTCTCGTCAGAATCTTGTCAGAACGTGCACGTCGTCGGCAACAGTAATCAGTTTCACGGACAGCACACACACACACTGCAAAAGCAATCATTTCAGAGGGAAACGGTAATTGCGGAAGGGCGAAAAGAGATGGACGGATAGACGGACGGGCGGATTATTAAACGGGTTTCATATAATATGTATGTGTATAAATGTATGAAACGGAGAGAACGGTCAGGCGGATTACTTTGTAGCAACAGGCTTCCTCTTCACCGTCCGGGGGGCCGTGTCCATTCGGATCAGAGACATAACATGGGTTAAGTTCAAATCAAATATTGATAAAGTGATGGTAGTACCCGGACGTACTTTCCCCCTTTTTTAATCATAAATAATTGAGGGAGTTTGTCCTCCCCTCGCCGTCAAACCCCCCGTTTGATAATAGTTCATTCTGCCGATTGAGACGCGTGGCAGCAAATTTGCGGCTTTTGATTGATGATAACGACGGAGAATCGACGGAAAAAGTTTGCCGTAATTGGCAAGCTGGCATACCATTCCAGTTGTTCTGATAAGTGAAGAAGGAGCCACGTGGCAAGATAGACTGCATTTGAAGAATGGACAATAACGAAGCGATTGGCAGAGGGCGGAGATTCGAGGAAAAGGAAGGGGCAGGGCGCTCAGAGAATCGGAGAGGGCAAGAGGAAGAGGGAGAGCGATCGGAGAAGAGCCAAGTTGCAAATTACATGCAAAGTGACGGATCGAGAAGGCGGATTACGCAAATTTCACGGCTACTGGATTATGAAGCACTTTGAACTATTCAAAGATCGGAACTGTTTCGTCACCGCTCCTGCTGCCTGGGTTCCATGTGAAACGGAGGCTGGGACCGCATGAATAAGAGCCTCTTTCTGAGTCACCACCACCACCTACTTTCAATACTGTTCAGATACCCAATGTACTCAAAACGATAAGATTCCTCTCAGTTTCAAACGAAATCAGAAATCAGACTTCCCCGAGATCAGCTAAGTAGAATCTATTCAGAAGGGAAATCTCAAAGAACTAGAAGAAACAAATAAAATATGATGGTATTCCGCCTGAGTAGTAACGTAACAACAGTGCGTCGACGACGGATTTTCGGGCACGACGTGAAATGCAAATTGGGCGGGCAATGTCGGAAAACGAGGCGGTGTCGAGGAGGAGAAGAAGCGACAGAGAAGTGGAAAAAGAGGTTGGGCAGTGAGTGATATGATGAAAGTGAGTGGGCGGGCGCCGAGAGCTTCTAAAAAATAACTGTAGTAAAAGTTATGAACGGGCGGAGCGAGGGTATCGACTCAGTTTGTGTTCGTTCTGTTTGGGACGGAATGATACGGCGGTGCTCGCCTCTATAAATAGACCAAGATTTGAGTGAATTACCATAAAAGTCTCAACTGCACACCGCCCGTCAAAACCGTAATCTTTCAGTATTTTCCACGTCAAACACTCTCGCTCCGCACTTCCGAATTCCTCGCTTAATTCGCGCCCGTCTCAGTCTCTTGCTCCTTTTCCTTTTCCTTTTCAGTTCAAACCTCAACTCTTGCCCTTATCAGCAGTATGCAATCAGTTTGTTTCTCGGAATTCGACTGCTCTCCTACGTTTTCAGTGATAACGCAAGCAGGTAGAAGAGAGCATGATTTGTGGTTGATCTACATTTCGGAAGGCTCCACTATAAATACATCGGTGAGCGGTTATCAATCGACACCAATTAGCTCTTGCGTCACTCTGCCAAAGAATTCGAGTGCAGAAGAATGTATGGAAGTGGATGACAACAATAGTTGCTGATTCCAAGGTTCAAAATGTTGTCATCGGACAGTATCAAAAGACCTTACGCAGTTCTTAGCCTCTATCAGTCTAATTCGTGTCCTGTATTTCCTTAAGAGGATGACAAAATTGTGCCCTACCGGAGGTTGCGAAACGAACGTCACTCAGTAATTTCACATTCCTTTCTACACTTTTCCTTCCGCTTATTTCAGAAATCAAGAAGGCAGACAAAAGAGAATCGAATTGATAATCAGGACGGATCTCTCGATTATCTTGTCTTTGACCGACAGAAGTCGTTTGATCTCTCTAGTCGTTTGATTCCCACTCACTTCTGTCCAATGCGCCCTCCTTTATGCACTTCCAGTCGACTCAGTCTGAAACTGATCTCGCCGGTGTTTGTTTGGTCGATGATAGGGACTGGAGGAGAAGTTTGCACACGGGATCACGTTTAAACGGAGGCCCGTTTCGACTTTTGAAAGGTACGGATAAGAAATGAAAATGAAAATGAGGTAATCAGAATTGAATCGAATTGATTGAGTGAGTCACGGGAAGAGAGAATGAAATGAGAAGACGGACAATATTGATATTAATCGTTCGAAACACAAACGGTCTTTCAGTTGGTCACTCTGGAAGAAATGTGAAAGTAAAAGTTCCTTTTCACAACTGTTTCCCACGAGAACAGAGCTGAAAGTAAGCGACACGGCTTTCGTCGTTTCTTCTCGAACAATACTACAGTACCCGCTCGTGCCACGTCATCTCTTTGTTGAGAGATGCGACAAGTGATGAAAAGAAAACGGTTCGAAAACGGGGATGACTAAAAAACTTGCGAGCCCTTCCAAGTCGTAAAGTTTAATGATAATGGTGAGAATTCGTGTGTTATCATCTCAGACTGACGACGAGGGTTTTGCAACCAGAAAGTACCAGTTGAAAGAGGAAGAGGTGAACGGGGTCGACACAGATGATCGAAAGGGAATCGAAGGAAAGAGTGACTCCGAACCGGTGTGTGCTCGGGATCGCAGGAGGCCGAGAGAAGCAAAAAGCGATAAACAAACAGGCGAACAGAGGGGAAGCGGAGCAGCGGCGACTCTCCGGACGGAAAGGAGGCGGGTCACTCGAGAGTTCGAATCAAAACAATCAGGGGCAGTGAGTCACGGGCAAATGAAGGAAGCGATCAGATGGGAGAGAACATGAGGAGTCTGTGTTTGAAGACAGGAAATGATCAGAGAGAGACCGAAAGAACAGCAAACAGTTCAAAAAGTAACGCTGGCGGGAGAGGGCTCAATGAGTAACGATGATTAGAAGTATAACTAGAGAACATGATGTAGACAAGTTTGCGATTGATCCGTTAGCAAATCAAATGGCATAGATCAACTGGGAAACTGTGATTCTTCGGAAAGGGAGCCACGAATAGAATGAAATGGCAGGTCAAAGGCCTTCAGCTAGTTGTAAGGAATCAGAATTGGCAGTTCTTTGTCCGAAAAGAGTAGATCAGATGGGAAGATACGAGCGGCAATCACATGGTTACTTACTTTCCGATGTTGTGTCCCTTTTGCAGGCGATAGTCGGGAATAGATGGATGGAAATGAGGCAGTTTCATTTGGATAACTTGATAAGACATGCTATGACGTGGCAGAAAACAGGAAGGAAACAAGTGATAAACAAGCGAAATGAACAAGGAGGGCTTGGGAAAGTGTGTGTGTGTGTGTGGGGCAAAGAACTAAAAAGTGACAAAAGGTCAGATCGGAGCGGACGGATTCATAATTGAGATGACACACCGATTATCCGTTGTGATGATGTTTGTGCGTGCGTGTCTGTGTGTAAGTGTCAGTTTTTATGTAATTCCATGTGTACGACGACAAGTTTTGGCCAACTGAATTTGGTAACAAAATGGACAAGAAGTGGCGGGCGGGCGGGGATACCGACAATCCGGTCGACATCATTTCGAGTAAAAAAAGGCGGTTGTAAACAAAATTTATACGGTTGTCAGTGTGTGGCGGACGGGCGGGCGGGCAGAGGAGAGACGAAAAAATAGGATTAACAGTTGGGACCCAGTTTTCAATTTACAGGCAGTTGCCACAAAATAATTGGGTTCTATGGCAAACAGAACGGGAGCGAACACGGGCCGAATTGCTTGTTTTTGACCGAATTACAAAGACTCAACTTTTGTGCTTCGACAATAGAAATAAAAAACTAGCTGAAAGGCAGGTATTTTGGGTGAGAATCGCGTGGGAGTACGGTATCGAGTTGCCGCTGCTCCGATGATGGAATGTTGTTCACAGCTTCAGGAAAAGATCTTCGTCTTGAGAGTTCAGAAGAAGAGAACCATGAAAACGATCATTTCTTCTCGTGACGCCGGAAACATTTCTAAACAACAAAGTGTGTTCTGTTCCCTTTTCTTCTCCGAAACTTTTTCACAATACGAAAAATCAGCACAATGAACGATGACGTGGAAGACTTTCCAGCATATTCCTTCCCCTTTTTATGTTCTCAAACGGTACTTTGATTCATCCGATTTCGCGTTTCGGTGTTTAGATTTCGTGGCCGCTGAACCGGCGAATCACAATCCGCTTCTGAATGAAAAGACCAAAAAGAAGCGGGGACCCACGTCATGTCTCTTTTTGAGCGAGGGAGGTAAGTATGCAAACACGGACTCGTATAGACGCGTGTGCATAGGAAAAGCAAAAAAAGAGAAAGAAAAAAGAAGGGGGAGACTGGCGGGTGAAAGCACCTCAGATGGCGTTGGCGCATTCTCTTTTTCCACGCAAGGAGAAGGCTGAAGACGTCTCGGAGCGATATTTCGTATATTGGAAGAAAAATGAGAGAAATGAGTGGGAAGGAGCAAAGATTCTGGAGTATTGTGGATCAGAGCGCTTTGGCAAAACAACAATCTGGAGAGCCACGAGTATTTATGGATGTTCGGAATGCAGAGTCGGACACCGGCGTTATGAAAAAAGTGTCTTTGTTACAGAATTCCACTTTCAGTAATGTTCAAACTACGAAACCATTCAAGAAGACAGAATTGTGACCATTTTCAGACCGTGGGAATATTCAGGAATTCGACACGAAATGACGAAGCCGTAAAATTCAGTATCTCATTGAAGAGTGCAGTTTCTCGGCAAGAGCTTGGCCCCGGAAGATAAACGACTGGCGACGGCTTCTCCGATTTCTGTCTGCGGCTCTCCGTCCCGCACACTCTCTTCGCGCGCAGAAGCGTGAAGATGCAGAAAGCGCGGAAAAAATAAAATAAAAAAGAGAAGCGAGGGAGAGGCCTTTCACTGTTTTAGGAAATCCGAGAGATAGGCAGAAAAGGCGAAAGCCCTCCGTCGGCGTCTCTCCTGGAGCAAAACTCTCTCGCCTCAATTATATGCTCTCCCCTCAATGGTCCGTCGACGTTGACTGGCGGAAGGGGGCCACGCGAGACGCCTTCTCTTTCGCATCCCTCAGCAACTTTTCCCGTTTCGCATCCAAAACACGACAAATGCACACAGAAACGTCGACGAAACGGACGACTTGGCTAAGCCCTTTCGGAGGCGAAGCATCGTCTTCTTCAGGTTTCGACGACGTCTTCTTATCGCCGTCGCGCATCTTTGTATTGTGGCCGCTCTCGTCTCTCTCTCTCTCTCTCGAGACAATTTGAAACTGATATCTGCAGTCTCCGCCTATTTTTAGCGACAGTTTGGAGAAGACAAGAAGAACACAACAAGAGACTATTCTGCCATTGTATGAAAGAGAGAGAGAGAGACCTTCCTCTCTTTCTGTCTTCCGAACCGGTTTCACAAAAACGAATCGGCATCGAAACATGGTCGCAACGAGAATCCGTTTTTGCGAACTGGTGGCAACGCCGTGATTTACGAGACAAACTGTCAGAATTTTGATGAGGCGTTTCAGTGGCGAACGGAATAAGAAGAGAAAGAAAGAGAGAAGAGAAGAAGGGTGTGAACGTAAAGTTTGGGGAGAAGGTAATTGCACGAATTCATCAATCCGTCGCGAATTCCCGGAGAAGTTGAGCCGCGTAACAATATTGTTTATTCTTGACGATGTATTTCGATTGTATGTAGAGACATCAACTTCTGAATAAACGGTATTTGATTCTGGAAAGTCCTCAAAGATTCACCAGTAAACGATCAGTTCGAGATCGGAAGAGGTCTCACTCCTTCATAATCAGATTGTTCATCCCGTTGAACTCGGAACGAAATCAGTGCAGAGAAGCATCAGGACGTCGGGGAAAAACGCAAAAAAACCTTGATCGGTTTGACCTAATGACGAGTTCATTGATAAGAAATGCAAGAATCAAGTACGAAATGATAAATGGGATTGTAGGAAAGATCTGACAGATGCTTCTTCTCCTTCTTCTTCTCCTCCTTTTCTTTCAATAACAAATAGTCTTCGGGCCAAAGGTCTTCAGCATTTGAGGGAAGTGTAACCCTTTTCTGATGCCATCTTTTAATCGTGCATAACCATCTCATTATGATGATTGAGTGGTGCGTGTTTACTGATTTCAAATGAAACATTCGAGAAAAGACATGACGAGAAAAGAAGAAAAACTGGCATCAAAATACACGAGAGACGTTTTGTTCAGATCAGAATCCAAATCACCAAGAAACCACCGTATCCTCCGACGCGGTGATTTTTTCTGGGAGCGCAGTGGAGAGAGGAAGAAAGTTCGGCCCTCGTTCCGTGGCTTCTGGCCGGCGGCACGCTTCCCAAGCCTTTTTCCGCGCGCCGCGCCAAAAATTCTGATGCGTGCTGTTCGAAGAATACTGATTCATTTTTCCTTTTTTTTTTGGGAGTGAGTTCATTATCATTGAAACTCGCATGCAGCAACGAGAAACTCGCAGAAATGTCTAGGGGTTTTTTGCTGTTCTCTTTTTTCAAAGAAAGCTTATAAAATTTAGAAAAAAGTACGTTTGTTATTAAGAATTGTACGTTCCAGTTTTTCAGAAACATCCGAAAAGCCGGTTTTGGCCAAGTAGAACGGCGATGGCCGCAGAGGCTAGAAACCTCGCGACCCCCAGGAAAAATCACCGTATCCGATGATTCGAGCTGTCCACGTCTCCGATCAGAGTCCAAACTTTCAGATATATCGGCCAGAAAAAGCAACAAGTCGACCTCTGCGCCCCTCGGTTCTCGCGTACCTCGATCGGACAACGTCATCGCCAATTCACTCATTCACGTCTTCGATATCAACGGAAACGCTTCTTATTTTCATTGAGACGAGGGATTAGCATCAAGAGGGACGAGACGGGCAGACGACGGAAACTCTCCATGGAAACGGGTATTCGGCTGATAATCGGAGGGAGCTCATTCAAGATCTGAGGCCGGCCGACGACATGTCGGTCCCCGAGTCTTCCCCGATTCCTGCGTATGCGGCCTGCCGAGTTTGCGATGATTCCAACGGACAGCCCCATTACGGAACCATTTGTTGCCCGTGAGCGTTTCAGTCATTCACCTCGGTTTTATATATTTCCAGTTCAGAAGTTGCAAGGGATTCTTCCGTCGCGTCTTCATTTCCGACAAGAAGTTCGAGTGCTACCGGGGCAACATGTGTGTCATTCGGAAGGGAACTCGCAACATTTGCAGGGCCTGTCGATACAAAAAGTGTTTGAAAGTGGGAATGAATGTGAAAGGTTTTCTGGAAATAACCGTTCTGAATGATTGTTCTTCGCCGTTCAGAAATACGCGGAAAATATAGCAGCACTCCTTGCTCGCAGAGTACCGAACATGAGACTCCGAGCTCCGCGGAGAGTACTCCAAACAGTTCGAAGGACGGAGAAGTAGGCGTTGCCGAGGCGATGGAGATGGCACAAGTTTATATGAACCTGGAAAAGTGAGTGGACTTGTAGACGGCAGATACATTCGGTCGTTTCAGATACTGTGAAAACAACTATTGTGAATCGAACATGGGAAAAGAAGAGGAGAACCAGCTGATCGACAAGATGCTCTCAAGTACCATATTCGAACTGATTCAGAAGACGTCACCCCAATGTCCTCGATTCAGAAGAGATTGGAAACCTCTCGAGCTTCTGGACTTTGAGAACTTCTGCCGGAGTTGGTCCCGATCGATCGTACACTTTCTAGACTTTGCCACCCGTTTCCCAGTGTTCAATCAGCTCACTTCTACCGACAAAGTAAGCGAAAACTGGGGAACAGCTCCACTTTCTGTTTTCAGAAAGCCTGGTTCATCAGCCGACTTGTTCCGTGCACTTTTCTCACAATGGCCTACCAGTCCCGATTGGAAATGTGCGAAGGACTGCTGTTTGGATGCGCGAACGTGTTTCCGTTAAGAGAAGAGCAATGGAAGTGTGTGGAGGAAGAGCATCTTCGCAATCTGTTCTCTTCGATCACAGAGACCGTGTTTTCGTTCGTCATTTATCCGATGATGAATCTGAAAATGACGGACATCCACTACTCCCTGCTTAAAGCGTGCGTCTTCTTCTCTTCGGGTGAGATTATCTTCCCACTCCTTTCTCATTTCTTCGTTTCTAGGAATCATAATGAACTCGGTATCTGAGAAAGGAATGGAACTCATGAAGAACGAGTACACCAAGCACAAGAACGCGTTGATGAAATTGTTGATGAACGGAGTGAGAACTGACTTTGTGACAAAAACAAAAGTTCGTTGCAGGTGGACGCATTCAGTCAACAAACGGACATTCTGTTCCAGATCCAGGACGTTCAGAATGCTCTGGAAGTACGTAAAAACCAATGAGAATGATCAGAAACTAGCTAATCCTTTTGTGATCTGAAATGAATTATCCTTTCTTTGGCCATCTGATCCACTCGTTCTTTTGCTCCTATTCCCACCAGACGTCTCCTTCTTCTTCTTCTCCGTTTTCTCTTTTGGTCATCTCCGATTTGCAGCGCGTCTCGGTCCACTTTGACCAGGAAATCCAATACTTTCACTTCGTGGGCCTACCAATCGTCAAAAAGAATCTGCTCGTCGAGTGCCATATCAACAAGACGTTCTGATCGTTTCCCATGCTCTTTTCGTTCCCGGTCTGATATCAATAAACACATTAACTGTTATCATGTTTTGTGCTGCTCCTTCGGGGAGCACTGACCACCTACACTCGACAGACTTTGCCCGCGTCTCCTCGATCCGCACGCTGTTTCTCAAGTGGACTCTCTGGATATCCTCCCGTCCATTCCACATGTTTCTTGGTGTTTTTCCACAATTTCAATTACGAACATTTGCATATTCGGTCGTTAATTGAGCAGAGAAAATAGACAAACACATTGCCAAATTTGAATATTCCGAAACGAAAGCCGCCCGGGTGTCGAGTTACAGCACTTGGTGGACAGTCAGAGAGTGAGGCGGACTGAGGGACGCAGACGGAGTGAAGTCCATTTCAGAACTCAACACTCTCTTATTTTGACTTTACGAATCGAAGCGGCGGCACATTTGCACTCTGTGTTCGCCTCCAGATCTACAGTATCCCACCGGATGCCATTCTGCTCCGCCCGTGCTCTAAAAGCCGCCCACACTCGCATTCAGCCTCTCTGTCTGTTTCTCCTGCGCATCCTAGCTCTCTCTTTCTCTCTCTATCGGGTACGGTCGGGCTTTTGTATTTTGCGATTACACTTTTTGTGCAGCACTGTGTTTGATGAGAAAAGAAACGAAACAAGCGAGAGCCCTGGATTCTTTGTTTTTTGTGCTCTTCCCCCTTCTGTTTGAGGTGTCTCTTTTGTGAAATACAACTTTTTTCGCCGCTTTTTACCTATGATGCCTGCGGAGAACTAAGCGGAAACGAAGCCACTTCTCACCCACTCTCAGATTCGGAGACAGTCGAAACTTTCGTACTTTCCAGGGCCTCTATGGCACCTGGGTCTACTTTTTCTCCCTTCTGAACGCCACATTTCGATCTCATCCTCCTCTCTATTTCCCTGTTTTGCCCTTCGGAACCACTGGACCCTATCGTCCGTTGACTTCCAAATAAGTTGTACAAACTTTATAATCAGGCCGTTGATTCATGGCCGCTCTCTCTCTCATTTGACTCGTCCGCCGTTCGGCCATAAATTATGTGTCCGTTCCCGATTGGTTGCGCCTTCTACAAGTGCTTCTTGGCCCCTTTCGCTCTTCGGCTTCTCCTTCGCTCATCTGATTTTATCTCAATGACAATTGGCCGAGCAGAGTCGACTTCCGCAGAGGGCAAATACTTGCGCGCGGGTCCCGCTGTCCGCTGCATTCCGCTTCCCCATTAGTTTTGATAATAATCGAAAGAAGGACCCTTGATGCTGGTTTTTGAGGACCGCAAATACACTCAGGTGCACGGAATGTCAATGTATCCAACATTCAAAACACCCCCAACGACTCCCCTTCTCATTTTAAAGACCGCCGATGTGATGCGTCACAAAAAGAATGAATAGGTCAGAGGCGAAGCGAAAAATAGTTCCCACGATGATGCATCGTTATTTGAGATGGCACAAAAACGAAAGAAAGCAAAGAAACTCTTATGGCTTTCTCTTTTCTCAGTAGACAATCGGAATTCTTTCTTTCTCAACTGATATGAAGTTTCCAACTGTCTCTCCTCCTCAATGTTTCTTTCCCGATACTTGCTCGGCAATCCCCTAGCAACTAGCTCCAATTTGCCACGCCTGTCCATCAGTCATCCGCCCCTCTCCCTCTGATTCTTGTTTTCCTTTTCTCCATCCGTTGTCCCCTGTTTACCCTCTCTAATCGATCATGTTACCATCCATGAAACCCGAGATCATTCAAATTTGTACAAATCTCTCCTTGCCACATCATAAAAAATTACCTAGCCATCTGAGCACACAGAATAACTGTTCGTATCCCTCTCACCGTCTCCGTCTCTCCGTCTCTATGTGTGCTCGTCAAGAGCCATCTAAAGCCACCTGCATACAGAAGCCGCCGCCTGTCCGCGTCTCCTCTCGACGCGTGCTCTCTCGTCGTACCGTCGTTCAGTGTAATCCGCAATGGCTCTTCTCTTCTGCCACCCCGCCCGATCTCACGCTTCTTTTGACTCATCACTACTTTTTGTTGTCGCCTCGAGCCTTTCTTTTTCCGTGAATAACAGGTCAGTCGATCCCTTTGTTCGTCGCGTTAAATCGAGTGCTCTCCGCCACCGAAACACACCTCCAATTATGGCCGATTACTCATTGAGCACTTACCATTTGTCACCCACCCAAGAAGACTTTCCATCCTTCTTCCTCTTACTTCGCAAGTGTTGACATTGTCTCCGAAAGCCCTTCTTCCCCACGCGGTGCCCTTCTAATTCGATTTCTTCAAAATACGGCTGATTAACGGGCGGCGCGTTACGTTTCGCACTGAATTCAAGGGATGTGTGTGTGTGTGTGGTGAAATGGATGGAGCCGACGAGAAGAAATTAGAAGAGAAAGCGGGACCAGAAGAAGAAGAAGAAGAAGAGGTCCGCTATCGAATTGGGTTTCGACGCCCAGGAAATGAAGAAGACGACACAGAAGTTGACAAAAGGGGGCGGAGTCTGCTTCTGAGCACTAAAGGGAAAGTCAAAACTTGAGGCACGTGTGGAGGATGTACTGTTCCGAGCAGAGTCTGAGCAAACAGTGACGTGGCAGAGGGCATAACATGTGTCTCTTTCGCAATCTCGATCCTATCGCATCCATTCAAAAACTTTTCATTCTCCTTTCTTCTGACGTGGCACTCTCTCTCTCTCTCTCTCTCTCTCTCTCTCTCTCTCTCTCTCTCTCTCTCTTTTTCACAGCTACTGACGTGGCACCACCTTCCTTTTCGAAAGTGGAAAAGGGTGTAAAAAGCGCAAAAACAAACATGAAACTGAACCGTTTCCCTCTCGTTCATTCGCCCCCGGAAACCGCGTCTCCTCCTCATTTTTCGATGCTTTTTCGTTTTTTCTCACGACTTACTGACAGTCCGCAATCGAATTAAATTATGTGCACTGGCATACTCGCACTCAAAAAAGACTCGCGAAGCGAAAAAAACTTGTTAGGGTGCGGGGGGGACCACCAGCCGAAAAGAATGTTGGGCAGTTGTTGTGGTGGTGCAATAAATGGCTGCTGGTGTCGCTGTGAAGAAGCAAAAAGAAGCAGCAGCAAGAAGAAGAAGAAGAAGAAGGAGGAAAAGCAGAAGAGCCGTAGAAAGATATGCGACCGAGATTGTCGCGTTGAGCGGGGCGCCTCGCACTCCCGCTGCCACAGCCTTTTTCATTTCTGGGGCCGTCTCCAGAGACACCGAGACGTGTTGTCACCTTTCGTTCCGAACTTGACTCATCGTCCTTCCCGGGCAGAGTGTGCGGCCATCTGTCGCCGTTTGGCACTCATTTGGGCCCTCTCTTGGCTTGGCCTTCCCGCCACATTAGCCCTCTCTCCTTTCTTTTTTTGATTGCTGCTGCCCGCCTCCTGACTGGTGCCGTTGTTTCTTGAGCCGTTTATGGGATTTCTCCCCCCTTCTCACCCAACAAATCGCCTCGTTTACCACGCTATCAACAAGTCGTTGCCAACTTTCCCATTATTGTTGTGAAACATGTTAAATGGATGTTACGAGAATGGGCACTTTTTTGGAAGCTACCACGTTTAGCATCTTTTCATCTCTTCTCCAGTGTTCACAGACTGATCTTTTCGACTACGGTTAATTAGTGAACTCCCTTTTTTCTACGCCAGGCAATGTTCTCAAGTGGTCTTCATTAATGCCAACAGAACTGTTCTTTCGTGGATGAATTCCGAATCAAAGAACTTCATCCCTCCACGGAGTAAACCAGTTTCTCATTTTTCAAAAACCGCGCGCGATTTTGAAAATGAGACAATTGGCAGGACGCAATCAGCGGCGGATTCAATTAAACCTCCTCCAGTTTCCGTGTTCCCGTGCACCTGTTCTTTTCCAATTATGTGACTCTCTCGTCTCCGTATCTCTCTCTCTCTCTCTCTCTCTCTCTCTCTCTCTCTCAGAGTCAAGAATGATTCAATTTGTGAAAAGAAGAAGAAGAAGCCGTGGCAGTTGGTGGCGCGACAGTTAATCAGGTTATTCGGGAGGTCTCTCAGGCTAATGACTGGTTACCGAACACCAACAAATCCGATCAAAATGCGACCGTCCGTCGCCTGTGCCCGCTCAATTTAGGTTCGCTTGTCCATTCCTTTCCTTTCCGTTTCCTCACAACTTGACTCTGGAAAAAGTACCGTCCAGTAGGCTCCACATTCATCAAAAAAACCACTCGCCAAAGACAGTTTCGGCTGAATAGAAACTGATGTGAACTTCACAGTTTTCCCACGATTTTTCACCGGTTCTCAAAGGGATGTGCCGGCGAGAACCACTCGATTTCTTCATTTTTCTCACTTTTCATCCCATTTCGAATTGTCTGTCCTTCTCTCCTCCTTTTAATTCGTTTTATATCTCCACTGTCACCAATTCTTCATCCTTTTATTGGTGTCCAATTTGAGGGGAGAGAGAGAGAGAGAACATCTGCTCTCTTTCCCGGAACATTTCATTCTCTCTTTGTTTTGATCGTCTCGGATTAGTCACCAAAAGTTACGCAATTGTTTTCGTCTTTGCCACGTGCCAACACACCTCTTCCTTCGACCGACACGCCCCCTTTCTCGACCGTTCTGATCAGCGCTCGCCGCGTCCACCACGCCATTCGTACCTCTCCGTGCCGCTGGGCCTGTGTGCTTCTTCCCCTCTCCCGTGCCCTGCCACGTCACGAATCCGTCTGTGCCTCTGCCAATCCACTACTCTCTCGGTGCCACGTCACCTTCTGAATCAGTAGCCTACCTATTGTCGCCCTCTTCGCTTCTCTCTCTCTCTCTCAATCTCTATTCCGTTACCCGTTCACTTTTCTCCTTCTTCCTCTTCTTCCTCCTAAGTTTCTTCCGAAATACTTGTGCTCTTTTATGGATGAGCATGTATACGTGATGTGTGTTTCGGTGCATTCCTTTCCCTCCCAGTCTTTTCGTCCTTCCGACTTCTCCCGCGTCCGATCCGTCCGTTGGCGCCTCGTCTCTGATTCGTTTTCGGCCCACTTGTCGTGTCCTTTTTATCTCGTTCGTTCGAAAAGTTTGGCGCCCGCCATTCCGTTGGTTCGGCCCTTTGTCGGCCACTCCAGAGGGCGATATAATTTGAGGCAGTTACCAAATACTAGCTGTTCTTTTCCCCACCTTCTGTTGTTCCCTCTTTCCCTTCTTTTCTGCACACTCCTCTTGTGTTTCGAGCCCTCTCAACATTGAATTCATTCCGTTTCGATGCTCTAATTCAATGATTGTGAAATTTTGTTTTTAGCGAAACGAATAATCCATTGATCGATCCGGATGAGTCATATCAGCCACTGTTTTTCGTCTCGTGATTGTCGCCCCTCCTTCCGGTGCTTTTCCTCTTCGTGACTCATCCCACAATCCCATTCCAGCATTTCTTCATTCTTCCTGCTGATACCGATCTGACCACCTTCCTCCGGGTGTTATTTTATCTTCGGGTCGCGGGACGATCGTGGTGGCAGCCGACGCGGGTGTTCGTCCTTTTGTTTTATGACCGTCTTCTCTGTCCTTCTGAAGGCAAACGGATACTCTTTCTCGTATCGATGCGCGCCTTCGCCCAAATTTCACTTAATAATTCATTCTTTTTGATGTTCGCAATGGCGGCAACGTTCAGTTGTCCTAAGCCGAGAGATCGATGTGTTATGAATAATGAGGGATGAAGGGAGCGGCTTCGAACAGCCGAATATTATGACGGGCCCTTCACGACCTTTTTCCGTGACACCGAGTAACGAGGCGTTCGAGAAATCTGTCCGATCGGCTTAGCACAACGTTCCGGAAGTGTTTAGCTTCAGTTCCACAAACTTTTCGCTTCTAAAGTTTCTGTTCACATTCCCATCGAATAGTCTTTCAATTGCATTCAATTCATGATTTATTGCTGTCGGCAGTGATTAACATTCAATTTTGGATATGAAAACGAAATTAACTTCTTTTTTAGAAAAAAAAGTCGGAAAACTGCAGTAACAATTTTATCTGAAAAAAGTATGCGCCTTTAATACCGTACCCTTTGTTTCGGCGCGAAACAAATTTTAAATCCGCCGCGCTGCCATTCTTCCCATTTTTCGCTCGTTCGTGGCGCAGGTGACATCTCGTGCGTTGACGCCGGAGCAATAAAAATCGAGTGGCGTGACGAACGGGCAGTTCTCCAGAAGACGACGTCCTTGAAAGCACGAGCAGCTCGTCCGTTCGTCGTGATTGCAACCAGGCGCCCGCCAAGTACAATGCCATCGCGCGCAGATTGCGTCGGTCTGTCAGCGAATACACACGCATCTATCACCGGCCGACTTCGTTTCGTTGTCTTTGCCCCTCCCGTCGCATTCCTTCTTTCCGATTTCACCATTCGTGGGTTTTAGACGAACTTTTCTTTTTTTGGCACTTTTGAGTCATCAAACAACACTGGGAGAATTTTTCTCATGATTAAATAATCCTCCGACGCTTCCTCATGGTCACTTCTCGGTCAGCGGGGTACATTCCCATGAATTCCCGCTTTTTCATTTGCATAATCGGAACCTAGACCAAATAAGCCTTCTAAGACTTCGATTTCTTCCCATTTCTTTCTTTGATTCTTCTTTCATAACTTCTGATTCAGAACTCAACAATCACGTTTTACAGTATCCCAACTGTTATTCATTCAAAATTGACATTTTTCTAGTCAGAATAAGATTGAATTGTAAACTATAATTTCGATAATTTCTCTGTCTTTTATCTGTATTCATTGTGCCAATCCCACGTCAATCTGGTAAATTTTCAGCATCGAGTAACATAGCGAACGAGTTCGACGCGATTCTAGATCACGTCGGAGAACGCGAGCGAGATGAGGAGCTTCATTTTCCTCCTGTTACTCACCGGCCATCTATCAGCAGGTAATCGATTCCCCGCTTCGCTTCGAAGACCTTCTGATTGACATGCCGATCGGGCGCTTTTTCTGTCACACCTTATAGGCGATAAAGGGATAGCATTGAAAGTGGTGGAGTGGAAGAGCACTCAAAAATGAAATCTAAAGAAGGAATACGAAAATGAGAATTTTTTGTTTCAGCCAACATCGACTGGTCGGCCATCGATACTCCGCCTGAATTCGTGCACGAAAAAAATGCAGATACGGTCTACTTCAAAGTGGAAAAGAGCGGAATGAGCGATGAATCGGCCCAGAAAATACCCGGAAACCTCCTAGAGCAAACGATCCGATGCGTCGCGAACGGAAATCCACGGCCGAAGTGAGTTTCTTGCCACTAAAAAATATGGAATTTTTGACACTGATATTGCGATACATTCTCAAAACTGAAACTCCTCGATCCGTCTTAAGATTACCACAATTCCAGTTACCGCTGGAAGAAGGACGGCAAGACGTTCCTCCCCTCGATGTTCCCGGACAAAGTTGTCCAGAAGCCTGGAGATGGTATCCTTCCCGTCGATTGATTTGTTATCACTTTCATTATTTTCAGGAAGTCTCGTCTTCTCTCGATTGGACGAAACGGACGCCGGAATCTATCAGTGCGAAGCGGAAAACTCGAACGGAACAGCCGTCGACCGTCCAGTCCGTGTCCAGGAGACGTGGATCCGTCACTTTGCATCTGCGGAGCCGGAAGTCGTTGTCGTGGAAGTGGGTGATCCGTATCAGAGGAACTGCTCTCCGCCGGCCAGCAATCCGAATGCGAGAGTCTACTGGATCCTGATGGGAAAAGAGCCGGGACACTTCGAAACGATCAGCAGCAGCCACATTTCGAGCAACGAACAAGTGAGTCGGCAATAGCCGTCGGGCCGCCTAAAAAGTTTCAGATTGTTTCTCGTAAGCCCTCCTCCTATCCAAAAACAGACACGAGGAATTTCAAATACGACTTTTTTGATAGAGTCTCGTTCTGAATCTGAGTCACCAGTTTCCTAATTGTTTCGTGGGTGGTAAATTTTTCGATTGCAATTGAAATCGGCGCTCGCCCGCGAAACTTTTGAAAAAAATAACCAGAATTGTTTTCATTTAAAGTTTTCGAACATTCCCACTATTAATAGTTTTTCCGTCGTACTCGTTTCACTCGGTCTCATAGCTAAATTCGCCCATCCAAGTTTTCAAAACAGTACCGTAGTTGGTCCCCCTTCCCTCTAAGATAATAGTTGCCACCTCCACGATCGGTGTCTGTTTCAAGTATTGGCCGGTCCTCAACGGTTTGTCCGTCCGTCGGGGTCTATTCATACTGCGTACAAACTCGTATTGTATGGATTCCATTGTTAATTCGAGGCGGTTAGAGTACGTCCCGGCCTTCTCTCTGTGATGAATAAGTTCTTTTTTGCGATGACATCGTCTGTTTGTGTCTTTCCCGCCGACACCACCTGCCACACATACTTCCACTGTCCGTTGCGCAATTCGCAACATTTTCCGACGCGCGCAATTAGTCGCCACCAGACGACCTTCGTCCAAGAGTTGGAAGTGAGACATGATGAGAGCATTCTGAAGAACTCTCGAGCAACCAATTAGAGTCATTAGCCGCGCCGCTCCAGACGCAAGCTTCTTCCGATGGGAAAGACGGCATTAGATGGCAGAGAGGGATACTGGTGCGAACCCGCGAAAAGAGGAACAGATTAGATGCAATTAAGTGGTTTTTCTCGCTAATTTGATTGAAATTTGACGAGAAAAGGGTCTGACAACACACGATGCTTGACCATTGATGTCTTCTGTTTCTTCTGTTTCAGGAGACGTAACCGCTTTCGAATGGTAACCAGACAAAGTACTTCATAGCAGTGAATCTTGTTTACGCTCTTACAGCTTTTTGTACTATCCGGCTTAGTGTAGTCGCGTAATTGAAGCCCTTGGCGCTTGACGAATGCACTTCTTCGTTCTCCGTTTCCCTTTCTTTCCGCCCGTAAAACCGACGGCTTTTTCACAAAAAGAACGGGCTTTTCCGAATCATGCGCTCTCGCCGTGTTCCTCGCCAACAATTATAAGAGCCATTATAATCCTGCTCCTTGACATTTTGCCTTCACTTCACTGCTTCGTCGCTAGGTAATTCCCCATTGGGTGGACGAGGCGGGAGGGAGAAGAAGAAGCCTCTTCCTTTTTGTGGTCCGCTTTTGGTGGCGACCATTGGTGGTGGTAGCGCGGGATGGTGTGGGGCAGGAGGCGGTGTCGTCGCCCTGAACCGCCCCGAGACATTACGTACGTGCTGGAGAGTGCGCAGAGAAGAAGAGCGTGAAATTCAGAGAAAGCGAGAGAGATCGCGCGGAGAGAGACACGAGCGCTGCTGACGAGAGACCTATTGCTGCTGCTGCTGCCAGTGCTGTGCCCTCGTCTCACTACTGCCAGAGCCGTTTCGCCCTCGTCTCCGCCCTACTTGTCCCTCCCGTTTTGCTCGATTTCGGGTATCTTCCCACTTCGAACCCTCCAGTAGTCTTTCGGTATTCCCCGCCGTGTGCAAGTCTATGATATTCAGCTGATCCGAGGATGGGCTTACGAGAGACGATGGGTCTCGGAGGGGGTCCTGCGACCTCCGTCTTCCTGCTAGGATGCCTCCTCTTCATGATGGTCAGTTTTACCTTTTCCCTTCTTTTCAGGGCACATTGTTCTTCCATTATGTTAATGAAACGGATTTGAAGTCTGACCGCTTCTACACGTGCACGGCAGAGAACATCGAGCTCAAAGACTACAAGTTCGGCAACCAGTTCAGTCTGCAGATCACTAACAACAAACGGCGTAGTTGTAAGTTTTTCCGTTCCATTTCAAAAAAAAATTATCGAAATTCGAAAATTTCTACCAATGCAGGAATGCATCAAATCAAAAAATGGCTGGTCGCTATTGTGTGCGTTTGCCAACAAAAAGTACACATACAAATATCCGCCCGTAAAATTGCTGTGTACTTTCACTTTTGACGGGACGCAGTGTATCCCAAAGCTGAAATCTCCTAAAAATCCGGGATTTGTCGACGCTCCTAATAACTTCTTTATTATTTCCGTGTTTTTCGACTTGTTTTTGGAAGTGTTGCAGTCAACCGAATGAGTACTCCTCTCTCCCTCGGATCCGATGCTATTTCGTCGCGTCCGCCCTATAATCGCCGCCGGGGCGCGATGTTTACCCGTCTGCATCTCTGTTGATCCAACAATGTTGCATTTGATAGAGAGAGAGAGAGAAAGAATGGGGGAACTGAATGGGAGTAAAATACGGGCGACCGACCTCGCAACCTCTCTTACTCTCTCTGAATCTCTTCGCTATCAGCCGAAGAACGGTGTGGTAATAGTGGGGAAGGTCGTCGAACTTATTCCCAAATAAAGAGAAGTGATAACGTGGGTAAACAGATGCGGAAGGACAGTCTCTCGGCCGATTGGCTCGATTACTCAGAGTAGTCGACATGTTGTTAGATAAACACACAACAAATCGGTGGCGGAGGACCCCCTTTCCGAAGAAACAGCTGTTGCATTCTGGTTGGCTCGCTCAATCGACGCAACAGATTTCAACGCACGGTGTGCGAGCTTTTGCCCCAGTTTTTTTTGAATCGGCAGATGGTCAGTTCCAAATGATTCATCAGCAGGGCGGTCGAGCGGAAGAAGCCGACGAACAGAGGGCGAACTGTATAGCATATCATCAGGGCTAAACTGCTTCTCATTGTACTGTTTGACATGTACTTCTCCGCCGATACGATGTGTCAAAGGCGTATAATCGAATTAGCGGAATCTCGAGTTTCTTTGCCCGTTTCTTCGGAACGAAACAGGGTTTCAAATTTCGATTGGTGCCCGCTTTTGCTGTTGCCCGGGTCGTCGCCATGTCCCTCTTCTCATCACCAATCACAATTTTATTGAATTCCATTCTGTGTCTTTCTTCTTCTTCTTCTTCTTCTTCCTCTCCGTCGCCCCAATCTTCCACCAGCCGTCGCTCTAGTTTTTCTCCCCCGCTTCTTCTCATCTTCCCTCTTTTCTTCTTTTGTGTTGGTGGTGTAATGACAAACCAGTCAGTAACATATGTGCGAATGAGCCAAGCGCCGTCAAAACTTGGCCGAAAAAGAAAGGATGAGGCGGACCAAAAGAAGAAGAAGAAGACGATGGGGTATGAGAGGGGGACGCGAGGGTTTCGTGTTCGTCGTCAGAGTCAACTATCTGCTAAAAATGGCGGCAAGATGGCCACCACTGATTGATCGCACTTTTGACAAGCGACGCTGCGTCCCTCTGGCTCACGCACTCTATCTTCTGTGAAGCAGGAGAAAGCTGAAGAGAACAGACATCCGATACGATGGAAGGGTGACTGCTCTCTGCAAAAAACATTCTCAAACAACAGGGATTATCTGTTTGCGCAACATGAAACTACTCATTGGCCGGCCACTTCCGCTGATCTTCCATGAGCGTCACGGCAAAAAAGCGGGAGGGAAGAATGACTGAAATGTTTATTGAAACCAGATGAGGGAGGAAGGAAACAGGGGTCATGGAATAATCAAATTGACGCCGTGGGTGTCGCTTCTCATCGATCATATGCCACCTGCGGGTGAGAACAAAATGATTGAGGGAAAGCGGACATGCGCACTGAAATATGAAGGGGAATGTGGATTTGTGGTTTAAAAATATTCCAATGTTATGTGGGCAATCGTAAAATACATTTACACAAAAAAGTTAAACATGGGTACATTTCTGCAAATCAAATTGAATCCAATCCTATCATTTTTCAGTGCAACAAATGCCACCGACTGAGCAGTATGTGAACCAGAGCTCTCCGATCGCTCTGCAGGGCAACCAACACAAACTTCACTGCTTCTTTTCTGGATAGTAAGTTTTCATCCATTACTCTGTAGGCGCATGTCTGTCCTTTCCAAAAAGTTTCCATCTGCCGCTCCTTCTCCTGCTCAAAATCATCCTTGCAAACAAAAGCAATTTTTCTCGGCACCCGCTCGTCATTCAGTCATTTCGCGCGCGCGCCCACAGAAATGCACGTCTTTGCTGTCCCCTTTCGGCCATTTGGCGGACGTTTGCCCGCTGCTTGTTGTGAGCCAGAGAGCGTGAGCCCTGGAGCGGTCGTTGCTGTTCTCTGAGTCTCCAGGGCTTCTCGTGGAGCCCATTTGGTGCCAGGTTCGGAAGCGGTGCGTGCGCGCGCCGCTCGCGGTTATTTAGATGTTTTTGATGCATGCGGAAGGGTGTCGGCGTTGAAGATGACGAAAGAAGAGAGCTGATAAGGGAGGGACCGGGTATGGGTGCCCCAATCCTCTTGACATTGCTGGCAGTTCTATTAAATATCGAACCAGGGGGACTTCCGGTAACTACAGACCGTTTCCGTCACTGGGAACCTGGCACTAATGAAGCGTGCGTGCATTTGAATGTTTGTCCTTTGTTCGCTGGCCCTTCCTTTTCCCACAGCCGCCTTCTCTCGCTTCCATTCCTTCAATTTTGACAAACTTTTCTAAAGGGCCACAAAACAACAACAATGTCCACTCGTTTCTCTTTTTTGAAGAGAGTACAATTGAATGAGACCAACACGGGTGGGGGAAGAATATTGGACAAGTTGAAGTGGTCGCCAATTTATTAGTAACGGGAGGCGCCCTCTCCTCTTTTTCTTTTGTCTCGGACCCGCCCGATAGCGATCTTGTTTTGCGATGGGTCGGACGAATTGTAGAAGAAACGGGCTCCTTGGGGACAGAAATTGTCGCCTTTCTTCCTTGAGCCTTTGCTTTTTGGAATAGACTGAGATTCAGAAGGCGGGCGTATTGAATATTCAAAGACTGACGGGAGAAACGTCCGGTTAATAAGTCATCACGGACCTAGATGCACTCGTTGGCTATTCATGAGCACAACACCTGGACTTTCGGATATTGTTGCGGAAGGGGAAATAGACGGGTGCGAGAGCGGTGGGCACGTAAACAGTATCATGGACGGTAGCAATTAGGGAGGAACTGTCGGAAGAACCTCTTTTTTTTTGCACTCTAATTAGCCCATTAGACACGCTGTCATTGCGAGATGGCTCTAATGGATCCGAAATGGAAATTGTTGTCAGAGGTTATTACCAGAACGGGAAATGGGAAAAGTGATAGATAAAGAGGAAGTATTAAATTGAGGAATAAGTGACCGAATCGAAAGGCAATATATGGTTGGGGAATTGGGGAAAGAGAAGTTGATGAACTCAACGAGGGATAATTGGAAATACTGGAATCCTTTTTCACGTTATTCAATTGCAGCCCAGCTCCGAAGCCACGATGGTTCCACAACGGCCGTGAGATCAGCGAAGACAGCGACTCCGCAGGATTCCGATTCGAGTCGTACGGAAAGACGCTCGTGTTCAATGTTACACAAGACAAGGCTGGAAAGTACGACTGTCGGTTCGCCACGCAAAACGACATCGATCGGACGTTCAACGTCGTCGTCGAAGGTTCGTTTTTCTACCAATCGGATCGCCTTTTTGTTCCAATTTCGATTGACTGATTCCATTTTAAAAAAAAGAGCGCGCACGGATGACCGGGGGTCGTTGCGTGGAAATTTAGATGAGATGAGTGGAGATGTGACTGGTTTTATTTCATCGGAAGTTGTTGATGGAATTGTGTGCGCGCCGGGGGTCAGCTGGACTTGAGGACGTTTTTCTCATGTGAGGGATCATTTCAGCTGCTCCGTACTGGCCAGAAGGACCTCCGCCGAACACGAACACCAGTGAAGGAGAGACGGTGATTTTCGACTGTACCACCTACGGAAAGCCTACTCCTCGAGTCACATTCTACAAGAACGGAGTGGAATTGGGAAGCCAGAAGGACGATCGGTACATGATCGACGGCACCAAACTCACGATCTATGACGTGAAGAAAGGCACCTTCGGAAAGGGAGACAATGCAGTGTATCAGTGCAAGTCTGAGAACAAGCACGGATGGCTATGGACCAACTTCTACCTCAATCTTCTTGGTATGAAAAGTATATCTTGAGCACAGACCCATTATTCGTTTTCAGCCTTCAAACCACAGCTTCTCATCGAGCCGGGATCGGAAGAGGTGGAGGCAGTGGCTGGAAAGAAAGTCACCCTCGAGTGCAAATTCTTCGCCAGTCCGAACGCCGATGTCAAATGGGAAGCTCCAATGCTCGCCGGATCGAAGAGCTCTGTGATTCCCGCGAATCCGTACGGTGTCGGCAAACTGGTGTTCAGTGAAGTGACTGCAGCGGAAGAGGGCGAGTACGAGTGCGTCGGAACGAACAAGTACGGGCAAGCGACCGGAACTATCACTCTGAAAGTCAGAAGTGAGTTTTCAAGGGATTCAATGAACAGATAATATTTCATGACTTTGCAGAACCGACAAACGTGGCGCCGTTCGAGCGTGCGGAAGAAACAAAGATGGCAGGAGAGACTTTGAGATTGCCGTGCGATGCGACCGCCGATACTCAGTTGGAAGTGAAGTACGAGTGGCAGGTGGACGGAAAACCACTGCCTGAGGATAGTATCAGCTCTGGGCATTATAAGGTGGCAATGGAAAGTTAGTACTGAACGCATTAAACGGTTTTCTAGATTGATGACAGCCACGGATTGGTGATTACCAACCCCACACAGCACGATTCTGCCAAGTACAAATGTGTTGTGAGTACGAAATTGGACCAAGTTGAGAAGGAAATCAAGATTCAAATCAAGGGTAATATAACTTCACACTGAGAATGGAGCGTCTTACCTCTATTTCAGATGTTCCTGCGGCTGTGCACGCTGCCTGGGTCGAGAACTGTGACAAAAATTCGTTGTCGGCACTAATCTCCTTCGAGCACATTGAATCGGCGAACAACATCGCCCCAGTCAAGGAATTCTGGGTGCAATACCAAATGGACTCGGAGACGGAGGGATCGCAGTGGAGAACGCATCCGGTGCCCGTCCAGGCCCATCCGAATGACCACATCGAGGGAGATCTTCGCACCGTGCGTGGATCTGCCACCGTTTCTTTGCAGCCGTTCGGAAAGGTAAGTTCTGAATTACTCAAAGTACTAAGTGATGAAACAACCGCATTTTCAGTACGTGTTCCGCGTTCTGGCCCGAAACTCCGTCGGCGACAGTTCCGCCAGGAAAGCCAAAGATCAATGCGATACCCCAGCCAAACATCCAGACAGAAATCCGAGCGAGGTTGCTGCCAAAGGTACGAGCCCTGAAAACCTGATCGTTCAATGGAAGCCGATGGCAAGAGAAGAATGGAACGGCGCCGATTTCCATTACATCGTCAAGTACCGTCCACGAGAAGACGGCCAGGGAGTAGGCGAGTGGAAGGAAGTCGCAGTTGCTGATCCGTTCGCTGATCGCGTCACTGTCAATCTAGATGACGACAAGGACGTGAAGGCGTTCCAACCGTACGAAGTGCAAGTACAGGCGGTGAACAACGAGGGAAGAGCGAATGTGGTGCCAGAGACGGTCGAGGGAAGAACTGGAGAGGGAGTGCCGAGCAGCATTCCAAGCGGACTTCGAGTGCTCGAGAAAAGTGGAACTACTGTGACCCTCGCGTGGAACGGTGTGGATCCTCAGACCGCGAACGGAAACTTCACTGGATACAAGATCACCTACTGGGTCGATGAGAACGAGCAAGATGCGGAAGAGCCAGAGGACGAGGCAGAGGAGAAAAGGAAGTACCGTTGGAAGAGATCCATCCGCGTGAAAAGACAGTCTGGAGTCCGCAAAACTGTCGTCTTCGGTCCGAGTGCCACGCAGGGAACCATCTCTGATTTGAAGCCAGACACGTTGAACCACGCCTACATTCAAGTGACTAACGGAGCACATGAAGGAGCTCCCAGTGACGTCATCGATTTCCAGACCGATGAAGGAGGTAAGCGTTGTTTCCTATATATTCTGAGGGATTCTAGCGAACTCAATAGATTAATTCATATGTAAAGTCCCCGCTTATAAAAAAGGTGTAGTAGCCATTTGACAAAAAGAGTACTTTTACATCGGAATTCGTAATGAGCCGCCCTTCCATTTGCTCTCTCATTTCAATAAACTTTCAGTTCCCGAGCCAGTTCGATCCCTTCGCGCATACCCAATGAACTCGAAGGTCGCAGACGAGAAGGGAGTCGTCGTTCTCGTTTGGAAGAAACCGAGACAGACAAACGGAAAGTTGGCTCGCTACGAGGTGGAGTACTGTAAGACGCAGAACGGAAAACCCGTCGAGAGTTCGTGCCCGCGACAACAAATTGCTGCCGATGCCAAGGAGGTTCGACTCACCGGACTGGAGAACGAGACTCCGTATCGCTTTGTGCTCAAAGCTCACACGGCTGCCGGAGAGGGAGATCCGAACTCATCGGATGCGACCACGTTGCCTGAAACTACTGCTGCTGGAGGTACATATTTTTTATCCCAGTTTTGGTAGCTAGCAGAGAGTATCCGCTGTGTGTAATTGGGCACCTAACTAGGCTGACCTTTCTTTCTTCCTTTTTCCTACCTGCCGACATCCCCTTTTACTCACCTTTTGTTGTTCGTCCATGCTTCATTAATCGGTCAGTCGTCCATGCATTCTCGTCACAATTCACCTGCGCTCGCTGTTCGTTTCGACAAATCATCTGTTCGACTCATTAGGGCGAATCCCGACCGCAGGAAATAGCTGAACGGGAAGAGGGCACACGAGTGGCGACATCTTGGGTGCGCCTGCAATTAGGGGCGGAGTCAGAAGCCCTGCTCGTCTCCTCAGCGGCTCGCTTCGCGTTGCCGGCTCTCTTGCTCCTCGAATACCCTTGTCCATCGTCTATTGCACACCTAGAGCGCGGGGCTCAGCTGGCCGTAGACGAGAGGAGCCGACCACAAGTCCAATTTTGTAGTTGGCATCCCTCTTTCCGAGCCTTTTCCCATCGCTGCTTTTTTTTTGTCAATTCCAACGAGCCTGCTTCCTGCCAGGCTGGTTCACCAGATCGCCAGTGCAGATAACGGAGTTTCCGTAGCGTATACGCATATTGTTGCTTTACTGCTGCCTTCGTCCGACATCGGACGCCTCCTCATTTCACCTCGATAAACCGGCACTTTCGATTCCCGCCGACTTTCGGTTCGCTCTCCCGTCATAACAACACTCAATTACTATACGACAACGCCATCATGTTGCATATTCTCTCGTTCCTTCTTTTCGCACACCTCCGTTTATTGTCTACTGCTGCTGGTGAGTTCTCCAAGTTCATAGAACTATGCCTCTTTTCTAAACAAATCGTGGGCTTGTTTTGTGCACCGACTAATCCTATCGCTTTCTCTGTTTCGTTCTCTACTCTTTTCCTTTCTTCCACGTCTCTAAAGTGGGCGAACAATCGATTCGAGACAAGCCCACGGACAGCAGCACCCACGACTTAACCCATTTTGTGCAAAGAAATGAGCGTCGCTGAGAAAACGAGCCAAGTTTTGTGCCGGCGGCTAGATGGATGGCTCTTGGAGCAGGAAGCCGACGGAGCCCATGTGGCAGCACACAAAGACATTTCGGGCGCCGATTAATTAGCTTAAGAGAGTCAGTTTTGAGGACTACTGTACAAGTACGAATAAAAGAAATGCAGCGGCGCGGCAGAAAATAGAATGGGCGCTTAGATGGATGAGGGCTAATTGAAAATTTCGGGGCGAGATGTTGTCAGGATTGACGAGTCGGTGTTGAATTACACATCACAGCCTATCGCTCATTTCACTGATTCTCTTCTTCGTGGCACCTGCTTTATGTAGCCGGGTGGATTAATAAGATTAGAAGACAGGGACAGGTGTAGGTGTGGAAAGATCGGGCTGTACCAGCCAGAATCACATCTGGATTACACGGGGCTTCTATGACCAATCGCATATATTACAGTGGACCCCGGAGTGCCATCGCTAGTGGAAAATGGCATCGGAGACAAATACATCAACGTTTCGTTCCTTCCGGCCTCATATGATGAAGAGAACCGAGCGCCAGTCGGAAATACGTTCGAAGTGCAGTATAAACCACAAAACGAGGATAATTGGGACACCGTCAAGCCGTCTGGTGAGTGCTAATGAACCTAATTATACCCAATGAATATTCATTTTCAGATGACGGACTGACGGTTCATGTTGACGGCCTGAGCCCTGGAACCAAGTATGATGTGAGAGTTGCCGCCCTTCAAGTGGACCCAGACGGCGAAACGACGAAGACGTACTCGAGCATCTCGAAGATCACGACAACTGGAACCAGTTCTCGTGAACGAAACATCTACCTCCTCCTGCTCTTTCTGCTTATTCTCCTGCTCCTGCTCATCATCTGCTGCATCTGCTGTGTTGTGTGCCGTCATCGCGGACAGAACTACCCGGTGTCGCAGCGTGAACGTGAGCAAGGAAGAGAGCCGATCCTCGGAAAGCCAGACTACAAGACGTAAGTCTGAAAATAAAAATTAAGAAGAGGAGCATTTTCGTTTCAGTGATGATGATGAGAAGCGGTCGTTGACTGGATCGAAGGCCGAGTCGGAGACGGACAGTATGGCGCAGTACGGAGACACCGATCCGGGCGTCTTCACTGAGGATGGATCCTTCATCGGTAAGCTGATCAGGGTGAAAAGAGCGTGGTACGAATGAAAAAAGTTGTTTCAGGTCAGTACGTCCCGCAGAAGAGCTTGATGCCGGCTGAGCGGCCGGAGAAGGGATCGACGTCGACATTTGTCTGATTCTCTTGCTCCCTCTCTCTCTCTCTCTCTTCCTCTCTTTATCCTCTACTCGCTTGAGCTTTTTTATTTATGTGTACTGTAACTCATCTCTCTCCCTCTCTATCCTTGTAGTATTTGATACCTGTCAAATGTTGGTTTCCTGTCTCTCCCACTCCTGTTTCATATTTCCCGGTTGGTTGGTAATTTGTCAGTAGCTAAGTGATCGCCGCAGAACCAATACCATTCGTCGCCAAGCGGGTAAAACTTGTCCCAAATTCTTCTCTTTCCCTCCTCAAAAACTTCTCAAAAACTTTCATGTTTTTATTCATTTTCTATGTTTTATTCATCCCACCCACCTCTTTCTTCCCAACAGATTCAAAATCTCGAGGACTTATCACAAAACACCGCCCAACTCGTTTTCTATTTATCAATTGAGTGCGCGCTTTTCTCCAAACCTCCCTTTATTTTGTTCTTGTTTCATAACCCGAGTCGCATATTTCTGATCTATCCCCTTTAGATTTCAGTTGTGATTTTTCCCTGAAACCTCTTTGAACCCTGTAATAATGCCGAGAGCTTTGTTCATTGTCCGAACAAAACTCGAGTTGTCCGCATAACTTGCTTTAATCTTTCCTTTCTCCGTTTTATTTCTTTCTCTCCCCCTTTGCCTCGCCTTGGTTTGTAGAAGAGCGCAGCTTTTCCGTCTTTCTTTGGCTTCCAACGTAATTCGAATCCAAACAGTTTATTATATGCAAACGCATTATGCAAGTTTTAATAAAGAATTGAAATCAAACGTCGGCAAGCTAGGCAGTGGTTTCCTGAAGCGAATTCAGAAGATGATGCAGTCCGTTCACCTCGTGCAGCTCTTCCTTCTCCCCAAATGAGTCCCGCTCTTCTTGCTCTTTTCTCTTTTCGTCAATGTGATTGACACGTGGCTTCCGGTTCGGATTCGTGAGTCTTTTAGCAATGAAACGGAGAATCTGAAGGGTAGGAATGGGAAAATGGAAATGCGGGCGGGACGGCACTCACTTGTTTTCTGCTCAGATCGCATTTCAGCTCGATGTCTCTGAGCTCCTCTTCCGTCGGGTAGTGACTGTCTTTGATGACCTCTTTTATGTACTCCCTTTGCCATCCTTTCATTCTCGTTTGCAGTGGCGAATCCTTCAAAAACATGATCATTCAAACAGTCCAATTCGCTTCCTTTCGCTCACATTCTTGTTGTTGCCCGCGTACGGATGGAACTTCTCGGAGGCGTTGTGGCCGTTCGGCAGTTTCAGATTCTCGTGCCATTCACTGTTCGTCAGGTCGAAATCAACCCCCGACGCCTGGAATCCTAACATTGGCTTACTTTCGTTGCCAGTGCTCTGAAAAGAAGAAAGAGGACTTTCGAGTCCACGCACACGGATTCACAACAATAACAATCGGACCAGTCTCCAGGCCAAGTCCCCTTTTCCTTGCCTCTATTATCGATTAGAACAATTCAAGTTCATGCTCTCCCTATCACTTCACACCCATAAAAAACAGAGTCTCCACCCACTTTAGCGAACAAATTGGTCAACAACTCTGTAGGCACGGCTGCTGATAAAAGATCCGGAGTTGGATTCGAAGAGGGCGCCGTCGGAGTCCACGAGTCGAACGTCTCCGTCTTGACGACCGGAGCGACTGTGGCACGGACCGACTGGGATCCGGAGGACTGACGTCGCGACGGAGACGACTTGTTGTTCTCCGAATTGGAGTCGTCGTCGTTGCTCTGAGTCTGGAAGGCTGAGGATCAAAACAGAGATATTCGAATGGAAAAGGGCAACCTCTTTGACAGAACTGGAAGTGGTCGGCTGATCGTCGTTCGGATCGTCGCGCAGGTTGCACTGAGACAGGGAGGAGACGAAAGAGACATCTGTGTAGCCTTTGGGGACCTTTAAGAGTGGAGGAAGGGATGGAGACAAGAGGAAGGAAACTAACAATGAGCGAGAAGAAGTCGACGACGCTGCTCTCTGGCAATCGGACGACGGCGTACTTGCACTTGGTGTCTGAGGCCATTCTGAAACGGAGAAGTTTAGGAAAGAATGCGGAGAGTCTTGGTGATAGGGAGCAGGCGAAGGCCGATAAGCAAATAAGCGAGTTTATTGGTTTAATTTAGGCAAAAGTGATAATGATTAGTGTGTTGGTCGGTTGGCAGCGGAGGGAGCTTACAAGGCAGACAGGTGGTAATAGGGGCGAATAACAAGAGAAGCACAGGGACACGAGTACGGTATGCGCCTTTAAAGAGGAGATCTGTTAAGGGAAGGTAGCTGCAGACATAAGCCCGTCGATTGATAAGAATTAAGGTCCTCATTATCGTCATTTTCAATTTGTGACTGGCACTAAACAAAATTAACGAAGACGCAGAGACGACAAACAGTTTTTATTTCGTTTGCAACACTACTAAAAAAGAGTTTCCACTTCGAGACAGTCAGTGGGGAAACGACGATCGGAGCTTGTCTGGTGAATGGAAACGGAAGGAGAGATGGCTAATTGTGGGTGACAAAAGGAGAGAAGCATCTAGTGTTGTGCGCCTACGATCACACCGTTTTTGTGTTATGCAAAGTGAAGAAGAACAATCGGACGAGAGAATTTGGGGAACAGAAGAGACTCAGACGCAGGGCACGGAATACTGATTTGGGCTCAGTTGGGAGAAGAAAAAACGGATAGGAAAAGGAAAAGGGCAAGGAAAGGAAGAAGAACTGTGTGGAGATGAAAAAAGTAAGAAAAGTACAAAACATGCTGTGTGTGTGAGTGTGTCAGAATTCCTTTAGACACCCGAGAGGCGTCGTTGTCGTTGCTAGAGACAAGAGCATAATGAGCCACTTCGAGCCCCCAAGTTCATTATTCTTTGGGCAAGAAGAGAGAGAGAAGAAGCAGGAACAGGATCAATAGGTGCCGGGGCAAGTGCTTGCGCCCCACCAATTTCCCCCAAACCATTGTGTGACTCCATTGTGAACGGGAACAGAACGACGAATGAATAACGTTAACAATGCCCCTACAGGTACGCAAGAGATACTGGGCGAAGCGAGAGGCCGAAAAAGGAAGAGGCCCTAAAGGACGCCATCCAGCCGTTACTAGGCGCCTCTTTATGCGCAATAAACATCGTACTGTACGCGCCTTTAAACTATTTGCAGCCGATGGAGATGATGACGTTAAGCGCATAAACTGCCTCCCGCAAAATGATTGAATTGGAGGTAAACTGACAAAAAACGTTGCGAAGTTTAATGGCAAACAACGGTTTGACAGCTCACGGCTTCTTTAAACCGTATCCGAAGCAGAACAAGAAGAAGAAGAAAGAGGCGTTGTTGTCTGCTCCGACCAGCTGGTACAATTTCAATTTGAAGTGGAGACTGCTACAGTAGTCATCAGAAGAATCCTTACACAAACTAGACGAGTGAAAAAGGACGAATACTTCCTTCCTTCCTCCCTCTCTCCACTTTCCACACTAAAACGTTAGAGTAGTCGTGGCCATAACACTCTCAACGAGTAGTGTATTTATTCGAACAAGAAGAGGTGGCCGTCATCGTCGACGCCGTCGTCGCAAAAGTCTGCGTCTCTCGTTCTAGCGCTCTCTAGAAACGCTTCGACGCTGGTAACGACAGCAGTTTAGAGGGCTTTAAAATGTTTGGGACGACGATTGGGCAGGCAGACCCGGCCGAAGCACGTCTACATCTAGGAGAGATTGGAAAACGAGAGTGAGAGAAACTAAATGGTGCCCCTAAAAGTTTGGAAAACGGCGGGGAGCTGAGAGCACGCAAACCGACATGAATATGAGGAGAGCATAAATAGAAAAGAGGTCTTTGAAAAGTTGGGCCAATGACTGACTGGCCAGTGTTTGTGTGTGCGTGTAGTAATATGTTTGATGCAAAATGAGGGACGGGCACTAGTTGAGAAAGGGATACAGTGAGAAGGGAAGGCAGTTCGGGCGGGATTACGGCCGTGGATTAGGGCAAAATAAATGCGTAGGAGGGCGAAGTAAGTAGTAGTACAGTAAGGTCGAAAGGTCATTAGAGAGAGAGAGAGCGAATAGGGAGAAGAAGAAGAAGAAGAAGAAGAAAGAGAAAGTAAAGACACGTCGTTGCTAGGGAGCTTACTTTAGAGCCAGGCGGTTGGGGCCAGCAAATCGGGTTAACTCTTCAAGGCGGCGAGAGTTGAGAGAAACGAAAAGACGCAAGGATTCTGATTACTATGAGAAAATCTTCTGGGGCACGAGTCTCTTTCTGATTGACTATCAACATTTTACACTATTCTGACTGCTCAGAGAGCACGTTTCTACTCGAAATAGCTATCGAAATTCCGCTTTGAAACTTCTAAACACAGGTTCGGTCCAATTAAAAACGAATCAAATTGTATGGGGAAAAACTAAAATTGGCGACTATTATAAACGTTTTTCTTCATCTTATGCATTCGACTTTTCAGAAATTTCTGACTGGAATGGATTAGGATTTCGAGTCTTTGACTGAGATTGAGCGAAAGAGTACAAAAGTGGGTCACGAGTTCTCATTAATGTAGTTCACGCTCGAGAAGTTGACAGAAAATGACGTGGCAAGCGGATAATACATTCTGGAGCTCCGGCAAAGAGCACAAGGACTCGGTAATCGAATAAGTGCACTAGATACTCCCGTATCGAAAGAGCAAATTTGCATTCCTTATTCTAACCTAGTTTCCAATTTCCCACATTTATATCGAGAGAACCTAACGGACAAAGTGTATAACGCGAAAGAAAGAAGGAGAAGAAAGAAGAGAGAAGAAGAAAGAATTTCACGATTAAAGGTGTGGGTGGCTGCTTGCTCCACCTAGTGCACTTTGGAATTGATGAGTCCGCCGACGACAGCCCACTGTTAAACTGCCCCCTCCTTCGCTTGGATCCCTCGCTTTATGAGAGCAGTTTACGAGTCGTCCGATCAGCTGATTATCATCATCCACTATTCTCATCCATGATCTCTTTTCGCCTAATCTTTATTTACTATTTTACTACGGCGCCGAATAAATGAATGAGAATCGCTGGGCTGTTTTTGAGCGACTCTTATGAATGGAACTGGATTTTAGAGCGGATTTATGACACGAAGAACTCAAAAACGGCAAGTACTCGGAGGGGACGATGAACCAACAGGTATCGGTGGTCAAATGGACAGCCAACCGGCCCTTCCTCACTCCGCCCGACGGCCTTCTTGCGCCGTAAGCCTTCCTTAAGCGGCTTCCCTTTAGTTAGGGATTTATGTTGTCGTTTAGGAGAATTGCTCTCCACGCGAGCGTGGAACCGCCCGTAAACAAGAAGGCGGAGGGCCCACCTGAACGGCTTCCAAATCTGCGAGATAATGAATTTCGCAACGGAGAGGTGCACAATTGTAATTGGATGCTCGAGTACCTGAGCATGTGAAAATAGGGTTATAGAGGATGGGGAATGAACTTGAATATGGAACTACAGTGCAATTGCGACAGAGATTTGTGAGGAGTAATCGAGAGTTTTCACTCTGCAGCATGTCAGCTGATTCATTAACTGAACTGACAAGACATGTTTCTATTCAATCAAAGAGAAATGGCCGACGAGAAATCGTAGCGAGCACGGAAAGGACACATTCGCGAAATGTTGGACGAACTAAACAGTAGGTAGACAGAAAATATGATTGAGGACTTTGGAAACATGGCGCTTTTTCTTCCTCGTTTTCAGAAACTGCTTCAAATGAGCAGCGCGTAGACCTTTTCCTGCTGGTTCTCCTTCTCTCCGTTTACTTTCGTTCTCTTCACTGGAAAAGAGCCTTTGTTTGACTTTTCCCTTCCTATTCTCCACGCGTATTTGGTTGTTTCTAGTCATTCAACACTAAAATTGCAGTTTATGTGAAAGTGGCTTTACGGGGAACCGAATAAAGAAATTGTTTCAAACACAGCGCAACGGATGGAAAATGACCTTCTTCTAAGGCGATAGCAGCATCAGATAAGTTGGCACTGGACGGAAGAAGAAGAAGGCGGTCTGTCAGTTACGCTGTAATCAGAAGCATCGAAAATTGCATCTTCCGTTGCAAACTATTTGCATTTCCATTCAAAAAATATACTACTCATTGATAATTAAGAAGAAGAATGAAAGTCAAAAGCAATGGTAGGGTCGATCGATAGGAAGCCGAGTGGTAAGGAAAGCAGTGCAGTCGGGGGAGGCCGGGAGGCCGGTTAACACTGCTCCTTAGTGTGTGCTTGCCTAAGCGAAAGACACACTAAGAGGGGCTCACAACGAGAGACGCACTACGGAGGCAGTAAGTGGCGAGAAGCAGACTCTCCTTGGGATACTACACTAAGTGCGTTCTTGTGTTGAGAGGGGAGAAGGGAGAAGATATGCAATTGGACGACGACGACGACGGCGAATTCTGAAGCACATTAGTGTGATTGTGAGTGAGCTTAACTGCGACATTCTGTCCTTCAAGTGCTCACTTTCATATCCCCTTTCATTTTTCCATGCAGTTCTTTGAGAACCTGCGGAACCAGAGGGATCTTTCACGTCTATCTCAGTCTGTCCTTTTTCACGTTCTCAATGTGTTTCTGTTCTGTATTATCATTGTTAGCTTGCTCGCAGAAGCAATTGAATTTCTAGGTAAATTTTGAATTAATACGACGAAACGAATGCAAACTCACGGATTCCGTGAACGTGGAACCCTGGAATCTTGTCCCTTTACCATTAGATCTAGCACACTGTTAAAGAGCATAAAAGGGAACGATTTGGACGGAAGCGCTCAGTTCGAATTTGAATATCGATAAAAGCCCATCGAAGCACCACCTCTCGCGATTGAGTCCGAAGAATAAACCCGACGGAACAACAGAATGACGATGTGCCCGTTCGAATATTTGCAACTCTGCACCATCCTTCTCGGTCCACTACTTTTGGCGATCGGATGTGGAGGAAAGAAGAAGGCGGCGTGAGTTTGAATTTGAATTCCGAAGGACCGTCGGACGTATCGCATGTGTTCAGACCGGCCAAAACGGCGTCGAAAATGACTCCGCCGCCTCCGGTTCCATCTGCTCCGCCCACGACTGCTGGCCCAGATGCGGCTGCTCCGGCCGTTCCAGTTGCTGCTCCAGAGGGAGAAAAAAAGGAGGAAGAGAAGAAAGAAGAGAAGAAGGATGAGGAGAAGAAGGATGAGGAAAAGAAGAGCGAAGTTAAGGATGCGGATAAGAAGGACGATGAGAAGAAGGATGAGAAAAAGGACGAAGAGAAGAAGAGCGAAGTTAAGGATGCGGATAAGAAGGACGATGAGAAGAAGGACGAGAAAAAGAGCGAAGTTAAGGATGCGGATAAGAAGGACGACGAGAAGAAGGACGAGAAGAAGGAGAAGTCGAAAAAGTCTAAGAAGTCTAAGAAGTCGAAAAAGTCCAAGAAGGATAAGAAGGAAGACAAAAAGGACGACAAAAAGGATGAGAAGAAGGATGAGAAGAAGGACGACGACAAGAAGAGCGAAGTGAAGGATGCGGACAAGAAGGACGACGAAAAGAAGGATGACGTGAGTTTGGAATGGTCGGAACTCCCTGTGCTAATGGAATGTTTCAGGACAAAAAGGAGGACGACAAGGAGGAAAAGAAGGAGTAATCGGATGATGTCCCCACAGCTGACCGTACCAATAAAGTGATAAAGCCTCTTTGTTTTTTGTTCTGTTTCAATCCCAAACCTCTGGATCCTCTTGAATCTACCATCAACGAGAGATTAGTGAACTTTACATGGTAATCTTTTTCTTCGAAAATGAGCAAACATCATGCCCCCACTCACAGTTTGTTCATCATTTTCATCAGGAGTCCTTGGGTAGTCGGCAGAAGGAATTTGGGAGCGGACGAACTGAGTCCGAGTCTCCAGGCACTCGCCAATGTGCTCGAATTCGTCAGCGGAGACGATGATGCTATAGTTGGAATAGCTGGAGTCATTTGAGTATTTGCTGATGTCGGAGAAGTCGTCGGGACGGTCGGAAGTGGAATCATTTTCGAAACCGAAGTGAATTCGCCCGTTTCCAAGGCGTTGCTCCGCCCCAATCGGTCTACGGTAATCCCGAAATATTGTTCCTTATCTCCTCTCTTTTGACTGGACAGCTTCTCGCGTAATCCGAATTCCTTTTTTCTTTCTTAAACTCACTATGACTGAGCATAAATATCATCGAAATGCGTACTCGCTTTGCCCACTTTTTCAATTCCATCATAGGAAGACTCAAAAATAATAAACTAATCCGTCGGCGGCGTATTTTATTCATTCAAAAACTCGGAAAAGAGCTCACTGCTTCACGAATTGACGCTATTAATCTAGTGATTATTCCAATAAACAGAATACCGTACTGATCTGCATAAAACGAATCTGTCATCTCGGATGCCCAAACCGTAAAGAACCATCAATGATTCACTAAGGAAAGTAGGCTTCTGACGTCACGAGACCGCCCGTCTAAACTCTATAAAAGGCTTTGATAATTACAATTCCATCCACTTGCCATCGACGATCTTTCAAAGGTCACTTGACCACAGACATCTCCTGTTTACCTATTTTACACCCCTCCCCCTGGCAGTTGATTATTTCTTCCTCCACTTTCCCATTTCGATCTATTGACTTTCGGGACTCGCAAAATCAAAGTGACAAAAGTCATCAGAAGATTCTTCCGAACGGTTTTCGACGACGTCACCGCCCCTCTGCGTATCATTTTCTCTCACCGAGACGACATTTAAAAGACGCCGTGGGCGAATGCAGCTAACTTTTCCTCAATGAATTCGACTCTCATCGCCCTCCTCCTCGCGTTCTTTTTCGTTCAAGGTGAGTGTGTTATGAATGTGATAAAGGGATAGACTAATGGTGTTTCGAGAACACATTCTCAGTTCACATGTTCAGTTAGGGGCTCTTTTCGAATTGAACCACTTTCAAGTTAAACGATAAACGCTAGCTATTTGTTTCCAAACGTGTCCGATATTCTCATCTCACGAAATAAAATGTTAGCATCATTGACCATATTTCTGGCCAGTGTCTTACGAATCGGTTCAAATGTTTGCCTCCACTCACGTACATTTTCTCTCTTCCTCCACTTATTTTCTTCTCGATTATCAAAGCAATCTGTCTTCGTAACTAGATTCGGTTTCCCACAAAAGACATCTGATTAAAATGTGTTATTGCGAGGTCACACCCACTCCCCTACAGTGTCCGTTTCAGTGTGTCACCCATTGACAATCGAAGGACTTTTCCGTAAACTGAAAGGACGGCGGATCCAAGAACCTTATCCGGACGAAGCGGCCGCTTCCGACTCGATTTCGATGATCAGCATTCCCGACAAGAGTTTCATCCGTCCGATCGGTTCGATTGCCGGCAGACCGGTCAGAACCCTCCCCGCTTACACAGCCCACTCATTCATCTTCAGGTGATTCCACGTCGTTGGACATATGGACAACCCATCAGTGAAGTGTTCATCGACGAGAACGGAATAGCCATTCCCGTCCGTCCGCAGCCTTCTCTGAATGCAATCCTCCGTTCTCGAGGAGGCGGTCTTTACTGATTCATTTGAATTTGTAATATCTGTTCCATGCGGGTCTACAATGAAACGTTTGAATCGCACAATACCAAAGAACAGACACCAGATTCACTAATGTCCAGAATACAGGAGTGTCCATAATGTGCTGCATTCTGGACATTTCTGACTTTCTCCCGACTCTAACAGGTTGTAGCTAAGGTTACATTATAAACACTCCTGCATTCTGGATATTAATGATTCTAGTGCGAAATCGTCACTGTCTTATGTGTCCAGTTTCTCTGTAAGAACCCTTCAAAGCACGTAATATCTCTTCTCCTGGAAACCGTTATATCCTCTTTTGGACATTTTTTGCTGAAAATATGCAAGCACACATTCTTCACGGTCGGGCTACCATGCTCCGATGCTCTTGATAATCCACGTGACAACCGATCGGAACAACCTCGGTTCGCCCCGCTCTCCTTAAAATTCTGGATTTATTCATCAAAAGTGCCCTCGAAGTCTCACTAAAACCAAACGACTTCTTCCTGCTTTTGCCATGGCCGCCGAGCTCGTTCAATTGAATCCCGGACAACAAGTGGAGAGATGGAGCATTGAGAAAAAACTCGGAGAGGGAGGATTCGGAGCCGTCTACCGCGTGTTCGACTCTACCGGAAAGTACGCGATGAAAGTGGAAGGCGCCAACGAGCAGATCCAAGTGCTCAAGCTGGAGGTCTCCGTGCTCACCGAGCTCTCGAAGCGTGGAAACCGTCACTTCTGCAAGATCGAGGACAAGGGCCGCTTCGGAAACTTCAACTACGTCGTCATGACGCTCGTCGGAAAGTCGTTGCAAGACCTGAACAAGGCGGGACCGGGAGGCCACATGACGATGGGATGCTCGATCGGAATCGGAATCCAGTCGCTCGAGGCGCTCGAGGACCTTCACAACATTGGATATTTGCATCGGGACGTCAAGCCGGGTAACTACACGATCGGCCGTCCGGAGTTGAACGAGATCCGCAAGGTTTACATCCTCGACTTCGGAATGTGCAGAAAGTTCACCGGAAATGATGTGAGGGAGGGATGACGGTGGGAAGGGAATGCATTTGAATTTTAGGGAACGATCAGAAAACCGAGACAGGCGGCCGGATTCCGTGGAACCGTCCGTTACGCTCCGATCAGTTGCCACTTGCAGAGAGAGCTTTGCCGGTGAGAGACGGGCGGAGAGACAAAAGAAAAGAGGTATTTGCAGCAAGGACGACTTGGAGACGTGGATGTACATGCAGGTGGAGCTCTCCTACGGACAGCTCCCCTGGCACCACATTAACGATATGAACCAGGTCGGACAGCAGAAGCAGGGGATCCGCAGCAACCTCGCCCAGCTGTTCCCGCCGCCGTGCCCTCCGCAGTTCCAGGACATCATGCGAATGGTCGATTCGCTCAAGTACTACGACGCTCCGAACTACGCGGCCATCTACGGAGTATGTTGAGAGTACGAATGAGCAGGGACTAATTGGAGGTGCTTCAGATCATGCGTCAGGCGTACGGAGCTTGCGGATCGAGCGAGCATGCGCCGTACGACTGGGAGAACGGGGGACCGGCTGCTCACGTCCTCCACTGATTGTCCCCTTTGCAATCGGAACGCTACTCTGATCAAGTGAACTTGTTTTCAGTAAAATGACGAATATAAAAAAAATTTATGGAAATTGCGTCTATTTGTGAATATCTTGAATTTGGTAGACGCATAGACTATAGACTCTATAGCAAGTATTGAAGATCACAGAAATATGCGAGTGTTGGAATCACAAGATGAATGACATGAAAATTAGAAAATTTAGAAAAAGAGAAAATAAATTAGCAGGGCAGTCCGAGACGAAGCATTTCTTCCTCGATCTCCTTCAGACTTCGCTCCAGAATGTCCATCTCGTCGAGCTTTCCGGTGGAAGCTGCTTGGAAAAGAAACTTGCGGAGCTGTTCTCTTTGGTCATAGAGCGGATGATCGGCCTCGATTGTGTCAGCTTCCACGGACATCGGCTCGAATATTCTGGAACTGAACGCATTCCGATGTCTTAACCTGAAGCGGACGTACAGATCGTTCTCCTCGGCTGTCCAGTTTTCCTCCAAAGGCGGCGGTGCGTCCAACGACGAAACACTGCTCGTGCTGTTCAGATGACGATGTTCCATGAGCTGCGGCATTGAGTTCGACATCTGAAAGCATTCCCTCTTGTCACTGACGAACAGAGTACACTAGGCTGGTCGAACAGGCGCCTGTTTTTTCAGGCGCCTGTTCGACCAGCCTAGAGTACACCCACCTTCATAACCGTTCTGTCCACTCTCGTGAACTCTTTCACTCTCTTCTCTTTCCTTTGCACTGCCCGTTTTGCACACTCTTCCGACGTCGGCAGGGACTCCAATTGTCCGATGAGCCCTTGAAGAGCATGCACCGCCGACACTCTGATGTTCTTTCTCAGTCGTCTTTCTATCGAATGCTCCGGCTGATCGTCCGCGCCGTCGCCTATTCTTTTACTCAAAACGTCAATTTGTCTCTGAATATCCAAACATTTCGATCGTAGCTCTTCGCCGTTTTTATGAGAATATACGGACTCGCCATTTCTGAAAACGGAGACAATTAGTAAGGAATATTGTAGAATAGATGCTTACTGGAGACTGATGGCAATCCGCACATACGTTGGCACAAGGTTCTTAACTTCTTCAATCATCTTCTGCATCAGCTCGTACTGCTGCACGAAGATCGGCGGCTCCTTCTTCTCCATCTGGCTCTCCCGCATGTGCAGATCCCTCAGACACGCACTGCACACTCTCATGTGCTCAGACATCTCCTGCTCGTTGAGTGCACCCGCCAGCAGTTCCTCTCCCGTCGCTGCCGAATGCACCTTCTGCACTGCCCCGGCCATGGCTCTTTTCATTCTCTCCTTGGTAATTTGTGAGATAGCAAAGAAGGATCTTCTTCCGTTTTCCTCTTTCTCTCCGTTTTGTTCACTCTGCTCTTCCTGTTGATTTCCGTCTGATTTGTTGAAGATATCTCCAAATGGATTCGAAGTGCTGGTGAGCATTTCTGAACACTTTTTGTGAAGTTATTGAGAGAAGCCGAGAAGCAGAACGTACTGGCAGACTCGTAGGAGAGAAACTTGCTGCATGAATGGCACAGAACTCTTCCGCACAGTCGACAGTGGTGTCGTCGACGGGTGAGACCGAAACGGGCGGCGCAAAGCGGGCAGAAGATGGCTTCCGCGTCGTCCAACCACGGCACGATCTCCCTTTCGAACTCTAGAAGTGCTTCAGTTCTCTCACTCCTCATTCTCAACACACCTTTTCTCTTCACAGGATCTTTCGGCGCTCCGTGAATTAATCTGTCCAGCCTGATGATTAGCATGTTTGTTCTGACGGCGATCTCATTGATGTTGAGCTCCCTCGTGGACAGGAACTCGTGCGTTCGCGATCTTTTCGTGCCCGGCGACACCTCATCCGGTGGCAACGGCTTCGGAATTCTCGGCAACGGAGCTCTTTCCACCAGCTTTTCCGTGGTTTCGACGATTTCCGATCCTACGCTCTGCAGAGGTCCCTTCTTTTGATGCATTCGTTCGTTCACTTACACTGGCAATGTCGGCGATGCTCTTCTTTGCTTCCAGCTTTTGAATTCCTCGTTTTGCTTTATCGAAGAGTCCCTTCACATTCGACACAAACATGCCGGCCAGGTCGCTGCTGTCCTCTTCCGGATGATCTTCTTCCACGTGGCAAATGAGCCGTTCGTATTCTCCGAAGTCTTCCATGCAGAACGGACAGATGAAACCCTGGAATGAGAGGCAATGTTTTCGAGTGATTCATTAAATTAATAAATTTTTCCCATCTTTCCTAATTTTGCCCGCTGCTCACCTGCCTGACCACATCGTTTCCTCGCTCGTTTCCGTCCATTTCATCGACCCAATTCTGCCATATTTATTTCTTTTTCGTTTCCTTCTAGCAGGAGTGATATTCAAGAGAGACGCAGGTCGGGAAGGGAGTGGAGACGAAGGCGTAAATAATGGCACTGCCACGTCAACAAAACGTATACAATGGCAGAAACCAAACGGCCGAAGAGTAAGAAAGATTCAGATAGTCTTTATATTCATTGGACGATATGTCAAGCAATAGGAAAATAAATTACGTAGTACACATTATTAATAGATGAAGGAGAAAGAGAGAGAATGGACAATTGAAAAAATATTTAGAAAGAACGAAATTAAGTTGAAACTGTTTGAGTGTGGGAGGGGGAAAAGACCCGGGGTTAGTACAAATGAATATTATACAAAAAAGAAACACATACTTTGAGATGAGATCCTCAGCTTAAATGGAAGACGTGTGGTTGGAGAAGAGAGGAAAAGAAAAGTGGAATTATTATAATAAGGGGCATTTATATTCAGACGACGCGCCTTCCAGCCGGCACATGGGCGTTGTGCCATCTATATTTAGGCTGACGACGGTACATTTTGCTGTAATGTCGGCGAGCGAGGTAGTTTCTTTTCTTCAGAGAATCCTTGAGGACTGGCATGTCGGCCGTGCACGGCATCTTACGCGGGTAATCTTTGTACATGTTGACGCCCAATTTGAACAACTGAAAGATAATTTATTAAATGAGCACTGTTATTCCACACTACTTACATCATAATCAGCTCGTCGAAGTTCATCAAAGGTGTGGAAGAAAGCAAAATGGGCCTTGGCACGGCGCCAAGTGAGCATGAAAAGAGCCTTCTTCACCGGCATGTGCTCACTCAATTCCATCTGCAGCTTTTGAAGCTCCTCCGCTAATTCTCCGACTTCATGGTCTTCCGCTTCCTCTCTTCCTTCCTCGCTCATTTCTACTCTTGTTGCCGATTCTTCGCCTTCTTCGTCGTTTTCCAAAGTCATCTGTTCAAATATCTGCTTGCTCGACTCGGGAAGGATTCCTCCTTCAATCAGCTTATTTAAAATGCGTGAACCGATCGCCTTCGCATCAAAGTCCTCAATATCCGATGTCATTTCCATCGGATCGTTCGCTTCTTCACAAGTTCGACGGGAAGCTGCAGTCTTCTGATGGCATCCATTCCTCAGTTCTCCGTTCTTTCTCTTCGGAGACACGTGTTTGGCATGTCCGTTGGTCATTCCGTTCGAGGAGGAATGTCCGTTCTCCATTCGTTCGAACTCTTCGTCAATCTTCTCCTTCTTTATTTGTCTTGGCGAGTGCCCTGAAACTTGATCATACTTTTGTTGCCCCCTGGAACCATTCATACATCTTGGACTGATTCTGTTCGCTGAGCCGTTGCACGTATTCGGCTCGTCGTCCTCCTCAACGTCAACTTCCATCTTGGCGAACTTTCTTTCCCGGTCTCTCGACTGCTCTCTGCTCGCAACCCGAGCTCGTCCTTTTCTCGTTGTCATTGGAGTGTCCGGAACTGATTTGCTTTCTCTGAGCTCTCGGCAAGCGGTCATGACCATCGAGCCAATAATTGGGACAATCTTGTTGTTGTTGTTAATTGACTCCTTTTCCTTCTCCGAGTTGCGACGGTTTGGAATGCGATATCCAGAAAGCGACCTGAAGCAAAACTGCAATGTCACTTTCGCAATTCAAGAATGAACTTACGACTTTCGATTGGAAGAAGTTCGTGCACTGCTTGTGGAAGCTTGTTGTGGCGTTGTTTCGAGGGAAACTCTTTTCGTCGCTTTGCTCTGTGCCACAGATTTTCTTCTAGACGAAGATGGCAATGCTAGTTTTTTCCGATACTTCCAGGGTTCGTTAATAAAGAATCTATGGAGCGCTTCCAGAGTGTACTGGTCCAATATGATTTCTTTGAACCTCTCCAGATACTGCGAATCAATCTTCCCCATGAAAGTTTTTCGACACCACGTCCAAAATCTGGTACCCAAATGATATGCTGGATATTCTTCAAAATTGTCTTCTTCGAGGTCTTCAGGAAGCAGACAGATCCTTCAAACATGCTCATGAGTCTCTCATCCAAAGGGAAGTAACTCACTCGACCTCCTTTTCCTCCTCATTCGGAACGGAAGCAGCGCGAGTACTGAGCTGAGCATCTGAGCTAGTCGATGAGCACGGAGCTTGATCTTCGGGCATCACATCGTACTTAGGCATCATTCTGTGATTTCCAATATGATAAAGTCGTTTTTTAACTTGATTACCTGGCATTGAGGTCGGGTGTCGGATAGTACCCCTCGTTCATGAACTGCATTTCACCTCCCATAAAATCCTTTGTAAACTGATTAGCCGATAATATATCTTCCAATTCATGTACAAGATTAATCTGAAAAGCAGGTTTTGAGAGTGGGAGAAAATCCGTTGGAAATCACTTACGAATCCAGTCGACATAAACGGATACTGTTGTCCTCTGATAGCTTTCGTCAAGTACACGGAATTTTCCTCAATGTTGTATGGAGCAAACTCTGGAGGAGCTTGAATAGCAACTTCCGATCCACGGCTTCTGGGTGGCGACGGGGAATCTGGAAACGATTGGGCTACGGTAGGGACAGGGAGTGACTGAATACCTCCTCTTCTGCGCCTCGCAGACCTCCCCGAAGCCGACTTCTTTCTTCGAAGCATCACTTATTGCAGTCTGAAACGGTACACTCTATAGTGAACTTCAAATCGATAAATAAGGGGACGGAACGAAAAGGATGGAGAAGACGGTGGGGAGGCAGAATCTAGAGACGCGTTGTTCGGCGCGGCGACGGAAAAGAGGCTGCAGAATGAGTGTGCGTGAGTGGATGAGCGGACGGAAAGAGCATGGCGAGTGGAGAGACGCCGACGACAGACGCGAACCGGCCAGCACTGGCCGCGAAGGAGACCGCGCTGCAGCTGCCGCAGGCCTCAGCTTGACTCAATCTATCGATTTTTAGAATAATATCGATGATAAAATGAGAGAACTAAGAAAAATCAAGATTCTGTTGAAAACGGGTGCGAGATGGATTACGATACTTTCATGAAATCTAGAGAAGTGTGGTAGAACGAAAATGAGGCATTGAACTGGAATAACATAGTTTATTCTTTCTGATAAAGAAAAAAAAATGATAAACTGAAGAAAAATATCACTATTAATTTCGGCCAGATCGCAAGGTTTGACAAACAACGCTTGTGCACAGCGGTATCTAGGCAAAGCGAGTTTAAGGCTTAGATACGACATTTTCGTGATACGTTTTTTTTTGTTTTTTGTAGACTGCAATAAGGGAATACTTTCAAAAATTTAATTTTAATGATTATGTGCTCTAGAAAGCAGGAAAACTTGATTGAAAAATTGAATTCAAACAACGCGCTTGTTGTTCTCATCAGTCTGCACTTGCGCGTGGCGGTGATTGCGGGCAATACACGGCATACGCGTGGCGAATTCACAACCAGTGCTTTCGCATCGCTTGGTTTTCTGTGATACGCTCTGAAATTCCAGTATTCAGGTATCGTCAAAATGGGAAGCAGTGAAAGTGTTCCGATTCCAGGCGGAGGAACCGAAGGATACCACGTCCTCCGGGTAAGTTAACCACGATTTATAAATATCAATATTGGCTCATACTTTGTTCTCAGGTTCAAGAGAACTCTCCTGGGGCAGTTGCTGGCCTTGAGCCATTTTTTGACTTCATTGTTTCTATCGGAAATATTCGATTGGACAAGGACAATGATACGATGAAGGAAGTTCTGAAGCAGCACATCGAAAAACCTCTCGAAATCACTGTTTACAACAGGTACATTATTTACGGTTTTACCAAAATCTAACAGAAAAACATGCAGCAAGTCGCAGTCTGTACGCCAAACAAGCATTATCCCGTCACAGAACTGGGGAGGACAGGGACTTCTTGGAGTCTCTATCCGCTTCTGCTCTTTCGACGGAGCCAGCCAGCACGTGTGGCACATAATTTCTGTGCAGCCCAATTCGCCTGCTTCCCTGGCCGGTTTGATCACTGACACCGACTACATTCTTGGAGCTGAAAGTGTCCTCCATCAGGCCGATGACTTGATCGCCCTTGTTCAAGCGAACGAGGGAAAGCCGTTGAAGCTATATGTTTACAATGTTGACACTGATGTCGTCAGAGAGGTAACTTTTCATTTAAAAAACATTAAGTTTTACGTTTATTATCAGGTGTCGCTAACTCCGAATTCTGCATGGGGAGGAGAAGGATGTTTGGGTTGCGACATTGGTTACGGATATCTTCATCGCATTCCTGTTTCGGTCGACAGATCCAATAATCTCCCGCCGTCAATTGCCCCAGCCCAGCTAAAAGTTCCAGTTGGCAATCCTCTAGTTGATAAGGTAACACATACTATCTATCCAATTAATTCAGTTTGGATTCAGGTGAATTCTGCAAAGCCTCTATCAGCTGCCAACTTCCCGGACCCGTCGCAGTTCTCGTCTTCCGTGACTTTCCCGCCCGCCCCAACTCCCCTCATTCAAAATTTACCGCCGCCACCGCAACCGGCTTTCCTTCCACAACCACCGACGTCCTACGCTCCGCCGCCAGTTGCTCAACAGCAATTAACTAACGAACATAACGGACATGGGCATTCGCACGGTTCTGGAGCACACGGACATTCTCATGACTCGGAAGACCATGGACTTTCTCATGATCACGGGCATTCCCACGAAAACGGCCATGGTCACTCACATGAGCATTCCCCATCACCACAAGTTCCTGTCTCGGCTCCAACGCCAACTCAAACCTACCCACAGCAATATGTGGAACCAGCTCAGTCGGCAACCGATTACTACAAACAACAGCAGCAGCAGGCCTATCAGCCAGCGGCTTCACCGCCAATCAGTTATCAAGCTTATCAACCACCAGCACCGGCTCCTTACTATCCGCCTTCAGCTGCACATGCTGCTCCGAACACCTCCGCTTATCAAGGTAATGATTCGAAGAAATTAGTTTAATTTAGAATAATGTCATTTCAGCCCCGTATTATCCTCCTCCAACGTTCATGCCACAACAATCCACGTATAACCCGGGATACCAAGCCCCTGAGATTCCATCTGGAGTTCCTCCGATGTTCTCCGCTTCAGCCACTCCCGCTCCGCCAACTTCCTACGTGAACCGTTAGTTTCCTGTACTTTCATTGCATTCATATCCTTCCGTTTCCAGCTCTTCCTCCACCACAGTTCCCGATGCCGTCTCTCAGTTCGATCGGAATTACGCAGTTGGCCGCTCCACCTCCACCAGCTCCGGTTTCTTCGAACTACCCAACGCCGCCCATATACCCGCAATACGGAGCGTATCCACCGACCACGTCACAAAACTAATTCGTACAATAAAGGGGAGCCTCACAAGTGCCGGTACTTTCCACTAGCGTTATATCATGATTAATTAATTTATTGAACGTTTTAGCAATCCGCTTTGTTCTGGGAGATGCTTGTTTCTTGTTTTCTCAATGTGTGTAGTATATCAAAGACATGTTATTTCTTTGTGAATGGGATCGCTTTCGAAAATCTTTATTTATTACTAATATAAACGGATGTCTTGAAATGATTCGCATGAACTTCAGAGTTCTTGTTTAGAGAACGAGTATCGGTTCTTGGCGGGTTTCAGTTTGTTGAAAACGCTCTCGTGCTTCTTGATGTCCTTGAACGGCTCCGTCGTCGTCTTTTCCACCGCCTCCTTCTCCATCTTTTCTGTTTCACTCAACAGTTTCCTCAGAAGTTTTTTCACCATTTCGTGGAGTCTCTTGTGATGCGTGTTATTGAGCAGATCGATCACAAACTGAAAAGTCATCAAATATGCAACCGAAAGGGATCACGGAATGAACCTTCCGAATGTTTCCCTCTTCGAATATTTCGTCTCCAATCCATGGCGCTGGATAGGAATGGACGAACTGATCGATTACGAGAAAAGGGAGTGTTCCGGGGCTCCGATTGAAGTGGACCAGCACTTTGGCCATCAGATCCCCGTCAGCCAGCAATGGATTGATCAACGAGAGGAGGGTTTCGTTTAGCTCCCGGCGGATCTGAAAACACATTCTCGTTCCCTAACTGGACGCCCTCCAAACGGACCGTCTGAATGTACCTCGTGTCGATGTCCTTGTCGTCTTTCTTCCGGAATAGAACGAGCATAGGCCTCCCGTCCTCGGCCATCTCCTCCGCATTTCCGAACGTCAGCTCTCTCACCATTCCAACCGACCTTTGACGGACCCATTCGACAATTTCCTTGAAGTGCGTCACGGTGCCGTTGAACGTTTGCACGTGCTCTCCGTCTAGAGAGAACCACAGTTTATGTTCCTCGTGCTCGAGAGAGTTGCCCTCGGCCGGCGCCACCACAGTCAGCTGATCGTGAATGAGAGCGATGGCCTTGAGGATAAGCTCGAACGGCGGAGAGTGGCGGGGGAACCAGACGATGAGAGTGCCCTTCTGGGGAACCGTCCGTGTCTGCCATTGTGTCACACTCTCCACTTCCTTCAGCTCCACCAGCCCACTCGTATTCTCCATTTTCTCAACGTATTCGACGAGTGCTCGGGTCTGCCGGGACCCTCTGTACTCGACCATCATGTGTCCGTAGAAGAACACTTTCGTCGTCGGATACTTTCCGATTTGGTACGCGCCGCAAAGTTTTCCCTGATCCACACAGTCCACGTTTCCCCAGATCGTCTTTCTGTCCGGATACTTTTGCTTGTAATAGAGGGCGGATTGGCTGAGCGTTGGCATTAGCTTCTTCGAGAACGGACACCATGAAGAAGTGAAAGAAACGAATGTGAGCTGAGAAAAAGTGAAAAGACATATATGTGGAAAAGGTTAAAGTACCCGACTGTTCTGCATGATTTCGTCGTGGTTTGAAGAGGTGATGGACACGAGTTGACTGTTGAATCCATTGTAAAACAACGATCCGAGCAACAAAATCGATCTGAAAATGTGCTTCTGATGGGTATGAATAGTTGAGAAGGACTCACAGAAACGACATTGCGCCGTATTACTGGAAGCGCCCATTTCATTTTACTTCATTCTCTGTGCCACGTAGATGCACGCGATTGTTCACGTAAAAATTTTTAACGGGAAGTGTCTGATGTGACTGGAAAATTCTGCAAAAAAGTCTTCTCATTGAGATACGAATTCCTATCGATAGGCTAGGCTATCGATAGGCTAGCTATCGGAAATTACTTTCGAAAAGATAAACCGAATTTCGCCATCAACTGCATCATGATCATCCGAAAAACTTTGAAAACATCGTTTTAAGGGATTATTCAGGCTGTGAAAAAATGATTGTTTTCCTTTTTTTTTCGTTTTTTTACGTCAAAAAATCCAATTCAGCGATGTAAAAAAAGAAAAAAACGGGAAATAAACATACGCTGAATAGCCCCATTATACCGTAAATTATCAAAATTTTCCTGCGCCAGACTTGCCCAAAATAAGGGAGAAATTTTTTTTGAAGGCCCGGCCCGCTCGGCACGTCACAAAAAATGTGTGCGAACTTTCGGCGGTCCAACATGATAGAACTGGGCAGAATATGTAGAACTGCGCAGAATAGAACTGTTTTTGTGTATTTATATGAGCATTTTGTCCGTTCTTTCGCGAGTTGCCTGAATTGATGGACCCTTCTCAACTCGTGATATTGTCCTTTAACTCCAACGGATGCCTTTCTGATACTCAATAACACAGATTCTGGGGAACAATGTTTATTGTCGGAGGAAAAGACGTTGGCTAAAAAACCTCCACATCCTATTTACGAACCGACACACGGAACGAGCGGATGTCTCCAGAAATGGATAGGATTCTAATTACAGGATACAGAATAGTGGTTACTTACGGCTACGCGCGGCTCTAACTCCAACTCCTCACTAGAAGTGTTCGCAATCCGTCTGCAGCCGCACGGTGTACACGTGTGACCTCGGGAGCTAAAACCCTTCTCCATCTCCCGCTCATACACGGAGCCAATCATCGCCGTGCCGCCTCACATGTGAGAACAATATTAGTGATAAACAAGTAGAAAAGTAATGAGAAAAGGGGAAGATTGTCGCGTGCATCTGCCACTGCTCGACGACACGAGCTCCCGAACCGATCGTCTGCCACCGATCGTCTCCAAACCCGAGAAGTGAGTCCTCGCTCCGAATCCCAAAACCTGCACTCGATTTCAAGGCGCAGGGGGGCCTCGTTACCAACATAAAAGGTTGAGAGGGATGTCGCTATTGGGCGATCCCTCGCGACATTCCCCCGGCGAGAAAGTGGCGCAACCTGCCATTTTCTTGTAGTCAACTGGTTCTTTGACTCTTCGTGGTAGGCTCTTTCTCGTAATAGTGGCCCCCTCGCCCTGGTTCGTTGATTTTCCAACTACCGTAATCCTTCCCCCTCCCCCTTTCGTTTCCGTCGTCGGGGTCGGTAGGACCTTGAGTTCTCCGCCTTCGATGTTCCTGGACTTTTTTTGTGTTACCACTTCGTCCAGGTCGAGTTCGAGTGGTATTAGGTGTTTCACTGACCTTTCTATGGTCGTGTTATTCGTCCGTAGTACCACCGCCCTGGTCTCCCCATCCGGTTCCTTTTTCAATTCTAGAATTCGCCCCAGGGACCACCTCCTTCAAGATCAATTCCCTAAACTCTCCCCTTGTTCGCCACTTGTGTAACCGTCTCGGCATCCTTGTTCGGGTACCGATCCTTGCAGAGCGAGTTGTGGTGGATCTCCCGGCAGTTTTGGCAGCGCCTTCGTGATTTCTCGCACTTGGCGTGGTTTTCCGAGCGGAAACACTTGATGCAGATCCCTTTCTGGAGCAATTGCATCGTTCTTGAGCTCCAGTCCGTGAACTCCGTGCACTTCTCTGCTGCGTGCACTCCTGAGCAGAAGATGCATGCTTGCTGGGGATACTTCCTGTCGTCCGTGGCGGCTCTTTTACGCGACGGTTCTCCCGCTGCCGAGCTGACTCCTCTCTGCCCGGGGGATCCCTTGACTATTTGCGATACCAATGTCGAATGGATGCTGTCCAGCTTGGCTTGTGCCGTTCCGAACGCTCTTTCCAACGATTTGACCTGATCTGAATTGTAATCGATCGCCTTGGTGAGATCTTTCAGCAGGTGTCTCTCCTGATCCGATCGCTTTCTGTCGTCCTCTCTCATTTTGGATATCTCCGTCGTCAATGCATTGAGTGCTCTGACGACTTGCTCCGATTTGATCTCCGTCCGAATCTGATCAACTATCGTCTGCTGGTCTTCTTTGACTTTCCGTAGTTCTCCGGAACTCTCCGAAGTGGACAGCGCTATATCCTCAAGTTGTCTTTGGATGTGGGCCAGCTCGATTGCCATGAGGCTATCCGTTGATGACTCGCTTCCATCGGATTCGGGCGTTCTCGCTCGGTTGCTCGAGCCTTCTTCCCTTTGGCGATTGGCGTCTCTTCTTGGAAGCAGTCCTCCGCGAGTCTTTGCCAGTTTCCCTATAACACACCATGTTTTCGTGGGGATTTCTTTTTGATATTCTAATCGACGAATTTGCGACATATTATGAGACGGTACAATTCTGTCGTGATATTCTCTGGATGCTCTCCCGCGCTTCTCTTCCGCGCGCCGTCTATTCACATCTGCCACGTCTCTCGCCGCACCCTGTTCGAGACATGTGAACAGACTCTCCTTCGCAGCTCATTTTGAGTGTCTTTTGGGACTCTTCTCATCGCTGCGCTATCCGAGGCCCCCTCGCCTCTCATCTTACTCTAATTCTCCATCAAGGTTCGTGTTTTTACCGATCCTTACCGATTCTCTCGCCTCGCGTCTCAATTTTACTGACTTTTGACGGAGAATTGGAAATTTCGGTGCAGTTGGGCTGTCCCTAACTGCACATCGGTCTGATGCACCATTTCGCGAGTTGCCTGAACTGATGGACCCTTCTCAACTCGTGATATTGTCCTTTAACTCTAACGGATGCCTTTCCGGTACTCAATAACACAGATTCTGGGGAACAATGTTTATTGTCGGAGGAAAAGACGTTGGCTAAAAAACCTCCACATCCTATTTACGAACCGACACACGGAACGAGCGGATGTCTCCAGAAATGGATAGGATTATAATTACAGGATACAGAATAGTGGTTACTTACGGCTACGCGCGGCTCTAACTCCAACTCCTCACTAGAAGTGTTCGCAATCCGTCTGCAGCCGCACGGTGTACACGTGTGACCTCGGGAGCTAAAACCCTTCTCCATCTCCCGCTCATACACGGAGCCAATCATCGCCGTGCCGCCTCACATGTGAGAACAATATTAGTGATAAACAAGTAGAAAAGTAATGAGAAAAGGGGAAGATTGTCGCGTGCAACTGCCACTGCTCGACGACACGAGCTCCCGAACCGATCGTCTCCAAACCCGAGAAGTGGGTCCTCGCTCCGAATCCCAAAACCTGCACTCGATTTCAAGGCGCAGGTCGCTACCATTATGGGTCTCGACGCGCCCGATCTACCGCAGGTCCCCGCCGTCTGCGTCTCTACAGCGGCGTGAGTCTCGGCGAGAGTCTCTGCGTCTCCAGCCGCCACCTGTTCTCTCGTCTCTTGGCTATTGAGTGGGAACGAACACCGAATAACTTCATTAGTAGAACATGAAAACTTGACAGACGGGAGTCTGTCGTTGGTAATCGAGCCTTAGGCCTCGTTACCAACATAAAAGGTTGAGAGCAGGGGTGTGCGGAAAATTTTTTTCGGAAAATTTCGGAAAATCGGTTTTTCCGAATTTTTTTTTTCGGAAAATTTCGGAAAAATCGGAAAAATCGGAAAACTCACTTGTTCATTGGTTCAGTAAAGTGTTTAAACAACGTTCTAATACAAAAAAATGCTTATTATGATTTGAAATCACTTGAGTGGGCGGAAGCCAAGCAATGGAATATTTTTTTGCAAAAAAATTAGCCGAGAGAAGCTCTCCGGGTCCAGTGTTTTCCGATTGTCAGTGAGAATCAGGGGTGTGCGGAAAATATTTCGATTTTCCGAAATTTTCCGATTTTCCGAGAAATTTTCGGAAAAAAGACGCTCGCTGCTAGACCCTTCCAAAAATTTTGTGATGCGCCTTTAAAAAGCATACGGTGGTTTCGGACAAATTGACCTTGAATCCACACTAATTTTCCGAAAATTTTGCCGAAAATTTTCGGAAAATTTTCCGTCGGAAAAATTTCCGAAAATTTCTCGGAAAATCGGAAAATTTCGGAAAATCGAAATATTTTCCGCACACCCCTGGTTGAGAGGGATGTCGCTATTGGGCGATCCCTCGCGACACGTTCCTTTCAATTAACTTTTGCAAAATTTTTCGTCTCTCGAACAATTAAGCAGAAGACCACAGTTTATACCTAGAAAATTGGTTTCCTTTCGTTTTTGATAGTATAATTATTTTCTGTGGGTTTTCGTTACAGTAGAGAACAGGGATCACGGCGGAAGTGAAATTAATGAATGCAATAAATCGATCACGAGATTCAAAAACTATCTTTTTCTACGAAACAATTATTCCACAGAAAGGCTTAAAAGGCGCTCCAAACAGTTTTTAATAACTCATTTATTCGCTTCGACCACCAGAAAATCTTACAGAAGAGGAGAGGGAGATATAAATAGTGGGTGGAGGAGGGAATAATGACTAAAATGACCATTGGCCGGCAATAGCCATAGGTTAAGTAGTATACAATATACAAGAGGGAATCTTTTCTATGCGCGTCGCAAGCAGTTCTATTCTGCCCAGTTCTATTATGTTGGACCGCCGAATTTTCCACGATTTTTCCGGAAGCGCGAGGAGACGTTTTCGAGTGATAAAGATGGCTTCGCGAACAGTTCCAAACTCGAAAATGGATAGAAAGCTCGTCGAACTGCTGAACAAAAAATAAAAAAATTTTTTAAATAAAATTTCTGGCGGGCCTTGTAGAATTTTTTTAAAGCCCGGCCCGGCCCGTTGCAAGTCTGTCCTGCGGACTTATTCACTTTTCCGAAAATACCACTATACGCTACATTTATTGTGGTAACCCATTTCTTACTCATAATTCCATTTCCGTTTCCAATTACAGATATTGTACCTTTGTCTCGTGAACAACACTGGAGATTGCTTTCCTCCAAATCCCATCTAAAATTCCATATAATCCGTTATCTTCTCCAAAACATGCGCTCTCCGCCCGCTCGATGTCATCGTGAATTCTCAATTCGGGGTCTCCCTGGTAACCAAGTTATTCGGCCGTCTCAAGTACATTCGCGCGCGCATTCATTCCGCGCATTCTCCGCAGTCAATGAGCCGGTGAGCACCTCCTGCCAAACGAGTAATTCTCTGTTTTCTCCACCTTCTCTCCCTCCCGATCACTCTCTAGTTCTCTTCCAATTATTTGACTATTCAATGCTTCTGGCAGCCGATCCGAATGCAGCCATTGACATTGATAAGCTGGTCAGTCCGCCCGTCGCCCGGCTCGTTTTTATCCGATATTCAGGTCGGATGGCTCCTCGCTCAGGCCGAGCAAACGAATGCGAACGGATGTCCGGACAGCTTCTGTTTGATCGATGTGAACGACCACGACGTCTACATGAGTTCCCATTTGGCCGATGGTTTCCTCCCATTCCTCTTCCCACCATTTACCCATTTTCCTTCAGCCTATCATTATGATCGAATTATGCTTGCCCGTCTCATTTACGAAACTCCGATTCTGGCTCAAGCTCGCGCGGAAGGGCACCTTCTGGTTGTCTATGGAAGGGAGGCCGAACGAGTGACCAAAGTATTGTTTCAGAGAGGATTCAAGACTGTTTTGCTGAAAGGAAGTTTGTGTGTTTCTCTGGGTGTTGCCAATTCAGAAGTTTCAGATATTGCCTTGTTTCGAGAGCAATATCCGTGTCTTCTGGAGCCCACGATCGACTTTGTTCAGCTCAGGGAGATTTATGAGAGGAAAAAGTTGAGAATCCGATTTTCCAGGTTTTTTCCTCATTCACCTTTTCAGAAACAACGTTTACGGCGGACGTCTCTGGCGCAGTACATCAGCTTCCCGTCTTAAATCGGTAGATCGGAACGAACGGGCGGAGAAGGCGAAGAAAGTGAACCGACCTGCAAGTCAGTCTAGGAAGCCTTGGCTTTGAAATATTCCTTCCCTACACATTCTGTTCTTTTAACACTCTAACGGTGGAATCAATGAAATATCTTCAGTTTTGTTTGCATTATTCTATTCTTATTCATGAAAACAAAGAAATCGAAACGGTCAACTGCCAATCACTAGACTAACCAAAAAGAGAGAGCAAGGAAAATACACACAAGATTTTGAGGATAGAAAAGGGAGGTTCGGCAGTTTAGATGAGCACGTCGAAGTCGCGGAGCTCCTCATCGGATGGAAGAGTAGCAGTCACGCGCTCTCTGAAGACAATAGTATTTTGTGCATCTCTTGAATCTTTTCAGAATTACCTCGGGATGAGGTCAGGACTGATGAGTGGGAGTCCCGCCTTCTCACGTCTTGCTATTTCTAAATGAGCCTCTCGGAGAGCCCACTCTCTTCCCATTGGCCTATAAACTCTTTTCTGTTATTTTGTTTATTGTGAACAAACTCAATTACCAATCTGGGCGAGCGAACATGATCCAGCAGGTGAACCAGGTGGTGAGGACGGTGAACAGAAGGAACGCGGCCTGGTGGAAGCGAGCCCAATCTTTGTGCTCATCATGTGCCACTTGCGAGAACCAAATCCACTCTCTTCTCTGTAAAAAAAACGAAGTTTTCTGATCATACTGTACAAAACAAACCATTTTGGCTCCCTGGTCCTTGGCCAGCGGTCTTCTCCATCCGTCTCCGAAAAGCCAATCAAGACGTCCGCCATTCAACTTCGGCCATGGGTTTTCATATGCATACGAGTCGGAACCAGGTCTGGAAACACAGAAACTAGCTCTGCCAGCTGCAAAAATAGCGCAAGTACCTGTAATTGTCGGGTTTTCTCTCGATTTTGGCATCTGAGTGAGAATGCGACGAGACAAACCGTCTAAAACCCAGCGACCGGAAATTGGCCGACGTTTGAAGGCGGCTCAATTGGAGCAGCATCTGAAAATCACTGATAAAATCGATTGGAGTTGTGTGTACTGCAAAAACGATAAAAGATATTTTGAACAAGGTTTTGAACACGATTATATTTAAAATTGTTCAGTAAATATAGATTTTTAAGTTTCAAAAGGAAAAAAGTCAATTTTGACTGAGAAAAACCTGTGAAAAGTGTAAAAAACCGGAAATTTGTGAGTGGTGCGGCGAAGAGTGCGGTGGAGCGCGTTTGCATTTCCCCGCAAAAAACTCACGTTGATTTGTTTGCATCTTCATTTTTCAGCCAATAATGAATGATTCCGAATGGGTAGCAGGAATAAGCAAGAAAGATGCCGGAAGATACAGCAGACAAATTCTTGTGAACGATTTTGGTGTCTCAGGTATCACATTTGAAGATTTTGGGATTGAAAAAAGGTTTTCAGGTCAAAAAAGTCTAAAAGACACGAGAGTGTTGATTGTCGGAGCCGGAGGTCTCGGATGTCCAGTTGCAACGTATTTGGGAGCTGCCGGGATCGGAACACTGGGAATCGTCGACTACGATCATGTATGGGAATGAAACCATAAAAGAAAGAAGTTGGAGATTGCAGATCTCTGCTGATAATCTTCACAGACAAGTCACCTACAAGGAAGCCCAAATCGGACAATCCAAAGCTCACGGATTGGCAGACAACATCAAACTGTAGGAAGAATCGGACTTCGTCTGGGCAGTACTATTTATGCTTCCAGACAGAACAGCAACGTCAATCTGAAAGTGCACGAAGTATCGCTCGACAGTTCCAATGCAATGGACACTTTCAAGGAGTACGACATCGTTTGCGATTGCACTGACAATGTCGCCACGAGGTCTCACATTTGTTCTGACAGTTTATCAGAGCCAATCCTTCAGATATCTGATCAACGACGTCTGCGTCCTTCTGAATCTGCCGTTAGTCAGTGGCAGTGCTCTCCGATGGGACGGACAACTTTCTGTTTACCATTACGGAGAAGACTGTCCCTGTTACCGATGTCTGTTCTCCTCCCCGCCAGATCCATCAACTGTTACCAATTGCAACGAAGGAGGAGTTCTTGGTCCCGTCGTCGGAATCATCGGAAGCATGCAAGCATTGGAAGTCATGAAAATTGCCTCCAATGTGCCTGGTTAGCATATGCAATCGATATGCATACGTTTTTCTTTTCCAGGAACTCTTTCTGGGAAGTTGTTCCTATTCGATGGTCGCGAAGGGAAATGTCGGACAATCCGTTTGAGGAAGAAAGATCCAAAGTGCGCCGTGTGCGGAGAGAATCCGACTATAACAGCCCCTATTGACTATGTACTTTTCTGCGGATCCGGTGCTCATGACAAGGTATGTACGTGAGGGAACTCTTTGTGATCACATTCACTTTTCAGACAGAGAACTTAAAGCTGCTGGAACGAAGTGACCGACTGGAAGTAGAAGAGTATCGAGATGAACGGAGAGCACGCAAACCAGTGTTGCTGGACACGAGACCGCCCGTCGAGTTTGAGATTGCACACCTGCCGGAGGCGATTAGTCAGTGTCCTTTGTCTGTTGCAAACGATTGCGGATCTTTGCAGACATCACTCTGGACCAATGTCGATCTCTTCCTTCTACTGAAATCCTCTCCCGATTGGGCGTCTCCGCCTCTTCTTCTGATGTCTTCGTAATCTGCCATCGTGGAAACGACTCGCAACGGGCGGTCCTTTTGCTCCGCGAGAAGCTCAGTTCTATTCAGTTCAAGGACATCATCGGAGGGTATGAGCAGTGGGCCCACAGAATCAACGATCAGTTTCCACTTTATTAAATTTGTTATTTTTACCTTATAATTGTTCTGCCGGGAAAGTCGGGCATAATGCATGAGCCCGTTTTCCAAAACATAAAAAGAGAAAAGAAATCATCAGGGAAAGTGAGAAAGTAAGAATTTTACGCAATATCGGTCGGGTTCGATGAGTCACGGGGTACGATTTCCTTCCAGATGAACCAGCAATTGAAAGCGAAGCAGATGACGCACACCCAATCGGCCAGCTGAAAAGAAACGGAACAGTCAGAGAAAGACAGGCACAACACGATCCACAAACCACAGAAATAGCAAGTTTTCCATTGTTAACGTCTCTGTTGGAGAACGTGGCATTCTGGCCGACCCACGATTGCTGCTGGAACAGCTCTTTCAGTCGGTCGTCCGAAGTCGACGTTCCAATTGTGTTGGCCCCGGCCCACCAAATGGAGCTGCAGAAGAAGAAGAGAATGAAGAAAAGAGCAGTCGCGCCGAGATCCACAAGCGGAATTCTTTTTTCAGTTTGATAGACATTCCAGAAGATGACGTAAACGAATGCGACGAAGATGACGTAGATGAGAGCGGCGACGTTGACAAAGTAGAAGAAGCCGGCAGCCCCGCCGGCACTGTCGTCTCCCGGCCAGAAGGAGTACATCTGCTTGTCGCATCCAGTCAGTTTCACCTTCGACAGTCTGCAATGCCACTTGAAGCTAGAAAGAAATTCGGAAGAACTCACGAGAAGGTGTACACTTTCTGAGTGCTCATCACCGTTGCATTGTCCGTTTTGCAGTTGTATTCAACTGTCAGTCCCCAACTGTTAACGGCTGCAATCGCAATGATTATGAATACCTGAAAAGAAAATTCTGAACTCAATCGATATTTTCGGCCGAATTTCTTACAAATTGAATGATTCGGATGAATCCCAAAGGGAACTTGAATGCGGATAAATTGAGTTGCGCAGGCATTCGTTCACTCTGAAATCGATTGGTTCTATGGCTGAAAGTGTCGAAAGTAATAATAATAATAACAGAACGGAGAGAAAACGAGAAGTGAGTCAGTACTTTGATAACGAAACGGCGAGACGGCGGAGAGACGAGAGAAAACTGTCCCATGGCCGGATCGAGTGCCGTTTCGAGGACATCGATCGGAAGGTCGGAGACGCAGACAATGCCAGTCGACTGTTTGCCGAGTTTGTTTACTTACACCGCCCATTTCTACGTTCTTAAATTAGGTTTATTCATTCTGCAATGAACACATTTCGAATAGAAGTGCATCGGGATCCTAGAAAATAGATAAAAGGGACAGAGGAGTGAGAAGATAACTAAGAAAGAATCTTTATCTGCCAAGAATACGACGTAGAAAGGAGGAACAACTACTTTCACAGGAAAACGCACATTCGAATGGGAGGCGAGTTTTCAAAATGAGGAATTCAGAAAAATTTAGCTCGATCCAATGACGATGGTGGTATCCTTGAAGGAGTAAGCCGGAACGTGAAGGTTCAGTGGTGCTGGTCCCTGAAAAGAAACATTAATTTTCGAAAATAGAAATTAAGATAATGATTTTCAGTCGAATTCGTATCAGAGGCCAACACTGTTCATCGTCGTAAACGATGGCTATACCCTGCCAAAAAAAAACGAATGAACTTCAACCCGATGTTGAAACTTCACTTGTTCCTCGTCAGAGTACTTTACCATACGACTCGCAGAGCAAGAATGATTTTTCGTCATTTACGAGCTTGTACTGCAAGCAGATGAAATCAGCAGCTTACCTTTCTGATACGTCCAGAAGCGTCGTAGTGAGAACCGTGGCACGGGCAATAATATCCTCCAAAGTCTCCAGCATTGGCTGAAAAACGAAGAATTTTAAAACTTATAATAATCTTGTGTTCCTAACCGATTGGAACACATCCAAGATGGGTGCACACTCCAATGACGACGGACCACTCGTCCTTCTGCACACGCTCGTCATCGTGCTGCGGGTGGCGGAGATCAGCGACCGGCACAGCCTTCTCTCTAGCGATTTCGGTCTTGGTACGATGTTTGACGAACACCGGCTTTCCACGCCACTCGAATGTCTTGGTTTGTCCCTCCGGAATGTCGTTCATGTTAATTTCGATCGAAGCCAAAGCACGCTGATCGGCAGCCATAGCCTAGAACATTGAGTTGTCGAGACTTAGGTCTGAATGAAAATTACCTTGTAGGAGACCAGAGTTTGAACGACTTCCTTTCCGGCCCACAGAGAGAGAACTCCTCCGGCTCCGTAGTAGAGAGCGGTTGGAAGAGCACGACGCTGATCCTCGGTGTCACGGGCTGGGGTTTGGGTGTTCTTGGTCGAATCACGGCGGTAGTTCGTCATGTCCGGGAAGGTAACGTCGGTATGAGCCAGGCGGCGGGAAGTTACTTAAAATGAAAAATAGATCAAAGTTTTCTTCTAATCTTACCATTGATTCCCTTAACGGCGAGTCCGTTGGTGAAAACTCCTCCGGTGCTGCGGCTCACGGCGGCTTGACGTGCCTCGGCAGTAGAGAACTCGGCCGGGACCTCTCTGAATGCGACGACATTTCCGGCAGCTGGAGTGGCAGCAACAAAGTTGGCGTGCGGCTGGGATCCGCTAATCTGAAACAGAATAACTGAAACAAAGTTAGCTTTTCAAGTAATTTCAAGAATCGGCCCTGGAGAATGTTTTCAAGGCATGTACGCTTACCACTTTCACTGCGAATCCTCCAGATCTAGCGAGAGAAGCCATTGCCCCAGTTGATGTCTGAAATGAATTTTTTTGAATTGTTGAAAAATTAAGACATTTGAAAATAGCGGTTTGGTTAGTCTAGACGATAAAACAACAGTACTAAGATGATAAACTGGCTGCTGATTTTTATGAATTTACTATTTTCACTGAAAAAATTCCTGGCTGAAGCTTGAAAAACGCTGAAATTGGGACGAAATCGACGGGCGGACTGTCTCGCCGCGGAGACGCAGACTCTTGGGCACGCGTCGCACGACGCGCAGTTATCAATGGAGCGCGCTTTCACAGCGGCATTGGGCCTCGACTCCGAGCTCTCCGTGGATCCTTTGTAATAATCGCTGACAGCAGGATCTCAATTTCAAAATAATGACGCGGGTACTAGGCCGTTTTGCTTGCACAACACTCGGCGACAAGCGTGAGTCTCCCCCACCACCAGCTGTGAATCGAATGCGAGCTGAGAAGCCCGCAGATATTCTTGTCGCAGTACTACTGATATCTGGCTCCAGGAGCATTCTTTTCGACGTTTCAGAATGGTAGGTAATTGATAAGTAGCGTTGAGAGCACTAAGTGATGAGAAAGATGAAAGAGAAAACATCTGTTTCGTGTTGGCACTCTCCGGAGACCAAACAATTTAGCAAAATAGATTGAGAGAGGAGAGAGCTGTTTGATACTGCGGCCGACTCATAGAGTTGTAATCGAGGTCCAATCGAGTCGTGAAGAAGTCTTCTTCTGTCTTCCGGACCTGATTGGTTTCAGATGGGAAGCAAAAGAGGGCGCGGCGCGGCTTCTTCGAATCAAGAGCGCGTCCGCACACATCTCTTCTTCGGATCGAAAACGGAGAGGCCGCACCAAAAGCGGAAACGGAGAGCTCAAAGTAAGTTTATTGTTTCTCAATCACTGTACCAACTTTTGTGCTACAGATAAACTTCACGCGACTGTGAAAGACAAAAAAGACGAAATGGTGCAAGCGGGAGCCAGTGAGATAGACCCTCTCCAATGGACCGGAAATCAAAGAGTTTTGCATTTCGGGCCAATGGCACAAAGGGATCCGTACTTCTACTATTATCCTAAAGGCTGGGATATCCTGTATCCTGCCACATTCGGTTTCTTTCCCTACAGAACATCGTTAGTCTGTCGTTATCGATTTTCTCATTCCCTTCGTTTTCTAGGAAGTTTCGTGGCTCTTCCTCTCTGATTTGCTGCTCTGCATTTGGTTTTTTCCTGCTTATCGGCGGTCTGCTCATGTCACTTCTCGGATACAAGTACCTCTACACCTCGCCCTTTTGGACATGGCCTTATGAACAGCGAATCCGTCCCCCGCCCATCCAGATTGCTGGTCCCATCCTTTTCTTCCTCGGATCCGTCTTCCTTCTCATTTCCTTCATTTACTTCATTTGCACCACAAAATTGTGCGATATTTCGCTGCATCACACGAGGAAGCACGAAGATCCATCACGGTTGACAACTATAACCACTCACTACACGGTAACCTATTTCTCTTGTCTTCCGAATCACTTTCTCACTTTCAGCCATTGCCTCCGATTTTCGAAAAGGATCCTTATCAGCCTTTACCCCCTCCTGCCTATCCTGTTCTTGAAAACAGACACGCAATGACAAATGTAGTAAAACCGCACGACGAGAAGAAGCTCTATCCTCCTGTGTAATTGCTAATATGTCACTTCTTCCCATCCAACTCATTTCCTTTTCAGAATCCCTGGTTGTTCAACTCTTTCTCTCCATCGTCGTTCTCCGAATCACATCTTTATTGCCAGTCCATACAACACTCTCCGTGCCACAAGCGTCGGGAGATATCAATCGGGATTCCTGGACACTAACTCAATTCTTGAGAACCGATACGGCTCAAGAACAGCTTCTGTGGCAAGTCGGAGGCAATCGAGTGAGGCTTCCAGTCAGAAGAGGTCTAAATCAATGGGCCCATTACATCGGACGGGCTCGAATCGGAGCAAGGGCTCCGGCCGATCCAAAAGACGTGAGAACAGTCAGATATAATTTGGATCTTTCTATCTTTCATCTATGTGCTCAAATAAACATTCTGGTTTCCGGCTTAATTGATGTCAATGTCTGTGCGTCTTTATCGCTGATGACTCATATCTACCTATTTTCTTTCTAACCTTTCGCTTACTGATAACCGCCCGTTTCTCTTTTCAGTTCGTTCAATTCGATACTCCGCCACTAAATACAGCAGATTCTAGATAAGTTATTCTGGTTAATTAGCAGGTAATTTCTACATGTTTTGAAATCAATTTGAACTTTAACATTCATTTGAACCTAAAAAACCAGACCACTAATAAGAACATAAAAACCAGAAAAGGATTCGGATTATATTCGCACCTCGAAAGATGAAACTAGGCCAGAGAGTGCCAGTCGTTGTTATTTATTTCGCAACCAACTTTCCCTCTCTAAGTCCGCTACGCCCATTCGTTCCCGTTCCAGTTTAGCTTCCCCCAATCCCCTCTTCTTTTTTCCAGATGTCGTCGGCTCCGTCGTCGTCGTCTCTGCCGGGGTGCTCTCATGTCCGTCGTCATGAGGACCTGCCGACGCCAAGCGCGCCTCCTTCCAAACGGAGTAATATGCAGCCGGAAGAGTACGAACCGAGCGCCTGGCTGCAACAACAAATGGAGCAGGAGCAGCAGAGAAAGCTGGCGGCCGAGGAGGAGAAGCAGAAATCTGCCCAACCGACGGAGACCGAGGAGGAGGAAGAGGTGAGGCGGCGAGACCGGTCGATTTCGCAACGGCGGATAAGGTGACGAAAGTCAATCTGTCCGCATTCACAACTGAAAAATGTTGCCGAGAGTCGAGTTGCAGGATGTGCTCTCGAAGCCGTGCGGACCCCACAAAAGACGCTACAACTACGTGATGGTCCGCAATATCACTTTCGCCATTCCGGAGGGATATGACGTCGAGGAGGGGAACATCGAGTACTTGGGAGGCGGCTCATTCGGAAATGTCATGTAAGCCCCTTTTATGGTCATCCCATCTTATTCTATCCCTTTCAGCAAAACAAGTGCGGTGTGCCGTGATGGATTGAGGAGATGGGTTGCAATCAAGAAGATGCGGGAGCCATTCTACGATCCTCATCACGTGAGTCATCCGCTTCTTCTGAATGAGCCGTCGACATTTATTCAGGCGCGACGCATCTTCCGCGAGATCAAATTGCTCCAATTAATGCGACATGACAACATCATCTGCGCCCTCGATCTCTACACTCCTGACGAGCAAAACGACTTCCGTGATGTGTACGTTTTCTGAAGTTCTCCTTCTTTCGCTTATTATCATCATTTCAGCTACGTTGTCACCGAGTTTGCCGGACGCAGTCTCTACCGGATCCTAAAGCAACAAAGAGATTACGGAAGACGTGTGCTCACCGAAGAGCACATCAAATTCATCATTTACCAAATCATACGTGCACTAAAGTACATTCATTCTGCCAATGTGAGCAAGTAGCCTCAAAAGCAACCAATACGAACTTTGGTTTCAGATAATCCATAGAGACTTGAAACCCGGAAACCTTGCATTGACCGATGATTCCGACCTTATGATTCTGGACTTTGGACTCGCCAGATCATTGGAAAAGAAGGACACGTCACTAACCCAGTACGTTCAGACGAGATGGTACCGCAGTCCGGAAGTCATTTACTGGAAAATAGACAGTTACACCAATCTGGCGGACATGTGGTCCGTCGGATGCATTGCTGCGGAGTTGCTCACTGGAGATCCTCTTTTCCCTGGAGACGACGGTATCTGAGTTCTCGTTCTTCCAATTCTCATGTCTTCTTTTTCAGTGAATGCACAGTACCAACGCATCACTCAATTGTGTGGAAGTCCAGACGAAGAGCTGCTCACCAAGATCGAAAACGATAATTCTTCTGCGATGAAGGCTGTCATCCAGTCGTACAAATTCTACAAACGTCGCAGCTTCCGAGACTTTTTCTCTGCTCACAATCCTTCAGAAGACTTCATTGACCTCATCGAGAAGCTTCTGGTACTGGATCCTGAGAAGAGAATAACAGTGGAGGAGGCGATCCAACATCCGTACCTGGCCGAGTTCTCCCTTCCAGAAGACGAGCCGAGAGCCGATCACATCTTCGATTTAGACGATTCCCAGAAGAGAACCAGATACGAATGGAGAGGTAATTCCATCTCTGCTCCGTTACCTTCTCTCTTGTTTTCAGATGCTGTCTGGAAAGAGATCATGGACTACAAGCGCCTGAGTTCGTCCCCAGCGATTCCAGGAGAGGCGGAACGCTGACGCGCCTTCATAATTGTACATAATCTGCATCTTCTCCGATTCACGTGCCCATCCCCTTTCGTCTCCATCTTTGTTTCTCTCTCTCTTTTCTGCCCTGTGTCGCTTTATGCACTTTCCCTTGTCGTTCAGTGATAACACGTGTTACTGGTGATAGTGCACTGCTTTTTCATTATCGTTTCTGCAGCACCAAAAAGTATTTATGTTTCCTTTTCTCTGCATCCATCTCCATTCTATAGGCTTCTTCCTCTTTTCTTAGTTTCTCTTATATCTCCGCCACATCATTATAATTCGTCATTCTGTTTTTTTCCCTGATTTATAATACTTACTAATTAATATCAAATAAACATTCAGTTCTCTAATCGGCCTTTTCAAGAAACAACATCCGCTGGTAAATATCCAACACATTGCCTACCTGATTCCGAATATTCCGTGTGCTTATCATCGTTGGATTCAGATGAATTGATGGGAATGTCGGCGACAATGGGCGATTCGGGCAGTATTCCCGGCGTCTTCTTCGCAGATTTCGGCCCGGCCCCGCCCGAAATCACTCCAGACGGATTTCACGAGGTGATCTACCGGTAGGGACCATTGTTGACTGAAATTGTTACAGGTGGAACTGAACAAAACGAAATGGGTTCTCCCGCAGTGGTATTCCAATCTGAGACCTTTGGGAGAAGGAGCGTATGGAGTTGTATGGTAGGAAAGTGAACGTTTGGATTGGGGGATAAAACGTGTTTTTGCAGCACTGCGGAATATGAGCCAACCGGAGATCGCGTGGCTATCAAAAAGTTCTTCCGACCTTTTCAGAGTACGATTCATGCGAAGAGAACTTATCGGTATGGAATGGAAGGAATTCAGGTGAAAAGGAGTGGAAGAAAGTGTTTTAGGGAACTAAAATTGCTGCGAACACTTCAACACGACAACGTTCTCGAAATGATCGACGTGTTCACACCGGACATCGACGCGTCTTCGCTAAATAATGTGTGAGTTTGAAGACGAGAAAATGGGCGAAAATGAGAGATTATCCGTTGAATCGGCAAGAAGATTTGGCGAAAACAGCCGTGAAAACCCTTACCTTAAGTCCTTACGACTTCTCCTGATTTGCAGATACTTCGTATCGGTGCTCATGGGCTCCGACCTTCAGAACATTCTGAAAATCCAAAGATTGACCGACGAGCAAATCCAATTGCTAATCTATCAAGTGCTCCGCGGCCTCAAGGTCTGTTTCTGCTTCCTTGCGTGTCCCAAACCTGCTGTTCCGTGCTCGTTCTCTTGTGCTGCCTGCTCTTTTCTCTCACTCGAATTCCAATCGATCTTCCTCCTCCTTCGCCGTGGTTTTTTTGCCACTAAAAGTGCCGGGGTCCCTCAGAACCACTTCTCTGTTTCTCTTCTCTTCTCGTCCCCACTTCCTAATTAAAATTTCCTTCTCTTCCTCTCCTTTCCTTCTCTTCCTGTTAGATGATTTTTCGATTAGGAACGAGCCGAGCGGCCTGAGAATTCCCACTTTCGGTTCTTCAATACTATCAATTATTCCGCTTCGCCGTCCCTTGCACTTTTTTAAATTCGAGCGAAAACATCCACGGCTTTCCCTGCTCTCTTTTCCAAAAATGGGAATTGACTCAGTGACGGGGACGTCGTGGAAGTGACAATTATCTTCACCTGCGGATGACAAACGCGCTATCCGTTTTCTCTACATTTCTCGATTCGTCTTGCAGCTTTCAGAGGACAAATGATGCGAACTGGACTTTTCACTCAGCTAGGGTACATTTTCGGCGAATGCGTGGCCAAGAAGTCTGAGCTTTCCTGAAAAATGAACGCTTTCCTACTCTTATCCAGATCAAATAATCGGATGTTTCTGAAACTCTAATTAAAGCTACGTTTTACCAAGAATCATTGGAATAGGATGGTAAAAACTATGCGTTGATAGGTTGACAGAACGTCCTAGGCTCAATCCTATGAATTCGTAGTGTAGACTACAGAGCATGTGAAATGTTTATGGAGACGTACCAACTTCTATTGTCCTCATCTGTTATTTCTCTATTTCTCTCTTTCTCTTTATCTCTCTTCAACTTGTTTTCTCTTGCTATCTGTGTTTCAGTCTCTGTACACAGTGCCTCGTTTACTCGGTACGCCGGTCCCCGGTAGGTACCCCTTTTCAAATGACGTGTTTTCTCTCCTTCAGTCTTTTCACTTTTTCATGATAAAGGCTGTCGACAAACGGTGTATTATTTGCCGACGTCTCTCTTTCCCTCTTCCTCTCCCTTTCCCCTTTGTTCTTTGTCTAATTCTCTGTATTGGGTGAGTGTCGCACGTGTCTTCTTTTTCTTTCTTTTTCCCACTTTTCCTCTTCTTTCAGTATATTCACTCTGCCGGGATTATCCACCGCGATTTGAAGCCGTCCAACATTGCCGTCAACGAGAGATGCGAAGTCAAAGTGACATCGTTTTGGCCCCACTTCCCTTCATTTTCTTTTCTAGATTCTCGACTTTGGACTGGCTCGAGCCCAAGACGCCGAAATGACCGGATACGTGGCAACGAGATGGTACCGGGCGCCGGAAATCATGCTCAATTGGATGCATTATACGCAGACGGGTCAGTGAAAGAAAGGAAGATTATACTGTTGACTCTTTAAAGTTGTCAAATTGACGCTGTGTTCTCCCCCTGCCTGCTATACAATTCCTTTCTTTTCAGTCGATGTGTGGTCCGTCGGTTGCATTCTCGCCGAGCTCGTCTCCGGCAGACCGCTGTTTCCAGGCGACGATCGTGAGTTTTCCCTCCCCCTCCGCTCGCAACATTTCTTCCTCAGACATCGACCAACTCACCAAGATAATGTCCGTGGTCGGCACTCCGAAAGAGGACTTTTGGTCGAAGATCCAATCTGAAGAGGCCCGTAACTACATCAAGTACCGTTTCCACTTTTCCTCAACTCAATTTCCTTCTCTTTTCAGAAATCGTGCTCCAATGGCTCGTCAGGACTTTGGGGCCCTGTTTCCGATGGCTTCCCCGTATGCAATTGAAATGCTCGAAGTGATGCTCGTGCTGGATCCGGACAAGAGAATCTCCGTTTCGAGTGCTCTCCGTCATGACTATCTCCGCGAATATTCCGTTCCGAATGACGAGCCCGTTGCTGTAGACACGGTAAAAAATAGCATAGTAGGGAAAATGGCCCGAGGTTCGGCAAAAGAGTGACGTCTTTCCAGGTGACAATCGACCCGGCGGAAGAGCGCGCGAGCACACTTTCCGACTGGCGGGAGCTAATTTGGAACGAGATCCGACTGTTCCAGAACTCGGCCCGTCGGCTCAGTTTCGTTAGTTGCAATGACACAGAAGAAGAACCGCCAAAGTTATAAGTACCGATCAGCTTTTGTGTGCCAATCTCTCATTTACTGCTGCTTTCTAGCGATCTTTTTCCCTTCCGATCTCTCCTTTTCCCTTCTGAATCTCCTCGTTTTCAACCATAGACTCTCCCCGATTCCATTTGTGATCCATTTAGACTTTCCGACTTTTCCCCACCTCAAATTAAACAATTTATTAACCAATAGATAATGTATAAAGATTAATGATGTACATATTTATATATGCGTTCTTTCTATCTTTATTTTATATTGTTCGGTTCATCTAGCCGTTAGATTCCTTTCAATTTTATGTTCCACCTTTCCCAAGCACTCCCAGAATCCATGTTCGCTCAGAAAATGGATCAGATGTTGTTGCATCCGACGCCACGCGAAGGGTACTACGTGGTGGAGCTGAACCGAAGTGTCTGGATCGTTCCGAACTACTACATCAATCTGACTCCCATTGGTACTGGGGCTTACGGAACCGTTTGGTGAGCTTGGCCGCCTGCTCTGACTGTCTCATTCTGTTTTTCAGTGCCGCTGAATGCACTCGAACCGGCACCCGCGTTGCCATAAAAAAGTTCAACCGCCCGTTTCAGTCCATCATCCATGCGAGACGGACGTACCGAGAACTTCGACTGCTCCGTTGTATGCGTCACGAAAACATAATCGATCTGCTGGATGTGTTCAGTCCGAACGACAGCATTAACGAGATCGAAGACGTCTACTTCGTGTCGATGCTGATGGGAGCCGACCTCTCCAACATTCTTAAGATCCAGAGACTCAACGACGATCACATTCAGTTCCTGGTCTACCAGATTCTCCGTGGACTCAAGTACATTCACTCGGCCGATATCATTCATCGTGATCTGAAACCTTCGAATATCGCTGTCAACGAAGATTGCGAATTAAAAATTCTCGACTTTGGATTGGCGAGACAGACTGATTCCGAGATGACGGGATACGTGGCAACAAGATGGTACCGCGCTCCGGAGATCATGCTCAACTGGATGCATTACACGCAGACTGGTCAGAAAAATTCCATCTTTCCTGTCATCATTTTCCCGTTTTTCAGTTGACATCTGGTCCGTCGGATGCATTCTCGCTGAGCTCATCACCGGAAAGACTCTTTTCCCTGGATCCGATCGTGAGTGTTTTTTTGAATAAGACATCTGGAATCCCGAATGCTTCAGACATCGACCAGCTGACCAGGATCATGTCGGTCGTCGGTACTCCCGATGAAGAATTCCTAAAAAAGATCTCATCCGAGGAGGCTCGTAACTACATCCGAAACCTGCCGAAAATGCCACGTCGTGACTTCAAACGGCTCTTCGCCCAGGCAACTCCCCAAGCCATCGACCTGCTCGAGAAAATGCTCCACTTGGATCCGGACCGTCGGCCGTCTGCGAAAGAAGCGATGGAACACGATTACCTGGCCGCCTACCACGATGAATCCGACGAGCCGATCGCTGAAGAAATGGAGCTGAACGACGACGTGAAAGCGGACACGATCGACGAGTGGAAGAAGATTATTTGGGAGGAAATAACCGACTTTCAGGTACACAAACATCTAGACCAGAAGTGGTTTTTGATCGCATCGGGGGGTCGGCGGATGTCATGGAAATGGGCAAATTCGCGCGTGACGGGTTGACATACTGTAAAGTTGAATTGATAGAATCTGATCAAAGTATTCGCGGGATGCCTTGACATGGGATATGATATCTCATCTCAGTCCTCATGGAACCTGAACAAGTCTTACCAAAACGCTCATCATTTGTCATGTCCCGTCAGATTTTACCCATTTGAACTTTCTTGTTATGAAACTGAACTGATAACAATTCGCCCTCGAGTGAATCAGCGCTGCCTTTCCTGTGAGTCATTCCTGAATTCAGTCTGGAATAGAATTGCGATTATGCCTTGAATTCATTAGAAAGTCAGAAAAACTAGTCACATGAATGCGAGTTACTGTAGTAGACGGACGGCTTATCATTCACTTTGGGAACCAAGATCAACCTTTTTTTCTCTTTACAGAAGACCGTCGCCTTCGCAGACGAGGAGGACGATGAGAATGTCGAGAAGATGGAATCGTAGCCGTCGGCCCCGCCCCCTTTTCCAGTCACACTCTCCCGAATTCCTGTCCTATTTCTCGCGTCCAATAACCAAAAAACAACAACAAGGTAGCCAACCGATTCGCTTATAAACCCCTCTTTTCCCGTATGCTTCGATCTACTAGGTGCTCTTGTTCCTTCTCATTTTATCTATGCACCTTTATATTCTGTTACTATTTTTGGGGACCAACTGCTCGCACTTTTTATTTACCCGTACGATGTACCTGATTGATAAATGAAAGTATTTTATACTATTTATCTGTTGAATATTTGTGTCGGTAAGGAATTTTAGTCCGCACGGAATGACGATATTTTTGCGGTTTTTAGAGGACAGAAGTTTGAGATTTGTCTTTGAAAAAACGAGTCTTCGAAAGCTGAAGGAAGCGAGGGGATTACGGTATTATCAGAAAACAACTGTGGATCGATAGTATCTGTTTTCCCCCGATCGGCTCCTTCCTGTTCTGCTCTCTTCTCGGCTGTTTACGTGTTTGTGCGTGCTCCCTTGATTGTTCCAAATCGCTCATTAATCACGAGAATGACGTGTCGCTCCGCCCCTTTTCCCTTTCTGCCAACGGCTTTTGTGACTGATAACAAAACTGTCGAATTGCTTTATAAAACGTTGCTCCGAGGGCGGTTCAATGTCCACCTCAGTACGAATCACCTTCTTTCCCAATTCCTTTCCTTTGTTTCCTTTTTAATCCTTTTCATATAAAATGTGCTCCTACTTTATCAGCTCACAGTTACCATTTCACTCCGTTTAGGTTTCCGTTCTTCATTTTCATTTTCAGATTAATATGATTTTTCTGTTGTTCACTACCTCCCTGGTCCTATTGACTGCCTATTTGTATACGTGGTGGACGAGAAGAGATAAGGTTTGGAAGGGAGAAATCGGGTGGATGTGGTAGTTGTAATGATTTCAGAGACAAGTGGAATTGCGGAAGATTGTGGAGAGAAAACGGGCGGAACGAGCGGAAAGTGTGAGATTCGCGAGAGAATCTTCTCTGAAACTGGATCCAGAGACCAGGAACAAGATCTCTTCCCTCGGATACGCTGAACTCAAAGGTATGCTAGATTCTGTTCACTTTTGTGTAGCCTGCTCTTGTGTTTGATAAGTGGACAATAAAAAAGTGTTATCAGAGAAATGGGCTGATTCTTCCAGAAGGACTGCAGACTGGCTCGATCTCGTGCATCGACGCCGTCCGAACCTATTACCACAAAGCGATCGCTGCGAATGAAAAGACAAATGCAGTGTGCATGTTCGTGAAAGAAGCCGAACAATGGGCGTTGGAATGGGACGAGAAGGCCAGACATCCCGGATTCCAGAAGCCGCCCATGTTCGGAATTCCGATGTCTCTGAAGGAATGCGTGCCATTGGGAGGATACGATCAGACACGTGGATTCGTCCAGGACACGTTCCATCCGACCAAAGAGGACGCCGTTCTCGTGCAGCAACTCAAGAAGCTTGGAGCCATTCCGTACGTTCAGACGAACGTTCCGCAGTCCCTTCTCAGCTACAACTGCTCCAATCCAGTGTTCGGAAGAACGAACCATCCAATGGATAAGAACCGAACCCCCGGAGGATCTTCTGGAGGAGAATCTGCGCTCATTTCTGCAGACGGATCTCTTCTTGGAATCGGAGGAGACGTCGGAGGATCCATCCGTATTCCGTGCGCCTACACTGGAATCACAGGCATCAAGCCCTCCCACCTCCGATTCTCGCACCGTGGAGTCTGCGGAAGTGTCCCTGGCCGTCCTCTCATCAACTCCAATGATGGTCCAATGTCCACGAGAGTCGAGACGAACGTCGATTTCCTCCGAACTGTCTGGGCTGACACGTGGATTACCGAACAAGATCCGTACGTGCCGCCAGTGACGTGGAACGAGGAATTGTACTCGAGTGAGAAGAAGCTTAAGATCGGGTACTACACCGACGACGGATGGTTCACCCCCACGCCAGTCTGCCAACGCGCTGTCCTGGAAGCCAAGCAGATCCTTGAGGACGCCGGACACACTCTGATTCCGTTCCGTCCTCCGAGAGTCCCCGAAGTCCTTCTCATGTTCATCCGTGCCGTCTGTGTGGACGCTGGAAAGTTTCTGTCGAGGAAGTTGATGAATGTGAGTGTTTCTCTTCCCGATTCCTCTTCTATCTTCTCTCGTTCCAGGACATCATCGACCCTCTCCTCTACACTCAGGTCGTTCTCTGGATGGTTCCGGTGCCTCTGCAAAGATTCCTCGCCAGCATCATCAAAGTGTTCTTCCCTCGTCTCGGAACTCTCATGAACTCAATGACTCTGAGCACTGAAGAACTCCGATGCACTTACGCGGACATCGAGGCCTACAGAAGTGAAATGGCCGGCCTCATGATCGACAAGAAGATCGACGCGCTTCTCTGCCCGGTCACAGTCACTGCGGCCCTTCCTCACGTGATCCCATCCAAACTTTTCGCCGGTACCAGCTACACTGGCATCTTCAATCTCCTCGACTACGCTGCAGGTAATCCCCCATTTCATTCGAGAACCGCACCAAAAGTGAACTTTCAGGATCTGTGAACGTAACGCATGTGACAAAACAGGATGAGCAGGACCTGGAATCAGACTACGAGGCCTCGGATCCGTGGTACGCACTGGCGAAGCAGCACTCGCGCGGCACGATCGGCCTTCCCGTGGGCGTGCAAGTGGCGACTCCTCCGTACCGAGAGGAGACGTGCCTTCGCATCATGAGAGAGATCGAACGCGGTGTTACCGGAAAGTAACTGGCCCCATAATTCCTGTGTTTCTTTCTTCCTCCTGCCATAATACGTTCTCTCTACGGTTCTCTTTACTTTCCCTTCATTCTTTTCATGTTCCTCGTGTCTGCTGAGATAAAGACTTATCACGTTAACCTTGTTTACATCTTTGAAAATGTCAACCAACGAAGGTAAGCCCTGCGGGGATAAATGGTCTCTTTTCACAAGTTTGATGATCTTTCGGGCAAAGGATTAGTTGTTTGTTCATTGTGAAAAGTTGTTTGAAGTTCCCGAAAGTTCTGTCAAACATTGACAGACAATATTGATTTCGGATCGTTTTTCGTTGCCTGAATTTTCAAATTTCTTTTTCTCCGATCGTTTTGCCTTTTGCAAAGTAAACTGTTGATTTATTCGTTTCTCACTTGGCACTCAAAAATGATTCAAAGGAATATTCAAACATTTCAAACATTGTCCCTCCTGACTCATTTTCTCTTTTTTCGGTCCCAATCTCCGTGTTGATATGAGTTCCGTTTCGTCGAAATCTTGATAAGTTCCTGAGCACACACTGCCTGTTTGCTCTATGACCTCCCGTCCTTCGATCTGTCTGTCAACGAACTTTTTCCAATCACAAAAATATCACTTTTATCGGTATTCTGCCTTCTAAATGCATTCCAAGCGAGTGAATTCTCGTCCAGACCCGGGGTGTTTCAAGTACTGACATTTGTTACGCACTCGAAAGGATTATTAGTGGATTCTAGATATTTAGGTACTATAAACATTCGATCCATTTTTGATCTACTATTGAAATTGCTGTTTGTTTCATTCATCATTGAGTAATCGAATTGAGTACAACCTTTACTTCCTCTTTTTATTCCATTGCCAATCTGGATCATTTTCTGTGCAATCCAAAAGTGTGATCCATTTGTGTTCCCGCTTTTTTCCCCACTCTCCCTCCCCTTTCCTAGTATCCATAGTGACCATTCCCTTTTCATTAGGCAACATTTCCATTTTGTGATTTCCTCCCTTTCCTGTCACATTCTTGCCTTTCGGAATCTCGACACAGCCGCCCATGTTTGTCTGTCGGCAGACGCCAAAGAAAAAGTGCGCTGAAGGCATCGGAATGGCCTATAAAACCGTTTTTATCATATCTTTCACGCCCAGCATTTCCTCTTTTTTCATTCAGGTCGGAAGGATTTTTTCGCTGCAAGAACTCACCGAACTCAGTCGTCAACGCTCCTTCCGCCATGATCTTTTACGTGGCACTTTTGCTCCTCGGAGCAGTTGCCTACTACTACAATTTTGAGAATAAACGAAAGAAGGTGAGCTGAAGAGCATTAGAATGAGAAGAAGAGAAAGGACATTCAGATCAGGGAGCAGTTGGCACCAGTAGTGCAGAGAAGACGAGAGGATCAGGTGAAGAATGTGGAAGAAGCGAGGAAAGAAGGAGATCGACTGGAGGCTCAGCGGAGGGATTGGATCGGATCAATGGACTTTGAGCAGTTAAAGGGAGAACTCCAGAGAGGACATGTCACTTGTGTGGAGGCGGTCAGAACTTACTTGCACAAAGCGATCGAAGCTCACGAGAAGACCAATGCGGTGACTTGTTTCATTCTGGTAAGTAACAGTTCCCGGACGATGGAACGAAGTGTGTATTGTTCAGGACGCTGTGCAATGGGCCGAAGGACTGGACGAGAAAGCGAAGCAGCCGAGCTACGTAAAGCCTCCGTTGTTCGGAATTCCGATCTCTCTGAAAGAGTGCCTCAAAATTAAAGGATACGATCAAACACGAGGATTTGTGCAAGACGCCTACCATCCGGCAACATCAGACTCCATTCAAATAGAGCACTACAAGAAACTAGGTGAACTTTTGATAGCGTGAGCACATAAAAAAGCAATGAGGAAGTTGAATTTTCAGGAATGATTCCGTTCTGCCAGACGAACGTTCCACAGTCCCTTCTCAGCTACAACTGCTCCAATCCTTTGTTCGGAACAACCACGAACCCTTACGACAGCACTCGCACGTGCGGAGGATCTTCTGGCGGAGAAGGAGCACTGATCGCAGCAGGAGGATCCCTTCTCGGAATTGGAACCGACGTGGGAGGATCCGTCAGAATCCCGTGTCATTTCACGGGCACCGCCGGATTGAAACCGTCCAAAATGAGATTTGCACACCGTGGCGGAGGCGCTTCCGTTCCTGGAAAGCCACTGATTGACGCAAATGACGGACCGATGGCACGTGATGTGAAGACTAACGTCGAGTTTTTGAGAAATGTAAGGAAACATGAGTACACTGTGAATGCAGAGAAGTAAGTACGTTTCAGGTGTGGGGGGACATAGACTTCCAATCGGACAGAGATCCGTACTGTCCGCCAGTCCATTGGAATGAGTCACTGTATTCGAGCGAAAAGAAACTAAGAGTCGGTTACTACGTGGATGACGGATGGTTCACTCCCACTCCGGCTCTGCAGAGAGCCGTTCTCGAGTCGAAGAAGCATTTGGAAAGTGCCGGACACACAGTCGTCCCCTTTGACCCTCCGAGAATGACCGAAGTGATGCAGTTGTACTACCGAGCAGTCTGTCTTGACGGTGGGCAGTACGTGCTGCAGAAGATTCTCAAAGATCTGATCGAGCCGACGATTCACTTCCAAGTGACCCTCTGGATGGTTCCCATTTGGATCCAACGTCTCCTCAGCTACCCAATCTCTTTGGTGTTTCCCCGGATGGGAGTTTTGATGAAGGCGTTGACAAGAGACACATTCGGTTAGTAGATGTCAAGAGGACACAACTCTAAGCGAGACTTTACAGAATTGAGAGAGGCGTACGCCGAGATCGAAGGCTACAGAGAGGAGTTTGTCGAGCTGATGATGAAGAACAACCTGGACGTGATTCTGTGCCCTGCTTCGATCATGCCAGCCCCTCAGCACGACATTCCTTCAAAGGTCGTTTCTGGAGTCAGCTACACTTGTCTCTTCAACTTGATGGACTTTGGAGCAGGTGAGAAAAGCATTTACGAGCTTTGAACCGAGATTTGTTCTCAGGTGTTGTACCTGTGACTACTGTGAACAAATCGGACGAAGAGAAGCTGATCAACGAGTACCCGGAGACTGACAAATGGTACCAGATCACGAAGAACGCCACGCGCGGCGCAGTCGGAATGCCGGTGGGAGTTCAGGTCGCCGCCCCGCCTTTCCGCGAGGAAGTCGTGCTCAGAACTATGCGGGAAATTGAAATCGCCGTCACCGGCAAATAACCTTTTGCTCTCCTGTTATCTCGCGGAACCAATTTGAGTACTTTATTGTCAATAAACGTTTATCAATGAAGTGCCGGTCTTTTACAGACGAATGCTCTCATATCAATCTGTGCCACGTTGTTCCAGCGAGTGTCCTCGGTGTTTTTGTCCTCGTGGGGATCGGAAACCAACTGGAAAGAATAGAGTAAAATAGGAAACGAGGGAGCAGTTTCTCTCACCGCAGTCCACCATTCCTTGTTCATATTGTTCGGTTCTCCGTCTCCCCAGTTCAAAAAAGTCACGTCGCTTCCGTCCGTCCATTGCCACACCGAGTTCTCATAGACCAACCCGATGAAGACGTCGTCATTGTGACCCTTGTCCTTGTTTGTGATTCCGGCCTTTGAGAGCTCTGAAACGAAGGTTCCGAGTGTCAGAAGTACGTGAAAAGAAACGTACGGACGAGGAAATCATTCTCAGCCTGCGAATGAATGGATGTCAAATCTCCTCCGTCAGCTTGACAAGCGCTGCGTGCATCATTGAAGTTGGTGAAACGAACGTAGCTCTGAAGAGGAGTGTGGTCAGATGGGAGAAATGGAAAAATACCTTGTAGCAGAAATCAGTTCCATCATACCAAGTGTAGCCAGAAGGACAATGGCTGGGAACTGCAAGTTTACGATACATAGATTAGAGAGAATGATTTGAATGAACTCGCTCTGAACAGTCGGGCAAGTCGGTGTGACACTGGAAAAGTAAGAACAGACAAACGGCAGTTGGGCGGTGCAGTTGGCAGTGAGCCACTTGGCAGTTCCAGTCTGCAGCTGCATGCAGGCGACTGAGCCCTGAGCACTCGGCTCTCCAACTTTGTAGTTCTGATAGTCGAAATTGGATCCGTCGGTCCAGTACCAGTTGAGTGGATTCGTCACATCTGGAGCAGTCGTTTTGGCCCCGATCCAGGCGGATCCGTCAAAGTATTTCTGGGCCTGACTAGAGACGAACGTGTTGTCGATTGTGTTGTGAATGGAAACCAGATGACCATTCAGAGTGGCACAGATCGCCTCAGCGCTGTTGAAATCGGTGGCAGTACGGAAGAAAGTGAGGCATCTGAATATGGAAATGAGGAATGGAAGGGAGGCACCGAGCACCTGCTATTGGCCGCGTTGTAAACAGCTCCGGGTCCACATTGAGCAAAAATCAAAGGTAATAGGGAAGAGAGGAGAAGGAGATGAAACATTGTAGGAAACGACTGCTGCTGATAATAAGCGACCGCTCTTATACGACTCGAATTGCTATCATTTGTAGTCTATTGGTTCGTAAAACCGTTTCCTTCTTCTCATGAATGTGACCAAACTGTACCGAAAATAATCTGAATCTAAATTAACAAAAAAGCCCCGGCAAAAACTACATGCATGTAAAAAACTTACTGCTCTCGGATTATTTTCATTTCACGAGGACATTATTCCTTGAACTTCATGACCGACCGTTCTGCCCTTTACATATCGGAGGTCATTATGTCAAAAATTTAATCGGAACGAGTGAGAAACAATAAATTATTGTCGAAATTGGAAACTCGAAAAGCCACTCGAATCACTCCACTCTCCAACTAACAAGATGCCTTCGCAAAAGAAGTTGAATCCAACGGAAGTGCACATCTCGCCAGGCCGTGATCTCGTCCAGCGCACGCTCGTCTTCCGCAACACCACCGGAAAGGACTTTGTGCTCAAACTGATCTCGTCGAACGCGGCCATCAGCTTCCCGACGAACGTGTTCCGTTTCCCGCCGCAGTCCCACCGCATCATCCAGTTCCGTGTGGACGCCCGCAAGTTGGGCCAATGGGACAAGTCGAGTCTCAACATCAAGGGATTCGTGCTTCCGACCTACGCGAAGGGACTGAAGCAGTTCATCGACCAGAAGAATACGGTCGGATCCGTCGGACAGGAAGCCTTCTGCCTCTCCGTCAAGTTCACCGACCAGTTCTCGGCTCCGCAGACAGTCGTCAACCTGCCCGGCAGTGCCACGTGCATCGAATCGACTGATCATCCGGTCGACGTCGAGGAGCTCGACACTCGCACTGCCATCAACATCGAGAAAGGTAATAGTTGAGAAGGATACCATCATAACAAGTGACCTAATTCAGATGTGGCGACGGCTGAGCCGATCGGTTCCATGATGGGATTCGTGGAGGAGTACAAGCGTCGTCAGGCGAAATCGGGCTGCTGGCTGACCAACTACATCTGCGGCGGCGAGGAGAAACCGGAGAAGTCGTTGAGATCGCGTCGTTCGAACTCTGCGAAGAGCAATCGGAGCGCCAAGAGCTGCCGTTCGCAGTCGCGTCGTCAGAAGAGCGATGTCAACGTGTGCCTGGAGGCCACTCCGTGCGGAGGATCCACCATTCAGGCATGAAAAGTGAACGACAGGAGGCATTCGACAGAGAACAAAATAAAATGATTTGGATTGTTCTTTTCCCTTTTTTCTTTCTTCAGGTTTTATTAGTGAGTTTCTTTCCAGCTAGGTGCGGACGTACTCCATCCTTCTGAGGTCGGAGTACAGTGCCGCGTCAACCAAAATCACAGCTCTGACACTAATTAGTACTAACATTACAGTCTTTCCAAGTGTATTCAAATCATCAGTGGCGGACATGACATTCTGAGCAAAGACAACGTGCTAGCCGCAATCAAAGTGCAGCGTCGAAATCTGAGAAAGAAACTCAGATACATTTGATATTTCTATGTTTGGCCGGACTACAATGGGAATATAGGTAGACTTTAGCGAATGTTCGTGCAGTTTCTAATTCTCGACTTCGAGTTGCCAATTCTACGATGAATGAGATAATTGAGATTTGTCCGTCACCAATTTAAGCTACTTTACTTTTCCCATGTGTTCGGCTCATTCCACCTCTCCAATCTCCTTTTTGAAACGCTTCCTTTCTCTATTTCTGGCACCTTCCCATTGTTTCGCAATACCGCCTTTCTCGACCATTGTGTCATTGCGGAAATAAAGTGTTTCAATTGAATCTTTCTTTTGTGTGCTCTGCTTCTTCCATTCGTTCTTCACGCGTCCTTCTTCTTGCTCGACAAACAAACACGGAACGAGTGACTGAATATGCCGTCCTATCGGTTGATAATCCTTGCCGAGAAACAGTTTCTAGTAGTAAACCGGAGGAGAGTGAATGAACCGGGGGAGACGGAGAAACGGAAAGAGAGCGGCCGACGTTCGGGACGCCAAAGTGCTGTACACACGCGACGGAGGGGACTGTCGGCGTGTCTGCAGAAACTGCGATTCGAGTGCTCTCTCGTCGCCTTCGCTGTGTGGATTTATCGCGCCACGAACAAAGAGACAGTCCCTCGTGTGGGATGGGAATCAGACGCAGACGGCCAAACACACTTCGGCTATACTGACCTCATTTATTCATTCGTACCACAAACCGTGCAGTGCTTTTGTTTTTTTTTCATTATAGGCGTGCAGAATGTGTGACTGGACGGCAGGGGGCACTTCATCAGCCGTTTTCATCCGGCGTCGGACGCTCAAACGAGCCGAGCACGCACGCTTCCCTTCCTTTCGTCATTCTTTCTGCCGGTTGACCCGAAATTAGTTGTGGCGACGGCGAGAAGTGCATACCAGCAGCAGAAAGACTCATTTTCTCGGGGGCGCCCCCTTCGTGGGGGGACGTCTCAAGGGTATTCAGTGTCACCACTTCAAATCCTGATTCGCTTCTTCTTCTCCTTTTTTCTCTTCGTCGTCGTCGTCTTTTGTTTTTGGTGACGTCTTCTGGTGGAAGACGTGACTGAACGTTCCGCGACTTCTCCTGTTTCTTCCTCGTTCGATTTGTTTTTATGGAAAGGAACTCGTGGGAGTTTGACAAGACAAGACTGTGCAAACAGGACGCCAGCACCACTTACGGCCAAACAATCGGCTCTTTCTGTCCGTTTCCTCTCATTGTCGGCTCCTGCCATCCACTACCAAATTGACTTGTCAGCTGAGCTCAAGAGCAAAAAACTTGATCTTTCTTCTGTAAACTTCCTTATCCATCTTCTTCCATTATTAGAAAGGGTTAATCTGCAATCAACTATTTTCATGAAACATGACTCATGTGAGAGAGACACAGTGCATCGGTTCTTTCGAAATTTGATTGCAGCAGAGGAAAATGATTTTCCATTCCAGTTATTACAGTACTGCCAATTGAGAAGAATGATTGCATTGTCAAATGTCAATAGCTGTATATTATTGTGAACATACAAATAGCTGTATATTATTGTGAACATACATACAAACCATTATTATCACGACCCTTTTCAAATATTTTCCCTTTTAAAGCCGACTGCCTGCCGTCGAAATGGCCGACGTTCCAAACACCGATTCGGCGTAACGCATATCATTTTAATGCGCACTGTTTGCGTTGAAGAATCCATTAGTCGCGCATTCCAGTTTCGTCGTTTACATTCCAATCAAAAGTCCTTTCTAAGCTACTCACAAGTTGTTCAAACTTGCATCTGCTCGCTAATGCCAACTCAGCATGTTCAGCATGTTTGGTCCCTTGAATTTGTCAATCAGGTCATGTGTCGCCCGGTTCCACTCGGGCTTCATTCCTAATCAAATTATCTTCGAATTGTGACCCGTTCCTCCCGACCTGCCACCAACTCGTTTACTGCCGTCGGGAGCTCGTAAAAACGGCCGATGCGGCGGCGCTTCGACTTTATTGCGGGTGGGCTGCCACTTTTCCGTTTTTTGGGTTGTGTTGCCATTGAGAAGTCTCTCGAAAGGTCACTCATTCTCTCCCAATTTGTCTTTTCCCCGCCCGTCTTTGATCTTCTTCCTTTACTTCCCTTCGGGTCTTTTTCTATCCTCTTCTCTCTGATTATGAACCGTTGTTTATCCGTACATTTGTGTTAAATCGGTATATAGTTTGTGGGGGAAAGGGAGGATCGGCGCGAAAAGTTTTCGATTTGTTCCATTTATTCTCAGATTTTCACTTTCTCTCCTCATCATTTGACTGTATGATTAGAATTAGAATACATCATATTTCTCTCTCCCGCCCTGCCTGAATTCATCTCGATTCCGACGAAACCCTCTAATTTCTGGAAACCGAACCGGTTTTCTGAAAGTTCTGTGTCTCCAGGAATTCCTAGCTAGGAATTCTGAATTCGTTCAAACTTATGGGGTTATTCAGGCTGTGAAAAAAATGATTGTTTTCCGTTTTTTTCGTTTTTTTACGTCAAAAAATCCAATTCAGCGATGTAAAAAACGAAAAAAACGGAAAACAAACATACGCTGAATAGCCCCCTTACGGTATACAGTAGTTTTCCGCAAAACACCAAACCTGACGACATTTGCAGAGAAACGTATTTTGTTTCAAACGTTTTCTTGTTGGCAATTGTCACTTATCGTTCGTATCGGTAAATCAACGGAAAAACAATCGACAACTGGCAATTTTACCGAAAAAAACGAATATTTTTTACCGTCGCGCAATAAATTAAGTTCCACCCGTCAACTTCGATTTATCGTCTGCTATCGTCGAGATAAGCGTTCTCCTCGAGAAACAACGCCCTTCCTCTTCTCACGGCGGTGACAAGCAAGACGATGAAAAAGAAGACGAAGAAGGGGAGAAAGAATACGAAGAAGGGGAGGAAAGCTGATAGGAACCGATAACAAGTTGTGCGTCTCTCCCGTTCCTTATCTTCCTATTAGACACTGTGTAGTGTCGTCGCACGTCCTCTGTTATGCCTGTCATTTGCATTTGTCTTTTTGTTGCATTCCTAAAGCAACTGAATTCGAAATTGGCAGTCGACCTAAAGGTCGACTAATTTACAAATGCGCTCCATTGAGAAAAACATGTTTTAGTTCGAAGTTTGCCCTTGGGAGTCTTGGAAACATCAGAAAATCTCTACTCCCAATCTCATCCTCGTGCTCTTTTTCTTCCTCAAAGTGTCCATTCTCCTGTCGCTTAGTCTTGTTTTTCTTGCGTTTTTCGGTAGTTTTTGTGTGTTTGTGTGTGTCGATCTTTCCCAGGTTCCATTTCACTTTTGATGCTATCGTTCCACTTCTCTCGCTATGTTTACATTTCGCACTGACAAATTTAGCAAATACCTCTTCTTGGCCTTCGTCATCTTCCCTTATTTTCTCCGAGTTTCCAGAAACGCAATGAATCTCTTCACCGAATCTGGTAGCTCCCACTCCCGAAAACATTGCATTTCTCTCTTCTTGCTCACGGCGCTCGTCGTCCTGCCATAATTGGGTGCTCCTGACGACACGAAGAGCCGGTCTCGTCTCGCTTCGTTAGGTGCTCCGAATGACTAGATTACGTCTTCTGGACGGGCAGCTGCCCCGCTTTCCTCCCAAACTTTCTCAAAAGTACTTTTTCAATGACTTTTCGAGCATTTCCAATGAGCTTCCGAGCTCCATTCTTTTCGTTTTGCTTCCATTTCGTTCACGGATTAAGTCCTTGAGAAAGACGAAACCTTGAGAAGACTTTTACTTTTCCATCTCCTCCGCTATCGGCTGATTGTCCGTCGCTCTTTCATGCTTATCATCACTCAGCTTTTTTTGCTCCCTTCAAGAACGCATTTTCCGTTTTTTGCCTGGAAAATCTGATTCCTTGCTCTTCGTAGAAAAGCATCGAAAAGTTTTGTTTATTGTTTACAAAAGACCAGCACCCTTTCTTTTCGGCTTTTGAAAAAAACGAAAAAAAAAGAAATATAACGCTGGCAAAATGGCCACATAAACATGATTGTGTCGACCCACTTTTACGTGCAAAAAGGCGCGAAACTAATCCGTCGGTCGGCTAATTACTCCGTCCATTTTGTACGTTCTCTTGCCTCTTTCACGCTCATTCATCACCCATTTTTGTTCATAACTTCCGAATTTTCAGACGGATTCGACTTCCCTCGTCTCGATTCTCTATCATTTTATAGGATAAATTATTAATTTTTATTCAGAGTAAGTTGTCCATAGTTTTCTCTTTCTCTTTAGACGGATGATTACAGATAAAATGAAGAAACTGAAACGACGATTGTCGGCTGCGTTCCGGCCGGGGAGCAACAACAATGTGAGCATCACGAGCTCTGGAGGCTCCTATTATGAATCAGACTGCGGTAAGGTAAAAATTCGGGGTGAACACGACGCATTAGAACCTTTTTTTCGAAAATATTGGGAAGGATTAACCCAGGTTTCGTTTCCACTTCACACAGTCATTTTTCGCTTACAGAAACACGAAACAACATTGTGATCGGGTACGGAATGATGTCGGCTCCGTTGCACGGAAGGACGTGGACTCTTTCCGAGTCGATGAGTCACTTGTCCGACAAGAACGGAACGATTCTCGAGGAATGCGTCGATCCGTCCGCTTTGCTTCGAGTCTCCAGAGGCGGAACTGCCGGCAGACGGTACGAGACGAATGTGTGAGTTGGCTCGTGTGAAAGTTCTCCCAGAAACTATAATTTTTTTGTAGCAACTACATAAATGGAATGCACGTTCCACCTCCGCGGACCCACAGTCTCTACTATCCACGTGGATACGCTTCCCGTCGGAACTCGTATTATGGATCCAATGCCTGTGAGTATTTTCCTACTTTCGACGCGCCACTAAAGTACATTCTGTTCGAGTTGACCTTCGGAATCGGACACTTGTTCACACAAATCCATTCCGACTTACTTCTTGTCTCTTCTCAATCTCAAATGAATTCCGAAGGGACATCCCTGATGCGTCAAATGATAAAATAGTGGCTCGGCTAAAGCGGATTTGATTTGCTCGGCGAGCACAACAACGCTCTTCTCAATCTTTCCGTTTTCCCCAGAGTGTCCTCCATTCGCATTTCAAACGAATATGTCGAAATCGAAAAGAGTTGCCACCTGTCTCAAGTGACATTCCGCCCGCTAATTTCGGAATTTGCACCTGCTAATCGCAGGTGTTTGTACCGGTTCAAAATGACTTTTCTTCTTCTTTGTCGTTTTTCCAGTTGGTTTGTCGGCCACAGCTGGATTATTTTGCCTTCACCGATCATCTTTTTTTACATGGCAGCCCTTCACAATTCTTCAAACCTGGTACCTTGTTTTGTGAAGAGTATCTTGGCGTGCCACGTCACACTCTTCATTTTTCAATTCGAAACATTACTAGTTTTGTGGGTAGGCGTCCTCCTCCCGATTAATCACTATTCTCTGCCGTCCTCCTCATTCTCCTCCAAACTGACAATGGCCAGTTAATTGATACCCACCTCGACGGCTTCCGATTGCCCTTTGTCAATTGCAGAAAGACACTCCTCCTTCCCCTCCAAACGCACTTCCGAACGCATTCGAGTACTCTTCTCTTGTTTATTCCCTCTCTGGAGCAGTCTTGTTGCCAGATGTTGCCAAAATCTCCAACTTCTCCTCCAAATGTTTCACTTTCCCACTCTGCGTCGCTCGCCCCTCCGATCTTTCCGTTCAATTGAACTTTTGCCCTCGACCGCCTTCCAAAACATCAGAAAAAGCAACAGAAGGTTATGAGAAAATCAAACACTCATTTCCATATGCCCCTCTAAGCCTACCGCTGTCCGTCACTGACAATGTCGAAAATGTTTTCGAAAGTGTATGCAAATTCAATGATTTTTCTCTGGCCGTCGTCATCAAAAGCGGAAGCGTGTTCTGGTGCACTTGGAACACCCTCCTTCAGCTGCTTCACACGTGTCACAGTTCATAATTTCTCTTCGGCGGTCTTTTATTGTCAACTGTCCTAGAAAAGGTCATAAACGACGCTGTGAACGAGAATCGAACCCTAATAAATGTAATTTCTTAGTTTAACACAGTTTCTGAATTGCATTCCTTTTTTGTTCTCTCGATTCAGTCATCACGGAGGTATTCAGATCTATCCTAATTTCACTTTCGTCATTCACTTCCACGCACACCCGGTTTCCATAAGTTCGTTGAGGCTATCATCAAGAGAGCGCTTCAGCTTCTTCCTCGAAGTTTCTTCAGATTCTGCCACAAGATGGCCGCATTATATCCGCCGAATGTTTCTTTTCTTTCCCGTGCGCCGCCGTCGTCTCGAAGAGCCCATCCATTCCAACCTCAACGCGCTTTCCTTCCTCTTTGTGATATTACTCTGCAATATTATTTCTGGCTTCTGCACGCCCGAATGATCCCTCTCACTGCTCGCATTTGGCACTTGTTACACTCAGTTTTTCCTCAAAATTCAAATGAGGCTTCCTTTCCTTACTTGCTTTTTTTCTGGAAAAACCGGTTCTTTTTTAAACATACGTTTAGATTAGAATAGTCTGCGACTACAGAAAGTGAATGGCATTTGGTTCTAAGGTTTCTCTTCTCACTGTTTACAAGAGATGTAGTGAAGTCATATTCAAAAAATGCATTTATTTAGAAGGATGACTACTGAATACGATAATTTTTCACTGATTGCTCAATGGAAAGCTCAAAAAACTTGTGAAAGTGACACTAGGAATCTCGGTCCACTCTTTTTTATGTGACACTCTAGAGTCCAGGACACAATAATTTCCCGGATGACGTGGAACTTTATTCCACCTCTTCCTCTTTTATTTCTCGATTCTAAGCACCTCCACTTTGGCCGTCGATAACTCGTTGCACCCTTCCCGCTTCCTTCTTTTCCTCCGCACAATCCTGCTCTTTCGCGAAGAGCGAGCGTCTGAAGACGCAAGCGGTGCAAATTGTGTTAAGACTCTTCTCGCTTCCATCCTTGTCCGTCTTTCTTCTTCACTCTGATGCTCAATTCTTCCCAAACTACCTAAAGAATCCGTGTGCATAATGCCCATTCTTCTCTCTTTTCTTCCAATCGAAGAAAGTGTTCTGTTGTTTCCGCCCCTCAATATTGGAGTTGGCGGCCGTCAAAAAAGGTTAGGGATTACGGATGGTGGGCAGGTTGTCGCCGTCACGCTGTCACCGACGACCACTTCGTCCCTCTTCCCTCCAAAAATATTCCATTTCCTTCGGTCTTTCCCTCTCTTCTTTTATTAGCCGTCGTTTCCTCGCGTATCTCTTGTTTTTCGATCCTCAACCCACAATTGGAAACGAGCGAAATTCCCGGGCTCTCTAGAACTCAGCGCGTTATGAAATTAATTAAATTCTGAGACAGAGCGAAACTCTGACAAACCTGTTTTTTCTTTGTTTACAGCTTTTTCTAGGGCGGGCGCCGAGGCGGTTAGTTAAAGTCATCCATCTTTTGCCGTTTGAATCATACTCATTTCATTCGAAATTCATTCAATCATTTCCCATTCACCGTAGGCAGCATGTGTGGGCGGAGAGAGTGGAACGAGCGGCGGCTCTTTGGAAACTGCTCAAAAGGTGGAGCACGCGAACGAATTTATAATTGGTGGGTGGAAGTAGAGTCCGCTTGTGCATAGGATATTCATTAGAATAATGTGAGTGGAAAAGTGTACTTTATGTTTCGTAACCCAGTTGATCCTCCTGACCTCATTCCGCTTCTTGGCCCTCTAATCCATCGACCGGACCAGTAACTTTTTTATTGGTGTCGTTCGCGGGAGTGTTACACCAGGCACCGACCCGCCGATCGGCTCGCAACCGCATGCTGGGATGGGTGTGAACAGATGCCGGATTGATGTAATAACACGAGTCAATGACTGGTGATTGCGGACGTCTTCCGTCTCCGACTGCGCGACAGAAGGGCAAGAGATGTTGACGTGGCAGACGGGACGAGCGGCAAGTCAAACGTGACTCTTCTTGTCACACTGTGACGCCTTCGCCGCCGGTCCCCAGGGCGATGATCATTTCGGCATTCGAAGCCGGGATTCGGTGCTAGCGTCCCCTCTCCAAACGCCTCTAAAATTGGCTGCTATCTCCACCTTCTCTTCTCGTTCCTCTTAGACAGCCGGTAATTATTTTCCGTCGACGCCTTTTCTCCTTTCTTTTTTTGTCCCGTATTACTATTCAAGTCACGACGTCAACAGAGGTGAAAACAACTTGGAACGAATGAGTTGGACACTATAGAGAAAGCCTTAAAGCCGGCTGAAAATCCCGGAAGCTGCAAATGTCGTCTTCGTTTCAAGTTGTGTCACCCCAACCCCAACTCGCTAGAATTTCGTTGCCATAGCGCGATGGCTGCTCAAACTGAGCAGCACTATATCTCGGATTAGTTAGTAGTGAGAGCGGCGGGCCGGCGGCGAGCGGAGTGCTCATACAAGGGAGGGCTCCTCGGCTCGCCCGTTGCTGCTGCTCTTCTCACCCCCGACTTACATGATGTCGTCGTTCTTCACCGTCTCGCTGTCTGCGCACGTCTCCGGCCTACTCTCCAGTGTCTGCGTCTTGTTTTATATTTGGTGAAGGGAGATCTCGCGAGCTCTCCGCGCACACGCTATTCATGTGGGCTTGTTCGTACGGCAGACTGCGCCGTGCTCTGGCTCATTAGAAGTTATCTCATAACGATGCCCATTTGCTGAATTTCTCTTATGCTTTTCCACACGCCAATTAATTGGAATCGTCATCATTCTTATCATTCTTATTAGTAAAAGTCTTAGGGGTTTTGTCCCTCTGTTTATTTCTTGGTTTGTCCGCAAACGTCCGCAAACGTTTTCATTTCTAAAACGTTGTGACGGAGAAATCAAGACATGAACACGTGAACTTTCGAATAGTTCTGAAAAACAAGAAAGCGGCCCAGTTTTTAAAAGTCTTGTGAGTTCGATAAGATTACTGTAGTTTCGTATATGAATTTAAAGAAGTCATGTATTTTTAAAAACTTCTTTCTGTGTAACACGGTGAAATCGGTCTTCGAATTAAGTTTAAGACTTGATATTCAATAGAACAGGTTTAAACTCTACCACGTCACTTTTACGTTTATGTACATTTCGGATATGCATGTCTCAAAAGCACGAAAAAGTGGTATTTCCCCTTGAGTTTCCTTCCTTTTCTCTTGAATCGTTCGAGCACACAATGACGTATTGTTCGCTTTCTTATTATATCCACCGTGATGACGTGATAACTGGGAATCTTCTCCGTCTCCCATCGTTATCATCAGACATTCATTGCTTCCTCCCTTTTTTGCCTCACAATCTCTCCTTCCGTTTCCTGTTGAACTTAGTTTTCGTGTAAAGCTTTCCTGCGTATGCGTCTCGTTTCCGTTACCAAGATTAGAGATTCATCGAGACATACATAATATATTCGCCCGGCCAACTCATTTTTATGCATTCCAAATCTCGGTCCTTCCACCTCTTTCCCCGGTCCTTCTTTTCCTTCTTTCTCCCTCGGGACCTTTCTGAACGCACTTTTCACTTCGTTTCTTCGTTGCCCTTTTCTGATCTAAGTGGTCATTCAGAATTCCGTCTGGCCGTGTGCATGGCCGCATACTCTCCGGCCGATTCGACAGCCGAGGCGCGTCTTTTGTCCGGTTCGGACCCAATTTCGGATACTGAAAACCTTCTTGATCTTGCCTACGAAGTGGGCTCCTCGGATTCCACTAGATACGACCGAGAAAGTGAAAATGACGAAGAGGAAGTTGGATGGGAAAAAGAGAATACGAACAGAAGAATGTGCAAATCAGCCACTTTCCATGACTTCTGTGATGATTCTGAACACCTAAGACGAGCAGTTACGACACTACCAGAAGAAGATTTTGACGAGGAAGAAGAGGACGAATTCGAAGATGCCAGCGATCGAAGAGAGTTTGAAGACGATGAAGAAGAAGATGAAGACGATGAAATCGTCGTAGAAGAAGAAGAAGTAACGCCGGAAGAGATTGAAGAACGCGAAGTTTCTCACATTTCAAATGATCGTTCCACTTCTCCGAATCCTCCGGCGGAAGAAAAAACGAAAGGAAAGAAGAAGAAGCGGAAAGCGGAAGAAGGAATGCGAAAGATGAAGAAGAGCAGCACGTTCGCTTCTTTCCTCAACATGTTCGTGGCTCGTCGTCGTTCCGGAAGGGAATCGGGCGGAATCCGAGAGGGCGAGAGGCTCATGTCCCGAAGCACGTGCCTTCTGCGGCCAAGCATCTCATTGTGTAAGTTTGTAGTCCCCCCCTTACTCTTGCCTCTTCCCTGCCCCCCTCCGGTGTTGATTTCCATTCGAAGCTGTAATTCAACACCGGTTAGCCTGATGCAGATCAGAAAGAATATATGTGACGTAGAAATGAAGAGGGTGACGGACAAGCAAAAAAGGAATGTACTCCGTGGCGCTGCGAGTTGTTCGCCGCGATAGCAGCTAATCTAATCTGAAAGGGAAGAATAATCGGAGCAATTTTCAGCCGTCGTCCAAGAGTCGATGATTTTGGGCTCCGATGGAGAGAGTGTCGAGGTCTCGCCGTGCACTTCCGACCAGACGCCGACCGGCGTTCCTCCCCGGTTTGTGCTTCCGGCCGAGCAGTTCACCTCAATTCATTTTTTCCAGATACATTGTCAACGTGAAAATGAGGCAAAAACCAGCAAGGAAGTGGAGCGAGGTAATGATCCTGAATGGTTTTGTTGTGATATCAGGAAGTGTGTAGTGAGTAGGGATGCAGAACAGGCGCCTAAAAAACAGGCGCCTGTTTTTTCAACGCAAAAACTGAGTCGCCTGTGAAAAAACAGGCGCAGGTGCCTAAAATCGCCTGTTTTGCATCCCTACTAGTGAGGAAATATGCAAATTGAGCGAAAGTGAGAAGGATATCGTGCTAGTTACGAATTTGAGCTAATTCTGGAAAATGAGTAGGACGTTGAACCGGATATTTGTGCGGCAGTGTATGACGTCATTTTTCAGAAAGATCTGAAAACTTCTTGTTTTGGTGGAAATGTGGAGTGAACTTGTTTCCTATTCAGGAGGAAATCCAGAAGCGGCTGTCACTTCCGGCTGACTTGCGTCTTCCGGTAGCTGTCGTCGACAAACTAAACCGAACGCCGACTTTGGATCAGCCGTTGACGAGGAAGAACCGGAGGGCTTCGCTCAGCGAAATCGGATTCGGGAAGTTGGAGACGTACGAAAAGTTGGACAAGTTGGGAGAAGGCACTTATGCTACCGTATTCCGCGGCAGATCCATTCTTACCAACAAGTTTGTGGCACTAAAAGTGAGTTGGCTGCTATCCCGTCGGTGCAATTTGAGCAACGGAAATTAATTTCACATTGCCATTTCCCTATTTTTATGACCTAGTTTTCAATTCGCTTTTTCAGGAAATACGGCTAGAACAAGAGGAGGGCGCTCCGTGTACGGCAATTCGAGAAGTGTCGCTTCTGAGGAATCTGAGGCACGCGAACGTCGTCACACTTCATGACATCATCCACACAGATCGCCTGTTAACACTTGTGAGTCTTCTAGAAAAATGGACTACGAATAACAGAGTTATTGCAGGTTTTCGAATACGTCGATCGAGATCTAAAGCAGTATATGGACACGTGCAACAATGCAATGCAGATGAATAATATCCGTCTTTTCCTGTTCCAATTGCTTCGTGGACTTGCTTATTGCCATCAGAGACGCGTCCTTCATCGTGATCTCAAACCACAAAATCTTCTGATTACCGCGAAAGGAGAGCTGAAACTTGCGGATTTTGGACTGGCGCGTGCCAAGTCCGTTCCGACGAAGACTTACTCGAACGAGGTGGTCACTCTGTGGTACCGTCCTCCCGACGTGCTGCTCGGTTCCACCGACTATTCTACTCACATTGACATGTGGGGAGTCGGGTGCATTCTGTTCGAGATGATCGCTGGACGCGCTCTTTTCCCTGGCGGAACTCCTGGAGAGCAATTGGGTCTCATTTTCAGGTGAGTTTATAATTTCAGACATATCACATTATACTTTTTTCAGAACTCTCGGATCGCCCCGCCCCGATCGGCATCCCACTATCTGTGAGAGGCCGACGTTTTACCCATATGCCTGTCGGCAGTACACTCCGGAGCCGTTGTGCCGGCAGATTCCGCGGATAGACGCCCACGGATTCGAGTTGCTCATGAAGTTCCTGCAATACGAGGGCCGCGATCGAGTGTCAGCCACCGACGCACTCAAACATCCGTTCTTAAGAACCATTGCCGTGAAGGTACAATCATAAGTTTTCACAGTTTCTCACTTCTTTCCTCCACTTCAGTGCCACCATCTTCGCGATGAGCAGTCGGTTCTCGAGGCGGACGGAGTGCACATTGAGCGCGAGCTACTCGGAGCCGATCACCATCATCACAGTTCCCGTCGGCATAATCGAGGCACGATGGCCAAGGAAAAGTACAGAATGCATTCGAGCCATCACACTTAGGCACCACCCTATCCTAGAACTCAATTCCTCTTCTCGTTGTATTGCCTGCCCCCTGCATTGTGTTTAACTTTACGGGTCCCTCAACCAATTCCGATTCGTTTGCCCTTCCAATCATCCTTTCCGTCGCTAATAATTCTCAGCTCGTGGCTCGTCGTCCTAATAAGTTGTTAAGTGACACTTTCCATATCCCGACCCCTTTCTTTCCTTTATTTCTCCAAAGTTCTCCCGTTGTTTGTCTCCAGTTATAGATTTGATTCTAAATGCGTCACACAATATTCTTAATTAATTTTTTTCTAAAGATAATACGCTATTTATTTCCTTCTCTTTTCCTAATTGTACACTCTGTGAATAAACCCGAGAATCAAATCTGAAAGCTTCAATGAAGAATACGATTAAAAAAAATCAAAGTGTGTAAGACATTTACCCCGGAACGAAAGAATTCGAATTACAGATATATAGCAATGGTATGAAATTATGCTATCGAGTCATCGAAGACAATTAAAGAAGGAAAGGAGCATCACAGAAGTTGTTACGGGGGACGAAACTGGTGGAAATAGTTGTTCTCAAACATAGGCAATCGCGGAGATAGAAAAGTGCTTGAAACAGAAGAAATTAAATGGAAAGTTGTACTAAATGACTAAAATGACCCTGTAAGACGGGGAACAGTGAGCGTCTAGTCGGACCACTCGTTCTTCTCGTCGTCGTCCTCGTCTTCATCGCTCGTATCGTCTATACCCATATTCAGGCGACGCTCCTCGAGAGCCTTCGCAAGTGCTCCGGCCAGACCGCCCATTCCAGCCACTCCGCCAGTTGTGCTCTTTCGGCGCTCTTGCTCGGCGGCCGCATCCACCTGAAAGTAAAGAACGCACCTTTTTAGAAGCCGTCAAACGCGATAATTTTTGAATGTTCCCCGTCAAACTTACATGTTTCAGCTGAGCTCCCTGACGAATTTGAGCCATCACATCTCCACGAGCATCTGCCGGCTTTGGAGCTTCTTGCTGAACTGAGCGAAGCTGTTTGCCAGCTTGGATTTCCTGAAAAGTGCACATTAACTTGGGAATTACGCGATTAACAGAGGGTACGCCGAACCAGAAATGTCCCGAATCAGAACTATTTTCAGTACTAATTGGTTCCGATTTGGGACAGTTCTGATTCGAACAGTTCTGGTTCGGCGTAGCCCCGATTAACATTACAGCGAGCAAGTTGGATCTTCCGTTCTGAGCAGTCGGCAAGCTGGCAAGTACGGCACTCGGCCCTCCGGATGGCGGCGGAGGTGGCGGCGGCGGTGGAGCTCCGGCTCCGACTGGTGGAAGTCCGCCAGAAGGGAGAGGCGGTGGTGGTGGCGGTGGCGGTGGGGCCGACGAAGAAATCGGAGCCGGAGCCGATGCCGGTGGAGGCGGAGGTGGTGGAGGTGGAACTGCGTGGGGACGAGCCTCCGGAGTGTTCGGGTAGCTCGGAGCCTAAATATCGAATGAGTTACATTTCATTTCTAAACTCTGACACCTGTGGCAACGGCCTGGATGGTGCATATCCGCGGTTGTTGGACGGTGGAGGTGGTGGTGGACGAGCTGGAGCAAGTCCGTGCGATTCAACACGGGTGGGCGGCGGAGGAGCAGCTGGAGAAGAGGAATACGAGTGACTTCCGACAGGAGCAGCAGATGGGAACGATGGTTTGTAAGGACGGACAGGGGTTCTGATTAAAAAATTATGCGGGAAGAGAAGAGACTCATAAACTGACTGATTCCACTGCTGCATAGGCTGCTGAACGGGCGGCGGCATCGGGGCAGAGATCTGGGACGGATCGAGACTTCCGACGGACACGTACTTGTCGTAGTTCTTGGCGATGAACTTCTTCACGAACTTTCTGTCGTCCTCGTTCAGATTGTTGCTTTCTAAACCGGCGGCCTTTAGAATGTTCTTTGTCGCTTCGTCCATATCGTCGTCATAGACGGTATTTGAGAAACCGCTGTCTTGATTCCAGCCGACGTGAGCTTTGTGTCTGAAGAAAATTGACTCTGAGTGATGCGAAATAGAACGAAAAGTACTGGAAATTGGTCGGATTCGAGATGTCCTCCTTCTTGATCTTCGCCTTTTTGTCCTTTTTCTTATTTTTGTCCTTCTTGAACCAACTGGATCCACTGCTTGCCGTGTTTCCATCTGAAATATGATCCATTTACTTTCCGAAGACAAATGAACTCACGCCGAAAAAAATATGTTAAAAGTTTGTCAATCATGTTTTTCAAACGTCGAGTGAGTATGAAATATCGAGAAATGAAAATAATCGACATTTGGACTAACCTGTCTGGGTATGCGAATGGGGAGCAGCAGCCATTGTGCCCATCGGAGTTATCCCTTGCCCCCCGCTGATCGGCATCGTAGGTCCACGGATCGTCCCTCCATAGGCCTGTGTGATTTCGAACGGACGCGTTGGAGTTGCTCCTATTCCTGCAAATGCCACTATGATCGTCACTATGAGATGACTTTCACGACTCCCGTTTCCCAATTTTCTCACGTTTGAGTGAGCGCTATTCAAACTTTCTCTCTTCTGCGCCCCCCCCCCTCCCCCCCCCGGGATTGCATGCAAACTTCAACAGTTTAGTGTGCTCGCCAAGCCGATCAAGAGGCCACGATCGGCTCGCTTTGCCAGTGCTCACAACATGACATGAACACAAATAATAATTGCTCCGAAATTCGCGCCATCCTAACCAGGTGGGGGAGACTCAATGCGCCCGCGCGGGGATGTTTGCTTTCCAAATTTGAGAAAAACCGTCTCTGCTCAAATGCGAAACCTGATTTCATCTCGGATTCCGATAATGACAGAATGAGCCGATGAAAAAGGGTTACGAGATATGCTACTCGTCATTAAGTCAACAGTGATACACGGTCAGATAGCGTGAGCTCGTGATGAATCAGGCGAAATAGTGTTGACACACTACCGAAGTTCCAGTACAAAAACAAACCATTCTGTGGGTGTCCTCGAGTGTTTATCTCTTTCTGACTCTTTTTAACCAATCGGTGTCTGGCTGGTGGCTGCGTAGGGATGGGCGGGGGAGTGTCCGCTTCGACAGAAGACGGCGTTGCACTGCTGCTCTCCGCACTGTCACTCCCTCCCGAACAATAGATCGGCTCCTCCTTCTTCGTCACCATCACTGACACTTGTCCATTTGACCTATGCACCAGAACAGAATCGTGATGCGGAGCCGGATCGGGGTTCATTGAGACCGCTTCGTAGTCGTCTTCTTCGTCGCCAAAGTCTTCCGTGTTGAACACTTTGAGGTGTCGTGGTGCTTGATAGGAGTTGCTCACATATTCTCCTCTTGAAACAGGCTCCTCTGGCAATTGGAATCGGACCTTGTTTCTTGAAAGAGGCGGAGAGTAATCGGGGTCAGGACTTGGAGCTCTGTGATGTCGTTGATCCTGATGATGAGAACGTTGTCGCGGTCGGTACGTCTGCTGCGGATGTTGCTGTTGCTGCTGATGGTAATAGTAGAAGGCGTCGGGCGAAATCGGAACATAACATCTTGCGTAGTTTTGCTGCCTCGCATAACTTCCAGAAGTTCCGCCGTACCTTGTCGAGTAAACTGGATCTTGGTACTCTGCGGACGAGCTGGTCGAGCTAGAAGAGTCAGGTCCTCCATAAGAAGAATAGTCGTTCACATTGTCGTACTGCTCCATCTCATAGTAATGTCCTCCGTGCACATTCGGAAGAGTGTGGCTCCGAATGGCACGTGGAGAAGCATTCATCGGATCGGGAAAGCTGAGGCATCCGCCACGCGAGAATCGCTGCATATGGCTATGTCCGGAAGGGGAAGCGGACGAATAGATCGCAGTCGACGAAACGGTTGACGGATTAGACGGAATGGGCGGAGGAGGGGGCGGCTGAGCGGCCGGCGGCGGCAGGTTGTGGTACTGATAGCGGAGACGGCCGGCCGGATCCTCGCTCACAACCATCCACATGTTATTACTTGGCTGGAAGCGTCACGAATTAGGACAATTGCGGCTAATACGGACGGCGACGGAAAATGGGTAGGAAGTGACATTTACGAATCGAGAACGATGCGAAACAAATTGGACATCTCGGGTCAGCAGGTAAACCGATGAAAAAATTGCATAATGGTCGGTTGAAGTGTGATATGGGAATGGGAAGGTTTTAGGAAAAATGAAAGGAAGACGAAGAAATGAGAGAATCGGTTCAAAAGGAACTCGGGCCTAGACGTGAGAACTATTCAAATAGACAAAATTCAGAATCAATTCGGCAGTGGTTTAAAAGTTCAAGTTAAAAAAGTAAAGAAACAAGAAATCTTGAGACTTTCGGAAATAAGCATTCGTTTTTCTATTCATTCAAAAGATTCCGAATCTCACTTTGGCAATTGGAATGGCAGAACCTCGAGGAGATTGAACGGGTATCCGACGGACACAGAAACCGAACGTCATAATACACATCATTATTGTATACCGTTTCGCCTCTTCACACCGCTTTTCCTCGTCATTTCAATTGCGCATCGAATTACACCACGTTGGCGCAACGTCGTGCCGGCTGTGCCTATTGACACGGTTTCGAATGCAAAATTGATACTGAGAGAAGTGGAACAGAAATTTAAAATTGGGAAAAACACGCAGTGTTGAAATTGGAAAGAGTGAGAAAATAACAGTAAAACTGACCGAAAAGAGCGAAGGGTAAAGTGTGCACTTCAGCGCTTCTCTCCCCTCGCGAGAGTAGTTAGGCGGAGTCAACAGTGTGTGCTGAACCAGCGGCCGTCGGAGGAAGAAGAGGAAGAAGAAGCCCGGTGGCAGCATGTACAACACAAATTATCCACTCACTGCTGGACTGACACCGTCTTTGAAAAACGGACAATTGGCAGGAAAGAGTCTTTCCGAAAGAGTGTGTTTCCACTTTTCACTTTGTCTGTTTTCATTTTCGTTCTCGAACGAAGAACACATAATTGTATGGAGACCAGAGACAAACAAACTAAAATGGCAAAAGAACAGAACGGAACTGATAGGAATCTGCATGGGGGATTATGACCGAAAGGAAGGATGGTCCGTGTCCTTCAAACACGTAACTAATTGCATTCGATGGGAGGACGAGACGCCCGTCAAATGAATATACAAATTCGAATTTAAGAAAAAGAGGAACAAAATAGCACGTAAGTACGGGAGGATACGGCTTATCCTGTACTTGTCCTGTCCTGCTCCTTGCTCTTTCGAGTGGCAGTGCTCATGCGGAGATACCGCCCGGAGGAGGAACATCCTTCCGTCGAGTGGCTCGGAAAGTCAACGGAACACGAGGAGGTAGGTCAATCAGAGACGACATCTTCCGATCTTTTCACACCGTCACATTGATCCGGAAACGGCCAGTGAGAAACGAGGGAAATGGACGAGGAGGGCGAGGACGACGACGAATTTGCCAATAGATTATGATATGCGCGAGAGTCTTCGTCGGGCAACAAAACAAACAGCCGACGAATTTCTTCGGTGTGAGCTTGTCTCCCAACCGCTTTCACTCTTGTTCTTCTGGCAGCCGAAACTCATCACGACGGATTAGAAGGGCGGCTTACCGGACGTGGAAGCAGTCGGGAGAGACAAGGTCAAATCGCTCAACAACTTACCGCGCGGGACACCCGAGAGGACTCTTTTTGTGAAGCGACATGGCCCGGAATTATGTGGTTTGAAACTTTTTCGCCGGAAGAAATGACAATAGCGCGAGAAAGGAACGAGGTTTCGTCAAGGTTGACACCCAGGTCGAGAAATTTGGGAACACGGAAAAGATGCAAACCGACAAGGGATTAGTGGGTGAAATGAATTTCACGTTTGAATGCTGAACTTTCACTGACATCTTGATTGTCAATTTTCTTTTTTGTGATGTTACTTATATTGGATGAAAAGTCCTAGAGAAGAACTAGCCGACTCCTGTCCTCTGACTCTCAAAAACAGTTGTTTCCGCGTTTCCGACGTCAGTGGAATCGAAGGGAGGAAGAGTACATAATAGCTTTTCATCGTCCAATTAGTTGCTGTTCTTTTCGTCGGCAATTAACACACACGCCGAGACGGTAAGCTACGGAGGAAGAACGAAAAGAAGTGACCAGTCCCGAGTTGTCAAATTCGGAGCAGCCATCGAAATCGGATCGGGAAATGGCGAAGAATGGAAAGACGAAAAAAAATAAGTACGGGGGAGAGTGAAGAAGAAAAGATCGAATTTCGTCTTCCGTATAAGACGGGAAGGCATCCTCGACGTTCGATTCCAAGATATCTTTGTACGGCCTATGAAGCGAACAGACAAAAAAGCTCGAGGAAATGGGGGAAAGGGGGCGACACCTAAAGGTAGTACAAGTTTACGAGCGTCTCGTGAAAGCTTAGCTGCATGATTCAGGAAGAACACGATGAGTGTAAAAAGCGAAAAGTATACAGTTTAGAGGAGAGAAAGAGCGATGTGCTCACAAGAAATACAAGTAATCGGAACGGCAAATAGGAAAACGGGAAGGAAGACACCAGTTACCAGCAAAACCTTTTTGAACTCTTCTCAACATTCTAATGTCATTGAGTGCTGTTTCCTTAACATTGTGGGGTGGAAGTTTCCGATCATTCAAAAAAGATAAAGACTCTTATTCAAAGCAATTCAATGAGAGTAAAAATGAGAAGGATAATCTGGATATTACTAGATTTTCTCTCAAAGATAGAATCCAAGAGACACTCGTCGCATCTGCTCGGAAGTAAGAGTGGAACATGAGCAAAACTGCCTTATTTATTGTTCGACTTTTCCTCCATTTTTTTCTCTTTCCGTTGGGCGTTGAGTCGCGGAAAGTTGGCGGTGAGCCAACAGAAATGATACAAACTGTGTGCATTTGCAGGAGAGAAAGTAAACTGTCTGTGTAGATTTTCCGCGTGGAAGCGTCTTACCGCGCGGAAAAAAAAACGAAAGAGCAACTATATAAGAGGGCGCGGCGACCGTGTATGTTTGTAAGAGAGCGAGTAGTAGAGGATTGACTCGTTTTTTGGGAGGAGCAATTCCGAGGTCAGAAGGGAGAGAGTTCGAATAGTGACGGGACGGAGACTAACCGGTTGACATGACCATCGGAATCCCTGCTCGAGACGCGTGGTTAGCTTTTCTTTCTTGAGCATGTCGACGATCCAGATGCTCCTGAAATTGCCTTTTTAAGAAGAAGACAGATTGTAACGTTTTTTCTCGCCCCTCTATTCTTCCTTTTCAACATGTTTTTCTCAATACTGTGAGATTTTTTGAACTTGAAATGATATCAAACCTTGAAATCGGTAGTTTCGTGTTCACTGAAGAAGTTGAGTCCAATGACAACTCCGTCTTCACCACTTTCCATCTGTTCGAACGCCAACAGTTTTCCACACTGGGAGAATGATTGAGCACGGAATCCCTTGTACCTGAAAAACGCGAAATGATGGTGCTCTCCCCAATCTCTCTCTCTCTCTCTTACAATTTGAAATCCCACACAAGGCGCTCTTCTAGAATATCGAATATTCGAAGGAAATAGGCTCTCTGAGTATAGTCTTTGACGAGAGATATCACTCCGTGTGGTAGTTCAACTCTCCACGCTCCACGGTCCGATTTGAGCAGCTGGACGACGGCGGCAGTGAGAGAGACGGAGTCTGACCCGACCATCGAAAAGAGCATCTCATTCTCTTGTACATTCAATTCCTAAACAACACTAAGCTTTTAGCTTTCTGAAGATCTTTTTCTAAACAGTCCGGAATAACTTACTCTGGATCCAGCATTAGGCGGCCGTTTTGGTCTTCTCCTGTCTGCTCCGCCTGTAAAATATCATCTTGACTGCTTTCGTTTAAGATATGTCGACTTACCGTGCATGACTGGCAGCGTGGGCGTCGGTGGATAGACCGACATTTGATTTGGTTGCAATTTCGAGGAGAGGCGTGCCCTGAAACAACAAATGGAAAATCAATTGAAAAAAGGCAAAAGAGACGAATTGAGTGAGTCAGAGAAGAAGAAAATGTCGAACGTTTACTTAATAAGTTCGCTTTTGCTTCTTAGAAATATCGTAAAAGGCACTTTGCTCATGCCTGCTCCAAGTACATAATGCATGCGTTCATTCGAATGCTTAGCCGCCCTGCACAAATATTACGAGCCGCCAATCGGGTGAGCGCCGCGATTTCGTCTAGCTCAAATGGATATTTCGAAATAGAAACAACGGAGGAAAGCAGCCGAAAAAGAAAGAAAGGTAGTTAGCGAGAAAATTGTTTGTCTTGTGAGTAACTTTGTCTGAGTGCGTGTTGACTATTCGCACCTTTCACAGAAACTCGAACTAGTTGTGAGCACATTAAAAAGAGAACATTGGTCTCCGTGTCAGAAAATAGAGAAAAATTCGCCGATCGATAGACAACACTATATATAATTGTAGAAGCAATGTTCTCATCGTTAAAACTGAAAAAAAAAAACAAAAAAAGACCAGCGGTGGGAGGGAAAGTGAGTCAACATTTTCTAAATGGACGGATGACTCACTGACATGATATCAATATGATTGTGAAAGTACTAAAATGACTGTTCAGTTGGAAAGATATGAGATTTGGTACTTGAGTAATCGATTCGTAACACTAAAGAATCACAGTTTGGATTCCAATTACATTAAAATATTCGAGAAAGGTACAGGCTGAAGAATATTGCAATTACTTTTCAAATACATGTAGTGCTAATTTGAGCACTGCTTTGACATATTTCCCAGATAGTTTCTGTTTGGAAGGCGATAAACACTTTCGACTGGAATAGACTGAGAAAAACAAGAAAAGTGGAAATTAATCTTAAAATTGCTTTCTCTTTCTCGATCGATTCACTATCTATATAAATTCGGGTCAGCTGAGAAAAAAGGGAATGGGAAAAGAACAGAAGTCGGGTGAGTCGGAAGCGAGTGAGCGGCCGGGACCGCCCGTATAATGGCCGAAGCGCCCGGATTAGGAAGCGGCCGAAAAGACCGCGCGGACACGCCCCGATGCACTCGGGTTCATGAATAGCGGGAGACAACGGACGGGAGCGATAAATAATATAATGTACATGGATTATCAACCATTTCTCTCTCTTTTTCAACTATCCGACCCTCATTAATTAGCTTTATTGTTCTCTACTATGGAATTTATGTGACAAACTATTATAATACAGACACTTTTCAGATTTTGGAAAGGAATTCTCGATGAAGAGTCTCTCCGTTGTCGACTGAGCACGCCTCCAGAATCTTGGCCAGATTCGGTCTGAGTACATTTAACTCTGTGTAGCCGCCGACGAATCTGGAAAGAAGAATGAGAAGATTCATTGGAAGCCACGCTCACTTTCCACAAATGAAGATCTGCGGAACAGTCCGTTGACAAGTCAAATCCATGAGCCCCTGAATATATTCTTGAGCATCCGGATTTACTTTCGCAATTGCGTTCAAATTCTGAAGAAAAGAAAGCGTTTTGTGAAGTTCAATTCAGAGCTCACTCTTTCAGTATAATGGATTCCGTCCTCGTATAGCGCGTTTTTCGCCATAACGCAGTATCCGCATCCGTCTTTCGTATAGAGCACCACTGCGTGCTCTTTTGCCTGTAATCCTGTTTCAGTTGGGCGTCAAGTCAGGTCACTTATACCTCTGCTGCAATCTTCTTCGACTGTTCCGATAGTGGTGCTTTCGGTGGAGTCGACGCGGATCCTCCCATCTTTCTGATTAAGCCCAGTTGACCTTTTCCCATTATTCTTCTTTACTTCAAGTATCAGGATCGTAGTGAACAAGAAACCAGTTCATAAAGACTTATCAAAACCTATAACCCATCACCAAGTCGCTTCATTCTGAATAAATTAAAAACGAGTAGGAGCACGTTGCACAGACAATGCTATAAATAAAAATTTTGGGGGAAAGCCGACGATGAGGGATGTCAAGGGTTAGCACTGATGGGTTAGATGATGGGGGGAAGCACCAGAAACGAGGGCACAGAAATTAAAAGGATTCCGGACGGGGTGGAAGGGAAGCGAGAGTTCTATCACAGATGGAACGGACTACAAGTTCACAAATCAGATGGAAGGCCGGTTAGTCGAAGGAAATCAGTGGCTGCTCGGCCATCGGCGGCTGCGGCGGATGGGCGACTGCTTCGACTGCAAACCCATTTGTCGTTCCCGGTTAGTCTCAAGCACATTTCACTCACCGTTCCCGTATCCGTTATGTCCGTTGGCAGTAGGCGCCTGGTATCCATGCTGTTCTTGCTTCAGTTCTCCAGAATTTTTTTGAGGCGCGTATTGTCCATTTTCCATTCCGCTCGGATACCCTTGATGCTGTTGTGGTTGTTGCTGATGTTGCTGTGGGTATCCTGAACTTTCTAATCTCTTATTAGTTGTCAATTCATTAAAGTTTTCGACAAACCTCCTTGCGGCTGAGGCTGCTGGTAACCTTGTTGCGGATAGAACTGCTGATATTGTTGCTGATAATGCTGGGCATGTGGCTGTTGTTGCTGTTGCGAGGGAGGAGCCTGTGGATGACCGTTCGATGGAGTAGGAGCAACTGGCGGGGTTTGATAGTGTTGATAGTACGGCTGTTGTTGCTGGAGAGGCTGCTGATATTGATTGAGAGCCGCCTGTCCTTGCGCATATGGGTAATACGGTTGTTGTTGTTGTTGTTGTTGTTGTTGGGGCTGTCCTGGCGGAGCTGCGTATCCCATTTGCGGGTTGTAGTAGGCCTGCTGCTGTCGACGTAAAGCCATCTCTTGCTGTTGCTGCTGGAATCTGTGCAGAGCCTGCTCCCGTTGTTCCATCAGCATCGCCTAAAGAAAGTTTTCAGTGAATGTTAAAAATTTGGCAGTCAGAAGTTGTAACTCACGTGCTTCTTCATCCGCATCATCTCGAGTGTCTGCTGCATCTGTGCCTGCCGCAGTCTCTGCTCTTCGGCCAGTCGTTCTTGTCTCTTTCGTTCATGCTCCTCTCTCATCTCGTCGATTGCCTGTCTCGCTTCTCCTATGTTCGACAAATGGTCCTGCAGACTCTCATAATATCCCCGCTGCTCGTCAAGAGTGTGCATTCGGCTGAGAACGTGCGAATGCAGCTCCGTCAGTTTTGTGAACAGATCCTGAATGGCCGAGTCATTGAAGACGGGTCGTCCTCTCGCCAGGTTCGATCGGATTCGGTTGTCCATCACAGAGACTTGCTCTCTGATCGACTGGCACCATTTCATCGTGTCATCCGCCTGCACACGCGCATCGTCGCTCACCGATCCGTTGAGCACACTAGTGCCGCCCAAGGACATGGCAGCAATGTCTGCATTCAGGGAATTGTCGTCAGGAGCCATCAGAGTGGAGCAGATCGAGGGAGCCACAGATGGTTCGGAAGGCGGCGGGGCAGTTGCAGAGAGAGCTCCGATAGTCGAGGTGGTGGCCCATTCATCCACTTTTCCTTCTTTTTTCTGTTGCCAGTAATCTCTGTTGAGATACCTCGCCAGTGGATCGGCGCTAACGTCGTCGGCCGCTGGGGGCGCGTTGCTCTCGGCCACTCCCTTGTATCCGCCAAGTTCGCCATCAGGCTTTATTCCGTTGTAGATTGAGTAAAGGTTGCTCTGTTTTTCTTTCTCCTTGGCTTCTGCCTCGCTCTGACTGATTGCGATTGCGAGAGCGAGGTCTTCCTCTTCTTTCTCTCTCAACAGTTTCTCTTTCGCAGCCTTTTCACTTTCCGACTCTCCAGGGGTTGGTCCTTTGCTCACAGTGGCTGCAGCATATCTCTTTTTCAGAATAGGATTCTTATCCTTCAACTCGGCAACTCTCTTCTCGAAACACGTCTCGCAGACACGGACTTCTTTCTCGATTCCGAACTGAGGAAGAGTCATTTCTCTGGAACTGCACTTATCGCAGAAAATTTGTCCGCACGCACGGCAATGATGTTTTCTCGTAAATACTGTGAACACGGAGCGACAGCGATAGCACTCCGGCCCCTCGGCCCATTCGGGAGCCACTTGAGCCATGAACATGGCGTCGGCCTCCTTGAGCGACGGAAAGTCGAATCCAGCCAGTTTCATGAGATTGTGGGTGTCCACGACCATTTTGTATTCAGGCTTGTTCGCAAACGCCGTGGCCCAACACTGAAGCATTTCCAAAGACTTATTTTTCACCTGAAAATACACAAATAACCAATTGGGAAAACTCAGTATAAGCAAACCTCTTCGTACTTGTTCTCAGTGACCAGATTCTTGAAATCTTCCATGAACTCGCGAGTGGCCACTTCAGAATGTACTTTATGTCCGCAATTTTTGACACAAGCATCCAGAACGAGAAGAGTGTGATTGACGACGTGCGGATTCTCATGCTGAAGTCGTTTTCGGATAGCTTGAAGCGATGGTTTCGCGCTGAAAGTGTTTAGTTTCTCAAGAAGGTGAAATGCTTACACAAAACATACGGAACTTCCCCAGATCGGATCATGTCGGTGCATGTTATGATGCCTTCCCAGTTCGGTTCAACCAGCGTACTGTCTGTTGCTTGGTCTGAAAGTCGGAAGTTAAAAAAGAAATGGTTTCTTCCGTAAAACTCACCGAGAACTCGCTGAAATCTATTTGCCATAACGCCCTGCAAAGAAAAAAATGAATAAGGTCCGAGAAAAAAGGTGGTGATAAAAGAGAGGTTACCCTTATTTCGTGGATTTTCAGTTTTTTGAGTATACTAGTGGATTTTGCTACCGGTTTTTTGGCCACGTTTCGTTTGTCCATTTTTCAGGGACGAATGTACGTTGGCCGAATGGCAGAAAGGTGTGTTGGAAAGGAAAGAGAAGGGCGAGAGGGAGCATCAAAAAATAAACAAATTCAGATGAAAACGATCGCGAATCGAATCGATGCGGGTGACTAAGCGGCGGCTGGAAAACAGAAAAAGAAGCTGTTATTGTGAAAGAATTGATCGAAAAGCGAGGAGACGCAGAGAAACTCGGCCGTGGCGTGCGAACGGAAATTCCTAGGCCACCAACAGAAATGGGTTGAAAAGATGGTCAAAGAGCCGAACAAAGGAGAGTGTGTCAATATGAACGGTCGCAGAAAAAGAAAGCGGAAGATGGACACTGACATTCTGTCGGAAATTTGAAGAGAAACGTGTAGAGGCGCAACATGAAGAAAGTGTAAAACTAAAGGCAGACGACAACCTGAACAAGATGGAGGCGTCTCAGAAATAGAAAGCGAAAGCGGGTTTCACTTTTTGAATGAAAAGGCTTCTCACTGTTAGATTAACTATCAGTTGGCTATTGATAAATGACGAGGATCTGAATAACGCCATTCTGATTCACTAGTCTGAAACGATGTTATCTTGGATCAAGTGTCATTCAGAAGCACCTCTTGAAGCTAAAATCATCACGAATCCTATGCTCGCCGATCATTCCCGCAATTGCGTCCCCGCAATTACTGCGAAACAGTCTCCGAAGCCCCGCCCACTTTGTCATTCGCTTCGAAACTTTCACTTTCTCCTTGCTTCCGCGTAGTGTTCTGTCTGATTCTCTTCCTCTTTCCCACTCCATTCCCATCTCAAATTGGCAATCGAGTAACACACCGAGACGTTTTCCACTCACTTCCTGAATATTGTTGTCTAATTGGCACCAAAACGAGATTTGGACCGAGAAGACAGAGGGCGCCCAGAAGATGTGTCAATGTGAAACCGAATCATGATACCATTGCTTCTCACTATTTTCTTTATCCAATCTGCCGTAGCTTTAGAGCTCAAGTGAGTTACCTCAAATGCTGACCTCTCCTCAGATGTCTCTTTAGACTCTTCGATGATCTTCTGCAAGTCCGCAGTCAGAACGGTCTCTTCTTCCCTCTCTGCTCCAAATCGTTCCATCAGAAGTACGGAGAGCAAGTGTGCGCCTCTCTCTCGAGGACGTTCTCTTCCCATTCAACCGTCGCTCTCCAACAATACACGTATTCTATCGGCTGCACGCCTTCCGTCTGCTTCACTTTCTTGTCTGCGTTCTGCAAGACTGGAATCAAAGTGGCGTGCTCGTCTAGCTGTAATCTTTATCGTCTTGGTCATTTCACCCTTTCCGATTTTACAGTATGCGCCCAGGGAACCCTTCAAATCGGTTCAAAGTGCCTTTCCTTTTCCACTGTTCCCGTGCAAGGATATTCAGAAGCCAAAGATTACTGTAGTCCTCATTCGTTGATCTCTTCACTGAAAAACTCGGAAATCGAGTCCATTCGAGATGCAATTCTGCCAACATTTAGTGAGTTCGTGAACCTTTCAAAAAGTGTTTACCCAACTGATTTCGGGATGTTTATCTGGTGACTACGTGGCACTTCCTTCCACTGTCTGTTGACTCTTGACCACCCAAAAATGCCTTTCTTTTCAGTCGATTATCGCTACTTTCTGACTTCTGGTCTGCGGCAAGGATCCACGTGGAAATGGGGTAATGGAGAAGATGTGGAAGTGAGTGATTATTCTGTTCTTTCCTGATGGAGTACTGTTAATGTGCAGCAAGAAGTGACTGGAAACGGCCGATGTCTGGCATTCCAATCCGGCCGTCTGGTGGCAGTCGATTGCGACGAAGAAGTATTCGCGTTCTGTGAATCAGGCAGAGAATGCGTTGGGAAGAACAGAAAGTATTCCGGAGTTGCGAATACGACGGCTGACGGACAGAACTGTATCCGTTGGGACGATCCCTCTGTGCTATTCCAAAGGGATTCAGAAGTGGACATCATGAGCCACAACTTCTGTCGTTTCATCGAAGAAGAGGGAAAGTGAGCGTAGGAATGTGCTTTCTATGAGATACATTACCTTCAGAACCACACCGTCTCCAGTCTGTTATGTGAAACCGCAGCAGCTGTCCGTGTGCAACATTCCGAACTGTCCGGAGAGTTTGAACGATGCGGTCGCTTCGGAATCCGTTGACACTTGTCCGATCGGATCCTTTTCGTGTGACAACGGCTCGAAGTGCATATCCGAAAAGTTTCAATGCGATTACGAAATAGACTGCAGCGATGGGACCGACGAGCAGAATTGCGGTGAGCTTCTGACATTATGAATTTGTTTCTGAAGAGTTACGTTCAGAAGACTATCTTCAATATTATGATTTGGTCGGAGCGTATCGCCTGGCTGACAACATAATCGAAGTGTGGACGTTCATACCTCACGTACAAGGGGTAGGCGGCGCACTTTCATTCTCACCGTGCTGGTTCCATTTCAGTGTGCCCGCAAATGCAGAGAAAGTCTTCTGATCTGTGAGGCATTCTCGTACGAACCGAAGACGCAGACGTGTCTTCTCACGGACACTTCCCACGTGTATTCGAGTCTTGCTCGCAAATCGACTTCTCTCTACTACCGTCGCCGTTTCTCTTCGAGTACTCGATGACATCGTGTCGGAGGAAAACTGTTGAAGCTTTCAGAAGACGTCGTTTTTGAAGTGGAGAACAAAGTGTTGTACGCGACGAAGCTCTCGAAGAAAGGGCATGTTTGCGACGAGAATTACAGCCGCGAGAAGCTGACTTCCATCTGCAGAGTTCTCGGTTTCGGGTCAGTTTCTCTTTGTTTTTAACTTTTATTTCAGAGTGCTCATGATACATGGTGATGCTTCAAATTTATAATTAATTACTCAAAAAAGAAAGAGTATCGGCTCGGTGATAGTGGTAAATTCGGTGTCTGCGGGGGAGAAAATGAGTCAGTTGTCGGTGGGCCTCGATTCGAGAATTTGTTGTTGGAACGCCAGAATGTCGATCTTCTTGATGAGAGTTTCCATGTTTTTGCGCAAATATTCCTCCGACGACTGAAAACTAGAAGTGTGAGTACGAGAAACAAACGCTTCCGAACCTTGGCGGGAGCTCGGCAGGCGGGAGGAGTGTGCGCCGTGTGCGCGAATCTCAGCTTCGTGGGATCCTAGAACGTCCCATTGAGATCTGAGAATCAGAAGAGAAACACTCACGCAGTACTCCAAAGCCGGAAAGAAATTAACGATGACGTTGGCGTTGACCGCCTGGTAGTAAATGTATTCGCCCACAAACTCCTCTTGTCCTCTCGACTCTCTCGTAATCGCCAAGTTCGGGTGCATCTGAAAACAAACGAAATATCACGGAAATCAGTGTAAGTTAACCCAATAAATATTTCTGTAGAGACCCGATTTATACTCGGGAACGACGTCGATCCGATGCGTCTTCGGCACCGCGACTGTCGACGTCTTCACAGAAGGCGTCCCAGTCTCCTTCTTCCGATTCGCCTTCTTCGGCTTCCCTGATCCCCCTCCCCACCCGCTCCGCCACATCGGCTCTTCTTCGGCCGGTCTGGAACTTATCATGTCTACGAGAACCGAATTGCACTTCAACCATCGCGTCGACCTGCCAACCCATCCGGTGAGTTTAAGGCGGGTCCCACTCACCGTCGAGTCGAATGAAAAGACCGACGTTCATCGAAATGTATCATCAATGGCGTATGATGTTCCCGGTTGTCGCTCTTGATAAGAAATACTAAAATACACATGGACGTTTGAACTTTTGACGGTCACGTTCACAACTGGTTTGCAGGTGTTCTCGTTGTGAGCAGGCGGCGTGTGAGGACGGTTCGTGCATTGAATATCATCAACTCTGTGACGGAAACGTTGATTGCACCGGAGGTCAGGACGAGAATGAATGCGAAGGGAAAGCGTTCCGATTGGTGAACGGGTCGGATACGAGTGGATATGTGGAAGTGCTGTTCCGAGCCAAGTGGGAAGCTGTCTGTACAGATGGAACGGATGCGCAGACTGTGAATTCTGTCTGTGAAAAAATGAGATTAGGGTTTGAAATAGTCCCAAATTGAGCTACTTGCCATACTTTACAGAGAACTCGGATCACTCCTCAATTCGGAAGTTCCCATTAACTTTGGGTTCCACGTGGAATGCGGGGAAGAGTGTGAATTGAAGAGACCTGGTGAATGCAGCAAGCAGGCGCGGATCTCTTGTCATCCGGAAAGCGGCGTCCCTTCTGGCTCCCATTGCGGGCTCAGATATGTAGAAGTGAATGCTCGCGATGCTTCCCGCTCCAGAATCGCCAGAGTCGTCGGAGGATTTGAAACGGTTCCCGGTGCTTTCCCGTGGACCGCCGCGTTGAGAATGAAATCTGTGAGAACGGAAGTAGGAGATTAGCTTGTCAAAGAAGATTTCAGACGAAAGCTCATCACTGTGGTGCATCGATTCTGGATAGAACACATCTGATTACCGCGGCGCATTGTTTCGAGTGAGTTCAGAAGACAGTTGAAACGGGAGGAAATGAACAATTTGCAGAGAAGATGAAAGAGTTGGCTCATATGAAGTGGTAGTTGGCGAGTGGGACAACAATCAGACGGAGGGGAACGAGCAGGTGTTCGATCTGCAGAGGATTCACTTCTACCCGCTTTACAAAGGTTCAGTCTAGGAGTAGGATAGTTCAAAAGACAGCAGCATTTCAGATATATTCTCGCACGACATCGCCATCCTCGAAATCTCTTCTCCTGGCATTCATTTCGACGAATACGCCCAGCCGATTTGCCTGCCAACTAAAGATTTCGTCTATACTCCCGAGAGACAATGCGTCGTGTCGGGATGGGGAAGCATGGGACTCCGTGAGTTCGGCCGCTTCCTATTTCCCTTAACTCCACACTTCCACAGATTATGCCCAACGTCTCCAAGCAGCTCTCATCCCGATAATAGACCGATCTGAATGCGTGAACTCCTCTCAAATATACAGTTCCATGTCGAGATCTGCATTCTGTGCTGGTTTCTTGGAAGGTGGCATAGACTCGTGCCAAGGAGATTCCGGCGGTCCGTTCGCCTGTCGTCGTCCGGACGGTGCTTTTGTGCTGGCCGGAGTCATCAGTTGGGGAGATGGGTGTGCGCAGAAGAAGCAGCCGGGAATCTACACGATGGTTGCTCCGTACCTCACTTGGATCAATAAGATTATCTCTTCTGGCGCTTTCTGAACATTCCTATTCTTTCGGTTTTTCTCCCTTTTCATTTGATCTCAATAAATATTAGAGAGTTAACATATTTATTATCACACAGGGTTCATTGTCATCAAGTTGTTGGCAACTTTATAACTGTAAATTGGCATTTCCGTTCTGTTGCGGAGCATTTCCGGCGCCTCTGTTCATGTACTGGGTGTGCGGACGGGGTGTCCGCGAGTAGCCAGTCACCGGACGGATGCCTTCCTTTATCTCCATGTCCTTCAGCTTCCTCTTCAGAATCGCCTTCTTCTCCTCCACCATCTTTTTCATCTTCTCTTCGAGCACACGTTGACCTTGTTTCGTCTCCCGATTGAACTGAAATCTCACTTTTCAAATGTACTCTATTCTTGCTGTTGTCATTACCGTCGCCTTTTTGCTGACAACCAAACTTCTCGTTTTCTTGTTCGTTCCCGTCGGTCTGGAATACTTCAGAAGATATTGAAGGCGTTCTTTCGGACTAAGCGACAATTCGAGCATGAGAATGACCTGAGCTCTCTGGAAACAAAGAAGGTAAATTGGAAGTGTTCATCTCTGTTGGTCACCTGTCTCTTGTATTCCAACTGAGTCTGGAAGATGGTCTCATATGTTCGTGTCATCATTGCAATCAGCATGTTGAACTGCATGACACTTACGAACAGTTCGAATGTGATGAACACAACCTGAATTACATTACCCCCATGCGGCTCAGAATCATGTCTCACTTTTCCGATCCAAACCATCGTGTTTGCCGGGCAAAGGGCGAGATTACGGTAGAGGACTGTGAACTCTCCGATTGTCAGAATGAACGTACGGACGAAGGCCTCAATTGGAGACTGGATGACGTTCTCGAATGCTTCCGCGTTCTTCACAATCTGAATAAGATCGACAAAATTCGCGTTGCCGGGCGGCCGCTTACTGTCGTGTCGTACGCATTGATCGTGGCTGTGTATATGGCTCTTGCAGTTTCGTTCGTAGTCAATGACTGATTTGTGATAAGTTCTTTGATGATGTTCGCTTCCCGTTCGCAGGATAAGAAGATGAGAGAGAATGCCTGCGAGAAGCCCATGAGGAAGATGCCGTAGATGAGCATAAATCGGAAGATGTCCGTGGCAATGATCGTGTAGACCATCAAGACGAATGGACCCACAAATCGGATGACACGACAGTAGTAGAGGTAATGGACAGTTGTGAAGATCATTGTGATTGTGATGAGCACGTTGTCGATAACCAAGAGAACGGGCGAGAGATTGCAGGCGAGGCGAGTGGGAATCATGGCGAGAACGAGGAAATAGGTTAGCTTGAATGTTATTTTGGCAGGGAAAGCAGTCTGAAATCATTTGACCATCGGAAAAAGGAGCGGGACGTTCACTTACGAGAACAGCCCACCACTTCTTCCGTCCGATTCGCTTGATATCACGAGAGTCGAGGAAGATTTGAATGACGATGCCAATGACGACGAATATTTCAAAAGCGAGACGGATCTGAACATTTGAAGTGCGGATGACTGGATTAGTTCACTCACGTAAGCATTTGCGAACGGAATATCGGGGTCCCAGTAATTGCGGAGATGGCACTGAGAAAGCGATTCGGCTGCAATGATTTCAATTGGAATTCCTTCTTTAGTTCTCAGACTTACACCACGTTTTGAGTCCGTTGGTCGTGTTGATGACTGGCGAAACTCGCGGTTCGCCGTCCTTTCCGTACCTTCCCGGGAACGGCTCCGAGTATCTGTTTATCCATCCTTCCGTTATCATTTCGGTTGAGAATCCAATCGGACGCAACGTGAACGCAGTGACAAAGCAGATGTAGTAGAGGGTGAACGCAGTGAAAGAAATGATCATGCTGCAATGAAAGTTATCAATAAAAAGAGAATGGAAAATCTACTTTCTCTTGGCGAATGACTCCCATTTCGCTTCGAGAAGCGTGTCCAAGAGACCGTCCAGAAGTTCGAGATGCTCTACGGTTTGCTGAAATCATTGCTTGCTTTCACCGCTCACAAATCACCGTCCGTACCCCGTATACGACCAAAGAAAGTGCCGACGCCTCGTTCATTTCCCCGCTCGTCTCATTGATCGTATCGATCTTTGCCAACGGATAGGCAGTCGAGGAGGCGTCTCCATACGCCCACACACTGTCTCCTTCCAGCTCCAGAATCTCATCGAACATCTCCTTTTTGGCCAGTTTCGCGGCGAGCGTGAGAGGCGACAGACTCTGTTTGTTGACCAATCTGAGACTGGCTCCACACTCCAATGCCAGCTTGAACATTTGCATATTTTCGTGGATTACGCACATGTGCAGCACGGAGTTTCCATTTGTATCCTGTGCATTCGGCTGGGCTTTGAAAGCGAGCAAGAGGCGAAACATGTCGGGTTGATTGAGGCAGGCGGCGAAGGAGAGAGGGTACTCGCCCAGGTACATGTTTCTGGAAAAGAGGTGGGAATGGACGGAGGAGAAGGCCTTCCAACTCACCCGGTATAGTTCGTCTTCAGTGAGAGTTCCACGTATTCGTGCTCTAACGAATCAGTCCTCGATGCTTTCTGATCATCGGCGCAGAAGAACGCTCCATAGCATCGAGAACCAACATCGGCACCGAGCTTCAAGAACTTGTACACCAATTTGCAATCGGTGTTGATGATGGCTTGATGGAGAGGTGAAAGTCCGTAAAAGTCTTCCGATATGTGGATGTCATTCAGCAGCTTCGGATAGTACTCGAGAATCTTGAGCACGAGTGCGTTGTGGATCTCGGACGCGTGCAGAAGACAGCATCCGATGATGGTCTCGCCCATCGAGCCCCTCTCCTCCAACTTCCACGAAATCTCTCTGTACTTGCTCTCATTCCGTCCGTTCTTGCCCCCTCCGTCCAACAATTTCAATGCCTTTTTCAGATCTCCCACGTTCTCTCCTTCTTGATTAAAGTCGTCCAGAACATTCGGTCCACTTTTTCCCTTTCCTTTTTTCCGCGAAAAGGCGCCGAGTCTCTCATTTCTCTCCTGAAAACGCATTCGTTTTATTTCATTACATTCCCCTTCGCCTTCTCACCTTATTCCTCAATTTGACCAGTTCAGTAGTCGTGACCAACTTCCCTTTTCCTCCATTATAAAGGAAATCTTTCACTTTCGTTTCCAGGTACGCGTCGATAAACGAGGTGTCTCTACTCACAATGGCATATCTGAAAGAGCAGGTGATGTCAAATTTGTACATAAAAAGCTGATTAGCCATAGAGAAATGGAAAGTGAATTGCACCTGCGCCTGCGATTGGCTGCTTACTGTAACCCGGGAATCAAGAGAGTTTCAATGCTCCTTCTGTCACTTAATCTGCTGAGGCAACCAGAAAATGTACTCCCCGCAAGTGCGTCATTCAGGAGAACTACAAACCGATTCGTAAAACAGAGTAAGCAAAAGTCAATGTAAATGATTGTGGGAGTGAAGAGAAAAAGGAAAGAAGACGAAAATTGCAGGTTGGCTCATTGCTTTTATGGACATCCCAACGACTTCCAAGGGAACACGGTACCTGAGCCACGGCAGGAGCTCTCCGCCTCCGTGCATGTCCACCAACTGATAGATCTTCATGTCCTCGCGCAGCCGTCCCATCCCCACGAAGTTGTTCATCGACGACTGCGTGGACGACGACGACCCCATCGTGCCGGTATCTTCTTCTGATGCTTCTTCTTCCTCTTTTTTTTTCTTCTGATGCTCTTCTTCACGAAACCTGCAAGAGATTCATGAACGCCAAGAAAGAGGAGAACTATTCATGGATGTGGGTGGTTTGTTATCACCGAGACAACTGATTGTATCGGCTGTTTTGATCGGGAAATCGAGGAAATGGAGGGAAAAGCGGTAAGAAAGTCAGAATAACAAGAATCGTGGAGCTCGTGAGGCGAGAGAAGGCGGGGCGAAGGAGCCGAATCAAGGGAGAGAGCACGGGGCGAAATGGAAAGAAAACGAGACGGCGCTGGGAAAATTGGGCGCTCTGATTGAATTGGTTGCCGTGGGAGCTGCGTTGAGAATCGGGACGGAGTGATTCGGAGGTTTTCGGGGAAAGGTGACTTTGTCGATTAGGAACTTGGCGGTTACGAATTTATGGAATTTCGAAACCTTATTCGAGCTTAAAAAGAAAGAAATTGCACGCGTCAACGTATGGACAGGTGATTTCAAGTTCGTGGAATATTCAGGTGTTAGAGAATACTTGAAGAATCGTAAGATCACGGTCTACGGTGAAGGAGACTCACAGGATTACGGTATTTATCATTGCACGTCTCAAATGACAACGTGTTCTTCCATTTATCTTTTATCTCAAACCTCGTTTTTTTTTCATTTTTAGTCAAGGGAATTCGGGATGCTCTTTCTGTGGAAAGATGTTTATAATCAACTGATTTTGCATGAATCAAGTCTCTATTCCGTTGTGATTCTCACTGTTTTCATCCCTTTTATCATGTTCGTTTGCACTTCAAAGGCAGATTCTTCGAGGTCAGTTAGAGGGGACAACCGACCACGTTTAGTTTTTTCAGAGAGCCGAAAAAGGCAAAGAGTCTAAGTATTCCGCTGGACACTTCGGTGGCTGCTCAGGAAATGGCTCAACCGAGTCCACCTGCCCCTGTTCCGACGAATGAAAAGAGTCAGAGGAGGGATGTGTACGGAACAGGAACCGAAAACGACAATATTCCTTTATTTCTCTGTTTCTAGACTTGACTCCATAAAGATACGAAAGAAGAACGTTAGGAAGCCAAGACAACTGAAAGAAAAGAAGGAGGAGACCGATTCGCAGCACACGGAAGTCATCAATGTTCCGTTGGGCAAGGCTTCCGAGTGAGTACTGTAGCTACCGTACTCCATATCATCATCCTTCAAGATCTGCAACGGGCGTTTCGAAACTCACTTCTCCGGCTGATCAGAAAGTGACGGAGAAGCCGGGCGGGAAGAAGATTCAATTCGCGGAAAAGCTCGTCCGATCGACGCTCACTTCAGACGCCGGACGCCAGACCCTGAAGTCGCCGGTTGGGAATGTTGATGATCTATATAAAACTAGTAGAACATTTGCAGGATACGAAGTGAACAACAATTGCAAAGGGAATCTGTTCTTCGGTTAACGAAGTCGATTGTCGAATTTTTTTCTTTTTTGTCTATACAATAAACATACAGTACGCTTCCAGAATCAAAATTTCGAAGTGCAAACCAAGCATTTCGATGATAATCACAAAAACAGTGCCCTTTCGAATGTTCCGATCGGCCCCTTGTGACCTTTCTTTCCCTGCCTGCGTCTCATCTCTGCACCCCAAGATGCCGTTGTAAACATTTTGTTCTCCAATCCGAAAATGCGAATTGAATATTTGGTTCTCTTATTGCTTTTCTTTTCGCCTCAATTATTGGCAATTGAAGACGAACTGGATAAACATGGAACAATTTATGAGTTCCAGGCAGAAACAGCCAACGGGCAAAACGTTTCGATGGAAAAGTACAGGTAACTCTGAATTGAGAACGGAATCCTCGAAACATTCCCCCAGGAACAAAGTGGTGATATTCACAAACGTGGCGTCGTTCTGCGGATACACTGACTCCAACTACAACGCCTTCAAAGAACTGGACTCGGTGTACAGGGAGAAGGGATTGCGGGTGGCCGCGTTTCCGTGCAATCAGTTCGGGAAGCAAGAGCCAGAGAGCAATGCGAACATTCTGAAGTTTGTGAAGAGCAGCTACATGTACACTCCAGATATGTACGCCAAGGTTTGGACCTTTTCACTGTTGATTTTAAGATTTGAATGTTTCAGATTAATGTGAATGGGCCTAGTGCACATCCTCTCTGGAAGTTTCTGAAAAAGGAAAGGGGCTCTGCAGTGGCAGCTGATATTCCGTGGAACTTTTCAAAGTTCCTCGTGGACAAAAGTGGTCATGTCGTCGGAAGGTAAGTGCCCAAAATCGTTCCCCGTTCCATGCGTTTTTCAGATATTCTCACGCAGTCGACCCTCTCGACTTGGAGGAAGAAATCAGCCGTCTGCTCAGAACATAACACTTTTTCCTTCTCGTTTTCTCCTTATCATAAACGATTCCCTCCGTCCCCGTTTGCAGTTCTGGTCGTCGCTCTCGCAACGTCGCTCCGCATCTGACGGCCGCGCGCGTTGTTTAGTGGTGTCCCTGGCAATCAGCGAGAACACGTGGAGTCTGTTGGCTGCGAGCACCTATCACTTTCAGCCGTTTCGCGCCCTTTTCTTCACGCCATTCGCTCTCCGCCTTTCACTTTTCACGACATTTTACATTTTGCGCAACTTCAGAATGGCTCCGAAGCAGCGTATGGCCCTCGCTAACAAGCAGTTCAGCAAGAACGTCACTCAACGCGGAAACGTCCCCAAAGGACAGGTTCGTATTTTATCAATTTAAAAACTTATCAAACCGGTCCGTCTGTGAGTTTTGAAACAATTTTTTCTAAGAACTTAATTTCAACTTGTTTTCCGCTGAATTAGGCCAGCCTATCGAGATAAGACAGCGTCAACTCGATAATGCATTATCGATTACCGCCTGCTCCTCCTTTTTACGCTCATTCCCTAACTTCTAAACATGTGACTACAGTTCCCAAACACCAAGAGAGCAAAAGTGATAAATTCGATGTTACTCGCACTATTCATCATGTTGAATTCATAAAAACTAGTTATGCTTGTCGTTTGGCTACAACTGTTTCCTATGATTTGAAAGCAATTTCCTGTATTCAGAAGGCAACCGAAACGAAATTTCCGACCTCTCAGTGGCTCATCGGACTCTTCATCTTCGTCGTCTGCGGTTCCGGTCAGTTTCATCACAATCACAACAATAGACTGCATTAATTGCTTTTCAGCCATCTTCGAAGTGATCCGCTATATCAAGGTCTAAACACTCTCATGGAATCCGCCCACTAATAACCTCCTGCATTCATTCCCCAAACCCAGTTCATGTAAAAATTTATTGGGTGACATAATTTGTCATGAAATTTGTATATTGCAAACTGCATTGTTCAACATGATGATGATTGAGACGAAGAGAGGTTCAATATAAAAAAAACCCATAACACACTGGAGATCGAAATTTTAAAGTATGATGAGGTTAGAGTAGTCCGAGGCGATGTCGGCACATGCAATATTTTATATTATTGCTCTGCGGCACTTGCAAAAATATTAAATAGGCACACCATAAACATCGTTAAAATGGCGCTAAAAACCGGGAAGAGATGGGGGGAAAGAACGAGGATGGTGCTCTCTGAGAGCGGGGAAATCACAGTCGGCTACTTCGGCTACTCGTCACTGGTTTCCTGTAACGTCGGTGGGGTTTCCTCATTGAGGAGATTTGATTCATGTGCCGATTCTGGAATGGACACCGGGCTCGGACCCTGTTCTGCTTCTTGGTCCTTTTTTCCATCCGGAGATACATTCACACTTTCCACGTCGAGCATCTGATTGAAACACGAGTCTGCTGGAATCAGGTCGAACACTCGGAGCATGTGCATGTTCTCAGAAGTCTTGATCGAATGAATCTGAAAGTCGAGAAGAGGTTAATGGAATTCAATTTGAGAACGGTAAAGTACCTTGATTGCCGCGACAAGCATAAACAGGTCAGCCATTCGAATTTCGGGCTCGTACAAATGCGACATTTCGTCCTCGTAGTACATGTACACATCTTGAATGAGCTGATCGCGAATGTTCTTGAGGAATTCTCGAGTGCTATCAAGTATCCCATAGACACCGGGATCGAGCAGGACGAGTCCCAGAAGCACGGTGAGCTCCGTCTCGGTCACGCAGATCTTCTTCATATTCTCGCCAATCGTGTCCATTGCATGGGTGAACGAGGGCAGAAAGAGACTGAATGAAGATGATTATAATGAAGTGAACCCGCTGTCTTTCCACTCACTTAGTGGTCGTTTCATAGTCAAGCTTCAAATCCTTGAGCGCTCCATTCGTGAAGTATTTCTCGGGTTCGTTGAAGTCAATGTAAGTGTTATTCGGCATTACGAACCATCTTTTCTCAAGTCCGCCATGTCTCCACGTCAGATACGGTTCTTCAACGGACTGCCGCATGATCACAAAGTTACGGTATATCTTCAGTTTCTCAACTAGCGGTAATGGATCTAAGTATCGATTTCGGTTCATAAAATCCGCGGCGAGTCTTGGTTCGATCTTCCACAAGTGGTACATGCAGTTTGAGAAGTCGGTGAGCTCGTAGAGGGTTTGCTGAAAGAAATGGTTATTGAGGCGCACTGAAACGAGGCTACTTCTCACGTTCTCAGTGGCTGACGGTTTCCGGAACCAGTCTCCGAGGCATCCTGCGTAGAACAGTTGCCTCTGTTCGGTGAGGAACTTCTGCCGACATATCAACTCGTGAAGCACTGACTTCTGTCCGTTATTAAAAACGTTGTTGAGTTGTGCTCGTAGATTGCTCGAAACTCTCGGAAAGCCGGCGTTTGGAGGCGTCGAATAGTAGGCGGCGGCAGTGGGAACGGATGCCTGAGAAGTGCTGGGCTCGCAGATCGCAGATAGTTTGGGCGGCGGTTCGTACTCTCCGTCGGGACTTAGTTCTCGTTTTACTCCCGCCGAGTACTTCCCTATCGCATCGCGACGATGTTGGACAGCTGCAATAACAATGCTCATTGCGAGAAGGAGGCGACCGATCAAACAACTCACAGTTCTTGTCCATCCCTGCATTTATGCATTTTCGAAATCGACACGCTCTGCACTTCTGTCCGGCCGATCCATCTAAAATGAACATTGGGAATAGTTGAGATCGAAGGGAGCGGGACGAAGAACACAGAACTTTGAAGTACATTTCCGTCACTAGTCAGAAAACACAAACTTATTCTATCCATGATGTGCACGTTTTTGTTTTTCGCGGAAATATATATGTTTTTTCTGCTATTTTTTGCATCAGAGGACTAATAAAGCAACTTGCACACATGCAAAGTTTTGCCGACACAAACTATGGTTTCATTCTCACCTTTGACAACTGTGCAATTTCCTCCTTTGTTGCAGACGTAGTCTTTGTTCAAAACGACCGTCCGTCGGAAGAAAGCCGAACAGGCGGCACACGCATCCACTCCGAAGTGGATTCCTGTTGAATCGGTGCCACAGATGGCGCACGCAGGAACCTAGAACGCTCTTAATTCTTCACGATTCAACTAATTCTTTGCGCTCACCGCTCTCCGGTCACTCATCAACGGTGTGCCAGGCTGCGAGTTCGATGAGCTGCTGGGCTCGTTTTTGGCTGCAAACTCGGGACGGCGGGCGTCGATAAGAGACTGACTGACTTACCGATTTTAAATAGACCAGGAGGAGACTGCTTCCGGCCCATGTCCATCGATGCAAAGACGTCGTTGGACGCGGTCATGAAGTCTAGAAGAAGAGCCACATCCATAGCAAACGTAGGAATATTGGAAAGGGGGTTGGGGGACAGACAGTCGGTGTGTATCAAAACGGCATAGACAGATCGATGTTTCGGGGCAGAAATTATGTTGATGACGACGACGATGATGATGATGATGGTAGTATGGAGTGGTGGGAGTGCGAGATCGACACGGGAGGGAAGGGAGTGCGGCGGGAGAAGAGGGAGCGAGGCGAGACGCAGCCCACCAGAGATTCTGTTATTTTGCTCGCAGACATACGGCGAGCATTAAACAAACTGTGATCGGTTGAGCAAACAGTCGGAGCGCAGGCGATACAGCGCCACAGGCATCAGAGTCGAGGAGAGTCCCGGCGGGTGGAGGAGGGTGACATCACGGACACAAAGAAACTAGAGTGCGATGCGGAAAGGCCCTAGAAGGAGAGAGATCGAGGTGTGAGAGATGGAGCAGAAGATCGACGGATTGCAGAGGTGTAAAGTGATTAAAGTGACAATCACGGGATCAACGGTGTAATTGAAGTCTCCGAATATTCTCTAGTCCTGAAAATCCAGGTGGCACCGAGTCTGAAGGCACTATTTGACGTTGTTCTCTGCTCCGAAAGAGACTGGTGCGCAAACGGCCAGACTGACCCTTCATAATCACTGATTATTGTCCTCTTTAATGGTATGTGTGCCGACCGGGTAGGGTTCTAGTGCGAAGTGCATAACTTGAAAGCTGAATTGCACTGCTATTTTCCGAAAATCAGATTCTCAGAAGATGGACTCTGTGAGAAGTGATCCAAATTGAGCATGAGCGTACTATTTACGACTCTTTTGGGCGGGTGGATTTTAAACGCTTGTTCTAACATTCATTGCGTTTTCCGGTGATGATCATTGCTTCTCGGAACAACAAATATCATCGTCATCATCAACATATTCTCTATTTGATTTTCAATTGAAAACTCACGATTTGGTAGATAGTGTAGTTGATGTGGGTGCTGCATGTCATGATGCTGAAGGGTTTCCATCGAGTACTTTCTCGCCATCGGGAGCATTCCCACCACCTCCTTCTGCTGTGTCGGCTGCTGTTGCGGTCTTAACTGGTGCTGATCTGTCGTTGTCCCGTGTGCCATCGACGGACCCGATGGCATCAAAGGGGCGGCGTGCGGCTGCGATGTCGACGGCTCCGGGCACGAGGACGTGGATGGATTCGTCGGTGAGCCCACTGCTCTGAAATCAAAAGAAGAATGAGCACTTTTGCAATTCCGTTAAACAGTTGGCCACAAATGAGAGAATTCGAGAATAAAAATATTTTCTTTTGATTTTCTATTGATTGATAATGAAGCGTTTTTGCTAAAGGAAAGATCAGGAGGAGAACACAAGTGTGGTGGTCAACAGTGCCAAATAAAACGAGAAACTTCATTCATTGATGACGCGCGAATCCTTTTCGGACGGGAAACTACGAGAGAAGGACGCAGAAATGAGAAGAAGTCTGCCTAATCGGAGATGTAAATCTTGGACATCTTGCGCACACCTTCAGGTTGGGAAGGAAATGAAAGCGAAATCTGAGAAGAAAACTGAAAAGAAAATGGGACCATGAATTGATAGACGTACTCGTGGAAGGAAATACGAGACTCCGTCTAGATGGGAGAGCGGGACTCAACTGTAAAGACACGCGGACTAAAAACTGGAAATTTGAAATCCGAAGCGACTCTTCCATTTTTAGGACCCCGAAGGCGACGATGAATAGGAGAAGCCTACGTGAAGAGGGTGGCGGGGTGACGAGACCCAGGCATCTCCAGCAGCCCCACGTACTCCCCGTCGTCGTCCGAGTAGTGGTGGCGAAACACGCGTCCTTCGCCGCTTCTCTTCCCGCTCTCCCACACGTTTGCCTCTCTCTCCGGCACCAAACCTCGTGCACAAAATAGTTGCCAACATTGGGGACTGGGGACACTTACACGAAATTGTTCAGAGAACGAGAATGCCTAGCAACGTCTCCTTTCTTTTCTATCGTTTGGCAAATCCACACTCGTGTGGAACCAGTGCTTTTCTCGTTCACAGAGATATAATCTCATCTATAGGGTCGAATCGAGGACACAAAATTTGGCGGTCGAGGCTGTTTTCAATGCAAATTGGCTGCCCGAGAAGAGGAATGTTTCGTGCTGCATAGCAGGTTTCTGGAGAGGTCGCGTGGCGATTCGCGAACTTAATGAAGTTATGGCAGATCGTGAGATCGAGAAACCCCGCCTACACTATAGTGTTCCGTCCATATTTATATGCATTTTCTCAAGTGAAAAGGTTTTAATTTCAAAGCAGAACTGCCGTGTTTTGATCAAAATTATATAGAAGCCAGATGGATGAAGTCCTCTGTGGCAGGTACGGATCTCTTTCCTTCGCGAGTCGTGCCTAGTACTTGCCGTGTAATTCTTTCATCTCGTTCATCACGAAATGTTACATTCAATACACAATAGGTAGGTTGAGACAGGGATCATGCCAAAATAAACTTTTGAATCGTAATGACGATCGTCGGGGAGTAGTTGACGAATAAAGATTGAAAGGTACTGGTAGTCAGCGAACCGAGTGCAGCGATTAGTCATAAGCATTCATTATATCTGGTGGAAGAGAAACAGAGACACAGAGACGTGGCACTGAGCAGAGATCAAAGGGAATCTACCGTTTCAACCCGTTTTCCGACGTAAACAAGCCACGAACACGAATTTTGTTTTTTTATAAAAGAAGGTAAGGATAGTGAAACTCTTCCACGTTTTTTCGATGCTTTTGTTTGCTCGCCGTTCATCAGTTCAAACTTTTTAATGAAGGATAGATAAACTAGCCAAAGGAGAAAGGAATAAGAAACATTGAAAGGGACGTCGTATTTCTTTACCGCCGCTCTCTCGTCTCCCGATCCATCGACAAGGTTGAACGACCGATTGACAAACAATTGAACGCGCGGGAGGTTCTTTCTCCGAATACTTGAAGACCTATTAGTTAGTATGTCATTCATACTCAGTACAACCAACGAAATGGCGCCGTATTTTGTGCTGTTGATCTCTCAGAAATTGAACGTAAATACGCAAATGCACAAAACCAATTATAGGGAAAATATCACTTTTATCTACGCAGGTGATCACGCATTAGGGGTCCACCAAAACCGAACATGAAGCACATAAAGCGACCAAATACAAGCAAAAGAAGATGAATAGGAAAGTGATGAGAGAATGATGGGCGAGAAATGGAAACAACGTGTGTGTGTGTGGAATCAAGTTCCGAAGGATGCGCCGTCTTTCTTCTAATTCGAATCGTTTCTGATTTCTACGTCACTTGAGTGCTGCTGATGTCGACAGGAAGTACATAAAACACAACTACAACAGCACCATTAAAACAACGAACATAGATTAGCGTCAAGGGAATCGAGGGCCAGTGTCACTCAGCTAACTGCCCAATCCATTCACCAGTGTTGAGCGGAATTCCGTCTGCCGTCTTCCGTCTTCCGTCTTCCGTGGTTTTTTTTGTTCCGTCTTCCGTCTGCCATCTTCCGTGAGAAAAGTTTTCTTCCGTCTTCCGTCTGCCGTCTTCCGTAAAAGAATGTTTCTTCCGTCTGCCGTCTGCCGTCTTCCGGGATTTTTTTTTCTTACCGTAAAAGAGTAATAGTTTTTCAAGAGCCATTTACTAGTCCCGAAGAACGCGAATTTCCACGGGCAGTACCCAGATCCAAAAGTTTTGTTGCATTAGTTATTTTTTTCAAAAAAAAAACCGGAAAAAAGGCTCTGAATTGACGATTTTTTGTTCCGTATTCCGTCTGCCGTCTTCCGGGAAAAAAGTTTTCTTCCGTCTTCCGTCTGCCATCTTCCGTGAGAAAAATTTTCTTCCGTCTTCCGTTTTCCGTGTTCCGTAAGAAAAATTTTCTTCCGTCTGCCGTCTGCCGTCTTCCGTATTTCAAAATTCCACTTCCGCTCAACTCTGCCATTCACGTATTGGCGCCTAGCTGGCATGTCGCCAAGTACCAAACTATACGCGACAAACATGTGTCAATTCGTAGAGATAAGCGGTGTATGTTGACCAACTCTGTCGACAAAAGAGCCACCGTCGCCACTACCATAATGAAAACTTTTGCGGGAAAGAGCTTTGCTCTCGACGATCTTTGCTCTTATTTGAGTGAGAAGCACTGGTGACAAAGATCTGTTGCGAGGGGTCAATTGGAAGAGAGGGTCAGCACAGACTGATAAGAATGATTTCTAGTTTGTGCAAAATCGCAAACCGAAACGGGCAAGCGGAAACATTACGACGTTGCACAGTTCAGCGCCACTCTCCGTCTCTTTGCCATCTCTTCTCTCTTTTTTCAAGCACGCGGCACTCGTTCTCTTTCAGGATGTGTGCGGAGAAAAGTAAAATGATACTCTGAACCTTTGAACTTTTTTTGTGCAACAAGATGGACTCATTGAAGCGCAAATTCACATGAAGTCTAGGAATTGCAAAGCAGCCAGACGGAGAATTAAGACGGAAAAAGAAGAATGAAGTTTGGCACCCAGTCAGACGCCGACTTTGCTGCACCGCTGACACTTGAAACGTCACCACTATGCAGCCGAGAATGGGCGCGGAAAAAATAAATGTGTGAGGTGACCAAGAAGTAATGAATGAATGGCCGAAGCTTTTAGAGCCCTAACTAACCCGCAATGTGCGAAGAAACGTATTATGATGGCAGAAAGGGAGATATCTTTGGTCGTGTCCCCCCTCTGACCCTCCGCTATTATTGTTGTGATGCGCATGTCCCATCGCGGGTTGTTCCGATGATGACTCAGGAAGGCGGTAGTTGGAACGTTTGGCACACGGGTAAATATGAGAACGGAAGGACGCCGCACCAGATGTTTGCAGTCCGAGGCAAGTTCTTCTCCCATTCACTCCCTCGTCAAAAAAATCTTTTCGCACTCTGCCTTTGGCCACTTCCTTTTCACCTGCATCATTTCTCTTCTTTAAAAATCGGAAGCTTGGATTTCCTTTCGCAGCCGAATGTACTCTGCACCTTTGCTCTCACACACACTTCTCGTGTGTCATGCAACATGCGGATCTTTGTTTCGATGCTCTCTTACTTCCACTTTTCTATGCACTACTGCCAATGACAGGGGTGAGGGTGGTTGGATACAACGAGAAGGAAAAGCGCCGACCGTGGGGAGCGTTTCGTTTTTGAAAGATCATTGAAACAATCAATCAGTGCTTGAAAACTGATCAATGGTTTCGGCATCAGACATTTATGCTGCGAAATTTCATTAGTCAGCCGGCTAGTCGTCAAGCATAAATCACAAGTCAAAGTGCAGAGTCAGAATGGGAGCAGACCAGTGATTGTCTAGACCCGAGATTCAGAGAATGTATAGAAATTAGGTTATGCGCAGAAGTTGGACGAAAGAGGCGCATTTAATTGCAGCAGCAATAATTAAGGAAAGACTAAAGACTTACGGAAAGAAGTTTAGATGATCCAGTCTGGCGAATTGGAGAAGAAGTTCTGGCGGGAATGCCGACAGAGTGCCGAGGGGCGGGAGCCCTGAAAACTGTCATTTTTTGTTCTTTGAATGGGATTTTCAGAATTCAATTCCGAGCTGTTTTCCTCAATATTCTGCTTTTTTTCGCGCTATTTCCCGCTGCTTAAACTTTTCATACAACAATAATAAAGTAGAGTAACCCACCGATTTGCTGGCCAATGTTCGCGGCATTCACGCCAGTCACTACTGGTGACCTCACCGGCGGCGTCGCTGCGATGATCGGGTTCACATTCTGGAGATCGCGTGAAGTCGTTGACGTCGTCGCCGCCGGCGACGTAAGAAGTCCACGAGCGAAATTGATGAGATCGACTTGTGATTTTATCTGAAATTTTGCACGGTCATTTATCGGAACAAACACGTGGAAAGTAAGACATACCTGCGGCAGTCCGACCGGCCACCCAGGCGAAGCTGTGGTCGTCGGTTCGTTGACTGGCGGCATTCCATAGAAAATGTCTGAAAACAGTTTGGAACAGATTGCAAAAAAACGAAAACGTGGAGCACAAAAGGGAAGCTGTTCAGTGGGGATAAAAGCAGTACAAATCGAGTTCTCAATCTAGAAGGACGGGGGAGGCGGAGCCACTGCGGGGCCTTTGTAATGAGAGCACCGCGCGGGAGTTTCACGAGGAAAGCAGGCTGTTGGTTGGCTTCTGGACGGGTGCGAGACTGCAATAATGATCAAACTAGGCGGAAATAGACTAGCGAAGCAGGGGAGACATCAAGGACAATTGTCCAGAACGTCGTCGGTTCGAGTGGCCAATGAATTCAGCTAGTTTATCCAGCAAACGCGCTCTTCTGCACAAATTTTGCAAAGGCGGAAATTTAAATAAGTTCCCAGTTCAATTGAATAAAAAACCATTTTCGAACAGATTGACAGCTAAGCGATGCGCGTTTGGATCCGACCATCATCCGTTTTACTACAGCTAACCAAGCACGGAACGAAAGACTTTACTGTTCACCAACGACACAGACTGCTTCGATGCTCAATGAGCACACAAAAGGGAGGACCGTCCCGGGCTCGAACGATTTCAGAATTTGCACAGCTTTGTTATCAAAGTAGACTACATTTCGAAGGGCATCCGCGGACTTGTAGGTTTTTTGTCGGAAAGATCAACACGGAAACGTTGATGTCAGTAGGAACAGAAAAAGGACAGAAGAAGTGGGAAAAATGGGAAAAATGGGAGAACAAAAGAATTGTTCATTCGGATTTCCGACTGCAACAGTTTCATAAAGTGAAGAAGTCGGAGGAACTTGTGCAAAAGAATTCTGAACGCGTACGTCACAGAGAATACGATAAAGTATTTCAATCATGTGATTCTGAATAGATTTCGGAAAGAACAAATAAGCGAGCGTGGATGCTGGGAACTGACAAAAGTACGCCCTAGATAGACAACGGTCAGTCGTTCATAGATCACGAATATCTGGGGGAACTATACAGGCTGGCGGGAAGCGGTTAATGGCCATGCCAGAAGCCGTTAGCAGTCTTTGTTCGGTTGATCAGCCGATCAATCGATGCGGTTCTTCTCTTCTGTCCGTCCGAGTGCGCGGCAGACTACATCAAGATTCCAGAGACCTTGAGGCGACTTACTTGAACTGAATGTACTTGACATTCGAGTGATGTCGTCTGATTAAATCAATACGAAAAGCAGTCGGGAGTGGCTACAAAGCACGAAATTAAGAGAGGCGCGGACAGCTGAACGGACAAGCGGGTCAGAAGTTCGGAAGATCAGACGAAGGATGAGGGGTGGACAAAAAGATCGGATCTGCTTCTCAAGCGGCGAAAAAAGCGAAACGGAAGACGACTGTTCCCTTTTTTGTGCCGGTTTGCAAAACATTTTCATGAATTGCTAAGAGGAAGGAGAGAGGGACTGAGTACGGTAGAGATGTGGTCGATAAATTTCTAGGCCGCGGACACGATTATCAGAATGTCGGACTGATTTAAAAAAAAAGAAACAACGGAGACTAACGAGGTCAGAATATGACGAATGCAACGAAACACTCTTTGTCTGTCTTTGTCTCGTCGTCGAAAATGAATTGGATCACCGCAAATCTGTCTGATACTGTCACTTTACAAAAAGTTCCGTCTTAAGAAGAATATATGCTGCAGGAAAGGGCGCCGATGACTTGATTCGCGCTCTTCGAAAACAAAAAAGATTGATAGAGAAACAAACGAGAGAGAGACTCGCCCAAGTGAGGTTGCCAAAAAGGACTCCTCACGTCAAGGTAACGGAACAGATGGCGACGATTGATAAGCGGAGGAAAGGCAGCGGGGGAAGGTCCTGCTGGTCGGAGAATCATCCAATTCTCCGAGATGACGTCGTCCATGCCGCTCCTTTTAGAACACTGGTCGCTAGATTTGAAGTCCGATTGCTTCCGGACGCTCCTTCCTATACACATCCGATTTTCTGCGAATCTTTCGATTTCGATTTTGTCCGTTTCGATAGTGTTTGTTGAGAAGAACGAAGAAACGGGTCCGAAGAAACGCCGCAAAAAAATGGCCGTGCTAGCTGTAATTCGGTTAAAAAACCAACAAGATGGAGGAGAGATTAGGTGGGGGTACTATGGAAGAACTTTGAGAAGTTGCATATCTTAAGGATCATCTTCCGTCTCAATTTTATCGACTGTCTGGATCGCAGTGGCAGAGATCTTACGAATTCGAATCGGTTACGGTCGCAGAAAGTATTAAATGTTTGCCAAAAAAGTTGAAAGTGCAAAGAATGGGACTAAGGGAATATTAGTCGAAGAGGAACACGTCAAAGGGGAAGGTCTTATTTTGCAGACAAAGAGCACCAAAACAAAAGAGGTTCGCGTCGAACGAGAAGAAGCCGGGCGTGTACCGTATCTCGCATTCATCTTCGCTGACTATAGACTCGGATCGCTTCGATTGAAATCGCCACTTTCGAAATGAACGCGTCTTTAAAAGACTTCTGTCAGAAATCACGAAAGTGTTGGGCGGGATATACAGAAAACGGGAGGCTCTCACTGAAATCCGCACAGACTTGCGGTAACGTTCTCGCTCGCTGAATATCTAGAATTGATCGCATTGATACATCAGCGCCGACACCTTCTCATAAATTTTTTTAGAGGAAAAAAGGCGGTTGGCTATAATTTGTGTCCGATTTGTTCTCTGCTCCTCTCTCCAGCATACCCGCCGCACTTGAATTAGTCAGATTTTCTTTGCTCGGTCAGCACACTCATCGTTCTCCATTTGCGTGCGTCATACGCTCAACTGGATCTAGACGCAATCGGCGAGACTTTTTTGCAGTGAAAGTGCAAATTAGAGAAGGGGAATTTTAGCTCAGAAATCAATGTGTTTCGTGGCGGTTGAATGCAACTCTGTGCGGTGGGTTCATGGAGTTATCACGCGACGGAGCAAAGAAGAAGAAGGGAAAAGAGCAGCACGCTATAAACGTTTGATAGACCGTTTCAACACAAACATAGAGGGAGTGGGGCGAAGAAAGCATATCATATCATGCTCACTACAATACATCAAGCACTTTTGGGTCTCGAAACGAAAGTTACGTGCGAATAGAGCCATGAATATTCCCATCGCTTGACATCCCTTCGGATACAGAAAAAAAATAAGAAAAAATAAGGAATATCTAAACGGGGGGTTTCTTGTGGAAAGTATTCAGTGATGTTTTATCAGGCCGACTGTGCACTGAAAAATTGCAGAGAATGATCTAATCTCTTGTTGCAATGATAACGAAGTTGGGCAAAAAACGAACGAGGAAGTAGTTTTGGATCGATAATTGACAGTTGGTTGAAAGGATCGGAAAGTAAGAGTGTAGTATTCTCCTTCTTCTGTTCGGAGCAATAATCGCTGCTAATTTACATTGAAAGTGTCAGTTTTCTGTCTATGAATCACCCCCAGTACTTGCCAGGTTGCCCCCTTTTCTCTGCCGAAGCGCACTCATATCTACACAGAAAATTGCCTGATTCAAGTGACGCACGTGGTGTATTGGTTGTGGGCGATGCGCTTGTGCAGCCGCTCGCAGGTTTGAATCCCGTGAATCACTGCAGTGACGATTTTCTCTTACCTACAAAGACAAACACAATGGTTAGACGTTACTCGTACTGTCTGAGCAGTTTTGTCGTTTTGTCCTGCCGAACTCGAACAGAGTATGGTCGACAGCGAAAGAAAATGACGCGACTGTCAAGAATAACAAGGGTTCAATGTTCAGCAATGAGCCGGCGAAAGGACAGTATGTAGAAACAGTGAGCGGGGGATTGGTGTCTGGTCGGCGAAATTGATCTACGGAAGGGAATTCGGTTTGTGAACCTGGATAAGAGACGGGAATCCCACATTCCCGAAATAGGAAACGCTTGCCCAAACGAGACCGCCCGTCTAGTTTATTTCGTAGTGTTCGACGGCCTGAATACTGTCAGATGTAGTTGGCTGATAGGTTTGTTTTCCCTAATCCAAAATTCGTGGCCACCTCTCTCCAGCTTTCGAACTAGATTGAATAACAGACTGAAATCGAGAATGGAATTAAATAACGAAAGAACGGGTGAAAAGAATTGTGTCCCATTGCCAAATAGGTCAGAGAATACAGGAGATGCGTTCGAAACAAAAACCGTCAAGTTCAAACGATTTACGGAGATCTTTTGGAGATTATTTCAATGAAAAAAAGAAGAAGGATGCTAAACCGATTTCGATAAACAAAGCGAAAGATCATTTGAAAATCATGAAAAACAAATTGGAAGCTTCCTTTTGACTAATGAAACGAGAAGAAAACGTGGGGTTCTGAGTGAATATTATCTTCGATCTATCCATAAATTACAGGTTTACAGATGGGAATTAAAAAGGCGTCATCACCCAGTTCAAAGCTTGGAATCGCAGATGAAACATAGATTGGGAGGTCGGATCGGGAAGGATCCAACATCAGGGCCAATCGAGACTGCGGAGAAGTCGATAATATCCGTTCAAATGGCTACAGAATCTACAAAATGGTCAAGAAGCTTCGAGGCTTTCATCCGAATTGCACCCATGTCTCGAGGTCCTTGGCACATCGGAAAACTGTATTTCCATATTGTTCCTTCCTTTTTTGCTTTTCCGTTTGAGTGTAAAATGTTGAAATTGAGCAACTTCAAAGTAGAAAAAATGACAGAAACGTCAAGAAGTGCGGCGCCTCACCCCATACTTTGACCAGCACCGCTCGTACGGAGCACCGGCTCGCGGAGCAACCCGCCAATCCCAGAGAGGTAAATGGTACCTTTTGCTGACATTCTCCCGCACTCCACAATTGACACCTGCCGCTCCAAAATGCTGATAAGCGTTCTGCGTCTCCGCAATCCGCACGCGCTTTCGTCTCTTCCAGAATTGCAACATGCTGCGATGGACATCTTGTCGAAGTACGAGAGCACGTATAAAAGAGCAGGAGCTCGGCATGTTCCTCACTCGGTCTTCGCAACCGATCAGCCCCTATGAAGTTCTTCATAGCCCTTGCCCTCTTGGGCGCGGCCCTCGCCTCGTCCTACTCCGACCGCTCCATCGAGAGAAGCATCCAGGAGAAGTGAGTGTCCTCCGGCCCTTTCTCCTCTTTTCATCCGCTCCTTTCAGTTCGTTCCGCGCCGGACGCGAGTACCGTTACGTCTTCAATGGCCAGCTGTCGGCCGGTCTCCCGATCCCATCCACCCCACAAGGAATCACCCGTCTTCAGTCCCAAGTCACCCTCCAATGGACCAACGGAAAGACCGTCCGTATGCAGCTCCAGAAGACCCGCTTCGCCACTTCTCAGCAGGAGACCAACTCCATGAAGATGCTCCCATTCGAGCGTTTCGAGGAGGTCGACCGCATGGACCGTGAGCACCAGAAACTCTTGAGCATGCCAATTGAGTTCGAGTACGAGCACGGACTCGTCGGAGAGCTCCGCTTCGCCCAGGACGATCAGCCATGGTCCGAGAACATCAAAAGAGCCGTCGTCAATATGCTCCAAGTCAACATCCTGAAAAAGGAGCAGCACGAGGGAGCCGAGAAGAACGACAACCAGGAGCCAACCCTCGCCTTCACCAACGTCGAGGTAAGTGTCAGGTGATCTCTTATCGAGTGACATCATTTCTTTGTAGCGCACCCTCGAGGGAGAATGCGAAGTTCTTTACACCGTCGAGGAGAACAAGAGCCAGGAGGAGCAGAAGTGGACCAAGTCGATCAACTTCGACAAGTGCACCCGCCGTCCATACATCCACCACGTCCAGACCCCAGTCTGCAAGGACTGCGAGCAGACCCTCGAGCAGGACAAGATGAGCTCCACCGTCCTCTCCTACAACATCACCGGATCCCCATCCAACTTCCTCATCCACTCTGTCGAGCTCCGCTCCCAGCACCTCTTCGCCCCACTCTCGGAGAAGCACCAGCTCGTCTCTGCCTTCACCCTCAACACCATGGAACTCGTCTACGCCGGAGAGCAGAGCGCTGAGATCAAGCAGGTCCGCAGCGAGCAGATTTCCGATCTCATCTACAACCAGGAATGGGAGTGGGCCGAGCAGCAATGGGCCCAGACCGGAGAGGAGAAGTACCTGAGACAGATGCCACAGTGGTCCGAGAACAAGGTCGAGATGGTCCAGAAGATGTTCTCTCTGATGGCCAAGCAGATCGAGCAGGGAGAGGCTGAGCTTGAGGCCGCCCACACCGTCGCCAGAATTGTCAAGGTTCTCCGTCAATGCAACGAGGAGCAGCTTGAGCAGATCTACCGCCACGTTGCCGAGCAGAAGAACGAGAAAGTTTCTGAGCAACTCCGCTCCATCTACTTCAACACCCTCACCCTCGCCGGAACTCGCGTCACCATCCAGCAGTTCGTCGACAAGGTCCAAGCTCGCAAGAACATCACCCCACTCAAGGCCTCCGTCTCCATCAAGACCCTCGTTGACATGCGCTACCCATCGCTCGCCATCGCCGAAGACGTCGCCCGTCTCTGCGAATCCGACGTCTCCTCCAGCAACCCACTCCTCCGCCAATCCTGCTGGCTCACCTACGGAGCTATCATCAACGGAGTCTGCGGACAGAGCCCAAGAGTGTTCGTCCAGAAGAACGGAGTGAAGATGTGCCCACGTGATGCCAAGCAAAGAATCGTCGACAAGCTCGTCCAGCAGTTCGAGTCTGCCTCAACCCGCAACGAGAAGGTCCTTGCCCTCAAGACCATCGCCAACGCTGGACTCGACCTCTCCGTCTACCCAGTCGAGAAGATCATCCTCAACGAGCAGTATGAGACCACCATCCGTTCCCAGGCCATCGAGTCGTTCCGTCGTCTCCGCCACCAGATGCCAGCCAAGATCCAGCGTGTGCTCATGCCAGTCTACCTCAACCGCCAGCAGCCACAGCACCTCCGCATGTCCGCCCTTCATCAGATGGTCTACACTCAGCCAGAGTGGTCCGTCCTTTCCCAGATCGGAAACCAGCTCAGACAGGAGCCCAACCAGCAAGTCCGTGCCTTCACCCTCTCGCTCCTCCGCTCTGTCGCCAACAACGAGTCGCCATGCGAGCAGACGTTCTCCGCCCGTGTCCAGTCCCTCCTCAACAACATCCCATTCTCTTCCGAGGAGATCGATCGCTACGAGTCTTTCTACGGAAAGTGGTCCACCTACTCGAACCACCACCAATCCGGAATCGAGACCAGCTTCGCCTCGCTCTTCACCTCCGAGTCGATCCTCCCAACCGAGATGATGGCTTCTTTTGAGGGAGTCATCTCCGGAGAATGGAACCAATACTTCGCCCAGGTCGGAGTCACCCAGAAGAACATGGAGAAGATCATCAAGAAACTCCTCGCCTCCGTCCAAGAGAAGGGACTCGAGCAAGTCGTCGTCCGCGGAAAGAGAGCCTCCGGATCCTTCCAGCCAACTCAGTTCCTCAGCAGCCTCCTTGAGAAGCTCCGCATCACCCGCCGTCAGCCATCCGAGCAGGACCCACACGCCATATTCTACATAAGACACCGTGATATGGACTACGCTTTCCTCCCAATCGACGCCGATTCCATCCCAGAGGTTGTCCGCTCCATGATCCAAGGAGGAAGACTCGAGATCGGAGACATCGAGAGATACCTCGTCGAGGGAGTCCACTTCTCCGCTTCCAACGCCGCCTTTGTCTACGAGACCGTCCGCAGAATCCCAACTCCACTCGGACTTCCAGTCCAGTTCTCTTCCAAAATGCCAACCATCGCCTCGATCCGCGGACAAGTCACTTTCGAGCTTGAGCCAAAGTCCGGAAAGAGCTTCGACGGACTCCGTCTTCGCTTCCAGGCCGAGCCACGTATCGCCTCCACCCACGTCCTCTCCCTCACCGTCGTCTGCCCGATCGTTCAGGTCGGAACCAAGTTCCTTCACTCTGCCATTCTCAACACCCCAATCAACACCGAGATCAATTTGAACTGGGAAGACAAGGTTGTAGTCCGTGCCATCTACAACGCCCCGTCTGAGGAGCAGAGAATCGCCATGATCCAGTCTCGCCCAGTCACCTACACTCGCACCGTCGTCCCAGACGCTCGCCAGTATCCAGAGCCAGTTGAGATGACCTACATGCTCCCAGCCCACCAGCAGCTCAGCCAGTCCCTTGACCGCCAATACCCACAAATCCGCGTCCAAGGAACCATGAACCGCCCAACCAACGGAAGAATCCCACAATGGATCCTTGACAACAACATGGAGATCCTCTACAACCCATCCGTTGAGCAGTACGAGGCCGTTCTCGAGTTCGACCTCTACAACAACTACAAGATGGAGAAGAACTACGAGAAGGAGTACAAGAAGCACACCGGAAGAAGATACCTTCAGGCTGAGCCAGAGTACGACGACCAGGAGCACCAGGAGCAGATCACCAAGAAGTTCGAGTGGCTCAACAACGAGAAGGTCTACCAGCACGTCGCCAAGTTCGAGGTCAAGCCAGAAATCGTAAAGATGGAGGTCGAGGCCGTCTGCAACACCGACTTCCACTTCTGCAAGACCCACGTCCGCGGAGAGCAAGTGAAGGCCACTCTTCAATACGTCTACCCACAGACCCCAAGAACCGTCGAGGAGCTCAAAGAGCAGAAGTACCGCCAACTCGCCGTCATGGGAGAGCTCAACTACGGAGAGAACACCATCCAAATCAACATCAACGGACAGCAATCCCAGGCGCAGAAGAAGTGGGTCAAGCAAATCGAGCAGGCCCCAGAGCACGAGACCCTTCTTGAGGCCGCCAGACTCGACCAATACCAAGCTGTTGTTGAGTACGAGCTTGAGCCAAAGCCAGCCCAATACTTCTCCAGATACTGGAGCCTTGTCCAGGCTTACCTCCGCACCCAGTACCCATGGACCTCCAGAATCGAGTCCCGCGAGGAGTCGAGCCAAGGAAAGACCATCCGTGCCACCTTCAACGTCGAGCCACGTCAGCGCCAGACCGTCAACATGACCATCGAGACCCCAATGGAGGTTACCGCTGTTGAGCGCGTCGAGCTTCCATTCCAGCTCCCGACCGCCCAGATTCACTACCAGCCAAGAAACTTCCGCCACGAGCAGAAGCCAGTCATGGAGCAGATCGCCCGTCACGCCTCGAAGCAAGCCAACTGCGTCGTCAAGAGCACCAAGATCCAGACTTTCGACGAGGTCGCCTATCGTAACCAGTTCACCCCATGCTACTCGGTCCTCGCCAAGGATTGCGGATCTGAGGAGAAGGAGCCAAGATTCGTCGTTCTGATGAAGAAGGTCAACGAGAAGAAGGAGGCCAAGAACGTGAAGGTGATCTACGGAGAGCACGAGATCGAGATGTACCAGACCGAGGAGGGACTTGTCTGCCTCGTCAACGGAGAGGAATACGAGTACCAGCCAGAGGCCCAGATGGAGAAGAAGCAATTCCAGCTTATGTGGCTCAACAAGAACACCGTCAAGTTCGATTCGGATGACGTCACTGTCCAATTCGACGGAGTCAACGCCCGCATCCACCTTTCGGCCCTCTACAGAAACCAACAGTGCGGACTTTGCGGACACTACGACAACGAGCAGGAGACCGAGTTCTACGACGCTGAGAACCAGGAGAACACCATCCCAGTAAAACATTCTAGCCCAATTTCAGCCTCACAGTTTTTCATTCTTGCAGAAGTTCGCCAAGAGCTACTTGTACAAGGACTCGAAGTGCGACTACGAGCAGGAGATCTTCAACAAGGAGGAGAACTTCCGCCGCATCCAGCAAGACCAGGACGAGGAGGAGGAGCAGGAGAAGAACTACGGAGAGTCCCGCCGCGAGCAGAACGATGAGCCACAGGAGCAGGTCGCCGTCGTCGAGCGCCAGCACGAGATCTGCTTTACCCAGAAGCCAGTTGCCCGTTGCGAGAACGGAAAGTCCCAGGAGTCGAAGAAGCAGAAGGTACCCGTCCCTCTGTCCTTTTCTTATTGTCATGACCTTCTTTCAGACCAACGTCTACTGCCTCCCAGCCTCCAACTCGTGGGCTCGCCGTCAGATGCGCGAGATTCGTCGTGAGCCACTCGCCCAATGGCCAGAGCAGAAGCTCCGCAACCTCCGCGAGCAGCCGCAGATGGAGGAGCGCATGATCCGCGTCGCCGTCGATGAGAAGTGCGACAAGTTCGACTATTGAACTACCTCTCTCTCTCTCTCTCTCTCTTCACACAAGTAGTAATGACTTTTTCAATTGAATTGTTTTATTAGTCAAACAATTTCAAATAAAAGTGTTTGATTTTATTTACAAAAGCTTGAAATCAATCTCGAAAAAGATCACCGGGAAGAAGATATTTGGTGGGGGAAAAGATTGTCACATTGAATATCCAAAAAGCAAAAAGTCATAGTAATACATTCGAACGATGGCCCTCCGGATGGCACTGTCTTCTCGGATCAGCCGCTCGTAGTGCTGCCTCAATGAGGAGCCGGCAGTTGAGTGAATCGTTTTTCCTTCTGAGAAAGACCGTTCCCTGTGAATGCTCTCCTACGTCACTCACTCGACAATTCTTTCTGCACAGCTCTCATGTCTTCTTCGGCTACTTTCCTCTTTGAGAAAACCTTCATAATGTCGTCGACCATTCTGACTCGCTCCATTCCACTGTTTGAATATCTGATCAGCGTGGAGTCCTTCAACGTGTTCTTCATGTCACAGAACCTGCAATTCTTGCCGTTTGATTCCATTCTTCCAGTTTTTACCCGAAAGATTCGGTCTACGGCCAGCGACGGTCTTTAAAGATGCGCAGGCATCCCGAACGGAGATACAATCTTTCTTGCATAAGCGAAATGATCTTTTCAAATGACCATCATTGGCTTACCAAGTCTGCGGAGCGAAGTGCGTGTCGGCGAGTGTGTAAACGGGAAAGAGCATGGAGATTCTCTTGAGACGACGGTACTCCTTTCGGATAAAACAATGAAGGTCCCTGCCGCATCCGTGACAGAGATCTTCCGCAACGTATCTGAAATTCATCGCATATAGGAGAAAGATAATGCAACCCACTTAACACATTTCTCAGTGAATCCTGAAATGAATCGGTCGAACGGATCTCTGACCACTATGATGTTCTCGAAGTTTCTTTTCAGATTATACTTTACCATTTCATACGACTTCATTTCATTCCTTTCACAGAACCTAAAAATAGTTCGATTCATTCGTGAATACTCCACACTTCCATACCTTTCCGCGTACATTTCATTCGAAATGGTTCTGTTCGCCGACTTGAAAGCTTCCGGATTATCAATATAACAGAGGGCAGCCGTTCCGATTGTTGACATCACTTTTGGGATCAGACAGAGGGAGATATCATACCGACGTGTCACCTGCAACCTGATGTCAATGCACCAACCAGTAGCTCCTTGGTACCGTGAAATCCTGAAGGTAGTTGTAGAAGGGAGGAATGAGCGTATCGTTGAACGGAATGCCGTCGCAGTCCGCGAGCGCATCATTGCATTCACGGGATTCCACGCCTTCCATTGATATTTTGTACTGATTTACTGAGAATACAACACAAAAGAAGCCGACAATGAAGAAGACCGCCCGGGACAGAAGTCGTTCTGCAAATAATAGGTGAGCTAAAAATATAGATTCATGCACCTTTTTTGACATGATGAAAGTGAGAAGGGTTTGCGCAATAGACCTCGAACATCCGCACAATCTGGCGTAAGTCTCCCTGATGCAATAAAAGCTCCCGATCGTTGGAATAGGTCATCTGATAGGTATCTTATTGCATTTCGGAGTCGAATTCATGGATTTGACCGAGAAAAAACTGAGAAAAATACACACGAAACAAACATTTCAAGTGCAAACTCTGACTGAGATGAGAGTATTGGCATGGACACGCTCCTCGAACGACTAACAAACAGAGATCGCGGAAACATGCACCGCGAAGGCCCAGTTTATCTGCCTGCCAACATCTTCCGTTTTTTTGCCCCACGACACGAACGTTACGCAATTTCTCATTCCACTTGATATATTGCTACATGTTTATTCGATCCTTGCAACGAAATGTTAGCGAGGAAACTAAGAGACGGCAAACTCGAAAGTGGGCTTCGAGTCGAAAAGGTTTGTGGTCACTCGGCTGACGCTCACTGTCGCCGACACGTTGAAGCGGTTCTTGATCTCCCAGACGCCACGTTGCAGAGTTCTCTTCGATACACCGTCCATGATTTCCGCCTTCTGCACGTCGTCGCTCACCACTTTCAGATGCTTTGTCGGTCGGAATCCGTCTTGCCACTCCTGAAAAATCCACTTTCTCACAACATTTCTCGATCAAAGCCGGTCGCACCTTCAGAATTCGGTTTATGCCGGCATTTGTGACAGTGGAAGATCGGATGTAAACTGACTCGCACTCCAACTGGTGCAACTGGGCGTCGCTGATGTCACTCTCCAGTGTGCGAAGGTCGAGTTCTCCGACCTTCCGAATCTTCGGATGGTACAGAATGGTTCCATTCAACACGTGCTCGGTTCTTTCTGGGAAAGAGAAAAACGATATTTTCATCTGTTTCGGAATTCCGGACGAGAGTCTCAAGAACTCTGTGTACAAACGCGAGTCGTACGAATTAAACTGAAACGTGTCCACCGCCGGCCTCGTTGCCATTTTGTTCCTCCGATTGCTCACTTTCCTGAGATCGTCGGTCATCGACGGAAGGGACACTCCGATCTTTTCAATTTTAGTCCGATTTTGGAAAAAGTCAAGGAATTGGGTGAATGCTTCGGAGATGAATTTGGGAGAGGTAAACAGCTCGGGACGTGGCTTGTCGTACCTGAAAATGAAAAAAAAAATCAAAGAGCAAGAACTACAAATTTACAGAAATTTCAAATCACTTCTGTTCTCATTTGTGTAAGCGTAAGCGAACGAATCATCGAAACGGTCTGTCCACTGAATGTGGGCACTCTTGATTGTTCCGTTCTGAAACCTCAATTATAGTGAGCCCCTTTTTCTTCTTCTTCTTCTTCTTCTTGATCGGTACCGTATCCGCGCGAAGAGAGAATGTGAGCTCTTTCCACGAGTCGTCGTCATTTTCAGCGATTTCCGAAATGACCGGGTGTACCAATAGGAACCAGAAAACGGGCAACATTTACTCAATTCGAATGACTCCCTTTTCAGCCTTTTATTTCAGCATTTCAAGTGTGCTTGAACCGAAAATGAAACCTGATCATCAACTTTATTTGTGGGTAAGCATCTTGAGAATAAATTGAACTGAGAAGTGGTATGCAGAAAAAGAGATAAAATGGGATAGATGAAGGAGGGAAATGTCGATAGGATCACAAGGAAGGTATGAATCACAAAGTGGGAGCAGGACGCTCATCTCCTGCCGATGTTCTTTGAGAAGTTATTCGAGTTGTCGAACGAGGAAATGAACGTCGTCGTCGGCGGTTTCCGGCTGTTCCGAAGAGGCGAATCGTCTGAAAATGCAATTATTTCAGAGGGAACCGCACACGAATCCCTCACATGCACTGTTGTTCGAAAATGAGAATTCGTTGCGTTCGATGGCGAAGTTGTCGTCTTTGCCGCCCTTCTTTTCCGACTTCCAGTACTCGCAGTAGTCCTTCGTGAAGTTGGCGCCCCCGTCTGCAACGTGTCATTTGCCTTTCACTCTCCGCACCGACTCAACCCACCATTAGTTTTCCTACGCTTTTTGTAGTATCCGTCGCACTGCGAATACTTGCGCATACCGTTTCCCATTGTTGTTTGGTCGGCTCTGAAATATCTAAGTGAAGTGAAGGGGAACGAGAAGAGGAGGACGGAGAGCAGTTGTTCGGCGAGAAGCGAGAAAATGAAATTGATGAGTGGGTACTTTGAAACAAGTCACGGTTTGGACGACGAACTTTGGACGAACAACATCGGGCCAAAGAGAGGAGAGGAATTGTGTAGTGGTGTTTGAAAATGAAATTGAAACCGAACCGGCACGACGTGACAGAAAGACACTCAATTGGCCGGAAATGTGTGAAACAAACAGAGGACGAGATGAGCAGAACGGGGAAAAGAGAAGCATGGAATGAAAAATGGGTGCGGGTGGCGTTGTGTTTGATATCAGAAAGCTCAATGAGCACGCGGAGGTGGAGGAGAAGGAGCCGATGATAAATGGGTACAAAACGGTGAATGAGTGAGCCAGGAAATGTACCTAGGAAACCAGTCAGAGAGAATTGCGAATATTTCACGAGAGCCAACCACAAAAACAGGTACAGAATAACCGGGCGAGTCCGTCAAAACATGGCTGGAGTCGAGAACAAGAACCGGGCCAGAAGGGGCCAGAAGAGCAGCGAGGAGACATTCCGCCCCTCCGAAAACCGACACCGCCCCATCATTTCGATGTCGATATCATTTCCGCCAAATTTCGACTCAAATTATGAAATTTGACGCGTGCGGAGCTTCTCCGAATTCCTTCCGTTTTGCGTGGGACCATCTCTTCTTACTGTAGTTGTTGGAACGAGACGGAAATTGTGCGAAACACGAAAATCTGGTCACCACGCGTTTTCCCTTTTTCGCGGATTGTTTCAACAACGGACCGCTGGCTCCGGAAGATGACAATTTTTGAGTGGGAAGGGAGCACGACACTCACGGAGGGGGACGGGTAATTCTTGCACTATAGCTCACATAAACAGGAAGCGAACAGAGAAAGAGCGAGCAGTCTGCGGTCGGGACAGGACTACTGTAGTAGTGCCCAGATAATCCCGTCGAATTTTTTGTGAGTACAATTGGAGAAATAAGATTGGGAGCAGCAGATTAAAGCACTATGCAACCGAACGGATCAGTCATTTGTATTCAGGAAAAGAAGAAGAGAAAGAAAGAAGAAGAAGAAGCAGAAGAGAAAGGAAGAAGAAGATTAGAACGGTGAAGGATTTGGACGAAAACGAAGACGAAAAAGGAGGAGGAGCAGCGGGGATACAGATGTGTAATCGAGATGATGCGCATAATTTGGGTGGTCATTAATAATTCAGAAAACGTCGGCGCACTGCAAATTTCGGAAGACGAGCATGTTTTGCTCCCTCCTAATTTTCAGGAATGAACAGTTATCGCATTACGACGCCTTCTTCTTCTTCGTTTTGCAAATGGAATACGAGAATCGGAGACGCACCGAAGATGGAAAATAAAGTGTGGCTCGGAGAATTAATTATGGAGGAATGCCGGGGGGAACTTGAGTGCTTCCGGGAGGTTCGGCGACCGAAGAGCCCGACCGCCAGAAGTCCATTCTCAATACGACGGAAGGCCGCACTGCTGTCATCGCAATTAACGTCTTTGCGTAATTACCTTTTCAGTGGAAAAAGGCATCAAGAATTGAAGGAAAGCAGACAGCATACAAACGCACGAGTGAGAGCCCCGAACCATTACGGTGGCTTCTGCTCATAACCATCAAATGGACTAGAAGCAGATGGAGACCATTGAGCATCGGAAACTGAGCACATGCGATCGAACTACTAGGTGACGAAAATGTGAGTGTGTGGAATGTGATTGATGCGAGAGAGAGAGATGCGAGAGCAGTCAATCATCCTATCACCTGTGCGGGGGAAACAAAACAAATTCAAGTTGGGTAAAAAACGGAAAAAGAAGAAGAAGAAACGGATGAGGAGGAGTGGGAGGGAGCAAAACGAAGAAGAATGAAAAGGACGGATGAGGAGAGCAAATGGAGGACGGGCTCGATTGCTTCCGGATCGCTGAATGAAAAGAATGAGAGAAGGAATCGCGTACCGAATTAATGGCTCAAAGGTAGACGTGGGAACTGGAAAATGGAAGAGCGGGCACGGACAACAAATCAGAAGAGCGTGCTGGGAATAGGGGCGGAACCGAAGGAGCGCTATCAAATCTCGCGTACTTTCGGGTGTTGACTCTCTGATTATAAGGTTTTCCTGTGGACGTATGCTGCGGATAAAGTGCAATTCGAAAAGAATTTCATGATGAACGCATCAAGAATCACCTGATCAAGTGAAGAGGATAAAAGAAGGAGATGAAGAAGTATGGAGCGAGGAGTCATTGGGGAGATAATTAAATGAAGTAGCAGACAAAGTCCCGCAGACATTAATCATGTCTGACTCATGAACTCGACGTACCTGCTGTCATTCCAATATCCGGCCGTCGCACTCACTCTAATTACTTTCCCACCACTTGCACCTTTTTGTCGCATGACACCGTGCTCAGAGGTTCATGAATGCGGGAAAACGGGCGGCTCCACACCGCCGGCTTCTGCATCCACTTCCCCGAGGAGACCGGAGAACGAGGTGCGGACGGCGCCGAATGTCGTGGGAACATAAACACTGTGATGGCTGCTTAACGCGGATACGTAAGACCGAAACGAATGCACATTCTTCTATTGTCAACACCGAATTCGTGACGGGCAGGAGGAGACGAAACGAGAGGGATGGGTTCACAAATGACGACGAAAGAGGAAAGATAAAGTGCCACGTGGGGACGGGAATAGCAGCCATTCATTCGACAGACACCCTCACAGAGACAACGACTCCCCGGAGGAGGGCGAGGAGTTGCAGAAGAGTTTTATGCGAAAACGATGAGGAAGTCCGGTCGGTACGAAGTGGGTGCATCCCCGACCCAATTTGCACAGAACTTCCAGAAAAAAAGCATTTATTTTGGTGTGCAATTCGAATCAGATGACCAGAAAATGTTTAGATTTCAGCTGAAGGGGGCCAATAACCGAGAACCAGTTGTAGTACTCGAAAAAATAAACAATGGCGGAGAAATCATCTTTGTGGTGAACAAATCAGTTTGAGATGAGTGAGCAAAAAGCGAAAGGCATAGAGCAAAGAGTCGTCAAGATATGATTGATCGGTGAACTCATTTGAGCCGAAATCCGGACTACACTTCCACGTGCTCCGGAGATGTTGCCGACAGAATTCTGCGGAGGACACAAAAACTTGTAGTTAGAAGTGTGTCAGATTCGAAAACAAAAGCAAACGAGGCATTGAATCATACCAACTGTGCCGTGCTCATCTCAAACTAATCGTGTCATTTCCGCCGCTGGAACTCACCTGACAATCCGGGCAAGAGTACGTAGGAATGGACGTCAGAATCGCCAAAAATACTCGGAAAGACAAAACGTTTTCTCATCAAGGAGAACATGAACAGTTGGCGGGCGGCTCTCATTTCAAACAAAAAGTGTGCGTGCCGCATCTTCTTCTGTTTTCGCCCGCTTCACATATCATATTATTCGTGCTTCGTTTATCTTTTTAATGGGACCGAAAGCGAAAAGTAAGATTCGCCGAGTGCTCACACACCTCTGTAATTGCTGTTTTCAGCCGATCCGCACAGAAACTGACGCAATCTGTAACTATTTATTCGTTCTCGTTTTCCTGCTTTGCAGAAGACATTTCCAATTCGTATACGGAATGGGAAACTGAGCCGAAAGTGGGCAGATTCTCACGCCCTCTGCGGTGTTCGTTTGCCCCCTCTAATTACCCCGTTATTCGTATCAAATAATTAAATCCCTTTGTATTTAGCTGGGACGTTTTTGTGTGTCCCGTCCGCTAACGAACACGGCTCCGAAAAACACCGAAAACATTTATGCATGGGTTTTATTCCGGGCTCGGAGGGAACTAGAAAGTATAGTATATAAAACATGGGAAAACAATGACTGGTTGGGTGAACGGATTAGTTGTGGTCGGTTTTCGAGGAGGACGAGTGTCGATATGTGCCGTTCATGATGGCGAGTTCAACGAGTTGTCTGCGTTTCAGCTCGTCACGACCATCTGGTGGAGGGATCAAAAGAGAGTTGACGACGTTGAGCGCTTCCGAGATACGAGCAGTCGCTTCACGACGAGGTCCGCTCGTTTCGATGATGACGCGGAGTGGCAAGTCAATCGAGCTGAAACGAGCAAAAGATAAATGGGCCGTGAACGAGTTTTATGCAAGAAGTTTGATGGCGAGGAGATTGGCAAAGGGCTTGCACGTTCAAGGGAATTCGAAAAAGAACAACCCGTTTTCACTGGATTGAATCATTTACTCTTGACTTGCGTCTCCTTTTAGCGACGAATGTCCGTAGGTCTTGTTGGAATGGTTTCCGCGAATCATGATGCGGCATCCGGTGTCTTTCTCGAGTTGCTTCGCAGTCATTCCGCGTGGACCAATGATTCGGCCGATGAAGTTGTAGGTGGGGTACGTCTCGACAGGAATCCGGATGCTCTCTGTCAGAGTGACTTCGTCGTCGCCAGAATGCATCGAGTCCTCCGAATCGACGGAAGCTGCACCCAAACCGACGAATCGACGACCGCATTTTTCGAGAATTCCGACATCGGACATGGAGATTGGAGCCATGAAGAGTCGGCCAACTTCTGAAAGCGAAATTGCTTTTTTTGAGAAAGTGCCTTCTGAAGCACGCACCTTCATCAATGAGATGGATGGCAAAGTTCGCCTGTCCGTACTGCAAGAGACGTGCTTTCTCGAGCAAAAGCATTCGAAAGTACGAGGTGAGCACATCCAGTTGACCGCATTCTTCTTGAATATGCATCGATTCCGGGTCTTTATTGAAATCCGAAAGCTGGAAAATATGATGAGACGAGAAAAAGAGCGCTGAAACATACAATTTGCAGGAATTTCTGCTGAAGCGGGGTGAGAAAGCAATCGTGGTTATCCATGGTGAATATGGGTAAAACTGGCCCGCCCATGCCCCTCAAGGGCCATAAGGCCACGTGGCGATACGTTGACCTCACGTGACATTTCTTTCGTTTTTCCACGTGAACTTCTCTTTTTACGTGACCTTTTCGAGACAATTACATGCCAACAGCATATCAGTAGTTCAAAAAAACAGAACAATTACCTCTTTTTCGGTTTATTCATTTTAACAGAAACGGAAACATTCGAAACGTCAACGTTGAGATGCACTGAGCAGATTGATGAAACCACTTCCTCGGATAGCGGCAATTAACAACAATGAAAAACACTGTGGGTCAACAATTGGGATTGCTACGGCGTGCGAAAAGAACAATAAAATCAACAACAGTATAAAATGAAAAAAAAGAATGCAAATTCGACAGTTTGATGTCAATTAACAGTTCTAACAACAGAGAATATGGATAGTTAGTTAGATAAAGTGTAGTGAATTACTTCTTTCCTTTGAAACCAGCCTTCTTGAACTGTGGCTTCTTTTGTTGAACACGTGGAGCCGCTTTCGGGGCCACCTGAAAATCATACATTGAAAGGCTATTCTTGAATTTCTTAAACTTGCCTTCTGAACTTTATTTATCATTGGTTTCTCCTCAACAACCTCCTCGATTCCCTCATCACTCGAGGCAACCTCCTCACTGTCGTCGCCCGAGGACTCGGCCACCTTCGGAACAACCTTCTTCTGGGGAGCTGGTGCCGCCTCTTTTTTGGAGTGGACAAGCTTCGGTTTCGCAACCGCAAGTTTGTTCTCTGGTTGACGAGCGAAGAAGACGTCCACGAGTTGATTGTGCACACGCAAGCCATTCGACTTGGCAAAAGCAGCCTGCGCATCAGCTTCGGTTCCGAAGGTAACGAAAGCCTTCTTTTTGGAGCTTGGGTTACGGTTTGGGGTGATGATCTTGATATCAGTGGCAGCTCTGAAGATGTTGCTCAGATCTGTCTTGCTGCAAGCATTTGGCAACGCGTTGACAAATATTTGGAGAGGGTTGATTGGTCGTTCGTCGTCTGAAAAGCAGAAATTGATTGAGAAATTGAAAGATAAAACATACGGTGTTTTTCGGACTGGCTAGAAGCGCCACAGAAATCGACAAAAAGCGACTTCCCGTCTTGCAGTTTGGCCTTCGCGAGAGTAGCGTGCGCCTTCTTGCAGTCAGCAAGAGTGTTGAAGACAATCCATCCGAAATTAGAATTTTTCTTGCGGCGGAACGAGTCAAGTCCAGTCAAGAGACTAGTTATTTCCTCATCTTTTGCCTTTTTCGGGATGTTCTTGATAAACAATGAGCGGGAATCTCTCTCCTGTCGTCTTCTTTCCTCTTCGCCGACAATGGATGCACCATCGCTTTTGACTTGTTTGGAAGTCACGGTAGGCTCCTCAATCTTTCTCTTCAGACCTTGTTTCTCGACAACCTTCGGTGCCTGCGTTTGTGCTTTGGCAGCTGGACTTTTAATCGGCTTCTTAACCACTGGCTCTTCCTCTTCTTCCTCTTCGTCCTCCTCCTCGTCTTCTTCCTCTTCATCGGAGTCGACGGCAGCAGAGGCAGCAGCACGATTAGCAGCAATCTGCTTCAGAAGATCGTTCTTTGACTTGATGATAGGGACATCAACTTCAGTCACCTCTTCCTCCTCGTCTTCCTCATCACCCTCTTCCTCCTCGTCTTCTTCATCTCCCTCTTCCTCATCTTCATCCTCTTCATCACTATCTTCCTGGATAGCCTTAGCTATCTGGCTCAAAGAACCTTTAACGGCGTGAGCTTTATTGACTGGCACGACCTCTTCCTCCTCTTCTTCGTCCTCTTCGTCTTCCTCATCCTCCTCGTCGCTGTTGTCTTGAATCGCTTGGGCTATTTGGCTCAAAGATCCTTTCGTCGCCGGAGATTTTTTGACCGCAACCACTTCTTCTTCCTCCTCCTCCTCCTCTTCGTCTTCTTCCTCTTCAACATCCTCATCGCTTTCATCGTCGTCGAACTTCAAGACTGGAACGGCACCAGACAGACCCTTAGCATTCTTGGCGGGATGTGGTGTTGATGGAGCCTTCTTGTCAACAGTTGTCGGAGTGGCAACAGTCGCAATATTGACTTGTTTCCCCTTGGTGGAGTCGATTGTTTTCAGAGAACTCTTAAGAGATGGAGTCTTTGTAACTGGTTCAGTCTCCTGCTCATCCTCCTCCTCCTGAAAAGAACCATGTTAATAATCTGAGATTTTAAAGATATTCTGTTTCCTACCTCCTCATCTTCTTCGTCTTCAACCTCAACCTCTTCCTCGTCTTCTTCTTCGTCGTCATCAGCTGAGGGCACACCTCTCTTGGCTGGTGAAGTCTCAGTCCCGGATTCTAAAGCAACTATAAAGAAACTGATACTAAAACAAACTCGAACCTTCTTCCTCATCGTCATCATCCTCGTCGTCATCCGAGTCTTCCGCAGCAGCAGCGAGAGCTCCCTTCACCACTTTCTTTGCTGGTGTTGGCTCATCCTCGCTCTCCTCTTCGTCCTCTTCATCTTCGTCAGACGACTGATCGTTCTTTGGTTGCTTTGCGAACGGAGTGGCAGCGAACTTCTTCTTAGGGACTTCTGGTATAACGAAAAATATTTATCTTTACAAATCGAAACGGAATACCTTCGTGTTCCTCTTCGTCGTCGTCATGGCCGAACTTCTTTCTCTTGTCACTGAAGCCGACACGATTGGCACTGCCTCCACGCGATTGGAAGTTTCCGCGTCCACCACGAGGAGAAAAATCATTTCCGCCACGTCCGCGTGGAGTAAAACCACCACGGCCGCCTCCTCTCGGTGAGAACTTGTTGTCACCTCTGAATCCTCCGGAGAAATCTCCTCTGCCGCGATAAGAGACACCACCACGATCTCCTCCACCACGTCCTCCACGCCATGGCGAGCTTCCGCGATCACTGCTATGTCCACGGAAGCCTCCACGATCTCCGCTCTGTCCACGGAATCCGCCTCTTGGAGTGAAGCCTCCAGGAGAACGTCCTCTGTCGCCTCCACGGAAACCGCCACCTCCTCTATCACTTCCGCGGAAACCACCACCACCTCTCGGAGTGAAACCTCCCGGTGATCGTCCTCTATCGCCTCCGCGGAAACCTCCTGGAGAGCGACCTCTATCACCGCTACGGAATCCGCCGCCGCCTCCTCGCGGGGTAAATCCACTGCTTCCACCACGTCCGCCACGGAAGCCTAGAAAAATATTTTCTTGATATTTTGTACAACTTTAAAAATTACCTCCGCCTCCACGTCCTCTAGGTGAATCGAAACCCATGTTGATACTACCTAAAAATAAATACAATAAAAAATTGAATTGAAATCGAGTAAAGAAGTAAAGAAGCTGTTGAACGTCGGACTCTAGTTGTAAACAAAACAGTTAAATTGTTTTCTTTCATTTTTTGTACAAAACACGGTTTGAAAATACTGAAAATGACTAAATAGGGTGCGATTTAGTGTTAAAACATATTCGAAAATTCGAAAAACGCAGATAAACGGCCGCTGGTCTCGCCACGAAAATGCCGAATAAATACGTGCGCCTTTAAGCCGCATGCGGCTGAACTGGCCTGACACCCAGCAACTCCCGAAAAATCAATGAATAACCGGATTTAATTGCGTAAATCTAGTCTTTTTGACTGTTTTTTTCTCTAAAACTGGTTATCACACTTTTTTCGTTCAATCGATATCGGTTTCACCTGTCTCTCACTGTTCTCTCTCGGTTTTAACAGTTTCATTTTTTGAAATTTGAACAACTGTCATTCCAGGTCCCCAATGAACATCCGGTGTGCTCGTGTGGACGATTTGCTGAGCATGCAGAATGCGAATCTGATGTGTCTGCCGGAGAATTATCAGATGAAGTACTACTTCTACCACGCGCTCTCCTGGCCGCAGCTCTCCTATATTGCGGAGGATCATAAGGTAATTAGTTTTTCAAGGATACTTGTTAGCAAGTAAGGTCTTAGGGAAATGTCGTTGGATATGTTCTCGCCAAGATGGAGGAGGATCCAGGAGAGGAACCACACGGACATATCACCTCGCTTGCCGTAAAGAGATCCTACAGACGCTTGGGTGTGTCTTCACAACTGTACGACGCCATTATTTTTAAATTTTTAGGGTTGGCCAACAAGATGATGGATCAAACCGCGAGAGCGATGGTCGAAACTTACAATGCCAAGTACGTGTCGCTTCACGTTCGCGTCTCCAATCGTGCTGCTCTGAACCTTTACAAGAACACCCTCAAGTTCGAAATCTGTGATACCGAGCCGAAGTTAGTTTCAAAGAATATGTTTATCCGTTAAGTAAAACATTCAGGTACTATGCTGACGGAGAAGACGCATACGCGATGCGTCGTGATCTCGCAAAGTGGGCCGAGGAGCGGAACATTGAGCCAGCGGACAAAGAAACTTACAATACAAAAAGCAACGACGAGAAGAAGAAGCAGCGCCACTGAATTGTTCTAGAATACTCGTTGTCCATGCCCACTGGTATCGAACCCTTTCTCCTCCATTCTGGTGGATCTCTTTCAATTCTCCCTTTTATAGTGTAGTTGCCTTGTTCTTTCCCGTTCCTTTTCAATGATATCATTAATAAACTTTTATGAACTGTTTGTAAGTTCTGTAGAAGCTTCCAGTCATCTTCTGGACGTTTATCTTTCAACGAAACTTGATATTTTGACTTTCCGAGTCTCAAATTTTGTTCAGATGAAAAGCGGTGGCTCAGGGGACGGGAAGAAAGATTATCAGGCGGCGGTCCATGAAGTGAGGGCTTTAGACGCATCTTATAAATGTTTCATCTGAATTCCAGGGACTGACGAGTTTCGATCAACTTGGAATTGCACTCGAAGATGTCGGAAAGTCGATGGACGCGGAGGCGGCCACTGGCGGAAGTGTCCTTTCAAGAGTTCTGTAAGTATCGGTATGGGGGGAAACTGGTCCTCATTTACATTATGGAATTGAAATTCGGTGACAGAAATCTCATTAAAACGAAATGTGGTTCCCCCGCGTCAAAAAATGTTTTCAAAAATCATGGCCACGGTGTGTCGCATCAGTTTAACCTCCACGCAAATCCGCTTGTGTCGGTCCTCTCTCCGCTCATAAAACAAATAGATCAATGGCTGAGGTTACACGACGACCCAATAAGGCCCGTTTTGACAGTTCTCGCCCGTGTTTGCCGTGAAAACGCCCGTGTTTCGATATTCTCCGCAATCAAACTTGTTCAGCCGTTTACACGATCCAGCTCTCGTTTCAGGAACGAATCTTCGAATCTGAAGCAGAGATCGTTCGATCCGTCCAACGATCTTGTCAACATGTCCATCGTTCCAGCCGAATCGAGTTATGTGCTCTTTTTCCAGGTACTTTTCCTTGTCCAAACGAATCTCATTTTTTTATTTGCAGGTTCTATTTCCTTTTGTGGTTGCTGGAATAGGAATGGTTTGCGCGGGTCTCGTGCTCTCGGTTGTGGTCACTTGGCCACTTTTCGAAGAAGTTCCTGAGATTCTCATTCTAGTCCCCGCTCTTCTCGGGCTGAAAGGCAATCTGGAAATGACGTTGGCCAGCAGACTCTCCACACTCGTACGCCAATCTGTGCCATTTTGTCCATATCAGTCATTTTACAGGCCAATCTGGGACACTTGGATTCTTCGAAACAGAGAAAAGACGTCATTGTCGCCAACCTGGCACTAGTGCAAGTTCAGGCAACGGTCGTGGCTTTCCTAGCTTCTGCCTTTGCTGCCGCCCTCGCCTTCATTCCCAGTGGTGAAATCGACTGGGCTCATGGAGCTCTTATGTGTGCGAGCAGTCTGGCCACCGCCTGTAGCGCTTCTCTGGTGCTCTCGTTGCTCATGGTAGCTGTCATTATCACTTCCCGGAAACACAACATCAATCCGGACAACGTAGCCACTCCGATCGCCGCATCCCTCGGAGACCTGACAACTCTCAGTGTCCTCGCCTTCTTCGGATCAATTTTCCTCAAGGCACATAACACAGAGTCTTGGCTCAACGGCGTCGTCATTGTCGTATTCCTTCTACTTTTGCCGTTCTATGCGAAGGTTGCCAACGAAAACGAGGGAACTCGCGAAACATTGTACAACGGATGGACACCTGTGATTATGTCCATGCTGATCAGCAGCGGAGGAGGATTCATTCTGGAGACAGCCGTCCGAAAATATCACAGTCTGAGCACTTATGGACCAGTTTTGAACGGTGTGGGTGGCAATCTCGCGGCAGTGCAGGCCAGCAGACTTTCCACGTATTTCCACAAGGCAGCTGCGATCGGAGAGATGCCGAACGGCTGGGTTGTCAGTCGGTTCACAAGTGTGAAGAGGGCGTTCTTCTCGAAGGAGTGGGATTCTCGGTCCGCCCGCGTCCTTCTCCTTCTCGTCGTTCCTGGCCACATCTGCTTCAATTTCCTCATCCAGTTGTTTACCATCGCAGCCAAGGACAACGTCTCTCCACACGGACCGCTCTTCACCAGTCTTTACATGCTCGCTGCCATCTTCCAGGTAAACATTAATTAAAACATTTTTCCTGCTAGAATTTTAATTTCAGGTGATGGTTCTTCTGTTCGTTTGTCAATATCTGGTCGCCCAACTGTGGAAATGGAAGATTGACCCCGATAACTCGGTGATTCCATATCTGACTGCTCTGGGTGATCTCCTAGGAACCGCCCTTCTCTTCATCGTCTTCCTCACCACCGATCACTTTGATCCGAACGAACTGACGCCAACCTAACTCATTCGCTCATACACTTTCTCTAGAATACCCGTTTAGAGTTCGGTGCTCTGTAGTATTATGTATTTTCCACCCCGAGGCTAACGCACTTTCATCACGAATCTAGTCACCAAAGAGACCACTGATTTCTTTCCGATGCCAGTCCGCGCGCATAATATTTCTGTACATTGTGATAAGTTCTCTCTGTCATATCTGATACCCGATTACTAGTCCTATTTTATTGCATGCATTTGGGAGTAAATATTTGATAATGTTGGAATGATCCCTCTGCACACAACTCTTTTTATCTTCGAACATCCCCGAAGTAGTTCAAGCCGTCGAGAATTTCTAAAATAAGCTTGGTATTTGAGATGGAAGTCGGACAGCGTGTACGGATAGACTCGCACACAGCCACAGTTCGATACATCGGAGAAGTGGAAGGATACGGAACGCAGAGATGGGTCGGACTGGAATGGGACGAAGCGAGCAGAGGAAAGCACGACGGCAGCGTCAAGGGACGGCGCTACTTTCAGACTAGGTGAATCCGGCGGACTTTCGCTTTGAACGTGATCTGTGGTTTCAGGCATCCAACGGGCGGTTCTCTGATGAAAGCGGAGATCGTTCCAGCGCCGACCGATTTGCTCTTCGAAATCAGAGACCGATACGTGAAAGGGGAAAGTGTGGAAAATGAGATTGAATTAACAAGGACGTCGAAAAAAATCGAGTTAATCGGGATGGCACAGACGACCGCCAAACAGAGCAACATAGAAAAACTCATCAACATCGTTCTCGACAACCGCTCCGTCGGACTGCCACCTCCAATCGATTCTCCTCAATTTATGCAATGCCGTGAACTGAATTTATACGCAAACCTTTTGTACAAATGGAAAACGGTCAGACAGATTCTTCAGCACTTTCCTCGAATACAAGAACTGAACCTGAGGTAACCCCACAAACATTGAGGTGTTCGACATCCAATTATTCACAGACGCAATCGAATGAACGAACTGATTGAAAACGACGACGGTGATTCGGAGAATGGCGAGGATTCCGTTTATTCGAAAAGTTGCAAAAAGCTGATGATCAGCGAATGCACACTTTCCGAAAGCTCAGTAAGTGGGAGAGGAGCTGAACTCCTTCGAAATTCGAATGTTCTATGTTCAGATTGATTCGGTCCTGCGAAGGTTTCCCTCAACTTCTGAAGTCGTCGCATTCGGAAATGACCTCTCAAAGTTTTCCGTTTCGGATTCCGTTGCCAGTCGTCTCACTTCGCTAGATCTCGAGGACAATCCGCTGGGATCCATTGATTCCATCGAAGGATCGTTCCCCAATCTGATACACCTGTCATTGGCCAACTGTGGAATCACATCTCTGATCGAATTTGACGGGTCTTCCAAGTTTCCGCGATTAGAATATCTCAATCTCCGAAAAAATTTGATACTCAAATGGAGAAGTGTGAACGCACTTCGATCTCTCAAAAATTTGAAACAGTTATTGTTCGACTGCAAAAAGTTGGAAGCCGAGAAAGGAATCAACACGTACGAAGTGGTGATTGCGAAACTGAGCAGTCTGATCGATTTGAACAGATTCGATGTTACCGAGGTGGAAAGAAGGTCCGCCGAAATCAGGTTCATCAATAAATACGCGGCAATCCAAGAAAAAGAGGATCACTCGGAGGACATCACGCGGCTGGTCGCAATCCACGGAGAGCCCACAATCGACACGGCGAAAAAGGGACTGATGGTTGTGAAAATAAGGATTGAGTGTGGGAACCGAGTGGAAACTAGAAGTCTTCCGTTGGTCATGAGTGTCCAGAAAGTCAGAGATATGGTAGATCATCAGAGGAAAAGCGTCACAAGAAACTATTCTTTTACTTTCAGTTGGCCCGCTTGTTCAAAATTCCGAGTCCCTCGGCCGTCCGTCTCTATCTGGTGATGACCGAGAAAGCCAAACAGCATCGAATCGAACTGGACAACCCCCTACGCGAATTCGGCTACTATTCGCCCTCCGGAGACAATGATATTCTTGTCGTTGAGCACGATTGATCATCTGTTTTTGTTCATTTTTATTGCCTGTGCACAATTTATATTTCAGCTTTGAAAAAAAGAAGATATTTTCTCTGTGCATGTGTTCCCTAAATACTGATCCAAACGTTATCTCCCGTAACATTTTCCTCATTCAAAGCGCACGGGAAACGTGAAATAACAGTTTTGAGGTACGAAAAGCCGAAAATGGCGATGCCGGTGGATTGCATGACCGAGTGCTACCTCCAGTGAGTTTTCCCTCACGTAATTCCCAGATCCGCAGCCATTTCAGCTGTGTGATGTGCTTCTTCGCCGGAGGAAGTGGCGACAAGATCCTCTCAATCCATCCGTTCAGAAAGCCCGCTCCCAAAAGTGCCCGTCCGTCCGCTCCTTCCCTTTTCTCATTTGACAAAACGTTTCAGAGCCACCGCCGACTACCACTCGCCCATCGAACAGACCGAATCGAACTTGCCTCGTCGAGTCAGTTGCCCTAGATCCGAAATAATTCTCCAATCATTTGTTTGCAGGAAGACGTTTGGATTCGGAGTCGGCGACACAGAGTTCGACATGTCTCTCGGCCAGCTGGCGGTCGCATTTAAGACACAAGAAGTCGCGTGCAACGACGGATTCGATATGAAAATCAACAATCAGAGATTCGTTGGATGGCCGAAGCTGTGGAGCACGAGAGGCGCTGAAAGCCACTCCAAGTCCCAATTGTCCATCATTTTCGCTCTGAAACCGGGATGCGACGGACAGACGGCGGCCGCCTATCAGACGCTCTCCAACAAGATCGGAGTTAGTCTCGTAATGCTTCAGGACTACTTCGGGTTCCTTGAAAGAGAAGATCGATTCGCCGATCATGTAGAAGCCAGCGACAATCCGTTGGCGGAGTTTGCAAGATTGAGTTTCATGGTCCAGCCGCTAATCGATATGTACGACGAAGTGCGGTCCCGAGGAAATATTCATGTGAGCAATGAGCACTGAAGCAGGCAGAGATACAATCATTTCAGAAATATCTCATCGACTTTATCGAACTCGGATTCTGCGATGAAGCGCATGCACTGTCGAGACTGAGTGTTGTTCCGAAGGGAAGACAAGAGATCGATGAGATTGTCAGACGAATGAAGTGAGCACAAACACTGGCGCTAATAGAAATGACAACTATTTCAGGCCTTACCACGGAATCCTTCTGTTGGAGGACGTCTGGCCGACTCCAGACGCTAATCCGATTGTGGCCAAGCTTCTGAGCCATTGCAGTCCGGATCGCTCTATTCTGGACATGTCCACTGCGTCAGGCATCCCAATCTTCGAAGTATTCATGATCATCCGTCACCTTCTTCAATGGACGCGTGCCATCCTCATTTTTCCGCTCTGTAACACCAACGTGTATACTTCAGCAACTAGTCCTCAAAATCTCGAAAAGTAAGAATGCCAAGGCAAGAATAATCTTTAGCGCCAATTTAAGGATGGCCGAGAAGTTTGCCGTTCAGTTCGGGACCACTATTCATCTGGCAGCGGGGCTCGCCCACTTCAACCCGCCCCGCCGACTGGACACTTTCATCCGATCGAACCTTTCGTTGCAGGAGCAGGGTGTTCGGGCGAAGCTCGTCGTCGCTCTCCTCAGACATCAGATGCTCATGCAGTTGCACGAGTTCTACTACATTCTGAGACCGTACTCGAATGCAAAGCTGCCGGATCCGGAGGAAGAGTGCCCGGAAGAGTTCAAAAAGATGATCGACGAAAGTCACATACCTGATATGGTGAAGTCGGTGGTGGCCGACATTTGTGCAGAAATGCTCGAGAAGAGCTCTTACGGAGAGGTGAAACGCAAGCTGACTCTTTTCGTGCAGGCGGCTCCAATGATGAACGGAAACCATCATTTGGAGGATATCAAATACAGAAACAACTTGGTAACGTAAATTTACACTTTTCGAGAATAAATTTATATTCAGGATCGAGCGGAGATTGAGAACGTTTTCACTTCCTTCCAGCTAGTCATTGCCAAATTCCGTCGTCCGGATTTTGTTGCCGAATAAACATTTTTCCACAATTTAATACACACTCTCATGTACAAAATAAAGCTCGGTTTTATCATCAACGCTTTCATTCGAATAGTATCAAACGGTTTCAAACCTGGAATTATCTCGAAACAGTCGTCTGTCTACCCGAAATTTCCATTTGTTCTCAGATAATGGAAGACTTTGTGAAGGCGAAAAAAGCGTACGCGCAGTATTTGGATGAACTGGCAGAGTGAGATCATTTCGGCTCTTCACTGAATGCATTCTCTTTACAGAAAAGTAATTCATCCAAGAATTGCAACCGAAGAGAATGCGTTCAAAACAATGCAAACGCAGTGCGAAGAATACGCAAAGCTGAAGTTCACGTGCCAGAGACTTTTGGTTCGTTTTCATGCGACCGCGTTGAATAATCTGAATGATTTCAGCAAGATGCTCCACGTGTCATGGAAGGAAAAACGGATTTGGGTCAGAAAATATTCATGAACATAGAAGTGTGAGTTGGCCGGTCTGGTGTCAGGAAAAGTGCGTTTCTCTTGCAGACGAGACACGAAACACGTGGTTGTAAAGCTGAGCGACGAGGTGTTCGTGGAGTTGAAACTGCAGGATGCGATTAAAGTGTGCGATCGGAAGGTAGACATGCTCAAGAATCTGATGGAAAAGCAGCAGAACACTGTGAATAAACTGAAGACGGATCTGACCGTGCTGCTCGCGTCCATTGATGTGCCCTACACCGAACCCAATAAACTCGCTTTCCCTCTCAATGTAATCGGAACCGCCTTGTGATCTCTTTTCCCGTTATGTTGAATGAACTTTTCATTTTCTTGGTCTCTTCTACGTTCTCAATGTGTTTTCTGATGAATTCACGATTATTTGCTCGCTTCCTATTCAGATTTGCTAAATCAATTTCTAGTTGTTTCACCATGAGCCAACCAATCAAGCAGTCCACAGTCAAAGCCATGCTCACAGTGGCTCGTCGTGGAAAAACGCCGCTTGAGATGGAACCAGAAGCTCTCGCCGCCTTCACCGCCCTCGTCAATATTCTCGCACAAGTAACCACTAATCCTTCCCAGCATTTTTAATGCCGATCGCTGCAGGAAACTCTGTCTCGAGCTGCTCAAACCGCAGCCAACACGGGCGACACCGTCATCACGAAAGAGCATCTGAAGAGAGTGATCACACAAATCATGCTCGACTTCGCCATCTGACTCCTCACATTTCCGATCAAATCTGTTCGCTCTCATCCTCACAAACTCCACTTCATTCCGAATACACGAATTAAATGAAGTTTTGCTGTTGTTTGTTCTTTAAACAAAACAAAAAAGACTGGGCGATTTGGAGTGCATCGAGACTGGCCAATGCAAACCACCGCACGGACGCATCTTTCTGCTCTGACCATCGCATTATTTGCGCAGCGAAACGGAGCATTGGAACAAGTTATCGGTCACAATGACGTCGAAACTTCATGCATCCGATTCGCACCGCGCCTCCGACGTTGTTCGTTTTTTACTCTTTGATTCGAATACAGTACCGCCGTCGCCCTCCTCCGAATCAAAACATCGCGTGAATCGACGACGCGCAGATCGTTCGGCGATCGAGAGACTGCGGGCGTCGACGAGACTTTGGGGCCGACGATTCGCGCCCGCGGCCGAAAACCAGTGGTTGATCTTCTTTTTTCGCTACGAGAAGTCGGCTAAACGGCAGGAGAGAGGACCGTCCGCCACGGCTCTTCCGCTCCCATCACTTGTGTTATCAGCGAGAGACTCGCTCGTCAGGCGGCTGCCCGGAAAGCAATCACTGATAACGACTGTGACTGTTCGTCCCGAGAAGCTCCCGCTGGTTCCGAGCCCGCTCGGGAGGATCGGTCGGTTGAAGATCAGTTGGAGACTGTCTGAACTGATTCTTTGCCAGACAGTTTCATCCTCTTACTGGTAACGCTAACCGTTTACTACAGTAGCATGTAACTTTCCTTTTCAAACTTTCAGGTCTTACTGTTCATAAACTTTGTAGGGAAGAATCATTTCAAACTATTCTAATACTGTAGGTGTACTCTATTTGTTTACTGTAGACTCACTCTCTAGCTACTCCGAGAGCCCAGACTGTAAAGTAACCGCAGTCAATCATCGACTCCGCCCCTCTGAGAAGAAACATTGCATCGGCTAACTGCTTTCCATCGTTTTGCTTTCCATTCTTCTCTCCGTTGCCGCTGCCATCATCGTCCTTTTACCTATACTCTTCACCCGAAACCAGTTGTCGATACGATCAGTGCCTTCTCAGCATGCAAACCTTTCCGGGTCGTTTCATTTCTCGCCTCTTTGACTTCTCCTCTCCGAGCGATATCCTTGCCCACAATCCAATCCATATCAATCCGCTGCGTTTCACTTTCAAAAACCTGAATTTCGATGAAATTGAAATCGAGTGACGGCACTCGCCACAGGCCGATTATGACTACGCAACAATTTGCATGCGGCCAATCGGTCTGGTTTCGTACGCAAAAGACGCTCTTTTTCGTATGAATTCATCCTTCTGAAATTGCTGGAAATTCATTTCAATATGTGGGAATGCCATTCCATTGCGTCGTCCTATTTCTGTTTGTTTTCTCTATCGACCGACTCGATCTTCGTTTGATCGCATCAAATTTTTTGATGCGGACTCAAAAGTTCACTTTAAAATCGAAAATCCAATCAGCGGCAAATAGTAACATTTTCAACTCGCAAGCCATTGTGCTCACTGAGCAAACGGTCGACGAAAACACAGTATTAGTCCCCTTGTCAAATATTTTGGTCTCTTTTCGCTTCCGTTCTGTTATACTCTGACTCACATACTTTTAATTGAGAGTTGCAGATAGTTAGGCCCACCAAAACAAACAAAAGATGGGGTCGTTGATGCGCTCCGAGGAGATGCGCTTCTGCCAGCTCATCGTGGAGAAGGACGCCGCGTTCAACATTGTCGCTGAAATCGGAAAGCAACCGTACGTGCAGTTCAAAGATGTAAGTGATGCCAGAAGGGCAAACATGAAAGGGAAAATGATTTCAGTTGAATTCGAATGTGAACAACTTCCAAAGAACGTTCGTCAAGGACATCCGCCGCTTCGATGAGATGGAGAGGAAGCTCAGATTCCTGGAGAATCAGATCGTAAAGGATGAGATCGTCGTGGCCGGGAGAGTGGACAATGGGGACTACACAATCCTGCCAAACTCCGAAGTCAACACTCTGGAAGGAACTCTCGGTGAGCTGGAGAAGGACGTGAAGAGCATGAACGAGTCGGACTCCCAACTCAAATCCAACTTCATGGATTTGAAGGAATGGGACGCCGTTCTGGACAAGACGGACGAGTTTTTCCAAGGAGGAGTCGATGATCAGGCTCAGGAGGAACTTGAGAATCTGGACGAGGAAGGAGCGATCCGTGTGGACAAGGGACCAGTCAACTACTTGGTCGGAATCATCCGTCGCGAGAGATTGAATGTTTTCGAACGTGTTCTCTGGCGTGCGTGCCATCACACCGCCTACATTCGTTCCAGTGACATCGAGGAAGAATTGGAGGAGCCGAGCGGAGAGAAAGTCCACAAATCGGTGTTCATCGTCTTCCTGAAAGGAGATCGCATGCGCAACATCGTTGAGAAAGTGTGCGACGGATTCAAGGCGAAGCTGTTCAAAAACTGCCCGAAGACATTCAAGGAACGACAGTCGGCCCGCAACGACGTGCGAGCACGCATCCAGGATCTGCAGACTGTGCTCGGACAGACCCGCGAACACCGTTACCGCGTGCTCCAAGCAGCCGCCAACAATCACAGCCAGTGGTTGAAGCAAGTGAGGATGATCAAGACTGTCTACCACATGCTCAATCTGTTCACCTTCGACGGAATCGGCCGTTTCTTCGTCGGAGAGTGCTGGATTCCACTGAAGCACGTTGAAGACGTCCGTAAGGCAATTGAGGTCGGAGCGGAGAGAAGCGGATCCTCAGTGAAGCCAGTGTTGAACATTCTGGAGACCTCCGTCGTTCCACCGACGTACAATGAGACTAACAGGTTCACGGCGGTCTTCCAAGGCATCGTCGACTCATACGGAATCGCCACCTACCGCGAGCTGAATCCTGCCCCATACACCATCATTTCCTTCCCATTCCTGTTCTCGTGCATGTTCGGAGATCTCGGTCACGGAGCCATCATGCTCATGGTTGGTCTCTGGTTTGTGATCCGAGAGAAGAACCTCATCGCTCGCAACATCAAGGACGAGATCTTCAGCATGTTCTTCGGAGGACGTTACATCATCCTTCTCATGGGTATCTTCTCCATTCACGCTGGAATCGTCTACAATGATCTGTTCGCCAAGTCGTTCGACATTTTCGGAAGTGGCTGGAAGAACCCGTACAATCAGACCGATCTGGACTACTGGATCGAGCACACGGAGCACGGAAAGGAGATGCTAATCGAATTGAATCCGGAACAGGCCTACAATCACGCTGCCGGACCTTACTCATACGGAGTTGACCCTATCTGGAACATTGCCGAGAACAAGTTGAACTTCTTGAACTCGTTGAAAATGAAACTGTCCGTCATTCTTGGAATCGCCCAGATGACGTTCGGAGTCATTCTGTCCTTCTTGAACCACAGCTACAACAAATCAAAGATCGATATCTTCACCGTTTTCATTCCGCAAATGCTCTTCATGGGTTGCATCTTCATTTACCTCTGCATCCAAATCATTCTCAAGTGGCTCTTCTTCTGGGTCCAGGAAACTACCGTCTTCGGACAGATCTACCCGGGATCCCACTGTGCCCCGTCTCTTCTCATAGGTCTCATCAACATGTTCATGATGAAGGATCGTGAAGTCGGATTCGTCAAGGACGGAGTCAGCGGAGCATACAATGAAGTCGAGGCTTGCTATCTCTCTCAATGGTATCCAGGACAGTCGATTATCGAAATGGTTCTTGTCATCATCGCCGTCATTTGCATTCCAATCATGCTCTTCGGAAAGCCAATCCATCATGTTTTGGAGCAGAAGAAAAGACAGAAGGCCCTTCATGGAGACGTGGTAAAATGGAAACAAGTCTTCATAAATGCAATCTTTATTTTCAGACCGTTCGTGCCAATGTCGTCTCTGACAGCAGTGAGATTGTGATCAACGGAGGAGCCAAGAAGGAAGAGGCCGCCCACGACGGAGGGCACGGCGGAGATCACCACGACGAGGCATTCGGAGATGTCATGGTGCATCAGGCCATTCACACGATTGAGTACGTCCTCGGATGTGTTTCCCACACTGCCTCCTACCTCCGTCTCTGGGCTCTTTCGCTTGCCCACGCCCGTAAGTTCCACGCCCGTAAGTGGTCAACTTCTATTCCCCCGTTTGCAGAGCTCTCTGAAGTGCTCTGGCACATGGTGTTCGTTACCGGAGGACTCGGAATCGACGGAACCGTCGGATTCATCGCTGTCTACGTCGTTTTCTTCATCTTCTTCGTCCTCACAATCTCCATTCTCGTGCTGATGGAAGGTCTTTCCGCTTTCCTCCACGCCCTCCGTCTTCATTGGTCAGCCCATTCCCCATTCTCTTTTATCTTCAAAACCTTACCTATTTCAGGGTCGAGTTCCAGTCCAAGTTCTACCTGGGTCTCGGATATCCGTTCGTTCCGTACTCGTTCAAGACGGCTCTCCAAGAGGCGGAAGCGAGTGCTCCATCCCAATAATTGATTGCTCCACACTCTTTCCATTTCGCATAATTGTTCGCACACTTGCCGTCTTATAATCATAGACATTCCATTGTTTGCGCATGGCTTTTTTCCTTGAGTTATATGATCGGATTCTCTATTATTCGAGAGAAAATTGTGATGCGCCTTTGTCTCTTCTTCTTTTCCATAGTTGTGAGGTTCCTGTGATTGAAGCGATTCGTCGCTTGTTTTCCGGTGTGCATGACTCAACAATTGCAAAATTTCATAGATTTTATTTTTCATTTCATTTCATTTTAAATAAACGAGTTGGAGCAACAACAGAGTTGTCGATTGAGTGGCGGGGTTGTGAACGAATCGAATCTCAGACGGCGTGGCGCCGCGAATAAGTAGTTGGACTAGCAACGTGGAATATGTCAGCTAACAATAGATAGGGAAGGAAATAGGATAGTAAAAGGATAGGAGGAAGGAGTATACACGTCTCAAATATGTGGTTCGGTGAGGGAATTGGGGGAGAGTGGAGGTATTTACAGCAACGGAGAAGGCGTCGTTTCAGTCTCGGAGCGGGGGCGAGATCGCCACTCGATGAATCTTCTCGTCGCGCGCCGACGGACTTCTGATGATGGGCACTGACGTCATCGGGATGCCGACGTTCATCTGAGAAGGCTCATTTCAACAATGAAAGGGGTACGGTACTCACGATGGTTTCGTGTTCGCTGTTCGATCGGCGAACTTTCGTCTTCTTTCTCATGACGGTGTGAAATATTGGAGACTGGTCTTCAACGTTCTTGTGCAGAGGCAATGGACCGACGGCATTCACGGGTCGTTTGGAGGAAGACGTGTACGAAGATCCAGAAGAGGAACGGTTCGAAGAAGAAGACGTCGAAGAGGCGGGTGAGACGGCGCGTTGCGAAGGGAGGTCATCTTCTGAATACAGGCTGTGCTGAATTGGGTTGATAGAGGAAAGATAAACCTTTCTCGAAGAGATCAGTGTGATTCGGGAATGGGTCTCTCTTGAAGGCAACTACAACTGGTTCATAGGACAAAAGAATGTAGATCTTTGGTCCGAAAAGGAAGCCGAGCAGGATGGTTCCACAAGCAATCAGTTCGATTACGATGACCGAGTCTCGGAACTCGTGGTCGAGCACTAGGTAAAGAGTGATCCAGGCGACCCAAGTGAAGAAGCATCCGACTGTGGAATAGAGCAACCACTTGGTCTCTTTGTAGTTCCTCTTGATGTTTCGGTTGAGCAGATTGATAAAGAGGGCCATGAAGATGAGGATCATCACGTAGAAGTTGGACACCACGAATTCAACTCTGTAAAGGCTCAGATTACATAAGAGCAAAACAAGTAGGATGCACTGACTTTCCCATCGTGCACATCATTCTCTGAACATTCGTGTCGATGACTCCAATCGTCGACATGAATGGCTCAAGGAACCAGCGGAGAGAAAGCGCGATCTGAACTCCGACGATGAAGAAAAGAAGGAGCCAGTAGTTCCAGAAGGAGATGTGAATCGAAGTGCCGAAGCCAAGCGTCTCTGCGTTTCTTAATTGAGTTGCTTTAGCAATCATGACACCTGAAAATCAAAACATTTGTCGAAACAACATTTGATTTTTGGGAATACCAAAGCAGATAGTGTATCCGAGTCCGTGAAGGATCACTCTCAGTCTGCACACCGAGTCAGTCGGATCGAAGACAAAGAAGAACGCGGTGGCGTAGAGGATGATTATTCCGATGAGCAAAGAGATTCCCAAAGATTGATTGCCTTTCACGACACGAAGGTAAAGTTTGACAAGAACTGAAAAAGGGATAAGGTTGGAAAATAGATTAAAATGATACCGAGAACGAGAACGGCAACAGCTACGACGACGAGGACTGTGATGAGAGCGAGAAGGACGTAGTTGTGCGGGTGGTCCCTCCAGTGGCCCGTCGTGATGTGCTCCAGCACTGACTGGTACTGAATCTTCTCCGATCCGAATGCCGGTTGTCTCTTGATGTAAGACGCTTGCCCTCCGCCATCCGGCTCATCTGGACGGAACACGAACGAATCCAATGGACGCTGATATAACGGATTCATTCTCAAAGTATAGAATAATATTACCTGGAAGAAGTCGCCATCGAGGAAGCACTTGCACATCGGTGGCTGACACTTGCTCTCCGTTGACATTCCATTTCCATTTCTGTATTGGTTTGTCATTCTCAACCCAGTCGTCATAGTCCAGTTGGCAATGAGGTGGTACGTGAAATGGTTGTTGATGTCCGGAAGGAACTCGTAGATTTCCACGTCATCCTCAGTCGACGTCTTCTTCAGTTGAGTCAGAATCTGCTTGCGTCCTTGTTCGTAGAACTCAAGACAAAGTCCGTTTTGGGCAGGACACAGATTCTTGTAAACGGAGTCCATCGCGAAAAGGAATCTTTCGAGTCCTCGCGACAAGTATCCTGCTTTCGTCATGCGACCTGAAACGATATAATTTTGTATGAAAGAGGATGCTAGAAGAGTTCACCGAGAGATTCAATGTTGAGCAGCTCGTCCCCAGTGCACATCTTTCCGTAGATCACCTTGCTTTTCTGACTCAGAGCACATCCGTATCGCGATTCGATGTACGACCAATACCAGAGCTCCGGGAGTGTGAGTGGAGTTGTCGTCTCGAGCCATTCACGGAAGTCTCCGTACAGAATGTTCCTCGGCTGCACCGACACTGTTCCAGGAAACTGTTCCTTGTTGTTCGGCGCGTGCAGATACCAGTCGTGGGCTTCTCCCATCATGACATTCACATGGTTTCCACGTGGTTTAGATGAGATAAGATACTCGGCCGCGTCTCGGGCGGTCGCGAACACGACCGTGACGTTAGTGGTGCTGCGGACATTGTCAATTCGAGATCCGCCAATGTTAATGACTTCAGCCAGACAGACTCCGCGATCAAGAGCAAGACGTTCGAAACTGCGGAACAGGGAAAGCGATTCTGGATCTTGCTCGCTTAGAGCTGCAGTCACGAATTGCCATTGCATGCGATTAAGCAGTTTCAGAAGAGCAAGAGCTTGGTTTCTGGAGGACGGAAGAGCAGTGAAAGATCTCTGAAGAGCAGAGTGCTCGGAGTCGACGGAGACAAGAGCGGCGTCCGTGTCTCCGGAAGAGAAGTAGCCCTTGAGGGATTCCTGAGAGTCTCCGTGAAGGGCACTCGCGTATCCAAACACTGATTTCGGCACGATGGTGATGTTCCGACCGGCCTGGTTAAAACGGAAACACTGTGTTTCCGAACGGACGACAGACTCGATCGCTTGTTTTCCAGATGAGCAACTGTCGATGAGCAGGGCGCCAAAGTCGAGATCCTTGAGAAGACCGAGTTGGGGGAACCGCTGTTTGAATGTCCAGACAGTGTGCACGAATGCCATCGGAAGGGAGATGTCGGTGTGAGCCATCGATTGGCATGTCTGGCCACTGTGCAGATCGAAAAGACCAACCAGATAGAGAGGATAGTGCCGAGGGATCGACAGGAAGTGATGCTGGAAACAGATATTAGAGACTGGAAGGATTCGGACCCACTTACATCGGCATTGACAATCTGGAGGTTAGGGCACTGCCCACAGAACGGTCGATACGGAGCACAGATGGAACGGAGCCTCTGGTCGGCCGATCGCAGAGACGACATGATGACAGTTGGGGGCGATCCGGTGGTGAAACTGAGCAGACGGGCGGTCACTGGCTCCTCGTCCTGATTGTAGATCTCAATCGCTTCGACCTGCATTCCTGAGGCGAGCAGGATGTTCTCATTGCCTCTGTAGAATTGCAAACGTTCACCGGCGAACTCCGGCGGATCTTGTTTGCTGAATACGTAATCGAGTGTTTCCAACGTCTCCATGATGAGTTCAGTGCATTCGGAAGAAGCATGCGAGCACGTCTTCTCGTATTCCTTGTCCGCTCCGATGATCTTGGCGACCGCGGCGAAAGCATACGTCATTCTGATGGAAGCCTCGGCTGTTCTCGCCTGAACGTAGTTCTTCATCATCACTTCCTTGTCCAGATTGCAGTCTTCGTTTGTACAGTTGTACACTTGTTCGATGTACGAAGTGAGCAGCTGATAGTTCTTGAAGTTGTTGCGGAGGACACGAATGAAGTAATCACGGAACTGGGGCAGTTCTTTGTACTTTGGCTGCAGTGCAATGACCTCCAGCTTGGCGTCCTTGTGCAGCACATCCAGTTGCTCGGCCTCATCGAGAGCTTCTCCTTCCGTCGGTATCGATATCCACATCTTGGCCATCGCGTAGATGGACGGATGACGCACGATCCTAGTCAACTGTTTCTTGTTGAGCACACTGACCACGATGGAAGAGTCGCTGTCCTCGAGGGCTTGAGCCAAGAACGGATGATCTATGGGAATGGTCTCGGAGACGAAAATATCGGCATCGCGGAGGTAGGAGATCACTCTGAAAATGCCACTTGCTTCCGAACTCTTTCGGCTTTCGTTACCTTTTCACAATCGGGTTCTGAGACCCATCATCCACCACAGTCACCAAGTTACTTCTCATTTGGTTCATCAGTCGGATCAGTGCTTCCACGTACACTCCGATCGTTGGAGACGTGGCAATCGTGTTCTCAACATCTAGCTCCGTAAGTGCATTCACCGAGTCAGACGAATAGGCAGCCACGGGGACCGCCGAGACGGACAGGAACTTTCCGAGAGACATCGACGAAGCGTAATCCTTTGGAGCAATGAGCCCAAGCAATTTGGCTCCGGGAGTCTCAGTTCTGCATTCTTTTGGCTCGTGGTATCCGACTGAATCCAGGAAACGAAGCGATTGAGAAAGCGATTCAGCGGACCGCGAACAGGTATCACCGGCGTAGAGCCCTGGAAAGAAAGTATTGTTTTGAAAATCAGAAGATGGATTGGAATGCGTTCCTTACCGAGTTTACAATCTCCATTCTCCTCGTTCTGGTTCCAATGGGTCAGCGCCCACTGAATGGCGACGATCTCTTGGACAGTGTCGGGTCGAAGAGTGGTGCAGTCGTCCTGGTGAAGAGGGAAACTGCCGCCGATTTGGAACTGAAATGAGAAATGTCGCGTCATAAGAGAAGGGAAGAGAGGGAAACCTTGTTGTTCTCGGGGAGGACCTTGAACGGATCATACACTGAACATAGTTTGTTCGGGCCGAGAGCCTCGATCAACGACGAGATGTTGGCCGTGGATGGAGTTACGGCCGGTACGAACAGTAACAGAAAAGTTACCAAGTACGGTAGAAGCATCACTTTCGTCTGGTTGGTTTATATCATTCCTGCAAAAGAAAGCGATCTTCGACTCGGCCATGTTTTGGAAACGTTCGAGCAGAAAACGAAAAGGGCAATTGCACTTTTTTGTCTGGTGTGGGACATATTCAGTTGACCTCCTTTTTGATGATTGACGGAGAAAAGGAAGAGAGAAGGGAGGAAAGGAAAAATGAAAAGTTTGTTATCAGAACGACGGAATCGCGGCGCCAGGGGCCGAGAGCGGGGACGGGACAAGGTTAACAGTCTCTATGGCCGATGGAAGCGTCTTTGATAACAAACAGAAGACGTGGAGTCTTCAGAGAAACACGACACCGGCCTGACTGTCAAAGCGTGAATAAATAATAAGTAATCAATTGTGATTCTGATTCCGAAGTCGTCGGCGCCATCGCCGTGAGATGGCTGCTGCTAGGCAAGCGCGTAAAACGTAAGGGGTACGGTACAATAACGGAGCGGAAGCAGTGTGCGAAAATGAGAGACGCAGAGATGCGGGACGCCGACAACACGAAGCTGGTTTGATGTGATGGGAAAAGGCGCACCGAAGAATAACTAACATGATGGAGAGGGTGGACGAAGCTGATGACGGGGGATGAAGAAATGGAAGAAGAAGAAGAAGAAGCTGACGGCGACGACCGACAGATTATGATACTGTCAGGAGGAAGAAAGATGGGCATGATGAGGCACAAAAAATGAATGGAGGGAACGGAAACTGCAAAAAGGAGAAGAAAAAGAAGAAGCTATTGTGGTGGCAGAACGGACACGTCGTAAAAAGGAAACAAAGAAGAAGTAGGAGATAAGGGAGAGATTGTTCCACTGAAAAAAGAAAAGGAAACAGTACTGCCGATGTTTCAGAACCTCCAAATGCCGCTGAAGACGTGTTGAAAAGGGTGGGAAACGGGAAATAAGTTTGAAAAGAAGAGGAAGAAGAAGATGACAAGGCGGACAAATGAAAAAGAATTGTTAGGGAGACACGAGTTTGTGTTGGTTCTTTCCCGATGACCATAGGCCCCGCCGGTCCATCGAAGCATGGATATCTGCCGTTTCATCAGCCTAACCATCACGACATTACACCCGATCGGCTTGATGTCATGCCTTACAAACAACTGAATTGTAAAGTCAGATTGAATGGAAAGGTGACCGAAGAAAGTTACACTCAAAATCGACTCTTCATTATTTTACCTAACAAAATGAAAGGGAGGGGAGAAGGGAGTGTGGTAATTGCGGATAATTGGCCCGGGGAGATGTCGCAGAAAACGAAGGGGAAGCGAGTGTCTCCAAGCTGTTTCGGACGGTCGACACAGATAAGGATCAAGCGGGCCGCCGCCGCCGAGTAGATCTCGCTTCTCCTCTCTCGGCGGCAAACGTTCCGAATAAGTTATCTCCTCGGGCCTGCTGCTTCTATTTCTCCCTTTATTTGTCTCCTGCTGAGACGTTTTTTTGGTGAAACAATACGAAACGGAGAAGATCCGGGTTGAAATGACACGTAACAATTAGGGAGGGTATCAGAAGACGTCCGAGAAGGGTGTCGATGGTTTGTTTGGATTCTCTGGTTGAATGGGTTTGACGGACGCAAAATGTGGGACAACTGCCAAGAATCAGAGGGAGACACGAGATACGCTTGTTTGCCACCGCATTGTCAAACGTTTTCTGGTTTCGAATGGTCAAAGGAATTCGAATTGAAAAGTGGGCGAAAAGTCAAAGAACCTAATCTTATTTATCTTTGCAATTCGGCAGAAATCTCAGAGAGACTGGTAGAACATTGGAACTAGTCGATACTTTGATAACAGTGAAATACAATCAGTCAATGTTTCTGCTGCCGCTGTCGAGAAGAATCAAGCGGTCGTAAACCAACGGCTAATTGACGTCTTCTCGGAAAACAACACCGTTTGCCACGTCGCACATTACAGTTGGAAACTGTTCGGGAATGGAGACATCCGTAAAGCGTCTCTCATCGCTCATTTATTGCATTACACAATCTGCAAGAACAATCTCACTAATCTTCTAAGCCGTTCTTATTTAGCCATCCGACCGATTGAGTGAGTGGAGAATCGAAAAGAAGAAGAAAAAGAAGAAGAAGAAGGAGACAGTTTGTAACTTCTTTTCTCCTCACGCGACTGAGACTTTCGCTTGTGTCCGCTAGAAGAAAACTAGAAAACCGCCAGACTGTCACCGTGTTTTTGGCATATCCGATGACGGCGAAAAGGCAGTGAATTAGAAGAGTTGGCTACTTTCTTAGAAACACATTAACCAACATATAAATAGGTGGGAGAGATTGCGAGAAAAGGTAGAAATGAGGATGAGATCGGCGGCGCCTCTCGACTTTCAAGGCCGCTCCAAAAACGAAGATATTTACTCATTCAGACACGAAACTAAAAAGTGAAGGTACCGATGAATTAGACTGATTTATGTCTGTTGTTCAAGAAGCAGAAGCGGTGTGAACAACCGAAAGTGAAGAGAAAGAAAGCAACAAACAGGCGCGGAGACAAAAAAGAACCATTGTGCTTTCTGTGTGTTCGCAACAATTGAAATGTTGGGGAGTGGAGGCCTGATGCCAGGTAGCCGATCATGACGTATTTGGGAGTTGGAGCACTTACGGAAGGCAGAGGGGATCTCAGCTGAGTAATGCTCCGAACAGGTCAGACAGACGAACACTTATTGTTCTGGCGGCAGGAGGAGGATTCTCTTACAGATCCAGTTGACGGTAAACTATGATTGCGAACAGAGCACGGCCTAATCTTCTTTCCGCAACTCTAACTAAATACCAATGACGTGGCAGCAATAATCTCGCTGGAATGCCAGCTGAGAGGGACTGCATTAAGTAGTGCATCCAGTCGGAAACACCACGGAAATTAGAAGAAAAATGGAGAGATATCAGTTCGGGAGGGAGTTCGGATGACCACGGGCGCCTCTTATGACTGTAGATAAATCACTTTGGACTGCTGAACGAATCCATCAAAAAGGCGCGATAGGGGGCAAAGGAGCGAACGATCTTGTTTTGGAAGGCAAAGAATTATGTGTCCTCATCGCAATACATATAATTAATTGGGTTCTAGCGGTTTGGGTTGATTCTCCTCCTCCTTCGTTTCTGTCTCATTCTTCCATATTTGGGTCTATTGGAGAAGGGCGCTTGTTTTGAAACGGCAAATACTAATTGGAAGGTGGTGCTGGTGCTGCTTCTGCGAAGAAGATGCGCCGTCGGTTGACAGTCACGTAGTGCAAACAGCGCAGAGAGAGCGAGCCCCCGGCCGAGGCTGTGTTCACCGAAAAAGTGTGTTATCAGTGGACAAGCCGCTCAGAAAAAAGGGAGCTGGTCCTCCTGGAGCAAACGATGAGCCACATGGAAGAGGGACTTGAGATTCACCAAAGGAGGAACGGAATGGATGGAAGGAAGAAGAGAAACAACGGGAGATTGGGGGGCATTTGAACAGTGTCCTATTTTTTGCGGAATTCGTAATGAAATGAGTGAAATAGATTCCGCTAACCACTCACGATGAGGCCGAAGAAAAGAGGAAATACTTCAAGAACACACAGTTTTCGTTTCCGTTATCCGTTCCGCAGACGAAAAACACGAACCTCCAGCTGATCGGAGACTTCAAATACAACTTTTTGACATGTTCGAAAAGCTCCTATGATAAATGACTGTCGAAGAGCAATTTTTGGGGACACATTTGAAACATTATTGCAAAAGTAAAGTTTCCAATATGAAAATATTTCAATAGAACATATAATATTGGAATCACTGTACGACTTAAGAAAAGAGAGCAATGTGAATAGAGATGTACAGCCACTTGTAAACGGAAGACAAAAGAGAAGAATACGGAAGCGTGGAACTATTGTATCTTCGTATCAACTAGTATTATACAAAAAGAGATCGGACGGGGTCCAATTGTGGAAACAGAAGTTTGAGCAAACGCTCAACTCATTGTGCTCGGCCGCCCTCGCTGCGCATCTTTTGGTCACTCGAGTCAACAAATCACACGGGTCTCCTCGCAAAAACAATGACGATTCGGGCGAATCTTGAAATCGTGAAAGGTGTGAAAAGGTAAAGATGACAGGTGCTCCTGCTGCTCCCGCTCGAGATGGCGCGGCGACGGAAAACCGGAGGAGCAAGTGCCGAATACATGTGTTTGTGTTTCGGGCGGGAAACATGAGGCTTCCCGAGGGGCGCATCCGCTTGTTCAACCGGCTCGTAATCCGAATTGTTGGCAGACAGATGAAGACGGCCAAGAAGAAGGAGAAGAAGGAGAAGACGGCAAAAAACGGAGAAAGGTTTAGTCCCGCGTCGGATGGCACTGTATTGAAGAAGAAGGGAGAAAGTGTGGTGGCGAGAGGATTAAGAACGAGCGAATCGGAACAGTGGCAAGTTATGAGGGAAATAACACCGCCACAATGCGTTGTTTACACAAAAGAGGATGAAGTTGATGATGCTGCACCAGTTGACAACATTACGGTTGTAAAGAAGTATACGAGACCGTTTTTGTTGAAGGAAATCGAACACGTTGAATTCTGAAATTCTGAAGAAAACTGTGGAACTTTGGATAAATTGAGCATGAATGTTTATTTTTGGGAACATAAAAAGTGGGCTTTTAACGAATTCTAATCTCAAATAGCGCAACTTGATGAAAAGCTTGGAGGCCTAAAGCGGCGCGACAATAATAAGTCGGCGGCTCCTCGGGGGCGCACAGTACAGGTGTCTTGCTTGCTCCGAGCAAATCTTGACCATTGTCGAACTATTCTGCGGCTCTCCACTTCGCACGATGCCTGTTCCGCTCCAAAACAACTCCTCTACAAGAGTTGTTGATACAAACCGAAAAGCTGGCGGTCACGTAATTCACTCCTTCTCCTCTCTCCGTCCGGGGCTGTAACCGGGAGAGAGTGAGAGAGTGCGACCCATCCATTCGATGGTTGTAATTGGCCATTCGTTGCCAGTTTACGTCCCAGCAGTCAACCAATTACCAATTCGGTGCAGTAGCAAAGTCGTGTCACCTTGGCCAACCGACACGAGGCGCCACTTCTTCTTCTTCTTTAGGCGACGCGCTTCGCTGAATCCGAAATCGTTCTTTGAGCCGATTAGACTCCCTATTCACGTTTTTCCCATCCATTCGAGAACCCTCCCTCTCCATTCTGTTTCGTTTCTTTCAGTTACCAACACAACCATGCGAGTTCTCCTTCTCCTTATTTTCTGCACGATAGTTTCTTCGTGGGTCATCTACCGAAAGAATCACAAAAAGAGACTAATTTGTCGTGTAAGTTCTCTTTCTGGAAATCACTCGTGAGCATCTTCTTCAGGAAGAGACAGAATGGACGAATTCTACGGCCAACTACATGACAAACTCGGCGGTTCGCACCGAATCCGATGAGGACGATGACAGCTCTTCTTCCTCTTCGGAACGTCGCCGCCGGACAAGAACGAGGTCGAAGAGAGACATCGAAGTGGATCCCGTGCACAAAGAGCCAATCATTTACCTCGGAGTGAGACCCAACACTAGCCCTTTTCTATATAATATGATCTTTAGACCTCAAGTAACTCTACAGTTTTCATCGACGACGGAGATTTCGACATTGTATCCGATTCGCTGACGAAGGAAGAGCTCGAAATGGTAACTGTTGCCCGGAATAAATCAGAAGAAAATCAAAAGATTTCAGGTCAAACAGCAGATTATGGACACTTGCAACGCCCTCAATTCTTCCTGACAACTTGCATTTCATGTTTTTGTGTGACTTTACAGGTGTTTTCAAAGTATTATAAAACCTATTAATTGTCATTTTTCTTGTCCCGAGTTCATTGAGATCGTTCTCAGGTGTACGTGTGACTCCAGATTAATGCTTGTCTGTCGGGGCTGAAATTCTCCGAATTTATCATATATGACGTTGATTTGTTTGTGCGCGCCGGAAATTTGGCGGAGAGTGAAGTGCACATGATGCTGTTCATCTGCCGATCATGCTCACTTTGCTCGTTTTGCTCTTCCCACTAATTCGATTGAGTTCATTTGAATGCGGTGACCACCGGACAGCGTGCGCAGCCTCTTTGGACCCCGTAGGGCTCACTCTATTCAGAAGACATCAGGAAGGAAAGCAGATGTTTTCGAGATTCTAGACTCCGCCCACGGGAACTCTCTCGCTTACGCACATCAAGCTTCAATTACCCTGCCTCCAACTACAACCCCACCGCTATAAAAACTATAGTCCGCTTTATAATTCACACGTTTTTGATAACCGACCGACCGCGCCCTCGTTCTGTTTCGAAATCCACTCTCATCTTGCTCATTTCAGCAGTTTTATTCTGATAACTTGGGAGTTCTGGGGATGCTTCTCCGTTTCGTGCTCCTCTCTTTGGCCCTCTTCAACGTAAGTTGACAGTTTCGGAGCTTTCCCAGAGCAAATAATTTCCAGTCGTGCTCGGCTGGTCCGGCCGCCAACTTCGCGACCCATCAGATTATGGACGTCGTCGAATCCTCCGTGAGATCGGGCAACCTCGAGCCGATTCTCTTCCTTCTTGACGCCGATTTCAACTACAGCATGTGCGGATACGTCGGAAACAAAGCCACTTTCCAGGGGTACATGAACAGTCAGATGAGCTCGTTGGTTGACATCCAGGTACAGAATGCCTAGTTCCACTTTCAAACTTACATATTCCAGTTCCTGACTGACTTCGACAATGCGTCCATCGAGGAGAAGGACGGAAAGGAGTACCTGACTTTCCACGTGGACACCAAAGCCATCTACATGGACCGTACCCGCGTGGAAGGCGGCGCCACCGTGACGGCGGCCAAGAAGCAGTACGGCGCCATGTTCTACATCTCGAACATCGTGCAACGCTGCCGCAACACCGTCAAGAGACACCACCGTCTGTACCGCCTGTTCACCAACGAGAACCTCTACGACTACCGGAAGAAGTAAAGACGGATCAATCCGCTTTCTTATTCGCCCGAGAACAAAATTCGATTGCTTGCACATTTGTGCGTTTCTTGTTCGGTTTTAACAATCGAATAAACTTGTGAACACTTTTATAGCATGAATTGTGTCTAGTTCTGAATATTATCGAAACGAAGGGAGTCGTTCTGCTCGGAATCGGCACTTCCGATTGCTCTCTGCGGACGATGCGGATGCTCCAGTTTGAGAGTGTCACAGCGGGAACGACGAAATACGCGTCTATAAAAGAATTCTGAAATTAAATTATGGCCCCGTGACTGAGAAATTTGCTCACTGTTCAGAAAATTTCGATAGTTCTTGATGATGAACATGACCCCGATTGGATCGATCGTCGGATAGAAAACGAGCGAAATGCTGAGGATGTTGGCATTCACTCCGAGGGGAATCTCGAAGATCGGAAGGACGTAGAAGATGATGCAGGGAATGAAGATCAAGATCGTGGGCGTCAGAGTCTGAACGAGTCCTCTTCAAAGAAGTTTTATTTATAATCTCACCTGGACTAAGAGCGCAGTGAAAAGTTGTCGTTGAATGTTCATGTGATTGGAGAGGTGACACGTTCTCACCTGCGTTCCTTGATACGTCTTAATTCCGCAGCAGATGATCACAAATACCATTGATCCCTGAGAAAAAGCATTTTTAAAGACTGTTGGAATCTCCAGAAAATTACAAAGACAGCGTTGAGCATTGCGGCCGTTCCTATGGATAACCAGTTGATCTGGATTTCATTGTTTCCGTCTCTCACGTAATATTCGACTGCCACGTAGTATATCTCTTCCGGAGTGACCTCATAAGCAGTCGCCATTGATTGTCTATACTAGCCGCTCATCACATGCTTCCGTCGGCTGTCTCACCTTATTTGTCTGTCCCTCTCCGGCGTCAAATTGATGCGAACAAAGCCGCATCCCCCGTAAACGACGGCTACGAGAATCATTATCAGTACAAAATAAAGACGACGCCATCCGGTGAAGTACCGCAGACTGGAGGCGCTGCAAAAACGGTTGCAATCAGAAAGTGAAGCTGTTCTTACTTGCTCATTGCAAAATATCTGTACACAAATTGAGCGGAAAGGATGAAGAGTACGTATCCAACGGAAATACAGCACATTTCCAGAAGTACCCAAACTCCCCAGGCGGGAAGATTTGCGCGATTGTTGATTGTGAACATCATGAAAGTGCCCCCGATCGTGTGGAAGCTCTGAAAAGGAGTGCATGCCAGTGGGCAAACAGCACGTCAGCCGGCATCCTCGCGGGACACTCACCATGTGGGTGAAAGCGGCGACGACCGAGAAAAAGATGCTCTGGACGGTGAACCACATCATTAGGTATTTATACCCGCCAAACTCTTTTGGCGATTTTGAGCATATGCAGTACAACAACAGGAAGTTTATTGGAATCGTCAGAACGAGCGACGAGAAATCAGCGAACTCGCTGAGAGCCAGCCAAGCTGAGCCTTTCAGACCAATCATCTGAAAAAATAGACTAGGAAGTTGGTAGAAAATGCTGAATTTCGTAACTTAGAAGAGACTGAGAGAAACGAGCAGTTGATAAGGATGTATAGGTAGGAGATATTGGCATAACAATGGACAGAAATGAATGGGTGCAGATTGAGGGGAAACTGCTTGAACTAATCAGTTGGAATTCGGAAAAAACAACAGCCATATCACAAGCTGTTATCTGACAGAACGAGCGGGTGAACGTGTTTACCGCGACCGAGCAGTAATCGGTAATGTGTGAGAACTCCCAATGGTGTTCTTCTGAACTCCCAATGGTGTTCTTCTGAACTCCCAATGGTGTTCTTCTGAACTCCCAATGGTGTTCTTCTCATTCGTTAGTATGCTCATCGGAATGACCATTTCCCATTTAAAGGTCTCTGATTTGTGCCTGGCTATTCAACTCGATTCGAAGAGCTTCTTCGGAGTTTGATTGTTCTCCGGACTTTGCTCCTCGTGAACCTTATGTACATCGGATGTTCTCACACTTTATTTTCATATCTAGCAGCACCTCCATCGGGTATTTATTACACATGCCATATAGATGCCTCCGAAGTAGGCCACTTTCCGTAACTCGACCCTCTTCCCCTTCCTAAATGGTCATTTGTTGCTTCTCCCTCATGCTATGGACCGTCTATTTCTTGGCAGTTACGGCATTCGTAGGTAAGGCTTTTGAAGGACATTTTAAGAAAGAGTTTTGATTTTAGAAAAATCCAACACAGAAGATCTGGTGAGTCAACTGTTCAATCAGTCCTACGACCCGGATATGATGCCATCTGGAGGTCTGACCACTGTCACCATCACTCCGAACACTTTCATTCTTTTGTCGATGGATCAAACGCAAGAGACGATTAAGTATTCCGAGGAATTCTTATTTGTACTGTGACATAGATCCTTCCTCTGTAGAAAAGTATAATTTAGAAGTGGTTTGACCCTTTGTTAAATTGGAATAGATCAGCAGTCGCATACGAGCGGGAGTGGGTCAAGATTCCCGCTTCGAAAGTTTGGCTGCCTGATGTGATATTCACAAATGGGTTTGTTTCCAGAAGATCATATACAATTTCCGGGAAACTTGCAGAATCGAAATGGATACCTTACTGGACCGAGATATGCAGATGGCAGACCTCCGCTACAATGGAGAGATCAGAACGAGCCTTCCGGCCGTCGTCAGTTCCCCGTGCCCGCTCAAAATTGAAAACTTCCCTTACGATGTGCAAATGTGCAATATAACGATCGGACCATGGAGTTTTGATAGAAATATACTTGCTGTAAACTCTTCAACAGAGATCATCTACCCTGAAAAGGGCCGATTCGAAGGGAACAGCGAGTGGGAACTGATATCCATTGTCACATTGCGATCGGATAACTATGACAGTATTCTGGTGAGCTCGAAAAGTTTTCAGAATTATATCAATTTTGAAATTGAAGGATAACTGGTTCTCTGAACTGACCTACATAGTGACATTGAAACGGAAGCCTGTCTACTACGTTCTTGTGATCCAAGCGCCCACTTTCATCCTGTGCACACTCACTATATTCGGTCTTTTCACTCCGAATAGTAACGAAGATGAGCGACTTTCTAAGGTTTCAGATTTAAATTACATAATGTCAGTAATATATTTCAGGTTGAATTGTGTCTGAATATGTTCGCAGCGATCTCAATGATGCTTCAGTTGGTGTCCGATATGATGCCAAAAGCCTCCCGTCTCCCCCTTCTAGGTGTTTTTTCCGTCCATTTCCGTAATATTCAAAACCCTCTTTTCTCCAGGCAATTACATAATCGCCGAAGTGTTCGTCGTCACCGCGGCAACCATTGCCTCCATTCTCATCCAACAAGTGCACCACCAAGTGCACACGACGGCAATGCCCCCTCCCAACTGGTGAACGACCTCCCACTCTTTTCCTTTGAGCTTCTTCCATTCAGGCTGCGGTGTCTGGTGCTTTGTGACTGCAAAAGGCGCGGTTCCATGTCAGAGGCGAGCTCAGACAGTAGTGTCGAGGTGTCGGACAGCGCCATTCAGCCATTCAATATCTTGAAAATTTCTCTGCAGCAAGTAACTGACCACATTATTGTCGGCGTTTAATTCGGCTCGTTCAGACCGCAGTCTTGGTTCGTGACGCCATCCAACGAATGACATTTGTCAGCGAGAACCAATTGCTGTGGCTCAAAATACTCGACAAGACTGATTTGTTGTGTTTGTTTATCTTCCAAGCGGCCAATGTGGTTGTCACTGCTGTTTACTGGAGATAAACTGATTTTTATTTGACCGCTCACCTTGTTCCCATCTCTCCTCCTCCTTCGTTTTCTCTCGTCATCTAGTACTCTTCTTCTTCTCCTTTTCACAAACTTTTCCATCGCCGCGCGTAAAATTGAATTGGCTCTCGCATGTTGAGCGAGTGAGAACGCGCGAAAAAGCGTTGACATGAATGTTGTATCACTCGCATTCTCGCGCTGTCCGCCACCATCATTCCGCTCCCTTCTCTCCCTCTTTACACCCCCCCCCCCCACAGCTTTTTTCGTTCGTCACATTTCGTCCCGTTTCAGAGCAAATACAAAAAGACAAAAGGCGGTGGCGAGCCATTGAAACAATGCGTTGGCATCAAAATTCGGGGCGTCTGCGGGGGGAAATGGGGCCCGCGACAGCGTCTTCCGTCTCTCCCCAGAGGAAAAGCACACAGCACCACGCCATGCAAAAGTTTCTTAACGCGTATGCCAGACGACGAAAACTTGGGTCAGCCTCTTCTAGCTTTTCCTCGAAGGAAATACACACAAATATTTTCTATTTTGTCTGTGCGTCAACCCCTCTTTCGAATTCGAATTCAAATTCTCACGCTCCATTGCGTTCGCCCGACTGGTTCTCGTTTGCCTCGTGTTATATTTTTTGCGTTGCGTAGATAGCCTCTTGAAATTGAAACACGGCCTTGAGTTAGACGGGATTCCTCTCATTATATCTCTTCAAAAATTACTTCAGTGCGCTGAAGAAATACGAGAAACATTGGCGAGTAATTTATATGTTTTGTCTGTGTCTACACATATCTCACTTCATCAATCACGGTTCTTGACTGGACCTTCTCCCGCTTCATAATACGAAAACAATGGTTAATCCCTTCCTTCTCCTCTTGTTTTCTTCAGTTCTGCTAGAGAAAACAAAGAAGAAGAGAGCACACGAGATTCAGAGCGCTCCTCCAAAAAAGTTTGAAGCATGTACTCCAGACTGCGGAAATCTTTCTTCGTCTTCGGCGGTCGCCGCCTCACCAAATCGTTATGCAGAGAGTTGAACGGAAATTTACGACTTTGCGCCGTGCTTCTCTCTCATTTCAGCTCGATTGTCGTGCGGCCGTGTTGGGGTCTCCTCCACATGTTCTCCGTCGTCTTCTTCTCTCCCCCAAGACTTTTTCTTTTATTTTCTTTCACTTCTTCTTCTTCGTCTACTTTTCTTACTCTCTTCGTTTTTTTGTGAATTTTACACGTAAACAATGGAAACTGCGAAAAGAAAGAGAGCGGGCGGAACATCATGCCCCCTCCGTGCTGACGCATCTCTCAATCACCTCTCAAATGATGGACTGTGACAGGTTCAGTTCAGTGTAAACCAACCAACTTTCGAAAGAGCGAAATGACCTCGTTTGACAGTAGGTCTAATCGATTTTTGCTTTCGTTTCTGCTTGCCGCGCGTTTATTCCGTTGACCGTCTCCCTCGCCGCCCGTCTGTTTGTCCGGTGCTCCAGCCAAACATCGTACTTTCTTTCCCAGCCATGCGGTCCCTTCTCGTCTTCTTCTGTATCATCTCAGTCGCCGCCGCTCTCAACTGTTACATCTGCAACAGCTTGGCCCAACCGGACTGTGTCAGCAACTACACATCCTTCAACAAGGTACACAACATTTTCCCTCCTCTTATCATTTTTCATCCAAACAGATCTGTCCGGTGAAATCATTCGCTGGGCTGAAAGCCGTGAAGCCAGTCGGATGCCGTGTTGTCCGCCAGTACGTCCAAGGTGAGTTCCGCTATCTTTTCGCAGATCTTGAACTTCTCTTTTCTTCTCCAATAGCAAGTTTCACAACAAAGTTTAGCTCTCTGCCTCGGGCTCAGTTTCACAGAAAAGAGAGAAAGAAAGAAAAGGGAGAGAGCGAGAGAGAGAGAGAGAGAGATTGGTTTCTTTCCGGGTCCTTGAAGAACCAACTCTTTCAGAGGAAACTTCGGTCGTCAGAGAGTGTGCCTACACTGGAGAGAATGTCGTCAAGAAGTCGAACAAGGTCAGCAACTGGCCCGGAAATCCCCATTTGATCCTCAATTTTCAGGGATCTCTGGGCGTGAGCCGTGTGTACACGCAGTGCTCCGAGAACATCTGCAATTCCGCCGACTCCGTCTTCCAGTTCTTCGCCGCAACAGTCGTCATCGCCCTATACAAACTGATTGCCTGATATTTTGAACATAAAAAAAAAACAAAAAGGTTGTCGTCTGTAGAATGTTCCAATTGTCTCCAAAATGCATCCAATGCATCCAAGACACTCCACTTTTAGTTGCTTTTTAGTCTTTGAACATTTCACTTTTCACTCCCCCTCCCCCTTCTTTCCCTGTCTTCTCTTCAATTGAATGCACTCTTGAAACCGCCCCAATGCTCACTAATCACTCCAGTTTGTGACCTGTTTTTCTTAGCATAATTTGGGTACGCCGTCTGAGAATTCATTGTTATTTTTTACTGCCAATCAATGAAATTTGAATTATCCAAGACATAGAAATTTGAAACCATCAGAAGGTAACGTTTTTTGTTGCTTTTTCCTCCGAAACTCGAAAATTCAAGCTCCACCCATTTCCTTCCCGAATCGATTTTTTGGGCACAAAGTTGATATCTAGATGCATGTACAATGCCATTTTTGATTAATTTTTCCTAAAAAGACAGCTGAAATGCGAAGCACCTGCTTATGGCGAAAAGAGACTCTCGAAACTCGCTCCCCTTCATTTCTTCTGATTCCCCGCCTCGGACGGCGCGATGGATGCTTCTGTGAGCAGGTAGCCAGGCTCCAATGAGCACTCTCACGGTGAGCATTTACAGGGATCCGAAGGCTGCTACTCCGAGCGTGAAGATCAATTTGGAAATGCTGCGATCGTCGATGAATCTTCTGCAGAAAGCGAAAGCGAATGACACGGAAGGGTGAGTAGACTACAGTAATCCTTCGTCCCGTTGGACCATCTTTTCCTCCGGTTCAGCGTCCTCAATTCGATCTCGGATCTCACTTCCGAGTACGTCAAAGCGAATTCTCTAAACGTGTCAAGCGAGCAACTCGTGAACCTAACCAGCGTCATGGTAACCCTTCTCATTTTCAGCTGTTAACCACTTTTTAATTTTCTAAAATAACACTTTGAATCACGAGTCACGTACTAACAAACATTTCAGAGGTCTAACATCTCTAGTATGGGATACTTCACCAAAATGCCGATTTTCAAAATGACTACGGCTATGAATGCAGCTCGCGAAAAACTCGATGAATTTGGAAGCATGAATCTGACTGAAATCGTGAGCAACTCGACGGAAATACAGGACATCGGAAACTACACACTCGGAAATTGGACATCCGCGGACGACGATCTAAGCACTGGCCTGGATTTCGGATCCATGGATGAGGGAGGCAAATTCTTGGGAGACGGCACGACTCACAGCACGAGCTGGTCCACGGCCTCCAATTTCTTCATGATCTTCTTCGTCTACTACGTTCCGCGGATGGTCTACTTCCGTGCCGTCCACTTCACTTCCGACATCAAACAGTCCAGCTACGTGCCCATCCTTTTCCTCTCCCTCATCGCTCTTTCGGCCGCCGTAATCCACGTCCTCTCCTTACATCAGTCAGTTTCCGTTCCCTCGTTTCTTCTCATCCGTTTCTCTTCAGTGGACTCACCTCCAATCCGGTCATTTCCTTAATCATGGGCGGTACTGACGAGGTGGACATGTTCAGTCCGTTCATCTACAAGGCACTCACCACTTCCGCCAACCGAATCGTCTCCCCAGTCATTGCCGTTGTTTGCCTTCAGCAACTCGCCACCTACGCTCAAATCGGAGCACCTCTCCTCGAGAAAAAGTGTCACTTTCCGTCCTTCACTGAAAACGTCTTTATTCCAGAAACGTCCATTTGATTCTCTGTTTAGTGTTCACCGCCATCGTCTTCGGATACACTTTCTACACCGAATATCAAGTCTATCTTTCACTCGGACCCGAAGTCATGGTGTATCCGGACCCCACCGAAGTCTCATTCATCTTCATAACCTCACTCTGATTCCTTCATTTCAGCCGGATTTGTTCGACCTCGTTCCTCCCATTCTCACTGCTGTTCTCTTCTTTTTTGCCCGACAGAAAGTCTCCCGCAAGTCGGTTTATTCGGTTGAGAAGGCCGGTCCGAACGGTCCCTCCACTCTCGATCGGGTCTCTAAAGTGGTCGTCTTTCAAGTGGTAAAATAATGCGAGGCTATTCGGATTACTGTACTCTCTTTTCAGGTGATGGCAATCGTCGCGATCGTCGCCGTTTTGATGCGTACGCCCGACGAGATGGCCGACTCCACGTACACGTTCTTCATCTGTGCTCAGACGCCCGTCGTCCACTGGGTGCTCTTCCGTTCGCTGCTCCGTTCCCGCAAACCGACCCGTCTCTGTTTCCTCATGTGCTGCAGTTCAGAAGAGAAAATCGCGTCGGCAAACGAGCCGGGAATGGAACTGAATCAGCACCCGCAGACAAACGAGCCGAGCCAGAAGAACGAGGAGGACGAAGAGGAAGAGGAAGCGACACTCGAGACGTTGGATCACAACAAAATTGTGCTGACACGACAGAGCCAGGAGGGAGACGAGAAGAAGGAAATGGCGGAGAAGAAGAACGATTGAGAATCTATTTATTGATTCGGTACACATATTTTGACATTGAAATTAATGAAAATTTGGAAATAATGCCTTTTTACATTTAACTACGGTTATACACATTGAAGTTAACTGAAAACAATGAACACATGATGAAAGCGGGTAAAACTGAAAATTGCGAAGATGTGGTATAAAGGCAAGATGAGAGAAGTAAATAGAGAAGCACCATAGAAGATGATAAGTAGTGCATCAGCACTGACGACGTGCGAGATTCGCGTATTCGGGATGAACGGGCGGAGCGAACTCGCGGACACGCTCAACTTCCTCGTCGTTGTTTTCGTTCAGTTGATTTGTCAGAATAATAAAGATCTGGTTGTTCAGCAGCTGGAATCGACGGATTCTCTCGACCATCTTGCCAAGACGCTGGAAATTCCTAATATTGATTGGCAACTTGCTAAGTTCTCACAATTCCATTGACTACTTCATCTTTCGCATCTGCCTTGTTGACTCTGTGCAGATGATAGCAGAAGTCGAGCACTTCGAACCTCCGATGCTGGCCGAGCAGTGTGATCAGGGTCAGTCCTCCCCATTGCAACGAATCTCCGAATAGTTCTCTGCAATAATCAAATTCAAACGTGAACTGTTACATTCCTGCGTGTTCTGCTACTGTTTCCCGACTGGCCCCGTTTCATTCACATGTTTCCTATCACCTGATGGCGTTCGATGAAACTAAAAAGTGGCTTTATGTCCATCCACTAAGTGCGGTTCTCGTGAGTCAACGTACGCCCCTTTCTAATTGAGATAACTTTTTTTCAGGCCAATAATTTAGTTTTCTTGCTGCAGCTCATCATTTTCACACAGGGCAACGCCTCCATCGGTAGCGCGCCGGCTTGGGTTAGCTTCCACTGAATACGAAATCTTCAGAACAAAAAACTTTACAGGGCTACGTCTCCCTTGGTTTCTGTCTGCTCGGTATGCTCGCAGTCGGAGTACTCCTATTTCTTGCCAGCAAGCCAACACAATCTTCACCGAAACTTGTGAGATATTCAATGCGTATTTGTGGCGTGTTCAATGTGTTCAATTTCAGGGACTGATTCTGGCAGTCTTTTCCCTTTTCAGTACTATCGCTTCTGGCTGTATTCTACTTCCGATCACTGCCGTCGTATGTCAACTGTACATTACATTATATTATCACAACTTCGTGTTTAGGGTGGCGCTTCTTCTAAATCGGTTAACAAGAAACTCGGAAAGAAAAATGACGATTCCAAACTCGACGAACAATACAAACGAGCTGTTCGTGCTGCTTCTCCTGCGCCCTTTTCTTCCCATATAGACTTCGGCGGATCAATTCCTCCGAGTTCTTTCATGCTGCTCGTCAGTTCGGGCGTTTCCTTCCTGACTATCGCCGCAGTTACCATATTTCTTTTTGGTAGAATTCGCGCAGCCGGAGGATTTTCTCAGCCAAAGAACATGGTGAGCTAGTTTGAAATGTTATTGCAATGTATTTGCACTTTAGAGTAATCGAAAAGAACCAACGGATGGAGATCGGCCGAGGAGTGGAGTGAGTTGTGGCCTATGTCATGACCGTATCGATATTTAACATGTTTCAGCCGCGTGGTCCACCTCCTTGTCCACCAAATGCGAGTGCAAATGCCCGAGAACCGGTACCAGTTCCAGCAAAAGACGATGATTCGAGGCGGAAAGAGGAAGAGGACAGGTGGATCGGAAGGGTCGATGAAGGCAACTGACGAAAATAATTTCAGAAAAAGGAGAGATGAAAAGGATCGCGACAGAAGCAAAAGTCGGCAAGATCGGGAGAGAGAACGGGAGAGAGAGCGTGAAAAAGAACGGGAACGGGAACACAGTCGCAGTCGCGGAAAGGATAGGGACAGGAAGAGTCAGCCGAAGAGCGATGAGAGACGAAAGCGAGAGGATAGAGACCATTCCGACAAGGATCGTGATCGTTCCAGAAGTCGTAAAAATCGTGAGAACGAACGAGAAAAAGAGCGAGATAGGGAAAAGGAAAGGGAAAAAGAACGGGAACGTGAGAGGAGCCGCAAGGAACGGGAGGACAGGGACCGAGAAAAAAGTCGAAAGGAACGGGAGGATAGAGAGCGGGAGAGGAGCAGGAAAGAGCGAGAAGAACGGAGCCGGAAGGAGCGGGAGAAAGAACGGAGCCGAAAAGAGCGGGAGGATCGGGAGAGAAGCAGAAAAGAACGAGAGGAACGTGAGCGGGATAGGAGCAGAAAGGATCGGGAACGGGACAGAAGCAGGAACGACCGGGACAGAAGACATGACCGCGACCGAGAAGATCGCGATAGGGACAGGTCGAGAAGCAGACGTGATGATGATCGTCCGAGAAGCAAGCACGACCGCCCGCGCAGCAGACAGGATAGACCGAAGAGCAGAGATGACAGACCGAGAAGCAGAGATGACCGTCCGAGAAGCAGACAGGACAGAAATTGATAAATTATCCCCGTAGTATTTAACTGATTTGATTGTGAATGAAAGTGTTACTCGGAACTCACTCTGCATAAATATCGTTCTCGTCGCGGGTTGGCTGGCACAAGAAGAACTGGAGGGCAGAGTAGGCACGGTGCCATTCGACGCACTCGTCGACCCAGAAGACACCATTTGTTGGGTATCCTCCCGTCCAGATCTGAAATGAATTGTTTTTCGGGTAGTTATTCCAATTCCTTCGTACCTCATCCGCAGCTAACATCTGTTTAATCCGATGCAAAAAGTTTTCGAATGCATTCAGACCACAGCAAAGTCTTTCCTTCGTCATCAATTCGGCGTCTTTGCTCACTGCGACTTGTCCTTCGTCCGTGCTGATTTTGTCGATAATTTGAGTCAAATGGATTCTAGAATATTTTTCTTCGAGTTTCGCTAACTGCTTCATTTGTTCTTGTGCATCTGAAATCGTATTTTAAAGCTGACGTTTTTATGCTTATTCTTACTTCTCGAAGGTGGCTGCGGGACTGTTCCAGTGTATGCAGCAGCGAGGAACAGATCGTGAGTCTCTTCTTGTCCTAGTGCTACTTCTAGCTGTTGGCAGAACACAATGACGTTGCCAAGTTCGCGCAGATCTTGACAGAAATCCGTCTTCAGTTCTTGATACTTTCCGACGGCGTCCAGATGATGGCAGTAGTACTGTAGCAATGCGTTGCTCCCATAGTCAGATCTCGGCAGCTTACACACTTTCGGCATCATATTGAACACGTTTTTCAGATGCCTTCGGAGTTTATCATTCAGAAGACTGTGGGTCACTTTCAGAAGCTCGTCGAGAATCGCAGCGATGCCTTGATAGTGCAACAATCGGGTGATCGATTTGAGGTGCTGCGTTCCGATACACTGACTGTAGGCGTTGCAAATGTTCATGAAAGCGGCCATCAGAGATTTGGATCCCCAATAGTAAACTTGTCCAACTTGAGGAGGTTTCTCACGTGGACGCGTTTTTTTGAACACATGTCTTGCTCGAATGAAGCGGTGAGTCGACCCGTTGTAGCCGAAGTTTGGAATAAAATCGTAATTGAGCTCCCAGAATACGTGCAGAGTGATTCTGCCGTGGGGCGAGTTGACAGCACGATTCGCTTCTTGGAAAAGATCATCGAACGGAGCGATGGAATGGAGAACTTCTCGCAAAAGTGAATGGCACAGACGATTCGCTTCAATCAGCATGTCAAGTTCCTGAAATTATTGTGATTGAAAGAAAATAATTATAGCGAAAATACCACAATGGACGTGAGCGGTTCGCTTTCGAACTTCCAAATGGCCGCGTCGAGTGCCTTCAGAAGGGCCATGTTGATTCTCTGTGACACAACTCTGTTCAAATCGACCGATCTGCCAAGAAGCTGAACGTGTCTCTGCTGAAGAAGACTTTCGAAACGAGCTGCCGACGGAGAACGTATCATCGTGCCAGCACGAAGGATTTCCGACTTGAAACGTTTGTCGAGAAGCATGCATGATGACAGCTGTTTGAAGTGAGTGAACACCATCTCGGACAGTTTGTAGACAAACTGATCGAAACACAAATTCACTTCTGCTTCCACTTCGTCATAAAGGAACTGTTTGTTGAAATTGAACAGAGAATATTGTGCGGCATCGTTGTACAAATCCAGTTGATAGAGAGCCGATTCGATGAGAGACGGCTCATTGCAGGAGAGAATGAAATCAGTGAGGATCCAGGGCATTGACATCTCGATCGGGAATTGAATGCGTTGTCCCATTGTCATCTCGAGATAGAACTCGCGGAACCACAGCTGGCTCAGTTCTCCTGCTTCTGTCATCGAATCGGAAAGACGGAAAAGAGCTGGCCAATGGAGAGACTTTAACAGAAATAGTGTTATCTCATCGATGGTCTTTTTGTCCAGTTCTTTTCGGAGTATCTTCTTTCCTCCACCCAGTTTATCCGAAATGAGCGATTCGAGCTGAGTCCTTGCCATGTACAACTGCGTACTTCCCGGAGCAGCCGCCCTTCGTGGTGTTCTGATGTCCGACGACGAGGAGTTCGTCGAATCCGCCTTGTGTCCAGTCAATTTCTTCAGTTTTCCCTTGGCCTCGGGCGTCCGTATCAACTCGTACGAAGCATCGGAGATTGAGTCTTTCACAGATTGAAGAATACTTGCCACAAGATCTTTTTTGTTCTTCTGAGCTTTTTGGAGTGGTTCATTCACAGTCTTTTGAATGAAATTCTGCAGTTCCATGTAAACGCACTTTCTCGTAGCGAACGACATATCATGTTCCATTCTTCCCAGCATCGATTGCAGTCCTTTGATCATTGCAATCACTTGGATCATTGCCGTCTTCTCAGCTGGCGAATAGTTGTATCTCGTGGCTCTTTCGTATTCTTCCGCCGTCTCTGGACACTCTCGATTATCTTTCGGATTCGTCGGATGCAAAAGTTTCCAACTGATGGTCTCCACGACGGCGCAAGACCACTGGCACAGCAGTTGGATGCCAGAAAGAGCAAGAGATGTCATTTCGCGGTGCTCAGCATCCGGTCCTGGCCCTCGAGATCCGATCGCTGATTCGTTTGTAGTTTTTGCAAACTGTGTCACGTAACTTTCATGGTCCGAACGAATCGTTTGCAACTTTTCCACAATATTCACATGGCATTTATCGGATTCTTTATCACTCAACGGCCATTTGCTCGCCTCGTAATGGGAGCTCCGTCTGACAAAAGCGAATGGCTGAATCTGCATGTCTCCGTACAACGGCACCACTTCGAGCGTTTTGAATATCTTGTCAAGTCTCTGAATACTTAGTTTCTTCTTCTGATCGAGCTTTGCCACGTTGGCAACATCTCCGTCCATCAGGAAGAGCGAGAAGGCGATGACTTTGACGAACATGTGTTTTTCATTCGGAGACAGGTATAGTTGCTGTTCGTACATGTGAGCACAAATGTTGATCACATCTGAGAGCAGCTCTTCGTATCCTTCGATCTAAATGGCGTTAAATAAAATTATATGCTTTTTTCAAATCATAATCTTACCGTTTTCATTTGCACTCTCAGATCATCTTTGATCTTGTTCTGAGTCGCCAAAAACATACTCAGGGTCTGCATATCCTGAATAGATTGTGTGTCAGACATTGTGTAAAGAAACTGAGAAGCCCTGAAAAAGATGAAGTGAACGTTGAGGAGGCTAGGCAAGGTAACCTTCTGAAAGTGGAGAAGTCGTTTTTGATCGATGCTTTCATATTTTTCAACTCGTCAAGCACTGCGAACATGTTGATGAATCGGCCGAGAGTAAGCAGATATGCTTCTGACACGAAATCTCGCCGTTTTTCGTGATGACAGAGACGTCGCATCTCTGCGCAAAATCGTTGTATCGCAATCAACTGTAATTGCAGTTCAGTTCATAAAAAACGCGCAAAACTCGACTTACGGTGAATTTCATAAAGTTGTTTAGCTTTTCGACTTCTGGTTTGAGCACGTCAACAACCATCTGGTTGATTTCTGTTCGGTTTGGCTGATCGTTCGATTTGGCCATCGGCACGGCTCGGGAACAACACCTCCAGGTGTACAGATTGGCGGCATGCTGCAGTCCTTCAGACAACATGTCATTCTGGAATAACTTTCTTTCATTCCAGTGTTAATTCAAGAATTTAACTCACGAATTCTGCATGTCTTGTCGCTTCTTCGCTGTATTTTGCAATGCCCGTTACAAACGCACTGCGGTCCTCGAAGTTTGTGTCGAAATTTGACCTGAACTTGTATTTTCAATGAATATTACAAGATAAATTAGAGACCTGCACAAAAGAGGCAAAGCTCTGGCTTCAATGTCAGGCATATCGTCGGGAAGATGAAGGGTGTCGAGTAACTGAAACTTTTTTACGTCGCGTCGCCTGGTTTCATTTGCAAATCGCCTGGTTTCATTTGCAAATAAACGTACAGTAACATTGTTCAATGCATCTTCGAGGATGATGTTGCTATTCATTGTTGTTTCCGGTTTATTTCATCATCAGACAAGCAACCTGAAACATGAAATATTGTGCAAAATCGAAGGAAAACGGTGCGAATGAGTCATTTTTCTTCAGCCGGCGCCGGGAGGCCATGCCAAAACAGCGGAATTCACGAAAACCGCGGATGCCAAAACCGCGGAAGCCAAAACCGCGGAAAAAAATGCCAAAACCGCGGAACCGTGCAGGCGCAATACTTGACGCGCATTTAAAGACTTTGGCGTTTATTGAATAGAAGGGATTGAAATTTAATAGCATCAAACAAAGTAATGAAGTTCGGAAGTTCTGAAAAAAAATTGGAACTGAGAGTTATATTTAAAATTATTTTGACAGATATCATCAGCATCTTTCTATTGTCTGGAATTCCACGGCGAATGTGTGGTCCTGAATAGAAAAAGCTCGTGGTGCCTGCCGGGTTTTCACATTTAGTTGGGACTTGCAGAATAATTTTTGTTTTATCTTTTTTTTTCACGGTCTTCATAGAAGGCTACCCCGAGCCAGAACTGTCTCGAATCAACACGACTTTTCGTAACAAAAACCACATGCAGATAGATTCTGATTTAGAACGGTTCCGATTCAAACAGTTCTGGCAAGGGGTAGCCACCTCCAGAGCTGACAATATTGGCGTGGCTTCCGCCAAGTATTTCGTTTTTTCGCCTTCCCCGCCTGAAAACCACACTCCTTATATTGCTCATTAGTGACCGTTTTCACACAAAATTGGTTTTGAGAATGATAAATCGAATAAATACAAAGCAAACATCTTGAGCGATCGAACAGCAAAAATTACAGAAAAAAAACTGAAAGTAACGCATTTTTGGGGGGAAACTTCAAACGGATTAATCTCAATCGACCAAACGAAAAGGTGATGACTTTTTTTTACCCAAAACTGCTTTTTTTCTTTACTGCTGACTTTTTTTTATACGTCAAAATAAATTTTTAAAGTTATTTTCTGCAAATTGTCATGTTTGATGCTATTAAATTTCAATCCCTTCTATTCAATAAACGCCAAAGTCTTTAAATGCGCGTCAAGTATTGCGCCTGCACGGTTCCGCGGTTTTGGCATTTTTTTCCGCGGTTTTGGCTTCCGCGGTTTTGGCATCCGCGGTTTTCGTGAATTCCGCTGTTTTGGCATGGCCTCGGCGCCGGCCGGCCGGACAGAGGTTCGAACACTGTGTCCGCAAACACCGCGGCGGCATCTTTGCAGACTGACGAAAAACAATTATATAAATTTTTGTCGCACGCACGCAAAACTTGAAATTTAAGAGAAACTGAAGCGGGAACTTGAAGAATTTGATCTGAACATGTGCAGAAAAGCCAAAATGAATCTGCAAAAAACACCATAAACTCCAGTCTATCTGCTTTATTGTTGGCTGTGGGTGTTTTTTAACATTATATTTAGAGGTAGTCATAAGAAGAACATTGCAGAGAGAAACACTTCAGATATTCTGCCCTTTCTCGGTCTCAAACAAAAATAGTTCACTAATAAAACAAGTTAAGTCTATTTGTCGTCTAACGAATTCCTCTCTTATCATTCATACTCGTACCGAAGTCATCATTTCCAATATCTACCTGGCCTAAAGTTTACTTTTCAGTCATTTTCTCGCCATGAATACGCTGTACGAAGATCGTAAAGTCATTCTCGGCATCGTCGGAACGTCGGTAGTCTCCTGGAATGTAAGTTTAGGCTTGCAAGCGTGAACTATAAATAAAATTCTGTATTCAGTTGTTCCTGAAGTTGAGAGATCTGGTAAAAACGTTAACGAAGCCTAAGTCGGAATGGGTTCCAGTGGGTCGAATCAAGAGTCTCCATCTATACCCGATCAAATCTTGCAAGGGAAAAGAGGTGATGAATCCAGATTGCACTTCTCTCAATTATTTTGATTCCAGGTTTTCCAATACCGTTGCACTTCCCTTGGCCCCGTCAACGGAGAATATCTCGATCGTCACTTTCTAGTTATTGACGGAGAAACGGGAAAGTGAGTACATTCTCCTCTACTTAACTGCACTTCTGAATACTATTCAGATTCCACACTGCGCGCACAAAGCCTCAAATGGTTCTCATTGAAACAGTAATTGAGGACGGCGTAGTGACCATTTCTTATCCGGACAAGGGAAGTGCACAGTTCAAAATCGAGGATGTGAAGTCGAACAAGGATTTGCGAAACGGATTGTAATGCTGTTCCGAAGTTTTCATTCAATCCTCTTCCATTCAGTTTGCACTGTAAACTCCGAACTGATGGTTTCGACTGCGGCGACGCGGCTGCGGAGTTCTTCTCGGATGTGCTCGAAGAGCCCGGAACTCGTTTGATCATGTACGATTCGGGACTGTTCACGGAGAGAACGTGTGTCACGGAGGACGGTTGGTGGAATAACCCGGTCCCGAAACGAGTTGACAACGTGAGAATCAACCTTCGCATTGATTACAATCAGTCCATTCTGTTTTATAGACTGCGTACGCCGACTTGGCTCCGTATATGATCACGACGCAGGCCTCACTGGACGACCTGAACTCAAAACTGGAAAAGGATGTCAGCTCGATCAACTTCCGTCCGTGCATTGTTGTGGATGATTGTCCCGCTTGGGACGAAGACAAATGGCTCGATTTGCGCATCGGAGAAGTGCAGATGCAGTGCTTCAAGCCGTGCACCAGATGCATTCTGACGACGGTCGACCCGGAAACAGGAACTAAAGACAAGGATATGCAGCCGTTGAAGAAACTCCGCGAATTTCGTCTCGGACCTGGAAAACTGCGTGAGGAGTTCGGAGAGAGTCCGATCTTCGGAGTGAATGCGGGACTCGTGCAGCCGGGATACATACACGCGGGCCAGACCGTTTGGGCCAAGTATAAACCGTCCGCTTTCTGATTCCAAAAAAAGCTCTTTGAATATTGCATGTACGTTCATAAATCTTTTATATACACGAACACTTTGAAATGGAGACAAAAAACTAAGCGGCGGGCAATTACAACTTTTAAAATCTAACAACAAAATAATAACTCGAGGCGGTAACCCGTCTAGTCACAGAAATACTGTTCAAAACCGGTGAGAAGAAAGGACGGATGAATGGGGAATGGGATGGGAAACCTGAAGGAAATCGAGATATGTGCAGCAGCAGTAATCACGAGATGACAACGGGAAATTAGAAAAGAAAGAAGGCAAGCACGAGAAGAAGAGCAGGCAGTGTTGAAATGGCGAACGCCGAGGACGAGTACTCCAATGACTTCACCGCAAGATCTGAAAATAGTCTTTCTAAATTTATTTCTAGGTAGTCTTTTTCCTCACCACTATCTTCATGGATTTCAAAATCGGGCTCCCTCTGATAAGTGAGGCTCGCGTCCACATTCTGGTAGGCGTCGTGCATCAAATCGGCCACGTACTGCACATTCACAGGATGCCAGCCGTTGCTCTCCGAACCTTTATTCAGGCCTTCGCCCCTCTCATTCTCGAACGTCCCCGTCTTTCCCTCTTTCGCCATTTGAACCACCTGCAACTTTTCATTCTCTCTTACTTTCTTTTTTTTTCCGATTACCTTGTAAAACTGTTGGTCCTGCACCCCAGCCGATGCGGCCGCCTGCTCCAACTGTGACGGTCTCCTAAACTTTGGATTCGTGGTTCCCTCCAAATCTCTCGGCAGCAGATGGGCGCTGTCGTTCTCCGAGTCCTCGTCCTCCTGTCCGCCCATCATTTCCGCGCTGCTTTTCGTTACGAAATCCTCTTGTCGGCGAGTCGGAGCCATCGGTTTGACAGGATGAGCCGCCTGACTGGCCATCACTTTCATGGCGAGTCTCATGTTCTGCGACTCGCAAAGACCCGATATCTGCTTGTTCATTCCTTCCAGTTTACCGGATGAGGTAGCTGAAAACAGAGGGTAACTCAGAGAAGAATAGGTTTAATCACTCACTCATGTAGTAGTAGGTCTGTCCTATTTGGTACTCTCTCCCGTTCGGAATGGGGTTGATTTGTCTGATGAGTTGTGCCACGTTCTTCACCGGATTCCTCTTCTTGTGCTCCACTCGTTTTCCAGACAACTGCTGAGTGCGGAGCATAACGTCTGCGAGTCCCTCCGGTCCACATCTGACGACTTCGCGTGAATCCGATTCCAGAGAGCACTCATCCTTGGCCAATTCGGAAACTTCGTAGACAATCAAGTACTCTCCGCTCGTCCCCATGCCCTCATTGTCCGGACACACAAAACGAACAAGGTCTCCCATGCGCACTTCGATCGTCGGATTCCGATTTCGGAACCTGAAACATGCCAAAATAGTCACGTTGTCTTATTCATTTCCGTTGCCCATTAATGAAGAACACACAAAGAGGTCTCCCTCGGCTTCCGGATCATTGGACCCGATACCTCCCGTAAATCAAATAATCCCCCTTTCCGTTGGCTTGCGTAAGGCGGCTAATTGGCGGTGTCATTCTACTGTAAGCTCCTCATAGAGCACAAAGACATGCGCCAAAAGAGGGCCATTTGGTCAAGAATGCCGCTGATTTCTTTGCGAGACCGACTCTATTACCATCGAACATGTGTCAATGCACTTGAGAAAAGCGGAACGGGAGAGTCTTTGCACCCCGGAACGGAGCCGAATGATAAAGTGAAGGACGACTGAGATTGTGCCAATTATCAATGTTTACGCCCGTCTCACGCAAATTCGCCCAATAATCACGGGACATGTGCATCGAGGCTAATACCATTCCAATAGGCGAGATGCCACCTGCCACCGTACAGACGTCTGCCAAAAGACAAATAAATTGACAGCCATTTGACAACACCACGCGCATCCTAATGCTAATGCCATCCGAGGGATGAATAGCAGCAGCCGGAAGAAGTGTGAATCTTCGCCACAAAAGTATCCGATTTCACGTGCCTCTGGGTCACTTCACACATCAATTTGCCACCCAATTCCACACACACTTTTTACAATCCTCCGGGTGTTCCCTCTCATAAATCGTGGACATTTACGACGAGTTGTTACCACGAAAAGTTCCACATTTTATGAGGGGGCGAGCTGCATCGTCGGAGGGTAAATGAGCCAAAAAGTGGACAAGGACGACACGTCCCTCGCGTCGATCTGGTGCCTAATGGCCAAGGCCCGCTTCTTCTTCTCTCCATGTTTCGGCGGTCCGTCGCAAATGACTGGACAGGTGGTAAAGGTCCGAAAGTCGCCGAGTCATCTGTGTTGTACAACAGTGTCTGGGGTTAATTGCTAATAATGGGTTCGGCATTTCTTCGCTCTCCTTTGTCACACTAATTTTTGAGTCCCAATTACCGTAATCCAACCTGACGTAGTCTTCGTTGACCGTACCGATTTATAAATAAATTAAGTCGAGTAGTCATTTCTGGCGTTCCGTTCTTCGTCTTCGTCGTCGACGACGTTCGACGACCCCATAAATTAATCGGCAGTTCATAATTACAGTCTCTCTGTGGGGAAGAAGTCATAAATTTCGATAATCGGATGGAGTTCGCATCAGTCGGCGCGCGTGGCCGGCACTCGACATCTCTTATCAAGATCCCTTCCTCTCCTCCCGTTTTTCTTCTTTCTCGAGAGCGCGGGAAACGGCCACTGCCACAACAACCCAACTCAATTATCCCCATTTTAAACGAAATTTACTCTGCCTCTTTTTGGAGCCGTCTATGTTATATGGAATACAAACTCATAGCGCGAGGAAGAGGAGACGCCCTCTATTATAGAATCATCTTGAAAGGCGAATAAGCTAAATAGCATAGTACGGACGGGAAAGAGCCTAAGACAGAAGAAGTCAGTTCCCACGGTCGACTTTATGAATCTCTGCAGTTGTGAGTGGGTAAACACTCTTACATATCAAAACATGTTTAAAAATTCATCGGCTTCGGACCGGCCGGCCACATTTCCTGCTGCACTCGGGAGACCTTCTGCCAACAGACGTGCGACGTTCTCGAAGAAGACGCGTGCGAGTACAAACACGTGTTGCGCAACCCTCCCGGGAAGATGCTCAACAGCAGACTCATCCATATCGCATCAATTTTGATCACCTCGACCCGTCCGCAACTATTATTACACAAACTTGTTGAGCACACAATGGAATAAAGGAATGTGGGATTAGGATCGAGTTACCCGTTTGTGGGGTCATCTGAGTTTCAGGAAAGTCTTCCGGTCCCCTCTAGATATTGCTTCCCTTGGGAGTCTTCAGGAGTCTCAGAGTCTTCGGACCCAAGTGTCATGCCAATTTGTTATCAAACGGATCAATCATCGCAGATTGACCCCCACCTTTTCCGCCAAACAAGTCGGTGGGTCGTCTGCGGGAAGAGAGAGAGTGAGTGACATTCAAATTAGGATCGGAACTCATCCGAGCGTGTCTCGTCGCCATGATACATCCGAGGACGAACTGTGTGACGCACGACGACGCATTATTACACCTCCATCTTACACCTACTCAAAATCACGCCTTCTTCTGTCCATTACGGAAACAAGAGTGAGAATATGTAGGAATGTTTGGCCATGTGTTTCACAGCCAATTTGAGAGTGTGTGACGTCACATTGGGATAATTCGAAAGGGGAAATTGGTCGACTCTGAACAGTAGGGATGCAAAACAGGCGATTTTTGGCGCCTGCGCCTGTTTTTTTCAGGCGCCTGTTCTGCATCCCTACTGTCCAGCTCATGAGGAACGAGCACAAAACAGGGCTCCGGTTACCAGAGTCCCCCGGGCAAATAAACAGGAGAGAAGACAATCGAAGAAGCTTCAATACACGTGTCAATGGCCCTTCAGGTTAATCCGAACGTCCGGCCACCAGCCATGGTCAATGAGTGCTTGTCCAAGATTAACTTCTTGTCTCTCGCGGGGGAGGAAGAGGTACACTGTTACATATTCATACAAACCATTTCTCAAATTGGCCTCCATTTTTTCGCCCAACAGCCCACACGACCTCAACAAATTGAGCATACCAAGAAAAGAGACGGAGAGCCCAACCAAATAAGATCTTGTTTATCCGGAACCAGTCCCTTTCGCAGGTAATTAACCGCCTGCACATGCCCTCCTGCATCCGAGAACCTCTTATTATTCGAAACATGAGCGCGACAAATGAGTAGCGAGTCGAGATTATCCGTCCTCAGATTATCAAAAGCCTTCAGGAAAGGTTCATTAGTTGCGATTGAGAGGAAGTGGAATCGTCATGACAACGTGCGTCCATTAGGTTTAACTGCGAGCGAAAGTGAGAAGAAGGTAACTCTTGCGGTCGGTGATTTGCATACTTGAAAGTGTCGCTTTCCTTCATCGCCCAACATTTCCCTCCGATTTCTTTCTGATTTAGTAATGCGGGCTCACAAAGCAGCGGCTCTTAGCCGAGCCCCCTTCAGCCGCGTTTTAGACAAATTGAAACGTACCAAATGTACGTGATTGCTCATTCAGACGTCGGATATGGGCGCGCTTTCGCGGGTATTGGACATATGCAATAGATTGGAGAGTGACGGAAAAAACGGAAGAGGAAGAGCACACATATGTCAGCAGGAACAGCCTCGCTAATTGGTGTGCACAGTCAACAGGCTGTCAATGTACATGAGCTTCAACCCAGATGAATATCAGTTTAATTGGTTTCCGTCGCCTCCATCATTATAATAATCTTATTTCAAGTGCTAATTAGTCGCGCCCCTCAAGGAGAAGGGATTTTGTATTGCGCAAAAACTCAGCACAGATGGTTCGGTTAGAAGCAACCCTTCTAATTTTAAGATTAACCCATCGGGAACGATATCCCCGAGACTCATAATCATCACCATCTTCGTCCTTATTATTATTATTGTAGAGGAGACAAATCTATTGGCCTTCTCGGCAGACGGCGGCACCTCTCAAAAGACAGTGTGCAACGAACTGCCTGTAAATCTCGGGCCGTCCGTTCGCCCGCGCACGCAGACTTTTGCATCCTTCGTCCTTCTGGGGGCCTAAATAACAAAAGAACGGTTGATTTGCATCGACCGTTCGCTCTTTCTTACTCATATGCAAATTCGGCTGGGAACTCTTCGCATCTTTCGATTCCATCGGCGGGCAGGTGTTCTCCTAACTTTGACACCTTCTAAGCGATTCGATCGTACCGCCATCGCGGCTATTACCGCCATCTTTTAATGATGTGAGACGGCGGCTAACGACCCTTTCCCGAACTAAGAGATAGCCTCCAAACCGAAAGGGGACAGGTGTTTTATGGAGATTTACTTGTTGCAGCACTAGTAATTTTCTTTGTGACGACTGTATATCAGTAGCTCGTTGTGTGCAAACGACTCTGTTGCGTGAATCCTTTGAGCCTTCCGCCGAAAGGAAAACAAAACTCGGGACGGTGTGATGCAACCGGACACACGATACACCGTTTTGGGGAAAAACCATCGCGTGCCTTGTCACATTTCATCCATTTTTCCCTGTTTTGATTTCGAATGCGAAAATCGAAAACGCTCTGCGGCTGAGGTTAATGCGATGCTTTTTACGTAGCCCGTGTCGCTCTCCGGCCGCAACGAAAGATTATTACAAGGATAAGGATCGGTCGAAGACGGAGGGAGCGACGCCGTAAATCATGCGCCGCCTGTGCCCAGAAGACGAAGACGATAAATTCTGAATCAGAAGAAGTAAGGTCATTCTGCTGGTACCTCCCAAAATGAAGGGTGGCCAGACGACGTCAAGTGCTTCGACGACCACCCGCATTCCAATAACACGGAGCCGGAAATGGGCTCTTCAAGTGAAACGGAGAGCAGCAGAAAAGACAGCAATTTTGTGCTAGGAGACTCCTTTTAATCGCATCAAACGTCTAGTATATTTCGTCGGACTCGGACCTCCATGAGCTCTTCCCTCCCTCCCACACCTGCGTTGCATAACACACCATCTTGGGCCTAGTCAAAAATCTGAGTGCAAACAAGGAGAGGGGCTTCCACTACGCAACTCTGCTCAAGTGGATATTGATATTACTCCAAATAAACGAATGACACACATTGGTCTCACACATTTCCGGAACGGACCACATAACGGTTTGATGATCTGTATGTCGCTCGCATGATTATCTGGGTAGCCCATCGCCAAGTTTGACGTAACGTTGGATAATTACTGTGACTGACTGGTGCTAATCTCTTCTATCTTAGCTGTTGGGGAATTTCGAACAATGCAAAAGACTGGAACACGTGGGACCACACCTAGTTAACTCGATTGACAGTGCAAAACGTGTTGACACCTGACAAAAAGTGACACCGACCTCCACCCACTGCGCACCGTCCGTTGTTATGCAAATAACCGGCGGCAGCGGTATTCTGTTCTCGCGTCAAAATGATCAGCAAGTATTGAAAGGTGGTTTCTAAAAGAATACGGAAGAGGCCAGCCGAAGACGTGTGGATCGGTAAACAATTGGGGGGAAAGGGAGGAGGAAATCGAGGAGCAGGTGATGTGGTTCTAATGGAGCACACCGGATTGTGGTGGTCCCGGCGGCAAAACAAAACATTTCTCCCGCACGTCACATTTACAATTTATAAGAAGAATTCAACGACTATGTTCTCACATTCGCCCAGTTTTCTAAACAAAATGATGAGCAGCAGCTGCAGCTTCGAAAAGCCATTTGGTCGAAAAGCTGACGGTCCCTACAAGCACCTGCGGGCGTATTCGGTTATCGGCGAACAATGGCCAGTAGTTTCGAGCCGACTGTTTGCCCAATTTGATAAGATTATAATGAAGCGCGCGAGCAGAGACTATCAACGTAACTACAGTAGTACGAAATGAAGAGAATAAAAAAAGAAAGAAATATAAGGGGACTTACGTTGGATTCGTGGAGTTCCAGTACACGACATGTTCATCTGAAGAGGCGGAAGGGAGTGATCCGAGAAGAAGGAAGAAGAATGAGCACGTCGTGAGCAACAAGTCGTCCACTCGTTTCATTTTATCTGAAGTGTCAAGTGAGTACGGTTGAAGAAGAAGAGGGCTCGCGAGAAGGAAATGGGAGCGGAGATGAAAACCGAAATGAGAAAAGAAGTCTAAATGTTTGTGCACCGCCGGAGGAGAAGGAGGAGAGAACTGACCACTACTATGCAGTAGGAGACACTCACTCTCAGGGCGAGAAGACACGGGCCTTCGGTCGGGCGAGGGGAGGGTGCAGACGCGAAGGATGGGGCGGGGCCTACAGGCATCTGGTGGTGGTGGCGGCGGGGCGGGAAAAAGAAGCGGATTGAAATATGAGAAGAGAGCCGATGAACGAAAGGAAGAAGCCGATGACCGTGTGCAGAAGAAGAGCCTATTAAAATAGGGGATGAGCTGGATGAAGACGAGAAGCGACGAGTGCGGTTTTTTGAGAAACGAAATGGGACGGCAATTAAGGGCTAAGAGCTTTGGGAAGAATTGAGAGTCTAATGAGAATGAAAGTGGAAAAGGGAGAAATGAGAATTACAAGAAGCCGTGGGAGCACGTGCACGTTCAGATAAGACGCATGTGCTTTTGTTTTCGAATATAACAAATAACCAAAAACAGAAAATATGTGCGAGATAGAGCCAACATGTGTACACTGACCTCAAATCTGATTCAAAACCGTCGAAAGACGATAACCGTGCCCTCGCGTTCTCTTTATCACACACTGCTTCGACTCACAAAGAGATGCTCACCGACTCGTAATCGTCGGCATTCTGTTACTGACTCACTGATTCACTTTGCATTCGATCGTAACTCTTCGAATATTTGAACGCCAAACACAGCGCGAAAGACCCGAGTATATAAAATTGTGAGGAAATGGGCGATTTCCACCGAAAAAGGGCTTCTGGAGGGGAAGGAAGGAAGCGAGAACGGACCTGTTGTAGATGGAGAAAGTTGGCGTCGGAAACAGTCAGCGAACAAAACCAAACAAACGAGGGGAAGCGGATTTTAATGGAATATCGTAGGTAGCGACAGACTTTCATTCCGCTTTCTGCACAAAGCGACGAGATTTCTCTGATTGATTTCTAGAGCGTCGCGGCTAGAAATGCCTCGCATTTTGTGCATTTCTGACATGCTGTCTTCTTCGAAAACTCTCGTCGGCCGAAAAGTCAGATTAGAGATTTGAAAAAGCGGGCCATTCGTCAGTGTTCTCCGCATCCGAAACTACTCATGCGTCAAATTTATGACCGTTTTTTTTTCATGTCGCACCCACTTTTTCACTTTTCGGTTGGCGGTATATTCCGCTGCGTTAGGCCCTTTTGTTCCATTTCGGATATTATATATATGTACGAAGTTTGCGAGGAACAAAACTATTCTGGTTCTGAAGAAGCTGATGATGATCGGAGGGGCGAATCTTGGCAGGCAGTGACGCATTCACGCTTCAAGGTTAGCAGGCATTTCAAGAAAAAGCGGAAAGAACTGGCAGCAAGGGTTAGAATTCGGGAAGAACTGTGAAATGGGAAGTGACGCAATTATTATTATGGGCTTGGGAAATTGTTGTGTGCCCTCTGGTACACACAAAAACTCTTTTTGCTTTCGCTCCCCGCTTTCTCTCCTCCTCTGCGCGCACACACTTTCTCGGTGCCGCAAACACCTAACTTCACGGCTTTTGCTCATGCTTGTTCGTAGTCGAGTTCCTGACAAGCTCATATTCTTCTATCGATTATTATTCTGCCTATATTATTCAATCTCGAATAAACGCTTATCTTATGCCGCTCGCAAAGTTTTAAAAAAAAACCCGGAAATCACGCGGATTTTGCTGGGATTTCCTTTAACTTTGGACGCGACATTATATACACTCGTTCCACGACTTTCCACCTCAACAGGTTCGATAACCCTCAAACATATCAGAAATATGGGTAGGAAAGGGCGGAATGTCGTTTTGTCACAAAGTAATGTGCGTGTGAAAATGAAATTAATGTCAGGGAATTTCGATTTTTCCATTTCACTGCAAATGGAATGCGAGATCAGAGTAGTTGGAGGAGAGGACGAAAATAAGAAGTGAGGGAGGGAACGGGAGGAATTCTTCTTGGGAGCCGAAAACAGCGCAAATATAATCGACGAGAGGAATGAATAATTGAGCGAAAGAGTCTCTTTTAGCGCCCTTAAGCAGAAGCACCTGAACGAGCGGAGACGGTGCTCTTGATGGGCTCACAAGATATAAAAAGGGACAAGTCACTGGTTGTTTGCGCGGGAGAGCACGTCGTGAACGCCGTTCGTTCGCTTATCTGATTGAGCCGATAAATCATTGTGACACATTCAGAATCTCAGGTGGTTGGAACGCATTTAGGGGTTGTAAACAGCCAGTGCTCGGTCAAATGAAAACAACCGATCGGGCTGTCAGATATCCAGGGACTCGGCGGTAATTGTTTTCGATTGGAGGCGTTCTCCATGGGATTACAACCACGGTTATGAGGAGGAAAACTGTGAGAATGTTAGTTATGCAATCGACTACTGTAAATAAACATGGTCAATCGGCCACTTCTGTTTGGATTCAAGTCGGAGAGCACACTTGGGAACAGGTTTATTGAGGTTGCATTCGGTAAATACACGTAACAATTTCAGAGAGTATCAACAATGTAATAAATAAATGAAGAATTTGTTCATAACACGGATTCTGTGGACGATGATCCAATTGGCATTGTTAACTTTTTCTGAATTAAGAAAACATTATTATTGAATTTCAGGGTGATTCCGAGTGATTACCAGTTTGTTTTTTTCGCTTTCTTCGATGAAGCAATTGCGTGCGAAGTCGCGTATTTGCGCGCGAATGTCTCCATTACAGTGGAAGTAGACCGGCAGTCGGAAGGCCGTCGACGAGATTGTGAGCACGGAAGACAGGTCTGCCAGGTATCTGCAGTGAAATCATGACATGCACACCGATAAGAACGTCTTTCTCGCTCACTTGTAGGTCCAACCTTCCCCCAGACTGCCGAGTACATCGGGGTTGATGAATTCCATTATGGTTATCAGCAGGTTCAATGTGTTAGTCAGCAGGTAGATAGTGATTAGCGCTGCGAGAGTGCGTGTCGCGTCCCTCTTCCGACGCCGAGCCGCACACGCCTCCGAATTGCGACGGAGCAAAGTAGGCATCTGCTGGAAACAAGAATTCATTCGGGGGAAGGCAAAGAGAAGTAGGGAAGGCAACTGAGGGAAAGTTCACGGCAGTCTACGTGCAGAAACCGAAAGCTCACATCGCTGGAAGAGAAGCTGTCTATGGTGGATGACGTCATTGAGGGATGCGTGGCAATCAGAGGACGGTAGACATACGGGGGGTTGCTTTCGGTCGGAGGATCACAGGCAGCGGCAGCAGTCGCGAGACTTTGGCATCGTGTCTGAAATGCCACGTCACACTGCCACACAGAAACAGAGGAAGCTCAGAACAGAAGCGGATGGAGAGTGACGGCGACTGCTACTCATTCGTACCTCGACAAGCACTGACTGGAATCCGTTCATGTGCAATTTGTTGAGATTGGCAATTGTTAAGGAGTTGAGCAGGAGCAGGAGAGCAAACGGAAGGAAGACGTTGAAAATCGAACGGCACCAGAACATCCATATCGTTTTGTAGCTCTCACTGAAACCCGAACATTGTCTGACACCTACCTTGCTCTCAGTCAGTACCTTCTCGTTATTTCAGAAAGATCCAATCTCAGATTCTGGAACGGCGGACAATGTGGCAGAGCTTGTAGTTCCAACTCGAAGAAGACGGATCCTTTCATGAAAAGAGCACACGCGCCCACTATGCAAATGCACAGGAAACGACGCTTCGGCGAGAATTGGATGGAAGACTTCAAAGAGCAAACGTATCGTTCGAAAGAAGCGGCCACGATGAGGAGAGTGGAGGCGGCGATGAGCACTTGGCCGACTGTCGACACGTACTTGATGTAGAAGTGCCAGCAAGTGTACAGGAACTCCACTTTGAAAAAGTCCCAGACCAGAGAAGACGGGAAGATCAGCTGCAACGAACGCGAGATTCAGATGAACTTTTGCCTCCCAACCAGAGTTGAGCGGAATTCCGCCTTCCGCTTTCGGCCGGTTTTTTCATTCCGCCTCCGGTTTCCTCCCTCCGCCTTTTCAAAAAACCTATTCCTATTCCGCTCAACTCTGCTCCCAACATTGTCTTTACTCCCCCTCCATCCGGCCAATTCAAACTTCCTACGCACTCAAAGAACATTTCCGTTTCTTCTTCTGAGCCCAAACACTTTGCTTTGCACCTTGCCTTTTTGTCACCCGCGGACCGCAAAACGCATTTGCTACAATTTGATTAACCAACAAACGTGCTTTCTGCTTTCTTAGTCCCGCCAGTGCAGGTGGAATTCAGAATCAACGTTTAATTGGATTAGTTTCAGACGGCGGTATGCGGAACAAAAGACTCACCATGAAGCAGAGTTCAACGAGAATGTCGAGGCAAGCGAGAAGGAACAGATAGAGCAAGTTGGACCGGCAGATGTCGAGACGGCGGAGCGAGAGGAGCAGGAACGTGTTGAGGACAATTCCGATCGTGCAGACGGCAGTGCCGATCCCGACGATCAAAATCATTCGGAAGGCGTCTGCGGACGGCGGATCTTCGGCGCACGTGTCGTTGATTTCAATCATCTGAAAGTGGGTAATCGAGCTGAAAACGAGAGGAAGCGGGGAAAAAATGCTGGGGACCATCCGATATTTTTCTTTGTTTTTGTTCCTCACAAAATGAGCGTGTCTACGCACTTTCTCTGCTCGGCTCGCAGTTGTTTATAGACAAAAAAGTAAGTGGTGAAGGATAATAATGAACGGGTTAGCCTCCTGATCGGATCGAAGAAGAAGAAGAAGAGCTCGCGGAGCACGGAATCCGGAAGCGAAAGAAAAGCAAACTAATGGGCAATTTGTTTTGGCTGAAAATCCAGCCGGAATTTATAGTTGAGATTGAATTTCATTTAATGGAATTCGAAGAGCGAAAGAAAAGATGGCGGCCCGTTTTGGGCCCGATTTGGCGTTCAGAAATCGAAAGGAAGAGCATCATAAAAACGAATTTGGATGTAAAGTGACGGGTCGAAAGGGGAAAAGGGAAAAGGAGTGAACTTTTGAGGCAGTTTTCTACGCAGAGCATCGACACGGTTGATTGGAAACGAGACGGAGAAGGAAGTGATAGACAGCGGATATTGTAGGAAGCAGTGGATTAGAACGGTGTGGGCATGTTATGACGCCCTTCTGGAATCGGCTCAACACGTCAGAATCAAACGGATTGTCTCCTTCTGACTCATATTTCTGGGTTACCGGCTACAAAGCTGGATTTGTAGGCCCAATTTGCAGAAAAGTAGAAGGCGTCGAAAGAGGAAGGAATTGAAAGGGCCGCGAAAGTTGGCCGAAAGAGACTCCGCCCACAAGCTCGCAAATAATTGATGGGTTATACATTCAGATCGCGAGAATATTTGACCAGCCAATCCGTGCGAATGAATGAATACCTCAGCTGAGCCGACATTTCGAGTCATGAGTTGGCAGCTGAAATCTCGTGGAAATGGTCTATCGCTTGACTCACCTGCTTCTCGGACAATGATTAGAGAACATCAAATTAGTGAGTGAAAAGATGGAAGAACAAACAAATGGGGCGGAAAACGAGAAGAATTGAGGGGGCTCATTCCAGTGCAAAGAATGGCACGTTTTGGTTACCGACGGGCCACCGAATAATGGGTCGGATTCAATTAGTAATGTGCAACTGGACCACTGCGACAACGTCTGTTTTCTGCTGGACAAGAGACCGAGAAACGTGCGGACGGACAATCGGAGATAGGTCGAAATGAAGACGGCGCTTTAATTAATGAATTATTCAAGTGTTTTCGGTGCAATTCAGGTTCTGAGAATCCGCGAAAAGTCAGAAGATCGGGGGAGAGAGGAGAGGGAAAAGGAAACGAGGTAAGTTTCAAGCAAAAACACAAAACAAGTCAGTCGGGAGCGAAAGATGACTAAACTGAACCCCCGTTAACGGGCCAAGTCTTCTTGTTTTTCGGCAACAATTTCTCAAAGCGTTCGTCAAGAACTTTTTGGATTGTTGTGGTCGGTTGAGAACACACTGGCACGGGAATAAACACCCCACATATAAAAAATGGATAATCTAAGAAATTCGTGTATGTGTGTGTGTGTGTGCCGGAGGGAACAAGAGCACAATGTACATTTGTACCGCCACAATTCCTCGACTCTTTCGCAGAAGCCGTCCGCTTTCATTTTGAGCAAAAACGAAAAAAAAATGAGGAGTGTCTTTGGCACACTGTACACTCCAAAAGTGATGCATTTTTAATGGATAAGCCTTTTTGTGCACTTTTTGCAGAATTCCCAAGCAGCCGGAAGAGAGATATGCAGTCGACGTTTTCCAGTGTTATTGCCTACTTCCAGGTTCTTGAACGAGTCGGAACAATGGGTAGAAAGTGTTTAGTGTTTGAGATATATTCCTCGCTAATTCTGAAAAATATGCAGCAGCTTTATTATTAGCGGGTGGAAGCAGATCAAAGAGCCACGAGGGTTTTGTGCACCCACACCCACACCCAATTACAAATTTTGATTGAGAGCCAACAACTCGCGTAAGGAAGTGGAAATGGAAGAGAAGAGAAACGAGATGAGCTTGTTTTCGATTGAGCTCGAACCAAACTCAATTCAGGTAGATGGACTAGACAAAAAGTGTCCGAAGGGAGACTAAAGAACCCGGAATCAGTGGACCAAAAGTTTCGCGAGTTACTTCTAGTGATGGACCCCAGAACTGCTCGACGATTGGTTAATAGTCACCTATGTGACCCCTCTTCAACATTTCAACAGGAGTTTTTCGGAGAACATATTTATTGTCAGAGCAAAAGACACCTGGCTACAAAACCTCTGCACCCTTCTTACGAGACCTCTGGGTCTCGTGGCGGGCGTCTCCGAAACTACACCGATAGCACATGAATTACAATAAAGATTCTGAAAACAGAGCCCCCCTGCTCCAGGTCTCATAGGCCGGTACTCCTCCGGGCCTACGCGATCCGTCGACGACAGAGCGATATTCTCGCTTTGTCTCGGGTTCGGTGAGTCCTCGCGCCCCCTCGCGCCCACAGGTTCTCGCTCTAAGTTCAGACTGTGATGGTAAATAAATAAAAGAAGAGTTAATCAACAGATGGCGTCAACATGGATGATGGCGTCGAACAGGAGAATTGAGTCTTCGGCCGCTGCCCCGGCCTCCGACATTGTTCGTCGCGCACCTTCCACCTTGCCGTCAGACGATGACTACTGAGTCGTAGGAGGAGTGCTCGATCTACCTGCAAGAATTTATTAAAGGCGCATCCGCAATGCGGCCATGGGTCTCGCCACGCTCGACAGTACGGTCGAAGCCGCTGTCTGTGTCTCTACTGCGGCATGAGTCCCTCTCGGCTTCTCTCTGCGTCTCTGCACGCCAGATGATCTCTCTCCTCCGGTGATGATGAACACCGTAACTATTAGTAAAACATAATGAAGTGACAGACGGTAGTCTGGCGTTGGTAATTCGGAGCCTTCGGCTACGTTACCAACACAATGAGTCGTGAGGAATGTCATTTCTAGACTGAACTTCGCGACATTCCCCCGGCGAAAAAGTGGCACAGCCGGCCATTTTTCTGTAGTCAATGGGTTTTTTTGACTTTTCTCGGTAGGCTGTGTCTTGTAGTCCGAGCCCCCTCGCTCTGAGATGATCTTTCTCTGACTACCGTACTCCCGTCCTCTTTCCCTTTGGGATCTGTCGCCCTGGACTGTTCTCGCGTTTCCTCTTCGTTCAGGTCGACTTCGAGTGGTATCAGATGCTTCACTGATCTTTCTATGGTCGTGTTATTCGACCATAGCACCACTGCCCGGACTTCCCCATCCGGTTCCTTCTTTAATTTCAGGATCCGTCCCAACGGCCACTTGTGACGTGGGTAGAATTCCTTTTCCACTAAGACTACTTGCCCCACCTTTGGGATTGTAGCTGTGGAGTTTGTCGCCTTGCCTTGCGATTCTCTCAGGTTGACCAAGTATAATTGACTCCACTCCACCCACAACTTTTTCAATACTCCGTTGAGTCCGGCCAAATACTCTCTCGTCACCTTCTCCGTGGTCGCTCCCTGCGACTCCTGGGTCTGCAGAGGAATACTTATTTGGACCTGCGGAAGCAACAAATCGATTGGTCTCAAGGCGATTGGATCTCTCTCATCAGCCGAAGTCGAAGTTATTGGCCGATTGTTGAGAGTTCCTTCAATTTGAATCATCACTGACTCAAGTTCCACGTAGGTTAACTTGAATCTGTTCACTGTCTTATAAAACTGTCTCTTTACGAGGCCTACCACCCTCTCGTACACACCTCCTTTCCATGGTGACAGGGGTGTTATGTTTCTGATTTCGATTTCTCTCGTCGCGAGGAACACCGTCATCTCATGACTTCCGTGGATTCGATCCCGGATGTCCTTGTTGATCATTTCGTTCCCCAGTTTGAATGACGGGGCGTTGTCGCATACGATGGATTTGGGTACTCCCCTTCTAGCGAAATATCGCGACATCGCCATCAAATACGAAATCGTCGAGTTGTCGAGGACCAGCTCAAGGTGAACTGCCCTTGTGAGCAAACACGTAATCAGCATCACCCATGCTTTTTCCCCCTTGTTTCTTAGCGTTCTGTAGGTGATTGGACCGAAATAATCCAATCCCACATGAGCAAACGGAGCGACCGGTGTGGTTCTGCACGACGGCAGGGTTTTGGAATAGGAGTACCTGAACGGTCTCCCCCACCTGTCTTCTGCACCTGGAACACCTTCGAATCACCTGTTTTACAAGTGTTCCCACTTGTGGTATCCAATATTTTTGTCTGATGGCTGCGATGAGATAGGTCTGCGGGATGTGCATATTCATCCTGTGAACCTCTCGAGCTATCAGTGTTGCCAGTTCGTGGTCCCGTAGGATCAAGATCGGGTTCTTCGCATCGGCTGACAATCTGGAGTTGTCCAGTTGTCGATGATACCGATACACTCCTTCTTCCCCCGGCTCCAAATTCATATTTGTCGGTAGACTGAGATTCAGTCTCGACTTTCCGTCTTCATAATGCCTCGCAATCACGAACGTGCGCGCGATGCATCTTTGTCTGACGTGATTGTCTTTCGCTTTGGCCAACTGTCTCATGACCAGACTCTCCCACTCTTTGTTCGGTAATTTTTCTTACGAACCACCTCATCACTAGCCCCCATCACCGTGGTTAGCTTTGCCAGAGAACTTACTCTATTGTACGGGATGAAGGGTCTTTCCTTCCCGTCCTGATCGGTCGTGTCTACTGCCAACGCCGCGGTCGCGTTTAACTTCTTTTTTTCGCTGCCTTACTCAGGACCACCTCTTTCAAAAATCAGCTCCCTGAACTCCTGCGGATAACTGATCTTCCCCTCAAGTCGTATCGGCCACTCGGATTCTGGATTCTTGAGAAACTCAGGTCCGTCGAACCATAAGCTGTTATTGAACAGTTTCTCCATGACCACTCCTCTGGACGCCAGATCCGCCGGGTTATACTCTGTTGGGCAATGATGGAATGATGGATCGAAACCCTTCCCCTTCAACCACAGAGTGTTTTGATGGATTTTTTCGACTCTGTTATGAGCGAACTTTGTCAACTTCTCTTTCTTCAATACCCAATATAGGGCAATCATGGAGTCCGAAAAGAACTTCACTCCCTTCAATTTCTCCATTTTCAACTCCTTGTACGCCGTGAGCGACGCGTGGGATGCTATCTCCATTCCCATCAACTCCAATCGCGGGATCGACAAGCTCACGTTCTTTGGTTTCACCTTAGATTTTGACATCACCAGTTTTGTGACTGGCTCTCTGTCTTTGTACCTGAAGTGTGCGTACACTGCCGTTGCGAAATGCCTCTCGGAGGCGTCGCTGAACACTAGCAGTTGGACGCTCTCGTAATCATAATGTACCACCAACTGTCGCGGTAGTGTATATGACGTTTGAGTGAACGATTCCTTTATCACCTCCCACTCTTTCAATAGCTGCTTTGGAATCCTCTGTTTCCATTTCACCTCTTTCTCCCACAACTTTTGTATAACCTCCTTGACCGGCACGATTATAGGCGAGAGTAACCCCTGGGGGTCGTAATTGGACGCTAAAAACGATGCCATCTGCCTTTTGGTCGGGTGGCCAGTTGGTGGTTTAGGAATTTTTATTGTGATTGTATCATTCACACTATCCCACACGTGACCCAATAACTTGTTCACTTCTGATTGGGCCCGGTCCACCACTGGTACCTTTTCCATAGTCCCCTTGCTATTGGTCATGTATTCTCTCAGGTTCATAGACATGTTGTTAAACGCCTTTTTTGATCCTGAGTACAGCTCCGGGAGTTCGCTTTCCTCATTGGTTGTCAATACGACATTATCCACATACAGGTTACTTTTGATTCGCTCATTTATTTCATGCGGGTTCATCTCCAAATACAGCAGAATCGTCGCCGCCAAAATAAACGGTGAGCTTGAAGCTCCGAAGGGTAGCTTTGTGAACCGGTAGACCACGAGATTTTCGTGGTTCGGGGACCCCTCTGGATCTTTCACCCACAGGAACTTCACCACGTTCCGGAACTCCGGTCGAAGAGGGACTTGATGGAATGCCTTGGCTATGTCCGCTATCAACAAGTATTTCGAACATCTGGCTCTCATCAATATTCCAAGTATTGGGAGTAGAAGTGAGGGTCCTGCGTGCAAGCAGTCGTTTAATGATAATCTCCCTCTCATTCTACTCGATGCGTCTAGCACAATTCTCAGTTTGGTTGTGCACGACTCCTCTTTCATCACATGCCGGTGCGGCATGTAATAATGGAGGCCCTCGGCGTGTAACTCTGACTCTGGGACCACCTCTATTATCCCCTCCGCGAGCTGAGTTTTTATCACTAAATCATACTCCCACAATGTTCTTTTGTCCTTTTGAAGAACCGTCAGAAGTGATGACAGTCTTAGGATGCACACCGGAAAGTTGTCGGTTAAGTCCGCTTCTCTCCCGTTGAACGGTAGAGCGACTTGTATTTTGCCGTCAACCATGGTTGCGCTTTCTCTGAACTTCTCCAGAAGTGTCTCGTCACTCTCTCTCCCCTTTTCTGCCAGTTCTTGTGGTTGGATTCCCACGTGCTCCAGCTGAAACAGTCGTGAGATCCCCTCAAATATCTGGGCTTCGGAGACTTGACGATACTCCACAACTTCCAACGTGTTAACTACCACTGAATTATAATACTCGTTGGTTTCTACTTCCAATCCTCTTTCGGAAGATAGCCGAAACTCATTACTTGGTGTCGGATGAGTTATTATTCCGAGCTTGGTTTCTTCGACTATTCTACCGCTTGGCAACACATGCCTCTTCGCCTCGGGCGCCAGTTTCGCGATGAAACTTGCTCCCAGAATGAGATCAATTCGATCTCCGTTTTCTGTTCTCATCCCCATTATACTGTACGGGTTAATCCTTTTCCTTTTCAGGTGTTTGATATCTTTTGAGCTAAAAACTGGTGCTCTAAAGATGATCGGGATCTCCGGGTGTGTTGAGATTTCGGTTGTCCAGACCAAATCCTTTTCACCCTTGAATTGAAGACGGACTCTGTTGGACTTTACAGTTTCCGCACCGTTAATTCCTATCACCTTCATTTCCTCCGACCGCAAGATCGGAAGTCGCAGTCTCTCCGCTGCTCGTTCAGATACCAATGACCTCGTCGCCCCCGAATCAATGAGTGCTAACAATCTCTCCCCTTTGGGTGTGTTAATCTTTATCTGTGGAAGGCGGTATAACGCGTCCTCCTGACTACACATTATTATTTCTTCGAGTTTACTCTCCCTTTGTTCTCCCGACTCTCCTTCTCGAGTCTCTTCTCCTGATCCCCCGTTTTTAGTTTGAACAGTATTGGCGTTGTCTGTTCTTATGGTTGCTGTGGGCAAGGTAGCTTGTGGCACGTGAATCGTGTTGTACGATTCCGTGCCTGCCCTGAGCCGCTTATTGGCGGGAGGAGGAGGAGCTTTCACGAAGAAACTGGGTCTTGTTCTTTTCTGGTTGCTCCAATTTTCTCCTCAGTGGACACAAGAACATGCTGTGCATCTCCTGGCACAAATAGCACTTCTTGGGGTATTTGCATTTTTTGGTGGGGTGGTATTTCGAGATGCAATGTCTACACAGCTTCTTTTCCTCCACCACCTTTTCTCTCTCGTCCATGCTCATGGAGCAGAAGGCGGTGTAGTGATCTGATCCGCAGAATCTGCACACCGTCTCCCCCTTCGGCTTTGGGTTGCTCTCATCTTTCCCCTTTTTCCACCCGCTCTTCCGATTGTCCGCCGAACTCTCAGGTCTTTCTCTGTTTCCGTACCCTTTTCGGCCGCTCTCTGACTTTCTGTTGTCTCCCACCGCGCAGATTTCTGCCAACTCCATTTTTCGTTTGTGGTCTTCTCGGGCTTGTTCCACGTAGCCTTTCTCCACGATCTTGTCACGGATGGCACTGATCACTTGGAGGAATGTCATTCTTGACGATCTCGTCCTTTCACTACGTGGCTCATGATATCCACTGGCAACTTCTTTATCAACTCATCGATCATGAGCGGGTGATCCATCGGAACCCCGTTCTGATTGAGTTGGTTGGCTATTGCCACGTGCCTGGATATGTCTGTGTCCATTCTCATATAATCGTTCGGGTCTATCGGTAAGTCCTTGAACTTTCTCATGAGCTTCGGTACACGATCTTTCGCGTACGTGGCTTCCAAAGAGCTCTCTGGTCTTCCGATAGTCCTCCTCCGTGAAAGTTGTGGTGGTCACCAACTTCCGTGCTTCTCCTGTCAGACATTTTTTTAGAATGCAGTACTTCGTCGCCGCCGTGTAGAACCCGTTGTGGTGTACCTGTTCGTCGAATTGGTTTATGAATTCGGGGGTACAAATCAGGGGTCTTCTCCTGAGAACTTGTCGATTGACTCGATCATGTCTCTTATGGAGATGTTCTGCGCGCCACCGGATGGTTCAATCGGTGATCTGCTGTTTCCCCCCCACGGGCTCGGCTCTGCGGCTCTCTCTCTGCCTCTCAGTCTGTCCTGAAGGATCTCCTGGACATCCGACAATTGCTCTTGAAGGATCTCATTCTCCCGCATGAGCATCTCATTCAACTTTTGTTGGCTCATCTGCCGGGTCGGTTCCGGAGTCTCTGGAGCCAATCTCGCCGCCTGCAATCTTCTCCTGGCTTCCTCCGAGACCTGATCACCCTGATCCCCGATCCTGCCACGACCGGTTTGGGCGTTCAACTCCTCTGTCTCTCCGTTACTTTCGCCGACTCTACGCCTTTGAGCCTGTCCGATCGTGAGCTGATTCTCATTACTGCTCTCCGTCTCCGATTGGCCTCTTTCTTCTCCTTCTGGCGTCTCCTCGCCTTCCGGAATTGGAGTGGCCGCGATCGCCCGCTCCGCCTTCTCGATCACCGCCGCCACCTTTTCCTGCAACTCTGCGAATCTCAGCTTTCCGCAGTGCTCTTCAATCAACTTTATGCTGTTCGCCTTATCCGCTTTCAATACGGCGGACGCTTCAACCTTTGAGTTCGATCGTTTCCTTGAAACCGGAAACGTCGACAAGTTGCGTTATCAGCTTCTTGTTTAGGGTTTTTGAGCATAATAATGCGCCGTGGTTCTGGCTCCTCGGCCAAAATCAACTCAGCTTTCTTCACCGTCTCCTTGACCAAGTTGGCCATTTTTGTGAAGTATGTTTTTGCCGTCGCCAGGGATTGACGCTGTCCTTGTCCCTCCTGACGTTCTTCGGCCATTTCCTCTCTGTGATCCTCCATTGTTAAACTATTCGTGCGGTGTACACGTTACTTTCCAAGCTCGATACCTGAAAAGGTTACTTCTAGCCTCTTGTACCCCCTTTTGCACAATAATCTGACGATCCCGTTGATCAGGCGGGAGCTGATTACTCAATGAATTCAACTTTGGCTGACCGTTTCTTTGACACCTGGAGCGCTCTAATTCTCCTGGTGTATCTTATCTTGACGGATTGGTACCAACTACATTCTCAGGGCTTACGCCGATTGCCTGGAACTTGGAATTTTTTGCTAGCGATGCCGATCACCTCTTTCGTGCGGCCTTTGCACTTTTATATCCCGCTTGTGTGCCTTTGCGTGCCTTCGCTCATTCTTTTCGAGCTTTGCCAACACCGTTTAGGTTGGTTTTCAGTGCCTTACACTCTTTCGTGCGGCCTTTGCACTTTTATATCCCGCTTTGTGCTGTCGCGTGCCTTCGCCCTTCACTCCGAGCGTTGCCAACACCGTTTAGGTTGGTTTCCCGTGTATCCTTCTGCTGGATACCTTTTCTACCGACTTTTCACCTACTACTCCTCCCTTTTCCTCTCTTTTTCCCTTGGTGGGAAGCTTCAGTGACTCTCCGATAGGTTGCTTTGGCTGCAGTGCTTCTTCTGCTGCCGTTCTTCCTTTTTCGTCTATTTCTCCGCTCTCTCGCCTCCTCTCCTGCGCTCGCTCTCCGCGCTCGAGTTGCCTGAGACGATGGAGCCTTTTCGGGGTTTGAGATGTCTCTAACTCGAGTAATTTCTGATTCAGGTCACTTTCAGACAAGTTGGTCGCTTCTCTGTCTCACATATTTCAGGATCTCCGGTTTTTCTCTCGCGTTTCCGCGGATTACCTTCGATTCCCCCACCTCGTAATCTTACTTCAGTGGTAGGTTTTGACTGCTTCTCAACTTTGTCACCCTGTATTTTCCGTACTCTCACTCTCCCCGATTTTCATTCTTTTTCTTTTTTCTTTTTTCGGAGCGGTTCATTACTTTTTCCTGTAATGACCGTTTCCCTTCTACTCTCTTTCTCCGCCTTTCGTGTGGTTCAGCTTTCTCTTTCTCTCATTTTCTTCTGAGAATATCACCTTCTCCCCTTTTTTTATCTCGTTCTGGCGTGTATTGCTACGATTCTCCATGCAATCATATTTATTAGTAAAACACACTACCAACAAACAAAAGGTTAGAATTTCTCTTCTGTTGCGACTACAGGCATCGCCTGCCTCGCCTCACTCGCGGTCACTCCTCGTTGCCGGCTCGCGCTTCTTTCACTGGCTCCTCTCGCCCAGCCTGCTCCTCCGGCCCAGCCTGCTCCTCCGGCCCAGCCTGCTCCTCCGGCCCAGCCTGCTCCTCCGTTTCCATGTCCGCGTCTCCCATTTTCAACAGGTGAACCGGGTTGATTAGCTGTAAGGTTACAGTTCTCTCTCAGGCCGTCCCCCTCTTTTCACTCCTCTCACCTGGATTTTTCCGGCCGCTCTCTGTTTTCCCGGGTACGGATCCGTCGCCAGCGCATCTGGTTTCGGCGACTCCATCTCACCTCGGGCACCTTGGGTGACAGCCGTGGTCTGTAATCGTACAGTTCTCATTTCCGTTTCTCCCCTCATTTTTTCTTCTCACTCACTGGGAATTTCTGCCTGCACAACGCGTTGTGATGTACGGCCTTGCAGTACTGGCACCGTCTCCTTGCCTTCTCGCATTTCGCGTGGGCCGCTGCTCGGGTGCACCTGTCGCACAGCTCCTTTCTCCGAAGCTGTTGCTGGCGTGTCTCCCAATCTGGGTAGATCTCGCATTTCTCGCTGATATGCCCTCCGTTGCAGAAGCAGCATCGCGGGCCTGGGGTCTTTATGTCCCAGACCGCTGTTCTCTTCCTCGTAGGTTCTCCCGGATGCAAGAGCGAGCTCCCGAGCGTAGTCTTCGTTTGGAAGACTCTGGCTACCACCAGGCTGTGGGTGCTCTCGAGTTGTGCAATCGCTGCCCGAACTCTTGACTCCAGGTGCTTCGCCGCGTCCGCCTGGAAGTCGGTCGCTTTGGTTGATTCCTTGCACGCCTGCTCCATCTCCTCCATCTTTCTCCCCATCGAGTTTGTCAAACCGACGATCGCCTTCGTGAGCGCGTTGATCGCGACGACCACCTGTTCGTTTTTTTCACCTCAGATTTTAACGTCGCTGCCAACTGCTGCTGCTTTTTTTGAAGCTCTCGCAGTTCGTTCGAGCTCGTCGTCGTTGTCAGAGCTATGGCTTCTAGCTTCTCACGGATTTCCGTGATCTCGGCTTGCCCCCACTCTCCGCCACTTCTTCTGTCTTCGTTGTCGCTCTCTTCCGGAGACTGGTGTGCTCCTCTTGAAGATTCGCTTCCGCTCCGCTCTCCCCGAGTGTTCCGTCCCCGCTCTGAGCGAGCGCTTATTGCTCCTCTTGATGCCTGTCTGGCCATGGCTGCCTGCAAATCACGTACTTTAGTTCAGGCTCTCGGGATGTCTATGAAAAACGACTTGCGAGGATTCTGAAGCAATACAGTTTATCGTGATATTCTCTGGGTGCTCTCCCGCGCCTACCCCTCTCGGCGCGTCCGTCTCTTACATCTGCCACGTCTCTCGTCGCACCCCTCGAGAATGTACAGAGACGTCCCCCCGTCGCGTTTTCGGAGTGTCTTTTTCACTTTTCTCCGCGCTTTTCCATCAAGGTTCTTAATCTCTCAATTTTTCACCAATTTTGTGCCCCCTCGCAACTTCTCTCGCACCTATCTGTGGCAAAATTGGTTACTTCTGCAGTTTTTTGACCAAGTCTAACTGCATATCGGTCTGATGCACCATTTCGCGAGTTACTTCTAGTGATGGACCCCAGAACTGCTCGACGATTGGTTAATAGTCACCTATGTGACCCCTCTTCAACATTTCAACAGGAGTTTTTCGGAGAACATATTTATTGTCAGAGCAAAAGACACCTGGCTACAAAACCTCTGCACCCTTCTTACGAGACCTCTGGGTCTCGTGGCGGGCGTCTCCGAAACTACACCGATAGCACATGAATTACAATAAAGATTCTGAAAACAGAGCCCCCCTGCTCCAGGTCTCATAGGCCGGTACTCCTCCGGGCCTACGCGATCCGTCGACGACAGAGCGATATTCTCGCTTTGTCTCGGGTTCGGTGAGTCCTCGCGCCCCCTCGCGCCCACAGGTTCTCGCTCTAAGTTCAGACTGTGATGGTAAATAAATAAAGAAGAGTTAATCAACAGATGGCGTCAACATGGATGATGGCGTCGAACAGGAGAATTGAGTCTTCGGCCGCTGCCCCGGCCTCCGACATTGTTCGTCGCGCACCTTCCACCTTGCCGTCAGACGATGACTACTGAGTCGTAGGAGGAGTGCTCGATCTACCTGCAAGAATTTATTAAAGGCGCATCCGCAATGCGGCCATGGGTCTCGCCACGCTCGACAGTACGGTCGAAGCCGCTGTCTGTGTCTCTACTGCGGCATGAGTCCCTCTCGGCTTCTCTCTGCGTCTCTGCACGCCAGATGATCTCTCTCCTCCGGTGATGATGAACACCGTAACTATTAGTAAAACATAATGAAGTGACAGACGGTAGTCTGGCGTTGGTAATTCGGAGCCTTCGGCTACGTTACCAACACAATGAGTCGTGAGGAATGTCATTTCTAGACTGAACTTCGCGACAAAAAGGGAGGCTCTTCCGCGTGCCTTCCCACTCCCTTCCCTTTGTTTTCCCCTTGATTCGCACTCCTAATTGTGAAAGGAGATCGAATTATGGATGGAAGGAGATCATTCGGCACAGCCTTTCTTCCGTGCAAAAGAATCCGCCGGAGGTGAGCCCACTTCCGGACCGAATCACCGACTGGAAACCAATTATGTCTGGTTAAAGGTCGTGTCGGAATGTTGCTCCGAGTGGAGTGGAACGGGACAAAACCTTGTGAAGCACGGTGATTTCTCTTTGCGGTCTCGCGGAGGTTTCTAGGTCCTGATCCCGCGGCCATAGCGTTCCAGGGACTTTGGATGCGCGCCGCCGGAGAAATACTGATTCATCTTATTCATTGTCATAGTAAATGCGTTCATTATGATCAAAACTAACAAAGAGCAACGAGAAACTCGCAAAAATTTCTATACAACACTGAAAAAATAGCTGCTCGTGCGTGCTTTTTGTGTCTCTTTGTTAGTTTACATCACAATGAACTTATTCCCAAAAAATCAAGTGAAATGAATCAGTATTCGTCCGACGGCACGCATCTGAAGTTTTGGCTCACGGAAGATGACTTGGAATGCGTGCCGCTGTCCGCAGCCCGCGCGCTCCTTGGCTGTTCTGAGACTTCAGATGCGTGCCGTCGGACGAATACTGATTCATTCTATTTGATTTTTTGGGAATGAGTTCATTATGAAGAGACACAAAAAGGACCCATGAGCAGTCATATTTAAAAAAAAAGGCTGTTTTGGCAGTGACCCTTAGCCATTTCTGCGATTTTCTCGTTGCTGCTTGCGAGTGTCAATCATAATGAACTCATTCCCAAAAAATTAGGAAGAATGAATCAGTATTCTTAGAACAGCACGCATCAGAAGTTTTGGCGCGCGGAAAAAGGCTTGGGGAGCGTGCCGCCGGCCGACAGTTCGCGGGACGAGGGCCGAACGTTCTTCCTCTCTCCACTGCGTCCCCAGAAAAAATCGCCGAGAAATTCAGAGGAATTTTTGAAAAGAACTTTTCGGATGAGATGTTTGGTTCCATTGGAAAAGGGAGCAAACAAATGTTGGGTTAATTTTCAGTTTTGAAAAAGGATAATAACGGTCTTCGATAAGGGATCAGTGACGTCGTACTAGAAAAACTTCTAGAAGGTAATCTCAAATCAGAAAACTCACATTCGGATGCCGCATTCGGTGAAAATTGAATAGCATCATCTTCATTTTCGAATCTGGAAATTGAGAAGATTACTGTGGATTAATTGAAAAACGAGGAGCACAAAAATCAGTGGCGTTGTTTTCAACGATCAGTGATTCATGGAAAAAGAAGTGTGTAAAAAGAATAGGATACTAATCCCAGGCAACTCATAAAATATACTTTTTAATCAAAAGTAACCACCTTTTCATCAATCAACTCGCATTCAAAACGTGAACGGAATAATCTGAAAAGTGCCTTTTGAAAGTCAAAGTTCTTCTTCAGTGGGCTTTCTCCCGGTCCCCCCCTTGCACTAATTTGCCACTTGTTGATAGGGATAATTGTTTTTCGGAAGCTCACACACACACAAACGCCCGTCTCTTTCTCCTTTTGCATGCCACTTCATGACGTGGCAACGACTTCTTCTTCTTCCTCCAACATTGGTTTCATGTTTGTTTCGTGACAAAATCTCGGATTTCAATGGAAAGGAAGAAGGTGGATGAGGGTGAAAATGGATGTCAGGCAGATCACAAACAGGGAACGGACCGACTGGGAATTGGGGGACTGGAAAGAGTGTGTAACAGATTAGAATCGTCATAAGCTGCTGAACTGACTTCATCCGACGCGTCAACTTTGACTTATTAAAGACTGAAACAACAGGTAACTCAGAATAACACACATTTCCTAGTGCTTCCCAATTCATTCATAACTGGCTCTTGTCTGCTGAGAGTTTGAGCTTTCATAGAAAGAGTGAAAAGTGAGTCAGGGACAGAATCGATGAAAGCTCCCCGAGGAAATCATAGCTTCATTACGTGAGGAGAAAATAAAAAAGTGTCTAAAACGGGAAAGTGACGACTCGTTCAGCTGGTTGACACTCGGAAGAGCAACTGGAAATGCTCCATGTTTCTGCTAAAACTGTGGCCGCGAAAAAAGCCGGATATCCTAATCCAATGATGCTATTTGCACCCGAGATGAGCAACAGCTTCTGATGATCCACTACAGGGCCGTTATGAGAAGGCTTAGAATAAAGAAACGAACACCGGGAAGAATTATGTCAGTGAAAGAGGAAGAAGATCAAAAACTAATAATCTTTCATTTATTCTTCAGACAACTGAGAAAGCCGTGCTTGGAGAGCTACGTGAGCACGCAGTGGTCCAATTATGGCCGACTTTAGAGAGTACGTTCTGTTGGAATTGAAGACGGGCGGCACGGTCGGAGACGGAATGTGATGGTAGTCGACGAACGAGACCTGCAAAAGAGAAGATAAATCGGGAAAGGACGGAGACTGCACTTTTTTGACTGGCATGCTCTGCGGCAGATTAGCCGGGCGATCCCCCTCTTCTGAGTCGCCCTCTTCAATCTTCAGCTCATCCAGAACCGAGTGTTGTCCACGTGAAAGATCACTCTGAATTCGTGCATTCACGCGGTGTGAATGAATCTACGATCCCACCTGTATAAAATGCTGAACGACACAAGCACAGTACGCATCCCCCATCACATTGAGAGCAGTTCGGATGCGATCTCTGAAATGCGTCCATTGGGAGTGAGTATTCTATTTTCGAACGGACATGAACCAATCGACGGTGAACAGCAGAGAGATGTCTGACACGGGCAATCCGACGGCCGAAAGGATGACGAACATCGAGACGAGACCCGTCGGGACCGCGTTCAAACCGATTGACGCGAACGTGGCAGTGACGCTAAAGAACGGAATTTTTAGAAAAGAGGGAAAGGGCAGAATGTTCCACATACCAGATAGTGATGATTTCAGCAAACGAGAGAGTGACGTTGTTGAGCTGCGCGATGAAAATGACGGCGACAGCTTCGTAAAGAGCATTTCCGTCCTATAAAAGGAAGAGACATTTGAGGAAGGGCAAGTGGAATTCCTGCCATATTAATAGTGTTTCCGAGGGGCATTATGAAGCCAGCAATCCTTGAATCCACGTGGAGATTCGTTTCCACACTGTTGATCGCTTGTGGCAACGATGCTCCGCTGAGAATACGAAAGATCTCGTTTCGGGTTGAAAGTGCTCACCTGGAAGCCGTTCCGACAGCAGTCACGAATGGTTGAAGCATGCCTTTTGCCACGTACAACGGATTCTTTCGAGTCAAGAAAAAGAAGAGGAGCGGAATAACAACAATACAGTGCAGAAAGAGGCAGACCATCACAGTGAACACGTACCTGAAAGGAGTTATTCTACGATTCCTGAGAACAGTGAAACCAGTACAAAGCCATTGTTGTGATCATCTTGGAAATGTCATCAATGTCCAAAATACTGGAAGCGATCAGACTGATTATTCCAACGGGAGCGAACCACATGAGCACGGAGACGAACTTCATCACAACTTTATCGAGAACGATAAAGAATTCGACGATGAATCTTCCTTTCTCTCCTAGTTTAGAGATCACGATGCCGAATCCCGTGCAGAATACGATCAGACCTGAAAACAGTTAGAAGTACAAAAATAAAGTGTGCATGTGGTGAGGACTACGTGGGAGAAACCGGACTTCCGCTGTTCGAAAGGTTCAAACGAACACGCGAGAGCAGCGGAAGAACTGAGAACCAAATCCTACATGACCTCGGTTTGTTCGAAGCACTCACTGGAGCAGCATGGAGGAGAACCGCTGGAGCTAAATCTTGAGATTCTAACGATAGGACGGACGGAATACAACGACGAGAAGGATACTCGAGGGTATTATAATTAAGACACTGGAAGACGCTAGGGGGAGGATTCCCAGGAGCAGCGGCGGGAAAAGGTGGAATGCAACCGCGACGTGTGCAGCAGAGGCGGGCCCATTGATCGCCACCCAATCTCGGTTCCGCCCGCACCGTTTCATTTCGCAACAATTCTATTCTAGCCTTTTATGTATTCATCTTGTATAAGATCGTTGTTTTGGAGGTAATTAAAGAAGAAATCATTATCGTAAAATAGTACAAAAATGTACACAAAACTGACCTAGTATATTGGTTCCCGCACTCAATAGAACCATCTTCTTCACAATCACTGGTTCCGTTCCGTTTGTTGTCCCGTTCCTATGCACATTCTTTTTGGCGACTACAAACGCCGTCTGAGATCGTTTCATTGTTGCCTCCACAATGTTTTGGGGGAACATATTCCTAATGAGGTCGAGAATCGAGTCAAGTGCGGAGAGATTCGTCCCGTTAGTCGTATCGGCGACGCTTTTGTTCTTCACTTCTGGATTCCCGGGATGAAGGAGAAGGACCACGGAGACGGCGATCAAGCAGGCGATGAGTACAGTAGTCAGATAGTAGAACACAGCGAGGAGGCCCATTTTTCCTGATCTTTCTGCGTCCATCTGACCGAGAGCTGCAGAGACAAAGTTTTCTAGGCAGGAACACCGGAACTTGAACTCACATGAGATCAAGGAAGAGAATATGAGTGGGAGGATCATCAACTTGAGCACTTGCATGAATATTTCGCCCGGGAATCCGATCAGGTTACGAGCATCATCAGAAAGTTCGATTCGACGGAGGAGCAGGCCGCCGCCGAGCCCCAGTCCGACCGCGAGCAGCGTGAAAATCAAGAGATGATTCTCTTTCATTCTGTAAGAATTCAACTCAAATTCGTATGTTTTCAAAGAGAAAACTTAATGTCAAAAACCCATAAAAAGTGTAGAAATGTTGTATTTTTCAAATTCGCATTCTGAAACTTCAGGCAGAAACAAACATTTTAAAGAAGAACGCAAAGATTCATTGATTGTTAATATACGGAAAACGAAGAGAACGCGGTGAAAATGATTGACGGGTGAATAGTCGGCAGCACGGGCGATTTGCATAAGTTCGAAGAGTAGTCGTCGGGAAACGGAGGATGAGGGAAATCTGAAAAGAGTATCGGTTGAGATGACAACTGGTTGTTCGGACGCTCTTATCACCGATTATTCGATCAAAAACCAGAGAAGACAACGTGTCTTCGCCATGTGCTTCTCCCCGCTTATCGGTGTTTCGTTACTGGAAACCGTCTTTCCGATATCAGAAACATTCTACTCCGATGCTCCTCGGCCTGCTCGTTTTCTCCCTCGCCTTCCAAGGTTTGTTTGCTCCATCCCCTCTCGAAAGTCATCCACTTTTTTTGTCTTCAGGCCTCGTCGCCGTCTCGGAATGCGAGGAGTGCACCACTATCGTAGATCTTCTGCAACTCGAGTGGGGAGAAAAGAAAACGGAAGACTGCTTCGTCGATATTGCTCTTTTCATTTGCGAGAACTTCCATATTGAGGACAACGACGTCTGCAACTTCATCGTCTCCGACTTTTCTGTGAGATCAAAAATGCAACGTACGAATCCATTGAACAATTTATTTTTAGGATGAGTTCATGTACGTCATCAAACAGATTCTGGTCACCCCGCATCAGATATGCGGTCTCCTCATGCAGAATGGTGAGCTTCGAATTAAAGTTTTAACTGAAAATACAATTCAGATTGCGGTGAATTTGTGGATCCTCTCGCAACTATCTGGAACATGACGGTCCCTGGAAATCAGCCAGCATTCGTACCGAAACAAATTGTGCCCGTAAGTGATTTTATCTGTTCATGCCTCGAATCCGTTTTTAAGACTGGAAACCCAACTCTGCGAGCCCTCCATCTTACTGATCTCCATGTTGACATGTACTACACTCCAGGACTCGAGGCGCAATGTGACACTCCGCAATGCTGTCGTCCTCAAGATATGAATGTGGTATGATGTCTCGACTGCTCACTATCTTTCTAGTTTGTGATTTCAGGAAATCGTGGAGAACGGAGACGTGAAGGTTCCGGCGGGACCGTGGGGAAACGTGGGATCTTGCGACACTCCGTACTGGCTGCTCACCAACATGCTCGAGCACATTGCCAACAGCTCAGGACCTCTCGACTACGTGATGGTCTCCGGAGATCTCGTGTCCCACACAGTCTGGGCCTATACTCCGGAAACACACTCATTCATGATCAAGAACCTTTCGGACACGATCCGTTCATATTTCCCGACAACTCCCGTCTATTTTGCGGTCGGAAACCACGAGGGAGTGCCAGTTGATAAGTGAGAGACTAGCGTTTTTATCGTTGAAAAATGGCATCGTTTCTAGTATTGCACCACATTTCACTCCGAAAAAGTACCACATGGATTGGCTGTACAAGTCAATGTCCGATTCGTGGCAGGGATGGATTCCGGATGATCAGGAGAAAACACTCAAATAGTGAGTGCAGAGGGGAGCTGAAAAAAGAAAGGAATGTGGAGTGTTTCAGCAATGGGTGCTTCATGAAGAAGATCTACGACGGCCTGCGTCTCATTTCTCTCAATAACGTTTACGGAGATCGCATCAACTTCTGGTTGTACATCAACCAAACAGATCCAGACGGCACGCTCGGATGGCTCATCGATCAGCTGCAAGACGCGGAGAATGCGGGCGACAAGGTCCACATCGTGGCTCACATTCCAGGGTCGGATTCGGAAGCCCTCGAAGGTTACGCGCTCAACTATTATAAGATTATCAATCGGTTCGATTTCACACCGACGCTCCGAAAAAACACGTTTTCTTCAGGTTCACAAACACTGTCGTCGGGCAGTTCTTCGGACACACCCATTCTGAGAAGTTCTACATGATGTACGCAGATCCGGATGATTACAAGTCCACCCCCACCAAGTAGGCTACTTATTTGCTTCTCTCCTAAACTATAACTTTATTATCAGTGTCGTCTATTCTGCTCCATCTGTGACTCCCTACTCCAACTACTTCCCAGCCTACAGAATCTATTCGATTGATGGAGTTCATTCGGGATCAACTTATGTAAACACACAAATCTCACCGGATATTAAAATCTGAGCATTTTCAGCAAGTAATCGATTACGAGGAGTGGTTCTTCAATTTGACTGAAAACAATGCGAACCCCACAAACGTTCAATGGACACCGCTGTACAAAAGTGCAAATTTGGAATACGGTCTTAAAGGACAGACTCCAGACGAATACAACCGAATGATTGAGAGAATGAAGACCGATACGAACTTGTTCAATGCGTACTTCGAGTAAAAAAAATGTTTTAATTTGCTTCTTCTCATCTCGGATTCTCAGGAACCACTATCGTCGTTCAGTCTACGACGGACTTATTCCATGCGGAGATCAGAAGTGTCGCAACGGATACCTTTGCGACGCCCGTCAATTCCATCAGACGAACAAGTTATGCACGGATTTGGAGGGAGGAATTGAGAAGCCAACTGAGAATCAGTCGAAGAAATACTCGAGTCGCTTCAGGAAATCTCACGAGAAACGACGAGGAAAGGAAGAATGCAAAATTTGAACATTTCAATACTTTTTATCCGGGTCAATTTGAATGAAAATTCATTCCATTTCTTTTCATTTTTTGAAACTTCAACCTGCGACTGCTGTCAAAAGGCCCGCGAAGTCGAAGAAAGAGTGTGCGCGGAGAAGAGACGCAGACACAGGTGCGCAAGTGCGCTCCGATGTTAATTGCGCGAAATAAAACAGATTCAAATTCAAAAGTATTGGCCTTAAGGACGTCCTAGGACAGAGTAACGGACAATTTTTATTGTCCGCTATTCTCAATGATTATCACTAAGTTTTATAGTTAACACTCAAAATTCTCTAATTTTTATTTCAGCATGAGCAAGTATGAAGTGCTACAAGGGTACTACGCCGTTCACGACGAGTTAGGATCCGGAGGTCAGGCGAACCAGAAATGATTGGCTAACAATAAATTTTTCCAGGCTTCGGAAAGGTTCGGTTAGCAACTCACTTGCTTACAAATCAGAAAGTAGCCATCAAGATTATAGATAAGAAACAGCTGGGAGTGAGTTTGATAGCGGAAAACGACAATTATTCTCCTGCTTACAGCATGATTTGCCGAGAGTCCAGACCGAAATGGATGCGCTCCGGAATCTATCCCATCAGAATATTTGCCGACTGTACCATTATATAGAGACTCCTGACAAGTTCTTTATTGTCATGGAGTACTGCAGCGGAGGCGAGATGTTCGATTACATTGTTCGAAAGGAACGTCTCGAAGAGTCGGAAGCGCGTCATTTCTTCCGTCAACTCGTCAGTGCCATCGCGTATGTTCATTCGCAAGGATACGCCCACAGAGATCTGAAACCGGAAAATCTTCTGCTCACCGAGGATCTCCATCTCAAATTGATCGACTTTGGGCTGTGTGCGAAAACGGAGAAGGGCCGGATCGATAAGCATAACTTGGATACTTGTTGCGGATCGCCCGCTTACGCAGCTCCCGAATTGATTCAGGGACTTCAGTACAAGGGAAACGAAGCGGACGTCTGGTCGATGGGAATCCTGCTGTACACCCTGCTTGTCGGAGCATTGCCGTTCGAAGACGACAATATGCAAATTATGTATAGAAAAATACAGGTAAGGAAAAGAATAAATAAAAAATAATTCTTTATTCAGTCGGGTTGTTTCTACGAACCCGATTTTCTGTCACCGATGAGCAAACAACTGCTCCGTGCGATGCTTCAAGTTGCTCCTGAACGGAGAATAACGGTCAAGAAACTTCTGGAGCACGACTGGCTAAATCACAAGTACACTCAACCCGTCAAATGGAACACCATCTATGACGTAAGTTTCAAATGTCCTGATTTCAATGTATAAATTCTTTCATTTCAGAAAAATTTCATCGACCGTGACGTGGCAAGAGTAATGTCAAAGTATTACGGACTCGAGACCACTGATCAGATGATTGAGAAGATCAAAGAATGGAACTTTGACTATATGACTTCCACGTATTACGCTCTTCTGCATCGGAAGAGGAGCGGAATGGAAATCGTGCTGCCGATGACGAGGAACTCGGTCAATACGGCTCCAGTGGTAAATTAATGACTCAAAAATGCAAAAGTGGTGGTTTATTTCAGAATATGCAAAACATTCTTTGCTCGCCGACAATCCACGCGTCGCTCGACAACAACCTCGACAAATCGGGACTAGAAGACGAGGATTCTGGCTCCGATCCCTCGAGCGCTTCTTCCTCAGACATCTCAGCTCGTCTGAAGAAGGACTGCTTCGTTTCGGAAGAACCTCCTAAGTTCGCCAAGCCAATTTCTCCGGAGAAAGACAAGAAGATGTCGTACGTGAATGCGATGCTGAACATGCCTTCTCAGTTCACTGGCCGATCGCCCGGACCTTTGCGCGTGCTCGAGTCGCCCATTTCTATCCGAAGCAGCGACAAAGATTCGGTCAGCATCGGAACAGCGACGCCCTCTCGCGGAGTCTCCAGGGTAAGAATCGTAGTCGGAAAACACTTCAACAACAACAGTGTTTTCGAAGTCACAGTGAACTTGACCTTTTTGCCTAGTTGATTCCACCTACAAACCACGGTTTTCAGGATGTTGACAAGGAGAATTCGGCAGTTAAAAATTATCGAATCGGAGCCGCTACGTGTAAAATTCGTGGGCCGCTCAAAATAACGGGATTGGGTAAGTTGGGAAACGACAGGAACAGAGATTGTGTATGTAGTCCGAGAGGCAAAAAAACAAAGCAAACATCCATTTTGGGCGCAGCGGAACGGAAGTATTTCGCAATAATTTGCCGAATGCGTTCTTTTGGCGAATTTATCCGAATGTTTCTAATTTCTTTTCGATTTTCAGATGATGGTACGAGACGAAGTGTGTACACGACTCCGAATCGCCCGACTCTGCGCGGTCTTTTCAGTCCAAGCAATGCGGATTCCTCCCATCAGAACAGACAAAGAGCTCGTTCTTCGGACCGGGCCAGTCTGGTACCTCCCGGATCCCCGATCTCGATCGGAAGTGCCACCAGTGGATCAAGCAATAGTGAGAAATTAAGACAGTGATAAAAGGAAACGAGGCGTTGTTTCAGCGGATGGACGAACTCCGAGAAGCCGCACGAAGACGAATCGGTTACCACAACGCGTGTTCACTTCATTGGAACGGAAGAAAGAGAAGTTGATCACTCTTCTGACGCCGCGAAAGATGCAAAGAGAATCTCCGCAAGTGCTGAAAGACGTTAAGAACATGGTCAACGTGTCGATGACCTCATTCAAAAAGCCTGAAGACGTTCGAGATCGGCTCATAAATGTGTTCGTGACGGAGAAAATGCAATACGAATTAAATGGGTCCGTTCGATCCGACAAAAGAAAAACTCTTAATATTCTTGTTTCCAGTTGGAAGTTCCTGGCGACGAAGGAAAGTGTGCACGGCTGGATGACGGTCGAATTGGAAGTGGTCAGGTTGCAGATCTTTGACACGGTGAGTCCAATCCGACCTTTGGTTTCCAGGGTCTCTGTAAACAAACATGAACTAAAGCGAGCATAAACTTCGCAGAAAAATTGATGACAATTGGAAATAAACAATTTGATTTGTTTTCAGGTCGGTATCCGTCGAAAACGACTGAAGGGCGACGCCTTCATGTACAAGAAAGTGTGCGAACAGATCCTCGACATGGCCAACGTCTCCTAAACGAATCTGAGAAGATTGAGTGATTTTGTGTGCTTATTGTTAGTATTTTGTTTTTTAACCTATTTTTAAAGCTTTTTTTCTTCCTTCCTGTGTTTTTGTAGAATATCCGTCCCGTTCCTTGGGTCACCCAGTTCCCGTTTGCAAATGTAATGTTCTCGAAATTTCCGTACTAATCTCTTTTTCTTCCATTTTTCTCTTCCGGAGGATAAAACTAATAGGTGGTCAAGATCTCTCTGAATCATGTTTATCACGAATCCGTCGACGAAAACACGTGAGGCGGATTGGATTGCGAAAGTGTTCAGCACCAAAAAAACTAACTCGTATTTGCTCTAGCCGTCTTAACCTCCTCCCTTCAGCGACTCCGCCCCCTTTTTGCCGTTGATCTCTTTCAAAACAAGTGGCCGAGTATAAAAGGCGGCCGGCGCCACACATTCTCCATCATCCGAGAGATCATGGCTCACGGAAATCGTCATCGCCATGGCGGCCACGGCCGCCAAGGACGCCAAGCTTATTTCAAACTGTCTACTAAAGATTCGAAGCAAGCTCATCTATTCTCTATCAACTACGAGAAGACGAGCGGCCTTCTCGAGAAGCTGAAGAAGAAGTTGACCGACTACAAAGTGGACTTTGCCAAGGTATTCTGGGTCGACCAGGACAAGGACCAGATCTTCCTCCAAACTGCCGAGGACCTCCGCGAAGCCATCAAGTTCTCGCGGTTCGTCGTCAAGTTGTACGTGGACGGAGCAGTGGAGAAGAAGCTGAAGAACGAATTGAAAGCGGACGAAAACGAAGACGACGACGGCAGCAGCAGCTCGTCGTTCTCGAAGGTTTCCGGAAAGGAAGAGTCCGGATCGGATTCGTCTTCGAGTTCGGAAAGCGAGGATGAAGGCAAATCGGCGAAGAAGCAAGAGAAACGGGGACGCTCTGTCTCTTCGTCCTCTTCTGGATCTTCTTCTTCCTCTGGATCCTCTCGTTCTCCATCTCCTGGACGTCGCGGACGTGGTTCCCGTTCTCCATCTCCAGGAGGACGCGGAGGAAGATCTCCATCTGGATCGCGTTCTCCTGGAAGACGTGGCGGACGATCTGCTTCTGAAGACTCTGGACGTCACGGACCTGGAAGACGTGGACACGGATCTCGCTCTCCATCACCAGGAGGCCGTGGACATCCTCACACACCACCGTCGCCAGGACGCAGAGGACACGGACACCGTCATGGACGTCGCCCATCTGGAGAAAGAGGACCCGGATCCCCTGGAAGCCATGGCGAAAGATCTGCATCAGAAAAGCAGCCAAAGAAACAAGGAACTCTGAAGAAGTCGTTCAGAGGACCGAAGGAGGGAGAAGCTGACCGTCACGGACCACCACCACCGTTCCCTCCACCAGGAGGACGCGGAAGACATGGCTCCCGCTCTCCATCGCCAGGAGGACGTCACGGACATCATGGACATCATCATGGGCCGCCATCGCCAGGAGGACGTGGACATGGAGGACAAGGAGGACACGGAAGACATGGAAGACATGGAGGACATGGAGGACATGGAGGACACGGATCCCGCTCTCCTTCCCCTGGAGGACGTCACGGACATCAGGGACATCATCATGGGCCGCCATCAGGAGATCGTGGAAGACATGGTTCCCGCTCTCCATCACCAGGAGGACGTCACGGACATCATCATGGGCCGCCATCGCCAGGAGGACGTGGACATGGAGGACGAGGAGGACACGGATCCCGCTCTCCTTCCCCTGGAGGACGCCACGGACATTACGGACATCATCATGGGCCGCCATCAGGAGATCGTGGAAGACATGGTTCCCGCTCTCACTCTCCAGGAGGACGTCACGGACATCACGGACATCACCACGGACCGCCATCGCCAGGAGGACGCGGCCACGGAGGACAAGGAGGACACGGACGTCATCACGGACCACCACGACCAGGACCGGGAAGACGTGGCCACCACTCCCGCTCGCCTACTCGCCACCATCACCACGGAGGCCGCCCGTTCCCTCCTCCACACCATCAAGGAAATCATCACCATCACTTCCCGCCGCCGCCGCCGCCATTCTGGCCGCCGTACCCGCCACCACCGCACTTCTGGCCACCGCATCATCATGGACATCACCATCACGGACACCGCTCGTACTCTCCATAATTCTCTGATCGCATTGCTTACGTTGTGCATATTGTACATTCATTTATTGTGTTGAAAAAAGGGATTGTAAATAAATAAATCTTCGTAAATATACTAGTGTTCTTTTCGCTGTGTTTGTTCGGGAAATATAAACGAGAACTGTGGTGCCGAAAAGTCCATAGGCACAAACAAAACCGACGGTGGTGTTTCGGAGAACTCCAATTACGAATCGTTCGTCGGCGGCAGCGTAGTCTGTGTCCGCGGCCTGTTTTCCATTTTGTGATTTGGTCATTGAACACTTTGCCCAGCTGCTTTTCATAGTCAAATGGGCGGAGTCTCTGGCCGTCATGCACATTGCCTTTGAAAGACGAAATGATCAGTTCCAATAGGAAGTCAGGCTAAAAGATCGGGCCCATTCGAAGTGAACGACCAAGACATCGCGACCATTTTCCGGGCGCCCACAACAACAAGTAGAGTGGGGGAGTCGAACACAAATAAACGGAGTGTGTTGTTTGGTGTTTGCGGGAGACGAAAAAGAGTGGAGTCGCCGCGTTTGGAATAGAACTATGGATGACCGAGTGACTGGGCAGGCGACGACTTTTGGGAGAGATCTTGGTCGATTTGTAGTCGGTGGTCGAACAGTGATGTGTCTTCCGAAGTTCACGTCCACCATAACACAGAGTTTATGAAGTGTGTGACTAGAAATGAGTTATTGTGTGTTATGTGTTCTGGTCGAGAGAGTGGCGCCACGACTACAGTGTATCCAATCGGGTTCTGACGGCCGAAACTGGATTCGGTTCAGCACGCATTAGAGATCAAACACAGATATGAGAATTAAAACACACTTTTAGTGTTCTACATCATCTTAATTAAGAATTTATTCATTTTTGAGGAAGTATTCTTCAAAACACGGAAAACCGAAGAAGAAGTTTCAGACTGCAGCCCTGCTAACCAGAGATCTCTCCATAGACGCAGTTCATTCATCTCCAATTCTCAATGCAATTCATTCACTTCCTTGTCAGCATACGTCTGCAGAACCGCTCATTCAAACATCTGGTGTGGAAACACGACACATCACTTCCAGTCGGATCAGCGTCTAAGACATCAAGTCCGTCCTACTGGTCGAGATCTTCTAATTCGGTCGATCATTGTGTGTCCCCGCCTCCCCCAAACGCGTCTCATTTCCATAATGATGCCAAGTGTGCTTTGTGTTTTGCAACTGATCTTTATCATTTCTGTACCAGATCACCGAACACACATCGCGACTGTTTTGAGCGAATGATCGACACCAGAAGAGGCAAGATCGAGTCCGATTTCCTTCAGTTCAAAACATCAAGCACACTTTTGTGGGCGGGGCCAGACACTTGAATATAGTCTTGTCGGCGGCACGGTCTGGGCCCCGCCCGATCACACACATTTTGACAGTCGAGTACTGTTCTGCCGCCCTCTCTCCGTCCGAGTTATCACTGAGCGGAGGAGTGCCCGTTGATAATCAACGAGCTCCGAACAATGATCTCCTATGACCTTTTCTAGTGTTTGTTCTCTTATATAATTTTCACTTTGAAAATATTTACGATAGTTCAAAGTTGACTAGATTTGATTCTTGATTGTTTTTGAGAATGTTACATACGTTACAGTGTCAGTTCAGACCCCCTGGTCCAAAGATATTGCTTCATTTTATCATCACTTCATTTTATTCGAAAACGTGTTCCAGTAAGTGGTAACACTTTAATCCCACATTGTACTCACTTCAAAGATCGCAGCATTCCAGACATCCTTCCGTACTTTTTCATGTTTTTATTGAAAAAAAACGTCGTCAATAATATTATTAATCTTCTTGTTCATCGTCAATTTTCCAATAAACATTTATTCGCCGCGTATTGTGTTCTATTCAAGAGTGCTCGAGAAGCACATCAAAACAAGAAACAAGAGAGATTCCAGGACACGTTCAGATCCTCCTTCCTCTTCTTCTTCTTCCTCGTCTCGAACAATAAAATCGGTGAGAAAGGAGTTCCTCTTCCCATCCGAATCCGTCGCGTCCACTTCCCGTCTCGACGGATCCTTTGTGACGTCAAGTTAGCAAAATTGAAGATCCGTCATGTTATTGCGAAGAGAGGAAAGATGAATAAATTTAGGTTTTCTCTCTCATTCGTCCTCGCTCATTTCTCGCAACGTTCAGAAATGATAATCATCTGAATTAGCAAACAACCTACACACCACTTCATTTCCGTGTAAGCCTACCCATCACAGATATCTGAGCTCTTTTTGAACAGTTCTCTTCTGTCTATTATCCATTCGAGTTCTTTTTTGTAATGTAGAAATCTGAGACTATTATTATTATTGTTCTCTCTGAAACGAGGTTAACTTTTGAAGTGAAATGAACTACACGAAAACTGTTATCCCCAAACCTTAAACTGGCAACTGCAAAACAACACTTTTTGAGTATTATTCTGACCTTTTCGTCTTTTTTTCCGTCTGAAGATGGGCCGTTCCCAGAACCGAACGGAGCCGACAACAAATTGAATAAAACGGCTGAAAATGACGCTCACTCTGGTAGAACTCACTGAAAATGCGGGCTCGAATGAGGAATGAGGGCGGCCAGCCACGCGCCCAATTAATCAGCCTCTCCGTTGTCCATTCAAATGTCCTCCCACTCTTCCGATCCCTTCCAGACGGACTTCCGAAGCTCGCGTGCGCAGGTGCAAAGTGATGAAAGACGAGGGGGGCAATGAGCCTAATTTGGGAAGCGGAAGAGCTCGGACGAATACTACGAAACACTCATAAAACCACTGAATGGCCCATTGCCTTTCTTTCCACGTTGTCCAATTTCCCACTTTTTTCTCTTTCCGAATTGTTCTCAGAAAGTTTGGAATCTGCGCGTGGGTAATCCAATTCACCGTAATCTTTCAAATTCGGAAACATCGAAGTTCTTTTTCCTTCTTTCCACAATTATGCACATACATTCATGTTTGCGTCGTCGGCGCCCTTTTTATCCGCTTTACTCTCAGCTGATGTTAGCAACAAAAAGAATTGAAGTTTGCGGACATTGCCACGTCAAATCGTCGCCCCGAGACTACCGGAAATAGACTCGGAACCAATGGGATTGAATGCTTTATCAAAGTGTTCCAATTTCCCGTTTCCTGTACCTCGGTTTGAACGAATCAAAAGCAGTCGGGATTCATTCAGCCGTTTAATTGTTCTGTTCTGCACTTTCTCAGCTTTAAGATAGAACAATAGCTTGTTTTCCAGCGATTTCTTTCGGCTTCTCGCAATATTCTGAAAGCAAATAGTACATTTTACCCAGAAAACAATACAATTGAACTTTGCTCTCGGTGTGTTCGGATCCCTTGGTTCGTCTCTGGGTACACTTTCCGCTGTTCGTTTTCCTATCGACGAAGCAGCCAATTATGCAGAACATACACTTGCTCCCTCTCTCGCTTTCCATCAAAAAGAACTGCCCGCCTGCTCTAAATAGCTCTCATTTCGGAATGCACTTCTCGCATTTCACGTTCATCCGAACAAAACGCGCATTCCGAGAACTCTCCCGATTCCATTTCGATCGTCTAATCCGTTCGATACAACTGTACATCTTTTTTTGGTTTTGTTTGGCGCCTTCTTCCGGCAATTATTCTGGAAGTCCTTCATCCCCTGGCTGCTCCCACTCCCTTCGGTCCGTCTTCTTCTTCTTCTTCTTCCTCTTCTTCTTCATCTTCTTCTCGTACTCTTTTCATTCTTATTTCACTTTCTTCCTGTTTGCTTTTTCCGCCCTCCGACCTGCAATTAGGCTCTTCCTTCTCTGCAATGAGCAATCAAATTAATGAGTTTAGAGGCACAGGATCACGAGTTTCACCCCTTTCTTTTATTCTCAAATCCAATTCGTCTCTTTCTCACCCGAAAATCAGATTTGTTCGTCAGAATATTCATTTCCCTTTGTCTTCCGGTTTACAGCCACGAACACGTGTCGCTGAAGTGAGTTGACGGCACTCCGTTTTTGACTGATAACTCAAGAGCAGATTTGCTGGAGGAGGCCTCAAAGACCGGGATTACCACCCCCAAGAACCAAGTCACCCAGTCAACTGACTTGGTTTTTCGTCCAATCTGTAACTTCATGCAGACTGTCGTTCAAATATGTGTGAAAAAGCGAATAATTCATTGAAATGCAAACCGATGCTTCCTCATTTTCAGCGACTTCTTTTCTCTCTTTTCTTCAATGCTGACACGTCACCTGATCTATTCTGTTTCGTCCCAATTTCTAATTATTGGTCTCCCCCTCCTCATGATTCTTCCAAATATCTTTACGACGGGAAAACAAAGACAGATGTTCCGCATATCCCTCTCTCTCTCTCTCTTTTTTCTGACGTGGCATTCTGTCCATTAAAATCCGTCTCCAACTCATTCTGCTCCCCATGCTCATTCCCCAATTCGATTACCTGCACGTTCCCCGCGTGCCTTATCTCACTGACCTATCTTTTAGATTGCTTCTGCTCTTCGAACACTGCTCCATCCCGTTGCCTTCTTTGTTTTCTCCTTTCACTTCATTTCCCGATTCCGGCCGATTCGTGTTCTCATTTCGAATGCTAATCTTTTATTGTTCTATCCCTCCCCCCGAATCCATTTCCCATTGAAAGCCAATTATCACGAAGGTTTCATTTCCAATACTGTGGTTCTCTTCGAAATGACGCTAACCGTGATCCAATTTCTTTGGCCTCTTTCCTCAAATAGCCGCCTCCGAAGGTTCCATCCGTTTCCATCATTTCGTGCTGATTAGTGATTAGCATCACAGAACTTTCTATAATTTGCACGTTCCTCTTGTCATTTCCTGATAGCCCTCCTAATCTGATCTCGGTTCGTATTTTGGACTCGGGCAATTCGTGGTCGAAAGAACGCCCGGAGGCTAAAAAGGACCAGAAAGAGATAGGGCCAGAAGGGATGGGCAAATCGAGTTGAAACAAGAGCAAGAGAGCTCCTCCAGCAGCTGTCCGTTTATCCGACGGCTCGTCATTTTTTGACGCCCCACTACTATCCAGGCGGTCTCGATTATCCCGGGCGCGATCGCCACTTCTCTTCAGAACTCGA